CCGTCATTCCTCAGCTCTATATTGTCGCCTACAGAGACCACCAGCATGCCGTCATTCCTCAGCTCTATATTGTCGCCTACAGAGACCACGAGCATACCGACAACCTTCATCACCCTCACTACCTCCCCTCCATCTTCCGAACCGTCCACATCATCACCAATGTCAATCTCTACCCCTACCTCTACATCAACAACAACATCCGCACCATCCGCACCATCCGCATCAGCGACGTCCTCCTGCGTCCCAGGCACATTCGAATGCAACTCTCTCACAACCTTCTCACAATGCGTGAGCACATCATCCTCGTCGACCACGTATGTGTATATGGGATCTGTGGCCGCAGGGATGCAGTGTGTCAACGGTCAGTTCGTACGTGAGAGCTCGGGCACATGTACTCCCTCGGGCAGTATCTTCTGTAACGGCGAGAATGCGTTTTACCTGTGCGACCAGGGCGGGTTGGTGGATATGGGCCCTGTGGCACCTGGGACGGCGTGTCGCAACGGAGTGATTGGATTCGCCTAGACCTCAACTTCGGACTCGAACTGAACTGAAGCTGCTGTATTTGGACTTGAGTCTGGTTATTAAGCCTGTGCTCGAATTCCAGGTTCCAGGTTCCAGGTTTCCAGCTCTTGGTTTGATCTCGAGTTCCGGTTTGGGTTTTCGTGGGCGAGATCTCTTCTTTGCGTGCTCAAGTTCCATGTGCCACCAAGAGAGGATGTCTGGGACATTCGATGTGTGATGTACGATGGACGAAGAATGTGTTTTCCATATTTTACGATATTTCATGGGAGACGATCGCCATGGCGATGACGGACGCCTCGACTTCAATTCGAGTCGACTTTGGGACCAAGTCGACTCATGACACCTTTATCATTGTTATTACTACGACCATACTACGAACTAGCGGAATTCACGGCTACAAGGATTCAACATTCAACATTCAACATTCAGCATTGAGCATTGAGCATTGGGCATCGGGCATTGGGCATTAACTGGACGGGGATCAAAGAAGAATGAATCACAAGAAGGAAGGATTTTTATAATGCAAATGCAAATGGATTTGAGATTTCATCCTTGGTTTTTAGTTTAGAAGTGCCACTGTACATGAGATGCTCTATATTATACTGACTGTATATAGATACCTAGGGTACAGGTACCCAGGGCTCCGAGTCCGTGAGTCTGTGGCCTGCCCCAAGCGAGCTCCTTCTCGCGACGATATCGTACCACTCACTACTCACTGGCCGAGTCCAGTGCGGAATCTTTTTCTTCTTGCCTTGCCTGGCCAAGAATGTCCTTGTCTTCCATTCAACCCCTAATCCTCACTCAAGAGCATACCAGGCTTAGCAATGCTGCTCGTCAAACTTCCTTCAACGCACCAAGACTCCTTTTCGGGAACATCACGCCTCTCGAGCAAAATTGAATACAAAAAGGGTATCAAACGAAGCATAGAAAAGTATAGCACAATAGCCAACGACAATCCGACATCGGTGCGCCCAATGCATCCATGAACCAAGAAAGTCCTTGTCGATAATACACGTGGAGTGCTTTTCGATCGACAAAGGTGATGCCGGGAATATGATATTAATGGTATTATCGAGTATTCCTGTCTTGGTCGGTGTCTGGCCATCATTCCGAAACGCCCGGCTAAAGCATGTCGTCATAATCAAATAACAGTGTGGTTGTAGAGCTGAATCGATGGTCGAGGGCTCATGTCGGGGGTAGACCGCCTGAACCACTGTCGGTAGACGTGTCTCCTTCCACCGTCTTCTTCCAGGCTTCAGGGAGACAGACACAAACAAGAGGGAAGGCCTTGATCTCTCCCGGCGGTGTAGGCGTCTCTTCACGGGTGGCACTCCCATTGGAAACACCACTGTCTCGCTGCGCCTTGTGCTTGCCGTCGTAGTCTTCTGCCCGCTCATTAAGCCGCACTCCAGTGGCCCAACCATCATCCCAAATGCCCACCACTTTGAGCATGTCCCCTCTTTCGAGTTCAAATTCATCCCCAGCGCGGGGTTGGTAGGCCCAGAGCACCGCCACCTTATCTCCCGGGTGGATGTCATCGTTGGAATAGTAGTCTTTGAAGAAGGGCAACTGTTCGGACTGTCCACTTGCTACTCCTTCAGGCGAAGAGTATTCTCCAGGAGAGCTACTGTTTTGTGAGTTAATGCCGGGAGATCCGCCGTGTTTGACGACTCCCGCAACTCCCGCGACCTTCTCATTTGATTCCGGACTGTCGCCGTACGGATCTGTATGAGAGGTATAGTTCCGTGGCCCGATTCCAGGCGGGCCCGTCATGGCCGAGGGTGGTTCATCCTGCAAAGCAGACATGCGAGCAACACGTCCGCCCGGAAGGACTTCATAGCCTTGCTGCGACATAGGTTGATTGTATGCAGATGAGGCCACACCTCTCCTGTGAGGGGATGGCTGGTTGAGCACGCTGCCAGCTTTGCTGTTGTTGCGCCGACGTCGAAGGCAGATAAACGCAAGGATGAGGAGGGCGAGTAGGAGAAGGAATCCCAATATAGATCCGATGGCTATCCCAGCGATTGCGCCCCCGCTGAGGCCCGAACCCCCTCCAGAGTGAGCTGCAGTTGTTGCAGCGCCGCTCGTAGCTGAGGCCGTGGGACTGGCGGTAGAAGAAAAGAGATTGGCGATAGTCGAGAAAACAGGAAGAGTGACATCCTGGCACCGGCCAGTGGAATTGGAAGTGAAACAGCAGGAGTCGGTGCCGTTCTCGGTGCTTGCGCGACAGAAGTTGCAAAGGCCCATCAAGTTACCACCGAATCCGCAATCTTGAGGCTCATTGGATTCGCCAGTGATACAGCTTCCACTTATAGAGTTTGCGGGCAAGGCGCAGTTGGTGAAGTCGGCGCGCAGTTCGTCTGCATAGTCATCGTTGCGACCATTGCACAAGTCGCTCGAGACGATCTGTTCTTCACTAAGTGCCAGGTCGGCGCAGGAGTCTGCGCATAGGGGTGTGGAATTGGCATCAGATAATCCACAGGGCTCTCGAGAGTTCTGTACGATGCCATTACAGAGAAAGCTGGTGGTATAGCGGGCGTAATAATCTGTAGTGTTGCCCAGATTCACGTTGTCACAACCAAAGATGTTGATATACTTGTTCTGGACGTATTGCTGCGAAACATATTGAGTTAATTGGGTGTCGAAGTCTTCCGTACTCGAAACATATGCAAGAAAAGGGCTGCGCCAGTCAGTCTGCGGTCAATTATGCGCCTCACAAGCAACTTACTATAAGTCAATCAAAGCGTGACTCGTGGAGATTGAAGAGGAATTAAATGCTGGACAAGCCTTCGACCCCGACAGTGATATGCAACTTTGTGCCAAAACGGCGGGAGTCGCGAGGGCCAAAGCGCCCAAAGCCCGCAGTTTGATCATACTCGGCTTATAGATTGTCGGTTGCCAGGTCAATCGTGTGCGAAGGTGATTGATTGACCAGGAGGCTCCGATCGTGATATCCAAGTTGTATCCAACACTTCCAAGCTCATGCTGGACTCATCTTCTCCAAGCCCGTATTGTCTGCCGTCGCGTTCAATTTAGCTGCCACGCGAGGCTGGGGCCCGGAAGCCTGGTGGCAGGGAGTCTGGGTCAGCGAGCTTTGACCGTGTCCGGCGGTCTGGGTCCCAAGGTCAAAGCGTAGGCAAGGCGCCGGGTGATCGACGGTAGTGGAGGATACGAGTATGATAGTGGTGAGGGATGTCCCAGAAATGAGGGCGTGAAAACGAGTGACTGTTGGTCAGAGACTTGACCTGGACTGAAGACTCCGGTTGAGGGATCCCGAGAGAGTTGACCGTGAAAACAAAGCAGGCTTGAAAGAAAGTAGCGAAGAGAAGAGGTGAAGTTCTGGGCGAAGGTCTGATTGGGACAGGACGCGATGGCAGGTGGAGGAAGAAGAGCAGGAGTGGTGTACAGATGTATACCAGCTGCAACTGCGTTTGTGACTGCTGAATCTCGACTGGTCACGGAATTGATGGCAGCAGCTCAGTTCAAGATGTTGAGAAAGAAGGTGATAGCTCTCTGGCACAATTCTGAGCTTCCTACAGACAAGCAACACCACGTCGACCAGGTGAAAAGAGAGCCCGTTGATGAAGCCAGCATCAAGCCAGTGATGGGTGGGCAGGGGAGAGGCAGGGGTGGCAGGGGACTTGAGGTCAATCCGGGCATCGATGACAGGGCCACAGTGTCCGTCACTAACCGGTCCAGGGAAAGCGGAGTGCCTAAAAGACCCAAAGCAGCCCCCGATCAACAGCCTAAGAGCGCCTAACAGTGCCTAGCAGCACCTAGCAGCCTCCACGAGCCCTGTCTAACGGGGCGCCGCATCACGCCAATCATCCCTGTTCCTCTCCAGTCTCCAATTTCGCAGACTCGCTTTGTACCTGGATGTGCTCCTGCTCCGTCTTACGTCCTGTTTGTCGGTAGAGCTCTTGAAACATCCGAAATGAGTTGACTGTCTCTGTGTACAGGGTACATGGACTTCCCCCGTCGAGAGGACCTTCAGCGTTCGCGCTCATGATGCTTTCGAAGCCAACGCCTGTGGCAGTTGCTAGCAACCGAACTTGTCCAGAAGCAAACACAAGTCCATGAAGATCGCCCCGTCTCACCCGTCGATTGTGCTTCTTTGCACCACCTATGATGGCAACGACGTCCGCTGCAACCAACCGAGACCTGCGGCAGTCGGAATGAGCATGGTCAAGATAGGTCCAAGATTCCAAGATGGTGGTGATGCACTGCAGGGTGGAGAGAATTGCTGAGAAGAGATTGCATGGCGTCGCCGCCACACACGCCAGCGAGCATCTAAGTCTGTTAGTGAGCGGCCGTCATATCCTGGTCAATTCAAGTGTCTGTTGGCTACGAGTGGACAGCATCCTTTACCCTCGACCCTTCTCATCGCTTGTATCCTTGTCCACAAGCGCGCGGAAAGGTAACCACCGACTGACCAGTTACCTTTTTCCCTTCCCACCCTGCTCGGTCGAATGTCGCCATTCCACGGCCACGATTCGGTCGTCTATGATGTCCACACAGTCCAGATCTATCAAGATATCGTCATCCAGCAACCCGGCCTCCATCCTCTATGGATGTGAAAGATGCCGATCACCGCCAAAAGCCACCGGATCGGCACCATCTTCTTGTCAGTCCGTTTGCCATGCCGTCCTGCTTGTCGAAGGGTAATACTGGCTGCGGCCGCTCATGGTTGTGATCAACGGCACTGCAGAGGAGAAGTGATGGCCTATGATGCAATTTCACGTGGGATCATCTTCGCAGTGGTCTCAGATGCCTTTGAAAGACACGGGTTTCAAGAAGGCTTGCTTGGAAACTGTGTTGTTGGGGTGCATCCACAATTTTGCTTGAATGTGTCCCCGATCTGAAGGTGAGAGATCTGTCGAGACCACACCTTCGAGAAGGTTTTAAACAGAGCCATACACCCCTGACACCAGCAATTGCATCAGGGCGGGAGATGCACGCCCTCACTGAACATGTTTGTCGCTATACCTGCTGACTGCCTTTTCCCTTTTCCCTCGAGGTTATTCCACTCTACTCTGGCGAGGCTTCATGGATCGGATATAACAACAGGCAATGTTTCTTTGCACAACTCTGTACTCTTTCATACCGACAACTGATCTAATGCTTTCGCAGATGGGGTATCATGTTCATAACTCATAGCCTTGCTGTCCCATAAAACAATTGTCCAAACTCGCTCAATGTATGCATGCCTTGGTGTGAAAGAGACACCATTCTGGCTGCCTTTCAAGGCAACCCGTTTGGCAGCAGTCCGTTGTCCAGAAAATACCTCAACGCCCATATCGAAAGGTCGTAGCCCATGGACTCATGAAAGCATACTGGGGTACTATACCCTGAGGTACTGCTGTACCATCCCTGAACGCCTTGCCTTTTCATATTTCCTTTCCTCCATTTCCAAAACTCCAAGCCCTAGTCTCGATTTTCCATATCTCCAAGTCCCGGTCCCTAGACAAGTATGACTCCTTCCTCCCCAATGAATCCGATGCTGAGAGTGACGAATCGTACTGCCGTGTGCGCCTCCTTGAACCCATTCTAGTTGCACTCATATATCCCGCTGCAATGCTGAAACAAAGGACAGGGGCCTGCTAACAACGCCGAATTTTGAACTCAAGACCTGAAACCCATGTGTTTGCTTTGAATGGAAATGCTCATGTCGCTTGCTTTGTCAAAATGCAGAATGGAAGTGTCCGAGCCTTTTTACTCCACCGCCATTTGTCCAGAAAGGCGCTGCTCGAAACAGGTCTAGTGGATATTGTAGAAAAAAATTGTGCCGGTATCATCAAGTCGTGTTGTAGAGATATGAGAATCCATCGTATGATATGTCCCATCATCCATCGGTAGAGGCCAGACCCAGTCGGAACGCTCCAAGTCCATTCTTGTGGCCCGTGGCATCAGTCATGACTTTCCGATGAACAGGCCCTTGATCTTGGAGAGGCCCATCTTCAGTAATCCTCTTGACTTGAACTTCGGCACGTCCAGGGCGGCGCGGACATTTGCCGCTGGCATCGACTTAGCCATTGCGAGAGTGGAGGTCGGAAAGGAAGAGATGCCAGAGAAGTCGGGCCATTGGTCGTATCCTGCTCCAAAAGCTGGCCAATATATCGCCGCTTCAGCCATGTACCAGCCAGGGCTCGACAGAGCGGACTCGGGCGGGATTTGTGCCGTAGTCGCAGGCATCCTCGCTGCTGGCTGCTTGTGTCTGGACTCAGCCTCGACGAGCATTGTTCGTGTCGCCTCTGGCATAGCCTCTGCCCTTGTCTCCGCCGCCGCCGGTACTTCTGCCGCCGCCTCGCAAATTGGCTGTCGAAGCTCATTTTGACTGTCGCCGAGACTATTCCAGCTGGCACCGTTCGCTTCGACAACGGTGCCGACTATCTCCTCCTCGTCTTCTGCATGATTTTGCTTGGGAGCATTGGGCACCTTCGCTTCATCATGCTCTGGAGAGGCCACTGACGTGGCAGATGAGCTGGTCTCGGTGACTCCGGCAGACGGAGTTGTGGGCGAAGTCGTTTCAGTGCCCGTTTCTGATGTCCCAGACTGCACGTACCAAGTCAACGATGGCTCTCCCTCTTCTTCCTCGTCGATGTCGTCGGCCCAATTTGCACTCCCAAGAGAGCCGAGTGCCTCCAGGCGGCGATTGAACTCCTCCCGCTCCGAATTGGAAGCTTCAGTTCCAGCTCGGCATAGTGGCTGCTCCTCTGCAGCACTTAGTTCCATCATGTTTGGAACGCTTGGAGCGGCAGTCTGCTCTGAAGCCAGGGCACTGACGGACGGAGCGGAGGCAGAGGCGGCCACATTGATTGGCAATGCCACTTCTGATATCCCAGCCGTCGCAGATGACAAAGAGTTATCTTCATCTTCATCGTCAATGTCATCAGCCCAATTGGAGCTTCCAACTGGCCCAAGCGCCTCCAGGCGTCGATTGAACGCCTCTCGTTCTGCCATGAATGATTCGAAGGGAGCTTCTTGCTCCTCCTCTTCGTCATCATCATCAGCCCAGTCGCCGCCGCTTGGCAGAGGAATGGCTGCTAGACGTCGGTGAAATTTCTCTCGAGACAGAGGGACAGCTGCAACAGCAACAGGAGCAGCGACCGACCGGCCGTTGTCACGAGCTGTATTGGCAGGCTGCTGGTCGATGCTGGAGGGCTGCTCCTGCGTAGGAATAAACACTGGTACTTCCTCAAGCTCATCGGACGAGACACAGGACCGACCAAGGCTGGACTTTGTTGGGCCACGAGCGAGTCGAGACTGCAACGCAGCCTTGCGCGCCTTGTCAATGGCGAGCTTCTCCTCGGTACCGGCAGATATGATTTCCCTGCTGGTAGGGAAGCCTCTGGTGCAGCCATTGATGATCGTGTGGCCCTTTAGGTACTTGCTCCGGTTCAGTGGATCCAAGAGCGGCTGTTCCTCTTGCCGGGACCACTCATCATAGAGCCACCAGCCATTGCCGGTATACAGCTTGTCGCAGTGTCCAATAACCGCGTTCTCGAGCTTTGTCCCGCGCAACGCGTCAAGGACTGCAGGGTTCCCGGTGTACCTCACGGGATCCAAGAAGCGAGAGGCCCACGAGACGGTGATGGGGATGCGCAGGTTCCTCCCATCCGTCATTGCAAAATGCTTTGGTGACGACTTCAAGACAGCAATGGTCGTCGCAGGCTTCGTTGCTGACTTGTGGTACACTGGGTCATTGAAGAAACTGAAATGATGGACACATTCGCCCACCATCTCTTCAATGGAGTACTCCTCGTAGTTAGACCATTTTTCAAATCGCCAGAGCAGGAAGTCCTGTCTGTTGTTCTGGGTCCACTCTGCCGGGGTTTCTTGACGAGGACTTGGTATGATAGGGAACCTATCAAGGCAACGGACTGAGCAGAAGACCTCCGGCGCCGCATCACTGCGGTTGTCACTGGTAGGAAAGTAGAACCCATGTGGGTATAGTGAAGAGCCTTCCTCCTGCTCCTGCCGGAAACATGCTCCTCTAGCCATGTTGAAGGCGTACTCCGCATCAAACTGGTCATTGGCCTCAAAGTCGAATAGACATGAGGAGGGCGTTATGGCGATGAAGTCGCCAGTCATAGCGTCCAACACTGACAAGGGAGGCTCATCAATGACAGAGGCAGAGAAGTGGGCGCCGGTGAACTCAGACATGGCAGCGAGGTGCTCCTGGTTGCCAGGCACAAAATCAGGCGCGGTGATACTCAAGCGCATATTGCTGTCGGAGTGTGTTTTTTCATGTGTGTTTGTGGCTGGAGCCAGGTCTGTTGGGGGTTGTTCCTGTCGCCCTGGGACAAATTCGCCAGCGTCAACGTTCCATGAAGACTGCGGTTGAAATATCGACACTGAGGTGGTCGGATAGAATGATTGCACTGGAATTTGAAACTCCTCTACGTATGAGGCATATGCGTCGTATTCGATCGAAGGGCGATCTTGGCCGATATGATCTTCCTGAGATGAAATAAAGAGGGAATCGGCTGTAAAGTAGGAGAGCGGCGAAGGGGAGAAAAGGTCCTCAGAGGTGTACTCGTGTGCCTGCTGATCGTTAGAGAGATCTCACCGTGTTGGGATGTCTCATTGGTTACCATTGTGGAAGGAGTGATGGAGTGGAGTCTAGGTGGGTATGAAATTGTTGTTATCCAGTCAAACGACAACTTTTTCGATGCCTTTTCTCGGTTCTCAGCCTTGCGCTAGTGAACTCTAGGGATCAGGAGTCTTTGAAAGCTGTTCGAGGATGAGATGAATGAAGATTTTGGTTGAAAGTTGACGGATTGTGAGAGATGTTGGTGGGTTGTGTATGGGTAGATGAGATGGAGGTTCAGAGAAAAACAACGCGTCTTATGAGCAATAGTTGGGCACTTGCTTCACTGCGAGAAACTTCACTTCCCATACCTGGTCGATACACGCCTGCGTTGAATTCGCTGTCGCCAAGGGCCAACGAGCGAACGCAGGGTTGGCAGACAACGGAAGTGAATACGCAGACATCGCAAGTCCGATATTCACTGAGCTACTGCCTTTGCGAGTGTGGCCATTGACGTTGCCTCATGCCCCTTCTTCCATATAGCTTTCTTCTCCATTTCTGACCCTGTGCTATTTTGGAGGAGAGAGCGTGCGGGATGATCCATCCTTGGTAAATATACCCACAGATCCTCGTTCGTAGTCATGGACTGGGTACACAGTTCAAGCGAGCGGGAACGGAGACCAAGACCCTTCAGAGAGTTTCCCGCCCTCCTGGACACCCTGCTCAGGGTTTGATCGCGCTTGGAGGCCTCGCAGGCAGGCTGAGACTCGCCGGTGAGAACCTTGTCCCAAATTTCTGGTGAGCTTCCGGTTGCACCGCTGGTCGGCCGCTCGGAAGACAGGTGAGTGGTCATATCTGCCGGCATCGATTGATAATCGTGTTATATCTATATACTGAGCATGTCCTCTCAGAGAGTTGGAACCTCTGTGGCAACTGATATGCTGAAAGGATACCTTTCAAGCCGAAAGGATGTAGCCTGTTTGCGAAGCAAACACCATCTCGTGGTGTGAAAGAGAAACGTGATATGCACAAACCGATCGTGCCAAAAGCCCCTTGCGGTGGAATCCATTTTGTACCTTTGAATGCGCTTCCTAGACGCTTACAAGCTTCATGGGCACATCAGGAGTACAGCCGTTGTTGCCAGGAGGTACGGGTAAGAAACATAGGTAAGCTTCGATAGTCACGATCAGACTCGAGGGTTCTGCCTTCTGCACGCCTAGGTGCTGACGCACGCAGAAGGCGCTCAGGTTTGCTGGACGCCAGCCATCATGCCCGTCGACAGATGGCTAGAAGCTGAATTGTTTTCCATCTGGACGTCGTTGTTGTCGTTGGAGCGCAGCCAATCAAAGGACACTTGGCAGGTGCCGAGCTTACTAATCAGAAGCCTCATGCCGGGAGACCCGTCGACGACCAAAAATACAACAACAGCAAACCGGCGTCGAAAGCTGAAGCTCGCTTGTCAAGCTCGCCATCCCGGGACCTGACGTCCCGCCCATCAGTCGAGCTGGGCTTTGGCTGACATCCTCGGGTTTTGGGCCACGCGGCTTCGACTGGTGGCAGGATTTTCTGTACAACCAGATTTCGGGATGTTGCAGGAGTGACAGATCGACTACACAGGTCGACTTCATGGTCGAGTCCTTGCCATGATTCCAACCGCCGTTCCATGAATTGCTCAAACAACCTGTCTCCGGATTCTGCGCACGACTTGTCTGTTGGCTGAATGACGGAACTGAATGACTGAAGGAGTCACAGTATATCACAAAGCGGCTTTGAAAGATGGCAGCAGTAGGCTCAGGGCTCAATGATATATTATGCCAGGCACTGGCCCCGGATACGAAGGGCTGCCCGATCGCAGCCCTTCCGCAATCCCTCCAACATGTTAATGGCAACTGTGCTGGGACGAAGCCTTCATCGGTCCTCATGCAGCTGTCCGGGCCCCCGGCGGCTCAGTCCAGCATGGCAGACATGGTTTATCTAGGTGAACGTGCTTGACCTCGACACACCTAAAACGATGAAGTCTCAAGCCGATGATACTGACCAGGTGGGTGACATACTATTGAGAGGATGAACTCAGGTATAGAAGAGCGCAGCTCTACAATCGGACCCCTTCCATGAATCATGCCTCAAATCCTCCAACCCCCCTGCCTACCTTGTTCCTACCAAACGATTGTGCGAGAGCGAGCCATGTGATCAGTGTTTTGGTAATTCCGTCATCTAACTTCTCCTGAATCCTACTCCCGTCCCCTTTCCGTCGCGGCCCATCCCTCAACCAGCCGTTGGCGGACCTCCAAAACATTGTGCTTTCGTTCAGGCAAGATATATAACAACAGCAAGGACGTACCCAAGGAGAAGCAGACTCTTCTACTTTCGCAAGTATACTTGTCCGAGACACACCTTTTTCATCTCAATATGGCCTTCGACCATTGTGCAAGCTGTCCAGCTGAAAACCTTGGCCTGGGTGGACGAGGTGTTCACCTTGTGATACCTTCCATGCTCGCACCGATCGTTTCATGTCTGCTCGTGGCAAATCGGGTTTACTGGCGGCTCAATCTGCTGGGAGGTCTTGGCCTTGACGATCTCACGACAATACTAGCAATGGTGAGGCAAACAAGCTAATAGAGCTACTATCTTACCGGGAGGTGCTGACGCCTGAACAGACCTTTTTGTCTGCTCAATGTGGCGCTTCCATAGCTGCCGTCAATTTCGGATATGGTAGACCCGTGGACGACATGAGCTTGAACCAGGCCTCTCAGGCCCTGAAGGTAAGTCATACCACAAAGTCGCTTCAAGAGTCTTTCAACTTATCGATATAATGCAACTCTAGTGTTTCTTCCTTCTACAGATCTTCTACAAGCTCACCATCAATTGCACCAAGCTATCTGTCCTTTTCCTCTATCTTCGCATCTTTTCCGATCGTACCTGGTTCGTCCGGACCTGCTGGGGACTGATCCTCTTCATCCTCTCTGCCTGCCTGTGCTTCACGGCTGCCACTGTTTTTCAATGCAGTCCAGTAGAACGGGCATGGCAGCGCTGGAGCACCCATGGCAGCTGCGTCAACTTATACGCCTTGTGGTATAGCAATGCCATCTACAACATCATGACAGACCTCATAATTGTTTTGATGGTACCGCCTGTCATAATCACACTCAAATTACCAATCCGCCAGAAGTTGGCTCTAATCTGCATTTTCGGTCTGGGAGTTATTGTTTGCGCAGCCTCGATTTCTCGGTTGACCACCTTATATTCTTCGGCATATGGCAGCGATTTGACAGCTGGCTCGCTGGTTTCGACGATCTGGACCACCATTGAGGCGGGCCTTGGTGTCATCTGCGCCAATCTCCCAATGCTGCGAACGCCCCTGCAGCGTTGCTTTCCCAGACTCTTCCCGATCCGATCGAGCACGACTCGCACTGCAAGTGCTGCCCCATCTCCACCAAGCAGTGTATGTAGGGCTGGCCCGCCCGTTGCTCCTAGGATCTTCACTCCGGCACACGATGTTGGCCAAGATAGGCCTTCACGCGAGGCTCCTTCGCATGGAGCTTCACTTGCTCAACTACCAACTGACGACGCCTGGGCCGTGCATCAAGAAACCTCTCGAGCCCCCCTTATCATCAATATTGCCGCTTGTGCTGGGCCTGAGGTTGTGGCAAGCAGACGTCATCCCTCAGATCAGCCTCTTGACTTGGAACCGGGAGGCCATGTGGACTGGTACTCACGACCACACACAGTCTGGTGAAAAGAGCAAGTGAATGCCAGGACCGAAAGCCAGTGAGGCAGCTCGCTCTCAAAGTTGAATCCGGTCTCCTGGCTACAATGAACGCAAATTCCATACCTTCTCAGAGATGGAGAGCCATGGTGAGGGCATGTGTCAACCTGAGTCGCCCTCTCCGTGAGCTGATTAGCTTGCCGGCACTGTCTCTTGACCTAGAGAACGTTTCTGACGGGTTGCACGATGTCAATACAGGTTGATCGACATTGGACAAACCCCCCCATATAGTCAATTAATGTCATGTTGTTTGCCATCGATAAAGATCCGACTGAGGGTATGAATGGCTACAGTGCTACACCGGCTTCGGCGGCAGGATATTGGTTTCCCGGGCCATGCAGCAAACCTTGTGGCCATGAGGCCTGGCACTAAAAGCCAAAAACAAGAAAACAGCTTGAGGTATATTAGGGCCAGTCAGCCCTGTACAGCTGGTGAATGCCTGGTCCAAATTATGACAAGGGCACGAGGTTAGCAGACAAAATTGGGAGCCAAGGTCCTACTAGGTAGTCGCATCAGACCGTACAATGCAGCAGGTAGCCTCCTTAGCCTTTTGTCATATAAGGCTCTAGGTTCTCCAGGCGTCGAAAGGGGTCTCTGCCCAACTGTTGGGTTCCATCATAGGTATGCTGTTTTTGAGGCCCCTAGGTACGTTGATGATGTCGCCAACAGTTCGTCATTTCACTGCTCTTTACGCTTTCTCCTTGTCAAAGAATGGAGGCGCCCTTCTTTCAGCTCACTCCATTCACGTATCTGTCTGATCTCTCATCTTTGACCAGGTCCATCCTGTAGAGAGAAGATAAAAGTGTACTGAAACTGGAGGATCGACTAGAGCCAAGTTGATAATTAAAGCGGCATGTTTTACTGATAGCAAGTGGTTAGGCCGGTTTCCTACCGCCAAGGCCCGGAGCTTTCTCTTGCCTGCGATGAAGGAGTCGTGCTTCCAAAGGTCGACGGGAGCTCTCGACGCCAGACACATTACTCACCAGCTTCAGCAGTCGCCCGGAACTTTCCTGAACAGTTTTGAGAAGCATGTACGAAGATATAACCGGCCCCAGACTCGCAACAAAGTTACTGACATCGTCACCCAGCTCGAAATGTCGTTCGTCATCCGCCGAGGACTATCGACCCTTGTCCCCCCGAAGGTAATACATTCATATTGCGCGCCTTGTTCATATGCACAAGCTAATCTACGGTAACAGGTTGCCAACCCAGAGGTATGTAGAAGTGTCTGATTTCCTACAGTTCCGCCGCCCGAATCTACCTCCGAATCGACGAAAATGCGCCTACGCTTGTTCAATGTTTCCCGCGTTTTCGTGTCCGAATATAACAGTACAGAAAGATTGAGCATGCTCTAACAATGTTTCAGGGTTTGGGAGCTGCCAAAAATGCCGTTCGCATGGCCAGAATAGCCAAATTCTATGAGAAACTACCGAAGGGTCCTGCGCCCGAAAGAGCACCGAGTGGACTGTTGGGCAGATATCAGGCGAAATACTTTGGCAAAGATCCATCCCCAGCCCGTACGTGTCTTGACTATGTTGAAAGATGGCACACACTGATCAGCGACAGCAATTTGGCATGCTATCTTCGGCATCATGGCATTGGGTTACAGCATGGAGTACTACTTCCATTTGCGTAAGTGGATTTGCCTGGATTGGATGGATTTCGCTGACAATGTCCAGGACACCACAAGAACAATGCCCACTGATCGTCGGTCCATTGACTAAGTGAATAAAGCCCGAGGCAGACATTGTATATAAGATGGAATGAAACGATTGAGCTTGACTGAGATCCCACTGGAATTTCCTTGCATCGCCTCATCGGCAATACCTGTGACCTGATCGTGTTTCACAGAATTGTTCCCTCAACTTGTCTTGTTGCCTTTGTCCGCTTTTCCGCTTTACGCTTTACGCATTCCGCAAGCATGGATTCCGTGCATTTTCGTGCGTGCCTGAAACCAGGGTGTTATTGCAAGCCATCTCAGGTGCATGATATTGGAGGAGTACATGGACTACGGATACTGAAACGCATTCATACACAGGGCACCTGCAACTTAGGCAGTCTTGAATGCTTTTATTCGTCGCAGCTCTACTCTGTGACCGGGAATTAAATGCTCAGACCATGGCTACCGTATGCACGTGTTCCAATATGCTTTTGATGACGGACAGGAAGTGGCGATTGGCCCATGCGCAAAGCTATTATAAGTCCTGACGATATAGAGGGAATGATGGGAGTTGGGATAACTACAGGCGCAGGTCTACGCAGGCAGTTAGTTCAACCCTGAGAAGTGCTAAATCATGTGGTTTGGCGAGATTAATACCTACTATCTACCTTAGAGCAATAGTACAGCCACTAAAGCCACTACTGCCAGTATTGAACTCTACTACCCCGGTGCCAAGCCCTGCAACGCCGCAACTCACTGCACTGCACTGCAGTGGCACGACTTCACCTGCGCAGCCTCCTATCTCAACTGAGTCAACCACAACCACCCCTTCTCATCACTATATTTCTTCCCGTTCAGGTGTCATAACCCTTCCCTCTACCTCCCCTCCTCGGTCATCCCTTCGAACCACGCGACCGTAACCCAAGGACACACCGTCCGTGACCGGACAACACAAGCACGTTGGCAACCGTGGCATACTACGTTCACTAACAGGTACATGCCGACCCCGTTGGTGCTACACCGTTGCGCTCTGACTGAAGCCGAATCCTATCGCATAGAAACGAGTTTGTTATGGCAGAGCAGAGTGCGCAAGATGTGGTAAACCAAACTCAGTCGGTCGGCGACGCCTCGCCTTCCGACGCACCTGCGACCACATCCACGCCTGATATCAAAGTTTCTGGGGACGACACCGGTGCCGTGGAGGATACACCGAAGGAGAATGGAGTTCATACCCTGTCGAGTCTCAAGATGGAAGAGCACGACGATGCGTCAGCTCGTTCCGATACCGATACCAGTCGTGCCGATGGAAGTGTTTCTGGTGACAAGGTTGCCGAATCCAAACCTCTCAAGAAATTGGCCGCGAAGCCTGTCAGCTTTGCCAAATACTCAGTCCCCAAAGTCATCGCTGCAAGTACCGCGGCCAAAGGCGCCGACAAAGGTAACTGCACAACCGCCTTCTCTGCGCTTCCAACTGACTTGAGTCTAGCTGCCATGCCGAGCTCGTCTGGTGCGTCGCTCACCCAGGCCGGACGGCCGCGATTAGTCGCCAAGACCACCAGCTCTCTACAATCCCAGTCCAAGCCTTACAAGACAGTCGCACCAGATCCAATGCAGGTCTGGAATAAAAACAGAGGTATATCTTTCACTGAAACCTCATGGAATTTGAGATACTGACGCCTATTCAGTCACCCCACAACCCTCGGCGAAACACCTGACGGACGAAGAGCTTAAGCAGCAATACGGTATCCATCTAACGTCGCGCATACAGGCAGATGGGGATGGGAAAGAGGCGAAATGGGCGGACATCGATGACGACGAAGACGACTGGGCTCCGGAAACCATTGAATGGAATGATGGCACTAAGAGCACCTTAACTCCCGCCGATATTGCACCACAGGCGATACAGAAATCAGCGACGCCATCTGAAACGGCGGAGGCCGAGCAGTCAAAACCTGCACCTCCTCCGAAGGTCTTGACTTCGCATTTTGCCAGTTCAGTCGGCCCAAATGCTACCGTGCTCAAGCTTGGTGCCAGTGTAGAAAGACAGCATGCGCAGAAGACCTCCATTCTCCATGCCAAAGGCTCTTCGGAGAAATCTTCTCTGGTCGGTTCAAAAACGGCCCCTGCTCCTACCCCAGCAAAATCGCCGTGGGCGCCGTTGCCTCCCATGGAAAAGGTCTCACCCATACCCATTATTCCGCAGATGGCGATGCCCCCACCAAATCGCTTACTTCCTGGTCATTCACACGCTCAAGGTCCTCCGTCCATGGTCGCTCCGTCTCCGGCTAAGGAGATTTCCGCCGACGACTTCAATCGCACCTGGCGCGATACACAGCCTGGCCAGCCTCGCGAGCTCTATATGCCGAACTCAGGACGCTATGAAGCAGTTCCTGAGAGCCGAAGACGCATGTCTCGAAATGACCAGAATTTCCGAGCACCTGCTGTTTTACAGAGACCAAGCCATGCCGATCCACATGCCCCAGCCGAGCCATCACCTGCATTTCAGACACATCGCACGAGTACAGATCAAGCGCGCCGAAGAGCGTCTTCAACAATCTCTGGGGGCAGCGGCCAATTTGGCCGACGAATGTCAATCAAATCTGGTGAGGCCGCGCCTCCGGTCTTCGAATCACACAATCCCGATGAGGAAGCAGCCATGCGGCTGCCATCCACGGAAGGAGCACCGTCGCAAACTCAAACACCGGCATACCAGGCTCGCGGCACAAATGAGTCCGTCTCAGGTGACGCAAACTTGGCAAATGATCCAGACTTCGAGGTCCAGCGCGCCCAGCAGAGAGCTCTCATGAAAGAAAAGATTGAACTGGCTAGGAGACGCAAGGTGGAGGAGGAGCAGCGGTTGGAGGCAGAGAAGCAAGAGCGCATTCGGTTGAAGTTGGCTTCCCTTGGACTCGAACCCAACGTTGCAAAGAAGGCGCAGGATACAGAAGAGAAGAAGAACGGCGACCAATTGGCAGCGCCCTCTGCTTCTGCTTCTGCCATTGGCGTCGCTGTCGCAGCCACACACTCACCACCGAAGCCACCTCTACCTCTTGCGTCTGGTGCGCCCCAACAGTATGGAATGATGAAAGTCCACCCCATGGATTCGGTCAAAAAGTTGGCAACTCCAATGCCTCGCCCCAGCGAGCCACAGCGCGGGCCTCCTCGTGGAAACGTCGAGGTCGGTGCAGAAGACCCTAAACAAGAAGCATCTCAAGGACCCTCACCCATTGTAAATGGTGTGCGAACAGTACCGGAAATGCGAAGAACAAGCGGCCAGGAGACGGCCAGTACTGCCGAACCAAGTCCAAAATTGCCCAAGCCAAGCTCAGTAGCAGGAGATGCGAGAAGTGGCTGGGGAGACGTACGCCATGATCATCGTCAACCGCAATCTGGCAATCTTTGGGGTTTGCCAAACAACAAATCCCTTGGAAATGGAACTTTCGACCAGGGTCTCGCAGGGTATGCACCACAGGACCTTTCACGGACCTCGTCCACGGCACAAGGTTGGATGAACAGCAGAACGCCTCACGCCAGTCGCTCGCCACAGCCAGAATATGTGAATCACTCTCTCCCAGATACCAGACCCTTTCCCTACCGACCAGCGGCCTCTCCAGATCAAGGCCCTCTGGCAGCGGACAGTGAAGTCGACTCTCTCTTACCAAGCACCAAACCTGCACCCATCGCGCCACCGCAATCTCAACAAGCCCATCCCGCCGATAGCGGTCACCACAATACTGCGCGGCCACACGGCGTAGATGCTTGGAGCAATTTTCATCAAATGGCTAGTCAGCAGGAGCGCGCGGAGAATGAGAGGCTCCAAGGAGAGATCACGGCTCGCCGCGAAGAAGAGCTGCGGACAGGCATTCGCCAAGGACCTCAGTATGTCTTCAATGAGACGTGGAAGCAGGTGCAGCTCGGCGATTCTGCCGAACAACGACAAGTTTCAAACGTCTCTCAGTCTGCCGTACCCGCATCACATGCCTTTGGAGCTGTGGGATCATTGCCTGGCGGTGACCTGGCTCCGAGAATGATGGCCAGCCCATCGGGCCGCGGGTCGAGGTTCTTCCCACACCACGCTGGAGGACATTCTGCTCCTGATCGACGAGCTTTTACTTACAGTCATCCGGAACCGCCGCGGACACCATCGCCTCCACCAGCAGAAGAGTACTCTAGCTTTCACCCTGTATTTGACGGTGATTTCGTGAAGCCTGTTGTACATTTCCCACGGGAGAAGGCCGTCGTCAAGCTGCCACCAGTCATGCCGCCAACACCACCAAGTCCACCCCGCTCTCCAAGCACGGCTGACGCCGATACGTCGTTAAGCTGGGCCGCGAGAGTATCAATGCCGCCTGCAGCAGCTCTTCGTGCAGTTTCGACGCCACTTGTGCAGAACCCTTCATGGCAAGAACGATTTAATGGATTGCTTGGGAAGAAATCTTCTCATGCAAGGGAACTTGCTCAGCCTGTGGATGCGGCTCTGGCGGTCACATCATCGACAAAAGAACCTCTGGATTCACACCACCTTCTCAAACCCACCGCATCAGTCTCTCTTCCTGCACATACGGTGCCCCAAGTCGTTGCGGAAGTTGGGCCCTTCGCGATGACCAAAGACGTTGAGAGCGAGGATGATCTTTTCGAAGACAGAGAGCCTGGCTCGCTGCCAGCCATCCACTTTCCCAAAGAAACTCCAATGTCTCTGCCGTGGAACCCGCCCTTTGCCGGAAGAATGCCACCACCGCCAGTGGATCCTTTCTCGTGTCAGCCTTTCATGGTTAGCAACCTCTACGAGCGTCATTCTCCTCTAAAACCTCAGTACGCGCTGATCCGATTCCCGGGGCCCATGAGGTCTATCAAAAAGGACATTCCAATTAAGGGATCACCAGCCAACAACGGAGGGAGACAGCGGTTTAATAACAGCACGCCACAATCGTCTGCATCTTACGGCGGGAAGAATCCTCGACACCGAGGTGGTCCGCGATCTCGAAATGTGTCCAAAGCGCATTGAATGAGCTTTGATCGGCTCTCTCTCTCGTTATCTCTCCAAATCGACACGGGAGGAACTGGGAACGACCTATCTCCATCTCCAAGTCATCCAGGCCAAGTCATCAGTTTCGGCAAGTGGTAGTGCACCGTATGCTGGAATAAATGAACCCAAATCCTTTTCACAATGTATTTCTTGAATCGTCGTCGTTTCACGCATCATCGCAGGGGCAGAACCGAACCAAGCCAAATCAGACGCCACGACGGACACAGGCACTATCTTTTGTTGGTGCCTCTTCTCATAACCATCGCTTCTCGGTCGCTCTGCTTTCTGGAGGGAGAGAGCTGACATGATTGTGTACAAAGCAAAAAGAGCTTTTCCTGGGGCAAGACGGGCTTTTTCCTCATTCAAGAGGGCAGCACAGAAGCTGGACACTCATCACTTTGAGTGAATGGGAATACATAGTCTTGCTTAGAAGGAGCTGTTGTGGCTTGTTTGAACGGGCTCGAGTCTCTCTTGAGCATCAATTCACAAATGACTATTCCTCATCAAACCGCGTGTTGGTGCATATGGTTGCTACATCAAGCCATTGAAGCCTTTCCTCTGTTTTCCCAAAGGCATAGTCCACTCGTGCTCTTCTCCTAGGAACTACTTACTCGAGCCAAGAAGCAAGTTTCTGGTGGGAGATTGATTATTCAGTAACGCATTACTTCAACAGGTCACACATTGTCGGACAATGGTAAAATCCAGGGGCCAGGAGAATGATCAGGATTCCATACGAGATGAGATGACATTTGGGGTTCAAATTCGTAGAAATGCCATTCATTGTCCGTTCCCCATCCCGGGTGGCAGCACAACTAGACAAATTGCTTCTGGCAAGACAGAAGTTCTGCATCGCATGATTGAATTGCGTTGTGTTGTATTGCTTTGCTTTGCGTTTGCTTCGATGGTCCACCCACCCACCAAGATCAGCCAACTCCCAGAAAGAAAGGTTGGGACTGAAAAGAAAAACAAGATAAAACGTGGATATGTGAGATGGTCTTTTGATATCTGAATAACTCTTCCCAGTCCAGTCCAATTCAGTTTCGGGTAGATAAATCCACACTAATCCAATCCAACCCATCCAAGGTTCGTGGTCGGCTATCAAGGCTCCCAAACTGCAAAGAAAGACGGGATACTATAGCAGGAGTTGTAACGGGTTCGTGACGGCGGTCGTTCGGCGGCGATCGGTCGTCGTGGTGTCGTTAACAGAACAGAACAGAACAGAACAGAAAATAAATATGGAGCACTAGAAAACCGGATCGTCCTTCGTAGGGTCCTGGATTTGAGTTTATGGTTTCGGTGAGAGGAGCTGGACGAATTCCTCGTCTGGAGTAGAGAGGGAAAGTCGGTTAGTCTCTTGTCGTAAGGGGAATATTGAATAGATATTGACCGATGAAGGTGGCAGGATAGACGAAAGAAACGAATAGATTGAGCAACGCCCTCCCTCAGATGAGATAGGGGCAGACTGAGCGCGAATCCGGACGGAAGGAAACTCGAACGTCGAATGACAACAAAGAGGTAGATGTAGTAGGGAAAACAGAAGAAGCAGAACCCTCCTCCCAAATAGAGCGGCGATAGGTAATAGATAGATGGAAAAGCAAAGGGTAGGGATAGCTGGAAAGGTCGGAGAGATGAAAAAGAAAAAGGAACCATAAAACAGAAAACGTACAATCTATGGTGCCGTTCTTGTCCTTGTCCGCCTCGCGGATCATCTCGTCGATTTCGGCATCGGTCAGGTTCTCGCCGAGCGACTTCATGACCTGGCGCAGCTCATCGGCTGAAATGGTGCCGCTGCCGTCCTTGTCGAAGACATCGAAGGCGGCGCGGGTCTCGTGGGCAAAGTCCTGCGCTTGGACCGTCGCGGACATCATCTTGAGGAATTCTGACACATGATCAGCAGCGCATGAGGTATAGGAAGAGGAAGACGGTACCGTCGAAGTCTATGCTGCCGGAATGGTCAATGTCGACTTCATTGATCTGAATTGTGATGATGCGGGCGTGGTTAGTGGTCTGTTTTCTGGTGCGGATGGTTGGGTTGGAATGGAATGGAGGAAGGGGGACCAGGACTACAGTCCCGAGAGATTCGGATTGGATTGGATTGGAAAATGTGTCTATCATACCATGTCTTGCAACTCCGAGTCTGATGGGTTCTGGCCGAGCGAGCGCATGATCTCGCCGAGTTCCTCGTCCGTGATCGTGCCTGTGGTTTGTTCAGAAGGTCAGATTGTCGTGACGTTTGAACTGGAGGTTGGGCCTCGCTCGCATTGGGTTTGATGCAAGTATATGTCGAGGTCTGGACGAGGGAGCAAAGATAGGGCTCCTGGGTTGACAATGACAATGACAATGACAAGGCTGAGGGCTCTGGGCAAGCAACTGTCCGGGACATGTCTATTCAGCATCCCCAGGAGTCAGGACTTACCGCTTGAATCTTTATCCTGTTCCACTCATCAGGTTAGACGGTTCTTGTCTAGGGCACACAAAGACTCAAGACCCAGACTTAGACTCAGACTCACGAATAGAGCGAACACGTCTCTGTATGCATTGACCTCCTCGTCGGACAGCTTTGCTGACGTGGGCGTCTGATGGATCACGTGTCAAGGTCAGCCTCAGGAAAGAAATCTGGCCCCCGAACCAAACGAGACGAGACGGAGTTGGGCGGGAAGACTGGATACTACCATTGTGTTCTTGGTCGGCGCTGGCGCTGGACCTGTGTTGGTATTGATCTTGTCGACTTTCGGCGGTGGCATTGGGACAGGAACTCTGGTTGAAAGAAAAGGGAAATCGACTTGAGTTATAGGGTGCCTTAGGCGGACAAAGGCAAACGAAATGAGTGTTGCAGGCCAGACAGAGACGTTGCACGGATTGGATTGGGATTGGACAGATAAAGCGTGTGTGCCTGACTATTTTGGCCCAGGTGACGTGTTCAGCTGGTCAGGGATGGATTGCTGGGGCGGTCGGTCGTGTTTGTTTGTCCCAAATGTCTGGTGTTGCTGGTCAATCAGGCTGCAATATAAATTGTATGAAACGGGAGCTGGCGGTTTGGGAGAGACAGAGAGAGGTCCAGGGGCTGAAAGGAGCAATCAAGAGTGTGATTGATGGTTTAGGGCTACCCCAGCTTTTTAAAGGTGTCTTGGTGTTGCGTGTCTCTTGCTGTTAGAGCATTGATTGAGTCCAGAAAGGTGTCAGAACGGCCTTAACCCTTAGCGCAGTGACGGGAGCGGGAGGCCTGGTGGAGGGAGGTGAGATTGATTGCTTGATTGCTTGATATCGTCGATTGAGGGGGGGAAGATGTGGTGATGTCTCGTGGGGCAGGGGGCCTTGCACGTGACGGGCAGTTTAATATCACGTGACTACTTTCTTGTCACGTGACATGAATTCCCTTCTTGGCACGTGCGTTCAAATGACGGTCATTTCACCCTGAGCAGACATGGAGCCTCGTCATGATCCATGATCAGGAGATACAAGAGAGAGCGAGAGAACACACCAGACAGTTAATTTCTCTTCGTACAATCAAACAGAGACACACTTGTGATCGGAGTCACTCATTTCGACGAGGATATATAGTCCTCTTCCCTAACCCTCACTACGTTTTTGGGCTCTCATATGTTAGCTCGAGTCTACAGATTTACTTCTTGTCGTCGATACGCATCCACCTCAATGGCTCTCCATCAAGCTACAAGCAATTCCAATGCTCCTGTAAAGGACAAGCTCATCTGTAAGTCCGCAAGCATCCAGAAGAAAGACCTGTCTATGGACTGAAGAGATTGCATGGGATGAGACGATAGTTCTCCAACCCTTTCAACAACCCTGCTGTCTCTCTGACCCAGCATGAACCTACCATCAGCCCCAATGCCTCGCATGAACACATCAGATTCATTCCATCTGATTCAAGCGTCAAACATCAAACATCCCATTCTTTTCCCTTCTTCAGATCCCCTTGGATTCTCTCTGCCACCTTCACCCTGCAGGACCTATCCCAATCTCATCTCCAACATCCCTCAAGGATACATGACGCATCTCCTCCCTCCCTCCCTCCCTCCCTCCCTCCCTCCCTCTCTCTGCGTCTCTCTCTAACTCTCTCTCTCTCTCTTCCCTTTCTCACATTCTTTTCCCATAGTCGCGCCAGGCCATTCTCCCGACGACGCCCACCGCGCCGCACAATTCACCAAGTTCCGCCTCCACCGCAGCGACCTATCAGCGGACCCACTGATCCAATTCCACCAGTGGTTCAGCGCGCCCGAACTCCAATCGCACATCCCCGAGACGGTGACGCTGTCGACGGCCGAGCTGCCGTCGGGCCGCATTTCCTCGCGGACGGTCTACCTGAAAGAACTCGACAAGAGCGGCTTCGTCATCTACTCGAACCTCGGCACGAGCCGCAAAGCCGCCGACCTGGCCAGCAACCCGTACGCCAGCCTGTGTTTCTGGTGGAAGCCCGTCGAGAGACAGGTGCGGGTCGAAGGGCGCGTCGAGCGGCTCACCCCGGAGGAAAGCCAGGTCTACTTCGACACGCGCGCGAGGGGGAGTCGGATCGGCGCGTGGGCCAGTCAGCAGACGAGTGTGCTCAAGGCCGAATCTTCTTCTTCTTCTTCTCCCGATGACGACGACGATGGACGTGCCGAACTCGAAGCTCGCGTCAAAGAAGTTGAGGCGCGCTTCGAAGGCCAAGACCACATCCCCGTGCCTCCGTTCTGGGGCGGCATCCGCGTCATCCCGGATACCATGGAGTTCTGGCAGGGGAGGGAAAGTCGATTACATGACCGATTCCGCTATACCCGAGCAGAAGGGGAAGGCGAGAAGGGGTGGAAGATTGAAAGACTTGATCCCTAGATAAGATCCGCGGAGCCTGGAAAAGGGAACCACATCTCAGGGTGTCTAAACGAGAAAGATATCAAGACGAGATCCCACCTCGTGGAGAAGATCATCACTTATTAAGATCAATGTCTAGTAATGCTACAAGGTCATACAAGCTGTTATATTGAACCAGCTTGGGTAATGATTGTTGCATGTTCCGGGTCATATCCAAGGGAGAAGCCGGGTGTGGGTTATGAGATCTCTTTGCGAGATTCAACTACGAGGGAGAACAGGAGAATAGGGGATGAAGAAGAAAAATGGTTGAGGAAGTATACTATTCATTAGTCCATGCTGCCTTTGCAGCATTGGTTCAGAAGACGTCGGTTAGACTGTCAGCTATCTTCAGTATCTTCCTCAGTCTCAACCAGCTCTTGCCGGGAGGACATGGATGCAGATTTTGTCGGACCTAGAGACAGGACATATGCCTCTGGTCTCCGATCAAGTCTGTCCATCAAAAATTGAGTAGAGAGTATTCTTTCGCGTTTTCGTCCGCGTTTGTGTTTTGTTGTACATCCGTCCACCAGGGGAATCCCCATCCCTGTTTGGCCCCTTTTCAAAGGACTCCTGGATCTAACCAAGACCCATAAACTCCAGTCACAGCTCAAGCAGTTCGCTGCCACCCAGCGTGTCGCAAGATGGTCGGTCGCTGCGAACCGAGATGAAAAATCTACCGTTGTTGCGCCAAAGGCACCCACACGCCTCGCCCATACATGACGCTGTCGCGCTTCGCTTCGCTTGGCTAACGAGACGAAGAGAATTAACTGTTCGGCTCCATGCTCCGAAGGCTCCATGCGTCAAAAATCCATAACGCCATATGTCGTAAAGAACCATGACCCACAGCATACAGCTCACTTCTCGTGTGTGAGCGTGGCCATGGCTGTGGCTGAGGTCCGTATTTCTGGGTATCATGTTCTGTGCAATCAAACAAAAGAAAATAGGATCGAGGCAAGCGAAGCGGGTCGCCACTCTCGAAACGCGCATGATCAAAAGAAACCATTCAGACAGTCGTTCCTCCCACCAGCGCAAGAACCTTTTCGGTAACTGCGGCCGGATATCCCTTTGTGAGCATTTCCTGAACGACCGCATTTGCGCCGGCACGGTCTTCTGCAGACAGGAAAGCCCGCGTCATTGCCTCGTAGGTGCTGGGTTCGCGTTTGGCCGCACCGAGTTGGTTGTAGATCTCCTTAGCCTTGGAAACGTCGCCTTCTCCAGCCCAACCATGAATCAGGGTGTTGGCAATGTACGGGGTCATGGAAACTCCACGACGAGCCATATCGGAAAGCACCTCAGGAGTGTTGATGACTTCGTGGTTGGCTACCATCGCTTCCAAAAGGTTCTGGTACAGCGTGTCGGTTGGTCGAATATGCTCTACGTGCAGCACAGAGTCGAAAATCGCCTTGGCCGCAGGCAAGTCGTGCATCACACAGCCCTTGGCATGGATCAATGAACCGTAGTGAACTGCCTCGGGTTGGACACCGGCCTTCTTCATTTCCGAAAGAATGCCTTCAGCTGCGGCAAAGTTGACCGGCTCAAGAGTTGCGAATGACTCGATCAGAAGTTTGTAGGTGTGAGAAGTGGGCTTGATGTTCTTGGACTTCATCCGCTCGTAGTATCGTAGAACTTTGCTCCGATCACGCTTGGTGTTGAGGAAGTATTGAATGATGGAGTTGTACGGGGCAGGCCGAGGTCGATAGTTGGGCGCGGCCTCCATTTCGTCAAACATGTCCACGGCGAAACGCTCTTCACTTGTGCGGCAGAGGGCGTTGACCAGCGTGCCATATGTGACGGAAGACGGACGAATCCCGCGACCTTCCATATCGCCGAAGTATCGAAGACAGTCGTCGATGCGTCGAGCCTTGCCGAGCTTGCCGATCACCGCATTGTAGAGGAAGACACTCGGAGTGACTCCCTCGGACAATGCACGTTGGAAAATCTTGACGGCTTCGGTAGCCTCGTCGAAAGTCCCCTCAAGAGTCGTGATGTAGATGCCGAAGGTATTGGCCGAAGGAGCGGCGCCCATATCCAAGAGCTCTTGATGATACTTCGCAGCTAGCTCACGATCACCAACAGTCAAACATGCCGCAACAATCGAATCCAGAATGGAGATCCAGCCGGCACGCACGGATGGAATTTGCAAAGAAATAGGTACATCAGCTTGTGCCATAGCCAAGATGTCGTGGATCAGCCTAGGTTGTTTGGCTTTGCTCGCAGCAGTGATGAGTTTGGCGTAGGCGGTATAATGCAGATTCCTGCCCGCACGGCGGATATTTCTCAACCGAGTCAGACCGTCGTTGAGATGATTTTCAATCCGTCCGCTGGTGCTCTCGACCAGTTCTGAGATTGCCTTGGATGCACGGTAGTCTGTGGTGTGGGCGTATGGGTCATATGCGTCAGCAACAGACACGTTTTCCAACACCACTGAATGAGGCGACAATGGTGCCGGGAGTTGCACAGTCACAGGAGCGATTGGAGCCGGGTTGAGCAATTGTTGCCAACGTTGCAGAAGGTCTGGACGAGCCACGGCAACCTTGGGCAGACATTCGCTCACAACGTGCACGGTGGAGGGGTCCATCGGGATGCCACGGTTGAGGACTGTCTCAAGGAGATGAGAGAATCGTGCCATGTGGGCAATGTCGAGACTCTCATGAGACAGCAACATCTGTGCCTGAACATGAAGAGCCAGTGCAATGTCCTGTGCGTTGAGCTGATGCACGCACTCGGGTCCGAGGCTTGCAATAGCGTGCTGAGCAACCGGCGAGACCAGCCCACCATTCTCAATCATCGCTCTCAACAAAGAAATGCTTGTAGGCGCAGAGACCACAGCCTGCTGTTGAGAGAAAGCTTCACCAAATAGGACTATGGCTTCGTCAATCTCTGCAACGGCGAGCTGGCGAGTGACCTCGCTATTGGCTCCGGCTCGAATGTGTTGAAACATGGACCGTGCTTCCGAGATGCCTTCTTCAACCGAACCAGCGTTGATGAGGGCCAAAGCATACATCGTCGTGAAATCCGTGGTTGGGACGATCGGAAGCGAGCGCGCCTTGTTCCAGGTTGACTTTGCTTGAGCGACATCTCCGGCACGAATGTACATCGCGGCGACGGCCATGGCGGGTTCCGCTTTCAGATTCGACAGCGTGATGGCATCGAAGCATTCTATAGCTTCAGTCACACTGTCGGCATCTGCAGCAGCCGTCGAGATCAGGGACAAAGCTTGATCACGAACCAAAGGCGACAACGTGTATCCATTGATACTTGAAGCCGCGGTGGCGTAAGAACCCTGATCGAGGTGGTATCTCACAAGACCATTCAGAATGAAGGCGCTCGTCAAGGCCTCAGCAAGAGCCTGCTCATTCGCCGAACCCTGGAAAGATTGCAGAATCTTTTCATAGAAATGAAGACCACTCTCGGCAAGCCCACATGCATAATATGCCTTGATCAATGAGGCATACACCTGCATATCCAATGGATCATTGGCGGCTCTCTTGATGGCCAAGTCGCGGTACTCTTCGTACAAGGCTTGGGCGGCATGGATGTCTTGCTTTGAAGCCTGAGCATCGATGACAACAGTGTAGAGTCGATGTTCAAGCTGAATTCCTTGGGTATCCATGTCAGCCAGCAGGTTGTTCATATGATCAACCAAGCCGGCTTGGGCACAGGCCTTGACAAGTGCATTGTAGACCGAGGTGGAAAGCTGGAAGTCTTGCACGGTAGCACGGGCAATGTTGTAAAGTTTGGTGGCGAAGGCCAGCGAGGTGTCGGCAGCATAAAGCTGTTGCTGTCTGGTGGCTGAGGGGAACACCAAAGCACCATCACTTCCATATCGTGCTGCTCGTTGACCAAGATGTTTCTGGACTTGGTACGCCTCTAGACTTCTCGCAGCCAGGAACCGCAGAAGGATGGAGTAAGAGGCGGCATTGAGTTCGACCGCACGTTTGGTCATGTCACCATAGACCTCGAGAGCTCTGGGCCATGGCTGGTAGCCCGTACTCAGATTGATGGCCGAGATCAAGATATGGTTATATGCGTCGACGCTCGGCACGTGTCCCTCCTTGATGATCGTTTCAAAGAGGGCAGGAATCTCGGCATATCGTTGTTGCTGGCCTAACAGAACGATCTGATCTGAGAGCGTGGGTTCGTCGGAAACAGAAGAAGCGATGTCAGTTGGGGCAGTCGAGTGTTCTTGGGTGTAGGAAGAGGATTCGAGGTCGGTGCTTGTCTCGCGGACTGTCGAAGTCGCCGGGCTTGAGCTGCGAACAGGACCGCCCGCCTCCTCGTCACGCCCGGTGGTCTCCGCCAGCTGTAACGGTGCATCGCGGGCTTGAGCCTCCTTCTCGTCCTGCTTGACCCATGATTCTTCAACTTCCACCGAATCCTCTACCACGTCTTCAATCTGCGGAGTGGCGCGCCCACTATCCACACGCGAGACTGGTAGCCGAACAGTTGGTCGAAGGATACCGACAGCGCGCGACTCGGATCGCTGGGGTGTCGAGGAGACGATCTTGTCCTGTTGTTTCCAACCTATTCTTCTCGCGAACTGATGCTGCTTCCATTCTGAGTCATCCCCGGTTTGTTGCGCGTGCTGCCAGGCTGCGTAATATTGGGCTAATCCAGCATCTCCGCCAGAAGACTGAGAACTGTGTCCTGCCTTGGCTCCGGCACCCGAACCCGAAGGGCTTGAGAAGGCATTTTGAAGATGCGCGGTCTTTGAGAATTTGGCGACGGGGTAATTTTGAAATTGTCCTAGGGACTGACCAGCAGCAACGACCGAAGGAGCATAAGTGTGGGCGATTCCCTTTGCAAAGCTAACACGAGCGAGATGGGCAAAAGGCTTGAAAGGCATTTAGAAAACTGAACCTCCCTTCCGGTCAAAGCGGAGTCGGTCGAAAAGAAATGGAGGCGAACGAGGCAGGTTCATTGACAACCCGGGGGCCGCCAATGAACGCGCAGGCTGAGAAGGGTGAAGGGTAGAATGGTGAAAGAGGAAGTGTAGAGACACTCACTCGGAGTGGAGTGTCTGCTGATGGCCGTGGTGTGTCGAGTGTAAGGGTAGAGGTGAGAAGTCGATGTTGGTGAGGCTCGCTTGAAATACACACCGTGACTGCGGCGACCTATAGTAATACTATACCCACGTACTCGTAAAAAGTGATGCCTTGAGTGCCTGGCGGAGACAACTTAAAGCCGCGACCAGGTGGTGACGAATGGAACGAACTGGCAGGAATCGTCAGGCGGATACAGGACAGATTCAGTTAGCCAGAGGGAAAAGTAGGAAGCTCCAGGCACCAACCATGAGCCAGGACGAGGAGGAAAGGGTCCGTTTTACAGGGCGAAGTTGGTGGCAGTGGGTGGAAGGGTCGCAGTTTCAGGCGGTGGATTGGCGATGGAGCTCGGGAGGATGAGGGATTTCCAGGCTCCCCGGACCTTCCAGATGTCAAGCTTCCCGGCGCGTTCTCGAGCTCACATGCACAATTATTTACCTATTTATTTATCTAGATTACTATAATGCCATCACAGCCATGATACCGCTGTCAACTAGCCCCGAGGAAGTTTAGCTGCGACGAAGCGTACATTATCTACTCTGTTAGTGCTATTGGGAGTGCGTCGATCTTCACAAGTCACCGGGGCCACGCTTATTGAAGGATAATGCTGGGGGGTCTCTTAGCCCGTAGTCTCAAAGCTAGAAGTCTCCTGGAAGTGCGTTGTCCTCCCCGAAGCCCTAACAATTAATAATTAATGGGTGTGAAGTGGCGCCCCCGGAGCCTGGAAAGTCCCCGGTACCGAGCTATGTACTGCAGTGCGTAGAGGCACTGTACCACAGAACTACCTACGCACGTACCGGCGCTTGAAAGTTGTCTTCAAGTTGTCAACCACACCATCTTCATCGATTTCATCTAAACAAATGCGCTGTCTCGGCCTTGTCGGACATCTCGGCCGAGGACTTATTGTTATGACAAGATCATCATGTGCCTAACCAGCACCCCAGATTGATTCTATAGCAAGGTAAGAATCACGACTACAGAGTAGGTAGTATGCTATGGTATGGACCCAGGATCTACGATCTGTATGGAGAAGCATCTCTCTACTTCTATCGTCACTTCTGATAATGCGGGACAACAAGCCACCCGGCCATACCAAACCAAACCAACCTGGGGTTGGTGAGGTATCACACGTACATGCCCTTTCATCTGCCGAATACCTACGCAGACATCAACTGGCCACCATCACGCGGAGAATCTGCTCTGATTGATAAACTGAACATCCCTCTCCCTTCCGTTGAGGCTCTTACCTACAAACATCCACTTGATCTTTTGCAGTGCATAGTTTGACTAACCATGGCGACGATATCCCCCCAAAAGACAGCCGTGGGAACCTCCGAGGCTGCCGGACTGAGTCCAAGTCCAGCACCACCGGAGCGCTTATCACTCTTCACACGAGCGCGACTGTTTCTGAAAATATGGGCGATGAAGATCCAAGTCAAGGTCCTCGTCGGCCTCATGCGAACCTTCAACGCCTCGAAACTGCGCAAGACACTGCCCACCTACACCAAACGGTATGAGGTTCGTCCCATGCTCGAGAACCGTGTCTTCATCCCCTCCAGCGCACAGCCGGGCGCAAAGCATCCGCTGTTCATGGTCATCCACGGCGGCGGGTTCGTGTTGATGGATCCGACCATGGACGATCCCATCAACCGAAAATTCGCGGACGAGCACGGGTTCGTGGTCGTGAGCATCAACTACCGCAAAGCGCCCTCGTATCCATTCCCGACGGCGGTGCATGACGCCGCAGAGATTGCGCGGGCAGTGCTCGCCGACGCCGATCTGCCGGTCGACCACTCCAAGGTCGCGCTCGGTGGGTTCTCCGCGGGCGGCAACCTCACTCTGGCGATCGCCCAGTTGCCCGGTATCAAGGAGAAGGTGAAGTCGTTGGTGCCAGTCTACCCGGTCGTCGATTTCACGGGGAGATACGAGGGCGAGTTTCGACCCGGCCCGGACGGGAAGCCGGACATGTTGCAGGACACGGCGCCTTTGTTCAATTGGGCCTATTTGCCCGAGGGTCAGGACAGGACAGATCCGCTGCTGAGCCCGATCTGTGCCGGAAGGGATCGCCTGCCTCAACGTATCTTCTTCATCGGCGCCGAATATGATTACTTGTGCTTTCAGGCTGAGATCATGGCCCGCAAACTCGCTGGGCTGGACGAAACGGCCGATACGGGCCCCGACTGGGAGAAAAACGGGATCAAATGGCGTATGGTCCCCAATGTCACCCACGGCTGGACTCATATGCCCAAGCAGGGTGAGGAAGAGGTCCAAAGGAAGGAGGGACTCGAGGTTCTTTATAAAGAGATTGCAGACTGGTTGAAGCAATGACGCTGCGCTTCCGACCAGACTGGCATAAGCTCAATGTTGACAAAGATATAACGAGATAGACAACGAATCACATGTACATAGTACTACAAGACTTACGACCTTCATGTCTAACTCTCCGTGTCTTGACGGTGGAACAATCATTGACCTGTATTTTCTCCATCCAGTGGCCCAAAAACGCCATGCTATGCTAAATCTCATCCCGCAATGCAGTGCAATGCCTTGCAAGGCCAGTTGGGTTGTCAAGCCCAGATCCTCACCCAGAGCAGCCACTAAACGAGGCCGATCATGTACAAGACAATTAAGGGGGCATTCAATATATGTAACATCTTGGCCCAGCCTTTCTTTCACTGGCAAGCCCAACTCTTCAAGGAGCCCCGGGCGAGAGCGTGGCAGAACACTCCAATAGACGCCATCAACTCTCTTGGAGGTGGTCGCGGCGGATAGAACCTACCGTCCTCAGCACGCGCAACCTTCTTCTGCCGGTTTTTGGTTGTTTATCGAAACATCAATCACTGCGCGTTTCCAAGTCAGCCAAGATTGCCCGGGCATATTCGCGTGCACGGGATATGTGTTGTGTGTTGGGGTCTTTCTTACTCTGGGGATTGGGCTGCGACTCGCCCTCTGCCTCCATGCCAGGCAAAGCCTGGGCGATTCTCCTGAACAGGGCCTTGACGTTGTGACCGGCTTTGGCACTGGTTTCCATGAAGATGGCTCCGGCTCTTTTGGCCTCTTCCTCGCCCTGCTGTGTCGTGACCTCACGTTTGCTGTCTCCCAGATCCGTCTTGTTGCCAACCAACACGACAATCACATCGTTGCCGCGCTCGCCTCGCACGTCGTCTATCCATTTCCGGGTCTGTTCAAAGGTCTTCCTCGAGGAGATGTCATACACCACCACGGCCACCGACGAGTCACGGATATATGAAGGGATCAGGGAGCGAAATCGTTCTTGGCCTGCGGTATCCCACAGCTGCAGGCGGACCGTCCGATCTTCGAGGTACATCGTTTTGGAAAGGAAGTCGATGCCAATCGTGGCTTGGTATGTCGTGTCGAACGAGTCGTACATGAACCGCGTGATGAGAGACGTCTTGCCGACTGTATTCACCGCGTGAGAAACGAACCATTGCGCGAGAGCATCGAGGAGGCCATACCACTTTGCTCGCCGAGGAAGACGAGTCTGTGGATTGATGGTTAGCCTGCGACCACGTTCGTTGACTTGCTAGGACATCCGTACTTGAACTTCTTCAATGGGTTCGAGTACGATCCCACGCCATTTTGCGCCATGGTCGATTATTGTACACTGCAGGGAAGATGCACTCCACCAAAAGGGGAACGCAGGGGACCGATAGATTTGATGAGAGACGTATAAGGAGATTCCGTGGTGATGCTTCTCTGGTGAACTCTCCGATTATTGTATGGTCATGACAGAACTTGAATGTCGTGAATAAAGAACGGGTGGACTGGATGAAAGAGATCAGGCACCGTTTTCAGAAATTATAATGTTCCTAGGGAGTAAACAGACACGTAGCTACGTACTTTTATTACTGTGGTCAGATACCTGGTACGTAGTAGGTAGGTCCTGTACTGTTGGCACTCTACTCCTGGTGGCTGCAGGTGTTTAGGGACTGGCACCAAACTACACTGTACTATGCGAATGCCAGATCAAGAGTAATGCGCGACTGTGGAGTTCTTTCAAGTTTGCCGCGTTCTAATTATTCGAAGCGATACGATGATGATGATAGTGCTGAACGGTGAATGACCGCACCGTGTCCGTCGGAAAGGAGTCTCTGCCCGGATGCCGTGACCATTTGTTCTACACTGGCAGAGAGAGGTACATACCTAGAAGTCCACCACTGGCAGGTACTATAAAGTACCTACCTACCTAGTGTTACAGAGTAGAGTTCCAACGCCTGTTCCCGGACTCGTCGCCCATTCATTGGCGCGTGCTACGGCTCCGCTTTCACACTCCCAGAAATCGACGGTCCTTCTTCCACTGCGACGGCCATGATCGCTTGAATGCCCTCAACATAACGACATCGGGCCATGATATTGCGGTAACAATGCGTGCATCACTACCGCTCTTGAAGCGTTCCGTCTGGAAAGGTAAGCCGAATAGCAGACCACACTCTGTCCCACGAGGACCCCCGGTCCATTCGGCGCACCTCCGAATGAGTGACTTGCAGTGTTGGACATTTTGCTCACATCCGTACAGGACCCAACATCGTCCCATTCCCGAACCTGAGACCTGCGGGATCTGGCAAGTCGCCTCCGGTCATCAAGACTCAAGCTCGCGCCGCATCGATCCTCCCAAGTTTCGTGGGACTACGGTTCGCCGTGCATAATGGGAAAATATACCAAGAAGTGTACATCACGGAGGAGATGGTAGGGAGAAAATTGGGCGAGTTCGTTGCGTGAGTGGTTCCCATGGTTCAATCTGACATGAGGCGGTAGAGCTGACGTGACTTGAATCCAGAACGAGAAAACGATTCTCATTCAAGCAGACCAAGAACAAATAGATGACTGGGAAAGAGAATTTGTACAACATCTTTTGGGCAACATTACCATCGCAAAGGTTGGGACTTTTACTCGATGTCCATACTGGCGAGCACAAATTTGGAGGAATTGACCACTCAATTGCCAACGTCCGACTTGAAGCGGAACAGAATTGCAACGAGTGCTGGCGCATCGAGTGCTGCTGCTGGCCACAGAATGTCTCATTTAGAATGACACGACCTGTTCTCCAAACGCCGTGCCTATGTATGCAGCTCGGGACCCTTCCCTTCCGCATCATGTGGCATTGTCTGCTGGCTGCGTTATGAGTACATGTCCTTCCTGGTGATGCCCTTCATCCATGTCCCCGATGCATCCATATCAGCGTCGCTTTCGACTGATATCTTGAATCCCCAACCCTTTAACGCCCGTTCGCTATGCATCAATCAATCCACAAATGAAGGAGATTGCATGTCAGGCCGTTTCATCTGTAGAACTCGCCCCTCTTGACATTCACGCCGTATTCCTGCACGGCCATGCCCAAATCCTCCATCGTCAAGACCGTCTTTCCCTGGCCAGTTCCGCCCTGCCCACCACCTCCATATCCACTCCTCTGGACTCCCAACTGTGTGGCCTGCTGGGACTTACCCAGCATGCCAGCACCAGCAGCGCCGACCGCTCCAGCGCCGCCCGGACCACCGGCCACACCAAGGCCAGCGTTTCCCAGAGGATTGTTCGCCGCGGCAGAATTGGACGACCGGATCCGGCTATACTGGTACGCGTCGGCGGCGATATCGGCGACGAACTTCTGCGTGGCCAAAGCCAGAAGCCGGGCCAGGGGCAGAGGCGTGCTGTTCGTGCTTGCGCCTGTAGGATCGGCCGGCGATGGAGGCGGGAGGCCAGAGAGAGCTAGATAGTGGTTTGTGACGGCGTCGGGGATCTGATTCATACAGAAGTGGGATTAGCAGGATGATTCATCTTAATCGTCATGTCCAAAAAGCGGGATCTATTGAATAGAAGGTCGAGCGCAGTTAAGGAAGTCCATTCGGACGCGAAGGTAAAAACTCACAATCGGGGCGTAATCGTCCATCTTGCTCAGAAACTCGCGCAACGTGACATCCTTGCGGTTCTGCTGGAGGAGGTTCGACGCCGTGGCCGTGGCCGTCGCCGGCTGCGTTTCAGACTGTGTCGAGTTATGATCCACCGTCGCGGAGGATGCGGCCTCGTTGTGTGCACGATTCGCTGGCCCAGCTGTCCCGGCGCCGTCGTCTTGAGTGTTGGCCATTTCGGTGTCGACGTCGGCATCGGCTTCGATGTCTCTTGTGGCAGGTTCGCCTTGTTCAGGCATCGAGGGAGGCGACGACATTATCGTGTCATCTATCAATCAGGTATCACTTGAATCAGGAAGCAGTGTATCAGACGCGGCGCGGTAAGGAGATGCAGAGTTCCAAGGAAGTCTGTCGATTAGCGTATCGGTTTACTGCTTGATCTTGAGGTCTGCACGCATCGCATCATCTGCGGACATTTGTGCAAACCGGGGTCCAGACACGGCTTGCAATAGAACGGCTGCACTTCGGGATGTGGAGAAGCACCACGGTCTACAAGTAACTCGACGTACTACTCACTTACGACGACCCACGACCTATGGACTGCAGCAGGTGCTTTTTCCGCCGCCATCCCAGTAGGTATTCACCTGAGTAATAAATTATACATAGAAGTCTCATGGGATTGGCATGAGCTGTCATATTTCCGATTTCCTGCAGGCACTGCAATTCCTGCGTAACGCAAATCGCTGCTCGGCCAGCGATCATTCGCACCAGTATACTTTTCAGCCATGAAGCCATTGAGTTCACGCCCAGTGCTTAGTAGTATGAGACTACCTGTTGAGCCAAATATAACCTCCGAAAGACGCCTGACGCTAATAGTTCGATGATTTTGTAATACCCGTTGCTGTGTTCATGGCCAGTCTGGACCCAATGATTGAGATGCTTGAGCGGCTGCTCTCGCTATCATCGCTTCGACGTCGTCCATACTTGTGTTGAACGAACCTTCGCCCTCGTTCTGGGGACTGCCTTGACCGAACTCTTCGCCACCGTCTGATTCCAGATTAGACTGGGATGCGCTCGATCCGGCCGCGCCCGAAATCTGCTGGTCCGCTCCGCCCAAAGCCATTGCCTCCTGCAGCGCGTCAAAGGAAGCTGCATCTCCTTCTGAGAGGAGCCTGTCGCGCTCCCGGGCTTCTTGTTTGGACGCCTGTCCTGGAGCACGAGTCTTGAGATCTCCAGTCACATATTTCAGGTAGTAGGGCACCTCGATGCCACTTTTCAAAAAGAACAGCTTCAGATTCCGAGCTTTATCTTTCAGCTGAACTTGGTTGCGGTCCTTGAGAGCTTCACTGACTGTGCCTCCCGGGCCATACATGGCCAAGATCTGACTCCAATGGGGCCCTTTCACGCGATCGAGGCCGGTCATGAGAGCATTCTCCTCTTCCGTGGTCCATGGACGTCTCTGACTAGGCGTAACTCCCTTCCTAGCGACGAGTGCAGCCTTTGTCGTAGCAGCTAGCCTTGCACGTTCGTACAGGACCGATGTTGGCGCCGTTTGAGAAGCGTGGGGTATCTCTCCAAGTGCCCCAGACACGGCCGTTGTACTATCGGGCTTAACATTGACGTTCTCAATTATTGGCTCGAAGGGCTGATAGTCTGGGAGCCCTGGCTGGGAAGTGGGCGTATCGAGTGGGACAGCAGGATTAGTGGGAGAAGACATGCTGTTGAACGTCTCTGGGAGGCCAAATCCACCTGCGTCTTGCATAGCAATCTCCGCAGCTCTTGCAGCCTGAGCAACGAAGTCATCCGACAGAAGTGAATCCGTCGAAGGCTTGGGTTGAGGCGCTACGGGCAGAATTGCCTCATTCGAAGCGACTGGTAATGGTGGTGTGTGAATTGAAAATTGCCCTTCCATTTGACCTCGTTGTAAAGCTCTTGTAGGATTATTTCGGTGGGCTTCCGCCACGCCATTGCCAGCATGTGCCGCGCTTTCAATGTTCTTGGAGAGATATGAAGAGACTTCACGGCTGAAGTCCTCCCATCTGTATTTGAAAGGCAGCTGGTCAAGAGTGTTGTTCTTGACGTGATTTAGGAGGATATCCCGCCGAGATGAGAGTCTGTTGAGGAAATCCTGCTCGCTTGGAGCCAAGGCGGTGGTACCAGGTCTCCTTGCCAAAATAGCCTTGTCCAGATCAGGCCCGAAGAGATCAGCCATCACAACAGCAGGCGGAGCGGCGCCCGTTCGCCAGGCGGTAATGAAGCCTTGGGTCTTCAGCTCGAGATAGATGGAAGCCTGCGCCTTCAGCAGTTTGCCGTTGTCGGGGACAAAGACCGAGAGGAACATTCGATCCATGTCGCGAAGCCCGATCTCGCCCGTAAAGACGCTGGACATGAATATGGCTTGGTTGGCCTTGCGAAGGATCTCGATTTGGCCTAGATCACGTAGCCCCAGGTCACTGGACGACAGAAACGGCTTTCCTGTGTTGAACATCCTCCTTGTCTGGTCGAACGTCGATCGCATTGCTGCATATTCTCGAGTGCTCGGCGAGTTGGGGGTATTGGACAACCCTAGGGCTTCGCTGGGCGTTAGCCTTGCAAGAAAGCTCAATATCTGAGACGCCTGGCCATCCAACGCAGTCAAATGCTCCAGACGAGATTTCTCGGCCGGAGACTGCGACCGTAGAGCATTTGTTGCAACATGGTCCCTTCGATTTCCAGCAATTCCTGAGGGCAGCGAATCAGCCTGGGTGCGTTGGGGCTTTTCATCCCCTTCCCTTTGCAATTCGGCCAGACCTTGGGACACGGCCGGCCCGATCACATTTCTGACTGCCTCCTCTTCAGCATTGGATGGAGTTATGCGTCGTCTTTTCGGGCTCCGAGGATTATCATCGGGTTCGGGGTCTGGTATAGGAGTCGACAAAGGTGCTGGCTGAGTGTGGGAATCTGCGAAACATCAGCCTATATACTTGCGCAACAAGCAACGGTACTAGCCTGTCGAATCCCCAGGTCTGACGACTTCCAACCGCCCTCCTCCACCTTGTCCTGCTGAGATATCCAGCGACATTGCTTACAGCGGCATCGTTGGGACCCTGCCTCTGCAGTAGGTGCATGGGAGATCCAAGTCACGTGGAGGATGTCGAGCGAGGAGATCAGAAAAAGATTTATAGATGCTGTCTGACAGAAGTCCATGCGGGGCACAACAGCCACTTGCGGCATCTGGGGTAATAACTAGGTGTCAGACGCATGGAGATTTGATTGTGGACTCAAGCTGCAGTGAGGCTTGAATCGAGGGGAAACGCGCCGTGTCTTCAAGTTGCGTGCGGGCATCCGACTACTACTCTGTACTACCAGTAGTATTACCTACCTAGTACTGGCGCTCGTCCATCACTCTTCTCTATCTCTAGAATCCTTCATCCCACCTCCTATCACGCTCCCAGCCACCGACATTTTTCTTCATCCTCATCCGGCAAATCCTTATCAACAACAGCAGGCAGCAATGGCGTCATGTTGATACATGTACTAGGCAAGCCATTCTTCTGCACAATGCCCTTGCTGTGTAGACAGGTTGAAGGGCCTTGCACGCACCTATCTGTTCGAGCGCGACCACAGACTCAATAGCTAGGTTGCTGTTCACTTCACTAGTGATACTGACATGGTCCAGCATCCAATGTACCTCCAAACCTCGTTGGGGCCCGATAGCCTTACTTACCATCCTTCCACGAGCTCTCTTCTCCTGATCGGCTCCTCTGGTAGCATCATCTTGACCAGGAAAGGCGGTGAATATGGTAGGCTTCTCAAGGATTGATATGGAGCCACATCGCCATCAGGCTGTCCTACAGAAAGTATGACTATACATACAACAACGCTCGACCGATAAACTATCTAATGGCTTATTGAAGCTACTGGGCGAATCGACGTTGAGAATACAGCAATATAACCCCACTCCATCATCGCTTATTGCTATCGAAACTCCTCTCCGTCCCTGTTTGAACTCGTCCACTCACGGTCCTCGTGCCCAGGCATACACTCCCTTGTCAACTGCTGCCCTGCGATCATGGGACACTGCTCTCAATTCGGTACCTATAGGCTACTTCTTGTAGCTTGCTTCCAAGGCATGCTGTCATGCGAGCCTTGGGAGCTCGACCCCTGCAGCCTTATGCCTGATCGCGAGCTCATAATGCTCGTCACACCCCGCAGCTTACTGCTGCTGTCTTGTGTTTCCATCTGTCTCTTGGATCGCTGGTTGACCTGAGAAAGCGCTGACCATTGTAAGGGTAAATATGGGACTATCAGTGGATGGGATGACTTTCCCTTCTGTCTTGTTGCTTTCTTTTTTGGCCATGTTCATCACTATTGATGCCCAGATGGGTGTCAAACAGCAGCTTCTGAGTACATTCATCTATACTTTACATGGAGACAGAACGCCTCTTGTCCTGTCAACATCACCCACTCTGACGCCTCTCGGTGCTCAACAGTTGTATGAAGCCGGCAACAGGGTTCGCCAGACATATGTGACACCCAACGCGAACGGCAGCATTACCATCCACGGCATTTCACCTTATCAGCTGGAGTACGACCAATTGACTGTGTTGTCGACCAGTGACCAATATGTGTTCGCATCGGCTCAGGCTTTCCTGCAGGGATTGTACCCTCCCCTGCAGACGTCGTCCAATTATACATACATTGACGGTCAAAGCACCGTCCAGAACGGCACCAACCTTGTGGCTCCTCTCCAGGGCTACCAGTATCCGAATATCATGACTCTTTCAACCAACGACCTGAATTCGATATGGCTCAGTGGTTGGAAAAATTGTCCCGCATACTCATCCTCGTCAAATGATTACTATGAAACCGAATCCTTCCAGAGCCTCCAGAATCGCAGCCAGGAGTTCTATACGAGCCTTCAGCCGGATTTCCTGAAGGGAATCTTTCCGAACGCTTCAGTCGGCTATTTGAACGCGTACAACATCTACGACTATCTCAACTATGCCTACGTCCATAACACCTCCGCTGCAGACCTTTTGACTCCCGCAATGTTGACTGAAGCAAGAACCCTTGCCGACGATCTGGTCTTTGCCCTGAATGCAGACACAACAGCTTCTGGATCAACTGCTGGAGATCATATCCGAGCAATAGCCGGCAGGACATTGGCCACCCGGATCATGCAAGCCTTCTACACAACCATCAACACCCAGGGCGCCTCAGACAAAATGACCCTGGCTTTTGGAAGTTACGAGCCCATGGTTGCGTTTGCAGCTTTGGCTCGTCTAGTGTCTCCTCTCAATTCGGCATTTTATAACGTTCCTGCCTCAGGGTCGAGTTTTATCTTGGAGCTGATTTCCATGCAGAGTGGCAATACTGACGCATATCCCGAGACCTCGGACATGTTTATCAGGTTTCTATACCAGAATGGCACCGACGACGATTCTTCGCCAGTGGCATACCCCTTGTTTGGTCTCAGTCCAAGTCAAACCTTGATATCATTCACCGACTTTGTCGCGGGTCTGCAAGAGTTTGAAATTTTCAATGTTGAAGATTGGTGCAAAACATGCAGTAGCTTCAGCGTGTTCTGTCCCGCCTTTGTTGGTACGAATGGTAGCTTGGACTCTGCAGGCCAAGTTCCCTCCCATCAGAAGGGTCTGTCGCCAGCCGTTGCCGGCGTGGTTGGCGCCATTGTCACTCTTGCCGTTGCTGCTTTGTTACTTGGTACGGCAATGTTATTTGGTGGTATGAGGTTTCATCGAGTCCACACCAAGCGCATGTCTGAACTGGGAGGGTTCAAGGGCGCTAAGAAGCTGGCCAGCGACCAGGATCTAACCATTCCAAAGGGCAATGTAGGGGCAGTGGTCGTCACAAGCGAAGAGCCGACTATCATAAGAGGTCACGAACGAGTCGGCAGCTGGGAGCTCAAAGATCAAGCAAAGGCAGAGGAAGCACAAGGTCGCATAATCAGTGCTGGCACTCCTCAGCTGCCACGCCCAAGCTATGAAGGCGACGACGAGGATATGCCAGTCGGTCCCGATACCGTCCCCGTCCACCCACGAAGCCATATATGAGAGTAGAGAACCGGCCGACAGATCGGTTGTCAGAAGGGTTTGTGCGAAAACAAACACATCGGCCTGCATCCTGCCGCACTATCCTGCAGAAAAGTCATTCGCTTGACTGAACACAAGGAGTCTTCCAACACCGCAACGTTGATTCGCTGATGTTGCTGCACCATTTTTCACGTCTCATTTACCCATCTTTCTCTTCTACAAGATCGTTCTACCACTTTGACCTTGTTGTGAATGCTGGTCTACCCTTCCTACAACTCGACAAGCACCACCCACAATCGTTCTGAAAGGTCCTTTTGCCAGCCCCGGCCCTAGAAGCTCTCTTGCTCCTGCCTGTTGGGCTTTCTTACTGTTCGGTAAGTCGTGGGACGTTCTTTCCCAATTGTTCGCGCAGGCGCACCTTCAGTTAGATCGGAACAGGCACTCGTCCTGCGCTCATCGCTCACGCTAGACTTGCGACACACCAATGCGTTTCCCCATCCTTCAGCACAACGTTGGCAAAGGCTTTGCTGTTGTTTCCCTCTCTTCTGAAGCTCTCTTTTGGTTCCCTTCCTTGGTTACTGCATTACTTCTCACTGGCGGTCACAATACGGTATACGGCCAATATGACTAACCGAAGCACAGATAGCCAGGTTGGCAGGCATCGCAGGTATACAGTGTCCCGTCTACTCGAACTTGCTCCTCACACAAGAGCCACCCACTTCGACCTGTCAAAGTTCACCTACGACGCAGCTCGAGGTAAGTCACCAGAAGCCCGGATGGGTCCAAGACGATACTGAGTCAAATCAGCCGGAGTGGTACCTCCATTAGGTGCTTGCGTCATGTCGAGTCGGCGGACATTGAGCGATCAACCACGCAACTGGTCACAGGAGTCCAGCAGCTCGCAGGAAGAGCTGATTCTCTATCGAGGGAACCGCATTGTCGAGCCTGAAAACCCTGAAAGACAACCCAAGAATCCGCCCTCCGATGCTCAGGCTGATGAAGGTTTCGTTCGTTTTCTCAAGAAGCACGCCTCGCCAACGCACCAGCGAGTCACCGCTGGGGGCCGGATTGTACCAATGGAACACAGAACTCGTCCTCCTGTCTGTCAATTGGCGGATTGCAAACCACATCCAGAGTCTGAGCGCAAAAACAATACCGGTGAAGGAGTCGCAACGAACACCGAGGGTCCAAAGTCAGAAGCAAGTAACCAGGTCAAGCCAAAGCTTGATTCTAGTGACATTCTGGCACAATCCCAACCTCAGCTTCACGTTCAGCTGCCTATGACCAATGCAATGATCGCCAACAATGCCTTCAATGCAGGCATCAACGTCAATCTGGTGTCCCCGGGAGATGCCTTGGCTCTTGACAACGCAACTGCACAATCTCAACACTGGCTGGCTCCCATACCGTCAGCACCTGGTGGTCCAACCATGTTTCCTGATCCATACTATTTGCAGAGCCCTCAACTGTTTCCGAGTTGCGCAATGCCCCTGACCCCACCGGTTTCTGGATTCAATGGAACCTTAGATGGACAATATCCTGTGGCCTTTGTCCCTTTCCCAGACATGATGGGTTTTCCTGGCCCGACTGACATGCCGATAATGACCGGAGAGCTTGCTCAGGCAGAAGCGAGCTCCCTTGACCACATGATCGCCGGTGCCACCGCCCGCTTCCAGGAGCTGGACCGCCAACTCAAGATGATTGACCGCCACCGTGCAATGAGAGTGCGCGATCCCTATCTCTCCGAGCATCGAATGGCTGTTGTTGAAATGCGTGCAAATGCAAAGTCGGAGATCTCGTACTGGTCCAATCTTGCATCAGAAGCCAAGAGCGCACCAAAATGGTCCGGGGGCGCAGGTAGCACACTCAACGTGGAAGCAGCTGCCTATGTCCCTCTTCAAACTGGCCCGATCATCACAGCATCGCCTAGCAAGCCAGGCAGCGTCTTGAAGGCTAATGACTACGCCGTCCAGCTCGCCCAACCCAAGGCTTCGCCCAAAGCAGGGCGTCGTGGTATTCCGATCGTGCCACCTCCAGAAACATCCGACCTGACGGTCAAGAAGGCTAAAGACGCGCCTCCAACCCAGCCTTCGTCTTCGAATGTGGATGAATGGGGTGTTCGCCTCGGCGTTGCACCTCCAGATTTGCTCCGTCAACAAGATGAACTGGCGAAGGTCCTGATTCGCGAAGCAAGCATGTCACCGCAGAAATTCGCCAGCAATGGGTCAAGCGGGAGTTCATTGGCAAGTCACAACACGTCACCGTTGCACGATTCTGCAATTGAGTCCTCGCCGGATGTGAATGAAGAGAACAAGGCGGAAAGTGACGAGTGGTTACCGACAAACCCTGGTCGGGCGCCTGCGACTGTTGAAGCATGCTATGAGTTGCAGCTCGATGCCATGCGGCTGCCTAAGGGCATCATCAGCAAGGTCCGATTGCCAGATGGTACTATCACCGAAGTCCGAGGTCGAGGTCTGCAACGTCCGCCTTCTCTGGGAATGGACGACTTTGAGAGACGGTACTGGAAGTCGAAGCCTGTTCTAACCAAGGAAATGACCTCGCAATTCGTCGGTATCCGAGCCTGTGACGAACCTTCCGCTGTAGAGGAAGTTCTCGAATACCTCGACTCCAATCACCTCAACGGTGCAGGGTTGGTTCTTCTTCTGTGACTTCGTTTGGAAATGTCTTGCTGACTATGGTCAGTCCAATCAGCAGCCGTAATACACCGTTCAAGGAGAATACCAAGGGGGACCTATCAGGTAGCAGCTCTGCGTCGTCAGACAGATTCAGGGATGACTTAAGAGATGCGGCAAAGGGAGGTCTACCGTGAGTGTTCCGTCCAAGAAGAACCTCCATTGATGGCGACTAACGGATTGCAGGGCAGCGAACCGTCCGCGGGAACACGGCCACAAGGAGCACCACTCGGCAACGTTCGGGTCCAATGGATCTGATCCAAGCATGTTGACCTTCAAGCAATCGTCTGCTTCTTCCACGCCTCTGTGGTTGCGAGGAGATGACAGGGTAGGCTGGTTTGCAAGCGAGCCATCTCAGGAAGCTGGCATCAACAAGGGGTACACGTCTGTGTCGGTGCAGAATGTGCATGCCATAGGTCGGCTTCCGCACATGCTGGACGGCACCACTGACAGTCAACGTCGCTCGGCGAAATTGATGCTTTCCGCAGCTGGCAAACGCCGAAGCCCGCACCGAGGACACAGCGCGACTACTGCTTCAGACGCCTTTCCTGGACCGACAGGTCGGACAGGTCGAAGCCCCGCCAATGGTACCGATGACGGGGTTCAAAACACCATTGGCACGCAGGAAGAGCTGTGAGATATGCCACACAAAAGAGACGCCATGTTATCACGGGTGTATGGATACACGCTGAGCACGGGTTGGTCGAGTCCAGTCACGCGACAGAAGATGGTAATGGTTGGCAGGCAGCATATTGTCTCGAAGTATTGCCAGGCCAGGGTGTCGTTGGGCAGCAGACAGACTATGTTATCGGACAGGATGCAGGAATTTGACAACAGCAACAGCACTGGCAGGCAAAAGGCGCATGATGAGCAAAGCAAGATGTATTCAATTCAGTGACATGAAGCTGAAGAATGGGTACGCATACATGGACTAGGTAGTGTCGCAGAATCGCTGCTGCATCTGAGGGCACCCCAGTAGAGCCAACGCTGACTGAACAATTGACACGAATCACGAATGTCTTCTTTTCCCGGAATGGAATGAGTAGGCCCCAGAGAAGCTGATAGTGGTGAGACTGCCAGTGACTCGGTGTTTCTACTCTGTAGGAGAGTCTGCTGAATGGGTAGAGGGCCCCGAAGAGCCAAGCAAGCAGCAGTGATAATACCATATACAGAGTATTCGCATGTCGACACGAAAGGGCGAGGATACGGTGGAGGGGCGGAAGCTGAGAGACAAGAGTCGACGTGGTTGTCTCGGGGTGTGTCGGGTGTATCCGTCAAACTGTGGGCGTCTCTCTTCGATCGAGATCTTTCGAACGATATCGGGCGGCGTACAACTCCGGAGGGAGAGCCTCTACTCTGGAGATTCTGTTCTCAGGAGCATACCGACTGATCGACTCGTATCGACAACGGCATCCCTGTCGGTGGCGACGACAAATACCTGGTGGTTCCCACAAGGTACATAAGGTAGGTACCTCTAGGTAGGTAGGTGTCTAGGTTGGTAGGAAGGCAACGGTATAGAATCTGTGGTAGAGCAGCAGTAAGGCGCAGGCGCAGGCAAAAGGACTAGGGGGAACCACTACAGTTTGGCTGACTGAGGAACAGGAATGGCGGAACTGAGTGCGTACGCGTTTACTTCCACGCCTCTAAGACTCTATGCGCGCTATCGTTTATCCCGCCACTACCTGGCACAGTAGTACCCGTCACGGGCTTGGTCGGTGATAGGGTTGTGTTAACAAAGTTGATCTGAATATACACCATGATGGCTGGTAAAATACCCATTGGCGCCTACTCTTCTTGAACAATACACACTGAAGCATTGCAAAGAAGCAGGTCTTGAGGTGCAGAGCGTAGTATAATCGCTTGCAAGAGGTCAGTGTGATGATACCGTATAGATATCTGCGAACTGGTAACCTAAGGTAGTAGTATGACAATCCCATCCTCCGAGCGTGGCTGTTAGCGGCTCTTTAACTAACAAGCCAAGCTGTCAGGCCAAGTTCCGCCTATAGGATGTCCAGAAACTAGGCGAGTTCTAGTTAAGCAGCTGCCCGAAGTAGCTCTACCTCGGGGCTCCTTAGGCTCTAGCCTTTGCCTCCCCACTGCTGGCGCAGGCAGGACTACTCTGCATCACAGTATCAATCCCCACCAAATCTCAAACGCCAGCCAGACCTGATCGACCGACGTTTACCAATCCCAATCCCACTCTATCCTTTCCCTTCTCGCTCGCCATCCCTCCCACTTCCTCCTCCAACAAACAGCCGATATCACTCCTCACTCGCTATCACCCTTTCTTTCCTTCCCCAGCTCATTCATTGACGGACTACTATATCATTCAGAGGCATTCGTTGGCAATTCCTGCCCGCCCTCATCTGTCCCTTCCATTAGGCAAGCATCACTGCCTCAGCTTCAACCCCATCAGGAGCAACCCCGAGATGGCGCTCCGCAGATAACACATCTGGTACACACGCCCTTGTCTGCATTTCGAAAAGCCCCCAGATCCCTCAATCCCGACGTGAGCCTCGCTGCTCCAGCCACGAACTGGCCTCCTCGACTCGGCCCCCTTGTCCTCACCGTCTTACTTCCTCCGACGTACAAGACCGCGATCACCTCCTGCCCGTCGAATCTGTGGATCCATTGAATTGGCACCTACATCACCATGGCGACCGAGAAACGCAACTTTTCCCCTCTGTCGTTCTCCTCCAAGAAATATCTCAATGGTGACGCTGGGTCGGGCACACACACTCCCACAACAACTAAGCTCAAGAACTTCTTCCGCATCACAAGCGGTGGCAGTCAGACCCCGATAAGCTCCGACGGGTTACCGACCCCCAAACCTGAGTCGAAGCCCGTCAAGCAATCAAGATTCCTCACAGGTTTGAACAGAAATCGATCAACCACGATAGCGAGCGAAGGCCATCCTCTAGACGATGCGATTGTGTCCCCGACCGCTCAAGCCAACCCCTACTTTGTCCATCAAGGTCCTCCCAACCTACGACACCGCAATGAAGGCAGCGTACCCCCCTCGCCTCCTGATACTCCCGAAATTCAGATCAATGGCACGTCCCCCGAAGAGAAGGCGCTTGCGGCCGGTAGAGAGGAACTGGCCCGGAAACTCAGAAGGGTGGCCTCCGCGCCAAATGCCCAAGGTCTTTTCAGTGGAGGCAAGAGCGACGGGAACAGGCCTCAGACGGCGGAATTGGGTAAAGAACCGCTCGGAGTTCTTTCTGGCTCGCCGCCTAAATTGGACATGATGTCCCCAGAGGATGCTGGGCCCTCCAGTCTGCCCTTACCTGGGAGCCAACTTCCCCTCCCCGGTCAAATTCGGCAGTCGGTCGCTTTTAGAAGAACGTACAGCTCCAATTCGATCAAGGTGCGCAACGTGGAAGTGGGTCCCGGAAGCTTTGATAAGATTAAGATGATTGGTAAGGGAGATGTGGGCAAGGTTTACCTGGTTCGCGAGAAGAAGTCAGATCGGCTGTATGCCATGAAAGGTTTGTTCTCCGGCGCGAGTGTTGTTGAGGCTTGGACTAATCCGAAATAGTGCTCAGCAAGAAGGAAATGATCAAACGAAACAAGATCAAGAGAGCGTTGGCCGAGCAGGAGATCCTCGCGACCAGCAATCACCCTTTTATTGTCACTTTATACCATTCGTTTCAATCCGAGGAGCATTTGTATCTATGCATGGAATATTGCAGTGGCGGGGAGTTCTTTAGAGCTCTGCAAACCCGTCCCAACAAGTGTATCGGAGAAGAGGACGCCAGGTTCTATGCCGCCGAAGTCACGGCTGCACTGGAGTATCTGCATCTGATGGGCTTCATCTATCGGGATCTGAAACCGGAAAGTACGCGAGAGCCTTGAAAACGAGACCGATGTTGCATGTTGACTGATTCTCTCCCAGATATCTTACTTCATCAGTCAGGTCATATCATGTTGTCCGACTTCGATTTGTCCAAGCAGTCAGATTCTGGCGGAGCACCTACCATGATCTTGGGCACGCGCAATGCATCCAACCCGACGGGATACCCTCTGGTCGACACAAAATCCTGCATTGCCGATTTCCGAACCAACTCCTTTGTCGGTACTGAAGAATATATTGCTCCCGAGGTCATCAAAGGCAACGGACATACCAGTGCCGTCGATTGGTGGACTCTTGGGATATTGATCTATGAGATGTTATTCGGAACCACACCGTTCAAGGGCAAGAACCGCAACGCAACCTTTGCCAACATCCTTCGGGACGAGGTACCGTTTCCCGATCATTCACACGCACCTCAAGTGAGCAAGTATGTATCAACCCCTGCTTCGCGGACGCGGACATTGTGGGACTGACGAAGCATAGTCTATGCAAATCGTTGATCCGGAAACTTTTGATCAAGGACGAGGTCAAACGATTAGGGTCTCGAGCGGGTGCCTCGGACGTGAAGAACCATCCCTTCTTCCGGCCCATCACCTGGGCACTCCTCCGGCACATGAAACCTCCCATGATCCCTCATCAGGGCAGGGCCATCGACACTTTGAACTTCCGGACGGTCAAAGACAGCGGCAGCGTTGATATTGGAGGCACCCCCAGCCGCTTGAAGGGGGTTCCTCTTGACTCGGGTATGGCGACGCCTGGCGGGGAGATCGCAGATCCCTTCTTGGAGTTCAACAGCGTAACGTTGCACCACGATGATGAAGATATGATGATGATGGCCGGCGGACCGGTACAGAATGGACGATGATAACTTTTGCATGCTTGGGTCAGACAGGAAAAGAAACGGTGGGCGAAATGTCCCCTGCATTGGCGTTTCCGGCGTTGATGGGTGAGACGGGTTGGTTGAGAGAGTCAGATCGGCCTTCCAACGCCTTGTCTCCCCTTGATCATTGACGAAGAAAACGGGGGCTACGGGTGGTACGACATGATCTGGCGTTGCAAGATTCGAGAGAGGCATGTACAGATATACAGCGGAGCAGACTGGAAAGGTGGTGCCGGGTATATGACCATATGGGATGCATGTCTTCCTCGCTTTCGTGACCCCGTGTACACGTGTGAGAGAGCCAGGGCTGTTCTCTCTTCCAGTCCATCCAGTCCATCCAGCCAGCCAGCCAGCCAGCCAATGCTGCAACCCTGCAACCTCCAGCCATCATCTGTGCGCGCTTCTTCGCGGAAGATTCGTTGTCGTACTTGTGTAACTGCAGTGCTGGCATTGTGGTCTGTTGGCCGACTCTCAACGGTAGCCTTGTAAATGTGCGGCGGTGTAGTACCGGGCGGTCCATGCTGGCCAATCAGAGCGGCGGATGGGTGACAACGAGGTCGAGACGCCCAATGACACCGATTGTCTGCTCCACGCTCTCGATCCCTGCTTCCTTTGATTCACAAGTTTTTTCAACACGGACATCCCTTTGTTGTTCTTCACCCATCTATCCTTCTTCGCGGGGAGATTATGTTATACTGCTACCGCTGTCTCTGCGACACGACATCACCACCCCCAGCGCTGGGCCGAGACCTAACGGTGTCCTCTACCCTCGACTCGACACCGGGCTGCTCCTCCCTGCTACCCGTGTGCCACGAGCATGGCCACATGTCTTCGTTTCCAACCCTTTGTCCCTGTCCTTCGAGTGCGAATTAGACCTCTTTGTCCTCACTGATCTCCCTACCGGTCATCCTCCCTCTTTACACACTAGACCCTTTTCCCCGGAGTAGAAAGACCACCGAAGACGTCATGAAGTTTGGCCGGAATCTCCCACGAAACCAGGTTCCCGAGTGGGCATCGGCCTATATCAACTACAAAGCCCTGAAAAAGCTCATCAAGGCCGCCGCCGAAGGCCAGAAGCAGGGTGGAAGCCTCGATCTTGCCGGTAGGAGACGGATTGGACGTGAGGCATTGGGCCAGAACAAACCGCTCATGTTGTTTTTGTTTAGGTTTCTTTTACACGCTGGACCGCAATCTCGAAGATGTGGGCCATTTCTACAACAAAAAGTTCCAGGACTTTTCCCGCCGGCTGAAACTCCTCGAAGACCGCTACGGCGTCTCTCCGCAAGCCGCCGCCCAGCTCGACCCGGACGAACGCGAAGATCTGTTGGCCGCGCTGCTGGAGCTGCGTGGGCACTTGCGGAATTTACAATGGTACGGTGAGGTGAATCGCAGGGGCTTCATCAAGATTACCAAGAAGCTGGACAAGAGAATACCCGCCGCCCAGGCTCAGAAAAAGTACTTGGAGCTCAAGGTCGACCCGTCGCCATTCGCGACGAATGCACAGCTCTCGGCTTCCTTGAACAAGGTCAATGACTGGATCTCGGTCCTTGGAGAATTTGCCACGTCCACAAACAACGACGATGTGGCTTCCATTTCCTCCAAGTCCTTGAAGCGCACGACATCGCGGCCGTCCGTGGACATCTCTACGGAGCACTTGGCAAAGATTGAAGCGACAATCCGTCAGGACGACGCAGGTGAGCTGGATCGGTTGATTCAGGGCTTTGTACAATCAGCCCCTGATCACTCAGAGCATGCTGTTCAACAATTGTTGAAGACTCTTCTTCAAAGGGCAATTTCGAGTCGAAGCCGTGCCTGTACCGCACGCCTCTTGCACGAGATTGTCTTCTTGGATGACCAGGACGACATCAATCGACGCAATTGCATCCACCGACTGGTCGTGTCTATCGGCCGAAAACAAGCCAACGCCGACCAGGAACCGACGACAGAATCGTATCCAGATCTCTTTTCAGAGCATCACAACTTCATCACCCCTGCTGCTCCGCCTTCGGTGCCGTTCAAGCGGTCTGTTGTACACGAAGATCAGCGGGCTCGGATCCTCACGCGGGAAGATGACTCCATCTCATTCCTTGCATTTCTTCTCGACAACATGCAGCCTGCCCAGCGGACAGCACTGCTGGCAAGAGACAGCGCTGGACGCACTCCCTTGCATTTCGCCGCCGAATATGGCATTCGTGTGATGTGTGAAATCATCATCGAACATCTTAAGGAGTGGAAACTGTTTGACGTTACAGAAGGCATTGATGGACCGCATTGGCAAGACAATGAGGGCTGGGCTCCATTGCATCTAAGTGTCACTGGCGGTCATCCTTTGACGACAGAGGCGTTACTGGACGCTGAGCAGAGTGCGACCCCTACCCCGTCGAAGTCGACGATTCGAAGAGCGTCGTCTAGGTCATCGGCCGTACTGGCGTTGGCCACGAAAGCCAACTTTGTCGACATTGTTCGTCTCCTTGTGAAGGCCAACGTCGACATCAACTACCAAGATGAGCAGGGCGACACGGCACTTCATGTGGCTGCTAGATTCGGCCACGTCGAATGTGCCAAGGTGCTCCTGGAGGGCTCAGACATCCAGAAGGCGGACACGGAACTTTGTGAAAAGACATATGGTTGGACACCTTTGTTCATCGCTTGTGTCGATGGGCATCTCTCTATCGTCGAGCTCCTCATTGAAAGCGGAGCGGACCTCGAAAGGGTTGATACGTCAGGCTGGAACGCTAAGGAGCATGCTGCATTGAGAGGGCATATTGATATTGCTCTGAAGCTGGCCAGTGTCATGCCCGAACCGGATGCCGATGGGGATTCTTCTTCGAATGCCTCGACGTCTCCTCCCACCACGTCATCTCTGACCGAGAGAAATTCCAATTACATCGGGGGTCAGGGGCCGACCACGGTGAAGATCAGCGAGCCCGTCAAGACTTTTGGACATCGTTACCTGACCGACAAGAGTATGATCCTGGTCAGCCTTGGCACCATGGATACTCGTAAGAACATTGGAGCAGTCAACCTCGATCGAATCCCCCTCTCCAATGCTCACTCGACGCAGCTTGATACTGCTCTGTCTATTGTGGTATCTGCCAAGGGCGCCGAGGGGGAAGCGGAAGTGATTGATCTTCCGGTGCAGGATAACATCTCAACCGAACCCATAGTCTTCCATGCACCGGATCCGTCCAAAGTCAAGCTGCTCTTTGATCTGATTCCAACATATGCCGGATCCAAGGAGCGCATCGTCGGACGGGGTGTGGCATTGCTATCGAGCGTCAAGCCCAGCTTAGGGTCGAGGAGAATGCCTTTACAAGGCGATGTGACCGTGCCGATTGTTGCGGCCAATGACCTCGAAGTCATTGGTTCGGTAACGTTCAATTTCTTGGTCATCACCCCTTTCAAGCATCCGAACATGTCTATCACGGAGAACCAAACATACTGGAAGAGCATGGCGTCCACCATGGTCATCGGTCATCGTGGGTTAGGCAAGAATTTTGCAGCCGGTAGACGATCGCTGCAACTCGGCGAGAACACGATTCAGTCCTTTATTGCGGCGGCCAACCTCGGTGCATCGTACGTGGAATTCGATGTCCAATTGACGAAAGACCACGTCCCTGTCATCTATCATGACTTCTTGGTCAGCGAGACGGGGATCGACGCTCCGGTGCACACTCTCACTCTGGAACAATTCCTTCATGTCAGCGACATCCGTACTCCCCGCCAATCAAGGCCCGCCTCACCAGTTCCTTTCGAAAGCCCCAAGATTGCCAGTCTCAAGAACGGCGAGTCCAGAGCGGGGAGACTACGGTCCATGTCTGTCGGTGGAGGTGACCCGGAGACAGTCGACATGGAAGAGCGCATGAAACATACCCGGGACTTCAAGAAAAAAGGCTTCAAGGGCAACACGCGCGGCAACCACATTCAAGCTCCCTTTGCTACTCTGGAAGAAATGTTCCACAAACTCCCCACTAACGTTGGCTTCAACATTGAGATGAAGTATCCCATGTTGTCGGAGAGCGAGGATGAGGAAATGGACACCTACGCCGTCGAGCTCAACTCATTTGTCGACACGGTGCTCGCGAAAGTGTATGACCTGGGTAAAGGGAGAAACATCATCTTTTCGTCCTTCAACCCGGATATCTGTCTGTTGCTTTCATTCAAACAACCCAGCATTCCGGTCCTGTTTCTGACCGATTCCGGCACCGCACCGGTGGGAGACATCCGCGCTACCAGTCTCCAAGAGGCCATCCGGTTCGCCAGTCGCTGGAATCTGATTGGCGTGGTTAGTGCCGCGGAACCGTTCGTTGCCGCACCTCGACTGGTCCGCGTCGTCAAGGAGAGTGGACTGGTCTGCGTCAGTTATGGCACGCTGAACAACGATCCGGAAAAGGTCAAGTTACAGGTCAAACAGGGCATCGATGCGGTCATTGTCGATAATGTCCTTGCGATACGGCGAGGATTGACTGGAGACAGCAAGTCAAACAGGAAGGATGCAAAGGTCGCCACGGCGATCAACGGACATGCCGAATCAGAGGCGGATGGCAAAGATGCCGCCGCTGCCGCCGCCGCTACAGCTGCCAATGGTAGTCTGGGCAAAGCGTTGTCTGGGAGTACCGATAGTCTGGAGATTCCGGGGATCACTACCAAGGGCATGTCCACACCTGCAGTCAACGTACCCCGGGTCAGGATCGTCCATGGCGAGAGCCGGCACAATGGTGCAGTGAAGTTCGTCGATGAACTTGACGATGCTGATGCTGACGTCGCAGTGTCTCCCTTGACGGAAGAACCGGAAGAGGAAGCCACCGGTGCGCAGAGAGCCGGAGCTTGAATAGACCTGATATCAGCCTAGCCGTCGAGAATGGTGGAAAAAAGCAAATTCAGAGACAGTCAAGCATGGCGACGCAGAGAGACGGTGCTAGGAGAGCGATTATACGACCTATGAGACTAAGCCTTTGTCCACGGTTGTGGTTGTGGCTACGACTATCACTGTCCTGTCCTGTCAGAGCCCTACGTTGGTCGTGTGTTGTTGTTTGCTAGAGACTACTACTACTCACTTACTCCCTCTGGTATGTCGTAGGTCGATAGAGTATTTAGAATCCAGAATCCAGAGTCCAAGACAATACATATATAGCACCGGGTGACACGGTGCAGAAAGAGGCAGACCGAAAAACAAGGATGAGATAAGATAAGAAATGACAAACATCACAATCGTACTTTTTTTGGTTCTCGCTCCTGCTGTCAGTACTGCTGAAGTGATATCTGTCACCAACTTCATTCAATCTAACCACATCCCCCCTCCCCCTCTTGCTTTTCGAGAGGTCCATGGAGTGTAACATGTGAGAAACCACTCTAACCACAACTTCCCTCTCCCTCTTTTTCTTTTTCTAGGAGGTCCATGGAGTGTAACATGCGAGAAACCACTCTAACCACAACTTCCCTCTCCCTCTTTTTCTTTTTCTAGGAGGTCCATGGAGTGTAACATGTGAAAAACCACTCTAACCACAACTTCCCTCTCCCTCTTTTTCTAGGAGGTCCATCGAATGTACCATGTGAGAAACCAATATGAGAGAACAAGACTCATACATACATGCATGCATGGTCTGAAGTGAAGTCAAGTCAAGTCAAATCTCAATGTTGCAATGCATCTCACATCAGACAAGCCTCCTTCTCGGATGAATGCAGTTCACTACCACCGATCCTTACTCTTCTTGACATTCCCTTTCCTTTTTGTTTTTCTTTTCCTGTTGCTTTGCCCATAGATTGGCCTATTGGAGCTGTGTCCGGTGCTGTCGAAGGAGCTGATGATGATGATGATGATGATGATGATGGTAGGGCGGAGGGGTGTGCATGTGATTGCGAAGGCAGATGCACAAAGACATCGACGATCCATTCGTACCAGACTTTCCTGTCGTCTGTTTTGCGCCACATTGTCACGGTGAGCTCGGACGAGTCGGGACAGAAGACGGGACTCTGTATCACCGAGGAGTGGGTATTGAGTTAGTCAATTTCTCTTTTGGGTTTCTTGTTTTAAGAGTGAGATGTTGAATGGGGTCATAGGATGCAATGTAATGGGATGAGATGGGATGGGATGGGATACGACGAGACAAGAGCACAACTGGAAGATAGCCGTGCTGATATGGAGCCGTCCAAGAGAGACTCCGCAAGACGAAAGAAATGGACTTCAACTTTGACACCAGGACAAGGAAAGGGGTCTAGACTAGAAAGAAAGGTGGGCAATGAGAATACAACCGAACGTACCTTCAGAGGGAAGTATATCGGGAACCAACTGATCATACCCTCACTCTTGGCGTCCATCGTGTTCGGATTCGTCGACAGCTCCACACCCCTGTACAGGACGGTCTCGAAATACCCTGCGATGCCATGGCATGTCCCACGATTCGGGATCGGGAATGTCAACGTACTGGTCCGCGCGTTGTGGGAATTACTCAGTTCCGGCTCGGAGTGTAGGTTTGAGTTGGCGAACGAGGTCGAAGCGCTGGGCAGCGCCGGATTCGGGTGCTGGAAGGACCATGTCGTGCCGATCACTGGGACTGGTGAAGGAGGCGTTGCAGGAGATTGTGGTCGCGGTTGCGGTTGCGGTTGTTGCCGTGTATGGGCTTTTGAATATGGTGCTGGCAAGGATGGAGATGTAGGAGAAGACACCGTCTGCGTCTGCACATCAGTCAGGTCAGTCTCGGCGCCGAGAACGGAGGCGGAGGAAAGGAAAGAAATACCTCCAAGACTGAATCTTGGTGTGAAGAGGATTCAGGGGGTGTTGTGGTGCTCAGATAGTCGATCGCGTTGAACATGACCACATACGGAATCTCTGCTGCATTGGGATTGGAACTGATCATCCCATGTTTGATATCGGCGTGTAACTTGGGCGCCGCGATGGGCGTGATGTGTGCGGTATATGAGGCTGGAATGGAAATGCCGTGAACCGGATTCATGAGGTGTTGCACTCCATCCAGACATTCTGGAGATAGCTCGTTGTCGGCAAAGGACCCGAGGAGCTCTGAGATCAGAATGTCGATTTTATACGGTGTCGGGGTCAAACTGGGGGTCGTGGTTGCAAGCAGGTATGTTGAATCCAGAGAAGGCGAGCCGGTAAAGGTGGTCGTGGTGCGGGCAGACGTAGGATGTGTCTCATCGGTAGTGTTATCCTGTGTTGCCCCCGGCCCCGTCGCCAGATCGCCATCCTGTTCGACGTTGTACGTCCGATCGGACTGCTTCTCGTCTGCAGGTCGAATTGGCCCCCGCCAGGTCCTCATGTCCGACTTGACCAGGTTGACACGATGCTGCCATATGGTTTCATTGTGGCGCTGAAGGAGGACGAAAGCGTTCGGGTTCTTCTCCAGCGCCCACATGTCGATCTCGACACCAACGTCCTCACTGGCCTTCAGGGCGCGAGTGACAAGTGGTCCTCGTCCGGCTCCTACCACGGCTACCACGACACGACCGTCAGGGTTGGAGGTCGGCTTGCCTTGTTCAATCCAGTCATGCAATGCGCGGGCAATGGCACGCTCGTACCAGGCATACTTGATAGGGTCTTTTTCGAACACCTCGTAGGTGATGCTCTCCAGATTGACGGTCAAGGGCTGCAGCGGTGTCTGCAGGTAGTCTTGGTACCCGGCTCCAAAGCGGTCCAGCACACCCTGCACAGGTTGTTTTGTCTGTAGGTTCCGCATGTACGAAAGATGAGGCGTTGGGTCCTTCAGGGGTCGAGAATCTGCTGCTTCGGCGAGACTAGGGAAATTCGATGCGTTTGAGATTGTGGATTGGGGCCCATTCAAGTTGTTTGTCGGATGGTGGGGGACTGCTCCGACATCACAGAGGAGAAACCATGGCGCAGAGCGGAGGCGGACGAAGCGACTGATAAAGGCTTGGTGGGCTCGTGACAGCACCGGATAGCCTTTGACATTTTTGGAGAAGACTTTGCCGTCCAGACTGAGAAGCCGGACAGGCTCTGAGTACCATCGCGACTGGATGGGGACCGGGGGAAGTAGCTTGGGGATAGATAAAGCTGGAAGAGATCAGCATGACAAACAAGGATGAATGTCCGAACATCCAAGCCAAAGCCAAGGACCTTAGATATTGTGGATAGTCAAGGTCTGTTGTCTTACCTACGCATAACCTGGAAGGATATTTACATATCGATCTAATCAGATCCCAAGCCTCCCAAGAACCGAATAGATCCAGTCTCTTCATCTCGCCATCGTCTTGATCTAGGAATTGCTGACGTGCGAACGGAGCAAGGTCACCCATCTCTTCCGTTTGATCGTCCGAATGATCAATCATGGGCAACCAGATGTACAGCTGCATGTAGGGACCTTGAGCCAAAGCGTCCAGAATTGCTCGTGCATATTGGGCAAAGCCACTTTCCGAAGCCCCTTGTCCACGAAGACGGGGACCAGGAACCAACGCGTAAGTGATACCACAGAAAGCGGCATACGCTAGTTCCAATTTCAAGACTTGGCGGGACACATCCGCGATAATGGGATCCGGAGAACTCAGATCGATCCAGGAACTGGTGACGCCAATGATCTGGCCAATGGACTCACCCGGAGTGAGCGGCGTGTCCGCTGGCGTAAGAGGAGGTATGGTGACGGGTGAGGCATTCTTGGTCCTGGTGATGTTTTCGTCTGAATGTTGAGAAAGAGACGCTGAAAGCAGCGTCAAAACCTGAGAATGGAAATGTGGTGTTGTAATGGGACTTGTCAGCATGTCATACTGGTCCGTGTCAGTAGCTTGAAACGATGGCGCCAGTATTGCGATCTTACATCTGCCGCATGTGCTTCTTGGATCGCCTCGACGGTAACAGGTATGGGCCTCTTCGCATCATGATGCCCAATAATGAAACGAGGCTGATCTTCCATGTTTGCGGTATGATTGAACACAGTCTGGATCTGCCCACAAGTGTCGACGCTATTGGGATATCGAGGGTTTGGATGACAGAACAAAACTAAGCCGGCTGAATTGGGCTCTTCCCATGGTGCTCGAAGTGGTGGAATTAGACCTGGTAAGCTGCAACAAAGCCTTCCGTAGTGATATGCCTCAAACAAAAGCTGATGCGAAACAACAAGCTTATGAGAGTGAGCTGAGCTGTGGTGCCCAAGACAATTCAATGTCTCAAGCGAGCTCAAGTCGACAACGTTCACGATATCCAAGGGAGAGTCGTCGTCTCCGTCTGTGTCTGTGTCTCTGTCTGTGTCTGTGGTGAGAATGCGAGGCACGTTGGAAATTTACAGATTCGGTTTAGCGTCTTCTCATTGCCAAGGTTCTCATTGACCAATAGCAGCTCATCTGCTGGATTGCAGCTTGTGGATTTGTACTCCGCCGTATTGAGAACATCTGGCGCCTCCTGCGGCCTTTGCAGCCAAATCGGAGCTCAATTGGAACATGCAAAGAAAGAAATATTTGCCTGCATTCCACCACAGCGACTAGAGACTATCGTCGTGTCGCAGCCCACGAGCTGCATCTGGGACACGATGAGCGTCTTCCGATCCTCAGAGTGTGTCTTCTGCCTGTTTTCTCGGTCGTCTCGTCCTGCCGCGGCCTCGCGCCGCCAATTCCATGCCACTCGTGTCCATCAAAAAAGGAAACCGCGGTTTCCAAGCGTCAAAGCTGCGAACACTGAGGTGAATCTGTCTCAGGCTACGCAAGACTACCGGTCCGCCAAAAATGGTACAATCCCACAACACTATTCCGCCGAGCAACGTGCCGCGATCGAGGCCGCTCAAAAACTGATCGATGCCGAAAATCTGGAGAAGCAAACGGGCTTGCGGACGGACCCGTGGAAGATGAAATACTACGACGACCTGACCAAGATAGATCCCGTGGTCGACAAGCCGGTGCGGGCGCCCTGGACGACCATCGACGACAATAGCAGATTAAAGACGGAGGATGAGCTAGAGGACGATCTGGTCAACTTCATGCAGAGGATCCCGCAACCGAAGCACGAAAATGACTTCGATCCTACACTTTGGGACAAGTTCGACAAGAATCTCAGATTGACTGTAGGACGCGAAGAGGCCGAGAGGAAGCCCCGGACGGCTCTAGCTCCTGAATTACCGAACATTTCAGACACGCCTCCACCCAAGAAGACCACCAAGGGCAATGAAGTGGTGGTGGAAGAACCCCCGTCACCGGCACTGGTCCGACTGATGCAGATGACCGGTTACGACCGACGCCAAATCAGCCAACTGCGCGTCAAGACCATCATTCAGCATCGGGTGACGAATCAGACAAGACTGGGCAAAATCCACAGAGCGTACGTCCTCAGCGTTGCTGGGAACCAGAATGGATTGATCGGTATCGGCGAGGGTAAAGCTGTCGAGGCCGGTGATGCTGTACTTCAAAGTCAATACCGTGCCATCCGAGCCATGACCCCAATCCTGCGTTACGAGGATCGAACCATTTTTGGCGAAGTTCGCGGCAAAGTCAGTGCCACTGAGTTGGAACTGTACTCCAGACCACCAGGTAGGTGACCTTTCCCTCGTGTAACAACCCACCGTGCTAACAACGCTGTAATAGGTTTTGGTCTTCGCTGCCAAAAGTATATTTGGGAAATTTGCCAATGCGCCGGTATCAAAGACCTTGCTGCCAGAGTCACACGGGCCCGAAACCCGATGAACACGGTCAAGGCAGCTGTAGAGGCGCTGATAAGCCAGAAGGATCCCGAGGAGATCGCCAGAGCTCGGGGTAAGAAGCTGGTGGATGTTCGAAAGGTGTATTATGCTGGACAGACTTAAATGTTGTACATTATTAGAGTCGAACAGGCCTCGTGTATCGGTTCTTGCCGCACCTGCAGCGCAGCGCCCGGAGTGCAAGTTGTCAAGCTCATTTAATTGTGTGGTTTCGATCTTCTCGAGAAAACTAGTTGAGTGTCTTGGTGTTTTGATCGAAGTGGAGGGTCGCATAATGGATTCTCTTGACATGTTTCCATGATCGTGTCTTCCTGTCATAAAGGTCGTGCTTTGGGCTCTAGAGAAGAGGATCATGGCGCCGTCGCTCAACGCTGAGTGTTGTCTTCTCCGTCAAATCCATCGCCTTCCATGCCCTCTATTTGGCCTTGCTGCAGTACGATACTGTAGACACTGGCCTTCATCAACGTGTACACGCTGGCCACTTTTCTCTCCAGTAGCCGAAGGCCTTCCGCCATCTCAAGCGTGATGGGTCCGCCCGAGAGCGATGCTAGAGCGGAAGAGAGCTGGGCAGGTTGAAACAGTCAGCTAATAGTACGTGGACAGCAACAGCAGAGCAGGTTCGAAAGAGATATGAAGGAAAGAAGGGTCCAATGGACCACACCGGGGCCATCGACATGACGTGCGTCTCTGACAGGAAGTGATCGGGGTTCAAAGATGATGCCTCAAACCCCCCAGACAAAGCAAGTAATCGGGCTGTGGATGCAAGTCAAGTCCGTGCCAGTGGTCTCTCCTCATTCAAGCGCAACGGTGAATGCATATTGGCAACTCACTCACCTCTTTCATGTTTCTGGCCAGCCGCTCATATTCATCAAGCACTTCCTGTTCCAGTGGAGACACTCCAGACGCCTGACCGGCTAGGTCTAGAAGAGGATTTCGCGAGTCCGAGTAGACGGTGTTTTCTTCCATTATCGCAACGCAATATAGAACAGGTTACCAGAGTGTTGATCTCATCGCAGCACAAATTCGAAGTTGTCGTCAGAAGTCCCAAGAGAGATCTCGGCTTCACATTCACGTTATCGAACACTTTGCGAGAACAGTCGGAGACGCGACGTGATGATGGCGCGTTCAAGTTTACACCCCACCGTATTATGCTAGATTGCCGCATAGTCCACCGTATCCTCCCTCCCCTTCGTACTTTTGTACTTCGTCGCGAGGTCGACCTCCCTCTACTACCTCAAGGTTGAGGAGCATACGAGCATCTATCTACCTGCCACGTACTGCGGACAGAAGCTACAGTACTTACCGTCTCCCTGGACTTGGGACGCTTACTCCGCGAAAAGCAACTCGGGGTGATGATTGTCGACACTTCCGTCTCCCTCAACGGCCGCTCGGGGGCCCGTGCGGCGGTCAGGCTGAACAAGCTGGTGTCTACCTAGGTACCTACCTAATGTATGGATCCTCAACAGGCTCGCCTCCTTTCCACGATTCGAAGAGTGACATTTTCCGTGACGAAAGATCACAATCTCCACCACCAAAGCTTGAAAATGGTCTTCGTCGATCATCTTCACTCACATCTGTGAACCACTACACCTCTCCGATGAACCGCTGTCAACGCAATAGACGATCACGGTGTGGGATGGTATCCCTGCATGGACTCCCTCCGGAAGGCCATTGACCGGTGTAACATGAAGCAATGTCACAACTGGAACATTGGGCCCTGACGTCTGAAAGCGCGCTATTCGTGTATGCAAATGCGGAAGGTCGTGACCACTAACGGCAGTCTACTGTACGAGAGGACACGCGACACCTGCATCTTCGAGTGCCTACCTGGAGTACTGCTCGGGGCAATGACCGAGTTTCACTCGCCGTGGGAAAGCCAACAACATTTCTGCAGAACCAAAAGATGACCGGCCTAGCAATTCTGGTTTCTCTTCTTCGGCTGATCAGTAAGCCTTACTTACAACCATGAACGCATTTTTCTTTCTTTCATTTAGTCTGTCAAGGCAGAATCTCCCCGACGGCAAAGGACTCGTAGGGGTTTGAGCATTCGTCCGAGAGAGCCATCCCAACGCTTCTTTCCAGCAAGGCTTGACCCAAAAGACACTGACTGTCCAGGACCCTTGCACTATAGATCGAAGGCTTCACCAGAGTACGCAACCCAAACGCATAGTCACCCGGCTGGTGAGCGGACCCTTGAATTTGCAAATGTTCCCAGCCAGACGGACTATATCTTACGTTAGAGGTCCCGGCGGAGACGTTATCTCTAGGTCGTACCAGTACGTTCTTGAAGAGTTACAGTTACACAATCGGCAGTGACAACGGGACCTTTGTTTCGCAAATGGCCGAGGCCGACCTTGGGATCCTGCAAAGCAACTGTAAGGCGTCACACTGTGGAACAGTAGATACCACATCCTCTACACGTGGATGGCCAAGAGCAAAGCTCGGAGTGCCCATGAGCATTGAGCACTTGCACTTGCATCATGATGGGGTGCCAGTGGGCGAGTTGACAATCGTGACAACGAACCAAATTGCGAACCAACGACAGGGGTCTGGCTCTCTCTTGCATCTCCTATTGCACCTTTCGTGGCACGGCGTCCGATAGTCAAAAAGCGGCGCCAGTAGTGGCTTCATCACCGATCATTTTGTTTCTCTGTGGATGGGTAGAGTCCAGACTCCGGACTCCAGATCCCAACTCAAACCCCAGGTCAGTCGTCCGGAACTACGGATCAAAATCCACTTCGGGCGCCTACGCCTATACATCAGAGAACAATCCTTTACTTCAAGTCGCGCGAAAGCAGCAACCCTTTCGACTCTGCAAGCCAGGCGGGCATTTTTTCTAGGAACAATCCGACCAATGACCAAATCCTTCGTTGACAGGGCCAGGGGAGGGGGATGCCTCAGGCTAGTGCCGGTGTGCTTTGGAGCCAGGTCTTTCAGCTACTAGTAGTACGTCGACACCAACCAACACACACCATCCATCCTCAAGCCACCATTTCCAGCATCACAATTCGAGGGACATGCATAAGGTAAGGTAGGCAGAACAGGGTGTCCCAGGATGCCCGAGTCTCAACGTGAGGTAGGCAGGCAACCAGACACATCCGTATAGCGAGCGACATGCATGGATTCTTATCTTTTTCTCTTGAGCCAGCCAGCCCTCGTCCTCCCTCATTGCCCCTGTTCAGCCCGACCAGAGGAGAAAGGCACTGGCCACACACCCTGGACGTGGATGTGGACGTGTTCTTCTTGTCGCCCATAGACTAACTTGTCCACACGTCCAACCGTTGGTGCAACCGAACCACCCTTTCGGGCTCGCTTGCAATCTTCCGTTGGACCAGCAGACAAGCATCCCCGTGGACGCAGGTAGGCGGTCTGCAAGGCGGGCTTTTACGATGTCCTTTTGGCCTTCATGAAGAATAAAATCATGTTGCCTGTCAGTCCTGCCGATAACCCTGGGACTGAGCCTCAGCCCTCAAGAGCAGGGTCATGCCCTCGGACTTTCCATCTCCTGTCCTTCTCATTCCCGACTTCTTCTCTCCTTTGCCTCATGCTCACTTACCCCTTACGCATTCTGGGCCTGAAGAGTTCCCAGCCGAATATGCTGGAGCCGCCTTCGATCGGCTGGCGCTGGGACTGACGACTCGACAACACCTCTCCACTTTGCGTCAGCCAGGCTCACTCAAAATCCAACAGTAATCTCAAAGAAAAACAAACAAGGCTGGAAGCCATGAATGTCATGTCCGTTGAGTATTGTGTTCAAGCAGGTAAGCCCATTAGTGTCGATTGGACCTTTCATCTGTCCTCAAAAAACGCCTTCCACTGCAAACAAGCTCCTGTCATGTTGTCTCTTAAAGGATCCCAATACGACGTTCTTTGATTTCATCGTCGAAGTCTTCATCATCCCCAAGGCTTCGAAAAGAGCTGCTATCTTCCGATGACTCATGAGCAGATCGGAAACAGTTGTGACGTGGATGCTATTCTGGGCCTGTGCTGTGCGACGCTGCAGTGGGCTGTGCAACCTGGCAACATGTTCCGCAACACATATCCCAGTCCTGTGTCCTCTCACGGGTGTTCCAATGGTCAACAACACCTCGACCAACACGCACCATGTCTTGCTCTGTATAACCGAGATATACTACCGTGCTTGCGAGATACTCACTGACGCCGTGCGTTTCAATCTAGTGATAGGAGCATATCGCGACGCATCGAAACTAATCCAGCGCCTCAAAGACAAACAGGGGACATCTGAGAATTTTATCTTACCCGAGCATTTGACCAAAGACTTTGAGGACTCGCTGGCGCTGGGAACCAAAGCAGTACAAAGCCAATATGACCACGATGTCCGACGGTTCGGCGAGACATACGCGCGCGGCGACGCGACCGCGCGAGAGGAAATGAAGGACATCCTCATTGCCTTGCAGAAGGCAGTCATCACACATCTGCGGGAGGTATACATGGACGAGGCCTCTCTTGATCTTCACTCGCTGAAGGAGACATCGGATGATAGCCGCGTCAATGCGACGGTATGCCTGGGTCAGCTGTATCAACGCATGTCAACGGCAACGGCGGCAATGAAGCAGATTTCGAACTCCAAACCGTATGCAGATGAGCGCGACAAAGGGGCGGTCCCCGATTCTTTGGCTTATTCGAGCAGTCGAAGTACACACTCGTCCCTTGGGGCGGGAGGAGGGCCTTTCGACAACCAGTCGACCACTTCCTACACGACATATAGCTCAAGAACGGCCGTGGTGCATGATCGCAAACCGTCAGGGGGAGCCATGCCACCGCAGAGAAGGATCTCGCTGAACTCGGCCCTCTCGTACTCCAGCGAACGAGAACAACCAAAGAGCGTCACTCCCGGTGAAGATGATATTCCGGCTCTTCCCCTCGCGATGCAACGACAGTCCAGTCAGGCTTCGGCGGAAAATAATACATCCAGTAGTGCCAGGACTGTACAGCACATAGGTGCCCTCGGCCTGTCCACCACTGCACGCAATGCACTGACGCCAGCTCCACCGCCATACAAGCCAGACCGGTCGCCATCGGTCCAGGTGTCTGCCGAAAAAGGACAGAATTTCCCTCCAGAATCGAGTTTTTATCAACCTCGAACAGCAGATATTCGAAATAGGCCGCCCCAGAGTCCACCGCAGCGCCAGGGAAGTCTTGAATCATACGGGGATCGCAATGAATCCAGTCACCCACTGCAGCCAAGATCAGTAGATGTTCACGAACTCGACGATGGATTGCCCTCCCAGATACCCTCGCGCGAAGAAAGGACGACGACGCATCCTGCACAACAATCTCGAAGCCAAATCCATAATCAAAGTCAAATCCACGCCGTGCCTGTCAATCCAAACTACAGTACGTTAGAGTACGTAGTCGACTTGGAGACGCGAAGTCGTCCTCCGGCCTCGTTGGCCACGTCGCAGCAGTACCAAGGGAACCAGTCGCAACTCGGTCAAGCATGGCCGCCACAAATGCAGCAGGGATACTACCAACAGGCAATGATTCATGGACAACAGTGGCAAAGTCAGCCGGTTGCCCGAGAGCAACCTGGCGGCACCGTGCCACCGTCAGCGGACAACCCTGTGGATCCGACACTGCAGAGAAGAGTATGTATTGACATGAAATCCTTTCTCCTCGCCACGGGCTGACTTCTTCAGGTGCCGACGATGCAATCGACAAGGCCACCGTCGATCAGATCTTCGAGCTCGACAGGGTCGAAATTCAGCCCGTTTACGCTAAGGAGAGTGCTCCCACCAGGAATTGCAGAAGCTATCCATAAACGTGCCCCTTTGCCGTCGGAGGGGCAACCACGGTATGTCAGGCCCAAGGAGCCAGAGTCGGGTGAGCAACCGGTGCCGCCTACTAGTCCGACATCACCTAACGGGCAACATGTGCACAACTGGCCGAGTGGAGGTTCAACAACATCTGTTCCAAACAGGCCACCTCGAGAGGTCGGTATGAGGGCGCCCAGTTCGCCGCAGATGCAAGTACCCAGGTCAGAGCTCAATATACCGAACGAGTCGAACCTGGCTGGATTCTGCAAAGGCGCCGTCCGAACGCAATTAGGGGGCCGCAAAAAGGGCTTCTCCCTAGAACACAAACGAGGAGGCAAGGGGCAGGGTTATTTCTTCCGATGTACCAAATGCAGCTTTCAGGGTCCGGCATCAATATCGACATCTCTGCCCAGCGGCGGCCGAGCTGCAATCAAACGGGAGAAGACGTTTGACACGCAGGTGCGTGTTTCGGAAGGGGGCATCAAGTATCGATGGGCATTTCTGGCCAAAAGTCATGTCGTCGGCCAGGCGGCGAGCAGCGACGGGCATAACAGCAACGACATATTTGGCTGCTACTTTTGTTGTGCAGAGGGTACCGCCAAGGGATGGGTCGACGAAACTGATACCTTGACTGCCCAGCTGGCGACCTTAGGCACCTTTGGCGACAAGAAGAACCGATCGAACAGTAAGCCCAACGTGACGCCGAGGTTCGTAGGGCTGCGAGCATTCCTGGCTCATCTGGAAACGCACCGCACCGCAAGCTGGACTCCCGGGATCATTGTGGCCAATGAGATGAACTGTATTGTGGGCCGAGCTGCGAACGACTGTGAAGATTTTGATTTGAATCTGCCGCCGCTGTCGTGAAGAGAACGGCGGCGAGTACGTACCAACACAGGAAGCACCAACGAAAAATGTCCTACCCAAAGAGCAACGCCTTATTGGTTCCATGCAACTATCAGCCGATGAAGGGCTCCGTGTGGAAACCCATGTGTGCACTAGACGGCACGACCCGTTGTGTTCGCCTCTTTTTTTCTGCTTCTCTGGGTTTCTCCCAGAAAATTTCTCGTGTTTGGGGGGAATAATGGTGTGAGGGGCGAGTTTTACTCAGGCCGCGCCACTGCGGTGTGGCATTGGCGGTCACGACGGTGATGCAGTCTACCCAGAGTGCAAAGTGGTGGCAGTCACGATTGTGCCGGTATACCCCATATTTCGTTCTTCCGACCACAAATGTCTTCAGTCACAATCGGTGGAGATCCCGGATCAGAAAGGACCGGTCATCAGACTACGCATCTATGACACGACTGGGTGTCGTCAAGCCTGAAGCGGCAGACGTGGGAGTTGACGGCCGGATCGATGATGGTCGACAAGCGTTGATCGTTGATCGTGAATCGTCGGAGCATCGATCGTCGATCATTTGATCAGTGCAGTGGAGGGGCTGTGGTCAGCGAGGCTGGTGAATGTTCCTCTGCTTGCTTATGGCAGGATTGGATAATAATGATGGATGATGAACGGACGGGGTTGGGGGTGGGAGGTGCCGGAACTCACGGAAATGTCAAGCTAATCGTGAGTTTTGGTTTCTCTGTTATGTAGTTACCACCACCATACCGTGTGGGACGAGAGCAACCTGCGCAGTGCTAGAGCCTAGGTAGTCATGCTGGACACGACTGAGCATGGTAGGGAGTGATTCGTTGGCCGCGGGGCCTCAGGGTAGGAGGAGGTCATGAACAGCTGCAGAGTAATAGACATGAAGCTATATTGGAAGAATTATGAGAATTGAACCTGCCAAAGATGGAGAACAAGTTGCAGACTCAGAGAGATGCCGAAAGTGAGCCGTGCGTGGTAGTAAGGAACTTGAAGGTGGAAGTCAGGTACCGTCCTGGGGTGGCAGCGGCAGGAGTGACTATGACTCGGTTAGTGCTAGTTTGCAGTGCTATCCGAGTCTAAAGAACTTAGATTGAAGAGATGCGCTAAGAGCTGGGTTCGGAAAGTACATCCGCCGACCAGTAAGAACGCGATGTCTGCCTTCTCAATTGGGCGGTTGGACTTTTAGACGAGGACTTGTGGTAAACTCGGAAGTTCATTGGGCGAAAATATCAGTGTAGTCGCACTACTGACTAATTCCCGTCGCGCCTTGACGCGCGATGATGGCATGCATCTCCGGGCGAGCCGCGTCCCGCAGCAATTTCAACTCGGGCCTTACGTACTACTACTACGTACCAACAAAGATTCTCGCAACGGTGCTCGTAAAATCAATTGACCGCAATAATAATACGAGTGACAGGTAATAATATAGGAGGCAGAGCCTCGTCGTGCATCTCAATTTTCCTATGTTGCCTTCTTTTGTTGATCTCGCCCAGGACTAGTATTTTTACTGATTGATTCAGCTTCGGATTGTTTGGCAACGACCTGTGCGCGTTTTCCAGCCTGTCTCTCTTTTCTTTACCCGGCTTCTACCTGCGTAACCCATTCCTAACTCAGTGGGATACTAACTCACGTCTCGTCTCTCCACTCGTGCTTCTGGGTACTACATAGTACCGAGTAGTCCTACGGCTCAACTCTCCTAGCTTCTACACTACTCCTTCTTCCCCCCGTCCGCTGTCTGGTTGTCTTCCGCCCATCCTGCTCGCATCGCTTCTAGTCAGCACTATCCGCTCCTTGCCGAGTCTTCCGCCCCATCCATTTCTCCAGCGATACTTGAGTCAGGCAGTTTTCAAGACTCATCGGGAGGTTAGACTCCCTCTGACACCACGGAATTGAATTATCCGCTGGATCGCGATCGTTGTTCGGTGTTGGCGCGTGACAGCCTGGTTAGAAACACCTCCACGATTACCACCACCACCACCACCACCAACAGGCTTGCGGTCTATCCAGACGTCTCCATCGAGCCCAGACTCACCCGGGAAATCACTTCTCCCGCCCATATATCCTACCACTTCCTATCGTGGTTTAAACCAATATCTGTGCCCCATCTACTAACCGCCCAACGCTCCCTCAACCTCGCGGCCGACTATCCGTTCCTCCCTCCTCCGATTCATCAGAAAAAAAATATAGTGCACTGACCTGGCAACGTACGGACCAGACCGGTACAAAACAAGCCATTCTCGATTGATTCCTTCTGCCTGTCTGCGGCTGTCTGCCTTGATATGTTCACCATGAGTACCGACTTCCACCAACATCAAAATCCTCATCCTTCCTCCCTCGAACCATTCCCTCGCTTCATCGACTCGGCCCCTCCCAATTCGGCCAACTACTTCTCTTCGCCCATGGCTATGGCCGCCGTCCAACTGCTGGCCTCGTCCAGTTCCTCCCACCTGGGACCCAAAAAGCCTTGGATATCCGTGCCGGCCAAGGTCTCCAATTACCTTCGCTTGCGCTACTATCAGTATGAGGTTACCTTTGGCGTCTATGTCATGACGCCTACCGAGAAGCTTGTCTTCAACACGATTGTCCTTACCATCTTCACCGCCCTCTTCTATGCGCTCTTCTGGGGGTTCCAGCCGTTTGTCGTCAACGCCCTGTGTCGGCTGATATACTACATGACCGGTTCCCTTTCGAATGCACCCCAGCTGTGCACATGACAAGACGGGTCATGGGATCATTGGCGAAATCTCATATACCTGCTGATCTTCTGTCGGCCGAAAAAGGTGGAGATGAATGAAGAGAAGGCTTCCGAATGGGTAGCAACCGACTGGCAGAGCTGGGCCCTGCCTCATCAAGGCTTCCTTTTCCATGCGCTGGCCATCCTGGCAAGGAGAGGCGCTTCATGGCGTCCATGACGCGACAATCGAGGCAAACCTATCCAAACGCCAGCCTTGCCCGGAGCACTCGACACCAGATGCCGGTACGCTTCGATGACAAGCCTTGTTACCATATGTACGGCCCGTCACCTTCTCGGGCAATTCTCTCCTCAGTGGTCAGAGCGTGCTCTGACTTTCTCCACCGGCCTAGGTGCCGTCTCGCCGATCAAACAATTATTCTGACCATACAGCCTGATTGAGCAAAGGACGGGTTCCTTGAGGTCCTTTCGACAAGGATGGCTCTGTTCGATGACGACTGGCTTCAAAAGTTGTTGCTGCGCCGGTATGAATCGATACATGTTTGGGATGCTATTGTCCAGGTGGCAATCGGTATAATCAGGGATGCCTTTGCGGGCGTCGTTACGCACTCACGACCTCATGACAACATAGCAGCAAGTACTGATAGTGAATACCGATAAGTCGGTACTAGTACTATAATAGAATGAACAATAATATAATACCTATAACCCACCTGAACGATGCACCAGATCGCACATTTGCTATCCTTTGGGACTGAATCGTCGTACTTATTTTCATACATCAGCACTCGCTGGTCCGTCACCCGAACCGGGGTGATGGACGCGGGAAGCACCTTGTGCATAGGGTGCTCGAGGGTAGCGTGACGGGGCTGGCTGCTTGCGCCGCAAGTAAAGGAGTCGTGCAGGGCCGGGACTAGTCTTCTCTTTGTATTCTGCGGCGTCTACCAAATAGGTAGCTAGGTATGGAACAAACGTCGTATGTTGAACTTTCAAAAAAGAGATGATTAGAATTCAGGACCTTGGGAAGATCGTATGCAGGGGAGAGGAGTAAAGCAGCCAGTCAACGCTCAAGGAGAAGCAGCTCGACGCCTGTTTGGGACGTAGATCGTGGTCAACCCCTGCGCGCTTTACCTGTTCCTGCATGCTGAGACACGCCTAAGAAGCCTGTTTGGGCGCTGTTTGCAGCCTAGGGCTGAACGGCTAACGGTCCTAGGCGTCCCTAAGGTGCCTGAGACGGGTGTGATTTCAGCTGTGGACAGTAAACAACCATGAACCAGGCCAGGAATCTAACCCGAGATGGCCTAATGTTGTGTCTATCCCACCGAACGCCAGAGGCCACGGACCGTCTACCACAGTAAACTTGTTGCTATGTGGCTTCCGCGCCGCAGATGAGTTCCACTCCCATCTCGCCTTGTACACAGTTCGCAGCCAGCCAAACACGCGTACCTGAACACCTGCATCAACCAACTGTCCCATTCCTCATTAACCCCCTACCGACTACTACACAGCTTCATCTTGTCACCTTCACTCTTGACCGAACATTCTAGCCGTCTCTTGTCCATCTCGAACGACAAATCAATCCCTTACAACCTTCATCCCGCCAATTTGGCACCTGTCATCTCCCAGAGGTGTCAAGTTTCCAACTCATCTTGCCTGGTTTCAGTCGGTGGTGACCATCACTCATTCTGGTTCCCTTGACCCTGCTCCTACGCCTCCCTTCATGTGCAGACTCTAGGGATGGACATCACCTTTGATTTCCTCATCTGTTAGACACGACCCTGAACCTGGCGATGACCATCGGTCGAGATTAATCCCATTCTCCTCCGCCCTTCTTTTCGGCGTCGACGGCCATCACCTGCGAAATCTCGCCTTTGTCCTTCATTATTACACCCCTACGACGAGCTTCGAGTCCGACCGTTGCCCCTTCGCTCAACGTCTCCGACACTCTTTGAAATGCGTTAATATCACCTCTCTCGCTCCCAGACCGAACGCTGCTGTGCAAACAGTCACACTCGCTTACTCCTTTTCGACGCTATGGCGGCCAACGACTATTATCGCGAATCCTACATGGCGCAGTCTTCTCAACCTCAAAGGCCTCAACCACAATACAAGAGACCATTGTCCCATATTGCACAAGTCTACAATCCTGGACAGAGTACTTATACTCTCGATCAGTTCGGTCGTGCTGAAGCATATAATACCCCACCGGCGAAAACCAACTACTACTACGAACATAATACCCCATCTCCATCGCGGCAATCACAATACTCCGACGCTATACCTCTGAAGCAGAACGCAAGAATTAGTACCATCCCGCAAGATTGGCAAAGTCAGCCTACTCAATATCCTCCGTCCCCCGAATCCGTTTCCCAACCTCAGTTACTGCCACAGTCAAGCAAGAAGAAGAAGAATGGATGGTTTTCGGGAAAGATCCCATGGGTGGTGTACGTCGTGAGCTTGGTACAGATCACGGTCTTCATCGTGGAGATCATCAAAAACTGTGGGTTCTTCGTTGCAACATCCGGGCAATGCTAATCCAGTATAGCCATCATAACAGGATCTCCCATCATGATCCATCCTCAATTCAATCCCATGATCGGCCCCTCGACATATGTACAGATTAACATGGGCGCACGGTTTGTGCCGTGCATGCGCGTCACTCCGGGAGTTCAAGACAGCGGAGAGCCTGTGAATTGGCCATGTCCAAATACCACCACCTCAGATGCGAATGCTGCAAGCAATCACTGTGATCTCAAGGAGTTATGCGGTTTTTCGGGACTCAACAATGACCACCCGAATCAATGGTTTCGGTTCATTGTGCCCATGTTCCTCCATGCTGGCCTTATACATATTGCGTTCAACCTTCTTTTGCAACTCACCATGGGACGGGAAATGGAGAATGCTATCGGTAGCATCCGGTTTGCCCTGGTCTACTTCAGTTCGGGCATCTTTGGATTTGTTTTGGGCGGTAACTTCGCGGCCTCGGCAATTGCATCGACTGGTGCATCGGGTTGTTTGTTTGGCATTCTGGCACTGACCCTCTTGGATTTGATGTATGGCTGGAACGAGCGACGCCACCCGGTCAAGGATTTGATGTGGATTCTGGTGGACGTTGTCATTTCTTTCGTCCTCGGCCTATTGCCGGGACTGGACAACTTTTCTCACATTGGTGGGTTTCTCATGGGTCTTGCGACGGGCATATGTCTCCTGCATTCACCCAATATTCTTCGTCAACGCACCGGCGAAGCCGTGGCACCTTACCGAAATGTCGGGTCTGAACCCGATATCACCAACCCCAAAGATCCCATGTTGGCCACGACTCATGTGACAACAACTCCCGCAAACGTGGCCGCGTTCGCCAAACACCCGCTTGGGTTTTTCAAGGGTCGCAAAGCGCTTTGGTGGGCGTGGTGGCTGTTCCGGGCGGGGGCATTGATCGGAGTTCTGGTGGCGTTTGTGGTCTTGTTGAACAACTTCTACGAGTACCACGACACGTGTTCGTGGTGCAAATACCTCAGTTGTCTGCCGATCAACAACTGGTGCGATATTGGCAACCTGCAGCTGAGTAATTCCACCAGCAACAGCTCGAGCAGCAAGCGGGATTTGTTGGGTATTGGAGCTGCATTGATGGACGATTTGTTTGCTATGGAACGGCTTAGATGATTGATTGTTGTGGGTGGGTTTGGAGATGAACGACATACTACCTCGCACTGCATTGGGACTCCTCTGGCATTGGGACTGGGATATATGAACGACTTTGGAAGAAATACTATGGAGACATGTCATGCATAATCAATGGATTTGATGGAGCAACCGATCGTTGCCAATCCGTCGTTCTGGCCCATTGAACTGCGGCTCACTCTTTTTCTTTTCAGCGCTTCATACATGTTGTATCTGTGTGCTTCACGCGGAACTGTCATTCATATATACAGTGCTGGCATATCATTTTATTGCTGTTTGCTGGCTCGGACGTCGACAAAAGCCTGGTGGATATCGATACATTCATATTGGGACAGGTCTATGGTGTTACCCACTCACTATTCTGGTCATCATCCCACGACTTGAGATCTGGATCTGGGAATAGACACGCAACATGGAACATGGCGATAGGCATGACCGCAGTGCTACAGTACCTGAGTGCCCTTATCGCATGTTAATCACGAAGAGCTGTCCTCCCCAACCGTAACCGTGAAATGCGCCTCGGTCGGCTCCATATTGTTCACCTTGACCAGGTCCTGCGGACAAGCACTCATAACAGCGACACAATCGACCAGCGCTTCGAACGTGACGCTGTCGCCTTTCCTGCAGACGGGGGCTTCGAAAGTGAGGGCAGCTCCTGCCGTCGTAACATTATTGTTAGTGGTGGTGGTACTGTCGCTCTCCGGTGTTGGCGATGATGATACCACTGCTCCGCCTGTCCCTATCCCCGTGCCCATGCCACTCCCGACAGGAACATTCATGAATAAATTCAATGGATCCGGAGGCGCACTTCCCTCCGCGTCGGGTAGCCTCAAGCCCAACGTCTCCAGCGCCGAATGCAGATTGTCGACGCAATTCGCGTGGTAAGTGTCCGCGGGAACCCCGAGTTGACGGTACCTCGCGCGATCGCACGCCGGGATCAAGGTATCGTGGACGCCGGGAGTGGTGTCTCTGATCAGTTTGAGGATGGGCGTGCGGCGGTTGGTCACGAGGACGTCGTTGGGTAGGGGGGATAGGTGCATTGTCGAGGCGCGCGTGTGGGATGTGGAATGGTGGATCGGGAGTGGTGTGAGGCCCTGCTGTTCCTTCGAGGTGGAGGCCTTGGGGAGTGTGGCTTCTGGGGTTTGGAACGCCCAGAAATCAATCACCTGTGTTCCGTGGGTGTTGATCACGGTTAGGGTCTGCGATTTCTGTAGCGGTACGGCCACCGAGGAGCGGGCGGGGATGGCGTGTTTGGTGTCATGGGTATATTTGTGGTATGGTATTGGTATTGTCTCTGCCATCTTGGAGGAGTACCTAGGTACCTATATACAAGAATGGATGAAGATGAGATGGGACGAGCGAGATGTAATGTTCGTGCAAGTGACGATGGAGGAATGGGGGAGGTGATACAGCGTGGAAGCGTGGCACGTGTTTCTCTTTTTTCTGATTCGGACTTGATACCCCCTGTACACATATATATATCTCGCTCTCTTCAGGAATCCCAGCTGTGTTGATATGCGTCGTTGATCTCCGTGAGGAGGAAAGCGGAGATGGAAGACACGGACCTCAGGGACGCGGGCGTGATGGATACTTTACCCAAGGTACCTACCCGGGATTGCGTGATATGATTCGTTGAGTGTCGGTGCGGGAGGGATGCTCCGTATCTGTGGGTGCCATCTAATGTGGTCTGTGGCCGTTTCATCTTCGTCTTTTGCTTGATATCATGATGAGTATGGCAGCGACGCAGAACTTGAGAGATGTCGAGAAATGTCGAGAGATGTATGAGCTTGAAGTTGAAGTTGAAGTTGAAGTTGAACTTGAACTTGAACTTGAACTTGAGCAGAAAAGCGCAACCCAGTCACTTAATGGTCGACCGTATAACTGTGCCCGGTTACGTCAGAGCATTCAAGTCAACACGAATCATGTATACTGTCGAGCACAGTAGTAAGAAGTACGACATACTACGACATACTTACTCTGTAGTAGGTATATCAACTTGTAAACATCCGCCTCCGGTCCCTTCCTCGACCCAACACGATATCAATGGCCTGAACAGCTACCTGACAGTATCCCTCCATGCGCTCTCGTGGTCTTCACTTCAACCTCAAAACTTACGTTGACGCCTCCATGGCAGCCACGACGAAGCCCCAGACCCCCAAATCTGCAAAGGGACCCCGATGGATGGAAGACGACGTGCCCATCATTGACTCCAAAGAGAGCTTCTCTGATGTCGTTGCTAAACTATCTTCCTATGTGGTCAAAGCCATCGACGCCGCGTACACCTATGAACAGCTCAGGACCACCGTGGCCGGTCAAAGTCTGAAACCCCTGATCGCCGGTCTGAGCGAGGAATGCCACCATCCCGCCGTTGTGGCCGCTCTGTTGGCTGCCAGATACATCTTCACCAACGACTCGGACCACTCAGACTCGGCTCTGAACGAGAGTAGAGGTCTTGCCTGCGAGCTTGTTGCCTGGCAGTTCCTGACGTTTTTGTCTGAGAAGGAGCTGATTGACTACCTTCTCTACGAACTCCCCGAATGTCCCGACGATTCCCACCATCAACCACAACTAGAGTCAACGGACGATCTTCCCACCCCCGTCCGGGGCAATGGCACGTCTGATGAACGCTCGCCGCTCCTCCGGTCGCGGTCCGGCCAATATGACAGCCTCAGACCTCCTAGGAGAGCCAGCGTCCACGACACCCGCGGCACCACCACTTATCGGGACGAGGACACGACTGAAAGTCCACAGATCAATCTCGATGAGATGCTGGCTGGAATGAGTGCGTTGGAAATCGCCGCCATCAGTAATGCAAAGAAATTCCTGTCACAAAGCCCTGTGCAGAAAATCGTTGAGGACATCTGGAACGGCGATGTCATCTTCTGGGAATCGCTCTCGGTCCATGCCGTGAAGAAGCCCCGTGCTTACAACAAACGCGTTGCCGACCCCTTCACTCGCCTCAGGGTCCCCAAATACCAGAAGGCGTTTCAGATCGCCTTCTTTCTCTCCTTTCTCCTCCTGTACTATGCCGTTCTGGTGGAGCGGAATCCTCAGCATATCACTCCGACCGAGGCCTTGCTGTACGTCTGGATCGCCGCCTACGCGTATGATGAGTTCGGTGAGGTCATGGACGCTGGCCTGATGTTCTATCAGGTCGATTTCTGGTCGCTGTGGGACCTAGGCATTATTGGTGTCAGCGCCGCTTTTGTCGTAACGCGTCCGTCAACCCGACCTGGTTCTTGTGTGGAAGGACGCTGACCATTGCTGTAGGGATTGTCGGACTCATCAAAAACAGCGATTATATCATTGATGTGGCATTCGATATTTTGTCTATGGTTGCCTTGTTTCTTGTCCCGAGGTTAGTGAGCCTTCCTTTGTCCGCAACCAATACTGATGGTGGTAGAATATTCTCGGTCATGAGCCTCAACCCTTACTTCGGCAGTCTGGTACGTGGACGAGACAATTTGACCATGACTTCGCTGACTGTTTCATGCAGATTCCAGTTTTGAAGGAGATGGTGAGATCAAACAAGATGGACGCGCCCCAATCCCGCTGACCATCCTCCAGACAAAAGCATTCTGCAAGTTCTTGCCAGTCATCATTGTGCTCTACCTTGGTAAGCTCACAGATCTTGACTTAAGAGCGTTCTCTGATATATCATGGAAAATAGGGTTCTTGACCACTTTCACGATGCTCGCCCGAGATCGCATGAACCTGAACGAGATGTCTTGGTTGTTGATCAAAGTCTTCTTTGGGTACGAACCACAACGGCCGACTATTTGCATTTACTAATTGCCGTTCAGGTCGAGCTATCTTGGATTCGACATGGCAGTCAAGGTCCGTAAACCTCCAGCCGGCACCCATCTAAGCTAACACCGAGGCTTTGCAGATTTCTCCTCTATTTGGTTATCCGTTGATGTAAGTATTCAGCGCCACCTTTCGGGTACCAGTTGTATTGCTCCAAATGCTCAGCCGCAGACCCCTACCATCTTCGGCGCTTAGCCATCCAGCGTGGACTGAGATACCTGTTGCGGGCCGAGAAATCAACCTGAGCGCTTGCAAGTCCAATGTGCTAACAAGCCATATCTTGCGCAGGCTGATTTTTGTTTGCCTGACCAACATTCTCCTCATCACATCTCTTGTGTCATTAGTGTCGAATTCATTGACAGAGGTAGGTCGATGCCCCCCCCGAGCAGCCATGCAGTCGACAGGGTCCTAAAATAGCCGCCGGCTACAATAGCGTCCGTACTGATTGGCTTACCAGGTCATGGCCCATGCCAGGGAGGAGTACCTCTTCCAATATTCGATATACGTGCTCGAAAGCAGTACCTCCAGCCGATTGACCTACTTCATGCCGCCGCTCAATCTAATCCCCTTGACCCTTCTGCGACCTCTTCGGCTCTTTTTCCCTTCAGAGGATGTCCGGCGAATTCGGATCTTGGTGCTCAAGGTCACCCATGTCCCCTTCGTGGCCATCATCTGGGCCTACGAAAAATCCAGAGGCATAGTCTCTCGTCATCATTCAACATTGGGTAAAGCCCCCAACTTGACCAGTCGTCCTCTTAGTGCGGGACAGTTTAGTTTCGATGGCTCCCGAGACTTTGTCAAATCATCGACAACGCGGAGAGCGCTTCCTGAAACACCACCAGCCGCGACTCCTAACATGAGTGGTGGCACGGGAATGTCCAAGTCTGCCTCGGGCAGTGCTAATGATGTGGACTTGGTTGAGCTCGTTCAACAGTTGAGTGCTCAAGTGGACGGGTTGACAGCCATGATTGCAGGCCAGCAAAAGGACTGATTCTGAATCGTTCTCTCTCTACCACCGTTGCCCATAACCCTTGCAATCCGCATTGAGGGCAGGTCACATTGCAAGCTCTCAATAACCCCCAACTCGATACCATGGCGAATCATGTCGATCCTGGACCGAGGATCGCATGAGCCACCTGGCCTCTGTATGGCGAACCATAGACTGCAAAACTCTAGACCAGGGTCTTCATCATTCTCCTCCGTGCCCGAGCGGCCATGGCGACCCACCATATCGCCCGCCGGGGCTCCAAGACTCCATCGTGGAATTTATTTGCTTCTTATTGGCGACGGAACGTCTGGATCTGTTTGCCGTTCATGAGCTGGCTACGCTAATGCACCGACTTTGAACATGAGCAGCTTTCGTGCTCGGTAAGCTAGAGACTGAGGAGGGAGAGCTTCTCTTCTCCTATCAACGCCGCCTCTCCCGAAAACAGCCTGAGCGGCTGTGGGCGGGACTGTCGACTAGGGAGGACATATGTTCAGCAGCACTGCCCGGGGCGAGGCAATGGTTCCTCTATGGTCGAACATGCCGAGTGCGCTGTCGGACCATGTGTGCTTGGTAACCTATGGAGCAGCCTTTCATTCTCATGTGTTTTTAAAGCTTGTCTTTCCCATGCTGCTTGGGGGTGGTCTTTTGTCATGAAGATCAGTTAGGTAACGTGACATATCTACCAATATGGATCGTCCTGTTTTCCCCGAGCTCGTGGAAGGAGATGATCAAAATGATACGAGCGCGAGTCCCTTCGAGCCAACCATCCAGCCCACCATCCAGCAATCCATATGTCTCAATTCTCCTCATGAAGCTCCATGTCAAATCTTGCAGCCGGAGACTCCTAGCGGACCCTTCACGACATCGAACTACTCGGTTCCCTATGACCAAGGTTACCTGCCAGCCCCTACGATCACAACATCCCACGCGACCGGCGTGGAATCGTCTTTGTCACTGAAACTCTATGAAGACAGCGACCTGATTGCCTCGCAGCCACAGGAACAGGCTCCGGCAGTCTCCACACCGAGCAGTATACCAGTCCCAGCTTCAGTCGGCGCACCTACAACGAATCTCTTTCCAGACGGCTCTTCAGCGTCTGCCTCGCGCGCCATCTTCGCACACCCCGAGTTACAATGTCGGGTATGCCTCAAACATCTCAAGAGACGAGCAACACTCAAGAGTCATATGAAGACTCACAAAGCACATCGAGAGATATTGCAATGCCCGCACCCGGGTTGTTCGAAGATCTTCAAGCGGTCTGGCGATCGAACACGCCACATCCGGAGTGTACGTCCCAGACTCTCAGTCAGGCTCTGTTAGCGATTGAGGGCATTTCGCTAATCATGGAATCAAAACAGAAGCATCTCGAACCTCAGCAGTTTCCGTGCCAATATTGCGGAAGGGAGTATGGCCGGTCGGACTTGCGGGATCGGTAAGTGTGATTTCTCCCTTAAGGGTGTTGACTGGCCTCCATGGCCTGCTGTCACTGGCAGGACACTGTGACTGACGTCTCACAAATTGGGCCACAGACATGAAAAAGCTTACTGCGATGTCCATCGGCAACAGATGCAAGCAGCCGCTGCTACTGGTTCGCGGCTTGAGGGCACGACGCCGCTGCTCACAGCAGGCCATCTCCCACCACCACCACCATCACTGTCTGTAGGCACATCGCCCATGTCAACATCCACGGCCATGACAGGACCACCCACTCCGCAACCTTTGGTTGTGTCACAATCACGGGACGGTCCCGCTTATGTTTTTGATTACAGCAGTACTACTATACCGTCGTCGGACATATCAACTGGGCTTCTTATCCACGACATGGACACTGCTTGCGAAATGCCCTACTTCTTCTGCAACAATGACATCCTACTACCAAGCCAGATGGTGGGAACTAGTAGCTACGTCTTCCCGTGGACCTCGTCTTGTCTTGACAGTGGTCCATTACAAGTCCCTCTGTTGCCTGGTCCGGATTTGGATATCAGCGTCAATCCTCTGTCGGAGACTCGGACTCCTCCCATCAACACGCTTTACAACATGGGGGGAATAGGGCTTGGTATGGATATGGGCATGGATACCAGTATGGGCATGGGCATGAATACTAATATGGGCACTATCGACGTACCTATGCATATGCCCAGGAATGTGGACATCGGTACGTGTTTGGATCCGTGTATTGCTGTGGATGCTGTGAATATGAACATGCCCGTTGAACTTGGACACGCAACGATGATGGAAGTGCAAACGCCAGAGGACAGCTGGGATCAATTACCGGCGGCGGAACTTGTGCAAACACCACCACAGGACAGCTGGGATCATCTACCGACATGGTGGGAAATGTGACCACTGACCAGCCATACATGATACTTTATTCATTACAGCCGAACATGACATTGTCACCCTGGCTTCGTTTCTTGCTTGGAAGAGAGAATTCTCTTGGGGGTCAGATATCTAGGTTCCGACCATGGTTCGTTCCATTCAATACTTACTATGGTACTAAGGACTAAGTACAGTAATTGATACGAGGGCGACAATCCACGGAACTGAGAACATGAAGAGAAGAAGATGGCATCAGCGGACAGTGTTTGGACAACAGATAGATTGTCAAACACTGCAGCCAGTGAGTGGGTTCTAGGAGGAGAGAATCGGTCTCGAGAGGGCAGCTACTTTGGATGCTTCTTACTTCTTACTTCTTACTTGGTAAGTAGTAGTAGTAGTAGTAGTAGTATCTGACGTCGTAATAGAGGAAGCAAATCGTAGTCACGGATGGTTTGTCTTGTCCTCTTCGAGTACTGTATATCTCAGTGGCCATTCTAATTGTGTCACATATCTACCAGTAAAAGTAGTATACCAGTCAGTACTAAGATCGCTGACCTTTATGCCTACTACTACTACTACCAGTAGTATCCAGGATGCATCGACGTTGAGCAAACCGGCAAAAAAGGTGAGACGCACGTGGCCGAGAGAGAAGAGAAACCTTGACCAGCGTCACTTCCACTTTCAACCTCCAAGAACTGAAAGAACTTGAACTTCTCATTTCCGTCCGATCGTGGCTCACTTTCTGTATCTTCAACTTTGAACCCGGCGTCCACACAACACCCGAGCTCTAGTGGGCGCTTTCTCCGCCTCTGCATCTATTGCTTCGATTTAGAGATCTCAGTCGTGTGGAAGTGGTGTACGCTCCTTGACCGGCGACCGCCGACGGGTCACCATTACAGTAAGTCCCTCACACCAGAAATGGATTCCTTTTCGGGCGGTTTCAGTCTCTCGGGATGCAGGCCGGATACATACTTACTATTACTTACTACTACTTAGTAGTAGGGTCAGTTAGGCATTCTGGAGCAACTGGAAGGCCTGGTGTGGCTGACCACACTGCAAGGACCCGGCGCACGCATTGCCTCTCTACTACTATCGACCTCTTGGCCAGCTGCGCGCGTATCCTGATATCAGCCTGATTCTGCATCTCCTCACTGTATGCACCCTGGGTATCAAGCATCATGGGCATGATCGATCTTCATTGGAATGGAGGTGCCTACCTAGTCTGCGACCTAGCATATGATCTACAGTGCGTTGGCACTGTAGGGATCAGAGATGCCTACGCCACCTCATCTATCAACCTGTGGTCTATCCCAGCAACTCAACATCCACTGTATCACGCGTGGACGCCCGTCTTAGATCAGGCTGAGCTGCAGGCTCTTATCTCAACGATCTCACGATTTCTCGGGAAAGTGCTTCAAGGAAGGGTACATGGGATTGCTCTCTAATCAGGACGATGTCTTTTTCAAACTTCGGGAAATCACCACGGCACCATGCAGCCTCTTGCCTGTCTCCGAAGAAGCCGGGACTGGATGCCATATGGCTTCTGCAGCACGCCGACCTTCGTGTTCACGACGCTCCAGGCATCTCTCGTGGATGATGCCTCTCTGCTGCTCGATCTCATCATTCCTTTGGGGATCCTGCTACCTGGCGTTCAGTGATGCGGGATGCCGAAGAACGTGCGACTTCCCATGATCACCAGCACTACCGACAGCATGTGACCGGTCATTCGGACGACACCTCAGTGCTGGTGTGTCAACGCGACACACCTTGCCAGTCCGATAACGTTGGTCGGGTAGCAACGTTAAGCAAAGCCGTGGATCGAGCCGCTTTCGGATGGGTAACTTGGACGGGTATGAGCCCCTGCTTCCTTGAAATCCAGCCTGGTCACATTGGTAAGTACTGTTGAAGTATTGATACTTATATCCTCCTTGAGTGGCAGTAGGTCTGCCAGATTTGTGCCTCTTCTACAGCCAGCTGGATTCACTCTTATCGACGATACCCGAGACGCTTCCCTACTAACTTGCGCCGTCAGGATGTTGGGGAATTCGACGTGCCTCCCGCCACATGGCGCTATTATGTACATGATCAACTACATGTTCCTTCCGCCCAAACTGCCGTGTCAGGATGACTCTACTACAGAAAACGAGACAGCCCTGCTGAACACCACCATCGATGCTCTTCGTGAGTTCAGAGAACATGTGACAGATGATTCCAAGGGTGCCGTCGACATGGTGGTTGCGATGGTCGCTAACATGATTGCCATTGGTGATACTCTGGATGCCAGTCGGGCGGTCAATGAGAGGATCCTTTCCGATGTTTTGAGAGAGTTGCCTACGAAAGGTAGTTGCATCCTCCCTCTGCCCTTTCTTCTCGATCTCTAGCGGGCCAGGTGGCATGATACCCCTCCACATTCGAGCCCAGAATGCCGGGGTCATGATCAGCAAGGTAGCCGATCGTATCCACGTGGAAGTGTTTGAGCTGTCTCCTCTCAACGGACCAGTCCTTGCCACCAAAGGTCGACTTCGACACTCCTTTCCAGGATTCGCTCTGGCTCTCGACCTCGAGGTGTTTTGTGAACCCGGTTTGCAAACGGCCATGGCCCGCTCGCTCGCTAAAATGAGCCATCAGTCTGCTCCGGATACGCAACCTAAAGTTCGCAAGGCTCGGTATATGCACGATGAAAACCGAGACGCGACTCACCCCAAGATTGTCACGGAGCTGTTCATGGGATTTCTGAGACCGATGGGCGAAGATATGCCTGTCCCACTCCTATGGAAGAACACTCGTGAAGAGGTCATGTGGCGGGATGCTCTGTTGCCGTGGCGAAGATCCCCTGTCTGGTTGCTTCTCCGTGTCTCCATGCAACTTGCCTTTTCTCGATTGCCAGACTCGGAGAGGCGGTCTGCAGAATATTACAAGAGCTTCATGGTCTTTCTCATGGGAAAGGTGCTCCAGATGGCTCCCCAGTGCCGATTCCCCTGCGACCTGCTCTACGTGATGAACGCTAAGCTCAGTCGCCGCCTCCTGAAGCTCGATCCGTCGGACTCCGAAGCTGGCGTGGCCGTCGTTCACAGCATCATGCACGATACCGCCAAACTGATTCGGACGCGTTGGGAGAGCGTGGTACAACCGCCTTCGTCTCGATATGATCTGTCAGTTCTCACGAGCCTCAATTTCGAGCGGGATATCTCCACCCCCCTTCATGACCTCGCAGAGTGTCTGCCTCTCAGTGTGATGCATCTCGATCTCCCAGAACAGCGACATACGAATGCTTTGGTCCTGGAGCATCTCCTCCGACCGGAGAATTCTGTTAGGAGTATGCCACTGCCAACCCGAGCAGGAGCTTGTGATACGACAGCCGAGAGCTTACTGGCCATGGTGAATGAAATGGACCCGCCAGCCCAAGTGATTTTAGATGTCGGAGCCCAGATCCTGGAACTGGGGAACCTTGAAGTGGCGAGAGAGTGGCTGAAGAGAACCCAGGACCATGAAAAGGCTCAGGCCGTGGTGTTTTTCAATGACCATGATGAGCTTTCGGTCCTGGACCGCAAGGGACGAGTTGAACCTCTTCAAACCTCGCCATTTGCCGCCCGGCTCGATGTATGTCTCGTCTTCCTGGATGAGGCGCATACAAGAGGCACCGACTTGAAACTGCCAGAGTTCTATACGGCAGCCGTGACTCTGGGAGCACAATTGACAAAGGACAGATTAATTCAAGGTGAGCCTACGCCGTCTCCATAGCGGTCTTGACTCTTGACTAACACAGCGTAAGCATGCATGAGGATGAGAAAACTAGGCTACGGACAGTCAGTCGTGTTTTGTGTTCCAAAAGAGATCCGCCGGCAAATCCTGACACGCACAACACACTCCGAGAACACCACCACCGCTATTGGTGTGTCCGACATTCTCTGCTGGGCCATGATGGAAACGTGGCTTGATGTTCTACGGAGCATACCTCTGTGGGCTGTGCAGGGGCGACGGTTTGAACAACAACGTCCGCTGTGGGCTGGCGTCGGCATTGACAGAGATCTCGTCGTATCAACCAGCTGGGCGAAACAGTTCCTCGAGGACGAATCGCAGTCTCTGGACCATCTTTACCGAGGAGGCCACCTCCTCGAAGCTGGTCGACCAAAACGTGAATATCCAGCGCATCACAAATTGATGTTTGGAGTTCGACAACCTGGAAGCCAACGCGGCCACACTTCAAGAGGAACAGGAGCGTGAATTGTCGCCCGAGATTGTGGCAGAACGAGAGGTGCAATGACCTGCCCCTGCAGAGCCGCTGGAGCATTCCATCCACCCGGACCTCGTTTCATTTGTGGAAGATGGAGTGCCCAAGACCGGCTCAAAGGCGTTCAAGCCCGCCTTCCAGACCCTCCGTTCGACGAGTGGGGCTGCACACATGGACGTTGCCCAGTTCCCGACCAATGTCCTGGTGACAGTCGACTTCGCCCGCACGATTCAAACCATTCGAACCCTCGGCGAATCGTATGTGCTCGACGCGTACCAGCGGCCGGTGCAGTGGATTTTGACCAGCGTCGGTGGTGACGAGTCAGACTCCAGGGACAACAACAACAACAGCCGCTGCAGTTCCATCAAGCATCTCGTCGTCATCAGCCCATATGAAGCACGAGAGCTCCAGCCCGCCGTGAGACGCTCCACCAGAGTGACACTCCATCTCTACGCCCCTCGGCCAAACCTGGGCATCCGCCCGTTGGATGGGTTGGATTTGTACAATGTTTCAGCGATTCGAATGTCACCGACACCACCGATCGATCTGGTCACTCAACTCAATCTGTTTTCCGGCCAGCTCTATCTGAAATCTTTCAGTGAGTATGTCCAGGTCTGTAACACCCTCCGCCTCGCCTGGCTGGAGGCCGAACCTGGAAGCTCCATCGCCGCCGATGGCTTTATTGTCCGAGACGCCGACTCGTCGGGCCGCATCCCAACCACGTCGACTTCAACTTTCCTCCAGAGTCCGGTCCCCTTCTTGCGAACGCTCATGATGCAGATTCGGAATCATTGCGAGGAAATAGACAAGACTCACATGGGCGCCATCTTGGGTGGGAGACTGCTTTGTCCTTCTGATTTTGAGGAGCCATAGTAGGAAGTAGAGATTAGGTACTACTAGGTAGGTACCTATATCTATAAAGACTTTATACGATTTAGCGATTGAAACCGAGCTCGAGCTCGATTCGAATACGATTTGAAACCGTATCGAAGGTGTATCGAAGCTATATCCAAGCTGTATCCAACCTGTATCGAACCTGTATCGAACCTGTATCGAACCTGTATCGAACCTGTATCGAACCTGTATCGAACCTGTATCGAACCTGCATCGAACCGTATTAGAAACGGATCGAAATTGACATAATACTATAAACTTTCTACTAAGAATATATAGATAGATATCTAGCTAGGTATTACTAAATTGTATTAACTACTTACTACTATATTAGGATTTATATAACTTAAGAATCTTTAGCATTACGAATATAAGCTATTAGAATAAGATAGGTATAATTTTTTCAATCTAGTTCTAATCTAGTTCTAATCTAGTTCTAATCTAGGGAGGCTGGCCCGGGCTAGGGGCAAGCTGTACCGGGCTGGTAGTGAGCTGTACTACGCCAATCTAGTAAGCTGTAATCTACTAGATACTAGTACTTATAAGGTTGATTTTGATTTTATCGTGATTTTATCGTGATTTTATCGTGATTCTGATTCCTATTCGATCTAGCGTCAAGTAAAAATTTCAAGTGAAGCAATCAATCACACATCCATCACCTCGGGGTTTCCCAAAGTCGAGGTCGTCTCGGTTGTCACGCTCGCCATCCTCCACAGATGGCCAGCTCGGACGATACGGCATCGATACTACTACCTTAGTACTTGTTCGCATTCAACCAATGGTCCTGGGTCTCAGGGGCTGGGCCTTCTCCGAGCCCAAAGTGTTGGGCCAGGACGACACTGGTCAGTTCGGCCGCGTCCTCGTCCGAGTCGTTGTCGACCGTGCATCGAATGTTGGTCGCCATGTGAGTCGGGTCTTCCGATCTTTCTCATCAGCAAGTCGACAATCGCGTCTAAACGAAGAACCTAGCGAACCGGCATCATCCAGTCCGCGGACGATTCGTGGTAGCGGAGGTCTTTGGGCGCAGAAGCTGCCAACATTGCGATCAGACCAGCGTGAAACCACATCCGGGCTTGATGGTTCGGGCAACTCAGATCGTTCTGTGATCGAGGTATCACTGCTCGTAGTGTGTGAGGCGTATGAAATCCGAGACACGTGTCTTCGAAGCCCGCGCTACGGATCCTGCCGATGCGTGTTGACATGGACGATACTGGAATGTGATACATTTATCAGACCAGGAGAGTAAGACGTGTCAGATGCCGCTAGACATGCTCGAGGCGTTGTTTTTGGGTGTGAAGATTGTGATCCGACCCCAAAGCTATTTCGTGAGACTCAGTGCTGGGTACGCATTGCATGTCCGTCAGGCACCGCACGCCTTCAAGATCCTCGGCCTTGAACTTCCTGACGAGCATTTCCAAAATGTCGGCAGCTTTGTGAGCTTCCAGACTCTGTTGTCGCATTTGACCGAATACTCGCGCACTGAGTTCCAAAGCCTTGATCATCTCCATCCTCGTGGGCATGCCTGGCATGACTTGCTTGCCTCGAATGTTCTCTGCAGGGTGAACACAAGTCGGCGGTGACGATGGCTGCAGCAAGCAGGGAATTATATATCGCCAATGATGTCTGATACTATTTGAAGTATGTCGTCAAGCTTCGCAGGTGGCCGTCGACCGAAATGTTTTGGTTTTGTATGGCTTGAAAGCAAAGTATCGACATGGTAGAACTCAGACAGACCCGCCTGGAGTACAAGAATCGGTCGTCGGTGTTGGTGCTCTCGAGAAACCGACTGTGGAGGATACAGAGTGACTTGTGGTGAATGCTGGACAAAGTGAAGCGTGCTGAGACCAGGGCAAGCGAAGCCTGGCTCGATAATGGACCAATCTTGAAATACTTCTCGGGGACCTTGTCGTAAATATGGCGGAGCTCACGGTCGATCTCCAGAACTCGTTCCCACCACATTGCATCATTTGCATGCGAGCGACTGAATTCGTCCAGAGCACGAGCGATTCAGCATCAGAGCCCAGTGCGCTTCATTCACGAAGGGATGGTCTCTGAGATCGGAACTGATGCTTAACACTGTCCCCGATTTCCCCCGGATGGTTCTTGTCTGGTTGTCGGTACTGCCACCTTTATTACCTTTATGATGGCCCGTCTCTGCTCCTTCGAAGGTTCTATTGTGATCGGTGTCGACGCTGGTTGAAGCTCGAGATCGGCTGTTTAAGAGGGAGAGGTACTCGGATGTGCTGCAGCTATCATGCAACAGTCCGCTGTACTAGCAAAGCAGACCTGCGCGGTGCAGGATAGAGGCCCAGGACGAACAATGTAAGTAAGTGATGGTCAGCGTCGCTGTTTCTCCAGAAGGGTGAGGACAAGTTGCTCCAGGTGATCAATTGGGGCGTGAGCGCTCTCGGTCAAGTGGGAAAGTCCTTGCGGGTTGGGACACGGTTCGCGGTTGCGCACAACGTAGCAGCAGGCTGTGATGTCGTGTCGATTGACACAGTTTCCGCATGCCTGCCGAGCACGGTCACATCTCAGTCTCAACCAAAAGTCAGCAAGGGGAGTGGATGATGGTCGGAGTAGTTAGTAACTTGCTTCCGGTTCCGACATGGGAAGCATGATATAGATCTTCCGCCCCTAGCATTTCCCGTGGCCGTGGGCCGCACCATGCGAGTTTGGCCGTGTTGTCCGCGGGAGACAGCCATTGAACGACGCGGATTGATTGCACCGGAGCATTGGTTCTCAACCTTATGATAGGGAACTTCGCAGAGGACAACGTTCTGAAGCGTTTGCAACGATCGATGCACAGGAAATTTGGGTGACGGGAGTAGATGAGGCGGAGTTGGTGGGCGTAGACTGCGGGACGTCAAGACGGAGAAGATGGAGTTATGTGGGTACGTCCTATATAGTACGAGTAGTACCTGCCTAATAGTACTTTAGCAGTCGATAGTAGTAGATACACTGGACAGCCTTCCTGATTAGACTTGGCAAGTTAGGGACATACTAGTACTTACTAGTACCTACCTTGAGCTTGAGGCCGTGACGCCATTATAGACTGCGGGAGTTGAAGTGACGACTGGCAAGAGAAGGAAAGACCCAAAGTACTAACGCGGTTCGGCGGACACACGCGTTAAGTGCAGTGGCCTCTGACGCGACATCTTGGCGACAAAAGAGGCGTAGTAGTAGTTGTAGTACGCTCTAACCAGATTGAGAGTCCAGTGCAGACAGGGAACTTAGTAGCGACGACGAGCCATCCGATTTCTGGATATACGAACTTCATTCCTGACAATTTAACGGTGGCAGGCGAGCAGAGTGTACCCCTACGCTCGACTTCGATCCACCCCTTCTGACGGTACTTAGTACGTACTAGTACTAAGTCACCGCCTTCAATGCCATCGAGTCAACGCAGGGCCGCCCAGTCCAGACTAGGCAGAGCATGTACTGAGTGTCGCCAGGTCAAGGTATGTACTATTTGCTGTTCTTTTCCCCCTGCTACATCCAGCTCATGATGGCCACTGAGCGCCTACTTACTAGTTACGATGCGACTCGACGGTTAAATTCCCTGCTCCTTGTTCAAGATGCCAGGCGACAGGTCGGGCGTGCACCTTTGACCCCTCCTTCAAAAGGACTCCGACCAGAGGCAAACTCGAGCGCATCACCAAGGAATTGGATGAGCTCCAACGTGTCCTCAAGAAGTCCTCCCAATCTCAGAGCATTGCTGCCCCGAGTACCACCGACAGCGACGGAAATCAAGCCGCCAGTGCCCGCACGGGAGGAGAACATGCTCTCCTAGAACACGACTCACATCAAGCCTCCTCGGTCGACGACGATGCCGTGGCAGAGCACTTCTTTGGACTTCAGGACCCTACGGTACTATCATCGTGTCCTTCTTTCCAGCTTGGACCGGTCCAAGTATCGGCGGCCAGTGTTCAAAGACTCTTTACTCTCTTCTCGCGACATCATTACCGGCATCTCCCCATCCTCGACACCCGCAAGACCTACGTGGAGCTCTATTCCCGCATACCGTTTCTGTTCTGGACAATTATCGTAGTGACATGTCGTTATCATCCCATCGATGCCCATTTACACGACTCTCTGGTCCAACCATACCATCAATTCCTGGGTAAAGTCCTCTGCAAAGCTCCGTTATCCCTCCATGCCATCCAAGCACTTTTGTTGCTGTGTCTCTGGCCATTCCCAGTTATGACACAGCTTTATGACCCGAGCCTCGGTTATTCGGCCATGGCGGTCTCAGCTGCAAAGGACCTGAGGCTTTACAAATCATCCCTGTCGCCACACTCGAACGCGGCTTCAGAAGAAGAACAAATCCGAATGAAAACCTGGCTAGCATGCTTCCAAGTCAACACGAGGTAAGTACTAGTATGTCTGTCTTGCAAGATGCGCAACCCCGTGCTAATCCTCAGTCTGGCGCAGTCTCAGTACATTCAGAGGGATTTCATCTCTTCTGCACAGCCCCAGTGAACTCGCCGACATCGGCAGAGCTCTCGCAACAGGCAGCCTTCCGACCGAGTTTGCAGCCCAAGTCGAGATCCAGCGGCAAATCTCGAGCCACATCAACATCTTGCCGATAGATCAAAGCGTCTCTGCAAATCTCTCCGCCGTCCAAACGTTTGAGGAGGATCTCGGTAGTCTCGAAAGGCAGTTCCACCCGCTCAACAATCCCGAGATCAATTTTATGGTTTTGCGAGCCAAGCTCAATCTCTACACTCAGACACTGGTCTCTCTGCACCGACGCCGTCGCGAGGAAGCTTCCTCACGAGCCACCACCGGCTCTACCTTCAACCAGAACCAATACTACCCCGCGGAGATTCTGCAGGTCAAGATCTTCGAGACGGCTGGCCGAATGATCGCTTTATTCCACGACATCCTGGACAAAACCCCTCCACTCACCAACGTCCAGGCCACGACACGTCCCAGGAGTTGCTATCCCAAATACTACCTGCATGGATTGATTTTCGCCTCGTTTACCCTCGTCCGGCTGTTCGCTTTCGGGACGCACGAGCTGCATCATCTGTTCGAACACACGCTAAAGCGGGCCTACGAAGCGTTCATGCGAGATTCTCGCCATCCCCTGGACGAACCGGCCCGGGCGGCCCAGCTCGTCGAGGTGGTCAGCAGGATGACCACCGACGTAGAGATGACGGTGGAAGATCGTGCGGGAGCGTCGGTCGTGTACGATGCCATCAGAAGAGCGGGCGAGCTGCGAGCTCGTCGGTCACTCGTCGAAGAGCCCATCCCTGAAGTCCACTTTGACTCCCAGGATGGTCCTACCCAGCGGCCAGACTCACCCAATCCGCCTTTGTCTACTCCGAACGCACAAGTGCCGCTGGACCAAGCAGATTCGCAGTATTATTGGATGACGGCAGGGCTGGATCCGTCTAGCAATATATGGGGGTTCGGAGAGATTGAAGATTTCGACGCTCTAATGCCATTTTCACCGCAAGGCTGATGTGATGCCTCATCTCATGAGGAAAATATCAAAATCTCTGTGACGAATGTCGGCCACCAGAATTCCCCTCTCGTATGACTGACTACCAGTCTCTTGATGGCTGCATCAAGGTGGGGCCCCACAAGTCACCGTCTACAGCAAATAGACAAAGTCAATGTGCTCGTCGCCTACAATGTCAAAGACCTGACCATCCCTGAGCCGTTGCAGCTCCTCTGGACTCAGGCTTGCCTTCAAGGCTGCTTTCTTCTTATTCAGGTATTTCGCATACCAGATCTGCGCCAATGCACAAACGCCGAGCAGGAAACACAATGCCATTGCTGAGGCATTTCCTTTTCGATCTGATAGTCTCGGGTCAGGATCTGAGTTTGGGGCTAAGCGGTAGGGTCCCGAACTCACAGATGGGGGGATCGCTATATGCCTGGTTTCCGCCAATGCCAGTACATTGTGCGACTATATTGACCATCTGGAGATCATCGCATCAGTCTCGCCGTTTGGTGGGAGATTGGCAACTTAAGGAGACTGGCAACTTACGGCTATGGCTGCACTCCTCTTGGTATATCCGGCGATATTGGCGGTGGTCCATGACAGAATCAATGGTATGGCCGGAAACACGCCAGCAACCATCAGACAAGCCGCAAACATCCTGACTTTGTTTTCCGTCAATGTGATGAGGAGGAGAAATCCGATGGCTCCGACCAAGGAGCAAGCGGCGATCGGGTAGCCACGGCGATTGTATCTCTCTCCCAGGAAGGCCCAGAATAAGATTGACACGAATGAACATGCATAAACAACGACGCTCATCAGCTGGGCCTTGATCGATGTGTAGCCGAACCCCTAGAGACCTGTCAACTGGATTTCAATTCTTGTGCTCGTGTCTCTTACCCTGATGATGGCCGGCAGGAAGTTCGGCAAGGAACCGGAAGCAAAGTGTGCACAGGAGTACATGACAGCATTCAGCCAGAACTTGGGGTCGATCAGAGGTTTCCAGAGGAGGTTGACTCGTAGCCTTTGGTCGGCGTGGTTGTGAGTGGCTCGACTGCGTTTTCGAGCGACCTCGATCTCTTCCCTGGTGAACAACCACTGGCCTCGGTCGGGAGTGGCAGGTAGTACAGCCAGGACAATCAAGGAATAGACCATCGGGATGATTCCCTCGATAATGAAGAGCCACTGCCACGGCTTCCACGGGGCTTTGTGGGCGAGATTCTCCTGGATGCCGTACGCGATCAGTCCGTTGAAGGCTCCAGCAAGTGCCGATGTACTGTAGATGACTTTGAAGTGAGTTAGTATGGTCTCTCTGTCTATCTCTAGTATGATGATGACCCCGGGTCCTGAAATAAACACTGATGCAGGGTATGTGTGTGAGGGTGTGTGTCCCGGACTCCTCCTCTTCCTGGCTTTTGTTTGTTTACACAGTATCTTAGGTAGACCATAGTACTCACTTGCTCCACGAGTCACCAGCTCAGGATATGTATACCAGAAGCTCAAATACAGAGTCGATCCTTGAACGTAAGCCTCAGCAGCCCCAACCAGGAAGCGGAGTCCCATCAGGTCGCTGTAGGAAGTGCATGCCACCAAAGCGGTTGTGACGGCTCCCCACTGTCTTCCAGTCAGAAAGAAGTGCATCGTTTGTTTTGGGGGGGATCAAAATCAAGGGCATCAGTCACGACTCACGTACCAGTAACATGGCACCGGCGAATTGAAAGGGAGGGCCGATTTTCTTGATAAGCACCGTTCCCGGGAGTTGGAAGACGACATATCCAGCGAGGAAACTGCTGGAGATGTTGGAGTATTGTCGTGCGGTCAAGGGAATGCTTTGTTCGAGGCCGGCGACTTTGGCATTGCCGAGATCAGATCGTGCCTGATGATAAGATAGTCAGTCAGTCAGCTTGCTTCTACTTTGTGTATGTGAGATACTAAAGTCTGAGATGTTTTGTGGGTTGAGTTGTTATGTTGGACGTCAGGGAGGGTAGGTACTTAGTAGCCAGGCTTAGAACTTACCATGGCGCTGAGAAAATAGACAATTGACAGGGCCGGTAGGATAACAAAGTCCAACTTCCGCTTCAGTCGACGCTCGACTGCCTTGTCGATAGGTTCTGCGTCGTCACCGCCGAACGTGACGCCGACGCCAACGCCAGGACCCGCCTCTTTGTCTTTGTCTTCGCCGGAGCAGCCGGAGCCTCCAACGTTCTCGACCATGGAGATGGTTTCTTTGTTGGTATTGGTGGCCCTTTGGAAAGGAACGGGCCCGGCAGGCCCAGGCTCGACGGAGTGCGCCATTGCATGCAACCAGTTCTCTAATCAGACGGGACTAGAGCACACTGAGCTGAGCGGTGATATCTGGGTCGATAGAAGGACGGAAAGGGGAAGTGGCACCAGCGCCGAGTCCCCCATGTAGCTGAGCCTGGATATGCAGAGAGAGAAGAAATTGGTGCCCTGGGACATTCCCCAGAGAGATCGGAGAGAGGAGTTTTATATACGACTCTAGTCTCTCGCCGGGGTAACTCCACACGACAGGGCCAACAGACCCCGGGGCATCATCGTGGCAAGGGCTCTCCCCATGTTATCTTAGACACCTCGCCTGACGACTGGTCTTCAATGATCATCACAGATTCACAGACTCTGGGGTCTTGTTCTGTTCTGGGAAGCGTGAAGCTGGGGAGACCCGATTTTGTGGGGGACCCTGATTCTCCACTCACCAACTAAGCCAATAAGAATGCGCTTAATGCGGGTCTGGCCGTAAGCGAAGTTCGCTTGTTGCTGCGAATTGCGCTTGATCGGGCGAAACCCGCTTCAAGTGTGCGAATTGCGCTTGCGAGGCTGACGACGCCACTCCGGTCCGGGCGGCCAAGAAAGAATGCATTGTTATATCCGGGAACATTCCTCCATAGGTGTACGAGACGAGAGGGCTGTCAAGAATCGAAGAAAGGTAGACTTAGGCTTGTTGACTTCCCAAGGTCTTTGAAGTCTGAGGTCGAAAGGCGGACGATCAACCATCACAGCACCATTTGTTGTCTAGGGATTCACCGGTCGACTGCAGACAAGCCTGAGGTCTGAAAGGAATCTATCCTACCCGGCACACCCGCCTCTGCCGTGGTCGTTGTTTTTGTTGCAGCATGTCTCCAAGTATAGACGTCGCCGAGAGCCAAGGGGATTTGGTTCCCCTCTGCTCCATCATCACTCCTATTGGCATGCTAGGTGTAAGTCGTCTCCCCCCCCTCAAGATTGAGGAAACTGTCACAGTGGCACCGTGCTGACCAAACACCACGTCCAGTATGGCTTCGATGAAGCACTCACGGATGAGGCTCTTGCCGAACTCACCCAGGGACCAGCCCCAGTGGCTCTGATCATGGACTCTGGCTCGACCGACTCGGGACCAGCCAAACTGGCACTGGGCGTCATGACTTGTCCGCGGTCTTCGTATCAGCGTGACCTCGAGAAGCTGTTGAAGTTGGCCCACAAGTACAACGTGCCCATCATGATCGGTTCGGCTGGCGGAGATGGTGCTGGAGAACACGTGGACGAGTTCTTGGATATTATCAAGGACATTATAGATGGTCCAGAGGGCAGGTAAGTGACAAGTCAAAGTCAAAGTCGTACAGTCTCGTCAATCTGGATTGGGATCATTGACGACAGTCCAGCCATTACAAAACCAAGGTCGTAGCTCTGTATTCGGACATCCCGAAAGAGTTGGTTAAAGAACGCCTTGGAACCGGCAAGATCAAGGGGTACGAACACCTTTTTAGATCATGCTCAGCATTTCTTACTTACTGTCTTCTAGCTGTGGTCCACCTGTACCAACATTGACCGAGGAGAATATAGACGCAGCGCCCCGGATTGTTGCACAAATGGGAGTCGAGCCATATCTCGACGCCATGTACGCGTCGCCCGACTTCAACATCATGGTCGGCGGGCGTGCCTATGATCCAGCTCCTTATGTCGCCTTTGCCGCATACCATGCCATGGGCTCGCAACAGTTGCCCTTGGACACGCTTGGAGCCGAGAAACTCGGAGCTTTTTTCCACTTGGGCAAGATCCTCGAGTGTGGTGGGATATGTGCCACGCCCAAGAGCAGGTCCGCATATGGGACGATCTACGTCGACGGGTCGTTCAAAATCACTCCACTCGAGAAGGGGGCGAGATGCACGCCGCTCACCGTCGCCGCCCACACGCTGTACGAAAAGACTCGGCCAGACCTGCTCGAGGGTCCAGGCGGCACCCTCGACCTGACCCAAACCACATACGCGGCTTTGCCGGACGGCAAATCGGTGCTGGCTCGAGGGGCCCTTTTCCACTCTACCGCAGTCGAAGGGATACCGTACACGATCAAACTCGAGGCTGCAAAGACACGTGGCTACCGGTCGCTCTTCATGGGTCACATGGGAGATCCCGTTCTGACGGGCCAGATCGACAGCTTTCTGGCCAGAGTGCAGGAGTATGTCAAATCGCAGCATCGACATGTCACAGAGGAGTGGGAGCTCGGGATGCACAAATACGGCGCTCTTTCGCCGCCAGGCCAGATCTTCGTGGTCGGAGAGGCGTTGGCGACGAACCAGAAGCTCGCCACCAGCGTGGCATCGGCGGCGAGAATCGCTTGCACTCACGGCTCTTATCCCGGTCAGAAGCAAACCTCGGGCTCTCTCGGGTTCGGAATAGGAGGTAAGCTCGAGCTCGAGACAGGGCCGTGTGCTGAGTTCTGCATATACCACGTCATGGACCTCCAGCCGGGCGAGGAGCGTGGCAGAAAGATTGGCGACGGGGATCAACCCAACAGACCATCCGCACCGCTATTCCCGTGGCAGACTTTACAAGTTGGTGAGGTCGACGCCCCGCCGCCAAAGAAGACGGTTTCAGAGGATGCTCCGCAGGTCCAGAAGGTCAATGGAGTCGTCCAGTCGAGCACCGTGACGTCGAACGGACTTAAACAATCTTCTGGCTCTCAAGTCGGACACCAATTCACAACTATTGGGGAGGTCGCACAAGTCGTCCGTTCCAAGAACGCAGGCCCGTTCGAGATCACGCTCGACCTCATATTCGAGTCGCCCCAGGTCTATCAGACCGTCAAGCGTTCCGGCTTCCTCACCGAGGAGACGGTCGCATCTCTGTATTCGCTTCGCGTCGAAGAAATCATCTTCTGCGGCTTCTTCGACCAGGCACTGGCTTGGAAGGCAACCATTCCGAGGATGACTGACGGCAAGTACTCCACCAGCGGGTCATTCCTTGACGATGACTATCATGGCTCTCAGAAGTACAGCCCTCTAATGAATCTGAAGTTGCCATCTGCGCTGGCGGAAGAGCTGGGCAATATGGCGTAACTTTAAGATAGGAGGGTCGAGGTGCTCAAACCCAAAGGAGTGATTGGCCTTTCCTGCATAAAACCTTCAGACTTCAGTATACCACACTTTCGAGGCATAAAGCGATATATATCGGCTCAGACTCGTCCAGAGCCTAACCACGTCGGCTGAAGGCTTCAGTCTAACGGGTCAGTGTAGGAATAAATTCACATCGGGGATACCTCAGCCTTGTCAGAACATGTAACCGTAAGGCTGTGCTCATGTCTTACAGGAAGGCGCAATCTGATACTGTACACAATGCGGAATTTTGGTTTCAGTCAATGTCCAATTCTCTATGGTACTAAAGCTGAAGCCGGAAGTCAGGCAAGAATCCCGTCGAAGCCAAGCTCGACTGCAGCTGACTTGAGCTCCTGTCTCACTCTGTCTTCAAGCTGTCCTTCTTGGGACGGCGAAAGAGTGTCTGAGGTGGTGCTGGTGGTCGAGCAAGCAGTACGCGGCACGGACTGTAGAAGCTTCAGAACGAGGACCTTGATATTCTCGTAGCGAGGATCAGGGCCTTTCTTCGCAGCCTGAACCGGATGAGAGAAAAGGGACGAGGCTGTCTCCGCAGAGACTATCAATTCGCCGACTCTGTCATTATCCTGGCCCTCAGCGAGGCCGGACTGTGCATCGCTGATCAAGCTTATGCCGTTCTTCGAATCTCGCCCCGTATCAATGCTGTTTTCTTCAAGGTCGAGCGATGAGGATTGCGTGACAATTTCGCGAAGACGTTCCAGTAGAGGTCCGCGGTGCATAGTGGCTACAATCCAAGGCCGTGCGACAGGAAGGTTTGACAGCAGAGCAAGACCAAACCAGGCCTCTGCCTCTGCCTGGATTCGGGTTGCCGATTCGGGATGGGTGGTCTGTCGCTGCGGCTGGGTGATGATATAGGCCATTGCATCGGCAATTGTCAGGTCCGGGTGCGGATAGGCTGGATCAGGTCGCCCAACTAGGAAGAGGAGTTTGCTCTCGATTTGTTGCTCGGTCGATTGGTCGATGTTAGAATGGGGTGATGGTTTTGTTTCTGTTTCTGCTGCGGATGGGAGAGGGTATGACGGTGGAGAAGTGAAAAGGGTTCTGAGGACCTCGATTGACAGTCTGCCTGTTTCGGTCTTGGTGATTGTATCATCAGTGTTATTGAACAGCCACATGGCGGCAAGCAGAACTTCATTGGTGTCGTTTTCCGTGAGGCCTTCTGGTGGCGTAGAGTCAGAGGGAAGATTCCATAAGTACTCTGCCCTGCCCTTGATCAACAGTCTTATCAGGGTTACAGCCTGGCGCTTGACCTCGGTGCTACCGTCACCAGTCTGACTTGGCAGTCTTAGCAGATTGTGCGCTGCGTACATCATGTTGGCCTCACGCAATATATCTTGACCTTCACGGCATAGTGCGAGGCGAGTAGCGAGGTCAACTGCTGGAACAAGAACGCTCGTATCAGAGGTCCTGATCATCAACCTCACCAGCGCGGAGGCTATGGGAGTTGAAATCAACAGGCGCATGGCGCGGTCCATAGAAGTGATGCTGTTGGCAAGCAAGACGCAACTGGACGCCCATGGGCGGGGATTTTGGGGCCTATCTCTCCCTGCCTGGATTAGCGAAATGTCGGTTCCATAGCGTTGAAGTAAGTCGACACAGTTGCGCATCAAGGTCGAGTCGTCATCGAACTTGTCGCCATAAGCACTGAGCGCAGAGATCTCGTACACGATCTTGAGGATGGCTTTTCTGTATGGCTCCTGCACTCCATCGTAGTCGTCGTCACCGTAATCGTAAGCAGGATATGGCAGAAAAATGAGTCTCCAGATTGCGTCCTTGTCTTCGATCAAAGCTCCATAGCAGCCTCGGTGGGCTAGGACATTCAGAACCGCTTGGCAGATTGGGACACGGCAGTCGGTGTCATAGTCGGCCATATCGGCACCCTGTGTCAGGAGAGAATGAATCAGTCCTAGACTGCGCGTTCCCTGCACTTCCTCTGCGTCGTCCTTGTTGAGACTGCGGACTAGTTGGTGGAGACCGTAGAGAGCGACTCGGCTCGCCATCTCCACCAGATCAGCCAGCATATCCAAGCAGTCCTTCGCAGATTCCTTCGCTCCGAGCAGGATCTCGACTGACGTGACTGAATTGTTGGCGTCCCAAAACAAGCCCAGTTTCTGCTCAGCAGCATTGACCACTGGTCCAGCATCGTGTTCGTCGTCTCTGCTCACCTGTGGGAGTGATGGCCATGGGTTTCCTTTGTCGTCGACAGCAGGTTTGTCGTAGTCGATGCAAACATTGTACAAAGTAGGAATCACTAGGTCGCATTCCTGCTTGTTTTGTACCATAGCCATCATTGCTTCCACGCCGCCTCTGCGGATGATCACGCTCCGATTCACATTATTGTCCGCACAACAGTTTGCGATGATCCGAAGAGCAGACCGGATTTCCTCTTGCTTCGATTCGAGCCATGGCCGGGCTACAATTCGCCTCGCAACCTCCAGGATACAATCAGGAGGGACTTCGCCGGCCACTTGCAGTCTTTCTTCTTGCAGGTCGCTTTTTCTGTCCAGACCAAACAATGAGCGCCAGAATGGGACTTCGCGGGTAGCATCGACCAGGACAGTGAAGAGCGGTTGGTGAGTCGGATGCGGGAGCTGAGATGCTGTGTGGAGATATGCAGCCAGAGGTCTCGTGGCGTGCATAACTCCTGTCGTCTCATTGTTTGGATCATTGGCTGCAGTCTTCAACCCAGAGACTACCGCTTCATGCTGGCTCTTGAATTCGAGATCAGCGGGTGGATGTTCTGATAGTTCGCTGCTGAGTTGCAAGCAGGCCTGACTTGGTGTTAGAGACGACATGCTGACTTCTGCGGCAGCCTAAAGGCCACAGTTGAAGACCACGCGTCCTCTCAGAGGCCCATCAAGACTCTTCTAGGGCCTGACAAGTACGATGATCGCAATAATGCTGGGATGCTGACAGTGTTGTTATGGCAAGACGCAGGTCGTTATGCACAACGTTTGCACAATGAACGGCGCATATAGAATCAGGAGAGATATATATACCCCTCGAACAAGCGAAGATACAGTGGTCTTTTCACTTATATCTTAGTGTATCACGAAAAAAGAGCAACTGATAGTTTGCAGTGATGGTTTGCAGTAATAGTCTTCAGTGATATACTACCAGAGTGAGGCTGAGGTTGAGAAATGCACTTGGAGAGAGTAATGCTTCGAGGCAAGGCTGCGCGCCAAGCGGATACGGCGGAGGCCACGACGCGTTACGACGTGAAATGCGTCTCTCCTTTTCCCCATACTAGTCTGCGAGATGTGAACACGTCTGTACAGACTTCTCTACAACTTGAGGACCATAAACACTGTAACTGATCATCCAAGAAACAAAAGATCCTGTTACTTTGAAGGCTACTATAGCCACTTCCACACGAGATACAGGGCCTCTTACGACCATATTACGCTACCCAGCAGTCAATCATGGGTCGCGCGGCGCAGACTATATCCTTTGCCCTTTTGGTTTCTTCGGTATGAAGCCACTGTACCGCGTCTCTGGCATACAGCCATACAGCTTCATGTCCGTAAGAGCTAACCTATCGGAACCAGACATACCTTCTACTCGTCCTCCCACTACTGACGGACGACTCGCCCATTCCGTCGATTCTGCCAACAAAGATTCAAGTGGAGATTATTCCAGTCCTCCCGTTCTGGGCGGTCATCACGCTCGGCACATACCTGCTAGGACGACTAGGTCTTGGAGTCCTACAATTCAACGATACCGAAGAAGCATACAAGGAGCTAATGGGGCAAATCGAAGGAGCCAAGAAGAACCTGGATAAAAGAGGCGTTTCGTGGACCTAGTGGAAAGGGGATGGTTGCGATGGGATGCAATGCGACAAAATTCCAAAGCCAGGGTGGAATGCATTGATTGGTAAGGAAAAAGAAGAAGGGACACCGGATTGCATCATGATATCAACACGGCCTCATATGTATATCACTCGCCGTCTCATGCGAGCTCCTCGCTCCGACTCCATATGTCACGTTGGCAAGCAAGAAGAGCCAAAAACAACTAAAAAACAATGAACTTCGCCGGACCCCATTCAGTCCGTCCACGTCTATTTGACACCATGTTCAGCAGCCATCCTATCATGCTCATCAATGTCGGTGGCCTCCCAAGGATAGCAGATCCAGCAATCCGGCACCGTGACCGCAGCCAGGTATCGGTTCTCATTGATCATGTCTTCAGGAAGATGACCCTTCTTCTCCTTGTCCTTGTTGTGCAAGACGAAGATGCAGAACTTAGTCGGCTCCGTCCTGCCCTGTTGTTTCCTGGCCGTTTCCACATCCTTCTCCAGCTCCTTGACGGCGTATTCGAGTGTAGTGCGGGTGTCGTCGACCTCGTCCACGATCAGGATATTCTTGCCGATCAGGTTCTTCATCTCCAGGGACGACAGATCCAACCACTGCGTGCGCGTGACTTTGGTGCCCGGCTCTTCCACCACGTCCGAGTCGGACAGCTGCTCGTAGAGGGAGAGGCCGATCGCTTGGATAGGGATGTTCGGTGCTCCGGGTTGTTTGAGGAACGATCTAGAACACAAGATACGATGGTTGATCTTAGCATGTGAACTCTTTTGACTTCTTCAATCTGCTTTTCACTTGGCAGAGGGTAGGATGCAAATACTTAGTTGTTGTAACGTACCTGAGAATGCGAGCAGGGACATAGCCGCCTCCGCCAATGGCGATCATGAGGTTAGGTTTGAATTCGTTGAGGATTCTGGGCGCCGCATTCTGGCAGAGCTTATGGATCTGTGCGAACGAAGAAAGAAATCTGTCAGTACCGTGCAGAGCAGTGCTAGACAACCCGCAAAAAACCACTTTCTTTGTCGCTGGACGAGCAACTGCGCTGCAAATGCGAGTGCGAATGCCACTGCAGTCGAGATCAGAAGACCTTTCTGCGCCTACGAGACTCACCTGGTTGTACGTGACGTAGACTTTTTCGACCATTTTGGCGAATGCTGCTGCGTGATAAGGGACGTGTATGTACGATGAGAGAGACAAAGTGAACCTGGAGAACTTGAAACGTAAAGACAGTATGAAATCTCAGAAAGGTCACATCTTCGAGTCCAGTGAAGCCACTTGGGGTCCCGCTCCGCTAAGAAAAAAAGTTCGCCGGGAATCTGGCGCGGGCGGGCGGCGGTCGGCTTACTTACCCCGCGGAATCTCATATAGTACTACCTCTACCGACTGGGGTACTACAGACTACTAGTAGTACTGGTTGTACACAAGTCATATTACCTAGAACTACCTACCAGGTTGGTAGTAGTACTTGTGTAAGTAGGTTACCGGACGTACTTTTGTGAATTTCATGTTATGCTCAAAGGCACCAAACCAGCATGGGTTGGAGGTGGCTGACGATATCAAACTTCTGTCTTTCCATCACCGAATGTCATTATCGGCTACGTAGTTCTGTTCACCTTTGCTTTAAAGAACCATCACAGTAAGCACCTGGGCGCATACCGGTCTTCGGTATGCAAATGCTCAAGGCCGGCTCGACTGGCATGCGAGCAAGATGGTCGCATAACAGCTGTGCTGGCTGACATGCCTCTGCACAAATCCCCACAAGGATAACGCACCAGACGCCAACGCTAGAAGCACCGCAGAGTTCCCAACGACCATGGCTGCACGAAAGATCTCTCATGCTCTTTAGTAGTCCACTCCGGAAGCACCCATTTGGTCATTACTTTCGAGGACACTGCCATTTGTCAGTGGGCGAAGAATGCCACGCAGGTGCCATGCACTTACGAGTATTGTTTGATTAGCGTCCCTTCACCACCTTTTGCCAGATCAATGCTGAAGACGTAGAAGTTGCCCTCGCTTGTGACAACCATGACCTGTGGAGAACTGGGGCTCATGGCCACCACACTGCGCAGCTGACTCAGTGAAGCCCCTGAACTGGACTTTGGTAGCCGGATCCAAGCAAAGTCGCGTGATGGTTCCCACATTTCGGCCACGCCTTTCGGCAAATATCCACCTACTGTCGAGGCGAGATTGATTCCCACATGCTGGGACGTTCTTCGCAGCAGACCCATTAGCGTCCCGTTCGGCTTGCGGCTTGTCAATGCGGTCGGGGATTCTGCGCCATCTTCATCATCGGCCGCGGCGTCGTAAGCCGAGTCGCTTCCCAGACTCAACCGGCGAGTGAAAGCGGTGTTGGATTTGGTCGGTGAGACTGCCTCCTCGCCCTCGCCGCCAGTTTGGCCTGCCTGTGGGCCCAGCTTGAAGATGTGGACGGTCTCGGTGGCCGAGGACACGCATAGCAGAGTTGAGGTGATGTTGAAGGCCATGCTGTATATCCTTGCGGGCATGGACCCCCTCCTAAACTGATATAGCTTGTGGGCGTCTGGGACCGAGAACACCCTAATGATTGTTCCTTTGTCGGAAGCTGTCGCCAGCATTGTGCCTTCGTTGTTGAATGTCACACAAGAAAGTGGAGAGCGATGTGCCTCCACAACATTGACAGCCTCCAGTTTGATGGCATCAAACACCAAGACTTCTCCAGACGTAGGAGGAACATGTGTAGTATTGGGAGGGGCGTGTGAAGGTGGTGCGGACGATGAACCTGCTGCCTTTTGTGGTAATGGATATGCTAGATAGCAATTGTCGGAAGAAGGGGACAGAGCGCAGATGGCTGAACAGGATGCGGTCAGTATCATGAAGATAATAAACATGAAACAAAGACTTGCCTGCAGGATTGGGCGAGGTCTCAATGGTGTAGAGCAGTCTCATGGTCTGGATGTCATAGAGATATATCTGGTCTTCCAGCACGATCACCAGTCTTTTTCTGTTCAACCGCACCGCCAGTACTGTGGTGGGGAAGGTGAGTTCGCAGATTATGGAGTCTCGCTGTACAACGTCAACCACAGTCGGCATGGAGTCCAGAGGTGCGCACTTTTGTATTCTTGATCTGGAGCCTTCTAGGAGACAATATTAACGCGACAAGGGAAGTGGAGAAGAGCATTTCGAGAATGGCAATGTTGCCAGCTTCTTTGGACTCGTAGCATTTCGCGAAAGGATCTGTAGTGAAGATGCGAAATCCTCTGGAAGTGCCTGGCCGAGTTAGTCTCACGATGTAGGACGGTGTAGGACAGTGTACGGTAGAGACATACCGACAGCCAAGTGGCTGTAGTCTTGGTTGAAAGTAACGAAGTTCATAGCCATGTTGAAGTTGGACAGCTCGCCCTCAGACTGCTATGCTGCGGAGATCCATGGATGTGATTCTCAGGCGGAAGAAGGTTGTCGTTGTAGGTGACTGGCTGTTGGCTCAGGCGTCGCTACACTCCGCCTAGAGAAATGCGTCTAGTGGTGAAGGCTTTGTAATTCTGCTTGTCACGTAGCGATTTTGAGAGAACCCAGGAAAGATGAATGAGATCTGTTGCTGTTCAGAGCGGAAGGCTGCATGTGACGTTGGAGTAACACGAGTCAGTGGAACTGAATGGTGGCAGTACGTAGTATTTTGGCTGACTAAGCTGAATGACTAATAACTTATATAAGCGTGCTGCCTGCGCTGCACCCCAGGGTCACGCCTGATCTACTACGTACTATGTTAGGTACTGTTCTTACTTGGGAGTCTACCGTATTGACATATTCAGAGCCAGACTCTGGAATATAATCCCACCCTGCTCGTCTCTTACTGTGGAAGGCCTGGCTGCCTGCTACTTACTTCGATGTGAGGCCAACGCTTTCGGCAAGCGATGATATCTTCCCAAAATGGCGGACGAGATGGAGATTCAAACAGGCTCTCCTCGAGGCGTCAAAAGGACTGCCGAAGTGGCAGGTCTGTCTCTACAGACTCCCCGCCGAATAAGGGCATGCCACCATCTTCCCGCTGGGTCACAGCTTCGCTAATTGAAGTACAAGGCTCTTGATCAAGACGTGGTCAATAAGATCGCGGCTGGAGAAATCATCGTTGCTCCCATGCATGCCTTGAAAGAAATGCTGGAGAATTCGGTCGATGCTGGTTCGACAGCTATTGAAGTCCTCGTCAAGGATGGAGGCCTCAAATTACTCCAGATCACCGACAACGGTCATGGCATCGAGGTAAGTCGGCAGCCAGGTTTGCTCGTACCGTCCTGACCCGCGCCAGAAAGACGACTTGCCCATTCTGTGCGAAAGGTTCACCACTTCCAAGCTCAAGGACTTTGAAGATCTCATGTCCATTGGTACTTATGGCTTCCGTGGTGAGGCTTTGGCAAGCATCAGCCACATCGCCCATCTGCGAGTCACCACAAGGACTGCAACGTCGAGTTGTGCCTGGCAAGCTCACTATGCCGACGGCAAACTATCTCCGGCAAAGCCTGGTCAAAGTGCTGATCCCAAACCCTGCGCCGGTCGCCTCGGCACCCAGATCACGGTGGAAGACCTGTTCTACAACATCCCCAACCGTCGACGAGCGTTCCGGTCGCCTTCAGAAGAGTATGCCAAGATCCTCGATGTCATTACGCGATACGCCGTCCATCGTCAGGGCGTGGCCTTTTCGGTGAAAAAGCACGGTGAATCTGGAGCCGGGTTTTCGGTAGCAGCGGCCGCGACCAAGATTGATCGAATCAAGCAAGCTTATGGCGGTGGTGTGGCCAAGGAACTCATGCAGTTCGAGACCGAGGATGCCAAATGGGGGTTCAAAGCCTCAGGGTACGCCACCAATGCCAATTACAGTGTCAAGCGAACGACTCTACTCCTGTTCATCAACAACCGATCCGTCGAATCATCGGCCGTCAAAAAGGCCATTGAGCAGACTTACCAGATGTTCCTTCCGAAAGGCGGACATCCATTTGTCTATCTTTGTCTGGATATTGAACCCTCCAGAGTGGATGTCAACGTGCATCCTACGAAGCGAGAGGTTCATTTCTTGAACGAGGACGAGATCATAGACCTCGTTTGTATCAATATCCGCGAAAACCTAGCGAAGGTCGACACTAGCAGAACATTCAAGACACAGACGCTGCTCCCTGGAGTGACACCCATGACACCCATGAATGGAAGGGCTGGTGCGATTGCTGAGACGCCTCCTGGCGACGAGAGCGGTGCTTCGCGGAGAACATCAACCACCAAAAAGCCATACGAGAACAACCTGGTGCGAACAGACTCGAAGATGCGAAAGATCACATCCATGCTTCCTCCTACTCTGAGGACCGGGGATTCTCAGGACGAGGCACCGGCCACAAATGGCGTCCGGTACTCAACCACAGACCGAGAGCCAGTCCCGGTGCGTTTGTCGTCGGTAAAGAATCTGCGGGCTGAAGTTCGAGAAGCCATGCACAATGGTCTCACCGAAGTCTTCGCATCCCTGACCTATGTCGGTCTTGTCGACAGCCACAGGAGGCTAGCAGCCATCCAGTCCGGGGTGAAATTGTACCTGGTGGACTATGGACTGGTCTCGAACGAGTTCTTCTACCAGGTGGGGCTCACCGACTTTGGCAATTTCGGGCTCATCCAACTGCAGCCCGCGCCTGAACTGCGCGAGCTACTGGATATGGCTGCACAGTATGAAATCGAAACAGATCCCGATTGTGCTGGGTTGGACAAGGACCATGTGGTGCAGAAAGTCCACGACCAAATCATGAGCAAAAGACAGATGCTGTCCGAGTATTTCTCCCTCGAAATCTCCAAAGACGGCCTCGTCGAAGCCATTCCTCTGCTGTTGAAAGGCTACGTGCCGTGCATGGCCAAATTGCCCACTTTCCTCTTGAGACTGGGGCCCTCCGTGGACTGGACACAGGAGGAGGGGTGTTTTCGAACGTTCCTGCGCGAACTGGCGTCGTTCTATGTTCCTGAACAGCTACCCCCACGCAGCAGCAGACACAACCCTAAACCCAAGCCGGACTCGGCCGACACAGAAATGGATGATGCCCTGGTGGACCAGGGTGATACGGTCGAAGGAAACCGTGGTCAAGAGGACAGAGTTGATCAGGCTGTGGAGAAGAGAGGAAAGGAGCTGGAGCATGTTCTAGAACACGTTCTCTTCTTGGCGTTTAGGTCACGCATCGTCGCTACCCAGGGTATGTTGAAGGGGGTGATTGAAGTGGCCAATCTGAAAGGCTTGTATCGCGTCTTTGAGCGCTGTTGATTGGGCTTGATCAGGCGACGCCATTCCTGGGCTTTGTGGTTCAAGTCGTATGAGATGTATGTGTACGATGACTTTGATACGCAGCAACAATGGGGCATGGTAGAGCAGACTGACTTACATGCAAGACTACTCCTGGTCACAGCACACAGACTTACATGTAAGACGACTCCTGGAGTGACAAGGTTCAGAGCCCTCCTGGACACATAGACAACGAGAAGGACTTCGAGATTATCCAATGAATCGGTTCGTCAGGAGAAAGTAAGTAATCGACCAGACGAGGCTGAACCCATATATGGCCCCCTGCTCTGCGTAGCCCCTGAATAGAGCCAGCCTTGTCTCGTTCACAGAGACTCAGAATGCATCTTGTAAGAACTACAAGATAACATGTCAACATACCTAGCTACTAGTAGTATGAATACACTCTCATGTCTCTTCCCTATCACAGCATATCTTTCCCCCCCAATCCAAACCCTACGTAGCCTCACCCTCATCCCGTCCCATTGTAAGAATACCATACATCGCCCAAGACGCCCCTCCCACTCCCATCCGCATTCAACAAGAACTCGGTCCCACCATTGGCATTCGCGAAATTGCCAAACCAAGCATACCTCTGGACCCAAGGCTGCCCATCCATCCAGGCCGTAGCGTTCTTCATGAACGCGACGACATCGCGACTCGGATAATCAGCCCGGTCCATACCAAACTCCGTGACCCAGACAGGATACCGCGACGCACCGGTCTGGGTATACGCCTGGGTGAGATAATCCATGAAATACTGGATATTGTACGGACTCGCGTACCAGTGCAGATTGATGAAATCGACGGTAAGGCCCAGCTGCGTGGCATTGCCCAGAAACTGCGCGAGGTACGACAGGCCCGACGTGCCCGAGTTGGTGACGGCGGGCGCGCCAATCAGCACGCCTTGACCGGAGAACGGTTGCATGTGGTCGATGTAGCCCTGCAGGGTGCGCGCGAGGGACATGCACGCCGACTGGCCCGAGTAGCATGCGTCGGGCTCGTTGAAGCCGAAGATGGCGTCGGTGTGGTAGGTCTGGATCGAGGCGTTGACGTTGGCTGCCCAGATCGACGTCAGGGACGACGCGTCGTTGTAGAGGAGCGGGATGAAGCGGAATTGGGCGGTGGGGTAGTTGCCGACGTTGTCGGACGCGTTGGGCAGCGAGTAGTAGTTGTAGGACCAGCTTATGTAGCGTGCTGGAGGGGGGTAGTAGGTTAGAGTCGTGACGTTGGTGTATGCTAGCCCGCGTTTTGCTGGGTAGTTTGTAGGTGTGGAGGAGGAGGAGGAGGAGAAGGAAGAGGAAGAGAAGGAAGAGGAAGAGAAGGAAGAGGAATAGAAGGAAGAGGAAGAGAAGGAAGAGGAAGAGAAGGAAGTAGACGATGTGCTGGTGCTGGTGCTAGTACGGGTCCCTGATCTTGACGATGTGGAAGTGGATGTAGATTTAGACGTGCCGCTGTTCGCAGTTGTCGTTGCAGTGCTAGTGCCAGAAGAGATTGTCACTGTGTTGCTGCTAGATCCGGTCGAAGATGCTGAAGAAACGGTAATAGAGGAGGAGGAAGATGAAGAAGAGGGCGGGTGAAGTGTGGTTGTGGTTGTGGTTGTTTGGGCGGTGGTGGAGAAGGACGACGACGACGACGACAATGAAGCACGAAAACTGCTAGAAGTCGATGGCCCGCTTGACACTGTAGATGCTGACTGGGAAGTACTCGTCATTGCAGCAGTGCCAGATATGCTGGTTGATGTAGTGGACAGCACCGAGGTCGGGCTGGACGAAGAAGCACCAGTCCCTGACGAGGAGGGACTTGTCCGGCCGGTTGTTGTCGTACTTGATGCCGCTGCCGCTGTGGACGAGGTCGAAGTCGCACCGACACTGGTACCGGTACTCTGAGCAGAAGAGGTCAATGAAGCACTGCTGGATGTCGCGCCGCTCTGACTGGAGGTGGTTGAATCTGAGACAGATGATGGAACACTAGACGAAGCGATAGTCGACGATACAGACGTCGTGGAGGTATGAGACACTTGAGTCGTCGTGCTGTGCGGAAGGGTTCCCGAGAGACTGGACGATGTTGCATGTTTAGGAGATGTCGATGGCAACGCAGACGTCGTCGTCGTCGTCGTCATGGCTGAAGTCGAGCTCGGCGCTGCGCCTGTTGGGCTATCAGCTGAGCTTTCTCCAGTCTGTGCGGTTCCGGGAGTAGTCAAGGTTGACGTTGATAAATTCGTTGTCGTAGCCGTGGTAGACCTTCCCTCCGTAGAACTCATGCCCAGACTCGTCGTGCTCGAAGCCATCCCAAATGTCGAAGTTGTACTTGTACTTATACTGGGAGCATCAGCATCAACAAAGTCCGGCGCCATGGTCACCTGCAACGCGCCATCAGGAGGCGGACTGTCGCCGAACACAACATAGAGCAGGCCGTCAGAGGTGGCGACGAAAGTGGTGTTCCCGAACCTCAACGTCGTGCCATCAGACGACCATGTATAGCCGGGCGGTGGCGCGGAATCGACTTGTAGAAGCGGCATTGCTCCTGCATAGTTCTCGACGCCCGTATATGTCCCTTCACTTCTGAGTTGTCCATCTGATGTGATGAGGAAGACAGCCGCTTCGTTCTTGTCGGGATACAGAAATGCTTCGCCCTCCACCCAGGTGAGATAGACGGTTGCGCGCTTGTGTAGCTTGTTGCCAAACCCGGTGATTTGGATGATGAACGGACTGGAGGTTGGAAGAGCCGACGTTGTAGTTGTTGCTGTTGCTGTCAGGCTTGGATTCGATGCCGTGGTTGACGAGTCCTGCGTGATACTACCCAGGCTCGACGACGAGGTTTGCGTGCTCAAAGACTCGCTGGACACAGACACAGACACGGTCGACTGGACTGTGCTAGTGGTGCTCAGAGTGCTGGAAGCTGGTGCGGATGATGTCGTTCGGTTCCCATATATCACTGTAGATGTCAGATAGCAGGTGTCCGCCATGGTAGACCCTGGGATCATGTTAGCTGCCTCTGTCAGCGTCGGCGTCTTCATGATGGATATTGGGGATGCTGACCAAATTGTGCTGCAGAACAAGCCACGAGGCTGGACAAAGCCAACACGACATGGCCACATCCTAGACTCTTCATCTTGACTTATCGCTCGTCCTCTTGACCGGCTTTTCACCTGTTCGTCTTGCAAAAGATACTTACGACCGCACCTCGCGCGGTATGTATGAGACGCGGACATTGTCTGGAATGTTACTGAGGAATGCTGATAGGGGTCAATGCGCTGTTCGGTCAACATGGCACCATCATTCGAAGGGAATCAAACAAAGTGAAATAGTCGAGGAATCTCATCGAATTCGACAGTGCTCTCGCTTCAACTATAAACTTCAGTTGCCGTGACAAGTGTGACAGAAGCTCTGAAAGAAGCACGTTGTGGCTGACTAGTATACAGATCTGCTTTTGTCTTGCTTTTCCCGAGATCGTCCATTCTGTTGTACATAAAAACGCAGAGGTATTTGCCAGAGACCCAAGAAAGACGCCTGTCATGCACCGGTAGCACTCAGGCTGATAACCTGGGCTACCGTAGATAGGACCAGAAGAAACCTCCAAGAATTACCAGGTAAGATTGTCTCCGGCCAATTCATAGTCCTGGACTGGTTGTTGGACTCGGTCCGGTGACACTGCCGGCATTAAGGTATTCCACAGGTACCTTGGGGACCTTTGGACTCAATATGGCGCCTGGAACCGGATTGTTGCCTCCTGATTGACGTCGCAACCGTGACGTATCTTTCGATCTCTCCTTCTCCCGGTGACTTTCACTCTTTCCACCAGTTAGACGCCGCATGCCTCGCCGCATGCCTTGTAGACTGAAGGCGCCTCCACTCTCCGCAGCAAAGCTAGGCGTGGTCTGGTATTCCGAGAGGCCCGGGCCTGCTGGGATCTTGCTGTGAACGGGTGCGGCGACACTAAGAGTGGGAAAAGGGCTGTTCTCCCCATCGGAGTGTAGGGCATCGTCATATTGATCCGCATACTCATCCTGAGATCTAAACGAAGTGCCTTGAGGCATAGCCACAAACGCATTGAGTGAGGGCTGAGAGGCTGGAAACTGGTTCGCCGGCGATGTGATGGATCTAGCATGCAACCCAGGTCTGGGTTGACTGACTGGAGTCGACGCAGTCTGGACAAACGGCTTCTTGGTCGAGTTGGGCATTGACGGACCTGGTCCACCAAGCTCATCAATGGACGAGAAAGATGATTGCGCCGTTCCGCCGGAACTGGGCGACATGAAGCCTGGTTGCGGCCGAGGGTAGACTCCCTGGAGTGGTCCAGGTTCAGTCAGTCCATCTTGCATATGAGCAAGAGAGGAAGTCCGGGCAAGGCTTTGGCGGAGGATGGGGGCAGTGTGTTCATCATAGACGGCAGTGCTCTGCTCTGTAAGAGTAGGGATCGACATCGTTGAAGGCCCGAACTGGTTGCTTCCGGTCGGCGTAAGGACATTGTCACCATCAAGGTCGTCGAAGAAATCGTCCAGACTGTCCAGGGTATTTACCAGATCACTGACATTGGTGTCTGCTGCAGCCTCCATGGATCGCATGGTCTCTGCCCGACTCTGGGGCGGTATATAAGAATCATTATAGCCATCATCTCCTTGAAACTCGACTTCAGGAGTGGCTTTCTCTTGATCCTTTAGCGCGTCAGACTCTCCGCATGTATAGAATACGGCATGGACGTTCCGTCGAGTCATGCTCGAATAAACTGCCGGCATGGGAATCGACCATCCTGACGCCAGCGGTATGCCGTAGAGACTCTCTGTGCGTTCATATTCCTTCCGAATGGCCTTTGCCGTGCCCGAGGCCATACTCATGCGCATGTGGTGTTTTTCCATAGGCGTGACTGCCACTTCCATGATGTAGTCCAGAACCTCAAGTGCCTGGGTACAATGCTCCGTCTGCAAAAGTCGGAGAAGTGGTGAGATGAGATCCGGTCCATGTGCGGTGACTGTTGGACTTTTCATGTTCACCAGAGGAATCAACACGCATAAGGTATCCATCACCTTCTCTCTGAACCAGGGGATCTTGTTCGTCAGCAGACCCATCATAAATATCAGACTCTGAGCATCGTAGGCTGGGAAATAGGCCACTGACAATGCCTCCACGGTGCCTGTGAGCATTTCCTGGCTGCTCGTGAAGCCCTTGCTAGCGAAGCGACGAAGACAAGTAGACAAAAGGCTGTGACCCTCGAGATCCGCCACAGCCGCGAGTCTTTCTGCGCATGCTAGCGACGAAGCGTCAACGGCATCCACATCGAAGCTTCTCAAAAAGCCGGGCAGATTTGCCAGAATGCAGTAGAGCAGGCGAGCTTCATCACCAACCAGTCGACAATTGGGCAGTTCAGCAAGCTCGTGGAGAATCAAGAGGGTCTTCTCCAAGCTGTCAGCCGACTTGAGGCCTTTGTAGAGCAACGACTGCAGCCCGTCGAAACCACCCTCCCAATTTGCAGGCTGCCCTTTCATCATGGCTTCAGTAACCTCCGGAGCAGACAAATCAAGCTTCTCAATGAACTTCTCCAGCATGCCCAAGGTCTCATAAAATTCCCTTTCGTGAATGGTGTTGAGACAGGCACATGTCGTCCAGAACAGTTGAGGATAGCGCATGAGATTCTTGGGCTCGAGGGCGGAGATGACAACCTTGAGCGTGGTCAAAATCTCCATCGAAAAGGTCTGATAGTCGGTATGCTCGTCCGCGATGGTATTGGACAAGCGAGCAAGCATGTCAGCAAGCATCCTGGCGTCCAAGCGGACGGAGATACAGCGAAAGACCTGGAAGGACCGGCAAGCCAGATGTCGAACGGGGCAAATCGACGCCCAGTGAAGAGCTTCTTTCGCCCAACTGTCACTGAAGTTGTCGAACGCTAGATCAAAGATACCCACGATTTGTTCAGCCAGCACAGCCATTGCTGGTGGGACTCGGCTTCCTCCATCATCCTCATCCTTTCTTGTGTTCTTATCGTAGGACCAGCTGACGCGAGGGTTGTTTGTACGGACTGCCTCTACGAGGCTTTCGATCTTTGATTTGGCGGCGTTGAGTGACTGGGGTTCGATCTTGGTTGTCACCAACTCATGGATGAGATGAACCAACATCTCTCGTGCTTGTTCCTGGACGGAAGTTGTGTAATGGTCCCAGAGAATTAGCACTGCATGCACAAGCTTGATCGCTTCTTCTTTGGCGAGAGTCACCGGCGTCACCATCAAATCAACCAGGAAGATTAATGATACCTGGCCTAGTGACAGCCCGACTTGCTTGTTACCCATAGGCAACAACGACCCCAGGTCGGCAACATACGGTAAGTGTCTCGTGTCGGGCACGTCGACATCGGCGTGCTTTCTGTCGTTGACCATGTTCTTGGGCGCGAGCTGCAACATAAAGAATTCCAACACTCGAGAGCCAGCAGGAGTAGAGGATAGATACACGACGATCTGTTTAGCATACTCCACGAAATTCTGCTCACGTCGGTTCAGAGACAGATAGATGATGAAGTCGAGGATCAGCTGAACATTGCCGGCATGCGGCCCGGTGGCCAGGGCCTGCCACAAAGCCTGCACCTCGTTATGCATGGCGTTGCTAGAGCAGATGGTGATCTCAAACATGTTTGCCAGGATCATGTGCGAGACGGCGGTTGGCCCGCCTGTCACAGGATCGACCTGAAGTTCGAGAGTCTGCAGCCAAGGCAAGATAGCCACCACCATGTTGCGCTGATGGTCGTTTCGCGCCGACTTGTAGTGGAGGGAGAACTCGGAGAAGATCATGAAAGCAATATCGGAATTCGCATTGGCCAGCCGTTTCGAATACTCGAATTGCGCCAACTTGTACACCGCTCGTGTCTTGTCAGAAATGCTAATGTCGAATTCTTGCAGATTGGACCTCTTCTGTTGCCGCTCATCCAGCGTGCGGATGATATGGGCCGATTTCATCCTGATCTCGCGGTTTTCATTGCCCAACGTGAGGACAATGATGCTCAGGATCTTCCAAAAGGGCAGAGGATAGTCTGGCTGCTGGACCAAGACCTCGCAGACGACCCCAAAGTAACTTTCCAGCGCCATTGAGAATTCCGTCCTGTAACACTGCTCTATGGCATGCTCAACAAGGACGAGGTGCTCGGGGTTGTTGATGAGCAACAGTTTGAGCGCCCGTCGGCCGATCGTGTGCATTCGGTGGTTGTGGGTGGCGAAGATGGAGTCTATCCACGAAAGCATCCGCTGGAGGTTGAAGGACAGGATGGCATTGCTGTCGGTTTTGATGCTGATCGGACCGGCACAGAGGGTCGCCATTGCACTCAAAGCAGCCACCCGCAGATTGTTCTTCTCTTTCTCCGTTGCAGCACTGGCGTTCATACGCTCTTGTATGTCTCCGCCATGTCCATGATGAGGATCAAAAAGATTTTGTTCGGGACTATAGCCGCACCAGTCCTCCATCAAGGCAAATGCCGATTTGCGCGACTCGAATGGCATCCACCGGGAGGGTGCCTTGGTTCTATTGACACCCTCGAAGACTTCTTCCACGAGACCACAGAAATGATACCGCAGTTTCTGGAACCGCCAGTCATTCTGCACATCGGTGTCGCTCAAGAAGATACGCAGATCGCGGGTGTAGTTGACCAGATTGGTCAGAATCCACTCATCGCAATAAATATCTTCGTGGCGGAGGAAAGAAGCGGTAAGCTTGTAAACATGCGTCACTTCCGTTCGCAGCCGTTCTGTCTGCTGAGAGCGCTGTGGGTTACTGGGGGTACGTTGGTGGTTGATCCTAGCCTTGGCCTCGTCGTTGCACTTGATAACCGCATATTGAAGCGATTCGAGCAGCGTTCGATATAATTTGCGGTTGATAGACGCAAGAGCCGAGACCACAGCGTCACGAATGGCATCAGGCCCTGCTCCAAGCATCGGGATGATGGCAGAGAACAAGGCTCGGGCCGAGCTCAGCTTGTCCTGGGCTGGAGTGGCCCCTTTAGAAGTCTTTCGAGCATGAGCGGCATCGGCCAGTTGACTCTGCGATTGCGCGCCGGGAGAACTGAGTGTGACACAGGCCATTATCAGATATAATTTCCACTGCTCGAAGAACACTTCCGCCGACGTGGCCGAGCTGCGTCCTTGTATACGATATTCAAACGGCGCCGGGTTTCCTGGAGTAGTCTCGGAAAATCCATCCACGTCGTTCTGCATCATGACCAGCCGGTCGGTCACCGTCCCACGGCACAGAGCAATGGCATTCGGACATGCATCGAAAACGACCCGGATCAGGTTAGGAAATGCCTTGTACCAGAGCGTTGAGTCGTATGACACTTCTGAACTGCAGATCTCAATCAACGTGCTTTGTCCAGAGCTACCTCGCTTGTCTTTCTGTAGGCGGCTTCGCTCCGCAACATTGAGAGAATTCTCCTGCAGATCCAGGATCTTGGAAGATTGATTTTCCAGCAGCTTGATGATCCTTGAAGGTTCTTCCTTTCCGAGAACGTTGTCGAATTGAGATACTAGTCGCAGGACTTTGATCGCATACGATCGTACGCGGCGAGACTGGGAACACAGGAAGAACAGACCATAGGCCTCGATCTCATCCACATGAGAATGGACGTTTGTAATCTCCATTTGGAGCGCCCTGGCAGAACTGGCGCCGGCACGATCTCTTGCTTCGGGAGAATTAGCCACGGCCTTCTGCTTGAGCTGCTCAGTCCAGATCTGGAGGAGTTCAAGGTACAACGTCAGTGTTGCTTCGATGTGTGCTGGTCCGAGACGGCCCTCGTCTGACATTGTAGAATACTGCGTGTCATAATGGAAGATGAATCGCGGGAATGCGATTGCAACTGCTTGAGCATGACCCTGCCGCGCTATTGCCTTCAATGACTGTGTGGCCGAAGCTGCGATGCTGGGCTGCACATGAGCGGAACCTGTGCATAAGAGGTTGATCAAAGGACTCAATGGGATGTGGTCGGTAAAGCAACGCGGAAGAGCTTGGATGGCAACGTGCAAGAGCTCATAATACAAGTTCCTCTGATCGGTCGCTGACCCATCTTGATTTCGAGTCAGATTGAATGCATCGACAAGTGGCGTTTTCGGGGTCAGGGTGGTGGTAGAAGAAAACTTCTCATTCAGCGTCGCCTGGCCCCCGAAGGTGTTGTCACACAGTATCGTGATCTTACCTAGAACCTGACAGAACTGTAAGTAGTATTGTCGTGCATTTTCGTCAAGTTTGGAAGCATTGACAGGTAGAGATGAAGGACTTTCATCGTCAAAGGTCATCCTTAACGGAGTGTCAATTCCCAGACTGGTTCTCATGCTGATCGGTGATGATGGTAGCCCTTCAAGATTCTGCGTCTGGATGCTAAAGGCAGGGAAGGGAGGACCTTTGAAGCCTTCCTTTTCCAAATCCGCCATGATGGCCAGAAAGGCTCGGATACCAATCACCATCCGTTCAGGCTCCATGTTCTCGATCTTCAGATTTCGACTGGACTGGAACATGTCATAATGGACCAGGGGAAAGATGACGGATCGGAAACACAGGTCTTGAGCGGCAAAGCTGATGATCCTGATAAGCTGCACCAGTGGTACGGACACAGAGGGCTCGGAAACCACGTGCGTTTTCCTGCCCTGGGGGAGAGCAATCTTTATGATCTCTTCCAGTCGTCGAAGTCTGACCTGAGAAGACTCGCTGATGCGTGCCAAATACGTCCAGAGCAGTTGACAAACGGCTTGCAACGCTATACCGCGCGTTGATCTGTCTTTCAATTTCGCAGCCAGTGTAGACATCATGGGAAACCACTGTTGTGAGAAGGTTTCGATGGGAGATATGCAAAGAAGCAGGATTGACACTGGAAACCCGAGATGCCAATGACGGACCTTGATCAGCATATTACCCAGTCGAGAGTTTATGGCATCGATGAAGTCCTTCCATTTGGGAACACTTTGAAAACATTCGGGATTGCTAGCTACGGCAGTAAGCAAGCGCTGGAACAGTTGACAATATGCTTGTTTGACCCGAGGTCCGTGTGCGTCAGAGAACAAGGCTGCAAGAGTGCGGAGGAACTCGGCCACCGGATACGCAGCCTCTCTGCTGGCAGTAATGTGCAAATGGCGCATACCCAAAATAAGCAGCTCAAGTCGCGATTCGATGTCTCTGGCGGCGGTCGTCCCAGAACTTTTGGCAAAGTCTTGTTGCCATGTGTCAAGCTGTTGAGTGAAGCGATGGGCCACATTTGCAAAGTCAAGACGACTCATGTGACCTAGCACCTCGCCGTAAATCCTCCAGTTCGCGAGACGAATGCTGGATGACAGGATTTGGGCAGGTTCCACCTCGCGGATCTGAGTGAAGACGATGTCTTCGAGTTTATTGGCCAAATCTGGAGTTATCGCGGCCAGATTGCTTTGTTCGAAGATCGCAATAAGGACGCGACACAGAATGTAGACGGATATGGTTGCTCTTCGATCTGCTAACAAGTACTCTTGTGTGAGGCTATCCTCTGCCGGAGACGAGTTGTCCGCATTGACCTGAGGAAATCCAGATTCTCCTGGGGCTTGAAGAGGTTCTGTATGACGGCGTGGTAGAGAGGCCGGCAGCGACAAATTCGGCCCGCTGACTTGCAATCGCTGCTGATAGACTTGTTTCTTCAGAATCGCCGCGGCATCCCCCTTGCCTTTCCGCCAGAGCATTAAGCTGTCCACCAGGGGCTTTGGGCCTTGACGTGAGATATGGCCGAGGGAGGCTATCAATTGATCAAAGCCAGGGTCTGCTCCGGGGCCACAAGCCTGCTCCACCGGTGCGGGCGAGCTGTCGAGGAGGGTTAGACAGTGGTTGATTCTCTGGTCCGCACGCAGCACAAATGCATGAAACAAATGATGTAGAGCATATTCGCCCGGCGTTCGTGGTTCTGCCTGCTGGTGGACGCTTGACTGATGGTATGCATGGCCTCGCCTGGTCCTCGAATGCTCTTTTCGTCTTCGAGGCTGTGACGGCCCAGTTTCTTGTGGAGTTCCCGGTCCATCTAGCAGTGAGTCGATCGAATGCCCTTGCGCATGGCCTTGAAAGGGAGCCACTGGGCTCGTGAAGGCGGACGAGCTCTCGGAAGTGGAAAACTGGCCGCGGCGAGTGGGTTGGGAGGGATATCTCGCGTAGTTGGTGGCATTTAGCAGAGACTCTGGAGTGAGTGGGCTCGCGGTCGAGGGAGAATTGAAGCTGGGATCGCGCGAATGTTGTAGTCCATGGATGACAGAGGTCTGTCGATGATGGCCATAGTTGCTCGAAGTCCGTCGCTGCAGGCCGGTGTCAATGGCCGGACCACCTCTTGAGCTCAGACTCGACTCCGTTCCGTGCGGTTGCGTAGAGCCCGTCCGCGAGGAAGACACGTTACTAGAGCCATATGTCTGCGTTGTAGATTGTTGAGATCTTCCTCTTGTCACCGAAGTCTCCCTGATATGGACGGAGGCACCCAACTGAGGGCGTGCGTTGGTCGGGCCAGAGGTTTGGGAGGGTTGTTCGGGGCCGGGCCCATCGAGGGAGTAGTTTTGAGGCTCGCTGGAGGCAGATTGGGCATCTAGAATCATTCGATATTCCGTCAATATTGGTCCCCTGGTACATGGCAGTGGTACGACTCGAGGGATGGACGAGTTGCGTTCTCGCCGCGGAAGGATTCCGAACTGCTACTTACGGTTATGCAGCATGTTGTGCCTTTGATGGCGGGTGCAAGAAGAGCTGCAGGGTCTGCGTCATTGCTCCGTGTCAGAAAAGTAAAATGTGCGATAGAAGGGAGAGACTGTGGAGGGTTTGGGTTTGCGAGACGTCGAAGGAGGTATGTGGATTTTAGTAGCCGCAGAAGAATGAAGGGATCGGACTCAATTGAAACAGGCGGACAAGGTCCAAATTAATGGCACGGAGTGGGAGTCACCACCAATCACAAAGAAAGCAAGGACTCTCGATATATTACAGCCTGCCAGCAGACAAAGATCAGGACGAGGAGTTGCTACAGAAGAGTTCACGATCATCAGTGGTGCAGTGAGTGGTGTAGGACAGTCTCCAAAGGTCACGGATATGGGTGAGAGACCATCGAGACGGCTGGCTGTGTGCTACCACAGCGCGCCATTCGCTGTTGCGCAAGCTGAGCCATCGAATCAGGGAAACGGTCCTTTAAAATACTATCTGGGGCCGAGGTGATGAAGGAGATCAGGGCTGGCATTATTTATTGACTCGCAGACCCTGGCGCCGATAGATTTATAGATCACAGATAGATGCCGTGCGCTGATGTGAGGAGGGCTGAAGAGGCCAAGCTGTAGTATGACCAGGCTCTGTTCCAAGATTTTGCTTATATGTGGAGGATACAGCTTTGTATATCCAGTCTCTTCTCCTCCTGCCTTTTCCACGCTCTAGATAATCTCAGACCGGTGCATGTATGTGTCCTTATGCTGTGGTAGAGTGGCATATCAAGCCCCATACTATTCCCATATTCTAGATCGGTGTTGGCAGGTCTGTGTTCTGTGCGGCGGGGCAGCAGTTGTAGTGTGGGACTCGTCCAGGTGTCCGCGCGGTATGCTTACTGCCGCCGTATCTCATGAGATACTAGTAGTATAGGGTGTGCGAGCTGCAGTGTGAGATGGGGGTGAGACCGGTCGAATGCATGCTGGAGGATGTCATATTGCCGCTGGCTGTCTTCTCACCCCAGACTCAGAATGACAATATGCAACCACAGACTGCAGAAGAAGAAAAAAGAAACCTCGAACACCTCAACCATGCGTCGTGGTCCCCAACGCATTGCTTTACCAAATCTGAAGTGCGCAGTCTGTCCTAGGGTCCTTCGGGTGCGCACCTTTTAGGCATCCTGACCTAGGACCCTTATTTTTTTAGGTACAGTACGTTCAAGTTTTTCGCCCCCCACCTAGTAGCGGAGTACTCCCGTCGCGTTGGCCGCTCTCTTTCAACGGGCTACCACTACCTACATGTACCTATACCTACAGGCACCTAACCTAACCCCTTGCTTGCCGCCGCCGCCGCGCTTACGCTGGCTGTCACAACGCCTGGGCCTTGGACCTGGACTTGGACGTGGCCGTGTGACCACTGACCGTCGCACCGCTCCCGACCTCCGAAGCCGCAGGCTGCCAGTGCTGCCATCCCCGCCATCCGCCACTGCCCGATCGAGATACCGCCGTTCTGTCCCTTGTACAGCTCATCCCCCTCCCACGTCTCCCAGTTGCTCTTCAAGTTGCCGAAACTGCCTGCGCTGTCCACAACATTTACCTGCCGGCTCTCGACTTATAATCCTTGACGTACTTGACATTCTGAGAAGACAGCTTCCGATCCTTATTTCTACAATCAATAAGCAATTCCTTTCCTCGTTGTCCTGTAGCACCAACTCAAACCCGATAGCAAGGCTCATCCACGGGCAAGGCGGCGGACAAGATTGGCCCCTACGAGCTCACCTAGAATCCGAAGTTTTGCCTACCTACCTTACCTACACAGCACCGCTTCTTCTCTTGGCCACATCAGGCCACATAAAGACGGACCCCTCCCAAACGGCGTCAATCTCCGCGCTGTTCACTTGTTGCTGTTGAAATCGATTCAGTCTTTTGTATCTTTTTTCTTTTGCATCTTTGGACGCGTCTTGTCGCTCACTCAGCCTGAGGAATTCCATCAGTACATTCCACCCTACCCTGTGAGCACGCTCCGATCTGCGCACCATGGCTCAAGTCGATATCCTGGACGTTATCGTCCTTGTGCTCCTCCTGCTGGGCAGTGTCGCCTATTTCACCAAGGGAACATACTGGGGTGTTGCCAAGGACCCCTATGCCACCTCCGGCCTCAATGGCAGCGCCTCCAAGAAGGGATCACGTAATATTGTCGAGAAGATGGAGGAACTGGGGAAGAATTGTGTCATTTTCTATGGCTCCCAAACTGGTACAGCGGAGGATTACGCTTCACGTCTGGCCAAGGAAGGTCATGCTCGCTTCGGCCTGAGCACCATGACTGCCGACCTCGAGGACTACGACTTTGACACACTTGATACCTTTCCCGAAGACAAGGTAGCTTTCTTCGTCATGGCCACCTATGGCGAGGGAGAGCCCACAGACAATGCCGTCGAATTCTGGGAATTCATCAACGGCGATCCTCCTTCCTTCTCCCAGGCTGAGGAGGATCAGCCATTGAAGAACCTGAAATATGTTGCATTCGGCTTGGGTAACAACACCTACGAGCACTACAACCTCATGGTCCGCAACTTGGACAAGCAGTTGACCAAGCTCGGTGCGCAGAGGATCGGCGCCGCCGGTGAGGGAGACGATGGAGCTGGTACCATGGAAGAAGACTTTTTATCCTGGAAGGAACCCATGTGGGCTGCTCTCACCGAAGCCATGGGTTTGGAAGAGCGGGAAGCTGTCTACGAACCCGTCTTCAGCGTGGAGGAGAGAGAAGACCTCTCTCCCGAGAGTGACACCGTCTACCTAGGCGAGCCCAACAAAAACCACCTGGAAAACATGCAGAAAGGCCCGTACAACGCTCATAACCCGTTCATCGCCCCCATCGCCGAGTCTCGGGAGTTGTTCACGGTCAAGGATCGCAACTGTCTCCATATGGAAATCGACATTTCGGGTTCCGGCCTCTCTTACACCACCGGCGACCATATCGCTGTCTGGCCGACCAATGCAGGCTTGGAAGTGGATAGATTCCTCAAAACTTTTGCTCTGTCGGAGAAGCGTGACCGTGTTATCACCATGAAAGGCCTCGATCCTACTGCTAAAGTTCCTTTTCCCACTCCTACAACTTACGACGCTGCTGTCCGCTACCACATGGAAATCTGTGCCCCTGTGTCTCGTCAGTTCTTGGCGACATTGGCTGCCTTCGCCCCCACCGAGGAGGCTAAGAAGGAAATGGTTCGCCTGGGCTCTGATGCGGATTACTTCAAGGACAAGGTCTCCTCCCACATGTTGAACATTGCTCAGGCCGTCTCTGCCGTGCACCCTGGTCCATGGTCTGCTGTTCCTTTCTCTTGTTTGGTGGAAGGTATCAACAAGATCCAACCGCGTTACTACTCGATTTCATCGTCATCTCTCGTCCAGCCAAACAAGGTCTCCATCACCGCCGTGGTTGAATCCATCCGCATCCCTGGCGCCGGTCACGTCGTCAAAGGTGTCACCACTAACTATTTGCTGGCATTGAAGCAGAAACAAAATGGCGAGCCCGACCCTTCGCCCCACGGTCTTACCTATGCCATTAACGGTCCCCGCAACAAGTACGACGGAATCCACGTACCCGTCCATGTCCGGCACTCCAACTTCAAGCTTCCTTCCAACCCTAGCAAACCGGTCATCATGGTTGGGCCTGGCACTGGAGTGGCTCCATTCCGAGGTTTCGTTCAAGAACGCGCCGAACTTGCAAAACGGGGCGAAGATGTGGGAACAACCGTTCTTTTCTATGGGTGCAGACGTCCGACTGAAGATTGGCTCTACAAGGATGAGTGGGAGGTAAGTAAACTCTTTATCCCACAGATCCTGCGATTTCATTCTGACTGACTTTGTTGCAGGAGTACAAGAAGGCTCTTGGAGACAAGCTGCACGTCTTTAACGCCTTTTCTCGGGAAACCTCGAGAAAGGTCTACGTGCAACACCTGATCCAACAGAACGCCAAGCTGGTCAATGATCTTCTGCAACAGAAGGCCAACTTCTACGTGTGTGGTGATGCTTCGCATATGGCTCGAGAGGTGAACGATATTCTCGCACAGATCATCGCTGCGGAACGCGGAATCGACGAGAAGAAGGCCGAGCAGGTGGTCAAGAGCATGCGTAGCAGTGGCGTGTACCAAGAAGATGTCTGGTCGTAAAGGTGCCTTATCATGATCGAGTCATCACATGGCACGTCCGAGAATGGAGCCCCAGGGTATCGCACTTTTGACTGGGCAAGGCTGGGCCAGTTTCGCCACGTCCAGCTTCCTTCCTGCGCCAAAGAGATATTCGAGGCCAGGCCATTCTGCCACGGAGTATGTGTGCTGAGTCAACTCCGCACCCCAAGTTTTCTGTCCCGTGGAAGCCGGCTACATCGATTCAATGGCCGCGAGGAGCGAATGTGGAGACTTTTGACCATCATCGGACGTGGAGAACGTGCATCGGAGAGGGGCCTTATCCGAAAGCGCCATAATCAAATCTCCCAGCTCCGAATGATGGGCATCTTCTTGGACCTCTTGGACCCCGGGCGAGCAAGCTCTCGGAACTTTTCCCTGTCAGAAAAGAAGTGGGAGGTTTACGATGCGGGATGAGACAATGTGGGGTCGGGGGCAGTCATCGGCCGATTTGGTTTGCGAACGTTGCCATCGCCATCGCCATCGCCATCGCCGCCGCCATCAACATACTCATTCTCACATCTACCAATTTCTTTTCGTCTTCTGCCTCCATTCGTCGGTTCCAATGGAGTACACCGTATTTGTGTTCCCGAGAGCGTGGCGTTCAGTTCGTTTGGAGCTTACGACGTGACTTGGACCGAGGCCGATGCGATGTGGGGCATCGAAGGTCGCGGACATTCCTATTGACAGTGCCCTGTCTTACCCTTCGTCGTTCTCACAACGCCAATTGTGCTATGGTCTTGCTGACCTTGCAGAACTGGCAGACATGGGATTAGTACAAATTGGGATGGAATTTGTTGTGGCAATGGCAAGAGTCATATTTTCCGTTTCCGTGTCTGTTCGAGGTGAACGAGTGTGGCTTGTTCGGCGCGATGGGGCGAGAGACGCTCACAAGAGGTACAAGGAAGAGGGCACATGTAGAGCGGAACGATAGCGGATCTAGGCATATACAGAGTATCACACATATCCAAGCTACATTCGACGAGGACCTCTATCATGTTGAAACAGTGCAAGTTGCGTGCTATGTGAGTTTTTGGTATTTCATCTTTTCGGGATTTCATCTGTAGAGCCCTCCCAGGGAGGGTGGTCTGTACTTTTTGGTTGCTGGCAGTGACACAGTTCACCTTCACCCGGTCCGTCCCAGCAGGGACCAGGGCCTTTCCGACAAGACGCCTCAACCCAGGTAACAAGAAATCAAGGATACGAGTTGACCTTGTCAGTCAACTAGTGGCGAGACCGATGGCGAGGCTGCCTGGATGTCGTCAAACTATGTAGATTTTGCAACGAGCTCCAGAGCCGCGGTGGCACGGGCACAAGCGTCTTCGAAGGCGTAGATGTCGGCGCGGCTTTCTGCGAGAATATCCTCACCCTCACCCTCGCTCTCGGCTGCACCCGACGCAGTAGTAGCATGCTGGAGCAGCGTCAAGAGGAATTGCGATGACGTCTTTAGTGAATCGACGTGGGCAGATAATCGGGCTCTCGGATCGGTCGTGCCGCTTGACGGAGCCGATGGCGGAGGCAGATGTGGAAGGAGGACGCAGAGCAGGTTGAGCGTCGCAATGTAGTAAGGAATGTCTAGAAGGAACGACAACAGAGTCTCCGAGCCGTCGGAGTCAGTATCGACTGGTTGGTCGGTTGTGGTCGTCCGGGGTGGAAGCGTGGGCAGTCCTGGCGGAAACAGCAGATCGAGCAGTGGCGATGTATCGATGTCCTTCTCCCCGGCTGTCTCCGAAGCCACATTGCTGTTCATGAGGATGGCAGGGTCAAGGCCATCTGTTCGCGCAAGAGGCTGTTCAATTTGGGATTGACCGCTCTCGGCACCCTTCGGACGAAACCATATCGCGAACTCATCCTTCAGCCAATCCACACCGACTGCCTTCAAGGCACCCATCTGCTGGGGTGGTGCCAGGGGGATTGGATGCGGCTGAAGTGCTGACGTGCTGCGTGTGAGCCCAGTCTCCTCATCTATGCCGGGTTCTGGCTCGGGGTCGAGGTCGTCTTCGATCTCTGCCCAGTTGGTGCTCAGCGTGCTGCCTCGCAACGTTTGGACAATGACTTCCAGGCGGACCTTAGGATCAGGGTAGGCGTGTAAAAGCTTGGTAGCAATGTAATGGGCAGCGTCACGCAGGGCGGGCCACGGCGTGATGGTGAAAAGTTGGGTCAGTGTGCTTATCAGCAGCAGAAATTTGGCCGGTGATGGTGGCGCTTCCGTGGCTGAAGGCGACAGGATGCGGCGGTAGAGTAGTGAGAGCAGCGAATCCTGCAATGCGGGAGAGCCAATCGAGGGCGTGGCTGAGAGCGGGAACGAATGTGCAATCAGTTTGGTCAGCTCGGTGGTGGTGAGGAGAGGTGGCAGGGAGTCGACGTCGACGTAGGACTCGAACGCGTACAAGAAAATCACTCCCGCCCTGGGGAACGGGATTTGGGATGGCGAAGTCGGGTACTCTGAAGGTTCTTGTTCCGCTGACGAAACTTCGGTCCCCTCATCGTCTTCGTACAGGAGTTTTTTGATCTCGGTCGCAGTATGAATGTTCATTTCCTTGCTGAGCGCGCCGAATCTCGCTACCAATGCGTCTCGCTCCTTCAACTCTTCAGTTTCTTGCCAGAGCTGGGTCTCAGTAGCTCGCCTTGGAAGTACTCGTTGTGGCTCGAGCTTCTCTCGTAAGCGAGCGGTCCAGGACATGGACGGGTACTCATGTGATGAGAGAGACGATAGATATTCGTCCAGGACCTCAAGCAGGACGGCGTCAAGGAGTCGAGATGTGATAGCCATGTCTTCTGGTGAGGCCGTATTGTTGCCTGTATCTTCCTCTTCCGCCCTGGCTTCCGGATCTGGCAATGAAGCTGACGTGGTCCTGCCAGAACTGCCGTCTCGTGGAGGGAGGGCCGGACGTCCCTTGCCAGCAAGCGTTTGTAACATGGTCAGAAAAGAGGACGTTGTTGCTATAGAGATGGGGAGTTTCCGGTAGGCCCCCAATGCTGCAGGCAGTGACGTTGCGAGAAATCTGCTTGGATATTGTGTCTTGATCCTAGGGTGAAGGATGCTGAGCATGTTAAGCAATGCCTGCAACTTCAATGGGCCTGACGAAGCCGTCGGCTTTGCAGTTTCTAGGGCGTCTTCGTGTTGGGCAGAAGCCTGTTCCGCTGGCTCTCTGGCCTCGGGCATACCTTGGAGTGCCATAGGGCCCAAATGAATACGGGGTGCTTCGCCTGCAAATGTGGGCAGCTCATCGTCAGCCGCTCCCTGGTCAGACCCGTCACCATCTTCACTCAGCCCTTCCACTTCCTCGCCCAGTCTTTCAAGCTCCTCGGCTACACGGACCACTACCTCTCGAGGGTTGCCTCTTCGAGCAATCACTTCCAAGCAGCGGTTGGCTTCATCCGGGTTGTGGTTCAGCAATGGAAGCAGAAGCCTCAACAGGTCCCATCCAATCTCCTGTACCAACGTACCGTCGTCTTCGCTGAGCAGTCTGGTTAACGTAGGAAGGTTTTGCGGGGTTAGCTGGTACTCGAGCATGGTCAAGTAGGTCATATAGTCTGTAGCAGGGGGTAAAGCGGCAACGAGCGGATCTTCCGCGGGAGGAGGCTGAGAGGCCATCGTGCAACAAGAAGTCAAAGAATGCAAGCTCTAGAGCTCTGAGGGTGTTTCACGAGTAGCGGAGGACGCAGCTGGACCACGATAAGCACATCGGGTACCAAGCATGCGGCTTGTGGCTCGGTAATGAAGCAGTGTCAATTCCTAGGTATTGCGGAGCTGAAGCCACAGGACAGGACAAATATGTTGCAGGCGAGGGACAGTCACATAACCATCAGGGGGATACAGGTAGCAGAGCGAGTGAGCATCATCAGATGGAACTGAAGGTAAAGGGGTTGATGGTGATGGTGAAGAAGGTGAAGGTGAGATGAGGTTAAGGTTTGAGAGGTTGAAGCGGTTTGTCCTTAAGCTGCACGTGACCATTGACTGCGCTGCAGTTGTTCGTCATTCACAACTTGAAGCTGGGCAACTTGAACTTCAGTATAACGGCGACTACTAAGGTACTCACTACTACTCTGGAGTACCTCCCAGACAACATTCTATTGACGTGGTCCTCCTCCGTCAACGTAAACCGCAATCTGTTGCAGTACCGCCTCATCAACTTGGATCTTGTCTGATTCTCACCAAGCTCTCCCGCAACCTACAATCACATCCACCTCATGTCCAACCCGACCGCTGCGATGGTTTTGTCAATGAATGCGAATGTCTACCCACGGCCCATACCCCGAGGTTCCGATAGAGTGCAAAGTTGTCCCCCCCCCCCCCTTTGATCAGGGACGCGGGATGGTCCTTGACCTGGTATCTGACGATCGTTCACCTACCTTTTGCCACTCGGATGTGCAGCGAAAGAACATCATCGTCGACACGGCGCAAGGGGATACCATGCAGGGCAAGATTTTCGAGTATCGAGGATTGACTGGAAAATTGCTGGTTGGTATCCCAACTACGGGAGTATGCTGCTGCTTTTTAAGCTTCCGTTGGGACGAAGATGACTGGCCAAATAGGATAGAGGACTTCTCTATGGTCCTGAAGCGCCTCCTCGGACGTTATACTATAAAGGGGAGTTTGTATACCATCGTACTACCCTCGTCGAGCCGTATCGACATCTTCGTAAACCTTGGCGCCTTTGACGAGCCTAGATACAAATCCGGTTTGAGCTGCTGGCCTTTGACATTTGACTGCCCTTTTCCACGTCCTGGGGCCCCTGTGGAACGTGGCAATCTGAATGACCCTATTCAGAAATATCTCGGCCGGCTCATTTCAGACTGCAGCCTCAGATGTTGGCTAGTTGAAAGAGACAAGACGCCCAAGAGAGGATCAAATACACTTGGCTGTCAGCTGAACAGGGCTCCCGCGCGACTGCTGCCCCAATGGCTCGCCTGGGTTCGTGGCTTGTGGCTTGAAGCCGCGTCAACTAGAGAAAAGATAGTGTCGCCAATACGCTGTTGTGCCTGTGCCTGTGCCACATTCATCCATCCGGCTGGCACCTACAAGCTCCTGATGGCTTGCTGTGGCTGATGATCCGCGACGCGAGCGGCGGTGGGGTGACGAGATTTGAAGATGTCCAAATCCAGGCCAGGAAGATCTGATCATTCGCCATGTTTCATCGCCATCAGATCACGGCGAAAGAAGTAGACAAGATCATGCAGAGGAAGGGCGCCATGGGAGTGCCAATCTTTTTTGTCTGTTGAGCGCTGCCTGGGGATCTGAGAGAACACCACGTTCTAATTGTCGTTGTCGTTGTTTTTGCTTTCGCGGAGAATAATGGCGGCTCGACCCTTTGGGCTGCTTCCTTCGCTTGTCTGTCCTACGACAGACTACACCAGCGGCCCTCTGGCGTCTGTCACCGGCATAGCGAGACCCGCCACAAGGGAAGACTCCGGCGATCTGTCCTTGGACGAAATTCAATAGTGCTGGACAGTGGTGCCTCTCCGCTTCTTCCACTATCGAAAACCAAATAAGATCGCGGTCAACGGAAATGGAAGAGGATCTGCTCGTCCAATTCCACGTTGGGCCTACTGGCCACGGATTCGACATGTTGTACACACGTACAAATCAGACGGCTGTCAGCTTTCAAGATTGCTGGTACTAGAGGTAGACATTCCGGACGCCATAGGTCGACCCCTGACCCTGGACTCGGTCCCTTGTCCACCACGAGCCCCAGGCCAATTCTGCCTTAGAAGAACCACCAAATACCAAAGTTTGTTTGTCTGCTGTGGTCGTACTCCGGGCTCCGGCCTCCAAGACAGCGGAGATGGTGGATCAGGTTTATTTCACAGGAGGCCCGCCACGTCAACAGAGAGCAAGCACGCGACCGGCCATTCGCCTGACAGATGTCGTTCGAGATTATTTATGGAACTCGTTCTAGAAATCTAAATGGTATCTGCCCACCGATGAGGAGATGCAATCTTCAAAAATACCCAGAGGTACTTCAGAAGAACCGGGAATAACGTCTGACGATAGAGACGAATAACAAGGTGCCCCTGACAGAGGCCAACCAAGGGAATGCTACCCTTCCATCAATGCACTAACAAGCGAGAAACCAGCGTGGATTCAGCAAGCCAACAGGAGGCCACGCCGGGCATCGGGTCCTGGATGACAGGCCGGGACCTTAGCATGGCTGACAGAAACGGACTTGGTATGTAACCTGTATATGGCAAAGTCAGCGAAACACTGCAAGTCAACAGATGGCAAACGAAGACAAATGGCGACTTGTTGACCAAACCGTCTAAGCGACGTCCAGGGAGTCGGCATGTCTCGTCCAGACGATTGACATTCCGACTCAATCAGATGAGGAGCAATGTCTCCCCAAGTCGAGAGACTCATGATCCAAAGTCCCATCAACTGCGACCGCACTATTGGATATGACAAGAAGATCATAAACAACATATCGAACCCTGGTTCACGCGTCGGGCAGGCGGGGCGCTTGGTGCCCGCGGGCTACTTTGCTTGATACGCCCTGCCCAATTACTCTGTATTGCAGGCCGATGCCCGACGCCCGACGCCTGCAAGACGTACGTACAAAGTTGTCGCTGTCAATAATGTAGCATCTGTGGAACAACGAGTCCACCGTGGAGGTTCTCAACTCGTCATCGGTCGCACAAGAGTGACCTATTTCTGGATCGCCATGCAGCCCGGCAGCCAACACCTGGAGATTGAAAGGACAACAACTTTCAATCTAGCATACCCAAGTGCTTGGGAGATGTCTCTCCTTCTTCCTCGAGTCCTTCCAAGAGGCTCGGCTCGGTTTGAAGGGGTTGCTCGGGACTAGACGAATCATCGACAAACCCTTCCTCTGGCACTCATGCGAGGAGGCAGCGGCGGCGGAGGAGGCCTGACGCTTTCAAGATCGTGTTTGACAGGGGACCAACGCCATCCAGTCGGTCTTCTCCCGTTTGGGGCAGTCCTGGTCTACTTTGTTTCTCCAATGTCTCTCCCTGCTTGCGGGCTTTCGCCAATAATAGGACATCCATCCCAGGTCCGTCCTTAACGGTCGGCCTCGTCAATCGCCCGTCCTAATAGAGGCCCTGTCCGGCCAATGGCGAGAACCTTGACTCTTTAGGCCGTGAGCAAGAAGGGCGTCGACGAGCGATGATTGGGCATCTCTCAGCTGGCCTGTGGGATCTACGTGCCGGGATTGCTGCATCCTCGACCCGCGCTGGGGATTGACAGCCCGGTCCATCATTGGGTCCGTCACGATAGAAGCTTATGCCTGGTTACGCTCGCTTGATGACTCTTGGTCCTTCGGGGCGAGGGTGGAAGCATCCAGGACACTGGCTGCCGGTCCATTCTGATCCTGAAGCAGATGAAGACTATCTTCTTACGGCGTTCGTCGTCGTCGCTGGTGCCATCTCGCTGCTAGGCTTTGCCGAGACATCCACTATCATGGTACTACCGCGCCACAAGGCAAACCATGTTGGCGAAAGCGGCGAAAGGAAAGCTCTTCTCCTCCACACCAGGCTGCCCAGTCGATTGCTGCGGACTGCCAGTGAGCGACATGGTGTGAGTGTCGAGCGTGAGTGAGAGAGGTGAGCGTGCCCAGTGGCATGTCACCATGGACAGCGGGAGGCCAGGGCCAGGTGTCCGTCAGACGTAAAGGCTAACGCGATCCGCACGCCCTCCTCAGCTCTTTCATGGATCCCTAGGCTCTGCTCTTCCATACCGATGTGGAGCTGGCGACCGGAACTATTGGGCCAAACATGCTGCCTTTTGATGTCGAGCAGATCATCGCTCTCCATCGCGAACGAACATGAGGAAATTTGGGCTTGCATTTTGCAGCCCTGGGTGCCCGCTTCGCTCGTTCATCTACGCGTCCCCCATACACACGGCCCTTGCATGCATTGTGCACTGTGCAGACAGATGAACGTCCGGATATCGCATGGATTGGCCAACTCTTGCGTCTTGCCTGTGGCTCTGGCTCCAACTCTTCCTATAGCATGACTTCGGATCCAAGGCGCCGAGTGATCGAATCCTCGTGTCAAGAAACCAGTTCTCTTGCTTCAGCTTCTTCCCGACATCAGACATCAGACATCAGACATCGCACCGTCCTTGTTGGCTGACGACTCATCGTTCTTTGACGCTCCTTCGCGAATAGATTGCCATCTTCCTGCCCTTCGGATCGTTCGTTGCTGTGCTTGCTGCCTCGCTTCGTTCCTGCTGTCGCTTTGGTCTTTGGACGGGCAGCTTCCAGTCATTTCAGTCAGACGTTCCTGGATATAGACTTCGCCAGTGGGTTTGGTCTTTCATTCTTCTGTTCGTCGCCGTCACCACCCTCTTCCTCCACCTTGGCCTTCTTCTTTGCCTTTGGCTCAGCCTCAATCCCGTCGTCGTTGTGTTTGGTTGATATTGGTCGTGGTTGAAATCGGGGCCAAAAGGGGAAACCACCTTGTCCAGGTATCCAGCACGACTCGGGGGTCGATATGTTGTACCCATCATCCGATTGATTCATTGGGGTTCCATGTACATCAACTGACATGTTCCCAAGCACCTGCACGGACGCCTAAATAAGCGTCGGAAGCACTGTCGGGTACCTGGTCGAGGCACGATACTTACCGTGCGGGTGTTATGCGCATACCAGACAACACCCGAGCACGGACATCTGGAGGAACGTTTCTCTTCCTCACCCTCTTGCAGCCTGAGGCGTGGCCATCGAGTCTGGAGGGGAACTTGAAGGAAAACGACCCGTCTCTCTGAGAACGAACAGGTCTACGAGATTGTGTTTCTGGTATTCGCGTCGACAGAGACCAACCCTGATGCAGCATTCACGCCCGCCTCATCTCCCTCCCTTCTGTTCGTCCTTCAAGAAACACCGGTCGAGCATCGACAGCTCCAGGTTCACCCTCGACCTCACTCTGCCGAAACCAATCGCCGCGCCCGTCGGGGCTTCTCTCCCTACACCTCCCATGTCCGGTTCTCCCCCACCGGAGCCACCCATCGAACCTCCACAGATTGCAGGTCGCCGAAGAAAGCGATCTTACACTCCCCCTGTGACGACCGCATCCGCCTCCGCCTCCGCTTCCGCCGTCACATCACCTGTAACTCCCCTGGAACATACTGCCCCAAGATTAGGCGCACAGTCAAGAGTTGGGGCGACCATCGCAGAGTTCCCTGTCCAGCCTGGTCCTTATGCGCTCGCATATGCGCCACAAGCCTCGTATCAATCCTCGTCAAGTCTACCCACCGCCTCGATCAGCGGACCCGACCCTCGGTATGCGCTGGCATCTATCTCGCCCCGGTCCGCACGAAAGCCCAAGGCACACGTGGCATCGGCCTGTATCAATTGTAAAAAGAAGCACTTGAGATGTGATAACAATCGGCCTTGTCGGCGATGCATCGCCAGCGGAAAAGAGGTAGGTATTTGGCCCACATGAAACTGGCAAGGGTGGACTGACATCTTCAGGAAACATGTGTCGACGTCGAGCATAAGAAACGGGGGCGACCTCCTCTGAAACCTGAGGACCCTTCTGCGAGGCGCGCGTTCGAATCGACCATGAGCCCCGTCGCCGGATCACTGGGAGACCCTATGAGGAGGATGCCTGGGTCAGGCCTGGCTTCCTTTCCCGCTGGGGGTGGTCCACGAAGTTTTAGGCCCCTTCAAGCCTATGACCCTTCTCGACCACCTTTGAGAGGGCCGCCGTTCCAGTCGATGTATGCCCAACCATCCATTTCGCCGAGCCCAGCCATCGCTCTGGGAACGTTTATTCCTCCTTCGCGACCGTATCCGTCTGGCCCTACTCCGGTTCCTGGACCGTCGCGGCCACCCTTTAGTCCTCAACAGTCCGAATCCTCGCTTAGATCAGTCGCCTCGTATTCTACCGGCTACAACTACCCACCTCCTCCGAGACAGATGGGCCCTCCGTCTCATGTGACGTACTCCAACCCTATCTTTCCGCGCCAGCCTGGATCAGCGCCGATTCCCGGCGGGTCCTTACCGCCCATGCAAGGTCCAGCGAGTCTTCAACTTCCACCGATTCGACCAGCACCTCCTGCCGCAATCGATCCCGCAATCACCCAGCAACAGCAACCCCGTCAACCTGTCCAACCATCCCCTCGTCAGGAGCTGGAGCGGCGAGGCGACGGAACACAAGAACCTGACCCCAAACGACCAAAGATGGACATACAAGGGATACTGGGGCCGCGACATGATTAAAGCAAAGCAAAGCGACGAAAACGATATACTCTGGTTTCCCAGGATTCGTCCTGGACACTCGATAATGTGCATTCTGATGACACACCCGGGCATTGTTAACGACTAGCAACGACGAGTGGCCTCTCCGGGGTTTGGGATAACGGCAACCTTTTCATTCTTATATGATGTACAACATAGTGACGTCTAATACAAAAAGAACTCTTGCGCTGGACGCAAGAGGGGTGATTGTCAGGGAAGGCATTAATACTTGACGGGCGCGGGCCGAGTTTGATGATCGAACAGGATGCAATTGGTGGTTCAGCCGGCACATTCAGCAGTCATGTTTCCTGGCTGAACGAGAAGGTGGAACAACAGGGAAGTCTCTTGGTCCCGATATTCCAGTTCTCAGTTCTCACGGACCCCTGAAATGCTTCTCTTTGCACATATTTGCATCTTTGCAAGGCCTTGAGCGTTGGGAAAAACCATGCACCAGCATCACCCCTTTTTCTTTTTATTAAGTTTGAACAACTTACGGATGAAATTCACGAAATGGTCCACAGCACAACCTGGGTTCAAGCGCAGTATTGCGAAGAGGGATAATGTAGCCGGTGGGAAGGGATCAGGCCCGGCTTCCCTCTGGACAGGCAGACTTATGGTATGGGTCGTTGGTCTTTGCGAAAGGGAGGTATACCAAGTGTTGATCGAGTCCAAGGATGGATGGCCTTCGTATAGAATTTCAGACTTGAATGAAACACTGGTTTGAACTTGTTTCCTTTTCGCGGCTCTCTGTCTGTCTGTCTGTCTGTTTGACTGACTGACTGACTGTCTTTCTAAAGAATTCCGAAAGGCAGACAAGAGCACAAGTGACAGGTGTTATGAGGACACGACACGTAATGAGGCTTTCAGGCCGATGTTTCTCCCTGAATGAACATGATGGTTATTTTGGGAACAGAACAAGAACAAGAACAAGACGAAAAAGCTGTCCCGAGTCTCGAGTCTCGAGCCTTTCCTAAGCCTGGCTTTTTCTCGTAAACACATCCATGTACACTCCCATATATCTATTCAGATATCTATTCATATATACTCCCATATATCTAATCATATACACTCCCATATACATTCCTGCGATACGCATGCTGCACGCACGTGAAGTATAGTCCGGATGCCGTGAGGTTGGAATTTATATCAAGCGGTGTATGGTGGAGGATCCGGATGACTGGTAGAGGCTTCAGCTCGGAAGAAAAAGCACGGAGTACCTCAAGGGAAAGGGAGGTAGAAACAGGGCAGGCGAACAAGACGGGGAAAAAATAGACCGGTTGCTTTTCAGGTCATATTTCAAGAAGAAAGAAAAATAGACCGGTTGCACTCCAGGTCACATTTCAAGAATGGAGATAGATAATCGAGAGTATTGTGGATAGGGGTATATAGGTAGGTAGGTATATATCCAGGATATATATATATGGATATGGATATGCCTACTTCTACTCTGTAATACCACTGTATCTTCAGTAGTAGTAGTCTTATACAATCGTACAGGTCTTGTCGGTCCCAGTACTGAGGTACCTCACATCATCAACCTGTAGCAAGTAGACCTGATGCTAGGGCTTCAAGGTCCTCGAGGGTCTGAGGTGCTTCAGCTGCTGCATCGTCCCCGCGACGGCCGTGTCTGATCTTGATCTTCTTGTTCTTATTCCTGACGCCATCGACCTTGTGCTGGTCTGGTTCATCGTCCGAGGATGAGGCATCCTCGAACCATTTCCTCTGTCGTTTCGGCCTGGGTTCGGTCGTGTCTGTCTCGAGATCCACACCGTGCGCTTTGTCCACGTCCTCTTCATACGGGACAAGCTTTGTATCGTGACCGCCGGTGGCCGCGTCGTCCTCACCGTCAGCTTCATGCTGCTGTTGCTGCTGCTCCAATTCCCGCCGTTCACGCTCTTTCCTCTTCTCCTTCTTCTCGCGCCTCTTGGCCCGCGCAATCTCCTTGTCGACTTCATCCATCTCCCTGGCGCGTTCGCGTTCACGCTCCAGGAACGCCTGTTTCTCGGCCTCGGCGGCGTCAGGGCCGAATGTGCTTTCGTCCTGGTAGGCTTTGCGGTCCTTAGGTGTGTCCGAGTCGCTGTCGAACGTGAGGTGCGTGGCGCGGCCTTTGAACTTGAGCAGTTTCTTGCGCGACTTGAGCAGTTTTTCGCGGCGGTGCGAGTCGATCACTAAAGGTTCGGCTTCGGGGTTGTCTGTGAGACGGAGAGTCTTTACTTTTGCTCCTTCTTCTTCTTTGTTATGGTGGTGGCTTGACGAGCGACGACGTCTTGATGAGGAGTCGCTCTTGGCTTTGTCCTTCGTTTCGTTGTCAGATCCAGTGTCCGAACCAGAGCGTGACCGTGAGCCAGACCCAGACTCAGATCCAGACTCAGCATCGGGAGACGCTTGTCGCAATCTCGCACCCTGGTGGTCGAGAGCCGAGTCTCCGGCGTCGAAGCGGCGCTTGACTGACAAAAAGTCCAGGTCGTTGTCTTCCTCAACTCCGGCACCAGCACCATTCGGTTGCGGGTCTTCGTCATCTTCAATCAGCTTAGTGTAGTGCTCTGAGAGGACGTCTTGGTTGCGCCGCTCGAACATGCGGTCGTACTTCGTCCGGACTTCTTTCTGTTGCTTGCGGTTGGTTTTGTCCCCATCTTCACCGTTGTCGTCACTGCTATCGCCTGCAAGAGCGGCAAGCAGTTGTCGCGGCGCGTTCTTCCTGGCCTTTGCATCCTCACCCTTGACGAATTTGACTCTCGGCGCGCCAGGAAGACCCAGGCTGGCCGCGAATGCCTCCAGGTCTAGTTTCTTCAGGTTGAACGTCTCCTTGTCCTTCTGCACGTGCACACTCCGCACGTAGCTGACAAACGCTTTCTGGCCTAGATACTTGAGTTCGGGGTCCTTGAAGCACATGTTCTGCAACTGGGTGCGGATGGTCTGCTGCATCTTCTTCTCCCGCACGTTGATCTTCTCTACGGTGACTTTCTTCTTCTCCAGTGCTTTCATCATGCCCTCTTCTTCGCTGGGATCCACGAACATCACCGCCCGTCCATCACGCTCGTACCGCGCCGTTCGGCCCACGCGGTGAATATATGTGTCCGCGTCCTCAGGACAATCAACCTGGACGACCCAGTCCACCGAAGGAAAATCCAAGCCTCGTGCAGCCACATCCGTCGAGAATAGACAGGCGTGTTTGCTGTTTGAAAATTTCGTGGTAATGTCGAGCCTGGCAGTTTGTTTCTGTCGCCCGTGAAGGTGAAGCAGTGGGACACCAGGCTGCAGATGACGAAAAGCCTCGTACACGAAACGCACTTGCTTGCCACTGCTCAGAAAGACCAAGATCTTCTTCTTGACGTTGGCGCGAATGAATGACCATAACACGTCGAGTTTGTCGGGTAGAGGTGTCACGATATAGTTCTGCTGCAGGGTCGACGGGGTGGCGCTCTCGGCTCCTTCGTGAACCGAGACAAATTCGGGCTCAGTCAGACTCAGCCTCGCCAGGTCAGAAACTCTCTTGGTCTGGGTTGCACTGAACATCAAGGTCTGTCTCTCTCGGGGCAGATGGTCAATGAGAGCGTCAATCGTGGCCTGGAACCCCATGTCCATGATCCGGTCGGCCTCGTCCAGTACCAGCATTTGGAGGTTGCCGATGTCAAGTTCGGCCGTCTGATCCATATGTTGCAGCATCCTTCCAGGAGTGGCCACCAGAATATTCATCCGGCCCAGTCGATCTCGTTCTTCTTGTAAACTCTTGCCTCCGATCACCAGGCCGGCCGAGAATGTATGGTTCCGCCCAACTTTGCGCAGGACCTCGAAGATCTGGATCGCCAATTCACGAGTCGGCGAGAGTATAAGTGCCCCCAAGCCATCGTATCCTGTCCATCTCTTGCGATATAGATTTTCAAGCACGGGTACTAGAAAGGCAAGAGTCTTGCCGGACCCAGTCTTTGCCGCGCCGAGGATGTCTGAGCCTTGTAGAGCCAACGGGATCGTTCGACTTTGGATGGTCGTCAGGGTTTTGAAGTGGGATGCGTCCAGACCGTCTTGGGTGGCTGCGGACAGTGGTAAGTCGGTGAAGAGTTCCGGCGGTGTCGAAGACTTGGGATCGAGGTCGGCCACCCGCTTCGACAAGGCGTCCAGGTCTTCCTCCTCTCTTTTTCGTTTGAGAATCCGAGGTCTTTGGAAGGACTTCTTCGGTCCTTGACCTCCTTTGTGGCGGCCTGGTGGCGCCATTCTGTGTGTAAAGTAGAACCGTGGGTGGACGGTGTCGTTGTTTGTCGAATTCAGGTCGAAACATTCGTTACAGACTGAGAAAGTTCCAAAAAATCTTTGATCCCGTGACTGCGAGCAGCTTATCGATAAGAACATTAGAGAGAGAGAGAGAGAGATGCGCATGTCGCCGGCCGCAGATGCGCATGTTCGACTTGAAACAACCACTGACGCATCGCTCTTTGCTGCTTCCACTTCAAGTCCATTCAGCCTGATCCCGTCAATCCTGCATCTTGCATCGCTTTGGAAGGCAGCTGTTCTTCTAGTTGACTTTAAATTTGCTGGCAATTATCCCCAACCAGCGAGACCACTGAGATCACCGAGATCACTTCTCGAACCGCAGCCTGACTAGTCGTTGGTAAGCTATAAACTACCAGCCCACCATGGCTAATGATGAGTCCGATGCTCTTGACGTGCTTGAAAGAGAAGCCAAGGAATATGACAAGGTTCGCCGGCTACGTGTTGTTGGTTTTGGGATTTGCTGATGAACCGTCCAGGATGCTGAAATCGACCGAATCCTGAAAGCCTTTAGACTTGATGCGTAGGTATCACCTGTTCCAGACCAACTCTGATCTACAGCTGACTGACTTCTTTGTAGCTACGCGGTGCTAGATCTCCAACCCGGCGTACCTGACTCAGACATCAAAGTCGTCTATCGAAAGAAGTCACTACTAATCCATCCGGACAAAACCAAAAATCCACAAGCGCCTGAGGCATTCGACCGTCTGAAGAAAGCACAGGTGGCACTGCTTGATGAGAAACAGCGTCAACATCTTGATGAATGCATCGCCGATGCCAGACATCTGCTCATGCGCGAGCACAAATATACCGTCGACTCGGACGAGTTGAAGACCGAAGAGTTCAAGCAGGAATGGAGACGGAAAACGGTCGAGGTTCTGGTTGAAGCGGAGGCGCGGAGGAGGAGACAGATGAAGGCCAAGATGCAAGAGGAGGGTCGAGAACAGGCCAAAGAGGAGGCGGAGATTGAAGAGAGGAAACGAAAACGAGAGCATGAGAAGAAGTGGGAAGACACCCGAGACGAGCGCATAGGCAGTTGGCGGGATTTCCAGAAAGGCGTCAAGAAGGGGGAAGAGCAGAAGAAGAAAAAGAAGATGAAAGTGCTAGGATGATTGATATGCTGCCTCTGCCTCCTGGGAGGGTTTGGGTCGTTGATGGCAGCGTCTTTCTTCAAGGCTCCCTCCAGGTTGTGGTCGGAGGACTAAGAGCCGAAGATGCTTTCGTCTTCGTTCTCCTTCGACTTCCGTCCTCTCATGTGCTATGATGATGAGACTCTTCGAGTCGTCTTGATGGAGCGCAGTATGATAGAGTCTCATAGGTGTCTAAGGGTTGGGTTGATGAGTATCAGCGCTGGGTGTTTGTCCTCTCGTCGCATCCCCATCTCCTGGCTATAGGATGCCACTGCAGACGCATGGCCGGCCTGCACTCTTTCTCCCACCCTTCACAAGAACTGTGACATGCCACATCGTCTTGGGGACTGTATGGGAAATGTTCCAGCTGTTTCGGTTGGCGACCCGAGGAGTTACTTGGAGAGTCTGTCGGCTGTTGAACAGAACTTCCCCACACTCAAGTCTGCGAATGAATCTCAATCAGTTTCTGTAGCGCAGCAGCCAGACTCACTCACTCACTACTAACTCACCAACTCGAGCTTCGAGCTTCGTCGACCTCTGTGTACATACATACCTACCTACCTGTCGCATTTGACGTTGACGTTGACCTGTTCTCCGCCCTCGAGTACTTTCTACCCCATGTATTCGCCATGAACGCTACATCGCTGCCGCCCAACGCCCCCATGACCAACGGCACTCGCACGACCGGTCATGGAGAAGCAGATGTATCGTCCACTGGCATATCAAAATCAAACAACGACTCCTCCAGCTTGTCCCCGTCCTCGCTACAAGATATCTGCGCCCTGCTCCACGCTCAGGTGAACGCCTTCCTGACCTCTCCTCCGCCCGACGAAGTGACGAAGCGGACGCAAGCACAGACAAAGATCGCTCTCGAGGTGATAGTCAAGGCCCTGCAAGACTACAAGTGAGCGCATTCCAAGTTAAACGTTGAAACAGACCCTGTTTTGCCAGAGGGGCATGCATGCATGGATGGATGAATGACCGCAGGGTGCAATGACATATCTCCTAGATGGCATGACACTAACTTGGTTTTCTACTGCGGCACAGATACGGAACACTGTCCATATCCTATAATGGCGGGAAAGACTGTCTGGTCTTGCTCATCATGTACCTGGCCGTGCTGCATACGCATTTCACACAACCGACGAACCGACGGAAAGGCAACCTAGACCGAGAACCAGAACCAGAACCAGAACCAGAAACAAAAACAGAACAAGACACACAAACAGAAACACAAACACAAACAACCTCACGGCATTCTTCATCGATACCTACCTCCATTCCCGCCATCTACGCCAAACCGCCCGACCCGTTCCCCGCGGTCACCGAGTTCGTGGAGTATTCGTCCAAACTATACCACTTGGACCTGACGCACATTTCGACGAACCCCGGCCCGCGACCACGAGAGCACTCGCATTCCAATCCGCCCTTGACGCACCCGTTTCCGTTTCCGTTTCCGCCTCCTCTCAAAGAAATTGACAACGGTATTGACAGCAGCATCAACATCACCAACATCGATAGCAACGTCACGACCACCACAACCACCACCACAACCAACGAAACAACGACGACGACATCCAAACCCATCATATCCTTCCGCGACGCCTTCGCATTATATCTCGCGGCGCACCCCTCCGTGAAAGCCATCTTCGTGGGCACCCGCCGCACCGACCCGCACGGCAGCCATCTCACGCACTTCGACCCGACAGACCACAACTGGCCGGCCTTCATGCGCGTCCACCCCATCATCGACTGGCACCTGTCGGAGATCTGGTGTTTTCTGCGCTCGCCGCACCTGCGCGACCCCATCTCCGGCGGGCCGCTGAGGTACTGTCCCATGTATGATGAGGGGTATACCAGTCTGGGAGGCATCAATGATACCTTGAAGAACCCGAAGTTGAAGTACATGGACGAAAATGGCGTCGAGCGTTACAGGCCGGCCTACGAGATGACGGAAGATGAGGGAGAGAGGTTGGGGAGAGAGTAGCCCGACTGGACAAAAGAGAGTGCTGGAATGGAATGGAATGGATTGGATGAAACGAATGAACGAATTGAAAAGGGAGAAGAAGATAAGAAAAAAAAAGGTAGACCTTGTACAGGATGGATTCGAGCGGGAAGGGGAAAGCGATTGAGTGTACACTTCTTGTTCCATAGTCCAATCCAATCCTTTCCATTCCAAAAGGCAAAGGTCCGCAGACAGCTGCTGCCACAAGGGGCCCGAAGAGATGTGCTCTGACGATCATCATCATATGAGAGGCTGCCACAGCTACCTTGGAAAGAAAAGAAGCCACACTGAAGTCAACAGCTGGTGGGACACTACAGTTCACACTACAGTTCAAGTCGACCATGGACATTCGGACTCGCATGGGCATCTGCACCTGCATCTGTATATTGTACTGGCATATCTAGGCCGAATATTATACATAAATATAGACCTGACCCGTGTCCCGTCAGGGTCGGTGATCGGCGGATATAGTGTATTCACAGACAGACGCATCTCCATCTCTCTTTCGCATGAGAAGCATCCGCAAACCGCAAGGACACTTTACGAGTGACGATGCTCGGTCGCAGTTCTTTCTGGTTGCAGGCGTAGCCTTCCTTCCAAGTGGTGTCGCTGTATGTTTCACCCATCGCCGTGCTGTCATTAATATTCAATCCATCCTACTCTCTTACGAGAGCACGACCGACATCATCCCAGCTTCCAGGATCTGACGACGAAAGCAGGTTGTTGAGTCCGGCGGCGCGCTTTTCCTTTCATATTGTGCTGATGTGCAGAGACCTGTTCCTGAGGTTCATGATGGCCGAGTTTCTTGATGTCAACCATGGAAAACCAGCGTCGAGGCTTCCATCCTCTTCTCGACCGTGTGTATGAGTTCAAGGCCAGCTCGGCAGTGGGAGAATAGAGCGAATGCCAACTCATGTCCGTCCATCATCGGACAGGACTCGACCCAGTGGAAGACCATTGACAACCCAAGAGGAGCGGTCCATTCCTGGCACATGGGAACCTGTAGGCCGTTCAAGTCGACTTTTCTCTCTCATCCAATTCCCAGCAACCATTTGCCGCGTTCGTAGACATAAAAGCTCGTGGCGGCCATGGGCACAATCTTGACGTAACCGATAGTCAGGCCGACGAAGAAGCCGCGCCAACCTCGTTCCAGCCATATCCTGCGGGCCGTCTCAGAAATTCTCAATCTATGACCATCTCCAGTGGCACCGCCGACCTGCATCCGCCGTCGGATGACTTCGAGCGGGTAGGAAGCCGTCTGGGATACCAGACCGGCCAAGGCGCCCGAGGTGAGCTCAGCCGGGGCAGTCAGCTGACTTCGGTGATGGACCTTTGTGGAAGAAGTGCCGGTGATATCTCCGGGCGAACCTGGTGCTGTAGCTGTGGACGGCACCACCGCATACGGCGCCAGGAGGGGATGGCGGAATAGATCTCCTATGGTGTCATGCGTCAAAAAGGATATGCCTGCGTAGGGAAGCATTCCCAGCAGAGTGGGCGAAAAGCCGCGGTAGAAGTTGGCCAGGCCGGACCTGGGCACGACTCTCTCGGCGACTTTCGATGCCACTGCCGCGGAGGTTTGGGTGGTCGTGGTCGCCACCGGTTCTGGCGGGTTGGGGTGTTCGTGATATATCTGCTGGCAGATTCGCCGCAGCGAGGAGCGCGAATCGCGCTTCGTTTCGAAGGCGAGTCGCACGCGGATGACTTCGAGGGGATAGGTGAAGAAGACCGAGGTGATGCCTGCCAGGGACCCGGACAGAAACCGTCGCACTGGAGTCTCGTGGCGTTTGGAGGGGATGACGAATGCTCGGATCTGTTCATACGCCAGGAATTTGATCCCGGCGTAGGGGAACACTCGCAGGAGAGTGGCTGAGTGGCCGCGAAATAGTCCTCGAACCCCTTCTTGTCGGTGTATATCCCGCATCGCCGTCACCACGCCGAACCAGCTACCGGTGTATTTGGCGAATTGCGGATTCGAGGCCTGGAAGAGAATCTTGACCCGGTCAAGCGGTCCGACCACGGTTTTGCCCTGTGGACCACCGTCATGTCAGCATTGTCTAGACTTCACGACCAAGAACAGGACAGGGAGGCGACATGTAGGATGGCGCAGGACTGTAGTGCATGTAGAACACTTTATGTGTATTTCACGGGCGAGACGAACCGCACATCCAGCCAACCCACCCGCCAACCCACTGCGCACGACATAATCGAGGCTTCTCTTGTCCACCGGTTGTTGGGATTGAGCCTGACGAGCGCCAGGCGCATGTCTTGTCATCGGCCTAGCATCATCTTCTGTATATCTCTGTGATCGCGTCGTGGTAGCTTGAGGCAGTGGTTCCTCCAGCAGTCTCGGAGTCGAGGGGCCTCGGCTCTCCATCTCGGACGGTCGTGAGGGTTGTAGTGTTGTGTGTGCATGGCCTGGGGGTGGAATGGGCATTCACGAGCTCGCTGTCGTTATGACATGACGGGATGCAAGGGATTGGACCAAGCGCAGAATTGTAGAGATGCGTGAAGAGGTTTCCAGTAGTTGGAGATGTGGCAGTTAGAGGTAATGATGATGATGGTGTTCAAGTTGGTGGTGATGGTAATAATGGTGATGGTAATGCTGGTAGCGTTGGTGGTTGGCTCTGTCTTATTTCCGAAGCTTGACATCCGAGTCGGCATCATCTCGGGATAATACTGTAGTGATATCTTAGGTTCCTTAGGTGCCTGCCTTAGGCATCCCTAGGGAGGACTCGGCACCTAGGTCCCTACCAAGGCCATCTGACCGTCCCAGTCCTCCAGCTCTGTTCAGCCCCGGAGATGGTGATGGTGCCCCTAATTCCGCTCTCCGTATAGGCTACCTAGGTATCCTCCCTATCCCCACCCTCTTACTCTTCAAGGCTTCAGATGCCTAACAAGGACCCTTATTAGACCCCGGATCGCGCACACATTCCACAATCCCACATTTCCACATTCCACATCTTCAACGTCCCACACCACGACACCAATCACTATGCGGCGAAATCTGATTGCCTCTCGGCGGCAAGGTGTGAAAAGTTCTTCCTCGTGAATGTACCACAGAGGTACGCGGTCATCCACGGCCCATTTCCACCGACTGCTAGTACTACGTAGTACAGTATCTCTGGACAAGACCACTCTTTCAAGAACACATTGGGTCCTTTCCAGAGGTAAAGACGCGACCGTCACATGAATGTGCTCGTTATCTTATGTAACTGTTTAGACACGGTATCTGGGGTCCTGGTATGCCAGACACCAACTAAAGCTTTTTGATATCTATTTCATGAATCGTTCGTTGCTCGCCTTATGTGGTGCCCCCGTCTCAGGAGCAGGGCGCACACTCTGTGAACTAAGCCGTCCCGACGTGGCGCCGACATTGGACGAGACTGGAGTCAATGTCGTCGTCGTTGGAGAATGCATCTCTTCCGCTAGTGAGACAAGCTCTGCAGCGTCCGCGGAGATGGGTCCCAATGTCGGCACAAAGAGAGACGCTTGTCCCAAACTCCTGGTCCTCGAGTGAACGACTCTCCCTGGCTTTTCGGGGCTCCTAGATCGTGTACGTGTAGCCACCGGCGAGATGGAATCTGCATAAGTACTCGTGCCCAACCAGACACTGTCTTTTCGCCGTCGCCCTTCTGCCTCCCACCAATGTGGCGTGCGACGAGATCGGCATGGTTCGCTACCAGACCCGGTCGCCACAGGCTGCGGCGCTGGTTCTTCTGCAGAACCCCATCCCAGGATGGCCCTGATGCGGCTCCATGTCCAAGCCAGACCTTCCCGTAACGAGCGGTCTTCCCCTTTCACGGTCTTCTCGGTCAAGGAGAAAATGAGGCCGTCCACGCCGGCTTGGAGACTCACCATGATCGACACAATCATGTTGAGCCAGAACACCGGGTGTCGAACATAATAGTCGTCATAGTACAAGGCGTGTTGAGCGAACGGGAAACTCCACATCAGAATGTAGACGGCCGGATAGACAAACAGTGATCGTAGTTGCTTGCGAATGGCGTTTCTCGTCTGTCTGAGGGGGTCATTGGCGACCATGTCGGTGGCGGCGGGAACAGGTTGTGGCATGATGGGCCCCTGTTCGAGTCTAAGGGTAACAGCTTCCGAAGTCTTTCGACTTTCAGCCCTGGAGTGGTCCAATGTGCCTGGTATCACCGAAGCACTACCAAAAGCCGTCTGCGTGTCTCCCGACCAGTTGCTTCCACGTGCGGCGTAAGGCGGCTTGTCTTCGTCCGCCACAGCGGCAGGGCTCACGCCCTGTAACGGCTTGGAAGTGATGAAATTCATATAATCCCATGGCTCAAGTGGCTCGGATTGTGCCGGCGTTGGCTGGAATGGCGCGTCTTGATTCCTCGGTCTCATAGGGCTTACTGGCAGGGGTCGAGCAGTACCACCATCCAAGTTCTTCTCGAGGTCATCGGGCCTGATGGATGACTTCCGCCTCGACTCCGAACTCGAGCTTTGGGAGGAGCCGGTAAGCCCGAGATTGTCAAAGCCCCGAAACTTGATCCGAACATAGAGGTAGAGCCAGATATACATGGCTAGGATGACGCCGATGATCAGATATCGGGGCACCCACGACAGAGCAAGTCGATACCAGTACGGGCGTTTGGGCAGGTAGCAGAACGTCCCAGCCGTGACATAGCCGTGACCGCCCTTGACGAAGGCCAAAGAGGCGGCCAGGAGGGACGGCCCCAGCCAGAAAAGGTACACCCAGTTTCGATAGGGGTAGAGTCCACCTTCGCCTGCCTTGCTGTTGGGCCGGAGAATGTAGGTGATCGAGTGTACAGCAACAATGAGGATGGCCATGTCGGCGGACATGACCCCAAATTCCAGCACATACCCACTGGCCTGGCACCAATCCGACGAACTCTGCACTGGGCCTGCCGCGAACGACACGATTGGAAAGAGGAAATATACACCGGCTTTGACAGTATTGCTCATGATCAGGTGCATGATAAGTCGATGCCGGAAACTGCGTCTCTTTCGGATAAATATCCCCAGGGCGTATAAGACGATACAGAGGCTAAGACAGGAGCATGTGAGCGCAGCAATTAAGATGGCTCGATTCTGCGAACCGCTGAAGGCACCGCCAGCGGAGTTGGGTTCATGCGGCACAGCGGTGGACGGGCCGGTTGCCTTCCATGATGCCTGGTCGAGCGGAGATGAAGCAACGCTGAAAGGATCGGATGCTAGCATTTGTGACATGTAGCCGAGTTCGGGTTGCGCAGACGCCGGTCGAGTCTTTGCATGTTATGAGCCTCTTGACATATCGCTTGCGCGCGGCTCAACTGGCCGAGTAAACAGTAGCCGAGATGGTGGGCATTCGACGTCGAGTTCGACTGGTTAGATCTGAGAAGCGGCAAGAAAAGGCACGATCAGACAAGATGCGCCTTCCTGGAGTAGTGTTCAGGACTGACAGCGGGAAAGGGGAAAAGAGAGAGATGAGGAAGATGAATTCCTGCAGGGACAGCCATCACATCACATCATACATGCAGCGGTGGCCGGAGGTGACAAGATGAAGCATGTCGGTGCCTGCCGCCAGCTAGTATCTACCCACCTGAAAGTATGTTGTGGTGTATTCAATAGTTGACATGGCGTATCATGAATCGATGGTCAAGGGATGAGTCCTGGATCTTGATATTGGGGGCCCAGGATCGGGGGAGGGGGCCGGTTTGAGATGAGCCATGGATTTCTTTTCCTCAGCCATCGAATAGACGGTCCAGCAGCCGCGAACTTCGGGTTCCTTAGGTCCATCATTGCTGCGCTGTGTTGCCGTGGTGGTCTGTGAGCAGGTCCGTGTTGAACGAGGCCGGAATCCAATCCAGGGGTCAGTCTGTCAGTCATACCAGATCAGGTTAGACTAGAGAATGAATCCAACCTCTTTCGACAGTTCGACGACCATTCAAACTTTCCAAGGGTGAAAGGTCAAAGATCAAAGGTAAAAGGTGACCATCGTTCCCGCGCGGCCTCTTGCCTCTTTGTCTTTGTCGTTGGCGTCGCTTGCGGTTACTTCAGGACCCGCTGTAGTTTGTTAACAAGACCCGGCTGTTGGCCGAGCGATCGCAAATCCGCATCGATAGTCTGATCGGGGTTCCCAAGCATCCAAAGGTACCTAGGTACCTTCGTACATATGGCCCGCGGTCTAGACAGTCCATCGATCAGCAGCAAGATCCCAAAACAATACTGTGCCTCCCAACCTCTCAGCTGAGAAGAAGCCTCGAGCAATCCGCAAGCCTCCTATCGCCTCGGGTGTGGGCATTGGAGATCCGACATGGCGATCGTGTCAATCCCATGATGCCCGGGTCAGTGATTTACAGCAACCAAGCACGAACGACCATTTTGGTCGACATACCTGCGTCTATCGAATCAGGTCAGCGAATCCCATACAGACTCAAAAGTGCTGCTGCTCTGGATGATCCCTATCCCAGCACAGAACCAAGAGGTTCCAAGAGGGAGACCGCTCTGGGCGCGATTCCCTTGCACGATCGAACCTACCACGAGTCCGTCCAGAAGGACATCTCGTCAGCTCTCACGGAGATCCAAGACCATTTGCGTGGTCAAGGCAGTCCTTCATATTGGTGCCATGGCCGCCACGCGCTGCTCCCGAACTCGGAGAGGGTCCTGCAAGCGATGCCACTAGCTCCTTTCAGATCTTCGCCGGGGAGCACTGGTGATCTGTCGTTGTTAGCACCTGTCATTCTGTCGACCACCGAAACTCAAACCCGATTCTCCTCCATCGATTGTCTGCGCGGTGTCGCAGTGTGCAATCCTAGCCGAGACAGGACCGCTGTTGTCGAGACCGGAGACGCCGGGGAATTCCTCATCCCGGCTCATGCTTTATTCGTCCTGGCCAGCCTCGAAGGTGGAATGGCGGGGTTTCATTCGGCGCGTCAAATGCTGCTTCCTCCCCCTCAGCAGTTTCATTTGATCGTGATGGATCCGCCCTGGTCCAATCGGTCAGCCCGTCGTTCTGGTGTATATCGAACTTCGGAGCACCAAGAGACCGATCCCTTTCCAGAAGCCATGCGTATCGTGAAGGAGTGTCTGGCTTCGAGGGGATGGCTGGCAGTCTGGATCACGAACAAGGTATCTGTTCGTAAGGATGTAATAGATGCTGTTGGCTTATTGAACCTTCATCTTCACGAAGAGTGGGTGTGGATCAAAACGACTGCACGTGGCGTCCCTGTCACTGTTCTTGATGGCGTGTGGCGTCGTCCATATGAGATTCTTCTGTTATTCCAAGAAGATCGGGTCTGCAAGGTTCCCCGGCGACGTGTTATTGCGGCCGTGCCCGATGTGCATTCTCGAAAGCCGAGTCTGAAGGCTTTGCTGGACGAACTGCTGCCCGGGGAGTACCATGCGTTGGAGCTATTTGCGCGGAGTCTGACCGCAGGCTGGTGGTCATGGGGGGACGAAGTATTGAAGTTTCAGCATGAGAGTCAATGGTCTCGAGAGGTTTGAAGAGCGATCAATATTGTATCTGTAGACTACTCAGACCGCGCTGCGAAGATAGGTCGGAGAGCAAGTTCTGGTTCTATTGTCGACACATACTAGTGTATGGCAGTGGGCTCAGCCGTACAGAGTGCAAGGCTGCGCAGGTCACACTACCTACTATTAGGCAGGCTCAAGGAGAGTAAGGAAAACCCCTTAGAAGGCTCCCTTAGGTACCTTACCTAGGCACTGCGCAGACATCCTTGAGTCCTAGGGTCCTAGGGAAGTCTCCCTAAAGAGTATCCTTAGAACCTTCCTAGATCCCCCATTGACCCCTCGGAAGACCTGACGGATTAGGTCCCCCGGGTGCCTGACAGAGCCTAAAGCTCCTTAGGACTAGCCTAACCTTAGCCTTTAGACACTGACGCAACACGTTGCAGCCTTGCATCTTCCCCGCCAAAACGCCTCCATCTTTTTTGTCTGATTTACGATCTTCATACACAAATTCTTGATCAACCCTCCTCTCACTTCCATTCAAAACAGTTCGTCCCAAGTCTCCCAGTCGCTCTACTAGTATCCAACAGATATCACAAGACAATACTCTCTCACAATGTCACACCAAGACGTCGACGTCGACGTGCCAGCCACGAGGAAGGCTTTCGTGCCACTCGGTAAGTACCTACCTATCAGAGCCACAGAGAGCGTACCAATTCCAACCCACAATATCACCCCAGGATCAGTTGCATTGCATTCTATTCCAAACTTGAACAAGCATAACATAACATACTGACGGACTCCCGGTCAGAAAACAACCCCGAAGTCATGACCAGTCTGGTGCGCGAACTGGGCCTCTCGCCCGCGATCCAATTCCACGACGTATACTCGCTCACAGACCCAAGCCTCCTCGCATTCCTGCCTCGCCCCGCGCTGGCTCTCCTCCTGGTCTTCCCTATAACCGAGACGTACGAGAAATACCGCGTGGCCGAAGACGCCTCGCGCGCCGACTACCAAGGCTCCGGCAACCCGGAGGACGTGGTGTGGTTCAAGCAGACGATCCGCAACGCATGCGGTCTGATCGGCCTGCTGCACAGCGTCAGCAACGGTGGAGCCAGAGACCATATCGTCCCAGACAGCGATCTGGACAAACTGCTCAAGCAGGCCGTTCCGCTGACGAACCCGGATGAACGTGCGGACTTGCTCTACAACAGTCAGGCGCTGGAGGCGGCGCACGCCACGGCCGCGGCCAAGGGCGATACCAGTGCGCCGGACGCCGAGGCGAATGTGGATCTGCATTTCGTCGCGTTCGTCAAGGATCAGGACGGGGATCTGTGGGAGTTGGACGGCCGGAGGAAGGGGCCGATCAAGAGAGGACGGTTGGGCCCGCATGAAGATGTCTTGAGTAAGAAGGGCCAGGAGTTGGGTGTCCAGTCGTTTTTGAAGAGGGAGGAAGAAGCTGGTGGGGGGGAGATGCGGTTCAGTGTCATCATGCTGGGTCCTAGTCTGGAGTGAGAGCGCTGCAGTCCATCAGGTCTCGTGGCTGAGGGAAGAACGGATGTTGGCGGCCGCTGTACTACCATGCTACGGACGGAGGGCATTTTCTGCATGGTTTGATGGAGGTGACATTGAACCTTACGTTGCTGGGCTGGTTCTATTGCACTGCATTGGCGGCGCTACGGCATAAATGGGCGCATTGAGTATGGTCAAGCAACGGGGGCTATGCAATGAACACGAAAAAGACTAGACGATAAGACACGATCTAGAAGATCTGTACGAATGACAATGAGATATGTTATGACCATGTCAAGTGTGCGAACAAGGCTGAGCATCGTATATGGAGTGGATAGTGCTTCTGCAAAAGGGCTGGCATGACGGCCACGTAGACTACATTGCTGGGACCGTCAAGATTTCCTGTGAACTGGTAAACACGTATCGCCTTCTTCTCCTTGATGCTTGTGTCGAACATTTATGATATATACAACTACCCTTCGGCTCCGCTCCCGTTCAAGCGCACGAGGGCAGTCCCTTGTTTTACTTGTATCGCTCTCCCTCCTCCTATTCCAACTTGATCTTCTCGAGCTCGGCCTCCGCGTCGGCCTCAGCCTCTGCCTCAGCCTCGGCCTCAGCAATAGCTTTCTCCACATGCCTGGCTCGTCGCGTATTCCTCTCATCCCAAAGACCCTCCAGATCCATCTCGACCCTCTTCTCCTCGGTGAACATCTGCACCACGACCCTAGGAGAGTTCGGCCGACTTCCAAACCCGACATACTCGCCATCCGAGGGATTTCGATATTCTTCATCTTCTTCTTCGTCATCCTCCTCTTCGTCTTTCAACTCCTCCGACTGCGCCTGATGAGGCACTCGTCCCGCATCACCGGCAGCAGCCTCTAACTCACTTTCAGCAGCCACATCCCCACCGTCCAGCTGATCTTCAACTCTGCCCGACAACGGCAAAACAGCATCATCCACCGGCCCCATATTAACACAAATCCACCCCGTGGTAATCCCATCATCGACCTCCTTCCCCGCCATCGTATTGCCCACGGTCTGCGCGAGTTTCAATTTCCTCGCCTTCCGGCGCAACTTCAGTTTCAACTCGTTCCGGCCCAGCAAGCCATCTGCGTACGGCCGGAGCTTGTACTGCTGGCGTACCCAGCGGCAGAACCGGTCGGCCGAGACGTTGAGGTGTTTGACGCTGCGCGCCGTGCCGATCACCATGATCAGATTCGCGCCCAGGGCCGGCGGCGGGTCGAGGTGCCGGAGGTCCAGGAGGACGAGATTGTCCAGGCCGATTTGCACGGATAGGTGTTCGAGCACGGGTTGGAGGATCGCAGGCGGGTCAGCCGGTAAGGGGGGGATTTCTTGCAGCGCGAGGAGCGGTGAGATGGGCGATGGTGGGACGGGTTCTTCGACCTGTAGGTACCATGGTATTGAGGACCGTGACGTCGGGTCTTCTTCCGGCTCGGAGGGGGTAGAGTCTAATTGTTCAGCAGATGTCGAAGTCGGTTCGGAGGAGTATTGTGTAGCCGATGCTGACGATGACGAGAAGGTAGACGGGGACTGTGTATGAAATTCGGCGGACGGTTGTTTAGCAGAAGTCTGTCGCCGCGCTGAAAGACCACTGAACGCTCTGGAGCCTGGGTAATGGTGTGGGCGCAATGGCAATGGTAACGGTAACGGGTGCCGCGACGGTAGTCTTGACCCAGTCTTTAGTATTGTCGCTCCTCGATGAGTCTGGACCGGGATCGAAACGCCTGTGACTAGAGATGTGAAGGCGTCGAGCACCGATACACGGCACGCCGTACATTGTGCCAACGGGGAGCGGTGCATCTTTCTGTATCCCCGTGCTTGTACCTCTTTTTTGGATTCCTCGTTTGTGGGACCGAACGCAGACAGTATAGTCCCTCTATTGAGGAGATATGAGACTACTCCGGCGAGTGAATGAGGTTCGTAAGATCTGGGCGACGAAGGTGATGAAGCGAGAATATATGGAGACTGCGATGCAATTAATTGACAACTTGGATCGCGCCCAAAAAATCATTAACGGATGAATCTCGGTATCTGGAGTTCCACTGTGGCTCCTGTGGCTCAACACCCCTGACTTAGTCAGCATATAAAGGTACGCCACAGTACTATAAAGTACCTAACGATCGCAGTACCTTGAAGCCCAGTCTACAATACTCATTCGGATAACTGCTCTTTCCGAGCTTTCTTCATGTAGCGGAAGCCTTGTGAATGCAGTGTCCGAGGGGTCAATCATCTAAGCTCTTGCTGCCCAGGTATGTCTGCCACACTTCTCGCCATGCAGGATCATCATACTAGGTCAACTAAAGGAGAGTCGGGCTTAACCTCACTGCTCCCGCATCATTCACTGCTCTGTGGTCATCAGCACATCAGCGCCACCAGCATCTCCGTTGCCAATGCCGGGCAACGACATGGCGCCACCAGCTGCTCTCGAACCACCCCCAGCTGCACCCGACGGAGTAGGTGCTCCGACGCCATCATGGCCATTGCCCGACACATTAGCCTGTGAAGAACTGGCCAATTGTTGTTGCTGCTGCTGCTGTTCGAGGGCGACTGGATCGTCGATGGTGTCGCCATCACTGTCCCGCCCCACGGCGTCCTCATCGTCCTCGGTGGTTTCGTCGGTCGCATTCTCTTGAATCTTCTCCTTCATCCATTCATACACCTCCTGTTCATGGATCTTCATCATCTGGTTGAGCACTTCGCCATTCGACCGCACAAGGCGGCCGTATCGCTTGGACGCCTTTCCCTCCTTCTTCCATACGCTGTGGACATGCGATACATAGACCAAGCTATTGTCGCGGTACCACTGGCTCATCCAGTGTGAGGCCGGATTCGAGATTGGTCTGATCGGATTTGTGGCGATGAAGCCGACGATGCCCAGCAGAGTGGGGAAAATGTTTTCTGTATCCACGATTTCACATTAGACATCGAGATCAACTGCGAAGGGGTTGAAACTGCATGATGTTCTGTGACCCGATAGGCTTAAGAGAGATGTCGTGCTGGTCAGAGGATCAAGGCTGATTCAAACGACGCTTGAAACAAGGGCCAAGGCCAATCTGATCAGGGAGCGCCGGGTATCAAGGGTGGGGCAGTAATCCATGATTTTCCAAGAACATCGAGCGATGAAATGCAGATCAAAGAAATGGTGAAGAGAGAGAACAAACTTACCATGCTCACTGACCAACTTGGCGATAGCATGAAACGCATGGCCCGCTCCAATAAGGAAGATGCCACCAGGGAACTCGTACGGCTCCACGTAATTCTCCCAGAGATACGAGGACAGTTTCTCGCCTTCTTTCCGTGCAACGTCTGTTGCGGTCGAGGCGTATTCGACCTCGGTCTCATTGTCTTCCGCGTTGTTGGAATCGGAGACACTAATCAGCTCGGGGATGTTGACGTCGATGACTCCAAATCCGTGCGAAACTGCCCATCGAATGTACGACTGCGCGCCGTCAACCTTCGGGAAGGTAAAGTGAGCATGGGTGTTGGCATAGTGGCAATGAAGGGTAACGAGGTAACAGAATACGAAAGAGTGTCCGGAGATTTGGGAGGGGAGAGGTTACACACCAACCAGGTATCATGTGGCTTCTGCTGTGTCGTCAAGCCGTTGCCGACTCCTAGAAGATCGGGCCTGGATTTCATCAGCTCGTCAGGTACCTCAAGAAATGACACGAACGTGTACGGAATGAACGTACGAATCGTGGAATATGACAACGAGGCCCTTCTTGCTCTCGTAATTCGGTCTGGACGCATTAGTTCTGGTACAGCTACATACTGTTATATCGTGTCTCACGTTGCAAGGACCTGGTGGTCAAAAGATTTCGAGATGGTGTCGCGGTAAATGTGTAGCTGAGTGAGCTTGTATTTATCGTAGAGATGAGCTGCCTGCCACTGCCGGATGACATCTAATTCAGAGATTAGAGCCACGTTCAATAGGGATCCGCGATCCGCAGCTTTGGCAGCACAAACGAAGGAGTGGACATACCGTGTAACCTCTCACCGCCAAAGACGCCTCCTACAGGATCTGTTCATCAATCAATGGGCGATGTCTTCAGACCAGTATCATTTGAATTCACCTTTGGGGTAGATGCTTTTCCAATACCTCGATTGGACATTGCGAACCTTATTCACAGTGTCCACGGCCGAGATGGTGGCAGCTGTGGCATGGAGCCTGTCGGGCGGCTCTCCCATCAGGGTGCGTGTAACTGCTAAAGCAGATTTCGAAATGGCACGGAAGTTGTAACCTCCCTATTAACGCATTAAGGACAGCACCCGCATACCAGGAGCAAGCCATATCATACCTCTAGACACACGGCTATCTTACCGCCAGCGAGGGATTTGAGCATATGCGTCATATGTGCATAGCAAGGGGGCGAGACAAAGCATCCGCCCAGCTCATCTCCTGCCGCCGCGTCGAATCCAGAAGCGACTAACACCATATTAACACGGTTCCGAAAGCAAACCTAAGTAGACATACCAACGACGAAGTCGGGATTAAATTCGGTGGCGATCGGCATAACCACGTGTTGGAACGCGTACATATAATCGCCATCGCCCATGCCTTTGGTAGGCCAGGGAATATTGACGTTCCTTGGGACAGGTTCAGCCTGTGGTCATATGTGCGAAAGAAAACTATACGTACTTGCCGAGACCAGCACCAGTCCCACAATGGTACATGTCTCCCTCATTTCCTGAGGGATAGAACATGCCATTCATGTGGACATGAAGCGAAATGTACAGGACATTGGGATTATCGTAAAAGGCTTTCTGGCAGCCATTTCCTGCAAGCTTGAGGTCAGTAACAGCCAGTAACAAAGGCAAAGATGAGCCGGACCATGGTGGACGTCCCTGAAGGAAGCTGTTAGCACATTATCCTTGTTTGACAAGATGCAAGACAGTGGCCTACCAATCGACGATCAAGATCTTCCTACAACCTTCACCGAAGTCGTTCTGACACACCTTGGAAGCAATGGATACGTTGTTGAACAAACAGAACCCCATCGTGCGATTGACTTCGGCATGATGCCCCGGGGGTCTGATGACAGCAATCGCATTCTTGACCTTCCTCGAGACGACTGCCCGACAAGTCTCAATCGCCGCACCTGCTGACAATTTGGACGAGAAGAAAGACAGGGCGTTGAAATATATGGAGTCCATTTCGGGATCCTCAGACAGATCGATGAGTTTGTCATCCGTCATATCTGCAATGGACAAGCCAGTTAGCCATGCGATCCAACCACCGAGGTAGGCTGTCCACGCAGTGACACTTACTAGCGGTGCTCTTGACGAACTCATAATGCTCCGGAGTATGGACGAGAAGACACTCTTCACGTGTGGCCTCGCGCGCGTCAATCCGTTTGAGTGGTACCTCGACCATCGGGGGATAATATTCGTCGTCCACCAGGCCGGCTTCACAGAGCTCCTTGTAGATGTAGTAGATTCGCCGAGGGTCCTCGGGATGGACATTCTCTCCAGTGGTGGCCGCGATCTCGGCATGATACCGCATGCGGTCATCATAGCATAAGCCAGTCGGCAGTTGTGCGACTGGCAGCCCCCGGGGTGGCTTGGGGATGGTATCGTCTGCTTCGGAAGACGTGTCGGATAACAAACTGTCCTCGTAATCTTCATCTTCTTCAGAGGTCTCGATTTTCAGCCGATGATCCATGTCGGCTGAGACATCAGGGGTGGCCGTATCCCTCATCGATGTATCGCCAGCAAGATGAGGTTCCTGAACCCTAGGGATGGGATAGGGGAAGTTAGGGCCACTGGGAGACTGTAGGTCCCCTTGACCAGATGGGGGAATCTGCGCCATTTGACCTATGTTTCCCCGCCGAGGAGAAGTCAACACGCTCGTTCCTTTCTTCAACAAGCCCTGCCACTAGGAAGGCTGCATGTTGACAACAAAACCCAGACTTGCAGATAGACGGGTAGTCGTTGCTGTCTGACTTAAACTGTTGTTCCAAGCTAAAGGATGATTCACTTGTCAGTTAGAAGCCCTGCACGGTGGCCATAGAGCAAACAATATGAGAGTAAGTGGTCAGTCACAAAAAGGCGCGGGCTATCAGATATAGAGAGTGATCCATCATAACATACCTCGCGCCCACACTTGGAACGTCTCTCGTCTGAGCTTGATCTTTGTCTAGATTCCCTTATAAGTACAACAAAATATCCTATAGTTCTAAATTCCTCCGAAGGCGACAATGAGCCCAAGTAAAGAGCCTGGTTTGGTTCAGCGGAAGATAATCTATGGTGTCTCATCGAGCATTGAGCAGCGGACAACCATGAGGACCAGGGGATTGCCAAGAATACGTATCACGTGAGGGGGGAGAAGGCTGAGACCACGTGATTAATGTCGCTGCGCCTCAATGATCCGCCGGAATTCACCTTGTCGATCAAATTGATCAAACCCTCGGCAAGATTTCAGCTTCGCCACGATTCATCTAAATCGAAAACTGGGGATCTGGGGTTGGAAAAGAGCGTATTTTGTCTGCCAATACAGGGATTTGCATTTGTCATTCCAACTAATGGTGGTGGGTTTCCTAAGGATACCGTTGCCGCCTAGGGCTATTCAGGTTTGTACGACCTCACTCTATGTTTTTCACCTCGATTTCCGGGCTCGCCCAAGGAGAAATCCTTTGACCTCAATTCAGGGCGGGAAAGCCCCGCGTGAAGCCTGGGTAGACGGGAATTTGAGGTGTCACGATTGCAATTTAGGCGTTTCCGTCAACCTTGGCAATGTAGGCTAGACCCCAGGTTAGTAACGAACCCCGAGATCTTCCGATCGGATAATGCACTTACCCAAGAGATCGAGAACACGTCGGGAGTAACCCCACTCGTTGTCGTACCACGACACAAGCTTGACGAAATGGTCGTTGAGGGCAATGCCGGCCTTGACGTCGAAGATGGAGGAGTGCGGGTCGCCGTTCAAGTCGCTGGACACCAGAGCATCCTCCGAGTATCCAAGAATGCCTGCCAAACTGTCAGTTAAACTGGTGAGGAGCAGCTGCTGGGCTCCTTCTACTTACCCTTGAGTTCACCCTCGGATGCATCCTTCATGGCCTTCTTGATCTCCTCGTAGCTGGCAGGCTTCTCCAGCACGCAGGTCAAGTCCACAACGGAGACGTTGGAAGTTGGGACACGCATAGACATGCCGGTGAGCTTGCCGTTCAGAGATGGGATGACCTTGCCGACAGCCTTGGCGGCACCAGTGCTGCTGGGGATGATGTTCTGGGCTGCAGTTCGTCCACCACGCCAATCCTTGGATGACGGGCCATCGACGGTCTTCTGGGTCGCGGTGTAGGAGTGGATGGTGGTCATGAGACCCTCCTTCATGCCGAACTTATCGTTGATGACCTTGGCCAGAGGTGCCAGGCAGTTGGTCGTGCAGGAGGCGTTGGAGATGACGGGGATGTCGGACTTGTAGTCCTTGTTGTTGACACCCATGACGAACATAGGAGCGTCAGCAGATGGAGCAGAGATGACCACCTTCTTCGCACCACCCTTCAAGTGGGCAGAAGCCTTCTCGGTGGTGGTGAAGACACCGGTGGACTCGACGATGTAGTGTGCACCGGTCTCGGACCATGGGATCTCGGACGGGTCTCTCTTCATGTAGAACTTGACTTTCTTGCCATTGACGACCAGGGTGTCGCCCTCCACCTCGATGGTGCCCTTGAATTGTCCGTGTGTGGAGTCATACTTGAGCATGTATGCCTGCGAAGGGTCAGTATGTTTCGGAGCTGTGGGAAGGTCGGCAGGGTGTCACGTACGGCGTAGTGAGGCTCAATGAAAGGGTCGTTGACGGCCACGACGTGGACATCCTCGTGCTCAACTCTAGAATGCTGTCAGAAAGGGGAGGTTTGGAGCGCGAAGACTGTGATCAGGCTGAACTCACGAGTTTCTGAACACCTGGATACTGATTAGCGACGATATCACTGTTTTGGAGCTTGTTCCCACTTACAATTCTGCCAATACGGCCAAAGCCGTTGATTCCGACGAGAGTAGGCATGTTGATCTTGGTATGAATGAAGATTTCTGGAGGAGGAAAAGGTTCAGGTTAGTTTGGAATATTGGCGGGTCACAATGAAGTTTTGTAGAACAGGATGTAGGCGGAAGGGAGGTCACGTCAGACTCACGTTAAGTGTAGTTTGGCTGGAGCAGGGTGGATGGAGGAGGATGAAGACTGATGTTTGGTTCAGTCAAATAAGTTATGTCGCGGAGTGGTGTGATGGGAATGATGAGGAAAGCTTTTTGTACTAGTAGCAGCAGCAGAGTGGCAGTAGTAGCAGTATTGAGAAGAGCTGGTGAGCAAATGGTGGGGCGGGATGTTGACGTTGAGGGGCAGTTGCTATTGCAGCTAGTAGCGAGTAGTACGTAGTGCAGGCAGTCTTCTTCTTCGTTGGTCTTCCTTCCACCTGCGAGCTTGGCAGCCAGTTAGTACTGCACTGCAGATGGCACTCGGAGACAGGGTCAATCCGTGCTACGCACTGTCCAGTCTCGTAGCTCGTAGCTGTATAGCTCTGTAGCTAGCAGCGATCATTTATCGTGAAACGATAATTAAATGATGGTATTCCGGCCGACGACGAACGAGAATCGGATGCCAATTGCCTCGGAATACAGCTGGACACCTTGCTTTTGTTGATGCGCCCCATCAACCACTGCAGCGTGAACCCTTCGAGGCTGTGATGCAATCCCATCAATGTACAAAATGTACTAGCATTGCTTATCTCACAAACTGTCTAGACCACAAAGCAGCAACCTGCCTGAACCGCTCCCACTGCGCCCCATCCAATCGCCAGGCGATGCTGTTCTGGCAGTTCGGCACCCGGAGCGGATTATCTATCGTTCCGTCCAACTCGCCGTCGCAGCCGCGCTTTTTTATGCAACATGTATCTCATCACTGCTCGATGCTGAGGAGACAGACAATCTTGCCATAACCCAATGTAGCATTTTCAAGTGGCAATCAGCTGTAAAACACTCCATGACAGTGACCAACATGCTCAAACGCTCAGCTCGCAAGGAAACCACGCACACTCTAGTACTGCTTGGGACCATGGAGGGGGGAAGCGATTGCCACTATGGCCAACAGTGATATCTAATCCATTCCACGAGCCATCTGGGCGCACCCGTTTTAATTATGCTATGCGTATGCACTTTTGAGGCCGAACATCTATTCCTCCTTCGCCCCACCACGACCGGCACGTTCAGCAGCCTCGATGCTGGCTTTATCGCTCTTAGTCTCGCCTTGACCCATGCCCATCATGCCGCCTGATGCCTTCCATGGTCGCTTGAGCTCACCCACTGCAGGCTTGCCGAAGAGGTGGACCTTGACCAGGTTGCCCTCGAGGGCACCTTTGACCGGAATGATCGACTGGATGAGGAGAGGGTTGGTGTACTTGAGGTACAGGTGCATGAATGCCATCATGGCAATGCCCATGAGTTGAGCCTTGTAGGCGGCCGACAGCTGGCCCTGGTCATACTCTTGGATGGTGGTGGTCACCAGTTTCGGTTCTTCGCCCGACCCCATGGGAGCAGGCTCGACGTATTTCAGTGTGGTCATGTCTGCGGCGCATGCATGGTCAGTATGATCGACTAGTGGTGTTGTCGCCTGGGGCTCCCCTTCACGTACCCTTCTTGGCCTTGATTTTCAACCCAATGTAGTAGTACAGGCCGAAGATGATGAGGTTGGACGTCACGTAGAGGATGCGCACTCCTGTCAGGACTTGAGGATCGTCAAATGGGATGCGCTTCGAAACCTGCATCATCCCGAGGATGATCACCAAGTTGGTGCTGCATATGGTCAGTCACGAGTGCTTTGATCAACTCAAGATACATAGAACAGCAAGTACATACATTTGTGGGCTGAGGGCGTTCATTGTGAGGGCGGGGTTGAAACTGTCTCAGACGAGAACAATGATGCTTGACTCTCGGTGATAGACAAGATTGAACAGGAGCGTCGAATATGAATGCGTCGTGCAGTAGGATGGACAATCTGCATGTACGTATCGTGAACTGGACAGATTGCAGGCTACAAAATTCCCGCCTGCGCCAAGCGGGAACAGCACCTCTGCAGTGGGAGCATCTCCGAATTCAAGCGTCCCGGTGCAGCGGCCAGCCACCTTGAACTCGAAGCTACATGGATCTGCCCGCCACCCGATAAGCGAGTCAATCAAACAATCACGTGATCGAGGCGCTGAGTCAAGACAATCGATCAACCTATCTCGCCAACCTTATTCCTGATACATCGCTTTTCGATATTGGATTCCCTTGCCCGCGGCACTCATGCTAGCCTCAAGGGTTGCAGGCTGCATGTTCGCAGAGCGGGTCGTCAGTGGAAGGACCCGTGGAGGGTACCGAGGCTGAAGGATCCTATCCGGGCAACAGCCTGGTTATGTATAAGGTAGGTCACGGCTTTTTTTCACACATTGGACGTCGATCAACTATGCTTCGATCAGTGCCCATTCTCCATTTTGACATTATCATCTCCAGCCCCCATCGTCTCATCCATCTTCGTGTCTCCTACATCTTGGGACTCGGCGGCTCGCGAGATATCCAACAATCCTTGAGGTCCTGGCAACGTAGGCCCACCACCAGGCGTGACACTACTCACATTCCCATCTTCATCCACATATTCAAACCTATATCTCGATAGGTAATGTGGGATAGCACTCAACTGCGGGCCATAGCGCGCGCTGTTGTCGTAGAGCTCGAACAACGGCACAGCCAGGAGCTTCATGTTCTTCGGAACACTGAGCACCTTATTCGGGGGCAGGTGGATGAGGTATAACTTCTTGAGCTCCTTTGGCCGCGAAACGTGCGCTGGGAGAAAGGGGTAGAGGAATGTCTCGTGGTTCGGCCGCCACCTAGTCACCAGATAATGTTAGAATGGCCGAGCATAATGGCGATATATGGGTTCGTCCGGACAAGCTGGGCAGTTAAAGGGTCTGAAATACCATTGAGCAAGACAGTCTCCAATATCCCACTCTGTGTCCCCATCTTTGGGATTCGTCGGAGCAAGCCTTTCATTCAGTCGCATTTTGAAGCCATCGATTTCATCGGCGTCGTGGGGCAGATAGTCGCCGGGTCTGTTTGTAGAACGTCGTGTTAGCAAACCGTTTCCAGCTCAGCGGTTTTCTCCTTGAAAGCTCAGACAAGAAGTGTCCTTCTGCTACGTCTTCGGGAGTGCAGAAATAGACTATGGCGTCCCCAGTCTCCTCTGGAAGCAATCAGAGTGCTTCAGGCCCCTCAAGCTTCCTCCCAGAGAGCAACCGGGAAAAAGCACACAAACACGTAGCCTCCGCTAGAAGCACGTCTGGAAGGAGAAACACCGACTCCTACTCTTTCCTTCTCGCAGAGCTGGCTCAGAGCATAAACATATCATCCCTGGATCCGGCTCAAGGAAAGAGAAGACAATGCGAGACATCTCCACCATGAACCACAGATCCGGCGATCTCTTCGGGAAGGACAACCGCACAACACCCGTCATCTCTCAACATGCTCAGCAGGCTCGTCCCACCGATGGCCCGTCAATCTCCTCGGCTCCATGAATGCGCGGTTTCCTCCCTTTCCAAGATATTCAGCCCGCCATGTATATTCCTGCCAACCTCAACATTCCCAGCTCCCTCAACTCTGCTCGTCCCGAAAAGGAGCCGCATTTGCCCACCCTGGTGAAAGACCAGTACAACCCAGACAACAGCCACAAACTCAACCACCGACGACACCAACGGACGAAAGAAGACAAATCAAACATTCATTTTTCCTTTTCTTTTCTTTTTAAAAACTCACAATTTAAAAAATGCATTCGCAATCTGCAACATAAGCACATGCGGATGATTATGTTCATGACAGACCAAGATGCCCTCACACGTCCTCCTCATGCCGTACTGGTCATAGTGTTCCTCCAGCCTCTTGAGCCGCGCCGCCACCGACGGGTCTTCCTCGGGCTGCGTCTCCTTCGTGCCGAATGTATAGTTCGATAGAGGATATAGTCGGATCGTGGGCGGTTGGTTTGCGGTGAATGGAGGTGGGAGGATAGGACTAGATTAAACAATACCCAAAGTCAACACAGTAAAGTACGGGTAGTAATCCTTCAAGAAGTATAGGAAAACCCATTTGTTGTTCTTGATGCGAGTTCCATATCTCAAGTCCCTCAGGAACGATTGGAGGTCTTGGATGAGACTGAAAAGGGGCAGCTAGGGAGGAAACGACAGAGGCGGGTGCGGGTGCGGGTGCGCTGCTTACGGGTAGGACGATTTGAGGGTGGTTGTGGTGAGGGTTGACATCTTGCCCGGGGCTCTGAAGGTGAAACCTTCCCGGAGATGTTTTTGTCCGGCAAGATCAAGGATGCACTGGTGATTGCGATTGCAGTGCAAGGTTCGGTCAGTGCGAAACGCGGATCGAGTGGAATCGGTATGTAGGAGTAGGCTGGAAGAGGCGGCAGTGAGAAGAGGACAACCGCCCTTTCGTCTCGTCGCTTTTGGAGGTAGTTGCTGGTGCGTGGCCTTTCAGTTCCTGCTACTAGTACGAGGGAACTGCAGGTCAGTTTGTTGGTTAGTGGTAAAACTCATCCGGAATGTCTGCCTTCCCCAGACTGTCCATTGAAGGTGGAGGGGTGCGTAGTGTGTAGATACTCTGTACGTCCTTGTGTACACAGTCGTGACAGGCCGGAATTAAAGCGGAGATAAAGCGGGATGGTTACGAACCTTGAAACTCATTTATTATTGAGCATCGACGTAGCATCATGTACTAATATTCGATTCCTGGTAGCTACTAGGTACCTGTCTGTAGTAAACGAGGTTCACATGATGTCTGGTACAATAGCCCGAGAGAAATGACTCTCCCATGGTACCTCATAAGAAACTATCAGTTCGAGAAGAGTATCCATTTTAGTGACCCATTCATTCTACCTATTTTCTATCTCTGGGTGTTATGCCGCTTAACGCCTTCGCTATGTTGGTCGTCAAAATAGACCGCAAACCACCATACCAACGTGAGATCTTTGAGAGCTGCCTCTTCACTTCTGTCAAGCAAGTCCAGAGCCCAGACCCCATGATGTTGCGGCTCACAGCTTCGGTTCGAGATCTTCGAAAGTCCGTAGATCTTCGATCGCAAGCGGTCCTTGACTGACCTGCAACCCGGCCTTCCACAGGTAGGGGTCTTGGATAACCTCAGGAGTCTTGATATTCGCAGCCACATCATCCGTGTCACCAGGAGACTCGACCGGCTTGATCTTCAGTGCAACTTGCATCCGTGGCACTGCCTCCTTCATTTGTGTAGCAATTTCTTCCGACTTTGAAGCAGCGGTCGTGGTGCTGATGTACTCTTGAATCGCTCCCACAATACTGCTGTCGTCCGCCAAGTCGACCTTCTCAAACGATGGCTTCAGCTGGTCCTCGTCCGCGTCAACGCCGAGAGACTTCAAAATCTGCACAGTAAGACCGACGAGCTGTTCTCTCTGTTGGGCTGGGGAAATGGCCTCTGCTGGAGCAGGTTTGGCTTGTGCTTCGAGGTGCACCGAGACTTTGGCGCGAGTGGGCGATTCGGGATCGATATACTGTGTATAGAATTCCCGCATGTCATCCTTTGTGAGTTGTCGGATCGCAGCAACATCTCGGTCGACTTGATAGAAGTTGAAATACTCCCCACAAATATAAGCCCACAGGCGACCCGTCTCAAAGTCAAGGTTCTTCAACTTCTCCAATCGCTTGTTGATCAAACTGCGTTTGTGACCCTCAAATTCGTCGTCGGTCATGGACTCGAAATCCTTCTTGAACTTCAGTAAGAACGCGTCGATGCGGGTTTCGAGGTAGTCCGGATCTCTTTCGCTTTGGATGAGGACCCTGTATCCCATTGTGACAGATGCAGGTCTCACGCCACTCCAAACCACGTAGCCGAGTTGTTCCTTGGTACGAAGTTGATCAAATGAAGGCTCATCGGTCATCTGAGCGAATAATTGCAGCTTCGCCCGTAAGGGAATATCCATGACATGGCCGACATCCAAGAAGTACTCGATCGCGTTGTTGATGTTGGCCGGGTCGCCCAATAATTGCTTGTACACGAAATTGCTTCCTGGCGGAATGATCACGTTTCTTCGAACATCCCATTGTGATGGAGGCAGAGGCCGTGGCTGCAATGTCGACTCGACCAGGTTTGCAATCTTCTTGGCGTCCTCTCTATACAAATTGCCATGAGCGAGCACCTCAACGTGCGCCTGTTGCAGGATCTGTGGTGCAAATGTTCTGATATCATCCACAGTAATATGGGGGAGCTCCGCCGCAAACACGTCGTTCATCCAACCGCGTTCATTCAGGATCCATCGAGTGTAATCTCCAATCTGGTAGTACGGTTGTTGGAAGGCCCAGTTCTTATACTTCCTGGCCATACGCTCCTTGATGATTTCGAAACGATCAGCTCGGATCTCAAGGCTCTTCAACGTTACCAAGATTTTCTCTAGAAGTACTGCCATCTTGTCGTTGTATCCATGAACGCTTAGATCCACGCCCATCGTATTGGCACCCACAGCGTATGCAAGCCCGGAAATTTCTGCATCGTAGGAATAGGTCGATAGAGCATCCTTGACCAAACTGACAAACAAGACAGTCTTGACATAATTCGCCGGGGTTGCGTAGGTGACTGGGTTTCGGAGTTTGATATTGAGGTTAGCCTTCGGAACCCAGAAAGTATCATCCTTCTTCCACCACAGGCGAACCATGTCATCGTTGCGGAGCAATTTCGGGGTCTTCGCAGGCTCTTTGACATCTGTCCTCTCCACATCGAGCTTGGTGGGAATGAATTCGTTCTTATGCGGGAGATGTAGCTCTTTGATCGGGTCGGTCCCTGGTGAGGAAAGGGCTTTGCGTACCTGGGACAGAACGTCCGTAGGTATCCTTTCCACTTTGTACTCGGTCCCATACCATTTCTCCCGCTGGTCCCAGTCACCAGGATACTCTTGAGACACCAACATCAACCGGAAATTGTCCTCGCGGAGATACTGCATGGCTTGTGTAATGGCGTCGGCGTCAAACTTCCGGAACTTGCTTGTCCCACTGAGGAGCCAGTTGCGGGGCAGTTTCTTCTGCATGACGCTGCTTGTGCCACTCGTGAAGCGGCTGGCCGGGGATTTTTGGCGGAATCTGAAGTCAACCTCGGCCATGTTCTTCATCTCTTCATGCAGCCATGCCACGGGTGGATTCGCCTTCATCATGCCAATATATTGGAACACAATCTTGACGATCTCATGATAGTTCTTCAGGCCGTCAGGTGTCAGTCCAATCTCGATCTCAAAGAATGCTGACCCGGGGCAGACGGGGTGATAACCGGCAGAAAGAGTCTGGCCTAGTCCTCTCTCTTTCAAATATGCAAGGATACTTCCGGGACCCTCGTGACCAATGAGGTGGCTAATGTATCTGGCCGGTTGTGTCTCGTACATGTCCTCTTCGTCTTGCCACGGGAAACTGATCTCCAAGGACCGCGACTCCATGACCGGCTTTGCGAAAATTTCGGTTGACAACTGATCTTTGGTCAACATCTCAACCCCATCCCAACGATTTTGTGGTAGATCCTTGTTCTTGACCTCGGAAAACAGCTCGACGACCCAGTTCTCCAGCTCGTCCAAGGATTCCCTGCCCAAGACGACCAATTTCATCCGATTTGCAGAATAATTTCGTTCATAGAAACGAATAAACTCATCCCGAATTTTGACGCCTCTCTTCTCCGGGTCATCTCTCAAGGTTTGCAGGTTGCCAGTCGAGAAATGATGGTACGGGTGATGAGGGTTCGACAAAGATTTGGCCAGCTGAGACAACCTCCATGCGTCACTTTGTAGATTCTTCTTGTTCTCCGAATCCACCGCCCTCAACTCACGATCCAAGGTGCTCTCCAGAAACAGCGGCTTCACAAAGAATTGTGCAAACCGATCAAGAGCGCCATACAATGGACCTTTTGCGGTGCCGTTTGATATCCCGTTTGCAGCGCCATTGGAGGAGTTGTCGTTCGCTTCATGCGAAGCGGCGCACTCGAAGAAGTAATTCGTCTGAGTAGCTGCCGTATATGCATTGGAGTGACCCGAGTTTGAGGAAAGATAAGACGAATACTCGTTTTCTACAGGATACTGTTATATTCCGTCAGCGTGATGTTTTCTCATTTCAAGGGAGATTTTGTAGATTGTTCAGCCCACCTTTTCAGTTCCCATGAACAGCAGATGTTCTACGGCGTGTGCCATCCCGGGCATATCCTCCTCGTCCGAAAAGTTGCCGACATTGACATTGAGACTGGCACTAGCTTTGTCTGTTTCTGCATCGTGGACAAGTAAGGCTTCCAGCTTGTTGGGGAGTTCGATGACCCGGTACGATCTGTCGTCGAGATCTGGCTTCTCCAAGTCGTCCGTTATCCGCTTGACTGAGTTCATGACTGTGGCAAAGGATCGACTAGCAGGGGACTGCTGGAATGAGGCTTTGGACATCAGAGGTTTTGGTATTGGCAAGGAGCGGTATGCCAATGGACACGAGACTCGAAGGGAAAGGAGCGACGAGTAGAAGAGGCGGGCGGACAGTCTCATGTAGATGGGGTGGAAGGGAAAGAAGGGAGTATGTGAGGAGGAAGACAGTTCGGGCACAAGGAGGGAATGTGATAGTCGTCTCTTGTTCAAGCACTCATGGCGGTTGCAGAGAATTGAATTGATGATGATGATGGCAAACAAACCACATAATGCATACCGCCGCCTTGCGTTGACCGCGGCTGCCCACCGACGATGTGCGCAACACACTCTAACCTCCACAGTAGTTTTGCTACGGTGGATCTTACCAGCCTCACTGCGCAGTTACACAGCCTTGTGCCCCTGACGCCTTACACCGGCAATTCCTAATTCCAATACAAGAATGAAAAACTATTTGCAGGAGAGCAGGACTCTCAACTACGTAATTATCTGGGTTGAATGCTGTCTGTATTGAATTCAACATGCTCTATCTCTCCGGTGACATCCGATTTACCATCAATATGGCATTGGTTGTTTTTGAAGTACATCTGTTCTGCCATAAGCCATGGGAAATAAGCCATATCCTTGGTTAACATCGATTGAAAGATACTATTTTCATATTATGTGTGTCTCATTACAATCTATGGTTCTCAACTACACAGTTCCATATACTCGTTACCTCCTCTTTCCTCGCTTTCTTTTCTCTCCTTTCCTAAACATTATCTCCAATCCCGTTATTGTTATTGTAGATAGGGGATCCAGTCCAGTCCACTGCGGTCCAGGCCGTGGGAAGAAGCGAAAAAGTTGTCGATGCCGCGTGAATGTGAGTATTAGTACCCGGAAACCGTAGGCCGTGAGATATTGAAGTGGATCGGAGTGGAAGTGAAATGCTTTTCGGGAAAGATCAGGCGTAATAAGTGAAAACATGCAAACCCCTTTTCACCATAAATCATACTTCTTGCTCTTTCCATCGTCTCGTCCCGTAGACATGCAAACCCTGTTTCGCTTGATCATTGATGAACCGTCACTTCGTTTCTTGATGCCAGGCTCTGTATGGTCCGTTCGTACCACTCCATCTCCGCTCATGTATTTCACAAGAGAGCAGCAACAGCGGCCAGCATGGCGAGGATGAATCCCGGTTCAGAGTGCAGAGGGAATTTGTTCGCTGCGCCAGTATACGTCGCGAATGGAGCGGGGGGGATAGTCATGCTGATGCTGCTGCTTGGAGTTGAGCTCGAGCTCGGGGTTGAAGTTGTGCTGGACGTGGAGTGTATGGGGATCCAATGCGACGACAAAGTCGAGGGGGATGGGATCGTGCTGGTGGATGCAAATGTCGTGGTTTGGCTAGAGCTTGTCCAGTCAGCCCATACGGAGGAGATCGCTGTAGTAGGTGCTGCCGTCGTAATAGGGGTGAGAGTCGTAGTCGTCCAGTCAGCCCAGGGCGATGGTGCAGTTGTTGGGATCAACGGAGTGATAGGGACTGAGCTGGTGGTTGTAGTGGTCCAGTCTGCCCACGTGACAGGGGTAGTGGTGCTGGAAGAGCTTGAAGGAATGGTGGTTGTGGTCCAATCTACCCATGTCTCAGGAGTCGTTGTGCTGGTAATGGCAGTGGTTGTCGAGGATGTTGTAGTTGTCCAGTCAGCCCACGTCTCAGGAGTTGTCGTGGTAGTAGTAGAGACAGTGGTGGTTAAGGAAGTTGTAGTCGTCCAGTCCACCCACGCCTGTGGGGTTGTCGTCGTGGTAGCAGTAGTTATAGGGGTGGTGGTGGTGGTGGTGGTGGAAGGTGTTGTGGTCGTCCAGTCCCCCCACGTCTCCGGAGTTGTTGTACTCGTCTTAGTGGTGGTTGTCGTTGTGGTGGTGGTGGCGATGGTTGTCGGAGTGGTGGTAGTCCAGTCAGACCAGATCTCCGGGGTAGTTGCAATGGTGGTGGTAGTGGAAGTAGATATAGTCCAGTCAGACCAGGCCTCCGGAGTGGTGGTGGTTTCGCTGATTGTCGTCCAATCGATCCATGTCTCCGGTGTAGTTGTGGCTGAAGTCGTCGTCGTGCTTGACGTGGTCGAGGCGGATGTGGTCCAATCACCCCAGACTTTCTCGGTAGTAAGGGTCGAGGTAGTCGTAGTCGTAGTCACCTTCGTTGTGGTCGTGGTCGTCTTTATGCTGGCGCTGGTTGTCGTCCAATCGACCCATATCGCCGGCGTGGTGGTACTAGTGGTCGTGACCGTGGTACTGCTGCTCGTAGTCGAAGTGGAAGGGGTAGTAGTTGTCGTAGTCCAATCGCCCCAGATCTCGGTGGGCGAAGAAGTGGTGGTGGTGGTAGTGGTGGCGGCAGAGGTAGAAGAAGTGCTAGTAGTCAGTATCCAGTCTGTCCATGCCTCATCGCTGCTGCTAGGGAGCGGTGGCAAGCTACTGGGTGTAACATGGTAAGTAGTATCACTGCTTGGAACAGTGGTGCCAGGAGCTGAGGAATTGACAAAACGAGGAAGCGGAGAGTTTCCGAACTTTTGACAATGGGAATCCAAGACAGCCAGGACCGTAGAGACAGATTCAGTAAGGCATTCTTCCGCTACACAGGAGCGCACTGTGGCTGTGGCGTCCGAAGAGCAGAAGCTTGTGGGGTTGGGCAGGGCAGACCCGATGCAAGAAAGAAGGCATTGCATAGGACCATTGCTGTTGGCTTGTGGTCTGGGCAGGGCATATGACAAGGGTAAAGAAGAGAGCGTAGTTGCGATGAAGACAGCAGATCTCATACTTGAGGAATGCATGGGGTCTGTGCGAATTGACCCGATCGAAGCGCGGGGTATGGGGAACAAGGATGAGAGGGAGATAGATGGACAATGCAGATGTGAGACAGAGTGTTATGATCTCTCAGAGGACTGTGCAGAAAGTAGCGTTTCACAGTTGACGTCCAAGCTTATGGAAGGAAAGACTCACAGACCTGAATGCGACCTCAGCTGGCCATACTTATATAGATGTGGAACTGGGAGCTTGCCCGGCATCAGCCGCTTGATGCAGGGTACGGTTGTCCAGCCACTCGTATGCGGGAGGAGTACCACCATCATTTTCCCATCAACAAATAGCCAGTAGCCAATAGAAACGCTTGTGTGCGTATGGACTCGGGCTGGGTGGGAAGTAAACATGCAGAATAAACAGCGAGGTGGGAGAGAGTATCACAGTAACCACAACAAAAGGGGATGGCAGGGGGCGGGTGGAGACGGTGGCTTCGGGTATGGCGGAGTATCAAGCCTTGCCAAGATAAAGCCCTCTATAACTATTGGACAGAATTGTTGCCAGCCCCCATACTTTAAGCCATTCTGAGAAATACAAACAAAGCTAAGGGTTTAGCCTAGACAACCGCCCCAAGGGTTGACGAGTCTGCTATAGCAATGGCTGGGACTCCGATGTTGCAGATTCCCCGCAATCACATCGATGTCGCTTATCAACAACCATCAAAACCACACGCATGCCACTTGCCAGCATCACAATGTTTCCCGGATCTCATCCTGCAGGTATGTTGGAATCGGCCTATATTAGTCCGTCTAAACAGCGAGAGTACGTTCATTCCGTGGACGGTAGGAGTGGCCCTCGTCTCCAGGTGAGAAAATGTAGCTGGATGAATCCCAAAGGCGTCATTAAGCAGTCTCCGTGGAGCTGGTGTAGTGCTTCTACAGAGTAAACATTGACGAACAACGAACCAACAACGACCCAACAACGAACGCATATACATGCCATAAACATCATATTCATACATCATACATCATACATATGATACATAATAATAATACATGTCCTCTCCGCGAAGACTTGACCTCTAACTTACAGTGGTCTGTTGATTTTCGTTCTACGCCTCTATATTTTTGGAACTGGAAAAACATTTTAGCCTCCACATCGACCGCGCCCAAATCACGCCCGCCACAACATTCTAGGTAAGGAAATCCCATTTCCCCCATTTAAGCAATCTATGGTGCAAGCACCAAGGCCAGAAGCGCCATTCTGGTGTAGAGACCATACCTCATCTGCCGGAAGTATGCCGCTCGTTGATCAAAATCGACCTCCTCGCTGATCTCCCGGTTGCGCGGCAGAGGGTGCATGACGATCATGCCCGGTTTGGCGTATTTCATGACGCTATTGTCCACGATCAGGCTGTCCTTCAGCCGGTCGTACTCTTCGAGGCTTGGGAATCGTTCCTTTTGGACTCGAGTGCAATATAGCACGTCGCTTTTAGCAACGATTTCTGGGGTCAGAGTCTCAGATTCGGTCACAAGCTGACCGGATGCCACGATCAGATCCCTGACTTCCTTGGGCAGAGCCAAGGCCTTGGGAGATACCAGGTTAATTCGGACCTCGTAATATTGGAGCAACTTGGCGAGAGAGTGGACTGTGCGTCCATATCTAAGGTCACCAGTGAAGGTGACCGTGAGGCCGGTCACTGTACCCAGCTCCTCTCGAATGGTGAACAGATCCAAGAAGGCCTGTGTGGGGTGTTCTCTGCTGCCATTGCCACCGTTGAGGATAGGTACCGGCGAAAACTTGGCCGCGATATTGACGGACTCCTCATCTGGATGACGAAGCACCACTGCGTCTCCGTAACATGCAAGCGTTCGGATGCTATCCTGCAGTGTCTCGCCTTTCTGTGTGCTCGAATGGTCGGTATTGATGACGATAGTACGTCCACCCAACCGTTGCATGGCTGCGTCAAAAGAAGACGAAGTGCGAGTGCTCGGCTCATAGAACATTGTGCAGAGCACCTTAGATGAGAGGATTGGCAAGATCCCCTGCCTCTGCACGCCGAGTCGCATCTCTTGAGCAACTGTGAACAGAACATGTAGATCTTGTCGAGTGTACTGATCGACGGAGATGACATGACGGTTCTTGAAAGGCGAAGATGCCAAAAGAGACAGGAGTGATGGGGAAACAGTGGAGGGAGGCTGTGGTTGCTGGAACGCCGAGGTTGGCAGGAGCGGACCACTGGTGTCGAGCACTTCATCCATGTTTCGAGGACGGGCTATAGGTCGACTTCGAGAGGCGATTGAACTCCGTCTGTATGACGAAGTGTCGAGGAGCGAAGGCCGTCTATCGGCAGGACCCTCAGGCTGAGCACGCATGATTGGGGAAGTCGGTCCGTCAACGGGCGAGTTTGGCTGTATTAAATGCGATGACATGTCGGCGCCTTGGGGGCTATCGATCAAAACCTCACCGTCGAGGCAGACAGTCTTGCCCTGGAACACAACCCGTGACACGGCAGCTCGGAATGTTCTTCCAGCAAACGGCGACCAAACTGAACCGGTCTGCAGCGCGTAAGGCCGATCCATGTCGATCTCCACTGAAGTATCGGCTTGTTCATGTAGCTCGAAGATGGACTTGGGGTTGTCGTGAAGTCTGCTAGTAATATCATCAATGGTCATTTTCCCTTCTGTAACAGCCGTCAATAGCAGAGGAAGTGCGTCCGCAATGCCCACCGTGGGACCGGCCTTGTCACCCGCGAGCTGATATGGAAGACTGCCAATGGAGAAGACATCGATTGTCGGCAGGTGGTCCCACAGAGCTTTTTGGTCTGCGGCTGACGGCAAAGCAGAACAAGCGGGATAATCAGCTTGCGATAAAAAGAGACTGTACACCGACACATCACAAGTCACCTTCAAGCCCTTTTCCTTTGATAGGGCGATGAGACTAATGTCATCCTTGGATGTGACGTTCGTGACATGGACTTTTCTATCGTGCAAACTGGCAAGTAGCAGAATGGAGGCCAAGTCCGTGGTCTTCGCATCGGTCACGATCGGTTTGTACGAAGGCCACGTTCCGAAGTGTGCAGTGACAGTGGCAACCTTATTGATGTTGCCGGATGCAAGATGGTTGAAAGGTATGAAGAGAGATCCAACCTCGGCCTTGACGTGGTTGATCTGCTCCGAGTTGGTGTCGGTCGCTGCAACAGAGTAGTTGAAGTCGCAGTAGGCTCCGTTTTGTGCATTGTACTGTGCGACTTTGAGCGACCTTGCATCAGTCACAGCGCTGTCGATTCCCACAGGCATGATGCGAATCATGCTAAAGCCAGCCGCAACGGATGCTCTGGTGACCGAGGAGAGGTCATGTGATCCTTTATGAGCCAGACCAGGAACAAAGGCGGCAACATTGATCAGGCCTGGGAGAACCACGGTCCGATGGCTTGTCTGAAAGTCGATGCTGCTGATCTTCAGATCGTAGTGTCTGGCAAGGGCTTCGATCAGAATCTTTGCAATCTTGACGTTTGTGATCAATGGAGTCTGATAGTCAACTGCCATTCGCCTTGTCCGGTATCCTTTGCTCATGTAGTTGGCGGGTCTTCTGAACCTATTGCTTGACGGAAGGTTGATGTATAAGTCAATCTTGTTGTTTGCCAAATGCTGGGTGAGTGAATACTCGGATTTCTGGTCCTTTTCATCGCTTCCGAGCACTTCCAGATATTTCACTTTGATGCCATGTTCTTCTAAGAAATCTGCAGTACCAGATGTTGCAAATAGATTGTAGCCCAGCTGGTGCAGCTTCTGAACCGAAGGAAGCATTTCCATTTTGTCCTTGAATGATCCAATAGAGAGAAGAACATTCTTTTCCGGAAGTTTGAAGCCTGTTGAGATGGTCGCCTTGATGTAAGCTTCCCACCGATCACGTCCAAAGCAAGCCACTTCGCCAGTCGAGGCCATCTCAACTCCCAAAACGGGGTCGGCGCCAGACAAGCGAGAGAAAGAAAACTGGGGTGCCTTGACGCCGACATAGTCCGCAGGAATAGTGACAGGTGGGTATGGGGTGACCGGTTTGCTGACGATGACTTTTGTGGCCATTTCGATCAAGTCGACGCCCATAACCTTGGAGACGAACGGGAAGGACCTGGAGGCACGAACATTGCATTCGATGACTTTGATCTCGTTGTCCTTGGCAATGAACTGGATGTTGAATGGGCCTGTAATGTTGAGAGCATTCCCAATCTTCCGTGTGGCTTCTTCGATCCGCGCAATGGTTTCTGGCGACAGGTCTTGCGGAGGGCATATCAGCGTCGCATCACCAGAGTGCACCCCGGCATTCTCCACGTGCTCGGAAATGAAGTGTCCGATCATGACTCCGTCCCTTGCGACAGCATCCATCTCAATCTCCTTGGCATTTTCAATGTACTTTGTGATCACGACAGGATGGTCCCTCGAGACTTCCACTGCTTGGTTGAGATAGCTGGCGAGATCATCCTTTGAGTATACAGTGTTCATTGCAGCCCCGGACAACACATAGGACGGTCGCACCAAGACAGGATATTGGACCTTTTGGCAGAACTCCAGTGCATCATCAATGCTTGTCAGTTCTTTCCATGTCGGCTGATCAACGTCGATACGGTCCAGCATACGAGAGAACTTGTATCTGTTCTCTGCCGTGTCGATCATCTCCGGCGATGTACCTAAGATTTTGACGTTCAACCGGTGTAGAGGAAGGGCAATGTTGTTAGGGGTTTGCCCTCCCATAGAAATGATCACGCCCTTTGATGATTCGAGTTGATAGATATCCAGAACGGTTTCAAGGTTGATGTTCTCGAAATAGAGCCTGTCTGCCTCATCATAATCGGTACTCACGGTCTCCGGGTTGTACTAGAATTCAATAGATTAGCAGATGAATTGGTGGGAAAAAGGGAAAAGTAGAGTCAAGAAGTCTAGAATAGTTGCTGCTCGGTTGGGCCCAGGTCTCGCCTGAGAGGTGGCGGCCACAGCACCGCGGTGAACGGCAGGCGCGTCCAAGCGGCATATCAAGAGCAGAGCGTAAAAGAAGGGTAAGAACTTACATTGACCATGACAGTTTTGAAGCCTTGTTGCCGTAATGTGCGAATGGTCCTTACGGAGCACCAGTCGAACTCGACCGAAGAGCCAATGCGATAGACACCAGATCCAAGAACCATTATACCATGATCATTGAATGAGATGTCGCTCTCCGACCCGTTGTAAGTCAGGTAGAGATAGTTCGTGTAGGCAGGGAATTCAGCTGCGACAGTGTCAATCTGCTTCACGAACGGATGAATTCCCGCTTCAGTCCTCAAGAGTCTAACAGCTAGCTCGTTTGAGTTCCAGTATCGAGCAAGCTGGCGATCCGAGAAGCCGAGCTGTTTGGCTTGTCGGATCAGAGACGGAGGTACAGATGTCAGGCTATAGTTGGAAATTGATTTGGCAAAATCGCTCAGCCCCTTGAGTCTTGACAGGAACCATTTGTCGATCTTGGTCATTTCCCAGATCTTGTCGACCGTATAGCCGGCATGCATCGCGTTGGCAATGGCGAACATCCTCTGGTCCGAGGGTGTCTGCAATTCATCGTCGACAGACATCAAGGGATTGGAGATATCTGAGAAGCCAAGATTGTGGAAATCGACGGAACGGATGGCTTTCTGAATGGCCTCCTCGAAAGTTCTGCCTATAGCCATCACTTCGCCGACACTCTTCATCGAGGACCCAAGCTGTGTTGAGACTCTGGTGAATTTCTTGAGATCCCATCTCGGAATTTTGACGACAACATAGTCAAGCGAGGGTTCAAAGCAAGCACTGGTCTTCTTTGTGACTGTGTTGGAAATCTCATTTAAGGGTATACCCAACCCCAGCTTTGCAGCAATAAAAGCCAATGGGTACCCTGTTGCTTTCGAAGCAAGGGCCGATGACCGAGACAATCTGGCATTGACTTCGATAATGCAGTATTCTTTCGAGAATGGATTCAGCGCATATTGGATGTTGCATTCTCCCACTACGCCTAGATGGCGGATCACATTGACAGCTGTCGTACGCAGCATGTTGTAATCCTCGTCGGACAAAGTTTGAGAGGGCGCGACCACAATGGAATCGCCGGTGTGGATACCAAGGGGATCGAAGTTTTCCATGTTGCAGACTGTTATACAGTTGTCCCGGGCATCTCGGACGACTTCGTATTCAATCTCTTTCCAGCCTTTCATACTCCTCTCAATGAGTACTTGAGGGCTTGCAGCAAAGGCTTTTGTGCAAAGCTCGCGAAGCTGGTCTGGGTCCTCGGCGAAACCACTGCCCAAGCCACCCAGGGCGTATGCTGCTCTGACGATCACTGGGAAGCCAATGTCTTTAACAACGTGCATCGCTTCCTCGAGACTTGAAGCGGAGGCTGACTTGGCGCACTTCTCCCCAATGGATTCCATGCTTCGAGCGAATAGCTCACGATCTTCAGTTGTGATGATGGTCTCAATCGGAGTTCCCAAAACTTGGACTCCTAGAGCTTCGAACTCATCCTTCAACTGAATACCGACTTGTAAGGCAGTCTGACCACCAAAAGTGCAGTAAATACCGTCCGGACGTTCATGCTTGATTACTTTGCGGACGAAATCTGCGTTGACAGGCAGAAAGTAGACTTTATCCGCCAGCCCCTTGGATGTCTGTATCGTTGCAATGTTTGGGTTGATGAGAATGGTGTAGATGCCTTCCTGCTTCAGGGCTTTGATCGCCTGACTACCAGAGTAGTCGAATTCTCCAGCCTGGCCAATACTAAGACCTCCACTTCCTAGTACCAGAACCTTCTTCACCTTGACCCTTGGGTGTGCTCTTTCGTTTTCTTCGATTGTGCCACCTGGGAAGCTGACAGGGTGCTGCAAAGCTTCGGCAGATTCGACACTCTTCATGATAGCATTGATGAAGACATCGAACAAGAACTCGGTGTCTCGGGGCCCAGGAGTAGACTCAGGATGAAATTGGACACTGAAGTAAGGTTTCGACACATGCCTAATCCCTTCATTGCTGCCATCGTTTGCATTTACAAACAACTCCTGCCATCCTTCTGGTAAGGTAGCCGAGTCGACAGCGAAACCGTGGTTCTGAGAAGTGATGTAGCATCGGCCAGACAATAGATTAGTGCATGGAATGTTGTGTCCACGGTTGCCAAACTTCATCTTTAGGGTGCTGGCCCCAGCAGCACGAGCAAGTAGTTGATGACCCAGACAGATGCCGAAAATGGGTGTCCTTGCTTCTGCCATGGCTTCGGAGATATGCTTGATTGTGGTCGACAGCATTGCTGGATCACCTGGACCATTAGAGATGAACAAGCCATCATAGTCTTTTCCGGCAAGTTTCGGAAAGTCGTAATCCCATGGCACCACGAGGACCTCGACACCACGGGACAGTAGACAGCGAAGCTGGTTGTACTTGAGGCCAACATCCACCACCACGACCCTAATAGGTCGGCCAGAGGGATGCGTGAGGGCTGTGTCATTCGGTGGGGAAATCACCCGCGGTTGTTTGACCGAGACTTCTGCCACAAGATTCCGCTGGTTTTGATCGTGCCATTGAACTTCTTCCACGTCCTCGCGCCAGCTGGCAGGGCCCATGGGTATGTCTCCGTTGGGCAAGGCATTTGCTCTGACACCGTTGGTGAGTTTCGTCTTCGGAGAAGGTCTTGTGATCAGCATGCGGCCCAACATGCTGCCTTCTTCTCGAATGATTTTGGTGAGTGCTCGAGTGTCGACCCCACAAATTGCTGGGACACCTTGCTCTTTCAGCCAGGTGCCGAGGGAAGAAGTAGCGAGGTAATGAGAGTAGGCTTCACCGGCATATGAAGCAACGACTAGACCAGCGATGTGGATTTGATTCGACTCAAAATGCTTCGGGAGGTCACCCAGTAACTCGTCGAGGGTCTCACGTGACGGCACCCCATAGTTGCCCACAAGGGGGAAAGTCATGACCAAAATCTGTCCTCGGTAGGACGGATCTGTGACAGATTCCGGGTAACCGACCATTCCAGTCTGGAAAACAAGTTCTCCGGAGGTACTTTTCTCAGCACCGAAGCTAAGACCCTCGAAAATCTGGCCATCTTTTAGTTCGAGGTAGACCTTGGGCTTATCGTCGTCGAAGGGTTGAGAGGTTGCGATGGGATTTAGAGAGCCCATGCTGCCGCCGTCAGGAAAGAAGCCAGGTGAAAGAGGTCTATCTGTGCTGCCGAGCCCGACCGATGCTGCTACCGTTGGGCTTTGAGGTAACCCATTGCCGCTGGACATGGGCCGACCATCCGCGGTTCGGGAGGTCGTCCGATGCATGACTGAGGAGATCTTTGCTGTGAGAACAGCAGAAGAAAACTCAAGGGCACATCGGCTAGATAAATGAGATGCAGTCCCTGGGCTCTGAGGAGTTTGAGACCGACTTGACGAGAGGGAGGAATGGGAGATTGAAGTTTCGGTTGGCCGTCGGTCGCAATGCGAAATCAGAGAAAGAACTTTTTGATGCCAAGCATTTTTTCTGACCAGGTCCGAGATCAAATCGAGCCAATCATAAGCTGCAAATGCTCTCTCTGTGGATATGCTGAATTAGCCTCTCGCCGCTTTCTCAATAGACTGATAGCCATAATAATGAAATCCTAACTCTCACTGCAGTGGTGGGTAAGAGTTGATTTTTGCTATTAGGTTAGCACATCCATAATAAAAAGCAGCCACAGCAGGTACCTACCTACTACTAGCTGTGGTACAAACCATCGATGACATACTATGGACGTAGTACTCAATCTGCAGCAGTACCAGTGTGGAGTACTGTGCCAGGTGGTAGGTAGGCACCTATCACTACTAGTACCAGGTACATAGTACCTTAGGTACCTGTAGGTACCTAACGTATATCCGCTTGGCCTTGGGAGAGAATTCCACAGTTGTGGAATCGGATAAATCAAGCATTGACAGTATGCATACTATATAGCAGGTCTATGGCTCGACAAACATTTCGGCTGATCAAGTTTGGTGCACGTATCGAGTCCCTCACTTGTTATAGCGCTGGCGGCGGGCGGCCACCCCGCATAACAAGATGATAACTTCAGATTCAGATTCCCAAGGACGAGTGCTCGAAATTCAAGTTCTTTTGGGGGCGAACCCCCGAGAGATAGATACCTTAGGTACCTCGGTAGGTACCAGGTAAGGAGCCGTGACAACTCACCGCCTTCAAGTTCTTGACTCCGAATCCCCCACGCTGTGCTGCTGTGCTGCTCGGCTGCGCTGCACGACAGTCGCTCGTGCATAAGCGCACCCTCTCCCTGCCTGAAGCCTCCAATCATCGAGAGCATCAACACCTCCCTCAAGCGGCGATTCTTATCTTGATCGTCCATCTCATTCTCTGGCACTCGACTCCCGGTGTCACCGTCTGGCCACATCGCCATCATCATCACAATCGCATATCAAGCCTCCGCATTTTGCACATGCAGTTGTGGCAGAGAGATCCTCTCTGGTGGGGGGATCGACTGCTGGAAAGACGCCTGCGACTAATCAATTTATATTATTACTACGTGCCTCCCTAGTAATGGACGTCAACCCTGCCGCGTCTGGAACCTTGACTCCTGCTACCTAGGTAGATGTACCTAACTTTTACTGTCAACACTTCACTCAATCTCGTCTTCTATCTCCCTTCCTTGCAACTTGTCCTTGTTCCGACCATCTAACACGTCTCTTTTTCTGTCCGTCTATTCGTTCCAGCGTTGTTATGCATCGGTTATCGTCCTCGGCCGCCCTCCGCGATTGTCCTTTGACGCGTTCCTCACTCTTACGCCGTCCCTCTCTCTACCGGATCGCATTCACATGCACTTCTGCTTCGGCTTAGACTCCCTGTCAAGTCAAGAACATGCTCTCCTCCCTCTTGCGCCCAGCTCGAAGCAGGCCGCGTCGTGACAGCTCGCCGCTGTCATCCTCGTACGCGCCTACCTCGAGATCGCCAGATGTCGCCCACATCAACACTCAAAACCACCGAAGACGGACCACGCAAATAGACACGGATGACATTATCCATGAAGAGCAAGAGGAGGAGTCCGTGGATGGAGAGGACGATGGCGAAGGAGACTATCTCCATGAAGACGAAGAAGATGAAGATGGCGTCCACCATGGCGACTCGGACGAGGATGGACCGGACGACACGACACCGCTTCTTCCCATCTTTTCAGCAGCCCACCTCGACGCACTCCCCGTCTTTGCTCTCACTCATGCGATCCGGACATTGGTGACCTCGCGGTGCGACACGGTCCTAACATGGGAGCAGCTTCGGTCTCCCCAGGTGTCTCAGTTCCTTCTCAAACCAATTGAACAGGACATCCGGAGTAATCACCTGAATGCTGCCACACATTATGCTCTCATGGCCAACTGTCTCCAATACAGCAAGGAGGCTGCTGTATCTGCAGTCAGCAGTGGTACAAACAAAACCCGCGCTATGGTTTGTGAACTCCTCGCCATCAAATTGCTCAGGGATTTCTCGACACGTGAGCTGATTGACGCTCTGTCTTACGACTTCGATCCTTTGCAGGGTCAATCTGACCCTGTCTCCGCGGATGAAGAAGCCCGTCGACGCGCGGAGGGCCTGAAACGGCACTCACAGCGGCCAGCGCGAATCTCTTGCTTCGAAATTGCCATCCGTGCACAGTCCAAGCGGTTCTTGTCCCATCCACTGGTCGTCAGGCAGCTGGAGGCAATCTGGGCTGGAACAATTGTCTTTCATTCTGCCGCCGACCATCTGCATCGAAAACTTCCGCTGGCAAGGCAAACGAAAAGCTATGGCGCAATCCAGAGCGATCCTACCGCCAGGACCGGATCTATGGCTGTCATGGCGCAACTGCCCCGGCGAGCTGTGACGCTGTATAACCCTCGTGACGCTTCCCTCCTCAAGCTGTCTCGTCTGCGGGTGCCTCGTTATCGGAACATCATGTCCACCTTATCGTTTGCCGTCTTGCTTAGTCTCTTCGTTGCCGTCCTGGTTCAACGTTCCATAAAGATTACAACGCTCGAGGTGGTCTTCTGGTTCTGGGCGGCAGGCTTCATGCTGGACGAGATTGTGGGTTTCAACGAACAAGGTTTCAGCCTATACCTTGCGAGCTTCTGGAACACTTTCGATCTCGGCATCCTCCTCATCCTGATGGTACATTTGGCATTGCGCATCTACGGCATCGTCATGCCGGATGTCAAGAAGCATACAGTGGCGAACATGGCATACGATGTACTTGCCGCTGATGCGATTCTCCTCTTCCCGCGGCTGTTCTCCGTTTTGGATCATTATCGATACTTTTCACCTCTCCTGATCGCCTTCCGATACATGGCAGCCGACCTCGTCGCGGTGTCTCTCCTCATCCTCATTAGTTGCAGCGGCTTCTTTGTCGCCCTCACACTATCCTTCGGCAATGAGGGCGTGGATACCCCCAGCTCTGTCGCCTACGCACTGCTTCAGATCGTCATGGGCTTCACTCCTGCCGCTTGGGACAGGTGGGACAAATACAACCTCCTTGGCAGGATGATTCTAACCTTGTTCCTGTTCATCTGTCATTTTCTTGTCGTCACAATATTGATCACTGTTCTTACGAACTCTTTTATGGCGGTGGTGCAGAACGCGAACGAGGAACACCAGTTTCTATTCGCCGTCAACACCATTTCTCATGTCAAGTCTGACGCCTTGTTCTCCTATGTGGCTCCTACAAATGTGATTCAATGGCTGTTGGTCCCACTCAGATATCTGGTTCCCTTCCGACAGTACGTCAAAGTCAACCGCACAGTCATCAAGATCACCCATTTCCCACTACTGTTTTCGATATTCCTGTACGAAAAGGCGGTGCTGCAATCCACTGTCTTCGACACCATTGATCTTGTAGAACGCCGCGGTCGCTCGAAAAGGACAATGGCAAGAAAGCCTACCCACCTCACCCGGGCGCCCTCTATCGCCACTTTCCGGCAAGACAAGGCTTTGGAGGAAGTATTCCGACAGCCGTACGACAGCACCATGCGCAGTGGTAGGCAGAGTCGGAACCAGCGGAAGACAAGCAATGTTGTGAACACGTGGATGAAGGATATGGGCGATGAAATTGCCAGTCCCCCGCTAGAACAGGATAGACGAATTGTTGAAAGTCTCGAGGGTAGGGCAGCCGTTTCTAGGCTGCTGCGACCAGCCAGCAGAGTCCGGACATTCTCTCGCCGGACCATGTCTGTTGCGTCCGACCCAGAAGAATTTGCAACCCACGCAGATTTCTTATCGCCCAGTCATGCCCGGCCTGTTTATCACAGCGTACGAAACCTGCCCTTGGAAGAGCCTTCCGCACTCACCGACGCTGAAGGTGATGACGAGTTGCGGAGTAGTGAGAGCATGGACGAAGAAGAGACCACTCAATTAGACCATGGCTCGTCAGACGAGGCCGAGTCAGCGATCCTGCAGCGCTCTTTTGGCGTGGGCCCTCCCGAACTTTCTACGACAGAGCAATTGGCTACATCGTTGACACCAGCAGTGGCAGGTCCAGCGACACCTCTAGTACACACGCGGCCTTCAGGTACTAGCGGTGACGCCCCTTCTCCATCTGCTCCCCCAGCCGCAGTCCGGCCTCCTCAGCATTCTCGGAACGTCTCAAGTGCAACAATGATCTTCAAGCCTGTGGCCGAGTCGGGTACAGATAATTCTTCTTCGCTTGGCGAGTATAAAGCTTCGCCGCGCAAGCCGCAAAGCTCGGCCCCCGGGTCGGGGATGCGAACACCAGTGTCTAAACCAACATCCGGCGGAGCGGGTCATCGAACGCCAAAACGGACAACGGGTGGCACCCCCAAACGGTCCGCGCTTCTTCCCAATAAAAACGATGCTGCATTCCGGTCTGCCCCTAACCTGGCTGAACTGCGCGGTCAAAGTAGCCATTCGCGCCGTAAGCCACCACTTGAGATGGATCTGGTGTCGGATATTGGCGACAATAGGGCAATAGGCGGGGGATACGTTGGCGCTTTACCAGCATCCTTCGCTGCTCAAATGTCACAGAGCCTCCTGGGGCCAAGACAGACCAAGGCGCAATTCGAGGAACAAGAAATGCTTGCTAAGATCATGATGGCACGAATGAACAGCCTTGAGGAAGGCTTCAGAGAGGTGATCCACGAGATGCGCGAGACCATGCGACACGACAATGCTAGAAGCCAAAGTCGCGGCAGACCTGGAAGACCGGTGGTCCGAGAAAAGCGTGCAAAAGGTAAAGAGACTTACCACCCCACTGCTATTGGTGGTGAGAAGGAAAATGTAGATCCTGAACGAGAGCATGATGCCAGTTCCGGCATGGCTGCACAAGGAACCCAAGGTGTGAGAAGCTCCCAGGAAGATATCACCGAACACGGTGGCGAGCAAGGGGGTGATGGCCTGGACCCGGTTACAGAAAGGGCCTCGGGCTGATTTCGATGTCTGTTGGTTGCGTCTGACTCGCCTCTTTAGATGGATTGATACCCATGGATAACAGCATGCTTGGTGCACGTTTTTTGATACCCTACCTGTTGGAGTCAGTTGATCGTATTGAAAATCTTTAACTTAAATTATATCCAAAAATTGATCCACTGCTGTCTGTGTGCCGTAACATGGGCACTGACAGCATGCTCTTCGCCATTGGGATGCAAGCGATGCTCCGACGAGGCTGAGGAGATATTGACTTCTCTGCTGCGCCGTAATCTCCACGCGAGCTGTACGGCGAATCAGTGACCACTGGCACCTCAGATGACGATGTGACGCCAGTAGGTGGTGATATGCAGCACTGCGCCCAGTTTCCCAGTCGAGACTGAACGGCCGACTCGATCAGACAAAGCCCTCACACTACTAACATCAGACGTCTAGATATCTCACCACCTACATTGTCGCCAATCCCTACTCTCCTACAGTCTCCAGAAACTCAGGAGTCGTTGAATACAACGTTAGCATATCCCGCCGCTGCAAATCAACCCCATTCGCATCTGCAGCGAGTCAATATGGCGTCTACCTCAGGGCATTCGAACCAGCTCTTATAGTAAGGCTTCTGACACTGCTCGCTTTGGAGAAATACTATGTGAAAATATCTGACATTGGCAACCAGTGCATGCATTGCCCACGGGACCACCATCCTCGCCGAACACACCTCTCCTGGCACTTCATCGTCCTCGGCCTCTTCTCTGGCATCAATCATTCTTCCCAAGATATCGCATGCGGCTCCAGCAAAGCTCACCTATACACATGAGCGCCTGTTTGTGCACTATATCGCGGACTCGCCCTCTTCGACATCCAACAGCCCCGACGAACAACTCTCCAGCCATGCCGCCCTTACCTATCTCGTGGTGGCGCAGACCGAGATGGGCAGGCGAATACCCTTTGCATTCCTCCTCGACCTGAAGAAGAAGTTTCTGGCGCAGTACAAGCCGGAGTCTACGGATTTCCAGTCTCTCCCGCCCTACGGCACTGCAGCATTCAATTCTACGCTAAAGGCGATGCTACAACAGTACAATACGTCGCCTCCCAGTGATGCGTTGACCAACGCGAAGAAAGAAATTGACAGTGTGCGGAACATCATGACGGAAAATATTGAACGTGTCTTGGAAAGAGGAGAGCGCATTGATTTGCTGGTGGACAAGACTGATCGGCTAGGCGGCAGCGCTCGAGATTTCCGGGTGCGCAGCCGGGGACTGCGACGGCAGATGTGGTGGAAGAATGTGCGGATGATGGTCCTGTTGGTAGTGGTGGTCATCTTCTTGATATACCTGTTTGTCGGGTTTGGCTGTGGTCTGCCAGCATGGGGCAAATGTGTTGGTTGACGGGGTGAACCGCGTGGGATGGTGGATTGGCAAGGTGTTTGGCGTAGCGCAGCGTGCTTTCAGGTTCAGTCAGTGTTTATACAGGCGCCCATGAGGTGGTAGCGACAGCAGTACCATGTCTGTAAGGCTTCAATCCATACTAAAAGTGCCTAATCAAGCATCTTTCCTCCTTGGAAGACTGCAGTGACTTCACCCTCACGCCTTCCCTGTATGCTGGGTGGGTGCCTGCCTATCATGGAACGACATACCCACAGTGCACGTGACTGAAAAATCTGGGGAAATCGAATGCTGAACGATGAATCGCAGATTGCTGCGTCAAATTGCACTTCTACACGCTTCAATTGACACGGTTGACAGATGTATCTGTGGGTTTCCAACAGCAGTACTAATAGTGACTCTTCTCAGCTGCCTCGTTCTCCACGTCGACCGAAAAGGCCGTCTATCCAGCCCTGGCCATCCCTCTGCAAATGGACAGATCGCCTGTCCCCTAGGCCACAAGAGATCCCCCTTTTCCTACTCGGCTTATGTTGCGCCATAGCATGAAGAGAAACAGTAAAGGAGGAGGATAACACAGGCGGGAATGGCTCCTGGTCATGGACTAGACACTCCATACAAGTGATCGAATAACACAGCAGCACATACTCCGCACTGTGCAAGTATCCAATGCCTCATCTCACTGCCTGTATCCCTGCCCACTCGATCTTCAACAGTCCGCATCAGGCAGACACAGGTTCGCACATAACCTAAGGACTGCCACGCGCAACACAGGCACTGCTGCTGGTCCTTTGATGCCACTTACCGCAGTCTCACTCACTTTTCATTCTCTCGCGACCTTTGTCCCTATTCTTCTCTCAACTCATGTCCCCGCGAAGCACGCTTCCTTGACAAGGTTGGCCTGTTGTAGACCTTCCCTTGACCTCCCTCACTGCCTGCGCGGCACTACCTAGCCTCATCCTCTTCAGCCTCACTCCAAATCGGTTGTTGTTGTGCGCAGTCCAAGGATTGACCGCAGTTCCTTGCCCTCTTGTCTCCTTCGTACTCTGTTCAACTCGCCTCTTTTCACCACAGATTGCCGAACAGACTCACTCACCCCACATCATCGTCGCGCCATGTCTAGTCCATTGATGGCATAGTTCAGCCTTGAACTTAGGCCGTCAGGATGAATTCGGCGCACTCTTCAGGCGAGGACCTGACAGGTCACAATGTTACTCAAACTACCTCTCCCGCCCCGCTCACATCTCCCTCGCAGCCTTGCGTCGATAACGTCGCCGAGACCACTACTTCCGCATCTGCCAGTGGCCGTTCAGCACCAAATGCTCAGGGTCAGTCCGAGGAAGAACGAGCCGTTCAAGCGGCCATCGAGTTATCGGTCGAGGATCAGAAGAACAAAGCTCACAAGGCCAAACAGCCGCTGAACACCTTTCAAGATGACCTACCCAACGAGCTGGTTCTCAGCCTCAACAATGAGTTCTCTGTCTTGGACGAGCTAGATGGCGATACCATTGTCTACATAGGACCACCACCCCAAATGCCAGAACAGAGTGACAAGGAATATCAGTACATCGTCAATCACTTCTCCCAGGTCCACGTCGTCAACAGTGCGACTCTGAAACTCATGGGGAGCACTGCAAAGTTCAACGATGACGACCTTCTGGGGCCCAAGTCAATACGCACAGAGCGAAAACTGCGAAAGCTCGCTGTCCTGGCTAAGGCAGAGGAGAAGCACGGTGCCAGATTCCGATACCATCTCGATCTGCGCCCACCCGATGAAGATGAGGAAGCTGTCATTCTTGTCACTGACTTGACATGTACCAAGGGTGTGATGACATGGCATTTGGCTAGCAGCAAATATGAAGTGTCGCCGCTCACCGTGTTGGGTCATGATGAGTATGAAATTCACAACCAGATCGCGAATTACCCAAAGCCACCAACAGCTAAGAAGGCCAAAGTCTCTACGGCAGCCAATTCAGCGCCAAAGGATGCGTCTTTGAACGAAGAAGCAGCTCCTGTCGCTGTTCCGTCAATCATTCGACCAGACTATTCCGTCATCCGTCATCGCTCTGCTATCGAACGCCTCCTCCATGCCATTTGTGGAAACGATCCAAAGCTCGATTCGGCACCTAAGGTTTGGACATACTTCGCCATCGCCAAATACTTCGGCTGTGCTCACCAGGAGCGGATCTCTAGATGGATCAAAGACTGGATCTACGACGCCAACAACGCGAATTTCGTTCAGAACAATCCTGAAGTGGCATACCGTATTGGCATGGGAATCAAATCACCGGTTCTGCTACAGGATGCATTCTCCATCCTCGTCGGAGAGAGAGCTCTTATCAACGCGTTTGGAGAAATCAACCCGGCCATCTTGTCGCCGCTGCGCAACAGCGTACATGGACGCAAGCTAGAGTTGCTCGACGATGATGAGCGTAACCGCATCGATCACGCGGCGGACGTTTTCGTCACGCGAATTCGTGGAGTCGTTTACAACCTCTGTAGAGACATGGAATGGCTACGCAAGTGCCGAGGTTATGCTGCGCTCGATGACACTGTCGGAGATACCCCTGAAGAGATTGAGCTGTTGGAGTCGGCGAAGCACCTTGTCAAAGAGTACGTCCGGTCTAGGATTTATTATGTCCTTTGCCAGGATCAGGCCGCCTTTGCTGAGCTCGAACCCAATCCAGAGTCAACCCTCGCGTTTCGCTCCGGTACAGGCGAACATTACAATGCAGTGTACAATACGCTCAATCAACCCATGAGGATGTTTACCAAGAGCTTCTGGCTTGCACTTCAACGCACAGACTTTGGAGCAGGTGTTGATAGTACCGCGCATGAAGGTACAGTCGGCACCGACACTGACACCCGTTACATCCAAGGACTCCGCGAGCTCTATCCTTACGACCCGGAAAATGGAATCACTACCATTCCGAAAGCCGCCCTGGTTGAGAAGATCAAAGCCGTCAACCGTCTCCTGCATAGTCGACATTCGCGCGCTGCGAAAATCCAAGAGCATCAGGATCCTCTGGGAGGCATCGAAGGGGAAGAGCTTCAGTCGGAAGCGATACCAAACACAGAGGATGCTCTGTCCCCTGGCAGTTCAAAACATCATTCCGAAGACCCTAATCCTTCCTCCCGCGATGCTTCACCAGCGAAACGTCGGAAGACCCTCAAGTCGAACGATAGTCAGCACACAGTGTCGTTCGCTGAAAACACAGGCACTTCTCCCCGCTCGCAGAACAAGAGTCCCGTCAAGTCGCAGATTGAAAATGTCCAGACTGCATATGGTAACCCACCTTCGCCAACCCCAAATGTTTATCAGGCAGCGCTTCCGTATCGCGACAAAGAGAAGGGTGTGGTTGACCACGTCAAAAGCTATTTGCAGAATCATCTCGCGCCCTCGAAAGCGGAGCCAAATGAAGACCAGGAGCATCTTCTGGCTGATGTCCACCGCACAGCTGATAACAACCACGCTCCGAACACTAACGACCTGCCTCATATGAGCGAGATCAACGGTAAAGCTGAAGTTGCAGCCGATGCCGACGATGAAAAGCATCGCGCATCTGGGTCTTGTCCTGGAAACTTGCTGGCCGAGACTAAGCCTGATGCTCAAGGCACGTCCTCAGAAGCAGAAACAAAGGCAGAGCCTCCTCCTGTTTCCTCTGCTGCTTCTCCCCATTCTTCTGATGCGGCCGCTGCGGCAACAACAACAACAACAACGGTCATGTGCTACAACCCGTGGACACACATCTACGAGGACTGGAGCACCCACAGCCAGAACGACAAGGCCAAGGTCACGCAATGGACCGACGAGCAGACCACCGCCCAGAACAAGATGCCGACCAACAAGGGTTTCATTAAAATGCTCGACCCGCGTGACTACCTGCCCGGCAAGAAGAAGATGTCGACGTCCATCAAGAAAGCTCCAGCTCCGACCCCCATCGGCAAGGATCTCAGCCCGATCAACCCGTCGCGTCTCCTGCATCAAGTAGGCGACCAGATCTCCAACATCTGTTCCGGCATGCTGTACCCTCCGCACCTCTTCCACCAGGAGACCGGCCTGCTCCCGACCAATCTGTTCGACAACCTTTTGTGTCTGGATGCAACTGAGTTCCGTTACCTGCCATTGTGGGCTCCCCACGGCCTGGACGACGGCTCCGGCGGTGTCTTTGACGAATGTCCCGTCCCCAATCTCGATCCGCTGAGTTCCAAATACGAGCCGTTCGCCGCCGGTCGTATCAAAGCTCCGTACCATACGCACAATGATGGTGACGTTAGTGACGCCGGTCACCTGGAGACCGACTCGGAATTCACAGACATCGCCACCCAGGCTATTAGCACTGTCGGCAAGGCCAGCAAGCTCGCCACCGATGGCACCGAGACGGTCAAGAGTCTGGCCACCAGTGTCGCTACGTCTGCAGGCCGGGACGGCGGACCTGGTAGCAGCATCGTCCGAGGCCTACGGGACATAGACATCAAGAACAAGGACGACGATGACTACAACGACATGGACGACTTTGAATGGCCGGAATGAACACAGTTCACTGAGTAGGGTCTATGGCATCGGCAAGAGACGAGGCACGATGGCATACTACGGTCTGTGTGTAGCGGTCTGTGGCCCTTTTCAAGGTGACGGCGGCGTGCGTCCGGTGTCAAAAAGTGTCATTTGCACACGATCGAGACAGCAAATGACTCTGAGCTAAATAAAAGAAAACAATGAAGTGATCATCCACTCACTTTCCTGCGCATTGTGTCTCTGTTTGCTCAGCTATGAATTTGACCCACTAGCACGCCCAGTAGAGTAAAGAGGTACGTGACCAACGTCGTTGGGGCGTTCAACACACTGAGCCCTTTCCATCCAGCCGCCCTGCCAAGTTCCATATTCGTCCTATCCCTTCCTTTCCTCCATGCAAGCTAGGAACACAATCTGTATGAATGCAAACAATGAGAAGATGTGAGGCGGCTCGAATTGGGTTGTTTGAGGTGGTCGTTTGACACGAATAGGTCGTTTCGATTCACTCGGATGGCGCGAACATTAGCACTTTGTTAGGGCCTTCCTGTTCCCTGGAGTACCGACGGCCACGGATGTTTACTGATACGGGTGTCAGTCCAAGCATATTTAGCAGATGATTTCGACGTCGCTCACTGATATCTCGTCCATGCCCATGTCATCACCGGCGTTGGGTGCCGGCGCAGTACCATTGGTGGCAGGTGCTTCAGTAGAGGCTCCAGCGGCAGATGGGTTGTTGTTAGCCCAGTAGTCAGTCATCTCGGCGTCGAGCTCTTCCGCAGTCTTTGGCTTTGCTCGAGCGTTGCGACCACGCTTCGGCTTTCCAGCCTTACCAGCAGGTCTTCCTTTGGCGCCATCCTTTCCAGTGACTCGCTTGTCGGTGGTGGCGGATTTGGGTTGTGCTTTGGGATTTGCGCTAGTCTTCGTCAGTGGCTCCGAATTGCCCGGGCGTTTTGGATTCGCGTACGCAACACGGTCGGCGAGCGACTTCGCCGGAGTTGGCTCCGGCACCTTGCTGGCATCCACCACCACTTCAATCTAGTCGAGGTCAGGTGAAATTCGAGAACGTCGAGTGAGGTCGTGCTTGCCTTCATTGGTCGCTTATCAACCAACATTCCGTTGAGGTCCTTTGCTGCTTTGGCCGCAGAGTCTGGCGCCACAAAAATGATATCGGCAACCCCACGGCTCTGACCACTCTGGTTGTATTGCAAGGAGACTCTCTTGACTTTCCCTACAGATTTGCTGAAGTATTCCTATGGGTCCCGAGTGATCAGTAAGGTGTTGAAAAAAGATAGTAATGGCATTCGCTTCCGCATTCTCATCTCCCGTCTCCCGTCTCCCGTCTCCCGTCTCCGATGTCATGATAGAAGATGCGTCCTCGGTAGAGTTTGATCCAGGTATGTGTCCTTGACGGAGCATCAGCGAGTGCACAGTACATAAAGCAACAGCAGTTGGCGGCCAAATTCGGCGGAAGCGTCCAGAGGTCTAGGTCGTTCGGCGGAGTTCAGGGCACGTGTTGGCGGTTGCTTTGGCAGCGGTGATAGCGTACGTCAGATCTTTGGGGGCGCTAGCTGAATCGAAGATTCTCGGCTGCTTGACGGTGGCTTTTATGGACCATATTTGCCCCGAGACAGAAGACCCGCATTGCTTCTATGACCGTGGAGGGAAACTGGCGTAAGAGGTTCGAGGTGGGAAAGCCTCTTCAGGCTGTTCGACCGAGGCAAAATACGGCCTGTTCGGCCGGGGGGATGTCATGAGCCCGTAGGAGCGTCGTAGCTGGACTCTGCATATGTCGCCGCAAGGAGTGGACGCAAGTAATGCCGTTTGGTGTCGATCCGTATCCGGGATGGTAAGGTCCAGCTGCTGTGCTATTTGTAGACTGCAATGCAAACTCGCTGATGCTCCAATCAAGCAAGGAATAAGGATATCAACAGCAACTCAGCATGTTGAAGATCCCATCGGCAGATCTGCTTCAGCACCCTGCGCGGTGGCTAGCCGGAGGAGCGAATTTTGCGAGATCCAAAGGCTATCGTAGGCTCAGTACAACGCGTCGCGAGAGTGAATTGCGAGCGAGGCGCGAGTTGAAGATGCCCGCCTTGGGTAAAGCCAGCATTGCCAGCGTGGCCATGTGGTTCTCAGGTATGATCTCTCCAGTCTCGACATCTTCTTCATCTCTTCCTCGTAGATCCGTCTTCTCGGAAGCGTCTCCAAAGGAGCGAAAGAATAGCAGGTGATGACGAGCGGCGATGGAAATCCAAGGTCGAAAGCCTCTTTATCAACATACCTTGATCTGGGCTTCGTTCACGTCGTGGGGCTAGAAAAGGCGTTAGCAGGCATCGTGACAAAGAGGAGTTATAGTCGTTGAGTCATACCAGTCCACTGACGACGATCTTGCTTGATTTTGGTAGGGCGAAGCTGCCGACTGCAGGTTTGATGGCCGACTTGGCTGGTCTGGTTGACTTCTTCACGCCTCCGACAGGAGCGCTTGCACCAGCGCCCTTTCCAACCTTGCGACGACGAACATCGCGCTTCGCCTTCTTCTGACTATCGATGATTGAATCAAGAGATTGATCTAGTCTGCCAGACATCTTGAAATGATGTCGAGAGGGATGAGTCGAAGATGGAAGTGCGACGTCGAAGCTGGTATTTTGGGATGCTGGTTGCTACGAAGAAGTAGCGCGGGTCAGGTTGGAAGTGAGAGAAAGGGCAGAACAGTCGCGGCGGTCGCAGTTGACACGTTGCAGGGTTGAGAAGGTTGATACCAGAGAAGATTCAAGTCTTGGGCTGGTGATGAATACGCGCAGAATCTGTCGCGCCTGAGTGAGAGGATGGAATGGAATGTGGTGAGATAATGCGAAGAGGGAAAGCGGATGGTAAAGGAGCAGAACAGGTGAAAGCAGCAGATCTGTTAGGTCGCGAGAGGCGCAGGGGGAATTCAACGCCCAACACGGCAGGAGGCAGCAGCCTGCAATTGAAGTGCGCGCAGTCTTCACCAGCCACAGCGCTAGGCCGGTTTGGGATGGGTGGCTACGAGGTCACGTGATACAGTCGTGTACAGAGGTCAGCCACGAATGATAGACACCTAGTAGACGGATGTGATCTGGAAGTCCAACGGAATACTGCTGCAAGCCACGGTCCACCGGTAGTATCCGCATGTAATGGTACTGCTATACGGTGGTGGTGGTGGTTATTGTACTTGCAAGCCAAACCTCATTCACCGCCTACAACTCCATCCAACGCCAGATGTCCTGTGCTTGAAAATAGGAACTGGAATGCCAATCGACCCTCAGGACTCACATACAACCAGTGAGTATCTTGATACCAGTAGCAGGTTGTTTGTTGCCCGGCGGCATCGCGTAATGTGTTTTGACCTAACTCTTGAGGGCTTCTAACCTCCCTCGCATTTGCTCCAACTCTGCCTCTCGGTCCTCGATATTCTCTTCTTCCTCTTCCTCCGCAGGGAGTTGCGGGACCTGTTTTGCAGGTGTGGCGAGTTTTCCCTTGAGCACTTCGCCCAACACCTTGTCGACTTCTGACTCTGCCTCCTCGTCCTCTCCTTCCAACAGCTCATCGTCAGGGATTACATCGCCGACCATTTCTTCAATGATGCCAGCCTTCATCAACTCCTGGCTGAGTTCTTGCATGGAGCCCATCAACTCGGGCAACCGAATGAGAGAGTTGACATCCTTCATGATGCCCGTACTGGCCTTGAGACTGCCTTCGATCTTGCGCACGGAGAAGGCCTCGTTGACCTGCATCTGCACGCTCTGTAGTTGGGCCTTGCTCGTGTGTAATCTTGCCGCCTGTTTTCGGATTCGGATCAACTCGCGGGCGAAGACTCGTGCTTCGGCGGCGCCTTGTTTGGCCTGCGACGGGTTCTTTTGCCCTCTTTTCGATGCGGCAAGGATTAAGCTCTTCGTCTTTTGCTCCGTGACTCGGAGGTTGCTGATGTCACGGTCCAAGGCGTGAACGTTTCGGCGGATGATGCTGTCGCATTTTCGCTTCTGTTGTAACGTCAGCGCATTGGTTCATGTATCGTGGACAAGAGATCGCTTGGGTCACACCTGTTCCCGAGGATCCGGCTTGAAGAATACAGCCTTGAATGATTGCATTATGATGGAAGGTTGGGATGGGACGGGTTGTGCGGGCGTCAAGAGTCACATCTGTCTGTTCCTGATTGCAGACTTGTCAGGACTACCTGCAGTGCAGAACCACTATCGGCCCATAATGGACGTCAACCAAGAGTCGTAACAGGCCGGCAGTGGCAGACGATTAGGTAGTAGTTGATGGTTGAGGAGGAAGTGCTTGAGTTGCATATGAAATGGTGACACTGGACCAAACTGGCCGTTGGAGAGGATAAGGCTGATGCCGTGGGCTAAGGTGTAGATTGGGTCCTTTGAAAGGCGAGGCAGGGTAACCTCTGCACGGTACTCTGTAGTCGGTCCTTCCAGCGCTCTATCACAGTACAGAGTGCCGGGTGATGAGTGGCTGGGAGTGGTAATAAGAGATGGTGGGGGGTTATTGGACTTGCCTGGCCGCAGCCAGGGAAGCAGAAGAACAATAATAATGAGGGCAACAATAATGCCAGATGCCTGGGTACCTGGTAGGGAGCCCTTGGGCAGTGGGATTGAGGCATAAGGTAAGCACTGCACTGCATCGCAGGCACCACAGCTTTTGGTGGGTATATTTCGATGTCATTCGTCGCATTTCGAACAGCCTCGTCGTTACTCAATCAATCGCCCACACAAACAGTGAACAACGTACCCTGCAGGCAAAGCAAAAGCTTCTTTCACCTACTCTTCGCTCTGTCTCTATTTAATTTGATCGGACTTGGATTCTCGCTTTGCACATCATCCTCACCACTACAACTACAACCACGAACACCACACACCTCAACGTCCCAACGTACATACAGACCCCTCACTCTCTCTCTATCTGCCTGAAACATCTCCAAGATGTCGTCTCAAGTCACTCCAGAAGGTAAGTTCAGACTGTTGTGGTTGGCGATTAGGCTCCCGGCTGCAATTGCGAGTTGAACGCAAGTGTTTGAATGACGAGCTGACATGAAATTTCACCAGTCCTATGGGCTCAACGCTCCTCGGCCTCAGAGCCTGAGAAGAACTACATCTACCTGACGATCAACGTACCGGATGTGCCTCCCAGCAACCTGAAGCTTGACCTCAAGCCGACGGGCTTGACATTTACCGGCACGTCAGACACCAAGAAGACCACTTACCACCTCGACATGGCATTCTACGACGAGATCGACGTCGACAATTCCAAGACGCACCACACCCCGGCCAACATCCAGATGGTGCTGAGAAAGAAAGAGCTCAAGGAGGAATACTGGCCACGGCTACTCAAGGACTCTGCCAAGGTCCACTGGCTGCGGACAGACTTTGACAAGGTATGTCACAATCTGGTGGCTTGAAAAATATCTCATCCGGTGCCGTATACTAACTTGGTGTTTTCCCAGTGGGTGGATGAGGACGAACAAAACGAAGCTCCTGAAGACGACTACCTGAACCAGTTCGGAGGAGGCGCCGGCCTGGGCGAAGATGGCGGCTTCGGCGGCATTGACTTCTCCAAGCTCGGCGGCGGTGCCGGTGCCGGGTTGGAAGGGCTGGGCGGAGATGGCGGTGATTTTGAAGGTGAAGATGAAGGCGCTGAAGAGGGCGACGATGACATGCCTGATCTGGAAGATGATAAGGAGGAGGGCGCAGAAGAAGGCAAGGGCAAGGGCAAGGACAGCGATGCTGCCTAGATTGCCAGTCTCCCGAAAGAGCGCAACTCATACGCCATTCGAGGCGGATCTCGAACAGGAGGCGTCTACCTGGCGACCTAGCCGCATTTCAGAAAACGTTTGCAGCGTCACGACTCTTACCTGCTTCTCTCCTATCTGCGCCCTTGGCTGTTGGACCTGACGAGCGCTCCTCGTGTCCCGTTGCCTAGACCGTCACAGCTTGCGTGCCCTTCCTTGAACAGCCCCGAATTGAGAAGACGATATCCTACCAAAAGCACGGAGTGTGGAGCAACGGGGTTCGAAGAAGGACTGCAATATTGAATAGATTGCGGACATTGAATTAATCATGGCTACCTTACTGAGGCACCTTCCCAGGGCTTGTGGGTGGTGAAGGGCATGCGTACTTTCTCCTACCCATAGCACCGTCACTGGGCTAGAGTCTCTAGTTCTAGTTGTCAATCGAGCAGCTTAAAAACGAAGATTTCCAAGTGATTCGCCATCACACTTGTTAATTCGCTTTTCCGTGTCAAGCAGGCTATGAAACCCCCTTTGCGATGATTTAGAGCATGCTACAGTATTTCGGCGGCCTCCAAACCGTTCCGCCTTTGAAAATTAGTCAAGCCGCCAATAAACCGGCGATGAGTGGTGTTGGATGTTTGAAGGCAGAGAAATCCAGTGCATGCATGCCCGTAAGACCAACTGTGCGTTGCAACAACTGGCAACAACTACCAGTTCCTTCGGCGCTCCCAAGCACTCGTGCTCGTCCCCGAGTTCGGCTTTGCAGTGTCATCTTGACCGGACTCCATGACGCGCATGCCTTTCGAGTACTCTTCGCTAAGGCTCAGCCGGCGCTCTCGTTCAAGCATCTCGTCGAATTCTCTCTGAGACATTTTCTCAACTGGCTGTCCTGGAACTCTCTGCAGCGTCTCTCTGCTCCGCCACCCTCCCTTAGAAGGAAATTCTTCGCTCGCCCCGGGTTGTTGTCCCAATTCAGACGCAGGCGGTCCTCCTGCTTGAGGGCTGGTCGGCCTATCACCGGCGCGAATACGTGCCCAGGCACTTCCTCTTGCACGATTGTACGGCATGTCACTAGACAAATCCGTGCCATTCCCAACAGTAGGTGATGCATCATCGTCGAAAAACAGGTCGTCGCCACCAGGCTGGCCGGGTTGTTCCGGTGCCGAGGGTGTTGCGTAGGAAGGACTACTGGACCACTGTCCGGACTCTTGACTTCTCCAATCGGAGTTGGCTGCAAGCCCACCTTCGTACTGAGGGCCATCCGCGTAGTCGTATGTGGCGGCTGCACCCCTATTGCCATCATCAGCCTGCTGAGGTGAGGCACTGTATTGATTATCGCTTTGAGCTTGGGATCCTGGACTTTGTCGCTGAGCGTTGACTCCATTCGGTGGGCCGCCAGGTAGCCTGGCACGATCGGCGGAGCGTTGAACACGATTTTGAACTGCTTCTACAAGGCGCCGGGTCCGGTCGTCGAGATAGATTCCGCTCGTTGCTGCGAAGCTGCCCACATACCGGAAGATGGGCGACAATCCAATGATAAACAAACCCGCGTACATGTTGGCCCGGGTGATGTGCCACAGGATTTGCGCATACCGCCCTTGGACGAGTGGAAGGTAGCTGCTGGGAAAGCTGTTGTATCTCTCCAGAGGCTTGGGTGATATAAAAGGGAACTTCATCTTCTCCCGGTTCCTGTAGGCCACAATCCCTCCCAAGGAGCACGCCACGACGTCCCCCGTCACTCTGTAAAGGCAAGCCTTTGATATCCAGTATGTCAGGCCTTCCGCCTCTCTCTGAGTGATCGGCTGGTTGCCAAGATCCTCTTCCATCGTGCGGAAGGAATCAAGCACTTGGGATCCTGTCGTCCTTGCCCTTTTCGGGCCACCATATAGAAGCCAGCGTGAAAAGCTGCCCAACGGCAGAGACTCGAAGGGTAGCCGGTACAGCCGTGATTTGCCGTTCATCTCGTAGCCCAGTTGCAGCACTTCTGATTCCGCGGCGACGGTGTATGTCGACCGTGCCTTTATTATTTCAGCCAGGCGGCTAGGTCTACCGGCATGTTCGCCAGGTTGTACTGGACGGGCGCCTGGGCCCATCGAGGGCGGGAGACCTGACGGCGGAGGAGCTTGGGATGTCATGATGGAGATCGTGAGGGAATTGGGGGTTGTGGCCCGGTCGAGCAGGTCAGAGGGAATGTGTACTAATGTATCAGCAGAATATCATGGTTCGGCAAGGATGAGCCCAGAGTTTATGGCAGTCCGGACTGAATGAAGCGACGGTGTTGAAGCTGTATACATGTACCTACCTTACCAAGAGGTATTGCTTCGCTGACGTCGGCGAATTGTTTCCCCACAAAGAAGCGAAGCAAAGCGAAAGAAAGTGACAGTCACTCGACTGTCTGTCTTTCCGCCCCCAAAGTCCAACAGCCACCAGCAAAAGAATCCGCAACCCACCCACCGACTCTTCACACGTCGTCGACGACAAGCCCCTCGCTCCTTTTGGGTTGCTATCAACTAGAACACCGCCTTGATACGGCGCAAATACTTGTCCCCTAATCTCTAATTATTTTACATCTCCCAGGACTTGCCAACAACAACTGACGACTGAAAAGCTTTAACGCCGCTTTCCGCGACGATTTTGTTCCCCTCTCTGCATCTCAAAGTTACGCCCTTCGCCTCACACAGTCGGCAGAATGCCTCCAAAAGCAAAGGGCGCCGATGCGCCGAAAAAGACCAAAGCCACGGTCGATGACAAGACCTTTGGCATGAAGAATAAAAAAGGAGGCAGCGCGAAGAAACAAATTGCACAACTACAGGCCATGGCGAAATCGAACAAGACTCCCGAAGAAAAGCGAAAAGAGGCCTTGAAGGAGCAAAAAGAAAAAGAGAAGGCCGCCGCGGAAGCCGCCAAAGCAGAAGCGGCCGAGTTATTCAAGCCGCTTCAGGTGCAGAAAGTGCCGTTTGGCGTGGACCCCAAAACGGTGGTGTGTCAATTCTTCAAACAAGGCCACTGTGAAAAGGGCAAGAAATGCAAGTTCAGCCACGATCTCGAAGTCGGCAAAAAGACGGCCAAAAGGGATGTGTATCAAGACACCCGGGACCAGGAGGCAGAAGAGAAGGAGAAGGACAAAATGGACGATTGGGACGAAGAGAAGCTGCGTAAAGTGGTGGTCAGTAAACACGGGAATCCACGGACCACGACGGACAAGGTGTGCAAATACTTCATCCAGGCTGTGGAAGACGGAAAATACGGCTGGTTCTGGACATGTCCCAATGGAGGAGATAAATGCATGTACCGACACAGTCTGCCACCTGGGTACGAAGACCTTTCCCTTTTGCTATTTCGCGATCTCTGCTAACCTGCTTCCAGATTTGTCTTGAAGACCAAAGAACAGAGACGGGCTGAGAAGGCGCTGATGGACAAGTCGCCCATGAACACGCTGACACTAGAGGACTTCCTGGAGTCCGAACGGCACAAATTGACGGGCAAGCTGACGCCCGTGACGCCGGAAACATTTGCGAAGTGGAAGAAAGACCGTCTCGACAAGAAGGCTGCGGAAGAACAGGCTCGGAAGGCCAAGGAGGCTACGGGCAGAGCCATGTTTGAAAGCGGAGACTGGAAGGACTCGGAAGACGAGGACTCGGAAGATGACGAGGATGATGATGATCAAGGAGCGTTCAATCTGGAAGACATGCGCAGAGAAACAGAAGCGCTGCGCAAACAGAAGGAAGAGGAGCGATTGGCGAAAGCGAACGGCGAACCGGTCCCTGATCGAAACGACGACAAGAACAGCAATGCAGACCAGTCGCAAGAAGGTGATGGTGATACTGGAGATGGAGACGGAAAGGTGAACGGAGAGAAGAGTGGCGAGCAGAGCTGAGTCTAGCATATGGTCTCTGGTCTCTGGTCCTCGGGGAGATTGATCAACCTGTTCATTTGATGTTTTCTAGCGACCAAGCGCCGCGCCCGGCAGAGGTGATGGATGATGGATGGACCATGGGAGTTTCAGGGTTGTGTGTCTCTTTGGGAAGTGGTCCTCTTCAGAGAGAACACTTACGAGAGGGCTCAATGCGATGACCAGTCAACAGCTTCCGCTGTGTCCTGCCAAAGACAAAGGACCATGATACACGATGCAGCTATCAATATCTACGACTTCAGAACAGATACTACTACCATGCATGGTTACCTAAGTGAGGTAATAGATACTTATAGCAGGTGCCTAAGGTATTGTGGCAGACACCCTGATGCTGTGACATGTGCCTGACGAAAATCCCTTATTGTTGTTACATGTAATAACTGACTTTCATCTTCCCCGCAAAATCGCCCTCGGCTGCCATCCACCTTCAATTGTCACCACTGCAGCATCATCACTCAGCTTCTTGTATTGATTACCTTCAAGCTCCTCCGTACCTTACACAAGTACCTGAACTACTACATACTACCTCCAACACCAATCGCCTCACCCTCCTTCTATACATCGTGTCCTGCTACCTACCTAGTACCCTCCTGTGTCACCTCCAAGCGCCAAAGTCAAACCAAGCTTGCAGACTGCGAATCTCACCGGAATATGATGCCTTCTCCGCCTGCTTCTTCCTCTTGAAACCTCGTAAAACAACAGCCAGCCGCAGTATTGTCGTCCCTGAACCGTGAACCCCTCAACGTGTAACATAATCTACACTCGACCTCCTCCCAGCAGCCCACCGAACATCCTACACACCTTCACGTTCGCCGCCCAAGCCACCCTCCGAAAAGCTTCGACTACGGAACTCTCACACAAGAAGACCCAATCCACCCCGTCTCGTATATATCTTTCAACTTCACCATCGACGGCAATGCCTCCACCACAGCCGCAACCGCAACCGGAGAGCTCAATACCAGGATACCGTCCTGGCCCATTTCTCACGTTAGTTCCACCCTACTCTACCTGCTCCTTCTTTTGTTGTTCTGTCATTCCTTAAAAAGCTGCGCATTCAGCTACACGGAACTAATGTGTTTCATGCATCAGACGCGGGAAGAAGTTCCTCCTAGCCTCAGCCATCTTCGTCCCGATAGGCAGTTACGTATGGCTGCGACGGCTCGAAGCCAAGTCTAGAGAACATACCAGGCTCCTTGAAGAAGAGGGACGGCGGAACTGGATCCAAGCCGAGCGAGAGCGCTCGGCCCGTCGGGACCTGAGTGTTCCTGTGGGCAGAAGTGGCGGCGGTGTCTAGAATGGTGACTACCAGTTCAAGGCCGCTGCGGATCGTGGAGCATTGAAGCATCGTCTCCCCCGGCAAGACGAGGTTTACGGAACAACAACGTATCCCATGTTGGGAAGTCCAGTGCAAAAGCAAACAACTTTGTATCAGCAATTGTGGCATGAAATGTCGGTTCAAAAAAGCAGACGAAGGAGCAAATGCATGCGCAATCCACATATCATCAATGTCCTCCGTACCCGAAGAGTCGGATGGTCTCGTCTCACGGCTTATCTGGAATCATATCCTCTCGACAGCTGACGAACACAATCGTGCAGGTATACCTGGGCTTTCCACGAGCGCTGGGGGAACATTTACAACCTACCTCAGCTGTCTATACTGCCCATTCTCTGCTCAGTCATCCAGCGGATGGAAGGGTTCCCTGTACTTCGACGGCCAGCGATGCCAGCACAAAGCCGCGGCAATCATGTACGAGAAAGCCACGCAACGGGACCGAAATATGCCAAAAGCCCCATCTGGACACCAAGCCCAAGATCGTCATCTAGTAGCACTGGTCTGCTTTTCCATTAATGTCCAGCACAGAGCTGCCCAGACGTTACTGTTCACGCCGTCCCTTGGCCTCGAGTCGATCCTGGTTCAAGTCTCTGGAAACGTGCTGGGCCATCACTCATACTGGGGTCTCCCACTACCAAGCACGCCAAATGGGGTTCCTTCATTCTCTCATCTTCCGCATGTCAGCACCCATGACTTGTACATTGTACGAGAGACAGATAGTGGCCTTGCTGGTTCCCACCACAGGGAGAATCCGTTCTCCAAGAACGAAGAAGGCTGCTCTCTTCGGCGATGTAGTACACCATACTCAGTCGATGGAGATATACCGATCATCGGCAGCTCTTGTCCCACCATAGCATTGGTCAAGCAAGCAAGAAGCAGCGTCGAAAGACAGTAGTGTTTCATCTGATTACCAGTCTCCAAAGAAAGAAGAAAAAAATACATTGTTGCTCTACTATCATCTACGGCCATAGCTGAGAGTCAGATGGCCATCCCAAATCTACCTACCTCCTCCCACTCGTCTCCTTTACGTCTATGATCTGAATGCTGAAGCCCATGCCTGGTCTGGTTTCTCGCTCAGCTAGACGATCTCTTTCTGCTTGCTACTCAACTATGCGGACACTCGTGACCTACTCGAGTCAACAGTCCGTGGATGAAGGTACGATACACGTGGAACGCGATTCTGCTCGAAACAAACTTGAATCGCAGTCCAAAGGAAAAACCACTCGTTAGGTAGTAGGTATAAAGTGTCTCCAAGCATAACAATTAGAACTCGGCATTCCTGCATGCCATCAATTCCGTCCGTCAAAAGGATCGTCGAGAATTGAACATATCCTCCAAGCTCGGGCTCTCGCGAGCCCTAACAATGAACCTTCTCTGAGCCCCCTTTTTTTGGTTCTTCACATGACATCCAAAAAGGCCGATGCAGATCAACACCGGGCTCTCAGAGTCCACCTGTAGTAAAAACCCTGGGCAAAAGATTTGACTCCCAACATCCATCTTCCTGAAACGCGAGCACCAAGATCCTACTTCCCTCAGACATTTCCAGGACTGTGCTACTAACACTCTCTTGAGAGGGTCCTGAACTCTCCCTTCACACACTCTTCACGTCATGGCGGACAGAATGCTTTCATATGGCGCGATTTGATCGGTGTTGGAGCGAGGACTCATTGCTTGATTGTCGTCGCCTCGACGGCCCCTCGACGGGCTGCGCACGCGACCGGCCAGGTTTCGGATTTTGCCCAGCAGCTGGTTGGGGCCGCCACTGGTCTCGTTGCCAGACCTCCCGCGCCGGTGGCCAGTCGACATCGAGGCCGCAGAGAGGGAGCGTCCGCTGTAGGGCGCCTCAGAGAGGCCTCCCGGGTCGGCGGACATCGGTAGAGGAACATCCACGGCTTCCGCCTCAAATGCACGTAGATTCGACAGGCTGAGAGTGTTGAGTAACATTGGCAACTTGGGAGGAGGCGGCGGTGGCGGAGGAGCGGCCAAGTGCTGCAGTTCCGGGAGGATAGGAGGGTGTTGCTGCGGGGGCGAACCCGTGTAAGATACTCCTTCAGCCGGACCTACTGACATTGGAGGTGCATCGCGTGGTGAGGCGCGTGTCCGATCTTTGGAGGTTCCCCGACTGCGAGATGACCCTCGTCCCTCAGGTCCCTTACTGCTTGCTCTGCTATTGCCGATACGGCTGTCATACGCAGGATGTTTAGGCATGTGAGACAGAACCTCCACAGATGCAGCGGCTCGTGCTGACCCTGGTCTGCTGGGGACGTCTCGTGTCGGTGGTCGATATACATCGCTCGCCAGTAGTTCTACCGTGGTAGTTGCGAAGCCCGGTTCTCCTTCGGGGATGATGGCCGCCTCCGGCATTGTTCTCGGTGTTCCTGACCGGTCTTTCGCAGCAATGATCCATGACATGTCGACACCTGTCTGCTGCTCATGACCCAAGGCCCGGGTGCTTGAATCGTCTGTGTAAGCTCTGGCCAGAGGTGGCGCATTGCCCGTCGAAGCCGACTTGGAGTGGTAGGCCAGCTGGCTGGGAAGGAGCACATTCGGGGCAGAGGGCCGACGTGCTAGTGATTGGCGGCGAGCCTCGAGCCGTTCAGCTGCAAATTCTCGCCGGCTCCGGCTGGTCGAAAATTGAGGATGGCTACTGGACTCAGCATCCTCCTGACTCAAAGTCTCGGGCATCAGGTTCATGTTGCCTCGGGCACTCCGCTCAGAAGTCACCTCGCTCGGACGGCGCCGACGTTTCTTACCCTCACTCCGACTTCTCCTTCTGTAAAGGGAAGCCTCCTCGGCCCTTCGACTGCGCGATCGCGTCCTGGGCCTTCGGCGATCAGGAGACGGGTCCTGTCTGGCACTTGTGCCACGCTCAGGTTGTCGACTAGTACTTCGCTGCAAGCGGTGGCGATCCAAAGACACCAGCCTCATGGCCGAACCCTCGTCGAAGCGGCTCCGTCGGTCTTCTTCAGAAGGGATCATTGGCCGTGGGGAAGATGGAGATCGATGCCCGGGATTCTCCTGTCGAGAAGAGCTTCGACCCCTCGGTGAAATCAAGGTGATATCTGGACTATGTTGCCGGCTTGTACCACGGCTACCTGTTTTGCTTCTCGTGCCGGTGCGCCTTGAGTGGGATCTGTGACGATGCTTTGTGCCAGTTGTCGTCGACTGAGAACCATGTCGGCTGAGCTTGGAGATGCTGGCAGGTGTAGATGTGCGATCCATGCCCGACAGGTTCGAGCCGTACATTGATTCGAAGCTCTCGACGCTGGTACTATACATTCGAACGTCTTCAGGCGACATCGGGATAGGTGAAGAGGGAGAACGCTTGGCCGCCGGAATGGTGCGCCGAGCATCCCTTCCGCTACCTTCGTCAGCATTGGTGGCCCGGCCTTTTTTTCTATCGGAAAGGTCTTCTCTTGAATTCTTGCTGTTACTGCTGTAACCTCGTGCCCGTGAATGTTTACCGAGATATTGAGCCTGCTCGAGGCTGCTGATAAAGGGATCCATGCTTCTGGCTGTGACCATGGGGCTTTTCACGCTGCGGTGGCTCTGGCCAGTGGTTGGCGCACTTGTGAGATCGATCGAGGTCTCGAGCTGCGTATTGGTGTAAGACCCAGTTGTTGTCGGTCTGCCTATCGACTCGGCGTAGCTGTTTGCCGGTAAGGACTCCTGCCGAGCCTTGACTTCGTTCACAGAAGTTTGGATGGAAAGCCCGTCGGGCTTGCGACTCCTTGAGCCTGTTCTGACACGGGAGACGTCCATCTCGCCTGCATCACGAGCAGCAACGCGTGAGGTAGAGTCGGGAAACCTGACTGCTGTATGTGGTCCAAGAGCGGTCTGAGGCGTCTCCCCGATTGGAGTGGCGACCGGTTCGTAGCGTGCGGAAGTGAGCAACATCAGCCCCTGCTTTCCCACCTGGCTGGTATGGTTGATGGAAGTGGTCAATCCATCGTTGTCCCCTGGTTTGGTTGCCGCCAACTCCACAGGCACCGAGAAAGACCGCGGAGGAATTGCACTTGGGAATTGGGGCGCTTCGACGTCAACAGGCGTCTCCCCAATTGATGGTAGTCTGCTCGGTTGAAAGCCACCTGGAGTCGCTGTTTTGCCTGAAAGAGCGCTATTTATGCTCCGGGTATTGTTTAGACGATACGACCCGAGGCCCCCAGGTGACAAGGCAGATCGATCAATGGCGGACTCCGCAATGGGTGTAACTGCGGCACCAACAGTTGGAGTGCGGTCATCGGGCTTCAATCCCGGAAATTTGAACGTGTTGCTGCTCTGGGATCCGAATGAAGTGACAAGTTTGAGAGCTGCCGTTTGTGGTGCGGCGCTTGTCCCCTGCGCGGTAGCAGTTCTGTATGGGGCGTGAGGCGGCGGCTGTGCTGGCAACAAAGGTGGAGGTGGCATGGCTACCGGCGTCGGAGTATCCAGTGTTCGTCTCCTTTCCAATGTTTTATGAAATATAGCTGGGTACTGTAGGGGTTGGAGCGGTTCCACTTGCGGCATCGCAGGACTCAAGACTGGTTGCAGCAAGGATTGTGTGGCTATCTGCGCTTGAGGAGATGTCCAGGGATCCGACGGCTCGACTCCTGTGCATGAGAAGCACCTGATAGCAAGCGCCTGCTGCGAATTCTCGACGACGTGCTCACCCCATCGGCGCACCAAGTACGACTGTCGTTGCCAATCATCTGGAGTGACTAGACAGGTTAGCAGTACCGCTTCCATATATTGGTTCCTCGTGACATAAACCTCAATGGCATCACTTCGGTCGCCGAGGGCAAGCAATAGAGTGGCTGCGGCATGGACGTCGCCCTTACTCAGCAATTTCTCAATAAAGACCTGGGTGATCTTCTTCGCTCCGACCTGATTGCTGATGGTACCTAATGCCAACAACATCCAATCAAGGTTTGAAGTCAGGCCTGTTGAGCCCAAGATCTCTGCGAGGTAGTCTGGATCCTCGTCCAGCCACTTCGCCAGGAAGATGGCGTTTTGGCTTCCGTTCGCATGACGACTCAACTCATCTCGGATAAGGTCCTGAATGTCTTCCTCCCAGCCAAAAACAACTTTGAGCATCTGCCGTCGTAAATCATGTGGTGTCAGGAGGGCATCGTCCATTGATGCTGGCTGTCGGTATGGGACATCGTGCAGGCGAGCTCTGGTAAACGGGAGCAGATCCACGACAGGCTGCTCTTCAGGGCTCATCACAACCTCTTGTCGCAACCGAGAACCCTTTTTGGTGGACTTGGCAGTGACAGGGGATTGTTGTTGGTATCCTTGGTTGAACGATTGGACAGGCTGATTCAACGTCGACTGGGATTGTACCCCGGTATCAAAGGTTGTAGTTGTGTATTCTGTTCTTCCAGCTGGTGAAACCATATCGCTTCCTCCAAGCTTCAGGCCTGTATTCTGTGATCCCGCCTTGGTGGACTGAGGACTTGGGACATGGGTGTCTTTCCATTCATGCCTCCCTACTTCGTTGGCACGAAGGTCTCGACGGGTATGCGCAGGAGCAGATGCTAAATCCTCCTCGCTCTGGGGGGTAGTCCACATCGGGCCTCTACCTTCCTCCGGCGGGGTTGGGGGAATGGTAATAGGCATGTGGCGTACATTCGCCACCATAACAGCTCTTTCGACATCGTACTGCTGCACGGTATAGTCGGGACCCAGGGTGAAGAGTGTGCCAGTCGGACCATGAGCAGCAATTCCTCTCACTCCATCAACCGTAGGAATAGGTGCCGAGGTGACATGCTTGGTTCGCACGTCCCATGCGCAAGTCTTGCCTTCGGAAAACTGCACGATACGACCATTCTTGGACCAGGTGATCCAGTTTCGGCCTGGCACAAACGTATCAGAACGTTTCAGAGCGCGAATCACTCGAGGAGCTTCTGCTGTCGGGGGCTTTGAGACACTCCAGACTCTGAGGTCTCCATCCGCTGTCTGGGTCGCAAGCATGTCCGACTTCTGCTTCGAGGAGGATGCGTGCCATGTCAAGGATGCTATGGGAGACGGAGCGCGAGATGTTGTCAAAGTGTGCAAGATGGTGAAGGATGGTTGCAAGGCTGCCAGAAGGATGGAACCGTTGTTGTACCTGACAGGGGTCAAATCTAGGTCATGAACACAGCAGGTAAACATACCCGATGGCATAAGTTTTACAATCTTGCGAGGGAGCTATCGCCGTGATAGGGTCGAAAATCGTGCGCGCCGAAATGTGATCACTTGTCGGAGGCTCAAACAGAATGACTTCTCCTTTCGCGTTGCCTTCAATGGTGAGCAGCAAGGTCCAATCTGCGAATGAAGGCAAGGAAACTCACCAAAGACGATGTTTCCGTTTCTCATCCAATGAGCAACTTTCAGAGTCTCGTATGACACAAACCGCGATAATTGCTCGCCCGTCAACAGGTCCCAGACTATGGCGGTTTGTGCTACATCATAGCTCACCACCAGCCTTCCAGTACCGGTCTCGCTGACGCTGTCGGCCGCAATCAACTGAATGTCTTTTGAGTGCTTCTCGAACCGTCTTTCGACTGCCAAGGTGTCGTGGTGTAGACACAGAATTGTAGAGCCTTGCGCAAACAGGACAAGAGACGCCGTTGACGCACAAGGTTCGAATGGCATGTCTTCAGCGCGAGACCTCACATCGGGGCCCATGGGGTGTGCCGCTCCTCTCAACTTGTTCGAGACGGACCATTGCCGTGAGACACCGGCAGTCCCAGACATTCTCGCTCAGGTCGACCGAATGTGCGACTGCTCGGGCGTCAGTGTTGTATAAATGAGGCAAGGCGAAAGACATGTTCCTGTGTACCTCTTTCGTTATGCAACCACCAAGCATGACATGATCCCGACCAAGGAAAGCCAATATATCCGGAACGTCGGTTATTGGGATCTCGAATGGTTCTTCGGCGGTGCAACAACGGAGATGGGTAGTGGCAGGATATGCTCTTTTCCTTGGGTGACCTGGACTCGGGAAGGGCGCCAAAGTAGCCGCGGAGAGGTCGCTCCTGCAGAGAATCGCTCAGGAGGCACGACAGAGACTGTGGTCTGTCTTAGGCAGGTCAGGAGAGAGGTCAGGTGTTGCGCAGTCTGGCCATGTACCGGTCGGGCCCCGGCTTGATAGGTACGTAGATGATGAGAACCATCTCCATCAACGAAATGAAAACAATGACACAAGATCTTTCTCTCCGGACCACAGGACTATACAATCAAGAGAACAGCAGATCCACTCCCTTCAGCGACGAGGCGCAGCAAAGGAAGGACTTGTCCTGTACTGGCAGCGTCGGTCTTGTGAGAAGACGCCCATCATCTCTCGAAGTACCAACGACCCGATGGAAACATTGCTCTGGAGCACTACTGGCCCCGGGGCGCTTGATTGCGGCCCCGCAGCCAGACGCAATGAGAGAGGACGAAGGTGCCTCTGTTGGCCGAACCATGGCGACGGCCGTTGAGCTGCTAATGCAGGCTGATCTGAAGAAAGGAAAGGTTCGATGGCCTATGGAGGTGGGAGAAGAGGTGCAGTTGGACATGGCGAAGGCCAGGCACCAAGGTCGGCAGGGATGATGGTGAAGCTCTTGGGCGCTTACACCCGCTTCATTGGCTGCGACTTGCCCGCTGTCACACAAGCTACGCGACCTCTGCTTTTCCAATCGACGCCGCCAGCACACTCGAAGCACCAAGCACCGTGAGCTGCATTCCCTGTCCGACTTCTCCATCACTCGGAAGGGGCTGCTGCTAACGATGCCATTTAGGATCACCCCCGCTAGGCCCCGTCCGCGTGCTGCCCCGACGGCAATCCTGAATGCCTATCTCTGACCTCGGGCGGTTATACCAGCGAGTGTTATTGGAAGGCAGTATAACATCGCCACGCCGGCCGTCTGTCCTCGACTGCACAATCCACTGTAACATGTTGGGGAGAAGAAGAGACCAAGCCACATGCCACAGTCGATTCAGAGCGGCGAGTATCACGAGGCTAAGCAACACAGCACTTGGTCGACTAGACAAACTAATGGGCGGCTCGTCTGTGTCTACCAGGGCTTCGTACGCCATCCATCAGTGGAGTGCTGTTGGATACTCCTAGACCCCGGTAGATCGGCTGGCAATGAGCCATGCCTGGCAACTCGGCTTCAGCACAATTCACAATCCCAGCCAGGTCCTCTCTTGGCGAGTCAGTCGATATGACTGTCAAGGCAGGCAAGGACTGAAGCAGCAGCAGGGTTCATATGTACATGTGAGACAAGCCAGCAGTATGCTGCGTCCTTCGATACGTACGAAAGTCGCAAAGCCAGATTGGCCTCGAAGTAGGCGATACTATGATGACCTGCATTGGCGCCCGAAAGCCTCCGCGATGGAAAATGCAGCGCAAACTTCGCACAAGCCGCTTCTGCTGATAAGCGACATGTCGAAGTCTAGCAACGACATTGGAAGTGCGTGTGCAGTACGTACTCTTTGAGCAATGCAGTCCTCTTTCTCGAGGGGCTTGACAGATGTCAATATCGACGTCGATCAATGGAGCTGACTCGTGGAGCTGCGCCCGGAGCCACGGGGCGAGCCTCACACACGAATATCCATCCATTGCTGGTCCTTGCGGGGAACGTGGTCTATGCAGCAGCTGCACGTTGTTGAATGGACAGGGCGGTGAAGTTCTCTCCCTCCACAATCACATTGTCCAAATGTTGATAGAGGGCTCCTATCACCACACCTCGCCCTCCCAGCCTCCAAGCGTCGTATGAGCAACTACAGAGGACATGATCGTCACGTCCTCACTAATGCCCCGGTAAGGCGATGGCTTTTGCTAAACGGTCAGCCAGGGCGACAAGCGTCTAACTCTGCTGGGATGCTGGGATGCTTGGAAGCTGATCCTGGGTTCGCAGGCCACGTCTGCACCTACGCGCCCACGCTAAAGCATTCCTCGCAAGCAGTCCATTGCTGGTTGGTTGCTTTCATCCATCCCTCGACGAGAGAATTGCCGCTTTTTCGATTGTTCCAGGACGAAAATCTCCGCATTTATCACAGCGTCTGGTCGTCAAGCTAAGATGAGCGGCTTTGTGTTAAGATACTTGGAAAATGTTCCGGCGCATCACTTCCTGGCAGCCCTGCATCGGCCGTGTTGCGCTAGTTTGCGATGCTGTTCGAGAAGCGTTGTGGTATATGCGACTTTGTCCTGTCACAGTGAGAACATAAATCTGCTACTCGCCAGGACAGGAGCCACAGCATGCTTCACCGCAGCACTCGAGGTCGCAATGGACGGTGCTGGTACGGACCAACGTGGCACACCGTCTACTGCTTCTGCTGTGCCTGTACGCCAAATGTAAGGCACAGGTCTATGACGAATTCTTCCCCCAGTATGTCTCTCTATCGTGCCTGCACAGCGCCCCGTCAGCCGGCGCCATGGTATGGCTTTTGAGAGCCTTGTTTGCAGCCACGCTTGTGCACTCACAGAACATCTTCCTGCAGATCCTCGCAAGTTCGCCTGGGTAGAAGCATGTTTGGACCCGGCCACATAGCAAGGATGAAATATATACTACCCACTCACTGTCCCCGTCGAACGGTAGCCTGCAGACTGACTTGTCACACCGGGGAGAGAAACCTGGTATCGTTTGTCACCACAAAATACCCGAGGGCCACAGCAACATTCTCGAGCGCTGAAGTTGCTAACTGGATGCCCTTGCATGATGCTCACTCGCTCTTTGGAATGAATGCGGACATGGCATCAATCAGCCACAGCCTCACTTTCCTCACTGGCACGGCGAGACGCCCTTTGGAACAGAGCATTCTGAAATCCGAGTGGTCGCCCGGTGGAGTGTGGCGTGTACGCACGCCTTCAATATCATTGTGGTCGGAGTCCATACAATTCATACTGCGGAATTGCCACCTTTGTCAACCAAGTAAGGCGGCATATTGACCACAGTAGACGCCCCCTGACTGCATACTTATGTTGATGATGCCCGGCTCAATACCCGACTCGATACTCGTCCCAGTTTTGCACGACAAACCAGGTCATTCCTCAACATGTCTGACCGCCCAACCACGTTGAAAGGCGCTGAACTAGTATATGCTTTCACACTGTCACACGGCGCGCTGATCAAAGTGCCCTGGAATGGAGGAATTGCCCTTGCTGCTGACTAAAAGCTTGTCGTCCTTCCCAGCAAACAAGCACATCAGCATGTTCCCAGCCTTGATGGATAGTTGTTGCCACAAACCGTTGAATCAAAGTGTGAAGACAACTAAAGCAAGCGTCCATGCTCAGCCGTTGCAGCAATTCCTCCGGCGATTTCGAGGCACCTCTGGCCGTCAAGGCTCGGCCACTGGCTCAGGAAACGCATGATAATTGATCAACGACCCCGGATTCCCTAGAAGGAATCAGCCAGACATATGGGTACTTATCAGTCCTTCCCTGACCATTGAGACATGCTCTATGATAACAGATATGTCCGTGTTGCACGTGCCTGTACTCTCGGCGGGCAGCTCAGATTCTCCACGGCCTTTTCCCCAGCAAACAATGTCCTAAAAAAATTAAGTATTCCGCTTTCTAAGTGTCGTGTAGGGGGTGGTCTGACAGAGATCCGCATTTGTACAGACCTCCAATCCGCTCAGACATAGAGAGGGCGCCGAGTGCTTCCAGAAAGCGACTGGTCTGTCTCCCACAATTCACATCAAGGTAGCAGCATCGCCGGACTTTGATCTCCTCGGTCTCCTATCGAAGTAGTTTATAAGGTTGTCCAGAGGTCCCGAAGAGGTGCGGCATTCCAATTGCTTGTCAAAATCGCTGCACTGTAGGGAGGAAATGATATGGTATCAGCTTTGCACCAGAGGGACCAGAGTCCAGTTCGGAAGCTGTAGGTCTGATATATGGGTGTCCGTTCTTGTGCACCCTTCCTCGGCCTCGTCTCACGACCTCGAGCTATCTCGCCAGCATGCTATCATGATACGCATGCCAAAAAAAAAACCAAATGGCTAGGCCTTTTTCCAAAGGCGGCCCTTTAGATAGGTAGATTCTGCTGTGGTACATCTTATGTTCTTCCAAGGGGTAAATGATCAACGTCATCGCAGAGTTCAGAACGAAAGCCTGCCATTGTTCTTGGTCACAGTGAAACAGACTGGCCAAATGAGCTCTGCTTCCCCCACTGGTTTGTTTCTGTTTTGTCTGCTAGTGAGGTGTGTGAAGACCAGAGACAACTCGAATGCGTGGAAGACCGTTTGATGAAAGGAGACAGACAACCATCGATGGGGTTTAAAAGAGACTCAGACAAGCGAATGAATATACCAAGATCGAAGGACTGGACCCCTGTGCTGGACAGCAAGTGTACTCCTTCAGCTGGACTGAGCATCACAATTCAGGACGTTTGAGACGCTCCATATGACAATGGTATAAAGAACCCAAATCCAAGCCACTCACGGTCTGAAACCATGTTCCCGGCCTGAGAGTGCTGCACGCCTGAAGAGACCAGAACTTGAGATTTAGCCCCTTGAATTGAGGCATGCCCAGCAATGAAAGGAGCAGAATCTCTTAAAATTACCAAAATTAGGCATGTGATGTTCGCGGACTCCCCAAATCGTCGAAGTGGAAAAAGTACAAAGTGAGGTGTGTGGACTTCGCGGGGTGGTAAGACCGTCGGAATGAAAAAGGCACAAAATGAGGTGAGTTGAAGACTTATCACCTTCGCAGACTGGCCAAACCGTTAAAGTGCGAATAGCAAAATGAGGTGAGTTGAGACATGGTCACCTTCGCAGACTCTCCAAACCGTCGAATTGGACAAATGGCAAAATGAGGTGAGTTGAAGGATATCCAAGTTCGCAGACCCGTGAAACTGTCGAAGTCCTGACAAGAATGATATGACGTGGAAGCCCGCCTGCAACAAAGCAAAGGAGGGAACCACAGACCAGTGTGAAGTTGGGAGGACACCCGACTCACTGCACTCACCTCATGTCGCGAACAACTTGGTGGCGAAGCAGTCATTGGTATCAACATCGAAACAGGATTGAAGGGGCACCGGAAGCAACAACAGCCTTGCCACCAGGCTGGGCCGATTGGATTGTTCGCGATCTCTTGCCCACTCCATAACCAGAAGAGATCGGCAAGCATCCCAACCTCCAAGTCAAGGAGCAAGCCAGACAGCAGCCTCTTCGGGAGGCTGGTCCTTCAATGCGGACCGGGATAGAACTTCCAACAGCATGCTCGGTCGTGCCAGATCAGGACGTCGACGTCAACGTCATATACTAGTAGATGTCAACGCTGATTATTTGGGGCCACCCCTTTATCCCCCGCAGCCTTGTCAACTGTCGAAGTGTCAGCAGTGTGCAGTTGTCACAGCCGCTCAGATGAAGTCCATGGATGTAAGAAAAAGGTTAAACCCATGCCTCAGACATCTCTTTTAGTGCATGCATGCATTTGGTGCATGCATGTGCGTCGGGCGTTCCGCTTCGGCATCACATCGTATCCGTACTTGCGTCGCCGCATCGCATCGTGCATCTGCTATCCGAATCCGCTTGACCCGTCCATCCAGCCACCAGGACAAGGCTCCTTGGTTGGACATCTGCCTTTGAGTTGTCGCTTGAGTAGGGGCGATATCCGCCGCAGTGATCAGTAGCACAACCGAAGTCAATGTTCGACGGCTAAAGTCATTGTTAAGAACCCGGACTATCGACGACCATGGGAGAGGTGTAAGTTCGGAAAGAGATTGGTGAACAGACCCGGAAAACCTTAACAGACGCCTCTGTGTCGGTGGCTTGAAAAGCATTTTGCGGTCCGGGAGAAGACTCCACTGGCCACCCTGTGGCCCAAACGGATCGTTCCGACTGCTGCTGCACTTGCCTGTCAGGATAGTATGCTGCTGGTGATGACCCCGCGACGGGGGTCAAAATGAGATCGGAACCCTAGTGATACTGCATGGTGGCTTGCTTTGCGAGAGATCCAAGGTGCAGTACGGAGTAGGAGACGCAGCAGACAGCTGAGAAAATGTCGCAGTGCAGTCCACAGTCCACCATGGCAGCTTCAGCTCCGAGCATCCTCCGGCGGCTGTCTGTCGTGGAATGCGACCGAAGGAGACAGCACTGCCATCTGAAGTTGAAGCTTAGATCGCTGAGCGCGACAACGCAGCCGTAAAGAATCATGTGAGCATGAGAGGTGGTGGCTGAAGAATGATGAGGTAGTTTTCCAGTGGTGGCTTAATTCTCTCTCTGTGCGGCAGTTTAATTACTACGGTGAAACCTCGGGCAGTGGATGGTTGGGCTGCTGACTTCCGCTGGTGTCTGATTGGTGTCTTTTCACGTGACACAATTGCAGTCTCCTAGTCACGTTGGATGACATCCCCGGCTCCTTCCGAACAGCTTGGTGACTCGCACACTCGGGATCGATTCACCGAGTTGCATAGTTCTCGTTCAGGTTAGCCTCATCGGAAACGCCCCGACACTCCCACAGTTCGTCCTGGTCTGGCATCCTCCGAAATGTCCAAACTCCAAAGCACTGACACCGGAAGGGCCTGGATAGAGTCCACCGACTATACCCCATAGGGGGAATCCCGATCTCGTGAATGCCCACAAGCCATGTGGCCCGGCCAGCTTTCCCTTTCCCTTTCCCTATCTGGCATCCGCATCCTCATCCGCATCCGCATCCGCATACACATCCTGCTCCCATCTCCTCTCATCTCATACTAGGTAGGTACCTAGGTATAGTGTGTAGTATGTACAGCTGAGAGTCTGCGGCAAGACAACACTGAGAATCTGCAACCAGATCTGATCACCGGCAGAGGAGCTCTAAAAAGGGTTTCAGGGTCGCCATCTCATGCATGCCACATACATCTTCGACTGGCCTCGCCTCGCCTCCATCTCCGCAGGGTCCTCACGTCCCTCGCTGGACAGAAACAAGGGTTAAACGGGTGGCATTCACTACTAATTGATACTACCCCCCAACACGACCTGAAATTTTCTTTTCTATATCAAATAATGCAACCACAAGGACCATCGTTGCTGAGGTCGGACGGACTGCAGTCTGCCCATGCCACGTCTGCAATAACGTTGAGCCGCCTGTAACGCATGCGAATGGTAACTCGGAGAGCGCGCGCAAAGCGGGTAACGCAAAACCTTCCTGAGCTTCTCACTGCACAGTGCAGAGTACGCTGTCTTCTGTAGTACTCACTCACCTAAAGATTATCCGACTCGCTAAACGCTGCCGCCAGCAAGGGCAAGGCATGTCTCTCGCTCGTTGGTAAGAGTTCCCTGATTAGGCATCTTTTGGCGCTGTGCTTACTCGGCCAGCTCACACTCGAACACACTCTGTAGACTTGTGGTATAGGTACCAGGTGCACCTCAGTCCGGTAAATAAGATACTTACCTCGGTTGTCTACCAAGCAACCAAGCACCATCCGCATGTTATGGTGCATGCTGCAAGTTGCATTCGCACTGCATGTGTGCATCATCATGCAGACAGACACTGACAGAGCCCGGAAGTTTTTCGCCATGCAAAAGCTTACAGAGTTCCTACCTATAGCTTTGACTTTGCGTGCCTCGAGTCGGAAAAGAGCCCGACAATCTTGCGGAGAACGGTTTTCCGATCCCGGCTCCTTTGCCGCTCTCTCTTACCATATACTCTAGTAGTAGTACTCCTAATAATGCCTTGCTCTCCCTTGCCTTTGCCACCTCCCTGGTCTTGGTATTATCGTTATGTGGTCATATCTCGACTAAGCTCTTGAACTCAAAAGATGAATGACAAAAAGAAGAAGAAGAAACGGCGTCGATGCCGCCGGATCCATGCAAGTTATCGGATCAAGAATCGCGCGCGACGGAGATTGGAGAGAACAAGGCATGGAAGCAGACTCCGGACGAGCTGTGATTGGCTCATCTTAAATTCTCATCTCATCGCACGTAACTGAGCAGTAGTAGCTCACTGTAGCACTAGCTAGTACTGGCTGCACAGTTTTCTCGCATCTTCTCCTGCTCAAATATTACCTCAGGCATGGCTACAGCCCGTTCCTACCCATGTGATGGCGTAGTGTTCTCGTCTCGGTAGTTGATCTGCGACTCTCTTTGAGGGAAAAATGCAAATCGCGGAGAATCGCAAGGTGAGCAACCCGAGCAACCCAGGCAGCCATGCAGTAATGATGACCCCGAGACAGCAGTACGTAGTAGAATCGACATCATGACCATTAGATACCAACGGGATTAGGCATGTACAACAGAGCAACTCAACTGTAGACTTGTTATGGTGTTCAATGGTATATTGAAGATAGTAATTAGGCTAATAACACAATGCTCGGAGACCAGTGCCCCAGTCCCCTTTCCCGGAGCAGTGTGATGGGAGTCACCAAGGACTCGACCATTTTCCAACCCTTGCGCTGGATGCTGAATGCTGAGTATGCGATTCCATCTCTGCTTCAGAATCGTAGTAGAAAACAAAAACAAATCATGGCCATATTGAGGCAGGGTATCGTCGACCGTCCTTTTAGTTTTCATAGTTCCCGTATACATGCAGATCGTCGCTGTAGATGATACAGTCGACCGTGAATTGCTCGTGGTAAATCGCTCAAAGTAAAATGATGAAAGACAGGTGGTCAGTAGCACCACTTTGTATCTCCGCAAGAGTCTCAAGGACCAGCCCCAAGACCAGACCACTGCCAGAGATCATTGAGGGCCATTCAGGCGTCGAAGGCCAGTCTGGCGTCTTCTGATCGTGCTAGGCCGGCGAGACTTGCCACTGCTTGCGACCTCGTTGGGGCCGGCGAAGCGAACCACTTTGCGTCGCGCGTCAGCATCGCGTGCTGCCTGTCGGTGGGCATCTTCTCTCTCTTGCAACTCGCGGAGATATGCGATTTGCTCTTCGGTTGTGAGTTCTTTGGCGGGAGCAAGCGCGGGGATGGTCTCCACGGGCAGGCCCAGAGTCTCAGGCAGGCAGAGAAGGTCGTCGTCCGAGAGGTATGAGTTAGGTTCGGAACCAAAGGACGACATGCACGATCGGTAAGGACTTGGAAGCCATGTGGAGTTGCTGCTGTCGCGGCGCATGGCCAGCGATGATGCCTGAGACTGGAAAGTGATGCTGGAGGCATTGCTGTCCGAGCGAGTGAGGCCATGAGATGTCGGCCATGAGGAGGTGGGAGATGCGCTCATGAGCGCTGCATACGCGGATGATGGCGCGCCCGGGGTAGATTTGTAGGACTTGGTGGAGGAAGTTGAGTCGCGAGAATCAGAACGCGACATGGCCACCGAAGTCATGGCTGGAGTGATGTTAGATGCGGGTGAGGTGAAGAACATCTTGTCTGTGTCTAAGGGATGTTGAAGAGCGCGACGGACGAGTGCAGTGCTCGAGACTGATGCACTCGGGCGGGCCGCGTTGATATTATGTTGACGGCTCGTGTTTGTAGCCAGGGTCTTTGGATTTTCGTTTGTCTGGAGGTGTGTGTTTGTGGCAATAATAATGCCCTGTTGCGGAGGCGGATGGTGATGCAATGCAATGCAAAACTAGATTTAATCTGCGAACACGAGTCGGGCGGGCGCCGGCAACCGGAAAAAAGCGCAGGCCTTGGGTTGAGAGCCAGGGAATCGGGCGCGGTGACTCGGAGCGTGATGTGCGATGTGAACGGTCAACTTGCCGCGCGTTGAACTGTCGGCACGCGTGCACACTTTTGTACTCTGTGAGTGATTTGGTCGGATGGGTGAGAAAGCGGTTGTATGGGGATGGGTTGTGAGGATATGGATCTGAATATGTATGTCCAGCCAGACTGGGGGACGGTGGGTAGAAGCAGTTATAGTCGTAGGAGTGGATGGGTCCCCCCTTCCCCGTGCTCTTTCTTTTTTCGCTTTAGGGAACCGTGAGCTCGACCCGAGACTCCAGAGGGCGAAAAGGAAAAACCCGGTGTGTCGGATGCGATGCCACCTCGGTCGGTCCAGAGTTGGGCTTTTGGGCCTCTGGCACCTTTGATCGGGGGCACGGACGGGGCCCAGTGGGTTCGACAAGGTGGACCAGGGTTGGCCGTTGTTTGTGCTTCTGTCTGTGCGCCGGGTTGTGGGGAGGATGGTCAAGGATGGCCAGAGAGGGCCTGGCCTGTCGCTTTGGGCTCCGTGCCCGTGGTTCCGCGAACAACTAGAGCCGTGAGGAGTTTGGAGAGGCTGGTATGGTCCCTATGCCACACCGCGATCGTCGGTTTCAGACGAGGGTGATGAACGCAGGGGGTTCCAGTCAGTCTCTCCGGTCTCTGTAGGATATCGTGTGGTGGCTATGTGATACAGTGAACCAGACTTGTAGTACTTGAAGCGCTGGTGGGAGGAGACAGAAGTCCATCCGGAGGGGGCAGGCAGACAGTATTATGTGTTGCTGAAAACCCCTACGCAGGGGCGCATGCCAGTCAGTGCAACCAGTGACTATGATATGATTATTCTTGCACGAGTGATTGTATCCTGTTCTCTTCGCTAGGTAACCGCACCGATGACTGGCAACATGTCGAATTTGCAAGGCCTGCTGGCTGCTCCTTGTCGTGTCGGTCTACTGACCGCCGGAAGGGGGGCGAACCGGAGGACGTATGATTCTATGGCTGAACGTATGTGACACCCCGATTCGCCAGGCAATTGACTCGACAGAAGGTTTAGTTGTCGCTAGGCTCGAGGCCCAAGCCATGGGGGTCTTTGACCGGGGGGTAGGAAAGTGAGGGACCGAGCAGGGGGGTTGGTAGAATTTCGGACACACGGCCAGTCGAGAGTTCACCATGGACAGCTGAACGCTGTAACCAAGAGGAATCGCCTTTAGCGGTCACGGTGACTTGGGGGGGCAAACCGGGGAGAAACGATGACATTGGAGCTGAGTAAGAGCAGTAAGGGCTAGTTGCCTGTGCATCTCGCAAGGGATAGTGATGATGGTGGTGGTAGAAGTGGTGAAGTTCAAGTTCAGGTTGACGGTGATTGATGGTGATGGGTGATGCATGTCGAACGGTCGGTGGCTTGAAGCCTGACATGATGCCGCCGGCTGCGGACACACGGATGGGAGAGCGGATGGCGCCTGAACTTCACGTCACTTTGGGTTATTGACGCGCCGAGAGCGAGCCACCACGACCACTGGAATTGCTTCGGGGGTGCTAGGGAGGCTAGGGGGCTTAAGGGGCTGTGAGTGTCAACTTCCAGGCGTCAAACAGACACCCCAGGCGCACCCAACGATACTTCGGATAATGCTGTAAGGGCAACCGCCGCCTAGGAAGCACACGCCAATAACGACAGCAATGATAACTGGACCCCGTCTGTTTGGACTTGATTCTTGCAATGCAATGCATCTATCACCTACCTATCGATGGCATGGAATGGGCCTGGATGCTCTGATTCCTGGTCTAGTCCCACGCATTGTTGGCCTCGGCAGGTCAAGATTCGTCTACTCTGTAGATGGAATACCGGTGAGAGATGAGAGAGGCCAGTGTCGCAGTCATGCTGGTTGCAATCTGTGTGACTGATTACAGGATTCTTGAGTTGACGCGCACGCTCTCGCTCTCGCCTCTGTCCTGATGCTGTGCCCTGCCGTGTTGCTAAGAATTGCAATTGCAGATCTGGTGTCAGGCAATCCGAGTCTGTGAAACGGAGAGAAGTGTGGTAGCAGTAAGAATCCGGTCTGATTTGAGTAACAATTCACCATGGTTGTTTGATTAGCCAGATATTAATAACCATGGACGCCTACCAGTAGATGAGATTACTAGGGGCCTCCCGAGCCCTAGGGAGCGAGCACTGCAATATTCAGGGTATGTTATTACCCCAGACTCCCCCTTGATCGAGCAAGGGTCTGGTCATCTTTTGGTTAATCATCGGGGCACAGCAATACACAATGATATGATGTTAACGGAGAGGTGTGGTAACATCAACGTAGATCTGTAGGTATGCATGCCATTACCACCCTCCAAGACCAGCATCTACGAGCGGCGATGATGGTGAGTGATTATTCAAGTATCATGAGTAATGCCTTACCGGTGCCCAGGTTGTTTTGTTTGCCTTATCATCTGCTTTACGAGAAGCTGTTCTAACGCCACAGTATAGGTACACTTACTACCCCTACTACTACGGCAATGTCTCTGATGAGAACAGCCCGAACTCGTTCATCGCCCTTGCCACTTCCTCCCACGCCCTCTACTCCTCTTGCTGCCCAATTCATCCTTCAGGCAGCTTGTGGATTCCGGGCGCAGAGAATCGCCGGCCGCTCTGCACCCAAAGACCTTTCCGCAGACGAACTTGACTACCTACGTATTCAGTTCAGAGCCTGAGAACGGGAACAGGTGTTTGGATCTCTCCCCGTCGGTCTGTCCCCGGTGACCCTTCCTCTGGTATGCCGCCTCAGAATGGAGTGCAACGACGCCTGTGCCGCTTCGCCTCGCCTCGCCTCGCCTCGCCTCGCCGTTCAACATTCGCGAATACCCCATACATCATTCTCCAGACACCGAGAATCAAGTCCTAGTTAGGTAGGTATGAGTGCCTAGTACCAGCTGGTGTATTACAGTGGGTTTATGGCCATTTAACCGGACCAATGCCGAAGGAAAGTCTCTTCTAAACCCAAGTCTTCGCACTTTCGCCGGACGCTCCATTCCGAATTGGGCAGTTCCGGTGGACGGGTCCAGCGGGGGTCGTTACGGGTTATTGTCTACAGGTCTACAGAGTAGAAGGGTCTCTGCTTAGGTGGGTACGGAGAAGACTTAGTCGCATGTATATCTCCACCACTTTCTGCCGGGGAGATACTTTGCTGGCCCACATCGGTCTGGATTTCGCAGGTACTTGCCGGAGCCGCTTCTCGAGTCCTTTTCGCCTCGAGAGCTTCCTAGGGCGGCAGGAAGGCTACGCATTCTACCTTTCCTCCCTCTGGCACGTCTCCTTGGTGTGCGCCTGCACGTCTAACAAACATCGAATTGGTCCTCCCCACTTTGACAGTGAAGGCCTCCAGACTGAAGAAAGAGACTCCGCAAGCTTGTGGTAGATACTTGGTGTTCTGGAGAGCCATGTGGCCAGGGCTACCCTAGGTACGCCCTGGCGGGTGAGTGTCGCCCGAGAAGGATAAGGCATTTTCGTCCTCGGGCTTGGAGCCCCGAAGGACTGTCCCTTGGACGGCAGCCGCCGGACGGTGCCCCGTGCGGTACTGGGCCGACTTCAACACACACACACACACACACACCCGGGTAAATTTCGTCTCGGTGGAGTTGAAGTGGCTCTCGGTTTACCTATACAATTCACTTATTTAACCTGAAAACGGATATTCTGAATCTTGGCGAGATCGGTCGGTGACGCTTCCCTGTCCGAGACGTGTGCTTTTATTGGTAAGGCTGTCTCTATAGCCTGACCACTCACCATCCTTCTTGACCACCCTCTCTTTACTCGGTACAGTGTCTTTTCCTGGCCGGACCGCAGAAAACGGTCGAGTCTGAGGTGACTTAATCATGGTGCAAGGCCTGGTCCTATGCTGTGGCCCCTGAGCGGGCTACTATCGCCTCAGATTAGAAGAGAAAGAATTCGGGCGCACCGTCTCGCAAGTCGAGGGCCAGCTTGATGACACTGCAGCAGCGATCACTCCTGCATGTGCACTGGACTGGGCTCAGCCGATGCGTGTCATGCTGCAGGGTCTCGGCTCCAGATCAATGGCTGTCCTACTTATTGGAAATAGCTATAATTACAGTTCTCATGATTATTATTGGCCTTGTGAGACAAGAATCCAGAAGACTGTTCTAGGTATGCAGTGTGCAGTTGACCGACTTCTTGAGGACATCTGAATCTGAGCGCCTCGAGCCTCGTTCGGTCGTTTGTTTTCTAGGCTGTGTGCGTCTGGCATCAGCCTCGAACATCTGTTTGCAAGCCGCACCACAAGCTCTGTTAGACTCTACGACGTTACCACGCTGACGAGGCAGTCTGCCTTGCATACCTATTTACGTCAACTGCTCTTGGTCATGATCGTTGCCCGACCCGAGGCAATGCTTACCTCTCTGGACCGTCCTTGCGGAGGTGCGCACACCAAGATGCGGCGAGGACAACAAATCGTCCACACGCCTGTGAATGACTGCTAACATGTTGTCGCCTGCATCTTCCCCTTCGGCGTCTATAGTGAGCGCCTAGCCGTCAAATTTCCCCTCCAGAAAGGTTCATCTATGACCCTGATGCCCCGGGTTTTCCCTACCATGGTCGGTCAGTAGTGGGGTTGAACGAAGCCTGGAATGGCCGAACGGCCATTCCAGTTGGTTTCCCTCCCGCATTCCCCGCAATCGACACTTGTTTGTTTTCGTGGGTGGATGCAAGCAGCATCTCGGGAATCCGGCATGGGACGGCATGGTATGTCTACATCTGCTCTGTTCACCCGGATAAGCACTGGCTAACTGGCTAAATAGCTGATTGGTATCATATCCGGGTGGGATTGGAGTGCCCCCCATCACTGATATCGGGAGAGTTTCGCGTCTGGAAAATGTATCCATCCCTTGCACAGCCGAGGTCGATGTTGCCGATGCCCGAAGACGGAGGGGATCAGATGATGACGATGTCAACAACAAAGGATGCTTGTAAACGTCCGGCTATCTGTTCTTTCGTCTTGCTTTTCCTGGGTGGCTGGTGTCCTACACCCGAGGATGATGCGGCCAAAGGGGACCACGAGGCAAAGGGTCCAACATCAAGGGTCATCGGGTTTGCGGAGTTGTCCAGCTGCTGCCCAGCTGACATGTTCACGGCATGCCCAGGTGCAATATCCGAATCTATCCTGAGGCAACTAAGGTACGTACAGGTCTCTTCGCTGCGGTATCTACTATGTAGAATCAAAGGGTTACCACGTGAGACACATACACCTACAATAACAGTCCAGACTCCAAACTCCAAACTCCAAACTCCAGACTCCAGACTCCAGAACGACACATTTCCAGATTCCTGCAGGTGCCTCACGAAAGACCGTGCTGCTTTGTCATGATTCATTATTGTTGTTGTTGTTGTTGTTGTTGTTGTTGTTGTTGTTGTTGTTGTTGTTGTTGTTGTACATCGACAATTTCTCCCTTGTTGATATCAAATACCACGGCCAGCCACGCACGTAAATCTGCTCCTGTCAGGTTCGTTCTGGCTCAGATTCTTCTTTCTTTCTTTGTCGAGCAATCCCGGCACTGACCAACGAATGGTGAGTCAATATCAAATGGCCAGGCTGGATCAACATACCATCCAAGTCCCAGGCTCGTCCTTCTCGGACACGTCGGGTCTCTTGTGAAGATTAAGGTCCCCCAAGGTTGAATTATGAAATCCATCAGCCGTCAAGGTGGCATATGAGGCACTGGTCGCTGGTGTTATGTCGCTTACAATCTGCCTATTTCTCGTGTCATGCACAGCTTGAACTCCCAAGAGTAGGTGAGCAATACATTACCTGGGCAGGGAGTCTCATTCAAAGGTATAGACTTGGAAATAGTCTCGTCGTTGACCTGCACGGACGTTCTGCTTCTGGATGGGCGCCGAGACTGATGTTTGGGGAGGACAAGAGGACGAGGTGGAAGCTTCCATAAGCATTGAACCTGTGGGTAACATATCCAAGAACATTTGAGTGTATCAGTCAAACCCAGGGGTCTTGAAGAACCGGGTGAATGCAAAAAGGGGGCAAGAATACAATAGCTCTCAGCATCCTAGACCTTCTGACCAAGATACAGGCGGCCTCCCTGTCCAGTTCTTCTCTCTCGTCTCTGGCGGCCTCTCCGACATCAACTCCTCAACTCATCACGCACAGTTCTTGGCCGCGCCTTCACGTGTCTACCGCACACAACCACCACCACAATAGCCACCATCCCAAAACAAAAACCAAAAAAGATACCCGCACTTTCCATTGTTCGAACCAGCAAAAAGATCGGTGCGAGGATTTCCTATACCTTCCTGGTTGTTGATCGAGGAGATTCCACTATCCTCGATCGGAAGGCCCCTGCCACCAACCCTAGCATTGCGACCTACTCTTTGCGAGGAGGGATGCCACTAACCCCGGGTGCCCAGACGGTTGTGCTCTTTATGGTACTTCGGTCTGCCAAATGCGAAGGGAATTTGCGGGACTTAAAATATATAACCCTACAAAACATGTGCAGTGAGGTGAGGCAATCACGTGTGCATACTGGCCATGTGTTATAGTATCTGATTTCACGGCGAGCATCAGACCCTTTAGATAATTTGGATGCACTGATGGACTATGATGGGGCTACGCTCCGGACAACTTCCAGTGGTTTGGGTAAAAAGACTACTCTTGTAGGACTTTGATCTCGTTCTCGAGAGGGATAGGGTTGATTGTTTCTATGTATTCCCCAAGGAGCAGCGTCAGGCTGAGCGAGGCTGAAGAGGCTGATGAGGCTAGCCAATGAGAAAACGCCCCTTGGCTCTAAGAGTTCAATGTCTCACATCACTTCTTTACCGATGCTCTCACCCATGACTGCAGCAACTCCATCCACCACAACATTTCTGTTCTTCGGTCTCTAACGACGAGTTAGACGCAGTCTCGAGGACCATCCCTCCTCTCAGTCTTTCAACCTGCGCACGGAAACTCGAACAACGCACGGTGCTGCGAGACCGTTGCCAGCCTCACTTTCCCTCCGCATAATCTCATTCCCTACCCCGTCAGTAACGTCCAAGCCATTCTCCACAGCTTGCACTTGATCGAGGCACACACACGAAACGAAAACGAATCGAACCCAACCCACAAAAAAAAAGCCGGAACGACACGGCGACACACAATCAAGCTTCGAGGACACGCAAGAAAGCAACATCAAGAGAAACCCGACGAAATGATCACCGACAACCAGCTCTACTCGCTGGCCATCTTCCTCGGCGCCGCCGCAATGCTACTGATCGTCCTCTACCACTTCCTCGAAGTGAACGCGCAAGACGACACAGACTTGGCCCGCGAACTATCCAGCGACAAGAGCGGGGTCGGGGCCGTCAAGCCGGCACATTCTCATTCGCATTCGCATTCACAGTCTCAATCTCAAAGTCAAATGGGGGATGAGAAACGATGAAAACACATTCACAAAAAGCAATGACCAGTTGTTGAAAAAGGAAGCTGGAATGGGAGACAGGATGTTGGTGATACCTTGAAACACGATGCCCCGGGCGAGAATGGGGGAACTCCGGGTAACTACCAAGATACTAGTATATGGTACACAGCCCTGACTACTGTACTGGGGAGTTCGGGATTTCTCGCAAATGAGTGCCTGGCTCAGGCTGCTTACTCGCGATATTGGTTCTCCGTCACGAAGCTGCGGAGCATAACCGAAGTTGAGGGTGCTCGTGCAAAAGTTCGGGAAGAATGGATGATACCCTCTGTTGATTTTGCACGCCCTGGAGGAGAAGACGGGGATAACGAAATGCATGGGATGGCTGTAGCTTGACGGATAGTCATCGAGCATGGACATTTCTGTCACATCATCCTGACATGGATCCCCGGGGATATGGCACCACAGAGCAAGACAGAAAATGGAGAAGATACAGCTCGAGAAAGAATTGCGAGTTTGGGTTGTAAGGAGCGAGATGCGCCGGCTCTACTGCGATGTGATTCAAATACCAAATACCTCTATGAGAATGCAAAACGTGGGCTATGCTATCATCCAATGCTTGCGAAAGGATTCCTGGGGTCGATGTCCATTGTCTGCAGGCTGATGTTGAAGCCCACGTGACTGAAGCTACCTAATGCAGCGTTAAGGTTAAGCAGGATGACCTCAAGCTAGCCTCAGTACGTATCAGTCTACAGACTAAGCATCTCATAAGGTAGGTACCGAGGCCACAATAACAGTAATTACAACCTCGAACATACGACCTCTACGATGATGTCGACTGCAATAGTCTGTTGTTGTTGCTGTTGCTCTCGATGTCCTCCGTGTCGAACACGAGACAACTGACATGGTACATGCATAGAATCTTGGATGTGAAGAAATGATCTCAGGCTCTTGTTCCATTGAAGCTACGCTGGTAGTGGTAGAAAAAGATCTAGCCAGCCGATGTTCGCCTTGGTATGGCGTTGCTCTACAGTCTCAGAGCTGTTATGCTGTTTCCGACGTCCCTCCCAGCCAGTTCATGCAGGTGACTCAAGCTTACTTCACTCTGTCCTTCATCTCAAGTACCGTGGGGTCGGATTCTGCACGTGGGGATTCACTAAGCCGCTGGCAGTATTTGGACGGGCCTCATCCGGTTGCAGTGGTTGGATGCTTGCTCATCTGAGCGCACCAGAGTATCTGCTCACTTGTATTTGCTCAATTGACGATGAGATCGAGTAGCTCCTAGACAACAACAGTAAGTGACCGTCGAGTTGTGTCAGCAAATGATCATGCCCTCACTGCACCGCAATCAGTAATTGGCATGCACAACCCTTCTGATCCTCGGGTTCTGCATCAGAGTCGCTCTTCTTGCCTCGTTCACCAAGATGCAGCCGCCTTTGTCTATGCCCGGGCCGAGCGCAGCCTTTCTCGCTTCCATGGCGCGTAGAGTCTCTTCGGCGACGGCCTTCGGGCTGCTCTTCTCCGCGCGGTGTGTCTTCATGAAACTGCGCTGAGCCATGCCCTCCGCGTCATCATGTCCGGCTTTAAGCAAGGCCATTGTGTCTGGCTCCAAATCTTTCAGAGACTTTTTGGAAATCGCAGGGGTGGTGGTTCGTCCGCTCTCGTCCGAGAGGTATCGGGTTCTATCCTGGAGGATGGTCTGAGGATCTGTGTGAGAAAGTGTTCTAGTCGCTTGCCTTGATTGAAGGGGATTGTAGAGTAATCTGGAGACATCAAAAGATGACGACTCTTGCTTACCGATGTGTTTGGTCGACGGGCCATCTCCGTACTTCAATGCAATGGGGTGCAGATGATCCTCATCAATATGACCGAGCCACTCATTAGACCTGTCGAAGACCTTCTGAGGAGTTATCAGGCCATCGTTGTCGAACTTTAGGTATTGACATTTTTTCCACCAGCAGATATAGCCGTACTTATCTACCTCCTCTGCGGTGGGCCGATGGACCTTGGAAATATGCTGACGCAACGTCGCCAAGTTATGGAGATGTGCTTTACATCCTTTCCAGTGACATCGATATACAGGAAGGCTTGGCGAAGCCGGTGAAGGAACAGTGACTGATATTTCTTGTTTTGCACCTTGTTTGATTGTCTCGGCATACTCGCGGGGACGGTTTTTGGCACCGGGAGGCCGTCCGCGTCGCTTGAGGCTGGGAAAAACAGAGCCGTCGCTCATCTTATCGGGCTCTGAGGCGGGTCTCGCTTGAGTCGATGAGGATCGTGTCGAACGCGTTGCAAGTTGCGGACGCGGAGTTGCTTCAGGAGATGTCACGCTCGCCTTCCGCTTCTGAGGGATGACGACCTTTGCATTTTGTGCGCCTGCAGCGTTGCTATCGCGTGATCTCTGAACCTGAGAAGGCCTGGAGTCTGTACCGGGTTGCGCGGAAGACTGCAATTGCTTTGCCTTATCCTCTCGTTGTTCCGCGACGTTTGCTTTCGACTTGGGCGCAGGCGCAGGCATACCGCGCTTTTCCGAATCCGGTAAGGGCGAACCGTTGTGGTTATCGTTATTAGGCTCAATGCGGCGAATCCCTTGCTGCCCTGACTTGTATCGAGGAGGCTCGGTAGGAACATCAACAAGAACCACTTGCGGTATTGGCGGTCCTCCTGGGTCCACAGCATCCCAGTCAAATGTACTGAGGTCAGAGTCAAGTTCGATGTGTTTCCCCAGTAGGCCTGCCATATGAGCGTTCAAAGGTCGCTCGGTCGGGTGCCTGCCGGCCGCGATGAGGATGTCGCGAGCAATTGTCTTGGGGTTGTAATAAGTCTTGCGAAGAGCTTCGCTCTTGTTGATGGGTTTCGCAAGAAGCCTTGTTGACAGTACTGGTTCAGCTAAGCGTGAGGTCGTGCTCGGATGGATAAACTGCCGCGAGCCTTGCAGCATTGGTGTGGGAGCTGTATTGAACTTGAGAGGCGGGCCACTCTGCAATGGCGGTGGCTGTACGAAAGATCCAACACCTTGCCCTGGAGAATGGACATGTGCAGCCGACAGCATCTGTTGGTGATATTGCTCAAATACGTCGCGTTCGGGAGAAGGACTGTCAATGCGGGCTTGCTTCCTCGACATCACGTAGTCTTCATTGTCGCTCAGGGCTGCCAAGTCGATCAGTTCTGAGAAATCTCGTTTCCGTGCCATTGCTTCTTTCGAACCTGGCGGTGGTTCAGTTCGACTATGTATCGAAGAGCTGGCTTTGCTAGCTCTACGATTTTGAGCATGTTGCTGAGATTCCGATGGTAGCTTCTCTGGTTTGACGGCCCTGGCTTGATTCTGGCCCGATATTGAGACAGCAGGAGGAACCGCACCGGTATATTGCGTCGGCCGCACCGGTTGTCCCGAGATGGCATTCTGTTTGGGGGCTGAAACAGCAGGCGTTGCGGGCGATTGAATTGCAGGATTGGATAATCGTTGGCCAACAACTTGCGTAGAAGTCTGCCCTGGCTGGAGAGCCGGAGGATGTGGCTGGGACTGGACTGTCTTCGCCGAAGATCCATTCAAGTAAGGGACATTGCTCAAGAGTTGTCGTGCAAAGTGACCTCTGTTAAACCGAAGGCCTTTGCCTTCCAACATCTCGCATAAATCAAGGTAGCTGGGATTCTTGTCCAGCATCGCGTGAATGTCTGCAGGGCTGATTTGAACGCCGCTGTTCTCAGGAAGCGCTGTCAACGACCTGACCGCAGCTTCCGCGAGCGCGTTGCGCTTTTCTTCTGGCCATATCGTCCCGCCAGCTGGTGCCTTTGGAGGGAGTCCTTGTGCAAGGGCAGGAGTCCGTGCATTCGAGAATGTGAGGGCAACTGGAGGTGGTGGTACCGCGATTCGCGACTTTGCAGGATCGACTGGTGCATCCGCAATGCTTTGAGTCGTCCCGTCAGGAGGGACAACTGCATCTGGCAAAGGCACATTGGCGGGCGTCGCGGGCTTTTTATAATAGGATGTCCTAATGCGTCGTTCGGCCGGGAAACGGCCTAGATCCGGGAGACCCGCATCGTTGTCTTCTACCACCACCCTGTAGCCATTGAGACGTCTCGAATCAGTGGAATCCGGTGTGCTCAATTGCATCTTCCCAGACTTAGGAGTCTCGGCAGTGGTTGGCAAAGAATTGTGAGTGGATATTGTTTGCGGATGAGCGACTTGAGGTGACATTGAAGATTCTCCCGTTGCTGCTGGTGCTGGGCGCGGAAGAGTAGCCGACACAGGCTGGTTCTGAGAGGGTACGACGGCTTGTTGAGACATCTGCGGCGACGGAGAGTGCGCAGGAACGGCCGGGGCTGGACCTTGACCTGGCTTTCGCATGTCATCCCATAACTTCTGGAAAAGACTAGGATCTTTATTCCTGAACTCCTTCATTCTGTCCATCAAGGCTTTCAGTTCAGCCGCCATATCTGCCTCACTGGTTGAGCCGGTTTGTGAGGACTGCGCGGCTTGCTGGGAAGGTCCGGGCAACTGCTGAGTTCGAGGGGTTGAAATCCTCTCAGCTACCTTCGAGGATGCGTTTCCGCTGACTGTACTTGATATCTGGCGGTCCGCTATAGGTACTGCGTCTTGAGCCTTTCTCTTTGCCTGAGCAGCAGCAGCCTCCTGAGCTTTTTTTCTAGCAGCCTCTTCCTCTTCTTTTTTCTTTCTAGCAGCCTCTTCCTCTTCCTTCTTCTTTCTGGCTGCCTCTTCTACCTCTCTTTCCCTCGCAGCTGCAGCTGCTTCTTCTGCCTTTCTTTTTGCTTGAGCCTCGGCTTCTCTCCGTCTTCTTTCATGCTCTAGATGGTAGGGATTGAAGACTTTCGACGGATCAATGTAGTCCGGCACCATGTTCTGCGTTTCCATCGTGGGAGAATATACCGTCTGCGGCGCCTCCTCCATAGTGTTGGTCACCAGATTTGAGATACTGTTCACTGGCGCAGAAGCCTGCGTTTGAGGTCTACTGGCTCTTGGTTGCGTGTTTTGACTGGGAGCGCGCACATGACGGCCGGCACTTCCACTTTGGGACCATTGTTGGCCCATCGTTCCCGCCGAGATGCTGGAGCTTCCGTAAGTGGTTCGAGGAGTGCCGGAAGACGTACGTAGCTGAGCTTGCTCTTGGGTTGACTGAGGGTAAGGTGAGGCTGATCTTTGGGCAGCCGATGCTTGTGTTGCTTTGACCGTATCCATGACCGGCGAAACCGATGGCTGCGGGAAACAGCGATTGACCGCACCGGCTAATGCAGCGGCAGCAGAAATGGGAGCCTGTTGGGAAGACCCGGATGGAGGCTCGTTATGATAGGGATACTTCATAGCTGGAGTGACATTGTAACGAGACGCACTTTGAGTGACCGGGGATAGTACTCGGTTCGGAGCAGTAGCGCCCGAAGTGGGAGGATGTCTGGCTGCTGAGGATGCGCTTTGGTGATGAACATGATGGGTCTGCCGTTGCGACGCGGCAGAGTCTTCCAAACCTGAAGCATATGCCAAATTGTTCAATTCATGTACATCTTGTCCGGCCGATGTCGACGGAGTGGAGTTGTAGTAACCCTGTCCACTGTCGCCCATTGTCCCTCCTGTCGTATAGCTGTCTCCTTGCCTGCGATCATCATAAGACGTGTTCTGAGTGTTTGAATTCTTCCAAGAATCATTGCTGTACGTTTGCTGCCGGGAACTATTCGCGTAATTCTGTTGGTTCTGTCTGGCGTAGTCGTATCCCGAAGACCCATACCGAGACTGTCGAATGTCACCTGGATAGGATGCTTGCGTCGCATATGGATTATGCGACGCTGGTTGTCTCCCACCATTGTACGAATTCTGCACATTCTGTCCTTGATTGCCAGAGTCATAATAGTCCCCAAAACTCGAGGGCGACACGTACGACATTGCACGCGCGTGCAACCCCTAGTATATCAACAATGTTCATGTTCTTCTTTTTGTAGTTATCTTGCCAGCGTTGTTCACAAGACGATCTGAGTCTGCCAATTCTCGGTCGCAATCCAGTTCGTTGCTCGGAGATGGACGATTTGTAGTCGCAGCGGGGTGGATGTTCAAAGGCAATTGACCGCTCACATGAAACTTTCATTCACTGCTGCTATGGATGCGATGGTTAATGGCCGGAAGGTGGCAATGATGGTACACTTGCCGCAGGCTGGGGTGCGACGCGCCGGTGGAGATGCAGTGGATGATCGATAAAGTCATACGTACAATGCGAAATGTTCCCGCCCCAGGTTTATTAGAGGCTCGAGGCTGGCAGGCTGCACTCTGTTTACCTAAAGTACATAGTACTGTGGGGAGGCGCTGCCCTAAGGTCCTACTGAAAGTGGCTCAGCTGCCACTGCAGTGGCTGGAGCGCCAAGCCGAACGTTACTCAGCTTTTCAGCGTCCGTGGCCGTCAATGATCGACCGAAGCAATTCTTGGCGCACTTTCAACGCTGGCTGCAAATTTGGCTGCGACATTCAACAACCACCGCTTCGAAACATCTTCGTCGTCGACACTCAATCACCCTTCCCAAACCGCAACCATGACGAAACAGAATACCGGTATGAAATACTCTCTGCAGGCTCTTTACAACTGGAGCAGGAAATGCTGACGGACACACCAGGTCTGGCCTCGTCGAGGCGCAAGTCTCGCAAGGTGCACTTTTCCGCTCCCTCGAGCGTTCGACGGGTGATCATGAGCGCTCCCCTGAGCAAGGAACTGAGAGAAAAGCACAATGTACGATGAAAAGTACCCTTCCGCTACCGGCCGTGCCCGACGATACTGGCTCCGAGGCACTTTGAATCTTCTGAGACCCGAATCTAACAAAGATCTTTGGCGATCGTGTTACAGGTCCGCAGCATCCCCATCCGAAAAGACGACGAAGTCACCGTGGTCCGAGGCTCGAACAAGGGCCGTGAAGGAAAGGTCACCTCCGTTTACCGATTGAAGTATCTCATCCACATCGAGCGCGTCGCCCGCGAGAAGTCAAATGGCCAAGCCGTCCCCATCGGCGTCCACCCCAGCAAAGTCGTCGTCACCAAGCTCAAGCTCGACAAGGACCGGGAAAAGATTTTGGAGAGAATTGCCAAGGGCCGCGAATCGATCAAGTCGCAGTAGAGGAGAGTAGGACAGTCATGGTTGTGGTGTTTTGAAGGGGAAATCAAAATCAATGGGACGATGATTGTGCATTTTACGGATCCCCGGACTTCGTGCTGAGGAAAGTTCCGACTCGGATTGATACCGCGGCGTCCTACATACCCGACGTGGCATCTCAGTCTTGCCTGAATGAAACAAAATTCTTCGAATTACAGAAAGTGTCTTGCTCACGACACATCCTTTTTTCCTACGGCGTGTTTCCTTTTTATGTTTCTTCAGTCCCCTTGCCTCCCTGCCAGCATTATCTCCTTGCGGACCAGCTTTCCCCGTGGTTACGCAAGGTAAACGACTGGCGCAGATTGACGCAATCATGCAATCGAAAAGGCACATCCCTTCGGGAATGTTTTGCTTAAGCATGACTCGCCGGCAGACTGTCTACAAGGATACGTTCCAATGAGTGGCAGGATTTGATGGCGAGATACAGAGATATACTATAGTACTTTGCTTGAAGTCTTACAGATCACGCCCGCGAACCATTGCTTAGGCATTCCCTTCCCCTGTACCAACTTAGCACTTGTCGGTCACGATCAAACACCTCCTCTTCCCAGCCTCTAGAATTGCTTTTCCCGCACTCCTTCGGCAGAGTTCATGGCACCACGGTTGCTATCCCATGCTTGATTGGCGACATCGACACCCGTGACTCTGGAGATGTGTCTATGTAGACCTTCTTCACCCTCCTTATGCTCGGCGTGTCCCTGCTGGATTTTCTGCAGGCTATCCCGGATGAGGAACTCGTAATATCCAGTGGCAAAGATAGTCGCCGGGATATTGACCAGAATGGAGATCCACGAGTAGCTGTTCGACGCCGTGAAAGCCTCCTTGCCAAAGAAAATGGCCGCCACGATACGGGTGCCCAAGTCCCTGGCCAGATTGGTGGAGATGGTGTTTCCAGCAAAGCCCCAGACCATAACGGCGTAGGCGATACCGATGGTGAAAGGAACAGACTGAGGGCTGACGAAGGGGTTGGCGCGGTCCAGACAGGCCCAGATCACGATTCCGATGTAGCTATCAACGAAGAACTCCATGAAGAACAGGTATCCTTGGTTGGTCTGGTCCGCATTGGGGAACACGCATAAGATGCTTGCCACGCCACCGTTGTACACCGTGGTACCATGCTGACTGATGTCGATTGCCTTTGCCGCTTGAATTTCGGGCCAGTAGCACGCCATGAGCATCATTCCGGCCATCTAGATATAGTACGCGCTTAGTTAGCATACGCTGCATCCGGGATGTCTGATTTGTCTCTGGCGTCCGACCGAGACCCAGAGAGCGAGCACAGAAAACTGAGACCATTGACAGGAAGACTCACAAATGCACCGAAGATCTGTGAAAAGATATAATGAGGCACTTTTTTCCATGGGAAGCCTTCCCAGATGGCAAAGCAGATCGTGATGGCTGGATTGAAATGCCCACCACTGACGGGAGCACATGTGATGATGGCAAATGCTATACCAATGGCGAATGCCCAACCGATCTGGAAGAGAGAGCCAAAGATAGGAACTCCTATCTCTGCCGCGACCGGGTTTGTAGTGGCCAAGGTGAACGAAGCGACGGAAGCAATACCGGGGAACACGTAGAAGAAGACACCGGTGGCTTCGGCCATCATTTCACGCAGAATCCGGGGTCGCTTGTGCTCAAAGTCGAGCCTTCGCTGAGACACAGGTTTGGCAGGGACAACATGGCGCGTGATATGGCGTTGGAGCACGTCCGAGACACCGAGTTCGATGTCGTGCGTGTGCTGACGAACAAGATCGTTCGAATTAGAAGACATGATGGATCTGTTAGTGAGAAGGGGGCTTTGGTAATCCCGGGGTTGCAAAACTGGGGTAGAGAAAATGAAGAGTAATCCTCAGAAATCCGGGGCGGCAGACGTTGAAGTAGAAAGGAAGCTGGTCAGGCAAGGGATCCGCTCGGACGCACATTATTGATACATAATTAGAAGGAGTTAGTGTCCCGGGCGTACCGTGCATAAACAGTAGGATGGGAGCATGACGGCGGTAATCCAACCAAACCCTGGTGAAGTGGACCGAGTCGATGAAAGGTGGTGCGCTTCGTACACTATTCTGTAAGCAGAATACATACACGGCTGTTGCGGAGGTTCATTCTGATGCCAACGTGTGAGTAAGTAGATGTCATAGAGAAGATTTGGGCGTCATTATGAAGCGGAATGGATATTCGGCACGTCAAGAGGTGGCATTGCTTGTGCTGCTTGCAAGCTTTTTTCTCGTGTCACATTGGAGATGAACGAATGAGAGTCTGAGAGACAGATCATTTGGGAGTGGGCGGTCAATGGCCCGGAGGTGTAGGCGAGATGAGGAATGTGGACTCAAAGCAGGGGCCGCTGTATGGTGGACATGATCAATAACAAGCGGGAGCTCGGTGAGGATTGACCAAGCGATTCTGATAACCTCGGTCAAGGAGAGGCATCAGAGCCGATTGTTGGTGAGAAATGGCGACTTGAAGGTTGATAGCGGGGAATAGTTGGAAGTCTCCAATATTCCCCGTGGGCCGACAGCTTCCCCGTGTGGAGAAACAGCAGCGACGTGAGGGGGGCGAGGGAGGGCGGAATTACTGTCCGTCTGGGGACGAGCCCGGGGCCATCAGGCAGGACCTGGTATGCTGTCCCTGTCGTATACATGTCGTCCGAGGTTGCATAATTGATCTGCTCCACCGGGACTGAATTCGACCAGGTGAAGCTGGGAGACGACACCGCTGGACTAGGTAGGGTGGTGTTGCCATTCAGCGTAGGTCTGCCCCAGGCCGTTCACCTCGGCAGAGGAGCAGCTGAGAATATGCCCCTGACCGTCTCCTCTTGGAGTAGATACGTATGCATGAATCACCGAGGTATGTTGATCGAACAGCGTAAGCCATGCGCCAGGATAAGCGAGACATAGCCGTCGGCCACGCGAGGAAAGATTTGAGCGAGATGTCATGTCAGGAACCAGCATTGGTATTGGTGGTGTACATACGCCCTGTCCTGGCCTGTCTCACCATTTTTCAATATAAGGCCGGATATCGAGCTCGTTAGTAAAACATGTTCTCGGTTGAGTGTGCAGATACCAGTATGAATCGGCGATCTGATGACGAGAAGGATGGTCAGCCTAGGCATAGTGGAAACTCCTGCTGGAGCAACACGTACCGCTTCAGGTTTGATCTTTGCGTCCGGATGGTCGAACTTCCAGTCTTTTGTTCTTTCAATATCAATCACCCCATCAATGATGGCATGCGAGACGTGAATGCCTTTAGGTCCGAACTCTCTTGCTAGCGATTGTGCCAAAGCTCTCATAGCGAACTTTCCTGCAGCGAATGAGGCACACAGGGCTGACCCTTTCATGGCGGCCGTGGCCGAGGTGAAGATAAGAGTGGGAGGGAATTCTGGAGATGCATCGACTCTGTCCAAGAGCAGTGGCAGCACGGCTTGTGAGAAGTGGAATGCTCCACGTCTGGCCAGGCGCAGGTTTGTTAGTCCCATACTGCTTCAGACGAGAAGTGTGCAGAAGATAGTTGACATACCCGTTCGCTTCCCATCCACTCTCAAATTCTTCCTCGGAAAGCTCAAGAAAAGGCTTGCGGATGAATCTTCCACCTACGTTGTAAACGGCAGCAGCAAGGGTCGCACCTCCCATCGCTTTCTTCAACTCTTCAAATGCCTTCTTCACACTCTTTCCATCGGAGCAATCAGCGCTGATGCCTATAGCCTTACCGCCGGCGGCAGTGATCTCCTCCACGACAGGATCGATGTTGGCAGACTTTCTAGCCAGCAAGGCAACGGAATATTTTTGTGCGAACCGGCGGGCAACAGAGGCACCTCTGTGACAAGGTCAGTATTGAGAAAGGCAAGATGTGACAGGAAGAGTGTTGAAAGTAGCTTGCTGGAGGCTTACGTCCCGGGTCCAACGCCAGCAACAACCGCCCAAGCCTTTTGCGATGACATCTTCGAGGAGTGTCTGCGTGTCGAGTGCCTGAGGTTCAATGATTCCCTGAGATGATTGTTTCGTGAGGACTTGAAAACTGTCGGGTCAAGATAGGGACGACTCACAGCAGAGCGAAGGGTATACTAGTAGTTCGCACACGGGTTGATTGTCATTAGCTGGACTTACCCGTGAAGAAGCAGCGTGTATACATTGATTGAATCATAATATCATTGAACCCCTCAATGAGGTGATGCGGTTGCAGATGGACTTACAAATCCATGGCTGATAAGTAATCTGTCTGGAGCTAAGATTGTTGATCAGAGCCACTTTGAACCCTAAGGCCCCTCATTAACTAAGGTAACTGTACCTAAGGCTCACCAGCCCTGGGGTACCTTAGGCTTTTTAGATTTTCCGTTAGGGGCCTCAAATCGCTATTCGCCCAGCTTAAGAGCATGAGTTTAGGTGCTCTAGATACCGCATCTACTAACAACTGCCCTCTGATTCTCGTAAGACTGCTGCCCCTGTGGCTGCTCCAACATCTGCAGGTATCTCAACATTGCCTGAGCCACGCAGCCTCATTGTTGACCGGAGGTACCTTATGCTACGATGCACCTTACTTCAAGAGCAGGCGTTTGGTACGCAAAACAATACCACTAGCAGGAGCATCGAGTCGACAGTCTCCTCTCGGGCCTTGTTGACGCTCCTCAGGACATCTAGCACCTCCTTGTCATCAAGCCTGCTGATGCCAGATACTATCGCACAATGGACATTCAATGTCGTTATCGAAAGATCATATCACAGGCTTTCGCATCTTCAGCTTCCTTGTTACCTACCTAGGTACCTTGCGCTCGATCCTCTATGCTAGCATTCGCATTTCAAGTCCTCTTACGTACCATACCTGACGGGGACCATACGCCCGTCCGACGTGCAAAGAGCGGTGAAGGACGCCCCGACTCCTTGCGGATCGTGGTTAGAGCTGTCAAAAGGCTTCACGGTACCTGCAGGAGACCCGAGCCAGCCAACCGCTTGTTTCAACGTCGTCGACCCCTTTTTCTCGCATCATGTCAGCCTTGTTACTAGTAGTGATGAGGAGAGGGCGAAAAACTCGGTGCAACAGCAATCAAAAAGATTGACGGCCGGCTGCAAAGAGTCGTCGTGCCGCCTATCTACTTCCTTCGGGTTGCAGCCTATACGATGTGTAACAACGTCAGATTCTCCCCACATTATCGTCTGGGTTGGAGAGAGCCAAAATACAAAAGAACACCTGGACGTCGGATCAAGCACAGGCTATAGAGTGGTCGCAGCCCAGCCGAACCACAGGACCTCGAGAAAGTCGAAACATACGGATTTCATGTATCGGCGAGAAGGAAAAGTACACAATACGACAGGTATGTTTCGCAAGCATCCATGTCAAAGACTTTAAAGATCCGATTCCTGGCTTCAGGGGTTCATCTGTTTCACCTTCTCCAAATGATTTGTACTCTTCCATATGGGCCTGCTCCCCACGATGCCTAGTGCCAATAGCGTCCGAAGTGGCGTCGAGGCGGCATTTCATGAAGGCTGGGGCATTCGTGCTGTGATTGGATCACCATTCCCAGTCACATCGGGACAGATCAAGTCACCATAGGAAGGCGGCAGGATACGAACTGTCCGCGTCAAAGGTCGAAACGCACCATCTGAAGGGCTGACAGGTCGAGAAGGCATCACCACAACCTCCTTGCGGAGCTGGGACTATGGTCTGTCATTCAAACGCTGCGATCACGATCACGGGAGGGTTGCCTGTCTACATTCTGGCGTCAGCTGGTCTTGATTCATCTATCAGTCACAGCAGCTTCTTCCCTCGTCTTTACAAACATGTGCGCCACCCAAAGCACTCACCTAGTGTCCATCACACCCGCCACGACCAACAACGAGGGCACGTCTTCAGTCTTCACGTGAGCTTACTCGAAACTCTCACAGTTCTTGAGCGTCGGTACATAACCACAAGCCTATCATCCTGGACGGTTTTCATGTGCGTGGATGATTTGTCCCTTGGAACGAGTGTGGCAGCTTCCTGGACGGATCGGTTTCCTTTGGTGAAGGCTGCAGTTCTCGCTCGAGCAAGGCCCTGTAGTTCTCCACAACTTTGTCTCGCAAGACGTTGCAGGGTATGGGCATCACAACTTCGATTTCACGCAGCATGGCTAAGCCGGGGTCACTTACAGCCAGCGAGGCCCAACCAGTGTCACAGACGACAGTATCCATGGATCGCTTCGTACAGAGATATCAACAACTTGACATGACTGTCCAGTCTTCTTATCTCCCCAGAAGGAGGAGGGGACGAGAGTGATAGCAACCACTCGCACACATCCCAGTCTTTGTTTGTGGTTGGTATGACCGACGCATCTTGACTTTGTATCAGTCACACGCACCTCTCAGCCACGTTGTGCTCTTGTGATACGGGCTACCTATGCCGCATACTTGTACGTAAATTCGAGTCAAGTTCCCACTGTTCCCATTAAAGAAAAAGAGCAAAAATGGCTCGGGCGCTTAGAGATCCCTGCCGTGTGTTGAAATACTGGGGACGACTGGCGCGAGGTTGATCTATACTGGGCAGCGCTATATGTCGTGAACTAACCAGTGTCTAACAATACGAATGCTTACTACAGAATCTCTGCCTGGGCAGCCATAGCCGCTCTCTCGCTTCCGGCCTCCAAGCATGGCGCGTGACTCGACGCGCACTGCACGAGCGGGGGGCTCAGAGTCTGGCGCGTATACATGCAGCAAGCAAGGGACTTGGGGGACTGTTCAGAAAGGTATGCTAGCGGGTAATATAGGTTTTTGTGCACTGATAGGTGTTTTTGTAAGTTACAGGGTGTGGGAGAATTGATGTAGGGACGGACGGCTAAGGTCACGGACAACATACAAAAGGAGTAGTTCGGAACAGAGGTACTAGTATAGCAGTGGTTGGGATTAGATGGCCTCTATCATAGCCAATTCCAACTCGCATGGGAGCCGTAGTACTCCCCAAACAAAGCAACTGAGGTATATCTGTGATGAGACGCCAAAGGAAGCAACCAACGTGGTGTACAGATGCTATCACAAGACCATATCCCACCCGTAAAGAGAAAGAAACTGATACTGAACGTATTACCAGCGATATAGCCAAAAAGAACAAAAAAGCAAACCCACGACCGTTAGCAAAGCATGGGGGTATCTCTTGCGATGAACAACGAGAAAGACGACGCCATGCAGAAATGAAACAAGCCCAGGCAGACGGCCGTATCCCTATCCGTAAGAAGGACAATAGGTCGGTGGCAAGTTCGACCTTCGTAGCTTCGTATCAATGAACTTTTGTCGACCCTCATATGAAATGCCCTTCCCTTCCAAAACCCCTGGTTTCTGCCGTTAAAGTTCCCTCAAGTTGCAATTATGTCACCCCCCTGCCCAAGTCAAGCCGATTCGCCTTGCTCTGGTAATATGAAAGACGAAAATCAATTTTAATGACGGTATCCTTGCTTGCTGGTACGTATGACTCACAGAGTCCACGCCGTAATGTGGTTGGACTGGAGCGAGATCGCCCGAGCTGGATGTTAATACAGGTGCCTGATGAGAAAGAGCGCCAATGATGTGCCGTAGATGCTGTATGAAAGAGTTGCGGTGACTGTGGCGAAGTTGTTTGTTTTTGCCACATGTGAATGGTCTCTCACCGGTTGGCTGTTGACCTGACGTGTCGTCGTCAACCACCTTAGGCAACAGAAGGCCTACGCAGGGTGTCCTCGCAGTTGACATCGAAGCGCATGCTCCAGAGTCGGATCTGATTCATAATCTTCTCCGTCTGTTCGAGGTGGCGGTCTCGCCCGAAGATGGAATCGACGAACTCGGTGCCTGCCTTTTTGCCCATGGTTTTGGTGCCGTCGCGTTTGGCCGCCTTCAACATGTAGTGTTCGCATTCCTTGAGAAGGTCCTTAAATCTATCCCATAATCTCTGGCCGCTAACAATGAAGTCTTCGACGATTTCCTGCTTGTCGAGATTGTGGATGCGGCCCACACACTCTTCAGCCCGCTTCATCTTCCCGGCGAGTTTGATGAGCAGCAGCCATAGCTCACCGGCCATGTCGGCAATTGGAGTAGAAGCGCCGTGATGGAAGACTGTCCAGTCGTAGATCCACTTTCCAAGCGAGTTCGCATCAAACACACTGCCCAGTAGAATGATAGGCAGCTCGGTAGGATCCCAGTGTTTGATGGAATAGCCCGCAGGAATTCCTGCGCGGATGGCGTCCTCCTGGCTTGCTTGTGGCGGGGACTTGTGCAGGCTCGGCCTGGACTTGTGTATAGGCTTGGTCGTAGACGAGGAACGGCGGGCCCTGGATCTTTTCGGCTGCTCGTCTATAATCTGCTCCTGCCCATAGTAAAAGTAGGTGTCAGTGCTAGGCTTCTTCGCATGCCTGGGCTTGGACTGCGGTGGTTCTCGGTAGATGTAGGTTGGCTGCATTTTTGCATATTCAGCTTCATCGTCGTAGATGTAGATGGGCTGATTCTGCTTGCGCGACGTTGAACGGGTATGGTAGCGTGAGCTTGGGAAGGTATTGTAGCTCTCGTGTTTGCGGGGTTTGCCCCTGACCTCACTCACATAGACATCATCCCGCGGTACAGCATATTGAACTCGTGGCTCGTAGTATGGCGGTGGGGAGCCAGCGGGAGAAAACCAGCCTCCCACTTTAGGTGACGGGTTGTAGCTGGCCTTGCGTGCATGTTTCTTGGGCGTTGTGTCGTGTTGGGGCGCGTAGTGGACGTACTCGCCGCTGCTGTAAGGCGACGCAGTGTATTTCGTGTAATGCGACGGCGGAACACCGTAATGGTAGCTCATCTTGACGCAAATCGACGCGTTTCTTTCTTCTCTCCGATCCTGGGCGTCAACTCCTCACTCCTGCCCCTGTCCGCACCAATGTTCCCCCCGATCGGGATCTATGGCGTCCGGGTCTGGTTCTGTGTTCTGTCGAGAGGTAAGGCAGGTCCGGAAAATGTTGGAGGGAGCGAATATCATCGCGTAGTCGTGCCGGACAGATGGTCGAGGCGCGTACGAAATTGAGTCTGGGGACTCAATCTGATTTAGGAACGAAGAATATGCTTGTGGTAACGGCCTTGCGATGACGCGCGAGTGTGAAGTGGTGAAGGGGAAAGGGAGAAAGGAGGAAAGTCGGATGGCTGGGTAGAAGGAGTGCAAGTAATTGATGCTGTCTGCGGAGTCGACTAGGCCACAAAGTTCAAAGTTTGACGGTGCTAGCGGCGCGGAGCAGGCGTCCCGGATCACTCGATGGGCCGCTGGGGGACGACGGACCGAAAAAACCGGGTCTGTGGAGGAGGCTGCGGTGGTCTGAGAGCCAGCTGGCTGCCCTTTAAAGTTCGTCGCGCTTTTTTGAACGCGGCGGAATCTCTGTGACTAATCGGTGTCAGCAAAGGTTGGAAGCTTGTGGAAGGCGCTGGGCCCGACTTGAAGCTAGATGGCACAGTGGCCAATTGGCAGAAACGCAGAATATATGAGAAGCTCTTTGTTGAGAAGGAGATTGATGGTAGCGAGGGACTCAGGGGGAATTGAAAGAGGAGTTGTTGATGTGTGAGGCACGACGGATGCCCAAGTGGGTATTCGTTTTGGTATGGACGACAACGTGCCCTTGTCGCAGTGGCTGCACCAGATGGCTCTAAGGATTTCGAGGCTGGCTAGGGCCTAAGGCCTCACTCAGCCCATCCCTGGCAAACCTGCACCAACCTGGCACCTGGAGCTGGAGCAGGGGTCTGCCAGATGGCAGATGGCAGATGGTGAACTCCCAGTCACAACCTGCGTCTTCTTCTTGCGCACAACTTGAACCCAACGACTCATCAAAAGTTCGGATATGGTGGTGGGTCGTCGGCTAGCCTCGCGACTGGCTCTGAATGGAGTGGTAGGCAGTGACCAGTGAGGAGCTTCTACTAGTACTCTGTAGAACTGCTGGCAAGGAAGAGAACAAGTCAGACAAGGGCTCGGAGACGGCGCAGGCTTGCTGGCGGTGTTGATGGTGAATGATAAGCCAGAATAACCTGGTACCTGAGGCTTTTCTCGTACTGGTATGATACTGTAAATAAGGAGAAATCGAAGATATATTACGCCCAGGTAGTAATTGAGGTACGTACCTACACAGTTGCGCAGTGACTGGCAGCCTGCGCAGACCCTCTCTCTCTCTACCTTCTACCTTCTGCCTACTACGAAGTACGTGGACTCTGCTGTCACCAACTTGAACCAACCACCCTGATCATCTCGTCCATCTCTTCACCATTCGTCCAGCTTGCCTGTGGTATTCTTTACTGCTATTTTCGAACAAGAGCCAAGGCTGTGGAAGTCGCGACAAACAGACTACTCCAAAGCAGAAAAATACTCTTCACCATAGACTTGAAGACCATGAGCTTGGCCTGCTCGCCGTCAATGTTGAAGAACTCCAGGGCGTTCAATCTGCTCCAGCTGCTTGATGAGCTCGGCGTGGGTCTGAGTGATGTTGAGGTTCACCCGACCGTAACTGCAACTGCAGTGTGTGAAATCACCACTGAATGGCTTCGACCTGGGTAAGGCATGACTGTTGTGTTGTGATCGTCCTCAGCTAAACATGGACAACCTCGATCACCTCCACACGTGACAGCGGGAGCCATCTACGGCAAACTAGTCCCAGTTAGGATGCAGCGTCGCCTTTACTTCCTAGGACCTCAGGAAGGCGCCTTGATGGCAAAGACAAGGTATATCAATACATAGTCGTGGTCTGCGTCGCCTTTAACATTATTGGACCTTGCTTACTGCCCCTCACTCTCTTTTCCACTCGGCCTCCTCTATCGTAAGCCCATTGAACGGCCCAAAGCTGGTATGTTATGGATAAGAAACCCCACTCCTATCTGCGTCTCTTATCAGGATGATTCCATCTCCAGTGCCTGACGGGCTACCCGTTATCAGGAAGACGATAGGGATCTACACAGTCGTTGAGAGCTAGACACTGACATTTCTCCAGGCTGTCAAGTTATCGTCGCTATCGGCATCCGACCACTGCGGGCGACATGGAATATGCTAATTGGTTATCGGATCAAGAGCGTGACAATTCCCTTCAACCGGCTTGTGTAATGAAGACTGGAACATGAACAAATGGTACCTTGGTTGCACTTATTCAATCCACGAGTATAAAGAGTTCTCGTTCACCTGAAACACATGCTCACGTTGAACTGGACGTCTTGATCGCATCTAAAAGGGACATACTTTCCCCTTGTTTCGTGTGTTTTCCAAACATGATCGCCCCGTTGGAGGACGACGTCAAAGTCCTCAGATTGTCCGAGGCCGAACGACGTGCTGGAAAGTATTCGCCTGAGACCCTGGGGAAAGCGCTCGATGCGCTCCATCAGGATGGCTTGCTGCTGCTGAAGGACGTCATCGACGTCAAGCACATCGAGGCTCTCAACGCAAAGATGTGTGCCGACGCCGACAAGATGAGGGCAGACCCGGCCAAGTCCTATAACCATGGCATCAAGTGTGAGTCTTGCGTTGCAGGAACCGTACCTATACCATACAGTCAACATGTCAGTCAACTAACACTCAACCCACAAAAGCGAACTTCCTACAGCGACCGCCTCTGACGGACCCTACGTACCTCTATCCCGATATCTACTTCAACAAATTCCTCCTCCAAGTCGCCAATGCGTAAGTATGACCCCCTCTGCCACCACTTGACCCGCTATCTAAGTGAAGTCGGAACGTGGGACAGTTTTGGTTTCTTTTTCTCTTTACTTACCTTCATCTACCTAGATATCTCGGCCACAAACCAATCTGGAACTGGCTTGCTTCCAACACCGCACTGTCCGGCACCAAAGGGATGCGCCAGCCCGTGCACAAGGACTGTGCCTTCGCTCACCCCCAGTACCCCTACTACATCATCGGCAACATACCGCTGTGCGAGTTCACCGTCGAGAACGGCGCCACCGAGTTCTGGCTGGGCACGCACGCCCACGCGTCCTGGCGCGAGCAGGTCATCTCGGACCGGCCCGAACAGCTCCAGGCCTATCCCGAAGGTCGCATGGGCGACCCGATCCCCGACGTGCTCGAGGAGGCCAAGGAGGCGCGTGCCAAGGTCCGCCCTCCCACCCAGCCGTTGTGTTCGCCGGGGGACATCATGATCCGCGATCTCAGATTGTGGCATGCCGGCATGCCCAACATGACGGACAAGCACCGTGTGATGCTCGCATTGGGCTATCAGGTTAGTTTGGACTCCGACTTTGTGACATGGAGAGCGGTAGACAGAACACCGACTAAATTATCTCGCAAAATAGAACCCCAACTATCCTAACTACAGTATGAGATGCCATCTCCCCCTGTCTCAGCAGGACTTCTTCCACGAAAATGCCCAGGACTTGACCGAGGTTCGTGCCAACTTCTACGACGATGAGGAGTTCGAGAACCTCAAGAAGGACGCCGTCTTCGATCTGAGGCCGAATTACCTGCATTGAAGGAAACGGAAGGGGAGCAGAAAACCAGGGTTCGGCGAAACAAATGGTTCAAAATGGACGTGGCAGTTATAGTGTAGATACCGTGTCCTGAAAATTGATGACTCGTCGCTATCTCGGGCAAGCCGTGAACGCGACATCCTGTTAAGCTCGCTTCTAAAAGACTTCCTAGGCCTGGTCCTCTGGATCTCGCACTCCGACTTTCAGCAGCCAGCGATCCAGTCTCAGTAGTGCCAGTCTCATCTGGATATTGCCTGCATTGCCACCGCCGGTACGCAGGGCCCACTTCCATCGGACAATCAGATCCGTCATCTCCTTCTGCTCGGCTGGCGTTACCGATGTGAACAGTATGCGGACCATGAACGAGGACGCAATGGCAAAGTTCGCGCGGGAGACTGAGGAAGACATGTTAGAACCGATTGACCTGTGCGGAGTGCAGTTGGAGGTAACGTACAGCTGTACCAGAAAGCATCCCACACGCCACGTCGCAGATTTTCCACATATTCGACGATCTCGACGCAGCATGCCCTGGCTCCGGCGCGGACGGCATCTCTGGCCGTCGGATCCCACTTGACATTGGGGTGTCCGAGAGGCCTCATCAATGCCCGAAACAGCGTCATGGTTGCAATGGGATATGCAAGGCCCAGCGAAGCTCTCCCGTCCAAGTTGACGCCTGCTCGGGTACCGATCAAAGGATAAGGAGAGGGCCGTGATCCATAGTTTTCCTTCCATTTCTTCAGACGGGACCGCAGAGGCTTTCCGAGCTCTAGCGACAGTTCGAAATTCGCGGCTGTTCTTCCGGTGGCACGGATGGTGTAATAGGTGTCCATGATGTCCGAGAGGATGATTGAAAGCTCGACAAAGTGATAAAATGGGAAGTCCAGCACCGAGGGTTCGCCTCGGCTGGGATCGGACGGCCTCTGAGCCGCCCTTCCTTCTGCTGGGAGGAAGTCGGCCAGTGTCAAGGGGAGGACGTCGAAATCTTCCTGCTTGATGTGGTTGGCCAGTCCGGCGGTCATGAAACTCCATTTGTCGATGACCTGTCTTGACAGTCAGTTGTTTCCTGGTCAGCTCGTCGCAATGGGAAAGCTATACGTAGACTGCCCACCATAGCCTCCTCCTTAACCTCTTCTCCGAGTCTGCGATGTTTTGCCACGCAGAACAGTCGGAGGACAAGCCCAACATATGAGCCAAGCTGACGGTCCATGCCACCAGACACCACCTCAGACCTGTGTCCATGATGAATCGGTCTTCAGTGACTCGCTGGAGTAGAAGGAGGCATGCTTGCAGAGTCCCAATATGAGGGGAATGCACCTCGTTGGATATTGCCAGCCACGCAATGCGGTAGAGTTCGTTGGCAGAAGGCGGAGAATGGGCCAGCTTGGTGGCCAGAATGTCGTCGTAATCGATGAATGGAATCCCTGAAGCATATAATGAGGCCTTGAGAGATAGAGGCAACGATTGGATGACTGCCGCTAGCCCAGCTTCGGACGAGAAAAACTGCGTCTGCGAAAGAATGGGGAAATAAGGGTAGATGTAACGGAAATGCAGCCTGACCAGACGTTCACCAACATCCCCGGGGCACATTTCATCCACATTCACGCGCGCCCGGTCTAGCTCCTCCTCTTGCGTTCGTGGCTCGCTCCTCTCAACCAAGCTGTGGTCCACAAGCATGAACATGATGGGCCGGCCGTCTCCAAGGTCATGATCCCCAGGTTTGTAGGCACCACTTCGAATGCGCTTGTAAGTGATTTTTGATTCGTTCTTTTGTTGATCTGATGTGTCCCAGAAGCAGGGATGTCTCAGGAGATACGGATCAGATTCGCCGGTATCCCCCAACAGATAAGGTGCCCTGGTGGGATAGATGTCAAGAGGTTCCGGTTCTCCTAACGAGGCAGCGATTTCTTGATCGATATGAGTCTGATCGTTCGACTCTGTCAAATCCCGCAGCGTTATAACCGTTGTTGACTCCGGTGTTCCATGGGATCGATCTGAGGGCCCGCTACCAAACGGGCTGTCGTTTTGCGGGGAGGTGGCATTCTGAGGAGGAGTCCGATAGGTATCTTCAGTCGCAGCCTCTAGATGATGTCAGCCAGCCAGCCAGTCAGTCATTTGCCTTGGTATCAAGGATGGCTCGAACATCATGTCTGGCCTGCGGACAAGACAGTCATACCAGTTCTTTTTCTCTTCGCTGGCCGGTCGAATGTACACTCTCTCCCATACGCAACACACGCTCCACAGTTTGGACCACCGCCGACAATGCAAGCCGACTTTCGTTTGCGACAGAAGTCGCAGGATCGATTGTTCCGAGGCCGGTAGCTTCTTGGGCGCCGTCGAGACGGGGCAGGTGAATTGCGGGCTTCAGGAGATGGCTGCGGCGCAATGTCTGGAAATGCCGTCGAGTCAAGCAGGCTCTGCAGCCATGGCTCTGGCTCTGAGATTAAGAAATCCTCCATGGCGCAGACAAATTGTAGGACGAGAGGCGAAGGACGTCGAGGAGAACGTCAGAAGATAACGCGCCCTATAAGGGCAGAACCCCGCCATGTATACCTAACTTTGGCCAGGACCCATACCTACGGTTCGGAGTGAACCGCATCGTGGCGGTTGGTGACCGCTGTCTAATGTTCCGATCTAGGGACTCGCCCTCCCTAGCTCGCCGGCTACTGTAGGTCCCTTGAACGGTGTTCAGCGCGAGATCGACAACGTGCAATTGACTGCCAGGTGTTTTGAATCCAGAGTTTTGCAGGCTGGATTTGGTAGTAATGTCGTGGTACTAATTGGACGGCGAGCACTGCAAGACAGGAAGGAGCTTCCACGTGATCAACAGTTTGAGGCCTCGACTTTGTCTCGTTGCATCAAGCGCCAAAGATGAAGTATCTGTAGCCCAGACGACATCTAAACTACAGTTACCTTAACGAGGCCTCGACGGTGAGGCTTTAAATACGTATACTGGTATGGATTCGTGTATTTTGCGAAGCTTACCTTACAGCTTGACATGACTGCAGTTGAGGTTACAGGTATACAGTTACGTGGCATAGCCCACTGGTATACCGGACACTGGTAGAGACAGTACCAGTATAGTGGTCTAGCACATTGCACACTGGCAGCGCAGGAATAAGAAATCGCCTTTCTGGAATTGGTCAACCAATCTAGCGAAATTGCTTCTGAATGGAGATCACACCTGTCCCCTGGCTCCACGACCTGATCAAGTACAGAGTACCGTATGTTACTGCTTCACTGGGCTCACTGGGCTGGTGTCGATTGTCGCCCCCTTTTCCTCCATCTCGTCTGCAGTTGAGGCCCCGCCTTCGAGGCCTTGGATGACGACGGCCTTGTCGCTCGCATGCTTGACCGTCCATAACTCGCAAAATCGGACCACAAACACCCACCCCAGCATGCCAATCAAAAACCCGAGACTGGCAGCGAAACCCTTGCGGAATTTGGGTGCAGAGGTGACCTCGTACAGGAACTGCTGTATCAGGAGGGTGACCGCGGTTCCAAATGCGTTCATCATCGCCAGAGTGATCGCGCGCACTTGCGAATCATGGGCCGTGAGAATGTTGGCCCACGAGAGGTAGACGGCTGAGAGTGGGCCATCGCAGGCCGCGAAGAGATACCCGACGATGTGAAGACCGAAAGGCACATCCCAAGCGAGAAGGACCGCTGTGCCAAAGAGTTGCATGGCCTTTACAAAGCTTGGATCAGCACATGAGCATGCATTTGGGGCCGGGAAGAGCCACTTACGAGGTGGAACATGATGTAGCCCATGCGCCAACCCGTGGCATCGATGAAGCAGGTGGCTGCCAGCAGCATCACAATATTGAACCCGTTCAACGAAGTGGGAATGTTGTTGATGTTGTAGATGGACCATGGCTCGCCGCTTGGGCTGGGGACGTTTTTCAACCAGAGTTGAAACTGTGCGAGTGGGTGAGCCTGTTGTCACGCAAACAGATTGGAGCCGTGTATGACTTACCACCGTGTTACCAACTTTGCCCACAGTTGTTTCCCAGAAACTAGATGCAGAAGTCAGAAGGGAGCTCAGAGGCACAGATAGAACAGAGGCAGCAAAAAGCTTACCCAAAGAGTATGGCGAGAACGTAAAACTGCCAGGACGTGACAATGCGTTTCAAGATGTTCAAGGTCAGTTTATGTTGCATCACAACGCCTTCGTCTTTCATCCTTTCCCGGCATCGTGCTTTTTCTTCGGCCGAAAAGTAAAAGGCGGTCGTGGTATCCGGCGTCCCGGGAAAGAAGATGACGCCGTATAGAGCAGTCCCGACGGTAATGACGCCGTCTATTATAAATACCCAGCGCCACGCCTCGAGACCATGGCGACCGGCAAGAGTAGCCTGAACCGCGCTCTGGATGTAGCCACCAAAAGCCGTGCCCACATAAGAGCTGCATGTAAAGATGGCGGTTCGCTTGCCGATTTCCTTCTTTGTGTACCAAGAGCCGAGCACTAGAAAGCAGACCTGTGTTAGCAAAACAGGTGGTGCAGTCTCTGGAGGCTCTTCACTGACCATATTGGATACCAACGAAAGATGATCCTTCAAAAAGGCCCAAGAAGAACCGAAGCGGATACAACTGCGCACTTGTTAGCCAGGTGTGCCTTCAAAGAGCGTGCCAGAAACAGAAGCGTTCCTGCCCAAGGAAAAAGAGGTTGCCTGTGGACAAAACCAGCTCCTTGGTGCGCCTTACATGATTGTAAGATGAAATCTTGTAGGTCCCCATGGTGATGAGACCCCACGCAATCTCGCAGCCAGGTAACCAATATCGAGGGGAGACGCGTGTGACGATCAAGTTACTGATGAGACTGCCCAGGATGGAACCAACGTTGTACACGGTATTGGCCAAGTTGAACTCGTTTCCGTACATGTGCAAATCCTCCTTCATGCCGCTGACATAGGCATTGCTGAGATTGGCCTGGTCAAGCCACTTGACGAAAAAATTCATGCAGGCATAGGTGAGGATGAAGAAGTCGATCTTGTGCATAAGCTTCTTGTCCGACTTGGTCGTCCCCGGCGGATACCAAAAGAAGAACTTGGGCCTCTTGGTCCCGTACGAGGAGGCGAAGACCTCTGAAAAGTAACCCATATCCTCGGACGACGAGAGGTAGGCCGACTCGATGGAGTATACAATGACGGAACAGTAGGAGGATGAAGTCCGGTCACAGTCTCCCGAATGGATTCTTGAAAGGCTTTATAGATGCCTCCATGACATGGACAAGGGCTATCTTGAATGACCAGATAGTGCTAGACGTTGGAAACTTGGAGATTCGGTATTCGCATATTGAATAGGCTCAAGGCAGTGTTAATGGGACTGCTTATCAGGATGTGGTGGAATCGATAGGCGGCCCTCTGTCAAATCGATGAGTCGCTGTTGGCCGTGAGACTACGACGACGGCTGTCTTGTCCTTGTGGCCAAGCCTGTGAACCCTATCAATATCTCTTCCGACATTGCAGCTCCGGATTGGCGATAAGCTGTGGGCCCACTTCCTGATATACCACCCCACAGAAATACCCGATTGAGCGACGGATGATGGAGCGGTGGAGTCAGGGGGTTGAAACGCTCAAGTCCGGGCGGAATCCAGCCATGTATTCGAGCATCCGGATAATGGTATCGACCAAAGCAAGAGAGACGACAAGGCTCTTAAAGTTGTAAAGAAACCCACAGTTTCAAGGTGATTGATCACTTCTGACCAGAAAATTGTGCAAAACCGAAGCCAGCAACGACAATGGCCTCCGCTACCATACTCACCACTAATTCTCCGCGGGAGGACGACAATGAGGTGAGAATTTCCCCGTTCTTCGTCTTGATCCCGGGTCCATGAACGCCACAGCATGTTTTCTCTCCTGACAATTCTCAAACTGATCGATTGATGTGGGTGGTAGTATGTCTTCTTCCATTCTGGCGGAGTTCCAACGTACCGCAAAGTCGTCCACCGGGCAAATTCCCAGGAGAAGGCAAACATCATCCCTACTATCGATATTTCTGAGATCGACACATCCATAGAAGCGAGAAAGAAGTTAGCAAAAGAAATCTACCACGCCTGCACTACATCTGGCTTCTTCTATTTGAGCGGTCATGGAGTTCCCGAAGAGCTGCTGAATGGGACATTCGATTTGATGAAGAGATTCTTTGCTCTTGACCATGAAACCAAAATGGACGCACATGTGAGAAATCTATCGTCTTCAACCACAGCGAACAGGGCTGAGTTTTCGTCAGGTCCAAAAGAATCCTGCAATCCGGGGCTACGAGCCAATGTTCGAAACCCGTCTGGACCCACGGACTCAGGGTGGTCAGTAGGAATCCTGCTTACCGTTCAACCCCCACTCGAAGTTTACTAACCGAATCACCCTCTTCAGACATCAAAGAAGCTTTCACAATGGGTGACGACCCGCTCGAACCTGAACAGGAATACACCGCCAAAACTGGCAACCCTCCTCCTGCTGGTATGCACCGTCCGCTCAACACATGGCCGCGCGAGGCGCCTTGGTGGCGAGAAGGCCTGTATAAATATTACAACACGCTCATGCCGCTGAGCCTCAAAGTCATCAGGCTGATGGCACTGGCTTTTGACCTGGAGGAGACGGCTTTCGATCATTATTTCAAGTTCCCCATCACTGGCATACGCACCTTGCACTACCCACCGATGCCAAAAGAGAGCGAACCCGGTGCCGTGGGGCTGGGAGCACACAGTGACAATACCTGTACGTGGATTCCAGGCTCATCCTTCCATTTCCACCATTCCAACCTGACTTGTGACTAATTGCCTTCGGTGGAACAGGGCTCACCATGGTGTTGCAAGACCAAGTGCCAGCCTTGGAAATTCTCAGTAAGGACGGTGTCTGGATTGCCGCCGAACCCAAGCCAAACACCTTCGTCTGCAATGTTGGCCGGTTCCTCGAGCGCGTGACGAACAGCAAATTCATCGCGACCGTACACCGAGTCCGCAACATGACGGGAGAACGGCGCTACTCGCTCGCCTTCTTTCAAACCCCGGATCCCGACGCTGTTATCAAGGTTCTGGACTGCTGCCTTGAACCCGGAGAAGGGCCCAAGCAGGACGAAGACACGGTGGGAGACCTCTATGTGCGTCGGGTGCTGCCGGCAAGGCCGAAACATCCCAAGTCAAACAAGTATCAGCATGTCCCAGTAAACGAGTTGAAGTATGACTTGTTTTATACCGATATATAAGGAAAATGGATGGTCTTGTGTACTTGCCTGGCTGAAAATGGTGTAGTCCTCCATTCAATGTACGTGAATCAAATGTAGAATAGCTGTCTTCGTAATAGGATTCGGTTGGTGTCTCTACCAGATGTGTACCTACCTAGGTATGTGGATGACTCGTACCTACCTACCTACAATGTAGGTACCTCGTACGTATTTACTACTAGGAGATAGTCAGTAGTACTCTGTAGAACAGTGGCCGTCATGATGCGGTCCTGTTCAGCTGGACGCTTACATAAGGTAGGTAGGCGAGGGATGGGTTAAAACGGCACCAGTTGGTTGCCAAATCCAGTAAAGCGTGTATTAACATTCCTTCTACTAGTAGTACTAGTAAGTAGTACTCCACACCTTATCTCAGGTACCTAGCAAAGTAAGGTACTACTACTAACTGGTAGTACTAGTAGGATAAGGTAAATAGCCTCGGCAGATACCTGCAGTGCAGTGTAGTACCCTGCTCGCCAGCTACTAGTACCTACTACCTACACTATTAGCAGGATGAGGAAGGTCAAGGTACCTAGAGTACCTAGTACTACTACTAGTAGTAGGTCCTCTGTAGTCGTGACTGTATCTATTACTACAAGAAACTGCAGTGCGTACAAATCCTGAAATATGAGTAGAACCCCCATGGGTACGAGGATAAGGTCTCCGCGATAGGGACTGATTGGTCTCTTGCTTGCCACTGGTGCAATGCCGAAGCTGCTTCGGCTTCTTGTATGCGCTTAAACACACTGCCGCTGCACCTCATGTTGCACTGCCATGCAGTGCCATGCAGTCAGTGCCATGGTGTTGTGTCGTCAAAGGCGACCTTTAGCCTTGCAATGGCTCAATCATGCAATTCAGTTGGTCAGGTCTGCGTCGATGACGGGTCACTCAATCCAATATCTTTCAGATGTGAAGACCGGGTCCATCTCCTCCGCATGCTTCATATCTCCTGCTTCCCCATACCTGTGCCACCCTCGTGCGGGCTGCGACTTCACCTACCTTGACCCATATCTCGTCCTTCCATTGTCTCCCGCCCTGCGAAATGCACAACCCGTGCTGGCCATGCGCACAGAATCAGTTTGGTTCCGGTTGATCTTTTGCGAACAACGCCTTGATACGAGAGCTCTGATTTTCGATTAGGAAAGGTTCTATTGTCTGGAATATTGTCTGCTGATGTCGATACCTCACGTCGAGGTTCAGAGGGCCACTGCGGCGGACGCCAGCGGCCCGCGGAAGAGGCGGAAACGTACGCCCGCCGCAGGAGCAGCTGCCGATTGCTTCACATGCACCACCCGAAACCTCAAATGCGATCGACGGAGACCTTACTGCTCCCAATGCCTTGACGACGGGAAGGATTGTGCTGGTTACAAGACACAACTGACATGGGGCAATGGCGTTGCCAGTCGAGGGAAGCTGCGCGGACTGTCTTTGCCAATCGCTGGTGCACAAAAGATTGCCACACCTGGCCTGGCAGGAAAAGCAAAGGGAAGAACGTCGCCGCAGCGACACACGCCAGAGCGTTTAGCCAACGAGCAACCTCGGTCGCGGTCGGATCGACTGAATGTCCCCTCGACCCGCGACGTCGATTCCAAGCCTCCAACAGATGGATTTAATATGTTTCAATTCAACCAGTCCAGCGGCTCCATTCCAATAACTACATCCTTCAGCCCCAGGTCATGGGAGCCATTGATTGCGGCGGGCCCCTCAGCCTCAAGTAGAGGCCCTGGAGATTCGCCGGCCTCATCATACCAGACAAGGTCTTCGCATCCTCCTCTGCTCTCACCACTCGATGGCTTCAGTTTCCCCTCAACCCTGCAGCCAAATATCGGTCATGGCGGCATGGACCGTGTCTCGCCTGCATCCTACGCATGTCCCTCACCAGAAAGCGCTTATTTTGGTCGAGTCCTGGACCATAGCTCGACAGGAGATCCCGATTCGCTGTCTACTGGATTTCCTCCTTATCTGAGTCATTACGACCATGCTTTCTCTTCGAACCGGCAATACCAGCTCTACCAAGGGCAAGAACCGTTTCTCAACCAGAGTAATACCTATGCACCACCGCTACCGCTGGAGGATCCGAAATCGCCGTTGGAGCGACATGATGGTCTTGGAGGGGAAATTGTCGAGGAGGTCGAGCGCAATGGCCTCGACGACGGGTGCGCCGTAATTGAGGACGACACTATACGTGGCCTTGGAATTGTCCCACTCGACTACAGCCTGCCGCTGTCCCCCTTTGCAGGTATGGACGCCGTAGGAGCAACCCCCCGAATGAGATACCTCATCAAATATTATATCGAGGTCATCTGTCCCGTGATCGTTGCATTTGATGGGCCGTCAAATCCCTACAGGTCGCATATCCTTCGACTGGCGGCCAGGAGCGACACGCTGCAGCATGCGATATCTGCTCTATCGGCCAGCAATATGAGGCGCCGGCGAGAGACTGGAGCCCTGTCCACCGGCAAGACTGCCCCAGCAAGAAGGTCATCAATGGCTCATTTGACGCTGACGGAGGGAGCCTTGCATGATATGGGCCTGTTCTCTGTGGAGGAACAGGTACGAGAAGAGTCGATGCACAAGGTGCTTGCGATTCAGGCCTTAAACCAGCAACTCGGCGATCCTCTGCTGCGGAAGGACGATTCAGTTTTAGCCACGCTTCTGATCTTGTGTCTGTTCCATATTTGTGATTCCGGTGTGGCAAAGTTTCAGACACAATTTGCAGGTGTCAAGAAGCTTCTCGGCCTACGGAAGAATGAGATGGGCTTAAACACCAACACCACGGAGACCAAGTGGTTCACAAGAATGTTCACCTGGTTCGATGCAATGACTGCTACAGTCAACAATCGTGAAGGACAACTTCAGGGTCACCACCTCGAAGTCTCAGCTTGTTCGGACGAGGAATGGGCACTCGAGAATCTTGCCGGTTGTGATGGCCAGTTGTTCAAGACAATCGCCAAACTAGGAAGACTGAATGTTCTAAGTCAGGGCAAGCCCGTGGAAGAAACGCAGATGCTTGTACCTCGGCCAATGCCGCGAAAGCCTCCTGCTATGCATCTCAATTATAATAACTTTGACGGCAACGGATGGATGCGCCTGAATGAGGACGAGCAACTATATACGACCAGGACCGCAGATCCCGATGTCCAGGCACAATTTTGGCGCGAGTGGCGGGAAATCCGACAAGCGCTACAAACCTGGGAGCTGGACACCACAATGTTCGACTCGTTCAGCTCCGAAGCTCCATATCTGACACTGGAGCAGAGACTGGATCTTGCCAACATCTCGGAATCGTTTCGTTACGCGGCCCTGCTGTACACGGAGCGCCTGGCAAATCCGACCGTCCCAAGTACCGACCCCTCCATGAGGGATTGGGTCCAGAACTGCCTCACACACATAAAAGCGGTGAAATCGGACGTCTATCTCCTCTGGCCGCTGTTCATCACCGGCAGCGAATGTGTGGACGATCGGGACCGCGACGTCATCCGCCAGCGTTGTCTGGACATTCAGAAGGACAGCGGATTTCTCAATAACAAGAGTTGTCTCGAGCTTTTGGAGAAGGTGTGGCAACGCAATGATGAAATGGCTAGAAACCAGAAGGCTCAGTCAAGAGCAGACCTAAGGAAGCCAGAGGGGGAAGGTGGGTTCAAATTCACGACGATCATGAGGCTTGAGGGTAATGAAGGGGAGTATATAGTGGTCTGAGAAGTCTCAGAGGCTCTGAATTGCATCACGTTCGATTCTCTTGTCTTCTTCTCAAACCCGTCAATGTTAAGTCAATATGTATACCGCAGGGTTCTATGGTAGATAGTATCAGTGGCTCGTTGATCGCCTAGGGCTTTCGGGTCTGTATGGCGTAAATTCTGCTACTTTTGAACTATATACTTCTATGGAAGGGATATCGACGCTCGCTATTTTGCACCTCGACCTGTGGCTAGATCTAAGTCTCTCAAGTGTCCAACGCTTTTCGCTATCTGGTCATTCCAGATACACCTTCCTAGCTCTTCCATGTCATGGAGGCATCTGTAATGGTGGTCGAGACTCCATTCGTAAGCCTTGAGACTGTAGCCGGGCTCCATCCTACGTGACAATTGGTCACGCAGATACCACTGCATGTCTCACAAGCCGTGGGCGATTTGAATCGCAACATGTTGCGTTATGCACGGTTCTCAAGATGGGGCCTCTGCCAGGACATCAGAGCGAGACTGTCTCGTTACCAGTCATCAGTCATCAGTCATCTCGATAAATCTCCAAGAGAGTCTAGCCCCCTGTTCCACTGCATCGGATTCGCAACGATCACCACCTAGCCCGGTACGCTCACGGTTAGCCCAAAGTCGCACAAACATCTGGGTGGCGTTGCGCTGCAGCATGCCACGAGAGGAAAAGGAAGGGGGAGGGAGGAAGATATATCGGAATCGGACTTACCCAAACGTCTCCTCAAAGTACCTCACCCCACGGTTCCCTGCCTTCATAGCGCTGTACACGGCAGCTCTCACTTCGTCCGCCATCGCAGCCGGACCACAGGCCATGACTGCGAGTTTCGGATCAGCCTCGTCGCCGCCGTCTTGTCGAACCGTGTTGATCACAGAGTGAACCAAGCCGCGAAGATTCGGGCGGCCCCACGAGATTTCCAGCTGCGAGTCCGAGCTCCCTGCCGTGCTTGAGACCGACGATTTCTCAATGTCTGATAATGCCGCGCTCTTGTCGGCGAAATCGGCGTGCCTCCCTGTTTGTACGGCGACATGGGTGGGCTCCTTTGAGTTGCGAGAGGTGGCATACAAGTGGATCTGGACGTCGCTGCGGCCGAAAAGGGGCCGGAGCTCGCGAGCTGCAATTTCTTGGATCATGGCTGCTTGCTTGGTTATCCAGATAAAAGTGATGTGCCGTGTTCGCGTGGTTGAGCCCTTGGTATTCGCCGAGCTCCGGATATGTTCTTGAAGATACGATATCGCCGCCGTGATGCCTGATCCACCGACGATGATGACAACGTTCTCGAATCGGTCGAGTGGACTTTTTTCACCGTATGGGCCTTCAATCAAGATCTTCGGATGGATTGCACCTGTGGGCGACTCGAGACATTGGTCCCGAAGGCGCTTGGTCCAGCCGTCGGCGGGCCGAATCATGAAGACCAACCTCTGCCCTGGGCCGTTTGTTTGTTTTGGATGGTGCTGGAGCCGCTGTTCCTGTCCCTCCTTGTCGGAATGAATGGGAACGGGAGCCGGGGCAGGGGACTCTGTGGAGGGAGTGAGAGATACGTCAGGTACCTCTGCAACCTTCTCTGTTGCTTCTTGCTTTGGCTCTCCAGCTGGTACACCGATAGTACCGTCGGCTCCGTCCAGATCAAGGTAACTGGCCAAGGTGAATGGATGGTTCTCCCACCCCTTGAATTTCATAGGTTGATAGAGGAAGTAATGCTGACCAGGTGCTGGATTGTATACGCGTGACCCCGGCATTATCTCCAGTCGTACCAGATTGGCGTCTTTCCAGTATGTTGCTGTAGTCTTTGTGGTTACCATGGAGGAATCGCCAAATTTGATATGGAGATTGCAATAGACGATTCGAGCTAGGCGAGCAACTCGATCGAAGAGCCAGATGGCGACAAGCGGCCATAGATAGGGACTGTACTCTGTGCCAGACTTGGAAGAAGTATGGCTATAGATATCAAGTTAGTTGGTGATGATTTCAGAGAAAGTGTGCTACCACTTACTAGTAGAGTCCCACGAGGGTGATGAGGGCGAACACAATATGAATCAGGAGAAACAGTTCATATGCCCGAACACGGAACCACATAAATGAGAACCACACCATCAAACCCATCGTAAACATCGCCTGTTCTCCTCGTTAACCTAGATCACCTTTGTCACATTGCGAAGTTGTACTGACCAATACTCCCGTGTACCAGTATGTCTCGGACCATAGACCCACGTATTTATGTACTGTAGCCGATATATCAGTCTCTTCAGTCTTCAAATCAAAGACATGGATTCCAGCTTACAATAAACTTCCCGCACCGAGTAACCAATTGAGTGAACAATGGCTTCCACGGTGGCGACGCGAGCAATGTGTCGATGAAAGATGTTGAAAGTCGAAAAGCTCCACCCGGTTAACCATATGAAGATGTTGTTCCTGCCGGCGAAGATCCAGAGCCAGGGAAGGTTTGCATAGGACAGAATACCCGTTCGATCTGCTATGTACCGCCAGGCTTGCTCGGCTTCCGAAAGTCTATTCAAAGTCATTAAATCTTTCGGACGGTTCTTTTCTGGGCGTTGGGTAAGCTATAGTATGTACTTACTTTAGATTCTCGCGGAAGACGGTATATGTGGGCCCACAAAGAATCACATTCAAGACATAAAACAACACAACAACCACTGTCTGAATTCTGGTAGGTATTGTACACCAATACAATGCGCGTCGATGGTGTAATCCGAACGCGGCAGGAGTGATCAAGTTGGTTCGAACCCAGTGTTGCACGGAATTGGATACGCCCAGTAGCCCCGAAGGGCGGGGGCCTGGCTTTCGTGATTTTGAAATCGATTCCTCGTCCGCGAGGGCCGGGTTGCGCTGGAAGGGCAGCAGATAACTCAGCCAGTGGTTGATGATGCCTATAAGTAGGATGCCACCCCAGAAGCCATAAATTGCCCAGCTAATATCATCTGTCAATATCCTATGGCATGATGAGACTCAAAAGAAAGGTATGGGCTACTCACCCATATCTCTTAGCAATGCCGTCCTCTCTATCGGTCATGATCTGCCATATGTCAGTAGGCCGTTCCAGCGTTCCGAGGGGTTTGAAGACTCACATTGGTCATGAAGCTATCCCTATACAAGGTCGGAGATATCAGAATTGACTGGTTCCATTTATGGTGCAACTTGATGTCGTCAAAGTCCACAACCGGCAAGGATGCGATGAAGTCGTCATTCAGGAAAGGGAGAATTTCTTGATAAGAAACCAGCTGGAGGCCGGCTTTCTTGCAGGTCTTGCTGTTGACCTTCTGGCCTGCTGCAATCTCATTCGAGGTGCAATACATCTTTGCCGCTGCCCACGTGGACACAACGCTCAACTTGTCGGTACACAGTTGAGCATTGGCCGAGGAGTTTCCCGCAAACTTGAACTTGCCAATGGCCAGTGTGATGGCGGCGATACATTGGGCATCTGGGTCATCAGCCCGGACTAAAAGTCCTTGGGCTAAGAGCGCCAGTAGACCAAGTGAGACCTTCATCTTGAGCGCAGAGAAATGAAATGGCTCATACGATGTGCAGTCAAGCCCACGGCAGAGGTGAGAGCGTGGATATATACGAAAGACACTTGAAGAAGGACAAGTGGGCGCTTCCTTACCTTGGGGCACACGGTCTTTAAACGACCTTGAACGTCTTGCACGAATTGGGTATCTCGTCCGGAGACATAACAGCTTCTCCTTCAATACAGTCGGACCACGACCGTATCAAGAAAAATTTGGCGTCCAGCCCACGGAGAAAAACGCTGCTGCTGTCCACAGTGTTGGTCCACTACAGCGAGCAGTCCTTCGTCTGGCCCAGTGATAGAGCCAACAGAGACAGATGTCGGTCCCTGCTCGGCTGCTGTAAGGCTTCCCACCCATGCTTGCGCGATACTAAATGCCAACGATGTCAAAAGTGCGCGCATACTAGGTATGCGACGCAGAGACTAACGTCTGAAGTACGTGTCCGCACGCAAAGCTTAGAGAAGCTTGCAAGCTACAAGCACAGGCAAGGCTCGAGAGGCTGATGGGGCGACGGGGGCGAGGGGGGCTTGTGGGGACGACAGCGTGATGTGATTAGATTGTTAAGATAAGATTATCTGATAGTATTTCGAGATAGGGATAGCCTGACAGCTCTTGGCGCAGCGGCTTTTTTAGGTAGTCAGTCTCGTGCCCGCCGCCCTCCGAGTGTCATCTTGCTGCCCACCTATCGCCGATACCGGTTCGGTGTCCTCAGTGTTCGCTTATCATCTAGGGCGTGTGATATTAGTAATTCTACCTCTGTGCTGCGAGGAGACTGGTCGCGCGAGCGGGCAGGATCGTTGTCTACTTCGGACTTCGGAAATTTAGCAAAAGGGCGGGTGCCACCAACCAAACAACTGCTTACTTTTCACCGAAGTCGCTGTGGCTTCCCGGCGGAACAATTCAAATGGAGTCTTCCAACCCCTCTATTGTGCAGGTACTCTAACAAGTCAGTGAGTAGCACTTTTATCTGATTATCGTCGGCGGGTCTCTGGCACGCCCGGACGACTCGACTTTCCCAACCCCCACGGACGGTGAATTACAGGGACGGTCGCACCCTGCTCGCGCGAGCTGGAAGCGAGCACTGTAGGAAGTGCTGGAACCATCTATTGATGATTGATACAGAGTCTCGGAACCGCCGACAAGATTGATGCTGCGCGCACAGCGATGAAAAAATGACTGCTTAACGATCGTCGATTTGTTTTCGAAGCATGGTCTCAAGCCCACGGGATGACATTTTATCAATGCAATCAAATAGCGCTCATATTCGCTGTTCGAGCTGCTGCTATTGAACGGGTACCGAATCAATAAATGGGTTCGGTACGAATCGTTTAATTAGTCTCCTCCCCTAGCGTATGATATGTCTCTGTTCTTTGCCCGTAGATTCTGACCTGCACAGCGATGCCTCGGAATTTACCGATTCATAGCTTGACAGAGCTTTTCAAGCACATTGCCAATTCCAATGCGGGTACAGGTCCGATATCAGCCTTTGTCGATCGCATTTCAGGGCAGGATGAGATGCGAGGTGCGAGGGAAGCGGATAGAAAAGCGGCGCTCTCTGAGTGCGCGAACAGTTTTTCCAACGGCTTTCGGCTGCCAAGGCAAGGCTGGCATTGCCAACACGCCATTGGCCAGAGGCAATTCCAAATACCATGCCTGTTCATCTAATAGTAGTACTGCGATAGTAGCCTCGCTTAAACACGTGTGAACGGGCTGTGTCTGTTGCAAGCGACCTTTCCGAGTGCAGTCACCACACGGTTCGCACAGATGGAGCCCAAGTCAGCGCCCTCCTCCGGCACCTCTACTCCCAGAGCGTTCACGAGCCAAGCCACCTCTGCAGAAGAACTCCTCAAATCGCAGACTGTTGGTCTTGTCCACCTTGCCGATTTTCGCAAACGTCGCGCCGATGTGCTTGAGCAGAAGGAGAAGGAGGCCCGAGAAGGATCTGGTGGTATCCTGACGCCGGATGTCGAGGACAGCGATGGGTGAGCCCCTCACAACCCCCGTGCGAGGGTCAGGGCTAACTTGAAAAGTACAGTGCCGTAACTCGTCGCGCCGAGCGACCCCTTAAGAAAAAGAAGAAAGTCCCGAAAGGCCTGCTATCGTTCGGAGAAGACGAGGGTGAAGATGAGAGCGCACTCGCAACCCCGGCTTCCAGAAGTCCAAGAACGTCTGCGGAGCCATCACCTGAACCGCCAGCCATCAGTCGAAAGTTGATACCCAATCCGAAGTCCGTCCTTCCACCTCCCAGAGTCCTGACAAAAGCAGCCATCGCCGCAGATACTGCAGCCAGAGAGAAATTGAGGAGAGAGTTCTTGGAGATCCAAGAGGCGGTTAAGCAGACGGAAATCGCCATTCCCTTTGTGTTCTACGATGGTGCCAACATCCCAGGCGGCACGGTCAAGGTCAAGAAAGGAGATCACATATGGCTTTTCCTCGACAAATGCCGAAAGCTGGGTGCGGAGCTGGGCGTGTCTGGCAGTGGATTAAGTCTCAAAAGTAGAGAGGACAGCAGGAAGCAGTGGGCCAGGGTTGGAGTGGATGATTTGATGTGCGTCAGAGGCGAGGTGATTGTTCCGCATGTGAGTACACCTGTTTGCTGCTTGTCCTTACTCTCGAAGCTGACAGATTCTAGCACTACGAGTTTTACTACTTCATTGCAAACAAGATCCCGGACCCGACCAGAGAAGGCAGACTTCTATTCGAGTACTCTGGCACGGCTCCCAGGAAAGGGGATGAAGAAGGCTCCTCCGTACTCCGTGCACCAGCAAAGGAGGAGTTGGAGGGCCAGAACGATGATCCAACCTTGACGAAAGTGGTGGACAGGCGCTGGTACGAGAGAAACAAGCATATTTATCCTGCCAGCTTGTGGAAGGAGTTCAAGGCCGGCAAGGAATTTGAGGAATTGGCAAAGGGTCGCCGGGATGCCCAAGGCAATGCTTTCTTCTTTGGTTAAAGGCAGAGCTGGTGCGGGCATGGTCTTATTGACTCGCCGGCGATGGACTTGATCGGAGCCTGTGGGAAGGCAGAGCAGTATCAAGCATAGAAGCATGACGAGCCTGAAAGCGGGTGGAATATTAACGCCGCGCTCCTGCTCGCTGCCATCTGGCTTGCGTACAAGTTGCCGCAGTCTCTCCATCTCTTCCATGCTCGGATGCCTGATTCTCAACGAGCCGCTACAACTGCAACTGCCTCACACATTCTCTGCCATCCACAGCTCAGCCTCGAACCTCTCAAGGCAGCCTCTGTGATGCCATGGACCAACGCCTACGATGCAACAATCAGACCGGTGGACCGTGTCGTGCTGTTCTGTCACAAGAAGCGGTCGTCACTACATGCTCGCATGTTCCGATCTGCTCTTTCTGGTTTCCATCTCTTCCTAACCCTTGATAGACACATCTTTTGCATCGCATGCTCCAAAAATGCCGGTCTGACCGATGCTCCCCGGACGCAGCGTCGCTGTCCTGTTTGTGCAACCACCCTTCCTAATATCGATGATGCAGTCCAGACGCGCCTCAACCCTTCGGAGGAATACAAGGCCAGCGTTCTCAGCGGACTCGACCCTTCAACGATCATGGAATGTGCAGGGCGGGCAATAGCCTTCTGGACCTACCAGATTACACAGGAATTGTGAGGATGTGAAATTTGTCTACATTGCAGCCATCTAATTGATGGTTTGCAGCTCTTATCAGGAGTACGTCGCTAAAAATCTCAGCGAGAGTAATGACCACCTCAACACAGCTGTGGACAAGATAATCCACGACGCCAACACTGAAATCCAGGCGCTGGAGAAGAAGTTTGAGGGTACGCCGCGCAGTCTCCAACACCACGCTATACATTCTGACTTGTTTGGAGCGCTCTCGGTCGATCACAAGACATTGGAGCATAAATATGCGGAGCTCGTTGATCTCTACCGGGAAAAAAGCAGGAAGCATTCCCAGACCCAGAAGCTGTATGATACTCTAAAGAAAAAGTGTCTTGTCGAGCAGACACACGGCCTTGTCTCGAACAATCCTGCACAGATCCACAAGCCCGTAAACACCATACCGCAGCCGGCATCAGCCCGGACGCGGGCAGATCAGAATCAGGGTCCTCCACAGCGTCCGAGGCTGAACGAAAGACCCGGCTCCCGGGGTGGGCAAATACACCACGGCCCCGAACAACTTCATCCTCACCAACGGTCGGGTAGCAGCGCGTACGGGGGCGACCAGGTTGGCATGCTCCCACCAGAAAGGTCTCGCTTGGCCAAAACCCGTCTGTACTTCTCATTCAAATACAACAGACTTTTGCTCACAGATCGAAGCGAACATGCCGGTCCCGGGCACTCCAGCGCACAGAATAGCCTTGCCAAGTCAGAATTGGGAAAACACGAATCGCACCTATATCCCCACAGCAACTTCACAAATACAGTTCCCGCGCCGACAAGAAGTGCCAGGCTCAGCTCGCCGCCAGCCACTCTTTCCAAGTAGGATACCGGCAGCTCGAAACCATGGTGGAGCGACTGCCGCTACGAGACATGGCAGAGCAGGTACAGTCGCATCGGTCGACATTGGATCGAAGTTCAGCGCATACACTGGTGAGACCTGGCCATCCATCCGCCGAGCAGGGCGTAGCTGACAGCATATAGACAGATTCTACCACGCGCCACATCGGAGCGAAGATGCTGGTGGAGCGGCTGCACGCTTTTCTGAGGGCTTCCATTGAAAGTTGGAGGACCCGAACCACGACCCGAGGCGCCGTCTCCGGGAGGGCTTTGGGAATGAGCCGCAAACCACGGTGTGTTCATGCGTGTCGAGGCATCCTCTACCCGTTCGTAGAGTATGCACAGGTGTCATGCCTTTGGCATTTACTTGCTATCGGTAGTTGTCCTGGTTCGTTATCCACTGGCCGAAGAATCTAGCTCAGAGAAACACGGGACAGACAATGTTGAGCAACGGACTTTCCCTCTGGTATCATACACTGGACCTCGCCGCGCAGCTTATGCCTACCCTGCGCCGAGGCTAAACCGACGCGTATGGAAACAGAGATGTGGTTACGACTACTACATGTCTTTGGTTGGAAGGCTGTGCCGGGGAATGCCATGAAAGGAGAGGAATGCTCCGAATCAAATGAGAAGATGGAACATTTCCATTTCAGATTGGATCAGAAGACCTTGTCTCCGTGCAGACACATCACTTCCACTGCTGGTGCAGGTGGATGCTCTAACTGGTGGTGTATGCTGCAGAGAATGTCAAGTCTTAGGCAGACTCGAGCTCAGGTGCGCCTTCAGGGTGTAATAGCATCATACCCATTGCACCAATTCTTCATCTTGCGTGCTATGTCTTTCATGCCCGCTCATTTGCTAAAGTCATCTTTTTTGTGACCACCAAATCATTACCGCTGTGAGCTATTCCAGCAACGTGCAGCGCTGGATGTGCTCGATGCGGAAACCCCTGATCGAAGCTTGGTATCAACGGGCACCGATCCCTTCCCGGACTGGTCTGATATATGAAAGCTCGAGGCCATTTGCCCGTGGTCCCAAACCGAGCGAATGTCGGTTAGGGGTACCTAACCAACGAGGAGTTGATGTCGACGTTAACAGCCCCCGGCTCCAAATCAGTCCACGTCAGTAGTGAACAGAGGAGTCCGAATGCCGAAAATGTTTCTACCAATTCCTCCTTCCACCCTTCCCTCTTCCGCGCCCGAAGCCGCCGCCGCCGCCGCCGCCTTGATCGAATCCACCTCCACCACCACCACCGCCTCCATAACCGCCAGCAGGACCGGCCGGTGGCTGTGGCTGGCCCATGATACCAGCGCCTCCGGCGGCCATGAACTGCATGAACTGTGCGGGATCCATGGAAGAAGGATCGAGACCTTGGGAGGTCATTGCGGCAAACATCTGCTGCATTTGAGCGTCGCTGGGCATTGCCATCTGCGACATGTCTGCGGCAGGGCCTGGTCCAGGTCCTGGTCCAGGCACCGGGCCACCAGAAACAACGCCGGGACCAACAGGACCAGGCATTGGCGGCATGCCCGGCATCCCACCGCCCGGGATTCCCTCGACAAACGCTTTGAGTTGCTCGGCCTGCTGCGTGATCTCCTTGACCTCCTTGGGCATCTGCTGCTGTTTCAGGCAATACGACGCCCACGTGAACTCATCGAAGCCGTAGTTGAAATAGTCCGTAATGTCGGCGCCGGGCTTGCGCCACGGCTTGGAAGATTCAGTGGGGAAGTCGACGTCGAAGTCCGTCGACAGGATCGGCTTGCCCGTGGCTGGGTGAACCGGGTTGCCGTTCGGATCGATCTTCGAAGTATGTCGTGCGGGATATTCTGTACCGGGCCGATCGTTCATCGTCGGCGGTTGTGAGTCTCCTCTCGTAGCATCAGCGGCGGCCGGCGTTCCTGGTTTGACCGCTAGGCCTGCTGGTGTCGGTGTCAATGACGACTTTCTAAGATTGTCTGCGGCCGCGGGGGCAAGACTGGAAGGGCGCTGCCTGGGTTGTTGTCTGCTGAAATGTTAGTCCATTACATGGGGTCACCCTGCCCATAAGGCCGTCGCTCCAGAACAAAGACGTACGATCCTGGTCCTGCTTGGTCTGGCTGTGGTTCGTCTTTGGCGTCTGCGTCAATGATGAAGTCGACATCGTCCTACGAAACGGTCAGCCTTTTGTGGCCTTCAAGCAGAACCGCTGCGTTGTAGGGATCAGAGATGTGTATGACATACGTCGCTCTCCTCCTCAACTTCTTCGCCCTCTTCACCGTCTTCCGCGTCCTCCATCTTCACTTCGCCTTGGCTCTTGGTGCCGTTCACCTCATGGTGCTCTGGGTAGATGTCGTCGTCGTCCGAGTCCATCATCTTGAATGTCTAGCGCGGTACTGCTTGTGGAACAATACTAGTACCGGCGGGCGACTCGACGGGGTCCGTTGATGATTCCAAAGAAGTGCATGCGGCGCGCAGTATGTTTACTCTGTTTGCTTGTTTTGCGTGATTTAGACTTGGCGAGTTTGCCAGAAGGCTGAAGTGGACCGCCGTCTTGCTGGAGCCTGGAGTCTGCGAATCGGAGGTCACGTCCTGCCAAAAGGAAGGTCTGGCGACTGCGGATGGTTCGAGAAAAAAAGGTACCCCGTAGTTCCTTTAATATGTGGTCAGTATAGGTTGATGCTCATTCTGTTTACAGGTCTTCTGCACATTTTCATACCTTTTGACTACTCGACTCAGTTGAACTGTACGAATCGCAAGAACTGAAGATACATTACACCTCCCTTTATACTTCCAATCGCTACCCTTACAACCTTCACAATGGTCAGTACCTTCTCTGCCCTCCGTCCCGGCGTTTCGTGCGCGCATTCCACTTGCGACATGTAGGACATCTGGCTGACAAGCTCGGATCTCCAGACGACCGCACTTAAGAGCATCCGATCCCTCGCTCCTCTGCTCGACCGCGTTCTGGTCCAGCGGATCAAGGCCGAGCCCAGAACGGCCGGTGGTATCTTCCTCCCGGAGAGCAGCGTCAAGGACCTGAACGAAGCAAAGGTCCTGGCCGTGGGACCCGGTGGTTTCGACAAGGAGGGAAAGAGACTTGCGATGAGTGTGAAGGAGGGCGACAAAGTTTTGATTCCTCAGGTATGATGGAGCTGCTAGCAAAGATACAGGAGAGAAAGAGAGAGCACCAAGGATGGAAACTAACGCATCATGTTGCAGTATGGCGGCAGCCCCGTTAAAGTTGGAGATGAGGAATACCACCTGTTCCGCGACCATGAGTATGTGCATCCTCGGTCTCCTTTGGTTGTCGAAATCATGTCGCTAACCATGCCAAAAAGGCTTCTCGCAAAGATCAACGAATAGATTTCGCAATTCCTACTAGGCTTATTGCCACGACCGGCTTAGCAAGCAATAACCTCAGTGCTCAAATACCACGGCTGAAGGCGCGAGGTTCTGGGTTCCGGGTCTGTACACCTTTTACACCATGTACTATCATTGAGGCACTGCATCAGAGCTTCACCAAAAAATATTAGATCCTCTATTTGAGACTCAAGTCGAATGTGAAGGAAAACGAGGAACAATGTACGCAATTTGAGCATCGGCGACAAGCGCGGAGTCTGTCTGTCCTACATCTTGTATACACCATTGTCGATTTTCTCAGACAATAGTAATTTATTTCATCTCCGCTCAAATCGTTACCGACAGAGCCAACTGTGTATCCGCTAGACACTGCAACTCCTCCCACTGCTCCCAGTCCGTGTATTCCAGCAAGCGGAAAGATCCCCATCCTAAGCACGAGAATTAAGTTCCGACCTCGGTCCACCAAAAGTTCAAGATGGGCTTCGTCGGTCAGACCAGGCTTGTCTCCTCAAGTATTGCCCCTACCACGCGACTTTGACCTGCCCTGATCCGCGGTAGCCCCGGAACGGTTTCCATGATTGGGACGAGGAATATCCCTGACCTCGAGCCCTCTTCCAATGACCTCCCGGAAATCCAGGCCAACCTCGCCCAATAGTTCCCTTTCGTGAGACCAGACAACATCCATGCATTCCCTCCATAGCTTGCCGTCCTTCTCTATGGCACTCAGCTGTCGTACGAGCAACGTGTTGAACGTTTCAAGGTGCTCATTCGCCCATTTGATACAAGCGCTAGTCGTGGTCGAAGGGAATGACGCCTGGTAGATCAGCACGGTGTTCTTGACTATGGTGAAGTAGACGAAAGAGATGGCGAAAACGTATCGGTGGAGATCACCCTCAAACACACATTGTCGTACCCGTTTGGTCAGAGTCTCACCGCGAGCATTCAGGTAGAGCTCCCGAGCCCGGTCTTCAAATCCGAGACGGATGAGGTAGCCCGACGTCTTCTTCGTGGCGTCCATGAAGGAAGGCGTCTCCACAAGTTCGCGGCAAAGGACCGTCGCGAGTTTCGCAGCACGTTCATCAACCTTGACTGTGATCAGCTCCTGGGCGATTGAGTTGTTCTTGAGACTCTTCGCGATCTTGCGGAGCTTTTCCACTTTCTCAACGGCTTCATCGAATCGCTGCAGGGAGATCTCAATATCAAGGTCGTCGATTTGCCCTTCCACCCACCTGAAGTTTTGCTTTCTCCCGTCTATTTCAATCAGGATGTCCGGCCTTTCCTTGGCAGAGTTTATGCTGTCAATCATGTCTATGTTGTTGGCTGACGCCGGATCACGCGCAGCGAAATAGCTCAAGCCCTCGGTTTGAGACTTGTTCTGTTCGCCCTGGCTCTTTGTCGCCTTGCGACAATCTTCGGTGGCTTTCCTCAGGGCCATCAAAAGTCCATTCTTTGCCTTTTCGTCTCGCTTCTCATGTCGGTAAGTAAGCGATCTGCCGCCGGATCTGATGGATAGTGCAGATGACACGGTTTTCTCCTCGGTGGGCGTAGTGCTGCCTGTGGTCAGACTCGTCGCCATATCGATGACCTCGATGTCTTGTAAGGGCCAGCATTCTTCGGCTACAAGTTTTGTAGGAGCCGGGCCCTGCTGCGGCACATTAGGGTCGACCCGCTTGCGTTTCTTAGACGCGATCAGGAGATGATCGTTTAATAGAACGATATGAACTGGTCGTTTCGCCTTCCACGTTGCACTGTCAAGTTCGATCCAGTTCCCGGTCTCTGCGACGATATGCCGGCCAGGGGCAGCCGGCAGGAACTTCTGCGATTTCTCGATATTCTTCCACAGGGCCTGAAGCTGGATGTTCCACATTTGCTCCAAGTTTGCAACCGATGTTCTGTTCGGGTTACGCCTTGACTGCGAAGTGCCATTAAGTGCCGGTGTAAGTGTAGTGTTGGTCGTCCCAATGGTCGCCTGCCCAAGTGTGCCTGTAAGCTCCGACATCAAATTCTGAAGGATAGACATTTCAGCTTTCAACTTTTCCGCCTCTTTACTGATTTTGATGAACTGAGTCCTGTTCTGATAGACGCTTTGCTGCAATTCGGCCGAATTCCTATTCTTGAGCCGCTGCAGATTGGTCTGGTATTCTTGAATATCTTGCTCTGACGCGTTGGACAGAAGGTCTGCGACATAGCGTTCATGTTGGAGATTTGAATCTTTGAGGGTTTCGTTGTCGACTAGCAGTGGCCGTGAAGGCGATACCCCGGCGCGGCGCGGAGAACCACCTTGGGAGCGTCGTTTCGGCGCCCCTGGAAGACTGGGTACAGGAGGAGCTCCGATGTTGCTAAAGTCAGGTAGCTGGTTGTAACGCGTCGAGTATCGTCGCTTGACAAGATCGGACGTCTCGGTAGGCACATTTCGTTCTCGTGGGACGGTCAGAGTGCTTCCTGGCTTACTCTGCTTTGTTGCAGCTGTCGCTGCTGGTCTAGTAATGCCAGGTCCAGAGGCATTCTGGGGTGCGCTTATTGTAGGCCGGTCCTTGCGCTTTCTTCTCAGAGTGAGAGTCCTTGGGTCCATGGCGGTAATTAGGATAGACGAGCCTCTCACGAAGCCCTCTAGTCGTGCAGACGTCGAGGGAGGTCACGTCTGGTCTGCTCGCAGCATCAAGTGTCGGCCAAGGCAGAGAGGCTGGACCGGTAAGGGTCTACTACGTGGACGTCCCCAGAATGACCTCTTTAAGGAGGAAAGACACGCCGCCCTCCGCTTGTCACTGCCAAACTACCTCTGATGGGAAACAGCGTGATTTCTGTACGGCAGATCACAGATGGCATGCGCACGCCTTGGCGAGACAGCCAACCGCAGTGCAGCCTCGCAATTGAGTCGTCCAGTCCCGCGAGTCAGGCTTAAACTTGAAGCTGGGAAATTTGGCAGAAGCTATTATTCTTGAGACATCATCATCTCAAGCGACATCATTCAAACAGGACCATCTCGTGGTATACATCTGGGTCTAGCCAATATCCAACGATAGTTCGGGATCTCGCCATCCTGCTGAGATTGATCCGTTGAACTGCCATCGCTACCCAACGTCGCTTTGTCCCAACACCCATCATGAAGACATCGACTATTGTCACGATATCCGTCGGCACGGCCGTCACCGGACTGCTCGGTATGTCAATGCACGATGCAACAAGTCATTGATATGTTCCGACGAAAGACTGACATACTAGCAGCCTATGCCGTTTATTTTGACTACAAACGGAGAAACGACCCCGAATTTCGAAGGGCCTTGAAGAAAGAGTCGCGCAGGCAGGCCAGATTAGCCAAAGAGGAGGCCGAGATCCAGGGCAAACAACAAAGAGAAGAGATCAAGCATGCAGTGCAAGAAGCAATCGAAGAAGGCTTCCCCACGGACATCGAAGAGAAGGAGGCTTTCTTCATGCAGCAAATAGCGCAGGGAGAGGCATTGGCCGGAGATGGTATGCATATATTCCCTTTATCTGTTCATGGCAGCGACTTACTTTCCACAGGCTCTGACCCCGTCGGTGCTGCACTATGCTTCTACAAAGGCCTCAAGGTTTATCCCGAGCCATCGTCACTTATTGGCATTTACGATAATACCGTTCCCAAAGACATCCTCGAGATCCTGGCAATCATGGTAGCCCAAGACAAGAACCTCAAAGTGGGCTCGTTTGGCGCTTCTAGTGAAGGAGCGGCTTCTGACAGTGGTCCTGGTGTCGAATAAATGTCTTCCTGCATAATGAAGCGCATGCCCATGTACCAACAAGAACTAAAATTTGTTGCACGGGGAGGAAGTCGGCATGTTTCAAAGACTATTCTACTCGAATCTCGCCTCTCTGTACGACTGATGTATACCAGCGCTGCCTTGAGGTGGAGTTTCAAAATATGCTCCTGGCTTGGACATAATTTCAGCGGTTACCCAGTTTATCGATTCAATCAAAAGCTTGACAATGTCTTTATATGACCTCCCCCTCTCGTCGGAATCCATTTCTTGTCATTGCAAATGTCCGACGTCCCTCTGATCCTGACAGCGAGTTATTGTCCTCCACGAATGCTGGTTATCCCCCAGATTCCAGGTTCCATGCTATTCGTCCATCATGACGAAGACCTTCATTCTAATCTCACAAAAACATCAAGAAGGGCTGCCTGAGATTCTGTTTCCCATGCTGTTTCTTCCAAGATGACCATCAGGTATAGAGATGCCTGGAACTCTCGTTATCCGAGATGCACGGAACGCTGGATGGCGCGCGTGGCACCGCTAGTCCCTGCCCATGCAGAGGAGCTATACAGGTTTTGCAATCCGCCCATCTTCCAAAGCTTTTGTCTATACCGTCAAATGCATGAGTAATAGGTACGGTCTCAGAATATCTGGTTCTGGTATTGTCTCTTACTGACAGGCTCCAACTACATCACCATATAGCATGGGACAGGTCGCCAATGTCCGGCGAGGCTTGGATAGAGCGCCCACCTCCGCAAAGTGACCTCGCCTGTGTCCTCCCTACCTTGTTTGTATTGGACCATGACGGATCTGTATCTCACCTATCTTCCTTGGACACGTTAGGGTCGATGTCAGAGGGCGGCCTGGCGTCGTTAGGTTGGGGCCGATATAAACCCACGCAGTCCTCCCGAAGGTTGTGGCTCGCCAATGTTCACGCCATTGTTGGAGATTCATTATCAGAAGTTGATAAACAGTGAAGAGATCTCGTATCCTAGGAAAAACAATACTGCAAGCCGACCGCAAGAGCAGCGCAGCGCGATATTGAAGTGCACGTTCTATCGCAGTGATGGGTGGATTGACGGCACATCCTTTTGACCCTCTAACACCCCAAGAAATATCTCAAGTATGCGCGATCGAGTGTTCATGCTTATACTTTGTGGGCTAACCAACAGGTTGCCCACCATGTTCGAGCTGCATTCCCAGATCGAGAAGCGTATTTCCGGGTTATTACGCTTTGTGAGCCGCCAAAGGCAGATATGATTCGGTTTCTCGAGGCCGAAAGCGACAAGACTGTTCCGCAGGTCACGCCCGCTCGAGTGGGCATGGTCCAGGTCTTCTTGGGGCCCAGGGACAGCGAACACTTCTTTCAGCTGAAGATTGACGTTGTCTCGGGCAAGGTCCTCGAGCAAGAGCAATTGCGTGGCTGTCATCCACATGTCGACGCCAGCGACATGCAAAAGATCGAACGGGCATGTCTCGATGACCCAGGGGTGCAAGCCGCGATCAAAGAATTGCAACTGCCTGAAGGTGCCCTGGTGAAGATTGAGCCGTGGACATACGCAACTGATGGCATGAACGACATGAGCCAAAAGATCACCATGGTAAGACATGCAATCTCTGGTGGTCTTCCCGAAAACTTAACGAGATCTAGTGTTACTTTTACATGCAGTTGTCCAGTCATCCAGATGCCAATCACTATGCCTACCCTCTCGATCTTTGCGTCGAAATGTCCGGAGATGCTCGAGTCCTCAAGATATACTACTTGCCTTATGGAACTTCGAACGAAACAAGTATGGCGGCGAAGCCATGGGATCAGAAGAAGGTCCACGGCTCCAGCATTGAATATCATCCTGACCTGGTCCCTGAACATCGCACGACGACGAAGCCGTATCATGTCTCTCAACCACAAGGGCCCTCGTTCGTGACGGAGGGAAACCTCATCCGCTGGGAGAAGTGGACTGTGCGTGTTGGCTTCAACTACCGAGAAGGCCTCACTCTTCACGACATCAGATATGACGGACGAAGCCTCTTCTACCGGCTGTCCCTGTCGGAGATGTTTGTGCCTTATGGAGATCCTCGAATGCCATATGTGCGCAAGGCAGCATTCGACGTGGGCAACGATGGAGCTGGTGTCAATGCCAACAACTTGCAACTTGGCTGCGATTGTCTAGGCCACATTAAATATTTCGATGGATGGCACACCACAAGTCCAGGAGACCCTCTTCAGATCCCCAATGCCATCTGTTGCCACGAAGTCGATGACGGCATCTTATGGAAACATACTAATTTCCGGACTGGCCATGCAGTTGTGACGCGGTCGCGCGTCCTGGTCCTGCAGACGATCATCACCGTCTCCAACTACGAGTACATCTTTGCCTTCCACTTAGGACAAGACGCATCTCTTCACTACGAGGTTCGAGCCACGGGGATTGTTTCAACCGTACCCATCAGCATCGGGGATACGGTTCCCTTTGGCACGGTCGTTGCACCAGGGGTGCTGGCGCCCTACCATCAGCATATCTTTTCTCTGCGAATTGATCCGGCAATTGCAGGCTATAAGAACTCCTTGCTCATTGAAGAATCACATCCCATGCCAACGCAGGATCCAAAAGTCCACAATCCATTTGGAGTTGGATATACCACCGAGTCACAGTTCGTCGAGAACGAATCTGGTCACGACCTCGACCACACTGTCAACAGGGTTTTCAAAGTTGTCAATGAAGAAGTGATCAATCCCGTCACTGGTGGGCCTGTTGGGTACAAGCTTTCCCCGTTCTACAGCCAGTTGCTTCTGGCTCACCCGTCCTCGTACCATGCAAGGAGGTCTGAATTCGGAGCTCATGCAGTTTGGGTTACCCGATACCATGATGACGAATTGTTCGCTGCGGGTCAGCATACCATGCAGTCTTTGGGCGGGCAGGGCATTGCTTCATGGATCAGAAAACGCCAGCAGAACAAAGAGGCCACCAGCGTCAGGAACGAAGATATTGTTATCTGGCACACTTTTGGATCGACACACAATCCTCGTGTGGAAGACTGGCCCGTCATGCCATGTGAGAAAATGCAGGTCGGATTGAAGCCCGTCAACTTCTTCACCGCAAATCCGGCAATAGATGTGGCTGTGTCGACACAAGATCGGAACCAGAGCGTTCTTGTCAATGACAGTGTCACGCCGGTAGAGGGACATTGTTGTACATAGAAAACTGAAGTCGAGTATTTTCCAGTAAAGCCTTGTTGGCAAGGCTGGACATCAGATGACCTGGTCTTTTTCCGTGTACGCACACCTTACTTATAGACAGCAGCATCGCCCAAGAGGTTTCCAGGAGCGACCAACAGGTCTGCTTCGAAGTGTCTTGTCAATCTAGGTGCAATAGCCGGCGCACTTCCTATAGAATTAAGCTCAGTAACTGTCCTTATTGAGAATTGTACAAGTAATCATCCAATCACTACCTACCTTAGGTAGTAAAAGTCCTAGTCACGTGTGGATATAAGCTCTTATATTTGTAGTCTAAGAATGATAGGAGGCGACTACGTACTACTATAATAAACACCAAAAAATCAAAAGTCGAACCAACAACCTTTGCAGAATGGTAAAAAAGTTGATCACCCAACTAGCCCGAAACTTCGCATATCTTGCCACGGTGTAATCTCACATCGCCAACTCCGGGTGGGGATGTCTCTGCAGAATTGCTTCCCTCAAGTATCATCTCCATTGCTTAGCGCCCCGTAGCAATCGTAGTTTACACATACGAGTACGATGGACGACCCGAAATCCCGAGTGAGGCACGCATGAACAAGTGGTGTGTGAAGCGACGCCCAAGGCTCAAAGGCAACCTTCTAACTTTTTGACCACGACAGCCATATGCCAAGACCGAAGAAGTAGTATATATCCTGGATTATTTTGCGAGTTGCTGCACGTGACCAGCCCCCCGCATATACCCCTAGTTTACCTCGGTACCTATTATCTGTCACCCCGCAGTGACATCAACACCGTAGTACCACTTTTGACTTACAACACAACTTGTAGTAATTCTCTCACACAGGGTGGCGGTTTATCAATAGTCCTGGAATCCTCCAAAAGTGTTACATGTTATTTGCTATTTCGCTATGTTACATGGGGAATCCCGCTGAAGTGTAAGACGACGCATCTACTATGTAAGGTACGTCGGTATGGTGTGGCTGTGGTGGTGAGCTGTCAGCTTAACTCTAACAACTTCTGACTTCGTAAATGTCGAATTTCCGCAACAGCAACGCAGGGGAGTTCAGAGTTCAATCATGGGCGGGGCTTGATATCTCTGGTAGTACTAGCCAGTCCTACATCGGGATTGTGTTTGCGTCCGCCTCCAACTTGAAGCGCAGTGCAGCTGGTTACTTCCCTCACCCCCATCAGATCCACCCGACATCCCATCTCTGCCTCGATCGAGGCAAAGGTACTCTCGGCGGTCGCAAGGATCGTTTCGATGCCGCGGCTCAAATCCTATCTCGAAGGATAGTCTACCTTCCGGCGGATTTCATCCCTATCTCACACCCTCCCTGCCTCCCTATCGCGGACAGTCAATCGTCTGGCAGACCACCTTTCACCCGAATCTACCGAGCCTACTTATACACACACACGCTTCCTGGGATCTCCGGTATCCCTCGGCGTTGGATTGCGGCAAGACAACTCTGCCCCCCAGGTGCCGGGCCCCATAGTCACAATTTCCCCATCTGCAATACGTCTCCCGCAATCTACGGGGTGTGAACCGCTCGACCGTGGCTCCGCTGTCCAGCGCCCATGTTCCATCCGTCCTCGGAGCCTTCGAGGTTTTCTAGTAACATACCGCACAAGTTTCGATATAGACGGTCGTCCTTTCAACCACGGATTCGTGAATAGACTCTGATGGCGGCTGACCGGACAGCGGCTACATCCTGGATGCAAATGATATCTAAAAGCAGGGCATACTAGGTACAAAATACCCCTCTCAGGGGGACCTCGGGTTCAGGTGGCACAAGAGACTGCGTATCCCGCAACACAAACGCTGGATGCTACTGGATCCGGGGCCCGTGAACAGACAGGTCAACGTAAGGTAAGCACTTGAATAGTACCTAGGTAGCTGTGGCGGCATCGAGTCTCTCACGCTTAGTAGGTCTTCTTTGCATCCTTCGAACCGGCGGTAGCCATCCTTTGGCCCAGTGTCCACTGTCCCCCGAACGAATTTGTCTGACCCATTCAAGTAACCCCGCAGTTGATACCAGGGGGCCCCAAACGGCCAATTGTCAACCCTCCCACCCCAAGGTCTGACGACAATGTGAGCAGCGTCTCCCTCCTCTACGTTTCCCGCAGCTGCCGTTCGGCCTATTGAACTGCCTCCCGCCCCTGTCCAGTGGCTCGGACTATAGGAAAGCGAACGAGCAGGTGGGTATCATCTCATCTTAGGGATGAAATCGACGGCTCAAAGATGAGATGGACGGCTGACCGTGACCTTCCCCGCGTCATCAAACGTTGAGAATAAAGCTTGCCCTTGCCCGTGGTTGATCATCTCCTCCTCTTCCTCCTCTTGTCCATTCCGTCCAGTCTCTTCTTCGCGGCTCTCTTTACCTGTGATACTCCTTCTGCCGCAAAAAGTGATTGCATATCAATCAATCAACACTGCATCCATGTCTCTAACCCAGCAGATTGAGACGCCCAGCGTCACCTACGAGCAACCGCTCGGCTTGTACATCGATGGCAAGTGGGTGAAGGGTGTTGAGGGCAAGACCTTCGAGACCATCAATCCCACCAACGAGAAGCCCATCGTCGCAGTCCACGAGGCTGGTCCAGAGGGTAAGTGGAAAACTCTTCCGCGAGATAGGCCCTCTCGGTGTTGATGCTGATCGCCGTGTGCAGATGTCGACATCGCCGTCAAGGCCGCCCGAAAAGCCTTTGAAGGCGTTTGGGCCCAGACCCTCCCCTCTGTCCGAGGCGCAATGCTGACGAAGCTTGCCGACCTCTTTGACGAACACACCGATATCCTCGCTGCCATCGAGTCGCTCGACAACGGTAAGGCGCTCTCGATGGCCAAGGTCGATGTCCAGCTCGCCTCGGGCTGCTTGAGGTATTATGGTGGATGGGCAGACAAGATCCACGGCAAGACCATCGACACCGACCCCGAGACCTTCAACTACACACGGCATGAGCCCGTCGGTGTCTGCGGTCAGATCATTCCCTGGAACTTCCCTCTTCTCATGTGGTCCTGGAAGATCGGACCTGCTTTGGCCACCGGTAACACCGTCGTCTTGAAGTCGGCCGAGCAGACCCCTCTGTCAGCCCTATATGCCGCCACTCTGTGCGAGAAGGCTGGCTTTCCCCCTGGTGTTGTCAACATCCTCTCCGGTTTTGGAAAGACCGCCGGGGCGGCGATTGCTTCTCACATGGACATCGACAAAGTTGCTTTCACTGGCTCGACCGTCGTCGGCCGAACCATTCTTCAATCCGCGGCCAAGTCGAACCTGAAGAAGGTCACGCTCGAGCTCGGTGGCAAGTCGCCCAACATTGTCTTCAATGATGCCAACCTGGAGGACGCCATCTCTTGGGTCAACTTTGGTATTTTCTTCAACCACGGCCAGTGCTGCTGCGCTGGCTCGAGAATCTATGTCCAAAGTGGAATCTACGACAAGTTCGTTGCGGCATTCCGGGAACGCACAGCAAAGAACGTGGTCGGTGACCCGTTCAAGCAGGACACCTTCCAGGGTCCTCAAGTCAGCAAGCTCCAATTTGACAGAATCATGAGCTACATCCAGTCCGGCAAGGAAGCTGGTGCCACGGTCGAGACCGGCGGTGAGCGTCACGGCGACGAGGGTTACTTCATCAAGCCCACCATCTTCACCAACGTCAGCCCCGATATGAAGATCATGCAAGAAGAAATCTTCGGTCCCGTCTGCGCCATCAGCAAGTTTGAGACCGAGGATGAAGTCATCAAGGCCGGCAACGAGAGCACTTACGGTCTTGCCGCTGCCGTCCACACCACCAACCTCAACACTGCCATCCGCGTTGCCAATCACCTGAAGGCCGGTACTGTCTGGGTCAACAACTACAACATGCTCAGCTACCAAGTGCCTTTCGGCGGCTTCAAGGAGTCTGGTATTGGCCGTGAGCTCGGCAAGTATGCCCTCAGCAATTACACCCAGGTCAAGTCGGTCCGTATCCGACTTGGAAGCGCCCTCTTTGGATAGAGGAATCTTGGTGTCTCCAAAAAAAGTGAAATGCAACAAATCAAGAAAAAAAGAGGGGGATGAATTGGATCAAGCGTGGGGATTGTTGAAGTATCTCTTTTGAGAGTGCCCGGGACTGAGCTGTGGTGGCATACTGGAACAGATTGTTGCTGTAGGTCGGCTGAGGCTTTGAAATGTAGCGCTTATCGATCTTGCACGTACATTTTAACGACAGATGATGAGTAAAACATGGGACTTTGAAAAGCGTGTTTTGACTTGTTTGACCCGTTCAGCGTGCTCTTCGCAGTGATATTTTATACCTACCTACTTGATTAGTCTCCTCTTCTCGTCGCATCGGAGGCCGTCGTCTTGTCATCACACACCTTGAAGTAGTACTTGGATTTGCTTGTCATTATGACCTGCCTGACGGGAGAGTGTGTTGAAGAATTACGGTGGTTGGTTATCTACTACGTTAGGTAGAATGAGTCCTTTATGTACCTACCTAGAGGTACGCACACATCTATCTAATCATGGTATCCTAGCCACTCTATCGCCCGAGACTGTCTCCCTACACGTGCCATCTTCCTAGCCACTGCACGTCACACATCCACCTGTGACCGAATCAGCATTCAGCGATTATAACTTCTTAACAAGTCGGTTCCTGACCACGTAGAAAAGCCGGGAAGATAAAAGGTGCAGGGTTCGAAAGAAACCTGGCGTCAGTAGTGTTCCTACGTATACGCTCAAAAAGGGACCTCTTCTGCGCGTTTGGACTTGATATAGTTGGGCAGATTTGTCGGCAGTTGGCCACTCAACTCTTGGTGGCAAAGATAGGTAGTATCTTTGAAAAGAGAGTCTCTTTGCCTCTATCTCTGGCATACTACTTACTTTCTTTTTGGGTTCTCTCGCTCATCTACCCAAACAGATCTAGAAGGACCAGAGACGAGACGACTTGACTCGGTGCAGCATACAGTAAATAACAGACCTCAACGCGAAAATAAAAAGCAGAGGTCAGGAGAGAGAGGAGAAGAACGGAAGGAGAAAAGCTACATTCATTCGATTTCCCCAAGGTGTCCTATCCTGGTGATAACGGCTCACCGCAACCTACGATACACTGCATGCACCGCTCGTCACCACGGCTGGGGTTGGTCTTGTTGCTGTTGACGAGTCTCTTCGTGCTCATGCTAGCTATTGTATCGGCGCGGATCAATTCGAGCGCGATCGGCAAGCCGACGGTTCTCACACGATTTGTTTCTCAGGCTCGGGGATTGACCGGGTGGAGGTCGACTTTGAAGACTGAATCGATATCTTCTGGTCTGTCTGGAGATAGTCAGGCAGGGTCGAGCTTCAAGTTAGTCGATTCGACAGGTCTGGAGGAGTTCAGGTCCGATTTCTCGATATCAGCTGCGGGCGCTTCGACTTCGACTTCGTCATCGACATCGACACACACCCCACCTCAGACACAAAAGTACAAGAAGACGCTGAGACAGGCAAGCGCAAGCTTGGCCGGATTTCGAGGTCTAGAGTCGTTGGCCAAATCTCAGATCAGGCAGGTCGGCACAATGGCATCGATGGAGAATTGCGATAAGGAAGTGTCCTCGTCTGGAGACAATACGGCAACATCACCTTCCACAGCGCCGTCTGCGGAACCGCCGCTGCCGAAACTCTCTGCTGCCGAGTTCAGAACATATAATCGCCTGGCTGTGATGATGGATGCATATGTGAGTTTCCTTCCGCCATTTGTTCGAGTCACCCATATGTACCTGGGACACAAAAGCAACCGTGCTAGAATACTAGTAACCAATTGTTCCAAGATCAGTTAATCTTGTCACATTTTCTTTCCATGGTCTCGTATGGTATCATGCAGCGCTGACGGGTGTCATTTATGTCTAGCACAATCATTTCCGATACACCTGGAATTTGCTGTACAAGGCGTGTACGACGGGCTCGCGGCCAGCAGGAATGCCAATCCGGACCTTCATATCGCAAGGCATGCACCTCTGCCACGCCCTGACAGTTCACCACACCATTGAAGAACAGCACATCTTCCCGGAGCTGGCGGAACGGATGCCCGTGTTCGCGCCGCAGGAACTCTTGATCTCGCAGCACGAGCAGATCCACGAAGGTCTGGAAAAGCTCGAGGAGTATCTCAAGGCATGCCTGTCCGGCGAGAGGGAGATGCGATTGCCGGAGCTGAAGGAGGTTATGGATTCGTTTGGAGATGTGCTTTGGACACACTTGGATGACGAGGTGCGGATGCTCGGGGCCGAGAGTATGCGCAAGCACTGGTCAAAAGAGGAGATTTTGTCGATGCATTGGTGAGAGGACCGAACAGCTCAGCTTGACGTTTTGGACTTGGGTCGTCGGTAGCCCTAGAATCCACATAGTAGTCGACTGGAAAAGACAGCGAGCGCTGAGATGGCTTTGCAGGGCTCAGCGGAAGCCCCGAAAAAGCACTCACGAGGATGCGCGGCAGTTATTTGACCCCCTGCTCGTAGCGGTGTTGTTCTCCGATTAGCTCAGCCCCATGCCTCGTGGCCTTAAGAGACAAGCCTTCCCACATAGCCACCGCTAGACACCCTCATTGCGTGAAATTCGTACCATTTCCCGTTCAGTCTTGATCTCTCTCTAGGAAGCCGGGATCAGTGCGGACTTTGTTTTCGAACTTGGTCCACCAGTCCTGGAAACTCTTCAGAGGCACGACTTCGATACCATTCGCCGTGTTCCCGGCAAAGCTGGACAAAAAGTTGAATGCGTTCTTGATGATGCGCTGAGCCAGCACCCGGGCGTCCGGTGGCCGTTTAGCGACGGCGTTGACATCCGACGGCGTCTGCTGGAGCTGAGCCATTTGCACCTGGATGTTCTGCACCGGCTCGACCGAGATGCCCAGGTTGACTTCCCCGCCAGTCATCGATTCTGGGATGTTCACTCGGAACAGGGCCGAAGGCTTCTCATTGCCAATCGCCCCTAAAAACTTGAACCCCTGCTCCCCAGGCAGTTGCATGTACACTCCAGCCGCTGTGTCGGGAGGGAGAAGATTGTTGGGATGCATGAAGACGCCGACGTTGTGGAATGGTGGTGCGGCAGGGAATGATACTGCGAACTGCGTCGGGGAGACATTCGCCATGTCCGTGATCACGGGCCGGGACGGAATGAAGACGCCGAACATAGCTATTCGCTGAGCCTTGCTCTCACCAGCTCAGTGGACGAGGTACTCCTTGGTTCGATAGGTCGGTTCCGGTGAAGTTCTACAAGACCCCAGGTAGACAGGGTATCTGGACTGCGTTGTTGATTGGTTAAAGGGTGGTTGGGTTCAGCCTTGTCGCAGTGCTGAATGGAAGTAAAGGGCTGTGAAGGTGTGTACGCTGTGCTGGCAATGGGATTCCCGTTGAAGCCGTTGACACAGACGAAGGAGACCTAAGTGCATCGCATTCTTTTATGTGTGGGCGTCGAAGCTCCGTAGAATGCCGTACTCGTCTCTACAGCTTTCCTTTAGTTCGCGGTCCATTTTCCATCACACGATCGATGTTGACAGGCTCAGAAGTGACGCAGTTTCGCCAAGGGTTGGCTTAGTCAGCATATCTCGGGGAATCTCTTTTCCATTCCGGTTATCAGCAGCTACTAGGTTGCTGCTCGTACTACCTACGTACCATGAGCCTTCCAGAAGGATTTGGGTGTTTCTTCCTCCCAAGACAGATCGTCCCATGTATCTTAAAGCTGTTCCACATCACGAGTCAGTCTCGATAAGGAGACAACATGGGACAAAAGACGAACCTGAACTTGGTGGATGAATGCGACAAGTAAGTGGGCAAGGTGACATGGCTTGGGCTTCAAACACTGATTTTCAAGCTTTCCATACTACTCCGACAATCCAGAAGCATTTGAGAAACGACTGCAGGGATATTACCATTTTCTACTGGAGGGATGCGAGGAATGTCTAGGCTACGTGACTTCTAGCGTCGCAGTTCAACTGCCCATCACCCAACATTGGCACCGCGATGACAGCAAAAAACGGCTGATATTTCAGCCTCGGGATGGTAGCGGTGCGCCGGTCCAACAGTTGGAGAAGCGAAACAAGATCCTTGCAGAGTACCTCCAGGACGTCAGGGAAAAGAAAATCTTTCGAGTCCTGGATGGTTGGCGTGCCGAACTCTATCCAATATATGGTCCGAACAAGGAACTGTTGTTGAGCATGGAACGATCCGCCACACCTCTGTTTGGAGTGGTCACTTATGGTGTCCATATGACTGGCTATGTGATGACTGACGAGGGTATGAAGATATGGGCGCCTCGACGTGCCCTGACCAAGCAAACGTACCCAGGCATGATGGACAACACCGTCGCCGGCGGAATGAGTGCCGGAGAAAAGCCCTTCGAGTGTCTGGTGAGAGAGTGCGAGGAGGAAGCTTCACTGCCCGCGCAGCTTGTTCGTTCCGCCGCCCAGGCTTGCGGCACACTGACATACTTTCATGTCCGCGACGCCAGAGCCGGGGGCGAGGTAGGACTCTGTCAACCCGAGGTACAATATATCTATGACCTCCAGATGCCGCAGGACGTGATACCCCAGCCTGGGGACGACGAAGCAATTGATTTCCAGCTTTTGACGGTACAAGGAATCCAGCAAGCCATGGCTGACGGGAGGTTCAAGCCAAATTGCGCCCATCTCCTCCTAGAATTCTTCGTCCGGCATGGCATTCTGACCGCGGACAACGAGCCTGATTATATCGAAATTGTGTCTCGACTGCACAGGAAGTTGGAGTTCCCGACTGCTTGAGACCTTTTCGGAGCAGAACAACCCTGAATACCACAGAACGCCTTCGCTAAACGGAATTTACTTTTTTTTCTTCGGTTCCTCCAAAGATGCTTTTGATCCGAGTGTGCCGTCCAGTTTATTTCTTGATCAGCAAGTAGACATAGTCGATTCTGAGCGCGTTGAGAAGGGCGTAAGGGCCGTCCATGTAGAGCAACAGACCGCCGAAAGAGACATACACCTTGCTAGATACGATATGAGTGCTCTGGCTGCGCGAAGAAGTCATTCTGCAACTCACATGTTCTCTCCGTTGCCTTCCTCAAATCTGTAAATCTTCCCATGACACACATAGTCGAACTCATCCGCCAACGTTTGTTCCCCTCTCCCGACCTCTCTCCAGCCTTTACCGTCGTCCTTGCTTCCGTCGAGATTTAGCGACAGCGCCAGTGCGACGGTCATGCGCTCATCCACATTGAGCGGGTAGAGTTCGCTGTTGATATCGAGAGTAAGGAGAACTTCCTGGCCGCCCTCGCTGTAGGCTTTGATGCGCGATACCCGGTCGTACTTTGCGCTGTTGACGTCGGTGATCTTGAAGCTGTTCTCGAAAAGAATGTTTTCAGACATCTTGCCGGCGTTAGAATGTCGTCTCGCACGGGAGTATACGGAGGGATCGTGTTGGGGCGCAGTCCGAGATATCAAAGTCGCGTCTCTGCTCAAAAAATTAATTTTGGCCGCAGCGTTGGACTCCGAGTCGAGGAGGAATTTGCGTTGGATGAATTCTTGATGCGCCGGATACGGTGGGCCATCAACGCGCTCCCGACACCGAACGTCGCAGACTGAAACTTCCTACAGAGGCTAAGTGACCACCACAACATACAATCAATCCTGACTTGGCTTCTACAATGTCCTTTCGCAAGCGCAATGTGGGCCTTACCGGCTCTGCGCGAGCGGATGGGATGCCCCAGACAAACCCTAGAGAAAGAGTCCAGCTGCCGGGAGTACGGCCATCGCCTCTAGATGGGCGGCCGACAACGTCCACTGGTACAGCCAGCCTCGATGCCCTACTTGCAGGACACTCCGGCCTCGCTCTCGGAAGTTCCATCTTGATCGAAGAGAGCGGTACAACAGATTATGCTGGCGCACTGCTCAGATTTTTTGCTGCTGAAGGGCTACTGCAAGGCCAGCATGTCCATGTCGTTGGGTTGCCAGAACACTGGGCTCGAGAGCTTCCGGGGGCGGTTGGAGAATCCGAAAAGAAAGAGAAGCCGGTTGAAACCAAGGAGAAGATGAAGATCGCATGGAGATACGAGAGTCTAGGCCAATTCGGCGCAAGCACAAACACAAGAGGTGGGCAAAATCGTCCTTGTAGCATAGCTAGACCCCCAATGCTATTTCATTCAAACAGTCCTTGGTTCTCTGATTGTGGTTTTACTGACATGTCTTCGTCGCAGAACGGCGACAGTCACTCCCAGCCCAAGAAGCCCCAAGTCTAGCGTCAGGGCAGGCCAGCCCGGTGGCTTTCTGCCATACATTTGATCTGACCAAGAGACTCGTCCATCCAGCATCCTCCAGAATGGACTTTGTCCAGCTGGCAATGAATCCAACACAGTCCCCATTCACCCCGGTGCTTGAGCATCTCGGGAACTCTCTGTCAAGGTCCGCGCCCAACACGGTCCATCGCATCATCATTCCATCCTTGCTGTCTCCAGCTCTCTATCCGCCACAGTCCAGTCAACCACAATACATTCTTCAGTTCCTGCATGGCATACACTCTCTTTTCGCCGCATACCCTGACCGGATGACAGCGATCATGTCACTTCCATTGTCTCTATATCCTCGATCATCGGGCCTCGTTAGGTGGATGGAGTTGCTCAGTGATGCTGTTCTTGAGCTCTCTCCGTTTCCACACTCGGCGGATGGAGACGCACAACTCTCTCGAGGCCCAACTGCGACAGCTGATGAACCTCCTCAGGGACTTCTCCAGGTTCACCGGCTGCCGATCTTGCACGATCGCGGAAGCGGGACAGGCACCTCAGAAACTGACTGGACCTTCACCCTGAGCCGAAGGAAGTTCACCATCAAGCCTTTCAACCTTCCGCCAATCGAAGGGGATACAGAAGCACAGCAAGCGTCTGGGCCAGACCACAATGGAAAAAAGTCAGACTTGGAGTTTTGACAACACACTCCAGTCACAGTCAAATATCTTCATCCTCTGGAATGGTTTCTCTCGCGTTGAGCATGGTCTCCATCTCGATGTGCTCAGAAAACGAAGGTCCCGGAGTAGTCATTGTCCGGAAGTAAGTATGGTCGTATGATCCTTGACGAGGATTGACGCTGAAACCCGACACCCTGGCGCGAAACCTGTCACCTAAACACGATGAGAGTGCCAGAAAGGCTGGTCGAGCTGTCAGCAACCACTGAAGCAGATCTTCGCAAGGGCAACCGGCGCCATACCTAGAAAGCAGAGGAATGGCACAAACAGCAGCAACGACCACAGCCACAAGATGCCCATCACGAACTGAGTCTGGGGCGAATAGCGAACCTCACTGCAAACGTTCGCTGCGTTGCAAAGTTGACCGCTCGTTCAACTGCAGACAACACCTCCCACGGGTAGTTGTTCAACACTGGATCTGCAGCAAAAGACGGTACGGTCCATCCACTGCGCCGTATAAGGTGGTCAGCGAGTCACGCCTCCATCCGGCAGAGCATCTGGCCCCTGGCGCAGTATATTGCCAAGCATCAAGCGTGAACTTTTCTGGGCCTGAACCTGAACCTCATTCACTGCAACTTGAAGTTCAACTTCCACCATCCTTTCTTTCCGCTGGCATGTCGCAAGCCATGTAGCCTCCTCCTTCTGCTTGAAGGCCAGCCTTTCAAGCCTCTCAACTTCCCTTCTCTCCGTCAGTGTTTCTGATCGAGCTTGTCTTGCTGGACTCAGGCTTCTGCCCCACCAGATCAAGAGACAACGATCGTTGTGACTGGTATCTACTGGTGAGTGAACCCAAAAACCCTATGCTTCAAATTATCATGATTAAACCAATTTTTAATCTGTCAATCCACTGAGCGGCTCTTCGGAGCACCTGATTGAGAAAAATCGTTGTTGAAATATGAATTGAATTCTCTCCTCTGTCCAAGTCGTCATACCGCACTTGCAGGCTTGAAAGCTAACGCTATGCTCTCCTGAACTAGTCCGAGATTTCTTCGTGATGGATGCGTCTGCAGACCTTGGGTTCGGGTTCAAGCCCGACCTTCCAGTCGCCATCTCTCTGGTTGGCGGAAGATATCTAATCTTCGATGTCAAGATAGCCACTTTTCTTCGACGTGAACACCGGGTCTGCGGAACGACCATCGGCACACTTCCGTTGAGTCCTTCGCAGAATCTGTTCCTCGGTGTCCCAGTGGAGATTATGGCGGAAGAAGCCCAGGTTCTGGTTGAAAAGGGAGTGGCTTTCCTTGTCGACGATGCTCGAGTCCACAATCAGGCAATTCACTTGGCCGACAAAGCTCGACAGGCGGACTACTTGGCCAAGATACAGAAGCAGTCGAAGCACTTTGAACAAGCGCGGGCAGAGGAAAAGGAAGCCTCACGGAAACGTGCCTTGGACAAACAGTCCAAGAAAAGCCTAGCCAAGGCCTCTGCACTGAGTTCAGACCAACCAGGTGACACGGGCGCCGGCCTATTCGAATTCAACGACCGTTCAAATTTAGCCACACAGGCCGAGAACGGTGCTGCCGATGATGCTGTCCGTGATTCAGGGGTGCAAGCCCTGCCTGACCTGACGTCGTCGAGTAATTATCATGTTACCCCTGCGACGTCTCGGCTTCTGCTCCCAACTCCTCCATCAACTCCTCAATTAGAGATCAAGGATCTGCCTTCCTCCTATCCTCTCTACAGGCATCTCCATAACAGAGGCTACTTCATGACACCTGGTCTACGCTTCGGCTGTCAGTACACCGTTTATCCCGGTGACCCTCTCCGTTTCCATTCTCACTTCCTTGCCGTGGGGACTGAATGGGATGAAGAAATTGACCTGATGGAGGTTGTTGGTGGCGGAAGACTAGGCACCGGCGTCAAGAAGGGGTTCTTGCTGGGAGGGGCGGATCCAAATGGGGAGGTGCGGACTTTCAGCGTGGAATGGGCAGCAATGTGATGGGCAGCAATGTGATTGTCAGCACACGGCAGATATTTCTCAAGGCTGCTTTGCGGCTGATATGACATTCGTCTCCGACGAGAGGCCGTATGGTCGGAACCCTTTTGCGCTCGTTTGAGGCTGCTACAACCAATGTGTGGTGGTCACCCTAGTCAGCTCGGATTGAAAACCTCAATCACGACTCGCGCAGAGCATGACCAATCTCGCCCTCACAAAAGGTGGGAACATGTCTCCGTCTATCACGGTGCAGATTGCAGCGAATGCAGTCGAGCCTACCATTTGCACGTCGTCCGCTTTCTGGTTGACGGACGGAGCATGAGGATGAGCAATCTCCATCCGCATCGAGGGAGAACGTCCTTGCGGTTCCACACGAGTATAGCTGTTTGAAAGCTGTTTGAAACAGCAAGCATGACGAGAAGCAACATGAAGGCCGATCAATGATCCATAGTCCAGAGCCCAGTCGTTGACTGAAGGATGAAAAGATAGCCCATCATCAAATGACCCAAGTTCCAGCCGGCCTGTGAATCATAAGTACTCCATAGCTTTCCACTTGAATTTCCTGTTCGCCCGTTCCGCCGGTCTGAACTCGAATTGATTTCCGTGTATTTCAAACACCAGTCGTTGAGGCTGTAGCTGTGGCTGTCGCTCGTGGCCCTCGGCGTCATTGTCATTGTCATCATGTTCATGTCCATCAATTACAGGCTCGGCCTGTCCAGCTGTTGCCAGAGATGCGTCTAGAGGTGCCGGCTGAGGCAGACAGACTTCATACCGAAACACCGTGTTTTCCTTTGGCAGCGTCCTGACCTGATTCCGCGGCGTCACGACGACGAAAGTGAACTTTGTATCTCTGACCACGATCCCCTTGGTGCCGATTCTGCCTGGATCGGCACAACGCACGACTTCGACCTCAGCGCCATGGAAATCCGCACTGGCTAGAAGACTGCCGTGACTTTGGGCGGTGATGACTTTCGATGATAACGTAGACATTGGGGTGGTGGCAGGTTGTCGTTGTTGTTGAGGTCCCTGTCTCTGTCCCTGCTCTTTGCCGTTCCCGCTCCCGTTCCCTTTCTTCAGACTCTGTTCCTTTCCTCGGTTCTGGTGCTGGTTCTGGTTCTGCTGTATTTTCTGCCCATCCGCCTTCCTCCCACTATTTCCACTCTGATACCCCAATATTTCCAGCATATACCCGTTCCACAACTCATGTAACCCTCTATACACGTCATACTCGACCTCCTCCTTTTTCAGGTCGAAAACACCCAAGTCCCGCTTTTCGCGCGCGCTCAGTGGCCTCGGCCGCCGTTTGCGCAGATAATACTCCTTCTTGCGTAGCCGGATGTGGCGCCGCAGTGCGCGTTTGTCGGACGTCGTTGTCGACGCCACGAAGAGCGGTTTGTTTTTTACTTTGTCGGTGAAGATCCGCGTCGCCGTGTCTGGAGAGTGGGCGCGGCTGAGGAGGGAGTGGGCGGGATGCAATATCGACGGTCCGGGTGCGTCTGCGGTCGAGGCTGTATTTGTAGGAGGAGGGGGTGCTGCTGCTGCGCCGCCGGGACGGGGGGAAGAAGAAGTAGGGGAACGATGGGATGTTGAGATTGAAGCCATGGTTATTTTGGGAGTTTGCAGTTCTGGCTTCTGGCTTGTGGCTTCTGGATTCTGGCTTCTGGCTATGTTTATATCGTCTGTGGGGGTTTGGCTTCAGAGACGGGCCGGCGTCCAGAAAGCTTGAGAGTGTATCGAAGAACGAAAAGAGATATAGCCGTTGGATTGACTGGGGCGGGTTTCTTCGCTCTCGCTCTCGCTCTCGTTCTCTCGCGACAATAAGGTAATAGAGGCGGGTTGGTTGTGACTCGGACTTGGACTTTCCCTCTGCCAGTGCAGGACCTCTGACGCTGTGTAGGTTTCGCAAATTGTGGTGGTGTTCGTTACTCGGTGTGCTGTCACGGACACGAGGCATAGACTTCGCACACTCAGCAGTGAATGACGGGAAATCCTCGCATCCGCTGCGCCTGTCAAATACAATACTGGATTGTCATTGTCAACGCTGCGAGCGTTGTCTGGACTCCTCAAGAGTTGGGAAACATAAATGTACCAACTGCGAAGAACGAACAGGCCGGGGTCGCAGGTACTGAGTAAACCGCGGAGGACAAGGCTCGCATGCGACGCTTCTGACTGGCTGGCGGGTGGGATGACTCAGCAGCTGAGGCTGGCATCACAGCACTCTGACACCAGAATTACAATGAATTTGTTGAACAAGTCCAGGCAGGTAGAGGCGGTGCAAAGACCCGGTCCCTCGAACAATATATTCGCTTGATTATAATGAATACAGGTACATATTGTACAAGTGTTCGCAAAATGGTGGGCTGTATAACCAAATTTTGTCAAACAACAAAACAATAAAAGAGCCCTATCTCTGCAGCCTTCCCAGGGGGTATCGTTCAATCAATCCTTTCGCCATGATGCTTGTAGATACCACCGTCCTTGTCCATATGCCAGCCCGCTGCAGGGTCGGACAACTCTGCTATTAGAAACGCCCGTCTATATTTTGCTTGCAAACAACTAAACCAAAACTCGCCATCGGAGCTCAATGCTCACTTTTCAGGAGTGAGAGATAATGAAATGCCCGGCTGCCCGATATAGAGCAATACTTCCAAACGTCGTCATCAGGCTTTTGTTGGTGGTGTTTGTACTCCCATATTATCGCCGAGTATAACATCCTGTCCAGGCTTTATTTCATAAATTCGACAGTCCAGAATACCCATACATGTGTGTCGATGTGTGCAGGCCAGGTCCGGGGGTCGGTGGAACATAATTCCCCTGGTAGGGTGGGTTCTGGGCCGAGAAGTCGGCATTTTTGTACAGTGGGTTGACAATACCAACGGGGTATTTTGGCCGCGGAGGTGTCGAAGTCGGCGCTGCCGAAGGTGCGGAAGAGCCTGTGGGTGAGTAATATGTAGATGTCGAGCTCAAAGCATTGTAATCTGGAAGGCCCTCGTTCCAGCCCCATTTCTCCTTGAGGTCATCATGGATGAACGTGACTCTCCAGCCGGTCTCTTGTTTGATCCTGTCGAAAATCTGCAGGACCTCTTCCTGCTCCCGTCTGACGGTAAGGTTCTCCCCGGCGACAGCCAGACAACGTATGGAGGCAGAGGCAACGCCCCGGTCCTTGACGTGGGCCACGATCCCACAGATCTGTCGAGAATGATACACCCGCATTTCCCGCATCTCCTCCTCGGTCTGAGGTTGTATGCTGGCCAGTGGATGCATCATACCGAGCAATGCCATAGCTGTGTTGTAGAAAAGCCGCGCGACAATCGTCGTCCGTTTTATATACCATACCTCCGGAAAAGAGCTCTTCGCGGAAGCCCCATAGGCTGGTACGTAGCCCATTGCATGCATGGTCGGAGGAACACACTTGTCCCAGCGGTCACAGAACTGTTTGAGTCCCAACCACTGCTGCTGTCTCTGGTGTATTCGCATCTGCTCGGCGTGGACATTGGCATCTTGGAACCGCGCTTGAGCCGTCGAACGGAAGTTGGTGATTTTGGACAAGATCCACAATATCTTGTGAGTCCATTGCTCCTCGTTACCACCCACCTGCTGAGGAGTCATTGTCATGTCGAGACCCCAGGTGTCAGGGTCCCAGGCGACGCCCCAATTGAAATGTAGACAGCTGAACAGCTCAAGCCCTACATTCAACCAGAAGCAGGCAGCCCCAATCCCTGTCGCCGTAGCATCCCACCGACACTCCTTGATCAGAGCACGAGCGCCGGCGATGTGGTTCATTCTCTGTAAGGCCTTCTCAGACATAACTTCGTACACATTGAGAATGGTTGCTGCGGTGGCGCAAAGAACACTGTCCCTGTCCGGGTTTTGTAGCGACTTCAGCAGGAGTTGCGTGGCTTTGTTGTAGTAATCCAGTGCATGTTCCTCTGGGTAGACGGGGTTGACCAGGGTAAGATGCCGGATGCCACAGGCCAGAAGTGCATACTTCAGCATGGGTTGTCGTAGTGCTTGGAAGGGGATGAGCCGGGAGAAATGCTTGTCAGCGTCCATCGAGTCCATCCATAGGCCAACTTCTTCAACGAAGATTTGCATATAGAGAATCTCGGTGCGGTCGTCCAGTGGAGGAGAACTCTGCCCCTGCTCGGGTGGCACCAGAACTGATTGTCCATAAGAAGGTTTCACGCCGTGGGCTGCCTCAGAGAATGACGCCAACGCAGCTGCTGCTGTCTCATTGTAGGGCTGACCAGTAGAGTTTTGATACAAGGCTTCAGTTGATTCAGCATATGAGTTGGGGTAAGGTTGCTGGTGTCTAGGGAGCTGTTGATGTGGTATAATCGGAGCGGCAATTTGACCGTAGTTGTACTTCAAGGATGGCGCGTTTAGCTTCTGTCGTTTGGGTTCCGGCTCTGGCGCATGGTATCGTTCGAATCCGCCAAGGTACTCCGATGCGATCTCACGCGAGTCGTCCTGGAAGGTGACTTTCCAATCATGGGTGGGGGGAAGCAGATAGGGTGGCCGCTGACACTGGATGTCGATGAAATTCAAGCGGACACCACGTTTGCATTTCCGATTGGATCTCTTACAGTTCTGACAGTTCGGTAAGCCTTCGTCGCATTTGAGGTGTCTCTCGCGGCAGGTCAGACATCCAGTCCTCACACGTTTCGGTTTCGGCGCTGGAACAGTGTCCGGTTTAGACGGTACAGCGACTTCAGGCTCCGTCATCGATACAGGGCTGGGCTGCGCGGTCTGCGATGTGGGAGTCGATTTTGTCGACGAAGCCCGGGTCATGCAAGGTTGTTGTTCATTGATCGCCGCATCTGCGGCTCCGTAGGGTGGGGTGAGTGGTTTCAGCCTGTGCTGCGACTGGGATGTGTACTGGGATGTGTCGTGCTCACGCGGCGGACGATGAGAGTGTTGCGACCAGCAAGGATCTGTATTGATGTGAGAATATATCGTTGCGTCAGCAAACGATGGGTTGCTGTTGGGCCGTGTGAGGGCTGCAGTGGGCAGGGTCCAGGGCGGGAAATTATGCGCCAGTTTGGGGATGTCGAAAGGTCGTCACAGCCATATGCTGCTCGACCAGAGAGATCAGTCCTTCAAGTGTATTGCGATGAGTGTGGTGACTACGAAATCACCTGGCGAATCTGAATCGGATGTATCCGCAGGTCACAGCAAACGATGTTCTGAGCTTGTAGGTGGTGCTGTCAGTACGTAGTGTATGTGATAAGTTGGTTGAGTGGCCTATTGAACAGGAGTCAGTACTTATACCACAAAGGCGGTTCGTTCCAACAAAGATGAAATCCTGGACTCTCCCAGCGGTCGCACAGATAACCTGGTAAGGATTTTCTTTTTGATGCTGTGGGACGCCATGTGAGCAAGCTCTCTTTCTTTCCTTGTCAGAGCTCCTAAAGAGGTGTCCACCAGGACTGGGATATTCTGAATTAGAGGATGCGTGGCATTGTCGCACAGAGAGCCTCCAGCATCAATGACGACATTCCACCTCTTGCACAGGCTTTCTCTCTCTTGCCACAGACTCAAGATCGAGCAGATGAAAGCACTCGCAACGTACCTTTGCGATTTGAAGTTCGAGAGGAACAGGCGGCAAGGCTGGTGGAAGGAAATGCTTGAGGAAACCGTCGAGTACTTAGGTTTTGTCCATCTAATAGTGAGCGCGGTGGGGTGGGAAGGTCGAGTCGGGCGGACATGGGGAATTAATGAAAGAAAAGACGAGGTGGACGACAAGGGGCCCAGGCGTCAAGGGAACTTGATTTGGATTTCCGCCGAACCATGGGATGGAGCAAGATGGCTTCGCTCGTCGATCGTTCGTCGTTCCACGAGTCTGGCTCGCTGAGGATTTAGAGTGTGGCTGTCAGTCGGGATGATGGATCAATCTCTCGAGCATATAGCACTAAGCAAGGTCCGTTAGTGTATAACTGACCGATCAATGGAAGTGTGTAAGAGCCTTCTAGTCAAGGGATGTGAAAGTGACAGCAGTACACGGTTTCGGAGTCGGCGAAGCAGACAGGGAGGAGTGATTGGTAGAAGCTGCACATCAAGCGGCGACGGCGGTCGCCAGATCGCTAGTAAGGGCGAAAGCAACCGGGGCACCCTGGGTGCTCAAGAGACGCTGGCTGAGGCCTAGGGGCCCGGGGTTGACCGAAACTGTAGCAACGTTACTAGCAGTTGAGCAGTTCAAGTTAGTCGCGGCAGATCGCGCCTACGTGCCTAAACTTCGTAGTCCCCGGGCGACCCGTTAGGGAGTCGCCTGAGGCGTAAGGTGCGGGCACGGCTAGAGTTTCTTTTAGAGGGTATAGGGGCACCCTACGGTCATGGGCGTCATGCGGAGCTGGTCTACAGGGGTACACAGTAGAGGGGCACTGACAGCAGTGAATCGCTCCGGGGTCCTTCACGCCTTGCTGTCTGGTGATCATTACATCTATACCTTAGATCAGGTATCTAGGGCGTCCGTGTGATTGCTAAATACATTCAATGTCCAGCTAGTCTTCCGTACCTCCACCATGAATTTCCCATCATCATATCTGGCAGTTAGCTCGGCGCCTACATAGCTGTAAACTTGAACCTCAGTTCTATGGTACATATTTGTCGGTTCGGGAAATGAGTATGCTGGTAGAACTGCAAGATCGGTACTTAGTGGTCAGCTAACAATTATCAGGTGTCAATAGCAGGTTGTAAGGTACTACCTGGTACTTTAGGTAAATGCATCTCTCCCCACTGCACAGCTCTTCAGCTGGGCTTCTGGGCTTCTAGGCTTCTGGAACTTCTGGGCGTGGCTTGCCTGTGACTGAGGTCTAGACCCCCCATGATTTGTATTTGTTCCTGCGAGATGGACCCTGGGCACGTCAGTCCAGCCGCTAAACAATCCCTGCCTCGCCTGATTTGACGTCGTTGTCGCCGACGGCAGCTGAAGATCCAGCCAGTTCCATGTCAAAAGGGAAGTCCCCGGGCGTTGTTGACCATTGACGTCCTTTCGCTGCTCCTCCTTTCGTCGTCAAGTCGTCATGGCGTCACTCCTTTGGGTCGCTCGCAGCTCCCTTTCTGTCGTTCTTTGCTCTATCAGGACATTCGAGTTTACAGAGTACTCATGCCTTGCATCATCCAGGTCCGCCGAACTCGCTTTCTCCTCGCTTTCTCCTCGCTTCTTATCGGACGCTCTCTAGTATCTGGTATCCTCCAAGCCCCTCGCATCGTTCCTCTGGTCCGGCGTTGCAGGCTGCAGGCTTGTTGGCGTCGGTCGGCACCTGCCTACGGTCCACTTCCCTCGTCGCGTAGTCTCCTACCTTAGTGGCTTCTCGATCGTCTCGTCCTGCCCAGCGAACAGTGCACAGTGCACACCATCTTCTAGCCTGGACTTCTCTCCCACCTACTCGGGTCATGGCGTTGAGTTGACGGCCGAATAACCCACTGGCCGACTCCGCGAACCAGGTCACGCTCGGCTCATCATGCCGCTCAAGGCTCTCCGGTGGTTTGGTTGCCCGTTTTGATCTGTTTTGTTTGCTTCCATCTCCCCCTTTGGGCAATACTCCCGACTACCACTGCCTTCGGCGTGCCCGAACAGGCTCCTTAGGCCCAGCCCTGGACGCCAAACGATCTCGCCTGCTCCTTTCGCTGTCCACATTCTTCGGAATTCAGACGGAAAGGCTCTCTGTGGGCTTTACACCACATGGCATGATGCCAAATGGTGTCTGCCAGAGTCAGTCCCATCATCATCACTATCCAACTATGTGGTTCCGGCTTCTAAACTGCGCACTCTGCACTGGTGCAACATCCGGTCGGTCATGTAAACAAGTTGGCGGAGGATAATGGCTCGGCCCTTGTTTACCTGTGCTTCTGTGGGCTCACTGGACTCTGTACCCTTCCCCCTCGGTCTTTCTCTCCGAGCGCAAGATACTGCCTGGAAAGGACAACGACTAGGGTCCGCATGCCTGGCTTCACCCCCAAGTGCCAACGCCTCGTGTATGTATGTACCCAATCAAATCCCCTTTATCACGTCGAAGCGGCTGTTATGTTCTATTGGCGGAATTGGGTCCCTCAAAACGGCCAGGGTCTGTTTTCCATGACTGTTTCGCAATCCATGTCCTGAGACGCTTGACGTGCAACAGTCAACGGCTGTGGGCATCGCAGCAACACGCATAAGCCTGCAGAGATAGACCCTAGAATCAATGCCACATGGGAACAAAAGTACGTACTTTGTCTGTAGCGTACTGGAGGCATTGCACACGTGGAACGGCGTCTCAAAAGGTCTAGATCTATAGCTTGTATCCGTGATTGTCAGGCTAACAATAACCGAGGGCATCAACTATAGTAAGAGTGTCTTTGGTTATGCTCTGTTATAGGATTTCATCTATCACCAATGTTACCTCCAAGTGCACAATAGGTAACGTTCTTGCTACGTTCTTGCTACGTTCCTAGGGATGTGGCCAGGTCGAATAGTAGCAGGCCGTATTTACAGCAGGATATAAGTTGAATTCCTTACTAAGCAAAACATAAACTACTAAAGAAGATGCCTCCAAATTTTCGTAGAAATTTCGGTGTGAAATTCTCACGACGCTGATACGTCGCCCGTTTGGCTTAGGGGTAAAGCGTCTCACTCGTATGCTTATTTCGTTATGAGAAGATCGGAGGTTCGAATCCTCCAACGGGCATGGTTTTTGTTGGTAGTCATCATACTTTCTGGGTTCATTTTTTTTGGCCATTTGAGCGCATCGTGCTACATTTCAGAAAATGTTCGTGTTGTGTGCAGCGGTGGAAATAGCTTTTTGTTCTGCTGCAGCTCAGATGAATTCGAGTTCGGCGTTCCAGAGGATTTCTTGGCGTGCAAGCCTGCCATTCATTCATGGCACTGGCAGGCTGTATCACTACTATAACAACGTCTGTCTGTATACCTGTATATGATCCTGCCTGCACAGGTACTTAACCCATTGCTTTCATTATGCTGTCTCATGGAGAAGCCATGCCTGCGGTTTTTCTCACACCCGTTCTTGTCTAGGACCATCCAAGAATGTGTGCCTCTACGCTTAGTACCCTGATGCATCGCAAGAGTCGAAAGATATCTCAAGGCTGAGAGTGAAAGCCAACGCCAGAGCCATGGAGCAGGGCCCAGCAGTGCCGAAATATATCTTGCGTGGCCACGACGCAGCCATCCATGCCCTCCATTTCTATTCCGGCAACGCATTCCTGGCCTCCGGCGACAGTGACGGCTGGCTAGTGATATGGAGTCTGACCACGAAACGGCCTGTGGCTGTCTGGAAGGGTCACGATGGAGGAGTCATGGCGATACAGCATTGGACAACGGAGAGATTGGTCAGGTAGGTTGTTATACTGTCATGACTCTGATTATTACCATTACCATCACTGTCTTTGTGAGCGTGTTGCTTGACGACTTCTGCTGATCATGGTTGCTAGCCATGGAAGAGACCACAAGCTGCGAGTATGGCAAGTCCGGCCAGAAGACCTTGCTGGGCTCAGTCAGGAATTGCCCGCGGATGGGGCTCACCCTGATCAAGCACAGCCATGGCTGTTACACTCGTTGTCCGTCAATGCGCTGAATTTCTGTGCCTTCTCAATCTGTGACGAAAATGAAGACGAAAGCCGCGAGCTGGCTTCTGCAGATAGAACTCCGCCTGCGCCTGCGCCTCAGTTGATAGCGTCACCGAATGGCCTTGATTCAGGCGGCATTGACATCTTCCAGCTTCCCTCGGAACAGAGGATCTCGCAAATCCACTCCGACGAGAACTCCCCGACCGGTATGGTGATGGCGGTGTCTTTGTTTCACGACCACGATGACCCTTCCACGCTCGTGTTGGTGTCGGGCTACGAAGATGGCCGGGTGATGGTCCACTCGCACAGCGGTGGACTGAGAGTTGGGGAAGGCCAGTGGCAGACGGTCATGACTAGCAAGCCGCATTCTCAGCCAGTACTGTCCATCGCCATCCTACCGTCCAGGCAATACTTTCTTAGCTCAGGAGCGGACGCCGTTATCACCAAAGTTGCCTTGACGACCGCCAACACGGAGAGCGAGCCACAATCCCAGAAAGCGGTGAACACGAAACATGCGGGCCAGCAGGGTCTGAGCGTACGGTCCGATGGCAAGATCTTTGCCACGGCTGGATGGGACGCCCGCATTCGGGTGTATTCGTGCAAGACGATGAAAGAGCTGGCCGTCCTGAAATGGCATAAAGTCGGTTGTTACGCTACGGCCTTTGCGGACATCCTTTCCAACGAGACTACGAACTCTTTGTCAAAAAGGTTTGGGCCTACGGAGCCAGCTAGCTCTTCGCTTGAAGTTGCATCGTCTGTCAATGCCCTCGACGTGATAAAGCAACAGCGAGAGGAAAAGGCGCGCATGACACACTGGTTGGCAGCAGGCGGCAAAGATGGTAAGATATCACTTTGGGACATATATTAGTCCCTAGAATGGATCCCAGAAGGGACTGTGATGCGTATGACTCGGGCTCTTCCTGATCCAAGCCTTCAGCTTCATGCTCAATTCCATCTTGGTGGTATAACTTTTGATATATGCTCCAGCGTGCGCCTGATGCTAGAGTTTGATTCCGGGATCTTGGGCGTAAATTCTTCACCTTATATGGACAGTTTATCCCCGTTTTTGCTTTTTGGGCCATGTTTCTTCAACTAGCCACTTCATTGGAAACTTTTTTTTAATGGTTCAAGAATGACGTTGTCGATAAGTCTCACGCTGCGCTGGTCCAGTTCATCGTCGCCTTTAGGCGAATCGACGGGCCAGACGATGATGGCAGCACTCAAAATCGCGCCACGGCCGGGGTCGACTTTCTGAAAATCTTTAATCATCCTCATGTCGTCCGGGTCGCTCAATGCAATATAATCGATCTCAATTCGGCCGCTTCCACCCAGCTTACCATCTTTCCTTTTGGCCAATGCTTCCTCGCTAAAAATGTCATAGGCAGCTTGCCTAATGTGCTTCCCCAGTAATTCGCCGGAGTTGTACAGATCCCGAGCGGCAAATAGAGCTTTGGAAAGTACGACAGCATCTTTCCTCCGTCTCTCCCCCAGGTAAACGTTTCGACTACTCATCGCCAGCCCGTCGGACTCTCGCGTAGTCGGAATAACCCGCACTTCCGTGGGAATGTGGAAGTCTTTGACCATCCGCTTGATCACAACACATTGCTGGATATCCTTCTGGCCGAAGTAGACACGGTTGGGTTGAATAATGTTGAACAGCTTCATGCATACAGTCGCCACGCCTCGGAAGAATATGGGCCGAGATGCGCCCTCCAATTGCGAACCCAACGGCGTAATGGTGACAAAGGAGCCGTCGCCTGCAATGTCGGAGGTGGGTGGTAGAGTCGGGTACATGACCTTGACGGTGGGAGCAAACACGCCTCGAATGACCGAGTCTTTGTTGGGACCCGTCGAAGCGGCATGTTCTTCTTGTACTTGTTGCAGCTTCCTCATGTCCTCCTCCCAGGTCCTGGGGTAGGCGTCCAGATCTTCATGGACGGCGAATTGTGTCGGGTTGACAAAGATGGAAACGAACACCTCATTGTTCTCCTGTAAGGCATGTCTGATCAACGACAGGTGGCCGTCGTGCAACGCCCCCATGGTTGCGACAAATCCCACCTCCTTCCCTTCTCGACACTGTTTCCTGCGCACCTCCCGTATTGAAGGAACATCTCGAAAGACTGGGAACGGAGACTGGAGACCAGTGGCACTTGAGCTCCAACGCTGGACTGGTAGAGGTATGCGGTTTCGCATTAGACGTGAGAGGGGGACTGGTCGGCGCCAGGCTGGTGTGACAAGGCTGCGGATGCCGCACGTTCTCAACGTCGCTCTCTCCATGGCAAGGGATCTCGCGACTTGAAGGATTGTGGAGAGGGTTTGAATATCGAGACGATCAGCAGCCTCTTCATTTTGAACCCCTGTGAGCACACCGATTTTTCACGGTGATTCCAAGGTGTTCATGATGGAAACTGCAGCGTTGTATTGAGAAGGCTGAAACAATAGAGGAAAAAAAATAATAGACATTGGAATTGATTGACTGAACGAAATGCCACTAAACATTGAGGCCCGCGGAGGGTTCCTTAGGCCTAAGGCTCCTTAGGCTCTCTAGGCCTGGAGAGGCCACCAATGGGAGCTGTCGAACCCGGAGTCACTCCGCATTCTGTCGAAAAAAAGTTTCGAAGACATGAACAGCGGTGTTCTGTCTGTAGTCCATCTTTTCCCCTCCGCCTGCCTCATCTCCTCCCACCCGCCAACATCAACCTTGGCTTCTCCAAGTCTCCCTGCTGCCCATCATGGCAGACGACGGCATGTTCCTGAATTTCGCGGTGGATGCAGACCTCAACACCAACGCGCAGAAGTTCAAGGGTGGGTCATGGAGAGACCGGCTCAAGGCGAAGAGGACTGCGCACCGAGTTCGCTCAGGAAGACCACACGATGCGAACAGCGTGCCCATACCACAACGGCAGCCGAGCAATGCGTTCAACCAGTCGAAAGGCCAACCCGACGAGTTCCCAGACGGCCGTCCAGCCAAGAGGAGGCGTGAGAATGGATACATGCCCAACGGCACAGACGGCGCAGGCAATGCTCAGAGACGCAATGGGCAACAATCTACGGGCCCTCGCGAGGTCATTTCCTCCTTGTTCTCATACAACCCGAAGCCTTCGACGGCTGTGGAGGAGCCCAAGGAGGAGCAAGGAGAGGAGAAGCAGACTGCACCCTCTAACGCGCCTCTCGTTGATGGGATAGACACCTTTACGTCGCTCGGCCTCTCCCCAACCGTTGCTGCACATCTCTTGACCAAAATGGACCTAAAGAATCCCACTGCGATTCAGAAAGCAGCGGTGTCGCAAATTTTGAAGGAAGACAACGATGCTTTCATACAGTCCGAGACTGGCTCGGGAAAGACTCTCGCATATCTACTGCCCATAGTTCAACGCATCATAACAATGTCCGAACAGCGAAGAGGACAACAGAACACCGTCCAAGATTCTTCGTTACATCGAGACTCGGGTCTATTCGCCATCATACTCGCCCCTACGCGGGAACTCTGCAAGCAGATTTCGGTGGTTCTTGAACGCTTGCTGGGCTGTGCACGATATATTGTCGCTGGCACGGTCATCGGCGGTGAAAAGAAGAAGTCGGAAAAGGCGCGGCTACGCAAAGGCTTGAATATCTTGGTTGCAACCCCCGGACGTCTGGTGGATCATCTCGACAACACCCAGGCGCTCGATGTCAGCAATGTCCGCTATCTAGTTCTCGACGAGGGCGACCGTCTGATGGACCTGGGGTTCGAAGAAGATATCACAAAACTTGTCAAGACACTGGACCAGAAGAAGAGGAAAAGCAGCAGACCTGGGCTTCCGGAGAATCGCATGACCGTGCTGTGTTCTGCGACTTTGAAGATGAACGTCCAGAAACTGGGCGAGATAAGTCTCAAAGACGCGGTTCTGATCAAAGGAGATTCAGGTGACCCCGACGACCAGGGAGCCGACAGTGCTCCTGACGGAACCGATTCGGCTTTCCTTGCCCCTGCTCAGCTCAAACAGACCTATGTGGTCGTTGCAGCAAAGCTGCGCCTGGTGACGCTCACGGCGTTACTGAAGCGGACATTCGCACGCAAAGGGTCAGTCATGAAAGCCATCGTCTTTGTGTCCTGCGCAGACTCTGTTGAGTTTCACTACAAGGTGTTCACCAGAGCTTTGGAAGCAGCAGCAGCAGAGGCCGGAAAGGACACTCATACCAATGGTGTTGTTTCCGAATCTGATTCTCCGGACGAAGTCAAAGACGCCAAACCCTCCTCGACAGCTGCTATCACCACCGCCAACGACACCGACTCGATAGCTCCCGCTCCAGTCCTCTCCTCCCCAAACAACAACGTCACTCTGTACAAACTGCACGGTTCCCTCCCCCAAGCCACGCGGACCAACATAGTCAAGCACTTCGCCCAGACCACGGCACCATCGCTCCTCATCGCTACGGACGTAGCCTCTCGAGGCCTGGATCTCCCCAATCTCGACCTGGTGATTGAATACGACCCGGCATTCAGCTCGGATGATCACCTGCACCGCATTGGGCGAACGGCCCGTCTAGGCCGCGACGGACGGGCCATCATCTTCCTCCTCCCCGGCAAGGAGGAAGGCTACGTCGACGTGCTGAAGAGCTCGTACAAGCGCTCCTCGGCGTCCGAGAACGCCGACACCGCGCGCAACGTCACGGCCTCGTCTGCAGACGAGGTGTTGAAGAAGGGATTTTCTCCTCTGGTTGGAGTCGTGTCGACAAAGAACAAGAATCAAAGTCACAACCACAACAATCCAGCAGAGCCCCACAGCCAGACAGGTCTGAACTGGGAGGCCCGCGCCACCGAGTTCCAGCTCGACGTCGAGCGCTGGGTCTTGTCGAACCCGGCGGCCAAGGACCTGGCCAAGCGCGCTTTCCAGAGCCATGTGCGGGCCTACGCCACCCATGTCGCGGCGGAGAGGAAGTGGTTCGATATCAAGGACCTGCATCTGGGCCATCTGGCCAAGAGCTTTGGACTGCGCGATCCGCCCGGCCGCGTCAATGTGGTGGGCCAGGGCCGCGGGCGGAAGGGCGCAGCAGCAGTGCAGACGAATAGGAGAACGCTGTCGAATCATGCGGGTGACAAGAGTCACAAGGCTGAGCTGGATAATATGGGCGATGCCAACGAGGCGGCCAGGAAAATGCGTGACAAGATCCGCAAGAACAATAAGATGATGATGGGCGGAGGAGCCGACGAGTTCAATATTGCTTGATGGACCCGGTCTAGAGCGTTTTCTCAACATGTAGATGGAGAGATAGGAGAAGGAGAGAGAAAAGACGCAGCAAAGCTTGCCACAGAAGACCATATGTGATCGTCAACATTCGCGGTATTTACTGCTAGTCCATGCATATTGAGATGTATGGCTCTACTGTCCTGATGCTTACACCGGTCTCGGAACACTGCGCCGCTCATACCTGCATGATATTGCAGTTTGCAACCTGACACTGGGTATGCTTGTCACGCTGCCTTGCTGCCCCGTGCTGCCTTTGATGGATTGTCCTCTCGCATGCTTTCGTCAATCATGCCTGTTTACCCAGATAGATATCGACTCCGAGTATGCTCCATCCCGGACCTATATCTTGAAGACGTCGCTTTTGCTCCTGATGCCGTCAAACACACATGTCCCATCAACAGGGACGTACTGCCTTGTGAGCAGCTTGATCGACTCCTGCGCCACAACGCCGCCAATCACGCTGGAGATATTGTGCAATTCGCCGCCCGACAAACGTTCCACTTCCGCTATGGCTTTCGTCAGATTTTCCTGCGTCTCCGGGTCGGATGATAAAGAAGTTACATCGAGAGGCTGGGAGGGGTTGACCTTCGCATTCAGCGCAATGAAGACTGGTAGCATGGCTTCCCAGTCATTCTCAAGAAGGGAGGCGAGCCGGGAGATGGTTTTAGCATCGCCACCGGCGAGCCGCAAAGACGGAAATGCTTCGTGGCTGGGATTTGTAAGGACGCGGACGTGAGACGCATTTCTGCAGAAGGCTTCGATTTCGGAGTCTGCAATCGGTGCCTCTCGCGACAACGATGTCTCAATCTGGCGGACAGTCGCCGTCACTTCTGCAACATCGGATCTTGCCTTTGCCTTGTAGATACCTTGCAGCTTGATATACTCTGCACTCGTGGCTTTCATGTCCGGCAAGGACCCAGGCAGCGGAAGAACGCCATGTGTGTCGTAGAACGTTTTGATGGCATTTGCGATGATCCAGAAATTGGCCGAGCCAGCAGTCAAGTTGGCACATGAAGGCATGGCTATCATTTCCTTGCAACCGCTGCCTACCGGAGGTGGACCAATTGACTTTAAGACAGCCGCACACGCTTCATCAAAATTCTCTTCGCCTCCTTCAGGATTGTCTGTCCTGGCGCCCGAACGTACAAGGTCGCGAAATTCCGTCTTCTCTTTGAAGCTCGAAGGGGGGCTTCCGTCGTGACTAGCCTTCCATTGTCTCAGATAGTAGAGCAGGAGCAGAATGTATGGGATATGGCCATGGTCGTGGTCGGGAAGCGAAGAAATGTCGCCTAGCGAGTCCACCGCAGCTTCCAATTCAGGCCAAGGGGCCAGGAGGCGGAGATCCTGAGTACTCTCAGGATCAGGATGAGTATCGACAATGGGAAACTCGGCAGGGAGTTGAATTGAAAAAGATGCATAGAAGCCGACGGACTGGACGTAGATCGTTGGTATTGAATTTTGTAGCGCATAGAAGCTTATTCTCTGAAGGATCTCGGTGGGAACAGGAGCGCACACAAGGATAAGGTTGTAAGGCGTCAATGTCCCTTCGACAGGGAGCCACTCTGCCAGTGGCGCGGTGATCGCATGACCTGTAACGTCCGGATTCAACTCTGATAGGAGCCGCTTTGTCTCTTCTGCTCTTGACTTGTGGAGGCTGTCCGTTTCCAAGAAAAAATTGATACCCAGGTCTAGTTCTGTCACTTGCGCAGAGTCCGCTATTGTGAAACTTCCAACACTCGGAAGGATCAGGTTCTTCAAAGCCTCGACTCCAGCAACACTGCTGTTGGACCCGTGGTTCGCGTCACCAACGACTAGAAGGACATGGGACTCTTCGAGAGCACGCTGCCCTGACGCTGCCCATAACCGCAATTGTCTGTCATATTTCTTCTCTTTGGCAGTAGGGGCCTGTAAAGGAGGCGGGGTGACTTCTCGTGGAGCGATCTCGGTGGTCATGATTGAGGTCTAACAAAGTGAGAGATGTAAATGGAGAGAAAGGGTTGCCGTGTTGCTCTGTCTTGAAAGCACTACAAACTCTGGACATCCTCTGCAACTTCGTCCAAACAGCACCGGTGCCCTTCGTCAGTCGTCGATGTCTGATGCATTACTATCCAGACACCTAGTACCTTACAGCAGAGTATAGTAGACCACCGCAGGAAAGACCGTAGGCATCTGCAGTATCAATATTTGTCAGGGAAGGAAGGTTGAGCGACCGACGTCACCTGCACTTATTGGGGATTACGGGGGGTCGTCATTCTTTGAAGCGCAGTTTCTTCCGCCATCCCGCCATTCTAAGCCCAAGCCCCCAACCTTGCAGACTATCGGCGCGGTACCCCACGTCGTCGCCGCAGAAAAAGAGTGTTCAAATCACTCGGGAACATCCAGCCACCACCGGAATACTGCTTTGGGTCCCGGTATCGCAGGCCTCAGGCACCGGCACAGTCTCTCAAGTCATCAGTCTTCGCGTACGTAATCCCCATTAGACGCTTCCGGTGTATGTATCTGAGGCCTACTCTAGGTGTTTGTTGCGGCACGTGTGAGTTGTCTTTGCTTCTCAGTCATACCACTTCTTCTTACCTAACGCCCTGAAGTTAGACTGAAAAGAGCTATAACCCAGACATCTCGCCCTACAATCCGCAGTGTCGCATCGCCGAACCATATACTACCCCCTCTCAGCATCAATAGGCACTTCCAGTCCAGTCCAGTGATCGCCGGAAAGATGACGACGGACATTGAAGCTGCAAAGCAGGCCGCGGCCTTCGAGGCCGTGCGAAACCACTTCCCCGAGAACCCGCGCTTCGTCGGGATCGGGTCCGGGACAACCATAGTCTACGTGGTGGAAGCAATCAAACAGTCTGGGGTGGATGTTACAAGAGTGTGCTTTGTGCCGACGGGATACCAGTCCAAACAGCTCATTATCAATGCCGGGCTGATCCCGATCGAATTCGATGCACTTCCGGACAATGCCATGATTGATATCGCCTTCGATGGAGCAGATGAAGTGGACGAGGATTTGAACTGCATCAAAGGAGGCGGTGCCTGTCTGTACCAGGAGAAACTAGTGGCTATGCGTGCAAAGAAATTCATCTGTGTTGCCGGTACTGTTGCGCCCGGAACTCCCAAAAGTCGCTTTTGGCTAAACTTGTCACAGACTACAGAAAACTTCAACCGCGTCTGGTCACCCAATGGGCGACTGTCCCCATAGAAGTCGAACCCAAGGCGGCCCGGCAGGTGATGAGACGACTGCGGATGCTAGGAAGTCGCAGCCCGACAGGCGCAGGCCCGAAGATCCGAGAAGGCCACATGGCTAAGGCTGGGCCCATAAAGACCGACCAGGATTTCTTCATTGTCGACGCCCCCTTCCCGCATCCGCTTCTGATTTCCGACGACCTCACCGCAGAGAAGCTGGGCGACGGCGAGGGCGGTTTTTGGGAGGTGGAGCAGCTTGCCAATGCGATCAAGGATATCAATGGTGTGCTCGCTGTTGGGCTTTTCTGCGGGCCAACAGGGCCCGAGGCCCTCACCGCCGGAGTTGTTGGCGGTCAGAGGCCGGTTGCATGCTACTTTGGCATGGCCGATGGCACTGTGACTATGCGGAGAGCGCGAGAAAAGCGACCTTCGGTTGTCGCCAAATACCCTCCGTTAATACCGGTGCATTCAGCTGAAACGGAGGCTGTGGTAGTTGACAGCTGAGAGACTCCAGCTCCGTGGTCTCCAGATTTGCCGTGATATGTCTGGTGAGAATAGAACTGCTTGTGATGCTGCATCACTTTGTCTTCCTCTTGACTTCGTTCTCGGCCAATTCCCGGATGAAGATGCCTATCATGCCCTCCACGAGCTCATCCTTCCCGTCTTCAAACCCTGGACTGATTGCGGTGGCGAGATACTTTCCACTCGAACTGAACGAGACGGCAGCAACACTGGCGGCAAGCTTGGGATAAATCCGTATTCTTCGTTTCGCAATCGCGTCCCAGATGGCCACCACTCCGTCTCCACCGCCCGTTGCAAAGGTACCGTGAATCGGATGGAAAGCAATCGCGTTGACGGGGTAGACGACGTCCACATCGTCGACATGTTGCCGATGACATTTAAAAGCATATTTGCGTGCCTGGGACTCGTTCGAAGGATCGAACCATTCGACAGCGACACGACCCTCGATACTTGACGATGCGTAGCCCTCATCATTCGGCATACAGTCGACCGCTCTTGTCATGAATTTCAGACTGCTTTCGCGCCTCTGCCACGGTTCGATGTCCAGTCTGTTCTGCAGCGAGTTTGCCGAGCTCTTGCATTCACTAGCCAGCGTCTTCAGCTCGTAGATGTGTAGCGCCCGATTCGCCATCGCGACCACAAGTTTCGAAGACGACACGGCGAGCGAGAACGGTTTGAAAGGTAGGTTGATCGTGGCTGTCGACCATTCTGCTTCTCCGCCCGGGTGGATGTGCACGGTCGAGTCCCACGCCGCGGAGACGACGAGCGAGTGTTCTTTGCTGTAGACGACCGATCGAACGCCGTTGTCGTGGGTGCTCAACACGGTCTGCGTTCCTGTGGCTACATCGATTCTGGGTACAAGTCAGCCTCTCAACAAGGCCTCACTAGACACACAACACCGCGCTGCCGGCGACACCTGACTTGAGAGCCAGAGCCCGCTCCCACTCCCGGAGTGATGCGTACCTGCGAACATCCCAATCCAAGCATGCGGTATAGATCTCATTGTCGTCCTTGCCGAAGCAAACGTCCAGAACAGGTGCGCGATGTTCGAATTTGGCCAGTTGTGTGCAGACCTTGCCGTCCGCGAGCTCGTATAGATACACGTTCTTGTCCCACGAGGCGACGGCGAAGCGAAGCGAGTTCGGGTGTGGTGAAAACCTCAGCGCGGATATGGCATCGGCTGGCACTTCGGACACTGCGAACTGGCCTGTGATTGTTAGTTGAGCGCGGACAGTCTAGTTCTAGGTTTGAAACATACTAGACATCTTGAAAGATATTGTGAATGTCAATCACAGCCTGACTCGAGCGGTGGTGTGTGTACGCGACTGGAGTGCAGTGCGGAGGGAAGTACAACTATAAACAATCGATCAAAAATACTGCCTGTTTTCACCGCCTGCTTCAGCCCAGTCGCAGCCTTGTGCAGTCCCTGGCTCAGTCTCGTCCCGCCAACACGTCAGAAGACTAGCACTGGCGGTTGTCATTTAATACGAGTCTGGATTAGGTACTTGGAAGGAAACATACTACAGCAGTTATCGAGGTCCAATTATTACAGATACAGCCTTACATCTCAATATACTTCGTAAATATACTCTTATCAACATATCGACCACGAACTGATCTCACGGATGTCCAAGCCCGGGGGGTAACGCATGCAATGAACCGATCGCCATGTCACGAGAAAACGCGCGCTGAGCGCCTGTGCAAAGCTCTGACAGAGGGCGAAGGCCACAGCCGCAGACACAGCAAAATATGAACAAATATCAATGCTCGCTTGCTCAATCGCGCAAGAAAGAAACAGTCGAAACGGCACTTTTCTTCGACGAGGTGCCAGAAATGAAATGGATGTTAGACAGCGTCTTTCCATTCCTCGGGCATCTCTTGTTCGGGCACCATCCTTCTTAAATCCTGGAGCACTGCTTCGGTCCCTTTTTCAAGGACTGCTAGTCTCGGGACACGGAACTTGTTGCCGCTGACTTCCAGCACTCTTAGTCTGTCGGGTGCTTTGGGGGCACCAGGGTGATTTCCAAACAATCCGATCTTTGGTGGGAGGCTGTCAATTTCGTTGTTTCGAATGTCCAGAACCTGCAGGCCTCGTACTCCTTCGACCTCAACAGTGGTGAACCAGTTGTCCGTTGCAAGCAATGTGTGGCAACTAGGCCACCACGCACGTACCCAGGGCACTCTGCCGCTTAGTCGGTGGCACGAGATATTCAACTCTGTCAAGGCTGGCGCTTTCAGATGCGTTGTCAGCGCATCGAGCGAGGTGAGGCCAGTGCTCACGATATACAAAGATTTGAGGTTCGGAAGGAAAAGCTCAGAGCTGAGATAGTCGGTCGGATGGAAAAGAGGGTTGTGGCTGAGATCCAGCGACCGCACGGAGTATTTTAAGGCCGGGTGAGAAAGAAGTGTGGAGGGAAATCCGGACAGCTCATTGTTAGAGAGCTTCACGGTATGTATTGCCACATCTGAGTCATTCAGATCGATCTCTTCAGGGGAGATCGTCGCCAGACCCCGTGAGGACAAGTCCAGGATCCCATTGGATGGTTTATAGTGGTAGCCATGATTGTCATCGGGTCCTTGGTGACTCTCTGGGCCCCGGGGCTGTGTCCCAACCTGGGGCGTAGTCAGTCTCTTCTCCAGATCCATCTTGAGCTCCGTTGCGCTCATTTTAAGATACTTCTTTTCCCGGATAGGGTTGCCCGCCAGGTTGAGACTCGAGAGATTTTTCATGTTGGCCACTTCGGGGTTGATGAGTCGGATATTATTGTGCCCAAAATCTGCACTTTTCAGAGACTCCAAGGACACAAATGTTGGGGGAATGTCCTCCAACTGGTTTTCGGCGGCTCCCAGTGTTTGTAATTGCCTGCAGTTCGTGAAGTCTGGCAGCTCGGCTATTCTGTTGCCGTCCAACAAAAGTGAACGGAGATCCGGAAGGTCCAGCTCGCCTTCGAAAACCAACCCAAGGTCGTTGTAAGAAACATCCAACCGGCGCAACGTGTGCAAAGACGAGGTCCTGCGGAAAAGTGTGCCAGATAAACAATTCTTCGACACGTTCAGTTCTGTGAGCGGCAAGGTCGATAGAGTCTCCCAGGGGAGCTCCGTCAGCTGGTTGCCGGCAGCATTAAGAACCTTGAGAGCTCGTAGTTGAGACAATGCATCTACATCAAATCGCTCCAGTTGGTTGTCGTGCAGATCAAGGATCTGAAGCTGTTCGAAATGGTCGCCGCTGAAACTGAACGATCCATTGATGAGATTTCCGCCGATCATGAGCTCCCTCAGCTGAGGAATCTGACAGGCAATGTCAATGGCTTCGTTTGTGAGCCTATTGTTGGTCAGCTCGAGGATTTGCAGCCTTTCCAGCCGTCGCAGGCCAACAGGAAGTTGACGAAGGCTATTCCTGCGTAGATCGATGAGCTCGAGCCCGCCGAATATATTAGTCTTCTCATCATTGTCGGCCAAATCAGAGACCGTGTAGTCCGGGAAGATGTGACCCTCTAATTCCTCAATTTCGTTATCCGCAGCGTTCAGTTTGACCAGATCCACCATCTCAGCCCAATTGATCCTGCTGCTGTCCGATTCGTACATTTTCATAACTTCTGCAGGTACTCGTGGCAATTTCAAGCCCGCGATGTTCAAGTGGCCAATGCTCACCGCTTGCTCAATGTGCCTTTTCAGTCGACCTTTGTTGTCATCAGCTGTCGCTATTCCGGCCTCGCTGTATGCTGCTGCAAAGGTAGTAGTACCTGAAGATTGTGCATGTGTGGATACAGCGTCACTCATGCCCTTTCTTCTCGCGGCCTTGGCTTTGGCGACTGCCTCCCGCAAGGCTGCCGACGAATTTGGTGAGCCTGATGCTGTGCGGGAGTCTGCCACCGAGGTATGCTTCTGATCCAGCTTGGAAGCCGTGGGGGGCCTTCGCGACTTTCCACGTGCCGAAGGGGATACTACGGGGGTTGTTACATTCTGGCCTCCCAAGCCTGGCTTGGGAAGAACATGGCGCTTGTCGGTGGTAGACACTGCAAGGCTGCTGTCGTATGATCTGTCGGACGCAGGATCCTGAAAAATGGATGATAGTGACGGTTTCGCCGTTGCATTATTAGAGGGAAAATTTTTCTTGCCATAGTAGGGTTTGGCTTTCATCGTCTGGGCCGCCCCTTTGAATGGGAGGTCGGCGGTTGCATCCTGTGACTGTGGTTGGAGAGCGTTGCTAGTAGACTTTGTTGGTAACCGAAGGGACTTCGCGATACCTGAGCGCTGCCCTTTCACGAAAGCTCTAGGCGGGGTGTAGACATCATCAGAGGACATCACTGGGGGCAGAGCCACCATGTCTTTGGTCGGTGACAACCTCCCTGGGGGCCGGAATGGTGGTCTCGACGGCGATTCTGAACGCGAGACTACCGGGCTTGTTGGTCGAGAATCCCTCATACTCGACGCTGGACGCAATGGTGGAAACATCTTGCCATCATTGGCAAAAAGACCCGACCTTGCTTGAGGTGAAGGACATGGGGAAACCTGCGAGAGTGTTTCAATAGTCCGCTCGGATAAGGAAGGTCGCGGTCTTCGCTTGGCCTTATGCTCTTGTACGCCACCAACCATTTCCCCAATGACAGGGTTTTCATTGCCATTCTCAATGGCAGGGAGACTGGAATCGGAACTCGGCGGCGTGGTCTCGAGGGTGGTAGTTTGTGCGTCGCGCAGGGCGTCTCTCACAGGAGATATGCTTCTCTCTTTGGCGGCATTGTCGCTCCATCCGTAACGCGAGCGGATTGAATAGTTTATTGTCTCGCGGAGGGGATCCTTGGGACCCGCAGGACGAGGGAGATGCGAAGTCTTGCGCAGGTCATCTTGGTGACTGGTTGCAGTTGCTGGTGTCCGGACGTTCAGCCTCAAGTTGTCGACGGAGGCGACCGCACGTGGCATAGGAAGCCGTGACAGGCGTGGAATGGAACCACGGGCGGCATGTGGAATCTGGGTTTTATGGTCACGGTCCATGCTTGCTGTCGTGAAGGACTATATCCGCAACGATGTGGGAAGTGTCTCGTAGTGCGTTGGTGCTTGTTTGCTACCACAGGTTCCATGGGGCAAGCAAACAATCCATTGGAATACCGAACGTCGAGAGGCCAATAGACTTTCTCAGCAATGGTGAGTTCTCAATTGGGAGTATAACTGGAGCCTAAAGCTCGAGCGCCCTGTTATTTCAGCTCAATTGCGAACAAAGACGGGCGTGTTGACAACTTGACAGTAGGTAGTGTTGACGTGAGGGTCAAAGGCGGAGGAGAGTACGTAGAGGAGGGGAGGGATATTGATTGCCCCTGGCACACGCGAAGCTGCCATGATCGACTGGTTGTCCAAGCGACCGGCAGCTGGAGCGAGGTGTGGGTGCTGCTCAATCAATAAACATGACTAGCACCAGGTTAGAGCCTAATCTGAAGCCTAGAAGTTGAGTTTGGGGGCCTTAGGAGCCTGGAGCCTGGAGCCTGCCGGATTGTGGGCTAGGAAGGCCCCATAAACCCTAGCTAAGCCTCTGTTGGTGAGATCAGCCTCCTCAGGCTTCAAGCTTCATGCTTCCGGCGCTGTCAGGCTCCCAGTGTCCCGCTCCCGCCCAGAGTTGACGCCGAGACGCTTAACCCGTCCGAGTTTGTTGGACGCGTCGGACCAGATCACGCTACTCCTACTAGTTTGTTCTTGTTCAGTTGTTAGAGGGCACTTTAAGGCGCACTTTCAACACCGGCTCCTCCGCTGGTGCCTCTGCTGGTCACCCAGCATCGTCACTTTTGTCTTTCCTGCGCTCCCCAGCCTCTCAACTTCTCTCTGTCTCCCATTTCAATAGCACATATCTAAGATCTCCACCTCAACCAGCCTGTCAATTCTCTTACACATCCCTCGTGCCATCTTATTCCAGTTGTTCCAGTCAAATCTCCGACCACGAGTTTGGTTCTCAGTCACTCTTTTGATGCATTGTACCAGTCCGTGGCCCGACCATAAAGCGTTATTACCTTCAAGTTGCGACTACTCCGCCTACAATCCTCTGCTCCACCCTCTATCGATACCGTCCCGAGTGACAGCAACAGCCCGGCATCGATCTTGACGTTTTAGCATCAACCCACTCCTCAGCCTGTTTGCCGCTCTATATAGTAGGCTCTTTGCTTGCGACTCATTCTTTTGGCCTTGACCATCACACACACAGCGCAAGATGGCAGAGCCGCATATCGCGATGAAAGCAGAAGATACCGTCATCCCCTCGACTCCTCCACCGCCAGGTCGCACTCATTCTGCAGAAAGCGTGACCAAGTCGGCTTACAGTTCTCCTCCGCCAATGTCTGCGAGCATGACTCCTCCTCCCTCGACACAACCGCCTCGGTTTCACTCGCCAGTGCATCGCATCGGTCTTGGACCCAGTGGTGCCTTCCTTGCGTCGCCCCCAACCACCGTCAGAGCAAACGTGCTACGTGCTTTACCTACTCCCGACGCCATCGCCAAGGCGGGCATTGAGGAACTCAGAAACATGGCGCAGGAGCTGGTTGCAGCTGTCCAGGAAGCCAGGACGTCCGCGGCGCATTTCAAGTTGCAACACAGTCTATTGGCCATGGAGTCGGAAGAGGCCGCGGAACGCGCTGAGGTAGAGCATCAGATGACCCGCAGAGAGGTTGAAGTTCTTCAAGCGGTGGAGCATCGCAAGCAGACTTCACTTTCTATGCATCATCCGAGGTTGCAGCCATCCGCGCAACCGCAAATCGACGCATTGACCAAGACCTGCCAGTCGTTGGAGCATGAGCGCGATGAGGCCGAAGACCACTTATTGCGAGCGCGCAAGTTGCTTGAGGTGGAGAAAGACAAGTGTGAGTTGTTGAAGGAGGAAAATGACCGACTCAAGAAACGCATTCGCGACAACAGAGAGCATTTCAGTCGCCTCAAAAGTCTATCCCCCTCATATACGACACCTCGCGACAGTTTCACGACACCTCAGCGGAAAGGCGTGCCACGATTTTCCGAGTCTGCGCCTAATCATGCCAATATTGCTGCCCTCCTCGCAGCAGATCAGGTGCTTAGCCAAGAGAGTGCCAGCGTTCCGTCCACGCCTACCAAAACTCATACGTCTAAGTTTAAACATGGACACAGTCGTGGCGCACATTCGCTGTCATCCTTACTCAACACGCCTGTCCAAACAGGGCCTATCATGCCAGAACGCTATCAGGAGTCTGTCGCATCTTTCTCTGCCCCGGCTTCGCGCTTCGCCAGGGAGTCGGCAGAAAGAGATCGCCACGACCGAGACAGTACGATATCAATCTCCGACGGTGAAGAGGGCAGTGATGACAATATCCCGCAATCACAAGCCAGCTCATTGGCCAGCGAGATGTTACGCAGAAATCCCGGACACCAGGAAAGCTTGAGACTATCACAGAACGCAGAGCGTTCAAGCAACCTCCTTCAGACTAAGCTCTTCGGCCCTATCAAGAAGTCTAGCCATCCCAGAAAGCGAGGAGCAAGCTTTGGAGAATCCGATATCAAGGCAAAAAAGGCCAAGATATCCCAAAGCCGCGTTGGTTTAGGTATTGAGACTTGGAGTCAATGATCCCGAGCATCTAAACTCCAATCCCGCATATCCTTGATACATGATTGTAACGATACCCATTCGGATCTGGCGTTGGACGGGAGGCAGGGAATCAGGACTGCCGACGATGCGCTGTATTGATTATGAACCTAGCTCAAGCTCAGTCATATGAATGAACAAAATCATTCTCAACTTCGAGGAAAGTCACTCCTCGGTTCTTTTTAGATAGATCTTAGCGGAGTAAGGCACCGGCACGTTCGAATGTTCGAATGTCCGATCAATCATCACGGAGGTCAAAGAAAAGGCTGTTAGTAGTAGTACTGCGTAGTACTAGGTACATACCTTATAGTACCTAGCAACGAGGCTGGGTCGATCAAGTCACATGACTAGGGCACAAATCTTGGCGGATTTTTGATGCCAAGCCTGGAATTACACAATGGGGCCAGCGAAAGTCTCAAGCGACTGCGCCTGTCTCTGTCCACCACAACCTGTCCGCCAACCATCCATTCTTTTTCGAAACCAGTCTCTAGGTTGTGAGAACATCGTCAGCAGCACAAAATGGCGATCAAACACAACCAGCAGCTGCCCAACAACCACTTTCACAAGGACTGGCAACGCCGAGTTCGCGTCCACTTCGACCAGCCAGGCCGCAAATCTCGAAGACGGGCTGCTCGTCTGTCCAAGGCCGCTGCTGTCGCTCCCCGACCCGTCGACAAGCTGAGACCCGTCGTCCGATGCCCTACGATCAAGTACAACCGCCGTGCGCGTGCTGGTAAAGGTTTCACCCTGGTTGAGTTGAAGGTATGACATCCTCCTTTTCCTCAGCCCACATTGGCATTGGAGACGCCCAAAGAGCGTGGGAAAAATTGCCGAACGACGCACCGGAAGAGCGGGAAAGGACATGCTGGAAGGGTAGTCCATTCGGGTCTTTTTTGATTATATGGAACGAGTGGAGGTTTCGATCTGGTGTGATGGGCAGCATATCATCAAAGTTGTATTACTGGTGATGAATAGAGTGCTAACGATCTACTTCTCCAACCTACAGGAAGCTGGTATCCCCCGCAAGCTTGCGCCCACCATCGGCATTGCCGTCGACTACCGTCGCCAAACTACTTCGCAAGAAGCGCTCGCCACAAATGTCGCCCGTCTCCAGGCCTACAAGGCTCGCCTGATCCTGTTCCCCCGGAAATCTGGCCAACACAAGAAGCTCGACAGCTCCGCGGAGGACGTCAAGCTGGCCGAGGAGGAGAGCAAGATCGTCAAGAAGGTCGCAGCCACCATCCCGATCGACAGCGGTGTTGGCTTGAAGCATGGCTTCAGCGAGGTTAGCAAGGGTGACCTGCCCAAGGGCGAGGAGAGTGCGTACCGCAAGTTGAGAGTGGCGAGGTCCGATGCCAGATTGGTCGGTGTGAGGGAGAAGAGAGCAAAGGCCAAGGCCGATGCTGAGGAGGCCAAGAAGAAATAGACGCTCACATCAAGGATCTCTGCGGGATGAACGAATCAAAAACACCACGGGCTGGAGACATGTGATGTGGCGAGAGGGGGTTTGTGCATTGGGGTATTGCGTTTCCGGCTTTCTGCCAGGCTACCAGCTCATGGATGGGGAGACATGGGCATGGAGGAGAAAAAGAAGCATCGAAGAAAACGATGCTGCCGTGTTATGGTGGTCCTTCCATGGATGACTTCCCTCACGGATAATCATCGTCATGTCGTCTCTTCGAAGTCAATTGACTGATAAACCTGCAAGGCGATACCAATGAAACCCAAATTTCACATTCAAGTCATTTCCAATGGCCTTTGATGATTCATAGAGACTCAGATCGCGCAGTTCTACTCCAGGAGACCATACCTATCTACCCAGTGGAGCCGGTGTCTGCCTTTGCTGCTCGGTGGTACAATTACTGGTCCATTGACATTGGCCGTGGGCCGCTGCTTAACCATGTTCAAACATTTTCCATTGAGTCAGTCGTTCATTCATGCTTTCCTATTACAGCCGCAGATGAAAACCGCCGGTTCGGCGCATTGCTCCTTGATATTACCCATTGAGAATTCAATCCTCGTCTTCGCCTTGAACTAGTCTGCAAACGCTTTTGAAGGCGGTCAGGACACCTCTAGAGGGAACCAGACTGCGAAAGACGTCTTTCAGGCGTGCTTCCGCTTTTGTCGAGACTCCGCTAACAGCGACTGCCATGCTGGATCTCACGTTTCCGTTCCAATCAAGGCCCAGGTCCCATGTCAGCATGATTGCCCTGGGTTCTCTGCTCTCCTTTTTCTGGTCTGACGACACAAGGGGCACTTGCAACTGATTTTTGTCCAACCAGCGACTCAGAACAACAGCCTTGCCTCGTGTGAGATCCTTGTTTTCGCCCTCGCCAACCTGGTCCAGGTCGCCAGACTCGGTGTTTTTGTAGAGAACGTCCACGCGATGGAAGGTCTTGGCTCGCTCAACAGCAGCAGCAAAATATTTCCCAATACCCCAGAGCATCCCTCCGACGTCTAGGCGATGTAGTGGATCCTCCATTCGTCCATGGAGCCATTTATGAATGCCGGTCGTCTTCAACTTTGGCCTCCGTGTGTCCACCACCATATCTGCCCGCCGGATTTGTTCGACTTTGACATCTTCAGTGTCGATGACCACTTCAAACATGCAAGCAAAGACGGCTGGGAGCCACGGAGGTGGCGCGGTGACAGTCAAAGTGTGGACAGCCTTGATGCGACCCTTCACCAGCTTGGTATTTGTGTGACAGCTCAGCTGTATGTTGCTTGGAGCAAACAAGGTGAGATAGGATGACAACTTCTTGGGCTCGAGAGGCGGGCAGTCGTTTTCTGTGGGTCCAGGCACGAGATATGCCTCTGCGAGCAACGACACGTCCTCTGCGGTTACCTCTTGACTCTTTTCAATCACCGTCTCCAGTCGTTCATTTTGGCGCTTAAGCTGCTGTAGCCTCTCTCGCAATGAGCGAAGGATGGCTTGTTTTTCCTTCAGCTCCCCCGGTAGGTCCTCCTCCTGGTCCACCTCAGGCTCGCTCTCCTGAGCCTCGCCGACCTCATCTTGTTCAATGCCCGCAGCTTCGTCACCACTAACAATGGCTGCTGGCCGTGCCTTTAATTTCAGGGGACTGCTGGTGACAGGCCGGTCTGATCTGATTCTCCGTCTGTTTTTCCCACTGCCACTCAAGGATTTCCTCGGACTGCTGCTTGAGGCCAGACCTCGGGGTCTATCTGGCACAAGACTCAAACCTAGCTGAACTGGCGTCGGAGGCAATTCAGGCTCGTCACCGTTCGGCCGGGCGAGTACATTGGCATCTGGCCCTCCTCTCCGCACAAGCGCCGGCTTGATCACAGAAGATAAAATGTCTTCATTGAAAGTTCTCTTCTCAGACCGGTCCGTTGCCCTTGGCCGGCTCCGGGTCGTATTTGGCCTGGCTCTGCTAGTTCCATCTCTTTCGTCCAACACAGTAATTCGCCGATCTTGGTCCGTTGCGCCGTCAGCCTGGTCTGGAATTGGAGTAAAGGCCCTGGGCGCCTCGGCTTCGGCTTCGGCATTCGGAGCAGCTCTGTTCAAGATCTCGTCTCTCAAACTCTTCCCTCTGGAAGTTGTCAAGACCGGAGGTATGTTTCGGCTGACGAGATGGGGATGTGAGCGTGCTAGGGAACTTTTCGTTGGCGACTGATATGAAGCTCTGCTCGGGGTCGTAGGTTGTGCGCCAGGATTATTCGCGATGCCAGCAGCGTCGATACCTGGCTCAAGGCTACCTATCCTACGTCTCTTGGACGGAGACTCTAACATGGCGCATTCGTGTGCGGCATAGGTGCTCAATTGATTGCATCAGGTCCTTTGTATACCCGGGCGCATATCCTGCAGTGTGATACGTTTTGACGCGCATTGAACTACTACGGTACGCGACGAGGTGAGGTCCACTCGCGACCTTACCCTGTTATGGAGGATGGTGATGCCGCCCTGTGCCCAATGCCAGCCGGCGGAGCAACTGTAAAGCAGCGTCGATCGACTAATCGTTGAGTACCTGTTCAGCAACCCCTTTTCCAACCGCCCCAGCTTGTCGCAATAATGAGACGCCACTTTTCGGTACGTGTTGATTGACTATGTAGTTGACTGGCCAGGAACTGTACTACCGCCATTGCATCTCTTACCAGCTCGTTTCTTTCGACATCATCCCCAAAATCATCTTGTTAGAGCAGCGTGGGTAGTCTATATGCTTTGGGCCAAGCTCTGCTAAGCACATTGTTAGTGTCTCTGATACTACTTTCTGATACTATTCGGAACCTTCCATTGCCATACAACATGCAGCCTTCGGCCGGGCAGAACATCCACTTCGGGCCCGAAACGCCAGATCTGGGATTAGGATGGGGATCTGCTCGTATCAATATGAGTACTCCATACCAAAATATCTTTCCAGGTACAGCTTTTGCAAGGAGACGGAGGTTACAAGTGGTGCAGGCCAGCGTATCGGAAGGTCCATGGGGTATTTTTGGTAACGGCGAAAACAAGCTCCGTGACGGCCCGGTATTAAGGGGCTTAGCCCCGTTTGCACCTCCGTTTCGTGCATAAACTCCTACTCTGTACTAGGACATGACTCCACCATTCTTGTCTATTCTATTCTATCCTCCATGAGACCACACGCATGTTTCCCCCGGTATCTGACAGGTATGTACTTCTTCGAGTAATGTCTAAATATAAGGTATGTTGTAGCCTGCCCCTGCGCTCCCTCACTCTCTACTTCCAAAGTACCAAGGTTCTGTCTTCATGGCAACATTGTTGAATTCCCGATCAACCCCAACCGGTTTCCGTTCCTCCTCTTCCTAGTCTTGCCAAACATGTCCCCTCCAGAAAATGCAGAGGCCGTAGGGCCTCCATCGCCGCCGAACGGTGATACATCTGTGGATCGCTCAGCGGACGGATTGAAAGAGGACCAGTCGCCACTAGACCAGGTGACAAGCCACTCTGAATCCTATCCCGAAGGACTCAAGTTGGTTCTGCTGTTGGCCAGTATCTATCTTTCCATCTTCTTGGTCGCTCTCGACCGTACAATCATTGCAACTGCTCTCCCCAAGATCACCGATCATTTCCAGAGCTTTGGCGACACAGGCTGGGTACGTTTTCATTCCCCCTTCCACAGTCCACGGGGGGTTACTGACATTTGCGACTGGAAATAGTACAACGCCGCCTTCTTACTCCCGGCCACTGGACTTCAGCTCTTCTTTGGACGGCTGTATACATTTTATTCTCCGAAATGGATTTTCATCAGCCTTGTTTTCGTGTTCGAGGTCGGGTCTGCGGTCTGCGGAGCGGCACCGAGTTCCGTGGGATTCATCTGGGGCCGGGCCGTAGCTGGTCTCGGAGCTGGAGGTCTGATCAATGGAGCCATGATCTTGATGATGTATGCCGCACCTCTTCAGCGCCGTAGTTTACTGATGGGGGTTCTCGGCGCTGTTTTTGGTATAGCGTCGGTTGCAGGTCCTCTACTAGGTGGTGTATTCACCACCAAGGTTACCTGGAGGTAGGTCTCCGTTCGTCACTGTTGCAGGAGAAACGCTAACTTGACAACAGATGGTGCTTCTACGTCAACCTACCTATCGGGGCAGTGGTATTGGTCTTCCTGATCTTGGTTGTCGAAGAGACCACCCCGGCTCTCGGATCACTCCCCGTGAAAGAGAAAATTACCCGTGTTGACATTCCCGGAACGCTTGTCTTTGTCCCATGCATTGTCTGTCTGCTTCTGGCACTTCAGTGGGGTGGGCAAACATACGCCTGGTCAGATGGCCGCATCATCGCCCTCTGGGTGCTCTTTGGGGTGCTCCTCATTGTTTTCATCGCCATCCAGTTTTGGCAACAGGAGTCCGCCACTGTACCGCCACGCATTGCAAAACAGCGCACTGTCGCATCCGCAACTTTCTACAGCTTCTGTCTCGGATCGGCATTTTTCATCATTGTTTACTATCTTTCCATATGGTTTCAGGCGATCAAGGGCGATTCGGCCATCACCTCAGGATACTCCACCCTCCCTTTCATCCTTTCTCTTGTCATTGCCTCGATCATGGCTGGCATCTTTGTCAGCAAAGTCGGCTACACCAATCCTGTAATACTTGCCGGGGGCATTCTTGTACCGATCGGTACAGGTCTCTTCACCTTATTCACGCCCCATACGGGTCATTCGATGTGGATCGGTGTCCAGGTACTGTTCGGTTTAGGCGTCGGGCTCGGATTGCAACAGACGAATATCGCCGCTCAAGCCGCCTTGGACAAGAAAGATGCGCCAACCGGGGTCTCACTTGTCTTTTTCGGCCAAGGGCTAGGTGGGATTATTGCCGTCGCGCTCGGACAAAATGTCCTTGATAATCAGCTTATCAAACGACTTCGGCACATTGGAGGCATCAGCGCCCAGGACGTGGTCAGCACTGGCGCGACTGAATTGAGGAACGTATTCTCGAAGGAGCAGCTTCCCAGTGTGATCGAGGCCTACAACAGGGCCATTGTCATCGTGTTCTATTGTGCCCTTGCCTTTGCCTGCATAGCGATCTTCGGGGCCCTCGCCATGGAATGGAAATCGGTCAAAACGACGGAATCCGGTGCGAAGGACGAAGAGAAACAAGAGGCAACACAGGATGATGTGCAGAGCGAGCCGCAGGAGAGCCGGATGAGTACCCCTGTGGAAAAGCAAACAGAGAGTCAAGAAGGGCAGCAAGGTAAGGGCTTGAAGGCCGATGATACCTCAGAGTGACAACGGTCTCTGTACATCAGGAGGGTCCCCATGGAAGAATGTGCAATTTAGGCGTAGTACTCTTCTCCTGAATTGTTGTATTCAGGAGATATGCTGTATAGTAGCTCTCTGAGCTGGGGGAGTGTCAGTATGAGTGTAAAAGTTGACTCTACAGATTCAGAATTCCAGCACACTGATACCAGTTCCTCGGGGAATATCCAACACATAAGACTCTGATCGAGTCCACCGCCACATATGGTCTGGGAAAATATATAACCATACAGCTGTTGCTATGTCGTTGTGATATCACCTCTCGCTCAGTTAGGGGCTTGATTATGTAAGGAGGCTTGTCGTGCACGTGATATTGACTGGGTTGAGCCTTTGCTCTTCAGCCAATTGTGTCTCGCCGAATAATCGCACTGCAGGGCCAACGCTTCCAGCACGGAAATGTTGACCGAGCGGGTACGATGCTCCACAGTACCAATTGCCAGCCATACTATGACGCCAGATCACGTTGGCCAGCACGACGTCATGAGCTCAACAGGCGCATCACCACAACGCAGCCACGGGTCCTTCAGGGAGCAGCAACCCTCGGTACCTCAGGGTTTCTTGGACCCAGCGAACTCTTTCCCCGGAGCCACCCTGTACTTCATAAAAAGCTCGAACAGACCCTCCAACCTCTTCTTGCTCGACGCCCCTACAACCAATTGATTCAGAGACATCTGCCGTATACTCTTCAGACATCGAATATCATCTCTGTGAAAGCAGCACTACATCCGTCTCGCCATGTCTTCTATCGCCCGAACCTTTACCCCGCTGCGGACAGTAGCGAGAGCTCTTCCTCAGCGTCCAGTTGCAGCAATCCATACTTCATCGGCTCGTGCAGCAATGGGCGAGGACCATCTCCGTACGTTCCCTTGTGATTGATCTCATTTCGATGCCGAACATCCCTTTGATGCCTCCATGTTGGGGTACGCAACCATCTAAGATCGACCACTTTCTGTCTATAAGGTCGATTATAGATTCAAACTCCTCGATACCCAAACAATACATTGGCCCCCCTTTACTTTCAGAGAAGCTGTTGCTAACGCATGGTGGAACGTGAAGATCGCGACGACCGCCATCACGAGATTGACCATCACAAGAACGACAGCGTCGAAAAAGCCAAGACCGGAAAGGGCGAATGGAAACCAGAGCTCGCATCTAACAGCGAGCAGACAGTGAAGAGTGACAAGTCGGACTTGACAATGGAGCAGATGCAAAAGTTGGGGGCCCAGAGATCTGAGGAAGATAAGAACCCTGGCGGAAGTGACAGCTCAACCGGTTCCCATAAAGCGTAATGGGACTGTTGAGGCTGTTGTGGAATTTGCTGGTCTTCTGATTGAAAACGGGAGGTTATGACAATCGATACAATCTTCAAGCTGTAGTATGCGACTCATGAAGTTGGGATTGTGGAGGCAGAGCTCTCACAGAAGATTCAGGTCGCCGTTGCGTTGACCAAGTGTATATATGAAGAGCCAAGTTTGACCGCGCACTAAAGGAATCGATTGCTTCTTGATTGGTAAACTATTGCTTCAGTTCTCTGACAAGGGCGAAGACAATGTTCCCCCATTAGGTTTCTTGACATTTTTCGGATCTGGCGGATACCTGATGCAAGGCCTTCGAAGCATTTACCGGCAATTGCAAAACATTGCGCCTCAGAGTATGTATCGAAAGCCTGCGCTTTCGCCGTTGACCTTTCTCGCCCTCCCAATCAGCGTTTTCTTGACTTCGTCCGACCGGACTGCAGGGTCGTTGTCCTCTTCCGCATCCCTCGCAGCCAATGACGGGCTCATGAGTTCCCACCCATCGCTTCCGCTTCCTGAGGGATAGAAACCATTCCTGGCGTTCTCGCGCCGAAGCACAAGTTTCAACACGACTGCCAAGCCAGCCACGCCGACGGCCATGAAAGCTGCGCAGACAGCCATGCCCTGAATGTAGAAGGGGCCCTGACTTTCTGGAAACACATGGACACCAATGAGTGGCCCGCATTGGCCGACCACGTTTAGGATGGTGAGGCCGGTCCCTTTCCCAGTCGCGGTGGCCTGATTGTTCAATGTCCACGTGATGATCAGCGTGACCGATGCGAACAAGCCCATGGCGGCCCCGTAGACGGCGACATAGCGGATTGTGATGCTACCTGCCTGGCCGAGTGATTCGTGGAACGACCCAGCAATGGCGATGCTGGCGTACGAGAGAGCACTCAGCAGGGAGACCGCGACCAAAAACCACGAGCGGGAGTCGGGCACATTGTCGCTGTATCGGCCGACCAGGAGGACGAACACAAAGGCGAAAAGGTAAGGCGGCGCGGCGAGGGCTTGTGATGCCACAGCGGAGAAGGACATGCTGTGTATAATGGTAGGGAGGAAGACGGGAAGGGAACTGAAGGAGACGTTGACGCTGAGGAACATGAGGGCGGTCAGGTAGGATTTGGGATCGAGGAGGGCGGAGAGAATGACCTTGGTCTTGAGGCCATGACCCCCAGGCGGTGAGACGCCATACGATGAATGCGACTGTGACTGGCGCTGTTCAACTTGAAGTCGCAGGACTGCAACATCTCGCTCTCGCGCCGTCAAGTATCGCGCTTTGGCCGGCGAGTCGGGGATGTAGTACCACGCCGCGACGGCCGTGAGAATGGACGGGAAGCCTTCGACCAAGAACAGGACACGCCATGGAGCGATCGGCCCGTTCTGACTCACTTTGATGATGACCCAAGCCAAGGAACTGGCGAAGCTGGTGGCCAGCGGCGCGGCCGATATCTGCAGACCAACTCGATACGCCAGTTCGGAGCGCTTGTAGAAGAACGTCATGTAGAAGGGGACCCCTGGGCCGAACGCCGCCTCGGTGATTCCCAACAGTCCACGCAGGACGAGCAGCTGCTTGAACGAGGTCGTCACACTCTGGAGACTGGCGACAATGCCCCAGGACAGCACGCACATTGAGATGTAGACATGCGGCGGCACCACTCGATACAGCAGGATCATCCACTCGAACGCAATGTACGTGATGTAGAAGGCCGTCAAGAGCCAGTCGTACTGCGAAGACGAGAGCGACAGGTCCTGCTCCAGCCCAGCTATGCGCGCATTGCCAATGTTGGACCGGTCGAGGAAGGACAGCATGTACAGAAACCCCAGGAATATCACCAGCTTGCGGTCCAGCTTGCGCACCACGGTCGCCTCCTCTTCAAGTGTGTATTCCTCCGATGGGGTCTCGACATGCTTCAGCGGGAGGACCATGATTCTCTTTTCCTCGTCAGTGTCGCCGTCATCGTCGCTCTCCTTGTTGCCGTAGCCCGAGCCGGAATCTTCGTCGCTATTGTCGCCATGTTTGCTGCGATGGTGGTAGCCGTGCTGATGGCGCAATCTTCGCAACTCGACTGCGTCCTTATCGACTTCGCAGGAGCTTTTCGTCGCTGCGATCGGGAAACTGTCGCTTTGGAGGCCGGAGGTCAGCAAGGTGGGAGTTCGATTGGCCTTCGAGCTGTCCGGCGACTCATTGGAACGTGACGAGGACATGGTAAGTTACGGCCACTGCTAGCCGTCCGCTGCTCTCTCCTACTCTCCATGGGTCGGGCAACCACTTCTGAACAGACAGCGACAGACAGCATGCCACCGCGCATCAAACTTGACATAGTACTAGTAAGCACGGCGGGGCCATGGAGACGTGCAGAGAGACAACGAAGGACCGAAGTCGCAGTTGTCCGATTTCAGGCATCGTCTGAGCGTTGTGCGAACTGCCGGCTGGGATCCTAGAGTCAGACACATCACACACACCAAGATGGAGTCGTGCAATACCAGCTACCGACGTACCAACCATCCTGAAATGCACCCGGCAAGAAACCAATCATCGTTCGAATCGCCGCCACGCCACGGGAATCTGGGGACGAGATGCAGAGACCCTGATCCTCCCTCTCCTCGTCCTGCTCGTCCTCGTCCTCCTCCCTCTCCCCCTCCTCTGCAGCAATCAGCCCTCCTCTTGCCATGATGACCTGACGACTCTCAATGTCTCTATCGAGAAACCGAAAAGCCATGATGTCTCGCCTTTTGCTCCTCGTTTCGTCCTCCGTTCCATCGCGACTCGCTGGGTTCTGCTCCCTTAAACAGAAGCCGCCCTTGAAAAGGTAAGGCGTCCAACGCCTGGTTACCCGTGGATATGACGGCAAGTAAACCAATGCCACCTCGTCAAGAGGGGAGCTTTCCCGGCTACAGTATGGTTTGATCGATGGGTCTGGAACTAGACACCCATCAACGTTCGAGATCTGTCGTTGGCCCCTCGACACGATGATGGTCTCCTTTTTTTCAGAGGCCCGACCGTCGCGCAACCAATTTCCCAAGTGGATGAAACAACGGGCAAAGCGGAGGCTGAGCAGCAAAACCACCGCCAACCATGTCTAGCAAAGGAACCGCATCCCTCTGAGCTGACTTTCGCTACTTTATGTCCTGTATCAAGAGCTGAATAATTCATTGTCCAACCTTATTAGAGTCTGCCATTCTGCATTTCCAGCAGGTCTTTGCGATTTTGGTTGCCGTCATCAGTCAACCATCAGAGCGACCATTCCCCATATCTTTTTCGGTTGTCCACAGAAATTTGAAGAAGATAAACCGTTCGGAGTCTTGAATAGTCAGACCTCGATCGATATGCGTTCAATTCAGGCCTTTCTCGGCGCCGCCGGCCTCGTCACTTTCGCCCATGCCTACACCAAACCAGGCGCAAGCACTTGGGGTCCTCTACTCACACCAGACTTGTCCCAGGTAGGTTGATACAGGTTCAGCTCAGGATTATGTACTGATCACAGCAGCCCATCACTCAAGGCAAAGAAGTCCAAGTCACCTGGGATCCTGAAAGCCACCCTACCGATGGCGTCACTGTCAGCCTTGTTCTCTGCCACGGCGCCTCGTCCAACTGCGTCCCAGCGGATACTGCGATCGCATCAGGCATCCCCGCCGACCAAAAGTCCTTCAACTGGTCTGTTCCTTGTGACTTGGCTCCAGGAAAGCAGAGTACCGATACTGGATACGGCATGCTGATCATCGTCGACGGCACCGGAGAGTTTCAATGTAAGACACTCTCACATGAGACGGATTGCTTGCCGGTGACTAACCGTTGAACACTAGACTCGACTCAATTCTCCTGCCTTGAGAACGCCAGTTGCGCCAGCTCAGCCCCTTCTAACACGACCACAACCAGCTCCGCCAACTCCAGCGCTTCTGTCGCCATCCTACCACCATTCCAAGTGACAGAATCGTCCTCTATCCCAGCGAACGCCACAGCACCCGAAACCACGACAGTTACTTCCGATTCGGCCGTATCGACCACGGGCCCAAACTCGTCTACGGCTTACCTTATCACATCCACCACGGTCGTCGGCTACACCAGCGCAGCTACAACTGGTTCGGCTGGCACAGTGGCCACTGCTGGCAGCGGCTCGACAGGGTCTGCATCCGGTCCATCGGCGACCCCCTCGACCTTTGCGGGTGGTGCTGCACAGCTGATTTGGAACATTGGAGGCATCTTCGTGGCTGGAGCGGCTACTTTGTTCGCACTGTAAGGTCTGTGAGCAGTAGCGGTTGGAGACAAAAGTTACGACTTCTGTTTGCACGGATGGAAGGTGCCTGTGCCCGTGCCCGATCAAGTTCGCTAGGATCAAACATGGCATCGGTGTGGTGACGGGACGCAGTCGAGAACCCACCTGTCCGAGTCTGTTTGATCTGTGTGTTTGTGTTTGTATGTGTTGCAAAGAGCGAAGGCGCATGTTCCAAACGTTTTGTCATTGCTTTAGCCCTGGTGCATCAGCATTCTGCTATGTTTGCGCAGCATATTGCCAGGCCTATGGCTGAAAAGTATATAGAAATAAATTCCGTTCCTAACTCGGAGTTGCGAAGCAGTGCCTCTCTCGGTTTGAGACGATCCTTTGATATAGAGACATCAAACACCAATCAGTGCGAAAGACCCCTGTACTTCGCCGTGCTACAGAATCAGGAAGGACAACCGAGGAATACTACGTAGTACTACCTAAGTAGTACTAGTATGATCCACCGGCAGGGATGATTTGCTTCGTACCTAGGCACCGCATGACATCGTCAGGCGACAAGGCTGTCTGAAGCGTTCGCCTTCAGCCGCAGCTGAGTGAGAAAATCTGGTACGCGGAGCAGCCTCTGCCATACTAAGGTCGCTCGCCGGCCACCACGAGCGAGAGATGACAGACGAGCCGCATAGAAACACGCCTTGTCGCCTCGCCACTAGGATCATAGTCTGTCGCTCTCTACATACTCTATAATCGGATCGTCTCTTCTCTCTTGTTGAGCCTGCGTCACATCTTTTGATAACTCTTCCATCAGAGAGAGAGAGAGAGAGAGAGTATTCCCTTCCCTCGTGCTGCCATTATCGTCCTACCTGCTTGGACATCTCAATATGGTGCTACTAGGCGGTCTGGAGCTCGTTGCCGCGGGCTATCTTCTCAAAGAGATTGGAAAAGACAACAAAGACGAAGAGGAGGAGAAACGTGAGAGGCGACGAAGACGACGCCGTCATTCTCGAGACAGCTATGACCACGGTGGCCATCAGCACGGCCGTCACGATGGCTCGCCTCCCAGTCGACACAGCCGGCCTCAGCATCAGCAACAGCAACCGCAGCAATACATGCCGCAGCAACAGCAACAGCAGCTGATGCCGCCTTCGCATCCTGCCGGGCCTCCACGACCGTACAGCGCACCTCCACCACAGAATCGTCCGTCGACCGGCCCGCCGGCGGGGTGGCAGCAGTCTCATCCTCACCCTCCGCAGACGCAATCACAGACCGCGCTACAAAACCATGGAATTTGGCCGCAACAGGCGCAACGGCCGGGACAAGTGCCGATCCAACGTCCCAATGGCTTTGCTCCCCAGGCTTTGCAACGCCCTGGGACTGGAACATGGTATCCTCCGCCAGGCATGCATCTGGACATGAAGACGGGCAAGTTGCAGTCCAACATGTACCCGCCGGAGATGTTTGAGGCCCAAAAGCAAAAGCAAAACCAGAGCCAAAGCCAAAGCCAGAGCCAGAGCCAGAGCCAGAGCCGAGAGCAGAAGCGGCGAGATACCGTGGACCAACGCAGCCAGGATCGCCCTGGCAATCGACAGCAGCAGCAGCAACGGGAGCACTTTGTGCCGACGACCTATAGCCAGCCGGCGCTCAGTCACTCGCAGCCCCAGATCAACGTGACACCCGTTCCAGCGGCAGATCAAGGCCGGCCCTTGTTCTCCAGCCCGCCGCCGCAAGGATATGCTGAACTTGATGCTGAGACCCCTGGGCGGTACAGACCGTATGGCGACGAAAAGCGGAAAACGAAGTCGAGTTCATTCTCGGGCCGGCACGACAGAAACGGATTCGGTTATACGGGTGACTTTCACGATCCACCGCCGGCATATCGAGAGTAAAGTCACGGAGAACCAACATCTACAAAAGGATATCACGAAATATGAAAACAAGGGACGACCAACGAGATCTGATTTATGACAATGACTGCATTGATCTATTTGGATCTGACGAAGAACCAATATGAATGACACTCGAGATGGGAACAGCCTAGCTGGCCTAGTGACTGTGGAATGGATGACAACTGGTCTACGCATTAGTAGACTGAATATAATGAGCGCGGGAACGTCGCTTACTCGATCTTCTTGCCTTGCAATATTGCAAGACGAAGATAACTGGGAAACTTGCGCAATATATGAATTGAGCAATTGCAGAAGCTGAATGATCTCATTTCTCGTCGCAACTAGCTACATCCTCGATGCGCCCCTGCGTTGTCGAGTCCCTAACGTACATCTTGCGTTACAATATGCTTTTGTCCGAAGCACCTCCTTGCAGCTCACTTTATCTGTCACCCATCAATTGTGTCGCCTTCTATTGCAGTGCCCCATGTGTCTCTCGTGGGCCAGGCTTAGCCATATGTGCTCCACTCTCGCTTCGCTTCAAGATTCTCCATGTGTTGTACATTGTCTTCGTGCTGACATGAAATCAGGATTACACATGGGTGAGAAGACCCAGAGACCGCAACGTAGTCGCAAGGTTGCTCGGCTCACTGCGTTGTTCTATCAACTGGCTCAGCTGATGGCTGCTGATCGTTGGTGTATGTGGCAAAGGAGTATTGGTTGCCAACATCAACATGACCGAATCTTGCAGTGAACTGGTGTCGACAACTCGACCATGTGCTTCGACAAAGGATAAGGTGGGACGGGATCTCCCGCGTCTGAAGATAAGAGAGCGAGATGGTCGCGATCTGTCCACATTAGAGTCCTGGCCAGGTCCAGGGTCACTGGTGGACGGTAGAGGCGGAAGATCTTCAAGCTTAGCTCTTGCCAGAGCCTTCCTGACGGTGTCCCGGAAACCACTTCGCCTACGCACAGAATGATTCTCATCAATTTGTGGGCTTGGTGTTGACGCATCCTCACGTCCACCGCCCATCTCGAGTACGGTCTTATCTGATCGGAATGAGCCAGCAGTGGCTACAGTATAGAATCGAGAAAGTGCCGGCTGTCCAATTTGTGCAACGATTCGAGCATCAGAGACTCTGCGATTCTCAAGCTCCCATATTGGTGGAAGCCGTACTGGATCACTCAATATGTGGTCAAGAGACTGGTAGGCGCGCTCGCGGTAGGTTGGGCGGCAGTTGGGACAGACTTTGAAGTCACAAATTTGGTCCGTCGGGAGCGTCGGGAGCGTCGGGCCACCAGGTGGTTCAGGCGTGCCTGATACAGGTGCCTTGTACTGGCAATCGGGAGGAGGCATTGCCGGCTGTGACATCCACACTTTCTGTAATTCTTTCCAGTCATAAGCTGCCTTGATCTCTTCGTCGAGGGAAGCGGTTGAGTTTGTTGAGAAAGTGGTACTCTGAGGTAAGATCGAGAATGTACCTTCGGACGAAGACGATGTGGTGGTTGAAGTCGATGAAGTAGGAGGTCGACCAGCCGCACCTAAAATGATATCACTGACTTTCTCCTTTTGCTTTATCAATGTTTTGATCTGGTCGGCCGTGTACTGCCCTTCATCAATAGCTTTCACGACTGGGGGACTGAGACTGTGTGCACTGAAGTCGAGGCTGACCGCGGCCATCCTCATGGGTGTGAAATCGCTCTCTGGCAGACAGCCATTGTGATCTTGTGTACACCGATACAGCCATCCGATGTCAGGGTGCTTGCTGCACACGGAACATATGAAGGAGCCCATGGGATCGAAGAGGCGGGTCATGGTAATGTGAGTACATGGATGGCGCTTTTCTTGAGGGATCCGGCGTGAGGGCATGGTGCTGGCACTTGTGTGTCATAGAAAGGTTGGATGGGTAAAAAGTAGGGCGGTACACGACCTTCAGGTTGAGTGAAAGAGAACGAGAAGATGATGCAGCGTGCAGCTTGCGATAACGCGACTTGAAGGCTAGGAAATCTGGCGAGGGAAGCGCAGTTGACATACATTAAAAGCAGGAAGGAAATAACCGTGTCAACAGCAGGTGCGGCAGTCATGGACGGTTTGTCTCTTGTTGCTGCTTGACCACGACGTCTTCCCGAGCATCATCTCTTTGCCTTGCCATCGCTGCCGCCGCGCTTACCTTTGACGCTCTATCCCTTCTCAAACCTGGAGCCCTCCGCTGTTGGCCAATGTCCATAGTCACCTCTCCTATCCACTACCACTGCAGTCCAGACCACCCAATCGTCCAACACCAGCCATGGCCCATAGCACGATAGTCAGATCTTCACTTTATCGGAAATCCGTGCCACCCTCCCCAGAATCAGTCATTAGCCACTGATGTTACTGCAATAAGTTCAAAGAGAAATGGAGGCCGTCGGGGGCAGAGGAAAATGCAGTCGTGATGATATCTGGGCGTCGAAAGGTAGAGAGAAGTTAGTCGGCTGGCTTCGAACCTACAGCACACTCAATCAATGCTGTGCTAGACCTTTCTGTCTCAAGTAGGTAGCTAATCGATGACATCATGCACAACGAATTCAACATCCTTCGGCTGATACGAGTTAATCTTCGCAAAATCGTTTGGACAAGCCGATAAAACCACAACGCAGGGTAGGAGACATCGCAGCGAAATGTAATCGCCTGGATTGCAAGGACATGTCTCCCACGATATCTCCACTCCTTCGATGTTTCCCTTGAGATCACCTTGTAAGGGTATGTTCATGAAGAGATTTAGCGGCGGAGGTGTAGGAAACCCTGATGCCATGGGGGGAGACATAGCTGCCAATGCCGAATGGAAGTTGTCGCTGCAGTTTTCATGGTATTGATCGGATGGCACGCCCAGTAGATGATAACGCTCAAGTTGACAAGCAGCAATCAGAGTATCATGTATGCCGGGTGAGGTATCAGCCGCTACCTGAAGAATGGGTATGCACTTGTTCGTGATCAGGACATCGTCCACCCGACTGCAAGAGTTAAGTTACACCAAATTAGGAGAAACAAGGGGGACGGCGCCACAGACGGTGATAGATGGAGGTTGTATGCATGGGAGGCAGCCATCGACATATGATGTGCTGCATCTTCAGTCGATACAGCCCAAGCGTCGACTACCTGGCAGGAAAGCAGATGAGTCGATGATATTCGGAGGTTGGATCACAGAACAGAGGCCTACCTGGGTGCCATGTGTGTTGATAACGGTGATGATCTGGCTCTCCTTCAAAGGTATCGCAATGCCAGTACGTGCCTTCAGCACATATCGTACTCCCGGAGTGAAATCAGATCCCGGAGTTCGAGAAGCCATTGGTGAAGTACGATCTCGAGCCACAAATCTTCCGATATCTCTGATGGCTGGCGAATGTGATGAAGATGAGTCGTTTATGACTATACCTAGAGATATGGAAGATATAACAGGTACGAATGTTTACCGGGTACGATTTACGTACCACGTGTTATGGCTGCGGTGGTCTCCGGACGTACCTAGGTATCTAAGACTGCACAGTACGAAAGATGCCTCCCTATACCTACCGAGTACCTAGCTAGTATCGATTACTAAATATGACACTAGTACAGTAGTGGGAGGAAACATCGAATCATCATCACAATCCTACGTACTAGTAACGCCCTAGCCACTTCACTAGTAGCGTAGTATCCCCAGCCGTGCTCTTCTCAGCTCCTCTCAGCTCCTCTCACGCCGGGTCGTACACCTTATACACAACGGCCAACTCATCCTCAACCTCTTCCATCCTCTCTGCCTTGTTGTCGCTCCTCCATTGACGGATCACATCTTACCCTCCCGGGTGCCCCCAATCCTATACACGCGCTTCCCTTTCACTTCGGTTCATGTACCTCCTTCGCCAATATCAGTCGCACTGATCGATACTCGCTACTCACCTCCTCAACTGCCGCTTCCCTACCCATTACGCCTTTCCGAAAGCCTTGGTGCGGTGCGCGTAAAGACTCCCGCCACTCATCACATCCAGCCGTGTGTATGCTCCCTCCCCTGCACTCCCCCACACGACCATTACACCTAGCCCCGGCCATCTTTCTTTTGTCAACAACACTCCCATCAGCGCTAACTTGGTCGCTTTTCTGTCATCGCTGACTCGTTCAAACCACCGGTGACCGCCTATACTGATTCTCTCTCACAGGTCATATCGTCCAATTGCCCTCTATCTCGCCCTTCGGACCTCGATCGCGCGCGCGCAATCACCACCACCATGTCTGTCAAATTTGAGAAAGAGCAAGTGCGAACAACGGCACCTTTCGTGCCAGGCGGCCGTGATGAGACCACGGCGCATAAGATTGGGGAAGCTCTAACCGGCGGAAAGCAACAGGCGGGCTATCTTGCTGTAAGGTCTCCCGTTGTCCGAGAGCATTGCATCAAGAGAGATACTCATAATTACATGACTAGGCGTACCTCAAACAATTGCAATCGAATCCGCTGCGCACCAAAATGTTGACCTCGGGCACGTTATCCGCTCTGCAAGAGCTTCTAGCCTCGTGGCTCGCCCATGACCGCAGCAAGAGTGGCCACTACTTCAGCTCCAGAATCCCCAAGATGGCCATCTATGGCGCCTTCATCAGTGCCCCGATGGGTCACGTCCTGATCGGCTTTCTCCAATGGGTCTTTGCTGGCCGCACCAGCCTGAAGGCCAAAATCCTCCAGATCCTGACCAGCAACTTGGTGGTATGTAGACGTATCCCCTCCGCATGGCAAGGCTTGCCGTTGACCATTTCTCTCTTTAGATCGCTCCAATCCAGAATACTGTCTATCTAGCTTCCATGGCCGTCATTGCTGGCGCACGTACCTGGCACCAGATCCGTGCCACCGTCCGTGCTGGCTTCTGGCCTGTCATGAAAGTCAGCTGGATTACATCTCCGATCGCTCTGGCCTTTGCCCAGAAATTCCTCCCGGAACAAACCTGGGTGCCATTCTTCAACATCGTTGCTTTCTGCATCGGTACCTATATCAACACCCACACCAAGAAGAAGCGACTCGCGGCCTTGAGGAAGAAGGTAAGTCTTTGTCGTTTCTGCCTTCGTGACGGAAATACAGAAACTGACGACCGTGACAGCATTATGGCGACGGCAAGAGCTCCTCCGGCCGTCCTGATGAGAGATACTAGACAACTTTTGTTCCAAGTGAAAACAAGCGGGTGCACAGCTGTATCTACGAGGTCCTACCTCCAGCTGTTTGCATGCGCTTCACTCTACTTGGTAGCCCTTGAACTTGGAGATGCTTAAGGGGAAAAAAAGGCCGGTGCAGCGTGAGGTGACAGACGCCGCATCGTTGGACCATCCTCCCCGTGATTATGGACGACTTTGTATTCTGCCATCTGGGTTTGTTGCGCCTGCTGGTGATCATATATACTGGCAGTTTTGGCTTCTTCTTGATCGTACCAGCATTGATTGTTACGCAGACGAATATGTTTCGACCTCAGGATAGTCAGCTTGAGTTCTTGCTTTGTCCTGTGCAATAGGAGCTCCGCTCTGGTTACATGCTGTTGCGAGAGCTCCAGGCGTTGCAAAGCAGTTCATTCACCCACATCTACGTCGCCTCGCGCGCGCAAAAGTGCATTAGGAGTTCTCCATGTCTTCGTTCGTCTACTGATGATGCTTGCACTTAACCATTTCCAAGTTCGTGTCCAATGAGCCATTCCCTCCACAGACAAGATTTCAGGATGCAGGCCCAGCCACTTCGTTGGCAGCCAGGACAGTAGCCTACATCCAAAAATAAGAAGCGAGATCAAGCTACGTAGGCATACGTGTTACCCTCCTCGCGCTCCATGTAATCCTTCTCGATCAGCCTAAGAGGAAAGAAATGTTAGCAGCGGTCCCCAGCGACAGAGTAACAACTATCTTTCTTTAGACAGATTGCCGTGAAAGGGGAATGGAGTAGGGAGAGTGTGAGTGTAGCAGCAATCCAAAAGATACAGGGGGAGTAACATACTTCTCAATGTTGCGCTTGATATCGGCCTGGTCCAAGACGCCTCGGGACATGGTAGCCTTGATGACCTCGACGATGAGTTCATTATGGCTGATCTTCTTGCGACTCTTCATGATGCGCACGATGGCAGCCTGGGTCTCGTAGTGGCGGTCGGCGGCGACGCGCTGGTGAGTCTCCTTGTTCTCTTCCTTGGTCTCCTTGAGTTGGATCTGGTTGATTTTGATCCGCATCTTGGCGTCCGTGAAGCCGGCGTTGAAGGTGAAGGTGTCGGTGTCGTTGACGTCGCGGCCCCGCGGGTGTTTGCGGAGGACCTGGTATTTGGCGCACGCGAGGGACTGCAGGGTGCGCCGGAGCTCGGCGTCGACGAGACCCGTCGAGGCCTTGATCTCGGTGTACGACAGGTGCTTGTCGGCAGGGATGTCGTTGAAGAGCAGCAACACGACAGCCTGGAAACCGGACACGACCAGCTCTTTGTTGCCGCGGGGGAACTTGGCCCGCAGCTGGCAGTGTGCGAGAGAGTGTTTCCACGAGAGTTTGCGCCCGCTGTGTTTCGACTTGTAGTGCTTCTCGAAGTCGTCCATGACCTTGGCGATCTCGGGTGGGATGTTGACGGCCACGTCCGGGTACGTGGGCCACGCAGAGGCCGACAGGACGTTGACGTGCAGATCCGGGGTGGGCTTGATGCCTCGGTCGTCTAGGAGTTGCTTGTATGAGAGCATCTCCTCGCGAGCCAGGTCCATGTCTTTGAACATTGACTCCAGGTTGTGGGTGAAGGCAGCGCCACACTCGTTCTTCAGGCGCGTGAGCATGTTCCTCTCGGCGTCGAATGATGCGCTTCGACCCATGAGGAGCCGACGAGCCAGGTCCTTCTTGTAGAAAGCCTCAAATACAGCCTTGCCGTGGACGAAGCGGAAAAGGTCCAATGCATTTGACAGATGTTGGTTGATTTCGGTATCCTCGTCTCCTGGCGCATCGTCGAAATCGTGCTCATCCTCGGGCTTCGATGGGTCCGGTTTTTGAGTTTGAAGTTGTGGAACTGCTTTCACTCCGCCCTTTAGCAGGAGATCGACATGCTTCGCTATCATCTCTCCGGGTTTGGCATTGTCCGTATCCCAGTTCGACTGCGATTTCTTGGTCTTGTTGATGAATGTTTCGAACGCTTTATGCAAAGCGTTGCCAAGGGCTTCGTTGTTGTGAAAGGAGTATTTGAGGAAACGATCCAGCCTGCTCTTGAACTCGAGAAGCCGGATCACCATCTCCGACTCTCGCTTTTCATCGAACACGATCAGGGCTCCTTCGGTCTCGACGTATTTGCTGTAGGTAGGAGCAAGCATCTCTCCATGTCCCTTACGCTGTAGCAGCGTATACAATCGTTCCAGCTCTTCATATTTGTTGTCCTCCAGAAGATCCAGGATGCTGTCACTGTTGGTGAGCACTTCGAGCTCCTCCTCGATCAGAATCTCATCAAAAAGGTCTGCGATCAGCGCTCGCGTACTTCGATCGAACGTCAAGAAATCGCATCGAGCCATCTCGCGCGCCAGGAGATCGGTACAGTTGTTGACGTAGTCGGAAAGATCGTCTTTGTGAGAGTCGGTTTCGCGCAATGTCTTGAAGTACTGTTCGGTGGCCGAGACAAACACAGGCTCAAACTCGCTTGTATATATGCTCAACTCATGCAACGCGTCCACGGATTGTCGTAAAAGACTAGTGTCCTTCTCATTCAGATTCCCTCTCCTATCAGAGTCGATAAGGTTGACAACTCCAGACAAGACCCTCTCTTTGATGAGCTGGTCTTGGAACACACAAGATCTGAACTTTATCAAACCCATCTGTGTGATACTTGGATTGTCAGCCGACCGAAGCAGGTATGTTTGGTCCAAGTAGTAGAAGATCTGTCGGACGGTCAATAACTGCTTCTGCCATACTGCCCAAGCATTGACAAACGCCCGTAGCATTTCTGTGTCTGACGAGTTCTGCTCGTCTCGCCGGATGCCATCCCTCACATGATCGGTCAGATGTGATTCGCATTTCTTGCTCAGTCTGTTATACAGATCTGGAGCCTTGCCCTGCCGGCAGACGTTTTCAGCACCCTTGTAGAGTTCCTCCAACGAATATGGTTCTTTTTCATTTCTGAAGATCGCTCCGAGAGCCTTGTCCTCCTGTGTCCATATCTGCTCAAAGTATTGTTGGGGGTCTATCCGAGGAACTGTCCGCAGGTTCTTCACCACCAATTTCTTGGGACCCTGGTGAGGGTTGAAAGGTGTTCTCGGCCCGGCAAATGATGTCTTTCTCTTCTGTGATTCCGGGGACGAGGGGGAGGACGTTAAATCGACGACACTGCTCGTGGCGGATTTAGAAGGAGCAAATGAATACATGTTGGCATACGAGGCCTTTGCTGGCTGCGGAGTGGTGGTTCCCATCTTTGTCTGGTATCCGTCACTGTTTCCCTCGGCCCGGTCAGATCGAGGGTTATCATTCGAACTGTTGCTCTGCTGGGACGAGAGGAGGTCGGCAATGGAGATTCGCTGCTTCTTGGAAGTGGTGGAAGGAGTGCTGTCCTCCTCGTCGATTCTTCGTTTCGAAGAAGACTTGGACGCGGTTCCTCGTTCCGGTGCTTTGCCTTTCCTTGATGCAGTCATCTAAGAGTGTGTCAGTTGGATTGATGGGTTGAGTGGAGAGATCAAGGTCCAGTACTGACGACGTCGAATTGCTGCGGATCGATCGATGATTGAGAGCCACAAGCCTAGCTACGGCGATTGGCGGACTTAGCAATGGTCCGTAAAGTGTCGAGATAGTACATAGCGTGATAGTAATAAGCCGCCTCTTATTAAGTGTCCCTGCTCCGAGGGGCTCTGGGTGTTCGGGGTGCTGGCACAGTGTGCTTTGGAGCAATGTTCCACCGTATTGATACGGTGGATTCCCGTTGAATGACACGCAGCTTAAAGTGCGACACGTCCGACGCGTTCTCCCAAGGAAAATGCGGCGACAGGCCAAACACATCCAGAGTCATCAACATTCAACAACGAATCCCACGCAGTTTCCAGTGCAGAAGAACCACTCAAACGGCAATCTCTGTTCAAGATGAGCGGTTCCATGTCGACGCCCCGAATCCTGCCTGCGCATCTCCATGCTTTCGCTCCCGGTAGCAGTTCTCACAACACCGTGCGCATGCTGGGGACCATCACCACCGTAAGCGGAGACCAGGCCACCCTGAGCTGCGGAGACGACGCAGTCACAATCTTATTAAACAGGTGAGAAAGACCCAATGTCGGACTGGGCACTGCTCGATCTCAAGCAAGTGGCTGACTGCGAGCAGAGACTCTCACCTGTCCGTGGGCTCGTTGTATGAGATCGTCGGCAAAGTCGTCAACATCGAAGGAGGGCACGGACTGGGCGTGCGTGTGTTGAGCAGTGCAGAATGGCCGAGAAATGAGAAGGGAGAACTACCGGACATCAAACTATTCGAAGCTGTGGTCGACGTTACACACCGCTACAAGAGCATATTTTACGATGATGGCGAAGGGGGAGTGGATGGAGGGTATTGAGAGGAAGCATCACCACATTGTATCCGACCCTGCGCTATTACGGCACGAGTCTCTGCTATGATGGTAATATTCATGACCGACTATGAAGAATCAACACAAATGTTGGGGAAATTCCTCGCGGAAGGCTGCTAAAATGGGAAGAAAAGGCACGATGGTGTTCTCTCGTCTCTATCCACGGCGTGCTAAGCTGGGCAGATAGAAAGCTCCATACAACTTCTACGATGCGACATCAGAGAGGAAGAAGTGGCTGGTGGTCTTTAACTATCATCATTATTCCTCGTGGAAGGTCTGCTGGGGGAAAGTAACCAGCGATGTGATAATTCTATCCAGGCTCTTGTGCTCTGGGATCATCCATGTCATAAGCCCGTAATGCTGCGTAAAAGCAATCATCCAGCTCCGCAATACACAATCAATTTGCAGACACGTACAGTCAGAAGGCTTTGACCTCGATCCTGTCCGACTTCCAGGCTCGCCATCGAATCAGCCACTCATTCGGGCTGTTGCTTTCTAGGACTCCTTCGCACGGGGTGAGGTAGCTTCGTTGCTTTCGCTCCTTCAGTGTGCGAATCCGCAAAGGCTGACTGCCCGTCCAGAGGAGTCCCGTCTGCTGAAAGCATGCCCTCCCACAAAATATGTTCATCCGTGTCCAGAAAACTAAACAATCCTGGAGGCGGTGAACTGGGCATCGTGGCATTGGCGTGAAACGGATCCGGACAATCACTGTTCAGGTGGTCAGTTGTCAGTTCGGAGAAGTTGAAATTGAGCAGTTGCTCGTGCGACACCGGAGAGGAGTTCTTGAGTGATGGTAAATCAGGGAAGTCAAAGGAGAGGGCCTTGTTTGGGGTATTCCTCTTTGATGACCCGCGTAGAAGTGCCTTTTCTTCCTCGGACAAATCCATCGGTGGCGGAAGATCGCTAGTCAAGGCTTCGTGGATTGACCGGGAAAAGGGTGTCATTTCCAGAACATCCTTATGCACAGTGCCTAACAGGGCTGTCAGTGCTGGATGTCCTGCTGACTTTGCCTTGGGGGTGCGAAAACTCGGGTGCAATTCGGCATTCGGGGATAGGCCAGCACCAAATTGGCGCTGAGGAGTTTTCGATGGAGTCTTCAGCAGCAGTCGTTCAGAACGTCTTTTGGGAGTTGGGGTCATGGGAGGTAGTTCCACATCCACAGGGCCCTCCTCAAATAGGTCAGCAAGCCCGTCATCCATGATAGCTGGTGCTTGTACTGGAGCGACATTTTCTTTGCCATCCACCGCCACTTCCACACCGCCTGCGGACAATTCGAAGGCGTCTCGGGTCTTGTTGAGTCTGGGACTTCGCCGGACAAAGGCTGGAAGGTGAGGGTGAGTTGTAGCATTAAAGGAGGACGTGGCCGGGAGTGGATCCGATCGGACCTGTACTTTGTCGGGGGATGGAAACAGCTGTCTCCTTACAGGCTTTGGGGTAAGGTCTATTTCGATGGGTACTCCTTCGGATCCATGTGCTTGTCCAGGGCTTGACTGAATTTGCCTGCTAGGGCCTCGAGGGCGAAAGCTTGCCTGCAAACCCCTTGGTCCAGGGTCAGCACTACTAGCTCTGAGCGTTCGGAGCATTGGGGGCAATTGTGGTTCGACATCGTCCGCCATGAAGTCCCCATTGTTCGACGCTTCGTTTTCGTTTTCATCAACATCAGGGGCTTCGGTTGCAGTATCAGCCGGTGAAGAGTCGTCGCTAGCAGGGGTTTGGGCATCACTCTTCGGATTCAGGGTTCCATTAGCTTTCTTCGGTAGCTTTGAAGAGTTCGAATTTCGCTTTCGCTTGCCCCTTTCCTTGGGATCTTTTTTCTGCCACTTTTCAGGCGGTCGAGGACACTTTTGCTTATGGAACCATAGGCCGCATGCTGTAAAGGTCAGTCATCTTTCACGTCTGCGGCATTGGGTACTCACGGTTGCACAAGAGGATCGATACCCACTGATCTGCTTCGTCGCCTGCTCTTCTTTCAACTTTGTAGCCTCTGAACGCCTTCACGCTCCCATCAGGGTTATGTTCGAGAATCTCTTTGTAACAACATTCGCCCGTGTCCAGAGACGTCTCAACATCGTCCCAGTTACACTTGAAGGTCTTAGCGTACGCACGTCGCCATGCAGGGGTTTCGATAGATCCACAATTGTCGCAGAAAGGAGGCATCTCTCCATTCGCGATTGCAGCTTCAAGTCTCGCTTTAGTCTGTTCCTTGCCCACTTTTTTCCTGGAAGCAGCTTTGGCTCTGGATTCTTCCGATGTGGGTGCATCTGACATGACTGCGTCACTGTCGGGTGCCCATGTCTGCGAACGTTGGAAGGCTCTCGAAGGCGGATCGCTCTTTGGTACTGGTGCAGGTGCTAATGTTTTCATGCGTTGCTGATCCCGTTGCTCCTCCATGATCTGGCGAGCCCTTGGGATAGGTGCTGGTGCCAGCCTAGGAGACGACATATTTGTCCGCGGAGCAGGAGTGTAGGACTGCGCTCTAGCCAAGGGCCTCGACAGAGCCGGGGGTGCAGGGGGGACCATATTCGATTTAGTTTGGATGGTTGGATGATCTTCGAGCTCGTTGCCATCTTCAAAGACCGAAGGATACATGGCGGTAGCGTTGTTGTGTCGTTCCCAACCTGTCTCATGGTCACCTTGACCGTCCGGCTTGTCGACTATGAAGTCGCCGAAATGCAGGGTCTGATCATCTCCGAAAAGCTCGTCAAAATTCTCACTCATGAAGCCCGAATCATGACCATGATCAGCCATGGGTGGAAGTGCAGGACTAGTGATCACGGAATGTTGTTGTTCAGGCATGACTGGTGGCGAAGATGGTATGTTCGCAGGGGTACTGGAAACGCTTCGTGCTCGGGTATCTTCTGGAGAGGTGATGGGGACATTGAGAAGCTCGGGTTGAGGTGCCGACTCAAGGTTGGGGGAAGACCCTCGAATCTGAGCCCCATGGACGAGGTTGCTTATCGGGTTCTTCCTTGGTCGTCCAGGTCGACCGCGTGGTTTGCCGGACTTATTGACAGGTATCGGTGTGGGCGGTCTGACCGGCTCTTCCGAAGAAACACCTGCTTGACCTGCAGTCGCCGGATTCAACGCTATCGGCCGGTGAAGACGCACGCTGGATGCAATGCTTGCCGCTACACGTAATGACTCAGGCTGTCGTTCAATGTTGAGATCAGACTTGGTAGGCCAATCGACTTTGGTTATTTTTGCGCGCTTTCTTGCCGTGCCCTCCTCGACGATATCGTCCCCACTGTAGTAACCAGAGTTGAAAGAATCACGTCGCGCGTGAGATGGCTGACGCATGCCGGCTCTCGAGCTTGGACGAGACAAGGGCCCAGCCTGTCTTGCTGGTGCATTGAGGCTTTGGGACGCGTTGGGCGTACCCGGTCTGCTTATTGGTCCAGAATTTTGCATGTTCTCTCGGGTCAGCATTCTCTGCATTGCTTCAAGGCCCGAGGTGTCGACTGGCGACGTGGCGGATGGCATAGCTTGTGTCAGCGAGCTATTGCTCCACTGCGGTCGAATGCCGTCTTGTGAACTCACGCTTCCCGAGCGATACCGCGTCTGTGAGAAGGTGGACACAGGTGTTAGGCGCAGTCTGACTTCGAGCATCTCCTGCGCGTTCTTCGAAAACAGGCCCATAACATTCTTGGTGATCTTGCCCGTCACCATGGAATCATTATCGTTGCCTGCGCCCTGGCCTTGATCGGCACCAAATGCCCTCGACAACAGTCCCTGTCCCACTAACGGCGTATCCGGTTCTGAGTAATCGTATGCATAAACCGTGTAGTCATTTTCTGGATGTGTGGCGAGTTCTGGACTCGCGGTGGTGACGGCTTCCAAGCACGTTCGGAGGTCGATGACGCCGATTTGATTCACGTCGTCGACGAAGGCGGTCTGTACCTCCATGGAATGAGGCCATCTTGCAAGGTGGTTGTCCTTCTGTTCAACGTCAAAGGTGTACAAGACTTTCAGTCTGATCGTCCGTATTGAGACGCCCTCCGCCGGTGAGGACGCCATTTGAAGCTGGTGTTGTGAGACGCGAAGTGCACAGACGATATTCAGAGTCTCGCCAACACAAATCGTCAGGACGGCGTCAGGAGCCGCTCATCGCGTGTCGATGAAGGGACAGGCGGTATCGATGAAGGCAGAAGTCCTCCAGAGGGTGGTAGTCGAGTGGTGTGCCTCCGACTCCGTGTAGCAAGTAGAGTAAGATCGGGTAGAACAGGTGCTAAATGCTGGTGTTCAAGAGACGCCGCTGCAATGCCAGTCTAGTTTTGAACGCTGTGACAAACAAGATGAGAAAGGCTTTTTATGTCAAATGTTACAGAAAGAGAAGAGCAAGAGGAATGAATGAATGAATGGCAGGGAAAAAGGTCAATGAAGAGTCGGGTGCAGCTCCAGGCTCTTGAGAAACGCGTGAACCAATGCGGAGCGTGTCCCAGCTAACAAGAGGCGCGACCTGTATCTTGGGTGGGGTTTTCTTTTGGAACGCAACGCCGCAGGCGGCAGTTGGCAGGTGCGGTTGTTGTGTTAGGGGAAGGATGATGCAGGCTCAAGCCACAGGTGCAGCCACAGCCACGGGACTGAGCAGCAGGCACGGCAGCTTGCCGGTGGCAGGAAGCAGGAACGGTCTGCACTGCCAGTGCAGTGTGCAAGGTGTCGCGAGTGGGCCGGGAGTTTGCTGAATGTGGTTTAGACCCAGATTCGTTCTAGGTGTTCTCCAAGCAGGACTAAAAGGCAACTTATCCGAGCATCCAGATTCTTGGCGCCGCCTCGAAAACGAGAAAGTAGCAGGACTCTTACAACCTCTCCCATTTCTGCTCATTGGGAATCGCGACTCTTTAAGTACCTCTTCGCTTTCGCAACATGGCAGACGCCTCCAAGATCCAGTACGTCCTCTCCTCCTCCGGCGCTATGACTCATGACCCCGTCCAGCCTTATCTCCGCGCGAGTCTGAGATGTCGCTAATCCATGAAACAATCTGCTGACCTTGTCCCTTTCTCACTTTATAGGGAGTTGCTCAACAAACCCAGGAACGAATTGACGTACGTGAAACTATCCCCGCTCTCATTTTGATGTTCCATTCAAATCCTTGTTTCCCCCCTGTGTCCGCCGAACCCAAATAAACCGGTGTTGATGGGTTCCGCTCCGCCCTCGGTTTCCACTCCACCTCATGCCCGCCCATCGCATCGCAAATCTCCTGTCGCCGCCATCAGTTCATCAATCCTGTATTGCGCGCAAACACCAATACGATCAATACTCATCGTCTCCTTACCGGACATGAAGATGACACTGCTACAAGTGTGGAAATCGGTATTGTCGCATTGCTAACCTTGAACTGCAGTGAATATGAAGTCTCTCTCCTTGAGGCGCACGAGTTATCTACCGGCCCCCTCTCCATCCTGATGACCGCCACTCGAACACACACTCAAGTCCTCATCTCTTGCCGAAATAACCGAAAACTACTCGCCCGCGTTAAAGCATTCGACCGCCATTGCAACATGGTTTTGGAAAACGTGAAGGAAATGTGGACGGAAAAGGGAAAAGGCAACTCCAAGGGCGTGAACAAGGACAGATTCATCAGCAAAATGTTTCTGAGAGGTGATAGTGTCATTTTGGTCTTATTGAGTTGAGCGCACCCGGGGCGACCGAGTAAGAAGAGAATGACTTCGCGCGTGATGCGCGTTGAAAAAGTCTGCCGCACGATGTGGCATCATCGAGATTGTGTCCCCGAGCGGATGCGTACCATCTCAAAGCGGAGTCTGTTTGAATGGGGCCCGCCCGACCGACCATGATCTTGAACAACAGCCAAACGCCGGCGCAGGCTCGCGAGCGGCCAAAAACAAGATACCCAGCATTAAGCCAAAGGAAGCCGGATTTTATACAAAAATATGCAATCCCCTATTTGGTGCCCTTCCGTGGGCATATATCCCCCTCGTTTGTCTTCTTCCCTCTCCAACGGCGTCTAACAAGCATCAGCCAAACCCACCAGGAATTCTTGCAAGCCCCAAGCCCCGGGATCGGGTATCTTGCCGATCCATTCACTTTCGGAGCCGACATAGACTGTCCGGCCCAGGCTGGCCTTCATGCTCTTGGTCTTCTCCGCGCCTTCTTTTGCGGCAGCGGCAGCCTTCTTGACGTCGCCAGTTCTCTCCAGAGTGTCAACGAACGGCACCAGCGCATCCATCAGAGTTCTGTCCCCAGGAACCGCCGGAGTGTATCTGCCCAATGCTTTGACACTGGATTTGAGTGCAGCCGTCCAGGTCTTAACATCCACCTGCTTTGAGGAGCCGGAGTCTTGTTCTCGGAGGCCATGGGCCAGGGCGTTCAGGAAGATGGCATAGATGGCACCCGAGGTCCCATCCATGTAATTCTCCGCAACAGGCACAATCTTGTTGACGAAAGCGACGGCGTCCGTGGGCAGATCTCCGGACGACAGTTCTTTGAGGACAGCCTCAGCGCCGCGTTTCAAGCCGATGCCACAATCGCCATCGCCCACAATGGTGTCGAATTTGGTGACGTCTTTTTCGGCGGCGATCATCTTGTCCAGGCCTGCCTTGAGAACCTCATGTGACTGCTTCGGGTCAAGAGTCAAATTGCTGGGTTTCGCCTCTACCGAGTCGATCGACTTGTCCATCGTCCCGGTGTTGTCAGCTTCCCACGTCGATGTCTGAATTGCTGCGGCCCATCCCACTGCCTCGGCCGGAGCGTCGAGCAGCTCAAGCATAGACTTGCCCTTTCCAAGGCCGGTGTCATCCAGCTTGAGTATGGAGACTGAAAAGCCGAGCCCGTTCAAAGAGGTGATGAAAGTCCCTGCGATGACTCGCACGGGCACGATTTCCCAGTCTTCTTTGAGCTGTTTGTGGACCTCGGCCACGATGCCGCCGATCTCGAGGTTACTGACGCCGCCCAGGTTGTTGATCAGCAGCACCACTCTGTTATCCTTCGTGATGTCCACATAGTGTCTGTCCGTGTCGTTCGGGTCGAGCAGCTGGGCCAGCATGGTTTTGATGAGCTCCGGTAATGTCGCAGACACACGGTGGCTACCTGGTTCATTGTGGATACCCATTCCAATCTCAATCTCCTCGGTTGGAATGATTTCATCGGAGTTCGGATCAGCCACCGAACGTCCGGGGACATGGACATGTTCCATTGATGCTCCTACAGAAACAAGGTTTTCGGCGACCTGCTTCGTGAGCTTATACACCTCTGCAAGACTGCCGCCAGCTTCTGCGAGCGCACAGGCGATCTTAAGAACTAAGATGGAGCCTCCGATCCCTCGTCTTCCCACCTTTCCGCTCTTCGCCCGGCCTACTCCCACATCGTCACCGATCGCATAGAACTCGGTATCGACTCCGGCGGCTTTCGCTTTCTCCGCGGCCATTCCAAAGTTCAGGATGTCCCCGGTATAGCTGAAAGTAATCACAGCAACGCCTTTGTCTGTGGGGACTCTCGAAAGCACGGCCCGTCGGACAGCTTCGGCGCTGGGGCTGGCGAATATTGTCCCTGCCACCGCGGCTGTCAGGAAGCCCTTGCCAACGAAACCGGCGAATGCAGGTTCATGGCCAGATCCTCCGCCGGAGATGATAGAGATCTTCGGCTTCTCGAGTAGTTCTTTGGTAGGCTTGCGGAAGATGATTTTGTTTTCCAAATCAAGGGCGAGCGAAGGGTTGGTCAGTGTCAGGCTGTGGAGGGCGGTATGGACGAGGTGAGTCGGATCGTCGATAAAATGCTTGGTCTGCATCTTGAAAAGGTGTCTCTGGCTTTGTGCTTGGGTGAGAAATTGTGCAACATAGAGGAGAATGGGACGGTGGAGGGAGAACGAGGGAACAGAGCATTATTACTAGTATTGAGGAGCTGGTGCTGGTGCTGGTGAAGGTGAAGGTGAACTACCGGGGTGCATCTGGTGCAACTGCGGTGCAACTGCGGTGCGGGCAAGGCGGGGAAACGGGGATGCAAGTCGGGCGCTCCACTCTTTAGAGCGTGGAGGACGGCACTAAAAGTTCCACCACACCTTTATCATTTGGCCTAACCACATTCGGATTCATGTTGTGCCCATTGACTTGGGCTCGCTCTCATGAACTCCCCCGTTGCACTCTGGCATTTTTCAGCACGCAGCTCGGTGCGAAATGCTGAAGAAAGGCATTGTTGAAGGCGAGGGACTGTTTGAATTTGAGCTGAGGGCAGGCCTCTGCTGTAGAAATCCCATTCGCTGTTGGTGCAGAAAAGCAGAAAACGGCTCCGCCCTAGAAATGAAGCTGCTGTATCTATCCAAAGCTACCTCGCTGCGCACTGGTCACCGTCGCAATCTGCAGGTTGGAGTATGCCTTGATCTCGCCGTGTGTGCCGGGCTTCTGCTTCCGGAAGTGCTGGTGCCTTGCACATGAGAATGTACTACTACGTCGCTACTAGCATAGAATACGACGTGAACCTTACAACCCCCCACGGAGTTGTGCCGACCACAGCCGTGTCGACTGCACAATCTGTCTCGGCGTTTCGCCGAGCATCCGATCACCTGCAAGGATTGTACGTCCTTACCTGTATGACTCAGTAGCCTTGGTACGGGTTGTGTTCTTCAGAAGTGGGATTTCGGAAAGGGCAGCGGTGTCACTCGGGGGGGATGCTACAAACCACCCCCAGACATCTGGCGTGGGGGCTGATACATCCAAATGGGACCTATCACGTGAACGATCCAAAAGCCTGTGGGGGTCAGGGGATGGCCAGCCTTGCGACCGTGCAATATCCTACGTAGGTAGGCAGTTTCTGCCTCAGTGCAATAAACCACTAGGAGATCAATGACTGTAGTATGAGCCGAGCTCATATCTATGACAGCTACTTAAGCACCGTTAAAGGCTTGATATACTAGTATACCAAGTGGGACGATCAGAAGTAAAATGAGAGACAGAACCACCCCAGAAATACATTTCCAAGTAGGTATCTCAAACACTATTTATCTTGACCATTCAACTCAACAAGGTGCCTCACAATGTTGAAGAGGCCCCCATCATCGGCCACAGCGCTCGGCGAGTCAATGTGCTTCCTCAACTCATCGTCAAGCAAAGCCCGCAATCTCGAGGCCAACACTCCAATCCTGGCCCATCCGCGCAACTTCAGCCATCCGTCCACCAAGATGCCTGCACCTGAGGTCTGCACCTCGACAGGCCCGCCGAAGAGCAGCAACGCGTACGCATTCAAAGGGGTGAGGTCTCTGATGAAAGTTTTGCTCGTCTCCATTTTGGCGAAGTAGCTCACGAACCCGGCTCCGCCAGAAAAGCTCTGGGCGTCGAAGAGCACGCTACTGGGATGCACGAATACCCGTCCGTTCTCTTCGTTGAAGTACTTGATCGTGCGGGCATCCGGGTCCAGTTCCTTCGCGCCCGTCATTGATGCGATGTATTTCTTATCCGGCATCTGGATGCGGGCGATCTGTGGATTCAATGCGCCTGCGATGAGAGCACGCAATAGCATCGTGTTACGTCTGTTATGGTTGTGCAATGACGACGACGAGTCGCCCCGGTATCCGGCGGGTAGAAGACCCGTTTCAATCAAAGAATCGAGCAGCTGCCGTCTCGTCGAGTCGATGTCGCGCAGTGTTTGCTGGGAGAGGAATTTGGTCGAACACCAGTCCTGGACATCTCTGTATCCGAGATTCGAGGAGACGTCTTTCCACTGCTCGAACGCGGCGCTATCAAGCAGCAGGTCCCCATCGGCGACGGGGAAAGAAGATGTCCGCGCCTGTCTCGCTTCGTCACGCTTCTCTCGTGGAGAGACGAAAGGACTCTTTGTCGTCAGGATCGCGGCGATTGTCAGACATGGCTCCAGACAGTCGAATAGTACGCCATATATCAGTAGTTTGGCGCAGCGTAGGTCGGCCGGGATCATGGCCAGATATGTCCCCAGACCGGTCAGACTGTCGTTCTCCAGTGCTCCCATCCGTCGTAGCACCTTGATCGCTGTGGCAACGGCACGACTATCCGGCGGCGAGATGGTTCTCGCCAGAAATTCTTCCACATTGTGATCCGACCCGGTGGCCTTCACAGAGAGACAAAGCTGCTCCAGCGGCGTGCGATGCATCTCGGGCGCAGCTGCAGGCGCCATGTTGGCCTCGACGTTCTTGGTAAATAGCTTGTAGCATTTGCCCGCCTGTACTCTGCCAGCTCGACCGCGGCGTTGCTTACATGCGGCCTGCGAGGCCCACACTTCTTCGAGACGAACAATGTTGGACGTGGGGTCGTAATGTGTCTCCTTGACTTTCCCCGAGTCGATCACCGCCACGATATCTTCAATCGTGATCGACGTCTCGGCAACATTGGTGGCGACCACTACTTTTCTCTTGCCGCGAGGTGCTGGTCTGAATACCAGGCGTTGGTCAGAAGGTGTGAGAGAAGCGTGGAGCGGTAGACCGAGGATCTTGGGAGAGTCCCTCAGTGTCCTGAGGCACCGATCTATCTCCATTGTTCCAGGCATGAAGATCAAGATAGCTCCTGTAGAAGCGCCCAGTTCCTCGTCAATAACGTGCACCAGAGACGCGATTAGCTGGTAACTGATACCCATGCCCAAGTTCTGGATGGCCTTGCCGACATCCAGTTGAGACGGACTTCCATCGTCACCAGCACGCTGCTGACCTCCTTTGTTGACAAGCCGCACAGCATCGTCAAGGTAGAAGTCTTGCACCGGGTACGTACGCCCCTCGATGTGCACTCTGCTTACGACACGATCGCCGCCGAAATATTCAGCAAACGTGTCCGCATTGAGTGTTGCACTCATCAGCACGATCTTGAGGTGCGGAAGCGCTGTCATGGCATCGCGTAGGAGTGCTAGCAGGAAATCTGTATCCAGTGATCGCTCATGCACTTCGTCCACAAAGACATGGCTGACGTTGGACAAGGCTGATTGGATACCTGTCGAGCTCTGCAGTCTGCGCAGAAGGACACCAGTGGTCATGAATGTGATTTTAGTCCTAGAGGACACCTTGGAATCGCCTCTGATATTGTAGCCCACCTCGTCTCCTTCGATGGTGCATCGTTCTGCACTCACCCGATCAGAAAGTGACAGCGCAGCAACCCGCCTTGGTTGAGTACATATGAGATTGGCGGTAGCACCTTTCATGTCTTGGATGGCTTTGTCCAGGATGAACTGAATGGCTTGCGTACTCTTTCCCGAACCGGTCTCACCTGTTATCAAGGTGACTTGAGCTCGATTGACCGCCTCCATTATGGAGTCCTTCTTAGCCCATGCCGGTAGCGCTCTCCGAGTTGCATTCATCTTCTCTTGTGCCTCGGTACGCTGCCGGGACATCCATGCGTCTAGTATTGCTTTGTCGGTTCTCACATCTTTGAGGTACGCCCGCTCTTTTGTCTTTCCCTTATGGGGTCCAGGCTGTGCTCGAAATTCAACGATATCAGATCGAGCTTTCAGTGAAGAAGAGACGATTTCTAAATCACTCAGCCGGCCCGGATTGGCGACAATGCTTGGTATTGAAGTCTCAAGCCATTCCAGTAGACTGAATATCATCTGATCACCTAGGAGATTCTCCTGAGCGTAGATTGTTGCCCTCTTTGTGATGCTGAGACGAACATAACTTGGCAACGTGGGAGCTTTGATCAGAATGATTGGCGGAGACGAGTTTGGATAGCCAGACGTCGGGCATCGAAATTGGAAGGTCGCTGAAACGTTGGAGCTTGGATCTGCTCTAATCGAGCATTGATCGGGCTTGTCCAGTGAGAATCTTTCATCGAGTATGGCTTCCAAAGTGGTCATTTCTTCAGCCCAAGTGTTCTCGTCCGTGTTAGTCGTGTCCCAGCTGTCAGGCTGCGGAGGAACAAGTCGCGCCTGGAGCGCCTCTAGGGCTAATCCCTCATCCCCATCGTTGTCGCGCAATGCTTGAACGCAGAGCTGAGTCGAGTAACCACCCTCTGCCAAGCGCTTGATTTTCGCATCCGTTGCCAAGTTGCTGCTGACAAGGGTGACTCCAGCGCTATAACCTGGAGGAAAGCTCCACGCGGGCAAGGAGTCTTCAGGAACATGCGTCAGGAGCCACTCCAGTACCTCTTCTCGGCTTCCACAGTAGTCCAGAGCTTCCTCGATGTGACTGGCTTTAAACCCAGACTTCATCAAATCTGAAACAATCGACCTTCTTGATGCCTGCGAAATCCTCACATTGTTGGGATTCCAAATGCTTCGTGTCCTGATCATTGCTTCGATCCGTGAGCGGACGCTCTCACCCAGCTCAATCTTTGGTGCATGGTTCCATCCCTTCAAGTTCGGGTTAGATGAGCCTGGGCTTACGAGGCTGAGGGAGTCCAGTTTTGGTGGTTTTGTCGCCTGTCCCTGTCTCCGTTTCTCTATGTCTGCCTTGATTTCCTGTCTTTTGGCTTCTGCCGCGAATGGATCGGCATCGTACTTCCACGCCCGGCCTTCCTTGATGTCGTCCTCTTTGAGGCGCGGGAATTCACCCTTCCAGAGATCACGATAGGTGGGAGGAAGTGCCATCGCCAAGTTCTTCATGCTACATAGACGAAATAAAGCATAAGCCGCCGCGAAGTGGCGAGCCTCAAGAGCGGATGGCTGGTCTGCAAGATGGGCGTGGGTTGATGGGAGTTGAAACGCAGGCAGTTTTGTAACTTCCCGTGTTTTCGGATCTGACTTAGACAACACAACCCAGCACCGATGCAATTTTTCGCCATTGCTGCCAGTCGGCACCTGGCGGCTCTGATATTCTGGCTTATTCCATTTCTGGCGTTGACAATGCTCTGACAAGAGGTTCATGGGCAATTTGCCAGTCCAAGAGGCACCCCCTATGACCTTTCGAGGGTCTGGCCGTGGTGGGCCTTCGGGCTCCCTTTCGTCCCGTTTCTTCTTCTCATTCTGGCTGTTGGTGAATACAATGTGCTCACTGTCCGGGACCGTTTGGGTCACCTTTTTCGAAGGTGGATTTTTCCGGGACGCAGAGCCCTTCTTAGGCGCCATTGATTACGGATGTCTAGCCGTTAGGCCACGATAAATAAGAATGCCGTCTTCCCTACCTTGTCAGATGAAATGAGCACAGCATGATATCAGACCACTGATGTTGACCGTAGCACTCCCTGGGATAAGAGCTAGACTCCTTCCTCATCGCAAGTAGAGGAAATAGGAGAGCAAAACTTCAAGTATCTGATTGGCAAGGGCTGGAGTAGCGGTGAATGATCCTGTGAAGTGAAGGTAGAAAAGCCTGATTGCTTTGCATGAAGACACGGAACTGACTTCGGCAAACCTGCCGATCATATAGTCACGTGATCCGTCATCGCCTCAGCCTCGTGTCCCCCTTTTTCTCAGCCTTACTCCCAGTAGTGCGTGGCCTATGCCTCGTGTATTCTAGCATTAAGGCAAAAAGATTACTACCAATACACGGTTTGGAAAGATGAGAGCAATTGCAAGACATTATTAGCATTTTTGGGAGGGAATTGGAATCTGACATCTTCCCAGCGCTATTATTTGCAAGTATCTCTCACAGCACAATTTTGTTGCTTGATCGCCGAAGAAGACTTTCTTTGCGCGCTGAAGCCCCCGTATCTCACACTCCGAGGTAGTTCTGTCCCAAGCTACGGCCATAGTCTCCAAGGGTACCATGAAGCTTGTGAGCGTACGCCATTAGAACCAACACCCCGGTTCGTGAGAATACGGGATAATTCTCAGCTCCATTACCCCCCGACCTTCCTGCAAATGATGCCAATCGATGGGTCATGACTTCGTGCGTTCTCGTGAATGTTCCTTAAAGAAGGATGGAGAAATCATAAAAAAAGAAGACTGAATAGTGGCCATCAGCAAGGAAATCCGACCTCCCAAGCTTCCAGCCGGAGAAGAGCCCAGCGCCGAAAATGTGGTGAGCGTTCACCCATTGGGCTTCAACAGTCAAGCACTCCATGTGTGCTGACTGTTGGATTTGTTGTCATAGGGACATGTTCGAAGGTCACTGACTCGCTAGGCCCGGAAATAAGAGACCCCGTCGTAGTAGGTAGCCATCGCTGGCTGAGGTAAGGATAACATTGCAGCTGGATCGGGCAGTCGGAAGCCTCTTTGCATTTCCGTCTCGACGAAAGCCGATGCTCGTTTGTAACGCTTGTCGCAGTACTTGTTAAAAACGGCACTGTGGTGTTTGCGCGGATCGTCACAGCACTCCAGTAGAAGATGAACCAGGGGTTTGAGCTGCGAGTAAGTGTACCCGGAGTAATAAACATGGTGTGCACTCTGAGAGTGGGTTAGTATTTTGGTCTTGTTCGAGTCGAGAGTGACTTACCCATGTTCCCTTGCGTAGCATGGTACGTGCAAGGCAGTGTGAAGCTGCAGCTGTGAAGCTGGGAGGGCTGCCAATAAATCGCTCATCCATCAAGGTCACCTCAAGGAAGTACTTGGCCAAAGTTCTCGTTTCCAGGTCGTAATCATCGGCTTTGCTGATTCTGCGCAAAAAGCTCATCGGACCAGGCCAGCCGAGTTCGAATTGAAGCATCGTGAGCATGAAGCGTTCGGCTTTGAGGATCTCGTCCATACTGTAACCGCCATCGACCATGTAGACAATCTCCTGCACGGAAGGGCAGTTGATTTCCTCATACTTGGCCGCGATGAAGATGGCTGTGGCCCCAACCAGCTGCAACTTGCCCAGTGACACGATCTTGCAGGATAGAAAGCGATCGATGTAATTGACGCAGAGGAACAATGTCTCCGGGAGCAGGTTGAAGCGGAGATGCACTTGGACAAGCCAATCCATCAATACGGAGCGCATAGACCACTGGATTTCGTGTTGATTCTCCATGTAATGCGGGTTCGGAAGCATCTTCAGCTCGAGCTGTTTCATGTACTCAAAAATGTCGTCTCCATATTCAGCAACCATGCTAGTGTCGTAGCTTTCATCTTCTACTTCCTCCGGAGATCGAGTGGCCTCGACCAACTGTTTCGCAGCCGAGATCTCCTTCCTCGCGCGCTGGTTCATTTGAGGGAAGAGGACAGCCGTGGCTGCGCCAGTAGTATTTTCGCCTCTAGACCGAAATGACCTGGCTGTCACGTAGTCTTCCTCTTCGTAGTTTTCGTCATCTTCCTCATCCCAATATTCTTCCTGTTCTACCGGTCGTTGGATGTAGGTATGATGAGGATTCAGAGAAGGTACCGCTTCGACCGGGTTAGCAAGCTTTGCAACAGGGATCTGATGAACGTCATGTTTGTCAACTGCAGTGACGCCCGCATGTGACTGAGGCGCATGGAAGTCAGAGGCTACATCGCCTAGTTGTTGTCGTACAGTAACAAGATAGCCAGAGGGTTCTGAGATGGCAGCAACAGTCTCCTTCAGCACTGTCTCATTGTCTAGCTCGCTAGACAAGCCAGTGCCTAAGCTGACCTCATCAATCCCTGGCAAACTGAGTTCCGTCTGAGGCTCTTCAATCTCTTTAACCGGCTCGGCAAGGATTTGTGAGTGGGGTGGGAGCAGACAAGGCTGGGGGATGCCATTGAGCTTCACCGAGACAGCTTCACTCTCCTTTGCCTCTGGGTGTTTCGTGATTGGTAGAGTTGCACCGGTTGTGTTTGAGAGTGAGGCGTCTGTCTCTTGGACTGCACCCAACCGAGAGTCTTTGAAGATCGTTGTATGTCGTTTGATCAATGTCTTCTTCGTGGCCACAGCCTGCGATGGGACATGTATGACCTCCGACGTGGACACCTGAGAGTGTTCTGAGTTGACATTGGCATTTGTGCCTGTGATGATGTTCTTTAGAGTCGACACTGAACGGGGTCTTTGTGGTCTCATGAGTCCCATGGACTTTCTCTCGTACAGCGGCTGGACCGATCTGACCGTAGGTTGCAGGCCCGCCTTTGTGTGAAGGATTGAATCATCTTTGCTGGGTCTTGCGGCTGCCGCGATGTTGCTAACGTCCCCAAAAGCGGTTCGTTTGGGTGCGGCTTTTAGCCCTTGATCCCCAGACAGACTTGTGAGCGCAGGAGACGATTTGTTTCGGTGGTGGATCGTCTTGGTGGCATGGCCGTCAGGAGGAAGATTCTCGTCATTCTTCACGCGTATGCTGCGCAGGGGGCGCTGCGGCTATAGAAGATTCGAACGTTAGTTACGACAATACAAGAGAGGAGACTTAGGAAGCAATGCAGGGGTGACCACGCCTGAAGTCGCGTGTGAGACGCTGAACTCGAGACTCGTAGCCTTTTGGCTCGACTTACTTTGACATCCATCTTGACCGATGTTTGGTCGGTAAGTCAGATGCGAAAGCACTGGAGGTTCTGGCTGGAGGGCAGCTGTCTTAAGCGGCTGCTGCTCGAGGCGCGATGCCTCTGGGTTGTGCAAGTCGCGGCGAAGTCGAAAGCATTAGTCGAGAAGGGGAGAAACGGACTGGACACGAGAGCAGGAGTAGAAAGGTCGGGGAACAGGCTGTGTATCAATGCTGAAGCTATGCCTGAGGAAGTTGATGAGTGCACGGCATATTGTGGGCCATAGCAACAAAACACGGGCAATGTAAACAATGGGTGGAAGTCAATTGCAGCATGAACCACTGCGAAGCAAACTGGCGGCGGCTCTTGCCGCTCTTGCACTAGCTTGGCTGCCAAGAGCTTCTAGCTTGTTCCGGCTGTATCAACATCTGCTTCAAAAAAACACGTTCAACCAAACCATCCATTCATTGCATTTCCTAGGGCCTCTACATCCAGAGTTGCTTGTACTTTGCCAGAATTTTTCAATCATGATGGATGATATGTATTGTTCAGATGTGCGATTTGCTGCATCTTGATGTCCCAATTGACCACCGTGAGAGCGATTCCATCTCTATGACGTCAGCGCGTCGCGACCCAACACGCGGTCACATGATCAGGCCGCTTTCTACCTCCATGTTCAGCTCGCCATATTTTTCTATATAAAGGATGCCAGCAGACTCGAGGAACAACCTGGCCCCTTGCCTTGAAGCGAAAGGACGATGCGGAGCCTGATTCTGATGCGTGCGGCTTCGTATCTCGAACAACAAATCTTGTTCGGCCCCGGAAAAAAGATTGATCGTATTTTCAGGGTCCTTTAGGATAATCGGAGGCAACGGGCGCTTATTACTCAACCTCCACGATGTCTCAGATATCCAATAATCCAACAGCTCTTCAGCTAAGCGTTCTATCATCTCATACCTAGTTCAAAAGGAACAAGCCGTGTTATGTCATTTGGCTATGGCTGTAAGAAGGCTCTGCCCATGTGGAAATCTGCCCTTCGAGATGCAGCAAACGAGCGCCCGATCATAGGTTGTCCAGGCTCACTCAGCTCTAACTTTGCGCACTGATCATTAAGGAGAGCGATAATCTCAGACTTGGAGAAGCGGGATAATCAGAGGACGGAAAAGAAGCTGGCGCAAGATGCCACCATAATGAAGACCGTATTTCCAAGCACAAACATGAATAATTCATATACGTACCTAGGGGCCTTAGTTCTACAATTGTTGGTTGTAGGTGTGGAACGGTTCGTCACCTCCCTGACGGTGCCACGGTGCCGCATTGTGCTTGTTACACAACTCCGAGCCGCTGGCTGCAGCAGTTTGCTACAGACTAGATACTCCGGCCAGCCCGGAACTGGCCCGTTGATTCGAATACTTTTATCCAAATCTGATCCATGTCCATGTATGTTATTTGAAGACTCCGTCGATCGCTCATAGATATGGAATGTGGGGGGAGTCGCAGGTTGGACGGTCAATAGCACAAGCTTGACGTTGTTCATCAATCTCGCAGCTGCATCTGGCGACAGTGACATGATTGATTGGTCTAGGAATAGCAACAAGATCCCGCTCGTCGCTTCCAACTCGTATCAAAGATTCAGCGAGCACTCATTGCACGTGCACCGAGAGTTATCAGAGGAGCGAAATTGCGCCGGTTCGAGCTCGCGACCATCCCACCAAGTGCTTTCGTCGATCGGTGGACGGAGGTGTGTGGCAGGCAGGTTGGGGCGCTGCCAGTGGTTCATCAGGGCTCAACCGTCGGTATCCGCTCGCATCAGCGCCCTCTTTTCTCTCTCGGTGCGGGATATCGAGGAACCAACACGACTCGACCACGACGTTTGTCGCTACGCCCGCTCGAATAAGTTATCTGCCTGAGCAAGAGCTGGTCTGCTAACAAGGAGTCGATGGCTTGAACATTTGACCGCCTGGCCTGAGGAGGACTGGCGTGAAGGGTTAAAGTGTGCGGTCTGTGGCAGCCAGTGCGCCAGCCCACGTCCGACGTGCCGGGGATTGGGTGGAATGGTTGGATGGCATTGGCTTCAATGGTTTGCGTGTCTTGACCATGGCCTCTGAACGGCCTTGACGGCACCCAAATCAGCAGCCAAAAAACTCCACCCGCGACGGGTCATACGCTGACGCTTTGCGACCCGGGTCAGTCTTCACCATACAGACGTCGCAGACTCGCTGCACACCGGCCGCATTTCTCGAACAGCAGGTGAGGGGTTTTGCGGTTGGATTGTCTATTGTCTTTTAGCAGACCGCATCGCCTGGTCTGGCTCGCTTTGGTGCCCTCACTTTCCCGACCTTGTGTCCCAAAGCGCCTCTCAAAGCACCGCCCAACGCCCGTTGACTGCCTCATACTTTTTGCCTCTGGTTTCCCTGACTCGGGGCCCGCCCAAGGGATGCCAGCTGAGGCTGCTGCGATCTCCAAGCGACCAGCCAGAGGACATCGCTTGGGTGCCATTGGTCGTAGCTGGGTGACCGTCCCGTCACAAGATAGCGCTTGCCAGTGCGATCGCTATGTTATGTACCTAGTCGTAAGACGTTTGGTCCTCGCTTGAGTGAGAAAGATAGATAGCACCAGCGCCAGACCATGCAACTTCAACTTTAACTTCAACTTCTGTAGACCACCAGCTACAAGGCTCTTTCTTCCACCATAGTTCTGCTAGACTAATCCTTTCGTTAGTAGTACTTGTCTATCGTTCAAGTGCTTCTCGGACTAATTGGAGCTTCTACACCCGTCAAAGGCACGTTCTTGTGGTACAGTACGAGTTCTGCACGTACGTACTGGGGTGAAACTTGAATGACCCACTGCACTGCGCCCACGCCAACCTGATCGCTCGCTCACCTTCAGGTGCGCACCTTGCTTCCTCACCACCTCTTCTCTTCCATCTTCGGGTTATTCACCACTTCTTTTTACCCTTTGACTCGTAGTTGGAACGTCTAAGCATCTATCTACGCTTCAAACGGGTCTGCTCAGTGACCCGGACTCCTCAAACCTGCCAAAAGACATCGTCGCAGACTGGGACTCTTATCCTCTGACCATGTCTGGGCGGTAGAGCCGGATCACAATCACCATCCTCTTTGCGCAGTCTCTGCCAACTTCCATCCCTCTCTGGAACCCTTCGCCAGGCTCAGCGCCTACGTCTGAAGCCTTTTTTCAGTTGTAAGTTGTATGGCTGCCACCCGACTGACCAGGTATATCTGCCGTGCCTGGCCACCACCTCACGCCCTTTGGTGCCGGCACCACGAACTGCCTCCTTCGACCCCCCATCGTCCGCGCTCTGTTGGATGCTACAGCAGCTAACTTTACAATCCAGACGACATTGATTCTCGAGATCAAGCCGAGTTTTGTGCACCTTTTCTCAATCGGTCGACGCCCACCCTTTTGTGACACTGCAAGACTGCGCACGGGAAGAAAAGATCGTGACATAACCCCACAAGTGCCCAAAGTCATGCAGGTCTCCAGCCTGCTGTCGAAGGAGGAAAGCAAAGCTCCAAAAATGCCTCCTGCAAAATCCATCTCGTTCGAGCTTCTCCTGGACGAGGGCTCAAAAACAAGAGCCCGGATCCCTCTCAGAGTGGTTCTGAACACCCACGACAGCACAGAGTCCATCATAACCACTGTGAAAAACTTCTATGGGATATACGATGGGAACGGCGTGAGCTTCGAAGATTCTTGGGGGAACACACTCATTCCGTCATATGACAACCTTGTTTCTGAATCGACTGTCTATGTGCGAATAGTGCCCTCTTCACAGCCACCCTTGACTGCCTTTCCACACGCAGCACATGCCATTGACACTGGCCTTGAACCAAAACGTCGTCCCAGTCTGGGAGAACCGTTCCAGATGTTACCGCCTCATCTCAGGGAGCAGTCGCACTCTCCTTCCAGACCTTCGTCTCGGTTGGCGAGGAAGCGCAGTACTTCTCCCACCCAAGGACGGGGGCGCAGAAGTGCGTCGCAACAAAAAGGACCTCCCAATGTGTCCCTCAGTCGCGGGTCTAGCGCCAATGGAAGCTATCATGAAGACAACGTCTACAGCGATAGTGAGGCCGGGCGCAGTTCTGTGTCGGGTTCCAAAAGAGCCAGAAGCGAGCAGTTTGCAAGCTCGGACATCAGTACTGCCAACGTCTTGCAGGATGGCCGTCGTGGTCAACCCATCTTCGACAGCTCGGTGAGTATCCCCCGCCAGCCCATTGTCTAGGTGTATGCTGATTATTACAAGACTCTTCCGCTCTTCGTGCCGCCACAAGTCCCTGTCACTGCATCTCAGTCCTCCATATCCCCTCAAAGACGATCACTACCACAAGAGATGCCCTCCCCATTCCACCCTCCTGCGCAAAAGCTTTATGGTCTACAACAACATCCAGTCCTTTCACCACTGAGCCATGGCCAAATCTATAACATGGACGCTCCTGGCGATCAAGGTGCTGGTGTTGATATGGCCACCCCTGTGCCTCAGCATCATCGTCGTCTGCGAGACAGGTCGAGCATTCAGCAGGGTTACAGTGGAAGGCAAGGATACCCTGCAAATGGTGTACTTCCCACGCCGGATCCCACCGTTGCAAGCTGCATTTCAGACGAAGACGTCGCGCGCACGCTGATTGCACTGGGTGACGCATCCAACTACTCGCATGGCCGTACATCGAATTCGACCATCGACGAAACTTTCAGCGGCGCGGCAGATGCGGCATCCTCAACGGGAGCGACCAGTGACAGTGACGAATATAGTGATGCAGAGGGCGGCCTCCCGAAGCACCGTAAATACCTTGAGGAGGGGGACGTGGATGACGAATATGACCAGGAGAGCGTCATTCGTAACCACGATGAATATGATGGACCACCCAAGACGAAGAAGATCAAGACTAAGATGCATGATGGGCCTACTAATGGCTATCTCTCCAAGCCAGCTTCGCTGAAGAATAACAAGTCGGCCAAAGTCCGCTCCAGCACTCTCCCCAAGCCAGCCAAGCCGGCGGTAGAGCCAGGTCTGATGAAAGCCCCATCTGCACCTGCCTCAAGTGGGCAAGCCAGAAAATCATCGGGTTCAAGTCTGAACTTCCAACATCCGCTCGGTGCTGATGAGGAAGACCTTTCATCCAAGCCTAGATGTCAGCGTTGCCGAAAGAGCAAAAAGGGTTGTGATCGCCAGCGACCTTGTGGAAGATGCAGGGACGCCGGCATTGGCGCCGATGGCTGCATCAGTGAGGATGAGGGTAGTTCTCGAAAGGGGCGATACGGCCGGCACATGGGAGTTGCGGTCAAGAAAGCCGGCGACCATGCAGAGGATGATTCCAACAGTACTTCGACGACTCTGCTGGCCGAGGGTATCACGGGTCATGGCAGCCCAGACAAGAACAAGAAGAGAAAGAGATGAAGGATGGAGGCCTGCTAATTGATTGTCTAGGCGCGGGTACAAAAGTCTCTTGACAGTAACTATGGCGGGAGAAGGACAGCTGGACAGGTATTAGAATGGACACACCGGAAGAACGAGATTGAATCTTGGGTCGCAAGACCGTTCAATGATGTTATCTCATCACGATTGCGATCATTATGGTTTCCTCTGAATTTCGCCTTTTGTCTTTTGCAAGAAGACCATGTTGTAAAGGAGGGCTGGAGGGCTGGATGGCTGGAGGGCTGGATGGCTGGAGGGCTGGTGGTCTGGTGGTGGGGGATTTGCTACGGGAAGTGACACCAATGTGGTTACTTGTCTGTTGTCTCTTGTGTTCGTTCTATTTGGGGCGCAAAGGGGCGAATCTCGTGATGGACGCGCAACACAGGGGACTACTTCCTGGATTCGATAACGGTCATGAGGGTACGAAATAAAGTCGATTGATATCTGACTACCATACCTAACGCTGTGGTCGGCAGTACAACCGTCCTACGTAGGTAGTACTACGGCAGAGTACATACATATGTACATATCAGGAAATGAAATGTCTTTGACCCTGTCATTATTATTGGGCAGTGGGCCTGCAGTGCTCGCCTGTCAGCAAGGATCACGTGAATGAGAAGAAAGCGGGGAACTATTCAGTTCTCCAAAAAATGACAATGAATTGTTTCGAAGAAATATTGATGCTCAAGTTGCTGGCCTGCAACCGCCTTTGCACTCACCACCCATCCACCCTCCGCATCAGCAGACCGTCAAGATCTTCAGAAGTTTCCTTGTCCTGAACCCACTTGACCTGTCAGTCGGGATGTGCAGTCGTTCTTCGTTACAGTCCCGAGTTGTGAATCAATCCATAGCCATCCACGTTTAAGCCATCTCTGCACCACGACGGCTAAGTCCAGCCTTGACTGTCGCAACACACCTTGACGATGTCCCTGAGACTGTCATAACACTGAACTCATCCTTACTCATCCTAATCCATCTCGACGTCCAGTCAGCTGCCTCGTCACACCATGCCGGACGCACCGGCCGCGACACCAAAGCCCGCGGGCGCGAAGCCATCCACCACCGGCCCCAAACCCAAGCCCCGCGCAGGGGTGGTGCGCAAAACCAAAGCGGAGCGAGAACAATTTGCGAAAGAAGAAGCCGAACGCCAAAAGGCGCGGCTCGCGGAGGAAGCCAAAAACGAGCGCACGAGGGGAGGTGCACGGGGCGGAAGAGGGGGTGCTGGTGCTCGTGGAGGCAGAGGGGGTGCGTCTGCTGCCGGGCCGAGAGATGATCGTGCCAGAGATGGACCCATGGGAGTCGGCGGTGGCGTGTTCGGTGCTGGTAGCGGGTTGAAACCGGGCGGCCGACCCAGAGGCATGCTCGCCGAAGGACACAGTGAAGTGCTGGACGGACAGGCCGCACTCAAATTTGACGAATCCGGAGGCGGCGAACTTGCTGGATCTTCTGGTGGTGGCGGTGGTGGTGGAAGAGGAGCGGCCGCAGGATCCCGAAAAGCAGGAGACACATATGAGATTCCCTCGGACGACGACCCCGACGAGCCGAAGCGGGATATCGAGAGGATCTGGATCTCCAGCGAGGAAGAAGAAGAAGAAGACCAAGGACCTGTTTCTAGCAAGGGGAAACAAAGAGCAACACCGCGTACGTTCAAGGCTTCACTGGCTCTCCGACCTGTGCGCGCGCCTCGGATGCGGAGAGAAGATGAAGAGGAAAATGCAAATACCGTCTCGGGTAAGAAGCGGGGAACGCTCAAGAAGAATGAAGAATCTGTGGATGCTCATGAGCTGCCTGAAGACGGCGATGCGATGGATGTGGATGTGGACGTGGGCGTGGACGACCCGGTCTTTGTCAAAGAGCAGCCATCCAGTCCTGAGATGCGGAAACGGAATCTCAAAAAGCCGCGCAGCCTCAGCGGCCGAGCCCGAGATCTCAAGCTGGCCGCGGAGACGATCGAAGAGCGAGCCGAACGGCTACGGGTCTCAGACGATACACACAAGCTCCGAAATCTGTTTACGGGCCATCAAGCCGGCAAGCCGGACCCGACGAGCCAGGATGCCGATGAGTCGGAGGAGGATTCTGGTATCGAAGACGGCAAATTGTTTCTTTTCCAATTACCGCCTCTGACGCCGTTCTTGCTAGACGAAGAGTCGATGAATCACGAACCGGCCGTCAAGGCAGAGCCGAATGCCGACACGACAGTCCCGCCTTCAGGAATAACTGTTTCGATTCCCTCCGCTGTGAAAAAGGACCCGGAGACCGACGCAGTTGCCGATCCTTCGCTACCCCATCTCCTGATGGACGGCATGTTGACGGCGTCTGAACCCACCCGCCTCCCGTCTGGACTGGTGGGGAAATTGCGCCTCCACAAGTCCGGCAAAGTCTCTCTCGACTGGGGCGGCACGGATATCGAAGTGCAGTATGGCTCCGAAGTGGACTTTCTGCAGGACGTGGTCATGGTCAGTCCGGGAGTCAAGGCGGAAGGACAGGGCCAAGAAAACGGAGACGCAGACGAAGCGGGTGCAACCAACAAGGGCAAAGTCCCCGGCACGGCGTATGCTTTGGGCCACGTCAGGAAGAAACTGGTCTTGATTCCAGACTGGGCCAAACTGTATGATTGAGATGAATTTGATGGAGAGTTGGTCAGCTATCGAATTCCCTCAGGTCTAGGAGGGCGACGATCAAAAGAGGCTTGTGACCTTGATCAACCCAGACCTATCTCGGCGCTTGAAAGAAGAGTCTCTGCCTGTGCCATTGTCATTGTCATTGACTCATAGCCAGTCTTTCCGGAGCTCCGTGTATGTACCTAGAGCGAGGTTCAGTTGAATTGAATGCAAGCGATCAATCAAAGCAACACAACACATGGATGAATGAATGGGCAGGCAAGTTCGATGACTGAAGCATGGAGACCCTCACCATGACCGATTCAATCTGCGTGGCTCGCCTCAACTCCCTTGGTTTCTGGAAGCACCGTACATAAGAAAGCTTCCCTACCTAGCTGAAGATTCTACAAACAGATAGGTATGAAGAGGCAGTATGTTTCTGGGAGCCATCGTAGCTGATACTCTAGGAATCAATCAATCGATCAATCAATCAAGCTGATACTAGTACTTGTCAATCAAGTCAACGTGATCAACCCACATTGCAACAGACATTTCTTGGATCAAGCCTGCCCCCGTCTTTTCAGCTTCGACCATAGTTTTAGTCTCCATGGATTTGAGTAGTAGTGTACCCCCTTGCACTCTTTGTAGAGGGGAAATAGAATCAATGGTGGGTGGTGGGTGGTGGAGACAAGTGTTCTGGAGCCGACGTTGATGTATGTTGGAAATAATGTAAAAACATATTTCCTGATTCAGGGCAATTAAATATATCATTTCCATATCACTAATAAGCAGTATAGATGGAGCCTTCGCTGCACAATATACATACATGTACTCACACTCACTCATATACTAATACTATACTGTCTACGACCTTATTTGTCTTACATATCTTCTGCCGGTATCTCACGCTGGGTATGCATTTGACATGCAAAGATATTCTCAAGCCAGCTAGCCAGAGAGAACTCCCTCTTATACAGCGGTAGCATCAGAACTAGTAACGGGTTGTTCAGGAAATGACATGTATCTTCGTTCCATAGAGTCCTTAACGTATGCACTGCACAGTCGTCGGACGCCAGAAAATGGGACTTGAGACATGGCTTACGATACCCAAGCTATATACGCTGCTGCGTCTTCCATGCCGAGTTTTCTGCCACTCTTCCGTACAGGTAGCAGACGAAAAGATAGAGAATAGATTAAGGTAAGCCTCGACAGGGATGACTCCCCAATCTCTGTTTCAAGCAGTTCGTGTCTACCATATTATCCTCTATAAAGGGATCATCCCACAGGGGTCCGTAGACAGTATCGGGACTTCAGACTCTGGAATCCAGAAACAGAAACGCCGAATGCTAGATTGGATCATTGTCACACCCCCAAGATCGATCGATCGATCGATTCACATTGACTGAGGTGTCCCACTGAGGACAATAAGCATTGGACCATATACCATATTTCATGGACCAGAAAGAAACATCAATTCCTTGCAAACATGGACGGTGTGGTATAGCAGATCTATTAACTGCTTGTGCGCGATCTCCACGGTTTCTGGTGTGGGAGCCTCATGGTTCGCTCTTGTCTGACATCGACCAACCCAAGTCGATCAGTGTATGAATGCGTTGTTATCATTGTATCGCAGTCGTGGGGGCTGTACTCTTTATGATTGAGGCTGAAGATATGTCGAAACTGGCTCAAGAGCTTGACCTTAAGCATTGAAAGAGGATACCGCTGGAGCAGAACCAACTAGGGCCAGGAGATAGCTTGTGTCGCATTTGCATTTGATGTATCCTTGTGCTGGGTTTGGTGCTGGTGGGAGTTCCAGTCTCTTCTGACTTGTTCAGGCGCCAAAAGTAGCACGGCGTCCGGCTGCACTAGTCACGGAGTATGAAGATCCCTCGATGCTTTTGATGGGGTTCAGAACGACCTTGTATGCAGTGCGTGGAGCGGGATACCCAGGTATCCATTTCCCCAGAATCCAGCGTTCGCTTTGCACATGAAACTGCCTTTCCTCCTAGGCACTCGACATGCCAGAAGACCAGTGAAGAGTTTCCTGCTCCAGCTTGTTCACTGTTACATAGTGAGCCGGAGTCTCCCGCCTATCACACCTGAAGCGTGTCCGATTTTTGGGCTGCGTTGTGACCTGGCGCTGTCGGACAAGCACCTTGATTCTGGCGGCTCCGCGGCACTAGCATTGTGCGTGGAAGTACGGTTGGGGATCGATCACATCCCGTCCACCCGACGACGCGCGGCAGCCGAGAAATCTGCTGTTGAGCAATGTGCTGTTGTGCAGAGACTCGATCTGACTCAGGTAGTCCGCGGGATCACAAATAGCTCATGCACAGGGTCGCAACACCAACGGCAAGGACGGCAAGAGTACCGGCTTCGAGGATGCGAGCATCATTGGCCGCGGTGGCTGACTGTGTGCTGGGTTTCTTCTGCTCCTTCTCCAAAGGCACGACATCGTTTTGTTCTGCTTCTTCAGAAATGACTGGAGCAGAAGAGTGCATTTTCACCTCCTTTTCCAGCTGTTCGTGCTCGACGGCGATAGGCTTTTTCTTCTGCTTGTTCAGCAGGGCCACAATCTCGTCGTGGATCTCCTTGCCGGCCTTTTTGAGTTTACTCAGCAATGGATGAACGAGGTCCTCTTCCTGCTCCTTCTCTTCCTCGTGCAGATTCTCAACGGCCTGGCCTAACGGCACCTGGGTGGGAAGACTTCGCTTGGTCTTGACGACTCCCACGGTCCCCTGAATCGTCCCCAGGCCGATTTCACCGGCGGTCGGACTGGGCCACTGCTCATAAGCTGTAGGGAACGTCTGCGTGTAGACGACAGGGACTTGGACCTGGGAGCCTGAGATCATGGATCCAGCGTAGTACGTTGTGACGGGCGAGACCTGTTGGATCGCAGTGGCTGCAGCGGCGGCGCCCTGGCCGGTGACCTGGCGCTTGAGGTCGGGGATCATGTTGGCGTCAAGGAAGGGTAGGATGCGCAGCTCAGCTTCCGCGGACGAGGGCGTCGCCGTGGGCGTGGAGACGGACCTGATCGGCTCGAGGGTGGTGTATGGTATCCATCGCTCCGTGTCCAAGTCGGACGGCACAGCCGGGTATTCGACGGGGACGGAGGCGTAGGTGGTAGCAAGCAGGGAGGAAAGGAGGACGGTGTTGAGCAGGGTCAAAGACATCTTGAGTGTTTAGGTATAGCTTAGGAGGAAGGTGTTTTGAAAAGACTGGGCAGGAATCGGAGGTCTGGAGTGGATTTTCTACCGCCACGACAGTGACAGTGCGGTCACAGTGGGATAGTAAAGACACAGGGCAACAGCCGGTAAGGAAGAAGGAACGAACCGAACAGAATAGCAAGAGAAGGCAAAACAAGAGCCAAGCGAGAGAATGGTTGTACAAGAAACCGAAAGATAGTAGGTGCTGACGCGTTGCAGTACCGGACGCCGAAGGGAAGAACCAAACCCCGGTTTATAGGGTACAGACTTATACCAGATTGATGAGAACAACTTAAACAGGGATGAAGGAGGAGGAAAATAGCAACGGGAAAGACAACAGCCCCGGTTAGTTTGGTTACGAGTAACTCTGTACTCCATATCTCAAGGTACCTGAAGCATCCGAGCCAATTAAGCAAAAAGGCTACCGGCAGCTTCGTCGGGCAAGAAAAGATGGACAAGGGTAAGGTCCGACGGATGGATGTAGTGGGATGGTGGAATTAAATGGCGGAAGGATTGATTGATGATTTGATAGAGAAACGACGCCAACTGGGGCGCGAGGTGGAGATGAGACCACACTTTGATTACGGAGTACGTACAACTTGAACCCTGGGATTTGTATAGGGTGGGAGAAGATGTACTCTGTGACAAGCCAGAACTAGAACCAGCCCAGGAGACGGGAGACGAGGGTGATGAAGATGATGGCAAGGCTGGCAGCATACTGGTATATATATAGAATAGAGCAAAGATGACCTCTTATTATATCATTATCTTCAGCCTGACAGCACACTGACAGTTCGTAGGTACCTATATATGGCTGCCTGTATATCAAGCGCACACCGGTCGACTGAATCCAACCGTCCATCCCATACTGCCCATAATCACCACCATGAGTCCCAGTCCCACGCCGACGCTGGTCAGCCCATAGATCCAAGCATGTCGCCGTCTCAGGCCGTGCATCTCAGCGACCCACGTACTGACCGTCGTCAAACATCCACAGAAGCCCTCCATGATACCCTGCAAGACGGCGCACGCATTAGGGCTGGACGCTCCCACATTGCTGGCATGCTGCAGATCAAATGCCATGCCCAGCACGGCCGTGCCAAAGATGTTGACCGCGAACGTCCCCAGCGGAAACGAGGGGATGACGGCGTTCAAGTGCTTCGACACGTAGAAGCGGAGGAGACACCCTACTGGGGCAAACACGAGTGGATGGACTGCTCGAAACCGCCAGTGGATGTCATTACCCGGCGGCCAAATCGCCAAAAACACCGCTCCAAGCCAGCAGCCAAACCCAAGCACGACGCCCAAGGGATCCAGAACCGTTCGAGTGAACTTTATTGGAATCGTCGGCGTCACGGGCTGAAGAAGCAAAGCCAGCTGTGCCCCGACCTGCAGGGCCGCCAGAGAAATGGCCGGATGCACAATCATGATGGCCAGAAGCGCGAGAAACGAAAAGCCGCCGTTTCTCGACGCAATGGTCGGTTCGACATGATACGGAGACGTGGGTGACGGAGATTCCAGAGCGTTCGTCAGGGCCAGGAAGCAGTCCCGAATGAACGAGGAAAAGGATGTGAAACTTCCGCAGAAGCCCGTAGTCAGACCGATATAGAGTGGAATGGTCTTTTTGGTCTTTCCGTGCGCAGCTGCAGAAGCTCCAGGGTCGAACGAGCCCCATTCCTGTCGAAACAGACGTCGGTCTTCCGCCAGAAAGCCCATGGTTAGCGATCCGCCCAGATTCGCCCACAAAACTCGCGAAGTGAAGGGCGAGTTCGGGTACAGCGTGATGGCTTCGACGCCCAGTCGAGCCAGTGTACCGAGCAGCGAGAACAATATCAACCATCCGATCGTGAAGACTTCTGCGACAAAAGGCGCTGGCTTCAATGGAGAGGAATCAAGACCCGCGGCCGATTTCTGCTCTTGTTGCTCTTCGAGGCTCTGGTGGTTCGAGGAGCCTCCTGCCGTCTCTTCATCCGATGGCTTCTCTCGACCAGCCATGCGTTCTGGTGCTGCGACTTCGCCCAAGTTTTGCTCACCGCGGCTTTTGCCTCCGCTGCTCAGTCTACTCAGTGCCCCTTCTGAAGATGGTTCTCGAGGATCCTCTGGTCGTGCAGGTGGCGGCACCGTCATCTCCGTCAGGTTCATGTCTTCTTGACGCTCGCCTTGTTCATGCGAGTGTCTGCTCACTTGTCGCACCGCCTCTTCCCATGATGGTCGTCTGGTATCCTCTGGCTGCATGGGTGCTGGTACTGACATCTCGCTGAGCTCCATGTCGTCGGCCGCATCTTCTTCTCCATCCTCATCATGGCCTCCTCCCCGCGACTCCTGTGTAGAAGATTGCGGACGCGAACGGCCTAGAGTCGTCTCTAGGCTATCCGGATAGTGTTCTCGTGTCCAGCGATCGCGAAGATAGTTTCGAGAGGTTTGGCTGCGATTTGCCATAGTGCACGGCACGCGCTAGTTGCAGTACAGTCATTCATTGACCCGGAAGGGAGGGATAGATATCGCGTCCGTGGCGACCGAGCGAGGGGCGGGCCAGGGCATGGCTAGAGGAATTGCATTGGGGTTGTTGGAAAGGAAACTGGGGGTGATATTTGCTGGAGAAGGTCAAATATACAAACAACTAGATCGGCACATCCTCTTTACCTTCAGGAACCCACCCGATCAACAGCATTGAGATTGCGGAACGTATGGCACAACACTGCATCTGGAACCCGTATTCTTCTGAAACTTCAAAAGGTGTCTCCAAACTTGTACGAGTGCTTGGTTAGAAGTACCATGGCTTGGATACAAGCTTCATCGAGGCCTCAGACTCGGAGCCGGCGCCCTCTTCAATGCCTAACACATTAGCTAAGCCCCCTTGACCCCTAGGTGGGCTTGGTGGCTAGGGTGCTAGGAGGCTTACTAGGAGGCACCCTCGTTAGCCGCTTAGCCGCTTAGATTGGGCTAGGGAGGCCTTGGTGCTTATCTCTACTGTGGTCATAGGGACCCAAGTGCCATCGGAGTTGGAGGTGCCCCTCAGCTCAGCGTGTTCCAAGGTTTGTTATCGGAGAGTGCACGTTGGGTTGCATACTGGTTGCATACTGGTTGCATACTGGAGTCCACCCCGCCAACACCCTCGCCCTTCAATAGCTGTGCTATGTTGGACATATTTACCACGCTTTGGAAAGCATACAATTTCCTTCGATCATAGAATCCGATTTCTCGTTGAGCACTTTACTCTTATACCCTTCTATACCATCTTTACCACAATCTTTTGTGGCGCGGATATAACATGGCGTCTACACTGCCCTCCAACGTCCATATCTCCACGCATCCCTGTCTCAGGGCCAAGTTGTCGCAGCTGCGGTCCAAGTCCACCAATGCTCGCGAGGTCAAAACCCTCGTCCATGACATTGCTTTGTTGTTGGGCGCCGAAGCCTTGTCCGACTTGCCCTTAGAAACTCTTGGGACAGTGAGTTGGTCTAGTTGCCTCATGGTATATCCTTGCTGATCGAGACTCAGGCTGACCTTAACTTGCTGTAGGATGAAACTCCCCTAGGATACGAGTATACCCATGAGTCGATCGACTGTTCCCAGATCACCATTGTGCCTATCTTGCGCTCCGGGTTGGGAATGGTAGAAGGTGTGCCCATCGCATCCTCTTGAGATCGCTTGTGACTGACATGGACAGCCGTTCAATCCATCCTTCCCGCACCGGTCTCAATCCACCACCTTGGTCTCTTCCGCGAAAAGCTGTCGCTGCAGCCGGTAGAGTATTACAACAATCTACCTCAGTCAGAGGCGTCCGTGGCGAAGCTAGCCATCATCGTCGATCCGATCATCGCGACAGGGCAGACGGCTGTGGCAGCAATTCAGTCACTGAGAGATTGGGGCGTCGAAAAGATCGCTGTCCTGAGTGTTCTGGGCGCCGTGCCGGGGGTGACAAGAGCCGCGGAAGAGTGGCCAGAAGGAACACAGGTCTGGATTGGTGGCCTGGATAAGGAGTTGACGGATAAAGGCATGATCAAGCCGGGCTTGGGAGACATTGGAGACCGACTCTTCCTCACCATTGGCAAGTGAGGCGTTCGGTATCGAATATCCAATCGCGGAGTCGGTATCGTCAAAAGCCTGTCAAATGAGATACAGCCTCAACGAAGACATAGAAGTGCTTGATGGCCAAACATTTTCTCCACGGTGCCCTCTTTTCTGAGCAGACCCCCAAGCCACCGTCTCGCTCCATCAAGCTCTGTCGCACCGAATTTGACCAGCACGAATCCACGGACGGTAGCGGCAGTCCACAAAAGACCGTCTTGCTGCTCACGTTGTCGGGATAGCTCGACTTCTTTCGCATTCTCACTTTGGGTGGTACTGTCGTTCGCCGCCCAATTCTTAGCTCCGATGCGCGGCTGGTTGGAGAATTCCTGAACGAGGAAGTCTGCCAGATGCTTGAAAATTGAACCGTAGACAATCAATGTGCCAAAGACACCCATGTTGTCAGCCTTGTCGAGAAGGCTTACCCCAGCCAGTTCATCGTCATGTAGCATGACGGCATCCCGAAGGAGCAGTCTTCCCCTGGACCGCTCGTCCATTTCTCTCACCTCATTCCTGCCGTTCCAACTCCATAATGTCCAGCTTTCTCCTCTCGCCCGACGGCCCTCGCTGACCCAGTCCAATACCAACAAATTGCTGCTGCCATTCGGGTCCACGTAGAAGGTCTGTCTCTGCTCATAGACACTCTCGGCAAACGGCTGGGTTGGGTCGGGGAGATAGCAGAGTGCTGCCCGAGGTCCGACCTGGACGTCTAAGATCTGCCTACTGACCACAGACCTGTTGGGCGACTTGAAGATCTTGGTGCTGCCTTGAGTGAGCAGGACGAGGCGTGTAGCATCCTGCAATTCGACTTTGAGACTGATTTGGTCTCCCCCAACAAGCCCCCCTCCATATGTTAGGAGGAAAGCGATCGTGACGTGCTTGTCATCGCTGGCGTGGTGGGGATCTGGCGCAATCAGCTTGAGAGGATACTGATAGGTAAATTTCTGTAGCACTTGCTTTCCGGGAGGTAGAAGGCAAAGTACCAGTTGGCCAGTTCCGGGCAGTGATGCTGAAGGAGCAAATGGTGATGTAGGGAGCGACATGTCTCGCAGTCAGACGAAAGCCCGGGCAGGTGAGCATCCAAGGCGAGGCTAGCATTTGGTTGACTTGTCTGCGCTGGTATATTCTCGAGCCATCTTCGTTGCAGCTGGCACCGGCATACTAGTATCCAAAAGCAAGTGATTCAGTGACTATAGAAGCGGCACACAATTTGTTTTAAACGTATCTAGGTAGCTTTGCATATCACAGCCGACATCTTTTAGGCGGGGATTCACAGGTGGGGGGATGGAGATGCTTTACCACTAGGGCACGCGGCGCCAACGAATAGGGTTGTTCAGGTGTCTGATAGGTGGCAGCTAGGTGGCTCGGTACCTGTTAGGTCTCTATTAGGTCTCTGTTAGGTGCTTGTCCCCAATAAATCATCCTGCGCAAACTCCTCCTTCGTCGTGCCTCCACTACTACTACTGTGCAACTCTCCCTTCGCGTCAACGCGTTTCCCAAGCGTGTTAAAACACGCTGCCCAGGAAGAAGAGAACAACCACAATTTTACCCTTGTGTCCTATTGCGCTCGATGGGAACCTTCTCATAATTGACGCTACTCGTCATTCTTTCAGATTGCTGGTTGACGCGATTCGGCCATTCGCTTCATCTTGCGCCCAAAGAAGCCGCTCAAGGCCTCATCCTGTCGACGATCTGCCCTGTCAACCACAACATTCTCCCACCCAGCGCAATATGGATCTGGACTCTAGTCCACCGAATGGCACCGCGGAGCCACGTCGGAAATCAGGCAGAATTGTCCGCAAACCAGATGTCTTCTCTCAGGAACTCCACGAAGGCAGCGCCTTCATGAATGGCTCCACGAAGCGGAAAAGGCTCACCGATACGACCGCGGCGCACGACGGGGAGGATCAAGAGAATGAGGACGAAGAGTCCGAATCCGAAGATGACGAGAGCGAGGGAGAACCCGATGAAGAAGAATTGAAAGCTAGGCGCAGAGCACAACGAACAAAGGGAGCGGCCGCGAAGCCTGCTACCAAAAGAGCCAGAACGACCAATAGTTCCAGCACCACATTGGCAATTCGCTCAGGCAACGCGCAGAGTAAATCTGGCTCTAAAGGGGCAAAGACACAGAAAGCACGCGCTCGACCAAGCCAGGCGCATCAACAAGGACTGTATGCCGAAGTGTTTGGAAAAGGACTCTCTGCCGAAGACGCGGCATCTGTGTGGTTCCAATCTCTGCAGAGCGATAGTGTCGCTGCCATACGGGACCTGATCAATTTCGTCCTCCAATGCATCGGTTGTGACTCCAGGGTTGAGTCCCAGGACATTGAAGACCTGGATTCCGTTCCCAGCAAACTCGGAGACATTCTGCAGGAGTATGAACAACAGAAACCGCCCGATTATCCCCTGATAGCGAAGCAGAAGCAATACGTGGGCTTTCAATCAGTCTTGGAAGACTTCTTCAAAGCCATCATCAAAGCGTTGCATAATTCATCCATATTCTACGACCAGCCCGAGGTCTACGACAACATCCATGTCTGGATTGCCACCATGTCCGGTGCAAACTACAAGTCTTTCAGACACACTGCTACCATCATATCTCTATCGATGAGTACCGCATTGTGCGAAGTCGCAAAAGAATTGCAGGAGACGATGGCAACTCTTAAGTCCCAACTCGATGCGGAAAAGAAGAAGAAGAGTGTCAACAAGGGTCGCGTCAAGACCATCGAAGAAAGTCTGAAATCGGCAGAGACGAAACTCGAAGCCGTCGATGCTCAACTGAGAGATGCGTTCGACACCGTGTATGTTCATCGATACCGCGACGTCGAGGAAAGAATTCGAGCTCCCTGTGTTGCTGCCCTCGGCTCCTGGATCATGCTCTACCGCAAAATGTTTTTAGAAGGCCAATACCTGCGATACCTGGGATGGGTATTGAATGATACCAGTGCTACGACACGGCTGGAGGATATCAAGCAGTTGAAGAATCTGTTCAAGAACAAGAAGAACATCGGTGCCTTGAGAGCGTTCACAGACCGCTTCCGACCCAGACTGGTGGAAATGGGGACCAGGGACGCTGATATCAGTGTCAGGGTCGAGACCATCGAACTACTTGATAGACTTCGCGACGCCGAATTACTGGAGCCGGACGACATCGACACAATCGGCCGCTTGATCTTTGACAGTGAACCGAGAGTCAGGAAGGCCGTGGCCAAATTCTTCGTCTCCAACATCGAAGACCTGTACCGAGCAAGCATCGAGGATTTTGAAGAAGCCCAATATCAGGCTGCACTGCCTGGTGCCGACGAGGTTGAGGATCTCACCGTGCCTACTCAATCGTGGATCAAGTTTAAATGCCTGGGCTCTATCCTTGCCGGCTACGACAATGATGAGGAGTCCCTCGACGACGTGGCTGCCCAGACACTGCCTTCGACCTTCACTGCAGACTCCCGCTATACACTGGCTACACAAGCCATTTATCCTCACATGCCGGAGCTACATCAATGGGAATCCCTGGCAGGGTATCTTCTCTATGACCATTCTTCGATCTCATCGGCAGAAGACGATGAAGATATCGCCGTCCAAGTCCAACAAGCTTACAAACTGAGTGGTGGTGAAGACATCATTCTGCTCGATGTTCTCTATTCAGCAGTCAAGCAATACTTGCAATCGATCATGGATGCGCCATCGGGTCGCAGGACCAACGCCGCAAAGGACGATCTCCGGCAGAAGCAAGAAACTGCCGCACAAAACCTCACAGTCATCATCCCCCAGCTTCTCAGCAAATTTAGTAGCACGCCGCAAGCAGCCTCGTCTGTCCTGCGGATAGAGCAACTGCTGGATATTGGTCTCATCAATGATCTTCAGAGTGGCGAAGCTGCTTATACGGCTATCCTGGATGACATCAGCAAACAGTTCACATCACACTCGGACAAGAAGGTTCTGGCTGCAGCAAGTGTTGCGTTCCGCAATGCCAGGAGCTACGAGCAGAGTAAAGAAGCGGCTGATTTGAAGGTACAGGAACTCTGGACAGAATCTGTCACCACACTGGCAAATCTGCTTCGGGGGAAAAATGTCGAGGAGCGGGGAACACTCGACCGACCGATCCTTAGTGAGGTTGTCAACACTACCGTACGTCTGGCGGAGCTAGCTGGCGTTTACGACTGTTCTCGTATCATCGAGGGCACTCTGGATTCCGGGGCATCCAAAAAGCAGAAGGGCAAGACGAACAGCCAGACGACGCTGTTAGATCTCTTGTTGCAGTTGTTGAAACGAGGCGAACCGGACGACGACAGCACAGACGACTTTGCGGAACTCGAAGACCAGTTATGTATTGCTCTCATCGAATTGTTCTCGCGATACTTCCGGTGGAAAGTGTTTGGCCTGAAGAAAGCAATTTCGGCCAACGACAGCGCCCAGCTCTCAACAAGATCGCTGACCGGCTTTGCGATGACACGGTCGACTTTCGTGGAGGCCCTTGCCCCGACCATCATTCTACGTACGCCTTTAGACCCCGTACGCTACACGGCGATACTGAATGTGTTGGAGCTCTTCGCACTCTTCTCAACGATCAGAAACATGCTGCCGGACAAAGGCGAATTGGACGAAGACATCGAACGAAATCTCAACAGCTTGATCACGACCATGCCCGAGGACATTGTGCGAGCAGTCCTGGTCACGCACGAGAAGCTGGAGAAGTCCTTTGCGAAGAGGACACGCAGAAAGATCGAGACCAGCGACAAGCACAAGGCCAAGGCATCCACGCCCGTGGAGACACAGGAAGACATCGAGAAGCCGCCGGAAGATTCCGAAGACGAAGCAGAGGACTCTGATGCCGAAAACAGCGAGGACGACGACGACGAGGACGGCGACGCACATATTGCAGGCGGAGGCCGGACCGCGAAGAAACAAGCTGCGCTCCTGGCCGAGCAACACCTCTGCGAAGTCACGAGCAAGATCATCTTTGCCCTCGTCGGCGGCGCGATCAAGGATGACCAGGTCAAGAAGCGGTTGATGCTGAACCGGACCAAGCTGGGCAAGAACTATGCAACTCTGCTCTCCTATCTCGACGAGAAGAAGGAAAAGAAGTCCCGGACGAAAGCGAAGAAGGCCGATGTCGAAGCGGCGGCTAAGGCTGCTGCGAAGCACAATGCAGGGTCGAAGAAGCCTGTGTCGAATGAGATGGTGCTCGAGGACGACGATATCGAAGACGACGAAGACCATGATGAAGAAGAGGCTCAGAGGCAGCGCGATCTGGAGGAGGACATTGATGATGAAAACGATGGAGAGGGAAACCATGAGGACGACGATGAGAACGATGAAGCGCATAAGGGGGATGGCTCTGATGACGAGATCATGGGCGATTAAGAGCCACATTGTGCGACTGTCGTGTCATGAAGGATGTTGTTGTCGTTGCGGGTGGACGGCGTATTAGGTGTATTGGCTTCCACTGTTTTACTGGTGGCATTTGACGGTTTGAAGGACAGCCTGTAATACTACCAGGCCCCTATGTATCTTCTACTCGATTGTGCTGGCGGTGCGTTGAGGCGCGCTCGGATCCCACAATTCACAGAAGTAATATCTCTCAAGGTCACGTAGTCGACATCCTTTCCAGCCATGAGAAAGGCACGAAAAGCGTTTGATTCAACAAACATCGAATGCTGTTTCCATTCAATCAATGGATCATGCTCTTTATTTGTCTTTTCGTTTTTAATCTTGCCTGTCTGATGTTGCCAGGCAGAATTGCTTTTATCCAGACGTTTTACGAGCACCACCCTTGCCCGTCTCTGGAGAAGGCCACCCGATGTGGTATGCATTCCTCATATCCTCACAACCGCCTCCATTTGATCCCGAACAAGACGACTTTTCTCTGGACCATGGTCCCAGATCCCATCCCGATATATGCAGAGTCATGCTGATGGCTGCCCCAGTGCGTAGCGCTTCAACGCATCACCTATGTGCCGCTTCATCTTTCCCAAATCCGAAGCTTAGACTTTGTGTCCTTCACCCAATTGAATCGACAGAATCGTGCACTCGGGCGCAGTCAATTGCAACAACTAGGTAGACGAGAGCGTCTATTCAGCTCTGCCACGACTCTTGGGTCTCGCACCACTCTTCACTCTGCGAGCCTCGGGACGCTGAATGTGGTGGCTTGGAATCCATTCTTCGTTGTAGGCCTTTGAACCAGTCGAAACAGCCGGACCTTCAGTGTCGGAATGGACAGCGCCGACGTCGATCTTCTTGACCGGAGCTTTCTTGGTGGCAGCACGGCGCTTCTGAGGAAAGTAGGGGGCGACCCAGATAGTGTAGAACCAGTAGCCGACTCCGAGCGCGGAAGCGAGCAGGAATAAATACAAGAAGAGACTATTTCCGTAGGGACCACCGTTAGCCAAAGCTTCCTAGACAGTGCAGGAGGTGCGCCATGACTTACATCTGAGGATCGAAGATGCTCGCATCCGGATCTACGACAGTGACCGTGCCATTGAAGGCCTGCACAGTGTAGAAAGTGGACTGGGACATGATCACAGCAGCGAGGTTGAGTCGCAGATCTTGCGGGTGCAGGTTGGTCTGGAAGCGGTAGGGCAGACTTTGCTTCTCGCCAGGTGGAATCTCGATAGCATATTGAGAAGTGGTCAGGTTTCGGACGATGCGAGAGTTCTGGGGGTCAATGGTCCACAAGCTACCGCCGATGAACTGGACGGTGATCGGTTCGGGTTCTTCGTTCATGAACGACAGGACCGACTCGGCGGGCTTGCCATTGACAAGCTTGATGCCAAAGATCTCCGCGTCAGGAAAGGCTGCTTCCACGGTCACGGCAAGGGCAGGGCTCGTGGAGGGATTCTCGACCTCTTCGTCAACCTCCTGGAAAGTATTTTGTTAGCCTTCATTGTGCGACACGTCGCGGGGCGCGGTTTGGGGATGCGGGATTGCTCACAGGTGCGGCTTGGGCGAAGACGCCTGCGGCCTGGAAACCAAAGAGGAGCAGCGCGAGATCCAACAAGCGAGGCATTGTGCAGATGCGAAGATGAGCAGAATGGGAGGGAGAGGCGTGAGGTTCGTGAGGTTGTTCAAGAGGGAGAGGACAGCGTATCGATGAGTTGGAGAAAAGTGGCCTTGTTGGTGAAGGAGCTCTTAGTACGGTTGGTTACTGGGTGCAGTGGGTAGATGGCATTAGTGCCTGTAGGTGGTACCTTAACTACTAGTACGTAGTTCGTGGGTGCAGTCTTCCTTCCATTGGCCCCCGACCGTTAGGTGAAGCGACCTGATATAAGGGTCATCTTAGCCTGAGGAGCCCTCGGCAGACCTACCTTGAACCAACAGCACCAGGACCTTCAAGTTAGGCGTGAGTGGCACCGATCTGGCTGGCTTCTAACTTGCCGCCCTGAAAACAACCCACTGGCAGCCTAGGGAGCCCAAACAGATGTCCATTTTAACCGCAATGCCACCACGCTAATCGTCATTCTGCTGGCCAGCGAATCGCCCGCTGGGTGGCGCCTATAAGTGGACTGACTTAGGCGCAAAATATAGCATATCAGAACGCGCTAGGGGGTCACCGCTGGCATTCCCGTCCACTCATCTACGCGTTTTCCATACCCCAGAATCGAAAAAGTAGCAGGCCTTGCAAAAAAGTACTGGCACTGGAAACGGGCATCCTGCGCCTTCATCTGCGTTCTGTCCTGCCTGCATTCTACTTCACCGCCAGCTACATTCTCTTTTTCCTTTTCACGCTCACTTTGCCTTGATCTCAGCGACGGACCCGATGCCCGACATGGCTCGTTATGATCCCTTCTCTCCAACCTTCGACCACCCGCTGCTTAATTCAAGTCCCGACTACGGCTCGCGAAATGGTTCCTTTAGAAATCGCCCGATTGGCGACATCGGCGTTGTTGCACCCCAGATGTCTTTTCGAGAGCGGACGAAACGTCTCCGGAGCCTTGAAGATGAGAAAAATCAATTGATTGAGGTACGACCCTCCTACTTGCATACCGGTACTCTTCATCCGTTGCGGAAACTGATACAGATGCAGGATTTGCTGTTCCAACTCGAAACCACCCAGACTCAACTCGACCGACTACAACTAGATCACAACAGGGAAGCTCAATATAACAGAGAGGGCCAGCTGCGTGAGACTGCTCTGCATGAGCAACTGCTGCAAGTCAAGACGATAATGGTGTGTTAAAGGTCTTCGCGTTCAGCCTCATTGGAATATTTGTCTGACACTTTGCCAGGATCGGAATCCCTATATCATGGTTCTCCTCGATGGCGACAGTTTGATATTCACCAAAGAGTTACTGTCCAAGGGCGAATACGGGGGCAAAGAGGCTGCAAAAAGTATATCTTCCGCAATGAGCGCCTTCGCCGCCGAACATCTCCATCATCTGGATTCGCCAAAGATTGTCACACGGGTATATGCCAATACAAAGTCATTATCCGAAAACCTTGCCAAGTTGAAGTTAATCGAGCGACCTGTCTTACTCGACGACTTTGTCCGGGGTCTCAATAGCAGTCAGCTGCCATTCGATTTTGTGGATGCTGGGCCTCGCGCCGCGGAAAAGGTCTGTGACCAATTTCAGACACATCTCTACAATTGTCACTGTCACCAGGTTGTACTTGGGTGCTCCAGCGATAGCCGGTATGCGGCTCTTCTGGAGCAAACGGTGAAAGATGCCACGGTGCTGAATCACATTACACTTGTGGAGAGCGTACCATTTGAGAAAGACATTGTTGCACTGAAAACCCATTTTAAGACCACAAAGTTGGACAATGTGTTTCGCAGCACCAAGCTTGGCCTTCCACTTGCGCCAAAGGGTCCATTACAGGCGGTCACTGCAACTCTGCCTGCACTTTCTCGAGTCGATTCAAATGCAACCACAGGCACCACTTCAAGTTCCAGTACTCCGGCCATGACGTGGGCCACGATGACGGCCCAACCTTTCGTTCCTTCAGCTCCCGCCTCGAAAGCAAGTACAACTCGAACGTCCACTCCCACGTCCATGAAGAGCCCTGAGGCCGTGGTCTCCAAACCAGTGACGAAGACCATCGAACGGAATCGACATGGCCAGCGGATCGACAAGGTCGACTCTACCATCCCTAACCATGAGATCCAGCGGATCAAGAAACTGAAGTTGTGCAACGTCTATTACCTACAAGGCCCGTCCTTTTGCACATCAAGCAACTGTTCTCATTCGCACTCCTATCCACTGTCCAAAGGTGAGCGCAACGTGTTGCGCGAGGTCGCGAGGATGACACCTTGCTATTACAAACTGGATTGCTCCGATCCCGAATGTATCTATGGACATCGGTGTCCACAGAACAAGCCTGACGAAGGAGGCTGCTGGTATGGTGAAGACTGTCGTTTCTATGGCTGGGGTCATGGGATCGACACCCGGGTGGTCAAGACGACAAAGGTATGAAACAGGGACGATAGTTTTGTCATCTTAACACCGTCGTTGTGTGTCATTTGAGCTCTCCTCATCCAGACAGCGTCTCACCCAATGGCTATGCCTCGATCGATCAAATCCCATTCTCGGCGTCATGTTGCGCAAAGACCTCGTTCAGCTTCTTTCCTAGAGACAGAAGGATCTGGGCAAGCAGGTCAGCTTCTTTTCGGATCATCAGCCATGTGTGGGAGGGCATAGGGAGGCAGGAATGGTTTCGCTTTCCGGTGATGAGGGTGAGAGACGGCAGGAGGCAGGAGGCAGTAATCACCGGCCAAAGTGTCGAATAATTTAAGAGATACCCAGTTTTTCCCTCCGTCAATGACATGTACAATACGGATCCTATCATCTCTCTCTACCCACGGGTGAAGCTAAATAGAACTGTTTCTCGATCTTCGGCGAGCGTTCCGCCGTGTTCGTCCTGGGCAATTCGCAAGGCTGACGCCCCCGATGTCGTCCGGTGACGCCGATGTTGCCTTGTGCCGGGCTATCATGTAGGTGTTTTTCGCACACAATCTTCCTTTGCATTGTGACCACGATTAGTAGTAGCTTACCTTCCATATCTTGCTGCGCTGTTCAACACCGTCAGGATGGGGAGAAGGCGAAAGGGAAAGAGTGAAGCGAATAGCATTCCGAGCGACAGTAGTTCTGTCGGATTCATCATGGAGGCTGTATGAGCGGCTTGTTGTGAAGACGAACTCCTCTGAGAAAAAAGGAGATTCAGGCCTGTCCCAATCTTTCAGAGGATAGTTTTGGTATGTCCGGTACTGGTATGGGCAGCCATCGACTTCGAAGCAAAGCAACGTCAAAGGTTCGGCGGCTCGTTCGAGCCCCTCGGGGTGGGATTCTCGTCTGTTCAGGAGGCCGCTGTGACTTTATAGGTTTTACACCGAAGACAAAGACACACTATTCTCAGTAGACTCGAGGGGCCCGCTGTTGTTGCATATATTCAGAGTCTATAGCAGACTCGAGGTTTCGGCGGCCCGTTCGAGCCCCTATGGGGTGGATGATCTTGAGGTGATTCGAGAGACCGCCGCATCGAGCATGGGAGTGAGAGGATGGGCGGTCAACGTAAGTGCTTGCGTACCCTGGAGAAGATTTCCCCAAGCAAGTAGAATCTGGACATCAGGCTTCGCCTCGTTTTCTCATGAACGTTGAGGCTTATCGGTTGGAATGCTGGAGGTCAGGGTTAGTGGAATGGTTGTTTATTCGGTGACGATGCAACAACGCTGGCAGAGAATGATCTCTGACGAAGATCAGATGCATAATAGTGACAATTGATAGTCTCAATCCCTGCATTCAGCTTTCAGCCGAGTAGTATAGATCGAGTTGGCGAATCAATTAGATGTCTCCATACTCGGAGGAGGGTAGGCTGTGATACAGTAGACGGCTGACTCCTCCGGACTAGCATCGTCATGATGAGATCAGAGCTTGAGTCGAGATCAAAAGCGATGCTGTCGCATGCCCCCCTGTGAATGAAGACTCGTTGAGTGGACTCCAGAGTCGTGAAATCTGAGCCCGGCAATGGAGAAAGATTCAGCAATGTAGAATAAGACGAGTAGACCTGGAGACCAGAGACTGTTGCAGGGTGGGATGTCGAGGAAGGCGCCGTGGACCTGAGTTTGGGAAGGTACGTGGGACACCAGCTACCAAGGAAGGGCGGAAAAGTACTCACCGTCCTTGACGAGAAGGAACGATCGGGACAGGTACCTTCCTTCTAAATAGCTGTTAGATATCATGATAGACCTGGAGATCATCAGAGATCATACAACATATCGCAGCAGCATGGATGCAGCTACACTGTGTCATCGGAATCAGACCTGTCTCGCCTATCAGTACACTCATCCATTGGTTCTGAGATGGAAGATGCTTACCCTTCGACGTGCAAGTCATTACTTCCTCAAATGGGAGCTCGTTGCGTAAGAACGATAATGGACATAGTATGTAGGAGTATCAAAACAACCAGTCACGGAGACGAATGAATAGAGAGGTGTTCAACGTAAAAGATCAAATACAAACAAGCCCCGAATATGTACAAGCCGACACTTTTGAAGAAATAGACAGACCGCTAACAACAGCCATATATTGTCGCCGAACATCGATCAAGCACTCACAACTTCTGCATCATTCATCGTTCACACTTCCATCCTCGTTCTCTCCTGTACATGCACCGCACCACGACCTCAAGCTTCCTATCCAATATCGGTTCATTGTCTGATGGCCTTCCATGTCTTGGATACAGTGTGTCGTTGATGAAGAACCGGATCCTACCCGAAGGCTGCGAAGTGAGTGACAGTTGCAGACATTTCACTGAACAAGAAGCTCTGCAGTTCAATTTCGCTTCCAAATAGACCCTGAGGGTTGTAGCATGGAATGAGCAAAGACGCAATCATGGTAAAGTAAATGATTCTTTCAATCTCGGCCCTCTCTAGCTTGCGTGGAGGGCACGTCGACGACGTCGTCTGCCGCGAAAGCGTGTCTCAAGGGGCTCGGTGAGGTTGGTGAAGCTGCGTATGACACTGACTGTCGTCTCTCCGCACGGATATCGAGAGACAGCTTTGGTGGTGCCGTAGGTGGTCGTGGATTGTCTGTGGTATCGAGCTCAGACACTCCTGGAGTATCGGATAGAAGAGTCTCTTCACCTGAAGCTCGTCGCGCTGTTTTTGTCACCTTCAACCCTCGTTTTTCGCGTGCCGCTTTCCACCCTTGCATTGCATCTTTTCGTTTCCTGTAATCGTACGCTGCTATTTCCAGTTCGGCAGCTAACATTCTGTCGTTGGCTGGGTCATTCTTGGTAGGACGGATTCTGTCAAGGCCCGGGGGGTCTTTGCTCGGCACGGAAACTTTACGTATCTGTGCTGGGGTATTTTTCAACCGCTCAAGGATGCCATCCATATCTAACCGACCAGAGCTCGCACTCCGGGGAGATCCAGCAGTGGATGATTCAATAGGCGCTGGCGACACGTTCGATGCGTCTCGTGGCACCGTATGCGATGGCGTCCGCGAAACGTCCTGCATCAGCTGTCGGAACAGGACACTATGTCGACCGCTCTTCGGAGAGCTAGACCCCGGTAAGCGAGAGTTGGTATTGCCGTTGAGACGGGGTGGTCTTTCGTGTCTTCCAAATGAGGAGGTTGTACCCCACATATCACTAAGTTCTTGTGCATCTACCATACCGGGAGACCCCGTGTCCAACTCCCGCGCTTTTCCTTTAGACGAGGCGGCATCCCACATTTCATTTAGTTCTTCTGTATCTTCAATGCGCTGGAGGTGCCCATGCACCCTCTGGAGGCTCTTGTAACTCTCGTCCAATCCCACAGCTTGCGTGAAATGGCGTTTGGCATCTGCATCCTCGCCAAAGATATCAGCAAGGAACCCTCGCACATACCAGCATTTGGCTAAAAGATGCTTGTTCACTGGTTTTTCTGACAAACATAGCCTTTCGGCTTCTTCCAAGGCGGCTTTGCCTTGATGTAAGGAGTCCTGCTGAGCCTCTGTGTCATCTAGAGCCGTGATGAAAAAAGCTAGATGTGCTCGACTGAGGAGGATTTCTGCGTACAGCGCAATCAAATCCCGCTGTAGGGTTGCAGAGCTGTCGTCGTTCGGTTGAGGAGTAAGTCGAACAGAATCGAGCATGGCATCGTCTCCTCCGCTAGTAAGCGACATTTTCTCACCTGGTTACCTGAGTTGAGTGTCTGTGCTGTTGGAATGTGGCAGCGGGTTTCGCCTGTCTGGATGTCCTAAACCAACCGTGGGCTGCAAACAATTTCTGCAAGTTATTAAATTCAAGAGTTTTAGACGGGGAGAACATCTTGTTGTAATCGCGTCACAAGCTGACTTTACCATCCAGCCGGATGCAGAATGGAGGCACAAAGAGCAACAAGGATTTCAACCGTCCATTGTTGAATTGCTTCCCAGGTGATTCTTTATGCTTCGAGAGGCATAGGACACTGCAGAAGAGCTATAGCCAGCTGCATGGCATCCTCCCGGCCATTGTAAAGACCGGACAGTAGGAACAGAAGAAGGGAGACAATCAGGTTCCCAACGACTCAGCAAAGCTGCTGAACCCGAGCATCAACTTTCACGGCCAAACCTCGCTTGCAGACAATGCAGACTGTTGTAGAAGTTGCCCATACTGACCTGCCATTCACGCTTCTGAGGAGGTGAGATTCAAGGGAGTTGACATGACATGATCGAGAAATAGAAAAAGTCTCAACCATCTGGTTCTTTGTGCTGTTGAGAGTAAGGTGCGCTGAAATGAGGTTGGAAAGGCGACGATGATACACATATGACTAATCACAACCTCTGACGTATTATAGTCACGTGACTGTAGCCTACCTCGAGATGTATTTATATTTCCCTCCATCAAGTAATTCCTTCTCAATCCAAGTCAATGTTGGGGCACCTGTATGAATATGGCCAACTTCTTGGTAAACATGGTTGCGGCTCTACATCAATCAGTGCTCTTCTCCTCCCACGAGGCAGCTCGAAGCGCTTCTGGGCTCAATACCAGCTTCCATGTGACACCAGCCAAAAACTCGCCATATACTGAGCTCATTGCTTTCGAGTCACAGCTACAACCACCTCTTGACTCCTCTGTCATGACAACCACAGTCTGTCTAACCACATGTGCGAAAGTCACATCTATGAGCCACCAAAGACAAACCGAATGAGCCTTGTAGGCAAGCTGCCTAATCCAGGGCGATCCTGCCATTAGCCAGAGGCTTATAATCTTCCTCTCCTGCCCACTGGGATTCATATAAACTCTCGTCCATCTGAGAGGCATCCATGCCCATATTGACATCCCTGGAGTACCATTAGTGACAGCCCGAAGAAAATAGCGAGGTAAGGAACGACTCACTTGTCTTCTGCAAGTACTTCGAGGCCTGGAACGCAGTCGATCAGGGCGATGATCACAAAGGATCCCACAAAAGACCAGGTGAAACCAATCAAAGCTTCGACAATCTGGACCCAAAGCTGGCGGAAATTGCCATCGAAGACGACCCCGCCGGCCACTTCGGCTCCTCCGTATGCCGCGACAGCTTTCTGTGCAAAGAGACCAGTTCCAATAGTGCCGAGAATGCCGCCCACGCAATGGGTGGCAAAGGTGTCGCCGTTATCGACCCATTTCCATCGTTGAGCGAACTCGGTGAACTTGATTCTCAGCGCTTGACGGCAGACGATCGCACCGACAATGCCAAAAAGTAGCGAGGTGGGAAGGTCGATGAATCCGGCCGCCGGGGTGATCATGACCAGACCTGATATCGCACCCATGAAGGTTGAATCCAGGGACCAACGGCCAGTCTCGATGTAAGTGATTGAAGCCCATGTAATCGCTCCTGCCGAAGCACATAGGTTGGTGACACACAGCGCCATAACAGACTGGAAAGTCAGACTCAGCGTGGTGCCAGCATCAAAAGCCAACCAGGAGCCCCAGATAATGATCAGGGCCAGTAGTTGACACATTGAATTATGGGGTCGATGAAGCTTTAGGTGGGATGGCGTCCTGACGTCGGACTTGCGTGACCTGGCGATGGGATACGACAGGTAAAGACTAAGAGCTGAGGCTGTGGCACCGCTGCAAATGTGGACGGGAGTTCCACCAGCGAAGTCGAGGACTCCGATCTCTCCCAGGAAGCCGCCGCCCCAGACCATGTGAGCCAACGGACAATAGATCAAAGTCGACCACAGCTGTCCAGATCGTGTCAGCACTCTCGATCTCGGAGAACATAATTCTGACCACTTACAAAGATGAAAGGAATCAGTGGCAGAATGCGACCACGTTCACAAGCTCCTCCGACACTGATGGCACACACCGTGGCCAAAAACACCAGCTGAAATTCACTGAAGAGTACGGCCGGAATGGTGCCCACTGGTTCGGCCAGCACACCTCGATGAAAGGCATATCTGAGGTTGCCAACCACTCCACCGTCCCCTTCGCCGTATGCCAGGGTGTACCCTATGATGAACCATTGGATAGAACAAACGCAGACTGTTAGTACGGAGGGAATGAAAGAAGCAAGGCCGCTACGCCTGGTCGAATAGCCCGAATATCCCAGACCGACAGCTGGTATGATGGTCCAACAAAACACAGTACAGACAAGGATAAACGCCGTGTCGATGCGGTCACAGGCCTCCCAAGCTTTCTGCACGTCCGAGATCATGGCGACAACTGGTCCCTCGTGACGTGGGACATGAATACGAGGGAACTGAAATGAACTGGACAGCAAGATGCCCTGCGAGGCTCTGGCCGCGCTCTTATCCCACACTTATCGCTTGCCGAGATTGGCCAAGTAGCCACGTTCTCGGCGCGTCGGACATCATCGGATCCTCAGGCTGTTACTTGACACGATTGTCTGCGCGATCCCCAGTTGTGATTTCTCTATCCCGGTCTTGTTCAGTTGCTCCTACGGACCGTTATCTCGACCAGGCTGTTGATCTTGGTGAGCTTGGTACTCTCCCGGATCCAGCACTTCGGGTATCACCTCTGGGTACCTGCGTTGCTGACACATGGTATTTGGTCACAGGTGTGTCCCGATATAGCAGAGCCAATCAATCTTGTCAACACTGAAGGCGGATAACTACGTCCCCAGAGTCCCCAGGATCATCATGGTGATACACCGATGAAGTGAACGTTATGGGAGAGACAGCTAACTATCTGACCAACGCTTTTCCCCAGCAGAAATGTCAGCGTATCAGCATATCATTGGTGATTGATAACCATCCCCCCTTGTGAACAGATAGGACTATCTCAACTTAGGCACCTGTGGGCCTGATATCGAACTCACTAGGCCAGAACAGGGAAAAATATCACGGCGCCCGCGATATCAATTTCCATCCCATCTGGCCTTCATGCAGTCGTCTGCTGTGCAACCCCCGTCGGACGTGGCCCATCATCCTCCACCATGCCTGTTCAGACAGTCTCTCTCAGCCATTATTGGCGTGGAGCTTGGCTTCGTGGATCTACCCTGGTAAGCTTTCCAAGCATCGACAAGAAACGATAAGCCACAGGAAGACATGCGTCTACAGACTAGACCGTCGCGCTGGACGTTAAGTAAGGGCCTCACCCCCAGGTCCACCCCCGGATAGTCGCAGGTCCACGGCTACGGAAGCGTGTCCCCTTCCAGTCACACTTGATCGTGTACTACGTACCTGTGTTCTCTAACAAAAGCGGCACCAGTCAAACCTTGCGCCGCAATGGCTTTCGACGCGGAAAAGTTGGCTCCTGGCGAGGTGCCTGTGGATGACGGAAAGGCAGGGAGAAGGAAGAGCTCTTTGCGTACCGGCAGCATCGACGACGTCCGCATCCTCGACCAACTAGGCTACAAACCCGAACTGGATCGCAATCGGTCCATGTTGACGCTGTTGTTCCAATCTCTCGCCATTGCTGCCATTCCATATGGTGAAGGCGCCCCGTTGATCAGTGCCATCTACGGCGGTGGTCCTCTGTCCATCTTTGTGGGCTGGATCATTGTGCTCATCCTGGACGAATGTGTAGCGCTCTCACTGGGCGAGCTGGCCTCGAAGTATCCCACCTCGGCTGGCCCTTACTACTGGTCTTTCCAGGTCGCAACCAAGGGGAAGACCGTGTTGTCCTTTATCACCGGATGGACTTGGCTGATTGGCAACTGGACCATTGTACGTTATGTGTTCTCTTTCCCGTGGGCTGATAATGAACTGACCTTCCATCGACAGACACTCTCCGTCAATTTCGGATTTGCCTCGCTCATCGCCGGGACTGTGGCCATGTACCATCCAGATTGGGTGGCCAAAGACTGGCAGCTCCTACTGATATTCTACGCCATTTGCTTGATCACTCTGGTCATTTGTACCTTCGGCAACCGATTCCTGCCCATGGTCGACACCATCTGTGCGGCCTGGACGGCTCTCAGCATCATCGTCATTCTAATTGCGCTTTCAGTCAAGGCTGATGCTGGACGACACAGTGCAGGCTACGCGCTAGGCCATTATGACAAGTCGTTCTCAGGCTGGGGCGGCTTCACCTTCTTCATCGGCCTCCTGCCAGCCGCATATACTTTTTCGGCCATTGGCATGATCTCGGCCATGGCGGAGGAATGCGCCAGCCCGGCAATCAAAGTGCCCAAGGCCATTAGTCTCTGTGTGCCAGTCGGCGGGTTTGCAGGCTTATTCTTCGTCTTGCCAATTTGCTTCACCCTGCCTCCGCTGGAAGATATTGTGCTCGCCCCCTACGGCCAGGCTCTGCCATACATATTCTATCGTGTGATGGGCACCCCCGGCGGCGGACTGGGTCTGATGTTCTTGATCTTGATGATCACTCTCTTCTGCAGCATCAGCATCACCACGGCCGCCTCGCGCTGCACATGGGCCTTTGCTCGAGACGACGCCATCCCACTGGCTCGGCTCTGGTCGAAAGTCCACCACGGCCTCGGCGTCCCAGTCTACGCGCTCCTGCTGGTGACAGTGGTGCAGCTGCTGCTCGGCCTGATCTATCTGGGGTCTACGTCCGCCTTCACGGCTTTTGTTTCAGTCGGCGTCATCGGACTGGCAGTCTCTTACGCGATCCCAATCGGTATCAGTGTCTGGCATCGTCGAAAAGAGGTCTCTACTGCGCCCTGGAACTGTGGACCGGTCATTGGGCCCATCGTCAACGGCATTGCTTTGTGTTGGATCTTGTTCGAAGTCGTCCTGTTCAGTATGCCCACTGCCTTGCCTGTGGATGAGGTAACCATGAACTATGCCAGCGTGGTCTTTGTGGGGTTCTTGGTCATTTCGGCCGCCTGGTACGTCATCTATGCTCGAAAGGCATACAAGGGACCTCCCGAGTCCGATGGCATTGTTGGATAAAGCGAACATGCCTTGCAATATACGATCTGATATTCCTTCATATACCTAGTGCCGTTCTGCTCGGGTTTGAGTTGGACATTTCCTGATCATCAACACTGTTCATATGTCTAATCTGGATTTTTGGCTACTCTGAACATGGTTATTAGGTGTGCTCCAAGGACACCGTCAAAGACACGTGATGATTTTTCAGGACCCCGTCGAATAGAGATACTATATAATCATTATATAGCTGTTGGGAGTCCCTAAGCTCTATCGCCGAAGTTACTAGATACCTATTAGGAGACCTCTGAGTAGAGTCTACTAGCCGACCTTAATATATTTCTAGGCGTTCCTCAAGGACATTCTGATAAACCCCAGATACCTCCTAGGAGAAGTGTTGACTCATACTACCAAACTCTATATCGCTCCCAGGTATCCCCCCTATACAACTCAAGTACAAGTACTTTTGCAATTTTCCAACGCTCCTTCCTTACTAAAATATGAATACCTAATATAACAGCCTTAATATATGCGCAGCCTCGCGGCCTCCTGACCCTTAATGTCTCAACGTATCAAATATCGCTGGAGGCCTCCCCCTTTGGTTGCATAGCCCTCTATTTGTTTGTTTTGATTCGAGATTTTCTCTTTCTTCTCTTCTTCTCACCTACTATTTGATTTCGTGCTATTGGTTCTCTTCTTTTCTCGTGAGGAGCTTTCAAAGGCTTCTTGGATGAAAGAGCCCGATAAACTCGTGAACACAGGCATCTTTCTCCATTCTCCAGGACTCCTTTCCTCTCCATACCACACCCGGCACAAGATGGAGCAGGAGGCAAAACCCACTGCGGAAGACATTCGCCATGCGCTAGAAGGATGCACTTCATTACTGGCGGACTTTGAAGAAAGATCGACTTTAATCACAAAAGGCCACTGCACAATCTCGCAGATCTACCATACGATAAGTCAGATTCGCACTCAATTGATCTCGAAGATGGCCAGCCGATCTCTTGGCCAAGGTTGGGTGGCAACAGACAGAAGCATCTATTGGGACTGGGAGATATTAGCGGATGCGTTCGACGATATACCGACAGTTGACGAACCTCTAGAGGAGAGGGGCCGCCTTCCCAAGGAACTCGAACAGTGGCTAGCAGACAAAGGGTTCGAATGTGCAGCACTCCATATCGGGCCTTTGGTCGACCAGCTCTTCGGATCCATTCTCAAAGTGCAGCGGCTTTCACTCGAATCCGATCAATTATTCGAGCCTAAGATGCAGGAGAGAGGCAATCTGTCTCGGCGCGGTATACATCCATCTTTGCGCCTCGCCGTGGCCGTTCACAATGGAAAGATACACATCAGAGGACTGGATGAGCACACAGAAAAAGGACCAATCGCCCAACAAATCAGAGATGTCAATGAGTTGGAAAACTTCAATTGGAAAGCAAGGGCCGAACACTTCGAGGTTGCTTCACAAAGACTACAAAATAACGTCAAGGAAGTGCACACGTGGCAGCAGCTCGGTAAAGACTGGATGGATATCATTCACCTGTCATATGTCCCCTTTGGCGAACTCGGCCGCTATAGAACGGAACTCGAAGCTACAAGCGAAGTATTTGCTGCCATTCTGGATCCAGTCCGATCAATGATCGCAGCAAACGACCAGCAAGGGCTGGACACTATCTGGGAAACGCAGGAAAAGGCACGGCAGAGCGATCTGCTATCATCGGTGTTCTCTGAGCTTTATGCGAAAGTGCTAACAAAGTCAGAGCTTGCCGAACGGGCAAAGGCTTTCTATGTGATAATGTGTCGATCGCTTTGGTTCGAGTTGTTCAAGGCCAAGGAATTTTTGGACGTTCTAACGAAGGAAGTTTCCGCCTGCTGGGAAATCTTCGCTGCAAAGGACGGGGAAAACGTTGATTCAGACATGTCTGGAGGGGGCGTTTAAGGAAGACAATCATGAATGCGATGGTTCCATTTGAAAGGGCACCACTGGAAGCCATTAGACGAATCGAATGAAGGCTGGTATAGACCTCAGATGCGTCACATCAATCTGTGATCTCGAATTACTGAGGACTCTAAAGAAATCCTAGTTCTAGACTCCAGCTGCCCTTTTCTTCTTGTCATTATGGACATATGAGGTTGATTGGAAGAGTCTGACATCGCCGGTAGTAGTAAGCACGTGAAAGTGGATTAACGCCAAAACAAGATCCCTCGCAAAAAAATCTTGTGGTATACTAATTTGAGACGGGCAGCAACAGGAAAACACATACCATAGTCTTGTACTTCTAGGTACCTAGTATGCATTGTAGTACTAAAAGTCTGGATATCAGAATTTTTCCTTTAGGCGAGATCACAGGAGCATATGATTGTTGTCAACAGTTTTCTGTAAACGTAAACAAACACTAGTCTCCTATTGGTTAGGGCCACTATGATCAACCCAGCCAATGAAGATCAACCACGCTAACGCTGCAAATTTTCTTCAGGTTGATCCTTTTGTCAAAGCACGTGTTGAGAAGTCATCGCACCAAACCGTGGCCGAACCATCTTAGAGAACAATTGATGACTCGAAAGCTTCCGCAGTATCTTGATGATTCTCCACTGGTTGGAGACACCGAGGATTCGGACGATGATAGTACGCAGTCAGAAACAAGTCAATATGTAGGGTGATTCGAAGAATCATTGGCCATTAAAAGATACAGTCTCCATAACGTCAGGTTTAGGACCTTTTAAGACGGTTATGAAACAGCTAGTATGCAGACGTTGCGGCCCGGCCCGGATGGACCAACCACTTTGTCCAATGCATGAAGGAGGCAGAGATCGCAGTCGGCATATTGCTGACCCATGCAAGTGTGCTCGCAGCTCTACTCTGGCTCGCTTTTTATCTCTTCTTTGACGACATCCTCCTGCGCCATTGCACCCTTCTGCTCAACTTCCTCCATAAACCCGTGTGGTACGCTTTGTACCCAATACTCGGGGTACTCGTGGTGACTTCCCGGGTTCCTCAAAATCTTGGCAACCAGATCTATATTCTCTTCCAATCGTGTCAACGTACCGTCGCATTCTCGAATGATCCCAAGGACCAGTTGAAGGGGCATGACCTGGTGTCCTTGAGACTGTAGAGCATACAAAAGCCCCCCAAAGCTGTTTTCAAAGTTTCCCATTCCTTTGGCGCATGCTTCCGTCGTGAGATCCGGTTTGGTTCTCCTCCGAATCTCGGCAAGTTCAGCGTCGAGATCTGCAAGAATTTGCTTCTTTGCCGCGATCTCCTTGTCGAGGTCGGCGTCGGCGTCGAACTTATCCTTTGCTGTGGAATCGTCCTTTCTAGCCTTCTCTTGAGAACGGAGATCAACTCGCACTGGAACCCCCGAGGCTGCTGCGAGACGAGGTGGCATATCTATGCATCGTCAGAACAAAGCTGCTCTTAAGCAATATCATATATCGATCTTGTCCACTTACTGAATCTCATGCCCCTCGGACCGGGAGATGCCATTCTGAACACTTTGGGTTCTAGTAATTGTATGCACGCTAGTGACGCTGAGGCCACAGGAAACAGTGTGACTGTACGTGTGGTCCGTACTTGGGTATCCTCATCGTTCAACGCTAGTGGGTACTGCCGTTGAATGACATTAGTGGAGATTGAATGATTGTAAGGTGTGTGCAGTGTGTAGTACCTACCTGATTTGAGTGGTACGGAGACTGGTTGAAGGAATAGTACATGGAAGTGCCACAAGCTAGTACTAGTACTTAGTATCAGTATTCCCTGACCGCCAAGCCTTCTCACCTTTTGTACTAGTACAGATGTAGTATAGTACATCACCTTTAGTACTGACAGCCCGGCTAGTCCCATAACGTACTTCACTCAAGTAGTACTAGTGGCATGCTGAATTCACTGCCGCTACAATTACACCCTGCCAATCACATTGAGGCACGTGGGCAGGAAATAACGCCAAGAAACGATCCCTCGCAAAAAAATCTGGTGGTATATTAGGGCTCTCCCTCGTCTCTTCTTCCTCTTCTCTTCTTTATGCGACTTTGTCAGTACCAACCCTCCCCCATACTTTGACATTGAAAAAACTAACAGACCTCATCAAACCAGACTTCATAGAATCATTTCTAAAGTAAACGTCCTCTTCTGAGTTCGTCCATACGAGCCACAGAATCCTCAACCTGGCTGACGAGACAAAGCCCTCGGCACCCTAGAGTGAAGCCAATATGATACTCTCGCCAGTTCTCGCGACTGAGACTTGTGGATCTTTGGATCCCAAGTATCTTCGCGAGCAGAGAGTGGTGATGATCTTTGACCTGCGTCTCGGGGACTGGCTTCGTGCCGCCCAGCGTGGGAGGTGCCGACGGGCTGATTCTGACAGGCCTTTTATAATCTTTTCATGAGCTTGGAACCCTTGTTGGTTGGAGTTTGAGAAGAGTATTCCTGTGAGCAGAGAAGACTTGATAGATACGACTGCTGCGCCGTCTGCGTCTACAGTTAGGGGAGGGTTGGTACTGACAAAGTCGCATGAAGAAGAGAAGAGGAAGAAGAGACGAGGGAGAGCCATAATAGAGATGGTGCTTGGTTGCATGCATACATGAACTGCTTCAGGAGGCAGAAAGATCAGCACAGTCTCACTGAGGACGGGTGCTGTGCGGAGGGCCTATTGTCCCATCTGCCAGGTTTGGAGTTGGAGGATTCTGTGGCTCGTAGGGACGACCTCAGGATGGAGGACGTTTTTCTTCATAGGGTATACTACTCTCTATAAGTCCGACTCTGCTCGAGGCTTCAAGTTGTCCAAGAGACGAATGCCCAAGTCGCATCACGGTGGCATTTTGCCAAAAGAAAAAGACACTGATGACTACAACTCACGCCGTCTATCGTCTATCGTCCACCGTCTACCTAAGCTACCTTGATGCCTTGATATAGAGCTCCGGATCGCAGAGAAGTCTCACTTCTTGCAAGGAGAAGCCTCCCTTCCCTCCAGTTTCCTTGCCAAACACCGCCTAGCATCTCCCATTCCCATCCGTCTGCGCTCAATTTGCCTTTCCACGGGATACAATAGCGAAGATCGTATGCGAAATAGGCCACACATGCAACGGTCTTAAGATTACGATCCCACAACTGTGATGAGGACAGACGGGTGATACTGGCGGACGCAAATGCAGGCGCAGGCGCAGGACCATGAACAAGCTGAGGCTTGAGGACCAAGCATAGATACGAGTCCGAGTCTCGAGCATGGACAGACCTGATCAGGTATTACAGCTTACAATCTCGCAGTCAAATTTAAGAGAGGGAAGTGGTATAGACAGTCCAATGGTGGTACCACCAGCTCATGGACCGTCCAGTCTGATATCAACCAAGTATGCCAGAAGAGTCGTTGTAGGATAAATGCTTCTTTACTGCAGCTCATGAGTCTCATCACCAGCGAGGAGTCTGTATTCAACTTCTGAGTTTCCAATTTGTCTGCATACTTGCTCTCACTCTTTTTTGCATCTAAAAATCCTCCACCGCCGCCGCCAGCCCGCGTTGAACAGTATCATTCAGCTCCTTCGGACGACCCTTCCTATCGACCCGTACATCTCGCGGATCAAATCCACCGTTGCCCCAGAGCGCCCACTCGGGCGTTGGTTTGCAGTAATCCTCGGGCGCAAATTCCACGCCTTGCTTCAACAGACCAAAGAATTTGTCGTAGTCGATGACGGTATGCCACTTGTCATTGATCAAGAAGCGCTTGCTGGCCAATAACACACAGCAACTGTGAGCGTGTTCAGCGGCAATACCGTAGTCCAGACCTCTCTTCACCAAGGCTTTGTCCAGGGCCTCAACAAAGGTCACGACCTCGTGGTAGAAGGGGACATTCCCCATCGTCAAACCAGCGGACGACGATACATTGGTCCCGCAGAAAGTCACGCCCTTGACTTCAATGAAGCAAGGGAGACCTTTGGCAACCAAGTCGGCGTATCCTTCCACCTCGTCGTCCACGTTGAACCCTTTGACCAGTGTAAGTCGGAACACGGTGCGCTGGACGAACCGCTTTTCACGCAAGATAGCAAGACATGACTGGAACCGCTCCCAGAAATCGCGGTGAAGAGGCCGGTCGATCTTGCGCAGGCTATCCTTGTTGCTGGCGTCGATGCTGACATAAAGCTGCGTGACTCGGTCCAGGTCCCGCAGTTGTTGCGGATGTTGGGCATTGCAGACCAAAAAGCTGGAGATTTGCTCGCTGTGTAGCAGACCTACGAACTCATTGATCCGAGGATAGAAGATGGGCTCGCCGACCAGACTCAAAGCGCAGTGGCGGATGCGCATGGCTTCGGCGAACCGATCACTTCGCACTCCTGGCACGCCCCGCATCATCTTGATCTTCTTGTAGTGGCCTTCTTTAGCGCCGTCGAAAATGGCTTGCGGGTCGTCGACTTGCCACCGCCAGGTCGTGGAGACGGGGTTGGTGCCGTGTCGCCAGCAGAAGACGCATTTGTTGCTGCATGATAGAGACGGGGTGGTCTCCATGCACAAGTGCGAGGCGATGCCATAGAACGAGTTCTTGTAGCACGAACCACGGCCGCGCAGAGCCGATTTGGTCCAACGGCAGATCTTAACCCCAGAATGTGTGCCAACTATGGTGTAGCCTTGTTTCGTCAGCGCTGCGTGCGTCGGGGATTCTTTGGGCACCATGGCTTTCAGAGCTACGGGCGCCGAAGAAGAGTAAGTGGTGAAGTCAACCGCCAGTGGAGAGCCATTCTTTCCCCCAACGTCCTCAAGATCGGTGGTAGCAGCGAGCTTTCGCCTCTTGTTGCGACCAGAATCGGGGAATTCCATGTCTTCCTCTTCTCCTTCGTCCGCTTCCTCCTCGTCTGCACTCTCAATGGCGTCTCCGCTTCCAGGCACTCCTTCGCCCAAGGTACCGGTTATACTGAGCTCCTCGAAAACACTGCAGACTCCAGCAATCCAGTCCTTAAGTGCACCCGTCAGGTTACCCTTTACATCTGCCAATCCTATGGGATATGCTCTCTTCCTGCCCGTCAATTTGGCCATCCACTTGTCCGCTTCGATGGCTTGTGAGCAGAAGCCCTTTTCCTCGCTGGGCCATCCCTCCTTGTCGCCGATGCCAAACACAGTATATCCTGCCAATGTGGACAAAGGCGCCGTGTCAATGCGGAAATCATTGTGTGTCTCATCGAGGTGGGCGAGCACGGTGTTAATGATCGTGTCAATGTCGTAGGACGGAATGAGCAATAGATAGAAATAATGGACGTTCGGTCGGGGCACAGGTGTCTTGGGACCTGAGATGAAGTAGTCGTCGAGGTCGATATACGATAGGTCATACAACTGCGGCTTGAGGATGGAAGACTGGGAGTTTGAGAAGATTTCGAGTTCAGCTGCTACCTGTTTGGTGAGCTGTTCGGTGGTCCCAGTCAGAGATGAGAAGAATATCATGGGCTGTATTTGAGAAGGCTCTGCTTGTCGTTGCAGACTGCGCTCTGCTTTTGTGCCGGTCGGTTTGCGGCCTGTCACCACCCGCGCCGCCGTCGGTCGAGTTTTTCGAGTCTGGTCTGTCTTGGCCAGTTGAGCCTCTTTCGATGCAGTCTTGACATTGTTTGAAGGCTGATCTGCAGTCTGCCCAGGCCAGTCGGCCTTCTCTAAGCCGGGAGAAGACGGGTGTGATGTGACTCTGCGTACTTGTTTGTGCCGGCGCACCCAGACGAGGAAGAGGCACAGCAGGACGAGAGCCGACACCACGACTCGATGGTCATGCCACGAGGTCAACAACCGGTCCAGCCAGTCTGCCAGGATGACTGGTGTTGCGCCGCCTTCACCCAAATCCATTACTGCGGTTGGCTGCTTGTAACCGTGGTGCTACATACCAAAGATAGTAGGTATTTTCTTACCCAGAATTATTGGGTCGACGGTGATACGTAGAAATAAAGCGTAGTGTTTAGTGGAGGCAGCGCAGCGCAGTGGGGGATTTGCGGACGACTCTCGGCAACACCAACTTGAACCGTGTTCCTTCTGCCCTACCTGGACATCAACTACCAACCTGGAACACCTTTAGTCTTGCCTGTTCTCAATACAACGATCACTCAAGTACTAGCTGACTCCTTGCCAGAGCTTCTACCACGTTCGAGCTCGGATGCCCTACTATTCTCTTCTCCACGAGCCAGTCCTGCTGTCCTCTCTCGAGCCTGCTCGGCAATGTGATGAAGTCGTGCAATCCGACAGTGCCATCGAGTCCGTGACAGCCTAGTATCCCTGAAGCAGCCTACGCTCGAACCTTCTCCTTGTCGAGACTCATTCAATCACGCAAAGGCTCGAACCAAGTCCTCACACATAATCGTAATGGCCCTCTTACCAGCATCCAGCACAGCATCCATGGCGAGAAAGGGATGTGGCATACCCTCCATGACAGTGACTACTGCGGACACACCGTTGGCCTCCAACTTTCTTGCATACTCTTCCCCATCATGTCTCAGCACGTCGAGCTCACCTACGATGATGTTCGCAGGTGGGAGCCGGGAAAATACCTCGTCCGAGGCCAGAAGTGGCGAAGCCTCACGATGCGTCCAGTTGGCTTGACAAGGTAGGTAATGCTGACGATACCACAACATTTTCTTTGCAGACAGACCGGCAGTGAACTCGAATGCTTTCCACGTCGGGTTGGAATACGTGTTGGCTGTGTTGTCTGTGATAGGCACAACGAGAAGTTGCGAACAGATCGATACGCCAGGCTGTGGTCGAAGCGTGGCGTTCTGGACAATCACTGCCGCAATGTTGGCTCCCGCCGACGCTCCAGCAACGGCCATCTTGCCCAGGTCTAGGTTGAGAAGCTTTGCTCCTTGTGAAACCGTCCAGAGGAATGCTTCCCATGTATCATGGATCGCTGCCGGCCACGGGTTTTCAGGGGCGAGCCTGTGTCAACACAACGGTCAGACTAAGCTAATGACCGGAAGAAAAGACCTTTTCCTTCTCGGGGGTTGATGTCGACCGATGCTGAGGAGGAGAGGGGCTGTGAACTATGCAGAGGTCTGGCTAACCTGTAGTCAGTTGTGATCACCACACATTTGGACCGGACAGTCATGTTGGTGCAGACATTGTTTTCAGTGTCAATGTCGCCGAATACCCATCCTCCTCCGTGTACATATAGCACGGCAGGCCAGCCGGACCCTGGTGGATCTCCTTGAGGGGTGAAGTAGCGAATCGACACCTCTGGACCGGCACTCTCTTGCCGGGGAATACATATGTCTTCCGATTTGCCGACGGGAAGAGGATCGCTGTTGCACACAACGACACTGCCTCCTCGTCGAGAAACTGCAATGGGCTGAAGATGGGCCGGCTGCTGGTTGATGAGGTACTTGTTGTAGAATGCGACATAGTCCGGGTGCAGCCTATCCTTAACGCTTGGATGGATTGGATATGGCGTATGGTGTACTATTTGAGCCACCATGTTTGTTGAGGTGTGTGTTGCGCTGGAAAGGGCTTTTCCTTCAAGGCGAGAACCTAGGGAGAGGGGAGTATCATGCCTGAGGGATATCATATTTGAGGGAATTCCCAGCGGTTATGAGTCGTCCTCATCGTCCCAAGTCAGTCACAAGTTTGTGGTACAAGACTGCTGGCAAGGAGGGCATTGGCACGCCGGGGCCAGATTCACCCGTCACTGTTCCCGACATCCAGTCCTACCAGTGACCGGTGTTGCAGTTGCAGGGATACGAAGGCCCAGCCTCCCAAAGACCCTCGAGCGAACAACGGTCAGATCGGCCGCGCGCATCTCCGGAAGGTCGTGTTGTTGGTTCCCCTGTGACTTTGCAGCGCTGCATCACATCAGATTCGAAATGTCCAGGTTGGCGCTTTGCGAGTCTCTTCCAGTAGCTCCGCCTAGGGAACCATGCCCTGCAAATGTCGGCAGGACGCTATTTACCAACCACATGGGCTAGTCTCTTGAGTTGGAACAAAACTCCCCCGTACGCTGGGATACAAAGTGTTCGCTTAGGTACAAGCTCAAGGTACCGTGCAATGATGCTGGCCACTGGTGAGTAGACCATGGCTGAGATGACCGCCGGTCTCAATGACATGCGACGATGACAGCACCCGACAGACTCGTCCTTACCAGATGGCCAGCTAAGCCCAACGGCGCCGTCGATCGCATGGGCCAGTGAGAGCGTCTGTCGGCATTAGATCAGAACCCACGAGTTCTAATGGCCTCGGTTTCTTGACCGCATCAGAACGAACTATCGCTTTGCATTGGGCACCATCCGAGTTCAAGCGAGATGTTCCAGACCCTAAATGCCGGTTCCAATGCTGAGACTGACGGTGTCAGAGACCTTGGTCTTTGGGCAAGTGACATTCAAGGTGTCGACCTTGAAAACTGGATACACAAGAGGCTGGTCCTTGGTGACGACGGTCCCTGTATATGTACCACCTATCTATGTGGTACTGTAGCTGGTGCTTACCACAGGATTGTCAAGGATTTCGACCAACCGAATCATGAAATTATCTCCTTTACACCCTGGCAAGAATGGGTGATTCGGGATCGATTGCCTAGCGGAGACACGGAGCACGATGCTGTCAGTATGTGAGTATTGACTGAGCAACGAAAAGATAAAATCCCGAGTCCTTCCGAAACCCGAAAGAGTCTCCATGCGCAGAAGCAGGACAGGCATCACGACCGGTTTTGAATACGTACTTGTTGAAATTGCGTCGGGGGAACCATGATCAGTTTAGCCTTGCCAGAGTCCCAGACGCTAGGCTCTTCCGAGCAATCGGGTGAAAAGACAGTTCTGTGTTCATACAGACGGAACATGGTTGCAAAGGACGATACTTCAGGACAGACATTTGAAAGTTCAACAATCTGACGTTAATGATAGGGACTATTGGTATACTGACACTACCAGGGCCTGTCACTGTGTGACAAAACTTCGCAGCACGTTGCTCATGATCTGTCGGGCTTCGGCTAGACTCATCGGAGTCTGTGCCGTTGGGCTTGATTAACGTCGTGTCTGGTGCCTTCACCCAGCCGGCTAGGCAAGGGCGTCAGAAACCTCACATCCTCGACCGGGCTGAAGCTAACCGACTTCTTGACCTTTTCTTCAAGGGCATGTGCCGCGGTGGAGATCTTATGATGGACTGCACCAGCCAGACCCGTCCCTCGAGAGCTTTCCGAGCTTGCACTGTCAGCGACGCTTTCATCGAGAGTCCCGTTCCTTGACGGACTGCTCGGATCGCTGCTCTCCCGAGTAAGGCTGGTCGCCTCAAGTTCATAGATGTGTGGATCGTTGCCGATTCCGGGAGCAGCAAGGACACGCGGAGGTGACTGTTCTCCATTGCCTTCGATCGATCGACCGTCCGTGTTGGCAGTCTTCCCTTCCGTTGCAGCTTTCGCGCCTGAAGGCAATAGATGCTGGAGGGTGCCCGTGGTGAGGCATTCTGCATCCTTGACCCCCTTCACCGCAGGACTGGGTGCAGCGTCTCCCCGACCACTATAGATTGATTCTCCGTCCTCCTCTTTGATAACGTCAAGCTCGACCTTTCTTCCTGCTCCTGCAGCAACCGGGGAATTGCCCTCGAGGTGAGCGTATGGGGCTGCGGACCCAGTTGCATGTATGACTGCATCAGCGTATAGCTGCATCGAGTCATCGTGGGAACTGCGCTGCTCTCGGAGGGGCGAAAGCTGCTCAGTCTGAGCTGCACTCTCACCGCTAGTCGAGGTGGCAGAGGTGGAATTCGAAGTCCCAGACCATTGACGCGACGGAGAGTCACCTCTGTCAGAAGCCGAAGACAGTGGTGACCGTGCTGGCGACTTGTGATCCTCCTCGCTGTCGTCGTAGATGGGATAATCATACTCAGCTGGCCTCTGAATCTCATTTACATCGCGGGCTTCTATCTCAGGAATGGGTTCATCCGTCCCATATTCGCTGGTAGATGCTGCGGGATGTGTATCCATGCTCACACCATCCACATGTTCATAGGCAACGCTTCCCTTTCGTTTCATTTGATGCATGACCCCATCGCGAAAGACTTTGCCCAAACCGGACTCCGACTGTTGCGACTTGACAGGCCCCGAGGTCCGTAGACTGGGTCTGGAGATGTTGAGAGCAGGTGGTTCCATCATTGCATCTTGGGAGGCTTTGTCTCTGTTGACCTTCTTCGCAGACAGGCCTGGAAGAGAAGGTCCACGGACAGGAATCACAATTTCCGGGCCTCCCTTTTTGGCACGCACCGGTTGCTTTGACGGTGGCTTCGAAAGTAGCCATGCCTCCTGGGCCTGTGGGTCGACACATGGCCGTACAGGACCAGCTTGCGGAGCGTGACGTTGAGTCTTACCATCTTCGTCCGACACCACCGGCGGCGGCTGAGCCCTCGACGGCTGTCTCGAATACGCGAATGGCAGCGGCGTGGAATAGTCGCGGCGCGAAGCACCTGCTGCAGACGCGTAGCCCGAGTTGGTGGGTTCAAGATGCGCCATGTAACAGGATCTCGAAAGATGGATAGATAACACTCCCAGTTTCGATCGAGCTCAAAGTCAAGGGAAAGGTCCGGGTTCAGCCTTGACAGACGGATATCCGTGCAACTCCTGTCCTGACCCTAGCAGTTTCCCGTTATTCGACGGCTGAACAGGGAGAGCACCACCTCTTTATGTATCGCTCGTCTTGCAGAACAGCTGTGCAAGAATCATGAGGTAAGCGAGCTACGGACATAGGTGTGATGGTGGCATCGTGGTCAGGGATATATCCCGTAACCTCATGCAAACCTTTCAAGTCAACCATCCCTGTCGACTGCGCGTCATCAGCAGCAACAATGCCTGTGATGGCGCCGCTCGTCCCAGATAAGAGGGCCTGGAATGGCGGATCGAGCATCTTCAAGGATTCTATTTCCATGTTGCATGGCTCTTTTAGGTGCCAGATGAGATCTCGCTTGCCCTCCAGACATGTGTCAATGCTGTTTGAGACCACATTTCGCTGCCAGATTCAGTCAAGCATGATTTGACAGGCTCTCATTGGAATGCTCGCCCATGCGAAGGTTTGAAGCCAACTGATAGACTTCTACGGAAGAAGAAAGTGGCTTTACCCATGATTCAGCTCGTTACAAGGGGGTGAAGAGGGCGAGGGCTGTATGCTCCCTCATGTGTCCCTCTTGCCCTTCTTCGACAGACTTATGTAGGGACGATTGTTGTTGTTGTTCCACATCAGAGCGGACGGGCGATCACGTGGGAGCAGAGAGGTAAGATTAGTGATAAGTGACTAAGCGGTCCATGCTAGTCTGAGCTAATCAACCTAGTGTGACGCTAAGATATGATAAGAGATGTAAGGCGCGGAAATTGGAATTTTCTGACATATCACGTGACGAGCTCATCTCTGGCCGGGGAGTCATCCGTCGACCAGAACTCGAAGGCAGAGCGAATGTTTGTATGCGAAGAGGCGTGGAGTTTTGAAAAACAGGCTGTAAGAACGTCCCAGAAGAGGCACCCCTGGTTCGAGTGCTTCCCTCTGAGAAGATTAATCGGCAACATGGCGCCCAACAATTCAAAGTACTCCAGTACACGGCACCATGATCCATCGCAGCAGGAATTCTTCAGCTTCGAGGAGGTCGTACTGAAGGGACTGGCATCTGATGGAGGGCTGTTCCACCCTCACGAGGTGCCCGACATCCGGTCGAAGTACCTGGAATGGAAAGACCTCTCCTTCGCGCAACTGGCGTACGAGGTAATGAGGCTGTACGTTGACGACCACGAGATCTCCAACGACGAGCTCAAGTCGATAGTCGACCGGAGCTATTCGACGTTCAGACACCCGGACACTGTGCCGTTGGTGACTCTGGACGAGCAGAAAAACCTGCATCTGCTAGAGCTGTTCCACGGACCGACGTTTGCCTTCAAAGATGTGGCTCTGCAGTTTCTCGGAAATCTGTTCGAGTTCTTCTTGGTGCGTAAGAACGAAAACCTGAAGCCCGGCCAACCCAGACATCATCTCACGGTCATTGGGGCCACATCGGGCGATACAGGATCCGCAGCCATCTACGGTCTACGCGGCAAGAAGGACGTCAGCATCTTCATCATGTTCCCGGACGGCAAGGTGTCGCCGGTCCAGGAAGCGCAGATGACGACGGTGCTAGATCCCAACGTGCACTGTCTGAGCGTGCAAGGCACCTTTGATGACTGCCAGGACTATGTCAAGGCGTTGTTTGCCGACCCGGAGATGAACAAGATTCACCATCTGGCCGCGGTGAACTCGATCAACTGGGCCCGGATCCTGGCCCAGATCACTTATTATTTCTACGCTTACTTCCAGCTTCTGAAGAAGAACCCTGGGCTGCAGAAGGCCAAGTTCGTGGTCCCCACCGGAAACTTCGGGGACATTTTGGCCGGGTACTACGCTTCGCGGATGGGTCTTCCTGTGGCCAGACTCATCATTGCGACGAACGAAAACGACATCCTGCATCGCTTCTGGCAGACAGGATCGTATTCGAAGAAGCAGAAGCCCGCAGCAGAGCCGCATGAGGGCATCAAGGAAGACGGGGCCCAGGCACACGAGGACGGCGTCAAGGAAACGTACAGCCCCGCAATGGACATCTTGGTCTCTTCCAATTTCGAACGGCTTCTTTGGCATCTGTGCTTGGAGCACGAGTTGGAAGTGAACCCCCAGGGCAAGTTTGAGGCGTCGGTCAAGGTTGCTGGCGGCAAGATCGACGGATGGTTCCAGGAGTTGAAGAAGACCGCTTCTTTCACGGTAGAGAGGGAAATCCTGGACAAGGCTCGAGCCATCTTCGACACATACCGAGTGAGCAACTCCGAGACTTTGGAGACGATACGAGATTGTTATCGAGGCGTCGCTATCTCGAACAAGGGATACGTGCTCGACCCTCACTCTGCCATCGGCGTGGCTGCGAGCCTGCGTGAGATTGCAGCGGCTGGTCAGACCGATGTTCCGACCGTGTCGCTGGCGACGGCTCATCCTGCCAAATTTGCCGGTGCCGTGGAGTTGGCCCTGAAGGCAGAAAAGGGCTTTGACTTCAACACGGTCTTGCCGGAGCAATTTGTCGGTCTCGGTGAGAAAGAAAGGAGGGTGTTGAAGGTTTCTAGCAAAGAGGGATTGCCTGGCATTCGTGAGATCATCACGAGGGAAGTGAACAAGGAAAAGGAGGTCGGCCAAAACGGTGCTCGATAGATACCAGTTCAGTTCTCAACGTCGGATTCACACCATGTGTCATATGCCGTCCCTCGACGTTCCAAGACACGCCCCTGGCCGTCACCCTCAATAGAGAAAAATGAGCGCAGAAGATGTCGAGATCTTCAGGGCAGAGAGTCCAGCTTACCTGCAATAGACAGCCCAAGCTGATATTCGTCCAGACGTCGCAGCTGTTACAAGTTGAGCATTACCGGCAATGCCCTATAACCGCAGTAAGGCATGAACAGGGATGAAGAGACGTTCCATTTGGCGGCGGCGGTGTAGTGTAACCGTGTCTCGCCCTCTTTTCTACGCCACAAATCAATCAAACTAGCTGGAAGCTCAGCAACAATACGAGAACGCAAGCAGGATCTCCGTCCTCTCGACTCTCCCTCTTTTCTCTCTGCTTATCCATCCCATCCAAGCCCAATTCAGACAGCGCAGACGCTGTTATCTTGGGCCCCAGGCCTGCTAACCTCCCAGTAGCTGGACCTGAACCCCCGCGCTGATCTTCCCGCATGCTGACTCTCTGCTTACTTGATCTGGCCGCGTCGTTCACATTGGGCCTGACCTCCCCCCGACACGAAAGGAATGAGAGAACGGTGGGTGAGTGGGTGAGTGGGTGAGTAACCAGAGCTGAGCCTCTCTCTCCCCCTGCTTGCTCTCGCCGAGTCATTGGTGTCAGCTTGCACACTGCATAGTGATGCCCTACTAGTAGGTAAGTTTGCTACTTGTACACCACGACGAACTGCCTTGTGGTATTGTGCAGTTTCCTACGTTGCAAGCCCTCTAGAGCGGCACAGCGCCCTTATGCAACGACGAACGCTCTCACCATGGAGTCCAATGCAAAACGGTAAGTCGGCTTTATCTTTCCGCGCCTGTTGCAAAAGAGACCTGACGGGTTCCATTCTGTGTAACTAAGAGAGAAGAAGATGACTGACTGGTCGTGATGTCTACCAGGAGACATATCCCGCATTGGCCTCCTTTCAAACAGCCATATCAACAACTAGGTTCGGCCGAGAATGTCCAACTCACTCCCCTCCCTCTGACCGGGGGCTCTCAGCGGTCCAGCCTACGCAGTACATATCTGTTCAGTCCAGACTCCAACAGTGCCACCGCGTACACCCCGGATCCGTTGGCCAGTACATCCACTGCGTTTCTGCGGCACTCGAGCAGACAAGACTCCAACAGGAGGAGCAGGAGGAGATGGCTAGGACAAGGATGGAAGGCCAGCACGCGCATCGCACTGTTCGCCGCGGTCGTGGTGCTGGTGGCCAACGTCTCCATCACCAGCGCCATTGTCACCAACGGCATGGACATGCAGGGAGGAGTCTGGATGGTCTATGCCGGAAGTTGCGAGCAGATCGAGACCAAGGACACCTGGGTCCATCTGGCGCTCAACGTCGTCGCCACCATCCTGCTAGCCAGCTCGAACTACTGCATGCAGCTGCTCTCCGCGCCCAGTCGAAGCGAGATTGACCGCGCCCACGCAAAGCGCAAATGGTTGGACGTCGGCATCCCGAGCATTCGCAATCTGGGGTCTTTGCGCAAGAAGAAGGTCATCCTCTGGTGGGTGCTGGGGATCTCGTCGATCCCTCTTCATCTCGTGTCAGTTGGCTCTGCCTCTCACATCCTCACGGCATGCTGCTGACAATCAAGGGTCCTAACAGATACAACTCCATCTTCTTCTCGGCCCTCGCAACTAACAACTACAACGTTCTGTACGCCTCGGAGAGCTTTGTCGACGGCAATTCATACGACACAACCAGGTTCGCCGACACGGGAGCATGCAACGTGTCGGACATACAGTCACGGGCGAAGAATTTCCTGGCGCTCAGCAACCAAGACTGCATTCACGCATACGCCAAAGACTTCGTCGAAGACCGACGCAATGTGATCGTAGTGGTCAAAAATCCTCCTGCAGGCCAGGGCTCGCTGTTCAGGGTTGCCGCCAACGAGTTCCCGCCCGTCATCACCACCAAGTACGACCCGTTCTCCTGGATCTGCGACAACGCGGCTGTCGTCAACCAGACCGGTGCGTGCTGCGAGAACGAATTCGGAGTTGTGCCGTGTTCGAAAATCACGCCCAAGCTGCTCGACATGGCCGGCCAGTGGTCGACCGGCGGTTTCGAAGTCGACCATTGCCTCTCCGAGCCGGTCGAGTCGCAGTGCCATCTGCACTTCTCGCTGATCCTGATGAGCGTCGTGCTGGGCTTCAACGTGCTCAAAGTCATCGCGGTCGGATTCGTGGCGCTGCGACTGGGCGAAGCGCCTCTCGTGACGGCCGGCGACGCGATCCAATCGTTCCTGCTCAACCCAGACCACACGACCGAGGGCATGTGTCTCGCCAGCCACAGCAGCGTCGTGGCCTCCTTGAAGCTGGGCTATTCCGCGATGCCGACGCCGACGCGGTATTCGCCCCAGCAGTATCGCTTCCACGAGTCCGCCAGCTGGCGACAGTGGGGTTTCTTGCTGGGCCTGTTCGCGCTGCTGGGGACCGGGACGTCCGTCTGTCTGGCGCTGGGCATCGAGCATTTCAACGGCGACCGCACCATGCAGCACGCCTGGTCGATCGGGCTGGGCAACGTGCGTCCGCAGAACCTGATCATGGGCTGGAACCTGCCCGGGTCCGGCAACACGTCGATCACCGTCTCGACCCTGATCGCCAACACTCCCCAGGCGCTGTTCTCGTTCCTGTATGTCTGCTACAACAGCCTGTTCACCGGCATGTTCCTGGCGCGCGAGGTCATGCGCTTTGGCATCTCCGCTGGCCGTGGTCGTGGCCGCGGCCGCAAATATCTGCGTGTCAGCGACCCACGCGGCTCGCAGAAGGCGACTTATTTCCTGAATCTGCCGTACAGATACGGCATTCCTCTGCTGGTCGGCTCCGGCCTGATGCACTGGCTGGTGTCGCAGAGCGTCTTTCTCGCAAACATCACCATCATCCCCCGCGACGGCCTCGTGCCCATGCAAGACGAGATCACCACCGTCGCGTACTCGCCGCTGGCCATGCTGCTTCTGCTGTTTCTGGGCTTCCTTCTGCTGGGGTTTCTGCTCGCCACGGCCTTGCGGAAGTTGCCCTTCTGTATGCCTCTCGCCGGCAGCAACTCGCTCGCCCTCAGCGCCGCGTGCCATCCGCCCCTCGGCCCGGACCCGGATGTCGAGCGTGAAGATATGGTGCTTCGCCCCCTCAGCTGGGGCGCCGTGCCGGGAGGGTCCAAGAAGGTCGATCTGGGCATTCGGGACCACCATGCTCAGGGGTTTGAAGACCAAATGGGTGCCGTTGACGACGATGGTAGAGGGATCGGACATTGTTGCTTCAGTGATCGGGCGCTGGACTTCCCCGAGGTCGGCAAATTGTATGCCCGGACTTCTGGTTCCGTTTACTCTTGAGGTCGACTGCAGCAGACCTGGTGATGCATCTCACGAAAGTATGCCGCAGTCCGGTGCATTGCTGGAATATTCTCATAAGCATTGGTCCGACCAGCTCTGACCAAAATGATGAGATGACCAAACATCACAAGAAATCTACAACTTGTATCAGGACATTATCACACTAACAACTCGCTTGTGGAGACGATTCTAGTCGATTTGAGCAGCTATATACTGTATAACTGAATTCTGGGTGTCGATCCAACGACGCCACTGTGTGGCCCACGACCAATTGTGGTATGCCATGTGCATTCGCCCCTTTTCTGAACCATTCCCAGTCATCCGTAGCCTTGTTCATTCCCAAGAAATGCATTGGCTACCCAAGCCACAAGATGCCGGATACAATGCATTAGCAAAATGCGCTTGGAAATGCCGAACAATTTTCCAAAACACAAGACAGACAAACTCCGACGCTATGCACGCTTTTTTTGTTTTCTAAGACGTAACGATCGTGATGCAATGATGCATTTCCCCGGATTCGCTCCAGGTAATCATTTGTGCGGTGCCACGCTGACCGAGGGTGTCGAACCATCGAAGACGACGAACTGTGATTTGAAAAAGACATCGCCGTAGATGGAGAAAGGAAGACCCTGGTTAGACTGCAGGCCGCCAAAACAGACTTGAAGAACAATTAGCGTCATCTTGGCTGTGCATCAGACAACCAGACTTACAATCGGTACCAGTCTGGGTATCGGTCCCAACTTCGGCAAAATTCATTCCGTCGCCTTTCACTGTTGCGAGGTGCGAATTCCCAATGGCCACCTGAAGATCCGGCAGGGCGGTGTTGCAGGGGAAAATCACCCCACCGGCCTCTTGACTCAATTGCGCCCCGTCGACGGTGTTCCAATAAGCTACAAGCATATCATCAGACACCAACATCAGTGATGTACCCGTGTCGAGAATTGCTCGGCCGTTGACGATATTCACAGTCTGACCTTGGACAGCTGCCGATGTTGACTCGACTTCCCAGAAGCCTTGAGATGAATCGACTGCAGCAGTGGCGAGGGTGCCTGTGAATGCCGTCTTATCAATGTTGCCAAACTCGTAGGCACCGACCTGACCAGACTTCAATTGAGCCGTGAAGAGTGGCAACGTCAGGTCGGACACGACGTTGTCAAAGAAGGTCTTTTGTGGGTTGGGCTGAATGGTGTTGAGGCTGCTGAAAGCAAGGCCAACGAGGCCGTTCGCTACAGAGTCAGTTATGAAGCTGCTGCCGACGGTATCGGGAAGGCCAATGGCTTGAGCTGCGACAGTAGCGCCACCGATGTCGACTTGGTCAACACCAACAGGGCCGGATGCAAAAGAGCCATCGCCATAGCTAATGTTGAAAGTGCCATCGAGATTCTGAAAGGTGGATGATTGAGTTGGATTGTAGATGGTGTGGCCTTTTTGGGCAGATTTGGCGAGGTTGGTATTGAAGACCCAGCTAGAGTCATGTAAGCTTGATACTCTGACGGTCTCACAGGAAGAGGGGCTGTCCTACAAGTCAGATGAGCCACTGTCGAAGTTCATGATCAACTGCTGTCCGCCGACGGTCACCGGTGAAAGAAATTGAGCATCGTTCTGAGTAGGAGCCGCCGTGGTTCCGCCATCTTCGTTGCCTGTCGCATTGACAGCAGCGGCGGTTGCTGCTCGAATCCTGGTGGCCACCTCTCCATCGGGCACGAAGCTGATGTCGTTGAACCCGAATTTGATGAGAGCTCTTTTGTAGGCTGCTTTTCCATTTGGCTTGTAGTTGGCGTTGCGTATGCGGGGGATCTTGAACGAGCGTTTCTGTTTCTGTTTCTGTTGGATAGGGGTTGCAAAGACTGCGGTCAAGAAGAGAACGGTAAAGAGCAATGCCTGAATTCGAAGCATAGTGAGAGTAGTGATCGGCTAGCGACTGTAAAACAAGAAGAGAGTCTGAATGAAGGTAACCTCGTCCTGCAAAGCTGGAGAAAGAAGAGTGAAAAGGATAGTGAAGGACCTGCCTCCAGTATACAAAGGAACGATGACTATGCAAGGAAACAGACAAGGCTCGAGGGCCGACGAAGATAGATCAGGTCACAAACCAGGCTGGAAGCAAACATTTTAACAGAACTGGTGGGATGTCGAGGATATGCATGTCTACCGCGGGATACATAGCACTGTGGTGTGCATACTGCGCGGCCTCGTCTCGAATCGTGCTAGAGAATCCTAGGCCACGCCAGCTGCATGTCTCAGGACTGTAGACTGACAAGTCAACAATGAGGCCGGACCAAGGGTTGGAGCCACAGATGGATCTCATGTATCAAGTCGAGCTTCCTCCACCAGAGGCACACATGTATGACTGGCTCAATTGTGGCGGACCAGCGACTGCCCACGACAGGAGTGCAGGGACTGCAGTTGTGACAGCAAGGCGACTGGCCGAGGAGGCTTCAGAGAGTCTGGCATGAGGCTGACGGACGCCATGTGGATAGGTCTGGTCGATTTGGCGAGAAGCTCTGGGGAGAAATGGGGACGAGTTCAAGAAAAGGGGGTGACAACACGGGCCAAACAAAGAGGATGAAACGCAGGGGGATGAAGTTTCAAAGATGCCAGAAGGAGAGTTTCAAGCTACGAGGAATCCGAACTGGGCTTCAAGCTTGGCACCGTGATACCAAACTTGAACTGCGTCTGCGGATGGATCTTGGGCGGCAGTACTACAGAGCTATACATGGTGATAAGAGCGCATCCGCAGGCGCAGGCATGAAAGGGCGCAGGCAAGAAAAAGGCGGGGCAGAGAAAGGGGAGGCTCCCAAGGCTGCAACTGCAACTGCGATTGACAACAGCCACTTCGGGTCGCTACATCTGAAATATTGCTTATCAGCCAGCTAATCGTACCACTGCACGGGTACTGTCAATTCTGTATTCAATATGTCGCCGCTTGCACCTTGGTACTCTTGCAGTATAGAGGCAGCATGGACATCAGTTTCAGCGATGCTTGACCCTGTCGGCAGTAGGCACTGGGGCACTGCTCAGGCTCATAACATCACCTCCTATAGCAGAACGACATGCGCGTGCCCTGCCAGAAAGCCCTTCTCGGACATCCGTGCCCTGGCCCAACGACGTTCGGCTACACCACATACGCGGCCCTCTTTCACCACCTCTGGCGACAACGCAAACCCTGGCCCTCGCTTGTCCACCTCTCAGCTTCGCCTGCCGCCGTGCCTTGTGGTGTAGTCCACTTTGTAACTTGAACGGGTAACGAGGGAGCTGACTCGCTGTCACACCCTCAGCCAGGCCAGGGTATTGCCTCTGTGGGACTCGAGTTCGTATGCGTCCCGTCAGGGCCGAGGGCAAAGGCTGAGGAAACATCGTAGTAAAACAAAATGGGTATCTTCAAGTCTTATAACGGGCCGTCGGGAAGAACTTCATCCGGATCCTCACCAATCAATCTCCCCACCGACCTCACCACTTGTCGTAACGCTTTGCAAGCAGGGCTGTCAGGGAAGCTGTCCATGAAGCTCTCTCCAAAATCGCAGGCCATTCCTATCCGTGGATCAAGCGGCACTGCTCCCAGGAAAGGGATGCCCAGGTCGTCACAGAGTTTCTTACCGCCTCCTGTCGTTGCTCGGAAGATCTGAGACTCGTGGGTACATTTCGGACAGACGAACCCAGACATATTTTCAACCAGTCCCAATACCCGAATCCCGGCTTTCCGGCAAAAATCAATCTCCTTTCGTACATCCAACAGCGAAACTTCCTGGGGAGTGGTCACCACCACGGCGCCATCTACACCCGATTCTTTCAAAAACGAGTTGACCGACAGATGTTCGTCCGAGGTGCCGGGAGGGGTGTCCACGATCAAATAATCCAGGTCGCCCCATTCGACGTCTTTTAAAAATTGTTTAATCAGTCCGTTCTTCTTTGGCCCGCGCCATATCACCGCATCGTCTCGGTTCGGTAGCATGAATTGAACACTCATGACTCCAAGATTGTCCGTCACCCATACAGGACTCCAGCCCGCGTTGCTGACGTGGATGGTTTCACTTTCAACACCCATCATTTTAGGGATAGAAGGGCCGCAAATGTCGGTGTCCATGATTCCCACCGTAGAGTCTGGGTTGGCGGCAAATGCGTGCGACAAAAGCGAAGAGAATGTTGATTTACCTACTCCGCCTTTGCCTGACAGCACCAGTATTTTATGTTTTATTCCGGCAAGCCGTTCGGTTATGAGAGGGATATCGGGATCGGGACCCTTCGGCGCTGAAGCGCAGATGGCCTGATTCGGACAGCCATTGCAGGCGTCACCTTGGCCCGCTTGCTCGGATTCGGGACCAGGACAGTGTTCTATAGAACAGAGTCAATCAATCAGGACGATGTGGAACAAATCAGATAGTGACATACCAGGTTCTGGAGCGACAAGATCAGGCTTGGATTTGAGCGGGACTTGAAGCGCCTCTGACAGCGGCTCTTCCAGATAAGGCGCCATCAGTGTGCAAGTATAAAGAAGCAGTCACCTAAACAGAGAGTATCGTGGGTTCGTAGGGATCGTCAATGTACAGGCAGCACAAGAAGTAGAAAATAAAGCGTGGCCTGGTCGATGGCGAAAAAGTGGCGGCCAAATGACGGATTGGTAATAAAGGCGGAAATGCGATTGGTGTGACAGTGCCGCGACCGCAGCCTGACGAGCCTCAACCTCAGCCTCGTCAACCCAACCAACCACCTATCACAGTACAGAGGACTACTAGTATAGTAGTGAACACTTTTAGTAGTACTAGATAGCGCGATAACATATCCATATCTTTTATCAAAGTCCAATCTGTGCTACAGGCACTAGAGAGCTCTCCGTAGAAGTCGTGCTCAGGCACCGAATATTATATGCTGGCCAGTCTATCTCCCAACATCATCACCTTTACATGATTTTTATAGGCCGTTTGAAAACCTACCTTAGGTATCTTCGCACCTCCCTCTTTCATCCAAGCGCTGCATTATCTTCACATCAGCATCTAATGCTGTCCAATTGCTTGTTACAGATGGCGTCATGTTCTGCATCTCTCACCATCATAGCGATTGGGCGTTGAAGCGGCAGGAGGGGCACGTGAGGAGTTGAAGCTCTGTCAATTTCTACCCACTACTACGGACTAGTCTAGACTCGTCAAGCTCCCAACTGGTTTGCTTTGCTTTCCTCTCCCTTTTCCCACCTCCACTTCTATTTTGTCTACTGCACACCTTGTGTCTGGTAGCCGTAAATGAAAGGTTATATGGACACACTCATTAGTACCGAACGTTCTCTCAAAGACCTTTCTTTTACGGACGCGCATCACCATGGCCGACGACTCAGAGACATCTGGAGATTCCGTGACTGACGGTCTCCGCCATAGGAACGCTCCCATGAGAACCGAGAACGAGAAGGAGGCTAGACAAACTGTCCTGGACCTTAATGCGCTCGAAGAAAAGTCGTCCAAAGCTGAAAAGGACAGAAAGACCTTTGGTCGCACTCCTGATGGCACCAGTAAGTCTCTGTTCACCTCTGGTACGAGACTGACCTTCGAGGTCTGACGTTGTTGTAGTTTTCACCGTCCCATACACGCAAGACATGGTAACACAGCTCCTATCGCCCACAGAGCCGAAGAACGTGTCAGACCTCCTAGTACTGGCTATTCTGCTGCTGCAGATGTTGCTTGCCTGGAAGCTGCCATCTGCCTACAGAAGGCCAGTCCTTGCCGGTAATTTTTTGTTCTGGAGAGCCGCCTATAATGTAGGTATCGGGTACCTCCTGCATATGCAGTCTCACCACAAGACGCTGGTCAGGTGGGGGCGCAAGTCGAAGTTGTTCCCTGCTGCATCTAATGGCGAGAATCCACATCCCCGACTACGTGCCTTTGTCAAACGCGAGCTGGAGACCAAGATTGCCAAAGACTATGACTTTGACACTGCGCCTCTCGAGTACAATACTTGGTTGGTCTTCCGCCGCATCGTCGACCTGATATTGATGTGTGACTTTACCTCCTACATGCTTTTCGCCCTGGCTTGCGCCCACCAACCGATCGGAGAATCCGTGGCCATGACCAGTTTACGTTGGGCCGGCGGCATTTTCCTGTTTCTCTTCAATCTCTGGGTCAAGCTGGATGCCCACCGCGTCGTCAAGGATTTCGCCTGGTACTGGGGCGACTTCTTCTACCTGATCGATCAGGAATTGACTTTCGACGGAGTCTTCGAGATGGCCCCTCATCCCATGTATTCGATAGGATATGTTGGTTACTATGGCATTTCCCTCATGGCCGCTAGCTACAAAGTTCTTTTCATCTCCATAATCGCGCACGCTGCTCAATTCGCATTCTTGATAATGGTCGAGAGTCCTCATATCGAACGCACCTACAACTCTCCGCCTCCTCGGAAATCAATGGATGAACTGCCGCTCGAGGTGTCGCGACCTGAACAAGCCTCGACCGCTGAAACCTGGCCAGCCCTTGCCCACGCGCAACCACCCCAAACGCACAATCTTCTGGGCATTCGCAACATTGATTTCTATCGGACTACGGACTCGGCCGTGCTTATCATCCAACTCTATTTCTTTGCACTGACCATGCTTACGCCGAATACAACGTTGATTCAAACACTTTTTGTGATTAACGCAGCCCTTTGGCGCATCTGGTACTCGGTTGGACTTGGCTATCTGCTTAACAGGCAATCGTCCAAGAAGAAATGGACCAGACACTTTTTGAAGTATGGCGAGAGTACTTGGGAGGCCTGGAGGCAATGGAAAGGCACTTATCACCTGAGCATGACCACCTGTTACGCGGCATTCCTGGGAGCCGCGTGGAAGATGTACGCAGTGCCAACCAATTGGGACTATGGCTTGGTTCATCTGAAGCACATCGTCGGTCTGAGTCTGATCTGCCTTCAGATATGGGTGTCATGCAGCATCTACGATCAGTTAGGAGAGTTTGGCTGGTTTTTCGGAGACTTTTTCTTCGACCAACACCCCAAATTGACGTACGGTGGCATCTATCGCTTCCTCAACAATCCAGAGCGGGTTCTAGGTCTGGCCGGTGTCTGGGGCGTCGCTCTCATCACCAGCAGCAAAGCTATATTTTGTCTTGCCCTCCTCAGTCACACATTGAGCCTGGCCTTCATCCAGTTGGTGGAGAGACCACATATGCAGAAGCTTTACGGCAGAAGCCTCCGTCAAGATGCCGGATTGGTCAGAAGTCTTCGTAGATCGCTTCCACCACCACTTCGACAATGGCAGGACGGTATGGACAAGATGCTGACAGAAGCCGCTGATGTTCTGGAAGAATTCTTCGACGCAGCCAGACCCAAATTGGCAGCCGGAGTGACCAACATCGTTCAGGACACCAAGAAGCTCCTTCCGAAATACACAGCACGCATTACCATCACCAAAGTGGACCCTGAAATCGAGAAACTAGACCCAAGGGGATACAAGCTCGAAATCGAAGGCACTCCGGCTTCTTCTCTGGCAGATTCACAACGCTTCAGCGAAAAGGAAGCCGAACGGGCCAGGACTCCAGCGGAACGAACCAATGACTTCAAACCACTGCTATTCGAATACGGCGCGCCCATCAAGGTCAAGTGGACTGCACCTCTCAACCATGGAAAGAAGGACTGGGTCGGGTTGTACATGGTTTCTGACAACAGCTCGCGAGAAGTGACGCGAGTATCATCTTCTGGGAGGTGGGTCGCCACGAATCCGCAAGAATACGACAATGTCGACTCGGAGGTGGGGATTGTTTCGAGCGACGTGAAGACCACCATCACATTGGAAGACGGGACCCAGAAGGAATGCTATACGGGCGAAATGGTGTTCGCAGGCGACAAATTGTGGTGGACACAAGGGTCTTTTGAGTTCCGGTACCACCACAACGGCAAACACAATGTCATGGCCATTTCGCTTCCGTTCGAGGTCCGCATCCCACGGTTCAGCGACGAGGAGCTGGGAGACCTTGACTCCAACATCTCATCATCGAACAATCCAATGAACGACGCGCTGATCCGGCATGCGATCGAGAAGACCCTGCTTCCTGTCGTGCAGAACTGTTTCGATCGCGACCCGGAGATCGCCCCACGTACCCCGTCCGAAACGTTCGGCAGTCTGGTCGACAGAGACGGCAAATATGCCAGGCGGGTAGTCTATGCAGTGCATCAGATGTTTGGCATCGAGTTTGCTTCAGAAGTCGTCAAGGCGGATGGCAAGGTGGAGAATCTAGCCTGGCGGATCTGGGAGGCCAAGAAAGTCCTGGCCCCGTTTAGTATGTCGAGGTCGAAGGGCACAACGACACCGGTGGAGGGGTCTAAGGACCATTTGTGATCTCCATTGTGGCCATTTGTGCTGCCTACGCCGCGTGTCTTGCAGGGTCTTGGACAGCCAACTGCGAGGAGCATGAACGGTCGCTTTCTGTCAGCAGAATACAAAAAGTTGTGTAGAAAAAGAGCATAAGCATGCCGGGGGAGCAACAAAAAGAAAGGGCGAGGGGATCGGGACCGGAACGGAATTGAAGGGTCACGAAAAGTTGGTCAGGACTCCGAGTCCCTAATGGCAAAAAATCTTCTATCATCTGTCTATCCAAATGCTCGAATCTTTTTACGCCTCATCGGAAAGTTATTGTCTCATAGTGTGACATGACCGAAAGTTCAATAAAAAATGGATCTCGTCCGATGATGGGGAAGCATCTCTTCGACCTCGCCCCGAGCCTCCATATCTTTACACGTATCGTACAGGAAGAAATCAATCAGCACGGCGTTGACCTTGCCTTTCGCCTCTGGGTGGCGGCGCTCGATCTCGCGCCTGAGTAGCTCGACGCACCAGATACTGCAGCCGCGGATCTCGACTTCCATGGCCTCACCCGGCTCAAGGGGCTGTAGTCGCTTGATCCGCGTCTCCAGCCGCGGCGAGTACAGCAAGCAGTGCAGGCCCTGGAGCATCTGTGGGATGCGATAGTCGGCGAACATGGTCAGCGTACCGATGTCGTCAAAGCATCCGTACGAACGGCCGTTGAAGCAGGCCCATACGTCGGCCACGAGGATTTGGGCGCGCTTGTATAGTCGCACCTCACGGCCGTGATAGGGTGTCGAGTCGCGGAAGTTCGGGAAATATTCGACCAGCAGGTTTACCAGTGTGGCGGCAGACTGGTTGGCACGAGAGATGATATTGGCTGGTCGTCCGTCGAAGTGGTCGTGGAGGATGTCGCCGGCCTCACGGAGGATTGCGATCCGGTCGGCAAGTAGCGGTATAGGTTCGGTGGTTGCAGAGCGAAAGATGTGCTCTAGTACGCTATCTGAGCAGGCATCGAGATCACGCCAGAAGCTGGGAGTGGTGACTGCATAGCCTAGACCAAAAGAAAAATCAGTATGGCTAGTGTGAATCGTATCTGGAGAGTGTGGACGTAGTGTATGGACAGGGGAATAGCCAGCCTTGCTGGGGCATAATAGGGAGACGCAAAGACAGGGGTTCAAAAAGGGACAAAACGTACCTTCATCCAGCGCTCTCTGCAACGCTGCCACGAGGGACCAGTATCCCGTCCACGGGCGGCCTCTGTACTCCACGGCGAAGCGTTCTTCAGACGACAGCTCAGACCAAAAGGAAAAGTTGAGCAGGTTCATGGTGAAGATGAAATTGACTGTGCTTTCGTCTTTGGATTGCGGGTGCAGTTTATGTGACGACCATGTCTCGGTAGAGTAATGCTTCTGCTGCATCACTCGCCATATCGTCTCTGCGGCCGCCTTGGTACCGTCCGGCGAGATGGCGACGTCGATGGCATTGTCGCAGATGTATTCTGCCGACTCCAACACCCCGGTCGACGGGCGTGCGGTGAAGGAGCCAGCACCGAGGCCGAGAGACTGGCGGAGGAGTGCCAGTAGTTCCGGATCAGCCTCGTCATCTGACATCCTCCGCTTGCTGCACCTTGAGGAAGAGAGAAGACCAACGAACACGGTCCTCCTGGGCGATATTTGGTGTATAGATGGATTGCTGATGCCCGTCGTGGAAGTATCAGAAAAATGGCATGTCGGAGAAATATTGCTCCTGCTCCGGAGCCCGCTCCACGTGACGTCGATTATGCGGCGACTTTTGAAGGGCGGCGGTGAGTGCAATGGCAGAGCCCAGAGTGCTCTTTCGCACTGTAGAGAGTACCGTTACTAGGGCATCTAGGTCCTGTCTCAGATACCTACACAGTAATTGCCGGTATAGAAACACTTGTGTTGGTGGCAGTGAGTGCAGGTGGTCGTGAGTGGCCTGAGGAGCCTCATTCACCGTACCTGTCTGTGTTTTGACATATGCCCGGATGATCATCGATCGTCCTTTGCTGCCCCTGGAAGTTCTAGCCCGGTCAAGTGTCTAGCCCCCGTGCTGCCGGCGTCCCGCAAATCATGACTGATGATAAGCCGCTTGTGGTGCCTAAACGAGCCGGTAGTCACGGCCTCCAGGGCCATTTTGTGGGCATCTTACACCTATAACATCGCCTAACAAATGCTTCAGAACATGCAGCTGCAGGGTCCCATGCTAAGGTAACTCTGTAGTTCCCACCCTGCGCCTTCTGCTCAGTGCAATGGGAGGATCTCTCTTCCCTCAATCATCAGTCGCATCACCTCTGTACCACTCCGCGAAGTTTCCCATCTTTTCTTTGTGCATGATCGCCAACGGTCCTTTCGCTGACGGCGCGGCCAGGCAAGGGTGTTTGTATTTCCTCTCTCACTTCACTTTCATTTACCACTTCGACTCTTGTGTTCTCCCACTGCCACTCGTCTCATAACTCTATCCTCTCCGTACTCCTCTTTCTGGGGTCATGCCTTTTTGCAGTTGAGATCGACGACGGCATTTCTTACCACCACTCGGACCCGAAAGACCTTGACCATCCCACCAGGCATTCATCATGCCACGAGAAAAATACTCCAGGCAGTCCCTGGGCTCTACATATCGACTGGTAAAGGAGGTAAGATATGGAACACGAAGACGGCCGCGCTCGGAAACTGACAGTGTGTCGTCGCATAGTCTCGCGTTCTGCTGGTCGGCGCAGGCGGCATCGGCTGTGAGCTCCTCAAGAACCTCGTGCTCACCGGGTTCGGCGAAATCCACATCATCGACCTTGATACAATCGACCTGAGCAATCTAAATCGTCAATTCCTCTTCCGACAGGAGCACATCAAAAAGCCAAAGGCTCTGGTCGCAAAAGAGGTCGCACAGAAGTTCAATCCAAATGTAAAGCTCATCGCGCACCATGCAAATATCAAAGACAAACAATTCAACCTTCAGTGGTTCTCTGGCTTCAATCTTGTCTTCAATGCGCTTGACAATATGGATGCGAGGCGCCATGTCAACAAGATGTGTTTGGCAGTGGATGTACCTCTGATTGAATCGGGCACCACTGGCTTCAAAGGACAGGTTCAGGTCATCAAAAAGGGCAAAACCGCATGCTACGATTGTACAGCAAAGACGACTCCGATCTCATATCCTGTCTGTACTATACGGAGTACGCCCAGTCAACCAATTCATTGCATTGTGTGGGCCAAGAGCTATCTTCTACCGGAATTGTTTGGTGTCAGTGAAGATGAAACTCCAGAGGTCGACAGTTCAGGAGATGCAGACAACGCGCAGGAGATTGAGAAGCTGAAACAAGAGGCGCAAGCGTTGAAGAAAATTAGGGAGTCAATGGGTTCGGATAACTTTGCGCGACAGGTCTTTGACAAGGTGTTCAGGGAGGACATTGAACGATTGGCAAACATGGAAGATATGTGGAAGGACAAGAACCCGCCGGAGCCGCTATCCTATGACGCTCTCCAGCAGGAGGCTTCTTCGATCGATAGCTCCCAAAAGCTAGACGGGCAGCGGATCTGGTCGGCGGCCGAGAACTTTATCGTGTTCAAGGACAGCCTCTCACGCCTTGCGGAAAGATACGCCGAGGAACAGACCAAAGCATCAAAGACAGGTCAACCGCCGCCAATAATATCTTTCGACAAGGACGACGATGACACGATGGATTTTGTGGCTGCGACGGGAAACCTTCGATCGATTATCTTCGGTATCGAAACCAAGTCGAGGTTCGACATCAAACAAATGGCAGGCAACATTATTCCTGCGATTGCCACCACGAATGCCATGGTCGCAGGGCTGTGTGTTATGCAAGCTTTCAAGGTTTTGAGAGGAGAATATGTACGAACAAGATGGCTATGGTTATGGAACGGTTCTTTACGGACGGATCAATTGGAAAAGCCCAACCCGGAATGTCCGGTTTGCAGCGTCGCCATGGGAAGGCTGCATGTCGACCTTGAGAGGGCCACGTTGAAGGACCTGGTCCAAGACATTCTGCGGACGAAGCTGGGCTATGGAGAGGAATTGACGGTGCTCAACGATGCCGGCGTTGTCTATGATCCTGACCTGGAAGACAACCTGGAGAAGAAACTGACAGAGCTGGATATTCACGAAGCAAGCTTCATTCTTGTCAAGGACGAAGAGGACGAACCCCGCGTTGACCTCCGACTTGCTATTGAAGCAAAAAAACCGGCGGACGAGTCGAAGCCAATAGTCTTTGTCGAGAAGGAAGGCGAGACGTTTGAGATTCCACGACAACTGGCGAAAGAACCTGCCACCAACGGTGACAGCATTGACGGAGGCGATACCAATGGCAATCTCATCACAAATGGCATTACCACAGTGCCACCGACAGGCAAGCGAAAGCGGGAGCTTGATGATGATGGCGAATCCGGCGACACTCCGGCCAAGAAACTACAGGGACCTGTGGCTGCAGAGGTGGCTAAAAACTCGGCCTCGAACGCAATTGTCATTGACGAGGATGATGGAACTCTTCTGATCGCGGACGATTCTGACTAGGAATACGGCAGTCCCTAGAAACCAGAGGCGTTGGACCGGCTTCGGCATCCTGCGGCATTCGCACGGCTTCTGGCCGTTGGAGCATAGGGTTTAACCAGTGAAAATACAATGGCTCTGACGTCGCAGCGGCCACATTTCCCAGCATTACCTGGAGTACGTGCTTTGGCTGATGCAGACACTACTTCTTTGAGCTGATGCTCATTTGCTTGGGCATGGGACAATCCTGGATATGAAAGCCACCTTTTCCAGGAAAAGTGCTCAGAAAGAGCTATCATCTAGATGGCATGAGCTTGGATGAGACAATGCAGCGAAGAAAGCAGAAAGATGAGGCAACGTTGCCTTTTGTTAGAATACAGCAAGAATACACCGGGAGCTCAGCGGCATGTTTAGATTTGCTGGCCTGTTAGTCACTTTCACTTCGTCGCTCGTGTGCATCCAGATTCTACACAGTACTCTTCATGGCCTGCTCAATGTAACTACGTGATACCCCTGCCTGGCGAGTGAGTGATTACGACAAAGGGAGCATTGCTATAAGATGTGAAGTGCTGATTGTCGAGGATATGGTCTAAGGAGACCGCCTACTAGCCTACAGTGCTCGCCGCTATATGGCACACACTACGCGTTCACACGCGTAGAAACACGAAACACGTTCTGCCGCTTCTCGCTGCTTTTGGGGTTTAGACAAAATATCACCACCCACAGCAACCTACTAGTAGTAAACGCTCAATCCTAGACCTCGCACTTTCATCAATTTACTAGAATTATTTCTTACACGCTTCCAACGCTGAAGACAGCTGTATCTTTTCGCTCGCGACGAAGCCCCAGACCTGTTCCAAGTGATCATGGCCGTCAACGGCACTCCGTCACCGTTCGTGACCTTGGTCTCGTCCGACGGCTTTGAATTCCACGTCCGTCGCTCCGCTGCCTGCGTGTCGGCGACCATTCGCCGCATGTTGGATATGCAAAGTATGTCTCATCGCCTTATCTTACCTCCCTCATACGTGTATCCTTTTTCTTTGTCTCTGACGTGGATGACCACAGACAACTTCAGCGAAGCTCAGACCGGCATCTGCCACCTCGAAAACATCAGCGGCATCGTGCTGGAGAAGGTCGTCGAGTACTTCTACTACAATGAGAAACACCGCAACAGTGAAGGAGTCCCAGACATGGATTTCCCCTCTGAGTTGTGCTTGGAGCTGCTGATGGCTGCGGACTACCTGATCACTTGAGCCAAATACGGTCGTGTCATGCCACTCGAGTGCTTGCTCGAGCACATAACAAACCACAACTCATCACATCAGTGCAGAAGAAGCACACCTTCCACCCTCAGGGCCCGGCAGCGTCCCTCGCAGAGCTGATTGCGATACTGAAGCCTGTCCATGAGCGGGGCTCTGGGTCTGCGGAGGCCCACAACGACTGCAGTGCGGCACGCAATGGCAAGGCCAGTGTCAGATCAGTATTGTCCTCCATGGCCGCCACTGCTAGCTTTGAGTTGGAGCTGACGGCGCCTGACGCGTCTATGAGCATTGAGCGGTCTATTGACCGAGAAGAGACGCAAAGCCCGGCATGATACAGACCAGTAACTCCACAGCCAGGCTGACGGCACCCAAAGACAAGATCTACTACTGGAGATACATATCACCGCGCCAAGCTGAGAGTTTCCCTTTGTCCCTGAAATCGTCCGTATGGCTGCTATGCTGTGGACATGACTGAAGCTTTGGAAGGTGAACACCTGTGATAATGGAAAGACCTGGTCTACTCAGTCACAGCGCCTTCTGCTGCTTTGGCTTTTCGAAGATACCAGGCCATCATCTTCCTCACGATTCATGGTATGGATGGACAAGGGCAAATGGAGTCGTTCTCATGAAAGCCATCCATCAAAGGTTAGACATCCGAACCTGCTTCACCCAGCACAGAAGAGGAGATACACACCAAACATGCAGTATTCCCCATTCCACAGAAGCCAGCAGCCCTTTCTTCCCAATAAATTTGTTTACTGTTCTGCCCTTTTGGGAATGTCACTCATCTTGCCGTCTCGTTCAGTCCATTTTCACGCCTCTTTTCCTTTCCTTGTTTCCCCTTCCATTCCATATCTTCCTATCGTCCCCACACAACCCATCTCAAGCATATACGTCGCGCAACACCTGCTTTTCCTACAGGCCGACGTCTATAGAAGATGGAAGATCAGACCCCTCCCTAGATCATCAGGCAGTCCGCCTGGCTTTTCCTATGCTGATGAGCGGACGTTCTCTCAAGGGGAGACATTACGTCTCTATAAATTCAAAATTTTACCCATCCAGCTTCTAAGTACACAGCCCATCTTTTGGAGAGGTTGTCATTGTGGCCAGGATATAAGAAAATTATAAACGGCCGGCTGAAAGAGGTCGTTCAATTATTTGACTTGAAACTTTGATTTCACCGTTTTGTACTCGATATCTTTATGGCATTCCTCTACAGGAGCAGTTGTGCGAGTCTTTCCTGAGACCTCTATCTCTCTGGTAACAATGCCGTCACTTACTCATTTGGGGGTATCATCCTAAATCAACCATAGTGTCAGTGCCAGTTTTTGTAGCAATGCCATCCATCCGGCCATTAAGCCGTTCATCCCGTCGTGGGCCATCATATCATACAGTATATCAACTCGTGATTCAATAGCATTCAGCTATCCCTCAATTCCATGACCAGATGCGATAGTTGGACATTCTCCACGCGCAGTGGCAGCAGAAACCGGGTGCAAACGCCATGTTGCAACTGGAATCGTGAATCGACCACTTTATCCAGGTCGGCATCGTCAAAGTGATTTCCGCCTTCATGCCCTTCTGATCACCAGCCACTCAGCTCCTGTTCTCCTGTGGCTGTTTCTGTGCCTGCCCTTGCGTCTGTCCTTTCTTGCCGCGCCATCCACCTTTCCCCGGCCCCTTTCCCTTCCCCCTTCCCTTGGACCCAGCCTTCGCTTTCTCCTCGAACAGTTTCTCCACGCCAAAACAAGCATCACTCAACCGCAGATAGCTGATGACACCCATATCTACGACCGCGAGAAGAACGTTTCTGCGACCATGCTTGATGCGCGTCTCCAGTCTGCCGGCCTTGTCTCTGGACAGAGCATCCTCCGGCTGCGAGTCGAGAAGGTCGCCGATCTGCGTGAGGGTGGGGAGCGAGGTGGTTCGCGCGTCGACGACGGCGATGCGGTAGTCGGGCGGCGGAGGTGCGGTTTTGCGATATGCATGTGCGCCACTGGGTTTCCAGACGTGGAAATGGACTCGGAAAGGAGGTTGTGGATTGCGGGTTGAGGCTGAAGAGGAGGGATCATCGCTGGTGGTCGAAGGTAAGGATGTGGGTGTAGAAGTATCTCCAGTGAGAGAGTGAGTTGTGACTGTTGTTGTTTTGGGGGAGTTGGTGGGATCGTGGTACGGAATCAGGGCCAGAGCCCGGAAAATGTCGGCGTAGTTCCTGTACAGGCCTGGAGCGACCAGAGGGCCAAGTGAAGGGCATGATTCTCCTTGTCGCGGCCGGAACAGCCATGACACTAGTCTATGAATGAGACTGGCCGGGCTTGCTGCGAATGGTCTGGACGGCTGCGACGATACGAGGGTGGAAGTAGATGCGGAACTTGATGAAGTGGTTGTCGGTGCGTTGTGTGTCGAGCCATGGGAAACCTGATCATCGGCATGTCCGTTGACCGGAGCAGGATCGGTGTCATGCCAGGTCGGCGCTCGTTGAACGACGTAGCCTGCTCTCTTGAGCCCTGCGTAGACACTGTATCGTTCCAACGTCAAGCCGTCCTTGCCTATGAAGCTGGCATAGGCGCCTTGCAGACTCATGGGAAGTTCACAGACTTCCGGGTCCTCCTGCCGCAGAGAGGACTCAGCATGAACGATCTCCGATTGTTCGGCCGGTGTACTCGTTTCTGTGGCCGTCTCCGGCTCTGACCCTGCTTGACTCGATTGGTGCTGGAAATCCCCCTCCGACACTGCATGAATGGTCTCTTCGAGAGCAGCAGATGTACCGTCATTCTCACCACCCAAAGGATCCGGCCACCTGATATCCAGGCTTCCTCTTTCCAGCAAAAACAGCGCCTCCTCGGGCAGAAGCCAGACCCAATTGTTCCTGTCCGCCTGGCCCATGACTTTCAGATGCGTGCTCTTGAATTTATACACCACGACACATCTGCCGTGTCTGACGCCGGACCCGTTCTCGTCCCATCGCCAGTCCTCTTCGTTCGGCAGAAATTGGCCTACGAGGTGATTCTTCCCAGCATGTACCCGTACCGCACTGAGGGCAGTATGCATGGCCAGCCGGGCCGCGTCGAGAGCTGACGCTTGGGAGCGGGTCGGGTTGGGCTCGAAGTCTTTGGTGCCTCGCTTGGGGATGATCGCTTGCCCGATGCCCGACGACGAGGAGGAGGTCAACTGGGCGAGGAAGCGAAAGTCTTGGGTTTCATCTTCGAGGTCTTCGGCGCCGAAGTGCGACGTGGTCGGGATCGCATCTTCGTCTGCGTCCGCCATTGTGAAGGCTTTTGGTGGCTCGGCAGTGACCTCAACTATTGAAAAGGTGCGCAGTGAGCGGACCAGAGGAGGCTGTTACTGCAATTCGACTTGGAGGGCAGGGACGTAAGACAGGCTGCACCAGTCACAGACTGAGGATGGGAGAGTATGTGTATAGTAGATATTCTGTACTTTGTATGGAACGCCGTCTGAGACTTTCCTTATCTTATCTTAGCGTGTTCTTGCAGCCTTGCCAGATTTCCGTCACTTATACCCCCTTTTTCCATCGATGGCATCTAGCAAGCCTTGTGGCGCTACGGAAACATGGATAGTAGGACACAAACTGCACGGCCTAGATTTAGATAGTGACGCTTGGGTTGCATTCTGTGTCTGATGTGGCTAGGTATGAACCTGAATCCAACGGCTCAGTTCATCAGAGCGGTCTTCGTGGGCCCGGTTCGAGGGTCGCGGCTCCTGGATGTCTCCTTTGACGTTTTACGCATCTCTTGTTCGGAGTCCGCATGTCTGACGGAGAAGAAGTCAGATCAATGCGGTGTACAACCAGTGATGTTTGGACAGACCAGGCGAACAATCGTAGACCAGCGCAATCCCAAAAGCTGACCGACCGGGTGGAGGAACCCGCTCACATGCACCCAGGTTCTTCGAGTCACTCAAGCTTCAACTCGCTCATCAGCAGCTCAATCCCACCTTCAATCTCCTTGATCCGTTTACCCATGTCGCCTTGACCTTGCCGGCTGGTCTCACCCATATTTCCTTCGCCCACAAGTCCCTTCTCACCACCAGTACCAGCGACATCAACATCGGCTCCGTACCGACTGCTAGACCCAGCCACATGCCTCAGCCGTTCCATATTCTGCACAAGATAACCCTGCATGATCCCCACGGCCGATCTGTACTGCGAGCTGTCACGGCCCCAGGTGCGCAGGATATTTGCGATGTTCAGCCGGATAGCGTCGAGGACGGCATTGATCTGCTCGAGCTGTGTTTCTGCATCTGCGTCTGCTTCTGCTTCTCTGCCTCCATCCGAACTTGCCTCGAAGGATGCGGTCATATGCATATCAGTATCTGCGTCTACTACCGCAGCTCGACCATGGGAAACACGACTGATAGGTAATGCTGCGATGTCTTGTTGTGCATGGGAAGACCAGGTTTGATCGGTACCATTATCAAGATCTTCGTTCCGAAGCAATTCCTTGTCAACATCCATGATTCTTGAGGCGGCTCGTCTCTGCCATCAAGGCCCGAAAAAATACTTGCATTTATGATGGGCGACGCCGAAGGCTGCCCGTCATTATGCGCATGAGAAAACAGAAAAGTGAGATCTAGAGAAAGTGGGAAAGAGGGAAAGATGGAGTGAGGTACTACATACAGTACGTAGTCATTATTCATTCTGCTTCCCTCGGCGCAGCCTTGTTGAGATTACTCCTTTAATCCCCGTGTCATGCCGCTTTTACCAAGTCCAACACTGCACCGGTCCTCAACACGAGAGATACAACGGAAGATGTTCTTTGTCATTTCCAAATGCAGAGTCGAATACCGTATGTAGGTGTTTGAGCAACTGCTTAGACTCCTGAGTCCACTGTCGGCGCAGAGCACTGCAGCCCAACCGGGGTCGGAACATGACAGGAATGTACAGAGGACAAGGAGGACACGGCCCCGAAGATGCGACTCTTTATGCTCGAGTTGTCAACCCCCATGATATGTGACAGCCGTTCGGAAGAAGATCGATTCATTGATTACCCTATCTGAGTCGTCGCTTTGCAGTATCGTGCCATATCCAAGACCAACGCCTTGCAAAAGAGGACAACGCAAAGCCAAAACAAAACAGCCGCAAGGTTGGCCTGATTCCCGACGAAGAGAAATGGTTGGCCTGTTCCCACTTCAAGGCTCGAGTGAGCTTCGAGGCCTGAACATCGACCGGCCTGCTTGCTCCCTCAAGCGCATTGAATCTGTGCGTCCGTGTCCGTCACATAATCTCTCAAATATGACCACCGCCCTCTGAATGCTTACTGCTTGCCCTGACCGAGGTCTAGAGATTCGGATATTCCTCCGCACCGAAGGCTCCTTGCTTCTTGGGGCGAGCCGTGGCGCCTTTGTGATGCAGACAAGATACCGACTTCGGAATGCTGCTCATGCTGGAGAGAGCGAGTCGGCCATCGAAAGCAAGCGGCGGATTAAGGCGGTACAAAGGCCTCCGAACCATTCTCGCACAAGTTGATTTCCTGAACTTGGATGGGAAAAGATGGACCGTTCCATGTTATCGGTCCATGGGAGTTCGCAACCACTCACTCGATCAATGGCTTCTTCGTCGAGCCGACCATGGCAACGCCGAGGCAGCTCATGGCATTCGGATCCGAGACACGTATGATGGTGGCCAGGGGGAGCATTGGATTGTCTGCATTTACATGCGAAGCGTCTCGGGCGGCTTGTTCGATAGCCTCCATTTCAGCCTTGCATGCGGCATGATCCAGAGGACATACTACGATTGGTTGTTTCAAAACGATGTCTTTGGCACCGTTCATCGAAGCCTAACAGTAGTCAGTACTGGGGCTCCAGATTTGGGTGAATCACGTACCTTGATGGTCAAGTAGTATTCGACTTTGTACAAACCCGCAGTTGTGGTGAATCCAGTCACTGAATACGAGGGGAAGCCGGCCTTGCCACGAGGCATGATACCATCAGCGTCTCGGAGATCATTCGCAGGGAAAACAAGTCCCAGATTCGTGAAGTAGCCTGCCTCAGGCATTTTCACACCCACGTTCTCCGTCTTCTTGACTAGAGTCTTCGATTTCCTTTGAGGCTCGTCGCCTTCGTGGTTGTATATGACCTCCTCATCAATGCCAATTTCGATCTTCCGAATCGTCACCTTGCGTGCTTTGCTCAACCAATCCGGGTTAGGCGATAGCTTGATGTATACGCTGACTGGATCCAACGGCCCGTACGACCATCTTGGTAGCGATATGCCCAGGGTCACCAAATGATCCGAGACTCGTTCTGCCGTTTCCGGCCGATTGTACATGCCGAACGTTGAGAGCGTGTCATACCGCGCGATCGGTACGGGGAAGGTATACTGTTTGCGATCTCCCGATCCGTAACCGACTGTCACCACCATCTCGTAGTATGTTTCCGCCGTCCTCCTCGGGAGTTGTAAACTGGCCGGTGGCACTCTCCTCGCCGTCTCTTGTCCTCCGCGTCCAAAGGGTATGAAGATGACGAAGGGCAAGTCCATGTACATGATCTCCTCCGACTCCCTGTTGGCCGGACACCGGAACAATAGCATTTCCTTTCCCACGGTTTCTGTCGACTCCTTCCTGGGCGCCGCCAGATGTTTCTTGGCCACTGAGTCTGCATGAGGATGGATGCTCTCCCGACGTTGCAGAGAGATGGTGACAATGGATACACTGACCGGGCTCGATATGCCCACCGCAGGACGAACTTCGACAGTCCCTTCAATACGAGGCTACGCTTGTCAGCAGGCTTGAGAGCGCCAGTACCGCAACTCAGACTCACCAGTGTGGCGGAGATTCCTGGGTACCCGACCAGGAAATTGGTATTCGGACGGCCAGACACTCGCACAAATGCGCTCATCTTCTCATGGAGCTGGGTCTCAGGTTGGGAACATTAGGCGTGACCAAGTAAGTCCTTTGCTGGTGGCCTTGTGTACGACTCGGGAGTTTCGGCGGCCTTGTCCTGAGCGACAGTGTGAGGCCCATAGAGACGTCGTCGCAGTGGTCAGTATCCCATGCAGGAAAGAGCTGAAACCGTGACGCTGTGCTTTGTTGTCATATCAATGAAACCGAATATGGGTATCTCGACGTTGTTCTGTTTTTGGCGAGGGTTAATGATGGTGGTAGTTTGTGGTCAATTTGGAATACGTAGGAGTCCCCGAGCGATGGAGGATCGTATTCGGTAAGTCGAAAAGATGATGCCTGCAATGGCCGTGGGATAAGCTGCAACGGAATGTGAGGTTTACGTGGGTTGGTGAGCGCAGCGCGGGCTTGTGGAGATGTCAACGCAAGCAGGGCTGAGGATGCCAGCCGCAGGTGGAGATGGAGAGGGAGGGATGAATTCCGGCGGAATGGACTAGAGTAGTACTACGACACCTACGAGGACATGAGGTTAATCGGTGCCACAACAATAATAATGCGCTGCGATACTAGGGACCTAAGGTACACACGTAAGGTATGCCATCTACTATGGTACTGCCAGGGATACGGATACCTGGGAGGTATGACAAGACACCCGTGGCCCAGTTATAATGCTTCTACAGGAGTCATGATTCTAGGCACCTACGAGGAAATATAGGTATGCCCAGACCTGCAGTACGTCAATTCCCGGCCCTAAGGCCCAATCGAATCGCCTATTGTACTGTATCTACCTAGATGTCCAGTCGCCTAAAGCCTAGAGAGCCTATTCTGACACTCCTCCGGTGCCATCTCTTTAACTAATAACAGGGACGGATTGTCAATCTCTCTCACTTAGTAAGAGAGATGCGTCAACGTAAGGTAGTCGAAAGCTTCATTGCATGTCAAGACACGGCATTTGGGAGTTGAGTAGAGTATCAACTTCTCCAAGCCCAGGATTGTATTTTCTTGTCGTCTCTCTCGTAGTCCGTGCAAGCACACTCAAGTCCTGGTATGGCTCGTTGGTTCCCAATGACGCTTGCTGATAACAACCACTGCACGTACGTAGCTATTCTCCAGGCTTTCCAAGCCTAATCCCTGCAACAGCCTTGTTCCACCCCGGTTCACCTACTATGATCCCCGGCAAGCAGTGGTTGATGAGGCTTGACCGTCCAAGAACGCAACCACATGTCGATATTATCACTGCACAGCAGCGATGATCACTTTGCTATAGCTGTCCCATTCTTCTCCGGGTCGAACAAATCGAACACAAGCCTAGAATCGTGCAGAATTCTCGTGCCGCCTTGTCCTTGGAAGTCGACCTCGAGTCATGATACATTGGCATGCTCCATCGAAAGTCCGTCCAGAGAGAGCGGCTGACATGTCGTCAGCATAGTACTGCGACTGACACTAGTGAGGCCGCCACGTACGCTCTCTGGACCACCCCTGCGCATGTGCGCTTCTGCGCTTCTCCTCTCGTAATATCTGCAGATGGCGCGGTTTGTCCCATAACAAGCCCGTGGTTGATATGGTGTCTGTATACGCATCGTTCGTTCAGTCAACACCGACCAAAAAAGGCGCCAGATAACCGTTGGTGTCATTCCGAAAAGTCGAACACGATGCGTGTGCGATCAGTCAATGTCTCTTCTGGCCGGGCGGGCAGAAAGATGGGTTGGAAGCGATACCGCATAGGAATCCACGGTACTCTTCTCACCATCTTCGTCAGCCTGCCAATGGATTCGCATGTATCGTCACGCGCTCAAGGATGATCTTCTCGTCCTTCGGTCGAAACTTCTTGTCCACGTTGACGCCTTCCATTCTCTCCAGAGTGCCGCCTTCTTCGGCGCCGTCAATGACTCGCCCAAAAACTGTATTCTTGCCGTCCAGATGCGAAGCCTCTTTGAAAGTAATGAAAAATTGACTGCCGTTCGTGTGAGGCCCTTTGTTCGCCATCGACACCATTCCTCGGCCACTATGTCGCAATGCTGGTATTTTGATTTCATCCTCAAAATACTCGCCCCAGATCGACGTTCCACCTTTTGGAATCGGATGTTCTGGTGTATTCCGAGCGCTCAAAGAGGTGTCTCCTGCTTGGACCATGAAGTCCGGAATCAGTCTGTGGAAAGGTGTGCCATCGTAGGCGCCTGAGGCGCAAAGAGCCAGGAAATTCTCGGCCGTTTTAGGAACAGATTCGCAGAAGATTTCGATTTTGATGTCACCGTGGCTGGTATGTAGCTAGGACTAGTAAGAAACTGGTCATTGAACAATACGTAGTAGCTTCACTTACTGTGACTGACATGCTGCCTAGGAAGATCCATGAATCGGCGGTCCAGCAATCGTGACGGAGTCAGAGATCTTCGGGCGGTAAGACCAGTCAACACTTCGGGCACCAGACCAGCACTCGCGTCAGTTGGAGCAGAGTTCTACTTTGCGCGACAGACAAAAGATACTTGCATAAGACCAGCAAATAGTACTCCACGCGACAATATTGGGGAACCGTGGTCGAAGTCAGACTAGGAAGTTGTAGAGGTATCACGTGCTTGTCACGTGTCAACATCCACCGCACTGACTCTCGCAACGTGACCGGCAGCCTTGTGTCTCAAGGAAGGGAAATCCTCGAGGCTTGCAAAGTACATCTTACCTACCAGGCACTGCGCACCGAGGCTACGCGTACACATCACCGCAAAGAGACTGAACAAATGTCATTTTCAGTTATCTTCATCAATTCTCGATCCATCACCTGTCGGTGCGCCTACAGGAAACCCTTGACTCCCCTGCCATCATATACGGCCCGCCTATTGACCGTTTCACAAGCAATTCCTGTACGCATGCATAATGTTTCAAGGTATCGTCAACCGCGCAATCATCGTTCCAGGTATATAGTCGTCACAGGAGAATAAGAAATCCCGCCCTAAAAGTACAAGTCGAGCTTCCGCTCTGACATGTCGAGAATCGAAAAGTCTGCAGAAGGATGATCACTCCATCAGTCTGAAAGGAAATCATAATTGTTGAAGGTTGTTGGCCTTAGGCCTCAGCTTACGGCCGATGATAGGACGTTCGCGTTCTTTTTGGATATCCAGTGCATCAACATGTTGTCAAGTTGTGACTGCATATCCGCCAGTTTTGTCCGCTCTTGGGAGAAGAGATCGTGCATAAGAGGATGGTCGGGCCCGACCGGCGTGACGTTTGATTTGTCGTGTACAATGATAAGCAGGTCCTTAATATCTTGGTCGTTCTCCATATATGTTCGGAGAGACGCGTCGGACCATGTTGGAGTAGACCTTGAAGTTGATGGAGTATGGGCAGCACTGGATGGCGACGGCTTCGAAGTGCTGGCAGTCCCGTCCGAGTCCCCTGTATTAAAATCAAGTGGCGGAGGAGACGAGGACATTGTTGCTGGTTGACGGGCGCCATACTTGCTGTTTCCAAACCTGATTGGAGATGGAGGCTCTATGGGCGAAACTTGCATGGCCGAATCCGACCGAGGGCGTATGACTTGTGCATTCGAGATAGGAGAGATACTCTGTCGATCCTGTACTTCAGCCTTGGGTGTCTCGTCGTCTCCGTCAGAGTCACTGTCGTCTATTGCAAATCGCTCCTTAGCTCTCTTCGAATAAGTTGGCTTGTGGCCGAACCCACCATCTGAACCTGTTGAAGGGGTAGATTTCAGTGCCATGGTGATGGGCGCGAAAAACGATCTCTTTTCAGTAAGAGAAGGGAACCTGTTGACTTGGACAGGCGCCTGAGACTGTCCCACTTCAGGCTTCCTCACTGCTTCCGACTGTGGAGTCGCGAAATCAACCGTTCGGACCGTGGGTGGTGCGGGTGCTGGCCCTGTCGGGGCAGGAAGTACAGCGCCTTGGGAGGGTTCGGGCGCATCTCGTTGTACAGCTCTTGATTCGGGGGGTGAAGCCTTGGGCGAATTGATCGGAGGTGCCTTTTGCAGTTTGCTCGGTTTTCTCTCTGGGCCAAGTTCGGTCTTGGTTGACAACGACTCCACAGACTCTTTCGCCTGGGGTGGCTGGCGAGGTTCTTCCACAGCTTTTTCAGTGTCCTCATGGCTGGTGCCCTTCTTGCGCTTGAACAGACCACTCAGCATACCCTTCTTCTCCTTTTTCTTGTCCTTAGATTTATCATCAGATGCCACCACCTTGTCGAAAGTTTCCAGACTTGGCTGTTGACGTATTTCCTGCTCGACAGGCTCACCAGCTTCTGAATCGCCTCGGAGAAGTCGTGGAGTAAGCGAGATCTTTTTCGTTTCAACTGTGTCATCTTTGAAGAAAGAGTCGGTATTTCGGACGACACCTTTTCGCGATCTTTGGGCTGGCTCGTCGCTCTGTGGTTGCTCCAGACTGTTATTTGGCTTCTGTGCAATTGTAGCGCTTGAAGAGAGGTCGTCCTTCAAGCTGTCGTTGCTGGTGGTTCGTTGTATTCCAGCCAGAGTGACTGCCTCATGCGATTCCTGGGGATCGCTCACTGCAGAAACTTCTCGCTGATCGTCTGTAGCCTCACCCTCGTCGGAATCGTCCAAGCCCATATGCTCGAGGTGACTCTCTTCATCATCTTCCTCTTCCTCCTCATCAGAGTAATCATACTCACCGGGTTCATAATATGTGGGTGGAGCGAACTGTACGGTCTTCGCATTTCTTCGACGCATTGCCTTTTTGAGTGGATTTTTTGATTTCTCTGGGTTGTCGCCGAGCATAGAAGCAGATAGCTATCGTCTTATCAGTCAAACTCTTAGCCAGGGACTAGCTACATACATCAACATTCCTATGCTTGTTTAGTCGGGCCAATCGTTCGGTTGGTGTTTCGATATGTTCGGCCGGTAGGTAGCCTGCAAACGTTAGATCACTGCAGTCGGGACGACCCGTAGAGGGACTTACCAATACTGCCATCTTTCACAACCCTAACGAGCCACCAGTAACTGTTGCTATCATCTAGCAACACCATGGTGTCACCTTTGGTAGCGTTGGCCTGGCCTTCGACTGTTGCAACAAAGGTATGTAGGGCATATACGAATTCGAAGTCAATGTCCTCTACTTCTCGTAAGCATTCTCCTCCCCAACCAGAATCAATAAAGCGATCGTCAAGGCAAAATTGGAGAGAGTGAGAGTCATCATCATCTGAACTCGATTCGGAACATGGTAGGCAGGTTTCGTCGTCTTCCCAGTCGTCCTCGTCATCGTCATCGTACATGAAGTCCTCTTGATAATCAGGGCCAGTATTTATTGTGCTGGCCAAGACTGGATCGACCAGAGGCAACAAATACCTCTGGAAGTCCTGGGAATCGGACAGGGGGAAATCTTGATGTTGAGAGGACGACGCGGCGTTGCGAGGCATGGGCGAGCAGTCACCTGAAGGCGTAGTATCGCGTCCATAGCCAGAGATGTGATTTTGCTCCGTTTGGCCCTGCTCCTCCTCATACTCACCATGATGACTTGCTCGTTGGACGAATTGCGATGGGCGCAATGGAAAGTGCTCAGGGGTAGAAGAAAAAGGCGACGAAGAAGGAAAGATGCCTCGAGTCGGCGTCGATAGGGAAGCCGGGGAAGCTCCAGAATCCACCGAGTCCGCTCGCGGGGGCCAAGGGGGTAGGGTGTATTTACCATCTTCAATCGAAGGCGAGCTCGATATTTTGTCCAATAAATCGTCATCCATATCCTCATCCTGGGAGTCACTGCCTTCACCGTCGTCAAGGTCTTGCCCGTGGTATCCATTCCCGTTGGCTCCGTTCTGGGAAGTTACGTTGTCGTTGTCTGGGTCATCATCCAGGTTGTCGTAGAAATGGTCGTCGGGCAGAAAGCCGCTGTTGGCGCCCTCTTCTGAAGCCCGCGGACTGATGTGCTGTTGCTGATAGGCCTCTTCCTCGGCGTGCCGCAATGTTTGGGCTTGATGAGGTGCGGCTGGTCCAAAGCCGTAGGGTGAAGGATGTGAAGGTTGTCGCGTATGGTCTTTGGCAGAAGGCGCATCGTGGGCTTGAAGATCCAGAGTATCTAGAGGCATGACGAGTGAGCAATTGCATTGTATTGAGCGACCGCGTCGATATCTGCGAGTCCATGAGGATGTATCTTACCAGCTCTTACAAGCTGCGGCTTGAGGGTGGTCATTGCGCGCACCATTTGTGCGGGAAGTTTGGATGTCGCGTAGTGTGCTCGCCCACCAGTTTCGACGGGCTCCCCGATGTTTCAGGTTGCATAGAGGTAATGCAATGGTTGACAGAAAGGAAAGGGCGGTCCGGATGTGCAACGGTTACAGGTGAGAGCAGTGCAGGGGGACAATCGGCGAGGCAAGCTTCGTTATGGTCGAGGTAAGGCGCGGTAACGACTGGTAGGGTGCACAGAGCAGCTCGGAAATGCTTGTGTCAGGAGAGACGCGGTTTCGAGGGTCGCAGGAAGCACTGCAGCAAGAAAGAAAGATCCCTAAGGAAGGACCGGCGGGTGTTCAACGAAGGGGAACGGGAACGCAGGCGCAAGGGAAGATGAGGTACTGAGCGAGAGTTGTAAATGTTGTGATAGTTGGTTGTAGGTATCGAACAAACAGGATCAATGGTGGTGACAGGAGATGAATAGCGGGTGGAATTGGCTTCCCCCTAATGTCCGTCCATGGATCGACGCCAAAAATCCGGCTGCGAAGGAGGTGTGTTTCGAAAATTGGGACTGGCCGTCCGACAGAGCAGGGAACGGGGTTGAGATTCAGGGACGGATGCATTAGCGAGTGGGCGCTTAGGCGGCTGGGGGAGCAGACGGCGACCAACGAGGTTTGGCAACGGAGGCTCGCTGCATGATAATTGGGGGTGCTCCATAGGCTAAGGAGGCTTGCACTCTTTCCTGGCAAATAATGGCAGAGGAGGCTCCTCAGCCCCAAGTGGCGGGCGGGCAACTTATCGAGTTCCCGGGCGCCAGTTTCAAGTTCTTGCAAAGAGTATAGGGCTTGCGGTGTTGGAATTTGTGGGGGAATCACGATCAATTACGCTTTAACAGGCTTAGGTCCAGTACCCAACGGGTACCTACCTAGATACAAGCGTGGAGGGGCGACGTTTATGCCCGTTCTTAATCACCCACGCAATTGTCTTACCTACCTATAAGGTACCTAAGGTACATACTACCTTACCCTAGGCCACGATCAAGGTCGATGTGACTCGCCATCCGCGCCATCTCTGATGGAAATGTTCTACCAGCAGAACGCAGATTGTATAACCGACAAGATTCTGGATCCTCTGTCGCTCCAGTAGTCAGCCCTGTTCAGCCCGCTGGGCGGCGTCAGGCGTACTTCAGGACAGCTAGGCGTGCGACAATAAATGTGGTTACAGACAATGAAAGTGCCCGAGAGCACTCGGTTGGAACCCCGACTTGTGATGTGATCACACCCTCGTGCCCATTCCATACCCGCCACAGTACAGTACGTTCTGCATTCTACTCTGTGGCCGCCCATATATCTCGAGTATCGCCTACGCTGTTCAGAAGTGCAGGAGCCAACATATCGATAGTTAAACACCTCCTCCCTTGGAATCAAGAGTGCGTCTTTGCTGCTTGCCAACCCTGATCTGTAATACTAGGTACCTAACTATGACTGTCTGAAGTTGACTTTCTCATTATCATCCTCGCCCCGGTGCCCTACGCCAGGCTGCTGATCCCCGCTCCGCACCCCCATAAAACGAGCAGTTAGCCTTTCATCCCGGCACGTGGGTCGAAGAGAATTTAACAAAACCCACGACTTTGTTCTTCTGCTCAACTCCGGTACACCTCGCGATCAACCAACAATGGGCTGTCGAGGCCGTCGCTCCTCGCCGCGTTGAGGCGACAGGTCTCTCATCCTCCTTCGTTCCCGAGACACCGAGTCCTCCTCGCCCTTGTCATCGCGAACCTTGTCCAACCCCACCAGCTCTTGAGCTGGGCGCAATGGCGCAGGCTGACCATGTTCAACATTTCGATCGCCTGCGCCTAAAGTCGGATAGTGAAGAAGATGATCTTGCTTTGCTTACCGAGGACGGATCCTTCAACATGAAGCGATCCCTACAAAAGCCCTCGGTGCACTCGCGGCCATCTCTCCGAGGGTCTACCGCGAGTCAAGACACCATCCGGGCCACTGCCACTCCTCCCATGAACATCCCGGCAATGAACGAGACTTCAGCCGTGACTGACGAGACATCCAACCCGTCCACATATATTGACCATTACATGCGCCACAGGAATCCGTCGGTTAGCTTCAACAGTGAGATCAAACTGGATTCAGGCCAGAGTCAGAGCATGGCGGAGCCGCTGGAGAAACCTACAAAGGCCCTGCAACGTGGCCGCTCGTCGAAGCAGCCGATTACCGATGGGAGACGGTCATCACGGGCGCACAGTGAGTCAGGACGGTCACACTATGATCCTGTCACTGGCCGGTATGTGGGCGGAGACTCGCAGAGCCCCCCGAGGGACCACGCTCGTATCGGGGAGGGCCGCTTCCCTTTGTTACAGACCACTGTAGACGAAATGGCCAGAGAAACTCGTCCGAATCTGGCCCTGCCCACGTCGACACGGTCAGAATCGACCATGTCTCCTCCCAGCGAGGCCGTGCTGACCCCCGAGGCGGATGACAACTACTTGTTATCTCCCACGACTATTTCGCCCAGCGCTCAGCCGTTCTCCTACGACGCGCCCAAGTCATTTAGGCGCACTGCGTCGCAGAGATGGAGGGAGGGCGAACTCAGCTCCTCTCCACAAGACTTCTTCTCGCGCGCCGGAAGTCTGCGCAATAAAAGTCTACGCGACGCTGCCGGGCGTGCCTCGCGGCGAGACACCTCAGGCTCGACCAGATCTCCCAGGTCAGCAGCTTCTTCGTACCTTCGAGCATTCTCGATCAGCAGCGGAACCAACGGCGATGCTGGAGACCACGGGCCTATCGCCTGTGATGCGGAGGGCCAGACGATCGGTGATGATTACGTGCTCGGCAAACAGATAGGTTACGGGGGCTTCAGCACGATCAAACAGGTGACGCAACTCCAGGATGGCAGGCAACGCACACTGGCCGTCAAGATCGTTCGTCGACAGATTGAGCACAAGAGTGAAGCGGAGAACGAGCAAGCTCAAGCCGAGTTCGAGCATGAAGTTGAACTGTGGCGCTTTCTCAACCATCCTAACGTCTTACCCCTTGAAGCGGTCTACAAATTCGACGAGGCCACCTTCTGTTTCATCCCCCTCAATACGGGCGGGACGCTCTTTGACCTGGTCCGGGTCAACCGTAACGGCGTTCCCCACGAACTGGCGAAGAGCTACTCGTACCAGCTCGCGTCGGCGCTGCGCTATCTCCACCTCGACGCACGAGTCGTGCACCGCGACGTCAAGCTTGAAAACTGCCTGATCGAACCCGGCAGCAACGGAGAGCCGGGTCTCTTGCGGCTCTGCGACTTTGGAATGGCGGAGTGGCTCTCCACTGATAGCAACTCCGGGCCGCCGAGCCCGCGTTTCAACCACACCGACCGTCCGCCTCAGAAACACATCGGACCAGCAGACACGTCGACGTCGGCTTTCGCAGGCGGAAGCCTCGAGTATGCTGCTCCCGAGATCCTCCGGGTGGCCGAGCGGATCACTGACTCTGGACAAGCCGAACGCGCCATCGTCTCGCCTGCGGTCGACATGTGGGCGTACGGCGTGTGCGTGTACAGCATGGTCGTGGGGTCGCGTCCGTTCCAGAACTCCTTCCAGCCCCGTGTTGTCATGGCCATTCTGGCCGGCAACTGGAACTGCGACGTACTGCGCGACAAAGCCGGCGACGACGTGGTCGAGGTGGTCAGTGGATGTCTCGACATGGACGAGTCGGAGCGCTGGGACGCCGTGAGGGTCATGGACTCTGCTTGGCTCGAAGAACTGGCAGAGAAGGACCACAGCCTGCAACACGCCGCCAACGGTTGGCGACTATGACTGTTGACCCGTCCGCGGCTGCAACTCTCTTTCTATGACCCCAAATCTCTGGCTGCTCGTCTAATCCTCCCCCTCCCCCTCCCAACCAATGTGACTTACTACAGCTTTCCAGTCACCCACCGATACCACCAAGGAGCATAACCTTAAATCTTTTCTTATTGCCTACCTCGCAAAAACCAATATCAGAATTTCCGGTGTAGAAAGAACGCTACACTCTTGAATCAGACGCGCCATGCATGCGACTGTTTTTCATTGGACCGGTTTTCACGACCCTTACGAACGATTCTTGCGCCACGATACCAGTCACTGCTGTCTTGTTATTTCCGCAAGGCGCTGTCGGTCCGCATATTTGGTGCACCATTCTTCATTTTTGGGGCAGAAAACTTCTTTCGCCTTCTTGTTCCTTTTACTTGATTTGCATCCGACTCGGCCGATCGGGCTTGATCTGTGTATGAGCCCCGGGGCGTCTTCTGTCTGTTTTTCCAAGCTGGGCCATCGATTCCGAGTTCGTCTTTCAAGCAATGGATGCTGTGCTACTTACTGTACTAGTATACTATGGGGAAAGCCGGGGATTGTCTGCACTTGCGCGATTGACTTGACTTTGACGCGATTCGGCCCTGGCCGTGTCTTTCAGCTTCAGATCTCCATCTATGCAACAGACATGCGCAGGCGCCTGGGTCATATGTCTGGTGGACACAGCGATGCCAGCAAAATGAGATAGGTTTTAATGATAATCAAACTGAAAATGATGTGCGATCGAGTCCGGTGCTCTGCGTGCTTTGCAGCAAAGACGCCTCTCTTCAGGACCACCATCTATCACTTTGGTTCAAGAGATACCACGATTGGTGCGAAGGTACAGCTTCGTAGGTAGGTGTGCTTTGTGCACTTGATACAAGATTCATAGGCGGAACCAGTGCTTGCTTCAGAATGCTCATGTTTGATACTAATACATTTGAGGACGTGGATTCCGACCACGCTTCTATTTGCCTCAGACAAGCTTCGCCGGGCCTGGTCCTCCTCAAGCTTGCCAGGGTCAGAGACCACCAGATGCAGATATCTGCAGCTCGTTTGGACGCCTGCATCTTCATCCCCCGTCTTGTACCTCGGCGGCCAGGCCCGCGGTTCCAGATCTTGGGGACTCTCTGTCTGCTGCGTAGAACGTACTCGTACAAATATTATTCCTCTCGAGGTTTCATCATCATCATCATAATCAATGGGCCACCTCCTTTGAGGTAGTGCTGCGTGTCCACTCCCAACAGGTGCCGGGACCTCCGTGCATGGAAGTGCTCTTCTCGATTGCAGAAAGGCTGCAAGTGTTACGCCTTCCAGAACGATAGCGAAAACAGTGTTGCTGTATGCGTATCACCCTGTCGCAGTTGAGTCTCAATATGCCCCTCGTCTCCGTCAACACAGTAGGTAGATGAGTATCGTGGCAATGAACAGCAAAAGCGATTGTGGGTGCAATATCCTTGAGTGGGCGGCTCCAGAGCCCAGCCCTGTATCGAAAGGGCTGCCGCCGCCACTGCTGTCGTTCGAGCCTTGCGAATCAGATGTTGCCGTCGAAGACGCTGCGGTAGACGTGCTCGAGGCTGATGCAGAGGAAATGGAGGACGGGGATGAAGAGTAGGAGGAAGACGAAGTCGAAGTCGAGGTGGATAGGGTTGTTGACGAGGCCGAAGCGAGAGATGTGGCTATTGAGGACGAGGTCGTCTCTGACATGATGCTTTTGCTCTCGATGGTCGTGCTGCCGGCCGACTCAGTATTGCTGGCTGAAGCCGTGGACTGGGTAAGAGACGATGCCACTTGTGAACTTGCTGTTACCATGGTGGAAGAAAGCGCCGCTGTAGACTCGGTTGAACTGGCTGATGTAGTCGCCGCATCGCCGTCGGTGGTAGTGCACAGATAGTTGACCACATCTCCAGTGAAGAGCTGCCCGATCAAGGAGTTCTGAGCCGCTTGCTGGCCTTGACATGCCCGTTGGACGAATGTCTGTGCCGCCACCAGTGCTTGCTGGCAAGCCTGCGAGCAAGAATCTGTTCCTCCAATCGCTGGAAAGTCGTCCAGCTTGCAGTAACCGACGGGCGTGCTGTAGGCTATCGTGCAGGAGTCGGAAAATCCGACGATGGGCTGGATTTTGGGGAACGATACTGTGGCCATCGAGCTCCGAACGAGCGTATGGCAAAAGACGATCAGAGCCAGCTGGCGAGTGGTCCGTAGCTCCATGGCCTGAGCAATATTCATGTAGTTCCAAGAGAGAAGGTGCTTGGTATGCGTAGAAGAAGCCGCTTGGACCGAGGAAGGACAGCAGACTCAGGTTTGTTTGTTTCGTCTAGCAGAATCTCGGTGAAGACTGGTTCGCGGGACGATAGCGAATGTTGGGATGCGTCTGAGGAACGAGTCGTGAAGCTGCTACTCAACAAGGCGTGCTCCTGGACGACAACATGGCCCTCAGTAATCGTCCGCCTTGTGGTACCCTCCTCTGTTTCCCGTTTTCAACACTGCAAACTGGGTTGGTTTTGATCAATGCAGTTTGCGCGCGGTAGAAAAGCTCGCCGGTCAGGGTGCGAGGAGGCAGCTGTTTTCTTCGCAGTGCGATGTGCGATTCCCTTCCCTCCCGGGTTCCGCTGGTCAACGGTCGACTGTCTATAGTGGAGCGACCGTCGTGTCGAAGAAGCTCTCTTTGGTGGAATAACCAGAATCAGTACAGTTCTACGTTAGTCCGTGCTCGCAGCATCAGGATTGCAGGAGCAAGCGAAAGAGTCCGGTATGGGGTCGACAACAGATCTTCGTCGATCGCAATCAAATATTCGCAGCCTGGTGGAAACGAGATCGTCGGATGATTTATCTTGAGCGGATCCCGACTTTTGGTCTGAAACACAACGGACGTGAGCACAGATGCTGGTGTCCGCGTCTGTCGACTTGTATCTTCCCACGCCTTTGTGATGTCAGATTGTTACCCTCCTTTCCCGGCACAGTGCGATGTGCCTTGGTCGAGCTGTACGAGGTTTGTGTGGGCTCGTCGAAGAGAACTAGGGAGGAATACTGCTGGAGTAGTCCGGTCTTCGGATTGACTCCTGTGTTTCCTGCTATCAGCTCCAGGTATCTAGGCAGCAAAGGACACAACTCTTTGCACAGATCACACGAAGAGAGAGAAACATGGCAGATGGCATGGTCAAGCATCGTGTTCTCGTTTTTCGGGGACACAGCAGCAGCAGCATGATACCCGAACAAACTCGCGTCATCACAGCGGCTCCTCCAGCGTGATACCTCGCGTTACCAAAGGGGGCCATGACCCGGGCGGCTGGTGAAAGCCCTGCTACGAGTTGCAGTGGAAGTTCCTGCGGAACCTGCGACATTTGTCACCCTGCGTTAGGGTTGTAGGGTGCGAGAGCTATACTATGAACGTCCATGACTGGAGACAGCGTGAAGCAGGAGATGTAAGATCGACAGGGGAATTCATCGATATGATTGGCGATGTGGGCTGTCAGGGGTAGATGCTGAAGCACCACCAATCGACCGGCGCTTTGCGAGTGGAAACGGGGTGCGGAAGACGGACGGATCAATGGCAGGGAGAAGCACCTATCGAGCAACACGACTGTCAGCAAGCCATAAGGTGGACACTGGACACTGGACACAACGCCAGGTGACTGCTTGCCAGCCACATCGTCCACACCGTCCATACACGTTGTCGTAAGTGACACCTCGAGGGGGATCTTCTCGCGCAGGCAAGTTGGGCTCCTAATTTATATCGTTTTCGAACACTTGAAAATGAAAAGAGCGTGCTATGGTGGTTCTCATTGACTATATTGAAAGAAGGAAGTTTCCTTGATTCCATCGATGGCATCCGCAGGCACCAGCATCAACGAACGCACGTGATCTGACTCAACGGATGACGGTCACGTGTAGTCACGTGAGACCATACAATATCCCCATTGCCTTCTTATGGGATCAGCACGCCTCGGAATCTAACCTTACCACTGACCATCTTCTCCAACCCTTCATTCGCCTTTTCCAGAGGGAATTTCTCAATCATGACATTGACGTTGTGCACACGGGCAAATTCAATGGCTTCTTCACTGTCCAAAGCATGCCCGCTCGGCCAGGCGGAGATGCTCAATCCTTTCTGGATCATGGAAGCCGTGTTGATCTCGACAGGGGCAGATGCGGCCAGCACCAGGATCTTGCCCATCGGGCCCAGGCCCTGAAGCAACGGAGGGATGAGTTCCTGGTTTGGCGCGGTGAAAATGACGCACGCCGCTCCGCCCAGCGCCTGGAGTTGTGCAGCAATGTCGCCCTTGGAAGCGTCGATATAGTCGTGCGCGCCGAGTTGCATGGCGAAATCCTTCTTAGCCGAGCTCGAGGAGATGGCGACCGTTCTGTATCCCATCTTGCTGGTATATTGCAGTGCAAGATGGCCAAGACCACCTAGGCCTTGAACGGCGACCACGGATCCTGGAAGAACGTTCTGGCGTCGCAGACCTGTGAACACAGTCGTTGATTAGCCAAGTGATCTCAACGCCAGTCTTTGGCCACACCACAGGGAACGCGCATCCTTACCGTTGAAGACAGTGACTCCTGCGCAGAGCAGTGGGCAGAATTCGGCGGGATCAACATCATCAGGGACAGACACGACTGCCTCTGTTCTCAGCGTCACGTATTCCGCGAATCCTCCAGATTTGGTGACGCCGTTGATCAACTCATTGTCACACATCTGGAACAACCCGCGTTGACATGCTTTGCAGGTTCCTAGCAAAACATCGGGTCAGCAAGAAACTATTATCTCTCGACCGTAGCATCTTCGTGTTGTCCATCGAGCAAGGCAAGTCATGGCACGGAAGTTGAGCAGGATCCGGCATGATAAGACTGCCCTTGGGACGCAACGGTCTTATAGCTCTGGCTGGTGACCCTTTGAGGGGTCAGACCGGCTGGCGCCATTGCATGGAGGTTAAGGTGGATTTCACGGTAAAATAGACGAGGGATCTGGCCTCTTACCATCGTGACCACCATGCCAGGGACCTCTGTAAGCAGCAAAAGTCAGCAATGTTGATAAATCTGGGATTATCTGGGCCGCAACATGTAGCCTGTTCCCGTACGAAAGACAGGTGACTTTGAGACGAAAAGAACTATGTGCGATTTGCAAAAAAAATGAGATGAGTTGGGGCGGAACATACCCTACACGGTCTCCCTCTTTCCAACGCTTCTCTGTGTCTGGTACTGCAACGACATCGCCAATGATTTCGTGGCCGGGGATAATCGGAAACGAATTTCCGAACACGCCGTGCTGTACTGCGGCGTCCGAATGGCAGATCTGTTACACATGGTTAGGCAAAAAGATCAATCGTGTCTCTGGTGTCGACAACATACACCACACGCCAGCACTTTGACGAGAACCTGGAAAGAAGATCAGTCTCGTTGTCCACAATCCCAGATGGAGCTCTCATGGACAGAGGCTGCACTTACCTCCCCTGACTTGGGCAGCTCAAGCGGCACCTGTTTGAAGGTCAAAGGCTCGCCTTTCTTCTCGAAGATGGCGACCTTATAGTCTTTCGGAAGATTGGGTGCCATGTCTGGAGAGAAGGGTGGGTGGGTGGACGGTGGAATGGGATGAACGAGATAACGAGTCGATACCTAGAGTGAGTACCTAATCTACCAGGTACTATTGATATAATCTCTGATATTCAATATTTACAAGGGGTAGAATTCTTCTGATATATATAATTATTTATATATGCCTACGTAATATAGACGGGGTGACATTCAGCCGCCAGCTGCAGTGCAGTGACCCCAACCGCTGGAGATGGAATGATGTCAAGAAGAGTTTCTTCCTATCTCATCAATCTCCCTCCCACGTTCCCACCGAGAAGCTGAACTTCCCGCTACTGGCGCATGTTCGCTGTGTTTCTTTGTCTGCATGAATTTGATTGGCGCAACCGACATGGAGTTTCTGTGGCCTAATATGAATTCAGGACATACCGACGATTCCGGGAGCAAGTTTCGTCGTATGAGCCAGTGAGAGGTCAGTTCCATCGGCTGCTGAATCAGACACTTGCGGCGGACACTGGCCCACTACAGCGATATCTCCGACTCATGACTCAGTGTTGAAGTCACGATCCACCGCCATACTGTTTACTGTCACAGTAGGATCCAATCAGTCGCGACATGTGTCTACTACCCCCCCGCTCTATAGTCTGGAAAGACTAGGAATCTTTCTTGATCTGTCCTATCATAACCCGAGATTCGAAGGTTCTGAGGTTAGCTTGATATCATGGACCTGCCTAACTTAATTCCACAGCCTTGATCGCTCGCAGCCATCCCATGAGTTCGATGCTTTGCTTACCAATTGCAGATTCGACCCTGAGATAGGCACCCAGCGATCTGACGCAACGGTACCTTGGACGAAAATTATGGAGAATCAGAAGTACATATCATTTACCAAACGGGGAGTTTGTTGATTACTGATCGAGAAATTCCAAATTGGAATCGAACAAAGCTTCGAACTAGATATGGAAGGGGAAGAAGAAGATACCACTGTTGTACGTCTCCGTTTCTGCCTTGTCCTAAATCTCCACATAGTGGCTGGCTAAGAGCCTTGCACAGGATTTTGCGGCGTTAAACGGCGCTTGCCATACACTGCAGCTCTCGCCAGGACATGAAGAAAGTGCCAGTCTCTAACTCCGACCCTCGACGGCATTGGGTGATGCTTCTGCCTGTCAGAGGAAGTAGCATCCTTGATTGATGAGACGATGAAGAGCACTCGGCCGGCCAACCAGCTCTCCAGCTCTGTTGATCAAGAAAATGGTCTTCTTTCCAACTCCACAATGCACCACGTATTTCGCCCTGGGTTACTGATATCGTATATCAGGCACCGAAGACACGCGTCGTTGGCCCAACGTCTTCTAAAGCTGGTATTGCGAACCAAGGCCTTAGGGAAAAGCCAGTCCGAGGGCTTCCCTTCCGCAAGTTCAAACTGTCCAACTTGACAAGGGTCAACGCTTCCGCTTATCAATCCAAACAGACAGAACGTATATCATATCCCAGTAAGGGCTTGGTCATGGCCTTGGAGGTTGAGGATCTCGAATCATACAGAAGAGATGACAAACGTCGCCTCCATCCTCACAGACCATGCTGCGCGCGAGCCGAAACCCCATCTTCTCGTAGATGGCGATGTTCGGTTCCTCCTTGGAACTTTCCAAATAACATTTCCGGCCTTCCTGATCAGCCAGATCCGTGACGACCTCGAACAAGCGACGGCCGATGCCTTTCCCCTGATGGCCCGGCCTCACGGTGACGATGTTGCAGAAATAATAGCCGTTGGGATCCGTCCAGATATCCTTCTGCGCGACAGCCTGCTCGCGCTTCCAGATCCAGTAGCGCTTGGTGATGAGGCCCCCGCGGCCCTGGAACCGGAGCAGATTCCATCCCTGCTTGAACCACAGGATATAGTCGTCCAGCCACTCCGACCAGGTCTGCTTGTCGCCGACGCCGTCGGCGGGCCTGGGTTTCATCCACATGCTCACGCCTAGCACCGGAGCGTCTGCACCCGCGTCTATGTCTTTGGCCACGTAGAACAGTGCGTTGCGCATGCCCCATTCGCATTTGGCTTTGAGGCTGGCGAAGTTGCGCTCCTTGTTGAACTTGCCCGGTCGAGTGTCGAATGCCCATTGGTGGTATGGGTCGTCGGCGAATGCGAGCTGAATGCATTCCACCACGGATGGGATGTCTTCTGGCTGGATGGGCCGGATCTCGATGCCCATGGTGGTTTAGTTCTCCTGAAAGATAGATAACAACAAAACAAATAGATATATATCAAATTGTCAATGTATAATTTAGCCAAAGCGCTGAATAGCCCGAACGTCCACTGAAAGAATGACCAGACGCTCAGCCTAGTCCAAAGACCAGGGCACAACTCACTGTATGTATGTATATCGCTGTAGCAACACTGGCCTCTTAACCGACCAACCTGGATCACGTCCAGTCACCGAGGCAAGCGAAGCTACGATAAGAGTAAACCGACAAAAGTGGACCGGCTGCCTCAATGCTCCGAAGTACTAAACAGCAAGGCAATTACAGTCGAGGATAAAGTACAATGCGCAGCTCTGCAGCCTTGCGCGACGGCACTGGCGCGTTATTATGGAGCACTGCAGTGCTGTATGAACCCAGAATGTTTCGCTATCTTTCAGCGCATCACTCCGAGCAAGTCACCAAGTACGCACCTACACATACGCACTGCAGTCGGTCGAATGACTAAGCTACCTGGTGTATCAGCCTTCTCAATAGATCCTTCTTGGTATTGATGGTTCGATCGGTCACGTGGGAAGCAATGAAACGACCATACCTTGTGCGTCATATGTTCAAAGGTCCTTGCCATGACATCATCAATCGATATTGGCAGATGCACCGCCCCCAACGAGCAACTACAACAACTGCACCGGGGGCGGACACTGTTGAACAGCAAGACACAAACAATAGGCTGCTAGTACCTTCTTCGAACCTATTATCTATCAATCGCTGGCGAAAGAGTCACACCACCTCCACAAAACCCAATACAATCCCACAGAGGAGAGACCGAACAACAACATACCCACACCCACGAACCACTCGGAGCCATGTCGTCCGAACAATCCTCAGATTCGCAGCCCTCCATGATCGGCGGACATGTCAAGGTAAGTGAAAGCAAAACCAAACAGACACGACTCGAAGCAGACAGCAGAGAAGAGAAGAAAACAGAGATGTCTCTCAAGCACGTTCCTCTAACAAGTCACACAGAGAGAGAGAGGAGAAATAGAGACCCCTTGAGCTAACAACATTCTGCATTTTCTTGCATATAGTACGTCCAAGGTGCGGTCTCGTCCGCGCTGGGCTACGAATCAGGCGAACAAACCAAGACCGAAGCCGTGCAGGAGATGAAAGACGCCAAGGCGCAGTCAGATTCCCAGAGCCAGAGCCCGCCGTCGCAGTCGACCGTGCTGGGGACGATCGAGAATGCCGCGGGCAAGATTACGGGGTGTGAGGGCATGGTTGATGAAGGGCAGCATAGGATCCCGGAGAAGAGAGGGGTGGAAGAGCAGAGCGGGACCGGTTGATGGGAACTGTCAGCGGATGCGGATATGATCGGTTTTACGGGATGTTGAGAGACAAAGCATGGGAAACACCAATGGTCTGATGGGATGTCACAGAGCAGGGAATTCGGATTTTTGGAAAGGGAGTGCACTGTGTAAGAATGTGATTGATTTGATTTACAGTCATGGAGGAAGAGCGGTGGGTGGCTTTCCCTCGCAAACAGCCTCTGCTTTCGGGAGGCCTTCCTATTTCATCACCCTTCTAGTCGTGGTCAGAGATCGAACGCCCATAGAGTTAGCATCTTTGGTTCATGGCTGTGTTCGTGTTCGTGTTTATGTTTATGTGCTGTGCAATCATCGTGGAGGACTCGTCTCTGCGTGTGTGAGCAGAAGGCGAAGACTCAGGTCAGTTGCCCATATCCATGTCCATGCCCACAGGGATGTGTATGTCTGTGTGTTCAAGTATCGATCAATGCTCTAGCTCGGTAATCCTCGCGCTCCTTTCGTTTGTCTCGCTTGACCAGGGACTGCCGTTCGTCCTGGGCTGTCAGATGCAGTATTGAGGTCGCAGTTCTGATCATCTGGATTGCCAGTACCTGCGAATTCCTAAGGTGCCTGTCGTAGATTGGATCTTTTTGGTCTATTGGAGCAGTTGTCCCTCAGAGACCTGAAGTACTTTCCGATTTGGGCAAAGGCAGATGTCCGCTGCCGGTCATTTCGACGATCACACTGTCTTGAAGGCCCTCGCCTTCATGATCATCATCGTCGTGCATTCTCACTTCGTCATCTTCTTCCAGATTCATTCCATCCTCAGCGTGACGCAAATCGACAAAGTCGCCATCTCTGGTCGGATTTCCTTCAACCTCGGATCCAGAGTTAGCGTATCCGCCATGACGATCTCGTTGTCGTTCTTTCGCTCGAATCTCGTCGTTATCGTAGTCCGGCTTCTCCCAGCCGTCGCCCACTTCACCGTAGCTGACCCCATGATCCTTTCCTAGGAACGTCGGCCCATTGCTTGTGCGGTACCAGCCCTGATCGACCCATTCAGACACCAACTCCTTGGCTCTGTCACCTAGGGCATAGTACCCCGGGTTGTCGAGCGGGAAAAACATGGTCACATGGGCCACGGTCTCGTCGGCGGCTTTTTCGTTGACGGCTTTGATCCACTGCATCCCCGTCGGTTTTGCACCTTTCGTGTTCTTGACCTGTTTAATCCCATCTTTGCCGGCAGACATAGGTAGGTTGCAGAACGTCCGTTCTTTGCCTGCCACGCTAGCTGTGATTCCATAGCCTTCACGAGCACCCTTGCCCAGGTTACTGTAGAGATTCGCACATCCGCCACCACGTTCCTTGCAGGCCTGTTCAAGATTTTCCACTCGCTTGCGCAAGAACTCTGGCTTGAACAGTTCTCCCACGAACAGGAGGTGATCGGACGCCCATTGCCATCCTGCGCTCAACTTCTCTCGCTGCGAGTACAATGCTGCCGCGCCGCCAGCGACGACTGCGCCCGCTGCACCGGCAAACATAGCATATTTGCCCCAGGACTGCCACCGAGGTGTTGCTGCTGCATCTGCCGTGGCGGAGGTCGGCGCTGGGAGCTGTCTGGAGCTTGAAGCCGCCGACGCAATATTGGGTTCGGATTTGGATCCCCAGCCAAACATCGACGCGACTTCGTTGTACGTGCTGAAGGCATTCGAAACGAATTTGTGACCTCCTTCCAGGCCATGAGCAACCATGCCAGGAGCGAGACCCAGGAAGGGTGTGTCAAACGCTAGCACGCCCTGGACATGGGGAAACATGAAATTCGGGACTTGAGAAGCGGCATCATGATGGTGAGTCGTGGTCGGATGCGAGGTGGACGTCGACGAATTGAGGGTTGTATTGGACGGAAAGTTAGGTCTTTCGGGATTCTGTCGTGAAGAGCCTGCCGGGATCGGTTGTTCATTTGCAATAAGAAGATATGTTTCTGCCGCCACAATTCCCCCCATTGAGTGTCCAATCAAGATCACATGGACCGAAGGATCGACCGCAGGGGACGGTGTGGACCGAGCCACCTCCAAGTCGATGACTTTGTTCTGAAGCCTATTCATTCCATATATCAGTGCTGCTCTCTGAAGCAGAGTGATCTGTATCAAGGTCGCATACCATTCTCGAAAACGTGCAACGCAATCTCTCAAATCACCCCGGGTGTCAAATCTTGGATAAGTGATGGCGACGACATCGATGTTCGGCAGCGCATGGCTAAGAAGCGTACGGAGATGTTCGGGAAAGGATCCAAAAGTGTCATCGCCACCCTAGAGATAGATCATTGTTAGTAGGAGTGAGAACTCCTGGACCGAAGAAAAGGTGAGGACAGCGCCGAAGAGGCACGATGCTGTCGCATTGCAATTCCATACCTTGAACCCATGAATGAAGACAAGAAGTAATGTCTTGCGCATCCTTGCGGAAAAGGCGGTCACACCAATGCTTCATCGCCCGCGACGGCAACTTAGGTGTTGTTTACTAGCATTGTGCAGAACGCTGACTGTGACTTTGGGCCGACTACGTAGGTGGTAACATTTTGCAGATGTTCACTCTCTCGTTCGAGGCACATTCAAGTTGGAGAACCCCCTCTTGAACAACTGTTCCGCATGAAGACCATTATTGACGCATTGTGCACGTGATGATAGTATGACACGCAATCTATGCAATTTATGCTCAGGGCATACAATTCAAAGAGACAACAGACACGGTCGTTTCTTGTGTATTAAATTCCTTTTTGGCACTCAAGAGTCGGATATCTTCCGTTGAGCCGCTCTAATATTCCTTCTACTTCTGTACATATAGCTATTTGCGAGACAGGAACGAATTCGACTGTCCTCGCTATGCTGCCTGTAATCCCAACGCCAGAAAATGCACCGCGCTAAATTGAACGCTATCAAATACATGGAAAGCAGCTCTTGCGCAGCCCTGCTGAAAAAGGTAAAAAACCAGCATAGCAAGGTGCAAAATGTAAGGCTGAGAAGGCAATGACTGCTCAGTGCACATCAAAACGAATACTGTTGTTGGCCACCGGGTGTAGAAACGTTGCTATACTGCCATGGATCAAGTTGCATAAACGGCACCGGACCAGATCGAGGCTCAGTGGCGGTTTTGCTCAAGGGCTGATAGTGGATGTGGTCAGATGGAATGTTCCGAACAGGGAGCTGAAGCGCAGTTGAAGGAGGAGGGAACAGCAGTGTATTGACATGCCGAACGGGCCGGTAAGGAGATGACCGATGCGTCAAAAAGTACGAAGGCGAAAGGCCGGTGGGTGCAGGACTGAGAGAATTGAAACCGTCTGAGGGTGACGCTTGGCTTGATGGATAAGAGGCCATCGGCCGAGCACCATCTCCCAGACTTGGGATGGGATTTTGAAAAAGGTTCTGAGGCGTTGTGGACACCGGCGTCAAGGGGTTTGAGTAGACGTTGTTGACGTTCGGGTATACACTCGACATCGCTCGGCTGACGGGGACTGACAGCGGAGCCAGTTGGCCGGTTTGGAGGGCCATTGATGTCGGTATTCTTGGAATCTCTAATCTTCGAAGTTCAGATGACGTTGAAGCTGGTACAGACTCCGGCGTGTTGTTGAAGTTGCTCGATGCAGTTCGGAGGCCGTTGGGCGGGTATGGGAGAGGGTTGAGAAGACTTCCACCATGGCTCGGTGGTACCGCAGAATAATGTGCCCGCTTCGCAGGTGGCAAGTCGGAGGTTGTGTCTAGGCTTCTCTTCCGCCCTTGGTGGGGAAAGTTGGGAGCCGGCTCTTGTTGCCGCAGAGGGGAGTTTGCGAACTGAGACGCACTTGGTAGAGGATGCGGCAACTTAGGATACTGACCATTGAGAGACGCTGGAGGGGCGGAACCGAAGGGGCTCATGCTGTGATGGTGCGACGGCGGTGAAGGCAACTTGTGAGAGAAGCTCTGCAAGGTTGGTGTGACTGGTGCAGGGCCATTGACCTCGTCCGTGGAGGGCATTCGCGAGGCTTTGTCGTAGAATGCGCCAAACCTGCCTAATTTGGCCTTCCACTCGACCCACTCTTCGGCTGAGGCATAAAGCGCATATCTCATGTTGCTCAGAAATTCCACCTCCATGATGTGAATCTCGTTAACTGAAATGCCCGATACTTCTGCCCACGTCTTGTTCGTGTAGGTGTTGTCGTCCAAGAACTTATTTCCCAACATCAACGCAATTGTCAAGAGTCGAAACTCACTGCCACGCTTGCCACTGACGGTCGGATTGAATCGTTTGAGGCGATAGATGAACATCAGGGCCAACAAAATGACGTTTCTTCCCACTTGGGTAGTGCTGATGATCGTGGTCACCCACTTTCGAAATCCAATGGTCGGGGTAGCGTCCGACGATAATCCTCTGTTGACTGGAGCATCAATTGGCAGATCCTCTGCATATTGGAGAGTGCTGGCATCTTCGAACCAGAAGAGACAGGTAATCTCGGCCGTAAACTCTGCCAAACTGCCTTTGCTCTTGTTTACGGATTCCGGAATCTGAAGATGGGGGGCAATGGTGTTGGTTTTGTCCTGCTCAGTTGCTCGATGATTGTACAAGCCTAAGCTCGTACTCGCGGAGGATGATGAGGAGTAGCTGTTTCCGATAGTCGCTGTAGACGTTGCTGGCTGCTGGTTGTTCGTGTGGTGAGAACCATGGAAAGGCTCTCCTCCGCGCCGATAGCTTTGACTACAAAAGTCGGGATAGCTGCTGCCTAAGACCACTCCAGGCATGGTTCTTGAGCCTGGTGGAGTGGGCAGGCCGCTGTTAAAGTAACTGTTGCTGCTGTTCCACCTCTTGGGCCCATGTGCAGTCAAATCGTCACAGGCTGTCTGTAGACTCGATCTCGACCAGCCCACACTTTCAACACTGCGGTAAACGGCTGATATGCACGACATGGGCTCGGCCGTCGTGCGGACAAAGGTGCAAAGAGAGTGCAGGCAACGGCGTTGGTATTCGGTTGTTGTATGGTGACAGAATGGCAGGAGGCATGGAGCCTTCGGTGGTGAAGACGCAGGTCGGGTAGGACCGAGTTTTGTCGACTTCACAGGAAAGAAGTGAGGATAAATGAAGTCTTCTGACAGAAAGAAGCATGACAAGAGAAGCAAAATGGAAAGATTCAATAAGTGAGGAGCATATTAGATGTTTTGGCGCCTTTTGACTGAATCGGGGTGTGGAATGAAGGAAGGTAGTGAAAGGTGGGACCCAGAGCAAACCCGACAGACGGACAGATGCTTCACCTCCAAACAACCTTCAGACAGTGACTGTGGGAGGAGACTAGGACATGATCAACATCGACCCTCTGGGGCAAGTAAGAGCAAATAATGACGAGAAGCACAAGTAATGAATGAAAAGAGACGCAGTCAGCCGAACGGAGAGTTTGTGGCTGCACCAGGCAGTTGGAGCAACCGCGGCCGATCGTGTATCTCATTTTACACACTCACACGGCCTTGTCTTGGGACGGAAAGCGGTTTGAGGCTGGGCCTTTGATGTCAGGGCCCCAGTGATGAGCCCGGCAAGCAGGAGACGACGCAACAAACGAAGCAGTCAAAAAGAGACAGGCAGGCCGCAGCGAAGGCAGGCTATGACTGGATACATGCGACCGAGCCAATGGAGGGCAGGGGGCGCACAGGGACAAGAGATGGAGCAACCAGACACACTGCACTGGCGCAAACGATTGCCAAAGTGGACCAAAAAAGGACGGCCTGGCGGAAGGGGGGGAGTGATGGGATGCGGTGGAAAGAAAAGGATTGCTAGGATCGATGGATGTCGGAAGCAAGAAGAAAGAGAACACGACCGGACGGGAAACGGGGAATGGGAAAAAATGGGGGTGAGAAACGAGTGGCAGTGACAAAGTCAGTGATGAGCAAGCGTTTGCGGCATGGTCTGGGTTATGGATATAGGTATGGGTATGGGTATGGGTATGGCGAGGCAACACCATGTTGGATCGATGAGCGACGCACCGACCGCACCGAGCTCGGGCAGGCGTCGTATCATCGAAACATGTTCTGCCAGTAGGATGGGGGAATTGTGTTGGAGCTGGGGACCAAGGATGTGTAAGAAGAAGTGATAGCAGTCCCAGTAGTGGTGGCAGTGGTGGAGGAGGATGGGCGGCGTCGACTTGGGGCGCAAGAAGCTAAGGCAAAGCCCGTGGCATCCTAGCGAGGTTCAAGTTTCTCGTTGTCGTGTTGAATGATGTTAGGAGGCGCTGGGCAACTCCGAACTGCCACAAACTTGGGACCCATGCAGTGGTGCAGTGGGAGCTCAGAGCCTGAGAAGGGGGCAACAGGAAGCAAGCCGAGACGGACTGGCATTAATGGAGCAATCAGCGTCGAGGGCTAGAAGTGGATGGGCCGTGGGTTTCGCCTTCGCCAGCAGAAGCAGGAGGACGCCGGCGGTAGCATCATGACGATGATGATGATAATGATGCTTGATGAATTCCCTGATCCTCGTCTAGATCTCTGTACACGGTTTGGTGTCGAGCAGACGGCAGGAGGTGTGTGCGGTGCAGTGATGGAGTGACAGAACAAGACTAGCGATCGAATGTTGCTGAGTTGCAACGATGGAATGCAGCATGTTGCTTGGGGGTCAGAGGGCACAGACAGGGGGCGAGACCGGCCAGGACAGGAGGACAACACCGAGACTCTGTTTCGCTTAGAGTAGAAGTATGGCAAGGAAAGGCAAAGGCAAAGGCAAAGAAGGAATGCAGCGGTGCTGGGCGGGTGCAGCAAGACCAGGCAGGGCGCCAAAGGGGACTAGCACAGAGTATCAGGGTGAACTGGGTCTTGTGAAGGGCAATTTTCCAATTTTCTTGCCCCTCAAGTGACCAGGTGGAAGCGATGTGTGTGAGACTGGGCATCGATCCGGAAAGACAGTATAGGCGCTAAAAGGATTGAAGGGTGACGGCCTGGACGGGGGACCTTGAGCAACGCACGGCCTGGCGTGGAGCATCTGAACAGATTCTACTACTAGTACTAGGTACCTACCTACCTAAGGTACTACTAGATAGCCTCCTAAGCACTTCAAGTTGGGGGTCAACGAACGAGCCGCCGGATGTTTGACAGGCTCCAAGTGGGCATCTTGATTCTTATTGGAACTTGGACTGCAAGGAGGCCGATGGCTTGCTTTGGGGCTACAGCTGGACGCCGGACGCTGGAAGCTGGAACTGGATGAGCGGTCGGTGGATGGTGGATGGTGGATGTGGATGGCGGTCGGCTGAAGATGGATCGCAGGATGGATGATGAATCCAATCCGCCTAACACGTAACACAGTAATAGTAAAGTAAGTTCCAGGTAGCTACCAATTATTATTGGCGCGCAGGCAGTATCTTTTGAGCAGTTACTTGGGCCGCAGAAGCACTAGCAAACCCATACTCATGTGTTCAGCCTGACCACATAGCCCATGATCTAACCCTGTAGGTACCTAAGGTTTCAGCGCAATCAATCACCGACGTGAAAGAAGGCAATCCTTATGATGAGGAGGGAGTACATGCTCATGTGCTGGGTTCCGAGTTCCGAAAGGCCTAGACACCTGGTCAGCTACTTGGTAAGTAGGTGCCTAAGGTATATTCGAATCGAGCGCCGGTCGTTAAAAGTTTCGGTCGATGGCCACTTTTTGCTCGCTGCTAGTCTGCAACCGCGTGAGCGGCAGAGATCGAGAGAGTTATTGGTCAGTGCCTGTCAAATTTGTATTATTTTATTGGTTGGAGGATCGGATCATCCGACCATCCAGCGACAGCACTGCAGAGGACTCGTGTGGCCGGCCACCATCTGAGATGGTCGGCGGACGCGCGCAGTCGTCGATACAAAAAGTATACTGGGTAGACTACCGGAAACTGTCAAACAACCCTCATGTGTAAAACCTGCAAGTCTCCGAAGTCCTTCAGCTGGAGACAACCGCAGAGCAAGGACCTCCCTAGGTCGGCTAGACATCATCACTGGCATCATTCATCATTCATCATCAGCCCGCAGCCAGCGGAACGATATTATTAGTGGAAGATGCATGCAGGTGGTGGAGGACTCCGAGTCCTACGATACTACCACGGAAACACAATTTCTAACGACTTGAGATAGACCAAGACACCTAGGTACTGGTAAGGAAGTGCGTAGTTCAACCTCCTCCTACGTGCCACACCAACAACCCCTGTTAGCATGCTATCAGAGCCACAGTCGGACTTGAAAAAATTCTTAGCTGAGACCTCCCGTCGTAGTTGAAGTTAGGCGTGGCGTGCGTCTCGAGATTCCCGTCTGGCTTTGTCCTTCAAACGTTGATGAGCCAGCCTAGTAGGAGATTCCAGCTTCGGAGCACAGATCGTACGCGTAAGTGCTCCCATGCACTGTTGTTCAATAATGCAATAACAAGTACCTACGTACCTTACGTAGACTGCTTATTACCTACTCTGTAGAGTAGTGTGGTAGCTCCACGAGCGCCATCTACAGTGGCAGGCTCGAGTCTCTCAGGCGCCTGGCCCCTGGGCACCAGCCGCCCACCGCGGGCTAGGCGGCAGCACACGCAGAAACGCCCAAAGATTACCACTCGCATTTCGTATCATCTTGCGAGTCAATCTATTGAGGCGTGATATCCTGACAGTTGCACCGAGTGGAACTAGCGTGAAGGAGACCTTGTCGCGTCGCGTCTTACCTCAAGCAAGAATTCGAAATGGGACAGCACCTAGTGTTACCGTAGGGGGTGGGAGAGTTGCGCCCTTCGCTTAGGGGCTTGGGACGTATAGCCGGGTCGAATACGGTTCCACCGGAGACAAGAACGACGACGCCATGTCCATCGAGGCGATAATCAGCAAAGTCGGGAAGGCCATTAACCACTGCACTGGCTAATTGGGGGAACGGTGACATTCCCATCAGACGTCAGCTCATGATTGGATCACGATCTAGGACACTCCAGGTGAACTGGAAACGAGGAAACGAGGAAACGGTGCCCACGACGTCCAGCTGACTGGGGCCAACCACAGCGACACAGCACGGATACACCGGTAGCCGACAACTTTAGAAGATGGCGTCAAGACCATTCCATCTACCAAGCAAACCTGGTGCGACGTCCGAGTCCACTGGTAGTGCCACTCAAAAATAAGTATACAGAGTACCCATATCATATTCTTTCAGTAGTGGTGGTAGTATTATTTTTGCCGAGAGTCTGACCACGAAGAAAGGGTGACGGACCCGAAGGCTTGGACCTAGCCTAGTCGTTGGCCTACTAGTATGTGGTCAGACACACTGGACCTTGCGGAAGTACACGGCCTGTGTGTGAGGATCGCCAGAAGGAAGAACTCGACAGGCGGATCATGATCAGCTTCTCATTTCTCCTTTGCCGGACGTCTGCCTCCAGAAGAAACCATGTAGACAGCAGCCGGAAGCGACGGCTGGCCGAAGAGAAGACCGCACATGGGACACTGCATGGTGAGGTGGTAGTAACAACATAATCAGGCACTAAGACAAACGATGCTCACCGGCGTGCCTACAACTCTCCTGCCCATCAGCTCTTCCCAGAAGACTCATCATGCACCCGAGGCAGTGTCATACACGAGAAAGTTTCGCAGCTGATACCGGTAGCCCTGGCGATCGTTCCAGGCTCACATTGTACCGGTGATTGCAGCTGTCACGAAGAGGCAAGGGGTCATACGGCGGAATGGTCGACCTGGAATCTCCCATCAAGGCTCAGGGTAGGAGCTGGCGAGCACAAGAGGGAACAAGCGATGGGCGGACTGAAGACGGTGAGAGGTTCCGCAGTATCCAATCATGGAGTCACAGAAGAAATACGGGCGACTTGTAGGACAGTAGCACAGGTGGTAGTGCGTAGGGACCTGGTCTTTTTTGCAAGTCAGTTGCGTACCTTCGTACTTCTTCCCTTCCTCCCGCGCTCCATTTACAAAGCAGAAACAAGGACGCGCACTCGGATCGGCTGTCTCAGATGTCTCGGCGCACCGCCGCTGGCATACTAGTTGTATGGAGAGAGCCCGGGGGTGACGGCGACGGGGTGAACATCATTGGAACACTAAAAGAGTTCAGTCATCACACGATTGAAACCCTTGCCCGTCCTGGCAATATTCAATCAAAAGTTACAGTTGCGGCACTGCAAGACAGGTCTCACACTCACCACGTCAAGGAAATGCTACCTCCCTGGCAAAGTACGGTAGTAGTAGTTGCTGGGCAGGTGAAGCCCCCTAGCCTCTTGAGGCTGTGTGAGCTGGTGCGCTCAGACTCGGAGCCGAATCTCTGGATCCGATGAATGATGAGATAGATGCCCACAAAGCCAACTTGATTCCTCTGATTCGTGCAGTGCAGTGTGGCACCAACAACTTGAAGTTGGCTCTCCACAGAATGAATGCACAAGTACGTACGTACTAGTAGTACGCCGGGGGAGGCAGGACTAGTAGTGATTGAGAGTCGCACGCAGTTAATTACCTCTGTACACACTAGCAGCAGACTGTCGGCTTCTTCCTGCCCTTGTCCACATCAGACAACGACTCACACAGTCCGGAGTAGGATCTTAGGTATATACTTACAGTACAGAAGGTATAGGTAACCCTTGAAGACTCGCAGCACTCGGCGTTTTGCAGTCCTGTTGGTAAAGCTTCACGGCCTTCACCCCGTTTTCACCACTCACGTACCAGTATTACCACATACTGCATGCAGCTGATTTGATCTCGCTGCGGAACACCTCAACTACAAGTGTGCAAGGCACCGACTGTCCTGCAGTGCAGCACCGGACTGCATTGTCGACGTGGGCGCCTCGTTTTCTGCACTCAGCTTTTGTGTTGGTGGGCACCGGCAGTCAAGGGGCAACCTGAACACTGCATCCCAACCCCGGCACTAGATGGCAAGATGGGTCGAGGTCGAGGACAAATTTGTGGCGAAGTGCCTGCGATAGAGGAGGCGGAACCTCATGTTGTTGATATAATTAACAAGGTAAAGGTGGCTGCAGACCGACCGAAGATTCAAATCACTCTCGCCATCATTCATTTTTCTTTTCGAATTGACGGCTATCGTTCAGGCTGCATGTACTACTTGTCTGCATCCTTGCCTCCAAGGTAGTAGGCAGCAGCCAGAATCACCAACTGGCAGTGTGCAGTCACCCTCTTGCCGGGGGAAGAACGCTGACAACCCTTTCATGACACCCCTATCACCAACACTTACCAACCGGCCAACGCGCTCGCGTTCCTTCGACCTACATGCTGATGTTGCATCCTTGGGTTCGAGTCCTTCGTTTCTCTATCAGCTTCTCTGCCGTCAAATGAGTGACGCGAACGCCGGCACCACCCTCGTTATGCCTCATGTTGTCCTCCTCCTCTCTCAAGGTTAATTGGAAGATCTTCGCCGACTTGATCAGGACTTGCACCGGATGACTGCCATGCCATCTTCGCCTTCATCACCTCACAGATGACTGTCTCCTACCGTCGCCCTCATTTCATCAGCCTGATACGTGGCCGGACTCTGCAGTTTTTTCCAATGAGTCTTTCATTGCTGCTCTCCTGCACCCTCGCTGCCATGTCCGCTGCCTCAGATCCATGTCGTCAAGCGTACCCTGACCCCAGTCACCTCTTCACGAAGAGGCCAGAGTGGTTATCCCGTATGCCCTCCGTAAACCTGTCCGAGTTTTGATGCTCGTTCCTCTCACACGACTCGCCTACTACCTCTGTTTGTTGTGGTTCTGCAACGGAGACGAACACGGCTTTTGCATTACGTGGCCTCCTACGAACAACTTGAATGGGCATGCGAAACCTTGGTTCCCCATCCGCGCAGGTTTTCAAAAACCCTTCGAGCAATCATTGATCATCAGCAAGCCGGTTGCATTCCCAACACACTTGGCTACATTCCTGTCACAATGAGGCAAGAACAACTGCCGCCATCCATGAGCCCACGCAAGGGCTTGCACAAGCACAAATTCTGTGGATTCTGTAAACACCGTCCCTGCGCTCATGTGATGAAAAATTGAGACATGAGTTGCGTCACACTAGGTGCCATGGCCGCCATATAGTCCATCTGTGGTGCTCAGATTTGACAGAATGTACGTGGTGGATGGCAGGGATATTCAAGGTATCAATGAGGCGGCTGCCAAACCGGTGTCGAAGACGGGAATCACTGGACTGTGCTGCCATTGAATCACTTTTCGCGCGCAGCCTGGGCATTTAAGTAGCGGGTGGGCTACTAGTATGGAAAGTTGCAAGTCTGTTTCTTCTGGCTGCGAAGCCTGCGGGCACAAGGTGGTACAACAGTCGTTCAGACTGCCCTTACCTTCCATCGGACGGTTGGCGAGGTCGTTCTCTTTGACAACTCACCCTCTTTCAAGCACAAGAAGGCACTGTAAGTCCAACTGCAACTGTGCCACACCCTCGTCAGCCTTTTGCGCCTGATATTTAGGCGTCGGATACCCTGTCAGCAAAGGGCGTGAGTTCATCCATGCCCTGTAAGGACGGCAACACAGCTACTGTTGGACAGTGAAGCTACGACTCTGGTACCCACGGTGTCACGAGCATCGTGATGGTAAGATTTGGCGTTGGATTTGTCTCTTCTCTTGCGCTTCTCAATTGATATACACCACCTTAAATCTCAATCGCGGCGACGGCGCGATGCCGTCAAAGTCCTCCCCAGCATCTGATAAGACCAGTCGGTCGTGTCGGACGATGGAACCTTTGAAACAGGATAGCAGTCACTAACCTCGGCTTCAATCACTGCCGTCGGGTGCTGCTAAGGACACAACTCATCAGGTCTCGAGAACGTCTACCAATACTCAATATGAGCAACCCAATGGGTCCATGGGACTTGTGCCACAATCCTGAGGCAAGATAGTCGCTCAGGACGGTAAGGACCTCTGTTTCAGCCCCGTTTGCGCTCCATTCTTTTTGAAGTGCCGTCCACGCGCCAGACGTCGGAATCTGTCTGCCTTGCTTTGTTTCTCCCGACTCCATGACTGTTGCAGCCAACAGCACCCAGGCAATCCTTCTGAGGAGAGTGTTGGCAGGAAGTAGAAGGATGCCGAGAGTGTCTCTCACTCTTGTCGCCGGAAATTGGCCTGCGTGAGTCCATTCGAAGGGAGAAGGCCTTCCGCGACAGATATAAAGTATGTCATTCTTGATCGTTTCTCTCAACCATGTGGGAGTCGCTGGATGGTTTAACAGTGCAATAGTGGAGTATATCCTGTGTGAAGCACTCGCAGGCGTCCGTTCGCGGTCAGCTTACTATATGAGGTGCAGTAAATGCAGAAGATGCCGGTTCCATTCAAGCTTGGCTTTAACTTGCATCGCGAACTACTGAGCTCTAGGCAAGCAGCCTCCAAGCAACCATCGCAGGCAACCCTGCTCGTGGTATCTGCTGCTCTTTAACCAGTCGTCACAGTGCTACTAGATTTTGTATGCTTTGCCGCCTTCGGATCCCTTTTCCAGTCTCTCTAGACATGTCGTCATGCGAGCGTCATTGGCTCAACTTCTCCTCAGTCACAACAATGATGAACGGCCGACGGCGTGCAAGAGAACTGGGGGACGGACAAACACAATCTCATCGACATTGCTGCACAATTGTATCTGATGATCCAGTTGCCTGCGGTCGAACGTCCTCACCATGAACTCAAAGCCTAGCATCACGATCGACCCGTCTCACAAGCAGGCTCCCACACGAGATGGGTCGACAACGACATTGAAGCAACATCTTCCCTCGGCCAAATCGAGTCAATCGCATCCCGCACAGGCCGCGACGAGCGACAGCAATGCCAAACTCTTCTTCGTCGGCACTGCCACCACCATCCTAGAATGGCAGGGTATTCGATTGATGACGGACCCGAACTTCCTCCATGCTGGGGACCATGTGCATCTGGGCCCAGGCGTCACGGCCACGCGCCAGACCAACCCGGCCGTGGATCTACATGACCTCCCACATATCGATCTTGTCTTGCTATCCCATTACCACGCCGACCATTTCGACCAGGAGGTCGAGGCCTCGCTGCGCCGTGACCTGCCCATCATCACCACGCCGCACGCCCACACACATCTGACGTCCAAGGGCGAAGGAGAATCGTTCACAGCCGTACACGCCCTGGATGCGTGGGAAGACATGTTCGTCAACATCATTGACAGAAACCCCACCCCGAGTACCACTGCGGCCTCTTCCTCCACGCCCACCTCACGGTCGCGACGACCTTGCCTACGCGTGACAGGCATGCCCGGGAAACACGTTGGCGACGGTCTCCTGTCCAAAGCCAACGACATTCTCGGCGCAGTGCCACCGACCAACGGCTGGATTCTGGAACTCGGACACTCCCTCTCCGCCGACGCAGACACCAGCCTAGCAGAGTCGGAAGCGTTTCATTGCGGCTACAGAATCTATATTTCGGGAGATACGCTGTACGTCAAAGATCTGGAGAAGATCCCCGAGCTGTACACGCACGCGGGCAAGCCTATTGATCTGATGCTCATCCATCTCGGCGGCACGACGATTCCCGGGCCACACATGCCGTTGATCATGGTCACCATGGACGCGAAGCAGGGTGTCCAGCTGGTGAAGCTGGTGCGGCCGGATCTGACGATTCCTATCCACTATGAGTAAGTTTTGTCTGCCTGTTTGGGCCCTTTTCCGTCCACTATATGTTTCTCTTTTGCCTTTCTTTTCGGGCAACGACAATGACTAGCACTCTCTTTTGCCTTGGAGCAGTGGCAGGACTGGTGGACTGGTTCTACCCGTTCGTTCCCCGTCATCCTTAGTCAACGCTGACACTTGCATGCACTTAAACAGTGACTACGACGCCTTCCTCTCACCGCTCTCCGACTTCAAAACTGAAATGTCCCAGGCCGGCCTCGACGACAAAGTGGTCTACCTTGATCGCGGCGATGAATTCCAATTCTCCGTGCGAGACCCGTAATGGAATGGCTGGACTCTAGTGGCAGGGTGGTTGGTTGGCTAGCAGGCTGACCAGCAACACGTCTGTCTTACAAGGTCAGATGTTGTCTTGGTGCTGGCGTTCCTGGTAGCTGCTGGCCGCAAGGAAGAGGCAATACGGCTGCCTCACTTGGTAAGCGGGTTGATCTGGAATAGAGTCGTGCCCCCAGAGCAAGGGGTCGCACCTGGTAAGTAAAACAAACGTCGAGAGAGCGAGGGAGATGCACAATCGTTCGTCCAAGTTATCGGCATGGCCAGACAAGGAACCCACCAAGGAGATGCTCATGAGAAATAATGAGAATAGTTATGACCCGACCCGATACGACCTCGCCTCATCAATGACAGACAGAGATGTGACAAAGTCGTACTCGTTCTGCCTATCTTGCAAGACTCGGTCGAAGTTGGTCCTTGCTATACTCCGTGGCACCCACTGCTCCTCGCCCCTGGACACAGTATTTGGGGAATCGGTGGTTGATACTTAGTAGGAATGTAAGAAGCCACCACACTCAATCAAAATCGAGTGAGAGGGATGAACTGTTCCAGCTGAGTCCTCAAGTGGGGAAGGAGCATACATTGTGCTTTTCCAGGGGGTGAGGCTGCAAAGTCATGAATATATTTTCCAGGTTCGCATAACAATGGGAAACCATCGACATGTTTCTCATGCCAGATACTAGCCAGATAGACGGTAGTCAAGTCATGTTTTCGATATCCGTTCCCACGAGTGCCGAAAACGGAGCATTCCATGGACAAAACATTCATGTCCAGATATAAAAGATGTACCCGCATCTGTTACATACTATGCAAGCATGCTGTACCTATAGATCCAATATATAAACTGATGGCCGCGATGCCCCAGATCAATGCTACGCTAATGCTAATGCTCAAGTTTGACCGTATATCCTTTGCCCATGATCCAGCGAGATACACCCATCCATTTTTGCCCGACCAGTCCCATCCATTTCTATCGTCTAGACCACCGCCGGCCGCAACATGCACTGGCAACGATGCAACTCCCGCACAACCAGACCATCGCGGGGCCGGCTTCTCAAAGCGACGCGGTTCAGTCACTCACCCTTGCCTCACAGAGAGGATCGTGGAAATCAATAGGCATAGTCTCTGTCGCGGCCCCGTAGCCCTGACTGCTGAGAGTCGTAATCCTCATAATTGCCCATTTGCCGCCCCACATCACCGTAACTTTGTCTCCCCTCAAGCAGGTTGCCGTACGCAGATGCACGGTCTCGATTGGGAGCTTGAAGCTGCGGGACTTGAGGCTGATAGTCCATATTGCTCATGTCGTAGACGCTCTCTCGGCCACCCAGACCCCCATAAATGCTGGGCCGGTAATCATCGCTGGGTTCCAGCAAGGCCTCTTTGACATCCCAGTGACCTTGCTTAGTGCCTACGCTAAACTCGAGATCTTCTTTTGTGATACTGTCCCAATACTGGAAGGATTGTCAGTGTTTTCGAACGAGAAAAAGTGTGGGCGCCGCTTCCCATGCGGAAGAGCCCCACAAAAGAGAGCACTCACTTTGTATATCATCATCACCGCCAGCAGGTTGCAGACGGTTGCGAAAAATAAGGCGTCGAGATAATGGCTGACTCCTTCGCAGATCTGCTTCCCAAAGACGTACACGAGCACCTGGCCGATAATGAAGAAGAACGCGCTAAAGGCGAGGTCGCCCAACGGCCACCGATCTTGCAGAGTGTTCAACACCAGCAGGACTTGCATGACAAAATACACTGCCAGGAAAACAGCGTTGACGATGTATAAAACGACAAACAGGCCTGTGGTGTTGGTTGGCGAGAGACCGGCCCACCCCTTGAACGTGAGCAGACTGACGGCGAAGCTGATGATGAACATGATCAGGCTGCCGAGCCGGAGGAGCCAGACAGAGAGTGTCGTGCCATCTTCATACAGCTGGAATCCCACAAAGCCGTTGATCAGGAGGCTCGTGCATAGCGCACTCACCAGGCCGTCTTGGACCGCCACGAACCACGGGAACGCACTTCTGTTGGTTGCTTGGATGACCCCTGCGTCTAATACCAAGCTGATGATGGTCAATAGAGTGTAGATATAGAAGAAGGTCAAGATCTCTTTTCGTCCAACAGCTGTAAACTTCGACCGGACGTGGAAGATCATGATGGCGGTCATGCCTAGGGCCGCAATATGGGCAAAATCCGTGGCGGCTTGGAAGATGATTGTATTTCCCACTTCAATTGACCTCGCGGAGCATGTTGGCAGCAACGCGGGATTGTGGATTGCCGTGAATTCGGTGGGAGTGCCCAGAAGGTAGCATAGAGGGAGTGCGGACTTCTCGCAGATCCAGTCGAAGGTGCCGAAACCCATGTTGGGCAACGTGCCCGGTAGCAGTTGCTCCTGGAGAGTACAAAAGAGCGACGGGGAGGTCAAAGTCGGTCAATCGAGAGGCTTTTCGGCGGCTCGTTGGTCTCGCAGTTGGCGGCGCTTCGGAGAGTCTGCAAGGGGGCGCGGAAAGGACAGGGTGGGGATAAAGAAGTCGGAACGATCGTTGTTGTCTGCTGGAAGGTCAAGGAGGGACGGCGGGGCAGTAGGATGGCGTAACGAGAGTGAGAAAACGACAACTGAGGTCAAGAAAAGAAGAATGGGTTGTGGTGAGGTTGGGTTTGCCCAAAGTCACAGAAGGTGAGACAAGGATGGCTGTGCTGGTTGGTGTACGGTGAAGTATGTTAAGACATTTGGTTCTATGTTTTCCTGGCCCAGGAACGGAACTGGCGCCTGCAACTAGTCGTGGTGGCTATTGCGCCGTTGCACAGTACGACTGCGTCACGTGATAGTATCTAAATATATCCGTAGCATGTGACTTGAACCTCTGTATCATCCCGATTGGGATTGGCGCCAGTCTCATCCCTCTCGGTGCCCCTGAAACAGAGCGACCTGCTGTGTATGCAGTAGTACAGGGCCACTTGCTGTGCTTGGACGTAGAAGAACCGAGGATCTATGCCATTGTTACACTGCAACATGAGAAAAATCTCGTCTACGGAGGAAATGTGACATAGACGGGGAACGGCGTACGCAGGCTATTTGGTGCTCTTCTGTTAACTGTCCTCGTTGCTCGACTACTTAATCAAGTCTAATCTCCAGCCCAGCGGTACGCCTCATTCTTCATAACAGCCCCTGAGATACAGTCCCTGGTGGACATGTTCGACCTTGAAGCCATGTAAACGCCGTTCCGCCGCCCGTCTTACCCAACACCACACCGAGGTTGCTGTTATCGCCCATCGATAGTCATACACATCGACATTGTCCCCTCAGCCAGCGTGCGGCCTACCTCATATGTAAGGCGTTGCTGTAGCTCTGAAATTTAGCCATGGGCATTGCGTGGTGTCAATCTGCCGGAGGCACTGGACACGATATGTCGTGCACGACCCTGTGCAGCACCCAGCTTCTTTGCGAGTAGACCTGCTTTCGATTCAGCGGTGGGCTGGGCCCCGTCCACGGATTTGAACAGCCTCAGCAAGCCTCCTTGGGCATTACGAATCTCATCTGTGAATTTGCTGAGGATTCTCTGTCCCTGGGTAACGCCTTGGTCCGTCAGCCGAGCCATGTCAGCATAGACACACTCTGCGCCAGTGAGACCTCGTTTCCGAACAGTAGACAATTTCTCTAATACAGACCGCTTCGACAACGGTTGGCTCGTCCACCATCCAGCGATGTTGTCTTTGAGGTCCTTTTTGACTCGCTTAGCATCCCGTGCAAGGGTCTGGAGTGGGTTTCTGGAAGGCCAGACAGGCAGCGAGGTCGACAGTGCATTGATGATGCCCTGCAAGGTTCCATTGATCGTGTGCAGACGTGTGTTGAGGGACCTATTTTGATTTGTCGCCTCACCCTCCAGGGAAAGAGTCAAAGTCTCGCTGAATGGAGGTTGGATCATGGTCAGATTGACTTCGATGTCTCCATATGTGTCGCCAGGGTGAACTTGAACGCCGAAAATCCCATCGAATAGTTCCTGAACCTGTGTCGGGAGAGCCTGGTTCGCCTTCATCACCACAACCTCCAGTTGTGACCGCTTCTTGTGGCCAAGCGCCTTTCCTGGTAGTTTGACCATTAATTGGCCCCTGCTGACAATGCTGACTTGGAAATGCGTTTCATCTTCTCCCAATGACGAAACTGGGTTTGCCGAAGGGCTTGCATGGGGAGTTTCGGGCAGACTTGATTTCCGGGCGCCTTGACCAAGAGCCTGGGATGCCTGTCCAGACTGACGAATCTGGGAAAGCGGGTGAGCGTCACCAAGGCTTGCCGCAATGGCAATATTCGGCATACCCACCGCATTCGTTGTACTGACCGACTTGTTGGACAGACCATCCGAGATCAAAGGCCACAATTGAGCGCCGAGAAAGAAATGAAGGCCCACAATACACAGAATGAGGAAGATCTGTTTGAGGGAAGGAGACACGGGCGAACTCGGCTTGGAGCCTCTGAACTCTTTTCCGCCGGTCAAGTTGGACAAATCAACCCAAACCGAATCTTCGTAGGACCGCTCCGCGGCCGACGATGAAATGCTGTAGGCGATGTGCTTGTTAAGCAAGGCAGAATCAATGTTCAGGAATGTCGGAATATCGAGGGGGAGTTTGGACGTGAGCACCTGGGCTGATGCTTGCTCAGGGTCGCTTTCGATGCTCTCATACAGATAGTCTGTGTTCATGGCTTTGCCATAATTGCCGAGCCAGCCTCGATCCAGGCGAATGAGAATGGTGGGAATGCGGTGCCGATCCGCGAACTCAAGCATGGCAAGACTGTCAGTGTCCAAGTTGTGTTTCTGGTCAAGGCGAACACAGATGATCGCCAAATCAGGAAGGATCCAGCGTGGGTTGGTTACAGCAAACGCATGACCATTCCATTCAGAGGTCACGGTGGAATGTGTCTGACTGCTCTTGAGAATCAAGGGTGCGAGATGATGAACAGATCTACCACCTCCGGCCAAGTCGTAGCATTCGAAATCGATCAGCTTATCGATGGCGACCAGATCGGCGAACTCTGGTTCTGAGCCAGGACCAAAACAGCTCGGGACGATATGAAACCTGGAGACTGACGATGAACTGGAGCTGGTGGCTGAGACTTTTCGTGAGACCAACGCATCGCCGAGCTTTCTCTGTATCTCTGGCTTGAACTGGTCGACATGCGGGCCGAGCAAGATGACTTTGAAGTAGTCGAGAGCATCCACACTCAACCCTTCCTCCAGAAGAGGCATGCGAATGACACTGTAGTAATTGCTTGAGACATCTTCATTGAGGCACCGACGGAAAAATGAATTCTCTAGTTCAGAGAGGGGCCGCACGATTGAGTGCTGGCTGGTCGCATGGCGGATGGTTTCTTGGGAGTCTGTTCCCGCACAATTCGCCTCAACGCTACCAGTAGCTGAGTGTGCTAATGCTGCGGGTTCCTGTATGGATGCTCCTAGTGGCTGCTGACCATGGAGATACTCTTCAAATGTGACCTCCTCCTCATAAATGAATGGGACAACGTCGGTCTCATCGGCAATGCTTTGAACGTCATCTGAGCTATGCACATCGAGAAGAGATCCAACATCAGTATGCTCTGATCGTAAATCTTCTTCGTTCGAGGACTCGAAGTCCGTGAGGGACGCCCAGCTGTCACCGAGGGCAGGTGGGATCGGTTCGACGGCCGACATGATGGCGGGGTTGGAGGAGGAGCCCAAGGAAGAGCAGGAATGAACCAGTAGGGATTCAAGTGAGAGATGAAGGGGAAGTTGAGGATATTCTAGCTCAAGACTATCGGTATTTGCAGAAGCAGCTACCCCTTCGTCTCGACCCGGGTTGTTGCCTTTTGAGCCAGGCTTGTCAGTCATGGTCTTGAGGCTAGGGCCATCAGACGGTTGGTAGTAGTGATGGTTGACAAAGTGAGAATGGAAAGAGAAGAAGTTTTAAAAGGACCTACTGCGTTGGGCACCGACCAAAGTGCCTTTTCTTGACTTTCCGCGTGAGCTTAAAACAGTGTTGCGACTGCCAGCCGGTTTGGTACTGAACTCGGTGGTTCAGGGCATTGTCGGAAACGCACGGGAATCATTTGAAAAGCCGTGGCGCGACAGGGGAGTGAAGCAACAAGAGTTTAGAACAGACTGCCTCCTTAAGACGGCATTTTCTCATTCAACAAATAAGTCAACAGTATATGGTGAAGAGATAGGAGGGCGCGATCAGTTGGTCAAAGGAAGAGCAGGTAGTGGTAGCATTATGTCGTTGAGTTGAGGATCAAAGGCAGACAGACAGATAGACAGACAAGAAAGAACCCCGCAGTTGTTTCACACGCCCCTCGCGTTGCAGCCTGGAGTGGAGCACGCATCAGCCATAGATAAGCTGATAAGCCCTGATAAGCCCTGATAAGGCTGTTGGCTAGTGCCACACTCGGAGATATAAGACGACATGCATTTCCTCTTAGCCACCTGTTATCCTACATCGTAGCCAGCAACGTTTCATTCAGTTCGATGTCAGTCAGATTGATCATTGCGGATTGGGACAGTTATGAATCCCTCTGATCTCACCTGCCAGGGGGAACCGCAGGAGTTACGGTGCTAGGTTCAGTCAGAAGCGGATGTCTGTCTATCTGAGATTTGCTGCACTTATACTAGACCACAGGTGGCCGCATGTCGATTTCCTTCTTGTTTTTGGACTGGAGGTCAAGGGGACGACCTTTTTGGTCTCCCGGGGGCCATCAAGTGTCGGTCATGCCTTGTTTGAATGTTTCAGTGGTATAAGGCAAGTAAAGCGTGAAGGGGTGATTGACACAAGTGTGGCATAAGACACTCCAGAAGATATAATGTTCACACAGTCCGATTGTACACAGTGACTCTCATGTTGATGTATATGGATGGCCTTGCTCTCACCGGAAAAGCTATTATAGAAGAGACCTCGACACTGGCTTTGCCTTCTAGTGTCAATCACTCAACCTTGCCCACCCAGAATGGTGCTTTCTTCACACCTGGCGTCACCGACCTCGTTTCTTTGCCCTCAAGGGAGCAGCATTCGGCGATTCATTTCAGCAAAATACCCCCTTCGCTGGATTTATATCAGAAAATCTTGCCCGGGAGCGTTGTTCCTTGAAGCAATGGCAAATCCAACCGCTGTTTGTTGGGAATGGATCATATGGGAGGAAACCCTCTGACATCAAGACCCTGTCCTCGACCTCAGTCACGTACACCTCCGAACCCTTCTTGTAGCCTGGACGCCAAATCTTGCCTCCATGAAGTGAGTAGACCAAACGCCGAGGTGCCATGCATAATCAAGACATGTCGTCCCACCATCATTTTTTGGTCTCGCTGCCCTGTGGCATCCACTCAGGGTGAAGCCCATCCGCCAGCAACTTCCACCCATTCGGCAAGACAGCTGCCTTCTTTGCCTTCAACATCCCGAATATCGGTGTCACAGCGGCACCGGCAACCGACGCCGTTTTCTTTGGGCGGATCTGGTGTGGCCCAGTACTCATCTTCCTCCTGGCGTTCTTTCTCATCCTCGGTAGTCCGCTCGAGATAAGGTATGCGCGGAAGTTGCCTTGCCGGGGCATTCGCAGGGCAATGCTGGATCGTGGTATGGCGATAACCGAAATCACGGAAGTAATGAATGTCTCGGGGCGCAAGCAGAGCCCCGGCTGCAAGTGAATGAATGGGAGCGTCACCCCACTGGAAACTTATCAGCAAAACTATTGCAGCATATCGGGCTTTAAGCAACTTACCCTCTCCATCCAAAATCCTCCACTGTGATCCATCATTTCGAAGAAATCGTTGTATTCTTTGCTTCGGAACCAGTCCAACTTGGCAATCTCGAAGTTGCTCCAGAAATGGCACATGTTGTACTTTTCGCCTTCCATGGCTTCCGGGTCAATATCTTCAATGTTTTGATGTCCCGGTTCCGTCTGCAAGATTTCATTGGGCAATGTTTTGGCCCTCTTGTCTCCTCCTGAGGACGCATCCTCCTTTTCCCGTGATTTATCCACAAACATTTCCCAAAGCCCCTTGGACTTCATGTTGTGTTTCCGCTTGTAGGCTGACGCGTAACGGAAGATGTTCGGGACTGTCTCCTTCAACTCTTTGACGGCGATGGTGAAGCCGTAAGTTTTGTTGGACCTAGCCATCTCGATGAAGGGGTCATATGTGATGTCGCAGAAATACTTGATTTCGGGTTCCAGGCGCCAGTACCACTCATATTTCTGGAGGAGTTCGTGCTTGTAGAAAAAGCCCGAGTAAAAACGGCACATGTGATGGTAGCTCTCCATTCCACCGTACATGATGGCTGCATCTCCTTGCTTTCGAATTCCTTCTCGTGCAACTTCATGATCAACCCATTCCGGATAGCCCCACATAGTCGCATCGATCTTTCCGAATTCCACAGGAGCGCTTGTGTAGTTTGTGATGGTGTCCTTGAAGGACTGCTCGAAATCTCCGTCGTTCAAGAACACGTAGGGGTAGTGAAACCATCGATTGAAATGTCGCTCGATGCTCTTAATAGACTGTATCACTCCATCAAGCTCTTTGTTTCGGGCTAGGACGACGAAAGCCGCATTTGCGCGAGGTTGCTTTGCAGACTCCTCGGGGTTCAAGCAACCCGTTGCAAACACGCGGTCATGTTTCTCGCTGATTTTTCTGCCGTTCGGTCAGTACATGGGAGATCGGATCGACAAGTGTTTGCAGCAAACGTACCTTATGGAAGGGGGTGTGCCAGCAGGGAGCATTATACGTCCCGGCGAACTTGGATGTTTCACCACAAGTATGAGGATTAACAACACCACCAAGCTCGGAAAGAGGAGCAGGAAGCCCAACGGTATGGAAATCGAAGAATTGCCTTTTAATCTGATCCGCCTGCGAAAGAACGATAATCGCGGCAGCGTCCTCGATTTTCCATTCTTGAACTCCTCGGGAGATGGGCCCTGCGACACTGAGGGCAGGCGCTTGAGGACACGCTGCACGAAACCCATTATTGTGGCCAGGCTCCGACCTCTCCTAGAGATGGAGCGCTTCCTGCCTCGATGGAACTGTTACCAGCCGAGCATGCAATCGGCGGCAAACATGGAACAGCCGAGAGAGCCTGCACCGTCGCTAATTGAGACTATTCTTTCAACTGCAGTTTGGGTTCGTGTTTGCGAACTAAACGGGGGCGAGCGAAATCCCAACAAACGCGCAGAGCCAGCGAGATAGGGATGGCGTGCAAGAGGACGGAGCTTCGATATCGTCGGGGTCGCTAGGATACTGATTATCTCGAGGGATAGGCAAGCGACATAGTGAGCTCGCAATGGTGAATAATGAAGAAAGTATGAGGACAGATATGGTTCTTCATGAATGTCTGGGGAAAAAGGACCTCTGTAGTGCAGTGGTTCGACTGAAGATGGTGCTGCTGGTGGTCCACTTGCGATCCCTGAAGAGGCCAAATTGAGAGTCTGAGACTGCGCTGCTTTTGCTCCAAGTCCCACGCAGCGCGAAGCAACGCAACGCCAAGGCCCAGGCTAGAAGGCGCAGATTTGTCCTGCACTGGCAATAATGCGTGCCCCTTTTGCCGCAGGGCCCTAAAAGGAAATAGTAGGTGAAGTAACTACTAGTTACAGGTTCCTTAGTACACACTGCCACGGGAGCGATAATGGGACGAGGGAACCTAGGAAGCATTATAGCATTTACGTAAGCTGTCGCAATTGCCACTACCGGTTCCAGGGGCTTGCGGTGTTCTCACCTCCAGTCACAGCCTTCCACCTTGAAAGGCAGGTTTATGCCTAATGTCTTTTTCTTCCGCAGTTCATCAGACTTGAGTGTCGTTCTGGAATTTTACTGAATCGTGTCTGTGGTAATGGTTTGCGTGGGGGACGGAAACGTTCACTAGCCGATGTCCAGGTAAAGAATAGGCTACCCTAGGCGTTGCCTCAGGTACTATCTCATGGAAAGGGTCCCGCCCATGAGACTCCCTAGATGTTGCCTCTGGAGCCTAAACTTACCTTAGGTAGGTACCGTTTCCGGTGTCATGTTTACTATGAGCGATCGCCTGCAGCAGTGCCGCTGGTTTCCACGCCGCGGTGATGACCACTGCCACACTCGCTAGTAGCCCCAACCAACCTTGTCATGCATCAGGTACTTTTACTTGCTCCAAGGTCGCCCTTTGCCCTGCGGCTGTGCCTGTGCCTGATCAGCCTGTGGGTTCCATCGCCAAACAATGACCATGTTGACAACCTGACATACCTGACAACCTTGAACACCAACCACATTTCCTTTGCACGAGCTCACTTGAGACACTGCAGTACCCAAGGTACTTACCTATTGCGCAACGCACCCTGCTTCCACCTCCTTCATCCTCTCGCCTCCAGTAACCCAAGCGAGGCCGACTCTCTGATATCTGTCCGAAACACTCTGGGTCGAAACACTGACCCTCCGTCCCGGGCGTTGTGCCCACACGTTGCAACATATCCCAGCGTTTCCTGCATCTGCCCACCCTGTTTGCGCTCTTGAGCAGCTTCCTTACAGATAATGGTATAACAAAGGGCGGGCTGCGAGCTCTAAGCTTCTCATAGCCTTTACCCATCTACATCTTCCAACATGGCAGCAACCTCACCGCTGCCTCCTTCCACCCCGTCCCGGTCGAGTTTTCAAGCGCCTCACCTATCGCCCAATCGAATACCGGCCGCCTTCGCCCCAGGGTCATATCAGTCAGGTCATCTGAATCTCGATGTCTTTTCTCCAGTGGATCAGAATGGGAGTTTTTGTTTTGACCGGGTGATCAAGCGTGGCCGAGTGAATCGACGAATAAAGAACAAAGGAGCTTGGAAACCGTCATGGAAGCCAGCCTACCTCGTACTACGCCCAAACCTGCTGTCCGTTTACCAGGACGCCGACGAGACCGATCTGAAAGCTTCAATCACTCTCTCCGAGGTCAATGCTGTGGCTCCGGTTAGGAAAGCGCATACCGACAACGTCTTCGGGGTGTTTTCACCATCAAAGAATTATCATTTCCAAGGCATGTCAGCCGCGGACACTGCAGATTGGATTACACATATTCGCATAGAGGCTCGGACAGAGGAGGAAGACGATTTCGACCTCCTCACACCCCAGTTCTCCCAGAGATACGCAGATACGTCACATACATACGAATCGACCGATCTGTCAGCAGATGAAGTCGCCATCGCCTCTGGGTCACCGGAGCGAACTCAAACAGCCATTCGTTCCAGACCAAGAACAGGCTCTCAGTTAGCTCAGTCCCGGCAAAGGCGCGCCTCGACGCTCCAAGAGTACTCGGGAAATGAGCAGTTCACGACGTCGCATTCTGATTTTTCAGATGCCCTAGCAAGTTCCTTACCAAGAACGTCGGCGCTTTCGCTCCACAGACCGCCACTCCTGACGCCAATTGCATCATCCCAGCAGCTCAATGGACCAGGCGATCCGATGACTACTGTGCACATGCCTCCTCCTGCCACGCCGCAGCGCGATGCTACCAGTGACCCTGAGCGTGTCATCCGACATGGGTACTTGCAGGTCCTGAAGTCCTACAAGACGGGTGTCAAAGGTTGGAAATGGATCTGGCTTGTGCTCCGTCCTCGAAGTCTGGGCATATACAAGGATGACCAGGAGTATTCGGCGCTCAAAATCTTCCCGATGGACTCCATAATCAACGCGGCGGAGATCGACCCACTCAGCAAATCCAAGAAGTTTTGCTTCCAGATCATTATGGAGGATAAATCGTACCGTTTCTGTGCATCAAGCGAGGATGAGCTGGCCAAATGGTTGGGTGCCCTGAAAAGTGTTTTGACCCGGCGCCACGAGGCGGAGAAGGCCCTGACGAAAGGCAAGGAAAGGGGCATCGTGGACGCTACTGCTGCACTGTCGCTGCGGTAGGCCTTTCGGTTTGGGGGAGATCCTGCAAATGGGATGCTCCCACGGCGACGTGGGCTCGAATGATTTGCTATGACTCTCTTTACGACTTTTGATGATCACGCTTCATGTGTCTTATGACGTTCCCGTTGGTCATATTGGATAAAAGAATATGGCGTATTGTGTTTCACACGATCGCCTGGCGGCTTGCACGCCGTTCAAACAGGGCGTCTTTTCATGCTGTTCATGCTGTTCCTGTTTGTTTGTGCAGGTGCTCTCCCATGTCAAGCCTCTCTCACTCTATGGAGATAACACCTTCCTAGCCTGCGGAAGTCTTGGTCCAGACTTGGTGTCAGTAAGAGGAGTACGGAAAGAAAGCCTCCTTCACACAGCAATAACACCACTGCCCACCGGCCCGCACCACCGAGGCAGAAACCTAAATCAACGTGAATGGATAAGGGGAAAATTCAAACGCACCAAACAACATGCTCCACCGACAAGTAAGAGATGCGTAGTTTGGCACATTACAAAAGGGGGTTCATTGCTCATCCAAGCTGACTGCATGTACATCTTACCTCCCTAGTTGCAACTTGTCCCTGTCTACCTACCTGTAGCATGAGTACACGAGGGTAATGAACATACGAAGATTATAATACCCGGTTCTATTTCCCATACAGAGGATCCGAAAAGACAGAAGCCCTGGACGGAGAGAATATCCATGGATACGGGCCGTGCTCAGTGTCCAATACTAGTTGCGTAAAGTCCTGCCGCAGCGCGATCTTCTTCCTTCCGTTCCCTCTATCTGCGGCTTTTGGTTCCGAAATAGCAGACAGCATCATATCATGGTGAGAAGACAAGAGAAGAGATGAGACCGCGCTTGGAGGTTCAAGTCGAAACACGGCCAACACAGCCCGATCCTTCGTGCGTGTGTATAGGTAGGTATGCAGGCTGGGAAGAAGTGACGGTGATAGTAATAGTAACAGTAAATGCAGTCTTGTGAAGGATTTTGTACAAATGCAGCGCAGATACACTTTCTCTCGCGGCGTGGACCTCGCAGCCCTCCCTTGGACAACACCGCGGAACATTAAGATCCCAAGCGAACCCTCAAGTCAAGGGGTGTAGATATGTGTGTCGCGACAAGAGCCCGACCGTCACAGACTCTGTCGCAATACGTCCCCTTGCATCTTTGTAGAGTAAACATCCGTTCTCGAGGCTGTCCGGTCCGGTCGCGGTGTTGTGTCACTTCATCGATCTATCGACCGAAGATGCCACGCACGCGAGCCCACATGCCCTTCCTCGGCTCCTCGTAGTACACTCCGAAATCCTGCTTTTCTGCACCCTCAAGAGCTGCGGCGTCAGACGCACTCTCAACGAGTTGCTCCGACTCGGATATTGCGTCTGGTTCGGCCGGTCGTGGCGACCACGGGGCGGGCTCCTTGTGGATGGTGGCCAGCTCTGCAGACATCCAGCCATCGTTCAGGCCGCTGCCGATGACATGCACGCTCTTGGACTTGACGATCTCGAGCCTGCGTGGTTGCTGTTCCGCTGCTGCTACTTGTCCTTCTTCGTAGTCGTCGGGCAGCTCTTCGATGACGCGGTCTTCGGTCTCGCGTACGAGGGCTTTGGCGACGCCATACGGCGCGAGCTGGCCGTGCACCACGTCCTGCGGCCACGCTGCCGCGAAAAGACCATCGTTCAGGTCGGCCCAGTACATCTTGATTTCGCGCGCGTCGGCCCAGTCGGGTTTTGGATTCTGCTCGTCCGCTGCTGCTTGGTTCTCCTGCACCTCCAATTCATCGAGAGCCGCCTTCTTGTACTGGGCGATCATTTGCTCCAAAGACGGGGCCTCGGGGCCAGTGGCCTTGCGCTTCTCATGTTGTTGTGTGGCTGCCTCTTCTGCTTGCTTCGACGCCTCCTCTCTTCTGCTTGCCCGCTGCTGCTCCCTTTTGACTTTTGTTTCCTCTTCAAAATCCTTTAGTGCTGTTTCTCTCGCTTCGGCGGCCCTGTTCCAAACCGAGTCATATTCCGTTGTTGGAGCATCGTACTCTTCAAACCACTCCTTAATTGCCTGCCGTTCGGCTGCTCTTACGACATATTGTCTTCGGTTCCACTCATCCGTGTCAAAGTTGCTCATATCAACATGGACAAAGGCCTCCCACTGCTTGATGGCATCCTTCAGTTCCTTGACTTGGTCAATGTCGACAAGTTTCTGTCCATCCACCAGGCCATGGTGCTCCATGCTGAGTTGCGTGAGTGTACCCTTAGACAGAGGTAGTCGGCTCCGGTCTTCGGAACTCATATCCTGTAGAGCCAGCGCTGCACGTCGCATGATCTCGTCCTTCTTTTTCGCCTCCTCCTCCCGGATCGTGTGGATTCGCCTTCGCGCCCTCCTCGACCTGTCCTTGTGACGTGCTACCCGGTTCATTTCGATTTCGATCATTCTGTCCAACGGACTGGGGCCCGAGCTTATCCAGTCGAGCACGAAAGCAGCATCAGCTACACTGGTGGCCTTTTGATCCATCAACCTCCGTGCTTGTAGCTTCTTCGGCAAGATCTCATTGAGCTTTGGCACTCGGCCGCTCAACTGATCTCGTACAGCCAGCTCTTGCAAATCTGTTGGCGATCCTAGCTTTGATTTCACAACATCAATGTCCTCCTGCGTGACCCGGATGATGGACTCAGGAGGCGACAGCTGCCGTTGAAGTGAAAGCTCACGAAGCTTCTGAAAAGCGAAAAGACCTTCCAACGCTCCTGCGGGAGTCGGGGGAAAATGGATGGAGAAATAGGGCGTCCACATGTCGCGGCGGACTGAAGCAGGCACCGTCTTCTTGCCGTGGAAGACCAACTGCTTGAGGATTTTGTTGTTCTGAGTAAGGGTCGTGGGTCAGCAACTGGGTCGTATCGAAAAGTTCAATGGGTAGCTGCAAGACTCACCTCAAGCGTCCTGGTCAAACTGTACACCACCTGGTTCGTCCGTATATGTCGGTAGGCATAGATATTCAATCCAAGGGTTTCATGACGCAGCGCCTTCACCGCCTGCCGGGTCTGTGTCTCCCTCCTGTTTTTGGCCGCATTGGATCCTCTAGCGCGCCATCTGCCTTGCACCCAGAACAAGCCCTCTGGAGAATCACCAGACGGCTGCGGATTCGTATTGGGGCTCGGCGTCCCCTTGAGCATTCGAGGAGGTCGTATGCGCGGCATCTGAGGTAAGGACATGGGAGGCACCTGGTGGGCCATTGTGTTCGCCGCGGCGGCCGCCATGGTGCAGGGCTGGCCGGGCTGCTGAGAGATTTATTCGTTCGGAGAAGTTTTTTTCAGGGCGACATTTCCACACGTTCAGAAGATGCAGGGTTCATCAAGAAACGGACAAGACACAGTAGGACAGCGCCGACACCTCAATTGAACAATTCACTGGAGCAAATGGAAGACGTTGCTCCGAACAATTTGGAGCTTTCACCACGGAGAGCAGAGACCTCTAAACGCTGGCCTTGGCATGTTTGGTACTATAATACTTACCTTAATTAGGTAGGTACCAATGGGTAGTAATACTAGTACTTGCTAAAGCGCTATTAACAAACGCAGCCTTGTCTCAGGGGAGTGGTTACGGTTCCAAAATCATGCACGCTGGACACACAGTGGAAAGATATTCCATAAAATGTAAAGGGTGAGATTTGTCGGCCTGAGAAGGAATAGTATATAGATAGTATGTTACACCAAACGTATTTTCAGACCCCTGCTCGATATCAAGCAGTCAAACCAGATCCTGATCGTTCCCAGTCTGGTGCCTTGATTTAATGTCCGACCTTCATACGCCAACCCAGCTCTTCACATGCCTAGGGTAGATAAACCCCCCAAAATGCCATAATTCAAATATATGCGCAAGCAACTTATTGTGGCAATCTTCGTGATATTCATCAATCGTGACCATGCATTTGGCCAGAGAGTCAGACACGGCATGGCCGCTCGGAGCAGCTAATTTGCAACGGGGGTTGAGTTGGCCAGTCCTGAGGGATTATGAGCGGTAGTCCCGGTATTAGTCCCGCCGATGGGGAGCCATGTCCGAGTAATGTCCATACTCCTGTTGATGCGGCCGCCAGGAGTAAGGGGATAATCCACCCGTGACCGGTCCAAACGATCATCTTCATCCGACGTCTCATCGGCGAGACGCGCAAAGTAATCCGCCAATGCGCTGGTCGAGTCTCCGGAGACGACGTTATCGTACAACGGGGGTGGAGTGACCAACGGCGGCGGAGGCTCATCTTCGTCAAAAGCTGGTGGGTTGAACGAGGGACTTCGAAGTAAATGCATGGGTCGTGGTTGCACAACGTTGTTCTCATTGTGAACATGAGCCTGAGTAGGCAGCGTGAGCCCGCCCGAATCACTCGTCCAACTCCGTTGGACCCCGGGATTTGTTTGCCCTGCGGTACCAGACACAGGGACTCGAGGCTGCACTGGAGGAGTACTACGTCTCCTCAATGCAGCTCCCGGGCACCCACATTCATACTCGTCCAGGGCAGCCGGAGCCGCGCCACCAGCGCTATAGGCAGGCAGTGAGATATTCGACTGCGTCGCGCGACAGGAGAGGATGTTGAAAGGTGAATCAATCGATATCTCGAAATGACGACGCTTGGTTGAGTCGCTTTCATCCGGTCTCGACAAGCGCATCACAATCTATGTCACATTGGTCAGCTGATAAGCGGAAGCTACCTAGCAAGTGAGCGCGTACCTTGATCCAGTGATTCACCTGAATGTTTGAGTATGTGGTATCGAAATGAAGTCGTTCAGTCCTCAACTTTTCTTTCATTTGGTAACAGGTTGGCAGCTGTACATTGAATTCCATCTCCGTAGGGCCGATGCTCGCTGCGTCGCTGTCCAGATTTCCCAAGAGGTTTGTTTGATCTCGGGGAATATCCTCGTCGCCGGCAGCGGCAGCATGACGGTAATCGTAGGGAACACCGCCGCCGGCCAAGATGCGCATAGAACTTCCAGGGTACGCAGAAACACTATGACCATCGGCTCGTTTTTCAAACAGCTGCACTTTCCGTGTCGGTTCCAGTCGATGCACCTTCTTGTTGTTGGTGAAGTACTGTATATTCTCTGTAACAAAGACTTTGATCCGGTGACATTGCACCTTCGCCAGTGGAGTTAATTTAAAGGCAATTGGGACGGTAGAGCCCAACGGGAAAGACTTCCCCGAAATGACGATGTCGTAGTGTAATTGATCTTCCCAATTCCGGGATATGGCAATGGGTTCGACTTGTTCCAAGGAGCCTTCAGCCGGAGCTCTGATCAGTGTGAGCTCCTTTGTGCCCACCAAGTTGGCACGGAAAGCACCGGACCGTTCCACAAGAGCCTCCAACTCGTACTTGACGTGACCCAGGTCGACATTGATGGTTTCTGGTAATCTGGAATCCAGAGGCAATTCGAAGTTGTATACATATTCGCCGGGATGGAAGACTTTGAAGCCTTTTTGTGCAACAGTGGGACCCCCATTGATGGTGTCGCCTTTCCCGAAGCTTCGAGACTGGTTTGCCTGTAGAGAAAGCCTTTTCGCATCTCCAGACGTCAGTCGTTTGGCGGGGGAGGCGCTGCGCTGGAAGAGATCGAAGGAAGACACTGTGACACCGAGATCCTTGGAGTCCACAGAGGGCCCTTTGTGTAGCTGGACGATATCTGCACCATAGCTGTACTCCGCTTGCGGCATCTGGGCATTGAAAAAAGACCAAGTGTGGTTCATGATGGTTGTCGAGTCTTTGAACTCAGTCCGCTTGGGCGGAATGCCCTCCGGCCACTCTGTCTCCGATTTGCCACGAAAGTTGAGCGATATCGACTTCAGCTTGGCCTGTTTCGAGACCCGCAACAACAGGCTTCCCCGGAGCATCGTGGTACTGTGTGTCGAGGCATCATTGGGATCGAAGCCCTGCAAGAACAAAACAGGCTCCGCAAGGGATATATAAGCCGCGACTCCCGTTCCACTGGCTACAGGCTTTTCGTCGGCTAGATGTGTGGTTTTGACGGCAGGTTCATGTTGGGCGGAGTGGCGAGAACTGTTCCGCGCATGGCTACCAAGTCGAGGCCGGTGTAGCGTGCCGCCGACGGGGCCACTGGCGGTACTCGAGCTTCTGCCCCGTCGTTCCGGCGAACGACGCCCAGCATCAGCGAACACCATCTCCCCCGGTTCCGTGGAGTTTCTGCGGTCGGTTTGCCCTTGAGGTACAGGATATAGAGGAATCGTCTGAGTAGAGACTGGAGGAAGATTGAGTCTAAGAAATCTTTTTGCGTGTTCCCGTGAGAACGCCAGTTTGGCCGCTGAATGTTGCAGATGGTAGGATGTGGCCCGAAGAGGGTAGGGTGTGAGGATTTGGTCGTCACTTCGAGACGGACAGAGATCGCGGGATAGCGCTTGTTCGTCTTGATCGACTGCGGATGGTGATTGTCAGCATTTGGCAATGGATGATGATGATGGGAAGGCGATTGCGTGAAGAAGTAATTGCTCAAGTAGCAATCACCGAGGACTCGAATGTCGCACACGTTGTACTTGGTAGCAGTGGGAAAGGAAATAGTTAGGTAGTGATGAGCAGGCGTTCAAACTGCGAACCTGGAACTCCGCAGTTTGGACCGGCTCAGCTTGGCCGTACACGCACCTAAAGTGGCAGTTCTAACACTGGCAGTCGTTAGTCTTTGCGGATGATTTGGAGGCGTGAGTGATAGTTCGGTTCAGACGGTGCCCTGGACCAGGGCAAAAGCGCTCATGATAATTGGCGCTCGGTCCCAGCTAGCGTGTTGGTGCGTGTGTTAATATGTCGTAGTGCCGGTGTGGTACCAGCGTTTGGGGTGCCGAGAGGAAGATGATGGATGGATTAGTACGTGGTACGTGGTTGGCATTTGTTATGCCGGGAGACGAAGAAGAAGCAGAACTTTTTTCGAGAGCCGATGCTCAGGGTTTTGTGAGGTGAAGGGTCGTCGATGACCACCCAACCCTTCACAGGCGAAGGAGTTTTCTCGAATAGATCGATGGATCGATTACACGGTATTGGCGCAAAGGTGGGAAAAATACTAGTCGTAGGTTACCGCCCGGGCCGGAGAAGACTGATCAAATCCTGATCACCGCGTCAGTCCATGATATAAAGAGTGGCCCGAGTGGGTGCTTTCAATATTGCTTGTGCCAGTCACGCACCGCATTCAATTGTGCAGTACAGAGTAGAGTCAGTGGCAGTGGCAGAGGCCGGCATTTCTGGGGAGTTGAAAGTGAGGAATCTACCGTATACATGGTAGTACGTACCTACGTACCTCTCTCTACGTCGCTCACAGGTCCTGACTTTTCTCCGGGTTGTAGAAGACAGTACACAGGACCACTCTTATACAGAGTACTACTACCTCTGTATATCTGATACTCTTCAGGTGGTCCCCATGGATCGACGCGAAGCTGACAATGAAGCGCATCATGCTTTCATCTCCTCTCTGACCACCACTCTGAATTACTCCTCAGTACCTAGGTAGGGATCTGGCCGCTCGCACTGTGCACTGTAGATAATGATCAATAATTACCCTCATAGCCTCCTCATGCTCAAGCACGCTTGCGCTTCCGCGGCCATCCACAGGCTCCGGACCCCCTGAGGTCTGCAAAGTATATTCCGCACATTATTATTGTGCAGTGCCTGGAGCTGAGCCTGAAAAAGAACTGTTCCAGGCCTCCGACGCAACAACACGATCAGGAGGCGCCTAGTAGATGGCTAGGAAGGTGGTAGATACCACCCTGTAGTGTTCGTCCCCACTACGCAAAGCCGACTCTCCCGCGACCCAAAACCCCCGCCACGGCGAACATATGAGGTTCGACTGCACAGACTGGATCTTCGCATCTGAGTAATACGCTGTACGCATTAAACAATTCTACTTATCATTTGCCAGTTACTAACCTACCTAAGGTACTAGGCAGAAGCGGGAGGTTCTCCAACCTCAAAAAACTCGTTCAGTGTTATCTTTCCATCTCCGCGCCATCCTGACCTGGAGACACCAGATGATGTATAGGACCCAACTAGTACTCAGTAGATCTGCCTTGTATGATTCATGTACTGTAGAGTGGTCGTATTCCTCAAGGCTGCGTCTCCTCCATCTCACTCCCTCGTGGCTTGCTGACCTCACTTCAACCGGGACAGGTCTCATCGTCGCCAAGGCCCGATTTTCGCGTGAATAGCTGAGTTAGGTAGGTGAGTAGTAGTAGTACGACGTGGCGATGAATATCTTGTGGATGTGGATAGTACAGTCATGGAACAAAAGCCAGTCGGATCTCTTCGGTATTCGATATCATGGGGGCAGCAACGACGAAGTGCCGCTCGTTTGGTTGCCCATACTCCAAACGTCTATCATCCCTAGTAATAATAATACCTAGGTATACAGCGCTGCAGCGAAAGAGCAGTCATCCCATCTACCTGGCCATCTGGCCATCTTGCTGGAAGGAGCTGGGCCCGATCCGTACGCTCCTCTACCTGTGGTGCTGCGTGCAGTGGTGTAATTATACCGCTCCCGGTAATTCTTCCACTCGTCTAGATTCGTAACTTGGAGACAGGCCCCGTATTTGCATCACTGTGAGAACGTTTACGTAGACTATGGAGGCTGAGCGAGGTAGCCATCACATGCCACACTTGTCTTCCCCCGCGCCCCAAAGATGACATTTTGCGTCAAAGGAAATACTGTGCCTGGATGATCCCACCGCCACCACATTGTTGCTGGGATCAAGCATTCTCGGCAAGGTCTTTATGATATAAGTATGCGGGACTTGAGGGGCTCAATGCTCGGGACAAGGATATACAGGATCAGCGGCTGCTCCGGCTCGCTTACTGAGAAGGCGGCGGTCAGAGTCCCTGCGATGTCAGCTCAGGCAGTTGAGGCAGTTGGAGCTGTGATGCCCCAAGCCGCAGAAACAAACAGTCGTGAGATGCAATGCTTCGATCCCTCTCCATAGTACAGGATACCTGTCATACCTCAATCGTCCCGAGGGACCATGGTCCTCTTGCCGAAACATCCAGACGTTCAAGTTTGCATAATCGTCGCATAATGATGGCTGGTGTGCTCATTCCGGTTCACTCGGGTTGGCTACCTCTTTGAAGGGTTAGGCTCAGGTTTGGTACCTACTTACCTTAGTATGGCAGATGTGTACCTGGTCGTAGCCAGATACCTAGTACTATAGGTGGGCTGTGGTGGATGGTATGTAGTAGGTACCGATACACTTTGTAAGCGGTACCTTAGTAAGCGGTATGTAAGCACATGAGTGCCCACAGTTGCCCAACCCTCATTATTATCACCATAATAATGCAGTTGTCACTGCGAGCTGAGAAAGGCACAGTGCGAACGTTGGCCATCAGCCTCCTGGCTTGAGGCTTTCAGGCCCACCGCGACGGTCGCGGTCACGACTGGCACTGCATCGAATTGAACCCTCAGTTTCTTATACTGTACTGCAACTATGTGGCCGACTCCTCAAACAAAGGTCGAGCGGCCACCAGCAGAGGTCGTCTAATATATATGTTCAGCCCGACGTCAAGAACGTCGGAAACGAACTAGTCTGCGCGCGATACCGACCTTGAAAGAGTGAATGCAGCCGCTGGGTAAGCCCTGGATACTTTCCACGTGAAAGGCTCTGTGGACATGGACATGCACCGATGAGGGTTCGAGGGTCGACTTTTCTCCTCCCAATCTCGCCCGCAAGAGGTGTCATTGTCTCCCAGGAAAACCCCAATGTCGCTGTACTGCGCCACTACGTGCCCACAGAAGCCGACTTACTGTTCCAGAAGATCTAGAGGTGGATGCTTCCGATGCTTTTGGACCGACAGTCTACCTGGATGTTGACACACCGTCTCACATCTGAACCACCTGCAACGCTTCAACCTTTGAAGTTTCATCCATTGACTGTCAGCCTTGCAGCCGCTTCAACGTGTGCTGCACTGCATGCTGAAGCAAGAGGCTCACTACTATCTAGTACAAGAAATTCTCCGAGAATCAGCACGCAGGACCTCTTCGTGGTTGCCATTTGCTATCATGCTGCAGTTCGGCCACGACTACGCCGCCATCAATGCATCTAATTATAGGTTCATGACTAACTAGATTCCACGCGGTCAAGATGACCGTGTCACCTCACAGGTTGCAAAATTACCGTTCAAGACCAGCACCTAAATGCGTATTGGCAATCTCCGTTCTGATCGACCATTGTCGGAGCAGAATGACCTCCTGCCTGCTTCAACCGACCCGTACACGTGGGACGAGTAGGCTCGTTTCTCGACCACGAAGTTGAGGGCGTCTCTATTGGACTGGGTCAGAGCACATGTTGCAGTTCTGCCCGGCGTACTCTTCTGGGCTCCGGGTGGTCAGCTCTAACTCTATCCAAGGAATTTCCCATTATCCAGCTTCTACTCTTCTCCAGCCTTGGAGACACCAATTTCGAGTTCTGAGATGCTGGTGGAGACCTGCCCATCTCGTCCATGTGGAAGAGAGAGCACGACTCTCTCACAGAGGTTACTGAGTCCCGCATGCCGGTTTGTGATCTACTCGTGTTGTACCAAAAGAACATCTTAAGAGTCAGTTAAGGTTTCATCCCACCAAGTTCTTTGAGGACCTCATCACTAAACATGAGTCACAATCATCATCTTCACCGTAGCTTATCTGATCAGGGCGCACATTTGAACAACAACCTAACAAGAAAGAGCACAGGTCTTCATCGCAACTCAACCCCTTTTCTCTTCAAGCTGCTGTGAACCTGCATAAACCCCCGAGTCTACCGTTTTCCTCTCGACTTCCACATCAGGTCGTCCCCACGACACAACATCATTAACACCGAAAACCGGAATCAGATTTAAAATCAGAAGCAATGGATCTCCTCGCAGAACTCGAAAGCATGGCCATGAACGCCGCAGAGGAAGATAACATCTCCAACGTAGACAGGGAGAGATCGCAGAAACTATTCGGCTTCACCCATTCAGAAGCCCTCTCGGCGTTGGAGCGATATCGTCGGGACGTTTCACGCATCAGAGTCGCGAATGAGCTCTGGGTGGCAGTGAAGTCGGAGAAGCAGGCCGAAGGACATGACCGGGAGTCATACGAATACTCTCTCATGCGGCCTCAGAAACGCGACTCGTGCCGGGAATACGACGAAAGGGGGAGATTCATCCTTCAATTGGCCGGTCCCCTCACTACACCTGAAATAATACAGAACGCCGCTGCTCTGAACAAGATTCCCACCCTTTCAGAGGGAGTGGGAGAAGATGGACCAGCAAGATTCTGTGAGATCGACGGTGCTGCAAAGAGACGATTGCTGTCATGGGTAGCAAAGCACCATTGCGGGTTTCAGCCCACCATCATCCGTCTCTCGAAAGCCAAGAAGGAACTGTGTACCCATACGCCAGCGCCAATGCTCGGACGAAATTGCGCGCTGCCCCAGTACCGAGCGGATCATGCCGATTTCGAACCAGTCCCGTCCCCAGACCAATACCCAGTGTGGTACTTTTTCTATGGCACGCTCGCCGACCCGGACGTGATTTCTCAACACCTTGGGCTGGGAAAGACACCCAACTATGTCCCAGCCCATGTTACCGGTGGTCGGATTCGGACTTGGGCAGGGAAATACAAGGCGCTAGTCGAGGCTCCTGGCGTGTTTGTGTTTGGTAGTGCTTTCCTCGTCGAATCTCGCGCCTACGAAGATGCCTTGAGATTCTATGAAACGGACAAATATGAGGTTGTACGATGCCAGATCACGACACAGAACGGCGTCATGGACGGCCTTACCTTTCGATTTGATGGTACTGAGCGTGACTTAGACTAGAGACTTTTCGCGGCGACAGGCTTCTCCGGCGAGGTTCAGAACGGCACCCTTCCTCCCTTGACATGTGCAGCGTGTATGAAAATTGACGACAAAGTGCAAGGGCCAGGAAGTCGCTGACGGGGCCCGGCTCTGGTCTCCTGGGCAAGAGCCAAGTTTCATGGATGATAAAGAATGCCTTGTATAGAAAATAGTTGTAGAAGAATAGAAAGGGGCAGACTGCGAAGTCGAGCCACCCTCTAATTCGTGTCCAAATAAAGCGGCAAGGGTGACGTCTTAAAGTGGAAGTCATGATCGATTAGGGGCGGTCTTATCCGCTTTTAGATGAATCAGGCTACTATAAGGGCTATTTCCACTTCCAGCCTAGCTGGATCCATACAGGTCCATCGTATAAGATCCGCAATAATAATGGACAGGGTTAGGAGATCCAGACAGGAAGTATCCGAAAATGTGGACAACTCCACCCACCTTTCCTACCTACCGCTTTTTTTGAAATTGTGGTACAATGGAGACTGTCAACAGTATCGGAGCACCGTAACAATTGATGCAAAGTTTATAGCTTCAGGAACATCATGGGCGGGCATTTCACAACTGACTATATCAATCTTTCTATCTATAACATACTCTGTCAGCCTCGTCGCGAGATACCCTGATTTTGTCAGAATAGGGGATTGCGAACGCGATAACCTTGTTTTACCAAGATCTGGTATCGATTACTTTTTTTATTTAGACAGATTAGAGGCCTCTCCAGCCCGGATACAGATAGCATGCCTTCGCAAGGCAACCCATCTCGCGACGTTGAGCACCTGCTGTCGCTTCTAACGCTCGAGGAGAAAGTGTCTCTCCTTGCAGGAGCGGACGAATGGCAGACCCAAGGGATTGAAAGGTTGGGCGTCGGTGTTGTCAAGGTACTATCCTTCATCTTGGTTTAAAAAAGATGGTTTCCAATATTGTACGTTCGCTGGCTGATTCTTTCTTAGACCACAGATGGCCCGGCTGGTGCTAGAGGTAAGCTGATGGTCGATGGGCCACGAGCGGCTTTTCTGCCTGCTCCGGTTTTACAAGCAGCAACATGGAGCAAAGCGGATCTCAAATGGATTGGACAGCTCCTGTGTAAGGAAGCAAAGACCAAAGGAGCTCAAGTTCTCCTCGCGCCGACGATGTGTGGCATCAGAAATCCCCTCGGTGGTAGGAATTTTGAATCCTTCTCCGAAGATCCTTTCCTCAGCGGGTCTCTGGCCATTGAATATGTTGCAGGGCTGCAAGAGACTGGAGAAGTACAGGCCACGGCCAAACACTTGTACGTTGCTGCGGCTTTTGGAGACTATCACGATCCGTGGCAGACGGTGATACTAATCAGTGACCACTATGCAGTGTTGCCAACGAGCAGGAGTTTGAACGTTTCAGCATCGATGCGATCATCGAAGAGAAAGCACTGAGAGAGATCTATTTACGTCCGTTTGAGATGCTGGTCAAATCATCCACGCCTCCGGGATGTATCATGACAGCATACAATTGCGTCAACGGCGTGCACATGGACATGAACACTAGGATCGTCCAGGGGATACTTCGAGACGAGTGGAAATTCGACGGTTTGGTCATGAGCGACTGGGGTGGGACGAACTCGACGATCGAAAGTGTCATCGCTGGCTGTGACCTGGAAATGCCCGGCCCTGGAGTGAGAAGAGGACAAAAGTTGTTGGACGCGCTTAAGTCCAACAAATCTGCTGATCTTCCGGCGGCTGTTGATGAATGTTGTAAAAGAGTGCTGACGTTGGCCAAACGCATGAATCTACTGGGCCTTTCAGAAGCTGAGGTGAAAGCTTCGCGCAGACGCCCAGAGATCTCGGCGACTACTGCAGCCGACCTACAGAGCTTGCGAAAAATCGTTTCCTACGGCCATGTCCTGCTGAAGAATTCGTCAGGAACTCTGCCTCTCAGTCCCAACACTCTGCAGCGCAAGAAGGTTGCCTTTGTTGGGCCTAACTCGAAAACGTGCACTGCTGGAGGTGGAGGCTCTGCCAGCATGAATCCGCAATATCAGAGCCATCCACTTGACGCCTTCAAGGCGACTACAGCCAAACTGGGGTTGGACGTTGAAGTGCATTATGCCATGGGCGCCTACTCGAACAAATGGCTGCCACTGACGTCTTCTGATCAATGGTCAGCACAGTCATCTCAACAAGGGCAAAGCATGTTCAAGCTTGAGTTCTTTGCGAATGCTGATTTTGGTGGGCCTGTGGTCGACACGCAATATCGAAACAACTCAAGCATCGACTTGACTGATTCCGGACCAGCATCACTTCGGGAAGTTGCAAAACCATACTCAGTGAGGGCGACCTCTTATCTGAGACCCACCGCCTCGGGCAAGCACAACCTCAGTATCACCAGTGTCGGTGACTCTCGACTCTTTGTGGACGGGAAGCTCCTAATTGACAACTACAACTGGACCGAACGTGGAGAGGCGTTCTACGCATTTTCGAGCGTCGAGGTCAGCGCAGCTATGGAGATGACTGCGGGTCAGACCTACAACATCGTCATCGAGACTGCTTCCAGGATGTCTGGAGAGGTTGACAGGGACAATCCTGTGCACGTCTGGAGCATGCAGCCATCGGTCAGGGTTGGATACCTTGAAGAATTGCCACGGGACATGGTCTCCGAGGCCCTGACGCTTGCGAATCGGTGCGACTATACCATCGTGGCGATTGGCCTCACGGACGAGTGGGAAAGTGAAGGCTACGACCGACAGACCATGTCCCTTCCGGGAAATCAAGACCAGCTGGTGCAAACATTGCTCGAACAAGCCAACCGACCCGAAAGCATTATTGTGGTCAATCAATCCGGCTCGCCGGTTGAGATGCCCTGGGCCGAGCAGGCTCCCACGATCCTGCAAGCATGGTACGGCGGGCAAGAAGCTGGGAATGCCCTGGCCGATGTGCTGCTTGGGTTGACAAGTCCGTCCGGACACCTTCCGATCAGCTGGCCACGCCGATACGCTGATCTCCACTTCAGTAACCATGCCGAAGTGTGGCCGGGGGTGGGCGGCCGTGTTGTCTACAGTGAGGGCACCAACGTGGGCTATCGTTGGTATCTGAACGAGGGCGTAGACCCACAGTGGTGGTTTGGCCATGGACTGGGGTACACGTCGTTCACCACCTCAGTGGTGGAAGTCATCAACCACCCTCAGGACCAAGGCTGGGACATCGTTGTCGATGTTCATAACACAGGATCATTCGACGGCCAACAGGTTGTGCAAGTCTATTCATGGCCAGAGCAGGATCCGAAAGCAAAGGAACTCCGAGCGTTCGAGAAGACGGGAAGCCTCAGGCCTGGAACCAAACAGAGGGTCACGATTTGTGTCAAGATGAGGGACATGGCTCACTGGATAGAGGGGCAATGGGTTCTGGAGGCTGGCAAGTATCTTCTGGGTCTGGGGGAGCACGCTGGCGCGGTGGACGTGGTGGCTGCAGTGGACTACGTGCCGCAAACGACGGTCTGGGGGGTTTGAACGGGGAACCATGGCTTCAAGGTTCAATTAACCGACGGGAGACTAAAGCGAGAGGATAATTTTACTCGTATGGGAAGTACAAATCGCACCAGCACTGGACAGTAGACAACACTTTCGTCGATACGGCTTCGAGCGGACTTCAATCCTGAGATATGGGTGTACAAAGCCGGTTCGAGATTGCTGAAGGTTCGTGACGAGGCTATGCTAGACCAAGAAAGTCAAACAGGAGTCCGCTCAATTGTTAATATGGTGAAGGGTCCAACATGAGAGTTTCAGGGATGTCTCAAAGATACCGAATCCTCAGTCGCCAACCCCCATCTCGGACAGACATGGGGGGAAGAAGTCCGTCCAGATATCCACTGCCCCTGGGACAGCTAACATCTCCCATTTGGTCTTTTCCGGTGGAGTGGACACTGGGCCGCCATGCTTCTGGATCCTCTGAAGGTTTTCTCATTTATCCGACGTTCATCCACAACATCCGCAACATCCACTCTTCTCCACAAGCCAAAGCAGACTGTTCATTATCGGGTCAACTCGTTGCTCTTATCATCTTCCAACTGGATACTGGAGCGGCGCGGCCAACGCCGTAACCACTTTTAACGTCGAGGGTCCAAAGATATGATAGATCCGAGAGCAATGATTTGAGCAGAGCCGGCTGAGGACCGACTCTGACGGCTATCTAGCATTTTTACCTATCACCTTGGCTTCTTTGTCCGGCTTTTTTGGGCAACAGTCCAAACGGTCCCCATGGCTTTCATTCAGTTTTTCTGAGTCTATATCTTGGAGGATTTGTGCTGTCTGCGTCTCTGTTGTGGTTGTGGAAATTTCTTCTTGAATCTCCACCAAAGCCGAGAAAGCACTCCATTTCCCCTTCAGAATGACTTCTGCAATCCTGGTCCTATTATCGAAATTCCCGTCATGGGTACCCAGGCGGTCGGCTCTGGTCAATATTTTGGTCTTGACGACCTCGTTCAGTACTGCTTCGGTCGGTGGCCTCCGATTGCCCACCCCTTTTCTGAGCATACTGACAAGATGTAGGTGCTTGGCTATGATGCCTCAATGATGAACGCATTAAACATTCTGCCCTCCTACACGGACTACTTCTCCTTGAGCGCCGCCACCATCGGCTTGAACTCTGGCATCGTCTGGATCGGTGCCTGCGTGGGGAGTGTTGGGCTGATGAAATTGCCCGACTACATCGGACGCAAACCGGCCATGTTTTACTCGGCCATTGTGGCCGTCATTGGCTCCGCCCTGCAGGCAGCCTCTCAAGACATCGCCATGTTCCTAGTGGCCAGATTCATCCTTGGTATTGGACTGGGTGGCACGTACGTTTCCGTGCCGCTGCTGATCGCCGAGACCCTCCCTCTCAAGTACCGAGCCCTTGGCCTAGGCGCCTTTACCGATCTCTACTACGTGGGCGGACTCCTCTCGTCGGGCATCACATACGGCACGGCCAAGATGAATTCCACCTGGGCCTGGCGTCTGCCCTCATTGCTACAGATCATCTTCACCTTCGTCTCCATAGCCGTACTGCCCTGGGTCCCCGAATCTCCGCGATACCTCGCCGACCATGGCCGACATGACGAAGCACTCCTCTCTCTGGCCCAGTGCTGTTCCGACGGCGACATCACCGCGCCCGAGGCTCAAGCACAGCTGCTGCAAATCCAACAGGCTCTGGAACTGGAGAGACATGTCGAGGCGCCGTCCATCAAGCAGATCTGTCTTCACCCCGGGCTGCGGAAGCGGATGATCATCGTCTTCACTGTGGCCGCATTCTCCATGCTGGTGGGGTCCAATCTGTTTTCCTACTATCTCGGAACGGCCCTTTCCAACGCCGGGGTCACCGACTCGACGACGCAGTTAGAGATTAATATCATCCTCAACGCCTTCGCCCTTGTCGTCTCCATCGCAGGTACCTTCCTTGCTGACCGACTGGGCCGTATAAACCTCATCCAAATCTCGACCTTCTTCTGTGCAATATTCCTCTTCATCATCGGCGCTTTAACCAAGTATTACGGAAACTCGACCAACAAATCGGCCATCTATGCTAATGTCGGTATGATCTTCCTCGCTCAAGGTTCCTACAGTTTCGGCTGGACCCCTGTGTCCGTCATGTACCCGCCGGAAGTGCTCAACTACCAGATCCGAAGTATCGGAATGAGTTGGTTCACCACCTGGCAGAATATGATCCTACTCGTGCCTATCTTCGCCTTCCCCGTCGCTATAGAGAAGATCGGCTGGATCATTTACATGCTGAACGGCGGCTTTGATATCTTGATTATGTTTGTCATCGGCTTCTACTGGGTGGAAACAAAGAACCTTTCGCTTGAAGAGGTCTCGGGTCTGTTCGAGCCCCAGGTTCGCGAGCACATGATAGGCATCGAGGACGCGATCCGTGAAGCTGATGCCGAAGGTGTGCAGGTTCTGGAGATCAAGGGGTCAAAAGCGACCGTAGCACAGGCGCAGACTACTTCGATAGACCCGAAGTAGATGGTCTTGGTTTTTCTCTGTTTTCGGAGATACCGAAATCCGATTCGACGCCTGATATAGAGATGAATTAAACATATGATTGCCCCTGGGTTGCTTCAACACGACCTAACACATACGTTTGTTGGATCACTCTCAATGTACTTAGTAGGTCACATGACGGCCTATTGATTCCCCCTTGAATCTCGTTGGAATTTGTGCAAATGTATACTCCTGGGTCTGCATCAATCTGGTGGCTAGTCGACGGTGAGTTGAAAGGGCGTGTTTGAGATAACAGCATAGTTGGGCATGTAAGACTGAACGGTTGATAGACGAGGCTGTGAGCCGCTTGGAGATCGATGCAAAATGCCTGCCACCAGGATAAGACTGTCCCACCTGTCTTGAAGCAACTCTGTCAGACAGAAGTAATCATGGTCATGCAAGCTGCAATCGTGGGGTAATCTTCGTCAGACATACGATCTTACCCCTCTGCAGTGATAGCGATCGTCTCAGATAAGGCCATAGCCGCACTAATGCACCGCTGCCCTGTGTCGGATAAGCTTCCGCTTGTAGCAATGGGTCATCGCGTCTTTTGAGCGGGACGCGTCCGTGGCCAGAAATTCGACTCCCAATCATCGGCGACCTGCGCTGGATTTACTGGCTGTAGTCTAGGTAGTCTCATCCCCGAGAAACAATCACTCTCTCTTGGATGAACATGTCTTAGCTCAGCATAATACGATTCTATACACGCTTCACCATGCATGATGGCACAGAAGAAGGCTCGAGGTCTGAGTATGTCGCTTTTCCGTGTAGGAGATGCTAACCAAGTCCAGGATCAGCCGAGCAGCCGCTTCAAGGTGCAGTACTTTGCTTCACTTCAGTCGGTCCAGAAGAGAGGGTGAGTAAAGCTCCCCTGCTATTCAGATGGTTGGTCATGCTTAAGCCCCTGACAGACTCGATATGCCGACCTTGCTATACAAATGGGAGCGCAACACAAGCTCGACCTGACTTCCGATACGACCCACCTCATCGTCGGCAACACTGATACTCTCAAATACCAATATGTGGCCAAGGAGAGAGAGGACATCGCGGTTCTGCGGCCGGAGTGGGTGGAGGAGGTCCGGGAATGTTGGATCAACGATCTGTCACTGGACCTCGATGCTCTCACGCGGGAGTACCGCATGCCTACTTTGGCGGGGTTGAAAATATGCATAACGGGCTTCGAAGATCTTTCCTTTCGTGCACAGTTGCAAAGAAATGTCGTTGAAAACGGTGGAGAATACACCGGAGACCTGACCAAAGACGTGACTCATCTCATTGCTGCGAAGCCTGAGGGGAAGAAGTACGAATACGGAATGCAATGGCAGAAAAAGGTGGTCAGCCTGAAATGGTACAAGGACAGCCTGGACCGGGGCATGCAACTGGACGAGACTTTGTACCATCCCACCATCCCTGTTGCCGAGCAAGGAGTCGGGGCATGGAATCGACGAGTCCAACGTTCACCTCAACTGGGGAAGAGAGCCCGAGAGGACGACTCTGCTCCTGAACCGTCCCGAAAGCTGCGACGGACTGCGAGTGCAAAGCTTGGAGGTCAGAGTCAAGACCTGTGGACCGACATCGTAGCTGGTGCTGGATTCGAAGCCAAACCGGCGGAGCGCCCGCAGCTGAAACCATCTGTTTCGATGCCAGCAATTCGACGAGGCGGCAATATTACGAACGATTCAAACGACCGGAGACCCCAGACGCCCAAAGACGGTTTTATGACAGAACCATCTTACGGCAATGCTGGCTTTCTGTCCGGACGCTATTTTATAGTGAGAGCGTCTGAGGAAAAGAAAGAGGCTCTTTTACAAAAAATCTTGGTCGAGAATGGAGCGACGATGGTGGATCTTGACAACGATCGAGAAGCCAGTCTGGTAACCGACATACTATGCATCGTGCCGCATGATCTGGCCAAGAACAAGTCAACAGCTGCAAAGGTCTTGCAGTTGGGCTATCCAGTCGTGTCTGAATTCTGGCTCGAGCGGTGCATGCTGCAAAAGTCGTTCATACCCCCGCAAGCTTACCCTTTGGGACTGTTGTTCCAAGGCTCATGTACAACCTTCGCAACACTTACGGTCAATGCGACCGGATTCGATGCTTATGAAACACTACACATCTCTAAGATGGTTACCCTGCTTGGGGGAAAGTACTCGGAGGTTTTCACGGCTGCGGTTTCTGTGCTCGTGTGCAAATCTGGTAAGACCAATACGGCAAAGCTCGACCTCGCGCAACATAGCGGTATACCTTCTGTATCAGAAGAGTGGTTGTGGTCGACCATCAAGAATGGCAGAAAAGCACAAGTAGAGAGCTACCTGGTCCGGCCAGGCCTTGACAGAGCTAGTAGCCCCGGTCGAAAACAGCCCGTCACAAAAAAATACATCGAGGTGAGCACGGTGCCCATAAGATCCGAATCTCGAGAGCGCCCCGGTCGTGCAGCGAGCAAAGCAGATTTGGACCGGGCTAGGGCCCGAGATGAAGCGAAGAATGCGGGAGACGGAACGAACCCTGAAGTTGAGGTGCACGAGGAAGAGGCGGACGACGTGCCCCAACAAGAGGATGGAAACCCCTTTGGCTCATACCAAGCTGCTAGTCCGGCAGAAGACAGTGCGACCCAAGCGGGATCATATGTTCAGGAGGATCTGCCACTTCAGGAATTGTCCAACTCTTCAGGAAGAAGCGGGCGTGCGTTGCACAGCAAGAAAACCTCCATCCAATCGTTTGACGGGAACTGCAGCATGCCAGACTCGAACAACAGAAAGAACAGTGAGGACACCGCGAGAGAGAGGCTCGGCGCGGAAGACCCAGCCCCAGCGACAAACATCGGAGCCATCAACGGGGCGATCAGAGAAATTCTCGAGCTCCAGACAAAGATCAAACCGAAACCAGGGATTGGCAGCGGACTTGGTGATGGGGCCGCCAGAAAAGGCAGACTGGTCGGTCGTGCTCTCAGCAACTTGTCCAATTCCTCGGTCACATCCAACTTGAGAATATCACGAGCAAGTTCGGTGGACAGTGTCAACACTGACGGGATAGGCAGTGAAGTGGTCAAAACACGCACGGAGAACTCAACCGGCGAGGGGATAACAGCCTCGGAGCAAGGGAGTTTCAGCTTTACTGGTCGTGCAAAGCGCACATTAGCTGGCTTTCAAGCTCATTCAGTGGGAATGGATGATCTGGATCTATCTCGCTGTAACCACCAGGGAGAGGAGGCACCGCCGATGACTCAGTTAGGCTATGAAGATCCGGAGGAAGCCATATTATTGCGACAGCAACTGGCCGAGTCCAGGCGGAAGCGGTCAGGAGCGGCAGATGGCAAGGACCGCGAGCCTAACCCGGTGGCAGCACGCCCAAGAACAGAACGCAAACTCCGTGATGACGCCCTAGTCACAAGTGCTGGATGGGGTGCCGGGAGACGGACCAGGCATAAACAGAGGAGCCCTCAGAGGTTGAAGGGGTTTTGAATACGGAGACAGAGACAACATAGGCTCACGCCGATTGGATTCTCTTGCGGCTGTAGAGTTCAGCCGTTGGTATAGAGAATTGTTGAACATGGTTCTGTGGACTCAGATGCTTCATGCTACCACAGCTACTGCCTGTAGAGTATGTCGTCGCTATCGCTTTTGCCTAAGCATGTAACTAAGGTGCCGTAGCTTCGGTCTAGAACAGAGTTATCAAGGAAGATGGCATTTCGCCCGGTCTGGAATGTGTCATCGAAGCACCCTGATCGTTGGATAGCGGAAGGAGAGATGAAGTGCGGATGTTGTGCAGGAGACGTGGATCTGGTCAGCTGTCACTGAGCAGTTTATTTCCAACCTGTAATTCGCACAGGAGAGATACATGTTAACACTGCACCTGCTCAGAAATGATAGATTTCCTATCTATATATCTATATAACTCTGGGCACAGATAGTTGTATGAAGTATACTAGTATAGTACTTTATACCTTAGGTAGATAGGCCTGGTAAGCAGAGGAGATAGTAAGAGGATCGACAGCTAAAGCCCGGGGCCAAGTCACAGGTTGCTCTCCCGCGGCCTGGGGGCTTAGGAGGCCTAGGGAGCCTAGGGGGCACCTGAGATCGACAATTTTGGGGCGGGTCACTATTCGTTAAGGTACAGAGTAGTAAAGCATGCCTAAGAATCAGTTCTGACAGGCTAAGCAACAAGTCGGCTTAGGCATTCTAGGCGCCAACACAGACCAGGGGTTTACCTGAAGCTAACCTCCTTGGCCCTTGCTATGATCTCCGAGTCCATCACTATCACGCCGAAGAGATTGGCGCAGCCTGATGACGGACTCAGCAGGCAGTAGTGATGATGCCTTCGTCTCAGCCTGCGATAGTTACCTGACATTCATACCTACAAGTAGTGAGTAGGTATCTCCTGGTAGGAGGGATCGAGTAGACAAGCGCAGCTGCGTTACTTTCACCGCCTCCTTCAAATCTATCAGACATACTTTTCATATATGCATCCCATCCGCCATCCAACTTTCGTATCCTCTGCAAGCCTAAAAAACACCCACCGGCCTTGCCTTCAAGTTGGTGGTCTCGAATCACACTCCACCGCCCGTGCGTTGCCTACCTAGTAGACCGGGGTACAAGGCTCGGTTTGAAGCCATTCCTTGTCGGTCATTTTCTGCGACACTCTCAGGCGAACTCCCACTCTTCCCAAACTTGCCATCCAAGACGGCGGACACCCCTTCGACACGTCAATCACTGTCGCACTACGGGGGGTATTGCGTTCTGATCAGCCTGCGACCCATTCTTGATGGTTTAATCCGTGCCAGCATCGACATGGCCTAGCAAGCCCTGAGACTGCCTTTTGACCCTATGCCATCGTCCGGCTCATCCATTGGCAATCTTACCCGTCTTACAGCCTGAGCGGGCGTTGACCTGACGCCAGTCGTCCCAGTGGTCCTCGCAGGGACCCAGAAAACACACTTTAACATCATGGCTGACCTCGCTCGCGAAGAGGCCGACCGTTACTTCTCTTCCCGGGACCGTACGACTTCCCACCCAGAAGACCAGAACGACCGATCGTCAGACTCCTCCGAACACGAACCCAAGGCGGCCTTTGACGAATATCACTCAGATCCAGGCACGGACGACGACGAAGATAGCCGCGACAACATGGCTACCATGACCACCACCAGGAGTACCTATCACATTCCCACACAGACACACTACGCCAACACGGGGCCCAAAGGTGTGATTGCCGATGCTCAATCGTTCGCTCGTGCCAAACAGACTACCTTTCGTCAACGCCTCGTCAGTTTCGCGGGCAATCTCACTTCTAGCAAATCCGTCCCGACTCTGACGGAAAAGGCGGAGAAGAGAAAGACCATCTCGGGGTCGCCCAAGTCTACCTCCTCTGACTCGGACCATCTCCACCTCTCCGACGACGAAGCAGACTCGGACTTCATGCAAACCTGGCGAGCAAGCCGTCTACAAGAGCTGGCGTCGCAATCGCACACCGGGATGCCCCCACAGAGGAGGCAATCGCCCAGCCGACGCACCTGGGGCACGTTCGCCCAAGTCGACGCCAACGGCTACCTCGACGCTGTAGAAAAGGTGCCCGATGACACGGTCGTAGTGGTGATGATTTACGACCCTTCATCGTCTGCTAGCGCGGAGGTCGAGGACGAGCTGTCCATGTTGGCGTACAAGCACAACAAGACCCGTTTTGTGCGGTTACACCACGACATCGCAGAGATGCAGTCGATCGAGGTTCCCGCCTTGTTGGCTTACAAGGCTGGAGACGTTTTTGCTACAATACCAGGCGTCAAGGCCGAAGGCTTGGAAGGTGTGTTATTGAGGTAAGTCTTCTCTACCCTTTCTCGACGGCATTGCTTAGGGGACTTGACCTGACCAGTCTGTTCAGGAACGGCGTCCTCCGATGAGAGCATGAATTGGTCTTTCTCTCTGTTGGATTTCCTCGCGCACACTCCCCCGATCTGAAATTGCCGGTTCCTCCTTCTTGTACCATCTATCCAAACGTCACTGTTCCTGATGATCTACGATTCCCCCGGTCTCAATCGACCACGACCACCATATGTTTCTCCTTGTCTCCTTAGTTCACTTCCCAGCAAATGACGCCGCTGCTTCCATATTGGAAGCTAACCTCCACGCCGGCTCGATCGCCCACCATCCCACTATCCGAATAGCGGATGAACCTCCAGCAACTGCCGATTCTTGGAGCAGGCGCCTTGACGAGGAGGCAAAGCTTCTTCCAGGACTTATTTCATTTCCGTCCTTGCGGTTTCGAGTCTGGGTTCACAGACGCCAGTCAAACTGGCGAGGTGGAAAACCCTAAGACTTTTCTGTCATTACTGAGGACGGAGAGAACCCATGGCCCAGCACCCAGCGCGTATTGATGGAGACGGAAAGAGCAGTATCCTTGAGTTTGAGCGAGACTATGGGCACAAGACCGGCCGTTTCTTTGCGGATATGTTGCTGTTAATGTATAGAACTGAATCTAAACGGTAGTTCACATTGATAGCTTGTCTTCCCGTGCTCCTGTCGTAGGATTGTGGTTTGTTTTGGTCTGTAACAAGAACAACCCATGCTTCTTTCTTCTCTTGTCATGTGTCCTTGTCTCTTTGCCATTGCACTCATCGTTTCCTTGCCCACCAAGGACGCCATACGGACTCTCCTCGTGGTAAACAGACCTTGTCGCTTCCCGTTGTTACTTTTCTACTTCTACACTTAGTTTTGCCTCTTTTTTTCTCACTTTGGCAAACGTCGTGAGTGGCTCGGGTCTACTATCTTCTCTATCCTTCAACAGCACCACACTACAACATAGGTAGACAAAGAGAGCGACGGCGGCGGCGACGACAACAACAACAACAACAACACCGACCGTTCTCCGGAACCGGAACCGGCCATTTTCAAAGGAAGCCTTTCAGCTACTAGTAGTCAAGGTAGGAAGGTAGGGGTATCGCCTATTGTCAAGCCTCATTGACCACTTGCCTAGTTGGCTGGCTTCACTGTCTTTGTCTTGCTAGGATTGCCATAGATGCTGGTCACAGAAGCCATCGCACCCCCGAAATACTACCACTGTACTGTGAACAACCACCCTCTTGTCCACGCCCTTGCAGGGGTTGGGACAGATCGTTTCTCACGGCCATAGCTTTGTTGCGCTGCGCTCGCCTCCCACCCACATCCAATCTGCCTACCCTGGGTATCCTACGTGAAAAACCACGCAATCTGAATGATGCTCGGCAAGAAGTGAATGTAACACACTGCATTGCCCTCCTGCCCGAAAAAACAAACCCCCCATAAACGCCATAGTGAGTGACCCTGGCGGTCGCTGTATGAGAACCCCTCCCGTCGATCATGTGGTGGTTGCAAGATTGCAAGTTCGCATACTCGGTGGAGCATTATGGCCTAGTCGAATGTGGTGATGTGGTGCAGCTCAGGTGGATATCTCCAGTGGTGGTAGCAATTGCAGAGCAAATGAGAGGATTAAGCACGGCGGAATTTGTGAAGAGCTGGTGATACATGGATGCAAAGTCCGCATCGACGAGACGCCTTGCGGCGTGACAAGCAGAATGCCACCGGATTGAGCAGGAGAGCAGTTGGATAGATGGTATCTCAATCCGATAGAGGGAAGGCTCCATGTCTTTGGCAATCACTCAGCAAACGCCTGCTATCAGCTTTTGTCTATGCTGATCCAGAAATGGCGTTCTTCTCGGTGGTGAAGTCCCAGAGCATCTTGATAAGATTCTCCGGCAGGGTGTACAGATCAACGTGGAACTCGCCCTCTGTGACACTTCGGTTAGCTGTCTCGTCCATCTCTGTCCGAAGACAGTGTTTCACTTACGCTCGACATCATTCCTCATCCATGAATCCTCGCTCTTATTGTCGTGGACCATCTGCACCACCTGAAGGAGGTCGTCTTCACCGAGTTTCTGAAGACCTTCAGCCAACTTGTCCATATCAATGCCCTTCTCAGCCGCCTTCTTCTTCTTCTGTACACCGCCAGCGCCGATCTCACTGGTCCGCTTCTTGCCGGAAACGTCTGCTCCGTTCGTTGCTGCCTCGCCAGGAATAGGTCCGGAGTTTCGAAGCGCGTCGAGGAGAGCACCCTTGGGGTTCTTGAACGTGATGATTTGCTTGGTCTCATAACGCGAGTTGGAGAAGTTCAGGTCGTGAGTAACGTGGTGGGACTTGCCGCTGAGATCCTTCAACTCGATCGCCAGTTCAAACTCTCCCCAGCCATCCTCGGCGACGCGGAACGGCGGCTTCTTGAGGGCTGCCCGAAAAAGTTAGTTGCGTCCTGACTTGCTTTCGAGGAAGAACTTGTCGTCCCAACACATTAAACATACTTTGTTTGGCCCTGTCGCCGAAAGACTCGTGGAGGTGGTATGTAACAGACTCGAAAATGTCCGCATCGATCTCTTGTTTCGTGTCTGCATGAAGTAGAACAATTTTCATCGACCAGTGGCGCAGAGGAAACCCCGCGACGCCGCTGTCCGCACCTGGGCTGTAACAAACTAATCAGAATCTTGCACCCCCAATTCGCAGTCCTCCAAGGAAGTCTTGATGGATGTCGAGCCCGAAGATATATGGAAGGAGGCCGCCAAGTGGCCTTGATCGACTGATAGTCGATCCGTTTGCAATTGGACGTACATAGTCTTCTGTTCCGTAATGATCTTGATCGAGCGTTTGACCTGTGGAGACAGTAAGAACCTGAACGGCAACAATGAAGCGCTCCTGAGACTTACGTCCGGCATGGTGGGTAAAGTTCGAACGACTGTGCCTTAGGCAGGAGAGGTATCGAGGACCAAGTGTGGCTGTTGCGGCTGCACGGACTATATGGAGATGAGGGAGAAGCAAAAACCACGGGAGGAGTCAAAGAAGAAAAGAAAGGTGAAATGCAAGTGTCACGAAAGTCACGGTCAGTGAGCCGTGTGAAAGAGGTAACGGGGGCTTCCTGGAAGAAAAGGGTATACAGTAGTAGTGAGAGAAATGCGCCTGGGAGTCGCGTATAGTGTGGGTATGGCTTTCAGTGCAGGCGTGGTGTTGAGGATGCCGGCTGAATAGCCTACTATCTACTACATAGTACTAGTATACTTCCCTAACGTCTGCTAGTAGGATGCGGGGTCTAATAAGGTAACTCAGCCGAAGGGAAGCCCGGCACCAAACCTCTTAGTATCAAGTCTAGCCTTATCAGGCTAGCCGTAGATCCAGACTAAACCAGCGAGCGCCAGGAACAATCATATAGGTACTCAGGGAAACAACTTGGGACGTCCTCTTGGTCCATTCTCTGCCATTCAGTGCCGAGAACGGCGCCTAATGCATCTCTATCTATGCTAGGGGGAATAAGGCTGGGTATGGGCTGGGTATGGGCAGAGCGTAGAGAGGACCAAATCAAGGAGGTAAGGCATGGATGCCGTGAGAGGGGCATTCAACGCTGAACGTTTCAGCCATGCTCGCTCAACAAGCAAGCTATGGTTTCTCGAAAAGGGCCTCATTCTCCTGCTGTGCCTTGATGAAAGCCTCCTTGAAGAGATTGGCATCTATGATTGGTCAGTACAGTAACAACTGCTGCATATGAGGGCACATACTCTCGCTGTTTCCAAACCGAATGGCCAATGTCTGAGCTTCAGGCTCGCCTTCGCTGACATCGGCGGCAACATTCCACACCCAGCTGCGATCGCTGCCCACGTTGGGAGAGAGCTTCATATCAGGAGTGACTGGAAAGAGATTAGCAAGCGTAATGTGTGTGGAGTTTCTTGTTCAAGACTTACCGTAATGGTTTGCGCAGACCTTGAGAGTCTTGTCGCGTCGCATGACCAGTCTTGTCTTGCCATTCTCCTTGTGCTTGAGTAGTCGGACGTCGCCAGTGCCTCGCTCCTTCCACTCTCTTGATTCCCGATCAAACTTAAACAGCTTTGCTCGCATCTTGAATACTTGTTCCTCCGCCTCCTCATTGGTCTTCGTTTCGACCTTCTCCGTCAAGCGGACAACGGGTTCGAATTCAACGTCGACCTCTTCCTCCTCAGCTTTCTCCTGTTGCAACATCTCGGTCAGCTCAAACTTGGTTCCCCGAACGCTGGGCGGATGCGAATGGTTCTTACATCATCATCATCTTTCTTTGCTTTCGAAGCGCCGCTAGGCTCATCCTTCGCATCATCTTCCTCTTCAGCCTTCTTTTCTTTCTTGGCGCCGCCCCCAAACATGGAGAAGACAGAATCTTTGACACCTGATGCAGCAGCGGTGGCGGATTGGGCTGCGCTGCTGGCAGCATTAGCAGCGGCTTCGGTATAGGTGGTAGATTTGGCATCGGTTGCAGGAGCCTCGGTTGAGGCATCCCCCAATGGGTTCTTGACTAGATTGGTCTCATGTTCGGCGAGTCTGGGTTCGGACGAGGCAGTCTGGGTCGCGGAAGGAGTTGGTTTGGCTTCGGTTGCATCCGACATGGTTGCGGGATGGTTGAACCGGCGGATAAGAGGATCAGACTGTGAGGTTGGCAGAAACTCGAAAGGAGCGGGTAACTGTATGCGAGGTAGTAACTGAGTTTGTTGGAGGGAATAAGAGTGATTGTTGAAAAGAGTCGTGTCGTTTGTTGGCAGACCCCACACTAAATGTTTGTTGTAGAAGACTGAAGTAATAATGGGCACACGGCAGGTGTAGAAACACACAGACGCTCTTCTTCACACCAATAAGTACTAGGGGAGGGAATTAAGGTACTTTATCGTGCTAACGGCCGTCATACTAACTGCTTGTATTTAGTTCCACAGCTGAGTGTGGTGATAACTATCACTACGGAGGATTATCACTGCAGTGCGGTGCATGACGTTGCCAAGCCACGTGACCCCGTCGCCTGCGGTTTGCCCCTTTTTCTGCCAGGCTGCGGTTGACATCATGGTCTCACTCCTCTCTCTACTGCCAGTGTGTTTACAGACGGTCGACCATTCGGGTTACATCTAACAATAAAAGATACGTACGGAATCCTTACCTCAATCGATGCCAGTCACTCTTTGACATGTAGTGCTGGCCTTTGCATTTCAACCTTTTCTCCTACCTGCCAGACTACCTGCGTCCGGACGCGCTTCAGGATGTCGGTTCTAGACCTGCCTCCAGACGTCCTATCCGTCATCCTCTCGTTTCTCCAGCCCGGCGATTATCTTTCGTTCTGTCAAACATCCAAATCAGTCTATTCAGAATGGCGACAGGATCCTTTCTACTGGCGTACGGAGACACATAACACCTTTCGCTTACCTATCAGCCCTCTGCTTGCCGCCGATGGACCACGGTGGTACTGGCTGTACAAACGGCTGAAGACCCAAACCCAACTCTACACATGGGGTCAGGGACTGGCGGGAAACCTGGGCCCAATGCGTGGCCGTTCTGTTCCTCGTCGACCACAGCTGCCAGCTCCAAGAGTACTGCCCCGTGTCCCTGCTCGTCCTGCTTTTCCCAGGATTCCCCAACGGCCTTTATATCCGAGAATCGCGTCGAGTTGGCCTACCGAGACTGATGTGCCCGCCGAGGTCGGTCCGATTGCAGATCTCCAATGCGGAGGCTGGTCAACCACAATTCTCACTTCTGATGGGAGGTTGTATAGTGTTGGCTCCATCAATGCGCACGGTCAGACTGCCGGGCACCTTTCACAGCTTGAGTATCTCACTCAAAGCACATCGGCCGTCCGTCACTTCTCATCTGGGAGGGCCCATGTCCTGGCTCTCACTGACCATGGTGACATGTTGTCCTGGGACAGAATCAACGCCAAGGGAGTGAAAGTCCTCTCCAGAAACGGTGTTTTTGAGGGGAGGCCAGTCAGGGTTGCTGCTGGCTGGGGTGAGAGTTCCGCCTACATACCCGAGACAGGAATTATTTACTGGACGCCCATCCAAAACAATGGAAACGATGACATGCTAGATGCAATGCATGTTAAAGAGAAGGTCATCCCGGGAACTGCTCGACACCAAACCGAAACTGGTCAAATCGAGGTTACAAAGCACATTGTTCTGGAGGACTTCATTGTTTGGATTACCTCCGAATCGAAACTTTATGCGTGCTGTCTCACTACCCATAGTTCCGACCAATTCGGCCCTGACAAGCCTCCTTTTCTGGTACCAGGGTTCAGTGCCCAGGAACTTGAGTTCAAGGATATCCAAGGCCAGTTTCGAAGATTCGGCGTGTTCACTGCGACAGGCGAAGTCCTTGCCGGCGACGTTGACTATTTGAGACGATGCTTGGAGGCCATCGAGGGCCAACCTGGTCTTCTCGATTCGGGCGACTGGTCCACCATGACGAGCTTGTTGGCTTCTCGCCCTCAAGATGTTCCAGCTTTGCAGCATAGCAGTGTTATCGCTCTGGCATTCGGCGATTATCACTACCATGCCCTTCACTCGGACGGAGCAATCACATCTTATGGGGTAGATTCTCAAAGCTGCGGCTCATTGGGCCTCTCGGGGCCGGAAACAGGTGGTAGATTTCGTGGCCTCCGCCGAATCCGACCCGGCCTCCGGAGCGACGCCAGCTTACTACCTGTCGCCAACCTACGTGGGCGTCGGGTCTGGTTTGAGCCTGAGAAGAAGGACTGGTTACAGTGGATGGAAGACCAGCTCCATCAGACACATCTCAACGTTGATGGTCGACCAGCCCATCATATCTGGGATGATGACGAGACCAAGCAAGCGGCGTTCAGCGAATGGGTTGAACAAGAGGGCCGCCATTGGGATGAAGGACCTTTGACGATCTCAGGCACAACAGCTGCTCCCATAGTCAAGCCGGCACAAAGTGCAGACGACTATGCGAATCTCGGCGCCTACTTCCCCATTGCCATCGCTGCTGCGGGCTGGCACAGTGGTGCTCTGGTGCTTGTCGACGAAGACAAAGAACATGAAGTCCGGCAAAAGTGGGTCGTTGAGAGGCAAAAGGGCGAGGAAACAACACACCCCATGCCCGGCGCGTTTGAAAGCTTGAGCATGGAAGAAGTGTACGTATGGAAGAAAGATGGATTCCCGAAAGTCCAATTGCCCAATGGGTACGAAATGCCTGGAGAAGGCGAGCCTAGGCCTTGGAGGGATGGAGTGCCGACGATGCAGGAACTAGGACTTGGAGGATAGCTTTATGGTGCCTTGCATTACTGAGTGCGTGGGCAACAATGTGAGAGATGCCATACACCACACAACCACGCACTACCCTTTGCACACTGGCAAGCCCAGTACTAGGCCTCAAGAAGATCACGAGCTGACGACGATGATGAGACGACGACGACTCTACAATAAGAGGGCAGTTGTGCACGAATATCCCTCGTCACGTTCTTATGATGCCATGCCGTACAATTGATAGAAATGACAGACGATGGCGAACATTTCTACTGAGCGCCTTCGTTGACTCTATATGAACAAGAGTTCCACGCCGCTTGCTCGCTCACAGTACAGTGGGTATGACATAGATATTCCTGGAAGGTGCATCTGAGATGCACGAGACTTCCATGGTCTAATGGAAAACAGGACGCTTGAGGAAAAGTAATCCTTTACGAGAGGGAGACAGGCCGTGGAACGAACCGCTCCAAGGTGGCTAAAGAATGTTGGTTGTCTAGGGCGTTCTGTTTAGTCTGAATCGCTACTGTCCAAGAAGTCATCATCATCGTTATCATCGCTGGATGCCCATCCGCCGCCGCCGCTGCCGCCGCCGGACCGGAGCCTATCCCAGAGGCTTCTGTGGCCTTGCACTTTTTGTCCTTCAGAGGACTGTCCGACGGCAGCGCCTTGCCTTTTAGGATAGTCCGTCACCGTGGTTGCATCACTTGCGGTGGCAGGGCTGGCGACTCCACCAGTATCAGCACGGCCGATATCAAGCGTGTGATCTCCGCTCTCGACATCATCAGGCAACGAAAGGGCTGGTGCGTTCGCATCCCCCGCCTCCTCTTCTCTCTCCTCGTGATCGACGAATACAAAACTGCTGACCACGACAAACGCCCCGACCCAGTAGAGCCAGCCTTCATAGTGGCCCTGCAGAACCATCTCGCCGATCAGACTAAGGGGAATGGTCAGGCTCAAGCCAACAGTGACCAGCAACGGACTGGTCAGAACCATAGCGTACGCCCAGCAGATGTCGCTGAACAGACTGCTGATGCTGTTCGTCAACAAGATCGTCCACACCCATTGCGTGGGTGGCAGTTCAAACCGCTCCAAGCCTGTATAGTGGAGGATCGGGAACATGGGGAACAACAAGATCAAGTTGAACGTTCCGACCAGACCGAAAAACAGTGGCATGTTGAGCGAGCGTGGTAGTGCCTTGATAGTCGATTGTTTCAGAGTGATGGTATACACGCCGTAGATGATCGCCGACAGCAGAGCCAGGGCGTCACCCAACGCAAGCTCCGACGGCGGTTTGTCGGGGAACTGGTCATCTGGGGGAAGGGGGACTCCGTCATCGCCGCCCTTGGTGAGGTCGACGCGGGAGATGAGCATGATGCCGACCAACGAACCCAGGACACCGCAGAACTTCCGCCACGTGAATTTCTCCGTGCCTGTGAAGGCGCCGATGAGCAAGGTCCAGAAACTGGACGTCGAGGTTAGGATGGTGGTTGATGCCACGGTCGTGTGTTGTAGACAGGCCATGGCAAAGTAATTGGCGCCGAACCAAAGAAAGCAGAACGCAAGCGAGAGGCGAGCCGTTGCAGCAATCCCAAGATGTTTGTCCTTCTCGGCCACTTCGGGCTCCCGATCGGTTATGGACTTTGTTGGTCCGATGAAGCTTTCCGTCTCTGCGTCTTCCGAGTCTAACATACCGCTACCGCCATTGTACAGAGGTCTATAGCTTTCCTTGTTGGAGAACGCCGCACGCATGGTTCTGTACAGGCTGCTGTTGCTGTGCTTTTTCCGGTTTCTATATGCCGACCGAAGAAGGGTAGGGATCATGGCCAGCATGAACATGGAGGTGTTGAGGTAGGTTAGGAAGAACGGTTTGGCGTACGTGTTGTCGGCGAAGATGCTCTGCATACAAGTCCTGGTCAGCAGCTGCAGCCGAAGCTGAACACGCCTCGGGACAGAAGTCTCAGTCCCCGGTTGTAGTACATACACTGCCCAGGAAGTTGGACAAAGTCCATAGAAACACGACACACAGGAGTAGAATCAACCCAAAGGTATGCCTGGCCATGCCGACAAGCTTCGCCTGCGGAGGCTGATCTTGAGACTCCAGCAGCCTCTGCCTCGAGGGCGGCCTTGCGACACTCGAGTCGTCCATTTCAATGAACTCGCGAGTGGTAGAAGGCTGGAGCGAAGTGTGCGTGTCGATCATATTCGCAGTGCGCACACGACATCGCTCTCAGGCAGACAGGCAAACGATCTCAGAGCGCCCGGCCACGGGTTGAACCCTGAACGTAGTTGTCGGAAGCCTGCAGAATCAGGGCTGTACAAGCATAATGGCCACTTCCTTGATTCGCGTAGGCTTTCCTTTGACCCGTGTCTCGATTACGCTTCACCACTAGTACTTCAAGCCGTGATGTAGTGGTGGTCTTGAGGGCAATTGGAGATAATATAATAGTATGGGATGATGGGAGGAGATACGTAACTGTGCAGACAAGAAAGAGACCTATGTAATATTTAGGGAAGGTCGGCGCGTGAGCCGAATAACTTGGTGCCGGCCATGTCCGGACGCGGTCCAAGGGTCAGGAGTCCGTCAGGGATGAACTCTCCCCTCCGTTCTCCAGGGATGCGATTCCTCTACAAGATATCACATACTACACGTACTACAGGTTACTGGTACGTAGCACATGATAACAGGCTGCATGTCAATATGCAAATTAAGGAGGCTGTCATTCGCCAAAAATATTCGTCAATTTCTGTCACATCACTATTGATTGCAATGACAGACATCAACCTGGCTGCAATCACTGTTGAAGCGTTTGGCTGAGCAACCTTCTGGCGACGCATGATGGACTCTCGATCAAAGGCCGTATACGGTCCCTCTGTCTGAGTCGTATGTTGTCGCTCTTTTCTCGCCGGATTTACCTGGGTATTGCAAAGACTCTGACCGAGGAACGGTCCGCCCAGTGTCCGAATCGGCTTCTCCATTCGTGGAGCAATGGGGAAGAACCTCCGCATATGCTCTCGTCGACGTCCTCGGCCATGAATAGGGAGATGGCTAACTCTGGGCCATGGTGTGGCCGACTGTCTTCGTTGTCGCATAAGCACTCTTTGGGCCGTGACAACTCGTGACCGAGATGATGCCAATGCCGCTGGCTGAGAAGACAGAGGATCTGAGCTGCGTTGACGTACGGCTCCTCTGTCGCCTTCGATGTCCAGCTCCATCTGAAATGTAGATTGTGACCCTCAACGGCGGACAGAGAGCCACTCGTTAGCTTCGGCGAACAGCTTGGCCTCCTTGACCTCTGTGCCAGGCGCTTGACTTGCGGCGTAAATCTACACATGGTCAGTAGGGATCCCTTACTCCCTCAAGCTCGGCATGACTTACGGTATCCCAGATCTTCCAGGCCTGGTCAAGGCTCTTTGTCAGGTTGCCACCTTTGAGCTGTCCGAACCAGCTATATTTCCCTTCTTGTTGCTTGATACTGGCTTTCAAGGCGTCGGTGATCTCAGGCTCCTCGTTGACTGCGTCCAAGTAAGTCTTGACGGCAATTCCCAAGCCAGAGCCGTTATCACTGGCGAAAGGCATCCTGATGGTGATGACGTTAGCCGAACGTATCTTGCAGAGAGCTTGTTAAGACTTGCCTTTGCGTAAGCGTAGGCCAATCATCCCGATCTCTGTCGACATCTCCGTTCAAGAACATGCTGGTCATGACAGTTTCCAAGAGATCTCGTAAGGAACTGCGAACCGCGGTAATCTTCCATGCAAACGTCAACAGCTGCCGATCAAGAGGACCCACGAATCCCATCGGCTTGTGCCGGATTCTACCCAGGCAAGCGGTTTTGGAGATGAGGTTCGTGTAGACCTTGCGATCATAATCTTTGTCTGGGTGCAAGTCAGTATGACCTTCAATACCAAGCATGATCAACCAACCAGTTCGTGCGACCGGCGTCCCCGTTGCGAAATTGCCGGTGAACAGTCCCAGTCTTAGCATTTCCACGCCCACGATCGTAATCTCGTCATCGAAGACTGCCAGCGCTGATTCTAAAGCCTTGCCCCATGTGGTGAGGGAATGTTTGTCGTCGATATACCCACGGACGTGTAGGAATCGGAAGATAGTATTCAGGTAGATTTCATCGGGCGTTCTGAGGACTGGATACTCTAATTTGCCCTTTGTGATCGTCTTTGCTGAAAAGGCGGCGTCTTGGAGGGATCGCAAGAAAGGCAGCAGAGGGCCAATGTTCTGGTCGAGTCAGCAAAAAGGAGCCATTTGAAGGTAGAATGCCTCACCCCTGGAGCTCCACTGACGGATTCGACGTCAGATCCACGAACCCTCCATTGCGTCAACTTCCCTTTCCAGGAGGGAGTGTTTCTGATTTCGATTGTCAAACTGCTCGTATCTTGCGGAATCCATGGATCCACCTTGATTATTCTGGATTGATAGTAATAGTGCAAAGACTCGGCAAGAATCTTCAAGGCCTCGGTACGGAAAGGATTGAGTAATTCGATCACCAATTTGCGGTACGGCTCCGAATCCAAGACTCCCCCAGGGAGGGATAGCACGATATCGCCAGATGTCAGCCAGTTTGGAATCCGAGGTGCCACCAAGCCCCTAGAAATGTAGAAGAACAACTCTTCTGGAAGTCTCTGGCCGACGAATTCGTGGACATCGCCCGGTGCTTCATCAAAGTTCAACGGTGCAACGACGCCATTCTTCTCCATGATTACATGGTGCTTGATGGTCATGATGGCCTTTTTGTACCGGTCGGCATACTTAAGGGCTTGAACCTGCGGATGGTCTCTGTGGTAATTGCATAGCTGAATGACAGATCTACCAGCACCATTGAGCAACGAGATCGCATCGACTACTCCTGTCGACTTGGATGTCGCCATTCCTTCCAGAACCGGAAATGTCGGTGTAAAGGATGTACCAAGCAAGAGTTGAGCATCTCGGAGCGTGTCACTGCTGACTTTGAGGATATCTTCGCATACTGCTCTGCTGACCAAGTTCAAGGATAGTCTCTGAAGATTGAAATCGGTCACCACTCTGTCCACACCAAAGAGGAAGCATTCTGTAGTGCCCATGACGGCGTCGATGAACTGGTCCTCCAGGTTGAGGAGATAGGCCAACTGTCTTCTGTCAGTGTCTGGCCATGATGTTAACTGGGAGCATGTCCATTCACCTGTGCAGTAGCACTGTATGGAGCCACCATGTATTGCACATTGTTTTCCGTCAACAACTTCTGGAGAGACCTGGTCATGACATCGACAGGGTATTTGGCCTTTCCAAAATCCGTGACTGTGCGCTTGCTGTCCCCGCTCAGATAGTGGTGCCATGCTTCGTCTTGCACTCTTTTGCTATCGGCGGACTGCGAGGCAGGAAGGCTTTTGTTCACATAGTCAAGGCCGTTGAAGATAAATACCAGGGTGATGCCATGTTGCCGCAGGACGTTTATGTCTTCTTCTATAGCCTTCTTGTAGCAGAATGGTAAGCCACCAAGGGCATGCTTCAGAGGTTCTTCGTTGTTCCCGTTCAACCGAAGGTCAAGGTAGTAGGAGGCATCGACACCGATGACGGCGTCTTTCAAAGGTTGCAGTGGGAAGGAATCGACATGTTTGCTGGCCCAGGAGTCGAATTTCTGGACTGCAGGAAACTGTGAGACCGCGGAGGACGATGGACTCGGCCGCTTCGTACCTGACATGCTGGACCGTTCGAAGGAGGACCGAAAGAAAAAAGAGAAAAACGCTATGCAATGCTATGCAATGCTATGCAATGCTATGCGAGAATCACAGTCTCAGAAGAAAGCCGATCGAGAAGGACCAGCTGCGCAGACAAGTTGGTTTGTCTTTCAGTAGATCTTCAAGAATGCTGCAACGCGGGAAGATGAGGTGCACGCACCAGTGCAGTGCAGTGCAGTGCAGCTCCAGTACGTAGTGGATGTTCAAGTTGTCAACTTATTACGGGGGCGCGACGGGTAAGTGACTGGCGCCAAGGGCGCTGGAGATGCAGGGATGATGAGCCATGCGGGCACCATACTTATAACGAAGGTACTGGTATGCACCTATTTATGCTGCTCGGGAAGGTTTCAGCGCCCTAACGTCCGCTAAATAGGTATCTATCATGGTGGTAGCCTGTCAGCAGCGGCAGTAAGTTGCACAGTTGCAGTGCCTGGTGGAGTCTTCAAAAGTTCATTATTATTTGCCTTAGGTACCCAGCGAGACAACAAGCCCAGGCACTACTCCTACGCGCCCCGCGGCAGAACAGCAAGGCTGAATTTCAGCCTTGCTTACATTGATCGACCCATAACAGTGCAATCTTCCCACCCACCATATCTCTCCCTGCCCTGTTGTTCGTTTGAGAGCTTATGCAGACATTCACTGACACCGGTATTCATTCAATCCAGCCTTGCGCTCAAAGGAAAGTGGCAAGAGAAACAGTGATCAGTTAACCTGAACCTAATACGACGCAGCCTCGACTTATGCCTTGCCACCTCCCGTCTTGTTGTTCTTCTCTATTCGAAATTCATACGTTGCTTGCAGCCTGTTATTCAGATGTTCCCTCGCCGTGATTGCACGCTTGGTCGCAGCACCTCCTCCATATCCGATCTGGGTCCCATCTTCCAGGACGTGTGCGGCGACCAGCTTGCTCGGCACCGGCACCAGCTCGACATCGTCACCCGGATGACAGAAATATACTATCGAGTAACGATCCTCGCCACCTCTCCTGGAATCCTTCGGGAAGATGACACGATGAACGGTGCTTTTCAGGAGGCCGTTGGTCCAATAGGACAGGAGGTCGGCAATGTTGACAAGGATTGGTGGGAATGTTGCAGACGGATACCCTTCAGGAATAACAGGGACAGGAGCCCAAGAGCCGCCCACAGTCAAGATCTCCAATCCAGGTTGTGAGGGACGTTGGAATAGAAGAGTAATGCTCCCATAGTCCGAGTGAGCGCCCGCCCGAATGTCCACTTCTGGCTCATAGTCCACGTCTTCAGGAACAGAAGGGTAATGGAGGAAACGAACGGTGCAGCCGCTGGGCTGGGTATGTCGTGACGAGAAGAAGTTGGGTTCTTCAACTTCGAGGCCCAGTCCGAGTAGGTCTTGGATGCGATCGCAGACCTTTTTGCAAGTTCTTTCGAACTGGGCCAGTTCGTCAATGTGAGCCTCTAGAGTGTGTGGCATTGGCTGCGAGGGTTTCCCGTTCATGAACTCCCCGATATTGAACGCCTCTTTGAAGTCACCCTTCCGTTGCGAGTTTGGGTCGAGTATTTCTCCATGCATGCCCGTCCAACCCCGATTCGTTTCGTTGATACGCCACTGCTCCTTCTGTGCCTCTGGCAAGGCGAAGAATTCGCGTGAGAGCTCGAATTCCTGGTCAACCATTCCCTCGGTGAAGCCGGTGCCCTTGGTGTCGATGTAAAGAAAGCCATACCTGGTGGCCGCATCGAACAACTGCTTGCCAACTTCCACGGAGAATTCGGATATATCGATCACAGGTAGCCGAAGACCACTGTTACCCTCTTGTATCGATCCCATTTTGAGCCGCAGCAGACCTTTCTAGGCGTTGTGAAGGAGGAAGGTCAGATGCGCAACGAGCGAAGAGAGAAGCTGCTTGATATGTCGGGATGTAAGATCTGTTATCTCTGTGTCCCTCATCAGACAAGCCGCTATGCATCACGTTCGGCGACCTCCGAGCGTGCCTAGGGATGAATGGTTACACTTTTCTCCAGATCCTTCCAAACTTGAGCGACCTAACGCTTCTCAGAAGCTCCAATCATAAATGCCTATAGTATTGTATAATCTTTGGTCAACTCTGGAGCTGCGCGGCACACATCTCCATGGAACTTTCAGGTTGGGAATTAAACCACGCATAGCCGCGAGAGCTCATGGTTTCGAGACAACTCCGTCATGAATAGCGTGGCAAGCAGAAACAGCTCTGAACTGAATGAAGAACATGATGGTCATAATTTGTGCACTAATCAAGTCATTATTACGCATTCGTGTCGGTAACAGTTCGTAGAGCGTCCAGCAGGTCGAGCAGTCAATGGATGCAGCTCAAGAATGGTCGACAATCCAAAACGGCTCTGCTTCTCATATCCTGCGTAGCCTGGCTCGCCCAAAAGCATCGCTTCCTTCCGTAGCCGGCTGATAGATATGTGCACCAAAAGTACCCTCGTGCTTAAACCATAAACACCACTTTCGCTGTACATCGTTGATACCGAATTGCTGGCAAGTGTAATGTTGCGAACCGGTATTCGGATCAATTGCGCTCACAACCAGAAAGGACCTTTCAACGCCAGCCAATACTTCTTCATGATACTCCTAGGCTATGCAATTTTGACAATGGAATAGGTCATGCATTTGATCGCCTGCTTAAATAGACATTTTCAAGGTGACACCAGTGCCTGTGCATGCTCCATGATTCGCGTTGGCATTCCTATAGAAGAGTATTAGCCTTACCGCAGAGCAGAGTCGAGGAGGGGGACCGATAAATACCTTGCTGCAATACTTAGTCCGCCGACAACGTCTGCATTTCGCGAATTGCCGCGTATACTCCTCCCATTTTCCGCATTGGTAGTTTGCACACTGACGTATGCCTCCCCTGGCGTCATCTTTCCTACAAAGATTGCGCATAACCACGCACGCCCAGTACTGCATGTCCTTTGAGTGATGTCGAACAGTGAACTTTTCCACCAAGGGGAATATGTTATAGTCATCGGGCTGTAAGAACTCTTCATCCTCATCCTCGGTGGGTTCTGGCAGAGGTTCGCCCCTTATCGGCCCATAGATACGTTCGACTTCGCGGTCAATACGCAGCCTAGGAACAAGATGGGTTTTCTGGAAATAATGGCGAAGGTAACAGTACTTCGAGATGTAAGCCAGCAACTGCAGACCCATCAAGACATCCTCATCCCGGGGCATCAATGCCGTCGTCGAGGTTGTGGCGGTGGCGTTTCGCAGAAAAAAGTTGGGATATGCGTTGAGAGGAATTGCAGGGGATGCCGCGGTGGCAGGCACATTCGGGAGAGGAGACACTCCTATGGCCTCATGTGCTGCGGGTCCCAACGGATTCGCCATCCCGGCAACAATTGGGGTTTGCTGAGCAATATCAACATTATCGATTTCTTGGTCTTGTCTGGGTGGAATTGTTAGTGTTAGAGATTGGCGCTCTTCAACATCACTAGGAACATGAGGACTAGGTTCTCGGGTCTGTGCTCTGCTTTGGCCTTCGACTGTACGATCGGGGTCAACAATATCTTCTTCGGTCCCGGTGATGTCGTCCAAAACAACATCGTCCGGGTCGTCACCGGTGGAGTTTTGGTGACGTATGGATGGCCTCCTAAGACGGCGGCCGATGGGAGAGAGCAGCCCTCGAGAAATTGGGGCTGAAGGCGTGGTGGGTGAATCGGGATGCGACGTTACGCCCGTATTGAGAGAAGGTAACATCGACGGCAGTCTGTCCACTTCACGCACCGGTCGTAACGAGAATCCATCGGAAGTATCCATCGGAGGAACAGCAGTAGCCGGAGGTTGCAGGGTGACAGATCTGTGGAGAGAGCCTCTATTTTCATGACTCCGGTTTTGATGCCGCAAGTCACGACGAGGAAAAACAGTTCGTTCCGGCGGCGAGGTGAAAATGGTGGAAGGAGTAGCTCCCTCCACAGGACCAGTATCAGCGGCGCCAAACGCTTGGGAAAAGGATTGGGGCAGGTCGAGCGACGGGGGAGGAGCTTGTCGGCGTGTTGACCGCTGATCTGCGGCAGCGTTCAGGTGCTCGAAGAATGAAGTCCGCGCAGCGGTATCCTGTATCACCTCCCGTGAGTGTTTCGATGTCTTGGAACTCCCACAATGCTTTGAACCATTGCGCTTTTCCTGTTCGGCATCGGCCTTGGCCTTCTCCATTTCGATCACCAAAATGTAGTCCCACAGAATTGTTGCAATCACTGGGACCATGTCCGCTTCCACCACACGGGTACGGACATTTTCAGAACCTCGAACTCCTATATTGACAATGCATTGGAATGCAAGGTTCCATTTCCACATATGCATCTCATCTTTGCTCCTGCCCTCTTTCAGTATGCATACCAAGCGTTCAATGCCGCCGTCAACGGTGAGAATATCTCGAATGCGGGCAGATGAGGTCGTCAGATAGGCGAGATGGTTAAGAGAGTTGATGAGAGGGAGGGTAGAAGTACAGTCCAGAGCTCGACGGTCATAGAGGGTGGTGGTGATATGGACCGAGGCCTTGTTGACATTGGGAATGCTGAAGTTGACCTCTCTCATATTGCCTGCAGGAAGCGGTTCAAGCTTTGATGCCTCACTTGCTTGGGCAATCCAGCCTGGTGGCTCTTCTTGCTGAAACTACCCAGTGATCGACCTGACACTGTACAGAGGCTGCCGATAGCCTCGATGATGTCGGGATCTGATCGTAGATAGATACGTTATCGACAATGACGGACAGATTTGTGTCCCTGCTCTCTTAAAACATATAAACTCTGTATAACTCAGCGGCCATAGAGAAACAATCTCGAGACGCACAGGGAGCAGAATCCGCCGGGACAGGAGTAGCCAAACTGGCCCGGGAAGGGAGAGATACACCTTCTCGCTGGGTGATCTCAAAATCGGCGCAGGACAGATTGAGGATATGTACCGGGTCGCGGGACTCAGTATCTTGGATGACTTAGAAGAACGAGACACGAAGAGTGTTGATAATGAGTGGTGGCGGTTCGACTCGAGTACGCGCGAGAGCTAGGCTGCGGAGATGGCTGGCGGAGTTGAGAGGCGATGAATCGGGGAGACTCGAGAAGCTGTGATAGATGCCAGGATTCGACAGGCCAGCGGCAACAATAAGGACGTCCGTACGAGCAAAATGCAGACACCTCTTGATAGACGAAGGACGGTAGATGGGGAGGTTTGTTGTCAGTAGTGAGTCGATGGAGTGGAGAGAAGACGATGGTATTGTGGGAAAAGAATGAGGAGGTTCATCACTGATGGTGAAAGTTTAGTTCGTTAGCAGCAGGGTCGTGTTTTGGCCGGCTTGCCGTCTCAAGATTGGGTGACCCCGTTACCTATTAGCAGGCCCGTAGTAGTGGTGACTGAATAATGGTGCGAGGTATTTGGTGGCGGCAGCAGCGGTGGCGGGCGCAGGGGCGCATTCAAGGGCTTTGGGAGTGGCCGAGTGTGTAATTCCAAGCCTACTACTACCGGAGCATACTAGTACTTAGGTTAAGTGAACACATCATTTACAGGATAACTGTGCTCATCGCCATCTACCGTTGTTTAGGTAGGTACTACTAGTAGTATATGAATGCAACTTTGTTTCCCTTGGTTCTCAACCCGGTGGACAGGTTAAGTTTAGAGGGACCTATTTGTCTGGCTGTTGTTGTGTGCAGTAGCCAGCGCCCACGACTTGACTGATCCAGCCCCCCTGGAGGGACGTGTGTTCCAAGGCTCATCAGGCTTGACGTCTACCCAGCCAAGCCCCGCAACTTCCGAGCATGCTCGTAGACAGACAGTCGGGTGACGGAGCCTTAGATGCATCTCCTTGGGCTGCCATCGGTCTCTGGAAGCTAGGCTGTTATAGGAGGCCTGCGAGCCTGTCGCGCCTATAAGACCCTCTACTAGTCGTAGTATATAATTATTAATAATGGTGGTACCTTCAAGCACCTTATGTACCTACATACGTACTCTCAAGTCACTGGGGTCGTTGTACCAAAGTCAACATCCTGTAAATGTTGCAAGCTTGCTGTCCACCATATAAGAACAACCCATGCGATAAGATTGCTGTTACAATGAGTATAAGGTCAAACTGGGTATCATTGCACTTGGCCCGAAGGCTTCTACCACAGTGTTCTACTTGTGTCTAACGGCAGGCCAGAGGCAATTAGCTTAGGTAAGCACCTCCGAGTTCGCCTCCTTACCCCTGGTGCCCCTTCCCTCCAGCTCTCGGCACAGTGGGGAGTTCTTGCAGCTTGCCTGTCTCCTAGGCGGACTTCCCAGGTGCAGGGAGGGTGCAGGCTGTGGCACAGAGAAGGTTGATACTTTACCATATAACTCCATTGATTTGTAACACGCTCTTTGAATGAGAGCCACGAGATTCGCTTTCCAGCAGTACAAAGAGATCTTCAATTTACTCTAATGAGAAACACCCTGTATATGGACAGTTCGAGAGATGAGCTGGGTACTGAGAATAGATTTCCCGTCGGATTTAAGCCGAGTATATCCAAAATATCCATGAAATAATACATTTCCGATGCATGCTCTTGAAGCAGCGATGAGTCTGCCGCAGCCCAGACAGTTGAGTCAGGATCGAACTTGAAGTAGACTCGGCATGCCAGACATCCTTCGCCGTTCTACCGGATCAGCCTTCCCTTGCCTCCTAGAGCAAGAGCACCCCACCCGGCGATCAAGCACAACCCTCCCAAGGGTGTCACCGGACCCAAGGCTCTGAACCGCTGAGGATCAAGAACCAGCAGATACAGACTGCCGCTAAACATAGTCATCCCTGCAGTGAATAATATGGCAGCAGCTCTGTTCTTGGGCGCCACGGAAGAAGCCAGCAGGAGGACGCCGCTATGAATTAACTGTGATAAAGGCAAAGCAATTAGACAGTCTGATGCACCAAAGTCATATCACAAAACTGGTCATTGCGGAATCCGTCTGCTTACCTGATATTGAGCAGCAGTTGACCAATTTGCGAGTTTGGAAGGGTCAGCAATCCGCTTCTTTAATCCATGAGCTCCGAAAGCGCCCAATGCCACGGAGGAGGCACCATAGATGCAACCGATAGTCCAGAACATGCTGAGCCGCGTGAACGACAAAGGGATGAAAGAGAAGAACGAAAAGTAGCTTGAGCAGCAACACTTGATATTGAGAAGTTCTCTGTAGCAGAGCGAGCCTTGCAGAACGGCAGTACAGTGAGTAGGTACCTTCCCTGAGGTATACTACCTGTAGTAACAAAGGTAAACCTTGTAAGGTGCTGGAATGTTTGTCGTGTTTGCCTTTGGATCACACGGAAACTTGGCATGTTTGTCAAAATGCACCACTCATTGCTGCCACACTAGCGAACAGTCCATGGGCTCGTAGTGGCATTTTCCGAGTCGGGTCGATTTCCGTAATGGCGAAACTGAGCATGTCCCACAGGAAGAGACAACTTGCAACTTCGATGCACCGAGCTCGAAGTATTCTGAAGTGCAGATACTCGAGTATAAGCTCCAAAGCTAGGTCTCGTGCATATTTCAGAGTTGTCTCGCTATCGAGGATGTTCTTTTGTCCGGGCTCGGTACACGATTGACGCACGTCCTCCTGCTCTTCGGAACAGCCTAGAACGGTCGAAGCCTCTATCCATATTGGCCCGGACATGCCTGTGATTCGCCGAAGCTGCGTGGATAGCGGGATATGACAGCGCTGAAGCTCTCCGGCTGTCACTCAGTGTTAGGCGGTGGGTGCCTTGAGAGGGTACGCCCGTCCTACCAAAGCCGGCTCAAATTTTAGCGGACGATCGGGACAATCAAGGACGGGCTATTTGCGCCCATGGAGTGAAAAAGAAAAAGACGAAGTTCATAAATACCTAGGTAGGCAAGGACACCCGCGTGTTGATCCCAATGGAGAACAAAGCCAGTTTCTAGGCTGAGAGAGCGATTCGACTAGTGAAGGACAACACTACCTAGGTTTCCCGAGGTCACGTCAAACGAGAGGCCGAACAGATGTCCGGGCTGTTCGCGTCGTCGCAGGCTGTCAAAGTGCCCCGGCGGGCTCCTGTGGAAGAGTGGGATGATAGGTGGATAACTACATCCCCAGGTCAGGACTCTGCCGTAAAGGTTTGCTCCACGGGGATCATACCACAATATACGTTCAATCACGACTTAGGATGAATATGAAGGAAATGAATAGCCAGTTGAAAGAGTCACCAGATTTCGGAATGTCCTTGAGGCCCCTTTTCTGCCACTTGCAATTATGTTGGCGTGTCTTGAACTCCAGAGATGGTGGATGCTGATGGGGCGTAACACTCGCTTCTCACTAGTAGCATGGTTAAACGCGACTGACCTTGGTTCTTCTCCTAGCTCTCTCGGTCCCACACAACCGCCCGCTTGGGGATGAACCCTGGGCTTAGGAGACCACCAACTCAAGGATGCTGGCAAGCCTCCTGGGTGGTCGAACCCCGGCAGGAGACTCCCATCAAGTCAACCCTCTGTTCCGCTCCATTTTAACACATCTTCCATCAATTCTGGGAGAATGTTTGACTGGTCAAGTGGCAGGAAGGTTGGCGCGCATCCTCGTCATCTCATCCACCTATTATTTGGCATTTTCTGTGCGCCATCCCAAAGAGTTAAGCTCTGGCGCAGGGATGGCCCGTCGGAGTCGGTAACGGAGTACGTAGTACGGCATTAGCAGCGCAGTGGGTGCCGCTGATTGCGGCGATATGCCTCGTATCTCGCCGATTGCCGTTTGCCATCTGTCGTGACAAGAAGCAGACACAGTCCCCAGATAGTAAACGCTCATTACTGACCGTAGGCAGGGTTCGATGCGTTTAGCAGACCAGCATGACTCCCCTTCAGCATGTAAATAGCTGGATCCCGTAAAGGTTGAGCGAACAGAGACCATGGGGTGGTGCGATGGCTTTGGCAAAATTGACAGTCCAGCTTCGAATCAAACCAAAAGCCTAAAAGACACCGGGGTGATCTGCTTGCTGCTTCCGCGCCCAAACAGCCCCGCCTAGTCTGTGAACCCCAGCACTGGAGCTGCCTAAAGCCTGCCCTAGAATGACTAACTCACTTAAACCAAACATTGACCACACTCTCCACCAGTCCAAGGTCCAACCGGCGAGCAGAAGCATCACTGCACTTTAGGCTCTGGCCCAGGCTTGTTGCACTACTGGCACCAGACCCGACCTGGCCTGTCAGTCGTGCCCTCTATCCGTACTCTCTTGCAGTGTCTACACTTCCTCAGTGCCGTTCTTGATCCAACCTCACCCATCTCCATCATTCCATCTCCCTACGAGGCTCAAGCCAGTGTTCTGGGGGTGATCTACTGTGGTTGCATTCACCCATCCATTTCCCTCGCCCCTCAGTCCTGGTTCCTCAGTCCTCGTTCGTCGCGCTCCGTCCCTGCCATTACAGCGTTGTGGAACCGGGCAATTTGGCCCATCCCTGATAGCTGCTCGGGTTGAGCTCCTGCGCTTTGCGAGCGCCGACGTCGTCGCAACCTCTAAATCAAGGGAACTCCCTCGTACGCAGACCTTGGGACACGCGAATCAGTTGGCACAGCATTTCGTTCTCCGAGTCGGGCCCAGGAGGACCGCAGGCGCCGAGATGTCGAACGATATGACGGGCGAACAGATGCAGGCCAAAATAACGGCGGCCAGACGAGAAGCCGAAGCTCTCAAAGACAAAATCAAGCGAAAGAAGGATGAATTGGCAGATACGAGCTGTAAGTCGACTGTTTTATCATCGTCAAGTGGCATGCATATGCCTGCTTGATGCGGATAGCTAACCTCCAACCCTGCTACAGTACGTCAAGTCGCGCTTCAACACACCGAGCCATTACCTCGGATAGGCATGAAACCTCGGAGGAACCTGAAAGGACATCTCGCAAAAATCTATGCCATGCATTGGTCAACAGACCGGCGCCATTTGGTTTCAGCGTCACAAGACGGGAAGCTCATTATCTGGGATGCTTACACCACGAACAAGGTCCACGCCATTCCCCTACGCTCATCGTGGGTGATGACCTGCGCTTATGCCCCCAGTGGTAACTACGTTGCGTGTGGCGGCCTTGACAACATATGCTCAATCTACAATCTTTCCACGAGAGAGGGCCCAACCCGTGTGGCTCGTGAGCTGTCCGGACACTCTGGATATCTGTCATGCTGTCGCTTCGTCAACGACCGAAAAATAATCACCTCCTCTGGCGATATGACTTGTATGCTATGGGATATTGAGACGGGCTCCAAGGTTACCGAGTTTGCAGACCATCTGGGCGATGTCATGAGCATCAGCATAAATCCCACCAACGCCAATGTGTTTGTCTCGGGCGCATGTGATGCATTCGCAAAGCTGTGGGATGTGCGGACGGGAAAAGCAGTCCAAACGTTTGCCGGCCATGAATCCGACATCAATGCTATTCAATTCTTCCCGGATGGAAACGCATTCGGGACAGGTTCAGACGACGCCTCATGCAGACTCTTTGACATCAGAGCCGATCGAGAGCTGATGGCTTACCAGGTGCGTGCACTGGTGTTGGGGCATATCGTCTGGTATATTGACATATCTCGCAGAATGAACAAGTCCTATGTGGCATCACGTCTGTTGCCTTCTCGGTCTCTGGTAGATTACTTTTTGCGGGCTATGATGACTTCGAATGCAAGGTTTGTACCGCTCGTAACCCACCAGCCCTTCACAGAACTGACGAACATCCAGGTTTGGGATACTTTGCGGGGTGACAAGGTGGGCTCCCTCAGTGGCCACGAAAACCGAGTCAGCTGTCTTGGTGTCAGCAATGATGGTATCAGCTTATGTACTGGGTCATGGGATTCATTAGTAAGTCGAGCCATTAATATCGAGTGTGACTGTGGGCAAACGGAAGCTAACAATCTCCAGCTCAAAATCTGGGCATGGTAAAACATGGGTTTTTGGGGCGAGGATATATTCTGCTTCAGCGGCGGCCACGGGCTGGCCAGAAACCTCCTTCGAAGTCGGCGAGAACACAGCACCATCAGCGTCAGAGCCACTTTTCCCTCACCCCCCGATTTCTTCGTCCCCTCCCGGTCAATCAATGCCTTCTTGAGTCGTTGCTGTCGCAGGCTTGATTGCGCATCAAAGGGAAAAGACGGGGTTCTTCACTCTTATCTGCGTCTCGAAAACAAATTCGACTGAACACTCCGCTGACCGGGTGTCTGGTACGAACAACCTCTTATGCCACCTTCGATTTTGTTCTCTTTCTCAGTCAGGCGTTTGCTTCCTAGGGACCTTCGAGTCTTTGCAGGGCAAGCACCTAATTTATCCTCGACGACTATGATGATCGGGCTTAGTGCGAATGGAGTTCGGTTTTATGTGCCACAACAAGCCTGCGATGTGGCCTGCAGGATTGTCTGTCTCCAGGGGACCCTCGACTTTTACTTTTGAGTACTCCTCGGAGAATCAAAAGACTTGTTCTGCTTGTCTCCTTAACATAGCGTGTCTACAGCAGCGCGAAAATTCTTAGACAAACAAAACAAAACATTCTGTGAATCGGCCCAATTGCTTTCGCCTTCTCTGTTTCCATACCATGTATCCTTCCCTATCACTGCCAGCATTCAGATCCCTGGCTTGTGGTTGATCAGAGTGGATTCTAGCAAGCAATATGCTCCAAGCAAGTCAGATCCACATCCACCGTAGAGAACAGGAAACGGTGTACCCAGAAGCAAATTGGCCATAACGTAGGAAGGACAAGAAAGAGGAAGACATGGAGCTATTCAGCGAGTCTGGCTGCTGCCACTATCGTCCTGGTGGGCTGGTCGTACCATGTATCGTGGATGCTGCGTATCGCAGATGTGTTCGTTCCCTGGGATTGGATGGCGGCTCGTTTTGCCTCGTTGCTCTAATCACTCAATGTCGGCATCTGGAGGTCGGCACTACAGCCTTCTAAATCATACGTGACGCATTGCGTCGAGGGTTTCTGGAGTATCCCGCGCGCTCGACGATCAAGGATTACGATCGGCATCGAACCTGCTTTTCCTCCTTGTCTGATTCTCGCTAGGAACAGCGGCTCGGTTTCTGGGACTACTGTGGATGGCAAAAGTGATATGAAGTCGTCACAGAAAAGCCTCCCGTAAGGGACAGGAATGCGGCCTACTACTGATGATGACAACGTTACGGAAAACAACTTTGACGTCGGCCACGCAGTACGAAGAATGAAAGCCCGATCGCTCAATTCTGCACCTGTGGGGTTGTCTCGTATCTGTTGGGCCTGTACACCTGCCTAGCGTTCGGCCTTGCATCGCCTGCGTCTGAATCCCAAAGCCAGAGGGGAAACGCCGTGTAGAAACATAGGGACACAAAACATGCCAAAGAGGCACCTACAATGCGCTGATCATGCAGCAGCAGCAGCCTGCATCGCTTCTCTTCACAACCGGACCGGAAACAAGGTACCGCCTATTCGAATCTCCAGCCGACGCTTCAAAAACTGGTTGTAATACAGCCTCTTGTTGCGTAAACCTCGCCGGCTCCTTAACAAGCACATCCGTCCCTCTCTTGATCAAGATTGATGTTGATAGGGTCCGAGAAGTCGCCGCCGTATTCCTCACTCTCTTCCTGGGCCAAAGCATTCCTTGCAATCACTTCAAAGGCCTGTTCGACGTTGATGCTCTCCTTGGCGCTGGTCTCGAAGTAAGGCATCTGGCCGCGCTGCTGGCAGTAGGCGAGGGCCCTTTTCTGTGAAATCATCCTCCGCTCTTCACCCAAATCAATCTTGTTGCCCAGCACAACGAAGGGGAAGCTCTCCGGGTCGCGCGGGCTGGCTTGGATGAGGAACTCGTCGCGCCAGGAGTCGAGTGTCTCAAACGATTTGGTCGAGTTGACGTCGTACACCAATACGCAGCAGTCGGCGCCGCGGTAGAAGGCGACCCCGAGGGACTGGAAGCGCTCTTGGCCTGCCGTATCCCACAATTGTAGCGTGACGGTTCTATCATCGACCGTGACTTCTTTGGTAAGGAAATCGGCGCCAATGGTGGCCTTGTAGGAGGTGGAGAATTTCTTGTTCACCTGGGCGAATACAAGCAGGTAGGTTAGTGATCTGTCTCACGCAAAGAAGTAGGAGCAACACTCACATATTGATTCATTAAACTCGTCTTGCCCACGCCGCTGTCACCGAGGATGATAACCTGAGCAAGAGGGTCTGTTAGCATGGTTCTGGCAGCGGCGAACGTGCATTGCATCATCATACCTTCAACAACACCTTCTTCCTCGACGACATGTCTGTCGTTTATGATATCTGGCTGCGCTGAATGCTTCTCAAGGAGGAGATGTGGTGATCTGTTCCGGCCGCCGATCGGCTTCTTCGCTGCTTCGGGATCACTGTGGCTCACGACGGTCGCCAGGCAGTGGAAAGAGGGGTGCGACGGTGCGACGATGAATATAATCAGAAGCAGATGGGGTTTGTTGGGTTGTGCAAATCAAAGGATTGGTAGCTGTAACTGGACGTGGAACGGGAATGCCTGTATCATGCGTTCCTCACAGAGTAGTAAATCGTCATGGGATGCGGTGTTATTGGGGAGCATCAGGCAGTACGCACCTCCAGGTACTAGTAGTAAAGTAGTATGAAGATAGTGGCTAGTACACAGTAGTAGCTGCTGGCAAGTGGACCATAGCCACTTGAAACTTGAGAGTACAACCGCAGTCTGTCGGGCTGGCAACTGATGAGATCACGGGCTGACCGAGCAGGCTCTAAGCCTTTCACTATCGATCTAGTGCAAGACCTAGTGCAATAAGTACACAGTTAGTAGTACCTAGCGCTCTTTGCATGTGGCGCCCACTGCTGTCAGCCAGCCAGCCAGGATCAGATTCGGCAGCTCAGCCGACAACCTTCTACAACGTACTGCGTCGTTTGATGCTTCAACCTCGAATTCATGCTCGATGGGAACAGAAGTACGTACCTATCTTGTGTTGAAGGAGTATCTAGTTCCTCGGCCCTTCTATTCTGTGCAGCTACTTAGCTGAGACCTGAGGAGTTTGAACTCATCGCTGAGGTGAAGTAGACGGTCACAATGCATACTCAATGAGAGCATGGCTACCTGGACCGAGCAATATCTGGCGGCATTGCGCGCCAGAGACCAGGTAGAGAAAGCAAATCTAGACCTTTACAACTACTGTACGTCCTCGTCTCCGATGCATGGAAGATCTCCTGCTGACACTCGTTCCTGCGTTTAGGCACAAAGCTTGCAGACGAAAAGGCTGATTTACAGAAGAAGGCTGCTTTACATGTTTCGGTGGAAGATGCAGAGCCGCCGACATCGCCTCAGCCATCGATCATGGGAATGGGCATGAGGAGGGTTGCATCCCCGGCTATTCGTCCAGACTCGCCAACCCTGGTACAAATCCGGCAGGATTTGGCCAAAGCCCAGCAAGAGCGTGCTGACCTTCAATCCCGTCTTGACGCAACTTCCCGTGAATTGGCTGCATTGAAGGCAAAGGCAAGATCGGATAGCAAGAGCATCGCTCAATTGAACTCCAAACTATCACAGCTGACGCTCAAGCTACAAGACCGTGACGAGGAGCTGAGAGGCAAAGCCAAGTTGATCGAGAACGTCCAAGACGAGAACGTGACTCTGAATCTACAATTGAACCTGGCTGAGGAACACTCCGAAAAGTTGAAGAAGGAGAACAGAGAACTCGTCGACCGATGGATGGCAAGGATGGGGAAGGAGGCTGACCAGATGAATGAGGATAACAAGTTTGGTTGACTCCGCCATCATTGGCACGAGAACCCAGTGGCAGATGCTACCATTCACAATGCTCCTCCTCCGGACGCGCCAGAACTACACGACCTCAGGTTGCAGGGTTGGATGTTTCCTTCTGACATGCTGCTCTCATCGATCCACGCTTCATGACCAGGCCCGCAGAGCGTCCCGCGTCACGGAAGGATTCTGAAACCATTCTTTCAATGCAGACCAGACCCTTGAGCAGTTCCCCTTACACGACAGCATCTCATACTATATCTCGAATTCTGCTAGCAATATCGAAGCGGCGACTTCCCGTAAGATTTAGCCACCGGATCTACTGTTCGTCTATCTGGCTCTCAGACGCACGCCGAAATCGAGACAGCATTGCGAGTGCTTTCATCAGCAAGAATTGGTTGTCGTGACTGTATGGGCATACTACAGACCGTTTGGCAACTTGCAGGGCACATTACAAGCATTATGCTTCGCGCTCAATGAACAACATTCCGATTCCTGATGCACGGCAGCAGGAAATATGGGATAAGATTACCAGTGGTAATTTAAGGGGCACCCTCTATGCAATGCACGCTGCCGAACCAACGCTATGCGGTATCATCATTCATCGCTCTCATGCAATCGCTGACGAAATGGCCCTCCTATGCCCAGCAAGGTCATACCCATCACAGCGGAAAGCGGAAGCTACACGATCTAAGTGAAGCCTTCCATGGTCTTGACAAAATTTTCCAATTCCGTGGAGTCTTTGCGCTGGTGATACCACTTGCCTGGATCGTCTGTCCAACTGACCATTCCACTCCAGCGATCTTTCTCGATCACGGACAGCACATTGACAGGATCATTCACGTTGGAGTCCTTGATCTTGTGCGTCGGGCTGCGAAATGGTTTCAGACTGACAATGTGCGCTCCTTCCTTGACATCCAGAAAGACGTATTTCAGCTTGTCGTTTAGCTCCGCTGTGAAGGCTTGATTGTTCACGAGGATAACGTCCGCTCGCTTCAGAACTTGCCGGACTGCTTCGTTCCTAAGAAAGTCTCCATGAATCAGGTGGATTTCGCCGGGTTTGATCCCCCAAAGGTGGCAACGAGCAGGGAATTCTTTTGCCTGGAGCTGAGCCAATGCGTTCGGATTATCCATAACCTCGCAACCCCACGACTCAGAACCTGTCTCCAGTGCGGCTTGGAGGACGCAATTGCCGACGCCAGATCCCAGATCGATGAAGACCTGGTCCGATTTCAGGTTCGTTTCCTTGAAGATACGGCTCAGGAATTTCGGCAGAAGTTCGCCATAGACATTGTCCGAAAAGCTTTCGTAATGTCTGACAAGATTCACCTGCGGCGACACGGTGCGAGCGTAGACCTGGTTTTTGATTATGTGTTCGACCAGCCTCAGATCGACGCGGTTCATCTGATCCAACCTGTTCGCGATTGTACCGTCCTTGCGCTTTTCTACCACCAGCGCATTATATCTCTCGACTCCATCGATGTACCTGGACTGCGCACCAACCCGTCCCTTCAGTCCTAACATTGCCTGCCGATGTAGCAACTGAACGAGTCCAGAGCCATCGGCTTCGCTAGTAACCTTGCTGGCGGATTCGCTGTCGAGATAGTATTCGGCCACGATTTTCATATTGGCCTCTATTTCGTCGAGAGGCTTGAAGTCCGAGGAATCAGTTGGCTTTACCAGCTGATATTTTTCGCGCTGGACCGCGCTTGGGTATTGAAGCTCGATTGTTGGGCATTCATCTTCGTCCCCCTGCAGTGCCGTAAAGAATGGCTGATATTTATCCCTGCCTTGTTCTATTATCGTGCTGTTCGCGATATCCAGCGCATGCACCATTGGCAATATGATGTCTTCATCCTCGGAGAACGCCTTAGGATCTCGGACCTGACGCTTCTCGTCTATGCTCTGTTTGCGGCCGACTCGTACCCGCTTCCTAGGCTTGTCTTCGTCTTCTGCGCTTTCGTCGTCCGAGCTGGAGAATTTCGGCGTCGAAACGGCAGGCGATGCTCTTTTGACGCGGTTGTGACTCTCCTGCTTCACCCGCTCGAGCGGTTCCCGACTCGGCTGTCGCGAGGCTATCGAGGCCGGCGTGGCTGATTTGCGAGGCGTACTCGAATTGCGCGCGCCACCGTTGAGATGTGGCTTCGGCAAGGGTTGAGGCCTCGAATGCGCTCCTGAGGATTGTGTTCGCGCCGTCGGCTTCGGTGTTGTATTCACAGTGACGACCTTCGTAGTAATTTTGAGAGGAGCCTTCTTTGCCTTCAAGGCAGCGAACGACAAGGGTTTGTTCTGCGGCGACAAGGATCCCATATTGAAGGCCTGGGAGTTTGGCAGGAATTGGTCGCAACGAGAATTAATAGCGAAGGTGCCTCAAATGCCGCAGACATGGAGTTATCGAAATGAATCGCCGGAAAATGGCAAAGTATATTAAATTGAAGTCTTTAGGAGTAGAAGTCCCATGAGCGAAGGGTTGAGGGTGTTGAAGAACAGTGTGCAAAGAGCCGCTTGAAGATTATGGCCGTTCCCGCTGCGCCCGAACACCAAAAGGCCAACGGGGCAACTTGTACGCGGCTAGGCGGATTAACCTGCAAGGTACGCAGTTTGGCAACGTCATTCTCGAATCTGCGCAAACGTTATATTAGGTCCGTACTCGGTGTTGTTACTGTCTGTCATCTGGTACATGATTTTACTAATGCTCACTTTTGGGGCTCCTAATGGATTGACATAAGTGACGGGCATCTCAGGAGTTCGACTCATCCGACGAGCTGTTGCGCCGCCTGGAGCTGCGGGAGCCGTTGTCTCCACGATCATTCCACGACCTCTTTTGACCTCGTCCGCGCCCACGAGAACCCCTCCCTCCTCTATAGTCATTGTGGCCCCTCGAAAAGTCTCGATGATCGTACTCCTTCTGGGCCGGAGTCTCTGGATGCTCCTTCACCCACTCTTCCAGCACCGACGAGATTTTAGAACCCCACACATCCTCTCCAGCCCCCAAGTCTTCGTAAGTCAGTGTTGGAATGAAGCTCGCCGGAGCCGGCTGGACAGTGGTATAGCTCCCCTGTTGGCTGCGAATCAGAGAAGCCATCGATCCGTATGAGCCACAAGCAATGCCGAGATCGTACGCAAAAGATCGCACGTAAAAGCCGCTGCTGACAGTTAAAAGAATGCGTGCGGCTGGAGCATTGGCGGGGAACGCCTCTTGCGCAGCAGTGTGAATGTGCATTGCGGCTTTCTTCTCGTAAGGGATTTTGTTAATATCGGAGCCCTTTGTCTGTTCGGTCGCAGGCTTTTCAGGCACCTCTGCTTTTGCGACTGGGGCGGTCGCCTGTCTTGTTGCCTCGACTCCTGCCATAAGTCTTTTGGCAAGGGCCTTTTCCTCTTCGGGCGCTTGTTCGGCCGGCCAGCGGAAATCGTGGTCGCCTGGCGCGTAGAACTCGAGAAGGGAGCACTCTGAGACTTCGACATCACGAGTTTCCAGTTCCCGGGGGAGTTCTTTGCCGGTTCTTGCATACTCGTAGGCTTTCATACCGTTAATCTTGATCGCGCTGAAAAGAGGCGGCATCTGCTTCTGTTTCCCACGAAATCCCTCAATCTTTTCTTCAACCAGATCTTTGGTGATATGCTCTGCCGGGGTTTCTGCAACGACCTTTCCCGTCACATCATACGTATCCGTACTTTTCCCAAACAGTACGACAGTCTCATAGGTCTTCTTGCACCCTAGGAAATCTTGCAAATACTTCGTGCCCCTGCCTATCCCGACAATCAGGATGCCCGTCGCCATGGGATCAAGAGTGCCCCCGTGGCCCATTTTAAATATTTGGTCATTGCCTTTCTTCCGCCGCTTAGGCTGGTGTCGCTCTTGTTCTTCCAAAGCATTCTTTGTACGCTGAAGCAATGGCGCAAACGTCTTCGAATCGGCGAATTTGTGTTGGAGGTCACGGAGGACTTGAGCGGAGGACAGATTCGGAGGTTTGTTCACAGCTACAATCACATTTGGACATGTCAGGGTCTGTGTAAGGACACACGCAACGTCTCAGGAGAGGAATTGGCCTCACCGAAGACACCCTCGAGGACTCTTCCGGATGGCTGCGCCATCTTGAGCAGTTGGTACGCTTTCATAAAACGAAGAGAGCTTTGGGGGATCGTGAGCGGTGCGAGCCCAGCAAATGGACTCTGCGACAAGGAAAACAAACGGCTCACTCTTACTGCAAGCCTCTGCAGTAGCACATCGCTGTTCGTGCGGAGTAGCGACGTCGACGGAGACCAGCACGTGACAAAGAATGACTCGGGCCTTTGCACCCTTCAAACACGGCAGTGGCCACCTACCGCGCCCAGGCGCGCAGTGGGCTCTTCAGCCTCTCCCAGCCTCGACCTTCAAGTTTGCAGCAGTCCCCGATAATGAATGACTGTTCCTTGACAACTCATCCCCCAGTATAACCTTGACCGGCCCCAACCATTCTATACGTGCCTTGTTTTCTCGGCCGCTGTATCAAGAAGCGTGCCCGGCGATCCCAGTTTGATGGCCATCCCGAGAGACTGCTGCCCCGCGGATTGTCAATGACCTAGCGCGACTCGAGGTGTGAACAACAGCATGAACCAGAGATTCCTCTCACCTGGATATGTCCACCTACCCTGAAGAACGCGTGCTTAAGCCCCTCGATCCGGTACCCGATGATGTGAATGACTGGCCGGATTTCGCGCTGCGAGAAGCCAAGATCTTCCATCAGGGCAAAGGCAGATATGCGGAGCTGCTGCAGGCTTCCGAGGAGACACCGTTATGCGTCCTGGGCGAATTGATGCCTTTGGACGATGAGCAGGAACACCTAGGTATGCATACATCATTACAACCCCGGGGACTTCGAACACACCGCTGACGACTGTGACGCAGCATTAATTAACGACCCGCTCTATGTACGAATAAAGATTGAAAATGTTACCCATTACAGTTTTGGTCAAGACGATGACGGAAAACCGGTGATCTGGGCTGCTGGAAAAGCCGGATGGTACGAGATTTCGCCCTCAGATCGCTATCTGAACCATTACAATGATACAGTGGAGGCGATCGACTTGTTTTATTTCATGGTCGACAAGCAGCAGAAGCTGCCACGGAAACGACAAAAGTTCGGGTTCATGGTTGACCCCTTCCTGACGGATTATCAAAAACACACCGGGTATAGAATTGACGATGACGACGAAGCCATGGAAACGATCCACAAGCACCACAATTTTCTTCTGAAGCAGATGATTGAGGAACGAGAAGGCATTGACTGGTCGCAGACACATTTATGGAAGCACCTAGCTGAGACATATGCGGACGAGGTGGCAGAGCTGAAGGCAAAGCTGGCTCAAGCGAACCAGGCCAATGGGGCGGACGAAACTGAGTCCGTCGAAGAGGAGGAAGAAGAAGCACAGGAAGATTCAGGGGAACCACAAGAAGATGGCAGCCGTATCAACGAGTCCGATAGAGGATCTCAAGGCCCTTCAGAAGGTGCTTCAAGTTCCGAGTCCGTTCCAGAACTGGAGCCCATTGACTGGACCAAAACGATTTGGGATCTGCTCAATGTTCTTCGCAAATCGGCCAACTTCAACATGCGTCATTGTGGTATTGACGAGGCGGCTACTGAACTACAGAAACTGCCTTCATTCGAGGGGAGTCACGAGGATGCAATTGCCGCGTTAGAGCGCTCAGCCGAACCCTTACTCAGATTGATGAATGAGGCTAAACTCCGGAAGAAGTTTAATTGGTCTACCCGGAGAATATATGATGAGTTGGAAGCCACCCTGGCGGAGGAAGTGGCCGAGGAGGTCATGAAAACACCTGGCAAACCTGGCAAACAGCGCCATCGCATGAAATCTGTCCTCCGGCCCAGCGGCGCCGGCAAGGCACACAAACGTGCACAAGGTGCGGGAGACTCCCTTGACGAGGACGAGGAAATGAGCGATCTCCCCGTCACGACTCCAGTTGCGCGACGGCAGGGCGCACCGCTGCTTAACGGAGTCGTAGAAGCGGACGCTGAATCGGTGGGAAGCCGTGAGGACAGTCCGAGTCGACAGCTTAATGGCCACCTCGATCCCGACCCTGACGCATTGCCCGAACTGCCGCCCGGCCCAGAAGCACAAGAGATGCTTGATCTTGTGACGCAAGAGGCAAAACGCGTTGGAAGACAGCACCAGACATCACACCTTCAGGCATTTTTGGGCCAGTGGGTGATCTGATCTGTCATGTTCGAGTGTGAACGGCGTAAATGCGGTGGTGGGCTCCTGGCATTGTGTGTGTTCGTGATTATGATACCCCCTAGTGCTTTGATATAAGGTAGATGGTCTACCAGTGGCGTCCAAGGGGACTATCTCAGCAACAACATGCTTGATGCATTTTCATCCTTATCACCTGGTCGCTGCTCTCCTGCTCTTCCCCGGCCTCTGAGGTTTTCCTTTGCCCTTCATCTTGGCCGCCGAGAAGCCGCGAATATCGGCACTGCTAGCAGCGTCACCGCTTTTCGAGAAGCGTTTCTTTCCGCCAAACCCATATTTCTGGTCCCGCTTCTGTCTCTTGACATTAGGTCCTGGCCCTCGTTCTCGGCCGGTACTGTCTTTGGAAGGACCGGCTTCAACGTCAATGCTCTGGAAGATGTCGTTATCTTTTTCAGTGATGTTGCCACTGTCCTGGCCCTTGCGTTCTAAGAGGGGTTATGCGTTAGTACACTGTAGACAAGATGAGAGCGGTGGCATCCTCTCAAACCCGAACACAGTAGAAAGACATAAAACAGGGCGGACGGGAACATACTTCTCTTCAACTCCTTGATCTTGTCCAGCGTGCTTCTCTTCTCCTTTGCCCTCTCTTGCTCCTTGGCCACCTGCACAGCCTTGCCGAACTTCTTTGCATCGCGCAGTTTCCTGGCCTCCTCTGCGGCCTTCTTCGCCGCGGCGTCGTCGTACATCTTCTTCTTGATCTTGCCCATGTGCTCATCACTCTTAACCATCTCGGCGAAATAGTCGGGCGGTCTGGAGAACGGGACCTTTTCCTTCTTCAGCAGCGCACGCCCTGCGATCGCGCCCTCTCGAGCGATCCGGTAGAATTCCAGCTCTCTCGTCAGATCGTCGTTCGGGTCCGGGATCGACTCGGAGGCCGGCGGCAGCGAGGAAACAAGCGAGTTGTGAAGATGGAAGGGGGTCTTGGACGACTTGACCAGGGCGATTCGGTTCCTGGCCGCAATCAGCGCCGGGCCGTTGTTGATGGTCAGTCGCTGATGCGGGATCGTGTCTTCGAGGTCTTCGTCGTCGAGATCCGACAGCGGCACGTCCGACTCGTTTTCCGCTTCCGACGCAGACGCGTCTGCTGGCTGATGCGGCTGTGGTATCGTGCCATTGGAGGAGGCGGCGGTCTGGTCGTTCGTTTTGTCGTTGTCATTGTCGGATTCAGATTCTTCTTCTCCATTGTCGGAAAAGTTTGCAAAGTCGCTTCCCGTCTCAGCTGTCTCGTGGACTGCATCGCCCGTGGTAATTGAGGTTTCTTTGCCGGCGTCGTCAGCCTCATCGTTTCCTTCTACTTTTGCCTTTGCGCCCTTCTGTCGCTTCCGCTTCTCGGCCTCTTTTGCCTGCGCTTTTCTCTTCTCGGCCTCATAGTCTCGTCCCTTGTACGCATCTAGCGCAGTGAGAAGCTTGCTCTTCTTGGCCATTGTGGAAGATATGGCGAAATTCCCAAGATGAGAAGACAGAAACAGTTGAGCAGCAGACCAATTCTCGGGGGAAAGGCAAAACTGTAATATGCAATATGCAATATGCACGATGCGGGTTTTGCTACGGAAAAAATTTAGGCGCGCTCTGAGTTGCGTTAGAACGCTTATCGCGGTTATCAGATCGGAGTGCGGGCTAAAATGGGCTTGGGCTTAGGAGGGAGGCCGAGAGCGGAGCCACTGCCCTCTTATCCATGGAACGCGGGTTGCACTCCACGGCAGTATCCGTCCACGCATCTACGAGACTCTGGCCATATCTGCGCCCCATCAGTCAGTCTATTTCCAACTTGTCTGCACATCTGCTTTTCACTTCATTCTAGCAAGTCACTTGGAGAGCAAGAAGTCTTGGCCTGTCTCGATATGTATTCCGCATAAGGGTCCCGCCAGATGCTCTCGTGAGAACTTAGGCCGTGTTGTCGAGTCCAGTGTTTCGCGTCGGGTCCGCCGTGACGCCCAGCGCACAACAGACCGATACATGAACTGAAGTGGTGATACCAGTATGGTAGGTGTTCCAATACTACAGAGAGAGGTGTCGCCTGATTGTAGCGGTTATGGAAGGCCTCCATCTCTTTGAGCGTGCTTTGTATCTGGCCAGTGATTTCTAACATCCCACTGTACGCTGATTAGTCCGCCTTCTCGGAACCGCCGACCCATTCCTCGAGCGAGCCTCCTCTCTCCGGCCCCAGCGGCGTGGACAACACCATGAGCGCGACCCCTGCGGTGTCTGACGTGGCCGGCCCGAACGACGCCGCTACGAAACTGGCCGAAGCCATCGACGATTTCCTGGGTGACCTCGAGAAGAAGTTCAAAGGGATCAGTGACGAGATCTTGACAAAGCGTGAGTTTGGATCCCGAGGGCTCTTACGTGGCCATTGTTTGGGAACCCGGCTGCCGTGGGGTACGTTGCTGATGCGGTAAATCGTGCAAATAGTCGACGACATGGCCGAGCGATGCGACCGGCTGGAGCAGGAAATGCTTCTCAGAGATGCCAGTACGATGGAGAATGTTGGAAAAGCACACGCAGGGTCGACAACGGGTTCAACATAGGAATCAATAGCCGCTTGGATACAGTTTGCCTTTGCTTCATCATCGACGAAGCGGCGTGCATGAGCCACGGAGAATGGTTACGACCTTCATCGGAATCTCGATTTGGTCGCGAGACGGTGGCTTACACAGTGAGGTCTCCTTGCAACAGAAGCCCGCGGCCGATTCCCTACAGAGTACGAATTTGCCACTATAAACAAACGATCGAGGCGCAAATGGTATCCTATGCGGATGGTAGATTCTCGAGGCCTTCCGGAATCCCTGATCGTGGCCAGTGTTCTATAGAGGCCACCAGTTATCTCATTCCCAAACTCCTTTTCCAGTTCCCAGTAGTATTTCCTACAACTCGCTCTTGGGAGCATCCTTCACCAGGAACTTAGACAAGACATTGCTGCGTCTTTGAAGATCATCAATCTTCTCCGGGGCCAAACCTCCCTTCTTCAGGAGACCGGCCAATCTGGTCTGTTCCTTCTTCGCATATTCTGGGTTGCCGCTCAACTTGGAAAGGGCACGCAGATAGTAGTCGACCGACTTGTCTTTCACGTCCTTTGCCTTTTTCTTGATTTCTGCTGTTGCCTTCTCGACGTCTTTGATGCCCCCAGCCGTGATGTATTTGGCGAGGACACTGTCGATGGCTTCAACCGTGCCTGCCTGCGTGTTCAGACCACCTCCTGGAAGTCGATAAGTGCTCGCTTTCGAGTTGACGAAATCGACGAGAGCCTCTTCGCTGCGTGGACCGCTATACGGTTCAGGCTCAGTGGAGCCCTTGGGGAAGAACATGATGGTAGGATAGCCAGTGATACCCTGTGCTTGGGCGGTGGCTTTGGAATTCTCGGCTTCGGCATCGATCTTTGCGATGAGGACATTGGGTTCCGCGGCGAAATCATCGGCCAGTTTCTCCCAAGTCGGAGCAAGTGTTTTGCAGTCTGTAAAGCGAAGCAGATTAGAAGGAGATCTGTATTTTGGGGGCTTTCGGGAAGACTTACGTCCGCACCACGGGGCGGTGAAGGCGACCAGCACGTCCTTGTCTCCGCCGACCTCTTGCTTGAAAGTGGTATCGGTCAACATCTCGACGTGGCTAGGAGCCTTTTTGGGACCCTTGACCTTGACGCCGGTCTTCTCGACGATGAACTTGGTCAGACTCTCAAGATCCCGGCCGCCGTTGTAGTCTTCCGGCTGGCTCCCAGGCTTGCCGTCAAACCATTTCAACGTGGGAAATCCTTGCACACCAAATCTCTTGCCCAGCTCTTTGTGGTTGTCGGCATCTACATTTGCGATGGTGACTTTGTCACCGCTGGCAGCGAACGCCGTCGCCAACTGTTCAAATGTGGGAGCGAGGTTCTTGCAATGGCCGCACCAAGGGGCGAAGAATTCGACCAGGGCCGGTTTGTTGGACTCGAAGACGATCTTGTCAAAGTTCGAAGGGATCAGGTTAACGACATCGGAGGCGGCTGCGACGAGGGGCAGGGCAAGCGCTGCCAGGGAGAGGAGAGACCGAAGTTGCACCATGACGGCGCTTCACATAGAACGATGGTGCGTGAGAGAGACAAAGATGCAGGTAACAACTAGGTATGTCACAGTTGTTCAGAGGTGAGGTCAAGAATGCGTACTCTGTATAGATAGAGAATTGCTCGGTGATGGCCGGGCGTTCATGTGGCGCTGTCAATAAGTAGTGCCTAATATACTACCTCAGTTATTTGAGTGACGCTCAGGGTCCTCTGCGGAAATGTGGGACGCGTTAGGATTTCCAAGCATGCGGAAAGGACACATCAGCATGTTTTCCCCCTGACTTTACCTCAGCCTCGTCCCGTCTTCCTTTGTAGTGGCAGTGTGTGATACACCACGGATAACTACCTCTTCAAAGGGCAGCAATAGCATGATGACGCAGCAGAAACTACATTTGAAGATACTGTCTTGTGAGAGCAATCCTTATGCACATAGACATTAACTAAGAAGCGTCGTGAAGTACAGTGTGGTCGGTCACATAGACCCAGTAAAGCAAGATTGCCAAACCTCCCAAATGGCTCCCTTGGCTTTCAACCACTCCTCAAAGCGCCAGTACTGATTGATCGTCATTCATAAATCACAGGGACGTAAAGATTGCTTGCTGTGAGTGTCGTTACGCCTCGGCCTGGTTCCCTGGACTATTTGCTGTTTCCGTACAGCTGGTGATAAGCATGGTGAGCATCAACAAGCACTGGTGGATAAGTTAATCGCAATCTCAAACTCTTCAAGAGCACACTTACTTCGTAGGACTTGTTGTTGAGCATGTCTGCCCTCACAAGCACACTGGATGCACCGTCCATCTTTGAGGTCAAGAAGAATACTCCAAGCCATTTCTTCTTGTCCCAAATCGGGCAGCGATAGCCTCTTGAAGTCGCTGAGATGGTATTTGCGGCTGACACTTTTCATGTTGGCATCTGTCATGGCTGGGGAAAAGATGAGATATCCCTGATCATCGACCCTCATGAACCGCCGCTTCCAGAGAAGAGTTTCGGGAAACTGCACATTGACGTCCCCAATATCGACCACATGTAGCAGAGATTCTGATGCCGAATCGTGCCGAGTCAGTTCGGACTGCTCTTGTATTGTGATCGGTTGTGCCGGCTCCTTTGATGGATGGTTCTTATTTCGGGGCGACGTCAGGTTGGACATCCGCTTCATCAACCTACTAGTCCTGGAGCCTTTGGGCTTTTCCTCATAAGAAGATGCAGCGTCGCTTGTGGATCGCGGGCCATGTTTTTTGTGGGCACTCGCGTATGAAAGTTTGCTTGTGTTGGACTCGGAACGGGGTAGATTTGTCTGCGAAGCGGATCTGTGGGAAGAAAATGAGAATCTACTTTTTTCAGACTTCGTCGGGCTCATAGTCAGAGACTGCATAGAGGTCAAGGATACGTCATGAGGCAGCTCGTCATGTTTTTCATGCTCGACGATCAGAGGGCTCCGGAACAGGTTGAGTGGTGTATGATAACTTGAACTGGGTGACATAGGAGGACGTTTGCCGCTGTTATCCCTAACAATCCTTGCAGTAACAGAAATGCTGTCGCCCTTTTGCACTGGTCCTCGGTCATCATTAAGGGGCCGCTGAAGTGCTGTTGACGCCAGATTGGACGGGTCGGATTCGTAATGGGCTTTTGCGAAAGGCAACGGCTTCGGAGGGGATTTCTCAGTGGACATGTTAGGACTTTGTTGATTGGGGATGAAGGCCGAACGCTTCAAGAAGGCCGAGAACGCTGCTCGTCCACCACTGGCCACCCGAACTGGTGGTGGAGGAGGTAGGGATTGTGTATCTTTCGTGGTCAATACCTCCAGAGCTTTGATTCGTTTGGAGATACCACTTCCCAGAGTAGGCTTTTTAGTGAGAGGTACTAGAGCCGGTTCAGCCTGTACAGGAGGCCATTGTGGAAGAGCGGTGGAAACGCTGCGAATGCTAGCAGAGCTCTTCCGATCGGGCGTGCTTCGTGCACTCTGTCTCGCTTGGTAGTTGGAAGTGGAAGTCTTGTTGACGAAGTCGCGTAATTTGTCCGAACTACCCTGCGACATGATAGGAGTCACGGGCGATCGTGCCACAGAGACTGGCTTCGCCTCGTGTACTGTGGCATTTTGCAGCTCCTCCATCAGTGCCTCATCTTCCGACATGTCTGAAGTGGAAGTATCACCACTCGGTAATATTCTTAGAGGCTCAGTTGGTGCCTGCCGTCTTTGTTTGGACAACGGAGCGATGCCGTTGGTCCTACTTTGTGAGGCATCTGCTGTGGTTGGAGAATCTTCGTCCTGCTCATCCTGCACCTGAGCGGAGCTGGCGGAACTGGGAACAACAGTCGAAGCATCTCGATCAAGGGGCCTCTCGACCTCTATTGATGCAGCATGCACCATAGATTGAGTGGGCTCATTTTGCGCAGGATTGGCAATTTCTCCTTCTGCCAGTCCGGCAGCACTGTCGTCCACAAAAGCATCGGCGGAGCTCAATATATCCTCTCTGTTAATGACAATAGCCTTCGGTGTAATGGAAGAGCTTGTACCAGATGACAACGACCGGGGCTTACGAGAACCGGCTTCCTGTTCAGAGACCGAAGATGCCTTTGTCGAGAGTTCTTCTGAAATATTCGTCGTGAATGTGGGCGACGTAGTGCTTGATGACTGTGCCAGTTTAGATTCTTCGTCGATGTTTGCCAGTTGTTCTTGACTTGGTAAGGACGACAGGTGGCTGCTCGAAGCATACGGGCTGACACTTGAATCGGATTCATTGTGAGTGTTTGCATTCAGCGGGGCAGACGACGTTGCTGTTGAGGCCCTTTGCGCTAGCAACATATTTCGTTTCCGCAGCTGCAGAGCCTTCATCAACCTCAGCTTATCTGGAGTGGCTGCCGAACCTTCCGTTGTCGTAGAGGCAGGACGTAGTAGTGTGGGCCGGCTTTCGCTCGGTTTGTACACCGACTGGAGGTATGTGGGAGATGGCAACCGCGGAGGTTCCTTGATTGAGTGGCTCAAAGGGGCAAAGCGACCAGGGACGCTCCGCGTAGATTGTTGGGAGCCGGGTCGTAGTGAAGCGCCCACGACAGATCTGGTGCTCACACGAACTGTAGTTGGGAGGTTGGCGACCGGCCGCACGTTCCCATTCACGTCAATGTCGAAAGTGCCAGAGGTCTTGGGGCGATGAGCCGCGTCGACGTGCGGCCGGGGACCCAGCTTCTTCTTCGACTTGACGGTCGCGTATGATGCAACGTGATTATTCCATTGACTGATGCTGTCCGACTCGGCTGCTGAGAGGTGATGTGTGTGAGGGCGAGGGGTGAGTGGTTCGGCGGCAGATATTGTTGCGGCTGCGTCTAGCAGGATGTTGTTCGCAAAATCGAAATCAGGCGCTTTGGCAGGCTCCCTGTCGCCGGTTGCGGGCGGACTTTCTTCAGGAGTAGCAGGTAAAGACTTGTCGAGAGACGGGAGCTCTGAAGCTGCCGGTGCTCTTGGAGCGAGATTGTCCTTCCTCAGCGGTGCAGTTGTCTCAGGTTGTAGTATAGTAGCACTGTCAGGCTTCGTACTCGCCGCCGCGGCAACCGCCTCCTCTTTTCTCTTCGCCAAAAGAGCCTTCGCAAGGACGGCACTGGCAGGCAGTTCGTCGAGTTCGCGCCTTCCGTAGGTCGGTGTCATCGGTTCCTCAGGCAGAGCAGACATCGTGACCATCTCATCTGCTGTCCAGGTCGCCTCCTCTGCATCTTCGGTAATTTCGTCCAGCCTGCGTCGTCGCAAGGAGGAGTTGGACGAGGTCAGCGAAGCGGCGGAAGGTAGCACCATTTTGTTCAGGCCCAATGCAGAGTCGGTCAACTCAGACGCCGCAGTAAAGGAGAAAACGGTGTCATGCGGCGAGAAGGTTTCCAAGACGGATTGAAATTGGACGGTAAGCCGCACTGTCAAGTAAGTCAGTCGTGCAGTCAACATGGGATTCAAGTTGTGCTTGACCTTGCAGTAGACGCGAGGTCCCCTCCGGCACATATTTGAGGATGACCTTCTTGCGGCGATATTGCAACCAGCCGTATAACGGCGATTTCTCTTCATATTGCTCTATCACGTTCCTCACTTCCTGAATCCCTCCTGTGCCTTTCTTCAACAACTCAACCGTGTCGCGGTTGATGTAGCTCAACAGAAACCTGCACCGAACGAGTCAGCACTGAGCCTCCCGACAAACCGATCCCTCCGAGCCTACCATCCTCCAGCCTCCGCCAGCGCAGCCTGGTGCGCTTCGGCGACAGCAGTTCCATCAAGGCCATTCAATGACATTTCTCAGCCTCATCAGGGGAGGCCTGAAGCCCGGACGGTGTTCAAGGAGGCACACATACAATCGAGAAAGCAGTCATCTATCGATGACCAAAGGTCCAGAAAATCGCCCGACAATCCTCAGTGACCAAGACCAGCGCGCTGGAGATGCGCCTTCGAGGGGCAGCAACATCAAGGCCATTATTGTTTGAGGCACAGCGCAGAGCGCTATCCGCAGTTTCAGGGGTCGCTGTTACAAGCCATCACCCATGGTGTGCCAGCTAGGAAGCGAGACTAGACATGGGTTAGAACACCCCAGGGCAGACCCATCTCCGTACAGCGACGTCCTTGTGAACGCCAGTGGAACCAGTTTGACCTCAAAATCCCACGAAAGGAGGTTTGCGTCCTAGGGCCTCTTATTCGACCACGCTTCCGTGAGCCAAAGACCAATTTCCCGAGCCGTGTTGGCTTGAGTCCTTGATCTGACGGGCGGACCGCTGCCAGGGGACATGACACTATCACTCTTTCGGCCTTCTGGAGCCTTCAGCCCTCCTAGCCGTTCCTGGGCTTTGTGTCACCGTCGACTTTTTTCATCTCAAGCACAGTGTGAAGAAAGGAAACCAGATTTTGTTCTATGAACGCAAAGCTGAATTGACCAAAACAGCGGATTGCTTGCCTCAATATCAAGCATATCTGTGATGTGGCTTTCCTCGTTGTTAAGGGTCACAGAGATCAACGGCTCTTCCTATGTCATGACAACGGTCATTGTGATATTTATATTGACCTACACTAGGTGCCGCGATGCTTGAGCAACTGGCAGATGTTATACTACCCCAGGATGCATCTCCGGGCAGTCGCTATTTCGTCTTCTTATCATGCATAGTTCACGGTCATCACTGTGCCGCTGCCAGCCACTCGGAAACGATATATTGGGCACTCATACCCTGCACAACCCATCCCCATACTCTCATAACATCCAGGGCCGTGGTGAGCAATTATATCATGTTGAACCAGTTGGAAGATGTAGGCAGCCATTGTTCATGACACTACCAAGTTCAATAACAGCAGCGTGTTTCTCTCTCCACGCGATGCCACACACCAAATCACGTGACCATGACTTTGATGTCGGCGGGAGTGTCTCAGGCACCCATTTCGACACCTATTTGGTCGATCAACGTTAGTAGTTGTCCGATGCGGAAGATGATATTTCTAGGCGCCTAGGCGATATTGCGCTGTTATAGATTTACTGAAAATAGGCGTAAAAAAGGCCCTTTTGTGACAACTTGCCATCCTACCATAGCGCGTATACCTGGATATCCTGAACCGTGTAAGTTAGTACAGTACCCCTAGGTAGAACCGTCTTTAAACGGTAGTAACCTCGGGGAACCGTATATATACGGTAGATTTTGCCGAAACGTGTTAAAGCTACGAACGGTGTCACGATAGGGAACCGTACTATAGTAATTATTTAATGACAAGTCTGGGGGCATTCCGTCCACAACTTCAACTTTAACTTGCCCGCAACCTGGAGACCAAACACCAAATAAACGTCAAGCTTCTTCCGCTCTCCATTCATGCATGCCACCTAACTCGATTTGATCCGTGTCGCGTTAAACGCTGACAAGTACTCTCGCGACGTGCTTGCCGCAGCCGTACGCCTAGAATGCATCAGACATCATGACAATCACCTCCGTCTCATCCATCGTGACCGAACGGCGATTTCCCACGCCTCCTCCAGGTGGCCAGCCTCGGTCAGAACCGCGAATCTACCCTGCCCCGGGTTTCCCCTTCAAAGGATGGCAACCTCCGCAGCCGGATGGCTACCGACAGAGTGCTGCTACTCCTAGTGAAAGTGCCATCGTCATTGACAATGGTAACCGAACACCTGAGCCTTCCAAAAGACTCAAAACTGACGAGGTTTACCGCAGGTGCCCATACCATCAAGGCCGGATTTTCCTTCGACAAGAACCCCCGACTCTTCGTTCCTCCGATCGTCGCAAAGTTCAAGGATCGTAAATACAACAAGTACTGCTCATTCGTGGGCTACGATGCCTACGCCGATGCCACCACGCGTGGCCAGATCCGGACCGCGTTTGAGCAGAATACCAGCATTCCGACCAACTGGGACATCATGGAGGGAATATATGACTACATCTTCCTGAAGCTGGGGGTCGACAACGAAGGCAGCGTGGCGCGACCTCTGGTCATCACCGAACCCGTCGCGAATTTGGGTCATAGCAGGAGGATGATGAACGAGATTCTCTTCGAATGCTACGGCGCCCCTAGTGTCACCACGGGCATCGACAGCCTATTTTCCTATCGATACAACAAAGGCCAGTCCGGTCTGATTGTATCCTCGTCGCATACTTCGACCCATGTCATTCCCGTGCTGGACCGAAAACCACAGATGCAATCATGTACGCGCTTAAATTGGGGAGGCTCGCAAGCCCAGGACTTCCTGCTGAAGCTCCTGCGGCTGAAGTATCCAATGTTCCCGGGGAAGATGACCACGGAGCAGATGGAGGCGTACATCAAGCAATACTGCTACTTATCGAAAGACTTTGCATCCGAGATTTCCACATACTTGGACTGGTCGGGCCTGGAGGAGGAGCGCGACATCGTTATCCAATATCCTTACACTGAGCAAGTCGTGGTCGAGAAGTCCGCCGAGGAGCTAGCCAGGATTGCCGAACGGAAGAAGGAGTCCGGCCGACGTCTCCAGGAACAAGCTGCAAAGATGCGCCTGGAGAAGCTGATCAGAAAGGAGCAGGAACTAGAATACTATCAACATTTGCACCAGACCTATCTCGAAGCCCCTACCAAGAAGGAGCAGCGCCGAATCTTAGACGACGAAGAGCTCAAGGATGAAGCCGCCCTTGAGCGGATCATCAGAGAGTTAGATAAGTCGATCCGGAAGTCCAGGAACAAAGACCTTGGTGCCCCTGAAGAGGAAGAGAAGCTCGAAGAACAGCTGAACAAGTTCCCCTTGCTCGATGTTCCGGATGACCAACTGGACGAGGATGGCATCAAAGAGAAGCGGCACCAGAGACTGATGAAGTCCGGTGTGGAGGCCAGAATCAGAGCCAAAGAAGAGAAAGAGCGTGAGAGGGCACGAGCTGCGGAAGAAGAAAGACGGGATCTGGAACTGCGCGAAAGTCGGTTTGAAGACTGGCTTGCGGGCCGTCGGCAACAGCGAGAGCAGCTTCTGGCAAAGATGAAAGAGCAAGCCAGGCAAAAGGCTGATTCGGGTAACCGCAAAGGCATTGCCTCCCAGATGCGAATGAAGACCTTGGCCAATCTGGCTGCCGACGGCCCCAAGCGGAAGCGCAGAGGCGGAGGAGACTACGACGATGATTTCGGAGCGAATGATGAGGACTGGGGCGTGTATCGGACGGTGGCCACTGAGCCGGCGAGCGATGACGAGGAGCCGGAAGAAGATCCACTGACAGCATTGAAAGCTGTCGAGAGTGAACTTCTCCAGTTCGATCCCGAATTCTCCGAGAAGGACACCATTGAAGCCCAGAATGACTGGACGAAGAGTGTCCTACATGCATTCCTACGCGGTGCCAGGCCTGCGGATCCGGAGAGCCAACGGGAGGCTAATCAAATCCATCTGAACGTTGAGCGGATTCGCGTGCCCGAGGTTGTCTTCCAGCCCGGAATTGCAGGAGTCGATCAGGCCGGTCTCGTTGAAATCATCGAAGGCGTGGTCATGGGCCGGTTTTCAGATCCCAATCAACGAAAAGCACTTCTGAGGGACGTGTTTCTGACGGGCGGAAATACCATGTTTTCCACTTTCGAAGAGCGACTCAGAACGGAGCTGACTGCAGCCATGCCAGACGATCTCACCATCAATGTCCGCAAAGCGAATGATCCAATCCTCGACGCCTGGAAAGGAGCAAGCAGTTGGTGGAACAACCCGGACACTCCCAGCCGTGAAGCAGCGACCGTGACGCGAGCCGAGTATCTTGAGAAAGGAAGTGATTATATTAAGGTATGTCTCCGTCGTCCACTTTCTCCATTTGCGGGATAGTCGCTAACCCTTGTGAAGGAACATGAACTGGGCAACTTTGTGTCGCCCATGTACAGTTTTGGAGCATGATTGTGTCTGCATGGCGTCTTGCTGTACAAAGTATGAGAGACGGCTCAGCGACGGCCCCGGCTCGTGCAAGTGGGAGCGTTTCCATCCCCTGCACTGCTTCGAGATGTGTCTTCAGCTAGAAGCGCACCTAGTCCAGCAACCAGCAACCTCGGCATATTTTACAACTGGCCTTGAGTTGGGCCTGCAAGGACATTCCATCGAGATCACGTCAGTCTATTGAGACAATGGTGCCTTTCTGCTCATGAACGTTGGGGCAGCACCAGAGCCGATGCGAGACAGACAGATCCTAACCATGTCATAAAGTATCCCGGGGGCTATGCTCGCCGGCTTCCTTTGCATGGTGCGACGCATGGGCTTTTGCTTCATGCCATCCAAGAGGCAATGAGAGAGGCCCAGCACGTTGAATGTCTCAGCAAGGCTGGATAGCAGGGCCATCAGGGCCATCATGGCAATCGGGTGTGGACTGACAGTGTGACAAGTCAAAACCGGGAGTCCTGCGTCAAATCCTCGCCCACGATACTTCATTCCAACAGTCCAATACCTCACTTCAAGGCAATACTGCGCCTCACCGTTCGGGTCACGATTTCTTTAGCCCCCTGACATGTCGCAGATCGAATTCACCATCTTGCCGTCCAGGAGTAAAGGGGTCTTCTAGATGGCACATGTGGCATCGGGTGGATTGCACTGTTGAGAATATCTGTGATGAGTGTAGCTGGATTCCTGCCTCGCCGACTTATGTCGCATAGGATTAGAAGGATACTACCGTATGCGGTTCCGAAGAAGAAGCCCTGAAGCCCTGAAGTTCCTCATATGAATTCCGATTGATTCATCCTACCTACTGTAGACCAGTGTATAATCTTGCTGTCACTCATGCCCTCGATATTTCACCAGACACCGTCCATCAGTTTGCCGCTGTGGAGGGGGGAAGGGTTGGCTCTTTTTATTCTAGATCTCTGGACCCTGAACCTCCAAAACTTGTGCAGCCTCGTCGAGGGCCCCTTAGGCACTGCAGCCTTGCGGGGGAAAAAGAACCAAGAAAGAACCCCCCCAAACCACAAACAAGCAGCCGGCATCAGGCCACAAAGTGCAAAACGACAAGAAGGTCAATCACGAGACCGAAGCTGTCTTGAGGGAAATTCCTTCATACCAGTCAGAGATGTGGTGGCCTCATCCCCTCTCTTTGGTAACACACACACACATGTTCAGGAAGAGAGGTGTCTTGCATGATCTGTGTCTGACCATGCGATGGGCCATCAGGCGAGAGGGTCGATTTTGGGATAGCCGATAGTCAAGGTAGGTAGACAAAGTACTTACTTTTGGTATAGGGTGTGGTCTACCATTCCAAAGGCTCACGATCAAAGGTGTGCGGCCATGCTTGCAAGCCCAAGAGTTTAGCCATGGGGAGCTTCCAATCGAGCTCGGGCGGCAAGCGACGGATTTCGGCCAGGAGTTCGGCGCGGACGCCGGCATGGGTCCACCAAGAAGGTTGAGCATGATTGCGGGCCTTCAAAAGGATGGCGACACAGAGAAGGTCTGGCCGGCCAACCGGGACGGAGTGGCTGTTTCGTCGGTCCTTGATGCCAACCGGCATGTAGTTCAACGACAGGATCATCGACACGTAGCTGGCCTCGTAGTGGGCTTGCAGGGCGGCGGTCTGTTCGGTGGTGAAACGTTGCGTTGCCTCGGCCAGGAGGATATTCTTTCGCAAGCACTGGTGCTCGAGATGCTCGAGCAGCCATCGATCGACGGCCCAAGGAGGCGCGTCGGACAGGACGAGAGCCAGCTCCACGGTGGCAGCGACATAGTCCGGTCCGAGGCCGCGGTATTGCGGGTTGAGCGTGGTCTCGTAGAAGCTGCGTAGCACCTTGGCGGGCCGAGGCGTCCATGTGGAGACGTTCTCCATGTGGGCCAAGACGGACCTGTCGGCGCGGAAGACCAACTGAGATGGCTGGAGGCCTTTGTTGCGGCCCAAAATGCCCATGGCCGTGGTCAGGCCTCGCCCGTCGTAGCCGTCCATCGTGCGCGGCCGGGTGGCAAGCAAGCCCAGAGGCATGCTTGACACGGCTCGCGAGATGGCTGTTCGAAAGCCCTGTCGGGGCCCCCACAAGAGGGAGACACTGTCGGAACTCGGGTCGTGGTTGGCATACACGCCGACCGGTCGTTCGCCCTTTTCCGTGTCGATCGGCGGCGTGCTCGTGCTGTGCTGCGGGTCCATGTTCGCCAGGATGTCGACAGGATTGTAGGGGATTCCGGCTTTGCCCAAAGGTCGTAACGTCCATCCATAATAGTCTGACGGCGTGGGCTGGAGTTGGTTGAGCCGGTCCGCATTGGCCACGACCAGTGCCGTCCAGGCTCGGGCGTCGCCGCAGAAGCCTTGCTTTTCTTTCGGGATGGTCGACCGACTTGGGCCGGCCCATGCCAGCCATTTGGTCCGGGCGTAGTGCCGCTGTTGCCACGCCGGCAGAGTGTACTGGACAATGGCCAGAAAGGTCGCCGAAGACAGTGCAAGCACGGATATTGCGTCGCCGCCGTTGCCCGAGGTGAAGGAAAGCAGAACCATGACCAGAGAGATGAGCAGCAGGCTCGATACCGCTGCCCACCACCAATGCTCTAACAAAGCCAGTCGGAACCGAAACGTCCATTGGCTCGAAGACTCGGTCATGTAAGCCAACGCCGTCATCAGTCCCTGAAACAACGCTGTCAATACCGCAAGCCCAGTTGACAACCAGTAGAACGCTCTCCCCACCTCCTCATCGACACGAAAGAGGACGTGATCGCTCGGCCGATTCGAAGTCATTGCGGCGTACAAGACGTCGAGTCAATTGAGCGCTATATCTTCACAACAGTAGAATTCAGTTGCAGACATAAATGAGCAGATCTTGTGAAGTACCAAGTGCATGGTAATGTTATCCTCAACAAGGTGTGAATCCAGGGCGCCAATGGTCGGGTTCGGGTGAGTGACCAGGTTCCTAGAGAAGCTGTGCCTATGCTAAGCTGAAGTGCAGTCAGCCAGAAGCATTGGATGGCATTGAATCGCTCGACAGCGACGTTGCCTGGTGATCGTCACACTCTAGAGGAATCAGATGCATGGCTGAAGATGTATTGGGATGGCTTGCTGGCATCGCCCATACCGGCGTAGGCTCAGCAGAGCATGGCGATGGGATGCACAATCCCACCAGAAACCCCACGATTAAGCGAGTGTTGGTGTTAGTAGTCTTCCGCGGTAAGGCTAGCTTTTCAGCTGGACGTCGTTTCTGAGATGTGACAAACTGAAGGGGATGTGATAGAGGCTGAAAGCGTTAGGCCGTAGCGGTCCAGGCCGTACCCCGTGCGTGCGTGCGTGCGTGCCGTGGTGCCCGCCTCGACGAGTCTAGACGGCGGCCTCGACCAGGCGCAAGCCTCTTGCACCGAGATGATGAGTCTCTGCCAGTGCTCGCTCCATCATTGTTGGCTCGTTGAGCCATGCGGGAAGATCTCTTCGTCCCTCGGCCGCGCAGAGAGCTCTGAAGACTGTGATTTCAGGTCGGGTTCTAATGCCAGCCTTATGCTCACTCAAGCTGACGAGCATGGTAATATATTGGCCACGGTAGAGTTGGGCTAAGTCGTCGGGGCTGGCTCCAAGCGCTGCCGCCCGATTATTCAGCAACAGGTCCTGTTGCTCCAAATGGGCGTCGAGCCAGTCCGCCACGATGGCAGGCTTCGCATCTGCAAGGAGCAGCGCCAGTTCGGTGGCAGCACAGACAAAAGTCCCTCCGAGTCCGGAGAAGGCTTTGGACAGTTCTGCGTTGTAGAATGAACGCAACGCCTTTGCAGGTCTCGGCCACAAGGAACTATTCTCTTCAAAGCTCCGCAGCCTCGAAGGGGTTTGCAGATTGCACGCCAGTCGATAAGGCGCCAGACCCTTGTTCCGGGCCAGGATGCCGTGTGCAAGGCACAATGGCCTGCCATCCACCCCGTTCTTCAGCTTCGGGTGGAACGTCAGCAGGGGCCTCGGGACGGCGACAATGCCTCGACTGCAGCGGCGCATGAACCCCAACTCCTCTCCCCATAATAGGGATACAGAGTGACCCGCCTCAGCTGGAGCGTACACGCCGACTTTGGACGGTGATCTTGGAACCCACACTCCACCTGATTCCTCGTCCATCTTGAGCCTTGCAGTCAACAACTCGGTCGGATCGTACGGGATCCCTCCAGTGAAGTGGCCTGCCCAGTTCAGTGAGGTCTCCACCGGGTGCAATTCCATCCCCTGGCACACGGAAGCCAGTGACTGCCAGTCGCGCACATCGCCGAGGTAGCGAGTCACACTTGGAGCAATGCCGGTCCTGCTGGGACCTGTCCACGCTTTCCAGCGGAGGTGGAGGTAGTCCGAGTTCTGGGCCAGCGGGAGGAGCAATCGGAAGATCAAAAACGAGACCCCAATTACGATGGTTCCCAACGTCGCTCTCGTCGGCAACAGTGTGTGGTCGTAGCTCGTAGCAATGTCACCTGCTAGTTGGATTGTTGCCGCCAACGTAACGGCGAGCAACAGCCAGCCATTCAACAGCCACGAGATCGAGAGCCTCAACGTCCACCATTGCTGTTGTTCAATGTAGCCCAGGGCTGCGGTCGCCAGGCATACTGAACATAGCGCGAGCAATCTGAGCCCAAACATGCTGGTGGTAACAGCCAGGACTGATCTGATGGACAGTGAAGAAGCCCACGTCAAGTCATGAAAGGAAGATGGGGAATAAGGGGCTTGGAATGTCTCCGGACACCTAGGTATCACAGGTATCTTGACACTCAGACTTCGTGGGGGTCAAGGTCCAACCTCGGTGGATGCCTATCAGACTCACCTCGACATTTCGGTCAACATCTAGCCACCCAAAGTATTCTTGTTCTGGAATCTTATTAGAGGCGAGCTCTTTCAGCCCAGACAGATGATTTCTGTCCTAGTTCCCTTGGAATATCGAAAGATCACTTAGACGTGAGGCCACGGTTGGTTCCTTATCTGTTTTCTCTCACGTCGAGGGAGCACAACACAGAGGAACTGCACAGCACAGCAAGTACACACTCTCCTCGGTCCAACAAGATCAGTAAGAGTGTAAGTAATAAAGAGTCGTGCTGGAATTAATGGAGCCAGAGACCACGCGAGACCATGCACGGTACGTACCTTACCAACAGGCTTGTCTCATCTGTCCAATGTCCGATCGATCCGGTTTCATGTAACGGACTCTGAATGAATGAGTGGTGGGTCCGAGGAGCGAGGAGCAAGGAGCTAGGAGCAAGATACTGTACTACTAGTAGGTAGCACGCAGAATACAATTTCGTCCACATCTCACAAGTTTCCCATGCGTACCTACCTAGCTGTAGGTACCTAGGCAGTAAAGTAGTCTAGGCCTCCGCCTCTATTGAACTTCTTGAATGTACACGTATCTTTCGTGCCAGGACGTGCCTGGCAGCGTGACCATGCATGTGGTCGTATCGTCTACATGGGGAATACAAGTCTGGTCTGACCCAGCCCGGAGCACTTTCTCACCAGTGTCAACCCTGGGAAAGTCCCCCAGCAACCCTTCGCTGTACAGAGTATACTCTAGCTCCTCGCTATTTCGGAAGAGAGACAGTCCCTTCTGTCGCCCATACCGGGCAATCGATCATAGGCTGTGCCTGTCCACCGTCTTGTTCTCTCGGTCGCTTCTGAAGCCTGCCGCAGACGCCTGTACAATCAAGCCAGCGCCCCAACCCGTCATCCTCAATGGAAAGGAAATGCCCTCTGATGCCCTCCCGCACGACAGAACGCCAGACGACCACATTTTGACCCGCACCATGAAATACACAAATCGAGCTGCATCAAACTTTCACCGACCCCCGGCAGATGATTGGGCTAGGATTGTCGAGCCTTGGAGGGCGGCCTGGGAAGCTGTCATCTCAGCAGATTCTGTCCGAGGTCGTTTCGCCGCCGGAGGGTCTGAATAGGCAGGCTCCGGATAGGCCGCGGTTCGGTGAGGTTCGTGGTGCAGACTGTCCTGAAGCTGAGCCACAGCACCGAGCTCGGATAGTCGAGGCAGTAAGCCGGGTTGTTGAGTGACTCCGGGCTTGCCTGGTTGTAGTCCATCGACGTTGCTAGGAGGAGGAGGCACCTCACCCTGTGACTCCAATAACCGCGATTGCAGATTGATGATGTAGTCTCGAAGTTGGTAGTTTTCGGCTTGAACGGCCTTGAAGTTTTCGCTCAGGGCTTGATAGTCCCGCACCTGCTCCTCCAGCTTCTTGATGTAGCCTTCTTTTCGTTGTCGGAAAGCTCTCTGAATGATCTGGTCAGTAACAGTCGACGATGGTGATCGTGGGCCACATACCTGAGCTGCTCGGTTCTGCGCCGCTCTCTTACTTGTGCTCAATTCTCGCTTGCCGTATCCTTTCCGCCCGTCGGTGTTGGTGTCGCCGCCATCGCTCTCTGCGCTACCCGTGACGCCGTCATTGTTCATCGGGTCATTGGGGGAACTAGGCTGTTGTTGTGGCATCGCGTCCAAAGGTTCGGTCATAGTCGATGATTGAGATGGCGGCGGATAGTGCTGCTCGCGTAGGACTATGGGATGCTTAGAAAGAGGCCAGGGAGAGAGGAGTTGAGTGATGGAAGTCATGATGATGTGCGTCAAGGGGACCGGGTGGACAGAGACAGTCCCAACACGAGCCAGACACCAACCTCAACAGACAGACAAGGCTTGTGAGAGAGACAGTGGAACGAAAGGGTATATGTACAACCAGCAGCGTAAGAAGGGAGACAGATGAACGTGGGTACCGTCGGTATTAGATACACAATGCTTGATGCAGTAGTATTGCAGGGAGTGGTAAGGACCGTCACAACAGGGCTTCTGATACAACAAATGAGGTCTTCATGAGACTCGTGGGAAACCCAAGTCGGTGGGGGTGATCGGCGGCAACGAGCGGGTGGTAGTGGGCAGCAGTGGACGAGGAAAGGGCGCAAGACGGGTGTAGAGGGAATAGTAGGATGCAGAACAGGCCGAGGAGGGGTGGTGTTGGGTGTGGATAGGACAAGGAGGACCAAGAGGGTGAAAAGGTGGGTCGAGGATTACTATAACGTACGTTGTTCGGCTTTGACTTGATCCTGTTGCTCAAACGGGTTAGAATTGCCTGCCAGAGAGTCGCAGGGGGGAAATCGCAATATCCGCGAGGAAAGAGGGAGCGGAGAGGGATGGGAGATGAAGCCAGGCATCGCTGCTTAACCCAGTGGCGTTCAATGCGAGAAGAGGGAAATGTGATGTGCTAGGAGCATGTGGATAAGACAAGGCGAGCCCGAGTAAAGCAATATCAGGATGGGGTAGGAGTCTGAGTAAGAAAGAGGGTAAAAGCTCGTCTTGGGGCTGCTTACCTGAGGCATTGTCGATGGAGAGCTAGCCGTGCGAGGAGCAAGGGCTTGCTGCATGCTTGCTTGCGGCGGCCTCAGGCGTCGGAGAGGTGGTTTGTGTGTCAAGGATTGGATGAGTAGGTCGAGAGGAAGGGCACAACCTCAGTCGGTCGAGGATAGAGGTCTTGCGCAGGATCAATTGAGGTGGTGGTGATAGCGACTACAGCGACGGTGAGATATGTTGAGTCAGCAACCACGGGCGACGGTCGAACTGAGACTCGAGAGGGCTTATGGAGGTCCGTGTGCCACAGTGAATGTTTGTATGATTACTCAATCAAGGAAATAGTGTCGCCTTCACACCAGCACGACCGAAGAGGGAATCGATGCTGGCCGCTGGTCTCGTTGAAGGTCCGTCACGTGCAGGCGCAATTGATGCCTGGCGCCAGTGACTTTGCGATCGAGGAAGTTCGAGTTGTTGATGAGTAATATGACTCGAGCTGGAAAGATGGCGGTTCGGACTCCGACACAGGGGGGGTGGAGAGCCAAAAGCGAGACAGTCTCACACTCAGACCTTCACTGTCACTCTCCAGTAGTCGATTGAGTAGGTAAGTAGAGCTGAGGAGCAAGGAGGAGGAGTACACGACAGTTACTGGCAGTGGGTGTACACAGTAGTAGCTGTAGCTGTAGTCATCAATGCTCGAGAAGGGAAAGAGGAAGGAAAAGGGAAAGAGCGGGAACGGCGGCGGATTAGCAATTCCTTACATAATAAATAAATCCCGGGTTGCAGGGAGTCGCACCTGCACAACTTGAGACAAAGTTGAACTAACTGCACTGGGACTGGCGGCCCGGTCAGTATCCACTATAGCTACGATGGCCAATGACTATCTCCATTTCCAACCAGTCACGTCATGCATCTCCACCGTACTAGTGTCTTGGTAACCATGCTTATTACTAAGAAAGTTAGACCTCCGCGACCTCCGAGTGCCGACCCCACTAGTCCTCATCAGAATGCACCCTCCATCACTGGGTCGCAGGCAGAATCGTTGCAATCCAACAACTTGATCCTCAGGATTCAACTCCTCGTCGTCGTCTTCGATGTGGTTGACTGTGTTACAATGCAGTCTGATGTCTTCCAATCGTGCCATGCTTACCACATACTCCTTTTGAGTACAGAGTACAGAATATAACCTGCGTCTCGTCCACTCCACGCCTCATCTCCACAGCCACATCTTGCTGACTGTTTTCTGACAGCTCGGCGTTCAAAAACCCAACCCAGACCTCCCATGACACCGGTAATATGTTGCGGACATCCAATCTCAGAAATGACAGATGGTCAGCAATTTTGTCTTCCTTCAGTCCTCCTCCGACTCGCTATCTGCTCAACGCATTCCTCTCCCTTCTATTCTTCACGCCACTGCCATCGGCTTAACCCTTCGACCACTCGAACGTCCCCTTCCAATCTAATCGTCAATTGCGAACTGCGGACTTCGGATGCTGCGGATGATAATCCACCGGCAGTGACAGTGGCCCCCGCCGTAAGAAGCCCGACAGCTTTCCCTGCAGTGGCCTGCCAGCGCTCCTCAACTCTGATGCGGGAACCAGACCCAGTTTCGCGCAGCGCATAACATCAACACTTCAGGAACGGTCGGCTTGGACTTTGTCATTGGCCATGTTCTTGCTGCACAAGAATACTGTCTGCTTTCCATGACTTCCCAGCTTTTAAATGCCTCATCTGAACACGGGAAAGTGGTCGCCAGTGCTGAAATTGCTGTGAAGCCTACTTCTCTTGAAACATCACCCACTCCAAAAATGAATTGACTGCAGTGAGACACCTGACGGTCTCACCGACGAGTACTCGATTGGTGATGGGATAAAGTCGAGCTAGGTCAGCGTTCCAAGAGAAATGGTCGTGGTACGTACTTAGAGGTACGTATCATGAGGCACTCTCAACCACGATTCATATTTCCCGGGGCGAAAAAGGGGCGACAGGTCGTGCCCTCGTTTCTGCTCACATACTTTGGACGCAACCGGGATTGTAGCGTTGCCGTGAACACATGCATCATGCTCTATTCCATTCGCGCCAGGCAGAGACCGGCACCTGCCCTGCTTCATTTACTAATACTACCTATGTTGTGGCCCTGGAGAACACGAGCTTGCTTGTCTTCAAGTTTGGGGCCCAGCAGGACAGCCTCAGAGTTCTGAGAGGGACTCGTCACTATTGGCGGTTTGTCTATCTTTCACACCCTCTCATACTCATAGACAAGGATCGTAAATCAACTCTCATCTCTCATCGCCATTCATTTTCTGTTTTTGGTTTGTCATGAATTTCGTAATGAACGCTTTCGTGCTCTTCCGTGCTTCCGCCGGTCACAATGTACTCCGCTCTGGCGAACCTCATATGGCCAAGCACTTTCTTTCGTGGTAGACATTTCTCTATCATGTTGCCGCAACCCTCTAGTACCACGAGGCGGAAATAACACACCCCGAGCTGACAATCGCTCTGCTCGGGTCCGGCTACATCAATTGCTGACTCAAGACGCTCAAGACATAGACATAGACAAATGCCGCCGTGGCAGCCGCAGGCCGGGTATCTCTGAAAAGGGGAAACGAAACGAAAACACTGTTGGCTTTTGTGGTCGAGGATGCCGCATTGCTTGCGCCCCCATCGGTCCCATTGCTACTCGATGTCGGCGGGACACCCGTGGCCGTGTAGACACCTGTAGGAAGACCGGATGAGGTTGTTGGTTCCATGGTTGCGGTTTTCCTACTGCTGGAGCTGCCAGTCTTGCTAACCTTGCCGCTCTGCTTGTTGCTCGTCGACGAAGACCTGCGGGAACTTGTTGAGCTCTCGGGTGCGCTGGTGACCATGCTGACAGGTGCAGTCCCTGGTACGCCTGCAATTGTCACGAGACTGGGGTCAGGCGATTGCCAGTCCGACTGCTCATCGTAGAGGACTCCATTGACAAGAACTCCCGCGTTGTTAGCCAGCATGTTTTTCTGGTCTGTGTTGCATGTAGCATCGATGGCACGCAGAAAACATGTGGGAGCAGCAGCTGGAGGGGCCGAGTTTTGATGGGTCGAATTGGCATCCCCAGAGGATGCGTACGTCGATAGGTCGACTGGGTTACCCATGCTGATGTCAGTGCCTTGGATGATGCGTGAAAACACTGTAAACATGGTCTCCGGTTGGTAGGCAGGAACCAAGTGGCCGGCATCATAGATCCGACTGAAGCTGAGGTTGCCATACTGCCGAACGACTCCGCCAACGTACGACCTGTTGGCCACGATCGGGGCATACCCGGACGAAGACCAGGGTAGATATGAGGGACCGGCAAGACCTGCTATTGCGAAGGAAACAGCCTCACCTCCTAGCCAGTTGCAGATATAGTCTCTGTCTCCGTAGATCAAAGCGACTCTAACGCCAGAGTCCAACAGCTCTGCTAGGTCCTGAATCATACCGTCGCGGGCATAGTCTCCGGTGGTATTGAATGCCTTAAACACCGCCGTAGAATCTTGGGTATAGTTTACGGGGACACCAATTGCTTGCTGTACTGGAAGCTGATTCAGGTAATCGAGGTACAGTGCGTTGGGGAACGGGTCCAGTAGGTCCTGAGAGATATCATAGATCGATCGTCCTGACTGAGTGTACGGTCCCACAACATTCGTTTCACATTCGAGTTGCGCTTGCGAACATGCGTCGTTGACAAGTTGAACATTGCCGTATCCTAAGGGGTCAAGAGCGGCCTCTTGTGCCCGACAGGTCGCAGTCAGTTGTTGGCAGCCATCGGCACTACTGTAGGCGCTCAGAGCGTTCAACTGTTGGAGCTGTGAGATTGCCTCAATCCCATACGTATTTTCATAGGCAAATCTCGGATGGTATGGGGTCTGTGTGAGGAGATCGATCCAGCCGTTGATGATCCCGAGGGATACCAGGCTCACTTCAATGGTACTGTTGGCGAACACGATATCCGTAGATCGGCGATCATTCTGTGTCTGGAAGAAGGTTCCTATCGCAGGCCCATACCTGCCACCAAAGCTTTCGGTGAAGAGATGAATCTCTGCCGTCGGGTGAATATCTTGTGCGCGGAGGGCAGTATTGTATTGCGGAAAAGAGGCCAAGAATGTCTGCAGGAAATGCCATATTGACTGGGCCGCGATTTGTGAGGTGTTTGCGGTGAACAAGGGATTTTCTGAGGCGAATGTCCCATTCAGGAAGCTATACGCAGGCTGTGTGATAGGTACACCTGTTGGTGGCATAACAATCGACTCGTCCAACAGATTGAGAGACGCATTGGTTGGAGTGTCGTAGGAGAATCCCACCTGAACTGGTTGATCGATGAAGACGATGTTGCTGCTACGATCCCAACCCCAGTCTCGAGGAATCGTCCCCAGAGAATCATCAGCGATCTCAATCACTTGACAAGGGCCGACCTCCTGGAACAGGCCGACCATGCTGCTCGAACCCGGACCTCCATTGATGAAGACGGTGAGGGGAGCCGATTCGGGCAGTTGCCTCGCCTCGATGAACCAGAAGAACGTATTGATGGTGTAATTCCCCTGACTAGGATCTAAGACATTCGGTGGCAGAGTAATGTAACCCGTAAACTGTTTTTGAGTCGCGAAGACCGTTGTACAAGTACCAACCGCAACACTTTGATAGCTGATTGTGACATCGGGGTTGACAGGAGACGGGAGCGTTATTCGAGTGTCATTATTGATGGGTGGAGCATATTGCCCCAGAATGACTGGCAGGAGGGACAAGAGACCGACGAAAAGATACTCCATCCATTTCGTCCATGGGGACGTACGCTGTTCAACATTTAGTCACTACTGAGAGTAGTTTCCGGAGGATGTGTTTGTACCATGTTACATTGACTGAGCACCTCATGAGAGCCTGATTTTCACACCTCCATGTCCCGGACCTTGAACATGTTCAACTTTCAACCACGTACCCAGCCTATCTGAGGGCGAGACGAGTGGAGGCAGTCTGGTCCGGGTCGAGATCGAAACGGTGGCTTGGACGCAGTCAAACTGGGTCGAAGGTGATCACCACCACTGAATCTCAAAACTTTTGCGTTGGGAGTGCGCTTGCGATTGAACTGAATAAGGCCGACGAGGGACGGAGCCTTGTACACTCAGGATGTGGGTACGAGAGCCTATCGATTGAGCAACACTATGTTCTGCAGCAAGACTGTTTGCTGTGCAGTCAAGCGATGACTCCAACCAGTGTCAAGCTGCACTCAATGTAGAGGGCGATGGCGAATCGGAGTGCAATGGAGAGTAAATGCAGGAGACGTGGAAGTTCGGGGTAGAGACGACCGCAGCCGGCATGGGCCTTTTGAGTGGAGAGAGTGCGTAACGCCAGTGGGATGCCCCGAATAACGCCATTTATTATGGACGCGTCTTCGATAAGAGGCTAGGGAGGCTATTATCATTATTATTTCGACGCCGCCCGTCGACCGTTTTTGGGGATTGATCTTTCTTCAGGTACCGAACCTTGTCGTCTGGATCATTTTCAGACTCGCAAACATCATCATAGGTACAGGTAGATAGGTAGATACACAGGCTGTGGTGTTCATCATGGCTATACGTACCTGGTCAAGCCCAAAACTACAAGATACTACTACCACTACTACGTACTAGGGTACTGGACTCAGCCTTGCGGACAAGGCTCCGTTCGAGCACGTGACGCTTCCCGCCAAGCCCGACTTTTCAAGTTGACTCGAGATCATGATGGACTTCAGGCTGAACTTTGCAGTCGCGCCGACGCGGGATTCCAAGCACTACCACCTGCGAGAAGATTTCTGAATACTCTTCACCTTATCAACAGGTCTGCGATCTCGTCTGGTCCCACTCCCGCTTGCGCGGCGGTTACTCGTTTATCGAGAGGAGAGTGGACAGTCATGGCCTATAATGGCTTCGCTGGCTTTGGTGAAGATGCTATGGATGGCGTCGAGACCTCAGGACCCAAAGTGACAGTCAGAGATGTAAGTACAGTTCAATTCAGTCTCTCGTGCCTTGTTTCTAACAACGACCAGGTCGAGCAAGACCGCTGTGATTTTGTTTTGCAATCATGCTCCCTCGCGATGGCGAACTCCCTGCGTCGCGCCATCCTGGCCGAAATTCCTACCATCGCTGTTGACCTCGTCGACATAATTACCAACTCATCTGTTTTGCCCGACGAATACCTGGCTCATCGATTGGCGCTAATCCCCCTCATGAGCAAAGGCGTTGGGGAAAATTTAAATTATACAAGGGACTGCGATCGATGTGACGACCACTGCGAGTACTGCTCTGTAGTGTTGCGCCTCCATGCACGGTGTACAAGGCCAGGTACAATGATGGTTTATGCTCGTGACTTGACTGTTGCGGAACCTCGTCAGGACGCCATTGGCACACCAGTCATTCGGGATGTTGATGGCACGGGGCCACTTATTGCAAAGCTGAGACAGGGTCAAGAGATCCATCTGGAATGCATTGCAAAGAAGGGCATCGCCAAAGAACACGCAAAATGGGCTCCAACGGCAGCAGTGGGATTTGAATATGATCCGAACAACAAGTTGCGACACCTCGATTACTGGTACGAAACCGATGCGAAGGAAGAGTGGCCTGTCGACGAGCGTAATGCCACATGGGAGGGTGATGAGACCGCAGCCGATGCTACATTTGACCCTGACGCCGTGCCCAGCGCCTTCTTCTTCGACGTGGAAGGCGTGGGCACGCTGGAACCAGATGACATCGTACGTGGCGGAATCGAGGTCATTCAGAAGAAGCTGGCCGAGACCATCAAAGTTCTAGGAGGTGTTGGAGCCGCCGGAGTGGATGCCATGAATGGCGATCAAAGTCCCGATGCGTACGAACCGGCTCCTGCAGACGGGGGCTATGGATCATATGGTGCACTCAGAGGCGGTGCAACTCCTTACGGCACGACCCCTTATGGTGCTGGAGGGTATGGTTCTTATTAGGTGTCTTTTCTTCCACGAATACATACTATGGCATTTGCATGGCGAGGCGTTGGATGGGCATGACCCGGCAAGGAAAAGCTTTCGCAGTCCCAAGCAGGCTCAGGGAGGCGACATTTGAATTTTGACGTTTTGGGGATGCCACATGAGGCATGGCGTGGACAAGTCAGTAGTCCCGCCGGCATCAGGTGTAGATAGAATGGGAAGTCGCTGAACGGTCATTGCCATTCGCAAGGTGGCAGAAGGCATTCTACTAAAAGGCTGAGAGGTGAACACAGACTCGGATGGAGCCATGCGCTATGATAACGAAACGACTGCTATTCTCCCTCCTTTCGTGCTAGGTACTACTAGCACCCAGCTTGATAGATAGGTACATAATGCAGTGTAAGTACCTGACGTAAGGTAGCTGCGACGGTAGCTGTAGTAGAAACCCAGGTACCTTATGTAATGCATTGCTTCAGCAGCAGCTGTGGGAACGTGATGTTTTACTACGTATTAACAAGTCTTCGACTAGCCATGAGTCCATCCACCGTCTTTCCCTCTGGCTGTAGGTGCAGCTGGAACGGGCAAGTGGGAAGGGCTCTTGTGACTGGACATTGGATATCGTAGTCAGCAATGCGTGAGCTGTCTGCTTCCGTAATCGATCGAGAGGGTGCGGGACTCCGCGGACATTTGGAATAAAACCTGGTTGAAGTGCAGAAGAGCAATTAATTAGAAGCGCATCCTCATTGTCGACAAGACCTCGACGTTGAATATTTTTACTTCTTGTTGTACTGCATTCCTCTCAAGTCAGTTCAGTTGTGTCCAGAGTAGACAGAACCACCGCTATATTCCCCTTCCGAAACCGTGGCCCGCCGGCGGTGTGTTTGATGGGACAAGAGCAATACGCAGCCTAGCCCTCGGAGCATTGTATTCCGCCAGTCAGGAAACGTCTTTCAGCTCTTGGTGACTTCAGAGCTGCTCACTGCCCCGCCAAACGTCAGGGCTTTTAGCCATAATCCCGAGTTGCCCCCCAAGACTTCGTTCATCACCTCAGGCTTGAACTGTAAATTTTCTCAACAGCCTGCTTGCCTTTCAGACTCCTTTGCTATCTCCTCATCACCCTATCTTCATCCTCAACCATCATCGGAACCAGCAAAATGGGCTACAGTGACCTCGATTGGAAGGCCATCAACACGGTCCGGCTGCTTGCGGTATGTTTCCTACCCCGCCGTATGTTTACGATAAGTTGGCTGACTGCTCGTCGTTCAGGTCGATGCCACTCTCAAGGCGAACAGCGGCCATCCGGGAGCTCCCATGGGTGAGTAGCATCTTGTCCTCATATTTACAGTCCATCTAACAAGCTGTCATAGGGCTTGCTCCTGCGGCACATGTCCTGTGGAACAAATTCATGACCTTCAATCCCAAGAACCCCCTGTTCATCAACCGAGATCGATTCGTCCTATCGTGAGTACCTCTAAACGACTCCTTGCCCGTCATGACCTTGGGAAGAGAGTGGAATACCGTGCATACCAAAGGTTCCAGTTGGAAGAGAAATCCGTTTCTCTCATTCAACTGGAGTCGCGCACGGGGAGATACCGCGCTAATATAGCATCTTCACGTCACGGCCACTGCTGCGAGACAACCCAATCTAACTTCCCACAGGAATGGACACGCTTGCATGCTCCAATATGCTCTCCTTCACTTGTTCGGCTACGGCGTCTCAATGGACGATCTCAAGCACTTCCGGGTAGGTCGAGCTAAGCCAATTCATTGATCATGTCTGACTCGTCGCAGCAAATCGACAGCATCACCCCGGGCCATCCTGAGACTCATGACACACCCGGAATCGAGGTTACAACCGGCCCTCTAGGCCAGGGATTTGCCAACTCAGTGGGATTGGCCATTGCCCAGGCCCACACCGCCGCCGTCTTCAACAAGCCAGGCTATGAGCTTATCAACAACTACACATACTGCATCTTCGGCGATGGCTGCGCCATGGAGGGTATTGCAAGCGAGGCTGCTTCCACTGCTGGCCATCTTCAACTGGGCAACTTGATCTGCCTTTACGATGACAACCACATTTCCATTGGTAAGCTCCCCAGCCCAAAAGCCCCAACATGGAGGGACTAATGTAGCTAGATGGTGACACCAAGTGCGCCTTCACCGAGGATGTCTCAAAGCGATTCGAAGCCTATGGCTGGCACGTGCAGCACGTCAAGGATGGTGATCACGACCTCGCCGCCATTGAAGAAGCCATCGCCAAAGCTAAAGAGGTCAAGGACAAGCCATCCATGATCAAGGTTACGACCACCATTGGCTTTGGTTCCAAACTCCAAGGCACTGGCGGCGTGCATGGCAACCCTCTCAAGGCCGACGATGCCAAGCAGGTCAAGGCCAAGTTCGGCTTCAACCCTGAAGAGTCGTTCGTTGTGCCACAGGAAGTCTACGATCTCTACCACAAGCATGCAGCCGAGGGCGCCGCTGCTGAGGAAGCCTGGAACAGCCTGTTCAAGAAGTACAGCAGCGAGTACAAGGAGCTGGCTGATGAGTTGACTCGGCGCCTCTCCAGGAAGCTGCCCGAAGGCTGGGAGAAGAAGCTGCCTGTGTACAAGCCAACCGATCCTGCAGAAGCTTCCCGAAAGCTTTCAGAGAAGGTCTTGGAGGATATCCACGAAGCCATCCCTGAACTCCTGTCAGGTTCTGCTGATCTGACAGGAAGCAACAACACCCGATGGAAGAACGCCGTAGATTTCCAGCCCCCCTCGCTCGGGATTGGTGACTGGTCCGGACGATACCTTCGTTATGGTGTCCGGGAACACGGTATGGCCGGTATCATGAACGGTATCTCCGCCTACGGCACTCTGATCCCCGCCGGAGGCACGTTCTTGAACTTTGTGTCATACGCCGCCGGTTCCGTGCGTCTCTCGGCCCTTTCGCACCAGCGTGTCATCTACATTGCCACCCATGACTCGATCGGTCTTGGTGAGGATGGTCCAACCCATCAGCCAATTGAGACTCTGGCTCACTTCCGAGCACTCCCCAATATTATGGTTTGGCGACCTGCAGATGGCAATGAGACCTCTGCGGCATATTACATGGCGCTTACATCGACATCGACGCCCTCGATCCTGGCATTGACCCGACAGAACCTGCCTCAACTCGAGAACTCTACCATCGAAAAGGCAATCAAGGGAGGCTACGTTGCCTATGAGGTTGAGAATGCTGACGTCACGTTGGTGTCTACGGGATCAGAAGTTGGGCTTTGCATTGAGTCCGTCAAGGAGCTCAAGGACAAGCATGGAATCACTGCTCGAGTTGTCTCCATGCCCTGCACGGAGGTCTTCGATGCTCAGCCAAAGGAGTACCAGCTTCAGGTGCTCCCAGACGGCATTCCAGCCATGTCTGTTGAGGTTATGTCTACCCTTGGCTGGGAGAAATACTCCCACGAGCAATTCGGTCTGAACCGCTTTGGTGCATCCGGCCCGTACAAGGATGTCTACAAGGTATGTCCCTTTCACCCTTGATCATTTTGTGCTCGCTAACATTTGACAGAAATTCGAATTCACTCCGGAGGGCATCTCCAAGCGTGCCAAAGCCACAGTCGAGTTTTACAAGGGCTTGAAGCCTCGCTCGCCGGTCAACCGCGCGTTCCAGCAACTCATCTAAATTCACCCAGTATCTATCAGGAGCTGCGCGTGGCGGGATAGCAACGAATGAAGCTCGAAACCACTGCCCAAGTTAATTGGGCATGAGATTTTGCGAGATGGGACATGAGGGAGAGCAACATGGATTTTACGCGATCCCTCACCACAGATAGACCAATGTAACGGACATAAAGATCATTGAGCAGCATTTCCCGAACAGTAGTCGTCATGGCAATGTGTTCTCCTGCACTTCGCCGTGGACAGCTAGGTGTCAAAGTCGTAGGACCAGCGTATGCTCCATTTGAGCAATAGGACCGACTGGCGATGAGTTTGACTTGTACAGGTATTGATTGACAGGACCCATGCATGGCGTCTGCGGAACACCTGTCGCGGACATCCTGGTCGGTCTTCTCCACGATTAGTAGCTGGCAGAAGTGAAAGGTGAAGGTCTTCCCGAGCAAGGACAGGGTTCGTTGCCTCAGACGGCCGCGAAGAACGCCACCCTAGCCGAAGGGCTGTTCCGTCGCGGTGTTTAGTGTCCACAATCCTAAGTGATATAAAGCATGACAGGTAAGTGCTCGCAAGCTTGAGAAGTTGGTCCCACGTTATTGCTTGAATGTTTGAGGGTGTTGTGACTCTGTAAGTGCGAGTCGCCGTGGGACCAGACACCCCGCAGTCTTTTAGGAGGATACAAACATCCGAACTGCCTTCTTCCCTTGTTTATTCTCTGGAAACGGTACCTCTGCTGTTCAGCGACCAAGCCAAACGGTCAGCAGTCGACCGGGTCAATGGCGCCATCAACATGGCTTGTTGTTGGAGCGTCTAGAGGCATAGGGCTCGAGTTTGTGCGGCAATTGTTAGAGCAAGGCAACCAGGTCATTGCAGCAGTGCGAAACCCTGAGACGGCCAACCAGATTTGGCAGTTGTCTGCTCAGCCAACGAGACCTGGAGCGTGTTTGATAGAACAGTGCGATGTTACCGACGAAGCCAGCATTGATGTGAGTAAGAAAACAATCTTCAATCAGTGGAATCGTGGGAACGATCAAAGGCAGTAATGTTTGATATCTGATATGAATACAGGCATTTGTGGATCGAATGAAAGCACTGGTGTCCAAAGGGATGAAGATTGATAATCTTATATTAAACGCCGGTATCTTGAAATATCCCAACGTACGAGCATCCTTTCTTCTCACCAGGCGAGACACTACTAACGGACAATCAGCGAGCCACCGAAATGTAATGAGAGCAGTTCTCGCCGCCCGACGGTCTAGTACTGGATGCTGACGGTCTGTTTGGCACAGATCATTTAGTGACTTCGCTCTGCACCTCCATACCAACACCATCGGGCCCATTATCGTGGCACAGAAACTGCTCAGTATCAGCAGTGCCGATCCGCCATCGAAAGTCGTCTTCATATCCTCCGACTCGGGATCAACAGCGGACTTCCGAGACCATGAGGATGGGTTCGGTGCATACGCTTCGAGCAAGGCTGCTCTCAACCAGATGTTAAGGCACATGGCTGCCGAGTTGAAGAGAAAAGGGGGAAAGTGGCAGGATGTATGCGTCTTAGCCATGCATCCCGGAGAAGTGCAGACGTGAGCGGCTCCTGCTGAACACTGCGGAGATGATTGACTAACCTCGCTCTTTCGCGTCTCTTCAGGGATATGGCCAATAATATCAGTGTTGACTGGGAGGTCGAAGGCGTCATCAACGCCGACGAGAGTGTCGAAAAGATGTTGAAGGTCATTGGCGAGAAGGACAAGAGTCACAGTGGCACTTTCTGGCGTTGGGACGGGCGGGTAAGTGCTGTTTGGCGTCTATCACGACCTTGCGACGTTGACACTGACACGTGTGGTAAGGAACATCCCTGGTGAGGGTCGAAACAAGATGATCCGGCCCGCTTTCTACTTCGAATTCTTAGTTGGTTTGATGCGTGAATCACAGCAGCCTCTACACAAACGCAGACGACGGTAGGGGTATTAGCAAAAGCATCATTCCCCTTCTCGTTCAGGCAAGGTGAAAAGGAATGGCGACAAGAAGTGAAGGCATAGAGTCAGCATCACGAGAAGTACATGGTTTATGGGCAGCAGCTCGTGATAGAGGAAGGGATATGTTTTCAGTTCAAGGAACAAGACGATCATGTCACTCGGCAGCCTCGTTGTCTCTCATTGTACCAAGTGTAGATAGACAGATATACGTACCTGAGAGATGTTGCGTTGAGTGGTACGGCGTTTGTATTACTAAGCTACACGCTCTTTTTGCCGGTCGGTCGCGCTTACCCGGATTGGCATAGCGGCCCCTAAACCCAAATTCTTTGATTGCCTGATGACTTTTTTGGTCTCTTGGTCTCTTGGTCTCTGAAATCTACCGCCTCCCTCTTTCTACCACCACCACATCCACAAACCTCAGCTTCATCAAGTCTTCTCTTTGCATCTTCTGCCAGTTTTCCCTGCAGTCGATTGCTATTCTGCCCCGCCCCCTGCCGAAAATACTCGTGCCCTGAAAAAAACGTGAAAACCCCCCAATCCTCAGACGGAACCCTTGAGTCGTGCCGTAAGTCACCTGTTCCAAGCCTGCGCATCCTTTTTCACGAAGACCGCACGTCAACTGGACTTCCTACTGACGGCGATCATAGTGCTCCCGACTCCTGTTCACTTAATCCTTACTCAGTACCTTGTCCTCCACGCGCACCATTCCTGTCAGTACCTACCTCTTTTTTGGTCGATCTAAAAAAGAAAATCATCACACAAAAAGGTGAGCGCGATTCCTTTATCAGGCTTCAGCAAGCGAACAAAGCAACTCGCAACCGGCTGCCTAACCACAATTCCATTTCAAGCTCGACGGTGACTGACACATATCTACAGCAAACATGTCTGCAGCCGACGTGTCCACTACCTCTTCGGCCACCGGCCAAAACGGTGCTTCGGAAGCGCCTACCCAGAACGGCACCCCTGCGATCAACACCAACGTTGCGCAATCCGACGCTGGCAATGACAATGATGCCGCCACTCCGTACTCTGCTACTCCCAATAATGCAGCGCACTCCGCCTCCCTCTATGTCGGGGAGCTGGATCCCTCCGTCACCGAGGCGATGCTCTTCGAGCTGTTCTCGTCCATCGGCCAAGTCGCCTCCATCCGTGTCTGCCGTGATGCTGTCACTCGTCGCTCCCTCGGTTATGCCTACGTCAACTACAACAACACCGCTGATGGAGAAAGAGCCTTGGAAGATTTGAACTATACCAGCATCAAGGGTCGCCCTTGCCGCATCATGTGGTCTCAGCGTGATCCCGCGCTTCGCAAGACCGGTCAAGGCAATGTTTTCATCAAGAACCTGGATGCGGCCATCGACAACAAAGCCCTCCACGACACATTCACTCAGTTCGGTAACATTCTCAGCTGCAAGGTCGCCCAGGACGAGCTCGGAAACTCTAAAGGTTACGGGTTTGTCCACTATGAAACCGCCGAGGCGGCCAATTCAGCCATCAAGTCCGTCAATGGCATGTTGTTGAACGACAAGAAGGTCTTTGTCGGTCACCACATTGCTAAGCGCGATCGTCAGAGCAAGCTGGAAGAATTGAAGGCCAACTTCACCAATGTCTACATCAAAAACATTGACGAGTCTGTGACTGACGAGGAATTCACCGGGCTTTTCGAGCCCTACGGAGATGTTGTGTCTGCAACCATCACTCGGGATGAGAATGGTAAGAGCCGTGGCTTCGGTTTCGTCAACTTCGTTGATCACGAGGCGGCAGCCAAGGCCGTCGATGAGCTGAATGACAAGGAGTTCCACGGCAAGAACTTGTACGTTGGACGTGCCCAGAAGAAGCACGAGCGTGAAGAAGAGCTCCGCAAGCAGTATGAAGCTGCCCGCATGGAGAAGGCTTCCAAGTACCAGGGCGTCAATCTCTACATCAAGAACCTGACCGATGACGTCGACGACGAGAAGCTGCGCGACCTCTTCAGCGGCTATGGTACAATCACCTCGGCCAAGGTCATGCGCGACGCCGTCGAGCGTACCGCTTCTCCTGCGGATGACAAGGACAAGGAGAACAAGAAGGAAGAAACCCCCGAGGGTGATGCAGAGCAGAAGCCCGAATCTGATGAGAAGGAGGAATCCAAAGATGAGTCCAAGGAGTCCAAGGAGACCAAGGAGACGAAGAAAGACAACAAGACCCGGACCTTGGGTAAGAGCAAGGGTTTCGGCTTTGTGTGCTTCAGCAACCCAGATGAAGCTTCCAAGGCTGTCTCGGAAATGAACCAGAAGATGGTCAATGGCAAGCCTCTCTATGTTGCTCTCGCCCAACGCAAGGATGTTCGCAGAAATCAACTCGAGGCTAGTATCCAAGCACGGAACACCCTTCGCCAACAGCAACAAGCCGCCGCCGCCGGTATGCCTCAAGGTTACCTTCCGCCTGCCGTCTTCTATGGCCCGGGACAGCAGTTCCTCCCACCAGGAGCCCAGCGTGGCATGCCGTTTGCCGGTCAACCTGGTATGGTCATCCCTGGTATGCAAGGCGGTCGTGGACAATTCCCCGGTGGATTCCCACAACAGGGTCGTGGCATGCCTCAGGGTCAACAGCTGCCTCCCAACTTTGGACTGCCCGGACAGATGCCGTTCATGCAGAACCCTGCTCTTGTCAATGGCATGTACAATAACCCTCAAGCAATGGCCCAGATGCAAGGCCAGATGGGTCGTGGAGGTGGCGGCCGTGGTCAGATGCAAGGGATGCAGGGTATGCCTCCCAACATGCAGGGCATGGGCGGAATGCGTGGTGGACCAAACTTCCCACCAGGTGGCCGAGGTGGCATGCAGAACATCCCAGGTGGTCAAGGTGTTGGACGTATGCCTCCTCAGGGACGAGGGCAGATGATCCCCAACAGAGAGGAGGTCAACGCACCAAGCAGCCTCAACAACCTGGCGACCATGCCTCCTAGCCAACAGAAGCAGCTGCTCGGTGAGGCCATCTACCCGAAGATCCAGCAGATCCAACCAGAGCTTGCAGGCAAGATTACTGGTATGCTTTTGGAAATGGACAACTCTGAACTTGTGTCTTTGTGAGTTCTTCTGCCCCATCTTTTGATGAGTTGAAACTTTGACCGCTAACAATTTCATAGGGTCGATGATGATGCTGCCCTTCGCTCCAAGGTTGACGAGGCCCTTCGTGTCTACGATGATTACATGAAGAGCCGAAGTGAAGGCGCCCCCAACGGCACAAAAGAGGAGGAAGCGCCCAAGGCCGAGACTGCTGAGGCCACCGCCGCCTAAGCCCAACCCTCGTCCGCTTTTTCAAGTCTTTCGACAGAACATTTCTCCCAAATTGCATGTTCAGTGCATTCGTTTCAGGCGACATGCCTTTACTCAAAAGTTTTGATATGCAACATTGTCGAATCGCCTCTACACGGGGCTCGACATATGGAGCTGGGGCTTGGTGGAAATGGAGTGGCAGGCGAACGGCGTCTTAGCTTGAGGCTATCTATGGCTTGAACCTCTTTTATCCCTGGTGGTTGGGTGGTGATGAGCAGCTGGCTTTATTGTGTATGATAGACTGGGAATATGGTTCTTTCAGACTGCCCTCTATGCAGATAGGTGGGTATGGTAGCTACTCATTTTCCGGGATATCAATCCTCGTGAGTCTCGAGACACGGTTGCATGCCCTTCAACCTGCATAGATAGTTTTCTTCTAATACAACCACTCTACCATTTCCTTGTCCTCGTATCCAGTGAACTTCTAATTACAATGTCCCACCCAGTCTCGACCTGATCTCTCAGACGAACAGGCATTTCCCAGCCTTGTCCTTCACACGTAGATACCCCTGAGAATGGGGTCGCGAATACCAAGGCGCTGACGAGGCCGCTCTGATTGAGCTCACTGGACTCACATAGTTCTGTTCCCCTACATGGCGTTTTTTGTAGAGTACATCAACTGCGAGCATGGCCGGCCGAGTAGAGCTTGTTGACGAGAAAGACATTGACCCCAGGGGATAGCGTTGGTGGCTTTTCATGCGGTGCTCATATATAAGCAAGGCTGGCAACAGTATCTGCGAATGTCATCTGCCGTGACTGTTAAGCATAAAGAAGGAGACAAGCCAGGATCGGTTTCATGATCTGCCCCAGCTGCTCGCTCATCTTTGATTGACATCCTGCTTGAATGACAAGGCGAGCGGCCTCCTGGACAACGACGACGACAACGCTGCTGTACTGCAGCGGACTCCCCTGTTTTCTTTTCCTTTGTTGTGTTAGTCTTTGAAATCGTCAGGCGTTGAAGGTTCTTCTCAACAATCCCATGTTTGTTTACGCGAACGCGCTGCGCAGGCTGACTAGTTTTTCTTCACCTCTTCCGCGCACCACTTCCCTATCTCACCCTCATCACACAGATTGGAAACAGCGTCAAGGCATTCCAACGCGATTCGTATTCGCATTGATCATCACCTGTTAGCTTCCACATTCACCTTCGCGTTCTCGTACCCACATCTTCCTAATCCAGACCAATATTCACAGCGCGATGCAGAAGAGAGCCATGTCGCGAGTCACCAGCTCAGGCGAGTCTGAAGGCGAAGCGGAGCAAGGCCTCTTCTTCGCCTCGCCCTCACCGCCACCACTGCACTTGCCACGACAGACTCCTCAAGACAGCGTGCTGACCATGGTGGAAGAAGCGAACAAGACCAAAGCATTGGCCCCGCCTGTCGCGAACTTCATGACACGCAACAATGGTAACAAATTTGCCTTCCTCGGTCTCGTGCGTCGTCAGGTCGAGTTGATCAAGGCCCGCTCTCAAGATATTCGTGATGGCCAAGTCACCGTCTTTGACAAGGCACTTCTGCAGCTCAGCCAGGATGGACGCGAGCTGGATAGCCCTGTTGTCATACGGTTTTTTGCCGAACAGTTCTTGGGCATCAACATGGATCCGAGCGGACGGTCAGCGTCAGCTGTGGAAGCTAGTCGTGTCCTTGAACGTGCTGTCCAAGTTGGACGAGGAGTTAAGATGGAGCAGACTCTGATGAACAGACAGAACCAAGGCATGTATCCATCCCATCACCCACTGAACTGGAAATTGCATAAAGTGCAATAAAGGTTTCTGCCTCTGTGCGCAGCCCTGTGAACTCAGGTCATGGGTAGTGGCAACAACATATGCTGACGTGTATAATGTACAACAGGAGTCGGTGCCAGAGCACACAATGCAGGTCTATCTCCACAGAAACCCAAGGCCAAGGCCAAGCGCACACTAGGAGGAACATTGACACTCGGCGATGAAGGAGGAACACGCATGGGTCTAGACGTACCACTTACAGACACCGCTCACCTGAAAGACCCGCAGTTGGCACGTCTCTGGGCCATGTACTGCACAGCGAAACAAGACTTTGCGACCCGTTCGAACACCAACATTAGTCCTGAGGCATTGTTGCCAGCAGCCAAATTCCTTCGTGACACAGCTGAGAATACCATCCAGTATCTCAAAGACAAACGCATCGATCCGACCATGGAAACCGACCTGCATGCGACGTACAATATGGCCAAGGCGACCGTGGTTTCGCTCACCGGCGGAAAGAAACGCAAGTTCGACAGCATCAATCCAGAAGACACCAAGGACGCGCCACGTGGACCGAGCACGGGTGTAGACAACAGCATTGTTGCTGAGAGGAACCCCACAACACGACGACTGCCAGGATCGAGTTCCGGATCTGGTGGACCGGTCAACACATCAAGTGCGGCGGCGTACTCTGCTCGTGGCTCCGATCCGGCAAGTGACAACCGCATGGGACTGATACGTGGTGGTTACGCCCGTAGCAGCTCCGACTATGACAGACACTCTCACAACGAAGCCGCTGAGAGATCTTACGACCAGGCCGTGTATGCTAGACCACGAGAGGTGGACAGCTACCGCCCTAGTCGTCAGCGATCAGTCAGTCCACGTCAACGTCGCCGAGGAGCAGCGGGTGGTTCGCCATCTGAAAGACAGGACAGACTCGAAGCTGCCAGGATGAAGTCCATTGCAGACCGGGCTCGACCTGCTCATCTTCCGCCCATCCCGCTGCCACCTGCTTCTCCCCGTGGTCGTGGCCATAGTGGTATCCCTTTCGGCTATTCCCGTGCAGTGGACTCCTACCAGCCAGACAAGGAAGACAACCACAAAGACCACCCATACCGGGACAGACACCTCTAGGCAATCGGACAAAAGATCTGATGATCAATGAAGGAGAGAAGGGCGTTGGGGGTTTCGTCGGAGAATGGTTGGCGCTGTTGTTTGATTGATTAGTGCAGAGGCATCAGTCAACAGGAGGCAGGATTTGTCTTCAAGTGATGTTGCGTTGTTGCTGATGGTCGCAGGCAGGCAGGCAGGCGTGGTGTGGTGTTTGTGTACGTACGTGGCACGGTTGAGAAGAGAATTGCCTGGAAGGGTAAGCATGGATCAGGACAACCCCTATCTAGTTGTCCAGAAAGCTGTTCTGTCCATAGCCACAATGGATTGTATTGTATCGAGACGTAGATAGCTACTAGGTACCCAAGCAACATGTAGGTATCACATCACTTGTGTAAATGTGATTGACGCCCGTGCAATCAACACCTGTTTGTTTATGATTCAAGTTCACAACTTGAAGAGGCCGCCTGTGCCAAAAGCAAGCCTTACCTTATTTGGACAATAAAAATGCTGCTCTATTCAAGTAAAGTTATAGAAGCGGGTACTAGTAGTGATCTGTTAAAACAGCGTTACTTATCTCTAGGACGGCGCCATGGCCATGCTCGCCATTTATTACTGTTCTTCCCCTTCAAGTTTGTAGCACGACGTGATCAACTTTAAACAACCAACATCAATCGAGAGAGATCATCTACCCATCACAATTGAGATGGCAGTCTCCAGGGTGCCATGTCAGGGACTCCTGGCTAAGCTTCAAAGCATGCACCCTTGTTATGATTGGATGAAAAATATGTGCTCAAAGCGACTCCGCCCGTAGTTCTATCAGGTCGGAAATGTCAGATAATGTCAGCCTGCCAGGTTCCAGCAGCTGGAGTGTCGTTTCCTCAGTCCGCGGCGGATCTTTTGAAGGGATCGGATCCAAGGATTATGCAAACACTTCCATCCCCGTCTCCGGCACACTTCGCGACCCCTCAAAGCCAAAACCAAACCATGGATTTAAACTCAAAATCTTTGACTTTCCTTGGATTCCAGGGGATTGAAGCGGGATCGAAGGCTTCGAAGCTGGGTGGCACCCCTTTGCATACCGCCTATTTGAAGATTCAAGGCTACATTAGGTTCTATTAAGTAGGAATATTTCTTGCGGGGAGAAAAGGCGTCCATGGCATGTGAGATCTTGTTGCTGACACCCTCCTTCGGTTTCGTCCGACGTACACCACGCATCCTTTCCGTCACTCCTCAGCCCTACCGTGGTCAAGGTCAAGGTCAAGGTCAAAGTCATGCACGGTCTCAGTGTGGTTCAGGTACTAGTACTCGGCTTACCTCGACGCGCATCGAAGAATCGACGATCGAAGGCATGGGAGACTCCGATAACCTTGTCGAGGCTGGATCTACGGATCCGTAGGTTTGAGTTCCCCGGTCAATCTCACACCCTCAATATGGAAACCTTATGGTATTCTTTCTGGCTCATCGCTAAGAAGCTTCCACCGTCACAGGAACACTGACACTGACGTTGACGGCGATGACTGAACCAAAATCCGTCGGAAGCAAGAACAAGTATTAGCTGTCATTGCACGAGGCAAAAGGGTGCCATCCAGGAGAAAGGGGAAAGATACGTCTTGTGTATACGTATATCACGCTCGAAAAGATACGACCCAGCGAGAACGCAACAATACAACGACCGTCCAGGTATCGTTCAGGGACCACTGCAGTGTATACCACATGGCTCGTCGGAAAGTTCGAGGGGTCAAAAACTAAACCCCTAGGTCCATGTGGTGAACTGATGAACTTACCGGTATCTGTTAGGTACTGTACCTACATAGGTAGGTACCTTAGGGATGTATCGGACCTGTCATTCTGTTGCTCGGAGCATCAACGCCCTCAGCCTCTGGCAAGTTCCTCCTGCTCCGACTTCTGCATCGTGACGAAGATGAAGGTGCCTCAGGCAACTAAGGGGTACCTACCTATAGTACCTTGAGGTCAGTAGCGGGACCGCGCCGTAAGGTCTCAACTGAGAGTCTGTCTTACCTTCCCACGGAAAACAAATATCCCGCCAGGATAATCCCAACACCAAATCACCTCCGACCACGATCATCACATCTGTTGGTGAGTCAGCTCGGTGTCTTCCCCAGCGGACACCTTGATCCCAGGTACCATTTCCACAAGTCATGCAAAACAAAAAGGGTAGAACTAGAATAAATATGCTTTCGTGAACGAAGAACGAAGGACGAAGGACGAAGCTTAACCCACAGACATATCTTGGGTGGTAAATGAAAGCGAAACAAAACAAAACAACACCATACTACCGTAGGTAGACAATCAATCATTTGTTTCATGGCCACGGTAATTCATTTTGCTATCATTACACTCACTGCCTAGATGACTATCGCTCCAGCGCCAGCTACAAATCCAGCTTCGATGTACAAGCACAGCCAGAGTTCCAGTTCATCCTTTGGCCACCGATACCGAGGCAATCGACAACCTAGTACCTAGTAATCAAGCCGAAACGCCCCCGTATACGTACACGTAATTCCATCGTGGCCTTCGATAGACCCCTTTCCCTCAGATCATTATGTTTATCGCGGTGTCAAAAGACCAATGTTGCCTGATCGACCTGTCGACCCGCCAGCCAATTCAATACCCCTGTTTGGATCGAATTCGCAGGGAAAAAAACAAAACAAAAACATCCACAAAGATGCATAATCAATCAACTGCTGATTGAAAAGATCACAAGCCCTCGTGAGACACATGCGCCGGCAGAGATGCCCAATGGGTTTTGCCTTTGCAGGCCTTTGCCGCTGCGTGGCAGGTTGGCAGATGCCGTGAGAGATGGATGGTCTGGCCTGGCCTGATTGCTCTGCTCGTCTGTCACACCGCGGAGAATCTACCCGGGGCGTGGATTTGACACATCCGTGGTCTCAGTCCTTGATTCTGTGGGGTGCGAAATGAGCAGCAAGGTACGGTCGGCACTTCAGCAAAACAAAGCCATCGTCAAGTACAGCTAGGCGTACGCGTACAACCAGCTTTTCCCCGGGCTGCTTGCTATACGACATACGTGCAGGATTGATGGATGGGACTGAGTGCGTTGTGGGTATGGAGTCAACCATTGTTTTTTCATATTATTGAGTAACCTTGAAAAGCTGGCTGTGGAACACCGATAGAAGGTTTGGTAGACATCCGTGGCAAGCCGCAACCTTGCAGGCCATTCTGGTTAGGATCAACATCCCATGCCAGTTGGTAGAGAGATGCTTGCATGCAACATGCCAGTGCAGCCCAACTCATCAGCACCAAGAACCATTGACATTTTGCGCCACGCCACTCCCTGCCCGTGCGCACCACCATACTAGCAGGATGTCGTGCCATTGGAGGTGCTCGCTTGATTCTTCCGCTACTCCCTGAACTTTCAGCTGTCCCAACCGCACCGCCACATGCTGCGGGGGAAAATAAAACCTCCCAATATTGATTTCCATGGTAGCCGTCGAGGCCGTCTTTCAACCCCGCCATCGGCCGTTCAGTGGCAGCTCCTTTGGCGACCGTGCGGCATATTTGATTGAATGAATAGAATTGGATTGATCCATGCTTCGTGTCTGCACGGCATTGCTCCAGCAAAGGGGAAAAAACTTCTGAGGGGTATCTCGTTTTTGACAAACACAAGCTTCCTTCCCGGCTCAGGACGGATAATCTCTTGTGTCTGTCTAACCTGTCCGGAAGTTGGAAAAGCAAACGCACATGAATCGCTCAGGGATTAGGGTACCCAGACATAACAATATCGTACCGCCAATCCGCCCCCTCAGTCCGCTTGCACTGGTATCTGCAGTGGAGTTGTTACGTCAAACTCGGCAGAGCGTTCAAAATCAGGTAGTGGCGGGTTCAGTAGTTGATCTTGTGATGTACCGGACATGAAGTTGTCGGGAATGACAGGAAGGTCGCTGAAGGCCAGTGAAGGATAGTCGCCGAAGGTCTGCCCCGACATGGTTAGATGTTGGTTGAAGAAGTCGTTCTCTAGGCTGCTGAGGTGGGCGTGGATCTCCTCGGGAGCCTTGCAGCCTTCGCAGCTGGCGTGGGCCAGAAGAATAGAGTTCATCTGTTGAATCTCATCCTTCATCCGCATCACTTGATCCTTCAGGTACGCGTTCTGAACGGCCTTTTCGTGCGAATCCCGCTGCAGCTTCTCCGTCTTTTCCTTCTTATTGATGCGACACTTGGCGGCGGCGAGTCGGTTCTTCTCAAGCGACTGCCGTCTCTTCTGATCCTCTGCAGAATCACCCTCTTCACTGACAGAGGTTGAAGCTTTTCGAGAAGCTTTTCGTTTCCGCCCGACTGTGGTGCTGCTGCTGCTCGTGCCATCTGCGGTAGTGGCAGTAGACGCAGGCGCCGCTGTAGAGGTGGATGTTGCAGGATCCAGATCCTTGGAAGCGGTCTTGGTCCGCTTGCGACGCTCAGGGACTGTCGACTTGGGCGACAATTTCCCGTCAGATGCTGAGTCGGTACTGGCAGCGGAGTTTGATCTTGGAGGGGTCATTTGGCCATATCTGGAAAGCGCTCCGGTGCCGGTGGGAACATTCGTGTTGATGTACTTGTCAATCTCGTACGCGTCCGGGTTCAGCATACTGGGATCTGCGAAGGGCTTCGACTCGTCTTCGCGACCAAACTCTGGCCAATCGCTCATTGTGAGATCATTGGGCGGACTGTAGACCTGGAAGTTGTTGAGCGGTGTAGGCTTCAATTGAGGCGGATCGAATCCAAAGTCTTCTTCTGGTAGAGATCCAAAACTGAAGTCTCGAAGGGTGTAGCCGTCAAGGTCACTGATGCTACCGACGACGGACGGGGCCTCTGACTGAGAGACCAATGTACTAGACATTTTCTGGTCGACAACGCAAGAGGCGAGTTGTTTACCTTGCAGGATATGGCTGCGTGGATGACTGGGTGCGGTGTGGCTTGAGCGTGTCCAGAGTGTCCAGAGCGAGAGTCAAGGGGTGGCGGTGGGTTGAGTTGACAGAACCGATTGTGAGGCGGTCTCAATGGAATGTTTGTATCTTTTGGAAGGAGGGCTGGTTGAAGGAAGCAGAAGTACCGGTGCTCAGGATGGAGAAGATTCTGGTATTATGGGCAGCGGAAAACAGATGAGGATTGACATTGACGCCAGGGTGGGCCGGGTTTCACGTCCTGGTGTGCAACCTAGTCGCCAGCGGGTGGAGAGGGACAGGCACCGGCTGAAGCGAGAGATCTGTACCCGTACTGGATGGCAGGCTGGTGGACCGGAAGAGGAGGGGAGAACGGGGCGGATGTGTATTCCGGTGGAGTCTTCCTAGCATATGATCTTTCGGGTTTGTATGTACTATGTTGGCTAGAGGGAGCGAGGAGCGAGGCGCGAGGGAGCGAGGGAGAGCGGGAGGGATCTGAGCTGAGAAGTGGACAGACTAGCCGTGAGGTGGCAGCTGCGCAGCTGAAGGAGCAGATAGTGTTGGGTAGTGACAGATTCTCAAGAGCCAGAGGAATCGACTACTGGAATTGCGAGGACCAGGATTGGAGTGAAGGCGTTGGCGACGTGAAGTCGTTCAATGAAAGGTGAGCGGAAAAGGATTCAGCAACGGGTGAGGGACAAGGCGTTGCAAGGGTCCGAGAGCAGGTGGTGAGATGAGAGTACAACAGAGAACAACGTGAACCTCAGCTGTTGAATTCAATAATGTTGTCAATCGGGTTGTTTGCCTGCGCCCGTGGTATTTTCTCGTTGGCCAGGGAAGACTGCGGGGCACAAGGGTCAAAGATGCAGAGCGCGCAGGTTGATGCTGCTGCTGCTACTAGTGCTTCACCTGCTGCAGTGGTCTGCTAGTACCTGGCGGACACGTTATACGAGGTGCCAATGTGCTCTTGATCTTGCTCGGTGAAGACGTGCCAGTGCGCGCAGTCAATTGCCCTACTAGCACTACCTTACTAGTAAGTACCGTGCCTTCCCTGCGCCATCCATCTTCGGTAGTAGTGCTGAGGACAAAGCTACATTGAGACAGCAAAACTCCTAGGTACCTTATCAGCTAGTACTGTTTGTGTTGTAGTGGCATGTCACTGCTTCTCCCATGGTACCATGTCTGCAACAACTTTTGGCTCAGCCATCGACTGTTTCCACCCTCATCGACGGGCGCCTCCCTGTTGATCGGCCTTCACCATCGATGATCGAGCATCCACCCGTCTCCCCCACTAAGCGTCTCTTGGGCACTGAACCCCTCAGCCCCCCTGCCTCTCACTCCACCACCAACAATGGGCATTTCAAAGAGTGCCATGCCCACCCGCCTATCTTTTGCCTTTGAAGATTTCCTCCATCCTGCGACCTTTGTCTCTAGCCTCTACTTCGCCTGCGCCACCATCGGGAGACCGTTCCCGACCAATCAGAGTCTCTGCTTTCTCAGATCATGGCTGAACATTTCCGATCGCCTTCCCACTGCATCGCAGGTCTCCGTCGCCATCGAGTCCCATCGTCTGCCCCTAATTTCTCCCTCACCCAGTTTCAAACCGCTCAACTGGCGTCATCGGCTCCAGAGCGCCACCCAGGTTCCTCCATACCCGCCACACTTCTCCATCAGAGTTGTTGTTGTTGGTGTTGTTCTGAGGTGTTCGGGTGACGGAACTGGGCCCCCCTTGTCACTGAGGCTCTTTTGAAGAACCCAAACGTGGCTTCACACATGATAAAGCAGGGATCGCAAGGGAGACTGATTGGAACCAGCGACCGGCTTCTGGAAAACACGGTGGAAGAATAACACTAAAAGAGTACAGTGACCTGCGTGCGTGGTTCATGGCACTGCATTGACTCTCGCTATCTAATGGTCAGCACGGTGAGATGCACCTGGGCACGACACGATACTGCGCTGTGTACACAGGACAGGCACGGGTGTACCTTCTACTCTGTACAGAGTCTCTAGCCACATCTCAACATCCCCAGTGGCTACTACTATATCATAGCGATGTCATTGTGGAGGCCGCGACCCGCTCCCACCTGAAATGAAAACGATACAGAGTACATTCGCACATTTGATCTCTGCCGCTACGGCGAAACTATCCGCCCGCGACCTGTCCACCGGGCCACTGAGGGAAGTCGGACGCGTCAAGGCCCTGGCCGTACGCACTAGGACTGGGGTGGATATGCCAGTCTCACATTGCTAAGCGGGAACAGAAAGTATGACATCTTGCCCCCTCATATGCTGATCGCGATCGACTCTGGCCTCCCTCGGCTCATGGCTTCACCTGCGGTAAAATTGTGCCGGCCATCAGTCTCAGGGCTCCCATTCATGGTGCCTGTGAATTGACGCGCCATTTCACAGCAACGTGACGATCAATCCGACAAGCCCAACACCTGCAGCGCTCACTGCCAAAAGCCGCGCATCTACTTTTCCGGCGCCACTGTTGCTGTCCACGGAAGGTGTGGTGCTCCCACTCGTGGTCGTTGAAGGACCTCCCGATGAGGTGCCGCCGTGTGTCGAGGGCGATATTGCTGCTGTTGTCGACGCCGTAGATGCGCTGGGACTTGCACTCGCACTCGCACTTGCACTTGCCACTGCTCCTGAGCCGGGGCCAGCCGTGATCGTCACAGGCAAGAAGACTATATCAGTCGAAGAGAGGGTTGTGGTGACAGCGGTCGTGGTAATTTGAGTGTTGATGTCGTCGAGGGCAGTGGCCGTCAGCGCGGCTGAATCTCCTTGATCCGAATCAATCATGTACGCTGGCCCGACATAAGTTTCTTCACACGTTGCCGCGGTTGTCCCTGTCAGCGCGCACTCCAGCTCGACCGTCAATGATTCAAATGTTTCCTCCACGCGGAATGTCGACGGGCCGACGGTCACGGTAAGAGTATCGGCGAATCCGCAGTCGGTGTCATCCGTGCCGGTAGGACATGATACGGCTATGGTAGTCTTGGAGGCATCCTATTTCGGGAAGACACACGATTGTCAGCTCTTGTTTTGTCTTTCTCCCTGAATTCTCCTGCGTTCTCCTCGCAAGGCTGGCGGAACGTGGATTGTGAAAGGCTTACCGAGCTAACGATAGATCCCACGAGCTGTTGTTCATCCACATCTGGAAAGAAGATGCTGACCACGGAAGACTGCGCCGCCACCACGCCAGCGAGGATGACTGCCACCGCGGAGCTCTTCATGATGGCCATTCAAATTTGCTTCAATCGACGCGAGATAAAAGGGTGTATGACAAGAGCAATGCGCAGAACTCAACGAACGAATGACGAATGCCCACGCAAGGAATGCACAAATATTGATCGAAGGATGCAATGCCGCAACTATGCTAAAGAATGCGAGGATACCAAAGAAGGGAATGATGGATGGAATTTGAAGCAAACAAGGGAGAAAGGGTGGAGGACTGTCTGCTCTCCATACATGTACCTCTGGTTTGACTTTTCTTTCCCCCAGATGCCCCAGCCCCAAGGGGGGGAGATTACCCTGTCCCTTACAGCACCTACTACTACCTCCTGCCTCCTGGCGTCAAGCCCACTGGCGTCAAGCCCTCAGACAGGCTAATAGCGAGGGAGCCTGGACGCTGTTTTAGTGGTCTGTTTTTAGATTGTAACTGGTGGCTGCTGTCTTCTGTGTGCAGTGTCTGGCTGTCTCAAATCCTGCCTGCGCTGCCCATGGCCGACTAATAAAACAGTAGGAAGGAGGCCTAGGGGGCCCCTTAAAATAACCTGAAGTTCCAGTTGTTTGTTTCAGCCAAAATAGGCCGAAGCTTGGCAGGGCGCCTGAAGCTTACTCTAGTGCAACGCGCCACGTTCAAGTTTACCTGTTACATCTGTCCACTGCATGCCCTGGCAGTCGAGATGATACTATGATAAATATTCCCTTCCTGGGCAGACACTTGTTCTGGCCGTACTTACTACCCTATCATTCATCCATCGTCTCAGGGACCCGGAGAGAAAACTATGCGAACAAAAAAAAAAAGAGAAACCTGGACCTCGCGCCTCTAGTTTCATCAGCTGGAGCTACTGTTTGACGTTCAAGTTATCCGGGACCGAGTGACTGAATAATTAAGGGCTTGACCGCTCTCTTCACGATATGCAGTGGCAGCTCTTGAGTATAGGATGATCACCAACATCAGAAATTGGATTGATAGGAGAGTGAGTATACTACAGGGCAGGACAGGCAGGACAGGCAGGGATGCACTGCATGTCCTACTACTGGTGCCCGCGAAATGTACCCTGTACTCTAGTAGCACTACCTGAGTAAGTAGCAGGGACAGTGCAGTGACCGGGACCGCTCATGGGACTTCAAGGGTCACGGATACAGAGACAACAGACGTAAAGTACGTCCTCCTCCCCTGGGACTTGAGTACCACCAGGTAAGGGAGCTGAGCTCTGTTATGCCAGTGCGACGAGATCCATTATTCCCATCGGAGCTTCCCATGACCATCTAGATACCTTCTCCAACGACTTCTGTGCTCTTCCGAGGCTGTTGTTTCGATAGCTGATAGCTGGCTCTCAAGAGAGACTCAGACTCTCCTCATCTGCTTGAACAGAAAATGGTGTGCATACATCTTCCAGGGCGATCTCCACATATATTGGTTGGGGGTGGCTTGCCTTGCCTCGAACCACTACCACTGCGGCTTCCAATAGTCCCGTGCACGGGCATCATGTTACTATCAGAATACAAACGTACCACTCACACTTACTGACTAGGTACCTAGATACTAGACCACACCAGAGAAGAGAGACAGACCAAACAGACCAAGCAGACCACCCAGTAGTAGGGCGGAGTGCATCGGCTCGAGTGGGACGTGAATTCAGCCTCAACTTGGTCTGCCCTCGCTGCTACTGTTCTCTGCATGAGCCTCAGCTTCCAAGGTCACGATTTTCGTCAAAGTATCACCATGACCAGCCTGTCTCTCCTCACCACTCGCACACTTCTTCAACACCGTCTCCGCCCAGTCCTGGACCTGTGGGCAACTCCACCTGTGGCGTCGATCCCGGTCAATCATCCCCAATATCCCTTGCTCGACTAAGCTACCTATGCCTTCTGCGTGTCCTTCACTCTCGATCAGCTGTCCAAGTCCGGCCGGAACTTTCCCCTTCTGCAAGTCACGCAGGATGTGCAGTCGTTCCGAACTGGTCGTGCAACACCAGAGCATTTCCACCAGGGTGACTCCGAGCGCAAAGACGTCCAGTTTCTCATCGATCATGGTATGCGTCGACGCAGGCGGTCGATAGTACTCGGTGCCGACCGGCTTGTTGTGGTTCCTATCGTTCATGGTATCCGTCTTCTTGTTTCCGTCGTTGCTGATGTCGTGATCGTTGTCGTCTGACCTCTCTCCATCAAGCCCGTCCTCTCTGTGTCGGGCCAAGTCTGCAACGAGTCCGAAATCGCCAATGCGCGGGTTGACAAAATACGGTCTGGGGTCCGGACAGGCAGCGCAAGATCCCACATCATGGTATCCGTCCGGAACCAGGCCGGCGGTTGGGACATCCCAGCTCGAGAGGAAGATGTTGCTGGGCTTGATGTCCCGGTGCACCAGTCCTTTGGCATGTATGTACTGCAGTCCACACAGGATGCCCATCAGAATGCGTAGTGCAGGGACGAGATGGAAGCAATGTCTCCGCCTGAAACCGCCGGGTGCGCTCGTGGAGTTCGACGGCGGCGGTGCGAGATATTGTGCCAGGGTCATGGGATATACCGACATCTGAACGTGAAGCACGTAGACGGAATCGTCGATGTCCGCGTTTGTCGGTTCTGGCTGGACGCCGGGCCGTGAGATTCCGTCGGTGAAGATGTCGGAAGTCCGCGCTGACAGAGTGTCTGGCTCACTGTCCCTTCGGGACCATGTTGGCCGTTCGATAATGTCGTCGGCCTCTTGGACTGAAACGTGCGACGATGATGTTGAGGCACCGTCTGTGCCGAAGATAATCCCGTCGTCGAGGTCGTGACGGTGGTCACGCTCCAGCCTTTTAGGTCGTGGCTTCCTGGGGCTCGACGTCTCAGCGATGAGCCTTCGGCCTTGGATGGTGAGATTTGGGGTCTCGGGTCTGTAGGGACCTTCAGATATCCTTCTCGGCTCCTCGATCCACGTAGCATGGTATCGGACGACGTTATTATGTTCGAGCTGTGCCAGCGCCTGGACTTCCCGTAGCACGTTCTCCAACTCTTCGTGGCCTGATTCTCTATATCGCCTGGACAGTCGAGGACTCAGTGGTATCTTCTTCACGGCGTATTCCTTCTTGTCGAAGATGTTGTACGTGTGGTAGACGCGGCCGAATCCTCCTTTCCCCAATAATCGGAGCTGTTGGAAGCTTGAGTCGTAGTGGCTCTGGCGGAGTGGCGGTGCAGGAAAGGTCAAGTTCGAGTAGGGAGAAGAAAACTGGCTCTGACCTTCAGCTTGGAATAGAGACAGATTCGCCATCTGCTGCTGGACAGTGTCGGAGAATGGTCCCTGTTGTTGATGCGTGGAACGGGTAAGGGCAACGAGGTCGTCAGATGAAGGTAGTCGTTGCGTCTCTCCGTCAGTAACGACATTGGTAGCCTGCACACTGCTTAGAGCCAGACCTTCGATGCCGGCTAAGTACGCTGCTCGTATCTGCTGGTTGCCTGGGCTGTCGCGCGTACTTGACGGTGGTAGTAACCCACCAAGAGCGAGCGACTGGCTGACATGTTGATACAGCTGTCTTGCCAGAGGTTGGATTTCTGCTGACGATCTCGTAAAGCTGGTCGCCGGTCCCGCACTGTTCATCATCTCACATGCCCTGGTCTTTGCGAAGTCCTCCAGAAGAGCACTTAGGAGGTTGGTGCGGTGATGGTCGACGTTGGCAAAAGCCGCGCTCGATGAGACCTGTCCATCCTCGACAATCTCACTTCCTCGACTTGCTAGAGACTCTGTCGTTGCCGTCTCGCCTTGGTCCTCGGCAGCCTCCTCCAGCGGTTGATAGGAATCGTTGTCCTCCTCTGCTGATGGGCTATCTGCCGAACCTGAACTCGAACTGGTGTCGGTAGGACGCCGGAAGAAAGCAGACGACATGGGGCAAGAGATATCAGGAGCTTGTCGTGGTCCCTGTGTGCTGTGACGGATGTCTTCATTGCAAGATACGAGGTTGATGCTGTGAAGACCGGGGAAGACCAGGGCAGAGCCTTGTCATGCGGAGTTCAGTGCACTGCAGCTGCTCGGTTGAGATTCAGGAAAGATCTGAGGTGAAGCCCTCGGGGCCTTTCACTGTGGCCGCTTGGTCCAGTATGGCCGCAGCTTCTTTTTACCTGAGGCTGGAGATGATTGAACACCCTGCTTCATTGAAAGTTGTGCCTGTTCTTAGCTTGGCAGCGCTGACCACGATCATTTAATCTTTCACTTGGTCATGTAGCGCATTGAGAGAGTGAGCTTCCTTTTGCCAGCCCGATATCAGGCAGCTGTATGGAATGACATGAACGAGACAGCCTGCGGTTGCATGACCAGACAAGGCAAGATTAGGATCCCTCGAGGTCGTTGTTTCGTGCTAAAAGCGGCAAGAGACAGATACCGATAAAAAATATGTAAGTTGAAGAACATCTAGTACAGACTAGGACGGGGCGTCATAGTATGGAAGAATGAAGATACAAGACACCAATGGCCTGAATCAATTACACTCTTGCCTGTCAGGAATTGATGACTGTGGTATTGTCGAGGTAAAAAAGCGGTTGACGTTAAGATGGCTTTTCTTTGAGCCAAAGGAACACACCGTGCTATGGGATGCATTGACTACACCAAGGAGCTATTTCTTCAGTTCCATGCCTGAGACGCCTGTCCCGAAGTCATGCTCATCCATCATGCGTAGTCGTGGACATTCAGATCCTCGAAGTCATCCAGTAGTTCGTCCATATTGATTTCTGGCACTTCATCCTCGATACTTTCTCCAGTAGCCATACTCATCTCATCAGCCTCCTTTCTCTTCTGCTGTTGAGCCTTGTACAAGGCCAAAGTCTGTCTGAGCTCGGCGTCCTCTTCCACATCCCGCAAGAAGGTCTCATAGTCGGCTTCCATCCTGTCCTGATCGGCCTTCTTCGGAAGCAATTCACCCTCATCCTTGGCCAAGCGTCGGAGCTTCCAGCTTCTGGCCTTCGACTTCTTCTTCCGTGCGTAGAATTTCTTCACTAGAATGACATCGGGGATGGTTGATGAGAAGTTGTTGCTCTGTTCGAGTTCCTCAAAGTTGGCGTTGTTAAAGTTGGTGCCAGTGAGGTGATAGCCAAGCACAGAATCTCCCGCATGCAGCACCCCTCCGAGATGCGTCCTCACATAGTACGTCTTGTCGTTGACGCCCAGATCGGAAGCTCGTGCCACGGTGGCCTCGGCCCCGTGGAACCGGCCATTCTGGGTGCCCAGAGGTTCAATGTCGAGTACAACAAATTCCACAAGCTCTTGCATATCAGCCAGACTCTTGAAAGGCATTCTCCAGTATGTGTTTGAAGGTAAATCTGCCGTTTGCAGTGTGGTCGGGTCGAGAAGGTTGACAGAGGTACCTACTCTGTAGCACACTGCTAGGGGTGAAATATTGCCGATTGATTTGGCGAGTTTGATAGGAAGCGCAACCAAGTCGTCCTTGCAGATAGGAAGCAGTTCGCATGAGAAGGTAAACTTGTAGGATTTGGAGGACGTATGCACATCCGTGGAAATCAACTCCTGGGACTTCTTCACCTTGACCGGCGCCACGGAAGTAAGAAAGTCCACGAACTTTTCGGCGTGGTTACGCTGGGCAAAATAGAAATCCAGGCCGTCTTTGACTTCCTTGATGTTGATGGTCTCTTTATGCGCTTGATGCTTCAGGACCAGTTGTTCGAGGTACAAAAAGGTCCGCTTGTGTGGCACTTTCTGTCGGACTTGGACCGAGGCTCGCCAGGTGTTTGGGGTGTATGATTTGGCACATTCCGGACATTGTTGATAAGCGACAACGTACTCGACCTCGAAGGTTTGTTGAAGGATGGTGCCCTCAAAGGCTTCTTGCTGGACTGTGATTTTGACTTTGACACGTCGTGAATGGGGCTCTGTCCAAATAAAGCTGGCATCGATGATCCGAACTTTGTTGAGACCGCGGAGTTTTCGGAGACATAAGGCCAGCAGCTCTCGACTTTCTGGCGTTGCTGTCACCCATTGTGAGGGTGGACTCAACCATCGTTCACAATCCCGGCACATATGCAATACACCCTCCCGTTGAATTCCTTCCGATACATCGCAAGTCAGCTTGATGCAGTCATAGCACATTGCACCTGCCGAGGTCGTGCCATCTATGGGTGCGCCACAGTTACAGCAGAGGATTGTTGCCGCCTGTGGTTTGTGAAGGGAGGGAAGAGAGACCGGGGCGTCGAGATCCATCGACATGGCGGGAAAGATGGGCTGCAGCCCGAATTAAGTATGGGTTGAAGCGGCCAGTAAACCACCCACACGGTGATCGTAAGGTGATCGAAAGGGCAGGTATGAAGTGGTTGAAGACGAGAACCTCTGGCAGAAATCGTGAGTGATTGTTTCTTTAATGATTTATGAATTAATAAAGCAGAATTCGCCGCCTTACAAAAGTCGAAGGAAGTTGTTGTCAAGTTTTGCCTTTGGCTCTCGCCAAGGAAAAACAATGTTCCAGGCCTGAACACGTGAGCTAATATCATGTGAGATCACGTGCGTCGAGAACTCTCACAATTGCAGAGGAACAATCGCATGCCTCGGGCTCGTAGACTTTGCCCGAGGTTTGTCCTCCGCAGAACAACGAATCAAGCCAAATATTCCCGGGGCAAGACATCAGCAGGACCTAGGCAGAGAGTAGCGGCCACGCATGATTTTCCGTGCATGCCACTCCCTGCTTTCTCTTGGTCGTCATGAAGGCTTGCTGTGCAAGATACGCGGCCGCTCTCGTGGCTCCCAACACCGTTCCACGCACTGCTAGTTTCGCAACAAGATCTAGAGCTCAATTTATTTCTCGCAGTCTCGGCCGAAGAGCAGTAGGTAGCAACGTCGAACCAATCGTCGCCCAAGCTTATATGTTTGCAGATGTCTTCGACGCCAATCAGATATAGCGAATTCCCAAAGGAATTGCCTACGGACGATCCAGACGATGTTCTTTTCAACTCCTTGTACGGGGTGCGGACAATTGAATTGAACCGACCGAAAAAGCTCAATTCTCTCAATGGATCAATGGCAAGGAAAATCCTTCCCCGGTTAAGGGAGTGGGAAAAGTCACATCTCGCAAACATTGTCATCATCAGTGGAGCTGGTCCGAAGGCATTTTGTGCAGGTGGTGATGTGGCTGAACTTGCGCTACAAAACAAGCAAGGACCAGAGGGACAGAAGAAGTCGGCGGACTACTTCGCCCTCGAATACAAGCTGGACCATCTGATCGCAACGTATAGCAAGCCATATATTGCCGTCATGGATGGCATAACCATGGGCGGTGGTGTTGGGCTGTCAGTCCATGCTCCATTCCGGATTGCGACTGAGAAGACCGTTTTCGCTATGCCTGAGACGACGATTGGCTTCTTCCCCGATGTTGGCGGGAGTTTCTTCCTGCCTCGTCTGGACGGAGAAATTGGCACATACCTAGCTTTGACTTCTGAACGGCTGCACGGTGTACAAGCATTCTACGCCGGAGTGGCCACGCACTACATCGACAGCTCTGTCCTTGCACAAATGACATCGCGATTGTCTGAATTGGTTTTCAACGACCACGCAACCCTACAGCGACGACTTCAAATCATTGACTCCACCATATCTGAATTTGCCAGCACTCTGCCATCACCCGATTCCTACGAGTCTGCAAAACACGGCGATCTCAGCGGGGATCTGCGCGAGGCTATCGATCGAACTTTCAAATACGACACGGTGGAGGAGATTTTGAGCGCATTGCGGAAAGAGTCCGAATCGGCGGACCAGAAGCTCGCCGAATGGGCAAACGCGACCCAGAAGACTATTGCATTGAGGTCCCCCACCAGTCTCCGTGTCACCTTGCGCCAATTGAGGGAAGGTAGACAGTGGAACATCAGCGAGACTTTCGTTCGAGAGCACAAGATCGCCAGTAAATTCATGGCCCACCCGGATTTCGTCGAAGGCGTCACGGCCCGGTTGATCAACAAGCCTCCGACCAAGCCTCAATGGAAGCCTGCAACGTTGGCGGAAGTGTCAGAGACAGACGTGGATGAGTTTTTTGCGACACCTAGTGAAGAGGAGGCCTTGACTCTGGTCACACCATACGAGGGTGCACTCGATCAGCGGTATACAGAATATCCCCATGGGGTCTTTGCACTGCCCACGGAATCGGACATCCAAAATGTAGTCAGAAGCTATGGCAGACAAGGCTCGAAGAAAGTGGTTGAGGAAGTGCTCAAGAAATGGAACCACAAGGCTGGCGTGAAGGAGAAGGTTCAAGAAGTCCTTGCCCGGAAGACGGTATCGACGGACGGCAAGGCGATTTCGTGGAAGAGCAAAGGTGCTCACTTGTAGATGATACCACCAAGCAGAAGGGCTCTGTATATTGCTAGCCCTGATGATAGAAGAACAGAACAATTCAGAAAGACAGATCTCCTCCATGTTGCAATATAATTTTGGGTTCGCCGTTGGATCTTTCGGTCAACTTTGTGCTGCGTTGACCAGATTCAGATGCTTTCTCCAACTTGAACCGCGACCCAAAAAATTCTCCACATCATCCATCTTCATCTTCATCTTTGTTTTCGTCTCACCAGAGTCGTTCTTTTCCCCGGCTGAAGTAGATATTGTGTCGAATACATTCAGTTCCGCGCTCATTGTAGCGCACTTACCGACAGAATGTCGCTGACAAAGAGGAACGAATACCTCGACCATGGCCCATCTGATGAGTCTGACAACGACGCAGGCTACGACTCCGAGGCCGCAGAGGTTTCGAAGGCGGAGAGGGCGAGCAAGAGACGGAAGATAGAGCGTGAGAGTACGGACGATGAAGCAGACGAAGTCGAAGCCCCTAGAGTCACAGAAAGCTCTCCCTCTGGCTCGCGGCGGCAGCAACAGGGCGAGGAACGAGGCGTGGATAAATCAGAGAGCCCGGACGCCAAACCAAAACCCCAAGACGCTTCCTCCGACGCAGCCACAGCACAGACACCGAAGAAAAAGAAAGACAAGTCAAAAGGAAAAGAAAGCGTGCCTGGCGTGATATACCTATCCTCATTACCGCCGTACCTCAAACCCTCCGCGCTCCGCAATCTACTAGAACAACGCGGATTCGGTCCGATCAAGCGACTATTTCTCTCTCCCGCGAGCAAGCACAAATCGGGATCCAAGAAGAACTCACGCCGGCTGTACACCGAAGGATGGATTGAGTTCGCCTCCAAGAAGACGGCGCGGCTATGTGCAGAGACACTAAATACCCAGGTGGTAGGTGGCCGGAAAGGAGGATTCTACCACGACGATGTCTGGAATATGAAGTATCTGAAAGGCATGCGGTGGGAGGAGCTCATGGCCGGCATCAGAGAAGAGAAGAGAGAAGAAGAAGGACGAAGGGACGAAGAGAGGCGCATCATCGCCCGCGAGACGAAGAGATTCATCGAGGGTGTCGAGGAAGGGCGGAAGAGGGAAGGAATCAAGAGGAAGAGAGAGCTCAAGGGCGTCGGTCAGGATACGGCTACAGATGCGAAGAGGACGTGGAGACAGGCCGAAGTCAAGGGCAAGATTATGCCGCAGGAGAAGGAGACGGTCAGTGCCGAAGTCAAGGAGGTCTTGGGAAAGATCTTTTGACCACCTCACGGTCACATGAAATCCGTTACGGCTTGGGTGCTCATTACGGTCATAAATGGATGTTACATCTATCTCTACAGTCGGAACGGGTGCGCCTCGGTATTGAACACAAAGTCATCGAGGCTGACCACGTCCGGCTCTTCGAATAGCAGCCAAAAGTACTTCAATGTCTCGGCCATCCAGAAACTCTCCATCTTGTCGACCTTCCGACTATCATTCCGAGTGACGTCCTCGATGGACGAGAACCCAAACTCTGTCCGAGTGTGATTCGTGACGGCCACGAACATGGACCAGGCGGTTTCGCGCAGCTCTTCATCGCCTGTGATGCGGTAGAGGACGAAAATGGATTCAATCACCTCCGGACGCAGCTCGTAGCCGCGATTGGCGATTGCGGAAATGCCCTTGGGCAGACGGAGACGCTCTGCTTTCTGACGCAGCCGTTGCAGTTCGGGCAAGTATTTGTCCTCGTGGGTTTCATCATTGGTATTACGCCGCAACATATCTTGCTCCCAGGCCTTCTCGTCCCAGGTACACTGCCGGTCATCCTCCGGGCAAGGAATGACATGAAACATTTCAGGCATAATACCTGTCGGCGTCTGGTTGAGTGCCCAGTGACAGCCACGGACCAGTTTTCGCGCGATGTCCAAGTCGTCTGACAAGCGAAACAGCTTCGCGCCCAAGGCGAACATGCCTCCAGCGAAACAAGCAAGATGCTGCATCTGAGGCTGGAACTCAACGCGACCATTCCCATAAGCTTTCAGCGTCCCAGCCATGAGAAGATCCTCATTTTGGGGAGTCATTGGTCGAAACAGAATCAATCGCTTGATAGCTCCTACCGCATTTTCGTAAAGTGTCTTATACTGCTCTGTGGCGCCCTTCAGTAATTGATACTGTTTCGGCAAATACTCATAAACCGAGTCCGCCGTGCCGCCAATAGAAAAAGTGACACCGTCGCCAAAATAGCATTCTCTGGCATTGACAGTGTGCGGGAACAACCCCGGCATCTTCGTCTGGCTCTGCTGGCCTTCCAAACAGTCGGTAATGCGCTGGACGGCATCGTAGAATTTGGGATCTCCCGTCAACTGCGTGAGCCTGGTGAATTCGAGACTCAAGGAACCCAGTTCGGCGATCAACGAGTCTCCGGCCGCGACCTCGACTCCGACTCCGAGCTTCGACCAGCGCGTGACGGGCATGTGGTTGGGCGTGTCGAAGGCCATGTAGAGCATGTCGCCGACGTCTTTAGCCTTGGTGAGGAGAGTTGGGTATTGCCCATTACTGACGTCGTAGGCGCCCAGCAGGCCGCCGAGGTAGCGGATCGTGGTCTCGAAGACGTTGATGGGCAGGTGGGCCGGCGTGTCGAAATCGATGGCGGCCACTGCCGCGACGGCTTCTTCGAAGTCAGCCTTCAGGCCCATGATCCACAGCGTGTCGAGGCTGTCGATCAGTGTAGCTGCCCATCCGTTGAATGTCGTGCGGTAGCCTCCTGTCACGGGTGCCAGTTCGTCGTGTAGCCATGCTTTCGAGCGGTAGCCGGTCCAGGAATGCACCATCGCTGAGCGGATGCTGTCGAGGCGAGCGTGTCGGGTTCGCCTGGCCGTCTCGCTTTCGTGTTGGTTGAAGTCATGTTGGATGCGTGGGAGGGTTGCACCGGCCGGTGGTGACGGGAGGGGAATGAAATTATGGATGGGGTTGAGAAGGTGATGTTGTTGTTGATGATTTATTTCTTCTTGCAAAGGAGGATGTTTCTCAGGGGCTTTGGAGGATCTTGACGGCGGAGGGTCTGCTCCGTCTTCGTTCTCGTGAGACGGTGGTTTGTCTCCATCAGTGCTTCCACCGAAGAGGATAGACTCCAGATGTGTCTGACCAGAGAGCTCCGTCCCAGGGAGATACCGTATGACCAACACGATGCATGCTGCTACCGCCAGGAGAAGAAGTCTTCTTTTCCGGACGGCCATGGCATATAGTCATATCCTACTGCACCATCGGTTCGGCTCGGTTGAGACAGTGATCTCGACAAACCCGTCGATCATGCTTCCATCAACGAGACAAGTCGTCGGTCCAGTAAAATGTTGTGCTACTTGGAACTGTAGTATACAGGGTACGTATTGACGGTGAGGGTCAGACATCAGCCTCGTCTCGAATATGGACTCTTCCGCATTGGGAAAGGCGTCATCATTTTCAGGGGCTACGCATATTCTTTTTCTCTACCACAAATCAACCTCCAAAGATCTCTTCATGTTCCTGCCACATTAGAGCGTCTTCTCGAGACACCTTCTTAGCTGATTGGGATTTGAGACCGATGTCTTGGTTCTATATACAGAATGATTCAGGTCAAAATTGGGTCTTGGATGACCATTCGTCAACGTCCTCGACCCTCATTAATCTCTCTCCTACGCTAACGCAGGTACAGCCACAATATACAGGTAACGTTGGGCTCTGAGGTGGCTTCGTTGGCCAGGGTTGAAGCCATATGCCATGCCTGACAACGAGCCTCATCTGTTCATCTCGGCCCCCACAACCCGAATCCTTCTAACATTCTTCCTTGCATTTACGTGTATCAGGGGCAGGGAATATCCAATCTGGCATCCCATGTCGAGGTACAGGTCCCAGCCCTGACCGATGAATGAGGATGATCTACCTTTTATCCGATCGGTTGTGGCTGTGGCTCTTGCTGTCTGTTCATATTCTTCATATTCAATCTGCCCTCTTTCAGACTGTCCATGTCCTTTCGTTAAACAACGGTCTGTTCTTCCAGTCGCTCGTTTGCTTGTTCAGTTCACTTATTTGATTATATAATTATCTGTTTATCCATTTATTTACTTGCTGATCCGGCGCTGCAAGTTCCCCATCCTTCTCCTGCACAGTGCCTCTTTCCATTCACTTCACAATCAGTCCAAAAATGAAGACTATCCAGCTTCTATCACTCGCAGCGGCAGCCGTGTCCAGCGCAGACGCATTCTTCAAAGGCTTCAACATCGGTGCCAACATTGCCTCGGGAGCGTGTCGAAGCGAATCCGACTGGGAATTTGCATTCAACAAGATCGCCGGTTTTCCCGGCTCCTTCAAGAACGTCCGACTGTACGCATCCAGCGACTGCAACACCCTAGCCAACGCCGTGCCGGCCGCCCTTCGAACAGGCACGACGCTACTCGTCGGGGTCTGGACCGAGGACGACGCCCATTTCGCAGCCGAAAAGCAAGCGTTGCTTGAAGCCATCCAGCAGTACGGACACGACTGGATCCTCGCGGTGTCTGTCGGCTCCGAGGACCTCTACCGAGGCGACACCGACGCCAACACCCTCGCAGGCAAGATCAACGACGTTCGCGGAATGCTGTGGGGACTGGGAGCGAGCAGCAAATCGGTCGGTCATGTCGACACCTGGACGGCGTGGGTCGACGGCGCCAATACCCCGGTGATCGAGGCGGTCGATTGGCTCGGTAACGATGCGTATCCTTACTGGCAGGGCGTCGGTATCGACAACGGTGCAGCAAGCGATGCGTACTGGGCTGCTGTCAACAATGTGCGTGCCGTGGCTCAGGGAAAGGACGTCTGGACTACGGAGACGGGCCAGCCGATTTCTGGAGACTCGGTCGGTCCCGCCGTCCCCTCGGTCGACAGCCTGCAGACCTACTGGTGGCAGGTTTCTTGCGCCAGCTTCAACAGCTTGAACTATTTCTTCTATGACCTGGATGATTTTGCGGCCGAGCCAGGCTTTGCCGTGGTCGACACCAACTACAACCCACTGATTGATATGTCTTGCGCTTGAGAGGGACAAAAGCACAATTCTGCTGGAAGCGGGTTACTTGTCTTTGCGTGCTGCCTTATATTGAGTTCTATATTCGGTCGCCTATCAATTTGGGTAATCTAGCATAGCATGTTTGGAGTCATCATTATACCGAGCATGGGAAGTGCATAAAGGAGACCATACGTCTCGTACCTAATATCAAACCAGGGGATCTGCTAGCATCCTGAAAGAAATGTCACCATGGGGACTTTTCTTCCATTGCATTCCACTGCATTTCTGTCCCTTCTCTTGGCTGTCCATGCGGTGCTCTTGTCGCCCCCTTGTTCGCTGCCAACACGCATATAGCACGATGTAGACCCGTTCCGAAAGAAGTCGGTCTTGAACACCATGTCCCAAGTTGTTGGATACCATAACGAAACTGAAACAAAAGAAGAAACGAAACAATGAACAGGCCAGAGCTCAGATCGGCAAAAATAGATTCTTTTCACGAGGGTTCAATCGATGTCGGCTGGACATTCGAGAAGAAAGGTCGTCATCATTGCTACAGGATTTGTGCATGGAGAACAATCCAGCAGCAATGGAGACTGAAGTCTTTGACTTCTTATACCGTTCATGGAGTCTAACAGGCCCGCTGGGTGATGCGACAACATTCCCAGCGTGTCCCATCGCCGTGTCTTCGTTGTAACCGAGGACGGTAGCGGGAAAGAACAGACTGCAGCTTCGGGAAGCTGGTGAAGACACAGGACGAAGAGAAGTACGGACTCGGTATCTGGGGAGACTGAGATGATATTGTTTGGGCAACTGGGACGGAAATGTCATGTTACATGAAGTAACTCGAAGGTTACTAGTGGCACAGGACAATTCGTCCGGGCCGGCATGGCATCCATCAGATGCAGTATTTCGTCGCTCATGTCGTTCCATTGGATGTCGATGTTCCTTTCCAGTTTCCCAGTCTGCATCTTGTCGTGAGTCACGACCGTTGAAGCGTCGCCTCACAAGGAGTCAGTGCAACCCAGAGCGAAGAATTATATGGTCAGTCTGACAGAGATGGAGACGCCAATTGACCCTATGACTAGACAGAAATCTTTTCGTCAGACGTGGGTACTTGTCCCAGTTACTGTAAGAGGAATAGCTTCGTCCGGCCCGGTGGACAAACGGTTCGCAGCTCGACCGGCGCCGCTCTCTGTCTCTCCACCTCCCTCTCCGTCTCCCTCCCTCTCCGTCTCCCTCCCTCTCCATCTCTATCTCTCTTCTCTTTCCCCCTTGGTTTTTTCTCTTCATTCCTCTCACTCCCACACGCTTACAAGCCTTGCACCAGGCAACAGCAAGGCATCCTTCACTTTCCTAACAGTTCTGGGCCACCTGCACTTTGGATAGTGCGTCATGGCGGTCACCACAGTCGTCCACGTCGTCCGCGAACTCACGTCTCTCTACCCACCATAAGGACCATCTGCAATGGCCCAGTGCATGGGAGTCTCCGGTTTCATACAATCCATCTCCTCGGTCTTATCCTCTGGTCAATTACCCTGACCAGCGAAATGTTCAATCGTATTGCTCTCACGACCAATACCATCACCACCCTTTGTCGCTAGTCGGGGACATCGATCCCTTGGACTATCTCGATGTCTTCCAACCGCTTGAAGATCCATGTCAGGACACTGCATGTCAAGACCTTGGACAAGCGCCGTTGAAAAGGGTTGCTTGGCCGTTAGACTTGAACCCTGCCTCCTCTGCGGAAAACTCGGTTGTGGACGTCGGATCAGCTCCGACTGCATTTCCACAAAATTTCTTCCTTAATCCCTTTGCCGTCTCTTTCCCGGGGGACATTGCATGTCCCACTCCGATGTTTACGCTACCAGCCATCAAACCAACCCCATCCACATCGGCGGTCAGCACAGGCAACATCTCTCCTGACGTGACGTCAAGGATGAGATCTCCCGCATTCCCGCCTGCGGTCGTAGTGGACACTCCGAATCCGGTGACTACAGCTCAGTCGCAGCCGCCTGGAAAGAGTGTCACGCAGAAGAAGAGCCCTCTTTTCCAATCAATGGTCCCTGATCGTCAAATCCACTTTGTCGACATGGCGGACAAGAAAGGGGCGCAGAGGATTCGAAATGGCATCAATTCTCGCAAACATCGTCAAAACAAGCTCGACAAAATCCGAGCGTTGGAGAAGAAGCTAGCGACTTGCGAGGCTGACAGGAGAAGATGGCAGGGGAGGGCGACGGAATTGGGTTGGAAGGAGGATACCTGTCGTAAATAGGGAAACCCCTTTCTAAATGGAACCTTGGTGGTTGGCTGTCTCTACCAACATGTTCTCGTGAGCTCTGTCAGCTACCAATGGTCTGGTTTCAATCTATTCGTCTCCAGGAATCTCATTTTCGTAACGTCTCATTCCAACCGTGACAGTATTCCCGAGTACTATTCGACGCTCCAACGACCCTCGAGGCATTTGAGTGCCATATCCTAAAATCAGTAGGAGCACTAAGAGCACTCACACATATCTAAAGGCTGATGGAGAAGCGAGACCACGGAGAAGAAGTACAAACAGTAAAGATGGGTCCCATAAATGGTGTATCCTGATTGGCTGATATTCAACGTCGTCCTTGTCCTTTGAACATTCATAGTCTTCTTCTTCCCTTCTTCTCTCCGTCTCGTGTTCCTTTAATTCCTACCAAGCCGTGGTAATCACCAATCCTCCTCGAGGCTATTCGACTTGATAATACCGACCTCCAAGACCCGACTATGCTGCCATGGCTGTAGGCCCATCCTTCGTGAATCAAATTCAGCCTTGCGGAAGCAGTCCTTCAAGGCAACTCAAACCTGGAGAGTATACATCTCCACCTCCATCCTCGCCTTGATTCTACTACCCATCGCGTCGTCTGTCCATCAGCGCGTTACAACATATCAACCCAAAATGTCGGCCCCTTCCAAAAAAGAAATCCTGCACATTCTGTCAACACCATCTCCCAGAGAACCACCTCAAACAAGCATCCTCCGTCAACACGCCTACAATCTCATCTCCCAGAGCGACGACACCACCACCACCGGCACCACCAGCACCACCAGCAATAAGAACAACAGCAATAACAACAATCTCAACTCCCTCCCCAACACCATTCACGAACTCCTCACAACAACATTAAAACCACTATTCACACCCACGAAACACCCCTCCCTGACCTCAACGGGCCGGAAAAACCTCCTATCTTCCCCCACCCCCGCTCTAGGCTCTTCACTGACGCGGTTCCACGGATTCGCGAACGACGACGAACTCGCCATCAAACCATGGAAAGCAGCGCCCTTCACCGTCCCTCTCCTCCACTACATCCTGGGAAGCTATGCATCTCTGCCGGACCACGCACAAAGGAAAGCGGCCATCGAAGCACATTTCTTCCTCCTGGTCCCGCCGTTGCTCAACATGATCGACGACCATGACTCGCGGTATAAAGCCGCAGGATGCAGTCTGGTGCGAGAGCTCTGCGAGGTGCTGCGGTCCGCGGCGAGCGACATGCTCCAGCGCACGGGGCTGGGCGAGGTGTTTGCGGATGCGCTCCGGGCGAATTTCCTCATGTTGCCGCCGCTGACGCCGGAGGGGGAGAGTCTCGACGTGTTGGGGGAGTTGTATCCTGCTTTTTTGGCGCTTGTGGATGCTAGGTTTGGGAAGAGTGACGATGACGGTAAAGTTGAAGTTGAAGTTGAAGTTGATGTTATTGCTCCTACGAGCACGAAGAATCCTCCTACGCAGGTCACTTCGAACACTAAGAATCCTACTACACCTGCCATCACGAACACCACGGATGCGACGACAACCAAGCGTCCGAACGCTGGCGTTGGAAGCGAAACCTCAGATATGGGAACAAGACACCAACGCCAACACCAACAAACACAAACCGACATCCGACCTCATCCTGATCCTCGCGACAAACAACTTCGCCTGTCCCTCCTAACGACCCTCTACCGCCACGGCATCTCCGCATCCCTGGCCCACCTCGCGTCTTCAGCTTCGGGATCCCTCAGCTCAAGCACATCTCCAATGCTAACAACATACCTGCTCACCCAGATTCCACCGGTCTTCAACCGTCTCGGCATCACCAGTGTCAAACATTTCCAAACGCTGCTTCCGACCCTGCGTGTTTCGCTGATGGATCCGTTTATTTTGGTGGCGCCGGCAATGCCAATGCCGATACCGCAGAAAAGGGAAAGAGGGATGAATGGAAAGCCAACGACAACGACAACGCCAATGACAATGGTACAAGCGATCTTGGATGTCTTACAGTGTGTCATAAGGGTCGGTGCCCCGCGGGTTCGGGATAAATGGTATCCCGAGATCTTGAGGGGCGTTGTGGGATGTTGGTGTAATTGCGTCGATGAATTGCATGGTGACGATGGTGATTCCAAAATTGAGGACAACGGAACGGATCCGGCGACTTCGACTGTTACCCTGAAGACTAGTGGAGAGGATGAAAATGGCACTGCGACGGAGAGGCTCGCTGGAGAAGATGAAAGTGTCAGGAGCAAAAACAAGACCAATATCGCCACCAAAGATGATATCAAGGCTAAAGAGATCAGAAAAGTTATGGTCCGCTTGCAGGATGTGGTTCGATCGCTCGGCAAAATCATCCCGCATGAGGAATGGGACGATGTGCTGAAACGGTTGATTGCCGAGGAAAAGGATTTGAGGGGGTTGTTTGGAATATCTCCTTGATCGGAGTATCATAGAAGGGTATCACACACAGAGACGCGAGATCAAAAGGTAAAGAATATGATCTCCGATGATGGATGATGAATGCCACGTCTGACCACGGTGCAGAATGCTGCGTTCATGCCTCGTGGACGTCATTGGCTTCAACTTTTTAATGCGAAGGGTGGGTTCCCGTACAGTGCCACTTCCTCTGGACAGCCACAACCCTGGGACCTGTAGTCAGTCACCTGTGCCTCTGCGCAGACCTCCATCTCGAACCCAAGCCGAGACCCAGTCCAGTCCAGTCTAGTCCAAGCAGCTGGCATAGAAGTGAAACATTATCATGTCCTCTTGGTGTCGAAAAGCTGGCCACAAGCCAATGAGGCTATTCTCAGCCTCGTCGAACAGTATGCCGCAGCATTACCGATGACAAGACAAGTCTACTATCCAGCATCCGGTTCAGCCTTTAGGAAGGTTAGGTAATCCATATCATGGACCTTCACCTCGCAGGCCCTCGATATCCTCCCCGACATCCGGACGCTGTTTGAACAGACTCTTGCCCTTCAACCACTTCCTATACGCTTTGTACCTCTTCTTGCCGCCGTCCTCTTCGGACACGGCGAGAGGATTGTCGACGGCGCCGCTGGCTACGTATTCGGTATACTCGTCCAGATTGGCCTCTGCACGCTCCTCCAGGGTCAAACTGACGGCGCCGCGCTCGTCGTCGTAGTGTCGAAGAACCTTGTGCTCTGCCGGATCGCTGGTGGTTTTGCTCAGATACTCCAGAAACTCGAGCGGGGCGGCCGAGTAGTCGATATCCGACGACACCACCAACGGAATATTCGACGGATGCGCCACGTAGCGCTGGTACTCGTCGGCCTGGCGGACCTGTGGATCGAGGGATTTGGAGATCAACGACGTGAATGCTTGTAATGCCAGTTCTTCTTTCGTCGGCGGACCAGCCAGCACCGAACTGTTGGTCAGATCACTCGTCACGGCCGTCGGCAGTTTCGGGATCTTCGGCACTCCAGCCGACTGCACTTCGAAAGAAGGCTCCTTGATGATCCCAGTGTACTGGCGTCGACGTAGTGTATTGTGCAGCTGCTGCTGGGCGTCGAGCCACGGGCCGAGCGTGTTGGGTTTGGGGGCGGGAGTCGGTTCCATGGCGGATGCCGGTTTCGTGGAGATAATGGAACTGCCATCTCCTGCTTGGCTTGACGTTGTCTCGTCGGACGGAGCGATGAATTTGACACCCTTACGCGCCCCTTGATGGCCCTTGTCGTGTCCCTCGCCATCGCTCTCGTTCGTCGTCCGCACTTTGAACGGGGAGAGGTCGTATTTGCCCGAAGACGCCGAGCTGATCGGGATGTAGCGCAGGTTCGAGTGCATTTTGAAAGAAAACAGTTTCTTGAACGACGACACAGCCAGCGGCCGGTAGTACTCGACCCAGAAGTCGTCAAAATATCTCAGTGGTCGGTCGCGCAGTTCTCGTGGCCAGATGGACGGCGGCATGGTAGGTGTCTCGAGGTATTCGGCCGTATACCATTGGCGGTAGCTGGGCCTGCGTTTCCCAAACATGGACCGAGGGTCGGAGTGGTGCAGATAGTAGTCTGTCGTCAGGTCCCAAAGCATAGGTTGGCCTTGGGAAAAGACATAGTTCCCTAGAAACAGGTTGTATGCTTCCTGTCGCTGCGCGTCCATGAACGAGTTGGTGTAGTAGCGCTTGAAGCTCTCGACCATGTCCCGTGAGTGGCTGGTCCATTGGTTGATCTTGCGGTACGTGGCCATGGTGTTGACGAGGTGCGAGCCGCCGTATTGGATGGCAATCGTGTCGCCGTGGTCGTGCCACATATGTGTGAAGAGATTGACGGCGTCAGAGTCGTACTCGACCGATGGGTGTTCAATAACACCCAGAGCCTGCAATTGATATCCCAATGCCTTTTTTGCAATCACGAACTGCGCCGCATTAGTTCGATCAAGGCAATCGATGCAATTTGTCCTTGCAACACCATTCTGAAGCTTCAGACCTGATTCTGCGTCGTTTCCGTTCTGGAAGAACCCCGTCTTCGGAAGGATATCTTCGGCTATTGCTTCAAGACTGCCAATGACATCTTGGTCACGGCTTTTCGAAGCTCGACTCATATCCCACGCGTGGTACAGGATTTGCTTGTCCTTCGGCAGGAACTGATTGAGGTAGTTGACTGCAACAGTGTACTCTTTGAGAAGCTTGGATTCTCGGGGGGTGCGTTCGCGAGACTTGACGAGATTGAGCACATATATGGGCGTGCCGTATCGTTTGAAGAGGTTGTCGAAATGCAGGGCCGCAGCACTGTAGAAGGGGTCCACCACATTAAGATGGATGTCTGGTTTCGGCGAAACGCCTGTGTTATCCTGGGTCCAATGGAGTGGTATACTTCCTCGATGTTGAACATACGAAGTATATCTGTCATTGGCAAAGAGTACTGGGCCTGGAGCATGGAATGATGTTGTGAGCATTTCTGAGACGATCTGTTCCGTCTCAACGTCGTTGGCCACGTATCCAAGATCGTTGGCACCACGTTTCAGAAAGCGAGCGCCGGCGAAAAACCGCGAGCGCCGTGCAATGATTGTGACGTAGACGACCCGTCCCCAATAGACCGACAAAGCACTTTGATCGACATACCCATGGACAATTGATATGCACCAGTCGAAAGGATTTCGCAAGACTGCCTTGGCAGGTTTGAGGAGATGATGGTTCCAGACAAACATGTCGTTGTGATCGGCCTTGCGAGGCCCAGCGAGACCTTCGTGCAGTGCCTGACGCTCCCGCATGATGTTGTGCTGCAATGTTCGGGTGACGTCGTACGAATAGCTGAAATAGAAGGATCTCGTGAGGTCGAGGTTGTTCAGGATGCCAATGAACCGGGCCTCTTCCAGATGTCTGTCTGTTTTGGCCCTACTGAATCCGGCCATCACCAACGGCATCAATTCGGTCTTGTCGATCTGGTAGATATAATGGCCACCAATCATAGCCACCTGGCTTCTCTTCGTCACATAGAGCATATAATAATGGGCGGTGAAACGAATGAACCCGAGCAAACCCCAAAAACTGGTCTTCAATTTCAGTCCCCCAGTTGCCCGATTGCCCTCGTCAATGGCGTTGAGGATCTGCTGAGTTTCCTTCTTTGTGTAGACAATGTCGTCTTCGATGATGTTCAGTTCGCCTGGGGCTGAGGTTCGATCGATCTTCAAGATCCGATACGCAGAATCCAGCAGGTCTGACCCGACAATGTAATAATAGTTTGCTGTTTCGTGCAGAGTGAACTTGTGCATTTTCACGACGCCCTCGTCGCCTACTTTAGTTACCCGGGCTCCCCTATTGCGTTGAAGTGCTGTGGGCGAGGGGCTGGTCGTCCGCTTGAAGGATTTGGAGAGAACAAGTTCCTCGTCGTCGTCCTCGGACTCTCGGTGTCCAGGTCCCAATGGTGGAGACTCCGGCGGGTTGTTCGACAGTAGAGGATACATCTGAGGCACATTCTTCTCGCAGTCCTCATATTCATTGCTGTCTACCTTGACGGATCCGGTGGATCTTGCGTTGGAGTCTTGGGCTTGCTGGCTAGACCCATCCTGGCCATCTGGTTGGCGGTCCGCGCTGGGAGGATGCTCTCCGTTCTGGTTCTGGTTCTGGTCCTGGCCCTGGTCCTGGCCCTGGTCCTGGCCCTGGTCCTGAACAGCATCTCCGGTTTGCGTTAGAACACGGTTCTCTTTGAACTCTTTAAACGACTCCATTTTAGTCAGTGTTCACCGAGTCAGAGGGTGGTGGTCCGCCGGGCATTTGGAAGGCTGACAACGCAGGTCGAAGACGACCATCGATTGGCGCCACGTAAGAATGATTGTGCTCAGGCGTGCACCATATTATCGGCCAGTCCATCCTCTCCTCATAAGCAATAACAGATGTGGATAGGCTGTAAGATTCTCCCTGGTCGAATGCATTGATTATGATAGACAATACCTGGTGCTCTATAAGACCGATCTGATGCGTTGATTCCTTGAATCCGCTGCCTGTGATGCCATATAACTAAATGTGGTTTAGCCTTGCCAAGAATCATGCCGAGGCTGTAAGTCGGACACTAGTACGGTACTAGCGAGCTAGTAGTATTAGTACTACTAGTACTGTACTTAGCAACTGAGATATCACTCCAGTGGGAGACGCGCTTAATCAGACGGCGTACTACGAGATGTCAAGACCTACATTCACCTACCAAGGTTACCTTATGTACCTAAGGTAAGTACCGGGGTTGGAAAGATGCGTCTGACTATTACAGCCATCTCAATCTCACCCCTCTCCTGCTGGTCTATAAGACTGGACAGTCTTGGGCCAGGACATGTATCTCCTCCTATCTCCTCAAATGGAGTCGAGATCTCCCAGTAGGGTCCAGACACCCTGATTGTACCTCTATACCCATCTTGCTCCAGACAAACAATACTATGGCACCCAGTGCACCCGCTCCTTTCTCCGAACCCCTCCTCTTTCAGCTCGATCTCCCGGCTAACCCATACTATACTGAGAAACACCACCGCCTACGAGCCGTCGTTCGCAACTATGTAGACAGCGAACTGGCTCCGTACGCGCAAGAGTGGGAGATTGCCGGTGAGGTCCCGGACAGCGTGCGTCGACGATACTGCCAACTGGGTTTCTCAGTCGTGCAGCCTGTGGTTGACCCGGCAGACGCCGGGGGAGTCTCTCTTCCTGCCGGAATCGCCTACGAGGAATGGGACACGTGGTGTTCCGTCATCGTCGGCGACGAGCTCAGTCGGCTAGGCTGGTGTGGGCCTGTCTGGGGTCTCAACGGCGGCAACGCAATCGGATGTCCTCCGATCAGCAGATTCGGGACGAACGAGCAGAGACAGCAATGGCTGCCCAAAGTGGCCAGAGGAGAGTTGAGGTTCTGTCTGGGCATCACGGAGCCGGATGGAGGCAGCGATGTCGCCAACATCAAGACCACCGCGGACCGTCGAGGCGATCGGTACGTCGTCAACGGGTCGAAGAAATGGATCACCAACGGTATCTGGTGTGACTATTGCACAGCTGCCGTACGAACAGGTGGGCCAGGTCACGGTGGAATCAGCCTGCTGGTTGTGCCGTTGAAAGCCAAGGGCGTCACGACCAGAAGAATGGAGAATCAGGGCGTGCATGCGAGCGGTAGGTTGGCCATAAGACACTCCCATACGCGTGGTCTGGGGCCAGAAACCGCGCTGCTAAAGAAGGCCCATCCTCTCGTCTCCCCCGTCTTTTTCTTTCCCCCGTGCCCCATTGCTCTTGGTCTGTTGTAATGTATCTATATATGAACTAACAGAACGACAACCCGTCCAGGATCGACCTTCATCACCTTCGAAGACGTCCAAGTCCCTGTCTCCAACCTGATCGGCTGCGAAAACCATGGCTTCCAACTAACTATGTCCAATTTCAACCCGGAACGTCTCGCCCTGGCCACCGCTGCTCTCCGCCTGGCTCGGGTTTGCGCCCAGGACGCCTACACCTACGCCTGCGAGCGCGAGACATTCGGCAAGCCCCTGATCGAGCACGCCACGATCAAGACCAAAATCGCCACGTTCGGCCTTTTGATCGAGCCTGCTCACGCTTTCCTCGAGCAATTGTGCTATATCATCGAAAGTGCCCGTGTCGCGGGTAAGGGCAAGGAAAAGGAACTCAATGTCGGCGGCATGACCGCTCTCCTGAAGGTCATGAGCACCCGCTGTCTTGAACGCGTGTGTCGCGAGGCCCAACAGATCATGGGCGGCGCAGGGTACTCCAAGACCGGCCGTGGCGCGCGCATCGAGCAGATCAGTCGGGATGTTAGGGTCCATGTTGTCGGTGGCGGGAGCGAGGAGATCATGCTGGATTTGGCGGTTAGGCAGGAGGCGAGGGATGTCATGGTTAGGGCGGCGAGACGTGCTACGGCGGCGTCCAGCTCGAAGCTATGAGAGAATAAAATCTAAAAAATTGTTCAATGGCTCCCTATTCTTGTGTCTTGCCTGGGCCGGCAGGTGTTCTGTGAAATGAACAGTTCATTTCTCCTATGACTGTTTTTCCACATTGATTGGGGTTTGAGGTTCCAAGCAGCTCGGATCTATCTGATCACCAGGCAGAGAAGAGGTTGACTGATAGCTTTTAGATACCGAAATGAAATTGGAGTCCCTAGGTGAATGGACCATCCATAATGCTTGAATGCAGGGCTCCGTTCTTCACCTTGAAGAAAGACGAATAACACATCTAGACCAGAACGAGGATAATTACCTCACCACTGCCCCCTTCAAAGTCTTGACTGTACATCTGCCCTTGCCCTCCACAATAAGATCACCCTTTTCCTCGCCAGCAACCTCGGTCTTGGAGGCGTCAAAAGCCACCACCAACTCTTCAGTCGTGTAGAAACCCGGCTGAATTGCCTCCCACTGCTTCTTCTTCGGGTTGAGCTGTTTCTCAGGCCCACGGCCATCCCCGTACGGCCAGCCCTCGAAGAAGACAGGATCACCCGCCTCAGCACCTTCAGGCGGACTGACGAGCTCGACCACCCTGTCAGCGGCGTGCGGGTCGGCACCTTCTTCAGCCTGAGGCGAGGCCGCAAGAACCATGGCCGCGGACTTGATGCTGCGCATGTTGACGGGCTTCAGGTTGGCAACGACAATGACTTTGCGGCCCTGCATCTCTTCCAGCGGCACCAGTCCGTTCAACCCCGAACAGACAGTCCGCACGACTTTGCCGGTCTCCTCGTCGACCTGGGTATGTTCTGTGCCTTCAGGATCGCCCATTGCGATGGTCGACACGTACAAGCTGTCGGCATTGGGATGTCGAATTGCCCGTAGGATATGGCCGACTCGGAGATCGAGGAGGGCGGGACTCAAGGGGGCTGATGGCGGTGCTGCTTTCGGTTGCTTGGGTTGTTTCGGTGCCTTTTCCTTCTTCTTCGTAGGTGCGGGAGGATCCGACGGCGAGGCTTCGGTGGTGTTGGCTTTCACGTTCTCCGAGATCTCGCGGTTCAGTGACTCTTTCACCTCGGAGGGGATGGAGCTGTCGACGGGGGTAGAGGAGGAGTCCATGGCCGAGGATGTGCTGGTAGTTTCGGATTGAGGCTTCGTGCGACCGACCACGAGAGGTTTGTGCTGTGCTGCTGCTGTGGACGATTCGGACGTCATTGATCTGCACGCGGCGGAAGGCTGTATATTCTCCTTGTCGCTCGGATTTGATGGCGAGCAAAGGACAAATGTGGATGAATCGTCGGCCTTTTCTCTGCCTGTGGGAGAGTCTCTACGGGGCGAGTTTTCCTGAGGACCGCAATGCTGTAGCTTTTGTGACGGAACGGAATTCAATCCCTTTCCCACCTGATCCTTGCAGTCTGCAGAATCTAGTAATACCGTGGATCTGGCTGGTCTTCTTTCTATGGTTTCCTTTTCCTGCTCTTGGGATTGTCTGTATCCTAAGTCCCGTGCTACGTTCTCCGGTCGGGTATTTGCAAGGTTGAGGATGGTTTCGGTCGCCGAAGAAGCTGTCTCGGAGATTTCGGAACGAAGGAAGAATTGTAGCAAGGTCGTCCGACAAGTAACCGAGCTGCGTTTAGGGAGGAGTGCTTGTGGAGGAGTGTTGTAGAACGTGCGCAATGAAAGATGCGAGGCGGTTGTGGTGTTTTGTGCGGAGTGGAAAATTTGTGCCTGAGCCTGCGATTGTGAATGTGACGGTGACTGCGAGCCTCATGAGCCTTCAGCCTCGTGAATATAAACCAAAACAAGCCACGCACCTTTTGTGCTTTTGCTATAACGCTCCAAAACGCTTGATCTGAGCGCACCGCCCTCCGGTCTCGAAGGAATTTTGGAGGAGCGTCATCTTCAGACACTGGCGACCTTGAGTTTCCAGGTCGGGATGCTCTCCGCCAGGAGGGAGGTTGCCCATGCCGGCCGGTATTCCTGACGAGGCACGCGATTCTGCCAATTGTCCTGGCCGAGGCTACTTTTTCTCCCTTTAGTAGAACCTCCATAGGTTACGGTGTATATTCTGGAGGAATTCAGTCCTGTGACAATATCGGGAAGAACAATTGAATTGGTGGGTTATCAATGTACGGCTCTACCTAATTCGCAGCCCCTTTTCATCCAGTGCTTGTCCGGGTCCAGGACAGTCATCAGCTTCTGGGCTTGTTGCTGAAGTCTTTGTATCGAGTCCACTACTTGATTGCCGTAGAGAAGAACATGATATTACCCTGCACTGGGCCGTTGAAAGATTAAAATGTAGCATTGCTGCAATAAGCCTGTGATAAACAAGCAAAGGAGAAGATGGCAAGATGGGCTTCCATGGATAGCACGTATTTTGTCCTCCTCAAGAATGTCTCGAGTGGAGAGGATAGCCCTCCTCGTTGGTCCTTCGCGTCTACCGACACTATATTGTTTGGAAGCCAGAATCTCGGGCCGCCGGCAACTTTCCACGGTATTCAGGGAGCGCGGCATTCATATTGTCCTCTCACCAACCCGACCTTGTCGAATCTCGCTCGCTCTGGTCATTGTACAGCAGACAGAGATAGTCGGCCACGACTTCATATCGAGTCGTACCAGAGCGGCAATCATGCAGCATGCTGTATGGCTGCTCATCTTCTCCATCCCCGTGTAAGCATCTTGGTCTTGTGCAGTGGAGGTCAGCCAACATTCAGCAGAGCTTGTGACGCTTGCGTGGCCACTGGATGAGGTACAGGTTGCGGTCTGTTGGCCCAATATCAGGTACTCCTGGGAACGAGTCGAGTCCAGCTCTTTTCAGCCCTGTCCTCGAAGCCGCAGAATAACAAGCCTGTGATGACCGCCGCGGCCCATGAAACCGGCACATCATTGCATCCTTAGAACGATAGATTCTCAGAAAACAGGTGTAAAGATGACTTGAGTCTTGGATGACCAGTTATACCAATGACGGGCATCCGATGCGTATCGTAGAGGGACCGGTCCTGATGCTCGATAGCTCGATGGCCTGGCATATCTCCAAAGGCTGTTCGTCATCAGATTTAGAGAGTCCCAGCCAAGCTCTTGGGTAGTTCCAATCTCAATCTCGAGAACCATTAGCGGAATGTTCTTCAACACTCCTGTCCTGAGAGGGCCGCTGGTCCGTTGAGCAGTGTGTTTGTGCATGCGTAGAAGCATCAACAGAAGACTTGACTGCTGAGTGCTGTCTTATCTGCTGGTAGGAGCCTCCTGCTGTGCTAGCTATTCGCTGGTCGGTAATGCGGCCATAGGAAGCCTGGGGCCGTTTTGGTTGAAGTGAGACGAACATTGGGACCGTCTGTCGTGGCAAACGCGATGAGAGATAGGCTAGAATCCTTGGATTGGGAGACGGCAGCTACCGCCTCTAGACAATCATGCTGTAGAACATCGAAGTGATCAGTGATGTGAGATGGTTGAGCGGTTCCGAAATATTTGAAAAAAGGGACGAGGCTGGATTGATGATTACATAATACGAAGCTCCTTGGAATGATTGCACTGGTGGCAAGGCTGCGGCTGCTGGCACATTTGGGGATGTTTCCCAACCCCTTTCTGTCTTGATAGTATTCGGGCAACTAAAAAGATTCCCATGGAGTCACTTTGATTTATGTTCAGTCTGAAGAAGAATCGTGTTGTTCTATTCTGTCTGGGGTCTCCTATTGAGCGCTACCAACCCCATATTCAATCGCGGGAACGCCATGCATACGCACCCTATAAAGGCAAGTATGGTCTGAGCCATAGTTCGAGATGACCCGGACCACAAACGTCTGCGCAGCATACAGATGCCGGTCTTGGTTGACAGCCAGCGGAAAAGCCTGGACATGAGGCGCCTCAATCGAGGTATCATACTCCATCTCCCCGAGCAAAGCATATGTCGGCCCCAGCGCGCCATGTCCTTGCATCTGTCTGATATTGAGACTCTCCCACTCCTGACTGTCGAGGTGCTCAAAGTCAGCCCAGACTTCGATCTTCCTCGGAGTCGACCCTGGTGTCAGTGACCCGGCGGTCGGATAGTTCTCCACCACCAACTCCGTAGGGAAGATCATCTCCCTCACCTTGACTCCTAACCGCATCGAGTCTTGATTGGTCGGGTTGGTCGACGAACACCAATACTCTCCCACGTCTTGCCATGGCATGAGAGCTGTATTTGCGGGCTTCGAGTCATAGAGAGTTACTCCAAACATGCGCCAGAACTTTCTCCACCTCAGCCTCTGTGGGGTCTCCTTGGTGGGCGATGTTAGAAGTGGCTGATACTGGGCGCCGTTGTTGGGCGCAAAGTAATTGACCTTTGCCATCACTGGAGATGCCACATCCCCAGAAGAAGATAGTCTGCCCCGTCTTGACCCCGGTATGTGCTTTGATAGTTCCAAGTGTTGTCTTCGCAGCGCTTCGATTTCTTTATCCACGGCATCGTATTGAGAGTCCAGCTTCTCGGTTAGTCGTGATTCGATCGCGCGCATTTGATTCTGCATTCCGCTCAGCGCCACGGAGAGCTTGGATAGATCGCCTCCATGGGCGGACGTCAGGTTCAACGGGTCGCTCGCAATTCGTGTACAACTGCCGCAGTATTTCTGCAATGCCAGGCCCACAGGAGAATTTGAGAAGGGATCACAAACGTGGTTCGTGTAGGTATAACAGAAGAGGAGGGCAGCCGCACTCGCAACGAGCAGTCCAAACAAGATGTTGACCATAACGAGGATAAACGGTGAATTTGGGAGTTCGCTGACTGCCCTGCCACAGGCTCGGAAGAGTTGAGCGATCCATTGGGATATAGCAGCCACAACGCGTGCTGAGGTTTGACACGTGTAGTTGGTAGCTGCCTTCACTGTCTTTGATACACGTTGCAAGGAGGAGCCTCCTCCTCTCTGCCGTACGGTAACGTTTGGTTTTCGAAGGCCGCGCTCATAGTTGTAGCTGTAATCGAAAATCCCACTAGGAAAGCTAGACGGATCCGTATCCTTGTGGGTGGCATCATCGGGAGTGCTTCGCGTGGAGCTCTGGTCCTCTTCTGGTATCTCGTCCAGCTGACTACTCTCCAACGAGCTTGCCCACGCCGCGACTCGCTGGGTTTTGTTCTTCTCGACCTCATCGCTAGCAACGGATCCTTCCCGAGAACCGTCGCGAGAAGCTCTACGACGAGCCCTCTCGGCTCGCAAGTGGTTCTGCAAGTTAGCATGAGTTTCCTCGACATGGCTCTTGAGGTGTTGCTGTGCTTGCTCGACTCCGGCGTCGATGGTTTCGGCTATTTCTCGCAGATTCATCTTATTCCGGGCAACCAACTGTGCCGGAAGTACGGGCGTCCTGCTTGACCCATAAGCATACGACTGTTGAATCTGGACCTCAGGAAGTCTAGGATTGTTAACAGCGCCTTCGGCTAGACTCGGTTGTTGAGACGCGCCCCGGGTGATCTTTCGCGGGATGGCATCCTCCGGCGCTATGACGCTGCTACCACGGGTCGACCTTTTGGATGGGGAGGTGGCGCGTATAGGTGTGGCGCTTGAGGCGCGTGCGGTAGACCGACGGGGTGGCATTTTGTTCGTTTGAAATGGGGAGGCTCTACGGCGATGTCAGACCTCAGCTGGAACGTCGATCTTGGAGCGTGGTTAGGTAGTGAAGCACCCAGACGCGTAGGCCTTTTGCATAGATCGAATGTCTGACTCCTATGGAAGGCAGTGCTTGCCAGCTCCATGGAAACCACGGACTTTCGGGCTATGTGGTCAGGCTGTCATGAAGTAGAGAAGAGGGACAATCGGCCGTATTCTTGAGCAAGCAGTGCTTTCAAGCTACCACTGGCACCGCAGCTGCGGAAGCTGCTGCCTTGATAAGTTTTGTCAGCCCCGTGTGTCGCGGACTGAAGGCGGCGCGAGATGTTCTTGGGAAGGACTCGAGTCTGCCGAGTAACGAAGATCTGTTGTGGTAGGGGAACTTCAACAACAGCCTGTTGTGTAACACCAGTCTAATACAAGACACCAGATAGACGAATGTCACTGTCGAAGGAGAGACGCGGAGTAGCCCAGCCAAAAGACTATTGAGTAAAGGTACAAGGTATTCTTGTTAGTCTTTGTTTAGACGCGTCGATGAATTCATTCATGTTTCCCGATTCGAGCGATGCGCACATTCCGGCCACGGACGCAGTCACGTGATTCTGGGTCGCCAGCAGCTGGTTGAAGAACGAGCAGGGTGTCGAGATACGTTTTATTATTGTTACAGAGTACACAGTTACTGAACCTTGTAGAAATGCCTTGACAATTCACTAGCCACGGCTAGAGACCTTCCCGCTCGATGCTATACCAAGATGTTGATGGCAAACTTATGCCACTAACTGCTAATCCAGATCCCTATGTCAGTCCACAGACACACCTCCAACCCAGTATAGCCCTGGTCGAGGACGGTATGGTAGCAGCTCGCAGGTCTGTCAGATCTGCTCCTCCTCCTTCCACTTCTCATACTTCTGAATCAAACTCTTTCCTCGTACTCCTCTCCACGAGCGACACATCATTCTGACATCGAGATTCCCTAGATGAACTTCGCCGCAGGTCCTCTGGTGCTGCTTGCTTCTCCTGACCCTTGTTTCCCCCCGATAGATAATCTCCTGGACCTTTGCTTCCATCTGGAACCCAGAAGCGGCGGTCGACGCGGACGATCAAATACATATAGATGACCAGGATCTCAAGAATGAAATTGAAGAAATAGAAGCACCATTTGGCGTCGTACCAGGCTGGATCATCTAGCAGTCGGGGATTTTCGTAGGTTGTCGCCGCTCGGAAGGCTGCTCCAAGACAGAGGAGGGCCGACGAGGTGAGCAATATTGCGATCTTGGTCCGCCACCTGCCGCTTCCGAATTTCTCAAGCCGGGTTTTTCGAGGTATGACAAGAGCCAAGATGACCATAGGCATGGGCAGAAATGAGATGAGCAAGAAATATGCCGTGCCGGTCATTTGGAGGTCTCGATCGATGCGGTGTGTGTTGACGTTGAGCGTGTAGAAGGACTGTACCGTACCCGTGACGACCACGGGTATCATGGCGATGATCAGAGCGTGCAACACCTTGAACGCAACATAGAAAGATTTGTGCCAGCCGAAGTGTGGATGCGTAGCCCGGATGACCCTTTGGGCAAAGATGAGGTTGATCAGGAAGAGGACGAGGACGCCCAGTGCGACAAAAATCGTTGCTGCAATTCTGATAGATGCATCGGTCGGATATACTGCCCATACAATGCGCTGCAGCGGAGTCAGTACAGACGAGCAGAGTCCGCGGTAGATGGAAGCCTACCAAGATCGTGGTCGTGATTCGTGCAATGCAAAAGGCAAACATCGCGGCGCTCATAGGGAATTTGTGGCCTCGCCTGCGGTTGAGTTGAAGGGTTGTTATATGCCCGATCGCAGCCACAATGTAAAGGAATAGAAAGACACTACATATCGGCACATCGACTCCCACTGTGGGCACACCACCAAGCACTGCTGCTTGAGGTATATATGGGGGCCCTGTCTGCTGATAAATGTTAAGTGTGTTCCTTCAGATCTTCTTCGAGGGCGACATACGCTCTGTGCTCTTGACATTGTTGGAGTAATAGATGAGAAGGGCCAGTATTCCTGCCAGTCTTATTTTCCGCAAGATTGCTAAGATGTAGGATTAGATGATTCTGGATAGGACGAAGCATCCACGGAGTGATTCCACAGCTCTTTTATGGTTGAAGGGGCGTCCGGAAGCATTATGTACCGTGGAGAAGAAAAGACCCAGTCGGGCTTTGCAAACGCCGGTGATCAAGTCGACATTGCGGCCAGATGCCACTCTCTTTGAACTTGTCCACAACTGAATTTTCAGGCGATCGCTAGGAACCGAAAACGAGGAGTATAGAAGAGTGCGGGACGGGAAGTTGAGATCGCGTGATGCCAGTGGCCAATAATAGAGACAAACGGCGGTCTGTTCGCTCTTCTAGAACCCCTGACTATGAGCAAGCCGAACAGGCCTTGGTCACAGTTTTGGGAGCGCTAGTTTTTTGTGCATGGTGAGAAGATTCACAATGCTCTCACCTCGAAAACATAATTTGCCAGCCAACCTGGCGTCGACGTGGTCTCGAGGCCCGTGGAGCATGGTGGATTTGGTTCCGAAGACGCAGAGCGGGTTCGTGGTTTTCCGCTCCCTGCGCCCGTCAGTTGATTACCTTCTTGCCTGTCTTGATCCAAGCGCGATGATGAAACCTGTAATCTTCAGGCCGTGCCATATCCATCTCCCGGGTTCCAGGTTCTGTCGAGTGGAACGCGCTCGTAATGTTGTTGATCGTTCGAGGACAAGTTGAGTAGTGCTTCAGGAGCTTTTGGGAGCCGCGGAGAGCGAACGACAAAACGTTGACCGAGACCGAACGATGGTGGAACACAGAGGCGCCAGAATGACGTAGGCCATCAACAAGTGCAGTAGCCACAGACTAGTACCGTCAGGGCCTAGTGAACGTCTTTAGCACTTCGATGCCTCTATCCCTAGCAGAATAGTTACTCCTTTGGCTCTAGCGCGTTCCCCGGACGGGCAAATACACCGAGTCTGCTTGCGCACCTGCAGGCTGCAACTTGCCTTCGTGGTGTATCATATCCCACTGCATACAAGGTACATTCCTGTTCCATTGCAGGACACCGGAAAAGCAGACAACATACTAATACGTCGTCTCCATCACCGAGTCGATCCACCATGGTAATCTCCTCTGGCAGCGCTTTGAGCAGCGAGTCTGTCCTGGGATATATGGTCAAGAGCATTCCGACCCCGCCGTCAGACGACCAGCAACAAACACTCATCAAGAACCCTTTCGCCGCGATTGCTCTGTTCTCCCATGCCTGTATGCTTGCGGTGGGGTTCCGACTCATTGGCCTGGGAGAAGATGATAGATTAGGTATGTACCTGAACCTCCATACTTGCAGGACGCTGGCCCACTGACATGGCGCAGAAACTCAGTCCGATGCCCAAAATGTGCAGCCATTGCCCCTCAGATGGGATGCCTCCTCATCCTCGTATGCCTTTCGCTACGCTCACTCTCAGTCCTCAATGGAATATCTCGTCAAGGTGAATCGGTTAGGGACCAAAGCTCTTGTGTTTGGAGTCGGGCTGGGCGATGACAAGACCGCCTCGTTCGAAATCAAGGCCGAAGATTATGTCTCCGAGGGCTCAATAAAAGAAGCAACAGCAAATTCCGACAAAACCTCGGCCCTTAGGAACGTCTTCATATCCAATGGGCGTATCGCAGATTTGGCATCGTTGTTCAAAAGTAATATTATTCAAAAGTTGGCGCCGGGGATCGAGAAGGCGGGGTATGAAGAGACTTCTTCAAGGACACTTGAGCAACCTAGGCGGCACGAGGAAACCCGTCCTCTTGAGCATGATCCTTTGAGAGACGACCATCTTCCATCTGCCAGACCGTACCCGTTTGATGATCCACTGGCAGCCCAGCCACGAAGACCGCAACCTCCAGGCGACTTCCCACCACCTGGGTTCGACGATGAATATGATATCAACAGACCAGCAGGGCGGTTTCCAGGGGGTCACCAGCCGTTTGGGAATCTTGGTGAGAGGGATCTTTACCCTCCAGGTCTCGGGCCCCAGGACCCTCTTAGAATAGGACCAGGAGGCGGGTTTCGCGGAGGTGGTGGAATGCACCCCACGTTCGACGATCCCATATTCGGTGGACGTGGTGGACAGGATCTCTACGATCCCACAGTGCCGCCCGGCGCTCGATATGACCCAATCGGACCAGGTGATGGTCCTCCCAATCTTCGAGGAGGACCCAGGTTTCCCGGTGGTAGGGGCGGCGGAATGGGAGGAGGCAACCCCTTTGGCGGCTTTGGCGGTGGGGACTTCATCTAGGAGACTGTAAGACTAAGAAATGAGATATGACTGTCATGATATCCCGGCGACGGGCAGAAGATTGCTAGCATGGGCTTGGAGAAGGCAGAAAGAGGGTAGCTTTGATTAGCCATGAGACATCAATAGTCCTCTTCATCTCTTCAGACCAGAAGCAGCCTTTTGGTAAAATGAGTCGAAGCAATGGAGCTCTTGTCATTAGCATAGCTCACAACAGACATTTCAGAAGACCTACGACACCTATGGACGAAGTAGACTACCTATAGTAGAGTAGTATACACTATACAGGTGCCAGGGTAGTAGGTAAGTCGTAGGTAGTTGTAGCTGCCGCAGGTACTAATATTATCATTATGATTAGGCGTAGTAGGTAGCTTACCTGTGCTAGTACGTAGTTAGTACTCAAGGTACGCCGGTAGTGGCAGTGGCTCGTATTCAGCATGGAGGTATGTCATGCCCTCAACCTACCACCTAACTTCCTCACAGAACAACACCACCTTTTCAGTTCAACAGTACCCAACACATCCAGATCCAGATTTCAGACCAGCCATCCTTCGTCAACCTCAGTCCTACAAGTGGGATTCTCCCGAGTTCTCGTTTGCACGCTTCAGATACACCCCTTGCCCCTCGCGCAGATCACGACCACAACAACTTTTCCTTCCTGCCCGGCACACGACATCTTCATCAACGCTATTCGTCTCCTTCGCCTCCCCCCTCCTCTCTCTACCTTACAGTCACGTTGAATTTTATGTTTGACCATGGATTCCAAAATGGACGTTGACGTGGGAAAGCCGGCGCAGCCTCATGGCTTGTCACCTGCCTCAGACCCGCAATCTATACCGACACTCGATGGATGGATCGAGAGCTTGATGGACTGCAAACAACTGGCCGAGAGTGATGTCGCAAGGCTCTGCGATAGGGTGAGCAAGAAAAGAGTTCAGAAACACAACAGACAACTGATAACGGGTGCAGGCTAGAGAGATTCTCCAAGAAGAGTCGAATGTTCAGCCAGTGGTAGGTTGATTCTCTGTCTGGTCGGGTGCAATGCTAATCAGACACAGAAATGCCCCGTCACAGTTTGCGGTGACATTCACGGACAGTTCCACGATTTAATGGAACTGTTTCGAATCGGCGGACCGAATCCTGACACGAACTACCTCTTTATGGGTGAGTTAGGTCGCGAGAATTCCTGATGAACACAGGCTGACGTCGAGATTAGGAGACTACGTGGATCGTGGCTATTACTCCGTCGAGACCGTGACCCTCCTTGTCGCCCTCAAGATCCGATACCCTGCTAGAATTACAATCCTCCGTGGTAACCACGAGTCTAGACAGATTACCCAAGTGTACGGGTTCTACGACGAATGTCTGAGGAAATATGGCAATGCCAATGTCTGGAAATATTTCACCGACCTGTTCGACTATCTCCCCCTGACCGCCCTCATTGACAATCAGATCTTCTGCCTGCACGGTGGGCTCTCGCCCAGCATCGACACGCTCGACAACATCAGATCCCTCGACCGGATTCAGGAAGTCCCGCACGAAGGACCCATGTGCGATCTCCTGTGGAGTGACCCAGACGACAGATGTGGATGGGGAATCAGTCCAAGAGGAGCAGGATACACTTTCGGTCAAGACATTTCGGAAGCGTTCAATCACAACAACGGTTTGACCCTGGTGGCCAGAGCGCATCAACTGGTCATGGAAGGATACAATTGGAGCCAGGATAGGAACGTGGTCACCATCTTCAGCGCGCCCAATTACTGCTACAGATGTGGTAACCAGGCTGCTATCATGGAGATCGACGAGCATCTGAAGTACACTTTGTAAGGCTTCCCTACACTCATCCCCTTCTCTTTTCGGGCCGTGAAACTGACCAGCATTTGCTAGCTTGCAATTCGACCCTTGTCCTCGAGCCGGTGAGCCCATGGTCAGCCGAAGAACACCGGACTACTTCCTCTGAGCGAGAAACTGCCATTATTGCATTTTGGGATTACTGCGTGAGCAGCGAAAACAGAGTCAAGACCGGCATCAGATACATTGCGTCTTCCCAGATGTGTATCCTGACAAGAGCGGAAGGGCCGTTGTATGGGTTGGGGCCTCAATTACAGCGGTAATGACGGAAGAGAACACCTTCATCGTAAGGGTCGAGACCAATTGGGCCGCCGGGAACGATACTCATAGACAAACGACACAACGCCTGGTCTTGTTAAGGGAACATTACATCCGCCGGCTGGGGGTTGATAATGCTCGTCCCCGGTTTCATTGGATGGTTCGTATGTCTACGATTCGCACCGCCACGCCTCTGTTCAGTGTATTACAAGGAAGAAACAAGACCAGTAATGATATTGAAGAGTTTGACACTAGTGAACTTTTTCCCTGCGATCGAAGCCCTGTTTATATGATGTGACTTGTAGTTGCTCCTTGCTGACACACTAGCTCTTATGCCGGCTGTTGAGACATATCACATGCCGAGTCACTCATGTATTTCAGGTCCTCTCCGGACGTTCCAGCTCGAATGTACCTGGTTATCTACAAGTCTTCTGCGTCAATCACAGCGCTAGGCACGTAGTCGGCCTGGGTGGCATTGAGAGTCAGAGGACCCTTCTTCACCATCAAGGTCATGACCTCATACAGCACGTCGGCAGCCGCCATCGTGGTCAGCTCGGCATTCGTATCATAAGCCGGAGCGACTTCGACAATATCGGCGGCGACGAAGTTGATGCCCTCCAGCCCGCGGATGATAGTGCGCAGTTCACGGGTACTCCAGCCACCGGTCTCCGGGGTCCCCGTGGCCGGGGCGAAAGCCGGGTCCAGAGTGTCGATGTCGATGGACAGATAGACGGGGTTCTTGGTGCCGACGCGCTCCTTGATGCGGTGGATGATGCCGTGCACGCCGATGGTGTCGATTTCGCGGGCCTCGACGCGCGTGAAGCCGCAGTAGCCGTCGTTGTCGTAATCCGAGGGTCCGGACAGCGTGGTCCGGATGCCCGCGTGGATGGAGCTGTCGTTCGCCAACAGGCCTTCCTCGCTCGCCCAGTAGAAGTACGTGCCGTGGTTGATGGCCGCTTGCTTGGACGGAGCGCCGCCGAACACTTTCGGCTTCCACGTGTCGAGATGCGAGTCGAAGTGGATCACGCTGATCGGGCCGTAGGCCTTGTTGATGCTGCGCAACAGAGGCAGTGTGATCGTGTGGTCGCCGCCCAGGGTGATGACGCGGGGCAGCGTCTTGCCGGCCTTGCTGAGTCCCGGTTCCTTTGCGTCCGTGTACGGTGTTCGCATCAGGAGCGTGTTGTGTCCGTCTTCGATCTGCTGCAGAGCATATGCATTGTCGTAGCTACATCACCGGAGGGGATATGTTAGATTCTCTTGCGGCCCCAGGGTACCAGATATGTTTGGGAAGGGAGGGAGACGGTGGACTTACGAGGTCACAGGAATATCGCCGCAGTCAATGACTTTGCCCCAGAAGTTGAACGGGTTCGATTGCAATGGTCTGAAATTTGTAGAGGTTTCAAGTCAGCTTTCTGTGCTGGTCGTATCTTCGGGGAAATGGGGGTACACGTACACATTATACCCGCCGCTAAAACCCACCCTTCGTGAGCCTTTGTTCACCCAAGAAAAAGGAGTAAGCCTTTGAGCAGGAACTCAACAAACGTACTAGAGATTGAGGCGTCGAGAACCTTGTCTGATCCCGCTGGGACCGAACCGCGCTCCTGGTCGGTACGAAGTGCCTGTATCGAATGGTGCCCCTGTTTTCTCGATTTCGTCAGTCTCTGCCCTCTCAAAGCCGGTAATGCTGGCTTGATTTCTTTCTCGTCGGTCAACGCACCCAAAAATGCAATGTCATATTTCTCCTCGTCGCTCGCAAGGCAAGGGAAGTAGGGCAGACGGCCGAAGGTCGAAATGCCAGAGAAGACAGAGTCGGCCTGTTGTGCTTCGTCAATACAGACAGACAGCCAGTATGCAGTAGAGACGGGTCAAGTCCAGCCTCTTACCTGTGTACCGCCGTCACCTGGCAAAGTGTTGTACCACAACGACTTGTGCGGCCCGGAGATGGGAGTCTGGTCGTGGTCATGGTCGCCGTGGGCAAGGACACAGCTGGCACATGCCAGCAAGGCAAGAGACTTGAAATGCATCTTCGCGATCGGCCAACACAGAGCAGTCGAACAGAAAAAAGCGAACAAGCCAGGAAAGATTCCGGGAAAACAAAAACACCCCGCGCCGCAAAGTACTTGTAGGAACGGGAAAATGATCGGCCAAGCTGCCAGGGCACAGCTGCTCACCTCTTGCTACTAGTAGATCATGATGATGACCAGTACAGCTAGGCAAGCTATAGCTTTCGCCCGAGGCAGTTCCTGCAGATAGGTCCGTGAGGTTAGGAATAAGTCACCGATCTGACCACACCATTGCAGAGCCGGTTCCTGTTACCTAACACCACTTCTAGCTGGGCTGCGTGTCGGCGCTGGGCGGTTAACTCAAAAGAGATGATAACATCACACACTTACCTATTGAGCTGAGGCCACTATCGAACCCCTCGCCCCCGCCTACCTCTTGTACGTTGCAAATAGAATCTCCAAACGGTGACAATGAGAAAAAACGTCGAGTTTGGTCAACAATGCCTCTCCATCCACAACCCGGTAGCAGGCTGGGTCGAGCTTGCAGATGTCTCTTCAACTCAAATATCGGATACCTACTCTTTGCCCGCCACGCGTCTGGCGTTCTTGGAGGCGGGGCACGCGCAGGTGAGTTGGAAGTCCACCGCGAAGCCACATGGGCGTGACGTGCGGGTGCCAGGCGGGCGATGAGACAGCGATCAAACGAACTGTGGAAACCGGAGGGAGCGAGAGAGGGATAAGGTAGCGCACAAGTCCATGCAAGCGGGCTCACCGGATCTTGGAGGGTTCCTGGAAAGGGTGAGCCAATGCCGTGTGTCATGATGATGCTGTCATATTGTTTGGTAGATGCTTATCAGTTGCATGGTGAACGGAAAGTCACTCGTATCAGTCGAGCAAAGGAAGAGTGTTTGTGTTTTGTAAGACGTTGAGAGAAGATTCGGCCGCTAGTCCGCAAGAGGAAGCCTGTAAGTGTGGTAACAGAGATACGGTGCACCGTCATCGTCAGAGTCTTGCATCTTGTCATTAGAAAGTTCTTATCTTATCTACGGGCGGTTCTTATCATGGAGACGAGTTACTTGATGTCTTCTCCATATTGCTCTGCCCATCCCTCATCAAAAGGATCATCAACATCTATGATGGTTAGATGAAGCAGGTCATGCCATACGTGCAAATCATTTTCCCGGTCTCTCCATCTCCATCTATACTAGCGACCTTTTTCCCGTCTATGCCATTTCCATTTTGCGTCATCACTGTGGTCCATTTCCAACCGGAGCCGGCACAGAGGGTCCAGCCTCGCCAGTTTCGACCAGTTCGTCCTTGTCCATGCGGTCGAATGCCTTTTGGACTTGGTAGTCCCAATTGCTGAAAGCCACGATGACCCATTCGGCAGCTCCAACAAGATAGAGGGCGATGCATTGACCAACCCAAAGGCCAGGAAGACCCCAGCCATGGAAAGCAAGCCAGATACCCAAGGGCAGGGCGCCACAATAGTAGCTGACGATGTTAACGGCTGCTCCTATGTGCTGCCTCCCCATGCCTCGTAGAGATCCTCCGCAGCTGCCGTTCAAGCCGTCTGCGATCTGGAACAGAGCAACATAAGGCAGGACCTTCGCAGTGAGTTTCACCACTCTGTCATCATCGTTGAAGATCTTGGCAAAGTGGTTTCTTGTCCCCATCAGAATAGCGAGGACAATGGCGCCCATGAACATGCTGAGCCAGGCGGCCACATTGGCTGACCGTGCTGCCCCCTTTGCGTTGCGTGAGCCCAACATGTTCCCAACACGTGCGCTGGCAGCGACGCCTATCCCAAAAGGGATGGTGTTCATGACTTGATCGGCCGTCATAATGACACTTTGCGATGCCAGAGGGATCTCGCCTAGTCTGCCAGCAGCGAGTGCGACGATCTCAAAGGCCCACCACTCAGTGCCGACGTGGATGACACCCAGAATGGCGAGTTTGGCGAATGTTCCCATATTGTGCAGACACCTTTTCGTCCAGCCGCCCCAGCAGTCGCCGCCTGCCACGAATTTCGCATAAAGCACCAGGCCGAAGAATGACAGCCAGTAGCCGATGCCGGTTGCGAATGGGGCAGCGAATATTCCCCATCCTGCGACATAGACGAACAGGTAATTCAACAAAGCACTGATGGGTGAAGTGATCAAGAGGACATATGTTCCTGGACGCATAATCGACTGGGCCTGCAGATACTTTTTCATGGTTTCGAAGTAGATATACCCAAGGCCGCCGGGAATCAAACAGCTCAGGAATTTGGAGCTGTCTCGCGAAAGCTGGGCACTCTGGCCGAGGGCTCTGAAGACCGGTTCCGAGCACAACCAGAGTATTGCAACGGGAATATAGAACAGGGTGAGGACGACAAACCCTCGTTGCAACAGGATGCCCAAGTCATGCTTGTTCTTGCTTCCGGTGAAAGTCGACGAAGCAAGAGTGTCCAGTGCGGTCGACCCTCCCATCCCAATGAGCCATCCCGAGCACATAGCAAACATATAGGAGAAAGCGGCGGTCGAGAGATCCTGAGGCGAGGCTCGGCCGACGATCAAGATTGAGATGGTTTGCAAGGAGTTCTGTAAGGTATATGCCAGGATCACCGGGATCGATCCTTGGAACAAAACCCAGAATTCATGGAGGATAAGCTTGCGAGGCGGCGTTTCGTCCTCGGGCAGAATGTCGAGGATCTCGCCTTCTCCCTGGCTCGGCGTGGACTCCTCATCGCCATGCTTCTTGGGCAAGAGACTGGTTTCCTCAGTCGCCGTTTCCTGGATTTCGTCCGGCATCATTGCAACTGAGCGCCTTCTTTCACGATCCTCTTCTGATGAATGAGAGTCATAAGCGTGATGATCGTGGGGCTTCCATGCCATTCACTTACCGGATGAGCTATATCTCCTCATTCACACAATCGATGTGGAATTCGCACAGTCTTGCAGGTCAGCAGCATGAGCAAACTACTCTTGTAGACCGAGGTCGATCGAGAACAGGAGACCCAAGGTTGATCTATGTGTACCACAGACGGCAGGACCCTTGGGTTGTGACGGCCAACTCCCCAGACCCACCAGAGTATCAAAACGGGACAGTAAAGCACTCACAGGCTCGTAAACCACAATGACAGCGGATTTCCAGCAGTCAAAGATTGTTCAAATACTGACACGTAAGGAATGGGAACCAGTGGCCGTGACAGAATAGGGGCAGGACAGCGGCAGACAACACCCAGGGACAAAGGGAAGAGAGGGTAAGATTGATTAGTGGTACTGTTAGCATGAGAGCGATTGAAGTCATCGCATTACTCAATCATCTACCCGATGGTAGGCAGGTAGCTATACTTTGTTGCTGGTGTGGTTCCTTATCTTCAGCCCTGTTGGAGGTGTGGCCCTTGCAATGACCGCCAGTTTGGCTGCCGAGTCCTTAGCTGTTGTACGGACCTGGTCGACACCCCCACCGCCGGGTTCCACCACCGGACCTTGATATCCAGGGATACCTCAGGTTGTCAAGTTAGTTAGTACTGGTTCGGAGGTTTAGCCACACACGGCGACGTAACCATGATACCAGGATTCGCGAAATCGGATTCTCCTCTGACCGACAGATGAGGCTTGACGGGGTTCTACGCTGTCTCTGTACCGGTATGTAATGAATTCAAATGACGACGCCGGCTTAAAACTTGGCATCAAAAACACCAACCACTGGCAGCAACCGCCAAACCACCATCTCATCCTCCTTATCAACGCCTTCTCAATAACGTTTTGCATTTTGCACATCCAGCTAATCTTCCAGCCAAATGGCCACCGCTAGCTCTGCTGGTTACAGCCCGGACGGTACAAGCCTTGATTCGCCGGCCTGAAACCAGCCACTAACGAACCGTAGTTGGACTTTGCTTTGCGCCTCGGTTTGTCTTTCGATGCCATAATGCTGGTGACATGGCTCAGATAACGACATGCTGAGCCATACAACCTGCGACGCACACGATGCACCCAGATCTTGGGATAGTCCTTGGCTTCAAGCACTCATCATCATCACTCCTGCTTGATAGCGGCTCCTGTTCGTGGGACACGGGCGGTGCTTCTCTTTCTCTGCAGCCTTTGGTTCGATCGCTTCCAATCAGGCTAACGTCAGATCTATACCTTGCATCGATCTCCCCTGTACATCATCTCTACATATTTTTTTTCTCTCTCCTTGACCTTCTCCTCCTGATCACCTCCTTATTTTCTGTTTGAAAATCGGAAACACAATGGCGGAACATCTGAACGAGAAACAACACACTCCGCAGGGAGATGGCGAGGCTCTACAGAATGGGACACATGAGAAATCCGAGTCGAATACAGTGGCTCCCCATCCAGCGGCCGCCGAAAACGTTGTTACCCGAGATGGCGTCCGCCTGCATCCTCAGCCGACCAGTGACCCCTTGGATCCTTTGAACTGGTCGAGTTTCCAGAAGCACACGATCCTTGCTGTTGTCATGTTCAAGTAGGAATGAATCCACGACTCCCAAATGGAAACCCAATCTGACAGTCTGTGCACAGGTACTTCATGTTTACCTACATCACCACCACGACAGTGGCCAGTTTCCCTAATTTGCAAGATCAATACGGCATCAGCTATTCGCAGGTCAACTGGACCGTGGCCATTCCAGCCTTAGGTCTAGCCGTGGGACCTCTGATATTCTCCTCGTTAGCCGACATCTTTGGCCGACGAATCATCTTCATCTTCGGCACTCTCATGGCATTCGGTGCAACTGTCGGCGCAGCAAAAGCGCCCAACTACGGCGGGTACATGGCCGCGCGGTTTTTCCAGGGCTTCGGCGTGTCCCCAGCCTCGACGGTAGGCCTGGCGGCCATCAACGACATGTTCTACGAACATCAGCGCGGCCAGAAGATTGGACTCTGGGTACTCGCCATCGACAGCGGTTTGCTGGTCGGACCGATCTTCGGCGGCTTCATGAACATTGTGTCTGCCGCCTGGGTGCAATGGCTTACCGCCATCTTCTTCGCCGTCCTTCTGGTCCTAGAGATTCTCTTCATGCCGGAGACTCTGTACCCGCGGAACAAAATGCTGGCTCAACTGCCTCTGGCCACAGCGGCCGACGAGCCCGCCATCGATATCGAAAAGGTGGGCCGCCGTCGCAGCGACGCTGGAGCGGTCAGTCTCGCGCGCACTAAGAAGCTGGCATACATCAACGTCAAGCCCGTGCCGGGCATGCGCCATCCGGCAGTCTACGACGCGGTGCTGCGCTTCATCATGACCTGGAAGTTCCTCGCAGTCACGATTTCCGTCTTTGTTTACTGCTTCGCGTGGTACTGGTGGATCCTGAGTGTTATCACCATGCTGCCCGCCGCCTATCCGGACTACAAGCCACAGATCCAGGGCCTGCTGTTCATCGGCTTGTTACTGGGCACGTTGTTCGCAGAAGTGTTCCTGGGCGGCAGTCTCAGCGATTGGGTCTGCTCACGCCTCGCAAAGCGCAATGGCGGCACCCGTCTCCCTGAGATGCGCCTCTGGCTCATCTATCCTGCCGGCTTGTTGAGCGCAATCGGCCTTATCGTCTGGGGCATCAGCATCGACAAAGGGTACCACTGGATGGTCGGGCAGGTTGCGTTATTCCTCTTCGCTGCTGGCATCCAGATGGGCAACACGGTGGTGTGCGCTTATATTGTCGACTGCTATCCGCTCCAGAGCATGAGCATAATCACCTTCTATGCCGTGCTGCTCAATTTGTCCGCCTTTATTGATCCGGTAAGTCTATGAACCAGGGATGAGTTTACAGCTACGTTGATTGTTGGATGTTCTTCGTAATTGCTTTGATCCTGTTACTAATATGTCTCTTCTTCTTCTTTCTAGTTCTTCATCGCCCCCTGGCAGACAGACTCGGGCTGGACATGGTGTTTTGCGGCTCAAGGTATCATTGTCTTCTTCGGCGCCATGCCCGTCTTCGCTCTGCTGCACAAATTCGGGCCGTCTTTACGCGAAAAGACAGGCACGCCGTCTTGGGTCAATCCCGAATTCGACATGTCAACATGAGAAGGGATTGTTTTTTGGCGTTTAGAGGGAGCTTGGAGTCATTGAACCCGGTGTGATGGTCGGCACGTGCCGGCACAGATATCACTATCTAGAACCCAAACTGGAGGTTCGGAGGGGTTGGTTCTGGTACCTGTAGGACCAATACTGAGACACCTCTTCTTGCGAGAGTTTGGTCTCCTGTTCCTGTGCGTTGCTGAGTGTCCCTCCAATTGCAGTTACCGTTGCCGTGTATTGTATCCGATCCTGCTGCGACAGCCTGGCGCTGCCCCTACTTTCTTCACGGTGTCCTGGGATGTCATCTCCCACTGACCTTTCCTTGGAGGCACGGCTTCCAGCCCATACCGATCTCAAACCATCTTTGGGCATCAACTCACTCTTGACAAGACTTCAGTGAAGCCTCTTGTGATAACACCCTTCTCCTCATCGTCGCTTGACCTGGTCACTTGCTTCTTCACTTCCGAGATAGTGAGTGACACAGGAAGCTGAACCCAGTCTATTGCTCCATTCCATTCCACTTCTGCTTCCACCTTCGGAATAGCCAAATCGTCCTTCGTGGCTTACACTTACAGTCTCGGTCTCGGTCTCAGTCTGACCTGAGGAATCAGGATAGCGAGAGAACCCACCCAACACGATGTGCCTCAACCTCCCCATAGCCGAGAACCCTCCCCGATCTCAACACACCATCCGCGATGAAAAAATAATACACAGATATATGTTAGAGCCGGATTTCCGTCCAACAATCCCCCACCAAAACCATCTGCTAGGTGTCCCTAAGTTGCCCCATTCCATGGGTGAGTCCTTAGTTCCGCAGTTTGAAGATGGGCCCATTCCGCTTCGTGACCCAGTTGCCCCATTCTATGGGTGAATCCTTGGTTGCGAAGTGTGATGGGCGTTCGGGGGGGATATGTGTGTGCTCTTCCACCTCTCCAGACTTGATAAGCCATACCAGATGCTTCTGGACCGGGTTGCGCCATTCCATGGGTGAGGCGAGTCCTCGGTTCTTGAAGTTGACGGGCGCTTTGATATGATGGTGAGGGTTCGAGGATTGGGTCCGGGGGAAAAAAACTGGCGATCAAAAGCAAAGTTTCACTTGCCTTCCTACCACTCGAACCCAGGTGGGAAAGGTTTTTTTGGTGGTTTGCATGTCGCATTGTCTTGAACGCTTGGGGAGTGCTCTGGGCTCTGAACAAGTGCTGCTGGTTTGTGTACGATTGTTGTAAGCTAGTGTCTGTGTCAACAAACAGATGTATAATCAAGTCAGTGTTGACGCTCGAGTGTATCTCTTGCAGAACTGCGATTGCATGTCAAAAGTCAAAAGTATGATGGCCAGTCTCAGTATTCCTCTTGTCTATGGAAGCGGTTTATGCGTGGACCATCGAGTAGCGGTTGCTCATGTTTATCATTCATTCGTTTGTCTTCACGCCTGGATCTGGGATCGCCGGCTTTTCATGTTGTGCCAGTGGTGCTGTCTTGAGTCTTGAGTCTTATAGTTCAATACTGGTTCATTCATGTCTTCGTATCGTCTTCGACTCGTGTTTTGAGTCGTGTCCCGTAGTAGTCAAACAGAAGACCGTCCCTGAATACTCCTCTACATTCTCGTCTTGCCCAGTTCTTCGCCCCTTTCCCTGATCGTCTGTCTCCTCAAATACCAGTTACGCAGCACCTCCCACGCAGCGGCCGCAGCCGTAAGCGGCGGAGCCAGCACAAGCAGCCAAGTCCACCATCTCGGACTCTTCGCCCTGATATCTCGCATGACTTCGGCGATCTGGAGCTGCAAGTCCTCCCTACTGCCGTCATTGTAGAGAACATAACCTTTCCCTGCGTTCTTGTTGGCCTTGTTTCTAGATTCGCACCTCGCAGCTTTCTCACGCACGTCGACCTGGCTCTTGACTCTGTTTTCCGCGTCTTCGGCCGACAGAAACGGATCCCGCTCGCGCAGGCGCTGCATTTGGATCTTCGGGTCCGACACGGCCACGACGACGACGGTGCTGCAGAAGATGTCGAGGCCGGATTCGAAGAGCAGCGGCACGTCTGCGAGCACCGCCCAGTATCCGAGCAGCCAGTAGTACAGCATGGCTCGGGCAATGTAGAACCGCACGGCGGGGTGGACGATCGCGTTCAGCTTCTTACGGTCGCGCACCCGCTCTTCGCTGGTTCCGAACACTCTCCGTCCGAGCGCAGGTCGGTTCAACGGCCTTCCTTTCCCGTCAGGTCCGTCCTCTCGGCCGCCGCATTGCGCGTCGGTCGCGGGCAATAGTAGGTCTGGTGTGGTTGGGCCGAACGTCGCTACTATGCGTCGGTAGCCCCATGTTCCGGGCTCGACTGCCTTTCGTGCCAACAGGTCCGCGTCGATTAGGGGGAGCGAATAGGGTGGGGAGGAGAGGATTGCGGAACAGGTCGACTTGCCTGTCGCGATTGAGCCTGTGATGCCGATGACGCGCATTGTTGACTGGTGTGCTGGTGCTGGTGCTGGGTTGCTCACACGGTGAGCGGTCACGAACAAGGGTGAGCGGTGTCTGAAATTGCATCTATTCGAGGCACGCAATACATTGTTGTCAGTGCAGAGGTAGATGTAGACGAGCCCATTCCTCTATATCGAGTGGCAGAACATGCGAGGTCTTTATAGCGTCCGTATGTCCATCCGGCGTCGGGGGATCTGATAATCCGGAAATCCACCACGGCAAACGAGGCTGAACGAGGCTGTGAATCACAAACTTCGGCCTTTCTTTTTACGACTACACAAGGCTGACTTGAAGTCTTCAGATACCAGCATTCGATCCTCTCTGCAAGAACCACAATACACCATCGACGACTCTCATCACTAATCGATCGCTCAGCAAGATTTTACTTCTCAATCAACTCTATTCGAGGAAGTATATCCTCCAGAGTCGCGCTGTTGACAGCGGTTCGTCAACCTGCCCTTCACACTCAACACGATGAAGGCACCCAATCCTTAAACCGACCAACCTGAATCTGTCTTTAGGAGACATATGATGATTCTAGCAGCCTTGAAACACATTTCGGTATCTACACGACCACGAGCTTTTCAGAGGCTCGCTCCCCGGCATTCAACCCCACACTCTACAATGGCTTCAGCCACCATTTCCTTGACCCCAGCCGAAAAGCTATTCCGTCAATGTCTCCTCGACTGCCGCAATGAAATGCACTCCATACCCGGGATGAACGATCTAGTCCTTCGCTTCACTGGAGGCTGGGTGCGAGACAAATTACTGGGCACCCAGAGCCACGACATCGACGTCGCCCTGAGCACGATGACCGGCTGGCAGTTCGGCCAAGCGCTGCAGCTGTTCATGCGAGACCACGGCGCCAAGTACGAACAAGAAGCGATCAGCCAAGGCATCAACTCGCAAGTCAAAGACATCCACAAGATCGAAGCGAACCCGGAGAAATCGAAACACCTGGAAACGATCACGACGCGAATGTTCGGGATGGACATCGACTTTGTGAATCTGAGAAAGGAGGTCTATGACGAGACGTCGCGCAATCCCAAGATGGAATTCGGCACTCCCGAAGAAGACGCACTGCGTCGCGACGCGACCGTCAATGCGTTGTTCTACAATCTCGACACACAGCTCGTCGAGGATTTCACGGGCCGAGGGCTGGATGACATGAAGCGCAAAATCATCCGCACGCCCCTCGCGCCGTATCAGACGTTCAAGGACGATCCGCTGCGCGTGTTGCGGCTGATTCGCTTCGCTTGTCGGCTCGGATACGAGATCGAGCGGGAGGCCAGAGAGGCGATGAAGGATAAAAGTATCCATGAAGCACTGCGGGTCAAGATCAGCAGAGAGCGGGTCGGGGTCGAGGTGGGCAAGATCATGGCCGGACCGGATCCGTACACGGGACTCAAGGATATCAATGAACTCGATCTTTATTTCACGGTGTTCGCAGATCCTAGCACGACAGCTACGACCGGGCTGGATGCCAACAAGGCGCTGCGGGCGTATGATGGCCTGCAGACGATCTTGCGGGAAAAGTCTGCGATTTGCTTGGGTCTGAAGCCGAGGCAGGACCAGAGCCTCAGCTGGTTCCTTGCCGCGTATGTTCCGTGGGTCGGATCCTCGGCCGATGCTTACACTGCGTCGAGGGAGGGCATCAAAGCGACCAACTCGATGAGCAAGGTTCTGAAAGACGCCATTGATCTGCGTCAGGAGATCCTGCGAGCAGTTCAGGCGGTGCGAGACGGCAACGCTACTCGCTCGGCAGTGGGCATGCTGTTGCGCCAGTGCAGGGAGGCATGGCGGTCGCATGTTCTGTTTTCGCTGCTTTGCGACATTGCGGACGGTGACTTTGCCGAAGCCACGGATCGCTACCAGACGTTTGTCACGTACATTGCTGAACAGAAGCTGGAAGACGCGCATCTCATCGCCCCGATCCTCAAGGGCAACGAGATCACGGAGGCGCTGGGAGGACTGAAGACTGGTCCATGGCTCAAACAAGCGGTGGATTTGCTGGCTGAGTGGCAGTTTACTCACCCGGAGGCGACCAAGGAGGAAGCAATCGAGATGATTGTCAGGAAGAAGCCAGAGCTGGACATTCGAGAGCAGAACCCTCCGACCTCCAAAAAGAAAAAGGGCAAGGGTCAGAAGTCGTGATGATTGTGTCAAAGAGACGAAGAGTTATTTCGATACCCCATGTGAAAAGTTACGATTTGATTTTCAAGGTCATGTCATTAATAGTTCCTCCCTGCCAGCCTCCGTTCGAGGTGCCTGGGATGGGAACGTAGTATATATCGTCGTTAATGCTTGGAGCCAGCGAGCCGAGTAGCAGCTTCGAGGGACAACCAACGTGTGGACATCTGATGTCTTCTCATGATGCTTCGATCCCAACGCTTCTCCGCCTCTCCTCTTGCATGCGCCTTTGCCGCAAAAGCGTTCCGGCCTCATTTCAAAAGCACAATCAATAGCAGCAGAATGACTATCAAGACGATGATCGTCGTCATGCCCCAATTCTGCTTCGCTTTCCGACTCACGCCCTTTAACCTCCGCTTCGCGCCGTCCAATCGACCTTGATGCCTATCCACGCCACGATCCACCTCATCCAACAGAGCAATCTGTCCTTCCAGCTCGTCTCCCACCTGGAGGGCTAGATGTCGCTGACGCCCGATTGACTCGCCCAGCCGGTCAAGTTGTTCGTCTTGTTCGGCCATGACTTGCTTGTGGTACGCATGAATCTGTACATTGGACATCGACTCCGTAGGGTCGGGGGTTTGTACACGACCGGCCTCTTCGTCGGTGTATCGTGACGGGAACAGGGCGGCCCGGATCGTATCGTCCTCTTCGTCCAGAGATTCTTGAGAGGGATTATCGCGGAATCGGACATTCTTCGCAGCTTGGCTCTGCCCAGCATCTTGTTTCCGCAGGTTGGAAGCACGTTGCTGTCGACCTTCGCTGGACTTCCGAGTCTGCGCCCGAGCAAAGTCGTCCTTTAGGGTAGGGTCGTTGGGAGATGCGAGAGTGGTGGCGGCGGTGCTAGAGTTCTCGCCGTGGAACTGCCGGGAAAGATCATTGTACTGAGAGCGGAGTTGATTTAGGGATTCGTCATCGGTAGCAGATCGAGCGGCGAGCGATTCAATGCCTTCACGAAAAGATTCTAGGGAGCGAGCGATGTTGGAGTCTTGGGACGGGACGGGATCGAGGTTCAGCGAGATAGCGCGCTGCCGCTCTAGGAGTGACAACTTGATGTGGTCCGCAAGAAGCAGCAGCTGTGTTGGGTTTGACATTGCGAGGTCAAAGTAAGCCTTAACCCTGACTCGAGGGGAAGGAAGAGTTGGTGGTGATCGAAGGAAGGGAGCCTCAGCTTCGGTCAGGCTGAAGTATCTGGGGATGCGTCAGGCCGGGATCTCGTCGCTGCACGGAGACTCGGTGGTCACGGTCGATTCGTCAGAGTTCGAGATTCTGCAGAGCATCAACAGAACATGTAGGGGATTCTGTTGAGGTCAGTTGCAAACCTGCAATGATGTTCACTGAACATCGGTGCCGCAGGTATGTTTACGAACGAGGTACGATGTTCGGACTGGGGATGATGGCCGGTCCCGGAGAACGATGCAGCGGCCAAGGTCGGATGAGCACGAGCATCGACGGCCGATTCAAGGAAGAGGCTGGTCACGTTTTACCCGGAATGCTGCCTAGAGTTTAAATAGTTAGGGGCTGGATTGCTTATAATATTATGCCTGTGGTAGGTGCTGAATGGCCTAGGGAGCCTCCTAGCCCCTAATAACCCGCTCGCTAGTGCCTAGGCCGGGCAATCCCCCTCACTGACAACATGTCAGTGATTGCTGTTAGTGGTTGCACTAATGAATCAGAAGTCGGGGCCATGCGGCCTGGGGGACGAGGCCTGACCACACGGTGCATTCAACGGTAGTACCAGGTATAACACAACAACAGTTCCAATGTCCAACAGTTCTCCTCCATACTTCCATCTCACACTACTAGTATGCTACCGTGGCCGTGACATTGTGTGCTGCCATGGATAACTACGAGTTCTACCCCCTGAGGCCTCACCGTCTCGCGGCCGACGACGATTCCTTGCCGAGTCCGATCCAACCTCATCTCGACACCCTTTTCGCCGAGTTCGCGAGATCCCGCCCAAGAGTCTCTTCTCCAACGCCCTCATCAGCCGTGTCTCAGCGCGACTCCCGCGAGGCCAACAGCGAAAAGACTCCCGCCAAAATAGACCTTCGAGCCCTTGAATATGTTGGAGACTACGATTCCCACCTGATGTGTCCCATATGCCACGTACCGTTCGTCGACCCGGTCGTCCTCGAATGCGACCACACATTCTGTGACTCCTGTCTGAAGGAATATCGAGAAGGAGTCAGTAGTGGCCCTCGGTCACGGTGTCCTACATGTCGGGCCTTCCTGTTATCGGGGCCCCGGAAAGCCTCTCGGCTGATTGCCAACATGTGTAATGAAACCCAGGTGCGGTGTCCGAACGAGGACTGTGAAGAGGTCTTACCCCGTGGGTGCATCGAACATCACGCGACGAAAGAGTGTCCGCACGAACGGCTCCAGTGTCCTGACCCGACCTGCGACAAGCTGGTCAAGAGAAAGAACTACGTGCCGGAACAGTGTATACATAGTTCGCACATCGAGTGTGACTGCGGCGCCGTGATCGAGCTAGGCAAGGGAGATTGGCTGAGGCACAAAGATGAAGACTGTCCGAACACGGGGGTCAAGTGTGGGGAATGCGGGCAAAGGATCTCGGCCAGGGACTATCTTTCTGGGAGCAGCAACCATACTTGCACCGCCAAGGACAGCCATAATTGTCCCGGCAAACAATATGGCTGTACAGATGACTTCCCACCGGCAGATGCTGAGGCGCACATCAAATCATGCCCGCTTGCCCAGTTGGCCCCTCATTTCCAGAAACAATCTCAACTCCTACAGTCGTTGCAAGAGCAGTTGACCATGGTCAAAGTCCGCAACGAGGTGCTGGAGAACGGATTCGAAAAGATCAACGATCTGCTGAGCGACCGCGTTCGTCATTATCTAGCCCAGTCGGACCATTCCCCGGCGGAGGCCTCGGATATTGAAGAAATCGAGCGCGATCACATCCCTTCGGGTCTGTCGCAACGGGATCTGCTGAGCCCGGCACAACTTCGCGCCATGACTCCGTCTCCCGACCCGGACTCTTTGTCCATTTCTCAAACACAGCAACATCTGCTGGCTTTGCATGAATCGTTGCGGGGAAACGTGTCCAATATAGAAAACGACATCTCTGCCCTGTCCAACACGATCTCGGATCTCGACGCGCGGACATCCATGCAGATTATGAATGAGACGCTGCGGATTAAAGAGGATCTGGCGCATACCAACGCCGCCTTGTTCAGCACCAGAGCGCAGGTTCAGTGGCTGTTGAACCGTGAGAGGGTAGGACAGCAACAGCAAGCCATGGGAATGGGAATGCGCGGTCGAGCACCCTCAGCTCAGCCTCCGGTGTCCCATGAAGGCGCCTCCGCCCGAAGCTCTGTTTCTGAAGGAGGTGATTCGGCGGGCCAGGTATCAAGTTCAGACGGTCATCCCGTGATATCTGTCTCGGGTTCCAGTCCGAACTTTCGACCTCAATTGAGGCGGCTGAGTGGTGGTGGTAGTCAAGAGAGGGTCAAATTATAATACAATCCCCTTCTTTTTGGTCGCTGGTATAATAGCCGTCTAGCAACAATGACAGGATTCATTTCGGTTTCACTCTACAGACGGTGTTGTCGTTCAAACAGGTCAGCCAATATCACTGGAAGACACGGCTATAATCGGTGTGACTTGGGTGACCAACTGTATTGGAGAAGACTAGATTAGATACTAGTAGTATGTTGGAATGAACCTGATTCTCTCCATGATATGTCCTTACATGTAAGTAGTCACAGAAAGAAGACGAGGATGAGGATAAGGAGGAAGAAAGAAGAGACAAGTACAAGTACCTACTTATCGCAGCGAGCCTTGCAGCTCGCCAACCAACCAATCACAGCCATCTCTGCCCGGCTGGACATGCCGCATTCGACACAAGTACAGAACTAATTGAACGACAAGAAACAAGTCAACAACTCCTTCAAAGTGTATCGGCAACAAGAGGGCAACCCACCACGAGCAAGAAGGCTGCCTTGCCAATGAACCTGTTCTGATAGCATATCATAACCTCTTTCTGTGTGACCAATTCTCCCAATGGGATTGGACGATATTCAGGTCCGAGGTTGAGTCTGGCCGGTCAGAGGTCTATCTTTGCGATACGAAACTTGAACGGTGCGGCTGGTGATAACGACAATGAATGAGGTTCTCGAAATCCGGTAGGCACGGGCTGCTCTTTGGGACAGACAGCTACACTGGCAGTGCACTGGGGTACATATACATGATCAATTCCGTTCACAGACAGGCCCTAATCTTGAAGCTCGATTGTTGCTTTTTGTTGTCTGGCCTCTCGCAATCCCTCCTGACAATTTCCATCACACCGTGACTACTCTTCTGGAGATTCCTCCTGGCTAGCAAGAATTGACGGGTGTCGCTGGACTGCAGGACTCATTTGGGGATACTAGTGTTTGACTTCCCAATATCGGAGACAACGACCAAGAGACAGGAGACCAGGAGGATCATCAACGAGGAGAAGGTAATTGTTAGCAAGAAAGCGGGCAATAGTGGTACCACCGACCACCGAGCTCGCCCACGGTCCTTCGAGAGGCTCAGCCAACGATACAGCGAATATCAACTTGCCTAGGATCTTCTCATCGAGACTGTTCGGCCTTCAAGGATTAAATACATATAAGACAGAAGGGAATCGACAAAGATGGGTCGCGGAAGGACGCTCGAGTATCCCAAGACCCCGGTCAACAAGGTCAACCGGTACAATCAACGAGGTAAGAATTCCTTCCCATACAAGTCGAGCCTCGACTATTATGACTTAGCAGCTAATGATGCTTCACAGCGACCTATGACCTCGAGCAAATCCATGGCATCATCAACACCAGCAGCGTGGTGCACGTCTCGTTCAACACGCCCGATCCGAGCAATCCTTTCCCCGTGACGCTGCCGATGGTCGGGGTCGCAGCCAGTTACGAACACCCGTCAGCCTCGCTCGGCGAACCACTCGACATCTACCTGCACGGCTACGTGAGCAGCCGGCTGATGAACCTTTCTCGCAACGCCGAAACCGAATCCAAAACCAATACTCCTGACGCCTCCGCCTCTCCCACAGGTCTCCCCGTCACCATCTCCGCGACCAAGGTGGATGGGCTGATCCTCACGCTGACGCCCAATACACACGACATCAACTACCGCTCGGCGATCGTGTACGGATATGCCAGCCTGGTCACCGACGTGGGCGAGAAGCTGTGGGCTATGGAGCAGGTGACCAACTCGGTGCTACGGGCGCGCTGGCGGTTCACGCGCGTGCCGCCCGACTCGGCCGAAATGCAGAGCACATCGATCCTGCGCGTCAGCGTCGTCGGCGGCAGCGGGAAGATCCGCGTCGGCGGCCCGCGCGACGAACAGAAGGACCTGGTCCGGGACGACCTGCGCGAGAATATCTGGACCGGTGTCGTGCCCGTCTATGAGTGTCTCGGCGAGCCTGTTCCGCATAAAGGGAACAGAGTCAAGGATGTGCCTGCCCACGTACTAGAATATGTGACGGAGATGAGGGAGGCAAATGAGAAGTATGCCGCCGATGCAATTGCTGATCAATCCCAAGATTGAAGGGCTCGAAGACCGTTCCCTGCTTGATAGGACAGCCTGCCGTCCAGTGAAGATGATTGTGGTGCTTGTTGGTTGCCCGGCTCGCTCAAATCTTTCAACCCTTGGTTGCTTGAGCCAGCTCGATGGATGTTCAGGTTTCTTTAGGTCTCCTCCATGTTAACGGCCTCTTTTATGATGGGATCATGCGGGGTCATAGCTGCAATTTGTGATGCAAGCCTCATCTCCTTTTCCGTTTTGCCGAAGCCGTAATCGCTGATCTGGAGATAACATGGGCCTCGATTCACTCTTATGAACTTTATCCTCTCTTCGTGCTCCCTTGATATCCTGATAGCTCAGCTGCCTTGTTCCCTGGTCATCACATCAGTCATCAAACTGCTGAGGGGCCAACACATCCCTTCCGTCGGCAAGATTGCAAAGCAAGGGGGCCCGGGTTACCGTCCAACGGGCCCGTACCCGTGGTTAATCTTCTCGAAGGACGCAAGACATTGCGGCCCTCCCCTGCTGTGTAACACGGATAAGGACAAACAGGACCTGCAAACACGCCCTTTGTTGAAAGCCAACGCCAGCCGTGCAGGCCCAGGGCATCCATACACTGCCTGGCAACTGTTGTGACTCGTACAGTAGGACAAACTGTCAAGCCACTCCCGAGCAAAAAGCCGGCAACGGCAGCCCCTTCAAGCGGATCAACCCGAGGAATGGGAACACGGACACATGCTTGCGGCCCTGTGAGGCGAGGAAGATGCCACCATGGGCGGTCAAGGGCCAAGTTTCAGATGGCCATGGGAACCTCGTGGTCGCTGATGACCAGTCGTGTTGTCAACGAGCCACCCAAGGCGCCTGCTTCACATTCCGTTTGCTGGTCCTTGTGAGGGAAGGGAGGGTTTGCTGGGTCCTATAGATAGAGGGATCTTGATCCACCAACCTGAGATGATAATCTCGGAGTGTTTGGGACGGACAGATGAAGCTGGGACGGCCGTGCCAGACATCGGCACGCTTTTCTTTTTGTCTCTTGTCTCTTGTCTCGTGGCACTGGCAGGACAATGAACCTCAACCTCAACCTCAGCCTTGACATTGAAGGGCTTTCTGCCAACCTTCATCCTGTCTTGTCGTGTCGTTTTGCTTTCAAGGCGCCCGCCATCGCCAGATCTGACTATGGCGTGAGTCCCCATTGCATTCTTCACATCGGCCCTATTCTGGTAGAGGTCCATCCATCACTCGTTACTCTTCTCTTGCGTTAGACCAGCTTCCTATTCAACCCGTTCGTCACTCATTTGCACGTTTCCAGCGCAAGGCGCCGATTCAAACGCTCGTTACCTTACTTATCCTTCTAACAAACGAGTGACGCTTCATTCATCATTCTCTTTCATTCCAGTGTATATCTTGAAGACACGGACTTGAACATACCGTCGATGAAACCATCCCACTGAAAACACCAACCCAAGAAACCAGCGTTTGCACTCCTGTCGATGGTCTCTCTACACGAACTCAAAGCCGCCTCGATGAAGAAGTTTCGGGCTGGGCGAAGATGGCTCAAGAGCAAGTTCCACCGAAGCTGCTCAGAAGCGCCAGCGCAGGAGAGAAAGATCGTCATCGTATGTTGCTGCCATGAAAATACTGTAGGGAAGAAACGGATCTGACGTCTTTCGCAGGGACCACCAACCAACTTCCGTCGTGAAAATATCACCCTCGGTACCGATGTTGATGGGTATGATTGTTGACCTGTTCCTGTGGACGAGATCATCGAAGCTGACCCGTCATCGCCACCGTGCAGGAACACCATTCTGGTCGAGCGGGCTCGAGAGGATGCGCAGGCAATGCATAGAGCAGCCCAAGTCAAGCGTGTGAACCGATCTGCCTGACGAGACACAACTTGAACTCCCTACTAAGGGTTGGCTGGGTGAGACTTCGCGGAACCCAAAGTGGAGGAGCTGAACAATGGGAATGACACCACATACGAAGGAGAATTGGCTAGGAATTGCCGCTTGCTTTGGCAATGCTTCTGCTGGAGCATGACACCGCTTCGGGGCACACCTTGTGAATAGGATAAGAGCCACAAATACCTGCGGAATCAAAGCATCAGATTATGAACATTGGCACGTCTTCCAGCCGTGACTGCTTGTCCTGCTCCTCAGCCTTGCGTTTCAAGAAACCATTTCGAGCCGCTCGTGGAGTCGGCCGCGGTCTGCGCATAGGCAAACCCAATTCGTCCATGCCATCCTCGAGAACAGCAGGCTCCCGGCCCAGTCCAGATGAAGATGCCGCAGCACTCTTTTTGACAGATGCCTCAGATCCTCGTTGAGCAGAGGAATCGTGTCTCCGGGTGGGAAGCTCACTGCTCAATACGCGAGAGGTTAAGCCAAAACCGTCAGTCATACTCTCACTCTCGCCTGGAGGTGTTCGCCGTGGCTTTCTGGTAATATCAAGCCCATCCTCGTCCTCGTCTTCCTCGTCATCCTTGTCATCAACAGCGTCCTCAATGAAGTCGCCACCACTCTGCCTCCTGGTGAAGCCCATCCCGGCCTTGGTCTTGCTCGACATCCTCTCCATACCGATCAGAGAAGTCTTCTGCTGGACAGTGTTCGCCATTAGCGGAGCAAGACTTGTCCCGGACCAGAGATCGACCACTTTGTCCTCCGCCACCTCCGTGTCCTCCTCGATCTCTGTAGGCGTTGGCCCCAGTACCTGCTGCAGAGTGTTCTTCTGCTTCTTCTGCAAGGTCATGCTCTTGAGGCGGTTCTTTGTCTCCTTGGACATGGGTGAGGTTGGTTCCGGAAGGGCTTTTGGCGCCGCTTCACGAGCTTGCTTGACCAGTCTCTTGTACTCAGCATGATGTAGATGTGCTGTATAAGACTGAGCAATAGTCTGAAACTCGTCTTCCACCATAACGTATATGTCGTCGCCGTCGTATCCTTCTCGCATCAGCCTAGCATGCGCCATTAGTAGAATTCGTTGCAGCTGGGATTACACCTACTCACTCGAAAGCTGAGGGCGGCGCTCGCAGAGGAGAGGAAGAAGGTGATTTCCCTGCACGGTGTTAGTCCAGCCCGTAACTTGTAGCCTCGTTGATACTCACAGCCGGGGCGTCTCTCGGGTGTTTTCTGCTGCCGGCGGCCTCGCTCATGAACGGTATCTTCCTCAATTGTTTCCTCCTCTGCTTCTAGGGATGCTGTCTTTTCCGCCCTTTCCACCTTCGCCCGTGATGGCTGAGCCAGTCGCCGGCGCTTCGCTGGAGTCGCCTCATCATCAAGCTCCCAAGGCAAAATGCGAGCCATCGTCTTTCGGTGAAGGGTAATCGCAAGTTGGGCTCACGGTGGGTTCGCGCGTCGTGGATACTTTTTTTCAGCAGTTACCTTGTACATATTTGCATCGGAGAGTGAATGCACAAGGCAGTGAGCGGATAGTTGCAGGCAAACTGGAAATGTGTCTGATCAAAGAAGTTACTTATCAAAGATAGAGGATTGCCTTAACTCCGATCAAACAACACCGTAAATACTGCCCGAGGCTGAGAGCAAGTGCCCCACTAGTATTACAGTCGTTGAAAGTGATCACACAGACTGTTTAGAAGCGGCGAATGCTACGTCCAGTACGATGCAACAATCATTCTAGGGGAAGAAGCATTGTTGTGAGCACATACTCATGCTTTTTCTGGTTTCTGCAAAGATTGGTCTTAAGGCCTTTCGCCGCCTGCTAGCCAGGGGTATCATTTTCGAGAATTCTCTGAATAACTGCATTGTCCATGTGCAAGCCGCCCGCTCCCATTGTACCGTACTCCATGATCGTGATGAAAACTGAAAAGTGTCTGCTGAGAGAGACTCCGCAAATCGTAGACGCAGCTTCTGTTGTGCCCAGTAAATGCGCTCCCTCTCTACCCTTCATCAGGCCACTATGCCTCGCCGGGCTTCTTGGAATTGCAACTGACAATCTTGACCTTGTCCGCCTGGAACTCTTGCCCACCATCACTTTTGAATCTCACGTCTTTGACCAGGAATGTCCACACATCGTCGCAGAAACGGTAGGTCTCCAAGTGACCCTGTGGCCTAGGTCAGTAACCATGGGCACAGTGTGTAGATGTTCTGAGACTGACCTTGAACGTGAGTCTAGACTTGACCTTCTCCGCCAATGTGTCCGCTATCGCGCGATCAAAGTTGGCAAGAATCTTCATAGCCAACTGTGGTTCGATCCGGCCATCGTTGATTAGGTCATCGATGGTGTCGATGAGCGCTTCACCGATACTGCACACGAAATGTTAACATCTGCACCGACGTAATCATACAGAGAATGGGGCTTGGAGCGGGACAAGACGCTGAACAACCACGAATCTCGCACCGTAACCTACCTGCTGCCCCGGTACAGTTCGTAGTACTGTTGACTCGCCGCCATCTTGATCGCCCTCACTAACCCTCCGAAAACCAGGACCCAGAAGTGCTTCGGATATCAAAAAGGCTAGACAGCAACGAGGAGTCGTGGTCATGGATCGATGTAAGTGGACCGCATCCGGAAGAGTTGATACTTTATGAGAGAAGTCCGGCCTGAATGATGAGAACAGTGCAGTGCCAGAGGTGATAACCCCCACTGCACTGGCGCTCCAACTCTCAGTAGGCATAGTACACTCTAATCCAAATTAGTACTAGGCTAGACCGCCTATTCGCAGGAGGCTGAGATCCGGCCAGCTCTTATCGATTACCCATGCAATTGATGGCCGCTCCATTACTTCATAGCACCACGGCGGCGGACGGGGTATATATGCCTCTGATGACATCTACCTCAGCTTCATACGCCATTGTCCTCCTGTCTTGAACTGGGCTCATAAATCCGCCGCTATATTCACTGCTGAGTTTACGAAGTATTTGGTTTCCCGGGTGCAGAACGTGACGCAATGAGGGCCCTATCTGTCGCTGTGTCGCGCACCGCAGTTTTATATCCGCGGCCTACTAGTACACTGGGATTCCAGCGATGGGCGTCCACCTCGACATCCCAAACCACCTCCAGCACAAAGTCCGACAATGCTTCTGAATCGGCAGCGAGGCAAGATAAGATGGAGAAGCTCAAGAAGGTGCACAAGAGCATGGCAGAAGCAGACGATGAGATGCGCAAAGCCATGGAGAATTTGGCTGGTGATGGAGGAGAGGCTGGGCTCGAACTGGAAGATGGCAAAGCCGTCTCCATGAAAAGAGGCGTTCGAGAGAACATGTTCAGGTATATCTGAGATACAAGGACAACCAAAGTTCGGGCGCCAGCAACGCAGCAAAACAGTGCCTGAAAAGGGTGATGGGATGAATGAGATTCATTCCGGGGTATCATGCTGTTGTAACAAATTCGACACTTCCCGACTACCGACTACCGACTTTTAAGCTCACACTCAGATGCTCTCCCTATTGTACAGATCATCGATATCATGTACAAGATCCTCCACGGAACTGCCTCCGGGACAGTCGTACCACTCGCCGCCATCACGAATACACCTTATCTTGCCCGCCAGTCTCACTGTGCAGCTCTTTGTCACGTTGTTCTCTTGACTCCTGAGGATGCTCGAGCGAAGCAAGCCAACGCCCTCTCCTTCTTCACTAATGCATGTATTGAGCTTTTGGAAGTCGACTCCATGCTCCATAGCGCAGTCCTCGACCAAATCTCGCTGCGGGATTTCTTGATAATCCGATATCATGCAATTCGCGAAACCCAGCCATACCTTTACATCGGCGTATACATGGGCGGCACAGAGGAGGATGACGTTACCAAGACATTCGCCGGGGCCATGTTTGCAGGAGACAGCATCCGAATTAGGATCAATACTGAACACGTATAAGCAACGGCGGTCTAGGCGCAATCATGATGGTACTTACCTTCCAATAAATGACATTGTAAAGTTGACTTTATCGCTGACTTGTTCCATTGTTGGGACCACCAATTGACGTAGACAATCTTTTGCATCGGGACATTTGGACATGACATGAATCTCTAGTGGTACCTCATTCCCGTTTCGTGCTTCTTTGAGCGAGTCTGGACCATGCGGTGTCAAGGTAGGGTTATAGTGGTGATGGCAGACGAAGGTGGCGCGAAACAAGGAAAGCGTCGCGAGTAAGATGAGGGCGGCAGGTAGTATACGTGTGACGAAATAGTGCCTTCGAGGTCGCGACTCAGCGGCTGGTCGCTTTCTGTGTGTTTCCGGGCGCGGGTACAGAGGTACCTTCTCCTCCAGATACAGCGGCTTCTCGACGTCCATGGTGGAAGTGCCGGAGACAATGGGACACTCCGGAAGGTTTCGTTGCTCGAACACAACCGCAGGCGACGAAATGATGGATTGCAATCACTTGGAAACTAGGGATTCTCAAGCATGGAAGTCATCTTGGTACATGAATGCACAACTTGAAACACGCAGTCATCACAATAGCAGTTGCGGGCAACGGTGCGCGCAATGACACATCCAGCCGGAAGGGCATGTTCAAGTTAACCCTGCACTGACAGTGCAACACTGGCACTGGCACTAGCAACGGCTGCGGGCGTTGGCTTGGCACCGCTTGGTAAACGCAGCAACATTCGCTGGCAACACAGCTGGGTGAAAATGCTCAGTCTGGACAGAGAAACTCCTTCGCTCAATGCCGCCCCTTCAGTCAATAAATGTACTTCGTTTGCAAATTTGCAATGCCAATGAATGGATCATGGGTTTCTGCCATTTCGTGTCATGTCAAGCTACAGCCCCGCCACGACTGGGCTCATGCCGAGCCTGCTGCATACCGCCTGGGCATTGTACGAAAACATGGTTGCTCCATGCACTTCCTGCGGAAAAACTACCATCTTGGGAGGCAGTTAGGCAGGGACCTAGTTCGCAGAAAGACCAGAGTGCTGCTACAGCTGCATGATCCTACACTGGCAGGACGTTACTGTGAGCATCGGCATCCACCCAAGATCCGCCTACGCCGTTATCGCAGGCCACAACATCCTCGGGCTCGTTCAAGTCTCCCCCAAGCGGCAGCGCAGTCCTGGAGTGCCATGTGGCAGCAGACCCTCCACTGCATCCCACCAAACTGGCCCGGTTGCCATGAAAGGACTAGCAGGCGGTGGTGGCTCATTAGGCTCCTCACAAGCCGCCAGGCTCCCTCGAAATCGGGAGGCTACCCAGTCTAGCCTACCCGGAACCCGCGCCCTTGTGCCGTTCGGGTCTGTGCGATGCCGGAAACAATAATGATCAATTAAAATCATCAATTGTCAATGGCCCTCAGGGCTGGGGAGATTCTTGGAGACCGGAGCTGAACCAGTGTAGCGCAGTCACCAGTGCCCTGAGTGCGGTGCCTTGAGGCTGGCTCATCATTTTTTCCCCTTCTTTCTCAAAATCACTTAGTCCCTTGTTCCTTTACTCTCCAGCGTCACATCCGACTCTAGGGTCGCATCTGAGCGCCAGAACAACGAAACGACATGACTTACTGCGATCAACTCCTCGCCTGTTCCGTATAATCTATCAAGACTGTACCAGACAGCTGCAGTGCCTCATCTTCCAGCAAGTTTCACCCGACGGAAAAAACACTTTTCATCGAGCAGAGACCATCAGTTCTTTACGGTTGTCGTTTCTTCCCAATGCTGACTCGGTTGCCTCGCACGTGAGACGATCCCCTCTTGTGCAACCCTCAACGCTTCCTTTGGGTGTCATGTCAGAGCTGGCCTCAGTTCAATCGGCCAGCAATGGCAGTCCGCCGGCGGATGATCTCGAGCAGGAACTCGACAACTTCCTGCAGCCGTTGGCTATCGATGACTCACTGGTCCACAATTTGGCCTATCAATTCTCCAAGGTCTACGAAGAGCTAGCCTTGCACTCGGAAGAACAATTTCTGCCCACTCCGGTGACGAAACTACCCTCTGGCCGGGAGACTGGTCAATTTCTCGCCATTGATGTCGGTGGCACCAACCTGCGTGTTGCCTTTATCGAATTGCTGGGCGACGCCGCCACAGAGGAACGCCTTCCCACCGCCAATGGCGCGGAACGGTCACGTGAGACCATCCGGAACGCACAGCGACCTCGAGTACGTCGGACGCTGGAGAAGGCATGGCCTATTGGAGAGCACCTGAAGATGGACAAGACCGAGGATCTCTTCGCCTGGATCGGGGATTGTATCGCCGAGGTCGTGGGTGATAGGCTCAGCTCAGATATGGGCAAAGTCCCTGTCCCGGAAGAATTGGCCATGGGCATTACTTTCAGCTTCCCCATGATGTAGGCTTCCTGGCCGCCCCCGTCTGATGTGCGCTGACATAGTCGTACAGCCAGACCGAACTCTCATCTGCGACCCTAATGCCAATGGGCAAAGGGTTCACCATCAGCTCGGATCTGGACCTAGGGTCGACTTTACTGCAAGGATACGCACGACACACTCGACGGCAGTCGCCCACAAGCTCCTCACCTCGAACAAAGAGAAGGAGACTTGGATCACTACCGCGACTGAAGATCGCAGCAATCACCAACGATACCATTGCCACTCTCGCCTCGCTTGCTTATACCGTCAAGTCGCTGCCCAATTCGCGGGTTGCGGCAGGAATTATCGTCGGTACTGGGTGTAACGCCACAATTCCCATGCCATTCTCGAAACTGGGCGAGGCCAAGGTCGAATCTATTCGAAAGAACAAGCCTGATGCTACCGAGACGGTAGTCAACACGGAGATTACGATTGCAGGAGCATGCGGACCTCTGCAAGCAGTCACAACAGAATGGGATCGCCAACTGGATGCGGCATGTGCCCGACCAGGCTTCCAGCCGCTTGAGTACATGACAGGAGGCAGGTATATAGGCGAGCTGATCCGGCTCATATTTTTTGATTATATGACCAGAGCGCACAATCCGCCCGTTTCCTCCGCTTCATTGCCCGCCACGATTGTCCACAGTTACAGCTTCACCACGACGTTCGTCAGCGCAGTGGTTGCACGAGCACGGACAGATTCCGAACTGGCGGGCGAGTTGAAGCGCCGGATCCCTCCGCCCGAATCTTCGAACTGGGGCTGGACGCCGCACTCGGCCGGGGCGCTGCGAAAGATCGCGCATCTCGTCCAAGTCCGCTCTGCAGGGCTGATTGCTGCTGCAACAGTCGGCCTGCTCACCACAGTAGGTGAGATCGCACTGACCGAACCCGGCAGCCCTGCATCACTACCGGATGCGGTCATGACAGCGGACAGCAAACCGCCGTCGCCCAAGCCCAACTTTGCCACTTTGGCGGACGATGCTCGAGATGGATTGTCGCCGGTGCCCGGTGCAACGGCGTGGAAGTCAGGGCCAGAGGAATTGGTGGTCGCTTACACGGGAGGGATCATCCAACATTATCCGAATTTCAAAGAACAATGTCAACGATTCATTGACCGACTTGTGATGAGGGCTGGACCCCAGGATGGTGGAAAGAGTGTGTTCCTGCGAGAATCAAGGGACGGCGGCATCATTGGGGCCGGCGTTTTGGCCGGCATGGAAGCGAGCGAGCACCAGACGACGGGGTCGTAGTTGCCAGCACTCAGACATGATGGCCCAATTTTGCTTGAACTTCAAGTCAGCTGCCTCGAATCTTATGCCACGAGTGAGGCAGTGAGCATCGGTTGAAGTGTTCCAAGAGAGCTCTTTATTTTGAAGGAACGATCTTTGGAACGAACCCTCGGCTCGACTTAATTCTCCTACGAGTCTGAGTCGGGGCGTTGTGCCAAAGTTTGGTTCAAATCTGCTTGGCTAGTTCAAGTTCAAACTGCAGTGGCTCTCACCTTCTACTTAGATCCTCCTTCAAGTTCCTCACCATCACCCATGTGTTTCTCTGGTTTTGCTAAAGGGCACTTAAACATCAGACTGGCCGAGGTGTGTCCTCCCTTCTTCAATGCGGAATTCTGGCCATGTGCCCATGGATGGTCCTTGTCCTCCTTGACCTCGAGTCCTCGCTACCCATCTCAGTCGTCCACCAATGGCCAAGCACGGAACCTATGCCCAGAGCTCCAGGCCAGTCGAGGAATGCAAGGTTGTTCAGGATCATTTACAAACACGCAATCGTGCTACCGGACGTTTAATGCTGTCCCCGTCGAGTCCAGGCCATTCTTGAAGATGGCGGGGTTGGAGTGAAACGAGACAATGAGAAGGCGGCCACGGGTTACACCATGTTGATTAGCCTGGCAGCGTATGAATATCCAGGAATAATAGACAATGGGCAAGGAGGAACATTAAAAGTCGTCGCATGTTTCACATTTCCCGGACCTGAGAACATCCTATATCTACTTCATCAGTACAAGAGGAGCACCAGGCAAGCTATACTATTACTATTTGTACACTGCTGCTGCCGTCACTGCCGCACTGTGTGATGTACTGCCAGTGCATGTAAAGCACCGCAGACGATGGCTAGACCGAGGCGGGCCAATGCACCGAATTGTGCCGTAAGAGAAAAGGCGAAACTTTCAGCCACCGTGGGTCGCAGCCCTCGAATCCCTGTAGCGGCCCCGAATTCTTGCAGGTTCCCCTCAAAAACACCGCCGGGGGAAGCAGGACTAAGCCTGTAGCAGCTAAACCGACCGCCAAAAGATCCCAGGATCAGCTTCTAACAGGCTGGAGGATTGTGTGTGGCTCCTGAGGCCCATTCCTTTCGCACAGCGTGATCACCTCTTGATTTGCGGAGTGCGAATTCCCCGTCATCGTCCCCGTCACTCCGGTACTGAATTTTCCGCGCTGTTTCTGCAGTGAGTCCCTGTACTTACCTGCCCTAGAACCATGGCAGGGCATCCTGACTGCGCTCGTTGTCAGGAATGTGAGACCTGCTGCTGCGTGGAACTGAACGCTGTTGGTCCAGCTTCCTCTTCTTCCTGCCAAAGGAAACCCTCTGCTGCTGCGACCACTACTCGTCAACAGGTAGGAGTAGGAGGACATGACTATGTTAAGCCAAAAGTCCCTCTTGCTCACATCTCGTCATTCTCACCTCTTTGCGGAGTGACCGATCTATCAATCGACCTCCTCTGACTTCTGGGATCATACCTGCCCGCCAACATCGCCGTCCTCAACGGAACCACGGCACTGTCTCCTCGCTCTCCCCCTGACCTCTTTCTTATCTTCAGTTCCAGATCCTTCACTCGGTCCTCTCGCCTTGCCTCTCTCCCGCCAACTTACCACGTCTACCTCACTTCGTCCATCACCCACCAATCCGCGGCAACCAGATCAGACTCCGCCATGCGCATAGCTGCACACCTTCGCTCTTGATGGGCCCCTTCTGCCCTTTATTTCCACCCCTTCCGCGCTCTGACGGCTTCCCCTCGAGGTAGTCGCAACTATGAGCCCAGTACCCGGAGTTCACAATGGCTTGCACACTCCATTGAGGCGGGACGAGCCCGAAAACCCGAACAACCGATCCTCTGACCCCAATGGCCTTGTGTTGGAGGCCTGGGCTGAAGGTTTTATGGTGGGATCGCTGATCATCATGTCCTGTATTACGCTGGCGAACATGCGCCGAGGCGTCCTGCTTCACAAGTTGATTTTGCTCGAGGTATGGCCAGATCTCCGACTGATTCACTCTCTCTTGTGGTATAGACAAGGTGCTGACGCGGCGTTCCTTGACAGCTCATTCTGGGTTACTGGCAAGGGTTCTTCATACTGTTCAACCCGCCTGTCTATGCATGGTGGCTCTCCGTCGCTGCCGCGCCTCTCAATATTTCTTGGTCCTTACACAATGTGATCGCGTGGATGAAGTTGAGGCCTTTCCTCAGCAGGACTGTCAGTCGTCTCTTCATCGGCACCGTCATCTTGGCCCAGCCATACTGGGTTGTCGAGATATATGCCAACTTTACCTACTTTCATAATATCAACACCATTTTCCTGCGAACGAGGCCGTGGGAGGCCCTGTGTCGTGACCCTTGGTGGATCCTAGCCGCCTGTCTTTTGATTTACAACATCAAGACCAAGTACGATTTGACTGTGACTCAGATTATCCGCATTTCCCCACGATTTGCCGTCATGCTCGGAGCCATGGTCCTGAGCATTTGCTTCATTGTTCTGGATGTCCTCTCCGTTACTTCCGCGTTGAAATCGGTCCTCCCGGTCGGCATCAATCCTTTTTGGAAGCTGAGTTTTGTGTTCAAATGTCTGACGGATTCGGTGGTGTTGGATGACTTCAAAACCGCTTTGGACCGACTGAGAGCGTTCAAGATCAGCCGGCTCGGCAGCTTCGCCGTAGATGGGGCCGACCTCCGGAATAAAAACCACAAAGAGGATGTCAACGGAGCCAACGGTTGGGGCAGTCCACCGCCGACCGGCGACAGACCCCAGCCGCTGGCCACTCTACCGGCAATGCCCAGTCCAGATGGTGACTACCCCCAGCCACGGTGGGAGGAGCTCAAACAGGGACATTCGCATCATGTGGAGGACGAACAGTATGCCGTCGTTGCCAGGAATGCGTCCCGCGACCGTGACCCCGAGGAAAACGGGTTCGACACGATTGATTACGCCGATCCTCAGCGCGAGGCCAGTGACGCATACATGCTTCAACCTCAGACCAGCTCACAGGGCTGCCGGTTGTCAGCTGACACTACCGACGCATATCTTGACTATGCCATGGCTGTTAGGCAGATGACCAATGATTCCATGACACAACAGCGCAGAAGAGAGGAAGCCACACGGTCGGGTCGGTGACCTTGAGCAAGCTGTGCCGGCTTAGTTCCGGGATGGTCAAAGAATCTTGAGGCATCGACGAACAGGACACTCCTGGCTCTCGCCTGGTTGGCGGCTGCTCAGTCCTGGTGTGGTTGACAGTACGGCCAGTCTCCAAGGAAGTCAGATAGAGCGAGTCCTATGATCAGAGAATGGGTTTGCCATTGCTCTGATTGACGATGGGCTCCCAGAGCTCCGGGGTCTGTCATGCTGTCGTTGTTCGCCATTGTTCGCAGTGCCCCGCCGACTTATACAGCTTTTCACGACATGATGATGCCCATGTCTACTATATCCGACCTAGATATACATCAGAGAGTGCCAAAGCCACCCTCACTCAGCCTCAGCATGCACCTCTAGGCCAGAGATTGTGCAAAGATGCATATTATAGCCCTGTAGGGCTGTCCGTTCCGTCGATGGGAACACCTGGAGCCAGGATTAGCAGGGAGTCGATACCGGCTTTTGTGCCGATGAAGAGATATGATACCCTATGTGTGAACACATAACATACCTATCAATAAGAAATCATGTTTGATACGGATATTGCCTGTCATTCATTAAGAGTTGCATCGATCCATATCACAAGGGAATCTCGGTTAGGATCCCCTGATCATAGAATCATCTTCCAGAATTTCCAGGTCCTTGTCTGTTCCCGGCAGGCAGCCAAGAAACGACATGCCGATCAAGTACCTAGATGTATCTACATGTAGGTATGTACCTTACCTTAAATCTTGCATGGCCTAGTAGCAATATGGTATCTGAGATAAGGGTCCAGATAGCAGATGGCGGGCCGTTGAAGCGGCAGCCGTCCATGGGCTTGGCGGCTCCATCACCAGACACGTGAACGCGTGCCTGCGCGGTTCCAGTTTACTGCCACTGTGTACATGCAGCGATTCTGGATCGCCGGTTTGCTGATTTACAGACATCCCCCATCCCATCCCATACCACATCCGCCATCTCACTTATTACCGTCCCCTGTCTTCAGCATTGCAGTGCCCTAGGAAGATATTGACTTCCTGGCAAATGTCGGTTCTGCGGAAATCTCGTGTCTTTGATCGTTGCACTGCGGCCCCATGGATGTCCTGTTGCCGAACGCCCCTAACGGGATGCCCAGTCCTGCCTTGCTAGAGCCTGTCGACCCTCTCCTCGTCCTCGAGCACATCGTCAGTCTCATTGAAACGACCTTGGGTGCGGCCCGCAGAGAACTAGAGGCGGTCGGTAGCCTGTTGTCGAAGACCAGTCACGCCGATTCTTTGAGCAAATGTGTCCATTTTGCGCAGGACCCTCAGGCTACCCTCTATGCGCAGAAAGATGTCAGAGAAGAATTGGTTAATGGCCATGATGACACACCGGGTCAGTTGTCCTGCATTGGCTTGGACGAGACTACTGATACCGTTTCCACAGAAATCGAACATGTCTATACCCTCTCCTCCGAGTTGTCTCCTGCACCTACGACAGTCGCTTCAATCGCCTTCCTCAAAGTGTCCGGGCCGCTCGATGGGCGGAAATCAATTGCCAGTCAGATCATGGTCTTCAATCTTCCGGGATCATATCGGGTCGATGGAGACGGTCAGCGCCACAACGACGTTGCTTCCCCCTACGAGGTGGTCTATTCACTCCTGCACAATGTCCTGAGCCCCTACTTCGATGCCTATACCAGAGCAACCGGCTCGATCGACCGTAATTGGTACGATTCACAAGCGAAGAGTGGTGTTCCTGGCGCGAAGCGGCGGATGAAAGAGTTAGAAATGAGCCTGCTGCACCTCCAACAGAACACCGATATTCCCCTGGTCCACCTGCCAATGCACGAAGTGGTCGTGGAAGCTCTACACGATGCGGCAGCTCAGGGTATCTCCCCTTCTGCCCAACTGATTCCGGCTCACGTCCTCGACAACAGCACTGTTCTGAACAGTATCCAGAACCACGTCAATGGCTGGATCAAATCAATCCAGGGTATTACCAAGTTGGCCAAGGATGGGCCCCAAACTCAATATTCCGCTGCGCAGGAGATCAACTTCTGGCTGTCGCTTGAGTCAGCCCTGAACAAATTGGATGATGAGCGGAATTCGGACGGTGTCAGATTGACTCTTGACGTTCTCAAGAAGGCCAAGCGGCAACAGGCGGTGGTCAGCTTCGAAACCGATACTGGACTGAAGGATGCGCTTGATACTGTCCGCAACTACAACACTCTCATGCGGGATTTTCCTTTGGATGAATTGTCATCTGCCACCTCGCTTGGAAAAGTGGCAGAGGCCCTGGTCCTGATCTTCAACCATTTGAACAAGAAGTGGAGGCTTTGCAACTATCCGATCCGCCGAGCGTTGAAGTTGGTGGAGGGCATCTCTGAGGACATGAACGAACAGATCAACAACCTCCTCCGCGGCCGCGCGATCATGTCCCTGAGCTGGCAAGACTTCACAGATTTGATGAGCTCAGTCAATCTGATCTGGGAGACTTGGGATGACCAAATAAAGAGCTTCACTGCTGTTGCCCGAGAGATAACAAGAAAGAAGAACACCGACTTCGTGCCCGTCAAGGTGGTGCCCAGGCATGCTAAGACTCAGGAGCGTTTGCGGTATGTCAACCGATTCCGGAATGATCATGAGCAACTTCAACGTACCATTGTCAGCGTCCTGGGACCCAAAACCGGTGCGGCACGTTTGACACGGGCACAAGGCGAAAGTGGCACTGTGATTCTCGAAGAACTTGGCGATGTGGATGCTGTAGAGGAAGTCAAAGCTGCGTACGAAGTGGTCCGGCACGTCGACGTCTTGGACGTCACACCCAATGGCACAGAAGTCTGGGTTCAAGCCGAAACACAATACACAGAACGCACATCTCGCGTGGAAGACTCCATCATCACGAGGTTGCGAGATCGGCTGGGCAAAGCGAAGACTGCCAACGAGATGTTTCGCGTTTTTGAGCAATTCAACCCATTACTGGTACGACCGAAAGTTCGGGGTGCAATAGCAGCATATCAGACGCAGCTTCTGGACAATGTCAAGAATGCCATAGCTTCTCTCCATGAACGATTCAAACAGCAATATGGCGGTTCTGAAGCTCAGATGATGGCTCAGTTGCGCGACATCCCGCCTGTGGCAGGTGCCATACTCTGGGTCCGGCAAATCGAGTCGCAGTTGGATAGTTACATGTCCAAAGTCCAAGCCGTCTTGGGCGAAGACTGGATGCTCCATACTGACGGTGAGAAGTTGCAGACCGAAAGTAGCATGTTCCGGAAGAAGCTCTCAACCAGAGAAATCTACAGTGCGTGGCTCCAAGATATACAGTCTCGAGATATTGCAGTGACTGGCCGGCTCTTCACCATCCTGCGAAGCAGAAGTGCCAACGGCGCTCTGGAACTCGGTGTCAACTTCGACAACCATGCCATCTCACTCTTCAAGGAAGTCAGGAACTTGTCTTGGTTGAACTACCAGATCCCGCACCGCATTACCACCACGGCGAAACAAGCTCAACGTGTGTACCCATATGCGTTGAGCCTCATGGAAAGTGTTGCCGGGTACTTCTCCGCCGTTCGAGCCATTCAGGAGATGCCCAATGTCGCATCCCTCATGGCAGGCTATGAGAAGGAGGTGCAAACTTTGTTTTCCACGGGCGTGCGGTTGCGGTGGGATTCTTTCATCCACTCATACGAATTGCACATTAAAGGAAAATCGACCGGCAATGACTCTGCGCACGTACAGTATGTGCGAGACATGGCCACGGCCGTGACCACTCTTCAAAACAAGACTGCAACAGTGCGAGGCTTAGATCAAACCATCAGTCTGGCGCTTTCAGAGATCAAAACGTGCCCGTATACGGCAAAGAACTTCCAAAGCCAGGTGGACCTTATCCAGAATGCCGTGGATAAGATGAATCTGGAAAACTATGCCAACCTCTCCACCTGGGTATTTGACCTGAACGTTCAATTGCGGCAAGTGTTCGAGGAACGGCTCCAACAAGCGTTGCAGCATTGGACAAACTCCTTTCCTTCCCTGGATATACAGAATGCCACGCAACCGGCCTATGCTGCGCCGGAGGACAATGTCTATGATGTTCAGTTTCCCCAGCTGCAAATCGAGATCATGATGAACAATCAGACCGTGTTCGTTGAACCCCCTCTAAACTTCGTCAAAGCATCTTGGATACAACAACTGGAAGATTGGTTGGATGTACTGTGCCACTTGCCTCAAATCAGAGCTTCCCGTTATCAAGTCACCGCAGATGCTGGTGCGGCGCAGGCCACGCCGACATTTACAGATCTACCACTGCAGAATGTCGAGGCGCTGCAACAGGCGTACAACGCGATTGACAGCAGGATCGATGTCATGGCAACGTATCTCGAAGAGTGGTACACATACCAGAACCTGTGGGATCTCCGTAGCGAGCAATTGCACGAAATCCTAGGGGACGATCTTGCGCAATGGCATCAGTTGCTACAAGAAGTCCGCCACGCCCGGTCCACATTTGATACCTCCGAAGGACGAAAGACTTTTGGCAGTGTGACTTTTGACTATGAACAGGTTCAGTCGAAGATCACTCAGAAGTATGATCAGTGGCAATACGAGATCACAAGCAAGTTTGGTGGAATCCTCGGTAACCGTATGGCGGAGGTGTACACTGACATGAGGCGGGCTCGTCTTGACCTTGAAAACCAGTCACTCGAGGCCTCATCCACTGCACAAGCTGTGACATTCATCACCACTGTGCAACAATGTCGCAGAGATGCAGCTCTATGGGGTCCTGAGGTAGAAATCTTCCGACAAGGCCAGACGACCCTTTCCAGACAACGGTACAATTTTGGTAACGACTGGCTCTCGGCAAACCAGGTGAGCGACGAGTGGGATGCTTTTGAAGAAATCCTCAATCGCAAGAGCAAAGTCATCGAGGACCAGACCGACGCTCTACGGGCTAATATTGTGGCCGAAGATCGCGTCATTACTGGCCGAATTGCGGATGTTGTTGCTCAATGGTCTGAAGAGAAGCCGGTGTCAGGCAACATCCCGCCTGATGAAGCCGCCGAGCTTTTGCGATCGTACCAACTCCGGATGGAGAAGCTCCAAAATGAGGCCGAGACGGTTTCGAGAGCAAAAGAAGCCCTTGCACTTCCCTTGACAAGAGACAATGCTTTGTCGGCAGCTTTGGAGGAAGTCGGTGATTTCAAGTCCGTCTGGTCTGCACTATCCACCATCTGGCAGAGCATTAACGAACTGCGTGATACACTGTGGACGAGCTTGCAGCCTAGAAAACTTCGACAATCCCTAGAAGGCCTGGTCAAGTTGACCAAAGAGATGCCTAGCCGAATGCGCCAGTATGCTGCCTTTGAGCATGTTCAAAACGTCCTTCGTCAGTTGATCAAGGCAAATCCTCTTCTGAACGACCTCAAGTCTGATGCAATCCGGGAGCGGCACTGGCAAAAGATCTACAAAGTTCTTAGACCAAATAAGCGGTACTCTGAAGTGTCTATGACTCTAGGAGACGTGTGGGATCTCCAACCAGTCACCAGCGAAGCCGTCATTCGCGACATCATCACACAGGCAAGAGGAGAACTGGCCCTTGAAGAGTTCCTCCGACAAGTGCGCGAAACGTGGCAGAGCTATCCGCTCGAGCTTGTCAACTATCAGAATAAATGTCGTTTGATCCGCGGCTGGGACGATCTTTTCATCAAATGCAGCGAGAATCTCAACTCTCTTCAGGCTATGCGACATTCTCCATACTACAAGGAGTTCGAGGAAGAGGCCTCGGCATGGGAGGACAAGTTGAATAGAATGCATGTGTTGTTTGATGTTTGGATCGACGTCCAACGACAATGGGTCTACCTGGAGGGCGTCTTCACCGGCAATAACGACATCAAACACCTGCTGCCAACGGAATCTAGCAGATTCTCGAACATCAACACTGAATTCTCTGCAGTGATGAAGAAAGTCTACAAATCCCCGTTCGTCCTGGATGTGCTCGCAATCCCTGGTGTGCAGAAGTCTCTGGAGCGACTTGCTGAACTCTTGAGCAAGATCCAAAAGGCCCTGGGCGAATATCTGGAACGAGAGCGTGTTTCCTTCCCACGGTTCTACTTTGTTGGAGACGAGGATTTGCTTGAAATCATTGGCAACAGTAACGACACCGCTCGTGTGGCCAAGCATCTGAAGAAGATGTTCGCTGGTATTGCTGGTGCCGAGATTAGTGATGACAGCATCATCACCGCGGTGAGCTCGAAAGAAGGTGAAGTCGTCCAGCTCAGAAAAGAGGTCTCCCTGATCAAGTTGCCGAAAATCAATGAATGGCTCACTGCGCTTGACAACAGCATCAAGCACACACTGGCCGAATTACTCGGAGAGGCTGTCAGTGTATTCCGGCCCCTCTTCACGGCGCCCGACCTTGATGCTGCTTCATTCCAGGACTACATGACGAGTTATCCCGCTCAAATCATGATCCTTGCCGCTCAAGTGGTTTGGACGGACCTTGTTCGAGAATCATTGGAAGCGGCCGGTGAAGGCCTGCAGAAACTGCATGAATATGAAGCGAGGCTGCTCAGTCTGCTGGCTGATAGTGTCTTGCATGACCTGCCGACATTGACCCGCAAGAAATGCGAACACTTTATTACGGAAGCCGTTCACCAAAGAGATGTCATCACGAAGCTTATCAAGGCTGAAGCCAAGTCGCCTGGTCACTATATGTGGCTGCTCCAAATGCGCTATGTGTACGACCCCAATGCGGAACTCATGAATCGGTTGCACATTGAGATGGCTAATGCTGTTCTGGACTACGGTTACGAATACCTAGGCGTGCCGGACCGCCTTGTGCGAACCCCACTGACCGATCGTTGTTTCCTGACTTTGACACAGGCGCTTTGCCAGAAGCTTGGAGGCTCCCCTTATGGACCTGCAGGCACGGGCAAGACGGAATCAGTCAAGGCATTGGGTCTCCAGTTGGGGCGATTCACTCTCGTCTTCTGCTGTGATGATACTTTTGATTTCCAAGCAATGGGTCGCATCTTCCTTGGGCTGTGTCAGGTCGGGGCCTGGGGTTGCTTTGATGAGTTCAATCGTCTCGAGGAACGAATTCTTTCTGCAGTGTCACAACAAATTCAAAATATACAGATTGGCCTCAAAAACACCACCCACGAGCAGAAGGCACAAATCGAGTTGGTCGGTCGCCGCTTCAAGGTCAGCTCCAACACTGGACTTTTCATCACTATGAATCCCGGGTACGCTGGGCGTTCCAACTTACCCGACAATCTGAAGAAGCTGTTCAGGAGCGTGGCTATGTCCAAGCCAGACAAGGAACTGATCGCCGAAGTGATGCTGTTTTCACAAGGATTTAAACAAGCCAAGGATATCTCATCGCATGTGGTTCCTTTCTTCGATCACTGTGCACAGCGGCTTTCCAAACAACCGCACTACGACTTCGGCTTACGAGCGTTGAAAAGTGTACTCATCAGTTCTGGCGGATTGAAGAGAATCAGAATGCAAGCGGAGGACGAGAATCACGAGGATGAAAGCAGCCTCGAGCCTCAAATTATCGTGCAAAGTATTCGGGAAACTGTGTCTCCGAAGCTCATCAAAAATGATGTGAACACCCTTGTCGAAGTGCAGAAGGAAGACTTTCCCGGCGTCGAATACGTTCCCGCCAACATGTCCAAGCTTGTGGAAGCAATCAGGGAGGTCATGAGAGAAGAACATCTGACAGAGAGCGATGCATGGATGACCAAGATTCTTCAGCTCTATCAGATTCAAAATATCCATCATGGTGTGATGATGGTGGGTCACTCTGCCGCCGGCAAGTCCACGATATGGAAAGTGCTTCTACAAGCTCTGCAAAAGGTCGAGGGCGTAGAAGGTGTGCATCATGTCATCGATCCGAAAGTCATGTCAAAAGAGGCCTTGTACGGAAATCTTGACAGCACAACCAGAGAGTGGACCGATGGACTATTCACGGCAATATTGAGAAAGGTTGTGGACAATTTACGCGGAGAAGACAGCAAGCGGCATTGGATCGTCTTTGATGGCGATGTTGACCCGGAATGGGTGGAAAACCTCAACAGTGTGCTGGATGACAACAAGCTACTCACTCTGCCAAACGGTGAACGATTGAATCTGCCGCCGAATGTCCGCATCATGTTTGAGGTCGAGAGCTTGAAGTACGCAACTCTGGCCACCGTCAGTCGTTGCGGTATGGTATGGTTCTCTGATGATACCGTCAGTCCGTCATTGATGGTCGATCATTACTTGCAAACGCTCGCCAATCGTACATTTGAGGATTTGGACGATGAGATCAAGGCAGCAGGCTTGACTGTGAAAGCACAGGACACACAGCGGCATATTGTCGAGACCCTCCGAGCCCTTATCAACCGCGACGACCTTTTATTCAAGGCACTGTCAGCCGCTGCAAGCCAGCGGCACATCATGGACTTCACAGCTGCAAGAGCGCTGGAGAGCCTGTTCAGCTTGTTAGCCAAGGGCTGTCGAACAGTGTTGGAATACAACATCTATCACACCGAGTTCCCTCTCGACCTCGAACAGACCGAAGCATTCATCTCGAAGAAGCTTTTGCTGGCAACGGTCTGGAGCTTTGTTGGCGATGCGGCTTTGAATGTTCGAAAGGAATTTGGTGACTTCCTCACAACAATGACCAATGTCGACCTCCCCAACCTTGACAGCTCCACATCTCTCATCGACTACGATGTGACCCTACCTCATGCTCAATGGGTGCCATGGCAGTCTCAGGTTCCTACGATGGACCTGAATACTCACTCAATCACACAGACAGACGTCATCATCCCAACGGTCGATACTGTCCGTCACGAAGACGTTCTGTATTCGTGGCTGTCGGAACACAAACCACTGATGCTGTGTGGGCCGCCTGGATCTGGTAAGACGATGACACTCTTCAGCGCACTTCGGAAACTGCCCGATATGGAGGTTGTAGGCTTGAACTTCTCCAGCGCTACGCAGCCCGAGCTTGTGATCAAGACTTTTGAGCAATATTGTGAGTACAAGAAGACTCTCAATGGAGTGGTACTCTCCCCGACACAACTCGGACGATGGCTGGTGATATTCTGTGACGAGATCAATCTGCCGGCCCCGGATAAATACGCAACTCAACGTGCGATCAGCTTCTTACGGCAGCTGGTTGAGCAGAACGGGTTCTGGCGTCCATCCGACAGAGCTTGGGTAAGTCTAGAACGCATTCAGTTCGTCGGTGCCTGCAATCCGCCCGAAGATGTAGGGCGTCATCCTCTGGGAGCTCGCTTCTTAAGACATGCACCAGTGGTTATGGTTGACTATCCTGGCGAAGTCTCCTTGAATCAAATCTACGGGACTTTCAACAATGCCGCTCTCAAGGTCGTACCAACCTTGCGCGGATTTGCCGATGCCCTAACCCGGGCAATGGTCGAGTTTTATCTAACGTCTCAAGCTCGCTTCACCCCGGACATCCAGCCTCATTACGTCTACTCGCCGCGAGAGCTGACTCGGTGGGTCCGTGGGATCTATGAAGCAATCGCTCCCCTAGAACACCTGACTCTGGAAGGATTGATCCGCATCTGGGCTCATGAGGCGCTGCGACTTTTCCAGGATCGTCTTGTCGAACAGGAGGAACGGGCCTGGACCTCTGACATGATCAGACAAACCGCACTGGAGCACTTCCCCACGGCGGACATTGACCAAGCGTTACAAGGTCCGATCTTGTTCTCGAACTGGCTTTCCAAGAACTATGTGTCTGTCGAGCAGGAACAGCTTCGCGAATTCGTCAAAGCTCGCCTCAAGACTTTCTGCGAGGAAGAGGTCGATGTTCCGCTGGTCCTGTTCAATGAGGTCCTCGAGCATGCTCTACGTATCGACAGAGTCTTTCGTCAGCCTCAGGGGCATCTCATCCTGATTGGCACCAGTGGTAGTGGTAAAACTACGCTGTCGAGATTTGTTGCTTGGATGAATGGCTTGAGCATATTCCAGATTAAGGTCCATGGCCGGTATTCAGCTGAGGACTTTGACGATGACCTTCGAGGAGTTCTGAGGGCATGTGGCTGCCGTGGCCAAAAGATTTGCTTCATCATGGATGAATCCAATGTGCTGGATTCAGGATTCCTCGAACGGATGAATACACTTCTCGCCAACGGAGAAGTTCCTGGACTTTTCGAAGGAGACGAATACTCGGCTTTGATGACAGCTTGCAAGGAAGGAGCACAACGACAAGGGCTTCTTCTTGATTCGCAAGAGGAGCTCTATAAGTGGTTCACCCAACAAATCGTTCGCAACCTACACGTTGTCTTTACGATGAATCCTCCTCAAGAAGGCCTGTCGTCTAAAGCTGCAACGAGTCCGGCGCTTTTCAATCGTTGTGTGCTCAACTGGATGGGTGACTGGTCTGATCAAGCTCTCTTCCAAGTCGGCTATGAGCTTACCCAATCAATCGATTTGGACAAACCAAATTTTACAGCTCCCGACAGTTTGCCCATAGCATACCGCGACATCTCACTTCCGGCGTCACATCGGGACACAGTCATCAACGCGATGGTGCATTTCCACTATTCTGTGCAAAATACCAATGACCGCCTGGAAAAACAACACGGAGTCGCGACTTATCTTACACCTCGACACTATCTGGACTTTGTGACACAATTCCGAAGACTTTTCCAAGAGAAGCGCGCAGATCTCGAAGAACAGCAAAGACATCTGAACGTGGGTCTGGAGAAGCTTCGGGATACGGTCGACAAAGTACGGGATCTGAGAGCAAGTCTGGCCCAGAAGAAGCAGCAGCTTGAACTCAAAGATGCGGAGGCGAATGAGAAGTTGCAGCGCATGGTGGCAGATCAACGAGAGGCAGAGTCAAGGAAGACGGCCTCGATTGAGATCCAAACGGCATTAGAGAAACAGGAGAAAGAGGTTGCCAGTCGCAAGGAGATTGTGCTTGGTGATCTAGCCAAAGCCGAGCCAGCCGTGCTCGAGGCTCAACGGAGCGTCAGCAACATCAAGAGACAACATCTCACTGAGGTCCGGTCCATGGCGAACCCACCATCCGGGGTGAAGCTTGCTTTGGAATCAGTTTGTACCCTGCTTGGCCACAAGGTTGACAGTTGGAAGAGCATCCAGGCGGTGGTTCGGAAGGACGATTTCATCGCCAATATCGTCAACTACGACAACGAGGAGCACATGACGCCTAGTCTTCGACAAAAGATGCGCCACGACTATCTCTCCAATGATGACTTCACGTTTGAGAAGGTCAACCGCGCCAGTAAGGCCTGTGGTCCTCTCGTGCAGTGGGTCGAGGCCCAGGTCAACTACTCCGAGATTCTTGACCGAGTGGGGCCATTGCGTGCTGAGGTTGAGCAACTGGAGGACGAAGCGCTCCAAACCAAGGCCGAGGCCAAGGCAATTGAAAACACCATCATCAAACTCGAAGAGAGTATCAGCACCTACAAGATCGAATACGCCGCCCTCATCAGTGAGACCCAGGCGATCAAGAGTGAAATGGCTCGAGTTCAGACCAAAGTCGAGCGCAGCCTTCGACTGCTAGACAGTCTTTCGTCGGAACGGGTGAGATGGGAAGCTGCTAGCAAGTCATTCGAGACGCAGATTGAGACGCTTGTGGGCGACGTGGTCATTGCATCGGCATTCCTTGCATATGCAGGTCTGTACGATCAGCAGTTCCGAAAGACCATGGTTGACGACTGGCTGCACCATATGTCTCAGTCTGGCATCTTGTGCAAGACGGAAGGATCGGTTCTGGGATATCTCTCGTCAGCCGACGACCGCCTACAGTGGCAGCGTCACAGCCTTCCTGCCGATGACTTGTGTATGGAGAATGCGATCATGCTCAAGCGCTTCAACCGGTATCCCTTGATCATCGATCCATCGGGTCGAGTGACGGAATTCCTCAAGCAGGAACATCAAGGCCGGAAATTGACCGTGACTAGCTTTCTGGACGACACTTTTACCAAGCAGCTGGAAAGTGCCCTGCGATTTGGCAATCCAATCTTGATTCAAGATGCGGAATATCTGGATCCCATCTTGACCCACGTACTCAACAAGGAGTACCAGAAGACCGGTGGGCGTGTGCTCATACAGCTGGGCAAGCAAGAGATCGATTTCTCGGAACATTTCCAACTCTATCTGTCCACGAGGGACCCCTCGGCCAGATTCGCTCCGGACGTGTGCAGCAGGACGAGTTTCATCAATTTCACGGTGACTCGAAGCAGTTTGCAGACTCAGTCGTTGAACGAAGTCCTCAAAGCGGAACGGCCAGACGTGGACAAGCGCCGCACAAACCTGGTAAAGATGCAGGGTGAATTTGACACCAACCTCAGACAGCTGGAGAAGAGACTTCTACAAGCTCTCAACGAGTCCCGTGGCAACATTCTCGACGACGACAACGTGATCCAGACCTTGGAAACGCTGAAGAAAGAGGCAGCCGTTATCACCAAGAAAGTCGCCGAAACAGGAGGTGTAATGGCAGAAGTCGAGCGCATCACTCAAAGCTACGGCCGCGTTGCGAATGCATGCAGTGCGATCTTTGCTCTGCTGGAACAACTTCACCACCTGAATCACAGCTACCGATTCTCTCTGCAGTACTTCATTGACATTTTTGATTCCGTCCTGCACCACAACCCGCATTTGGCCAACAAGAGAGACCATCAGGAACGCGGCGAGATCATTCTGAAGGACATCTTCGTGGAGGCATACCAGCGCACCTCTCTCTCCTTGCTACAGAAGGACCGCATCACCCTTGCATTGCTCCTGGTTCGAGCAACTCCATACGACTTTGACCGCTCCGCCATGGAATTGGTCTTTGATGATCGGCCACACTCTCGTGGAGGCGTGCCTAACGATGCCAGCGAAGAGGATGTTCTTGCCGCGGTAAAGAGGCTTCCAATCTTTGATCAGAGCATCCTGGACCCCAGCAGCAATGATTGGAGACAGTTCCTCTCTTCCGAGCGTGCTGAACAATGCGTACCGGCGATCTGGAGCAATACCGACAATATCATCGATCAGAATCTTTACAAGCTCCTGCTCATCAAACTGGCCAGACCGGACAGGTTCCTGCCGGCAGCGGAAGAACTGGTCATCAGTGTGTTTGGCCCAGAGATCTTCCAAACCACGGATGACTTGGGTGCAATCGTCCACCAAGTCACAGCGTCGGTACCGATTGCTCTCTGTTCCAATCCCGGGTTCGATGCCAGCTACAAAGTGGAAGCGCTGGTCGAGAAGCAACACGCCACATGTGCCAATGTCGCCATGGGCTCTGATGAAAGCGCTGCCAGTGCAGATCGAGCCATCACCGGTGCTGCGGCCAACGGTACCTGGGTTCTGATCAAGAACGTCCATCTTGCGCCACAATGGCTACAGAGTCTCGAGAAACGTCTTTCGGCCCTCAAGCCTCATCAAGACTTCCGATTGTTCTTGTCGATGGAAACGAGTCCCAAGATCCCGGTCAACTTGATCCAGGCATCGAGAACGCTCGTGTATGAACAACCGGCAGGCCTGCGGGCGAACATGAAGGACACATTGACCGTGCTGTCGGATCGAGGTGCAAGAACCCCAGTGGAGAGAGGTCGATTGTATCTGCTGCTCTGCTTCCTCCATGCCGTTCTACAGGAGCGACTGAGATATGCACCGGCTCTAGGGTGGAAAGGACTCTGGGAGTTCAACGACAGCGACTACGAATGTTGTTCATTCATTATCGACTCCTGGATCGACGCCATTGCGCAAGGGCGGTCCAATGTTGCCCCTGTGAAACTGCCTTGGGACTTGATCCGCACTTTGATCACCGAGATGTACGGAGGCAAGATTGACCACGAAGGAGACTTTGCTCTACTGGGGCAGATGGTGGCGAAGATCTTCGACCCGGCAGCTTACGAGAGTGACCATGAGTTGGTGTCTGTGTCCGATGCTGACGGGGGCTACGCTCTGAAGGTCCCATCGGGGACGACCATGCGCGACTTTCTGGCCTGGGTGGACGTTCTGCCGGAGCGCGAGCCGCCGGCCTACTTGGGACTTCCTGCCAATGCGGAGAAGTTGTTGTTGATGGGCCAGGGACGCGAGACGGTTGGCAATTTGGCGCGCATTGTGGATCTGCTGGAGGAAGGGGAGCAAGCGTCGTCAGAGAAGGAGCCAGGTCAGGTTGCAGACAAGGCATAAGAAGAAGATTGGACATGAGGTCGGTTGGTGTCTGTCTACACGCTGGTATGCGATGCCCTTGCGAGTCGATTTAGAGCGTTGGGGATCACATCAGGATTATTTCTTTTGTTTGGATGGAGGCTAGAGGCTTGGGACGGTGGAGGTTGGGAGAGTTATATCCCCTTGTCTCGTACCCCCTTTCTCAGGGTCTTCTCAGTGTTTAGCGATTGGCGTTTGGGTGGGTGGGCAGGATCTGCTGTGGACAAGAAACGTTGGTTTGCGATACTGATATACCGACCGTCTTGCTTGTGGTGTAGATACGAGGTAGAAGTACATACTCTGTCCGAAGTATTGTAACATGTTACTATAACTGAACGTCAGCGATTCTATTGCATGATGGTATCAAGCCAGCGCTCAGGGATCCGAGGGCCAGCCGCGCAGTCTGATGCTGCCTGTATTTGTCTACAGATTATATTGACTGAAAGGGTCAGTATTACAGTAATACAGAAGTTGCTGCCCCGCGCCAAGTGACTGACATCCAAAAGAACATCAGACTAAACGTGAACACTCACTCACCCTGTACATACCTCCGTATCTACTCTTCTGCCCCCGCAACATATACAGGTACATTGCAATCATACCCGTACCATGTGATATATCCAGTGGAGGAATCGAGTCCAGTATCTGCCGGAGCGCAGTTTGTCGCTCGCTGCCATGCAAGATCGCAGGCCTCCAGAACCGCATGATACATCAACCCATGGACATCACTCGTAGTCACACCGGCTGTTGGACCTGTCGGTCTCGCCGTGTCAAATGTGATGGTGAGTGGCCACTGTTCCTATCCCCTATCCATGCTCCACGCTCACCAAGTGTTGCCGGGATTCAGAAAGTCGTCCGGTATGCTCGCGATGCTCTCGAAGCGGCCTCACCTGTGGCTACGATATCCGTCTTACATGGCAGGACGATAATGATGCTCGTGGAGTCTGCCATGGACGAGCCGGCGTCTGGTCGAAATCAGGGAAGCAAAGAGGACAAACAAAGCAGCGAAAGGCAAAGAGCCCGGGAGTCGTTGGCCCGCCTTTCCCTCGACTGGCGCATACAAGATTCTTAAACACCACTGTCGCAGATGTCCAGAGGTATCTGGGTGACGATGAGCAAGAACAGAGCGACGAAGGTGATTGTCGGTTGGATCACCAGGAAGAGATCCTCCCAGATCTGGGGTTTCCTCAGCACACTCTTGCTCATCTGACTCGTCCCTCCAAATATGCCAGTTATGATCCCATCCTGCTATCGTACTACGAAGCCGTCATCTGCAGTACGTCGACATTGCTGGACGACGAGAAACACAACCCGTACCGGCATGTGCTTCTGCCCATGGCTTTACAGTCTCCGGGAGTATACCATACAACATTGGCCATATCAGCAAACACGCTTCGCCTGGCTCGATCCGAGTATACGGTGATAGCCCTGGAACACCGACAGCAGGCCTTGAGAAGACTGGTAACCATCTTGAATCGCAAGGAGTGTGATGATAGCGAGATGGATGAGATTCTTGGAATGGTATTGATGCTATGCTGGTTCGAGGTATGTCCATACACATGTTAGTCTCACCGATTGCCGAGTCGGAAACTGACTGGACTTCGGGCAGATCTCAGATGGCTGTAACCCTTCGTGGGTCACCCATCTGAAAGGCTTCCGCGGTCTCCTCCACCGTCACCGCCGAAAGCTCGCGAATGTCTCGCCGCATAGTTGGAACATGCAACAATTCTTTGTGAGATATTTTGATTTTCACCTGGTCCTTGCCAAAACCACCTTTCGGGTTGATGAGGGGGATTCGAATGCAGACCTATCCCACCCCATAGTAGGCAATACTGGCTCGGAATCGACCAGTTCCCGGTCAGAACTGTACCATGGGCCAGACCACACGAGACAAGACCACGACGACGCACCCAACTTCTCTTCATCAACGTCCTCCCTGTCCTTACACATGCCTCTAGACTCTATGGATGATATTGATCCTTACATGGGCTTCAGCAACGGTCTTCTGCTCTTGATCAACGAAATAACGGACATCGGTCCCATGGCTAGCAGAACTGGCGATCAAGCAAGAGCCACCATCCACGCTCGTCGCCTCAAGACCAGTCTGGCGAACCTCCATCAACGTCTACCCGAGTCAGCCGTCAGTTCGGACATGGTGACACGCAGACGTGCCTTTGTCGCCACAGCGGAAGCCTACCGTCTGGGTGCTATCATACTGCTTCACGAGGTCTTGTCCAGATCATACCCTGCAGTATCCGCACCATGTCATGTCATAACCAAACCCGAGCTGGACGATGCCATCCAATCGATCCTCCAACTGATTGACACGCGGCTCGAAGACATGATCGACACCGCGGCACTGCCGTTGTGGCCGTTGTTTTTGGCCGGCTGCTGTGTCGATCTGGAGGAAGATAGAATGACGGCGTTGAGGTTGTTCGAGGTCATTGAGCAGCGCAAACGGTTCGGCAATATCACCCCGGCGCGCAAAGTCATGGAAATGGTCTGGCGACAGCGTGACCTGGGCCGTGACGACCGACAGCAGCCCGCTCGCAACAGAAAGGGAGGCCGGGGTACCGTGGAACAATATGAATGGGAACGAGCTTCAACTCTTTTGGGGGGTTGGAAGATCAGTCTTACATGAGTGCGGATGTTGGTGTCTATATGTAATATGTCACAGTGATTTGTCAGGATCGGATTAGCCAGGCGCTGTGGGCGAATTGCTTTGTATAGAAAGGATGTTGCTACTTGCTAGTAATTTCTGCTAGATGGATGGTGTGAAGCAATTTAACGACCACATTCTTCCTTCGTTTCGGGTGTCGCCAATGCTGCTGTTCAGAATCGGGACTATCCAATCTAGTCTACATCCTCGGACGCAGTTTTGATTGTTTCCTCCTCCCCAGCCACCCCGACAAATCAGCCAACTCGGTCTCGGGATCCAAATGGGCCAGATTCGTCCCAGCCTGCTGGCCCGGCCTCCAGGCCCAGGCCTTTGCAATCTCCGGCTCCAGCTTCCCCTCCAGCATATCGGCGATATACCTGCCCAACACGGGCATGAATTTGAAGCCATGCGCCGACCCGCCCGTGGCCAGGAACAAGCCCTCGTGGTCCGGATGCGGCGTGACCAAGAAATGCCGGTCGGGCGTATCGGCGTCCCAGCACAGCCTGGTATATGTGAACGGCCGATCGGCCAGGTCGGGCAGCACGCGGCGCAGATTGGTGCGCATGGTCCGCTCGATCTCTAGGGGGAGATCGTCTGAGGGGTTCGCGTGGAACGTGTGCGGGATCGAGGTGCGGATGCCGCTGTGCGGGTCGCGGCGCGTGTTGGTGATGAACTGGCTGTGGGCCATCTTGAACACGCCGTCGGGGCCGGGTGGGAAGAAATAGCCCAGTTCCAAATTGTCGAGGATCGGCATGTCTTTGTAGTGCTGCTGTTCCGCGGGCGTGAGTTGGATGTGTGCCACGCTGTGGCCCTTCGCGACCAGTTGGTCGTGGAGGTCAATGAAGGACGGCGTCCATGCTCCCGTGGCCAGGACGATCATGTCGGCGGAATGGTGGGTGCCGTCGTGGGTGATGACGCCTGTGCATTTTTTTTGGAAAGAAGAGGAAGAGGAAGAAGAAGAAGATGATGATGGGGATGATGGAGTCGATGTTGATGTTGATGTTGTTGAAGATGAAGAAAATATCAACTCCCTAGCATACCCCTTATCCCCAGAAACAAACTCAACACCGTTCCTCTGCGCCTCCAGCGCCAGTCGTTTCAGGGCTTCTCCCGAATTCGCCCAGCCAGCAGTCGGATTCCACACGTTGATATTCCACCCGTCCAGCGCGCCATTGACCACGGGAAACCGCGCGCGGATTTCGGACTTGCTGAGTTCCTCGATCCCGCGCACGCCCAGCCGTTTGCTCGTTTCGACGGACCCGCGCACGAACGGGACCGACAGGTCTTTGGCGCTCAAGATCCAGCCGGGCACGTGGTACAGGTCTTGGTACAGGACCGAACTCTGCCACGCCTGGATCGCTTCCACCCCGAGTCGCGCGTACAGTGGTTCGTTGTAGTCGCTGCGGATGATCTTGCTGATGTCCGTCGACGCGGCTTCGATGGATGGCACAGCGTGGCGGTCCAGTACGCGGATTGACGTGTAGCCGCGCTGCGAGAGGGCGTGGGCCGTGGACACGCCGAAGGCCCCGGCGCCGATGATGAGGATTTGGGTGTCGTGGTTCATTGGGGGGGTTGTTGGTGGGAGTGTCATCCAGACAAAGACAGAGAGAGAGAAAGAGAGAGGGAGAGGTTGAATGGTAAATGTTTGGCGAAACCAGATGGGAGGTCGGTTATAGAGATATAGATGTATATAGATGTATATGTATATCACTCAGCAAATCATAGGATTCATGCTCATGTTCGTGCTCGTGCTCGGCAGTTGACGGTGGAGCGAACAGTGAGTGAATGAATGGCTGACTGATTGAAGTATCAAGGACAACTTCTCTGGTCGAGCGATCTGGAGAGAGTAATATTCTGTCTTCTTGCTTGTCTGCTCGCTTGAGACACAGTCGGTAGGTAAGTAGGTAGGTAGTCTGCTATAGGAAAATTGGGATTGGAAGGTGCTTGGGGTGTATACTGTATAATAGAATGCACCAAGCCCTCAGGGCATTCTTTGACAGTTCACCAACGACCGAAATGGAACAAATCTATGTTCCACCTTCGATCGGTACGACCTTCCTAGGTAGGGGAGTCCAAGGCTGAGAGGGATGGATGCCGGCGAAGGAAACCTTGGATATTCAACCGGTGGTCGAGATCAATCATGATCCGTAATCATGACAACAGATAACTGACAACGGAACGGTTGACTGATAACAAGGAGGTCCAGAACAAGGGAGAGGCGTCAGAGTATCAGGTCAGTCAGGTCCATCCATTTGGTATTCCAAACTTGAGAATATGGGAGTAAGTACACAGTAGTCGAAGACTGTTTCTCGACCGGATACAGGATACAGGGTCGTGGCATTGTTGTCAGCCACTACCCCACAGCCAGGGACTGACGGGTTGATTTGAACGAATCAAGTTGCTGGCCCAGATATAAAGTGGTCTATCACTGTCTTTCTCTCCTCGACCTTCCGATATTGAAATCTGTTTGGTGTCTGGGGAGAATAATAATGTGTAGATAAAAGTCAGAACTCAGATCCACCACCATATCCACATTTGCCGTTATTTGTACGATGATTGTGATTGTGATTGATTGATTCATCAATGAAATATCCTTGCCACCTGGTGACCAATGCTGTATTCGGACTTGTGCGTCCCAAGGTATGTTGACAGATGGGACCATATTGTCTTCTATGAGAGACCTGGTTAACATCTGAATTCACTGATGGCCGAAGACAAAGGAGGGGGTTGAATTCACTTTAGAGTCAAAACTATTAAGCAATGCCAGATCTGGATCTTGTGAGGGCTTTCGGATAACTTCTGGGATCAAGTGGCTGGTATAGATTCCCATTCTTTTATCCGCAGAGGCATAAGGGAAGAATCATTCAGGCGTCAGGCAGAAATGGCAAGGCTGGGATGTCAGGGGAGAGTGAATGTCTTCCTGTTATAGAACATAGATGGATAATTTCTCGTTGAGTCCGTATCATTTCCCAAGGTAGAAGCGAACGATACTAGGGAGCTTGCTAGATACAAAGCATGAGAGATGCGTGCAATGGTTGAAGAGTTGTCATGAACTGGTGGTATGGATTTGTCTCTATCGTGTCATTCCACCCCAGTCGGTGTAACATGATCTGTAGCAGAAGTCTAGCCTCAGAAGTCTAGCAGTAAACAGCTTCTATTCTCGCCGTTATCTGTCGTCCACAGTAACCACCAGACCAAATCCTCGATCCAGACTCTAATAAGTGTACCGGAATTCCCTCTTCTCCTTGTCAGTCCGGTCAGAGAAAGCATCCTCCGAAACGTGCTCTGCGCCAATTGAGCCGCCAGCAGCAGCCTCACGGTCTCTCTGCTTGTTCTCGTACCAACACAAAAACCCGTACCCCAAAATAGCAGCAATAGCCACCACAATGCAAGCCAGCAGTCCAGCATAGCCGTGGGAATAGTCTGGAGCATCAGACGCCCGGAAGGCTTGGGGCCCCAAGATATTTCCCAGGCAATAAGCAAGGAAGTAAATCGCGTTCATTGTGATCTTCTTTGAATGGCCAGAGGTGTTCGCCATCGGCAGGGAGGTCGACAAGACATAGGGCGCCCAGTAAGTATAAAAAACATAGTAAGCCGCGAGGAGACCATGCTTGTTGGACCGCGGCAGTTTCCACATCAAGATAGCACAGATCATGGGGACGAGATTGGCCACGGCGATGATGATACAGCGAGAATTCTTGATTCTGGACGCCGGGAACGAGAGCAACAATTGCCACACCGTGGCGAGCACTCCGGTCGGGATACCCAGCAGTGTGGTGTTGAGCGGTGAATAGCCCAGACCAGTGACGATGATGGAGGCAAAAGTGACCAGTCCGCCGTTGGGGATGTTTTGGGCGACCGAGAACAGAGCGAGCAGCCAGGTCTTGGGGTCCATCAAGCATTCGCGCACTTGGTACCATTTGATCTTCTTGTCCTCCAGACCGGTGTTGTTGGCTTCGATGCGGGCGAGGCAGACGTACTTCTCTCGATCATTCAACCAGCGAGCCGTGGTGGGCGAGTCCGGGACCAGAAAATAGACCATGACAGCCCAGACGAGAGAGAAGGCCCCGAGCACCAGAAACAGGAGCCGCCATGGGTGCAGGGCGGTGTGGGTATGCCCAATCCCGTAGCTGATGATTCCGGCAAAGATTGAGGAACCCTGTTTTGAGAAAAGATTGTCAGATTTGATTTTTCGGTCAAACAGGATGTATATGTGATATACAGCATCTCGGATTGGGTGGGGGTTTACTTACCTGATTAAACCAAAATGCAACTCGGATCGGTTGTTCCTTGGTCGTCCACCACATGACGGTCAAGATACTGCTGACTGGGAAGATGAAGGCCTCGCACATGCCCATGAGGAAACGGACCGTGGCCAGACCGCCGAAATTGCTGGTGGCTGCCGTGCAAAACAACATGATGGCCCAGAGGAGAACCGATACCGCCAGCACCTTGGCCACGGGCAGGCGTTGGATGATCAGTCCAGCCGGGTACTCGAAGGCCAGGTAGCCGAAGTAGAAGATGGAGCCGACCCAGGAGTATTCGTCGCCCGTCAGATGGGCGTCAGTGCGCATGCCGTAGATGGCGGCATTGCTGATGATGACTTTGTCCACGGCGGCCAGGATGATGGTTGCGCTGATGAGCGGCACCAGGATCAGGTCGATCTTCCATAGCAGACGACGGGACTCGGTGGGAGTAATGGGCTCGGCGGTGATGGCTGGGTCAAGGTTGGCCAGGAATTGGGCGGCCACGTCGACGTCTGGTCGCGCGGAGACGTCGAGGTTGGCCACGACCACGTCAGCGCTGGCCTGGGACGAGGTGATGTTCTCTTTCTTTTCGTGGGCCATTGTTGTAGGAGTGACTTGCTTTTTGAAGCAAAAGATGCACACAAGAGACGGGGACTCAGGGGTGAATGAATTGCGATGACAGGTCAACCTGACAACCTTGAACAATCACGTCGTGTGAGGTTTGGAGGGTGAGATGAGGTCAAATAGATAGATATACCCAAGTCCAGATCGCTTGGTGTGCCTCTAGAAGACTAGAGCGCAGTCGTTATCTCGACGACAGATTGAGCCTTGGTGGCACAGGGCGATATCTCTTACCAAGGTGCTCTAAACGAGGCATCATTGGCATCCACGTAGGTGGTAAGCATATATCATAGTATGATACGTAGCCCCAAGAGAGTCTGTAGGTGCCCAGACGTGGCAACGGACTTGGAAGACCGAGGGTTTGCAAGGTGGGAAGGTCAGAACGACTTTTGCCAGTCCCAGTTGGATGGATCATGCTGTCCATTTGCAGGGATTGTTTGTGAGGGGCCTGATATAGACAATGATACTGGACCCACTCAGCCTTCTCACCCCAAAATGGTTTTGTACGAACTTGATAGCGACGCGGCAAAGTCCGAGCGTGCTTCGACTGGCGAATCATTCATTGTTCTTGTTCGTATTGTTCGCCATTCCAGTACCACGATACTCTGTAAGCGTGGCTTGTGGAGAGCGATAACGGTGAAAGCGGTATCAACCAAAGTGGACGCTTCAGAATCATCGGGGGCCTCGCTCCGACCTTCCTGCGATCGCGTACGTTCATTTCGCCGATTGTAGGCCCCATCCAGTCCCATCGGACACCAATGTCCGATAAATTTGTTGCCTTATCCGCGACAAGGACAGCCTCGTTGTGTATTGGATTTGAATGCCAATGATAAAGGAAGTTGATGACCTTCTTCAGACAGATCACCAACCTCCCCTATTTCCTTTAGAGTGTGAGCCTGTGAGACGGGTCGACGAGTTAGTTGACCAGAAGCATTTCCCATGTCTCCTCACAAGGTCGAGGCCGAGGTCGATGGCCTCAAAGTGAGGATCGCCATCGGTAAGCACGAAATAATAGAAAATTGATTGAGTGAGTGATTAACTTGTTCCCCATGCAGACAGAGGTGGCACTTTTACCGACTGCTTGGGCATGGTTGAGGGGCGAGATGAAGACATCGTCGTCAAATTGCTCTCCCAAGACCCCGGCAACTACGCAGATGCTCCCATCGAGGGCATCCGACGGATCTTGGAAAAGGCCACCGGCAGGACGATTCCAAGAAACCACAAACTCGATACTGCCGAATTCGCCAATTTCTCGGTGCGAATGGGCACGACGGTTGCGACAAATGCTCTTCTGGAACGAAAAGGAGAGCGTGTCGCTCTCTTGATCACCAAGGGCTTCAAAGACGCTCTGGTCATTGGTAACCAATCTCGACCGAAACTGTTTGCTCTCAATATCGAGCGACCCGGTGTGCTCTTCGAGGACGTGGTCGAAGTCGACGAGCGCGTCACTATTGAAGACTATCAGCAAAACCCTACGCCTGACCCGCAGAAGCTGAACGCACTGCTAGAGACGGATCCGGACCTGACCAAGGGTGTCAGCGGTGAGGTCGTCAGGATATTGACCAGGCTAGATGAAGTCCAGGTCAAGAAGGACCTCCAGATGCTCTTTGACAAGGGCTATCGCTCCATCGCGGTGTGCTTGACACATTCATATACATTTCAAGGTCTGTCTTCCTTTTCTGCTGTTCTCTTAAGCCGAGTACGGAGAACTGACATGCAGCAACAACAACAGAACATGAATTGGCCATCGAAAAGATAGCCCAAGAAGTCGGCTTCCCTCAGATCTCCTTGTCCAGCCAGCTTCTGCCTATGATCAAGATGACGTCTCGAGGCACCTCGGCCACGGTCGACGCATATCTCACGCCCGTGATCAAGCAGTACATCCAAGGCTTCCGGTCCGGATTCAAAGACGAGCTCAAATCCGATGAAACTCGATGCGAGTTCATGCAGAGTGATGGCGGTCTGGTGAATTTCGAAAAGTATGCAGCAAAGCCCCCTGTTATGGATGTTTCCTTTCCCCAGTTGACGCCTCTCCTGTACTTACATGCTCTGCTTTTTCTTTTAATAGATTCTCCGGGCTACGCGCTATTCTATCCGGTCCGGCAGGTGGTGTCGTAGGCCATGCAAGAACCTCTTATGACCCCGAAGAGCGAACCCCCGTGATCGGCTTCGACATGGGCGGGACCAGTACGGACGTGTCACGTTTCGACGGCACTTTCGACCATACCTTTGAGAACACAACAGCGGGAGTAACAGTCATGGCTCCCCAGCTCGATATCAACACCGTAGCAGCTGGCGGTGGAAGTATCCTGTTCTGGCGCCACGGCTTGTTTGTCGTCGGACCCGATAGTGCCGGCGCCCACCCTGGCCCAGCATGTTATCGAAAAGGCGGTCCCTTAACTGTGACAGATGCCAACTTGTTCTTGGGTAGACTGTTGCCAGAATACTTCCCCAAGATCTTCGGCCCGAACGAGAACGAAGGCTTAGATATAGAGATCACACGGCAGAAATTCAACGTTCTAGCGACCCAGATCAATCAAGAAACAGGCCAGGCGAAAACCCCGGAGCAGATCGCTCTAGGGTTTCTCGAGGTCGCCAATGAGTCCATGGCAAAACCGATCAGAGCCCTCACTCAAGCACGAGGCTTTGACACGTCGGCACATAACCTCGCTTGCTTTGGTGGCGCCGGAGGCCAGCACGCCTGTGCTATAGCTTCCTCCCTGTCCATCCAGACCGTCATTATTCACAGGTACTCGTCGATTCTGTCGGCGTATGGTATGGCCTTGGCGGATGTCGTGCATGAAACGCAAGAACCGGCGTCCGGAGTCCTAGACGAAGCAGCCATGCCGGCAGTCGAGGCTCGTATCGCGGAACTCAAGAAGAAAGTCGACAAGGAATTGACCAGCGACGGCATCCCCCTCGACCAGATCCATCACGAAGTCTACCTCAACCTCAGATATCAAGGCACAGACAACTACCTGATGATCCTGGAGCCAGAGGATGGCGACTACAAGGCTGCTTTCATGAGAGACCATCAGCGTGAATTCACCTTCACGTTCACCAACCGCAACATCTTGGTCGAAGACATTCGAGTTCGCGGAGTCGGCAAGTCAGCAGCCACGCCATCAGAGTCCCCTCACAAAGAATTGAAGAGCCTCAAGACCTTCAACGTCGGCAGTCAGGCAAAGGATGACACGGCAACAGTGTATTTCAGCCAGACAGGACATGTCGAGACTCCGGTGTTCTTTCTGGGTAATCTGAAGCCCGGCAGCTTCATCAACGGCCCGGCCATGATCATCGACCAGACCCAAACCATCGTCGTCGAGCCCGAGGCCACGGCAACGATTCTGTCCAGACATGTGATCTTGACCGTAGCCTCGGCGAAGAAAGCCACAAGCACAACAACAGACAAGTCAGTATCAGCGTCGCTGTCAGTCGATCCAATCCGCCTCTCGATCTTCGGCCACCGCTTCATGTCCGTGGCCGAGCAAATGGGCCGAATGTTCCAGAAAACCTCCGTGTCTACCAACATCAAGGAGCGACTCGATTTCTCGTGTGCCCTCTTCTCGCCTGACGGGAAGCTCGTCGCCAACGCGCCCCACGTCCCGGTCCATCTCGGCTCGATGGAATACGCCGTGCGCTACCAACACGCGAAATGGGCGTCCGATCTCAAGCCAGGCGACCACATTCTCACCAACCACCCTCTTGCCGGGGGCACCCATTTACCAGATATCACGATCATCACGCCCGTGTGGGACGAGGCGGGCGAGAAGATCATCTTCTACGTCGCCTCACGCGGCCATCATGCCGAAATCGGCGGGACCCGGCCGGGCTCGATGCCCTCCGACAGCCGGATGCTGTACGAAGAAGGCGCAATGACGATGGGCTTCAAAGTCGTCTCGGGCGGCCACTTCAACGAATCGACCGTCCGACGGTTCTTGTACGACGAGCCAGCCAGTTATCCGAACTGCAGCGGCACACGAACATACAATGACAACGTGTCTGACCTGAAGGCCGCCATTGCCGCGAACCAGAAGGGTGCCCAGTTGATCCGCGTCTTGATTGATGAATATACGCTGCCAGTCGTTCATTTCTACATGGACGCGATCAAGTCCAACGCCGAGGTCGCGGTGCGGGAGTTCCTGAAAAAGGTCGGCCGAGAGTCCAAGGGCAAGCCACTCCGCTTTTCCGATTATATGGACGACGGCACCGAGATCAGGCTGGAGATCAGGATCGACGCGGAAACGGGGAACTCGGAATTCGACTTCACAGGCACAGGAAGAGAGACGTTCAATTGTCTGAATGCGCCCAAAGCCATTGCTCACTCGGCCATCATTTACTGCCTGCGCGCGCTGATCGACGTCGACATCCCACTTAACCAGGGCTGTTTGGAGCCGATCAACGTCATCATCCCCGAGGGCACCCTGTTGAATCCGTCAGGCCATGCGGCCGTGTGTGCTGGCAACCCAACGACGTCGCAGCGGATCACAGATGTGATTCTGGGAGCGTTTGGTGCCTGCGCGGCGTCCCAGGGCGATTGCAACATCATCTCGTTCGGGATGGGTGGCAAAGACGCCCAGGGGAATGAAATCCCCGGATTCGGCGTGGGCGAGACGATTTGCGGCGGTTCAGGCGCCGGGCCGTTCTGGCATGGCACGTCGGGCGTCCATGTCCACATGACCAACACACGCATCACGGATCCCGAGGTCTACGAGATTCGATACCCCATCATCTTGCGCCAGTTCTCGATTCGCCAGGGGTCTGGTGGGCGAGGCATGTACAATGGCGGCAACGGGGTGATTCGGGAAATCGAGTTCCGCATCCCGCTGTCGGCGTCGATGTTGAGTGAGCGTCGCGTCTACAGGCCTTATGGGATGGCTGGTGGTGAGCCCGGTGCGGCGGGCTTGAATCTGTATGTCAAGAAGGAGATGGACGGAACGGAACGGATCATCAATATCGGCGGCAAGATGGAGCTGAGTACCCTGCCGGGCGAACGCATTCTCATCCACACCCCTGGCGGTGGAGGCTGGGGGAGTCCCTCGGATCCGCCGTCGCCGTCGGCCAGACCTGTCGTGCCTGATAACTTGCGCTTCCAGCCGCGCGGGAGTGTCTATACCTGGACCATGGCTGCCGAGTCTGCGCAGTGAGCGAGGCTGGCTGTCTGTCTGGATGTGCCAGATGTGCCAGATGTGTTGTCTTCGGGATGTGGTGTGGTATATGCTTACATATATTTCTACACAAAAGAGCAATCTGTGGGAGCGAATAGTGGCATGTACACAGAGTGTATCTCGTTTACATTACCGTGTAATAGAACCTGACATAGGTATGACTTGCCAGAACAAATGTGTAAAACTACCTAGGTATGCAAGAAATAAAGGGTAATAGAAGTGGGAAATCTAAGAGGAGATCCAGAATAGATGTTGGGATAAGGCTTTGCTTAAAGCGGCGAGACTACCGAATTGGTTAGTACGGGGCACTACGTACTAAGTTAGTAAGTACTCTCTAATGACATTGCTGGAGAGGCCATTTAGTCCTCAAGCCCAGTTGAACTCCAACCCCAGCCCAGCACTACAGCATTCTCAATCATGAGGCCAGCCGTGCATACGTGCTTTCATGGTATACTAAGCCCTGTCTTGGAACACTAATACGTAGACCAGGCCTTGGTCACGTTGGACAGAGTCAGCTCGCGCTGAGGCAAGAAGAGGGCGTCTCACCGACGCGCGCATCATGAACACCTGGCGAACGTTATACGAGTGAACTCCGACAGAATTTCCAGTCCTCGCCAGAGAGCCATGAGTTCTTCTACAGGTCTTAATGATGCTGTGCACAGCACCGATGCCTCACGTCCTGGTGTCGCCCTTCCACGAATCAGTCCGTTTCCAATGCCATCGCTCGCTCCTTTCGGGGTTGACATGACCATCAACACCACCCCTGCCATTGCGATCGATCCAATTGCCCTCATTACCACAGAATGTATCACCATCACGTCTGCCATGCGCAAACATGCGCGCTGGGCACAATCCTCGGTCTCGGCCATCCTAGGAGGAGGGGCGTCAAGGCTACAAGAGAAGGAGTTACAACGGTCGTCTTCGCAAAGTCGTCGCAGCGGCAATGGGCCCATGATCTCAGACCCGGGAAAGACAAGACTCAACGTCACCAACGGCTCGGATGACGAGAACTCCACTCTGGCGAGTCGATGGGGCCTACGAGGCAAGAAGGGCAAAAGCTCGCAAGACAATCCTCTTCTATCGGCCTTTGCCCGGCTGAGGAGAGACCTGGCAGGGTGCAGAGACGTGCGGAGCGTGGATGCACCTGAATTGCTGCATCCTTTCCTACAGGTCATTCGAAGCTCTTCGACCAGCGCTGCCATCACCAGTCTGGCGGTCATCTCAGTCACCAAGTTCTTTGCTTACAATATTGTCACTATCAGGAGCCCACGGATCGCCTTGGCGATGCATCTGCTCAGTGCAGCTATTACTCATTGTCGTTTCGAAGCTAGTGACACGGCGGCAGATGAGGTGGTCTTGCTACGGATCCTGCGCCTGATGGAAAGCATCATCTCCAGACCTGAGGGTCAACTGCTGGGTGATGAGAGTATCTGCGAGATGATGAGCACCGGCTTGAGCATGTGCTGTCAGGCTCGTCTTTCGGAGGTGCTCAGGAGATCGGCCGAAATGGCCATGGTCACAATGTGTCAAGTCGTGTTCAGCAGACTGAAGACGCTCAAAGTGGAACAAGTGCCCAAGACGAGGAGTCGCGCCAATACCAAGACCACCGTCGACGATCTTAAGATTGAGCCGCCAATGACTGGAAGTGTCATGGGAAATGGCGGGCTCGAACGGTCGAGCGTCGATGTCGACAGAGGCTCCACGGCAGAGGACAATGTCCCGCCCAAGGCGTCCTCGACCGAACCCAAGACTTCGACTGTCCCGGCAGATGGCGATGAATTCGACAATGTCCAACCATACTCGTTGCCGTCGATCAAGGAACTGTTTCGTGTCCTGATTGACCTTCTCGACCCTCACGATAAGACTCATACAGATCCTATGCGGATCATGGCTTTGAGAATCATCGATATCGCCTTGGAGGTTTCCGGGCCTTGGATCGCCAAACAGCCAGCCCTGGCAAGTCTTGTGCAGGATGATCTGTGCCGTCATTTGTTTCAGCTGGTGCGATCGGATAACATGGTCCTGTTGAACTCCTCGTTACGTGTTGCCGGAACACTGTTAGCCACTTGTCGACAACTCCTGAAACTCCAACAGGAGCTGTTTCTATCTTATCTGGTGGCGTGTCTGCATCCACGTGTCGACATCCCTCAGGAATCCGGAATTGATCCGTCACTCTACGAAGGAGTGCCTCAAGCTCCCAAGTTGGTCAAGCCGGCGCCCTCCCAGGCCACCAGCGGTCGGTCCACTCCCGTCCCTATCAAAGATAGACAGAAGCTGGGACTAGAAGGAGGAGCCCGGAGACCGGAGGCGAGGGAAGCAATGGTGGAAAATATCGGCACGCTGGTCCGCATGCCGAGCTTCATGGTTGAGCTTTTCGTCAACTATGATTGTGATGTGGACCGGCAAGATCTTTGCGAAGACATGGTTGGCCTTCTCTCGCGGAATGCATTCCCGGACGCGGCCACCTGGAGCACGACCAACGTGCCACCTTTGTGCCTGGACTCGTTGTTGACTTTTGTCCAATTCATGGCGGAGAGGCTCGACCAGAAGGTACCTGCGGGCTCGGAAGAAAGGATACAGAAGATGCGGCTGCAAAGAGTTCGAAAGAAAATTATCAAGAGTGGTGCTTCGAAATTCAACGACGACCCCAAAGCAGGTGTTGCTTACCTCGTAAGAAACGGCATCATTGAGGATCCCGATGACCCTAATCAAGTCGCCCATTTTCTCAAGGGCACTTCGTACGTCTCGAAGAAGGTCCTTGGAGAATTCCTGACGAAACGAAACAACGAGCGCCTGTTGACTGCGTTCATCAATCTGTTCAAGTTTGACAACATGCGAATCGATGAGGCTCTCCGAGAGATGCTCGGTTCTTTCCGGCTTCCTGGCGAATCCGCACTCATTGAACGCATAGTCAGCACCTTCACCGAGAATTACTGCTCAACGGTTTCGAGTGAGGAGATTGCGGACAAAGATGCCGCTTTCGTGCTGTCATACGCCATCATCATGCTTAATACGGAACTGTACAACCCTAATGTCAAGTCGCAGAAGCGTATGACCTACGAAGACTTTGCCAAAAACCTCCGGGGAGTCAATTCCGGCAAGGATTTCCCGCCGGAGCTGCTGCAGGATATCTACGATGCCATCAAGGAAAACGAAATCATTCTGCCTGACGAGCACGAAAACAGACATGCCTTTGAGTACGCCTGGAAGGAGTTATTGATGAAGACCGGCGATGCTGGCCCATTGGAGCTTTGTGACACCAATGCTTTTGATGCTGAGATGTTCCAGGCTACGTGGAAACCGATAATTGCGACCATGTGCTATGTCTTCATGTCGGCCTCGGACGATGCCGTCTTCTCGCGCGTGGTGGTCGGGTTTGACCAGTGCGCACAGATCGCGGCCAAATACGGAATCACCGAGGCATTTGATCGGATCGTCTACAGTGTCAGCCAGATCAGTGGGCTTGCTGCCGAAGTCCCTCCAAGCACGTCCTTGAACACAGAGGTTCAAGTGGGCAAGAAGAAGATCATGGTCAGCGAACTGGCCGTGAGACTTGGCCGGGATTTCAAGGCTCAGTTGTCCACGGTGCTGCTGTTTAGGATCTTGTCCGGTCGTGAGAACGCCGTTGGCGAGACTTGGATTTACGTTGTGCGCATCCTGAGGAATCTCTTTGTCAACTCCCTCATTCAATTGCCGGCTGTTGAAGGGAGTAGACTTGCCAATATGGGGTCGATCCCTCTACAGCCTCCTTCACAGGTCATTGATCGGGATGGAAGATTGGGTGACAACGGTATCTTCTCCACCTTTACCTCATACCTTTCGAGTTACGCGGCCGATGACCCGCCGGAGCCTTCAGAGGAAGAATTGGATAACACGCTCAGTGCTGTGGACTGCGTTAAAGCGTGTCAGCCAGACGTGGTTCTGAAGCGGATGGCGGCTCTGCCACCAAATCAAATCAAGACTCTTGTCTCTGCTTTGCTGTCGCAAATGGAAGAATCGTCGCCCGTTGTGACTGTCAAACCCGAACGGCCTATGCCAGTCACAGTCAGAGTCAATGGACATCGCATGCCCAAAGCAGGACCGGAATATGACCCTGGCACAGTGTTTTTACTTGAGTTGGCAACTTTGCTTACATTGAGAGATGACGAGACGATCGCTGCTGCTGGTGAGGTCTTGACCGGGTCCCTGCAGAATGCTGTCCGGGATGCCTCCAATCTCCATCCACTCGCCGCTTCCAGGGTTGTCCGTTACCTACTGGAGCTGCTGCGGTACAGCTATGTAAGTGAAAGTGGAATCTATTTACGTGGCATAGATACTGACTTTTCGTCGCAGACCTATGACTTCATGCGCGCTCCAGTCGTTCTACATACCATTTCGAGTTTCGATGACACCGTCCTCGACCGTACCGCATCAACAGTCATCCAGGGGCTTGCGAATACCATAGGCGAGCCTGGGCCACTACGGAATGAAGTCACCAAGTCCCCTGACTTCTGGTCTACGTTACAACGCCTGCATCAACACAAGACGGAAGCCGATTCCGTATTCGACATACTCACGACGGTGGCTACATCTCAGCCTACCGCGGTGACAGCCGACAACTTCGAGTCGGCGGTTGCACTAGCCAACGACTTTGCCACGGCCGGTTCGATAGGTTCGATCCAGGAGAAGCGGCGTGATTTCGCGGCCAAGCGCGGACATCAGGCGAAGCCGGCGCGCAACGAAGACCTGGTGGTGGTGCAGCGAGCGGTCAAGGCCATCGGGCTTATCTACCAACTCAGTGGCCGTGTGCCGAGTCTGATCGCACAATCGCACCTCGAACGCCAGGAGGCCTGGGCGGCGTACTGGTCGCCGGTCTTCCGCGCGTTGTGTTCACAATGTGTCAACCCATGTCGAGAAGTCCGGCATCGCGCCCTGTCCGCCTTGCAGCGAACACTGCTGGCTGAATCGGTGGTGGACCAGGAACAACACACCGAATGGACGGCCATCTTCGACGAGGTCTTGTTTCCTCTGACTCTGCGCATGCTCAAGCCGGAAATCTACCAACTCGACCCGCAGGGGATGAATGAAACACGCGCCCAGGCGGCGTCGTTGCTGTGCAAGGTCTTTCTGCGGTATCTTGATCGATTGGTCCAAGTGCATTGGATGGCTGATGTCTGGGTCGAAATTCTCGAGTTGTTGGATCGACTGATGAATGCGGGCACGGAGGGAGACGCCTTGGCCGAAGCCGTACTGGAAGGGGTCAAGAATGTGCTGTTGGTCATGGATGGTACGGGATATTTGGAGAGAGACAATTCAACAAGAGGTGGCACTATACCTGGTGGAGTCACCAAAGACAGCCGTCGGCGGAGAAGCAAGAAGGTTAGAGAGTCTCAGGGCAAGACGGGGGATGAAGAAGGAAATGTTGTTGTCCTGGAGAAGGAACGCGTGAAACTTTCGAACACCAAGCGTCTAGAGACGCAATTCGAAGGCCAGCAAGAGGAGCAGGACCGGCAGGACGAAGACGGTGATGAAGATGAAGAAGAGACTGAAGAGGAAGAGGAAGAGATTCAAATCTGGCCAGAAACAGTCAGACGGTTGGACAGCTTCTTGCCCGGCCTGGTCGAGGAATTGTTCCCTCCGCCCGCAGAACCTGAACCTGAACCCGAACCCGAACATGCATCTGCAGCTGAACCTGCATCATCTGGATCTGGTGGATCCCCTACTCCAGAATCCGCCGCTCCTCCTCCCAGCACTACAGCAGGGAATATCGACGAGGATCGAAACTCGAGCAGCACAACGTCAAGACCGCAGACAAGGGATGGGGAGAAGCGATGAGATGTAATGATGCAAGCGGGGCATGTATAGCGACACGGTGACCAGCGATGAGAAGAGAACGGCGGGGATGGAGGTGAATTGAGTGACTTGTGGTTCGTTGGGTTTGGTTTTAATACATCCACACGCTGACTTGCATACCTTGTCCATATTGCGCTGCCTGGGTAATGGATGTCTGGGACAATAAGTATCTGTAAAATTATCTCATCTAGCATCAGGGACGAGAACCATTGCGGCTGTTGACTACCTAGGTATGGTCTCAGAGAGGCCAACTCGGACTTGACGGTGTTCATGTCCACGGCATACCTTGGATGGAGAAGACCTTGTCTCGAATAGCATGTCCGACTCTTCCATGGTGAACCCGGATCAAGGAGGAGTGGTATCGGTTTTTCTATATTGAATATTGAATGAGTCCTGCCACCATATGTAACCATAATTTACCTCCCTTGCACCGCGAACATTAACACCCTTGGCGCATGATGAACGTACTGGTACAGATGGAAATATACAACTAGGACTGGATGAAGGGATCGAGGGATCGAGGGATCGAGGTGGAAGATGGACTGTTGGCCTGTTTGTTGTCGCTGATAACCGCAGTGAGGGCGATCTGTGAGATTGAAAGGAAAGTACCTATGTACCTAAGGAGTCAAAGATTGTAGCCATCTCATTTGACGAAGGAAAGGAGATCAAGATACATCGAGATCTTGAAGCGCAGCGCAGGGACCAACGATCGATGAACTGCTGCAGGTACAAAAGTACAAGATACAAGATACAGACAGGAAGGATTCAGATAAGCTACTGGTACCTTTAGGTAATAGGTACCTACCTTAAGTGACCCTGAATCGGAATCGGAATGGGATCCCTAGGACCCTAGGACACTTTGAACCCCCCGATTCCCCCCAATCCCCGCGCCCATCCTTTCTCACTTTCTTTTTACCTGTTTTCGCCCGCGTTCTCTAGATTTGTCCGCCGTCACCACAGCGTTGTATCTAGCCATCTATCTTTGTCCCTCCCTCGCTCCCTACCTAAGTAGACACAGCCCGATCGTTCTAGTCCCACCTTCCCACCTAAGGTAGTCCGCCCTTCTGGATCTGCCAAGGAAGGTTGTCCACACATACACACATACACCCTGCCACGAACGAACAAGCGAGCAGGAGAGCAGGCAAAGTCGTCTTGTCTCATCCACCACCACAATGGGCTCGTTCAACCCCAATTCAGCCCCAGCCACGAGGCCCCCGCTGCCGCCGCCGATCCGCGCATGCATCTTCGACATGGACGGGCTCCTGATCGACTCGGAGGACAAATACACGCTGGTGACGAACACGATCCTGCGCGAGAACGGCCGGCCCGACCTGCCCTGGCATATCAAGGCGCAGTTACAGGGCCGGCCCGGGCCCGCGGCGGGCAAGATCTTCCATGACTGGGCGCGGCTGCCGATCTCGCGCGACCGGTTCCAGGAGCGGCTGGTCGAGTTGCAGGCCGAGGCGTTCCAGCATTGTAAACCGCTTCCGGGGGTGGAGGATTTACTGAGGCGATTGCAGAACGCATATACCATGGAGATAGACAACCAGACAAAATCCAAAATTGGAGGAGGAGGTGGAGGAGAGGTCAACATCAATGTCGGAAAAGAAACTGCACAAACACAAACACAAACACAAAACCAGAGGCCAAGAGTCCATTTGGCCCTCGCTACCAGTTCGCATTCCCGCAACTACGAGATCAAAACGGCCAACATGCAGCGTCTGTTCGGCGTGTTTCCCGACCCCCATAAGATTCTGGGCGACGACCCGCGCATCCCGACCGGACGCGGCAAGCCGCTGCCGGACATCTACTTGCTGGCGCTGCAGGCGATCAACGACACGATCCGGGCGCAGGACCCAAATGCCAGACCGATCGAGCCGAGCGAGTGTCTCGTCTTCGAGGATAGTGTGCCGGGCGTGGAGGCCGGGCGGAGAGCAGGCATGCGCGTCGTCTGGTGTCCGCATCCGCAGCTGTTGGATGTCTACCGGGGCCGAGAGGACGAAGTGCTGGCCGGGCGCACGGGCGAGCATAAAGAAGAAGAAGATAGAGACAATCATCATGCAGAAGAGGAAAAGGGCATTCCTATCGCTGGAAGTCCTGGCCAGCCTGGCGAGCTTGGTGATGGGTGGGCCGAGCTGCTTCGTTCGCTGGAGGACTTCGATTATGCGAAATACGGGCTGGAGGTTGACGAGACAGGCGCCGCGCATACAACAATCCAGGACCAGGCCGCCACGGATGCCACAACGGATAAAGCCTTGGAGGAGATGACAGCCATGGCGGACGGCAAGCAGCATGCCCCGGAGGAACCGCCGTCTGTGCCGACTCCGGTTCCGAGTATGACGTGAGAGGGAAACCACTGGTTGTACCAACATCCTTTAGCCTTCACCCTTACCCTTTGATTCATGTGTATGTGTACCAGACAGATAGATACACTTAATGATCTGTACAGGTGTTGGACTCGAGCAAGCATGAGCACCAGGAGTTCTGTTTTGGACGGGTATAAAGAGCCAAAAGAAAATACCGAGTTGTGTATGCATTTTCAATCTCCTTCAGACCTCAACAAAGGAGTCTCTTCCGAGACATGATACGGAGGCGGCTCGGCTTCGGCTTCGGCTTCATCCTCGACCTCGGCCTGGCTTTCCATGCTATCATTGGCCTGGGCCATTCTCGCCTGTAACTCCTTTCTTTCTCCTCTGCGATGCATAATCTCGAAATAAATTCCCATGACGAGCAGCGTGCCCTGCAAACATCCCGTGACGACGTACACCCCCCACGCGCTCCAGCCTTCTTTGCCCAACCGCGCCGCCAGACTGGCGGCCCAGACGAAACTGCCGGGAGTTTGGATACACATCATGGGGATACTCAGACTGCCGACCCTCTTGAGGCGGAAGGTGGTGCAGATCTGCGGGAAGTACTGGATCGAGGCGAGCACGGTGGAGAAGATGCCCAGGAAATTCGCCCACCCCTGCGCATGGACCGGGCGGGCATAGACGAAGTAGAAGCTGAGGATGGCGATGATGAGGGCGTGCACCACCGAGATCCCCGTCACGGCCAGTGCAGTGCGGTAGGAGGGTGCCAGTTCCTCTTGGTCTTTCAGTGAGTCTGTATCGTTGCTGAAGGTGGTCTCGGTCGCCGACGCATTAGGTCGAGGGAAGAAGATGAGGAACAGGAGAAGACTGGACATGGCACGGGTCGCGTCAGTAACAAACGAGCCATAGAATTGCAAACTTACATGACTGTAAAACAACTCCATTGCACCCCGACTTGGGCTATCCCCAACAGACCAGCCAGACAGGCGAATTCATCGACCACGCGACAACACCCGATATCTACCCTACTCTTGGGGAGGACGAGAATGTTCGCGAACGCGCAGGTGCCACTTGTCGTGCCGAGAAGCACGAAATACGGCGAGAGTCCGAACGACGAGCGCAGGCGAATGATTCGGATATGTTGCGGTAGGTAGGACACGATGATTCCGATGAGAATGAACCTGATCCGAGGGAAGAAGGGATGGTATGTTAGCATGATCCCAGACAGAATATCTATGTCTACCCCCGTGACGCTAACAAGATTGTGTTTGTTTGTGGACTATGCCTATTCATTCTTCTGACAATTGACATGGGATGGATTTGGGCTTGGAGGCAATGCAATGCAATGCAGGTTCATGGGGGTTGCGTGGCGTACAGGCTGAGACCGAAGTTGGTGTAACTGACTCGCGCGATCTCTTCGCAGCGCGCATCCATTCTGTCGGCCGTCGGCGGTCGATGTCTCAATGGGTTAAGGAACAGGCGAAGATAGGTCTTGCATTTGCATTCCGCTACGTCGTCGGTAAGGCCATGGTGGGATCACAGAAAGGGTGGGTGATGGTATGCGATGGGATTCGAATGGAAGGTAGAGACGAACAACGTCCTCAGTGCAGAGTTACAGAGTGGTGACGAGAATGAATATGACGGACTTGGACTCGGATGCTGTTGATGTGTCCCAGAAGGGTTTAGCTTCCCGGCAGCCTGATCATCCCCCCAGCGGAGTCCGCTGTGATGTCATTCATTGTTCTCCGCTCATATGCGCTGACCGGGGCACTCGAGTCTATCACCAATACACAGTACTAGTACACACCACCAGCGGAGAACTGTCCTTACTCGATTGTCGCATCAAATATTCTACCCAGCATAGCCCGTATTACTAATTTTCGCCAGTTCTATTTAATGCGGAACGATATTGCATCCGCTGGCCCAAAGGGAAAATCTATAGTATATTACTGGCTTCAGCGTCTAGCAAATATGCAGCATGACTTTCTACCCGATCAACGCCATACGGATGCACGCTCGTGTTTCTCCATGGTATCACAACTTCCGTCCCAAAAACAAATTCGTTTCGTCGTTGGATAACTTAGTAATCCTTTTGTGCGTATTTGCTGAGTCTTCTCAATCGCTCGCCATACTGGAACTCGTTAGCTACTAGTCCAGTCTGTAAAGGGGAAAAGTCACCAACCTTGAACAACAGGAACGGAATGGGAATGAACGCGATGGCGAGAAATGCAAGCGTAGAACTGGCCCAGCCAACTCCGAGGTTGTTATACATGGCGGTCGCAAATAGCGGAAACCCCGCACCGACTGAAGATCGAAACAAATCGTTCCCTGCCAACACACTTGCCGCATACTGAGGATAAGCGTCGGCGAGATAGTTCAGGGCACTGTTGAACATGAGGAACGACCCAATGCTGAAAAAGCCGGTGCCAATGATTGGCATGATCCAGTGTATCTCCGGCCGTGATGACCATCCAAACCAGAACAGGCAGATCGGGATGGCAAACGCGCCAACGAACGACGGTGGGAGTCGCCATTCCGGTTGCAGCTCGCCTTTCTCGTTGAACTTGGGCTCGATGTACTTCATCTGATACCAGACAAATGGGGGAAGCGTGATCAGGACACCAACAAAGATGCCCAGAAACGCCGTCCCTTCCAGGCCCAGGCTGAATCCGTAGATGCCGGTGAACACGATCGGGAAGCTCTCGAACCAGATGTACAAGATACCGTAGATGAGAGCAATGTACATGTTCAGGAGGAAGACCATCGGTTCGGTGAACGAGAGTGTGAACGGTCGCACGAGGACCATCATGACGATGTCCCGGCCGGTCATTTGTTCTCCGAGAAGCTGAGGCTCGCAGACCAGTTTCTGGTTGCCGGTCAATCGACGGAGTCGCATGGTTCGTCGGTAGAGGATATTGGCGGATGAGGTCTCAGGCAATAGGAAGGTCAGCAGGACCAGTGTGAACCCAGACAGCCACATGAGCTCCCAGATCGTCCATGTCCACCCTTCCGATTCCGCCGCGAACCCGCCAATAAGAGGACCCAACACCGGGCCGCACACAGCACCGATGCCCCAGACCGCCAAACCATAGGTCCGCTTGGCTGGGGAGTACATGTCTCCGATCGACGCTCCACCTGTTGCCAGCGACGGGGACCCGACGAATCCAGTCAGAAACCGGAAAGCTAAGAGCATGCCGAAGTTGGTCGCTAGCGCTGTCGGTACTTGCAGAATGACAAAAAGAGCGAGCGTTCCAATGTAGATCGGACCACGACCTATCTGCGGTACCTCGGACATGGGAGACCACAGCATCGGGCCTATGCCGTAGCCTAGCACGAAGAGCGTGAGACCGAGTGTGGCGGCCACTTTGCTGACCCCAAATTGGCTGCTGACGTCCGTGATGCCGGCGCTGTAGATGGCCGATCCAACATACACCGAGAATGTGAGCAAGCAGATCTCGAAGGTCACCCAGAACTTTTTCGGCGTGCTCCAGTTTCGCGGGTTTTCTGGGTCATCCGGCCCATACCAGTCGACCATATCTGCATCACGCCCCTTCTCGGGGTCAGTTTTCTGCCCACCCACAATGTTGACGGGATGACTACCATCTTCGAGTGTTGTTGACGACGATCTCGACGGAGGGCGTCCTGAAGGGGTTTGCTCGGCCCCATCAGTTTGAGGGCGTGCGGCAGACTCCTCCTTTTCTTCTGTGGGAGGAGGGTTCGTGGTTCCATGGATCGCTGTATTGGCAGAATTATCCGAATTGAGGTACTTTTGCACGATAGATGCATCCCGCTCTTCAGGATATTGAAGGATCCTCCTGCCTGTAATCAGCCGCAACATCTGTCCAACGACAGTGTCTCGAAATAGTTCGGCCATGGCCAGCTGAAGGAGGAGGTGAGCGGAATGAAAACGATCGGAGGTCAGCTTGAAAATTCTCTATCATAACAACATGGCGTGTACGAGGTTCATATTGGTATATTGGGAGCAATAAATCTAACCTCACCGTTACCGGGATCCATTCAGACGTCATGGTCCCGACTCAATGTCGTCGCATATCATGGTCATAGCACACTGCAGTAGACAGGGGTCTGGCTGACACAAAAAGTCTATGGTCTCGGTACATAGTAAGTCTTTGCCGATCCGCACGAAGAGTCGACGATCTGGATATCGTAATTAATCCGGCATGTGGGAACAATTGACGGGCTGTAGAGAGTTCTCTGCTTCTCCCTTCGATGTGCGATCGAACAATACCAACAGTCTATGACGCCGAGGTGGAGCATTTCAGATGCATGTTTGCCTCAGCCCTTCACGTGACTCGGCTTTGGAGTGGCATTTAGTCAGCGGCTCGGTTTTCTTTTGGCTCCGGATGCCAGACTGCCCGATGGGCGGCTGATTAGTCATGGTCTTCGCGACAGAACGAGCCATCGTATTCACCCGCTCGTCGGTCGGATGTCTGGCAGTCTGGATGTCCGTATCAGTCTTGCGCCTTTGGTTGCTCTGCTCCAGGCTCCAGTAAGCTCAGACGGTTTCTGCAAGAAAACACAAGATTGATGCGTGTTTCCCTATCATGACCCGTGTTCACAGGCTATGGTGCCCATGCCACCAAGCTGACTTCAGGCCAAGCTACTGTTCATTCAACATGTTCATAATTGAGCGCGGAAGAACTTGGCCGAAGTCCGCCAGCGCGTGTATCATTGCCCGGCGGAACTGACTTTGTATGCCGGACGGAGATAAGGATACCGTAAGCGTCGTCTGTTGAAATGCTGGGGGCTTGAAATCTGGTAGCGTCCTGGAAAGGGTGTCGAGCAATGCAGAGGCTGTACTCGATTTCGAGCTATCACAGATCCATTCCATCAGCGTCGGCGTTGTCATCCTCCCCCAACCGTCCCATTAGTTGTCTCCTCAACTCCTCGTCTGTGAGCGTGCCACCCGTGCTTCTGCCTGCTGCCATGGCATCCCCGTTCGTGGTCGGGTCTCCTGCACTGCCGTTGACCTTCCCGCTGTTGTCTGCCTCGTGCCATCGTCCCCCTCTCCTTTCTACTTCCCGCTTCAACAACTGGATTCTGTCTTTCTGTCTCTCGATCACGACATTGTTCTCTTGGATGGCTTCAGCGCAGTCTCTGTCGCCCTCCTGCCTCATACTTTCAGACAGTGTAGTATCTGAGCGGATGCTGTCGATATATTCCTGGAGCTGATGATTGGAGCGTTCGAGGTGGGATATCGAATTTGAAAGTTCTTGGGCTTTCGAGTACAGGTTCTCGACTGGCAAATCTTCAATTGCGAAAGCGAAACGTTCGGCGGAAATGGGTTGAGCTTCGGCCGACATCTTGTAAGTGAGGAGGAGAATACGATGTAAGGCAACGTGAATGAGGTGCTTTGCAAATGTCTCCTTGATCGGTCTCGTAAGATGGAAGAGAGAAAATTGGGAGCATGCAGAGAAGGAACAGAGAAGATGCGGCGAAGGGCAATCGATCAAGTTTCAAGTTGGCCGCTGACGTTTGTGGGGAGCCAGCAACTTCCCCGCAGCCTTGTCGGAGAGCCTCGGGGGCAACGAGGCTGGCTCAGTCAACTGCGAAGATCACGAGAACATTAGATTCTACGTCCATGACCGGTCATTGATTTGCATGAGTATCGCAAGTCTATCTAAGTAGACCTCGGAATCAAGCTCGCCATCCCTGTACGAACTCATGTAATCGGTCAATCACCACCCCAAAGACCGCGTTGACACTGTCCGCCAGCACCTGGTCCAGCAGCCGAACCGCCTCTTCTTCGGTCACATCGAGGTGGAATCTTTCCCTCACTTTGCCCACCGCGCCACCGATGGTTCCGATCTGCTCCTCCACCAATCTAATATCCTGCACCGAGCTCTGCACCATCAAGCTGAACAGATTCAGAACCAGGGGGCTGGACTTCCGCAGCGCTGTATACGCGGTGAAGCAGTATTGTTTGAACTGAGCATACTGAGGAGATGTCGTCCCTCCCAAGCCTTCCACCATCTCCTTGCACAGCTTGATCAGAGGAGCAAAAGGTTTGGGGTCGCGTCCAAGGATGAAGCCGAAGTCTATATGGAAGAATTGCCCGGAAGGTTGCAGCAAGAGATTGTCGAGATGGCGGTCCCCTACGCCGAGGATGTAGGTGATCACACAGTATCCGGCACATGATCGAATGTAAGTATCCATGGTCTCTTTGCGAACACCCAGAGGTCCAGAGCTGTCCGGGTTATTGGCACGTAGGTATGCTAGCACTGAGCCTTTGTACTTCGCGGATATGGCCGACAGAGCGGTGGACGGTATGAATTGCACAGCACCGGCTGACGGCGATGTTGCGAGAATGCGGTAAGGAGTAAGCTTCAGGTCAAGATTCTCCTTCAGTAAAAGATTGTTCATCAACGTGATGATTTGAATGACGAGCTGGTCTTGTCGAAGGTCGTCACCTGTCTTGAAGATAATGGGATACTTCCCCTGGAACTGTGACCCTGGCTGCATCGATGTAGCAGAGCTGCTAGATGAGCTGGCTACCTTGAAGTTGATCAAGAGCGGGGACAAGGATGACTTGAAGACGTTGGCCTCCTCAGGATAGACTCCGCTTACCTCAACCTCCGGATCAAGGGGGAGCGGGATAGGAGGCTCGATTTTTATCAGCTCATTCTTGGGATCCGCTAGATATTTCTTGAGTGACTCGATTTTGGATATGCGATTAGTTCGGCTGAAGCGAATTTCTTTGCTGATGCGTGACAAGACCGCAACCATCTCGGCTTGTCTCAGCAATGTCTTGCGTTGTTCCGGGTCACGCTTCTCGAGCTCGACCATAAAGTGATATTCCACTCTCGCAAACAACTTCCGGTTTGCAGCATTTGTGTCAGGACCCTGGTCGTCGCACTCGACCATCAGGAACCAATGCAAGTAATTGCCCAGGATGAAATTATTGGCCGCACGGTCGATCAGAAATTTGGCCAACGAAGAAGACGGCAGCCCCTCTTCCTTCGTGTCATACTTCTCAAACTTCAGGGCCTGTACTAGCTGTAGAAGATACAAGAGCAACTCCGCATCATCAGCCTGTCGAAGACGATCGACTGCGTAGGCACGCACCACAGGACTGTCGAATGTCGGGCCCAGGAGTTCGAGAGCAGAATCGACATCAATCTTGGCCCATTTCGGAATCAGCTCTGCCAGCTGTTTTACTTCACTTGGATTGCTCCAGTCAGTCGCTTTCACGACTTTGGTGAGCGCCCGTTTGTCACGACTGAGGTAGCGCCGGAATGTCCAAACAACATCTTTCTCCTGTGGACTTAAGTCCTGTGTGGGCCCATAGGAGAGAATTTCATTGAGCTCATCTCGCAACTTCGCATTAGGCTTTTGGTCAGCATCGGAGTAGGCATTCCTGTCACTCCTGACCAGCCTGCGATGCTTAGTTTCGCAAGGGTTCTCTCGTTGAAACTGTTCGGGGTCGAAGATCTGGATGACCGGATAGTCTTCATCATCAACGATAGTGTTGCCAGCGGCGATGCCCGGACCGTACCTAACTTCGGGCGGAGGCTTCCTGCTGCCGACTGGCGAGGCAGACGGTGTCAACTGAAACTCTCGCATCAACTTGGACGGCTGGTACTCGTGGTCCTCGAATACAACCGGAAAGTCCCATCGCGGGAAATCAACGTAGAGAGTAAAATGCTCTTCATCGAAGAGCTCATCCTCCGAGTCACTGTCAGCAGAGGAATTCTCGCCCCCATTTGCTGTTCCGCTTTGCGGTCCTGTTGCATCCTTCTCAGCAGTTCGGCGTTTTCCAGCCTTGTATGAAGCGGACCGTTTCCGTGCTACTTCATCCACTTCCCGTGCTTTCTTGCCGACACACTGGAAAACTAATTGGTCCAACCAGTCGTTCTGCGGAATCTCGTTCATCTCGTGCTTCTTGAACAGCAGCTCAAGCCTCTCAAGCTCTTCCTGTTCCGGGATAGTAGGAGGCGGCTGTTGATTGCGTTTCCGCCGCTTTGGACGAGGAACATGTGGCGTACTAGAAGGTATCTGTCCATCGGCAGCTCTATTGCGATAAACTCTACACTTCTGGCGACCCTTCCTCAGTGCCCCATCTTGGTCGAAGAGTGGAATAGTTGTGCCCCCGAAAGGTACAGTGTGATCGAGACTGCCATTGAGTGGGCAGGGCGAAAGATCCCAGACGGTAATGGCAATCTGTGACGAGACCGGGCAGTCCTTCACCGTTATAGGTAGTTCCAGCCATTTATTCCAGGTCCGACTGTTCTTGAAGAACATATGAGGAGTCTGCATAGACACTCCTAACGGCTTGGATTCGGCCCATAGTTGCGCTGTCACATAGAGCTCCGAAGTGGGACTCTGAACGGACCCGATGTGGCGGATTTCGGGATGTTTGAGCAAAACAGAGTAGGGCACCGGTGTCTGCTTGCCTTCAAGAGTATTGCTGAGAAGCAATCAGCATTGGCATTGAGCTTTCTAGCGTGGCTCAAGAGACTAGGGTCATGGACAGTCCCTCTAGCAGGGGTATAAGCCATGGGAAGGGTTCCAACATACATCTTTATACACACGGGAAAGTCTATCTGACGCGAAGTCGCAAATGTGTAGGTATCCATGACTGCGTATCAAAGAGATTCAGATTGCATGGCGTCGACTCGTCTAGGTATGACACCGGAGCGGCGATCATAATATGTTGGCGAGGAAAGAGGGAGGAAGAACGTCGTTTGACAGAGGATGATGATGCCAGCAGCAGCCTGATCACGATACGTTGGACTCTATACTAGTAGTACTCTGTTATAAGTTAGATACCTGCCTCGCTACTTCAGTTTGGCCGGTGGAATGACGCATTGCTGCCTATACTCCGCACTACCACTATGATGACCAAACCTCGGAAGTCCCGCAGTCCTTCTACTCCGCCGTACCAGCTTAATTGCGCGACTCTCAACGAAGCGCGTTCTGGCAATCGCGCTCCTTGACACGGTCAGGCCAAGTTTCATCCCACCTACGTACCAACGCCAGTCACATCGCAGCACAGGCCTGATAGAGTAACGGACACGGTCATTCTTTGAGAAGTTCAAGTCTGACCTTTATAGACGCTCGCATTTGTCCTATTAGCACGACCCGACCTCCTTACGAGCCGTGTCATCCTCCCATAGCCGAATCTCCGACAGACGATGCGTCGGCAATGGCGCGTCTGAACACCCAACCGGTCTCGTCCGACACGGAAACAGACAGCCGCAGACCATCCAGCTCTCCCAATGGCACTCGCCAAGCGCCTGCGCGTGGTTCCTCCGAGAGTCCTCCATCACCTGTACAGTCGTCAGACTCCGACAAAGAAAACCAGCATCGCCAACGGCAAGTGACGAATAGAAAAGGCAAGCGCACCAGCACCGCCGCGTCGATGCCGGATCGATCTGCCGAAACCGACCCAAGCCAGCATACGCCCAAACGGCGGAGAGTGAGCGGCGGGGAAGATGTAACTCAGACGCAAAAACAATACTACGACCCAGAACAAAACCCGGAAGAGCGCCGACTTGTGCGCAAAGGGCTGCGGAGTCTTTTCGCCAAACTCCACGACTCCAAGACAGAGTATTTGCGACCCGATTCCAAGGGGCTCGAAGAGACGCTCCGCGAGGCCGACGAGCTGTACAAGAATGTCAAGCAGACCTCGGAAGCGACGATCGACTCGCGGTTGCTGGTGGAGGCAGCCGACCTGTCCTACCGAAAGATCAACAACCTCACTCTTGGCGACGGCAGTACGGGCATTGACGTGGACGACTTCGTCACGAAATGCATTGGCTTCATGAGACGTGGCGATGAGCTGGACGAGTACCAGAGCAGTGGCAATCACCGAGAGCCACCGAGCACGCAGAGCCAGCGCCGACGACGACATCTTCATCATCATCACCATGCTCATACAGCAGACTTAGAAATTGAAGGCGAAGACGGAGATGAAGGCGACACGCTGAACTGGGACCATCTTGGCCGAAAGGCCTGTTTCCTGTATAACGCGCGGCCATGCTTGGCCGGGTTTCTTCTCGGCCCGCTGTCAGTGCAGAAGAAAGTGCGGCAACAGACACAGCGCAAAGCGCGCGAGGCCCGCACAGACGTGACGCAAGTAGTCCGCCCCGTCCAGCTGGGCGACGAAGACCTCGACAAGCAAGAATCGGCCAACCTGACCGTCGTATGCACGGAAATCGCGCGGCTGTTGCAGACCTTTCAAGACACGGGCTTGAAGAACGTGGACAAGGAAGCAGAGGGCTCGGAGGAGCTGGCGGAGGAGCAGGCGCGTGAGATCCTGCAGCGGCACGGGATGGCCGACAACGGATGTGTGCCGCTGTTCAATTTCTGCGTCAACCCGCGCTCGTTCGGCCAGACGGTCGAGAACCTGTTCTACGTCAGCTTCCTCATCAAAGAGGGCAAAGTCGGGCTCGACTTTGACAGCCGCGGCCTGCCGACCTTGGGCATTGCCGCGACCCGGTCGGTCGCCGAGCGGCAAGAGACGCAGAAGAACCAGGCCGTGTTCACGCTGGACTTTGACGTCTGGGAGGATGTTGTCAAGACCTTTGGCATTCGGAAAAGTATCATTCCTCATCGCAAAGATGAAAAGTACGATGACGGCATTCTCGACACGGGGTTGATGGACCAGCATGACCGCCTTGATTTTGATGATGATCGTGCCATTGATACAGTCACGAGAGATGATCGAGAAGACGAGGTGTCCGACGCTTATTCTTAAATCTTTGACGCACCTCATTTATCTGCACACGAAGCGGTGCTGCACTGGCTCTGTCATGCATGATACCTGTTGGATCCAGCCGAAGGAGTTGTTATGTTTACGGCTTTCGATTCAATTGTTAGTATGAAGTCTACTAGCGATGCGAGGAGTCATGTAAAATCTGTTCTTTGTCTGAAGGATCCTTGAATGGATCGACTGGGTCCTTTGCTCCGAGTCCCAACCCAGATACTATTCATGTTTTATTCCACAATCAAGATTTTGTACCAGGTTTCTCTACTAGTATTTCGTTCCATGGCCACGGTGGGACTCTAACGGAGCCCCCTGCATCGCTGTGGGGAGAGGTTGAGGACGGGCCCATATGACACGCATCCATTGTTGTAGACCTAACACACCTGCAAGGGCAGGTCTTGTTGGTTAGAGACACCGTCTCCAAGAATTGAGAAGAAGTGATATTACCATGTTTTATCAGACTATTCATTGTTATCGAAAGAAAAGACGTATCGGCCCGGAAAGCTGACAAGTAGTACCCATGTTGAACAAACTAGTACTGGTGAAGCTCCGCGCCATGCAAATCGTTTTCCGAACAATAACCCTCCTCAGGTGGTGCCATTTCTTCTTGTGAAACCAAGAGAGCATTTATTCCCCTCCAGGGCAGTCGCTGAGACCCGGAGCCGTGGGATAAAACCAAGCAGCCACTGCGATTATGATGTACAGGATCATCAACAGAACCCCTTCCAGCCAATGAGATTTGCCGTCCTGGATCAGGTAGTTCACCAGCAAGACCGCGACGAACAAGACAGCAATCTGGAAACCGTCGAAGAACAAGGTCATGTCGTCTTTGCCGATGATCCAGCCAAGCACCACGACCAAAGGCAGAACCAAAAGCGCGATTTGCATGCTCGATCCCACGGCGACCCCGATGGCCAAGTCCATTTTGTCCTTGATCGCGACAGTGACAGCCGTAGCGTGTTCGGCAGCATTCCCGACAATTGGGAGCAGAATGAGACCGACGAAGTTCTTGGAAATGCCGCCGCCGCAGGTGATTGAGTCGATGGAATCAACCAGATACTCGGCATTCAACGCCACCAGCACGGTGGAGATGGTTAATGTGATGAGAGCCACCGTGATGGAGAGTTGAGGCTCCTCGGGTGCATCGTCGACCGGTTCAGGGATGGCGGCTTCTCGTTCAGAGGGAGTCCGGCGCCGCAATTTCTCGGGGATGACAGCGTTCTTGAACCTTGAACCAACATCGCGAGTCTCATTCTTTTCGCTGGGTTTGTTATACATCTTTGCGTGACTCTTGAGTTGAAAGAAGAGATAGCAGGCGTAGACGACCAAAAGGAGGATGGCAGTCCCTCGGCTCAAAGCCGCAACTCCTGGCTTGGGGTTCGCTGTTGTTTCTGTTTCTGTATTGGCGCTATCGTTTCCAGTTCTGGCCCACTGCTCAAAGGCAGTGGGAATTATCAAGCTGCTAACAGCCAGAAACAAGAGACTAGAGGCGGTTTGGGCGACGGTCATGTTGAAGGCCTGCTCGACGCGGTTGATGCCGCCAAAGAAGAAGCACATGCCCATGACAAGCAACAGATTGGAAAGCATGCTGCCAATGAGCGAGGTCTGAACGATCAAGACTTGATCCTTGGCCAGTGCGATGATTGACACAATCAGCTCGACGGCGTTACCAAAAGATGCATTGAGCAGACCGCCAATGACTTCACCAGTGCGAAGGGCGATTTCTTCGGTGGCGTAGCTCAGCATGGCTGCCAACGGGATGATGGCAATGAAATTGATGACAAAGACGGCCACTTTGTTGATTCCAGCATAATAGACGGCGATGCCGAGTGGAGAGAAGATGAGAAGGACGTTGATCCAGGAGTTGAACAAAGTGGCATGGATTTGACTCCAGGCAGTAAACTTGGGTTTGTCCTTGCCGTTGTTGTTGTCGTCTGTATCTGTATCTGTTGTCTTCTTGCTGAAGAGCTTCGCAAGGCCGCGTTTCCCCTGTCTATCACCCGGCGCACGATTTCGAATGGGGTTGCTATCGTGGGAGATCACAGGGGTGCCATTGGTGAAAGTTTCGCTGCTCTTTCCATCTTCGATTTTCTCCGGGCAGGGTTCCTCTTGAATCGCGGAAGTCGGGCTGGTCGAGCGTGGAATCTTGACCGCATCTCCTGGAGAGTATGATCTTACACCAGACTTGGCGCTGGGATCTGTCATAGCGTGGCGCGCCGATGTATGTGCATCAGTCTGATGGTTCCGCTCGCGTATTGGCGTCGACAGTCTGTAGTCATTCGGGTCGTCTGTGACAATTGGTCTAAGTGTGGCAGCACCGTCTTCGGCTGGTCCTGCGCCTTGGCCATCCTCCATTGTTCTCATCGTGTCTGATCGAGAATTGGGCCGCCATTTCGCAAAGGGATTCATCATTCGAAAGTTGGAGTCATCGTTTGGGCTGTCATACCAAGCGGCATACTTCGCCTGGCGACGGTATTTGTCTGGATGTAAGGTTAGGTTGCAAGAATCACACATCCTCAGGAGTATAGGTACATACGCATGTTTTGAATGATGCTTGTACGTCAATAAACACAGGTTTTGTAGCGAGAGCGCGAGAACGTGTTGCTCAAAATTGGGAGATACCACCAGCCAGAGACAAAACAATCACAGATTGCTGGTCTGGGAGTGATTTGGATATGAAGGCAGAGGCGGTAGACTAGTAGAAGGCGTGAAGGTCGTACAGGCTCAATGCGAAGAGGACAATGAGCGCATTGACCACAGAATGGGAGGGACAGGCGAGGACAATGGACCAGATTCAAGGCATTCGGAGGGAGGCTGTGTATAGGCACCTAGTAGTACACAGTGAGGTGGAGGAGAGATGGTGAGATGCAAACAGGATTGACAGTCTGGCTTAGTAGCGCATGCAGGGGACTCGGAATTGACTACTGTGTCATAGGAGGAATAAGAAGAACTTTGGCAACTTGAAGGCGTTTGAAGGACGATGATGCCAGAGGTTGCCAGTCAATACCTTGTGGTAGTATGTACCGTAGTAGTTGGTGCTGCTTGGCTGTTGACTGTTGGCTGCTGGCTGTTGCAATCCAATGTTGTTGTCTGCATGCCGGGTGCGCACTCCGTCAACAGGGGCGCGCAGCTCACCCACTGGCAGCCAAGGACACTATTGCATTGCATTGCAGTGCCTTCTGCCATTCAAGTCGCAGCACTGGCAGCAGGAGGCGTCCGTTTCAGGTGCTGAATGATGACATTGATTGCCCCCTGCAATTGATTGATCTCGCTTTACGGAGAATTTGTGGGCATCGCTTCACGGGAATTAACTTGGGCGCCACCAGAAACGGCACTACACTATAAGTTGGGCACCTGTGGATCAAGTACTCCATCATATCGACTAGGTACCTATAACGAGTGGTCTAGTACCTGGGTACCGGATACCCATCATAGATCCCTTAACCCTCGAATGCTACAAAGATTCCTAGACAGGTTCCGACCCAGGTGCCTCTCTACCTGACCTAGTAGGTAGTATACTGTCAAGGCAGGTGGGTTTCGTGCGGTCAGTTGCATCATACCTGATATAATATCACTGCTCAATTGGTGCTGGACTCAGGCTTCAAGTTATGACTGGCAGCGGTTACATCAAGCAAGTCTTGGTTGATTTGCTTAGACGTTCTTAGACACTCTTGGACACTCTTGGACACTCTTAGGCAGGTCTGGGCAACGCCTCGTCAAAAGTCAAATCCAAATCTTGGTTATGGGTTGAACTCGACTACAGTGACGTATAGTGGCTTTACATCCAGAGTGACGGTCGACGCACTCACTCTCACTCTACCGACACGCACATCCAGCACGGCTGGTAACATACATGTACCTTTCAGCTTTGCGAGCTACTAGTATTTTGTACTCTTGTACTACTTTGTAGGGCTGCTTCCACAAATGGGGCTGTCCGACTCAGCCACAACTCGGGTGGATCATACTAACTATTAGCGTATCGCTCCATGCCGTTCGTCAGATTCACCATTTTCTCACTAGAAGCCAACATCTTCCTTGTCTCATGCGGTGGCACATCAGACTCGCAACATTTCAAATGGATATTGATGCGCCAGTCTCGATCAAATAGCATATGTGTTGGAGTGACCATTATTATGTGTCCAGCCGAGGAGCATCTCTGTCGTAGGATAGTAGTACATGGCCCACGATATGGGACTCAGCTCGCCAGTACTATAGCGTTCCCACAATGTGCTGGCTGACTAAGCAGAGACTCCAGTTGGGCAGGTCTGACGAATCAATACCAAGGATTTTTTCACGAACGAGTTCGAGCCCTTTACATGGTCTCTCGCGGGTCTGTATTCAGCAACAGAATGATCTTCTCGGACCACAGCCTGTAGTCGGAATCCTGTCGGGTCCTCGTCCTGTACCAGCTCGAATGTCGCCCTTTCTGAGCTGAAAATTCGAAGCCATGGCCAGCTCGATCCGTCGTCGTGGGGAAGTACATTGGAAGTGGCTTCTGGGATTGGAGCCTTTGCTCAGCTGAGGTTGTTCCATCGACGACGATGTCTCACGCAGTGACAGCTGAGTGTCTCCTTCCCACCTTGTCTCGGATATGGCGCAATGGCCTATCGAAAGAAGCGCTTCATGGGCCGGGTCGGATAGGTAGGCTTGCAAACTATTTTTTGGGCGACTCGAGACCTGATATTGCCCAGGGGTTTGTGTCAGTGGTGGTCCTGATTCTATCGCTTTGGCGTATCTGCTCAAGCAGGCTCCTAGGACTGACCCTGGTATGCGTGTCGAGCCTCTTGCCTTTATCGTGAATCATAATGCCCGCCCCAAAAGTCGCAAGGAGGCTCATTTTGTCGCCCGCTACCTGGAAAAGCTCGGTAAGCCTTTTCCTCTTGTATAGAGATATAACGGTGACTGATGGACCAAGACATAGAAACTGTTGTTCTGGATATAGACTGGGGCAAAGGTCTGGATCCGACGAGCCTTCCCGACTTTGAGATGCTGGCCCGGAGAGCCCGGTATCGGCTGATCGCTGGAGAGGCCATACGAAGAAATATCCACCATCTTTTCCTGGGCCACCATCAGGATGACCAGGTAGAGACGATTCTGATGCGGTTGATTCGAAATCCAAATACATCCTTTCTGGGACTGCAAGGCATGTCCGAGCAAAGTGCAGTACCTTGCTGCGAGGACATCCGAGGAGCCCATGAGCTGGAACAATACGAAAGGTTTCCGCACTGGCTTCATCAGTTTGACAGAACAATCTACAACGACATCGAGGATAACGATAGCGTTAACTTTGGGAAACAAGTCACAGTGGCTCGGCCAGATGGGCTGCTGATCCACCGTCCCCTCCTACAGTTTCCCAAAAGCCGTCTCCTCGAGACATGCAAAGAGAACGGCATTATATACCAAAGAGACAAAACTAATGACGATCCAACTCTAACTCTACGAAATGCCATCCGACAGTTGAGGAGAAGTCAAAGTGGTTTAACACGTGATCAGCATCTTCCTAGAGCGCTGCAGGCCCGGTCCATCCTACAGCTCTGTGACCGGGCACGCGAGTTAGCCTTGTCTCTGGTGGAGCGAGGAACCGATATCCTAAGGAGGATCAAGGTGGATACTTTCGACCTCCGCTCCGGTATGATGACAATAAGTCTCTCGAAAGGTTTTGTTGCGGCGTGCGAGGCCGATCCTGCAGCTGGCGCCAATGCCCTGGCACGCCTGACAAGCGTGGTGAGCTACCAATCCAGGGACGATGTGCCCACGCTTGTGCCTCATGACCGCCTCGTGGACTTCCTTGAAGCCATGCGATCTCGCGGCCCGAAATCTCTTACAATACAAAAGGTGCTGCTCGAGATGTTGGAAGTTGAAGGATCGAGTATTGAGTTCGAGACAGTTAACTGGAGGCTGTCACGGCCGCCGATGCGCTCATCCGAAATTCGACTAGTCCACCAGGGATTCCTTCCCAAGATAGCCCAGGGCGATATCGGTCTCGGCTCCAGTTCGACATGCCAGTCAGCTGTAGATGCGGCCGAAAGCGTGTGGTCAGAATGGCTTCTGTGGGACCATCGATACTGGGTGCGTGTAAGGGCAAAGAGTGCCGCAAGCCTCTCAGAGATTAACATTCGCCCATACCAGGCGTCTGACGCAGCACAAGCATTCGGGACAACGGAAAACGAATCGGCCAGGCTGCGCAGGATATTGGCGCAGGCAGCTCCGGGGAAAACGAGATATACTTTGCCAGTCTTAACTGTCAGGGGCAGAATCTCAGTGTTTCCAACATTGAACATTATAATGCCCGAAGATCCCTCAAAAGAAAATGGATCGACTCTCACTCCACACTCAATCCTCGAGTGGGAGATCTGCTACAAAGTCATGGACCAACCTTTTATCAATGAGCAAGTCAAGACGATCGAATGGCGAAATGCGATGGTGAACAGGCGCTGAGGAGCCTCAGAGTGTGGAAACTTCTTTGGTCAGTCACCGAAACAATCTATTATCGTCGTCCGGCACTTCAATTCGCATGGACTCATGGACTGTTTCGTCCAAATACACCTAGTTCGTTAGCACCGGCACGACCTGTCGCTATCCGAACCTTGGTCGTGCAGGTATATTCTACCTGAGTAGCTTTTGCAGCGCTGTTTTTCTATGGCAGATTGAAGTGGTCTTGGGCAATGTCAACGCTGATTTCAAGCTGGGATTGAAGTTGCCGAGTCCTTTCCGATACCCCGTTGCCATTCGACCCGATTGAAAGATAGCCGCTTGAGGTTCAACGCATTTGGTTCCCCGCATGGGGTTCTTGAGGGTGTTCGTCATGCGAGGAGGAAACGTGGAGATACCGGACTCCGCCTCGGTCAATAGCCGGGGCATGCCATATAGAAGGCTTCAACTGTCGTTGCGGCTGTCCTGAGGCGCTCCTTTCCTGATCTTGACAGTCAGAACGAACAATGGCCACAAAAACCGTCCCAGAGGCATTGACAGCGCCAACACAAGGATTTGAGGGAGCTCCGCCATTCCCAGACGATGTGCCTACAGCGCCTCTTCTCCGACTTTCCCTGGCTAGGTTGATCGACCGCGACCCCGACGAAGTCGACCGCTTCGGTCGAGCCTGTGAGGACCTTGGCTTTTTCTATCTCGACTTGACTGGCCCAGGTGACTCGCTGTTGGCCGATGCAGATCAGTTATTTAGGGTGGGCGCCGAGTTGTTCGATTTACCTCTCAAGGAAAAGAAGAAATATGACTTCATGCACAAGCAGTCATACTTCGGGTACAAAGGCTATGGCGCAAATGTTGTCGACAGGAGCGGCAACCTGGACCGCAACGAGTTTTACAATGTAAGCTTACCGGCAAAATTGTCGTTCGCGGCTGACAGCGTGCAAACAGGTATCGAAGGACGACATCTTTGGAGTATCAGACCCGTGGCCTGCTCCTGTCGTCCTCGACTCCAGGCGGGCGCTGTTGAAATCATTCATTGGCTCCGCCCACGGCATTGTCACTTTGGTGCTCCAGCTGCTCAATGACCGTCTGAACCTGCCACCCAACACACTACAAGACATGCACCGCCTCGAAGGTCAATCTGGCGACCAGGTTCGGTTCATCAAAGCACCACCGCAGCCCTTGGATGATCGAAGAACTTCACTGGGCGAACATAGTGATTTTGGAAGCGTGACTGTCCTCTTCAATCGCCTGGGTGGCTTGCAGGTGCTCCCACCAGGACGTGATGCACAATGGTGCTACGTAAAGCCACTACTCAACCATGCCATCATCAATCTGGGAGACGCCATGGTCAAATTCACTAACGGGCTTTTGAGATCAAACATCCACCGTGTCGTGGCGCCGCCAGGGGAACAAGCAGACCACACACGATACTCTCTTGTCTATTTCAATCGACCAGAAAACGATGTTTTGCTCAAGAGGCTGGATGGAAGTGACAGGATCCCTCCTCTTGAGAAAGACGAGGTGGAAGAGGGTATTAACAGCAAAGATTGGATCATCCGACGCGCCCTGGGCCACCGCATTGCACTTTTCGGCAAGGATGCCTTGAACTATGACAGGATCAGGGGGACGGAGGAACAGAGCCAACGTGCATACCTTTGATATGGTGCATTGTCCACCAAGTCCGAGGATTGATCCATCCAAAACTTCTACGTAGCCGAAGTACCAGTCTTTACGTCGACGAAGAACTGTAGGTATATCAATCAACCTACCTGTATCCTGAAGCACTGTACAGTACATGCGCTTCTTGACTCGCAGCCTGATCCGGTGGCAGTACTAATGGTGAATCGAGAGTCTGTCTGACAGCGGGGTTCCCCATAATTGCTGGAGAAACCGCGGTGACGTTGCGCGGTCAGACGGGCACCGCACCGAATGTGGTTTGGTTCATTTGGCCCACAGTGGACAATTTTCACCGATATTTTCTGCCAGACCCTTTTTACAATTGTCCAGAGTAACACAAGAGACATATTCGCTATTCACCCGTTATTGCTGCCTTGTCTCTTGTTGTCTGTTCATCAATTGTCGCCGTCGACGTCGTTGCCATTTACCTGGAACTCGTCTGTCTATCCTCCGTCTTCATGATCTGTCAAGCCATCTGTCTCTGCGGCCATGCTAGCCCCGCCACATCGTCGGCCTGCTTTGCCGACAACCATCTCAATGCCTTCTCTTCCTCCCAAATCTGTTAGACCTCAACCGATACAACGAAGATCGACCCTGAAGCGATCCCTTGATGAGGCCGGTATCATGGATGCCCCCTCAAGCCCCTCGAAACGATCCAGAGTGACATTTGACTCCGACGTCGAAATTGTCTCGGCTGATGACGACGAAGACCTCGATCCTCTAGTTGTCAAGGAACAGGTGCGCAGAGCTATTGAGCGACATCGCAACAAGGACGACGAAGCGTACGAACGGATCAAGGGTTACTTCACCACGTCACATGAAAAGCCAAATGCTTCATCAACCAAAGCCCTCAGGGTTCATCTGCAAGCGCTTCTGGCGAACGTGACTGCCCTTACCAAAGACTGCAGTGGCTTGGTGAATGCCATCCTCTATAGTGAATGGATTGGAAGAGATGAAGCATATTATGCTCTATTCGTCAGATACCTCAACAATCTGGCCGCGGCACAGCGAGGATATCAGCAGAAAATTATGTCAGTTTTGGTGGATTTACTTGGGCCACAGAAGACCAGACGCATAGCCGGCTCAAAACCGGTCAGACAACGAACGATCCATCGAAGAGCGTTGCAGGCCATCCAACATATCACTGTCAACGTCCCATCATCACCGGCAGCTCTTGCTGATCGAGTCTCATCACGGCTAGAGTTCGATTTTCGGAAGCCGGAGGAGAGAATGACATACATCCGAAACTTCATGGAAATGATCAAATATGTTCCCGAACTCACCTCCGAGATCCTCACCTGTGTTCTGAAGGAGCTTATCAAGCTGGATGTGTCCGTCCAAGTTGACCTGGACGAAGAGGAGGACGATGCCGAGGACGACATCCTGAATCACATGTCATCATCGCAGACATTGGTTCCTTCACAGGACATGCTCAAGGGCAACCTTGAGGAGGAGGATGATGATGATGATGTGAGCACGACCGATGAATCCGACATCGAGGAAGACGAAGATGTCGATCCAGCGACAGCTCGTCGGCAGAAATTGAAGGACGACATTAAACAGGTCGACATGATTATGGACATCTTGTTCCAGTATTATGCCAAACTCACAGCATCGACCCTGCTTCAGGATCGTGATACTGCTGTTGACCAACTCATCAACCAGTTCCACACTCATATCCTACCGACATACCGTGCTCGTCACCCGCAGTTTCTGGTCTTCCACTTTGCCCAGTCAGATCCTATCATCGTCGACCGCTTCGTCACCTCCTGCGTCGCCGTACTTGTCAACAAACGAGCACCTCATCTCCTACGCCACAGTGCCGCAGCTTACTTCTCTGGCTTTGTCGGTCGTGGCGCGCACGTCTCTCCACAGGTCGTCCAGGACTGTCTGAGCATCCTCACTGAGCATTTGGACACTCTGCGCAAGGCGTACGAGCCAGGATGTCGCGGACCAGACCTGAAACGATACGGCGACTTCTACGCCGCGTTCCAGGCCATTCTCTATATCTTCTGCTTCCGGTGGCGGGATATTGCGTCTGCCAGTTCCGACGACGACTCCGAGTTCGACGTCGATGAGGAGGAAGTGGAGACGTATCATTTCTCCGAGTCCTTGCGTGAGGCTCTGCGAGCGGCGATCTATTCACCCCTCAACCCGCTGCGTGTGTGTACACCGGTCATCGTCGAACAGTTCGCAAAACTTACCCACGCGCTCCAGCTCTTCTACGTCTACCCTAAGCTCGAAGAAAACAGACATGTTCGAGTGACAAGCCATTGGCGGGACAACATGTCCGGCTTGGAGATCAGCAACCCGGATCGGGACCTGAGCTGGGTCGGAGACAATGGCATGCTCGAAGGTTATTTCCCGTACGACCCGTACCACCTCCCTATCAGCAAGCATTGGATCGAGGGCGACTATGTTGAATGGAAGGGCATCCCTGGAGACGAAGCGGACGAGACTGATTCCGAAGAAGACACCGGTATGGATTTCGACGACATGGACAGGGCCGAGCACGGGAATGATGCCGAGCTCCTCGGCGACGAATCTGACGACGAATGATTTTTTTTCCCCAGGCCAAATGGTTGGTCTCACTCAGCAACGTGCATAGCCATCGGTGTCGGGATTTGTGCTGTTGTTCATATTCTTGGTGCGTTCAAGCGAGAGCTCGGAGAAAAAGTTTGCATACAAAAAGCGGAGGACATCTAGAATAGAAGAGAAGAAGCTGGGATGATTGCACAGGATAGTGATGGCCTGAATAAGACAAGAGAAAGACAACTATTCTAGCATTGACGCTTACGGAGATAATGAGATTTTATGCCTTTCAATTGAGAGTCATCTATAATGTCAACAGTTATGCAGTCGAGCGTGGCTGTTCGCATCCTTCCCTTTCAGCCTTTCAGCAAGGAACTTGATAGATCCAGAACAGCGACCAGGACTGATCACTGTCCACTGATCACCATCAACTATCCACTATACACTCACGGGGCGGACCTCTGGCAAACATCCAACCTCCGTACAGTATTCGTGTATAGCTAGCCAGGTAGGTAGGTAGATAGGCATCTAGGTATGTAGGTAGGTGTGTAAGATAGCTACTACTGCACCAATCTCACTCCTATGGCAACTCTCTACCGCCTTTAATTCAACCGTCTCTACCACCTCTCTCCGAGCCGCAAATGGAAGGCAAGGCAATGTAATGCAACGCACTTGTCACATCATACCTACAACTTCTTCTCCGCGGCCAGCTGTGCAAATCTCGCCTTGGTCTTCTCCGCCACGCCCCGCTCGTCCCAAATATACGTGACGCTAGGCTGCTTGACGACCTGCGCCGCCCAGGCCTTGAATTTGGGCGCCTGTTCGTCGAGGAGGGCGTCGAGTTTCGGACTGAGGAGGCCGTACTGGGGTTTGAGAAACGCTAGGAGCCGAAGGACGAAAGGACCGGTTTGGACCTAGTTGTTTTGATACTTGTCAGGTTTCGACTGAAGACCATTGTATTGGGCTTGGGTTTGGGTATTGGAATGGGGAGGAATAGTATATCCGATCGACTTAACGACTTAACACCAAGAGAAAGACGGGTATATCTGTCTTTCTCTCTTTGGGTCGACTCACCTCAGCAAGAGTAAAATGCTCATTCCCTCCAAAATAGGGCCCCTTCGTCGTATCCCAAGTGAACAGGGGCTCGACTTCCTTGATGACCGCACGAAGCAGTTCCTCTGCAGAGGCATCTTTCTCGGAATCGGTCTGGGCGCGTACGCCGCCAAAGAGATGTGGTAGGACTTTCGTGATGAACGCGTCGACGAAGAACGCGACGCGGGCCCGGAAAAGGGCGCTAGACACGGAGGTCGTTGGTGGGAGTAGCTGGGCTGGGTGGGCGTCGGCCAGGAATTGAGTGACGACGGCCGACTCGGTGATGATGTGGCCGTCGTAGTTGATGCTAGGGACAAGACCGCGCTGGAATAGAACGAAAAGAGGAAGAGGAACGTTAGTATCATCCTTGGGATAACAATAATGGAGATATCAAAAGATTGCTGGAAGGGCGTGAGGAGTATAACAGAGAGGGAGGCGTATGTTAAGCATGGGTGAGGAGCGGAGTTGTCTTTCGAACTGTGTGTTGTGATATTCATCCGTAGATGCCTATAGAAAAAGGGGACAAAGGGCACTGAGTAGATCAGACAGGGACAGTCTCTCTCAAGGTGGGTATCATGGTCTCATATTCGAAGGCTCCATGAGATATTCTGGGTGTCGGGCGTGAGTGAGAAAGATGCTTGAAGATGACATACCGGATTGATCTTCAAATACCACGCCTCACGAGGCTTGTCCAACGGAATGATCTCCTCCTTGTATGGAAGACCCAGCTCTTTCAGGGCGATGTGGGCTCGGTGTGCCCATGGACATCCGTGGTTCGTGTAGAGGATGATCTCGGGGTTTGAGCCACCACCACCACCATTAGTCGTAGTTCCGTTGGAAGCCATTGTAGGTTAGTTGTTATAGGTGGGATAGTGGTTTCGTGATGAGGTGTTCAAAGATGATGAAGCCGTCTCTCTGAGCGTTGAGGCTGATGGGAGGGATGCTAGTACTTATATCTTGTATTGCGTCGATGTGATGCTAGTGACAATGCCAGAGCCAATGCAGAGCTGGCTCGGAGTTTACCTGAGTAGTAGTAGTAGCGGTGATAACAAGGACTGTAGCATTGATAGGAGGAGGAACAGCAATATACTAGTACTATATCTCTGGGGAATGGACATTGGCTGCTGGCCGGTTGTGCTATATTCTCCAAGTATTGCGATCACGATCACATACTATGAATCGGATTTGTCATCTCACCGGTTGACCATGCGCAATATCGGTCGTTCATTCATCCGAGGGCGGCGGTCGAAGATGGGGTCGGGCAAACATGAGTACACGCGGGGCCGGTGTCTGATCAAGCACTTTCATCCAAGTCCTCCAATGCTGGATTGATGGCCCAGTGATGCAGCGGTCCGTATCAACATGTTGGCTCGACGTGGGGATTTTCGTCCGTCGCTGACATGCGACGAGGCTCTGCACTTCTGTCAAAATGCTCCTCCGTAGTAGTTTTGTTAAGGGTATTACTGCGGAGTATGGCTCCACTGAAGAGAAGTCGCACTATTCCGAAAGAAGCAGGCGGTGAAAACTGTAGAAGGATTTCTTGCGACGGCTCCTGGAAAATAGTTTGGTAGTGAGAGCAATTGTAGACCACTTTGTCTGGTCTTTTCAATACCTGTGCTGGCACCGTTACTTCCTGCTCTAAGAGCCTCGACTCTCCTACTCTTCCATCTGCTGTTCTTGTCCAGTCCGTTCTTGTTGCAGTGCAACACAAGCCGCCAAAATGCGAGCCAAACGCAGTAAAAAGTATCGGAAGATCATGTCGTCTTACCAGATGACCTTCTCCTTCCGCGAACCATACCAGGTCCTCCTCGACTCGCATTTCCTGAAAGCCTGTCATCACTTCCACATGCCACTACAAAAGTACCTGGAAAACACCCTGCACGGAGAATGCAAATTGTTCATGACGAAGTGCACGTTGGCGAAGATCATGGACGACTTTGAGAAGCAGAAGCAAAAGCAGAAGGACAGATCGAAAGAGGAAGAAGGCAAACGACCACGAGGACCTTGGAGACCGGAATTTCTTCCTCCGCCTACAGAAGTGCCCTTGCGGCATTGTAAGCATAAAAACGAAGAGGGTGAAGAGCTGGGAATCGTCAGCGAAGCCCGGTGTCTACTGGACCTGCTGGCAGGCCAGCCGCACGGGAACGAGCAGGCGAAGAACAAGCAACATTACATCCTGGCAACGGCCGAGGCGGATGAACATGAACGAAAAGCCAGGGGATTTCTGGATGTGCGAGAACGCGCTAGACTGATCCCCGGCGTGCCAATCGTTTATGTCAAGCGGAGCGTCATGATCCTTGAAGAATTGAGTGGCGCAAGTGAGAACGTGAGACGGAAAGGCGAAAAAGAGAAACTGGCACATGGACTGCTGGGGGTGGGAGACAGAAAGAGGAAGAGGGGCGATGGAGAGGAAGATAGTGACGACGAGTTGGATCTGGGAGAGCAAGAGGGTGGACCTAAGGTTCGGGGACTGAAGAGGGCTAAAGGCCCCAATCCTCTGAGTGTTAAGAAGAAAAAGGCCAAAGGTCCAACCCAAACAGGTGCAAATGGCACAGGCACGGGTGCCTCAGAGCAAGAATCTCAATCAAAACGGAAGCGGAGGAGGAAACATGGCGCGAACAAGTCGGCCGACGAGACGGGAGGTCCGCCTGAGCAGGGTCACACAGCGTCTGCCACTGATTCGGAAGCAGTGTGACAGACTTGCACTTCTTCGAGTCTTTCAAGTATGCAACTCCGGCGTGAGTTTTGAATTGAGTTAATCATGAACCAAATGATACCCGATACGCAAGGAATTGAGATTCATTTTCATTTCGACAGCCTCCTTTTCTCACATTACACGTTACTTGTTATATCGCTAGAGTTTCCATCCTTCTCGAGTAGCTCGATCAAGCCTTAGCCAGAAACGCTTTTCCGTAGACGAACAGTCCCGTCGCAGCCAATACACTCAGGCCTGCGGGGAGCGGTTTGCCTGTCTTGATTGCACGCGGGATGCTGCTGCCGGCGAGGAGGACCGATGCCAGAAGAGCGAGCTCGACACCGTAGGGCTGATTTTTGGAGATGCGATAGCCTCCGAGGCCATACTATTTGCCCGAGATAGAATGTCAGTTATCGCGCGCATGTCAAGACTTGTGTCGCCTGCGCCATGACGGTATCGATAGTCATGGGACGGGACTTTGGGGGTGATCGCCATTAAACATACCAATAAACCGACTGTCAAGCCTGCTGCGATGCTGGGAACGGACCCCGTTCGTACGTAGCCCGTCACTCCACCAATAGAGGTGAGTGCGGAGAGGATGTATGCTGGTGTTTCGGAGGCCTAGACGACAGTTCTGGTGTTAGCTGCTGAGGGGTGGGATGGGTAGATTGCAGACACACACCATGATGCAAGATGTTTCGCAGAGTAGAGTATTTGGTAGAGAGGATATTAGTTGCTGGTGATCGAAGAAGAGGAGATACTGGGAATGGTGTCAAGTTGTTGTTGGACTGCGCGATGATGCCATTCGAAGACGAAAGACTGCCAATGTGAGACAAGGCTGAACCGCGGAGCTCGGAGTTGTATGTTCCGCTGCCCGACCGCTCAGGCTGCGTCTCGGCTTGGCAACACGTTGCTTCAATCATGAACATGTACTGTTCTCCGCGATTGAATGCCTCTACAAGACCGACGAACTAGAAACCTACACTCACACGATTCGAAAATTGCCTCTGGACTGGATCCTACACCGCGGTGAGCTGCTGCAGAGGTCTTTGTAGGAAATATCAGCATTCCGTCCGGTCCTCGCCATGGCCAGAAAGCCCGCCTCCCATTCCGCGGCCTCGAAGACGAACACTCCCGTGGCCGCGGCCAAACCACCTCCAGCAGCACGAACAGTGTCGGGTGCCATATCAACTCCTCCTGCGGTCGCCGGAAAGCCCATACCCCAAAGCACGCTGTCACCCCGATCGTCGGCGCAGGAAATCATTGTCCATGTCTGGAACAGATACTTGCAAGACACCCCGTCACGAACGATGCTGCTGGATGTCTTCATGTCATTCCTCGTTGCTGTCGGAGCCGTACAGTTTCTGTATTGCGTCGTAGCGGGCAACTATGTATGTGATCACTGTTGCAGTTGGGTGTATTCAACAGAGACTAACATGACCACCAGCCGTTCAACGCTTTCCTATCCGGATTCTCCGCCGCCGTGGGCCAGTTCGTCCTAACAGCGTCCTTGAGAATGCAGACATCAGAGCGACCTCCTTCAGGAGCATCGGCGGCCGCGAAGAAGAGCACCAGCAAGACTGTGGACGGCGTGACCGGCGAGATAGTGGAAGACGGGAAGGTCAGCTCCGAAAGAGCGTTTGCGGACTATGTCTTTGGCAGTCTGATCCTGCATGGTTTCTGCGTCAATTTCATCAACTAGACGAAGTTTCTATGCGGTGCTTGATGCATCCATGGAAGGCGGTGGATCGCTGGATTTCTGGCTCAAGCCAACATGGAGGACGTTTGCGTTACCGTTCATGCTCTGCCTGACACGGGTTAGGCCATTCGCAAGATGTCACTCTTCAAAAGCATATTCGGAACGGAAAGGACACACTACGTTTGCAAATGGGCACGGTCTGCGATACGTCTGCGATACAGCACTGCTGAAAAGTGCTACTTTCAGTTTGCCAACCGGCCCTATTTCACGCAAAGCTTGATTCAGCGATACCCCTGCCTTCTCTTCGATCGTGGAGATCTGCATTTGGCAGGGAGCCATTAGTTGATGCATCTCCAACACAATCACCTTGTGGCACTATATTGTAACATAGACAAAAGCTCAAGACAACTTGGTCATTCTGGACAGCTCCAGCGATGAGGCATTCGGGTCAGAAATCATTTCGTCTGACAGCCGCACTCAGCAGGATTTCCGCCAACGGGGCTGTCAGACAGCCATATTTGGCATCCGCCCCTTTTCTCATGTTTTCCACCTGTTCAATTGTCCTCTATATCGAAGTTTGCGCACAACGGTGGCCATTGCACCAGCAGATGCATGCAAATTTACGATTTCAGCATCTCGCACTGCGGCTCAAAATGACTCAATCCTCCGAAATGGTAGAACAACTTGATAGAGGCAGGGGTATCACATGAAACGCGCATCAGCAGCAACTGTTTCAAGATGCGCCCGGCCACAGATATCAGGGAGTATAGCTACTATGTGGTTCACATTCTGCTGCCTTTTATTCTCCTTTCCATCTCGATTTTGCGCTGAACGCTGCCAAGATGAAGAACAAGCTGATCCTAACGACGGCGCTCTCGATCCTTGTGTCTACTGTTTCCAGTTCATACCCCAAACCAGACCAGCAGCCCCTCGTATCCGGCAATGATCTACTCGACCTGCAATTACCCATGGCAGGTGGTGGTGTCACATCCCAGCCTGATGAAGAGCAGGCACCAGAACTCCATGTCGACTCTTCAGTCGGCGATGCTTCGAAAGCGCCTGAGATTCATTCCAACTTCCCAGGCGGCGAGGCTGAGGAACTTGGTCGATGGTCATATGAACCAGTCTGTACAGACTATTTTGACGTTCTGAAGGGACCACTATGCGTTTTCACAAACTCCAGTTTCAGCAATGGCCGGGGAATATCCATCTTTACCACTCCAACCATTGCCGCTGAGTTCGCTGCTCTCCTGCCGTTCCAGGACCCAACGGCCCTATCTAGTCGAGGAATCAATCCGCCATCCGAGACGGACAGGCCGTGGCAGACCAAATCCATTCCTGGGAAAGGGATAGGCATGCTCGCGAAACACCAGCTGCAACGTGGAGACCTGGTGGCGGCATACACGCCGTATCTGCTTGCACATATGGAGAACCTCCTGTCCACGACGGACAGGGAGAGGTACCTACGCATCGCGATCGAACAGCTCCCCGAGCCGAGCAAGGCCCACTATCTCAGCTTGGCGACCATCTATGGCGATCTCAATGTGGTCATGCAGGACGTGGTGAAAGCGAATGCGTTCGAGATGCAAGTCGGGGGCCAGATGCATTTGGCGGTGTTCCCGGAGTCCTCAAGAATCAATCATGCATGTGCGCCAAAGTAAGTCCGACTTGTTTACATAGGGCCATCGATATTAGACGCGGATGAGACTACATGTCTGCGGACTGCTCTACTGCGAGTTAAGTGAGATATGAGATGAGACACGGAACTAATAGCCATTGCTTTAGTTCACAATACCATCTCGATCCAACTATGCTGACGCACTACGTCTACGCCGCCCGAGCCATTTCGCCCAATGAGGAAATCACCATCGCCTACGCGCCGCCACTGTCTTTGTTTGCTGAGCGGCAGGACTATCTACTCTCCACGTTCCACTTCCAATGCAGCTGCTCGCGATGCCAGCACGGCCTGGCAGGCGACAAGGCTGTCTCTGATATCCTTGCACTTCAGTGGGCTCTGGGCAACTGGGACGTCAATTCAACCGCCAGCGTGAGGAAGGCTGAGATGCTGGTTCGGCTGTACAAGGAGGAAGGCCTGGAGGCGTTCATCGACACCGCTTATGGCCACGCGGCCTTCACTTACAACGCTGTGGGAAGTCCTAGGGGAGCGAAGAAATATGCAAAGCTTGCTGCGGAGGCTGCTGTGCTCAAGTACGGCCATGCGGCACCGGGGCTGGAGACGTGGAACGAGTTGATGCATGACCCGGAGCGGCATTCGAGTTGGAGGCGGAGGAAGGATGGTTGAATTATAGCTATGCAGTAGTCGGGATATTGACACTGTGACTGGACATAAGAAGTGCGCAGCAAAACGGATTTGACTAGACCTGCTCGACTCGTGCTATACGAGCGAACGACAACAGAACACAAGTTTTGGATGACTCGAGAGTAGTTACATCCAGACGCCCGAGATGGACGGTTTGCAAGTATATCTGTCAGCTACCTCCGAGGGAACAGAGACGTTTAACTGTGACGGTCATGTCGAGGGCCATTGCCGTACTACATCGTCCACCACTGCAGGAACCAAGATTGTTCGTTTCAATGCAGTGTGTCCGGTCCTTTTGTCACAGTGACAGTGGTGTGGTTCGCTCATCAGGCTGAGAAAACGGGCCGGAGCGGAGTCGAGAGCGGGCTGATGAGCCATGGTTGATTGGATGGGATTGGATGCATTTGATAGATGAGGAGCTGCGGGCGCACCCTACGCCCGCCTTTGAGCCTAACGAACCCTCCTCACTTTGGATGGCCTGATATATAACTCTGTACACACAGTACAAGCCATGCCAACAGACTAAAGTGTCCGATACTCTGGGATCCTCATCCTCCACCTCCTCCGTCCACGTCCACGTCTCCTCCTCTACGCTCCCTCCCCCAGGCACGGCGCATCTCATTATGAGAGCGCTCTTGTCCCTTCCATGCTCACCCAAGTGGCCCGAGTCTCCAGGCATGCTATAGCAATAGCAAGAGCAGGAGCACCACACCTCGAACCGGCGGAGATCCTCCATCTGTGCGGAGGATGTAGCCGATCCACGAGTGCGCGGGTGCGATCTGTCTCGCTGATCTCTCTCCCACTACGACTACCGCCACGACCTCATCATCACAACCACCACCACGGCCGTCAATCCCACCACCACTGCTGTATCCGTCAAGACAAACGCCCATCCAGCGTCCGGCCATTTTCCATCTCAGCCCGCCTCAACCCTCGCTACCTAATCTCCGAAGGCCGCACGACCAGCCCGCCGGACAAAGAACCAGAAGAACCAGCCTCGCTACGAGCGTCGCCATTCTACCTCGAGACGGGGTATTCGATATTCGCGAAACGACCGTCCCGACCATTCCCCCCGCCGTTCGTGTCCCTCCCGTCCGGCTCCTTTTCCGACCCTCTGACCACGCACAATGTCTCTCGCGGCCGCCGACCCTACGTCAACGGCGAGCCCGTCCGGGGAATCACGAACGGCGACGACGCCATCATCATCGCAGACAAGACCTTCCTAGCTGTCAACGACGGCGTGGGCGCATGGGCACTGAAAGACCGAGGTCACGCCGCTCTATGGTCACGTCTGATCGCGCACTTCTGGGCCCGCGAGGTCATGAAGACTTTTGAGAACGCCGATAGCAAGGGCGAGGACGTCGACCTGGCCGATCTGAACCCAATCCAGAATCTCGAGGTGGCTTATAACGAGACCAAAGCGGCGTTGAAAGGCGGCTTGTTGAAACCACAACAGGACGGAGACCAGCGTGACAATCAAAATCAAACAGCGGACGAGTCAAAGTCTCAAGAGTCTATTTCTGCCCGAACTTCCAAGGAGAAAGAGAAAGAGAAAGAAAAAGAGAAATCCGATGCGAACGATATCCTGGGGACCACCACAGCCTCGTCAGCACTCTTACACTACCGACGTCCTTCCTCTGGCTCTGCCTCTTCCAAATCACCAACACCCGTCATCCTCGCCACAACACTCGGCGACTGCAAAGTCCTCGTGATCCGCCCGTCGTCCAACACCGTACTGTACCACTCGACCGAGCAATGGCACTGGTTCGACTGTCCGCGCCAGCTGGGCACCAACTCGCCCGACACGCCGCTCGGCAACGCCGTGACCGACACGGTCGACATCCAAGTCGGCGACGTCGTGCTAGTCCTCAGCGACGGCGTCACCGACAACCTGTGGGAACACGAGATCTGCCACACCGTCAGCGCCAGCATGCAGAAGTGGCAGGCCGGCGACGACGACGCCAAGGACGGGCCCGTCTACGTCGCCCGCACCTTGATGAATGCTGCACGGGAGATCGCCCAGGATCCCAATGCCGAGTCGCCGTACATGGAGCGCGCGTTTGACGAAGGCATCGCCGCCGAGGGGGGGAAGTTGGATGACATCTCCGTCGTGCTGGGCGTGTGTCGCGCCAGAAACTTGAATCAAGAGATGTGAAAAGCGGGAACAGAGCAGAAAACAAAGGATTCTGTCGATTAAATCAGTCGCCGCAGCGATGAGCCAGTGTATCTCTGGATAAATGAATACGAGGATGGGATGGGGATGGCGGTACTTGAGGTCAATAATGCCCGCCCGCCTTTCTTCCAAAATTCTTGTTTATACAAGCGTGCAATCATGGTTTTTGTTTTTTTCGAAGGGCCCGATGTGATGCATGCCTGCAAGTCCTACATAGTCGGAATCCAGGGGAGTTTTATGAACAAGCAGCAGGCGCAGGATATGCATGTCATGTTAGGGATCATGGCAAGGGGAAAATGGGAATATAACGAACATGGAACACTGAACACATGATTTCTCACAGTTTGTTCTCGAAATGGTATCTCGATCTAAAATGTCTCTCCTAGTGACATGGCTGGCCAGCGACCTGCAGATGTCTGTCCATGTCTTGTCTGTCTGTCTGTCTCCATTAGGTATATGAACTGTCCCTCTGGTCTACAGCCCCTGAAGTCTGCTAGAGTCTTCGGCCTCCCCATCTGGCTGTTTATCGCCTCACCCCGAGTTGCTCGGTGAGACCTAAGCCCACGCAACTCTGAGTCATGAGAAACATCCTGAGAACATCACCGTCACAAGGCAGGGAGATTTGTAGCACTCCAAAACCCAAAACAGAAGGCGGATGCTCATCCGTCGAAGTGCGACGCCAACCTACGGAGCTCATCAGGGGGTGACCACGAAGACGACCGGCTCATCGGAGACCTCCAGGACTGAAGTCAAATAAAGATGACTGGACAGACACCCTGTTGCTAGGACTTGATTGTCTTCCTAGCTGACACTCTCATCCGCTGAATCGGAATCTGGTCGCTTCCAATCTGCCCAATCCTTCGCGTGGCGCCACATTTCGTCGACGGTAGGAGTTGGTAAAGTCCTGAAGCAAGATCCTCACCTTCCGCGGCTCATTCTGCTGCAGTTTGTCACTGATGCCTTTCATCAGTTTGTTGGCCTCGGCCGGTTTCAGCGTGCCAGCTGGGAGAAGTTGGAGAGTCCCTCCGACCCACTGCGCCGCGGCCTGCGGTTCTAGGTTGAACAAAGTGAGCAGAATGGCCGAAGCGTCGGGGAAGCAATCCTCTGGAAAGCTGAACATCATGCCGGTCAAGACTCGGTGCACCAGCTGCTGACCAACTGACTGGAGGACTTGTTTCACCGCAGCCCGGACTTCGGGCGGAGTGCTGGCTGTAGGCTCTCCATTTGGACCACTGAAATTGGATACAGGAGGGTTTTCGAAGCCGAAATCCAAAAAGTCCCTCAAAAACAGCAACGCCGCTTGGATCGGCTCCACGGACTGCAGCGTGAGCGCCGTCAAGGATGCTTGGACCATCGGCAGTGCCAGGTTCGACGTGATGGTCTTGACGGGATAGAATCGAACGGCATCTGAAGAGAGTCGGAAGAAATCCTCAATCACATCCGGGAGTTCGACGGGCTGGAGTTCTGACAAAATCTTGAAGAAGACGGTTGCTTGCTGAGCGAAGAATTGGAAGACATTTTCACTCGTTGCCTGGTCGACGAACTCTGCTCCGTACGAAAACTCCCGGATCACTGCGTCGGTGGCCCAGAGGAAACATCCCTGTCTCGATGCTTGGAATCCCTCGGCAATGCTCGTGGCCAATGTGGGGAGGAGGGGGGCAGTGGCGGTCCTGTAGGAGATGACCATGGTGCGATAGCATTTACAGACTCGTTCCAGGATCGGTATCGACCGTGTGAAATGCTTCGCAATGCCCGAAAGAGCGGGAAGGATTTCCTGACAATATTTGACTGCCGGATTCTCTTCTGATGGCGAAATATAAGGTTGAACGCAGTCGAAGAAAATAGTCAACAACCCTAGATAGTCAGCAACCACCTTTTCCGCATTCTCGTCCTTGGCATGGGAAGCGAAAGAAACCACTCGGTTCATGACAGGGTCACAGAACAATTTGAGAGTCTCGTAGACCTTGCCAGCCGGTTGCACAGCCACGACTGCCGCGACTCCTTCGGTGACCTCTTCTTGACTCGATGGCTTGAGCTTGTCGATGACACTTTCGTAGAACTGGTGGAGCTGTGGGATATGATCACCAAGCAGCTTTGAGCAGTCAGTCCCCAAGAACCGGAAAGCAAGGGCTGCCGCCTGCACGACTTCCGGAGAGTTGTGACTGAAACCGGAGATGACGTAGTTGAGCTGTGCCTCGAGTGTCTCGGGATGCTGAGCTGTCCATTCTGTGTAGCGGGCCAGGGCCATGATGGCTTGAAACTTCAACTTCTCGTGGTCGGGGACAGTGGTAAGAAGAGGGATGACTTGAGGCAGCACCGAGCCCTCTTCTGGACCAACCATGCGTCCCATCGCTCTCAGACTGAACAGAGGCGCCTCAAGTTCTTGCCAATGGGGTACGTTGGTACCCGAGGCCAGGGATGCATACTTCTGACCCCAACTCTGTATCAGCGCAAAGGCCTTGGTGAGACACTCAGTGACGCCAATAACCTCGCAGCAGTCTTTGAGCACGTCGCCCATGTTGTGTCTGAAGCTTCGGAATTTATCTTCTTGCTCCCGATCGCCATCGAAAAGATCCTGTTCATCGCCGTCCTCTGGTGTAGGGTATTCCAGATGCTTGATCATGATATCAACCAGCTTCGAGAACAGATCAGCCAGTGCGGCTCGAGCAGGCATATACTTTTCCAGCGTTATGCATTGCTTGAGCTCGTACCAGAACACAAAGGTGACAGAGATGGCTTCCCGATCTCGATCGCGCACACAGCATTCAAGCACGCATTCCACGAGCTCCCGGAATTCTGCGGGCATGCGCGCGATCAGGACCACCCAGGCCTCTCCAGCTTCTGCAAAGAGCCTCGTGATGCCTTTCATGAGATCGTGATCCTCCAGCGAGGCGGCTTGTAATATCATCGGTCTCAGATTCACAATTCGGGGATACAGGACTCGGATAACACTCTGTGATTCATCGACATCTCGGGTATCTCTGAACATGGTGCACAAGCAATCCACAGCAGCGTCGAAGGAGTCATTGTCGTTGAGCGCCTCGATAATCTCGTTGAGTAGTGGCGAGTTCACCACGTCGATGATGGGGATCTCTCGGAGCCAGGACGCTATACACGAATACAGTCGAGGGTTGTGGGCTGCTTGTGCTGTTTCAGGTCAGAATCGCAGCCTTTAGCGACGTTAAGGATGGTACTTACTTGACGACTGTGCGTAAGAAACCAAGAGATTCAGAACCTGAATAGCGTTATCCTCAAGGAGTTCCTTGGTCCTATCGGCAAGTTCCTCTTCCTAGATTGAAATGCGGTATTAGATTGTGATCGAAGGCCAGGATGGTGTTGCTGTCAAGCCGAACATCAAATGGTGCGTGGTCGAACATACTGAAAGGTTGATCTTGCGGCCTTCTGTTACCTCTTCTGGCAGGATTCGCAGGAAGTCGAGCAGACAATCTCCGCCATCACTACTAGTACCGACAGCCGATCCCACTGTGCTTAGAACGTCCTTCCAGGATGTCAACTGGATTGCCAGACGTGCAATACACACGCATAACTGTGTCCGGATCGGTCTTGGACCAGAGATATAAAGCTGGAGTAACGAAAGGAGGGAGTCTCGAAGGGGCGTGAGAGCGTCTTCTGGAAGTTGGTGAAGGTCGTAGGTGATCTAGTTCCGTCAGCAACCGCAGTCAGACCCTTCAAATGGTTGATGTACCTTTCCCTTCAACGTTGTTGCGGCAAACAATCTCGCTTCGACCGGTGCGGAAGTGTCCCGTAGAACGGCATGTGTAGTGTTCCATGCTTCGGACTGTGGGCACGATAAGTGTGTGTAGGAGAGACAGTCTTTCCCACCTACCGATTTCTGAAACTTCTCAAGGAACTCATGTGCTTCCGACTTCTCCTTATTGGCGACATTGCTTTGCATGGTTGCCAGCGCCGTGAGGACCGGCGCATAGCCACCGGCTGCATCTGTTCTCTCGGCCATGGTGTGATAGAGGGGGAAAGCGACGGGCTTGCAGCCGGGTGATCAGGGCAGGAAAGTCGTTGTCGTCATCCGGTGTTGAGCGACGGAGGCAGATATGAGGAACAAAAGAGGAAAGTCTCGTGGATGAATGTTGCAGATGAACCTTCTGTAAATGGTTGGTTGTATGGTCAGATGGCGGGTGTTTTGTGAATGACGCTCAGCCAGTTTGAAAGGACTGCGGTTTAATGGCGCCAAAACTTCGGCCACTTTTCTGTAGCAGCCTTCAACTTCCTCCGCATTTGATTTCCAGGCCGACAATTGCGACAAATTCAAACCGTCCACCACGATCAAGTGCCACGACCGTATCTTGATCCCCATACACGAATTACGCGCCTTCGTACCTGCCCGACAGAGGCCGCTCAATCAGTATCACACTAGCGACAGTCGAGAATCGAGTTCCCCTTCACAATGGCACCTGGTCGCGAAGGTGGAGGTGGTCGCAAAACCCTTCTTGCACCCATTCATTTTATCTTCAGCCTTCTACAAAAGCGCTCGACGGTGTCAATATGGCTTTACGAAAACCTGCACACGCGTATTGAGGGCAAAATCAGGGTAAGGAGCTTGGAGCGACTGCAGGAAACCAAACTGATTCGGAACAGGGTTTCGACGAGTTCATGAACCTCGTTATTGACGACGCGGTCGAGGTACAATTAGCTACGAGAGATGCCCCAGAAAAGAGACGGCAGCTTGGTAAGGGCAAAGCGAGACATAAATCACACGGGATCTTAAGGCTGACTCGATACAGGACAAATTTTACTCAAAGGAGACAACGTCTCGCTGATACAATCTTTGAGTTAAAAATATGATCTGAGCGTTATCCTACGAAAACATCCTCGCGCAATATTTTCCGAGTCGAGTGAGCGAAGTCTGAATTCTATGGATCAAAAGACACCTCTTGCGCAAGGCGAAGATGGCGTTTTTGTTGCCCTCAGTCGTCGGGCGTGACCACCCGATCAACCTTCCAGTCGTGCTCACTGACAGGAATGGTCTCGCCGGGCGGCAGCATCTGTTGACGAAGAGCAATCCCGACTATGGAGGAAACAATGAGTTGGCAAGGATCGAAGGAAGGGCGCTCGTGCTTACCTAGGTGTGGCATCTTCTGTCCAGCCGTGCTGGAATCAAGCGCGGTCTTATATGTTTGAAGATAGCGGTCATAGAATCCTCTGCCGTGGCCGAGACGACAATGACTCTGGTCAAAGGCAACCGACGGCATGAAGATGAGGTCGAGAATCGGGTAATGATCTTTACCTGTTTCAGGCGCATCCGATATACCAATTCCACCAAGAGCATTTCTCCTCCTTCCAACAGAGTCTTTGGGGATAGATGGAATTCCCCAAGCATCTGGTTTCAAAGAATGAAAGTCATCCTTGTCATGCAGCTGGAGCATGTCCATGATCCTCGACTTCGGAGTCTTTCCCGCATGGAGATAGGGAACAAAGACAGACTTTCCGTCATCGAAAGCTTGCAGCACGATATCACGAGTTGACACTTCTCTCCCCGGCATTGACAGAAAGATTGCTACAGATTTCGCATCCTGATATGCTGGCAATTGCAAGACATGCTTGGTGATGATTGTTGCTTTACCCATCAGCGTCGAAACTACTTTTGCTTTGCGAGGATCTCCTACACTGTCTTTCGATTTCCCCGGGCTCTAGTTTCTTGATTTCGTCTGCGACTCTCTTCCGTAGCTGGGCTTTCTGCTCGCTGAGAGCCGTAGTCGACATTACTCGCAACGAACATGTAAGAGATCTGGACTTCATCGAAGGTAGAAGTCGTCCGCAGGGAGGTTGCATCGGCACATGGTGGACCAGGAGGCCGGTCGAGTACGTTGAATGGAGACTTCTGGAGAGGTACAAGGGAACGCGATATGCTGATCTTTTTCTTGACGGTGAGTGTTGACGAGGATGATCTCTAGTGTATGCGGAAGCTATTTTTGCCATTTGGTAGTAGGGTTGAATCCGACAAGATCGTGCGGAGGACGAATCATAGCACACCGTTGTGGTGTCAGGGTGTGGCAGGAATCTCAGTCTAGAGACGAAACGACCAGCCCTAACTAAGCCTAATTACTGCGCCTGCGGCTTAGGTGGCCAACCCCCACCGCAGTCGGGCAATCGGGCAATCGGGCAACACTAAAGGGTAATAGAGCCCATTGGTACTAGTCCGAGTCGTGTGTCTGTCTGCCACACGCTCTCAGCCTCCGCGTTGTCTCCTACTCCGTTCAGGGTTAGAAAACAACCAGGTAAAACAGGACGGGATCAAAGACAGCCTGCCCTTGTGAAACATCAACCATCTTATACCATCACTCTCGCTACTTTTGCACCTGTGAGCACGGAGTTTGTCTCCCGTCACACCTTTCGCTTCGTACAACAAGATATGCAAACATGATTACCTCGATCAAGACAGTCGCCGCCTTTTCTTTGGGCCTGGCTGCCCTCGTGAGAGCGCAGTATGACACCGCGCTCGTAGGCACATGGACCACAAAGTCCAGGAAAGTCGTCACTGGCCCGGTGAGACTGCCTCTACCAAATGTTGACGATGACAAACATATACTGATGTTGTGTTGCTGCAGGGCTTCTACGATCCCGTCGCCGACAGATTAATCGAGCCTGAATTGACTGGCATCTCCTACTCCTTCACCGTGGATGGTTACTATGAGGAGGCTTACTACAGAGCCATTGCGAATCGTACGTTGCTCTCTCTCTCTTTGTGAAAAGCATACCTATCCGTCGTCCAGTCTAGTTCTCGACTTGCATACAGGGGAACCACACAAGGCTCAAGGCTAACGTTGCTTCCTGTACAGCTGCTACACCCCATTGTCCTTCTGCCGTTATGCAATGGCAACACGGCACCTATTCTCTCCCCGGCAATGGAAGTATTGTCCTGGAACCCTTTGCAGTTGACGGCCGTCAACTTACCTCCGCTCCGTGCTCCTACGACCGATCGATCTACGTCCGCTACGAACAGGCCGAGCTGTTCAAGTCTTACCAGGTCTCGACGGACAAGTTCCATAATGTGCCGCGGCTCGATCTCTACAAATTCGATGGCTCCCCAGTTCAGCCCATGTATCTGGTTGCCACCCCTCCGCAAATGCTGCCCACCCAGACGTTGAACCCTACATCTACCCCAAGCTCGACGGGCAAGAGCCGAGTGAAGAGGTCGGACGGAGGCGCGCAGGAGCCATTGATGCCCATGGACAAGGGATCTTTCTTCCTTCCCAAGGAGTACAATGCGGATCACTGGTGGTGGGCTGGCGTAGGGCTCACCGCTCTTGGGACGGTACTGTATATGCTTCCCACGTCTACCTAGACCTGCGAGCATACGAGTGACGCGTGCCATTGGATTCATATCACAGCAAGATATGGCTTTGCAGCGCTTGATGCTGTCTTCCTGCATTTTTCTTTCTCGGCGTTGGGGGCTCGAACAGGGGCTCTTCCTGTTCGTGGATCATGGAAACGGAGTAGACATTCTGGACGGCGTATCATAGGAAAGGGCGCTGAAGGGGGTTTCTTATTTCTGCGGCTGTTCTATGGCTGGAGTTTTGACCGGGACACAATAATTGGTATCAGGGATGGGTCCGAAACGAATGCTTCTTTCGAATATTGCGCGTGTCAGGGGAGTCACTTATGGCTTGATATTCAACATCGTGCTGTGTGGATGAAGATAGAGTGTCCATGCACATCTTATTTGCATGGGCAACAAAACAAGTCGGGACTCAACTCTTTGCGTGGTGCAAGAGCCATGATATACCGTATGTAGGTAGTTGTATCCAAAGAGCCATCGAGCTTTGGCCTGAGCAAACCCTTTCGCACCTTTTCCTGACGAGCTCATCATCCACAGCCCCAGCTATGTTGGTTCGGTCCGGGAGCTCCATGCACCAACAGGTCCCCCTACCATCTGAGGTACCAGCCGTTGGATGGGTGAGTACAGGTCTCGTGCTAATCCAACTGGACGCCTGGTTTAGAGAGCGCCTCGGGCGAGCTGGTGGCGATCTGGCGGCCATTCACGTTCCTGCATGGCACCAAGATGAAAAGATCAGTATGACTATGGACTCAGGTACTGCTTGTCGTGAGGGGGATTGGGATTTTTGGTCCAGGAAGGGCATGAAATGGTTCAGAGGCGTGACTGACTCGATAGAGGCATCGTATGTAGAGCTTTAGGAAAATGGCTCTTTAGTGGGAGCTGCCGTCTACTTTCCTCAGTGTCAAGCTGTCGATGTCAACGTCTTTAAGGACGCGCACCTAGCAACGATTGTCAGCGTTGGCTTCGATTTTCATATGGCTCCTTTCCTGTCAATAGAAGTAGAGTGGCCCGGGACCGTGGTTTAGGGTAGGGCAAAACGGAAGTGGGTGCTGTGTATCTTGTACCGTTGCACCCTTGGATGTTGGAAGGCAGGAGTGTATGATGGTATGCAAACACTGACATTGATGGCACGATTGTCGGCAAAGAAGTTGGGATCGATGCTCTTCCCACCAATACTAGTCCCGCAGGTCGGGCAGAACGTATGAGCGATTCTTTTCTGTCCGAACGTGTAAGTGGTCATGTCGTCAAACCCGCTCTCCCATGTGATGTTGGTTTCGAGCGGGTACACCATCAGATAGCCGTTGATGTGGCAGATGGAGCCTGTGTGAGCATAGTTAGTTGTCGAGAACGGTGTTTTTGAGCCCTCGGGTTTCGTTCGATGGGAAGAATGGCCCAAGGGATGGAAGGTCGTCAAAAATGCAGACCTGACTTACAATTGCAGCAGGTCACTGACCCATCCTCGACAGGAGGAGAGAGCTTCATGGAGAATCTGGTCGAGGGTCAGTCGTGCGTTGCTTTTGCTGACCTGGACATGATCGCGCTCTTACTTGACTTTCCCGCAGTGACACGAACCCTTGTAGGTCTTTGACTTTGGTTTCGTAGGACTGGAAACGTCGGACATTTTTGTATCTCGGTCTTCTCTCAACCGCTGGTACGTCGAAAGTTAGACGCTTCTTATGCAGATGATCACGGTGTAGTAGTATAGGTAGCGTTGATGTTCGTTGACCATCATATGCGAGTAAAGGCCAGTGTAGCACTCACCGTACTTTGTCCTACGTGGCCTCGTCGACAATAGGTTCTGTCCTTTTCGGTCGTGGACCGGTATCTTCAGAGCCCGCTCCGTCAAACGGATGAAATTTGGTCCGGTATCAAGAACACAACCTGCCGGATTTGGCCCCGATGGATAGCTGAGCAATGACCTGGATGCGTAGAGGCTATCGTGGTACTTCCACATCCGCATCAGGCAGCTGTTGAGCTTCAGTTCGTGCACGAGTTGACCGCCCAGAGATGTGAGTTCCGAGTTTCGTGAGGGAAGCAAGCAGCAGCAAGGGCAGCATGGCTTGCATTAGCCTCGCATTTCCCGTGGGGATTTGGCGGGGAAAGTGACGAGGCGATCAAGGCCAGATGCTTGTCAGCACAGAGGTTGTAGTCGAGTTTGACATCAAATTCCAGGCCAGATCTGGTCTTGCTATGCGGCCCAAACCCATCTGTAACCTGCCTGAACTGCTGACCAAAGACCCAGGCTGAGAACCTACCATCTTGCAAGAGCTTCCCACATCTAGTTCGTATGGCACAAGATTGAGTGAGCCTGGATCTGTGACCCAGCGAGCCTCCACAAAATGAATACATTCCCAAAGGGGAAAGTTGGGGAACAAAGACGCAGGATTTCAGTGTCACAGCGAAAGTCCAACAGCTTATCTTGTAACTTCCGCATGATACCAATGAGGACTCAGAACTCGCTGAGGCGATTGAGCAGCGGGATCGCGAGCCTGCAAGTCAGGTTCTTCCGCGGCTAAGCGAGCCTTGTTGCGCAGTCGGATGCGGCCGATGGGTGGTAGGACAAGATGGAGGATGTCCGGCAGATGTGATTGAAGCCCCCAGACCTCCTGAGCCGTCTCTTGCGAGCGAATACGGCTTTGAGGAGCCGGGAGATGGTTCGTTGTGGTCAAATGGTTGGCTCACGAAGAACACCATGCTCACGGCTTTCGAGTGTGCGCGTTGCCCATCAGCTAGCCAGCCAGGGCTTAGGAGGCTGAGCTTTTCAACCCCAGGCTCAAGGGCGTGACAAAGCGTGGGGAAAGACATTTCGCTCGAAGCACCCCGTATTTCAGGTCACTGTAGCTTGAACACTGCATCAATCGACTTTCGGAGCAAGGTAGAGACAGACCTAGGCAGAACCAGCTACAAATCTTCGACCTTCCTAGGTCAAATATCTACTGCACCTAAAGCCATAAGATCCCAACACCCCTAGGCGCCACTTTCAAGTGCAAAGGCAGCCTCCTAAGCTAAAGTTCTCCGTGGCTCGGTAGTACTAGTACTGTAGCTAAAGCGCGTGCCGTACGGGAAGAGGACGGGAAGTCAACACAGCGGCCATCCAGCACAAGGGCTCCTAACCTAGCTAGGTAGGGAGGTTTGGACCTTGCGAGAACAAAAGCCCAATGGTGGTGAGTCTCAAAGCTACGGACTTGGAAGACATCGTTCAGTTGAGCATTGACCCGGTCGACATTGGAGGAGCACGAACTGAGTTCGAGACGAGCAGCGCAGGCTGTGTCCGAATTGCAATCCATCAACACGATAGTATCAATGGGCGGGTGCTGCTACAACCGGACATTTCCCCCGTCTGCTATCTAGGTATGGAGGCTCTATACCTAGGCTCCTTAGGCTCACTTAGCAATGCTTTCCCCGCTTACTGCAAGCACCCAAGACGCTTGGAGCCGCCTAAGACATCGTGGTAGGTACCAAACTGGTGACTGATTGGCTTCCTGAGCCTCCTAAGCCTATAAGCCGCCTCGGCCCTTGTCCTGTCAACTTCGTGTTAGTAGGCCAAGGAGCCCCGCCATACCAGGATCATGCCTGATAAGTTAGGTGGGCAGCCCGCCAGGCTCCCAGGGTCCCGAGGATCCTCCTTATCCCAGCCTATTAGCCTAACAAGTCTCTGCTAAGCTCGGGCGGTGATGGGTCTTATTCGAGTCACCACTTCGTTTGGCTACACCACCACCCATCAACCCCTCCGTTCCCTCCCTCCCTCTTGTTGCTTCAAGCCATGCGAAACAATCCATAATCATGATTCCACATCCCATGTATCTTGCTCGCATTCTGCAAGCCCCCATATCCCCTGGTCATTAACTGGCCCAATGTACGCCGGCCGGCATGATCGATTGTGCATTACCAGATTGATTTGGTGAGAATTCCCATCATCTGCCATCTTGTGTGAACGAGGCGCAATTGCAACCTAGATCCATAGCCTGACTTCGCCGACATCCGTCCAGAAGCAATCACCACACGATCTCAAGGCCCCTAGGAGCCCTCGCCGTCATCGAACCCTTCCATTCTCGCCACAGGCCATGAGGAGCAGCAAAAGCAATCCGTCTTCTCTCCATTCTGCACCAGTCTCACCTGCAAAGGTCACCTGAACCTATTCAATCTGCGTACCTGCATTAAGGAAGGCCGCTCGACGCTTCTACCTGTATCCTGAGCAGCTCTTCACACGTCTCAAAAGGTGACTTGGTCTAGCCGGTGCCATCGGCACCCGTCGTCGTTGTCCAGAGTGTCGGGTTCTATCTGGAAGCTAGAAGCCGGTCATGTAGAGGAAGCACAGCCTGCGATATCAGCCACGGTCCAGTCACAGCAGGTCCTTACCACGAGTGTCATAGCACCCGTGTCTTTCAGGGCACATTGAAGACTGTTTGCTTCCTTGCGAGCACGAACGAGAGCCTTTCCGCTGCTGACGATTCCCTGTCATAATGCTACATACCTCATGATCGTCACCGGCAAGGCTGTCTGCCCCTCACCTATTGGGGAGGTCGAGTACTATGGCTATCACGATCCCAGATACAGACACGATTCCCAAAGAGAAACCGGACATGGGTGCACCGGAGGGATTCCATCAAGACCACGGGGTCGACCCTGATGGCAGCGGCAATGGCTCCGGAGAGCCACCGAAAAAGAGGCGGAAAGTTGCAAAGCCAAATCCAGACAAGAAGTTTGAGTGCAAGCACGAGGGCTGCGGCAAAAGTTACTCTCGGGCAGAACATCTCTACAGACATCAGCTCAATCGTAGGTTATCTGCGGAGGTCTTCGTGGTTCCGCCCTGCTGATCCGTGCATAGATACTCCAAAGACAATTTACCGCTGTGACTATCCTGAGTGTAGCAGGTATTTTGTGAGGCAAGATCTCTGCATCCGTCACAGGGAACGACATACGACTCATGGATCTCAGCTACATAAACGGGACTCTTTCGCGCAGAGCAGTCAAAATGCCCCTCAGGACCCTTCTAATCAACCCCAACAGTCGGCGAACTACCTCATGTCCGCACCGAGGATGAAAAGCCCCGAAGAAGAAGGGCGACCTGTTGCCGAGTCTGCCGGATACTCCTTGGGCGTAAACGGCATCAAGCAGCATGCTATCAATGCCAATAATACAGCGTCACCAACAAAAGCGTCGCCGGAGTCACGGTATACTGGCCAAACCCCGCGACCGGTCATTGCCAGGCCGGAGCCACCGTTGCACCGGACCACTAGTACGGGGAGTAATGCCTTGAGCCCGATCCAAGAACAAGAAGGCTCCTCATGGCCGCTGGCTGTACGCAGGCAGAGCTTCAACACAGAGGAGCCCAATAGAGCTCAGGTTCCATACGCCCAAACACAAGCAGGGAATAACACATCTGTCCCGGCCGTGCCTCTCTCTCCGGTTCGCCAATACTCATCGTCGTCTGCGGTCGCTTTCGGACAAGAGAAACCTCAGTCGAGCGGGAATATGGACCGGGCCGCCTCGAACACTTTTGTGCAGCCAGCCGACATGATATCTGCCTACACATCTGCGCCTTATCAACCATCGGGTGTATCTCGGACGGGTGATGATGCTTTCGCTGCGGCTGTATCTCATGGTCTAACCCAGGGGGATCCATACCCGTACTCTGTCATGAACGGGGGCATATCTGCTAGTGACCTCAGTGTCGCTTACGGATACTCTGTCTTTGGACTAGACGAGTACACCCAAACGCCTTATGCAGGCACAGATGATTTCACGCAATGGTTATTCAACGACAGTCATTCGGGATCCAAGAGCTTCTCGCCTCCGAATTATGTGCCGGGCTACAGTGGTCAGGAACAGCCACTGGTACAAGGCCCTCACATTCCCCAGAGTCCTACGTCGAGTACTAGTTATCCTGCAACCGCCGGGCACCATCCGATGAGCGTTACCAGTCTTCTCGATACAACTGCCTCCAGCCAATACATCATGTCCGAATCGAAACGTCAGGAACTCCTTGATCTCATGCAGACTCAATTCATTGAACGTCCCCATGATGCCGTCAAGAAACGGAAGGACTCTGTCTTCGAGGGTGATTTGGCCAGTGACGGCCATATTCTGAGCTTAAGGATGATGCATACTTACATCGGCTCTTATTGGTATCATCAACATGCACAACTACCTATCTTGCACAAGCCTACCTTTTCGGCAGATCGGACACCTAATTTGTTACTTCTCGCCGTCATCGCCATTGGGGCCGCAACGCTTGATAAAGCCTATGGCACGTCATTGACCGATTCCGCCGCGGAGTTTGCGAACTTTGTTGCCTGGCATATCAGATGGGAGATTGTACGGGATGCGGACTTCAGACCGCCAGCCAAGTTATGGGTGTTCCAGACTCTGTTGCTCATTGAAGTCTACGAGAAAATGTACGCAACTAGGGCCTTACACGAACGGGCCCATATCCACCATGATTCCACCTTGACTCTGATGCGGCGAGGGAGTTCCTTGTTGGGACGATCTGCTTCTGATTCACCACCGAGTCTTCGAGGCGAACAGGATAACGGCAGAATCTCAGTACCGTTCTCTGGGAATGAGTCCTCCAAAACCGAAGAGGCTTGGTATCGCTGGATTACAACAGAGGCCACCCGCCGCGCGGCGTTTGCAGCTTTTGTCATCGATTCTATCCATGCCACCATGTTCGGGCACGCTGCCAAAATGGTGGCGCATGAGATGCGTCTCCCTTTGCCGTGTGACGAAGGTCTCTGGTCAGCTGTCTCTGCCGCCGAGGCGGGTCGAGTACAGCTAGCATTGCAAACGAATGGAGTTAAACCCACCATGTTCTTGGACGGGCTGAAGAGGACGTTGAACGGTCAACGAGTGCGGACGAACTCTTTCGGTAGAACCATCATCATGGCAGGTCTATTGTCCGTCTCCTGGCACATGACGCAACGAGACCTACAGATCTCTTCGTTGGGACCTCGAACGGCAAATTCATTTGGAGGCCCTGATAAATGGAAAGGGGTTTTGCTACGAGCATTTGACAACTGGAAGCGGGATTTCGATGAGGCCCTCGCCGAAGCGACGCCTGCGCCGTCGTCGCCTTTGCGTACTCCTGCAATGCCACTTCACAGTCTCCTCCGGCCGGTTGATGACGAGAATATATTCGAGTCACGCACGGTTCTGCATCATCTCGCCCACATTGCCGCACATGTGGATGTCGTTGATTGTCAAGTGTTTGCGGGAGCCAATCGACTCCTCGGGCGCTCCATCACTCCCAAAGACTATAGCGTGATCAGGGAGAAGATCGAACGATGGGCGACTAAAGCCTCGGCCAGAGATGCCGCGTTCTACGCTCTCAAGTTCATTGTTCAGGTTCTGATACCCCGAGATGATGGCATAGACGGTGTCAACAGCCGATTATACGGTCACGCCAGTCCGATTTTGCCTCAAGCATTTGACCAAGATCAGTATATTGCTCGAGATGACTTCTTGTTGAATCGTCCTTGGGTCCTTTACATCTCGGCATTGGTGGTTTGGTGTTATGGGTTTGCTCTCGAGGGCCCAATCAAGCCTTCTCCGAGAGAAGAAGATTTCACCACCTACCGACAGAAAGAGCAAGACATGCGAGACTATCTTGAGCGAGTCGGTGGAGTTCGGGCGCCAGATGACCTCGAGAATGTCAAAGGCAAGAATCGATGCCTAGGCCTTTTGATGATATTGAAGGAGTCCTTTGAAAGCACAAGATGGGAATTGACCCATGAAGCCGCAGGATTGTTGGGTAATGCCTGTTTGAAACTCCGTGGCGTCGATTCTGATGTGTTTGCCGGCCCTGGATGTAACGATCTGGATTATTCCAACGGTAACGCGAGCGGTTATGCCAATGGGCACCTTTCTCGGCCAGGTCCTGCTCCTCAGCAGAGTCAGGACCATATGACCGTTGCGAGTGCCGCCAGGGTCTGAGGTCCAGACGCCCGTGCTTGTCTTGGATGCCACTCAATGCCGCGACAGCCTGACCACCGCTTTTCCCCTCGAGCCAAGAACGGCGCCTGTTGTACAATTGAACGAAATGTTCCCGACAGGTGATGGCCGGTGGATGGCATACCCACTCTTCCAAAAGCACTACAACATGTACCTCCGGCTTCAAAGCAACCATTCCGTACGGTGGCTTTATTTCTTTTGACGAATTGGGGACTTTTCTTGCATAACGATGTGATGATGAACTATATTCTGCTGATGTTGGACTTTTCAAGTGAAGATGTTCATGGTTTTCAATCCCGCATTTCCACGGACCTTAGCCCTTCCACGTCTTTTCCTGCCTTCGTCCAGCCTTGCCCACGCTGTGGCTGGACTTCAGGGGCCGGGAACCGTCGAGGGTCTGGTGGTTCTCCTTGCTTGATGACATGTACGCGGGGCATTTGTGGTTTTGTTTTTGCATGGTTCTCCAAGCTGGCGGCTATCTGATACCCCTATGTGTTGTGACTTATCTCACGTCTGGTTTTGCTTTGTTTTTGTGTTTGTTTTTGTTTTGGTTGTGGTTGTGGTTACGTTCAACATGCATTGGATTCGTGGATTCATCAATCTAGAATCCAGGGATGATTTTTTAGTCGGATTCTCTGTAGAGGTCTTCTACGCGGTTATGGTTAGGATCGTAGTTGTGACTGTCACGGTGGTCATCGCTCTGGTTCTACTCGTGGTTGCATCTCTCCTATCTATTTACTAATTGCATCAATGACATGTTCGAGGCAAAGTAGAGGTAGGTAACTTACTTTACCGAGCGAATATACTTCTTTTTATGTTTATAGTTTTCGTCCATATTATATTTTATACTGTACTCTGTACAGGCAACAGTACAAGGACAATGACAGAAACCTGTACCTAGAGGTGGCTGAATCTGCGGACCACAGTCATGACACTTTTCGTGTTCTTACTATCTGGTGCCGAGTAGATTGGATAACATAGATATATATACATGGAATATACAATGCCACCTATGAATCAACAGGTAGTATACAATTTTCGCCCGATAGTGACTCTTTGGCGGTCTTCAGATTTGAGATCCGAGACGGCCGCGCCTTATAACAATGACAATGGACGAGTTGCGAGTTGCGAGTTGTGAGTTATGACATGGTTGAAAAGTGACTTGCGGAGAAATTTTTTGGCCAGGACTCGTGGTCAAGTCGAGGACAGAATCACAATCCAATGTGGTTATAGTCCCGCGGTCATGGACGGGAACAATAGATTTGGGCCAGTCGGCTCTACCTGGATCCAGGCTGGATAGGGAGAATGGGGGCCGCAAACATCTCGACCTGACTGATGCGGGTAGGTAGGTAGGTAGCGGGATAGGTCAAGGTAATAAAGACATCATGCATGATGCGTTATGTCTGGCTCTCTTGGTACGTGGCTGTCCACAGAGAAAGAGAGAGTAAGAGAGGGAGGAGAGAATCTCGTAGAGACGAGGGCGGGGGAGCCAACGGGAGCGAGTAGGGAAACCAAGTCCAGTTTCCCGTGAAAGGCCATGAAGAGGAGGACTGACTTGAAGATCTCAGATGCCCGCGGCCTGATCGTGATCCATTGAAATGTTCAGTAGCGGCATGTGTGTTGACATCTCGTTGCAGCCCCTTCCGTCAGGATCCCCATGTACGTTAACGCACGAGTTTGGTTCTGACCTCCAGACACAAACACTCTAGTGAAATGGTGATCGGATCGGATTCGACGAGTATCCGGCTCGCTCAGACGATGGATGGCCAGGTTGTCCTGTCCTGGACAGTCAAGTGTTCCAACTCCCACCAACAAACCGATCAGTTGGTGCGTGGATACAGGATAGGAGTATTCGTTCGAAGGATCAGGTCGGGTCGGGTCGATAGAACTTGACTTGAATTGAGTTGAGTTGAGAAAACACCAGACAGCGTGGAGTTCACTGTCGGAACCCCCCGTTCAAACCACAGCCTTTCCATCCTCATTGTGGGCCACAAACCGTTCCGCACGGCTAATCAAGTCTTCATACACGGTCCAAGCGAGGGCGGAACTCAAAGCCTTCCTCCCCATCCTGAGTGCCAACCCGTCAAAGAAACTCTTGATGCCATCCTCCTTGAGCATCAGCCGGGTCGCTTTCACCATATTCCCATATTTCTGCGGCATGAGCTGCAACCTGGTCTTGACCGCGTCGAAAGGGTTCGTCAGCGCAGTGGCCAGCCCAGCCGCGAGCACGCCGCTGGAAGCATTGATCGTGGCGGAGGTAGCCCACGACGGACGGGGTTGACCAGCATCATCGTCTGCTCCTGATTTTAACCTCGCCCTGGCAGACAGTAGTTTATTCAGATCCTTCTTGCAAGCCTCGTAGAATAGAACGTACAGACCGGCATAAGGAGCGTCGCGGACCGCGGTGGCGCCAAACCCCGAAAAGAAGCCCTTCAGGCCCTCTGAAGCGTAGATCGACCGCGCGGCCGAGGCGATAGATTTGTATGCGTACAGATCGGATTCGTAGCGTACTTTGATCACCGTGACCGGCATGAGAACGAAGCCGGCGAAAACGCGCGCCGTGGCTCCCGTCAGTAGGTTTTGCGTGTTGGACAACGTCGGCAGGACTGAGCTGCTGGTGTGTGTGTGTCTGTTTCTGTCTCTGGTTCTCTTTGGCGGGGAGCCTTCCCGTGAGTCTGATCCTGATCCCGATCTTCCATCGTCCCCGGCAGGAAAAGAAGAAGATCCGGCATTGTTGTTGTTGTCGCTGCTGTTATTGGCAAGCACCTGCCGCAGAGAACTCAACGACGTGAAATACAGAGCGGATCCGAATCCCGTTCGCAGCGCCGAGGGAATTGTTCCGCGCCACAGGCCCGCGATGGGATGCGGACTCGAGAGGATCGACCGGAGGACGGGAAGGAGGGAGGACGTGCGGGATTGTTGGACCCGTGTTTTGAGAAGGTCGGCAGGTTGAAGAAGCACGGCGCTCCCAACGCCGGAGGTCAGCCCGGCCAGAAAGTGGAATGTCGGATGGGCTTTTCGGGACTTGGGCGGCTGGACAACGGTGGCATTGTTGGCGGCGCCATTGGACATGGTCTGCCTCTGGTCCGAAGAGTGTATGTGTCCGCGGTTGCGGAGCAGGCAGGAGATCGGCTGGGGTTAGAGGATGGAAGAGGCGGACGTGGACGTGGATGTGGACGTGGACGGTCGTGAAGGCGAGGAGAGTAGTCGAGGCCTGGAGAGCGGGCGGCGCATTGTCGACGCGATCAAGGGCTAACGAGGCCTCAACATATAGCGGCTCACCCTGGAGTATCGAGATTTCTAAGGGATGTAGGACTGGGTTAGGAACTGAAAGAGCGTGAACGAGTCAGACCTCTTGCGCTGTTTTGTTTTGGCGACTACGCACGTACGAGAGAAAAAAGTCCCAAGATGGAGAAGCTTCAAAGTTGTGATGAAGTCATTTCTAATAAATGATACGAAATCCAACTGCGCGCGTATTATGCCCCGATCGCAGCCGAATTACTAAACTGCCTACAACCTATGCCACACGCGGTTCCTAAAATGGGTTTATGCAAGGGCAGTAAGGTCACTCTCGTTAGGAACATGTATCGCTCGCCGGAGAACAGAACGAGCAGTGAGCCAGACAACTACTGCCATCCCACTACTCGCTAGGCTTCCTTCTGCAATACCACTGCAAGGCTCCGACACATCTATGGTCAGAGATAACCACAGCATACTTCAATGCGAGGGCGAGGGGCAGGACGAGGACAAACTGGGGCACAGCACACGGTTTGCACAAGTTGTACGGGGGCTTCAATCATGACCTGGGCATAAAATAGGGCGAGAGAGTGGTGGTATTCTGAATGTGATCTATTCACCGGACAATCGCCATGTTTGCTCGCCTTCATCTTACTCGTACATCCCTTCCCGTATCCACCCGGGCGTGCTGCTGAACAGGCCGACACGATGTATCAGGACATAGTAACCCGGGCTGACGGTGCCGCGACCGTACTCGTCTCTTTTTCTCTTCGCCGAGCGGCCAGTCTACTCTGCCTCGCGCCCGAGCAATCAGGCGGTATAGCCTTCAAACGACTCTTGGTGAATCGATGTGTTGGTTGGACTTCAGCTCAAGGTCGTTCTCTGCCTCACAACAGCTGAATGATCCCAAGCTCGTCGTACCAGGACACTGCATTGTGGCCGGTCGGCAAATCCGCTGAGCGCTTCTTAGCCATGTCAGATTGCTGAAGGCCTGGAGGCGCTGATGACAGCTGGGCCTGACCAGAGTGGCCTTCGTCTTATGATTATAATGTCCGCATGACAGGGCCTGTGCTGTTCTTCAAGAAGTGGCTCCATCCGTTTTCTCATATCCTTCCGTCTTCATGTCGTTCAATCCCAATTCTTCATTCTCTTCGTCCGTTCTTGTATATTCCTCCTCTCTGATTTGGGGGTCAACCTGGCCGGGATCTACGTTCTTCTGGACGTATGAGTTCGCCAACGGATCTTCCAAAGTGATCGTGTATGGGAACTCAGCCTTGATGGCCCGATCGAGCTTGCCGAAGAACTTATCCCATCTCTCTTTGCTTTCGGCGGCCATGGAATCACCCGGAGCAAGGTCTTCGCCGCCGACGTCGAATATCTGGTTGTGAAGCTGGTCGCGCACCTGTGTAAGCAAGCCTTCCACTGTTGTGAACCGCCCACCGAGCGTGCCCGGTTGTACCTCCAATCCAAGGTCATCACTCTTCAGGGCACAGGTCTCCGACTTGAGAATGTCCCGGGACAAATCCTCTACCGTCTTGACATCCAATGTTATCCGCCTGCCTTTCTCGGGAATCTCCCCGCCAGTCTTCACCTCGTTGGTCTTGTAGCCGCAGTAGTCACATACGGTGGCCATGATGATGACGTCCTTGAAATGAGGCACGTTGGTCTTCTTCATGTTGACTGTACACGGCTTCGAGCAAGCCGGGCATTCTGAGTGCAATTCATAGACCGTGTTGTCGATGATATCAACATCATCCATGCTCACGCCTTCTTTCTCCACCTCGTCGTCTGCAATCAATCCCAGCATCGCGTTTTGTGATCGGGTCCGAATATAATCCGTTCGGATGTATTTGTTGCCCTTATCTTCGGGGGAAGGTTCGATAAAGGAATTGCCAGAAGGGTCGTCCACGGAGACTGTGAACGGGAATGCTTCGCCTTGCAGCATCTTGTCCACCTTCTGAATAACTGCGTCAAGCGCGTTGTAAAGGTCCGGATTGGTTTGTTTCCTCTCTGGCTGGTCGTATTCCAGGTCGGTCTTGATTTTCGTGATCATACCCTCTAGGTTGGTCAATTGACCTGGCCCAGGCGGCATTTCGAGGTCAATGTCTTCGATCCGGAAAACACCCGTGTCGCTTCGGACAATCTGCCGTTGGAAATCTTCTGATTTATCTAGTCTGAAGCTGTATTTTGTTCCCGTCGGTTGGATCTCGCCTGCGCTCTTTACCGTCTTGTTTTCCCAACCGCAGTGCTCGCAGGAGAACGATTCGAGAAGGATGTCTTTGAAGTACGGGATTTTAATCGGCAGTATTCGTGTCACACCCTATGTAAATTAGCAAGAAGGACTTGTGTGCAAGCAGTGGAAGGGCTCATACCTCATCGCGACAGTTCATGCACAAGCTCTCAATCTCGTATACACCGGCCTCATTCGGGTCGACGTGGACCACTGAGGGAGTTCCGGTTGCTGCCATTTCTGTTGTGTGTATTTGTTGTGTTGTCGTTGTATTTTGGACTAGGTCTGTAAATGCTAGGTATGGATGAATCTTATAGGGGGGTCAGGAATCCCAAGATCTTTTTATTGAATCAAGGCTGAGATGTTGCGAGCGAAAGGCTTCTCTGGGCTTCTCGAATCACAAATTTCGAATGACGCAGAAGGTCGTCGGCCTGCCAAGCCACAGCCGGGGTTAGCCTGTCGGGAAGTGCGGCAGCTAATGCAACCTTATCGCTCCCAGAAACAGCGTCAAATATACCACTGGCACTGTGAGGCGGCAGGTGAACAACCGTCATGGAAGCAACATCATCAGTAAAGTGGTTAGAGAGTTGTTATGATAGCCACAAAGCGGTCCATGTGATTCTCATGGACGCTTCATCAAGTCCATCAAATTGAGAGTTGGGCGGCTTCTGTTCTGTGCACTCTTGTTCAGTAGTGCCTGTAATCCTTGACGATCTTTCCTCGCCTTCGCTCTCTTCTTGCTGCTGAGTTTGGTGGATTTGTCGGCGGAGTTATCGGTGGACAATTCATCGTGGACAGTTTCCTTCTCCTGGTCACCTGGAACAGAAGGCTGCAACCTCTTTTGGCCTCGAACAGGCGGCTTCAATCGTCTCGAGCCTCGAGCGTTCGGCTTGATTTCTGCGGTCTGCTTCGTGACTCTGTGGCATGCAGAGCATTTCAATGAGACGGTCTTTCTCCGAATCTTCTCATCTACCGTGGCCTGAGATGTGGTTGTGGTCCTCTGTGTTCCGAATCGCGTAGAGGCAGTCCATCCGGGCAATAACAAAGTGCCGCACGCTTCGCATACAGTTCGTGCTGCACGGGATGTTGTTCCATGAGACCTAGTATGCTCAAGTTCGCTGCTTTGGTACGATAGATGCCGCGAGGTCGATGGACTGGCGAGGAAAATCATTCGAGCTGAGCTTTGCAGGAATCTCGTCCGTACATCTTGCAGGTCTGCCATCACACCGCACCCTCGCTGGTGATGAACTCTCAGGAATGTAGATGAATGATCAGCATAGCGGCGACAATGTATACATGCTGTAAAGCGCCTTCACAGTTGGCATTGCCTGCTGCATTGGTACACGGATTGTTTCTTCGCGACACATTTTTGAAGGGCCGCAAATGTCACATGATCAGAAGTCTCCGGTGTTCCAGAAACGGTTAGCGTGCTTTTGGTGAACAGGAGGCAGCAGCGAGTCAGATTCAGGATGGAGAGAGATGTCATCAGTGAGTAGTGTGGCACAATAATAGTAGTCTTTTTTGTTCTTGTGTCCTACTCCTTTGTGTCTGTCCTCAGAGATAGACGGTCCTCCTCCCAAGATCACTTTGTCCCCATTCCCAAGATAATACTGTCACACTCCGAGAAACGTCTGCCGGTCCTACAGCGCACGATGGAGAGTGTTGCCGTTGGCACGAGTGTGATTCATTTCATTGTAGTAGTGTGAAGGTCTCTGATAGATGCTTTTCTGGCGCAACACCTGGAGACTAATCAGGAAGGCAGCGATTGTGGAGTACATGTTCAAACACGAAAAGGAAGGCGAAGTGTAACGGGAAGTGTTGGCAGTGACAATATTTGTCCATCTATTGATATGTGCACGATTGAGGCACTTAAGAATACTAGCTAATAATAGTCCCTGACCTTTTACCCAGCAGGTGGTAGTGTGCAAGCACTACCTTCAGTTTCACGCATTTCCACTTCATGGCTCTTCAAGAATCACATCGCCACTGTCCAGATAGACGTAAAGGCCATTCCTCCACATTGGTTTGATATTCCAAAAGTCTTGACCACCCAAGTCACATTCGTGACAGAGTGTGCCACTAAAGTCGCAAATCAATCTGTCCGCAGTCAAGGTTGTGTGGCTTCGCACACGTTGAGGATAAGTTGGGCAGAACCACGGAGGTGTCGGATATTCGTCCCAATCAGGGTTCAGAGACTTGGGAGCGATGCCGTTGGGATAACACTTCTCCCACAAGACCTCTCTTAGTCGGGTGTCGTCCCGCTCACATTCTTTCTCCCAATATTGGTGGCTGCAACGGAAATTTCGGTGCCCGGTTTGATACATGTGGTAGCCGGCGGCATAGCGGCTGAAGAATTGATTTGCGATATGGTCCACCAAGTCGATGTCCATGAATGCCGCCGGTGATCCTATGACATCCTGCTTTGGTCCACAGAACCCATCCAGATGGTAGCCCAGTTGATGCTCGTATTCAGCACACCAGTATTGGAATCTTTCCCGTCTCACCATTGCGGCCGCTTTGCCCGACAGGTCGTCAAGGAGAAAGTCGAACCAAAAATGCAAAGCGTCTTCCATCCCTAAGCACTCGTCGTCGTCGCGAAACTCGGATACTTCGTCCAGGCACTGATTCAGTCCGAACGGGATTTCTGATTTTGCTGATTGCTGCACAACAGAGACAAGCTGGCGGAGTTCCGGGTCTGAGTAGGTGTTGGGAGGCATATGCACGTTCAAGGATGTGGCATCTCGAATTCGTCTGAGAGGGATCAGCAGCACCTCCAGATCGGAGTGCGGCCCGTCCAGTACCAATTGTACTGAGTTGGTGGCATCATCCCAGTGATGGAAGCTAGGGAGGCTGTGATTGAGGCGGGTTTCTGTGCCCCATGCCCATTTTCGTTGCCCGGTTTGTCGAAAGATAACGTCGACGTGTGGTAATTGGGTCGTTTCGCGACCTTCGGGAAGTACAATGTCCTCCGTAGTTGTTGGGAGTTTGTTCATGTCGCGCCACCGAGGTAACAGGGCGGCCAGTAAGCGAGTCAACTGGTACCATGCCCGTATGAGTTGCCCAGGGTCCTTGGGGTTGGGAGCGTCAATGACAATTCGCATCCGGCGGAATATGTCGATGGGCATTGTTTCGAGAACATTGTCTGGATGAGGTGATCGAGCGTCGACCATGTTTCTAGTCCCGGAGCCCCACGGCTCACCATCTTGGTTGACGATTTCGACGACGGATGACGACGCCGCCGGGTCGATGTGGAAAGAGAGGATGAATTTTTCGGCGAGTAAGGGGATAAATTCGTTGTAGATTTGTTTGTTTGCCAGCAGCAACCCCGTAGAGCGCTGCTGCGCACAGGCATCATAGATCATGGTTCTGAGTTCTCCTGGGAGTCGACCCAGTATTCCTAGGGGAGTAGGTATGGACAAGGTTGATTGTAACGAAGCCATTGGAAGCTGGCGAGCTGTCTTCTGTGGTAATAATGACGATGATGATAATGGTGATAGCGGCAATGGCGAAGCTGATGATGCTATTGATGATATTGATGATAGTAGCGATGATGAGGGTGAGGATGTTGATTGCGATAATGAAGATGATGATGGTGGTGACAGGGGGGCACCAGCCGGGCGGATAAGACGTTCACTCGGAGACAATCTGACTTCTGGAGTGTGAGAATGAGCGAAAGACATAAAACGTACGTGCCACAATCGACAGTGGTCTTGACAGTAACGAGTGCAATATTGCGTTGGAAGAACTGAGGAGGAGAGACGGAGAGTGCAGATATTTATGCTGTTCAGCACCTTTGGCCTTGGCCACGGCCACATAATAGAAGCATGCTGGTGTAGTATAACGGCTCATCCGGACGTAAACCAAAGTTTACCACTTCGTTTGATGGAGAAATCCGAGTAGAACTTACTTTTCTGGAGGATCCTGTCTTCGGGCAGAGTGTCCCAGCTCTAGCAGCAAGGCTTGGAGCATCAAAAACCTTATAGGTATAAGACTTGTAATTATATAGGAGCGTCCGGATTGATCACTCGAACCGACATGGACCTATCACTTGTGAGGTGATGGAGTCGTAATAGTAGTGCGTCAGAGGACAGCACCAAGACGGGCAGCGTGTTCGTTTGTGGACCATCGTGACTCTGGATAGTGTGAGTTGTCCATGGGACATCCAGGATAGGACTTGTGTGTCATCATAAGTGAAAGCTTTCGTGAAGCTTTCCCAGCCATGTCTCGTCAAGCATCAAGGTGAAGACACATGAATCTGTCGCCCTTGGTTTGATTGGCAAAGCGGAGATTAAGATTCATGAGAACCGCCGTCTCCCACTCCGATCAAGAAAAGTCAGATGGCCGCCATCACAGACAGGTTGAATAAGTCCAATGGTACGTGAGGAATCTGATTGTTTCAGGGCGGAAAGCAATAGCAAACAACTGTACGCAGTCATTGTTTGACTTTTTCGTAGAATGTGTCCAAACCATCTTTAGAGTCAAGCCCCAAGTAATCGAGTCCAGTGACAGCCAGCCGGCGGCATGGAGGATCAGATACTCGTATACAGCATGACAAGATTGTGGAGCCGTAGATGTTGCGGAACGTCTTGACGGACTCCCTGGTGCAGATTTGTGTCTCCGAGGTTCGAGGCCTGAGATGGCCAACGTGACCCCGGACAGAAACATGTGCCGATCTGACCTTGTGGGGAGGCGCAAGATCTGAGGAATGAAGGTCTCCCGCGAGAAGGGAAGACTAAAGGTAGTGAGGGCGTCCTGAGCTGAGTGCTGCAGTTGTGTCAGATACTTCAGTCGTACTCCAGAGCATCTTGAGTTGGTGAGGAAGCTACGCTAGGTAAGCCAGGTATGCTCGCTGCGAATCAAGTTGCTGATTGCTTGGATACAGATCCTGGTTTTTTGAACTCACCTTCAAGTTCACCCGCTTGTTCACATGTTCCAGATGGCCACTGCAGATGATGTGGATTCGCATCCTGGCAAGCTTCCGGACGATCTCATGAAACCTCGGATCTGGTTGCAACAATGCTATGCCACAACGAGTAAGCTTGTTCGGCCTGAGTGTGGGAAAGGCATCTATGGACGGCAGGAGGCTGGCAGGAGCGCAGGTATTTCTGTTCGCTGGGAGGAATCGGAGGTCGAGGTTCGGCAGATCATGGAGCAAGACGAGATCGTAGATCATGGAAGAGGATCTCCGCAGGTGGTGGTGGCTGTGTACTAGCATACCTGGTGGATGAGGTTTTGAGCTGGTACATACTGGGGTAGAAGGTACTAACCTACCTAAGTAGTAGTAGTACTGTCGTGGCTGGTAGAAAGAAAGAAAGGGGCCACCTCAGCTGTCGTGATCACGGTGAAGCGGAACAGCAGGCAATGCAAGTGCGGGGCAGATCTGATTGATTGGAGGAGAAGTATGGGGATGAGTGTTCCAAAAACCACTATTGCGAATCGAGACTAGCCTGTCTATAACTCTCGGAGGGAGGGGCGATGATCGGTCTGGGCACAGAAAGCTTGCCCTCCTGTTGGGTGTCAGACTGTCAGGCAACTGCAGACTGCGCCCCCCATGATTTCTTTCCCCGTCAAATCTGGCCGCCAGTGCAAATCTCTCTCCTCTCGCTTCCCCCAGGCACCCACCCCCACCAAATCACCATCTCCGTTCTCTGCACATCTATCTATCTGTACATACAGATCTACCTCGACATTTCGATACCTTCACAGCTCATTGAACACCTCAGCATCCCCTCGTCTCCTCATCCACCTTGCCGCCTTCTGCTTATTAACCTTGTCTACCATCTACCAGCGACTGACCTGGGGCGATCTTGGCTTCTCCCTTTTCCCTCGTTCATATCGTCATCGCCTGCGTGGTGGTGGCAAATCATCAATGAGGTGTGATTGTTGATCCGCTCCGCACAACACAGCGGTTGATAGAGGCGGGCTCCTTGAAACACATACGTCGTCAAGGAACAGAGCAGCAAACCCACAGCCTCGGTATGCCGACCTGTACTCGCGAAGGAGTCACCAAACCTCGTCGTCGTCAGAATCACTGTTGTGATCAATGTCGCCGCAGCAAGCGAGCCTGTGATGCCACGGGGCGAGTTGTGGCAGAAATCTGTTCCAATTGTGCAAGAACGGGCAAAGTATGCACTTTCGAAAAGCTGCGGCGGACTGTGGCCCAGCCCGCCTCTGAACAGAGCATCAATGAGACCTTGCCATGGGAAAGCCCGATAACCAATCGAGCCTCCTCAGACCAACACTCAACAAGTGGCCAAGCATCTATGCTTCAGGAAGATGTCGTGTTTGTCTCAGGTCCCTCCCCGGGTGGCCAGACGCTGTCATGCTCGAATGAGGATCTCATCGAGATCGCCTCCTACTTCGCCTCTCCAGATCACAAGGATGTCAGTAAGGAGGCCCACCCTACGTCTGAGACGAGCGAGTCATCGGCGGCCCAAGCTCTGTTGACTCCCCCGGATAGTGGCCTTGGACAAACATCTGATACGGCCACTTTGGATGCCGCATCGCTATTGAACGCTGCAGATGTTGCTCATTCCGAGTCCTCCGAGCAAGACTGCGAGGATATGACCAGTGTTTTCTCCCGGGGGGTGGCGATGCACAGTGACAATTGTATACAGCATCCACCAGGGCCTACGGCCGGCTTCCAAAGATCTTCGTTCCGTCGGTCATCGTCGCCCCTGGCAGACCCGTCCTCGGATACGATGCAATATCGTATGGCGGAGAAGACAAACAAGTCCTTGATTCTGGACAGCCTGACACGCATCTATCAAGATACAATGGAAAATGCGCTGGCTTGTTGGCTCACAGAGCGTACGTGTCCGTACACTTACGAAGGCATCGTCGATTCCCCTCTCCCCATCAGGTACGCTATGGACGGTGAAGGTGGACCGGCAGAGAACCGTCCCCTAATATGGCGAATCTGCCAACTAGATCGACCAACTTCTAACATGCGTGATCGGCCTTTAACACCACGGGAAAATCAAGCGTCATCTCGTGCCCTGAAGGCTGCGATCATGGCATTTTCGGCGCAGTGGGCCCCGGCTACATACGATGTTACCGGCATTATTGGGGGGATGGGTGGTTCGGAGAGCGCTCTCGGAGATGAATTTGTGCAGCGCGAGCCTGGTTTCAATCGATCTCTCCGGGAACGCTTGTGGAACGATGCGCACCGAGTGTTGCAAGAAACTGCTGGGCTTGACTCGTTTCGCGTCATGTTCGCGCAGCTCATTTTCTCTTTCACCCAGAAACCGTTACCTCGGGAAGATCATGTAAGGATGATGAGGCTCCGTGCCAAGCGAGGAAGTAGCTTCCACTCCAGTCCAGATGCTGGCGGAACCCAAAACGTCTCAGAGGACTTGGCCGGACGCATCAGTTCCACACCTTTGCCGGCCCGAGATCATGGCAGGCCTCGTCGGCACTCTGGCGAGTTGGAAGAGCTTGAACAGTTACTCGAACTCCAAGGTCCCCCAATCTACCTTGAGAGTGCATTGATGCGGCTGTCTGACAAACGGGCTAGGCTGGAGCACACCGGCACTGGAACGGGGTCGGGCTCTGGCCAGAAGATATCCATCACCGACCGCAAAACGTTCAATCTCCTGTTTTGGATGGTGATGATGTCCGACACCCTTGCGGCCGCTCTACAGGGACGGTCATTTGTAGTCTCAGATGAGGATTCGCTTATTTTGCGCGCAGACGATCCGAACCAACTTGCTAGTCCTGCACCCCCTGGCATGTGCGACGAAGAGCAAACCGGTACAGGGTGGCCTCCTTCATCCTTGAGGGACAATGACGGCCTGGAAACGACTCCTTGGGGATCCTTCTTTCTGAACAGAGACAAAGCTGTAAAAGCAACGGGCAGTCCGCCATGGCCATTCTCAGAGGAATCTGCGAGTGTTATCCTCACTGACGCAACGCCTATTAAGGTTCTCCTATATCGCCGGGTGAAACGGTTACGGAACCTCGTGTTCAGGAGAGCTCCTGCGAGGAGAATTGAGGCCGGCATCGTTGAAGTATTGACAGTCTATGAGCATTGGACCAAAACATACGGCGACTTCATGCTCACGTGTCTGAAGCATCACGAGGAACTCTCTCCCCGCATACAGTCCTGGTATACAGTGCTTCTAGGGCACTGGCATCTTGCAGCGTTTCTGCTTTCCGACTGTCTGGAGGAGATCGATCGACATCACAAGGGTGACAATCTTTACGGGGCACTACGAGAATCTTGCGGACTTGTCTTTGAAATCAGGAAGACCAGTGCATTTCAGGTGGCCGAACTCTGTAAAGTTGGCAGACCTCGTGGTGATTCCAGTTTCCACCACTCGAACGACTTCCACAGCACTGTCAGCAACGGATCCATCCTGACTGAGCCGTGGACGGAATTATTGATCCGCTGTTTCGCAAGGGGCGCTGATCAATCTCTCCGGTGGCTCTCCGATTGTCAGTCGGGAGATACTTCTCACTGGGTCGGCCTTGATGATCGCGAAGCCCTATATACCAACTGCGTCAATTGTATCGGAGGGCTTCTTGGCCTGGGCCGCAAGTCCGACATTGCAAATCTAGCAGCGTTGTCTTTTTCTTCACGACTTCATGCCCCAGCCGGTCGAGTTGGCTGAATGCTTATCGCAACATGGAGCTGATGGAGGTTCGATGGGTGATGAGTCGAAGAGCCGTCACTAGGTCCGACTTGGGAGAGAGGGGAGTCCGTGTAGCTGGGATTGGGACATGAAGCGTTTGATCAGCAATGTTCGAGTCAGACGTTGGAGTTTTGAGGCTTGAATCGTGAAGATTGAATCTTGAATTGTGAATCTTGAAATCCACATCTGATGCTGTCGCCCGACGCCAAGACTCGTATATAATTATATTTTATGTATTCACTTCCCATCGTTTGATTCCACCAATGAAGTCCTATAGAGACCATGAAGTTCACTTCCCTCTCCATATCTAGAACATCATCTGAACTGTGAATGTCAGCACCGCGATCTACGAGCTGATTGGCTTTTGTTTCGCGCTGCCTGCCTCTATTGTTGTGGCTTTTATTTGCGTTGCGCCTTCAAAATGGCTTTTCACACCTTCATCACGCTTTACTGATCTGCTGGCAACTCTGGCAAAAGGAAAAGCCTCCCTTCTTGAGCATCTACTTCTTTTCTGCTGAAAGAGATCTTGCCTCAGCTGTCTTGCAGAATCAGTGGTGCAAGATGTCTGAATCTCTGCCGCCTGATGGCGGTGGTGCTCTGTTTGCTGTGAAAGGCGAAGACCAAGCAAGTGTCAGAGTCGCAATTGAGGGCTGTGTGAGTCTACGCAACAACCAGTCCCCTGTCGCATCTGTTCAAGACCCTTCTAACAGCTTGGTAGGCCCATGGAACATTGCATGCGATATACGCGTCGGTCGAGGAGGCATGTCGTGTCAAAGGCTGGGATGGAATAGATCTTTTGATCATCGGTGGTGACTTTCAGGTTGGACCGCCTCACACTTCATCCATCCCTACCCAGCTGACTAAAGACTTCTAGGCAGTCAGAAACCAGCACGACCTCAATGTCACCTCGATGCCACAGAAGTACCGGCGCATGGCAGATTTCCATGAGTACTACAGCGGCGCCAGAACCGCACCATACCCAACCATCTTCATCGGCGGCAACCATGAGGCCAGCAATCATCTCTTTGAACTCTACTACGGCGGATGGGTGGCTCCCAACATCTACTACCTTGGCGCAGCGAACGTCATCCGATTTGGTCCTCTGCGCATTGCTGGGTTGAGCGGGATCTGGAAAGGCTACGATTACCCCAAACCTCATTTCGAGCGACTCCCGTACAACCGAGAGGAAACCTCCAGTATCTACCATGTGCGGGAACTCGATGTCAGAAAGTTGTTGTCTCTACGTTCGCAGGTCGATATTGGTCTCTCGCATGACTGGCCGCAACGGGTCGAGATGCATGGTGACTACCAATGGCTTTTCAAGACCAAGAAAGGCTTCGGAGTCGATTCGGAATCCGGCAAGCTGGGCAATCCGGCCGCGCGGGAGTGTCTGGATCGCTTGAGACCTCCATATTGGTTCTCTGCACATTTGCACACAAGATTCGCTGCCGTTGTTCAGCATGACAAGAGCGATGTCGCGTCACCGCTGAAGTCGGCATCCAGCTCCCTCGCGCAGAATTCACCGGATCAACACCATGCGAAGAAGTTCAAGGGTCCGCACATGTCGCCTCCGTCCTCGTCGCTGGCAAGCGCATTTGGCCGTCCCCAGCATGCCCTCCATAGACCTGAAGCCCAACGAGTCTCGGCCTGGCAGCAATTCCATGCAAATGCCCAGCGCGATGAAGCAGCAGATAGAGAGAAGATTTTGCAGGAGAGAGAAGCACGCAGACTGGAAGAGGAAAGAACTGGCGTCCGAGCCGTCGCCCAGTATTCATTTGATGAGACTTTCAGACAGGTCGGAAGCGGATCAGGGTTAGATCGTCGGATCGTCGCGACAACCCAGAGCCAGATCAAGTCTGGAGACAACGATGATGCCATCCCGAATCTTGACGGCTGTTTCCAGTCACGACCGGTCAAGCGACAGCGCGTTGCTTCTGACTCTCATTCTGCTGATCCAAGTCAGCCCGCCTCTGTCGTTGGACCTGTCTACTCTCGAGGAGATCAGCTCGACGGCGCAGAAGCCAGTCTCCCAGCGGCACCGGACGTTGTCGTCGACAATCCCGACGCGATTGATATCGAGATGAGCGACGAGGACGATGTACCCGTGGCAAATGGTAGAACCAGCACCACGACTCTCCAAGTAACACCTGTCCCGGTTCCTCAAGGCGGACCTGCTCAACAGGGCACTGACAGAAATGGACTATTCTCAGTCGCCACCTCAGAAGGAAGTGAAGACGGCGGCGTCAAGCTCAATGCGCCTGCTACGTCTCTCCGTCATGACCCAGGCATGGTTCCTCTCCCCAAACCACGACGACAACAACCCGAACCCGAACCCGAACCCGCACCCGAACCTTCTCACTCTCCAACCCCGGTGCTGCCAGAGTCAGCTCAGGCTACCTCTACAGAGAAACGCACGTCCACAGAATCAAACTTGAATCCTTTCGCAGCCAGTTTTGAACCACCAGCAGCTCCGACCCCTTCACGAGGCGATATTGATATGACGGACATCTCGCCCTATCCTATCGTCACAGCCGTTCCGAACCCGGCACCTAGCACTAATGGCAGTCAGGTCTCCGAAGAAATGAGAGCGCAGCTCGCAGCCCTGTCCAACACCTTCACCAAGAAAGCGAAAGAACAGATCCAAGTCTCTCCGAGTCTCCCCTTCCCGGAGGAGATCAGTAACAAGACGACCGAGTTTCTCGCGCTGGGGAAATGCGAACCCTACCAGGAATTCCTGCAACTCATGGAAATCCGATCCATCTCTTCGCCCACCATCCGTCGCTCTTCATCTGATATCGAAAGCGAGAACAAGGAGAAAGAGAAAGAAAAGGAGAATGACAAAGATATCCCCACCCGTCCCTTCAAATTCACCTACGATCCAGAATGGCTAGCCATTCAACGTGTCTTCGCATCCGAATTGACTCTCGGCGGTCTTCCGTCCGACAGAGTGCCCCCTCACCGCGGCGACACCTACTACCGCGACCAGATTGTCAAAGAGCAGGCCTGGATTCTCGAGCATGTCGTCGACCCCGGCCAATTGCAAGTTCCCGACAACTTCACCATCACGGCGCCCGTGTATGATCCGAACCTCAAGGTCGATCCCGCGGCCATGCCGAGAGAAGTCACCAATCCGCAGACAAGCGCTTACTGCGCGTTGATTGGCATCGAGAATAAGTTTGATATTAGTGAAGAGGAGCGCGATGCCAGAGTCAAGCAGGGCCCGAGACCCGATCGGCCCGAGTATCTGGCTTATGAGAGTCGCTTCTCCCGTAGGGGTGGTGGTGGTGGAGGCGGTAGAGGCCGCGGAGGTGGCAGAGGAGGCGGTGGTGGCGGAAACTATGGACATGGTGGTCGAGGTGGTGGCGGTGGGAATCGAGGACGAGGCCGTGGAGGACGTTGATGAGTCACAATTGCATTGCATTGCATTGCATTGCATTGCATTGTATTGCATTGCCATGTGCCTTGGGGCTTCGAGTCTCGCGAGACAGAGCAGCGCAGGAGAAGAAGATCGTTTGTAGTGTCTGGATGGTCTGGAAGAAAACACGCCTCTCTCTGGTGTCGGACACCTTCTGAAACTCCTGTTCGTTGATGCCGACCGTGTCTACAGACGGACGATGGTCCTGGAATTGGCGGTCATGAGTGTTATGTGTGTTGAGTTCCATCGAGAACCTGGTCTAGACCAAGAAGCAGACGGTCGGCCCACAGCTCCTGGAGATCCCCTCCTATTCGGGGATGATCGATGATCGATGATCGGTCGATATTGTATGTCTTACTCTAGCTTACCTTTGTCTCAGGCTCAAGGGAGATACCCTTTACCTGAAGAATTCTATTGTACAAGTACCTCAATATTCCATGATTCCCTTCCTGTGTATTTGGTAGCGGTGATATGATATCACCGAGAGGAAACGCGTTTGGCAGAGGTTACATGTCTTAGGAAACTGTTCGTTACCACAGATCCGATCCCTTCCTTCCTATCGTACTCTGTACTGTTAGTGGACGCGATCAGTCAAATCTGGTTTGGTCAAATCCTTGAGAGAAACAATTCAGAGCCTAGTCCCATATATCCAAAGACGCAAGGAGTCAACGCAAGTCCCATTCGAGTAGGGTCCAACAAGACAGGCCTCATCTCCTTTCTCTTGTGATCTCGGATTGAAACATGTCATTGCAGTGCAGTACTTGTAAATAGTTATTGACATTCATAAGATAAGTTTCTTGGTATCAAATCGTCGATATAATCAATCACTGGACAGCGACGGCCCTACCGGCACGACCTCTAGTTGTGGAGGTTCTCCGTCTTTCAGCAGCAGCAGAAGCCTTGGTTCTATCCAATCTGTCCAACTTTCTCAAGAATGTCCGTTTCCAGGCCTCGAAATCCTGCGTTCGTTCTTCACTAGTGAAATCCACGGCGTGCTGCATCATCGTAGCCAGACCTGGAAGAAGAACGCTGTCGGGATCTTCTTCTTCTTCTTCATCTTGCCCTTCGGTCTGGTATCCCTGTCCGACGTCTCGGCCGCCACTCCTCCCGTTCGGTCTCCGTTTGCGGGCTGTTGCTGACATGATATGATCTTCATCGTCATCATCCTGATATTCTTCGGTTGCAGCTCCATTGATGTTCGGTTGCCCTCCCACTCCACCACGTCTGACCCGACGTAGACCACGTTTGGGGGTGTCGCTAGCATGGTCAGGGTCAAACTCAAATACCGACTCCGGCACACTAGCCCACCAGTCCTGGCCACGACAATATCCCTCTCGATTGATTCTTCGGATCCACGCTTCCACCCCATCCGTGCCGGGATTATAAGTTAATTCTTGGACACTTTTCGTGCAGGTGGCTTGGTATACAGATGTTGTCATCTTCGCTGTTTGCATTCGTGTCAGGGTCATCAGGTATAATGCGATCAGGAGACCCGTGACGGTTTGGTCGAACGAGCAGCCCGGTGGAAATGAGGCCGGTCCTGTTCGGGTTTCGGTTTCGGTCGCATCATTGTCTTGCTCATCGCTGTTTCCGACGGTTTCATCGCGTGGCCATAGGCCAGTAAGCTTCAATACGATAGATGTTCCGGTGTATACGTGCGGCGCGACAAGAGGGGTCGCGAATAATCTGCACAGATTCCGGATCGAGGGCATCACGAACGCCGGGGCTTCGAGACCGGCGTCGTTCTTGTGGGTAGTCCTCTTTCCTGTGATGGCTTTTGAAAATGCATTCGCACTTTGCGGTGTCTTTGACGGTGTGTTGGTATTGGAGTTGGTATTCCTTGCTCTCTTGGACGGTGAGTCCGCCGGCCCTGCCTCAGATTCGGATTCAGAGTCAAGCTCCGCCTCCTTTGCTGTTCTCTTCGAGCTTGCTCTGCCATTTGCGTTTGCAGTTGCAGTCGCAGTACTGTTTGTCTTGGCCTGCTGCTGTTGTTGTTTCCTCGGTGTAGGTGTAGCTGCGACATCCTGGTCCAACACTCTCTCCAAGAACGTCACCAGCTTCTTATACACGGCCGGCTTACACGGCGCACCGCCGGCCTTGACGGCAGGCAAGCGACATTGCGCGCGCAGTCTCTTGCAGGCGATCTCGCAGCACGCATAGGCTCGAGCGATCTCTTCCTCTGGCTTCAAGTGGGACGCTCGTTGGCGGGATAGCGCGAGCAGAGACTCCGAGAGCTGTGATAGTTGCGATGGGAGTTTTGCGGCGTGACTGGGCACAAGAAGGCTGAGGGATTGCTGTATGGCGGAGGAGGCGGGCATCACGTATGGTTGTAGGCCACGCCGTCGTTCATCGGTCAGGTCGATTGAACAAGTAACACTGAATGCCTGTCTCAACGGGAGTAGAATAATAGTTGTTTACACGACTGTTGCGCATGTACTTGCGGACGGGTATTCGTCCAAGTCCTGGAGGCAAATCGCAGAGATGATCGTTCTCGTGAATGCAGAGAATGATCTCTTTTCTCTAAAGTAAGGCCATGTATCACACAGCCACTGGCATAGGCTCGTGGTGTTAGAATTTGGCTGATTGGAAGAGCCAGCTGTCGTACCGGTCACTTTTTGCAAGTCGCGCGTGTCGCGTCAGACGCGTAAAGTGGTTGCAGTTTAGAGTATTATGCTCCAACGGAGAAAAGAGTTCTACGGTGAAACATTACTCTGCAGGGCGTTTGGGGTTGTATAGTCCATTGATGGACTGTATACTCGTTCTGAAGAGTTCTCCCTGGGGTTTGAAGATGACAATATTAGCAGACTATATACCCCCTGGTTTCCGGCTCATTAAGTACTCCTTCGAGGAAGGCAGTCTCTAGCATTATATGTGTGCGCTGATTCTCGTCCTATGCCTCAGGCATCAGTACAAGTCAGAATGGCCCGTTGGTTGTGACCCATCTCCGATAGTGACAAGCCCTTTATTCAGAACTAGATCAAGGAGTCTTGCTGTCTGTCCGCCTGCAAACCAAGATATATTACTGTAAGCTGAGCTGGAGAGCTGATTCGTTCAGAGAGTGCCGATTCTCCGAGTATGAGCATGCCGACGATGTCTTGCGTGCCTTGAGCTACCAGCAGTTGTGGTGCTTTCAATGCTCGGAACAGGTGCAGAGATGTCCATACATGTCGAGTTCGGTTGCTGATATACTTGGACACCACCGATCGCCCAGTAGGCATCCTTGAAAACTTGCGGGTTGTTGGCAACATAATCCCGACATGTCGGGGCCAAGGAGGCACACTCAGAACTATTCCAGGTCCTCTCGATCCAGTCGCCGCACAGGGCAGTATTGAATATGATCTTGAGATTGAAGAAATGGTCGTCGAACGTCGTCTTGTTGCCACTGTTCACAAACATGGCATCTGGTGGACCCCAGCTGCCTGAGAAATTCTGCGGACTGGGCATTCCTGATGCGATATCTTCAGGGACACTGTCGCGCTGGAAGTTCCAGATCTTGATCCCATCACTGTTGAACTCGGTCGCAATGACACTGCCTCCGGCTGCGTTGTAGTCGGTGCCAAAATCCTTCCATGAGCCTTCGGCAACGCAGCCAGAATTTCCGGCCGTGTCCAAGCTACAGTCGAGACTGGTCATGGTGCCTCGCATTTGAGTGTTGTTGGAGTGTTGCTGGCCTGTGACATTGAAGACACTAACACCGGTGTCGGCGTGTAGGACCATCTTATTGACGCTCTGTGTGTTGATCCCCTCCATGATGTCGATTTCTCCAGCCTGTGGCCAAGGTGCACCTGATCCAAGCAGCCAGAACGCAGGCCAGCTCCCACAGATACCTCCTGGCATATGTTTGATGTCGGCGATCCATAGGGAGTGATTGAAGGTGTCTACACTCTCGACGCGTGTAGAGGGGCGACCGGCGGGTGTGACATTCAGTGACCACCAGTCGACGCCGAGGTAGACGGCATTGTTGAAGGCGCTGCTAGACGCAAACCCGGCGAGTCCGGTCTGGTTGGCCGTATCCAGATCCACGTATTGGACAAACCCGTTGGTAGGGTCGTGCCCAGAGAAGAATTCGAAGTTGTCGAAGAAGCCTTCACCAGTGTAGTTCTTCACGAGTTGATAGGATGCAGAAGAGGCTTCTTGGGCGTAGGAACTGGAGAGTCTTGCGCTGACCAGCAGTGCAAGGAGTATATTGGAGGCCATATTGAATTTCAAGGTGTCTTAGATCTGGCGGTGCTTTGTGTCTCGATAATTGTTTGCAGAAAATCTTGATAGGATAAGTCGGAGACTTACCGAGACTTTCGAGTTCAGAATATTGCATAAGCTGTAGATTCGGGAAACGCAGAGAAGAGACAGCAAATGGAGATCCTGGTCGAGCAGACATAGTGACATTGTGAACCCCGGCTTTGTCACTTCGGAGATGACAGCATAAAGAGTGTCAAAGAAGGCAGCTGACAACGCGAAAGAACAGAACAATGTGATCAATGAGACAGTCACCACAATGGCCACAATAGCACTGTCTGATTGTTCGCGGATACCAATAACAACAGGCGCATGTTGCCATGCCAGTGGACGAAGACAACGAGGCTGGCCAATCGCTGGTCTGCGGCTTCACTTCGCTTCCTAACACCGCACTCACTTCACCCTCAAATATCATTCCCGCACAATTTTCCATCACAATCCAAAAGCCATCCATATGCTGGGACCACCGGTGCAATATTAGCACCGGTCCATCACAGAAATGGTAACTTCACCTCTCCGGAAAAACCCCTTCATAAGTCGTGGTTTCACTTCCCTCGAACACACCGCAAATATTGTGGATGCCTTCGAAGAAAAAGTTTTTGTCACTTGAATTGGAGGGAGTTTTTCTTTTTTGTTCTTGTATTCAATTGTCCGGGAGTGAAGTGACGATTCTGCTGCACCCTCACGTGGCAGATCTGGGATGAAATGCGGGAGAGTTGCTTCACCAGAGCGCTTCACTGCCATCGAGGAAGCCGCCTGATACCTTGTCTCACCGTACTTATCATTGGGTTCTTGAAATATGATGGTCAGCGCTCACAAAGAAAACCTCGGTCCCCAGGTCACCGCCGCATAGGGGTGGGATGATGGGATATTTGAGATCTATTTTGTTCCCAAGTCTGGCCATTCCACCGGAAGCATAGCAGTTTCCCGATACTGCATCTGGGCGCTTATGTCATATTTACTTCAACGAGGGTAATATGTCGATAGAATGGAGTTCCAATACCTATACCGAGGGCTAGTATGACGCTGTTGTGATGCGTCGCATAGAGGAATATCATGCAGTGGTGATAAACGTAGCAGGGGACTGCGAGATATTGGGGTAAGTTAGGCTTAGCGTGAAGTAAAAGAGGGTTTCCCTAATGAACGGCGCTAGTCTCCTTAGTCGCTCCGCAGTTGTCCCTAAGCGGGCTAAAGTGCCCAGGCCCATCGGGCTAGATGGCTCTCTGAACAGGGCGGCGGCAGCCTTATCCAAACGCGTTATTCCTCTCGCGCGCTTTGAATGCCATGCCAGTGGTACACGTCATGATTGGCTGACAGACTTTCTGTGGCCAAAAACAAAAGAAGTCCAGAACTCGACTATTAACCTCCATCATCTTACGGCTGGCCGTGTCTGGAGTGCCTGGAGTGCCAGTCAATGCGGTCGAAGGCGCCTAGAATGTCTTATGGCCAAGTTGCAAGGCGCCACCGTCTCGCGTCAGCCGGTCAATCGCAAACGAAAACGGGCCCCCAAGGGCGATGACCCTTCCCAGACGCCGACGCCCGAGACTGTTTCTGCCGAAACCACAACGACAACGACAACAATCCCGACGAAGACTCATGATGGAGGCAACAAACGCAGAAGAGCTAAAGATCCCTCGACGAAGCCGGCTCCCCTTCAACGAAGTTCCTCCACGAATCTGGTCGAGTCCGACATCCTTTGGCCTGATCACTTCAAGTACCTCTTGCAATTGCACAAGGCTCTGAACCTCGTATACACTTTCTGCTGCACTCGAAAACATTTTGCAACAACATGGGACAATATCAAGTCGACGGTGGAAGGACACATCAAAAGACCCCTGCTGGAGGAAGATGTGGCCCAGGTCAAGGCCCTGGTGCCGCGCGCCATCAATTTCGCCTATGTTGACGAAGAGCATTTGATGGTCACGATTATGGGAGAAGACGACGGAGTCAAAGGGGGAAGAGCCGATCATTTTCGGTCACTAGCCGAAGACGAGAGTGGACCTAAGGACAACTCTGGCACCCCAAAAGAGTTGCTGTTGTTCGAGTTCATCGATGGTGACCTCAAGAGACAGGTGGTCGACCCCAAAACTGGGCAGCCCACGAAAGCTACACAAAAGCTGCGGAAAGAAGACCTCAAGATGCCTGTCTTCAGTCAGAAGTCTATGTTGAAACTTATCGAAAAGCGCAATGTCAAGTTCACCTCGGCCGTAAACGCCTTTCTGAATGAATGTGCAGCAGAGCAAAGGGATCCTGTCGAAAAGATTCAGGACTTGAAGCAACAATATATCCCCTATCCATCCGCAAGCCGTGCAACCACACCTGTGCCCGAGAACATTGGTCTGCCAAAGGTCATCCCCAAGGAACGGAAATCAATATCTGAAATCGTCAAAGAGATTTGCGAATTGGAATGGTACACGCATCAGATCGTTCCCGACGGTCACCGCGTCTTTGACCCTCAGCCGGCAATATATGGCGACCTGAATTTCCAGTTGTCACAGGGCTTGGTGAATGCCCTCTACAACAGTAGAGGTATCACACAACTGTACTCCCACCAAGCTGAAGCCATAAACAACTTGCACGACGGGCACAATGTGATTGTGTCGACATCCACCAGTTCTGGAAAGTCCTTGATCTACCAAATACCGATGTTACATGAGCTTGAAAGGGACCCTGAAAGTCGTGGCATGTATATCTTCCCAACCAAGGCTTTAGCTCAGGACCAGCGCCGGAGCATGAAAGAGTTACTGAAGTATATTCCTGGTCTCGAAGATATCCTGGTGGAAACTTTTGACGGCGACACGCCCATGAGTGAAAGAAACCTGATCCGGGACGAGGGTAGGATCATCTTCACCAACCCAGACATGCTCCATATTACAATTCTCCCGCAAGAAAGCGGATGGCGGACCTTTCTGCGAAACCTCAAGTTTGTTGTTGTCGACGAGCTACATGTTTACAACGGCCTCTTTGGAGCGCATGTGGCATTCATCATGCGCCGACTGCGTCGGATATGTGCCGCTCTTGGAAATCGCAAGGTCAAGTTCATTTCGTGTTCTGCAACCGTGGCAAATCCGAAAGAGCATATGAAGACGATCTTTGGTGTTGACAAAGTCAGACTGACGGATTTTGATGGCTCTCCGTCCGGACGTAAAGAATTCATCTGCTGGAATACACCCTACAAAGACCCGGGAGATCCTTCGTCGGGCCGAGGAGACGCATTTGCCGAAACCGCAAGGTTGATATGTCAACTCATTCTTCGTGGGGTTCGAACCATAGCTTTCTGCCGGGTGCGCAAGCAATGCGAAGTTCTACTGCAATCGGTAAAGGCCGAGTTCACCAACCTCGAGAGACCAGAGTGTGCAGCACTGGTGATGGGCTATCGTGGAGGATATTCGGCTCAAGATCGTCGACGTATCGAAGCGGAAATGTTTGGCGGCAAACTCATGGGCATCGTGGCCACGACCGCTTTGGAATTAGGTGTCGACATTGGTTCCCTTGACGCTGTCATCACAATGGGTTTCCCCTACACGATTGCCAACCTGAGACAACAGAGTGGTCGTGCGGGACGACGAAATCGAGACTCTCTTTCCGTCCTCGTGGGAGATTGCTTTGCTGTGGACCAATACTACATGCAGAATCCCGACGAGATCTTCACCAAACCTAACTGCGAACTCCAGGTCGATCTCCAAAACGAGCTGGTGGTAGAGGGTCATGTGCAATGCGCCGCCTTCGAAATGCCAATCCAACCGGACGAAGACAAGAAGTTTCTGGGTAAGATGTTGCCCGACATCTGTGAGGAACGATTGTCCAAGGATGCGATGGGATACTACCACTGCAACGAGCGGTTTCGGCCTCTTCCATCCCGATGCGTCGCGATCCGAGACACCGAGGAAGACCATTTCGCCGTGATCGACATCACACACGGCCGCAACGTCGTGCTCGAAGAAGTCGAAGCGTCCCGATCGTTCTTCACTCTCTACGACGGCGGCATCTTCCTGCATCAAGGAAAGACGTACATGGTGAAAGAATTCTCCCCAGAGCGCAAGATGGCCCGCGTCCAACTGGTCAAGGTGGACTGGACCACCCAACAACGAGACTTCACCGACGTCGACCCCATCGAGACCGAGCAAGTGCGCCGCGTGTCCCCTAATTCTCTGACCAAGGCGTTCTTCGGCCGGATCAAAGTGCATATGGTGGTCTTTGGCTTTTTCAAAGTGGACCAGAAGCGGCGCATCCTGGACGCGGTCGCGGTGGATAACCCACCCATCGACATCTTCTCGCGCGGGCTGTGGCTCGACATCCCCAAATCCGCGCTCGAGATTTTCCAGCTGAAACGCCTCAATCTGGCCGCGGGGATCCATGCTGCCGAACATGCGGTCATGAGTCTGATGCCGCAGTTCGTGGTGAGCATGCCGGGCGACGTGCGCACGGAATGCAAGAATGCACTGAAGGAGTTTGCGAAGAAGGAGACCCAACGCAAACGGCCCGCGCGACTGACCTTCTATGACGCCAAGGGCGGCGCGGCCGGGTCCGGGATCGCGGCCAAGGCTTTTGAATTCATCGATCTGCTGCTGGAGCGGGCGGTGCAGCGCGTCGCGGCGTGTCATTGCCTCGACGGCTGTACGGAATGTATCTGTGACGAACGGTGTAAGGAGATGAACATGGTGATGAGCAAGGCTGGCGCGGAGGTCATCTTGAAGAGTTTGTTGGGCATGGAGATCGACGTCGATGCTCTGCCGGAGGGAGAGGAAGAGCGTGTTCCTGCTGGCGTGGAGACGGTGGTCTTTGCAAGTGAGGTGCCGGGCAAGAATGGGCGCAGAGTTGCCGAGAGAGGATTTGTCGTCAAGCAGGAGAAAGATGACGATGACGATTGTATCATTATCAAGGATGAGCCTGAATGAGTTTATGATTGATTGTTGGTTTGTCCGTGAGAAGTCCTACTTCAGTTTCAATGCAGCAATGAATAAATGACCAGCAAACGTCCGGATGTAAAGTCGTATCTGTGGAAGCCAGTATGGTCTGCCCAAGCACATATGGTATCAGTTTCAAGATATCTAAATCTAATCTATCGCGTCGCGGCTGTCTGACCCTCATTCGAATCCAAACCCCTAGTCGCATGCTTCACAAACAATTCAGCGTCCTTCCTCATCGCAGTGACGTTGACCGCTCCCGAGCCATAAGCTCTCGAGATGGCCGCTTGCACCTCGTCGTCGTCGAACAGAGTTTCGTCGACAACGACATCGCCAGCATCATCATCGTCATTGTTTGTGGTATCGAACGCTTCCATGGCGACAACTCTGCGCCAATACTCGTCATCCGCGCCCTTCAGATCCGGATTCCTCACCACGGCGTTCCGCGCGATCGAATAAGCCCGCAGATTAGTCTGGGTCATCTGCAACGCCACGTTCGCCGCGGTGAGCAGCTCCTCCATCCGGCGCCGCACCACTTCCGGATCAGCAGAGGCGGGGGCGCTGAACAGCAAAAACCTCCCCGTCGCCGAGGCGTAGATGAAGAAGGCGACGGCCGCGTCGAAAAGACACAGCGCCAGTGGTCTGAGTGTCGCTGCGATCCAGAATGTTCCTATGGGAGCGGGCGTCCGAGGATCAACCACCGGCACGTAGGCGGCGGCGATGGCGATGTCCAGCCCAGCAAGGGCAATCGCGCAGAGTACGGCGCGTGCGCGCCAGCGACTGGCTTCGAAGCCGGCGAGCGGTTCGGACGTCGCGAGGCCGAGACAGAGAATGTGGAAGAGGTGCGGTAGGAGAATGTTGGTTGGGAGGTGGTAGAGGAGATAGGAGATGTCGTCGTCACCACCACCAGGAGAGCAGAATGTGCAGTTCAGAAGCGTGGCGGGGCCGAAGCGGAGATAGATCTTGCGAAGGCTGTTCCTCGGCAGAAAAAGAAGAAGGAAATGTTAGTTTTTGTGCTAGTATACGAGAACAGTTGTGGCTGTTGGGTTGAATAGGAGTCAAAAGAATGGGTCAAAAAGGGGGTGGATCAGATAGGTTACTAGGTTAGTAGGTGTTGGGAAAGACTTGAAACACTCACGCTTGAGATCCCAGTTTGGAACGCAAAGCCTCGTCGGTCGCTGTTAGGATGCCGTGGTCGCGGAGGAGCGCCAATCGCGCAAAGACCGTGTCTGTTGCTGTGGATAGTCTCGTCCGGGTCACCACGAAGATGTTGTGGTCGGCTAGGTCTCCCTTGAAAAGGGAAGGGAAGGAGGTGTAGAGGAAGATGCAGATTGAGGCAAAGAGCGCGTTGAGCCCTCGCCGGGTCTTCTTGGGGAGCGGGCGAGGATGTGGTCGCGTGCGGATCGCGGTCTTGATGATCCGGTAGTAGTTGATCGCGCGGGGGAGAATGAATGTGAACAGAAGTGGCCAGAAGGGTTTGAGACTGGGGTTCTTCGGTCAGTCAAAGTGGTCCTGGAAGGGGATTTCAGATAGAGAGGGTAGAGAAGAAGACATGGTGGTGGTGGTGGTGGTATTGGATGGTACCTTTGAAGCAGAGCCATCGTGGCTCACGTCCGGTCGATTGGGTCTATAGAGTCACTGCGCAGTGTTGTGAGAGAGGGAATACATGATCCGTTCTCAGAGCAGCAAGTGAGGAGATATGTCTCTTCGGGGAGTATAGATACCTATGTACCTAGGGTAGACATAGGTAGGTAGATGAAGTACTGTGGTCCTGTGGTATAAAGACTAAATTGAAGTGACAGGCCATTCCAGGGATGGAAGAACAATATTCCGGCCATAGTACGTCTTATTGATATAGCATATTGGCCATTGGATGGCCACAACTCCAGAGGCGATTTCTACCATAGTCCCTTCTACTGCTACATGCGCTGATTCTTGAGGAAGACTCTAAGTGATATAGATGGCGGCAAAGACAGCTTAATCGACAAGTGGCTCGCCTCGGGCAGACTGAGCCTCAAGGCTGTGCCATGGGATGGCCATAAGGCAGAGTCCAAGACACAATCTCAACAGCCTGGACCATCTGGAAATCGAACATAAGAGAATGAATTGCTGAACGATACTGTCAACTTCACCACGGCCACCGTAGCCAACTTGCGCCTGCTCCAAGAACAAAAACCATGCCAGGTCATTCATTGCTCGAAAGACTGCGCCCAATACAAACTCCGCCGAACTTCAACATGAGTATCATGGTTGTGATGACCACCAGACAGTGTATGCGACAGCTTGATCCAAAGCTGACCGAATGTATTCCCTTCGGGCGGCATGCAGTGATTCGTGTTATTTCTTCTTCGGAGGCGCTGCCCCTTGCGCCTTCGCGGCCTCAGCTGTAACGACAATCAGATCTCTGCATGACTAGACAGAAACTGTCCCTTCGTTATATCACCCACCTTTGGCCTGTTTCTCGCGCATAATGGCGGCTTGTGCCTCCTTCGTACGTTGGAACTCGGTCCCCGAGATTGTGTTTTTCTTCTTCTACACCGGCATGTACTGTTAGTTCGGATCGCTCGGAGGACGTTGGTACGTCAAGGGTGCAATGGGTAAAAAGGATTGTCGTGCGCTCAGTGGTAGAGCAGGACGGTCGCCAGGTGTTGGCCTTCCTGTGCTAAGGTGTAGACGTACGGATGCGGCCTGCTCCTTGAGATTCTTCTCGCGCGCCTTTTCTCTCTGGTTACCGCGAGTCATGGTTGCGAAAATGCTACAAAGCTAAAAGACAAGACAAGAAAATAGAATATTGAGCGCCGAGACAAAGGAAAGGCCGAGTGAGATGGATGTCGACACTGGACGGCGGAGGATGGAGGGCGCAGGCCACGGGCGAGATTGGAAGAAGTTGAAGTTGGTGAGAAAGAATTCGAGAAGCAAAAGGCCGCAGTTTGGCAGTTTTCTCGGCACTGAATTCATTCATTCATCTGCGATCCCGATCTCAATCTCGATTGATCAACAACCTACTACTACTACACCACAACGGCTTGTTTCTCAACACTCGTCTCTCTCCCCTCCCCTCTATACGCAAGGCTGCGGCAAGTGTCAGATGAGTTGGGCGTCAAGATGAGGTCAACAATCGAGCGACCTCAAACGTGTTTCAGATCGGTCTAGCATGCCAATCTCATTCAACGACAGCCACTCCTTTGGCTTGCCACTTCAATGTCTGGCGGAAACATCAATCTGCAGCAAGATGCACCGCAAGACTGAGGCGGGCGGTCGTCGGGTTTGCTGAGCCGCGATGAGCCTTGAAGGTGAGAGATAAATCGTGTCTGAAACTGGTTACATTGTCTTTTCAGACTCGAAACTCATCTTGCCAATGAGCACGTCTCGCTCGTGGGACACTCGACGTCTTTACTACAGCTTTATCTCGCGTTCGTGCGCTTACCATTGTCATGAGCATGATCAGCCGCTGTCGAATGAAAGAGTCAAATACGGCATTGAAGAACTGTGATCCTGCCGGTCCTTTGCAATCCAAACCATCTTCCTCTCTTTTGCCTCATTTGAACTCCTCTCCTTGTGTTGAATCTATTCAGTCCTTTTATTCACGCTATTGCGGTCTACAATAGCCTCGACGCTCCTATTGTTCTATTCATCTACCGTCATATCACGCTAGCTTGCAAAGTGACATATACCCTTTCTCACCCTTCAACTTCTTCCTCGTCGTATTTGTACAAGAATCTCCGTCTTTCGATCCTGCAGCTCTTTCGTCAAATCAAAAAGTCAAGCCAAAAGTCAGCATTACCATGTTTCTCTTCGGCAAGTCGCTGGCCGGCGCCGGATACGTCGTGCTCAACATCATTCGAGTGATGAACATCATTGCACTCCTCACTGTCATTGCGGCAAGTTCGGTCATGCTGGTCAAGACCTTCATCGTCTCCAAATTCTTCTTTTTTGACGCCTGCGAACATGTCATCCGAATCGTACTCAGTGGTGAGTTGTCCAGAAGACTCGTCAGAGATCGGCTATTAAACGAACCCTAGGTTTCCTCATCCTCACCGAACTTCCTCTTTTCAAGGCCTATGTTTCGCGGAACTGGCCCTTGTTCAGTGCTCGATCCAGCTTCATCATGCTTGGGTTCTCCATGGTCTTTCTCGGCAACAGCATTCTGGGCAATCTGAACAAACAAGCAACCAGTCAGAAGAGCCTGGGTCTACCCTTCTGGCGTCTTGTGATTGCCTCTGGGATCATAGTTCTCGTGATGGGGGCGATCAATATCCTGGCAGTAAGCAAGTTTCCAGACCCTCTGAAGACCACCACACTAACGGATCTGGCAGAGCTATGTCTTCAGAGATACCCGAGCACATCTTACAGCCCGACAAGTTCGATCCCATGGCGCAGTGGCATCTCACAAAGCCGACATGGAAGCAACCACGCCGAAACCGCCCAGTCGACGCAGTCATTATCGATCGTTCTTCCTCGGCAGCAAACGAGACTCGCTTCCTTCATACCACTCTCGCAAGAACACCGAGCGCGGCGACATGGCTCAGACGCCGAAGATGCACCTTGCCATTTCGAGCCCCTTTGCTTACCACCAACCTACGACCAAAAATGCACAAAGTCCAGGAGGATCCAGCTCCAGATACAGCCAAAGTCCCAAGACCGAACGACATGTTGCAAGTCCCGAGCTCTGTCGCCCGGATTTGGCACACCATCCTGCCATCACCCACGGCCAGGCTCTCTAGGAACGAGTCGAACCAGTCAATCGGGCAATATTGGACAGGCTGGGGAGTCGAGGAAACGATCAACTGTCGAAATACCATTTCAGTGACAGCGCAACCGACCTACATGGCATTGGGTTTTCGTATCTTCACGACCGACGTTGAAAGTTGACTCGATAAAGGAAACAGTACATGGGTCGAGAATGAGCGTCCAGGCAGGGGGTGGGGGTTAACGCGTTGTGGCCGGCATCAAATACACATATTAATCCATCATGAATTATGAGATAGTCAAATGGAGATACCCTGGTTTTCGCCGAGATACTCATCGTCGACCATGACTTGATTAGTCTTGAATCTGTCGTTAGCCTGATGTGCTGTTTATATCTTGTTTCATTCTGAACCTGAAAGCAGCACTGGCATATCACATGCAGCAGTATGTACTGTAACAACTCCCCTATCGCCCCATGTCCGCCACTCCTCCAGGGTTCCGTACCTAGTGAGGCTCCAAGACACGGCACGGAAAAGAGAAAGAAAGAAAGAGAATTGCGAGACCATTGGCCTATCTCAACACTGGTTCCTTGTATGGCCCCTTCGTACCTGCGGGCCACAGACTCACCAGTAGAACTAGTCAATCAGTCTAGACCGCAAGCACCGGTCTTGTTGTGTTCTATCTAGGATTCGGTATCCATCAGCCCCTCCACAACTCCCTCCCTGTCTCCTCTTCTTCTCAGCTCGCCATCATCCCGCGTCCCTCACCACTGCGTCCGCTTCGATCTCCTCCTTACCTCCTGGCCCATCCCGATACGCTCTCTCGTCGTCCCCTCGTCCCGATCCTCCTCTTCTTGCCTCCACACCGCTTCGCTGGCCCTATAGTACGTGCGACGCCCTGCCCTTGGGTGCACACTAGAGAAGCAAGATATCGGTCAGACTTGTCCTGTTATCTGCCCTCTTCCTAACCCACGAGCCTGTGTATTGCCCGATGCGGGAAACTGCTTGCCCAAGACGGCCGCAGACTCAAAAGTTGATGCTCCAGCATGGTGAGAATTGCCACCAAGGTGGGACCTGGCGGCCTCTACTATACGACACGCTTTGAAGTACTTGAGTTCTCTGTACATGAGTTCGCTCCCGCATGAGCAATGTGCAAGATCTGCAATAGCTGCCTCGCTGCCCACAGAGTCCCCCCGTGCCACGCTGGCTTGCATGAATGACGAGGACAGAGCTTGAGGATCAGAGCCTGGCCCTCGTAGAAGCCTCTCCTACATGCTTGTCATATCTGGTGGGACGCTTAACAGGGACAGACAGCTCATGCAGCCTGACCTGCACGCCTTGTACATCCTCATAGGCAGGTTGGAGCCCCCTAAAGATACAAGCCTCTCATCCTGCACTTTCAGTTCGCTCAGGCTGCACATCAGTGTCTTTCGCATTGGGGCCGATCCATACGGTGTCCTAGATATGAGAAGACACCCCAGCCTCCTGTCGAGCCGAGCCGTCTTGCCTGTCCTTTGCGCTTCCTATATCTATGGCTCTGCCTAGTTCCTCTGCTTGAATTGTTCCACTGATGGAGGTGAAGCCAGAGAACCCAGACGGGCCATACTTATCGCGGGTCAAGAGATTGCAGCACGCCTACCCCGGACTGAATCAGCTTTTGAACAAGATCTCCAATAAGGCCGACCAAGGACGTTTGGTGGTAGACTCTGCCTACAAAGAACGTTATGGCAGACCACCCGGCCGCTGCGCTGTTCTCGAGTTCACCGACGACGGCGTCAAGCATGAAGAATTCAACACCGCGGATGGGCTGCGACTACATCTCGAGACCATCAAAGCACAACCCACTAAGAACAGCGCCTGTCGGCTGTATGTTCTCGAGGACCTTGAACCCGGCTTTGTCGAAACACTCGGCGAACACGTCGGTGTCGATCCGCACGTCTTTGCTGAGCAGATGAACACATGGAACTTCACAGATGTCAAGTCTGTCGGGCATCGCGCGCTGCCTTCAATGATGCAGCCCGGCAAGGCGTTCACTCTTCGGTATTACGAGTTCCGCGGCCTAGACCAAAGCACGAAAGACGACATCTCGTCCCTGGGCAACCAGATGAGCTTCGCAGTGAACCGGAGGTGGTACGAGCCATGGATGACCATTGACGGGCCCAGCTTGCCGAACGACGATCCTCTGGCGTTTCTACGACGCTGCGCTTCCTTTTGGACGTCACAGAGCAGGAGCTCAAAAGCTAGCGATGGCTGGAATGGTAAGTCAAAATAATGGCTCCTCCATGCTAGCCGACAAACTGATATATGTGCATCGCCATAAGCCGTCATGCTGGTGGATCCGGCATTAGATACGTTCAAAGCACCGTCAGGCCGCGATTTCTACATTTTCAAGGGAGAAGAGTTCCAGAACCGAAATGAACTGTGGTACGCCCGGGACGCGGGCCGGTTCTTCAGGTTGGTGAAATTCCCCCACTCCAGCGAGCCATATCACAAAGGCTGTCCGACGATCTACCCGCTGTCATTCTGCTCCTCGCAGCGTGCCGCCACGGCAGACCTGATCGCCAACACGGGGCCACGGTCCGTCACGTCTCCTTTCGACGAAACCATCTTCTACTGGACGAACCTGGCCGACAAGCAGGAAATCCGTGCGGCGAAGAAGGATTCTGTCAACACAGCCCAACACCTTCTGAAGTTCGTCGCATACTACTGGATCCACACGCTGGAGGTGGTCTCGCACACTCTCGCGCAGAGCGAATACTTCAGCGACGACAACCCGGCCACCAAACCGGAACACATGAGCACGCACGAATGGAAACACGAATTCTACAAGGTCGTCAAGACCAGCCACAAGATCAACTATTTCCGGCGCCAGATGATCTACTTTGAGAACGCCATGACGCTGAACCTAGAAAGACTGGGCATTTCGCTCGACGGAGGCGGCGGCGGCGGCGACTTCCAATCTGGGGCCGCAGCAACCGTGGTGCCCATGGCCCAGGCTCTTTCCGACGCTCAGAAGGATTTCAAAACCCTAGCAAGCCGCTTGAGACCACTGCTTAGCCGCGCCGACAATCTATCGACCGTGGCCAACGACATCGCCTCGCTGCGGGCCGCGTTCCAGGCCATCGAAGACAGCGCCACAGGGCTCTCGCTGAGCATTCTGGCCACCGTCATCTTCCCCTTCACGCTTGTGGCTTCGATGTTCAGCATGGCGGATAACTTCCTGCCGGGCAAACGAAGCTTCTGGGTCTTCTTCGCCGTCAGCATTCCACTGACTATCGTCATTTCTTTGGTCCTGGTCGTGGCGCGCCGATGGGGGTCGTGGAGGGATTCTCTGGTCAAAGCGATCCAGGCCCGGACCACGGGGAGGAACGGTCGCGCGTCAGGGCCAGGAGTCAAGATTCCAGCTGAAGTTGTTAATGGGAATCCGGGGCCGTGGAAGGGTCGGGGTCGGGGTCGAGGTCGTTGGGGAACTGGCTGAGTATGCTTTTGAACTTGCTCGCTTGGTCAAGATCTACTGGTATGTGTCAAAATAAAAAAGGTATTCGATACCATATTTCTAGCATAACAAGGTTATAGCGTTCGCAATCTATATTCTGACAGTATGCTTCCAAAAGTTGTGTCTGTTGTCTGAAAGGCGTGTGAATGATTAGCTATTCAGGACCATCTCACAGCACTTTTAAGTTGCACGAGAATAAGCAATGCTTTTACATGTTTGCCTGGGCAGCCGCAGCACCTCAGCCTCGTTTTCTTAAGGCTTAGCCGCAGCCTCGTCTTCCTTGAGGCTATGCGAATGCCGAAATACTAGTATCTGGGTCGTTGCTTTGTCGTTCTGAAACATCGTACCTCCTACCTTTGGAGTCATATTCTACCAAACACCTCTAGAGAAATTTACTCTTGTCTGTAGTAAACGTATTCAAGTTCCCTCTTCATTCACTCATTTTCCTTCAGATCTTTCCAGATGGTCGGCATACAACTCTAAAACATTTCAACTCTCTCCCTCTCTGTCTTCCTTGACCTTACTTGGCGATCGAAGTCCTTGTCCGTCCTTAATACCTGCCATCCTGATCTGACATCCAGTTTCTCGTACCCTGCACCAGATGACCAGACGCATGGCTCTTCCGAGCTCTATAGGCCGTTGGTCTCGCTTACTCTTCTGGAAGTCTGTATCAAGGTATCGGCAGCAGCAAGTAATAGTAGTAATAGCAGCAGCAGCAGCAGTCAATTTCCAGTTGAAACCCAAGACACTTGTCTCTCCCTCAGGGAGATATCCCCTCTAGGTAAACATCCAACTAGACCTCCGACTCCGGGCCGGACTCTTACTCTTCTCTCGGACCACGTACATTTTATCGCCGCCCTTGCGGACGTGATCGTTCGGACTGAGTTTGGTCACGACCTTGGTTTCCTTGATATACGGGCCCGTGATGAGTTTGCGGTCCTTGAGCCGGCGCGTGTGTTCGAACAATTCGTCTTGGAGGGTGTGGTCGATGTATTTCTTGATGATGATGTATTCGTCGTCGCGCTAAACAAGAAACATGTTAGCCTATGCCCGATAACAGATATGATAGACGTTTTGCCTTGTTTCTTCCAAGCCTTCATTTAACCAGAGGTTCATAGGTAGAAACTGGGCAGGTTGAAGGAGCCCCCAAAAAAGGAGAAGCAAAAGAAGAAAAAGAAAACTCACCCCATCCCATTCCCATGGCAGACCGTACGCATCCAAAGTGTCGGGATGCAGATACTTGCGGTTGACTTTGATGTAGGTCGGGCGGTGGAGGTCGATGGCCAGACTGGCTTGTTCGGATTTCTTCTTGTGCAGTACTTCTTCGATGTATTCGCTGCTGTAGCCTGAACGGAAAAAGGGAGGGAAAGTCCAACAATTAGCCCACCCAAACGTGTGAAATGTTGATAGGGAAACGCTTGAATGAAATGCATGAGGGATAGGAAGGCCAGTGATATGTAGCGAGGGGAGAGATGGGACAGTGTTCGAGAAGCAGAAGGCAGCAAATGACAGAAGGCAAGAAAACACAGAACTAGACGACATCGAATAGTCATCGAGAACAACAACAACGATGACATGAGCGACGACGTCCAGAACAACAACAACACCACCACCAACACCAACAATAACAATAACCCAAGATCCGCAATAACACCAGGAAGAACAAGTAACAACAAGTAACAACATCAATCAATCCCCTCCACCAACACACTACTAATATCGATGGGGATCATAAGAACGAAAGGGCCGTAGCATACCAGCTTTCATGAATTTCTCTTTGACCTTGCGCTCAAACTCTTCGTCCTCGGCCTTCTTCTTTTCCTTCTCTTTCCTCGCCTTCTCCTCTTCATCCTTCAGGATCTTCTGCCTCAACTCTTCGGCGTCCTTCTTCTTCCGTTCCTCCTCGAGCTTGGCTTCCAGCAGGATAGCCTCGCGCTCTTTCTTTCTGCGCTGATGCTCTTCCTCCTCTTCCAACTTCCATCGCTTCTTTTCCAGCTCGCGATCACGCTTGATGCGGTCCTGGATCCGTCGCTCCTCGTCCTCCTTGCGCTGCATGCGGGCATAGTCCAGGTCTCGCCGGATATGATACGGGAGGTCATCTTCAAGCAAGGCCTTTGGGCGAGACACCAGATCTTCCTCATACAGGGGTCTGCCTCGGCGACCGCGGCCTCTACGATGTCGTGACCGCGATCGATCATCTTCGCTGGAATATTCCGAGCTCGAAGATCCGCTGCGGTGACGACGGTGCCGGCTTCGACTGCGCGAAGTGTGCCGCCCTCCCGCGACTGTCGGCAAACCACCGATGTTGACGATGGTGGGTGCCGGCCCGCCGCCTTGGCTGGACGCCCGTGGTCGAGCGCCTTGTCCTGGAACGCCGAGAAAATTGTTGACCACAACCTCTTCGGGCGATCGGGCGCGGCGGGATCGCCCATAGTCGCTCCCCGCGTGGCTGCGCACGGGCATCAGCACGTACTCGGCTTCGGAGCCCGACGAGCGTCGAGACGGCATATTGCTGGTTGACTGTTGACCGTGGGTAGCCTCAGGCAGAAACAAAGGACAGTGATCCCGGATCCTAGGAGTGAGTCCCTGCTCGGACTGCTGCGCGTCTAAAACAGTTCAAGATCGAACTCTTGGGATGTGATAAACAAACAAAACCCGAGCAACACCTCCAATGAGCGGGGATTAACTGCCTCCAACCCTGGCGGTGGATTGCGGGCAGAAGCCTAATTGGGGAGTCGGTGCGCTGCGGTGCGGTGCGGTGGCGGTGGGGTAGAAACCAGAAAAGCGCAGGGCACCTGGCAATTCAGCGCCCGACAGCTGCTCAGAGTCCCTGGCAAGGCGGTTACGGATTCTTCTCGGGCGCAACTATGCAGGGGAATCGATCGATCGATCGAAGGGTCGATATGTCCGAAGAGGATATAAGATTCTCGGTAATTCCGTCTGTTGCGGACTCCTGCTGCTGCTCGACAGCTAGAGAGACGAGAGTGGTATAGAGAGAGAAGAGAGAAGGAGGGAAGCTTCACAAGTAATTTCAGCTTCTAGTGGGGTGATTGAGGGGGTTTTATTCAGCCGATTCTGGTGTCGCATGCCAGCGCAAGATGCAGTGGGAGAAAGGCGTTTGGGGGCCAGTGGCAGGTCGCTGCAAAAGGTCAGTCGCCGGGGTTCGTATCGCGCCGGTTGCGAGTGGTGCAGTGGAGGTGGAAGATAGAGAGCAGCAGGTGGGCGGTGAGTCCTCGCTTGGTTCCCGCTGTTGAGATCCCCACGAGTTAGTTGTCTGGTCCTATAACAGCTCAATCTCCTCAACGCCAAAGCGACAGACACCACCTACAAATAGGTGCCTTGCTCTCCCGAACTGCTTCATCTATGTTTCGTTTGACGAGCTCTGTTCTCTAGGCATCTACTCACAAATACACAGGCTTTGTGTTTCATGACCAAACGGGGGACTGTGTCCATGACCTCCATGACTCCATCATCAGGTAGCCAGCCATTGCATTTGCACTGATGTTGGCCGGTGGAACTCTGGACGCCTGACCGCATCTCCTGCCCTAATCGTCGTCATCTTCCGCACCCACCACTATGTCCGGCCCTTCAGCAAGGAGATGTCCATTTCGTGCTCGATGCCCAAGACTAAGACACGGGCATCCCGATGGTCCCCGTGACACCTCCGTCCAACGGCTCTCATTCTCGGTTCGCATCGTCCAAGGTTACACACCTAAACCAGGGCGAACAGGAAATCCACCATCACTGCCATGCAGTATCCGTCTTGCTACTTGGCGGCAGCTTTCCGTTTGTTGCTGTCGAACAGCTGCGTTGGCTGAACGCTGGCGCCGTCCTCCCTTGACCCTCCTTCCTCCCTCCCCATAATGCGGATTTGACCAGGGACACTCACCCCGGAGCAAACGGGAATATAGGCTGCAATATGATCTAGCAAACACACCGGAGGATCAGGGTGCCTTCATTGATGGATCGTCCCTCGCTGGACTCAGCAAATGGCACAACGCACAACGGATCCATAAGTGGCTCGGTTCAGTCAATGCAGTACCTTCACGCTCCTCGTCCATGCATAGGAGATTGGATGGCTTCATGATGCTCCAACTCTTCGGGTCGTGCTTTCAGCTCAAAAGCCTTTTTTAAAATCGAGGACGACCCTTCTGTGCCACCTTCATTTCATGGTTTCTTGGGTGACAGCCCTCGCCGTGACACACAACCAATGCAAGACTGTGGACACTGTCCTAGGCAGATCCGGACTGTAGGATCTTCTCGATATGCTGCCGGCTATTTTTGTATGTTGTCTCTTGATAGTGCAGTCTCTTTTCCAAGTCGGAAATGTCTTTGTTCAGCGTACTCGCCTCGGAAGTCAGGCGCTGGTTTAAGGTCGAAATCGGCACGGCGACGAACCTGACAGAAACAAATGTGTGTCAATAAAAGCCCAAATCATGTGCAAGGGTGCGGCAAGTCAATGAATCACGGCCTACATTTTCCCTACTCCCTCGTATACATTGGTGCCGTCGGACAGAGACTTGAGTTCGTCGGATGTGAGATGATTCAAGCGTGCATCGCGTCGTTTGGCACTCAGTTCTGCCTGAGTCTGAGTGATTTTCTGCTGGGAGAGGATGGCCTGCGTTTCGACTTCCTGGAGCAACTGCAGGATGTCAGTCAGTATCTCGGCTCTGTAGAGCCCATCTGGGGGCGCACCTTTTGCAATGCAACATTCGGGATAGCCATCTTCAAGCGGGTGGTTGTGTGGTTGATCGGATGAAGTTGGTGGGTTTGAGCCTCAAACGATGATCGACTTTCTTAGCTGGCCAGGTTGGAGGAGTCTCCGCACCGAAAAGAGTGCAGCCTAATATTACGACGTTATCACTACTAGACCGCCTAGAGATGCATGGGTTTTTGCTTTTGGCCTGCGAGCCAGTTAAGCAGCTTACCTTATCACGGGGGTGCTTCCACTCTTCAGGACATGGGACTAGGGGCCAGCTTGCATCCTTAGGATCATCAGGTACCTGGAAAACTGCTACTTCAGGTACCTCGGTACCTAGGGTAGCTACATGTACACAATAATAGTAATAGATCCCTATAGGTGCCTACGGAGAAACGGCGACTCTGTTGGCATCGCCGTTGACACCTGGAAAGCCGGTTTAAGGACAGTACTACAGGATCTTAGGCACCACGTCATGACCCAATTCCAGTCCGACTTCTTCAAACCGACCGACCGGCATGAGATTCGGATTTGAGAAAGTGATAGACGGATATCAAGGCACGATGGGGATCCACCACTACACATGGTTTGTCCTGAATTCCGATTCCGTGTAGGCACCGCGTCTGTGCAGTTCCACCTGTTCCATCGACTTCCGGCGTATCCTTAAAAGCCTTTGCAGAGTCCCGGCCCGTGTGAACATGGCTTCTCCTTGAACGAGCACCGGTACCTCACTGCAGACCGCAAACCGCAAACCGCAAACCACAAACGGTTTTCCGCCGCAAGGATGCCCTCATGGCTGCCGTCCATCCCGTACCCGCCGCCAGACCAGCCTGGCTACTGGGATCCGGTGACCTCGACACTGCAATGGTGTGAAGAGGTATGTACCAGAGCCTCCAGCCTCGACGGCTCGGCACACACAGCGCGCAGAACTGACGGACCTCTCTAGGACTATTACGCGACATACTACTCGGCCGAGATCATCAACACTTTGACGAACGTGATCTTCATATATCTTTCCTACAAGGGAGTCAAGAGCTGCAGGACACATGGCCATGCTAGGGTGTTTGAGGTTGCATATTTCGGCTACTTTCTCGTCGGATTCGGGAGCTTCATGTTCCATTCGACCTTGAAATGTATGTTGGCTCTCAGTCGGCGGGGTTTCACTCTTGCATAACAATTCGTTTCTGACAAAAAACCACAGACCCCTGGCAGTTGGTGGACGAGCTGAACATGATCTACACGACCTGTCTAATGGCCTACGCCAGTATATCTTACACGCGCTCCGTTCGAGTACAAGCCGCGCTGGGGATTTTCTTTGTCGTCTTCTGCGCCTTCATCACCGTCTATTACCACTATATCCAAGACCCGACGTTCCATCAGACCGTCTACGCCGCCTTGACCGTTTTCATTGTCTTTCGGAGCCTCTATAGTATGGAGTACAGTCTGCGTCCTTCCCTGAGGCAGTCGGAAGAGAGACACCGCCTTGAGCGGGAGAAAATGAACGAACCGGCCCTGTCGAAGCAGCAACAGGAATACGAAAACAAGCGAGACATGGAGATCTTGAAGAACATGTGGATTCTCGTCGGCTTCGGCGTGTCCATCTTCGTCACCGGGTTTGGAATCTGGGCGATCGACAACGAGTATTGTTCGACATTGCGGAGCTGGCGTCGTGCGGTGGGAATGCCTTGGGGTTTCTTTCTTGAAGGGCACGGTTGGTGGCATTTGATGACGGGAATCGGAGCCTATTGCTACATTGTCTGGGGGATCCACCTGAGACATATTCTCAATGGCGACCAGGAGCATTACCGCATGGATTGGCCAAGTATCTTTCATTTGCCCGAGATTGTCAAGGTCTCGGAACCAGGGTCGAAAGGTGGCAGCCCGGCCGGAAACGGGGATGCCAATGGAAACGCCAAAGGGGAGGCAAAGAAGTTGAAATGATCGCAGATAGACGGACAAATGGACCCGGATTCAGAAACCTGAGGTGGCTCTTCATCACGCCTTTCCCATCTGTTCTGTCCAAGCATGCCCCTACAGCGTCTTTCGCAAGTCCCTCAAGGCGTGCTCTTACTCCTGTTCCTGGAGGACGATCTCTGTCTCATCATGAAGGTAGCCGTATCTCGTGCTCGCATCCAAGGCATTTTCCAAAGTGACTGGACATTTAGACCGTGAGTAACAGAAGAGCCAGAACATGAACGGCGTAACATGAAAGCGTCAGGGCATTGAGTGTATAGGACTCACAAGGGTAGAGCCGTCATCAATATACTACGAGTACCTCTGGACAGTGGTAGAAGCGTCGCGCGTGAATGTACTAACTACTACTCCGAGTCTACGGGCGGGATCTTCAGCCTTCCAGCCAAAGTACTTGGCGTGACTTGATTGGCTCCTAGTCAACGGCAGCAAGGCTGGCACTGGCATTGACACTGGCACTCGACGTCTGGCCTCATCAGTCTCCCCCGCTGCAGTTCGTATCCTCCTCTTTCCTATACTACTGCCTATCTGGTCCCTTACCTAGGCAACACTAGACAACAACTAAACAGAAGTACACTACTAGTACTTCGTGTTCTTGAGTCACTGGCATACCTCGACCGACCTGATAGATCATTCCCTTCCACGAGGACCTAGCACGGCATCATGCCATGAGCAGTCAACAAACAGGCTCGAGGAAAGCTTTCCAATCGAAGAAGAACAACTTTTCAGCGGTCAGCAATACAAGCCAGGCATTACCTGAACTCTGAGATCGCCCGTTTTGGTCCTCATCTCTGAAGTTTCAGTCCCAGCTTCAAAATCTATAATGTCAAACTCGTACTCCACAAATTGAATATCGACTCTTGTCTTCTCCTGAGACACCTACTTCTTCTCCACTGACTATCAGTCTTCTTGGACTCTATACTACCACCACCACCACCAACAGCAAGAACAGGAACAAGACCAACTCCATCATCAGCAATAACAAAAACAAGAACAAGAACAAGAACAACTCCACACTCCAACTCATCATGGCCGCTCAATCCACAACCGCCAACACTGGCACGACCACGACAACAGGAACAACAACAACTACAACTACAACACCATCCCATATCCTCTCAACTCACCGCGCTCTAGTCGAAACCCTGACCTCATTCCTAACCGTAGCGACGCACCACATCCTCTACCTCCGACGCCTCTACCCGCCCATCTCATTCCTCTCGACCCGCGCATACAACTACCCGGTGCGCCAGAACCGCCACCCGGCCGTCTGCACTTGGATCCTCGACGCCGTCAGCGCCGTCCGCGACCAACTGGAGAAGAACACGGTCGAGAAAGTCGCGCTGTGTATCTACGAGTGTGAAAGCAATCGCGTGCTCGAGCGCTGGACGTTCGACTTACATTCCTTGCCGGCCGTGGCTAAGAGGGATAGGGATGTTCCTTTTGAATCTGCGTATACGTCCACATCGGCACGTCCTTATCCAGCAGCATCAGCATCGGCATCAGCAGCAACACCAGCATCAGCATCAGTATCAGGCCCAGCACACACCACAACCACCACCACCAATACAACTCAATCAGCTCTAAATACAAACCCAAATCAAATCTTGCTAGCGCGCACATTGAATCTGACTGATCTAGAAGCACACTTCCGCGCCACTTTGTCCAGAATCAGCACCGCCGCCGCCCGACTGCGGCCGTTGCCTGAAGGGCCTGGGGCGCCGGAATGCAGTTTCACGCTGGCAATCGAGGTCAAAGATAACGCTGATCGGCCTGTTGGCAGACTTGAGCGGGAAGAGCGGAAATGGATGGCCGCGGAACCTGAAGTTTTTGATGATGCTAAAGACCCCGATGGACGAGCTACTGCCTCGACCTCTGGAAATCAAAACAGACAAACAGTGTCCAAAGACAAAAACAAAGATAAAGATCCAACTTCAGCTCCGGCTCCGGCTCCGGGTCTCTCTCATTCTCCACCCCGGCATGCCCGTCAAAGTCAGACGCATGCAGTCCGCCGCCTCGAAGCCGGCGAATTACGCATCGAAGTCTGGGTGGAAGAATCCGCTGCGAAGTTCGACTACAGTAGCATGGAAACCACTTCTGGCTCTGGTCCTAATACTACTACATCTGCTCCCGCCGCCGAGAGACGGGCCAAGATGTCCTACGGCGCCGGGCAGGAGAGGTTCAATCCTGACGCTGGTCATGGCCCTGATCCTGATCTTGAAGATGCTCTCGGAGGCGGATATGACCTCGAGCCCCCAGATATCAATCGCAAACCACAGGGTGGAGCGACGACAGATTACCAACGCGGGTGAGGGTCATGTTCACACTCAAACTACTTTGCATGCCTACCCATGCAAAGCGATGCCATTCTCCAAGGTTTCCAAAGCTTTGAAGAATAAACAAAACAGCAAATGGTGACCATGGCCTTAGGCTCGAAGAAAAGAGAGCAGAACGAAGAATAATATTGTTCTTCCGCCGCTCCTTTCTGGCCACTATGCTACCGCCTCTGTCTTCTGGCCCACATAATCCCCTTCGAGATCCCTAGATTCTCCTTCTCGTCGACAGCAACCTCCTCCCGCTGTCAACCGTCTGACGAGTTGCTTGGCACTGTTCCCACAACACCAGATGGTTCTCACCATTCTGAATAATGAGCATGTCGCCTTCCACGCACGCCTGCGCTCAACATCGAGTGATGTCACGAATAGTTGATGAAGGTGTTCTGAACGGTGACAACGTCAGCTCAAAATCGGGCTGCACGATCTCATGGATAGGCGTGGCGGCGATCCTCGAATGGCGGGCCACCGGGAGGCATCCTTGGAAGCCATGGGGCCTCAGAGGCAGCATCTGCGATATCATCTGCTGGCTCGAAATCAAATGGGTCCAGAACCGGGCGTGGTTGGTAGTGGCCTCCACGACCGACGAATTCCCCTGCGAAGCCTAATTCCATAGGCGGCGGATATCCAGCAATGGGGTAGGCTTGCCCTCTGTCCAGACCCAAGACGGTGTCATTAAGTCTCCATCTCTGATTGTGGTCGGGACCGTCAACTCTCATCTCCACCTCCTCAGGCTGCTGTGGACGGTCGGCGAGGGCATGTTGCCGGGTAGGGGCTGGGGCCACATTGGGGCCAAATGTCCGTGGCAACTGAGGAAATGGAGGCCCGTCTCTGGCTACCACTACATTTGCGTCGGTGGGACCAACTTGAACTTGTTCAGCCCTCACCAGAGTATCTCTCCATTCTTGCAATCTAGCGGCCTCGGGCCACGGGCGGAGGAGACCTCCAACATGAGGACCAGGGATCATGCGTGCCATGATTGCATTGCGGTCTCTCAACATGATTTCCATGCGGTCTCTCATGATTTCATTCTGGTCTCTCGGCGCTTGCAGCTGGGCCTCGCCAACGCCATTCAAGCGACCGGCTGCGTCGTTCAGGTGTCGGTAGAAGGCGCCTGGTGCGGGTTGCTTTGGCAGTTCCGGCTGTTTCCCTTTGCCAGTCTCAATGCGTAGTTTCGTCGCATCGATATCGGCGTCTTTTTCTTTCACTTTTCCGATCGCCTCTGTTTCCGCTTGGTTCGCCTCCGCCTCGTGCCGGTTCACGCCTTCTTGGTCATACAATGCGCATTGACTTCCCGGCTGGTTGAAATGGTCGTACGGGTTGGGGATCGCCGAGAGATTTTCTTTGCACTCATAACAGAGCATGGTGCGACAGTTGGTGCAGAGGATTTTGTTGCAGCCGAACTCCTTGACAATCTTGACCTTACACCTCGGGCAAGTTCGCATCACAGCATCTGATCGGGCTTCTTCGACAAGATGTCGTGCAGATAACTCATTCTCATTCTGACTCTCTTCACATGTCTTTGGGAGGTGGCTGTCCTTGTTGCATTTTCTGCACGTGGCACGACAACAATCTGGGTTCTGACAGTAGAAAACTAGTTCCTCACTGACATCGTCACATATTGCCTTGAAGTCGCAGAATCGACACTCTTCCAGCCCTTCAATACCGGCGGCCGCAATCTCAGCTTGCTGCTTGTTCAGTTGTAGGCGATCGAACGTCTTGATTGGGACGGCTTTTCCAACGCCATCAGGAGCTAGCTCAGCTGTACACGCACTTCCGTCCATGCACAACAATTCATATCTCATCAACCCGACCTGAGTGTCTGCTAGACCTTCTACGCAGGTGAAGCAGAAGAAGTGTGGTTGTTCTGCCGTACAAGACACCAGGCGGTTGAGCGGGACTTGGTCGTCAAAGCAACATTGACACTCGAGAACTGCACCGCTTTCTTTGTGGCTGACAAGGTTTGCGGCTTCTTCTTGGGCTTTCGCCTCCTTGGCTGCTGCCTTTATGGCCTCTCGTGCAACATGTTGTTTGGCAGCTTGCATTTCATTCACCCGATTGGCATATTCCTTCTGTATGCGACTATCTTTCTCCTTCTCCGTAAGTTGATACTTCTTCTCAACTGCAATTCTTGCACGATTAAGTCGGTGGTAAGGACGCGCCGAGAGGTAGTAGAAGCGGTCCTCAAGCTCGTGAATATGCACATAAGCATTAAAGATGGAGTTCTTCTCTGTCGCGACCTTGACAATGTAATGGGTTGGGACATGGTCGAATGTTTTGGCTAGAAGGATCACTGCGTCTTTGGTATACATATATCCTTTCGTCAGTTCTCGATCCCATGTTATCGTCACACCTGTACCATCTTCGGCGGGGATCAATTCAGTAGGGATGGAAATTGACACGCGTTCTCTGGGGTATACGTCCATTTCCAGGACCTCAGCAATGATCTCTTCTGCGATATGCGGTGCTCCGTGCTCGATGATCTGGCCATCTTCATCGTAGAAGTCCGGCTGGGGAGGATGGGCGTGAATTTTCTTTATGACAAAAGCACGTTCGATGTTGGGGAAAACGTCGAGCACACTTGTCAGACATGCCTGCTCAATGCTACCCTTAGCATAAGTTCCACCGCTGTTTGCTTCATCATCGGACTCCGAGTCAGAGCCGTGGACCACGTAGGGGGCGTGGACGGGTTGTCGCAACTTGGCAGCCTTCCTGTTCAACATGGCCACTTGTTCACCATCCCACTTGTCACACAGCTCCTGATGGCCCTTGACGGTACCCAGGACAACGGGGAACCGTTCATAGCCCGGGCCTCGATACATTTTTGCCTCAAGCCGACTATCCACATAGTAAGGTGGTGGGTTGACTGGCTGCTTCTTGCTTGAATTTGACATGCGGCGCGGCGAGGGAGTTGTGGCGGCAGGACTGAGGAAAGGAGTCGACGTTGTAGAGTATGTCCGCTCACGACGGCGGTTTGTTCTTGACCCATGGTGGCTGTGATGCTCGTACTTGGTGACACGAGGCGTTCCCGGCGAAGCTGGTGTTGTTTGTCGACTTCTGCGCGGTTTTGAATTAGTAGGACTCGAGCCAATATATTGCCCAGCCCCAGTCTCTGTCTTTATACGTTTGTGATCTTGAGCGGTCCGAGATTGACGTGCTTGTCCACCAGTGGTGCATCGAGTGGCACCCTTGCTTGAGCGTTGTAGGCCTGATTCATCGCTTGGACTGCTTCGATGCCGACGGTAAGAGATAGATGCCCATTGCGAAGGTGGGTCAGTATCAGAGTCATCATCCGAGATTTCAATAACGGTACGTAGGGAGGATGTTGGTGTTTCTGCAGGATGGGCGGTCAGAGATCGGTTCCTCTCGCGGCGCTGGCGGAGGTGAGACCGATCGGCCATTCTAGAATGTCGTAAGTTAGTCATGCCAGACCTTTAGGGTATGTCGACCAGGACCGGAGGTTCTTTGTAACGGTATTTGTAGGGACGGGACGGGATCTGCCTGAAGACAGGTAGTGCCTGTAACAGACCGATGTCAAGGAGTAAATGTAGGTAGAGATGTGAAAGAGACGGAAAGGAGATCTCACCCGCTGAATAGAGGAATGTGCACCATGATTTGAATTTATCTGGCTTTGATAGTGAACCGAGACTGCTTGGAAAACAGACAAGGCTGATGTTGGCCTCGACACTGGAGTGAGGCTTCACGTTGCCTCTATGTCCCCGCGACCTGTCATCCCCGCCTCATGTGACAATGAAGGTGGATGGACAGTGAACAGCAGACAGTGGTCTCGGACAGCACCACGACTGCAACCTTGGGAGTTAGAGGAGAAGAGGAGACCGCAGTTGCGATAGCATGTAGGTGGTCAGGCAGCATGGGAGTAGCGAACGAAGAGATGATGGAATGACAAGGTGATAAACGTTAGTTGTGATCAACATGAAGAGCGAGTGAATCTGCGCAGGACGGCCGAACGCGTCTGCGAATCAATGTATCCGCTCAATATGTGTGAGATACCTTGCTAATTAGGAGCTGGTTGTTTGTGGTTTGACCCTTCACTGGATGAGGTCTTCACTTAGTATGAGGTTGGGATCGAGGTTGAGGTTGAGGACGAGATTCAAGTTTGTGGTGAACTCGACCAAAGTGCCAGCAGAACTTGAACCCGGCAACGTCGCAGCTGCGGAAGTTGCAGAAGTTCGGATACAAGACGAATGCATCGGGTTCCAGTTACAAGCCTGAGATACAACAGGGACAATAAGTACAATAGGTGAGGTAGACACCTAACATGTCTTCCGTCAGAACCCTGGATCTGAATTTCTTGACCCAGAACTGCCCGGGGCTTGTTTGTCCCTGCGGCATCCCTGGCACATTGTGATCGATCTCTGCCTCCAGCCAACCTGATGCTGGTTCAGCTGCTTATTGGAGAAAAAACTTAGGCGTCGACTTGACGGGCAGCTTCAGCTGAGGTCGTATGATGTGGAAGCGTACATACGGTACTCTGTAAGTACCTAATAATGATGATTGAACAAAGCTTTGGGCGGGACCCTAGCCTACCTTAGCCGTTTAGGCGCCCTAGGCTCGATGCCCAATCCTCCTTATCCTACGATCCTCCCTATATCCCCTCTACACAGCATCTCGATAAAATATTTGGCATCGTCTATTTCCCAGCCTACGATAGCTCTACTCTGTAACTCATGAACATTCCTCCTACATAACACATCTCAAAGAGATTGTTTACAGCTTCGGATCCTGTTTTCTCATATTGTCGGAAGCTGCACGGCCTACTCTAAGTTGCAGCGAAGCTGTCATGCTGTCATGCCCCGCAAGTCATGTCACTCACGATACTTTCCTCCACAACCCCAGTTGAAACGGGGCATCGATCACCTTGGCTTCATTGCCTCCCCGTCCCCAGTTCCTCTTTTTCTTTCCAAGATTCGAGGGCTCATTTGCCGGCGCCTGCCACTGACGCAAAGATTAGATGTCCAGACCATGGCTTCATGGCCAGCACAGGCGAATGGGATCCCCAAGATCGTGACCTCCAAACCTCCTGCGGTTGACTCCGAGTCTCAGCCATCAGCCGCATCCTCTGATGTCAACTTAGTACCTGCAACGGCTATTGAACATGTCCAGACTACATACCTCAACGAGGATGAGTGGAGGGGACCTTTGACATTGGAGCAATATCTCGAGCGGGAGGGCGTTCTTCAGTCTTTGGACTTGTCAAGAGATGGCCGCATTACCGGCTGGATCCTCACCTCCGAGACTCTTCCCCAGAATCAAGACATGTCAAGACCTATACTTTCCTCCTGCGAGACGTACCTTGTCCATGGTTACGTGGCCAGGGACGGCCATGTAAAGAAAGTGCAAGCACATGGCATAGCCTCCGTTCACACACGACCCGAGCATCGTGGCAAAGGCTATGCTGGCAGGATGATGGCAGACTTGGGACACAGACTCGAAACCTGGCAAAGACCCCATGGCACGAACAATCCATTTTCTGTGCTGTGGAGCGACATTGGCACACAATTCTACGCAAAACATGGCTGGAAAGTCTTTCCCAGTAACCACATCCATCTGACTCCATTGGAACGGGCTGGTTATGAAGCCGCAAGAAGGTCGCTGCCAGCCGTTAATGACCTCTGTGTGGCAGACTTGCGGGATATACCGACGATAGACTATATCGAGCAGCGGTTGCAGCGGTTGTCCGATTCAGAGCCCGGCATCACCCACGTTGCCATCCGTCCTGATCTGGAGCATTTCCAATGGCATTTTGGTCGGGAAGATTACATCCACCAGGCACTTGGGAAAGCCCAGCCTCAAATCAAAGGCGCCATAAATCGAGACACTGGCATAGCCTTGATATGGCACCGAGTGTATGCTGCAAACCCGAAAGATTGGCGCCTTAACATCCTCCACGCCGTCGTGCCTCCCTCCGTGGAGACTTCAAAGGATGCCCAAGCCGTATTGGCAGCACTCCTGTTAAGAGCGCAGCTTGAAGCACATGCCTGGGAGCTGGCGGGTGGTGTCGAGGTCTGGGATCCTTCTGACCTGGTGATTGCGGCCGCCCAGGCCTTGAGAAAGGAAGAGCAAGGGAAAGTCGAAGTCATTACACGAGACAAGAACAATATCCCCAGTCTCCGCTGGGCTGCTGGTGGAGACGAAGAACTTCGTTGGGTGGCTAATGAGCAATACGCCTGGTGTTGACGAACAACGGATCATGCAGCCCACTTCAGGCCGCGCCATGCTTGCTAGGTAGGGCTGGTAAACCCAAACTACAGACCCGTGGCCATATGGCCAGTATGGTGAGAGGTTGGATGGTGCTCACGCCCCCTAACTCATAGACACTGAGTTATATCCACGCACCTACAGGAGGCATCTCTATAGTGGAGCAGCCTAACGGCTTCAGCCTTGACGATCGGTCCAACAGATCTGGACCCGAAGTCCAGCTGGGCCATACAATACACAAATTCAGCTTGACTAGCAGCCGTCTGCTCACCAGGACGGACAAGGCTGCGTGTGGCAAAGGGGGAGAAAGGAGTCAAAAAACGGCCGGCAGAAACCGCCGAGGGAATGACATCATCAGCCCAGGAAAGCTGCCACCTTAGTCATCAGCCGTCTTCCGACTTCTCTGCCACCGATTTGAACTCGCAGTCTCGAGATTCAGTGTTATATCTTGCACCTCGAAGCTATCTATACCAGTACTTTCTTTCCAGCGCCCGGTCTAAAGCGTCCTGTTTCATGTACTATGCATAATCTGCATTTCCAAAAGTTATAACACAAATGGCGGTCCCACGGCCGCGAATAAACCCCATGTTCCAAAGTAGATGGACCTGCGCCTCATGTCTCCTTCGCAGACAAGTCCAAGCCCAAGCCCGCTCGATATCTAGCTCCGCGTTCCCCAGCGAATCTAGAGACCAGCTACCCAAAAACCGCAATACGGCACAGAGGAGGACCAGCCACCGCAGGTCTTTTCACAGCTCGCGCCCCGCCCTCCACGAACCCGTCGACAGCCAGCACCGACAAGCTGTACCTCTGGGCGACTTCTACACCGATCTCCTCCAGACGCCGCTCCCCAAGGGGTCCGAGGCGGACACTGCGCTGCCAGTGTGGGTTCCAAAGGGCGACAAGACCAAAGAAGAACGAGCCAAGCAAGTATTCGGCGCACTCCGGGGATCGGGCTATGAGAGACGATTGCCCGAGACGCCCGAACATAAATGGAGAACGATCAACGGAGTCCCCGTGCCACCGAGACCGCTGGAGCCGGACAACTGCTGCATGAGCGGCTGTGTACATTGCGTGTGGGACGACTATCGGGACGATCTGGAGTTGTGGGCGGCACGGGTCAAGGAAGCGCAAGCAAAGGCACAAAACAAGAGCACGACGGGAAACCAGCCTATGATTCAGATGCATCGTCCCGAAGTCCACGAAGCTTCTGCGAGCATGGACGACGACGGAGGAGGCAGCGAGGCCCTTTGGACTACGCCTGCACCTGGACCTGCGTCGAGTCCCGCCGCGTTGGACGAAGATATTCTTTTCCAGGGCATTCCAGTCGGGATTCGCGAGTTTATGGTGACGGAGAAGAAGATTCGCGAGAGGAAACGAGCTAGAAGGGAGAAGGGGCTGAAAGTCGACGACGATTATTGAGCTGGCCTTGATTTCCTAAGTTTGAGTTGGAAGGCACGACGATCTCAACGTGCTTCAACTCGAACAGCTGGAAAATGTCTGCAGGCGATGGGTTCTTTGACCAACCCTACGATGATGAGTTCCTGGACACTATACCCTGAAAAAGCTGCCCGACCGCGGAAACGCCATGAGCTCTACTCAAGCCGAGCTGGGACACACTCGATGGCAGTGCATTGAGAACATTTTCCATTTCTTGTTGAGTCGGCGACTTTTCTCACAGATTACGGATATCACTCCGTTTTCTCCCTCGCCTGCATGGGGCGGGCTATGGAGCTGTGCTTCAGAATGTTGCGAGTGCACCGCAATGGGAAACAGAACGCCTCTATATTGTCGTTGACGGGCGGTCTCATCCAGCCTCCCTTCAAACTCAGAGCAACAATTCACTGATGCATGGTGCACTCTGTGCTCAAAAATGGCACCTGAATGGTCTTCTTTCTCTGCTGGAATCCAATCTCTCATGACGATCCGTCGACTGTTTTCCGATCGTTGCTCTGCGTACGTCGCCGAGGGATCTGACAGTGTGGTGTGGCCATCCTCTACCATCGAATTTCATTCTACGCATGGCATACGCAGGAGTGGCATTCATGTCTTTGGGGCTTATACTCATTGCTTCACCACGAAGCGTCAATTCGCATTTTCAAGAGTATTGGATCAGTACTACTTAGTAGTATATACTCAACTTGGAGCGTTTCTCGTCAGAATAACAGCAAGCGGATATTCCCAATGCATGATTTACTATGACTTGTTGTCGGTACCATATCCTTTACCTGGGTATGGTACACATTTTGTTTCCTATGCCCTCTCACACCTTCGTGATATTGGTGGGTATGGACATGTTTCCGGTCATTAATGTTATTACTGAAGTCCAGTGGATATTGATTATCTGACTGTAGATGTTTGTTACCGTACTTATATCATCTACCTTATCTGTCTGCTGTATCACCCTTTTGCAGCGATTAAGGCATACTAGGCCAATAGTATGGATGTATCTAGATACTCGAATTTTCGGATCAAAAAATCTGGCTGGTCTTGTACCTGGACCACAATCCCATGTAGCCTTGCTTGGTGTAAAGCATAGGTACGAATGCTCTTCAAACCATATTCTTTTGCCCGACGCCTCCCCCAGGTTCTCAGGTGCTGAGGATATGAAAGATACATGTATATACTATATCTTCTGCCCATCCTACCTACGTATCTGGCTTCCACCTAGAATACCTCCGGTTCATACCCCAGGTACTCAGATTGTACTATACAAATCTCGACTCCTACGTGATCTCGGTCATACTTCCACTTCCAATGTGGAAACCAAGCTGACTGGAAGCCGGAGCAGGAACAAATACACTGTTCCTGACACACGCCTAGCAGATGGGCCGTCTGGCAAAGAGGCATTGATGGCTGTTGAGAATCCTGCTGCTATGTGTCCAGCTCCATGAAGACCATCGTGACTCCCAAAAAAAAGGAAAAAAACAGAACTTCCCTGCCTCCCGACCGGTGTCAGGACTTGGATGACCTGCGAGTTTGGGAACCGCCAACGCCGCCGCCAAATAAAGGTCCGCCAAAAGACTGTAGACAGGGTCGCAGGAAGAAAAATATGAAGTAGCCGGCAAGTCATAGTGTTAGTGTCCAACCTGGTGCAGCAAGTGTGGAATCCGGATTTCGTGCAAAGATGATCAGGTTTGTGCTTTTGAAGTCGATCAACTTGACTGCGTGGGTATGGTCTGGGGTCCAGGCAGTTTTGTTGATATCATTGAGACGTACAACAGCACAAGTATCATCCCGACATTCCAGCGCAGGAAGACTTTGGGCCAAGGAAGGACATGTCGCAGCAAGATCATCGAGTCCGCCACAATGACAAGAAATACTCAGCCGAGCTGGGGTAATGCGGACTGACGAATGCCAGCATACACACATCAGTCACGCAGCCCAAGACGAAGACTCGTAGGAGCATGTTAGGGATGAACATGCCCACTACATGCCCTGAGACCATCATGCTGGCAAACCGCCACAGTGAGGCGGATTTCGGAGGCGCAGGCGGGATGAAGACGGTGTAGTCGATGTTCATCTCGCTTTGGATTGAAAAGGTTGGAGAGGGCATGCCTGGTGATGGTAGACCTGGAGAAGGTAGGCCTGGCGATAGGAACTTTGGCGATGATGGCGTAGAGACAGGTGCACTTTTCTCATTCGTATATGTAGGGAGAACCTTCTCCGTTGAGATCGTTGGGGCCTTCTTCAGCGGCCGGACTTCATTGACCAGTGGACTCTTTGGAATGCTGTTGCTGTTCTGCATCGACCAAGACTCTTGGATCCCGATAGTCAACGACTTGTTTCGGAGGCTGAACGTCTCCTTCCTCAACAGCGAGTTGATGGTCGTCTTGATCCCAGACAACTCGCTGTGGACGGACACAGTCGATCCATGGACGTCCATCTCGAGGAGTTGCAATTGGCGTTGGAGATCTCGCATCTCGTCCAGAGCGTCGTTCTTCAGGGCGGTCAATTGGCGCTGCAAGTCGCGCACCTCGTCCATGGCGTGGGAAAAGCGTTTCTGCCACACGAGTTCCGGGTTCTGAGTGTAAGCTGGCGGAGGGCTGCCTTGGTCTTGACATTGACTTTGACTTTGACCCAACCGTTTCGCAAGGCTGGGATATTGTCTCCTCTGCTGCAGCGCCGAGAAAGAGGAGGAATTCAGACTCGACGCCGAAGTAGGAGTCCTTTCCGACAGCGTCGGCGTGCGTGGAATAAGCGGATAACCCATGTTCGCAAATCCCACATCCGTGATCATCGGACTGCCCCAGCTGGCGGTACTGCTGCTCACCGGGGTGAACTCGTCATCTTCAAACCTCCACGGAATATGGTCGAATGTGGTCTTCAGCGATCTGATCAGCACGTCGTTGCTAGTAACAGTAGCTGCAGTGGCAGCATTAGTAATAGCACAGCCATTACCGCCCGTATCGAGAGTCAATTTGCCAGCACGCGGTGTAGGAGGCGGCGTGTCCCCCGTTGAACGTAGACGACCGAGAGCAGTTTTGACCACGGGCAGAAGATGCGCCAAAGCCCATTTGCCCACGGCGTCGACCCAGACGAGGAAAGACTTGAAATGCTCTTCCCTGCTCAAGTCGAATTTGCACAGCGGAGACATACAATATGCCTGTCCGTGGTCGATCCAATGAATGTTCAAGACGGCGAAGGTGTTGTCGATGACACACGAAAACGCCACAGGTAGCGCAGGCATCCTCTGGCCCTTCCACGCTCTGGCATACAGCATCTGAAGAGCTCTCACGCAACAGGCCCCGCCCACGGCGCTTTGGTTCTTCGCCGCCTCGAGGCGCTGTTGTTGTTCCTTCTCGCCGAATGCCCGTTCGAAGATCAGGAAGGGGCAGTACAGCGCGGCGCCGGGGGAGATGTAGCCTGTGTCGAAGTGCACTATGGTCCCCGTGGTCACGAGCCACGGAGGAAGCACACTGATCTCTTCAGCGCTCAAGGAGGAAGAGGAGAAGCCACATCCTAGGCCGGACCGCGGCACTTGCAGCTCGTAAAAGGGCCCCATTCGGTTGAGCGCGCGTTCGGGGAGCGCATCGCGGCTGAAGCAGGGGATCATGCAGCGGGCGAGTCGGGGCTCGTCGTCGATGGGTGGCAGGATATTGGGTGGGAAGATTGGAGACGGGCCAAATCCGCGGCCCATCCCGACTTGTTCTCGAAAGGCACGCTCCAGGTCGCCGTATCTGGTGGCGTTGGGCATGTCTGCTTCGATCATGGCCACAAGAGTCTGGGGGATCTTCTCTCTGGGAGGAGAATCTAGGATTCTGATGCGATGTGCGCCGAGCACATGTTGGCGGAAGGCCTTCCAGGGAAGATGGCTGCCGTCGTAGCAGAAAGGAGGCAGATCGGATTGTGGAGAGACCTCGAGGGTTGTATGCTCGGTCGACATGTTTTTCGCGTCCGAGGATGCATATCGTATCGTGATGATCTCCTTGTCTGGGCCAGCAAGGACCTCCATGATTCTCGGAGTACTCTTTCTTGGTCTCTGAAGGAGACGTGGTTACTCTGGCACACTGTTTGGCCGCTGTCAACGAGAGGAGATATATACGGGTGTCAAAAGGAGTGAGGACGGTGCCCAATCCTCTGAGGGGCGGCTGGAATGTAGTATAAAGGCAGAGCTCGAGGGGTCCATCATCTCGCTTCCCCGGACAAAAGTGACTGACGTTTCTTCACCCATAGTCGCCATCACTTGGAAACAATGGAACTTTCCGTGGTTAGTCTTGCAAGCGCTCAACTCCCAGATCAATGCTGGTGTCATGCCAGTACCTTTGAGTGGTCTAAGCCGTGCTCTAGTAGGGGCACATGTGGTCGTGCAGGCGCTTGTAGAGGACTTACCACTCGCCTGGGTCTTGTGGCTTCGCGCGACGAAGGGCAGATCCTGACGAGCCTTCGGACTTCCAAAGAGGCGGCACGATGCTGGCTTCACACGTTCTCCGGGCGGCATTCTGACTGGTAGAGACGGTTGAAACAAATGCGGTCCGTAGGCTCTGCATCTTAGCGACCACAGGGTATACTGGTAGTCCTTGTTTTGTAGTGGCAGGGATTGGTAGCTCGAGAAACGTTTGAAACATTTGGGCGCTTACATTCGACCTTGGATAGGTTAACGTGGCCGCTAATCGGGCTCGTTGCGAGGGTCCCATACCGAGTCCCGGGATTTCATGCATACTGCCAGGAGTCAGTCACTACTCTCCCGAAACAACGGGAAAGAGGTGGCTGGGCAATGCAGGATAGAATCGCTAACAGGAAGCGAAGGATAACAGGAAAGGCTCTGCTGCCCCGGAAAGGTTCTGACGAGCTGATTGGTCAGCCTCGTAGACGTTGGCGGTTAACCAATGACGGTCGATCTTCATGCGTGACGTTCAAGTTCCCCTGAGTTTCCATCTCCGGTACACGCTGTTCTCTGCTGACCGCCTTCAGGGTTATGGGCTGCTGCGACATTGATTGACCTGGAGAGATCAGTGACCCATCTACTTTCTTGATCTTTCTGCCGGGCACCTCAGCGGTAGGTCTGGGGAAGGGTCGCCCTACTGGTTCTTCATCAACGGCGCACAGTCACCGACACAGCACCACAGAGCCATAAAAGTATGTCCAGCGCATGAAACAGGAGTCGGACCAATCCAAAGCCACCCACCCAATTTGATCTTGGCTACAGATACCTCACGCCATGCAGCTACTCTTTCAATCCAGCCACCGTGGTGTCTGCAATCTCAGAATTCGCGCGCCCACCGTGGTAGACTTTCGGCCAAAACACTCTTGATCACACCCCGTCTCTTCTTGGCTGGCCGGCCGGGGATCGTGAGCTGCAACGGTGTGTACGAATCCTCCATCATCTTTACGGGACCCTTTGCCAGCTGCACTCTCAGATCGAAGTCGTGCAACAAGTCTGTTATGGATCGCAGCCTGCAATTCTCCGCCCAGATCAGTATGCTTCGGATCCGAGCCGCCATGGCCTCCACATCCCTGTCGTCGTCAAGTCGATACGTCCTAATGACTGCCACGGCGTGAGGAAGACAGCCTTCCGAGTTATGTGTGTTGAGACATGCAGTTTTGCCATTAATGGCTAATGAGAACGATTGTGCCGCCTTGCTCAACCCCCACAGAAAATCGACGTCCCGGTAATGCTTCAACGGCTGCTGCGCGGCGCCTGCGAACGTCATGAGTGCATTGTTGCATGTGGCCGCCGAGCCAGCACAAGCATTGCGCGCCGCCAGCATGGAATCCCCTTGGATTTCAACCACCACAAAGGGCCAGTAAACGTCTGGGACGGGTTGGGAGAGCTTGTGAAGGTCGCACGGCTCGTTTTTGCTGTTGGAGATGATCCCGTGTTGTAATTCGAGCTGGTGAGAGGTGAAGGCTCGAGAGGAATATCCCAAGGCAAAGGCAGGTCTGGGCGTCGGAAGCTGCGTTTTCCATCCGCCCTCGATTGTGAAGTCGGTTACTCCGTCAGGGACGCTGTCTTGGTGGAAAGCATTGTTGGCGCTACAGTTCACGAGCTTGTGTCTCTGCACCACCGAGAATATCAACGGAGCTAGAAGTTCCTTCATCTCCCTGCCACTGACAGATTCTCGCACTCGGACTTGGTGCGCGAATCTGGTAGCCTCCGGGCTGGGGCGTCTGACATCTCCAAAAGGCATGCCCAAGGCAAAGGCAAGTCGACACCATCTGTCATCATCCATCTGCTCATCCTCGACGATGATATTATTAGGCTCCAGGGTTGTGGAGCGGTAACCCGACGCGCCGAATGAGTTTGTGCCCTCCACATCATCACTTTTGCTTGTGGAAGACGTCTGCCGACGATGACGGGACACGCTCATAGTAGGCCTCGTAATATCGGGCATATTGAGCGTACTTCTTGAGGTGATTTGACTTCGTCTTCGGAAGCTTTAGATGTGACGACTCGAGGAACTTGAATGCCGAGTTGAGGCATGACCACGAACTTGAGGAGCTGATGATATATGCTGCAAAAGCAGCCTCCCTGAGGAATGTCGAGTTGGTCATTGTCGTCCCAGCCAGCCTGAAGCGCCTGGGTGCCATTGATAGTTCGCGAGCATCTATTTTGAGAAATGTTTGCCTCAGAAGGCCATAACTGTATGCATCTAGGCGCCGTTGTTGCAGGGCGCCATGTATAGGCCACAGAAACACGGGCACCATTGGGCTGATGGGCGTCAAGTGAGGCGCGTCAACTGACGCTGCTCTCCTCAACTTACCTACCTGGTATGGACCTAAGTCATTCATGCCAGCAACGACGGGAGCCGCTTACTCTATCGATACCCAACGTTTAGTAACATGTCGCTGGCTGGCAATGTTCTGTTCTGACCAAAGTTGGGCCAGACTTAGACGGTGAGGTTCTTCCGTCTCTTCTCTTCCTGTGATCGCAGACAGTGAATACGAGATTACGGTGGAGTATTAGTACAGGGATTCTGTACATGGTGGAGTATACATGGTCAAGTGCACCAGAGACTATCATTAGGTAAGCCCTCTCCGGATTCAAGATCCAGACTTCAAGTTCCCCGCCGACTACATTTCATACTTCATCCTTCATCCTTCATACCGCGTGCCACGCACCCTCCCTGCTTCTATCTCGCCTCATCACCGCTCCGCTGGGTGTTGTAAAGCCATCGTCTTGATTCTAAAGCCGACTTCGGTTCCTCATCGAGTGGTGACGCGACGCTTATAAGAATAAGAGGAGAGCTCATCCCACTCCGCCATCGTCCGATGGGAACGAGATGATATATTGACATGAAAGCATTCCGAGCGTCAGCTTCAGCAATCACCGTTATCACTACCACTCCTCTTACATTCAGGCAGCCGCCACTGGCCCCGTGGGCCTCGCTCGGCATCGGGCTATTAACAAGCAGTAGAGGAGGATCCAAACTCCGGTCCTACTTCTCAACAACGTCCTGTTTTGTCCCACAACCGCGAAGGACTGTTTCTCAGTATCCCACGCCTCGGCAGGAGGCCATGGCATCGACGAGCACGAGTGCCCCGGCTCCAGTCCCCCCGGCTCCTCTTCCTCCTCCTCCCATCACACATATTCTCGAAACATGTCTACAGGTGAAAGACGTCAAGACAGCCACTGAATTCTACAAGGATATATTCAATGTTCAGCCTTTCTTGAACACAGTGAGTTTGGTCTTGATGGCATTATCACGATCACCTGTTCTTGCAGATGACAGAGTCCCTCCATTCACCGCGTCGTTCTCATTCCCGCTCTCCTCATATTACAACTAACCACATCTATCTCCTCTCCACTCTTACAGCCACGGATGTCTGGCTTCTCCTTCGCACAAACCACCCTCCTGCTGTTCCAGCTTGGTGCGACAGCCGCTGACTCGCCCATGCCTGATAACCGCAGTGTCATCCCCGGCCACGGCCCGTCCCAAAACATCCTCGATCTATTACTGGTTCCCAGGGCAGGAGACAGTGATGGAAATGATCAGCCGTCTACATTAACGCCATCTTCATTACCAACTCCGGGCAATTTACACCAGCACTTCTGTTTCGCGGTATCGGCGCCAGATGATGTGGGCGCGTGGGAAATATGGTTCGAGCAGAAACAGGTCAAGATTTTAGGGAAGGTCGAGTGGCCGCGCGGTGGGCGGAGCGTGTATTTCGCCGATCCGGATGGAAATATAGGCGAAGTGGCTAGCCGAGGCATCTGGGAGCATTACTGATTCAAGCAGCGAAACCAAGAGTAAGGGGTGGAGATAGCAGCACAGCCCTCGCGTATTGGAAGGTACATTGAATGAAGTCTTTTCTGATACTCTGGGCTCCTCGCTTCGACATGTCATGTACGTTGAAGACACTTTTCTTTGCTTCCCCCGTCATGTTCGTGTTTCTATTCATGTCCCACCATCGTTGCGTAACGCATATGACGAGGCCGTTTTTCATCATTTATCATGTGGTGTTTCGGTCTCAGCTACCGACTTCGTTCAGAACACCACCATCCAACTTGAGCACCTCACCATTGACATAGCCGCACTTTGACAGGAAAATGACGCCCATGGCCATCTCCTCATCAGTGCCCGCCCGACCTGCTGGCACAGCGTGGCCCTTCTCCTCGACTTTCTCCTTGGGCATTTCAGCTTTATTGCGGTCGTCGGAGCTCTTCATAGTCATCTCGGACGGGAAATAGCCTGGCGCGATACTGTTGACACGCACACCGGTCGGGGCGAACTCCTTGCTCATCATGCGCGAGAGATGGGCCGTGGCGGCCTTGGCGGCGTTGTAGCTGAAATGGGCCTGCGAGTCACGCATCATGCCGGACATGCTGGAGATAACGATGACGCTGCTCGCCTGCCCTTTCGGCGCGCGTTGTAGCAGCGGCAAGAACGTCACGACGGAGAAGAACACGCCGGTCACGTTGGTGTTGTAGGTGTCGCCCCAGGCCGCAGGGTCCTCTTCCCACAGCTGCTCCTTCAGCTTCACGGCGTCGCTGGTGTCCGGGTGGCCCTTGGGCCCCGAGACTCCTGCGGCGGCGAGAACTAGCGACAGGTATTTCTCCTTGGATTCCAGCTCGGCGGTGATGCGCTCCAGGTCTTCCTTCTTGGTCACGTCGCATGGGCCGATGGGGATTATTTGCCCATTCATGTTGTTGTCGCGGGAATGTGGGCTGTGCTTCTCTGCCGCATTCTCGAGCACTTCCATTCTCCGGCCTGTGATGTACACTTTGGCTCCTGGGACAAGTTGTTAGTGGATAAAATGTCCTGTCTTGCTGGTGAGGTTCCTGGTGTGTTACCATTTGCAGCGAGTGCTTGGGTGGCCATCAAGCCGATACCGGTGCCTGGTAAATATCGTTAGTTCGGTTGGCACTAGCCGGGGACAGTAGTCCATACCTCCTCCAGTCACGAGACAGACATGGTCTTTGAGTGAGAATAGATTCGAGATATGGAGATCTTCGGTGGAGGCCATGTTTGCGTTGTGATAGTCTTATGGGCAGAAGAAATAAGACGTTTGGAAGTGATTACGGCAGGGAATCTGTATCAGGGTTGTTCGAGTTCACGAGGCAGGTAAGGTAGAAGTGATACTGCTATTGTTCTTATATTGAGGCAAAGACTGTGAGATGTTGTTGGATTGTGATGTGAGCGCATCTCAACGGTCCATTTGGTGTTTGTGACGAGCGTATGTGACGTCACCACAAGCAGGCCAATCATGAGCCGCCAAATGCCATACTTCTGAAAAGGGGCGATGGCGGAAACCATTTCCCGGCCCAAAGCATGGAGCTTACTTCCATCCACAGCCTCGCCCTCTAATGATAATCTTATCCCCCAAATTGACTCTGGTCATGGCCGAAGTCTACGAGATGGAGTATCAGGTATCTTCACCCCGCTCGTCGATACAACAGTTTCGGGGAACAGTCTCTCCATTGGGGAGGCCGGCTGCCTCACTTTCGTGCTCCAGTCCGTCACCAGTCTTGCGGTGAAGAGACAGCAGAGATTCTCGCTCTTTGCTCACGCCGCCAAAGCCGTCCTGGGACCCTCTGTGCGGACAGGCCAGGAGATGGCCTAGACTTCTGTATTTGCAGTATGTGATAAGCAGATCTCGAAGTCGGCATTCGGCGTGCACAGGGGAACGTCGTTGCTCAAAGATCACTCTCTGTCAACCAGCCAACAATGCCTCACATCCGAGACTGACTGGGAAGCTTGTGTCTCGGTCGAGTGACACGAACATGCAGCTTCCATTATTTTCTTCACCTCGGTGAACGCGCGCACACATACCAATGGCACACTCATGCGGCCAGGGCCAATGCAGCCATAGCACGCACTCCAGCTTCCGTCTTGTGACCTCCAATGAATCCGCTCGCATGTACGAAAACGGCTCCATCCTCAACATTATCACCTAGCAAGGTGTCCAGCTCCGCATCTCTGACGCCGCGCCATGGCTCTGGTAGACTTTTGCGGTTTTCGAAGCTCGATAGATCTTTGCTGACAGTTTGAATCCTCCACTTCGAGCCGGGTTCTTCTTTCTCGGGATATATCACGTAGAGAATCTTCTGGTCGTCCACGAGACCCGCCTCCTCCTCGATGTTGTAGAGATGCTCCTTCCACGGGATACCCGCACGAGGTAAGACCAGAAGCTGGCCTGAGGGGTGTGCAGCCGAACGCGTGTTGAAGGCATCCTTAACGACTGTTCGGGCGGGAAGCCAGGCGGTGGCAGCACCATGAAGTTTGCGAAGAAATGCATTGCCCATCAGAGCCGAGGCTTGGGAGAACCGGTAGTCTTCTTCTGCTTGCGGTTCCGCTTCGGTGTTTCGGGAAGGGGCACCCAGCGACAGAGGGTCTTCATGGTTCAAGTCATTCACCAAGCTAGGAAGTGTGATCCCACCGTCCTTGAACCTCTTCTCAATGCCAGCTTGTTTCAGGAGCGAATCGTCATACTTTGAGATTCCGTTGTCATTCGCGTCCACCGCTTCGACAAAGTCGTCGTAGAGTTTTCGGTACAGGAGGTCCACGTCGGGGTGATCGAGGGGGAGTTTGGTATGCTGTGCAATGATGGCTTTGCCAAAATGCATGTAGACAAGTCCGGCAGATGAGAGTTTGGTTTTGTGCTCGGGGAAGGCTGTGTCGAAGGTACGCTGGTGGTGGTCATAGCGATTGCTTGAGACGTCGTACTCTCCACCAACATCGACGACCGTGTGGCAGGTCTCCAGGAGACTGGGATCCCGGGTCCTGATCAAAGCGGCCGAGGCATACTCTGGGAGGAGCCGAAGCATGTACACGGCCAGGGCTTCGTCGGCGTGGAAATGGCCATTGTGAGTTCCGATGATGCGAGGGTCGGTCTTGACTCTCTTCGCAGCCGTTTCCGCAGCCATCCTGATCAGGTTGCGAAACATACACCGGTACGAGTGAGTATGTATGGAGCGAAGCACTGACGGTTCGTCTATAAGGAGGGCGACAATACAGAAATATCTTTGGTAGACTGAAAGACAGATGATATTCGAGTTTGCAGGCGATCGCAGCCAAGATCTGGGGAATGCGGATGAAATTTGTTCCAGAATCTCAACTGCAATTCTTGTTCTTCTAATCAGATTGAAAATCTACATCTAATCTCTGTATACTACCGTAGTACACTGCAAAGAATGCACTCTCTCTACCTACTACCTGATACCTACTACTAGATCAACAGGAGCATTTTATGGCTCAGGAGATGGTTGTCCGCCTTGTTCTAAGAATGATCAGGTACATGTTGTGAAAATACTCGCGCCCTCTCTCAACGCAATTCCACGTGTATTCATAGGCTGGGCTCGTCTACTAGTAGAGGGGACAAGGGTCCAATCGTGCCAAACTGCTTCGAGATGTAGCTGCAAAATCCAGATCCGTCCTTCAAGGGAACTAACAATGGTTGCAGTTAGTTGATGATGGAAAACCCACATGGTCTGCTCGCTCGGTTCTTGGTTCTTGCGGTGAGATCAAATTAATGAGAAGGAATGGACAGAAGACAGTGACCACTTGTAAACAGTCGTTACCTATAGTTGTCGTAGTAGTAATAGTACCATCTTGGCTACCTACCTATTTACCTGCGCCCTCGCAATTTCTCCTGCTTCTTCTCCCTTGCTCATCACTTTTGATTGCAGTGTGGAAGCGTTCATTGTGACGAAGGTGAACAAATCTATCCAGGATCCAGGGATCAATCTTCTACTGCCCTGTTTTTTCAGCCTGCAACCAAACCTGCGAATCCTTGTCGGCCACAGAGACTTCGATTCGACAGACCTGCGCACTACACTTCCTGCACTCCTCACTGCACGCGACATTTGCCTACGTCGACCTGCATTTCAATCTCCTTCGCCGTCACCATCCCATTCCTTGCTTGAACTCACCTTGGCCTTCAAGAAGACAGCCTCTATTCCGTCCTTTCACCCTACAGCCCACTGCGTGCCTCTCGCACTCGGAATGACATGTGAAGACAGCGACAGCGACAGCACAACGAAGTCACCTACGGGCATCTAGCGATCGAGAGAAACAGACAAACCCCTCCACGATTGCAGCGTTTGCGCCTATGAGAACCACCGACGTTGTTTGCTCTGCACACCGCATCACGTACTCTCACTCTCACTTGTCCCAAAGTCCAACCCTTCTTCCACCGACCGAATGTTCCTCGTCCGCGCACTCTCGGCGCTCCTCTTCCTAGCACTCATTATCCTATTGATACCCCTCACCTTCGACATCGGCGGGCGCGACGCGGGTCTCGCATTCTCTCTGTCCATCGCGTCCTTCTACTTCGTTCTCTCTCTCCTACGCATCAACACCCCCGATGGCTCGAGGTTCAGAAGGACAGTCATAAACGCACTTCGGGGGCTGCAATGGCTCATCCTGCCGGGGCTGTGTATCTGGGCGCTGGGAAGATTCTCCGTGGACGCAAACAACAGTGGAGGCTGGGTTGAGAGGACGTTCCGACCAAAGACGGGCTTTATGAGCTCGCATTCGAGTTTCCGAGAGTCCATCTTCGGTCCGGAAGGCCTGCTCGAGAACGTCGCCATCGGAAGCTGGGATCTCCTGTTGCGCTGGTCGTCACCGGTATTTCAACTCCTCGAGGGCTTTTGCAGCTTGTTGGTCATTCAGGCCGTCGGACAACTCTCGAGATGGCTCGTCAACAGGAGCGAATGGAGCGATGCCTGGTTGCTGACCCTCCTGGTGACCGCAGCAGGTGTTGTATCGAGCTCGGTCTACTTCCTATGGCGAGTCCTGCAGTTCCCCGACATTTCAAACCTCGACTCCACTCTCATCGGTATCGCCATCGCCTCTGCCATATTCCTCTGTGCATACGGAGTCGTCTCTGGCCGTGGCACGGCAGTGGAATCATCCCTGCTTTTCGCATACATTGTGTTATGCATCTACCAGATCTTTACCGATTACAAACCCAACACCAGCGGCCCCGAAGTCGGTACCGCAACTTCGGCACCTGATTTCCCTCCCTTCCCACCGATCATCATGTCATCATATACGGCGATCATGCATGGCTTGTCCTCACTCCCCGGGGTTCTTGTCACTGCCCTGGATTTCACCGCGGCCGCTTTCAAAGCCGTCACTCCTTCGGTGCTCATCTCACTCGGGTACCGACTGTTCGTGTTCTATGCTTCGACTCGCATCATCCCGGCCATCAACGAGAGCGGAGCCCGAGTCCTCAGCATGGAACCCTCCCTCGACGACTCCAATGCCGGCAACCAATTCCTGGCTTTCCTGTCGTGGTTCTCTCCGAGCATCCTCATCGCCGTCTACACGAGTCTTCTTATGCAGCATTTCGCAACCACCATGGGCGGCTACGCCCCAGGCCTCACGGAAACCATCGAGGCTTGGTGGAGCGGCAACGGCCAACCCGGGATGAACGGAAACCTTTGGAAATGGGTCAACCTGGTCGGGACGATGGTCTTGTACGCGGTGGAGTTGTGGTTGGGTCAAGAAGACAATATCGACGGCGGACACTGGAAAGTCGATTGAGGACTGGGATAGCCTGGCCAACAATACCATCTAACCATACAACAGGATCGAAAGTTTACCGAAGCCTCCAAGCTCCATCACAATACCGAAACTCCAAATGATTGTTCCCCGAGCGACTTGCAGCCGACATGCCATTGGGTGGACATTCTGAGTTTTCAAGTCCGACTTGGTGGACACAAGGGTCCGTTCTCGTGCCAGTGAGTGAGAAAGGACGGATTATATTCTACTTTCAACTACGAAAACAACACCCCATCACTTGCCCATATCAATTCGCGTCAGGAACGCACCCGGCACAGCCAGAGCGTCACCTTGCTGGCTCATTATGGCCCTCACACCATGAGGAACCCCGGCTAGAGAAGCGACCACGCAGCTCTAGAAATTGTGACGCATTGGTGGGTGCACCAGAACTAGCATCAATCAAACCTGAGGTCTGAGCGAAGCAATCACGGCTTCTGGGGAAGGAAATTGTCCCCGAATCGAAGGAAATGTTTTCTCACCGCTTGAAACTTATTCTCAGGCGGGCGGAAAGTTCACCCAAATTCATTTATTGGGTCATGTCGGGTACTCAAGGTGCAGATTTGATCAACGATCAATGAACATCGAGCTTGACCCACGGGGAAGGATGGGAGGTTACTGGGCTTCCCAGGGGGATAATGAATCGTCTACTATCATAGATACGCGGGCAGACCCAGATCATCAGCCCAACAACTTGATAAATGATGATTCCAGAGCAGAAGTTCGTGATGAATGACACTGCATTGGGTACAATGGTATTCCCCATCTCCGGAGGAGGAAGGGCTTGGTGGCTGTCCTACGCATTCTTAAAGCCTACAAAATGCACACCTTATTGACAATCAAGTCGATAGTACTTTGCCCAAGCGTATGATATTCAAGCTTCACAACATAAACGAAGTAGAAAAGAAGGCTTTCGCGCACAATAACTTTGTGCGAACTGTGAATTTGGGACTGCTATCGACTAGCTAATAGCTGGCCTCTCGCGGGTCAGATTCTGGTTGAGCTCCAGTGTGAGGCCGCTTTTGCCCACCAGCAGTCGTCTGGCCCCTGTTCTACTGTAGTAGAGTTGTCCTCCGACCCAAATACACACACACAAGCTCACTAGGAGACCGTTGCACAAGCGATAGATGAGTGCGGAATATCTCAGCCATAGTGGTCGACCGCAAGGACAAGACAAAAGAAAAGAACGCCGTCTCCCCATTCCATTCAAAACTCCGCAGCCATTGTCATGAACATTGACACATCACGAAAACATAACATAATAGGGGTTGGTCAGGTCCTGTAAGGACTGTTTTTTCTTCTGTAAGGCGTCGGTGTCCTCTCTTTCGAAGTGCTCGAATGAACGGGTATCAGCTGAAAGAGAGTGTTGATACAATTCGTCCGCAACCGCAGTCTCTGCCTTACCATCTTTCTCGCCGTACGATCGGGGGTTTGGTTGATAAGGCAAAGGCCAGCTGACTCTCCCTGTGGGTGGTGTTCCACTGCAGTCGTTCTGTCGGGTCGTATCTTCTCATCATCTCTCCAGTTCGGCAATGACCTCCGAATGGGGTTCAAGATCATGAGTAATGGTGCAGGCCACCCTCATCTTCGAATGGGAATGCCCTCCTTCCTGGCTGGTGGACTGACACTGCCTTCTGGGATATTCGTTGCGATGTTTTCCCGACCTTGTGGGCCATTCCCGTCTTCCTCGTCGACGCTTGAGCTCCGAGCCAGGAAACTGCTCTCTTTGACCGGACTGCGGCTCGTCATGGTGGATAGCCCGCCTCCATGGATTCCATTGATGCTACCGCGATGCAGCCCTGCAGCTGGCAGAATGTGTTGGCCATCTGGACTGGTTGCGAAGGAAGACGACCCAGAGGCTGCAGAGACCGAGTCATTGCGTGAAATGGTGTGCATCAAAGGACTGGTATGGGGAATCTCTTCGGCTTTGGGGTGCTCGGTACCGATCGTGGTGACGCCAGTGTCAGAGGCTTTTCCAGCTTTCGAGAGTGCGTAGTCGCCGGAATCGAAATACTTGCGTTCCTAGCGGACAAGGTTAGCGGCTGAGACACAATGGCCTTGGGATATGGTATAGTTCATTACCTTCAGCTTGTTCTGCAACAGATCTTTCTTGTTTGGCAGCTTTCCGTACAGTCTAAACAGACGCTGTTCGTCTGCCGACAATTGCTGATGAAATTCGTCAGTCCTCGTCCAGCAAAGAGATTGGGGCTAACAATCTAGCATACGCTGACATCAATCTTGTTCTTCTGGAGTGGGTTCATGATTGCTTTTATTCCCGCCTAAAACGATTGCTTCCTTTCAAGTTATTTGTACTTGACGCCAATGCTGGCTGGATGTTTCCAAAAGGCTGGCGGTCAAGGCTGCGAAAAGGGTAGGGCCCCTGCCGATCGTTTCGTGAAACAAGGCAATTGGGCACTGTGTGGTGGTTTGGCAAAGCTGTGAAGTATGCCTTAACCAGAGGAATTCGTGGCTATCGGTTTACAGGAGGAGAGGTAGGTGAGGATTCTGCTGTTCGCTTGTTTTCTTTGTCTCACGTCGTCAAAAAAGGTGAAGTCGACGGTTGGAGGGAGGGGTCTGCCAAAATACGGGCCCGAGCGTCGGTCGGTCGTCACTAGCGAAATGTGTGAAACTAACGTCTCGGGGACAGTTCCAGTGGTGTAGCGTGGATTCAACTGAGCAGTAGACACAGGTGAAGATGCACGGCTTCGAGGTCGCGAAAAGAAGTTTTGCCAATGCCTATACGAGAAACAGTTGAACTTTTTGGCAAGGATAGACCGGAAGTGACGAGGTGGGGTTGAAGATTGTTCTGTCTTGGACGGTAGAGGCCAGCCAAACTGACGAAGGAGGGAGAGGACTCGTAGTAGTAGCGGTAGGCTCGTGTCGTGCTTTGGCTTTCGGTAGCAGTGAGTTAGGTGGTGATGCAGAGGTTAGGCCGAGGGGATGAACTGCGTTGGATGGTGTGCAGTGGGATGCAGTGGTGGAAGAGCGCAGCCTGTAGGAGGAGTTGAGTTAAGGACTTTGTACATGGCACTGTCTGCACGGCAATAGTTACCACCCCGGCTTTATCTAAGAAATAATAGGACTAGTGTCTGCTAGATGATGGTAGTGGCTTTACTAGTAGTAAATAAAGCACTAAACCACAATCATGACACTAAGGGACGCCGGCTAAATTATAAACAAAAACATTATGCACTAAAACTTTGCCTCAAGCGACTGGGCATCAAATCCAGGCCTCTCACCTCCAATTTGTTCGCTTCTTCGTTGCTCTCCCAGCAACGTAAGTGATATAATCTCTACTGGACCTGTTGAGATGCACTTGGGTCTGCTATGACAAAACAATAAGATACCAATATATCCAACCACGATGCCGGACCCAAGCTACACGTTTGTGGTTGAGCATCTTGATCCAGAACTCGGCCCTTGGTCTGCATTGGAATACAAAACCATTGCAAAAGAGTCCAAACAAAATGGCTGTCGTTTCATTTTATCGTCCCTGCCTCAATCTCTGCTGGAATCCCAAGGGATCCAGGACTTGCAGAATGTTGGAGCGGAGGCAAGAAGCGATAGTGTCGAAACATATTTTGCCAGCAAGAAAGAAAAAATCTGTCTCCTTGATCCTGCCGCCCAGCAGGAATTAGATCCCTCGGATGCTGATGTCTTTGACGTCTTCTTATTCGGAGGCATATTAGGTACGAAACAGACCGAAAACATTTGCATAACTTGGCTCACTGTTGACGTAGGCGATGATCCCCCACGAGGTGACACTAGGAATAACCAGTTTCTGTCTGCTTGTATCCTGACGATTACAGACCGCACCAGTGAACTACGAAAGAAAGGCTTTACGGGACGCCGGCTGGGCCCTAAACAGATGACCACAGACACAGCTGTGCGAGTGACACGGATGGTGATCCTTGAGCAGAGTAGGACAAACGCTGCTTGCAGAGGTTCTGGTTCAGGCTGACTCTGCAAATAGTTCCTCTAGACAAGATCCCGTATAGCGACTATCCCGAGTTGAGGCTGGATGAGCACGAGACGACCGAAATGCCGTTCCGATATGTCACTGACCAGTCTGGAAATCCCATTATGCCTGAAGTGAGTATCTTGGAGACTCTCCGTTGGGATCAACTAATTGTGATCAGGGCATGATAGATTTGATCAAAGCAGATGCAGACAAAGCATTCGACAGCCTCGAGTTCGCGGACGAAGTTGAAGGTCTGGAAAACTTGAAAGTCGACAGGCCATGACTCGTCAAGTGAAATTCTCCTGTACGTGCCATCGAACCTCCTTCAGACGATGGTTCGTATCCAGATTATGCAGCATTATCGGATTTCTGCACCCTCGATGTCGCGAACATTTAGCAGACTAAGTGTCCTGGGCTCTGAAAGCGGCTTGCCCATGCATAATGCATAATTGATCGGTTCGAATTCCTGGGTATAGATGCCATCCACCGGCCGGATGACAGTCACGGCCGTCGCAGCCCGCGGACGTCATACCGAAAGGGCTTGACTTGCTTTCAAGAGGACCTTGGCGTTATTCCTGTACTCTTTTGCAAGTCAGTCTCGTAATTTAAGCGATGCTCGAACGAGACCCCAGTCAACCTGGCTGTTGCAGGACGAAGGACAGCTCCACAACTCCGGTCACAATGACCGGACTGCCTGGTATCGGCGTTGATTCGAATGAAAGAATACAGTACCCTAGTTGACATTGGACGCGATATTACTGAGCGGGATCAGTACAGCTGTCTCAAATATGCTCTCTTACCCTGGAGGTCTAGTCGACATCCTCATGGTCAATTCATAGAGCATGCGACATCAACCCTTTCCACTGCACTTTTGCATCAGTCTTTCCGCCGCCGCTTCCAATCTGGGCGCATTCTACATCTGCTGTCTGGCTGCAGCAGAACAGAATGCACAGCTCTCAAGACGCATGACCAGGCTTCGAAATCCGTAGATCGTATCGTTTGACGGGGGACCCAGAGGGGCGAGACACTACCAACGGGATTGAAATAGATATACTCGTCGGTACACCGCCTTCAATCCGTGGCTCCGGCCGCGTTCGAGATGGTCGACCAGCCCGCGATTGGTGGTCCCTCAAAGGTTCTATGCTGCCCAACGTCGTCTTGGGATTGCTCCTACATCGACGGGGTCATGCTCCCCAGATTTCCCCACGTCATAACAAAGTTGTGTTCTGGCGAGTGATTCTGCGAAGAGCACAAACCGTTGGCTGAGGAGAGGCAGTCTTTCCCGATACAAACATTCCCCGCCGGGCCGGTTCCCACATGCGGAGTTTATCGTTCAGGCTGCTGTATCAGTAGCGGGCGGTTAAACTTCGGGCAGATGAGGTCATCCCTGCATCAAAGCCCCTCTGTAATGAGAAGAGCCCACTGGGTCATAATGCATCCGGGGACGCGACTGGGGACGTTATATGACAAGTCTCCGCCTGCCAGGCGACGATGGAATCCAACGTTGTCAACCTTGGCTAGGATACAGACGGGAGGTATGTGATAACAATGACTGTCACTTGCTAACCTTGACCATTGCTTTTCTGAGAACCAGAATGCTATGAGAGCGGCTGCTTCTGGCTTCGAATCTCAGGTCCGTCGTCGTGTTCAACTCATGGAGATTGTTTGCGAGATATCCTGAATCATGCAGTTGGAAAACTCCTCCTCAAGGGGTGGTTCCACTATTGTCCTCGAGCTACCTCCAAAGTCCTATTCGAATACAGTGTCGGAAGGAACGCGATTGGCCTTGGAAGACACTACCGCCGCTGCCTTGCCGCCTCCTGCCACTTCAACGCCTCAATTACAGAAATGGAACTCGCCTCGGATCAACATCTACCGCTGTTTCGCAACCTTCTATTCCTTCGTCATCCTGGGAGCCAACGACGCAGCGTACGGAGCTCTCATCCCTTACCTCGAAACTTGGTATAAAGTCAACTATACTATAATCTCTTTGGTCTTTCTCAGTCCTGTTGTGGGTTATGTTCTGTCAGCAATATTAAACAACCACCTCCACACGGTGTATGGACAGAGAGGGATTGCTGTGATCATGAGCCTCTCACACCTGCTCGCCTATAGTGAGACGCACCAAAGACTGACCAAGGGTATTTGTACTGACCAAGTCTGGGTAGCCGCCATCTGTCTACATCCACCTTATGCTGTTTTGGTGGTGGTATTCATCCTCGCTGGATTCGGAAACGGTCTGGGAGACAGTGCATGGTGTGTTGGAGTCTAAGACCCTGATTGACAACATTGTGGCTGATTCACTGGCGCAGGAATGCCTGGATCGGCGACATGGCTAACGCAAATGAAGTGCTTGGTTTCCTTCATGGCTTTTATGGTCTGGGTGCCACCATCTCACCTCTCGTAGCGACCACATTGGTCACTAAAGCCGGCTGGCACTGGTATGAATTCTATTATATCCTTGTTGGGGCCGCAGCGCTGGAAGTGGTGGTGCTCGTTGGTACTTTCTGGAAGGCGGATGCTCGAGCTTACAATGAGGCAAACCCCCGGACCACCCAGATCGAAACTTCAGAGGGACGTGATGGCCAGCAAGCCAAGAAGGCTCGGGGTATCATGTCCAAAATGAATCCCTTCAGCAAAGTTTCAAGGGGCAAAAGTAAGACTGCCGAAGCGGTCGGCAACAAAGTCACGTTGCTCGCCTCGTTCTTCCTTCTGATCTATGTGGGCGCCGAAGTGAGTATTGGAGGATGGATCGTCACCTTCATGCTGCGGGTCAGGCACGGATCGGCTTTCGCTTCCGGACTGATATCGACAGGATTCTGGCTGGGAGTGACTGTTGGCAGACTGGTGCTCGGCTTCGTCACGGCCCGAGTGTTCAGATCGGAGAAACAGGCGGTGGCGGCCTACCTTGCCTGCAGCGTGGCTTTGCAGTTGATGTTCTGGCTCATTCCCAACTTCGTTGTTAGTGCGGTGATGGTGGGATTCCTGGGCTTCTTCCTTGGGCCAATGTTTCCAGCAGCCGTGGTGGTACTTACCAAGTTGCTGCCTAAGAAGCTGCACGTTGCCGCTGTGGGATTCGCAGCTGCATTCGGTTCCAGTGGTGCCTGCATTCTCCCATTTGCCGTGGGAGCCATCGCTAGTGCGAAGGGCGTCAAGGTTCTCCAACCCATCGTTCTGGCCGCATTGGTAGGCTGCTTCCTGGTCTGGTTAATGATTCCCAAATTGCCCAAGCAGAGGATGGCATGAGATTGCTGCTTCTTTTCACGCGATCCCTGGACTTTGGCGAATACAGAAGCTGGTTTCTTCAAACCAGATTGATATGACTTCGAAGACAGCCAGGGGTGGACTGGTTTGGCGAGCTGCATTCTCAATCACTTGAAGTCACTGCACTGCAGATTGCCTGTGTCTGATCGTGCTGAAATGATGGTTCAAGCGAAGGTGTCAATGTGTCAGAGACTAACTCACATCTTCGCTTCATACACTTTGTCGCTTCGGGCCGTTCGAGCTTGATACATATGTACATACCGACGTCTTTGCAGGAGAGTGAATCAAACGATCAATCATCATACGAGACAGCTGTCTGAGGTACCGCTAATTATAGCTCGAGGCAAAAAGGGGGGATCATTTTGCTAACACTCTCAAAAGTCCAACAATGATCCGGGGGTAACATTCCTATGCATGTCATAATATAGCGCAATGGCGCCCACTGCTGATCTCGAATGTTTTGCGATCCGGACTGGGCGATTGCACGCGACGAGACCATGTTGTGCGGTTGAAGATCGTGCAACATGCAAGGAGACAGAAGAGGGAGAAATGTGGGAACCCGAAAGGGGAAGCGAGAGCCAATCACCGCTAAACCAGATACGGCACAAATATGGCAATAGCGGCAAGGGATATTGTGGGGCTTTTCCCCCTTTGAGTATCAGTTGGTCCCGTCAGACGGTCTTGAAAACTGCTGGTCGCGGCCCCACTACAGCCTCAGGGACGATTCTTACTGGCAGGGAGTGGATGATGGAGGGTCTCCCCTGGGTCTTCGGCCCTCCCCTCCAATATGCCTGTCTGTGCTGCGCGTCGGTCGAACCACCACCCCTGATACGACCTCTCTTGAAGCCATCTATCGTCTTACGCTTCTAGATCATTATCTATCATCGTTATTGGGATCATGTTCAACCATTTACTTCTTGTTGGTGTCGCAGTATAGAAGAAGAGCCCTGCCTGGCTTCATTGGATTATTTTTCCCTGGCGTTGGAGGCCTTTCGCCCTCTTGTCGCGTCTGGAACGCGTGTGGCCACTTCTCATGATCAGCATCTTTTTTGAGAGGGACATCTAGAATCGATATACAGTGTCTATCGTCCGCTGGATCCAAATTCTCTTGACTTCTCATTGATCACCACCATCCTTCTACCCCATGCGGGTATCTTCCGGCATGTTTACTCCACGACATGCGCCATTGAAAGAGGGCCGCTCATTTCCCGGCTTACCAAACTCCGGTCCGACCAGACGAGGCCTCAGATCACGCCAGGGAGCGGCGATCCTCGTGGTACTTTTATGCATACCATTGATATACTTTCTATCATCAAGCTCATCTTCCCCCAATGAGATTATCCAGTCACCCGATAGTATACGGCCGCCCGCCAACAACCCAAGAGAAGTGGCGCGGGATGCCGAGGTGGTGCTGAAACCGGATTCCAATGGACCACCGAAGCCTCCAAGAGTTCAACCTGTTGATCCGGCCGATGTAAACCCAGCTGAGCCTAATTCGCCAGCGGGTGCCGGACCCCGATTTGAGGCTCCGCCGGACGAGGCGCCCAAGCCCAAGCCCAAAGCTCCCGCCGGAAGCGAGGCTGGAGACGAGGAACCAGTCCCAGCGAAGGACTCCGATAGCCCGGCTCAAGCTCAATCGCAACCAGATTCTGTTGATGGTCCCGTGCGAGGAAAAATCACGGCCAATGCAGGCTCGTTCTCGGAACGGCCGAGATTTGAGAGGGCGCTCTCACGCGTCATCAACCTCTTGCCAGGGGAGATGGAAGGACGAGACCTCCTCCGCCAAGTAGAAGGCACGGGCAAGGAGAAGCTACGGGAAATGGGACTCCGCGTGCGCGAGTACAAGAAGTTCTACGAGGCCTGGGAGGACCTGCATCTCACCGCGGACGAGGAAGGCGGCACCTACGTACGTGACGACGTAATCCAGTATCTCCGACATCATGTGCACCAGTCGACGTCGGACGAACTGGCCGAAGCGGGACTCGCGCAGACGGTGCACTCGTACGAGGCATATCGGTACTTCCTGGTCAAGTTCGGACAGTTGCTGTTCCCCTGGACGGCGCCGTACTTCCCCGACCACATGACTCTGCATTCTCACTTCAAGCGAGGCGGGAGAGGCATCGTGCTTACGGCGGGTGACGATCAAGCGCCGTTTCTCTTGACCACGATCCCGACGTTCCGCAAACTCGGCTGCGATCTGCCCATTGAGGTCATGTATCTTGGCGACTCGGATCTCAGTGAAGACTACCGCGCCGACCTGGAAGCGCTCGACGGGGTCATCACCCGCGACATCGCGCAGATGGTGAACGACGAAGGCTGGAAACTTGCAGGCTGGGCGGCCAAGCCTTTTGCCATCCTGTTCTCGAGTTTCCGTGAAGTCATCTTCATCGATGCTGATAGCTTGTTCTTCAAGAACCCGGAGGTCCTGTTTGATGATCCGGGCTACCAAAAGACAGGGGCGCTCTTCTTCAGAGATCGTTTGATCATGCCGGAGAACAAGAAACGCTGGCTCCAACAGATCCTGCCGAAACCAATCTCCAGACAGGTCAAGCAGTCGCGCTTCTGGACGGGGGAGTCGGGTCATATGCAGGAGTCTGGTGTCGTGGTGGTGGACAAGTGGCGCCATTTCATGGCTTTGCTGCTCGTCACTCGAATGAACGGTCCGGATCGAGACGGCAACAAAGAGGAAGGTAGAGTTGGTGTTTACGACATGGTATACGGTATGATACCCCTACTAAACAAGACTTTGCTAGTTATATTTGCGGGCTAACATTTGTTTTTCTTCTCCACAGGTGACAAAGAAACATTCTGGATAGGCTGGGAGCTTGTAGGGGATTTGGATTATTCATTCCACCAAGGCGATGCCGGCGCAATGGGCGTGCTCCAAGCACCCGAAGTGAAAGATGACGACAAGGAGAAAGAGAGGAAAGAAAAGGAAAAGCCCAAACCCAAGAGGAAAAAGAAGGTGAAGAAACCTGCTGTGGTCAACGATAACGGCGAGGTCGTCGAAGGAGGTGGCCAGGACCCACAACAAGGCGATGGTGCAGAGGGGGTGGAAGTCGAAGTCGAAGTCGAAGAGGAAGAGGAACCAGAGCCACAAGAGCAGCCCGAAGAGAAGGCTCCGGAGCCAACCAGCTATACGATGTGTGCTCCTCAGCTTCTGCATCTCGATACGGAGGGTAAACCGCTCTGGTTCAACGGCTGGCTTCTGGACAACAAGTTCGCCGACAAGAAACAGAAGAAGTTCGGCAAATGGGAACACTACCTCATCGAACCGCATGATATCAGGGAGCCTGGCGCGTGGCAGCTCGAGGAGAGTAACATGTGCTGCCTGACCACGGATCCGCCGCTGAAGAGGGAATTCACGGCCGAAGAAAAGGCTGTCCTGCAAATGATGATCGATCAAGCCCGTCAGGTCGGCGTGCCGGGTTGACGAACCAATACTAGTACGAGGGAGAGGAGGTGGACCAACTGCATCTTGGATCGGGGAGCAGAAAACGCATGCTTCTGGTGGTCAGGAGGTTGCATCTAAAAATGGATCTGGCTCATGGCAATGTAAGGGGTCTGAATATTGGACAGAGATCTTGCAGCATTTTGTGTGATGGCGTCAATCTGGGTGTTTATCTATCCATTTGGATGTTGGAATCGAGCTCGCTGCTATTGAGGACGATGTATTAATGTCCCTTGACTGCATTCGGTTCCAGGGCATTTATACTGATCATGTCGACCTCAGCGCGGCGTCGGTGTCCGCTGGAGAGCTAGCAAATCCGATTAGGGAGGTATTTGGGAATATGTAAAATTGAAAAAAAGGAACACTATAGAATTGATATCAAGACCACCTGATCGCCCATCTGTATACGTACCTAGGACTAGTAGGGTCCTCGCCGATATACTACTAGTAGTCCGAATGGTGTTGATGGTTCGATGGGAATGTGCAAGGCGACGATGGGGAATGGAGAGGTCAAAAGCGGCGGCTCATCAACACGACTCTGTATGGGCCTGGCAGCGACTGACCTTAAAGCGGCGGTACTTTTAGATGTGTGGAGCTATGTGAACTAACCCGAAAGAGAAGCCATATAAATCGACCACTTGTACTGCGTAGAAGTTCAGTTCAAGTTCGACAAAACAAGACGAAAAAAAGCGCAAGGCCCAGGGCAACGTTGACTACCTGCCTAAGGAATGTAGGTCTTCATCATACTCAAGTCCAAGTTATGGTGGAGAGCAATCACCACACAACCCAGCGATCTGGAACTCCGTCGCGCCGGCCAAAGAAACCCGCCAACCCGCTTGTGAAGGGTATTCTTGCATACTGCTCACAGCATGACGTCGAAATCAGCGAGGTACCCCGAGATCGAGACATTCAGTCGCCTAATCTAGACCGGGAGGGTCATGATCTGGCTGTGGCTGAGCCGACACGCACGAAGCCGAGCAAACTGGGACCTTTCTACGATGACAGTCCATCGCCGAGATTACAGTATCGCTCACTCTCCCGCGCCGACATTCCCAAACGCTACACGATCTATGCGCCATTGGTTCTCTTGCCATCGAATTTCTCCAGCCAGAATCCACGCTGGGCGGAATTCTACCGGGGATTGAATGAGTCTGAGAGAACAGAATTGTTCAGATGTATTGCTGAAGAAGGATTCGCGGGGACTGCAGTGGAGGACAGAACGGGGATCAGAATCGCTATTCTTGCGCCTATTGCTGCCGAGGAAGCCGAGATTGATGGTCACCGGGAGTCAACTGTTGATGAAACGGGGCTGTTGAAGTCAGGTTTACCCACGTATTCGACAACAGTGGTGACAATGTCGGAAGCGAAAGGAATGCATGATCCGACAAAATCAAAGTCGGTGGGCACCCACACGACCGCCTCAACGCGCAAACAGAATGTCCTTCGGAGTCCGTCTGGGCTTGTTCCCGTCTATGGCGATTGGGGAAAGATTCTGCCGCGCAGTTGGAGTCATGGGTCAGGTTTGGGATGCGAGCCCTGCAGCGCGAATGAAGACCGGAGCCGGAAGATCATAACCAACCCCAGCCAACAGAACTTCCAGGAGGCTTTTTGGACGTCGACCTCGCAGCATAAAGGTATCACGCAGTGCTGGGCGCCGCTGTATACGATGTTCAGTCGAGGAAATATCTCCGAAAAGGCGCGGATTCTAGGAGTTGTACCTAAAGCGACTGTCCAGAGCCAGTCGGCGTCTAAACCGCAGCCCGACTCGCAGTCGCCGGCCGAGACTTTCTCCGGGACCGTGACACAACCTCAATCGACGTTCCCAGGTCTCACGGACGCCGAATTCGGTGAACCGCTGTCCTCGATCGACGTAGTGGACTTCTATGTCGGCATTGGCTATTTCGCATTTTGTTACTTGGCACGCGGAGTCCGGAGAGTATGGGGATGGGATATCAATCCATGGAGTATCGAGGGGCTAAGACGAGGTTGTGAGAAGAATGGGTGGGGATGCATGGTCGTCCGGGTGGACGACGACGGACGACTTGATCTGCCTGGGAATGGGACCAACGCGACGGAAGATCGGTTGGAGGGCGACGACGTTGTTAAGGAAGTCGTTGCACGGATCCGGCAAGGCGACGAAGCTGATACCGAACGTGGACCTGGACGCGAAAGGCAGGATCAACATGCCCCTGTTAGGTGTATTGCCTTCTTAGGGGACAACAAATGGTCGGACACGGTCATGGGAAAGATCCAGCGTGAGATGCAGCACCAAGGTCTGGCATTGAATGTTAAACACGCCAATCTGGGATTACTCCCGACGTCCAGGGGAAGTTGGCAGAATGCTGTCAAGGTTGTAAAAGGACAACAGAGCCGAACAGAAGGGCGAAGAGGAGGATGGTTGCATGTGCATGAGAACGTCGACATACAACACATTGAGGCCATGAAGAACCGAATCATCCAGGACCTTGATAGTATTGTACGACACGAACCGGAACCGGAACCAGCTGGACAAGAAGAGGATGGTTCAGAAGCCATTTGCGTGCCATCTTGGTCTGTATCATGCGACCAGATCCATCAGGTCAAGACGTATGCGCCGGGCGTCATGCATTGCGTTTTTGATATCCATATCACACCTAATGGATGAAGAAGTGAAGTTCAATTCCCTGTTCTTGCTTGAAAAGACTCCCTTGTTCCACTTTCCTTTTATATCTTCGTCTTACTCGTACACATAAATCTGACGGTCCACTATCTGTCCAAGAATGGGTAGTCATCATCATCGTTGTTGTTGTCTCCGAAACTTCATCGGGATATTCTTCTCCACGATATTCTGCCTCTGCTCCTTCAAGACCCGCTCCGCGTCGTCTTCCATCTGATCATGTTTTCTGAAATGCTCGATATCCTCCGGATGCACCAGATCCTCCTCTTTGGTGTTTTCGTCATGGTATTTCTCGAAATGGTGAATCTCGTATTCATATTCGTCGTCGCCGTGGTGGCCGGGACCCAGCCCCGAGTCGGGCAGCTTCTTGCCTGCCCGGATGCCGTTCAGCCATTGATCGCGCGTGATCATGCCCGACCCGGTCGCGTCGAAGAGTTTGAATACGTTCAGGACGACGCGGTCTTTTGTGTCGGCGGGTGTGCTCTGGAGAGACTCGTCGTCGAGACCGTAAAGTCCTCGCACTTCGTCTGGTGTCCAGACGCCGTCATTGTTGAAGTCGTGGAGGGAGAAGAAGGAGGTTGGGTCGAAATTGGAGATGTCTGGTACCGACGGAACAGTGTTAGTAGTCGTTGGACAACTGATTGCGACTCACGTATCCAAGAGTGTTCGGTGCTTTCGTTGGGCAGGTATTGTACATACGGTGTTCTTCTTGCATGTGGTATAATGCCCAATCCTCGGCTGGATTGGCGAGGTCTTCTTGCGAATGCGAGCCATGGGCGCTGGCGAGGGTGAAGAAGACGGCAGCGGCTGCCGCCAATACAGGTTTCATTTCGACTAGTTAGGGGAGTCCCTTCTGTATCACATTGAGATGTTTAAGTGGTGTTGCAACTCCGGAAGAATGCAGGGAGTACAATTGTACAGAATTGGGCCTGGAGTACAGAGTTGCGCAAAAGCGCTGGTGCCAGATACCCTAATAACTCCAGACCACGAATGACATAATGATGCTGAGCAAGGTGTCTGAGGCCCCTAAATTTCAGGGACCTCAGGTGCCTGAGGGCCTCCCTAGCCTTATGTACTGTACTAGTACGTTAGGTACCACCCTACCCGGTGCAGCTACCCTGATAAGCATGTAGCTAGCTGATAAGATTGGTGCCTATCTTAACTGGAATCCTTAGAGCTGACGCTGTCCTAAGGTCCCTGGCTGGACTAAAATGGCGCCACCAGTAAACTGTCTCATGCAGTGTTGCGTTCACTTTTTGATATTGACTCCAAACGGGTGGAAGGAGTCAAGACACGGCAATCAGGATGGAGCGTCGCGGCAAAGGAGGTAGGAAACCTGCATAACGGTGACGGCCATGGTTTTTTCTCGTTCTAAGCTGTGAAATGGCCTGTTTGCGTTTGTATTTGCGTCTGCATTTCCCCTTCACGCTTCTCCAGCCCGCATTTCACCAGATTCACCATCAGCGGTGCCACTAAATTCAGCAATGTTTCCTCCTTGAAAGCTCTGCTTTGCAGCCGCTGCCCATGTCCTCTTCCTCTTGTTCCTACATCTCCTGCTCTGCTCCTTGTGCCAGTCAACATGGCCATCCACGATCAAGCTGCTCTGGGTGGTCATACTGGCTCAGACCTCATCAATTTTGGTCAGGAAGACCAAGACTACCTCACGGACTCCGATGACGGATCTCTTTCCGCCTCACAGATCTCAGTCGGCAATGTCAACTCGGATCGAGAAGCCAACAAGGCTGCTCTAGTCGACTATGTTCTCGGCCGGGCCAACGATGACCATGAGAACGACCCACCATCTTCCACGAAAGCTAAATCCCAGGGCTCCGACAGCATCATCGACAAGGCGCGCGAATACCAACAGGAATTGTTTGAGCGGGCAAAGGAAGAGAACGTCATTGCCGTACTGGACACTGGCAGCGGAAAGACATTGATTGCCGCCCTGTTGATTCGACATTTCTTGCAACAAGAGCTCATCGACCGAAGTCAAGGCAGACCAGCTAAAATCGTCTTCTTCCTTGTCAACAGCGTTCCTCTTGCGAATCAACAAGCGAGATTCCTCAACAACAATCTGCCGCAAAATGTGATCGCTCTCTACGGGGATTCAAGCGATGGCCTTTGGAGGAAAGCGGAATGGGACAAAATATTTACCGACAACAGCGTTGTCGTTTGCACAGCTCCTGTTCTCGACGGATGTCTGATGCACGGTTACCTGAACATGGGACAGATCTCCTTGATCGTCTTTGACGAAGCTCATCACTGCAAGAAGAACCATCCGTATTCGAGGATCATTCGGGACTATTATCTCAAATGGAAGGGCACTCGACCTCGCATTTTCGGCATGACCGCTTCCCCCGCAGATGAATCAAGGCGAGATATTACTCAAGTTGTCAGTGACCTCGAAGCGCTGTTGCAAAGCAAGATCGTCACAACTCGTGATCAATCTGTTTTCGACTTCGCTCCGAAGCCAACGGACGAGTACTGGAAGTATCCGCCGCTCCTGGGGCACTTTGAGACAGCTTTACATACTCGACTCCGCCCATTGTGTGGCACCATCGAAGACTTTGAGCAGTATTTCTTCTTCTCCACCATCGCCTCCAGCCAACTTGGCGCCTGGGCAGCTGACAGAGTCTGGAGATATGCGCTTCCTACGTCGGAACATGGGGTTGCAAATATCATCAACAAGCTGGAGCGGAGTTCTGCTTACATCCAAGATACGGACAACCATAGACGCGAATCGGCGCTGAGTTCTGTTAGGGAGGCTATTTCGGTCGTCAAGTCGCACTGCTTTGGGCCTCCGTGTCTGGACAATGGGCGGGAATTGTCTTCCAAAGTAAGATATCTGTACGACCGGCTCAAGCAACGATATTCAGAGTTCCCCACCACCAGAGCAATCGTCTTCGTCGAGCAGAGATTGACGGCATTCGTCCTTCGCGATCTCTTTGAGATGTTGGACTTGCCCAATCTACGACCAGGAGTTCTTGTTGGTGTTGGCCAAAAGAGTGCCGAGTCGAGTTCGTGGAAAGATCAAGAAGCCGCACTGGACAGCTTCCGGACCGGGGTCATCAACGTGATCTTCGCTACCAGTGTAGCCGAAGAAGGTATCGACATACCCCAGTGCAACTTGGTGGTTAGATTTGACCTTTACAAAACCCCGATCCAGTACATGCAAAGTCGTGGACGTGCTCGAATGAGAGGTTCCATCTATGCACACATGATGGAAGTGGGCAATCACAGTCAGCAATCACTTGTTGACTATGCTCGTGATCAAGACGAGTACATCAGAATGTTCTGTCAACAACTTCCTCCAAACAGATTGTTGGGCCAGGGGTCACGTTTGAGGCAAATCATGGCTCGAGACACGAGCTGTCAGATTTTCAAAACATCGTCTGGAGTCATTGCCAACTACAGCAACGCACTTATGCTTCTGAACCGGTATGCAGAGTCATTGCAGAAGGTTGGGGCAACGTCAGGAGAGGTGTACGAAGAGATCATCGATGTGGAAGAAAACATGTTTAGGTATAAAGTCATTCTGCCTGTAACAGACGATGAACGCACCGCAGCAGTCAAAGGTGCTCGAGGTGATGCCCGGACCAACAAGGTGTTGGCAAAACGCTCCGCAGCCTGGCATTGCTGCTACAAACTACGCCAGGCACGTCTTTTGGATGAGAACCTGGACAGTATCTTTGTCAAAGTCAAGCCTGCCAACCTGAATGCTCGAACCGCCGTGTCGGAAAAGAAGGATGATTACGAAAAGAAACTCAAACCAGATTTCTGGGTGACCAGCGGAGTTGGAACCTCTGAGCTGCCAACAGAACTGTTCGTCACCCATGTGCATCTTGAGCCTCAGTCACCATCTTGGCATACGGACGGCCTCTTGCTTCTGACGCGATCTGCCTTGCCAGATCTACCATCTTTTCCGGTATTCGTAGACGACAATCTTGAAATAGAGGTCGTGTTCAAGCGCATCGAGGGCCCCATATTCGTCAATCCTGACCAGGTCGAAGCCCTGACGAAATACACGCTCAGTGGAGTATTTGAAGACGTTTTCAACAAGACTTACATGCACGATTCCAAGTCCATGAGCTACTGGCTAGCTCCCCCTTTGAAGAAAGACTTGGTCGGAAGCAGAACCTTTGAAGACGTGGTGAATGTGCCTGATCTTCTTGTTGCTGGCTCTTCAGAACGACAGCAATGGAGGCCAGCCAACAGTTCGGATCCTAAGCTCACAAACGCTGAAAAATGGTGCAATGCGTTTCTGGTTGACCCGGGTAGTGGGAAATTTCACTACTTTACCCACGGTATCGTCTCCGGGAAATCCATCTGGGACGCCCCGCCCGACACGGTGCAGGCCGTCCAGAAGAAACACAAAGACAACATCATTGAGTTCACAGACAGTACCTGGCGCAAGAAGGGCACAGGTCCGGCCTTGTTAGACAGCAAGTACGATCCCAACCAACCAGTTCTTGAAGCTAAAATGGTCATTCCTGGACGAAACTTTCTCGAGAGATGTCCTAAAGATCATCAGCGATATGCCATGTGCCTGATTGCGCCACAGCCACTCCAAATCGCCCGAGTTTCTTACTCAATGGCACAGATCTGTCAACTGTGGCCGTCCATCCTGCATAGATTTGAATCTTATCTCATCGTCGGCGAAGCGTTTGAGAAGCTGAACCTACGCGAAGTACCTTATCACCTGGCCCTGGAAGCTTATACCAAAGACAAGAGTGCTGAAGGCGACATGGATCAGGAAGAAGCTCTACATCAGGGTTTGACTAACGGCGAGGAGCCTGCCGAAGGGAGATCAGCATTGAACTATGAACGACTGGAATTCATCGGCGATTCGCTCCTCAAAATGATGACAACCATCACGGTGTTCAACCGAACAACCTGCGACGAAGAAGGAATGCACTGTAAACGCATGGCCTTGATTTCGAACAGTCGACTGTTCAATGTCGCTTCCTCGCCGCAATACGAACTCTATCGCTATATCCGCGCAGGGGCTGAAGACCATTGGCGTGATACGTGGTATCCCGAGTTCCTGGAATTGAAGAAAGGTCGAGTGATCAAAATGACGGATAAACACCGCAAACAAGCGCTCGGAAAGAAGTCGATAGCGGATGTTTGTGAAGCGACGATTGGAGCTTGTGTCATGACAACCCAGCATCTACAGACGGAGGAAAGATTCGATCTGGGGATCAAAGCGATCACGAAATTGGTTGATGACGACGACCACGCTATCACTTCGTGGAAAGAAATTCGAACAATGTACAGGCCGCCAAAATGGTCAACGGCATTGAACGACCCAGTTGCAAACGATTTGGCCCGAAAGATCTTCGATATTACGGGATATAGATTCAAGAATCCATGCCTGTTACGATCCGCATTCACCCATTCCTCGGACCAGAACTCTCCAGTACCGGATCTGCAACGCCTGGAGTTCTTGGGCGACGCTTGTCTCGACTGGGTCTGTATCTGGTGGTTGTTCTCCATCAACCCGACGCGCAATCCGCAATGGTTGACGGAACACAAGATGGCCATGGTCTCGAACAAGTTCCTCGCGGCGCTCGCCGTGACCTTGGGCTTCAACAAACTCATCTACGCCTCGGGCCCAGCCCTGTACGCCGAAATCGGCACCTACGCGGCCAACGTGCAGCAAGCGTACAGCGAAGAAGGGGTCAAACCTGATTTCTGGACACGCATGACTTCAGGCACGTACCCGCCCAAAGCACTGGCTGATTTGGTCGAAAGCTACCTCGGTGCGGTGCTGGTCGACTCCGGGTTTGACTTCCGTGAGATCGAGAAGTTCTTCCAAAATCATGTCAAATGGTTCTTCGAGGACATCGAGGCCTACGACACGTTTGCTAATCGCCACCCTACCACACATTTGTTCCGGCTTTTGCGAGAGGAGTTTCGATGTGTCAAGAGCGAGCCGGTGGTTATTGTTGGCTCTGTCAAGCCTACCACCTCTAGGCCCTCACATCACAATACTCATGGTGATGATGGCGATGGTGATGGAGGAGGAGGGGCCGGAGAAGAGGATGACGATGGGGCAGGTGATGAAGCTGTTTCAGGTGTCATGGTCCATGTTGCTTGGTTTGTTCATGGACGTAGGGTCGCTGTAAGTCAGGGGCAGGGAGCCAAATACGCCAAAGTCCGCGCGAGTAAGTCTGCATTGAAGATTCTGGGGAAATTGAAGGTCGATGAGTTCCGGAAGGAATGGGGGTGTGATTGTGTGCAGAAGAAAGAACCCGAAACTGGGAGTGACAGAGACAGTGACAGAGAGCCTGCTTGATGGAGTGACTGCCGAGAAGCATCTGCTTACAGGAACCTGGAACAGGCCAGTGGTGTGATGTTGAATGGAATGGGCGACACAAACGATACCCAGAGCAGTGTTGTTTGGGAACAAGGCACAGCGCAAAGTGGCAATCCGGCATGTGCTTATTGACCAAGTACAGCAGAATGAGGATGAGTAACGATGGCCCCGAGAACAGCAAAGCTCTCTCTACATGATCAATCAATGATGTTGAAGCGACCATTGTCCAGAGGGTGAGATTAAGGCGGAGAGAAGGCACCTGTTTCGGGACGAGGGTGATGCCGCCCTATGCTCAGCCTCGCCTCATCATACCTACAACCATTCATTGGAGAGCAGAACAAGAGTCTCCCGTGCCCCGCAGATGAGGCTGAACAACGTCTTCGCTGGAGGTCTTTTGCGTACGGTACCTCTAGGTAGGTACCTACCCGAACCTCTTATCTATTGTCAGGGTTCCTTCCTCGTTTCCCCCTGGCCCCCGTGTAACTGAGCGGCGTTACGCCTATCTCCTCTTTCGTCGAGCTCTCTCTCCTTCTCTCTCTCCTTCATTCTCTGGCCCCCTCTCTGTGAGACAGCAAAGCACCCCAGACAGTTGCTGTGCAGTGACGGGCACTCTACTTCTACTTACTCAACGAACTCGTGACCCTCCTAGGTACCCTGCATTTCTACGTGAGCCAGGCATTTTCCAAACCCGCCCTTCCCACGAAGAGGCTCAGAACCTGTCTTCCGCGCCCCCAAAAGGTAAGTAGGTGACCCCATTCAAGCCGATCAAGGACTCTTTGGCTTATGCTGGAGTCATGTGTTGCTCGCCTGCTAGGCGATTGTCTCGTCCAACTTCTGATTACCTCATCTGCAACAGGACCGCCTCTTGACCACGTCCCATATGCTAGCACAGGGTCAGGAGCGGACGGTTCTAGCAGAAACCGCCAACATCATATCAAGTGGGATCTAGAACTTGGGGGGTGAGGACAGACGAACGGGCCTCAAGCAGCCAACTAAGATCAATGAGCTACTTTGAGCGAGCCACGGCGGTGGAGCTCTTCGAGGAGTTTGATCGCGCTCACCCGGACCTGGAGTTCTTCCGACATGTCTGGGTCGACTTCTCAGGAATCTTGCGTCAACGCATTCTGACCAGGTCGTATTGTCGTCAAATTTACAGCGCCAACCGCCGATATGGAGTGGGACCGGCTGTGATGAGGAAGAACATCACCCACACGAGCGCCCAAGGCTTTTGCACCAAGCAGCAGGTCTGTCACATGGTTCCAGATTGGTATTCGGTGCGGACATGTCACTTTTCGCCCGGACATGCGTGGGTAATGTGTTTCGCATACTGTGCCGAGGAAGCAGATCCATTCTTCCAATGTCCTCGCTATGCCTTGGCCCGTGTGATCGAGAGAGTTGAATCGGAGCTTCCCGGGGCAGATGTTCTGTTCGGTTGTGAAACCGAGTTCATTGTGTTGGACCTGTCGTTACAGGCTCTCCAGTCGCCCGACAATGTGGTCGGATGGTGCACAATGACCGGGCTTCGAGACCGAAAACTGGAGATGCTGGCGGACATCGTCCGCGTGCTGCAAAAGTCAGACATCGGCGTCACCCATTTCCACTGCGAGGAGCCTCAGCAGCTCGAGCTCTCGACATTTCCGTTCCCGCCCATGCAGGCTGTTGACAACCTATACTACACCCAAGAATGTCTGCGGGTGATCGCCCTTCGTTATGGCTATCGAGCCACTGTGGCTATCAAGCCACTTCCGCCGCCACATGAGACGACGAGCACTGTTGGCTTGCACTTTTCGCTCTCCGGCATCGCCACCACAGAACAGGACCATTTTCTCGCCGGCGTTCTCAACCAACTGTCCGTGATCGCACCATTTGCTATGCCAACGCATGACAGTTATCACCGGACGAGCGTTGATCGCTACGGCACTTGGATCTGTTGGGGCACCGAGAATCGTGATGTTGCCATCCGCAGGATCAAGGATGGGCACTGGGAGTTGCGTCTGAGCGATGCCACAGCCAATTTCTTCCTCCTGGGAACCATCCTCCTTAGCGTTGGCCTCGACGGGGTGTTGGCGAAGCAGATCCTCTCTATCAGAGACCTGAGGTCTCCCTCGACCCAGGTGTCATCCGAGGTCCTGGAGGCTCACGGCATCCGAGAACGGCTCCCGTCCACTTTCCGCAATTCGCTCGAGCTTGTCAGGAAATCAGACTACACCGAAAAGCTTCTGGGTCACGACATGAAGGGCCTTTGGCTTGCAATAAAGGAGTTGGACGAGGATGCCCTTTGCCGGATGAGTGATGAGGAGAGACGGAAGGCCTATCTTCAGCATTTCTGAATGTAAATATTGCGTGACCAGGTGGGCGGTGCCGGCAGTGTTACGACATACAAGAAAGAGGCTTGGTGTTTAGGTTGGCATATGTAGATTGGTCTCTGTCTGCCTTGTAGAAGCCTTGCCCTACTTGTCTTTTCTACAAAGTACCAGGGGCTTTATCTCACTTCTCCACAAATTGACTATAAGACACTAACGGATTCAAGCAATCCCAAATCATCGTTCACATCTCGTCCCTTCATGTTGTCTCTCGTACTTGATGTAGGGTGATGTTCCGGATCACAGATCAACCACCAGACTTTCGTCCACCGCTGGATCTGACAGGCACAATTGGCAACATCGTGGTAGGTATGATCGATGCGAGATGAGATGCTGTGGATGTACCGAGTCAGTGTGATCCTGAAATATTGGAGATCCCTTCCCCGACAGTATATCACGCTATGTTCGACGTACTTGTCTCTGATTGTATAACAACAACCTTTGCTCTTAGGATCAGTTCAAAGTCTTGTAAGGGAAATTGTTGGTGACCTGAATCTGAAGTATAGGGAGTTGGACTGCTGCAATGTGACCTGCCTTCGTCTTTAATAGGCACCCTCCGTCAACCCAACACCAGTTGTTGCAATTGCACATGCCGTGAATGCAGCACCCCGGCACCAATCTGTATGCGTTGTACAGACGGGACGATGTGAACCGCTGACTGTGTTAGTTGCAGATGCTAGAGGGGTTTTGATCATCACGGTGCCCCTGCTACACACCATGTTGTCTTTGGTGCCCAACGCTTGTTTGCCACATTGCTTGTCCATATCATGAATCCTTGTCATTGTCGATCGGTTCAAGTCCTTGTGGCCGAGTCGTGAACGCCAGTCAATCATGGATTGGCTGTTCACCGGTCTGCGTTCGAGGTGCAGTGAGGCGGACGTGGGGAAGCAACCATCAGGCCGGTGGTCAATGTCACCGGTGCTTGTACACTGCAGACAACGTGTTAGCGACCAGACACTATGCCTGATACCTGGTCACTGTCCAGCCAATCTTACCTTGTACGTCGTCAGTAACGGGCTGGTTTCTGTCTGTCGTCTGGAGAGGGGAATCAAAAGACGGTTACTACCTGCGCCATTCAAGTTGCCGGATCACTGTGACTTGGCTGCAGCCTGCGACGCATCTTGATCCTGACTGCAACTCAGGACGCATACACGCATCACTGCATGAAGAAAGTGCGAGGTGCAAGGTGCGAGCAAGATCGGATGACGCATTTTTCCCATCCGAAGAGCCTCATTTCTCCTGATCTTGGACAATACTTGAGCGGTACTGATGAGATATCCTGCCATAGCATTTGTGGATGGGGACCTCGCCCTCTACAGAGTAAACGCAGCCTAGGGATGAGATGGACAAGGCATGGCAGCTTGTCCAGACGGCGAGTCTGGTGGAATTGGCACCCGTTGCTCATCGCACACAACCTGCTCGTCTGAAGTGAGTTCAGAGCGCCCAGCAGCCCCGAAGATATGGCAGCACGCTGACCAGTGACCATGTTCGAGATGCAGTGTTCTAGTGGTGCCTGATATCCCTCCGAGAGCTGGCTTTGCAACAATCGGCAGCAGAGACGCCAGCTTTGTCTCGCTGTTTCGACAAATCGACACACAATGCCAGATACTCGAATTCCGTTACCTGATCGGCAACCAATTTGCCTGGACCAAGCTGGCCGAGCACAGTGGCACGATGCTTGAATGCCTTGCCGAGGGCACGCAGCAGTACCAGGTATGTATAATGTCACCACATCATCCATTGCAGTCCACCAGATGCTCGTCGGTGTGGAGTGCTGACTCTCGAAGTTGCAAGCCTCGCCTCTGCTCATCCTATCTTGCGGGTTTGGTGGTTGCATAACGAAGAAAGTGCGTGTCCAGTACCTACGGATGATGAGACAAGCACACTGAATAGTTGATAAGGCTCTGAGTGTCATCTACGAGAAGTTCTACAACCATGCCTTCCGCGCTCTCGGTCGAACCATTCGTGGCTTGGTGTTCTTGGGCACACCTCATCCTGTATACGGTCAACAGGGTCAAGTTGAAAGGCTAGACTCGCTGCTTTCAGCCACCATGAATCTCCAGCGAAGCATGCTTGCCAAAGTTCGGGAAGAAGTGGGTTTCATGTGGAACATGTCCTCCAACTTTGAACAGATTTCTGTGGATTATCCTGTTATCTCGGCCTACGAACGCTGGCCAACATCATATAAGGTTGGTTTCATGCGCAATAGGAAAGATGTGGTAAGTTCGTAAACAGAAAGAACAGGAATACAATACACCACTGACTGCTGCTAGTTGGTGGACAGAAGCTTCGCCACGACAAACGTGCCTGGCGAACGTCTGATACAAGTGGACGCCGACCATTTTCAGATCTACACAATCTCACCACAGACTCTACTTGAAGAAGCCATCACACGGTTGGCATTGACGGTGAAACAGGCCACATCACCATCTGCTTTGGGCACGGGTAAGCATGACATGAATATGAGAGTCCTACACAACGAAAGGTTACTAATCTGATGGTGGACAGTGAACTCGACACTTGAGGCTGACGATGTGGCAGCCGCTCTGGATCAGTTGTGGCTAAACACTCCTGCGGCATCACGCATTGCAAAGGACGATAGTAGCGTGCCCTGGATTTGAAAAGCAATCGAAACTACTGACTGACTTGCAACTAGAACATATTCATTCGAGCCAACAAGACTCTCTTCCTCCTGACTCGGGCGTCCAGAGTCCCGAAGGGGCCACAATAGGCTCAAGCAATGTGGCTGCGGGTTATGAAATCGTACCTGCTGCTGGCGCTGTAGCGGCAACGACTCCGGCGGTGAAACTACCATGCTATATGGTCAAACAACACAGCAGAGCCGGTGGGTGTATCGGGAGGGACAACGTCCTCGAGATGATTGACGAGGCTCTCTTGCCAACGGCACCAGGTGCCGAACTATATTCAACACAAGAGATCAAAAGTTTTGCAATCTGCGGTCTGGGGGGACTGGGAAAGACCCAAATCGCTCTCGAGTTTGCACGGACGCGCAAAAGACACTTTGACGCCATCTTCTTCGTGTACGCAGATAGTCTGACCAAGTTGGCAGAGAGCTTCGACAACATAGCCAAGGAACTTGGCCTGGCCGACAAGACACAGGTCGACAACTCCGTGGTCAACCGTGATCGGGTGTTGGAGTGGCTCAATCTGCCGTTGAAACATGCTCGGGGCCAGGACAATGAGGACGTGCCTCTGGCGGCCGATGCATATGCCAACTACCTCCTGATTTTTGACAATGCCGACGAGCCGGAGCTGTTGACAGAATACTGGCCCATGACCGGCACCGGTTCTATCCTTGTCACCAGCCGCGACCCCTTAACCAAGTCTCGCATCTACTCCAACAACGGTATTGACCTTGAACCCCTCGATCAAGAGCATGCGGCCCAGCTGCTACAGTCGCTCACCGGGTACGACAGTCCAAGTGACCATGAGGTTGCGGTGCAGATTGCCACCAGAATGGGAGGTCTTCCGCTGGCCTTGCAGCAGATAGCAGGACGGATCCAGCGAAAGCATCTGACTTTCCGTGAGTTCCTCGGTCTCTATGAAAAGCCGGCGTTTCAACAGGATGTCCACCAATCCAAGGAGCGAGGATTTGGCAACGCCTACGAACGGATGCTCTTGGACGTCTGGTCGCTTGACAACCTCAAACCAGAGGCCGTCCGTCTACTGGAGTGCTGTGCCTTGTTGGACCCCGACCGCATCCCTGAATCCATCTTCCTGGCCGAAGACAATGAGGTGCCTGGCAGTCTGAGTGACCCGATGAAATTCGAAGTCGCCCGCACCGACCTCATCAAGGGCTCCCTGGTCAAACGACTGCACGGCCAGTCAGTCCTGACCGTGCATCGGGTGCTCCAAGACTCGATCCGGGTGCGCATGCCATCCCAGCGCTTTTGTGACGTGTTCGTCGCGGTCATGAACATGATCATCCGTGCCTGGCCTTCGCAGGCGCTGTCATTCGCTTTTGAGCCGACCCTCTGGACCACATATGGTATTCTACTGCCTCACATTGAGCATTTGATTGAGATGTTGGAGCGCGCCGTCCCGTTCAAAGAAAGCGCCGATGATGCAGGAAAGTTTGTTGCTCTTTTGGTCAAAGCGGGTTGGTGAGTCGACTTTCTTTTCTTTCTCTCTCTACACACATACACCCAGATATCCGCCAATCGAATTCCTTGACAAGTCGCAACAATACTGATATTGACAACCTTTGTAATCAGGTACCAACACGAGCGTGGCAACTACGAAGACGCACTATCCATGTTCGAGAAGGCCTCGCATATCGTAAGTCCGTGGTCAACCGTCCTCGGCCGCATCGTGGCCGACATCGACTTTTGCATCACGAATTCGACTTCCTTCACCAAGGACTGGGGCAAACGTGCCTTATCCGCGGAGCGGAACATGGCCTACCGCCTGGCGCACCCCGACGACGTGTTCAATTTGGCTATCGCACACAACGAGATGAGCTACTATTACAACGAGCAAGGCCGCTATCGCGACGCCGTCCACCACGGGCTTCAAGCCCTCGCTGTCTACCAGCATATGGAAATGTACCGTACGGGCGAGGCGCTCGCAATCAACCCGCGCATCAACATCGCGCACGCCCACTACTGGCTCGGTGAATTGGCCGAGGCCGAGAGTTATGCACTTCGGTGTCTCGAGCGGATTGAAATGAATCAATATGAATGGGATTTCAACGCCAATAGGTAAGCTCGCAAGTGACAGGGCCTATACATCATGGGCTCCTAGTATATGGAAGATATCTAATCCGTGTCCCAGGACTGGAAACACCCTCTACATCCTCGGCAATATTCGTCGGATGCAAGGCGCCCTCGACGAGAGTTTTGTGTTGTACAAGCGGTCGCTCGACCACTACAAGAGCACACTGGGCGAGCTGCACGCCCACACCTTGAAGGTATACGTCAAGGTCGCCGACCATTACACCCAACGTGGTGAATTCGAACTGGCCACGTAAGTATCGTATCATTGTTTCCACCAGCAGGATACGAAGACCGATCGTCAACTGACAAGCATGTCCCCCACAGACAACACCTGGATACAGCCCTCGGCGGGTGGAGCGACGTGCTGTACTTCGGTCCAGAGCGGGCGCGGGCCATGCTCAAAAAGTCCCAAATTCTTGAGCTCGTCAACCAACCTACCAAGGCCGAAGGCGTACGTCTGAACGCGGAGAAGGAGTGGCGGGACTGGTATAGACGCGCGCACCCCAACGACACGACCATGATGCCATCGGTGATTGACTATGACGCTCAAATTCCCTTTTGGGCCAGGTAGGTTGTGATATGTCCCCAAAAAAGAAAGGAGAGGGACACGGCAAACAGGGGCACAGACACCGCGAACCACACATACACGCTGAGCTTCGGCCCGTGATCGTCTATGATTTCGGAAAAGTTCATGCCGAAGAAGGACGTGGTGAAAGAAAGAGGGACGAAAAAGAAGGCCAACAGTGTCAGCCTTGCGAGACCTTGGGCCTGAGAAATACTTCGCTGCGCTTCAGCCAGCATGGCCTGGTTCATCAGCAGGTTTGTGGAATCCATGCACTGAGCACGCATATTCTGCGAGCGGGTGAGGAGATGATTCCAGTCGAGGAGCAGTGTCTTGACCTTGTCATTCACGATCTTGATGTGGTCAGCATTCGTGGCTCGCGGCCAGGTGGAGCTTCCTCGTGATTGAATTGCCGCAATGGTGGCTTCTTGTTTGCGGATGTGTTCCTCGAGCATGTTTCTCGTCGCCTCGAGGTTTGCGAGCGAGGCGGACATCTTATCCAGCGGTGGGTGCCGTTCGCTGTCGATGGTCAAGCCCAACAGATTCAGAAAGTGGCTCTCGGAATAAGCCGAGAAGGCAAAGAGCTCGGAGACGGCGTAGAAGGCGTCGGTTTGCACGATCATCGGGTCCAGTGTCTGGCCATAGTGACTGTGCAAGAGATTGGCACTCTGAGCCACCGCGCCCCCGGGGCTGCGGCGTACGTGATGTCCACTGGTGTCCCGTCGCAGCGGATAGCTTGGTCGACGACCGTCGGGCGCCGAGTCGTCGACTTTGGCCGCATTCTTCTCTCGAAACTGAAAGACGGGCAAGAGATCGTGTGGCAGTGGTTGCGATGTTGTGGGCAACGCGAGCCATTCTCGGAGTTGCTTCTCGAGCACATCAATGCCACAATCCAGCCAGATAATTGCTGTATGTCAAAGGCTCCTGTCAGTTTTGACTTAAGCTCAACAAATGGGCTTTTGACGACAATCACATACCTATCCAGCCTCCACTCTTGGGCTCAATCGAAATCGAAAGCTCCTGTTCGACCGAGTAGTATTTCGTGCTGTGGACGTGGATCTTTCGGATGATGGACTGGCCCATGCCACTATTCCGCTCCAGCTGGCGTAGATGCATGCCTATCTTCATGTTCACATCCTCCCGAGCTCGACTCAAGTCCACGCCGGCCGTCATTCCATCATCCCCAATACCACTGCCCCGGGTCGCGTTCGTGACCAAAGGCAAGCTCACAAAGTTAGTGGATGCGGAGGGCAAGCCTGGCATGTCGAAAAGCTCGTACAGCTGCAGGAAACCAAGGTGTCGACGGAAGTATTCCGGATCGATACGAAAGGTGCAGCCCAAGAGATTCATCCATTCGGGCGTCGCATAGCCTCTCATGAAGAGCAATTGCGAACAATTCGGACCGAGGGCTGGGCGAGTTTGCTCAAAGGCAAGGCGCCCGGGCGTGTCAATAAGATACGTAGAGATTCTACCACCATGGCCACCGGACGGCGTAGAGATCGAGAGCGAGGGGGACAAGATGGAGGACTGCGACGAAGTGCGATTCCCGTCCCGCAGAGATGAGGACGTAGAAAAGTTATATACCGCCACGAAGGTGTCGTCCAGCTCTTGTCCTTGTACAGGATCCCGATAGCCTTCCAGTTCGTCTCCCGGATCTGGACGAATCGGGCCGCTGGCTGGCGGGAAAAAGGAGCCGTAAGGACGTGAGAGAAAAGCAGCTAGTCTCTGAAAGTTTTGGCCGGGGAACAGCGAGGTGAGATGGGTCTTGCGAGCGAGGTTGGCGACAGTCTGAGCGTATGTCTGCGATAGTGTCGGTGTTGACCTGGCGGTTCTCGACAGCCGAGTGTCTGTGTCTGCCCGATAGATCCTGGGAGACGGGTGTCTCTGTTCCTGATATAGCAGTCAGTACCGTACCGTGCCCACATGGAGTCTTTCCGTGACAGGAGCTTTTGTTTGTATGGCCGTCACCCACGGCGAGTTGCATGTGGTTTTGTGTGAGTCTGACGGAAGGGTTGGACGGGCTGAAGCCTGAGAGGTTGACTATGCAGTGCCATGGGAATGAGAAGAGACTGGCCTCGACACCTACCATGCTGAAAATGTCACACAGAGCCCCTTCGTCTTCGCACGGCTGTAGTCGCACATGTAGTATCACCAGAGCCCTAGATGCTCTGCATTGTCTTTAGCAGTCGCGCATATTTCAAGATTCCTGACGATCTCCTATGCCGTATCGCCGAAAGTCATGATGGTGCTCAGTGATGAGAAGGACGAGAAGAGAATGACATGTCGCCCTTAGGCAATGCCGGCTTTGACGACAGCAAGAATTGGTCCAGTGCGTCGGGCCGAGGCCGAGCATCTATGTTGCCTTTGAGGCTCGTCTCTTGCCTTGGGCAATGGCCCCCATCAATACGAGCCATGATCGCATCCACGGCTGAGGATCGTGTTGATGCTGCCTTGCATGACATGGTCTCGCCTTAGCCTCGGTCAAATAGTGGTCATGGTAGGGGTCTTGTCCCGCAGTCTTGGATTTCCATTCACAAGTATCTAGATAGGTAGGGTAGTAGGTAGTCCGTAAATCGTATGTCAGTTTGGAATGACAAGGGACCGGGCGCTGATACCCAACAGGGGGGTTGTTTGCGTGACACGGCGCAGTCGAATTCTCTGTTGAACGCCCGGCATTAGGGTCATGGTCAGGGAGTGGTAGAAGACCACACCGTCTTTGGATGCAGGTGATGTTGATTCGTCAACATTGACATGGATGGTGGTGGGCTGCCAGTGAGGCGACGCCTCGTTTCTCAAGAGAAGTTGGGAGAGGAGGGGGAGTAGGGGAGTAGGGGATCCCTCCCCTGCGCTCTGGCACTCTACACAATACTACTACTTACCTACTTGCTACCTACCAGGTATAAGCCAGGCACCTACCAGGCTGATCAGCCTCAGCCTTCAACTCCTCGCGTAACACAAACTTGACCGCGCCTGCTGCTGTCCTGACCGCTTGGCCCTGCCACCCCTGCTGGCTTGCACCACATCGTCCTCGTAGCCTTTCGTCCTTTAACCACACCTGCATCACCAAAACTCCTATTGTTTGGACAGCCTGATCAGCCCGCTCTGGAGCGGGAACAGTCCTCGAAGAGATGCAGATCGTCAGCCTGCCCCAACTGTCTCATACCACCTTGAGTGAGCTTCAAGATGGCCTTCAATCGGGCGCCTTCACCTCGGAAGACTTGGTGCGGACTTACTTGAAGCGAATCGAGGAGGTCAACGACAGGGTGCATGCTGTTGTGGAAGTCAACAGCAGCGCGGTAGAGACTGCCCGGGCTCTTGACGAGGAGAGACGTCTTCACGGTCACAGAGGGTAAGTAAGCACACAACATTTGGCTGTCCACCATCCACTGTCCATCATAAACACCAGCCAGCCCTTGACGAGCGATAATAATACCACTCAAGGCCATGGCACGGGGTACCAGTTCTCATCAAAGATAGCATCGCGACAACCGACATGGAGAACACATCTGGCTCATATGCCTTGTCAGGGGCTACCATCGACCGTGACGCTTCTGTCGTTCAGAGACTTCGCGCCGCCGGGGCCATCGTCCTGGGCACGACCAATCTATCACAATGGGGCAACGCCCGATCGTCCGATGCCAACAACTCCTACAAGTCACAGTCGTCCAACGGATGGAGTGCTACAGGAGGTCAGACGTACGGTGTCTACCACGTCAAACAAGATCCTTCGGGGAGCAGCAGCGGGTCGGCGGTCGCCACCAGCCTCGGATTAGCACTGGCAGCTGTAGGGAACGAGGTGAGTGAGGACAGACCACTACCACTGCAGGCGATGTCCGTCTGTCGCTCCGAACGATACGTGCTAACGGACTACGATGCAATCGAGACGGACGGCAGTATCATTTGCCCCGCGGGAAGAAGTGCCGTTGTGGGCATCAAGCCAACCCCCGGTCTCACCCCACGAGATCTGGTCATCCTTCCGAAACGGATTGGCACGGTCGGAGTCATGGCACAGACTGTGGAAGATGCAGCCGCGCTTCTCACTGTCATCGCTGGAGCATGTCCTCACGATCGCCGAACCGAGGAAATCCCTTTCGATGAGATTCCCGATTATCGCAGCTTCTGCCGCCGGTCGGCCTTGCGAGGGGCACGCATTGGCATTCCTCGAAATGCATTCCAGAACAACGACGGGAATGTGGTTGACGCGGTCGAACTGGCAGCGCTCGAGGAAACCATCTCGATCATGGCGAAAGCAGGAGCCGTCATTGTCGACCCAGCCGAGTATCCCGAGTACGCGACGTTCTTTGCGAAATCACCGTCGATGAAAGCCGTTTACAACAACGCGGACTGGAAAGCTCAATTTGAGGACTATGTGGCGCGGCTGACCAAGAACCCGCAGAACATTCACACCATTTCCGATCTCGTCGAATTCACCAAGACATGCCCGGCAGAGGAATACCCTTCACGCAACATCGATGGGCTTCTCCACATCGAGAAGGCGCTTTCAGCCGACGACCCTTCAGTCGAAGCCGCGTTCGAACAAGTCCGTCAATGGGCGATGGAAGGATGTATCCAGGGTGCGGTTCAGCGGCATCAGCTTGACGCATTGATCCTTCCTTCGGGCGTCAGCACCACCGTAGCGGCGGCTGCATGCTGTCCTGTGATCAATGTGCCATGGGGATACTACCCAAAGGGCACTCCGCTGGTGTGGAATGGCCGCGGGAATCTGCTCCTCCGGCACGAGAACACACCGTATGACCCCCTTTGAATTACCATAGAGTATGATCAGTTGACTGACCTCAAGAGCTGCAGATTTGGGTTGAGCTTCATTGGACTTCCATTTACCGAGCACAAATTGATCGCATATTCTTATGCCTTTGAACAGCTGACCCGTGTCCGAGATCGGGGAAAGCAATACATCACGCCTACGACCGAGCTTGACGATGTGCTCGATAGCAGCAGTACCAACAATACCGAGTGGCAAGATCTTCCCACGCAGGAAAAACAAATTCCCGGCAGCAATATCCGCATTCATCTACACATGACTGCCTCACAAGACACGGTCAATGTGTAGGAAGGAGATCGACATGACGTCGTCCCCCATCTCAAGACAGTCTGCATCAACATTCTTACTGGGATCCAATCTCGTTTGTGTTTCCTGGACACGGCATCAGGAAGGTAGTAGATTGGTCGAGAGGAAAGACGCGAAGATTCGCGTGTGGGTGCGTCCTGGCGGTGTTATTCAGGTAGACCTCTAGAGCTGTGGGCATCCTTACTAGGTAGTAATATACCTCGTTTCAAAAGCATACAACTTCATTGTGAGACCATCAGTCAATCAGTGAGGTTATCTAGGAACAGAAAGAGATACAAGAGCCGCGAAAGGAGTAGTCAAAAAGTTCCTTTTACTCTCTTCGTCGTTTCCAAAAGCATCCAATTTCTTCAGCATGGGACCATCAGTCATCCAGTGAGGTACTATCGGACCAGAAAAACACAGAAGAGCCGCGAAAGGAGTAGTCAAGAAGTCCCTTTTGACTCTCTTCGAGGAGGTCTTGAAGGGGGGACCTGTACTGCCGAATACTTGTCAAAATAAAAAGGTATCCAATACCAGATTTTGTTATCCAAGGTTACAGCGTTCGCAATTCTGTATTCTGACAAGCGTAGATTCTAGATCGACGACCACCCCATAAGATACATTGTCGTTGCCTTACTCACCGAAGCACGGTCCTCATCAAGAGTAGCTATCAAAGCCATGGTCGCCGTCGAGGGATACGGTCGAGGGTGAGTCGAAGTTGAATGAGGTTGGATAAGGCTGAGGGGGCCAGGAGAACGAATAGGGGTGCCAAGAACCCGCCGACTAATCTATTTATTCTATACAGTGGGGTGCGGTGGGGGTCGAGGCTACTAGGGATAAGGACGGTAACGAGTGGGGGCTACGACTTTTATACCTACCTATGCTAAACATCGCCAGCAATCACCGGTGCATTGTACATTACATTCAACCTTCCAACACTCTGGCCGACTGTATAACACCTCCATCTAAACGCGCACAACACTGAGCCGTACATCCACAGAACAGACCATGTCGTTCACTTTTAAACAAGGCGGTCCCAAGACGCGGCCTGACCCAGTCAAGCCTCCCTTCGAACCGACAGATACACAAACACCCATTGATTCCACACCCCTTCCGCCGGCATGGTCACAACCACACTCACGACGGTCGTCCAGCTCGTCCGCCGCCTCCTTCCACTCCGCGCACTTCCCCGCCGACGAAGAAAGCCGGATGGTGTCGTCCTCGCACGAACTCAAAGCCCAAGCGAACACGCAGTTCGCGCGACAAGACTACTCGTCCGCCATCGGCACCTACGACCGAGCATTGGCCGAGTTGCCGAACTACCTGGACTACGAGATGGCCGTGCTCCACAGCAATATCGCCGCATGTCATTTGAAGATGGAACAGTGGAAAGAGGCCGTGGAGAGCTGCGAGAAAGGGCTGGACGGGCTGGAGAGGGAATTGCCTACAAAACCTAAGGAGAAATCAAAAGAGAAATCAAAAGCAAAGAAAGATACTGGATCGAAAAGAACAACATACCAAGATGCAAGAGAGAAGAAGCAGAAAAACAAGCACCAAGGAACATTAAACTCGGACAGTGATACGGATTCGGAGACGTCATCTTCGTCGTTGAGGTCGAGGGCGAGGTTATCCGCTCATGTACCGGAACCAACACCACAAGATCAAAATCAAGACGACACGGTCGTCGAACTTCCCGCGGACGCCGACGAGACCGCCACCCTCGCCGCCCTAGAATCCCTCCAACTCTCCGATGCCCGCAAAGCCGACATCCACCGCATCCGCACGAAACTGCTGCTCCGCCGTGCGCGCGCCCGCTCGCTCATGCAGCCGCAGAACTGGTCGAACCTGTCCGCCGCGCTGGAGGACTACAAGGCCCTCTCGACCCCGCAGTATTTCAGCTCACTGCCGCCCGCGGACCAGAAGACGGTCAGACTGGCCCTGGTGACGCTGCCGCCGCGCGTGAATGAGGCCAAGGACAAGGAGGTCGGCGAGATGATGGGTAAGCTGAAGGAGTTGGGGAATGGGATTTTGAAACCGTTTGGTCTGAGTACCGAGAACTTCAAGGTCGTTCAGGGCGAGGGGGGCGGGTATAGTCTCAACTTTGACGGTGCTGCAGGGAAGAAATGAATCGAAATGAAAGACTATGAGATGAAATGAGATGAGATGAAATCCTGTCCTGTGCTATGCGATACTGCTATGTTATGCAGTCAAACGCTATGCATGCTATCCTGCCACGATCGACTACTCTACTAATGTCTTGCAAGAAAGGGGGATCTGGTCTGATTGATGCTGGCAGGCAGAGAAATATGGAACAGGCCAGAGTTTGCCACTGCAATACCTTTTATGGCGAGACCTTCAAATGGCCGTATTATATCACCACTGCACGAAAGGGTTGGGCCGAAGACGGTAGGATCTTTGATGCAAGCATGTCCTGAAGCAAGCGCGATGTGAGAGCTCCAAAACACCCTCGAGATCCTGAGAATGTTCTGCATACAGACATACAGTCGGATCTACTTGAGATGCCACCATATCTTCTTTCTCTCCTTCTCTTTCCTCCTTCCCCGGAACCCAGGAGATAAGTCTAGATTGTTCAGATTGTTTTGAATCTGTCTGGAGATTTCATCCTCCGAATCCCTTCCTGTTGTCTTCATCTTGTCTTTATCATCTTTCAACATGCAGCCAGTCCTCGAGTTTATTTCTTTGTTCGCCTTTTTCCTATTCCTGTGATTCTTTGGCCCATGGTAGTTCACTCTTCTCTTCCCTTCTCTTCCCTTCCCTTCCCTGCCCTTCTCTTCCCTTCCCTTCTTACTCTTCCTGTCTCCTACCTTATTGATATGATAGTGATGATACCTGTTCCCATATCTCCTTACACAATCTCTGGATCCAGTCTGACCTGCTCTGACCGGACATGAGATCGTATCTGAGCAAGAGGAACCGGTGAGCGAAAGAAAGTAAGAGAGGATCTTTTCATCTTTCTATGACTTTGGCCTTGGCTTTGTTCGATCCAGACAGCCAGCCAATCAATTATTCAACCAACCAACTGTCCCAAGTGTCTTCTTAGTCTTGAATCTTGATGCGAAATTTCCCCTGATCATTGATGAAAGGAGTTGTTCGCCGTGAAATGTACTGCCTTTTTCGTCGGAGTTAGAGGAAGGAAGGAAGAAGGTAGTAGGTCTGGTGTGAGTCTGTGTCTGTGTCTGCTTGTAGAAGAAGGATCTAGACAGTGAGTGAGTTGTGGTCTCGGCATGGCATCAGCAATAGGAGGACAATGTGAAGGGGGTGCTGATCAGATAGATAATAAATAGCATTACTACCGTATTAGTCCTTCTGTGCACGATATAAGGAAGAAGATAGTTTAGCTGTAACACGGTGAATTTCTGCCGCAAGAAGGATAGAGTATATAGAAGCAGTGAAAGACAAACGTTGTTGCAAGCCTGCGCACACGCAAGAGAGAAAGAAATGGGATCGGGACTCAGTCGCATGGAACGTCTTCACGCGTGTTCTGGAGTTAGTCGATCTAGATAGCAAGAGTGGGAAAAGGTCGAAAAGGATACTCCCTCAGTCAGGTCGACTTGATTCTCGTATCGCCTTCAATTTGATACAATCCGAGTCATCCAAGATGACCTCCACGCATCGATTGTGATGTTTGTGAGACGAAACAGGAAGACAGGCTATTTCAGCCACTACATTCCTTGCATGACACCCCTTGGTGATTGGTATGGGCATGACAGATAGAAAAGTCTACAAGGCCTTATACTGGGACGAAAGCAACGTGAGGAAGCAAAATGGGGTTTGATTTGATTTCATTGCCAGTTTTTTCTGTCCCAGCACTCGCATGGTCTGCTTCAGCTCAGCTTAGCTCGCTCGCTCTGCAAGGTGCATTGCACCAATCCCTCCCATGAAAACATAAGCTCCCCTCCCAACTCCCATGTCGTAACCAAAGCCCATCGCTCGTCTCATTGTCCGGCATTTCCTTGCCATATCCTGTACCGGAACTCCAAGCTGATGTCAATGATAATGTCCCAGCGCCTGACCATGCCAACCATTGCTGAAGCAGAAAAGAAAAACAACCGATCGTCAATGGGGTATCACTAATCGTAACATCGTGTCTCATGGCTCGCCTTGCCCGCCGTAGCAAAGCAGGTCGAACTTCGCGAGTGCCAGCCCGTTCTGTGCTCTGAGCTGAATTGGTGGAAATAAAGGAAGACTGGTGGCTGTGTGAGTTGTTGCCAGGGTCTTCAACCGTCAACTTCCTCGAGACCGAGCTCAACCGGCTGCAGGGTTGTTTTCGTCTTCGGTGTCGTTTGTGCCAGAGGGGGTCGAAGGGTCAAATGCCCTGGCGTTGCGCGAGGCTGCAGGCTCAGGATAGTACGGCTCGAAGACACTCAAATCCTCCTGCTCTTCTGCAGTCAGCACCCGGGAGACTCCGTCGTCGAAGCGCGCGTTTGGGTCCAGGCTTGGATCATCGTCTTCCAAGTGAGTCGGCTCAGAGCCTTGGAAGTGTGTCTGTGCCATCCCAGGGCCAGGAAATCCTTGCAGCTGTTGTGGTGGTAGAGGAATGGCAGCACCTGAACCGTTGTAGATGTGTGGCATTGACCCCAGTGGTGCAGGGGGGCCAAAGATCGCCTGCATCTCGGCTGATCCGTGGCCATAAGGAACGTTGTATGGTCGCCGCTGGCCAGGCGGCGAACCATACTGCTGTCCTTGCGCCGGAAAGCTGGGCCTCATGTTGGAGGCTGGCGCACTTGATCTTGGAATGCCCTGAGGAGGCGTGGAGAAGGAAGATCTGGCCGTGGCGTTTGCAGATCGACGGAGTTCTGACTGCGGCAGCTGTCCAGTTGGTCCCATGTTTCTGCCCATGGGTTGCGGTGTCTGCGGAGCCCCATGCTGGGGAAACGCAAACTGCTGGGCCTGCTGCTGGATTGCCTGAAGGGCCAGGTTGTTGTCTACCTGTGCCCCCGTCGCCTGCCGCTTGGCCTTCTTGTCGTCCTCCTTCTCTGCCTCTCTCCCTCGCTTCAGGGATTCGGCCTTCTTCTGATTCAGCACTCGGTTTGATGCAACTCGTTTTGAGCTGCGGAGAGGGTCATCGACCAGCTTGACCCGGAAAGGCACGTCGAAGAGGTGCTTGCAGATGGCCTTTGATTCAGCCATCGCCCCGACCAAATGGTCGAAGCGTTCTGCAAACGTCCACTCCTCCGTCTTGCCCTTAGCCTTTCCGGGCTCCCAAGCCTCCACCAAGTTCACGGCCTTTTCTGCCCGCTGAATCAAATCCCCCAACAACTCCCAGCACATGACCTCGACGAGGTGGTTGTTGTGCTCCTCCTTCACAAACTTTTCCTTCATCTTTTCTCCCTCCGTACTGGCCGACGGGACCGACTTGAATGCCTGGAACAGGACTTTGACGTGGGCGCGCTTCTGCTCCGCCGTCCGAGGGATCGTCCCATCTTGCTGCCCCGTTGGCGGCAACAGGACATCACGGTACCTGCGTGCCGTGAACTCATCTCCGAAGATTGTTGCCGAGTCAATTGCTTGACCCGACATTAACTCCGTTGACGAGGGGAGATCCTCGACGTCGAGATTGACGAAGCCAGCGACGCCTTGCCGGTCGGTTGGGATTTGTTGGGCCAGGGCGTGGATGCGCACGGCTTCGTTTCGCGCGTGCTGCTCCCTCAGGAACGCTGGGCAGCTTGCTCTGTTGTGCTGTGCTGCCATTGCTGTTGCTTGCGTTGTTTTCTTGTAGAGGAGAGAAGGAGAGAGAGAGAAAGAAGTTGCTGTCGACTTGACAGCTTTCGAAATCTTTTTGTGACGAAGCGAGGCCGGAGTGCAGGGCGAAAAATTGAAGCCCTAAATAGCCCGAGTGCAGCCAAGCGTTTGTTAATTTTATATAGTGTGCCATGTGAGGCAGTGAATGTTGCAGTGAATAGAGCAGCGCAGTGACGAGGTGCGGGAGTGCCCTCCGCACTGCTTGCACGGCGCAGGTGAATTGCGACGCAGCGAGGCAGTCGCCGCAGGCTGTATGCGCTGCATTGTCGCCTTGGGGGTCAGTTGACAACATCAACGACAACATCCTCAATCAATGGTAGTTGAGAACTCTCTTTAGAGTAGGCGACTCTTGTAGTCTGGCGGTTGACTTCGAGTTTGCTCCGATATGATGTGATTGAGTTGTGACCATGTCTTGCAGTCTCCAGAGACTCGGCTGTATGGTAGGTCATGTTTGCCCTTCTGTGGCGTCTGTTGCTGATGAGGACCAGCTTTTGCATCAATTTCACGCCTCACAATGGAGGTAGAACAGTGTGAGCTGCTTGCTGATGTGTGACGAGGTGTTGCTGCCAGGGATCTTTGACCATATGTCTGTACAATGACAGGAGAGATTGTCATGCTCGTCGACGACATCCTTGAACTTTGAGGCGGAGTCAGCAAATGATAAGAAGATGAGGTTCACACATACTGGTTGGTATCTTTTCAAGAAGCAAGGAGCTCTTCCTTTGGAGTCTGAGATAGACTCGAGGATTGGTTTTTCAAGATTTCAAGGTTTGTGGTTGTGTCGACAACAAAATGAGAGATGGCTTGGAAGTTCCAGGGCCTCGAGACTCGCTGAGAGCCTCGAGGCCTTGAAGAGAGCTCTGCTGATTGTTGTACGCTGTCGAGGTTGATGATTCTTTGATGGGCAAGAGTGATGAAGGAAAGAAGGAAGATTTGAAAGTCGAGCGTGGCTAAGAGACAGAGATTTCACAAACGCTCAGCCGACGACTAAGCAGGAATCGGAGAGGCAGGCACAAACGTCGGAGATGTGGCGCTGTTTCCCCAAACAGCAGGGAACGAGGAGAAGTTGCGTTATACAGATGGTGTTACAACAAGGCACACACCTGTCTGTATCGTTGTGTGGAAGACAGAGCATACTGGGCAAGACAATGATCACGAAACGTCGACAGATATGAAGAAGAGACAGTGACAAGGGAAAGGGGCAGAGAATCGGCAGTAACATCGGTACATCACGTCAGTTACTCCTGTCCAAGCATTCAAGGACTAGAGACTCCCCATTCAAGACCAGAAGTTCCAGAAGCAAACGCCCACGACCTCGATGAGCTTGATCGATGAGCTTGATCGGTTAACAGGCTGCCTGAAAAGGGGTGATGGGAGAGAGGCTGATTTGCTGTTCGCCTCCATGCAGACCTACGAAAAGACATGTCATCCAATACAGCACGATTCCCAGCTTTGGATATCAAGTCAACAGCCATTCCAGCCTTCACGGTGGGCGCTGTGATGGTGATGAAAATGAATACGATCCCTTGAAAGTGCTCACAGCTTCAAATCATGAGAAGACGTTGAAGTAAAGCCAATCACTGTTTGCCACGCTAATCCCAGCAGAGTATGGCGTCAATCTCCGTGTCCACTACCGATTTATTGCCTATTATGGCACAGCTTGGACTGTCTGGGGAAAACAAGACAAGCACTGCAAGCTTAGTGGAACAGCGTATAGCTTAGCTACTCAGAAAGTCAATGTTATCATTAATGCAGAGGGCTCCAAATGGCCCGATGATGGCCTATTAGGGTGACTCATAACTCTGTTTCCAACCACGAACAAAGCACCATCTAACGTCGCCAAACAATGTGACGACTGTGCAGTCTAAAATATCTACAGAGGAGATTAAACATACAATTCCAAGAGTGAGTAATGTAGATGCTAGTCCTGACAGGGATAGATTGGTCCACACGCTGCACACAACCAGTCATACGAATCGTATTACGCGAATTCGCAAGGCACTGCAATGTCGTGCCATTACAGGCAAGGAGACCGTCATACCCATACACCAACCGGTCGACTTCTACAGTTCCCAGAGCTTCAGGGTATTGTCGTGAGTCATTGCAGCAGCCTCCATGCCTTCAAAGTCGCCCTCGAAATGGCGCTGACCAGAGCATGTGGCAAGAACACCGCCCGTTTGATGCACGACTGTGCTTGAAATGGCATCTTCAACCAAAGTCAGCTTGAATCCCTCATAAAGTGGCTTTTCCTTACCATGATGCGCTTCAAATTCAAAAGTGGGAGATATTGCGCCTTCGTGCTGCTGAACGTCCTTCCACATCCTGATGCATCCATCAACTCCCCCAGCCCAAACTTCCGCGGAGTCGGGAGTATCTGACACAACCAGATCGATCCCCAGTCTCTGGTTTGTTTGCGCCATCCTACCCTCGAGCCATACCAATAGTTGACCTGTCTTCCGGATGTCATACACAAGTACGCCATTGCTCTTCCTCTCCGCGATATAGAGGTATCGACCACAAGGACTCCATAGGACCTGCGTTATTCCGTTTCCACCAATATGAGGATCGGCAACAGTACCTTTGACGGAGAACACGCCGATGCATTCGCCTTGACCTCCAGCGCCGTACAATCCGATACTTCGGCTGTATGTTCCTGCAGCCAAGATACCCGTCGAAGGCTCAACCGCCAAAGTGGAGACTATCCCGCGCATGTTCATGGCGGGATTATAATCCGAGGTGCTTCTTCTCTTTGGGCCGGTGGGAACAGCTGAAATAGGCTCCTGACCCGGCCTTGAGACATCAAATACAGAAACAAGAGAATCAGAGCCAGCAATGAAACGATCACCTTGAGGATTGAATATGAGCGAATGCGGACTGATGAAGGCTTCGGTCATTGGGTTGATCAAGGGGTAAGAGGCGCCCAACTGGCCCGTCAAGGCCGAATTCAGTCGTATTGGATGATCTCTCATTGAAGACAAGACCAATGTTGTGGATGGATCCTCCAGGCTGAAGAATGGATACCCTGCCACCGCATTGACCGGATCGCTGGCTGGGATTGTGCAATACGGAGCGAGAAGATGTGGCTCTGGTGCCTCATCTAAGAGATCAGGCGGACTGGAAGGTGTCAGTCCAGGTCTCCCAAAGAACGGCACAAATCTTACACAATGAACGTCTGGATTGAATTGTCAGCATGGCTGGCTATCAAACTCGTACCATCTGCACTCCTGGGGCATATCAGTAAACCGCGTCTTGGTCTCGAGTCATTGTCGCTTACCATTGTATACCCCGAAAGAAAGTGTCTCTCGAAGCAGCCCGAAGGTCTTGTTTATCGCCCGACAGACTGCTCCCTGGAGATGTTGATGTTCTAGCGACGCATCTCGGCTGGAACATATTGCTTGGGCTGGTCAAATTATCTCGCTTTCGGATTCCGGCATTCCACTTCGTGTCGGGGACGCGGGCATGGCGGCCAGCGACAGCGCAGCTCGCTTCTCAACCGAGCGACAAAAATCAGCGTCTTTCGATATTTAGTAGTCTCCAGACGTGCTCTCAAGGATCAGTTTACCTAAGAACGAGCAAACTTGGCTACAGAATTGAGTATAGCATGTCTAGCACTGCCTGCATATAAAACATAGTGCGCCACCGTATCCAGCGAAGCATGAGTAAACAAGACGCAATTTAGTTGAAGCGCCGTTGCGCGTCGCATCGCTGCAAAGAACATTTCCTATGCCGGTCAATCATTGAACTCCCGCGCTCTATTCTCTACGACCTGATATCGCATATAGCGAAATAGACAAGATGTCTTTCTTCGGGACGTCCACCAGCAAGCCCACGCTCAGTCTCGGGCTCAGTACAACCGCACCAGCAAACACGGGATCTTCATTGTTGTGAGTACCTCCAATGCGTTTCTGATGCACAACAACCGACTTCCTCTCGACTTCTGGCGCGCAGACAATTGACTCCGACGGGCCTGTCTGTCTGTGTAGCTCGGTGGACATACCTGCTAACTTCCTCGTGCAGCAGTCAAACCACGAACCAGCCGGCCCAATCAACCTCCACGAATACAGCGACCGGATCTTCCTCACAGCCGCAGATAGACATTACCCATTTAAGGTCTACTACCAAGTTTGACCAACTCACACCCGACCTACAGAGAGAGATTGAGAATGTCGACACAATGATCTTCAACCAGATCAGGCTTGCCTCTGAGGTATCTGATCTCATACCCACGGTGATGGCCGCTGGAGAGACTCTACCGAACAGTGTCGAGTTCGTCAGCCAGAAGCTGGAAGAGGTCGACGTAGGACTAGGCAACGATGCGGAGGCGATCGTGGCGGTGAGAGACGGAGACCTGAAGAAGGGCGAATTGGAGGCCAAATGCGTGTTTCGAGCCGTCGACCGACTCAAGATGCCGCGACAATATCAAGTCATAAGTCCCGCGCAAAATGAAAATCTGGCTGGCAGCGGGATCTACGGCGCGGCTGGCCTGAGTGGATGGTGGAACAACCCTCAGACTCTGAAGGGCAGTGTTCGAGGAACCACGGCGCAGGGCCATACCATTCAACTGCCCGGTGAAGATACTGAAGAAGTCCAAGGCCCGAAGAGCCTGACTGAATTGTTCAACACGCGAGCGGAGGAGATGGAAGAGTCGATCCAGAGTGACAAACAGCTTCTAGGCGAGATCGAGGACTTTGTCCAGGGACTCGAAGGAAAGGTCATTGTCAAAGAGCGCGAATTGAATGAACGGCTCAGCTACGGAGAGCGAAACACAACTGGCATGAGCGAGAAGGACCACCAGATCCAGCTGCTGCAATATGTTTTTGGCGAAGTCCAGAGAAGTCTCTACGATGTCGCCGACAAAGTGGGCGCTACCAGAGACGAGGTTGCACAATTGACGTTGGGGAGATGATTACGGATTCTTCCATACGAGATATGAGTCTACAAAAACAAAAGCAAACAGCATGTCGAGTCGACCTGAACGGCCATTCCAGCGCGTCGTGCTTCTTCTGGAGCGCATTTTCACCCAAGCGGGCGGCTTTGAGATCAAGCTTCTCCTTAAACATGTCAAGGAAAGACTAAGATGAAGATATTGTCGGCTATTGTTCTTGTCTCCGAGTCACAACTTGACAGCTTCACTACCATCCCATCCACCCGTCTCTGCATGACATGATGACCATGCGAATTTGGCAATGAAAACCGATCTCGTTTCAGACTTCACCACGAATCTTCCGCCAGCGACATCGTGACGTCTACTACTCGCGGAGGAAACTGGGCTTCGTCATGGCACGTTCACAGGTTGCCGAAGATCAGCCACAGAACTGTACTTCTTGCTCAGATATCCAAAGCGGGATCAGCTTCGGACAGGTCGTTTGAGGTTCTTACACCGGACGCCAACTTGGCAAGGCATAAACACTAGAATGGAGATATCCTGGCGGAAGAACGAAGGATTCGTCTGCGCTTCCATCGGTCAATATCTTTGAGCCCAGTTCCTAAATCCTGCTCAAGCCATGGCCGCACAGACCACATACGCTTCAGCTACAGTTTCACAAAGATTCTTCAAGCCAGTGATCCTCCAGCTGAAAAGGAAGTGGACTGCAAGCTCCCCCTGGCACAAGATAGCATGAGCGAGATGTCATGAAACCCAACCAAACAAAGAAAGCGGTGTCATGCATGTTCATGGGTTGAGTCGATGAATGTCTTCGTTTCTCATACTTCCTCGCATTGACACCTATCGTACATTGAGTGATATTCCTCCTTCAGTCGAGGTGATGCTGGCGCACTTATCGCAGAGCCATACAATACAGGTGATTGTGTCAGAGCTATACAATACAAAGGATACCTATGTATTGCGCTCGCTCTCAGTCGCCCATGAGCAACAATACTCAGCGCGCCTGCATCGGTTCTCCTGGTGTGATGAGTCTTCAATTGCAAACCGTAACCGTAACCGCAACCGGCAACGAGCTGTTCCATGAATGAATTCTGAATTCTCCCGAATTCCCAATCATCTCCTCAAGTTTCATGCATTCATGCCATTTTCCATTTGTTACCCTTTCAGTTTTCAGTTCTTCTTCCCAGCAACATCGCCTGTGCCGCCCTTCCCCGACCCTCCCTTAGCAGCGTCTTTCTTGGCCAGAATCGCCGCCTCTTCATCCTGCAGTTCCTTATCGATCTTCGCGCCCCGAGACGGCTCATTGCCATGCTGACGGGCCGGCAACGTGGGGTCGATTTCGTTGGCTTTCTTCTCGCCCTGGCCGGAGGAGGAGGTGTCGTTCTGTGGACCCGAGGCTGCTAGACGGTTGGCGATGCTGCGTTGGTCCTCTGCGGGAAAAATGGTGGGTTAGTAAGTAATCTCACCAAAGGCAACCAGAACCAGAACCAGAACCAAAAGAAGGGAGGGTAGATGTTGGTTCAACATCACTCAAAACTTACTTGAATCGTTCGCCAGATGAGAATGTTTCTGGCCCTCATGGTAAGGATCGGCTTTGTTCTTCTCCGAGTCGGGCGGGACGCGCTGGTCGCCTGCCTCGTAGACCTGGGAGTTTCCGACGTTGGATTGTGACATTGTTGTTTGTAGTTGTTGTTGGACTGGGTTTGGGAGTTGAGTCAGGTGGTTTTTGGGTTCCTGGGTTCCTGGGTTACTGGGTTACTGGGTTACTGGGTTTCTCAAGAAGTGATTGCTACCTGAGGTACTAGATCAAAGAGAAGTAAAATGCAAAGGGACAAGACACATTTAATATTTAATATGATGTATGAGGTAAGTATATGGCACTCTCCTCCTCCTGGGTCGTTGAGTGGGCATGACATCACCGGTCTCCAGGGGATGAAGTCATGGGTGGAAATTTCTTAATTACTACTACGATGTTAGGTACCTACATGTAGTCTATGACCTTAGTACTACTATAGTAAGCCAACCTCCACAAATCCTCATGGAGATCTAACTTCGTTGTTGTAACTTGCAGGTGGATCGTGATGGAATCCTCGCTTTACTGATGGACGGATCCTCGAGACACGCCTGTAAATGTCGACCGAGCTGCGTACGTAGCACTACACCTTTGTCACATACTGGCAGATCATACCTTACATTAAGCTAGGGACCTATTTCATATTTACTATATAGTAGTCATGCACCAGCGTGAGATTCGCTTGGTTTGTATCTGCGGCTGCCACCAGTTGTGTAACGATCGGAGGACTATATCTAGGTAAGTTGTGGGCGGTTCTCTTGTGATGCAGTCATGGCAAGGACAGAGACTGAGACAGAGGAAAAACAACATACTCTAGAAAATACTTCTTCGAAAAGTGAGCAGATACTGGACTCATCTCTTTTCATTTTCCAGTCTGTTGCAAGACCAACCCGCCTAGTACCTATACCGTGTATGCGTATATAGACTCATCAGGCCCAGGGTATCTGTATGTACCTTTTGTCCAAGTCGATATCCATAAAGAATACGTCCATGCATGCCGGGTTATAATAATGATGATATACCAAAAGCACCCCGTCAACTTCCATTTCCTTTGCTATTGCCATTTCCATTTCCACTTCCGCTTCGTTCCATCCTTTCCAACTCCCTTTTCACCACCCGGACACACTCGTCCATCACGTCCGTACCGACCCTCCAACTGCGAAGCACCACGCCGCGCTGCCGCATAATTTCTTCCGACCGGGCCCAGCGGCGCTTCCAGATCTCCAATTTCTTGTCATACGACGCGGCCGGGTACCCACCGTCGCCGCCAGCCGCGGGATCACCGCCCGTGGCACCTGTTGCCCAGCGCGCCGCCGCCGCAGGATACGACGAGAGCCCTCGTCGAGGCGGAAGTGGTGGGTTCGGTCGGTTGTCGCTGCCGATGCCCGTTTGGTCGGCAGCGGCAGCAGCGGCGGTAGGACGTGATGGAGAGGATGACCGCATGGCAGGCAGTTGGTTGTACGCGGATGCCATCTGGCGTCGAGCAGATGCGACATAGCCGTCGTCGTCACCACCACGGGCTGACGTGTGGCTTGATGTCATGGTGCTTGTCGATGTATTGGTACGTGAGAAGGATGGGTGAGATCCTGTCGAACTCACTTGGGACTGGCCCTGATTCTGTCGTGTGGACGAAAATGGTGGCCGTGTAACTCCTGATGGAGCGGTCGACTCGGTAGGCTTGTCCGATGCGGCCGTGGCGCCAGAGCGACGAGGCTTGGGCGGAGGGGGAGGCTTCTTCTTGGACGTTTCTGCTGATTCTGTGTCTGACGCCGACGGTCTGTCATGGTTGGACATCGACAGGGGCTGAGTAGAGAAATTCCGCAAACTGGACGGCTTGTTTGGCTTGTTGGGTGCAGGAGGCTTTCCGGTCTGGTCGGATGGCTGCATACTTTCCGGTGGGGATGAGTTGGTCTTCCTCGGTTTGGGATCAATGTCATCATTGAAGTCAATCAGTTCGGCCTCCTTCGCAGTCGCTTCGGGGTCCGACCTTGGTCTCGTGGGCAGAGCAGGTCTGCTTTCAGGAGTGTCCATACCCAGCCGACTACCGTCTTTGGACGAGATGACGGAGTCTGGAGGTGTATTCGAGACGGTTTGGTCGAAGAAAGACCTCTTCATAGGTGTTGTCACGTCTCGGATGAAGACACCAATGATCTGTCCAGGATGTTCCAGAACGACATCTGTATAGACCTCGAGATCAGCCTCCCCGCTATCCCCCACCAGAATGAACTTCCTCTCCGGAAAGTCATTGAGTATCCGCTCTAATGAGCCACGCTTCCGTTCGGCAGCTGGCTCAAAGATACCTTGCAGCATTCCCGAATATTGTTTCAAATGAAATGACCCGTGCGGCAGTCCAGCCATTGCAAAATAGTTCCGCAAAAGGGGATACAGTTGCCACGGAGAGTTGGAGACATAATGTAACTGGACGCCCATACTTGCCAGCTTGGTATACCATTCTTTCACTCCTTCAATCGTGAGATCTGACAATTCCCGGATGAATGTGTTCTTGAATATCTCCCGGGCGCCGCTTGCTATGCCGGAGTGTTTGACAGTATCATCGATGTCGCTGATCAAACTAACACCTTTGCTATCTGTGACCAGGACGTCTTCAGTGGCAGACAGCTTGTCTGAGGCCAGAACTCGGACCTGGGTTGGCGTGAAGTCGAGAGCCGCGCGCAGATTGAAGTGTCCCGAGTCATCGGTGGTGACGGACTTCGAAGCTGACCTTTGATCATTGAAGAAGAAGACGGTGATTGGGGCGTTGGTTATAGGTGTGGACATGAATGGTCGGAGTCGGTCCATCAGCATTTCGTTCGCGGCTGCCATTTCTTCTCGACTCATGTTCGCCGGCTCGTTCCAAGACAGTCGTTTCAGAAGGCGACGCTGTCCAGGATCGTCGTCGTCGCTTGCAATCACTCGGCTGGACGACATCGCCGATCGCGCAGGTGATCCAGACCGACTTCCTGCAAGGCTATCGGTATCGAAGCTCTTCCGACTTGATTGAGTGTAGCTCCCTCGCGCGGCAGCATCAGCTTCCATCTCTCCCCGATGAGCAATGTTCGCGGCCTCGCGTGCAGCAATTTCATCCTCATGTCTTGAAGGGTTGTCATCGAGCTCTTCCCGGCCGGCGGGGGCTTGATTCGAGGGCCGAGACGTCGTCGGAGCCGGAGGTGGAGCATAGATGCCACTCAGTCGCCTGGCCACAGCAAGCAAAAGTCTATTCTTCCTGCTCAGTGGCCCGCGCTGAGGTGAGTAAATCCATCCACGTACATCCACGTCGAGTATTGCATTGGCATCTTCGTACTTCTCCCATTCTTTCTTCCAATATTCTGCATCTCCAGTATTGTGTCGTGATTCAATAGATTCGTGCGTACCGGGAGGATACCTCGGCGTGCCGTCCGGATTGGTCTTCCTCGTCATATGCTTCCGGGCGTAGGTTGGGAACAAGACCATTTCCTCCTCTCCATTGCGCACGATCGCAATATCAGGGAACTCGCCTGGAATGCCTCCCTCTACCTCGTTAAGCAGCTTGTTCTGGATTTGGTCTTGATATGTTTGCCTCAGCTCGTTTGCCGCTCGGAGAATGCCCCGGAGCTTGTCCCGCCGCGACCCAGGCCCCCGTCCGCCAGACTGGCCATAGCTTGTCATCTGATCGATTGATCTCGTCCCTCGCAAGCGTCGGCCGCCAGCATGTTGCTTTCCATACAGTGCCTGTAGGATCCGACTCTTTTTGCGCTGGAGTAATCCAGCGAGCCCTTTTCCAGCCTGTCTCTTTTCTTGTTTCTTCTGCTGCCTGCGGACTATGGCCCGGTAAATCCGGGACTGGGCTCGTAGCCGTAGATGGGGGATGTACTCGTGTCGGATACCTAGCAATCTCTCGCGGGCCCGGCGATGGGTGTTAGGAAATAGATAGCGGAAAAGAGCAAAGGTGTTTCGGAATTTGGGCAGACCGCGAAACGGGGAAGCCAGGGTGGAAAGAAGGGCGAGCCCTAACAACAACAAGACCAATGAGTGCGAGTGGAGATGGCAAAGATAGCAGGAGCGAGGACAACCAAGAAGTAGAAGCGAGTGAGTAGGATGGTAAGCCTGTATTCTGTATTGCAAATTGTCTGGCAAAAGGTTCAAGTTGTTCGAATTCCGCCACAAGTTGAAGTAAAGTTGAAGTTGAATGTCGTTGGTTCCTCCAATCCTAATACGTCATTTCCAGCCTTGCGCTGTTCGGCACGCGTGCCGTGTAAGAAAGACCCCTAAACATCTATATCAATGCGTGCATCGCCATCACCATCGATTGCATCTGCAAGTTTTACATTTCACGTGGTCAGAAGAGAACTGCTCGTGTCTCTCGCCCATTTACCCTTGTCACCTGTATCAGCGTGGTGAACGGTATTGGTGAAGATATCCTTAGCCTTCAGGGGCATGGTATAAAGGCTACGGTAGGCCCATCGAGGAGGACGAGAGCCCTCTATTGCGGTAGCTACTCACTCAAAAGTCTCGAGGACAATCCGTATATTCTCGCTCAAGCTCTACTGGGTATCGATCATGGCATTCATTCTCTTCGTCATGCTTTCTCCTAGTATCTCAGAGAACATTCCAATCCTCTCTTCCGCTTTCATTTGCACCAGTCTCCTCAGACCCCAGCCCTTATCGGCCCTCGACTCATCTGAATTAGGTCGATGCAGCGTCCTAAGCACCACTTGAGCCGCCATTGCGTTCAAGCCAGCCTTTCTCAAGAACAATTCCCACAGTGTTTCATCGTGTATCAATGTCACAGTATTCTGGCCGCCGATGGAACCTTCGTTCGGGGGCGACGTGGGAAAGCCGTGCCCTGATATCAACTGCCAAATCATACGGTGTAACGTTGGATTTTGTGAGTGTGAGCCTGGTTCAGATTGCACCCAAAGGGGAGTTACCCTTTGGCTCTTGCCACTGGTGAGACTTGAGCAGAAGCCAGTAAATCGGGCGATTGTGTCAGCTGTGGTTTGCAAAAAGCTTCCATGGGCATTGAGGCCTGATATCAAGACGAAGACATGGTCATACTCTGATAACAGTCCGACGATTCTGCTTTGAACCAGACTTTGCTTGGTCGAACCATCCTGGCCGGGCAAGCTCTTCTGGTTCAAAGCCTGCAAGCTGCTGAAGATAAGTCCACCGCGAGGATTCAGGATGATGTCAGGGCCCCCAATAGGCCCTCGTGTGTCCCGAGCCTGCGTAGGGTTGAGATCCCGATATATCAGTGTAAGTTGCTCGGCCCCCTGTCTTTCTAGGTAACTGAGTAAGGGGCCATGTGTTCGAAGCATTGCCATGTCGACAACCACGGTCCTGCGCCATTCCAAAGACTTGATGGGTGAAAGTTCGGTCTTTGATGCCTGCAAAATGGCGGAAACAGGTGTTGCAGGGACCAGGATTCTGGCAGCTCCTTCATACCCATCATCATCTTCGGAACACGCCGGTCCTGGGGTTGTAGATGGCGCAGCTCTGGAGTCACTCTCCTCTTGAAGTTGTGTGGCCTCAATAGGGTCGTTGGGAAGTTCGTCCATTCCCAGCGGACATGGTTGTTTGACTGCTCGGAACTTGCTGCCTCTCAAATCCAAGAACGTGTCCAGGGCACTAGATGCTGAGAAGAAACTGGTCAAGTTCGATGGTTTGCTCTTGACTATTGGCGTGTTCGTTGCGCTATCGTTGCTCACAAGAACCTTTTTCATTGGTGACGGGAAGATGGAAGGTTCGTCGCTCCCAGGCCTTTTCTGCGGTGTATATGGCTTTGGTGACTGAGCGATAATGGACACTAAATCCGCATCCTCCTCAATCTCGTCGTCACTATCCTCAGTCTCATCTAGTATTCGAAGCCCTGGCTGTTTCCACAACATCTGCTCACTCCGGATGATATCTTGCGGGGCCTTCACTGTTTCGAGAAGCGTGCCAGATCCCTCGATCTTTTCGTTCAGATCAGAACCCAAGTGATGACAAGGAACTGCACATGGTTCCAGTGTTGTATTTTCTTCCAGGCTTATCAGGTCTGCTGAAGCGAAGCGAACCGAGTCAAGGTGACTAGCGATGATATCAGGTCGCGAAACATGGTCAGGGGCCCTGTCCAAGGTCATGTCCAGTTGCGGAACTGGAACCCTTATACAAGCCTCTGGAAGACTAATCATCTCTTGCTTGAGCCTGCATTCCATTTCCTCATTGGCTCGTTCCGCGAAAATGAGGTCTTCAATGTCAATATCATCGTCCAATTCCAGTCCGAATTCCTCGTCCTCGCTCCTGCATCCAGATACTTGAGACAGGCTGCTGATATCATCTATGGGACTGAAGGGATTTCTCCGCGCCTGGATTGCTTTTCTGTCGATTAGACTTTCAATCTTCTGTTCTGGTGAGAAGCCTTGTTTGATTGGTGTCGCCGGAGTCGTTGTTGTGCCACGGTCCTGTTCCTCGTGATGTGAACTTGCTCGGCTTGTGGTAAGACAGAGCCTCTCATGATCTGAGCTTGACTCCCTGAGAGCAGCTCCATTGTGAACTTCCACATTCGGCGTTCCTCGAAAGCTCATGGGCATTTGTGTTGGCGAAGCACAACTACTGCCGTCGTTATTGCTAAGAGACGACCAATCCTCTTCCATCAAACTGTCCAAATCTGAGAGCTGTTCATCCAGCACTACCTCTTCCGCGGGAAGTGCTTGTGCCTCCGTATCGGAAGGAGATGCGGACGGACACTCCGTTGAAAGGTCCTCGAGCATTAGGGGCGGACTTGACGGACGCAGTTGCGGCTTCTGCAAAATGTTAATCCATTAGACAAGACGCTGAGAGCAGTACGCACCTTATGTATTTCTTTACCAAGGAGCACTTCTCTTTCGTCCTTCGTGAGGGCCACCCTCTGCGTTTCTGCCAAATGCCTCAACGCCTCCCGTGTGGCGTGCACCTTTTCGCAGTCAAGTGTCTTCTGTATGTCCTTCAAACTGCGGCACGCCTGGATGTAATTCCATTCGTCTTCATATAACTCATCAGATATGGTATTTGACTGTGGCACGTTCTCTAAAAGACGTCCCAAGACGGAGCAGCCCGCGGTGTCTCGCTTGAACCCTGCAACGTCCAAGTCATGGTCCGTAGCAAGTAGAGGTTCCTCCACTTTCATCCTCCGCCATCGAAAAGGGTTGGGGAGGAAATCGCTCCATTGGATCGTCGGGCGAGGATCTGTGATGCTTTCGACAAGAAGCACGGCTGCTTGTCGACCTAGCTGCATCTTTGGCTCGTCAAGACCTTCCGCGTATTTGCTGTAATCTGGCTCTAACAACGCGCCATCATCTTCCTTTGAACACTGAGCAGTAGGATTGGGCACATGGCGCAAGTAATGGAGAATATCCTCCGAAGCGTGATCAGTTGCAAGACCGTGGAAGCGAGCATATTGCAGAACAGATGGAATCGACATGGCATATACAGCGATAACGAGAAAGCGAAGGCACCACAAAGTCAACTTGCGCAGTCTGGTCTGACAAAACGACAACGACATTGGAAAGAGGAAATGGAAATGGTCAATCCATCAATGTGACGGACGTCCATCATCGCAGTCCGAGTCTGTCGAGATGCCAAGCTTGACCTGCGCAACAGCTTAACTTCCAGGTTGACTTGAAGGTTGGAGGAGAGGACAAAAAATGCAACTGGAAATCATTCATGCCATTGCAGAAGAGGCTACAGAATTGAACATTTTCCTGTCCCAGGAAGCAAGGCTGGCACCGCTCTCCTGCATCTGGACAAGGCTGGAAGGAAAACAAATAGGTACCTACAGCTCCGTCTGCCATTTCAACTCCCATGCCTTTAACAAATTCCTGCCTCCTTCGTCATTCAGTCATTATAATTGGATTGCCGTGACCCATCCTTGTTGGTCTGAGGCAGCCCCCATTTCTTGTTAAACTCTTCTTCTTGAGATTTGCCCTGTGGGTCGAAGTATGGCTTTTCCGCAGTTGCAGCCACGCGGACTGCGTGCCTTCGGTGAGGAGAGAACCCATATGAGGCACTGTGTGTCGTAACCCTGTTGTCCCACAACGCAACATCGTGCTTTCCCCATTGAAAACGTACATGCGCCTCTTGGGTTGTAGCAATAAGTTCGTTCAGATATCGAATGATAGTATCGCTCTCAGCCTTGGGAACCCCCACGATCTTGGTCACAAATCCAGGGTTGAAGAAGACCGACTTCCACCCAGTCACCGGATTGACTCGAATTAGCGGGTGTTCAGTCGTGATGGGCTCCCGGCGAACAGGTCTTCCGCCCGCTCGAGAATCCTGAGCTTGCATGTCGGCTGAATGCAAGGCGGTCAGTCCTTCAAGGTATTTTTGCATATGAGGCGACAGCACGTCGTATATCGCATATTGAGAGCACCACAAGGTGTCCCCTCCTCCACCTCGTGGGGGCCCCGTTAGCACTTTCAAAGACGTATATGAAGGTGGCTGGACCTCGTAGCTGACCTGCCAGAAGTGTCAGAATATAGTACAGAGGGAAGCAGTCAGGGGGCTTACATCCGAGTGCCACAAGAAAGTAGGTGTGAAGAGTGCTCGTTGGTCCAACGACTTCTCGTTCGTGTAGACCACGTGGACGTCTTCGAGCCCCTCCTTCTGCGGTACAGCCGTGGTCGCATGTTTATGCAGCGTTCCAAAGAATTTGCCCAGTTCTTTTTGAGCTTCAATGTCGAAGTCATCTTGGTTGCGGAAGAAGACAACGCCTCGAGTGGCGATCAACCTTGCAAGATCGCATTTTTGAGCGTCGGTGAGCTGGGTCAGCCTGACCCCGGAGATCTCTGTTCCAATTTTTGGCACATAGTCGAACACATCGTCGGCAGCTTCAAGCAAACTTCGAAATCGACGGTCGCCGTATAGTCCCTTGTCATCATACGGCACCTCCTTCAACTGATTCCAATGAAGGTCTGGGAAGCGTGGTAGGAGATAGTCAAACTCATAGTCTTCATGAGACTGGACGGACGACCGTCCTGGCTCATAGGAATCTGCTAGGTTCCGCTTCTTCCGTTGCTCTCCAAATGCATTCTTGCTCTTCAAAACTGCTTTGGCTTCGTCGATGCTGTTGCTCGTATCCCAGGACTGAGATCGATATTCCACCTGAACTGGATCTTCCGCGTGGGGCGCCATATTGTATGTGTGCGTGTCAGCAGTGTAATCGTCTGACAGATGTGGTTGGATGATCCAGACTTTGAGAGCGACTCGTCATGCTGGAATAGACGGGCGAGAATTGCAGATGTTATAAGCGCTATTTCCGAGTATGTGCTTGCAAGGCGGGATGGCACAATATCGTGGCAAACGGTCAGCGATCTGGCGCTCTACTCACCTCTAAGCCTATTGGGACTTTGTGTCTCCACATACCACGAGTGAGAAAGCATGACTGTTCAGACACCGGGTTGGTGACACAGGATGTCATCTTTGATCCATACGAAGATAGGCGCGGCTGTTTATTGCGCCATCCTGCAAGATCGTCATGATTCCCGGACACTAGAAATGGTCCACTCGCGGCATAATTAAGGTCATAGATGGTTTCCTCACCAGGGGCCTACCTAACAGAGCACAATACTGTGGTACAGTTAACATCTGTGGCCCAACAGAGAGGCATCGAGTGTTCGAGTTGTTCCAGATCTCGGCTCTTGATTGGTCAGCCTGTCGTGCAGAGCCCACCTTCGGAAGCACGCAAGATGCGAGCCTGATGTCGCAACAAGCTCTTGGACACATATGGAAGTCTTCAGCATCTCAAGGAATTAAGGTGGCGTCGTCGAGCCTCGTAACAGTGCACAGCAATCGCAATTGATATCACATTGTTATAAGACAGCCCACTCATCTCCGCCACCGGATGAATAAGACTGAGAGCTTTTCCTGAACATCGAAGTGGATCAGAGTGGGAAGAAGCTTCCCATCGATCCCGTGAGGTTGAGTTCGCATCGAGAAGCGCGCGGAGCGACTTGCTGACGACTTCGATTCATCCCAAAGCTACAAGACGGAGGGAAAGGCACGTCGACGTCGTTGTATCAAAGATGAGGGAGTGAAGTCGTTGATATAAAGGGCGAGAGGGATTCGCGTGATACCAATGCTCCTCCGAAGCAGGACGTCCAGTGCAGTGGAGTGTAACACCATAGATGCGGGGCCAGAACGAAGCCACTGCAACAATCTGAATGTCAAGATCCTGATTCTCCTACCTCTGTGTGCTTAGGGTCTAAGCTAGACAGCTGAAATGGTACGAAGTACTAGTATTTGGCGAGATTATAGCTGAGCTTCCATGACAATTGCCATGGTCGCAGCAGGGAAAGGCCGGGCGGCTACGCTCCATGGGCGCAGACGCTTTCCAAGTATGGACGTGCTGTTGAATGAGCACAACTGATCCTTTGCAGGTAAATTCCCGTCTATGTACCAGTGGTATCGTAGATGCCCTATACACTCTAATCTTCAGACCTGCAACGAACGCCGACAGTCACGCCGAAGCACTCCCCAAAAGAAAAAAGAATCCAAATAGCTTGTGAAAGTCACCTATTCCATCTCAATCGTCCCTGGAGGTTTGCTAGTAACGTCGTAAAGCACTCGACAGACCCCGTCGACCTCATTGACTATTCTCCTGCTCACTCGCTTCAGGAACTCGCCATCGAAGGGAAACCAGTCGGCAGTCATGAAGTCCGACGTCTCGACAGCTCGCAAGGCGATCACCTGCGCATGTACTCTCTTGTCGCCCATGACCCCAACTGCCTTGACGGGCAGGAGCGCGGCGAAGGCCTGTGAGATTTTTCTATACAGGCCGCTGGCCACAATCTCATCGATGAAGATCTTGTCGGCATGCCGTGCAATCTTGAGCTGTGATTCGTTCACTTCTCCAAGAATGCGGATGGCGAGACCTGGGCCAGGGAAGGGATGTCGCCAGACCAAGTCCTCGGGAATTCCCAGATTAGTCCCCAGTACTCTGACTTCATCCTTGAATAGTTCCCGGAGGGGTTCAATGAGCTTGAGGTGCATATCTTTCAGAAGACCACCAACATTGTGGTGAGTCTTGATGGTGGCAGACGGGCCTTTGAACGAGATGCTCTCAATCACATCAGGGTACAGAGTGCCTTGGAGCAGCCATTCGATCTCTCCGGCTCTGGGTGAGTTTGCTGCGGCCTCCGCAATTGCTTTGGCCTTGTCCTGGAACACCTCGATGAAAGTGTTGCCGATGATTTTTCGCTTCGTTTCCGGGTCCGTGACTCCTTTGAGCTTTCCAAGGAACAGGTCAGATGCGTCAATGACGGTGAGGTTAATTCCAAGGTGTTTTGTCAGCGTCTCTTTGACTGTCTGAGCTTCGTTCAGACGAAGGACACCGTTGTCGACAAGCACGGCATGAAATCGATCTCCGATAGCTTCTTGCATCAGTTTGGCGGCAACCGTCGAGTCGACTCCTCCGCTCACGGCACCTATGACTTGTCCCTTCGGACCAACCAGGGCCCGAATGCGCTCGATTTCTTTGTCCACGAACTTATCCATGGTCCAATCTTGTCGGGCTTTGCATATTTTGACTGCAAAGTTTTCGAGGAGTTTGGTACCACATGGTGTATGCGTCACCTCAGGGTGGAATTGAATGCCAAAGTACGGCTTCTCCGTGCTGGCAATACCTGCGAAAGGCGCATTTGCGGTACTTGCGATGGGACGGAATCCATCCGGCAGCTTCGATAGTTTGTCACCGTGACTCATCCATACTTCGATGTCGTCCTCAATGGCATCGAAGAGACGGTCGATATGCTCCTCCTTGCCCGCATGTCGCTCGATCTGCAAATAGGCATGACCATACTCCTTCTTGTCGCCTGCAGAAACGTTCTTGCCGAAATGCCAAGCCAACTCTTGTAGTCCATAGCATATACCCAGGATCGGAACACCGAGTTCGAAGGCGGCCGGATCCACGTGCGGTGCGCCCTCCTCGTAGACCGAGTAAGGACTGCCTGATAGGATGATACCCTTTGGCTGGAAGTGTAGGTCCGCTATCTTTTGTGTGCATGGGAGCATCTCGGAGTAGACATTCAGTTCACGCAATCGTCGTGTAATGAGATGTGAGTATTGCGAGCTTCACGCGTATGTAAGTCATGGGCTGCAACAGGAGGCGGGATTTTCGCCTACCCAAAGTCGAGAACCAGGATGGTATCGAAGGTCTCTGCCGGTACATTGACCGAAGGCCCTTCGACCTCGCCATTGACAGCCATCGCGTTCTATTGTCCAGAAAATAAAAGTGGTTTTGGTGAGGTTATGCAGGGTAGTTGCATGTCGAGATCGAAAAATACTGTGACTACGCGATGAGGGGCGCGAGAAATAAATTTTGCGGAGCGGAAGGGAATTTCTCCCCCGCAAAAAAAGTTCAGGGACGGAGAGACATCTCAACTCTCTACGCAGTATAGATACGTCGCAAGCACCGCAGTTGGGCCACTTTCTGAAAGGTACTATCAGTCTGCAGCCTCAAGATGAGCAAACGAAAGCAGGACGTTGGCGACAAGGTTATGAACAAGAACACCGCCACCACCGACGACGAGAGCGGCGAAGACGAGGTCAGTCCGGAGTCGCCATGTTACAGTAGTTTGTTGCTGATTTCGATATAGGACTTTGATGTACTCAACGTTGACTTCGAATGGTTCGATCCTCAGCCAGAGATCGACTACCACGGCATAAAGACTCTTCTGCAACAGCTCTTTGATGTTGATGCTCAACTGTTCGAGCTGTCGGCATTGACCGACTTGATCCTGTCGCAGCCGACCCTGGGTTCAACTGTTAAAGTGGACGGAAATGAGACAGATCCATACGCATTCCTCTCTGTCGTCAATCTTCAAGAGCATAAGGTACACATGACCGTAAATATACTGCCCCGGGACTATGCTAACGGCTTGACAGGATAAGCCGTTTATTGCTACATTGATCCAGTACCTGCGGTCGAAAGCCAACTCAAAGCCCGAACTTGCTCCTTTGGCCCAACTACTCTCCCAGTCCACAATACCTGCCATTGGCCTGGTTTTTACAGAACGACTGATCAATGTCCCTTCAGAAATCGTCCCACCCATGTACACGATGTTGCTGGAGGAGATAGACTGGGCTCTTCAGGACAAAGAGCCATATAACTTTTCCCACTACCTCATACTCTCCAAGACCTACACCGAAGTCGCTTCAAAACTCGACGCCGAAGACGATCGACCGAAGAAGAAGAAAAAGGCAGCCGGCGGTTCTTTCGAGACAATGTACTTCCATCCAGAAGATGAAGTGCTGCAAAGACATGCCCTCTGTCACGGCGGGTTCGACTATTCCACCAAGCAGGATGAAGGACACTCTGACTCGAAACGGGCTTTCCAGGAGCTTGGGATCAAACCACAAGGCCATGCGATTCTGATCTCGGCCGATCAGTTCAAGCCTGCAATAAATGAGGTTGCGGAATATCTGAAACCCCAGGCGTGAGAGGAGACTGCATTTGGCCTGCCGCAAGAAACAAGGGAAGCGACTTCAGTTCATCTCTCGTGTGCGGACATCATTCCCATTGGGTGCCCTTGAGCCTCTGCATCAGATATTCTACCTCTACAACCTTAGTTAGAGGTATGACTACTTTAGCATACATCTGGACAACCGCCTCGACATTGATCTTCTCCTCCCCACTGCTGGTACCTTGGGAGCCAACGGATGGATCCTTGCCATATGTTCTGGCCTTCAGTCGCAGTCTCTCGAGGACCTTTTGCTCAACCTTTGCGTTGGTGATAGCGGCGTCAATTCCTTCCCGATCTTCGGCCTTGATCAGCTTCACAAACCTCTCGGTCTCCGCCTGAAACTTGCTCTCAGCCACAAACTTTCCGAAATGAATGCGCCTGCTCAAAGCCTGCAAGCAAGCGACGTCACAAGTTGCAGCACTGCCGTAGTTCTCCTTTGTCTCCCCACGATCCTCCCGTTCAAACTTACGGCATGCTTCAGGCAATACCTCTTTGATGTATTTCGCTTTGATCAGGTCGTTGACATTGACATCGTTGTCATGCAGAAGTTTCGGATACTTTAACTGTTGGAGTATGGGGCGTTGCAAGACTTGTGGAAAGAATGGGTATTCGTCTGGGGCATCATATCGGCGCACAGTGGAATGTAAGCGCTCGGTCTCGGAGAGGAGGTAATCGGCCAAAGAGATGTTGGGAGGTAGAGCAAGATTACTTGTTGGTATCGGTAGAGCAACAGGGTCGTATATTGTAGCGTTGAGAGGAAATTGTACCCGTTCGATGAGGTGGAAAATGATTGTATCTTCGAGTCGACTAAGTCGCAGTCAGCTCATGTCCGCCAATGAGTTGATTGAGTTTCTTTACATCAGTTGAAAACGAATGTTCTCGAGGTCCAAGGCCTTTGACGCATCGGAAAGGTCAATGGCGGTATCCATGTCCGTCTGGCTTGATTTATCTCGTTCGTGGGGTGTCCCAGTGCGCATAGAGAGAATGGCTCTACAAGCAGGTCATAAGATGGAGAAAGGAGAAGTCGGCTCCCAGGCCATGTCACCACCTATATCAGAGGCGATTACGGGTCAGCGGGCGTAGTGACCGTAGTGATGTCGCAAACGAACGAAGAAAAAGGGTATAGATATGTGGTTAGGATGTGATTGATGACTCGTTAGTGGGCTGCAAATAATGATAGAGACCAAAGTGCATTATTGGTACTCATGCTTCAGCCTTCCAGTACGTCAGAAGGTTGCGGCGTCTGGGCTGCGTCTCCAACTTACAGAGTAGACCAGCATACAGGAACAGCCTCCACATCTTCAACCTTTCGCATGAGCTCGCGTCTCCCGAGAGCCTCAACCTCTCACTCAATCATCAGCACTCACCTCTCTTGGACTATTACACTTATCACAATCGTATCCCGGCCGAAGAATAAGGCGCCGAAGACGCATAACGGCGCAAGAGGCAGGCTTATATGGCCAGCTCGCGCTCCCACAGCCGGAATGCCTCGCAAACACGAAGACCGCAGGGGGAAGGAGATGACTCTGTCCTCGGCGCGGTGCTCGATGTAAGATTGGCTTCTTAACGTGTCGGATGCACTCACTAATATCTACGTCGTCACAGACGCGTCAGTTGGAGGCCTTTGGCCGCAAGGTGACGGCAACAGCGAGCCACCTCATGGGCGATCCTTCCTCCACACACTATCCCACTGCTATGAGCAGCCTCTCCCGCCAGATTCGGCGCCCTGCAGTTCAACGGGCGGTCTTTTCCTTCTCTCAGCAAGCTCCTTCGGAACTGGTGAGAGCAAAGCTCTCCACCAGCGAAATCGCCCATCGAGCCCTGACGTACATTCCCGACGAACAGTTGCAGAACATACCCGAAGATGACAACTCTTATTCCTTATTCCAAGGCTTCCAGGCTTCTGTCCCTGAAGATGAGAGCGAACATCGTAAGGGACACCGCCGACGGAGCTCCAAACAGCACAAGCTATTAGGCGCTGGTGATGTGGAAGAGGATGGTCCGCCAACTATCCAACGCCTGAAGAAGAAACGCAATGCTGTGAATCACAGACTGGAAATGATGGCCGTAAGGAAAAACATGTGCTCAACTGAAATTCGGGATATAGACAATAAGATCGCAAATCTTCAAAACATCCGACGGACGGTACTCGATCGACTTGCAACTCTAGAAAACGAGGAAGCGGAGGTCGAGCATGAGGTACTGGAGCTTGATAACAAAATCGAGGAAATGCAGGAGGAGCTCGAGGAACAGGGCGCCTTGGACCAGTCCACAAGCAGTCTCAATCCTCCTCGGCCAACCACTCCCGAATCAGAGTCGATGGATGCCTCATTCATGTCGCAGTCTATCTACGAGAAGCTTCCGTCATCAGTGTCACCCAAGTCGAAGAGGCGGCCGACATTTGCGAAAAGGAAATCTATGCCAGTCCTGCATGAGCATCTCGAGCCTGGGTCTCATATCAAAACCATTCCAGCTCATAACGACATAATAGCTGCCTTGGATTTCGACCAACCATTCGGCACGATGATTAGCGCAGCGCTTGATGATACAGTGCGTGTCTGGGACATGAATCTCGGCCGCTGTATGGGATTCTTGGAAGGCCATACTGCTTCTGTCAAGTGCTTGCAGGTGGAAGACAACATCGTGGCGACAGGCAGTCTCGATGCGACTATCAGACTCTGGGATCTCAGCCGCGCCAAGTACGAACCCTATGAACACAGGGTAGTTGAGACTGGTGATGATGAAGAGGACGATGGCCTTGGATTTGGGAATGAACAGGAGGATGCGGCACCACCACCACACCCGGATGCCATGGCGGATTGTCCACTCTTCATTCTCGAGGCTCATGTGGATGAGGTTACCGCTTTGCATCTTCGTGGTGATACACTCGTCTCAGGATCAGCAGATAAGACCATCCGCCAGTGGGACTTGGTCAAGGGTCGATGTGTGCAGACGTTGGATGTGCTATGGGCAGCTGCTCAGGCTAGTTCAACGATGAACAGCACAGAACCGCAGTGGCGACCTACCGGACGACCTACCGATGCCAAAGCTGATTTCGTCGGTGCTTTGCAGTGTTTTGATGCCGCTCTGGCTTGCGGGACCGCTGATGGGATGGTACGGTTATGGGACTTAAGAAGTGGCCAAGTCCATCGAAGTCTAGTCGGGCACACTGGGCCAGTGACTTGCTTGCAATTCGATGATACTCATATAGTCACGGGCAGCCTTGACAGGAGCATCAGAGTAAGAAGGTTCATAGCACTGCTGGACATTCCCTTTACTGACTGTGTACTAGATCTGGGACCTCCGCATGGGTACCATATTCGATGCATACGCCTACGATGCTCCCATCACAAGCATGATGTTTGATGCCCGACATATCGTCTGTGCTGCCGGCGAAGATGTTGTCAAAGTATACGACAAGACCGACGGCAGACATTGGGATTGTGGAGCAGGGGCTACAACCACGGTGGAAGACCGAATGGCCGGGGCAAAGACGAGCATTGTGGAGAAGGTCAGGCTGAAGGATGGATATTTGATCGAGGGACGAAGAGATGGTGAGGTTGGAATATGGACGTGTTGATTCTACAAGCACGTCCATCTGGACTGTCGCTAAGAGTAGGGGCATTCATTACCCGGGCTACACTGAAAGACTGTCGCTGACCTGTGTCTTAGCAAGATTTTGGACCAAAAAATGTCCTGTGACAAGAGTCTACAGGTCTCGTATACAAGAATTAAATCAAGAAATCGGTTCAAGGAAGATTCAGACGATCGAGATTCCCTATAAGAGCTTTTGTCAGCTAACCCGGAAGATCATCCACGAATACACAATGATGTATCGTTATCCTCCCGAGCATCCCAAAAACTGCTAAATGCCAGAAGAGGACACCCTTGCCCTGCATTACTCTAAGACCGTTCCTTCAGCTGACGTTACAGCCCCGTTCATGGGACTCCGGTAGGTCCGCCAACATGGGGCTGTCCTCCGTTGCCTCCAACACCCGTCTCTCCGCCCTCTTCAACGCCAGCTCCCAACGATACCGAAGCTGTGCGGAAGCCTATGCAAGCTTCTGGTCCCGGTTCTCATCCATGAGCTCGGCAGAATACGCCTCCTCGAGCTCATTCAGCACCCGTCGGGCCAGAAGGAACCCGTCTATTGGCCTTGGTGCCGGCTTCGGGGTGGGCTCGACCAAGCTGGGTTTGGACGGACTCTTCGCCACCTTTGCCTTCCCCTTTCCCTTGCCCTTAGCCTTGCCCTTGCCCTTGGTGCTGGCCTTTCCTTTGCCCTTTCCTTTCGCTTTGGCCGCCGCGGCGGCGACGTCGTCCGAGCAATACCCCGAGTCATGGACCTCGTTGCGCAGCTCGACACTCCCGTCGACCTCGACGCCCTCTACGGGTTCAACGCTCTCGACGCTCTCGACGCTCTCGGCGGGCTCAACGATGGGGCCCTCTTGTATCGGCTGGATCGAGGCGGCCACACGGGACCACTCCTCGTCGACAGCGTCGACCTGTTCCACAACGTCGATGGCCAGACGTTTGGTTTCTTGGAGCGTTTGGAATCGGCGTGCCCCGGCCTCGAACAACGGTACGACATATTCGTCGATGAAAGTGCGCTCGCTGAGCGGGTACGGCAATCTACCCTCGAGAGAGTCGGAGAAAACAGGCACGCAGAGCAGCGGCGTGCGCTCCATGGCTAGGAGGAGGGTGTCGGCCTCCTCAGCACAGACTGCTGGTCCTCTCTCCAAGAAGACGGTCTTCTTGGGAGAGCACGGCGTGCTCGCGGGTACTTCAGGGCCCTGACTCGCGTCAGGAGAAGCTTCCCGGAGAGGCTGCTTCTTTCTTGGTGCCAATGGCCTCGCCCGCAGTATCAATGCCAGTTCGCGCCTGGCTTCTTTTTCCCTAAGCCCTGGAAGTGGTTGGGGCCTTGCGCGTCTATATGGCACTGCTGGTGCACACGGCGGCATTGCTACTGAGGCGCTGCTGCTCGATTCTCCGGAAGATATTATGATGTTTCTGGTGGTTCTGAGAGGGAGGCGACGGGTAGCAGACATGTTGAAAGTGGTTGGCGAGAGAGTCTGTTGTTAGAGAGCTTGTCTTAGGGGAGGGGGTCAAGCTTATTTCGTTAGTATTGGGGTTGCTTTGCTGGTGTGCAGTGGCGGGAGGTCGACAGGAGAAGGTGGTGCGATGCTATGATGTTGTTGTATTGTTGTGTTGCTATTGGGGAAAGAGGTAGGCTGGAAGGTGCGACTTGTGTGTTGATATCTTGTTCAAGAGTCGACCAATTGCTAAGAGATGCTGGCTTGAACAGTTTGGATTGCTTCAGAAGAAAGAGGTGGGATTCCACGACATATTTGTACCTCAAGCTCCTCACATCACAGGGCAGCCAAGAGGCAGAACCAAACGACGGCACGAGGACCTCGTTGTCAATCCCTACAGAGTTTTCCGTCGACCAGCTTCTCTCGAGCTCTTTCTGATCTCGCTGCCGACTCCAACAGAACCTTCACTCACACGCCATCGACGGCTGACCGCTAACCCCCGGAGTCCGTTGCCATTCGCCACCAGTGCCGCGTCTATTCTTTGGTACGATTCATTCTGGGCACGTCTGCACCAGACCATCCATGACTCAAAGGCTTCAAGGTTCATTGTGGCTTGAGTGTCGATCGGTGTGGTTGGCTGTTGCCAGGGAGGACCTCGATGACGACGAGGAACGAGCAATGAGCGACCGCCGACGATCTGAATGCCTCACTCTTTTATGGAACCATTACAGTTCATGGCTATTGGGCCTCAATTAGGCTAGCATACTCGCCAAGCACGGTGCCCCTTTGACAAATGGCGATGCTAATGCTGGAATAGAGCTGAGAGGCGTCCGGGGTCGAGAGCATGAGCCATCAGGTCGTTGTTAAGGTTAAAGAAAAGAGCTCAGCCACCTCAGAGAATACAACAAGGAGGGTTACATTCTACAGACGGACACAACTTGCAGATCAGTTCAATACGATGAAAAACCACTCTACTGTCTTTGGGGGAATTCGGTCTCGCTTCTTGAGGAAGGGCTGTTGGCAATGTTCTGTGTACTTGGAATCATCAGCGTATGTGTCCGTCAGAAGTCTAGCGCAAGAAAAACTACATTCATCACCATCAAATCAAAGCCCACCCAGCTCTTCACTGCAGCAGACCAACCAGTCTGTATGGAAGCCTTGCTTTTTAGCAGAGCTGTCTACCCTCATAGTAGAAAGTTATAGCCAGAGCATCAGCTGCATCAGCTGCATCACCGGATAAAACCCAGCCGAGCAACCGACCCGTCAACTACACAGAAGTTAAACCGCCCCGTGCCGGGATGGTACTGGTATGTCAAACTGCCTACACCGATATCCCATGACAGGGGTTCATACAAGGTATTAAGGTTCCCCAAAGCAAGAAAAGAAGAGGCTCGTTCTCTTGTTCCGGTGTTGAGGGAAAGCCGATATACTTTTGTTCGGCACGAACAGTCGAACACAGCCTCGCGCGAACCATAGAATCTGGAATTTCCCCTTCCGGAACGCAGAACTTTTCCGATCCAATCATAATAGGCCGAGGTGGGGATCCACAAAATATACTTGTAGGCTATTAGAACTTCTTCCTGGTTTGGTTACCAGATGACCTGAATTGGAATAGACTTCGCAGGGCCAGGAAAAACAGGGCGATACTAGTACAGCCTGAATCGGGTCTTGGTCTTGTTTACTTCGTACAGGGCGGGTGCCTGTTAGGATGGCTGCTCTGCAGTCCATCGAGGAGCACTCAGCTTCGTTCGGAGCATTCTCTCAACTTTGAGCTTGGTTTCTTCATGGACAGCAAGCATATCGATGAGACAAAATGGCATTGTGTACAGCCCATTTTGAATTTTACATGATACGTGATGGATCAAGTGAAATATGAACATAATATACACCTGCTGAATGGGACAGAGCTGTACTGGGAGAGAGAGAGAGATCTACGTTGGACTGAGACCCCTGCCACCGCAGACAACCAGAGCCACAGCTACAGTCATGGCTCAGGTTATGTTACTATATTGTAATTTGGTGTTGTGCAAGTATTGATTGTATGCTACTACAAGCATTGTATGGTTGTCCCATGGAAGGCGAAGGCGCAAAAATTTTGTTCCTTGGGCTGGTTTGGTATTCTGCACTACCGTCCCAAAGTATTTTCCTGGCCTAGTAGGTCCTCGAGCATCCTGGCCACTGGCCTTCTTCTAACCATTCCAGCAAAGGTGCCGCCATCTCCGAAGGTGTCCGTCTTTCGTCCCCACCTCTATGACTCCATAGAAAAGTTTCTCGATCGACCCAGAGAGCAAACCCCCGTCCAAACGCCGCGCTGTTCATGAGTCTTGCCTCATCAAAGTCGTAAAAGTTAGAGCCTAGTGGTGCCGCCTTGTAACAGGCGCACTCAGGCGGAGCAAAGTCAAGATCGTTACTCCGGCTGACGATTTTCGAGCAGGATATGCTCCAGGAGTTCCTGGACATCATCGATGATGTAGGTTTCCGGGGTGCCCTTTCGTAATTGGGCCTTGACTGCCCTGAGTTCTTCGGCGCTTGGGGTGGCGTAGGCCAGATCCAAGACTGGATCCGGGTCTGGTCCGTCTTCCGCCTTGATTTGGCCGTTTTCCAGCCGCAAGACGAGCTTCACGTGGGAGCTGGTGAGCGCCGCAGCGCTCGTCCCCCACAGCTCCATTCTCATCTGGCCCACTCCGGCGACCGACTTCTCGACAACCAAGGGGAACGTCTCGACAGCCTTGAGGAAGTCTTTGGATTCATAGCTGAGCTTGGACCGGGGGAGATCGCCTTCGCTATAGTCTGTCATGTGGCAGTCGCACTCTGGCGTCTCGCCGGTTTGTCGGAGGGTTTGGATGATCTCTTGTAGAGATCGGTGGCTGTTGTTGGCGGTGGGAGCGGTGGTCGACACGGTGTTGGGGACGGCGGCCATTTTGGAAGGGGATTGTGTGGAAGGCGAAAATGTCGTAGAAGAGGCGGAGTAAGAATGGAGAGGCGGTTGAAGAAAAGCGGTCGCTGAGATGATGGGTAGCGAGGGAGTGCCGCGATTGCACACGTACCGGAAAGAGGTGTGGTCTAAGAAGAGTAGTAAGGACGAGGAAGAGGAAAAAGAGAGTAATGGTGGTGAGAAGACTATTTATGAAATTGTCTGAGAGATCGGTTGAGAGAAAAGTTGTCGTGCGAGCGAGACGAGATTATATACGCGAAAGGCAGGAGACCAGAGGACCAGGAGGACAAATATCAGGTTGGGGAAGGGACAGTCACTGGTATGAACGGCAGCGACAAGTGAAGGATCCAAAGAACAATGTGGTTCACACTTTCTTAGGTCCATTCACTCCTCCCACCAAAGAAGGTTCATATGAGTCCTCGCTCATTTGGCACTCACCACGATGCCGACAGACCTACAGCCCAGCGACGACTGAAATAGACCTGCAAACTCAATTAGCACTTCTGACCAACCAATAATCAAGAGGGTGAACTTATAGAAAAGATAGAGGAGGACCGTCCAAGAAGCGTGAAAGACTCCAGGAACGGTCCTCTGAGGTACGCCATTAGTGTGTTGTGGTCCCAAATCGTGTTGAAAGGCATTGTGCGAAACTTCGGACATGTCGTCAATTCCCATTTCTGATCCGTCACTTCAAGTGAGCCTGAAAGTCATCCTCGTTGTACTCAACGGACATCATTTGCACTAGCTGCCCAGAGCAAAAATTCTCACAAAGCACTTCTTGCACGGTCAAGGAGATTGCCAAGGCCTATATCTACAGATGGCAAGTTCCAAGGACGGACAAGCCAAAGCTTTGATCCTCACTCGAGAGAGGTCCCGTCTTGATAACCTGATGAGCCCATCTATAAATAAAGACATGGCATTCTCCGAGTCCGGCAATCTGTAGCTCCAGAGACTTTTCCACTTGAATCCTGGGAGCCCTGGCAAAATCACCCAGAGAATCAACTAGACATAGGAACTCGTCGCGAACAAATTCGAACCCTGGACCTAGACGGAAACTGATACGATGCAGGAAGGGCATCTTGCTTGACACGTTGGGATCGAGCATGGAGGCGTAGAGCTGGAAGGCATAATCTTTCCGTTGCATCAGTCGCAGTCAGTGATCGACTCTGGGCAGTCATTCCTTCGCAGGTTTATTGCCGTCCACGACATCTCCCATGCCTCTTGTTCTGCGGTCGGCAGGTCCTACCGTCAAACCCAATGTCCAAGCTCTTTAGACAGGAGTGATGCCTCTCTCGTGTGTGATACAGTAATCTCAGAGACAAGATTTTGGTTTCCTCTTCCGTTGTGCCATTGTAGTCTGGCAGAGTCGAAGGGCATTTAGCCATATCTCAGGCCAGGGCGCACAAAGAACATCTTAAAAAATCGCCCTCTTCCCACCGAGATGGGGTTCTTCATGAATTCAGAGATCCGAGGATCAAGAGCTCACTGAATCGGCGCTCTCCATCTCACCATGCTGAACATGATGCGGATGATTGACGCGGCTGATCGGGATCTTCTGCAGCAGAAGTACACATCTTATAGCTGTTGCTTTGACGCGCGGTGGGCGAATGAGCTGCCACCCGGGGGTGGTGTGGCGACGGATTGGAGGTGGAGAGGAGTGGCAGCCTGAGAACTGCTAGAGTTCCCGTGAGGAGACCTGTGCTCGGGCATTGCCGACAGGAGCAGGCAAAGGGCCAAGTTGAAGACGCACTGATACGAAGCTTCGAGGAACCTCCGAGACCTGGCTACAAGCAACATCGAGCCTGATTCCGACCAGCGAATCTCATCAATTCCTCGAGAACTTCCAGCGATCTTGTGTGTAGGCTGAACAAATTTGCGCTCTAAGCAGGGTACCAACATGCACTTCTCGACATAGAAAATCGGCTCCGCTCTTTTTTCCTGATCCGTGCCACGCTCATATCAACCAGACCATCCCATATGTGATCACGTATAATGTTCAGCTTAGGAATGCCGACGCGCGATCCTTCAGGACCCTTACCCAATCTGACGCATGGCTAGACCGTCTTTCACCGCCTCGTGAGAGGCTCTGAACGTCGGATATCTTTTGACCTTGCCCAGTCCATCTTGCCATTCTTCGCCGGAGCAAATAGTAGAACAGAGGCGTGCAGGCAAAGCGAGTCAGATATTGACAACTGGACCGCGAAACTTTTGAACCAACAAACATCTTAGGGTTACGTTCCGATACACATCCGCCCATGCCTGGTATCCCATTCCTGTTGCTCTAGGAGACCATGCTATGAGGCTCAAGCGGTAGGAAGGGCAGACATGGAGGCTCAAGAGCTCGATGTATAAAGGGAAACTCGCGGGAGATTGAACTGTATAGGGTGCCCGGAGGGCGAGAGGGTGGTGGACAAAGGGTTCGGCGGAGGATGTTGTCTGCGACTTTGGTCGACTAGACGGGGAAGATGCGGAGTCAGACGTCAAAGGTGTAGAGCAAAGGTCGTGCCAAAGGTGATCAAAGAAGTAGAAGACTAGATAGAACGTTGGAGACTATGCTGATGGTGCCAGTGCCAGATGAAGTTGAAGGTCGCAGTCTTGAAGTTGAAACGAATTTCGACGCGTCGCAGTTCGCGTCTTTCCGTTTTGGGTTAAATCCAAACGCAGGCACTTTCTCGCTTCAACACTAAACACACCTCACTACTACGTTTTTCACTCACTCTGTCAATCAACCAGCCTTCCTGTAGACACAGGAAGAACCACAAGACTATTTGACAAACTATTGAAATGGATGGTGTGGTAAGATGGCCGTAGTGTGCTACACAGCATTCCTCATGACGCCACAACAGTTGCCTATGGCCTCCAGGAAAGAAACATTGAAAGGCCCGGAGGTATGATTTGATTGAAGCTGCTGCTTGAAATATGTGTGCTGGGTCCTGTCTCAACATCCTCAACCTCGACTTTTTCCTCGAAAGGTTCTCCGCTCCCGTCCTCTAGCCTAGTTCAAGATCGGAGTCTGAAATCAATGTCTGCACTGCCTTGGTCATCTGTCATTCCAACCCCAGAAAATCAATAGTTGTCGACTTTGTTCTTAGCGGCCTTTAGCATGCCATAGCCTTGCTTCATGATTCTTGTGTGCGGTGCCATACGATGATGCGAACATCGCCGCCAGTTCAATTTGCCATGAAGGGTCCCTGGAAGCAATGACAACTATTCTTCAAGTTGGTAATAAAGGATGGCTCCTATAATAAGATAGACTGAAGTATAATATGCTATGGGAGGTCGCGGCTTGATCAATAGACAACCATCTTAAGATAGTATTAGTAGACGCTCCACCACTAACAAAACTAGGTAGGACTATTCAGCACCCAAGCATCCTCCATAGGAGTCGGACGTAGAAACGTAATACGAGAACCATATACACGGCAAACTCCTGAAGCAGAATGTCATACTAAGCAAAAGAGGACCAGGTACCCACCATGGCATCGATCATAACAATTTCATGCCTTATGCCTGATTTCACATATGCTGCAACGCAGCACAGGCTGAACCTGTTCTCATCTGGCAACCATTACTCCGCATCACAATAGCAGCAAAAGCCCATACATTTGCATGTTTCCCCATGTTTTCAGCATGTTGATCGACCTATCCATCCTCCTTGTCTCCAGCTCTCAACATCGCCAAATTGCCATAAACCTTCGTTCCAGTAGTCTCCTTCATCGGCACGGCCCTCCCTTATTCCTCCTTCCCAGGTTCTTCAGCAGCATTTCCTTCGGCAATCATGCTCTCCAATTGAAGCAAGAACAGCTCTCGCTCGAGTCGCTCGGTGAGGCAGCCAGCACACGGAACCGCCGACTCGGAGACCCAGTAGCGCAGAGGCCGCACGTTCCGGCTTGCACAAGGCTCGTCAGGCTCACACAGCTTCTCAGCGGCCGCGTCTGGCGTGCTGATCTCGCTGCAAACGGCGCAGCGGCTTCGGTAGAGGATTGTCAAGCACATTTTGGAGAGATTGGTTGGTGATAGGCGGACTTAGGTTTGAGAGACGAGGCTGAGAGGCTGTAGGAGGTGTTGAGTGGTTGTTTTCTGTTGTGATTCCAAATATGATTTTCTCAGAGAGGTTGATCAAGAGGTTTGATGCTGAGGATGGCTGCTTGATGAGATAGATGATAGTCAATGGCAACAGGAAGACGAGCCAACGGGTTTGTGTGTGTGCCATTTTGTCTGATCTCGTGCCCTAGTAGGTCGCCGAGGACTTTCAAGAGCATGAAGCGCGACAATATGGACGACTGCTGTGTTGGGAAGGCCAGGAAATGTGTAAGGAACAGGAATGCCCGCGGCTGAATGGGAGCTTCACGGAGGACAATGTGCAAGGCACGAAGAAAGAGACCAGACATTGTACAGACCGACCAGTCCTGAAGCCGTCGTGCATATCAACTCAATACCTATCATAGTTCTTCCTCATGCCCGTATATGCCCGTTGCAGGATCAATTGAAGATCGAAGGAAACGATGACCTGTGACAAGCAGGGAAACATTGAGTTCTCAAAAGTCCTGGGTGTAAGTCTAGCTCATGCCTTGCATAAGTATCCGGACCGACAGTCTTCTCGTCAGACTGGACAGGCCCGGAGGGCATTTGATGCTGAAAGAACTGTACCGACATGACAAGAAGCAAAGCATAGAACTCCTTTCTGTGTCGAGACAAAGACTGTTGGTAGTTAGCCTGAGCATTTTGAACTGCGAGGCTCTGCACTTCTTTGACCGAAAAACAGTGCGTATGATGTAACCAGGCATGATCGATAGCAGCCGAAGCGGTCTGCGCCACTGCAGACCATGTGGTCACGATCTACGATGGCATTCTGTCAGTGAGACAACAGTCGCCGTTTGATGGTCGTCTCCTCCAGCGAGAGACTGCAATTTCACACCGCCAATGCTGAAACCTGACAGACATGGCTATATAGAAACCAGTCAGTTTCTCACAAGCACTCACTATTACCTACAAAGACAAATGGGGCTAGAGCAGGAGATCAAAAGTGATGACAACTTCGAGTTCAACGGATGGCCTGACAGACCTGATGCCAAGCGGTGGATCCCAAATTGTGGAGGACCCAGTAAGAGTGGCTACCATAAGATTGCAGTGCTTGGCAGCTGTTGTCATTGGCCGCCCCCGATCAGCCCCTTTTCCAGTTTCAACCTCGCGCCTCGTGTTGCCCCTGATTCCAGATCCTACAGAGTAGATCTTAGATGCTAGCACGCCGAACTCGCACTTTCACTTGCTCGCGAAGGAATATTGAGCAATCAGGTTGCATTTGGGGGCTTCACTGTGACCGGTGGTAAGTCGTTGTAAAAGTTCCACGGAAACAGCGACAAGAGATTATGAACCGGTTCCCCGACAACAGCGGATAGACGCGATGTTAGACTGGACCTGTCAACAATCTGAAGATCCAGCCACAGGTGTCACCACTCTTGGGTGTTCCATTATATACAGAATAAAACATGGTTCTCAGGACTATGCTGCTATTCATTGTTGACAGCTGCCCTGACTGGAAGCGGGGATACACAGCTGATTTCCACTTGTGGCCACAGCCTTCCCGAGACCTCAATCTCACGAGGCCGCTAACCTCGAGTCGGGTTCCTTCAACGGGCACTGAAGGGCGTCTAGAATGGATTCACGTTCCCCATACTGGCCCCAAGCCTCGCTCACGACAGCACGGCAATGCCTTACCGTCTGCGTCATGCGGGACCTGTGATGGCCCACCTCGGCCAGGAAAATCTGGAGAACGAATGAACGCGTCCAGCTCGACCACCCACCGGTGCTCCAGCCAGCACCGTCAGACGTGTTCTAGTGGTCTGTTGCTCCATTAGCTGGTGTTTACTATGTATACAGTTTCCTGTTTGATTAGGGTGCCCTGTGCCCTGGGGCCTGGTCGTCCGAAAGGAGAACGACTATAACCACCCCCCTACCTCTCCCGACTTTGCGGCCTTGTCTTTCCTCTTTCCCTCTTTCCCTCAAACGACAATTCCGTTCGATCACCACCTTTTCTCTCGACCTTTGTGTCCCGACGTTCTTTACCACCCGACACCGGTTCCTCCAGAGTCTCTTCGACCGAGTCTCTAGTCGCTCTTTCTGAACCGAACCGATCCAAACCGAACGATTCACCCACAGCAAAAATGATGGTCAACTCTACCTCGGCCCTCGTGGCCGCCTCGCTCTTGGCAACCTCTGCCATGGCCTGGTCCAAGGAGCCAGTCTGCAAGGTCGTCACCATCACGGAGACCGGCTCGCCCGTCTGGGTTCCTATCGCCACTGGCTGGGAAAAAGAAGAGACCACCACCACGGCTCCTCCCGCCGAGACCACCACCAGCATCTACACCGAGCACTGGGATGACTGGACCTCGACCGTCCCAGAAGCCCTGACCGTGACCACCTTCATCCCGATCGCCGCCGAGTCGACCACCACCACGGCCGCCGTGGCCCCAGTCGAGACTGGCTCGTGGGGCAACGCCACCATCAGCAGCGACAGCGTCGTGATCCCATCCTCCACCAGCGCCGCCCCAAGCTCGACCAGCAGCGTCGCTCCGGCTGTTGCGACCTGCCCGGCCGACAACGGCGCGACCATCGCCGGCGGCGGCTCGTGCGGTTGCGAGTTCGCCGTGCACTGCGGTGTCCAGGGAGGCGTTAGTGCCGCCGCGAAATTTTGGGAGCAAACGTCCGGTCAAATTGTGGACACACTTTCTGAATGTTTGGCTCTCTGCGACAGCAACGACAAGTGCGAGGCTGCTCTGTGGGTTGATGATTCAACCTCCAGCGACTACCACCACTGCTGGCAAACCAGTGGCCTCGGCCAGCCAATCGGCACCGGTATTGCCCAGATCTCCTACAAGGGTACCTGCACTGGTACCTGCGCCTCGTCGTACGGCGCTGCTGCTTCTTAAATCATCCACCCGATCAATCCTACAGGACTGGAATTGGGCTGTTGCATTTGACGTCCAGAAGAAGAACGAGAGGTGGCAAGGTGTTTCTCTCCACGTAGGGGAGATATGCAGTCTCCCACAAGGTGGGCAAAGGGGGTGCATGGCGCGATGGTTCTTGAGACGACGTGGTCGAGCTTTGGTTGTTTCGTTTCTATCGGTTTTTTCTCATGCATGATAACAACACTTTTCTGGGCTTGTTGTCTCATGCCGGACCGGATATGTGCATAGCTGCTGGTGGTCAGGCGGAGGTTTAGGAAAATGGATCTATTACAGAGATGAAACCATTACACAACTGTCCCTTCTTTCTCGTCTCGCCTTTTGAATTTCTTCCAAGCGTGATCTCGCCGTCATGGTCTCTCGTATTGTCTTGCACCGTCTCAGACTACCACACTACTGATTATCGATTCCCAATGCTTTGGTGATGGTTCAAGAGCAAGCCAACTTGAAGATTATTGTACTCGAGGCGTCAAGGCCGGCTTGTCCTCGCAAAGTCCAACCTCTATTCACCTCAAGGTCCGACGTCTCTCACGTTCATTGGCACATAATGTATATATGAGCATTGTCTGCTATGAGCGGTCTTGCCAATCATATATTTTAGTTAGCATCCTTTCATAGACTTTTGGAGTTCTTCAGCTTCAGATATGCTAATGATATTGAATGTGATATGCTCCTTCTGTGTGGATTGGAAGTCACCACGTCCCCACTATAACTGTCGGGCACCAGGTACCTCCCTACAAAAGAACTTGCATTATCAACGAGGCGTGCTTCAAATCAAATGAATAACTGGACATGTTTCAAAGCGCCGCCTCCGAGCTTATAGAACTATGTATGAATATACTTCCCCACGGGCTTCCAAGAAGTCTTCAAAAGGCGCGTAGCCACGAACATACTACTTACTCAGAGGTACGTGTATATATATCTCTCTCTTGAATATATAGTGTCAAGTCAGTACACTTACAACTTCCCCCTTGCAAGAAACTTCACAGGTACATTAACATATCTCGCGCGTAGATATTCCGCCACATTCTTCCCCAAGAAGTCCACGCTCGAAGTGCTGGTGGCTCCACGGTCTAACAGATTGCGAAACAAGAAATGCACCGCCCGCAAGTTGGGCAGCTCGAACCGCTCGATCTCAATCTTAGGCACACGCGACGTATCATACTCCTTCCCAAGAAGCAACTTGATGGTGTCGACCGACAGCAGGTTCCTCAGCCAGGCATACTCAACCCCTTGCCTCACCCAGAAGCCGCAATTACAGTCTGATCCTTTATCACCGGATCGTGCGTGGACGATTGTACCCAGCGGGACGTGTTGCGTCGGACCGAACTTGGCGAGATCAATTGGCAGCGCCGTCGTGGGTTGACTGGGCTGACGCTCAGGATACACATTCGTCAGCGGAGGCGGTGGGATCGTTGTGGTCTTGCCGTCGAAGTGCACAGCATGGTGGACGCGGGACTGGTCCAACAGCGTCACGTAGTATTCAAGGTAAGGTTTCGGGATGCCGAGGCGGAAATCCAAGTGGAATGTACCTCCGGGGTACGCCTGCATGATGTTATCCATGACCGGTCTCAGGAATTTTGGCGGTGCAATGTCTTCGGACTTTCTTGCCTGCGCGAAGATTCGGAAGACTACTGTCGCCGCATTCTGGCTGTCTGCGTCGAGGGCAGGGACGCCGAGAACACTGAAGGCCAAGAGCGAGAACCTGTCCGAATAAGGACTCAGAGATTTTCTTAGCTGTGCTTCTGTCATGCGCGCCTTCTCGGCCACGTCCAGACCAGTCATGAAGTACATCGCTTCCGCCTGGAAGCCTCCACGAGCGGTAATTCCTACTTTGGTGGTGGGTGGTGGAGGGAGGGCTTTGACGCCGTTGAGGGCAATTCGATCAGGGCCAATTTGTTCGAACCAGACCTCGTCCACGACAGCTGTTACATCGCTGTTGAAGTACCATGGCCCCTGGATCTCATAGAGAAGTTGTGCTGAGCAGGTATCCACTGTCACTGCTCCGCCGGTCGCTTTTTGTTTGGTGATGATCACCTTGCCGCTCTGGGATATTTCGGCAATAGGATATCCAATGTCAGCCCAACCTGCGCTTGTGCTGTCGAGTACTTTGAAGCCGCTGAAGTTCCCAGACGTGACGTAGCAGCTGCATTCAATGAGGTGACCTGCGATGAAAGCATTGGCTAGCTCGGTCAACTGGGATCTATGCCAGCCGTGGTACCAGACGGCCGCACCGATCACAGGCGAAGCATCAGCGACGCGGCCACATATGACAATTTGGGCACCTAGAGACAAAGCTTCGGCAATGCCCTGGCCGCCGAGGTATGCTTGTGCATAGATGGGTTTGAATTCCCAGCTGGACAGCACTTCGCCGGTGTAGATGTTCTTGAACGTTGACGTCCCGAGATGTAGGGCGTCCGTTATCGCTGGGAGTACTTCGTCGCCAGATATCCAAGCGACTTTGATGTTGAGTTCCTTCTCCTTGACCATACGGCACACGATCTTGTACAAGGTCTCGGTGTCAGTGTTACCGGCGTTCGCGACGACTTTGATGCCGTACTTGGCAAGATCCGACAAGGCTGGCTCAAGGGCTTCCAGAAAAGGTGCCTCGTAGGCTGGACCGGCGCCCACAAAAGGGTTCCCATTGTCTGCAGGGAGTGCACTGTTGTCAACCTTTTTCGCCGCTCCTAAGGTCATGTTCACTTCCGACATGTAATCCGATATTATAACGTCAACAGGGTCGTGCGGGAACGCCTTTGCAAACGATGCCAGCGCATGGCGACGGTCAGACGCAGAGCCAGAGGCACCTGCACAGTCAGTTGAGCACCGAACCAGAGAAAGGGACACCTGCCTGCGATTCGAATAGTTCGCAATGCCATAGTGAAAGTGAACGGCGACCAATTACTGGAACTGTCTGTCCTGTTACCTTGCAACCGAGGTTATATTGAATAGACCGAAATCTCATAGAATTGCTCAAAGGCTCTTTGGCCTTAAGAGAAGAGCTCTACATTCTGGTGCAAAGGAAATGACTCTCTGCCTTCGGACTGTCTGGTGGACGAGACAATGCACCAGTATTGAACCGAGAGGTGTTCAAGTTGGAAAAATCGCCCAACTTGATGATCCCGAGGTCTGGAGATGCTTGGCACGAGGAGAGGAGAAACTGCAAGTTCGAGTTCAGGGGACACGACATGGGGCAGCTGACAAAGAGAACCAGGACACTGCATGTCTTGCTACTTGGTAGCCGTGTTCACAGTGGGCGAGAGCAGAGCCGAAGGTGGACCTTCTCGAGCCTCGGTCAAAAGACCAAGACTCACGACTCTGGAGGAGGCTGTCGGCGGATCACACTCACGAGACGCAGACTTCGCAGGAACTTGGAGTCAGTAAAAGAAAACACGTTAAGCTCATATCAGCTCCATTCAGGACCCATTGTGTGTCTTCATATGCTCAGGTTTGTCGCATTCCGATTGTCTCAGAATCGCCTTGCCATCACCCTCAGCGCTGGGATTATCATGGCCCTCTGATCCATGTAAGACAGAAAGAAAGCCCATTCCGCCAGCTTCATCATGTTTTGCCCGGGGCTCCACCGATCCGTCCATGCTCCTGTTCCTTGCCGTTTCTGCTTCAAAGCACATGCTGGTCTCATTGGTATCATCACGTTCAACCAAAAAAGCGAATGCCATGATTGTGTTGTACACAGCCAACAGACCATTGTCGCAATAATGGTAAGGGGTCATCGCGCGATGGAAATGAAAGAACTTTTGTTGGACAGACATCCTCCCATACCGACGGTGACGCTAAAGTTCGATTGCTTTGCTTTCAATGACAAAAGAAAACGTGCTTTCCATGGACGAACGCCTGCTGTGTCGACATGTCAAAGAATCTCACTGTACTGGGTTAGTCACTTCCAACTGAACACGAGCGGGGTTTTGGACTGACCTTCATTGGCGCATAGCTGCCGTATGAGTGAGCGGGAGGCATGCCCATGGCCGGGTAGATCGGCGGAGGGGGTGCAGGGCGGTAGGGGGTGCCAGCGGGGCCGGAATTGTTCTGGCTGCGTCCCCAGCTCAGTCGGACACGGGAGTTCCCAATAGGATATCCCTGCATCTGATTGATGGCCATTTCCGCGGCGTGGCGTTGGACAAACTGAACAAAACCGCATCCTTTGCCAGGTGGAATCTTGACATAGGTGATCTCACCGAATCCCTGGAAGAAAGACCGCAACTCATCCTCCGTGACATAGCCAGACAAGCCTCCGACAAACACAGTCGTATTGTTAGGATCGGTAAACTGGTTCATGGGCTGAGGGCTCTGCTGTTGCCCGTAGTATGGCATTGGTGGACCTCCCATGGGTGGGTATCCCATTGGGCCTGGCATGCCCATGTTGGCGGCACCTCCAGCAGCCCCCATTGGCATTCCCTTGTTCTTAGGAGTGGCGGTCGAGATACGCATAGGACGATTGCCGCAATACACGCCTTGCATCTCGGTGAGAGCGCGTTGCTGATCGCCTTCGTCCGAAAAGCGAACGAATCCGTAGCCGCGAGACATGCCAGAAAGAGGATCGGTCATGATTTTGGCCGACTTGCACGAAGGGAAGCGGCTTTGGAAGAGGGAGACGAGGACGTATTCGTTCACCTCGGGGCCCAGATCACCGACAAAGATGGAGTATTCGGGACCACGGTCATCGCGTCGATCGGCCAAACCACCTCCAGTAGCCCAGTTGAGCTTGAAGGGGCGGGTGGAGTTTGGCATGGGCTGACCACTGAGCTGAAGAGCCTTGGCGGCGGCCTGAGGGGACGAAAAGTCGACAAAGCAATAACCAGCGTTACTACTACCATGAGTTCAGAGACGTGAAGGAGAGTGTGGTTTTTATCACCTACCCTGAAAACTTGTCACGGATCATCTTGACGCTGACCTGTTCGCCCATTTGGAACCAAAGGTTGCGCACAAAGTTCTCGTCAATCCATGGTTCAAGCTCACCCATCCTGCCGATCTAAGTCAGCCGGAGCAACAGAGAAGCATACCTCAGGTCTGGACTCACCAAAGAGTGGTCTTTTGTTCACCTCCAGGACCTGGCTGAGGCGGTGCGTTGACGTTCACATCGGGATTCTGGAAGGCCATTTGCTGCTGACCAGTCGGATCGGTTGGCTGGCCTGGAGCAGCGCCATCCTGGGGAGGAACTTGACCCGGCACAGCCTCTTGCTGGGCGTTCGGGAATTGGCCGTACTCGAAAGACATGCTGAGAGATTGGTAAACGAGAAGGACAGGCTTGCAAAGCTTCGGTGCGACTCTGCGGAGATGAGTCAGATTCTGGACGCTGCTGCAGGCGGTTGGGTCGTTGCTCTTGAAGGCCTGTGATGGATTTCTCTTGTGGAATGTGACGTACCGAAGATAGGTTGAATAAAAGTTCTCTCACGAAGAACTTGTTGGGAGGGAAGAACTGAAGGATTATGGTGATTTTACTTTCAGTACTCAACCAACTTTTGTCGCGAAAGAATATCCGAATGGTGAAGTGTCTGTAACGGCTGCAAGGCACAACAATAGCAAAGGGATTCGGAGAATCGAAAGTGTTATTGAAGTCTAAGGTAGAGAGTGTTAGCGCAGGTGCTTCACTTCCAGGATGGGCTGTGGGCATGTGAAAAGAGCCAGCCTGGCAGCCGGATGACTGCAATCCAAAGGTGTCCCCAGCTGGCCCATTGCATTCTTCGGAAGTGCAGGCCTCCCTTGAGGAGCGTTGTTCTCTTCCTCCTGCATGCGTTCCGGTACGGTCGGGTTGGACGTATTCCGGTCGCAATATAGCCACGCTCTTTTGATTCCTCCGCAACGAGAAAACTTGGACGCCTCTGTTGTATACTCGCAGCAGTCACCATGTTCCACCTCTTCGATTCGCGCCGCAGGTTACAGATGTAGGGTGAACGAGGAAGAGTTTTCGCACATACCGGATCAAATGCGCAGTGGTTAGATGGGGCCAAATGATAGCCAAAGCCACAGATCAGACCGCAAAGTCGAGCAACTCCGAGAAGCAGGGCGCCAATTTGGAAGTAAAGCAGGAAAGCAAGTAGCACTGCAAGACTAAGAGGACGCGCAGAGAACAAGCGAGGTCACAATATGAGAAGAGTCGTGGGAGAAAGAAGAGAAGAGGAAGAAGAGGGATGGGGCGGGAGAGCGGGAGGGAATAGCACTAAGAAAAGAGGCCGTGAGTGGGAGCAGTGGTGGTGGCAGGTAGTGAGTGAGGTAAGGCGAGCTCAGTAAGGTTTTTGGGCATGGCAGTGGGATGATGGAGAACTCGAGGGTAAGAGGGTAAGAGGGTGCGGGCGCCCGAGTGCGGCCTGCCACTCACTGGCAGGCCAAGGGCAAAGGCGAAGGTTACTGCTACAAGATGCTTATTATTACGGAGTTTAGATGCTAGAGAGACACACGGACACGGGAAGCCAGATGGGCGCTGCAAGGTGATTCGATGGATGGAGGCTTCCCTAGGCCTTGCTGGAGTCACCGGTGGCTCTGAGGGCCTGTTAAGTGGGATGGAGACTACGACGACATCTCTGGCACTGACTGGCAGCTGGAATGGACAGCCATCAAAACAACATAGTACACCAGTTGCGTCCAAACTGCGCCAGTGTCTGTCTTTTCGTGCCCATTGCAATAGTGCGATCCCATCATTACTGTTGTCTGGCAGGACATGAAGAACTGAATAGTAGTAGTAGCATGAAGAGGTCCGTTGGCGGTTCCGGACGGTAGTAATCAGACCAATCGAGATATCTATCGGTGCGGCCGCAGGCAAGGCGCAGGCAGCAGTGCATCCAGCTTATAGGCACCTCCAGGCAGCATCAGAGTTCGCAGGAGCCGGAACTGTAAACTGCGCTCTTCCAAGTTTCTCATTGTTTCCTTCCTCACAAACCATAGCATTCCTGTATTGCTTCGAACCGAGTCTCTGTTGCTGAATCCTCGCACCCTTGATACCGACGTGCAAACTACAGCTTTACAGCGCAAATCGAAGATCCGATATTGGACACGCGAACCGAACTATCATCCCTCCCTTTCTGATCTGCAAAGTACGCAGGAGTACACTAACGAAAAGCCTCCCACCGGCTGCCTGTCGTGCATTGCAGCCTGAGCTCTTTACACGATGCCCAGCTCGGCTCTACATGTTCAGGGTTGTCAGGTCAGACAATAGACTCCTAGCTGTCCTAGCTGTCCTAGCGTGATAGCTCGCGGACTGCAAACGATCTTCTATGCCACGACGATCACGCTTTGTCAAGTCCGATGTGTTCCTGCTTCAACTCGAATGCTTCTGACCAGACTCTTGCCCATCATCCACCCTTGGCACTCCAGCCAGCTTCGAGGGGAAGAAAAAGATGGTCACTGGTGCTGCAGAAGATCAGGATTACATCCACACAAGCTGAGGCTTCTTCGATGCAGGGTTTTGTCTGCATGTCCACGGCCCCTGACTGACTAGGCTAGGCACATACTTAGCTTCAACAATCGAATGCCTGACACCTGTCGTTCCGCTTTGAGCATCCTCTGAGTTCCACGAACATAACGAAAAAGAAGGCCAACCTGGCTACAACTGGTCTTGATGAGATGCGCGCAGTAAGAGAGACAAGCCAATCGCTGGAAGAACCCCGGTTGGTGAGATGACCTGCATAATAATAGCCGGCCCTCCAATTCTCATCAACCAACTGCTCCCAACGGGTTTGATCGACCTTCCGGCGGTCTCGCCTATCTCGCGGACCCCTTTTGGCCTGCTGCAACCCCTGCAGTGCGCGCAAAAAGAAACAACGCCGCCAACGGATCATAGTGAAAAAGCTGGGGAAACGGCGGATGTATGCACCTAGTAATCGAGATTCTTTCTGGCATATCAATATGCGGTTCAAGGATACACTGCATCGTCAAGCGCACGCGGAATGCGTAGCCTGTAGCACGGCATCACCATTCATGATTGATTGCGGCCCAAGCATGACTCGGAATCGGCACCCTAGCTATGATTCCGCGGCGTGGAGTGCCAGTCAGTGTCAGTGTGGTTACGTATAGGTTTCGGTGGGTCAAATTCTTTAGCTGACATACCCGCGCCGCGATGTGGCTCTAGCAGACAGTCGCATGGTTTGAAAAGGTGGTGACCTGGGAGCCATCTTTGAGATGAAGGAGACTTCCGCGGCTGGCCCAAGCTCCCAGTCATCACTCAGCCTGCAATTCCTCTACGATACACGCATACAAAGCACCAAAGTACGTACCTGCAGACCATTCTTCATCACGAATCCTCTGGAAACTTGCACGGCACGGTGAGGTGAGTCGAGTCGCCCACGGGGACATCAGTCCACTTGATCCATCCTGCTGGGATATGATGCAAGACATCATCATCCTCCCCCTCCACTACTGCCCACTGCGATGCCCAACGCCCAGCTGCACCCAGATCGGTCTTTTTGTGCTTGGCAGTCCATCCCGATATGGGTGGCTGCGTCGGTGGCTTTCCCAAGCGCGTCTTATGCGACGCGTCCCTCGCTCCTCTGCGGATCTACGTGAACTGTGTCGAGGCTTCCACGGATGCAGAATGAGGCTGCTCTGGACCCTCAGGTGGCTGATCCAACTCGGTACGGTGCAAAATCAACAGCTTGCAAGGTCCAGCTGCAAGACAATACACGTTATACACTGTGCAGGGAGAAAAACTACCTACCTACTAGGGACCTCAGTTGCCAGCATTACTTTCCGAAGCGGTAACTTTGAGAGATGGCGTTTCTCTCATTTGGACTTTGCTGCCTAGGTAGGTATCTATCTACCAGCAACTGCCAGTCAAGCTGTTTCAGCAGTACGTGATGTGTCCATTGTCTCAGCCGTATGCTCCCATACTTGTAATCCAGCTGTTGCTATGCTATCTCCAGGTAGCCCTGCCCGCTCAAGAACGAGATCATCATCACCATAGCTATCCTGCCTCAGGCCAGGCTCGCATTCTCCCGATTCACCCGATGCCCCTTGTGAAAGTGACCTCCATTGCTCAATGCTTAGCTTCATCAGTTTCCGTCATTGTCATCAATGGTTCCCGGACTGTCACTCGATTTTGCCCATGCAATAAGTGACCGATGGTGGACCACGAGAAAAACCATTCCCATTCCGTTCCCTTAAAATCGGTTATGTGCTGCAGCAGTTGCAATAATGTGCAATTCCCTGCAATGTCGTCCCATTTCATACTGTGATGGAGAAGAGAAAGTCGCTGTTCCCTAGCATGAAGCCTTGTTGTGCTTCTGTCCACCGAGTAATTTTGCAGCTTGCTATCCCGCCATGTTTCGCCCAGCGCCGTTTTCTCCATTTTGCGTCGAAGAAGAGTGAATCGCAGAAGAAGCGTGTGAAGACGTCTCGTCTGCTCTGCATTGAGCTGCCGCCTAATAACGCCTCTGAAGGAGAATTGCGCGAGTTGTGATGTAACCGAAGAACGGAACGATGCCCAAGCAAAGAACAGACGAAAAGAGTAGGAACTGAAGTCGGCCGCCGACCGAGCAAGGTGTCTGTTAATACAAGAATGAACCGCGAATGAAGAGAATGCCGCTTGCTTTGTTTTTTAGATTTGAAGAATTTTCCGGGTTGTTTTTGGTGATGTTTTCGTTTTAGGGCCGTCGACATTGCTCAATGTCATCAGTCAGAGTGCCGCCGGGCTTCGGGCTGAGTTGAGGTTGAGGCATAGTAGATAGGAAAACTGAAAAGGGGGAGTTGAACGAGCCGTCTTGCAGTACTTGTGGATAACTGCGCTTGGAGGCATGCATGGTACAAACTCTCTTCCGGTTCAGCCCAGAGACTAGATCAGATTCCACGAGAGAAATCGGGAAGCTGGCGATCAGTGGGTTGCCAGCGCGTCTCGCGAGTGAGGTAGCGCACGTCGACGAATCTCTTGTTCTTGGTGCCGATCTTCTTCAACCATGCTTCTTCCTCGAAGCCGAACGATTCGAGCCACTCCTTCAACCAGACGGAATAGTCGTCCTCGCGATCATTGAGTCTGGCTTCCTTGGAGAAATCCTTCTCCCTGGTCGATGAGGGCACCGACTGATTGGGATTTCCATGTCCATCCTCGCTGTCATCCCCTCGGTGCCAGTTGCGCAGGACACGACCGGCGTGTTCCATACGGTAGACCTGTGCTGGTGTATAGGGATGATTGTACGAACGGACTTGGAAGATGATCTTGTGCAGATCCCGCCCGCCGCCGCCGGTGTACAAGTGTTGGATCTCTGGTGCGACGTGGAAGCTGTAGCCGCCCTGTCGCATGTACCCACGATCGGTCGCGTCGAGCAGGGCATCCATCAGACATCGGCCAATGCCGCGTTTGCGGAAATCATGAGCGACGTAGACTTCGAGTTCGGCCGTGATTGCTTCGACGTAGTCGGTCGCTGACCAGTCCGTGGCAGACGCCCAGCCGACCACGTTTTCGTCTTTGACTACCGCACTGTAGTTGGGATCGATGTTCTGGATCGGATGGTTTGGGTTCACTCGACGGCGTGGTGGCTTTCTGCGAGCGTTCTTACGGTTGCGCTCCACTGCGACGATGATCGGTAGACGGGCAGAAATGGACGTTTCATGACGCGCCGCCATGTCCTGTTCGTCGATCTCTGCAAGTTCGCTGGTTCTTACGCTGTTGGAAACATTCCAGTTGTAGATTCGGGTCATGCCGGCAAAGTCTGATGTGACAGCGGGGCGAAGATAGACATTTGACTTGACGGGGGCAACTTTTGGTACCGGCTGGGGAGGTTCTGGCTCTTCCGCTGGAAGGTCATGTTTCTGTTCCAGTTCCACTTCCTGTTCCTGTTCCTGTTCCTGTTCCGGCTCCGGCTCCGGTTCCGGTTCCTGCTGCACCGGTATCGGTTGTCGAGCTTCAGCCTCCATCTTGCTGCGTGCCAAGTACATCATTCGCTTGTCAACAAACATTTGAGCGGTCTCCTCCTTGAAATTGCGGTTCATCTGGTCTTTGAGATCAAGCTTGGCTTCAGCCTCAAAGTCAGCCGGCTCGATCGGGTCAAGCAAGACCTCTCCTGGCAGTCTTCTTGGGAAATGTTCCTTGTCAGCGGGGTCGATCAGTGAATCTTTTCGCACGAAGCTAATTCCGTCCGCGTGATTGTCAAGGTTGCAGACGGCCTCGGTAGGAAGGATCCCGAAGCCAAGATGCGGCGACTCTTGAGCTTTGTCAGGTTTTAGTGATGCGGCCACATTGCGCATTGTCCGGACCGCGATATCTCGAAGCCAGGCGTCGAAGCCGCTGATGTACGCAGAAGTGTTGTTGTGGAATCGTGGTCGGAGTTCCCACTCAACTGGAGGTGGCTGCATGTTCCCATCCCAACCTCGGAGACTTGATTCCTCAATAGGTGGCTCTTGACTGTGGATGAGTCGGCCAAAATCTCCACCCATAGGCTGGAGGGAATCAACGTCGCTGCTTGGACCTCCAGACTCCTCTACGTTGCTGTCCGGCTTGACAATTGGCGGCTTCAGCTCCGTAGCAATTGCCCACCCACGATCGCTTGCCATGGCTAGAATGGCTTCATCGGCTGCCTTTTCTGCATGAGCCTTCGAAGTGACCACAGAGTCACCGTTAGGCCGATGAAGAGCTGCACGAGCGTCTGATCTGGCCTGTAGATTGTTGGTGGCTTGCACTGCACCTAGAGCAACTCCTCTATGCTGTGACTGGCGGTGGTCTGAAATGTGATCTTGCCCAAGCCCTGCTTCCAGGGCTGTTGGAAATGGTTCCACCTGGTCGAGCCCGGTGGGAGGAAGTGGTTGACGGAGGAAATCGAGTGCAACAAGACCTGTGATGATGGGCTCGCCCTTCGCCTGTCGTCTCAAGCGGAGACCAATCGCACGGGTCGCATCTGACTGAAGCCGGGCAATGACCTGTTCGGGAGTCTCACCTTCCCTCTTCAATGTATCGTATGTAGCAGGTCTGGGTTTTGTCTCGCCGCCTTTCCCTATTGCGCGTGCACCTGTAACCATAGCCCTCCCAGATTGAAGGCCTGAACCGAGGTTGTCGATCTGCGAAGATCCAACTTTTGGTTCGAACTGCTTCTGCTTCCCAGACGCGTGACTTCCCGAGAGGCGCCGCGCTGAATGAGCTTCCTGGCCATTCATTCCATCTCCTTTCAATCCATGCGCTCGTGTTTGAGTAGGAAATGGTGGGGAGGGTTCGTGCTTGGTGACACTTTGGTGAGATATGTCCCGTGGGTATGCTGGCCTAATAGAGCCGAGTTTGGCGTCTTTAAGGCTTCCCTTACTGGCCATAATTGTGTCGTTGGTGGGAATGGTTCGGCTTTTTGCAGGATCGGGTGGATGGCTCGAACTTCGGACTTGAGTATGTTTCTGAGATGAATAGCTTGCCCCAGGATGTCCATAGGCATATGGGTTGAACCCGGTACCTTTGCTAGTGCACTGAGTTGTTGCTCCTGTTGATACCTGGCTGGTTGTGGACATGTCAGGCATTGTCTTGTCGTGTGAAGTGCTCACCAGATTTCCAGGCTCATTTGACACATGAGAGGAAGAAAGAGCACTGTGAGCCGGGATTGTTTGCTTGTTGACTTCACTCTCAGTTGAGGAACCACTGCGCAGTGTTGTCTGATAACGTGGCTGTCTCGGAGGGTTCAAGGTCCAGGTTGGATGGGATGATGAAATTTGCGGGTTTGATGCCAGACGATGATCTCCAGAAGTCCCAGTAGGCTTCGCTTTGGTTGTAGGCCAACCATAGGCTTTTGGGTCAAAGGCAGGCATGTTGGGTCCTGGTGATGACTGTGAAAGAGAAAGGGTCAGAGCGCGGCCGGGAGATAAATATTTTGGAAGAAGGGCTTCACCTCTCGCGAGCGCCCTCTAAAGCGTTTCCTTGGCGAGAAACTGTCACTATCATGTGAAGACCATCGCCGTGAGAGTGAAGTCAGTCCTGAATAGGATGCCCGCCGAGTAGAGCCGCTTTGATCCATAGTAGTGGCCGTCGATCAGCTTTCGGGCTGCCGCCTGATTTAGATTCGATTGCCAGGCACTTGAGCAGCCAATATTTCTGCGTAACTGGTACCATCAACCGTTTAGAAGATTGCGCTATGAGGAGATACTGGTTGGGAACAGGGAACGACAGAACGTTGAGTATCAGCTGCCATATTACCATGCTGGTCGGCCAGAGGAGTAAGGTCCAAGGACCAACAGGATTAGTGAATCTATAACAGCATGAAACAACATCAACGGTGCAAAGTCAAGTGAGTGGCAAGGGCAGGAATACAGCAGATCAGAACATGAACGCAGAAATGGTAGCGACAAGCATTTCGATGGGAGAGTCTTTGGAACGTCTTCATGATCAGGTAGGAATGAATGTAGTTCTACGGTTCGGCCATGAAACGCTGTGCTCGACGTTGGTTTATCCTTGTCGGGTGACTCCAGTCGCCGCTTTATTCATTTACTGTACTATTTCGCTTAGTCTCCTTTATCAGGCACGGTGGCATGTTGATCATTATCGTGCTACTAAGTATGTACATAGTACTAGAAATCACACTTGCTGAGGATTAGAGAAGTAAGAATGATCCTAGAGCGTGCCAGGCAAACACAACATTCCAGCCCCTACGACCTCTCGAATGGCTAAACATCAGAGTCTACTATCATCGTCCTGATCGGCCCTCAAGTCCGACAGAGCAAGCCTGCCAAATGCTTCCACGCCTTGCACCACCCTAGACCACCATGCTTTCCATCCTTCGCAAGGCCCGTCTGAAGGACAAAGAGATGCGGATTCTGATGCTGTAGGAGAGAGATTCTAGATGGTGGCCTTAGGAAGCACTGATCAAAATCCAGGGGACTTGATAATGCCGGAAAGACTACCATAGTCAAGAAGATTATGAATGAAGATATCAACACCGTCAGTCCAACGCTGGGCTTCATCATCAAAACGATTGATTTTCGCGGGTGAGGTGAATGGTCCAGGGTGATCGTTCAGCGATACTAAGCATCGTTCTGCAGCTACAAGCTCAACATTTGGGACGTTGGAGGCCAAAAGACAATAAGATCATATTGGCGCAACTATTTTGAGAAGACAGATGCGTTGATCTGGGTGGTGGATGCGACAGACCGTCTGCGAATCGACGACTGCAAGGCGGAGCTCAGAGGGTTGCTGGTAGAAGAAGTATGTGGAATTCTCTCGCAGAGTGATGCTGCTGACATGTACCAAGCGTCTGGCTGGCGCGAGCCTGCTAGTCTTTCTGAACAAGATCGATGTAAACGGGAGCATGGACGTGGAGGAAGTCACTCGGGCGCTGGAACTCGACAGGATCCTGACACATCACTGGGTAGTTGTCCCCTGTAGCGCCATCACCGGCGAGAATCTGGAGAAAGGGCTGGACTGGGTGGTTCAAGATGCAAAGGACCGACTCTTTCTGTATTGAGCATGATCTTTATAAACTGTGAATTGAAGAAATCGAATCCGCAGCAAATATGGTGGAAGAGTAAACAACGTTTCTCTGGGGCGAGGACACGAAACAAGCGCCGTCTGAAGCAGCCACATGGGTCCCTTGCAACACACAGGCCGCAAATTGGCCGTAGACGGGCTGGGCGGCAGCGCCAACAGGAGAGGAGACCGCAGGGTCGGCCCTACCGTAGGCATTTGATGTCGCTTAAAAAATAGAAGGGGGACAAGAGAGACGCAGATGGAATAGAAGACGACAACGAGGTAGATCTCGAAGTTGGAAGCGCAGCGCAGTTTGATCTTGCAAGAATTTGAACTGCAGCTGCCCTGCACTGCAGCTGCGGCAAGACGCGCCCACCCGCCTTTGCCTCTCGCAACCGGCAAATCCACACTACTACGTACAAACAACATCAACAAACGAGAGTCTCCGAGCAAAACCCAACAGAAAACACCCACAACAATCCCCGAATCCTTGTTGTGCCACTCCAGCCCAGGGCTTCCTGTAGCTTCGGTCACGACAATTGTATTCCCTTCCTTTTCCACCTCTACCCGTGCCGTGCCTATTCAACCTGCGCTGGTCGTTCCCTAGAGTCTCGAAATAGCAATTGCCCGGGGCGATGACTGCGCCATAGACAACTCACCTTTTTATGCGGACTTGCTACGGACGGACGCCGCTTTCCCCGCGAGTTTGACCATGGACGCGTCTAATGATGGCTCGGAGTCTGTGGACCAGTTCCTTGCTCGCATTGCCAGCTTGAACTCCAAGCAGGGGCTCGAGGAAGCCGAACGATCAAGGAAGATGGAAGAGGAAATGCTGCAGGCCAGAAAGGAGAGACAAGCAAGAAGAGCAGGTGTGTTGACGACCTTCGGTCGCATTGAGACATGATCAAACGAGCCTGACCTTCACAGAACGGGCGCGGTCGCTCTCCCCCTCCAAAACCGGACCTGCGCCATCGCTTCGACGCGTAGGAGAAGTCACCCCCAAACACATTCAAGGGATCGAACCTCCTGTCGCCCTCACCCCTCCTCTGAAGTCTCGAACACTAGGCCGATCCGGCTCAATGTCCCCAAAGCTAGCTCGACCGCCATTATCTGATCTCGACTTTTCACGCCCACCACCACCTGCACAGCTTGATGACAAGCCTGCAATGCCTAGTCCTCCCGCAAACGCAGCAGCTTTGTCTAGAAGTGGGACTCTATCCTGGAATCAGAGACCATCACCGAGAGGTAGTGGCTCAATAAGGTCACGTCCCCAGTCTGTTGCCTCGATTCCCGACGCAAGCGCGACCTTTGGCACCACTACGCAGAAAAATGCGGAGGAGATATCGCGACAAGACATTGCTGCCTCACTGGGAGCAAAAGATCCGTCATGGTTCCGCCAGACGTCGGATCGCGGTGCTGGCTCGGCCGCTTACCGCAAGAATGAAAGTGAGGTAGAATCGCCCGCCTTTACAAGTCGAAGCATGAAACTCCCCGGCTTGTCTGAGGACACAGCTCCAGCCATCGAGCATGAGAGGACGAAGACGGAGATAGCTACGCCGCCAGCATCGCCCTCGAAGCATATCTCTACTCCGGTTTCCGACCACAAACGAACTTCCAACTTCGAGACCAGAGGAAGGCCTAGACCGGTCTCCTTAGTATCCGAGACGCCCTCCAGGTCTCCTGCCCTGGATTTGCCAACCTTCAAGCCATTTGAGCTCAATACATCATTCGACCTAGATACGCCGGGACTTGGGCGAACTTCCAGCATCTTGTCTTCCCCTGGACGACCTCCGTCTCCAACCAAAGGACTAGGTGGCTTCGTGCAGAGTGCGATGATGAAGAGGTCGGATAGTGTGAATAAGAGATGGAGTGTGCAGGCGAATGCTGGACTGAAGCGCGGGGATTCCGTAGCCTCTCCCCGGCCTACGCACCTCTCTGGCACAGCTGATTTCAGCCCGGGGCATAGCCGCAACTCCTCCAAGGACGCAAGAGTGATCCGGGATGGATACTCGTCTCCATTATCAGGTTCCCGGCCTGTTTCCAGCCATGGCGCTGACATTGTGCCTCTCACCCGAGGTCGCCCTCTCCCACAACCACAAGATGAGTTGGCGCCATCGCCCAAAGCACAGACGGAAGTCGAACAACGTGAGCGTGCAGAAATGATGGGTTCAATTGAGCAACAACCAAGCGTGCGGACAACAACTCCACCTCCTGTAGAGTCGCCTTTGGCTCGCAGCCCGTCCAAGACCATGGACCCGCGCCGTTGGAGCCCAACGAAGGCCAGCTGGCTGGAAAGTGCATTGAACAAACCAGAGTCGCCCAGGTTCGCTCCAGCCAAGGTCGAGACGCCGGCCTGGAAGCTAAACATGCAACGCTCCAAGATTGAAGAAGAATCCCGGTCCTCTGCTGCCGTCGGGGTTGCTAGTACGAATTCCTATCTGGCTGACGAGCGTGTCAGTTCGCCATCGACGGCCTCACCTCAGACAAGAACTGAGAAGCCCCTTGATACGCCTTCTGCCAAGCCTGTTCCAGGCAAGATTGCTTTGCCGAAAGCAGCTCCCGAGCCAGCCCTCCCGCACCCCAAAGGATCCGCACCATTGACGAAGGAAGCCGCCTCGAAGAAGGAAGCGAGGCCTGTGGTCCCTTCAAAACGTAACATCACACCAGCACGACAGGATCTGCCCTCCAGCGGGCAAATCGAGGCGGAGCCTCGGGAAAAATCCCAAGTCTCAGCAGACCACGGTCAGACATCAGAGGTCAAGCCGCCCGTTGTGAAGCCCAAACCCCAGACACCTCCGAAGACCGACTTCAGAGCCAACTTAAAGCCACGTCAAGCGCCCTCGACGGCGAGTAATGACAGCGAGCCGGAGTTCAAGGCGGTGTTCAGCAAGCTGAAACGAACCCAGACTCAACATTACGTGGCTCCTGATGTGCTGAAAGACAATATCACAAAAGGTAAATCGGCGCTGAATGTCACAGCAGGCCCGCAAAAGACTACACATGTCAACGAGTTCAAAGAGAGCATTGTGCAGAAGAAGGAAGCCATGAAAGCCGGTGGCACTGCTACAACCAAGCGACCTGAATCGACAGATTATAAGGCCAAGTCCGCCGAGGCTGTTCCTGAAGCTTTGGCGCGTCGGATGACATTGCATAGGACAGTCCCTTCAAGTGAGAAGGTGGAACTCAAGAAAGCTGTTGAGGACCATGTAGTGTCGTCGACGTCTGCACAGGTGTCTCCAACCCGGCCCGAAAAACCCACCTCATTGGTGATTGATAGCACATTACCATCCGGAGCAATATCTGTCATGGCAAACAAGCCTCGATCCTTTGACGTCAAGAAGTCGGAGATCAGTTCTGCCGCAGCAAACCCCGAACAAACTGCGTCAACTATTGAGAAGGTTGCTATCGGTCAAGCCCCAGAGATGACCACTAGACAGGGCACTTCGGACCCGGCTCCAGAGTCAAGTTCGAAAGTGAAAATCCCGGAAACTAGCAAGATCGCAGCTCGGCTCAATCCGGCGCTTGCAGGTTTGCTTTCTCGAACCGGTGGCTCCAAATTGCCGGCCGATTCTTCATCGTCTGAAAAGGGTTCACTGACGGTCGTGGATAGTCGGCAGAATTCCCGTCAAGATGCAGGCCGAGAGTCAGCAGAATTAACGCATATAACAAAGGCACGAGCCAGAGGTCCTAAGAGACGTGCCCCCAAGTCCAGCACTTCGAAGGAGTCCAGCACTTCGAAGGAGGTACCAGGCAAGGAGGTTACTGCAGCGGCTTCTCAAGACAAGTCTGAGGTGACCTCAATCACGCCTCCTACAGGGCTAAAGTCTTCACCAGCAGCTAGATCAGTGTTTCCGGACAACCTGCCTTTACGTCCACTTCGAGGCGCTACCGTTCCCACAGTACCAGCCAGCGAGGCAGAGGAGAAAACGGAGCAGAAGCCAGCGCTAGTGTCTCCAACAGTTTCACCAACTGTCATGTCAACCACGCCACGAGCACAACTGATAAACTCTTTCGTAAGGCCCGATGCACGCTCGTCCGCAAGAACCAATCTCGTGCAAGAGCATGATTCGACCTTCAGAGCAAAACCGCCGGTAGCCAAGAAATCTACGGAGCTTCGAAAGGTCTCCAGTCCAAGTGTTGCTCCGAGGCCCAACGAAAAGGCAACGCCCGTCAAACCAATCACTCCCAAGAAGTTTGACGTCCTGACCGATCAGCCAACATCTGTTTCATCCCCTCCGGAATCTGATGGGGAGAGGAAGGTGAATCCCATCAGTCCGCCACTTTCCACTGCGTTGCCATTGACTCCGAGCAAGTCCAAACTTAACACACCAAAACCTTCGAAGCCGTCTTTTGACAACACCGCAAAATCCACATCTACTACTGCGTCCAGTAAAGCGAGTGGACTGGGTCTCAAGTTCGACTCCCCAAAGAGACCTGGCACTAAGCCCGAGCTCACACCGCCACCTGAACGAGATGTTGCCGCTGCTCGAATTGCTGTGTCTTCCAGAGGGACTATGTCGCCTACGAAATCCACTTCTACATTGAGGCCCCAGATCGAAAATTTCTTCGGCGTTCTACCACGAGCAAGTGAAAGGGGCGAGTTTGACACGCAAGCTTTCTTGGCTTCTCAACAGAGGGCTGCCGAAAAGAAGGCAACGCTCGACAACCAGATTTGGGAGGTGACAGGCGATGGTAAGAGAAGTGCGATGCCACCTCAGCAGGAGCATATCCTTTTTGAAGAGTGCATGTACCTTTGTGTGCATTCCATGCAGTCGCCGAATGGCTCGAAGCTCGTGGATGTGTACTTGTGGTGCGGAGATGAAGTTCCCGCGGCGGCCATCGAGGATGCTCAGCTATTTTGCAGGAAGGTCGCTCGGGACAACAACTCCAAGTTGCAGGTTGTGAGACAGGGCAAAGAGAGCTCCGAATTTTTCCAGGCACTCGGGGGCATTGTCATCACCCGCCGAAACAAATCGTCCGCTTTATACATGCTTTGTGGTAGACGGCATCTTGGGCATGTGGCATTTGACGAGGTCGACCTGTCTCCATCTAGCCTCTGTTCGGGCTTACCTTTCTTGATATCCGCCAAATTTGGGAAGCTGTATCTCTGGAAAGGGGCTGGCAGTGATCCCGAAGATGTTGGTTGTGCGAGGCTGATAGGCATGGACTTAGGTCTGACAGGAGAGATCGAGGAAATCTCGGAAGGAGAGGAGCCTGCAAGCTTCTGGGAATCTTTTCCTTCCCGGGCAGCGAGGCGGGCTGCACCGCAAGGAGAGAAGAATGTTGCACCATTCCGGGGCCGTCCATCAAAGTTGTATCGGGTGGAGCATGACAGACCCAAGTTATCTGGAGGGTTCTGGGGATTGAGATCCTCATCGCCTCCGAAGCAACCAACCAGAGCATTGGTCGAAGAAATTGTCCCCTTCACACAGAATGACCTGGACCCCAATCACATTCACATCCTGGACACCTATGGCGAGCTTTATGTGTAAGTGCACTTTTCCCACACCTGAGTATTCGGTTATACTGATAGTGCTCGTGTGTCAGGCTCGTTGGCCCTTCAGCCAGGAAACCTGCCGAGTTCGTGAGTGCGGTTCAGATTGCCCAGGAGATAGCCGTGCTCTCACCTTCAGTGCAGGACAGGCCTGTGTTGCCATCTTGCTATGTTGCCATTGGTGAACCTCCCCAGCACATAAGATACGTCTTCCGGAAATGGATCCCCCCAAGAGAGTCTCCTTCTCCAGGACAACAACTGTGTGTAAGAGTGGAAGAAGTGATGCAGGAGCTAGGGATGACATTGTGATTGAATGACATGGTGTAATGCGGTGGCGGGCCATTGCTTCGTTTTCTTCAGCGCGCTTTTCGAGCGAACCTGCGCATTCCTGTCACCTTCAATGGTATATTCTTGCACACCAGGCTTTTATGAAAAAAGTTGGCCACGGATGACCTCGTTGATCAGAGGAGGTGGAGCATTTGAAAGACTGGCTGTGCATTTGCTGGAGTTGACACGACGATTGTCAGCGTGGTAGATGATGCTGCCGCTGCTCCTTCGCACGAAATAAGATGATCTTGCGATGAAGCTACATAGGCAAGTCATCGGATAAGACCATTTTGACAGTTGAAATACAAATACTGTAATCTCAGCTGGCCACTGAATTGTATTCCCTGGAGAGACTCTGTTGCTGCCTCCGACGTGAGACGTTGAGACGTTGAGATGTCGTTGATTGGTGGCCAATGAGAGCAGACCTGCTTACATCATCCAGCCTCGGCCGAGTCGCGTCATGATTTTCGCCTCGATTTCAAGACTCGGACTCACACACTTCAACTTCATCCACCGACTGATGTAACGTCGCTAGTTCTATGCACATCGTCCATATCTTTCAGGTCAATAGACGGAACATGCATTGAGCTTTGTCGCTGAAGTACAACCGACATGGACTGGGCGGCTTCCAATCTCCCACACACCAAACCCAACACCTCCCCGCTGTCTTCTGGCCCCACCGCCAACGTCCATCTCGATGCCAAATTGCAGCGCGAACTGGCCCGGCTGGATGATGGTGTCCCGTTTAACCCCAAAGCCCGCTATTTGCATCATACCTGGGCGCAGACCTTCTTTTCCCGCCCGGAGCTGTACTTTCAGCCGTCCACGGTGCCAGAACTGCAGAAGATCGTGACCCTCGCGCGAAGATGCCGCAAACGGTTGTGCGTTACGGGCTTCGGACATTCACCATCTGACTTGACCTGTACGTCGTCCTGGCTCATCAACCTCGACAACCTCTCCCAGGTGCTGGAAATGGATGTCGACAACACTCCCGGCCTCGTTCGCTTTCAAGCCGGCAGATCACTACATAACCTCAACCTTGCCCTTGCCGAGCATGGCTATACGCTGCCAAATCTAGGCTCCATTGATGTCCAGTCCGTCGCGGGCGTTATATCCACCGGGACCCATGGGTCCAGTCTCCGACATGGCTTGGTCTCGGAGTCCATCACCTCTCTAACCATCCTGCTGTCCAACTCACAACTGGTCACATGTTCTGCCACCAAGAACCCGCAACTCTTCCGCGCAGGGCTCCTTTCGCTGGGTTCGCTGGGCATCATTGTGGAGATCACCTTGCAAGCGGTACCGGACTTCAACGTCTCCTGGTCGCAATCTCTTCAATCACTCTCCTCGGTTCTTGAGTCGTGGGACAAGGACCTCTGGACACAAAAGGAGTTTACCCGGGTCTGGTGGCTGCCATACCTCCACCGCGCTGTGGTCTGGCGCGGATACAAAACCGACTCGCCTCCCCGGCCACCAAACACGAGCTTCTATGGCGGCTCATTCGGCTACTACGTCTACCACAACCTACTGTACTTGTCCAACATGTTCCCGCGCATTCTACCGTGGATCGAATGGTTCGTATTCGGCATGCAGTATGGCTTCAAGCCGGGCACGTTCGTCACGTCAGCCGTGCAACCTGCGCGAGAAGGGCTATTGATGGACTGCCTGTACTCGCAATTCGTCAATGAATGGGCACTGCCGCTCTCCAAGGGCCGCGAAGCCATCACCCGCCTGTCCGCATGGATCAACCACGACGAAGAAACGGCGCGTATCCCAGTCTCCAGCAAAGGCATATGGGTCCACTGCCCGATCGAAGTGCGCGTGACACATACCTCGCCCCACGTCCCCAATGCCTCCAAGGTCCGACCATACCTTGACCCGACCGTCCCCGACGGACCCACTCTCTACCTCAATGCGACCTTGTACCGACCGTACGGCCGCGACCCGCCCTGCCACGAACGGTACTACGAAGCCTTCGAATATCTGATGCATGAACTGGGCGGCCGACCCCACTGGGCCAAGAACTTTGCATACGCCTCCAGCGAGCAGATCGGTGCCATGTACGGCCAAGACATGGTCGAGTTCCTCAAAGTCCGCGACGAGAGTGATCCAGATGGCATGTTCCTAGGTGAATGGCATAAGAGGACTCTTCCGCTCAATATCACCTCCAAACAAGGCCAGGATGTCAAGGCGAGACCGAAGTACCGCTTGATGGAGGAAGAAGTCCGCCGCTCGAAGAAAGGTCTTGGCTGGGGCTTTGGCGATGGTCTGCTTTGGGAAGGACGACGTGTCGGCGACCTGACTACGGAGGACGATGACAGTGACGAGGATGATAGCTCTTCCGATGAGAATCTCAAGACTGGCCGCAACGACACGCCCAGTCCTCCTGCTACCACGACGAGTGAAGAGTCCTTTGATTACATGGCGAAGGGTGAGGCCAGTGTTTATGCAGAAAAGGAGGGATGATCTTCCACACGACGAATGAAAAGACAAGACTGGTGATGAGAGAAAGGAACACCAGCGAGGCAGAAGGCATGTCGGTGAGGTGGTTTCAAGGTCATGCAGCATGCTTTGTAAGAGAGGGTGGAAAAAGGTGGGGGCGAATAGTGGCGTCCAAAACCTCCCCTCACGGCACAATTGGTTATGTGTTTGTTCCCATGGCCCTCCGTTTGAGAAGTGGTCAACTCGAATCTATTTGTATTTAGCTTTGTCCATTACTCTTCAGTTGGATAGTCATTTCCATACCAATCTATACGCTATTAACACTAGTACTGAACATGGTCGTGTCGTGTCCATTGTCGAGTCCGAATAAACTTATAGATGGTTTCTACCTACCACTTGTGATGTAGGTAGCACAGTGTGAAGGTTCTGAGGAAACTGCAATGATAAGGGGAAAGGCGTAGCTGAGGGTAGTCTATCGAAATGAAAAAGGGATTCGGGAATGAGATGGACCATCCAAATAGAAGACTAGAACTGGTTGGTAGAGACTAAATCGGTAACAAGATGAACATGAGGTCTATCACATATTCAAATTTGAGGTACAAGGCTGAAGCCTCACATTGCCTATTATTATCCAGAAGTTGAAATGAAGTGTCTAACATTAGCAAAACCACGTCGTCAAAGGACCAGAAGACCATGGACATGGTCCTCTCTCTTGATTTCTCCAATTCCCACCCTCCATTTCCCATTCTCTATTCTTTAGTGTGAGGTCTGAAATCACCCTTCTATTCCTCTTATTTTCCCACCAAAAGCATCTCATATCCTAGTCGCGCCCTCATATACTCCAACCGACCTCCAAAACACCTCATATTCGAGGCTTCACCTTGATTCTCCCTAAAAAGTACACCAAGATCACTGCCACGGGGAAGGTTCAGAGGAAACAGGGACCACAGATTCCGTCTGTGGCTGTGGCACCCTCACACCGTCCTCCCCGACGAACAGCGGCTCGACCTTTCTCACCTCCATCAACTTCATACCCTGATCATTCCAAATCAACAACTAGAAGCCCAATCGTTGTCAATGTCAGCCAAATCAGATTCAAACCCAAAACACTCGTGATAACAACAACAAAACAACAACAAGAACCAGTAAATGGAAAGAAAGAAGGATCCACTTACGCAACTTGTATAGGCCCATTCGGACTGCCTCGAACTCCAGCCTCCCCCGCGCTGAACCATACTGAGTGCCTGCAGTCCACACCAAAATCGCACCGAGAGGCCCGGGCTCTCCTGCAAGGTCTTCTCGACGGCCTCGTCCGATCCAAACCCGAAGAAGAATTCGCTGTGCAGGTCCAGGTCAAAGTCCGTCTCCGTGACGCCCGAGTCGACCAGTTCGCGGAGATAATCCTCGCGCAGGCCGACTTGGTATTCGTATTCCTGCCCTTCATACGCGTAAGTCCCGATCAGACATTCGTACGCTTTGACCAGGTCGATGACTTCGAGATTGGGGAAGTTTTCGCGCGGGTAATACTTCAAGGCTGCGTTGACGTCGGGATCCGTCATCAGAAGCTCGATCGCCCAGATCTGACGTCTGATTCTGGGTGGCGGTTCGAGGAATCGGGTGCTGATGCTGACGACGTCTTGAGACAGAGACAGAGACTGAGACTGAAACTGAGTCCTCTGGCTCCTGCATTTCTCGTTTTCGTTAGCCATCATCGTGATGAAGCTTCGGTCGGCGATGGGCTCGACTTCGGCTTTGATCTGCTTGCATGTCCGGAGGAGGGCGAATGGGTTGGTGTTGGGCTGGTCGAGGTAGGTTTCGGGAAAGTTGTTGAACTCGGCGACGACGATGTCGGTGAAGACGTGTTCGTAGATCTCTTGGCGGATCTCGGCTGGGAGGGTGAGGAATGATGGTCTGCATGGTGTACTATCTGAAGGCATGGGAGATGTTGGATCCATGGCTTGAAGGTTGAGGGAGGGTCTTGTATGTTTGACCTGGGGATCTGGTAATAGATGGTGGATGATAGATGCTTGTTTTTGGTACTAGTATTGGTATTTGATATAAAGCCACTGCTTAGGAGATGGGGAAAGACAGTGAACGGCAGGAGATGATTCTGGAGGAGAAAGAACTGCAGATAGAAGATGTTTATATAGAAGATGTGTTGAGGATCTGTTTGTGTGATCTTCTTGCTCGAGTCAGAATGACAACTGTTGGTATAAGTCAAGTGGTCAAGGAACAAAACAAGTGCAGAGCAATCACACTTATATATGTCACTGAAGCCATTAGCAATGACTGATGCTGCCTGCTGCTTGCTCGGGTGTCACTTCGTGAGGCTGGTTGTTGGCTGGATTCGGCATGGAGTGTGGCTCAGTGCAAAGGTAATCCACCAAATGCTCTCTGGAGTCGGGATCAGTAGAATCAAACCTTATGACAGGATATGGGAAGAGAGTAGCCGTTTCTGCCAGAGCCAGGTGCAACTGAATGGAATGACTGAGGCATCCAAAGTATATGTTGGCTAAGGTTGGTGGTACCGTTGGAAAAGGGGCGCTAGCCTTGCCAATATTGCAACGCCCGAACTTACCTTCCAGTGGATCAGAATCAATAGCTTCTGTGCAAAACCAGACAAAAGCAAGGTCCTCACCGTATGAAGCAAAGTTAGAAGGATCTTACGAGAGGTCGGTACATTTGTGGGAACTTAGAAGCAGGGACTAGTGATAGATCGACCGGAACTGCACCAGGTTCAACTTCACCCCTGCTCAGCATGACTCTACGTCTGAGAAATTTTGTTAAGTTGAATTCATACACTTGTTTGATGCTCGATGTCCAATCTATCGAAGAGCTGCTGCAAGCTAAATTGCTCCCATAACCGAAAAACAATCAAGCCAGATGTTGTCGTTGTGGAAGCATTCCCACTGCAACTCGGGCTTTTCGATCCTGGTGCCGGTCAAGGGCCAACAGCTTTCAAGCCCCATAGGTATGATATTGACTGGTCGGGCAATCAGAGTTCTGTGATCCTCGGGCGTAACTGCCTTGTATTGCCGGGGTGTTTTGTGTCTCTTATTGGTCACAGATCTATATAGTCGAAGCCAAACTTTGTCAGTTCTCATCTAGCTGAATCTGTCCGTTGGTTCCTTTCTTTCTCTTGTCTTTTACTTCTGTCAATCTGACTCCACTCTGACCCCATGTAACCATCTGTGAGAATGTCAGCTGCGGCGTAGTAAGTGGTAATAGGAGAGCTTACCGCTGTTCCTATTCCAAACAGATCATCACTCCAATCAACAATTGCCATTGTCCCATTCGGTGGCTGCTCTGTTGAATATAACATGAAATCACATCTGAAGCGGACAACGGCTTTATTCAGTTGCACGTAGTTCGCAACACCGCCGAAGTCGCACCTGAACAATTCCCACGAAGCTGACCCCCGGTCATCGAATAGATCCTCGAACGAGATTTCTGCAAGATCTGTGTCGAGGATGCGGTCTATGTGCGAAGCCGGTAGTGCCATAGGAAAATGGTGAGGCGATGAATTCGCAAGCCACCCGTTGGTGTGCGGTTCAGTCGTCAGTTCGATCGAATTCAGCGATGGAAAGCGTGTCCCTCGGTATAGGTGCAGCCTTATCACTGAAAACACAGTGGAATGATGCACTTTGACACGTAGAGACTGGACTCGAATGCGTACTGTGCACGGTAGCGACGCGCCCCAGAATGTGCTTCCATTTTGGCAATTCCAGTCCAGCACGGAGACATGGCATGCATTCGCGACAGGTTGTGCCTCTTCTTTGATTTGCTTGCAGACCCTTAGAACCCTGAACCCACTATTTTCACAGGTTGTCAAGTCGTAGAAACGACCAGAACAGACACAGTTCCGCCCTTTGATCTCCACCCCGTCGAAAACATACTCATATACTCGTAGTCGAATCTCCAGTGGTAGGGTGAGGAACGTGGATTGCTGCCGATCAGACAGAATTCCTGAAAAAGGCGGTGCAGTGGACGGCATCGTGTGGACGTGAGGTAGTGGTAGCGGGCGATGCGTGCACGGGGTTCAGAATACTTGGTGGACAAGACAGCTCAGCGTGTCGTGTAGAGTGTATATCAGAGGTAGGGTTGGGGATCGTGATTATCCAGGTACGATCAGAAGTGCGTGTGGTTAAGGAATATATATAAGAGAATCACAAGCCTTGTCACGCGGAGATAATGACACCGGTAGTCACTGTACTCTAGTGACAGTCTTAACAAGGCTGTGGCCCCTGGAAATACAAGTCACGTGATCACATGGGCTGTCCTCCTAGTGCAACCATGGGCAGTAGCTGCAAAGGAGGGTTTAGGGGAATATTAATAAGAGTGAATTTGATATGATTGTACCAGCATAACTGCTTTATCACACAAACCATTTGCTGCCTAGCAAGCAGTGAGTGGTGACGTAGTACAAGAATGATTGTTCAGACGATCGTCCAGTGTGAAGAGTTCGGACAGCTTTAATTACCCTGATTTAGGTTGCGCGGTGAGGTCAGGGCTAGCTAGTAGAAGGGCACGATAGTCGTTCGTCAGTGGGTAGGCCGTAAACGTGCAGGAAGGTAAGGCACATGTGAGTAGGTACTAGGTAGGTCAGGTGGGAAGTATTGCGACTGATAAAGAAACTTCCCCGGCGTGAGATGAGTTTGTAGGGACTGAGGGAGCACATCAAAAGAACGGAACAACTGGAGAAGTTTGAGCTTGATAATACTAGTTCTCATTTGAACCTTGCGAGAGCGCCTGTGGCTCAGGCCCATCACATTTCAGCTCTGATTGTTAGAATAGCTGATGGAGCTCATAGTGCTCCTTCCTTGCAGTGAGGGTATCATAGGAGGTCACAACGAAACTGCATTCCTGCCATCTGCGCCTCAATCCATTTAGGATCTCATCATGTCCACGCTCAGGCAATCCCCACTCGGGAGATATGTCGCCCATTGTCTCCGCTTTGGCTGCCAATGGGTCTTCAGACACGGCTGCGGCGGTACCAGGGACGGCGAGGATAAGTGCTGTTCTCGTCAGTATATCATATGTAAGCATGCAGGATATGTATATTACGCTCTATCGTCAACAGGTGCTGTCTTGTTTCTCTCACGACGGATGAACCAGAGTCCCAGTAAGGCGCTGGCAAGCCAGATGATGGCAGACAGGAACGAGAAAGCCTCGGTTGATCTCCAGCGTTGACAGAAGCCGCCGCGAGTCAAATGTCCCCAGTCAAAAGTGTGGCCACCGCAGGTAGTTCTATTGACATAGTTGACGAGCAGGCCGAACGCAGCGAACCAGGCAAAGGAGAGGAGGAGATCGACAGGCCAGTGGAAGAAGCCGCTTGCGAATGGGAGAAGCCACAGAAGGCCGAGGAGGATGGATATGCCGGCGATGATCTCAACGTAGATGAAGCGAGCTAGAGGCAAGCCGCTGTCGCTGCGGTAGTCGTGAAGATAGGATCCGACGAGGCCAGCCACAACCTGCGCAGCATTAGAAGGGGGTCACCGAAGAGTGAGGTTCAACTAACAGCAGCAAATGCAATCTCGGCCACCCGCAGGGCGATGGACAGGATTCTGGAGATGACAGGCATCTTGGAAAAGGTTTGTCTTGATGGTGAAGGTGGTTTGAAGAGGACTGTATGAACGATCGGGTTTGCGAAGAGAAAGGAGGATTTGATGAGGGTGGAAGAAACAGAAGTCTCCCGATCAATCGCTTTATGGGTGAAGCAGGTAACAGAGTGACACTACCGAACGGCAAGGGTGCAGTCAAGGAAAGCTGAGGATTTCGTTTGCTGCATGGCGGCCGCCATGCCTTCGTTGCGCCCTGGAGGATGTGGTGATACCCTGGCACAGCCGTCCTACCTTGATTGTATGCTAGGAACGGCTATTTGCTGCATCTCTTTTTTTTTTGATTTGTGGATATTTATCCTCATGGCATGGCACGCGCACAGTCAAACAGGTACATGGCATACCTTGATTGGAATTTCAGCGTATACATCTTCGGCCCAAACAGGGCGAGAGCCCTTCAATCCTGTCTCCAGACGAAGACGAGTTGGAAGCGCAACTAGCCAGACAAGAAACTGGGATTGTATGAGGATAAGAGCAAGGCTGGTCAGGGGAACTATCCACTGACGTCATGCAAGGCTGAACAGTGAACACCATTCTACGATCAGAATTCATCTGGGTTCCTTGTTTCATGCCGCAGCCTCGCCCGCCCGTTCCACAAGGCCAACACTGTGTCAGGCAGCAATAACCTGAACATCAGTGCGACGTGAGGCACCCTTGGGGAAGGATGGATTTGCATTTGTTGCAGAGATGTAGCCACACCACTCCGGCGCTGTCTTCCGGCGCCCGGCATTCCCAGCTATTATTCTGTGCGTTGTTCATTTTGCCATCCATTAGAACGAGTGTCGAAGCGGATGTTGCATCGTATCGCAAAGCTCGACCGTCGTTTCATCATCGCCTTAACAGGATCAGAATATCACTGTTCTCAAGACAGTGCCCTAGCTGCAGTTTCCACCTCATTCCCAAAATCAAACGGGCCACCGAACATGACCTGTTTGCTCCTGTCCAGGATGATCAAAGATAGCATCATCCCCCTGGTTATAGCATCGGTCCATTTTTCCATCAATTCCCCCTGTTGCATGCGAGGGTAGAGGTTCTCAGCGAGCAGATCCACGTTTTCAGTGATGGTTGAGTTCTTTGGCTGGAACGAGAGTTCACGGCAATTGTCAGCCGCATTCGGGGGGAGTAGAGGTAAGAGATATTTGGTGTATGTGGACATCTGGAAATCCGTGACATTGAACAGCGTCGGGTGAATGTTGGCTTTGTCGGGTGCCCCGTTGCTCTTGTAAGTCATGGTCGGGTGGGAAAGGACGGCTCGTAGCAGGGCGGCATGCTTTTTGGCCAGATCGAATCTCTCTTGAGGAGGAGGAGGAGCCATACTGTCGTCCCGGTGAAGAACTGAGGATGGGAGATGTAGGTAGCGGTCGATAGGTAGGTTGCAGCAGATGCTATGCTTTCTGAAAATTGATGGGGTTTTGTGTAAATACTGTTCGCACTCAAAAGTACTTGGTATGAAAAGTTTATTGATAGTGTTCTCGCACCTGTTATTCTTATGGGGGCGCCTGTCAAGTCTCGTGGCACCGCAGGCAGCTGTCAGATTGGGCATTCAGGTGCAAGTTGCAGGGTCATGCCACTGTCCGCGTATGAAACGCGTCCAAAACGCGTGGACGCGCCCAGTGCGGGGAATTGATTTCCCCACGTCTCTAACTCTCTACTAACTGAGGCCTGCCTTTGATAAGCGCAATAGTATACAGAGTACCTAGGAATTGATAAGTACGGCGGCGCATTGAGGCTGCGATTTTTTTCACTCAGGCACCAACTTACCTCCCGTCGATGTCTCATTTACTGTTCAGCTTCAAGTTCTTTGACACGAGCATTCAGGTCCTGAGCCTCCCGAAGGCGGGACCTGGTCCCCGGCCCGTCATGAAGCGGCCAATTCACCATGTGGACCAACAATATAGCCGGCATGGACAGACAGACACCTAACTTCCAACAGACCACACTGACTTTTCGATCTGACGAGCCCAATACGGACTCGCCCCATCCGGAGTCTGGAAGGAACTGAACATATTGTTTTCGCTATCGATAGAATCTCTGTCTATACTCCTTCAGGCAACTTCACGCCACTTCAAGTCCTCCCGACCGTTGCTGCAATCGTCCAGACTGCGCATCCGTCCGTGACGGGAATCCACCGCTCACGAATCGTTGACACTCTCGACAGTCATATCAGACGCCACGATCTTCCGCCTGATTAGATCACCGTTGAGTCCATCGTTTCGGTCGAATCTCTCTAGGCCCTTTTCCAGCGTCGGCTCAATCCCTGCAGCGACATGGCGCTTTGCCACTCTTTCTCGCGCGACTTCCGGATCGACATTGACAAAGATCTTCAAATCGAGAAGCGGACTGATGTCCCTCCATTTATCCTCATCTAGCAGAAGATAGTTCCCATCCAAAATGACGATGGACGTGTCGGGCGATATTTCAATGTCATCCTCCTTGGGGTCTTTCACTGCGTGGTCGAATGAAGGCGCAAGGATACGCGGTCTCTCTGCTGCCGGCAAGCTAGCGGTCTCTGCCAGGTTGGCCACGAATTTCAGAATGGCGTCGACGTCGAAGGTCCATGGTGCTCCTCTCCGAAGATAGGCTTCCTCCCGGTTCGGCAGAGTATCCAGGTATCGCCGAGTGTAGTGAAACCCGTCCATCGGAACAGCCTGTGCATGACAGGTTTTGCGGCTTGAGGGTGTGCCGTTGATGAGGTTCACCACATGTTCGGCAATGGTCGTCTTTCCACAGCCCGGCGGACCTGCAATCCCGACCAGCAATCTGCCCGGTTGTTTTGCGATGGCCGCTTCACGGATTCTGTTCGCCAACTGAGCATAGGTCGCGTCCATGGTCTCGTTGATGTTGTTGTTGCAGAGTGAAATCCTTTCGACCGCAATGATAGACAAGTAAATATCTCGGTCGACTTGACGGCCGTTGATTACCGTCAATCCGGGGGCGGATACCCCCCGAACTCCGTCCGGAAATGTCGACGGTCTCCTTGAAATATCCTCGCAAAATGCCCACGGTTCGTATTCAATTTTCCTTCCTCGCGCTGGCAAACCTTTCAACGATCGCTTTGTAGGACGACTCTATTTTAGTACAATCAGGCATTACCTGAAAGTCTGCTTGTGCATCATGATGTCGATGTTGGGAGATTCAGCTGTTGTGGGTCCTGCACACGCAGCCGGCCGATCGTCGCCCGGTCCGGCGTTTCGCCGATACTTTCTCCGCCTGATCTTATACTGCTTTACCTCTACCTGCAATGGGGTTGCGCAATGCTGCCGACAGTTGGAAACGACCGTCAACATTGACCATTTCTAAGAGTGATGTCCCTTCATAATTCGCTTCGTGAGTATGCGAGAGGTGGCGATATCTTGTCGAATGCCCAACCACCTCCATGTATTCAGGCCATGTCTGCAGCTAGAAGCCGATCTGAGTCGACCTCGCGGTGAAGGAAGTCACCCTTTCCATTGCACAAGTCGAGTTTAATGCAGCTATTCCATAAAGTCCTACTCCCAGGTAGCATTTTAAGATCGCAAACGCGATATCTGATCCATTCAAAACATAATGTCACATTGGTATCTCCAGTTTTATCAACAAATGACCGGCACCCACGCTCCAAACTGCAATCTGGATATCTCGCATCAACGCTTGCTCTCAGTAAACCAAGCAGTTGCCTCGTCCATGATCCTCTTTCCTCCCGTTTCAATCACATCACCATGGCAAGGGATGATTCTGTCATAATCCCATTGCTTAAGCCTCTTGGCTGACTCGGCGAATCCGGCCCTGTCTTTGCGGCCCGCTGCGTACCACAGGAATCGCTTTTGCCAGGTCATATCTCCTTTGGTGTTCATGATGCCTGCAAAGAGCTTGGTGAGAATTCCTGAACGAGCATCCACCCCTGTCTTGGAATATTGCTCGGTGGCGGGGAGATTGAATAGTACATCGGCTTCGATCAACGTCCGACTGGGCTTGTGGAGAAAGACAAGTTCCTTGTTGACATGCGAGTGAATGAATTCGTAGGAAAACTCCTCGTCAAACTCCGGGCTGATACGCATGTCGAGTTTGTTCTGCGCCGAAAAAACGTGATGGAACTTTGTTCCTTTGGTGTCTGAGTTGCTCTCTCTCTTTTCTGGCAAGCCCTCCACTCCAATGATCTCAGCTTCAGGATATTCCGCAGCCCAGGGCGTAAGGAAGATATGATGCTCGATATCGGGCGCGACAATATATTTGATGGTCCCCAGAGACTTGACTTTGCTCTTAACATCGGGTGTAAGTGCTACCGGCGAAAAGACTGCAACATTGCCAGTTTGTAGTTTGACCAGAGTCCCACGTCCGCCGACCTTGACGTGGCCAAAGCGAGCGAACGGCACGCTGAGAGTTGTAATGTTGGGAGTCACGTCTCGGATGACCATGACCTTCGCAGGATCAGGCGGGATCAGAGAGGAGGATGACTTCGGGGTCGACATGGCGAACGTCGTGGAAGAAGCGATAGGGTTACGGGCGGGTAGATTCTGTAAGAAGTAGACCTGCGCTCTTTGGAGGATTTTTGGAGTAGTGAAAAGTTCTCGGATTGAGGAATGGGGTGGGCGGCGCTTTGATATACAAGTACCTTTCTGGGCTACTCGAATGAAACTCAAATCATTGCATCCATCAGTCGCGGCTTGCATCCAAAAGTCAACAAGCGCGCCCCTCTAGAGGGATATGGCACTGCCACGCGCAGCTATGCCCAGTCGTCACGACCGAGGATATTGAGACAAGTGCTTGCGAAGGTGACGTTCGACAACCTTACGCACGAAATCGTCCGGGCACTCCACAAGCGAGAACGCTATCATGTGCCAATCGCTTTGGTTGTGTCGGTGCTGGGACGTGGAGCTTGAGTCGGCTGCTTATGAAACTGTCATGATCCCTGCTGGCCAGACCTGGGAACTTCGAAGAATGGGTGCTTTTTCCTTACTCATCGGGCTTCTTGTGGACTAGACCGTCACCAAGAGCGCGGATGCAATCGGAATCCGACCTCTCAGTGGTTGGTTCGTTTCGTTACTCATCAAGATGTCCAAACCCATTATACGAGGCGCTACGCTTCCAGATTGGTTCGCCCACTCTTGAGAGCTTCTTTGCTTGCTTTGTAAGGCTTGGGTCTGGACCAGTGGCTCAGGCTACTGGCTACCCGCTCTGTCATCTCGGCAGCGATGGATCTGCATTTCGATAGAGGAGAGGAAAGCTCGAATGTGCAGTGAGACATGCAAGGGACATCCATGGCGGCGGCATTGACTGTCTCGTATCTATCAAGGTCAGTTCCTAGAGCCGGATAGGAGAGTGACCACCTTCTCCAACTTGTACCACCGCTGACATAGAGCCAAAGAGGTTGACTCGAGACTGCAGTGCACCTCAAAGGTGCCTGGAAAGAATATATCTACTGTGCTCTGCCTGGACATAGTATGATCTGGTCAATCGACAGTGAAGCGATTGGGGTGGTGCACCAAGGCCACAATTACAGGGGCGTGCACCAGCCCGAATCAAGATTCATGGTCGCTTACTGCAGGGAAGGTAATGTCGAGACTTGGAATGGTGATGGTGGCTCTGTTTTGCAGGAAAGTGAGTGACAGTATTGCAAGTTTCGAGCGAGTGATGATGAACCTGTTGGGCCGCAACTTCCACCTCCAACCAGCGCAGCTGCGATTCTCTCATTGTGCAACCAGCAGCCATCAACCGATCGATACTTTAAGATGCATCACATCCATTACCCTTCTCAATGCACATTATCATCTCTGTGACAGCCCTGCCCGGTCTTCTACGCACAACCATAACCATGACTTCCAATACCATCGAGACTGATCAAAACTCCATTCCTCATTCTGCTCAACACCCACATCTGTCCATGGAGGACGGATCTCCTCAAGCACCCTCGGACAGCGTCACGGTACGAGAAGCAAGGGATGTTTACTTGCTCACATGGAGCTGACCTGAATAGATGGCGAGCTATTCAGCCTTGCCTGCACCCCCATCAAGAACTGCAAACACCAAAGCCGCCCAGCCATGGCTATCACCTAGCACTATCCGTGTCACTCTCCACCTCGTTTCTGGCCTCCTTTTTGCTGCGCTCCTGGTCCCATACACGCAGTATTCTCGAGCGAAGAAGGCAAATGAGCATGACACCTGCAACACCAACGCACAACATCTCTATGAGAGCACTCTCGCCAGATGTGATGCCAATGCGGCTCGGAATTTCAGTCTTCGTGGTGGCGTCTTTGGACTAAGCTGGATGGAGATCATTGCTGTTCTGGGAGCCGCGTTTGCGTGGCAGTATCTGGTTTCGTTCCTGCAGGACTGGGCCGTTGTCAACGTGAGCTCCATCAAGGACAGAATCAAGCAGCGGAAGTAACGGACATGGAGGCATTAGGCGACATTAGGCGACATTAGGCCAATGATGGGGTTGTATTGCTTGATTACCTTCTGCGCAAGGGAGTTCCAGGCTGGCATCGAAGCCTCTACTGGCTTATCTGCTGAATGCTGGGATACTCATGGCTCTCCATGCCACAATAACATCTGCTTATGACACAATTGACGTTCGGTCCGCTGAAGATTATAACAGCAGAAGTCAGTAGTGTAGGACAAAAAATACTACATCGAACAGCGATTCGGAACACATGGTATATACAGTTTCAGTCTATCATATATCGCTAACGAGCATTTTTCTTTTACCGACTCCTCCTCAGATCAGCTTTTGGTGGCCAGTCCAGCAGTCCACTACCATCACAAACCGATCGCCTTCCTTGGTCAAACCGGAGTAGCAGATCGAGATACCATTTGTTGTCAAGTCCGGGACGCCCCAGATCCTCTTCATCCAACAACACATATGCTGCGTCCCTGGAGGAAATCTCGATTTTGAGATCGTCATCGTTGCTCACGGGTTGGTCCACGGCTGCAGCCGTCACCAGCCTTGTCATCTCTTTTCTTGGACTCCGCAAACCCTTTGGCGTTATGAGCAGGAGGTCGGGGTTGTCTCCGGAAGACGGGCCGAGTGGAGTCCACAGGCCTCTTGCGCCAGGTGTCTCCAAAGAACTGTCTAACATTTTGCTGTCAAGTAACAGCCCCGGTGTTCGTAGATACAGGGCTCGGTCGTAATCCCAGTGTTTCCACTGAAGCTCACCCAGGAGCTGAGCCTTCACATCCCAATCCCTGCGGATCTGGACCGGATGGTAGACGAGGTCGTATAGATCTTGCACATCTCGCATATAACTCAAGGCTGATGATTGAAGAGATGATGACGCTGTCTCCCAGGTGGATGGATAGAGGAGAACGATTGAAGGTTCGCTTGCTAGCTGGGAAGAGGAGCGTTGTTGTTTGGCGAAAAGAAGAACGGCGCACAAGTCTGAAGGCTTGAGAAGTGCAAATATATAGGCGAGACGCTGTGGTTGTCTGTCCCTGTCGAGACTATGATCAGACTGTGGAGGGACAGGTGGTATGTCTTCTCTTCCAGCAAGAGGGATCTGACTGGCATCCTCAGCGATAACCGGGATCTGTATGGAGTTCAGATCATCTCTTGTATTGTCCGTCCCTTCTATCGGTATTGTCATAGAGCCTACCCCATCTGACCGACCTTCAACGGTCACGGAAGTAGTTTCATTGGTCAAGTGCTGAAATTGTGGTGGTAGTGTAGGCACCGGTCGTGGTTCTCTTGGTTGTCGTAATGCTTCTTGCAACGCTCTGACAGTCTGTTGCTGCAGGACATAGCCAGATAAGAAGAGCAGGAATGTGAACAAGCAGACCACGCTGCTGGATATTGCAACTGACACGGCTGAGGAAGTGAGAAGCACCATGACGGTGCAAGGTTCGATGGGTGGTCCGCGTCGTGGTGGTTTATGCACGGGTCGAAAGGTGGTCGTGTATACAGCTGCCGGCAGGGGCCTGGCCGGATTGACACTTGTGGCGAGGGTAAGACTCGGAGTATATTAGAGTTCGTGCCTTTCTGGAAGTGCAAGGAACGGGATCTTGTGTATGCAGGAGGACAACGTCCGATTGAGAGCGTTGACGACTGCGGCGTCTTGAAGGGTTGTACAGCCACCACAGTACAACTCCTGTCCTCTTGTTTACCACTTGGGTTGCTCCGGGCAACTGCTGGGCTTGGCGTTATGACGTTGCGGCAAAATTGAACTTTGGTTAGGTAGAACTTCGTGCAGACAGTCGTTCGCAGACGCGAAGAACCACAGAAGCCGGAGACTTCGAGCCTGAAGCCGTCAACGAAGACCAGAAGCGTTCGAGTCGTGTTGAGTTGTTGCAGAGCTTTGCTCGAAAGCGGCGACAATGACTCACCGCGCTGATGCGTCCAACACGCTCGACAATCGCGGCTACTCGGGGCCACTGATTCGAGGGCAAAACCCTGCCTTACTCTTCGAAACTCCTATGCGAGATCGGATCACCGATTCTCTGTACTGGAAGGAACAGTGTTTCGGTCTCAACGCGGCCACCCTCTGCGACAGAGCGGTGGAACTCACCTACATTGGCGGTACATACGGGGTCGCAATGAAACCGACACCATTCATCTGCCTGGCTTTCAAACTATTGACATTGGTGCCTGACAAAGAGATCATTCTGGAGTACCTAAAGAATGGAGGAGAAGAGTGGAAATACCTCCGAGCTCTGGCAGCCTTCTACGTGAGGTTGACCTTTGACCCGGCCGACATCTACAAAACCCTCGAACCGTTGCTTGAGGACTACAGGAAATTGAGACTGCGACGGAGAGAAACATACGAGTTGATACATGTGGACGAGTTTGTGGACAACCTTTTGACCAAGGAGCGTGTGTGCGGAACAAGCTTGTGGAAACTGCCAGGCAGGCAATTGCTGGAGGATCTCGATCAGCTTGAGGAGCGGGTCAGCCCACTCCAAGCCGAATTAGATGCAATGGAAGAGGAGGACGAGGTTGCGGAAGTGATGGATCGCAATGGTACAGCAAGTGAAAATGGTGGCAGCCCTCGACCTGCGAGCCGAAGCCGGAGTCGCAGCAGAAGCGAAAGCGGGTCTATTGATGGGTGAGCGCAATATTGGCAATCGCAGTCCCCCCATCGTCATCAACTTTTTACTGTCAAACGACCACATAATCATCCCCAGCGGAAGGCTCGCCTTGTACATGGCTCTCATCGTCACCAGGAGAGTCCTGCTGTCCAGCCGAAGCATCGTCAGGCTTGGCAGACGGTGCCAGCTTCGATGCTTGAGCCTTGATCAGATCGAGCAACGTGACACTGTCATCGCGACGATCCCAAGTTGGATGCTCGACTTGCCTCTGCGGGAGATCGTATTGGTAAGAAGAAGGGATTTCTTCCCTCTCCGGTACGGTCACATCTGGGTCATCGGCAGATTGCTCCGTAGTGTCTTTAGGCGGCACATCGTCCAGATTTGAAGACGTATCAACATCACCACCACCAGCACCCAGTTCGTCATCTTGAGCCGGAGATGTCGACTTCTGTGCGTACGATTCTTCTAGGCTCGGTCGTCGCGAGTCCAGCGAAGCATCTCCCTCACTGTCCGATGCCTGCTCCGAGAGATCATCTCGGATGCTTCCATCCTCGCTCCACGGCACATCCATCTCTTCACGATACAACAAATCCCTCTCTCTCCATGCCTCCCTCCTCGTGGAGGAGCGCCACTCCGGTGCATCACATGGGGCATCAAGCAACTGCACCATACCCGGACCTCCAATATCCGTATTGACCACATTCAGGAGGGTAATGGAGAATTCATCCTGGGCCGCCTTGAAATATGGCCCGGCATAAACGCGCACTGGCCAGATGTTCCACTTATGCTGAAGCTGCATAACTGTCTCGTCAACGACACGATTGAAGATGGGCCGATAGAAATGGCCCGACTGGTTGATAAGCACGACAGGCTCGTTGGAATTCATGTGCACGGTGCGGCTCCGCGGGATGTTTTTGTCCAGTAGGCCCTGGAGCAGCAAACCAACTTGGCTGGTCACTTCATCTGGTTCACTGCCACTCTTGTCCTCATCCAGTTCCGTGTCAGATTCATCTTCCTCTGGTAGCTGCGAAGACGAAGCAGTCATCAGATTCCGCGCGACGAGATATCCCACTTTGCACACATCGGAATCCTCGTAGCCCATTCTGACCAGCGCATCACATGCCTTCGCTACAAGTACCAAGCCTGCACCTGCTTCTGCTTCTGCTTCTGCTTCTGAGCCTGCTTCTGAGCCTGCTTCTGAGCCTGCGCCTGCGCTACTCTTCAACCCGGCTGAGGTTCCGCTTTCGAGTTCGAAATGGACGATATCATTGACATCGACGTCGAAGTCGGCAGGTGTTTCTAGCAGACCGCCATCGTTCTGGGCCGAATGAGCCATCTTGATCTTGATCTCGGAAGCAAGTGACCTGGGATCACGTCAATTCAATCCCGCTCTTCGATGGCTGTGACCTTTACTGCGTAGATAGGTCGCAATTTCTTGTTGGAAATCCAGAAAGACCGTCTTTCTCTGGAGCTGACTTTAGTTCTGTGAATCAGAACATATGCACACTTGGGATCTGGCACTCAGTTACAGATGCAAGAAGAGAACAATCGATGGACGTGGAATTGACAAGGGAAGTCTTATGCCTTATCTGTCAACTATCCCAACCGAATATTATAGGGCTATCGATGTGCTTGGATATGATGTGTCGAATCTCCCAAAGTTGGTACTAGTTCGGCATTATCACATGCTGGACATGTAGGAATTCCAACAATTCAGGTTCAACGAAAGGAACATTCCAAGCCTCTGACGTCCTACAGTGTGTGTGTGGAGAGCGAGACTATCTAGCCAGCCATTACGAGGTGTATCGCAATCGGTTGGTGCCCCGCGACTGGTAGATTGTTGATAACGATGTTGATATCGACATTGACACTGATATCGATAAATCAGCCAAACCAATCGTATATACATCATACCCAAGAGGTACACAAGATACGTTCCACAAGATGACGATGAGAAGGAAGAAACTCTATACCCTGCCCTATTTGTCCGGAAGCATTTCTTAAATCTGAATAAATCGAATTGGATGGGTTTCCTTCCCTTGAAAATGCTGTGGAAGTCTGATCCGATATCATGCAGGAGTATCCTAACCTAGTAACTTGCTTTCCTTCTCGAGAGATGCCATGGAAATGCTTTCCTTCCCACCAAAAGAACATGCTTGGATCTCATCTCTCCGTCCGACCTTGGTCGTAGCACGAGAACCCAATCTAAAATAATTATTTTCATCTTCACTGTGCAGGCTCATAGCCCTGTTGCTTGACCCATTTCTCACGCCAGCCGGGGAAGTAAGGAGATTCGTCCAGCGTACGGGGCTGCCAATCCTTCTCGACGATCCCCTTCTCGATCTGCTCCTTCTCATACTCCTCCAAGGCCGGGATGGCCACGTGCTCGACATGCCACGTGTTCTTGTATTTCATGAGATTCTCCTTCCCGTCACGCAGCACTTTGAGCAGGAGGCTGGGAATGTACGGCTCGTCGCGGAACTCAGATAAAGGCGTGAACAGCGCCTTGAAGTTGAACACTATCGCGCCGGACAGCGGAAGTCGGCGTAGCGTTTGCCAGTCGACTCGGAGATGGATGCGTGAGCGGTCGAGGTCGGGCGATTGGAAGTCGCGGTACTTTTCGTGCGGGTCGCCGGGTGGCATGTAGAGGGGCTTGTCGACTTCTAGACCCCAGGAGCCGCGCTGGATCGGTTTTTGAGCGGGCATTTTGGTGAAGAAGCTGTGGAAGTCTCAATGTCAGCATTCAACAATAAAAGCAGAAGAGTAGACATCGAAAGAGAGCAAGCAGCAGGCCGGTACCATATCATAGACACTGCTGTGAACAAACAGGAAATTTTGAGGGGTTTGGGGTTAACGTACCGATCCATACTGAACTGCATCTTCTCTTTGTAATCCGGAATCGGGGCGTGGATTTCATGCAGTTGCATGCCGATTTTGGTGCCAACGTTCCATCCGATGGCCGAACAAACCATACCGGCCCGCAAATGGTAGTACCCTGTCTCCGGGTTACGGAGCATGATGCCGAAATCTTCAGGGATGTTGTCCAGCATGACGAGCAAAGGGTGCTTGGCCGTGACGTCTTGTTTGGTGCCCAGGATCTTGTTCTCGAAGGTCTTTTTGTCGGAATGCAGAACAAAGTATTGCGGGTATCGAGCGCACAGGAATTGGAGCGTCATCTCCATCAATTCTTTGCACGCCAGTTCGGAGCCTGGAAGCCATCCCAGGATCGACTCGCCGTGCTCTGCATAGAGCCGTTTGCGCTCCGCAATACGCTCGACGTAAGTGTTTTCTAGTTCGAGCCACCAATCGGGCTCCAACTTGGTCAGAGCTGTGATGTGAAACGAAACGTTAGTTTGTCTCTAGACAACCGAGCAGCGTGGGACCAATCTGGACTTACACATCGTTTGGTGATAGACCCAGCGGAATGGTCGGTATGGTCGTGGACGGGCCTTGGTGATGTCGTGCTCGAGGTAAGGCTTGGGCAGTGGCACTCCACTGATCGTGGAGTAGTCCGGGAAGTCGCCGAGAGCGCGGACTTCTTGGACCTTGACACCGGTGAAGACGTATTTGTCAGGATCGCATTTCCGATAGTCCTCTTCGAATCCCATAACGGACTTCATCCAGTTCTTTTCGTCGAATTTGAGATCACCCATAGCCTTGCGTTGATCCTTGGGTAGTGCCTTGGCAACTTCCTCAAGGGTATCGCGAATCAGGGGCGGGAAGCTATTGACATATTCTGTAGTTTTAGGCGGAGAGTTTGCGGGATCTTTCTTGTCTGGCGAGAGCGACCGCGGTGGTGTCGTCGCGCTGGAAGCCCTGCGGCCTCGTAGCCTTAATCGCTCGAACACGACTTGTTTTTGCCGTTGACTGAGGCTCAAGTAGCTGATGACCCCTATGCAGAGGGCAAGGCCCACGTAGAGCCACGTCCTCTCATCCATAACGGCGATGATTGACGCACAGCTGTCGAGTGTTGTACTTGCTGGAGTCAAAGCCAAGAGGGTACCACGATAGTTTAGGCCCTCCGAATCGATAATAGCGATGAGTTTTGAAATTGGTCTTGCTCACAATGAACCACCGTCAGGTCACTGAGAAGATTGGCCAGAGGAATATGTGTTGTCGAGGTTGCTAGTGTTTAGAGGACAGTAAAAGACAAAATCGTGCCCAGTAGACGGTATAAGTATGGCGTGGTTCTTGAGATGTCCAGAAATAGGCAAAATACAAGCAACACAATGACAAGACGTCAAATCATACCACCAGGGCACATAACGCTTCGGACACGAGAGTTGTTGTATGACTGCAGAGTAGTGGTAACAAATCAGAGCGATGAATGGATAGATATAAGAGAGATCCACGACGTGGCAACTACTGAGGGCAAGGAAGAGATCAAAGCGGGTTGATGAAGGGGAGATGCGAGCTCAAAAAGGTGTAGAAGCAAGGACCCATGTCCCGTAGAGAGTATCTACTGAACCCCACAGCTGGTTGACCAGCAGGGAAATCAGATACCTCGCCTCAGGCCTACGGCTCAGACCCTTGGACCAGAGAAGAGGGGACAAGGGGACGAGGTGGCCCAGTCAAAACCGACGTCCTCGAAGGGTGATCGCAGTCGTTCATGCCGGGAAATCGGCCGCCGGCTTTGGCATTAGGCTTGACGCATCCAGGCTGGCAGAAGGCAGATGGACGAACAAAGTAACGGCGAGAACAATTGGCAGCGGGGGAGGAAGAATGTAACCAGTATCCAAGGCCGATGAGTGGTCGATGTCAGTCGACTTGAAATGATGGGTACAGAGTAGATGGAGCAGCGATAGACGGCGTATGGAGAGGTAGGGGAGAGATGTATGGAGGGCGCTGTCGGTTGCCTGTCGATTGAGACGCGGCCCGGACTCGGAGGCGATGCATAGCGGTTGGCTGCGCGGACAGCCTTGCCCAATATGGTTTAGCGCATAGGTAATAGAGCGATAACGATAAGAATCCACCGGGTGGCCTCTGATTGGACGCAGAGCCACTACGCCGACTCCATCCGTCATTCTTGCTCTTTCGGGCAAATCTTTCCAGCCTGCACAGCTCGCTCTTGTTGTTTGCCGCTCTGTTGTCTTTCTCCAGGTCGTGTCTCCTTTTGTCCTCCTCTCTTGCCTTCTTCTGTGCTTCTGTATCCTCTGCTTGGGCCATCAAAATGTGGCAGAGCAAACATGTCTCGAACACAAATGCAGGGAAATGTGCATGCGGACAGGCGTTGAGGTGATGTGCAACCCTTTGATACCAGCCAACAGGCTATAAACCAATTCGCTTCCTGTGCAACCCTTTCCTCGTGAACTTGTCCGGGTTCGTGACGGTCACATCCATTCTCGAAGCAACCGGTTTGCAGCGTATGACATTCCGTTTCACAGTTGTCGGTTGCGCTCGTCCAATGGCCTCGACTCATCCGCACGTGGCCCTGCTTCCTCTCGGGTGCTTGCCGATCTGCCTCGAATTAGTTGATCAGATCTTCTTTGACGCCTCGCCGGATAGGTCATGGAAGGTTGATCATCCGATGTGGGCAACTACCTGTACGCCCGGAGATATTATTTCGCGGTATGCCGCCCAATGCTGTGGGAGGAATAGATGGAGGAAAGCCACATGATTCACATTGCATGTTGTGGCAATGCCCCTGTTCCCTCCCCAGCTCTCCGGATCAGCGTTTCGGCTTTGGCTGCAATCAACCTCATCCTCGCCTGGCCCGATAGCCGCTCTGGTATGGAGCTAGTGAGTCAGTCCTTTCCATAGGTAGCCTTGTCAGATGTGCTCCTAGCTTTCCCTGCTTCCTTCAAACTCCGTTTCACATACGACACGTTGTTTTCTGTTCTTGTGCTGCTCCTGTGAACATTTGCGTCGAACCCGGTAACGATGACAGTGAAGGCGGAAATGCTCTAGCACCAGTTGTCAGTGTAACGAGAAAGAGCGTCACGGGAACCAGGACTCGAGCCACGGTGTAACTGTCATGGTAACGGAAGTTGCTACAGTCGGAGGATTGTCGCTGGAGGCCGAGGAGCGGAGGATTGACTGCTTGGATGGCGGTGTGAGAAATAGAGGTCAGCCACCGTTCCCCAGGCACATATTGAGAGTTCAATGCCCATCTTAAACAAGACAGTTGTTGGACTAGGTTCAAGGCCGTTCTCGTGGGAGTACCACCAAACACCTTGATCCCAGTTGTGCACAGTGCTCTGCACCTATATCTTTCGTACACGAGAGCCTTTGCTTGAAATGGTCTTCTGTTCCCGGTCCTTGGCTGTCAGCTTCGTCTGCTAGCGAGCAGTACAGATGGGAGAGGGATCAGGGCACATAAGCTCTGTGACGAAAGCAATAGCAGCTCTCCCGAAACGGAGACACAATAGCTGCAGTTGCTTTCAATATAGGAGTACCAGGCACGTGCAGAACAATGGCAATAGCCCAAGCGAAGGTTGTTGTATGCTGGGAGGACTTGTGGTCGCAGTACACAGAGTATTGTTGCCATTCAGACTTCGCGTCTTCGGTCTGCACATGGCGCATCCCACCATCTGCTCCGCCGTAAATTTTCTGCAGACTTCAACTGCGCTCCAACAGGTGCCAATAGAACATGGACAATCACTTCCACGGCCTGCGTGTGTTCTTTTGAGGACGTGTGAAGATTCCGGCACGCAAGAGGGTTGAGTCTGAGTAGAATGGCTGTTAGACATTCACTCTGCCATCTTCCCCCATTGCCCACGTCAACATGGGGACGTTCGTGCCTCGACCGGTCTACCCGCACCTGTCCTCGATCCCGCGATCCTATTACCTAGGACACCATGCCGCTGGACTGGCCAAGATGAAGTCCATTGTAGCGCAGATTGACATGGTCATCGAATGCCGCGATTATCGTACACCGATTGTGTCCCGCAACCCCTTATTCGAAGCCAACCTTGGTGAACGTCCAAGATTGATTGTCTATACGAAACAAGACCTGGGAAGTAATTCGTCGGCTGAAGACAAACAGGTATGTGCTGAAGAAGGCAATCTCAGGGAATGATTCTGATGCGGTGCATAGAGAGAAGCTATTGTCCGGAAATGGGATGCCCCGTCGACCTCGTTCTTCACCGATGTGAAATCTCGATCTACCATCAACAAGGTCCTCGACTTTGCGAGGGCGCACTCGAACGAGTCGACTTCCCTTTTCGGTACTCGTCTCATGGTCGTCGGTATGCCCAACGTCGGCAAGTCGTCTCTTCTCAACGCTCTGCGGAACGTCAGCCTGGGGAAACGGAAGGCTGCGAGAACAGGAGACCAGCCAGGCGTGACACGGAAGATCGGGACCAGCGTCAAGATCCTCGAAGGAGAAAACGGCAAGGAGGGAGTTTATGTTCTCGATACACCTGGTGTTTTCGTCCCATACGTCCCCGACGCCGAGAGTATGCTCAAACTCGCTTTGTGCGGGAGCGTTAAGGACACAATCATCCCTCCGACCACGATCGCAGACTATCTGCTCTTCCATCTGAACTTGCGCGACGCGACGCTGTACGAGATGTACTCCGAACCGACCAATGACATTTACGTCGTGCTAGAAGGTCTCGCAAGGAAACAAGGCCGGTTGAAGAAAGGAGGTCTTCCAGATTTCGAATCCTCAGCGCTGCAATTCATCCAGCGATGGCGGAGTGGACAGATGGGTCGATTCGTGCTGGATGAGGTAACAGATGATGCGCTTCTCCAACGAAGCGAACAGCTTAACTTGTACGGCGGAAGCATGAACCAAGCCCGCAAAGCGGCAAAGCAGTTGCGCAAAGAAGCATATTTGGGTGGAGGTTGAAAAGTGATGAGCCTGAACATATCTCAACTTATCCAAAAAGGAAGCCTCCAGGACAATTCACTGGAACAATGGCTACGGATCACCGGTAACTTGCACTGCGTCGACATCTCGCCAAGAGCGCTGTCGTCCCCGAGGCTGCACTCCCAACACCAGCACCAACACAGGCCTCGCACAAAAATGGCCCTTGGCCGCAGACAAGGCCAAAAAACCAAAGTGGCAAAAACTCTCGCAAGAGAAACCGAACTCCTGGATTCGAACCCACGCGGTTTTTCATTTCGTGGAAATCACCACACCCTCTCTTCCAACGTCGCATGTGGTCCGAAGACCTGCGAGAAACTGGAGAAAGGAAGGAGGATGATGTTAAGCTGATCCCCACACAACCTAGACCCGGCTGATAGCCCGGTGGCGGTATACACCACCACCGCTCCAGGCGGCGTCCGACGTCCTGAAATTGTTGGAGGAAACTCCGATATTGCAATATATCAACGCACCATTCGGAGACGCGCGGTGACGCGTTTGCCATGTGACCTGACGGTGAAGTGAGGGAGGGCACCAGACGAACATCGACCGGACTTGGGGATTGATTTGATATATGGATTGCTGAACACTTGTTTATGGGGTCCATTGTGATGAGACTTCGTTGGGAGAAGCCGACGTCTAACATCTCAACCCCTCGTTTCTGGCAAGATATGCATGGGCTGGTGACTGTCTCGATCCTGGCCCAATCCGCCATCCAGGAAGATAATCAACGTATGCAGAATAGCATCTACTAGTTGAATTGAGTTAGAGTGGGCAAGGAAAGAGTCTCAAAATGTTTCTGATTGAATTGATATACCTCGCTAGGGCTGATAGTATCATTCAGTGCATCAGTCTTCTATTCGAACACTTCTGACTATATATCTCTAGCCTGAAATTGGCATCGTGAGGACCGAGAACCCCCATAGGCAGCCAACCTTATCCTGGGAAGGCTGAGTGTCGAGGGTTGATAACGAGCTCTAGAGCAATGATATGTCAGACATATGAGAGATCCGCTTGACCTCAACTCAAAAACCGGACCAAATGCCGAGTCTGTATCCTGCCAAATGAACTCATTCCGCGTCTTGAACCTTCAGTCACACCCATACTCTGTAGATTGATCTAAGCCACAAGGTCATCAGGCAACGTCCACACCCTGACATCTCCCTCATCGCCCGTCGAGACAATGACCTCTTCGCCATCGAAGCGACGGCCATTATCACGTCTCGTCGCCCAGCAGACGTGATTGATCTCAAACTCGTCATGCGCGCCCTCCATCCGTGCCACGAGTGTCCATTTCATCTTGTGCAACTTATACGGCTGCTCGCCGTCCGGAACTCCTGTTGCCGTTCCGTTTCCAGCGGTGCCATTCATAGCCACATCGTCCACATTTTGCTGCTGCTGCTGCTGCTGCTGCTGTTGTCCGTCCATATGCGAATCTGTGTCCACGACCTCCTTATATACAGCGATCGTACCATCTCCGCCACAGCTGACCACCAGCCCGGTCCGACGGGACCAATCAACAGCATAGACGCTGCGCACATGGACCTGAGGCAGCGTGGAATCTTCAACCCAGCGCTCCATATTGCTCTGCGGACGAATGACGCTCGGGAGACGCGTACCTGAAAATCCTGTAGTAGTCACACCGCCAGCAGCAGAGGACGATAAGCGGGACTGTGCTCTCTTGGCCTTTTCCGCCTCGCTGAGTTCCCGCCGCCACACGCGGACGGTTAAATCGTCGGAGCACGACACAAGGCGCGGAGACCAGTCTGCTTCGAATTCAGCCACGGCCACATCCTCGTTCTGGCCTGTTTGCTGCGACGAGTCGAGATCGAGCTGCGCGTAGTTGATGTATCCTTCCCACTTCAGGTCCCAGACGGTGCCCCTGTGGCTGTCGATGACGCCGACGCAGATCCAGTCGCCCTCCTCCTCGACGTCGCGCCACAGCCGGATCGTATCGTCGTAGGATCCGCTGGCGAGGATCTCGCGCGACCCAAGCACCACCTGCTCGTCCTCGGCGGTATCTTGATCGCCGTTCTTGTGGGAGGTTGAGTTTCCCATCTCGACATCACCGTCCTGGAGAGCACCAACAGCCTCGTTCCCCAACTTGCGCCTCTTCGTGAGTCGGCGGCCATTGCCTTTTAATGCGCCTGCACACCAACTCACGCATTTGACGTCGCCGGTATGCTCGCTCAGCACGGCAATGGTTTCCCACTCCTCCGGCTCCACCTCTTCCCATATCCAAACCGATTTGTCGCGTGAGGAGGTCGCCAGCAGGCTCGCAGAGTAGTGCGGCGGAGAGAATTCTATGGACTTGATCTCCGAATCCGGGCCGGTAAGGAGAGTAGAGAAATCCCAATCCTGGTCATCCTCGTCGGGGTCGCGCGTCATATCGACTTCCTCGTCATCATCAACATCATCTGCCCTTGAGGTACTGTTCGCGTGCTGTGCGCCTTGTTCCTGATCTTGATTCTGCTGTGTCTCGGCGTCTTGATTTCGGAACCGTGCCCACCGTCGATCATCGTTCCAGATCCAAATGCCCACGTTGGCGTCGAAACTGCCGGTTCCCAGTACCACGGGGTCTTTAGCTTTCTTGGAACTCTTGCTCTGTCCGTAATCTTTCCATGCCACCGTTCGTACACTCCGCTTGTGACCGCCAGTAATGGTCGAGATGAGTGAGAAGTCGCGCAAGCTCCAGATGTTTACAGTTTTGTCCGCGGAGGCTGTCGCGAGCAGTGGTGTCGACGGATCGGGATGTGCTACGGATTGCCATGATCGCGAAGGGCCAGGGGCCGGAGAATGCAGAACCCGTAAAAGAGAGAGTTCGGGTGCAGATATAGACGAGGGGTCCGTCGGCGCAGCCATACTGAGAGGTGGTAGGGTGGAATACGTGAGGTCGGGTTGGGACAGAATGACGAGCAGAAGTCGGAGGTTCGAGAGCGAAGTTGGCGTCGGATCTATATGTCAGACATTGTTGGGCGGAAGTCGTCGCAGGACATCACTCAGGTTATCCGATCGCACGGTTATAGTAGCCTCAGGTGTAGCTGTTCGTTTATCGTTGTTTGCACCGGACCGTGAATGCTGTTGAATTAATTCTCGAGGTTTTTCGCAGCGCGGAATTGACGTCGGCGGGGCGGAGGCCGACATTCCGCCGGCGCCCACACATGGCGTCCCGATGTGGAAGTTGTACCGCAACAGAGAGGAATAAACATGATGTATTGAAAAGAGGGCTCTTATACTCTACTGCTCGAGCCTCGTCCAAGTTTGGCGAAGACTAAAATGGCCAATCAAGCATGAAAGCAGAAGAGGTCCGGCTACTTGCATTGATGGAGGAGGAGTGACATTTCATACGCAATCCCGGGATATGGAGTCCAAGCCAGTTCTAGAATACAATCCTCACTTGCCAGAGCCCGTGTTCGTGGATCCCACGATGCTCTGCCACCACGGTGTGTTCTTTTTGTGCTCCTCTCTTTCCTTCTCTCTGTTGTTCTTCCACCAGCGAGCGGCCACCACTCCAACAGCGAGACCGCCTAGATGGTCAACATAGTCGATTTTTTTCGCTGGTCCCAAAGCACGAATGATATGATACACGGTGAGGGCTGCTAGGATTGTGGCCCCAGTAAACGAAAACTTTTCTGCCATATCAGGTGGTAGGAACAAAATCGAAAATTGGGATCTGTGATGCAGTTGTCAGTATTCTGCCAATCTCAGAGGGATCGGAGGTATGTCATACTGAGCATGGAGATATAAATACGCAGCGACAACACCATAGGTGCAGCCGCTGGCCCCTAGGGAGCTGGTCAACCAGTTCCGCTGAACAGCATGGCGCGCAAGACTTGCAAAGCTTCCCACCAAGCCGGAACAAAGGTAGATGGCCACAAAGGTTCCTCGACCCACCTCCTCGTGAAGAGGAACACCAAATAGTATGAGAGTGAGCATGTTCGCCAGCAGGTGGGTGAACTTTTGATGACTGAAAAGACTCCCTAGCATGCTGAAGGCGTATGGGTAAGCCGGCGTAATGATGAAGTACTTATTGAGAGAGGTCCACAGCGGCGGAAACCTCCAAGCCGCAAATACCGCCAGATTCAACGCAATCAAGGTTCCAACTGTGGCGAATGAAAGTGAAATATTCGGGAAGAAGCGGTCCGACTGTCTCGGCCGAGCCCAGTATTGGGAGTAGAGATAGCTTGCACCGCATAGGATGGAAACCAGGAGGAAAGATGGGAGCAATCGGTGTAGGAGACCCCTTTGGACGATCTCAGGAGATTCAAGCGTCAGTTTGGACTGAGCCCGATTCTGCGCCAGAAGCACCCATTTCTCAAACGTGTTGGGCGGCCTGAATTCGTCGGCGGCTTCAAGGCCCTGTTCGGGCCTTTGTGCGAGTGATTGCGACCGTTCTGTCTGGACTTGGGCCATTCGCTTATCAATCTGTGCTTGTAACTCCTCCTCTTCCCGTTTCGCGGCGGCCTCATTCTCTGCTCGCATCCGGTCCAACTCGCTGACACCAAAGACATCGCCTTCCTTACCACTCAGCGGCGCGTGGTAGTGCCCGCTTTGTGGCCCCTGGTAGAGTCTCAGGTCTTGCCCCCTCTGCATTAATTCTGCAGGATTGTCCCTTTCGAGCGCATGCTCCTCTCTTTCGATGCGAGCGAGAATAGCAGCATCCTCGTCGATGGGATACGTCTGCCGCAGCCAGTGAAGACCGTCATCGAAGGCGTAAGGATACTTGTGCAACTCGGACTGCACATCGTCGGGGAGGGGAAGATCTAGTGTACCATCAAGGCGACGCCCGTGTAGGACTCGGAGGAGCCTATTGGCGAATTGTACTGGTGGTGGCTTTGGTCCGAAGATAGTCATCACTTCTTGGCTATTGAGATCGTCTTTTCGAAATCTCAAGCCTTTCTCTGGCTTCTTGTCAGACTCGTACGGCTTGAGCTTGTAAGCTGCAAATGACTGGCGGAAGCCGCGCCGTGTCAATTGCGAGAAGCATCGTTGCTGGGGGGCGCATTGCGAAGCTCCAGGCACTGACACAACCGTTGGGCGCGCAAAGAATGGCTTAGAGAGGAGAGAAGTGACCCCAGGTCCAGCCTTGGACTCGGCCCTGAGGGAATATCGACATGTTGAGGCTTGTTGCAAGCCTTTTCGTGCCAGGCGCAGTACTACCGTTCCAGCATTGCTCATTGCCGTCGGCGACTGCGAAGTCGCTATTGCGCAGCTAGCACGGGGCAATCAGGAGTCTTTTCCAAGAACGGGATGGGCACTGCAGTTGAGTTGTGCGGCGGGCGCATCGAACAAGTGACATGCTCATATGCGCGGACTGGAGGAGGTCTGATTATGTAAGAGGCTGCAATCACGTGTCAGAATGTTCCCCTTTTGGGCTAGTGCTGCCCGGCGCGGATATTCTGTACTTCCGGAAGCCGCCTTGACCTAGTAAGTACATGTACCTACTACCAGGGACGAACACATTTCACCTCTGGGTATCTCTACAACCTCGGGCACATCGGTGCAATCGACTTTGAGTTGACTTGGATTGGGCCATGAGGCGCGGTCACCGTATGGCTGTGTAGACATGCAATCCGTTCTTGGTCTGCTAGTGCTCAGACGACTTTCCTAGCTGACAAGAGGTCGAGAAATCTCAAACCAGCGAATGGATTGGCCTGATATCCATTCGCAAGTCGTGGAAGCGCGCTTGAACTGAAACACACACTTGTACATGCTAAATGAGCTCCACAGGTCTGGTCATGGGCGAAGGCCACAGCGCGACCGGCAGCCACATCTTCTTGCTCCCAATCCTACCATACTGTGGTCGAGATGACCGCCCAAGGCACCGGGGAAAGTAGCAAGCATCTGTACTCCCCAGACGAGCGCGACCACAACAGATACGAGAAAGATTGCACACGGTACTGGTAAGGCATCAGTATGCCGGACTTGCATGCAATATACCCCTGAGCACTCAGCCTTATGTCCACAAGACCATGACAAGCTCATCCTCAAATCATCTACTTCCTCGCAACGACCCATGACGAGAGGGCTCGACACGTTTTATGCCGGATTATGGTATACCAAACCACGAAGACTGACTCAATGTTCGGTCGACGATGCAATTGACGGACCTTTCTTAAGTTCTTCGAGGGCTTGTACGCTGTGATGTCCCAGACCGGAAACTACCTTTGATGTGCGGTAGTGTTACACAGTCATCTCAGAAAACCATCTGTTCGAGCTTATAGAGCCGGAACCGGACTTCATTCATTCTCTGGGGGCGGTCAGAGCATCATTCTGCCAGCCATGGGGCGTGAAGACCTGTATGCGGGGTGCCCCACCGGCTCCGGGAACACCATCCGCCGCACTTTTGGGGGCCGTCTGGCACAGGACTTTAGCCCTCCCCAAGTTCGAGTATCTTCTGGAGATTACTATATCCTAGCGATTGGCCATCGAGGAGAGACTATGGAGGATGCGTGGTCTCATTGGGGCGTACTATGGTACCGAGAAGGGTCAAGGAGGTGGTGGAAAAAGACAAGGCTGAGAATTTCCATCCCGGCTATATCATATCGACGCAAGGCTGAACGGCCGTCCAACTCCGTGATGTCAACAATGACGTACAGAGGTTGAGCTCTAAGGTTGGTACATCTTGATATCTCGACTTTGATACCAGTATTTCTATTTTTCTTTTTATCACACTCGAACTACACAGTGTCACCGAGGTCCCCTGCAAGCTCTAGCTCGTCACACTTCAAGATGACTGCCGCAATCACGAGGACCCTACGCCTTCGCCCTGCCACAGGCCTATCACGGCCATGCTGTCGTCCAACTACATTCAATCGAGGTACGTATTGACTCAATTGCAGCCAGTGCTCAAGACAAGACTGCTTGGTCAAAAGTACTAGCAATCTGCTCACTCTTATCCACTACGTATTCAGCCCCACTTTTCGCTCGGACCGTCACCACAACCAAAGGCGACGCACCGAACGCAAGCAACGTCAACAAGGAGGGGCCGCAGTCCGACTCTCCGCAAGAACAAGGTGTCAAGAGCTCTCGAGCCACAGGCGGCGAGGTGCAGGACACAGCTAGTGTGGCAGAACCCACCGGCCAAGTTGGTAGTGGAAACGGGCAAGACGAAGAAGGAGGTGCCCCAGGGACCAAGGACCCGAATAAGTCTGCAGACCAGAAGAGTGCCGAGGTGCAAAAGGAAGGCATGAAGCCATTGGATCCTGCTGATAAATAGGTTGTCGGAACAGACATGGAAGGGAACCGTGATATATATTGATTCCATCTCAGAGTATATATCCAGTAGGACGTCCAAGCCAGGCCTACTACATATATACATCGCTCCCATCTCAAAGGGGGTTATTGCTCACAATCCAACCTAAAGCAAACACGCAGCAACCTGATTAAAATAAAACAAATGGTCGTCGATAGTGCCACCCAATTGGCCCTGGTTTCCCTGCAGATCGACCACTCCGCTACTGACTTGGATGTCATTCGCCGTCACTGTGGCACCTGTGGGCGATGTGATCCAATATTCGGGCGAAACATGCCCATAACCCAAGAGATACCCTGGGAGTTTGGGGACAAGGTCATTGGCATGTGTGACGCGGAAATTGCCACCTGCTTGGGCGGTGACGAACGTCGCGAACGCAACGTTGCCCACCATTGGTGAGCCATATGTATACTATACACGATGTGAGACTCAGTTGCGTGTTTAAAAGTGTGGTCTTCGGAGGCAAATACCAGAGATATACCATAACCAGCATTGCGTAGGTCAGCGGCAGCCAACGTCGCTATTGCAGCCCCTAGGCTGTGTCCTGTTGCAATTATAGTGTAGGAGGGATAACTTGAGCGAGCGGTGTCGATAGTACTTTGCACAAGAGGCTTAACGTCGGTCCACGAGTCAAGGAACCCGGAGTGGACAGTACAGCCTGAACAAATAGACGAAGAGACCAGAAAGAGATTCGCGTCCGCGAGGAAGCTTTCCACAGATCTGCTCCCCCGGAACGACACCACAATCTGCTGGTTGGTGTGGTCGAGCGCCACAAAGCCCGTCGCATCGGTCACACCGACACTAACCGATGTTAGTTTCTATGGGTTCGGCAGAGGGAAAAAGGGGATGAGCCGTACTTTTGGAACTCGGCAATCGACTGAGCACCTTCCGCCTGTACGAGCGGACAGTTTCCCGCAGTGCAAATGATGGTCGTGCTGGAGCCAGGTATGTTGTTGATAGGACAGTAAGCTGCCGCCGAGTATTGTTCGTAAAGTGAGAACGTGTTGAGCAAGTCTTGCGACACCGCTGGACGATGTTAGTAGTCCCGGTCGTCCAATGAACAGGGAACATCAAGTACCTCTCCTGCTGATTGCTGTTGGAGCAGCATCGATCAAAGGAATGAATAGTAAAACACAATAGAGAAGGCTGGAAGCAGAATACATCTTGAAGGAGCGGACGTCTCGGAGGGAACAGCAAATGAACAAAAACGGAAACAGTTCAATGATGATGGCCGCTCATTCTACGACCATATCGTCCATGGGCCATTGGGAGCAGCGTTCATATATGCGGGCGGCTGGTGGTTCATATGAAGTCCCCTCCCTTCTCCCTACCTTTAAGGTTCACAGCTCCACCCACTCTGAAGGACGAGTGTTGACGCTCTCTGCTAAGTTCAGCCATTGTCAGCCATCTTCCCCGCAAACCAACTAGCCGTATCTAAGCAAATGCACTAGGATGTAGCGAGCCAGGCTGTGCGGAGGAAGAACGCTTTGCGATTTGAGAGCAAAGCATCAAGTGCAATCTCAGAAGACAACAACAGCTCAAGACTAAGGGACATCCAGGAGAACCGATATTGGATATTCGGCGGCCACCACCACAAACAGTAAATGAGCCGTGGCTATGCCCTGTGATGAAAACTCGTGCCTCGGCCAACGAGGGTGATGTTGCGTCGATGGACGTGCATATGATCAAGATGCGAACTGTCAGGTATTGTTGAAGGAGAAGGGGGAATAGAACGCGTTGAGCGGCTTGTCGAGGCGCCGGAGGAAATGAGGTGGATAGTCTGGAGACCAATCAGATCATTCGACGACGTTGGTTCAAGAAATAGCAGCTATACCCTAAACAGTTTAGACCACGGGCCAGTCTTGGCGCGCCTCGCTTGTTTCAAGTACAGCTGAGAGTTTTGTACAAGGAAGATCACACGCTCTCGCTCATGTATCTGTCTCGTGGACGTCTCACATGTCTTCTGAGAAAAGGTCACCAAGAGGTGAACGTATTGATAGATGTCACTCTCTCAATGTCTTATAGTGGCGCAATTTTCGCTCAAAGAACGCCTCCTTTCACGCTGATAGAAGACTATTAATGCGACCTCCAGCCCTGACAGTTGCGGACAATGACAACCCCTGTCCATGCAGCTTGAGTCTGCTCGGAGGTCAAGCCTATTTGGGTATCTTCCTCTCCAGGATATGAGGGTGCTGCTTGCGTGAGATTGAGTTGACATCTCTCCTGTCCAGCAACGACGCATACCACTGCTCTAAGCTAGTCATTCGCCTCGAGTGATCAATGCCTCCGCAAGAAAGTCTGCTGCTGCTGCGGACAGGGTCGATCACATTGACAAAGATACAAGATACACGTGTATACAATACCAGCAAACTCAGCACACCTCGTGCACGGCCAGCTACGCTCCTTCGACCCGCAGCGCGACCGGGATCTTAGTTTCCTAGACTTGTAGATGACCATCCTGACACATCGGCCAGAATGTTCTGTTTGTGTCGCTGTGGTTGAGCTGAGGCTCACGGTTTTCCAGGGATATCCTCAGCTCCTTCGTCTCCCGAAACTGCAGCAAAGGCTCTGCCTGAAGACCTAGGTTCTGGGACATGACGAGCAGTATTAAAACCCAGAGATTCCGTTTTCCTTGTTCACAGTCCTGGTGTGAGGGCTCTTGCCCAGCGATATACTCGTCCCCACTAACAGAGCGGTCGTCAGGCAGCGCGATGCGTTCCGGCTACATGCTCTGTCAAGCTGTCATGCCCATGCTGTCGAGTGATGGTTCTGGTATCCTGTGTCTGACTGGAATCGTGTTCATCTGGCCGCAATCCTGCAGCAAGGTCTTGCTTGCTTCTCAACCAGCTCCGACGAGTCTGACCGTAGGTAGGCTCAGATGCGACGGGAAGCGTGTGATGCGGCGACATGGAGGCTTGGGTTGCATTACTTGAGTCTGGCTCGCCGGCGGCATCCCTGCTTTGATCTGACTGACTTAGAGCAGTATTACTGTTCGGACATCCTGATTGCACTTCGTCTCCCATTTTGGGCACGGCATCTTCACCATCGCCTCTCTCGTAAGGCGGCGGCATCTCTCGCGGTACTTGCTGACTTGGGCGTCTGTATCCTCGGCTGTGTCCGTGCGCGACACCTCCTCATTTGGATTCATAGGGAGACTCCTCACAAACTCGACTTCTGGCTGGAGAGAGTAGGCGGTGACTGGAGCCGCGCGGAGGCCGCCTGCTTCTGTTATCCCCTATACCTTCGCCCAAATTCTTGGTTGGGTAGATGAGCACTGCATCGTAAGTCGATAGAGATCTGGTCTGACGGTGCCGACGGCCATGTCGATACTCATGATGATCATAGGATAGATGATCATGGGGACGTCCAGACAATTCGTTACCTCCGCCACGCAATCGGGTTGCGGCCGAGGTGGGAGCAGTACTCGAGACTTTAACGGAAGAGGAGGGAATCTCGTTCGCTGTAAAAGCTTTACGCTTTGATAACAGGGCTCGGACTTTGGCGAACCTCTTCTTCTTCTGCTTGTCTCCATCATGTCTCGTAGGCAACTCTTCCACTGGAGTCAGCACCTTAGTTGCATTCCCTACCATATTAATGTCTGAAGTGTCCTGTTTGCGCAACAATTCTGTCCCAGACGAGTGACTCTGCGGTGGTGGCTCAAGTTTGTCATGTACCATCTTACCATTGTCCTCCAAGATTCCATTTGGGGCCTTGTCGTCGACATCTTGTTCACTGAGCTTTGGAATCGCTGCGGCTGTCGCCACTGCGTCATTCCTTCCTTGTCGGTGACCCTGGGCGTAGGCCTCTTTGACTTGTCGCCTCCACTCTTTGGAGTATATAGAGCATCGTTGAGTTTTGTTCGGTTCGCCGAGGTCACATCCGTGGAAATCAACTTTTTTTCGATTCGAAACCCTCAGTGCGAGTCCCCTAGGTCTATCCACGGCTGGATCGCTCGTCTCCAAATTGAGGTTGAGGTGTGATTCTGCGAAGTCAAAATCGAAATCAAGACCTGTCAATGATGAGCTCGAGTGATGCTTCGCTACCTCCCTATTTGTGCACAGGGCCTGCCGAGATGGTTGACTGGGATGGGCTTCCGGATTCATACTGTCACCGAAACATGTAGTTTGGTGCAGTGCGACTCGAGCACCTTGGTAGATTTTGTCGAGAAGGATGACAAGGAGAATATCGATCGTCCAAAGAATAAGATACAACGGACCAACTATAGTAAAGAGCAGGATGAAACAAATCTGGAAGGGAAGATCAAAAAGAAGAATGGAAGAAGTGTCGTGCGTAAGAGCTGATCTCGGATTGGGTGAGCTAGTCGTCTTCTCTGTTGAGGACGTGCTGTAGGCCTTTGGTTTCATTCTTGATATCTGCTCTGGATGGAGGCGCGTACAAAGAGACAGAAAGTCCTCAGAAACAAAGTCCTCGGCAACTTCAGTGATGCAATTCGTTCACCATCCGTTGAAGTGCAGCGTCCGACAGGTCCGGAGTCACTGTGGACGGACATAGCTTCATACGCCACAGCAGGCCGACTGACAATCAGAACCGTTTGGAGTGGTGACTATACACTGATTGTCTTGAAGACATTGAGGCCACTGCCACCAGTGACCATCACTGTCCCCGGCATCTGCGGGTGCCAGTGCAGTTCCTTCCCATCTTCGACATGGTGAATAAACAACAACTGAGGAGGTACTCTTTCAGCCCCTTCACCCAGTCCCAGGCCTGCTTCCTTGCCATATTCTTCATCATCCAGCTCAACAGCAAGATCCCACAGAGTCAAAGTGTTGTCTGCACAAGCGACAGCCACCACACTGTCATCTGTAGGATGCCATTCGATCGAAGTGATTGGCTTCTTGTGGAAGTTGAAGTCGGCAACAGGACTCGGCTTAACCTGCAATCCCGGTGCCGCTCCCTGTTGAGGCTTCCATTGTCGCAAATCCCATACTGCCCATTGGCCATCATCTGCACCAGTAGCCAGCAGATGGAACGTCTGCCGGGACCAAGACATCACGTTGACATCTGTATTGCTGATCTTCACATCCACCGCTGGTTTGCGACTCTTACTTCGGACATCCCATACTTTCACTGTACCGTCGGAGCTTGCAGAGGAGAAAACGAACTTCTCGTTCGGTGACCATTGCAATTCTTCGACAGCGTCCGTATGCCCGACGAAGGGTCTAGTGTCTGTCACCCAGCCACCTCCCTCGGTCCGCTGCGTGCTGAAGATCTGTCCGGCATTGTCACCGGACAGAAGTCTGCCGTTTGGATGCAGAGAAGCAGGGGCCCAATCCAATGCGTAGCCTTCCGTCTTGTGCATCCGCAACGTGCTGAGTGGTTTCGACGCATTGGGTGGCATCACGTAGCCAGGTGTTGAAAGAGCGTGGAGGTAAGGAGAGACGTCATGGATGAGCACCTGGCCATTCTCGAGTGTTGTGGCCGTCAGTGTCTGGGGGATTTGCGTCGGATCGGACGAGCCAGATGTTGGTTGAAAGGCTCGTATCCTGTTGGTTGTGCTAGGGAGCGGTATTGATCTTGATTCAAGAACCGGATCCGAGGAGCCCTCATCATTGTCGTCGTCGCTGTCGCTTTCGGAATCTGTCTCGTTTCCACGCTCCATCTTTGACAGACTGCTCAGCCGCAAAATGTACAGCTCATTCTCTTTGGCTCTTGCGGACTCGGCCTGCGTACCAGCGACCGCATACAGTGTTCGAGGATATCGTTTCCGTTGGTCGCCCAAATTGTCGCGTACCACATCGAAGGACAAACAAGGCCATGTCGTCGACATGACATGAAGCATTTCGTATGTGGACGGATCGGGAGTCAAAGACATTCCCGGCTGCAGTATCGACCGTCCTGGAATAAATGTCTGTTCCTTCGTATCCACGTCCATGGCATCTTGTGACTGCTCAGCTTCTCTTTCCACATCAGGTCTGCCATCTACCCCAGCCTCCATAATCTCGTCTTCGGACTCGTATTCATCTTCGAATTCATCCTCAAACTCGAGTGTGGCTTCTCCATTCGCACCGACGTCCGGCCGCTGTCCTGCTTTCAAGGACTCAGGGTCTTGTTGATCTTCGGCTGATCTCTTCGACATTGTGATATCCAACAGTTTGTATGCGGGTGTCAGATAGGATGTCAGCGCTGAAACTGGGTGGTTAGGTATGGAAGGGTTTGAGTATTGGTTCATCTCCGCACTTTGGTCAAAATATTTTTTCCGATAAGAATTGCTTATGTAACTATCGCAGATCTCGATTCAGTCACGTGACCGTGATCGCCCTCAATGGTGGAAGGAGTCTCACTGCTTCAGCCTCGCTGTTTACTGTGATTTATTACTTGTGTCCATGGCTTGCCTGGCGCATGATCAGACCAAACCCAGCGGTGGGCATATGCAAGCCCTAGATAGCCAGTCCCCTGCCTTCGCGTCATCCTGCCGGTACCATCGAGACTTTGTGTTTTCGAGTCGTCTTCAACCTGTATGGGCAATCGATACAGTCGAAGATAGCCGGTCCATTGCCAGAGGACAACAACACTCGCTAGTTGAATAGCTGGGAAGGTAACAGCAAGAAATAGTCTGACGTGTTTGGTCTATTTGATTTGTTTGGCCTGTTTGGCATCTTCCTTTTACAACCGCGCTCTTCCCCAGACTTTCTCCAACTCCGCGATTGAGCCTCGGTTATTTGCTGAATGTGTACACTGCGATTGACGCAGTCCCTTTGAGATAGCCACCGCATCTCTTCGGCTGACTGCATGATAATTTAAAGACGTTCACTCGATTGCTGCTCATTCATTTCGTTGCCGAGCCTACAGGTCTCCGTGAATAGTACAAATCTTCTTGAAGGACGAATTTCAAACTTGAAGCGGCCCATTCGATTGCGGTCTGCAACCGTGGAAGTCCACATAACAAGCTCGAAGCCCACGAAGTCTGCCTCCCTCAATCTAGTGGCCGCGAAGAAAGCCCTCTTCCCTCATCGCGTGGAGTACTCCTTGAAAGGCGTCAATTGACCCTCGCAAAAACAATGACTGCGGCACCTAAACGACGGCTGGCCGCGCTGTCGAAGCAACTGACAGAGGGCATTCCTTCTGAAGGCACGTTCGAGGATATCCCGCGCATCAGACATGTTGCAGATTCCTCAACGGGACCTAGGGTAAAGGGGAAAGTCGTGATTGTCACCGGTACGTTTACATTACGGAAAAGACTTTGGGAAGGGGAACACTTGGAAGACAGTTATTGTAACATTATACTGATACTACTGCTATGATAGGCTGCAATTCACCTCTCGGTATTGGCCGCGCTGCTGCACATCAATACGCCCAGAATGGCGCAAAGGCTGTCTTTATCTGTGACTGGGCAGACCAATATCTCGAGACGCACAAGCGAGAAATAGTGTCGCTATACCCGGACAGCAAAGTACATTGCGTGAAACTAGATGTTGGGGACGAAGAACAGGTAAAAGCGGTGGTAGACGAGGCAATCGCAAAATACGGCCGACTGGATATCATGTTTGCCAATGCTGGTGTGGTGGGTGTGCCCAACACGTTCGAGCATATCACAGCCGAGAAGTTCATGGCTACGATGCGCGTGAACACTCTGGGCGTATTCCTGTGCGCCAAATACGCGGCCCTTGCGATGCAAAAGACCAGTGAGGACAAGCAATATTCTGGGGGCAGCATTATCGGGACGGCATCTGTCGCTGGGTTACGGTCGAACGCCGGTGGCACCGACTATTCGGCAAGTAAGGCTGCCGTGGTTTCCCTGGCGCAGACCATGGCTTATCAACTAGCCGGCACCGGCATCAGGGTCAATGCTCTTTGCCCTGGTGTCATAGAGACGGGGATGACCAAGCCAATGTATGATCAGGCTCGCAGTCGGGGGACGGAGAGGAAGATCGGACAGCTGAACCCTCTTCAGAGGGGCGCCGTCGCTGACGAAGTTGCCAGGGTCGCCCTCTTTTTGGGAAGCGATGAGGCTAGTTATGTCAATGGTCAAGCCTGGGCTGTTTGTGGGGGTCTCAGTGCCGGTCATCCATTCGTGCCTGGAAAACTAGCATGAGGATAACGAACTGTCTCAATACTCATCCTGCAAGGTCTTTTTGGAGCACTTCCAAGACCCTTTTCTCATCAATGTCCGCCAGGGACGTCTGCTCTCCAGTCTCGCCTTTGCTGTCTGAAGCGTATGTGGGTAGATCCAGGCCCACCTCGGATCCGTAGAGCTGCTCGTACTTTTGATCAGTAATGTATGGCTCGGGTAAGTCTTCTGGCGCCTCCTCCCTAACGTAGAAGGTTGGAAACTCGAGCAGGGGTTTGCCGCGAAGGACTTCCTTGATCGTTGACGAGGGAGAGATGGGTATCAGACATTTGTGTTTGGAGATGGTGTTGGACTTCAGTAGGTAGAAGTGCAGGTTCTGTAGTAGTTGTGAGGCTTCCGACCCCTGTGGCACGGGTTCAGATGTAATAGAAGGATCGTCCAAGCCGGGCTGCTGCTGGGATTCCGTCTCTTCTTTGTGATCTGCTTCAGCAGTTTTGGCTCTCTTTTCTGGCCCGCTCAAGCTCTCGAGAGCCTCCGCCCGATCGGAGGAAGGCTGTATGTCGGGTTTTGTGGCAGGCGCGGTTGCGCTTTGGTCATCGCTTCGTCTGCGCTTCTTGCGAATGGAGTTTTTGCCAAATATGTTCACAAATGCTTCCCCTACTGTTCTCGACTCCGTCACGTTCTGAACTCTCCTCCTCCCATCAAAATACAGCCATTCGGTCGTCCACATGATACATTTATATTGGCCGGCCCAATGCGACTTGTTCTGTTTGTTTCGGTATAGTCCTTTTGGTGCGCGAACAAGATGGATGCCCCTCTCCTCAATCTCGGTCTCAAATTTCCTTTTTGACTCATGGCCACCTCGTGCAACACCGCTAGGTGTCAAATCTATGCCTTTATCCTGGGCTATGTCGTCGGCGTGTTGCAGGGATCTCTCCACGGAAGTGATGAAGTTGAAGTCCTGGTCGATCGAGGCCGGTGTAGCCAGATCTGCCCGTTTTCGGTAGGCCGCAGGATTGCGAACGCCCGAGCATTGAGCCCAAGTCTTGTGACGCTTGACGCAAGGAAGAGAGCATGTGTGGATTCCGCATCGTGGGCATGTGTATTTGATCGGATTCGTATGACTTAGAAGCTGGTGTCAGCCTCCATTCAAGCCCGCAAGCCTCCAGCCAGGACTTACCAGATAGCACATAGGTCGGTTAACAGGATGTCACCCTCTTTCTTCTGCATCGCGGTCCAAGTTCTGCCTGATGGTGTCGCGTCGTATGTTTCTGGTCAACGCAGTCCAAATCTGGCATGGACTTTGCAATCGACATGCATACAAGTTTCAGCCACAGCGCAAGTTTTTCTTATCGTTATCGACCCCCGGCAGCAGGCGGGACTTCTGGTGGCATGGAGAAGCTTTTAGTTCAAGATGGCGCGGAGGGGGCAGAGGGGCGAGGATGGCAGTGGGCATTCCTAGCCTGCGCAGGGTTCGCATCCTGCGCCCTCCCTCGAGCTTGAACTGCGCCTGAAGCCGCCGAGGCGCTCGCCGGCATCGACAGCTTGTACGTAGCAGCTTTGAACTACTACTAAAAAAGGATAGAGACATTCAGCTCACCATCATTATCTGCACTGCATGTACTTCTCCTGCGTCTTGCATCTTGCATGAACAACTCTTCCCACACTGTCGGCAAACACGTTGACGCGTTCATGCTCTTCGATAGGGTTTGGCCACTGCGGTTTGACTCTCCACCTAAGTTCAATATTCCCAAGCCATTATTCTCGCGCTGTTGCTGCAGAAGGAGATCTACCAGGGTGGATATTGAGAAAATAGCTGCTAAGATAATACTCAGATCTTCCTGGCGATCGGGAACTCTTCCTCGGACATACGGACAGAACCTTGACTTTTCGAAGGCGGTACAAAGAAAGCGATCATCAGAGCAGGCATCGCAATGAATGTTTCGTCCAGAACGAAGCTACCTAGCGAGGAAATACGAACGAGCCGATTGAGATCTGGATGGCAATGGTGTAAGAATGCCAATCGCATCCAGTCTCTCGACTCCCACTGCAAAAGAAAAACTCCCAGCATGTGCATATTTACATACAGAATTGTGCGTAGTATTGCTCCAAGCGAGTCTCACGGGATGGGATCCTGGCCTCCAGCTCATGCTATAGTCATTATGGGAATTATGGATGGAGCCAAGTAAGATGGTGGCATCATGAATCTTCACCTGGCGTCCGACCGCAAGCCTCAAAATCCGGTCAAGAGCGTTCAATACCGTAGTCAGTTGCTCATTTCCGAAAGACGACGATTCAAGCTGAAACGATGATTCAGCAAGTCGCGGTCGGCCATGTGTAGATGCTTTGAGGAAGGCAACGGTACGGCGAGAGGAGCTTCTGCGCCAGATTTCGCGACAAAGAAGTCTCGGAGAAAGCACCTGTCAAAAGATCTAAGATGTCATGACTGAGAGAACCTTCCGTGTCCTCCTTTGCAGTTGGTGCGCGTTGCTCTGGCAAGTTCGCATTGACTCTGATGAGAACACATGGGGGTCCCTGACTGCAACAGTGCTTTGTGATCGTATGCCGTCTTGGGTAGCCTTCTCAGAGTCAACTGCCAGGGTGTTGCGAACAAACTCTCGAAGAGTTCTGAATTCGTCCACGTCAAGCTGTCAACTGTCTGTAAGCCGGCAGTGCTTTTCCCAGCAGAGGAGAGGACGCACAGAAACGGCAAGACGGGCTGGCCAAAAATGAAGGAGATAGGAAAACGACCCCTGAACCAACATGTTAGCATGCGCCCGACCTGCAGGCTTTAGGCGAGCCCGACCACCATATCTTAACGATTGGTAAAGAGTGTCGACGCGGGAAAAGCCTGTGATCTAGTGATGGCCAGTGGCCGTTTCTTGGGTTTCGGTGGTGGTGCAAGTGCGAAAGCCCCCGGCTCCCCGAGCTGTCAAACAAAGAATCAAGTGGAGCAGAATGTTGCTGGTGGCCACCACATTTGAGGCCGGACAAGGGGCAGACGAGTCAACGAGGGCCACACCTGAGTTCAGCTTGTCGGCGGGTGCCACAGGTGCCAGCAAGATGCTAGAGGTGCCTGTCTAGGCTGCGCGCCGCGTTGAAGGGCTCCCTAGGCCGGCTAGACTCGACGTGGCTGCTCAAGAGCTCCGTAGCTTTGCATTTGAGTTGTGTAACATGTTTCTTTGAGGGTGCCTGGACCTGACGGTGCTTTACAGGATCTACTCACACGTAGTTATACCTACGAGGTGTGGGAGGTGAGATCTCCAGTGTCACCTCCAGGCTGCCTGCGGTCCCCTCGAACTCTGCAAGATGAAGATCAGCCCATTTGCAAACTTGAATGTTGCTCTCATCGTCAACAACATCTTCACAAGCTAATGTACCCCGTCGATCCACCTGCTTGTTGCTTTCATAAAGCTTCTCGCCTCATCGAGGAAGATGCAGCAGCTGTGATCCCTGATCCATGCAGCCGTCACCCCTCTAGCTCCCTCCACCACCGCCTCCGGCGCACTTGGCCTGACACGACCGGCGTGGATGTGCTACGCATCCATCCTCTCGCTTGCAGTATCAGCGGCCTCCTGAATCTTGGTCCTTTCTGGTGCCTCAGATTAATCTCCTCAGTTCCTCCGCCAGCTGTTCTAGTGTTATTCTACCTCCGTCCTCTCGGGCGTCTTTCGTTTTGACCTCCCTCCTCACTCGTTTGTCTCTCAGTCCGCAGGCGTATGCCAGGTGTTGGGGCATCTCTGCACAAGAGCAAAAGGAATTCTTGACACGCGGGTGTCGCGATCGCGGACGACGTAGGCTCACGCACAGGCCTCTGGAGCCATTACAGACTGGCTGACATATTTGACCACGGCTCCCTCCGCCCGTCGAGGCCGTTTTGCCGTCTTACTACTGTCATTTTATGAACCATGGGTCCTTCTCTGAGAGGCCACACTTCAATGGCCTCGATGGCTCGTCCTCAAACCCGAGACACCAACCGTCCGACGACGAGAGAACAAGTCGTCGACAACACGATTATTCCCAGCCGGACCTCGTCTCTACACTCACGAATCACTCAGCCTCTCCCCTCCAGTTTGGCTAAGACGAATAACAGACCGACGCCGAAAACTCTGACCCATGCTTATATGGTATGTGGTGTGGGAAGGGAACCATCACAATGGGTCAAAGCACCACCACCATCCCATGGAAAGATCCAGCATATGAAAGGAGCGGTTGGCCAATTCTGGCTCCCAGAGATCTTGGGTAGCAGCCCCAGGTTAGAAAGTGACAATGAAATTGCAAGAGCCTTGCACAGTGCTATGAGGGTATGTGGACTTGCCTGGATGTTCTCTGTTCCTCACACTGACTCTTTCACAGGCTTGCTTTCCCCATGATGTCGAAATTTGTACAGGACGAAGCCAGCCACATTGTGTCCATCATGCATTCGTCCTTCAGCAAGACTCTCAACATACTTTGTACGGGATTGCCCTTCGAGTCTGGTCTCGAGCAGATGAGAAGCGTGCCGAGACCATTCGTGATCTCCGTCGCAAGACCGAACCTGACTACAGAGATATTGCCGACGAGACGTACTGGATCCCTTACTGCTTGAGCTTCCTTTCGAGGTACCCTCTGTATAATCTTCTCGGCGACTATCTACGTGGAATGTGGATCCACTGGAACAAGGCCACCAACCTGTTCCATGCTGAGGAAGTCTCTCGAATTCTAAGCTTCCCTGCGCCGAGACTCAACGATCTCGTCCGCATCGACATGAAGGACTATGCCCTGTGCTATCAGTTCCCCTCCTCCCCAACCGGCTTTCAGAATTTCGCCATGTGGCCATTGTTCACCTGCTTGAGCATTCCCAATATTGTCGGCCTTATTGAGGCGGCAGTTTCGCCCACACGACGGATAATCCTTACCAGCCATCACCCTGCAATGCTTACAATCGCCGCCGAGACCATCAGGTTTTGTGTACGCGTCTACGAATGGAGCGGTCTTTATGTGCCCGTGGTCCACGCCCGAAATGCCAATGAGATGGTCCAGGAGCCCGGACCATACATTTTGGGCATTACCACGGAGTGCCGATCCTTATTTCAGCCACCAAAGGATGCATTGTTGGTTGATCTGGATCGCAATCTTGTCATCACCGACCACCCTCCGAATATTTTGACGCCCAGCCAACGCACTAAGATGATCAATCGTCTTTCTCAAGCATTGAACAACGACGTTGAGATATCTGGCGTGCCACAACATCTCAAATCTGCCTATGGTGGTGGCAAGCTCATTCCTGCCGGCCAGATCATTGTGCTGCGTGGAGAGGTCGAGAGTGTTCAAGATCCTTCGTGGTGGAACCAAGATTCTGTGATGGCAGTCATGGACCATGTCTGCGAGAAGCTTGGACGCAACACCGGCGTCAAGGCGTGGTTCGGAGGGTCGATGAAGAAACCGTTGATGACGAAGATTTCTATGAGACACATGAACGAAATCGTCCGCGAACGCAATCAGTACTCCCGTGATGCCTTGGAGGCCTGGCAAGACTTCATCAACCTCAAGGGCCGCATGGACACGGAGCTTGCCAAGGTTGCGAAGCGCAACAACTACCTCGAACAAGAGGTTGAGACTTGGAAGCTGCAGTTCCAGAAGTTCCAGGCCTTTGTTGAATCGCTCAACAAAGAACTGGCCGAACTTCGTGTGAAGATTGAGTCTCACAAACGAGAGAATCGCCGCCTCACCGGCCTCATTGATCAACAAAAGGATGACACTGCTCGTCTTGCCCTTCGCCTTGCTGGTACTGAAAGACAGCGGGACAATGCTCTCGAAGCTCTTGTTCTGCAGCAAGGCATTGCCGAAGACCTTGAGAAGGAACGCACTCGTAACCGCAAGGAGATTGCTGCCCTAGGTCATACCAACCAGACCCTACAGAGACAGCGTGATGAGGCTCAACGTGTGGTCCTCCACCTGCGTTCGCTCATTACCGGGCAAACCCATCATATGGAACACATTGTGCGCTCGATCGGTTCCGCTTCGGAGCTTGCTGAATATATCCAAGAAGGCTACGAAGAAGACGACACTGAGGACGGTGAGCATGAAGAGATCGCCGAAGATGGTGATGACTTCCGTAATGTGACCAGCGGAGCCGGCAAGCGTGCTTCGAGAGCTGGGTCGATTGACGGCCAGGACGTCACCCCTTCAATGGAGAGCAAACTGCTTGCCTCCAGTAAACGAGCCAGCAAACGCTACTCTCAACTCAGCATGTCTGATGTTGCCGACCGACATCTCCGTGACAAGACGGATGCGATTGCCGACATTATCCGTAATATCAGCGAGCAGTGTGCCGCTGCCGTGGAAGGCCTCCAACTCGCCAACGAAGCGGCCGAAGTCGATGATGAGGACCAGGTCGAGGTTGACGAGGCCGGCGGCGTCTCCCCTTCGACAAACCATACCCGCGAAGATAGTGGGAATGTGTCCCTTCTTGATCATCTCACCACCGATTCTCGCACTGGGACAGGCCACTTGACACCACAAAGTGAACGGAGTTCCATTCCACCCACTCCAGATCTGGTCCATCAACGATCGAGCACTGCGTTGAGCATGGCCAGTACGGCGCCCACGAACTACACTGCTCGCGAGTCGTTGAACCAGAACACCCGGGCTGATCGAACCAAGATTGTCGAGGTTGAGGACGAGGAAGCTGAGCAGGCTCATGCTTCGGCGGGAATCAGCGGAAATACCGGTGCCAAGGGCGAGCCTGTTGATGAAATCATCAAGCAACCAGCTGTTCGCAGTTCGGTACTTGGTCGTGTCGCAGAAGCTTAGAGAACTTGAGGCAACCTTACCTATGATAATGTCCCAGGAAAGCCTGTTCTAGCATTGACATTTTGACTTGCATGGAGCTTTGGCGTGTTGTGTTGTGCTGTGCTGTGCTGTGCTGTGCTGTGCTGTGCTGTGCTGTGCTGTGCTGTGCTGTGCTGTGTTGTGCTGTGTTGTGCTGTGTTGTGTTGCGTGATGGTTGGATATTGTGACTGGATGGTGACATGTTGGTTGATCTCTTTGGTGTCGCGACATGAAAGCTATGGCTTCTTCTATTGGAAGCTTTGGTTGGTTACTATTTCTGGGTTGCTTTTTATGCCTGGAATAGGTCGGCTTTGTACGACGATGCTGCATCGCAATTCAAGCTTTCAACACCGTATACTGCTTTGCCTCGATTTATTGAAGGTTGGGGGTGCAGGACATCCCAACTATGTAAAATGCCACAGTTCAGTAAGACCGTAGCAAAGAATTTCTACTACCAGCGGCCTTTCGCTTGTCAATATCGAAAAGCGCTGCATGAAAACGTGTTATTTATATTTTACGAGTGGAGGTGACCCGAGGCTGTATCGAGTTGATAATCTCCAACATTCGCAAACATTTTCGGCCACGTATCATTGTTGAAGGTGCTAGTAGTAGATTGTCAAAAACGACCAACTACCCTTGTATCAATCGTCGAAAGCCTGGGAACTACATCTGTCTCTGAACGGCGAGCTCTGAACATGTCCCGCAAGGAGGATATCCCGTCGGCGGCACTGCCACCTGCATCGCCCACGCTCCCCCATTCCCATGAACACATCACCTTGATTGGCCTGGGAGCGATAGGCATCTCCTTTCTCGCCCTCCACCTGGCCTACAGCGCTGCGACCATCTCGGTATACGATCCACGGCCGGACTTGAGAGAACACATCGAGGCAGTATTGCCCCTGTATCTGTCCCCCTCGGTCGACGACATCCCCAGCTTGATCACCTCTCGACGGCTGATACTATGTGACAGCTTAGAATCGGCGTGTCGGACAGCGACGATTGTGCAGGAGCAGGGTCCAGAGAGTGTAGGGTTCAAGCAGAGGACGTGGGCGGAGGTCATTAGCTATGTGTCGCCCGCCTGTCACTTGTGGTCGTCGACATCGGGGATCCCGGCCAGCAAGCAGCTTGAACATCTACCATTACAGCACGATGCCACCGCCGTTTCGGCGCGCCAGAGACTATTGGTAGTACACCCATTCAATCCGCCACATATCATGCCGCTCTTAGAACTGGTGCCGTCGCCGCAGACGACCCAGACGGAACTCGATTTTGCAAAATCCTACTTTGTAGCTCTTCAGTCGGGCCATAGACCAATCACGATACACAAAGAGAGCACAGGGTTCGTGGCCAACAGGCTGAGCTTCATTCTCTTCCGCGAGGCGTGTCATCTGGTCAATGAGGGTGTAGCGTCCGCCGAAGAGATTGACGAAGTGGTCCGCGCGAGTCTGGGTCCGCGATGGGCGGTGGCAGGCCCCTTCAAGATGTATGGCTTCGGCGGAGGCAATAAGGGCATGAAGGGGTTCTTGGACAATATTGGCGAGTCGATCGGTGACGTGTGGAGGGACGCAGGCACGATTACTATGGACGATGATACGTGGAAGGAGAAGGTCATCAAGCAGACTACGCAGGCGTATGGACTCCCGGGCGGAGAGGATATCAAGGCTAGAGACCGTGGATTGAAGGCTGTGATCAGGGTGCAGGAGGAGCAGGAGGAGCAAGAGATGGATGAGGCGAGAAAGGTGAAGGACTATTGACTACTGGCTGACTGTTCATCCTTACGGGTAAAACGAAGAGCAATTTGTCGTCTCGACACATACACCAATCGAACTGCCTGAACATTTAAACCGCGAGATGACAGACAGTTGGGTATCTAACATTTTCATCGATATCAACCTATCAACTCCCTTACCAGGTGGCTGCCCGCGTTCTGCCTTCTGTCCAATCGCAGAGCCTCAGGGTCCATTGCTCGTCGGAGACATCATCCGGCTTCCCATTCCAGCGAATGACAGCGCGGCGAATGGGCCTTTCGTCTCCATCGCAAATGTCGTCGACATCATAGCCGCATGATGTCATGATGAAGACATCCTCAATTGTCACAGGAAGGAGAAAGACGAAAGAGCAGGCATAAGAGATGAGAAAATACATCAAAGGCTTTTGCTCAGTTCTCAATTCTTCCTTTCTATCATCATTCTCTCTGGATCCTTGCTTGACACCTTCATCCGTCCTACACACCAGAGATCCAACAAAAGCTACTGTTCCTTTACTTGAAGTATTCAATTGACATCTCTACCATGGCTCTCTCGCAAGCTGCCTGGCAGGTCGAAAAGATCATCGGCCATGGAGGCACGGCCGCCACCGAACAGAACCTTTCCAATCCAGCCAACGATCCCTCCAAGTATGCCGACCCGTCGGGCGAGAAGATGAAGGCTCTTGTCTGGAACGGCAAGAATTCGGTCAAGGTCATCGAGACTTTCAAGCCGGCCAAGATCGAACCCACGGACGTCATTGTCAAGGTCACCGGTTCAACCGTCTGTGGTTCCGACCTGCATCTGCTCCATGGCGCCGTCGTCGAAATGCAGAAGGGCGACATTCTTGGTCACGAGTTCTGCGGTGTCGTCGAGAGTGTCGGTCCCAACATCAAGAAAGTCCAGCCCGGCGACCGTGTCGTGTGCAGTTTTCAGATCGCCTGTGGCACCTGCATGTACTGCAAACGCAAACTCAGCAGCCAATGCGAAAAGACGAATGACAACACCATCGAGAACATCATGTACGGCGGTCGCACTGCTGGCATGCTGGGCTATTCGCATTTCACCGGTGGCTTTGCTGGAGGTCAAGCCGAGTACGTGCGTGTAGCCTTCGGCGATGTCAACCTTCTCAAACTGCCAGACGATGTCCCTGATGAGAAGGGCCTGTATCTGTCCGATGTGCTGGCCACTTCGTGGAACGCCGTTGTCGACACGGGTGTCAAGGACGGTGATGTCGTGGCCATCTGGGGCGCGGGTCCCATCGGTCAAATGTGCGCGGACATGTCGTACATGAATGGTGCCAAACGGGTCATCCTGATCGACGGTGGCCCGGGAGCATGGAGACTCGACTATGTCAAATCAAAGCTGCCCAAGATCGAGACCATCAACTTCACCGACCTTCCCAAGGGCGAGAGCGTCACGTCAGTCTTGAAGAAGATGGAGCACGGTGGACCGGATGTCGCGATCGAGTGTGTCGCTGGAGAATACGCCAAAGGATGGGCGCACTATTTCGAGTTGATGCTCGGCATGGAGACGGATACGTCGGAAATCATCAACGAAATGATCACTTCGGTTAAGAATTACGGTCGATGCGGTGTCACCGGCGTCTACGTTGGATTTACGAACCACTTCAACATCGGATCCCTCATGGAGCGCGGTATCAGACTTATCGGCAACGGCCAGGCTCCCGTCCATCTGTACTGGGAAGACCTACTCAAGAAAATCCAGGACGGCAGCATCGAGCCTTTGCGTATGGTCAGCCATCGTGTCTTGCTTGAGGAGTTGGAGGAGGTGTACAAGCGCTACGATGCGCGTGAGAAGGGGATGCAAAAGGTCTTTGTCCAGACGAAGTTCAGTGGCCCGCCGTGTCCTGGTGCGCCGGAGTTGACCAAGTATGGCACTGCCTGAATAGGAGATTGTGGAAGAGACGTTTGAGATCCACTTGTGACGAATTGGCAGAAAACAATGTACTAGTATGCAGTGCGAAGAGATGTGATGGCACGGGCTGGCAGTGACCATTAGGATCTTTGCTCGGAAACCCGCTTGGAGTGATGTGATGGTAGACATTCTGAAACACACCAATTTTCCACAATGCGTTCCTCCTTCTGTCTTCCGTCGATCTTTCGCCCCAGTTTGTCACCATGGAAAATGAGCCGTTTTGATGTTGCAGGAGATGGAATCTAGGTAAATTGTTGCACGAGAGAAATTCGGACTAACTCATCACAGAACGGGACATGCTTCGTTAAGCGATTCAATCACTTACAGAGTCATAAACCATATGGTCAAGTCACGGCGTGTGGAGGCAGGAGAAACAATCATGACAATCCATGCTTAACCACAATCACTGCACATCTCCATTCAGGCAGCAGGGGAATATGGAAGATGAAACATGCATGATGCCTCCACCTTTGGAATTTTTGAGGCACCGAACATGGAATATCAGTCTGGTGATTGAACGTGGTCTCCTCCCCCTTCACAGCGGAGCCCGGGCACTCACTGGAATATCTCCCACCGGTCATGCATCACATATGTGACCCTGCCCTCCATGTGAAGACGGGAGGCGACAACAATTCTTCACAACTTTCCGAGCTTCGCATTGCCCCATCCGGATTTCCAAAGGCTTGGAGTCTGGCCACATGGCCTACGACCTACGACTTTTCATGACTGGACAGTCGTGAATCATAATTTCTTGACTGCTCCAGTTTGGATCTTGAGTCTTGCCTCTACGGCTTAACTCCCCAACTTGTTACTTGACCTCGAAGACAGGTTAATCACTGAATGAACGCCAGCCCCAGCAGCCTGAAACCAAAACGTGGCCTCGAATTTCGAAACAACGCAGCTTGTCAAACGGCCGACCTGCATGATTTTGACTCAGCACCACTGGTGTCGAGATGTTGAAGGTCATTCATTGACTAGTAAGGGGTAAGTGGTGACTCCTGACCGGCAAGTGGCAGCAAGCAAGTGGCAGTGATACAGAATACTGGAGTGACTGCCCGGATCTGCTCTGTTCAGGGTATATATACCCCCTTCTATCCCCTCGAGAATCCAGAAAAGTTTTGTTCCTCATGTGTGTGTCTCTCCGTTTCTGAGTCTCTGTCTGTGTCTCTGTGTCTGTATCCCAGTGTCTCTCAATATGGCTGGCGATGTGGATCTATCCTTATGTTCCCTTTTCCCTTTTATGTCTTGATCTCGTTCAGTTCGAGGTCCTGCAGGATTTTTTCGTGTCTCGAATATCCATGGAGTCATTCATTCATGAGGCATATTTGTTCAGCGTACGATTGATACGACCATCTCTCTCTCTCGTCGACACAGCTCGATCACATTATATATAAATGACGTGAGTACCTCAGTTCAGCCACCTCTAGATCGTTGTGTCGGCCATATCATCTAACCTGGGCAGATCACGGTGGCGGACGTGGCCGCGGACGTGCGATTTTTAAATCCAGTCTGGGAAGATGGACACGCCAATCGCCCCGTCGTTCCGGGACACGTGGAGAAGCTTGTGGTAGCTTTCACTACGAAGATTCGCAGAGTTTACCTCAGCGATTGTCTCACAATCACCATGTCCAGGCTGAACTGGACGCTGCATTGCAGTATACCGCTTCCATTCTTGAGCAAGATTTAGAATCTGTGAAAGTTTGGGCCAACAACCCCGGTGGTCACCGCAAATCCGCTGGCAAGGATGGTAAGCCCAGACATCTTCCGGAGCTGCTTCCTCTCATGCTCCCTCCCGATGTTCTCCAGGACGAGAAGCGTTGGTCCCGTCTGCAAGCTGGCCAGCATCGACGCTTGGTAATGTTGCAATGGGCCTAGCAGCGTGGTGCGCAGAAAGTGGCCGATTTGATGGCAAAGAACTAAGGGTTGGCGGAAGACCTAGCAGAGGCTCTGGAGGTAAACCGGATCTACACATCTCTTCTTCCAACCGTGGTTATACTCACTCATAATACTAGTTTTTCGGGTTTAGCGCCCGCGTCTTGGTCACCGAGACTCTTGATGCCGATACAGCTCTAAAGGCTTATTGTCGATACAACGCCACCGATGCCTACGAAGCGAATAATACAGGAGACACTTTCGCCTTCTTCGCGGTCATAGCGGGCAGCCGTCAGTGTAACAGATCGAATCGCCATTATCAACAGAAGCCCGCCATATGTGCAGGCTTTGCTTACTGGTTACAGAACCACACCGGGACACAGGGCACTCTGCCAGCACTTTCTCTATTTATACCGCGCTTCTGAGCGCCATGGCGGTAACAATTCAATGAGCAAGAAAAAACTGGACCTGGGCGACCGACTTCGCCCGCTGGCTTTTCCGACCTCCGAGGAGAAGGCCACTGCAGATCATGAGTCTTTCGCTTGGGGAGAGGAGCAAGATGCCTGTAGTTTATGTGGCCATTGAGATTCTGAGATCCTTGGTCCACATGCTGCTCTTTTTGATTCCAGACACCTCTCCAACAGTTTGACGGCTTGCAGGCGGTCATGGAGTGGAAGAGCGAGGACTTTACCAGAAAGCTGGAAGTATGGCGGCAGCATGGATGCAGCAAGATCGCAGCAAAATTTCGTACTGCTCCTGGACTTCGGCCCTCAGCCCTTTTTTCCCTGGTCACGCCAGCAGTCCCGTGACAGCAAACCTCAAGTCTTCCAAGGGGCGAATGCCGGGGTATTAGGGAGAGCCCTAGAGCTCCTGATGGATGGGACTACCAAGGTACCCAAAATGGACGAGAAGGTACAGTCAAGTTGTTCAACCGCGGTTATACATTATCAGACTGACCATCTTCGTCTTTACGCAGATCTTTCTCATACAGCTAAGCTGGTTCCGGTCGTATTGATGACGCCACCAAGCTGGATATTTTGAACCAGCTCAGAGTCCGCCGATGGGCCCACCCCCTACTCGAGCTGTTTCTCTCGAAATTCGACCTTTCTCAGATGCAAGGAATTAGAGGCTCGTTGCGACGGGCATATGCGGAGAAGTACTTCTTCTGGGTACGTCCAACAGTGGTTGAACATTCCCGTCGTCTCGCTATCGGCATTGACATCAACATAAACAACATTCGGCTGGCCAAGTTCAACGCGTCACGCACCAATCTTCGCAATCTTGCGTACGCTATCACCAATTTCACGCTGGTGGATGAACTGCGTGACGCTATTCGACAGGCGAGTCAAGAGCTCATCGTGTCTTCGGTCGACAGCTTCGACGTCATCTTCAAGTCCTCGAGTCTCGCAACGGTTCCAGCGAACCAACATGTCACGTTACTGCGTGATTTGCGCAGTCTGATCAAGCCCGGTGGAAAACTCGTCTTTGACTTCTGGTCGCCCAACGTCGACATACGCACCATCGAGGTCAACTTTGCCATCTTACCGACTGTCATCAGTCACAATCTTCAATTCGAGCGTACCGGCACTGCCTTGCGCAAGTACGTCGGCAGCCGCGACATATATCTCAAGGCCCGCACTGCCGTCCGCGCCCTTGCACCCGAAGCCGGGTGGGAGCAGAGTCCCAGCACCACCGTCCACCCCAACTGGCAAAACGGTGGGTACGAAGGCATTACGGCACAAGTGCGCGTAATCGCCGACCTGTTGGCGGCGGAACGATCAAAGCCGCGCCCTCGGTTGATGGAATTCGAGAACGCGCGTATGGAGTTGTTCACCCAACCTCACGTCACATCGGAATTAGGGTTGGGGCTAGGGTTAGGAGCCTGAGAATACTTGCAGCAAAGCCTGGAGAAGGGCTGGTGAGTCTGCTAGTTCTGATATCCTGGTTGACAATATTGCCACACCATGGAATGCCAGGCAACAACAGGAAGAAGACGAAGCATCATAGTCGACCAAGCTGCCGTGTTGTCGTCGCCTCCGAGCCCTTCAGAAGGCGAAGGGAAGACTGGTGGGGAAGCCGGCACGCCGATCGTATGCGACAAGCCACCAGGAATCACTCGTTGCGCTCGCTGCACCAAGGGTAATAGGGCCAGTACGAACAGCATCTGAGAAACCCTAGCCCCTAAAAACCACCTGCTGCGACCCCATCCGAGGCCGAGTCGATCTCTACAAGGGAAAGAGATAATATCAAACCTCAACAACTCGAACACGCCGTATCGAGGCAATCAACACCATTGCTTGCGAACACAACTCTGCCATCGCTTTCGAGCAGGTTTCGCGCTGAGCTCAGAAACTCGGACTGTTGTGATTCTCACTACGGCTGGTCACGACGGAGCCTCGAATCATGGCATAACTACAGACTATCCCGAGTGCGGGCTGTGATGCCAATTCTTGTGCTTTCTGGTGGGAAATGGTGTGGGAAATATCAAATGGATGAATCGACCAGACATCTGGGTTCTCGTTCTGCGTTCTGTACCATTGCGGAGTATATCTCTCACATTGAGAAGCCGAAAGGTGCAAACAGACGCAACAAAAAGCATGAGGCCACGAAACAGGCAACGATCAAGTTGACGACGGCTTTACCACCGCCATTCCATCAAGGCATCGGAAAGAACAATCTTTCTTCTCTTCGTCTCTGATACCAGTTCGTCCTTGACGTCCGTCGAAATCCTGATCATCCTCTTCTTCAACCCCTTCCTACTCGCCTCTTCCGTCGTCATACCCTGGCTCCCAAGCCTCCGCATAACCCACAGGGCCAGGGGCCAAACCAGACCTTGACATTGACGGATGAACTACAGGCAATGTCTCTCCAGAATTCGGTCAACTTTGACCACGCTCTAAGGTGTCCAACCACTGCAAGGCTACGCCAGAGACATACAGACTGGCAATCCGACGACAATCACAGGTCGATCAGAAACGACCGTTGTGGGGTTCAGCCAGTACTTCATGGCGTTCAGCGTGTTTGCTAAGAGATACCTCGTCATCACCATGTCGCTTAGCCCTAAGAAGAGTTGTCAGCCATTGGCATTCGAGCCTGCTTACCGGGTCGATGCCGATATGACTCTGCCCGTTGAAGATCCCGCGCGCAACAATCGGTTGTGCCACGAGGGCACCACATCCCCTGTCGTCCTATTTGCTTGGCAGATCATCGCCATCGCGATCCAGCTGGAACACGAGAGGATCTGGGGTGGCCGATGGGTGATGCATTACACTGCGGCATGGGAAAACACATCAAGGCGCTCGCACACGCCCACTTCAGGGCCCAGGCTGTGGAAGCAAAGCTCGCCGCCGGCCACAAGGGTGTTGACAGCCGTCCGACCCTCGTCCTTGCTCCGTCATCGGTCCTCCCCGAATGCTTCAAGTACCTTTTGGCGTTTCCCCGGGGGTTTCTAAATCTCCATATCTTCTACGGCACCAACCGAGATAGCTGGCCATCCGACCTACGGACCCCGGTCTCGACTAACGCCCCAAGATCCTACGATGCAGTTAGTATGACCGCCCAACGGCGCCATCGTGACCATGTTCAGTTGACGCAGGATGCTCAAACCATCACCCGAGACCAGGTTGGGGACGAATTCTATCGTCTGTATTTCGAGCATCTCCTAGATAAACCTACGGTCTGGCAGGGTCTACGAACGTCGCCAACCTGGGCTGCGGAAGAAAATCTCTCGCCCCGTGATACTCTCCGTCTCGCATCTGTCGCTGTTGCCGAACGTCTTACGAGCAGAAAGATGGATCATGGGCAAAATGTTGACTAGACAGATACTCAAGTCTAATGTCAAGGGAGCCATCGGCGCTGGCCTGCTGAATGGCCCTGGGCTCGCTTCCTTTCGGTACTCCCGCGGAGAACACTCGGAAAAGACTAACCTAGACTCTAGACTGCTGATGAACCCATCTCTTGTGGCATACACCGTCATAACTTCATCGAGGTTCGTCAACTACGACTATCTCCTCTAGGAAAGCTAACACTTCTAGGCGAAGATTCGATTACACCTCGACCAGGGCACCTTGATCCTATCAGTATTGCCGCTCGAATGGGTTCCACGCTGCCTATTGAACAGGTCCGCATGAAAGACCGGGGCCTGCGCCGAGTCCGAAAAATGGCAAACGGCGAATCTCTAACCCTAACCCTGGTCATCCATACCTACATTCACATGGCGAAGTGGGGGGATGTCAACGGGCAGTTCAAGGGTAAGGTCGTGCTTTTGTCCACTTGGCCGCATACCCACGGGAACCTGGATTGTTTTCTGCACAACTTGGGAGTCCCGTTCTTGACCATCTGGCCGAGTACGACCGCGGTGGACAAGTCCAAGATCCTCCACCAATGGAACGACGACAACGACGAAGTCCTCTTTCCACACAAGTCTTGACACTCTTCCTCTAAGAATCGAATATGTCAAATCCTACCATGATGCATCCTTCCCCAAAAATCAACGAGAGGGTTCAACAAAAGCTGCTGGCCCAGTATGCCTACAGTGACGATGGGTTCAGTGACGGTTACTGGCACGCCACGGTCAATGTCACCGTCGTGAAGTCCAGAACCATTTCGGCCGCCAGCTCCCTGGCTCAAGTTAGGAGAATATGTTCTACAGTACAGTTGGATATATATATATATATATACGAATGCCTGCTCTCACAGTTCAACAGTTGGGAGCCTGGGCTTGGGAGTCCGCTCAGGACGAAGTCAGACTTCGGTAAAGCAATCTACCTCGCCCAGGTCTTCCTCTTGATCAAGAGACATCTTATGAGAAGGCTCAAGAAATGCGACTCCATAGACAGTCTCCGACGAGTGCGATGTGTAACCAGTCTCCCAGATCAACAATTGCATCGACAGGATGCTTGCCAACCATGGCTATGAAGATGATGGCTGGAAACAGACAGCAACCGGCGCTGCCGAGAATGGTCTCTTCCAAGGACTTAACTTTCGCCAATAAGCTCAACCTACCAATATATATCTCTGAAATGGGTGCCAAATTCGACGCCATCATCGATCAAGCCTGCCGACTATCTCTTCGACCTCGAACTCCGGCTGCTCGGGTTCATCCTCCTCCTTCTCCTTCTGCTTTGAGGCCTGTCAACCTCTCTGCAGAGGCTGGGATTACTCCGGCTGCTCATGATGCTGAAACCAAGTCTCAAATCGACACTGAGGATGATGTTTGCGCACAAGTCAAGAGTAGAGCAGAGCGTCCTGAGGAGTCCAAAAGCACGAAAGACGAGGCATGCAAGACAATCTTTTCGATCTGGGACAAGGATGATGTTTGGAGAGATTTTGCTCACCTGGCTGACAAGGGTGCGGCTTCCTGGTCTGCTCTTCGGTCTGTGGCTGTCCGGTACAACACCTATGAGGAGGCCAAGATACACATTCGAGGTGCAATGCTCTGGCGTCTTACCAACACGAGCCATGCTAGTGGCATTTTGCCTGTCTCAAAGCTTTTCAGCAACGCAGCCAAATGCAAGGATGTTCAAGATGGCATGAGAACAAGCTTTCTCGCTCTTGGAGAGTATATCGTGCGCAATGCGACCCAAATATTCAGGGGCCTGAACACCGAAGTCGTTCGAGGTTATCTCTTCGCAACGATAGACCATGCATCTTCTGATTTCGAAATACCTGCACTTGGCCACGGCGATGAGCTCTGGAGTGAGACTCCGTCCCAGTGCGCCTTCATGGTATAGGCCAACGGGAACTGGAGCAAGCTGAATGGCCTTCTCGTGTGTCTCGACTATGAGAAAGGATCTTTCAACATTGTTACTCGACGAGGAATGTCCAAGCTGATTTATCTATTTGCGATCCGAGCTGTCAACCATGAAAAGGAGCTACTTTGTCTACGATCAGAACGGAATATTGCCCTGATCACGGTATATACAGGCTAAAGTCTAACGATCCAGGTGTTTTTAAGATCATGAACGGCAGTATCCACCCTGACGTTCACTATCATGATGGAGGAGTAATTACAACTGCCGACTGGTATGGCTCGTTCCTTCTCGTTCCTATACACAACTAGTTCTAAGCAAAGCGGCGGGCCATATGGCAACCAATCCTCGATGATACCACAATAACACCATGTAGCACAACGCAACATCTATCTTTCAGCTGAGGCGTCAACGCATCGTGGAATACCAGACTCACCAGCAGACCTCGAGAATAAGCTCAGGCATTTCATCCCGTTACATCTGACGTTACAAGATATTGAGGAGGCAGAGGGCTTAAGTTTTTTTCGACACCAGGCAACCAAAATCTAGCATTCCGCTGCCAACACTGAACACCAATTGATGTCGTCTACTTCAGATTGAAAGATGAAGTTTCTGCGACTCAGATGCAGAGTAGTTCGGAAACCAACATGGCGATCATCTAAGCAGTGCTTTCTATTCTAGCAGCAATGTCGGTCCAACTCCGTTTCTCAAGATGACCAATCCAGATCGCGTTCAACGCGTCCCTGGTTGCATGAGTGGGTTTCGCTGGTGCCTACGTGCTCTCCGGTCTTCAGGACCTGTTCTAGAGAAGAAAATTCTGGGGCCGTCAGAACGCCACAATATTGACAGAAAGAACACAGAGACAATGTCTACCCCTGGAAGCAGGACCTGCCCTGCTGGTGTCCGAAACCACACGGGGTGTGTGCGTTCCGTGGCGGAACTTTCTAGTATTGTTTGAAGACATGGCTCTGGTCTTGATCAAAGTCCAGTCTCGACCATGGAGCATGCTGATGGCGACATCGAGCTGCTTCGTACGCTCGCGCTTTATGAAGGTGGTCAGAACCTTACTGAGAGGTCAATCTCAATACTCAGTACGGGCTGTAGCTGGCTGTGCTCCGATCTCGCTTCGTCATCTGGGCGTCGCCTTTCGCAACATTTATAGTGGTGTTGCAAAGGAAAAAACTCTTGGATCAAAGATGCCCGGACGAAGATCTTTACGCCGTCGACCATGAGTGCATACCTATGATTAACGGCCCCGATGACTCTATTACAGAGAGCAGGCAGTGTTGCCCAAATCGAAATTCTGGACCCGCGCCGGATCTACACTTTCCCACTCAACCCTTCAAAAGATAAGATCATTATCGAACGTTTCTATGAGTCGTCAGAACAGTTGATCACCAATACCTTGCTCGATTCCAATATCTGGTCTCCAGTGGACATGATTCACCATCTTGTGGCTTTCCTGGCAAACCACCGGACAGGGGCATCATAATGGCGGTGTCAGCCACTGGTATTGTTAGCATGCGATCGTTAGGCGGATGGCACGATAGTAAGTTACTGGGAGGGGTGGTAATCACCGGTACCCACTGGCACTTACCACTAGGTCATCCCTCCTTGCTCGACCAAATGCCCACTTTGCCAATACACTCCGACGGGTATGGTGGCTACCAGTTGCGACTGGTAACCTCTGCTAATATGCGGAAATAGGCAGTGGTCCGCAGGCTGGCACAATTCGCAAGCATATTATGCCCTCAAGCTTTACGAAGTGTTACGGCTCAGAACCCATGCATGCCTTCGAAGCCCGAGAGTTGTTAGGTCTTGAGCCGAAGCAGTTCGTCCACGATCCAAGAGCAGCACTGTGTATGTATTACCAGTCGCTACTTGAAAAGTATTAGAACTTTGACTGAACTTTGACTCGTCAGCAACGACAACGATACTCGCATGAGAATTGTATACGACTTCACTTGGAGAAAACAACAAGACACAGAAAGGGATGTTTTGCGAAACGCCTGAATCTGTGGTCATCAATGGAGAAGAAGAATCGGAAATTCAAACCATCCCCGACGAAACGAAAACGCGTGACTAGACAGAGTTCTACGTCAGATACAAAGGTTTGAACAAGGCTCATGACAGCTGGGAGCCGGAGAACCATCTGGGAAACGCAATCAACGCTATGATTGGAGGGACCCATCCGACGAAGCTGCTTTCCAGGACAAGACCAGTGGGAAGCATCCGTTACCTGTCGTAACCGCTTGCTAACGCTGTTTCCCAGAGTTCCGACCGTCAGAGGACGAAGCGTACATGATCCAGACGAAGGGAGAAGAGAACTCGAAGCGTGAGTAGGTCCCGTCCGGGACCGTTCGTAACTGACCGGGCAGCATGCTCCAAATGCGCACAGAACCTCAGCAAATTTCAGACTTGCGTTTCGGTGGGAGGAGTCAAGCGTGGCGGTAAGGCTCTCTTCCGCTCGGAACCGTTCGTAACTGGCTTGTCCAGCTTGCGCGGCCTGCGTCTACCAGAGTAAGGAAACCGACTGCATGCATGCCCTGAACTGAGAGTCCCTTGTGTTCCTTGTCGTAACCTGTCGCAACTCTCTGATACCTTTAGCTCTCCACGTAGAGGCCGCCACCCGCATTGCCTAGGCCGAGGCCAAAGACGCCCTTCGTGCTGCCAGGGAAACGCGCGCAAACACTCGTAACTCGCCTGGAGACAGAAACCGCCGAGCAGCCGCAGTTACGGCCGGAAAAGATCGGGTCTCGAAGAAGAAGAGTCGAGTGTCGAGCCGAGTGAGCCGGCGCGAAGTTGACAGCCTCAAATGAGTTACGACGCTGCGGCCTTTAGGAAAACCAGAGGGCATGTCTCCTGAAGTTGAGCGTGATAGCCTCATCGCCGATATAGAGAAGCCTCTTAAGAGGGGTAAGAATGCCTACGCAAGTTTCTCTCAAATAGTTCCTAGTATAGATATCTTCATACTACTACAATGAGACTAAACCAATGGCAACAAACGCAAGGTTTCTCGTAAGAAAACCGTCCATCTCGGGGGTTAGGAGGCTTGGAGCAGCGATTGAAAGCACGAAGAGAGTGTGTCAGCAAGAAAGGGATCTATGTTATACATGTCTAGGCTACGCTATGGTCAAGTGTAAGTAGTATTCAGCTAGTCCCTGTGATTCCGCCGCTGACTGAAATATACTGTGCCGTGATCCACCGGCTCTTTTCTGATACCAGCAGAAGCGTAGCATCAGCCACATCCTCCGGAGTCCCGAGGCGATTCGCAGCTCGCGTCGCTTCATACATAGCAAGCTGTACGGGAGTGGGAGACCCGTCAGGGGCCACGAGATAATCTTTCGACCGATCTGTCGGGACTGGACCCGGTGCGAGCGTATTGACGGTAATTCCATGGCTCTTGCCAAGCTGTGCGGCATTTCAAATTGCTTCGTTAGATATGTAACCATGCAGATAGAGAGAGCAGTAAAGAAGGCTTACCTCGCCAGCCCATAGCGTTGTCAGCGCATCCATTGCAGCTTTTGTCGCACTGTATACCGCGGGTGGGATCAGAACCTTGGAGCCGATGGAGCCGATGTTGACGATGCGGCCGCCCTGCGGCATTCGACCCACGCCAACAACAGCTTGGGTCATGTAAACCACGCTGAAGACGTTGGCGGCGAATTCATGTTCGAGCTGCTCTTGTTTGACTTCCAAGAGAGGTGTGTTTTGTGCAGTAGCTGCGTTGTTGACTATAGAACAAATGGCCCATCAGTCGTGGGGTTTTCCAACAGAATTCCCCTGGACAGGGAAGGTTCAAGAAAGAACATCACCCCCAGCGATGACATGACAATGACATACCGAGAATGTCGATGTGGTCGACGCCGAATGCTTTCAGAATCTGCTCCACCATGTTCTTCGAAGTCTCCTGGGTTTCCAGCGCTCCTTGTACGACGGTGGTTCGGGTGCCATACTCCTTGGTGATGTTACTTGCGACTTTCTCAGCCCGCGCCTTGGAAGTTTCCGAAACATAATGAATGGCCACAGACGCGCCGTTCCGGGCCAGAGCTCTGGCGATAGCGGCTCCGATGCCGGTCTCTCTGCCAGAACCTGTCACCAGAGCAGTCTTTCCAGCGAGTGAGAGTGTATCGGCCGACATATCTAGTATATTATCAAAGGAAGTTATCGAAGCAAAGGATCACAGAGTAAGTTGCGGTTTCTGACCTGGCAAGTAACGACCTCATCGCTTATATAGACGACAGAGCAGACCGTATGGAACTGCTACTAGCAGTTGTGTATATGTTGAATAGATGCTATTTAAATCACCACATCGTACGAAATTGCAATATGTACCGTATATGCACAAACTATTGACAAGGCGATTGCTTACAAATACAACTGGTCAAGGCTCCGATTTGGTACGCTTTGATGCGCTTTGATGTTCAGCATGATTTCGTGCGCTTTGGTGCTCGGCTTATGCTGGGTGACATGGTAGCTGGTAGCTGGTGCGATTCGGACGATTTCGAGCTCCGTCCAGAGGTATCCATAAATTGATTACAAATGCGTCCAGGAGAACTCTCGACGGGCTGAATCCATAGACTATCTATGTTGTATACCAAACGACGGGAGTGGTATTTCCCAGGTTGTCCGTGACCCATTCCGACTCCCCTACCGCTGAAGATTGGATAGGATAAAGCAGTAGTAAAATATTCGGAGCTACTTCGAAATTGGTACAAAGATTGAACTTATGCTCAATGATCGGCTTGGAACGGAAAGACTCCAGGGATAATACATCGTTGTATTCAAAACGCAGTACAATGCCCCCTCGCATTCGCGTCACGGTGCTGGGAAAACCCTGTGAGGGGACAAAAACCAGCACCAAGGGTTTAAAGAATGACCTAGATACAGTTGAAACAAACTGAATGACTGGCTGATTCAGCCGTCAAGGAAATACTCCAGTCCCGCCAGGACTACCAATGGCGCCATTCAGTAGTCATCTCCTCGACTGAAGACTTCTTTGTGCGTCTCCCGCAGGAGCAGAGTCTGAGTGCTTCATTGTAAGCCGACAATTCGTTTGGTGTAATGAAAGAGGCAACTTACATGTTCGAACTGCGCCGAGTATGATCCCTTGATATCCGCAAGAGGCTCATAAACCTGCACGATACCATTCGAGACGAGACAATTCATCTAGCATGTGTCAGTATGAGCTGACCTTATCGACAAGACAGTCTTGTTACTTACGCCGGCCAGATATCTCTCCACACCAAGGCGCTCAAGATAGCGGCGGCAGAACACCAGCGTGCCAAAATTCTCTCTGATAGTCTTATGCAGACGCTTGGCAGAGGCCAGGGGCAGAGAAGTTGTCAGTGGAGCATCTTGTTTCAAGCCGTAGCCGTAGATTCCGACCTATTCCGTAGTCAGAACGTTTGTTTGCAATGAACTTCCATCAGAAAAGGTGAATCCTTACATCATCACGTATGTAGCCACGCCCGGTGGTGCCGAATGTCTCGATGGCAAAGACCTCGCCCTCCTCCATCTTGGTTTGGTCCGAGTTCTTCACAAACGGGATTGACTTCCCGCCGTGGATACGGTACTGGTTGATATTATGTCCAGTGAGATTCCGTACTGCCTTGACAGGGAAAGTCTTGCCACGGATTTCGACCTCGTAACTTTCCATCGCTTCCTGGATGGCGGCGCTTACGTCGCTGATGCGTACATCAATTCCAGCAGTCTATTACTTCAGTCAGTCTTGCATCAAACACGTGAAATCCGTGTTGAAAGATCCTCACCTTGATCCCTGTGTTGGTCGCATCCTTGACAGCGGCCAGGAGATTGTCGTAGGTGGGGTCAAAAGCCATGGTGAACGCACTGTCGACGATCCAGCCGTTGATATGAACACCAAAGTCAACCGTCATGACGTCCTCTTGCTGTAACACCACATCCTTCTGGCCTGGGTTGGGCGTGTAGTGAGCGACTTGATGATTGAGGCAGATACCTGGGGGAAAGCCCATGCCAGCCTTGAGACCGTCGCCGGGCTCTAGTCCGGCATGACCAAGTAGCGCCCTCACGCTATCCTCGATTCCTTCGGCAATACTCAAGAGAGTTTGGCCAGGCTTGGCCGTTTCCTGTACCCATTGTCGAGCTTGGCGATGCACTTCAGCTGCCTTGCGGTAGTTTTGAAGGAACAAGTCATCTTCCCAGTACAGACGACGAGCATCGTATCGTGCCTCGGCAGCCGTTGTCCGTGCTGTGGTATAGCTTTGGATCTCCCCTTTGGGATAGTCACCAGAAGGGAAGAGCTCGCTTAGCAAGACTCTTGGTGGCGACGTTTGCTTTACATGCACTGGGACTGTTCCCTTGTGCTTCTTCTTCTTGGACTTTTTGGACTTCTTCCGTTTCTTTGGTGCATCTGCAACCTCTGTTGACAGGGAGCCCTCTAGCGGTCCCAGGCTTGTTTGTCTGCCGTCACCATCGTCGTCGCTCTCGTCAACACCTCCAGCGTCTCCGAGACAGCCATCTCCGTCCCTAGAAGTGTGTGAGCCCCGGGCTTCGCCCCCGAGGTGACTCGCTGCATCGGAGCCAGTCGGGTCGCCTTCATGAAATTAGGATTTCTATCTCGATTACTTGTGTGAATGTGAAGATTGTCACATACCATGTTTTCTGCGGTACTCATTTTCCGGGCTTCTGGATCCCATTGCGACATTGATCAAGGCAGCTAAGCAAAAGGTGGCAGTCTACAGCGACGTCAAATCAATGTATTCTCAAACAGGTTCAGGCAGTGGTTAAGGTTGAAGAGGTACAGATAAGGTTGAGAAAAAGAACCCGCCAAGGCCGCAACCGAACTGGGCTGTCAATTACTAAGCAAATCATCACGTGTTTGAGTCAAGGACAATGTACGTGACCGTCCCTGATCGGCCTTGGCGTGGCGCCTGTCCTCCGAGTCCGTCCGTCGGACTCGCGACCTTCCAGGCTTGCTTCTACCAGGTGAGGTCCATACCAACAATGATATCGTCGATACTGCGCCCCCAGTTTCCTCGTCGACCCCCTACTCTGCACATCAGGATGGCGCTGGAGGCCAGCAGAACAGAGTAGGCCGCAGCAGCTAACGACCAGAAGTTAGCCGATCCGAACAAATAGCGGGACGCGTCAGGATCTCAGGGACAGCCACGGCGGCAAAGGACGTTTCATCTGGAGTGCTGAGACACCACGATACCATGTCAAAACTCGACATGTTTTGCCCAAGCCCGCCGTCCTGGCACACGGATCGATGTCTTCCGTGCTTGGTATAGCCACAGACGAATTGAAGAACAGCAACTCGACTTCGCAAGGCTGCCTCTGCCCCAAATTCCCGTCCTTCTCGAGCGAGGCTGAGCCTCGACGCGACTTACTGTCCTTGGCAACCCCAAGGGGTTGATCTACAATCGCATCGTGAGTCTCGACGCCAAAAGTTAGAAGAAGTTAGAATAAGATCGGATCCAAAGGGACATGCATATCTTTGGAGGGTTTTCTCTTCCATCTCCTTTCCTCTGACCTTCCACTCGTTGCAAAGTCCCTCTTTGTCATCCTGCATCTGTTTTCTAGCCATAAACTGTTGTTGAGCAATCATGAGGCCTTCGTTCTCCATGCAACTAATTCCAGCGCTGCTGGCGACTATTGCCCTCGTTTCTGCTCAATGCGCGCCTGGTTTCCCTGTCCAGGTAGACACAAATCTCAGGGTCGAATACCAATCGACGAATACAGACGTCGATCCGGCTGGCGCACTTTTACAGCGAGAAGGTAAGCAGTCACAAAATCAATGAAAACTCCCAAACTACATTAATCAACTTATATCGCAACGTTGTGCTACGCCCCTTCTCCAACATTGTATAATGCTTGTATCCTGAACTGACTATCAGAAATATTCCAGATCTCCTTGACACTCCTACAGTCCAAGGGCCGAAAGGATCAACTCGGACCTTAACATTCATGCTCTTCATGATCGACCAAGATGTCTCCGATAATTCAGGCCAACGAAAACAATTCCTCCATTTTTTCGAGCCCAATCTCTCTGGCGCCTCGGAGGTATTGTTCGCAGATTCCAGCGTCCCAAATTCTACGGACGCTTCCCGCGTGGATTATCTCGCACCCTCGCCACCCGCCGGCGACGGACCGCACAGCTACACTTTCCTCCTGTACCGACAGCCAAAAGGCTTTCAAATCCCCAGCTCTTTCTCGGCATTCTTCCCTCCGTCAGACACCTCAGCTAGACTCGGATTCGACACGGCAGGATTCGCGCAGGCCGCTGATCTGGGCGAGGCAACGTCGGCAAATTGGTTTCAGGTCCAGAATGGCGAAGCTGTGGCGTCTTCGTCGTCAAGTAGTCCCAGTGTTGAGACTTCAACTTCTATTTCAACGTTCTCGGAAGCTGCTAGTACCAGCACTGAAGCCGCGTCTGTGGCGACATTCACCAGCGCGGAGACTACTTCGACAGAAAGTACAGCACCCGCCTTCACGATTACGACAGCATCAGCAGCAGCGTCTACCGCATCTTTTTCAAGCGAAGAGACTGTTTCTGCTGAGTCTACGAGCGTCACCGATGTATTCACCTTTTTGACTTCCACAGCTACGGACTCGGCAGCTGTGTTGACAAGCACTGCTGTGGCGACATTCGTCACAGCTACACAGGCGTCTTCTTCTGCAGCGACTGCATCATCATCTGGATCTACTAGTGCCACTGCAAGCTCGAGTCCCGAGGCAGGCTCGGCTGCTTGTGCTATATCAGCACGAGGCAGTCTAGGATCGTTGATTGCAGGGTTCGCATTGGCATTGATGGCTGGAGCAGGGATGCTTGCATGACGAGGGACATAGAATACGTTCTACACAAGCAAGGCGATTCTACACGACCTGAGCGAAGGAGTCGCTCCTCTTGCCATGGGGTCCAGGGTCAGTCGAGTCGGAAGTCGACCTCTCCCTCGAAGCAGAAAGGAACGGTGTATCAAAATCCCTCCAGGAAAAAGTGCAATAACTGAAATCGACGGGTTCGAGTTGGGAGAGAAAAATATGAAAGGTACTGGGGCCAAGTCGTACCGCAGGTAATGAATGGTCTTTGCGAGACTTCCGTATGGCTTTGAAGGCGGGCATGAAGCTGCTCTCTGCCGTGTTATGATGAGAGGGAATCTGTTGTGCTTTTCCACTCGAATCTACCTTTACCTGGATCATATTAAGTGGCAGTGCTCACATCTGCTCACGTTTTTGCTTGCCATTCATTCCCACTATTAGCAAAAGCAAAGTTCTCAACGAGCCAGGGACACTCGTTTCCAAAAGATTCTCCCGGTGGTGCAGAGATTCAATGGGTATGGACATTGGCCATATGCTAAGCATCCGCCGCCGTTTTTGATTCCAAGTCTGTATGCTGCTCATGTCTATGCAATTCTATGACTAGTAGCGCTGACCACCACTTCGATCGAAGACTGCTCAGAGGTGAAATCGCTCCTCAACTTCGTCGATGCTTTTCAAGCCGCTAGAACGTTCTACGACATGGCCGCCATAGGCTTCTCCGCCCCCTGCGCATCCATGTCTTTCTCCTGCACGCTCTGCTCCGGATCCATATTCGTCTTGATCTTGCGTATAACGCGCGCCGGATTACCCGCGACCACATGAAAAGGCGGCACATTCTGCATTTCCGTACATCAGTCATGCCCCAGCCCATAAACTACTTGTTTGGCTGATTCAACAAATGGACGCAAACACACGCATGCACATACCTTAGTAACCACACTTCCCGCACCCACAGTCGCACCCCTACCGACCGTGACGCCCGGCAGGATCGTAGCTTTTCCCCCGATCCAGCAGTCCTCGCCGATATGGATCTCGCCTCCACACTCTGGGCCGTTGGTGCCGTTGCGGATCTTCGGGTCTAGCGGGTGCGTGCCGCTGAACAGCGAAACATGCGGGCCGAACAGCGTGCGCGCCCCAACGGTGATGGTACATGTGTCGATCCAGGTCGAGTACGCGTTCACGTAGACGCCCTTGCCCAGCTTGACCTGCGTGCCGTAGTCCATGTACACGGGCGCCTCGACGAGCGGGTCGTCGTCGAATTGGGCCTCATCGGCAGTCGCGTCAGATGGCTCCGGCGGTAGAGGTGTGCTGTCGCCTACTACGCTGCACAACGGGGAGAAGAGTATGAGTTTAGATCGTTTGCGGAACGCGGATGTGTCTAGGGGACTGCTGCTGCTGCAAAAAGAGCAGCCCTTTCACTGAGGAAGAGACTCACTCACTCTCTCCACAGACGGACGGTCTCTCGCCGCGACACCGTGCCTGCGTCGGTGTTGTATGTGCGCAGAGCTGCCTTGCATCGCGCGCGCTCGGCGAGGAGCTCGGGCGTGAAGGCGTAGTAGAGCTCGCCGCGGGCCATCTTCTGCTTGTTCTCGGATAGTGGAGGGGCTGCCATGGTGAGTGAAGGCCGTCGGATACTGTTGCGCTTAGATATCGCCAGGATGGAGCCAGCCAGGGAATCTCTAGATACCTAGGTAGGCAGGTAATTATCAGTTGTGTGAGGCTATATACCACCGTATACCGCAGTAGGCGACATGCATACAAAAAGCGCGCGTAATATGTTGGCGAGAAGGGAGCGCAGGGCTAAGGTAGGTATTCCCCCCCTTGTTTTCAAATGACGTGGAGACTGACTCCGATGACTGCTACGCTCCAGACTGCTAGTAGTTCAAGTTAGGGATCCTGCTGTCTGACGAAAAGACTCTCAAGTTGACCACCACCACCACCACCCTCCCTCCCTCTCCCCTCCTCTCCCCTCTCCAATCGGAACTCAATTATGATATCGATTGGTATCGGCACGACGGCCTGGTTTGAAGATCATGATGAACATGCCAAGACAGCAGACAGAAGACACTCATCATACAAATCAAGTATATCAAATATCATACTTAGTACTTTGGATGGTTGGTGGATTTGAGAGCTGGACTGGGCTGCGTGCATCCATAACCTTGACGAATAAAATCCACGACCAGATTCACGTGCAGCCAGGCCGATAAGGCAGAAGAAAAGTATGGAAAGGAATGAAAGCATCCTAAAGCATGAACATGATTATACGACTGCAGTGCGAAGCCAGAATAGATCAGTCAACAGGGCAGCCGATACTTTCGCTTATTTGACAGCAAATGGAACGAAACAACATGACAGGCTTGATGGGAACAGTGCTATCGTCAAGACTGAGGCTGACAGGACATGAGGGCAACGTTCCCATTCTTGTTTCCATAAATGCAGTATCCTGTCTCAATGGTCATGTCTTGCCACTCCAGGCCATCTATGTTCGGGTTTGATCCTGGGTCTGGCTTGGTGCCTGTGCCTGTGCCTGCTCCTCCCCCATCTTCTCTTTCTCTGCCTCCTTCTCCTGCGCTTCGGGTGCTTTCGCTCCGTCTTCCTCTTGTTTCGCCTTCTCCTGATCTGTCGCCTCACTCGAGGTCGTTGCAGAAGGCTCGACAGAAGGCGGAGGAGGAGGAGGAGGAGGAGCTGCATTCAAGACTTCTTTCGCCTGGACCACGTTGACAATATGTTCGCCCAGATCGCCCGCCCCATCGATCTTGCTGATCCGGGTATTGAAGAACTTCGCATCGGCCAGGACCCTAGACAACAGTGTTAGCACTCCATTCCCCACCAGACCAGCAGTAGTAAACATACCTCTCTTTGGCGGCATGCGAGTTGATAGTGAGATTCTTGAACGCATTTGTCCATTGATCTCGATAACTGGCAAAGACCGGTGTCATGATTCCCGACACCACAGGATCCGGCAAGTGTTTCGCCAACACTTTCTGCAAGGTGGCCGTCTCCTTGGTCAATGTCTCCATATACGGCGACACCGCAGTGGCTTTATTCTTCGCCGCTTCTTCCCAGTCGATATTCTTCATCGATTTGACATGCATAGACGCTCTGCCGGACATGATGTCGACCAGCTTCTCGTGGATCCCGTTCTGATGTTCCTGGAACAAACGCTTGACCTTGTCAAACTCGTTCATGACCTGCGGTGCGGCCGACGAGGGCAAATGTCGCCGGAAGAATTCTCTCACGTATGGAATCAGCGCCACAATGAAGCTAAGTGCCTGTGATGAGAGGGCAAGATGCTTCGTCGTGATATTCTTTAATCCCGCACTCCTGGTGGCGCCGGCTCCCAGGATGAGCTGCGAGCTGCGTGAATTGAACAACTTCAGACTCTCCAAGAACAATGTGGCCACGTCGTGACTCATGCTAGGGATGCCGGTGGCCAGGTGTTCGAAGCTTTCCATGGATCGAAGCATGGCAAGAGCAGATTCCGGGAGGATATACTTCTGTTCATCCACCACCGCACTCCGCACTTTCGTAGGAGCTCCAGACGTCCCATTCGCCGCAGCACCATTGCTCGCTGTAGAGCCATTGGGCGCACTCTGCCAGATCATCGTACTTTCGATCCATGCAAGTGCATCGCTGGTGCTGCCCTGCATCACGCGACCGAGGATTTCGCTTTCTCGCTCACCAAAGTCTTTTGCGTCCCATTTGTCATTGTCCATCACCTTGATGATGTCGTGTTTCTGTGATTCCCCAAAATGGGCCACGAAATCTTTGATCTGAGTGTCGATGACTGTTTTTAAAGCAGCACCACTGCGACCTGATATAGCCTCACACTCGTCCGTAAACAACTTGTTGAGGGTGAAGTACTTTAAAAAGTCGGGAAGTGGCAGCTCCGCGTTCTGTTGCGATCGCACTCTGACCACCTTGGTGATCTGAGCCTGTACGAGGTCGACCCCTTCACCCAGCAGACTTGAAAGATCAAGGGCCTGTTGCATTTCCGCTTGGACCGTACTGGCAGCTCTCGCTCGACCCATCGGAGGACTCATCACTTTGTCGATGCTGGCTGGCTCCGGACTCCTTGGAGGCGATTGAAGCATGTGATCAGGTAGAGTACTGGTAATGTCCAGAAGGATTTTGACCTGCACACTAAGGCGGCGGAGGCCCTCGCTAATGTTGGTATAGATGGTAGCCAACATGTGATACCAATCATCTGCATCCAGGGCTCGGAGATTTCTGGCTAAAATGGACGATTTCTCCTGCTGGCTCATTGGCCTGCCACCCACGGTCGAGGCTGAGACGGTGGAAACATTGTCGTCCTCATTAGAGCTCGGCAACTGCTTCCGGATCATGCTTTTCATTTCTCGCAGGACAAGCGCGCGAAAAGTGGTTGCTGCGGGCGTGGTATATCTGGCCCTCGAAAGACCCTTCATCTCAGCTTCAAGCTCGGCCCGGAATTCAGAACCCAAGTTCATGTATCCTGGGAAATTCGACGGAGCTCTCCGTTGACCGGGCCTCGGTCTTGTGTACGCGGCACCCCATCTCTGGAGTGTTGCACCAGTCTCTGTTTGTTCCACATGTCGCCTGATGTCCGTCAACAGGCTGGTGTGGAATCGGGCTTCATAACCGCGCCCAGCTCTGTGCCGCAACTGGTTCAAGTCGTCAAAGGCACCCTCAAGCGCCTTGATTCTGCGGAGATCGCGTCGTGGGTATTGGGGGTCGCTGGATTGGGGCACCCTTACTTCCCTGCCAGCAATCAACGCTTCCACCCCGTCCAAGCTATCCAAAGCCTTGTCAATGTCTCCTTTTTCCACCAGCTTTTCACAGCCTTGCACAGCCTTGACAATATCTTCAAGCTGCATGATTGCCTGAGCAAGTTGGCGAACATTGTCGCGCCGCTGTTTAAGGTTGACCACTTTCAGGCCACCGATAGCCATTTCCTTGTCAAGCCTCGCCAGCTCTTTTCGTAACTTTTGAATGCGGTCCACCGAATCGGCCGCTTCGCCATGTAACTCTCTGAGTGAGCCGAGGGCAGAAAAAAAAGACTTTGAAGCTGTGGAAATGGAGTTGATCAGGTGAACCTCCACAGTATCCATATACCAGGATAGCTTCTCTTGCAGGATAGCATTGGTTGCCAACGACCTTCTACCACTAGGAGTGCCGTTAGGGTCACGGATTATTTCCGAATGTTCGGAGACAATATCGAATGTCCTCGGGTTTTCTAGATGGAAGCCCTCTTCAAAATAGACAGATGGGATCGTGGACAAGGGCGTGACAGCTTGACGGCGATGGCCACTTTGTCTCCTCTTTGGTTGTGGTGTATCTAATGGAGTTGACAGGGTCGAGCTCATAGATCCCGCGCGAGAATGGCCAGGTCTTTGTAGCCGCTTGCTCAGTATAGCCCACTCTTCATTTTTCGTCTCTTTCTTGTCCCGATGAAACAAGGACGTCTCTCCTTCGCCCTCATACTTGGCTCGTTGAAACGCTTCATATAGTGATCCGACTTGCGCCAAGTACGGATGGAAGGCTTTCGCATCGACATGGGGAATATTCGTCAGCGCAACTGGAGGGATATCGCGGTGGGTGGGCGCCTTGTAGCCCGACTTCGGTACAGCAGTACTTGCTTGAAGTCCGGTCCGTAGAATCGGGTGTTGAAGCAATGTGGAGATCGCATTCTGCCCCGTCTCCGCGATTGTAGCATTGACGGAACCAGTATCCAACGCGCCTCCTATGCTGGTTATCGAGCTTGCTGTCGAGCCGCGTCGCAGGGTCCCTCTCGGTGTACCGTATGGGACCCTAGATACATCTGGGAAAGGATATCCAGTGGAAGGCGAACTTGCGACGGGCGACGCAAAAGACCCCTGGGACCCAGGACGGACCGGAGAGGCCATCTCGATGGTGCCGTATGCAACGGTCTCGAATGCATTAGCGATGTAGTTGCCTGATATAGAGGTAGGTAGGGCGTGAATTTATGAAGGCCATAGCAGTATCCAGCGCAGCCGTGTTTTCCAATTGTTCGACGCTCATGCTTGTCACATCAGCCCCAAAAGGACACGCAGCGCAGATGCGCCCCGGGGAAGGCTCCCGATGCGATGCGATGCAATCTGCCAAGGGCGGCCGACTGTCGGCTCCGAGTCGGGGATTAGTTTCTCCGCAAACCACTTTACGCGTCTCCAGCCAAAACGCGAGACGCGTCCCCCTTTTTTTCCCGCTGCAGGACACAGAAACACGTTCGTTGAGATATTGGCCTGTCCTCTTCCACATTACTGAACACAAATCCCACTTTGATTGTCTGAAACCTGTGTCCAACACCAAATCATCAAACGACAATACACGATGGCGTTGGACTCGAGATCAGCATATTCGCTTAGTGTGCTTCCACCACATCAAGACGCCTCATCAGAACCGCGGACTGAATTGCAAGCCAAATTGAAGGAGTTTGTCCTCGCATTCCAACTTGATGGCTCGTACATCTATCGAGATCAGATCCGAGAGAATGTTCTTGTCAAGCAATACTTCTGCGACATCGACCTCAGCCATCTGATTTCCTACAATGAAGAACTAGCCCACAAGCTCACCAGCGATCCTGTGGACGTGGTCCCTCTGTTTGAAGCCGCGCTCAAACAATGCACACAGCGCATTGTCTTCCCTCACGAGCCCGAAGTCAAGCTTCCCCAACATCAACTCCTCCTCCATTCGTCCGTCTCTCAGATTTCGATCCGCGACCTCAATGCCACCAATGTTTCCCACCTCGTCCGCATCCCGGGCATCGTCATCGGCGCCTCGACCCTCTCCTCAAAGGCGACCGTTCTCTGCATCCAATGTCGCAACTGCGAACATGTCGAGTTCTTACCAGTAGAAGGAGGATTCACTGGCATCACCCTCCCACGCACATGCGGTAGACCGAGGATGCCTGGTCAAGAATCTGGCGACTCGTGTCCGATGGATCCATACTTCGTGCTCCATGAGAAGTCACAGTTCATTGACCAGCAAATTCTGAAACTACAAGAAGCTCCAGATCAAGTCCCCGTGGGAGAGCTGCCACGTCATATTCTGGTCTCTGCGGACCGCTATCTGACCAACAAAGTCGTGCCGGGGTCCCGATGTACTATTATGGGAGTCTTTTCCATCTACCAGGCCAACAAAGGGGGCAAGAGAGATAATGCAGTTGCAATCCGAAATCCATACCTGCGCGCGGTCGGCTTAACCACCGATGTCGACCACACGGCAAACGGACTGCAGTCATTTTCCGACGAAGAGATACAAGAATTTGAAGAGATGTCCCGACTCCCCGATCTCTATGACCGGTTCGTCAGGTGCATTGCACCGTCTATCTATGGAAACGCGGATATCAAGAAAGCGATTTGCTGTCTGCTGATGGGCGGCTCAAAGAAAATCCTGCCAGACGGAATGAGACTAAGGGGAGATATCAACGTCCTGCTGCTGGGTGATCCTGGTACCGCCAAATCGCAACTGTTAAAATTCGTCGAAAAGGTCTCTCCAATTGCCATCTATACCTCAGGTAAAGGTTCGTCAGCCGCAGGTCTGACGGCTTCCGTCCAGCGAGACACGCAAACGCGGGAATTCTACTTGGAGGGAGGTGCCATGGTCCTCGCTGATGGTGGCGTGGTGTGTATCGACGAGTTTGACAAAATGCGTGACGAAGACCGTGTGGCTATCCACGAAGCCATGGAGCAGCAGACGATTTCGATTGCCAAAGCCGGCATCACCACCATCCTCAACGCACGTACTTCCGTGCTGGCCGCCGCAAATCCCATCTTTGGCCGGTATGACGACCTCAAGTCTCCGGGGGAGAATATAGATTTTCAGACGACCATCTTATCTCGTTTTGACATGATTTTCATCGTGAGAGACGATCACGACAGAAAACGAGACGAAACAATCGCCCGACACGTCATGGGTATTCACATGGGCAATCAAGGCGTGGAGGAACAGGCCGAGGTCGAAATCCCGGTTGACAAGATGAAGAGATATATCAGCTTCTGCAAGTCGTAAGTACTCTTATGCTCCCCAAAGCAATCAGCGCTAACATGATGTTTCCAGACGATGCGCCCCGCGTCTCTCAGCCCCAGCCGCAGAGAAATTGTCATCTCATTTCGTCTCCATTCGCAACCGTGTCGCCCAAGCCGAGCGCAACAGCAACGTGAGATCTTCGATACCCATTACAGTGCGTCAACTCGAGGCCATCATCCGTATCACAGAATCACTGGCCAAACTCACCTTGTCGCCGGTGGCGGAGGAACACCACGTTGACGAGGCCATTCGTCTCTTCTTGGCCAGCACCATGGATGCCGTGTCCCAGGGCGAGGGGGCCGGTGGCATGGGCGCGAATCGGGAATTGATGGAGGAAGTGAGCAAAGTGGAAGAAGAATTGAGGAAACGACTTCCCATCGGATGGAGCACCAGCCTGGCAACCCTGCGGCGAGAATTTGTTCAAGGGAGAGGGTACAGCGAAGCCGCATTGGCCCGAGCGCTGCATGTCTTGCAAAGAAGGGAGACTGTGAGACTGAGAAATGGCGGCAGCCAGGTATACAGAAGTGGCGTCTGATCGAGCGTGGGGTTTGCCCTCCCTTTCATTCAGGAATAGTAATGCTGTCGTTACGGATCAGTGCCCTGGCACGGGGCACAGGAGCGACCACGACGATGCAAGTGTGATGAGTTATGCAAGGAGTAATTGGGCGTTTTCGGATGGTTTATCACGTCCAGTGGACGGTGATGGTGTTAGAATATCACTCGAATATCAGGTCGATATGAATACCTACCGCAACCTCTGATTGTGTTCGGACGCCGAGAAAAGCACCAGGGGCTTCATTGACATCGAACAACCCATCATCCAATGGTGTAGATCCTTTATGACAAATTCCTTTCTGTCTCCCTTGATCTTGTCCTCGTGGCGAGATCCAATCACTCAGCGTCTCTCGGTTGAGGTCGCACGGTAATCCTCGACTTTTCGGTCGAGGACTGTGGATGGGGAAAGGAGAAGAGAGACAAGCTCACCATGACATACAATTCGAGCACAAGTGACGTGCAACCCGGGTATCGCAAGCTGTTCCTCTCGGGGTGTTGCTGTCGACTCAGCAACCATTTCAGATTCGACGTCCTCGAGGCTGAAGGCATCCAGGTCTAGTCGGGTTGATTATGGTGCTTTGTCAGTGTCATCCTTTCCTGCAGGGCAAGGCGATGTGAGCAGGAGTATACACGGCAAATGACGTACCATAGTCCATGTGTGTAATCATCTTTGTCTTTCTGTCGAGCCGTTTTCGCGTCGATCCGAAACGTGAGGGTTTCTACGCTTACCTTGCCGAAATATGAGAAGATCTCATCTAAAGATAGGTCCAGATCTTACGGCCCATCCCTTTCGGAATCCATTTTCGGATATCAAGAAACGAGCGTCGACACTGATTCACGTCTGCAACGCACTAACAAGTATGACATTGCACTCGCCGAAGGAACATACCTAAAGGGTGGTATATCCAAATCAGCGGTGACACCAAAAGGCCGTAGGGCCATCATAGGTAGCTATATCGAGATTGAGTAATCCCTTCTCGAGCTCGGCGGTGAAACGGGATGTGACGGGTCATATAGAAGATCGGCGTAAAAACCCCGGTATTGCTGTGGAGAAGGGTCTTGGTCATATTGCAGTATCTGACAATACCACGAACCGCCGAGCCGCTCTATAGTCACAAACTTTCGTGGTTGTTCTTGGGCCTGGTGACTGGAACGTTAGTAGGAAATAGATGGCGCCGTGGTGGACCCTGAGGCCATCAGTAGAAGACGACTGGCCTGTTTTGCGTGGATGCAGCCATGGACTTGCGGTAAGAGTAAGACCGCCGGTGGGAAAGGACGTCGCAAACACGACGGCTGGGCAACTAGGAACCTTTTTGGCCTGATCAAACCGAACCTTTACACCTCAGATGTATGAAATCAGACCTGACACGCTATTCTTTCGCTCGGTTGTGTGAGTAGGGGGGAGGATCGAGACAGACGAGCCTGTCTGCTCGTCGAACATCCTTCTGCTGGGCACGAAGAGATCAGGCGAGCAGTTCTGACGACTTTGCAGCGCCAGGAGACGCATCACGCCTCAGCTCCCATTCGCCCCAGCTTCTTCCAGGCAGAAGCCACGTAGTGCGAGGTGTAGGAGCCAGGTCCGGCGCGACCCCAGGCACGATCGTTCGAGAAAGTCTTGATAGGAGATATTGGCTAGGGATCGGGGCCATAATGGCGGAGCAACATTGCTGGGAGGCGTGGTTCATGAGCCTGTCAAACCAACCTAATGATTAGTATATGCATGCCGGTCCGTCTGCCGCGAGTCAGGGGCGTATTCTGTGGCTTGAGCTGTCAAGGATCTTGTCCTTCGCTGCTGGCACCAACGTAGTACTAAGGCATGAATGGGCAGCCGACAAGACAAGGCTCTGCGGATATAGCCTTGGATCGACCCGCCGGGGACTGAAAAGGTTGTGAGCCGTGGGTTCAAGGACAGCCGATGAAGAACGAGTAGTTTGGTAGAAGTCCATCCTAGTAGAGCCGGTAGATAACAAAGTAGCCATGCAGGCTGTAGGAATTTGAGAAGATTGATTGTTGAGCTGGTGGTAGTAGTGTACATACTAGTACAGTAAGCTATAGTACCTGGCACTTGAGTGCTGCCAGCGCAGCTGCGCCCGGAACGTCAACCCCGAGCCTCGAGCGACAAAAGCAGCCGCAGTTTGTTTGTATTCGATGTACGTATCATCAGTTGCTTCTCTTCTTGGACCACCACTCGCTTATGCACCACTGCATGGCATGGTAGCAAATTCGCCGGTTCCCTCGAATACACAGCGGTATCTTGCTACACAATCCTTCGATCAGGCAGCTCAGTCAATCTCACAGATGTAAGTGTACAGAGCTATTCAACTCTCACAAACAACGGCTCCTGATGCAACTCTGTGATCAGGCTCGCTGCTCTGTCATTAGCCTCGGATCCTCTCCATCATCAACCTCTCTTCCTCGATGCCTGGCACGTTGCTGCCTCATAATACCGTGCAGTCTTGGCCCATGTTAAGCGACGGACCAGCATGTGTAGGAGACACAGATTTATGCGCCTGTGGCTGTCTGCCCCTGTCCGCTCGGCGGCGCCATTCGCTTCACACTCGACTTCATCGTGCGCCTGGTGAGCCTGAGCCTGAGCCTTATTGTTGACACCAGCGTCCTGGCTTGTCCTTGACCAATATCCCTCGTGGAGGTCGCCCACACTTCAACTCCCCCGAGCACGAACACGAACAACAATTGGTGTCAGCGGAACCGAGTTCGATTTTACCTGGGGTATACCGTGTTGTGCCATACTACCGAAGAGGATGTGCTCGTTGAGATCCTGGCTGAAAATATATGGCGTCGAGTCATATTCCTCTGCCTGGGGAACACTTCGGACTCAGTCTCGATGCTGGTGCTTGCACACATATCTCTGCGATCGGCCCCATTTATTGGGGGTTCACTTCTCCGCGATGTTGTTTCCTTCGTCCTTACAGCGAGCGCAACGCGACTCTCATGTGTGCTATTTCTGCAGCCCCGGTCAGACCTAACAATAATGGCTGTATTATGGCATGTCACACTAGATCGCCTCACGTCCATCACCTGCCTGCCAGATCTACCCCGTCAAAAGGGCAGATCCTCAGGTATAGTCCCAAGGTTCTGGGATATCTTGTACCACTGATCTTGCTGTCCGTCGCCCAGAGATCAGCAGAGAGTGGGATGCCAGGAAGCCATGCATCCCCCAGTCTTCGCCATGCCTGTACGCCAATGCGCCAGCTAAAGCAGGGCGCTGTTTGCCCTGTCGGTAGGAGGATACACATACGGGATGACGACGGTCCATCTGGTGTCCCCTGGCAATAGGTATAGAGACTGGCATGGTAGCAGGATGCAGCAGATAGACGCAGTCGCAGCCGCCAGGACCGACCCGGTAGGCTGTGGCCGGCATCTGATCCACTGGACCACCTCTTTCTTACATCCCGGTATCGGTACAATGGCGCCGTGAAGGCTTCAGAGTCGACACATGAAATATGCACTGTCGAGTGTTACTCTCATCCATTGATCTTAACGAGTCAATGCTGGCTGCTAGCCCGGAGACTACCGTCGTCTGAAGCAAGGGCACATCCTGGTACGGCGTCTGCTTCCGTGTGGTATCATCCATCTTCCTCCACCATCTTTCTTGCCCCTTGCGCTCCTGGTGATGGCTTTTAGCCAAGGGAAGCTTTTCGTGTCTCAGCGGACGCCCTCCCAATGGAGTATGTCGTATGAAGGCGAGCAGGAAGCTATCCATAGCGGCCTGCCTCTCTTGGGGTGTCCGAACCAAGTCAGGAGACCTGATAGGTCGTATGCTCCAGCGCCATACTTGTACATCTGCTTCGATGGATTCTGCCCTAGCGCCCATTGGGGTTCCCTTCCGGCATCTTACGCCTTTGCCCCGTCCGCGTAGTCCAATAAAACAGTTTGCTGCCATGATCAGACGTTGAAAGAATAGATGCCACACCTTGGACATTGCATCAACGACTCTGGCGCCAACACCATTCATCGTACGCCGAATTGTTGTGGTGGAACGAGGCTTGCCTCAGCAGGACTTGAAATGTCCTACTTGACCGCCCGACCGCCCTCCTCGGCCAACTGCCGTCCTGCTGAGTTTGTTTCTTCAAAGTGCACCGGGTCGCCAAACAATCAAAACTTGACTCACAATATCAGGACTTCTCATCCGTTTTTCCGGTTAGAGGTAACCCAACTCATTGACCTGCTATCAGTTACTGCAGGCACAACGCAGACCCAACGCTCAGCCGAATCGAGATCGACACAACATGGAGCTCGCCATTGCACCGCCATCGAAGGTTGCTGCAGGTGTATCACTTCATCTGCCCGTCGTTGTGACCTTCACCACCGCTGCAGCATTAGAGGAGGGCACACTTGAACATGAATCATATGCGCTGCCAGACTTGAGTGGCGTCTGGGCATTCGTGTCCCTGACCACGCCCGATATGCAACAAAGTCTGGCTCCGCCCCGAACCGATCTCTTGCGAGGCAGGACAGCTGATTCCATCCACCCGGTCCATCAGGATCAAGAAGGGGACCGCCCCACGCTGGCCTATGCGACCTTTCGGGAGCTTATGATCACTCAACCAGGCCGATACCGCATCAAAATCAACATCATCGATATGAACACGTAAGTAGAGGGCCTCGTGGTCCTGGCATCATTCGCACGCTCACCTGAGGTAGCCTCTTTGCGGACAATTCGCCTCAGGCCGCCGCCACGGTCCTGCCATCTATTCATTCCCCGGTCTTCGATGTGGTTGAAGAACAAGACCATGCAATCTGCGGTAAGCAAAGTTTTGCCCTCCACCAAGGTCGTCGCTAAGCCAAATAGAAGAAAGAGTGGCTGAGAAAGTCAGCCGACTCCGGTCCATCGGTGTTGACTGTTAGAGGCCACGAGAGAGAGTCTCGAGGGCATAGAGGGTCCGGCGGTTGTCTGATATCTGGCAAGATATCTTCTTTGTGATACAACTCAGAAACGTGGGAGGTGTAAGCTATAGACGGGGGTCGGTCTTCTGGCTGTATTGCTTATTCCTTGTGCTTGATCTTGATCGGACACCGTTCCATCACACTCGAGTCAGGTGCTAGAACCTGAACAGCGTTGCTTCATAGACGGTCCTCTCGTCCTCAAATGAATGGCCTTTTGATGATGGGCACTGCGCGGCAGGTAAACAGGCGAGTCCTGATCTTTGAGTTTTGGAGTCGAATCAAGGTATGTTCTAAGCGAAACCTTAGAGATATCTTACTGCTAGTAAGCTTTGGCGATGAGTACCTAGGTAGTGTAAGTAAAAGGGGATATCCGACAGATAGTCATTTCCGCTAGGGCAGCATGAGCATCCATCCCTGTTTGATAGGCTCTGTATTCAAGTCACCCACCGCCAATGTGGCCGCCGATATGGGATGACAGCGAGATCGAGCTTTGAGGGAACGGAACTTGTAAGACGGCCATTGATGTCATAACATGATCCAAGCTTAGGTACTAGGTATTATACTAGCAGTAGTGGGAGATGCAGCTGGAGTTTGAACAAGTCATTTCCAGCCATCTATTTATGGGAGAGTTCGTGGTGGCTGGGAATATACGGACAAACATTAAGGAGCTGAATGTAAACCACCTGGAGCTCGATCATCCAATGAGATGCTAGAACAGCTAGCCACTCCCCTCAATTTGTTAGTAAGCACTACGGCAGAGTGTAGTACTCCCCTGACCCATTTGTTTCTAATTGCGGGATGTGCAGAGTCAGTACCAGTACCAATACCAATACTCGTCCAATACCAGTGCCAGTGCGCAACTTGAACCCTGCGTCCATTCCACTGCCATTATTACTGTCTCGCTATGTATTATTATTATTGCCATCCCACCTCGTGTTTCTGGGACACGGCGCCCTTCGTATTCTAGACCCTGTCCCGTTCGCTCTTTCTGGGTTGCATTGCGCCCGCGCCGACAACGACAACCATTGACAAGGCCATGCTTATTGCCCTACGGCCCTCCCTCCCTCCTATCCAACGTCGACTCGAACTCGAAATGACGATATAATTATCATGCCCATGTCCATGCCCATGTCCATCGTTCTCCCATGCACATGCTAATGAAGCATCAAGCCGCTCTGGGCAATCTCAGCCTCAACCAAAAAACATGACCGACCCTCGCGCCGCGCCTCGGCAGCCGTCACACTTCGGGTCGTTGTCGAGTGCAGAGGAGGAGGAGGAAAAGCATAATACTGAGGCGCACTCATGGACTGACGATCGGTTCTTTTTGACTCCGCCCGTCCCAACGTCCGCGGTGAATCCTTTGGACCAGACACTGTACCAAGCGAACGCGCAGGCATTCCAGTTCAACCAACATGCAACCTCGCAAAATGCACAACAGTTTGCCTCATCCCTGGATGCTCGCCTTAGCCATCCTGACCCGTCGCTTCTGTTGGGCGGTCTTCATATCAGGACCGATGTCAACACTCTCAAGCGATCGGGGTCAACCCACTCTATGGACTACGAGTCGCAGTTGCGTCCGAGTGCTTCTGTGGCGAGTCTTCCACGTCGAGCACCTAGTATCAGGGCGCACCTGCACTCCTCCGCTGGGTCGGTATCACCTGGCGCTGTGATCTCGTCGCCGCAAATAGCAGCAATGCTGGATATAACGCCGCTGCCCTCGCCGACAATGGGAGCGTTCGAATCCTGGAAACCATTCTCACGACCTCGATCTCGTGGTTCTTCGATATCCTCGCTCAAGGCTGAAATCCTTACTGAGGCTCAACCCTCTACCCTGTCACCCACTTCGCCTCGCCGCAAGGGCTACCCAGGTCTTCAATTCCCTTCTTCGAGCTCGAGGCCGAACACTGGTGATGATCTTCCCATTGAGGAAAACCACCCTAGAAGTGTCAGCGACTATGTTCCTGACGCGCCTCCGGCGGCAAAGCCGCGACATGTTGCCGTGTCAGTTGCTGGTGTCCCAACCGAGAGTATGCAGCCGACATCTGCAATGCACCGCGAAGAATATATTGGCCCGCAGCGAGGACTGAGCGCCCGGCCACCAACTCCGCCTCCGACCGTGGTAGAAGTGGAAAGTGGTCTGGAAGATGAGCCGCTAGCCAAAAAGCCACGACTGGAGGTCTTCCATGCCAGGAGCGTGGTGACCGGGGAGCCTCGATCTTACGAAGCCATCCGTCTCCTTGGCCAAGGGACATTTAGCAAAGTCTACTTGGCAGTGCGCAAACTAAACCATGACCGTAAGGACAGCGTGGATTACAGGCAGGACAGCATCAACATGGCGGGAGTCAGAGCTCGATCAAGAAGATTGGTAGCGGTCAAAGTCGTGGAACACGGTCCAGCTGGTGGAGCAGACGCGGAGAGAATCGAAGTCGGGTTGAAACGAGAAGTGGACCTCATGAAAGCGATCAAGCATCCCTCTGTCGTTCACTTGAAAGCATTTGGTCACGATGGAGATTCACGGGCACTGCTAGTCATGAACTATTGTCCAGGAGGGGATTTGTTTGAGGTCGCAAGTAAACATCAAGAAGCCCTCACTCCGCCTCTGGTTCGACGAATATTCGCCGAGCTCGTTTCAGCCTGTCGCTACCTCCACCAGAAGTATGTTGTCCATCGGGATATCAAGCTCGAAAGTACGTTCAAGAATTGCAACCCGTCTCTTTTCCGCCTGCTGACCGAATTAGATGTCCTCCTCAATATACCTGTGCGGGTCCATCCAGATGTGTCCAGTTGGCAGACCTTGGATCGAGCCGTGGTCACCTTGACTGATCTAGGTCTCTCCCGTCGAATACCAGAACCACCGGAGAGCCCCTTACTGACGACACGATGTGGGAGTGAAGACTATGCGGCTCCCGAGATCATCATGGGCCAACCTTATGATGGACGGCAGACGGACGCTTGGGCTCTGGGTGTCCTTTTGTACGCTTTGATGGAAGGCAGATTACCCTTTGATCCTTTGCCGGGCGCCCGGGGTGATCCTGCAACACTACGAGCAAGGACGCCACATCGGATCGCTCGTTGCGAATGGGCTTGGGTCAAATATGGGAATGAGGACGGCGAATGGGATCTCGAGAAAGGACGGGAGTTCCAGGGGGCAGCCGAGTGTGTCGACGGCCTGCTGAAGAGGGCGAGTCGCCGCAAACCGCTGTCGGAAATCCGCGAGATGCCCTGGGTCAGGGATGGGATCCAAGTGGACGGCGGACTTCGATGGGTCGAGGAAGAGATTCTGTAACATCTGCATCTGATATCATGGCTTTATCGCCGCTGGCTGTATTTTATTGTCGCCCTGGATTCCGGGCTGGAGCGGGAAAGTGTCAGGGATGGTAGCAAGTCTACGGATTTGGCTAGGACTGGGAAGTGAAATGCACACGGCTTCGTGTATGATGAAGTGACATCTCTATAGAAGGGTCATTGGCCAACTTGGCAGAACAATAACAGAACACTCGTTCTTGGGTTTATTGACGGCCTCGGATGTTCTACATTGCGAGCTCCGGGGCCCTGACCGGTGTCCTCTGTCCTCTATTTAGCCCAACTCTGAGACTGAGGAGAATCGTCCGGAGTTGAATCGAACTCCCCGGGCAAGGCACCAATTGTAGCCACTCTGATTGGCTGCGAGGTTTGTGTTCGGTCCCTGCGGCGAGCCATTTGTATTTTTCTGGAAAAGTTGGGGAAGGCTTGGACAATGGACACCGGATTGCGTCGACTCGACTGAAGGTGTTCTCGCCTGTGTCAGCTGGGAGGAGGACGCACAAGGACACACGCTCTCAAGACCTCGAATCCCAATTAATTCTCTCCTTCAAGGTCAGGAGGCTTCATCATTATCCTCGGAAGCTCTGCGCTTCCTGCAAGGCCTTGCATCAAGCAGCGAGGAAGCGTTGTCTGCTATCCGCAAACATGAGGGCCTCTTCCTCGCTCCGGAGTCTGCGTCTGAGGCAGGCCAGCGCACAGCTCTACAGCAGAAATAGGTATGCTCAGTCTCCTATTCACACGAGAGAGGTCTCCTGCTCACAGTTTCAATTCAATGCAGCCGGTTGTTCTCATCTTCTCGTCGCTGCTACGATGATGCCTCCGATGCCGCCGGACTGAACCGAGTCTCCAGCCATGTCACACAGCCGAAATCCCAAGGCGCCTCGCAGGCCATGTTATACGCTACAGGAATGAAGGAAGATGACATGAACAAGCCGCAGGTGGGCATATCTTCGGTGTGGTATAGCGGCAATCCCTGCAACATGCACCTGATGGATCTCTCCAACACTGTGAAAAAGGGTGTGGCGGACTCGGGATTGGTGCCCATGCAATTCAACACCATCGGTGTATCGGACGCCATATCGATGGGCACCACGGGCATGAGATACAGTCTACAATCCCGAGAGATCATCGCGGACTCGATAGAAACCGTCATGCAGGGCCAATGGTACGACGCCAACATCTCCATCCCTGGCTGCGACAAGAATATGCCCGGTGTTGTGATGGCCATGGGCCGCGTCAATCGACCGTCGATTATGGTTTACGGAGGCTCGATCGCTCCCGGGTGTGCGCGGACGCAGAACAACGCCGACATCGACATCGTCTCGGCGTTCCAGGCCTACGGACAGTTCATCACAGGCGAGATCGATGAAACCCAACGGTTTGATATCATCCGCCACGCTTGTCCCGGCAGCGGCGCCTGTGGCGGGATGTACACCGCGAACACGATGGCGTCGGCCATTGAGACGCTGGGAATGACGCTCCCAGGCAGCTCGTCCAACCCGGCCGAGTCGAAAGCCAAACATCTGGAGTGCTTAGCGGCAGGTGGGGCGATAAAGAACCTGCTCAAACTCGACCTCAAGCCGCGCGACATCATGACACGCCAGGCCTTCGAAGACGCCATGGTGGTGGTGATGATCACCGGCGGCTCAACCAACGCTGTGCTACATCTGATCGCGATGGCCGACGCCGTAGGGATCAAGCTAACCATCGACGACTTCCAAGCCGTCAGCGACAAGACGCCCTTCCTGTCAGATCTTAAACCCTCTGGCAAATATGTCTTCAACGACCTGCATCAAATCGGCGGCATCCCAGCCCTTTTGAAGCTCCTCGTCAAAGAAGGCGTCGTCAAGGGCGACAGTATGACTGTAACAGGCCAGACACTCAAAAAGAACGTCGAGTCCGCCCCGGACTTCCCCAGCGACCAGACCATCATCAGACCCTTCTCCCAGCCCATCAAGAAGACCGGCCATATCCAGATCCTACGCGGCAGTCTCGCGCCGGGCGGCAGCGTCGGCAAAATCACAGGCAAAGAAGGCTTACGGTTTGTGGGCAAAGCCAAGGTCTACGACGCCGAGGATTTGTTCGTCGAGGCCCTCGAGCGTGGCGAGATCAAGAAGGGCGAGAAGACTGTCGTGGTAATCCGGTATGAAGGCCCGAAAGGCGGTCCTGGCATGCCGGAGATGTTGAAGCCCAGCTCGGCCATCATGGGCGCCGGTCTGGGTAAGGATGTCGCGCTCATCACCGACGGTCGGTTCAGCGGCGGCTCGCATGGCTTTTTGATCGGCCATATCGTCCCGGAAGCCATGGAGGGCGGTCCGATCGGGCTGGTGCGTGACGGCGACGAGATCGTCATTGATGCCGAGACGCGCAAGTTGGATCTGCTGGTGGATGACGCCACACTGGCGAAGAGACGCGAGGAATGGAACCGCGATAAACCCGCCCCGAGGTACAAGAGGGGCGTGTTGGCCAAATATGCCAAGTTGGTCAGTGATGCTAGTCAAGGGTGCATCACGGATAAAGAGGATGTAGTGAAGATCCATTGAGAAAGAAAGGGAGGGAGAGGAGGAACGGAGAGGAAAGGACATTCATCCGCGCCCGCGCAGGGTCCGTTGGGAACAGGTTGCTTTCTTGGTCCGTGTGGTCATTTCCGGATGCCCTGATGAGGCCGTCCCCAGGGCGAGGGGTCATGGGGAGTGTTGTTTATAGTGTACCATGATCCTACTACTGAGATGGAAAGTCTCAAATGTCGAATGTCCAATGCCAAACTTGAATGCCAAACATATAACGGGAATACAAATCAGCAGCAAAGCCACACTCGTGATGGAAAAAGAGACCATTCCTGAAAGACGGACCTGCAATAATACACAAGTTCCAGTGATTAGCACACATACTGGCGACAAGAACAACTATATCAAGACGAGACATGCAGTCGACGTGTTTTGTGTACCTACCTAGTAGGCAAATATCAACGGTTTCGGCCGGATGAAACCCGTGGTTCGAGGAATATATTTCCCCTTGATGTACAATCAGGTCATGTACGTTTCTCCGGATACTCATGTGGTCAAGGTAGTTGATTAGCTATGTAGGGAACACGACGATCTTGTTCATCGGTGGGAATTCCACCCTCCAATACAGACTCGCGTCCTGCCTCGTTCGTCTATACAGACCCTGGGTCTTACCAAGGCCACGACGCCCGTATTGATGTCTCGTGTGATACGCTGTAACGACATAAGAGCGTGCCATGAGACGATAATAGACGATAAGATGAGAGTCGAGAGCTGGAGGCATCGACGACATGAACGAAGCCAGTCCACTGAGTGACCATTGTTCATTGCTACGAAAGACCCAACACTCCCGAGTCCTCCTCTGACGCAGATGACATGGTTCTTGCCTTCCAAGACAACCGAGCCTGTGCAAAAAGGGCAAGCCGCCATCATAATTAATGAAACCACAACATAGTGTCAATTACAGAACAGTAAGCTCCCCACTGACATGTCGCCGAGAAGAGAAGAGTAAAGCGACCTTGGTAATCGGTAACTACAAATCTCAATCTCAAGCAGCGCCGCCATCCAACTTGACTCGGCCCTTGATACTCTCCCAGCGCGGAGCGAAGGAGATGAAGAAAGTGACACAGGCACAAGCGAGACAGATGGCAAACGGCACCCGCAGGCCCTGCATGTAGGCGGACATGATGCCCGGGATCTGTTCTGGGGTGAAGACTCTTCTGAGATCGGTGGCGCCAGTGGCGATGACCAGGGCCGGGTTGACGGTGGGAGCGCGGATGGGCAACTCCTTGAGCATTTTGTTGGTGAAGCCCGCTTGAGCGGCGGAGATGAAGATGGCGCCGCCGATGGTCTGGAAGAACAAGATCACGGCCGACACGGAGCTGAGGTCGGACGGCTTGACCACGGCCTGGCCGACGATGACGGGGATCTGGAAGATCAAACCCAATCCGATGCCCACGAGGGCCTGGTATCCGATCCATTTGCTGCTGTCCGAGTTGACGTCGAGCGTGTAGACCAGGCCGCTGCCGACGGCGGCCAGAACGGATCCAACCGCCATCAGGGGCACGTAGTGGCCCCAGACGGTCAGCAGGCCGCCCGAGGCAATGGTCAGCAGCGAGGCGCCCAGGACAAGCGGCAGGTTGTCGATGCCGGACTTGGCGGCCGACACATTGCGCGTCGCTTGGAAGTAGATGGGCAGGTAGTAGAGCAGGACGAAGAACGAGCCGGCCACCATGAAAATGTACGCCGACATGGCCGCGATGGTGCGGTCTTTCACAAGTCGGCCTTGCAGCAGAGCCCGGTCGCCCTGGAAATACTCAATCACCACAAACACGATGACCAGCACGCCGAATAGCACGAGCACGGCGATCACCGATCCGTCCGACCACGGCTTGGTCGCGCCTCCCCATTGCATGGCGAGCAGGTAGCAGATGATCCCGGCCATGAGGGTGAAGGTGCCGGGGAAGTCCATCTGGAGCAGTTTCTCCTTGAGCGGAGCCACTTGCGGCCGCGCGGCTTTGGGAGTGTGGAAGAACAGAACGATGATGCCGGCCGCGACGCCGCCGATCGGCAGGTTGATGTAGAAGCACCATCGCCAGGTCAGGTTGTCGGTGAAGACGCCGCCGAGCAGCGGGCCGATCACTGAAGCAATACCAAAGACCCCACCCATGACCCCGGTGAATGCCGGACGATGTTTCGGCGGCGCCGAGAATGCGATGATGGTGTACGACCCGGACGCGATGCCCGCGCCGCCCATTCCGGCGATGGCCCGGCCCACGATCAGCGTGGTCGAGCTGTTGGCCACGGCACAGATCAAAGAGCCGACCTCGAAGATGAAGATGCTCATCAGATAGCCGATCTTCAGAGGGAAGTACTTGTACACTTTGCCCCATGTGGCTTGGAACGAGCCGAGCGTCAGGAAGAACGCGCTGCCGTACCACCCGACTTGGTCGAGAGAATGGAATTGATCCGTGATGCGCGGGATCGCTGTAGCCACAATGGTCATATCCAAGGCCACCAGGAAGATACTGGCGGCCAGAGCGACCACGATCATGGCCAGCGGAAACGCCGACGGGTAGTCGGAAGTGTCGATGCGCGAGAGTTCCCGCTCCAACTCGGCGTCTTTTTCAATGCACACGGATTGGCCGGACGAGGCGCGGCGATCGACGCCGACTTCTTCTTGTCCCTTTTCCTTTTCATTCTCCGCCGTGGGTGGTAGAGGAGGCTTGGCCAGGTCGGAAATGGAGGTTGTGGCAGAGGCCTGCGAGGAGGGGAGGGCAGCCATTGTCACGATCTGGGAAGGGGCACAGACAAGCTTGATGAAGAGGAAGATAGAGAAGGAATGTTTGTCAAAAAGAAAATGACTAGGCTGAAGGAGAGAAATGCTTTGGGCGAGGGATAGAAAGCCAGTCAGATATATATTTTCCATTCGCCTAACATGTGTGCAGTTGTCCCAACTCAACTCTCAAGGCGCCCACCTGGCCGTCTGGAAATAAGGGACATAACGTTAAGGCCCGCATACAGGAAGTCACCATGATGTGGCACTGGCCCGTCGCAGTCCCCGAGCATAACGTTTCGTCCGTCGGCTGATAGACGCAAAGGGCATCCCAGTCATCAACATAGACTTCAAAGCCCTGTAGACGGGATAATGTGGGTATGACAAGAAAGGAAAATATTGTGAATCATAACGACCCTGTGTCCAAAAGGAATAGAGTTGGAATGAAATACGTCGGTCAAGCGTCGTCGTGATACGTGATTCGCGACGTGGAGACAAGGCTGAAAGAAAGGGGGGTCGAGATTGGTCGAGAGCGACGGCTGAGGCTGTCATCCGGGCTCCGCAATGGATCCAAGATAGCGTTCTGCAGTCGGGACAGGATCAGGCAGCAGCAGAGAAGGGAAACATGATGGACATAGGGGAGGAGACAAGGGCTGTCAGCAGCAGCGGAGAAGCCGAAAAAGCTTACGGACCAAAAAGGGGGAGGGTTTGATCCCGGGGTCTGGAGCAGGGGAGCAGGGGAGCATGGTCTGTTCGCTTCTGACATCTTCCAATCAGGCGTCCAGGCTGACCGGAAAAAGGACTGAAGTTGCTCCGATTGAGGTGATTGTTATCGAATACGAGGATGGATGACGCCGAGTGAAAGGAGGCCTGATAACATTCTCGAGAGACGGGAAGGAAAAGAAAGGGACGAAAGGAGAAGGTGGAGGATGGAGGTTGGAGGTTGGAGGTTGGAGTTCGTCCGGCGATGACTCAGCATATCCTCCCATCTCGTCCGAGCCACGGACGAACCATAATGGATTGGTGCGAGAGGTCATGACAGCCACATTTCGGGCGTGAGCCACGCTTACATGGACCACTGCACTGCTGTCTGAACATTATCATTTGGTCAGACCGAAATCTTCCAAGAATGATGACAAACCAGGCATCAACTTGAATGCCACTTTCAACCTGAGTCTGTTACCACTGCGCAGTCAATCCACGGCCGGCTGCCTCTACACACTGTACACTGTATCCAGCATGGTTGGTCAGTCTTGAGCAGTGAGCATGATAGCCTTGCAAAGCAAGTGTGCTGTACTCTATTCTTGAACGTTCCACGGAGACCCATGAAAGCGGTGTAACCAGTTCTTCGGTCGATTCCACCTTTCCAGGCCTGCCCGAATAACTTCTACCCCAGGTTGCGATCCACGTCTAGCGGCATCGGTGATACGGCTGCCACTGTTGACCCAAGAGTTTTGGAGTGTTATCAACCACCCAGACTGAATACGGGCGGTGGACACGGAGCAGGATTTCAATCGCTAGCTCTATCTGCTGCGACATTGGTCTTTGCATTTCTTACCTGAGGTTCGGATTTGGGTGCTGCCTGCGCAGGGGACGGCACATCATTGCTCTAGTCTTCTGCTCACACCCTTTTCTTCGTCCATCTCGTCCTGGAATTCGTCCGCGTCGCTTTGGACGTCAAGCCTACCCTCCTGTGCAAAATGTCCCGTCCTGCGAGTTCATCTACTTCGCCATACAATGAGGCCCTTGGGTTCACCTCCGATCACAATCAAGGGCCGCCGAGGAAGAAGATGCGAAAAGGAACAAGGAGTTGTCTGGAGTGCCGGCGGAGGAAGATCAAATGCACATTTGAGCCTGGAAGGCCCGCCGTCTGCAACGAATGTCATACGCGTGGCTCCACGTGCATTGATCAAGAACATGGTGATATTAACACATACGTTCAACCTCCCGTAGAGCAGGCTTCGTCGTATAGCTTGCGAGAACGGGTATCACAACTGGAAGATCTTGTGAAACAGGTGCTGGATCGCTTGCCAGAGAAAGAACCCAACACATCCTCCAACTCCAATTCCAATTCCACCTCCACCTCTACCGCCGATGCGGAAAAAAGCCAGGTCGATGCCCAGGCCGCTGAAGTCCTCAAGAGTCTGAAAGGGTCACTGCGACAAGCAGAGGCCAATGCCGTCGATGATTCGATTTTCCTTCCTGCCGGTATCCGAGAAGACGCCCCTGCCATGACCTTGTTCGACAATGCTGTCATTACCACGAGGAAAGAGAATCAGGCCGTGGTGTCGAGGGCTCAGCATAACAAGACCAAGGCTCTTCTTGCAGCCCTCAATAAATTGTTGCCGCCGCCGCACGATCTCGATATCATCCTAGAATCGAGCCATGAGTGGTGGGCAATCTGGAGGACCATGTTCCCCGCGATTACAGACAGCCGGTGTGAAACCATCAAGGAATCCGTGTCGCATTCGCTACGGTCCGACAAGCCAGCCGAACTTGCAAAGATAATGCTCTGCATTGCGATCAGTATCCATCAGTTACCTATAACTTATGACTGGTCACGCCTACACATGAAGGTGGAGCCGGCAGAGCTGATGGAACGGTACATTGCCACGGTCGACAAGTTAATCACCTCGGATGATGAGATCGCCGCGACCTTGGATGGAATCGAATGTATGATGCTCGAAGCCAAGTACCATATCAACATGGGCCGACCAAGACGTGCTTGGCTTCTATTCCATCGGGCCATTGGATTCGCACAACTTCTGGGTTTCCACAGACTACCCGCGCAAGCAGACAAGGCCTCCTTGGACCATCAACGTTCGGTCGATATGTGGTGTCATCTTGTCCTGGGGGACAGGTATCTAGCCCTTCTTCTTGGCCTGCCCTATTCGGTTGCCGAAGCCTTTGTCACACCTCATTTACCTACATCGTCTACAGCTCACACTCCAATAAAGGCCAGCGGTGGCGAGATCTACGTCGCCCGGATGCTACCTATCGTCACCAAACTCAATGACCGGAATCAAAGCGTGACTCCTATGGGTTACTCTGCCACATTGCGACTGGACCAGGAATTGGAGGAATTACACAATGACGAGGATCCCTCGTGGTGGTCAGTCGATCCCATCCCTGGAGCCTCGGTGGAGGAACACTTTGATCGATTACAAGCACAATTCTTCCATCATCAAATCAGAGTTTTTATCCATATGCCATTCATGCTCCGATCCTCCTCCGATAAGAGGTACCAATACTCCCATTCCGCCGCCCTGGACGGCGCGCGAGAAATGATCCGAATTTACGATGCACTGCGGACGAACGAGAGCGTGGGGCCATTCATTTGCAAACTGGTTGATTTCCAGTCGTTCACTGCGGCCATGCTGTTGTTGCTGAATCTTTGCGGATATGCCCAACAACACCGCGGCAACAACGGTCAGGTCCCGGATCTAGAGCAAGACCAAAGGGACTCGGAGCTGATCGACCGGACGATTACATTGCTGAAACATGCAGCAAAGGAGCCCGGCGGCGTGGTTGCCGCGCAATCCGCCCAAGCGCTTGAAATGCTGGCTCGCGTTCGACAAGGTTGGGAAGACGACGAGACCGGTGGATGTCGAGGTCAGACGTGCCAAGTCTCCATCCCCTACTTCGGCACCATTTCCATCGGGATGGGGAAACAGTTCGTGCCCATCAAGCCAGGAACATATGTTCAGAGGACACCTGGTGGCTCGCACAAAAATCCGACCACGTCAACCGCGGCGCCCTGTGGAATGCCTAATGTCGGGCTTCCCACTCCTCCATCCATGTCATCATGCAGCACCCAACCATCACCCTTATCATCGGCGATCGACAATTTACATTCTCAGCCCTCGCTTCCGCAAACCCAGCGAGCACCCGTCTACGAACCCACCAGCTACATAGCCTCGGGACTGGAGAATTCGTGGCCTGAATCCGATGACCCGTTTGTCACCTTCGACAGCTTCATGTCATTCCCCGCGGGAGCCACCGATCTCCCTTCGGCCGGAGCCACCAGCTCGTCTGGCTTTACACCGCAGCAAACATCACAGAGCCCGCATACCGGTGTAACGCACGACCCGACGAACGCTGGCGGCGTTCCTGGCGGATTCGACAATCTTGGACAAGGACAGGGACAACCTCAAGGGTTTCCGTTCGGAAGTCTGCCGTTCGGCCATATCCCCGTCGACCTCGACCAAGGCTGGAACTGGTTTGGGGTGAATGCACCTAATTTTTGAGGAAATTCTATTTACCGCCACAAGCGATGAGTGGCAGTGCGGTGCGGCTGTAAGAGACTGATGTGATGATGATTCCTTGGAGCGATGATCTATTTCCTTCGCGCCAAGAAGAGATCCAAGGGGGCGAAGGACGTCTATGTTACGACTCTGATGTCCAGTCCATATGGCTCATGTTTTCAATGTGTGTACATTACGACCCTGATACTGGGTAAGATACCCCAAGCAGCTACGCAAGGAACGACAGGCCATTTTGGTGGTTTTAAAAGCATAATGAAGAAACATTTGATCAGATGTGAAAAGCTTGCCCGTCAATAGGTGATTGTTCTATGAGTGATATCAATTCCATCGTGCCCCGAGCAGGTGAAATTCCCATTCGCAGCACCTCGAGGTCAACTCGGAACTTGAAGCGGATATGGACTTTGGAGAGATCTTGACAAAATCCACCACCGAGGAATTTGGTATCTAGATCATTAATCAAAAATAAAAAACATGTCGAGCGAGTACGGTAGAGATGTTAGAGGAGTTGGTTGCAGACGAACATCAGGGGCTAGTAGCAAGAAGGGACACAGAGAAGAAATGAGACTTAGGATATATAAGTCCTTGTTATTGTAGATTCTAGTATCATAACACGAGATTATAGAATGAAGAATCATGTTCCATGTGATGGACAATGTCCCATCCACGTCCATATCCATTAAATATATCTGCATAGTACCCAATCCATGTCCATATCCATATATACATCCTTTTCCAAAATATGTCCCCCTTTCTTTGGAGGAGCTGTACAAAAGAAGCCCGGTCCCAGTCCTGTTCCAATCCATTCCAGCGCTATGCTGGTGGAGGCGCCACGCTATGCCGAAAGTCGTTGGATATACATTTGTTGTATACAAAAAAGGGGTGAAGTGAAATAAGTCAGTGTCCGATTGCACTTTTGAATGCCGTGGCTGTGATCTGACGTGAATCGTGGAGAAGAAGAGAAGTCGTGAAGAAAATGGTATCTCAAGAAGTAGAAGAAGAGGGAGACGATTGAGGCGTGCCTTTTGGCCGAGGAGTGAAAGGTGGAGTGATGTGGCGGATGTGTGGTCAGGGGTGCTGTTTTGGTGTGATCATGAGGTCGGCCATAAGACTTTTGGTGTTCGTCTCGTATGTTTGGGCGCATAATATCCAATCAAGTCCAATTCATGTGGAAGCGGTAGATCAGTGCTGCAGTGTTGCTGGTCCGAAAAAAAGGTATCTTCAGTCGATCGTGGCGGGGACGAAAGTAGGAGAGAGTGAAAAAGGACAGGATCAGGGTCTATCGGACCCATCTTCCACCCCAACCGCCGCGACCTTTCCAGTCTGCCCATCTGCCGCCACCGCCGTGCCAGCTCCACGGACTTGGAACCGCGACCGTTTCAGTGACGGTTGGAGCTGCACCGGGGGTGGTGTCGACTGGGACGACTGGGATAGCAGGGACATCAGGGGCAGTAGTGACAGCGGCAGCGGCCGAAGTGGGCTGGGCAGCTTGCGAGAAGAAGGTGGTTGTGGGAGGCAGGTCGATGGTCAAGATGTTGCTGGAGACGATGGTGAAGAGGGTGGTGGCGGCAGTGGGGACGGCCACGGCAGAAGTGGTGGGTGCTGCGGTCGGCGTGGTGTGGGGCGAGCTGGAGCTCGGCACGCCGCCGTTGTCGGTGTACACCTTCAGACTGTTGATGAGCCAGTAGGTGTCCTGGAACGCGGCCGGGTTGTTCTGCACAAATGCCTGACAGGTCGACCCTTGGCTGGCACAGGTCGCGTCCGAGGACCACACGTTGCCAGCCCAGTCGCCGCAGAAGGTGACGTCGAAGACGAGTTGCTGGTTCTGGATCTTGCTGTCAATGTCGCAGCCGCCGGCGAATTGTCCCTGAGGAAGACCCCAGCCGGTCGGGTCCGGGGTGCCGGCCGTGATATCGGCAGGGATCCCGCTGCGCGGGAAATACCAGATGTTGACGGCGTCGCTGGTCCACTCGGTCGCGTAGACGCCGCCGCCGTTCCAGTTGAAGCCGCTGCCGAAACTGGTGGTGTCGCCACTGCGGATGGAGCATCCTGCATTGCTCGCTTGGTCGGCCGCGTCCACGTCGCAGTTGGCCGTCTCCAGACTGCCGGAGAAGGCGCCAGTGTTGGTGATAGAACACCCGGCGTCCGTGTGCATCGCCATATTGTTGGTGTTTTGGTCGTTGACGCCTTCGATGATGTCGATCTCTCCACTGTACGGCCAGTTGGGACCCAGTAGCCAAAATGCTGGCCACGTCCCGCAGACTCCAGCTGGCATGTGGGCAAGGTCGAGGATGATCAGGCCGTGGTTGTAGGATTTCTTGCTGCTGATTCGAATGCTGTCTCGACCACGGCCGGAGGCGGTGTTGGTATTATCGACTCCCATATATACGGCACCATTTTCGATCTTGTACAAGCCGGAGCTTGTCGCGTCGTCTTGTGAGATGTAGTTCACGTATCCGTTTGTTGGATCATCGTCCTGTTGATGTTAGTGTTGGTGTTTTGTCGAATTGCTGAAAAGAACCTTCAAGAGGTACTCACTGTGTAGAAATCAAACATGGATGCAAAAGATGATGCCTCGTAGTCATCTTCGATCACATATGTGGCTGTCGCTGTGGCTGCTGCAAGAAGTGTCAAGCTAAGGATTGAGACACGCATTTTGCTCGATTGCAACTGTTGGACTTGCGCCTGGTGAATTGGGGGATAGCAAGCTTGCAACTGCAATGAGTATGAGAGAGTGTGTGCAGAACGCCATAACGAAGCTAACGAACGGACTGGCTATATACTCAGTTGCAGGCTTCGAAACTGGCAACATAATGAGGCTGGTCAAAAGGTGACGATAGCGAAATGGAGATGTTAGCACTGCGAAAATGCGTATGCTGGGAAGAACGCTCGGACGGGCTGGACCGAGCCCATCTGAGAATCTATACGCAGAGCCAACCACGTTGGAGAGCACGTATAGATGTGGAGTGACCATGGTCGGAGCAACCATGGGGTTGGTTGTGCTCAGACATTGTAGAGCTCTGTGCTTGATGTCGTTGAAGGCTGGGAAACCAGTGAGATACTATGGAAGACCTAAGAGGCCGGAGGGGTCGCCGCTCAGACCATCTGGCGGAACCAGAAGCTCGGACAGCAAGGCCCTGAGACTTCAGACCGTCCTGGGGACGAGCCTGATAACTGGTGGATGGTATAGTTGAACTGGAGCAGCGTAAAGGTATCCAGTGGGAGTACTATCGTCCTGACCAGTTCTAGCCCGGCACCAGGGCTTCTGCTTCTGCAAAGTCAGAGTAGCTTCAGGGCCGGGTTCGCTGGGAGAATCTAGAATCTGGACTCTGGCGACGGAGCCTTGCCCTCTTCAGACAGATACACTCACACTCAGTCTTTGGGTGCTTACCACTGCAACACTATTCTTCCAGGGGCAAAGCTTCATGGGGAGTTACCATTTTCTGATCAGAGTCCTGCTCTGACCGTGCAGACACTTCGTCATCTTACCGAGGAGAGACTGCGTCATGCATGGTCTGAAACACAAGCCAGGTCACCAGGAATTGGCTTGCGACAGCCGCCAGATGGTCCCAGCCAGACGGTACAGTGTCGAAGAAACACATTGCGGTGACTGTGGTTGTGTGTGCTGTGTGTAGGGGCCGATGCTTTGCTGGATCGAAGGCTGTAAACATGTCAACAAGGCGATGGATCGATGGATCGATGGACGGACGTCAATCGGGAAATTGACACTAACCTAATTTGGAAGGCTAAGCCAGAGTCACGTGGCAGGGCTTATTTTGATTGGCTGTATGTGATCCAGCCTTGTGCCGCTGCAGCCTCGCTGGGCATCTGGACATCTTGACCTCTCCATTATTAGTGCTGTCTGTCCACGATCTTACACTTTGCACGTGGAGTGCTGTGTATTCTGGTTGCGTGTCCCTGTGGTCAGACTTGCGTATCAGGCTCCTCGCTACAGTTCACTGACTGCTCTGTGAACTTATGCTCTCCCGCCGCCTATTTCTTGGGTCATCCGTGCACAATCCTGACCACTCATCTGCCACGTAAGCTTGCGACCCGGGCCTGGATCTGGTCAATGCTCATTCTTCAGCCACCTCAGCCTCATGATTCTTTTTTTGCACTCCCTAAATCCTCATCAGGTGAGTTGACACCAAGCAACGTTGGAAAGCGACCAGACAGTGGCATCCAGGAACCAGCAAACCAGATGATTACTTGTCTCGAATCATAGCCAGATTATCGAACATCTTATAAACGAACCAGCAATATTACCACGCGTTCTCCAAAGTAGACTCTTGCTTTCTGGGATACGGGTTTGAAACCACGTGTGCAAGAAATGTTTAAGTCTCGATTATGTCGGTTGAAGTGCCTTTTGGATCCGGGTAGCATTCGCAGAGTCGCCTTCCTTTGTCCTCAGGCCGGAGCTGGGGCTATAACAGCCTATCTAGGCCAGCAATGTTCCAATATCAGGGTACCGGCTGATTGACGGGGAGTCGAATGTACCTCATTGATTGTCAGAGCCGTGTCCTCTGCTCCTCAGGGTCTCCTCTTCAATAGCCGGTCGCTGCAATCTTAGGCTATGTCCATGATATGCTGGGCTTGTTGACAAGCTCAGAGCATCATTCAGCTGATATACTTGGGCAAAAGTAGCATGATTTGTGTCAGGACTGAGGAATAGATGAAATTAGCCATCCAATCATTTGGAGAACCCGAAGCTGGATGCAGGACAAGATCCTGCATTGTTTGCCCAGGCAGGCGCCGATACCGTCGCCGCGATGGACTGCAGGAGCCAAAGCAAGATTGATTGCAAGCAGCAAGGCTGGAAAAGGGATTTCCTTCCAGAGTTGAATGTGTTCTGGTCTCCTAAGTGGTAAAGATGCAATGATCTCATCAATAATCCTCGACACCAACGTACCATGATCCACACTGCAGGGCATCGTGTCCGGGCTTCACATGCACTAGCCTGAGAGTGGTTTGAAATCATATCTTATGTGCAGGTAGGCTTGGGGACCAGGCTGACAGAGGACAAGACTTTGCGTGACCCGATATTCTGATCCGTTCTAAGTGTGACACGAATGAGAATGATGAAAGAAGAGTGCGTCTGGAACAGTCCGTGGTTCTGTAGGTCGGAATGATCGCAAGGCTGAGACCACAGACTACGCAGTATGGCTGATTGATTACCTAGACAGGCCATTTCGTGACACGACACAGCAGGAGAAGACTCCCGATGAAGTTGAATTCTTCAATATCCCGATAACGATAGCGATAGCGCGACAGACAGTTAGTGCTATCAGGCAAGACAGGTCTTCCAGAGCAGGCAAGCCATGATTATGACGACGAGTGACACTGAAAGAAGAGAAGGACCTTGTCTTTCAAGTTGCTGTCACTGAAGGATCCAATAACAAAGTCATGGAAGCAGAAGCTGTGGAAGGCCCTGATGTTCAATCCTTATCGAGCCATGATCTCACGCTGCTTTAATAACAACGTATATACGTATAAACATCTCCCGCCTGCGAAAAGGAAATATGTCTTCGCCTTGACCTCGAAGCAGTCAACTTGAACGCCATTGATGAGCTTGTCGACCTTAGCATACGAGTACACCAGCTTGCGATGGCCTGAACATGATATCCTGACAATGGTGAGGATACGCTTTCCCTTCCCATACCCATACCCATTCCCAAGTTTGCACGCACATTCATGTATGTGATGTGCATGTAAGTTGGCTCCCATCTTCCTCCAACACCAATGATATACAAATGCCTTCTTTGCAAGACTTGACAACGCCCTCGCGCTCACGTTCACGCTCACGCTCACGCTCGTCTCTATCGACGCACCCGACCTGCCTTAACACCATCTCACCACCGCTGCCGCCCTCATCATGAGCAGCACCAGCACCAGCACCAGCGGCAACAGCAGCGCCAAAGCCAAACTCCCCACGTCCCTCGTAAACACGCTTAGCACGCACGCCGGCCCAATCAACGCCATCACCTTCTCCTCCCTCGGCGGGACCTATATTCTTACAGGGTCATCGGACCGACAAATCCACCTATCTCGCTCGGAACCCAACACCACCACCTCTTCTTCCGTTCCACCCACCACCAATAAACCGATCCAGAAATACGCAGCGCATGGCTACGCCGTGCTCGACATCGCAGTGGCACAAGACAACCAAACATTCGCCAGCGCGGGCGGCGACCGCGCCGTGTTCCTCTGGGACGTGCAAAACGCCGAAGGCACACTGCGGCGATTCGGAAACAACACGAGCCAAGGCCACACGAGTCGAATCAACTGCGTCGCGTTCGCAGGTCAAGGGGACAGTGTTCTGGCCAGCGGCAGCGACGACACGTCAGTGCGGCTATGGGACGTCAAGAGCCGAGACGCCAAACCTCTGATGGTGCTGGAAGAGGCCAAAGACGGCATTTCCAGCATCGTCGTGCCGGGAAACGGACACGAGATCGTCGCGGGGAGCGTCGATGGACGAGTCCGAAGCTACGATGTGCGCATGGGCCGGGTTACGGTCGATGTCATGCCGGGGTCTGTCACGAGTCTGGATGTCTCGCGTGACGCGCGCGCGCTGTTGGTCGGCTGTCTCGACGGCAGGCTTCGCATGATGGATCGTGCCGATGGCACTTGTCTCCGGGGGTTCCCGCCCGAAGGGAATACTGAGGAGTACAAGAACGACAGTCTGAGATTGAAGAGCTGTTTCGCCGTCAATGAGAGTCTGGTGTTGAGCGGGAGCGAGAATGATGGCAGTGTGCGCGCCTGGGATGTCTTGTCGGGGAAACATGTGGGGAATGTCGAAGTCAATCCTTCAGGGAAGGTTGTCAGTGTGGTCAAATGGAGGGAAGGCAGTCTGGCTCAAGCTAGACAGGGTCTTTGGGCCGGAGGTGGCCTGGAGGGCGTGGTCAACATATATGCTGCTGCGTAGGGAATAAGGAGTTGACTGGCTCTTAGGCGGGTGAACGAAACGACGAATACCGAATACCGAAGAAACAATGAACAATCTACATCATGACCTTGGTTGAAGATATCCTTCACACCAACACTATACCATTTGAAGCGCCCGAACTAGAGTGTTTTCTAAAGCAATGATTTTGAGGCATCATCTTAACATCTGTCCCTATACAAGCCCCCTACGAAATCCGGAATGCTGCAGATGCAATGAAATGCCTCGTCCAGGAGTGGCCAGGACCCTATAACATACTTTTCCCTCATGCCATGCAAGTTCATGTTTTGTCCAGCTCGTCCGCTGAAAAGTCACACTGAAATGTAACGCAGCCAGTTCCAACCAGCCCCAGCCATATGCATTCAAAGGCCTCGGATATGGTCTTCGTTTCGTGGCCCGACGTTGCTTTTCTCTCCATCACGGCCGATGACGTGAAGAGAAGCATCCACTTGAATGATGCAAATAAATCCTCATCCCTTTCACTGTTGTCGCTGCCATTGCCCATGCCCATGCTGCTGTCGTATCCATTCGTGTATCAGAGAGTAATTCCTTTGATCCCATTCACCCTTGCTGTCCTCTCAGGGTTCAAGGCTGTACCTCAGTGAAGCCATCCGCCACTCTTTTCATCCCGTAATCCAATGCATCAAGCGCCTTTTCCAACTGACTCTCACGTACAATCACCGTGCCTGCTCGGGCTGTACTGAGGAACGAAATCTCGATTGATTCCTCTGGACTGATGTCGACAGTTCTTCCAGTACCGGGGCTCTTATCCGACATCTTTGGACTGCTGCGGCCTCCGAGTCCTCCTTCACTTCCGTCGTCCATCTTCCCTTGCGCAAGACGTCCCGCAACACCGCATACGATCCCCGTGGCTTCCAGCGGCAGCTCACGCAGATCCAAGGTGATAGGGACCAATGCATCGTCCTCGGACTTGGCACCCAGCAGCGACCCGCCGAGACGGTCGAGCAGTCTGTGTTCTAGGAGAACAGAGATGGGTTCACCAGAAGTTATTGTCAGAGAGAGGAATTTGGCGCCAAAATCGAGGTCTGATTCTGGTCCCGAGCCTGTTCCGATGCTGTGTCCATTGCCAGTATCGTTGGTGTTTCCCTTTCCGTTTTCATCAGTAGATATGATGGTCGTCGTCATTGTTGTCCCCGTCAGCCCCACGCCCATACCCTCTTCTGGGGCAGAAGTCTCTGGGGTAGATATCGTCTCGGCGAGACGATATCTACCACCGGCCTGGACGTCAACATCGGCACCACTTTTGGTCGATGTGGTAATGTCCCCAGTATCTGACGACCGAGGCAGTGGTGCAGCAGCGGTCGCCAACAAGACCTGTAACAAGTCATTTTTGAGCCGTTCGTCACTGATCTGGTCGTATTCCCGACTCCCCGCACAATTGGCAAGTCTGATGCTGCTGTCTACGAGTGGAGAGATGTTGTTCCTCTTCAATTTGCTGAATGTCCGTATTTGCAGTTCTGGAATATCTTTAGCGGGAGGCGTGGTTGGTAAAGGGGTCAGAATGTCCTGGAGGGGCGGCGACTTCGGAGAGTTGTCAGGTCGTCCTGTTTGCGGAAGAGACGGGGAGGACGGTGATAGCTGAGAGACAAATGCATCGGCGGTGTGAGAGAACACGAAGCCTCGCTGTTGGAGGGCTTTGGTGACGGTTCGGCGCTGGCGAAACGGCACGAGTATGTAGTCTGAGAAATAAGTGGTAATGAAGAAGAGGCTTCTATTTCACAAAACGGAGAAGAATGTGTCAGCCAGGCTGTCATTGAACCAGATGAAACCAATCAAACGAAACAGTAGAGTCAAGCAAAAGTGAAGGACACAACTAAAGCATAACGGGCGCTCAGAGTCAAGACTTACATTCCTGCCATGGCCAGAGGAGATGTGAGTTCCAATACTCTCTGACCGGCATCGAGACCTTGTCCATCGACCTGGATGACAATATAGTCTTCGGCACTGATCTGGATTTCTGTCTTGTGATCCGACTTGTCGCTGCTGCTGGCGTATAGCCTATTTAAGACTTGCGCAATTGGGGCGACGAACCGATCTGCCAGACTTCTCGAGCAGATAATGGAACACTCAACGGGGGTGATAGAGACATTGAGGAAATCGTGTCGATTGGTCCAGGATATTTTGGCGGCGTCTTCATCGTGATCTTCGCCAAAGAGAAGTCGCAAGATCGGCTGTAGACAGAGCGAATACAATTCGATCGGGATGTGTATGAGTGCTAGATGGGGTTCCTGGGGGTCGAGAAACCGAGTCAGCCTGATTTCTTCGTTCGTGGTTCGATAGGCTCTCCCTTCACACCATTCTTGAGCCTCCTAAGTAAGAAACGATGGAAAATGGAACATCTCGACCAAACAGATGATGAAGCAGGTGATTGAGGTATTGTTAAAGGCGAAAACTTACAAGGAAAGAGATCTGCGCTGTGATCAGGTTCATAGAATCGGCCATCATGTCGTTGTGCGGACGGGATGCGAAGGCCGCACACGTTCCTGTGAGGATGGGAACAATCAGGCAGCCACCACAAGAGGTTGTGTTTGTCGCTGATTCTGATGGTTTCGCTCGTGCTAGGCGCGGAGTATGGCTTGGGTTGGGAGCGACAGAAGCTTGCGACAAAGAACCCTGTCGTCAGCCCCTTGCTTGAAAAATGCCCGTTAACGGAACCGGTGTGCTATTGCATGGTTGACGATGCCGGCGGCCGATAGAAGGTCAGAGCAAGTGGCTTCATTTTGTCTGGTCACAGGGTGGAGGGATTCAGTGCAGAAGAAAACACTGTGATGGAGGACGACAAGAATCAAGGGGATCAGTTCGCGCACAGTCGAGCGAGAAGAGAACACCCTTTTCTTCGAGCTTGTGTTGGATCAGTGGTGTTGGTGTGTGTGGACCGACTGGATCGGACCGGACCATAAGACTGAGTAGGGTGTAGTTTTCTACGTCAGAATGCGTCCTGTTGACCCAGTGAGATAAGAAAGCATTCGATGTGCGAGGGAGAACTAGGCAAGGACGAGGTTAGAAAAACCCCCTCTTGATGTCGGGAGTGGGTTGACCCATACTCGGATTGACAGCTGGGTGTACACATTGCAGTGCTACCGGAGTGAGTTGCCCGTTCCTAAACGATCAGTATTTGCCTTCTGGCGCCGGCACGAGGCCCTTCCTTCCAGCCAGGCATTTCTGGATCATGCCAATCTGAGAGTCAATTGGAGGATTCGGGAGCATCTGGAAAGAGACCATGCAGAAGGGTCATGCGGACCAGTTGTCACCCATCACCCATCAACCCTCCAACAACGGACGTCGAAAGCGCCCCTCATTCACGAGTCAACAGCGAGTAGCGTGGGGGTTGTGGGCTATGGAAAGAGTTTGACGAGGCAGATCTGGGACTAAGGCGTGAACGGTTGTGGGGAGGGAACCAGGAACATGAATGGAGACATCGAATCAGCAACAGTAGATGAGGAAGAGGGAATGGACATGGGTAACAAAACTAGAGTGGGAAGCAGTGGCCAGGGTCTGGCACTTTTTCGGGCAAAGTCTTGCAGCTGGCTGGCGGCCTGGTAGTTTGACTGATGCCGCGATAGCTATGTATCGTTGGATGGATGTCCTTTTCATTCCCCACGGAGACTCGACATGGCGAATCAGGGGACAAGATGACGTGCAGCTCCATTGCGCAAGCGTTGATATCTAGTCCTTTTCCGACGGGTAGTAAGGGGCTTGCGTCAAAGGACTGCCATCTTGCCGAACCACGACTGCACCTGAGGGATCGAAGGGGTCACTGTCGCAACATGTGTCTGCGCTGACTAGTGGTAACAAGTTGTTTTGGCGATATCGTCCAAAGCCCATGGCTACACCGCGCTGTGGCCGAATAGCCAAGTGATTCTTCGGTAGGCTCGTGTCAGATTTCAACTGGAACATTTGTCGGCTGATGGCTGATGGATCGTGCTCGCGAACTGCGGGGCTGTTGCGGCAAGACCGGCTTTGCAAGGACTGTCAAATGTGGCCTGCATACCCCCTGTCGCGTGGTTGATATCCAATCATGTGAGACCATGCCGACGCTTGAAAAGTGGAGGTGATAACGCTTGTTCTACCGTGACCGGAGGCCCTGACTCACGCAGTCTAGTTCTGTGACACGCTTCGAGGTCGAGAGAAACTGGCCACGCCGTCATTGAATGACGACCTCATGGAATAGCAGTATCCCTCTTTACGCGGCTCCGCCACGAGGTGCACCTCGACCACCTCTCGATGCTCCACCTCTCCCCCTACCACGGCCACGCGGTGTGGCAGGATTATTCAAATTCGCAGGCGGAGGGACGTTGTTGTGAGCCTTGGGACGAAAGTTCGGATTGTTTGCAACCACACCGGCCTGAGCATCGCCCCGGTCGACGGAGGTGTACCCTCCTCGGCCAGCTTGAGCCATAGCACCACGACCTCCGCGACCCTGTGCAAATGGATTGTTGGCTGGATTTCCACGTCCGTTCGCAGGCGAGGCAGAGAAACTGCGGATAGGCACGGTGAATTGTCCTCGACCACCGCCACCGTTTGCTCCTCCACGCCCGCTTGGAGCTTGACCGGCCACAGCCCCTCGCCACGACCCTCTCAGTGCTGCCGGGACCTGTGCTGGACGCAGTTGACCTCGGCCGTTGATTCCTGGCTGACCGTAACCGAGCACCGTAAGAGGAGAAGAGCTCGAGCCATTTGTCTGTCGGTTTGCGCTCGCTTTGGACCCAGCAACGACCTGTCTGTTACTGAGATTCAGAACTGACCATGTTGGTACTGTAGATCCTCGGAAAGGTGAGCAGCGGTCTCCCAATGAAGTGCCGCTCATGAAAGAGACGTCAAACACAATGTCCAGGAACGTCTCCCTCGTCGTCTGCGTTAGTCCGACCACGGTGCCCTTTGATGCAATCGGGACTTTGCCCGAGTCGGCCACATAGATGACTCTATCTCCCAGGGCGAATCTCTGGTTGCCTAGCCGCCATTGTGCGTCTGAGGGCTTCAACAAAGCATTCCGAGGCACTCCGCCGATGGTCTTGTTCTGTGGAGGTGGCTCGCTGCGCAATGCTTCATCAGCTGCTTGTTCAATACGCTTGACGACCTCGGAGTCGAGCTGCTCGGCTTCCAACGGCACCCGTTCGAAATTCTTCGACTCGATTTCCTTAAGCCACGCTTGGATTTCCTTTACCTTGGCCTTCACCTCTTTCTCGTCACATCCGGGAAAGTAGACCTTGGCTGGCAACATATCTCCTTGAGAGTTGTTGTGAATCGCCGCAATGAATTGCGGAAATTTGATCATGTACTGCTGGATTAACTCGACCGCAGCCTGACTGTATTCCCATCCAGTCGAGGTCTTTCTAGAATAGCCCAACACCTTGAGCTTTTTCCCTTCGAATTTGAGGTTGAGGCCGAGGTTCACTCGCTGGTCGTCAACCTTGACGGAGAATGACGATGTGATTTTGGCCAGGACCAAGGCGTTCAAGTTGAGGCTCCGGGCAACCTGGTATGATGGCGTGTATGGTGACAATCTCTCTGCTTGACGAGCGATCTCACGACCGAATTCAACTTGTCGCGCTTTAGAGTATGCGATGAGACATTTTGCTTTTCCCTCCTCATGGCCAACCACACTGACCGGCATCCCGTATGCATAGTCTCCAAGGAAGAAAGCGTTTGTACCATCGGGAAATTCTTCCTCGATTGGGACAGCAGCCTTCTCGATGAAACGGACGTCCTCGCTGATAACGCTTTCCACAACGAGTTGCGTCGGGTGGATCGTTTCCAACCCGGGCATTTCGGCGAATTCTTTGACTGTCGACCCATCATCCAGTTTCTTGAGGCCTTTCAGCATCTCGACATGGACCAAGGACTCGACATCGCCAATTATCATTCCAAGTCTCTTGCTGTACCATTTTTCAACACGCTCTGATTTCTTGTAGAATTGATCAACTTCATTTCCAGCATGCTCTGTCGGCCTGACGTCCTGAGGTGCGTGTTCTGGACTAGTGTAGTCAAAAAGTTCGTCTGAAACCTTGACAATCTTTGCCTCTTGCAAGAACGGGTATCCAATGAAGACGCGCTGGTTGAGCATTCGTTTGGCGTATTCGACTTTCGTCCGCGTCTCTGTGTCCAACACGGTGATGATCATGCTCTCATTTCGACTATCTTGTTGGAAGACGTTGACCCCATGGAACCTAAGGGATCCGGTGAAAGGCAACGTTTTCAAGGTCGGAAACCCGGCCAAAGCGGCGGCCCCGAGCTTGGTGCCCTCCAGCAGGCCAACATACGGGTCCAGGCCATCCATGGTAGGAAGCTCGAACTCGTTCTGAATGCAATGGCAATGCGGGAGATCAGGAAAGACGCCAACCAAGGAGGACGGGTAAGTGTAGTCGACCTCGGGGGAATAGGTGAACTTCAGGCTGATACCGAAATCATTGCGAAGCTGTTCTTCTTCCGAAAGAAGCGCGTCTTTCGGAGCCATGGCGGTGAGTAGTCTCTTCTCGTCGATGAAGGGAATCTTGACCACTGCTTCCCATTCCATCTTTTTGCCATTCATGTCGAGTTCAAAGTCTCGTGGATAGAAGTCGATGATGGGGGAGTCCTTGGAGGTCATCAACTCGTGATAGACCTGAGGGACGATCTTCTTGCTTCGGTCGGGTAGCACTCCCATGAGTTGCTGAAACGGCCGGAATGGTTGACCGAGTTGGAAGTTCATGTCGGCTCCCAGCCCTTTCTTGATGTCGGATATCATGGGCGAGTAATGGTACTGGTAAAACCACGGCCAAGAGGCAATACCACGGTAGTAATAGAACAGCACCCATTGCAGACCTTGAACATAGTTCTCCGTCAATTTTCTGAGTTCTTCCTCGTTATCAAGTCCCCAATTGAACTTTTCCTGGTAGTACTTGTCTTTCCACTCGTGGAATTTGGCGTCGTACTTGGCTTTCATGTCTTGCTGAGTCTGCTCGTCCGTGGCGTCTTCAACGCGAGCATTTTCGTAGCGCTTGAGAACCCGAGTGACGGCTAGTTGGGCTTCTTCATCCTCTTCAGAGTCCTCGTCCTTGCCAACCGACGGAAATTCTAATTGGATGAAACGATTGCCATCTTCGTCCTCTTGCGTCAACCATTGCAGGTTCAAATCGGTGGCGAGCTGCTCGATGAACTTTCGATCTCTTGCTGGTAGAGTAGGAGGAAGCTTCAGTGGCTGTCTAGTAGCGGGGTCTTTGTTGGCTGGAGCGATGAAATACTTCTTCACGTCCTTGAACAATTTCTTCTGCTCAGGAGTGATCCTGACTGGGCCACGGGAAGATTTGAGAGGCTCCTCTCCGTTTTGGCCATTTGCCTGGATGTTCCGCTTCGCGTTGATCCACTTCGCATCCGCATATTCCGCCTCAAAGAAGCGATACTCGACATCGGACAGCGCATCTAGGAGAACACCCAACCGCTGCAGATTGATGACACCGTGTTCATTGATGTAACCTCCGAGTTTGGGAAGGATCTCTTTGTACTTTTGAAACATGAGCGCCAGCGCTCCTTCGTTGATGTGCAAGTTTGGAAGATTCGGAAGGAAATCGTTGCCAACAAAGAAAGCCATGAGGATAAAATCGTCAATGACCCGTTCCATGTCGAAGGGGAAACTGAGGGCTCCATCTTGTTCCAGTTCCTGGAATTCCAGCTCTAGGTACTCTCTGACAATGCACAGATGTAGGAGGTAGAAATTCTGATGCTCTAGTTCCTTTGACTTTTTGGTGGCTTGTCTTCCGAAAGTGACTTCCTCTCGAAGCAAGCAGAAATGAGGATCGTGACTGAGCAGACCCAACATGATGAGATCTGCATCCAGCCCGTACAAGCAATGGCGGACGTTAGGGTCGTAACCTGGCTGCGCCTTGGCCTGCCGGATATACTCCATGATCTTGTGCTCGCCTTCACCGGGAACTTCGTGACCCGACAAGACGATTTCCACGCCTTGCCAGTCAACGTCCTCGGAGACTTTCTTGCTGATGAAGTACTTCAACTGCTTGGTGAGCTTAGCCATGAACTCGGTTCCCGGCGTGATACAATTGCTGTCGAAAGGTTCTTCCTTCGGCATCTCCAAGCCCTCTTTGATGGCCTTTTCCCGGGCCTTTTCATTGTCGAGGGCGGTGCGGAATCGACGAGCGCGCTGCTGATTCATTTTGGCTCGGGGAGCTACCCCATCAATTGCCATGAAGAACAGCTGTTTGGGTTTGATCTTGCCATAAAGATGCTCTATGTAATTGAAAATCGCAATGAACATCGTCTCCTCCGTCATCCGAAAGGTGGGCGAATCTGAGTCTTTGTGAGTGCAGTTGTGGATGATGCCGTTCATGTCCAGATAGAGACAATCAAACTCCGGGATGCGGTTCTCTGCGATCAATTGAGAGATGGCAGGATACCGCTCGCTGAGCCATCTGAAGAATTTGGGGACACCCATGGTGGCGGTGGGTGCAGGCCAAACGAGAGACTTGAGATTGGGTGAAAAGGGAGATGGTCCGGATTTAGGATTCAGCTATCGTACATGCGGCAACGAGCGTCGAAAGGCAGATGAGGAATATCGCAGACTAGGACCTAGATTATCCTGTCGATATGGGTATTGAGGATGAGCAACAATTTGGCTTGGTGACAACGATGTTGGCGAGGCGAAGTTCGATGACCTGAAGTTGCCAGGTCGATGCCAAGACCACTTTAGTCGCCGACCAATGACAAGCCTTTATTCCTCGTGCCCTCTTCACGCGTCGCTCCTCGTCTTTACTACTATGGGACTGCGCACGCGTTGGATTCAGACGATGAGCATCTTCGCATCTACCTACGCCGCTATTCTATCAGTCTGAAATTCATCCTCACTTATTATCACCTCCCTGTCCTCTGATCCGATAGCCACCTTGGCTCTTCCTTTTCTTCTTTCCTTAGGTGGACTGGGCCAAGATGGCTGAAGAGGATGAAAATAGTAAGATGCTACCTCAGCCATGTCGGTGATTTACTAACACCATCACAGTGAGCGAAGAGCTCAACGCCGAAGATGCCGAGACAGCCCAGAAGATAATCAACGAAGAATACAAAACATGGAAGAAGAATGCCCCCTTTCTCTACGACATGATCCTGAGTACGGCGCTGGACTGGCCTACTCTCACCACACAATGGTTTCCAGACGTCCAAGAGTAAGAGCAGTCTGTGAAACAGTGTCTTTCGCGTGTGCTGATGTATTAATTTAAGGGTGCCTGGTACCAACTATTCGAAGCATCGTCTCCTCATCGGCACGCATACTGCTGAGGGTCAGCAAAACTACCTGGAAATTGCCAACGTGCAACTACCAAACCCCAAGAAGCCGGATGTAAAGGATTACAATGAAGAAACGGGAGAGATTGGGGGATATGGCGGAGGTGCATCAGGCAAGAATCAGATCGAGGTCAAATTCAACATTGTCCAGAAAATCGACCACCCGGGCGAGGTCAACAAGGCCCGATATCAACCACAGAACCCCAACATCATCGCTACCATGTGTACGGACGGCCGGACCCTGATATGGGACAAAACAAAACACACTAGTATTCCCACCGGAAAACCAAATCCTACTCTGGAGCTTGTTGGACACGAGAGGGAGGGGTATGGCGTGAGTTGGAACCCTCGTGAAGCCGGTCAACTGGCTACAGCAAGCGAAGATTCCACTGTAAGACTATGGGACATCACACATGGGTCAAAGGCAAACAAGGTGGTGAAAGAATTACGCAAGTATACCCACCACAACAGCATCGTCAACGACGTTCAATATCATCCCAACCTCCCTCATCTACTGGGGACGGTATCTGATGATCTGACAATGCAACTTCTGGATCTGAGATCCCCCGACACCACTCGAGCGGCGGCGAAAGGGGAGAATCAACACCGTGACGCCATCAACTCCATTGCTTTCAATCTGGCAGTTGACACAGTGGTGGCGACGGGTAGTGCGGACAAGACCATCGCGATCTGGGATCTGCGCAACCTCAAAGACAAGTTACATGTACTGGAAGGACATAACGACAGCGTCACGACTCTTGAGTGGCATCCATTCGAAGAATCCGTCCTTGCCTCCAGCAGCTACGACCGGCGAATAATGTTCTGGGATTTGGCCAGAGTCGGAGAGGAGCAAACGCCCGAAGATAGTGAAGACGGGCCTCCCGAGCTCTTGTTTATGCATGGAGGACACACCAACCGCATCAGCGACTTTTCGTGGAACAAGAATAATCCATGGGTGATTTGCAGTGCGGCCGACGACAACCTGATCCAAGTGTGGAAAGTTGCAGAGGCCATTGTCGGACCGGACGAAGACGATGTGCCGATGAACGAGCTGGAGGGATGAGAGGTCCTTGCCCGGCGCGCCTGGAATCGGGGAGCGTGGCTAGTACATTCTGGTGACGTGGACTCATGGGTCGAAAAGGTCGGAAGGAGTCGCTATTCAAGCTTTCAAGCTCTCTGGGGTTAAGGATTGGATGCGCTGGGCGTTTGTGAGGTTTGCGAGATGCTTCAACGGGCATCTTTAGCAGGGCCAAAATCCTTCCGGGCATCAGAAGCGGTTCGGAGGGCGCTGATGGGTAATGGCCCTGCCCACTACCTTCTACCTACCAGGTAGGTCGGTATGCGTCAATCAATGTGTCAACGAACACGATTACTATTGCATTACAACAATGCAGTACTAGGGACAAGATGACTCAACTGGGTTGTACTATGGGGGCATGTATCCTCTGTTGCTGTCGAGTACTTTTGTAGTTGGCGTAAAGAGATAAAGATACCGCTTGACCTGACCCCTGTGCAAGCTGTCTATAGGTGCCTGCTACCCAACGGCGAGTGCCTGTAGGTGGATCCCCTAGGCTATAGAGGCTTATTCGGATAAGGAGGAGGCTAAGGGGCTAGGGGGCTAGGGAGGCTCCTATAAGCACTATGTACTACGTAGTACTATAGAGTAGGCTCCAATCCTTCAGATACCTTTCAATTAACCTGCTTCGGCTGCACGGCTCCACGGCTTCAAGTCTCAGGCCATCTCGTCCATCCTGATCCTTCACCTCGAACACATCGCCTTTATCGACTGACATTCGAGAGCAACCACGTACTGGTCCTAAGGATCCCTACCGTCCCTGAACCGTCGCGGAACTTACCGCCGCAGCGTTCCAAGTTCTCCGCTCCCTTCATCTCTTGTGAAACTAGAACCTAGCAGACCGTTGGGTTGTCAGCCAAGGCATCAGTCAATGCTTATCTGGAAGCGGATCGACGACCTCGTTTGTCTACCTTACGTATTCGAGTCTCTTCATTCACCGGCCCGCTTGCGTGTCCTCATCGATCATACCGCCACCTGCGCGAGACTGCGCTCGCTTTCAGTTCAACCGTCCTTGATACGGCTTTCCTCCCCATGTCGAGTTGAGTGGTTGCAGGCATGGTTGGCATCCCAAGGAGCAAAGGATGTAGAATCTGCGTTCAGCGTCGCGTCAAGGTAAGAAGATTGTGATCCACTAAAGCATGCTATGAGACACTCTAATTCCCTTTCAACAGTGCGACCAGACGCGCCCTGTTTGTGAGTCTTGCTGGATCTTCTTATGTTGCTCTCGTAGAGAGGTTAACGTCCCGAGTAGGCAATAATTGCTTGAGAGGCAATCGCCCATGTCCAGGCTACGACACGGACCTAAGGATCCACGATGAAGGCTCCAAACTTCGAAAGCGCTTTGGTCAGAAGGATGGAAACGACCCCAAAATCGGTCTCGATAGACCGTCGCCGTCGGCCGCCAGCTCCCATAGCCGATCGACAGAATCCTCCGAAGAAACGTTAGATCTCATTTCTTACCAGACTTCGCCCTATGCTGCAGAGCAGCCGGGTTATCGGGGCGCCGACATGTTCCCATCGCGCAATCCTTTTCTGAATATCCTGGAGAATCAAATCAATCCCAACTTGGATCTCTTTGCTTTGGAGCCAACACCCGTTGACGAATCAACAAACAGCGCTTCCGACATCGAGTTTGACATGACCCTCCGCAGCACGGTTTTCTCTCCATATATTGCGCAGGAGCAGCTCTTGAGCACCTTTTCGTCGGCCTTCGCCACCCATAGTGCACCGAACGTCCTTCCTGCCTACCTGCGCAATCACAGCCGCTGGCTTTCACAGCTACCGGCCTTCTTTGGCACGAAACTTGTGGATACAGCTGTTCGAGCCGTATCTCTAGTACATCTGGGGCGAGTCCAGCAAACGGAGGCTCTCGTGCAAGAATCCCGGCAATTCTACGGCAACGCGCTCCGACTTCTGAACCAGGCTCTGTCGGATCAAGGGAAGGGCATGGCGACTGAGACATTGTCAGCCACCATTCTACTATCCTTTTATGAGATGCTGGCGTCCGAGTCCAATGCGTCATGGGTGCGACATGCAGGAGGTGCAGGAGCATTGATGCGCATCCGCGGCCCCAAGCGACATCTGCGCGGTATCGATCGTGATGTCTACCTTGCATATCGACACACAATCGTGATTGATGCTTTCCAGCGAGACGAGGCTTGTTTCCTAGCTCAACCGGAATGGGTGGACATGGCCCGCCAAGTCCATGAAGAGCTGCGTTCATCCGGCATATCGCATGAACGAGCCGAAATCTTCGACCTGGCCGAAGAGTTCTACTGCGAAAATGTCCACATTCCAGGGACCTTTGCGGAAGCAAAGAATCTTGATGGCCTACGCCCGGTTCTTACTCCGGGGCAGTATGGCATTCTTGCGGCACGTATTTTGGACCGTTGCAAACAGCACCGATCGAATCTCAAATCCATCAACATGAAATTCCGACTTGCTCTCGCGAATCTTGGGCTCACCACAATGAGCATCACAGCGAATGACCCCATTTTCCCCACTCAATATGTCTACGTCAATGTCTTTGTAGGTTCCACTCAGGTGGGCTACTGGACGATACTGCTCCTGCTGAATCTCGTTCTGAAGGAGATGGAAAAGGATTCGGCGCAGGAAATGACGGGCCTCTATCTCATGGAAAACCGCGAGATAGCACGGGAGATTTGCCGTAGTGCACCATACATGATGACATCTTCCTTTTTGGGACCATTCTTCGTTACCTTCGCCCTCAGGCTCTGCCTGATGGTGTTTGAACCCGGAGCGGAGAGGGACTGGGTCGTCCGAAAGCTGATCCACATTGGGGACACGCGCATGAGAATGGCCTCCGATCTGGCTGATTTTGTCAAAGATGGGAAGCCGCAAAGACTGCAAGCTCCCACTCCTGAATTATACGAGACGGGGATGGCTTGATTTTGCTCCTGACACTTAGCTGGTCTAGTACAAAGTGCAGGTCGCAGACTGCGCCTCGGGATTGCTACCGCAGACTGGTGACTAACATGTTGGAAACGGACAGGTTCCATGGACAGGACACACTGGAACAGGAATCACGCCAGCAATATGGCATGGGGAGTTGTGTCAGGATCGAGACCTGAAAGGCGATGGCCGTGCTCGCCGATCAGAGACACGGTCTTGGCATACGGACGAAATCCATCACCATCAGACCCACCACATGACTAATGCCATCCCTTCCCAACTTTAGTCTCGGACGAAACGTTCAGTAGGGTTTGAACTGCCAAAGATACTGTCCTGTGGTTTATGTTTGTCAGCTTCTTGGATGGCTTTGAGGATATACATATCATGCCGTCGGCGCCCGGCCTGGGGTAACCCTCTTTCACCAGTTGGCAAAGGAAGTCGAATATCCTTCTCGCGTCTCGTCAATACGCATTCCGACTGAACTTCCCGGAGAACTATCGAGGATATCCATACAAGCATGTCGACTCATTCTGCGGTGGTAACTGTTGGCCCAGGGTTACCTTTGGCTGTCCACCAGGTCCCTACGCCTGTCCCGACGGGGGATCAGATCCGAGTCAAGAACAGATGGACAGCGTCAACACCCCTCGATCTACACCAAGCGGACGGAGGACTCCTAGTGCAGCCGCCTCAGATACTGGGTGACGGCGTTGCTGGCGAAGTGGTCGAGGTTGGACCAGAAGTTTCCAAGCTGAAAGTGGGTGACAGGGTCTTCGGGTTTTGCTGGCGGACTCAGGCCGAGAAAGCGCACCAAGAATACGTCGTTGCACCGGAGTACCTCTTCGGAAAAGTTCCCGACGGCCTCTCCATGCAAGCGGCTGTGACGGTCCCGAACAACTTTGTGACGGCATGGCATACTTTCACCAAAAACTTCGACTTCGAGCTGCCCTGGCCCAAACCGCAAGAATACGTCCCCAAGGAAAAGGATGTCTGGATTTTGATCTGGGGCGGAGGCTCCAGCGTCGGTCAGTACGTGCTGCAGGTCTTGAAATGGTATGGGTACACCAAAATCATTACGACCGCGAGCATGAAGCATCACCAAAGGTTGCAAGCATATGGCGCTGCCAAATGCTTCGACTACAGAGCTGTCGATGTGGAGCAAGATATCATGGGATTTCTTCACACCCAGGCATCTTCGGGCGGCATCGGCTATGTCCTGGATTGTATAGGTAGCGCGGAGGGCAGCGTGAGACCCGTTGCACAGCTTGCGAAAGCCGGGACTAGGGTTGCAATCCTGCTGCCCGTCATCTTGAAAGATGCCGCTGAGGGTGTCAAACCAGAATATGAGATGGATGTCGAAAAAGTCGCGGACTGGGCCGATGGCGTGGTGGTCTCCGGGGTCAGGACCCATTTCTACCTCGACAACAAGTTTTTGGCCGAACACTTACAACCTGAGATCATGCCGACGCTGTTGTCTAGCGGAGTCATTGAACCGAATGATCAGATCATTGTCGAAGGCTCAACTCTCCTGGAACGGGCTGAGAAGGCTCTGTCGATGTTGAGGAACAAACAAGTCAGTGGAGCGCGATTGGTGTGGAGGGTTTCGGATGAATAGGGCCTGGTAGGGTTAGATTTTGCCATATATGCTGTAACTTCCTGATTTCAGGATCAGCTTAGCTACCTTAGACCCTGAAATGTGTTTGAGACTGCATCTATCTCCTACCATTTTCGCATTGGACAAGATATATGGGGTCAGGTCGAGGAGTTTGTATACTACGTAGTAGTGACGAGGCTGTGTCGGCGAGGCTGCAAGGCTGCACTGAGAAGCTTGGCGATCAACCTCACGACTCGGACCGCAGCAGCGCCAGACACAGTTATGTACATCATGATATTGAGGTCTCTTTCACTTGCTTACTTGTACCTCTTTGGTTGTGTTCTACTTGCTCCATCATCTCCGAGTCTACTCCTTGATCACTCTCCCTCCGCGCATTCTTGCAGTCTCATATTCCCGAGCGCACTCCCTCAACTCTTTACTTCATTTACTCATCGAAACCCTTTCCTCCGTCTTCATTGACCAACCCTCCGATCAACCCTGACACGCCTCTCTCCCCGGGCCATCTGTCGCTCCGTCGCCGGCTCCAAATGCAACAATGACTCTCTGGGGCCAAGACACCGTCACCGATGTCGCGGAAGCCGTTGGAATCGTGCATCTCAACAAGGAAGTGACCCAAGCACTATGCCGGGACATCGAGTACCGGATATCGCAGGTTCTCCAGGAGGCGCTGAAGTTCATGAAACACGGCAAGCGCACGGTGATGTGGACGCAGGACATCTCGAACGCTCTGAGGGTATTGGACATCGAACCGCTGTACGGGTACGAGACGACGCGGCCGCTGAGATACGGAGAGGCGTCGCTGGGGCCGGGGCAGCCACTGTTCTACGTCGAGGACGAGGAGATGGATTTTGAAAAGTTGATTAATGCGCCGCTTCCAAAAGTTCCTAGAGAGGTTTCGTTTACTGGTATGTTTCACAAAACAACTATCACCATCTACCCTTACTCCTTACTCACATCTTGTACAGCGCACTGGCTCGCAGTCGAAGGTGTACAGCCATCAATACCGCAGAACCCAACGAGCAACGAAGCGCGCAACCTCGAACTCCTTCCCAAGGGCCCGAACGCGAACCCCGCCCTGGCTGCCATGACGGGCGCCGACACCACCACGACCAAACCGCAAGTCAAACACATATTGTCCAAAGAGCTGCAATTGTATTTTGAAAAGGTGTGCGCGTCCGTGTTGGACGAGACGCAACCGGAATACCGTACGGCCGGGCTGGCCAGCCTGAGGGAAGACCCGGGGCTTCATCAACTCGTGCCGTATTTCGTGCAGTTTGTCGCGGAGAAGGTGACGCACAACTTGAAAGACTTGTTCGTGCTGACGCAGATGATGTTGGTCATTGATGCGTTGACGAGGAACGACAAGCTCAATCTGGCTCCATATGTAAGTTTTGGTTACTTTGTAACTTCGAGTTGAGTTTCCTGAGACTGACTTGACTTGATATCCAGGTCGCCTCACTAGTCCCTCCCGTGTTGACCTGCCTGATCGGCCGCTCTTTAGGATCCGGCATCGGCTCTCTCGATCACTACGACCTGCGCGACCTCGCCGCGGCGCTGCTCGGACACCTCTGCCGCAAATACTCCAAATACTCGCACAACCTGAAACCGCGACTGGCTCGGTCGTTGCTCAAGACGTTCCTGGACCCGAAGAAACCGTTCGGAAGCCACTACGGCGCCATCCTCGGGTTGCGAGCCATTGGAGGCGCCGAGGTGGTCAGACAACTGATCGTGCCGAATCTCAAACCGTTTGGCGAACTCCTCGAGGAGGATCTCCAGGATTCGAGTCTGAGGAAGGCCGAAGCCGAGAAAGTCGTCGCGGCGATCCTGAACGCTTTGGGCGCCCTGGTCGACGACGAGGTGCCGGTCTTGATGAACGGCCATTCGGAAGAATCGGCGAACGACTTGCGCACCAAGCTGGTCGACAAACTCGGCCCCGTGATCGGAAATCGTGTCGCCGACTCGGGTCATCTGAAGCTGGCCAAGGCCGTTTTGGAAGGCGATCTGCTGGGAGTCTGAATGCAGGAAAGGACTTTGGCTCCTGTTGATCCAGAGTTCTGCCGCATTCATTGGACAATCACTTTACATCTTAGCGTCTAAGAGACCAGAGAGTGGCCTTGTTGTTTCTCATGCATACCTTATGGGTGGAAGGCGTTGGGTCTGCTATGGTATGGGATGGGGATGGAAGAGCTTCGGAAAATGGGGACTTGATGACTGAGCGATACCCTATTTTTTCTGCCTTTTTTCTTCTGCTTTTGCCTTTCTGCTCTCTGCTTCTGGAGCTATAACCGGGAGCTCGTCGGGCGTTTTGGGTCTTTGGATGGGACTACGAAAACCCACCTTGGGAAGGCTGCCATGCTGCACCGTGCAGTGGTACGCATGCGGCTGGGTGCTTTAGAAAGACAAAAGCACCCACGAGTTACCAAAACGTGTCGTGAGCGAGCAAGTTCATAAAATAACATGGCACGAACCAGAGAATTCTCAATCGTGGTCGAATACCCTTGTGATTTCGGGTGAGGTTCCTTTCGGTGTCTACCTTGGGATAGCCAACGCCCTCGACATGAGCTGGCCAGTTCAAGTTGGGAACTGCATTTTATGCCTACACACACTTGCAAGTTGACATTCACGCGATGGAGTAGTACCTGGGTCGAATCAGTGCCAGACTAGTTCGACGTCCCCAGAAGAATTGTGTCTCTCCGCCCGCGGCAGTATTCTATGGAAACATCAAGGGCCCAATGTGAGGAAAACTTGAACCTGTCCTGAACCATTCCAGCCCTTTGCAGCGTTTGTTGGCGCGTGAACCGTTCTCCGGCAAGCAGCTGTAAGGGTGTGTTCGTCCTGTGGGCCCGATCGAACGGTTCTGCGGCATGCATAGCACCGGCATACGGCCCGTGCCCTGGTTTTCATCCATCGACGTTTGGTCGCTTCGAATCGTCCTGTCGATTCATCTCCTCCTTCGTCTCCTCCTTCCACCATTCCAGACAATTCTTCAGAAAGCGGTCTTCCTTGGCTCGCAGGTCCTTTTCAGCCTTGCTTGTCTCGTCTGCCACAATGGTGTAGATGCTCCCCTGGCGCGGCGGACCTAGATCAAGGAGATCATCAAAGCCTTCATCGCCGACGCCCAACGCCGCAACCCCGCCGATCGCATCGTCGATGTCGTACTCGTCGTCCTTGATCGACTCGATTCTCCGCCCGTAGTTGCGCGGAGCACAGTTCTCCAGCGTCTCTGGATCGACGTACCCGTACAGGACGAAGCGGATGTAGTCTTCTCCGAAGGGGATGCCGCGGCGGAAAGCCTCGCGGACAATCAACTGGTCTGGGCGCAGCAGATTCTCGGGTTCTCGACCGATCTGCTCTGCGGTGCGTAAGCCCCAGTATTCCAGACGGCCCCTGCCGACCTGGTGGGATGGGATGCCGAAGATAGGGAGGCTCCGTTCATCCGGCAGAGGCTGGTACTTGAGCTTGACCCACTCCTGCAGCGCGGCGAAGCGGGTGGTCCAGATCTCGCGCTTGAGGACTTTGAGGATGGTGGTGAAGCTGCGCTGAGACAGGAGCAGCTTGCGCATGCCGTCGCGTTTCTCGCCCGCGGTTGGGTCGTTCAGGCGCAGGTCGAGTTTCGTGAAGAAGCATGCTGCGAAAAATAGGTCCAGGTCGCTCATGAGCCGCTTGTTGTGACAGTATCCGATGCGTCGAGCGTTGTCGGGAATGTCCAGCATGAACCAGAGGCGCTTGATGGCTAGGCCGCAGCGGAAGGGGAGTGGGATGCCGTCTTCGGCAAAGACCGCCATCAGCTCGTGCACGACCTTCTCGCGGTGCAGGACCATCTTGAGCCAGCGGAAGGACGGGACCTTGCGTGGGACCTTACGCTCCGCCATGCGCGCGTTCGGATGTGGAATGCGTGCAACGGGATCTTGGCGGCACAGGTAGGCGTACGACCGGAAGGAGAATGTGCGTGCAGACTCGGGTGCTTTGGTGATTGCCTGGTTAAGCACGACTGTGGTGAATCGTGTGTCCAGGATCGTGTGGAAGTCCTTGCTGATTGCGTACAGACTGATCAGGTCTTTGACTGGCAGGGCGCTGGCTAGAGCGAACACCAGTTCCGGATAGAGCAATATTCCGTCGAATACGTTGAAGTCTGGCTTGTTGGTGCGCTGATAGATGTATGACGGTGGTGGGAGGATGGCTTCGGGTCGTTTGCGTTTCAGTGAGATTCGTGCGTAGTGCTGCGCCCGCTCGACTCGATTCGGCGCCATGTACATGTGTTCAGGGACAAGAGATTCGGGATTCGCTAGATGCACGGCTGGAGTCACGATCGGTGGAGGAATGCCTAGAGAATTTGCGTACTCTGGAGGCAACTGGCCGTTGTAGAAGAGGGCGGCGTTGGTGAGCGCCGGCGGTCGAGCTAGCCGTCGGCCTCTGGCGTCGCGGTCGATGTCAACGTAAGGTGCTATTCCACCGGTTGGGAGCGCTGCTGGAAGCAGACGGCTCGGGTTGGATGGTCCAGATGAGTTGGACACGCCGCCGTCGATGCGTAAAGTGTTTCGTGTCAATTGACCCTGACCACGTCCGGAAGGCGGTTGTTCGGCGTTCCAAGAGGTGGGGACGTTTGGCTCATTGGGCATCGGCCGAGCTGTCAGACGAGTGGTCGTGAATGGTTCGAAAGCTGGCCGAAGAAGAGGATGCCCAGCAGGAATCTGGCCCAGATTTGCCGCGAGTTGGACAAGGGACGACACGCCAGTGAAGGTGTGCTGTATAGCGATTGGGCCGGAGTCTGAATCTGCATTTGTGCCTGTATTTGCATTTGAGGATGACTCTGGCCCTGAGCCTGAGCCCTGGGAAGCAGTTCCGGCCTGGTCTGAAGCGCTAGTGTTCGTCGGTTGTCCAGTGGTGTTGGTGCTTTGAGCTAGGAGAGATTCGACGCCGTAGATTCCTTCTCTCCGCCGGTCTCTGACAGCCAATCCATCCACCGCTGGGGTTGTCTGGTTGGATCTATCAGGGTCGGCATTTTCAGTATCACTCTCATCCCAAGTTTGGTCTTGTCTGTCACCGTTGCGCTCTTCAACGTCTGTTTCTGCTTCACTGTCGGAGACCTGCTGCTGTGGAGGGCGACGGCGCTTGTGTGGGTTGCGACGAGTCTCGGTGTTCAGTTGGTTGTTTGTATTGGTTACATGGCTGGCAGATGGTGACTGGCTTGCAGCAACAGATGGGTCAATGGACGCGGTGGTTTGTGGTGGTGAGAAATGTAGGGACGAGTCGGGAGGATTATTGCTAGAGGGCAAGGCACTGTCGGCTGCGCCGGTACCGGGTGAAGCATCATCGTGCTCATTTGGATCATCTCTCTGTGACAACTTCTTGAAGGGGTGGAGGATATTGCCTATCTTGCTTTTGCCATTGCTGAAAAAGCGAGATCTCTTGCGAGGAGGAGGTCGGTCGCTCATCTTGACAACAACCAGAGGAAGACGAAGGCAGACAATCAAAGACCGCAGTACCTCTGCTTGGAAAGTGCAATTGAGGATGGAGCACGATGAAAGATAGGAAAATGTGGGCAATGTTTGGCAGAGATAGAAGTGGTGAGGTGAAGTCGAGTAGTGGTAGGCAGACGAGAACAATATCAACATGAGCAGTGAATTAAAACATGAATACACAACAAACCGTTGGGTGCGTCCGAATCAGTCCATATGAGATACCGGCAGACTCGGCAAGCACCAGACACAACGCAATCACAGTCATTTCTCTCCATGCCGCCGACGTGTTTACCCAGCAAGGAGGACGCCGTGATCTGAAGACATGGAGAGCAGTTGTTGGGATCAGAGCGGCCGCTGCGGACAGCACTCGACCTGCTGTGGTTTGGCGGTGGCTGGTCACTTAGCATCTCTGGAGTACCTTGCAACGCGACAGACATCTTCACGATGTATGGCTCAAACGCGTTTCTCAGAATCAATGACCTCTTCTCTCGTCGCAGCTCTCATCGCCGCAGTGATACACAACAGTGCTCTTCACAGCCTCATGCTCGACAGTAGCGCAGCCTGCAGCAGACGCATCAATAGTTCGCCGTATGTGGCTAGTGCATCAGCCACAATGTTCCCGCCACAACTTTGAACCCCAGCATTGCGTCATTGTGGGTGATTGGCTTGTCTCCATCGCGCATGACGTAACCGATGTCGATCGGATTCCTCTTCCGGCTGCTTCATTTCCTCTCTCGGATCTCGCTCGCTTCGAATCTCTCTCGTTTGTGGTCCATCAACGATGAGGCGGATTCGCCGGAGTCGATACCCGCAAAAAGCGGGAGAAAAAGAGAAACTAGAAGCTTCAAAGTTTGCGATCACTGCGATCATCTGACTTTGTTTCAGGGCAACGAGGACACAGACGCAGAGAGACAGCCTCACCATCACCTTCTACTGCTTGTAAGACTGCAACTTCTCATAAAGACTCGACGGCCGCACTCTGGCCCACCCGCACCAATGGCTCCCACCGCCTTCCTTGACTTCCGTCCTTCGTCACCGTCACCTTCACCGTCACCGTGTAACACTGCAATGAATGGTAAACCCTATAGTCACTCTAACCCTCCTTCCTACCCTGTCCATGTTCATGTCCCCGTCACATCTCTGTCATCGAAGCGTGAGGCAATCCATTGAAGCATGTCAGTATCCTAACAGGGCACCCAGTCTGCCACTTTGTATTGTCCACTGCCTCCGTTAGAAACAAATGCCTTCTGAGCGTCGCGACAGTGCCGCAGAGGCTCAGCAACATGTCAGTGATCTGGTTGACGGCGTGGTCTACCTCAAGAACAAGGCAAAGGAGAAGACGAAGAAGCTACTAGACTCTGCAGACCCCTCCGATCCCGCCGACCATGTCTCTGACGACGAGACCGACATCTTTGCCGATGCGGCCTTCGACCCTTCGAAAATCCACCAGCCGAGCTCGCCCAAGTCGAAAACGTCCACCCACGAACTCGTCCTCAACAGCGCAAAAGACCTGAAATATGTCGTGTTGCATCCCCGGCGCGTGGCGCGCAGTCAAGCCACGCGCATGGCTGCAGACAAATTGGCGAACGCCAAACATCCGACCCTCACGATTGACCGAGACCAAGAATTGCTGGATGCGCATGACAGCCTCGCGCGCGCGACATCGAACGTCTCCGCGGTTTCGGATGTGGACAAATACAAGTCCAAGGTGGATGACGCCGAGGCTCGAATCCAAATGCTCGAGGTACAGAGAGACAGTCTCCAGACGGCGTGGATCTTGGGTCGGCATGTGTCGCGCACCAAAGTGGTCCGCCCCATTCCTCGACCCCGGATAGAGCAATTCACAACCATCGTCGATGGCCAACGTCGAGTGCGATGGGAACGGTATCTGGGACATCTGGCTCTTTACTACACCCAGGGGTTCACAGCACCCTACATTGACGACTTCGAGTCCCCTCCCTTCGACCTGGAAGACCTGTCTCGGATCCTCGAACGCATCGCCATCGTCAGTGCGCCATGGCAGTCATTCCTGATCGACGTCCGGGACGTTTACATGTGGAACGACCCCAAACAGACCATGCGCTGGCTAGCACTATACTCGGTCCTATGGTACACCCAGCATGTCATGGGCTTCTTCTACTTCTACATCATCTACGTAACCATCCGCAACCGGCTCCGACCATCTACCGTCCAAGGCATTCGCGAGAGTGTGGCCAGATCCATTGATCGAGGAACCCGTGTTCAGGCCTGGGGAGAACTAATCCAACGCCATGGCAAGGACGACTGGCTCGAGCCGTTGCTGGACGAGCTGGGCCCCATGATCCAGCTGCAGCTCGGCGACCTTGCGAATCTGCTCGAGGCGCTGCAGAATTTCTACCGATGGGAACGACCTAGATTGACAGCGGCCTCTCTATTCCTCTTTTCCTGCTGTCTCCTGACCACCCTCGTTGCCGACATGGCCTTCTGCATGAAGCTGCTCTGGCTCATCGTGGGCGGCGTGTTCTTTTTCTCCTTTCCCGTTTCAGCGCGGTGGCCGCAATACCGTCTCCTCGTCTCGCCGGTCCGTTGGGCGTTCTGGGACGTTCCCACACATGCCGAACTGGCCATTCAGAATTTACAGCAGAAAGCCTTGTTGCGAGATGCCGACATGTCAGAATTCGAGCTTCCACAGATCCAGAACACTGCCGACATGCCGAACGGTTCAGCGCATGATGAAACAGGGGACGAAGAAGACCAAGACGAAGACGAAGAAACGCAGGAACAGGAATTGATCGATAAGATCGACCGGTCAACTGAATCCCGCTCCTTCATGGTCTACGACAAGCTTCACGGCAGAGCCCGGCTGATTGTAAGTCGGACCGGTGTCACCGTCCATGCGACGCACGGTCCGCCTCGCAGCTGGCAGTTCTCTGACATCGCGGAGATGCGCAAGATCGACGACGTCGATGTCGATTCGATGCTGAAGAATCTCAAGCACGTGCATTCCCGCTCGGCGAAGGTGCTGCAGTTCGAGTTCCGGTCCAACAACGACCTGGCGGAGATGGATGGGACGCTGACCATTCTGCTTCAGCGGGCGGATCGCGACCGGGTGTTCAATCTCGTGCTAGGCTGGAGCGGGTTGAGATGGCAAGCTCTGATGCTGGAGAGACAGAAGACCAAGAACGAGAAGAAAGACCGGAGTAATCTGGACCGATCCATCAAGCGGGCATTTATTTGATTCCAGCATCCAGGCATCCACTGGCCCTCACCTACCTTAGCAAGCGTTGGCATTGGACAGGATTTCCTATCCTCGTGTAGTTAGTCGAGCAAGCGTTCTGTATCAACATCAATATTATCATATCATTAGCTGTTTTCCCGTCTCGATTTCCCAACAAGTGTCTGCATCGATCAGTGTCTATCCAAATGCATTACGCTAGATGTTCATGTTCTAGTGTCGAAACGCTCCCGTCTTCCACCTCCACCAGGCGACAAAATCGACCGTGGTGACATCGATGCCCAATTTCTTCAACTCGCTCGTGTCGAGGTGACAATCATACGGCCTCAACGTCCCATCCGGCGCCGGTTTCTTCCCGCTCTCTTTATCCGGCACGATCCCATCAATCGGCAAACCCATGATCTCCCCAAAGACCTTGCAGATATCGTATTTGGTCATACGGTCTTCACTGCTGAACTGGAGAATGCGTGGAAGGGGTTCCCCCGAGCCCGGCGCCACCATCTTCTGGTCTGCCGTGACTTTTCCGTCGTCATGGCCGCCTCCTTGATGTGCTGCGGTTGCGGTCGCGGTAGCGCTTGTATAATATTTCGCAATATCGACACACACCCTCGCCACATCCTCAACGTTGGTCGGGTACCGGATAGCCCAGTCGTCCATCTTGACAGGCTTCTTTTGGGACTCGTACAGACTGTCCATCAAGACATTGATTGCGCTTTCTTTATTCTCTTCCGTCGGCCCATACAGCACGGGCACGCGCATGACCACTGTGTTGGGATATGCCAGGACCGCTTTCTCGCCGTCGAGTTTCGTCTGACCGTAGACGTTGCTGGGCTTGGGCTCGTCGGTTGCTTTGTACGGCGCTTGGCCCGGCACGCCGGGGAAGACGTAGTCGGTGGAAATGTAGATCAGGAATACGTTGTTCTCGGCACATGTCTTGGCGAGGTTCGCCGTTGCGGTGACGTTGATTCGGTGCGCGGCTTCGGGGTTCTTGGTGCATGAGTCGGGTTGCCTGTCTGCGGCGCCTGCGTTGGTTTCAAGTTAGTGGTCGAGGTTGGTAGCTTTTGCTGTTGGGTATTGAGGAAGATTGAAGCGAGAGGCAGGAGAGGTTTGCGACATACTGTGGACGACGACTTGAGGTCTGAAGAAGAAGAACGACCGAGGCCTGTGTTAGTTTTCGTTCTGTATCCCAGGTACTAGTAGGTGGGTAGGTAGCTATTTGTTGAAACTTCAAGAAGATGGCTGGTGATGGACGGGGCATGAAATAAGTACTGGTACTTCCAACAACAGGAAAAAGAGATGGCAGTATGTGTGAGGAAGGATAGATGCTGAGATGCTAGATGTTCCCTACTTGACCTCATCGAAGAGCTGTCGAACAGCCTCTTCGTCTTGGATGTCTAGTCTGCGAATCTCCCCAGAGGCTCGGCTGAAGCCTGTGCCTGTCGTCTGCCAGCCTGCGTCGCCGAAGGCTTTGTAGACCTGTCGGCCCAGCAGGCCTGTAGCGCCTGTGACTAGAGCTGATGGCATCGTGTATGTCTGTGTGACCAGCACTGAGTAATAAATCGCAACCGGGGTCTGACGAGAGTGTAGCAGACTCTGTAGACGCCAGAGGTGGAAACTGAGAAGAGTCAGTCTGGAATTTGGATGAGCCTGCGGTGGATGACGCGGTTGTTACAGTTGGCGTTGGAGAAAGATTTCGAGAGCTCTCACAACACCACAACAAACCACTTGAACGGCGTTGAGCTTGAGAGTGAGATGGAGCTACAACCACAACTTTTTGAAGTTGGCATTTATCTCATCTCATCAAGTGATGGGACTGAGTGTGTGACCCTCATCTCCCACGGCTGAAGAGCAGGATCTTGGATGGCCTCATCACTGAAACATCACGCTCATGGTACAAACAACTCTCCAGGGTTTTTCTACCAATATCACGTAGTAGTATCTCATGTAGTTGACCGACTCTCTCTTACGCGTAAAGTCCTATACAAAGATCTTCCTTCTCATGATGTGTCCAGCCAACAAGAAAAGATGACCAGCTGCAATATCGTTTCGTTGTTGTTACTACAGAGCTGCCTGCTTGCCCTACTTCAACTTCAACTTTGTAACAGCCTGCGTCCTCTCCAATGTACCTAGTGTATCTCTTTCCCTCTTCTCTGTTCCTTCGCTCAAGGCGCCGGCGACAATGAAAAGGACAGACCATTAATCAAATGGTTGTGAATCTTGCAAAAATTCCTTGCCGACCCGAAGGCCAGCAAGAGTTGGTCGAAATAGTTTTCAACTAGCAAAAAAGCGAACTCGGCCGGAGCCTCACTGTTGACACTGTTAGCATCTGTCGATAGAAGAGGATAAGATTCTCTTCTCTTCTGCCAGAGACTCAAAACGTACCTGTTACGCTTAATGCCCGTGCACTGGGATGAAGAAAAGAAGAGAAGAAAAAGACGAGAGAACGAGCGATGAGAAGCCTCAAGTACTTGCTGCAGTGGCCGCTGCCTGGGGTTAGCGTGGTCTTGGCGAAAAGAATTAACGGCAGAGTGGAAAGCGCTGTAAGGCAGGTATTGTACGGTAGGGCATGTGAAGTGAGAGTGCAAGGCTTTTGTATTGTAGCGTTATCCTGATCCCAAGTTGCCCAGCTAGGTCAGCAGTTGCCTGCCCGTCGCTTTCCTCATCGATGAGCCGCTAATCAAGATTCTCTCTCCACGTTCACCCACCCAGTAGTTTGTGGTTCAATAAATTATATCCATCCAGCACGACGCCTTCCTCAGACTCATTTTCCAAAGCCGTTTGTCGACAAGGCACTCACCCGGCACAAGAGGTTCGCAGTGTGGGCTCTCAACGGGCCCCTTGACAGCCCCATGTTGGTAGTATTCATCAGGGTCTGTCCTAGCAGCATACAGCCCTCTTGACCACGACCATCGGTTCCTCTTATGTGATCTGTATAGTGATAACATTGTCTTGCTAGACGCAGCCATGCATGCATGGAGACTGACTCTGAAGGTTCTAAAGGGGATGTTGAAGTTCAACCTGGGCTCCACAAACACAGGCTGTATAACATGATGTCCGTACCCTCGAACCCGTCTGGACCTGGAACGAATCATTGGCCATTAGGCCCTTACCTCTGTTATTTTGTTGAATAGAGCAAATATCCGTATTTTTCGATTGATTTCGTGACCGGTCAACGGCAGACGACTCCCTGCAACGGCGTAAGGACTGCAGCACGACTCCAGCAAGCAGGCGTGCATGCATGCAGGATAGCAAACAGTCCAAGGACAGCAGATGTGCCTCTCCACAGGATACGCTTGAGATCGAGGACATAGCAAACATTGTGTGCCAGTTTCAGTTTCAGTTCCCAGTCCATGTGAATGTCTTTGTACCGCGCGATGATCAGTTGGTAGCCAGGCTGTCTCAGAGCTGATGATAAGTATGCGACATTTAAAAGGCCTCCTTGTTCAAGTTGGTGGCCTTGATATCCGGATGCGGTGTCACTCCAAATGAGGAGAAAGAAAACAAGCTCCAGAACAGACAGATAAGAGACTTGAAGCGTCGGACTTCCACGAACCGACACGAGAGATCGACGCCAAGTCGGAGTTGTTTACGAGAAACAACTGGCAGGTTGTTATTACAATCATCCTAATACATCGGCCATTCGCCGATTTCGGGGAGCAGCCGAGATGTCGTCGGCGACCTTGGAAATGCTCACCTTCTACCAAGAACTTTTCGAATCAAGGAGATCACAACCCATTGAAGAAGACAAATCATCATGCCTCGTGTCGAAGTCTTTGACAGGCGTAACGCCTTTTGATCGAAAGCCTTCGAAAGGCGCAGTAAGGTATTTGCTGTTACGCTGCATTACAAGCCATGTCTTTTTGCTAGCCACTGGGCAATAGATACTGCTCTGTGATATGTCTTGATCGGGTATCCGGCACCGGCGAAGGGCGTCGAAGATGATTTAACACCCCAAACTCGTGGATCCTCCAGCGAATGATCAGGCTTGGTGACTTTTTAGTCCAGAAACGCTCTGATATGGCTTCGAGTTGGAGAATGCTTTGCCCTTAACCGTGGGCGAAAGACTTGTTTGTGCTGTCATGTCGCATTACCCGTCCATTAATTCATTGCCTTTTTATCTCAAAGCGTTCCGTTCGTTGTAACCAGTTTCTTATTCCCAACCAACGGTGAACCCGCTGCCACCCATGATCTCAGAAAGAAGGCAGTCAGGATGTCGAGCCAGGAGATATCAGAGAAGGATGCTACAACCCGCCCTGTCCGCGATGGGGACAGCGTCGGGGACCTGAACCTCATCAAGCACAGTTCTCGAGGCACTCTGCCGGAATTGAAACAGGTCGCCAGCAATGCTATCAGCAGGGTGGCATCTCGAATCACAAATCGGGACATAATAGATCCTGGACCCCCTCCGGACGGCGGTTGGAAAGCATGGCTCCAGGTAGGCATGGCCTGGGTGGTCTGTTTCTGTACATGGTAAGTCGAGTGGATTCCGCGAACAAGAACGGTGGATGTTTAAAGGTCTGGTTTTTGAGGGCGCGCGATAACCTCTTGTCTTACAGGGGCTACATCAACTCCTTCGGCGTCTTCCAGACGTACTATACCGATACATTGGGCGAGACGCAGTCGACGATATCCTGGGTGGGATCGATCCAACTATGGCTCGTCTTCTTTGTGAGCACGTTTTCCGGACGGGCACTGGATGCCGGATTGTTCATCCCGACGATGGTTCTTGGGTCGGTGATTCAGGTTCTGGGCATCTTCATGACCAGTCTCTGTAAGGTGTTCTGGCAGCTTGTTCTGGCCCAGGGAATCTGCACCGGCCTGGGCAGCGGCATCATCTTCTGTCCCTCGATGGGCTTGGTGACCACGTACTTCCGGAAAAACCGAGGCATTGCCGTGGCCATTGTCACGACCGGCAACTCGGCAGGCGGCGCCATCTATCCGGTGATTGTGCGACAACTGCTCCCGCAGATCGGCTTTGCCTGGACCGTGAGGGTGCTGGGGTTCGTGAACCTGGGCCTCCTGGTGGCGGCGGTGGCGTTTATGCGACCACGACTTCCGCCCCGGAAATCCGGGCCCATCTTGGAATGGAAGGTCTTCTTGGAGGTGCCGTACGTGTGCCTCGTGGTCGGCCTGGCGTTCGTCTTTGGCGGTCTGTTCTTCGTCTACTACTATCTGGCCTCGTACGGCCGCACCATCATCGGCATGTCCTATATCGACTCGCTGAACCTGCTCATCATGTTCAATGCCGTGGGGGTCCCCATCAGGCTGATGACCGGGTATATCACGGATCGCTTCTTTGGGCCTATGAACACCATGGTCCCTCTTTTGTTTATGAATGCCTTGTTTGGCTTTGTCTGGATCGCCGTCGTCTCCGAACCGGGCATGTACGCTTTCTCCGTCTTCTATGGATTCGCCGCGGGCGCGTTCCAGTGCCTGTTTCCCACCACAGTCACCAGTCTGAATGACGATATGAGTAAGAATGGCGTGCGCATGGGAATGGCCTTTTCCGTCTTCAGTTTTGCCGGTCTGGCCGGTCCCCCTATCGGAGGCGCTCTGTTGTCGACCAATGGAGGCGGAAGAGGAGGTTATTTGGTCGCTCAATTATGTCTGGGCTTCTCCACGACGATCGGATCGTTTTTCCTGTTGGCCGCCCGTGTGCACAAGCACGGTTGGAATCTGAGGAAGAAGTGTTAGTCTTTACATGTCGATGGACAATCGCGTTTCCACGAAGCAGCTCCCAATATAGACGGTGCGCACTGCACATCTGATCAGCAAATCGTCAACAGAATAGATGGACGGGCAGAAGGATGTAGCATCTTGACCAAACTCTGCCAGCCGATTGTGCATATTGTCAGTCATCACGCAAATCAAATCGGCTGGCAGAGCTCCTCGTTGATGTGTGGTAGATGAATCATTGCTCAAGGTAGCAAGCAGCGTGCTCATCAATCAATATCGTCTTGTCTCTGTGTGAAGGCTTCTGCTTCCTGGAAGATAACATCAATCATGGTCTCGTCGACACAGCATTTTCCTGTTGGACGTTGGACATTCACCCATATGAGACCACTCATTTGTTCAAGACCAGCGATCAATCATACTTGGTCCATTGACTAGAGTGATCATGGCCGACTCACCACCTTACGCCGACCAGCCCCTCGACATCTGGACTGCCTTCTCCCACCGTTCGAACATTTCCCTGCTCTTGGCCTCAGGCATTCGCGGCGTGAAATCTGTACGGCCTTCGACATTGACCGACTTCAATTCATCCAGACTTTCCCAGACGCCGACAGCCAGCCCTGCCGCAATGGCTGCCCCGAGGGCAGTAGTCTCGCGCATTTGCGGCCGCAACACAGGAATCTGGATCAGATCTGCCTGAGTCTGAAAAAACAGCCGCCATCAGGATCATACTCAAGAAGCATTCAATTGACAATACCGAAACAGTTACATACCTGCATCGTCAAGTCCGAATTGCTCATGCCGCCGTCGACCGCGAGCGCGGCCAGTTTGCGGCTGGAGTCCTTCTCCATAGCATTGAGGATAGCCTTGGTTTGGAAACACGTTGCCTCCAGAGTCGCACGAGCGACGTGGCCACGGTTAGTGTAGGCAGTTATGCCATCTTGTAATACAAAATGAGCATCATATGGACCACAGCGAATATCTCAACTCACAGATGGTTCCCCTGGCATCGTCAATCCAGTAGGGAGCGAAGAGCCCACTGAAGGCGGTGACAAAGACCACGCCTCCATTGTCTTCAACCGTGGATGCCAACTGACTGATCCTGCTCGAAGACTCGACAAAGCCCCAGTTATCGACCAGGAATTTGACGCTCGATCCTGCCACAGCGATGCTGCCTTCGAGCGCATACATGCGGTTCCCCTCGCCGAAATCATAGGCCACCGTCCCCAACAGGCCGTGGCTGGAGAAGACGGGCTTCTCGCCAACATTGTACAGCAAGAAACAACCCGTCCCGTATGTATTCTTTGCAAGGCCCGGACTAAAGCCTTTCTGGCCGACCAGGGCCGCCGACTGATCCCCTAGACAGCCAGTGATAGGCACGCCTTTCAGCACACCAGACTCGAGACGTCCGTATGCTTCGCGGTCAGACGATCGAGTGATTTTTGGGAAATGGACCTTGCGCGGATCGAGCCTGAAGAAGTCGATGAGTTGATCGTCGTAGTCCAATGTTCGGAGATTCATGAACATGGTCCGCGAGGCATTCGTCGGATCCGACACGAACACGTTCTTATTGGGGCCGCCGTTCAGTCTGTACACGAGCCAGCTGTCGATGGTGCCGAAGGCGAGGTTGCCCTTTTCATAGGCGTCTTTGACCTTGGGCTCGTTCGCCAGCAGCCACAGCAGCTTTCCCACTGATGGATATGTCGATAGTGGCAGCCCGCATAGTTCTTGAAGCTTGTCCGCTCCTAACCGTTGCTTGAGCTTGCGCACCAAGGCTTGCGTGCGCGTGTCTGTCCAGACGATGGCGTTGTACAGAGGCTCGCCCGTCTCATGGTTCCACACCACCTGTTCTCGGTGCTATGTCAATGAAAAGCCACGACTAAGTTGATGCAGAGTGGGCGAAGTATAAGTATTAGATCGAGGAATGAGGTTGATGCCTTACAGTTGTCTCTCGTTGGTTCGTGATCCCAACGGCCTTGATACTCGCCTTTGCGTGGCCCTGGTTTTCCAGGTCTTTCACTGCCCCTTCGATGCATTGCTCCACCGACGAAATGATCTCAAGTGGATCATGCTCATGCCAGCTCCACAGTCGGTTAATATCAACAGATCATCCAGATCTCAGAGGAACACAGACGTACCCGGATTGTGGGTAGTATTGCTTGAACTCAATCTGATGTGACGCGACTGGTTCTCCGGACCGGTTGAAGATGAGGAATCTGGTGCTCGTCGTGCCTTGGTCTATCGAGCCCACGAATGTCTCATGGCTGTCATCTGTGGGGTCGCCCATCTTGTTCTTGATTGCTGCCAACATCCGATCGAGTTTCAACCGAGCCGCGTGAAGCCTGAAGACTCAGGGGCGTGTGCGGGTTGGTGGGATGGGAGAGGCGGTAGTTGATATCGTCTAATTCAAAGGAGTCTGTAGGATTCTCAGGGAGCTGGAGACACCTCTGAATGAGCAGATGAAGCTATCAAGTCTGCTTGAAGCCCAGCTCGGCTGACTGACCCCGAAATGCAGTGACAGTCGACACTGAACAAACCTCGGCCTGGTAGAATCCGGGGTCGTGGAGACGATTCGAAATGGGGTGAAGTAGTGAAGGTCAAGTGGGATGATAGTCAAGGCGGTCGTCAGATCGTCTGTATCAGAAGTATATTGGGGATGCAAATCGAAAGAGCAAGTAGTCGTACCGCGGAATCAGACGCCGGTCCCAGAGGCATTATGCTCCCCCTCGTTCAAGACCTCCATGCTCCAAAGATTCGAAGAAAGGGCAGTCCTGTCCGACATGATGTGCCAGCCATCCCTGCTTGCTACCACACCACATTAGCCAGGTTGCTAAGGTCGAGTTAGTGTGGTACAACCCTTGCTTGATCGCACGACGGACAGATGGACAGATGGACAGATGGTCCAGAGGAGGAGGCCAGCCACTATTTGCTGGGGATGGTGATACTGCAACATCAGCGTCACTGACCTTGAACGACACAATCTTGTTTTAACTTGAACTCGAAGCGGCAGACCTCCGGAGACTCAGATACCAAGAGAGAAGAGGGAAAAGTCAGAAGCTGCAGCTGATGACTTGGGAGGCCTTGTCACCTGTGGATAGACCTGGAAATGGCATCGCTTTGTCCAGAACGTATCATTCATTCTGCGGGGTAGAGATACTCTATCCCTCTATCCCTTCTTTTCCTTCATATATCCGGGGGAGGATGGAACTCCAAGGCGGCTGCTGATTCGACAATCCGGTCCAATCCATGGACATTGGACATTTAGTTGCTCTGACTAGAATTCTGGCTTACACTTTTGATGGACGGCAGATCGAGGACGATGATGCCGCTAGACATCCATCTCGGAGACGGAAGAACCGAAAGACTCTAGAATGTCTGACACTTGTCGTCGTTCCCAGCCATGCCGGAATACCAGGAAGCAGTTCGTATTCGCATGGATGAATGATGATCAATTCTATCACCAGCTCTTGAAATCGATTAATCACAGTCCGCGTTCGCCGGGGTTCGCCTTATCAGCCGGATATAAGATCTAGGATGGGATGGGACAGGGGAATGAGCATCAGCGTCAGCGTCAGCCTCGGTCAGGTCCCATGCCGGTCGACCGTCGACGTGCCCACCAACCAACAGATTGTACTTGCAACAATGGACGCCGCCATATCCTCCTACCTGGTAGGCTGGTGATGACAGTCACTTCCTCCGCCGCCGATGAGTTCAGTACCTCACCATCCTGAGTTTGTACGATTGCGCCCTCTGTGCTGCAATAGACATCCCTGGGGTGTCACAGCTTCGTCACAAGGCTCGGGCAGTTTGATCCAGCATCCTGTCCTCTCCCGGCCTGTCCTGTCCCCCCTTGTGCAAACATGGCTTCGGCAACTCTGACCCGAAGAGATCGAGGATCCTGAACATCGTCTGGACGATCCTACCTAAGGTAACACTCAATCAGTCAATCCGGTCTCTCAAAAGTCTAGTGGTGTTACATGGGCTCTACTCTCGTCATCCCGTCTCCCCCTCGTTGAACTAGGGGTGGCCCTGCAGACTGCACTGTACAGTACAAGGAATGAGTGTACTGCTTGCTTACCTCGCCTTGTACTCGCTTTCCAACCGTGACTCTCCGCCCTTCCCCCACAGTCAACTTGAGGGTTCTCTGCTTGTTTTTTCCCACTGCAGCTATACCGTCCGTCTCGGGGCATCAAACCAAATCAAACGATTCGATTCGATCGACTCCGCACTCTCTCGGCCATCGGAAACCCCGTCTGACATTGCCAGCAAAGCAATAAGAGACCCGGTCATTCCCTGTCTACCTAGCAGCACTGTCAAGATGGAATCTGAACAGATTCGCAGCATTTCTCTCATCCCCGGCACGGCAACGGCGGCGACCAAAGACATCAACACCATGGCTTTCGAGAAGGCTTCACTGTCATCGACGCCTCCGACTACCCACAACGAACGGATCCATGACGAGCACGAGCACCAGCACCAGCACCAGCACCAGCACCAGCACCAGCATCCAGACCCGTACCGGCGGACGACCGTGCCAGGCCAGCCGGCGTATGCAGAGCATGGGCCTCTAGTGGACCACAAGATCCCGCAAGCAGACTTTGTTCAGTCAGAGCCAGATCTGCTCTGGAGCAGAGTCCGGCATTTCTGTCGAGAGCCTTTCTCGGAGTTCTTCGGCGTCTTTATCCTCATCTTGTTCGGGGACGGCGTGGTCGCGCAGGTTGTCCTCAGCGGTGGCTTGAAGGGTGACTATCAATCGATCTCTTGGGGTTGGGGGTAAGTGAGAAAGAGAACCAGAGAGAGAACCAGAAACCAACTCCTATTCCTACTTCTACTCCTAATCCTACTCCTACTCCTCACATCTCTGTCAGTCTATTGGGAGACCCCTGACTGACAATGTCCTCAAAGCCTAGGAGTAATGCTCGGCGTATACTCCAGCGGCATATCAGGCGCTCACCTAAACCCCGCCGTCACGTTCGCCAATTGCGTCTATCGGAAGTTTCCATGGCGCAAGTTTCCCATCTACATGGTAGCCCAGACCCTAGGGGCCATGTGTGCATCCGGAGTCGTGTATGCCAACTACAAATCAGCCATTGACGTTTTCGAGGGAGGGCCCAATATTCGCACTGTGCCTGGATACTCGGGCACCGCCACTGCCGGCATCTTCTGCACATATCCGGCCGACTTTATGACCAAAACGGGCCAGTTCTTCTCCGAGTTCATCGCGAGTTGTATTCTCATGTTCCTGATCTATGCCTTGAAAGACGACGGCAATCTTGGAGCCGGGAACCTCACTCCTCTGGGTCTGTTCTTCGTCATCTTTGGTATCGGCGCCTGCTTTGGCTGGGAAACTGGCTACGCGATCAATTTCGCGCGAGATTTCGGTCCAAGGTTGATGTCGTATATGCTGGGATACGGGCCGCACGTGTGGACGGCCGGCGATTATTACTTTTGGGTAAGACGACGGCTGATTCCTGATTGCTGAATCCAGAATCCAGATTGCAGCACTTTCCTTTGTACTCCAGATACTGACGAATTCATAGGTTCCAATGGTCGCTCCGTTCTTCGGTTGCACGTTCGGCGGCTGGTTATACGACATGTTCCTCTTCACCGGCGAATCGCCCATCAACACCGAATGCGTCGGTCTGGCTCGCCTGCTGAAATGGAACAAGAAGACTTGGTCCAATACGCACAACTCTGAGGTCTGAGGTCTGATGTCTGAATGTTGGCTTCACGGCAAAAATGTAGTATCCCATCGAAAAAGGCGACCGGAAGCAAAAGTCATGCATGTCCCTTCCATCACCAGCACAAAATGAACAGACTGCAAGAAGATTACACGCAGGCACAGATGTCGAGGACCCAAAATGTACTCTAGGATACGATGAATCAATCACCTTTGGCATGCAACTGAACGCATAACAAGCGACAGCGATAAGTACGGTCTCTCCCTTTGGTCAAGGACAAGGACAGGGCAACGCATACCCATATACTCGATTTTTCCCTTCTATTGCGTTGCCATCCCTGATTTTCGCATGAAAGCCATGGAATAAGGACTGCCGTGTGGCAAATCATTCTCACCCTCATATTTCCACGGCTTCAATGGCCTGTCAAAGCCCTCACTTGTCTGCCCTCAGTCAAGTTGTTCCTGCGCCTGCGCCTGCTCATGTTTTCCGCTCATGTTCTCAAGCTCGTTCTCCGCTGCGTAGGACTCTCCTGGCCTCACACTTCATGCCATGTAGGGAGGAGAAAATGGGGAGGAGAGCAGAGAGAAGACAAGGACAGAGGGTAGGGGAAGAGAGGAGTGAGGTGAATAGCGGAGGTTTGGGGGAAGTCAGTTCGGAGATCGTTGGAGGTTCGGAAATATGACAGGAAAGATCGTGCTATCTTTCTTGCTGTGGGTTTGAGATAGTATGGATACCTGGTTGATATTCATATATAAAAGCGCTTCAATGGGTTATGCTTCAATGGGTTATGCGGTTGTCTGAGCTATAAACTCCTACTGTCTCTTTCACGTATAAGTCTGACCGTTTCCTCGACAAAACTGGCAGAATGTCAGGTCTAGCCATGTTCTAGGCATGTTGACCCCTCGAGGCCAGCTAGTAGGTGTAGTAGAACCCTTGAAGACCCTCGATGGGCTTTCCACCCGCCGCAGCTCGCTTGTTGGCTCTCCAAAACTTGTAATCCAAAGCCAAGGTGATAATGATGATCAGGCCGCTGGCAATCATGCAAGTCAAGATACCGGGATGATAGTCCGGCTTATCCTCTTCTCGGAAAACCGTGCTGCCAATAATTCCGCCAATGCCGCCAGCACCGACGAGTGTGGCGCTGCACAGAGCCCGCTTCCACTGGCCTCGAATGTTGTTGGCTTGCCAGGTAAGGACGCAGGGAACGTTCGCATTGCAGGCTGTGGTGGCGATGAAAACACCAAAGTAGCGGACGCCCACATTGTCGAGGTAGCCGAGAAGTGGAAGACCTAATCGCGATCCATCGTTAGGTGGATGTAATCTCATCTGGAAGGGAGGAAAACTTACCAATCAGAAGCAGAGCTCCGTTGGCGAGGATAAAGGGAGACCGAAGGTGCCATTTATCGCCCAAATAGGCAAAGCCGTACATGACGATGGCGGCAAGGACATATGGAGGTGCCACAAGACATTGAGATGCAGCGACATCGAACCCCATGCCCGAGTTCAGGATGATAGGCAAAAAGTAGGCGATCGCGTATGTATTCGTGGTTGACAGACCGAAAAGCGCGGCGAATCCCCATACCTTCAAATCCAGAGCGTTCTTGAGGTATTCGCCCAAGCGGAATCTTTCAGGAATGGCATCATGTCGGTCCTTCTCGATGCGTGCGACGACAAAATCGGCTTCTGCCTTGTTCAAGAACTTCAGGCCAAAGGTCTCGGTTGACAGTTCGGGGAAATCGACAATCAAGATGTACGAGACAATGGCCATGATGGAGGTCAAGACGCCCTGAAGGATGAAGATCCATCTCCATCCTGCAATGCCAGGCAGGACACCGGAGGGAGCCGTGGGATTGGCCGCAGTAGGACCATAGTGTTGGCCCCACCAGGCTGGTCCGCTCCCGTGGTTCTTCAATTGTGAAAAGCCATAGGCGAGGATGCCGGAGAAGGCGGACGCCATGGACCCAATGAGATAGAACACGGCGTTTCGTTTCTGGAGGTCGTAGCGGGGATACCAGCAAGACAATAAATAGGCGCACCCTGGACATTATTAGTCAGACATCTGCAGAAACATGATGCACTACCGACCTGGGAAGAAACCGGCTTCGAAAACACCCAGCACCAGACGCAGTCCGATTAGATCAGTCCAGTCTTTGACAAACCCAAAGCAGATCATGGTGATGCCCCAGAGAAGAGTGATGGTAGGAAGGAAGAGCCGGGGACCAAGCTTGCGCAAGACGACCGTGGCCGGAGGTTGCAGCAAGACGTAGGTGATGAAGAAGAGAAGGACGATGATAGAGTATCGATTTCCCGTCAGGACCAAGTCGACTCCCATCCCGGCAACAACGGCGATGCCGAGATTGGTTCGATCCATCAGCGAGACACAGTACAGAAAGCCCAAGGTCAAGACAAGGCGTTTGTCAATGCGCCTAATGATCTTCTTCTGCTCCTCAGGGGTAAAAGCTGCAATACGGGCATCGTTCAGCTTATCGCTGTCCACAGATGCCTTGGTATCGGCGCGTTCAAGTTGGTCAATATCGACCTCCTTCTCGGATGCGTTCGCCATATTCGCAAAAAAGATAAGGTAGATACCTAGGGAACAGGAGAAACAGAAGGTAGAAGCTATGAGAGATTGAAGATCTGCAAGAACAAGAAGGAAGTGAACGGTCCCTGGAGACGACTTGGGGTCTATATCCTTCGATTGCGATTATGTGTGATCAACTGCAGGTAATATCCCAACTTACCAACGAGCAAGGGTTGGAGACCCAGAAGCGGCACTCATGAAGGCTGCAGGAGCGTGCCCAGCATGCCAGAGTCCATGCGGAATATTGCTTTGGACAAGTAGCAGGGATTTAGGTCAGGTTGGCATTGCAAGCGATCAGACTAGTTGGCGGGAGGGTTCGCCGTGAATGGTGGGCGAAACAACCCCAGACTGCTTTCCGTTGAGTCTGGGGTAGGGCGATGGGGAAACGTGTTGCGCCTGGGGACACTCAGTGGGCTATGCCGAGCATTCGGTCGAGGCCACCGGCTGGTCCAGCCAATATTTCACTTGATAAGTATCCGGCTGCTGGCCTCTCGAGGTGCGTCCTGTCTTCAAGATACCGAGGCGCAACTGGGCCAAGACATTGAGAGGGAAAATGCAATCTCCATACCAGAACAAACTTCGAGACCGAAGTCTTGTCGGCGGCTCCGGGAAGGCGACTGGCAGCTTCAAGGAGCGTCAAAGACTCAAGACGTTGTTTGAAGGCCTTGGCCTTGACCCGCGAACACGAGGACTAGGTCAAGGTGTTACCTCCCGCTTTGGCGTTGAGCATTGCAAACTCGACACTCGGCTCCAAGCGAAATGGAAGTTGGTAACGTTAGGATTGGTCCAGAAGTCGGCTGAGACAGTCGCGACGAATCGTACAGCGCGATGGCAACTGCAGTTCCAGATGATGCATGAGGTTGCTCTTGGCTGACGCTGCTTTGTCACCCTCAAGCCAGACTTTTGTTCAATCGAAGGCGGTGTCAGTCCTCTAGCGCTCCACAAGTGCAGGTTGGCAGTGGCGGGCACGCCGTGCGGTAGTTGACCATTTCGAGATCCTCCTCCTGTTCAGGTTCGATCCTCCGGGTCTAGCTGAACTTTCAGTTCGGTTGGACGCGGGGAGGAGGACCGTGTCCTGGCATCCCCAGATTCTTACCACAGGAGTGGCCCAACGATCTACCCCGGAGACCGATGTGCCTAGGCATCTGTATGAGGAGCCGACTCGGCGTGCGGGGTTGACAATAGACAGCCATGTCTCGATAGCATCTGGACATCAAGGTGGACGGAATCTTGACCGTTCGCTGGCTGGAAGGGTATGAACTTCCGACATCAACCCTGTTGTCTGGGCACAGCAAGTCTTGTGAGCACGCCTACCGAGCTGTGCACGAGTGAATGGTCTTCTCGTGATCTGTCATGGTCTTTGTAGGGATTGGCGCCCGTGGACGATTCTGCCGGTTCAGCATTGTAGCTCTCTGGTAGGTAGTCTAGTGGCCGGGGCAGGCTCTGTTGGCTGCTATGTCTAGAGCTCACGTCGAGGTAGCAGAGGTTGAGGAAGAAAACAGGATCTGGAGGGAGCAGGTCGGTCTAAATACATGTCTGTTACAAAGGGTGGAAATCGAGATTAATCAACATGATCTATGCCTCGTTCTGCTGGCTTAAAGGCTGCGACAAATGAGACGAATCGACCACGGATAAAACGGCTGGAGACGTGTCCCATTTGGGCCAAAGGTTATCGCTGCTCTAATGCTGATACTGCACTGCGGTTAGGACGGCGTCATTGCCGTCCCGAGCTGGTCTCGAATCTAGAGATCAAATCAGCCAATCAAGTCGATGACAACGCTAAGACGGCGTGAGCCTTTAGACTAATCCTGTTTAGGATCTTTATTTACATCCGAACCTTGGCAAGTTCAAACATTGGCCGATGCTGCGCTCTGGCTGCTGCATCGTATTAGCTGTTGAGGCATTGTATCTTGTCGCACAGACTTCTTTACGGCCTCATAGCACATCGCGCCCTCTCGTATGGCGATGTCACACGTTCAATCTTGAATTCTTCCGCTCTTTTTCGCAAATCGCCGTCGCTGTTCTATCCCCACGTTCGTTCCGAACCACGACTCTCGCTGAGCGGTGGGCAGATGCTGTCGACTCTCTCTTCAGTGTACTGCGCGACAGCTTAGGATATTTGACGACAACAACTAGACGCAACAATGGCGGCTCCTCTTCTACCTACGAAGTTTCCTTGTTGGTGCCGCGCAGTCTATTCCTGGGGCGGAGAGACAGACAGAGATCTTGGTTTTGTCGAAGGCGACTTGATCGAATGTCTCAATGCGGGAGATGGTTCATGGTGGATGGGGAGGTTGCGCAGAGACAAGAGAATGATGGGTCTTTTTCCTTCCAACTTTGTTGTTGTGCTCGAGGACAACTTTGTGCCTAAGAGCCGGTCAGTCAGCCCGCTGCCTGATCTGTCGAAAAGCGACCTCGTAAGCAAGAACAGTTCTTTACATCTACAAGAGAAGAAGGAGAGGGCAAAGTCGAGGAGGCCATTTCAAGGTTACAAGAATGCGAAAACTCCCACAGGAACACTGAGCGCGGCGGCGCAGCAGGCGGGACCTGCAACGTCTGCAGCACCACAACCGTACGATCCGAGGAACCCTCCGTCCACAGTCTTATGGCAGCAGAGACCCCCATCGCGAGCTCCTTCAAGATCCCCTTCACCATTGCCACAATTCGAGATAGGCTCATCACCGCCTCCGCCCCCTCCACCGCCTCATCGTGTCCTTGGCGGTCCGCATGGCAGTCTGTCACGAGCTCCCTCACCTGCCCCGGAACGACTGGACATGAACGACCGGTATCAGGCAGTCTCTCGAACACCTTCTCCTGCGCCACCCTCGATCAATGGACACACCCCGCCTATGATAAGAAGTGCGATGGACGAGGTAATGACTTCGTTAGATGACATGACACTTGTTGGAAAGGATTCCATCCACGAGCCAGAACATGAGTTCAACCCTTGGTCGCCCGAAGCTTTTGATGACTTCCGCCGTTCTGGCTCGAGACCGGATCCTCGACCCGTTACCAGCCTTGGTCTCGGGCCAGGTGGCAGTCATTATTCCGAGGGGCGCATCAACTACAGCAGTCGACACAACAGCCCCGATAGATTCCAGGATGGGCCGCCGCGCCTGGAAAATTATGTGCAGAGAATGGAAAGTCGACTGCGTCGGATGCAACAGGCGCGAGAGCAACCCAATCAAGATGATGTCGGGAGCGATCCTCCTGAGCCGCCTCCGAAGAATTCTCCCTGGGCGTCAAGGCCTGGTTCTGCCATGGCATCCCGACGATTGTCAATGCGAAAGAGGAAGTCGGCCTTTGAGCTTGGTGGGGATAAGCTAGCAAGAACATTTACAACGAAAACGAATTCAACAAATTCAAGCAGTGGAGTCCAGAGTGTTGCCACCAATTCCTCACATCAGACCAGCATGACCAGTCAGAGCCTCATGAGCGGATATTCGGCAGGCGGAATCAGTGCCACCAGCGCAGGCAGTCTTGCCAGGAAGAGGATGGGAAGTATGAGGGATCGCATTGTCAGACCGATGACAAGCGCAGGGACCAGAATGCCGCAGTGGGAACCAGCGGAGATTCGCCCGAAAACACCAACCACGGGAGTGTCTTATCACTCGAGCCACGACTCGAGACAAGGCGCTAAGTCGGCCGTTGGATGGGAAGACGCAAGCAGGAGCGTTACAGGTGGACTGGGAGGCTTCACCACTCCCAAGGCAAAAAAACCAGGCTTCTTCAAGAAATTGATGGATAGCGCAAAGACAGGTGCGGCCAGTGCCAGAAGTACCATTTCAGCCAGTCAGACGGGTAGCAACGCTGGATCGCCAACTAAAATGACCGGCATCGCGGGCGGGACAGCATTCAATGCGCCAGTGCAGTACTCTCAGACCAGTGGCGCATATGGAAGAGATGCTGCGAGAGAGATGGGTCTCGCCAGTGGTGCTTCTGGATCATATATCTTGACCCGGCGAGACGTGAACAGGTCCAACACACCTGGTCCGTCAGAACGACAAGAACGCGCAGATCGATGCCATATGTTGGATCAACCGGTCATTTGCCCTGTCGAGGAGCTATACGAAAACCTCGAAGGCGATGAAGACGCGGATGGGCGGCCCGTCCATGTACCTTTCCAAATCAGCAATCCTAGTTTCAGTCAAGTGGACAAGGCAGCTCGGTTCATCACAAGTCTACCAAGCAGCATCACCGCGGCTAGTCTGGCGACAGGCTACATCTGTCGGCCATATCGAAGTGGAGTCCAACGACTCCGTGCCATCTTTATCTGGTGCGCTGAGAGGATCAACTGGGAAGAAGATCTTGACTTGGATGCCTTCAATTACAACCAACCGATCGATACCAGGAGAGTCATCCAGGCGAAAAGGGGAAGTAGTCAGGAGGTCTCGACTCTTGTCTTGGAGATGTGCCACGCCATTGGCATGCATGCGGAGATTGTGCAAGGGTATCTCAAGACTCCCGGAGAAGATCTCGACTTAGACGCTGTCTCGCGTCCGAACCATTTCTGGAATGCCATCTTGGTCGACGGAGAGTGGAGGATCATGGACGCCAGCCTTGCCAGCCCTACGAATCCAAAGAGGGCACTGTATTCGAGCGTCAGCACGAGCATTGCCGAATCGTGGTATTTCTTGACGAAGCCAAGCGAGATCTGTTGGACTCATATCCCCGTCCAGGATGTGCAGCAGCACATGATCCCACGTGTCAGCCCGGATGTCCTCTTGAGCCTGCCCGGGACGTGTCCACCATTCTTCCGCCAGGGGTTGTCAATGCATGCCTACGACACCAGCATCATCAGAATGGACGGACTGGAAATGTGCACCTTGAGCATCAACGTGCCCCCAGATGTCGAGATCGTGGCAGAGGTGGAGGCCAGGAAATATCTGCGCGACCAAGACGGAGACGTCTACGAGGATGCGGACAACGTGACCAAGAAACGAGCTCTGACTCAGGCGAGCTGGTACCGAACCGTGCCCAACACCGAACTGTGTCAGAAACGCTATGTCATCAAGGCCGTCCTGCCGGGAGACGAGGGGATCGGAGTACTCAAAGTGTACGCCGGGAAGAAAGGGCTGATGCTCAGCTCGCGCGATATCATCCATCCTTTGGCCCTGGCATTGCCATTGTACCACAGCGGCGAGAATCCGGCCTACGATTTCGTCATGAGACATCCCACGCCGCACGCCACGAGGCAAGATCTGTACGTGGTGCAACCTCAATGTCTGCGACTCGGAGCGGGCGAGACGTATGTCTTCTGTGTCCGACAGCATGCTGCTTCTGTTGCGTCCACGCCAGCGATCGAACAGCCTGGCTTCGATCTACGCCCCAGCAGTCCAAATCCGCTGGTCAGACCTGCAAGTGCTATGAGCATGACGAGCAGTGCGGCCGGCAGCAACCCGAGCGATTACAACAACAGCATTGCCAACGGCAGTGCGGTCGGTGGTAGAGCCAAAGACAAGCCTGCGAAACTGGCCATTCAGAGCCCCGGCGGCAAGATAATCAGACTGAGCCGCAAGCATGAGGGTCTGCTCCAACCTTGTCAGTTGAAAGAAGTCGATGGGGAAGTGCTCGGGAGTGTCTGGGAGACGATCGTCAAGGTCCAGGAGCGTGGAGTCTGGAGAGGACTAGTTCTCGCGGATCGAAGTGCGAGATGGTGTGTCTGGGGCGAATGGGAGTGTGTCTGATTGCCACAGTGTGTTCTCTTTCTTCGAGGAATGACACTTTCTTGGACGTGGAGAGCGCGTCGATTTGAGGGCGTGCCTCTTTTCCAGTGATGAATGATGGGCGTCTGCTGTGAGAACAAAAGTTTTGGGGGCTTCTCGGGTTGGTGAAGGTTGGTGTTTAGAGCGCAACGAACGTGTCTTGGGGGGAGCATAGGCCAATGGCCGAACAATAATGAGGGTGATTCTGTGCTTCTCAACGACATACAGAACGGGTATTTGAAGGGGTATGGCCACTACAGCAGGTCAACGGAGACGTGATGGAGGGTTTATTTCGGTGGGTGCATAGGCTCTTTGTCGGGCCTTTTGTATGAGTACTATGCCTTTTGCTTTGATTCCGGCCGAAGGTTTATGACGATTGAACGAATGTTGCTTTGACTGCGCTGGATGTTTTGCATGGGAGCTGGGGATATCGCTAGCTGTTTTGATAGATCTCGAGGACTAAGTATGACCTCGACCGCGACGATGTCAGTTATACCCTCGTAATGTCGATGGTGTCTGTGGTAGCAGTCATACATATCTTCGCTTGGCCTTGGTCTGTCTCTTCTGTGTGATTATGTGATAATAGGCCCGAGAGCTCGACTCTGAGCGAATTTCCATGGGAGGGCCCGCCTTCAACTTCGTGTGTTTCACTCCTGAGGTTTTGTTGATTTAAGATGTCAGGACCAGCCAGGGAAGGGTGGCGGCTTTAGAGAGGAGAGAGGCGAATATATGGGGAAACATGTTGCATAGAGGAACCTGGGGTCTTTGAACTGGAGATTGACGGACTTGAAGGTCATTTTGAAGAAGAAGGAGTTGGTAAGGTGTGGTTTGTAGTTGGTATCGTTGTATGCTTGTCGGGAAATATATCATAATATCCGCCGATACCTATTGACATCTACGTCATTCTAATAGAAATGTCCCGCAAGGCTGGACTCCTTTTCCCTTTTCCTTTCTCTTTCCCTCAGCATCAGTTCTAATCCTCGACAAGCCGGATCCCTTCTTTGTACCTTGATATCAAACCCACCTCCCTGGCATCCCAGGTCAACTCGGTGTCGCCTTGCCCACCCCACAGAGATCCAGACCGTTCATGCCGGACACTAGTCGTGCGGACACGTCAGCACTGATGGACGGTAATACAGACATGCCGTCTCTGAGCTCGTATCTCGCGAATGTTCGTCGTCTAGTGTTTCAACCCAGATCGTCCGCTCCGTCGTCAAATGGAGGCATCGATCAGTCAGGTGGGAGGTCGACTTTGGTGATGGGCAATCCGTCAGCGGATCTGGACAGTTTTGTGTCTGCGGTGCTGCTGTCCTACTTCTACAACCTCCCAAGCAGACACAGCAACTCTTCCCATCCACAGGCAAGCACAGACGGCGGTGCTGGTGGTATTGGTACTCTGAAGACGAAATATGTGCCTGTCTTGAACCTACCTGCTGTCAAGGCCGACGAATTATGGCGACTGAGACCTGAATTCGGGGTTGCGCTGCGGTGGGCGGTGGGCGAAATCCCAACCGGAACTGGTCCTGGTGCAGACGAGCAAAGTAAAGACGCTGAGAAAGTCAAGCAATTAGAAGATATGATTACAGTTGCAGATATCAAGAGCGATTCGAACTCAGTATTCCACAGCGTCTTTGCGGACTCGGCGCACAAAGCTGCTGGATCGCAAACATCGATCCAAGCAGGCTCTACAGGTTCCACTGATGCTGCTTCGTCACAGTCACAGACGCAGACACAACCGCAGTCGTTGCTACTTGTGGACCACAATGCACCATCGATCCCAGGCATGTCGGACGAGACTATCCGCTCCAGACTCAAGGTGATCGGCTGCATCGATCATCATGTCGACGAAGGTTACGTGGAACAAGACGCTTCGCCACGCATCATCACTACAGGAATCGGCAGCTGTACGAGCCTTGTGGTCAAACATCTCCGAGATCAAGGGATGTGGCCTACACCATCTGTAAACAATACCAATAGTAGTGATCATGATGTACCGTCGACAGCTACTACTACTCTGACAACGCAGGACGCAAGCACGAATGTGGCCTCCATTCAAGAACTCAGCAAACTCGCCCTAGCACCTATTCTGATCGACACAACGAATCTCACAGGAAAAGGGGACAAGTGTTCAGACACGGATAGGGAGGCTGTTGCTTTTCTCGAAGCATTCCTCTCACCTCCATCTACACAACACAGCCAAACGAAGGATGTCAAAACAAATGCACATGCAGATACAAGAGAGGCTCCACCCCCTTCTGACAAAACAGGTCAAACATCATGGGACCGTACCGCATTCTACAATGCCATCTCCACCGCCAAAGCGAATTCTCTCAACCTTCTCACCATGCAGGAGACCTTCGATCGGGATTACAAAGTCTGGCAAGAACGTACACGTACACAACCAACCTCTTCATCGTCGGGCGCGAAAGACATCAACGTCGGCATCAGCAGTCTCGTCAAGCCGCTCTCATGGCTCATCAAGCATGCAGGCGGCGTGGACAAGTTTCTCGATGAGGTGGAAACTTTCGCCACAGCAGAAGATCGCAAATTGGGCGTATTCGCCATGTTGACCCGGGCTGGGCACGGCAAGGAGATGGCCGTGTTTGTCCTCGATGAGGATTTGACAGAGTCTGGACTGATAGGCCATTTTGAAGACAGGGCTGGAGAATTGCAGCTGCGCGAGTGGGATGAGGATCGAGAGTTGATGGAGGCGCTGAATCAGAGACTGACGGGGAAGCGGGGATGGAAGGTTTGGTGGATTGGCGACACGAGCAAGAGTCGGAAACAGGTTGGGCCGTTGCTGAGAGAGGCCGTGAAGACGATGTGATTTCCTTCAGAGCATGCCATTCAAGGAAAGGCATGGCATGGCTTTGACTCTTATTGAGCCGGATAGTTCATGATAAAAAGACAGCGTTCGAAGCGATACGATATACAAGATTCATGACTATAGGGAGTCAGGATGGATGTCGAAGGGCGATGGTGATCCTCACGCGCGGAGCTGAGAAGAGAAGAACAAACAAGGTGTACTCGATGCGTGGAGAAGATAGGAACTCTCGGGTTATGTCTCGGTTTGGAACGCATCATTATTGCATTTTTAGTCAAGTCTTTTCGCTAAGCCGTGTTTCTCAATATCTTCGGAATTGCCGTCAGGCGTGGCAACACCAGACTCGGCTTCAGCTAGCTTCTGCATCTGGTCGTCCAATCTACCGTACACCCTGGGGTTCTTCCTTGGTTCTCCCCCACCCACGCTCTTCATCTGGTATCCTCTGATCCGGGGCCCTTGGCCAGTCGGCTTGGGCAGCTCGGACTGATACGCTCGGTTGAATGTCTTGATATCTGCCTCGAATGTGCCCTGTTCGAGGCTCCGTCGGAAACCCGCGAAGAAGGAATCCATAACGCTGTAGTTGTGGATCTGGAGTAATGTCCAGGCCAGCATTTCGCTGGCCTGCAGTAGATGATGAACATATGCTCGATGATGACGTTTGCAGGAATAGCATTCACATCCTGGACTCAATGGTGAAAGGTCGGTTGCATGTGCCGTGGACCACATGTCTATTCCAAGCGTTTCATCCCTAGACTCCATCGAACCCGGGAACGAAAAGGACAAGGCAATGCCGTTTTCCGAAGACTGTGTGACAAACGGCACCGTGATAATATCTACGCCGGCGAATATTGCGGAAAGCACTGCTTGCGGCGTTTGAGGGTCGTCGAGGCATACGATCGGCAGTTGTCGCAGGCCCTCGGGAAGGGCGACCACAGTCGACGGCGAATAGAGGCATATTCCTGATATGCGTGATCTGTATTCATCGCATAGGTCGGAGAGATACAACGACAACCGCTGTGGCTCGAGAGGTGGAACAGAGGCGAACACAGGTGACAAGTGTTGCCCATCATGCTCATGCGCTTTGTTCTCCACCATGTCTCGAAGCCAGGCATGTGTTCTGTCGACGCTCTTTTCGAGCCTCTTCGCGCTGGCGTTTTCCGCGCGGACAACATCAGCCAGACTCGCCGAGATATCTGCCCCAAGGTCGTTCACGGCTTCGTTGTACTGTTCCACCTCTAGAAACCGAAACCCCACTGAGGTTGAAATGGCGACTGAAGAATTCGTGTTGTGTGCCGGAGTAGGTATACTGGGGACTCGCCGCGGTCCTAACACGGACAGACATTGGTCGGGCAGACAGGTGTATCGTCGTAATTGCGACTCGCCGTTCTGCACCGGCGTACTGTAGATGGCCGCTTCGGCTTGCGGCTTCTCGATAACTATGATGGATCAACTGTGAGCCCATAGGTCAGCGGGCAGCTTGGGGGCGCTGAAGAGCCGACGACATACAGTCTTCTAGCGGCAAGTATACCGCGGCAATTTTGGTGTGCTTTTGCACATTGTCTTGCGACAAGTGCGGTATCACGCCTCGCGACGTCGGGACAATGTAGTGCGGTGTCTTGATGGTAGGTCTCGACCGTAGGGTTAGCTGGCCGAGTCTTGCGGCGCCTTCTGATGCGGAGGCATGTTGTAGCACAAGTTTGAACATTTCGTCTGGTAGCTGTGCCAGAGAGGCACCGTCTACGCCCTCCATCGTGCCATTCCTTTGGTTTGACACTATTCAGGGAAGTTTGACCCATATCAGAAAATTGACGATCTCGCGGTGTCGTCGATGTGGCTGAGTGATTATAACTCCACCGTATAAGATGCAGTGCGGAGTATTGTGACAAGATATGCTAAAACACCTACAGAGATACAACTGGCAGTAAACTGGCATGGCAGCTGAGATTGACGAGATCGACCAAGTCTTACGTTATAGGTATCTTTCCGACTCTCCTTTGAATTCAACTACAGACCGTGAAGCTGTGTGGTTCAAGAATACTCTACTCTTCTAGTGCAAGGCCGGTTCGCCGACAAGAAGGCACTGTGGCCATGCTGAAGCTGCTTGTTGGTGCCCTGAGACATTCCCTGCTTGACACGCAGTAGGAAGAATATGACATGCCCTGCTCGCGACCTCCATGTATATGGACCATCGTGCTGCTACCGTGTAGCAAGGGCTCAGCAGCAAGCTCGGCATGAAGCAGCCAACAGGCCATTAATATGTAGGTAACTCAAAGGCTCGGTGCCAAAACGATGTGCAATAACGCTTACTACTGCGTACCACCTCTCAACATGCATCAACCAAACCAAACCAAACTCTCTCAACATGCACATCGTTTTGGCACCGCGCCTTAGGCCCCTCCATCTCCACCTCCACTCCCCAGAGAACCTGGACGATACTTTATCTACATCGACGAAATCACTATGCCACTCCTATCTTTCGGCATACCACTCGGCTGCGGCGCGTATGTTGCTCTCGCCGGTAAAGGTATCTGCAAGAATCCGGATGCGGAAAGAATCATGTTGGCTATGCTAGCAGGTTACACCACGAACATAGTACATTTGGCTATGATGTCGAAATGGATCGCACGGTCTAGGCTGCTCAATGAAGACTGGAAAGGGTATACCAGGAGGTATTCACCTGTAGTTTGGTCTGTGGTTTCTAGCTGGCTTTTTAATCGTCTGTTCAGATCCGGTTGTTAGGCGGAGTTCCACAACGAGCATGATGGCAGTATGGTAGCAGTATTATGGCACACTCGTTTTCAACCACGATTATGCCAATAAGAGGATTGATAAACATCTTCTTCTTGTCAAGGAACCTCTCTGTACTTTGGGACAAATTGGGCATGTAAGAGTCGCTGATAGTCTTTGTCTGAAGGAAGCAGATGTCAATCCTGTTCCTTACCCACATGCTTTATGACATAGAGTCTCCCGCCTCTTCAGCGGTGATATTGATAATGTATCTCTGCATGGAGAAGATGAAGCTGGAAGCTGGAAGCCATGAAACAAGGCTGAAGTGGATTGATAATAGCATAAAGCGGCGACATGTTGTGCACCATTTGAGGATTGTCTTAAGGCGGCCAGATATCCTGCCAAATTAGAATATCTCTTTTCACAACACCTCGTGTATTGATGGTATGGATACAACTTGAGTATCTAGCCCCGATCTTTTCTCAGACTGAAAGCGCCGGGGACGTGGAGTGCAGAAGGAGACATGACGCCAAGTGCCATGGAGAAAGCTACTATCTCTGCACCGAGAGGTCTGCTCATCGTGATAGAAGGCCTTGACCGGTCCGGCAAGTCGAGCCAGTGCCAGCAGCTCTTCAACACTTTCCAATCGATGGGGCAGAAAGTGCGATATACCAAATTTCCTGGTGGGTCCGGACATCGCCCCTTTGGTTGTATGTTGGAGCTCACGTCAAAAAGACAGGACTACGCCCACTGGCCAGATGATCAACAGCTATTTGACAGGCCAGGCTCAGCAAGATGACCACTCGATTCATTTGTTGTTCGCGGCCAACCGGTGGGAAGCCGCCAAAAGCATCGAGAAAGACCTTCTGGACGGAGTCACTGTGATCGTCGACCGCTATTCGTTCTCAGGAGCAGTATATTCAGCGGCCAAGGAAAATCCAGACCTCACCCTTGACTGGGCTTGGTATCCCGAAATTGGCCTCCTGAAGCCGGACATTCTGTTCTTCCTGGATATTGCTTCCGCAGAGGCGGCCAAGCGCGGTGGCTATGGTGCGGAGCGGTACGAGACGGAAAGAATGCAGGCACGCGTCCGGACGTTGTTCAAGGAGCTGTTTACGAGACTCGACAATGTACCTATCTCTCTTGTAGACGCAGGACGTTCCATGGACGAGGTTGCGACCGACATCCTGAATGGTATCCCTCGGCTGGCGCTGGATGATGTGTCACAGAAACTGCGCAAACTAGGACCGTTACTGCCACCGGCGTGATGAAGATCTAGATTCGGGCGGATTCATCTTTCATCTTCGCTATCTTCAATGACAATCTCGAGTCTCGTCGATTGAGGACTCCTACCAACTGTTGTCCCGACGTGGGACTTGGACCTCGGGCTCATGAACGAGTCTGTGGAGCCGATCGAGGCGACCGACGCGTTGTCCTCCTGCCCGTCGTCGTCACTCATATCAGCTTCTTCATCTACCACTTCTTGGGCAGTGAGCATATCGCCATTATTGTCATCGTCATCCTCCTCATCCTCACTTTCGGTCTCCATGATCTCGGCAGCGGTTGCTACGGTACTTTTGCCCTTTCGTTGTAATAGCTTCTGCACCTCCTTCAGTCCTCTGGTTCTGAGGGTCACTTGCTGCATCAACTCCGACCACCGATGTTCCTGTTTGCAGGACGGACAGCTTGCCGTCTCAGGAATAACGGAAGCAGACTCGCAGGATCCCAGCGATGCATCCGCTAGACAGGTCATATGGGACATGCCCTGGCATTCAGCGCTATGACAGATGACGAAAAGGCTCGTGTGGAGGTCAATGCCGTCGCCGCACACGGAGCATCTTTGGTCGTCGCCCTCATCGAGAAGAAACCGGCACTTCTCAAACACCCCACGCAAGCGTGCATATGTCGCATCCACACCGTCAACGCCCCCTCTCCCAATCAAATCAGCTTTCCGTTTCCTGGTTGCTGGCTGGGCTGAAGTGAATTCATGCTCCTGCGAAACCGTTTGCGCCGGATCGAAAAATATCTTGATGCCTGGACGAATATGCGAGTCGACCCGTCCACACCAGGTCACCCATGAGCGATACGCATCCTCGCTGAAGAAGCGAACCTCGAGAGGCCATCTGGAGAAGTAAGGGACGCGAAGCAAGAGATGCAGGTTGGATAATTTATCTATGAGAGATGTTCTCGGCCGGCCTGGTCTTCGAGTCGTCTTTCCTGTCCGGGCCGAAGTCTTTGTTCGTGTGGTGGCGAAAGAAATGCGCTCAGTCGGGGCGATGTGTCTGGTCAAGTGAGCGTTATGCCAGGCCCATTCGAATTGAAGCGCCGCGATATTGGAAGGAAAGCCTGCTACGATGCAAGCCATCTCCCATGGTCGAAGACTCGCGCGGGATGTGCGCACTGCTCCGCCTTGTACTCGACCATTATGCTGAGCAAGACGTCGGGCTGGGTCGGGGCTGGATCCAATATAGACGCTGGACCGGCGCACGGTAGAGCGAAGCAGGTAACAGCAATAAAAGGCCGGGACAGGTTTGAGGTCCATCGCAGGCGTCATGTTAATCAGAGATCGTAGACATCGGCTTGCGCGACCTAGCGAGGCATGAGTGGCAGTCTTCCCAGGCGCCAGGCTCTGATAAACAAGACGCGCCAAAGTAGAAATGTTGCTGGGGTTGAACTCGGGCTCCGCGCCACTGGCTAACAGCTGAGAGAGCCACCGTGGGCGTGATTGGCTCTCAAGGAGGACAACTTGTAGAGCTATCTGCCTCTGATCTCTCTGATCCCACACTATTGCTAGGGTATGTACTCTGTATATTCTGTACGTGGTCGACGTTCAAGGATGTCGGGAGTTCCCACCATTCACGCCACCATCGCAGGGCTTCAGAGACGACCGAACTGCGATAAAACAGCGCTTGACTAGCACTATCTTGGACTAGATCAAAAGAATACACACGCTAGTCTCTAAACGGATTGTGCCTTGGCATTGAACTGCGGAGCATTGGCCTAATCACGATATCGGGATCCACGTGACTGCAGCTCGACTCCACTCTCGCACTATCAAAGCATTGCTAATAAAACTGCGCTTGTCTGGTGGCCGCAGGTACCGTACAGTACACACGTTGTACCGCTGTGGCACCTGTGGCGGCGGCCAATCATCTCGTGCTCTCCATCCGCTAGTCTTTGGATCCTGTCCTGCCTCCATTGCCCGACTTGTCCATCCTCGCACTCGTCGACCTGAACTTACGCACTCACTCACTCTTCATCCGATTCTTCCTCCCTTTCTACTTCGCGGTCTTTCAGTCCTCCTCCATTCGCATGTGAGGTTCGGTTGTCTGAAGTGCCGCTAGAGCACTTCGCTCAGAGTACTTCAAGCTCGGCGTGCGATAGACAAGGCTACCCGCATTCACCTGCTGCCACTCGTTCCTCCCTCTCGGCCTTGTCGATACTATTCGATAACATCGCTCATCAGTACTTGTCTCTAAGCCCGACCGATTATCCTTCATCACACAAACAGCCACCCCACCGCCCTCCTCGATTGTCGTCTTCAGAACAAGCATTATCCGAATAGAGCGTACAAGTGGTGGTTGAACCTTGCATATCGTCGCAGTCATGGTTGTTCCGCCGTCTACTGGTGGTGTTGCACCAGCCACTGCGACCGTCAAAACATCCTCAACCCCTCGAGCGAACGGTGTCGCGCCCAATGTGGCCACTCCGGCATTCCCTTACAGTGCTCGCCGTGCTCAACCTCTCGACCTGCGAACCGTTGAGCGCAAAGGCCATCCCTCCAGTCGCGATCCTCCCACAAGATCGCGGCCACATGGCATACCCGAAGCGCCGACCTTCAGGCCGACGGAGGCCGAATTTCGAGACCCGATGGCATATATCCGAAGCATTGCAGAAAAGGCTAGCAAATACGGAATCTGCAGGATCATCCCTCCAGATAGTTGGAATCCCGACTTTGCCATCGATACGGAGGTACGTATTGAGGCTTCCAATGCTTAGGACGACTTGGCATCGTTTCACCCATACTAATAGATGTAGCGTTTCCATTTCCGAACTCGTCGCCAGGAGATCAACCTTGTCGAAGGAGGTGCGTAGTCTGTCTGGTCGCCCGTCCTCGACGAGTACTGATATATCCCGCAGGCAACCGAACAAATCTCAACTATCTAGACCAACTTGCCAAGTTTCACAAACAGTACGGTGCCCACCTGAATCGCTTCCCTAGCGTCGACAAACGGCCCCTCGATCTCTACAAACTCAAGAAGGCCGTTGAGATCCGAGGCGGCTTCGAGCGCGTTTGCAAGGACAAAAAATGGGCAGAAATCGGACGCGACCTGGGCTACAGCGGGAAGATCATGTCATCGCTATCGACGTCGCTCAAAAACTCCTATCAAAGATGGCTGCATCCATATGAAGAATGGCTGAAATACGCAAAGCCTGGTGTTCAAATGCAGCTCGAAACTGAGCAAGGAGGAGCATATCCGCCACCCCTTGCACCTCAGCACCATGCAATGACCCATCATCCGCCACCACCACCACCACCACCGCAGTCCGCTCCTCCGAGCATAGGTGCAGCCTCACCCAGGGTGCAGCCTGTCGCTGTCGATGGTTCTCCCATGCAGGCTACTTCCGGACAGACGCAACCACCGCCGCCACCGCAACCTATGCCAACAACCTCAGCACCCACCCCCCAGCCTAGACCTGTATCCTCTTCCGGCTTTACGGCCGTCAATAGTGGTTTCGCTGCCGTCAATAAACCTTCGGGATTTACTGCAGTCAACACTCTTCCGCCTCCTATTGTGAAAAAGGAGGCAAATTGTGTGCTTCCCGCGACGCAAAGCCCGGCTCCATCTTTCCTGCCGATCAATGGTCCCACTATTACCACCATACAGTCTCAAGGTCCGGCTATGCCAAATGGGACCCCGAACCCGCTCAAGAGGGCCATGAGTCATGATAGCCTGAACGGTGAATCTGGTTCAGAAGGCTTGGACGGCGACATGGATGGGCCGAATGGCCGGCGAAACAAGCGACCCAAGAAAGGTTAGTTGACTCATCGTGCCGCAGTTTGCAGTTGCAGTCTTTGCTAATTGAAGCAGATGGACTCCCCACGATTCCTGGAAACCACGTTCCGGCGATGCGCTCTGCTACTCCTCAGACTCGGCCCAAGCCGCTACCACGGAGGCAGGGCGACAAGTGCGAGAAATGCGGAAAGTCCGACAACAAGGAAAATATTCTGGTGTGTGACACATGCGATCTAGGCTACCATACGCATTGCATCGACCCGCCTTTGAAGCAGATACCCGACTATGATTGGCACTGCTCAAAATGCCTGGTTGGTACCAACGATTACGGGTTTGAAGAAGGCAATATCTACTCCCTGAAACAATTCCAAGAGAGGGCCAGCAACTTCAAGGACCACTATTTCGGCTCGCGAATGCAATTCGACCCAATCACAAATACGCAGAAGCGACCCACCGAGGACGATGTTGAGCGGGAATTCTGGCGCCTCGTGGAAGACATCACAGATACGGAGGAGGTCGAATATGGCGCGGATATTCACTCGACCACGCATGGCAGCGGGTTTCCCACTGTAGAAAAGAATCCCCTGAACCCGTACTCGAAGGACCCTTGGAACCTCAACGTCATGCCTTTCCTGGAAGATTCGCTTTTCAGGCATATCAAGGGCGACATCTCTGGGATGACCGTGCCTTGGTTGTATGTCGGGATGTGCTTCTCCACGTTCTGTTGGCATAATGAGGATCATTATGCATACTCCGCCAATTACCAACACTTTGGTGCAACTAAGACATGGTATGGCATCCCCGGTAAAGACGCTCACAAGTTTGAAGATGCCATGAGAAAGGCGGTGCCAGAATTGTTCGAGACACAACCTGATCTGTTATTCCAACTGGTCACCATTCTACCGCCGAGCCAGCTGCGGAAAGCTGGCGTGGAAGTCTATGCGCTTGATCAACGTGCAGGACAGTTCGTCATCACCTTCCCGCAAGCCTATCATGCTGGCTTCAACCACGGCTTCAACTTCAATGAGGCGGTCAATTTCGCCCCAGCGGATTGGGAACCCTTTGGCGAAGCGGGAGTACGTCGACTTCAAGAATTCCGTCGTCAGCCGTGCTTCTCCCATGATGAACTGCTCTTCACCGCAGCAGCCTCAGATGCTACGATCAAGACAGCCAAATGGTTAGGACCAGCGTTGGAGCGCACTCGAGATCGTGAGCTCGAGGAACGCAAAGAGTTCGCGGCTCTGCACCAAGCTCTGTCCCCGCACAATTCATGCACATTCGATACTCTGGCGCTTGAGCCGTCCCCTGCCTGTGGGCTCCGTGTCCAGGTCGAGAATATTGAACTGGAAGAGGAGGAGTATCAATGTTGCTATTGCAAGGCATTTTCCTACCTCTCACAATTTCGGTGTCACGTCAGCGGCAAAGTGAGCTGCCTTCGCCATCCCAGAGAAGCCGATTGTTGCTCGGAGACTCTGCAGGAGAGAATGCAGGGTCCCAACCATAGCCTCATGTTGCGCTATACCAACCATGAGTTGGAGACGGTGGTTCAAAAGGTTGTGGACAAAGCTAGTGTCCCTGAGGCGTGGGAAACAAAATTGGAGTCTCTGCTTGCGGACGATGCTCGCCCTCCGCTCAAGGCCATGCACACTCTGCTGACTGAAGGGGAAAAGATACCCTATCCGCTGAATGGCCTAGATGACCTCGCCGACTTTGTGAAGCGATGTGACCAGTGGGTGGATGAGGCGAATCTTTATCTGACTCGGAAGCAGCAAAACAGACGCAAGAACGAGAAAGCATGGCGGCGTTCGTCCATTCGGACAGGCAAGACAGATGAGAGAGACGAACCACAGCTGACATTGGAACGCATGAAGGAGTTGATCGACGATGGAGAACAGCTTGGGTTCAGTGCACCGCAACTCGAATTGCTCCAGGAAAGAGTGACAGTCATTGATGAATGGCGGGCGAACGTTAAGCGAGTCCTGTCAGGCCTGCATCAAGCAACCACGCAGGAACTGGAAACCTTACTGGAGGAGGGACGCTCATTCTCGGCTGCCATGCCTGAGCTCACGAGTCTAGAGAAAGTCCACGCGCGTACGCAATGGCTTGAGGAAGTCCGACAGGTACAAGAAGACGTGCAGTCCAAAACGCTGGACGAATGTCGGGCTCTTCTGAAACGATGTGAGGAATTGGACATTTTGCCGCAAGTGCCCGAGGTTATCTTCCTGACGGAAGTGGTACGCCAGGGCGAGTTCTGGGAGATCAAAGCCAAAGAAGTGATGGCAGCTGAGGATGTCCATTATCCGCAGCTTGAGTCGCTTCATTCACAGGTGCAGAACCACGTCTTCCCAGTCAACAAGGACACTCTGGAGCAGATGGACCTGATTCTGGCCAAGAACCGCGAAGCAAAGCGTCAAATCATCACGCTGGTGGAACGCAGCCACGACCCCGACTTCCGCCGGCGGCCATTATACACTCATGTCCGCGAAGTCGTGAAGAGCTTAGAGGATTTGAATGGAAAGCCCCATGGAGCAGCCGATCTGGAGAAAGAATTGAGAAGACACGAGGACTGGATGAGGAAAGGTAAGAAGTTGTTCGGCAAGGCCAATGCACCTCTTCACATCCTCGAGCAGCACATGAAGTTTGTGGAGGAGAAGAACAACTTCTGCTTTGACCTCAACGACACCTTTCGACCGCCCATCGAACCCGCCTCCCGAGAAGCGACACCGGCCGAGGGTCCTGACAAGGGCACGCTTGGGGACGACGAGAAGCCAGTCTTTTGTATCTGCCGGCAGCCAGAAGCGGGTCTCATGATCGAATGCGAACACTGTCGCGACTGGTGAGTACTTTGTCTTCCCGCTCCCGTGGCCGAGCTAACAAATCCTTGTTTAGGTACCATGCCAAATGTCTCAAACTAGCCCGAGGCAAAGTCAAGGAATGTGAAACGTTCACTTGTCCGATTTGTGACTGGCGAGTCAAGATCCCGCGAGACGCAGCGCGTCCGAAGCTCGAAGATCTTCAGAACTGGCAGGACGAGATCATTGACCTCCCCTTCCAACCGGAAGAAGAGGAGCTGCTGAGGAGGATCATTGACAAAGCTCAGGCTTTCCGGGACTTCCTTACCAAATACACCAAGGGCAACCAACTCTGCCAGACGAGTGAAGAAATGCCGGAGATGTTGTTCTATCTTCGCAAACTTGAAGGGGCGGAAGTACTGCTTGCCTATGAGACCAATCTTTTCCGACAAGAGCTGCACAAGTGGAATCCCATTGCCCCCATCCCGCCGCCCATTCTGGACCAGAGTCTATCGACACGCAAGCCTCGACCTACCAAGCAACAGAAGTTGATGAAGGAGCTTGGAGTGGAAAAACCTGAGGATCTCCCTCCACATCTTCGAAGCAAAACATACGTGCGCAGAAAGACGCAAGAGTCATTCATGACCGGTCCTCTGTTACCCAAGCCTAGCACGCAGTCACCATCGGCTCCAGGCTCAGCTGCCAGTCCCACCCATAGCCAGACGGCTGGAACTTCGGATAGTCCCTCGGGGATCGCGAGGCAAGGATCAAATGGCATCCCCGGACCCAGCGGCAGCTTTGAGCCTGGGTATGCTACCGGGCCCGCGCCGTATGGCACGTCATACGGAGTGAACAGACCTCCATCGTTCCCTCCACATTCCCCGTCACCCTTGTTCAGCCCCGGAGCAGAACGGCCTGAGAGCCTAAGGGACCCGATGCTGCCCACCTTTTCCGGTGGTGGCTCTGGCGAAGTTCGGAATCATGACCACTTGTTTCCACTGTTCCGGCCGAACCCTGGGTTGGGGCTGGATGGCGAGGATGATCTTCGTGATGGTCTTGCCAACGCGTCTGCCAGTCAATCCCCATCACCTGGTGGAGGTTCGCCACCCGGCGGAGATTACGACAACATGTTTATGGATATGACGCATCCCGACGGCGACGTGAACAACGAAGCAGGTCCTAGTCTTGAACATGAAGCCAGCCATGCAAGCGAAGCCTTGGACATGATCCGGACTGCCAGTCATGACTCGGCAAACGACCATGGCGAATTAGACGATGGAGATCATGTGTCGAAGCATTTTGACGATTTTCTCAATGGGGACGGGCCAAGCTGAGTGATAGAAAGGGAAGGGCGTCGAGCATGAGGAGCATGATCGTATCCATCCAATGATGTTGCATGGGGTGGTCAACTACGGGGTTTGTGGTATGGGCCTGGCGTATCGTGCTCGGGCGAGCTGGAAGCTGGCAGGTCGATTGCACTTTGATTGGGGTAGATGCGGTAAGAGTATGGTCGAGATGATGAATGGATGTTTCGCCGGACTGCGTGCAACCGCTGACTAGAATCGGAAAGACTTGTACAAGAGAGCTGAATACCTTAAGGCAGCGTGTATCATCACTGCTCACTGCTCACTGATATCATCATGTATGTGAATATGCCAGCTGAACATGCTCTCTCCCCTGCATGGCGTATTAAAGGACTAAGTAGTGTGATGTTCCTCTACAACTTGTTCGGATCGTTAGAAGGAAATGAATGTTGGCGTCACAGCGACTGTGATCAATCAGGAAAGTTTCTGGCGTGCGCGGGGCAATTTCGCAATCACTGTAATTAATTAATTAATTGTGTCGCAACTTTGAAGACTCACTCATGACACCACAACATTCTTCCAGCTGCTGTGAGACTCCCTCTCCTGACCATTCGTGAGACCGTGAGACCGAAAGAAATCACCAACAGTGGCTTGCTTCTTTCAAGTCAAAACAGCTGTGGAAATACGCCGACACCAACACAAACACCGACACCGACACTGAACAGCTTCAACGACACACCCTGGCTGGCCGAGTATCCATGCCATAGCCGACCTCTCTTCTATTGCTACAATCAATCAACTTGAGCGGCAGCGCAGCAGAAACAGTCGGTCCACCATGGCGGACGACGACCGGCTCCCTACGCTGTTATCCTCCCTCCCGCCCTCCTCTCACTACTTCTCGCTCGAATTCTTCCCGCCCAAAACGTCGTCCGGGTTCTCGAACCTCCAGTCCCGTCTGGCTCGGATGGCCGCGGCCCTCCGCCCGCTGTTTGTGACCGTCACATGGGGTGCCGGTGGATCGACAGCGACAAAGTCTTTGGAACTGGCCGAAGTATGTCAGAGACAGCTAGGCCTGACGACCGTCCTGCATTTGACATGTACGAACATGAAGAGAAGCATGGTGGACGAGGCCCTGGAGAGCGCCAAGGAGGTTGGGATCCGAAACATCCTGGCTTTAAGAGGCGATCCGCCCAGAGAAGAATACAGAGACACCAATGAAGGAGGAAGCGGAGGCTCGGGAACGGACAGCAACGAGGACTTTGTCTGGGCCGTCGACCTGGTACGGTATATCCGGCGCAACTATGGCGACTACTTCTCCATCGGCGTCGCAGGGTACCCAGAAGGCCATGCGGATGAGAGCAATCCGGAGGCAGGGAAGCAGAGTGTCGAGCACGATTTGCCGTATCTGGCAGAAAAGGTAGCCGCCGGCGCAGACTTCATCATGACCCAACTCACCTACGACATCAACGCCTACCAAGCGTACGAGAAGAGACTGAGGGAATATGTGGACGACGACGGGAACAAATTGTTCGCAAACATCCCCATCATCCCGGGTCTGATGCCTATTCAGAGCTACCAGATCATCAAACGAATCACGAAACTGAGCCACGCAAAGATTCCGGAAGATATCTCCCGCCGCATCGAAGCTGTCAAGGCCGATGACGAAGCCGTGAAGAGAGTCGGAGTCGACATTCTGAGTGAGCTGATCGACCAGATGAAGACGCTCCCACAGCCCGAAGGCATGCCGCGGGGTTTCCATTTCTACACCCTCAATCTGGAAAAGTCGGTGGCTTTCATCCTCGAACGGACGGGGCTGATCCCACCCATCTCCGAACCTGACACGGGCGCCGCCGCGTCAAGCGATGCCTCCGACTCGGACGCCATCGCGAACGACGACGTGAAGACAAAGACACCAACACCAACAGCGACATCAGCTCTGTCCAACGGAACAACAGCACAGAATGGCATCTCTCCCCTCAAGGCTGGCATCACCAAGCGAAGAACCAGTTCCGTCAATGCACAGCCCCATAACAGAGTCATTCTCGAGCACGCCCGGCAGGAACACCAACAACAACAGCTACAAAAAGAGGCCGAGAAGGCAGAAACAACCACACCAGTGGTGAACCAACATCTCGCACCGAACCGGGGCACGGGAATCCCCGCGTCGGATCCGACGAGGAAACACAACCTCATGATCTCCGAAGGCCAAGGCTCTCTAGGACGGGAAGCGACATGGGACGACTTCCCCAACGGCCGCTGGGGACCTTCGCATTCACCCGCGTTCGGCGAGATCGACGGCTACGGCCCCACGCTGAAAGTCGGCCCCATCACGGCCCGCCGGCTCTGGAACCATCCGAAGTCGCGCGACGACGTGACCGCCCTGTTCCGCCGGCACGTCGTGGGCGAGCTCGAGGCCGTGCCCTGGAGCGACGAGATCGACGTGGACAGCGGCGGCCCGGCGGCCCTCCGCGCCGAAACCGAAGTCATTCGACAGGACCTGCTCGCTTTGATCGAGAACAAGGGCTACTGGACACTCGCGAGCCAGCCGGCCGTCGACGGCGTCAGGAGTGAAGACGAGACTTTTGGCTGGGGTCCGCCGGGCGAAGGGTTCGTGTTCCAGAAGGCGTTTGTCGAGTTCTTCTGTCCGCGGTGCGAATGGGAGGAAAAGCTTCGACCCCGACTGATCAAGTACGGGCCTCAGCAAGTCGGGTGGTTGAAAACGGATGCTCATGGAGAGTTTGAGTCGAGTGAATTGTTGGAGATGGCTGAGGACGGTCGAAGGGAGGAGGAAGAAAGACAAGAGGCTTCGTCGCCTTCCAAGACCGAAGATGGACCAACACAACAACAAGCTCCTACGTCGGAAACAACATCGAAGGGAACTACGACGACATCCACATCAACAATACCAACCAGCGGCGTCAATGCCGTCACCTGGGGCGTCTTCCGCGGCAAAGAGATCGTGACGCCCACCATCATCGAGGCCGAGAGTTTCCGCGCATGGGGCGAAGAGGCATACAGTATCTGGAGCGAGTGGCGCCGCTGTTTCCCCCGCGGTAGCCAGGAGGAACAGTTTTTAGAGCAGATGCGTAGGGAGTCCGTGCTGGTCAATGTCGTCGGACACACGTACATTGGGGGTCATGCGGGTCAGGGGGGAGAATTGTGGAAGATTCTGCTTTCTGATGAATGAGAATAAGAATGAGATTCAAACACAAATTCAAGTTCAAGTTCAAGTTCAAATTCAGATTCAGATTCAATGAGAGAAGAATAGAACCCCAGCGGGTATGAAAGTTGATATTGGGACATCATCTGCATGTTGGTGTAGTATAGTCACGTAAAAGGAGACAGACAGGTCTCCTCTGTTGCGGAAAAGGACCTTGTATATATACCTTAGGTATGCATGTATCAGTATTGTCCCGTACTACACAAATGTCATCGTCGTCTGGTAAGGCTCTTCATGGCGTTTCGGATGCTTGGGGGAAGATGAAAGTACCTAGGTACCGACCTACCAAGCCACCCTTCAAAATTTCAGTAGACAGTACCATAGGTACACCAACGTGCAGGAGAACGCCTATTATATTGACCTTACGGACGACTCACCCTACCTCATAGGCAGCTATATCATTTTTGCGGTGCCACCTAAGCATAGAAGCTGTTGTAAATATGCGGATAGGCGCATGGTAGGAGGAGGAAGCAATTTTGAACTCATACAACTTTTATTTTTGGGAGGCTTTCTGGTCTCATGCGGAATACATACTCGTTGTCACTTATCCATCCATGACCACCACCAGCCCGGAGACGAGCATTTGATCGCTCAAAAAGGAGGAGGAAGAAAGCCTGATCGTAATCTGACAGCCAAACAGGAATCTTTGCACACACTTCCAGTCCGCAGCCTCGTCACGCTGCATCAGTCCTCTTCATCTGGACTTGTCTCGTCTGACTCCACCTCGTTCGTGGGCTCCTCGTCCGAACCCTCATTATCATCTGAAGTCTCATGTGCTCGACATGTCTCAGCTGATTCCACTTCGTTCGTGGGCTCTTCCTCTCCACTCTGCTCATCTGACTGCTTCCCATCTGACCTCGCAACATCCATACCCGGTCCACTCGAGCTCCCTTCTTCTGAACTCTCCCCGTCCGAGCTCTCCTGATCTGCGCTCTCTTCATCAACCTCCCGACCCTCTCCGAGAGTCATCTCGCCTAACTCTTGAGCCAGAAAGTCATTTGGGTCCTCGAAGTCCTCCAACCGCAGTATCCGTCCTCCCAACATGCGTCCCATATGAGTATGGCCCCATTCAATCCCAAGTCTTCTCATGCCGATGAAAGCTTTGAGCATCCCCACCGGGCTTGTAGAGAACTTACACTCGGTCCAGCCATTCGCTGCACGACACGCAGGAGAAACAAAGTTGTCGCTGGCCACCTCTCTCTGGTTCGGAAGCGGTCTTTCCCCGTCCCAGAGACCGATGAGAGCACAGAGACGCTTGTAGTCTTCAAATGTGGTGAAGTACAGCTGACCTGCAAATAGATTGAGCAACGAGATCGCGTCGGGAGCGACGTTGACCGGCTCCATACTCGCTGGGACGCGGTAGATGTTCATCCCGTCAAAAGGTAACATGTTCCTCCCAGTTCGCGGTTGATAGAGGATGAGGGTGGCACGTTTATGCATGCGGATGGCCGGGAGAAAACCTTGGGCTTCGTGCGGGCTGATAATGATGGGCTGCCTAATACAGCTGACCAACAACACCCACTGGACTGGTCGGAGGAAATCATCCTGTGGAGAAGCGGCAACGGTCACAATGGTCCGCAAGAAGTCCTGCGTCACGAACACCTCCATGGGCCACTCCCGGCGCTTGTACTGGGACGCCAGTCTGGTATTCAAGAAGACCTCAAATGCTGAACGAAAGTCGCCCGCTTTCTCAGGCACTTGGCCTTTGCTGATAAAATTCCAAAGAGCTTGAGACACAGCTGGCCTGGCTGGCCTGGCTGATTTAGGGCGTTGGACTTCTCGTACTTCTTCGACTTCGTGCAGAATTTCCCGTTCTTGCTCCTCGGATATCCCGGAGTCCTTGATGTCTTTGATTTCAGTGTTGTCCCATTCCTCCAAAAGCTGGCTCATGATGGGATCCTTCTTTTCGCCCTCCGACGGCTGGAAAGAAAGCTCTTTCTTGTTCTGTCGATTTACAGTGTACATCTCTGACACATGACGACGCTCCTTTTCTCGGATTTTGTCGAGATACTGGTCGCTGTTCATGACCTTGCCATTGGTGTTGACGTGCTCCTGGAAAGCCAGTCGGCGCCGGCTATGTGAGATGCCTTTCGCCGCCCAAAGCGGTCGTTGGCTTCTAAGTGTGCGGCAGGATTGCGAGATGCACCAACGGATGACGTGGGAACTGTCGATGTTGGCGGGATCCTGAAGCAAAGCGCGGATGCTATTGTCCACCTCTGGTGGCGCGAAGAATGTCACTGATTGTGACACCGCCAACTTCCTCATTCGCATGCAGGCTTGTACTAAACTATCCTTCAAAAGCCCCGGGCCGAGCAAAACTGCAGCTTTGAAGTGATCGGGAAGTTGAAAATCTGTCCCTCGTGTGTGGAACTCGTCGAGGTAAATCATGCATTGTCCGATCTCATCTTTGAATATCGACGAAGCAAATAGTTCAGTGCTCCCATCCCGATTAAGCACCATCTTCTCGTCATTTTCACTGAAGAAGATAGCAGCCATCTTCTCGGAGCACAATCGTAGCCACTTTTCAGCAATCTCTCGGTTGTCCTCAAGAAACTGGGCGCCGACATCAATGATGACGGCTGGGCTCTGGGGCTTGTGTTCCACGATGATTTCGAGCAATTCATCGGTGGACAGTCTTTGACCTGACGCGGATGCTGCGCAAATGTACTTGCGATTATCGTATCTCAACAATGTCGCCAGGGTCGACGCCGCTCCGTGACGCAGGTCTTCAATATCTTTCTGAAAACATGTCAATGGAATCCGGCTGTCGCAAGTCCCGCTGAAACCGGAAGTGACTTTCCCGCCGTCATTCGCACAAAGGTCCCATGCGCTGCTCGAAAGCTTGTGGAGGAACTCTTTGGCCTCCTTGGGATACACCACCTGTCTGAGAAAGAAGTCTATCACAGCTTTGTTGTAGCGGAGATTAGTGTAAAGCTCGGAGATGCAGTATGCGTCGTCCAGATTGAGAGAGCTTGCGCTTCGGTACTTCTTTGGCAGTGTACTGTCTGCCACCCATTTGGAGTAATCGTCACCCGGGTCCGGTGACTTCAACAGTAGCAGGATACACCGCTCCAAGTCCTCCCGCTGGATGCCAGTGTAATAGAAAGAAAGCGCGGTGAGAAGAATCAATGTTTCCGGCTGTGCGAACTCTGCACTTGGGGACGGGACTGATTTGGCGCGGTATGGGACTGCAGCATAACAGCGACCTCGGTCCAGACCATAGTTCACAAGCCAGCGTTTGCGGAGAGCATGGGCCAAGATCTGTTGAGATATCAGACCCCGGAGAACATAGAGCAAGTCGAACTGCGCCGAGCCTTGGAAGTGTTTGGATACCAAGCCGAACTGAGCAGAGTCAACTTCCTGGTCATGCACGAAATGGTAAAGGGCTTTCAAGGTCTTCGCATTGCAATGACCTAGAGGAAGCCCTGGCAGCTTTCCTTCGACCACTTCCCTGGCCAGCTCTCTAGTGACCAGGCGAGCGCCCTCTTCATTGAGGATTCGAATGTGAGGAAAAGAAGCGGGAGCGCGCATTTCAAGTTCGATCCCAGCCGGGCATGCCTTTTGAAGGCGGACAGCATCTCGTTGTACAAGAGCAAGCAGCTCTAGTGCAACGATCCATCGATCAGGCGCCCCTGATAGAACATTGGCCTCTCCGTTGGTGTACACGAGCTCGTATGCCGGCTTCAAAAGTTCGTCACTCTCGTCCAAGATATCCCTAGTGTTGCAATCTAGCCACTTTTGCAGGCGGATGAGTTCGATCGAGAGATTCTTGTCCGTACCGAGTTTGTCGCTTCCAACGAGGCGGAAGGAATTCAGGTGCTCTGGTAGAGTCAGTAGCACCCCACAGCTCTGGAGACAATCCTCAAAGATGCCCTTCAGCAGTTCAGGTGTTTCGAGATTCAAGGATGTTTGCCTCGAGAACGGAAGATGATAAACGGTCCTACCGACCAGTCCTGCAAGACTCGAGGATAGAAGTCGGAGCATCTCGTTTGCAAGTGGTTTCAGTACAATGACGCGCACAAGTTGAGAGCCACTCGCCAAAGCCGTGACAATCATGGGTAAGATCACACTTGTCTTCCCTTCGCCCATACCGAGCAAAACAAGGCCGTTCTCCGGCTTGATCAGTTCCTGCGCAACCCGCACCTGCACAGGTCGTATCAGGATGTTGTTCTGAATCTCAAGCAGCAGCCAGTCTGGCCACTGCTCTGGCTCCCAGGCCGCGTGCGCAGGGTTTGCAAGTTCGCACTGGAGGGCAAAATTGTCCTTTGCGGCCATGTATTTCTGCAGGCGTTCCACTCGTTGCAGGGCCGTCACCTCTCGCGCCAGTAGTATGATTATCTTGATCCAATCTCCGGGTACTCTTTCTCTGTGTTGCGCGGTGAGCAGCTGTAGTAGTGTCAATTCAGAGACGTGGGGCCAAATCCCTGCGTCTACCAGAGCTTGGTGAGACTCGCATGGCTGAAGAAGTCGGCGACTCCGACAGAGAATCTGGCTGATACGATCTTTCACGTCTTTGGCCTTTTCACTCAGAGTGGACTGGATCACAATTCTCAATCTGCTCTGCTCTTCTGCCGTCTTCTTCTTCCACGCGATGATGCTTTCGTTTAAGGACTTGGCGTACTCCTGGATGATAGTACTCGAGTCCGTAGTCAAGTCTTCAACCATGTCCTCCAGTTCCTCCCATGTGCAACGAAGCTCATTTGCTGCCAGGTGCTGGTGATGTTCGCGATGACATATGGACCGGGCAAGATCTTGATCCAAACAACTGGGTCTGCTCTGACGGAGAACTTCCTCGGCGGTGGGGACCGAGCACATGATATCCAAGAGGGAGAATTGAGTTTGAGGCCCAGGAACCACATGATGCCCAGGAACAGGAAGAATATTGCTCTGGACTGTTGGTCCTGACCAAGAATGATGCATCGTCTCCAGTTCTTGGTCAAACGCGTCGAGTTGAGACAAGAAAACATGGTTCTTGTACCAAGCTGCCAGCCTACCGTTCAGTAACTGTTTCAGTTCGGCAAAATTGTAATGGTCAATCGACCTCTTCCCGGGAAGCCGCACCGAGTCGCCCGGCCAGGCTGCTTCTACTGTTATGATGATCCGCTGGCGCTGATCGCTTAGCTCGCGCTCGTATTGCTCTCGTTCTGCATCATCGTCCTCGTCATCACTGTCACTGTCACTGGTGTCCGACGATGCTGCAGGTGTGAAGCCCTTTTCACATTGTGCAATAAGAGTCAGAATCTCCCCGCGGTTAACTGTGTATCCCTGACGTAGGTTATAGGTGTTGTGTTCAGGGGCGGGCAGCTGCATCAACGGTGGTGAGATCGCAAATGCAAGGGCAGTCCTCAGCTCACGCGCAAGACGGGGATTGCCGAAAACGATCAGTGAGAGAAGAAAAGCCAGGTGTTCACGAGAGGTCGAATGCCCTTTGCAATAAATCAACAACTTGGCAAATTGTTGTTGTAGATCCTGGCTCAAGACCTTCGAAAAGGAAAACGCAGAATACTCCTCACCAAAGCCGTTGATCTGTTCCCATCCCAAGACCATGGCTCTCAGGTCTGCGCGCACACTGAATGCAGACAGCCAGGCTCCGGCTAGGCCCGCCATTGAGGCAGCCGCGGCCTGGTTTGCACTTTCATCGCGGTCGCGAGAAAAGTAGCATTTGTCCTCGGGATCGGTTTGTCCCGTCGATACAGACTCGCAAGGATACAGCTTGCGGGTCCGATGGTAGGATCTGTCAAGCAATGGCAGATCTCCAGAGTATGACAACCGCTGCACATCTTGCGACTCAAACAAGAAGGTGGCCTTGGAATTGTGTGAGATAATATCGACCACAGTGCCATAGAAGATGTCACGTTGAGAAAGGTATGGTAGAGAATCATGAAATGCATCAGAGTGCATCGTTCTCATTCCGACCGGGTAAAACTTACGCCTAGGTGAGAGTTGCGCGATCAGGTGCAATAGCGTCTGCGACCGAGCAGAGAAAGGCACAGAGGTCCGAGTAATCGGATCGGAGAGACTGAGGAGACTTTCCTCGCTTCCAGTGCGTCTAGTAAGCTCGTCGTTCTCGGGAAAACTGGTGATGGCGTGAAGATACGACTTGAACAGATGACCTTCCAAATCATCTGCGATCAGCCGGCCTAGCTTATCATCGACGCGATAATGAGAGAATGACAGAGTTTCAGCATCTGCCAGATGGACTCCAGCACTAACGTGAGGTCGCGCAATAGATAGAACAACGTCACCGTTTGGGATCAGGACACTTCGGACAACCGAAGAAACATTATTGACTGCCCGAAGGACCAAGCGAGTCTTCAAGCCATACAACGTTCCAATGACTTGGGAGGTATCCAGGACTGCAGAGAGTTCCTGACATTGGATCTCACCTTTCAGGGTGACGAAGAAGTTCAGGTGATATCGGGGAAGCTTGATTCTAGTCGTTGTCTGATCATGCCTCGATATGACAATGTGATCTCGGCGTTCAAAAGGACGAAAGATGTCACATATTGTGCTCCCCACCGCACTGGCATGATCAATCAGAAACGCGTGATCGGTCCGCATAGAAGCCGTCGTTCCAGAGTGAATGGCGGGATATAGTACCCAGTCGTCGACATGAGATTCCCAGGGTCGGGTGATTGGACGAAAGAGGACTCGACCATCATCCAGAGACATCCAGGGTATGCTGCTCTTGACGATAGACTCCGGAATATCTCCTCTGAAAGTATCGCGAAGAATTGCCTCGAAGAAATGACCATCAATACTTGATCGCAGGAGAAGAGTTTTACCACGCATTCCAAAGTAGATGCGGTGTCCCTCAAACATGGGTTTGGACAGATACTCCATGTCAGCGACGTCCGAGGCAGAGACATCAAGATCGAGTTCGCCAAAAATAGAGCGATAGAGTGGGTGCGAGGTATATGTTGTCGGTAGGTGGGACAGCGGTCGCCCGGAGACCAGAAGCTTCCCAGTGAGAACATTGAAATGAACAAGTCTTGATGACACCTTACTCTGTAGCCACGAGGTGTCATTCTGGTGAACGATGGTCCATGCCGTTGTGAAAGTCGCAGAGTGCCAGATTCGCTTGATACCGTCGGAAATCGCAGTGTTGCGGAGTTTGAGTTGGTCGAGGAGAGGCTTCTCGCATCGCCGCGCAAGATAATCGTCGTTCAAGAGATCTGATTTCTGTTTGGGATCATCAGCCACAGCGCCCTGTTGGCGATGATCGTGCAAATGGATGGCTGCTTCAATGTAGTCAGCAATGGCGCCATCATCTGAAAAGAGTGACGTGAGTAGATGCTCATCGACATTGAAGGTCTGTCGTGTCAAGAGGCAGGCATTGACGATCTGACGAGATAGATCCTTCAGGCTGAGGCCTCCTGTGGACTCTGATTTCTGGTGCATATGGAGCTCCGTCAACTGACTGATCCATACAATGCCGGCCTTGCGAATCCGCTGCACGAGATCTTTCCATCGAGACACGTCAATGCGCTCTGGTACCAATGACAACACTTTGAAAGTGATCGCAAGCACTACACTTGCAGCAGTGACTTCTTTCCAGTTAGCTTCTATTCCCGCAAAGCTGGACTCGAGTGCATTCAGGAGAGCGTGACAGAAGGATCCCACTGCAAGGTCTTGCTGGGATTCGCGTAGATATTCTGGTGCAGATACGCCGGCGGTCCCCACCTGTGACATGGCATGCGTAAGTAGAATTGACGTAGAAGTCGAGTTGAGGTCAATCTCCGCCGAGGTCAACATTGTGAGGATAGTCATCCACTGTAGTCGTTCTCCAGAACGCAGAGACCCGAAAAGGACATGTTCATGGGGCCCCATCTCACGAGGACAATTGCAATGTTGCGCGATGATCGAGTTCTGTGTATGTGTGTTCATGTTCACATAGGGACTCAGGTGCCCTTTCAGGGGCTTTGGGAGCTGTGCGTTGCAGTATCGGGTCAGCGAGGACTGGCTCTCCTGTTCTTCTGTCCAGATCTTGCTGTCGGTGTCAAACATTCTCGGTCGAAGGCCGTTTTTGACGAGCACGTCATCCATCTCCAAACCCGACTTGAAGTAGTGGGCATTTTGCATCGATTTGACTGATGATGCGAGCGTCACACGGATGTTCTGAGCTCGGGCGGACGCCGCAAGTGGAGGATACGAGCGCAAGATTTGCTTTACATCTGCAGCTGGCACTGATGCCCTACCAATGTCATGGACAAGAAACCACGTTGCGTCACGCCAGACGACAATGGCTTCCGGTGGCTTGAGCTCAAAGATGACTGCTTTGATGTTCGCCTCCTCCTCGGGCAGAGGCCATTCGTGCTTTTCAATTGTGATGGCCTTAGCAGTCCGCTCTTTGGCACATCTCTTGCAGTAGCGGTCATGACGAGGACGCCCGACCCAGTCAGGGCCTCGAGGAACGAAGATACCACACTCCATAGCTTCAACGCTTTCCATAAGCTTTTCAAAGTCTGCTTTCTTCCTTTCCCACTCCTCTAGCTTGGCTTGACGTTTAGAGCGCGCCTGGATTTCAATCTTTGCCCGTAGTCGTTGTAAGGCCGGCGATATGTCGAAATATCGGACAGCAAAGCAATCGGGTGATGGGTCACTGAACAGGGAAGGGTAACCCACGTTGCAGGCCGACAGGCGTGCCGATAGGTGGCATTCGATCTGATGCAAGCGTTCCAGTTCAGATCGCTTGCAGAGGAGAAGAGGAGCAAAAATGATCGGGTCGATGTCCGGAGGATATTGGCGCAGAAGGGGACAGACTGCCGTGGCAGTCTTATCCAGGGCGACCCAGATGTCAAAAAGTGTAAGAAGCATAAGTGAGACACTTTGTGGATGTCCCTTGTACTTCGCTGCTGCACATTTCCGATAGTTGCGCATCAACGAAGACAGCAATTGGCAAGAAGATGACTGCGGATGACTCCGGCGCATCCAGTTTGAAAGGTGACAACGGACCCATTGCTCAAAAGCGACAAGGGCAACGAGCTTGTCTCCCGACTTATCGAACATTGAGGGGTCTGGCAGCTGAGTGTCATCTAGCATGATTCTGACTGAAACGTGAGGCGCGAATGTGGTTTGAGGGTAAGTGAAAGACTGCTGAGAGCGAGCCCAAACATGTCTCACAGCGGACTGACTATTCTTCATGGCCAACTGAGCAGATAAATCCCGGACAGGCACTTTTGGAAGAGTCAAGTTGTCTCTCTCAGTCACTTCTTTCCACTGAAGTTGCATGGATTGGCCGAGGCGTGAAAGAGTAGCCCGGACAGATTCCTGCACAAATGCAAATGTTCCAGAACCGAGCTTTGCGTTTCGTCTCGCCAACTTGACACGAAGCACATGAAGTGTATCAGGTGACATGTTTACTGCTGAGATTGTCGTAGCAAGGCGCGACAGGAAAAACAACATGAAGTTCTTGTAGTGAGATCGCTCTTCGCCGGCAAGATCCGAGTTGTGTAAGGCAATTTGAAGGGCCACACGAGCACTGAGCCAGATTCCTGAGCGTCGCCAAGGTGGTTTGGAAGAATTGGTCCAGCAAACGTCGTCATGAACACGTTTGGAGATAGTCGGGCTTGAAGTGGCTTGCCCATAACTGCTGAGAACCCCAAACAACCATTCGGAAACGGCTCTGGGATGCGCAGACTGGCGGTTTTCTACCACGGTATTTTTGGCTTTTGTAGTGGTTTCCATGGCCAATCTCAGTTCTTCGACCGACAGTTTGTGAATCGCAGTTCCAAGCTCTTGTACAAATGAAGCATTCTGCATGGTCTCGACTGGTACAAATACCGCCCTGGCGGGAAACTGTCTTATGAGTGCATCTTTGGCAGCCAATACCGCGTCAGTCTTAGGCAGGACCTCGAAACACTCAAATATTGTGCCGGTAGACCTGTTTCTGACGACGATCGCAGCGTTTTGAGGCTTGACATAAAACAAGAGGGTGTCTGGGACGAAATTAGTTAGGAAACTCGAGGCATGGTTGTCAGTATGTTCTTCTTACCGTCGCTGTCCATAGTTTGGAGAGTGTTGATGATCGTGGAGCTGCACGGAATGCCAGATTCATAGATATTGGCCCATTTTGGCAGAGACCGCGCCAGTCGTGCCCACACACGCGCCTCATTGCTCCGAGGAGTTTGGGACAGCGAGAACTCGCGAACGGCTCGTGAGAACTCTTGGAGGACAATATCAGAGGCAGCTTCCTCGTGATCAGACTGCGGTAGCTTGGGCGGGAGAAACGCATGCTCAAAGATGAAGCTGACGGCTTCTGGCTTCATTGCGGCCTCAAGGACCACTGACGGCCCAGCAGCAGAGTAGGAACGTGTATGCTCTCAGAGTAAGCTGAGATGATGAGTTTGGGACCAGAGGTAGGTTTGGATGAAGGGGACAGCAGTACTGTTCAGCAGAGTGCTTGTACAAGAGATGTGTGCAATATGATGAACAGTGGGAGAAGGAAAAGAGGGAGAGGAGAGAGATTGGAGGAAGCGCGAAAGAAATATCTTGGAAGATCTCAGGTTGTTGTTTGAGAAGAGCTTGGCGAAGTAACAAGGAGGCAGTTGTTGAAGCGCAGTGAAGTGAAGTCAATGTGAGCAACTTGAAAGAGATACTGAAGGACTCCCCAGTGCGCAGGCTGTTGTTACCGGGGCCAGGCAGAAATCGCAGCCTTGTCGGTCATATTGGTGACTTTCATCCTCTACTCACCAATGTCCCACTCATTCCGCATGATTTTTCTGGCCAGACAGTATCATGGCTGCAGTATTCACAAGTTTTGTCAAAGAACCTCTTCTAGCATTGTACAATGACTTCATGGTGGTTGTAGCCCAGAGACCACAAACAAGGCACTTGGAATGTCTGGGAGTGACATCTGCGAGGCCCTCCATGATCAACAGCCAGTGCTTATCAGCTTCGCAAAGAATTCTGGCGCCCATTCACCATCTATCGACTCTTCATTTCCATGCACTAGATGAAATATGGAACAGGCTGAAGGAGTGAGTGACCAACACCAATAAGCAGAAAGCGCCTTCCCACCGAACGCCAGACCGGCCTGACAAGGACGGAGACTCAGAGAAGGAAGGTATACTTAGTATGCACTAAGATGAGGTTCGACATGCCGCAGCCGGTAGACTCGATCAGCCTTGATGTGACAGGAGGAGCTATAAATCCGGAGTACCTTGTAGTGCAGAAGACAGGTACCCGGACGTGGACGTGCTAAGCCAGAGTAATATGGCAACCACTTGAAACGGCGCGTCATGACCTGGGCTACCGACCTGAATGTACTATTGGGAACGTAAGGTAGAGTTTGATGTGTTGCCATTATTCGGCCCACGATAGAAGCAGTTACTGATGATGCTGCGACGTTGAAGTTCGCAGTGGGCGAGCTTGCCACAACTTGGCCTAGACACCCAACGTACCACGATGCGATTGGACGCAGTTGGGCTGTGGCTGTGTAGCGCAAGGCTGCCAAATGATTGGCTGGTACTGGTGGCTGAGCAGATCCCCCATCGGCGGCAGGCTACCAATTCCGGTCGAAGGCGCATGTGCGTCACTGTTGCGATGAGCCTCGCTGATGATTTGTATTTCCCATCTCAACCACCTTCTCTGCTTCTCTTCTTGTTTCTCGACTAATTAACCTACTAGTAGTAACGACAAGGATAAACGAAAATCGTTCATCTTCATCTACACTACTTTCTCTCAACATCCCTTCCTTCAACCTAAAAACCACAACCCTGGTGACAGTTTACCATGTCAGCACCTGCAGAACCCCCGCCATCGTACGCCGCGGCCACAGGCTCCTCCACCACATCGGCGCCACCTCATGCATCATCACACCTTGAAGTGCCCAAAGCGAAGAATGGAATTCCAGCGCTTGCGCGACGCTCCATGGAAGACCTCCAGCGACCTCTCCCCGACGGCTGGGTGCGGTCCTACGATCCCAAAGAGAACCACCAATTCTTCGTCAACACCAAGGAAGATCCCCCGAAGTCGTACTGGGAACATCCGCTCGACATCCCCGAAGTCGTGCAGAAGCTGAGCACCGAAGAGCGCGAAAGATTGCAGGAAGAAGAGGACCGGCTGAGAAAACATCTCCCGCATTCTGCAGACCATTCCGAGGACGAAGCCCATACAAGCAACCCGTCTCTTCCGCCACGGCCTGCGACCGGCAAAGCCGCTGACAAAAAATCCTTTGGAGAAAAGCTGAAGGACAAGGTCACCGGCACCACTCACGAAGAGCGTGTCCGTGATCGAGCGCGGAGAGAAGAAGAGGAGCGACGGTACTATGAGGCACATCTCAAACTCCGCCAGGCAATGCAGAAAGCTCAAATGACTGGTCAGCCGCAATTTTTCGCCAAAGACAAAGATGGCAAAGACATCTACATCGAACCTCCTAGCGGACCTGGGTATGGATATGGCGGCTATGGTGCCAGAGGCTATGGAGTTAATCCCTTTGCCCAAGGTCCCTACTACGCCAATCCGAATGTTAGAGTCATTCGCCCGACCTACCCTTATAACCGACCCTATGGCCAATACGGCGGCGGCGGTGTCGGTTTGCCAATTGCAGGAGGCTTGCTAGGCGGCATGCTTCTTGGAGGACTATTGTTCTAGATGTGGCGAATGGCCGAAACCCAAAACTGACCTGAGAGTGTGTGCATCCGACGACTTTATGATACCATGGGCTGGTGTGTATTTTTACAAGAGACTAGTACCAGCGTCTGGCGTTCACTTCAAGGAATGCTTTTAGTTGAGTTGACTCATAATGCACATATCCTTCGACACAATGTCTATTGATTCTCGGTTTTCTAGCCTCCATCATCGATGGCATTAAGAGTAAATATAGTTGGCGAAGCAACAAACCGACAATATATACTAATACTAGCATACGGAGTAGTTGGTAGCGACCCATCTAATTAGGTACCTTTGATGTACAATACAGAACATAGATAAGAGCCTATCAGTCGCTGTAGATTTCTCTTTTTGGAGTACAACTGTCACCGTTCACGGAGTACATCGACCGTATGTGGCCGCTATATCAACATCAAGATCCCCCACGGTCTGCGCCATACCCAAACAACCACACCAGCGCAAATAGAACAACTCTAGAATCTGTCATTCGTTACTATCGTTCCATCTTCTCTGATTCTATACCATCAATTAGATATCTTCCCATTATTTCTAAACAACCAGCGTCTCAGGCGCAACCCCCATCATGGGCGACCATACGGCCTTCTTCTACGGTCAGTACCTACCAGGACCTCAAAGACAGACGTTCCACACTACCAAACCAACCAACATGTATCTCTAACTTCTACTTTCGACCAGGCACCCTCATGGCCCCCGGTGTCCTCCACCGCGTCATCCACGGCACCCACGACCCAGAGCCGTGGCAGAAATCCCTCCTGACCGTCCGCCCCGCCCTGCTGCAGAACTATCGCCGCCACCGCGTCCGCAACGCAGACTACCCGGCGATCCTGCCGCATGAGAGGTCCTCCTGCGTGCGCGGCTCCGTCGTCTCGGGCCTGACTGAAGGCGATCTGTATCGGCTCGACATCTTCGAGGGCGGCCAGTACAGTCGGCAGAAGGTCAAGGTGCAGGTGCTCAAGGACGTGGGGTTGGAGGAGGCTGCTGAGGAAGGGAAGACGGAGGTCGTCGAGGAGGTCGAGGCCGAAACGTACGTGTGGGAGGAAGGGGAGGCGACTTTGGAACCTGAGGAGTGGGATTTCGAGGAGTTCAAAAGAGATAAGATGAAGGCTTGGATGGGGTTGGTGGAGGGGAATCACGACCATAACGTGGGAGTGGACGAGGGCTTTGCTGATGTCGATCGCGCGGTGGCCGAGCAGGAGAAGCGGGATAAGGGTCATGATCCAATGGGTGGGCGGGGACTCAACGGTCATATCACTCAGCAGTTGAAGAATGCGACCATCTAAAACCAATATCGCGTCAATAGAATTGAGAGACTCATCCGGTCACGAAAGAACAGTGTTGGAAACGAGGCAATGGACTTCTGGTCCTGTCTCAGCGGCACGGAGTAAGAAGCTGGAAAGCTTTCCTTGCAAGGAAAAAGGTCTGACATTAGAGAGTTATCTGATCGCCTGCTAACCTCAAGCAGCTGCCACTGCACTCCTGTACACCTTGCAGAAGCCACTTCTCCCTCGGCAATCTCAGCGGTCCCAGGGGAGAATTTCCAGAATTCTTACCCTCTTCAGCGCACCCGCTGCCCCTGGCACAATGGACATTCGTGGACAACGTGGGAGACCTAACGGCGTCCATGGCTTCGGACAGCACTGCCTTGCATCTGCTCAAGCTCCTGCTCCAATTGCTTGATGGCGGCGTGAGTGGACTCCAAATCCTTATTCAATCGATCTCTTTCCGCTATCAACTTCTGTTCCCAGGCTCTGAATCGCTGTTCCTCCACCTTGACTTGTTCCGTGAATCTCTTTCGAAGGGCTTCCTCCTCCTCCTTGAACTTGGGGTTGTCCAGTTTTCTGGGTCTGGCTTCGCCGAATTTGCGGGTTTCCATCTGTTGGGCACGGTAGGCTTCGTAATGGTTTTCCTCGGTAGTGTGAATGAGATCGAGCATGTGAGTCCGGATGAGAATGGAGCGTAGCTTCTTGAAATCGCAGTGTTCCTCGTTCTCAACCTCCGCAACACCCCAGGAATATTGTCTGCCCTTCACGACACGACCGTCCGGAGTCTTGACATCCTTCTCGCTGCCAATGACAGAGAATGGCATGGCGGCCATCAAGGCACGGGCGTGTTGCACTGCTGCTTCGTCGTCGTCCTCGATGGGAGGTTGGTAGATCTTGATACCCTGGGCTTCGATGACCCTACGGATGCGGGCCTTGAAGAGTGCGAGATCGGCCGGAGTCAGTGTATCGGCTTTAGCGACCACTGGAATCAGGTTGACACGAGAGGAGAGACGTTTCATGACCTCGATATCCAATGGCTTCAAGGTGTGGCCCGTAGGACGGATGAAGTAAAGGCAGGCATGGACACGCAGGTCAATCTTGTCTTGTCGTTTAGGCTGCTGCTCTTGCAACATGTACGACTCGTGCTGGTCGTCAAGGAATTCGATGATGGGCATCCAAGAGTCGCGGTTGTTCACATAATCGCCAAAGCCGGGAGTGTCAATAACGGTCAAACGGACTATGACAAGTCAGCCATTGTTCCCTCCTATATGCCGCCAGCCGCACCTTTGAAAAACTTCTCTTCTAGCTCAGCTTTTGTAATCTCGATTTCGACAGTCTTGTCGACCTGTTTGGCATGGCGTCTCTTGTGGTCTTGGTAGTTTTTGATGGTCGTTGAGAAGAGGGTGTTGATGAAGGTGGTCTTTCCCAACCCAGACTCGCCGGCGACCTAGCAGACAAAGTCAGTCATGGTACTTGAGGCCTTGAGCATACTGTCAGTCTTACCATAATGGTAAATGCTGCACCTCTCTTCGCGACAATCTTGTGTCGCTGGTTGGGTAGGTTGGCAATGCCAATTGGCGAGGCGGCCTCTGCTGTAGCAGGCGCCATCTTGACCGCGAGAGATGGAGAACTTGTCAACGAAGAAACAACTCAAACGAGAGCGACTACGCGCAACAAACAGTAGTTGACGCAGAGAAACTGACGGGACTGAAGGATGGAGTGAGTGCGCAGGTCAATGTGCTGGTTAGGGGTCAAAGGTTTAGGTGGTTCGGCACGTCTTGTTCGCTCGTTCGTGGCTTCCCTATTAAAATTCCGGGCCCCTGAAACGCCAGAACATCCCCGGACCAGCCTAGGCCAGATCCATGCTAGCGCCGGAGCAAATCATCTTTTCCCCGACAACTTTTTTTGAAGCCGCATTCAAGTTCGAGTCTGTCGCAGTTTGCAATGTCGTAAGGAAAGCCAGTCTGCGCTGTGACACTATGAGACGATGAAGACAGAATTCAAGGTGTGTCTCCCTCTTTAGCGCCTACGAGATGCTCTCTGACATGTCCTTATAGTTTTCTAATCTCCTGGGCACTGTCTATGGCCGAGGGAATGTTGTCTTCACACCGGATGGCAATTCTCTACTCTCGCCTGTGGGCAACCGAGTCTCTGTCTTCAATCTAACCAAGTATGAGTTCCTTGGGTTCCTTTGAGGTCTAGCTGACATATTGGCTTTCAGGAACACCAGCTATACTCTACCGTTTGCCCACCGAAAGAATATATCACACCTCGACCTGACACCGGATGGAAATCTTCTTCTTACCGTTGACGAAGACGGCCGAGCAATTTTGTCAGTGTTTCCGCGACGGATAGCCATCTATCATTTCACCTTCAAGACACCGGTCACATCGCTGGCTTTCTCGACGAACGGTCGATACTTTGTTGTGGGGCTCGGGCGAAAAATACAGGCGTGGAGGACGCCTTCAACGCCCAGCAGCGATGCCAATGGGGAGCTTGAATTTGCCCCGTTCATCTTGCATCGTGAGTACGCAGGCCACTTTGACGAAGTCAGACATCTAAGCTGGTCCGGCGATTCTCGATTTTTCCTGAGCGCGTCCAAGGATCTGACTGCACGGATATGGAGTCTGGATCCAGAGGAAGGGTTTGAACCGACGGTGTTGTCAGGCCACAGACAACAAGTGAGGGGTGTTTGGTTTTCTGCCGATCAAGAAGCCATCTTTACCGTTAGTGAAGATGGAGCACTCTTTCGTTGGGAATACGTTCCAAACCCAAACTATACCGACGACGATCCGGTTGAGACCGCCGACGAGAGATGGAGAATCGTGCAAAAGGACTTCTTCATGCAAAATGCAAAGTTGAAATGTGCCTCCTACCATGCCCCGACAAGCCTGTTGACTGTTTGTTTCGACAATGGGCTCTTCTCACTTTACGAACTACCATCTTTCTCCAACATCCACAGTCTATCCATGGCATCCTCTCCTATCTCTACGGTCGCAGTCAATAGAACAGGAGAATGGCTAGCATTCGGCTCGTCGAAGACCGGTCAACTACTTGTCTGGGAGCATGCATCCGAGTCAAACATTCTCAAGCAATCGTCGCACCTGGATGCCCTTACGACGCTGACATACTCTCCGGACTCTACGCGCATAATAACGGGAGCCGATGACGGACTCATCAAAATCTGGGATGTGTCGTCCGGCTTCCACATAGCGACCTTCACAGAACACAGTTCCGCGGTGACTGCGTCTGCTTACTCCAAACGAGGGAATGTGCTCTTTACTTCGTCTTTGGATGGCTCCGTGCGAGCGTGGGACATGCTGAGATATCGGAACTTCCGAACCTTCACAGCTCCGACCCGGCTGTCTTTCTCAAGCATGGCGGTTGATCCTTCAGCCGAGGTCGTATGTGCTGGTTCTCACGACTCCTTCGACATCCATCTATGGTCCGTACAAACCGGTGCTCTACTGGATCAACTTTCAGGTCATGAAGGTCCGATATCCACATTGGCCTTCACGCCCGACGGCCGCTACCTCGTATCAGGCTCTTGGGACCATACCATCCGAGTATGGTCTGTATTTGACCGATCTCAGACATCAGAGACACTACAGCTTACTTCTGATCTCTTGAGCATCGCTGTCCGACCAGATTCTGCACAGATTGCCGCATCAACGCTTGATGGACAACTCACCTTTTGGAATCTCAACACATCAATCCAAGACTCTGTTGTTGATGGTCGGCGAGACGTTAGTGGTGGGCGTACCCTTACGTCTCGACGTACTGCCGCTTCGGCTCCTGGAACAAAATCCTTTAACGCTATCACATATTCTGCAGACGGAACCTGCTTATTGGCCGCGGGAAACAGCAAGTATATCTGTTTGTATTCCGTGAGCACTTTGACCCTGATCAAGAAGTTCACTGTCTCGATCAATCTTAGCTTGGATGGCACTCAGGAATTCTTGAACTCCGCCGCGATCATGTCGAACGGCCTGCCGCGGGACATGATTGATACTGAAGGTGAGGCGAGCGATCTTGAAGACCGAATAGACCGCAGTCTTCCCGGAGCAAAGCGAGGCCGTGACGCAACGGCCAGAACCATCCGACCGGAAGTCAGAGTTACCAGCGTTGAATTCGCGCCCACCGGACGAAGCTTCTGTGCAGCCAGTACCGAAGGGCTGCTTATCTACAGTCTCGACAATGCTGGGGTGGATGATTTCGATCCTTTCGATCTCGATCTGGATGTTACGCCTCAAAACATACGAGCCATACTCAAGCAAAAAGAGCCGGAATATCTCAAGGCTTTAGTAATGGCATTTCGCCTGAACGACAAAGGCCTGACACGGAAGGTTTATGAGTCTATTCCTTACGCCTCTGTGCCTCTGCTTGTTCGCGAATTGCCGAAGGTATACCTGGGAAGACTGCTCATGCTCCTTGGACAGCAGATGGAGAATAGCCCGCACCTGGAGTTCGCTCTTCGGTGGTTGGGTGAGATGCTGAGCGTTCATGGTCGCTATATCAAAGAGAGATCTGGCGAGTATGCTAGCGAGCTACGTGCAGTTCTTCGAGGTGTGGATGGCATTGGAAGAACAGTGCGTTCACTCAGTGAGCGGAATGCCTTGGAGATTGAATTCCTTTGTCAGAACCCCCCGGGCAAGGCTAGCCCGCTAGCTATTCTATCGGGAGAAAATCAGGCTTTGACCAACGGCCAAGCCATGGACGCTGTGGATGACCAAGGAGACTGGATAGGGCTAGGTTGACAAAGCTGCCATGCTATTCCACAGCTATCTAGGACATTCAGTCACCACATAAGAACATTCACCTCTGACTTCACTCTTGCCTTGTTTGACTTGGCGAGCATAGGACAACACTGAGACACCACTCGAGGATATATCACCCAGGAACTCGTTGGCAAAGGAGAGCTGCTTCTCTTCATATTTGAGAATGGGTATGAATGCGAGCCGAGAACTCCCCATATCAGTCCCAAGTCTCGAATACCATCAGCAGCAGCAGCAAAAAAATCTCGACAGTGCTCGTAGTCTGGTTCAACGGCAGATACGACGACTCAACTCTTCCTGTCCGATATCAATCAATCGCAATCCAAAACATACAGAGACGGCCAGTCAAGATGTCGCAAGCCCCTCAAACTGCCACGAAACCTGCAAGCCAGCCAAGCGCGAGTGACACCCAGAAGACAAAGACTTGGGACAGAGAGCCAATCTCTTACTGTCAATGGTGCGGTGGAGGTCATACCGCTGCCACCATCCGTCTCCATGAGCCCAAGTGTCCTCGTCGGGGACAATAGAGTCTTACATCAGCCGAGTGGACCATGAGGTGTGCGTTTGATATTAGAAGACTCCAGCAGGTCATATGCCAAAATTTTCAGACAACATCGACTGCTTCTGGTCGGACGGATGCAGTCTTCGGGTCACGAACGACGACTCTGGAAGGGCGATAGGAAAGAATGATTCGAGGACGGCAAAGATGACACGACAACGGGGTCGACGACTCGTGGTTGATTGTTTGGACGTCTCTAGAGGCAATGTCTATACAGTATCATCAACTGCAGTCTACCACCGAGCGAGCATTGGTCTGGCGATGGCCAACCACATCAGGACGGCGGTACTGAGAAACTGGCTGAATTGGCTGCGGAGCTTCAAGAGCCCTCAGTGATCGATAGCTTGCATGGAACCGAGCCATATCAAACATACCTAGTACACAGTCATTAAAGTTCCATCTCCGTGATACTGATTAAAACTGCGGATAAGTTGTACCGTAGCAACAAGGACCATACTACTGTTCCTGCTCCTTGACCCAAAAAGGGGTTCAGCCTTGGGCAAGCGAGGCTGAACAATGTCTTGGCAATTTTGCAGGCTTTGCAAACAAATATCCCGACTTCAATTTTTGTTCTCGATCGATTGAGTATGTTACATACACATGGTGTAGGTATAGAGCCACTCTCGGTTCAGCAGTATACAGCGCTGCGTCTATTGTACCATGTCCGTTCAGTAGCAGACTGTTTCGCGACACAAAATGCCTGCAGCTTCAGCCAGACCTGCCGGCCATGGCCTCCCCCTGCTTCCAGAGTGGTCATCGGAAGACGAATACGTCAAGTCCCTCTTAACCTTTGCGACCAGTTCAGACTTGTTCCGAAATCTTTGTGGAGGAGTGCACATTCTGGACTTTCTCACACGGGAGCCTGACTTGTACACCACTGTCCTCCCGAAAGAATGGCGGGACTGGTTCGATCTGGTATCTGTGGACGATGTGCTTGATCTACTTCTCCGGCGAGACTTGACGCGCCTCGAGAATCCATATACCACCGTAGGAGAAGGCTCCCCAACAACCAACCCTCCCGACAGCCTTTTGGAATATGTCCGGAGTGTGCGCAGACATTGTCTACGGAGGAACTTCACTCCCGTTTCGGACAACGTGCCTGAAATGCCCACACATGTCTCCGTGGGGATGAAAGTCAAGAAGGCCCATGAAGTAACCAATCTTGCCGCCTATGTTGATAGACTCTCAACGGAAGTGTCAGAGCGGTTTCATGAGCCTATCTCAGTGGTGGACTTTGGATCTGGACAGAATTACCTCGGCCGAACACTGGCTTCACCGCCGTATAACAAACACGTCATTGCTATCGAAAGGAGACATCACAATATCGCCGGCGCCAGGAACATGGATATCCATGCCAAGCTGGCGAAGAAGGAGAAGATCATGCGTAACAAGAAGGAATGGAAGCGACAACTGGCTCTAGGGAATGGCATTCCCACTCCACCACCAGAGGAAACAGAAGCCGAACCAGCCTCTGTTCCGGTTCCAGTTCCGGATGCTGTGCTGGCAGATTCCGACTTTTCCTCCGAGGAAGGATTCAACCACAACAGAGGCTCGATGACCTACATCGAGCATGACATCCAGGACGGTCGCCTTGAAGACATTCTATATCCGGGAGACGTAGACGACGAAGGCGAGCAAGAAGAATGCCAAAGCTGTGTTGGCATCACCTCCTCCAAGGACACGACAATACCCAAGCCTGACCAAGCAATCGACTCCAGAAGAGCCAAATCAATGGTCGTGTCCCTCCATTCGTGCGGGAACCTGTCCCACCACGGCATCCGGTCTTTAGTCCTCAACCCGTCGGTCTGCGCAGTCGCCATAATCGGTTGCTGCTACAATCTCCTCACCGAACGTCTCGGGCCTGCCACGTACAAGCTCCCGCAACTACGGCCGAACCACCCCCGTCTGGAAGCGACTGGTTCCGCATACGACCCGCATGGCTTCCCCATGTCCAAGGCGCTCGAAGAGTTCGAGCATGAATGTGGCAGAGGGATGAAGCTGAACATCACGGCCCGTATGATGGCCGTGCAGGCACCCTACAACTGGGGCCCGGACGACAGCGAGGCCTTCTTCCGACGACACTTCTACCGTGCACTATTGCAGCGTATGCTTCTAGATCTGGGCGTTGTCAAGCAGTGTCCGGACCCGGGTAGGCTGGCTGGTGGGAGTATTACTGGCAAGGACACCAGTGGAACGCCATTGATAGTGGGCTCGCTCCGGAAATCCTGTTTCACCAGCTTCAAGGCCTATTGCCATGGTGCCCTGGCTAAACTGGGAAACGACCCTGTTGAGGGCCCCGTGATTACAGAAGTCGCGAAAGGTCTCACAGACGATATGATTGACGACTATGAAGCGCGATGGGGCTATGCGAAGAAGAATCTAGCGATCATCTGGAGCTTGATGGCGTTTAGTGCTGCTGTTGTCGAGAGCATCATTGTCACTGACCGCTGGCTTTATCTGCGAGAGCAGGCTTGCGTCGAGGACTGTTGGGTCGATATCGTGTTTGATTATAAACACAGTCCGAGGAATTTCATCGTCGTTGGGATCAAGAAGCAGGAATGAGACTTGAATGGCTAATCGTCGCCACGACCTCAGCCTTACGACGAAGATCGTTATGGAAGGAAGGTCGAGGAGTGTTAAGCATGATGCTGATTGTCAACAATTGACAGATGGATTCAAAGGCATATGCATCGCGTGAGTTGCACAGCACCGACCTCGTCTGTCTGCGAGGACGCTGCCACTTTGCGATCATCCTTTACTCGGAGAAAAGCCCTAGAAAGCCTATATTAGCAATCTGGACAATGCTGTCCCCCGGAAATTACTGCAACGAACAACTCGGATCCAAAACCTTCGTCTACCCGGTGAGATACAAGCAGGTTATCCGCTTGCCGTCGTTGAACATTGACTACCACAAGTTGAGTCCACCCTCTTGGAATCGCAACATTGAGTCACTGGTTAGCCAACAAAAGGACATGGCCAATCCACCAGCGCCTCGTCTCCTATTTGTCTGCCCAGGGCGCTTCGAGCAGCTATTATGACGCTCTGCGGTGATCTATCTGGGCAGCGCATTCACAAGCTACAATGTCGAGCAGTTCCTCTCTTCACCAGCTGGCCTTCAGAGTCTTGAGGTACAAACCTCCATGCGACTCCATTCATTCTGCCTGATCCAATTCGACCCGACGGACCTAACCAGGACTAGGTGTTGACGACCCTATGCCACGGACAGCCATGTCTATGTGTCCACAATGATCGACCCAGAAGCATGATGAAGGGAGGCCAATGTTCTATGATGAAGCACAAGACGATCTCTGCAACCCACCAATACCACCAACTCCATGTCCCACTCCGGCAGCGACAGCAAGAACAATACATGCCCCATCCAACACCGAACACTCTGGATGTCGTTGCCGTTGCCGTGGCCACATTCAACCCACCATCCAGGCCACTGCCAACTCATTCTCATCTACCTCCAAGAACAACAATATTCTGATCCACCCAAGACCAACCCTCGAAATATGACAGGCTGAAATTGCTCACTCCCTACAGCTTAACCTCGCTCAGCACACCCAACCATTTCGTGCTTGCGCTTCTGCTTCTGCTTCCCCTGACTGGTCCAAGTCCAACAGCTCTCTGAGTCTTAGCTAGCATGACCTTGATCATATCTTTATGGCCTGGCCGGGTCTCAGCTAATTACCCCGGCCTATACATACAACACTGAATATCTGTCTCTCGTCGACGTCGGTCACACACTTTACACCTGGTCGGTCGTTGAAAGATGCTACCTTCTTATCCGGCCACGGCCATCACTTGGTCATACAGAGGGACACGTTGAGCCACACCGAGTCAGTCAGGCAGGTCGCAATGGTCTAGGTACACTGGTTGCTGTCTCAGTCTCGTTGGCTGGAGTATCAGTACATGATACAATCCCAGGGCAGGGAGGAGACGAGCAAGGAGGCTGTCTCGGAGCTAACAGAGCCGCAAACCACAAACGTGGGAGATATCATTCCTCATAAAGGACGTCGAGGTGTCCAGAAAATTGTACCGACAAGAGTGAAGTGAATTACGATCACAAACTCCAGTTCATCCCGCACGTCTGCTGTTATTTAATTATACAGCTAGCTTCTTCCGCCCTTCCTTGAGGTTGCTATCTACAGTATCCACATACTAGTTAGATAGATTGGGTGTATCATTGAACTTGTAGATAATATACCGTAAGGTAGGCAGGCAAGTCCTCGACCCTCTTCTATCTGCTCGGTTAGGTATGTTTGTCTGGCAACTCACTCCCTTACAAACTGTCCGCGTCGTGGCGATTCCATGTATGTATGCATAGTTCCGTTCCACTCTTCAAGACCTGTTACTAGAACATGGCTCGATCCAACTCTATACTTCCGCACCCTATCTATCAGCATGGTGCCATACGTGAAGCCTCAAGTAAGGATTGGGTGTCAGGCTCAGCGAGCTGTGCGAAAGCAGTAGCTCCAGCCCAATCCAGCCTCTACAGCTTATTGTCGGCACCATTATTCGTCGCCAGCGGCGTAACACCCTCGAGGAACCCGCCCCGGACAACCGCAGTGATCAACTGATTCGCAATAGCCGTGGGCGGAGGCAGCCTCAAACCGCCCTCCTTGTAGCCCTCGGGTGCCTCCTCCCCCAGCCCACTCGTGCCATACTTCAACGCGTCCTGGACCTCTTCAAGGGTGAACCATTTGGCGACCTCCAATTCGGGATCGTATTCCAGACGAATGACCTCATCTTCGGGACTGGCGACCTGGGCGATGGCGCCGATCATCAGATTCGCAGGATACGGCCATGGCTGCGTCGAGTGGATGAGCACGCGGGATAAGACGACGCCGCTCTCCTCCCAGACTTCGCGGCGCACCGCGTCCTCGACGCTCTCCGCGGGCTCGATGAACCCGGCGAGGGTCGAATACCAGTTTGGCGGCCAGCGCTTTTGGCGGCCCAGCAACAACCGCTTGCTGTCGTGGCTGAGCACGGCGACGATGATGGTGGGATCGGTTCGGGGGAAAGTGAGGTTGGAGATGGTCGTTCGCGTCGAACACGGTTCGCGCTCTGACGGCGTCTCGGCCTTGTCAGTGGGCGGGCAGACGCGTTTGGCGCCGGCGTGCGTCGACAGCGTTTTGTGGCCGCACGTCCCGCAGAATGTGTTGCGGGAGTTCCAGTCTAGGTAGTGTCGGCCTTGGGCGTATTCGGCGGCTATCCGATACAACAGAAAGAAGGTCAGTAACACAGTAACACACAAGAAACCACAAAGGTCACAAGTCACAAGTCACAACCCACAAGCCAACACTCTTTCCTCGTCTTCTATGGGTACCTCTCCGTTTGAAGTGTCAGGGCGGAAACTCACCAACGTCAGGAGGAAAGCTCATGGCTCTCATGCCCTCGGCGAATTTCAGTCCTGCACCCAAAAACTTGTCGGCCAATTCGTTGGCTTCTTTTTCAAATGTCTTCTTCGGCGTCATGTCCAGTGCGAAGTGCGGCGCGCCCAGGAAATTCTTGTATGCAAACCCGTCTTTGATCTTCTCGTCGATTCCCAAGAACACCAGTGTCGGAATGTCTATCGATGAGTCGAACTCGGCGATCTGCTCCTTTTCCGTCTTCTCGAAGGGGTTCCGCGGCAAGAGCGTTTTAATCTCGTCGTATGTCGCATAATAAATCTCCGTTGGCGACTTGATCACCGGCGAAAGTGTTTTGAAGAGAATGAATTTCGTCGACGGGTGTGCGAATGCTCCGGCGAGGAAGGTAGAGTCATCTCGGAGGAACGACAGTCTGTTCAATGGCGAGCCTATTTGAGTTGTTCCAGTTAGACCTTGCTCCATGAAGAGTGTTTGACCCTGCGGTCTGCATCATGATGCTTACCTCCGAAATAATTCGTCACCTCTCGGCCGAATTTGCGGGCGAGCGCAGAGTCGCGATCGAGATGTGCAGGTTGCGGCAGGTCAGGGTGTGCTGAAGGCGCCATTGTGTTGGTGGTTTTGTTTGTGTTTGGCGGTGCCGGGGCAAAGATCGAAGAATGGATGACGCCCGATGGGATCTTGGAATGGACAAATCTATTCGTGGATAGTCGCAGCAGGCAGGTACGCTGAAGAACGACGGGGAAGTGTTGACTACTGGCGGACCTGAACATGCAAAAGGAGAGACACACAGTTGAGAGGAGGAGGAGAAGGCAGAAGACTATGGTCAATGAAAATGGTGGTAGATCGAAGACGTATATGAATGGATTACTGATGATCTAATTGCATGCGCCGAGGTGTTTACTCCCATCGAATTCCCGCTCTGGTTGGAGTTATGTTGGTGCTGCGAGGCTGAACTTGAGTCCAGAGACATTCCACCCAGATATTCGCTTTCCAGAGACAAGAGTCTGAAGACAACAGCGAAGGAGTGTTGCTGTTGCTGTTGCTGTTGCTGCTGCTTACAAACTGCTTGCCTTGGGCTTCGGCATTGAAGTCGCTATAATGTTCTTTCGACGCCGGAGACGGAGGGGAACGCAGATGCCGCCCCGCACACGTGATTTACCTATGGTCACGTGAGCCGCTCTCGGTCCGCCAGTGACTGCGCCGTCCCGCGTATGGCGGCGGCTCCGGTCTCAGCGGAAAGCTTGGCTTCAAACGGACGGGGTGCCTACCTACTACTGGCACGACAAGCTTGTACTCGGTTCCTTTGCTGGTACATTGGGAGTGGCCACGCGAGAACGGTCCCACGATTTGAGGATCTATGCATATGGTTGAGGGCCTCGTCGGACAAAGTTTTCTCCAGTCACCAGCCGGCCATGTGAATTATCCATATGTTAGATGCCACCCACTCTCCCCGTAGACTCAGTACTAGGTAGAGAGCTATGACTTGATGGCTTAAAGCAAACATTCAGGAGTAGCTACTCGTTGCAACCTTATACTTGAAGGCAGATGTGCAGACCGATGGGCGTTACACGGCACCGGACCGGGTACTGACAGACAGTCGAGGATGGGTATGAGACCACATATATCCCTTCCAGGACTTGTCCGGGATAGGACATGGCAAAAGCTGACTGCTGGACTGGTCAGATGGTGGCTTTCCTATGCCAGTCCGGTGTGGCTCCGCAGTTGAATGCTTGCAGACCAACATGCCGCTGACTGATGCTTGAGTAGCGCTGACACGGTGCGGGACCATTTCACGAGCGGCCGCACCCCACCAGCGCGTATGCTACAGAGGCAGCAGTCGAGAGCTTCAGATCCAGCCGTCAAGTCGTTGTAATGACTGCTAATGAAAGAGCTGCCTGCCAAAGAGTTCTTTTGTGCCAGCTATAAGCACGACAGGTGGGCTTGCGATGAGGCCAAATACCGTCGCATGGGAGCCTTTATGGGCATATGGGTTGTTCACAAGTCATTCCCGACTTCATGCTCAACTCCAGAGGCTGATGTCTCGACGAGGAAGCCTGCTCCAAAATGAACCCACCACCGCTGAGGTTGACGGTCGCTCGTAGGCCATGTGTTGATGCATGGCCAATAACCGGGGTTGAAAAACAGGGGCACTGCAGAGATTGGTTCCGCGAGAACGCAAAATCAAAGTTACCAGATGCCCAAAAAGACCCTGCTCCCACGTACTGTGGGACTGCAGGAGAGCGGAGCCGCCGTTGAGGGACTCCGTCGTTGATTGTTGAAGTAACAGACACGCATTTCCAGATCATGGTGATCGAAAACGAGTGTTCCCCCTACCGCGTCACTTCCGATTCAGCAGACTCAAAAACTCCTCCCGGGTTTTGGCACTGCTCCTCATCGCCCCCAGCATGCAACTGGTCGTCGTGCTACTGGCCGTCTTCTGCACCCCTCTCATGACCATGCAGAGATGACTGCTTTCCATGACAACCGCAACCCCTTGGGGCTTGAGCACCTCCGCAATGGCCAATGCCACTTGCTTGGTCAATCTCTCCTGGACCTGCAATCTTCGAGAGAACATTTCCGCAAGCCTGGCCAGTTTGCTCAGACCCAGAACCCGTCGATTGGGGATGTAGCCGATGTGCATCTTGCCAATGAAGGGGACCATGTGGTGTTCACAAAGACTAAAGACTTCAATGTCCTTGACAATGACCAATTCATCGTGGTCTTCATGGAAGACTGCGCCATTAACGAGGTCCCGCACATTCTCCTCGTAGCCTTTCGTGAAATACATCAGGGCCTTGGCGTAGCGTTCTGGTGTCTCACGTAGTCCCTCTCGGTCGGGATCTTCGCCAATGCATTCGAAAATGGTCTTGACTGCTCCCGCAAGCTTGTCCAACCGTGCCTGCGCCTCTTCCGGAGTCTGTTCGCGTCGTTCTCGCGTGCCGATGCAGGGCCAACTCAGCCCATCAAAGTCAATGGGCGGATTGAGTGTATAAGGACTGGCGGGACGGGAGATGCTGGCCGGAGGAGTCATGGGTGCTTCGTCCCTCTCATCACGTGCCGGTTCCCGCAGACGGACGGGTCGTCTTGCTTCGACGTTGGACAGGCCCTCTGTGAGACCCTCCCAAGACGTATGCTGGAATGTATTTGGGGACGCCTCACTGTCCCCGAAATCTATCGCCTTCCTTGTTTCGTAAGTGCTCTTGATCGAGGAGGCCAGGCTTTCTCGTTCTTGCGCTCTTGTCTTGGTCGGAGGACTGTGCAGAGGGGAACTTCCGTTCAGTAAATGTGGCGGTATGGCAGAGCGAGGCTTGGGTTTGAGAGGAGGAGAGATCTTCTGGTCGGCGGAAGGGACTTTCGGGGGATTTTGGCTCATGATGGGCGGCTGGTTGCAAAGATATGATTACAGCGACATGGTGTCTGGTGGTCGGTCCACGGCGTTTCAGTCAATTCCAGCTCAGAGTGCCAATTGTGGTCGTGCTTGGGAAATAGTATATCACGGGTGTAGATTCTTTTTTTAAGCGATCTCGTCAATGCAAGGCTTGGAGAAGTCCAGACCCTTAGTACTAGTAGCACAGTCCTGCATGCAAAATGACGAATCGAAGAATCGAAAATCAAGACCCAATTTTTCGGGGTGGGATTCGGCTAACCTTCCAATCGGCGACACAGTGGTTTACGTGAGAGACTAGGTACGTACAGTACTACTACTCTTTATACGAAAGCACACGCAAAGACTGGAGGGAGAGGGAGAGGGAGAAGAGCTATCATTCAACATTAATGCTTGATTTCTCTCGCTGTCGTCGAGTACTCAATCATTGCTAAGACATCAAAAATCAACTTCAGCCACGGCCCATCCTTCGCTGTCATCAAGCATTTGAGACAAATGTTGGCACCATGAATCACTGCCCCAGATGCATAATGCCGCATATGCATTCCTCGATTTGCACGTACAGGAAACCATTCTAGGGCTACGCGGAGACGCGCTCGGCTCAGGACATGCTCATACGCGCACTGCCTTCGCCTTCCGAGTCCTCCTGATCCTCAGGTCTAGACTCTTCGGCAGGCGGTTGCACCGGAAGACTGGCCAGAGGAGCATCAGTATCGGAAGGAGGGGGCATGTCTCGACGGACAACAGATGCATCGTCCAGCTTGGCTTTCTTCTCACCCTCGCCCGGGTCAGGAAGTCCCGCTTCTCGTGCTTTTCGCTTCTCCCTCTCCCGCATGTACTCTTCTTTCTTCCTCTCCTTTTCACGCCGGTCATTCTCCTTCCGGTGCGCCTTGCTCTCGAATTCGTGCCAATCGCCTTCAACCTCTGCCAGCTCCACTGCCTGGAGCGGCTGTGGCTCTTCTTTGGTGAAATAGTCATGACTCAAGACCTGCTCCGCGGTCGGCCGCTGTCTGGGATCGTACTTGAACATCCACTGGACCAGTTCGAGACCAGCAGGACTAAAGATGTCTTTAAACATGGCTTCGAACACGCGTTTGCGTCTGTCAACAGGTTGCATGAGCTCAAACCAGGGTAAATCAACAATCGAAGGCCATTCTGCTCGTGTCGGTGTGCCGAGAACATTGTAGACCTTTTCGATCTGGCTGAGCTCACCCCCTTCGCCAGGGAAGACCGCTTTCTTGGTGAACATTTCCACAAAGACGCAGGCCGCCGACCAAATATCAACCTCCGGACCATACTGAGTTTCGCCCAGGAGTAACTCAGGGGGGCGGTACCAGATGGTAATGACCCGATTCGTGTAATCCAACTGTCGCGACTTGGTGTAGAAGCGGGCCAGGCCAAAATCGGCATACTTCAGTTGACCGGTGTTGGAGATCAAAATGTTGGCTGCTTTGATGTCTCGATGGAGAACGCCACGTCGATGAAGGTAATCCAGTCCGTCAAACATTTGTTTGGCCAAGTCCTTTTTGTGTGCGGGTGTGAGCTTGAACGTCGGATGGTTGATGAGTCCTGTCAGGTCATGCGATAGATACTCAAAGACCATAAAGCATTCATTCTTCTCCACCATAACTTCCTGCAATGCCACCACATGCTTGTGTCGGAGATGTTGCAACAGCCTGATTTCACGGACAGCAGTGATGGGAAACCCATCTCTTTCCCCTTCCATCCGGATCTTCTTAAGCGCAACTTTGTCTTTTGTGTATATGTGTATTGCCTTGAAGACTTTTCCATATGTGCCCGCACCAACAACTGATTCATTGCCGGGTTTTCGGAAATAGATGGATTCGGAGTCGGCGAATTCGGGGGGTAATGTGGGCCAAGATTTGATTTCCTTTTTGAACTTCTTTGAAGGAGGAGAACGTGATCGTTCCGCCCTCCGCCCGCTTGTGTTCTGTTGCCGTTCGCTAGCAAATCTTCGGTCATGGTGTGAAGGTGGCTTGTTGGGGTGTCGATTTGCAGCCCTGTCGTCTCGTCGCTCAAACTGCCTGTTCTTCATGTGTGAAGGTGCTCGAATCTCGGGGGGTTGAAAGGGTCCCTTGGGGCGTGCAGAAAGATCTGGAGCAGGTCTCGCCGGTGCTTGAGGAGGGACTTTGGATTTGAAAGCAAAACTGAATTTTGAAGAAGCCCCTCCTGCTCGCTCGTTCTCCTGTGGATTCTGAATCCCGCTAGGCCTGCTATCTCTTTCATCTTCCATTTGCAGCTCCTTTGATAGTCGGACCGGATTCTCTTCCTCGGCTGGGGCTTCGCGACCGTCCTGTGATGCGGCGTATGAATGGGTCGGAGAAGCCTGCGAGGCATTGCTGTGGCCGCTGGAATAGTTCTGGCCCTGTGGACCTTTGGGTATGGACCCTGTGGCAGTCCATTGCAGGTTGTTGAAATGACCACCTCTACCTCGGCCACGGGGGCCATTGAATCTTTGATCCGGGTGCCCCCGCTGGGAGTAATGTCCGCCACGGTGCGAGCCGTGCCCTCCACGGTACGGTGGTTGCTGAAACCCCTGTTGACTGGCTCCGTAATATTGCTGCTGACTTTGATAATAGGGGTTGGGATTGTTCATGCCCGCAGGGCCGGGATAGCTGTTTTGCCGATAAGGTGGCGAGGAGTTCTGCATCGGACTATGATAATGTGTTAGACATGAGAGATTGAAGCAGATGAGAGCAACTTACCCATGTTGACCCTGAGCTCCACCCCAGCCACCTCTTTGATTGTGATATGGTGAGTTTGCTTGTGGTGAGCCATGATAGGAGCTGTTGGGAGTGGATGAGTAAGGAGGCGAGCCCCCGAATTGTTGCTGCCTGGGATCAATGAATGGTCTCTGCTGCCCTCTATGCATGCCATAGTTCGCACGCATTGGATAATGGCCATCCATGGAGCGATCGTCGATATCGTCTGCCACAGGCGGCGTTTTCGAGCCGGAATGGCTGTTCTGGGCAGAAGCCTCACCCTTGCCGGGTGCGGGTCGTTTCGGCGGTGGGAAAGACTTTGTCGACGAGTTTCCGGGGCCGGTCGATGGATGCTTATGATGGTTAGGGCGTGGAGAAGATGGCCTTGGAGATGTCAAGGGTGACAGGGAGCGTCTATCGTGTCTGCCGACAAGGACGTTGGTCTCAGGATTTGCTTTCCGAGACCTGGATTCAGGGCGAGATTTACGAACAGGGGATCCTCTGTGTGGTGAGCGAGATCTAGGACTGCGTGAGCGCCTGTCGTGGAAAATGGGATAGTCCCGCCCGCGGCCTGATCGCAAGGCCTCTGAGCCGAATCTCTCACTCCCTGGGGGCGATGGGCTCCGAGTACGTCTTCTTTTGGGGAACCTGGCGGGTGAAAAGTTTCGAGGTCGGGCAGCTCGATCTCCAGATGGTCGCTCGGGCGGTGGTAGTGGATGTCTCGGTTTAGGGGAGCGAGGCGGCGAAAGGGACGGCTGTCTATCATGCAATTTCCTGTGATCTCGTGACGATTGCCACTTCTTGTGCGATCGACGTTGACTCCGTGGCGTTGGGTCTCTTTCGCCGTAGGACTCGGGCTGTTCTCGTCGGAGCGTAGAAGGTGGTGAATGAGGCCGTGGTCTTCCTCTATCTCGGTCTCTTTCCCGAGAACGATGGGAATGTCTCTCACGCGGATCGTCTTCAGCTCGCCAACGACTCTTCATTGATGGACTCTGACGAGACCTCGCCATGTAATCCGGGGAGGCATTTGCGACAGAGTGAGAGGGAGTGGGTGGATGGAGGGCGACAGGAGAGCGTGGATGGTGGTGAGGGTGTTGGACGATTCCTGCGCAGTCTGGCAGTCCGTCAGTCAGTCGCAGTGAGCGAGTTGCAGGTCTCAAGTTGCATGGGTCGTGAGGCGCCTTGGCGCGCTGCCGTGATTTGCGCCTCTGAGACCGCAGCCGAAATTCGAGCCGTTTGGACAGCTGAGACTCACCTGTTCTGGCCTGCCCTTCCACCTCTCTGCCTGCCTGTGTCTTCCTACTCTTCTGCTTGCTTCTTCTTTTGCCCATCGCTGCAGCTGGAGATTCATCCAACTTTTGACTGATGGCAGAAGTTTACCGCTGCATCTACACGTTTGGTGGCCGTTGTGAGACCTCGCCTGTGAGGTTGGTCTCAGTAAGTTGTGATGCCGCTTTGCTGGCGGCAAAAGGCAACGGTCAAAAGGACGACATCATGCCATGCTGCACTGGCCAAGCAGCAACAGACGCTGGCAGGCTGGTCTATCTACGCGTGGGCAAAAGCCTTGGTCACTCAGTCCACGCAGTCACTGTTGGGCCTGATAGCCATATCCCGCGACCTTCTTATGGTCATCCATTGTCACCGCAGATGATTCTGGGGCCCAACTGCTTCACTGCACCCTTATCCATACTGTCTGCTTCTGTGAATCAGATCTTGCCACAATAGGATGCAAGATCTGTCCACCCAGCAACAAAGATATCCGTCTGAACTGTAGTCAGCATAGAATAAAAGTCACCCCATTTAGTGCAGCGACACAACATGGAGGCATCCTCAGGTGTTAGACATGTTTGACACTCGGTGAGCATGATCAGTCGGATGTTGACAGCGCTCAAATCGAAGCCTTGCCTCGACTGACCCAGGTGGACCAAGTTAAATGCGGAGGGTTCCAGCGCGTAGTGCCGTCATGCATGGAAGGGGACTTTCCCATGTAACAATGCACCCTGGAGTCCACTGCCACCATGTTAGTAGCTCCAAATGAGCTCTCTGGGCAAACCCGCCTGTTTGGCGGAGGTTGCAGGGAGTGTGCCCATATGAAACTACAAAACCCAGGCAGTGGCAGAAACTGTTTCCGTGTTGCCGTAGATGGTTCTCCGACTTCCAAATGACGACGGGTCTCCGAGAGATTCGATGCTGTTGGGGAGTTCTTGTAGGCCGGGGTTATCCTGCTGACCGCCTAACTCGGCGCCCATAACCGACGGCACCGCATCCAGTTTCTCGCTCTCATAGCTGCAACAACTGCCTGATTCATCGTCAAATATAAGACTGGAGCAAGGCGAGGATGTGGAAGATAAAGCAAAGAGTCACTGAACAAGATATCCGTCTGTCATGGCTGGCGGTTTCGATCGGGACAACGAGGTGAGGTCGTATCAAGAAACTTGGAATCGCCCGTAGAAGGCCAAGAACGCCCATCTTGGCATGGCTAGGGACAAGCATAGAGACCGGAGGCGCAATTCCATATCATGATCGGGCTACACGTGGAGGGCTACTGTCGGTAGCAGAAGCACCAAATACATGAAAATGCAGAGTTCCTCATAAACAATATCGTTGGTGGCCGTAATTATGCTCGTTATCAAATGTGCTTGCCCGTATGCCACATGTACCGGCAAAGACGGACGAAAGCAACGGCACGGCACTATCTGAAGAACAACTTCAGGGACTGTGGGTATATATGGAGGAGTCGTCATCGAGAGTCTCTTAGCAAGCCTTCTGAGCGCTCTGTGCGCGAACATGGTTTCAATTTGCCCTCTGGCCGTAGTGTTCGTCGGCGTGGCAGCGGAGATGCTCGCGGCCTCCAGTCAATGAGACCCGCCCGTGGATTGTATCCTTTGCTGGAAGCTCCGAAGCATGGTGACCGAAAGCAATGTTGGCGGTTCGATCTCTGGCTCTCTTCATTGTCGTGGGCGCCAGGTCTGCTTTCTGCTGTCAATTTGGAGCATAGATCGTGAACGTCTCGCCTTGTTGGAGAATTTTTGCATGCTGAATGTCACTCTTAGCCATCGATACTCATCTTCTCCCCCACCCCCCTCTCTCCCATCAGTTCGCACCCCATCCTCACCACGCCAACCATACCGCCTGTTTGCACAGCCTCGCTACCACCTCCAGCGAGCCTATACTCGATCTCCGCTAAACCTTGCAGCCATGTGACCCTGGTCGCCGTGCTGACGGCAAGAGTCTGCAACTCATCTGCCAATGCCGTCAGTATGTCTGCCAGTGCCAAGCCACGACTACTCTTCAATGCATTGATCGTGTTAAGACAACTAGTCATGTCTGGTGTGCTCAGCATCGTGGTCATGATCAGTCGAACGTCTTCCGGATGAGGTGCGGCGATACAGGTGTAGATGGTGCCATTGGTTATTAGTTCGTGGTTGATGTCTGCCTCCTTGACGGGTGGTTGGCCTTTCATAGGAAGTGGTCTGGATCCTGCATGACAAGCCTGCAGGACGTTCAAAGCCCGCCGCATATCGCCCTTGGAGAGCTCAACCAGCGAGTCGACGGCTTCCGGCGCGATGTTGACATGTTCTTGTGCGATAACATGGTCCACCAAACGGCGGATATCTTCTTTCTTGAGTGGCGAGAAACGGAATCTGGTACACCGGGATAGCAGCGCAGGTGATAGCTTGTGCGTGTAATTGGCAATAATGCAGAATCTGGTGTTTGCTGTGTATTTCTCCATTATTCTTCTCAGCGCCATCTGAGCCGCCGAAGTCATGGCATCTGCCTCGTCCAGAATGATCAGCTTGAACGCACCCAGACCAAACTTGGCCGAGGAGGACCCCTGTTGCGTCGAAGAGCTGAATATCTGTTTCGTAGATGCAAATGTCTTGATCTGTTCCCGCACCACATCAATTCCTCGGTCATCAGAGGCGTTCAGTTCCAACACCATCTGCCGCATGTTCTTGGGCCCGTATATCTGCCTCGCCAGCGCCAGGATAGTTGAAGTTTTTCCCGTACCAGGTGGGCCGTAGAGTAGGAGGTGGGGGAGTCTGTTCTGTTCGACGAATCTATTGATTGTTGCTATGATGTCTTTGTGGCCGGAGACATCATCGAGGGTGTTCGGGCGGTATTTCTCAACCCTGGGACCACGAGTATCAATACCAACGCTTCAGCCAGAAAGCAAATTGAGAATGTGCTTACCATGGTAAATTATCCTCTGCTTCGACTGGGAGATCGGCCACTATTCGTTTCTGTTTTCCTGCAGTGTTGTCTGAACTGAACAGTATGGTCTTGTCCTTGGACGCTGGAGCGTCCAGCTCCATATCATCCTCAAAGTCGGACATGGTGAAAGGTCATCAGATGGGCTTGTTGGTGTGTTGGAACTGTGATCTGTGATGGGACAATGGCTGCGCCTTTGCGAAAGTGCTGTGTGCTTTGTCCACTGCAGTGCAGCAGTATCAAGCCTCTTCCGCGACGCGCTTGCAGACGCGTTAAGTGATCTCATGCTGATCATAATTCGCGCTGCTTTAAAGCTGCCTGGACTTGAACGGTACCGCAGAGGGCCACGTACGCCAAGCCCAATGCGGGCTGTGAATTGGATTGGCTCCACCAACGGCTCTTGAAGTCGAGAAGCAAGGCGCATCCCAAGGTCTCACGCTCGATTGACCACTGAACAATGAGACATTGACCAACCTCACAACACTCCCTGAAATCACCTCTCTCTAAGTCAGGCCGGGATCGCCCATCGTTCAAGATGCCGGTCAGTCGGGACAACCGCCCCTTAGAAGAGGTTCAACTGGCTGACACCTCGCGCAGGCATACCACTCCATCTTCCTGGGTGACCAGGGCGTACAGTTAATAGGTACTCGAAGAACTCATGCATACACGCCCCAATACAGATGCTGACCTGGCAAGGCAACTTCCCTCTGCTGCCCCTACGAACGAAAACCCGTGGCCCTGCATACACACTTCCCCAGCTCCCATCAGGCATGGACCCTCTCGACGTGGACCCGGACTCCGAATCGTACGACTGCCTAGACGAAGTGTTGCAACTATTCCGTGCGAATACATTCTTCCGAAACTTCGAGATCAAAGGGCCTGCCGACCGCCTGTTGATATACGGAATCTTATTCGTGTCTGACTGCCTGACCAAAGTGAAACCGCACATGGACTCGAAGAGCGCGGAGAAGGCCCTCATCAACGGCGCCCTTGAGCAGTTCAGCATTCCCGGCGAGCCGGGCTTCCCGCTTAACCAAGCATTCGAGGCGCCGAGAGACAGGAATGAAGCAGAAGCACTGAGAAGTTATCTTTCACAGGTGCGGCAGGAGCTGGCTATGCGGTTGCATGGGAGATTGTATCAAGGAGGGGTTGGGCCGAGTAAATGGTGGTTGAGCTTCTCAAAGAGAAAATTCATGGGAAAGAGCTTATAAATGTCATGGGTAACCACAAAATTAGAATCCAGGGTGAGGAGTTGTTTCGTACGAAACAGAGGAAGCTTGCATGACCATTGAACCAAATCTCATTCAGCCTGCTCGAGGTCTTCATGACTCGCCATTCTGTTCAACTATCATGGGTTCCACAGTTGGCTCTACTCTCAGGGAGGCAAGTGTTGGCTGCGCTGAGAATGCCTCTTCCGCCTCGATCTTCTGCTTTTTGAGCGGTGACTGAGACAACTCCCCATCAGTGGCAGTTGCAGGAACCTTGGTAGACTCCTCGGCTCTTGTCTTCTTGGCCCGCCCCGGTCGGCCTCGAGCCGCAACTTTCCCTTCTGCAGGTAGAACCCTGGTGGCCACAAAAATGTAGCCTTCCGCGCCACCTTTGCTGGTCATCAGCGGATGCGTCCGACCTGGTAAGACCTGCCATTGTCTGACTCGGGCTGTCTGGACAGTTGGGGCCAGTAACAGGGTTGGATCAACCGGGAAGTCTTCTGAGGGCACTCGTCTTTCTTCTTGGGGGGTGTTGATGAAAGCCGTTTTCCTAGCGGTAGAGTAGAGATCCGCCAATTCTACCAAGGGTTCGACGTTGGGGGAGTAGACCACCACTTGACTTCCACCAGCAAGCAAGGGGACTAGGGGTCGTAATATTGAGACGGAGTCCGTATAGCTTGCAACGATTAGTCCATCGAATCCCCCAGCTCTGGTCTCGTCGACAACTGTCTTGACCCGCTCCCACCGGCGTCTCTTTCGAAAATATGCACTTCTGCGATTTGATTTCGCTTTCGCCAGTTCTTCTGGTGGGATTATTTCTGGCTCTTGATACGTTATATCGGACTCAGGTTCCAGCAGTTGGAGCCAGGAGAGACTTTTCAGACTCGTGTACAGTGGATGTGAGGGAGTGGGATTGTTAGCATCGAAGTTGAAATAGCGTAGTAAGCCCAGGTTAGGCTGTTGATTGGCATGGACCATGGTGATGGAATTCGAAGGCGCACTCATGAGGGACTGCCGGTAATGTCGCCGTCTGTCTTTATGTGGTAGCACAGCCTCGGGCTGCTCGGGCTGTTCGTCTGCATCCTCCTCCCTTGTTTTGCTGACGCCTTCTTCGAGGTCTTTCTGGTGAAGAATGCCCATCCGTTCTGCGACAGCTGCAACTATCAATCCTCCAGTGTCATCCACGACGAGATACCGAGAAGACGGCTCGTTCGGAGGAGACAGATAGTCATGGCCACTGGCGTGAATATTAGCCCAGCATCCGACCAGCGCCACTGCTTCATTCCTCATTTCCATGATTCTGGCAAACTCGCGATCCGACATCATCCAGTCGACCAATATCGAAACATCGAGCGGCAATACTGAAAAGCGTTTCAAGTACTTTTTGTGTTTCCGTAACGTATACTTTGCGAGGGAGAAAGCGGTCTTCTGATCAAGAGTGGAATGGGATTGCATGATCTTTTCGATTAGGGCCTTGCCACTGCCTAGATCGTCTTGTTTCAATGCCTCGATCTCAGCCATCGTCAGCTTCTGGTTCGTAGGGTCGTCATGGGTGTTGACGTTGGATTTTGGAGTAGATCTGGCTCCGGAGTCTTCCAGGTCTGTCTGAGGAGTAGCGGCATCTTCAGTCTCTGCTTGCTCGACAAGGGCAAGCGCATGCAACTCTGCGGCCGAGACTATTCTGAGCTCTCTTCCATCCTGAACCTCAGAACGATCCAGGAGCTCGAATGTCAGATTGTACGGGCGACCAATGATTTGGTTGGTGCGAAAAGAACCATATTTGCCCAGGTTGATTTGTCTTTTGACGGAGTCAGCGACAACTCTCAAAGCCGTGGGGCTGATATCTGTTTGCTCACAGATTTGTGCGAGAGAGACCTACGAGTTTGGGATGATTTGTTCGACTCGGATACTCTCAGAGGGTAGTCGAAGAGCCACAAATTGAAAGGGCTGGATAGTTGCGAAAGCCATTTTAGGCTGGACAGAATCCGGGTCTGAAGGTCGTCTTAGTGTGTTATTGAACCCAGTAATAGGGAGAATCCATTTCAACTCTGTTTATGAGTAGAACTGTAAGTTTGGAGTCTTTGCATCTGAAAAGAATTCATACTATAGATCCAGTTTTTCGCATGTTCGTGTTGGCAAAAATGTCTGTCTATACCTGCATTTGGATGAATTCATACTCCGCGGTATCATGACTTCACCACAGCTATGGTCCGCCGTAGTCAAAACTTCAAGTGCAGTGTGCTTCACGCGACGCGCAGGCTACGACACTGCATGGATCAGTATACATTCCTAACCAGCAATTGCTCAATCCATTCGAATAAAAAGTCAAGGCCCTTGCGCCTGTCAATCCCGCTCTCGTTATTGCCCTGGATTCAGGGCCGCCACATGATCATCGGACCTGTACCTCGTGACCACCTGAGCCAGTCAAAGCGCAATCCCCGAGCGCCAAACAAGAACAATGACTGGCAAACGGCCGTGACGTCACAAATAAACTGCCGTTCATGGTAGTAAGGCTGCAACCATAGGCAACTAGTACCTGTAGTACTAGCAATAGGTCAGAGACATTGCAGGCATAGTACTATTGCAACCAAGGTATTCAAGGAGACACAGCGTGATTGAATGCGTCTCGAGTGACGCAGACTGTGCCGCCCAACAAGAAAGGACATATATCAGTTGCGCCACACCCAGTTTCACAAACGACGAGATTCCTCTTCTTCTATCCTCCCAGCCGCAAAGCCCCCAATACACTTACCAAACTTGCATTCTTGATATCAACAAATACCAACCATCCAACATGTCGGACCTTGCTAAAGGCGTCGGCAACCTGTTCGCCTCGGTTGTGGAAATCATCAAAGGAATCTTCACCACCATTCTCCATCTCTTCGAGGGCGCCGTGAATACGGTTATTGGCCTCTTCAAGAGTGTCTTCAACCTGGCCGAGGGCGTGGTCGGCTTCATCATCGGTAAGTCCTCGACCTGCGGAATTGCTGTATTGGGGATCCTCACTGACATCGAGCAGGCAACATCTTCATTCTGGGAACGTTGTGCGCAGTCTACTTCGGATATGTCCTGTATCAGCAACGCCAGGGGAAACAGCCCGCACCCATTTCCAGGGTTGCGGCGAAGAAGACGAGTTAGGTCTGCTGCATGGTCGAAACATTGCACCCAAACCGGAAGGAGAGAAAATGCCACTGAGCTGGAAGTGAGCTGCAGAAGTCATACGTGACACACTTCTGCGCAAAGACAACGAGAACGGCATTATTAGGGGAAATGGCAACGTGAGGATCGATTCTGGAGAATAGTGAATACAGTCCACCTTTCCCGAATCATTCTTCTTGTTCGGTCATCTTTTGAGAATGCGCTGCGTTCTGCAACAGTAGTCCCGACGTCGACATGTCAAGAGAATATACCCAACAATGTAAACGTAGTACGTAGTACTAGTACGTAGTTTGTCTGAAGACACGAAACTGCCTCGGATCTGCCAAGAAGAAGATGCCGAGGTCTGCGCGCGTGAACGGCGTCGACGGCGAGAGCCCCGCGGCCCCTAAACCCGGGCACGGCGTTGATGGCAGTCCTTAGGCTGCACCTAGCGGTCGATGACCCTGATGAATCGCTGTTGACCTTTCAGATGTGATTCTGACACGATCACCACCAGAACTAACAGCTGCTGTCCTCCGAAATCACCCAACTGACGACCGTCGACATTCCCCTGGCACATGCGTCAATTTCGGCAACATACAAGAGTGGGCACTCATTACTGACGACACTTCCCTTCTTAACTTCCTTCTCCTCTTCCTTCTTCTCCAGACTCCGAATCATCTCCCCGCGGTTGAATACATCACCACCCTCAGCGCACCCAACAGCGCCTGCAATCCCGCGTCTTCACGTTCACCATGTCGCAAATCAAGGATATTGCACCAGCTCCTACCGAGGGCGATTTGGACAAGCAGTCCTCCTCCGGTCCTGTGAACATCATCCCTTCACGCGATGCCACGCCCGCTACCTCCGCAGCGCAGCAGGGCGACAACATCGCCCATGCCTTGGCCGGCGCAGGCGGTGGTCTGCTCTCCATGACGCTTACATACCCCCTGATCACCCTTTCTACACGCGCTCAAGTCGAATCCAAGCGCGCCGACACGTCCACCTTGGCTGCTGCGAAACATATAATCAATCGGGAAGGCATCAGTGGCCTTTATGCCGGTCTGGACAGCGCCCTGTTCGGCATCTCCATCACCAATTTTGTCTACTATTACTGGTACGAGTGGACCAGGGCTTTCTTCGAGAGAGCAGCCCTGAAAGCCGGTCGGGCCAGCAAGAAACTCACCACCATTGAGAGCATGATTGCCGGCGCAATTGCAGGATCCGCCACCGTGCTTCTCACCAATCCTATCTGGGTCATCAACACCAGAATGACCGCTCGCAAAGGTGATGCCAAGACCGAGGAACTGTCCGGCGACGAGAACAAGGAAGCCAAGAAGCCGAGCACCATTCGCACCTTGCTGAAGCTCCTCAAGGAGGAGGGTCCGACCTCACTTTTCGCAGGGGTCATCCCGGCCTTGGTCCTGGTCATCAACCCGATCCTGCAATACACCATTTATGAACAGTTGAAAAACGCCTTGGAGAAGAGGAAGAAAGTCGGTCCTCGTGATGCGTTCTATCTCGGTGCCATTGGAAAGTTGCTCGCCACGAGCATCACATATCCATATCTTACCGTCAAGTCAAGGGCCCATGTCGCGACCAAAGATGCCCCGGTGGAAGGGATGTGGAAGAGTCTGAACAAGATCGTCAAAGAAGAGGGCTGGGGTGGTCTCTACAAAGGTAAGCCTGATTCCATCCCTGGACTGCCAGAGAGAATCTAACATATGACTTCAGGTATCGGACCCAAAGTCAGCCAAAGTGTGATGACCGCGGCATTCCTCTTCGCCTTCAAGGATGTCTTGTACGACATGACCATCGCAGCGCGCAGGCGAGCAAGAGCTGTTAAGGCTTGAGACTGGAGCTATAATTTTCTCGGCCCAGTTGTCGGCACCACGAGAATGGCCGTGTAGCAAAGGGGGCATCGAAGATCAAGAACTTGGTCCCCCTCAGGGACTGGACAGCCTCTTGTCGAAATACTAAGTTGTACCTTGCCCATGGCCGGGTTACAGGGGCACGAGGATTGACCTTACCAACGTAGAAGTCGGAGATGCAAGTCATGGGGAAGGAAAAGTTGACAATTTGACATTAACGGGTTTGAAAATCTTGCAGAAAGTGCAAGTCGACTTTGAAGATCACGGTGCACACGTGGGTTCTATGATTTGAATTGGTTATATTGAGATTTGTACTAGGTAGTAGGTAAAGTGCTTGAAGGAAGCATGTGTCGATTGATACCTCAGTCGCGACACCACAGGCTAGTACACAAGCCCAATATCTATACACGTACACTGTTTGCGGACAGCATTTAGTTCTGATACAGCAACCTTACACGACCCATCAATACCTATCAGACAAGTCATCCGAATTGTCTGTATCCTTGCTTTATGAGAATGGTAGAATTCCCGTTCCAGGACGAGGGAATTATACAAGTTATACTTTATGCTATGGATGGTGCCGTTGTGCCATTTTGTTTGCGATCTCCCACAGCTCTATCAGCCGGCCGAGTAAGAAGTTTGCTGTGCAAGCAACGGTTCATCCTTCCCAAGACTTTGATGCGCTATCCGTACATGTGCAATCGCAACAGATCAGAAACCATAAGACTCGCTTTTGGGAAGTTTCATGCCCTTGTCATACAGCCACTTGTAATTGAGCCCCGGCGCGACCTGAGGGCTCCTAGTGCCCGGTGTCGGCGAACTCGGCTCCAGGCTTTCCCGTCTCGGTCTCTCGCGCAAGCTCTGCGATCGAGCCAGGCCGGATCCGGTGCTGGCGCCCAAAGACGACCGTGCAGTAACACCGAAGTCGGCGTCAGAGATCTGCGATGCTTGGTTGACGGCTTTGTGAAAGAGTGGGCTTGCTGCTGGAGAAGGCGAAAAGGGCGAACCAGATGCCGTCCGACGGACGGATTGCGAAGGCGTAGTCGAGAATGCCACCGCGTGGCGAGAGGGCGAGAGCGTCGAGGATGAATAGCTGGCCGAAATACTGCGTCGATCACCAGAAGGATTGTTCTGGACGCTGCTGGGAGTGCCGGAAAAGGAGCCAGAAGACCGTCGGTAGCGCGGAGGTGTGATGTAGCTCCCAGCTGACCCTGCCGAGCCCGGCGTCGGTGGCAGGCCCAGAAGTGAGCGTTGCGACGGCGTCAATGGGATATCGCTGATCTCATCCTTTTTGGCAATATACGGTATCGCTGGCCGGAGGAGTAGAACTAGGTTGGCGCAAAGAACGGCGCGGATCAGCAGGAGGGCGGTAGAAGATAGTTGCGAGGCGTCGCTGACGCCACTCGATTTCAGAAGTGGTGTGATGCTGTCCACGAAGTCAGTTTGAAGAGAAATGAATGCGTCGTGACGGAAAGCATACCTGCTGTAATAGGCGTCGCTGAACATGAAGGAAAAGAGCAATACCGCTGCATTCGTCAATGCCCCTTTGATGTTTGTTTCTGTAAGCGCAGAAGAGGAGCTCCGCGCCAGAATCTCCGTAGTCCGGGGGTGTCTGAATCTTCCTGGTGAAGGGGAATATGTGGAGGGTGGTAGGGTCTTGGTTGGTGTCGATTTCGAGGGCGTCAATCCGAGATCGTGCGCTTTGTTGGAGAGATAGTGGGTGGTCGTGGCGATTTCGTGCGTGACCAGGTTCCGCGCCGATTGGAGAGCGGAGGAATCATGTTTAGATCCCATCGAGGACGGGACCAGCGACGTTGCGGTTGTGGACATGGCGCGAGGTGTAACAAACTGTGGCCGGGTACTTCAGTGATGGTTTCGAATGCACGCTTGGAATGGTGGACTTACCCTGGGACTGTCGAGAATCCTACTTACCTGTTTTCGCGCGGAGTGAACTAGATGTTAATGGGCATGTCCTTCACTTCTCCCCATGGCTGTGAAGGAGTACCTGAGGTATTGCTCAGGCAGATAGACTAATGAATGGCGCAGGAAGGATGCGGCAACAAGGCTTCCGGTTGTTGACATTCAATGGCTGCAACCGGGCCTTGGCGTGGCAGCCTTGTCACTACAGCCTCGTCACTACAGTTTTGTCGACACAGCCTTGTCACTGCAGCCTTGTGCCTCATGTATCGAAGTCATCGTACGATTCTCCTCTAAGCTAGCTTTTCTTCTTCACCATTCGTCATGGTCTGTCTCAATAGGCTTGTATGAAGACAGTCTATACAAAACTATCTGATGGAGTCACGATCACTATCTCTTTGGCGCTCTGGACACCCCCGTCAGTCATCGAGCCCGAGCCAGCAGTCGCTTGCAGAGGACCGTCTTCTCGTGGTCGACTATTTGAACACGAATCATCTGGACTCTGGCACTTCGTCCGCTACCAAGTGCCATTCTATCGACGCTGCCAGAACTAGAGCCATAGAACTCTTTGGCAACATCACATCGGCTGTTGTGTACTCATGTTTTGCATGTCATCAAACGCTTGTCAGCCTCAAACAGCCGATCGCTCAAACAAGGCAATTGGTAGGTACCATCACTTGCTCATGGAAAGCACACACTGCGGCTATATAAATATCTCTTCCTCTGCCTGCTTCTTTCTGCCCGAGATCGCAAAAGAACAACATCAGCCACAACATCAGCCCTAGCTCTCAGGCCTGCGCAGACGACCCAGCAAACCCGCGACTCGACAGCCTTCCCAATCATCGTATTAAATATACTGCCTTTGGAGCCCAGGAAGAAGCCGCTCGCAAGAATGTCCAGCGCCCCTCCAAAAACTCCCGTCAATAGTCCGCCTCCGAGTCCGCCTTACTCAAAGAATTGAGGCTCATGTAGTGAGTGGGAATCTGTCCATGACCTGCTTCATTCCTAACATTCGAACAGCAGGACATCCTAGAACGACAGATTCGATCGCAGATGAAGAGTCCCCCGATTTCACGGTTGTCCAGATCAACAGGCGTCATCACCGCCGACGGAAATTTGCCTGCGGAGATGGAAGCTCGACGGATGCGGTAGTCTAGGGAAGCTCCTGAATGGCGTGATTTGGAGGCTGCTCTGCCGAGGTTCGACTGTACTGTGCAGACTTACCAGATGGTCCAACGGGCGCATACAAGACATAACGATCTGTTGAAGGAGGTAAATGCTGTAAAAGAATTCTCACAGAGATAGCAAAACCTTCGAACCCTTCGAATCATGTCAATTATGAAGGTTTGATGATATGCCGATGAGGTTTCAGAAACATCTTCATGTTCATCCACGCCTGTTCATCGACTGTAGAGTTGTTGCCATGCACCGTTAAAGGTCAAGAATGCTCCCAATATTTTGCGAGTTCGTTGTTGTTTCTCGACTTGTTCCGGTAAAGCGGCGGCAAACGGGAAACACACCAATCATGCTGAACTGGGGAGGGAAACCTCAGCCTTGTTATTTGCTGTGTGCTGTGTGCTGAATTGGCACGGAGTGAATGAAAACGATCCGGTTCGGGGCCACCCATGCAACACGATACAGGCCCAGGAGACCATGCCACCTCTGCCCGCCTCGCCGATAAACTCCTGGAGTCCGCGTGTGATTTGCTATTTCCAGACCTACCATCACAACAACGAATATATTTCACTTTTACCGCTAATAACCAACCCGTCCGGTGTCACACATGTCATCCTCGCCGCTATCCATGTGAACTGGGAGCCCAACAATCTAACACTAAACGACGACCCTCCCCACCATGAGAAGTACACTCAGCTCTGGGACGAAGTCGTCGTGCTGCAGGATTCCGGAATCAAGGTGATGGGCATGCTCGGCGGCGCAGCACGCGGCAGTTTCGCCAGGCTGGACTACAGCGAATCACGGACTGATGTGCCTTTTGCAAGATTCGAGGCTTACTATATCCCCTTGCGAGATATGATCCGCAAGTACGGACTCGACGGACTGGACCTGGACATCGAGGAGGAAATGTCTCTACCGGGAGTCATTCATTTGATTGACCGGTTGAAAACCGACTTTGGCCCTGACTTCATCATCACGCTTGCACCAGTCGCTACGGCGCTTATGGCAGGTCGCCCTCACTTGTCAGGCTTCGACCATCGCATGCTCGAGGCTGCCAGGGGAAGCAGTATCGCGTGGTACAATGCGCAGTTCTACAATGGCTGGGGCGGATTGCACAACACTGACGCGTACGACGAGGTCATGCGAAATGGCTGGCCGGCGGAGAAGGTCGTCGCCGGTATGTTGACCAACCCAAAGCATGGCGGGAGTGGATATGTCCCGCTGGAGTTGTCAGCAGCAGTCCTGAGCTTGTTGACGGAGCGCTACCCTAATTTTGGCGGAGTCATGGGGTGGGAGTATTGGGACGCTCTTCCACAGGAGCACGATTGTTGGATGTGGGCTTACTGCATGGGTTTGTGCATGGGTATGAAGAAACTGAGGGATACTGCCGTTATGATGCGTATGGGCAGAAGTATCGGAGGCATGGACTTGAATCGGTGACAAAAGAGCTGGCCCCTACGGCAGAAGAGGTTGGACCTTTCTGGAGATCACAAACTCGCCCATACAGTCATGCTCGTGGTCTCGACTAGTGGAAGGGCACCCTGCGATGTATGTCAATAGTGATTGGGAGACCGAAAAGCATTCACAGCTGAGAGCAGAACCTATAGGGACAAGGCTGGGGAGAAATAATGTTTCTGTCTGACTGGAGAATGCTGCAGGTGCCAACACTAACATTAGTGCAAACGTGCCCCAAGGTTTCGTCAGACTCAGTAATACAACCCCTGAGGCCCAATCCAGCCAACTGCACTGCGTCATACTCGTGGAATCGAAGCGAGCCACTTGAAGCCGGTTGAACAACATTTGATTTCTTGATTTCTGCGCTGTAATTTGTACACCGGGCCGGAATGTAAGGTACTTGTGCTCGCTGCTGGGCCGGCGAGTAGTTATCTTCTTCTTTCCAACCTCCCTGATGCCGTCCACGCCTGAAATCATTGCAGGCGCAAGCTCGTCGCTGGTCCGGGTCTGCGCCTACATCTTTCTCCGATGGGTATGCATTGTTTACTACAGCAGTCTTGTGAAATGCTGACCGTTGCCTCAGATTCCCGGCCACCACTTCCCTCCTACAATTATCACGGCCCTGGCTCTGTATCTAGCCTGCGTCTTTGGTAAATCGGAGGCGTTCGGCACGACCAGACCATCGTTACACGAGACGTTCCCGAAGCTCTTTCCGCACCGCGAGAATGGTACCACGCAACAGGAGGAAGCAGGGAGCCCAGAAGACCACGATGAACCAGCTTTGTACGAGGATGAGAAGTCATTCTTCAAAACATTTCTTTTTGGAGTACCAGACTGGAGAAAAGCACGATGGAGTTATATTACCATTGGCGTAAATGTGCTTCTGGCATTGCTCACGTTGGACATGGTGTTCCGCGGACCTCTCTTGTACCCAGCTCGAGATCTAAGCTTCACCCGCGTGGGATATGTGGGCTCGAACTCTGCCAAAGTTCTCGTCCGGGAGCCAGATCCGGCACAGCTACCGATGTACGTCTATCTATCACCGGCGGATAAAACCAACTGGGAGACCACCGACACCATCTACTACCTTGGACCGGATACCGACTACACCTACTCCATCACATTCGACGGTCTCCAACCGTCCAAGAAGTATATATACTCCTTGTCCAACGACAAGTCTGGCACCTTCACCACTGCAGCGTCCCCACAGTCCAGGGCAGCAGGGAGCTTGACTTTTGTCACATCCTCTTGCATCAAGGCAAACTTCCCCTACAAGCCTTGGTCTCATGCTCTAGCAATTCATGGCTTTGAACATCTTTCGAGGACCCTGCAATGCCTCCCATCTCCTGCTTCATTTATGATGTTTCTGGGCGACTTTATATACATCGATGTTCCTCTGCGCCTGTCATCCTCTCTCCAGCATTATAGGTCCGAATACCGCCGGGTTTATGCCTCTCCTTCATGGTCGCTACCGGGTCTGGACACTCTCCCCTGGATCCATACCCTGGACGACCATGAAATTGCCAACGACTGGTCTGGCGGGAATGATACGGATCCTTTCCCGGCAGCCTCAGACCCCTTCCTCCACTACCACGTTTCGGTGAATCCTCCAGTCCCGCCAGGCGCTCCAACAGGTCCAGAGACGAATACAACATACTTCCAATTCTCGAACGGTCCAGCATCCTTTTTCATGCTTGACACGAGAAGATACCGTACTGCTCCTGAACCCGTGGCATCCTCAATGTCGAAACCACTCTACGGATCATCAGCCGAACCCTCAAAACCTCCATCTCGAGGGCCGAACCACACAATGCTTGGTTCTGCGCAGTTGGCCTCTCTCCTCAAATTCCTTTCAACGCCCGAACCTCCACACATCCATTGGAAGATCATCGCGTCATCCGTTCCATTTACGAAGAACTGGCGATTCGGCACATCAGACACATGGGGCGGCTTTCTGCAAGAGCGTGCTGAGATTCTGACCGCCATGCACGTAGCCGAACGCGATCTCGGGGTCCGCGTCATCGTCCTCTCCGGTGACCGACACGAGTTCGCAGCCATCCGATACCCTCCTCCCATCGTCGATCTAGCGGCACTGATTCCCCTGGCTCAGACCCAGAAGGACACCGCGAAAGAGACACAGCTGTCGAGCATCGTATACGACCGTACTCCGCAGGCAGGGCCGCACGAGTTCTCGGTCGGCCCGCTCAGCATGTTCTACCTCCCCCTGCGTACCTTCAAGCAGGTAGATGAGGAAGACGTTGCGATCAAATATTTGCCCGACGGGAATAGCAAGGTCGGGGTAGTCGAGATCCAGAATCTCGCGGGAGAAGTCCAGCGCAGTCTGCTCAAGTACTCACTGTACATCGACGGTTCTTTGGCGTGGGAGTACACCCTCACTAGTCCCTCAATCGGATCTCTACGAAAAGGTAAATCCTGGGGTAGTGGTGAAAGGTGGCTGTGGAGTTGAAGGCAACATGCGCTTTTGGATAATGACAAATACAAAAGGGAAACTGGCTTGTATCTAATTTTCTGATGGCAAACAGACGGCTCTACTAATAGGAGTTGTGCCAATGCAACGAACGGAAAAGGACACGAGCACGAGCATAAGCACGAGTATGCGCGTGCGCATTTGGAGTTTAATTGAAGTTGTATTTCATTGATTGCATTCAAAACCTCATACCGAGCGCCTAGTCCATCATCTTACTGTAAACTTTCATTGCCCGTTGATCGTTCAACGCCATAAAAAGGTCTTATCCAGTCCCGACCCCTTTATATCAATCAGTCCGGGTCAAAAGCGACAATAACCGAGGACATCCCTGTGCAGCAGGTGAGTAAGGACTGCGAGTATATCCGCTGGTCGCGAGCCAGAGCTTTCATTTTTAACAAGAATCGTGCATCAGAGTGCAAGCGGCTGTGAACCGCAGTGTCACTGCGTCATGTGTAGCGCTCGAGTTCGGGCCCGAGCCTAGAGCCCACGAGCCTCTCTGTTTGGAAGATGGAACTGTGCAAAACACAGGCAGTGCCCCTGACTCTCCATAAGGAAGGGTCGTCTGCTACATCTATTCCATGGCGCCAGCTTGCTGAGCATAGCCTGAGACAGATGGTTGCGGACGGAGTCGTGCGTGCAAGAGTAGTCCGTTCGCTTTGTGATCTGTCTGTAGTAGAGCGCAGCGTGGTATCAATGGGTGGTGACCCTGCGCTTTTAAATGCTGCTGGTGTGCATCGTGTCCCGGGAGCTTTGGCCGTGAAGGCACGGAGCGTCCCACGATGACAGCCAGTTTGCTCTGTATGAGCAGCAGCCGCAGCAGCAGCAAAGCTACGAGCTCGGAGGGACGGGCTCTTGTTGAGTGGGTCTCGTATCAGGTCTGATACTTTCGATCCCATGTCGAGCCGCGTGCCTTGATGTGGGAAAGATTCGATGGCATCTTCTTCGGGTGGCGGATCGATTCGGCCACGAAGCTCTTCGATTAGTTTTGAATCGTTGATTGATTTGACTTGACTGACAAAAACAACCAGATGTCACGACAATCAACAATTCTGTCCAAAGCGCCGGTCGAAATCCTTCAAGACTGCCATGACATTGGCCGCGTCTATCTCCAATGCCGGTCGTCCCACGATGGCAGGGTTGGAATCGCTGGCATGCAGTTTGGGGAGCCAGGTAGCGATATCAGCGCTCGCTCGCTCATAGGCGGGATGACGACTTAGTGTAGTATATGCGTCGGCGCAAGTGAGCGTCACGCCAGCTTTTGGTGGTGGTGGCGGCGGCGGTAGAGTGTTGTGAGCTCTACCGTGCGATGGCACGGCCGCCGCTCGCGAACGGGTAGTTCGTGGAGGCAGAGGAACAGATCCGTTCTGCGCTTGGCTCTGACAGCAAGATCCCCCAGCGGTTTGTCCGCCACAGCAGCCGACAGGAGTACTGCTGGCAGATTGCGCTCGTGATGCAGCCAGCGACTTGCAGAACAAAGTACTATTTGGATCGGCGCGGCATTGGGCACATGTTCCCGGTCCGGAAGTTCCACACCCTGAAGCGAGCGAGGCCACGGCTGGGAGGGAGATTGAGACATCGCCTTCGGACGGAGGCGGAGTGAACTGATCGATCTGTCTTGGATGGTTTGCTGCCAAGCCCGCAGGTCTGGCCGGGCTCTGGTTTTGCGCCTGTTCCTGCTCGGCGGCCATTTCGGCACAGATGCACGGCGTGCCGTCTGAACAAAAGCCACAAGGATCGGCGACAGCCGAAGTTGGGGAACGATCCTCCACCCGAGTGACGCTGGGCAGGACTTTGGGGGCGTAGACGGCAGTGAAGTCGATCTCTAGAGACTCCTTGGGCTCGACTTTGATTCTTTTCTCACTTTCCCCCGGGGCCGGAGAGTGGGGACGTTTCTCATGTTGATGCGTGCTCGTCGCAGGTTCGCCGCCCATGGCTGTGAAGGCTTCATCGATACACTGGCATCTGGTTTCCAATGTACAATTGCCACAGCCCACTGCATTGTCGATGGTGTCCGGGCCAGCCGCCGGGGACTCTTTGCCTTGCGTAGGCGTAACGGCCCCAGACTTCCCAGGCGACGACCGGATAGCTTTGAGAGAAGCAAGCTCGCTCTCCAGTCTCCGACAACGATCCACCCAGTTGGCGAGATCAGCTCGGTACTGCTCGAGCTCCTTCTCGAGCTTCTCAATCGTGTCCTTCAACAATTGCTGTTCATGTTCATTCTCGTCCTCAATTTGCTTGAGTTGCTCCTCAAGCTCCCCCACACGCGCGGCACGCCTCTCGCGAAACGCTCTCTGCGCAGCCCGGTTCTGCGCCTTGCGCTTGGTGGGAGGAGTGTCGGTGGCGGGCTTCCGGCCTGGCTTTGGTCGTGGTGGAATAACCCATTCCTTGCTGGTAAGGGACAAGGGCGGCGATGCGGAAGTGGGGGTCGCGACGGGTGATTCTTGAAGTGGTTTCATGCATAGAGAAGGCTTTCGAGAGATGATAGGTTTAATGTCAACACTTCCGCCGGGTGTTGTTGCTGCGGGCGGCGAGCCAGCGTTGGAAGCCATTCTTGGTCGAAGGTTTGCAAAACTCCGAGATTGGCCGAGGACGAAACGGATGTTGTTGCGGAGCTTGTTGCTATTACATGGGACAAAGTTGCTGGATTCTGCGCCGTCGCAATGCCAGCAGCCGGGGGCGTGTTACCAGGACCGCCGCTTAAGTTGATCGCGAGTATACACAGAGGAACTGCAGGCCGAGTGAGGCCAGAGAGCGTATGGTCAGGGGACAGAGAGGTGGTCAGGTTGAAGAGGTGCCAGTGGTGCTGGGGGGAGATCAAATTTGATCATATCAGATTAGATGTGTGCCCGATAATCGGACTTGGCGGGAGGGGTCGGAGGGAATTCCCTGTACGGGCCAGACTCGGGATTCGCGCGATAATGCAGTGGGGCCTCACGCCACCTCGGTAAAGTTGCCTACTACGATCCGGGATGCTAAAGTGATGGCTAAAGTGATGGCTAAATTGATGTGAGGCCTTATCTGGGGCCCGAGTCGAGGAAGCCTTCGATGTTCATGATTGGTATTGCATTGGACATTGAGCTCTACTTCCTTTTTCATGGTAGAGAAGAGTAGGGGTATCTTTGAATAACACCTCGGACGCCGTACTATCCCCCTTGAAGAGCAAACAAACTCCAGCAAAGCACCAGGCCCGTACACCGAACAACTTTCTGACTCAGAACTTACCACCATGGATACCAGGACTATCCGAAGTAGCCTCGATTCCACTTTGCAAACCGCCTACAAAGGAGGTACCCCAAACGCCGACAAGGCCCCAGAACCCGACTCTCCAGCCGCGGTATAGTCCTTCGATCCCTTGTCCCTTGCGCCTCCTCCGCGGAGCCTTCCCTAGGAGAGCTGCTGTTTTGTCCTTTTGAGATTCGGAGTAGCCTTCTTCCCGTGTAATGCTCCAGATGGTCGGCAGAATTCCTCTGTAGGATTGTGGCACTGGCACAATTGTGGTGATAGCCTTACGCTTAGATGATGTGGATGGCGGTGAATAAGTCGGTGAAGTCCACGTCGCAATTTGTGCACGACGCAGGACCGTTTCAAGAGGGAACTTGACCGAAAGATCCAACGCCGAGCCGGCAAACGTGGCCAGACTCCAGCTAGCAGGATTCAGAGCCGGGTCAAGGCCGAGGTAAGACCTCAAGAAAACGGGGGTACTTGTAGAAATAAGAGTCGGAATAGTTGAGCTGAAAAAGGTGATTGGGATGAGGTGTCGGGGTATCAAGTAAGGTGTCGGCAGTGTCCGTAGAGTGCCCAGTAAAGTGCGTGGTTCCTCGTTAGATGGTGTGAGGATTAGTCTGGTCCTGGCTGCATCAATTGGTGCCAGAACGAGCGCTGAGATGGCTGCGGCTGCGGCTGTGATCAGAGCGGTAGCGGCGGGGGATGTAGAGATGAGTATTGATGAATCCGAGATGGCCCCGGTAGATGTTGGGAGGAGAATATCATTTTCCGCTAGTCCAAGCACAGCTGCCAAAAAGCTTTTGAGGAATGTCTCCAAAGTCCGGTTCAATATGCTGTAGATGAACGTTGAATTCGTGGCACGCCACATTGCCAGCAATCCACTGCTGGAAGAGAGGGATGAAAGTGCATCGAGCAGTGAGTGAGGATTCTTCAGACGTATTCGGCCTTCGACATGCTGCTGGGGATGATCGGAATGTCGTGGCGGCCTTCCATGTCGACCACGCATGGGAGAGCGGCTGGAGACAGACCGCTCAAAGGGTGCAGTAGACGTGAAATAATTTGGTTCCTCATCCGAAGAGTGCCCATTGTAGTATCCTTCAATGTCCTCGTCTTCCCCTCCGTGCTTTGGTTCCTGAGCCCACTCTTCTTCTTCATCCTGCGCAATACGAGCTTGTAGGATGAGCTTTGCAACCTCAAAAGGCTGGGCAATGACTACACTGGTGTATTTCCATAGCGCCTGATCGAGGAGAGACTTGATTGAACCTGGAATCGAGGGTGAGGCATCTGAAATATAGTCGGAATAGTCGATGTCAGGGAATGTGAAGGTTGATGTTGAGTGAGGCGTCGGGGCGCCTGCGGTAGTGGTTGGAAGTGTCTCATTTCCGATGGACGGTGGGATATAGTAAGGGCGTAATGGGTTTGGGACCTGTCTTGGATCCTGCATGTTTGGATGTGCTCAAGGACGATGATTAAGACGGTTGTCTACCCTCTTTGTTGTCTGCGAAGAAGGTGACGGGTCTATGATGCGGTAATCGCTGGTTTCACATATGGACGTCGAGTCGAGACGCATTACGGGCCATCACGGTGCAGCAGAGTGCGGTGAACGCAAATCCTCGCACGTGATGCTCAGCCTGTTCCAGTTTCACCTGGCAACCACTGAATAATGCAATAACATACTTGGTTAAGTACAGAACAAACAATACTCCATATTTCTGCTTGAAAGATTCACTTTGAACGGTTCTCATTATAGACGCAATCTGCCATAAAGGGTCCCTGGAATCAATAACAACTATCCTTCAAGTTCGTAATGAAGGATAGCTCCTATAATAAAATAGACCGAACTATAATATGCTATGGGAGGTCGCCGCTTGATCAACAGACAACCACCTTAAGATAGTATTAGTAGACGCTCCACCACTAATAAAACTAGATAGGACCTTTCAGCACCCAGGGATCCTCCATAAGAGTCGGACGCAGAAACGTAATACGAGAACCATATACACGGCAAACTCCTGAAGCAGACCTCGTGGCTGGGACTGGCTGAGGAGGTCCGGTGCCTGGTTCTTCAGCTGGACTTGAGCTATTGCTCTCACGAAAACCACACTGGTCAACGTAAACCGAACGAGAGACTAAGTCTTGAAGATCCAGGGACGAGGAAAATAGTAATGGTTGCCTGCCGGATGTGCAAATCCAATCATCAGACTCCGGTCCGCCTGCTCAGTGAATTTGGATGGCGGACTCGTCACGCCTCTATCGAAGGAAGGGCCTCGTACGGATCGTTGAGCCATGTTCAAGTACGACCTGCATGAGAAGGTGAACAAACACTGACTCAGCATGCCGGCCTCGCCTCTCAATGGCTTTGAGGCCATCCAAGGTTTGGAATATCGCAAAATACTCGTATCCGGGAAATGTCATGAAGGTAACACTGACACAAGAGCGTGTAATCGCGTGCGTCTTCACAGACTCTCCCAGCACAAACGACTCGTTGACTTTGCCCCTGTGAACACATATGTTTGCCGCTTCGACACCTTTCGCTTCAAAGTTCTGCTATCACGCCTCGGCAATGCATCACAGGAGGCGATAGGAGACAAGAGAAGTAAACTCGTCAGACGCCGTGCGGCGGCCGTAAAGAAGGTGTGTGCCCACCACGAAGTCGGGCAGAAGGTATTGAGGCTGACAATTTCCCAGTTGACTGTCATCCCCAAGTTGAAGAATTGTCTTTCAGGCAGCAGCGAGGCAAGAACATGAATGCAGTTCCAACAATCATGCGGAGACAAAGCTAGAAGTCATGGCCAAAGGCCAAACGACATCTATTCATAATCAGGCGGTATTTGAAGTCAATGGCCTGATTATGAATAGATGTCAAGGGCGTGCTTCTGCCGTTCAAACTGCCGAAGCACGCCCTTTCCAGTCCGGGGATACTATGCTGAATCTTCTGACGTTGTGTGGCATATATTGGAAAGCAGGTTCGTCGTATAGCTGACAGATACTGAGATGGCAGTGCTCGAGTCTTTGAATTGCACCCATAACGCAAACTTGATGGAGGTCGTTCAGATGAGCTGTGGGTAGTAATCACTATCCAGAAAATCGAACAGATTGCCCCCAGTTGAAGCTAGGAATTCTTCATCCGAGATGGTGATGGGCAATGCATCTGTCCCGGAAGGCGACGGCATCGTCGCCTGCGACTGCGACTGCGACTGCGACTGCGACTGCGGATGGAGCTGGGATGCTTTGTACATATGTCGATCCCTCCATTGTTGTAGCTTGGGTATCAACGCCGTGAAGAGCTCCGGAACACTGAAGGGTAAAGAGTTTCGATCCCGAGAAGTCTGGTGCTTTGACTGCGACTGTTCGGCGGCAATCCTCGCCTCATCCAACTTCATTTGTATCGTTGCCACCATAGTAGGAAAGTCAAGCGTGCTGCGGGCATATTCCGGATCCCAACCGTCTCCAGTGAGGATGCAGAGCTTGGAGAGAACCACAGTAATACGTCCCAGCAGTGCCCAGGTAAAGTAGGTGAAATTGAAGTAGAGATTGCTTGGAATTGCGCAGAACCGCTCGAAGGACCGCTTGATCTCATCGAGACATGTGAAAAGCATCTTCAAGCGCGTAATCGGAAAGGTCCCGTACCTACTGCTGGGAATGTTGTCGTGCACCGCAACCTCGTATAGGAAGACCTTAATGAAAGAGTAGTGGATGGAGATGAAATCTGCTCCTGGTCAGCACGGGCTCTCAAAAGGAGGCACGCAAGCGATGAAGGGCCGGAAGCACGTGTTGGGGTTTTCCTTTCTGTTGAAAAGCGCTTTTTCTTTTTGGAACATGATGCCATCGTTGGCAGGTTGGGGTTCACTTACCCGCGAGCGATGTGTCCGTTGGTAACTTGGTCCTTATTTGCTCCAGCTCGGCTTCGAAAGACCTCACACAAGCCCCTAAGGGGGCGGACATCCCTGTCGAGGCGGCCCAGTCCTCGGGATTCAGGGTCCCCCTGATCTTCCCAACCATGCCCATGATGCGGATCATGATAACAAGATGTTGGTCGCTTGGGTATTCGTTGGCTTGTTCAAGGACTCGACAGCATTCATCTGCATACATTGAATACTTGATCGGGTCCATTTCACGCGCCCACACAGATATCCTATGTCCAAATTAGTAATGGACTAGGCTCGAATGTTGACTGTCACGTCAGCAGCTTGAGATCTTACGCTGTAGTCACATAAAGGCCCCCGAGCAAGGCTCTTCTCTCCTCCAGAGTTCGCTCTCTGGGTTCCTCGCGATTGGGTGTACCATTATTGAGTGGGTTCCAGTAGTATCTCATTGATCCTAACGCTGGTTTATATCGCGGACTTGTGGGTTTGTTCAGACCAAGGTCGGTCAGCAGAGCCATCATTAGGTAGGTAAGGTTGCTCAGTTGCGCGGTCCGAGCATGAACCTGATACCTGTCCGGGAGTCAGTATATCACAAGTACCCCGGTCTGGGTGAGTCGTGACTGACCAGGCTATGAAAACGAGTAGTCCTTGCAAGAGATCGAGACTTTGTTCTCCATCGATGAGCATTTTATGACTGATTATCTCCCTTGCCTTTGCAGCCAATGCTTTTTGACGTGCTGTATCATGGCGGCAGCCGATTGTCATGACGGCCATGAAGAGAAAAGGTTTGAGCTGCCTGAGCTCATGAACCGTCTGTTCGGACGCAATGACAACGAATGGGAAATATGGAGCCATGTCCGCTCGGAATGCATCAAGGATGATGGTCGCCTCGTCATCCTTGATAAAGTGCTGAACGCATTCTATTGGCGAAAGAGATGTCGGATTGGAGCTTTGAACTTGACTTGAAGGGCTTGGACCCCCATTTTGTGCTGAAGTGGCAAGCATTGCTGCTACACCATCCAGCTTTTGCTCCAGCCTGGCCACGTCCCTGAGGCATTGTCAGCAATCTGGAGTCGGTAGGTTGTGTAAGCAACTTACGAGATCCTCCCGGGCTTGTTGCGACGATGCGCACCAGGAGTCTGCTCAGTGCATGATTTTTTGAGTCGCCGGCACCTATCAGGTATACATTAGCTATCACGACCCGGCAACAAGGAACCCAATGGTGGGATGACAAGTACCGAGTGCAAACAATATTCCCAGGGTCGAGATCACATTTGACTTTAGCACGGGCACAGGCAACGCATGCCTTTGGACCTCGACTGGCGTCAAATTCGCTGGGCGGGGTCAAATGGGACATAACCAAGTCACCACGGCTCTAGGAAATCCGATGAATAAATTGTAACAGGAGGGATCAGTAACATAAGTTGTCAGGGAGCCGACCAGTAGTCGGTATGCTCTGACGTCGCTCTCGATCGGGATCGTGTGCGATAAATTTCCAGAGAGCGATGGGCTCGCGATAAAAGTCTGATAACAGGTAAGAATAATCGGACCGCTCTCGCCGTATCTAAAGTCAGATCTGCATTGCTCAAGCGTACTGTTTGAAGCCTGGATTGAAGCGCGAGATTCTGAGGCAGCAGTCTGTTTGAATGTTCGGAGCGGAAACGGGAACGGAGTCCGTGTCCGACGTGGTCCCGCCACCGGCCTTCCTATTGTGGAAGTGAAGGTGGGTCTTCCCCATCCAAGGACCTCAATGGTTGTCCAATCATAATCCATGGCTAGCTCCGCAAAGGCGGAACAGAGTCCACAGCCTTATGAGCAACGGAGCAGTCGGAGCATTGATATACATTGTTAAAATGCAAGCAGGCCCAGTGATTAGCGACTGCCATACAACGGTGAAAGGGTCGCACTATAGGCGATAGGCGATATATTCGATCGTGAAACATGGAAACCGAACAGGAGAAACAGGAGCCCTCGGCCACAGAACCTGCTGCAGCGTCTTTCCTCCCAATGAAAGAGGACAGTCAATCGACGTCGTCTTTACACGGAAACACAAACAATGACAGACCCCTGAGATCCAAGTGGCAGACAATCATTCTTTTCGCGGCGGTGCTCTTTTCTGTCTTTCTCATGGCCATGACAGGCTCAATCCTTGCAACAGTCAGTCATACATTCTCCGAAGCATCTAGCATTCATTGAGTTGTGCCGACCATTTTGTACAGGCAATACCTCAAATCACCACTCACTTCAAGTCGCTCGACGACATTGGCTGGTATGGGTCCGCTTCTCTCGTCGCAACGTATGTCTCCTGTATCATCAACCGGCATCGCGACGCGGGATAATGAACTGAAGCTCATCAGATGTTGTATGCACCCTTTTGTCGGCAAACTATACACCCACTTTCCAACCAAGGCAAGGAAAGCTCCAATCGCCTGTTGATAGGCTACTGACATCTCATCAGTGGACATATATAGTCTTCATGATGATCTTCTCCGTTGGATCCCTCGTCTGCGCCCTCGCTACCTCTTCAAAGATGCTCATATGTGGCAGAGCTGTACAGGGCGCGGCAGGCGCTGGATTGGTAAATGGAGCCTTCACGGTCATCAGCGCGGCCGCTCCACCAGATAAGAAACCAAGTACGTCCATCCGTGGCTCAACGCAAGGTCAACTTTGTCTGACGTCTTCAAACAGTTCTTATTGGGATTGGCATGGCCCTGTCAACCGTTGGCCAGGTCGTTGGGCCCACGATAGGTGGTGCTTTGACAGAAACGGTTTCGTGGCGTTGGTGTAGGTAACTGCAGCTCCAATTAGAAGCATTCACAGAGTTTTTAATTGAAACTGCTTTAGGCTTCTTCATCAACTTGCCTTTCTCCGGCCTCGTCCTTTTGATCCTGTCACTTCTTCCCATCCCGGAGCAAATAGAAAAGAAGCCATTCAGATCGACTTGGATGACAACGGTGAGAGAAGAACTCGACCTGGTTGGGTTTGCCCTCTTCGCTCCGGCATGTATCATGCTCCTCCTCGCCATCATCTGGGGCGGCAACAAATATTCATGGGACTCCGCCACCATCATCGGGCTATTTTGCGGTGCTGGCGCCACAGCAATCGTCTTTGCCCTCTGGGAGATAAGCCGCCGTGAAAAGGCAATGATTCCTCCAACAATCATTCGCAAACAGCTTGTGTTCTCGGGATGTATCGTCAATTTCCTGACAATGGCTGCGAACTTGACGCTTTCTTATTATCTTCCGCTTTGGTTCCAGGTAGTCAAGGGCGCGACGCCGTTGATGAGTGGGGTGATGATACTGCCCACTGCCATAGCTCAAAGCGTCGGTGCAGGGTTGGCAGGGAAGATCGGTGAGTAACATTGGGACCCTTTCAAGCGCTTCATTTCTGACAAGATGAACAGTTCAAGTCCTAAGATACTGTGCTCCCTGGGCCATGTTCGGGACCATGGTATCTTCCATCGGCTCAGGTTTGATGACGACATTTGTTCCTTCGACCAGTACAGGAGCGTGGATTGGGTACCAAATCCTTGTGGGCACTGGGCGTGCCTCGGTCTTTCAGATGGTATGACATTGCTCGGGACTTCCGTCTCTTGGATCCGTCAAAGTAGCTGATATGATCTTCACAGCCGATCACAGCAATTCAAGCGTTTTTGCCCGCCAAAGAACGAGCATTGGCCACTTCCCAAGTCTTTTTCTTCCAGTACCTGGGAGGCACGATATTTCTCGCACTCGCAGAGACCATCTTCACTACCAGCCTGCGATCATCCTTGCACGAGGATGCGCCCGGCGTCAACGCCGAGGCCATTACCGAGGCGGGTGCGGCGGCTGTAAGGTCCGTCGTGCCCAAGGCTGAGCTCGCCGGCGTCTTAGCGGCTTATAATCATGCGATAACACACACTTTTGTGAGACTGCCAGACTGGCACCCCTCATGGTTTTGTTAGCCCTGCTAATCCGATGCAGTACCTAGCACTCGCAGCCACATCTGCAGCATTCTTCGCATGTTTTGGCCTGGGCTGGAAGAAACTCCCTCTAGGAGAGCCTGCGGAAGAAGAATCTGCAGGGAACCTCAAAAAGATGGAAAGCAATACGGCAGCAGCTTAGAAGCTGGACAGCAGTGTACCATGAGTCTGATCTCCTTTGTGGCGACATGCTGTAGAAAACAGAAACCAAATTCTTCTATAATGATAACAAACGCAGTGATGAATTGTGTCTTCTGGCCATGGTCGTTGCGCGTTTTCCACCAGACGAATGTTCTCAGATTCCTCAGTGTCGCTGAGCATGAGACTGCTTAGGAAATCACACAGGGCCTTCTGATAGTATTAGCAGATTGAACCGAAGGGAAAGATATTACCATGATTATTATATCACAATCAAAGCAGCATGGTTGGCCGAAGCTGGCTGACGAGGCTGTACGAGTTCAGGGGGCGGCAGGGCCGGGTATCAATAATATGGTAATCATGGCCTCGGGGGCGCGCCAAGCTTGCGTCACGTCCAAGTTGTGGCAGCTCGGTCCGCGGCGAAAGATTCGGCCATTCCGGTTCGGTCTTTTCTGCGCTCGCCCATAATCGTATATTGAGTCGAATATTATTGCGTGTTGCAGGTAGACGACAATAAGGTCGAACCCTCAGCAACCCGCCCCGACGCCACTATCACCACCACCACCATCGACGTATTGTCGCGTTGAGGAGTATGTCGGGGTTGAATGCCACCCGTGGCTTGTTATGGCGGCCTCTAAGTCGCCATGGTCAATCCGACCTGATGATGACCTCGCAAATTGTCTGCCGTCGAGTCTTCCGCCGAAGCATCCATCCCTCATCCACTATGACCCTCTATCGGCGGCACCAGGCCGAAGTCGAGATCAAGAAAGACCAGATAAGACAGCAGATACGAGTGCTAGAGCATGGGCGGAGGCGGTTCTCTACGACGCCGACACAGAGACATGGTCATGTCACTCCGCCCAAGCCAGGAGAGGAGTATGACTGAGACCAATTGATTGTGGCATACAAGAAAATCCCAATGCTGATGGTTCACATAGGCTGCATGTCACGTTCATTGACAAGGACGGAGATCGACATACCTTCGAGGTCTCAAAGGGGGACAACCTGCTGGATATAGCGCAGGCTAATGATCTAGAGATGGAAGGTGAGTCTGCGCCTCAGCCCAGGAATGGCAGACTACAAGACTCGACATATCCCGGTCACTAGTCACCCGTGGTAGGCATCAGCTAATGTTCTCCCATCTAGGCGCCTGTGGTGGTTCATGCGCCTGCTCTACGTGCCATGTTATTGTCGAAGACGAGGAAATGTACGATAAGATCCCAGAGGCTTCTGATGATGAGAACGACATGTTGGACCTTGCTTTTGGGTTGACAGAAACATCGAGACTGGGATGCCAGGTGGAAATGACGCCTGATCTGGACGGGCTGGTTGTGAAACTACCACAGATGACACGGAATCTGCAGGCTTCAGACTTCGAGAAACGGAGCTGATCAGACGAAAGATGCACTCCGGCAGTCCTGTCCGCCAGTTTAGACATGTACTTCTATAATACGTTCTCATGCTCCTCACTCGGCGGCGACATTGATTTTTCGACGGGAAAGAGCCATAACAAGTTCAGCATTCCACTATTGAACGGCATCCGGTTTGGTTTTCTTGCCCGCAATCAGTTCCAGAAAACCTTGTTTACTCATCTCATTGACTTTCTCTTCCCGGTTGGCCATACCGACGGTTCCCTTTTTCCGCTCTTCCTTGGCTGCCTGCTCAGCCTTGACTTGTGCGGCTCGTACAGCGTTGAAGAGCTTGATGACACCACGCTGGGCGATTTTCCGTAACCTCTTTTCTTCTTCGGCAATTTCGCCTGCTTGTCCAGAATTGAGACCAAGGACATCCTTTATCCGCCCTCTTTCTAGGTCTTCCTTGCGTTCGTACCTTAATTTGGCCTTCGCTTTCTTCTCCAACCGTTCGTTGGCAAGAGATGCACTTGCTTCTGCGGCCTCTCGACTGCGGGAGAGGACAGGGTCTTTCCGTGCCGATTGCGATAGTTTGGTGGATAAGATCTTCGAAATGGATGTTGAAAAGGCTTCTGGGTCATTTCTTTTACTCGTAGGTCGTCGCTTGCCGGCGACAGTATGGCCCTTGTCGCCCTCTTCATCTGACTCCGCGTCCCTGTCCGAACCAGTCTCTGCATCATCATCTTCTTCGTCGTCTTTGTCTGACTCGACAGGCGCCCTTTGTGTCTTTGCAACCTGAATCTTTTGTTTCTTCAGTTGTGTTGAATTCGCTTGCGCCTCACGGTCGTCATCTGAGTCGGCGAGATTGACAGCGCTGAAATCCTCCTCTTGTCCATCCGAATCTTCTGATGAACTGTGGTATTCGAGCTGCTTTCTGAATCGTTTCTTTGGTCGCTCAGTTTTGCCTCGCATTCCATCTTGCACCTTGCGCTTCTTCTGCGACATCGGGGCCATCTTAGACATAACTTCTGGTTGTGACGGTTGTTGCGAGTGTACTTCAACACTCGTACTTTTGTTGCTGGAAATTGTTCTTGAATTTCTCGTCGGCAGAACTGCGGTGATATTGGCATACTAGTACTGCGGAGTATTCGCCCCACGGGAGGAAAACGAGGCGTGTGCGACACTCCCCACCAGAAGCCATCTTACAATATCACCACAACTTTATTCGTTTGCTTGAATTGTTTCAGTCTTGTTAGATTTCACACCACCCAAGAGAGGAACGCGCAACATCTTGCAACTACTCCGCACAACTCAGCAAGATGGTGCTCTCGGACCTGGGCCGGCGCATCAACGCCGCCGTGTCCAACCTCAACCGGGAACCCAACCTCGACGAGAAAGCCTTCGATGCCATGATCAAGGAGATATGCTCGGCCCTTCTCTCCGCAGACGTGAACGTTCGGCTGGTGAGGAACCTACGGAAATCAATACAAAGCACAGTCAACTTCAAGGAATTACCACCGCACACGAGTAACAACAGCAAGAAGCGACTGATTCAGCAGGCCGTGTTTGATCATCTCGTCCAACTTGTTGACCCTCATGCCGAACCATACAAACCGAAGAAGGGCAGGCCAAATGTCATCATGTTTGTCGGCCTTCAGGGCGCTGGAAAAACAACGTCGTGTACAAAACTGGCTAGATACTATGCGCAGCGAGGATTCAAAGCATGCTTAGTCTGCGCAGATACATTCCGGGCTGGTGCATATGATCAGTTGAAGCAGAATGCCACGAAGGCGAAGATACCATACTACGGGTCGTTGACGCAGACGGACCCGGCGGTTGTTGCAGCGGAGGGTGTGGCTCGGTTCAAGAAAGAGAAGTTTGAGATCATTATCGTCGATACCTCTGGTCGACACAAGCAGGAAGAAGACTTGTTCGCCGAGATGGTGCAAGTCCAAAAGGCTATTAAGCCGGATCAGACCATCATGGTACTCGACGGCACAATCGGCCAAGCAGCAGAAGCGCAGTCGTCCGCATTCAAGCAAGCAGCAGATTTCGGTGCCATTATCATTACGAAGACCGACGGTGGGGCCGCAGGAGGCGGTGCGATATCAGCAGTTGCGGCTACGCATACCCCGATCATTTTCCTCGGAACTGGTGAACACATGATGGACCTGGAAAGATTCGCGCCGAAACCATTCATCTCGAAACTCCTTGGCTACGGCGACATGTCTGGATTGATCGAACAAATCCAAACAATTACGAGGGAGTCCGCTGGGATGAAAGAGACACAAAAACATTTGGCCGAGGGTATCTTTACACTTCGAGATATGAAAGAACAAATCACCAATATTATGAAGATGGGCCCACTTTCGAGGGTCGCCGGGATGATTCCTGGTCTTGGAAGTATGATGCAAGGTAAGCCGCTCTTATTCCAATATTAAGCCTTGAGTGCAATTTGCCGTGATCATTTGAACAAGACCTGATATTAGCATATAGGTATGAGTGATGAAGACGGGACGGAGAAGCTGAAACGAATGGTCTACATCTACGACAGCATGACTGCAAAAGAGCTCGACTCGGACGGCAAGATTCTGATCTCCCAGCCTACGAGGATGGTGCGAATAGCTTGCGGCTCCGGAACCAGCGTACGAGATGTGGAAGAACTCCTCACGCAACACAAAGTTATGGCTTCTTTGGCCAAGAATATGGGCGCCCAGAAGAAGAACATGCAGAGAGCACAGTCCATGATGCAAGGTGGCAACAAAGCCCAGCAGATGGCCGCCATGCAAAAGAGAATGGCGAGCATGGGTCAAGGGCGAGGAGGATTTCCTGGTGGAGGAGATATGGGCAAGATGATGCAGCTTCTCCAAGGAATGGGTGGTGGTGGTGGTGCCGGAGGTGGTGGTGGCATGGGCGGCATGGATCTGAATGCCATGATGCAACAATTTGGTATGGGTGGGGGTCGAGGTCGTGGAAGATGAAAGAATTCTCAGCTTTCCTGACCTCTACATTGACAGTCGCTGTCATACACCCTGTGACCTGAGTCCTGGCAATGCCCAGGGGCAGCGCTACGGTGCGCCGACAATATCTTCTTGAAATCGATCACCACTGTCGGCTCAGGGAATCTCTCCAATGCTGCATGCCTGGAAGCACTCCACTGCTGTCTGAACGGAGCTATGAACCGATGGCCCTCATATTGACAGAGAGCGTTCATCCAGCCGAGGATTATTGGGGGAAGATCCGCCCAGCAAGCCGCGAGGTGATTCATCTGGTCTAGCAGAGAAATTGATCATGTGAACGACTCATGGAATGTGCGGTCTCGATCCGCACTGAGGAGGACGCAACGGCCCTGGGGCAGTCAAGATGACCACAATGGAGGTTCCCCGTGACTCGAACCCCTGGAGCCTTGACTTGCTCCTGAGGGCGATAGAGCGGGTTGGTTTGATAGTGGACCTCGGAAACACCATACGGCAGTGACTACATGAGAACATGAACACCAGATGAAGCCTGGTAATGTCCAATGCTATAATAATGCACGAGTTCATGCAGACTCAACATCCTTAGGTATTACAGCCTTGTGTATTCAGCCTTGTACTGTGATAGAGCGTGGTTGCACGTGACTTGCCCTGATAACGACGTCTCCGCCAATCGGAGCCAGGCGATGCATCTCTGCCGGACTTTGTCAACAATTTCTCGCCGCAACTGCAACTTGCAACTTCAGCGCATCCTCCCTCATTGACGACGAGCACCTCTCCGGCCGCAGCCTGGTCTCCAGTTTTTGTAAATCCTCAAGTCCTTTGGGTTTCTCGCCATCGTAATCCCGGACACGATGTCGTTCCCAGGAGGATTCAGTGCGGGGGTGAACAGCGCCCAGGGTACAGCAGGCATGAGTGAACAAGAGCAGCAGATGGTGAAGATGGTATGAGCGCCAGATCCTCCCCCTTTCCCCGAAGACGACCGAAACTATCAAGAGCACTGTACGAGTGGCAAGAAAGGAGAAAGGACTATGGCATATCCCGCGTCAGAACATGCTGGCTAACACGTTGGTTTGGTGAACACAGATGCAAAAAGGCATGGAATCATGCGTTACCAAATCCATAATGGCGGGAGGAATGGGCTTCGTCCTTGGCGGAGCCTTCGGTCTATTCATGTCGAGTGTATGTCTCTCTCTCCTCGAATCCAATCCAACCCAAACCATCTCGTTCGTTCCCTTCACGGGCTTTGTTTCCTTATAGGCTGCGAATTTGTCAGCGGAGCAGGAGTAGCAGCAGCAGCAGAAGCAGCTTCAAAACTTACTAGCGAACTCCAATCACCCCAAGAAACCTCGAGACCACTAGACTAACACCATGACTTGTTATTGATCTGCAGATGGCCTACGACACCCCTCTCTCGCAGCAAGGACAACAGATCACCTCCCTTCCCGTGCGCGAACAATTGCGCCGCGGCCTCAAAGACATGGGCACGAAGTCATACTCGTCGGCGAAGAACTTTGCCATGATCGGCGCCATCTACAGCGGTACCGAGTGCGCGATTGAAGGGTTCCGCGCGAAATCAGATCTCACCAATTCCGTGCTCGCAGGATGCATTACGGGTGGTGGGCTCGCTTACAAAGCCGGTCCGCAGGCTGCGGTGCTGGGATGTGCTGGGTTCGCGGCCTTTTCGACTGCGATCGATGCCTATATGAGGATGCCGGAGAGTGATTGATTGCAAAGAAAGAATAAGCATTCAGCAAAACAGGGGAATGCGAACGAAGAGCTTGAAAGTCGCAATAATGAACAGTGTGACAGCGACAACATGGTCCAGGTACTTTCATGATCTACTACGACGCTGTATGACGGCCGGGACGCCTACTACTACATGGTTCGGTGTCGATGTCGATGGCGACCACTCCTACCGGTACTACACTATAGCGAATCTGCATGGGTTACGGCAAAAGTTGTCAACATAGGACGGCCTTGTGCATACCACGGACGAAGGGATGTCGACAACACCGAACAGAAAGAAGGACCGAATAATCATGGGAGTTACAATCAATGCATCTACAGGTGCCGGGGCCAGGGCCAGATCTAGCCCCATTAGCATGGCGAGGCGTTCAGGGTACTGGAGGAGACTGTTCACGGGGATTTTATTTCCTACTGCATCAATTGGTACCGGGCGTTTATATACAATGCTGCATTCTCCACACTTTACACACCATCAAACAAACATACCACAATTCACCAAAGACGATCTCTCTGAAGACTCTCACCTTCGAAAAGGGCAAAGCAAGCAAGACCAGGACATAATTGTTCCTTGGAAGTCCACTCAGCCTCTTCAAGCCTGCAGCGGTATACTCTGGCACCAACTCGAAAGACGGGTTAATGGAGACACGACTGTTCAATATATGAGTAAAAGTAAGGTTGTCCCAGCCTACATGACAAGCTGCAGTGAGTCGTGTGAGAAATATTATATAATATATATATATATATATATTATACCACTTTACATCTAGCATTCGAGTAATATGGAGGGTTCTGAATCGTGCTTTCGCACTCTATGATCAAGGATTGACTGTATGAATAGGTTCGAATCTGAAACCGAATCTGCAGGTCATCATCGCCGTAGCATGCGGCTTGCAGCTCCACCTCCCCGCGGCTCGCGCACTACCTTTGACAACCACTCCCTTGGTCTACCGGACAGGTGCCAGAGCCTTGGCCCCTCAATCTGACGACAAAGAAAAGACCCATGGACAATCTACTCTCCTCCTTCAGATTCGCGCCTGTCAAAAGCCAGCCCGAGACCAGATGCGGCAGGTGGTGATATCACAGTGGTCGGCGTGCCCAAAACAAACCAAAAAATAGGCGTCGAGTATACCGCCGTCTTCCAGACAGTGGTGGGGTGGTTGGATCAATGTCGTTGTCAATCCTCGACCATAAGCCCCAAAAGGCCGAATGGCCAAAACTTCGACATCGACGTCAAGGTTGGCAGTCCGGTGTCCAGAGGTTCAGGAGCAATTGATGCGCCGGAGCACCTGAACTTATATGCCATTCTACTGCACCTGGCTGACGATCTCGCTGGCTTTGCTCAGAGACTCCACCATTTGTAGACATTCTTTTCGCCGTCTGACGGTGTAGTCACTCTCCTTGAGCAGCTCATCGAGTTCTTGTGTTCTGTACATCTGTTCAAGTAATTCTCGCTGCATCTCTTCTTTCGTGTGCCTGGTGCGATGTTAGTTTTGTCATGCACATACGATACAACAGGAAACCAAACTCACTGTACTAAGTTTAGCATGATGGCTTTTGGGACCATGTCGATCATCGTTCTCCGGACAATGTTGAAGTAGCTGTTGATCAGTAGTTTGATCACCTCCACTTCTTGATTCTCGCGTTCCGAAAGTGTGCCGCTGGCTTTGAGGGTGGCAGGCGGCGGTTCCATGGCTGCCATCTTCTTCTTGTTCTTACTAGCAAAGAAGGAGCCGAAGAAGCCGGAGTTCTGGTCAGTACCATCGACAGGAAGACCTGGCGAGCCTGCTCTAGGTGGCACGGAAGGCGGAAGAGGCTTGCCAGTCTTAGGATCCACTTGAGTTGGTTTGCTGGCGTTATGCCTGTCATTCACGATGGCCATTGCACGGTGGCCATTGAGGAAATCCGGATGGCCCGTGTTGATATAGCAAGCTTCCATCGCCACCAGATCTTTGACCAATTTGTTTGTTGGGTCTATTGATTTGCGAAAGAAAGATATAACAACGCTGTGAAATCTCTCCTTCAGCTGAGGATATCTGCGGAAAATCTGCTTCTGGAGCAGCTGAGTGAGGATCCGAACAAGCTCGTCATAAACCAGAGAGACACATTTCAAAGATGGGTCCTCCAGTCGCCGGATTTGCTGCTTCACGATGAGCTCGAAAGCCGTAGTGCCAACAAAGAGGGCCGGCTGAGAGCCGGAGGAGTTGTAAAGGATGGTACGAATGTCGATGTCTTTGACTTGATCGAAGGGGTCGATGGCCTTGATACCATTTGAATAGAGTTCATGATACACGAACGAGATTCTGGCACCGCCAGAGAGCTCATTGCTCGACAATTCCGAACTATTTCCGTCCAGAACAGTTCTGTATTCATTCGCAAACTCGGTGATGATGTTGAGGACGATGTTTGAGCTGTTGTTGCCGACGAAGTCGCCAGCACCTAGCTGCTCCAACTCTTGCGAGTACTTCTGCAGGGAAGAGGCAATTCGGGTCTTGATATCCGGCAACGTTTGTTTGATGTGCATCATCAAAATCAGGTTGAGCTTCCGAGCCAGGTAGGGCGTTCCACAGTAGGCGGCCTTGTTTCGGTACGAGGGATGGTTCTCGAAGAACTCCTTCTCTGCCTTCAAAGCCAAGTCTATCCGCTTCTTGTTTTCAATGTCGCGCTGGCCTCGATTGACCACGGGCACGTAGCCTAATCTGAGTGGGATGACTCGCCCCGCGAGGATGTCGACAACGTCAGTCCCGGCGTCCATCAAATCAATCTTGGTCAGAACGCCGATGGTTCTCTGACCTTCCGGGTCCACCTCACGAGCCAATTTCAAGCCGTCCGAATTGGCCAAATCCTGGTTGGCAGCTGTGACGGCCAGAATGATGGCGTTTGGTTTGGAGATGTATTTGATCACCATTTCTCGAATCTGCCGCTCGATGTCGCGCGGTTGATCTCCGACGGGGACTTTGGTCAGACCGGGCAAGTCGACCAGGGTCAGAGTGAGAACATTGGGAGAATATATACGCAGATTGATGGGTGCTGGCGAGATTCCCACGTTTCGACCGGCCTTGGCTTCTGTTTCCTTGACAATTTCATCGCGGATCTTATTAAAATCATGAAACTTCTGCCCAGGCAGATGCAGGAATTCTCCCCATTCGTCGACGTTTGCCTGGCTATCGCTCATCTCCTTCATTTCCTTCTCGCTGACTCCATTTGACTGTAGCTTTGCGGGGGATGGTCTGTTTATGAGTTGAAGGACAAGGGGACGTCGAGTGACGATACCGGAGCCTCGAGGTAGACTGGGGCAGGGGTTAGTCGCGCCGACAGATAGGAGCCCTCGGAAGGTTCGGCGGACTTACAAGTCTCTGCCGACGATGTTTTCGAGAACTGAACTTTTCCCGCTCGATTGGGATCCCACCACGACAATCTGGGGCAAGTCTATGGGGTTTTGGACCTAGATGGGAGGCGGTCAGACTGATGCACGAAGGGGAGGAACATTGATTGTAGCTGGGACCAAGGCGACACTTACCCCGACGGTTGTAAAGACATCTTGTAGCTTGTTGACGAGAGCGATGAGCGTAGGGTCGTTCACGTTGACTCTGTACAACGGGTCAGCTCAGGAGCACTTTGTTGACAGGCCGCAGGCACTCACGAATGGCCCGCCGTGGGTGCCGCCATAGTTGCGGCAAAGGATAGCGAGAAGGGATCTAAGAGTAGGTCGGAGCGAGCGGAAACAACGCTGCTTCGGGCAGATCTCTGAAGGACGAGATCGAGAGATTCGCGTGGAGTGATAAAAGGGAGATGTTGGTGTTGAGGTTGAGCAGCGGGAGTGATATGCGCAATGCTGGCCAAATCTTGGGATGATGCACTGGCACCTGCGCTTGTTGGCGAGGCGCGCGCTGTGGCGGTGGCCGCGTGGGAGTTAGAGACAGAAGCGGCACTAGTGAGACTAGCGCTGCTCTTAACCGCCACTCCTGCGCTATTGCGGATAGCACTAGTACTTCTAGAGAAGTCCGGTGCTTGGCGTCCGAATAGAAACGGGAAATGTGGCTTGCGTGTCTTCGGCATCGACATTGATATCGACGTCGAGTTCCTTCTCCTGTTGTACAGGCACCCTTCGATCCAAGTCTTTCAGGGCCGCAGAGAACCTAAAAGAGTTAGCTAGAGGCAATTCGGGTTGGTTCTATCATAAGTCATCGCATGTGGCGAACAAAGGCTCATCAGGCAACACTCATACCTCGAAATCCGTGGGTCACATTGGCGTGTTCTGCTGTTCAGTGCCAGGCAGAAGCGAATATAGACGGCAAAGAGTTGGTACAGAGAAGAGGCTTCGTAGTGGGGATACTCTTGAGCATCACAAGGCTTCTCGTTCCCTGGGGCAGAGGCACATGAGTTGAGCCAAAAGGAATTCCGTAGATGCCTCGTGATGTGCACCACCGACTCATTCACATCATCAACAAGACCACTCCCACTGCCCGTTTCTACGTACGCTGCAGATGGTGCAGGCGAGTTGTTCAATACAGCTCAAAATGGATAGATCGATTGGTTGAGTACGGACGAATAGTCATTTGACAGTGGAAGTGAATCTATTCCCAGCAGCTCAGCATTTGCTGTTGCTTCATCTTCTCCCACGCGCCTTCCCTCGCAATGCGGGTCAATGAATTCCCTTAGATAGTCAGATGATGATAGTTTCGATGTACCACTGTAGGATATCCTCCTCCGTCGAGATGCAGGCGGGAGACTCGGAAACAGGAAGAACTCCTCCAATGCAATAATATACCCAATCGTCTATGCCCACGCAGTTCGTAGTCGCCATCAGTTATATGCCTCTGACCCGCCAACTCCAATTTCAGATATCTCATAGCGTTGATCTCATGGCACTTGTTCGGCCTGGATTGGTCCTGCTCAGCGTGTTCTGGGGGCTATTGATGGGGGACAATGTATTCGTCCATCTGCTCAAGATCAGTCCGTGTAGTCTCAATATGTCTCCCCGGGCAGGCTTCTTACATTCGCACTTTGCGGTCGTCGCCGCCGGACGCAAACATCCCAGCATCCTTGGGATTCCAGTCCACTGTGGTAACACATTCTTTGCCGCCTTGACCGGGACCGTGACCGGACAACGTTTCAACCAAGGTCTCATTCTCTTTGTGCCACACGTATATCTTCCCATCTAGAAAGTAATTAGTTCAGGTCGACACAGGAAGCGGTTTCACGAACCTTCCGAACCGCTAACGACAAAGTTTTCAGCAGCACCACCGAAGCAGCTACGAATCACAAATTCGCCTTGCTTCTGCCCCCGGAACTTCCGCACCGTCTCTCGAGTAGCGAGATCGATCATGTGAACCTCCCCAATCGCCAAGTTAACCAGAACCGTGCTACCATCGCGACTCAGAGAAATACTTGTCATCTTACCGGAGGTCTTGATAGGCGGCTCTTCCCGGTAGGTATGCATGTCAAAAACACGAATGATGTTCTGAGGGTCCAGAGCTACCAGCCAGTGGCCGTCGTCGGTGATAGCAACATCTTGCACACGGAATCCGCGCGGCCAGACATGGACGGGCCGCTCTGGCTCCGAGGAAAGTAGATTCCAGTGGCATAATTGGGAATTTCGATCATGGCTTGCCGTCACAACACTCATCGAGTCTGGACCCCAGGCGGCGGCAGTAATACCATAGTTTGAATCCACCGTTTGATGCTCTAATGTCACGTGTAACCTTCCGGTTTCAACATCAAACACTCGAGCCTTGCAATCCTGTGAACAAGTGATGATCTTGGTATCATCAGGACTCCACGCCACGTATGTCACCTCTGCATTGTGTTGCTTGAGGATATGCAAGCATTTGAAGGTAACCGTGTCATAAATGTTGACGGTCCGATCTTGACTTGCCGTGGCCAACATTGATCCGTCGTGGGAGAACTGGACATGCCAAACTTCGCCGGTATGGTCTTCCAGCTGGAAAGAAGTCCTGGAGGGGAAGTCATCCCGATCACAGAGGTGATCTGAGTATAGCGATGGAGGGATGGAAGTGTTATGGTACAGACACTGATTGATCTGATTCTGTTTGACTTGGTCGAACAATTCGGCTAATCTGTGGTCTCGGATCATGACAGAGGGCGCAATGGACCGAGACAGATCTTGTAGAAGCATCTTGCGTGATTCTTCCACGGTACCCGGCCAATGGGCCTTAGTCCTGAGATCCTCTGGAGGACACATAAGTAATGTTGAAAGGGCATGTAGCTGGTGTATATCTTGTCCCAGTGGAGTGAGCTCTTGTCTTAACACCGTAAGCGCCACACCGAGTTCTCGTTGTTCGAGGAGTTCGAGGAACTTTTGCTGTCTGATCCAGAATAGCATTTCGCCCCTGTCCGCGCCCTCGGCCAGTACAAGACCTTCGCCGTATTGATCGTCATCCTCGTGCAAACCTGGTGCTTGTTCGAGCCGATGCGACCCGAGTAGAATTGCTTCTGCCTCCGACCAGTTACCGTCGAGGATTGCGCTTCGAAACGCAGCCACGGAAGGACTCTCCAATTCATAACCACTCTCCGTGCTCAGAACGCTGGCTGCATCTGAATAACCCATGTCCAGGAGCCCTTGAATGAGAATCCTGACCACCTCTTCTCTGTCGTGCCCACGGTATGTGGCCGATTGGATGGCCGATATACGTTTTATCGGACCATTCTTGACGGTAGGACTCGATCCATTGAGGGTCGAGGTATTGCCATTGAGGGCTGTGTGTAAGGATTTCCGAGGAGTGGAACGGTTCGAACTTGTTGTATGACCATTGGAAAATACTTGCCCCGCGTCTTCATCGCCTTTCATATTGTGATTGTCAATTCGCCTGCGCTTGAACCTGCCGTTTCCTCCTCGTGAAGGAGCTTGATCTGAAACCCCTGCCGCACTTGGCGAGTTGTCTTCTGGACGAGGCTCGCGATAGTCGCCGCCGAGTTCAGAGGAAGGGGACCGCCTTCTTCTACGTCTTCCTCTTCTTTCTGACGCTTGTACCTGCTCTATAGGTAAAGAACTTGTGGTGGGATGATCTGGAAGGGTCGGAGGTACGTCCGGAGTATGGCTAACCGTGGAGTTGTCGATAGATTGACTGTGGTTTGGGGAAGAGGATTCTGGGGAAGAAGGATGGAAGAGGTGTCTCGGAGCGGATGGGCCGTCGGTAGTGATTAGGTTGTTGTTCGTGGAAGGGTGGTGTGCCAGCTCGTTGTGGCGGCAGAGCCGCCAGTATCAACTTCAAGACTGCCTCCGGGAGGATCTGATCAACCGCCAACTGATTTCTCAGAGGAGCAAGGTCGTGGGCAAGGAGTCGACGCGCCTATCTGGACGGGTAACAAACAAAAGCGGATGCATCCAGTGTGACCATCAAAGGCTGTTTCAGTCAAGTGTGAAGCAGCGAGGACAGCGTCCTGCGGTGGAGCAAGGCAGTCTGCAGGAGATCCGGACTTCCTGACGGGATGGGGTCAGGATAGACGGTATAATGGAAGTGTATATGTCCCTTCCGTGCCGAGACTTTGCAATAACGTAGAGGAGTGCTCAAGGGATATGTTGATCGTGAGGCTGGTGAGAGGGAATGGATAGAAGCGACGGCGGTGGTGGTGGTGGTGGTGGTGGTAGGAGGAGTAGTACGTAGTGGTCGTGGGAGCCCGCCAGATGACTAGATACAAGACGGGGTTCGGGAGGATGATGCCACTGTCGGAGAATCAAGGTGTCTTCGGGCTCGTCAGGCCTGTGCTGGCTGCCTCCTTAACCCGCTACTGGCCTCTGCCCACTAACAACTACACATTTAGTAGGTAGCTAATCTATAGGTATCCGCCATCCTAACTTATAACACAGGCATTCCCTAACTAGATGTCCAGGAGTCTGGTGACTGGACGAATAGCACGAACACCACCCACTTACTGATACGTAGTACTGCTCTCGAGGACCTACCTGCTCCTCCTTACAGCTCACAGAGATACGATTATACATGCATCTTACCCATCTTCAACCCCTCCAATTGCCAGCAATCATCTAGAAAGCTGCAGCCTGATGCTGTAGCTCCCGTCCGAGCGCGCTGTCCGAATACTGTCATCTGTTTGCATGAAACAACAAGACAGTCGGTTTCTTGCTCCGATTCGTCTCAACCGCTCTTTCCAGTTCGTCCTTTCGTCTGATCCTCCGGCACATTGAACCCTCGAGGCTGGAATATCTAGCACTTCTTGGGGTCAGCATTGACCGCAGGTCAGCTGCCCACTGCTTGGTGAACGGTAGGTTCGGCTCTATAGCTTTTTCAAGCGCTGTTCCCAGGAGTGAGGACGTGCCGTGGCCAAGCAATATATGGTTTGAAGTCCATAAGATTGTGCTCTGTATGTAGGTATCTACGCATTCAGATCGTTATACCTGGCCACTCCCAGCATGGTAATGGCCATAGAGGAGGTATGCAGTGATCATAAACGGTCAATGGAATCGACTGTAGCCGTACTCGGCATACTCTGTACATGTAGTAGTTTGGAAGTCGGAGAACTGCCAATGATACCAAAATGTTTGACCCAAGGGTTAGTACTACGTAGTAACTTGTCTCCAGGCGCAGGCGCAGGCAGGCGCAGGTGGAGGGGAAGCTTGAAGGGCAGCGCAGCGCAGGTGCCATCCCAAACCCACCTGCCTGCCAGCAACCCGTCGATAAACCTAACCCGTATCTCGACTTAATGATGATTTCATATGCTTGGGTTTGGTCGTCCTCGTCTTCAACACAAAAAGTCCATTGTTGAATTCATCACCGGCAAAAGCATCGACGATCTCTCCGACCTTAAATACCTTCATCAACAGCTCAAGCTTCCCGATTTCTCTGAGGAGGAACTAGAGATCGAGCTCTCTGGTTCCAGCTTCGGTGATACCTCCATCTTTGCCTTTCCGCAACCCCTGCAGACTCTACACACGACTGCTCACACATACAGAAGGATGCCTGCCGCGAAGGAGAGTGGCATTGGCCATGACCAGCAGAATGGAGTCATCTTTTCCGTCTCTGGTCCCGTCGTGGTCGCAGAGAACATGATCGGTGTAGCTATGTACGAGCTATGCAAAGTCGGTTACGACGAGCTGGTAGGAGAAGTTATTCGGATTGAGGCAGACAAAGCAACCATTCAAGTCTACGAAGAGACCGGTATGTGATGACCTCCGGTTGCTTGTTCTCGCACACAGTGCTGACTCACTCCTTCCAGCCGGTGTCACCGTCGGAGACCCTGTCCTTCGAACTGGCAAACCTCTATCCGTGGAACTTGGCCCAGGACTGATGGAGACGATTTACGACGGCATTCAACGACCCTTGAAGACCATCGCTGGAACCACAAACAGCATCTACATCCCGCGCGGTATCGCTATCCCCGCCCTGGACCGAGAGAAGAAATGGCCTTTTACACCAACCATGAAAGTCGGCGACCACATTAGTGGTGGAGATGTCTGGGGGAAGGTCGTCGAAAACAGTCTGCTGAACGAACATCGAGTTCTCATGCCCCCAAGAGCTCGAGGAACCATCAAGAAGATCGCTCCCAAGGGAGACTACACAGTTGCTGAGCCATTACTCACGGTCGAATTCAACGGCGAAACGAAGGAATACCCGATGATGCAATCATGGCCCGTCCGAGTTCCTCGACCTGTCAACGAACGCCTTCAAGCAGATTCTCCCTTCATCGTCGGTCAACGAGTGCTCGATGCTCTCTTCCCATCTGTTCAGGGAGGGACTGTCTGTATTCCAGGAGCCTTTGGTTGTGGCAAGACTGTCATTTCCCAGTCAGTCTCGAAGTTTTCCAACAGCGACATCATTGTCTATGTCGGGTAAGTCGCCAGTCCTCCTATGGCATTCTCCCCAATCCCATCACAACCTTGCTCTCTGTTCCTATGGCCTTCTTCCCAATCTCATCACAACCCTCCTCTCTATTCCTAGGCACTCTCTCCAATCCCATCACAGCTCTTACAGTGTTTCTCGTGGTGCGATTTCCAATCCCATCACCCTGCTAGTGTGTTCCTGCGGTGCACTTTCCAATCCCATCACCCTGCTAGCGTGTTTACCGCGGTGCGCTTTCCAATCCTATCACAGCCCCTCCGTCTTTCTCATGGCACCCTTTTTGATCTCTTCTTCTCACCTCACCACTTCTTGAGCGGCCGCCACCCTCTACTGATCCCTCATGTCTCGAACTGTGCTAATTTCTTCGGCCAGCTGCGGAGAACGGGGGAACGAGATGGCTGAGGTCTTGATGGACTTTCCAGAACTCTCCATCACCGTGGAGGGCCGAAAGGAACCCATCATGAAGCGGACATGTTTAATCGCCAACACCTCGAATATGCCAGTGGCAGCTCGAGAAGCTTCCATCTACACTGGAATCACAGTGGCCGAATACTTCCGGGACCAGGGCAAGGCTGTCGCCATGATGGCTGACTCTTCGTCTCGGTGGGCCGAAGCTCTGCGAGAGATTTCTGGTCGTCTCGGTGAAATGCCAGCGGACCAGGGGTTTCCCGCCTACTTGTCAGCCAAGCTTGCTTCCTTCTACGAGCGAGCAGGAGCCGCTACTACGTTGGGATCTCCAGAGCGCCAGGGCAGTATCTCCATCGTTGGAGCCGTTTCTCCTCCTGGTGGAGATTTTTCCGATCCTGTCACCTCGGCCACCTTGGGTATCGTGCAGGTCTTTTGGGGCTTAGATAAGAAACTGGCACAACGCAAGCACTTTCCTAGCATCAACACCTCACTGTCCTACAGCAAATACACCAACATCCTGGACAAATTCTATGCCAAGGATCATCCCGAGTTCCCCAAACTACGCAATCGCATCAAGGAGCTTCTGACTAACTCGGAGGATCTCGATCAAGTCGTGCAACTTGTCGGGAAATCAGCACTGGGCGATTCCGACAAAATTGTACTTGATGTCGCTGCCATGCTGAAGGATGACTTCCTGCAACAGAACGGCTACAGTGACTACGATCAGTTCTGCCCTCTCTGGAAGACGGAATACATGATGAAGGCATTCATGCAATTCCATGACGAGGCTCAGAAGGCGGTTACTACTGGATTGAGCTGGAACAAGGTACGAGAGGCTACCAGTGATATTCAGCATGGCTTGCGCAGCATGAAATTCGAACTGCCCGACAACCAGGAGGAAGTCTCGGCCAAGTACGACAAGCTGTTGCAGAGCATGTCGGAGAAATTTGCGAGCGTTAGCGATGAATAGACATGGTCAACCCATGTCGGGGTGGTCGAGGATGGAGCAGGGCGCGAGGGGCATCAAACATGATTCGCCGTGAATACACGGCAGGTTCGATCAAGGGCGCAATAATCTATGTATCAGGTCGACCTGGTAGTGTCAATCAGCATTAGGATTGAAGATAGCTTGTCTGTGGATTGCTTGCAGCTGGCTCAAACACAGCTCCCTATGAGCTCCCCAAGAGGCATTCCCTACACAGAATACTACCACAGAAGACGTCTAGACCAGACCGACTCCTGTCAGTTCATGTGATTTCATGCTGCTTCGAGTATTTTCGATATTCAGCTTCTACTCCCCATCCTCCATCTTCTTTCCTTCATCTGTCATGCTTCAGGACGTACAGACAGGTAGAGCTGTCGACTTTCCCTAATCTGGGGGCTCATCCAGAAGTCCTACCAGAAAAACTGGATCTCCTTTCCCTGTGGCCATGTCGTCCAGGGATCTCTAGAGGACCCGTCACTGATCTCAGCTTTTCGCCATATCCTCGACTCGTAGGAGAACAACCAGTTTCCCTCCACCGATGACCACGTGGCCTGTCGTTCTCCAAAAAGAGAGGTGCCGTCCTGGTACAGTGGAGGCCAGTGCTTGTGGAGTCGAATGTGCTCAAATAAGGCAAGTTGAGGTGAGGCCGATGAGGCATTGCAATAACCCAGTCTTTGCCTGGCCTTTGCTGATGAAAGTCATGAGATCCACGCTGTTTGAGTGGCCACCAGTTGTCGTGCGATTGCAGTGAGGTAGCCGCTTGCCTTTCCGTTCCTTTGTTTTGCTTTTAGGCCAGGTTCTTCCCGTATGCCAGCTGGCCAGAGAGTGAAAACTTTCTTTTCAGGTTCGTGGTGAACCTTCCCACGATAGCTGGGCAAGCCGACGGGAACCTCGATGAGGATAAGCAGGTCGAGACTCAGACTGCTCGAAGTGCTGTAAGGGCACTATCGGGCGGTCGGATGTCCACCTGACCCCAAATCTATAATGCCAGGAGAAGAGGTCCCGAAACCGAGATTGTTTATTCGTCTCTCCCTCTTCCTCTTCCTCTTTCCTTTTTCTCTCACTCCTGCTCCCATTCAAACCCCCTTCCTTGAACACACCACTCATGAATCTTGCCAGCGCTAGCGAGCAAAACACTCTTCGGCCCATCCCTGACACGCACAACCTTCGCACACGTAACAGGTTCCCGAAAAGCATGACTGTTCAGCGGACTGTCCAGCATCTGTCCCGACTGCGCCGACCACACCCCGACGCGATGGTTGTGATAATTGTCCGTAGACGCACTGACCACGAGATCCAGCTCCGGATCATACGCGAAACCCAGCCCATACCGGTTCTGACGTCGTGTGGGGTCCACGTTGAAGGTCACAACGGGCGTACTGGGCGTATAGACGCGGTGGTATCTGTGATGACGCTCGCGAGGGAGTCGGGTTCGATTCAGCGCCGGTGCGGCCGCGAAGCGGAGATCGTAGATCTTCATGTCTGTCAGTCCGTTGACGAGGATGCGGTTGCCGTCGGGGAGGGCTGCGATGCCGCTAATCGCGCTGGAATGTTGGATGCGCAGTGCCGCCGTTGCAGATTCCGAGTTTAAACTGGACTGTGGATTTGACGCTGTCGCTGTTGCGACCGACCGCGTGTCACAAAACATCAACCTTCCTGACCGCGAGCCGCTCATCAAGACGTTTTCGTCCTTGAAGCCCACTTTCATCTGCTCGCCGCGGATGGCGGTCGAGACGACTTCCTGGCCGTACTCGAGATCCGTCATCACTGACACGCCGTTACTCGTGGCGATCGCTAGGCTCGTGCGGGACGGCGACGTCGCCAGATCGAGGACGCGCGCTTGGAACCGAAACCTGACCATTAAGTCTAGCCCGATTGCGCGGCCAGGCGCCGAACAGTGTGAGAGAGTCAGGTCGGATTGGTAGGGCATACCCATGCCCATGCCCATGGCTTCTTGTCCACCGCCGCCGTGCTGAGTCTCGTGGCTCCAGCATACGAGTCCCGGACCGGCCCAGAGCATGCAATCGACTTTAGGCGCGCTCTGTAAGATACGTTTGTGGTGCGGTGAGTACAGATATCCCCCGACATCTGATGGTGATGGTGATGGTGATGATGATGGCCAATTGCCGTCGTGGTCAAGGTTGTCGGGTGCTGTACCTTGAGAAAAAGAGTAGTCCTCGACAACATCCGACGACTTCTTGCCCCGGTCGAATGCGAGAAGCAGAGATAATGCTCGCGATCCGCGGGCTTTGTACGAGAGAGCTGTGAGTAAAGAGCCATCTGTCTCTTCTATGGCGAATTGATCTGAAAGTCCCGCCGGCTTGTATTCGTCCCCGAGGATCTGCGGCATGGACATAGGCCCGCTGAATGCATCGGCCCCGGAAAGACTGGCGGCGTAGTATTCCCTGATATAGGCCTGCGCGCTCGTGCGCAGATTTCCCAGACGTCTGTCGAATGATAGGAGCGGGTTCTGCAACGCCTTCGCCCGGGCCACGGTGGATGCATGTTTGGAGAGTCTTGACGATTCTTGGTGCCGCTGCGTCGACTCTATCGCTTTTTCTGCGTTGACGGCCTGCCGGCTGTAGTTCGATCCCGCCGGGGCGACGTGGTTGGCTTGGATCTTGTAGTATCGATTGGTGACGGCGTCGAAACGATAGCCTGGTAGTTCGGCGGGCATGGCCGGAGTCGTGACAGTGAGGCTGTGGGAATACGCTCACAGTAGGGGGTGAAGACGGATCTTAGGCACAAATCTGTTCTGTCGCTGGGGTGCACACAAGGCCGATCTACCATATCAGACCATCAGACCCTCGGAACATGGGTTGGTTGCTGTCCTGATGTCTCTGGCGGGAAGCATTCAATGCCAGGGACATGGTGCGAGGGACTTGGACGCAGAGAGAACACAGCCCGGCGCGGTAGATGGCAAAAGTGGCCAGACAACAGGAAGGTCTAGAATCAAAGCGGGGTTGGCGGTTACGAGGCATGGAATGAATACATATCTTATGGTCATGGCAATGTTCTATCGATGAAGTCAAAGTTCGAGTCCGAGACTGAAATTCCGCCCTCGTCTTCGCCGAAAGAGGTAAAGCGCAGCCTCGTCCCTCGTCGACCAGCGATCGTAGAGAGATGCTCGCACTGCATGGCATTTCCATCCACGCTATGCATAGAATGTTACTCGGAGTCTAAAGCAGTAAGTGCATCATCTCAGCTGCTGTTTTACAGGCTTGACATTTACTGAACGATCAGACACAGTGCTCCTGAAAAGACGGTGTACCTGATACAGAACAATATACCATCTATATTCTGCGTCGAAAGAGATCTCGAAGGCAGCATTGCACATTGCCACAGAGCTGGCACCATACCGCGCTCACAATTCATTCTCCACCTCATATTCGCTGATACCCATGCCCCAGACTTTACCCATATCGACCACCCAATCTCTGCTGACATTGACTCGCCACCTCTCCTCGCCGGGATCATCCGCAGCCCCTGCCGATGTGCTGGCACCACCAAACGTTCCTCCACCCCCAGAAATCCCAGACCCAGATGCACGAACCACCAGCCGCAATTTCTCCAGTTCGCCCAGCTCTCGGTAGACACGGTCAGTCACGCCCTGTCCCGGGCGGTTGGAAATGCCATGTGGATGGACAGCGCGAAGAATGGCGACGAGGCGCTCAAGTGAGAAGGGCCTTGCGACGCTCAAACCTGCACTGACAGCCAAGATCGATTTTGTACGGGATCTGCTGGGTGATTTTGATTCAGAATTGTTTTTGGACGGCGTTCCTGTAGGGGTGGTGTTCGACTTGCGTTTCGTGGGCGTCTGTCTGAGTCTGCGGATTTTCCGGACCATCGTGGCAGAACTGGAGCTCAGACGAGAAAACAGAAGGATATCATGTTTAGGAAGAGTATGACTTGCGAGGTAGGAGGCGATTAGGATCAGGGTCGGAAAATGTTTCAGTAGAGGTGGTCTGATAGAGGTTGCTTTGGATTGTAGCTCTCGAGAGCGAACTCCGTCAAGGGATTCTGACGGTAGGAAATTTCGTCGGGATGGTGTGTTTGATGATTCTGGCCGGCCTGCTTCTTGGTTAGACTCAGAGGGTAAGGATTCCAGCGTGCCGTGTTCTGCAGATGCTCGTTGCCGAACTGAAGTAGCTAGTGTTTGATGTAGTGCCTTCTCTCCCTCGGATTGGAATAGTGCACGGTTCTGCACGAGCAACCTCGCAAAGTCCCAGGACTTGTTTCGCCCGGCGCCGGGAGGAGCCTGGCCGGACACCAGAGGCCAAATAAACCTCGGCCAGAGTTTGTGACAGGTCGAGCGGAATCTGTGTATCGAGGTGGAAGAAGTGGCTGCGATGAGCGAATCGTAAACCGTCAGGGCGAATTGGGCATAGAGCCTGGAGATGGTGTCGTCGTCGATTTTGATAGTAGAGTCCTGGGGCCTGGCAGGCAGAGGAGGTATGCCCTCGGATGTAACTATGTAAACTGATTCACGTCGGGTGTAGGGAGGAAATTGAACGTGTGGCACGCCAGTTCTGTGCAGTATCAACGGTCGAGGAGAAGTGGAAGTCATTATGATCGACAATCCAGCAATCTGAGTTTCCTGTTAGCAACGGTGCTCGACCCAGCACGCATCGATGTCTGCCACATACTTGATCCCCTAACCGTGCTAGAGCAGGGAGCAACGTGGGACCAGCCTGCTTCAGCTTGTCGATGTCTTCCAGCACCACCACTAATCTGGTTCCATCCAATTGGGAAAATAGCTTCCGGAGGTTTTCCAGTAAAGCATTGATACTGTCCACCTTGTAGAACTGTTCTGCACGTGAATCGAGCCCGAAGGCTTGGAGAGCGGCGGCGAAAATCTTGGAGATCAGATGTCTCTGAGAGAGGCATTCTCGGCTTCGAAGGACGGTATGTAGGAATCCTCTCCTTTCCAACACTCTGACTATCACATCTGTTTTACTGGTGTTCTCGAGGCCGTGGGCGACCAGGATCGCAGGGCTGGGAAACACGCCCTGTCGGAGGTCATTTGAAGGCCAGGATAGGAGACTCGGGTCGGCTCACATTGAAGTAGGTGGCAAGTTGTAAGATCTGCGGTTCTCGACAAGGACATTGGTGGGAAATCAGCTGCAACAGCTCAGGCGGAAGTGGTGCGCCCATCTTTAGTAGGAGAGATGAAAGGCATAGGCATAAATCAGTTGCAGTGTGACCACAGTTGACGTGGTGGACAGTGGTACTACCGTTAGTATTGCAGTCTGGAAGTGGAAATCAATCAACGCGTGTCCAAGTTTGGACGCGTCTTTTCAGGGACTCGTTCACGTAGCCGCCAGCTCTGCTTTATTGGCCAGCCTTGCGATCCTGGTCAGCCTCGCTCTTCTCTCTCCCTACTATATCATCTCACCTTGCCTCAGTTCGGTTTATCTAGTCGCCACCCCTGGTGTGCTTACTACTTACTACTTACTACATCATATTGTACGGCTTACTTAAAGTATGATGGACCATTAAGTGTTTTCTATGGAACATGTCTTTTCTAGCTTGGGAGTCTAGCTCTCGGTTGATGGTACAAGCTCAGTCGCCATGGATGCCAAACCTAGCCAAAACGGTGACCATTGTTGCTAAGTACATGACCAATTTTCCAGGCGACAACACTGCCTGCACGCCCCTCGAGTGGAAAATCCAACCTCGGAAGCAGCATGATTCCGTCACAGACACCGACCGATATTGCTGGTGCCAGAGAACGGATGTAAGCCGACTTCGGGAATTGTGCAGGCGAAAAAGAACCAACTAGCCATGTGTGCGATTGAAAGAAAAAAGTGCAGCAGGGGATTTGTCGCCGACCATCATTCATGCGAGAGTTCTCGGTTTTCTGAATAGCACCCAACCTGTGGTACAAATGTCGGTCGCCTGCCAGTCCGATTCTGGTCCAATCGACTCCGGAAACCATAATACATATTCGGGCCGTGAATGCGTCGGTCGTGATAATTTTCGGGGTGCTTTTGATTGAGATTGATACAGTCGTGATTGAAGGCATCGTGATGGGGAAAGCACATCTCGCTCTGGCTCTATGAATGCGTGACGAAAGGGGAAAAATGCTGGGGATTTCATCATGTCATGACTCGTAATCGTGTCGAGAGCCGCATGTCAGGGGTCGTCATCAGAGGACATTGTTGGGACCGCCAACTGCTCCGTTCATGAAGCCAGAATAGCCGGTCTGTCCAATTTCGTTTGCAAAGTTGCGCGCATTGTACATGTTGGCATTGGTATCGTGGGCGCCTGCACCTCCGGTCTGTTGTATCATTCCGTAAGTGTTGCCAGTAGAAGACATGCTCTCATTGGCCATGTCACCAGATCCGTAACCATTGGGGCTGCGCATGGTGTTGAAACCGCCGCCCACAATTTGAACATTGCGACGACTGTTCGCACGGCCTCCACTGAAGCTGGCGAGAAGACTGTCGTTGCCAATTGGGGCTGCGCGGACTGGTGCTTCGTTACCAAGAATCTTGCCGGCGATGCGTCGTCCGTGGGGAGTCTGCTTGATGAGCGGAAGGATGGGACGAATGGCATCGACCAGACGCATCTTGGTCTGTGGGTCAGCGAAGTCCATCGCAGTCTGGACAACATAATTGGCAAATGCGTCGCGAAGCATCTTTTCGAGCTCACTGCCGACAAGCATCTCCTCGATCATTCGTCGCTTAGTTTCGGGATCCGAGGTGCGCAAGCACTTCTCAATCACATTGGAGCTGAATTTCTGCTTCGACAAAGCTGGGATCCGGCCATAAAAGCTCTCGCAGAGCGGCTTGGTGAACGCAACCTCGTCCAGGTCAAGAATGTATTGAACAACATAGTTGCCGAATGGGTCCTGAACCAGGTCAAAAGCACAATGAGTGATTCTGGAAATGAGCTGGGCACGCTGGAAGCCTTGAGCATGGTCGATGCAACGTTGGAGAACACAACATCCATGACGATGAGTACCAACCACTACGCAGTACTTGCCCACCGCCTCATAGATGAACTGCGAGCGCTCAGCCCCGAGCCGAGTAAGACACTTCTGCACAACGTGGTTGCCGTTGAGGTCTTGGACAAGGTCAACCACACGGCCAGAGAGTGCTCGGATGATGGTGTCGACTTGTTCTGGAGTGCGGACGAACTCGATCATCTTCTGGAGTGCACGGGTACCATGTTGGTTGAGAGCAATGGTGGTCAGAGCAGGAGCTGCAGTATTGATCAAGGCAGTACGCTGTTCGTCGTTGCAATACTCAAAAAGCTTCTGACAGAGATAGTTGCCGAAAGGATCAGTCATCAACTCAATGATATGAGGGCAAGTCTCGATGAAGATAGACTGGATGTGGTCCTCGTTACCATCTTCAAGCTTGCGTTGGAGGTAGCGACAGCCATGCTGATCTTTGCAAAGCTCGTACAGGGCGCCGCGGTAAGTCTCAAGTGGTACATTGTTGAAGCGAGCTTCGTCGGCATGGTTGCGACGTGCGCCAGTTGCACGCACAGCAGGAGCAGTGATGCCGTTGCCAATACCGAGAATGACTTGATCCTGGCCATAACCCTGACTACCACCTCCCAAGCGGGCCTGTGGGTTCATCTGGCTGACATTGAAGGTCTGCATGTTGTAAGGATAAGCCTGCGGTGGTGGACAGGCCGTCATGCTCGAATCAGATACGGTGACAGCTGTGCTGAACGGCGCAGCGCTGGCATGCAAGTTCGACATAGATCCGTTCACCTTGTCCTCCATCTTGACAGATCCGTTGGTGAAGTCGCGGCTCTGACGGTTGCTCATTGCGCTGGCAGGGACACGGCCGAGACTGACGTTGTGGTTGTGGAATTGCTGATCAGCCTGCGCCTTGGATGGTGTAGACGCCGAGTCTAGATTGAGGGACTTTCTGACAGTAGGAACGTCGTTGGTGGAATACGATGTCTGCAGAGAGGTAGGACGAGATACAGGTAGAGCTGACGGTTGAGGTGAGTTCTCCTCGAAAGTCACTCCCATAGAATGGCGTTGCGATTTGCGACGTGATAGATCGGCTGGGCGATCGGTAGCAGGACTGTTGATATTCAGGTTGCTAAGGACTGGGCGGTACATGGAGGAATCGGTATGCGGCATGCTCTGGTGAGCAGGACGGTAGCGAGATCCGAGAGTCCAGTCGAGGTCTGGAGTCTTCGAGTTGGCAAGGTCAAGAGCGGCCGAGTTGGCTGAAAGCTGCGACGAAAGAGTCAGTCCGTTTTCGAGTGCAAAATGATTTGATATTCATACCTTGAGACCGTCACTCGTCAAAGTGGGAAACGTGTCGTCACCTTCAAGCTGCGCGAATGCTTTTGCGACCGGAGACTTCAAGTCAATGGCGTTGAGAGAAAGGTGCTTGTCGTCTTCGTCTTCGAAGAGAAAGCTGGTAGTGTTTGCCAACCCAAATGAATTGCCCGATGCCACTCCGCTCATGCTCATCCGCTGAGCTTGCCTATTACTGTTGACTGGCATAGAAAATCGATTCAAGCTGTTGACAAGTCAGTGAGGAGGTTGACAAAGAACAACGATGGGTAGGGATGAGGTGCTTTGAGATAGAAAGAGAGGCGTGCGGTGACAGAGCGTTGCTGAAGGGGCAGGTCACGTGGACCAGGGGGGAAGTGAAAGTCACGTGAGTGATATGAAAGTGAATATCCTCTCAATCACGTGCCTCAGGGGATAATGAAGGACAAAGGAAAGGAGTTGAACAGGAAGCACAGGATGAGGGATGGTAGCTTACGTAGCAGCAGCACGTGTGGTATGCATATCCTCGGAGTAGTACTCGTCTTCGTCAGATCCACGACGAGATCCAGGGACCGATTTGGCAGCAGGCTTGTCCGGTTGACCGTAAATACCGTTGCCTGATAGACGGTTTACAGGAGGGGAGGTGATCTGAGAGCTGGACTGAGAAAAGCGATTGCTCAGACCTGGAGGAGACATGATGCTGTTCATGGAAAGGCGGCTAGAGCGTGAGAAGCGATTGCTGAATCCGCTCTCTGCATACTCGGGAGGAGTAGTCGGCTCGCTAACAGGACCGTTCAGGCTGATTCGATTGAGGCGGGTAGAGATACGCTCAAGGTCATGACTGCTGGCTCCCATCTGCAAGCTTCGTTCTTGCAACTCCAGCAGGCGCAATTGCTCCTCAGCCTTGCGCTTTGCACTCTGGATGTCTTCGTAGATTTGCTTGTTCTTCACCTGTGCCGAGGGATTGTTAGACTCCATGATGGGCACAGGAGTGGTCGTGGCTATGGGGATGAAGATCGGTGGAAGAGGTGAGGTGGATGAAGTGTGAAAGAGATGGAAGGGGCTGAGATTGAAATGGTTTCATAGGGCTCGACTCCCCGAGTCACTTCACAACCCATAGTCTAGCTCGACAATAGGCTATTATTCGCAGAAACAATGGTCCGGGGTCTCAATCACATGAGACTGTCACTTACCACACTGGGAGTTATTGAAGTATACTGCTGTCCGAATGGCCGCGCTACAGGCATCTTACTTGAGTCGGTGGTGAACCGACGTTGCAGGTGAGCACGGGCATCGTTGGACGAGGTATGTATGTTCGAGAAGTAAGGATTTGGGTCTCGCGTCGAAGAGATAATGGGACTGAGCGGGCCTTCTGGCTCTGGAGATCGTAGGCTGGGGAAGCGTAACTCCTCCATGCGGCCGCTGAGGGTGTTGGAATAAGACATGGTGCCGGCCTGGGTGTTGGGCAAACTGTCAGCAGACGTTGATGAAAGCCAGATCATAGCTATTGCACGACGGGTTGTATAGCTGGGCCTGGTGTCTGCTGACCCAGGAACCCTCCCCAACTGGTGTTGCATGCAATGAGACAATGTCGTGTCTGTTCTTCTTTTGCCGGTGGCAGTGACATACCTCCAATCTCGAGAGGATGCAATGCGTATCCAACTACAATGTTCCCTTTTTTGCCCGTTGGCGTTCTCCTCCTCTAAGTCTTCGTGTACTCGGTCAGGCCGATGGGACGGTCGTCCAATATGCGCGTGGATGGGCAGCGGCCAAGAAGAACAGCCCCGGTGCTGTGTTCGTGCTGGGAGCAGCACGACGGCCGACGAATGCTCTAAGGACTGTGGTAAGAAAACAACAAAACGGCACGAAACGAAACGAAGGAAATAATGTTACAGGGAGATGTCGAGGTACAGATGTAGGAGGAGTAGGAGGAGGAGTGGTATGGAGCAGTCTGGAGAGGACTGCAGCGATGGAGGTCAGCCTGGACTTGACAGGTCGAGCAGAGCAACTCGAACACCTTCCCTACCTCGCTCTCTCCCTTGCTCTCTCTTTGGCTCTGGCGACGGCTCTGGGGGGGCTTTTCGGGCGGTTCGCTTTGAGGCAAGCGCCAGAAGCCAGCGTGGGTACCGGAATCCAGCCTAGACGAGGTTGTTTAATAAGGGTTGAGCCAGGCTGCCGCTCAGTGTGGGCGCTGTATGGCTGGGGGCGGACGGGCTTGTCCTCGCCCACTAATCAGCAGCCAAGATGGACGAAATTACTGGGCCTCCCTGGGCCCTAAGCCCCTCGCTTTGGCTTGGGCACTTGGGCTAGCAGTAATCGTCCAAGCTGACCAGGGGTTCACTCAAAGGTCGAGGGGCACTGCGAAGTTCGAACAGAAGACGTGACTGAAGGCCCAAAGGCCTGATATGGATTAGGGATTGCCGTGGTTGGCAACATTTGTATCATAACATGGCACACCACTGCATGATAATGTCCACAGATTGTGTTCGTTGTTTAACACAACTAACGGACTTCATATAGGCCTGGGCAGACCAATGCAGAGCACAGCACAACGTACGTAGGCTGTGGATGGAGACATATAGAGAGTAAAGATACATGAGGTGCTCTCCTCTTCAGCTGGCTGCACAAATGAGCGATACCTGGAAGCACCCGCATTGTGAGGCTGGTCAATTAGTACGTAGTTGACACCACACCACCCCTGAATTATACTAACCACAAGTCCCTTTAGCCAGTAGTTGTGGTTGGAGATTGCGAGTGGATGGGTTTTGCGCAATTCTTGGTGGGCTCTCGGTGATAATGGTGACGGACCAGTTCTTGCCCCCTTCAACAGCAGGCCCACGGAGAGAGGAAAGGCGAACTGCAATAACGCAATGTCTCATGGGCGACTTGAAGGCTTTCGATATGTTCGGTGCCACTCGCCTGCGCCTGTAAGGTCGCGGCTCATATCTCGATGGCAAAATACAACATGAGTTGGGCCAGCAGACGAAGATCCCTTACTGCGCGCATCGCGACATCACTCGATCCGTTTCGATGGGTTCGCATTCGACCCCTCTAGCCGTGGCCTGGTCGGACGAATGCCTCTTCAATCTCGCAGGATGTGGGGAAAAGCCATGCCGGGTATCGGTGGGCTCCCCCAATCCCACAAGAAGCCACACGCGCAGGCAAAAGGCGGTCAAGATAGACGGAATAAGGGGTCCGCTCTTGGGCACAAGGACTGTGGTTCCTTTCGAATAGCTTGTCAAGCCTCAGTAAAGTATTTCCTGCCGTGGCAATCACGACCGTAAGGGTTGCAGTCTTTTGACATTCGGCCACGATAAAGATGATGCCCGGGCGGTCTGCTTTTCGATCTGCATGGCGCCATCCAATACAGATCCCTGAATCCCAGACCCCCAGGTCACCCCGTCCGAGCGAAATCAAACGACAGCAAACCCCACGGCCCGGCAGGGATCGTTGAGACATCAACCATGGGCCGGGCTTTCACTTTTCCGACAAGTTTGGCACCCGAGACGGACGGGACGCATAGCACATGGGACAGGGACCTCGTGGGAAAGAGACATCACTGTTCCCGACACGAGTATACGACTCGTGATGCAGTCCCTGAGGGAGTGATCGTGTATTGGACACCGAGGCTTTCACCTGCATCGGCTGAGAATCCCAGTCGACTCAACATGCCAGATTAGCTGTGGCCAGAAACCTGCGTCTTGCTTTTGTGCCGAAGAGCGTCCACGGCGACAATCCTGGACAGGGAACGGAGTTGATGCAAAATGATGTCGCCCGAGTTCGACCCTGCGTCCCACCCCTGCCCCTCTTGCTTTGTTTCCTTCAGCAGTGGAAGGGCGTCACAGTCCTGCCTACTTCGACGTGAGCAACCCTCGCCATCGATACTCGGTGACAGCTACAGAGTACTCTGGTACAGTAGCTTCTTGCCTCATGTGTATCCGTCATTATTTAGGACGCCAGCCACATTCAATGGAGGGGCCTGGCCTTTTGCCCGTTACTCGACGGACGAGGAGCTCCCACCTCCTGTCGAACTAGGGCCGAATTAGGCTTGAAGCCAGGTCGGGGTCATGGACCCAACCTCGCTCGGGATAGGACAGGAGGTTACACACAGCGCCCGCTGGCGGTCCTGCAAAGCCCCCTGCATGAAGAGAGCCCATCGAACATTTCGCCTGCTGAACTGGCCTTGCTGTGATGATGGTGCAAGGAGTTTGCAGAGCAAGCTTTTGCCCTTATTCGTACTTACTGGTCCATCTTTCATTCTCTGTGTTTGTGCGTTCCTGAAGTCGCGACTTTCCGAACACCTAGAGATTCCAGGTACGGTAGGCTTTTCGGGCACCAGTGTTTCGAGAGTGTCTAGGCCCACCGGTTCGCGCCGTCGTGGAATAGCGTCCTGTGTGCGTTTGCAGTCTGTCAGATTCAGCTTTCAGACGGCGGGTGCTTATCGTGACTTGTCCACGCAGAAGGAATCTCGAGGTAGATGGTCTCACGTACCTAGTGTTTCCTGTCTACCTAGTTCAGGGGCTGGAAGAGAGTAATAACAGATTGCCGGTTCCAGACCAACTGCGAACCTGCTGTGCCTGCGCAGAAGAGTGGATGACTAAGCACCGTCTCGCCAAACCTGCTTTATATGGTGTGATGCCTCACCGCCTGCCTAAATCCGGCGATGGCGGTGACTGGCTGCGGCAGAATTTTTATGACATCCACTACAGTAGCAGAGTGCGGATTTGCGTCGCCCACCTCGCTGCGGATGTGGTTTTGGACATCGACTGGTAGAGCAGAAAGAGATTCTCACCTACTGTTACTTGCGGAATTCCAGCATCAAACCATGCAGCCCGAATGAGGCTCAGTCTGATCTTCCTCCCTTCCCTGAGCACCCTTCCTCCCCTCCAATAAACAGTCCCGATGCCGCCGAAGAAGAAAGTCGACGGCTCTGTCGCCGCACCTCAGCAGGCGTCTCGAAATGCAGTGACAAAGGTGCGTCAATACTCTTGCAACATTTTGCTGAACCTGTGTCTCTGGGGCTAATTTGCTAACTGCAGAAGTCGGTCTCTCGCAAGGCCGGCACTAAAGAAGGTGCTGTGGACGATTCCACGACCGTGCCAGGTCGAAATATGAAGGAGGATGGCAAGGGCGAAAAACATGGCCGCAAACCATATCACCATACAGACAGCTTCGATGCAGCTCTGGAACCATTCTACTACGACAAATCTCTCACAGATCCGATCGATACCGCTCGGGACAAATGGAATTTGCTACCAGCCTTCCTCAAAGTCAAAGGACTTGTTAAACAGCATATTGACTCCTTCAACCACTTCGTCGAGGTCGAATTGAAGAAGATCATTGACGCCGAGCCGGTCATCACCAGCGACATCGATCCAGACTTCTACATCAAATATGAAAACATCTATGTTGGCAAGCCTCGGAGGTATGATGAGCACATGGGCGATTTCAGAGATTCGAAGGAGGAATCCACAGTCACGCCCAACGAATGTCGGCTGCGTGACATGACTTATGCGGCACCCATCCTTGTGGACATCAGATACACGAAATCGAAGGTGGCATATCGACGAAAAGGGATGCCCATTGGCCGCCTGCCTATCATGCTGAGAAGCTCCAAATGCGTTCTGGCAAACAAGTCGGAAGCCGAAATGTGTGCAATGGATGAATGTCCTTTGGACCCTGGCGGGTATTTCATCGTTAATGGAACAGAGAAGGTCATCTTGGTCCAGGAACAGCTGAGCAAGAATCGAATCATCGTGGAAGCCGACGCGAAGAAGGAGTTGATCACGGCCTCAGTCACCAGCTCTACGCACGCCAGAAAATCCAAGAGTTATATTGTCCTGAAGAAAGACATGCTGTACATGCGGCATAACATTTTGAACGAAGACGTGCCCATTTGTATTCTGCTGAAAGCGATGGGTGTGACATCAGATATGGATATGATGGCTATTGTGGCAGGGAAGGATATGACTCTGCAGGACGACTTTGCGATCAACTTTGAAGAGACCATCAAGCTTGGGATTCACACACAACAACAGGCACTGGACTATCTCGGCGCTAGGATCAAGATCACTCGGAAGCCCACACCGTTTGGGCAATCACGTCGAAATTACGTCCAGGAGGCTTTGGAGGCCGTCAGCAATGTCTTTATTGCTCATGTCCCGATCGAAAACTTGAACTTCAGACCAAAGGCAATCTACGTCGCGCATATGGCTCGCAGGGTCCTCATGGCCAAGCAAAACCCGGCGCTTGTCGATGACAGAGATTACGTCGGCAACAAGCGGTTGGAATTGGCTGGTCAGTTGCTGTCCCTGCTGTTCGAAGACTTGTTTAAGAAGTACAATTACGACATCAAGATGAACATGGACAAGGTTTTGCGCAAACCGAATAGAACCGAGATGGCGGATCCCTGTACGGTCATGATGGGCCATGCGAACCACATTACTCAGGGAATGAACAGGGCTATCGCGACTGGTAACTGGAATCTCAAGCGATTCAGGATGGACCGAGCAGGTGTCACTCATTTATTGAGTCGATTGAGTTTCATTGCTTCCCTTGGTATGATGACACGGATCTCGAGTCAATTCGAAAAGACTCGAAAAGTCAGTGGTCCCAGAGCGCTGCAGCCTTCGTCCTTTGGTATGCTTTGTCCTGCCGACACACCCGAAGGTGAGGCTTGTGGTTTGGTCAAAAATCTTGCCCTCATGACACATATCACAACCGATGATGAGGAAGATCCAATTAAGCGTTTGATCTTCATGCTTGGGGCTGAAGATGTGGCCACCGTTGGAGGGTCAGAACTCTACGCTCCAGGGTCATATCTTGTCCTCCTGAACGGAACTCCTGTGGCTACCACGAGACACCCTTCCCAGTTTTTGACCTCGTTCCGACGTCTGCGCAGATCCGGACGGATATCTGAGTTTGTCTCCATCTTCATAAACCACCATCACAGCACGATCCACGTCGCGACCGATGAGGGACGAATATGTCGCCCACTCATTATCGTCGAAGACAAGAAGTCTAAGGTCACTAAGCGGTACCTGAAGTCTTTACGGCAGGGATCCATGGATTTCGACGACTTTTTGGCCCGTGGACTGGTTGAATACTTGGATGTCAACGAGGAGAACGACAGCAACATTGCATTGTACGAGTCCAACATCAACGCCACCACCACTCACCTTGAGATTGAACCCTTTACAATCCTCGGCGCCGTTGCTGGGTTGATCCCCTACCCTCATCACAACCAGTCACCTCGAAATACGTACCAGTGCGCTATGGGTAAGCAAGCTATTGGGTTCATCGCCAACAACCAATTCCTGCGCATTGACACGTTGCTCTACCTGATGGTGTACCCACAAAAGCCTCTCGTGACGACCAGAACTATTGAATTGGTCAAGTACGACAAACTTCCTGCTGGCCAGAATGCCACAGTAGCCGTCATGTCCTACAGTGGCTACGATATTGAAGACGCTCTTGTTCTCAACAAAGCATCGGTGGATCGTGGCTATGGCCGTTGCCAAGCGCTACGCAAATATCCAGTCAGCCTGAAGCTTTATGCCAACGGCAGCAAGGACACCATCGAGGGCCCTACAATGGAGAATGGGGTTCCCATCAAAGCACATGCCTTGCTTGACGAAGACGGCATTGCCTCCGTGGGTGCTAAAGTTAGTCAAGGCGAAGTCTACGTCAACAAGTACATCCCCGAGAACTCCAACTCCTCCGGCCTGTCAGATGCAGGGTCAAACAGTCTAGGGGCATCGCTGATCCCACAAGCCCAGAAGTACCGACTTTACGATCACAGTTATATCGACAAAGTGATGGTGTCCGAGGTGGAATCAGGCAACCAGCTCATCAAGATCCAAACCCGACAAACCCGGCTTCCAGAGGTCGGTGACAAATTTTCGTCTCGACACGGACAGAAGGGTGTTGTGGGGATCATCGCCGAGCAAGTGGACATGCCTTTCTCCGACCGTGGCATCACGCCCGACATCATCATGAACCCGCATGGTTTCCCATCGCGTATGACGGTCGGCAAGATGCTGGAACTGGTGGCCGGCAAAGCCGGCATAGTGAAGGGGAAGTTCGAATACGGCACTGCGTTCGGAGGCAGTAAACTTGAAGACTTGTCTCGAGCGCTTCTCGAGGCCGGCTACAGTTATGACGGCAAGGACTACCTCACATCCGGCACCACCGGCGAGCCGCTCCCCGCGTATGTCTTCATGGGCCCTATCTATTACCAGAAGCTCAAGCACATGGTCCAAGACAAAATGCACAGTCGGTCTCGGGGTCCTCGAGCCATCCTTACCCGCCAGCCGACAGAAGGACGATCGAGAGACGGTGGTTTGCGATTAGGAGAAATGGAGCGAGACTGTCTCATCGCGTACGGCGCGTCTCAGTTGCTTCGTGAGCGATTGATGCTGTCCAGCGACAAGCATGAAGTCGATGTCTGCGAGTCTTGCGGCTTCATGGCCTTTGGGCGCTGGTGCCAGCGGTGCAGCACGGCCGGGGAACCAGGGTCCAACGTTGTCCGAATGACTTTGCCGTATGCGTTCAAGCTGTTGCTCAACGAGCTGGGCAGTATGAACGTGAATACGAGGTTGATCGTCTCGGACGAGTTTCCTGCCGACGGGTCGAGAAGAGCATGATCCGCGGGCATCCATCGAAGTTCGTCTGCATTGTGGTGTCTAGGGGTCTGATGACGCTGCTTTCTGGGCGAGAAGGATGTATGTATAATCAATTGACAAGTCATGAGCGACACGACCAGATACTGTACAAATCGGTCTTGAACGACATAGGCATGGCTTCGTACGACGTTGCATAGCATGGAAATCATGGCATAGCATAGTATAGCGATAAGTGGAATTGTTTCTATCCTCTACAGACATGGTAGAGATACCTTACGATGATCTCGTTGTCATTACCGAACACCGGCCGCCATCGATGTATGTTGCCGCGTCAAAAGAGGAGTTACTATCAATTATCGGTAAATAAGACATTATTGTCAAATATACAACTAGGTAGGTACTAAACGTGGTCTGGTAGACACAGCCAGTCAAGCAGGTACCCAGCAATATTCATAGCTACGATTGAAAGAATAATATACAATTATATCTCTAAATACAAATCAAACAGTCTTCAAAACAAGTCAAAAGAGTCTCAAACCCAAGCTTTGTACAAATGATAAATGGATGGAACATGTGATATCAACAGCCAACAACACCTGCTCACGGAACGAATCATAAACGAAAGTACCCTTTCCACATCTTCCTAGTACCCTGGCCTCAGAAACGCAAACACGCACCGTCCATTGGAAAGAGCCCCTGGTGTGAATCGGCTCATGAAAGAGATTCTGGGCCATCCTACTAGATGCTGCTCCCGGAATGGGTGGTATTCTGGCCCCTGATGATCCTCTTCTCTTTCTGGGCAGCATTGGCGTCGCTTCATCGTGAGAGAACGACTGAGGAGTGGGGGCCTCTGAATGTGAGGGGATTCCATAAGGCTCGGGCCAGAGCTCCATTCCCTCGGCCCTGTAACGCTTTTTGACGCAGGGCACAAACACGACACGACGTTCACCGTTCTTGTAGAAATCAGTTCACGGGCTTGAACCAGACATTCTCCCTGTTAGTTTCGGAATACAAGGTCCGCCAATTTCCTGCCGGCCGGTTCCAATCCTCCGGGAACCTGCCATATTTGGTCTTGGGGAGCTTGAGACGTGGGATGTCCGGGTTCACGAACTGGTCGCGAACCAGGTATTCGAAGTCATCGGCCTGCGCGTGAAACGGGGCATCGCCCAAGGGTAGATCGTTGATTTCGTGGTCACGATAGTAGAGCTTCTCTTCCGGCAAGGGCGGGGGTGTTACGTTGACATCTCCTCCAGCAGCGGCATGGGCTTCCGCGCGGGCGCGTCTGACTCGACGTTCCGCTAGTCGCAGGCCTCTGAGGGTGGCATCCATCAGTTCCACCTGGCTCGGGCGGTTCGCTGGGTCGGGGTCGATGCAGCGGTGGATCAGGTGTCGTAGGCGACTGCTGTACACGCCGGGAAGCTTGGTGCGCACTTTGGAGACCTGGTGGTTTCCATTCTGTCGGTACTTGCTGTAATGCTTGGCACGGACGCGGATGAGCCGGCGGTCTCTGCTCAGTGTGGTGACGGCATACATGGTCGCTCCGGCGCCGTAGATCTGCAGTAGAGTCAGTTAAGTCAACAGGAAAAATCAGAAAAAATTTGATTGGGGAGGTGGAAACAACTTGATGAGGTATGTTCCAGAGGCGCAATTCATGTGGGCTCGGGCCTTGTAGGACTTACATTCAGAGAGTGGTCAAAGGATATGTCGCCGGCAGGGTTCTTGTAGTTCCATTTGCGCTGCATTGCCCTTGCGTGCTTGTAGTCGAGTCGTCTGCCTTTCTCGTCGTGGATCCAAGTGATCGCTCCATTGGGCGGACTCTTCCAGTGTGCGCCGTAGAATAATTGTTCCTAATGTCGCTGTTAGCTGATAAATGCTCAAGGATGGGAAAGTAAATGACCGGGGTGGGATGGCCTGCAGCTGGGGTACTTACCGTGGCCTTGTATGCTCTGGTGCCTCGCCACCAGTAGCTGAAAGGATTCCTCATGTCGCTGATGCTAGTGTAATCTGACATGCCGTAGTCGGAAAGGAGGGGTTCGGGCAAGTCATGAATCTCAGGCTCATCCGGCGGATACGGCGCGAAGGGTTCGTATCCGAGCAGGACATTCCCGGGCTTCATGTCGAGGTGGAGGCAAACTATGCCCTGGTCTTTCACATCTTGGTCATAATCGTCGAAATATCTGTCATCCATGGCTAGACTGTCAAAGTTGGGCCCGCTACGCAGCGCCTCACACGCAACTGCTAGCCGGTGAAATACGTGCCAGACAAAGACTTCCGGAAGATGATGATTCCAAGCACGATAAAGCCGCCTCAGATGGTCAAGGTCACCGTGTCGGCAGAATTCCAGATAGAATCGGTATCGTCCCTGCTCATCCGCCCTGTGGTCCGAAATGAACTTGTACTTCCGCAGGTGTGGAGCAACGCGATCATCTTTCCAGTTGAGATCAGACTGGATCGTAGCTTCTCGCAGAAGCCGAGGTTTGTTTTTTATGTCGGAGACTTCTGGATCGTGGGTAGGTGGATGCGCCTCGTCGTAGACGGATTCTTTGAGGGCCAATTCGTCTACGGGGATGTTTTTCGCATTTCGCTTCTCCCATAGCCCAACGCGGCCATATGTCCCTGCACCCAGAAGTCGGACAGGACCCCATTCGTCGTCTTCGTCGCGATTTCGTTCAAGATTGAGACGTCGTAGCATGAACGCCTGGTTCTCCACTTTGCCGCCAAACGCGCCCCGGTGTATCCTGGAATAGTACCATTGTCGGTCAAGGTCTGTTCCAGGTTCTCGCAGATTGTAATTATCTGGATCGTAGTCGACCCAATAGTCGTCTTTGGTAAAGTGAGGCACTTGTAAATGCCCAGAACCAACCGGAGGCATCTTACCCAGCAGTAAGCAGTAAAGGTTGATAGGCAAGGTAAAAATGCAAAATTAATAGCGGGAGGAGTGGTCAAGAAGGGAGTGGTTTAGCAGGCAAACAAGAGTGAATCTGCCCCAAGAGCGTCTAACGGCATGAAAGACAGACCATGAGAGGAAGTTCAGGGGAGGATTTCCTCCTTAAAGGATTTCCGAAAGCATCATCTCGCGGGGATCGACAAACAAAGAGGTTACCTAACTCCTGAACGCAAACAACACGGCAATAACGTGGAAGAAAGAAGTCTGCGCGATATATGCGAGTAGCAACGGCATTGTGGAGTTTTTATGGTTCCCCAGGACTGCGATCTTCGTGAGTATTATGACAACCATCTTACCTGGGGGGTAGTGTCTGAGAGCCATAAGGCATACGTGCGTACAGCCTTCTGTGCAAATGGCCGAAGACACTGGTGCAATCACATTACTGTGCGACACTAGCACTTTGCATGCATTGAGATCGGAAGTACAAAGGAAGATGAGTTCGAGGTCGAGGTCGAGGTCGAGTAACACGTTGTTGGTCAATGTCGTTGGATCAAAGAATAGAGACCAGCCGCATATGGACTAGCGTATGACAATCTTGACACGTGATCTTTTCCTGGAGGAAGGTTAGCCGAGCACCGCTCCATCTCTGGGTGAAGAGATATCAGAACTTGAATTGTGTAACAGATCGTGGGACCCGGGTACCTGGTACGTTGGCACTGTTCAGGCGCGCGTGAGGGTCCAAATCTGGGGATCTGCCAAATGTCTGGTGTTGTACTGGGCTCAATCAATGCCAATCTCGTAGTTTCCGGGGTAGTTCCGGAATGATGGTCTGACCGGGCTTCAGATATGTCTCAAGCATCATATCCACGGATACGGGAGGGACAGGCAATTGTACTATATAGATTCAATGTTGGTAGAATATGCATGAGTCAACACGAAAAACCAGGTGGAGAGGTGGCGGTTGCTGGAGTGCGGACTGCAGACCTACATCATGACCTTGAGCATCTCCACGGTTATCTCTTCAGGCCTCCCACCTTTCCGTCCATCAATACCTCTTTGATTTCTCTTCTCCCAACATCACCCTACACATTGATCCCGTGGAGATCAGCAAGAACCCGTACCCTAGGTCTTGGCCGCGACTATCTTGCCTCAGCTCAACTCGCATTGTCTCGTTCAAGATGGCTATCGATGGAATCCCCAAAGAAATGCTCGCCGTGCAAGTCGTAGAGGTATGGGCATCTCCCTCGTCTGAAAGATATCAAACTAGGCAGACCACGCAGCTAAGACAGCCATTGTAGTTCAACAAGCCGTATAAAATCCACAAAATCCCTACTCCGACGCAACTCGGCGACTATGAAATCCTGCTCAAGACCGTCGTCGCATCTCTCTGCCACACGGATTCGATGGTCGCGGAGGGCAAATTTCCCACAAAGCTACCCTGTATCGCGTCACATGAGGGGACAGGTGTCGTCAAGGCAGTAGGTTCCAAGGTAACCAATTTCAAAGTGGGCGACAGAGTCATGTCTGGTGTTCCCAAGAACGCGTGCGGGAGATGCTACAATTGCAAGGGGCCGAACGACTGGCATCAGTACTGCGAGAACATCGAAGGCCACATTGGTGTCATGGTCGACGGAGCTTTCGCAGAGTATCACGTTGTCGACTGCAGAACTAGCTGCCACATCCCAGACAAAGTCAGCTACGCCAGTGCCGCCCCTCTCGCCTGCGCGGGTTGTACCATCTACCGAGCCCTGATCGTCAGCGAGGTCAAGCAAGGCGACTGGCTGGCCATTGTCGGCGCCGGTGGTGGGTTAGGCCATCTCGGAATACAGTTCGCGCTGGCCAAGGACATTAACGTGATTGCGATCGACGCTCGAGACGAAGCACTAGAGCTATGCAAGCAAGCCGGTGCCCAGCATGTTCTTGACGCCAGAGACGGCAAAGAGAAAGTCGTCAAGGATGTCAAAGCACTGACAGACGGATTGGGAGTTCACGCTGCCATCAATGTCAGCGACCACGAAACCGCAGCCGATACGGCCTGCGCTGTGACGCGGATGCATGGCACTATGGTGCAGACCGCGCAGCCAGACCGCGTTTGCGTTGCTTTTCAAGAACTCGTCTTCCGCGACATCCGAATCAAGGGCACATTGATCGCAGGACAGGAATACAGCCAGCAGATGCTGGATGATGTGGCAAGGTACGATATCAAGGTCAAAACCAATGTCTTCTACGGTCTGGAGGAGGTGACGAAGATGGTGGAACTCGCTCATTCGGGCAAGATGCAGGGGAAGGCCGTGTGCGTGGTTGATCGGGCCGAGTTTGAAAAGGAGAAGGCGACGGTGTAGAATCTGTTCTCTTAGCGAATTGACCAGAGATGGCGTCGTGTCCACCGGGACGAGCACTTGCAATAGCTTGAGGGTGCGAACAGCATCTTCTCCATGCCATGCTATGCCATGCTTTGATAAACAACTTTCATTGAAGAAGCGTAAACAGCAATCTGTATGTAGAATTGGTTGAGGAAGGTCTAGCGAACCTCATCGTCTCCTCTCCGAGTCTTTATCATTATTGCGGGCTCGCGGGGTTGAACTCCTCCGATTCGGGACGAATAAGTTCAATCAGCGGGAGGAGTCGGAGTCGCTTTTATTTGGGATGGAATCCTCTTGATGAGCACTGTTCACTACATCTCGCATCTTTCTTCTCACTTTGCACAACCCACTGCACTGCATTGTACAACACACCAAAATGTCCTCTACGATGAACGGCGCTCCTTCGGCCGCCGACCTTCCCCTGCCCACCGACGCCAGTCTCTCCCATGGAAGTCTCGCCGACCTGCTCCCCTCGCATTTCACGACAGACATCACCAGCTGGCTCGCAGAAGACACTCCTTCGTTTGACTATGGCGGCTTTGTCGTAGGCTCCGACCCACGCTCCGCCCAATTGCTGTGCAAATCTGCTGGCGTCCTTGCCGGAGTACCCTTCTTCGACGAAGTATTCCGCCAGCTCGACTGCACCGTTGAATGGCATTACAACGAAGGAACATACCTGGATCCTGCAAAGTCAGGCGGGAAGATTTCCGTGGCCACTGTGAGGGGTCCGACGCGCAAACTTCTGCTAGGGGAGAGAGTAGCGTTAAATACCTTGTCGAGATGCAGCGGCGTGGCGACCAAGAGCCGGACAATGCTGGAGCTGGTGCGAGGAGCAGGCTACAAAGGCGTGCTGGCTGGAACGAGAAAGACCACTCCGGGGTTCAGACTGGTTGAGAAATACGGCATGTTGGTCGGAGGTATCGATGGTCACCGACACGATCTGAGCAGCATGATCATGCTGAAAGACAACCACATCTGGGCGAAAGGCAGTATCACCAACGCCGTCAAGGCGGCGCGAGCAGTCGGGGGCTTTGCTCTGAAGATCGAAGTCGAAGTCCAGAGCGAGGCGGAGGCAGACGAGGCCATCGAAGCCGGCGCTGATGTGGTGATGCTGGACAACTTCGATGGCGAAGGTCTGAAAGTTGCCGCAAGAAGTCTGAAAGACCGCTGGCGTGGCAAGCGACAAGTCCTGCTGGAGAGTAGCGGTGGGCTTACAGAGCAGAATGTCAAGGGGTACATCAATAACGGTAAGCCATGCTTTTCCTTGGATTTGGTCTCTCCGCTGAACTTTTCACCTCCAGATATCGATATCATCTCCACCAGTGCTGTTCACCAAGGTGTATCGCATGTCGACTTCTCATTGAAGATCGACCATTAACTGGCCTCCTCTGTCCTCTGCCTCTCTACCTCTCAGTCAGTCCGGCTCATGCCACGCTATTGTCTCCGCAACCGAATGGCTTTGCCTCAGCGGCATCAAATACCCCTGGGTACCCCTTCTCTCTCCTTAACCTTACCCAGATTTAGTCTTTCCCGCAGCATCCAGCCTTCGCAGCTCTAGCCACCGTCCAATCCAAACCAGGGCTGCATGCGCAAGAAACACCCCCCTCTGCGGCGCGCCCTCCCCGAACTCCGGATCAACCCATTTCGTCCCGGGGTACAAAATCGCCGAAACGCCCGTCGCCCAGTACAATGTGCCCACGAGCGCCGCTGTGGTGATGGAATCCTTTGCCACTCTTATGTCACGCACAGGTCGCCAGGTGAAATAGGCGGTCAACAGACCCAGGCTCAGACCCATCGACATGGTCTGACCGTTGTGGAAGCGTGCATGTGGTGGCCAGTTTGGGTTCTTTACGTGCGTGTCGTTCCAGTCGGCAATGTAGCATGAGATGGAAGTGCTCAAGGCCACCAGGCTCAGGCAGATTCTCCCTGGCGTCACTGGGGGGACTTGGGCCATTTTGAAATGCTGAAAAGTTATCAGAGAGAGGATAGTATAGCCTCTGTTCTGAGAGATGGTCGGTCTCTGTGTTCGTATACCGGCAGCAAGTCAATACAAGACGAATGGAATGACTCTTTCAGAGGTACCAGAATGATTTGTATAAGCGTGTTGATCGAATCTTGCTGTGAAGCCTTTTCGTGATTTGTTCGATCTGACTGTAGATGAAGCGGACGACCTTATGAGTTCCGGACTATTGCAGAGAGGAATGCGCTCCCTGGTGTCTAGCCGGTCCCGAATAGTAGTCCGACCTGGATTCTGAGCTTGGTCGGGATCTACTAGACCTCAGTCGTTTGTTGTCTGCTCGAGACAGAAGAGAAGAAATGGAGTGTGATAGTGTCGGAGTCCGACCACCTCAGGTAGTACTACCAAGGTTTCGGACCTCCTTGTGTCGTACTGTGGTACAAACAATCTTGTAAACGTCATTCACGGTCCAGGAATCAATTCTCTAGTATAAGTTACCAAATACCAATTTTATAATTGGAACGGCCTCACCATGTATAGATGCCCATTTTAGGCCTGTCAAAGAAACCAGACACGTTACATTACCTTATGGTTTGTCCAGCCAGAAAGAAATTGTTAAAGGTTCGTGTCTCGACCTGATTTGCATGTCCGAATTGTTCCTCCTGGCCTCGATTGTCTTGCATTCTATTGCACCTTGGCGAGCGCGTTCTACGATCTCTGTGTCTCGTGTGTAAAAGGTGGCCGGGGGAACTTTGGAGCACCGCTTAAAGGCAACGACTACACAGTAGATTTGCTGTGTAGGAGACCGCCGAAAACTCTATGAGCTGGCTGGAGGTAATGAAACTACTGCTAGTACGTACACGGAAGCAGGGTCCTCCATTGACCAGTTTGTACGCGCTCTGCTGATGCGAAATCGCCAGATAGTTGTGAAGAAGCAGCCGGTATCATTTAATGAGCCCGTGCCCCGAAAGACGAGAGATATTGCTGCGATTGCACCTCCTCTCCACCCTGAGGTCCGTATATACTGATGTATAACTATCCTCTCTTGCTCACACAATCACCCCCGGAAACCTTCGGTCATCTCACACGTCTGGACTTCCACTCCTACCCTCTTGTTGCGGATCAGCATCTCCCACCCAGCCGGATTCTAGAACATAAAGTAAACGATTCTCATCGGCAAACTCGCGTTCTTCCTCTTCTCCATCAGAGCATGATGAGCCACCCAGTCAATCTCTCTACGTCCCGTGTCAAGGTCGATCTGATCGAGTTTCAACCACCCCTGTCTCTTCCACAGATACCCACAGAGCCAGAAGAACATGACGACCGGCAGGGCGAGGTATGCCTTGAAGAACCCCTCCGCGTCATTGGTCCCGCCGCCAGGAGGCCAGATAGCCACGTAAAACTGGGCAATCAGCACCAGAACAATGAGGACCAAGCCCGTGTATGAGCCGTAGACGCCGCCGATGGCTTTGAAGGGGATCTCGTCAAGACTGCGCCCGTGGTGATGCCATGCTGCTCGGAACCGGATGTGGGCCAGGCAAATCGAGCCCCAGGTGAAAAGGGCGGCTAGTCCGGACAGCGCGAGCAGCCAGTCGAAGATTTCGATCCCGGACTCTGCAACGCCCATGTACGCCAGCGCGCCGAATGCGATGATGGTCACTGTCGAGACGGTCGGACGGCCTGCTCGATCGACGTAGGCGAAGATCTTGGGCGCATACCCCTGTTCAGCCAAGGCCGTCAATGTGCGACTGCCTCCATAGACGCCACTGTTGCCAATGGAAATGACGGAGATCAAGATGACGACATTCATGAACGAGTCGAACCCGTGGAGTCCCGCATCTTGAGCGGCCAATACAAACGGCGATGCTTGTGCGTCGATGTAAGGGTTAGCACCCAGAAGTCGCTCGTCGTCTGACCGTACAAGTAGACCGACGAAGAGTAAGGCCAGGATGTAGAAGAGAGTGATGCGCCAAAATACCTGTTTGACGGCCGACGGGAGCGACTTCAATGGCGTTCTCGACTCGGCGGCCGCGAGACCGACCAGTTCAGTACCGGAAAACGCAAACGCGGCTGTGACGAAGACAGAACAAAAGCCCTTGAAGCCGTTGCGGAATGCCCCTGGGTCATGCCACAGCCGAGCTCCCCAGTATTCGTTGTAGAGACCGTCGCTTGGACCGCCTCCACAGACACAGACCAGGCCGATGATCATAAAGATCACGATGGCTGAGAGCTTGAGGGCGCTCGACCAGAATTCTTCCTCGCCATAACCCAGCACTCCGAAGACGTTGATGATCAGGATGATGGCCAGGAACATCGATATCCATACGGCGACATGCACGTCTGAAGTCCAGAAATAGATGGTGAACGAAGCCACCGTAATTTCGAGAGGTAGGACGATCGCCCATTGGAAACAATAATTCCATCCCATCGCAAAGCCCCAGGACGGATCGATAAAGCGGGTCGAGTACGTGTAGAACCCGCCGGAGATGGGGTACATGATGCACAGTTCCCCAAGGGCGAAGACGACGTTGAAGATCATGATTCCGACAATGGCGTAGTCGAGAAGTAGTGAAGCGGGACCTCCTCTTCGCAGAGCGGAGCCTGTGCCGACGAAGAGGCCAGCGCCGATTGAACCACCTGTGTGGAAGTGTAAGGATCCAGATACGCCTCTCGGATGGATGAGGGGTGACAACTTACCAATGGCAATCATGTGCATATGACGCGAACGTAGGGTCTGATTCAACTGGTTGACTTTGTCGGTGGTGGTCCTGCGCTTGAAAGATTCTGGGGTACAGCCCATTCGGGTCCAGAAGCCCAGGTTAAGGTATTGCTGGGTTCCCTCCAGTCTGCCATCTTCATAGTTGCTGGCCTTTGGGGAAGTTTCTGTACTGCTGGTTTTCTCTGGCTCGAGACCCGGCTCGCTGAATACTGGCTTATTGGAAGCCATGACAGGAACGGGAAAAAGTGGTTGAGAATGTAGGCAAGGGGGCGTGGGGAGAGACTTCAGAGACATTCGAGGAGCATTATATGGTCAAAGGGGAGCCGTTCAATGGTCGTGGCATGACGGCAGCTGGCTTACCTTTTGGACGCGTGCTAGGATCTGCGAGCGATGTACCCTCAGAGGCAACCAAGATGGAGCCAAAAGCCTTAATCCTCATGCTGCCCAAGAACAGTAACGTCGTATCTGTATCGCAATCGCAATGTCATGAATGGTTGGCCAGGCAAGACAGGACACGGCTGCTCTTCCGCTGGGGTGATAAAGCACTGCTTGGACCAAACGTGATGGCTGGGCGAGACCTACAACTGACGAGAGATATCTACGTGGTGGCTTCCCATTCGAACAACATCCTAGGAAGAGATGATCGAGAAATGTAGACTGCAATCACACATCCAGGAACACCGATTGTTCCATGGCCCATCTGATGATGATGATGGACTTTGGCAAACTTCCGCCTGGGCGCCGAGCGGCCAAGGCTGGGCGGAGAGTATGCCAAGTCTCCGCTCCGGGGCTTCGACCTGCCGATTTCGGGAAAGCGAGCGGGATCAGCCCCTGACAGTGCTGGGCATTTGTCTCTGTTGCGTGTCATTTGCCAGTTTCCAGTCAAATGCCTGTATATTCCTGGATATGTTAATCGTGGCGCCCATCGATGTAACGCCAATCTCCCAGATCGACCTCGGGGTCGATAAGCGTAGTGTGGGTATATGTAACGGTGGGCGATCCAGGCGTAGCCTTGCCCATGTCAAGTATTTCCTTGTGTGGGAGGTCCCATCTCAGGCGTCTGTTGCCCTTGCGCGGACAGTGGAATTGAGCGGAAGACATTGGCCACGGAGGCTTGGAGAAGGCTCAATACCCTCAACGTGGCTGCACCTCCGGAAATTGCGAATCAGTCTTGGAACCATCTGGTATGGGGGGCACCTCGACCATATTGGATACTTGAGTGCATCCAGTGATGGACCTGCCGGCCTTTGCAGCAAGCCCGCTGTTGCATTCGCTTGGAGGAAGACACATCCTCGAAGGGGTTCATTGGACCTTCCCAGTCAAAGCTCGACTAACGCAGACATGTTACGTACGAGTATCAGCTCGTAGCATGGCGCCAGATATGCCATCTCCGGTCTTGTCTTTTTCCACAATCCGAGATACCAAGAGATGTATGGGCCGAGACTTCAGACGACCTTCTTCAGAGGTGCTCTGTGAGGTCGAGGCACCGATAGTAGTTCTTCACCTGACTGGGTAAGCTGCTCATGAGAGACGAGACTGTGGCCGAGGAAAGCGACGGCTGCTTGGTAGCGATAACACGCCGGTACGTATCCGTAAAGGGTTGTCCGGCATGCAGTATCAATCATTCAGAATATGCAGTGTCTTCACAGGACGGAATATCCCATCTTGATAGGAGGATGCCTGAAGCGCAAGATGATCGCCTCCAGTGTACTGCTCCTACCTACCTAGATATATGTCCCAATACTTACAGGTACTAGTAGCACGAATGGCGCACAAGGAGGACAGTGCCTTTCGAGACATGTAACTCTGTACTGCTAGTAGGATCATCAACCTTGGAAGTCAGATGGGAAGGATTCATCGTGACGGGGAGGCGTCAAAGAAGAGTTTGCCAAGGTCCGACGTCATTGGCGCAATAGGATAGAACCCCGAGAACCCCTACTATGTCGCGGTCTTACCTGACATGGCACAATGTTGAAGCACCAACACCAGCTGTACGTCTGTTAGTTGATGCTCCCTCGACTTGACTGGCATAGCCTCCTGTCGTGGCAAAGCTAAGTCAAGACTCTGAAGTTTCGACGATGACTAGCACAGTTCCAACGGACGCATTCCCTCCAGCGTCGAATACATCTATCCCCACGGCCGAAGCCATCCACCGTCACCTTCACTCCTATCCTTTTGAGTCGGATCAAGAATACCAAGCAGGTCTTGCTGCTATCCTCGGCCATCCCGAGACGCCTGTTACTCGGGAAGAACTTGCTGAGAAGGCGGATTTGGTTCTACAAACCCAGTGCTTCTACTTTGCCCGGTGAGAAGATTACTTGTGGTGGCCAGAGGACGCTGGTGCTAATGCGTACCCTCTGCGACCTAGGAAATTCAATCTTCCCCCTATAGACCCCGAAGCATATTCCACGTGGCTCCAGACTCATGGCGAGCCTCATCATTTACCCGTGGCAGAGACGCACCCTGCGCATTCAACCGAACAGAACGCCTCGGCCACCCAGCCTTCTTCCACTCAACCACCAACAGAGTCCTCTTCCGATCCCGAGCCACCTTATCCCGTTTCCTTCGCAGCCATCGTGGATTTGATTACTCGCAATATTCCTGTTCCGGGCATTGAAGAAATCCCCGACACTGTTCTAGAGCTGGGATCCAGCAAAGTCGACAAAACTCCCCGGAGGAAGAAACCGTGGGAGAAAGATGGAGAAGAGAATGTCGGGACAGTAGCGGACCAAGCTATCCTGGAGCCTCAGCTGCCAGCTGCAGCAGCCGAGCTCAACTCCGTCGCCCAGAGCGTGGATATAAACGGATACAAGGAGACCGGCCAGGGAGTGGTGAATATTCTCAAACCGAACGCTGTGCCTGAAAGCGGACTCTTAAGCAAAGACTGAGAGCTATTTGGTCCCGGAAGTCTGCCTCTCACATATTCGACCACAAAAGTAGGAGGAACAAAACTATCACGACACTAAAGTGGCTCAAGGACGGTTCATGATCTAGGCACAAGGTGTTAAGTTGACTACATTGTGCCCAGATGATTGGAAATTGTACGTCTGAGCACAGTCCTTTGAACGATGATGATCGGTGCGCAGGTTGAAAGCGCAGAGACCTGAGCGACCAGGAGACAGTGGCATGTTGACAGGCTATGCCAGCCAGGCGACCGAAATTACCTCTACTGGACAATTCCATCGCCGACCGCCCTTCGACTTCAAAGGCCTCGCGGGACTGTTTGTCTCGAAGGAAGTGGATTGAGTGACCAACAAGCTTCATGCTGTGTGAATGGTAGAGGGAACTCTCCAACTACATCCACGACATGAAGGAGTTTGTTTACATCACCGGCCAGCCAGGCAGACTGGCGGCTGATCGATCACCCAATGGTGAGCTCTCCATGGTGGATCTTCGTCCACAGCGTGATTCATCTCTGGAACATATCTCTGGAATATGGAGAGAATGCACAGCTTGGCCACGGAATCGATTGAAGCGAGCATCTCTTCTCACGCGTATCGTACTGGCTTAGCCTGGCACATGACCTTACCCGGGGGGCGGTCAGGCTCCTCCGATCGAGTCACACTCACTCTGTGCACGCGGTCGACCGTTGGCTGGGGGTATAATGACGGACAAAGGGTGTAGGCTTGACGCGAAGCCGGCAGAGGCCGCAATGTTCTAGACCAGTTCGCGGAATATGCCGCTAACGTTGACCGTTTTGGCAGTTAACGACCCATCAGGCAAGATGGGGAAAGCAGAGGGTGGACTATTGATGTCAATCCCAACACGGTCAGGGCCATGGTTGAAAATTTCCCTCCGAGGTAGGATGGCAGCGAGACCAGCGGGACTTGGTGTCATGTTGGGATGGTCTGTCTACGGATGATCACAACAGAACGGTTGATTCTGCTCCGACTGGCTTCGTGACTACATGATCGATGTTGCAACAGTGGCCTGGGGCTCGTATAGAGATCGGCAGAAGAGCCAGGTGCCGCCACCGGACTTGCTGTCGTTGAGACGCCATGGCACGTATATTTGAGGCTGCCATGCTAGTTTTGTGTGTCGGCGATAGATGGAAAACCACAATTGTGATCGGCCGTACAGGGTCAGTTTGACGGATGTTCGTGGGTGCTCACTACCATCCAATTTCGCTGTCTCGATGATGGATGCCTCGGAACCTCCACACAAGGTCACGCGTTCATCTATTCCATTTCGGAGGTTTGCTGATCCCTATGCCCCTGATCATAATGCCAAACATGCCTCAATTGCATGTCACCCAGGACTCGCAGGGAAACACTGTCATTTCGCACGTCAACCCGAGATTCAAAGGGGCTATCACATCTGTGCTTCTCACAAGCAGCCAGGCAATACTGGGAGCCTAAGACGGTAGTTAGCAACTCCCACTACATACAGGTAGTTATTCCTCTGCTGAGAGCATGTTGGAGTGACTACCGAGCCTCGGCCTTTTCATGTATTCTTGTGCATACAGGGATTGCAGGGCATATGCCGCCGACTAGGCCATCTAGGGGGATACTACGTACTTAGTATGGCGAGCGAATCTGAACGGCTGTATCCCACTAAGAGGAACTCGGATTCCTTGAGGTTTCGAGTTGTGTTTGCATCCATTCAACGACCCCACCAAACCCACTTGCTTCCTGTCCGGGATTGCGGATGTGTACGTGGTCATTGGTCCTTGCGGTATGTTGACCACAAGACGTGCTAGCGGGCGACGATTCCTCACTGACAGGTCTTGGGTCCGTACAAGGAATCCAGACTTTCGGGACACTTCCCAAAAGGAACGGAAGCAGCGGAGCTGTGCAGGCGAATGCGATATGCTGGAACGTGCAGCTTGCCACGGACGCCTTGTCGCAATGATTTGAGTTGCGGACGAGGAGGAGGAGGAGGACGACGACGACGACGAGGACAAGGAGGGACTTGCTCGAGTGGAGGTGATGGGTAGGTTTTTCTAGACGCATGATCCATCTCGTCCCGCAGCTCCAGATCGTACTACAGAGTACAGAAGGTACAGTAGTTGTTCGGTGGATGTCAATTAGTGCCTTGCACTGCCACACTGGCCGGGAGCGAGGGGAACTTTGACTGCTAGGGGGCTGGATTGGACTTCGTCAGTTGAGATGATGAACGACACATGTCAATAGCGGTGTGAAGGTTGAGGTTTGACATGACCTGGCTTTGATCTAGTTGCATGGTTAGCATCAGTGTCAACTGACGTGGACATATAGCAGAGAACGACATACCTTACGTGGACAGACAGCAAGTGACTGGGGGAGGATAGATGCTGGGTTTCCGCGGCGATAAAGGAGGGAAAAGATCCTGAGCAGATGGAGGAGCGCAGGAGAAAAAGCAACATTTTACCGGAAGTAGGCAGCTAGCTATAGCTGTCGACTGCATTTCTGCAGTCGTGCTTTTTGGTACCTAGAGGTTCCTTAGGTATGAGGGAGGATAGGGAGGACTCCGCACCTACCCACCATCCCAGTGCTCTCACACCAGGGCCGCATTGGAGTGATAATTGTTGTACTTTTGTGGGCAACCCTGCAGGCGAGCATCATCATTCTTTCGGGCTAGTAGGGGTGGGCTCTCGGGGCTCTCTAGGCTGGTCAGGCTCCATCATTACCCAAAAAGAACCACAGAGCGCCCCTGGCATTGCTTCCCTTCTAGGCACAGCTCCCTGGCGGCTCCAATGAAACAGTGCGTCCCGCTGACCGGCGTGGTTTTATCTCCCCAGCAAAGACCACTGCCCCATCTTTCCGTGATTTCTTGCGCACGGGCAATGGCGCTGGTTCTCCGGCGCTTCTCTTCCTTCCAGAACTTCCACAAAAGAACCAGAGCGTCAGGCTTCAGGCTACAGGCTACAGTTCTCTCCTTGTTGTTCATACCGCAAGGCCAGACGTGGGTGGGTGAGTTGATACGTAAATGCCTAGGTACCTGCTGCGCGTATCGAGTAAACTGCGGGACTGAACAGCTTCCGTCGCTCCCACCACTCCCACTGTCTTACTCCCGTCGACCTTCGACCTTCGACCACTTCTTACCACCACTGCATCAGCCTGACTGGCTGATTCTTCGCCACTCTATTGCAAGAAAATCACCTTTAGATTCCTCCTTCCTTCCGGTCCGGACCTGATACGACCCGTCGCCGGGAAACACTAGACTCCGTCAGCCATACCGACCTGCGAATCTTAAGGCCTCTTTAACATCGCGACCGTGGTTTGCAACGGCCCAAATCGGCCGCAAGTGATTTCATCTCCGGAAGGGTCGTCGAGAGCTTGGTACGCTGATTATAGCAATGCTTTGAATCGAATCAGCGCCCCCATTGCCGCCCCTTTCAGATCACCATGGCTTCGGCCGAGACCTCGCCTGTCGATCGCAAAGGGAAGGTCTCGAAACGATCGTCCAATTCTTACAACAGTGAAGAATGGCGGAGGCACCGGCCCCTGATCACTCAGCTCTATTTCGAAGAAGGCCGAACTCTCAAAGATGTGGCAGAGTATTTGAAAAGGGAATTCGATTTTGCGCCAACGTATGTACTCTCGTCGTCCAGTCGCTTGCTCTGCGTGACCTCACTAACCTAACTTCAAGGGAGCGCATGTATAAAAGCCGACTTCACACATGGGGCCTCGACAAGAAGAAGAAGGAGCATGAAATGCTTGAGTTGGTCCGCCAGGGGTTGCAACAGAAAGGCGAAGACAAGGACAAGGTTTTCCTAGTCCGCGGCAGACAGGTCTCTCTCGCCGACGCCCTCCATTACTTCAATCGCAAGGGCATCAAAGACCCGTCTAGTCTCCTGGACGGCCAGCATGATATCTCTGGAGAGTTCTCGTCACCGGAAGATGCCGGTGCCCGAACACCTCTGTCCTGTCACAACGATATGTTCGACGGCCATCGAGACGGCTCCGACTATGAAATATCCAGAAGTCCGGTAGAGATGGATGAGTTGGACAAGTCCAACGGCATTACCTTTGCTCTTCCAGGTTTCAATATTGCCGAACAGCGACTGGCCGCTCTACAAGACGCCCTCAATATACCCGAGCTCCCGCCCATGCCTCCATTCCGGACACTGGCGGTGGAGTCCTTCGTCGCTCATACGCCCGTATCGCCCGATGACCAACGGTACCTCGATGCCGTGTTCCAAAACATGCAAAGCCATTACATGAATCTTTTCAGCGCTCGTAATCTTTCCATTCACAACACCACGGGGACGTGGACAGCGACCTCAGATGATGCCCTTGCCGACCGCTTCTACTACTCCATGTACCATGGTTATTCGTTTCTCTGGAACGGGCAGAAAGACCGCGCGTTCGACAATTTCTACAAAGCCTTTGCGCTGATTGAGGGCCTACTCAAAGACGACCAGGTCGGCTTTATGATATACATCTTTGACCTGATCATCCGACACGACGACACAGGGTATGAAGAGCCCTTGCTGATGCTGCTCCAACACCTCGCCGACATGGCCAAAGCCGTTTTCGAATCGGAAGAACACCCTGTCTTTCTCATTGCAAACTATATGAACCATGCACCAATGCCGCGGGCGTGGCTGGCTGAAGCCACTTTGCGACGACTGCTCGACTTTTTCCAGGACAGCATTGGATATTTCCACCCCGAAACCATTGCCTTATTACAGACCTTCGCTACCGGTCTCATGAACCGAAAGCGATTCCCGGAGGCTGCTGTCAGATTCCAACAACTGGTGGATGCCTTCGAAACAACCTTGAGCAAGCAATGTTATGAAGTATGCTATGCATTGCGGTCCACTTCCGAAGCCTACTTTCATATGGAACAGTATCCGCAGGCTCTTCAGGCTCTCAAGGTCGCGCTCGAACGGGCGGAGGCGCTGTCTAGGTTGGAGGAGCGGGAGATTTACGTGCGATGTCTAAGAGGCATGGCAGAGATTTCGCACAAACTCGGCCGCAAAGATGAAGCCAATGAGACGATGCAGTATGTGGTCAACATCTGTCGGGACGCCTTTGGGCCCGAACACCCGTTTACGAACCGGGCCAAGATGCATCTCAAGTCGATACTCAAAGGCGATGCCGCAACAGTGTCTGCGATCCCACCTATGGTCTACCGACTCGGACGTGGCGGCAACGCAGCCAAATATATCTGGATCTCACGGTCCAGTCCGACTCGTTTGCAGGCTTGACGCCGCACAGAATACCCCACACATGATTACGACTGTAACGACTGTACATGATGAATGGTTGCACATTTTCTTGACATTTCTACCCCGATCATACGCAGAGTTTCTTGCCACAAGGATCCCTTGCGATGTCTAGGGAGGCAAAAGGCGGGGATTGATCCGGACTTGTGGTGCCGAGGTCATTGTTCAACATTGCGCTGTCGGGAGTGATGCACTTGGTGCTCCCAGTATCACCTCCGACTAGTGCTTGCATTGCTTTGATATGGATGGCACCTTCCCGGCATTCCCACGAATCGTGTCGGACATCTTGACTACCGCTCCTCATGCATGGTGGCCTGTATGCTCGAGGATGGAAACTCTTGCGCAAACCGGGGCATAAGGTCAGCGTCGCACAAGATTGTGTCTGCGCCGCCAGAACCTAGGGAGGACAATGAGGTAAAGACGTGTAGTGACAGGTCTCAACGACATCGCGGCGAAGGACGAGAGCGACAGTCGGCCTCACACCGGGTCGCTATTGTTGGTTGTCACCGTCAGCACCACCATACTTCGATGCTGGAGTCAGCTGCAGTGGCATCGGATCTCGGTTGCCTGAGTCGCTGGTCGAGAGTCATACAGTCAGGCGTCAAGTCCTCACAGCCCGGGCGCCAGGAGAAGCAAGGGGCTAAGGATTGAGCTTTAGCCCCCAGGCCTCCTTTCTAGGGAGCTTCCTTAGCCTTAGGAGCCCTAGCCTCGTTGTGTAGCAGCCCCTTAGCCCCTAGCCTCATAGCCCTACTAGTGCTAGTGGCTTGATACTCTACCTACTACCTTACCTACCGTACCTACCTACCTAACGTGCTACCTAAGGTCCTGGGGCCTACTAACCCCTCACCTCACCCCCAACGCGTATGCCTGATCTTCCGCAGCTAGGCTCGTTAGTTCCCTAAGCCCAATTATAGCAGCACACCCGCGCCCTAACAGCCCCCGGCAAGAAGAATGCCGCTTAGTGAGCGGGAGGTAGATGCTCGGGAGAGGTATGAATTCGGATGCCATCCCCACCGTCATGGTCTGGTGCACTTCAAGTCGTCTGCTCCTGCCCATCCCACACCAATTTCGCTGCGCTGGACACTGGACAGATCCGGCGCTCCTGCAGTGTGTGGACTGGGGGGCGGTCTCCCTCCTCACGATTTGATTAATTCCTCATTTTAGGGCCCGGAAGGCCACGAGGAGATCCTCTATCACTTCTCCACCACGGTGGAAGCCCACTCACACCAAACATTCGGTCTTTTGCAGTGCCACAATTACTGAAGACCGAAGCCTAAGGAGCCCCTGTTCCTGGTGCTTCGTACAACAACTACGTAAACCCCCCTCGGCTTCGCAGCATCAGACCATAATTTGAAGCTGCTCCACGTCAATAGCAGCACGTCCTGAGCATAGCATCTCATCCTTGGTGTCAACATAGCCAGCCCTTCGTCCAGCAGTTCCGCCCAATACCAAAACATCATCATGGCCACGGAAAAGTACTACATCAAAGACGCGATCACGAAACCCGCGATCCACCACCAGTCTTACGAGAAACTGTGGGAAACAAAATGGAGAAGATTTGTATGTGAACAGACTCCGACCGAGTGAGCATGCGGTTGCTCACCATGGGACCAGTGCGAAATGGGTGTATACCCATTCATGTTTGGCTACGTCAAGGATTTTGAGCCTGTCGTGCAGGCGATCATCAAGGTGCGTCGATTATGGTTCCGGGTTCAGGGCCGTGCTGATCATCCACAGAAAGGATTCAAAGAACCATACGACTGGGACGAATATGCACAAATGTACTTTCCCAAAGCCGAGGAACTCACCAAGATCGCCGAAGAAGCAGAGGCTGCGGGCGAGAAAGAGAAAGCCTCGGAATACTACCTGCGCAGCAGTGCCGTCTACCGAATCTCTCGGTTCCCTGCCCCTCGGTCGGAGAAGCAGAAATATGCATGGAAGAAAGGCGTGGAGATCTTTTACAAAGGAACCGGGTGAGTGTCTCAGGAGACCTCCCCTGCCCAAGTGGAATTGGCCACTGACATGAAATCTGGGTAGCTTGATGGAGCACCCGATCAAAGAAGTCCGAATCCCTCACACACACCGGATCAAGGGCGAGGGCGAAGTCGTTCCCGTCAACTTCCTCCTCCCTCCCAATGCCTCGGAAGCGAACCCCGTTCCCTGCGTGATGATCATCACCGGCCTTGACGGGTACCGCACAGAACTTGCAGTTTGGCAACCAGGATGGCTCAGCAAAGGGGTGGCATCTATTGTCGTGGAGATTCCCGGCACTGGCGACTCTCCTGCTTTGAAACAAGACCCCACAAGTCCTGACCGGCAATGGTCCAGCGTCCTGGATTGGATAGAGTCGCAGAAAGCCATTGACAGCAAGAAGATCGTTGCCTGGGGCTTCTCGACCGGTGGCTACTATGCTCTGCGACTGGCACATACACACAAGGATCGATTGTTGGCGACCATCAGTCTGGGGGGTGGTGCGCATCACATGTTCGACCGGGAGTGGCTGGAACACGCGAACCAACTGGAATACCCATTCGATCTGTCCAATACGTTGGCATATAAGTTTGGCTATGAGGATCTCGAGTCGTTCATTCAAGAGGCGCCCAAGTTCTCGCTACTCAACGACGGCACGCTGGCGAAGCCCTGCACCACGGTATTGTTGGTCAACGGCACCCACGACGAAATCTTCCCGATCGACGACATGTTCGTGGCCCTTGAGAATGGCCAGCCGAAAGTGGCCAGAATGATCAAGGGCACCAAACACATGGGCGAGCCTTTCAGTTTCCCCATCATCCTTGAATGGGTCCATAAGTTGCTGGGATTGGACGGCAAGGTTAAGGAGCAACTGGCTATGATCCCCAGCCGGCCGAAGTACTAGAGGCCGACAACGAAAAGAACAGCCATCGATGTTGAAAAGCACATTATATGCACAGCGTTATTGTGGGATGCATAGGTAGCAAGCATGTTGTGTTATTGGGTTGAGTGAGGTTAGCGGTCCAGTCCAGCACCTCATCGCCCGGTGGTTGATGGGTCGGCTTTCAGGCCAACAACAGTCCAGCACAGGCTTCCCTCATTCTTTGCTCCCTCTGTTTGGTATTTGAGCAACAAGTCGTAGGCAGCAGCAACAAGGACACAGGCAATGGTCGACAACAAGAGGACCTAGTAGTCGGTAGGTAGCCACATCATCAATTGATACCCACCTTTCCTACCTACCTAGGTAATATACGGGTCAGTCGTCTCTGTTGGGTCTCTTCATCGTTCAGGGGTCGACGGAGGCTGCCGGAGGTCAATGCTCTTGGTTGGGCGGCAGAGTCCACCTTATATTCAGCTACCACTGCACTGCACCTTCCTATAAGGAGATGTCCGTCGTACCTGCCGTGGCACTGGAAGTTTGGCGAGGCTTGTCTGGTACCAGTCTCAATGCGGCACCCGCGCCGCCATCCGCCGATACGTAGCCGCAGCGTCCGTGATGTCGAGATGCATAGTAGCAGCAGTTGCTTCTACAACCAACGTACGAGTCGCGGGACTGAACCCTCTGCCACAGATTCCTCCAATATACTCACTACCCGAGCCAGACCTGCTGGCTGCCTTCGTCTGGTCATATCCTTTTCCCACCCTCATTCACGCGCCGTCCTCGCTCACCAACGTGCGATCTGCCCTTTTGGTCACCTATACCACCATAGCAGTGGTGGTTGCGCCAGCCAAACGCTCTTTTCGATGCCATTCACCCACTTAGATGCATTTCGATCCAGTCCAAACTCGATTCGATCCCATACCCGTCTCATCTTGATGCCAGCATGGTCATGGTGACCAGTGTCCTTCGGCGGGCAACCGCCGTTACCATACTTGAGAATGGCTCCTCAAGCGAGGAATTCTCGCGTCAATCGTTTATAGGGGATGGACAACAACCCCGGCGATCGAGTCTGGCAGGCTTGTCGATTCGTCTGTCACGGTCTAAGAGATCCAAGTCGGCGAAGCAGGTGGACACATGGTCTGATCTTGCCGCGTCAGTACTTCCATACACGGCGTCTCTCAGGCAGGATGATATCCAATGCTGATTTATGGACCAGGCAAAAGTTAGGCGAGGCTTTATTTTCGCTACCGCACGAGATAGTCGTCCAAATCCTCTGTTGTCTCCCTCCGACGGACATATTGGCTTTGCGTCTGACTTCTCGCCCCATCTACTGTTTTCTTCAGGCACACGCCACGCCGATAACACGGTCGTTGCTCAAGCGATGCGCCTACGAGCATACCTGTCCTCCGTCAGAGGATAATCTAGATGTCGAAACAGCGCAATATACCTACAACTACATCCAAACTCTTTACCCTCAGCCACTACTCTGCAACTCCACGGATTATCTCCTGCAAATGCTCCGACGGCAAGCTCAAATTGATAGAATACTATCTGTCACCGTCGAGTACATACACATGAAGATCTACATGCTTCCCAGCTGTCCACGCTTCGACGACTTTGGCCCCTACAGACTGAAGCTGATTCGACGCCTACATTTGGCTGCTTGGACGATCTACCACTCTCTAGAGAAATACAGGGAAATGCTCATTTTCGAACATCCGAGCCACCCACGCCCAAAAGCACCTTCTGAAGCAAGGCAGGGCACTGAGGAAGAGAGAATTGCTTCCTGTCCATCATGTGCCCGGTTTGTAAAGACTCTCCTGCCTCTCTACCCCGGTACCGAAGTCATCCCGGCATATAACTTCTATCAGCTCTGTCGACAGCATCTGCGGTTGTTGAGTCGAGCGCCCGCATATGCCGGAACAATCGAGCGGAAGCTCAGAGGTCGGAATCGTAAACCCCCAACTGATGCAGATCTAGCCACATTTGTGGTCCTGGGCGGCATTCCTGAAATGTGTAAGCTAAGCATGCTCAAGGGGACGTACAGCCAGCGGATCGAGGTGATCGGTTCGTTCCTGGACAAGGTCAACGCCGGGGCAGCGGAAGGTCCAGATGGATGTGGCAGAGTGGATGCTTCTTCAGTGCCACAGTCACAAAGGTCTGCAATCACAGCCAGCATACTGTCACCAGCTTCTTTCGCCTCACTCACAGCCCCAATGACCGCACCACTCCAGCACGTCACGCATGAGACATTGGATGCTGTGCCGGATCTGGACAGCCTTGTCACCGATTCCAATGAATGGATCAGGTGGATGTTTCAGCTAGTGGGCCCAGATGACCAGATCCTCAGTCCTTTGGGATTCGTGCAGAATGTTCTGGCGGGCAAGGGGCACGGGCGGCGAAGTTGCCACGGAGGTGAAGGGGAATCCCATGACCACGAGGAAGACCAAGGCTCGCAGTTGGACTATTTGGCTCCTGTGAAAGGTTTCGATTGACGACAAACTCAATGGCAAGGATGGGACAGATGGTGAGTGCATATCCTCGGGGTGACAAATGTGTCAGCTTTACCACAAGTATCGGTCGGTGACTATGAAACTAGTGATATATATCCAATAGATGTATCTTCCCACCCGAAAATCCGCAATGGAGTCAATACGAAACGCTGAAGATGCATGCAATGACTGACGTGCTCGAGCAATGAATGTTTCGAAATCAAAGGATGAATCATTCTTCCAATCCTTCACAGTGGCCCAGCCATGGCAGACAGGTATAAGTATCTCCATTTCTCCTCTGACTTTTCCTCGAATACTTTCATCTTCCATCTTTCATCCTCCATTGTCTCTCTCGGTCCATCTCCTCCTCCTCCTCCTCCTCTTCTTCCTCCAGATTCCTTCATCCTCAATTATATATATATACATGCAGAACTCAGATACGCACACAGAAACAGGCACTGTGTCCAGCAAGCAGCACCTTCAGAAACCCAGAGCAAACCTGTTTTGAGCACTTTCTCCTTGGGATGCTGTCTTTTCTTGCATACGTTCTGACTGCTCCCTCAATCATAATCACAGTCTCTTTATCTGCTTTGGTAAGCGCTGCGCTTCCCATGCGTTTCTCATACGCCGACTTGTGATTGTAGCGTGCCTCGATGGCTGAACCGCTGGTACATGCCGGAAATCGGTAGCGACGATACCCGTGGTGCCAACGTTGTGTACGGGCCATTGGACATCGTGACGTTGCGGATTGTGTGATAGCCCAACACGGAGACCGCACGTTGGGTTGCACGACCAGTTTCTATGTCTCGAATCTGCTTTCAACAACATCCTCGATCGCGCAGGCTTGTCGATATATACTGCCAGCAGTGTGATCCTTGGGACTTTTGAACCAGTTTTTGGCTCGGAAGGGAGTTCGGACACTGCAAAACGAGACCGAACACACGTCTTTTGCGTCGTCGTCTCTCTATCATGGATTCCGCATCTTCTGGAACTGTGTCACAAAACGATGATTCAACAGTACAACGATGTATTGACCTATTGGCAAATCCTTCACAAGATGGTCTTACAGCAGCGCGAAACGATTGTGGCTATGAATTGCAACGGTATTGGGCAACTATTTTGTGGCTTCTGCAGCTTTGGTCCTGGTTCTGGTTCTGGATCTGCCACGAGGCTGTTCCCTAGAGTCAACAAGCCCGGTGCTGGGAACACGACCATCAGATCCAAAAGACTATCCCCCAGTTGGTGTTGAATACGCTTGCCAGATCAGTTCTTCATTCTTTATCCATCCATCCTCCCGTCCGTCCGTCTATATTTTCCTTCGTCCCTCCATTCCAAACTTTTCAAGCACGCAAACATGGACAGTCCGACACCCAACATTCCAAGGTCGAAAGATGCTCGCTTCAAGACAACGTGGTATTTATCAGGGCAAAGAACTCTGGCCCACCAACAGGTATAGACCGTCAATATGACCGAGAATCGATCCAAAGCCGTCGAGTTTGTACTTCGAGACGGGGCATAGAGAACAACAATTGCCAATGACCAGAATACGGGGCTAATACCGGATTCGAGTCAAACTACGGTTCATTCAAGAACCCCCTGCACCGAGGTTCAAGGACGGTATACCCGTCGGCGATTTTCCAAGACAATGGTAGACGTTGCTACACGTTCGGTGTTAGGACTGTCGGCGTCGATATGCGCACGATAAAGAGTATACATCGGTTGGTTTTTCTTTCAGCAGACAACCTTGGGTCACGGGTAACGACGCTTCTATAAAGATTCGACGACGTTCTCAGCACCTACGACTATTTCCTGGTCAGCCTCGCCACTCTTCTCATCATTTGTCTCATTGTCGTCTCGTTCATCCCGCACTGCAGCGAACAGCAGCGGCATACATCGTTAGTTCTCGATAGACCAGATGACCCGGGAGGATACGGGCAAGAACTGGAGCCCGGTTATGCTGGCAGGTTATCGTGAAGCGAGGAAGAAGGCCAATTCTTGGATCGATGGCATCTACTGCCTGGAGACCACGACCAATCTGGGGAGTAATCAGAGAAAGCTCATAGGATACCTCGGACTACCAGATGTAACCGGCCTCAAGGTCATGTTTACCGCTGTTCGGCCGGTCGTGCTCAACTTTGGACGGCTCAAGGATGCAGATCTTTTCATTCCTTCTCTAAAGGTCTTCCAGTGCCGCCACTCATCCCATATGATGACTCCTGGTCCAGTGAGGACGACTTGCCTGATCTTTCCGAGATGCCACCTCCTCCGCGAGGTATGTCTGTTGAGCCTGCTCCAGAACCAAGTCGAGGTATCAAGGGTCCTTCAAACATCAAGATATCCAACATCCTCAAGGAAACCACTGCCCCTAATCCGCCAGCCAGCCTTATCCGAATCGCGTCCATTCGGCCATCCGACAAATTAACCCTGGATCTAGATTGTCTTGCCCGTCAGATGGCCTACTTTTGCCATTCGGCGCAAATATCCAGGAAGGCTCCAGTATGTTGTCCTGCTCGGCCAGCATCCGTCAGAATATCTCCAGAGAAGCGAATACACGAAACAAGTATTCGAAACAGAAGATCGCAAGAGAATATCTACAACAAAAAGTGTGCTGGGTGCACTTGGAGAGTCGACTGGAAAGGCTGCCGAGACCACGAGCCGGAACACTGCATCTCGCACTTCTAAGAACAGGTTTGGGCTGGAAGACAAGCAACAACAAGCATTGCCACACTGCTTCAATTGTCTACTCGGAATGGTTCCTCCAAGAGATATGCAGTTTCTCTGCCTCTGTCATAAAGTATAGGGGTTCCCGGCCGTGAGAGGCAACCGGCACGTCGAATTGAATCATGATTCGGAGAACGCAACCAAGCTATGTTCTTGGTGCTATAGCTCACAAGGACACATTCTGTCGGCCGTTTCGGGAGCTATCTTCAAGCGCATCTTTCACCCGTTCTGACAAGTACGTCCGCTGACAACGCCCTGCGCAATGCGAAGTTCGACCTTCCGCGAAGGCTTCCACCTTGTCGACCGATTGCTGAAAGAAAACGCCGATCGTAGCTGGCCCCGATGCCGGTGCCACTTGTTCCTGCCGGCGAACGTCAACGTAGGTACCCATGGTGTCAGCGATGCGTCAGAGCAATCGGTCATCCTGACGTCGCTGACTGTACCGTCAAGGCTGGATCTTGGTTCGAATATATGTCTTGTTGCGGCATTGCTCAGAGTCTTCAACAAGCAATCATGGATCCTGTCTCCAAGAAGATTCGATGATCCAACACGTGCATGTACTGGGTTCGCGACACTATGAAGCTACGATATGAAGGACTTGAAGAGATCCGCACCGAGACGGACGACCCATCATCACGGCCACTGCCTGATTTTCAACTATTAGAGATGCAATGGATACTGAACCGCGTAACTGCAACGAGTGGAGCTGCTGAGCAAGATGACGACTTCCAGGATGATACTGACAGCGATGGAGACGAAGCAGGGGACTTAGCGACATACAATCCGACCACCCAAGCCATCCAGGATTCCAGGTCACCAGGTGGGGGACTCATCTGAGGATGAAGCCTAACGCAATGATAATCTACGCGAAGGCCATGTTGTTGTCGTCCAATTGCTGGCAGCTAATGCCAATCACCTCAGCCAACAAGGTCGCGCTACCTCGACCAACGCTATGATCCACGGGCAACAGGTCCAGCGTACCGCGCTGTTTCAACTGTTTCATCTTCGCTGTGGAACACGCACCCCTGATTCGGGGGTCGAATAGCATACTCTCACAACAAAACGAATGTGCGGCTTGAAATGCTACATGTTGCCATTCAGCATGCCATCTACAACAGCAAACATCATCAGGTGAGCTAACTAAAAAATCATCATGGCTATTATGGATCTGCTCTTCGAGTACGGCCAAGCCCGCCTCCAGCAGTTCGACCACCAAAGATTGAGCGACCCGGCCAAATGGATCCTCGGCGACAAGGGCTGCTTTCTGGCCACCACCGCCATCAACGACTGGGGGTACTGTGTGCTGCAAAATATTTCAGATCAACAAGTCCAAGACCGCAGTTTGGGTCTGCCTGTCCCACCAGGGGGTTCGTCCATCTATTTTATTTCGAACAGTAGACCATCCCAGTTCATTTTGTTTGTACGAAATCACCAATCAACAGCCACGTTTTTATCGAAGAATGGCCGATGAGGATTCGGACAATGCGAACCACAGTGCGTTTCCATCACGATTTATCGTCGTGTATCTTGAACAATCACCAGCAGCCTTACTTGTGGTCGTTGCTGGCCGTTTGTGAGTCGGGCAATTGCGTATGGCTGGCAATGTGGACAAGCAATGCGACAACTTGGCTGCGACACAAAATATCCAAAGACAAGAACGTGTGGAATCTGTAACCAGATTCCAACGCCGGCTCTGAGGCGTTTTCGAATGGTTTCGATGCCGCAGTTCTATATATCTCCACGATAGGGGATCTTGACGAGAAAACCACAAGCCTGCCAAAGTTCAGAATGCGGTGTTATGGTGAGGGCTTTCGCGGCGGTGTCGAATCTTACAATCAAGCGGTAAGTATGCTCTTTCTGAGCTTACTGTAGTTCTTGAGTTCACCCGACAAGTGTGTTGCAGATCGACACCATAGGTTCATATCTATGGACGGACGGGGGCAGTTCGCAACCCAATTCAGAGTCTTACGCTCGTGTGATCGCAATCGAGTCTACCCCTGTTCCAGTCTTTGGCAGAGTTTATATATATACAACCTTCAACAAAGTTCCATCGCGGATCCAGACGCAATGGAAGACATTGTGGAGACTCAGTCTGTACAACAACTTAGTCTTGGAGTTCATGTTGACTCTGATTCATCTCAGAAACATCGAAATAGAAATTCAGCGTTTGTTTCGTTTCCACTACCGTGGTTGGAGGTACATCTCGCAGGCAGAGCATGATCGCAATGGTACCTATCATGGACACATTCTCGATTTCAAAGCGCCAACAACAAGTCATTATTACAGAATCTGGGCAGCTGGAACGATAGAAAGACCCTGGAGGACGATGCACGGTATCCTCGAGGTCTTTTCGATGACATTGACAGTCTCGTCCACGACCACTTCCTACGCCTCACAGTACCGACGACGACACAGACGATATGGTCATTACGCATACCACTACCCGCGTCCAGTTGACCTGACCAGAGCCGTCCATCGACTGCACCTGGCACTCCGGACTGCCGAGCGTAAGCTGCGTCGCCTCGAACGCGATGCTCCTGCGACTCCAGGGGCCGACATTTTTCTCAAGTCCTTTGGCTTCTCGCCCGAACGCTCCTATCCTCCAGGAGATATTCGCAGCTCTCCCACCTGCGAGTCGCCTTGCCGCCGCGCCTGCCCCGGTCGCTGGTCCGACTGCCAGCACACATTTCGACCTCATCGCGTCTGGCCCCTATCTTGGGGTGTATTGGTCTTACTAGCTCGCCCCTGAGGAGCTGGCCCGGAATCAACTGGCGTGAGACAGGGCCTGAAACGGACTATTCAGGGGACGATGGAACCACCCAACCCAAACCCTCAGGCAGCCTGAAGAAGAAGCCCGAGACGAAAGCACCCAAGAAGCCGGCCGTGAAGGCGAAACCCGATGTGGGACGAAAGAGCCGGCCCAATCCTCTTACCGTCTGGGTCAGAAGATGGAGCTTCTAGACTGTTTGCGTCACGACCAGCCCGGACCTGTTGCAACTCACGCCGCAATGCGCATCGTGCTTGGAAACTTGCCTGACACACAACCCAGCCTGTGCTGGGCCGGCTTGTCGTCTGTTCGGGACCGCCGGTACTTCAAGCATTGAATATGGAGATCAATGCATCGAGAACTTCCATTCATACGAGCTACAAGCTCTTTTCTGCGAGCCAATAGTGAAAAGGCGGTACTCCACGAAAACCGAGTTGAAAGCGGATGTCACCGGTATATTGCATGCAGCCAACTTCATCTTCTATGGCCTCCAGGATCAGGCAAGGCCAAGACGAAAAGAATGATTGAGCGGGAGGTCACAAGAGACCTTGTCAATTTGAAGTGTGTGGTCATCGGTATGGAAATATCATCCTCACATTCGATCTGCGAATGAATCATGCTAATAGAAGATAGTTGACGAGTTTGCCATGCTTTCCTCCGATGCTGTTCCTCCACCCGCGACACCCGTCAGGCCTTAGTGCTGCTGTAGCTGACCTTCAACTGTACAGCAAACAAAAGAATCAACTAGTGAGTCAATCCGTCCAGAAAATTCCCTCGATGCCGACTTGAGTTGAAGCAGAAATGGCGAACCAGTGAGTCAACTTGCCATCCTCCTTGTCCTCCTACCGCCTCGTACAGTCATTGACAAGAGCAGGATGAATAACAACAACCGTGCGCTAGTCCTGTGGGACCCGAGGACGGCCGTTGTCCGTCGGGCTGCCCTGGATCTCCTGCCTGCCCAGGTAGATCCAGTCTTGGTAGTGGGCGGCCAGCAGTTGGCCTTTCTCGTCCATAATCGTCCGGGACGTGCTGTGCTTGTTATGCCTGGCCGAGATGTTCCCTTTGTACGAGGGAGGATCACATTCAGGCTAGGATTCTGGTTTCGAGACATGGTCATCAGTTTCTTGATCGACGAGAGATCTGCTCAGATGAAGCACGAATAAGCGAGAAGCCACACTACAGGCTTCGTGACTGGACAATTTCGGGGTGGTGCAGTATGAAATTATCTGCAAGACTATTGGGTTTCCCGACTTTCTCCGGTGTAGTCCCTAAAGGTCATACGGAAATGTTAAGGCAGCGGCTGCAACTCCTTGACCACTTTAACCATGTTTTGTCGACTGCATCGCTCACCAGAGATGCTGGAGTCCTCGGTCGTCGACTGGACTAGGATGGTGTTCTTCAGGTTGAGCCTATCGTTGACTTCAAAACTACACGTCTCTCCGAGCGACAAAACGAGAAGTTAAAATGTTCCAATTTACATCCGCATGCAAACAACGTCCTCGGTCCAGTTGTGGCGTTGTCCAGATTCCGGAAAGACAAACAGTCCGGCATGATGTTGGACTGGGCACTTATCGCACTTCCAGAATCTGAGGCACCTCGAGAAAATAACTTGCCAGGAAAAGTCTTCGGTGAGGAGCCCGCCTTAGTGGCTTCACAGATCCTGTCTTCAAGATAGGAAGAACGTCAGGATTGGCGGAAGTACACGTCAATCCTGTCCCGACAAGACTGTAAGATCCGACAACAAGGGTCTGGCCTGAAGAAGAAGATAACCGGTCTTCACGCAGTGTGCTGGTGATTCAATATAGTGTGGATTACGGATGAACATCAAGCAGGTTTCTCGAAGATCAAGGCGCTGGAACTCGACACGAGAGAGTGTCGTCCACACGCAGTCGATCTGACTTCGTTGCTGGCCAGACGTCTCAAGTGGACCCAGATCTCAAGGCCGACACTTCATACAGTACCAGATGACTACCCTGGGAAGACTCCCGAAGTACAGATATCATGGAGATGAATATCCAGATATCACGAAAACCAGGATCGACTCGAGTGGGCTTTCACCAGTACATCGCGGCATTCTACCAGATGGTCATACCGCCGGATCTTTTGTGCTCTTTATAGCAATGAAGACGGCAGGTTTAAGGGGAAACTGGTAATCTACGCCGGGTGGCCGACAACTCAATGGGTGACTGGGGCGCTTCTCCACAATCTCGGGTTGAAGTTTTTTACTTTGTGGCCCTCAACAACTGACGTCGAAAACGCGGAGATCTTGCGTCGGTTCAACGACCCGGAGGATGACACGATACTCCTCGTGGCAAACACCAGAAGTTCGGCGCTCGGACTGAACATCTAGGGTGCATACCAGCAGATTCTCATTCTGGAAATGCCAGACAACATCAACACAGTCATCTAGATAATTGGTAGAGTCCATCGCATCGGACAGAGCGACGTCCAGTATATCTGGCTGGTGTGCGTCTTGGAGACGTATGACCAATGGCTATACGCAAACGCGACTGCGAAGATGTTGGCTTAAATTACCGGTGAGTCTGAGATGGTTAGCCGCGCCTTTACCGCGTAAGACCGCCAGCGCATAATGGCCAACGCGGGTACGCAAGACCCTGAACAAGTTGAAGAGTTTATGCAGTCGGTCAAAGACAGTGTCTACGTGAGACAAGCGGAAGAGTACATCAAAATCTAGCTGGGACAGCGCTGTTCGCGTCTTAACTGGCGGACCAAGCACCTCTCTGACCCCCATCTGTCCGGCACGGTGAGTGCAAGTACGCCAGGCCAACGACACAGTGCTGCCAGAATGATGCCCACACACCCACGACCAACAGGTATGTCTAATACTTAGACGTGTATTTTTCGAATGCGGGCACGCTTCTGATTTGTGTGAACTGGCCACAAACAAACCCAGTGAGAGGCAGAATGCCTCTTCCAAAATCTGGGCATCCCGGTGTATAACCTGGTGCCAAAGATGTCGACTGGGGAGCGAGACCCGATACCATTTAACAGGCGACTCAAGAACTAAACCTCTATCCTATGGACAGCTTTAGCGTCAACGATTCAGAAACCCGGTCAGAGTCGTGGTTGCGAACATGTGAAGTGCGGCTTTAGGGTTGAATCTGCAGAAAAGCTGTCACAAAATCTTGGTATTCGACGTTATCGACAGCTTCAAACAACTGGTCCAGGTCATTCCGATATCGAAACGGCACGTAAGAAACCAACAGCCAGGGATGAACCTGGGTAACTTCACGTCTCAGAACAACCCACTCAACGCTGGAGGACGGATGGAAATTGTGTCACTGGCTTAAGCCGCCGGCGGATATCATAGCCCTGGACGTGAATACCTAGAGGATGCGGGATATGAACCCTGAATTCATCCGGTGGGCGCAGAACGGCATGAGGCTTACTGCAACTTTCAGGAGATCGTCGTCAACGGAGATCATGATGTCAACTATACAGATGTGATGGCTATAGAGCAAAAGAGGACTGCAGAAGAGGCAGGGCTGGACGACGCGATCATGTTGGGAGAAAACCTGCCTGCTCAGAAGAGAGTGGTGTCTCGCACCGAACCAGATTCCCGTCCTTATAACTGCTCCGAAAGTGAGGTCAAAGCCAGTGAAACGAACCTTGATCGGACTGGAAGGTGAACGACTCCCTGACGTGGCCGAGATCTTGAATGCCCCAATTACTGGCCGCGATCGACGTAAACAACAATCTTCACACGCCCTCTACCGACGTCAACCTCTTTTTCCAGTGTCTGAAAGAACGCTCCAGCACCTCACTTAATCACTTCCATCAGTTCCATCCCGAGTAACCCTTGGAGTGGGTGTTTACGCCAGTTTGGGATGTGTCCTCAGCTGTCAATGCTCTTCGGTGAGCCATATGTCCTTCCACCATGTGGCCAAGACGAATCGACATGGACCTGGAGCTCGCAAAGCCTGTTGCAAAGGTTATATTGATTGGAACCAGACCGATTGACTATTGGAGCATTCTGTTGAAATTCTGATTTCACAGTGTGGCAGTGTGGTCATGCGCAAGAGAACAGCCGTGCGCGTAGACCGGTTGACCATCAAACATGTTCGCTGCGAACCTATCGTCAACTCAGATTACGAGATGAGAGATGTGGTTGTTTCTGATGATGAACACGAAGATATGGTTTTTCCTGATTATGAAAACGATGCCATGCTTACTCCCGACGACCACGACCAAGTCATCGATTGTTCGGTGGGTGGATGGCCTGAGTCCGAATCTAAAGCTGTCGCTGCGGAACAGGGCTGTATTCTGGTTGAATGTTCACCGTCTGAGATCTGAGAAGATCGCACAAGAGACCGATACCCACGATCCCTGCCGTGTTATATGGCCTACTCTGCCTGTCACAGCTTATTGACACCGTGGAAGGTCATGGCACACAGGCAACTTGTTGCTGGTCAAGGCTGCTGCAACTCCCTGGCTGCCTGCTTCGATGGCGGATGTCAACAAACAAGGCCATGTTTTCATATCCTGTTGACATGCAAGGATATTCTGACCCTATAACCTCAAAGAATTTCCTTTGAGTGACTCAACTCAACTGCGAAGATCGTCAAAGCTCAGCCCACACCAATTTCCCAAGATTCGAACGAGGACATCTTTCGAGTCTTGCTTCCTTTGTGAACACCGCTGGTACAGATTTCTTCCAAGAATTCTTCATCGACAAAATCGGAAGGACAGTGTCCGCATTGGCCAGGAACGATTTGCTCCACCTCTCTGGGCTGATGTATATGGGAGCATAATGGTATTGCAACCATGACTTGGCTGAAAGGTCCACGATCTTGGTGCTGGCTGACCAAGAGTCTAGCAGCCACCCCGACGGCGCCTAACAAGCGACGCAAGTGTGCCAAGTTGCCTTGTTGCCGCTGTCTCTGTGCAGTCATATCTCCAAGTATTCCTAGAGAAGATCAGAGACATCCAACGGAGGCTGCCATCCAATGATCCACAATTGGACCAGGACCTAATGAACCAATGAGAGCGGGCTGTCCGACCTTCAGCTCAAAAGTGGTGTTGCGTTCGTTTTACCTCTACTGCCCGTCCGAATGTCGTGGTGGTAACAACTCGATTCTCAAGAAGTGTCTGGATGTGGCTGAGCGGTTCAAGCGCGACAACCTCGAAAGCATCTCACAAGCGCCAAACACAAAGCTAAAGCCGATGCTTCGTGTCACAGTGAATCGTGACAGCAACCCCCATGATAAACAGAGTCTCCGACCTGTTGGGTTACCTGAACCTGCTGTGGACTCCGGATTGGAAGCACGATCTGATCCGATTAGACAAATTCGTCCTACCAGAAGACCCCCGGGTCATCTTCGAAGAGTCGACCACGCAAGTCTTTAATGATTCGGCACCCCGCTACCAAGCAAGATACCAGAAGTGGCCGGTATATATATTTAACCCCAAGGTGTTTGCATCGCTCCTCAATAAAGGTCTCCTAGGGGGAGGGTCTTTGGCCCACAAAGTCCCCGGCAACATACTCAAGCGGATGCAGCTTAGATGGACCATGGCCAGTAAGATCTGGTCGGCCGACCACGACTACTACCAGCCTGGGGTCAACGTGCCCATTTACCGCATTGCCGGAGTCGAACTGGAGATGAGCCGCTTTGAAAAGAGAGAGTACCAGCGGGCGTGCCCTAAGATGCAGCCTTTCTACGCCACCTGCCGGTCCTCCTCCTGGTACTGTACGACATGGCGAATTCCGTATCGCCCTTCGCAACCATGTCTGTAATACTCTATCCGACTTCTGCAGTCGCCACTCCACGAGACCGGATCGCAGAGGCAGTCACTCGATCTCTCACCTATATATATATAACTTCGGAATTCCGCGAACAAATCTTCACAAAGATGACACCTGGCAATACATCTTGGTTCGGCACCCTCGCAGGCGGACTACAATACGACCTTTGTGCCGACGCCTTCCCGCCGGTAAAGATAAGCACGAGTACGAGTTGGTACCTACAGCACTAGAGATACTCGTGGCGATATAGCCATCATACCAGCAGGAGTCAACAACGCTAGGTCCAAGATCTCGATTCGACATTCTTGTCTTTGATGCTGTGCGAGGTGGAAAAAGCATTCTTACGCTTCGAGCTAAAGCCAAAACATCGAAGAATTGAGCCTGCTTTTGTCCCAAGATGACAGCCTGCGTATTTCTGCGCTATGGACAATACCCTATACAGCCTTCTCGAATAGTGCTATGGTCACAATTATCGACGGCACATGTCCTTTCACATGGAGCGCCTCATGAGCAGTTATAAGACAGTCGTACCAATCCTAACATTGGCAACACATGTGGTTGTTTGAGCCGTCGGATGGACAGAACAGAGTTGTGCCGATGTGGGTCCTTCCCCTTTTCCGCTCAGCCTTGCGGATCTGATGGCTCAATTTGGAAAACACCGCCCTCTGTTGACAACACAATGTGAGCAGGAACCGACGATAGTGTATTACGGCTAGAGGAAGTTTTGGAGTGTATCATGGAAGCATACCATGGGAGAAGCAGATGGTCGGAAGAGTCGAGTCAATCGACCTCATCTCACTTTCTCCACTTCACAAGCAAGAGATCCGACAGAATCAAACAAGGTGGAGTCTATGATCAACGGACTCACCGATCCGCAAGTCAAGTCTATGGTCGGAGGGCTTGTTGCCATGAACGAGAAAATCACCCTTGACAGTGCCATCAACATCTTGACCGGATGCACTCGTGAGCGAATTCTGGGGCAGACTCGGGTTACCCTACCGGCCGGCTGGAAATTCGGGACCCATCCCAACTTGTGAACAAGGTGTTGTTGGAGGGACTGGATCGTATGTTCGCCAAGAATACCCCAGCCTGTGCACTGGCCGGTACGAGACAAGAGGCAACTCACACTTGCAAATCCTGCCATCAAAGCCAGTCTGCGCGGAATGAAGATGTTCCGGATCATTCGTGGACGGTGGACGGTGGACCGCTGGTGGGCATTCGATCTTCTGGTATCGAGAACAGGTTGAAGCTATTAGACGACGCCGTAAGAAGGAATGGGAGTCGCGACTACCTTACATAGTGGGCAGGTTGTCTTCTATTCGTCTCCGGGAGAATTAGCGGCAAAGTCGCAGTGCAGACGTAGCCATGGACCAAATGTTTTCGAAGCCAGACTTTGGCCATGGACAGTCTGTGCAATCCTGGTTCCGCTGCCGGGCCAAAAAACCCAACATCCGAAACGGTTCATATGGACATACCTTGACAACTTGGGCCAACCATGGCCACCAGAGACGCTGGATGACGCATTGGAAGAAGGCGAGTGGTACGACGAGAAAGGGGAGCTGGGTCGAGGTGCCCGGAACAGTCAAATCACCGGACGGAATATGGCGAGGCCGGTGCAGGACAGTAGACGCCAGCCCAGCAACCGAGGTGCCTAAGCCATCAGAAAGGCTATAGGGCTGGATTGACCACCGAGGACGTCGGTTTTCTTTTTCTTTGGGGGCAACTCTCAACCAGTCTGTCATGGTAGGCCAGTAGTTGCATGAATTGTGTGTATTCTCTCTCTTCTCAACCAGGAGAAAAGGGGTAGCTATGTAATCTGTCTAAACACCATGGATTCATGGTGGCAGGTGGCACCCTGTTCCCAGGGAAGGTGCATAAAAGGAAGGCGGTAACAGTCTGGACTATGGATATCATTCTAACAGATATGCAACAGCATATTGCAGACATGGCCACGGAGTTTGGAACCATCACCCATAGACTATCCGCTCAAAAGGTGCAGCGAGATTATGCTTTCAGAGACACCATGAAATGTAAATTCGCTAAACCCAGCATAAGAACCGAAGTCGCCCACATAGACCGCATTGTCTCATAAGCTTGATGCTCAAGACCTTCTTTTTGATTGATGCCTTTGAATATTTTGTCATGGATGACCCGATCGCTTTTCTGAGCACAAACAACGACCCGGAGCCAATTTTGGTCGGAGCCACTCCAATCTCTATAACAACTTTTTGAAGTGGTGACCTGACCAAAGCCTAGTTAGATTCTACTGATTTGTTGTCGAGGAATCAACAGGATGACTATACACCAAAGGGCTATTGCCGACGATGCTGAATCAACAATTTTCATAAGACTCAACCTGCAAACGTTGAGTTTATATCGTGGTTCTTCGGGTAATAGTGATCAACATGGTGCCTCCGAGCAATGGTCACTGGAGTTGGTGTCATACTTAACACCCAGAACCAGTCCACATGATGAAAGAAATGCATATATCCAACAGCGGTCTGTCAGGCTGAACGATTACCGTGTCGTAAGATGCAAGGGAGACTTTGGGAGCGCGGTGAGAGCAACGACAAACCACGGGATTGGCGTGTACCATGCCCCCAAAAAAGTCAAGTCTCTATACAACAAGCCGGCTCGCCGTTCAGGTCGCAGGATTGCTCGCAAGATGTGACTGCCTGAGGCGCCGCTCTGGCCTTTAGCCTCTAGCTGATTGTGGTTGAGGTTGAGGATGTCTACCCTCCAAGTCAGGAACCAGCAACAGCCTTGAAATGACGATCACTCCCGGAGAAAGACCTTTTTCCAAATCGCAACTCTGCAGAATCCATCGCTTGCTAATTGATGTTACAATGAGGTCCGAGAGAGAAAGAGGCCTCACAGGATGGAAGGCCAGGTTGTTGAGTAATCAATCAATCATGCGGCACTGGCAGTTAGAAGCGGCAACACCAATGAAAGAACCATCGCCATATCCATCGCCCATTCGTTCATCGTCCCATTTCTCTTTCGCACCTCCATCCTTTTCCGGCAGTCCCTTCCAATGATGGCCATCTATCCCTGCTTCAATGGCCCTCAGTGCGGCGGCAACAGCCCGGCCTCTGTCGACACCAAGCTAGTGATAGCCTCAAGCTGTGTCTCGACAAATCCGCGAGCAAGAATTGTCATCATGGTAGATGGGATAGCGACTTACTAAGCTCCTGCATTGACCCAGGCCAGTTTAGGTAAACGAACGAGACCTCTATCGTCCAATGGCCATGGTGATGATGAGCAGCGGCCCCTTGAACATTGATCCTGACTGGCCGTTCCGACGACGCTTGCTGACTGTTTGCTGCTGGGTATTTGACATGCCGGACGGACCATGCAAGCACCTCATTGAGGACTCGAGTCACTCGACTGACAATAGCTGATAGCGACAGGAGACAGGAGACAAGTATAAGTAAGGGAAGAGATGTTGCAAAGGAAGGATGAGTAGGATAGACTACCGGTCCTCCTCCATCACGTACTTCTACAGGCCTGAGGCAAACTGACCAGACACCACGAAAGCCGCGAAAGCGAACCTGTTAGCCACCATGCCTCTATCCTCCAACGAACAGACCAACATGACCGCCGGAGCGCTGGTCGACACGCTGAAAGGCGCGTTCCACACACCACCAGGCTTCAGACCAGCTCATGCCCGAGGGATTCTGCTCGACGGCACATTCACGCCCACCGAGGAGGCCCAATCCCTCAGCTCTGCACACCACTTCAACGCCCCTTCTACTCCGGTCATGGTGCGGTTCTCCAACTCGACAGGCCTGCCTCAGATCCCAGACAATGCCAACGACGCCAATCCACGCGGCATGGCGACACGCTTCGTGCTCCCCGAGAAGGACGGCCGACGCCAACATACCGACATCGTGGCGCACTCGACGCCCTTCTTCCCCGTGCGCACCGGCGAGATGTTTCTGGAGATGCTGCAGGCCATCGGGGCCTCGTCTGCGCCGGATGCCCCCAAACCGGCCCCGATCGAGGTGTTTCTCGGCAAAACCCCGTCGGCGGCGGCCTTTGTCGGCGCGCCCAAACCTACGCCCGAGAGCTTCGCCACGGAGAAGTACTTCGGCGTGAACGCGTTCAAGCTCGTCGCCTCAGACGGCAAGCCCACCTTCGTGCGCTACCGCATCACCCCGGACGCTGGAGAATCGCATCTGTCCGAGGACGAGGCTAAAGCTAAAGACCCCGCGTTCCTGCACAACGAGATCCAGACGCGTGTCATTGACGGTGGCGCCTCGTTCACGCTGTCAGCACAGATCGCTGAAGAGGGTGACACCACTGACGACGCGACTGTCCATTGGCCGGAGGACCGCAAGGTCGTCAAGCTGGGCACGATTAAGGTTGAATCCGTGACCGACGAGAACGATGAGAAGCAGCGTACTACTATCTTCGATCCCGTCCCTCGTGTCCAAGGCATTGAGCCTAGTGATGATCCGCTGCTCGATATGCGTGCGAGCATTTACCTGATTTCCGGAAAGCAGAGGAGAGGCGCCGGACCTCACCATTAGGACGACTTTTTCTGGATTGAAGCATTGTGTGATGGCTTGTCTGGGTCGTCTTGATCCATGATATGTCTGCTCACATGGTCCAGGACAGCAATGAGACACCAGGTTGTAGTAGATATGCAGGGCAAGTCAAGGCAAGGTATGGAAGGGGGCGACCCGAAGAAGGTAAGCAGTTTTGGAAAGTGGTATACATGGTCATGCGATATATGAAGCCAAATTCCATCTTGATGATATCTCAAACGTCCTTGTGTGTCCTACTAGTTCATTCTTTCGCCCGTCTCAACGGGTTCGTGTCATGAACCCCACCGGCCTTGGCCGTCCGCCATGCAAGGCTGCAATCGGATGGATCTAAGTCGCTAATAGCAACTAGTAGAAATTCCCCTAACTGGCAGCCAGAGATATCTTCCGCAGTCTAGTCGCGCTGGATGTAAGGCGACGGGTCATAAAGACTCGGTTGTCCAAGAAGGTGGACGACATGAAGACAGCATAGAAAAGAGCGGCGCATCAAAGTCAATGCATCAGTATGATGTCAATCACATTCCTGCATAGGAGCTCTACCACATTCCAGGTGTAGCTCTCAGTTCTGTGTCCCTTTGCGCCCAAGACCCAAGAACTCCAATCCACATTGTTCGCACCGACAATTGCAGGAAAAGGGACATGTAGTCCTTCTCCAGTACCCAAAGCATACATAGGCATAGATCTCATTCATCTGCTCGAATGGGCGAACATTTTTCACCCTTATCCCAATCTCGTTCTTGTCTAGCATTTGGCGCCGTACATTCCCCTTTGAAGTCGGTCAGTCAAGCCAGTCGCCAAAGAACCGTTCTGTCATCACAACCAATTCTGTCCCCGAGTTCGCCTGGCCTCCCTCTCTCCCTTATACAGCCCCTTCTTGCTCGTCGGAATCCCCATGCCTATCAGGCTGGCCATCATCATGACTCCAGCCTCCACCGAATCAATGACATTGACCGTCCGACGACCATCTTCATCCCTCACAGCGTCCTTCGCGGCACGTGTCAAGTCCGTCATGCCGGCACATCCCAGCAGGATTGTGTCTGCGCCTTTGACGACCAGGGTGCGCGAAGCATGAGCGATGCGCTTGGCCACCTCCTCACGAGGGCGGGACTCGAGCTCCAACACTCCGAGGTGGGTTGACTCACTACCGACATAGAAATGCGACAGGCCATAGGCGGCGACCTGGTCGTCCTGCATGATTTTGGAGCGTTGCCCGGTGGCCACGATGCCGAAGCGTCCACCGAGCATGCGCGCCACGTACAGGCTGGCTTCCATGATGCCGATGACAGGAACATCATAGGACTCACGCAGCGCCTCAATCAGCGGGTGCTTGGAGAAACAGGCGACAATCATGCCGTCGAAATTCTGGACGGTCTCGCCGTTCGACGCGGCGTGCTTGGCTAGGTCGCGCAGCACGGCTTCTGTCGACATGATGGCGTCGGTGGCCGATTCAATCGCCGTAGGCGCCGGATAAGGGGCAGTATACCCCGTTACCTCGACGCCGGTAGGGATTATCGGTCGGATGGAATTGAGGCATGCTTCGGTCATGGATCGCGTGGAGTTCGGGTTAATCAGCAGGATCTGGTGCGGGCGTTGACGCGACAGCGAGGTGACGGGCGTGGAGAAGGGCGATCTACTACTAGACCCGATGCCTGATGGCCGTGCGCTGGGGCCAGCAACGCCGTTTGGACCTCCCAGTCCGCCCTGCATCATTGGGCCGGACCCAGGTGCGGCGGAGTGTGATACTGGGCGGGAGATGTGATGTTGGCCGCCGGCGGTGCCGCTGTGTTGGGCGAACAAAGGCTGGACGTTCTGAGGCGGTGAATTTGGCATCGGTGGCTGCACGGCTATGGGGTAGCTCTGCCCGATGGTGCTACTGCGTGATCGCGAGCTCGAACTGCCCTCTACGAAGACATTACCGGACGATGAACCTGCTTCATTGGTGGGCGATTGAGGAGGAAAATGCTGGCTGGGGAAGCGGCCGCTGTAGGCGTTGACATTATTCATGGCATTGGAAGGAGGTGACCGTTGGCGCTGCAAGGGAGGGGACTGATAAGAAGACATGTTCGACTCTTCCTTCGACTCGTGACTGACAAGACGTTGATGTGGCTGAGGGGAGGGAGAGCGAGAGCCACCGGGACGCAAGGAGAGAGGGTGATCTGATTGAGGTTGAGGTTGAGGTTGAGCTTTAGCTGGCTCGAGCACGTCTGGTGGTGATGGTGATGGTTGTGGTTGTGTTTGCGAAGAATCAGCCATAATAGAGGAAGCGTTGATTGCTCGATTGTTCTCTTGCCCGGCCGGGTAAGCGAGGGTTTGCAGGGATGATGCTGCGTGGGAGTCCGTTGTTAGGTGCGCCCTGGATTGTCTGGAGATGTCTAGGATTCCCCCGTACGTCTGTGGCCAAAGCCTGTTTTATTCTCCGCTGTTGGCTGGATCGATCTAGATACACAATATTGTGGTGGTGACGACACGATGGCGACGTTGACAGTTGCGAGCAGCGAGAAGAAGGGTGGAAGAGGACAGTCAAACCGGACAGGTGGTGAATGTCAGAAAGGCCTGTCCCATGTCAGTGTACTACCGGCAGCCGGTCAACTCTCCTTATCTTCCTCATCGAGAGTCGCAGGACGGAGGATGAGGCGGACAATGCTAGTCCAAAGTTGTAGCCTGAGTGCTATATTTGGACTGCGGCTGCGGTTGCGGCTGCGGACACCTGGCACTGGCACTGAGTGGCAGTTGGCAGGTTGGGACAAGCTACAGTAAGGTTATTGCTGGAGGGAAGGACCATCGGTGCCTAGTAAGGCTCCTTAGGCTCCCTTGGCTCCCTAATAGGCGGTGCAACAGACACTGGATCGCTTTCCAGGCACTCACTAGACCCGGGAGCTTGCTTGGACCCGGCAGCTGAGCCCCTACTTGAGGTACTATTCGGTTGGCACCAAGCGAGTCAACCTCCAACCTTTTGGCCCCCAACTTGAACCTGGAACCTCGAATCTCAGCTGCTGTGACACACTAAGTCGACACTGGCCTTGAACTGCAGTGGTTCTACAGTATCTCGACAATTGCAATTGCCTGCGCTCGCTCGTTGTGTCCCTTCGAATTCTCACTCACAGCTCTACCGCAGCTACAAAAACTCGGGCTCAACCACGCCCGTCTGCGTCGCAATCCGTCCGTAATGCTCTATCCGACGGTGCCTCTCAAAGGCAAACACCTTCTCCTTGCCTCGGCGACACATGGCTAGATCAATCTCGGCCACGATCAACTCATCCTCTTCCGTAGATGCCTCTACCACCACCGCTCCATCGCAGTCGACGATACAGCTGCCTCCGATCAACGGATATTTCCCATCCTCGACCCCGCATTTGGCCACATTGATGCTGAAACAGGCGTTGGCATAGCTGTTGTATGCGACGCACAGCTTGTTGTGAAACAGGGCCTCTTCTTTGGCCTTTTCTCTGGTTGAGATCTTCTCGCTCGTCCCAAGCAGGTCTGGCGACCAAGCCGTGGTGTTGTATCCACATAATACCACTTCCACTCCCTGCAGCCCATATTCTCGCCAGGCCTCCGGCCAGCGGCGGTCATTGCAGATGAGCATTCCCATAATCGGGTCTCCCTTCCCCAGAGTGTCCGGCTCGTTGGGTTTGGTGCCCGACTTCTGGGTGACAGCACCAGGTATCAGGTCGGGAGCACGGAATGCCTGGAAACCCAGGTTGCCTGGCTTGAAGTATCTCTTCTCCAACTGGTTGGTGGCGTCCTTGCTGGCATATGGCTCGAACGTGCCGGGTAAGTGTACCTTGCGGTACTTGGAAATGACCCGGTCGACCTGTCCTGAATAGTATACGGCGGTGTTATAGTGGACATGGTCGTCGCCCGTACATTCAGCATAGCCCAGATACATGTCCATTTTGTATTCTCTCGCCCTGTCAAATAACGGCTTTAGGTTGGGAGACTTGGCCGGGTCGCCATCGACCTCACGGTCAAAATATTGCTCCAGCTCATCTCCTTCCAAGATATGACGGGGAAAGAATGTCACCGGGGCGATTTCAGGGTACACAATCAGCTTGGCCTGTTTCTGGTGGCCATCGTCCATTAACTTGATCATGCGTTCTATCGTCTCTGATAGAGGAGTGTAGACATGAACGGGGCCCAACTGGGCACCCGCGACAATGACCTTACGCGGGCCCGCACTGGGAGGATCGGTCTGGGTTGAGCCCATCTTATCTTGCAGCAACAGTGTATAGATTCACTGACGAGATGATATTCGGTGGATGGATACTGTATCACTCTCACTCCTCAAAATCAGTATTAGCATGTAGAAGGGAAGATGTTATCCACAAAGCCCCAGATATCCATGATGACCCTCAAGTTGTCTCCGTCTCCCGGCTCCTGGTCGAGCCATGTCTCGCGTTCATCAATGGCATTCGTCGTAGTTATCAACGGCCAACAGCGCCGAGGGGCAGACGGGGCAAGGACGGGCGTCGGATAAGTATCTCTGACATGAGGGAGAAACTGTCGCACTTGTCCGTGTCGCTGCGTTGGACCGTGAAGGACATCAGCGACGCCGAACAAATCTCTTACGGACACTGCGGGAGTCATCGATCCATCACAGTCCACTTCCAGTTGGGCTGATAAGAATGATCCAGACCCTTGACTCAGTATATCAATGGATGGGCTGCCATTTGACGCCGCCATGCGCAGGTAAACAGCCATCTTTCTCAGTTTGTCGCTGCCCTGGTACGCAGCATGGCCATCTATACCCTCATCCTGGCTCCGCTGCTGGCGCACCCCATCCTCACTTTGATCCTGCTTCCCATCAGCCTCCTCGTCCTTTGCTCGCTATACCGCGTCTCTTCCTTCCACCCGCTCTCCCACGTTCCAGGTCCTCTGATCGCACGTCTATCCTCCTTGTGGTTGACCTATCACGCCTGGATTGGTGACGAGGCCACTCTAACCAAGTCTCTCCACGAGAAATACGGTCCGATAGTCAGAACCGGGCCCAACAGTGTTGATATCGACGATGGAGCTGCTTTGGCCGCCATCTACACCGAAAAAGGTGGATTTGTGAAGCCACAGTTCTATGCCAACTTCGACATCGATGGTCACCAATCCATCTTCTCCGAAACGGATCCTCTCAGACGCGCCCCACGGGCAAAAGCCGTCGCCGTGCTCTTCTCGACCACGAGCCTCCGACAAGGCCAGGACATCATCTACAAATGTGTCGATCGACTCGTGGCACGATTGTCGGAAGGAAAGAAAGCAGACAAGAGAGGCAAACCGTTGAATTTGCTGAACTTGACGCGAGGCCTGGCCGTCGACGCGGTTACATCCTATCTTTTGGGGAACACATACGGTGCTCTCGACGAAAATGGCGTACGGGAGGAAAGGATAGCCGTCAAGAAGGAAGTCGCAGGAGCGCCTACAATGGACGAGCACGAGCAAGGAATGAGTGCCAGTGGTATGGTGGATTGCTTTGTTGCTGTTGGACGGTTCTGGTATCTGCCAATTTGGGCGTTTAAATGGGTGGAACGATTTGATGCCTGGTGGAATGCCGCAGATGAAGTGACGCGCAGTCTGGCTCGGGTCGACGACTATGTGACGAGCGTGGTCAGTGATGCCGAAGCCGCCATCGCCGCATCCAAGACCAAAGGAGAAAAGTCCACGTCTCACCCGTTGACATCTTACCCGGCACGACTGCTACAAGCGGGCTTCACAGCAGCCGAGACACGCGCTCAGTGCAAGGATCTCATGTTCGCCGGCACCGACAGCACTGGCATGAACCTTGCAACCATTCTGCATCGGCTTGCCCTGAACCCTGAATACTACCAGCGCACACGGGAAGAGGTCCTCGCGGCCAACCCGGGTTTCGATGATCTCCAATCACTACCCTATCTTCGCGGCGTGGTCAAGGAAGGACTTCGTTTGTCTATGGCCAACCCGTCGCGTCTCCCTCGTGTGGTCCCCGCTTCCGGTTGGACGTTCAAAGGGACGTACTTCCCTCCCGGCACCGTCGTCGGCTGCTCACCACTTGTTCTTCATCTGAATCCGGAGGTGTTCCAGGATCCGCATGCATTCAAGCCCGAAAGATGGTTCGAGCCATCTGAAGAGATGCTGCGGGATGCAATCCCCTTCGGCCTTGGCGCCCGACAGTGCATTGCACGGAATTTGGCGACCGTCGAGCTCTTCTGTGCGGTAGAAAGGGTGGTACGAGCTGATGTGCTCAAGGGGGTGAAGGCGGTCAAAGACAAGGTTGAAATTCTTGAGTGGTTCAACAGCAAAGTTGTTGGGGAGAGGATTGACTTGGTTTGGGAGTGAACCAAAGCATCTTTCTGTATTTGCATGGTTGTATTACCAAACTCCTCTCAGATGCCAGGGTCATGCTTCACACCACTTCGGTTCGGGAACATGAGGTGGCGCAACAGATCTGGCCTCGAGGCTGGCGATCGGGTTTGTTCAGAGAGGGCTGCCCTCTTGAGAAAAGCTCATTGAAACTTGCAGCCAGTTGACAGGTTGGCTGTCTCTTCCCTCATGATTGATCAGAAGCCTCGGCATGGATGCTTTTGGAAAGAAATCCACATCCTTGGCGATCACTTCCTAGCGTCAGGCAACAACGCAAGTCATATAGAATTCTTTCCAAAAACATCCATGCCGCCGGCGAGAATCGGACGTCTGTCGTGGACAGGAGGTCCAATTTACTTCAGATCAATAGTGACTCTGGAAGAACAATGGAGAGCATTAATACCCTGACAAGCATCTCGAGATGCTGGGTGAAGTTCCGGAAATTGCAGGCGCAGGAGCTAGACAGTGAGAAAGGTCAGGATATCCTGGCAGCAATCGGCGAAGGGCATCCTTTTCCAGAACCTCGACACGACAGAAGACACCAGCGCCGGGAGGGATGGCACCTGAGAGCGAGGCTGAGGTGTTGAACAAGGTGATAGGGAAGGATGGGACACAGAGCGGTGGTCTCGGCTATCAGGAAGCTTCGAATTGACTCACTGCCATAGAGGTGGAAGAGGCCGATCATGCTTGAAGCGCCATAATGAGGATTATAACATCCCTGTGTCCAACCCATACCTGCGAGACTGGCTTGAGTCTCGGAGAGCTGATTTGAGCCGACCTTGTCCCTCACACGTTTCAGTGCAAAGCATGCGAGACCTTTGCAATTCCACATAAGTCAGAAGTCTTCATAGCTTCCGATCTGGTGTCTTTCTTCTCTTGGGGCAACTCAGCATTTATGCCGTGGGCAATAGGCTCTTCATTTCGGCCGTCCCTCTCTTCTTACTTCCTTGGCTTTTGTATATGGTGTCTGACCAAGTCTGCCCTGACAGACATTCCAGGGCCGTGAAGAGGTTGGAGTCGTCGTCGTCGGAACTGGAGATAGTAGATACGGAGCGGTAGGTATTAAGAAGGACGGTATGGTTGAGGAAGAGCAAAGTAGACACCCATTAGGCATGTAAATTCTGTCAGCTTATCAGATTTCAACCAGACGAAGTGCAAAACGATCGTCAAGGATCAAGACAGATTGAACTTCACGTCACACTGCTCGCATGCTTAAAGACCTGTGTGAACTGCGGCATCTGCAAAATCAGCAGTACCCATTTCATTCTCGGCACAATGTGACAATGTCCATGGGTCTGATGATAAAATGATAAATCGCTATCGTATCATGTATGCGAAGAGAGTCATCTCGTCAACTTGGCCATCTCGCCACTCGCGCCTACAAACAGTAGACTGACCATAATTTAGAAGCATCAGCATCCGAGCTTTGCGGGGGCGACGTCAACGATGTACATTGAACCGACTTAGGGAGTGGTGTCAATTTATCGAAAGTATTCTCAGCTTCTCTCTTCTCTCTTCTCCAAACCCAGCCTCAAGGACCGTGGATATAATGAAAAGATGCAGCAACAGCGACAGTAAAGCAACAACTGCAACAAAAGGCCAAAAATTAAACGAGAAGACCCCCCAAAGGAGTTCCAACAAAGACTCCTGCCCCGGAGTGTGCAATGGGGCAGTGTGTCATTTGTAGCGAAGTCGACTTTCTGAGCTCGACTCGCTCTCGCTAGGTAAGTATGAAGAAAAGAAAGAAGAAGAGAGTCAGAAAGGAGAGGGGAGGAGCAGATACTTATACCTGGTGGGAGGAGGGTGGGTTGATCTGGGGAAGGTGCAGGAAGGGTCCTGGTGGGATTTGATTGGGGGAAGGTATGAATTGATATTGATATTGATATTGATATTCACAGCAGGAGCGGGTTGATTCGGTTGTGATCTGATCTGGCGTATCTAGGGGGTGGTTGTGCATAGGTAGATCAGAGTGAAGTGAAGTTGAGTAAAGTGAAGTAAAGTGAGGTGAAGGGAAGTGAAGTAAGGTGAAGTGAAGTAAAGTAAGGTCAAGTAAGGTCAAGTAAGGTGAAGTGAGGCGAGGTATCTCGTTATTTTCGACAATTCAACCGCAGACTTTGCGAAAAGATTGATACTATCACATGCAAGCCAAGTATACATACATCCTTCCCAGCATTTCAATCAAGTTCATTCTGGAGCCTGCGACGACGTGGTTGGTCATCGTGGAGATCTATGGTGACAGCCTTGTGGATCTTGGCTTTGGTCGTGACGAGGCTGTGACAGTCAGGGGAATGGACGACAAGGCTGCTCCAATAATCCACGCGGATGTACAACAACTCGACAGCAACAGTCAGGCGTAAAGGACTTGTGATTTGATTTGATGTATTGTATTTTATTTCTTTTGGCCCAGCTATACTCATCGTCTTTGTAGTGTTTTGTTGCTCATTCAGCATCACATCCACGATTCATAGTAGCCACAATATCGCTGGTGAGTGGTGACAGGTTGTCACACCTCGAGTCTCTTCACCAACAAGGCCAAGGGCCAACTTGAGAAGCAGACAACTTGACGAGCAGACCAAGATTGGTATCGTGTCACCCAACTTCCAACCAGCTCACAGTGTAGATTTCCTCATAATACGTCTCCATCATGACCTCAACCTCCTGGATCAGCCCAAACATCTCACCCCCCAGGATGTTGTTGACCAACTCCACATCACAAGACAATGGCTCTGCACCGTAATCCTTTGTCAACCCTTCCCGGCCGAGAATCATCTCACACTCTCCCGCTTGATACTCGACTAGTTTCAAGCTGCTGTCCAAAAGCTCCTGCAGAAGACGGACTCTTTCGATGCCGCCTCGGACGCGTTTGTCTTGCTTCTCGACATGCAGTCGGCGGTGCTTCTGCTCCTTGGTCATCTTGTTGATCGGCGTGTAGGGCCCTTTCATCTTCTTCGCCGTGCGTGCAGTTCCACCTTTTAGGCCTCGTCGGCGTAGATCTGGGTTCTCGTCCCAAAGGGTCTTGAGTGCTGCTGTGATACAAGCTTCTTCCTCGGTGACGGTCATGTGTGCAGCACGGACTTGGTCAGCAAGGACTTGTAGGTGTGCATAATGCTCCCGAAGAGCGCCGCAGTCAAGAAGGGACGATTGCTGATATTCCAGAGACGAGTCGATAGTGTTATCAGATGTCTCTGACTGAAGTTCTTCAGGCGTTGCCAGGATCGAGATCTCTGCCTGAGTGGTCGGTGAGGGTGGCCTATAGAGGTCAGCGTCGCTTGGAGCTCCTGGGTTTGTCAACTTCAACCAAGAGAATCGTTGGGTGAGTCGTACCGTAAGATAGCTCTCCAATGAGACACGCCGTCATCTGCATTGAACGTGGTGATGGTGTAGGTGTTCAAGTTTGTCGGAACGGATGTCTTCAGTTCGTCCTCAGATGCAGCAAAGTGCTGCGGACTCTGTGTCCAGCAGACATCCGCATGTGTGGTGTCCAACACAGCACATTCGCAACACAGCAGGCGAATCTGCCAGCCTCGCCTGTGTCTGCAGATGGACTTGACTTCGGGGAGTCCTCCCGACTTCTCCAAAGACATCGCAATCTGTTCTTGTCTTTCTTGCCTGATGGTCTAAATGTCCAGCGCTCGCAGAAATGGTTAAGATGTGATTCAGTACAGCCATTTCGAGGATACGGTAACTCAGAAGCTGTCATGGATGCGCAATATATGCAGGACGACATCGTACCCTCTTGGTGAATTTGTCTTGCACTCTTCATATTTCCTGTTTCTAGATTGTCCTGACTGCCCATGCTACTCCCAACATGATTGCGAACCTCACTTCCAGACGATATCTTAGCGCAGGGCGAGGAAAGGTCCCATTTCCATCAGCAGTCGACGAGCTAAAGATCACCAACAATACCGTACCGCTGCCAGATCTGGTCAGGCCTTTCAGACGATCTCAGTAACCTAATAGTCTTATCCAAAGGTGCTCGATGGTCTGTTCATTTCCGTCTATGGGGCATCTATCGTCCCCTTCCATACCGGTCCTAACAGTTTCACCCTGTCTCGATCCTTCCCAAGAGCATCCGGTATAATAGGTCATTCTGCTTGGGCATCCTGTACCCTTTGCCCACGGCGTTCTAGATCTCAGGGGCCCGGACGGTTCTTCGGAGGAATCTTGACATTGTCAGGACTACGCCTTCGATTCTGTCGTCAAGTGTGCGCTGGTGCACGCTGCTCCTGGCGAGGGCCTTGTAGATCCAAGGTACCAAACCTGGTGTAGGCCTTTTTGGAGGTCAGCCTGCGATTGCCTCTGTAATGTTAGCTGGCAGTGTTGGAACGCCCTCTGTCCTCGTGTCCAACTCTGTCTTGCGTGCAGTGGTGCAGCTTCCACCAGGCGGATCCTGTCCGGTAATCCTCCGATAAACGTCGTGAACGCCTGGAGGACCCGGGCCCGTTCCTGCTGGGTCCCTGCTTAGACAACTCGAGGGCCCAATGTAACCGGGTCTAAGACGTCCCGAATGCAGTCTATCGTCCCAAAGCTTCCGTCCGCAATTTTCCGCCAAGTCTCGCTCGACCACACACCGGCTCCTCGTGTCTGGAGCCGTCCCCCTTAAAAAAGTCGAGGGAAATACCAAAAGTATGTGTTTTAACACCTCATCCATCGTTCGAGGGTGAACAAATAAAATCGGTGCCTGGTCGAATTTGCCTGGATATTCCAGGTAAGACCACCATTCATCCCAAATGTGCCTTAGGCTGGGCGTCTTTGCCACGCTTTGCCTTGTCTCATTGAGGTTCTGTTTCCAGGGTGTCAGAGCCTTCTGATTGCGCGTGCTTTGCGACCTTGTCTCTGTCGCCATCAGCTGCTTCGCCACCTGGACCCAGGGTAGGCGTGGTTGTCGCTCCATCCGGGCAATCCAATGAATAGATTCGCTCGGACGATTGGTTCAATGTTCTGAAGGTTGAGCCCTCCGTTAGCCACCAGAAGGTAGCTGTCCGTTGCATCTAGTGCTGGCCGTTTGTTGCCCCAGACCAGCTTTGCTGGAGGCTCGAACTTCCTCTGCTTTTTCCTCGACAAGCTTAAGGTGTTGGATGCCGTACCTAGGTACGGACATGAGCATCGTCTAGGCGACTCTCACTCTCGCACGCTGGCACATCCGGAGTGCGATCCATCTAGACACCTTAAGCTCCATCTCCTCGATCATCGATCCCCAATATTCTGCGACATGTCGGTCAATGTCGTGGTTATCCCAAGTAACGGTAACACTCGAGTGTCGACACCCAGCCGGGAGCCATGCCTGAGTCAAAGGCGTGGTGCTGAGGGCCTTTGGACTTGTCCCAGTTCACTTTGGACCCATAGTGAGGCAAGCATTTTGCTATGAATGTCGAGACTGGGCTCAAGCAAGGCAAACCGAGAGCATATCGTCCAGGGGAGGAGCAGAGGCAGGACATCTTGCTCCTTCATCAATAAAAATATATATAAAGTATGTGTAGGGCACTCCCGTACAGTGTGAGCCCTACATCTTGAATAGGAGAGGTACAAAGGAAGGAGAAGGAAGAGGAAGGGGAAGATGGATTGCCAGGTATATACAGCGGTCGTTATGCTGGTTGCCGTTGATTGGCGAAGCCATCCATTTATTTCATCTTCTTCCACCCCGCCAAATGTCAAACCCCCGCGATTGAACTGATTGATTGATTGATTCTTCATTTCCTTTGTTGATATCCTTCACTTCCAGACATCTGAACAGCTGGTCCAGCCTGACTTGACAGAAGGTACCACCGTTCACATTTGCGCGCGACATCAACAAGATGATCATCCAAGAATCCTTCAAAGATGTGCCCACGAAGGCAGCAGGAGAAGGATCCATGCGTAGGCATCTCAACCTGAACGGCCCCGGTGCGAATGAAGGCTGAGCGAACGCAAAAGGCATCTACGTGTACCACCCGACGATCCCAGGCTACCCGCACGCAAAGTTCCCTGGAGTTGTGGTCTTTTCCGAGATCTATCAAGGTAAGACGGAGGCTGTTGTTGCGCCCGAACAGGGAATTTGGACACTATATGCATATATCTATATCATGACTGACTGTTGTGTCTGCCACAGTAACTGGTCCCGTCGCCAGGTTTGCCAGACAGATCGCCGGACAAGGATTCATCGTCGCCGCCCCGTCGTCCTACCACGAATTCACCGGTCCACAACCCCTGGCCTACGACGGTCCCGGCACCGACGCAGGCAACGCGTGGAAGGTTGCAAAGAAACTGGCGGCGTACGACGAAGATGCAGAGTTATCCGTCTCATTGCTGCTGGGTATGAAGACGTGTAACGGCAATATAGGCGCCACGGGGATGTGTCTCGGTGGACACCTGGCATACCGCTGTGCCTTGGATTCCCGTGTCAAAGCTGCTGTCTGCTACTTCGCCACGGATATCCACAGCCACAGTCTGGGCGAGGGCCAGCAGGACGACAGCTTGAAAAGAGCAGGAGACGTTAAAGGAGAACTGGTCATGATCTTTGGCAAGAGTGACAACCACGTCCCGCCGGAGGGAAGAGACCTGATTCGAAAGACACTACATGAAGCTGGTGTGGAGTTCTCCTTCTACGAGGTCTTCGGGGCTCAGCACGCCTTCATCCGCGACGAGCTGAGTAAAGGGAGGTACGATCCGGCGATCAGCAAGGTCTGTTTCGAGATGTTGCTGGAGGTGTTTGGGCGACGACTCAAACTCGACTTGGGAGAACCCAGTGGTGAGAAGCTGGTGGTGGAAGACGTTTGTTGAATGAAGCAGTACGGGACTAGTAAGTGGTTATGACTGTATCAAACAGCTTCACCGTTGTCGACAGGTTAGATGCCTTCCATACATTGAAGTGGCTTCTACATTGAACATGGCTTCCATCAATATCAAAGCAGATGACATTCTCTCGATTCATGTCCCGATCACAACTTCGCCTCACCCTTCATGGTCTCGCTCTCTTTCTTCTTGTCGTTCTCCTCTCCCGTCGTCTTATATCCAAACAGATAAGCAGCCACCTTTCGAATCTGCACTTCCTCACTCCCCTCAGTGATGCGATACCGTCGGAAATGTCTCCAGATATGCTCGAACGGATAATGTCTCGAATACCCGACACCGCCGTGGATCTGGATCGCTCGATCCGCGGCCTCCGTGACCAGTCGGTTCGCATAGTAATTGCACATCCCGATCTTATGTCCCAGCCGCTTCTCGATAGCCACCCACGGCGGTTCCCCAGTCGTTTTACATTTCGCAGTGACCTGATCCATTTCCACGGCAGTGCGCAGGATCAAAAGTCGCAACATCTCCGTCTGCGTCGCCAGCTCCACGAGAGGCCACTGGATGGCTTGATTCGCCGCCAACGGTTTGCCAAACACTTTCCGGGTTTTCGCATACTCGACACTCCGATCGACGCAGTACCGTGCAGCGCCACAGCTCGAACTCGCCTGCCGGATGCGGTTTTCGTGAGTGAACGTCTGGGCAATGGCGAGTCCGTTGTCGAGGGGTCCTAGGATGGCCGAAGCCGGAACGCGAACGTTCTCAAACAGCACGGTGGCGTGGTCCGTCGGCATGTTCAGCGTCCATTCATACGAAGCCACAGTCACCCCGGGCGTGTCTCGAGGCACGATGAACGCCGTGATTCCCTGGGGGGAGCCTGCCTTGCCGGACGTGCGGGCGAATACTAGACAATGCGTTGCGGTGTGCATTCCTGTCTGCCATTTCTTGTTGCCAGTGATTTCGTAACAGAGGTTTTGAGAGTCGTCACTTGAAGACGAAGAAGGCGAAGTCGATAACGACCAAGTTGAAGACGAAGATGACGACGAAGACACCGGGGATGTCGATATTGATGGTGACACCCCAACAACCCTCGCCGTGGTCTCCATATACGTCGCATCCGACCCATGCTCGATCTCCGTCAACCCAAAAGTCGCCCTGAACTCACCGCAGATAGCTGCCGGGATATACCGTCGCCGCTGCTCCTCAGTGCCGTAATAATACAACATCATGACGACCGGGTTGTTGCCAACCACGCTATGTTCGTTCTGCAGGTCGTTCGCGAGACCCAGCCCGCCGCCGTAGACCGGGTGCGCCGCCAAATGGTGCCGGATCGCGCACATGTACAGGTTCTGCGAGACGCTGCCGGCCCCGCCGTACTCGACGGGAAACGGGAAGCGGTAGAACCCCGCGTCGTCGGCGAGGCGGCGGGCTTGACGGAGCAGCGATTCCCACTCCGCCGTTGGGAGGCCTTGGTTGGTCCATTGCGTGCGGGCCGATTCGCGGCGGTGGTCGAAGAACCGGTTGTTGTCGTCTCGGTGCTGGAGCGGGAGGATCTGTGTGTGGATGAAGCTGTCGAGACGTGTGAGGTAGGTTTGGATATCGGGGGGGAGGTGGAAGTTCATGTTATGAATCTAGAGGTGGAGGTGAATATGGGTTTCGATATAGATATAGATATAGAATGTGTGTGCCAGTATAGTATAGTGTTCGTCCAGATTCTCATGCTATACAATGCCAGCGAGAAGACTGATTACATTTTCTCCCCTGAGATCTAAATACCTTCTACAGATTCATATACCTCGATATATATGTAGTGCCCTCCTCTGCCAGGGAGTCAAGCTCAAGTCAGATAGATAAATGCGGAGAAGGCATGAAATTCCCCTGAATCCCCAGATCCCCAGATCCGCAGACCTCGGTTGAACGATTTGTACTGAATGTTACTTGGGTTCAAGTTCGCAGTAGTAAACAAAGCACGGAACGGAGCTACCTTAGGTGAGTATCCAGTTCCAAATCTCCTGGTAAACCAGGATACGAGACAGACCTTCCAACTGATAGCCATTGCCAATGTCAAATCTGCATGCATGCAGAACAGATGAGGCTCTTCATGTCCGGCTAGTGCTTCTGAACAACTTGAACTTCAGACGCGAATCGAACTTGAACTTGATTCTTAAACTTGAACTCATGGCGAGGAACGAACATAACATCGTTGTCGAATTTCCGAGCAATCCTAACAGTCCAGAGATATAAGTCGACGAGATAGCAACAGTACAGAAATATCAGTCGACAAGACACTAGCCGATACTTATTGTTGCCCTCCATCATCCGCCACGTATCGACAGAGTCAACCCGGGTCGGCATAGTGGCTGAAGTGCGTTACTGCTGACCCGTGTCTGACTCGTCCGACGCCGTGGAGTCTAGACCATGCATAGAGAATCAATCAATCACTGAGTGCTGATCCGTGTCGCTTGCCTTCCCAGTCAACCCAGACTGGACTATATGGATACCTTGACAATGAGGAAATGGGAGGAGAATGAGTTTGAGACGAGACCTCTGGTGTCGAAGATGAGATTGTGATGCTGGAACTGGTCGAAGTCGTCGTTGCAGCTGACGGGGACGGGGTCGTGGCTAGCATAATGGCTGTTGTGGATGTTGTCGATGGTGTTGTCCTCGGTGTTGACGACAGTGTTGTGGTGGTCGTAGTAATCGTTGACAACAAAAAGCTCAGTGGCACTGGCAGATCATTGTGCGAAGATATGTTCGTGCTTTCGCTCGATGTTCTTTGCCACTGCCAGTCATCCCATGGTTGGGGGGATGAATGCGTTGCTGTTACTATCGCTGTCGGTGCACTGGAAGAAACTGTAGCCATCGACATCATCACCATCACCATCACAGCTGTAGACGTTGTGGTTGTGCACCCTGTCGTGGATGTTGTCGTAGTAGTCGAAATCGACGTCGACGACGAAAATATCCTTGACCGACTGTCGCTCGATACGCTTTTCCAGTCTACCCAGACCGAGTTATATTGGTAAGTTGGAGTTGAAGTCGATGTCCCTGGAGCAACCAAGGATCTAGTTGGTGCTGAGGATGTCGTCGTAGACGGGGACGACGATGCCGATACTGATGTTGATGTTGATGCCAATACTGATACTGATACCGACTCACTGGGTGAGAAATTTGTGGGAACCTTTGCGATGGAGGTAGAGCCAGAGATAGAGGTAGAGGTAGAACAGATAGGCCAGGTTCCATTCCAATCTTGCCAATCCCCCGATGGATGTGAATGTGATCCGCTGCATGAGTCGCCTGAGGTGGTTCCCGACGCTACATTTGCCGGCATCGCTAAGGTTGTGCTCGAAGATGATATAGTCAACTTATAATCAGTGACAGCAGCCGTGGACTTGGTGGTAAAGTTCCAATTCATCCCAGATTCGCCGTGATGGCGCTGACTACTGGTGAAATTGTAGGACGAAACACTTGAGGATGTCGAAGATGAATTGCTGCTGCTAGCCGTTGTGCTGATCGAGGATGTATCGGTAACTAAAGTTGCATCTGTGCGGATTGTTGCGTACGTGATGCGGACTGTTGTCGGCATGGTGCTCATGATCCTCCAGTCCAACCACGCGGACTCAGTCCAGTTACCATGGCCATAGTGTGGAATCGCAGAATAAGAGCTCGGGGTGGTCGTGGGACATCCAAAGTCAGCTGTGCTGTTGAGGTAGCTGGTTGTTGTTTGTCCTTTAGCATACATAGAACTAGTTGTGGTTCGTGTGAAGGTCCAGTCCAACCACGTAGTCTCTGACCGGTACGCGCTTGGATGTGGCAGAAGAGAATTTTTCGGAGATACCTCAAGTGTGCTTGTTAGCGAAGAACTGGTCACATCTCCAGAGGCAGAGGAAGAAGATGAAGGAGTCGAGGTCGAGATCGAGCTCCAGCCCTGCCCATCCTGCCGTGCCGGATTCGTGCTGCTGTGAGGTACTAGTAGTCGAGTATGAGAAACTGGTATCCGGCTCGTCGAGGTGGCAATCCGATCTAACCACTCATCCCAGTTCTGACGTGTCCGACTTTGTGAGGGCCATGTTGAGAGAACCGACCTTGGGGTGGTAGTGGGTAGAACATAAACAAGCGACGAAGTAGGTGCCAGAGCATCCACGTGGACGCGGACGCTGTTTGAGGTGGTTGAAGTGCGATCCCACCTTACCCAATCTTCCCATCCGCTTGCATGAGGAGAGGAGGCAGGGCCATGGTTTCGCGAAGTAGTGGTTGATGCCGTTGTCTTTGTACCCGACCTGAGAAGCACCAACGTGGACGAAGTATAGACACTGCTCGCCACCCAATACTTCCAGTCATGGCTTGTCGTACTGGTGTGGATCGATTCTTGTTTCTTGCTGGTGCTGGTGTTGGTGCTGGTGTTGGTGCTGGTGTTGGTGCTGGTGTTGGTGCTGGACAGCTGCCAATCAAGCCACTCAGAATAATGGTTTGCCAATCGGGAGCCACTCGGGGGCGGGCTGGTGGTGGTGGTGGTACCTGTAGCTGTTGTAGCGCTGGTTGAAGGCCATGCAGGAGTTGGCTCGACATGGTTGGCAGCCGGGATGCTCTTCGAGATAGATGATCTGGTCGCCGACAAACTCCAGTCCTGCCAGCCAGAATGCTCCTCATCGAACGGGGTTGATCCATCAAGCGAAGATCCACACGACCAGGAAGAGGTGGCTTTGCAAGAATCTGTCATTGAAGTGAAGCTCGTCGAGGAGTCCGACAGGGACCCCGTAGGCCGCGACATGGTTGTGGAGACGGAGAGAGTTCCTGCAAAAGATGCCGAGGGGGACTGAGAGGCCTTCCAACTGGGATTGTCATGACTGGAGGTACGGGGCACGATTGCCAGAGAACCAGGCGTTGTCACGAAAGCTGTCGAGCTGGTACTGGAACTTCCTGTGGTTGGAGTGCCGACCCCAAGCCTTGTCGCCGTTGAAGCTGAGGAGCTGCTCAAAGTTGAGTCCAAAAGTGTGGAGCTTTCCGGCAGTATGGCAGAGGCAATAGTTGAGCTGGTGATCTTTGACCCGCATCCGTGCCATGGGTGATGCTGTTCCCAGAAGCCACGGCTTCCAACAAAACCGATAGAAGCCGTCTGTGTAAGAGAAGAAACAGTGCTTGATTTCCTGTCACTGCGCCCACCTCCGGCCCTTGCACAAACAAAACTTCTAGAGATCGTGTAATTCGTCTTGCCGTCGAAGCTTCCAGTCTCGGTTGCGAACTCCATTCCAAGTGTATCAGAATACATATCGCAGTATTGACCGTGGCGGACACCATTCAGGGAGACAATATAGGTGTTAAAAAAACCACACCCACAGGATCGACATTCGGTGGCACACCGCGATGCCTCGAATGATCCCTTAAATGTCTTGGACCCAATGAATGCCGCAGAGTCTGGTGGTGGACGGATCGCCGCTCCGCCGACATAGGACAGGCTATCAAAGCCTTCAGGGACCGTCAAGCTTATGCTGGTGTAGCCGTTGCAACCTGCAATTGCAGCCGTTGCTGCAGCTGTCGCATTGATTTGTATTGCGCCGGCCCAGAAGGCACACTTGATTGTGGGTTCGGAGGTTTCAAGCTGATTTTCAAAATAGATATTGAACGATGAGCATTCTGGGAGGAAGTCACATATTGTGGCGCAGATGTCGCTGTTGTATTCGTCGATCGTCGTGTATCCGAGAAACCCGTCTCCTGAGGTCCACGACTGCCCATTTGCAAGTGTCTGGATGTAGCCTGCCGGGGTCTGCTCCGATAATGCCGCATCCGAAAAGGAGTTGTTTGCGGTCCACTCAATAATGGAGGTATCCAAGCAGGAGCAGGGGGATTCGTTTCTGGGGGTCAACAGATCCTTTTTCCACCGCACGAACCCCTCGAATCGACCAACTTGCAGTGAACCGAAGACAACATTAGAGAACAAAAAGAGATAAACGAATGGCAGCATATTGCAATGAGCTCTCACTCAGAGGAAGAATACTGTGGTGACGATTGGACGCGACTATTGGCGACGTAACTGGGTGGGTAAGTAAAGAAGACGAGACGATGAAGCACTCGAACGAAAACCCTTCCCTACCCATTTGTGTAGAGTCCGTCTCGCTGAGAATGTCGACTTGACTCTGCGCAACTGGCGGCGATTCGCTGACCGTGTGTCCTTCGCCTCCATGACGATGTTACGTGTTCTGCTAGTGTGACTCCGGCTGGATTCAGAAGATGTGAGTCTGAGAAACCAGCCATCGCTGTAGTCCAATAACACGTTCCAAATGAGGATTCCAAGATTCAAATCCAGAGGAACCCACCAGCAATATTGACAGTTATACTTTCAGGCGGAACTGAAGAGCACATGCCGACCACACCTCGTCAAAGAACCAAGACAGGTTTCTAGACCGCTGATCCATCTCTGTACGGCGTACAGTCGAGAATCGACTGCGGTCCCCGCTCCGAGGCGCACTCCAAGTACGGTGGCTTTGCGACGGTCTGAGGTTCTGATTCAGCCAGGAAATGCAGCCTCGCAGAAAGTGCGTATGGTAGAGAGGGAACGAGATTAGATGGCGAGGATGGGAAGAAAAAGGAGAAAAGGGGAAATGCTCCAAATAGGTTTAGCGTGGCCTTGCGATCAGATCTGGGCGAATCAAAGCCATGCAACTTCAACTTCAACTTCAACTTCAACTTCTAGTCGCAGTATCGGTTATAAATATAAGTTAGGACAGCTACCAAGACTTCGTATGTTACGCTCGTCCCAAGTGATTCAGTCCAGAAAAGAAATATGCTAAGGCGAGTGGCAGATATCAACTGCCGGCTTTGATCCAGATCGAATTTGATATTTTGGTATTATCATCTTCCCCGAGACCCTAAACCAAACGTCGACAGTTCAGACGCCATCTCGTATACGTATGGTTGTCATGGAAGAAATCATGTATTTGCCCGTATATTCTTGTCTAAATTGGTCACTCGTGGCTTGTTCTGATCTTATGTCCATATCTGTATTCACTGTCGTTGGGCTTTATGTACATTCACCAGTATCATCACTCGTGTATCTACAGAGAGAACCGAGCATCATTCCCACCATTCCTATACCCGGTGCAGATGCCAATATCAGCAATCCTTGCTCCAGTACTGCTGTGCCATGCGCGGCAGCGTGTCAAAGGAGCTGAAATTGCCATCCGCGCGGATCCAGTCGCTGGTATTGCCCTGGAGATACTTCCCGGCGGCGGCGGTGAAGAAACTGGTGGCATAGACGTCGACAAGGGTTGAATCTGAAGCATTGGCGACGCTGACATTCGCTTGAACATAGTGCGGCACACTCGCACTTCCCTGGGGGATATGCACAATGTTGTCGCCGTCAGTGCCTAGATCATCTTTCGTCACATAGCCCAACGTCTCGGTCAGATCCGTCTCGTTGACGGCGCGCTTGTAGACTTTGTCCGTCTGCATGTTGAGGAGCAGGTCCTTGGCCACAGACCAAGGCGCCGTCATGCGCATCCAGTAGTTCTCGTAGGGGTTCGTCTGGTAAGCGTTGTCGATGGTGAAGGGCCCCTGGAGCAGATCGTAGCGGAATCCGCCTGTGTTGGTCAGGATGATGCGTGGCTGTTGGGTACGATTCGGGGCGACCACGACTGCTGGGAAGACCACACTCGTCAGGTAGTGAAACAAACTGCGGTTCGAAGTGATTGGATAGCGGTCGATGTAGTAACTCGCGGGAACGCAGCCTAGCTTCTCGGTCAGTTCCGGAAGGCTGTCCACCGCACTGGTGATGTTCTCGCTGATGCCCTCGCCGAGGCTGGTATTGAACGTCTGCTCGGTTGTGGTCGTGTGGAATTCAAAGCTGTAGCGGTTAAAGTCCAGGTACTGTCGCGAATAGGATAGAGACGAATTGCGGTTGGGCTGGACCCCAGGCACAGCCGACGGAGACTGTGTGATCTTCGTCGCATTGCCTGATGGCGAGTTGGCTCGGGTGACGTTCTTGGGTAAGCCATTGACAGAAACCCAGCCAACGGTTTCGCAGTACCTCCCCGATGCTATGCCCACCGCATTTGCATCGAACACCACGGCGTCACGAACGTGCCTGTGACCGCCGAAGATCTGGATGGGCGTGGTGGGATGGTGTTCCCGGATGGCAGCGTAGATAAGCCCCCACTCGGTCGAATTGCGTAGAGTGATGTGTCCCGCAACCAGGAACATGTCGATGTCCGATCGGCTTACTTGTTCCTGGAACCACGATTGCTTGACGGCATCACCAACCGGAGTCACAACGGAGGCATTGCTGTTACCGGTGAAATTGAAGATGAAGGCGAATGACATGATCCGGATGCCAAACTTGGTCTCCCAATACGCGTATCGTTGCGAGAAGGGTTGGGCCACCCCCGTCCCGTTGAAGTCGACATTGGAAGTGATGTAGCGGCCGCCCCAGTACGGCGCGAAGTTGTGATAGGTGTCGTTTGCAATCTCGGTGGTATAGAGCTCGTGGTTCCCGATTGATAACAGATCGTAGGGCAACTTCTTGAAAATGGGAAGGGTGAGTCTTCCATTAGGTGTGGTGGCATCGCCAAAGCCAGTCCCATCGTGGAGGTCGCCAGAATCAATGAGCAGCAGATCAACCCCCAGAGCGTCGGCCTTTGCTTTCATCTTTTGCACGAAATCGGCGAAGTCGCCATAGTCTGCACTGTAATTCTCATCGAGCAGATGTCCAGCCAACCAGCCGTGGGTGTCAGTGGTATGCAGGAAGTTGAGCTGTCCCCAATGCAGGTCCTTGATCGGCTGCGCAGGGGTAACCAGAGCATTTGGTTGTATTCGTTTTGCGAGATCATGCGTCTTCATTAGACCATGGTCGACATAACCTCCCAGCACAGGCGAGCTCCAATCATGGTCCTCGCAGGAATGGACAGTCTGGGGTTGGAGGAACGCTGTCAAGGCGAGATACAGGGTCACCAGCATCATGGTGGACGACGTAGAGCAGCAAATGGCCTACGAAGAAGACGAATTGGTTATCAACCTGCAAGCAAGAGGATGCCATCTTGGATGCAACCGGTAGGCGTTATCTTTGTATGGCTCAACCCTTCTTCCTCCTCTTGTCTGGGGTAGGAGATAACGAGCGGAGGTTCCGACGGAGCTGCAGGTCTCTGCAGGCATGGTTGCATCGCGTGGATTCTGCCTAGATGGAGATATGCGAATGGATGGCGATGGCGATGGCGATGAAGGACAAGGACAGGCAGTGGAGGGGTGTCCACAGATAGATCAGCAGTTGAGAAGATGCTATACCTGGAGAACAGCGCACAACGCAGCCGGAGAGTGAACGAAGGTTGGAACGAAAGCCTATCAGGACGCCGAGCCCGAGCAGCTTGCTAGTCACTGTACCTAAATAGGTAGGTGAATGAGGCATGAGGTGTCAGTGTGACAGCTGGTCGGGCCTTCAGAGGCTCATCCTTCGACGACTGGCTTCAAGATGATGATGGAAGATGCAGAGCAGACATGAAAACAATGGAAGTATAGCTCGCACTCTGGTGGCCGCGCAGGCAGTTTAGTCAACCTCAGTCATGTAGTAGTAGTACCTGGTAGTATACAAGGACGGCCAAATAGAGATCATGCATACGGCATTGAACAGAGCAGAAACCAGAACCAAGTCGGCACGTCGTCCAATGCATGCCCGCTCTTCAGATGTATCTCAGATGTAATCGTGTGAGCATCAAAATCATCGTACATGCGTATACTATGCGAAATTCATACCCAGCAACCTACACAAATCAACAAACGGCCGGGTTTACAGCGTAAAGTCCCTGTTCAGAGTCAGCCATAAGTAACTTCTAACATCTCACATCTCATGTGCGCCGTGACAGTTCAAACTCACCTGGTTTTGCATCGCCGCATTGGCCAACCTAGCCTGCACCTTCTCATCATCATCCAACAAGTCATCAATCTTCTTCACATCGTCAATAGCCCAGAAGTCGGTGAAAGCCTTGACGATGGCTTTGCTGTACTTCTCCACCACATCGTCGTTCACCGCGGCAAAGCAGAGACGGAAGTATTGCCATCCCTTCTCGGCCATGATTTCAGGAGTAGGACAGAAGATTGACCCCGGACTGAGGAGCACCAGATACGGCTTCGTCGTCATGAACACCCATAGAGCCTGAGCCAGACGCTGGTGCTCGACATCCTGGTACAACGGGTGTGTCTCGTAATGAGCCCGCATCCACAGGAACATGCCGGCCATGGGGTATGCGAAATCATACAACTGCGTCTTGTGCAGTACCTCGTATTCCTCCTCGTCGGATGCTGACAGACGAGACCCGCGCCGAGAGCTTTGGATCAGGTATTTTCCGTCCTCGAGAATGGTACTCATCAACTGCATTCGACGCTCATAGTTGCCGCGCAAGCCTTCAAGCCATCGCACCCAGCCGTCCACTTTCCATCCACTACCGTCTTTACTGCCACCTTTGCCGGGATCGCCGCTCTTTGATGGGCCCATGATCAGTTCGGCGATCAGACTCTGAACAAACCCACTGGGTTGTTGTGTGCTAGTCTCGGTAATGCGTTGGATTCGCTCCACCACGTCAGGTTGGGCAGTAATCCACCCAAGCCGACATCCAGGGGCCACGGTCTTGCTGAAAGTGTCCAATCGGACCACTCGTCCATCCACATCCATGGACAAGTATGATGGCACTAGACTGTCCAAGAAGTCAAACCCACTGGACTTGCCTCCGGACGAGGCATTGTAGTTATGTGCCGGATCGATGGGGAAGTTCTCCGAAACAGGCTTGCCTCGAGCCTTCATGGAAAGACGGTTTCCAGAGGGGTACTGCAAGTACCAATACGGGTCATCCTCGACAATGATGATGTCGTATTTCTGACACAGAGAGTAGATCTCCTTGCGTCTCTTGACCGAAAGCAGTCCTGATGTAGGATTCTGGCCCATGCTATACAAATCAGCTGGATCGTCTGACAGGAATGGCGCATACTCACGTCACGGTATACATCAGATGCGGCCTCTTGCCCTTACTCTTGTCCCAACTGGCGAGCACTTCTTCCAGACCTCCCTTACCGGAAGCGAGCATTCCCTCATCATCAATGGCCACAGGCACAACATTAAGACCGCGAGGTCTAGCGGCCTGGATGGCATTCATGTAGGCAAACTCTTCACATAGTATTCCTTCTCTTTCTCTGATCCAATCTCTCTCTTCATCCCAAATGTTGCTGAAGCATTCAAGGGTTTTGGCAAATCCATCAGTAGAGCCGCAGGTCAGAATGACTTCTGGGCCGCCCTTGTACGGCACATTTGGGTGCAGATTTGTCTGCACGAAAGACCGAATGAAGCTGTAGAGAGGAGGGTATCCCTGAGCCGTGCCATATTGTAAGGCAGTGGTCAGATCAATTTTCCGCAGGAGGTTTGGCTCGGCAGAATCGTGAGGCACCAGGACTCTGGAGACGGCAGGGCTGTCGGAGAGAGTACAATTGCCCAACTCACTGACCGGCGGGTCAACTGGCTTGTTGGGAGTTGGCTTGAATCGATCGGGGAGGGCTGTTGATGCCTCCAAGGTGTCGTAAGGGAAATACCCCGGATTCGGGAGGCCTCCAAGGGCGTGAGCTAGAACGACGTGCTGAGTATGGCCGAGAACGTACCTCCAGCCAGATTTCCAATGCCGGGAATGAGGAAATACTGGTAGAATTGCTTCATCTTGCTGGCCTGGCGGTTCATGGTCACCCGGGAGTAATAGTAGGACAAGTCCTTGGGCTCGGGTTTCTCCATGGTTGAAGCCATGGCAATGTTGCGATCGAGGTCAAACGACACAGTAGAGATGAGATATTGATATTCTGGAGACTGGGATGAGATCTTGATCAATCCGCATCAGCTCAGCACAAGGGAAATGAGGGTGAGTAGGCCGCAGTGAATGGATAGACTGAGTAACAATGGTCGAGTGGAATAGTCATCATCCAGAACATCTGGTACGAGTGCGATAACGAGCCGATAAGGTCGCTTCGGATGCTCAATGCCCAATCCTCACGGTGGCGACGCTTAAGGCCTTCTGCGGTTTCCTTGCGTCGGTTATAGTACGTAGCGCACTGCAGTAGTAGTAGTAGCTACCTAGATGTTGCTCTAGTGACATCTTGAGCACTGGCACCAATCAATAGTACTACCGCACCACTGTCCAGCTTACCAACCCAGACAATAACGACCTATCGAGGCTACTACTACTACTAGTAGGTACCTTAGGTAGCTACCTAGGTATACGCCCCCCAGCATAATACCTCGTGCGGGCTAGTATACCTACCGAGTGCCCACCACTCACTCATTCACCCTTATAGTAGTAGCTGCCACACAGACTCCCCCAGGCGTTGGATCACCCTTAGAGGTTGCCTCCCTAGCCTGCCCGCAGACTTCAGGTACGTTTACCGTCCGCCTCGTGGGTGACAAGCGCTGCATTTGCAGCTGGCCATGCTGTAGCGCAGGCTGGCCGTTTCCGAAAGGCATCAGAAGGAGTCCAGTGTCCATGAACCTGAACCTGCCTACTACCGATCCATAGCCTGGAACCATGGCTGAGATCCTCACACGTACCTAGGTAATTACCTACCACTGCATGGGTGAAGCATAGTATACGTAGTAAACAGATGTGCACTATCGATAAGCTGCGGCACAGCCTCGGCGTACCGCAGTTGACACGCGCGACGGCGAGCAATTCACCGCAGTCCAGCAGGCTTACTTGGACATGCCCAATATAAGCCGCAATTGACATGAAGTCGGACCGGACAACATCTGATGCATCTGCTATCCACATCCAGATGTAGGACCATGTGAATTACTGAATGGTAGGATGCCAGTGTCCTAGTATCAGACATGGGCCAAGCTTGAGTCTCCGACCCATCGACTCTCCTCCGGCTCCGGCGAGGCCGCGTGAGCTGCGCTTCAGCCATCCATCCATCTCATTGACTCTCTGCACCTCTGTACACCCACGTCGTCTTCATTCTCTTCATCCATTACAGTTGTTATTTGCACTCGCCCGGCGTTTCTATCGAGTCTATTCCTTCACCTCTGCATCGATGTGCTAACTTCGACGGATTGGCGTTATTGCCCGTCATTTCCGACAACCTGTCTATATTAACACTACTAGTAGTATCCTACAATCATTGACTGCCCTGCCTGTCCGACCCGACTCAACCTCCAGCCATGCACTCCGAGTACCGCGACGACGAAGAGAACCTTGTGTCTGACATTCCGGCCCTGACGGACGAAGAAGCAGACCACGACGTCGAAAGCCGCGACTTTCACGTCCGGACAGGCTCGGACGGCTCAGCGACCGGCCTCCCCGTCCCCGTCTGGCTCCGAGAAGCCTCGCACACATTCCCATACAAATGGGTTCCATTACCCGTGCGAAAAGCATCTCGTGCCGTCGTGACGTGGGTCAAAGGACCGGTACCTCCCCGAGTGCTCAAGATCGATCCCATATACCCGAAGATCCAACAAGCGCCGATCCAACTCCTGGACAAATATGCACCCAAGAGGAAACAGCGGATCATGCTCCTGGTGGCACTGTATGCATGCTGGTTTCTGACGTGGTCGCTGATGCTCAAGCAACAAGCCACGACGGGGTCGATCAAGGGCTACGGCAAGCCTCGCAACCTCTGGTGCGGCGCCAGTTTCTGGGAAGAAGGCAACGGATGCGGTCTTAACGGGAACCAATGCCGGCCGTTCTCCTCGGCACACCTGACGTTCCGATGTCCGGCGAACTGCAAAGGCACGCATCTGCTGGAAGAACGCATCGTCGGGAACAAATCGCTGCGCTACGAAGGGTTGGTCGTGGGCGGGCCGGACCCGCTCGACCCGGACTCGATCCCCGTGTATCGCGGCGACAGCTTCATCTGCCAGGCGGCGATCCACGCGGGCGTGACCACCGACGCGACGGGCGGGTGTGGAGTCGCCACGCTCGTGGGCGCGCACAGCAACTTCAAGGCCAGCAAGGCGAACGGCATCGAGAGCATCGACTTCCCCGCGACGTTCCCGCGGTCATTCACGTTCCAGCGTCTTTCAGCTTCGCAGGCCAAGTGTCCGGTGGATTCACGCTGGCCGTTGTTCGCGGTGACGGCCGCGGCGCTGGTGATTTTGTCCATCATGACCACCTCTCCGGCCGTGTTCTTCTTCAGCACGTTCGTCATCATGTTTCTGCACGTCGGGCTGGTCTCGGATCCCCCCAGCACCGCCAACATCTACGAAGCCATCAGCAAGCTGCTGGAACGGTTCCTCCCGGCCGCGTTCGTCTCGTACATCTTGTATCGCACTTCCGCTTTGCCCCTGCTGAACGGACTGACCGCGCAGATCGAAAAGACAGTTCTCTATCTTGGATTCTGCTTTATTGGAGCGCTCAACAACTACACTTTCGGCCCTCTGATCCCCATCGAGCGACTGACGCCTCACGATCTCGCGCAGCCGGGCGCTCCGTTCGCGTTGGCCATCATCATCACTTTGATTCTGCTGATCGTCGGCACCCAGATCCACTGGATCCGCGTCTCGGGCAACATGCCCAAATACCTAGCCATCTACGCCGGCATGGGCCTGACGTTGATTATCCTGCTGGTTCTGCCCGGGTTCCGCCTCCGCATCCATCATTACATTCTGGCGCTGGTGTTCATGCCGGGCACGGGCTTCCAGATCCGTCCGAGTCTGGCCTATCAGGGCTTGTTGTTGGGTCTGTTCGTGAACGGCGTGGCGCGATGGGGGTTCGCATCTATCATCGAGACCCCGGTGGCACTCGGAGAGGTGCCGTCTGGAGGCGGATCGTCATGGTGGGGTGCGAAATCGCCCAACGTGACAGCGGTGGTTCATAATGTTGGGGCAATGGTTCGTGGTGGTGGTGGTGGTATCATTGCTGCTGCTACTGCTCCTCCTGCTGGTGATCACAGTACTGAGTCTCTTCTACCCTCTACTATCCCCATCCCCGGGTTCGACGATGGCACCTCGACAACATCAACACCCAACATCACCTTCCACTGGGGCCCGCTCCCGCGCGACCAGGGCATCGACGGCGTCAGCATCCTCATTAACGACGTCGAGCGCTGGCGCGGCTACACCGACGAAGAACTGTACTGGAACGAAGAGGAAGTGACACTGCCGCGAAGACGAGAGGGAAGAGAAAAAAGCCAACCAGGTATCGTTGGTGGTGAGAAGTCTCTAATACCCAAACTAGACCTCGACCTCGCCTTCGTCCAAGAATCAGAGTCAGAATCAGAATCAGAATCAGAATCCAATTCCAACTCGAAGTCGGAGTCGGAGTTAGACTTGGAACCCGATTTCGATTTCGAACCCCAGTTCATCAGGTTCGCTTGGATGAAAGGTAACTCGGCCGGCCGGTATAGTAAGGTCGGGGTGTGGGATGAGAAGGGCGTGTGGCATGATATTCCATCCTAGCAGAGCGCTCCTAGATATAAGGTCGATGGATACGTACCTCTCTTGGATACCTTTTTGTGCATATCAGATGCCAACTTTAACTTTATATATCTCCGTACCAGAAATCAATATAGAGGTGTATAGATCTATGTACGGCTCAATATATGGCTCAATATATGGCTCAATCAATGTATGTGTCCACCTATCTACCTTAGTAGACACTAGTATGACCCAAAGAATACGTCCATCACTGAATAGGACCTACGATGTAAGCTCTAGGTCGTAGACAGTAGACAGTAGACGACTAAACAGTAAACATTAAACAATAAACAAGTAAACAGTAGAACAAGGTACTAGTAATTATCATCATATATATCCCATTCTATTTCTACTAGCAATCAACGTCCAATACTACAATTTCGCCTTCCCACCCTTCTGTTTCCCCTCCTCCTCCAACGCCTCAGCATACAAGCGATCAAGGACATCTCGAAACTTCTTCGCGGCGACGGGTCTCTTCAGCTTCAACGTCGGAGTCAACAGCTCGTTCTCGACGGTAAACGGGTCCACGGCCAACGCGACATTCCGGACCCGCTCATAGCCGGCAAACTTCTTGCGACGGCCCACGGCGTCCAGATCCCTCAGCACGGCAGCCTTGACTTTTGGGTGGTCGCACGCTTCCCGGATGGCGTCGAGGTCGGTGGGGCTGATGTCGCGGGCCAGGATGCGCGAGGCAAAGCCGGCAAAGGTGTCGGGCTGGACGCCGAGGATGGCGACCAGGAAAGTCTGCACGCTGTCGCCGTGCACGAACGCCTGGGCCAGGTACGAGCACGACGAGAGGTAGACGCCCTCGATGCGCTCGGGCGAGATGTATTCGCCCTGCGCGAGCTTGAGCACGTTCTTGCGCCGGTCGATGATGCTGAACCGGCCCAGCGCGTCGACTGAGCAGATGTCGCCCGTCCGGAACCAGCCGTCGGGCGTGAAGGCGCGCGCCGTCTCCGTCTCGTCGCGGTAGTAACCGCGGAACACGGAGCCGCCGCGCAGAAGCAGCTCGCCGCGCGGCTGGGGGTGGTCGGATACCGTGTAGTCCATGTCCGGGACGCTCAGGAGACATGCTTCCTGGCATGGCATCACGGCGCCGCAGTTACTGACGCTGAAGTCGTCGGCCGGTTGGGTCAGTGCGATCGCGTATGTCTCTGTTAGTCCGTAGCCTTGGAATAGGCGTGTCGAGAATACGACGCGCAGAAACTGTTGGAGGGACGGGTCCAGGGGCGCGGAGCCCGATACCATGGTTGTGGCTCGGTCCAGGCCCAGAGCGCCGGCCACTTTGCGGCTCCAGATCCGGTCGTAGATCGCGTGCGTGTATGTCGGTTTGGGTGCTGGCGCGCCGGGCGACTTGGGCGTCGGGTCGGCGTTGGCCAGTTTCGTGCGCACAATGTGTCGGCTCAACGCGCCTTTGAGGCCTGGCTGCTCGACCGTTTGGGCCTTGATGGCGCCGCCGAACCGGTTGAATAGTCGCGGCACCGAGCCGAAGGTTGTCGGTCGCAGCAGCTTGAGGTCGTCGACCAGCTCCAGCACGTTGCCGTGGAAGTATCCGATTCGAGAACCCGCCCAGAGTGCCGTGTGTTCGAGAAGCCGGCCGAAAATGTGCGCCAGCGGCAAATAGCTGCACGAGACTCCCGTGTGGTCGAGTTTCGCCCCGGTCAACGACGAAGACGTCGCCGCCACGGCCATTGCATGCGTGAGCACCACTCCCTTGGGCGCGCCGGTCGTGCCCGACGTGTAGTTGATCGTGATCGTGTCCGATGGGCTGGGCGGGTTGCATGGACGGTTCAACGACTCGCCCAGCTTTTCCACCGTTTCCAACGAGAAGATCTTGAGCCCGACATCCGCGGCGAGTGAGTCGAGCAGCGCTTGTTTGGACACTTCTGGCTTCTCGTTTGGGGCGGTGTCGAGGGCGTCGAGCACGATGATGAGCTTGAGGTTCGGCAGCCGGGGCTTTAACTTGAGCAGCGTCGGAACGTGCGGGAGAGAGCAGGCCACACAGGCGAGGTTGGCGTGTCGGATGATGTATTCGGAGGTATCTGGCCCCAGAGTGTCATAGAGCGAAACCGAAAACAGCGACTGGGACATGCAGGCCAGATCAGTCAATTGCCATTCCGGTCGGTTCTGACACCACAATCCAATGCCATACTGCGCCCCGGTGATGCCTTCGCGGGCGTGGAGTTCGACGATCCCCACGCCAAAGTCTGCCCTTCTCTTCTGGACTGTCTCATAGTCTATCCATTCGTATGGACCAAACGTCTTCTTATTCGAGTCGTAAGGACGGTAACCCAGACAAGGCGCGTGGGGGTATTTCTGCGCCGCGCATTCGAACATGTCATGGGCGGTGCGGATGGCCGGGTCGAGGGTCTCGAGGAGGGCATCGCGACATTTGTGATGTCGATAGATGGCAGTTCGACCGGGTTTCTCGGAGCCTGCAAGGGTGATGGAGTATGGCTGACCCTTGGGCGGTGGCGCATAGTATTCGTCGGCTTTTTGCAGGTAGGCTGGCCGCGAGGAGAGAAAGGATGGCATTTTGGAGACGAATAAGACCGCAGACAGCCACCCGACAAGACCCCCGGTCTCGATTCAGCGGAAGAGCAGGGGACAATTGGAGATGGACAAGCAGTGTTATGCTTTTAATATGCAGTGTGTTGCAAATGGCAGATTGCAGAATGCGGGACGTAGAAAGACCAAGCTCTGGTATGTGTGAGTAGGAAGGAGAAGGATGAAGGATGGAATGAAACTCCTAAAGCCAGGCCGACTATCCAGCCCTAGAAGTTCAAGACCTGACTGGCAAAGGGCCGGATACTAATAAGAAGAAGGAGAAAAGAAAAGAGTCCACATGATGCGTCGTCGTCGTCACGGATCCTCTTGAATGCCAGGCATATTGATTGTATTGATTGCATTATGCAGTGTGTGTAGTGAATATGCCCCGTGTTCACAGCTTGACAGCCTCGGCATCTCCCCAGTAGACAAGTGTCCAAAACTGGGGGCTCCGGGGTGACAACGGTTAGGCTACCCTAGGCGGACCCGTCACAACAAGATGTGACCCCCTAGCCTATAAACAGTGGACATACCTCCCCCTAGACACCTAGGCATAAGAGACGAGACGCCGGGGAGCCGAAGGGGCAAGGAGTGGAATTCCTAATCCGGACATATCTCCTGGTCTACGCCTGAGGCCCAAGAAACCTGGGATCTTGACATTCGTCTACATAGTAGGAGTCAGCGGAATAATGAAGCCGACAGACATCACGTAGTAGAGTAGATATAACTCTTACGCCAAAACCATCTGGGCAGTCGTGTCGAACATGGAAATAACATGTTGCCATGTCTTTGTTGGGGCCCGAGGTGGCCGGCCGGTGGAATTGGAGATCGAGAGACAGATGATAGACATGTGAAAATGGGATTCTTCTCTTTTTCTATTTCTTCGTATGTCAATCGTGCACGAAATTGCCGAATGCCGATTGGCTAGGGACGACATGATTCTGTCCTCGGTAGATTCTACGTTGTTGTACGTACATCAACCCCAGACTCCTCTCCTCCCGCATCTCAATGCTCGTGAGCATCTCCATTGACAGCGCCGAGATCTGGAGGTGCCCGATCATGGATGGAGCTGTCCTGGACTCCGGTCGATTCAGTCATACGTAGTAGTAGAGCAGATTTGATCGTTTCCCGTCTTTCTCCGGGGCGGCTCTCCTTTATCCAAAGATACCCCCGCCAACCCCGGACTGAGTCCTAGAGATTCGATCCTACATCACCGCGGCCATCATCAGATATTGTAGACCTGCTGGAGGACAAGACATCAGTACGACAGCATGAAAATCAGGTAGCCCCACTGAGTTTGGCATCAACATTCGGCTTCGCTTCAACTGTAGCGTTGGCCTTGTTCGCCTCGGCATTGGTCCGCGCAGCATCGCTGGCCGCGAAACTCTGCTCAAAGTCGTGGATAATGTCGTCGATGTTCTCCAAGCCCACCGAAATCCTCACGGCGTCCGGTGTCACTCCAGAATCGATTCGCTCTTGTTCGCTGAGCTGTTCGTGGGTCGTCGACCAGGGATGAATCGCCAGGGTCTTTGCATCTCCCACACTACCAAACCAATTAGCTTTTCTTCGGAACCTCAACCGGCAACTGTAGAATTATCACTTACTTGGCGAGATTGGAGATCAACTTAAAGCCATCGACTACCTGGGCACCCGCATCGGCGCCTCCTTTGATACCTAGCGACAGCACCCCACCAAATCCTCGGGGCAGATACTTCTTCGCAAGCTCGTGGTAAGGGTGGCTCTGGAGGCCAAGGTACGACACCCAAGCGACGTTGGGGTTTTTCTCAAGCCATTGCGCCAGCTTGAGAGCGTTGGAGGCGTGGCGTTCGCCTCGCAAACTCAGCGTCTCAATGCCGAGGAGGAACTGTTGTGCATTGAACGGCGACAAGCACGCACCCATGTCTCGCAGGATCTCCACCCGCACGCGGATGATGAAGGCCATCGCACCGAACGTGTCGACGAATTTCAATCCGTGGTAGCCCGGAGCTGGGTCGTTGAACTGAGGAAATCGCTTTGCATTGGCTTTCCAGTCAAACTTGCCCGAGTCGACAATGATCCCCCCAATCGAGGTGCCGTGCCCGCCGATCCACTTGGTAGCACTGTGGACAACGATATCTGCGCCATGGGCAATGGGCTGGCAGAAGTAGCCTCCTGCGCCGAAAGTGTTGTCGACCACCAGGGGCACACCCTTGGCATGGCACACTTTGGCAATCGCCTCAAAGTCCGGCACATTGTAACGAGGATTACCGATGGTTTCCACGTAGACCGCCTTGGTCTTGTCGTCAATGGCCTTTTCGAAGTCTTCAGGCTTCTCCGAGGTCAAGAACTTGGTCTCAATGCCCAACCGGGGGAACATGACCTTGAACTGATTGTAGGTGCCTCCGTACAGGTTAGAGGTGGAGACGATGTTGTCGCCGGCATGCGCCAGGGCAGCAATGGTCATGAATTGGGCGGCTTGGCCCGAAGCCGTTGCCACGGCGGCCACGCCCCCCTCGAGTGCAGCAATTCTCTTCTCAAACACATCGACCGTGGGGTTCATGATCCGACTGTAGATGTTTCCAAACTCTTTCAGGCCGAACAGCCTCGCGCCGTGGGCGGAGTCATCGAAGGTGTAGGACGTCGTTTGGTAGATGGGGACGGCACGAGCGTGGGTTGTCGGGTCAGGAACTTGACCGGCGTGGATCTGAAGGGTTTCAAACTTCTGGACATAGTCGTCTGAAGACATTGTCGAGGAAACGGTCCGAGTCAATTCCACGAGGAGAGGGATCAAGCTGTCGAGGTTGAGGACGAGTCACTGTGGTAAGTTTATGGGGGGTAAGACAGTTAGTTGACTGCCACAACAGTCAGAATTCCTAGAGAAGTCTATAGGCAAGGGAGAAGAAGAGAGCAGTTTCAGAGGCGAGAAGATTCTTCAAGCGCCAGCGCGGAAGAGGAGAGGACAACAACGAGCCTTTTTGGGTGCGACTGAGGAGTCTCTGCTCTCTCTCACACCTCGCGGTACGGATCACAGCTGTCAGTTTTCTTCCCCGCAACCTGGTCAGTATGGAGTCTTCTCGTCGACCGATTGCGTGATCAGACGCCCACCCACGCCAGCTCTCCCATCACGGCATCTTCTTGATCCCTCTTTGGAGACTGTAGCTTGGCCCGGCGCAGAGGCGAACACGAATAGAGGACGCGATGGCATGGGTGATCGTGTAGAGTCTCACTTCGTGACGGGCGGCATCTTGCTTCGGACGCTGGTTGAGGCTATGGCAATCCTAGATGAAAAGTGCATGGCAGATATCCATACTGGTCTTCGAGGAATTCTGAGTGGGTTTCGAAAAGGCCATCACCTGTTGTTTTATATTTCTCAAACTGCAGACAGACAGAAGCAGAGACTCGGTGGTCTGATGGACCGCTCGCCATACATACAAAATTACGATCGGGGAACCTTCGCAGCACTGTCCCACTCGTTATCTTATCTTATCTGATCATGACATCAAGCAAGGGCACCGGATCAGTATCTGACAGCCTTGTGACGCTTCTCTTCAGCCTTGACATCAGTTTGGGTCATATAGAATGATCCATCTATGTCTGGGTTGTCTAAGCTTGCTTCCAGCCCGCCTGTGTATCCCCCACCAGCGGAGAGCTGTCCACAATATCTCGAGCATCTGTCCAGCCTGTATACCCTGCATACTCATGGACGTGTATGTACGTCTTACGGCCCAGCAATTCGCAACGTATTTCGCTACCATTGCCCACCGGTCTGTTCCCCAGCAGCTTCCGGCTCGCCCAGGACAACCTTGGGACCCCTCTTATAGACGTCCTGGTCACTCATCGCTTCCGCAAAGCCTCTGCCGCACTTCCACGACCAGTACTTCGACAGCGTATACCAGCGATAATTGTCGGCATTCTGGATAGCCGCAAACGGTCCACGATCTTTGAGCAACTTGGCATGAAAAGCGCCCATCCCATCAGGTGGATCTGAACTGAGATCGGAGTGGTCGCGTATTTGAGGGAGTCCAGCCTCATCTTTGTCGATCAACTCTGAAAACCCCGGCATGTCTTCCAGCAGATAACTCCAGTGCATGAGTTCATGCAGAAGAGTGGCGCCCGGAGAAGCCATCCAGTCGCTATCGGTGGCGCCCAATCCGTCACACGTGAACCCGGGCAGTGGACGTCCCTGGCCATCTCTCGCCCATGGTACATACGGCGGATCTTCGATTTCCTGGAGCGAAGGGAACTGGAAGAGCTCCTCACACAGCGAGACTAACGCGATCTGGCTGGCTTGGTCGCTGATTTCCAATTCGTCAACGTCCAGGTAGGTGTAGGCGTCAAGCATGGAACCACTTTCTGAGACATGACCACAGAGTCTATCCATCTCCGGTACATCTGGGTGATCGTCCCAGGCAATGTCTAGGTCTGCGAACTTGGGCGGTAGATTTTGCGCTGCTGTAGGATTGGCAAGAAAGCCAAAGATGGTCTTTTCATCAATCACCTGGTCGAGAGGAATGTTGGCCATGGTGCGGAAAGCGTGCTTGACAAAGTCGGCTTCTTCTGCAGTGAAGTAGCGCAGGAACACTTCCTCGCAGGGATCGAATGTGACTGCAGCCACTCGGGCCAACATCACAGCGTCTTGGAAGGCTTGCTGCAGTTTTTGTCCCGATTGCTGTACGTCAGTATGGACTGGCAGGACGAAATGTGGAACATTGGCATAACACAACGCTATAAAAGCCATAAAGAAGGCCACAATGACCAGCAGATACGTACACGCCATGGTTATTCACCATGGCTTGCCGATATAAGAGGTTTGCCGATATAAGAGGCTTGGAGCCCAAAGGGCCGGGGGTGCTACAGGTTAGAGACGCTACTGAATCAGAGAGCAAAAGGAGATCTTGCAGAGCATGCTGGGGCAGGATACTGTCGACATCGTCTGCTATTGACCAGGGTTTGGTGCGACAGACCGGGCTGCCCATATATATACCTTTTTGTTTTGAGATGTCACCAAAGCTGACCATGCTGACATTGAGAATGCCATTGTCGCTGACCCTTCACTCTCATGGGCTTTGACCCTTCACTTGCAGTAACCTTCTGCGTCAGCTGCTGGCTTTCTAGTGGTTGTTACAACTGCTCTGTGAATATCGCATATATCCGTCCATCGTGCTGCTCAGCCTCGGAAACGATGAAGATAGTGAAACTCGGTCTCACGCTGATGCCGGCGCTATTATAAGGCATCTGCTCGAGAGACGTCGCTCACCGGAGCCTTCACACCCCCTGGCGAAGCTTCCATTGATGGCTGCACGAGGCGTCGTCGTTGTAGGAGAGTGGAGGATACCTTTTTATATCTTCTTCTATCTCCCCGTCTCGGCGCCTGCCGATGGATGGAGAACCACGGAGATGAGCGGATATGGAAGGAGATAGATGGCGACGGTCGGAGCCGAATGGGTGGCTTACAGTAACGATGATGATGGTGATTTGCACACAATGGCATTGTGCATAGTGGTCCCATTTCTCCCACATTGCCCAGGTTTCTAGAACATAGATACACCGCTTTCAATGGCTTAATAGCCCTTGCTTGAATCTTCCCATCTCATAGATGTCTAACCGCGATAAGTGAGCCTGTCGCAGTAGCCATGGACGTGTGGAAGAAACAAGAAGCGATATTGGACCGAATAATACCCCTACGAGGGAGGCGACCGGTTTTGCTCGAGTACCGCTCGTCGAAGGTCTTCATCTTGTTTGCCGTGTGCTGGTCGGTCTTCACTGTAAGCATGTCCCCACTGACTGACAGAGACAAGAAGCTGCCTTGACCACTGACACAAACGCACAGGATGTCTTTCTGTACGGGGTCATTGTCCCTGTGATTCCATTCGCGCTCCAGGAACGAGTTCATGTAGCCGAAAAGGACACTCAACATTGGGTATCGGTGCTTCTGGCGGTATATGCAGCGGCATTGCTGTGCTGCGCGCCAATTTTCGGATTTATCGCAGATCGCACACACTCGCGAAGAGCTCCTCTACTGGTGGGCCTCATCGTCCTTGCGGGATCGACTCTGATGCTATGTTTGGGCACGACGATCCCGGTCATCGTGGTGGGGAGGTTGTTGCAGGGTGCTTCGGCTTCGGTCGTGTGGACGGTGGCCCTGGCACTCATGGCCGACACGGTCAAGGAGGAAGAAGCCGGTCACGCGATCGGGTATGTCAGCATGGCCACCTCTTTGGGTGTTTTGGTCGCCCCGTTGGTCGGTGGAGTGGTGTACGAGCGAGCAGGATATTACGCTGTGTTTGGTGTGACGTTCGCCGTCATTGGACTGGATATTGGTCTGCGACTGACCTTGATTGAGAAGAAGATTGCTGCGAGATGGTTGGAACCGGAAGCTGCTGAAAACAGGCTATCTCGCGGCGACGTTCCCCTGGAGGCAATGCCGCAGCCGGCTGCTGTGGAGGAGAAGACTACCCTCGCTGCAACCACCGCGACTCCCAGTGCGCAGCCAAAGCGAAAGTTGCCCGCCCTCCTGATCCTTCTGAAGTCGAAGCGCATCCTGGCCGCGGTTTGGGGCAATCTTGTCGGCGCGATGACCTTTTCGGCCATCGACGCCACTCTTCCGCTCTATGTCAATCAGATCTTTGGATGGAACTCTCTGGGTGCCGGTCTGGTCTTCATTGCTCTTCTTGCCCCAAGCTTCGCAGGGCCCTTGATCGGCATTTGGACCGACAAGTATGGTCCCCGCTGGATCGCAGCGTCTGGCCTTTTGCTCTGCATCCCCTTCTGGGTCTTGCTTCGACTCGTGGATCGCGACACCACCGGACAAGCCGTACTGCTTTGTGCCCTTCTGGCGCTTCTTGGGGCCGCGACTGCTCTGTTGCTGACTTCGTTGATGGCGGAGTTTAGCAAGGTCTGCGATGTGAAAGTGCGACAAGACCCTGACCTATTTGCCGGCAGATCCGCGTATGGTCAAAGCTATGGCATCTTCAACGTGGCATGGGCCGGTGGCAGTTTGATAGGGCCGCTGGTTGCGGGGGCCATCAGGTCCGCGGCTGGCTGGAAGACGATGACTTGGACGATGGCTGTGTGGTGCGCAGTCGGCATTCCCCCGACCATTCTGTACTCTGGAGGAATGCTCACGAAGAGGAAGAGGCGGAGCCAAAGCAACGACGTTCAAGTTGACGCTGGGGTGTCGAGGGAGGAAACCGCGTGAGTACTTAGTACCCAAGTCAGCCACCATCGATGAGAAGCGACACATGAAATGGAGGCCGATCGGATGGAAGAGGTGGACTCGGATCCTCTAGAAATCCTGTGTAACATGAAAAGCACATCCTCTATCTCGTGCGACTGTTCTGTTTCGATGCGTGTAGATGGAGGTGGTTGTCATCCAATGGCTCTCGTTGATGGAGCTCGATGCTGAAACAGGAAATTGTTTCAGCCTTGCGGCATCTCAACCTCCATCCTCCAACCTTTCTTCCTTCTTTCTTTGTTTCCCACCATCATTATCAAACATGGTGTTTCCCACGACGGACCTGGCCAGCCAAAGGCCATCCATGCAAGTCATTGTCTCTGACCGTATCTCAAACCGTCAATCTTCGCCCTGCGCCAAACATGCTGCTTGCCGACCTGCTGCTTGCCGACCTGCTGGCCCGTCGTTTGCGAGTGAAAACGACCAACGCAACGCAACGCAACACCAAGACATTGCCCGACTATCCTTTATGAAGAACGTGCCCTGCTGCACCGCTCGCCCGTCTGTGTCTCTGGTCTGCCTTGCGAGCAGGTCTCTCACACACTCTCTCTCTCTACGTGAGTCTCAGGGCTTATTTTGTCAGCCTTGGGTATTGTCGACTTCCATTCTTCCGCGTTTGTCTACTACTAGTACTAGTACGTACTGGCTTGTGAAGTCTCGGCCAGTTTTCTGGGTTTTCACTCAAACCGCGCCCTCAATGCCGAGGAGCACCAGGGAAAACAGGCTCCTACTGCTTTTCTCCTTTCTGAACAGATCTCAAATCCTTCAATTCCATTCATCTCGATTCTCTCTAAACTCGCCTCAATCAACTGCTTCGACCAGGTTGTCATCATCACAAGCATAAGCAGCCTTACCTCCCCGAATCCCTCGACCAACATCACTCGAAATATCCCACGGTCATCGATCTCTCGAGCGAGGAGCAGCTCAAGATGTTCCTCAACCAGGTCCTCGTCCTGCGCCTCTTGCAAGGAATATTGGCCTTCATTGCCATGGCACTCGGAGCAACCGGTAAGACACCCTTTTGTCTGCTCTCAACCCCTCTCTCTTTCTCTTTCCCAATCTATCATCGTTTGAGCCGGGAAAAGAAACCAAACATCACACCCTCCTCCAACAGCCAACTAATTGGCGGCCCCAAATGATTTGATTGATTTGATTGATTGACTAACTACCGATCTATCTCTCTCAGTGGCCAACGCATTGAACACCCACCATCCAGCCCTCGCTGTCCCTTCGTCCCTGGTCTTCTTCATCTTCACAGCCGTCTTCACCATGCTAGTCACGGTCCCTTACACGATTGTGGCCCCTCGCTACTTCCCCGTCCTGGCCCACCCGTTCGCCATGCTCGCAGCCGAATCCAGCACCGCTCTCTTCTGGCTCAGCGGCTTCGCAGCAATCGCAGACATCATGAGCAAACCGACCATCTGCGCCATCGGAGCGTGTCCCTCGGCCAAAGGATGTATTGTCGTCGGTGTTTTTGAATTGTGGGTGGTCTCCTTTTTCCCCTTTCGCGTTTCCCCTACGAGAGTTGGCCCCAAACTGTCTTGATACCGACATAAGCCATCCCGAACCCCCTCACTATGCATGACATTGATAGTAACACTGACATTAACTGCTTGAATAGCATTCTCTTCGCGACAACCGCTTTCTTCGCTTTCTCCCATGTCTTCCTCGGCGGTAGATTCGCTGCTGGAAACAATGGCCCGAAGAAGCATCAACAGCAGCAGCAGCCACAAGTACATCGAGCCTGGGCTGGCGCAGAAGTGGTCTAAGCCTCCTCCACCCGCTCCCCTCAACTCAAATCAAGGGCCTAGAGAGAAGGGAAAAAGACGAGGGCCGCCACACGTGTGCTGAGCTTGGATGGCAAGAGAGAAGACGAAAATGAAGACGAGAGGATAACTTCCACCTAGCTTTTGGGCGATTGATACCCATCCGCCCTCCTCCTGTTCTTCGTGAGGAGTGCATATTGGCGGACACTGGACAGTAGTAGCTACTCAGCAGACCAGAAGCAAAAGAAAAAGATTGCTTTCAAATGGGTTTCTTGTTTCAGTTGCCATGTCCCTGTTTCTCCCCCGTTTGATGTCTTTCTAAGTCTAAATCATGCTCAGACTCCAGCATTCGTTCGACCTCGATCCCGACGGTCGAGTGTGGACGAATATTGTGGCCCCACTGATCCGACACCACCAGGTACACAATATTACGATTGACTTTGGTAGTATGTAGGTACTAACTCATACACTCTGTTGAAGTTAGGTCTCCGGCAGTAAGAAACGCTGATAAAGAAAGGGGTGCCTGATCATAACGTTAGAACCCTTCCTCCTCATATAATATAAAACTCTACTCTGGAGTCTGTCCTTCACAATCATCCTCACTCAGCCTTGCCAGACTCGATCAAAACAGTCTCCTCCAGAACAGAATCGCGAAGAAGACAGGAGTTGGACACGACTCTGGGTCGGAGGAGCATTAACCAACCAATCCCATACCGCTTTGTTTAAGCAAAACTGCTCTTTCACAACCACAGATACTTTTACATCTACGGAGATGATCAGATCGTGCCCGAACTTGACAAAGCGGATGAAACTACCGTCAGATATTGTTAAGAGGACGTGTGCAAATGCTGGACTCTCTCCCTTCTCCTTACAACAGTCTGCTCATTACTAGTATCTGAGGTAGTGTAGTGCCATCGACGCCAATGGTCCACTGCACAGCTACTGCACACAGCTTTGTTCTTTCTTGTCAATAAGGTCTGAACCAGAAACACAAAGACGCAGGTCGTTCCCAGGCCGACGAATACAGTGTAGGAGTAGGATGTTGCTCCCTTCCGACGCGACGAAGCAGTGGTCCAAGCAGCAGGTAGGGAAAATGACATAAAGAGAAACGTCTCCTTTCTCCGCATTCATGCGGTCTGAATTTTGTTTCAAGGCTGAGAAAAACGTAACATCAAGACAATCTTATCTCGCACACGGTGAAGTGTCTGCCCATCAGACTATGAGATCTTTTGTGCAAACAATCACATTTTGGAGGCTGAATGTGTTTCACTATTGGGATCGTGACTGAGATCAGGACCGGAAGGTCAGATAATCAGCGGCCTAGCAAACGCTCCGGGTTAGTACATCCACTTATCCACCAAACATTGCGAGACCGCTTACCTTGTCGATGTTGTAGTCAAACTTCTCCAGGGCGGCCAGACTCTCGTCACGCGACCATCCCATCGCAGTCAATCTCTTCAGAATAGGATCATCATGTTCTGTACCCGTGCTCAAAGCGCGTCCCGGCTGAGGCCGTCCAGATCTTGGCGCAAGACCGGTGATCTGGGGTGCGGCAGATCCCGACTCTTTCGGAGGCGGAGTCGGGCCTACCGGTGCAGACACGGGCTCTACCACAGTCGTGTTCGAATTCAACGGCGCAAAGAGGGCATCCCAATCATGGGAGACAGGCGAGGCGGCAGACTGTGGACCACCAGTGCTCGTTGCTATCGCTCCATTATGTCTAAAGAAGTCGTCGCTGGCAGGTTGGGTCGTGCCGTTCGTGACAGAATCGTGTGTAGACTGATGGGGAACAATGGAAGCATGCGATTGAGCCGGCGAATCGAAGGTAGGATCAAAGTCTAAAGTGGTCTTGGCTGGGTTGAACACGTCCGCCTCATCTTCATCATCCGCGTCATCATCATCTTCGACCGGAGCAGACCCAACGCCCTCGAACGCAGAGTCAAAATCAAACGGGCCTGCATTGGTGGGCGGTGGCGCGGTGGCTTTAGGCTCTGATGGTCTCTCATGCACTTGTGGGCCATAGGCAGGAGGACTTCCGCTTGGTGGCGGTGGTGGATTGGTGGAACCGCCAGCTGTTGGAGGCGAAGCTGTAGGATCTTCCCTCTCTGGCAGGAGTCCTTTATATTCCCTCGGGAAATGATTACGATTGTCGTGTGAGTCCGAGTCACCATAGGCCGGAGGCGACACCTGCTGATCAGCACCTGGTAGGGAGGTTGCAGTAGAGGCCGGCCCTGCCATGGGAGGTCTTGGTGACAGTGTTTCATTCGATGGAGGGGGGATTTCCGGTTGTTTTCCAGTCGTGGTGTCCGTCTCAGCTGGCGCACCACGCGGGGATGTCGCGCTATTGAAGTCGTCCTCGAACTTCATGGGCGTCTCGTCACTCGACTCGCTGCTATCATCGTCGTCATCAAGCTCCTGGATGTCAGGGAATTCTTTGTTACCGGCTGCTTCGGTACCGTTGGTGGCTGGTGGGTTTGAGATCCCGGCAAAAGCAGAGTCAAAATCTGCAGCTTGCTGCGATGCCGTTCTTTGATGAGCCAGACCTCCAAAGAGATCGTCGAAATTTTGCTCAGGGGTCTTCGACTGAGGTGCAGATCCGGAGATAGTCTGCCCCTCTCCACCGTTGGGCGTGGCGGCAGCTTCCGACCCAGAACGACTTGAGGCTGGGGTCTTGGATCGTGAGTCCGTGGGAAATCCACCGGGGATGTCATGTGGTCCAGGCTCCCCGGCTGAGGGCTGGCCAAAAGTTGCCTCGCCAATTTCCTGAGTTGGACCTGGTTGGGGCAGCGTCTGACGGACAGACTCCTGCTCTTCGTCCGGTGCGGCAGCCGTGAAAGGATCTTCTGTGACGCTTCTTTGTCCGGTCGGGCTGGAGGCATCCGTCGTAGGAGTCAATGCACGTGGGGTATCAGCAGGACTCATTCGACTTGCAGGGGGCGCCACCCTGACGGAAGAACTGATCGAATCTCCTCTTTCCAGTGGTCTTCGAAAGGGGAGAGCTGCAGAACTGATTTGCCCTGATTTTGCCAGCGCAGGAGCTTCAACTTCCCTTGGAGTAGAAGAGGAAACAGGGGATTCAATGTGAGGGACGTTTGATGGAGCGCTTGGTGGTGACTCCTGTCCGGAAAACGAAACTGCAGGCGCAGGGGCCGTCGATGATATAAATGAAGGTCCAAAAATACTGTCGAAAGTAGTGTGGCTGGCCTGCGCAGGGACTTCCTGGGAAGTGGGCGGAGGAGATGCGGCTTCTGTAGTTCGCCTGAAGAAGGGATTCGAACTGGTGGACGGGGCAGGGCTTGTGACAGCAGGAGGGCTCTTTACGGTAGGAATGGGCACGTTGCGAGCCTCTTCCAGCTCCCTTTGCGATGCCTCAAGTAGCCGTGCCGACTCTTCGGCCTCTCGTTGAGCATCTTCGACTTCCTTTTGCGCCGCGGCTATCTCTGCCTCCAATCTATCCCGTTCCGCCTCATTGGTAGCAAGTTGCTTTTTGTTGATGGCCACTAGGCCCTTCTGCTGTCTTGCATCGGACTTAAGCTTTTCAAGTTGGGGCTTGAGCTGTTCATTTTCTTGGTTCACTTGACGAATTCGTTCCTTCAACGATGCATTTTCCTTTTGATCGGATTCCAGAGCGACACGTAGCTGTTGGTGTTGCGTCGAGAGGTCTTGGTGAGCCCCGTCGATTATAGCCATGTCTTGTTGCAGTCTCTTGGTTTCATTCTTCACCGCTGTCAATTGTTCTTGGAGAGCTTTGACTTCTTGGACCTCCTTCTCGTAAAGAGACCTGAGTTGAGCCAATCTTCCTTCGAATACGCGTTTCTGGGCGGTGCTGTTTGACAGTTCTTGCTCCGCTTGCTTTTTGGTCCCTTGAAGTTCCGTCATTTGCTTTGACAAGGTACTGACCTGGTTTGACAAATTTCCCAATTCACTAGTTTCCTTGGTGAGTTTTGAGCTGATCTCTGGATCAGCATCACCAAGCAAGTCATCAGTGGGCGGAGGGGGTGACTTGGCTTGGATAGGAGCAGGCGACCCTGTCGACTGGGGGAGGATGCTCTGACCAAAAGAACTGGAGGGGATAAAGGGTTTGAACGTGCTTGATGTTGCTTGCGCGGGGATAGGGGATGCAAAGGCTGGAGGATTTGCGAAATGGCCGGCATCAGTGCCGCCAGTTGATTGAGCAACCTGCGGGGGAATCTGGGCTGGAACAGGTGCGGCAGCAGGCGCAGGCGCACTCGTTGTGGCTTCGAATGCATCCAGTCCGAAAAGATCCTCAGCAGCCGATCGAGGTTTCGTAGCTGCTGGAGCTGTTTCGAATGCTGGTGCTGTTGGCTGGGACGGAGGTAAGATTTGTCTTCGCATACTCGGCGGGACAAGGGCCGGAGGAAGAGCAGACGGGAGGTTGCCTCGGCCATCTTTCGTACCTCGCTGCTGGCGTATGAGATACATAGCCACTGCGAATTCATCCTTGCTAAGTTGTCCATCCGAGTTGATGTCGGCGAGATCCCAAATTTGCGCAAGGATTTCCTCTGGGAGTCTGGCATTGCTGAAAAACTCGACCGCTTGTTCTCCATCAATATATCCTTTGCCTTGACGATCAACCGTAGCAAATATCGCATCAAACCGAGCTTTGTCAGCCGGGGTGATTGCCCAGCCATCTCCAGTTGATTGCGCTGACAATGGAGTGCTGGCTTGCTGCCTGGTGATGGGGCTCTGTGGGCGAGCATTGAAGCTCCCGAACGGCTGGGCCATTGCACTGGAGCTCGGCCGCGAGCCACTGCCGACTCTAGGAGGAGGCCGACGACTGGCAGCCTCATAGAGGCCTGGGGGCAGTGTACTCGGGACACCTCGCATTTGACCGGATTTGTAGGATGCCAGAAGATGCATCGCTATCACGAACTCGGTCACATCCAAGATTCCACGATTCTGTGTGTCAGCTAGACTCCATATCCTCCCAAGAACCTCATTTGGCAATCTTGCTTTTTCAAATATCTGTTTGGCAACCAATCCAGGGAGTAGACCGTTCTCGGCGCCCGACTTTTCAAACAACGCCGAATACTCAGCAATCTTGTCCGGGCTCAATGCAGGCACTCGGATGGGAGGCGGGCCTGGTGGAGATGGACTGGCTGGAGGTCCAGTTGTCTGCTGAGGGAGTGGTTGCGGTGTTTGTTCAGCATGAATGGGGTCGAATCGCGGTAACGGCGCGGCTGCGGATCGTTAGAAATTGCTTCATACTTGAAAACAGCTGACCTACTCTGCGTAGCAAGCTGCGCCGATGGTGGTCTGCCAGCTTGCGCATGGCCGATCAATCGTAGCACGACTCCGAAGCCCGCTGGTGTCAGAAACCCACGGTTTTCAACGTCGGCAATCTGCCATATCTGCGACCAGTCAACATCGGTCCGTACAAGTGAACATATATGGCTTACTTGTCCTAACACATCTGCGGGCAGCTTTGTTCGCTCAAAGAACTTAACAGCCACGTCTCCAGAGACAGCACCGAAGCCATCAGGATCCGCCTCTTTGAGTAGCTGCGCGTACACTCTTTTCTCTTCCGGCGTAAGATGTAGGTTTGGGTGACCTGTGATGGAACAGTCAGGCGACATGTTGGAACGCTTAACCTCTCTGCCAGTGAAACGAACCTGAAGCTGATGAGCCGATGGTCTCCGCCATACCCGGAGATCTACTATGGGTTGCTTTCTAGACCGCGACAGGCTCGACGTGTTGGATTATAGAAGGCGCGCGATATGCAGTGACATAGGAAACAGAGTCGCTGGAGTCGTCAAAGCACTCAGTCGATGTGCTCCGTACTTGGGTAGGGCCGGGAGTCGAGGGAAAATGAGGATTGCGTTCCTAGAGAAGAAATGGCTGGGGAGGTTGACAGTGTCGGGATTCGCTTATGACGAACTCGAGGAGTTGTACGCCTGTAGCTGCCAAGAGGGGAGGCAGCTCCAATTCACTCCGCAGGGTACCTACAGGTTATCAGGCAAGGTATCTTAGGTAGGTAGCTATACCTAAGGTACCTGGGTTTAAGGGCTCTTGGGCTAGCGAGACACCTAACGGACCCATATCTCTACTAGTATTGTCACTGACCAGTAGGGGTGCTGTAGCTTACTTGGTTCGCTCCGGCGTAGAGGCTTCCGGGTGGCCGGCTCACCTTGGGTACTGTCCAGTGAGTGGCCTACACTTCAAGGCTCCAACTTTCGTCAGAGCCTCGTCCCCAAAACTACTATCCTAGCAGCCTACTAAGGGATGTACCCGGTACAAACACACAGGCAGAGAGCTTCTACGGGACAAGACAATAACATGCGAAGGATATTTATTACCACAATCAATTTCAATCTGGCTGGCGGAACTGCCGACCGCCTGCATTTGTGCAATCCTAAGAAAGTATGTTCGTCTCGCAGAGACCAACTTCAACTCAACTATGGGGCCCTGCTGTAGGACTCAGCATCCATTAGACACGCTCTGGCTCCTGTACGCCTAAAAGTACGTTCCCAAGAGCCCGAAGAGAAAGCCAAACGTAGAGTATGGTAAGGAGAACTAGTGCTCAAGCTCCGAACCATCGCCCTCCTCAATCGAATCACTCGCAACCTCTTCATAGTCACGCTCCAGAGCGGCCAAGTCTTCACGGGCTTCGGAGAATTCGCCTTCTTCCATGCCCTCTCCAACGTACCAATGGACGAAAGCGCGCTTCGAGTACATCAAGTCGAACTTGTGAGACAATGCGGACCAAGCCTCAGCGATTGCGGTAGTGTTGGAAAGCATGCAACTATACACGTTAGTTATGCTGATCTGATGAGATAGGAGGCGAACTCACACTGCACGGTTGACCTTGGCCAGATCGCCATTAGGCACCATTTGAGGTGGTTGATAGCAGATACCAATCTTGAACCCAGTCGGGCACCAATCGACAAATTGAATGGTGCGTTTGGTCTTGAGAGTCGCAACAGCTTGGTGGACATCGTTGGGGACAACATCACCGCGGTAGAGCAGGCAGGTAGCCATATATTTGCCGTTACGGGGGTCGCATTTGACCATCTGGTTGTTGGGTTCGAAGCAAGACATAGAGATCTCCTGGACCGAGTTGGCCTCATGTTGTGCCTTGGCAGCTGACACCACCGGAGCATACGCAACCAGGGGAAAGTGAATGCGAGGATACGGGACAAGGTTGGTCTGGAACTCTGCAAGGTCGACGTTCAGGGATCCGTCAAATCGAAGAGAGGCAGTGATGGAAGAGACGACTGAGGAAGGGTGTCAGCAGGCTACTACAAGCAAAACCTGCCATACATACCTTGGGCGATCAATCGGTTCAAGTTCTCGTAGTTTGGTCGCTCGATACCGAGGTTTCGTCGGCAGATATCGTAGATTGCTTCATTGTCGACCATGAAGCTGCAGTCCGAATGCTCCAATGTGGTGTGGGTGGTAAGGATTGAGTTGTATGGCTCGACAACCGATGTGGCCACCTGAGGTGCAGGGTACACGCAGAACTCGAGCTTGCACTTCTTTCCGTAGTCCACAGACAGACGTTCCATCAACAAGGCGCCAAAGCCAGAGCCTGTACCACCACCAAAGGAGTGGAAGACGAGGAATCCCTGAAGACCACTGCAGTTGTCGGCAACATGGCGGACCTTGTCCAGAACCTGGTCAATGAGTTCCTTTCCGACAGTGTAGTGACCACGAGCATAGTTGTTGGACGCATCCTCTTTTCCAGTGATCATCTGTTCCGGATGGAAGAGGCTTCGGTAAGGGCCGGTGCGGACCTCGTCGACGACATTCGGCTCGAGATCGCAGTAGATGGTTCGGGGAACATATTTGCCATTTCCTGGTCGCAGCGTCAGCAATAGCATCGCAATCTTGGACAGTGAATCACTGACCGGTCTCGGAGAAGAAGGTGCTGAAACCTTGGTCAGGGACGGCGGCTTTGCGTTCTTCGGTGAGATAACCATCAGGCTAGCAAAAGAGTCAATTCGCGGATCGGCCAGCGGCAGGATGGACCACTAACCTGAATCCCATGCTCAAGACAGTAGAGCTGCGACGGTCAGTCCATGTTATAACCGAAGATACACATTGATGATGTTACCTCCCAGCAAGAGTTGGCGATTTGACAGCCAGCCTGGCCGACTGTGGCACCAATGAGTTAGTCTATGGGGTTGAGATCTTGGGAGTCGCAGATGGACAATGGACAGGGGCTTCGGGATCAGACGCGTTGGTCGGCATACCGTTGAGACTGATGACTTCTCTCATCGTGAAGATGGGTGGTGTGGTAGATTAGTGGGTATGGATGATCTGAGTAGTAAGAGATGCCAGCGGATAAGCCAGCGACAAACAACGAGATGAAGAATTGGAAGGGATGTTGATTGCGGTCGTTGTTGAACTCGAATGTGATTGTGGGGGTTTTGGCGTCGGTCTTTCTGGCTGGCCGGCGGAGCAGATTTGTTGACAGATGCGCGACTTCACCTTCACCGCCTGTCCTTGTAGTGGCGGCATCTGGGCCAATCAGGGGACGTTGTGTGCACGCGTCGCCGCCGTCACGTGAAAGCGCTAGTCGTCGCTCTATCAAATGACGAATTCACGACGAGGCGGGCATTTGATTTCAGTTTGTCCATGACAACAAGACAAAAGTCAACGAGACCTGCTAGAGCCGCAATGGGTTGTCGGGCTCTTATGATTGTGTGCCTTCTGTGGTTGCAGTATGCTTATGCTAACGTTGAGAAAGTCATCTTCGTCGCCCCCGCTGCTGAACCTCTCCCGACTGACGCCAGCATTGACAACCTGCTCTTGACTCCTCTTTCTGAACAATTCCCCATTGCGCGAACTCACATCAACGCCAGCTTTCCAGACAAGGAGTCGCCCAAAGGGACTGAAACTTGGCTTCTCCTCGAGGGACTACACCCTAAGAGGCGGTATGAAGTCAGAATCTGTTGGATGGCCACCGTGAGTGCTGGCTTATTGGTACACTATCCACCTATTGACAAATGTAGCAACCAACTTCCTTCTGGCTTTACACCCATACAATCGATCATGCGTTTTCAAAGCCGGGCCTCCTGACCTCGCTGAGCACCTATGCCTACTCTCGACATGAACGACTGGGTTCAGAAGACATTCAACAACTGCAGCTACGGAAGACCAAGCCAGGCCCAGGGGAGCCGGAGTCAACCTTTCTCTTCTTGCAGGTCTATGCAGCTGCAGACTATTTCACTCTGAATCAGACCTTGATGGAGAATGTACCCCCGGTTGCCGTGGATATCATATTGGACCCTTACTTGCTCAACGTTTTTCCAAGGTCACTGCTTCCAACCGGGCTGTATCTTCTCCTCATTGCATGTGGGGCGTGGTTCATTTCTGGCCAAGTTGCACGTCTGTTCACGATTCAAAATATCGCTGAAAACGACGCGGAGAAAAAGTCAAAGTAGCCCGTTTCAGGTCCCCACCATCTGAAAGGGATCCTGCAACTGATCAAATTCGGTCATCAACGAGAACAGTGGAAACTCTTCGGCATATGACGGCAGACTTGGAATGCCCGACCCCTCCGGCGACAGATAGTCATTGTCTGGCACCCGTCCCATATCATGTCGCAGCAAGGGTGGGATAGGCGGCTCGCCCGAATCTTCGCTAGTGTAGGCCAATGCTCCTGATGTTGTGAGCACCGGGCCGCGACTTTCAAGCGGCATCTCAAAGCGCAGCTGCCATGGCGGAGCTGCATCATCCCCGGGCTCGGACGAGTTAAAGTTTGCCCCTCCGTTAGTCTGCAATCCGGACATCGAGGTTCCAGTGGGTGTCTGATTGCCGGTGCTCGGTCTGGTGGACTTCGCACCATCGCCTTTATTGATTGGATCGCCAAAGATGTTAAGAATATCTTGTCTTCTCCTTTGCATCTGCTTCTGCTCACGTCTTCTGATGTGTTCGATGGCGGCCAGATGCAGATGTCGGGTGATTGTGTCGTGTCGGCGCGCCGACAAATCATCCTTTCCCATGATGGTCAATATAGATTCGGCCTGGGCAATACTGCTCAGCAAGGGAAAGGACTTGTCAAAGTCGCCAAAGATGGCAAAGCCAATCACCATGGCGGAAATAAAGACACTATTAGTGACCATGAACTGTCTTTTGGGAACCCCGGGCGTGTGCACCAGGTCAGTAGCGATTTCGATGCTTCTCAATGCCGCATCGATGCAAGCTTCACTAAGAGTCATGGTGACTGAACTGCCGGCGCTGTCCTCATCCTCCGGCCGACCCCTGATCCCCGAGGATACCTTGAAGATGAGGAACGGCCTGGTCAGAAGGATGATGGACCAGTAATACGCACTTTTGAGGTTCGCGATGCCAATAGTCTGTCGCAGTGTCGGCGCCGTCGAGCCCACCTTCTGGTCTAGACTATCAGCCTGCAATCCGGCTGGGAGTTGAGCGGTCCAGTCGCGATACTGGCGAGAGATGCTCTCCACGAGCTGAACGGAGACTTCTCGCCGACAGTAGACTTCATTCAGGATCCTTTCGAAGATGAAACAGATTCTCAAGGTCGCCGAAGTGGTCCGGCCGTTCATCTGGATATCTTCATAGTCTCTAGTCTCACGATTCCACGAGACACTCCCACCATCGACTTCCGAGGTGGCAGGGGGCCGGCCGAGAGATCCACTCATATACAGATCCAGCACGCGCAGACTTTTCCATACTCTCTCCCTAGCGAGCCTTTCCCGCGGCTCGAACAATTTAGATATATCGCTTCTGTGCAGACCCAGCGCATATGCCGCGCGAACGGCAATGCCCAGTAGCATGAAGGCGCCGTTCCGTCGTACGGCAGACAGCATGTAGAAGGTGATGAGAGCATAAGCCTGAATGGTCAAGACACTCGGGTCTTCCAGAAAACTGTTAACTCCGATCTCGCGACCACGCTGGAAATAGAATTCGGCTTGATCCAAGTCCGCGTCGTTGGCGCCGCGGGTGAGCGCGCCGATGGCCATGACCAGGTAGTAGATGGAACTGTTGAAATCCGTTTCGGCCGTAGGATCGTTGGTCCACGCACAAAGATGCTCGGTAATATCATCGGGATCAAACAGATCAATAACGCCGCTCGACGCCAGGAGATAATGTTTGATCAGATCCTGGGCATCAGCCTGCGTTGGTTTGGGGTGTTGAGACTGCAACGGCGTCGGGGGTTTGCGCGGCGGGATGACCTCGCACATGGCGTGGCGCAAGGGGTCCGAGGTCAGCGGACAGTCGCCAATCTCGCTCTTGACCAGCCGACGGATGTTCTGCACAAAGGCCAGGTTGCTGGAGTCGCCGACGAAGAGGAACTTGCCGCGCCCATCACGCAGCAGGCGCGCCAGCTTGGGCACCGGCGCCTTCGAGGACACGTCGTCGTGCTCGGTGCCGTCTTCTCGCGGCGACTTCGGGGCGCTCCTGGTCCCTGACCCGGACAGCGTTAGGAGCGACTCGATGGCGATCTCGGCGTCGTTGGAGTGCGGCTCGTCCAGCGCATCTGATCCCTTCAGCGTCATGGTCTGCGTCGACGACGACGCGAGACTGCCGGTACTGTCATGGCGACGCGGCCCAGCGGCCCCCACGCCGGAGCCGCGCTTCGAATACCCTTCGGTGAAGACGCATTCTGGTTCACGCCCGCGGCGCTTGCACAACAGGCATGGGTGCTGGCCGTCGCATTTCTCCTTGCGGCGTTTGCAGGTGTCGCATGCCCGGGCTACGCGCTTGCGGTCTTCGTCCTTGACCCGCGGACGAGGCATGACATCACCCCCGCGTTGTCTCCGCCTCCACCTCCGCCTGGCCTCACCAGTTCCAGAAAGGGAAAGTCGAGAGAGGGAGGACCGAGACCGCCAGCCGAAGGAACAGCGTCGTAGCCTTGTCGAACAGGTGCCAGCACAGCGGCAGCGGCAGTGGCAGCAGGACAAGCAACCCCAGGATCGAGGACCGGATATTGCAAGTGCAGGTAGGTGGTGGAGAGGTTGGTGGGTGGTGCGAGGGCTCGGATGTCGGATATGGCACCTTTTACATAGATGCTGCGAAGAGTGCGAGGGGTGCCAGGGATTATTGCAAGGATTGCGAAATGGTGTACGTACCTAAGGTACTCTGCCCAGTTTACAGAGGTCGGGGCTTTAGAGGGCGAGAAAAACCATCGGAAGCGGGCGCGTTGAGAGGCTAGAGGGCTACTAGGGGGCCAACTAGGGGGCCTCCAGGGCGGGGAAGGATAAAATCGCTCCTCAAGCCCCTCGCCCCCGTACTAATAACAAGGCGGGCAAGACACAAAGCGTGGATTACGAACACAGCTACGGGGCAACACGAGACGACACTTACTGCCTTTGGTTAGCAAGATGCTCGGAGCTCTCTACTACTTCGTATCTATCTTACTGTGGCAATCCACCACTGGCACGTCTTTCTCGGCGTCGCTCTTTCGCACTTTCGCACATGCCTCCATTCGGTCGACCGACTCCCCGGCCGTTTCGGATATCACGGCTACCACAGACACGACCCGACCCAGAGATTCATTCGGAACGACAAATGACTGACAGACAAACCACCAGAGCACAGGGAAATGCCCGGAAGCGGACATGACGGGTCCTTGAACAGTCGAAATAACTGACGGTGCCTACGTACATACAATAGACACGCCCTCTACACAGAGTATGATGGACAGCTCAGAAAGGGGTCATTCGGTGTCAAGATGGACGCCTGCATTCAAAAACAACAACTACAACTACAACTGCTGATATGAAACATAGATACATGGAAATATCTCTTGAGCTTGAAGTTCAGAAACCCCGGCCCGAGCCCGTGGTTACCAGACCATTGTCTGGGCCGGATTCGCCCGTATGGTTGATGGGAGCCATCATAATATCATATCGCAGTTCGTACTTGGCCTGATCATCGTTCTTCCTGGGCACGAACTCGACCACCAGCGAATCCTTGACCGCAAAGACGGAGTCGTTTTCCAAGTATTTGCTCTGTTTGTCGAAGATTTGCGTGGTGATCGGCTTGTAACCTTCGATCAAGACCTGTTTGGGTCAGCATTAGTCGCCGGCAGATCGAATCGTAGACACGAAATGTACTTACAATCAAATGAATATGTGCTGGTCTGTACGGATGGCGGTCTAGCAATTGCAGCAATTTGCCCGCCGGCCCGTCAAAAGGAACGGGGTATGGTGTCGGTCGGATGCAGTAGAAGGAATATTCGCCGTTCTCGTCGGTAATGAACCTGCCGCGCAGGTTGCAGTCGATTTGGTCGGGATCCTGCTGTTCATACAAGCCTGGAATGGAGAGAGTCAGTCTTCCATTATCTTCAAGATCAAGTGCTCGCCGGGGCAACCACTGACCATTTGTGGAGGCCTCCCAAACATCAATGGCGGCGTTGGCCAATGGTTTCTTGGTGAAGGCGTCCATCACTTGCCCATACATAAACACGACCTCGGCGTCTTCTGGGGTGTTGAAAGAAATGGTGGTGCCGTTCTTTCGGATTGGGTGGTCGGTTCTGTAGAAGGGGCCCAGGATGGCACTCTGGGTGGCCACGTCCATCGCTTCCGAGGCTTTCTTATAAGTGATCTCGTCCACTAGCCTAACAGGACACCCATTAGCACGGTCAGCCAGGCTGAAGGGACTGAGATACTCACGATTCTAACCCAACAACGTCGCAAACAAGTTGGCCCTCGTTTCTCTTGTCGTCACTCATTTTACCAGCCCAGTTGATCAAGTCCACGCCCGCCGACCATTCATCGACCGTCAACTCCACTTCCCGTGCGAAATCATGGAGATGTGTGATCAAGCTGGTCATGACTTCTCGCATCCGAGGAGAGGTTTTGGGACCCATGGCTTCGATCACGCGCCTGGTGAAGGTAGGATCGAAGCGCGGCGCGCTCGACTTTGGGGCGCCGTTCATCTTGGTGGTGGTGAGGGATCTCTGCTAAGTTGCACTGGATGGATAGGTAGCCGTGGAAGCAACTGGAGGACAAGGTCTAGGTCTACTAGTATGTGAAGCTTGCGGCCGCGTCAGGAGGAAAGAAATGGAAGTGTCCAAGACAGTCGCCCATGAACCGAGGCGGCCGTTGCGGGCTTCAAATAGGTCCAGCAAGCTGCCTCCTAAGCCCACCAGCTGGCCTCCCTGGCCTCCCAGGGCCCCGTGGAGCGCCCCGGAGGGAAATTAGTGCGGAAATGGTTCATGGCTTGTGTGGGTGTGCGTGGGTGTGAGTTGTCTCGTCGCTCTTTCCCACCCTCTGCCGGCATCCACTGATGGTGCGCGTGATTCCCCCAGGGCGGAGAGCAGTTACATTTGCGCAGTCGGTGTTTGGATGAGAGCGAGACTGCGCTTGTACCCCGCCTTGACAACCTGCATCGGATCCCGGCTCGCTATCCCCGTTTAAGTCTAGGTTGATCACGTGGCACCTTGCTTTCCCTCGTCGGAACGTGAGGGCGGCATCCGTCTCCAGCTGAGCGTGTCACACTCCTCCTTCTCTCTTCAACCTGCGCTCGGCATCCTCCTTCGGGACAGTCCTCTACTCCTCCATCAGCTCTTATGCTAACTACCTACTATAGCAAACACCTTTGATCCCGCCAAACTTGTGGCGTGACTAGCTCACTCTGCGCTCGGTTTGTATGCCGAATCCCCGATCTCATGGGCTGAGAAGGCTTAGAAATTCCTGCGGAATATCCTCCGAGAGCCTGCTTCCGGCAGCAAAGACCGATCACTTGGCGGACAAGATATCCCTCCTGCAAAATCTCGTGCCTCCCCCTTGGTTCGCGAGAATACCTTAAGGCACGTTTGTCACCTTATATGGGGAAAATAGACTAGGATCACCTCCACCAAGGACCGGATTGAGACTACGATTATGTGTCACCCCATGGGGTTGCCCTCGTGGCTTTTGGCTTGAATATGAGTGCATCCGAATACCGTCCTGACATCCAAGAAGAGGCGCCGTGAAGCGGCAAAGCTCTGGCTCTGGCTCCGGCCTTTGTCACCGGTCTCCCAGAAGGAGACGGCGCTGGCCCCTGCACATGTTTTTGGCGCACCTTTGGATCGCCGTGGCCTCAAATGCTGCTTCGCTACCTGATGTACGACTTGACAACAATGTGCATCCGGGACGCTCGGTTGGGTCGATGAAGGGAATAGCCAAGCGGATTGGCTGGAGACCCTCCTGGACCCCCGTCCTTCTATTTTACCGCATGTACCGCACTGGAATCCATCAAATCTTCTCAAATCAATACTGCACTCACCCACACCGAGATTCGTTGCGAAACCAGGTGCAAGAAACTGTGCCAATGGCAAAGATGGAGTGTCCTATGACCCCTTCTTGCACAGCATTACCATCCCGCCAAATGCCAGACGAGACCACTACCAGCCCATGCACCCTCCCGCTTGATTCGTGGCACCCAACGACAGCAAGTCTTGACGCTGTGTGACTGATTCTGACTGTTTGTTCTGTGCTCTCGTCTGTCACCAACTCGACATATCCAGAATCCAACCATTTGTCCTCAAAATCTGGCAATCGTTGCACCATTGCTGGCTCGCGTCTCTCCTTGTGTCTTCCCTCTAAATGGATCGTGTTGCCCCCTACTCTCCTATGTCGAACTTTTTTAGGTTCGACCGTCAAGGCTGTAAGTCGTCGCTACTGACGAAACAGGACAACAACGGATGATCATGAAGAAAGCCCTCTTGAGCTGGGCCAAGTTGTCATCCGACCAGCGTTCTCCTATGGAAAGCATGACTTGCAAGACAACCTCCTCATCCGCAGCAGCAGTCTCGCCCTCTCGGAAGCCGTGCAGTACCACAGCTCCTCGAAGTCCGCCAAAACAGATAGATTCTGCATCTCCGTCAGTCTCATCTTTGTCGTCAGGAAGCCTCAGCCCACCGCAGATCCCATTGCCCTGCACACCTCCGCCGCGTCCACCGCGGCCAAAAACGTCACTGCCGAATCTACGACCTACCGTCATCCTGTCGCCACTAGCCATCCCCAAGTGTGTCTATCAGTACCAGAGCCCTCCTGCGGCATCGAGCCAGGACCGCGACCATTTTGCCACGTTGGCCTCTGCATCTGCATCAGCGTCGACATCTAACAGACGGTGCAATGGTCCGCTCGCAACAGATATCTCCACGTCGCTGCTAGAAGGTAGGAACGTCGAGGTCGAATTGGGAAGCGGGACGCCTTCGCCGGCGCATAGTCCAACCTCACTGCCTTCGAGGTGCAGGACAAGGCAACAGCCGCAGTCCAGATGCAGCCCGTCTCCGACTTCAGTACTGTTCGAATCAGATCCTTGTCGACCTACCATCCGGTCTCCGCGTCTAACCATTTTCAGGGAGGAGGTTCTACAAAAGCCCCAAAGAGAAATGGACCAGGAAAGCGCATACAAGACTTTCCCTTCCACCTGCAAACCCCCAAGCATTGAGTCCACGATCACTATATGGCCATCCTCTCCCGAAAAGGACGATCACCCTCACAGCCTGGGTACCGTCTCTCCTCGCAGAGTCGAGACCGACATTACAGCCTGTCCAGGCTCCCGGGGAATTCAAACTGACCAGATATGGCGCTGCCCCGTCGACTTGGAGCACAAGAGCGAGCATGACATGCTCTCCTTGTCCTTGGGAACACACACCTCCCTGTCACGATCTCAATTCATGCAAGAGACGCCATGGCAGCTATGGCTGGTCCAGCACCGCCGATTATTATGGATGACAGGGACGATCCTGGTTGTTGTGGTAGCCACGACAGCTATTACAGGAGGTGTGATCTGGCGGTTGACCTTGCGTAAGTCTTCAATTTTCCTGCAAGCTGGGTCATTGCCAATTATCTATTCTCTCCTCCTTTTTTTTTCCTCTTATGAAAGCTCACCGCCATGGGTCGCTATTTCTCTCATTCATTCCTGCCGGCCACAGGTCAAACCGGGAAGACCAACTACTCGGAAGTTTGTATTCATGCGTTGTCCCTGTTGGGCGACGGTGTGGGGTTGTCGCGCTCGTCCCCTGCTATCGCACCTTGCTCGGGCTTGATCGCTGAGCTGACACATCCCTCGTCCTGCTTTAGTACAGTAATTTCTAGACACGAGACTCGAGTTCATCTTGGTGTGTTGGTTTGGGGAGTTGAGACAACAAATATAGGGGCGAACATCACTTTCTGGTCCTCATTCCCTGGTCTCGAGGAGTGACACAATGAGAAATACAGCATAAAGCAGAGGCTTGCGCTCCCAACAATCGAAGGCAGGGAGACAGGTACAGACTATGGTATCAGATCAAAGAAAACACCGTACGAAGCAGCAGCCGATAGTCTTAAGACATAGAAGGAGGACATCAAAAGATATTGTCACTGGTATCTATCTGGGTCTATGTAGGTCCTTAAGACCTCCAATCAATTTTTCGTCTTGCCACTACTACGGGCCTTCTTATCCGACTTCTCCTTCTTGTCCTTCTTCTCCTTTTTGTCCACTCCATTAGGCTTCTTGTCGACACCATTCTCCTTCTTGGCTTCCTTCTGTGCTCCACCCGCCTTTTTGCGATCGGCGACTCGAGGATCCAGCCCTCGAGCCTTCAACCACTTCTTCTCGGCGCGCTCGATGATCTCCTTGTCTTCCTCTTCATCAAACCCGCCGAAATCATCTGCTTGCTGGTCTTCTCCCTCCTCCAGACCATCGGTGGAACCCTTGGCGCCATTCGCAACGCCGTTAGCTTTTGGCTCTGACGGCTCGGCGCCGTTCACTTGTCCCCCGGCATTCTTGGGCGTCGGCCCGATCTTCTTCAACTTACAGACGAAAAAGCCATCCACGTTCTCGCGGTGCGGAAAGTACCGTCTGGTCAGGGACATTTTGTCATCGAACTTCTTGTTCATGTAGCTCTTGAACCCTTCGGATCCGAAACTGCCCAGCCCGGTATCGACGATCTTGACATTCGGCCGCTTCCTGAGCACATACTGCACGACGGCCTCATTTTCCTCCACCGTCACCGAACACGTCGAGTAGACGACATAGCCGCCGGTCTTGCTGCTGTGGTCGGTGGAGTCGATGGCCGCGAGCAGCAGCTGTTTCTGCATATGCGGCAGAGCCAAAAAATCGCGCTCGTTCTTGGAAGTCTTGACGCTCGGATCCTTGCCAATGACCCCCGTGCCTGAACAGGGTGCGTCGAGCAAGACCCGGTCAAAGCCGCCCAGGACTTTGGGAAAAGCCTTTTGCGCATCGTAGTGGCACACGATGGTGTTCTTGCATCCAAGACGGTGGATGTTGCCGATCAGACCCTTGGCACGCTGCTTGTTGGCGTCGTTGGCGAAGACGACTCCAGTATTGCGCATCAGCGCGGAGATGTAGGTCGTTTTCCCACCGGGAGCTGCAGCCATATCCAGCACTCGCTCGTTCGGCTGGGGTGCCAATGCCATGACGGGCAGGAACGAAGAAGCCGCCTGTAAGATGTAGTGTCCTGCAAGATACTCTGGTGTAGCACCCAACGGCACAGGCGCTTCGAACACCTGGAGCCCAACCTTGGACCATTTCCCCACCGGTTCCAGAACGACGCCCCGGTTGATCAGTGCTTGAGCCAGAGTGCGTCGGTTGGTGCGTAGAGTGTTGGTCCGAAGGACCACGGGTCGAGGCGTCTCGTTGGCCTCGAAGAAGGCGAACGCTTCTGCAGGAGTGAAGAGCGAGAACAGCTTCTCGGCCAGATACGGAGTATAGCCGTAGTAGATGCAGATATCGGACAGAAGCTGGTCCACGTACTCTGTCCGCGACTTCGTCTTGTCTGCCAGCTGCGAAAAATTCCCGAGAATGCGTATCGTCTCGGTCATGCGATTCCGGACGAGAGCTAGATCTGGTGCAAGGCCCTGGGCGTCCACAGAATCTAACACGCCCTCGTCTTTTGCAATGTTTGTCTGCAATGCTGCATCTTCCAATTCTTGCTGGGCCTCGGCCTCGACTTCGGCCTGTTGCTGGTCGAGTTTCCTGGAGAGCCCTTCGATGTTTGCGGCGGTGAGTTTCGCTTCGGCGTCGGATTCGTCTTCATCCTCGGAGAACATGCGTCGAGGTTGCTCGTCTGGGTCAGAGTCAAAGACGGAGTCATCAGAGACTTCTTGGTCGAGGTCCGCCTCTGCAATTTCGTCGTCCTCAAGCCCTGACAGGGAAGCCTCGTCTAGAGGGATATCAACGGCGTCGTTGTCTTCATCTTCATCGTCCTCCTCATCAGCCAGCATCGGCATGACGGGTGGTACTGTGATCTGAGCGTCCTTGTTGATCACCCTCGGCTTCTTCCTTTTTTCCTTGTCACTGGCGGCAGACCCCTTGGCCGCTGCCGTTTCTTCATCATTGCGAAGAGCTCGGTCAAGCTTGACTAACTTCTTTGCGGCATGCGAGTCAGAGCGCCGTCTTTTCTTTGCAGGTTCTCTGGGGCCGTCTGTATTTGACTTTCGCTTCAGGTTGATGCCTAACTCTTCGAGCGTCGCAGGGGGACCCTGCTTTCTCATGCGACGACCGACACCCATATTGCCGTTGAGTAAGAACTTCGGGTACAGGAAAAATCCGAAATCTGGAGCCTTTGCTGAAAGGCTGCTGGCATGGGCAAAATTTCCAGACTGAGGGAAAAATTGTTGCCGCAGTTTGGCATTCGGCGCCGCTGGTAGGGATCTTCATTAGGCTAGCCTGATATGTTTAGTGTTGGGTGGATAGTGCTTTGCCTCTGCTTATCGATACAGATCGGCTCTACATTCCGCCCTCGCCGCATACGGGGGAGTCTCTTACCTATACTTACCTATACCTACCTACCTATACTAGGTACTACCTTAGGTGCCTATCACTACCACCTAGGCACCATCAACCGCCTGGAATGTGAAGGGGCCTAGGGAGCCTCAGGGCTGGACGGCTGCGAGTAGCAGCTGCTGCCCTTAACCACCGAAGGTGTTGTCTGTCGTCCACCGTCCACCGTCCGCCGTCCACCGTCGACGAGTTGATATGGCATGGACTTTGTGCAAAGATGTGAATAGCTAGTAGGCGAATTGGTGCTAACGTCAGACGTCCGTCATCCGCCGGGAGATACCTACCGCCTTTGTCTAGATACCCACAGACAAGCTGAAACAGTGATGTTATTCTCTCTTGCCTTCCCTGGTTAACAGCTTAATAGGCAAAACACATAAGCCTAGAGATTAGCCGAGCTCTACTAGTAGGTACCCAAGGTACCTAAGGGTAGCCAGCTATAGGCAGGAACTTTATATGGCGGACCCAAGAGCGTGGTACTCTGTAATAATATTACATGGCCAGACCTGTGGCGATGCAGGCCTAGATCGCTTCAGCCTTCCCACCATAACCATCTTTGCCGCCCATCAGCCCGGAATTGCAATGCCATCCTGAAGATCAGAGTTGGACCAGACACAGACAGACTCTGCGCCATCCGCACCCTCATCTTAACCCTCCATCTCGAACCCGAACCCGAGACGCAAATTCTGCATCACCATCGCTTTCGAGGGCCCGGGACCACTGCATCTCGGCCTTGGGATCTTCGCACAGAATAAACAAGATATCCCCTGCCTCTTCCACGTCCATTCTTCCTCTCCCCTACTCTTTCTATGTCGGACCCTGCGTTGTCCTTCCACTCCCTAGCATGGTCTCAGAGGCCCATGTCACCGCATCACCACGCCTTGCCGCCGCCCCTGCCTCCCCTGCCGACCCCGGAATGGCCGACGTCTCAGATGTCACCATTGGTGACTCTCCGGCGGAATCATTTTCCGGCGACCCGCGAAAGTACGTGTCTCATGCGTGCGAGGCCTGCCGGTTCAGGCGATCCAAGGTCTGTCTCCTGCCACTAGCTATAGAAATTGCCGGCCCCTGAAATACTGACTGACAGGCTATAGTGTGATGGCAAGCTCCCAACCTGCTCGACCTGCAAAAAGCGGCGGACAGGATGTACATACTCGGAAATCGACCGACGGAGAGGCAAGCTGAAGAAGCACGAGACAGATGCCTTGCTCCAGCAGGTTCGGTCGCTTCAGGATATCATCTCGACTTTGCAGATCGCCTCAGATGAGGATGCCCAGGCCTTGCTTAAGAAGATCCGCCGGGACCAGACCGAGCTCATCGATTCTGTATCACTTTTCGATGGACCTTCGCCCGTCAGCGAGACCTTAGCAGACTACCGGCAGTCTCAGGAAAGGGACCTCAAACCAGCCGTTGATATCCATGTGCCGGTAAGTGTGAAATGCCTCTGTTCTATCGACTTGTGCTGCAGGTGGGAGACCAATGAATCTGACAAGTGCTCGGACGTAGGCTTCCCATATCTATACACCGGAGAATTTGCCGCCGGAAGGACTGATCAAACACACTCTTGAGACATATCTCAACTGCTGTTCCACTCTGTTCTACATCCTCCATGAGCAGGACGTCAACGACATCCTCAAACGCATGTATGTGTCCAAGGATCCCGTCGATACTGCCACTCTAGGTGAAGTCTGCGCGGTGGCCGCGATTGGAAGTCACTACGATCCTGACAATGTGCCGCTATCGGTCATGGAAGCGCTGTACCGGACTGCTTCGGTCTACATGCATGACTGCATCGAAAATGATTTCTTGCGTGGTATGAGGACGCTGCTCTGCCTGAGCATGTACTCTTTCATGACAAAGAGGTCCAGCGCTCGACTCTCCATCGGTACGTCAACAATCCGGCCTCTGGTTAAGTTAGGAGTCTGCCACGAGCGACTCACTCGGACCTACATATTATGTTCGGACTATGACTGACATTCCTCTAGCGTCTGGCTTACAGATAGCCCGCTGGGTGCGTCTGCACCGACAAGTGGCTTCTGATGATTGGCAACTCTGGAGAAGAGTGTATCGGACTCTGGTATTCATGGAATGGTAAGCGTCACAATCACCGATAATTCATTGGCTACAGATTGCTGACCGACTATCAGTTGGCTATCCTCAAGTCTCGGATACCGATGGAACCTCAGCGATGAGGAGGTGAAGGTGCGTAATGCAGAAAAGGAAACCATCTTGGATTGACTGACCTTTATCTTAGTTCACTCAACTCGAGATTGTCGAGCCTGTGCCGACCCTTGACAACGCCATCCAAGCGCAGATGAGCGCGGTCGGCATACTGTTGGCGAACATTCTAAAAGACGTCTACCGGTCGAGCTCCGTTGTCTTCTCCATTGTGAGGAAACACTCGACCATCCTGGAAGACTGGCGGCGCTCGCTACCCGCACCTATGCAGCTCTCATCCATCCTTGACCCAGGATTTTCGGGCGGTGCTGGACTTGAAGAGAGGCATCGAAGATCCCTGATGCTGGTACACATCATGGGGTTTGGAGCCCAGATCCTGTTACAACGCCGCCTCCTCGTGGCCATGGCGGACTGTGAGATGAACAAGCGCTGGACTCTGGACGGGTCACGCGAAGAAGGCGCCTCTATTCGACAGGAATGTGTGGCGGCAGCCAAATCTTGCGTCCAGCTCTTCGATTGTCTAGGCTACACCACAGCGAGCATGTTCCGACGATGTTGGCTATGCATGTGAGTCCAAGCAACCCAGTCCCCAGACATTCCTGTCTCTCCCTTATTTCAAACTCTTTTCGCAATAGAAGCATTCGTTCCTGTATATGACGATCTCTTCTGACCTTGAGAATAGTGGCCACGCCTTCAGCGTCTCCAGCGTTCTTTTATTCGAAGCTGCACACAATCTCCTATACGGAGTCAGCAACGGGGTCGACGAACTCCTGACTCAATGTCAAAAGTGCATCGATGTCCTTCAAGGCTGCAGCCTGGCCGACCGTGTCGCGAGAACAATGCTGGACATCGTCCTTCCATTACACCAGGATCTTCAGGGTCTGGCCAACGCGGACTCGAAACAAAACCGTCAAAGTGGAATCTACAACCTGCTGCAGAACCCCCACTCGGTGCCTTTGTCGTTCCAGAAGCCTCATTCGGACAATCATGGCTCGGATAGCATCATGGCCGAGTCAGACAGCAACACTGCTCCGCGGATTCGTGCTGCTGCCATTCCAGCCATGCAGAAAGCGATCGACGTCCTGGGTAATCCATTTGGCCATCCTCGACGACTCAACATCGAGAGCTTCTCCCCGGGCGACCCGGACGTCCCTAGCTGGTGGAATTAACCTGAATATCAGTCACGGATCGATTACCATCAGTGTCCAGGAGGTGTGGGAGATGCTGGAGGTCTTTAGGCGACTCTGTCTGACAGCGGATAACTCGATCTTGAGACACATTGGCCCTCTGTCTTGCTACGAAGCTGATATCTGATGGAACCCTGTTCTGTTTCCAGTCTAGCCTCCAGAATGACTTTCGATCTGGCCAATACTTCTTTGCCGGACGACATTGCTTCAATACTCGTGAGCGACTGGGTCTACCGCCAAAACAGATGCTTTTCCAGCTGGAAGAAATGCCTTCAAGTCCAAGAGAACTCACCGGCGCCTGGGGGAAATGTCGCCGACCGAGAGGCCAAGGATTCCACCAGCCGGACAACTTGCTCCTGAGAGCAGGCAAGCTACCAGAATGTCTAGGTCCCTTACCTAGGTAGCTACTCTGCTCAACCCCGATTTTATTTTTCTTGTTCTCCAGCCGCGGCGGCTCTCAAGAGCCCCTTCACGTTCCCAAAGACGCCTCAGAGGGACTATGCAGGTAGTCTAGTTCGCCACTCCGGTATACTCGGAACCATCTGGTCACATTCAAGCCCGAGCCATCAACCAACAGATCGTCGTCAAGAGTTCCCGGGACGCCGAGAGTGTTGAAGTTTCTCCTTTCTCCCTCGGCTTTAACCGACATCGAAGATGGGTGCCTTACATGTTTTCGCATTCTCAAAGGTGTCGAGCCGTGAAGCAAGCCAGACCCTGGCTGGATTCCTATCAAAAGTCAAAACCACATTACAACCCACGGCTGCTTGTACATATATACATGTCTCCTGCAGCTCGGTCTCCAGACGAGTGGGTGTATTGGAAAAAGGTTCTGCAAGACATATATATGTATATAGTATATACATGTATATGTGTATATGGATATACTCCAATACATCTTGGACGATCATTGATCTACCTTAGGGCATGCTCCTATCTAAGCTCTTCTCTACGATATCGAGAAGCAAGCAAGCAAGGGCAGGTGGAGATATAAATTGATACGTACATTCAAGATGCACGCTTTGATACAATGAGATGCGCATTGATGATATATTCTCAGTATCAGTCACTCCGAGAAGCTGCTATGATTCTTTTCCTTGGTGACCAGTTATAGTCTGACGGACCCCCAAAGAGCAAAGTACTAAACACTGACCGGACTGATGGATGGATTTGTTTCCCTTGTTGATTACCTAGTATGGCGCAACTCAACCGATCAATCTAAAATACAGGACAGTAGGTACCACGGCTGCGGCGGCTGCCGTCGACAAAAGTAGATCAAGAGACAGAACCCGCATCGATGATATGCTCGCACAGCAACAACCAGGCCAGTATGTCATGGTTGGATAACCAGATCGCTTTTCTTCGTGACGCACGATGTTTTCACGGACCCTGCATCCTTTCCTCGTATCCACGAATCTGCAGCCCTGGACAAGAGCAACTACACGCTTCAAACACTTTGTTGATATATCCAATCTCCCGAGTTGTCATGAACGGTCTGGTTCCGATAGATATCATGATCCGTTCATGCCTCCAAGAAGCGGCGCTGGGGAGGGCGGACCGGATCCCGATATTGACGTCTTCTTCATCTTGAGCGTGAGAGGGAACGGATAATCATCGGGCTCTTCCTCCTCACTAGCACAAATATCATCAGTATACCTCTAGGAAAGGAACCAGATGCGTGACTTACGGCAATCTCCATGCAATGTAATCCTCCGTACTGAGACCTTCTCGGCCTTCTTGCAAGGACGCAAAGTCACCGGGTGTCATCATGCCAGAGCGGTCGCGGGGAGATCCAGGAACAGACAGTGGTCTGGAAATCTTGATCTCGGTCCCTCCGATCATGTCGTCAAAATCGTCGACATCCTCGAATGATGCAGGATAGGCACGTCGCAGCGCTAGTTGCCGTGCCTTGATATACTCCATTCCCATGCGCTTCCAGTCCAGGAGGTCGCTGAGGCGCTCGGTACGATTCCGTTGATTGATCCGCTGTCTTCGACTTTTCTGCGTGTATTGGAACATGAAGTCGGTTAATTGGTTGACGGAATCATCAACGCCTTTGGCTCGTCGATCTACGATATAGATGCCGTAGTCAGAGGGATTCTCGATAAGTTCCTAGAGAGGGGTCAGTTCTTTGACCGTGTGCCGAAGTTGATGCACCGCATGCCAAACTTACCTCCATGTAACAACCGAAGCCGGAGAGGTTGGTGGTGATCGAAGGAACGCCCATAACGACGCTCTCGGCGGGAGTATAGCCCCAGGGTTCGTAGTAAGAAGGGAATACACTCAAGTGAGTCCCCCGGACAAAGTCGTCGTAGTCCAAGGAGAGGACAGGATTGGCAGAGTTCAAGAATTCCGGATGGAAGACAACTTTGACACGATCGGATGGATGGTTGAATAGTTGAACGCGCCGCAACTGGTTGAGCACAGGATCCTCAGCATCATTGACCATGTTGTGAGTAACAATCGGGGGAAGGTGGTGCCGTTTCATGGCGAAGAGCCGACGTCGGAGCAGAACGCGATCTGCGGCCGTGATGAGCTCCTTGTCGTCTGGCATGGGGTCCCCTTCTCGCCAATGAACAGATCGTTCAAACAACCTCCTGCCAATGCCTCCCTCAATGTTGGACACGGTGTCTGCCAAAGCCTTGGTCACGGCTTGCCCTTTCAGAGAGTCCACGGAGAGAGACGTCGTCTGCGCAGGCATTATGATGAATGCGACGACAGTTGTCTTGCTGCCTGCGACCTTCAGTCTGTGATTCAACCGTGCCAGCGACTCAATGAACATATCGACACCCTTGTTCCGGTACTCGTATCTCCCAGCCGTGAAGAAGTAGAGTGTGTCTTCCATGTCGAAGTCCAGATAGCCATAGAAGTGTCCCCTCACAAATTCGTGGATCTTCTCCTTTTGCACAGCATGCAGATTCTGGAACTCGTGGACGGCCGAGAACTTTTTGACGTTCAAACCATTGGGCAGGACACCGTCGGGTTTCCGTTTCAGCAGGTGCTCGCTCTCAAAGGCGGTGATGTGAGACACAGTCGTAAAGACATCCGCACTATGAGCCGCCGCTCTTTCGATACAATATCTATGATAGATGCCTCTCTTTCCCGCTTCCGCATCTACATCGAAGTATTGCAGATTGTTATAAAAGTCAACCGATCCCGCGCACAGATAACGTCCGAGAAGAGTGGCGTGCGTGGTAAATATCGTGGTCAAGTCCATCTGGCGTTTCTTCGTCAGGGGAAGAGCGACTCCGGCGAGCCATTCGTGGAAATGGGCAATGACTGCGCGGCTAGTTTCTCGAGAGATGAACTGTGGACCATCAGTATCAGAAAGCATCTCTCAACGACAGGATCTTACTTCTCCCAGGAACCAGGCGACTAGGTATCCAAACACAATAGCTTCATTGGTCTCTGAGTCCCCAACAGGGGACGGGATACCGGCTATAGCCCATAGGTCGGATTTCCACTCATCAAGCCAGCGGTACCCTGTGCCGGTGTTGATTAACAGTACTCGTGGGGCGCCTTCAATCAGCCACCGGCCATACATGATCTCGATGCCTCGTTCCCGCATGGATTCGATGGTTTCTCGGAGCGGACCTGGCGGAGGTTCGAGCTCTTCGACTTCGACAGCGGCCTGCAATAGTCAATACGCATCTTTCACGACTGGTGGATGAGGGCATCTGTACCGAGTTCTTGTTCAGAGGTCCGATCAGCGTATATCGGTCGCCATACTCTGCGGTTGTGACGGGAGCTTTGGATTTGAGAACCGAATAGATACCACCCACTGCGTGGAGGTTAGCACATGCAAATAGCCTCGTCTGACGGCCAAGTACCTCGATTGGCTACTTCAGTTGCGATCTCGAAGAGCAGGTGATTCTTAATGTCTCTTTTCTCCGTATCGCCGTTCATTTTGGCGATTTTTGATTATTCGCGGACAGCTTAGATAGATCTGGCGGATGAAGCTGCGGACAAATCTGTAATGTCTCTCTGCACAGGAAAGCTTACCCCACAGAGAGCGGGAGCTTGCTGGATGATATGAGAGTGTGGGATAGAGTGCTTCACAATCGGCCGTCAACTCGGTAAAGCTGCAAGGGCAACCCGCGACAAATCTTGGACGGCTGGCTAGGTACAGCAGATGGAAGAATTCCAACGAAGAGGAATTCTGGAGGTAGGGAAACTTGGAGGAAGGAAATTGAGGCAAGCTGGACCGATGGTCGTATGCTAGGGCGCTTTTAGAGGACAAGGGCATGGAGGAATCGAGGGATGGTTCTCGGGGTCTCCACCGCAGACCAGGGTAGCGAAGGTGACCTCTCGTGATGTCGTTTTGGACCCGTACAGAGTACGCGCGACAACCGTCCGACTCGAGGGATATTACCAACAACTGGCGTTGAGGCCAGTGGCTTCGAGAAGTTGCTAGTCGTGGAGGGATAGCGATGCAATCAATGTCGCTTCGCTGCTGGCCAAGGTGAGTGCTGCATTAATTGTTGTTGTGTATAGTATCTGCTTCTTTCAGTTAAGGAAAAGCCATGGGGATGACGGCATTCCAAAGGCCACGAGTGACATAAGGGGTGTTCTCCGTGCCTAGGTAAAGCCCCGACGTCCCCAAGTACTTCATGCTTAGGTACCTAGGTACGTTAACCTGACTCAACTGGGCGGAGCTCAAGTACCGTTACTAGGTACCTAGGTAACTACTAGACCGTAATTACGGCACCACGCACCATTCATGCAGCTGGATCTCTGGCTCCAACGTCATTTGTGTCCTAGAAGCTCTTTTTACAGTTTAGGCGGTTATTGCAGGCTCCGTCTAGGCGGTAGCTGGCCCGTGGTATGGTCCATAGGCGGCCCTGCTTTAACTGGGTCTTTCTTCCCCAAGGCACCCCCAAAGCTTCGAATGCCCCGCATTGCCGCCGGTCCTCAGGCCAGAACCTGTGATCAGAGCTTCCTGGTTTCGCCTCCAATCAGAGCATTCTTCCTCCCACTTGCAATGTCCTACTACGTAGTATCATTTCACATCGCAGAAAAGCGTGGGAATTTGCAGGAGGATCTATCCTGTTGCCGGCGGGACGCATTTGCATGTATGACGCTCTACTTGCTCCTCTTGTATATCTTGGCCAGAAACACCTCGAACACGCCCTTCTTTAAGCCGGTGCTCTCATCGACGCCAGCAATCATCTGCCTGATTTCGCCTACCCGCTTTTCTTCGTATTCGCGGTATCTCTTTTCTAGTTGCAACTCGTTGTACAACTCCTTGACCTTGGCCTCTTTTGCATCATCTTTTTGCCCATAGTTCTCGTCCAGCACCTTTCTCTGCTCCGGGGTGCAAATCAACAACGCTTGATTGACCAGCCATCCGCACTTGTTGTCTTTGATGTCTGTCCCGATCTTTCCGATTACGGAAGGGTCGCCGAAGGCATCGAGATAGTCGTCTTGAATCTGGAAGTACTCTCCTAGCGGGATCAGGATGTCGTGTGCTTGCTTCAAGTTTTGTGGGGTTGCGAGTCGGAGGTAGTGGAGGGCCAGAGCAACTGGTAAGTAGAACGAGTAGTACGCCGTCTTGTACACAACAATGAATGTGTACTTGTTCATGCTGAAGTTATTCAAGTCGACATGGTCTTCGGGGGCTGTAATGAGATCACACAGCTGTCCCAGCTCTGTCTGCCAGGTCACCTCGTGAAACAATTCAATCAGGTCGACATAGGCAGCGTGCGAGCGGAAATGCTTCTTGAGGATGAGATATATTCCAGACTCCAGCATGAAGGCATCATTGATCGCGATCATTCCCACTCCTTCTTGTCGATACCAACAAGGCTCCCCGCGACGTGTGATACTGGAATCCATAATATCATCGCTGACGAGGAAGAAAGCTTGCAGAAGTTCGGTGAGCCAACCGAGGGTCGCGAGGTCTTTGAACTCTTCTGACGACAAGGGCCGGTCAAGAAGCTGCGAGCCAGTGTCCGGCACTGACATGCCTCTATTTAACTTTCCGCCAGGTGTGTTCGCGTTGAGGGACTGTGAGCGCATTAGCTGGGCCCTCCATCGCCGAGGATTCTCAAACGTACTCTTTCGAACCATTGTAGTGCATTGTCCGGGAGATTGTACTTCCGAGCTTCACCCAGCAAGTCCTCCACCAACGAAGGAAAGACCGCCTCAAATTCTGCACGTGTCGTCTTCGTAGCCATCTTGAAGGTGTAGAAGGATATCGGCACAACTTGAACTGCACTGTACTGCTTGACCGACAGTTCAGTCAATGGAGAGACAACGAACTTTTTGGCGGGCACAAGCGCGCCATAGGGACTCACTGCAGGCATGGTCGGAGTTTGCAAGCGCCGAGTGGTGCGCCAAGCCAAGGTACCACTGCACTGCAGTCAGACTGCGGACGCCGGCTCCAGCTGCTGGCGAATGATGTTTCAACGCCATTCTGCGCCACATGGCAGCCTGTCATGTCCTTTGTCGCCTCCGACGCAGAGATGCATTCCTTGTGTCGTGAATAAAGCCCGACTCCATCATACCAAGTGGTGGTCGTGGAAACGGGTCACGATAGTATTCGCCTTTCCATCCAAATGTCGCAGCGACCATCAACCCCTCCCGCCAGGGTTGATGCGGTTCAAGCGCGTGCTTCCTTGACCCCGGAGCAGGTGAGGAGAATTGAGATCAACCGCCTCAAGGCAAAAGCGCTTCGAGAGCAACGAGATGCAGAATCGGCTGGATCCTCCAGTCTGCAGAAGCCTGATGGCTCTGTCGCTGGACAGAAGCGTACCTTCGAGACATTCTCTGGTGTTCCTGCAACGATTCGAGACGCAAGGGCCGATGGGGATCCAGGTCGGCCCCTCGAAGCCATCCGACCGGCGCGGAACTTCACAAAATACGTTGAGTACGACTTGAGTAAGATGACAGACACAAAGGGTGGGTTTCTGACAGCAGACGATGATCCTCACAACAAGGCAATGCACTCCGATGAGCAGGACAATAAGCCCTCACACATGACTCAGAAGGATTGGGAAAGACAACAACTTCTAAAATCTCTGCGCAACCAGAAGGCAGGACCCTTCGAGCCAGGTATCAGTGCACTTGAAGACCAGGCTACTCAATCATGTCGAGATTGCGGTACATTGGAGGTGGACTGGAAGTGGCTTGACGTTTTCGGTATTGCTGTGTGTAATGCCTGCAAAGACAAATACCCCGAAAAGTACAGCCTTCTCACCAAGACCGAAGCCAAAGAGGATTATCTTCTTACGGAGCCTGAACTAAAAGACGAAAACCTCCTCCCTCATCTCGAAAGACCGAACCCACACAAGTCGACTTGGCACAATATGTTTCTGTACCTGAGATGTCAGGTCGAAGACTACGCCTTTTCTGAGAAGAGATGGGGCTCGGCGGAGGCATTAGATGCTGAATTTCAACGAAGGGAAGCAGAGAAGAAGCGGCGGAAGGAGACCAAGTTCAAATCGAAACTGGCCGACCTGAAAAAGCGGACAAGAGTGGAAGCACACCAACGAAGTCGCAAAGGTGGCGGTGGGAATTTCGGTGATGATCTAGGCGACGGCAAGCACATTCATGACTTTGGTGTTCCGGTGGAAAATCCTGAGAGTGGTATTCCCGTGAAGAAATGTGTAATATGTGGCTTGGAAGTCGAGGAATTAGACCTGTAGACTTCATTATATCGAGTATGGACGACCGGACAGCCGGATCATCAATGTGATCTGGAATTACCGCTGCGCAGCAGGGCACTTTTTGATGAGTGTTTGACATCGCATTGTCGTGGAACAGGATCGGTAGAAGAACACGTGTGGAAGTAAGAAGACAGGTCTGTTGTTGGCCATTGGGTGGTGTGTCCGCAGCAGTCAAAGACCGGTACATGATATTGATCAGATGAATGAACGTGACAGAAGACGTATACAATCTCCTATAGCCTAGAGGTCATAGGAGACCATAGAATGAGGTAGTGTAGTAGCACGTAGTAGTAATAGGCTGTCCCCAATGTTCCCTTGCACGGGCATGTAGTTGGCAGTCACCACACGGCAGTTGGCACTAACAGTCGCCGCAGCCGCTGCAAACTGCGGAGACTAAAGACCAGCTCGCGCTTCGTAACAAAAGGAGTCGGTCTCTCAACTTCCATTCACGCAACGTCTAGTCTACACCTTCCACCCTGTGCGGGACGATCTCATTCGAGTCAGCTCGTTGTGCGACAGATTTGGCCATTAAATTTACAAGTTTCCTCCTGTTATCGACGCACCTGACCGTCTTTTGCACGAACCTCCCACGAAGCCAAGTGTGACGACGCGCATTCCCTCTCTTTCACGAAGATGGCTAGATGATATCCTTTCACGCATACGAGCGCCAGACAGCGCATTATGGCGTGGCAGCCCGGGGCTGGCGGCGGCGGTGTGGGAGGGACGGGCGCAGGGGAACCCAATGGAGTGCAAGCCTACACGCTTCAAGGTGAAACTCCTTTACAGGCCATTGCTGCACTCGCTCATCATTACCTCTAGGTGTCATGCGATTTCTGCAGACCGAGTGGCACAGACATGAACGAGACCGCAATGCGTGGGAAATAGAGCGTGAAGAGATGAAGAACCGAATAGCCATTCTCGAAGGCGAGACGAGGACAAGCAAAGGCTTGCGGACCTCGCTCGAAAAGCATGTTAAGCTACTGGAAATCGCCCTCAGAAAGGAACGCGAAAAAGCCCGGAGTCTCGCCAAAGGCGAGGCCGTCGATGCCGCGAAGGACCCCAAGGAGATAGCCCGGGAGGAATTGAAGAGGATTGGAAAAGGTAGGTCAATGACCATACTGGTGCGGATGCCCGTTGACCCGAGTTAGAATCGCTTTTGAAGAACATCAGCCACCTTGACGCCCAAATCGATCCGGACCATCATCTTGCACAGGGCATACGACAAGAAAAAGAGCGCGATAAGTCAAAAGGCTACCTATCCAAGTGCTCCTCTGAAATCATGTACCACGTCCTACCTACGAGTCATATCCCACCGGAGGTGAACGAGTCTCGTCCTTCGAGCAACACGAATCATGTCTTTCCAGGTCGGCAACCGTCGCAGCAAGAGCTTGAGGACGCCTACTTGCAATTACAGCAGATCAAGCAACAACAGCACCGGAACGTGGCTATGGTCAGGGAAAGCGCTACACAACAACGCCCACATTTGGACGAGCCTACGTCGCTCACACGTACCAACACTCAGATCAATACGGAAGAATTGCAAAGAGATCCAGTTGAAAGAAGGCTGTCAGAGCAGATGGTGCATTCCGTACCTGTTTTGGAGCCGCAAAAGAACTTCTTCAACGAGCAACCCCCTGTTACTGAAGACCAAGTTGAATCCATATCTCACAGTTTTGATTCTTATGGCCGGGAAATTTCGCTGAAAGACTTGAATGAGATGCGGGCGGTCCAGGAGTCCAAGCAGGAAATGGCGGACGGCTGGGATTTCGACGAAGGCCCTGCACCTCCGGACAAACCAACCGATGCGCCACCACAGTATAGGCCAGATACGGAGGTATTCCCCAGCGCGCATCTTATCCCGTCAAAGTCTCCGCCCCGACATCCTGGATCGTACCGAAGAAAGAGTTCAGGGGGGAGACGACGTAGCGAGGGCAGCAGTGAGATGCGAGATTTGACTTCGACGAAAATCGATACTTCACAGTTCAAGGTCCGGTTCGCCATGCGGGGTCATCTGGATGTTGTTCGCTCGGTCATTTTCACAGGAGGTGGCAGCCCATCGGAGCCTGAGTTCTGCACGGCCGGCGATGACGGAGTTGTGAAGCGATGGCACATTCCGGCCTCGTATGCTCACAATCTATCTGTGAGCGACGACTTGGATCGAATTGCGCACTTCACTCATCGCGGTCATATCGGTGCTGTATGCTCGTTGGCAGCCTGTCCTGCATCACCGAATTTCTCTAGTGGCGGTCGAGCTGCCGGGGATGGCTGGATCTTTTCTGGCGGCGAGGATGCTACAGTCAAAGTGTGGGAGCGTGGTCGTGTGGATGCCAAAGCAACCCTGGAAGGCCACAAAGACGCCGTCTGGGCGTTGTGCTGTCTACCTGGCTTAACGGGGACTCTCCTCGGTGACCGATGTTCTCAATTTGGTGGACCCGACCGTGTCCTTCTCGTGGCCGGTGGTGCTGATGGAACAATCCTCATCTGGGCAGTCAGCACACCGCCTCAGCTGAGTTCACCGCCTGCTGGAAGTCGCTCGGCACGAGGCAGCCGCAGAGCCAATTCGATATCAGCCGGCTCCAACTTTCCCAGCTCGCCTCAGCCCAGCGTGGCCAGCGCTACGCCTTTCAACTATTGCTTGGTGCACCGGATAGAACGCGCAGATAGACCAGCTCCGACCTCAATCTCTCCTTTGGGTCCTCGCGGCGAAAGCTTTGTTGTCGGCTATACCGACGCCAGCATTCTAGTATTCGACACGCGGACGGGTGAAGAGATTGTCGGCATGGCCAGCCAAGAAACCTACGATGGAACTCGAAATACTGGTGTCAACGCCGTTGTGGCTAGCAGCACCGGGTTTGACACCCGAGATTCCCTTGCGCCGGGTCGGCGGGGGTCCATGGGCGAAGATGATGTCGTGCATGGCGCGACAGGCTCCGATGATGGAGTTGAAGGCGTTGTGATTGCCGGATATGAGGACCGATACATTCGCTTTTTTGATGCCAACAGTGGTAAGTTTCAACTTTCCTCGACAAGGCGCCGTTTTGTCTGGCACTAACTTGGGCACAGGACAATGCACATATACCATGCTCGCACATCCATCGGCGATTTCTTCCTTGTCTCTCAGTCCAGACGGCAAAGAGCTGGTGTCGGGAGGTCACGATGCAAGTTTACGATTTTGGTCCCTTGAGAAGAGAAGCTGTACACAGGAAATTTCCAGTCACCGCATCATGAGAGGAGAAGGAGTCTGCAGCGTGGTCTGGAGTCCTGATGGAAGATGGGTCATCAGCTGCGGCGGAGATGGCGCAGTCAAAGTCTTTTCAAGGACGTGATATTGAGGTTGGTGTTGGGTCTGTAACTACCAGTTTCGCGGCCATACTCCCATTTCGGAGCAGCGAGCAGTCCCGTGTTCACGCATCTCAAACGGACGATCAAGCAATCTGTCCAAACCAATTGCCATGGTATCAGGGTGACATTCAAACATGAGTTCCACTCTTGACTCTGGACCTTCTCTCCATTCTGTTTCTGTCTCCCGTTCTCCCTTTTTGAATCAACGTCTGGCTAAGTTGAAGTGTGGCCTTTGAGGTGAAGCGATTTAACCTCAGGCGGGAGATTGAATTGGAAACCTTGGTAGTCTCGAATTCAAGTTTGCTGATATACTACAACAGCCGCAGCCTCGCCCGCCGAAGATATGCGCCGTGATTCGAACAGAATCGGCGAGGACGAAGGGTTGCTGACCTAGGTACCACGGTCATGAGAGACGACCACGAGCATCAGCATGAGCACTGTTCTAACGAGCCTGCTCGGCCGTTTCAGTCATTGGAAAACTGTTGCCATGATATTCTATAATCTCATCTCGAAAGCCGCAACGAGTGTGGTTGGTTGCCGGCTAGGGAATGTCATATCTATTTTCCACGACTCTCCATCCATTCACAACCACTGCTTATTACCGAGGTGGCCGATGAAAGCCCCAGTATCGCCATTCGCAACGCTCGCCGATTCCACGACCTTGAGCATCATCTCGACCGACTCGAGTGGGGTGACAGGCCCCTTGAAATCTGGCGCATACTTGAGCAATTTGGGGACCAAGGTATCGCTGCCAGGAACTATACGGAAAAAGTTTCATGTTAGCAAGTGGTCCACGATCATGCAGAAAGACTGGAACAATCCCACTGTGCCCCGAAAACCCCCCGAAACAGGAAGAAAACAACAAAACAACAAAACTCACCCTGAGCAGCACTAGTAGCCACCACGCCAGGCGACAGAGCCAGAAACAGAATCCCCTCGTCCTGATAGCGAGCGCCGTATTTCGCGACGGCCATGTTCATCGCCGCTTTACTCATACTGTACGGCGCAGCCTCCCAGATGCCGTATTGGGTGACGAGGTCCGGGTCCGCCATGCCCGTGGAGATGGAGATGACCTTTTTGATGGCGCTTTTCTTGATCAGCGGCAAGAAGGCGTTGATGGTCTTGATGACGCCGCCGACGTTCGTGGCGAAGTTCTGGCTCAGGTCGTCGTCGAGGATGCGGCGCTGGTCGTCGTCGTCCTCGAACTCGTCCAGGAATTTCCCGGACGTGACTGTGGACAGGTATGCGGCGTTGTTGATCAGGTAGTCGAGCGAACCGCCGGTGATTTTGGCCGTTTCGTGGCTGGCGGCGCGTAATGCGGCGCCGTCGATGATGTCGGCTTGCAGGATCGTTATGTTGGGTCTCTTTTCGAGAAAGCCGTCTTGGGCCAGTCGTTCGTCGGTCGCGGCTTTGTTGCGCACGAGCCCGATCACCGTGTTGGACGGGTCGCGCGAGAGATAGTCGATGAAGCCGTACTGGGTGGGATCGATGGCATGTTAGTTTGATTCTTGGTGTTGCTTGCTTTTCTTTGAGACAGAAAGAGAGAGAGAGAGAGAGAGAGAGAGAGGTTTGGGCGAGTTGAAAAATGATCCAGGATGGGACATGGACTTACTCCAATGCCACGACTGGCTCCTGTTACCACGTAAGATGGCATCTTTGTGCTTGTTTTGGTCAATTGGTTTGTTGGTTTATTGCTTGAACGTGTCGTGTCGTTGCTGTAGAATTCGTTGATGACTTTGGGCAAGTTTTGGAGTGTTTCAATTCGATCTTGAAACTTGAAAATTGGAAGACTGCCAAACAGAGACCGAGAGTGTGAGCCACGGAGCACGATATATATACGTAGGCAGAGACAATCACCTACCGTCAACATCCAGAAATGTCACTGTCAATCATTCATCATCCGGTGTTTTCGGTCGAAGCAAGCAGTGCTGGCATTATTAATGCTGAACCGTCAGCCATTTTGGCAAGTCATAATAGGCAAAGGAGAGTCAAGGGAGGGGTTTGAACATGTCTACGAGAGAACTTTCGTCCGTGATGTTCTCCGCGCTGGCCGTTCATCTGGTGGAGGAATCAGGATTGCTCCCGAATGCTGGCCAGGGAAGAATCAAGACAAATAAGTGGCTTGTAGGAGGTGCTTCTGAAGGCACAAATAGTCCTTCGATCACTGTATATCATCCGAAGTTGGAGACATTCGTATTATACGTACTTCCCAGAGGCGCGCCCGACAATGTGTGGTCAGTCAGGGATGAACGAGACCTTTTGTAGAGGAAGCATTTGAGAACAACCACTCTTTTCTGCCGAGGTATCCGGCCTGGCATCACCTGCAGTGAGGTTTGGCTTACGGGTGACTTCAAGAGACTCAAAGTGAGGCCATGTTGTATCTTCGTCTGTGCCGAAAATGGCTTACTCTGGCTTATGCGACATACGGACGGATTAGGATATCTGGACGAATGGATCGCAGTACTGACGCTCGCTCGTATGATTGGTCAAGGGGCATTATTGATGCGAAGTACTGTGGATATGTGGATATGTGGATGTGGATACTACCCCTGATACGGAAGCTGGCTTCAGCTTTTATATCACTATATCACTGTTCCTGTCTCACGCAGAGTACTGATTCGTAGCTTGAGCATCACTTCATAGCCTGTGGACGATTTGCAATGAACGGCTGTTACAGCGTGCTTCTTGATTCGAGCGGCTTTGAAGGATGGAGCGACAGTGGCTACGTAGCCTTGCTTGTAAATAGGTCAATGCTTCGGCAAGAATTGGCTTACTTTAGTCCGTTTACGGCTGGCTTTCCATAGCTCAAGAGGCAATCAGAAGAATGCTCCCGCTTGGGTTCAGACTTGGAATTTGCTATTCGAACAGATTTCGTTCTGGGTCGGTCTCTACTCTGACAAATGATTCTCGTAGCTAAGGCTTGCTGAGCTCTGTGCTGCTAAGGAGGTTCACTCCCTCAGTTGGTGCTTCTGGCTTCTGGTACTCGTACAATCTAAGCTTTCTCTCCCTCGCACAGTCTCCCTTTGGCTTCGCTCCTCCATACCCATCCAGTCATGTGGTAAGGCTTGTCGATCGATTCAGAGTTCCTTTATGCTTGTCCCTTTGCAGTGTTACTCCGTCGCCGATGAGCCTGTCCGCGAACTGAACGCAATTATAGACTCCAGAGCCGCCACTCATTGACACTGACTTGCATCTTGGTCTGATTTGCCGAGCCAGCTGAACGAGGGTCTTCCGGCTTTGTCTTGGAAAAAGTGACATCGACACCGTTGAAAATGGGAAGCATCATTGTACCTGTGTATTCCCAATGTCTCGGCTCAATGGTTGCATGCTTGGTGACATGCCAGCCTCTGAAAAACGAGGAGCGAGTTCTGCCTTGCAACTGGTTGATGATGTGATCCCATTCGCCCTTGCTATTTGCCAGAGACCAGATATCGTCAGCCCGTCGAACAGCGACGTCCACATCCGATCGAAGCCTATTCAGGTCCTCCGGGTAATTTGGAGTCGTACGGCGCTCGCTGATTACGACTTCAGTGAGGGATTTCATGCTGTTTCGGTTCTGATAGAGGACTTGTCCCAGGCGCTGGATTGCCGAAAAGTCAACAAATGGAGGGCAGTTGTATACTTTCTTTTCCCATCCGACAAGAGCCCAGACCGAGGCGTTGAACTCCAGTCTCCGAATTTTGTGTACCTCGTAATCATCCAGCTGCTTCAGGAACACCAGTTCGAATTCTGCTGGTGAATGAAAGAGTGGCGCGGTCAGGTACACGTCATCTTGATGACCATGCGGCCAGGGCATTCTGTTCCGGGTGTTGACGACGATTGTTGTCGATTGATAGAATAGTGGAGCCCACTCGTGGGATATCTGACGGCACGCAAGCATCAGATTCTTCCGGTCCTGGCTGACGGCTTCATATGTACCTTCATCAACTTGTTTGTCTGAGGCTCTTGCAAAGTGACCGTAGATCATCATTCTAATCTCCGTGGGAAGATCAAGAAGTGTTGATTGCGGAATTGGTGCTGAAGACTGTCCTGCCACAATTACCTTCTTGTTGTTGCTCTTGGAAGCGTGGGTGTTGTGCTTCTTTGCAGCCAAAGTCTGCTTTCTCACTTTGAATGCCGGCATTCTATGATGAAAACTTGGATGTTTGAGGGCTGAGTATGGGCGGTGTCCGGTGGTTGGGATTGGTTGGTAGCAGGTCGTGGACTGGAAGGCTTGATAGTGTCTTTGTATTTGGGAGGTAGCTGTATGTTGAGAGTGGGTGATACCAGAGAGAAAGAAGGAAGAGGTAGATGGAGAAGGGTTTAAATAGCAAATGGGAACTGACATGTTCACATGGACTGAGAGGCAGCGAAAGTAATGCAGCAGGCTACAAACCACCTCGCACACTGCCTTAGCATTCCGACTTCAACCATAGACGGACAACTGCCTGACTGTTGTAGTGAATGCAAAGACCCGGTGCCACTGGACGTGGACGAGGCTGTGAGAAAGGGGGTGCTTGCCATTTGTGGAAAAGGTGGATCTGTGTCCCACCGTAAAATAACTGTGGAGATTGTTGTGCGGAGCACAGTCCGTATATGGCAATGCGCAGGGATCTAAGGATCAGGCTCGCTGGCAAGGAGAACACCTGGGAGGCAGTCAGATGAAGACAGGCGGCGCATCTGCTCAAAACACCATTGCCTTTCCTGATAGTCAATACTATTCTTCTTGACAAGACCTCACTGCTACTCTGCCTGAGACAGCAGCCATGCAGAGATGGGGCAGTGGCCGGCATCACATCCGGGGCAATACAATTACCGCCTGATCCTGTCGATACACCAGAGAGGACTTGCCCAAGGAAATATCCCGGTTAACAGTTCATCCGCTTTGATCACCTGTTTTTGTTGTTTTCCGCCATTTTACTCAAGCAATTGCACAAATGCCTCCAGATCGCCGCGAATTCAACACTCGACTCCTTCGCGCCATACTGGCCGTCGTCGGCATACCAAATGACGAGACACTCAAGACTGTCCATGATGCCTAGCTCCAAATATCATCGGACACCTCCAGTATGTCTGACTTTGCCATCTTCAAAGAGATGTTGCACGCCCATTACCTCATCGCTCAAGAAGAGCTCAGGAATGCGCCTCCGTGTCCGACAGAGGAAGAGATACTTGAGATGGTGAGTCCCTAGCAAGTTTGCTCTTCTTCTTTCCCTTCTTGGTTTTGACTTTATCACCCGCTTGATCATCCTCTTCGGCAGACGATAGGGGTGCTTGGACCTTAGCTCGACTCCCGTCAGGTACGTCGACCTCCATTTGATCCCCCTTACTCTTTCCCCCAGCGGTTTTGGTGACCTTGGTCGAAGTTGGTGTCGCACATCTCTTGGAGGACATCCGCTCCATCTCGACAAGACTGTTTCGAGTATCTCTGCGCACGAGAGAAAGCGAGTTGATTGTCTCAACGTGCAACTTCGTGTATGGTGAGTCGAAACTTTATCTTCTTCGCCGCTCTGGATTGTTCGGGACGTCCATGCTTAACCTTGCGAAATGTTAAATGGACTCTCTCGACTGCAGCGGAACCCGCTTCCATATCGTCGCCGTCTATGTCCACGAAAGGGGAATCCACAACGCCAACGAGGATATGCTTGATGACTTGCCAGTCCTTCAGAACACCGCTCAAGCATTCTCCAGCTTGATCCCACTTTCGCTGGTGCCATTGTAGATTAGACCATACCCACTCAGCCTGTGTAGTGCCACCTTGGCCCTGTGGCAGGGGGTGTGCCCAATGCATCATGTTCGCCTCATAAAGTTGGAATACTACCACTTCACTGAGAGACGACAGAACATCTTCATACTGAAGCAGGACATCTTTCAAGGAGCGGATCGCGGTGAAGTCGACCATTAGGAAGTGGTTAGCCCGTCCAAGAGATGTGACTCTTATCCAGATACTGGCGTCAAATTCCAAGCTCCGGATGTTACGGAGCTTGTATTCGGCCAGATTGCTCAAGAAGACGCCCCCAAACTCTAGTGGAGTCGAAAAATCACGAGATGATAAATGGTGGCCAGGGTGGCCGCAATCGTCTCTATCACAGATGTCGTAAGAGGTGTCAGGATTGCCAGGAGCATCGATATCTTCCTGTTTGTCAGAAGTGTCGGATTCTTCAGCATTTCCAGCGTCGTCAGCTTCGTCAGAGTCGTCAGAGATCGAAGCAGCTTCGCTACATGCGCAGATATAGCTGACGCTGCATTCACCCGGTTTACAGTCACAGCCGTCGCAACAGCCACCGCAACTGGCGCAAGAATTGCAGACTATTAGAGATCAGTATCGGCCGAAGTTTCAGAGCAGTCATCCTTACCAGGTTCGTCAAATTCATAGGCAGCCAGCTGCTCAACGTCGCGCTGGACATTATTGATAACAATGGTCGTGGAGCGGAAGAACAATGGTGCCCACTCCTCCGTGATCTGGCGACAAACAAGCATGAGGGTTTTGCGGGTCTGAGCAATGATTTCATGATCTTTGTGATCCCACTCCTCATCTTCGAAGACGACTCGACTCTCTGTATGGTCATCTCCATCCTCGTCGCCAGATAGTCGCTGTCAATATCGATGGGGTCGTCGTCAGTCTCGTCGCTGGAAATATCCATGGGATCATCGCCGTCACTGTCACTTTCACTGTCATCATCATCCGTGGCGACTTGATCTGGACCAGAGTTCTCGTTCTCCTCAGTATCATCCTCCTCCTCAAAACTATCGGGACATTGCAGATAGACTGGTATGAAGTAACCATAGATCTGCATCCTGGCTTCCAGAGGAAGATCAAGAAGGAGTGACTTTATAGGTCGCTGTTCTGTGGATATTGACTTCTTTCTGTGTCGAGGGTGGCATAGTAAAGGACTTTCTGTCTGCTTCGACTCGCTTTGGTTCCATCTCCGGCATTGTTAGAGGACCAAGGTCGCGAAGGTGGTGCTAGGTGCGGCTGTGCTGGGTGCGGTTGTGCTTAATCCTCCGTGTCGTCAACTGGTAGTAGTAGTAGTAGTATGCGCGGCCTCACAATGTTGTGATTGTGATCCAAGTGTGTTCAGACGACGTGGGGATTGACAAGTAGATGGTGTTGCTTTTGATCTTGATTTGATAGTCAAGTGAAAAAAAAAGCAGAGAGTCGCCATGCTTGTCGGAATACTCAGGCAGTCCAATCAGTCCAGAAATTGCGCCTCTTTGAGGGTACTTCACATATTAAAAGCCGGCTGCCTGACATTTTGCAGTGAATATCAGGACATGGGCAGCCTTGCAGCCTTGCAGTCGACAAGGCTGTGCTGCCGGTTGTTGCCCCTGCAAAAAGCAGGTGTTTGATCCACCGTAAGACCTTTTGTATGGCGGATCATATTGCTGGTGATGATGCTGATTGAGGCTTGCTGAGAGCTGGCAAGACAGAGCGAAGACAAAGCCAAAGCCAAAGCCACGTACCTTGGAACGTTGCTCTAAGACCACTGTCGCTGTTGTATAAAGAAGATGTTCATCCAATACTTCACCATATTGCCCGACTGTCTAGTGCATGAGGGAAGAGATGGCCAACTATGCCACCGATCCATATGATATGATATATCCGTCATCCAGCCATGTGGTGCCTGGATACCACATCAGTGATCACCAACTATCTCTTCGGAGTCCATACCTATATATTCTCTGGCGACAGAAGTCGGACCTTAAGTATAATTACCATGACAATCACTGGGAAGAAGCAGTGGACCGGAGAGGACCTCAGCCGGGAGATGGGACAACCATCTAATAGCATGTGAGGACAGAGGATCGGTTGTATGCCATGTACAAGTTTGTCAAGCGGAATATACACCAATATGTGCGTTCATCATTGTTTGTCTCCAACCACCACTGCAGAGCACCGAGATAACGCTTCTTGCCATCTATCACGCTAGCAATAGGGATAGCGACATCGATCCTCACTCGCAGCAGTTCAACATCATGGTGGAGTTGGAGGATGCCAAAAACCCCTCCGGTAATGCTACCCTACGCAGAAAATCCAAACCCGGTCAGGCAGCGAACCAATCTATCAGAAGAGCATGGCAAGATGGAAGGTAACGAAGGGCTTTTCAGCCGCAAGGATCACTAGCAGCCCTACGAGATCTTGACATAAACTTGTGGCCCGTCCGCCAGGGTGGATTGTCACTCCTGAGCCCTGACCACAGACCACAATCACCACCAATCGCTGGGCACATGTCAACTTCAATCCCGGGCCGACTTTGTCAGATCTAGAAGGATCATGCGATTGCCGAGATCCTAGTCCCCGATCTGACTTTTGTCCAGGACCACATGCACCGTGCGGGTGATTTGGCCTAGCGATGGTCCATAGCAACGCAACGCCCAGCAGAAGTCGAGATGGTCTAGACTGAAGTCTTTTGAAAAGTTCCCAAGAGAACGAACTTAATTCACCATAAAACAGCGGCTTATGCTGATGCAGTCCTCGAGTCACAGCGAGTGTGTCGTTTTGTTCTCTAGGTCATCGACATGGCTATGAAGTGGACGGAAAGCGCGTGGCCGGCATTGGCGGTCTTGTTCTTGACCCTTCAAGTAGGCGCACAGTCTGTTACAAAATGCGGCAACACCGGTGACACGAGCTACTACAACTCAACGACGCTGCCTTATGTCTGTGAGTATTGTCGAAGGGCCTGCCTGCCTATATCTGAACACTAGGACTGTGACTGTCAAGACTCAAGGCTGACATGATGTCTATCCAGTCTACAATAACCCCTGGGGAAACGATGGGTCAGGGTTCTCATGCATCACGGTAGGCCTTACGAGTTTGCGTCTCTTGTACTCTTGGAGATCCAGTCCTCGATCTAACTCCCTTAAAGGTTGGGGGAGAACTCTCAATTGAGCACCTATGCTTGGTACTGACTCGGACTGTTCTATGTAGGTCAAGAACAACGGCACAGCCTTCGACGCGACATGGCGCTGGATAAACAATTCAGACAGCGTGCACGCCTATCCACACTTCAAACTCGACTCACCGCTCTACCCTCTATCAGTGCGAGAACTGGCAGCGGTCGACTTCGAAGGAACCTGGGGATTGAACGTGACTTCTGCAGCCAATGACACCGACCAGCAGCGTCTGCAGGCCCTGGATGACAACTATGTCCAATATAACGTGGCACTGGACATGTTTCTCGATGCCAACGCCAGCCAGGCCTCGGCAGACCTACCGGGCTACGAGATCATGGTGTGGCTGTCGTATTCTTACGACGTATATCCTGTCGGCATCGACAAGTCGAGCCCAGACAAGGACCAATATATCATTGGAGACACGAGATTGTAAGTTCCAAAAACTTCACACCAACCACGAGTCTTGGGCGTCTCGAGCGACTGCATTCCTGCTACTTGTCCAGCGTTGGAGAAGAAGCCACTCATTCAACCGCTTCTCAAGATGGAGTTCTGCGACTTTTGTCTCAGGACACGGTTCTCTGACATTCTTCTACTCCCATTTGGGCAACTACCTTCCCTCACACCACTCCCAAGCTACTCACAATAAACCAAGACACCTTGTACAATGTAAATGACAAGATCTCTAACATAATCTTACTCGCCAATAGTTTCCTCTTCTCCGGCACCAACTCCCAAAACCAAACCGTCTTCTCCTGGCTCCCGGAACACAACCTAACCGCCTCCAACGCCGACTACTCCCCGCTGATCCACTACCTGTGGCAATTCAACTTCATGCCCGCCGACATCTATCTCGGCACCGTCCAATTCGGCACCGAAACCTACCACGCGACCAGCGAGGTCCTGTTCCGAGCAACGAACTACACGCTCAGCCTGGACAGAAATCGGACACAGGATCTGTCCCAATCGCCCCTGCAGCGAGTGGACACAGTGAGTGTGCCGACCCAGGTGCCGACGATGGATCGGTTCAAGAGCCTTAGTGCGCCGAGATTGTGTGGCGGGAATTCGATTTCTTGGTTGGCTGGTGTATGGAGCGTGGCCTTTATTTGGTTGACTGTTGTTTGGTAAAGTGAGGGAAAAATTTGGTTCCTTGACGGGCGGTTTATAGACTAGTAAGCGTGAGGGTTTCTTCTAGTGTAGGCTGATATATAGACTTAGTCTCAGATTGACTTCTGTGGCAGATAGATACACAGGAGATGTTGTTGCACCAAGTTCTGGTCGGAACTGTGTCACACAATCGACATTTCCAATCCCCAGCCTTGCGCAGTCTGGGTGGAGCAGAGGGGTAGGTGAAGTATACTTGTATATAATGGTTCATTTGCTAAGCCCGAACTCCCGGTTCATAATCTTCCCATGCAGCGAGAAAGCGCACCAAGTCGGTGCATATACATATCATACTGGCTCAGCTACTCCTGCTCCGCTGTCGTTGTCAAGTCGTACAAGACTTAGGTATAGATAATCATAAATCGTTCTGCCTCTGAACTATCAACATACCTACCTCAGCCTCTTTCCCTTCCTCTCTTCCTCCCTACTTACTCTCAAACACTGGTTCACGCACACTAGTCGTCAACCGTGAACCTACTATGTCCACACCCATGCTGCAAATCATAGAGAACCGTACTTGACCCCAAGGCTCAAATGTTCTGCTGAGTCCTAAATCTTCTCATACCTTTTCAGTCCACAAACAGCCTCTCTACAATGCGTTAAAAAAGCTTGCTGGCTAACAGGGGCTCGAGGAATCAGACCCCTAGAATCGATTCGCAATCTTGTCAGCAATGCTGCTCCGACGTCGGCCCTCAGCCACAGCCACGCTCTGGCGACGAATCGTCTCGACGAATTCCTTGTCGTTGTCAACATGGCCGTCGAACGACCAGAGAGCCGGGCAAGGGCCGATCTTGCGGCGCAAGATAGTGGTCTTGATCCACCAGGGCAGAACGGTGCCGACCTGATGTTTCATGAATGTGCGGGTCGGGATGGCGAAGATGTAGTCCAGTTCCTCCTGTTGGTTGATGTCAGTGCACAATTACCCAAAGCTTTTTTCTGGGAAATTAGACAAGCAAGACGAAATTCATCTTTCTTCTTTTGATGGAGAGAACCTGCTCAATACGTACCAAAGTGCGTTGTTTTGTCTCGGGCAACCACAAGAAAATCATGACCAAAGCGCAGATGTTCAAGCCGGCATAGAACGCAAAGGCGCCCGTAGGAGTCATGGCCGAAAGCATTCGGGGGAACGTGATCGAGAGAACGGCTGCCCAGAAGAGACATGTGGCTACGGCCCAGGACATGCCCACTTCACGGTGGGACAGCGGGAACACTTCGGCCGAGTAGGTGAATGGGACTGGACCTTCTCCTGGAGAGTAGAAGGCGGCGAACTACGGAGGTGGGCAAATGTCAGCCATCAATCTCTTCCAGAAGAGACAGACCGAAATATCAAAACTTAAATACATCCTAGAAAGTCGGACTCGGACTCGTACCAGGTAGATGAAGAGAGCCACAAGACCCAAATGAGCCGAGCTGCTGCTGGGGATCAGATAGCAAAGACCGGCAGCAAGAAGTGTCCAGGCCATCTGGGGGAAGGTGAACAGGAGGAGAGATCGACGGCCGAAAGTGTCGATTGTCCAGATGGCTGGCCAGGCGAAGACGAAGTTCACTAGACCAAATCCCCACGAGGCGAGGAGCGAGTTCGTGACGGAAGCACCGGCCTGTTCGAAGACGGTGGAGCTGTAGAAGGCGATGATATTGACTAGAAAAAACAGAATTGGTCAGCGTGATGCTCACTTCCAGGAGAAACGATCTCAGGAAATGGCCAACACATACTTCCGCACATCTGCTGGGCAATCATGACTGTGAAGGAGGCCAGAGTCGCACGACGAACTCTGGGGATGGTGAACAATTGGACGAAACGGGTGATGTAGTTCGTCTGCCTGTCAACCAAGGCAGCTTCCATGCGTAGTTGAGCAAAGATGTAATACAAGTCGCGGGCGGCTTGGAGTTCGGTGTTGCGAAGTTTCTTGAGGGACCTGTAGGCGTTGGAGTATTTGCCTTTCTTGATATACCAACGAGGAGATTCTAGCGAGGCGAGTCAGGATACCAATGCAACCACCGGAACAGAGGGCTCAGACTTACCTGGACAGAAGTAGATCCCAATCAGCAGCGGAATGGCAGGCAGTAAGGCCGAACCAAACTGGAGACGCCACGAGATCTTTCCGGTGTCTTTGACAGCCAGATTGGCACAAGTTCCCAGGAAGATACCGAAAGCCGTCCACATCTGCCAACACATGACGAGCCCGCCTCGGATTGATGCAGGAGCGTTCTCGGCGCTGAAGATGGGCACGGTCGACCCTTTACATCCCATACCAATTCCAAGCAAGAGTCTGGTGACCAAGAGTTGTTCCCAGGCTGCATCACACATATCAGCCCGTTAAGTCATCAAAAAGGTGAGGTCGTGGGACTTACTTTGGGCAACAGCACTGCCAATGGGAGACAACAGGCAGAAGATTGCAGACACGAAGATTGTTCCACGTCGACCGAAATAGTTGTTCAGCGGATCCGAGCACCAACAACCGCTGCACATGATATCAGCCAGCCGAGTGGAAAGGAGAGATGGCCTTCAAGACTCACATGAAAGCAGAAGCAATGTAAGGACCAGCATTGATCAATCCCTGATACCACTGGTTGCGAGAAGCATTCGGATTTGGCGAGCCATCCGCCAGGGTCTTAGAGACGGGAATGCCTAGAGCATCGGGAAACGAAAGATTGGCCCCGTTGGAACCGGTTTGATCCCAACCTTGCACGGCGGCACCAATAGAGCACAGGATGATGGTGAAGTAGAGAGCCGTCGGCTGCCTCCATTTGTGCAGCACTTCATTTCTGATGGCCTCCTTCTCATCCTCAGTGAGGCCAGGGACTGTCTCGAAGGCCGGAGGGTCTTTCGCGACCAGCGCACCTTTCACCAATGTCGGTGTCAATTCTCCCAAGCCACTGGAATTTGCAAATTCTTTCACGTCACTAACGACCTCTTCATTACTGAGATGCGCGAGAGGGTTCCGGATTCTATAAAAAAAACTGGGATTAGCCAACCACCAACCGTGAGAGAAAGAGGTTGTCCATACTTTGCTGAAGCGCTGTTTGCCAGATCGATGTGGGCTGCTCCATGCTTCTCGTCGACATACTTCTCATTCGCGTTCCTGGGAGAGAGCTTGTTAGCAGTGTCAGTACACGAAGCATGATCGGCCTACAGGTCTTCCTGATCGCGACCGATATCATGAACCTGAGATGCCATCTTGGAAACGAGACACCAAGCTGGTCAAAGTGTTAGGATTTGCGAAGAGCAATTCAGAACGAATATACGGACTCAAGTGACATTTATCGGTTCAAAGAGCTCACCCCCTACCACTTTCTTGTGGGCGGGGGTTCGATTGCCATCGAGATTGAACCCCGGGTGCCTTCATGGGCATCCCATGTGATGGTCAAGAACCTTGTGCTCTGTGATCTGAACATTGTAACTGGAGCAAGTCAAGAGCTGCCAGACAGATGTCGGACCTCCAGCCATAGAAGGCCGAGTCCAGAAGGGCGATGCCAGATCTGTGAGCTGCTGATTGTCCGGGGTTGACCGGGGGCTGGGAATATCCCACAGTATCCCGCGTCCAAGTCATGGTGGATGCATACACAGAGTCGGACTTTGATATATCTGGGACCATCAATGGTGGAACGAAGCTAGCTGGTCTCGACGACAACGGCAATTCAAGGGAAGATCGAACGGGCGACCCCCGGATCAGCGTTACAACGACTGGGATTTTGACATGAGAGAATGACGATGGGCTGCTTTAACTTCCATGGTGGACAGGGGTTTCAGCCTTTCGCCACACTTGGGCTTTCTTGTCTGCCATTGACTCTTCCTTGGCCCGCTGCCAATGACTGCTAAGCACTCGGGACTCAGTGCTTGCTTGAGAACCCTTAACCGGACGCGTCTGATTGAACGACTGACCGACTGCTGTCTTCAAGTTTGTTGCACGGATACCGCAGGCTGCATGACCTTGGGGCGCCTGAAGGATTCGAGACTCTGACTGTTTCTTCACCATGGTCCCATCTTCTCCCCCAGGTGTATCTGGGCCTGAACGACAGTGGCTTGTGGCGCTCCCTTGCATGGTCTAGGGTCTGCCTGGCTTGTTTTAGGAAGGAAATTCGGCAAGACTGCCTGAGGGGATGGTCATGGTGCCTAATGGACACGTCTGAGCTCTTCCTAGATGTGTTCAACGGTACACGCAGATTCAGTCTGCACAATGATATCGGTCGTCTTTGATGGTCAGGTGAGTCTCTTCGTGTGTGTGAGATAACGACCCCAGGATTGTCTGGTGGAGAGAGAGGTAGCACCCCGAAAGACCCAGGAATACATGACCCCTCGATTTGGCAATCCTGGTATGTCGCGTGCCGGTGGCCCATTGGGACACCATCCCGTGTAACGGTGTAAGCGTCTTTCATCTCGGCTGCTTTGACTCTGAAGAAATGATTGCCCATCTATGCCAGCCTGCGTACCCAATGGCAGTAAGGCTCGACCAGGGGAGGTAAGGATTGAAGCACTAATCGAAATCGACCGAGGATGGTTTGTCCCCCGGATTGTCGTTCCAGCTTCCCCAGCTTCCATCTCTCGTCGCTGGAGAGGTTTGGGGCAAGATTCTCACATTACGTCGCGTCGAGCGAATCACCAAAATTGTTTTGACTGAAAGTTGATCATGTGCTTCTGGCGCTGACAGAGTGTGATTCGTGCTCCCACCAAAGCTGCCGACCATACGAGGCAAAACCAAACCCAGCTAGGTGGGGGGAGTGTACCGTTCCGTCCTATAATCTCTCAGGATGACAGAAGTTATGCTCTCCCACGCGGAGATGGGGAGATGCTGAGCCACGCAGAAGAGCGGGCCATATCCTCCTAGAAGAAGGTCGCTCCCGTCACGGGCGCAACCAACCTAGGACTCGAGAGACATGGACCGGTCTGTAGCAAAGGCCATGCAGCAAACTCTGGCCATCGGATCCGAACGACGATTCAAATCTTGATACAGAGCGCGGGGGCAATCAACCTGTTGACAGACCTGTATAGCCTAATACACATTGATTGACAGCGCTGCTTGGACCCAACTCCCTCAAGGACCTAGCAACCCCGCGTGGAAGGCCCTGTGGACAAGCAATGGAGCATGGTAGTACTGGCCTTCTGCATGCAAGTCACCATGTCTGGGGAATCTCGAAACGGATCTTACGTCGACCGATTCCTGTCAAAAAAGACGCTTTGATGTAAGTGGCGGCACTCCCAATCCGCCGGTACTTGTCGAAGAGGTCGACGAGTCACCTGTGCGATGCAGTTCCTCGAAGGATTGAGACTCTCGTTGATCGACCAAATCAAGGACTCACCACCTGAAGACTGGAGCTGATATATTTTGATGAAATGGGATGAGTGAGCACTGAGCAACACCATGAATGACTTTGATGGCGACCATGTTCTAGTGCGGAAACCGCCAATGCTCTTGCAAAGAAGCAGAGAAGGCTAGCATGAGGCAGGTACAGTCTCCGGGTCTCAGTTCCCTTTGAGCGTCTGAGTGGGCAATTCTTCTTGACTACTGACGGGTTTATGTTGCTACTGCCCCCAGACTTCCAGAGGGAAAGAAATGAGATCGAAGGCAGCAAGAACAATCAATCCGCCACATCATGTCAACCGTCAAAGTCCACGACTACTTTTCACTTGCGATGCCTCGATTACCACTCGGCAGTCCATGAGATGGAGACGTCCTGTTGTCTTTGGCAAAATCCATCTACGCGGCTATAGACATGTATCTTTAGGTAGGTCACCATGTCCACGAAACTGTGAAGTACACAGCGACCCTTCGAGCCTCTTCTCTGTTTCCCTTGATTGACTCCTCTCGAATCAAAGATGGAGCTTCTGGCAAGAATCAGCTGGCCACAATGTGGGAAACATCAGCTTCGGCGACTCACTGGTTCTGGTTTCTGTCACAGTCCGGAGATATTCCCAGGGCGACTGAGGCACCCGGTATCTCGACCAGGCGACCACAGCTTTGAATGAAACAAAGGCATGGCCCGTGCTGTTACTATTCAGCTTCAGGCATGGTGCATATCTGGCTGACTGCTTTTGTTCTCTGGTCCCATGCCTGTCAATAACCCTATGGTAGGTACTATGAGGGTCACCGCCTGTACACCCTCGGCTTCAACTACTGAAGAGCCTCTTTGATGGGTTGATAGGTATTGCAACATGTCTGTTGTACTTCTATGACTTACTCTCGCCAAAACAACGACATCCGACTATGCTCTTCTGTGGATATACTACGTTGGCACCTTTTCGCAGCTACGACAGCAGTGCCCCGAGGAATTCTTCGACGTACGTCTGCCGCGAAAGGTACGCGCAATACAAATCGCTTCATGGGAAGGACTGGCAGCAATCTTTCATGAATTCCCAATTTCGGAAGGCTATTGCACCCTCGTGATGTGGAGGAGTGGTTTGAGACAATGGAGCGCACGGTGTCTCTTGAGAAAGCGACATTCCAACCATTGTCGTCAAGAATCCTCCAGTCAGCACCTTCGAAGATTGGCGCTGGATTACATCTTGTCTTCACGCTGGAATTCGTCCCCTTCTACGTCCCCAGGACCATTGGACATCAATCCTCCTGTTCGAACTTCGGCCCAGCCTCATGCCAACAAACTGAAAGCCTGTCAAGACCTCAAGGAAACTATGGATAATGCTATAAGCATACCCTCACATGAGCGATCATGCCGACAGCTTCCATTGTGGTGCGTGGCGGATTGCCAAATATTCCACAAAGGACAGCATCCCCCCCGAGTCCGGGACAAAGACAACCACCGCCCGCAAAAGTATCACGTACAAAGGGATGCAGTACAGACCATGGCATGCTATTTTTGCAAACCACACCTCATTGTGTCCAAGATGCAAGCCAGGTTCTCATTTGGAAGAGTTCAAAGATGCCAGACCGCAAACATACACTTCCCAACATCTCAAACTCTTCTGTGCTGGCTTCCTGCGAATGTATTCTATCTGACCGTTGGTTTTCCCTTTCTTCATCCACAGCAGTGTTTAGAAGTCTGGCGCTCATTGCTCAACCTGATTCAGTCTTCCAACTGCAGCGATTCACCACCACGGCAATAGCAGCCAGGTTGCAGGCATGGTTCCCTCAAATCCTGCATCGCCGACCCTTCCATCCCCTCGATCACCTCATTCACCCACTACCAGTTTGAACCAGCACCTGGCCGAACCCCTGCCTCAGCTGATGACCACATGCTCCCTCCGGCGAAGTGACTCGGTACGCGATGCTGCTCGTGGCGAGACTTCAGCCTCATATACTCCCGGTGCCGCGAATGCCAATGGGTCCAGCTGCAGACGCAACAGCCTTACGACACCCGTGACTTCGCCAACACAGATGCTTTTCACCATGCCATTGTCACCAACATACCAAATGTGGACGTATGAGACGGCGCATTTCCAAAGCATGCGTGAAGACGGCAGGCAGAGCAGAATGGCTATGAGGAGTCCTCGCATCACACTACCTCTGCGCGTCAACACTGGCTTGAGCATGCATAGCGGTAATGGTACTGGTACTGGTGTCGGCAGCAACAGCAATACATACACTGTCCCAGACAGCGCCAGGACCATGGCATCGATCAGGGAAGACGAGATCCAATCCCCCTTCTCGGACACGACGACGTTGTTGAACTGGTCGCCTCCCGCGTCCTCAGACTCCTCACCACCGTCACCATGGACATCCAGAACGACAGAAGGCCTCTCTTATACGACTTCTACTATGAACACTAATCCCAATCCCAATCCCCATCCCAACCCATCTTCCAACCCCTTGAGCAGCTCCAAACGGTTGACAAGACCACACATCCCCAGTCCAATCTCAACATCTGCATCAGCATCGCGATCTCCCCGCTCACCGATTCGCAAGAAGCCACGCTCTCACCCTCACCCTCAGGCCCAGGCTCGGTCTCGTCTCCGCCTCCCCCTACCGCCCAAATACCACGTCGTCGTGCGCAAAAGCGGGACAGACCCCTACTCGCCCACCACCCTCCGCAACCGCATCCAATACATGCACAGCGTCGAACACCTCCGCGCACCTCTTGTCCCCTTGATCTCCGTCTCAAGCGGCCTATCACACCCCTTGTTCCCGACCACCCTGCTACAGTATCACCTGTTGACACATGACCAGCTAGACGACCTGGCGAGATGGTATCATCAGGTCAACCCTCCTGTGGACGAGACGTTCATGTATCCTGCTTGGATTCCTGCGTGGACGACTTCAGACCCGGAGAATACCATGGGAAGAGCATCCAATGATCGCAACAGTATCGATCTCGAGACGAAACGCAGACGGTTTGGACGGTTCATTGGCCTCAGAGGGTGTGAGAGTCCCACAGCCGCCACCACCACCACCTCGTCCACGTCCTCCTCCTCCGGCCCTGAAGGGCAAAGAGAGAGGCCGGATGAGTTGGCCAGACGCATGGAGAGGGAGTGGCGACGGGCATTGGAGAGAGCAGCTGAGGAAGAGCAGCTTTGGGAGAAAGGATGGAGGGGAAGATGGTAGTAAATACATAGTCCCTACTGCCTGTGTTCTGTACTTTTGATTGTATGGCCATTGATACCGTTATTGTATGAAGACAATAGACCAAAATAACAGGAGACTGGGGGATGGTCGGGGATATAGTTCAGTTCGTCAGTGCCACTGCCACGACCACCGCTCAGTTGCTACATGTGGTCATATAGGGAGAAGGAAGCAGACATAGTAATGTAATAGCAACATCATGGTTATGATTCTCAATCTTGGTGCCTTTCGTCGGCAACTACTTAGATGTACATTGTATAAGGAGGAGCTGACTCACTGACTGACCGAACACAAACATTCTCCTGTATATATATATATACATACACACACACCTGGCCCAGTACCTGTACTAGACAAACCATCCCAGGGCAATGGGATAACAGGTCTACACGATGTTCAAATTAGCGATCCGCACACCCCTAGTCTCAACATGATACCGTCTCTTCACACCAACGCCGACAGCCTTCCTCCTCAGCGCATCATATACCTTCTTACCCCCGCCGACCATGACCATAGGCACGGGATTGCGGCGCGGAAGCCCCGCCGGCGTAAGCTGCGGCTGGTCGAGGAACGGTCTGATCAAAGCATCCTCGTCGCCCTCCACGCCCATGCCATCCTGGTGTTCACCACCGAGATTGACATCCGCGGCGTGGCCGTTCCCGTACGACACAACAATGACGAGTTGCAACGACTGCGCCGACGGCGAATAGGAAGGGATGTTCTGCAGTTTGCGGCTGAAGTTACACCCGCCTCTCTTGACGACAAGGATTTGATGAGTTCGGGCCACGCTCAGGGGGAGTTTATGGTCGCACAGCTCGTCTGTGGCGTAGACCTTGGTCCACGGGAGCGGTGAGATCTGTGCGCCTGGGGTCGTTATGGTCGCTACCTCAGGCCAGTCCGGTAAAGGAGCTGCACCGGGCCCAGAGGGGGTGACTGCAGCGAGATGATAGCGTGGGATACGTCCCGTCGATGGAGACAGAGTTCGTTGCGTTGAGGATGTTGTTGGGTTGTTGAGAGCGAACGGGGTCGCGAACGGCCAGGCAGGCTGCGGGCGGTCTCTGATGAGGCTGGAGAGTTGTGAGACAATGGCATTCCATGCAGCTTTCATTGCTCCGTCCGTTGCGGAGTCGAGGTCAGGTATATCAATGATGAATGCCTCCTCGGAAGAGTTTTGTGTTGGGGAGTCTGGTCCTTCTTCTTCTAGAGGCCCGTCCAGGTCAACCACGACGTCGAGCATCACTGGATCGCGGATGCGGGTGAAGTTGGGATCTGCAGGGATCAGGATCTCTTTGCCGGTGTCACGCGCTAGAAACACTTTCTCGTCCTTGCCGAGTGGGATGTTGTTGATTGTTTGGATGCGGAATGCGTCGTAAATCCCATCGTCGTACAATACAGGCGTGTCTTGGATCAAGCTTAGTCGCAATCCGCCGATGAAGTTGATGAGGATGCCTTCTTTCAGTCGCTGAAGGGGTGGAGCCGGTTGGCCCGGGTTTGGTATTGCGGGGAACGATATGTCTAGTGTCGGTTTGGTGGGAGTGACAGAGGTTGTGGCATTGAACGGCACCAACTCAGGCGGGAGCGTCCAGGGAAAATAGGTGTAGTTGGATGGTGAGCTGATATCGGACAATGTTATACTGGGATGGTCTGCGGCATAATCACCGAGGACTGATTCAACACTGTCTCTGGTGGGCATGAGATGAAGTCTGGCAAGGTTCGCGGCATGGTACACGTCGCCCCTTGCAGCAACGTTGGAAATCGTGAACGGCAATGGTTCCGGTCTCACAGGACAGATACCCTCTTCCGCAATCGGGGCATTCCAGAGCCTGCTCTGATTCCTCCGCTGGTTGGTACCCTTGGGAATGATCAACGGATGGCCCTCGGTCGTAAACACAAAAGGTTCGTCCAAATGATTGAGAGGATGTGTGGGGTCGAAAAGGAGAAAGAGATATTTTGCAGTCTCTCCCAGAAAGAAGCTCTCCATCCTGTCCGTCTTCTCACCTGTCAGCACGTTCTGAATGCTGGCCCAGCCACATCTGGTCCAACACCGACGCTTGATGTCTCGAAGCACCATTTCTCCGACGTGGAAATACCACGGATCTTCCGTGGCGCGATAGAGATAATAGGTCGACTCGATGAACTCAGGCCGGCCAACCCACCAGCCCAGACCGCCCTCAATCCCGCCCGTGATCAAATTCCACCGCTCAGGCAATGCGGAAAACCTTGTCCAAAGAGCCGTCTGCAGAAGATGAGTCTCCTGAGCTTCCTCTATGTGGCCTCCCAAAGTGAGAACACCCGGATAGTATGCACTCAATGCATCAATCCAGAAGCCTCGAGCGGCGCCGGTAATCAGATCGGCTTGAATATAATGAGGATGTTGGTAGTCCGCGCCACGGTAAAGATGTCTCTGTATGGCGGAATGGGCGGTGTTCCAGGCGTCAAGAAAGGATAGCGAGCTGTCCTCCGCAAGGCTTAGTGGCTCAAACAGAACCCGCGGATCTTCAACATTGACTGGATCATCGGTAACGGGATAGGCTTCTCTGGAAAGCAGAATGTGTGACTTCAATGCATATTCAAAGAAGCTGTCGATCCCAGCGCCAATTCCGGTCCATGTTCCCATCCAGTTGCCTGTCTCAGCATCGATCCCAGATCCGATTAGATCGATACTGCTCCGTCTCTCCCAGATGGACCAGAACGCCCTCTTGGCGAGGTCCTCGAAGCGAAAGTCGCCGGTAAGCCGGCTGAGCACGGTGAACTCCAGAACCAAGCTGCCAGCTCCTGCGCTGCAGGTCTCAGTGATCTCAGGCGGATGAGAATATGATTCGGTCTCACTATCCCCATGTTGAGCATTGACAGGGGAGTTCAAATAGAAGGGGATTCCGTGTCGAAGATTAACCCGTGGATAAGGTATCCCGGTGGGCGACCAGAAAGCAGGTATCAGTCTGTTACCGAGGTCATACGCAAGCCGTAAAAGCTGGCCGTTGTATTCAAATCCATCGGACCACACAATGCCCTTGGTGTCTCCCACTGTCTGATTCTTGTTCCATGTCCTGGCGTAAGAGGCCTGCTCTTCTGGAGGATTATATCCGCGAATAGGTAGCTCTCCGACAGCGAACAAGTGGGCACTCAGCAGGCCGCCCACACCACGGATGGCTGTCTCGAAAACCTGTACCTTGCTGTCCAGGTCGAACCCATTCGCTCTTAGCCCCTGCCCTAACGGCCCGTCGGTGCCATCGCCATACTGTTCAACTAGGTCGCGAACACCGCTCTGGAAGAGTCGCAGAGGTTTGTTGTCTTTCGGATTGGACGGGTTAGAGGCTAGAATTGCCAACGTGGACAGGCTATCGATGAGCGTCAGGGAGTAGTTCCCCAAAGGGTCATTGACCTCGATATGTGCCGGGTTTTCTCGGTCGCGTGTCAGGGGTTTGCAAGAGATCGGGCGTAATTCGTCTTCCGGAAATGCGTGGGCCATATAGTTTTCGTAGCCATGATAGAACAAGTCCTCAGCTTCCTTTCTGAGGGCTGCAATCTGCCCTGCATTTTGGGCCTGCACAGTCGCTATCGAAGCAAGACTGGTGAAAAGCCAAATGAGACTGATGGCTTTGAGCCATGGCCCGATCCGTGATATGGGAAGGACATTGAATAATGATGAAGCTGGAGCCGTCACATCCTGGCGAATCATGCGCATGGCACACTCATGAAGGGTTGTGCCAGTGATCGCATGTCAAATGTCCACATGCGACCTCAGAAAGGACAGTTGCATACCAGGGTAGTTCTGTAGGACTCTTGTTGTTAGACGGAGGGCTGGATGGATGGATGGACTGTGGCCGCCGCATGCAGTGCTGATGGAAGCACATATTATGCTGCTTTTAACACAATGCCCCGGATAACTAACTTCCCAGCCTCGTTAACAAAAGCGGCGTGATGACTTCTTCACCGCTTCCCACTCCTTTATCTCGGATAAATGATACCCATATCTCTCAAGTCTCCAGCGAAGCTCCAATGAGTCGTCAAGTTCGTAAGCAATCAAACCTTTAAGAAGCAACTGACTGTCACCATGGCCGTCTTAACGCCTTGTCATCGGCAGATGCACCGGTTGTTGAACATAATAATCGCCGAACAGCGACGAGATAAAGGCACAATATAACATCTGCATCTTATCAAAACCATTGGTCATTTTAAATATCTTCGTCCACATCAGCGTTCACCCAAGAGATCTCTAACCTTACCCATCTTAAAATCCATCATCGTGTGCGAATCTAGTCGGACCATCAGATACGACAACATGAAGGTTCTTCTCACAGGAGGAACAGGCTTCATAGCCACCCATGTGCTCCACGAGCTACTGGAACACGGGTAAGCAGACTCCTTATCTGCTTAATAAGATGCCCCCTTGACATGAAGCTGACAGGTTTTCCCCAGGCACAAGGTCGTCACAACGGTGCGATCCGACGAGAAAGGACGCATACTCCTAGATCTATTCAAGGGCAAACCGGTGTCATATTCGATCGTCGGAGACATCGCCCTCGAGGGAGCATTCGACGAGGCTGTCAAATCGGATCCGCCTTTCGACGCCGTGATCCACACCGCCAGCCCTTTCCACTACAATGTCAAAGACAACAAGAAAGACCTGCTCGACCCCGCGGTGATGGGGACTACCGGGATTCTCAAAGCCATCAAGTCATCCGCCCCGTCTGTCAAGCGAGTAGTCATCACTTCTTCATTTGCCGCCATGGCCAACCCACAGAACCCGCCGAAGGTGTACAACGAAGAAATCTGGAACCAGATGACCATGGACGAAGCCCTGACAACGACCAATGCACAAGCCGTGTACCGAGCAAGCAAGACGTTCGCGGAAAAGGCTGCCTGGGAGTTCGTGAAAACCGAGAAGCCGACTTTCTCTCTGACAGTCCTCAACCCGCCGATGGTCTATGGTCCGATCCGCCACCACGTCGCATCGTTGGCTGAGCTGAACACTTCTAATAAACTCATACTCGATCTCATGCTTGGCAAGCCGCGCGATGGCCCGGCACCCTCGCCGATTTATATCGATGTTCGTGATCTGGCATTGGCTCATGTCCTCGCGATTGAAAACCCGGAAGCTGCTGGGCAGAGGTTCTTCGTCACCGCTGGCATGGGGACGGAGAAGGATATGGGCGATATCATTCGAAAAGCGTTCCCCGATGTTGCAAAAAACTTACGAGATGATCTCGCGGACAGCCTTCCACCTTATGCCATTGACAATAGCAAATCGATCAAGGTTTTGGGCATGAAGTACCGGAGTCTAGAGGAGACGATCGTGGATACGGTCAAATCTTTGCGCGAGCTTGGTGCCTAAAACTGTCTTTGGTGCTTGAAACCGCATTCAGTTGTCACGGGATCGCCTCAGAGCAAGCTTTCGCTCTCCTTGAGCCTCTGAACGTCTTGAATTGGATGGTGACGAGTAGATGTAGGCTATGGCAAGCAGCCTGTAGAATGCAGGTTGGATACAAAGATACCTTTTTCAAGTACACGTCAGGAAGCCCACATAGAAGATGAACACCTTATATTATATCAGTATCAGTTTCATCATACAGACCAGATAGAAAATATATAGCATTTGCCGTTCAAGTTGTGTCGGTGTAGCAACCACCGAATTTCGCCAAGACTCATCTCAATATTTGTGATATGGAACATCGGGCGGAAACCTCGACGTACAAGTCCTTACTTGAACTCGGTATCCAGAAAGATTGTACCTCCGGGCTTCTGGACCAACAAGCTCGGAAGAAGAACCGAGCATGACCAGGAAGTCAAGACCACGATGCGTGAGATCGTGACCGTTCAGCTAGGCCAGAAGAGTAACTATCTGGCCACTCATTTCTGGAACACACAGGTACTCTTTCACCGGGCAATACGAGCCATTTCGCATGCAACTAACAAGGGACGGCGGTCAGGAATCCTACTTCACATACTCTGAGAACGAGGAGCCGGTCGTCGATCATGATGTCCATTTCCGCCCCGGCCTCGGGGCTGATGGCTCCGAGACCTTCACTCCACGAACGGTCATCTACGATCTGAAAGGTGGTTTTGGAACCATGCGTAGATTTAATGCGCTCTATGATACCCAACAGCAGTCAGGCCAACCAGTACAAGGACTCTGGTACGTTCCCTCTTACGGGAAAGGCCTCGGAAGGTCGAAAAGTTGACCGGCCTTAGGGATGGGGAAATATCGACACAGCAAGAGCCGGCAATTGAACCGGTCGACTATCAAAGAAAACTTGAGCTCGGGCTCCCCACGCCGCAGGTTCAGGACTCCGATGTGCGATACTGGTCAGACTTCAATAGAGTCTATTATCATCCCAGGTCCATTGTTCAATTGCATGAATATGAATTGAATTCACAGCTGATGCCGTTCGAGGATTGGCAAGCTGGCGGGGATCTCTTCGAAAGTCTGACCAAGGAACATGACCTGCTGGACCGCGACATTCGACCCTTTTCGGAAGAGTGCGACCACATGCAAGGCTTTCAAGTCTTCACCGGGGCCGACGATGCCTGGGGAGGGTTCGCGGCCAAATACATTGAACACCTGCGCGATGAGTACGGTAAGACCAGCATTTGGGTGTGGGGAATGGAGGATGGTGCCAGAGTTACCAGAGTAGGTCCTTCACATCTACCTACACACAGCTGGGCTAAGCATCGAACAGGAAAAGCAGTTGGCGCGAGCCTGCAATGCTGCCAGATCACTTAGCACGATTGGCCAGCAAGCATCGGTGTATGTGCGGCTGGCTGCTCCTCCCTCGTCGCTCCCTGGCTATGTCCATCTGCAGAGCCGCTCTGACTGGATGACCACTGCACTACTTTGCGCCGGAATGGAGTCCAGCACGCTTCCAACAAGGCTTACCGCAAGCGCACACAAACGAGGCTCCTTGACCTTGTTCGAGGATGCTTTGAACACTAACGGCCATCAGAATCTGTTTGCACTGCAGGCAAGTGTGACCAGTGCAATAAGCCAGGTCAACGATCATGGCAATGGGACGTCCGCCAGTCGAGCGAACGGAGGAGCACCGGCGCGAGAAAACGATTCCGCAGAGTCGCAGCCAGAGCCTTCAATGTTCGATATCAATTATTCTCCTCGACTTAGTACGACATCTGCCTCGAAATTCTTGCATATGTTTTCCCAAGTGGAATGCGAGCGTGATCACCTTAAGTCAGATCGTCGTCCATTGACCCTTGACCCTGGAGAACGGCTACGCAGGAGGCTCAACGAAGAGAGCATTGTTGAGATGTAGGTGCCCACGTTGGTTTGCCTTTCCTATTTGCCCTTCCTGACAAGCACCGCAAAACCTCACAATGCAGACATAGCGATTGGGCGGACCTGAAGTTCGGAAATTGTTCTGTTGACTGACCTCTGCGTAGTTATCAAACCGGGCTCCATTTCCCGCTGCTGGAGACTTTTCCACATGGGCTCTTCGAGACCAGCCAACGGAGCAGGGGCGGGCTGGACATCTCCGCCGGCCTGGTGTGCGACTCGAGGATGAAAGACCAAATCCTGGACCTCAGAGACGCAACAATTCGCCATCTCCAATTGGACGAGCGTGAGAGCCTGTATGATGAGCTTACTCAGATGTCGCAAAACTATACGCTGGGTTGGGACAGTGAGTCAGACAGTAGTCAGGACGATTGAAGTTTGTTCTCGAGAGTCGGGCACAGCTTCTTCTGCCCTCGGGGAGCGATAGAGAGGACTCTATTTCCGGCTGACCGTCTTCATGGTTTGGACTATTGGATTCGCCTCGAGAGTGAAGGAGCTATAGAGCATCCGCAGCGGCACGTTGAGGCGCATTCCACCCCCAGATGGACCATACAAAATCGTATGTGGTTGTTTTCGTACCCGCACAGGCCTCGTAACGGCAGTCGGATGAGAGAACTATTGACGGTTAGTCGCACACTTGGATATGCCGTCGATCGTGGGCGCGGTGGCGTTTTCCAGTGGACTCAACTCCATCCACTTCCATGGGGTGCTATGGACGGGCAGGCCTCTAGTTCGATTGGCGTTACCAATGACGATATGGTGATGTGGCACACCACACACCAACAGCGCCGAGAAGAAAGAGTTATGCGCGGTGACCGGCATTCCCCGCCGTGGGGTACGTTAGCTTCTCTCGGCCGAAGCAGGGAAAATGCAGGTGTCCTTCTCTCGGCCAATGGTCTGACATGATGGGGAGGAGGTTTGTGAAGGATCAACTCAGCTTGAGAAGTTCTCGCGTAATAATATCACGACGCAAACCCCATAGAACCGTTCGGTTGCCCTGTCAATATGATCCAACACCCCGCCGTGGCTGGGAAGCAGCAGTGTTCCTGGAGAGCTGAGGGCAAAGAGGCAAGGAAAGCAACCCCATGACTGCGGGTGACCAGCTGAGCTGGTGTCTCGGTCCTCGAGACACCGGACAAGAGCTCTGACCTCAGAGCTGGCGGGAAAAAGTTGGTGCGAGTCCAAGCCCTTCTACCATCTACTCAGTCTTGGATAGCCGGCATCCTGCGGGGTGGGCAATAGCCATGCCAGTGGACAGAGATCGGTGACTTGACCAGCTATCGGGAGCTCCGCCATCAGAAGCGAAGACAGCACAACGGGTGACAGGACTGTCAAGCATGTCAGACATCGCCGCATACGTATGCTGTGCTGTGCTGAGCAGAGACTTACAAAGTTGGGGTGACAGACGCCACAGACACCACAAACACCCGTAAGTGACATACGTTATTCAGATATTTTGCAGTATTGTTGTCATTGTCACGGTTGTTGCTCATTCAAGTTGTTTGTTGTTATGATTGCCGCAGCCAAGCGGCTCGCAAGAGTACCTGCTTACCTGGGTCCAATGATAGATAGTAGTAGGCGATGATGGACTCCCCCTTCCGGCATCTCTCAACCGTCTTTCGCTTGTTTCTCTGCTCTTCTTGGGATCGTGGAAACATCAGGCGGACGGCAGCAACAGGCATGTCTCACTTTTAGCGTTGGTGTGTGACCCGGCGCAGCTTGCTTATTGGGTAACCACTCATTAAGCTTTGCTAAATCACAACTGCCTTGCATCCTCGGTGAGTTCCTTCTACTAGTCCTGCTAGTACTAGTAGTAATAGTGCAGTGGTTCACGTTGATCACTGCAGCTGGTGGCTGGTTCCCGACTCAACCAATCCATCCAGCTCCAGAGCCATGCAACCTTGGGTACGTACGATTGTACCTAGACATACTCCCAGAGGGTGCTCCTAATATAGCGCCAGCCTACCTGTACTATAGGCTACTACCTCGAGTATTCCTCACTATTTAGTGGCAGTAGTAGTCTCCGCCAGCGGGTAGCCGAGGACTCCATCTGCAGCGCAGCTCTTCCTTCCTCTTGCCTCTTCTGCTTTCGAACAACTTCCACGTCGTACCCAAACCGCAGGCAGCGCCATTGGGTCCCGGATCTCAATGATTTACCTGCAATGGCTCCTCATGATTACGGCTTGCCTGAATGGTAAAAGTGCGAACTCAAACTGCTATACTGAGATACTACCAAGTAACCTATACACAGGATCCTCATATCCTGATACCGACGAATCCCCACCGAAATCTAGCTCCCCGAACCGCTGCCTTTCCTTTCCACCGCCAACCCGTGCCGTCAGCAATTGACTACGCTCTGTACAGCATGACCTGACAGTGCTTGCTATCCACTGCGATGCTATGCTAGACAAGACGTGAGTCTCCTCTGTACGGAGACACCTAGAAAAAGCAGTGGGTACTCGATATTTACTATTGTTGCTATTCTCGTCCATGGAGGTTGGCGCTTGGGCACTCCCCCAACGTCACATCGACAGTCGACAGCAGTCGATAGCTGCGGTGCGTCTGTGTGACTTCCGTTTCGATAGACCGAGCGATGTCATACTACTGTCAGGTCTGCGAGGCTTCAGCATTGCTGTCCGACATATCATCATATCACGGTGTTTTCAGATATTCTGTTGTGCGGTCGGCCAAGGCCATGCCGAGCAAAGATGAGAAAAGTCTGTACCAGGATCCCACGCCGGCAATGTACTAGCCTTGGATGTTCCACCAGACTAAACCTTCCCTCGTGGCGGAAGTACGACAAGGTACGCCTTGTCTCCACAAGTAACACCATACTGTTTTTGCTGCATATTTTCAGGAACAGGAATCGAGTGTGGTGCTGACCACTGTGGATGGTTCTGGGGATGCAACCTGGTAGGTCCTTCGCTGCTTCTTCGGCTCCAGGCGAAAATGTTTATTGCCTTTGCGATCATACGAGATGGAACCCGTTTGTGATCCACCTGGCTCCGGATACGAAAGGATGCGACGAAAGGTAGAGAGGTTGGATGCCGACTACAAAACACTGCCTTCCCGTCCTCTCATGCTTTATTCTGCTTCTAACACAATCACAAGCATTCACCCTCGCTTTTGCCATCCAGAGCTCTTTCGCTAAGGCTCTTGTCCATTCGTTTCCCTTACGTGCGACAGTCAATCATTCTCAATCCGTACATATCCCACTTCACCTAGCCGTCAAAATGGTCAAATCATCCGCCGTCCTCCTGGCTGCTGCCAGCACCGCTACTGCCAGCGTGCTCCAGCCCAGAGAATTCACCAACACCACTGCCGCAGCTTGGTTGGACTGGGCCTCTACCACCACCACCGAGGTCGCCGCCGCCACCACCACCGCCGAGGAGGTTTGGGGCGACTGGACCTCTACCACCACCACGGCCGCTGTCGCCCCCGAGGAGACCTGGGGCGACTGGAACTCTACCACCACCGCCGCTGTCGCCCCCGAGGAGACCTGGGCTGACTGGACCTCTACCACCACTACCGCCGAGACCTGGGCTGAATGGACCGAAAGCACCACCTCCACCGAGACCTGGGGCGAATGGACCACCGTCACCGCTACCTCGACCAGCGGTGTGACTGTTGAGACCACCGAGATCAAGAGCTGGGTTGAATGGACCTCCTCTGCCCCGGCTCCCGCCCCTGTCGTTCCCACCACCAGTGTTGCTGCTCCGGCTCCTGCCGAGACCAAGACCTGGGCCGAATGGACCTCTGCTGCCCCGGCTCCTGTCCCAGTTGAGAGCAGCGCCAGCCCGGCTCCAGTTGAGAGCACCTGGACCAGCTCCGCTGTCTGGACCTCCACCCCTGTCCTCATCAGCAGCTACACTCCTGTTGCCACCAGCGTCGCGCCAGTTGCCACGTACACTGGCGCTGCCAGCAGCAACAACAAGCCTGCCGTGGCTCTCCTTGGTGGACTTGTTGCCTTGGTTGCCTTGGCATAAATTCCCCTCGATCCTGTGTTGCGCAGCCTTGCAAGGCTGACGCTCCTGTGATCCGACTCCTTCGATTCTTGCGTCCAGTCCACCTTTGCCACAGGTGACTGAGATGACCTATTTTTCAGAAAAGATCTGATGAACTATTTATGATCAGCTTAGCCTCCCAAACTCGGGTAAGGCCGCAAGCATTACGTTCCTTACGACACATACCAGGATGTGAAAAATTGCATAGCAGCATCTTCACGGTATCTATCACTAATAGTGTGCCGATGGACACGAGGTCGTCCGGGGTGGATGGCAAAAGGGTGGTACTTGTGTTTCTGCGGTGTGGAGGGGTGTGAATTCATCCGACTATTATTATACATAGTCTTAGTCTTATTAGCCGGTGTTTAGTAGTAGCCTTGCAGGAGACTAGCTACGGTGAAGAACCCAATACCAAAAAAAATTCTAAAAAGTTCATGATTTCTGGCAATGTGCCATCAAATCTTCAAAGGGTTCGATACATCGCAGAACTTTTGTAAAATATGGGGAAGAACAACAAGAGAGGAGGACAACGATTTCAAGGAGTGACTGGGGGTTCATTATTGAGTGCGAGAGACTAAGAAAGCAGCAGAATTGTCTGGTTGTAAATCGGTGCAGTGCTGCGTGAGAGCCTTGCTGCCAACAAATCCACGGGATTCGCTGGGTCCCAAGGTCTCTGCGTGGCGGTAAAACTCCTCCGAAGACCACGCTGTAAGTGGCTTATGCCTGTCATCGGTGACGGGATGGAAACAACACTGTCCCCAAAGTAGTAATCCGTGGAGTCTCAAAGTCTGGACAGTTGTTCACAAATACTCTGTACTCACATAACGACCAGCCCTACTTACAGTTGACTGGACTCCCATGGCATCAACAACGTGTTTATTATATATTAAGGGAAAAGGAAAAGAAAAGCAAAGGGAGACTTCTTTTTACTCTATCCTACTCTCTAAACCTCTAGAGTCTGAGGATGCATTTATTCTCCCTTCCCCCGACAACGCGCCTGTCCTGAACCATCATCCATCCACTCCTTCGATCGTGACAATTTCCATTCCACACCCTTATAAGCGCAGCCTCAGCAGCATGGCGCCACCTGGACGCCGGAAGGTGTCTTCATCTTCATGTTCCGTAACCCTCCTACCCCTATTGTTCCTCCTGTTTCTCGCCACAAGCGCCCAAGCAGCGTCCGCGGTGCTCGGGATCGACTTGGGCACCGAATACCTCAAAGCGGCGATCGCGAAGCCCGGCAACCCGATCGAAATCGTACTGTCGAAGGACTCGAAACGAAAAGAAGCCGCGACACTTGCGTTCAAGCCGTCACGGGCTGCGGCCCACGATGCGGAGGCGTTTCCGGAACGTCTGTACGGCGGAGACGCCGTGGCTTTGTCGGCTCGGTTTCCAACGGACGTCTATCCGAATCTGAAGCCACTTTTGGGGGTGGACGTCTCCTCGGACGCCGTCAAGACATACGCTGCTCGATACCCGGGCCTGAACATCGAATCGGTGTCGAGACCAGATGAGGCGGGGACGGTGGGATTCAAGAGCCAGAGTTTCGGCAAGAATACGAAAAATAATGACGTGTTTATGGTCGAGGAGTTGTTGGCGATGGAGTTGAAGAATCTCCGCAACAATGCTGAGGCCATGGTGCCCAAGGGGACGCATGTCACGGATGTGGTCATCACGTATCCTCCGTTCTATACCGCCGAGGAGAAGAGAGCACTCGAGTTGGCGGCAGACCTGGCTGGTTTGCGGGTGCTTGGTCTGATCAGTGACGGGCTCGCCGTGGGTGTCAATTATGCGACTCATCGCACTTTTGACAGCGTCTCTGACGGCGGGAAGCCGGAGTACCATCTTGTCTACGATATGGGGGCGGGCTCGACTACGGCGACCGTCCTGAAATTCCAGGGAAAGACGGTCAAGGGGCCCGGCAAGCGCAACCAGACGATACAAGAGGTGATTGTCCTTGGAACCGGGTTTGATGCCACGCTCGGAGGAGATTCGCTGAACGATGTCGTTGTGGAAGACATCCTCAACCACTTCCTGGAAGATCCCAAGGTCAAGAAACTCGGAGTGGAGAAATCTCAGGTCCGAGCACATGGAAAGACGATGGCTAGGATCTGGAAAGAGGCCGAGCGCTTACGACAGCTCTTGAGTGCGAACGCGGCCTCGGGGGCAACGTTCGAAGGGCTCTACGATGACGATACAAACTTCAAGTACAGTCTCACACGAGACAAGTTCGAAGAGCTTGCGGCCGGCCATGCCGCCCGTGTTGGAGAACCGCTCTCTACCGCCCTTCAGTCTGCTGGTCTTCAGCTTGCTGATATTGATTCAGTTATTCTGCATGGTGGTGCAGTCCGGACGCCATTCGTGCATAAGCAGCTTGAGAAAGTGGCCGGTGGGTCGGGCAAACTGAAGGCCAACGTCAACGCTGATGAAGCCGCGGTTATGGGGGCTGCGTTCAAGGCCGCATCTCTCAGTCCAAGTTTCAGGGTCAAGGAAATCCGTGACACTGATATCTCGGGGTATCCATTCAACCTGAAATGGGCCACCGAGGGCAAAGAGAAAGTCCAGAAGCTGTTCACGCCCTCTTCCCAAGTGGGAAATCAGAAGCAGGTACCTATCAAGATGCTGGAGGATGCTAAGCTTGAGTTCCTTCAGACCGTGCATGAGAAGGACTTCCCTATTTTAGAGGTTGATGCCTTCAATGTGACCAAGTCCGTGGCCGAGCTGAAAGACAAACATGGATGCGGCGCAGCTAATATCAGCACCGTCGTCAACGTACGACTGAGCCCCTTGGATGCATTGCCAGAGGTGGTGTCTGGGTCTGTCAGTTGCGAGACTGGTAACAGCAAAGCAGGAGGCGTAATGGACAACGTTAAGGGATTGTTTGGGTTCGGAGGGAAGAAGGACGAAGACCAGAAAGTATTGGAAGAAGGTGATCCGGTCGACGAGGGCTCGACTTCGGCAACTCCCTTGCCTGTTTCCGATCCCACCAGTTCGGGATCGACCATGTCATCGGCTTCGCCCACGCCTGAGTCATCCTCTTCCTCATCTTCGTCGACGACCATTGACCCTGCGAAGTCTGCAAAGTCTGCAAAGTCTGCACCATCAGTCGTGTCAATTCCATTGGCCTTCAAGTCGAAGTCCTTGGGACGCAACGTTCCTCCGTCCAAAGTACTTCCCCGGATACGGCAAAGATTGACACAATTTGACACCTCGGACCGCAATGCCGCTCTTCGTGCTGAGGCGCTGAACACCTTGGAAGCTTTCACATATCGGGCACGTGATTACCTTGAAGACGAAGGGTTTATTGCGGCCTCGAGTGAGAGCGCACGAGAGGAGCTCGAAAAGCAACTCGGCGACATCTCTGAGTGGCTGGACGAGAATGGGTCAGATGCCACACTTGAGGCGTTCCAGGAGAAACTGAAGAACCTTCGTAAGCTGGTAGAGCCAGTGTTGAAGCGGCGGGATGAGGCTGCCAAACGGCCCGACGCAGTGAAAGCACTGCAGGATAGATTGGAAAATCTCAATGGCATGATCAAAATGGTCCAAGGGAATATTGAGAAGGCGGCCGAGAGCGTGGCTGCCTCCGCAAGCTCTGCAGCCTCGTCTGTGGCGTCGAGCGTGACGGCCAGCACGGCTTCATCTGTGTCGGAGGGGGACGAGCTGGATGAAGACCCCTACACCAGCACATCTGCAACGGCAGCCACCGAGACCGATGATGCCCCACAGTTCAAACCATATGAATACACGAGAGACGATTTGTCGGCGCTGACGACGAAATACGAAAGCGTGAAGGCGTGGCTTGAGCAGAAATTGGCACTCCAAGACAAAATTCAAGCCTACGAGGATCCAGCTGTCCTGGTCTCAGATTTGGAGACCCGAGGTCAAGAGCTGCAGAAAGTGGTGTCAGAGACCCTCATGAAATCAATCAAGGCGCAAGAGCTGCCTCGGAAAGCCAAAGGCAGCAAGAAAGCGAAGGCGAAAGCCGGCAAGACCAAATCCTCAGCGTCAAGCTCGACGGCAAGCAGCGCAGGGTCGAGCAGTACTCCTTCGTCAAAGACAACGACAACAACGGCGACTAAGCCAAATGTGAAGGACGAGCTGTAGTTTGTAAAATAGATCAGGATACTATGTTAGAATTCCCACGATTGCATCTCTGGCGACATCTACCAAACCACATCCATTAGGCGAACTGTTATGGACTATTCTGTGTTCTTTTGACCGAAGCGCCGGTCACAATCCCAACCATCAGGATCCTGGTTCACTCCTCGTGTTGGCCGTCCAATATTCCCGATCTCAGTTTCAGCCGCACGAGCGCACGGTTCGGCGTTTCACGATAGATCTAACACTCGTCCAGAAGGAGCGTAGTGTCTGAGAACGTTTGGACAGGCGGAAGAGAGTGCTCCGTGGAGATCACGGCCAAGGACGCTCGTAAGGTGAAAAGGTCCCGGATGTTGGACGACATCCGCATGCTTGCATTTGCCGGCACATCAGGCTGAAACAGAACAACTGTGAGATCAATCAGACGGGAAACCTTTACGGCACTCGGACCTGAGGCTGGTACGACCGCACGATCGCACATCTGTTCAAAGCGATCGGCCAAGGAGGGTGATGGTAGTACGGATGTATTGGTGGGCGGAGGGAAAGCAACAGCGGGAAAGATGGAGGCGACATGCGACGACTACTAGGGTCCAACGCGAACGGGCCCTTAGGCTTGCCTCCCAAGAGACGTTGATAAGGGTGTCAGCCCTATATTTGTCCTAGGGTCCCTTTCAGCGTGCTTCGTAGGCACTAGAGGCCTGCTTAGACCTTCGATACTGCCCGGGGTGAGCACCGACCATGTCCACAGGTGCCTATTATAGAACTGGGAAGAAACCTAAAACACAGGTAGGGGTATGACCAAGATAGGCGCCTACAACGAAGTACATCAGATGAGCCTCCAAAACAGTCAATATGTGCACAACATCTAAGTATCTGGAATTGCCAATTAGTATATCCATAGTCGGCAGGGATTCCAGATACCGTCGAACGCAAAAGAATAAAGAGACATCCTTTGTCAGAAGTGCCAGCCAGGGTCGGTCTCTACTGTATTTGGCCCCCAATCAGCCAACTCTTTCCAAGCAAGATACTGATACGTAGCACCCCTCAAGCAGCAGTGAGACAAGACCAGCTCATCATCTGTGGCCACTGACTGGCACCACTGGCATGAAATAAGTTGGCCACCACTGCACCACACCACATCGTGGCTCTTAGGCTCCAGGCTTGGATGCTCCCTGGCTCCCTGGCTCCCCTCCACAGCCCTCGGCGGCGTTCAGTCCTTCATGTTCATTCTTTTACTCATTCCTTGTTCTCGTGCATTCTGCTGCGCTCTAGGCCTGGATTTGTAAGAGCGTTCCAAAGCCGCCCCTAGACCTACCTACGACTGCGTGCTACAGTATGCTATGAGCAACCCGGATATCTTGACATCTTCTACAGCTGTCCGGGTCCGATCCGTCACCGTATCCAACGACAGGCGGGCAGCCTTAATGACCCTAGTCTGTCAGGCTACTGCTATCCACTGGCGCCCCGATACCTACCTAGGTACTATCTACGTACTCCCCAGCCCACTTGACGCCTGACGAGTCAACAAACTCTCTGACCTTAACCTGAACCTCTTTCTCACAAACTGCGCTGAACACAGCGATCATACAAACTGCGAACCCTGTCCCGACCAGCAGGATCAAGACACCTCCTCAAAGCTGCTGTACTCTTTGAGCCTCGAACCTGACTCTCGAAACGGCCTGCGCTCACTCTCCGCACTGACACGCACTTCCAAATCCGGCGCCTACTTCCACCGGCTCTGACCAAACCGGGGCCTACCAAACATCAGTCAGCGTTAAACTTCCTCCTTCCTCAGCCGCCATTGTCAGCTTTGAGACGACATCAACAGTCCGATATCCTCTTCCTTCCTCTCCTCCACTCTCCACATCATTGTCGATGTCATGAGCTCTCGTCTCAAGAGTTTAGGCTTCGGTTCCAAACGAAAGAGCAGTGCCAACATCCAACCCACCTCGGTCGCGTCGCCCAACGGTTCCACCTCCACGACCGGGACTCCTCCTCCCCCGAATTCCTCTCAGACCAGCCTGCCTCCCATGAATCAGCCTGGTGTCCCCGGCCGGCCTCCTAGCTATACCTACAATAATGCCCAGGGTCGCCCTCAGTCGCCCATGCCACCGGGACAAACCCAGATGGCGCACCATCCACCATCCATCGACACGAGACAAGGCTATGTTGGGGGCAATCCTCAACTAGGACCGCCACAGCCTCCGGGGTATGGTGGTGCATACGGTCAAATGGCTCCTCAGGCGGGCATACAACCACTACAAAATCAGTTTGCGCCCGCCCGCCCAGCGGAAGTGGAAGGCGCAGGCCGAAGTAAGGCACAATTGATTGTGGGCATTGATTTTGTAAGATCCGCCATCCCCTTCGTTGTTGCTGGCGCAGAGAACTAACCACGCTACAGGGCACGACCTTCTCCGGCGTGGCATTCGCATTTGCGACAAACACTGAAGCCAAGGAGGATATCATAACAGAGTGGCCAGGCGCAGGCAATCAGACCAAGCAAAAGGTATATTTACTACGAGATCGTGCTAACAAGTCGAGGCTGCTGACACTCTCGACAGATTCCGACTGTTCTCTACTATGACCAATACCAGAAAGTCGTCGGCTGGGGCCCGGATATCGCTGACGCCCTGGCTCCAACCGGCTACCCAAAGCCAGGAGTTCAGAAAGTTGAATGGTTCAAACTACAACTGATGCTCTCGGGCAACACATACATAGATCCCATCAATCTTCCTCCTCTTCCCCCTGGGAAATCTGAAATCGATGTGGCCGCCGATTATCTGTTCAAGTTACGACAAGCCATGCGCGTGCAATTGCAGAAGACCCTGGGCGAAGTCTTCAACCGAGAGGAGCGCAACATCCGCTACTTCTTGACCGTGCCGGCCATCTGGAATGATGCAGGTAAGGCGGCGACCAGAGCCGCGGCCATCCAAGCTGGTTTCATTCGAGACGAGAACGACAACAGACTCACATTAATCACGGAGCCTGAAGCCGCTGCCATGTTTTGCTCCAAGACCGGTCTACTCAACCTCAAAATTCATGACGCAGTGCTCATCGTCGACTGTGGTGGCGGCACTGTCGATCTGATCGCCTATGAGGTTGAGGAGGAAACTCCCTTCACCGTCGCGGAATGCACGGCCGGTAGCGGTGATTCTTGTGGATCGACTGCTCTGAACCGCAACTTCTCCAACATTCTGCGCGCAAAGATTCGAAAGATGAAGCTACCAGATGGGTCAAAGACAGCTGGCAGGGTGTACGCAAAGTGTATCATGGACTTCGAAAACAGAATAAAAGCCGACTTCCGCAACAACGGTCAGAAATGGGCAGTAGACGTCGGGATCGAGGCTGAGTTCCCAGAAGCTGGCATAGAGGAGGGGTACATGACGTTCACCAACGAGGAAATTCTCCAGTGCTTCGAACCGGTCGTCAATCGCATTCTCGAGCTTGTCCGCAACCAGATAATTGCCATTCAGGCGCAGAACCGATCGTTACAGAACGTCCTTGTCGTGGGTGGTTTCGGAGCTTCCGAGTATCTATTCCAACAGATCAAGCTACATGTCCCTCCCCAATTCCAATCCAAAGTTGTGAGGCCCATGGACTCGGTGGCAGCCATTGTCAAGGGCGCTGTCACTGCGGGTATCACAGAAAGAGTCATCACTTCGCGAGTCGCTCGAAGACATTATCTTATGGCGACGTTGCAACCATTCAAAGAAGGCTACCACCCAGAACAATACCGTGTCCCCAGTCTGGACGGTAAGGATCGATGTAAATACACCCGTCAGATCTTTGTTCAGAAGGGTGAAAGGGTCAAGATTGGCGAGCCCGTCAAAGTTTCATTTTTCAGACAAGTTGCCCCTGGAGCTACACTTATGTACGAGGATATTCTGTACGCGTGCGATGAGGATGTCTGGTAAGTGGCAGAGGCATATGCATATGCAATCCCCGTCCAATACTTCTTACTAACCATGTTGTGACAGTCCCGAGTACACCAAAGACCCCCGAATCAAGGAGGTTGTCACCCTTACATCCGACCTGTCGAGAAAGAACCTGGAGAAGGACTTTGAACGAATGGATACGCCCCAAGGCACGTTTTATCGCGTCTATTTCGACATCTATCTGACTCTGGACGGATCCGAATTCAACGCCGAGCTAGTCTGCCAAGGAGAAGTCATGGGAAGGTGCACTGCACGATTTAGATGAGGCACACACCGGCGAGATGACGCTAGGGACGTTGGATTTTCGAGGATGCAGGAGAAATCAGCCGGCAGAACTCAGAAGAATGTAGAAGTTGGGAGGGCCATGCCCGGTGGACGACACGTTTACTTGAGGATCCGGGCCATGCGATTCTGACTTGCGACAGCGTTCACACCCGGCGCCGATTGATTCGGCAAGCGTGCGAGTTGCTTGGGGTTCAAAATTATGAGAGACGGCAGACACGCAGGGAGATTCAATAAAACTCATGATGCCAAACTACCTAGCCGTGGATCGAGGTCGAGCCGTAAGGGATGGCCTGGGGGTGTAATGCATGGAGCTACCCGTAGCATGACTGATTGTCGCTCTTGTCAACGATGAAGCGACGAACAAAGACCGAGAGCCAGCCATGAGGGAGAGCCCAGGGGGTCGGCAAACGGAGAGCAGCATCACTCATCCTACTTCGACCGGCAAAGAATGTAATGCAAGGGAGGGGATGGGAGGAATGAAGTGAAGGAAGAGCAAGTAGGGGTCGAGAAGGCAGATACCACAAGGCAGGTAGGTCTTCGATCAATCAGATTGAAGACTTTCTCCTAGGCTCATATTTCATATATGTAATTGCCCGATGTCGACGACCAGGGAAGTCTAACCCACCTCTTATATCGGTCAGAATGTGCCTTATTACAGTTTCCGAGCCACCCAGTGGCTACATCGGTACCGGTTCTGTAGTAGACTCGTGGGATCTTGCATGTAGCCCAGCCCGGTCCCGAAGCTGGGCTGAGCTACGGAGCGGGAATCGTTGTTAGATCCATTGCCATTGCCATTGCTATCGTGAAGGATTTCGTGGTGAAGGATTTCGAAGCCGAGTTGCGAAACTAGGTGGATGACTTCTTCGTCGGTGAGTTCGAATGATCCGGGCTCTGCGATGCCTTTGTCTTCGGTGGTCATGGTGGTGGTATGGCTGTGGGTATGGCTGTGACTGTGGTTATGGGTATCGTCGTGGTGTTGGTGTTGGTCCTGATTGTGGCTGGGGCTGTGGGTTTGAGAGCCGTGGTCGTGGGGAGCAGTAGGATTGTGAATGCGATTGTGTCCATCAACAGCCTTCTGTCCGCTCTGGCTGGCGTCGTTTCTATGGTCATTGTCGTTGTCACCGTCGTCCTCTTCGTCGCCTCCTCCACCAGAAACCCGATCATCGAAATGCCACAGAAGAGGACCGATGTTGACCCACACACCACCCCTTCTCAAACAATTTCTCACCGTCTCGACATATCGAATCAGGTTGGGGGCAGTGTCGATGAAAAACACGCTCACCACTCCGTCAAACGTCTCCTTGCAGTCTGGCGTCGAGTATGACAAGACAAAATCGCCAGCTGTCATATTCATCTCGCCGACGGGCTCGCCGGCCTCGAGTTTCGCGGAGAGCGCACTTGCCGGGTGGACATCGGGAACGGTGAGGCGTCTCAACTGGTTCGTTCGGGAGACGACGTTGGTGAACGTATGCGCGAACGGGGAGATGGGGTATTGGTCCGCATACTGGGTGGCGTTGAGGATGAAATTGCTGGCGAGGAGCTGGTGGTACGAGATTTCGTTGCCCGTGGCATTGTACCCGCGCAGGCAGAGTTCGAAGAGGATCCGTCCTAATCCTGCGCCGGGGAGGAGAAGAGAGGGAGCCTCGGCGTCGTCACGCAGATATCGCTTCAGGTCTGAGAGGATCGTGTCGAGCAATGGCTTCACCTCTAGTGCATAGCCTTCGGCAGACCAGTCGCGGTAGAACTGGCGGATTGTCGAATGGGCTTTGGACAGATCGTTGGCTTTAGCTTTCCCTCGCCAGTCCCATTCCCATTCCCGTCGGCGGTCTTCTTTGCTGGGCGGTGATGATGACGCTGACGACTCCTCCTGCTCCTCGCTCAAACCGAATGACGTCAGTCCTAGCTGGAAGATGGCGTCAGCCAGATCGCCGTTGCAGTCGATAGCATCGTCCACCGCGTTGAGAGTGTCAAGAATCGAGATGGGGGGCGCGGCTAGCATTTGCCATTGCGCCGACGGCAACGCGTACAAGTTCTGTCGCCGCCGGTGCGTGGTGTTGTAGTGTGTGTTCTTGCGGTATTGGCTGTTCAAGTCGGCTGGGTCAGCTTTGATGTTGTTAGTATCAATGATGGGAACTGAGTTGAGAGACGAAAGACGTAGGCATGTATTTTCCTACAGGAGGAGATAGGAGCAGCCACCTCAGGCAGGACAGGTACCTGGCAACGGCTGGTCAGGCTGGAGGATGGGGGGGAGGAGGAGTAGGCACTGCTAAGCCAGAGGGACGAGTACCAGGCTCTTTCTCCTCCTCCCCTGGGACACGGTGACACTCACTGGAAAGAATCGAGGGCTGCGAATATTGTCCGTCTCTCGAGCGGATCGGATAACGGGCCACCGTCCTCGAAGAGGGGATTGCGATGTGGCGATGAGCTCTCGGCTGGGGAGGCCTCCTTTTCGGCCATTCCTGAAGTATCTCTGGCTCGCCGTGGGGCCGGACACTTGTGTATACCAACTGCTGCAGCTCCCAGTCGAACTTGAAGTCGGATTTGAAGTCGACGTCGAGATGCCAAGACCGATTACATAAGTGGCGCTGAAGTACGTTGTGCTTCACCGCAGTATATTACATAAGTGGCGCTGAAGTGCGTTGTGCTTCACCGCAGTCTATTACAGAGTCCAGAGGTATGTTGCCACAAGCAGCCCATCTACTACGACACTGCTCACAAGAACAACACGCTTCTCCTCCCTTGTGCCCCGATCCTCTCCTTGTCCAGAGACCACTGATCTGCCTTGTATCCTCACGAAGAGTAAAAAGCATCCTTGGATCAGAAATGGAACCCTCGTTCAAGCCGATCGACATCTCCTTCCCCGTTCCAAAACACCCATACATGAATTTCCATGCTCATCTCACCCCCTTCGGCAAATGTACCATGGTCCATCTGACAACTACGAATATTGGAGACTCGGAAGCGTCCTTGCCGCCGTTGGGCAGTTTTGTCTATGCGATGCCTGATGTAGGTGAAAATGCAGCTTGGCACCCTCTGCCTGGAGACCCATCCAGGTTCTGGATGGTCTGAGACCCTAACGATTGTCAGATAAGAAACGACCGCGAAGTGGTCAGTACCGCCCTGGCAAACTCCGGCTCAAGCATCGACTACGCCACTCGAGTAGCCAAGATTTTGGCCCGGAAGACGAAACAGCCTGTATACGTGGGCTGTAGCATGAACTTCGCCGGCCTCACTGCAGAGGAGGAGATGGAAGGGCTCACTGTCGCCATTGATCACATAATGCAGAAGTGGCCTCGAATTACATGAAGTCGACCCCTGGCCCTTGCCCCAGCGAATAAAATGGCCCTATCCAGAATGCAAGGCGTAATATAAAGGTTTTCCAGGCCCGGCAACTCAGATCAGGGACAAACGAATCGGCGCGCTTCCTTGTCTTGTACGGCCTCGGCCCTTCAAGCCACACTCTGGCATGCTGTCGACAGGGCACGGCATTGGAAGGATCGATGGTTCTGATCCTACCGCTTCAGCAACGCCGAGCCCGGGGACTCTTACACGCATGTCGATCTTCTTGTTTCCAACACTCGCCGGCTTGTGCGATGCAGGCCCCCGGGTGGCGATTTAGATCTCGACCCCAGAGGTTGATCAACCATTTCTACTATCATGGCCGAGAGTCCAAGGGCCGAGAATGCGCCTAACCATCACAAGATGGTGATCAGCTATTCAATATCTGCTCAGATAGTGGAGAGCGCGGTCGTCAACAATTTCAAAACACTATCGGCAGGGACTTCCACCAGTTCGTAATCTCCTTTTCCGTTTACGGCCAGCCAGCCATGGTGTATCCTGAAACCTGTAGCCGAGTCGGCAGGAATCTTCTGTTCCGCCGTGTCGATTCGAGGGGTCTATTTGTAGGCAATCTGTCCTTGCGGCATTCTCGGCGCCCGACAAGCGTCCAACCGGCGAATTGCCGGGCATCGACTGGCCACTTGACTGCGAATCACTCTTCCAGATTGTGCAGCGATCACAGAGCACCGTTTACAGCGACATCGAATGATTCTGACACAAGGAGAAAATGCGCCAGAGTCTTGACGTCCAGCCGTTGTCGAATGACAGCTGGACAAAGACCCAGATGCCTTTGGGCCCGTGGAGCCCAGTGGGCGCAAGCTTTTCGGCGCATTCTCTCAACTAGACTCGAAGCAGTCGAACCCGTGCGCCGGCGTCGACACCTGTTCGATCCCCATTATCAGTACGGAAATTTGATTCGCTGTCACAGTGACCATCTAATCCCTGGCTCCTCTTCACCAATGCTTCTGGATGTCTTGGCTTGATATCACGGAGAAATATCCTGACACAGCGAAGTGGCAATTACCGATCTGCTCCTAGGGCCTGTCCGGAATTGAAAATCAGTGATTGAGGTTTCCAGATTGGGCCACCAGAAACAGGTGCGATCATCTATCTGGAAATGTTCGCGAGATGGCCGATGTGACCTCAGAGGCGGTCTAACCCCGGTCAAGGCCGGGCTGATAAACAAGGCCCTGAAGCAATCGAGCTTCAAGTTGGAAACCATAAGCGCCCTTTGCCAATGGCGGTTTCCCTGCATATCGTATACGAGTGGAGGTCCAGGGTGAAGTACAGGCGCTCTCCCCTTTCAAGTTCCCGAGGCAGCAATCATTGCGCTTTAAGCAGGGATGCCAGGGCCAAGCCTAAACCTGCTGCAAATTCAACTGCAACCTGCATGGTCGATCGTATTTGGCTTTCTGGACGGAGGAGATCCGAGCTCCTCGTTTCGTTTCACCGCCAAACTTCCGTTGTGTTCCCGTCCAACCCGGTGCTGAGCCTGGCATCGCACCCCTATCGGCGATCTTCCTCCTCCGGACCCCTATCGAGAACTTGGTCTCCACCTCGATTGATGAGCATCACTCAGGGGGTCTCCGAAAGAAAGAGACCCGAAATGTTCGTTACGGTTTCTTCTGGGATTAATAATACCCGGCTTTCTGGTACAACTGGCCCCTCATCATCCCTGCGCGTCGAACCCTCATCCTGGTATTGCAACAAGGTTGCACGAAGAGCCTTGACTCAGGACTGATCGGTCTTTCGAAAAGACTGATGTTGTACTACCTACTGGATGATCTCCTATTTCAAGCCACCGCACACCCCGGCTGTGGTTACCGAGCCGATATAGCATCCAGACTTCGGAGTCCGCCGACCTCAAAGCGCTTTTATTCAGCCGCTGGAGGGACCAGCAGTGTACCCAACACAGTAGTCGTTTGATGATTGCTCATATCTACCATCAGATCTATACGATCAACATTAGAGACTCCATCTCAGGGACTGGCGCCATGGGGATCTTGGAGAGGCAGCCAGTCATCATTCCTGCACCTCTACAAATTCGCCCCCGTCGCTTACAGAATGGTCGAAGTGGAGTCGGATCCTGTGTGGCAGAGCTCAATAATCCTCTTGTCTCCTTTCCACTTCTGGTGTCTAGGTCTACTCCTGGCTTGCAGCATCCCCACCGGTCCAAATAATGATTTTGTGGGAGAGTGCTCCTGGATGACCTCCTCCTGGATCTGGAACAGCGCATCAACCTTATCAGCCCCACTGGTGAAACTACGCTCTACAAGTCATGATTTCGCCGACGCGTCAACTGTGGATGAGAATCATGCTGCGGCTGCCGTATGGCCATGTACGTGACACAGGAGCGCGCCATGGACGGGAGTCTTTTCCAGCATCGTGGAATGTGCTGTGATGCTAGTACGTCTGTCGAAATCAACAAGACAGGCCCAGCTCGACGACTTTCCCGGCGGCAGCCAGGGCCAGGACGCATCCCAGGAGAAGATGAAAATATTGACGGGCTTTAAACTTTTCATTGTCGTGTGCCTAGCAAGCCAACATTTATTCCATAACCTTCTTCCGCCCTTCTGTGCACGGCGTGGCGGAAGTTAAAATGCTGCGAGCGAACATAGAGCAGCGGCATTGCCGCCCTCCATCAAACTATATTCTTACTGGAATACGTCAAGAGCTTCTGGCGAAATCGCAGACGCTTGGAGAGGCCGAAGTTTCAGGAATTATGAGCGCTCATCAGACTTCGGTAGTTGGTCCAAAGGGTCACCGAGTGGATCATCCTTTTCATTGGAACCTTTCATTGCTCATCCCACTCCGGTCATACCCTTCCTGGCAAGGATGGGACGGCGTGAGGAATGCGAACCGCTTTTGGCGATTGCTCTTGCGCGAAATGACCCAAATCAAGCAATGTCGAGATCCTGCCGTCAATGCCCATCGTATCAACAATGTAAAATACGACAGCGCTTGCGTGGTAATTTTGGGTGGTCTGATTGAATGGCAGCAACAACTTCAAGGGGCAACATCGGAAGGTCGAGGAGAGAAATTTGGGTTCATATGAGTTTTGATGGAGCACGATGGTGATCGGACCAGCAGATCACCTTTCAGAAAACGGCCGTTGTGAGAGGGCGCCTGTCATCTCTGGGGACAATCTGACAGGTCGCCACCCCTGTCCGGCCCGCTAAGTGCCGCCTCGAACTGGCTTCGACCAGGCCATGGCAGCATGATCAACCACGGTCCGCCCTCCACAGCGCCGCCACGGACTTTGATCTCGGGAGCATCAGGACCGATATGGACAGAGGAGCAGGCATAACGGTCCATCACGGGGAACAGGTTGAGAAGACCCCTGTATGCCCTCCACGGCACATACCGACCGGCGGGATTTCAGTCTCTCGTCAACAGTAAGCCTGGAACTCATACCCACTCTTGCCGAACTTTTCTTCCGACAAGGCTGGACAGAGGTGCCAAATGGTAGGCTCTGTGGCTCTGTTGTCCACCGTTGCATCATCAAATACCACTACTACACCAAATAGGCTGGTGGAGCAGAAGCAGAACAACAGCCAGGTCCACCCTGCCATGTCGTTGAACAGGGGAACTCTTTTTTGATGCTGCTAGTCTTTCTGGCGTGAGGCGTTAGACAACACCCTGACCCTTCACGTCCCCATTTGGCTCTCAAGAGGTTGTGGCTAGCTTCTTTCACTTCGGCAGCCAGAACCGGGGCTCACGCTGTTGCACTAGCTTCCCAGGGCCGCGATCATTCCGAACCCGTTATTTCTTACCGGGGAGGGAACTGCCCTTGACGCTGGTTCGTCCAGTATCGAGTCAAGGGTATAGTCGAAAATCTGCAACTTTGCTCTTTCAAGATCGTCTTCTCACAAATTGTGGCGGATCCCTTCTTGTATCTCCTACGCCCCGCCCCGACAATCGGTAGCTGCAGTCGCATTCTCGGTAGCCTGACTTTGTTCTATTTGCCGCCGTGAACCTTGGGGGCGTGGTTGGACCGCCTCACATCAAGTAAATACCATCGCCAGGGTGTCCTGCTCCATAGCCCCAGCAACCTTCGTATCAGAGGTTGAAACGATCTGGCCTCGGCTGTTTATCGAATCTGATCGACAGATCAGTCCAGCGAGTACACGGCTGTCGCAGAGACTGTTGTTGTCAACGGTGGCGCCTTCAACACCATTTTCCCACCTCCATTTCGCGTTCGTCTATACGATTCTCATCGAGAAGATCCGTTGAACTTCAACGTGGAGGCGCGACTACCTGCGGCGGACTGTGTTGCCATTCCCCTCGTGGATCTTTCAGTCAAGATTGGACCAGGACGTGTCTCTAATCCGGCGCCTTGCACCTCGCTTCTCTTTTCGCGGTTACCGATCGCCTCGCCTACACGTTCTGTGTCGGGCATTTCTGGCCTTCCGCCAGCGACAGTGCCGCGAAGGTGGCCACATACAGACGAGGCTTCGAAGACAGCGGGCATGCATCTCACCTACCCGACGGCTTTCTCTCTATCTGGAGTACATTGTGGCCAATAGAGGCTTCACGAGTCTGGTAAACCCCCGTCGAAATGCAGAATCAACTTTATCTCGCTGGGGACTCCCCGAGAGCTGCTTCCACGGAGTCGCCGCTGAGTGCCCACGAGCCAATTCATCAACCCTCGTCCGCGTCTCTGTTTCCTCACCAGTCCCGGCCTGCATTGTCACCCTCGGAGCCATCGACCATGTCGGCCTTCTACTCCCCTCACGGAATGGAATCGATGTCTCCCCACGAAGGCTCTTCTTACTTGGGGGACAATCTAAGACCGGGCGGTGGAGGAAGTGGTACACCGTCTCCAGCTCAGATCTCGGCTATGATGATGCACAATCCGAAAAGGGCATACAGGCAAAGGAGGAAGGATCCAAGTTGCGATGCATGTCGGGAACGCAAGGTGAAGGTTGGTCAGAGGAGAACGAGTTGTTCGAAGGCTTTGATACTGACTTCCAAAGTGTGATGCGACCGAGACCTCGAGCTGTACGGAGTGCTCGAGCCGGAATGTCCGTTGCCAGTTTACAAAAGACACAAACCGCCGAATGTCGTCAATAAAGTGAGTTGGCTTTGTCCTTCTCGTTCACAGCAGTCTGCCAATATCTTCTGACTTGTTCAGACAAGTGCAGGATCTAGAGAGACAACTGTTAGAGGCTCGCCAGCAGCTCGAACGGTTTCATGCGGTCGAACGAATCAACGATGTCTTCGCAGACCCTCGTCCCGACACTGCCCTCTCAGTTTTTAGCGACTTTCCTACAGTGGGCAAATCGCCTAGGAGAATGTTGAAGGCCAAATCCCCTCAAGACCTGACGAATGCGAGGCTGATTTTGAACGATGTGGGACGCGGTTTGTTGAAACCTCCGGTCACAGGGGGGCAGCACAGATCTCATGCAGCACATGCCAGTGTTTCGGACCTGCCAGGACTGCCCTCGCGCCCTGTCGCGGAACGATTACTCCATTACTACCATGAGAGTATTCATCGTCACTTTCCTGTGTTATACTGGCCAAGGTTCCAGCGGACCTTCACCATTGCAATGGACAAAACAGGTGGGCATTCATTACCAATCGACTGGATCGCGACGCTATATGCCGTGCTTGCTTGTGGCGCGCTGGCAACCCATGACCCCAGTAGGCTTCCCGAAGCGCAGGAATACCTCACCAGGGCCATCTCGTCCATCAATTTCTGGGAGGATGATGTCTCCACCAACCAAGCTATCATGGCATTCTTGGCCAGTATTGCACTTCTCGAGATGAATCGGAAATCCGCAAGCTGGATCTGGTTGGGTTCGGCCATCCGTATTGTGCAGGACCTTGGTTTACATGTCCAGGGAGGCCAATGGTCGCCCGTCGAGGGAGAAATGCGCAAGCGTATCTGGTATTCGTTCTATGTCTGGGATCGGTAAGTGGATCTGGTCTTTCTTACGGGCATCCCTTGCTGACAAGCATAGTCTCCTGGCTCTGGAATTAGGGAAGCCGATGCTCATCAACGATGACGAGTGTGACACTGAATATCCACAAGTTCTTGACGAAGAGCGTCTCGTTACAGACGACCTTCAAACGCCGCTTCCTCCCACGTTATTGCTTGCTAACATCCACGTTGCGCGGCTTCTGGCGCCACTGGCCAAAAGCTTCCGCTCACTTTGCATTACGACCGAGGCCTTGACCCGATTTGAGAGCCATTTGGGCGAATGTCTACAGCTTTTTCCACGGCCTCTACAACTCACAACCTCGGCATCTCTAGACCCCTGTATCATGCAGCCGTTGATTTATTTCCAGAATGCCCGGGTGCTGCTCCATCGTCATAACCTCTCCCCTTCCTGCTCGCCCGAGCAGAGGTTTCAAGCGATTGAGCAGTGTGTTCATGCATCCCGGGATACAGCAGCTTTGCTTTCCCGATGTATGCTGCCGCACATACAGTCCCATGACTGGGAACAAAGGTTCATTCTATCTGCGACGACACTGCTTTGTACACACTTGTGGCGGTGCATGCTTTTTCTCCTCTTCCGAGAACTTTACGATGCTTTTTTCGTTGTTTGCAGGGCGGCTTCTACCATCAATGATGCTCAAATCATCAACATCAGCTGCGGAAGGCATCTAGCCTTTTTTCTGCAGCGGCTCAAAGAGCATTACGAACAGCCAAACCCACCCGAGGTCGAACAAGATGAAGAGTTACTGGTCTTCTTATCTGCCGACCTACAGGGCAGTACAAACAGCTGGGTATGGGGCCAAGCTGAGACAGGCACTCACCTTAGTCGGCGGCAAAAACATGGCAGACCCAAGCACATGCCTCATGCCAATGACACGCAAGGGTCTTCGGCCGCACAATCGCCGGTGTGGGATAGCGCGTTGTCAGAGGAAGAACAGCACGATCGCGGAGGATGGCAACGAGTGGAGCATTCTGCGAGATATCTACAGCGCCTACGAGAATCCAGGCACCAACAGCTGCATGAACAGAGTCAACCTAGCTTTGCGAGACCGCCGCTGACAACTGAGCATTACCCCGGACCAACGCTGGCACCAATTGGTACATCAGGTCCACCGCCGGACTCAAGCCGGTCACGAATGACGATTGCGAACATACTTTAGATGGGAAGCGACAGCATGGGGTTCATGAAAATGGATGATGGACTTACGTATGATGAAGGAGAGGAAACGGGTGGTTTGTTGTCATGAGATACCCTGCATCTTTCTGGGGCAAAATGCTGTTGATGAAATGGTGGAAATAAATGATGCTTACCTTACAGCTAGACGAAGTATTCAAAATCGTTGCATCTTCCACATCTCCTTTTGACCTTTTGTGTTGCTGAAGCATAGACGCTTTGACAGGTACAGCAGGAATCAAGGAATATCGGTGTTGCACAGAGAATACATTGTTCAAAGCAGTTACCACATTCTTTTACATCCACACGGTCATGTGAGAGGTCCTACTCGATGCACAGTGATTTCTTCTGTGCCCGACCCCTATTTTGTCTGGCCGAAGAAAGCAGGGCGAGTCCAAAGAGCATCATCAACATCTGCTCTGTCGGCAGCATCTCGTTCAGTTGATTTCGCGCGCTGTTTACCATCTCATCCGTAGTGAACACTTAACACCCTCGCTTCTGTGAAGCATATGGGCAAGTCAGCAGCATGAGCCCGGGTGAGTGCCGATTGACGATGATGCAAGCACCAGGCGTTGTCTCCAGCCTCCACCCTTACTGAGATTTCTCACGACAATGGACATGTTTTCAATCACCAGCTTAGACAAGACACTTGTATCCGTATGGAGCCCAACACGTCTGCTGAAGCGAGCACAACTACAGTTAGGATTTCCTTCTTGCACAAAAAAATCTGATATCAGACGCAGGATTCATGTTTACTGTCTAGGTTCTGCGGGGGGGGGGGGGCGGAGGTGGTTGGTGGTTTATCAAGCGATGAGGTCAAAGCCCATTGCCCTTCTTCCTGCCTCACCACTCAAAATCCCGCTCTCGCCGATAAACAGCTTGAAAGTTTTCTCGGCCGGGCCTTTGCGGAAATCCTCGGGTGGCATGCCTTTGAGAAAGTCCTCCAGCTGGGCCTTGATATATCTCTTGTTCTCTTCGGTCCTCGGCGTGGCAGCGATATAAGCGACACTTGCCTCGTGGTCGCCGATATGCTCTACCTCGACTGCATGGCACATGTCGGCGTGCCACCATACCGTGTCACCGGGTTCCATCTTTGGAATGCCCACCATGCATTCTCGCAGCCGGAGATGCGGGTGTGAAGACGGGCTCAACAGCTGGCTGTCGTCTCTGAACGTCCCTGGGAACCAGGGGCTGGTGGCATCGAACGACCATTTCGAGGCGTCCATGACATCTTCTTCCGCCTCGGGAGGTTGGAAGAACGGTCGTAGCAGGAGGTAGGCGATGGTCCATTTGACATTGGGATACAGCATCAGGCTTCCCTCCCTGAAGCCAGCAGACGTCAATGCCGTCCAACCCTGGAAGCTTCGGAAAACGCGCGAATGGGCCGAGCCCGGGAACATGGCCTGGTTGGCATTCTTGCGAAGAGTCAAATCGTAGACGTCCAGCGACTCGGGGTTTCCGGAGAAGACGGCAGAATACACCGACTGGTAGGTCGGGTCTGCCCAACGAGACAGGCTGCCTGCATCGATGTGAGGGCCCAGACCCATGAAATTCACCCCTGGAGGTCGGATCCGTACGCCATCGACATAAGACAACGGTTCGGGGGAGGTGGCTCCCGTGTCGTCGTGCCACCAGGAGTTGAGCTCCTCGCTCAACTTGAGCTGATTTGGATGCGACCTGGCCGCCATCTGGGTTGGAGAGTAATACAGGTTGAGGATGAACGGTGTCTCCACTGGCCAGCCTGTGGAAGTGGAAGTGGAAGTCAGTTGAGCAGTCATTCAGGGGTTGGTGATCCTTCTGTCGAGGATGTTTCTTTTTATCTCGGGTTTGCTTACCTTTGATGGACGATCGGTTGGCGGCGACATATTGCTTCAGGTTGTCGAACCATTCGTCAGCCTGCTCTTTGCTGAAGACGTTCCGGACGACGAAACATCCGACTGCCTTCAAGGCATCCTTTTTCTCCGGCGTCAAGGCGAAGAAGTCGTCGAATTGAATCTCGGGGATGGCGCCAGTGCCCTTTTCGGCGATCTCGTCCGTCACCGCTTCGAGTTCTTTACAGACCTTCAACCAGCTCTTGACCAAGGCCTCTTTGCCGTACTTGTCGACAATGGCCTTCTTGAACCCGACCAGGTCATCGCCAGTCTCGGCCTTGGAAGGCGTGAATTCGGGCCAGGCTGGCCAGCTAAGCAACGTTCCAGGCATCTTTCTTTTGTGTTATCGTTGGTCGACGCGTTGGTTCTATCTTCTGCAAGTCCTGTCTTGACTCTGACTTGATTGATAACTGATATCGGACGCCCGATCTTAAGTCTCCCTTCTCCTTCCAGGGTGACAGACAGCCTACTAGTACCTCACCTTCAAATATGGCAGACCCGATACCGCGGAAACGGGCGTCCTGGGGTCGCCGAGCGCCCATCAAGCTTCCAATTGTCGGACTTGGACTTGTACGATGTGGGCGGGACCTGGCCCGGGGAATGGATGGTTGGTAGTCACACCGCCGCCTCGGGCGAGACCCGGGCGAGATAGTGAGTGGCAGATGGACGGAACGGACATGGCCACCCACCGTCTGACCTTTTCAACTGGAATTGCTAATATAGAACGACTGCCGTGGACGGACTTGCTCACCAGCCACCCAGGGAACCCAGCCCTGGACAGTGGCCACCCAGGGCAGAGCGGACGGACTTGCTCACACAGACGGCCTTGAGAATAATGGGATGCCTTGGCCCTCGATCGTCAGCACTGCATCCGCCTTACGGATATTAGCGACGAGAATAAAAACTGAGTGGATTTCCCATCTCACAGCCTTGCCCTCGCCACCCCATCATCTCTCGCCCTTGAGAGCTCGAGATAAGCTAGATAAGCCTTCCCGGACACCAGGGAACTAGGCATATCCTCTATCGGCCTTGACTGGACAGATTGAACCAACCGGCTGAACGCTAATATCACCGGGAAAAAATCCTCGAGAAAGGATAGGTGGAGATAACGACACGCGTGCGGATGGAGAGGAGAAGAAGTCAGGAAGGACAGCCCTATCTATCTATCTATCATACTGCAGTGGCACTGCCAAACCTACTCCTGCCTGCCGGGGATCGAGTCTATATGAGCTTGTGTCTGCTGTCGCTCATGACTTGAAGTCTCGGCCCATCACCTCTGGTCTCTCTCCAGGTTGATTTCGGGGTTGACCAGAGAAAAGAGACCAGAGAACAGAAAGCGAGATTCTGGCACAGGCATCGACATCATGTCTAAGACTATCATGCCGTTCGATATCCCCTCGTGGGTGCCTCGCCGGTCGGGCGTGGCGTGCACTCTACTTGTTCTCACATCATGTGTGACATCGACGGTACGACTCCCTCCCTCCCCAGGGAATGATGAAAGATGCAGCCAGGCCTCTTTTGAGTTGCATCTCTGGCATGAAAAGACATATCAAGGGCTAACAATTCTCTTTCACACAGACCCTAGGATTCGACGGCTCGATGATGAACGGGCTGAACATCCTACCCTCATACACGGATTACTTCACATTGACGACGGCGACGCTGTCGCTCAACACGGCGACGGTGTGGGTGGGCAGCATGCTGGCGGGGATCCTGTACGCGAAAGTGCCGGACTGGATCGGGCGGCGGTGGTCGCTGTTCTTCGGGGCCATCTTCACCATCATCGGCGTCATCATCCAGACGGCGTCGCAGAACATCGGCATGTTCGTGGCGGCGCGCATCATCATCGGCTTCGGCACGGGCGCGTCGTCCATCGCAGGCCCCGTCTATGTATCCGAGACACTCCCCGTGCGCTATCGGGCCTGGGGTCTAGGGATCTTCTACGACTTCTGGTACGTGGGCGGGCTGATTGCGGCGGGCGTGACGTACGGCACGGCCAAGATGGACTCGACCTGGGCGTGGCGGCTGCCGTCGGCGCTGCAGGGTTTGTTTAGTATCATGTGTCTGATCATCCTGCCGTTCACGCCCGAGTCGCCGCGTTGGCTGCACTCGCAGGGCCGCAGCGCCGAGGCGCTCGTGGTGCTGGCGCAGACGTGCGCCGACGGCAACGTCGACGACCCGACGGTGCAGGTGCAGTTCCGCGAGATCACCGACACGCTGGCGTTCGAGAAGTCGTACGAGAAGCCGTCCTTCTTCAAGCAGTTCCTGGCCAGCAAGTCGACGCGCAAGCGCATCTTCCTGTCGTCCACCGTCGCCGTCTTCGCCATGTTGTCCGGCAACAACATCATCTCGTACTACCTGGGCTCCATGCTGACGCAGGCCGGCGTGACCGATTCCACCACCCAGCTCGAAATCAACGTCATCCTCAACGCCTGGTGTCTGGTCGTCGCCCTGATCGGGACCTGGCTGATGGAGCGCGTTGGACGGAAGACCCTCGCCGCCATCTCCACCGGCCTGTTAACCATCTTCATCTTCCTGATCGGCGGCCTGACCAAAGCTTATGGCGACTCCACCAACCAGTCCGGCATCTACGGCACCGTGGCCGCCATCTTCCTGTTCCAGGGCGCGTACAGTATCGGCTGGACCCCCATGACCGTGCTCTACCCGCCCGAGGTGCTGAACTATAGTATCCGCAGCATGGGTATGGGGATTTACTGTTTCCTGACCAACGGCGTCGGCTTGATGGTCACCTTCGCCTTTCCTTATGCTTTGGACGCCATCTCGTGGAAGACGTACATGATCAACGGCGCCTGGGATGTCATCGAGTTGGTCGTCGTCCTCGTCACCTGGGTCGAAACAAAGGGCCGCACGCTCGAAGAGATCGACGAGGATCTCGACGGCCAGAGGCATACCCACGCCCCCAGGCTACAGACTATCTTGGGCGTCGTGCCCGAGGAGAGAGCCGGCGTCGTCGAGGCTTTGGATCTCCAAAAAGACAAGGAGCTCGAGGTTTCGGGTGCCGTAGTGGAAGTTTCTAAGGAATAGATGGCCACTGGGCCAGTCAAACACTCCCATTGAGTTTGTTTGGAGTGCGCTGGTGAGACGTGAGGAGACATAGAGTCGGTCTACTAGTAGCTCTGCTCATATCCCATCGTCTCCTCGCAGAGTGAAACCCGAATGCTGAGGGACAGAGACTCAGAGAGATAGAGACAGAGAGACATGGATATCGAGGCATTCAAGATCCTCCTGATACTCAATCCTATCCTATCCTCGACTTCTTCCAACGAGACTGAGACTCACATCCACATACATGCTCACCCAGTAAATTTCTCTTCTCCATGACACACATTATTGGTGATATTGATTGATTGATTGATTGACTGACACCATCTCTCTCCTAACTTGCCATTCCAACCCCCCCGAAGAAAGAAACTCCGTAAAACTCTGTAAGAGTAGCATACTACGTACTTGAACTCAATCCGCAGTGCAATATCTATTACGCAGTCAGCCCGGCGATCAGGTAAACAGGTCCTGGCACTCATCAATACTTTTTCGAGGTATACAGAGTTCCGAGTAGGAGAAACACAAAAAATGAAAGCATATGAACAAGATATGTCCCGAAACCAGATACGCTTGAACGAGAGACCAGACCCTACGAGCCCTAGGAAGGCTTAGGGTGGCGTGTCGGGCTCAACTCAACTCCATTCTCCCTCCCTACTCGAGCGACATACACTGGAAAATGCAATGCATCTACTGTACGTATGATATGCAGACAAAAATCCAGATTCAAAACTCTCGGTCTCGGTTTCGGCGGGTGGTGGAGGGGTCCAGGCCCCAAGGGCCGCGGAAGGGGTCGTAAGTCACAAAATTTGGAAGGAAAGATGGCCGGAATGTTGTGTTCAGGAGACCGCCCGTAAGAACATAAGAACTGGGAGGGAAAGATATAGATACCTTCGATGGGCTCCATGGCTTCAACGCCGATGTGGCTACGATGTCGTATCGTGTGCGGTAGGGGGATTGACCAAGCAAACTATTTGTTGTTGAGAAGAGGACTTGGAACAGTGATGATTGATGGCCTGGGACTCGGGAGGGATACACGCGTTGACATTCTTATGATTGATGGTATATATGATTTCATTTGGAAGGGAGGGCGTTCTCAGCCTGCTGAGGAGGAGCCCTTCAACTGCATCATTCCATGAGCTTCGATATCGTCAGAGATCTCCGCTCTATGCTTATGTCTCTTGTAATGTCTTGATGCACATGTCTCTTGGAAAGGAAAGGAATGACTGGTATTACTGGCATCTTGCTGAATCTCCAGATTCCTGTCAGATGAGATCCCGGACAGGAGAGCCACTCGAGATGGCCAACATGCATGGTCTGAGATGGACTCTGGAATACCTACCCTACCAGCCGAGGGTTCAGACATGTTCTGCTCTCCCCAGCTCTGGCCCCTCGAACGAGGAGAGACTGCTGGTCACAGATCTCTCTATATCTATTTGTCTGGCATCCGATATCAAATCTCAATCCAGTTTCCCTCCCTGACTCGTCAGTCTTCCCATGCCATACCGACTGGGCAACATGAAACTGCCAAAACTGGAAAAACGTCTCGTATTCGGTCTGCCGGGGCCACTTTTCCTGCGCTCTCCGTCTGCCTGCAGTGACACAGGCTTCGGGGCGTCTTTGCGGCGCTTATACAGCCACCAACAAGCCATTATGATCAAGGTGAGCGGCAAGGTGATGGCGAGCCAGAACCACCAGATGCCATTAACCTTGATGACTTGCGTGCCGCTGGGCGAGAAGAAGATGCCGGCGTCGATGACGGCGGCGGTGAAGGTGCCGGGCAGAAAGACCATGGTCAAGGCGGCGATGGCGCTCATGCTGGTGCTGTCCCTCTTCATGTCGGCGGCGAGTTCGATGTTGTTGGCCGCGTCCTGCTGCGTGACGAGGTTGTATACCAGACTCATGGTGCTGTCCTTGCGGTTCTTGTAGTTGAGGAACCAGATCTTCTGTTTCTTCATCGACTCGATCACATAGTCGATCGAGTCTTTGACGTGCTGGTGGCGGAACGGCTCGATCCGGCCCGGGTAGACGCGGGCGTGGGCCTGGCAGATGCGGGTGGCCGTGATGATGCACACGTCGGCATTGCCCAGGTGCGAGTCGGCGTTCTGGCTGATCACCTGCAGTTGCTTGGTGAGTTCGGAGAGCTGGGCGCGGTCGCGGTTCTGCAGACCGGCCAGTTGGTCGTCGACCTTGTTGATCTGCGTCCACATGAACCGTTGGAAGCGCTTGACGTGATGCTTGGACGTTTCGAACGAGAGCGTCGACAGGATGACGTGCATGTCGAAGGGGTCGTCGAGGAAGATTGTCGCGCGGAGTTGCTCGGAGCTGGTGCGTAACGCCACGTTCAAGATGTTTCGAAGAGCCTGCACGTTCGTGTCCTTCTGCTTGTGCGAGATGATGTAGATCGTTTCGTTCTTGCTCACGTCGTGCCGCATGTAGACGGACAGCGGGGCCCCTTGGACTTGCAGGTTCCAGCGTGGATGCTGACAGGAGAAATCTGGTATCCAAGGATTAGTGCTTTGGTTTGCTGAAGAGACCCAATTTCCATCGGACAAAGTGGTACAAGGGTCTGGCTGTGCCTCATACCAAATGCTTGCAGTTTATCGCCTTGGCCAGTGTCCCAATGATTGACTGGCGCCCAGTAATCCGGTCGGCCTAACATGTTCAACAAGAAGATAGGATGGATCTTCAATGTCTCGTATAGTTCCCGAGTGCTGGATTGAGACATTTGGATGCGGCTGCCGAACGATGTGTCCGTGGTGGGAGTCAGCGGCACAAGGCTGGACTGGTTAGCACTGCCTTCAATGTTGGTCAGAAATGCAAGTTCCCAATAAAACCTACAACAGGAGCAAGCGGCCTTTGGGGGTATTTCTGGTCTCGTCTGCAAGGAGTGGCAATGGAAACGCATTGCTGGCCTGACCTGGCTCCTAATGTGCACGTTCAGAAAACGGGTAGTACCGGCGGACGACTAAGACTGACTTTGATGAGATCCTTCAAATCATAGTCGTCGAGTGTTTTCCATTCTTTGGTCCATTAGCCAGGGAACAAGCATGCGTGGGTGGAGAGCAAATCACCTGCCCCAGCATGTGTCACCTCCAGGCATTCGATCTTTGTCTGGTCCGAGAAGTTCTTATGCTTGCCCAGATGTTTATGACACTGCACAGCATCAAAGACTTGTTGAAGGGATTGGAGGTTGCCAAGCGGATAGTCTCTAGTGTCGAGTGAGTAGTCAAACTCCAACTCGTTCTGGAATTGAAGATCGGCAGCGTCGGTATGTCGGCTAACATCGTTCATTTGTCGTGAATTGGGTCGAGGAACAACCTCGGGGTTGGTGACCAGCGTGGCTTCCAGACGAGAAAACCCAGCCTCGCCGGTCTCAGCTCTGGCCAGCTTGTCCCTGTCCAGAGGCATCGTGCCAACTGTAAGCAGGGGACGTTGTGTTATACGGATGAGGAAGTCAGATCTTCCCTGGCGTTGGAGCGAACGAACATGATTTCTCCATGGCTGCGTGTCAAAGAGTCGGAGAGCCGAAGAGAATCGAGAAGAGTGCTGCTGTCTTGAAAGGCTGCAGGAGACCGCTTTAAAAAGAGTACTCTGTATATCTCTGGGGCCTGCGGCTCAACGCCAGCTGGACTCGTAGATGCCAGGGTCTAGACCCCTCTACAAGCAGGCCGGGGGCCCAAGGTCAGCCTCATGCAGGTAGTGTGACTTGTTGCGACTTCCAGAGACAGAGATGCGTTTGTGAAGTAGCCCATGCTTTGTGATAGCTCGGAGCAGTCACCATCATTGGTGGTTGACTGGAGTCTGGTAGTGTTGGGTGTTGGAGGAGGAGAGCAACAGGAAGAACGATGCTTCCATCACAACGGGCCTGGCGCATACATGAAATCCAAGTTGTGTAACCACACACACTTCGAAAGGTCCCCCCTTCCCTTTTTCTTGCAAGGGGGGCTATGCTTCACGAAACGGACCGGCGCGCGAGGGGCTGGATAAGGAGTGAGCCCAGAGTCCAATGAGTGGCCGTCGTGGAGGGAACAGGGGGGACCTTAGAATCGTAGATATCCCTTGGCCCAAAATACCAGGAGGGGCCGAAGCGGCGGTGAAGACTGGCTGGCTGATAAGGGCTGGCTACCTACCTGTCCCATGTCACCAGAGACTCGCCTCGTTCGGGGTTCCTTTGCTGGATACAAATCCAAGAGGGGTGGGTGGTTTCTGATATCGACCGATGTCTCTGAATCTTGATCATGATCATGAGCGGCTACTGTCTCGGTTCGACAGCCTCGTGGCCAGTGGAGTGGTGACTTACCATCCCTCGCGAGTGACCGAGATCGAAGACCACGGGTTCAAGGTTCGTTGTTTGCCCACAGCAGCCTGACCTCGGTAAGACGTATGTATACTCATCTTATCACCAGTTCAGATATGAAATCACAGAGTCCCTCGCTGGGAAACCTGCTGCAGAACTGGCCATTCGAGCTCCCGAATTGACCCCTGCCCAACTCTCAGCCTCGCGGCCGCAGACCTTCGGGTCCGGCAGCGACATCCCAAACGCTCACCCCGATCTGCTGATAACGACGATCAACGACACGCATCTTCTTGTCGTCAACAAATTCGCTGTCTTCCGGCCACACCTTCTACTGCTGACGGTCGATTCGTATCAACGGCAGCATCTGCCTCTGTCTCTGGTCGATCTCAAAGCAGCACGGACGTTTCTGACCAACACTCAGGATCGCTTCTATGTCATTTTCAATTGCGGTGTCAATGCTGGAGCCAGCAGGAGCCACAAGCACATGCAGGTGCTCCCGCATCCTGATGCTCTTCCCCCTACTGCTCAAGGCTGGCGGTTGTTTCCCGACTATGACCCTCCTTTGGTGTCGGGGTCAATTCCTTTCGTGTATTTCATCCGCCACTTTGAACGTTCTGCCGTTTCTGGACCGGAGCTGTTCGATGCATATACACATCTTCTTCTTAAATGCAGGCGTGTTCTGAACATTCCTGACGACCAGGTGGAATGCCCGCACAATGTGGTGATCACAACCAAGTGGATCCTGACCATCCCACGATCGAAAGAGAATGTTGATTGCACGACGGCCAACAGTGCAGGAATGATGGGTTCGGTTTGGCTGAGGAATGAAAAGCAACTGGAGAAATGGATGGCTCAGGGGCCGGCGTGGGTGCTCTCGCAATTGGGCTTGCCGGCTGAAGAGCTGCCAGGTGGCTAGACCTGACTCCTGAAGAAGTTCACGCCAGATGTGTTCGGATCACAGTTCACAGGCGTGACGAAGACTTGAGGCAGCCATTGAACGGCCAGCTTACACAAACAAGTCGAGACAAATCAAGGGATTTTCCTCATAATGGTGCTGATCACGAGTGGTGGGTTCATGAAGGTGCCATGTACACAGTGGAAAAATAACCTCCACGAGTATATTTGAAGCCACAGGCAGCTTCCGGAATTCCCAAGGCGAGGCAAAGAACGTTAACTGCAAGATACACCCCCTTTCTTTACCCATATGCTACTGCTGCAGTCTGTGATATGGAGTTGTACGCCGCCTTTCTCGATCTGAGCTCCTTCGTTGAGTATCGAGCGCCCTCCCGCCGCACTCTTTTGACTCTGTAGCATGCCGACCCCACAAAAGCGTGTATGGGATTCGTATGTATAGGCTACAGCCTCTGCCTGTTGGGTCATGATCGCGGCAGGATACACCGCATATATCAGGAGTCCTTCTCTAGCCAAGTCGACGAGCATGAACTCTGTCAATGTGAGGGCTGCCCACTTCGATGTGCCGTATGCACTGGCATTGACTTGCTGATGATACACCACGATGGATGAGGCAGAATATAAATGACTTGAGGCTGCCTCGACGATATTTATTACTTGAACAGTATTCATCGTCTGTTTGTACTTGGATGAGTTTGATCGATCTACAGCGATAAACCTCAGGTGCCTAAGATGGCCGACGATTATCCTGTAGAAGAGTACAAAGAAATAAATTTGTTGTCAAGCAAGATTGCTTCACTCAGCATATGCCCTGTAGACGGCCAGATCATCGCTGGCACTGATGTCAAGAGTCACGCCCTGCCCGACGAAATAAATGTATCCTTCGTCAAGAGGGAACTCCTGACCATCCACCGTCATCTTGCCGTGACCACTCGTGGCGATCATGATGCTGGGACCCAAGACAGGCTTCACCGTTTCCGTCTCTCCCGCCGCCAGTTCCGTGACTAGCATGTTGAACTCGCTCATGGGCGGTTTGAATTCGATGGTCTTGCCATTCCCACTCTTGGCAGTGGCCTCACGCTTGAGCATGGGCTCATTAGGGTCATGCTGCTTGAAGGTCAAGGTGTTGGTGAACAGATCCACCGAGTCGCGGTCCGGTTTGGGACAGAAGCCGGTGTTGATGACGTTGTTCGACCGGGCCATACATTCGACGATGTCGCCAGACAGGTAGGCGTGGATGCCGTCTGCCGGAATGTAGACCACCGATCCGGCTTCCAGGATGACATAGTTCATGCAGACCAGGGCAATCAGGTTGCCGTTGTCACTTCGTCCATATTGCTCCTCTAACCGGGGGATCAGATCCAGAATATATGCCTGTTTGCCATACTGCTCTACAGGCGTCGAGCGGAGACTCTTGACCGCAGCAGCGACGGTGTTCTCTGGTGCCTTGAGCATAGCTCGGCAGATTTCTCGCAGCGTCTCATTGTCGAATTTCTGGCTGCCGGACTGCGGCAGGAATTGTTTCAGCGACTCCAATTTCATCAACTGTTCAATGTCCGGCAGTGGCTTGAATCCGATGAAGGCCTCGAACTTGCCGAGTGCGACCGCGATCTCGGGCTTGTGGTTGGGGTCTGTGTATTTCTCGGGGTCCTCCTTGTGTAACTTTTCTGACAGTTCCTTATTCGGGTGGATTTGCAGCGGCAGAGCCTTCGCAATAGAGAGGATCTTAGGTAGGAAGGGTAGGTCGGATCCGAACTTGTCGACAACCGTCTTCCCAATCAGTTTGTCCTTGTTCCTGTTCAGGATTTCTTGCAGGTCTTCGCCCGTCTTCAGTGAGTAGGACGGCAGTTCAGGGTATGTGCCCATCCACATTTCCGCGTACGATTTGCTGTCATCGAGTTTGAACTCTGGGTTCGTCTTCTCGCACAATCGGGCAGCGAGAGACTGCCTGCCGGTCCTTCCCCAAGGATAGTTGTTGCAGTTGCATTTGAGCTGGATCACGGAGTCGGCCATGGTTTCGAGTAGGGATGAAGGATCGAGGAGAGTGTCACGCTGGAGTAAGATATACAGTAGGAGCTCGAGAGAACAGAATACATTGGGGCCTTCACCTTCTATAAGGGATTTTTGTACCGCCGCGCTGCATGATTGCGGCGATGATGTAAATTCACTATGATGTCAGCTCAACAATCTCGTGGATTTCAATACACCTCAACGGATCATCACGCCGACGCGAACGCAGACTTGACGGGGTGGAAGGAGGAGAGCGATGGTCAAACGACAACGAAGTAAGTCCACGTCTTCATCCACATTGTGTCCATGTTGACCGCCCGGGATGATATCGACTGCTTATTCTCGCCGTGGTGATGAACCTGGTGGCCGACACGCTGAAGTTGGAGTTTTCGATCGCAGGTGAAACAAAGTGACCTGAAAAAGTGACGTCTGACGGCAGACTCCCGCTTGCGCCTTACTAATCTGGGTGTGGAACCGGTGGAGCAAGCGACGTCAGACGGAAGCTATTGTGGCATTGATCGATACTATTAGTCCAAGCAAAATCACTGTAATCTGGCTGCCTCTCCTGCCAGAGAAAATTGATATCAGATTAACCCTGGAGCTATAAGGGGATCTATGCGAAAACTGAAGATGAGCCAAGGCATGCCATCCCTTTCTTCTTTTTCTCGCATGATAGGAGGAACAGACCGCCGAAATCCAGTCGGTGCCATGCCCCAACTATCCATACTACCCAGACTTGGTCAAACGGGTAGTACATAATCGCTCGCGGCTGTATACTGGGTGTCCAGATACGCCGTGAGTGTCTCGCCAGCGACATTTCCAAATTCATCCATACCCATACCATCCAAAAACTCGTCGAAAGGGACACCCAAAGCATCATAGTTGACATCTGCCTCCAGCACAGGGCTCGCCTCCTTGTATGCTTGTACCTCCGTTCCCTTCATCTTCTCTCTTCTCGGCCTCGTCTTCTTGGGCTTGGTTGCGGCAGAGGGTTCACCACCAAGTGAGGTGGCGGAAGCCAACCCCATGCTGCCATATCCAGAGTCGATTGACGAAGTTGTGGAGTGGTTTGGCTTCAAGGGGGACGCGGTGGTTGCGGCCGGTGCATCTGGCACGTCGATGACACTGGAAAGTTTGACTGGGACATACCCCTGTGCCGGGGCCCAAGATTGCATCGATGAAGTCTGCAGCGGCCTCACTTCATCCGGCACTAAAGGTGGGCTTGGACCAAAATCAAAATTGAAGTCGGTGGACAGTGCAAGGCCAAGTTCGTCCCAGTGGCTCCAGTTGTTGCATTGGTCATCATAGTGATCATTCTCAGGATCCATGTTCGCAGCGGCATGGTGGGCAATGTCGGTTGTACTGGCTTCCGCCTTCGCAGACATTTGATTAGGTAGCGGTTGAACCTTCTGAACCGCCGCAACCGACTCCGACACAAGACCACCGTGTCTCGTTCCGGCCGAAATTGGCCGACTGAAGCTCTGGCAAGGACCCGGTGGTAGGAGCTGTATGTCCGCTCGGCTTTCTCTTGGGGCAGGGCCGTTCGTTGGTGAGGCAGTGACCGATGAGGTTGGCGTCAGGGAGATTGAGCTTCCGCGAGTGGAGTGCGGTGCAAGAGCAGAACATGGCGTGGGCTGAACAGAAAGGTTGCTGGCAAGGTCCAGCCTCTCCAGCACGTCTGCCACAGATTCTCTCAATTGTTGCCGGATGAATTCGCGGGCCTGGGGCGACCGGACCCAGGCTTGCTCTGAAGCTTCAACGTGCTGATCTAACCGAGACTCGAAGACCTCTGCCAGCATATGCATGGGATCTTGATTCTCGGCTGCAGCGCTGCTGACCGCTGACAGAGGTGTAGTGTCGACATTGTTGGGATAAGGGCTGTCTGGCAGCGGGTGGCCAGGAAACAGAATCCCGTAGATGATATACCAGACCTGCTCCGCTGTCTTTCCTGGCCGCTTCTGTCGGATCCCACTTTCTTGTGCTTCATCAAACTTTTCTGGATATGGACAATCTATCTTAGCACAGGGGGACTCAGCGCGCATATGCGCCTGCAACTGATCTGTGTCCTTGAACTCGGCGTAACAGTCAGGACAGTGAATGCCGCGCCAATGGACACGATAAAGATGCTGCTTGAGGCGAGATATGTCTGGCCAGTAGCCACTTGAGCAACGACGGTAATTCTTTTCGTCCTCGTTTTGTGTAGAGTATCTGGCCCTGTCGAACTTGGAAAACGGGCACGCGAACAAGTGTCCCGCGGTACGGCGAGACTCCAGGGTCTGTCTGATCTTCTTGGGTGTGCCTGTATCTTCCTCATCGTCTTCCTCGCTCGAATCTCGACAGCCACTAGGAGAACGCTTCGGCGGGCTTTGCTGATGTGAGACACTGGTGCCAGTTGGAAATCCCGCATTTCGGCCGCCACCTGCTTTGCGCTTAGTGCCGTGGTTTCTGAGATGGTTGCTTTCGTTCTAGTCGCGATTGTCAGCAACAAGAATCTCAAAAAGGGGTAAGAGCCGTCCGAGTAGAGCTGAGCTGACGCACAAAGGGCACACTTACAATGGATAACCCTTGAAACTGTGAACCAATCTCCATCGACGCCTCCTCCGTTCGTCTCAACATCGCTGACTGCAACTGAAAAGCAAACAGTTGCTGTTGGATGGCCGAAGCAGATTCCCGCACCTCCAAAGAGGCTTGTCGTTCTCGTATGGCGACGTCCCTTTCCCGGAGTGCGATCTCCTTTTCTCGGTCCACCAAGTCTCGTTCACGCCGTCGAAGCTCAGTCTCTTTGACTTGGTCGGGCTTGATAATAGCATCGCTTTTAGTTTCATGGCATGCATGTCTCGACTTTTTCCGGTCCAGAACATCTGAGCAGACATGAGAGTTGACTGTCAGCAAGGATGGCTGAAGCAAGCTTTCTATACATGCTTCTGTCTCCCCGAGGGAGTCCATCATGGAAATGCCCTCCGGGGCTACCGCACATTGCTGGGTATCTGGGCGACTTGACTCTCTGTCCATCGTCTGTTCTGACGAGACTGCGCGAGACACACTGCGCACCTTTTCGGTGATGGCATGGCGACAGCTCCGTCCGGCCCGGTCACAATTAGAGCATAAGATGCGATCGCCGCTCTCACATATCGAGCAGTGATAGTATATTTCATTGAGACATATCGGATTCTGGCAGGAGTCGCATCTCATGGACTTTGGAGCAGTTCCGGGGTTGTCCTGTCTGTCCTCGTGTTGGGTTGTGGGCGATCCGCGCTCCTTCTCCTTAGCCGGGTCAACGTCTTTCAGAAGAGTGGTAGGCTCATTATCCTGAGTTCGAGTTGAGTCCTGAAAGGGTGTGTACTGGGGGAGATCGGCAGGAAGCTCAGCAATGTCCATTTCCGACGTAGCAGAAGGCGGATGGAAATAGTCATGGATCTCTTGCTTGCTGTCAAAATCGTCCAAAGTGGGCGGAACATTCTCTGCTTGCCTCACCCGACGGCTAGGTCTGCCGAGAGGCTGTTTTGAAGTCAAGCAATCCACCAGACCATTCACTAGTTGAGATGCAATTGGTCTGATACTCTTGCTCCGTGAAGATAAACTGTCTCCTGGACGAGTAGCATTCTTCCTCCTCGAGGCAGCCACTTCGGCGGCCAAGAAGGCTCGCCGCAATCGCTCGTCCTCTTTCTGTGCCTTTTGCTGTGCTTTCTGCTCCCTTTTCAGAGTCTTTCTCAAAGACTTCTGGTATCTCCGTTGCTCGTTGAGAATCTCCACCCTTGACTGTGATCGAGAAGGGCATGAGTGGTGCTGCTCCTGCTTGATCGGGGTAAACCTCGTTGGGACTAAGCATGGGGGGCTGATTGCAGAGATTGGGGAGCCTTTATACAGGCTGGGGGGTGCTGCTGCTGCTTCTGCTTCTGTTTCACGTTGCAGTGTGGACAGTGAGTTCAGGCTGTTCGATCTACCTGATAGGCATGGTCGGTCGCCAGCCAGATTATCGCTGTAATGATCAGGGTGATAAGGATATGGTAGGGTTCGACTCTTGCTGCGGACACCTTGATTCAGCAGGCCATCTGCTTCAGCAGAATCCCACGTCTGTTGTGAATGGAGTGCCCTCTGAGTGTGGTCCGCGGTCTGAAATGGCTGTTTGGTGCCATGGTGAGACTCGTCGTGAATGCTGACCCGCGCGGGGAGGTCAGGCCGATCCCCAGTGTGGAGTAGTAGAGCTGGAAATACCATTGTGCTCCCAGAGTCGCGGTAAGATTCCAGTTGGGAGAAGAATGGGCGAAACAGCGTCTGGATAGCAACGGCGGAAGGGGAAAGTCATTCGAAGGAGTTGTTGAACACTGGAGCCGCAACGGCCGCCGATATGGAGGGAGGCCGCCATTTTGAGAAGCTCGACAGAGGTGCACACCTGTTCAATCCGAGACCGATTCCCTCAGAAGTGCCACTGTCTGACGAACGCCCGGCGAGTACAACTCCAACAAATCGATAGCCCTCGAGCGCTCTCCCTCGTCAGACGCGGAGAAGTATTTCAATGCACGATGACTCTATGCTAGTAAATTGGACTCGCTGTTTCTGGTTAGCAAGGCGGCCTGAGGCTGACTTCAGCTTGGAGATACCACATGTGACAGCCAGTTCAACCACACTTGATGCATAGATTCAGCCATATTGAAGGTGGCGCAGTGAGTTTGCAAATTTGCACCGATGAATTAGGCATATGAGACTGGGATTGAGTGAGCGCTTCTTGGACACTCGCAATACAGTAAAGGCATACCTGGTAGGTAGGTAAGGTATGTAGCTTCTGGAGATTTGGACGGTGTATGTCATCACGTGACCGATTCTGCCTTGCAAGACACGTGAGAATCTTTTACGGCGAAGTGTAGTCATGAATTGCGTCAGACGATGGCTGCTCTGACGTATTGGTAGCCTGTGCTTCTTACGATCCATTTGGCTTGCACCACCGCTGGCAGCTGTCTGCCGGTGGTAGACCTCCATAGCAGCAACATTGCGCTCTTCCCTTTCAAGTCGACAGTTGACAGAATCAAGTTTTAGTAAGAGAGTCAGCCAAAGATTCTCAGCACTGTTTGTATCGACCATGGAAGCCGCAGCCAAACGCTTCTTCTCGTCTCCATACTTCGCCGTTGTGGGTGCGAGTCAAGACAAGACCAAATTCGGATATCGAAGTAGGTACTTTCTGGATCCGCGGCATCGAACGACTGCTTTGGCTTGATGCCACACGGTATTGACTCTGCTGTTTTGTCTAGTTTTGGCATGGTATCATACCCACTCCCTCCAGGTGACGCCAGTCAATCCTGGTCGACCATCAATATCACTACCTTCCAAGACTTACGGCACAGTTCCTTCGGTCTCAGCACTGCCTCATCCGGCCGAAACAGCGTTGTCTTTCGTCACGCCGCCTGCAGTCACTAGGAAGGTGCTGCAGGAAGCCAAATCTGTAGGCATCAAGGCAGTTTGGCTACAGCCAGGGGCTTATGAGGACGAGGACCTCGAGTTCGCCAAGGAGAACTTTGAGTCGGCAGTCGGCGGCTTTGAAGATGGCACGGTAGGCGGAGAAGGCTGGTGTGTACTTGTTGACGGTGAAAACTGTCTACGCGCCGCAGGAAGGGAGATCGCCAGGCAGAAGTTGTGAACATTCTTGCCCAACCGCAACCGTGGCCTTTCACTCATCGTTATCCTAACACACTCGGCCCTTCATAGAGGCACCACCCATGACATAGCACCCTCAATGTCATCAAGGCCACAAGCACGGTGAAAATGGTGGCTCTCCATTACTGCCTGCAACGAAGTCCCAACACTATCCTACAGAGCAACTTTATTCGCTCACACTCTTCCTATGTCCAAACCTCATGTTTGCCATGGCCTCTCCTTCCTCGACGGTCGCCTCTCCACCTTCGACCCGAATATTTCTGAACTCGGCGTCGCTGAGTGTCTTGACAGGACCTACAAACCAATGTCGCCCACCCCATTTGGGGAACCACCACCCCGCAAGACTGATGATGGAAATGATGCCAATGCAAATTGGCGCATAGTTCAGGGTTTCGGCGTCAACGGGATATAATTGCGGTAGAATCAGAACCACAAACAGGAATAAAATCCATAATGTGGCTATCGTGGCAATTGGTGCAGAGAATTTGCCTAGATTCCACTTCGCGGGCACGAATGTTTTGCGGCCGACAGTCTGCCTCGCGACAATGGGAAACAGATACGACACATTGGTGGCAATTGTTGCAGTCGCTGTGATGGCAGAAAAAGCGACGGTTGAACCGATGACTGCAGTGGTAACGGCGATCGAGATGGCGCAAACCAGAAGCCCCGCGTTGACGGCCATCTTCCGCTTGGAGAGCTTCCGGAAGACAGAGCTGAATGGAAGAACGTGGTCTCTCGAGATGGCGTATGTGACGCGCTGAGCGGACATGAAACAGCTGGCCGTGGCGCAGGTCGAATCGACCCAGAGCATCGACAGAATGGCCACGGCGCCATTCTCGCCGAGCAGTTGGACCAGATACTCGGCCCAGTTGTTGGCATATGAGGCGGATATGATGCCGTCAAAGTCCTGCATACAGAACAGCACGATGATGAGTGTCGGGATCGAGAGCAGCCAAGCGGAAAATGTCGACAAATAGATACCCTTGGCAACGACAACTGACGCGTCGTTCAACTCTTCGCTAAGATGGGCCGCCGCGTCGTATCCATAGAAGACCCAAGCTCCAAAAAGAACCGAGATGATCCTGGCGATCCCTGTCAGTGCACGCCCCGTCGCTGCGATGATGATGGCTAGAACTTACCAACAGTAGGCGTCTGACGCCTCTTTCTCTGCCCCAGCATTGATGCCGTTATAGAAGAGGTCAAAGACACCGGAGCTTGAGTTGAAGTGTTTTTCGGCAGCCTTGATGGGGAACCAGATCCAGTACATGAAGAAGAGGATGAAGAAGATGGCCACGGCGAATCGAAAATAGTACTGCAGCAGCCTGGGGCTGTACACGTTCGGGATCATGGCGAAGATCATGCCAATGCTGGTGAGCAGCCACAGAAACCAGCCCTTGTCCAAGACTTCAGCATCCGGATATTTGATCATAAGGGCGGAAACCAAAAAATTGGTCGAGCCTTGTTGCACGCCAGGGACAACCGTGACCCAGCCAGCCCAGTTCCACCAGGCGGTCATCCAGCTCAGAAAGGGCCCATACTTCTCTCCTCCCAGACGGAAGCTCCAAAAGTATATGCCCCCCGTTGTGGGCAGAGCGGCACCCAGTTCAGCCATCACCAGACTCACACAGCAAGAGAACCCCCCGACCATAGTCCAGTTGGCGAAGGCGGCCTTCGGACCTCCCGTATACATCACCCAGCCAAAGAGAACCGGGATACCCGAAATGAAATTCATGGAAGTGAAGGTCGCCGCCCAGGACTCAAAGAAGCCCAGACACCGGATGAACTCCTGTTTGTATCCCAGCGTGGCCAGATGGTATTCGTCATGGGTCATGACGACGCCGACCCCGGCATCTTGGACGACACCATTCTTGACGGAGGCCACTTCGGAGGGAGTCGACGCCGTCTTGGTTCCCGTCTGGGACGACACTTTCTCAGCCGGCGAAGCCATTACTACGCAGGGATGAGAACGAAGGGAAGGGTTGATAGGCAGCGGTCAGAAGGAAAACTCGGCCGTCTCCTGCTACCCAAGCTTACATGGCTTCCTCCATATATATCTATATCTTTGCGACACACTGGCGTTTCTGGCCATTCCCGAAGTAGCTGCAACCCCTTCGATCTCGGACATCTGCACCAGCGAGCGTCGCGACAACTGGGACATGGCCTTCTCACAGGTCAGGTCACCCAATCCCCTCTTCCACCCCGGTCGTATCAGAGGTCGCATGGAGTGGCATAAGCTTGGCTAGCCCGCCGTTATCAGGGCCACAAAGCTTCAAGGCTAGCTTACTGAGAGAAAGCCCCCCGCTATACCGGTTCAAGTGCGAAGTTGCGGAGATCGGGGCCACGCGAACGGTTCACAATCATAAGAACGGCACGCATACAGGACAGATTCGGGGTGACTTGCAAGTGTCAGCCACTGGCGCGCAAAGAGGTGGTATTTGTCGCTTATCAGGCACTAATAGAACTAATAGAACGCCATTTCATCAGGCAAGAGGCAGCCATGCGTCAATCCGGGAATGGGCCTTATCATGTTGTGTTGTGCTCGAGCCTTGCCTTTATCATGTACGGTTGCTAGACCCGAAGAGGCTCAAGGGTCGAAGTTGGCTTGGGGCGCTCTGTATCTGAACTGGAATCTGTACTTATGCTGTTTCGGATGTGAGAAATAGGGCCGCCAAAGATCGGAAGGTCGACGTGCATACATCTTCGATAGCGTAGCAATCCTGTGGCGGCAATGGGATGCAACGCTCAGCCGATAAGACAGACAGACAAAGAAGATATCGAGATGGTGGGACCTCAGAACAGGTTGATGCCTGACTAATCTGCTTACTCCAACCCAGGGCCAGTGATAAGAGACGCCTTTAGCTCCTTCTTTTGACGACCTGCACGCTCTCCCCAGACCATATCAGCATGGCCTGCCAGTTACAAAGGCGTCCCAGTCTCGACTGCTTGGTCCATTAATCGCAGTTGCCACTAGAGACCATGATGAGGAAGGTATCTTTGAAGGAATTTGGAAAATTTGCTTCAATTGCCTGCTGACTGTGTAATGAGATCTATATGCTCATATCTATCATAGTATAGGATATCGAGAGCAGAAACCTGACAAATCTGGCTTGGGAGGGACGTCAACAAGGACATTAGTCCCTCTCAGGAGCCCAGCGCAGACTGCCGACGTAGGCCATCAAGATCGCCCCGATCAGAACTTCATTTTCCGCTCCAAGGTACCAGACGAGAAGAGAATAAAGTATACCCCCTCGTATCACTACTACAACAACAGTACTTTCCATCATCCATTTGGCGTGCTGAAATCTTGTAGAGCCTATCAATACCTTGAAAGGTCAGGAAGACATCCATCTGGGGCTCCACACCTTGGTAGATGGTCGTTACTTTGATTGGTGCATGGGACACGGCATTCCTTCTCTTCGAATCCGCGCTTGATGCTAAAATCATTCATCTTTCCGGGTCGACAATGGGGATTGTGGCGGGAGGATAGCGCCGGTGAAGATAAAAGGAAAATACCATATTCAATAAGTATGGTTGGCAGAAGGTAGTAGGACCACTCCGACTTCCCGGTTTGACGTGTTTTGTTCTCGATATGCTCTGGCATACATCCGCAGAGGAGGCGGCTCCGTGCCAGAGCCTGGATGCACTTTTCAAGGTTGGCTGCCTCCGGTGTCAATAGATGGAGAAACTCTGCAGTCTGCCAGTAACGTAGAATGTCGAAGCGAACAATCTCGTTCGATGCCAGGGTTGCCACTGGCGGGAGGATCAGGCATAACAGTCTGGTCGGTGAGTGGCAGTGCCGTCTTTCCGTCACTGACAACACGAGGCGTCTTCTAGAGGAGCTCCGACTGCTCTACCAGATCTCTCTCCTTGAATCACTCCATTGTTGTGTATGTGTAGAATGCCTCATCTCTCATACATGATGGTTCCAAAAGAGTCGTTGTAGGGCCTTTCCATCCGATGAACTTGCACTATGGCTCACGGGATAAAGGAGAACGGCATTGTACTGAATGTCTCAAGACGGCGTATCGAGGCCATGGGATGGCCTGTATGGCTGTGTTTTGCTTGCTTCCAAGGCAGAATGTAGGTGAAAAGGCCTTCACGACTTGGTACAATTCCTGGGATTTTTGGTCTGGTCGAAAAACATGGATTTATCGAGCGTCCTGATCAAGGTAGCACGTATTCGTTGCGAGGTTGTGCGCGTATCGATATGCCGCCGGAACATTCTGCGGCAATAAAGAATGGTGAGGTGGAAGTCAAGGCCTCTAGTGTCCAGCAACTCAACCGCGAATCCTTCGTAGGGTGGACGAGATCTTGTCAAAGTGAATATGCGGTCGTTTCGCAGAGATGCGGTCTCGCAAGGAACCGTCCTGATGAGTTTCCGAAGCAGCCTCTTGGAAAACATGGATCTGTTTGGCCTGCCAGGTAGCCCAGCGGTCTTGCTGCACCCGCATTTGCTTGCTGATCTTCACGTGTAGCTCACCACTGGTATTTGTGGAGCCCGTGGACAAGCCCGAGGCGGATGACTGAACTCTTCCGAGCGTGACTCTAGCGACTTTGGTCTCCGAAGACATATTGGAAAGATCATCTGCCAACGCAGCAAGTCTGTCAAATGAAGAAGAGGTCTGTGTGATATTATGGGAAGTGCTAGATGACGGTCACTGTCAAAGGAACCATGGTGATCTTATCAACAGGTCAAAGCTGCACGGGGGAAAATGTTGAATCGGATGGAGTGACCAGTGACGAATCCTACCTTCGTGTCCTTCAGTGCCCTTGATGGGGGGTTTCAGACACATCAGCGACCACTAGACCTCATAGGCTAGAAGATAGAGGAACTCATCCACGAGCGGATTGCCCGCCGTGCTCTGGAATGGGGTTGGTCCTTGAGTAGGGGCAGGCAATAATACCGTGATGTGACGCCTTCTTAAAATCATGCATGATAAGGAACATGTTCAATCATGCAGTCTGCGCGCGCTGGGGCGAGACCCAGACATCCCGGACTCGATGTAGGTTAAAGCGATCAAGCTCCCTTGAGTCGATCTTAATGCCCGAGAAAATGCCTGTATTTTCGTCACCCGTGCCCGTTGTCGTCCAATGGGATGCGGGTGGCCACCACCGAATGATTCCAGAGCTTGCTGGTTGTGGGGAGGGTAGTGGCCGGAGGAGCCGAGTCTTGAGGGAAATAACGTATGGCAAGACCGAGATATAGACCGAGATGGCGAGAATCTGACGATATTAAAGAGAACGCAGGGTTTCATATGTAGGACTATAGTAGGATCAGGAGACTGCGTCAAGGCATCAGTCCATGTTGATCAGCCGCAACCTTTCTAGAATGCCATCGGAGCTGGTAGCCTTGCCGGGATGGAGATCTTGTTTCGACTCATGCCCAAACGTCAGCAGAAGATTCTGAAAGTGTGTTTGGGCATTGCGAATGCCATCTTTTCCCTGGGGGCCAAGAAGGCAGGAAATCGAGCACCGGCAGGACGATAGGGGAGGATGCAGTGAACAACCAGGAAACACGATTGTGAACTCGTGGCAGATGCTGGGATTTTGCAAACTCCGCTGAGCAGTGTGTGCTGTCTGTCTTTTGGTTGTTGTTGCTGGGTGACCGACTCCGCCCAAACCGGGGTGCGCAGGGGGGTTCGATTAGTAAAAACCCAGGTGTCAACAACTTGTCGGTGCACCACGCTACCTGCTTCAGGAGAGCCTCATCTTCATCCCACTGCACTGCACCCGATTGTTCAGCCCAGACGATTATAACTCACCCGAATTCCACGTCGTCGGATTTTGGAATCAAAGTGCCAGACTTTGGTCAGTCGGATTCAAGATGGTGAGTTGCTTCTTGTTATTCGCCGATGATCTTTCCGAGCGGGAATCAAGGCAAAGGGAAAGGGTTCGCCGGCAACCAACAACCACAACATCAACGTTGGCTTTGTCGAGCAACACGACACCTCACATCAGTCCTCATCACTGTCTCATTCCTACAGGCACATTTTCTTATCTAAACTGTCATGATGGCTAATTCACATTCCTCCTCACAGACTTCCACCAACTACAAAGAAGCCTTCTCTCTGTACGACAAGCGTGGCAATGGCCGCGTCGCTCTCGAGTCACTGGGCGATCTCCTTCGAGCCTGTGGACAAAACCCGACGCTCGCAGAAATCAGGGACTTGGAAAAGCAAGTGGGCAGTGACTGTAAGAAACTGTGTTCTGATCTCGAGAAAATCATGAAACTGATTCATGGCTAGTCGACTTTGACGCCTTCAGCAAAGTACTCAACAGACCTGGCGGTTTCAGAGAGCCTGGTGAGCCAGAAGAATACTGTCGCGGCTTCCAGGTATTCGATAAAGACATGACTGGGTTCATCGGTGTGGGCCAACTAAGATACATCTTGACGAACTTGGGCGAAAAGATGAGCGACGACGAGGTCGACGAGTTATTGAAGGCCGTCGACACCAGCAGCGGAGAGATCAACTACATGGAACTTGTCCGGACGATTCTTGCAAACTGAGTTCCGTCGCCGTCCGCTCGGCGGTTTTGGTCTTGTTTACGAGCGTGTGGTTTATGGCATGGAAATCAATGCACATGGTATTTGGTTGGCGCGAAGCGCTTTGGCGTGACCGGATTCTTTTGAAAGCGAACGCTTAGGGAGGCGCACAAAGCTCGTCGGCAGAGAATCCTGCAATAGCGAGACTCAAGGGTATCTTAGATGCAATAAACAGAGCTCATCGATCCATCACCGTCTTCCTTTTTGAAACAAGCTGTCCCTTCATCCGCCACCGATATTCTCTGCCCAAGGTGGGACTTCTGCCCTCTTCCCACTGACCATGTCGGCTGTAGCGAGCATGCCTCCTGGAAGCAGATACACTGGCCTCTCTTGCCCTGTGATCTGCCCCGCGTTCTCAAAATGCGCATCGTCGAGGTTGTATCCTATGACCAGCCTGCATCTCCCACATCTTAAAAGCGTCCTCTTCTCGAACCCATCTTCTCGTCGAATGATCACAGGTCTACGGTCGGAGACGGTATTGAGGAGGACAGACTGAGAAGGCCTGGATTTGTCGTGCACCACATTTTCCGATGCGGTCAAGTCGACCGGAGGTGCCAATATAACAGCGCCGTCCTGGACCGGTTCAGCCCGGCGTGGGAGGGATTCAAGTGCATGCGTGGTGGTCAGGATCAGAGTGGTACACAAGCAGTGATAGGTGTTGATATGTGGGAGCGGAGTGGATTGCTGTCCTTCTTCTGCCATTGCTGATGCTGTCGCTGGGATCGTGTAGTTGAGCCTTGTCCGCTATTCTGTGCAACTCCGTTGGTTGGTGTTCGATCGCAGGGAGATCTTCAGGTACAGTTGTTGCAGGCGCGTGGATGGTCTTGCGTTCACCAGGCTCAAAATTTCTTCCCCGCAGTGCCTACAAGGGTCAGGCTCTAGGTGTGTTAAGGGTGTGTAGATAGGCTAGGGCGGCTAAGGCTAGGGAGGGGTAGGGTAGGCTCCCTAGGCGCATCGCTGCCTGCGCGATTCATCGACAACCAATAATCGACGTCACCAGTTCGCCCTTCGAAAGGACGAACCCCTTCACACTCTCTCCGAAGATCGCGGTTGGAGACTAGTGTCGTGATGACTCGAAGTTCTTACATTGAGTGATCCTAAACAAGAGACTTCTTTTCATGGCCTTGAACATACAGATCACACCTCCTCGGCGCCGTCGCCATGCCACCCTTCTTCCCGCGCAAAAGACTCTCTTCCCCGCCACCCACCTCGCCGCAGTCTATTCCGACAAAGAAAGCCAGGCTTGCAGATGTGTTGGACGCCGATTCCAGAAATATCCCTGGGTTAAACAGAAAGAAGACATTCTCCGTCGGCAGCGATGACTCGGACTCAAGCCTTAGTGAAGTGGACAGCGACGAGTTCGAGGACGTGCCCGCACCAGTCACCCAACCCTCCCGTCCAGACCAGGATGATAGGGTCGAAGATGAGGATGATGAGGACGATGAAGATATAGAATGGGAAGATGCCGGTGGGGAGACGGTGCCGGGATCCCCGGCGCATACACCTCTGGCCGATGGTCCGATCGAACTGGTCTTCCGGAAAGACGATAACGAGATCGACTATGGTACATCGGCTGCGGCGACTGCAGGGAAGAAAGGTCCAACGAAGCGGGAGAAAGAGGTCAGAATACGGGCTCATAAGATGCATGTTCAGTTTCTGCTCTGGCATAACGCGATCCGGAATAGATGGATCTCGGATAAGACAGTTCAACAGACCCTGGTCCAGCAATTGCCACCACAAATCAGAAAGGAAGTTGACAAGTGGAAGAGGGCCAGTGGTCTTGTAGAACCGAACAATGCGGAGACGCCGAAAGCAGAAAATAGCAAACGGCGAGGGAAACAGAAGGATGTCGATCCAAGGAAAGAGCGGGACTGGGGACGACCGAGTCAACGTCTCGAGCAGGGCAAAGCTGACATGAGCAACGGCGATCCTTTGATATCCTTGATGAAAGTCTTGTCCGCGTATTGGAAAAAGCGGTTTGCGATTACTGCGCCAGGCCTGAGGAAGCGTGGCTATGGGACCAAACAGGCCTTGAAGCAGATCATTTACTCGTTCAGAAATGACGAGCATGATGTCGAGGAACATGGAGAGCGCATACGCAACCTCGATGAGTTTCGCGAGGCTGCAAGAAGATGTGAAGGATCAAGGGATGTAGGTGCTCAACTCTTCACCGCTTTGCTCAGAGGCCTAGGAATTGAATCCAGGCTGGTTGCAAGTCTACAGCCTTGTGGGTTCGGATGGACAAAGGCTGAACAATATGTAGCCCGGAAGCCTGGAAAATCCAACGAGGCAGACACATCGTCCGAGGACTCTGATCTGGAAGACTCAAGGTCGATATCGGAGATCACAAAGTCCCGAAGTACCAAGGGACCGCTGCAACGACAGAGAAAACAAGTCCTGAAGAAGTGGAAAGGTGGTGGAGCCACCAGCGACCCTATCAATCTCGACTCAGACGTCGTCGAGAGTAACGAAGGAGATGATGGCGGTGTGAATGACGACGACTCTGTCATGGATGTTACTCCGTCGATGCCGAAACGGCGCCCACAGAAGTATGACCGCGATCATCCGTTCCCAATTTACTGGACTGAGGCCATATCTCCCATTACAAATAAAGTCCTTCCAGTTTCGCCTCTGGTCCTTATGTCCCCGGTTGCTTCCACGCCTGAGATCTTGGCTACTTTCGAGCCTCGTGGGGTCAAAGCCGAGAAGACGAAAGCCGTTATGGCTTATGTCGTGGCATATTCGCCCGATGGTACTGCAAAAGATGTTACGGTCCGATATCTGAGGAAGAGAATATGGCCCGGCAAGACAAAAGGCTTTCGCTTTCCCGTCGAAAAGATTCCAGTCTACAATAAACATGGCAAAATCAAGAGATACGAGGACTCTGACTGGTTCAAACGTGTCATGAGTGCTTATGTACGTCCGGATCTGATGCGAACGGCTGTCGATGATGTGGAAGAGTCGTCCGATCTCGTTCCGCAACTGCCGGAGAAGAAAGATATCAAAACGGACGTGGACACGCTTCAGAGTCTGAGGTCTTCGGCCGACTTTGTACTCGAGCGTTTCTTACGGCGCGAAGAAGCCTTTAGGCCCGGTGCGAAGCCAGACCGGATATTTGTGTCTGGGAAAGGTGAAAACCTGAAGGAAGAGCCAGTCTACCGCCGCAGCGACGTAGAAAGATGTTTAACCGCGGAGTCATGGCACAAAGAAGGCCGAAGACCAAAGGCAGGCGAGACTCCGCTGAAGCTTGTACCCGTACGGGCTGTGACCCTTACCAGGAAGCGTGAAGCTGAAGAGCATGAGAGGCAAACGGGACAGAAACAGATGCAAGGTCTGTACTCTTGGGATCAGACCGAATACATCATTCCGCCTCCGATCGAAAACGGCGTTATCCCGAAAAACGCATATGGAAACATCGACTGCTTCGTGCCTAGCATGGTCCCGAGAGGAGCCGTTCATATCCCTCTCAGGGGGACTGTACGAATATGCAAGAAGCTAGAAATCGACTATGCTGAAGCGGTGACTGGATTCGAGTTCGGCAACAAGAGAGCAGTACCGGTGTGTACGGGTGTTGTCGTTGCCAAAGAAAACGAGAAGGCTGTCAGAGCAGCCTGGATCAAATTCAATGAAGAGCAGAGGAAGAAAGAGGAGAGCAAGATGGAAAAGCTGGTGTTGGATCTATGGCGGAAATTTGTCATGGGTCTTAGGATCCGCGAACGAGTGCAAGACACTTACGGAGACGTTATGGCTGACCACTCCGACCTCACTCGTGGCATGACCATGGAGCAGCCGATCAGTGTCGACGACGATGATGATATGCCAGGAGAAGCATTACCACATGCCGATGACGACTACGCTTTCGGTGGCGGCGGGTTCATCGTGGATGATGACGAACCAGCTGTACCTGAAGATCTAGAGATGGTGCACCATGAGGAACCGACTGGGACGAACAAAGGGAAAGGCAAGGAACGAGCGATTGCAGAATATCCCACACCCACTTCGATCTCGCCCCTCAAAGCCCCCATGCGACGACAACGGCCGTCTCTCCTTCGTGCTGCTGGCGAAAGCCAAAGCTCCGAGCTTTCTTCCATGGCGAGCGACGATGACCTTGCTGAACAGTCCGAAGGAGTGGACGATGTCTCGGATGAAGAGGAAGAGTTTTCAGAGGCGAGAGAAGAGAGGTTGATCGAAGTATCTATTCCTGGGCCTCGACTGCGGGGGTCGAGGAAAATCCGACCAAACCAGCCCAGTTCTCCGGGCGACAATAGCGAATCCGACGTGTCCGATGACTCTGAGCCGCCCCTGTCCATGGATTTGGAGGGAGAAGATGATGAGGAGGAAGACGAATATGACTACAAGCCAACAAAAGAAACTGCTCGCAAGGCTAAAGCTCAGAAGAAGGTCGCGTCGCCACCACAACGAAGGACGAGGAATGCTGCCAGATCAGTGCGCTCCAAGGCTGCCGTCGAGGCCACGGTCCAGACTGTCCAAGAAATCTCGGAAGACGACATCGTCACGCCACGGACGAAACGGACATCGCGGCGATTAAGAAGGGATAGCACCATTGTGAGGAGCCCATATTTTGAGGCTTAGGGGTGATTGTACAGTAGAGCGAGGAGTCGACTTTCAGTGATACCCCGTGTAGAGGTTAAAGACCTAGTTTATGAAATGTTTTATGGATGGCTACACAGAGCCTACCCTAACTGGAAGCAAGTACTTCATTTCTGTATACTGCAAATCTTGTTTCCCCTTTTAGAGAATTGCCAAGTCATCCTCGTCGATAGCTCTTGATTGATGGTATCCCATCCTCGATAGAAACAATCAAACCTGACAAGGGGAAATGGCCGTATGAGATGAACACCCAGCGACCCGAGTACTCACAGAATACCCTCCGATGTCGAGCTGACTTTCCACCCCTGCTATAAATCGCTATCCCGATCGCCATCGCCATCCTCGTCTCCATCCGTGTCCTCGTCGCCGCCCGGATCCAGAACCTCATGCCCCGCAAACATCAGCCACTGTCCACCCAACACACTCTTCCTCCATAACTTGGTGACCCCGTCAGACCCATTACTCATGAGAACCTGGCCCTGGCCGTCCCACGAGAGCGACCAGGCGTCTGAATGGGCGTGGGGTAAAGACATGGATGACTGGATGGTCGTGATGAACGGGAATGTGTGTCCTGTACGCGTTGAACGAGAAGGGGTTGCGGCCAGAGCGGCAGCACCAACACCACCACCGACACCCGCACCAGAGGCCGAGCCGGTTGTTGAGGAGCCTTGATGGGAACCACGCCCTGTAATAGCAGATGTCAGACTTGACTGGTGTTGATGAGGCTGGTGGCGCTGTTGGAGATTCGACGACGCCGAGCGCGCCATAGTGTTTTCAGCGGAAGTGGATGGAAATGTGTCCGTCTTCCCCCCGTCCGGAGCGTCAGCCACGCCGAGCTCGAAGATGCGCAAAGCTCCGTCCTTGCATGCGGTGGCGATGCGGTCGGTGCCACGCACGCTGAAGGGCGCCCATTGCACGTCGCGCACCAGCGCAGGATGGCGCGGGAGCCGGACAGCTTCGTAGAACATGACTCTATGGCTGGCGCCGTCGCCTGTGTTGATGCCGGTGTTAATGGCAGAACCAGAGCCGGATCCGGACCCAACATCGCCGCCGTGATTGCTATTACTGTTGTTGTTGCTATTGCTGTTGCTGCTGTTACTGTTGGGAACGACGGAACGATAGATCTTGACTTCATTGAGCGCAGAGACGACCAGGCTCAACTGGTTCCGGTCGTCGCTCACGCTTTTCACGTAGGCCAGCAGGGTCGGGTTCTGGTCCCAGCGGACTCGGAAGCTGGTTTCCTCGCCACGGCCTGGTGGCGTCGTGCCACATACATTGAAGACGTCGACTAGTGTCCACTCGCGCAGATCGTCGGGGCTGGTGGGCTCGTAGATGCTCAGCAGGCCCTGTCGGTCGATCAGGGCTAGTGTCGTGTAGACGCTGTCGATGGTCTTCAGGTCAAGAGACACGAATGGGACGCGCGGGGTCGATTGGATGGTGGCGGTGCGGCGGAACCGTCGGCCGCTGTTGGGCGCCTGCGATACGTCTTCGGTCCAGAGCTGGAATTTGAGGTCGTTGCCGATCGACGCGATGTGCGAGCCGGTTGTTGGGTGCAGGAATTTGGCCTAGATCATGGAATTTGAGAGTAAGGATGGTGTCATTGGATTTCTTTCAATCGTAGACACAACACGCACGGGAGACGCAGGGCTGAAGGAGAGGACAGCAAGTATGTGAGAGGCAGATAGATGAAGAGGCAGGACAGTCGGTACATACATCCCTGATGTCGGAGTCGTGGGCGGTAAAGGTGTCGACTAGCGTGCGCTCGCCGGTCTTCACGTTGCGATCCCATACTTTGATCCGGTGGTCGATTGATGCCGTGAGGATCCTGGTGCCGTTGAAGTTGGCGTGCACGACCGTTACGCGGTCGGAATGGCCGGGGTCGAACACTTCGGCTTTGCCCATCGGGGATGTAATTCCTCGTTATGGGCAGGACAGGGTATGGGAGGTGGAATGAAACCTTGCTTCAAGTCATAGCTGTGGTAGATATAGGAAGTATACACCTGTCAAAAAGGAGGAGATCAACTGGTTCACGGGCATCAAAAGTTGTCAGGTCGCACAGACGTCGAGGTTCACGATGATATACAATACAATATCATGGCAGAGGTCGCGCGGATCAAGCAGAGAGGCTGAAGTCGAAGTCGAGGTCGGTATTTCATTGGTTGAATTATGAGGGCTCTGATTGGCTGCAGAGAACAAGGCTGTGCGGGTCGGAAGAACATTGTTCCGTAGCAACGTCGAAAAGGGAAAAAGAGCAAAAAGGACAGTTGTCGAGTATGCTTCCGCAGTCTTCCTCCATTCCAACAGCTATCTATCTGTCCCCTGTTGAGTTGTGCGCGACGCGTTCGCAGGGTGCATCGACATCTGCCAGGCCGATGTTGCTGCCTGTCACTGTGTTCATGTCGAGATAGTTTGGGGTCTTTGCCATGGCGTCCCGGTAGCACCGAGTCAACATCATCCCGATTCCTCGCCTATTGAGCTACAATCACCATGTCGGCCAGTTTGAGTCATTCGGAGACATGGTCTCTGTTGCTCTTGGCCGGAGCCTCTTTGGCAGTCATTGCAAACACCTTTCAAGGAGATGGCGCGCCTCTCATCGCCTCGTCGGCGTTTTCCACATTGGCCTTCTCCATGACATATGCGTTCGTCCGATGGTCAGGACCATCTTTCATCAAGGCCGGCATGAAGGGTAAAGACCTGTGCAAGTTGACGCCAAAAGAGATGTAAGAAGCAACCGCCGTCCGGTGCAAGGATTGGCTCGCTAACACCGTTCCCAGTCCAGAAGCCATGGGAGCCGTCGCAGCGTCGGTCTACATTCTAGCACTCATGGCATTCATCCCATTCGCTTTCTACAAGGACATTGTCGCGGCGACTTCGGGTGGCGGGAACCGAGACGTCGTCGTCACCATCAACGAGGTCGAGACGGGTCGCTTCCTGCACCGATTCCCGCATTCGAAACTCTCCTCGTACCAATCCGCCTTGAACACCCTCCAAGCCACCACCATTCTGGGGATGGCTGACGACATCCTCGACCTTCGATGGAGACACAAGTTCTTCATTCCCGCCATTGCTTCCCTGCCGCTGCTGATCGTCTACTACGTGGATTTCGGAGTCACCTCGGTCGTGGTCCCCAACTTCCTGGTCCCGTATATGCCGAACCAGACGCGACTCATCAACCTATCCTTCCTCTACTATTGGTACATGTCAGCCTTGTCCATCTTTGCGCCAAACTCGATCAACATCTTTGCCGGCATCAATGGAATCGAAGTCGGCCAGTCGTTGGTGATAGCAGCACTGCTGGCCCTCAATTCATCGCTTTATCTTGTGCCCTTCCCCGGCAATCCGGTCTTGAGTAATGGGTACACCACACATCCTCACCCGGCCACCGACTCCCATCTGTTGACACTGTACCTGCTGCTGCCCTTCCTGGCGGTGTCAACGGCACTGTACCTACACAATCGATACCCGGCCAGAGTGTTTGTGGGCGACACATACTGCTATGTCGCCGGGATGACTTTCGCCGTCGTGGCGATCCTGGCCCATTTCAGCAAGACACTGTTGCTGCTGCTCATTCCCCAGATCATCAACTTCATCTACAGCACGCCGCAGCTGTTCAAGATCATTCCCTGCCCTCGACATCGGCTGCCTAAGTTCAATGCGCGGACAGGACTCCTCGAAGCCAGCGTGACGCCTTGGCCGGCTGAACGACCCCCGAGCAAGTTCCTCGCCGCCGTCTTCTTCACTCTGGAAAAGCTGCACCTGCTTCAGGTGACGGTGGACCCCAAGACGAATCGCATCTCAAGCACGTCCAACCTCACCATCATCAATCTGTGGTTGGTGTGGAGAGGCCCGATGCGAGAAGACCAGTTGACCAGGGAGTTGTTGATCATGCAGACCATATGTGGATTGGGTGGGTTGTTTGTGAGGCATACAATGGCTTTGTTCATTTTCAGCATGGACAACCGGGGCAAATACGGGCATTCATTTCCGGTGTAGAGACTGGTAGATATTTAAAAGAGGACAAGAACGTAATATAGGTGTACAAAAGTGATAATGACACGACTGTGAACTGATCATGGCTGACAATTGACAATCTAAAATCCATTCTGTGATACCGAAGTTTGACCGACGTCATTCTCTTGCAGTGAACCTCAACTTCACTTGACAATCTAGAGTGAAGTACAACGGGTCAGTAATCTGGGAACAGTCACTTACGTACAGGTGAGGTTGTGAAGGACTCTGAATCTGGTGGAAGCGCGGTTTGACGTGGTGTTGTCGTGGGGTTTGAAGGCACAGCAGCAGCGGCAACATATTTACTACACAGTTCGCTGTTGTATTCACGGCGCGCTCAGCCATATCCATAAGGGCTATTCGATCTCGCAGACCTAAAGAACCCTCCAAGGATGACTTCAAGACCGTCCAAGCGCCTCAAGCTCGACGGCGAACAACATGGCTTGTCACCTACAACCCAGATCGATCGCGCTGTTGCTGCCGACCCGGCATCTATTCGCACCAGACGCGCTGCATTCTTGGACTCAATCTCACGATCGATCTCACCACCGCCAGTATCTCGCTCTGGTGCCGCTACCCCCCAAGCAGGAAAGCAGACAACAGCCCCTACTGTCCAGGAGACAGAAGCCAAAGACCAACCCTTTAGCGAGGCGTCTTGTCGTCCGTTTCCGTCTGGCCGTGAACACGCTCACCCCTCCAGCAGGGGTTCTACAACCCTTGAGTCTACAACTCTCAAGTCGAATTCGTCTCCAACCTTCAAATCGATTCCATCGCCATTCAAACTCACCTCCATCCACGATCTGCCCGGCTCGCAGAACATCGACACCTTCTCACTGCACGACATCCTAGGAAACCCACTGATCAAAGAAGCATGGATCTTCAACTTCTGTTTCGACGTGGACTGGCTGATGGACCACTTCGACGCCGACACGCGGGCCCAAGTGAAAGTGAAGATCGTCCACGGCTCATGGAGAGCAGAAGACGCGAACAGACTCGGGATCGAAGACGCATGCCGGCGCTGGCCCAACGTCGAAGCAGTCACGGCATATCTCCCCGACCCCTTCGGAACACACCACAGCAAGATGTTCATTCTATTCACGCACGACGATCTAGCTCAGGTGGTCATCCATACTGCCAACATGCTCCACAAGGACTGGTCCAATATGACCCAGGCCGTCTGGCAGTCTCCTATGCTGCCAAGGAAGATGCCAATCGCCCCCGTCGCCGGGAAACCACACACTGACGGCACCACGATCGGCCGCATCGGGACCGGGTCTCGCTTCAAGCACGATCTCACCGCCTATCTGGCCGCGTACGGCTCCAAGACGAAATCCTTGAGGGAGCAGCTCGTCCAGTACGATTTCGCAGCTGTCCGCGCGGCACTGATCGCATCTGTCCCGTCAAGGATGCCGGACTGGTCAACCGTGCAAGTAGATCCCAAGGGCCTCTGGGACCAGCAGCTTTGGGGATATCCGAGTCTATTTCGTTCTCTCGAGTCAATCTGTCCCACCGCCCATCCCAAGGCCAAAGGTTCCCACCCGTCCTACATCGACAAGCACGAAGACGCAAATCCTCATGTGATATGTCAAGTCTCCTCCATCGCCACGCTGCCTGTCCCCTGGCTGAACCAATTCTTCCCGGCCCTCTGTGGCCAGCACAGCCGTGACAAACCAAAACCCACAACAACAACAACAACAACAACACCATCAGCAAAGCAAACGCAAACGCAAACGCAAACGCAAGCCTGGACCAACAACATCTCAATCATCTATCCGACCCCTGCCAACGTCGCTGTCTCTCTCGACGGGTACGCCTCAGGCGGCTCCATCCACACGAAGGCCCAGACAGCAGCGCACTTGAAACAAATCGCCACCCTACGCAAATCGCTGTGTCAGTGGACCGAGGGACCCAATCCGGAGACCAGGGCGGGGAGACACCTAGCAGCGCCACATATCAAGACATATGTACGGTTTCGCGCCAAACCGACGACCGAACATCCCGCCCCGGATATCGACTGGGCGTTGATGACGAGTGCGAATCTGTCGACGCAGGCTTGGGGCACGTTGCGGGAGAAGGGGAAGGAGAAAGGCAAGAATAAAGACAAAGATGGCGGAAAGGAGAAGGAGAAGGAGGTCGTCGTGCAGAGTTTCGAGATTGGTGTGTTGGTTTGGCCGGAACTGTATGATGATGGGTTTAATGATGATGAGAAGGAGGAAGAAGAAGACAAGGAGGATATGAGACCTCTCCTCAACAACGTGGAATTTGACAGTGGTGAGACCAGAGCTGGGGACGGTTTGAAGATGCCCGGTCGTGGTATCCATGGCACGAATACTCCCCCTCCCACTTCCACATCCTCTACTTCCACATCTACCGTCACCACCAAGAGGAGGAAGAATCACAAAGTGAGGATGGTCCCGGTGTTTGGAACAGATACACCATCCCGGTCGGGGCCGTCATCCTCATCATCACAATCTCATCAGGACGGTAGTGGTGACCAGACGCAGAGCACGACTTCCACGACTCTCGTCGGTCTCCGATTGCCGTACGATCTCCCACTCACGCCGTACACGGACGACGACATGCCCTGGTCGCCGCAGGGAGTCTACAATATGCCGGATCGCCATGGGAGACGGTGGCCGAGGGACTTTTATTGATTCAGTAACGTCTGTCCGGGGCGCCAACTTTCTCTTAGCTGTCCAAGACACTTCATGGGCATGGACGACTGTGGTGGCGGAGCGAGAGAAACCCCAAATCCAAAGGGACGCTTCGTTTCTGAAGGCCAGTGTCGAACGAAGCGAAAGAACAGTCGCCGGCCTTCCTGCGGAGACATACTTATAATTACTCGCGCATTCAGACTCTTCGCCCTTCAATCAGCCTGGAACCAAGAGGCATTGTGGAACAATGACCACTGCATTTCTTGCGGAGGCGATACAAGGGCATCGAGATCACTATTCCGCACAACATCGGCATAGTCAAAAAGGGCTCGTTGATTGCTGTAATCGATAAAGGAGATGGCCATTCCAGAAGCTGAGCAATTGATAGAAATTGAGCAGAGCCGTGCTATCTGTCATTCATGAATCTTTATCGTCGTGTCTCACAATTAATTGTCCCCTCCCTTCCCTTGGTCAACATGCCTGTTGCTTCCACACATATGTTGATCTTCTTGCTCCGTTACTTGTGTGCTCAGCTCCCCCTCGCACGCAGCATGCATACATACTCCACTAGTATCTGCAGGGCAATTCTGTCTGGCCGAGTGCAACTCGACTAGATCAGTTCGCACCGACGGCCTCGGGGGCCTTTGACGGATCAAAGCCATATTTCTCCTTCAGCTTTCCGACGAGCTCAATATATCGCTTCTCAGCGTCCGCGGCAGAGGTGCCTGCATCGACTTCTTTCTGCCAGGCCTTGTGTTTGGCTTTGCCCTGAACCCCGAACAGAAAGGACGAATGTTAGTTGAAAGAGCTCAGACCAGGATACCCGGCACCCAAAGCGGAAGGAAGGCGCCCAGCCGGGGCGGAGGCCAGGAGTACTCCGATTGAAAAGAAGTGGACAAACACACGTACCTTGAGATCGAACATGCCGGGAGCAGGGGCTTTGGAAAAGTCTTCGCCGTTGGCGACCTTGAAGAGGGCGTAGAGCTGGAAGATAATAAAAGTTAGTTATTGCTCGCCCATTTCATATTGCGCGGGCCAGGATCAACAATTATTTCCAAAAAGGCGGGAATAATGGGACAACGAAGCCGGTCGAGAGGAGAGGAATGATAGTGGTGGTCTGAAGTGCATGCTCGGCCAAGCGAGCAGAGAATACAACATTATGCCACACGGACAGGTAGACACAAATGCTGGCAGCACTCTGCCCAAGTGACGGCGGAATGTAGCTCCTGCTCAGCCGTGCCAGGTCTTCCTATTCTTTTGTCTTTGGCCCCCCTCTTGCAGTGGAAGCCACAGCCAGCTGGCGGTTGGTTCGTACCACACCCGGATGCTATTATATCTTGCACCACACAGCAATTTTCTCAAGACCGCTTTTGTCCAACCATAATCGAAGAAAGAAACATGCAAAGCCGGCTAGACAGGTGCCGAAGTCGGAGTGTGACTTGGACTCAGCATTCGGGACTCACCTCCAACAATTCGTCATTGCTCGGCTTGGCCTTGAGCTGACGGCTCTCCTCCGCGGCCTTTTTGAACTGGGCAGAAGGCATGATGAATGGGTATTTGGTGTACTGGCAGTTTTATGCTCTGAACGAGAGAGGGGGAGGACTCGAGGGTCGCAGACTGCGTTATGAGTAGCGGTGTCTGAAGAGAACGAAGTCAGTTCCTCGGCTTTACACAGTGGACTATTGAGCCGTGAAGACAAATGCATAACCCCCTCAATGCTTCAATGCCTGTGCTCGACTGCAGGCAGGCCAATTGAGGCCAGTGAGCCCAGCAGAACCGAACCAGGACTGTCTGAGGGGGGGTCTTCTCACACTGGCACGTTGCCAGTTGATGCAGATGATAAGGACTGGGCAAGGGAGAAGGACTGCGTTCTGGGTGCAGGAGTGTATGTGCTCACTCACTGGAAGAATTGTTTCACAGTCGCTCCGAGATTACGGTGATTGTGAAGAATGTTTCGCTTTGTACTAATATGACAGGCAACAAGAAAGACCGAGGAACTTGAACTTGAAGCGCAAGTAAAAGACAAGTTTATGAGGGACAACAAACCATGACGGCACTTTCAGCTGCTACTTTAATATTATACGAGCTGTGCGAGGCCTCAACCAAAAGACGTCAGTCTTTGGTGGGGCACCACAACACCTAAGGAACCCAATATAGTACGTACTACCAATGCAATGCGATCGCAGTCAGAGCTTATGAGGGCAACTCGATGAACTTGTGCTGTGAACCGTACAGCAATAGCAAAGCAATAGGTACTATGCACGTCTACCGTCATTCCTCTGGCATCTCGCCGCGCCCGAACCTGGTCTACAGTCACCTACCCGTAGATACACTTCTTTAGGACGATCCTCTGGGGAACTCGGACAGGTAAAAGACGTAGCCACCGGATGATATGCCATGTCCATTTGACAGCCCTTCTTTAGAGGCCATAACTCGACGAGATCAAATCTGGCCAGACCATGTCCATAAACAGACACTATACACGGCCTCTCTTGCCCGAGTAGGATGAGTTAGAACGCGGAATAGAGAATCAATGGCCCGGTACTCTTTTGCAAAACGCCCATGACCTTGCCGCGAAAACCACTCAAACGCCGCCGCTTGCTCCAGATGCAAGACCAAGATCTCAAGCCTGTAAGACCACCCGCTATACGCTGACCCAGCCATACTCAAGTTTCACGTGCAAAACATGTCACCAGTCGACAGCCCAGCCGTTCTTCTCCAGGAATTCCTGACAAGCGTTCTTCAACGCGACATTCGGAATCAATTGATCGGGTTTCAGCGGCAGCCTGGTCAAAGGATCCAGTCCGGTCTGTTTGATGTGTTTCAGCAAGCCGACTCGTTCGAACGAGACTCCCGTCGGCGTGATGACCGGGTCATGCATGACTTCAAACGTGATAGGATCGATCATCCAGTCTGGGACCACCTATATTGTTGACCAAAAACAGTCAGTAAATCGGTCAATCAATGTCAAAATCACCTCGACGAAAAGCATGTCCCCAATTGATCGGATTCAAAACCAAAACCAAATGCACATACCCTCTCCATTGAATCCGGATTGGTAGGATCCTGGAATGCCTTGCGGATGACACTCCGTCTGTTGTCCGCTTCTTTCTGCAGTTCCTCGATCTCTTCCCGTTTGCCGGTTTCGCCGATCTCGCCTTTTTGGAACCGCTCTTCCACACTCTGAATGTCGCGGTCTAGCTGTTGATTGAGCAGGTCTTCCACCAGCGCCAGGGTCTCGTTCAGTTCTCGAAGCCGTGCCGTCTCTTTCGCCTGCCATTGCGCCTGTTTCGCCTTCAGGATGAATTGGCTGATCAGCTCGGCGCTCGGGTCTTTCATCTCCAAACAGATCGCGTATGCGGTTTTGGCTTCCTCGTAGGCTTCTCCCACGTGCCGTTGCGGCAGAAGTGCTTGCGCCAGATAGTAGTGCGACTTCATAGCCGCTTGTTTGTTCTTGGGCCCATACAGCTCGATGGCTTTCCGGGCGTCCGACTCGGCGCCTTGCCAGTCTTGTAGTTTCAGCCGGGTGAGCGCGCGATTGGCAAAGACTTTGGGATCGGAGCGAGAGTGTTCGGCGATTCTGGAGCCCGCAGAGAAAGGGAGTCAATTAGTCAAGCCAGTTCGTCTTTTCTTGGGGAAATCCACCATGACCTACGCCTGCGTGTAGAGCGACTCGGCTTCTTTGTATTCGCCGGCCTTGAAATGCTCGTTGCCTTGTTCACGGAACGAGGACATGGCTGCTGCTGCTGCTTCTGAGGACAGAAGGAGTAGAGTGAACGTGTATGCTGCTGTAGTAATACGATGATGCCTAGTAGGTACCTACGTAGGGATTGTAGAGGGACTATCGTATGCTACTAGGCAACTTCCAAGGACTGGACGCGAGCGGGGTGCGGATCGATAATAATACCAGTAAGGTCACCATGAGGATCGAGAAGAAGCGAAGCCAATCCACATGACTACAGAATTATACTCTTCCCAAAATCACCTCATGAGAGTTGGTGGTAGACACCTCTGTGCGCGGCAAGCCGTCGGTCTCAGAAGGTGATGGATGCGTTTAGATGCTTGCGAAGTGACAAGGCTTACGTCCGGTCCGAAGGTGGATGGATCCATCTGTTTGGGTGCGGACCAAACTTGAATCGTCCGTTACCGCCCAGACATCATTGGACCGCACCAGAGTAGGTACACGCCGAGGTACTTTGTATAGACACATTGTGCTTAGCTGTGAACGTCGATTGAATAGGATATCTAATAAGCTCGTTTTATTTGATGATGGGGTGTATTTGACACTGCTTGACAGCAAACGCCGTCTAAAACTACCCTCCAACAATACCTAGGTACTGATGGTGAAAAGGACACTATACATGGATAATACTCCAGCTACCTGTTTCGATTCCGCTCGGTTGCACTCCAAACGCCAAACAACATTCCTTCGCTAGCAAACACAGTGTTTTTCATCAGGCCATTCGCAACTCATGCTGATCGAACCATTCAAGCAGCACCCGCGGTAGGTGTGTTCTGAAGCACCTTGGTGGGTTGGAGTCCTGCTCGAACAACCCGATCACCATTGCTGTCACGAGTTTCGCCCTTGGCCTCCATTTGCGAGCGCTTCCAGATCTCGACCTCGCACCCACCACGAATAACACCCACCCTCATAGTCGACAGTAAGTTGTGGGCAGCATTGCTATGCATGTACACACCACCATTGAACATGGCAGTGGCATCCTTTCCGATGCCGGATTGAATCATTGCCTTGCCACCTGGATGGTCTTTGATGAAGTCGGTGACGTCGTGCACGATACCAGCAATGGCAACCAGGCCACGACCGTTCTTGGCTTGATCGACGTAATCCTCCCAGTCCATGACCGGCAGCTGGTCCAAGGGCACACCCCAGTCGAGTTTGGACCGCTTCTGATCAAGCTTCTTTTGCAATTGCTGAATACGACCTTTCTCGATTTCATTGCTGCGGAACTGCTTCAGATCATAGGCCAGACCGAGTTGCTTCCACATCCAGATCGACCATTTGGTGGGGTCATACTGGTGCCACTCTATGGCATTGCGGTAGTCGGACGGGAATTCGTGATGGAAGTTGTGATAGCCCTCGCCGAGAGTGACCAAAGCTGTGATGACATGGTCGCGAGGTGAGTTGCGGTCATCGAATGGCTGGTCTCCAAGCCAGTGAGCCAACGAGTTGACGCAGAAAGTGGCTTGCTGGACGAAGAAGATGCGGAGGATTCCGGCATAGATGAATCCACCCAGCCAATCTCCCCAGCACAGACCGGCAACGATGGTGGGCAGAATAAGACCCATGAAAAAGACCACCTTCAAATAGTTCCGGTGTTGCCAGACAACGACTGGGTCTTCATTCAAGTCGGAAATGTCGGTACGTCCAATTCTCTTCGGGTTCTGCTTCATGACCATCCACCCGATGTGGGAGTACATCAGACCTTTTCGAACAGAGTAGGGGTCCTTGTCAGTGTCGGTGTATCGGTGGTGAGCGCGGTGATCTCTGGCCCACCATCGGATGGAACCTTCAACTGCACCACCACCCACGGCGGCGAGGAAGATCCGGAGAGGGAGGGTGGCCGAGTATGAGGTATGTGCCCACAGTCTGTGATAGCCAGCTGTGATCCCCAGTCCGGTAGCAAAATAGTATGCCACGGCCCAAAGGGCGGTCTTGAGTCGAAGAGGGACCCATAAGGCTCCGATGCAGCCGTAGAGAGGAATGAGGATAATCAAGGTGACATTGAGCCAGTTGACATGCTTGTACCAGTTCGACCTGGTTATGGGTGTCTCGGTGATGTGAGGTTTCTTGGGGTCATATTTGGTGTTTCGGTTGGGCTCCGTGGGCTTGGCCATTGGCGATGGCTGAGAGGAGAGGTACTCTGGCTTCACGGCCAAGTCACCTGCGGTGGGTTGAGAGGACGGCATGTTGATAATTTGCAAACTATCAACCACTACCAGATGGGAGGTAGACGATAGGGGTTTGAAGAGAGTATGAAGACGAGAGGGAAAGCTGGAAGGGAGTGATCGCAGCTGGAAGATATATGAAGGGAGCTATAAGCTCGGTCGGTGTCTGAGATATGTTGAGTTGCCTGGTGTGGGGAAGGTGAGAAGGCGAGGACAAGATGGGGCGACAGACAGATCCTGATTCTGCTTGTCCCTAGCCTAGACTGGAGACGGCACAGGAGGTGGGATGCTAAGGGTCGACAAAGAACGGGGATCTGTTTGGATGAGAGCGTTATCAACTTGTGTATCTCATTCCACCCGGTTTGCCTTCTGCTTTGCTGATCCGTTGGAGAGCAGAGAAAGGCTGAGGAGGAATTTTGTTGGGGAGACACACGTCACCAGCAGTAACAGGGTACAAAGTGCAGGGGCGGTTTTAACTGTCGTCTATCAGAATATACGCGCTGTCATTGGTCTGTTGAGGGCTGTGCCTTGCGCTAGAAGCAGCCTAGAAGCCAGACCCTGATTCACCGAGCAGAATCCCAGCAGCCAAAAACCCTCGCTGAGTCCCGCAGGCAAACGATATACCTCCACGACGGTACGGAATACGACAGTCTGGCTGAGGTCTTTACAGGGGGGAGTGTCACTGAAAGACAAAAGATGTTGACCAGCACTGAAAGGACTCTTTTCACGTTCTTTACAGCATTATGATTACCTGACACTCTATCACGGATATAGTATCCTGCCTGCGGCAAAAGTGATGGGGCAGGAGTAACCTGACCAGACAGGCCACTCGCCGCCCGTAGAAAGCTGTTGGGCCACGCAGAAAACTCGTCTGTCGTATATCGTATTTCATCGTATAACCCTGACCTTAGTCAGCCATAACTCTCTATTCTTAAATAACAAATTTGGTGCACAACTTGTTGAGGCCACTAATATCACAGGCACTGGCTTTGAATACTACAAGGTGTCCCTTATTCCGTCCTTATCATATGATATGCGTCCTCCTGTGCATCATGAGATTATTGCTGCCGACTTTGCCAAATGCCCCCTCCCTTGCGTGTGAAATTGGAAGACGAACACCGTGAAACCTGTGCAAAATGTTGAGAGATCACAGAGGCAGCCTCCCTGCATGATGACTGCTCATCCTCAAATGGAAACTACCTATGGGACAGATACCTACCTACCTCGATACCTGGAGCGGGTTGCACCTTGACATGTGCTCGGGGTTATGGATGATTCAACCGCCGCAAGGCTGCTTATCTGATGCTACCCGTCCCTTCTGGCCGCGGAAAGGTGGGCTCTGTGCGCCAGTAGCATATCATAGTGCTATGGCCTTCACAACATCCAGGGATGAATCCGGCTTTTATCATCGCTTGGACGTCGTGATGGAATAGGTGCAGTAGACCCTCGGATCAAGTCGCACTCTGGTACGTGCTCGCAGGTATGGTAGTCTCAACAACGGGAGTCATTCTCCATTCGGCCGCCCGTGATTGTGGTCGTCAACGATGGATTGCATGCACCAACAAACCAGTACGCGTTCCAGTGTGGTCTTTCGATCCTCACCAAGGCGTTGCTCGTGGTCCCAGGTCGGTTCCGTACGACCCGTCCCCCCTGACGTCTCGGCCGTCCTCGATTCGCTCCCTCATTGCTTCCCCGACAGTCCCTCCCTCCTTCTCCCACTTTTTATGCAGTCGTCGCGCTGCAAACTTCCCAACGCCCCAGACGGACGCGGCGATGATACTGGCCCCAAACGTTGGGGGTGCGGCCAGCCAGGCCACTCCAGAAATCGCTCCGCCGATAGCAGTGGCCCCAATTGCAGCTACAAGTGACCCAACCGCCACATATTTGGCCCACCGTACCAGTCGCCAGAGAATGAACTGTCCGATGTACCTGAAGGTCCGCAAGAAAGCTCTCGTGCGGAGCCGCGTCGGCCTCTGGGCATTTGATGAGGTTGGTGATATGAGGTAGTTCAGATTCCGTCGTGCATTGGCCAGCGCAGAGTTGGATTGTTGTTGTACAGCAACATCGCCATTGTCTTTCAGAGCCTCGGTGCTGGTCACGCCCCTCGACGGTGCCATCTTTGACATTAGGTGCTGTGTAGTTGGCTGATGTTCAGTCGGTTGTTAAGAAGTTGAACACCTGGAGGTAGTCAGTGACTGCACAGGGCAGTGAAGGTAGCCAAGTGCAGTGGGCACAGGACGTATTAGCCAATGACGTCACCGTCAAGCATTAAGGGAACAGATCCGGTGTAAATACTTCTCAAGTTCCTTCCTATCAACTCACGGATTGATGACGAGAGCTGAGAATGCTCAGGGTCTTTTCGCACTACTATATCGTAATGGACTGAATTTATCGTGCCATCGAACCGCAACTATGCAATTCCAGCTGGGGCGCTACTACTGCTCAAACCGAGGAGAAGGGACAGCAGAAGGGACAGCAGACGGGACAACAGATATTGTGAAGCTATTCAGCGTGCGTATGAGCGCGGTCGAATCTGGTACATTCAAGAAGAATGTTACAGTATTAGAACCAACTCCTTATGCCATCAAAACTGCTCCTTCCTCTATCAAACTGCTATCACCATGATGGGCACGCAGGAGTTCATTATTCAACCCGGTCAGTAGTTGATCGTCTCTGTTCGCAAGTCTGATCAGGCTGGCACGTATCCTCGTTCCTCTGAATCACTTCCTGAGCGTACATCCCGCCTGCATCCGGCGAATTCGCTTTTTCTCTTCGTCCGTGAAGGACTCCCAATCCGAAGGCCATTGCTTTTCAAACCCCCTTCGCTCCCATTCTTCAAAAGCAGCAGCGTCGATCTTGTGAAAGGGGATGCCCAGGTCTTTTGACACGCGATCTTTCCAGAAATCTACTTCAAGCGGGCCAGGGTCCTGCGGAGCTGGGCCTCTTCGGAAGAAGATTTCTGCCATTCCGGCTTTCTCCCGCCTCGCCTTTTCAACAGCCTTATCCATACCCCTCATTGTTCTTTCCTTGTCGTAGGGTTGTGGTTTCATCCAGTCAGCCACCTTGCCATAGTCGAGCTCGAAACCTGCGGCGTCGTAAGTAGGCGAGCCGCGAGGCCCTTTTTATGACACACATATATGTCATGAAATTTTTGATTGGGATCCTTGAGTGCTTCCTGTCTGAGTCGTTCGTCTTTTTCAAAAGCGTTCATACGTTTCTTCGCAGGTGGAGGCAGCGGCGAAGGATTCCTCATGCTCTCCAGGTCGGTCTCCAGCCGAAATGCGGTTGGGGGAGATCCTCGAGGAGGAGCCTTTCTCCCAGGAGTCGGTCGTTGGTCGCGAATCCCAGTCTTGATGACCTTCCTGGTCGGTGTGCGAGGTGTTTTATGGGAGGATTGGTCCTTGTCCACCTCCAGCTGTTCGGCAAGCTCGCCATCTCCGGTATCCTCTGAGTCTGATTTGACAGAGGTCATTCCTGTGACGCCGGACACGGCATCTTCTGTTGGGGGCTAATTCTCCTTGTCATCTTCAATCTGAGAAGCCTGGCGCTTTCGAGGGTTCTGAGGCGTGATATCTGTAGCAGCCGAGAACTGTTTACCGTCACGTAGTTGGACCATTTGCAGAGGTAATTGCTGGAGAGAGGTTCGTGAGGTGGGAGGTGCTTTTTACGTTGTAGGTAAGCTCGCAAGCAGGAAAATACTAAGGTATTGAAGGAAGGAAGAGAGGGAAGGTCAGAGGAGCACCATCCATACTTTAACCACCTACCTGTACCTAACCTACCAGATTCTTTGTCAACATCAAGCTGCAATGAGGGACGCGACCGCGTCGTCGTATGGGATGACGTAGTTGGACCCTGCGGGCTTACGGGACTCTATCGAGGCAGGTTCAACTGCAGAGTATGCATGCACACACCTCTGCCAGTACTTTATTTGTACCTACAGGTGAGATACCTTCTTAAGCAGTACTGTGAGCATGGAATAGGGAGCCCGTGATTTATGCTTAGTGGCGTTGGGGCAGTGATTGACCATGGGGTCATTCGATGCAGCATCATCTGAGTGTCATACTATAGTAGCACGTAAAAACCAATCACACAACGAGTGTACTTACCTAGTACTTAAGGTACCTACCTATGTAGATGCCTTTAGTTGGTGGGCAGGTGATAAGCTTAAGAGCATCTGGATACCTAAACTACTACTAGTACCTGGTAGTTTGTTCCCGGGCTCGCTGGTTCATCAGGATTGGAGTCTTAAAGCGGTCCTTAGGCCTACCGTACCTAAGGTACTGGGCTAGGGAGGCTAGCCTTAGGCCCCCTAGCCCTACTAGTACCATCCATTCATTCCTACGCCAGTCTTTTAAGAGGGATTGGCTTAGCCGCCCTCCTGTCTCCTGCCTCATCCTTCGTTTCTTCCCCTGCATCTTGCTGACCTCAGGAGTTGCGAGTTGGCTGCATACTACCGGGTTCCCCTTCGTATGACTTCGTGTCGTGTCTGCGCCCACCACTGGCATACATTGACCCTAGTGACGCTTGTCGCGTCCACGACGGAATATCGAAACAAATAACGCAGCTGTTGCGAGACGCACATTCTCTATCACATCCACTTGCATGGCAGGCGACGGCGACTCGCCCGTGAAATATTAGGCGGCGCCTCGGATACCTTGGTATCCTTGACTCAGCCCGGACTGGAGATAGACCACTGGGCACTCTACAGCCCGAACCACAAAACGATTCCCCCACACACTTCCACCTTCGACGCTATTCGAGCGCCAATCGATTGCCTGGCCGCCATCCTGGTCTGTTCATCCCGCTGTTCCGAAAGCGCACAAGGTTGTGACAGCTCCGAGTCCTGCAGAGCCTGAGACGAAACTGCTGTGGTCTCACTTCAAGTTCGAGTCCGACACAGCCCAGTGACTTGTTTCCAAATCATCCCTTACCACCACTACTCTTATTTCCCCTCGACATCGGTCTCACGCCTCCCGAGCGTCGCGGCCGTCTACAATGTCCTTATAACCCTTTTGCGCAACTATAAGTCAGCCGCACCGCCCGACTCAACCCCACCGGCTCGACGATTTGCCGGCCAGCAATGACGCGCTGACCACAGCCTCTCGGACCACATATTCGAGTATAAAACCCTTCCGTTCGGTGTCATCGATCGCCTTTTATCCGATTCGATCAAAGCGGCTTCGTCGATCTGATCCGGCGCACCGGAGAATCATCTGGGAAGGAAGTGAATTGACGAAGAAAGAGCCTGGTCGATATATTCGGCATTCAAGATGCAGATTCGGCTGGTTTCCGAGGGATGGTTGGCCATCGTCCTGGCATGGCTATCTTTGGTGTCGGTCGGCTCATTTGCGCAAACAATCGGTCCATCCAACGCCACGCAAGATCTCGAACCCGTTGCAACCTCTCCTCGGTTTATCCTGAACGGCTCCGAGCTCGCGGGCATATCAGCCGTGCCATTGGCACCTGTCGGGCCTGAAACTGGACTGTCCCATGACTACTTCGTCCAGCTTCGTGTCCAGGGCCATCTGGTCAATGTTGATGCAAGCAATGCTAACGATATCTCTGGTGGAAATCAATTTTCTTACCTTTCGTGCGATCCCGAGAGTTACACTGGCAATCTGGACGCGGGGGAGGTGTTTCGTATAGTGGTAAACTCACCTAGCGCGAACCTCGTCATCCTATACAGCGAAACCAGCAATCATTGTCTCGTCACGGGACTGAGCAACCTCCCGAACATGGCTCATATCTTCACAACCACTGATCCAACCGTGGCATCAAGATTGGCCGCTTTGGACCTGAGTCAAAACAGTCCAGGAGTTGCTACTCTTCTACCAGATCTGCATTCATACACCAATTTTTCCAGCGGCTCCAGCGGCTCTAACGGCAATAACTCTCCGGGTCAATCTCCCACGACTGCCGTGGCAATGATCATTTTGTATTCCATCACGGGTATCATCACCGCACTCTTCGTGGTCATCATTGTGACGGGCGCTGTCCGAGCCCACAGACATCCGGAACGCTATGGACCTCGAAATATCATTGGACGAGGGCGACAGAGCAGAGCCCGAGGTATCGCTAGAGCAATGCTCGAAACCTTGCCAATCGTTAAGTTCGGCGACCCGGTAGACCTTTCAAAGAAGCCTGCCGAAGGTGCAGACATTGAAATGAACGCTGGCAACACTGCAGATCCAACCGCAGCTGAACACACTTCATCTGATAAGTCGGCAGTCAGAGAGGATGCGACGGCTGCCGATTCCGGTCCCGGGGGATTGCCTGTGGCTATTGCTACTAGTAACGCCGATGGCACGGACGCAGAAGGACATCTGGGCTGCTCGATCTGCACCGAGGATTTCAAGAAGGGAGAAGAAGTCCGCGTGTTGCCTTGTAACCACAAGTTCCACCCTGACTGCGTGGACCCCTGGTTGTTGAACGTCAGCGGAACGTGTCCACTCTGCAGAACCCACCTGCGACCCCAAACGCAGGACACTCACGCTGAAGGTGAAGGTGAGGGTGAAGCGGGTGAACGCCGCAGCTCGGGCGCCACCCTGCAGGCTGGCCACGACGGCCAATATCCACCTCCCCTTCCAGGTGCCGTCCAGCCAGATGGTAGTGCCACGCGTCACGGACGTCGAGTACCCATCGCCCACCTCCGCAGTCTGGTGCATGTCTCCAGAGAAGACCGCATTGCGGCTCTCCAACGGCTCAGGCAGGAGACGCTGCAGTCCGGCTCCCCGCGTCCAACAGATGACGAGCGGTCCGGACTCACGCGAAGATTCAGAGAGCGATTCAGGATACGGACGGAACGGAGGGGGACCGTGAGTGAGTAGGATCGCAGCATCTCGCTTACGATCGTGACCGCCTGATATGCGTGGTCATTGACGGACGGCCTCGCGCAAGGATAATATCAAAAGTCGGGCTTTGATATGGATATGACGGACTGATGCGATTCATGACAAGGAATGCGGATGATGGACAGGAGTTTTGGCCAGTGGATCCGGGACGGGGTTTTGGTACATTCGGCAGGAGCTTCAATGCTCCATGGTTTCAGGGAATATCGGCGTTGTCGATGAGCAGATTCTAGGATTGCGCGCGGGTTCATTTCTATGAAACGATTTGATCCAATACCTAGGTATGGTAGATTTGCTCGGTATAGAACGGGTGTATACGCTCAGATTTACACTACCTACCACAGTATACTGTGCTCATCGGGGAAGGACGTTGAAGTGTAGTGGCATGCATATCATGCAGGTGTTGCTCTGGACACTCTCGGAGATACTAGGATATGCCTTTTATTCATGAATGCATTCATGGCATCCTCTGCTGCTGAATACTGAAATGACGGTGGCCATTTCTCTCGCTTGGTCCGCACTTAGACAAGCCGGATGTCCCGTCATAGCCTCCCGTCCTGCTCAAATGCAGTAGCAGTGTTACGCAGTAGTACACCTCCAGTCAAGTCCGTTTCGCTCATCCCTTCCCGGTGTCGACGCCGCTGCTCATACCTCGTGACACCTCCTCGGTGATGTCTCTGGCCGCAGACCAACCCTTGGAAACTCTCTGGGACAACTCTTCTTTGTCCTTCTCCCTCCGATCTTCTCCCCCATCGTCGCCACTACTTCCACTCCCTCCAAACCACCCAGCCACACCGCTCGGGATCCAGCCGCCACTGGTGGTCCTTCGGCCTTCAGCGGCGGGTTGGGGCGGAGAAGAGCCGGAGCTCGACGAGCTGCTGGTATGTGCAGCGTCGTCATAGTCGACATTTTCGAACGATTGCTCACTTTTTGACTTTGCCTTCAAGCCAGTAGACCCCGACCCTGAAGCTTGCCGACCGGGTGCGGCTCCATAAGCGAAATCGATGTTTTGCTGCTCCTTGTCTAGAGCCCTAAGCAGGCTCGACAATCTTTCACGCTCAGCAGAGATGTTTCTTGACCTCTCGGCCGTGCTGTCACCAGGTCCTTGTTGGAAAAGCGAAGGCGGGACGGACGCTGCTTCCGCAGTTTGGGAGCGGGACGGTGAGCCTGAAAAGGCCGCCCCCGCCAGGTTCGAGACCAGGCTATATACCCCGGCAGAGGTTATGCCAGGTTGAGTGGGTGTATTGGTTCGCGCTCCAGGCATGGAGAAGCGGGAAAGGAGGTCTTGCGCATAGCTTGCATAATTGAGACCTTGAGCTTCGTGAGGTTGTGGACTCTTTTGACCCAAGATCTTGTCTCTGATGAACTCTATCACGATGTTAAGGTAGCCTAGGCCCATCTGTTGCAGTCTCTCATGGACTTCGCCAATGAACTGATCGATCCGACTCTCATGGTGGACGATGTATGGTTCGAGGTAATCGAGGTAGAGGACCTTCGCTCCTTGTGTTTGGGGGAGGATCAGATAGAGCAGGAACAACAGGCGGATCCAGGAGTAGAAGGGGAACCAGCCAATGATAAACAAAGTCCATGATTCAAAAAGAAGTGTCAGAGAGAGGATCGTGAAGTAGATCAGCCACGGGTGGGTTTGGGCTGGGTCGTTCGTGCGGAGGGCTTTGTAGGAGAGGTAGGCGGGAAGGAGGATCGTAGTCACGGAGCTATGAGGAGTTTCAGTATTGATCTTTACGCAGGTCGACTGCTGATCCGATTCATATTGGGAAAGGGGACTCACGCAATGAGATCTGCTACGATGCCGAACATCTTGGAGGGTCAATCGCAGTGGTGGAAGTCAAGACATATGAAGCACAAGACGGAGAGACCGATAATGTGCGACGGCCAGAACAGATCATGTATCTCCAGCAATCTCAGGCAGCAGAGTTATCATTTAGGAGTACACGGTGTCCTGTGTTTGTATGTTTCTAGGTGTTGATAGAGGATGGGGAGGATGAGCATGAAGGTGGTGCCTGGCTTCTGGCCTTAGGAGCCCCGGACATTCGGCTTGCGGAGTTGCATCTGGTGCCTGCCGCAGGGACTCTGCACGCTTGAAAAAGGCGATGAGCTCATGCTGCTCAGCCTTGCGCGGGCAGTCGCCGGTATTCGGCAATCGATAAGAGAGAGCGCAGGCGGAGACTAGCGATGACACTAGACATCTGACATATCGGCAAAGGGGCTCTTATCGATAGCTCGTTTACTAGTGCGGGCGACCCATTTTATCATAGGAGCCTGCCTCAAAATCGCAATGGCATGGGATGCTTTAGACGCCGGTAAAGAGCCTCTCCTGGTTGAAGGGGTCTCTCACCAGCAGACTCAGTGTCGATATACCTCTTCAATTCAATGATGTAGACGGATAGTCGTGGTCAACTGGATCCTGTATCAGAATGCAAAGGTTGACACCAACACGCCCAGATGCAGTTACACTCGACCGTATTTGTGCTACAGCGGAGTGTAAGGCTCTTGGACGAATACAACAGATACGCCGAGAATGACATCAACTTCCACTCTTGGACACTGGTTATGAAGACGCTCTGTCAGGAGCATCGGGCAGAAGTCGGAGAACCTACATCCTGTATAGATTCACAATATCTGTTCTGGATCTGCGAAACAGTCTTGCTCACGCCGTCCAACATGAACAGTACTGCCAGTGCTGCCTAGACGCGTCCTGGCTTGGCTCTGCGTTTGTCTTCATAGCCTCGGTTGGGCGGTGTCTCCTTCAAGTTGACCATCTTCTTCACTTCTATATCTTGGTTGGCCATCCACCTATTCTTGGTGAAGCCTATGTTCACAAGTGATTGTCTGCGGCTTAGTTGAGTGATCCAAGAACACTGATCTGATTGTCTGTATGTGAGTGGTCAACCGTGGCAAGAGATCCAAGGCATGTGACAACGCATTACGGACAACACATTTCGCACCGCTCTTGGGTACTTTCAGTGTCATTTTCCTTCATCCTTTACCCAGCCATACATCGGGGTCCCGGCCAGATCTATCTCTGTCAAGATGTGCATCGCACTCATATCCACAGCGCACCCTTCGTACCGCCTGATCCTGATCGACAATCGGGACGAATACCTCAACCGGCCCACCGACCCGGCGAAATGGTGGCCAGCGCCGCATACGAACGTCTTCGGCGGTCGGGACATGCAGCGCGAAGTGCGTGGGACGTGGTGCGGAGTCACCAAAGGCGGCAAGATCGCAGTCCTGACGAACTACCGCGAAGACACGATGCCACCACCCTCCGCCATCAGCCGGGGAGCAATCATCAAGCATTTCCTGACCGAAGACGGTGGTTCGGTAGAGCACTTCGTCGAGAATGTTGTCAAGACAGGGATCGGCAAGGATGCGGGAGGATTCAGCCTCGTGTGCGGCAACATCGGCGAGAAGCTGGCCGTGATCTCCAACCGAGTCGAAACCCAGAGTCAAGTCCCTTGGATTGCCGGCGACGTCGTGCAAACCGTGGGCCTGAGCAACTCGGCCTTTTCCGACCGTAGCTGGAAGAAAGTCTTGTTGGGCGAAGAGCTCATGCTCAACACCATCCGCTACTCGGTGGAGAACAACGACACGGAAGAGCAGCTGGTCCAAAGATTCCTCGCTCTGCTGTGTCACGACACCCTTCCACGCGAGGGCAGGGCCGAAGATGACGGTCTCGAAGCATACATTCAGGATCTGCGCGAGACGATACTTGTCCCACCGCTTGGACGGAAGGACCTGACCGGTCTCACAGACGACAAACTACGCGCCGCCAGACTGCATGAGAAAGTGGAGGTCATGGGAGAAATCGATGTCCTGGGCTACAACACGCCAGCGCGCGATCCAAGCCCTGCCAAGAATCAACAGGCAACCGCTCAGCCGTTGGGTGTCAGTGGGCTGTATGGCACTCAAAAGCAAACAATCGTTCTGGCCGACAACAGTGGAAACGTCCGATTTTTCGAGAGAACACTGTTTGACGAGCACTCCAATCCCATCCCTGCCGGAAAGGGTGATGTCGACGTGACTTTCAAGATCGAGAAGACTTGAAGTCGGGTGGCCAAGCACGAACCTGGCCATGCGGAGATATTTCATGAAATTCTGGAGCAAGTGTTGGCCCAGTTGTATGTTCTGGTCATCACGACCCTGAACATCCGTTCTCCAACCTTCGACCAATACAGCCTGGGCATTGCATAACTCATCAAGGCGCCTTTCGATTCTACGTTGTGACTGGCGTTCTCGCAACGTTTCGGCATTAGGATTTTTAGATGTCATTGCATGGTAGAGCACAGGGAGACCGCGTCATGCGTGTAGACCAAACTAAGCATCGTTGGACACTGGCATACACATTCCGGACTGATGGAAATGGGGAACCTTTGATTGGCAACGGTATTCTCAACTGGGTTCTCTCAACTCCATTCTCATACTCCGCGTCATACCTTGTCCCATAGACAAATTCTTTGTGACCACTCAGAGTTGAGTGCTGAATGTGGAGCGGCCATGATGCTCCCTCCTATTTCACATGTGAAGTGTTGCGCATTTCGAGCTTTTGGGTAGTACAAAGACGACCTTTGAAAAGGTTTCTCTTTTTCCTTGCTTCATTTTCCCCTTCATTTCCGTCCAGTCCATGCTCCCTTGGTAATGCAAAGAAGAATTATAACTCCCATTAATTAATCCGTAGTGTTTTTTCCCCCTCATCATCTCCCGCACTCTTTGCGTGCTGCGTAACCTTGTTGAGCTCGTCGACCCAAGAGTCAATCTACCACAACTCACACACCGGCTCTTTCGCTTTACAGTGGAAACTCTCCTTGAAATCGCGCGAGTTGGCCATTGTGCCTAGGATCCTGGCCCATTTCGGCGCATGTGGATCCGTGAATATGCGTTGGATCGCCGTCTCTTTGCGGGTCTTGCCACACCACCAGTTGGCGTAGGACACGAAGAACAGCTGCTCCTGCGAGAAGAAGTCCAGCCCGGGGAGATGTTGGTTGGGTGTCTCCGCTGCACGCTTCTTCCATGCCGCAAACGCCGCAGCCACACCGCCCGCGTCGGCGATGTTCTCGCCCAACGTGAGACGACCGTTGACGTGCAAGGGTTTGTTGTCGGCGCCGTCCACGGTGAAATTGGAGTATTGCTCGATGAAGCATTCGGCGTGCTCCTTGAAATTGGACACCGTCTTGTTCGTCCACCAGTCCGTGTAGTTTCCATTCTGGTCGTAGTGGCGGCCGGTCGAGTCGAAGGCGTGAGACAGTTCGTGGCCAGATACAGACCCAAAGGCTCCGTAGCTGACGTAGTCGGGCACATTCACGTCGAAGACGGGGAATTGCATGATCCCAGCTGGAAACACAATCTCGTTGCCAGGAGGGTTGTAGTCTGTATGTCCGGTAGATCAGTATTGGTCCATCAATAGAGGGGGTTTGGGGTGGAAAATGCGTACAGGCGTTCACAGTCGGCACTGTCATGTCCCTGTGGCGATGGTCAGTGCTCAGAGCAGATGTTTTTCGGAGGGGTAAGGAACATACCATTGATCTCTGTCGACTGGTTTGCCTAGGGCAGCCCATTCACGCGCAACTTCCAGTTGGGTCATTGATACGGCGTTTTCAAAGAAGGCTGATGAGTTGATGTTGACTCGCTCGTAGTACTTGAACAGTGTTTCCGGGTCCATGATGTTGGGGCTCTGCAGAACGTCCTTGTTAGTCCAGGCCGAGACGTGGAGTGCCCACTTGTCACGGTGTAAGTTGAAACGTACCTTGTCTGGGTATCCGATTTTCTGAACGATATTGTGGACCTTTCTGATGGCAAGGTCAACAACTTCCGGCTCCATCCACTCAGTCGATTTGAGCTTTTTGATGAACTGGTCCTTGATATCGGAGACGATCTGGTCACCGAAGTCTTTTGCTTTGGCAGAGAAGGCTTTCTCGACAAAAAATCGGCTCAAGAGCCATCCTAGTCCGTCGTCCACGTGTCCAACACATGTCCTCCACCGTTCCGGTTTGGAGTCAGGATCCTACGAATATGTCAGAGCCGGATATAGAACGGGCAGTCGGAAAACCTACCTTGCCCTGCAATTCATTTGAGAATTGCCTGTAAGGAGTAACTGCATCGGCTTCAATGTAGCCTGCGTACGATTGGATTGCTTTCCAAAGGAAGTAGGAGCGAAGCGTGTCCTCGGAAGTCTCATCGAGCAACTTTGCAAGGTCTTTCAGGTACTCGGGAGCCATGACAATCACCCGATCGAGGTTGTAGCCAGACGGGACCAGGTTCTTGAGGATATTGGACAGATTCAGTTGTGGCACAAGACTGTCTGCATCGGTCAAAGACATTGGGTTATAGTATTTCTGATGAGAGCGGTCAGTAATCTATCTTCTATTAGATGGTGGACCTTTCAATGACTCACTGTAACGTCGTCGCGATCTTCGGCATCCGGAGACGCAGCCGCCAGCTTCTTCTCGAACTCAACAAGACTATGAGCAGTGACACTACCATGAGTGGTACCAAGCTTGAGGGCAGAGAAGACCTGCGAAACCACCTCCTCGTATCTTTTCACGATTTTCTCGTCTTCATAGTGTTCCTTCGCTGGTAACCCGATTCGATAAGGAGCGGACACGGACACAATCACCGTATCTGGATCCTTGTCATCAGCCCCTGTTCCCGAGGACACCAGAGACGAGACTCCAAGCTTCGCCAGATAGAGAATTGTGTCCGACAGCGCTTCATTCTTAGCGGAGTTAGACTGGCGGGCGATTGAAAATCGACTCGACGTCTCGTTGAGAATCTCCATCAACGGCGTGATACCAATCTTTTTGATGGTATCTTCGTCCAAGCAAGCGTCATAGGCAGCCTTGAGCTTGTCAAAGTTGTCATGGTCAACTGAACCAGAATCGGTATCAAGCTGAGAAGGAGAGGAGGATGAGTGCTATTAGCGGACTTAGTATATGGTTTTCGCCGTCAAGAACCAGGCCATACCTCTGACGTGTCCGGGTAGGGAGCCTCGAGGATATGCCGCAGCAGCATTTCGGACGATTCCGCCATCATGGTCCCCGTGAATGCATCGCCTTGATCGGGACGAAGGTCATGGCGGTCTCTCCACCCTCCACATACCAATTCCTCAAAGTCTGTGCAGGGATCTATGCGCTGATAGTCGGGCGACAGATTGTAAAGAATCTCAGAAGAGGCATGGATACAAGCTGGCGTAAGACAGATGTCCGCTGGACCATGATGTGGCTTCTTATGGTGGCCTCCATGGGCACATTTCAGCAAGGTCTAGGAAAGAGCCTGGTGAAGCGTTGACTAACCTTTGAGACAACTTGGTAATGGGATGTTGCTCAAGGAAAGACGACTCAGCGTCAAAATGAGGAGCAAAGCCCCGAAGAGCAGGGCGGCCGCCCTCACGCTATGAGACGGGCGGCGGCATCTTGGCCTTGAAGCATTCTTTTCCTCGTCATCCAACAGCGACGTCTTCTCCGGTAGCATTTCTCGGGAATCCATTGAAAGCAGAGCGTCCACAGAGTGAGATTGATTCCTCGCCTGGGTCTTCAGAAGACAAGTCCAGGTTGTTGATGATATCAGAAGAGGTTCGATTTGACGACAGCAGCTTGGAATAAGCATAAAGGGAATAGCCGAGGCTGCCTAGCCAACAACAGCTAATAACAGTCACTAAGCCAGATTGGGGATACGTGAAATGAATAGTACGGGGGAGCACTTGCAAGCACTGCGGGGTTTCGCCTACTGACACCAAAGATGGACTTCAAGTAGAATACAGCCATAAGCGAGCACATCGTATACACAGAAACAGATGAAGTATGTGCCTGTTTATGGCAGAATTGCCACAGCCAGCAGTACGAGTCCTGTATACCGCGGTTGAAAGTGGTTTCATACAATGGAAATAAAGTTATGATTAAGATATGAACACTAATGATATATATCTATATCTACACTAAGTAGGTGTTTCTAGCTAGACTGCGGGAAAGTGAGCCGAGCAGAACTTCCCTCCACCGCAAAGCCCATGATGATGTTGAGAATACCATCGACGACTGCTGGTAAAGCTATAATCAGGAATACCTTACTCACGACGTAATCATGAAATGTCTAAAGGCCAGCCACATCCTCAACCTCAACGGTCGCCCAAAACATCAAACCAGCTTCCCAAGAATTGGCCCCGAGAGATCAGCTACTTGACATCGATACATATTCCACAGCCGCTGTCAAGCTCCCTTCTGCATATACAAGTGAACCCTCCCACTGGTTCCAACGCCGGCGATAGATTTGATTCTATCTCTTCGCTTCCCATCATCGAGTCTCGAGCCACTGTATCACCAAACCCACTCGTGCGCATTACACCCATCACTTCAGCCTCGCACCCTGCAAACGGCCAATACGGCCTATTCGCTGCCCGCGCACTCCCGCCGTCGACCTTCATCATCCTTTACCTGGGAACGTTGCACAGATCGTGCAATTCGCCAGCAGCAGAGGAAGCCAATGCATCCTCTTCTTCAGCTACCTCCTCTTCGATCACAGGCTCAACCGCGGACTCAAGCTACGCCACATCAGACTACGACCTCAGCCTCGACCGGGACCTAGGGCTCGCCATCGACGCCTCGAAATGTGGCAATGAGGCCCGCTTTATCAACGATTACCGCGGCATCCGACCTGCTGGGCCTAACGCCGAGTTTCGCGACTGTCTAGTTCAAGTGGGCCCAGCACCGGGCAGGCTTGAAAGGCGCATTGGGGTGTTTGTACTAAGTCCAGGCAAGGCTGGGGGCGCTAGAGCCAAGGGCATCGCGAAAGGCGAGGAGATAGTGGTTAGTTATGGCAAGGGCTTCTGGAATGCCAGAAAGGATGGTTGAACTGTGACCTGGAGTGAGCTTGCACGGATTTATGAACCAACAAACGACATGCAGCGTTGGACCGAGCCAGCATCCGTTTGCCAGAGTTGCTGGCAAGAGGGGGGCAAAAAGCAATGAATCGTCCACTTGGAAATGTCCCTGAAATCTCCCGGTAGGGATCGAAGCAGATCTATTCCATACACTCACAAGCAGAAGACGTGGAGGGCTGGACTCTCCATGGACAGACTCTGTCAGCTGCTCATCGTTCCGGCTACTTGGAGCTCCGCGCTCCGAGCTTGATTCAAGCACCGTATGCCAACCCAGACGTCCGATCCGGAAGCATATCTTGACTTACTCCATGGTCAACGCCCGAACACGCGTGTCCATTCGTTCCTGCTTATGACTTGTGAAACGAGACTCGAAGTCAGTGAGAAAGGAGTCAACAACATTGCCGATGTGAAATGTTCTATTTACGCCTCATTGAAAGGAATATCTATATCTGTCAACTTCACGCCGTCACCATCACCTCTAGGTGCTGGCCACATCCACGTCCAGGACCACGCCATGCAACATCAATCGTCTCAGTCTCTCAGCCCAGCTGCCCAAACGCCTCAACGCTACCCGAAAGACAATGACAGCGGGATCTAGCCCACGCACTGGCGAGTCATCACGCCTCAACTGCCAAACCTCAAACCTCAAACATCAGCTCCCACTCGTCGTAAATCATATCACCCTCCGTCGGACCCGGACCTTGGCTCCCATGGGCGGCACATGATTCGGTCCAGCCCAATAACACTCAGGCCTGACACCTCTACCATTTGCATTGCCGATCCAGTCATCACTACCCTCCCTTCCAACATCCTTCCCCTCCGTGACCATCTGTATATCATATCGCATAACCAGATACGCAATCAGCAACTTCAACTCATTCGCAGCGAAGAAGCGACCGGGACATGCATGCCGGCCGTGCCCGAACCCCAGGTATGTCGGCGAAGTGGCGATGAACTGAAGATGCGCCTGGTCGAGATATACTCTGGCGGCATCTTTCTCCTTTTCTCTCTCTGCAACTTGATCTTCCTCGTGGTCGGTATTGACTGTCTTTGTATTCTTGATGCAGTCATTACTCTTTCGCTCGCTACCATTTCCCCCTTCCCCTGCGTCCTCTTCCCCACTTCGGCGCCCAATATTCTCCTTCAACTCGACGAACCTGAACGGCTTGTAAGTTCCTGCTCTCGAATAGAGATTCTCATCGTTGTGCAATCCCCAACTATGCACAGCGACCATACTACCCTCAGGCAAATGCGTGCCGTCAGGCGTGGTAACGCCGCCTGGAGAAATCACTTTATGGTTAATTCCCACGCCGATGATACTGGCTCGGCGTGAACTTTCGCGGAGTGCTGAGTCGAGATAATGCATTTTGGTCAGGGACGATCTTGACCACATTTTCGTCACGTTTGAGGGATCTTTCACATTCGGATTCGACGTTGATTCTGTATCCATCGTCTGAATAGCCTCTGCACGCAGTTTATCCACCACACCCTCGTCGAGCGGCGCAGACAGGATATCCAGGATCACATTCGTGCCAATGAAGCTGGTTGTATGCACGGCGGCGAAATTGGTATGCAACAGTCTGGCGCAGATGATCGCGGGGTCCGTTTCGTCTGGAGATAGCGACGCAGAGTGGGCTTTCCTTTTCGATGTCGACTTCGTCAAAGAGCGCGTCAAGAGCCATTGAAGAAAGTCGTTTTTCTGTGCTGCAGCCCGATCTGCGACTTGGCCACCAGTCTGGCTCAAAGGGGTGGTGGTTGTCTTTTCCACGTCACTCACGGCTACGATGTCCGTCTCCTTGCCGCGCTGGAGGTCTTGTCGGCGGACGATCTCGGGCGTCAAAATCTTCGTGTAAGCACGAGCATGCCTCCGATTCGGATAAGTGATGATCGGGGCCACCAGAGGCCGAATTGTCCCAGGGAAAAGCCGCAATAGGGTGGCTGATAGAGCGATGTCCTCTGCGAATCCGACGGCATTGTGGATATATGCTTCATCGCGGCCTGAAGAGAAACCCCTCTGGGTCAGCTTGAATGAAGATTTCAAGGATTAGTGGCACGAGAGCAGGGAGGACCAGTTGTTGTTCAGGCAAATGGTGGCATTTAAAGGAGTGATAAGTTTCCCGGCTTGAACGTAACCGTAAAGACTCATGCATGTTTGTTTATACATAAACATTTTGAAAAGAGGCATGGCAAGGGAGACTCACAAAACGGCAATCCCACGAAAACGCGATTACTTGTTCTCGCGATGATCTTCGTGATGGACTCGAACAGCGTCACTTCTTTCAAGGCCTGGGTATCGGTGCCCCAGATCTCGTCAACGGCAGCACACAACTCGTCACATACTTCCGGTGTCACGTTGAAGACTTGTCGAGTGAGCTCGGATTTGACCACGTCTGATTAGTGTCAGTGTCAGTGTCAGTGTCAGTGTCATGTCCAAATATCAGCCACAGTTTATGCAAATGATTTTCATATCTCGCACGGGAAAGTCCGGTGTAAAGAGTTCCACCGATAAATGCTTACAAGGCATTTGAACAAACTTGAATGCATACACATCACGATGATATGTGAATAGACACCTGCCTACATTCCTTCCTCATGGAACATGGATATCAGCTATGGGAAAGCGGGTGACATACCGAAATGAACAGTCGGATCCATGATCTCCGGTCGCGGAAAGGTATATTTCGTCTGGAGAATGTGCTTATGTGCTCCATTGACGCTGAGCACATGTTCTGGCTGGGAGATGAGCCAAGGGATGGACGACGGTGAGAGGAGGACGACGTCTCCGTCGAGTGTGGCGAGGACGCAGGGTAGGTCGTGGACAGCATACTGTGTGCATAAAAGAGGACCGAGGTTAGTTGGTTCATCTGTGAGTAGCCACTTGATTGAAATTTTGAAGACTTGAAGAGAAACTGGGGCAGCCTTGATTCTTTTTCCAAGTCATGTCCTGCACACGGCATCACCGAAAGAGCAGACCAACACCCGTGAAAACGAAAGAAGATTGACCATTCAGAAGCCACGGAAGTGATATTGCATAAGGCTTGTGTCCCCCAAGGAGCTGACGTTCCCTCATCGAAAAGCAACACTGGGGGGCATAACAGAGTTACATTTGAGAATGAACAAAGACAGTCGGGGAGTGATTTTTTCATACATGATCATATGCCAACTTCAAGGCCTGTTCATAATTGACCATATTCCACAGTCGGGCCCGAGTGTTTGGGAAGAACCACGCCTTGTCGTTTCTTCCCACCCATGGCAGATTTCCCAGCGGGGAGGATGGCTTGTGTCTTGTCCATCGGTAGAAAATGCGATAGACCAGGAAAAGCAGGAGAGACAGAACAAGTAGACTGGCTGGTTGGCTGTCCTGGATCCTTGAAATGGTAGTGGTAACGGTGGTAGTGCTCGCGTTGAGCAAAGCCATCGTTTTCTGGCAGGGGACAACCTGTGCCGCCCCCGTGCTCTCCCGCCAGACCTGATCTGATGTCAAAGTGCTTGACAACTCGTCCCTAGTTGGGCTTGTCCTGGTTGCTGGTTTCGCTGGAGGGAATATGGTGGTATCGATGTGTTCTGGTTACACAGCAGAATCACTCCGGGATAGCCCTGTACGATATTCCAGCAGACTGCCACAACGCACTTCCAGGATGCAAGTTCGGAGATGACAAGAGGAGGGAGGGATCACGACATAGTCACCTGCAGTCAACCTGTCACCGTCCGTGTCAGTGTCAAAAGTATCAGGTTTGATAGTGACCATGCTTTCTCAAGACAAATCCAACCAATGAAGAGGCGCCACACCTCGCAGACACTGGCCGATTGATTGCATCTTCCCATGTCCATGCAGTACATCTCCACACACCATCTCGAGGTTCTGATTTCAGTAACTGGTTCGATTAGAAGTGGATCTTGATATGGATGGAAACAAGGCGCATTAGATAGATTCCTAAGCGATTTCCGAATTCAGCATCGGGTAGGCGTTCGCAGTGAAAACGACATCATGCACCAATAGGCGGTAGCCGTCCTGAATATATTGACCTACTGGTGTGGTAGTGGGCTACCTCGACACTCTTCAGTCTCACCAACGGCTCTTTTGCTGCATAAATGTATTTTTGGTCTATCTCACAATTGAGGTAGGAAGTCCGAGGGGCTTCCTCATGCTGATACCGACGCTTTCGACTCCGTTTGAGAACCCAGCTAAGGAAGCATGAGTGACCGGTAAATCTGGCTCTCTCCTGGGGACCTCACAATAAACGCCCAGTTTGAGAACTGTGCTAGAAGCAGAGTACAACTCGGTGACCACCTTAGGGTTCTGTAGTGACACAAATATCGCCACCTGCTGCAAACACTGTCAGAGTCGTGACTGGGACACTGTTGGGGACTGCCCATTTCCTCATGAGCTGGCTGCACTGCGTGCCAGCAAGTGTCCGCCGCCGCCATCTGAAGCCATACATCAGCTCTTGGGGTGAAATAAAACAACAGAATACTTCGTTCCCTCATCACACATGCCCATATGAGTGTCCCAGTGCAGACAACCAGGGCTTGATGGCCCCGATGACTTCATTTTGCACACACGGAGCCATTGCATAGTCCCACGATGGGACACCTTCCAGGTCCGGTGTAGTCCTATTATCTCAAGGCGCTCTCCTGATAACATAACTGGGCCAATTTTCGACGAAGTGACTGTAGCAAATTTGTTCTCGGTGATCTAGACAAACAAAGGTTCGCCCGTCTGCAACATATTCTGGCTGGTCCTTCGGTGGAAAAGAGTGCCCGTCCAAGAGTCGATGGGTTGCCCAGAAGGCAAGCCCGCTCAGAGTGGACCACTGGAACATTATCATCATGATCCCAGGGGATCAAAAGGTATATCAGTGCACAACTTCTGCACACTTGCAATTGGGGAGCCTCCAATCCTATCGTAGCCATCTCAACAAGGCTTGCGTGAGTAGTTTTCTGTCCACCGGCTTGGCCACGTAATCATTCATACCCTCCGCAAGATATGCTTCTTCATCTCCTTTTAAGGCATTGGCCGTCATGGCAATGATCGGTATTGAATGACCAAGTCGTCGAATTTCCTTTGTGGCGGTCACCCCGTCCATCACAGGCATGCTTATGTCCATGAGAATCAGGCTGTATGTCAAGGGCTTTTGCTTTACTAGTTGTAATCCTTCTTTACCATCACCTGCAACATCCACCTTTTCAAACCCAAACGCCCTTAATAGCCGAACCATGATTGTTTGGTTGATGGCATTGTCTTCGACTAAAAGTATTGTTCTGGCTTGGGCCAGCTGCTTCAGGTCGGTGTCGGGCGAATTAGTGACGGGGAGCGCCGAAGGCATGGCATCAAGTTTGTTCAGTTTGAGCGTGAAATAGAAAATACTACCGTGCCGTTCGGGGTTTGACCCGAATCCAATGGTGCCGCCCATCAATTCGACCAGGCTCTTGCAAATGGACAACCCTAGTCCGGTGCCCTTGTACCGTTTCGTCGAGAACTTATCGAGCTGGGTGAACGGGGTGAATAGGACATGTTCTGACTCCAACGGCACTCCTATGCCGGTGTCGATAACTTCTGTCCGGATGTCATAGGATGATTCGTCCTCTTCGGTAAGGATGACTTTGATCCGGACATAACCGTGGTCCGTAAATTTGATGGCATTTGACACCAGGTTCTGCAAGATCTGGCGGTAACGAAGCGCGTCGCCCTGGGCAAAATGAGGCAGACGAGGATCCACTTCGACCTCCAGTTTTAGATCATTGTTCGATCCTACCTTGAAACATCTCCGCACAGCGGCGACGATCTCGGATATATTGAGCACGTCCTTGCTGATGGAGAAAGAGCCGGAGCTTAGCTTGGAATAATCCAGAATGTCGTTGATGACCTGCAGCAGAATGGCACCGGATTCATCAATGATGTCGGTAAGCTCTTTTTGCTCCTTGCTAAGGCCAGTGTCCGTGAGAAGGGAGAGGGCGGACAACATGCCGTGCATGGGAGTGCGGATTTCATGGCTCATATTGGCAAGGAAGTCGGACTTCAACTTCGAAGCTTCTTCGTAAGCAGCAATGAGACGGGCTTCTGCTGCTTTGCGTTCGGTGAGGTCCCTGGTGATCTTGCTGAAACCAGTAAGCTCACCATCCCGGTAGACAGGCGTTATGATGACGTTGGCCCAAAACCGAGAGCCATCCTTACGGACTCGCCATCCTTCGTCCTCCACTTTGCCATCGCGTAGAGCCAGTTCAAGCTCTTTCTGCGGCTTCCGGGCTTTTCGATCCTCCTCGCTGTAGAACGTAGAGAAGTGTCGGCCAACTATTTCGTCGTGGGTATATTGCTTGAGGAGCATGGCCCCGGTATTCCATGTCGCTATACAGCCGTTGGGATCGAGCATGAAGATGGCATAGTCGCGAAGGGTGCTGACCAGGATCCGGTACGTTTCGGCCGAGGACAATTGGGTGGAGTAACTTGTGGTCTTCTGCACGTCTTCAGTCACGTCTTGAGCTTCTACAACAATGTAAAGGAGCTCGTCCATGTCGTATATAGGCAGGACTCGGAGACGCCAGAACCCGGGGAGTGAAGTCCCTGCGGTCGCCTCAGATCTCTGTTCCCTGCGGGTCGAAACTGCATCATCAATAAGTTTTGCGGTCGTCGCGTGCGTCACTGGCATCAGCAAGTGGTCGAGCTCATCAGTAAAACGGCGACCGCGACACTGCTCCAGATCGAGCTTGCAGAGCTTTTGAGCCGAATTCGAAATCGAGAGTATTCGTAAATCCTTATCGAGGACGGCAGTCGGAGATGGCGAGAGAGCAAAGATTCGCTCCATTCCCGAGGAACTTTTGCATACGGAGGCCGAGACTGGGCTAAGCGGTGGACTAGGATGATCGGACGGTATGGGCTTCTGGAGTGACACTGCAAGGCAAGCCTCGGCGGGTCCTGCCCCTACTGTGTCTTTGGGTTCGTCAACCGCAATGCGTTTTCGGGACTTCATATTGCGCGTGAGTGACTGTTCGTGTGGGGAGAGAAAGAGATGGGGCATTTTCAATCGTGGGGGTCCGAGATGAAGGCATGAGAAGGTACAGCGGTCGGCTAGAGTGATACTCGGGACGAGGGCATAATATTCGGTTCTCTACTCACCAACAATGGATGCCAAAAGGACGGTGCCCAATTGGCTATCAGTTCAAGCAAGGGCTGCATGGACGGCAGGACATGTCGAAACCACGACTCATGGATTCTGGCGGTGAAAATCGTGCGTGTAATGCTCCGCGAGGGAGGATCCCGAGGGGATTGGGAGAATGACCGAGATCCAGACCGGAAAGGCACTCCCAAGAACCACAAGCGATCCAGGGCGGGCCACGGGGAGGATCTGGCCGTGATCCTACTTGAGGGAGGAGATTCTCGCTGAGTTCGCTGCGTCCGATCGCGAGGATCAAACTCCAGACACACCTCGTCGGATGCAACTCTGGGTCACTGCAGCAAGCCTCGGGTCGTGAAGGCGTCTGCCAAAGAGACGTGTTGTCGGGATAACCGTGTGGCCAAACGAGCTCTTCAAGAATTTCAATTTGGACTTTGCTGCCAAATAGGAAACCCCAAGTAAATCTGTGCAACACTCGACCAACCCAACCAGCAGTCAGGAGTCGAACCCCGGTAGGGAATGTAAGAGTCGTTTGTTGTGACTGGGTTGTTGCAGGTTTGACCACTCGACGTGCTGAGGTGCAAAACGACAAGGGTACTTGACACCGCCGCAGGCAACTAGTGAAAAGCCTCCTTGAGACAAATGCGATGCGCAGGAACGGGCCTGAGGGATGCGTCGGGAGGTTGGAAAATATGCGCGATGGACTGGGCACCTGGGAACTGGCAGGCGTTGGCTACCTGATGTTTGCACAGGACTCGGAGGATAACGAAAGATTGAGAGGCGGTTAGCGAATGAATGATAATAACCAGACTTTAGGAGGATGTAAGAAAATGTACGCTGCGAGTTGTGTTCCGTGTAGGATGTTAAGCGGGAGAATCTCAACGGATATTCTGGTCCGTGAACGTTCTACTAGTATTTCGTAGCAGTTGATGCAGCCATACGTAATGGCAGATTTCCAAGTTGATTAGGGTCCGAGAGACGAAAGTGAGGGTGGTGGAGGCGAGGGATTGGAGAGAAAGTTACTCTCCTCGTCTCCATACAAGAGAAGTAGCACAGTATGGATACAGCGGACAGTGCACAAAACTTGGGCGATGGGGGCACGGAGGCCGCCACGGACGTCATTTGTCACGGGATAGAGGCTGAAGAGTGCGAGGAGGGCGAGGAGGGAGAGCGAGAGATGATAGAAGTAATGGATCGTAGCCACAAACCTGGCTGTTATGGAGAACTCGAACTTGAATGGGAGCAGATTAGAAACCAACAAAGTGGCTTGTGTTGGGATGGTGGATATGGAGTGGACTAATCTTCTTCTACTAGTTTTATCACAAGTATCACAAGTGCCACAGTACTTCTCCTCCTACTCGACACTACTGTGTACTACCGGGGGATCCATCCGAAAGACTCGACCGAAGTCGGGCATGTGCCTACACCGTACCTAGGACCTATCTAGGACCTACCTACCTATGGTAGACAGCCACGGATACAGAACCTACGTTCACCGAGTCCAACACCTCGCGAGGTCCATTTGTATAAGATACAAGACAACCTACAGTTCTGCAGCTGCGTCCTGTGCCACGAACCGGCCCTCTCCCATCTCCGAACCAGAACCTGCCGTGATAACCGAATGCGCGAGAGCCCGTCGGTTTGCTTGCGTCGTCCTCTACGCTCGGCTCCCCCGAACGCACTTCTCCCGATTCACGCATGTAGACATCGAAAGCGACACAGCAGTCCTCAAGCCGATGCAGCAGGGACTGGCCTGGCTAGGGTCGGGCTTCCGCACCTGCGGTCTGGTCGCACAACGTCTACGCATCCTTGGACAAGATGCAATAAGAGACAAACGGAATGCGCTTGAATTGCTTAAGCGAGCTATGACTTGACAAGTCATATGTGTGTACATGATTGCCATGCAGCGACCGCCGTACGCTTGCAGGTTTGCTCTAGTTTCTCCAGAATGTTCATACAGGGCAGGTGTGGAAAGCATCTGAATTGCTGCAGTAAAGGGCTGCCTTCTGCACAAGTTGTGTTGTTTTTAAGACCTCTACTCGATGTCCTGCGCGAGATCCTCTAGCAGTCCGCAGTGCAGTCTGTCGGCATGGACGAACCTGCAACTGACTCGATGAGAATCTCGAATAGCCTTGAAATATGCCCACCGCCATCCACACGTCTTAGCTCCATTTGGAGCCTTCACACTGTTAGGCCATGCCGAGGAGCTGATCCCTAGGCGCTGTTCCTCTCCAACGAACTTCTTTCCAGGCTCAAAGACTCAATCGATCTAAACTGCGTACCCTCCTCCCAGTCCCCCCAGTGACCAGGCCCAGTTTGTAGAATGTCTCTTCGCCGGCGGCGTTCCGGCCACCGATGTACCATTTTTCTGGCCCCAGAGCATCGATGAACCCTCCAGAAGAGTTTGAACTGTCGCTGCCCCTGCGTTGCCGTCCTCGGGTCATCGGCGTCGATGCCCCTGGTGGTGACATTGACATATTGGTGTTGGTGTGGCTTGAATGTGGGTGCGAAAGAGGCCCGCCTGGTGAACTTGTTCCTGGTGATCTTGAAAGCGGGCTTGCATATCTATGTGAACTAGGGTTTGCGGAGAAAGGTAGAGGGGCGGTTGAGGTATTGGGCTTGGTAGGTGAGGTGAGGGAGGCGTGTTGTTGCTGTGGAGTTGTGGATGTTTCTGCGGCTGACCTGGCTGCGATTGACCTGGTGCCGGACGAGGTCACTGTTGCGTTGGTTGTCGAGACATGTGCGCTGGCCACGAGTGAACCTTGAGACACGGCATCGTACGCTGTGCTGGACTTCGCTTGAAACGTAGGATTGGTACGGGCCCGGAAAGCAGAGAAGAAGTTGGCGAAGAAGGGGCGGTTGGTAGGCATGATATGCGTGAAGTGGATGTGTATGAGCGTCTTGCGATGTGAGGAGAGACAGCGATGACCTAAACTGTCAAGATATGTTGATGATAGGTTCTGTTATGCAGTGAACGACCGCCGTCCACGGCAAGTTGTGTGTAATAACAGGAGCAGCCGCTCCCTTCCGCGTATCGTCCCAGTCGAGCCCTAGTATATCCTTTTGTGCAGCCAGACCATTGATAAGTATTTGATGAAGTCTTGCAGCAAGACTGAACGGTGTCCACGGTGATTCCCTAATCGTGCCGCAAACACATTCAATGACAGTATCGCCAGTTCTTTGTACCGTATAGTAGCCGGTGGAGGAGATGAATTTGGGCCGGGAGCGGGTCTGCGTCTGGTGCAGGAATAGTCTGATGGGTATCGGCGGCTGGTCTATGAGGTTATGCTAAGGCGGTGGAAAACTGGCGGCGGTATGGAGTATTCACAAGAGACGATTTGCCATGCCTCATCTATCACAACTCGAACGACAGCGGCAGAGGAGGAGTGGGAGGGTGTTCGCAAGTTAAGTCGTCACTCTTACATCGGGCGATGATGGAGAAAACCGGGAGTTTCGAAGCGATGACAAGCGCAGGTGCGGAAGCGAACTTCCCTTTGGCCTGGGGAAGTTAATAGGTGAGATTTTGCCGAGGGGGCCGGGAAGGTCACAATAATAATGGGTGTGGCGGTGTCAACGTAACAATAGCTGAAGCTACAGATTCACTGGCGCCAATCAACAACTTGAGATATTTCATCAAAGCAACGGCCCAACAAAGGCCTGTGTCTGTGTACTTGTTCGCCCGGGCTTGCATAGCATTGATTGACTCGCTCTTCGAAAAACTCAACTACAACAACACGCCTTTCTCATCAGAGTTCCCCCTTGCATTCATGGTCATCTCAAGTACAGTAGTTGGAATCCTCTTGAACCATGCAAGCATCCCACGTTGCGCTGCAAAATAGACCTGTCTGTCATGAAGACATCGTCTAGTTGTCCGGAATTCGTGCAAGCGAGTGTGTGGCTATCGTCTAGCTCACGACCTTGACTTCTGTCTACACTTCATGCTGCTCTGTTCATAGCATCGTACAAGGTAGACACCTGTGACTGCAACCCGTGCACTCAATCGTCATCTTCGTCCCCAGTGAACTCGAGTATCTAGGACAAGTTAGGCTTGCGCTTGAGATAGAATTGAGATGGAGATGCGGCTCACCAGATTGTTCCAATTGCCACCACAGGAAGTAACGGAGCTTGGTCCCATATTTTCAAATCCAAGGCTTCTGTAAAATGGTACCAAGTCATGGTGGGCGAGAAGGGCTATCCGCTCAGCAATTTTGGAGTCTCTCATGCGCTGGATATACGACTTCATCAGAACAGTACCTAGTCCCATCTTCTGGAACTCGGGAGCCACTGCGAGTGAATGGACGCAGATGGTTCCACCGATGTCTTGATGGCCGATAGCTTCTTCGTCGGTTTTGTCTGGCAGAGAAGATCTACGCGCTCTCCAATTTGGAGGAATTCCCATGGAGGCTTCGGTCACACTGGGGGCCGGACTTCTGGTTGCCACAATATGTGCCATCAGCCTTCGTCGAGGGGGAGACGACATTTTCTGGGCCTCTGCTTTGGTAGGCTGAGTGAACAAACCCAAACTCAGTTCGGGGCATCGGGTGAGCCGGTATTGAAACTGAAGAGAACAGTTAACACAGTATCCAAGAGTAATAGAGAGACAGGCTAGTAAATAAAATGGCACAGGAAACATTAAAGAGGGCCGTACCTTCTCCCGACTTGCCCTCTGTTCGGGCGGAAACGCCTCTTCCTCAACAGCAAAGCATTGGTCAACATTGGATACCGACAAGACTTGGTTCTCGGGATGGAGCGAATCCCACTTGTGAGTCGAGCCTCGTCGGCGATTGCCTAGGCGGCCAGTGAGCATGCTCAACAAGGGGTGGTTGGCGATAGGGTCCTGATCGTCTTCTGAATCCTCCTCGGATTCCACAACATCATCAGCGTCTTCTAGATTATTGCCGTACCTCTGCAGCTCTAGGGGGCCAGGTGAAGTGGTTTGCGCGTTGTGGTCACTTTCTGGCATGTCGACGTCGGCGTTGGCGTCGGCGTGCTGAATGTCGATGAAGCCATCTTCGTCTTGTGACGACTGACCTCTTTCGGATCTGTCCTTGGCAGGGCTCCTAAGATCGGTTGGCTGGTTTGATTGGCTCATGCTGTCTGCTTCCGCCTGGTCATTAACGGTCAATGGCAACAAGCGAGGCGAACAGGGTTCTTTATGGGAGCGAGTGTGAGGTCGCACAAAGTTGGCGTCTGTTGGCAAGCTTGAAGGATTTTCTTAGTTCGTTGTAGATGCAGAGGACGTTCACCCTAATGGGTTGACGTTGCGTTATTTGCGATGCGACAGGTAGAGGGAAAAACTCGTGAGGGCGAACAAGGGTCTGGAAGCTAATTGCGCAGAACAAGAATGGAGGCAAGAACAGTCTATGGCGGTAGACAATAGCCTTAATCTTAACGAAAAGACGTACGGTCCACGTTGGTTTTCTGAAAAACTGAAGAGGTGAGGACAGTAGATTTTGTGACTTTGAAAACTGCAAGTCGCACACGGGTAAGTCGCTCAGGTACCTACGTAGTACCTTATTTTACATCGGGTCTACTAAACCCCGAATCTGTGTGTTACTTCGAACTGATTGATCTTTACCTGGAGAGAGTACCTTAAAGTCAATTTCCCAGGTAAGGCTCAGCGGCTAAGGGGCCTCTAAGGCAACTGAAAATGAATGGCAGCTTTCGCCTGCCCCCAGTAGGCAGTGCTTGATCTGCAGGAACATTCCGTTACTGCGTACTACTACTACAGGTACCTAAAGGTATCTCTGTGGGAGCGCTCCTTAGGGACCCTAGGCTTTGGAAGCCTCCTAAGCATCCCAAGCCTCATTATTATGGTGCTCAATGACCTCAGTCTGTGAAGGGTTCTGCAATTGCAGTACATTGCATACCTCCACAGTCGAACAACCCATCTTGCTACCTATCAATAATGCCACATTGTCTGGTAGCAAGAAAGATAGCAGAACATGGTCAAAGAATGGCGCTTCGATTGCTTCCTGCATTGGGCCCTTAATCCCAGAGCGGTGACAAAAGTAAGGCACCAAGGTAATGCATCTGAGATCTTCAGAAGTGAAATGCGGACAAGGATACAGTATTTTATGCGTAAGTAAAGTTTGGTGCCACTGTCCACCTAAAAAGACCGATAATGGACCCTGAGATTGGTGGCCAGGGGCTAGTAGGGTGGCTAATAAGGCTCTTGTGCGGCGGGCGGCGAGGCTGCGTATTTAGGGTGCAGTGTGGACTATTGGTAGGCACCTTAAAACTATAGGGTACTAATGTAGCGCGTCATCGCCATATGCCTGAACAATGAACGTGTTTCCATCACCGTCTATTGATGAGAAATCATTCTTGAATGCTGTGTCAGTGTATGTTCCATCTCTCTCTCATATCCTCATCAACACACCTTCAGCACTGTTCCAAATCCAACATATTGACGAGAAACGCCTTTCTTGTATCCCAACTCCATTCTAAGCCAAGAATCATGTATGTACACTCTCGGCCCATGTGCAGATCGAGCCATTGAATGTTCCTAAACTAACACAAGCTAGGCGCATCTCAATATCGATCGTCGTCTCTGATATAGACCTCGAGTCCGACTTCATCAGCCTCGATGTTGGCCCTGACATGACCCTCAACGATATCAGAGCTTTTGTAGAAGCCGAGATCAACGTTCCCCCCTCCGCTCAGCACTTCCTACAAGATGGCCGACCTGTCACGGACACCACGAAGAGTTTAGCCCAACTGAATATCCAGGAAGGAGGCGTTTTGGCGATGGCGATTCAGAGCACAAGACCCAGCAGACGTGCCCCCCAACAGCCCGCCGCCGGTCAATCAGTCCAGAATCTACAAAGTGGCAATAATCCGGAACAAGCGAGGCTGCGGATTTTGGGAGATCCAGTTGTTATGGCCGAGTGTCGACGACAGGATCCTGAGCTGGCAGCTGCATGTTCCGACCCTCAAAAGTTTCAAGATTTGTGGACTGCGAGACAGAGACAGTACGAGCAGGTGCAGCGGGAGAAAGAGGAGCAGTTTGCCTTGCTAGAAGCCGATCCTTTCAATGTCGAGGCTCAGCAAAAGATTGAAGAGATCATACGGCAACAACGGGTCGCAGAGAACTTACAGAAGGCGATGGAGGAGAATCCGGAGTGTAAGTCGTCATGAAGGTACATGAAGGACACAATGCTGACTTGTCTTCAGCTTTTGGCAGGGTCACCATGCTCTATATCGATGTTACAGTCAACAACGTCCCCATCAAAGCTTTTGTGGACTCCGGCGCGCAAACCACCATCATGTCTCCGTCCGCTGCCGAGCGATGCGGAATCCTACGGCTGATCGATAAACGCTATGGCGGCATAGCAAGAGGAGTGGGCACTGCAACCATCCTTGGACGTGTACACTCAGCCGAGATCCAGATCGGGCAGTACAATCTGGCCAGTAGCTTTACCGTCATGGAAGGCAAGGACGTGGACCTACTGCTCGGCCTCGACATGCTCAAGCGGCATCAGATGTGCATCGACCTCAAGAAAAACTGTCTACGTGTGCAGGATGACGAGATACCTTTCCTGCCGGAAAGCGAGATTCCCAAGATGATGGAAGAGATTCTAGAGAATGAGCCTAAGGTTGCAGGGCCTAATGGAAGCACCATTGGCACAACCACCGGCACCGTCGAGCCACGGACGACATCGTCAACTAGCGAGCAGTCAAAAGCAGGACCGAGCAGCAGTACTGCGCCGGCGCAAGCCTCCTCCTCCTCACAACCCACAGGAGGGCATGGTAACTTCGGCCCATCGCAACCGATTACCCCCGAATCAATTGCCAAAATCACCGAGCTGGGCTTCTCGCGGGAGGAAGCGATTGGGGCCTTGAGACAGGTCGACGGCAATGTCGAATTGGCCATTGGACTTCTGATATGATGCATGACGCAAGATGCAAGCCTGGAGTTCGGTTGTGTGTGAGCATTTTCCTGGCGGACTACTAATCAAGGGTCCAAGGACTAGATAGCATCATTTCGGATCATGAGCAAAGAAACCTGCTGGTGGCAGTCTCGTACCAACAAACTTTGCTATCTGATACAAACCCCCCGAAAGCCAATTAATTGTAAGAACCTGGGTATTAAAGTCCGAAATAGTCCCCCGTTCCTTTCACATCAGGATTCTTTCCCACAAGATCTCATCGGGCGCGAAAGACGCGAGGGGCGTAAATTGAGTCAAGGTACTAAGTGGAAGGTAACGAGGGTAAGTAGCGAGCGAGGTAGGTAGGAAGATGAGCGAGGTGACGAGGCTGAGTACTGTGAGTGGGCTGTAAAAGCGGCGTCGATACAATGAGTCCAGGCTTGCTGGTCCACTGGCATGGATTCGCTATGCTTTGAACCGCCAAGGCTTGGATTCCGCATCTGGATTGCGGATCGCAGTTCACGTCTTTGCGTGAAGCGCAGGTGAAGGACGACCTTATCATCCACTATCACTGCTACGACACCAACCTCACTGCCTTCCTGTGATAGCTGCCATACCCTCTGCAAGAGAATTAGCCGGAGGCTGAAATACCCGGCATGAATCGGCAAGGTGCGTTCACATTTCCTCCTGCACTTCCTTCCATCCACCCAGCACAAGGGCATGGCGATCACTTGACCTCCACATCATCCATGCGCTGTTCGTCGTCAACACAACGGAGTCTTGGTCTTTGGTTACAAGAGGGGGGTACATCAGACCGGAAACTTCGGGGGGCCGAAGGTTGCAGGAATCAATGGGCGCATTCGGGTCAATCGCATTACAGCGGTCAGCGAAACCACTCCCCTCCGTGAGCCGGACATGCACATCGAACGAAACACGTGTCGCTAGTACGGAACGACATCACGCACGGCTTTCGAATGCTGAGATGTGTGAGCTTCAAATCGAGTGTTTCCGTCATCGCGCAGCCGACTGCGACACAAGGAGCCTCGAACATTGGCCATGCGATTTATGTGTTCAAGTATCTCCATACGGTTGGAGAGCCTTGCAACGTTGCTCTGAACTGGCAGGCTCCCATGTGAGGTCTCGAGAGTCGGAGCTGGCTTGCGCATTTGCGGGAGTTCATAAGCCACCAAAACCAGACCAACAGCAATAAAGTCCCTGCACCAACCCGCACCGAAGAATCTCTCCGGAGGTGTTGTCCATGTGTGCCTTGCTCTACCTCAGGACATAGGCGCCCTAGAAGCTTTCAAAACGAATGTGGAACGGTCCAAACTGTTTTCAGCCTTCCTCGTGGAAGATTAGCTGGGAAGCTTTCTGACAAGCGATGCAATGGCCAACTCCCAAGATGCTAGACCATTGTTCCCTGTCCCCGATTGCCTTTGATTTCTTTCCGTTATTGCTTTTATCATTTTGTGAAAAATCTTCCTGTTGTCATTCACTAACCAACCTTTTCAGGACAAACACGTCCACTTCCGGTTGGGGACAATACAAACCAACCCTCTCAACCTCGAACCGCCAGCAACGGTAGAATGATCATGAATAAACCAGGTATGTAATTGCAAAAGAGCACGCGGATTCCGACTGACCCAGTGATAGGTTCCTGGGCCCAACCTGGTATTGCAGCAGCTTCAACGACTTCCCATACAGCTAGGGAGTCGCTGCCACCGGAGAACTGGGCACAAGCCATGAATTCGAGGACGAATGCCCAACTCGATCTCTCGGCCTCTTCGTAAGCCGCCGCCCTTGTTCCGATCAAGAACTCGCCCACATCGAGACCCCCGTGCGGCTAACTTTCTGACCGTAGCTTCCCTAGTTTAAACAATGCTGGCCTACAGTCGCAGAATCACGCTGTCGGCTCTAGTGCCTGGCAGACTGGCCCTCCACAGAATGAGCAAGGCCAGCGACAACAACTACAATCATCACGACCCCTTGTTCCATCACGACAACAACAGCAGCAGCAGCCACAGCCCACAAGCACGAATCGTGGTGACGGAATGTATCCTACCGATACCTACTCACGAAATGCGCCTATGGAGTTTCCATCTGAAACTTCACAGCCGATACGCCGTGCCAATCAAATAGCCAGTGGACCGCCAGGACTGGTGCAGCGGCCACCGAACCAGCAGAACGATGGTGTCTCTCGTGACATGAGCAGAGTTACATCTCCTTCGGGACAAACACAGATCTGTGAGCTTCCCGATACATGATATCTCTCACCCTGCTGACACATTCCAGCTCGGTCACCTATGCTGCAGAGTCTGAATGCTGTGATAGGCCAAGATAGATTCTTAGAGCAGGACACGAGATTTCAGAACAAGGACTACTCACAAGATTCCCCATCGCAATCATTAGCATTGCAAACAAGGGACATTTTCTCCGACCGAGAGTCCGGTGCCCGACCAGATCAAACCATGGACTCCATCTTTGCCGGCATGACTGAACGAGAAAAGTTCGGCATGAAGGGGTACGTTGCTGAGCAGGAAAATGCAAGTCCAGCGGGGAGAAGTATCATGCGTGGAGTGGATCTGTCGACGCTGGGCATCAACATGAGCTCTCAGGAGCCGTTGCTGGCCACATACCCTGGCCCCTGGGCTGAACCAAATGCTCAACCGTTGCGACCACTGGACTCGGAATACAGCATACCGGATTGCTACACGGTCAAGAAGATTGCACCGCTGGCGAGCCGCATCAATGGGTTCATGGACGAAACTCTTTTCTTCATTTTCTACACGATGCCGCGGGACTACACGCAGATGCTGGTGGCTCAGGAATTGGTGGCGAGGAAGTGGCGATATCACATGAGAGAGAAGCAATGGCTGACACGAGACGACGCATCGCCCAGTCCGGTGCTGTTAGATGACAAAGTCAGTGAACAAGGCTATTACATCTGGTGGGATACCAAACTGTGGAAGAAAGTACGGCGAATCTACACGTTGAGGTACGAGGACCTGGAAGAACAACCGAGTATGGGCAATCGGACCATGCATGCCGGAGCCATGGGTGCAATGGCCGGAAGCGTCATGAACGGGGGAATGGGAGTTGGTAATTTCAACGCCGTACCCAGTCTGGAGCGGATGGCAGCTAGTGGGAGAGGGTTCTGATGCAGACTGCCTCCCGCATACCGTACCGCCTGACCATGATACCCCCTGAGAGTTGACGCTACTGGGGTTCTTGATGCTTGTGCTTGCAAAAGACAATGCCCCAACTGTCTGGGATAGCTCTGGGGCTCTTGAATACAACAACGGACTGCTTGCACCATTCAATTGTGTTTGGCTTGTAATGTGAATACCGCTTCTACTGTCCGAAATCACTGTGTGGCAGACATCTGGGATTACGTTGTACTACTAATAAGTAGAAGACTCCACGATAGTGAGATCGTCGTATCGTTGAGATAGATGAGAATCATGGCGAGTGAATCTCTGATATCACGTGAAGCCGGAAGAACCGTGCTCCGCCGCCGGCGTCATTATTGATTGCAGTGCGGCGCCGTACATTTAATTGAGAAGGTGATTTCATGACCGCCGGAAGGGAACCTCGAACATTGCAACACACTGTGTTGTCTATCTGCAAGCACTTACCTTAGGCATCGATGTCAATGTTCTGTCGATCTACTTCTCAGTCTCTCTTTTCTCCGTACTATGTCATGAGCCTTGCAGGTCCAGCCCAACGTAATCGTGCCCTTCCCCATTCTGCATTCCTCGAGTGACCTCACACCGGACCGGAACCGTAGCAAACCACCCTACTCTTCGACGGAGTGCACCTCATTCGCGATTTGACTAGGAACAGAGGTTTCCAAGAAGCAGGCACTTTGTTGGTCTAGCTAAGGGTTGCCGCGTCAACTGCACGCATCTCAGACACGTTGAACCCTCTCTACTCTCTGTTCTCTATTTCCGTCTGTCATGCCATTTTCTTCTTGGTTCTCTTCTATCAAGGCTTCGTCTGAGCCCGGCCATGGCGACGAAGACGAGGAGGTCTACCAGCCGGAAAGTATGTCCCCTGTGGACGCTCTAGACTTCGGTACGATTGCGGACAGGGTGGAGGCGCTGCAGCAAGAACTCGCCTACGCATATGATCTCTGCGAGCAAGCAAATCTCCAATTTGACAAGTACCGCATCGATGTCCGCGAACTCAAGGAGACTATGGCGGCACTGCAAGTGGTCAATGAAGAGCTTCAATATCAACTGGGCAAGGAGAAGGACAACAGTCTGAGATATCAGGCACAGATTGAGCGGGATCAGGTCATGATCAAGAGCCAGAGGATGCTTGTGACGCAGCTTCAAGCCAGACTCAGCACGGAAACATCGTCTTTGCGTGCTATGACGAAACACGCTCGGACTCTTGAGCAGCGAATGGTTGACACGCAGTTTGACCTCGAATATCTCAAGTGCACCACAAACGCAGAGCAACGGCTCATCAATCCCCCCAATATTCAGAACGAAGACGCCCCTCTTCCAGCGCAGCCATTCGTTGTGGTCTTGGTGGACGGAGATGCTTACAAGGTGAGAATGTGCTCCAGGACCTTCAACCTTAAATGGTCGGTCGGCCGACCGAATCTGACAACCCAACAGTGGAATCCTGATCTTTTTCTGCGGTCCATGCATGTTGCCAACTCCACCGGTGCAGAGCGAACCGAGCCTGGTGGTCTGGCGGCCACAAGGATCAGAAACGAAGTCATCAAATACATTTTGAAGCACACCGAGACGATACCCATCACATCGAAGGTCATCACCCGCGTTTTCTGCAACTATGGTTATGAAGGACAATTCCTTGGCCGGCAACGAGCGGCAACTACGCAGGTGGCCTTGAGGGATTTCGCCGTCCAGTTTACTGAGAAGATGCCTCTTTTCGACTACTTCGACGCGGGCAGGGGCAAGGAGAGGGCCGACGACAAGATCAGAGGTGAGAACTCATCCTTGATATAATGCTTTACTTTTCTCTTGAAAGCCAGCGGGACCTGCAGACTGACATGTCTACCAAACAGAAAACTTCCATCTCTACCTGTCCACCCCGAACTGCCACGCCATCTTTGTCGCCGCCTGTCTCGACAACGGATTCGCTCGAATGCTGGAGCAATACTCAAACCACCCTCTCGCCTATCAGAAGATTGTGCTTGTGAATCCCGGCCACATGGCCTTTGAGATCCAAAACTTGGGCTTCAAGCAAGTCATGTGGTCCAATGTCTTTGCTACCATGGCCATGTCGAAGCCACTGGCGATGAAATATGAGAAGGGCCTGCAAAAGCAGCGAAGCCTCAAAGGTTTTAGCCCCTGTCTAAATTGGGGTGCAAACACGGCCAGGGCGGCCAAAGGATCTGCTGACGGAAGAGGCAGCCTTGACGTGGCCAGTTTTCTGCTCGAGCGAGTGCCGATGTGGGACCTGAACGAATCCATGGCCAAATATGCCAGTGGAGTCGGGATGAGAGTTCCACTCAGACATGATGGCGACGAGGTGCCTACCAGTCCTGTCATGGAACATGTCGAGCTCGAGGAGGAAGTTGATTGAGAGTGAAAGTCTGCGATGCCAGCATTGTGAGGATATCATACGAGCAGACATGTGAAGCTATTGCGTACACCATTGATCTAATAGGGTTACTGCTCCCTGTCATGACAATGCAGGACTGTGCGAAGGATCGATCATTTTCAAGCCGTGGATTGTACGTCCCAATTGTCGCCGGGTACTTCAAGTTGCTATCCTCGACCTGTGACGATGACTTGCTTCATCGGCCATCGAACGACGTCTCCCAGCACTTGTCCTCCTTACAACGAGATCAACACACTCTTCAGCTCGGTCCAGTAGTCAGTCGCATACTTGCTCAATTCTCTCCCATCACCACTCTGCTTCCAGCCGCCAAAGGGCAAGTCAATCGCCATGGTAGGACTAGTACAATTGACACCGACAGCACCAGCCTCGAGCGCCTTGGCGACTCTCAAAGCCCGAGAGATATCCTTGGTGAAGAGACTCGCATACAGACCGTACTCGGTATCATTGGCGCGGTTCAGCACCTCGTGCTCATCGGTGAATGTGTTGACGCAGACCACCGGTCCAAATATCTCCTCCCTCATCACGTTGGAGTCTTCCGGCGCGTTGGCAATGATGGTCGGCTGGACGTAGTACCCCGTCTCACCTTCTCTGCTGCCCCCGATAGGGATATCCAGGCCGTTCTCCCTGGCGTAATTGAGATAGGACATGACGCGATCGAACTGGATCTTGTCGGCCTGTGGACCGCGTCTGGTGCCCGCGACGAGCGGGTCGCCTGACACGCCCATCTGCAGCATGGCCGACTTCATGGCCTCGAGGAATCTGTCGGCGATGTCGTTGTGCACGTAGACTCTCGAACTGGCGATACAGGCCTGACCGGAGTTGGCCAGGATCGAGAACGCAGCGGCGGGCACGGCCTTTGCAAGATCGGCGTCGTCGAACACGATCAGCGGGCTCTTCCCGCCGAGTTCCAACGTCACGTTCTTCAGGTTGGATTCGGCGGCGGCCTTCTTCACCGCTCGGCCGGCGGTCACGGAGCCGGTGAACGAGACTTTGCGGATCTCCATGTGTTTCGCAATTGCTTCGCCGCACGGCCGGCCATAGCCGCTGAGGATGTTCAAGACCCCTTTTGGCAGATCGATTTCCTGGGCGAGTCGGCCCACGACGAGCGCCGAGAGAGGTGATTTCTCAGACGATTTAAGGACCAGAGTATTGCCCGTGGCGAGGGCCGGGCCGACTTTGTTGATGAGCATCAGGAGAGGCCCGTTCCAGGGGATAATGGCGCCGCAGACCCCGAAGGGCTGGCGGAAGGTCATGTTCACCATGTTGGTCGAGTTCAACGATGAGTCGCCCGACACGTCGAGCGCTTTGCTGGCGAAGTACCGGAGGATTTGGACGCTAATGAGAGAAAAGACTGTTTGACAGGTTTGGATAAGTCAGCCACTGCATGTCAGCTGGACAAGGAGATGCCGTCTTTTGTTTTTAGTAGATTTGCAGACTTGGGAGTATGGGGTTGTGCCTCACAGTCGCCCACATATGGTTTGCCCATGCTGATGGCTTCGAGATAACCGATCTCATCGATGTGCTTTTCGATCGCGTCGGCCAGTTTGTTCAGATATCCGCCTCGCTCGGCAGCGGAGAGGGCAGACCAGGCTGGAAATGCCTCCTTCGCAGCCTTGACTGCCGCGTCGACATCCTCGGCTCCAGCTTCGTATACTGACGCTGCCAGCTTCTCTGTGGCTGGGTTGAAGACGTCGAACTTCTTGCCGGAGATCGATGGCGCGAATTCGCCATTGATAAACAGGCGGTCTTCAATGTGCTTGGGCTTGCAGCCCTCGCTTGAGGCATTCTCGGCGGTAGCTGACGGGGCCATTTTGGGAAATTTGTTGCTAGAAGGGATATCGCGGTTTAGTGAAGGAAGACCTTTGCAGACGTAACACCGCTCCGGGAGGAGCACAGGAGAGGCACTCTTCTCTTTATATGTTGAGGGCTATGCCTCATGGTGTCATGCTCGTAGAGCTTATGCTGTCAGCCTCTAACCTATTTCTCATGGTCTTTCCCAAGATCAGCCAGACAACCTCTGCAGGGATCCATGTCTTCCGCGAGCGATGGCATCCGATGCTCCGGGGATAAGAAAACTTGCCGGCGAATCGAACATGGATGTGTGCACGATGTTGTGGCAACTGACGCACCTGCATCTGGTCCACTGGGCTGGAGAGACGTAGGGCGTCCCATTTCTAGGCCAAACAGACGAACAGTTGAGACTCGGTGTCGGCTGGATTGGGCAATGGTGCTCTTGTAGACCGGGACCAAGGCAAAGGTAACGACGTACCAGGCTGTCTCCAGCGGATTTGGTAAGATTTGCTTACCTCCTCTTGCCGTCGGACAGCCTGAGCCCCGTCATTGTTGAGGATAGCAGCTTCATCATAGTTATGAATTGTCAGAGCTGGCCAGGCCATAATACACTGAGCGTCGATCAGGGAAGGAGTTTCGTTTGATCCGCAAATGTAGGTACGAAAGGTCAGGACTCCACCGATCAAGTCTTAATTCTCACGTCAGCACCTTGCCCTCCAGAGGAAGGTGGAATATCACAAAAATTGGACGGCCCAAAATTTGACGTTACCGAGGTAGTATTGTTGATGTGATGCCAGGAGGCAGTCAGGAACGGCCAGTCGCCGGTCACCCTGCGGGAAGGCGAGGAGCGAGATACATGCTTCGATCCATGTACGAAAGAAGGCAAATCGGGAGACGAAGCCTGCATGATGCCAGTGCTGTCCATAGTGAGTGAAAAGGACAAAGGAGCAATTGCCACTTCTATAGACGGGAGTGACATGGTCTAGGGGAGCGTGCGAGTCGACTCGATTCTGGTGTGTCTGTCATTGACGAGGCTGTACTCAGCGGACCATGGAGCGTGACTGTGAGACGAAGACCTCTTCATTCATTCTTCCCATGAAGTCATCAAATTTGCTGTTTTCTCGTTATATGTGGTCCATCAGCATCTATTTTCAAGAGTCCGGGGAAAGACCCCTGTATCTGGTACAGCGACCAGCTCTCCTATGATGATCTGTCCTTGCGATTCAGCTGGCGCTTTTCTTGCCTTTTATGAGTGAGTCCATTCGGGCTTCTTCTTTTCAGCAAACGCCTTCATTCCGATCTTCTGGTCCTGACTGCCAAACAGCGAATGGAAGATGCGGCGTTCATACTCGACGCCTTCTCTGACGCCCAGATCTTGACTTTTGTTGACCACCTCTTTGGCCGCCACGACGGCAACTCGCGAGTAACTAGCAATCTTCGCGGCTGTGTCCAAGGCGCCTTCCAGAACCTCTTTGTTCCCCCCGTCGAATGCTCGTGCGGCGAGACCGTGCTTCTCCGCCTCCTCTCCGCTGAAGTTGTTCCCCGTCAGAATCAGTTCCATGGCTTTACTCTTGCCGAGTGCAGCAGTGAGTCGTTGAGATCCTCCGGCGCCGGGGATCGTTCCAAGCTTGATCTCGGGTTGACCGAAGTTGGCCGTCTTGGTGCAGTACATGATATCGCACATCATGGCCAGCTCGCACCCGCCTCCCAAAGCATGGCCAGACACAGCAGCAATCACAGGCTTGCGGATGGTGGTCATGAAGGACCATGATGCGATGAAATTGTTCGAATATGCTTCCGAGAAGGTGAGAGGCGCCATCTCTTTGATGTCCGCGCCGGCTGCCGAGTGTGCATTCGTCAGTTTGCATGTCTTCTTCGTCTCGGTTTGCTAGTCCTGTATCGTACCTGCGAACGCCTTGTCGCTTCCCGTCAGCACGATGGCGCCGATCTCTTTGTCATCATCAAACTTCTTGAGTGCATCGTTCAGTTCGACGAAGAGGGCGCTGGACAGGGCGTTCAGGGCTCTTGGTCGGTTTAACGTGACTGTTGCAGTACAGGAGAACCATTAGCACGATGGTCATCTCGGCCGTGGAGATTTGAGAGCATCATATGCATACTCAGTCCGACACCTGGTCTAGGGGTCGACACCAGGATGTTTTCATAACTACTCGACGTGGATTGAAATCGGACCAGGCGAGGGAGAGTCCTGGGTGCGGAGGAGGTCAAAGCCGCGATGGGACGGGACAACAGCCTCAGAGAAGCCATGGTCGACATGTAGTGAGACTTGGGAGGTTGTTCGAAGTTCTCTCAACAACTTTAATCCTTCAAGCTCGACATAGTAATCAGATACCGCCCACAAACTGAAAGGTTCTTGATTGTGAAGGCAGATACCGGAGGAGTGAGTCCTCGATGTCTCCTTCGGCTTGACCGTGAACAACCGCCGTCATCCTCGGTTCAGATTCTGGGGATCAAAGCCAAGCCCGATGATTCGCCTTTACTGCAGTGCAGTGAGGTACCTACTATCGAGCTATGTAGTAGTACTAGAGTAGTAATAGCGTGCACCCTGTGGTGATCCCCCTCGCCCCCTAAAAGAGCCTCCTAGCCCCTAAATCTCCGACTTTGGTGGCGCAGGCGGCAGCGTTTGTAGTAGTAGTAGTACTGTACACAGTACACGCCGCTTGCAGCTCTGTACCTACTACTGAATTGTATCCACTGGCACACTCGATGGAGAGAAAATTAAGACGTGGCTTCATCGATTGTTGTCCCTCAACAATTCACACGACTCCTCTCTCTCTCCCTGTCTTTGTCACTCCTTTAGACCGCTTCCCTTCCAAGCTTAAGGTGAACTGATTGCGTGCGGCATTACTCTCTCCCGTGCGCCTTAGTTTCCGCTCGTCTCTCCACGAGCACCCAGCAGGCGCATGCGCAGACCCTACACCTCTTCCACCCTACCAACACGCGCTACCACCATGGACGGACCTGAGCCAGACACGACGCCTTTTGATGCGATAACCACCCAGAGCAATAAGCTGCTGAGGGTATGCAGATGGATCCAATGTATACGCGAAGCGCATGTCGTGGCTAACCGATCTCTGCACAGCAATACCAAACCTATCTCGACAAATCAACTCCCTACACCACCTATCGTTGGGCGGCGACCGGCGGGCTTCTCGTCCTCTTCTTCCTTCGAATAGTCTTCGCGCAAGGCTGGTACATCGTCGCATACTGCCTCGGCATTTACCTGCTCAACCTCTTTCTCGCCTTCCTCCAACCCAAGTTCGATCCGAGTTTGTCACAAGATGAAGGACTGGAAGACGGCGAGGGATCCGCCCTGCCCACCAAGCAAGACGATGAATTCAGGCCGTTTATCAGACGACTGCCCGAGTTCAAATTCTGGCATTCCGCGACACGGGCCGTTGCCATCAGCTTCGTCTGCAGTTGGTTCGAGATCTTTAACTTGCCGGTCTTCTGGCCTGTCCTGGTCATGTACTGGCTGATTCTGTTCTCCTTGACGAGTGAGTCCCGTCCGAGGCTCCCCAGTTGGGTAGTGCGCTGACAATGGCCCCAGTGAGAAAACAAATCCAACATATGATCAAGTATCGTTATGTCCCCTTCTCTATCGGAAAGGCGAAATACTCTCGCAAATCATGAGCACCTCGCGGTAATTGACCACGGGGTTTCTCTTGGATGCGAATGAAGCCATGGTTTCAACACGGAATAGTGATCTACGAAGTGCACGCTTTGCAGGAATGTACAGTGTGGATCGACGGTTCTCTGCAATGGCACACGGATTGATGACGTTAAGTTGCCTCGGATACCAGATCTGATCCCGTCCATCTCAGCCCTGGGCCAATTTCCCTTGGACAGCGACTTGCTACTTGCTACGAATAAATATCAATTCAATTCAACCAGAATTCAGAGGACATACATGGACAATCACAGTGGATGCTGCGGAAAACCAGCACACACAGAACGGCTCACTGGGCTGACTTGCAAATTCAGGAACAACCCGAATGGCCATCGGCATGTGTGCCATTTCCGGTTGCAAGAACGGTTGACGTCGCCTCTCAGATCCCATCCCGCCTGCACTCTGTGTCATCTTCCTCTTCGGAGTTGTATGGTGGTGACTTCCTCACCTGGGCCGCTCCTTACTCTATTGACCGAGTTGGCAATCCTTCAAATATCTTCTCCCTCTTCCGTTCTTGTTTCTCCCCTTCTTCTCTTCATTCCATATTCAGCACATTAGCTCTAACATCTGTTATCTCCTCCATTACCGAGCTACCACATTTTGGCATTTTTCTCTCCTTTCTCACATCTTCAGCATTCTTCTAGTCTTCCAGTCTTTTCCAAACATCCCTTTGCCTCCAACCATGTCGCGGCAACTTCTCCCTGCACTGCTCACCGACTGCGTCGCCGTGGCGCCAACCAATACCCAAGTCACCACTGAGGGAGCCAATGCTTCTCCGTCAGACTTCGACTTTGCCTCCTACCTTCGTACCATTGATTCGGCGCAAAGATATGTTTTGACGGAAATTGCAAGCCGGCCAGCTTCGGTCATGGTTAGAGCACGCAAAGAACTCCAGCAGGGATCGAACCTTGGACAAAACCTCGCCCAGAACTTTGGGGCTTTCCCCCACCATGAGAATCTGATGCTCACCTACCGCCCCACTTCTACGCCGTATTCTTCTGATGTGGGCAGCAGCCAGCCTGATCCTTTGGTAAGTTACCTTTGCTCGACCCCAGCTGGTGATGTTCTTCTCCAAATGTCTCTCTTGCTCTCAAGCAGCCACTGCTTCTGCTGCAGCCAAAGTCACGGCGCGTACAGTCTTGAACAACGCTAATTCTCTGTAGCAATTGGAGTACGTGGCACTGTCACTATTTGTCCGGCCAGAATATCATGGATCTTCGCCGCACAAACTCTTGATCAGGTCTCTATCAAGACTCCCTCCACATGACAAGTTATTGGTGCCACCGGGAGGTGCGCTATATCGAGTCGCGAAGAAGACGGGCGTGAAAATCCCAGAGCCGCTTCGATATGACGCCTGGGCAGGAGTCCTGACGACATCGTACCTGGGTGAACTCTGCTCCTTGTCAAAGTTGTTCGGCTGTATCTTTTCTGCCAACACGACTCCCAATGTCACACCACCGTTGGGACCGGCAATCCGTGAGCTTGTGGGTTGCGAGAATGCATCGCAGATGTTCTTCACATCTGCAGGCCAAAGTCTCGGCAAATTCCTTGCCAAACTCCATGCCCCCAAAACCGCCCAGCGTCTCCGACGTGTGATTCCCAACGTGTCCAACAGAACACCTGGAAGATCGGAGCGTGCAACAAGGACGATACGGGAGGCAATCGACCAGATGAGAGACCATCTCAAGGCCTGGCGGTCTTTTTTTGCCACCAACACTGAGTTGAACGACATCTGTGTCAGTCTTACCGTTGACTCGACGCAGGCAATCCATCCAAATGAATAGTTATTCAGTCATGGAAACTGCGACTTTGAGTCTGTCTTTGTCGAGGTGCCGCTCGAGCAGGGAGCGGCGTATGGCCCTCCAGGATTGATCAACTGGACTGATGCGGGGTGCTATGGCAAAGGCATTGTCGACGATCTTGCTCGGCTCATGGCGGACTTGGAGATGTACAAATCAGTCTTCGAGCATCACATCGCGTTGAAGGATGCCGGCATCAACGTTGACGGCCTTTTGGACCTGGATTCCATCGGCTTAGCTTTGAGCTACCTGAAACGCGGTCTGAAAGCGGGATACAAAACCAAGAGCAAGTTGTACTCGACCTTTCACCTCAAGCCCATGGCCCAAAGGACTCCATTGGAAAGATTGAACCACAAGGGCCTTCTCGAGAACACGTCCTTGATGTCACTGGAACGATCCACGTACCTCGCTCACGGTCTTCGAATCATCAACCTGGCATTCGAGAAGACATGGCCATGCATTGATCCGTCGTGCACTGTGGACGGACAGCACACTAGCGTCAAGGAGGATTGCAAGGTGGTCCAGTTGATGGTGCGGCGAGGCCTTTGGTTCTTGCGAATGGCAAGGGTTGACGAAGCTACATTCTGCAATGGCGAACACAGACAGAACATTCACCAGGGGGTAGATTGGCCTGGGTGTGGACGACCATGGTTGCCGGAGATGTTCACCGAAGAAGCTCGCGGACCATGGTACAAGTTTGGCATGGGACGTGGTCATTGACTAGTATCGCTTTTTTGAAGTAAGTATACTTTCGTTTATTGATGAATAGACTGTTGTTGTCACTGAATGTGAGCCGGCTTGTTGTTTGCACTTGTCTGATCTGACCTTCGCTGCTCTGCTCTGCGTTTCGAGGCTGCTGAACCTCCAGAAGTGCGAGCAATGGCATTCATCGAACCTCCCCGAGGATGTCTACTCGCCACCCCCTTGTATGCCGAGCAGTTAAATCGGCGCACCTGAGGACAATCGACCAAAGGAGGATCTAGCATAAAAGACGGTAATTACTCTGGAGCCCAAGCGTTTTACTGAGTACAGTTTGCGCTCTCTGATCCCAGGGAGGATGGTCCCAATAGTCTGAATCTAGGTGCTGAAGAGGGCGCCAACAATGCTGATGAAGACGAGGCCGAGCCGTTGCAGGCACTGCGCCTTTGCACTCGAAGCGCTTGATTCAAACAGCCAGGCAGATGGCCTGGCGACATCGCTTGCTGCTCTTAAACTGGACATTGTCACAGCACGTCAATGATTCCAACACAGTCCAAATCGTCGTCCCAGCTTCCAGCACACCGGCCTGGATCTTCATCCTTGTTTCGCAGTCATACTTCTGTCTGCTTCTTTCGTGCCGGCACACTCTTGTGGCCCATTTTTTAACTATCGTCTTCTCCAGTCCTCTACCGTACAGGATCTCACGCAGCGTCCTATCAGAAGCCTCTACGGAGCTGGCCTTTTATATCACGCAAGTCCAAGAATTTGGAAGTTCACGGAGAGGCTAGTCCAAGAGCCTGGCGTCGCTTTAGGCGACAGTGTGGTGTGATGTGATGCATACAACTGAATCAAGCACACATCATCTAAGGGTCTAACTGGACTGATTTTCACCTCTGTTTCCCCCTGCTAAGTGCGCATCAGACCATGGTGCCTGAGACCCTCTTTCAAGGCACGCATATGGATTCCTGTCCATGATGAAAGCATGATCCCATCCAGGGTGCTCTGGCCCTACTGCGGCATCGGCTTTTTCCGGCTAAACATTTATTGTCTCTTGCTACTCGGAGTGCAAGCCTATGCCACTCGAAGTTGTACGAGATGGGTCCTCAGCAACGGGTATGGGAGAGTTTTCGAGACAATGGCAGCACGAGAAGGGGTAACTCGCTGAATTCAGCAGTATTACTTCATTTGGATACTGGATCGCTAGGAAGTACGACCAAGTGGTACATCCCAGGTGACATGGTGTTGCTTGATTTTGAGTTGATAGGTGGATTGACTAGAAATATAATTTGGGGGCCACGATTTACAATCATTGAGTCAATAGAATAGTGATTGACCCAATCTTCCTGCAAAGCCAATGCAGTTCGAGGAGATCAAAATGTATGAAGGCCCTACAACAACATGCTTGGTGCGTCCTATCACGGCTACCGCCCACGTGTTGGGTATCCATTTGTTAAGGCCTACCATGGCATCTGTGCTGGCATCTGTGCATCTGTGCTACAACCATTGAAATTTTCATTCATCTTGTCTAGGCCCCCTTCAGACGCTGCCACCCCTTATTGAGGCATGTCTCAGAAGAGTAGCACACCACATCGGGTCGTCGTGCTCATGGATGGCTGCCATAGCGCTCCATCTCGATTCTCCAACAGGAAGAACGGCCTGGAACACTCACTAACGCGAACAACAAGGGGGAGAATGCACAATTATCAGAGCTCAAAGAAGGCCAGCGCGCCAAAATAAGACTGTAGGAACCGAATTGGGGGCCGGTGTGACCAGAAAGGGATTTGGTCATAATGGTGCGTAGTGCGGGTTGCCCCTGAATGGCTCAGCCTGATCATCCCCATGCGTGGTATGGTGGATCGTGTCTGGTCTACGAGTCGAGCCTGTTGAGAAGAGAGAAAAGGAAACTCACGCTCCATTGCTCTGCCTCATGCACTAACACTATAACAAATGGCCGATATGGACGCGTCATGCAAAACCCTCACGACCCTTGGATGTGTCTGGGAAGGGCTAAAGCCTGGTCTGCACAAACGAGCACAGGCCGCACGGTCGAGGCTGGAATTCGGATTCGAATCAAACGGCTCAGCCTACTCTGTACGAGGCACGTCATAACTTGCCAGCATGTAGAGTTACTCTGTATATACTATACATAATATAGCGTTATAGGCACCTGGTCGAAGGTGGAGCGTTGAAGTCTCTGGCAGTCTACAGAGTATCTCTGTATATGAATATGGCGGAGCATATCGTCCGTGGTGACATGCTTGGAAACAAGTGATTGGAGACAGACCACAATTCACTTGCTGTGCTTGAACCCGACGGAGGTTTATCATCACTTCATCATTCATCCTTCAACAATTGATTCAATCTGTTTTCGAGGCGGAAACAATCCAAATCCACATCGATCAAGACCTTGCTGCAATCCATTGTAGCGCCTTTCTCCTCGGACCATTATGCTGAGCCAATGGATCATCGCCTCAGCCTGGCCCCTTTGGGATCTCTTCGGTCATGGGTCGAGCCACCGCAGCTGCAAGTGATTTGGGTCGGCGCATATTGCCGCCGTTTTCAAGAAGACATGCCTAGGACGAATGGGTTTCCAAGTTCAGTAACTCAACGGCTAATGACGCCCTCAACATCTCCCTTGGGCAGCATGAAGGTCAAAGCGCGAACCAGAAGTCCGTGCACCAGCCGGGACGTTGGAGGTCAAAGCCTTTGGTCTGCCTTTTCCGTGCGAAATTCGACTCTGTACACATCTCTATAAGCACTATTGGTGTGGGGACTGCTGGTTATCAGGATCCTTTTCCTCAATAGTATGCATCTAAGTGCCACTGAACATGGCTCGAGCGGTCGACGGACACACGCCACTGACGAATTCATGTTTGATTGCTTCCTGCTGTCAGAGATGTCATCACTCTCAACATGCCGATATCCACGTGCGACCCCTGCGTTGGCGCACTGTATCTGATTTGTCTATATTATGAATCGCGGCCCTTGCCCAGAGCCCAGAAACGTCGATCATCTCGGATCGATCATCTCGGAGATCAGGTCCCGTCAGTCGATCAACGCTCATCATGAAGGCCAGCATATCGCTTTCCGCAGCCTTGAGCCTGGGATCATGGGTAGGAGGTGCCCACGCCTACTGGCGTATGACCTGTGGAATTGCACAAATCGGACGGATTGACCCGATCATCAACCCGGACGAGGTATCGGGCCATGTTCATTTGCTCTCGGGAGCCAGCAGTAAGTGACGCTCGGCGGGAAGCCTTTGCGCGATGACAATGGCATGAACTCACCTCAACCAGACATCAACACCTCGTCGACTTACGACTCTTTGAATGCCGCCGCTTGCACCACGTGCACGATCCAAAAAGACAAGAGCGCGTATTGGACGCCCCTGCTGTACTATGAGCGAGCCGACGGCACTTTTGTCGACGTACACAACGATGGCACCGTCGTTTATTACTTGGGGCGAGGGGAAGACAGCGCCAATATCATTCCCTTCCCTCCCGGCTTTCGCATGCTCTCAGGAAACCCTTCGAAGCGGTCGTACGACAACACTACCATGACCTACGGGAACGACACTTACCCTTCCCGCCCGGTGGCCGACCGGACCAGTTTCGTCTGTGTCAACTACAACAACGAGACGCCCGAGACTCCGGGTATCGAGAACACGGATTGTCCCGATGGCCTGAGAGCGCAGATCCAATTCCAAAGCTGTTGGGATGGAGTCAATCTATACCTGCCCGACCAATCACATGTGGCGTACCTGTCGCAGATCGACAACGGTGTATGTCCGCCAACGCACCCGTACCTTTTCCCACATCTGTTCTACGAAGTCTACTATTCTGTCGCCACTATAGACACTTCGGATGGAGGAAGATTTGTCTTTTCTCAGGGTGATACCACAGGCTACGGATTTCACGGTGGTATGTACTTACCACGATTGAACGTCATTTGCTGGTCAATTTGGTCAAATTTGGTCCCCAAGGCTGACTTATCCTGCACTAGATTTCTTGAATGGATGGGATATCGACGTCCTCACCGCCGGTATTGAGCAGTGCGTCAACGACGATACTACAGGCCAAATATCCCTGTGTCCTCCCCTGAATGACTCGCAAGACAACTACGCCTCGACCAATTGCCCTCAACAGCCCACGCTAGTGGACGAGCAGGTGACAGGCGTCCTGTCCAAGCTTCCCGGCTGTAACGAAGTCACCTCCGGCCCAGCAGATGAACCGCAAGGCATCTGCGCCACCGAGCCCGGCCTCAACGACGTCCCCGACACGGACGGAGAAACGACCGTAACGCCAATCGTCGGCGAAAGCACCGTGACTCTCGCGTCAGGAGGCGTGGCCGAATATGAGGGCTGCTACGTCGAAGCGACCAACGCACGAGCGCTGTCCGGCGCGTCATACACCAACAGCACCGGGATGAGCAGCACGGCATGCGGCGCATTCTGTCAAAGTAAAGGATTCACCGTCTTCGGCATGGAGTATTCGCAAGAATGCTACTGCGGCAACGCCATCACTACCGCCACAGCAAGCCAAAGCGACTGTGCGATGGTCTGTTCCGGCAACCGGACCGAATGGTGCGGCGGCTCGGACCGGTTGAGCGTATGGAACATAACCAGCCCTGGCAACGCGACGTCGACGACGCCGGGAGGAAGTTCTTCAACCGGATCAACCGCGCCGACGGCGACACCATCAGCCGCCGGAGCGACCTATATGGGCTGCTACTCGGACAACGTCGGCGGGCGCGCACTAACATCCTACATCGGCAGCGATGGCATGACATGGGAGATGTGCGCGCAGAATGCGCAGTCATTGAACCGCAAATACTTCGGCATCGAATACGCGCAGGAATGCTGGACCGGCAACACCCTCGCCTCGTCCTCCGCAATCCTCGCCGACTCGACATGCAGCATGGCGTGTAAAGGCGACGCGACCGAGATGTGCGGCGGGAACAACGCGCTCACTCTGTTCCAGAACACGCAGTTCGTCCAGCCCACCATCCCGGCGCTCGTCAACGTCACCAATACAACGGCCACGAGCACGAACACGACGCAACTGACCCAGTACGCCTATGTCGGCTGCTACACCGAAGGAAGCTCCGGTCGGACCATAGGCACTCCGGTCGGCGTCAATACCCCGAGCTATTCATTCACTAACACGACCGGCATGACTGTCGAGCTGTGCGCGCAGACTTGCAGTACTAAAGGCTTCGCCTGGGTCGGCGTCGAGTATGCCCAGGAGTGTTACTGCAATAACCTCGGGGCTGTCAATGGCGGTGCGCTGGCTTCCGGTGGGGATGGTGACTGCTCCATGGTCTGTAAAGGTAATATCGGTGAGTATTGTGGCGGGTCCAGTCGGGTTGGTGTCTATCACCTTCAGACATGATGTGGAGGTGGAGATGGATGTGGAGCAGGAGGTGAAGCTGAAGCTGGAGATGGGAGTGAGTGGTAGCGCTGTTCGAAGGGAGGAATGATTCGTTCATTCGCGTCAATCACTCGGAACGGCGGGCTCTTTGGACAATAGTCTTTTCGGGTCCTGACAGGGGAAAGAGAAAAAGCATGTGTGCAAACAGGCAGGAGAGGTTGTCTTGTCTGGTTTTCGTCTTCTGGATGCAATGCTATTTGAAGATTCGAATTTAGAGTATGGAATTTAGACTTGAAGATTATAATCTAGACAGACTGGAGTCACGGGGAATACTTTCTACCACATACGAGTCAACATATATTCGAAGGGTTTGGTGTACTAGTATTGACATCTCCTTCCGGTAGGAGGATTTCTTGTTTGGGTGAAGCCACGGACTTTGTTGGTCGTGATGAGCGATCTTGACAGCGTGGTATCGGATCGATTAGCCTGCTCAACAACAGCCTCAGGAACTTATATCCGTTAGCAACGACATTGTATGTAGTCGTCGTCGCTACATATCCTGTCATAGCAGATCCAACTATCCGGTGGCATATGTGATAGCTTGATCGATTGGTGGTCGAGGATGCTATCGTCACAGGCGAGGCTATCGTCAAGGAAGCTATCGAGTGATGACGAGGTGAGTAGGGTCTGGGTGGTTGAGGAGGCTGAGGCTATCTATTTATCGTGGAGAACGTCGTTGTCGAGCCTAGGCCCTAGCCCTTCCTTACGCTATCTCGTAGGTAGATAGATAGAAACGTCGCTGAGAAGCCATCTACAGAGGAGAGAGCGAGAGGTCTTTATAAGCATTGGAAGTGAATGCTCTCCTTCTCCTTGCCATGAATGATTCCTCCCTCGATCGCCTTCACCGTCTCGCGCTCGACCCAGTTCGGTTTCCTTTGTGGTCGTGGTTGATTTAACCTTTTGTCTGGTCGGTGGGGTTTCCGAAATCGGCAACTTGATCTTGAAATCCCATTCAATGTTCGATCAATCAATCAATCAATCCCTTCCTCTCAAAATCAACTTGAATCTTATCACTACTAACCACCAGCAAGGCTGTCGAGCGAAGCCCTCCGAATTGATCTCTTTTGATTGCTGGAAGAGCGCAGAGGAATCTGAATCTGAATCTGATCTAAGAAGCAAGAGAGAGGGAGAACGCCGATTGAAAACCCATCTTATCCTCCCAACCCTTACCGACTGACTGCCTGCTTCGCTGCAAAGGAGAGCAAAGCATCTTTCTCTCCGTGGGCAGCTTTTCGACATTTTGGATCCTGTTGAATCTCCTACCTCGTCTGGTCCGGTCTTGGTCCTTGTTGATCTTGCACAATGGAGACGATTCTCCACATCTACCACCCAAAGCGCAACCTGCTTCTCCTGGAGTACGCCAACAAAAGTACCAATTTCGATCCCAGCACCGGTACCGGCACCGGCATCCAAGAACCTTCCAATGTCCTCCTCTTTGTTGGCGGGTTGTACGACAACTTCCGATCGCCGGCGTACATTGAAGATGTTGCCGCCTTGTTCCCGCGAGATTTCGAGAATCAGAAATGGCGCGTGATGCATGTCCAGATGTCCTCGTCGGGGAGGACTTTTGGGTTATATGATTTGGATCGCGATGTATGTTGTTGAAGACTCCAGACTCCAGACTCCGAGCTCTAGACTCCAAAGTCGAAGTTGAACATGCACTCGAACTCGAACTTGAACTTGGTTTCGTATTGTCGGATTGGCAGTCCTGAACACATTCCATTCCATGTTGAGGCGTGCTGGGCCGTTGTGGGCGTTGTCATCAGTCTGCAAACCGTTGTTTTATTTTTCAGACCCTGAACCCTCCCTATCCTGATTTATGTGGCTGACTGACCGTTTCTAAAAGGTCGACGAAATCAGCACAGCAATAACCTACATTCGCTCCTCCATCACCCATTCCCCAGACACGCCGGTCGTATTGATGGGCCATAGCACTGGATGCCAGGATTTGATCCACTACCTGGTCTCGCCCCTGAAAGACACCAACACCAACGACAGTGATGACGACAGTGATGACGAAAACGACAACGACAACGAGACCGAGACCGAGAACAAGAAGTCGACCTCGACATCATCTCCTTCGCCTTCTCGACCACGCATTTCCGGCGCGATCTTCCAAGCCCCAGTCTCCGACCGCGAAGCCATCATGGACGGCGTCCACAGCGACCCAGCGACCCGCCAATCCTACGAAGCATGTCTCGCCATCGCGACATCGACGCCGACCCAGCACCACGCGACAACGATCCTACCGATCCACGTGAGCAAGTTATGTCTAGGCTCTGCTCCGCTGAGTATTGCGCGGTTCTTGAGTCTCGCGTCACCCGGGTCGCCCGACAGTCCTGGCATGGACGACTACTACTCCAGCGATCTGAGTGATGCGCGACTCTCCGATACTTTTGGTCGGATTGGAAGCGTTGCGCATCTTCGGGCTTCGAAGAAACTTGTGCGTGGCGATGGCGGTGCCAGCGGTATCAGTTCGAATGAGAGTAAAAGGGCGAGTGAGAGCAAAAGTGGGAGTGAGAATGGAAGTGCGAGTGAGAGTCGGGGCACAGCGAAAACAGTAATGTTTCTTCCCTCGGGCAGTGACGAACACGTCCCCATGAGTATTGATAAAGAATTCCTCCTGTCGCGCTGGAAACGTGCCGTTGAAGCCGACGGCGCTGCTTCAGTGTCGCAGTATTCGCGGGTCATTCGGAACGCGTTGCATGATATTTCGGGGTCGTCGATCGAAGCGCGCACAGCAAGACTGGTTGATATGCGTGGCTCGGTGTTGAGGTATTTGGATGAAGTGGTTGGAGATATTTTGGGGGATGCTGAACAAAGAGGACAAGGAGAAGAGATAGGAAAAGGTGGTGCTGATGGTGCCGCGACTCGACATCAAACCGACTCAAGTCCGTGGGCGATCTACGAACGCGATAGACGAGCGATTGAATTGGAACGGGGCGTGAGTGGTGTCAGATTATAATACAAGGACAGAACTAATAGAAGCTCGAATTCACTTTGGGGAAACGAGGCCGTGTGGAATCTCATAATCTGATGACCGAGGAGGGATGATTGATATGTTCGTTGACGATGAAACCAACCAGCTCAACCGCAGTGCAGACGATGCTACAAAGGACAGATAGAACACGTTTGCCCCCAGGTCAGAAAAGAATGAATACAAACAAGAGTGGAAAGATAAACACAGAGGGGGTTGAGGAGAATAAGTATGAATGAATGAGTACATGCTATAGCCGACTACAGCCAACGCCCATGTCGTATGCTAACAATGCTGACAATGCTTCTTGAGCCGCCCTTGAAATGCTTCTTTCTGAATGAATACACCACCGCTGCCCTGACGGATCAGTCAATCTGAGCATCAAAGCCGACTTTGAAACCTCAAACCTCGATCCCCCCCAAACTCCATCCTTCCATGTATTGTGACAGAAATGTTTTTGTAGGAGACAAACACCATGAACAACATGGACACCATGATAGGTAAAGTCTCTCTCTCTTTCGTGCCCGCCATGCTGTACTGTTTGTTATACAGCAGGCCACCGGAGCCTCAATCCTTCACACCACCGCTCAAACAAGACATCAGCCAATTGTCTAGTATGGTCCAGGCCGCCGACCAGCCCGTCCATCATGGTCATCATGTCAGCGTCGTTGTCGGTTTCCTTTTCCTTCTCGCCAATACTGCCATTGGCTGAAGTGGTTGAAGTGTCCCTCTCATCGAATAGTCCACCATGGTGACCTGCAACCGGTTTGAGGTTCTTATCCCCTTTTGACCTCGGACTTCCGACGTTGGCGGAACTGATTCGAATCCCCTTCTTTAGAGGGCTACCACCCGCTGCCCCTGCCACTCCAGGACCGTTCAGCGCGCGGCTAGCTTCTCGCGATTTGACGATCCCACCGCCAGATCCTCCGGTCTGGGCGCTTTGTCTGCGCCGATGGCTTTTGAGATGGGGGTTGTTTTGCGCTAGAACGAGTTTTGCACCATTCACGTGGCCGGAAGCTGGCGGGTTGGGTGTGACTTGTCTGCTTGCGTTGGTTGAGGAGGGTTGTGAAATCGGTGGCGAGATGGAAGTCGAAGTCGACGTCGAAGTGGTTCCTGAAATTGCTGTAGATGACGTAGATGCGGAAGCTGAGGCAGCAGGCTGTGGCTGTGACAGTGACTGGGATATTGACTGCGACGTTGGATCCAATTGCAGTGATGGCTGTTCGTGTCTGCCGTCTTTCCTCGTTCCCTCCGATACTTGCATACTCGACAACGAGGTAGATCCTGAACCCACTTGAGGACCGGTCTGTGTTCGACTACCGTCTTCTGACAGCGGAAGCAACATCGCCTGGAGCAAGACCGGATCCTGCTTCATTTTCGTCACGATGGCCGCCATGACATGATACATGCCGTCGGGGTCGACATTCTCAAGGTCCGAAAAGGCTTCAGCCAACCGGGCCACGGCCTCGCGCTTGGTTTCGTCCGCTGTCTCGTCGAGCACGTCTTGACATGAGATGCCGATGGCAGTGGAGTACAGTCGTCTGCCGAGCGTTGCTTCTTTCGAGTCAGCTTCTGTTGACCCAGTACTCTCAATGGCAATTGCTGTTGTTGCTGACGAAGAAGACCTCATTGAATCCCTTGCGTCACTGTCAGAGAGTCTCGACTCCGTGGTGTCGGACGTTGAACTGTCGAGCAAATGATCCTGCTGCGCGAACAGCTGGGATCCCCCTTTGGCGGCTTTGGACGGCGTCCTAATGACACTTCCAGTGGTGTCAGTAGTGTCAGTATCCTTAACGCTGCTATCGTCTTCATTCTCGTTGCCGAGTTTCGGCGTTCCAACCACGTTTGAGTGCGGCGAAACTCTCCTAAACTGCCGCACCGTGCTGGGACTGTTGCCAAACGACATATTGACTCCCAGAGGCTGTCTCGCCTGAGCACTGGATAGCCTCTTCCGAGCTGTCCTTCTTGCCGTGGTCGGCGAGTCTCCTGAACCCGACCCCGAACCCGAACCTCTTCTGTCGTCTGGCAATTGCGACAGCCGCGAATTGGAGATCTTGCGCATCGTCGACCTCGACGGGCTTCGGTCCTGGTCTTGTCGTGATGACTGTGTCCGGTCCATCGTCCGCGCGTCGCGGTCGTCTCCAGTATTGTCAAGATCGCCGCGCACATCGACTGACCAGCTTCGATCGACCTTTCTTCGTTTCTGAGTCTGCACCTGGCCGGCCCTCAAATCCACAGTCGGAACGGCCTTGATTGTCTCAAAGACCCAGTCATCGTCATTCTGCATGCTCGACAAACTCCTCAGGGTCTCGGCATAGTATTTCAAATGTCGGTCGCCTCCTTTACTAGCTTCCCAGTCTTGTTTCCTGACAATCAATTCCTGCAGACCCTCGATCTTGCCCGCAGACCGAATGAACCGATGTTTGAGAAGATCTTTAGCACTACTTCTCTTGTCAACATCTTTGGTGAGACATGATGCCACGAAATCCCGGAAGTCTCTCGACCATTTGTTCCCTTCCAATCTCGGAGCGGGTTGTTTGGGGATCAGAAATAGAACCTTCATCGGATGGACATTGGCGTGTGGTGGCTCTCCGTTTGCCAGCTCCATAGCTGTAATACCCAGACTCCAGATGTCGGCTTTGGCATCGTGGCCTTCTTGTTGGATGACTTCCGGCGCCATCCAGAAGGGAGTACCCACAAATGTATTTCTCACACTCTTTAGCCCGACCAGTTGTGCCGCGACGCCAAAGTCGGCCAGTTTGACTCGTCCGTCCATGCCCAGCAAGATGTTGGCGGCTTTGATATCTCGATGTAGTTTGCCTTCTCGGTGCAAGTATGCCAGACCCAGTAAAAGTTCGCGGCAGATGATGGCGATGTGGCTTTCGGAGAGACAGTGCGGAGGTGGTTTGAGCAGGTCAGCACAGGATCCGCCTCCTAGATATTCCATCACGATCCAGAGTGTCTGGCGTCGGAGGAAGGCGAGGCGGTATTTCGTCACGTAGGGGCTCGCGCAGGATGAGAGGACGGATAGCTCGGAGAGGATATCGGAGAGGTCTTCTTCGGAAGATTCCAAGTCGACCTACAAGAAAAAGTCAGTATGTGCTTTCAACATAGTCAATGCCGCAGGGTGTCCTCGCTCCGTGAATGCACATACATGTTTGATTGCAACGATTTCGCCCGTGGCCTTTTCAATCGCTTTGTAGACCACCCCGAACGAGCCACTACCTAGTTCTTCCAGCATTTGATATCGAGCCGCCAATGTCTCGCCGTCGGCTTGATCGTCTTGGATCTCGAAATGGGATGGGGATTGTGATGGAGGTTGGGATTGCGTTGCTCGTGCCTGATGAGGCGCGGTCTCGGAGTATTGGGAGGCCATGGCTGCGGCCATTGCATTCGCGGGGTTGAACAGCAAAGTTTGCAACCGATTGTCTGATTGTGGTGCTCGCTAGTAGACTCAAGTTGGGACCTTTCCCCTTGTCTCTTTGCTCGAGTGTCGTTTGACTTTCGTTGAACAAAACGGACTGCCCATACGGGGAACTCGACGCAGTTGGTGTTTGGATCGATCAATATCACCGTCACCGTCAACACCGATTTCGACTCCGGCTGTCGAAATGTAAAGGCAATCCCGGAGCCGCTCTTGTAGACGAATATCTCAAAGTACAAGAATACAAATGCTCGTGGTGATGACGTGGTGATCCAAGCAGAAGCATGAACGCGGGCAGAATACACAGGAATACAATATTCGTCTGGGAGGTGAGCGAGGACTTGACGATGCTAGAAAAGAATATGTTGTACCTGGGCGACGGCGGTACTGAGACAAGTGCGAAGGATAAAGGAACAGTCACCAGCGGACGACTGCACTTTGAGACGACGAGATTAAGCAGGACCGGCACATCCGCGAGCGCAGTCTAGCCTCATGACCCGAGACCCCAAAGGCGCAGTGTCCTCTCAGGTCGTGCGGCTGGACGGTCAAGTGGGGGAGTGTCGTCAAGCGGATGTGGTGTGGTAACGAAGACTTCGAGATGGACGGGTGTACAGAGTATGCGATAGTATGTGTGGCCCAGACCTTTCGCAATGCAGATATTTGTTTACCTTAGCAACGAGGAGACGCTAGACTATAATAAGTATAGGTGGCTTGTAGCGTCATACTAATGCAGGGGCCCTTCCCGAGACGCATTAGAGGCTGAGTCTAAAGTGTCCACTCTCTGGGGGCCGTCATCAACCTGCTCCGAAATTCCACTGAACGAGTGATAGACTTGACTTTCTCTACTCTCTCTCTACCTGTCTGACTATGGCTAGTATATCTTACAGACTTCGCCTTGGGTCGGCCACCTAAACGCTAACTCAACCGGGGATCCATCTTCACCCTTACTCCCGGGCTCGCTTGAGAGCCAGCCTGCGTTCCCGCTCCCGAAGTATCTATCGATCGGGTCGCAACCCTACCCTAATGGAAGCCGTTTCCTCGTCGGACACCAGCGGACTCAAGATTGAGGGATTCAGGGGCTTTGTTGATATTCTGGAATAACACTCTGCATCAGAGTTGCTTGTGTTGTTGCTCGGGAGACAGTGGACAGGGACTGCTGACTGCTCCTCTCAGCTTGCAGGTCGTCTCGCTTCTTTGTTTACACGACCACCTCCAACTGCCAGAGAAACAGGACTGAAAAGCAGACACGGCTTGGTCCGAGGGCCACACTGTGTGTATATGTGGTTGTGGTTGCATGGGGAAGCCTCCAATATATACACAGTACATGTGTATGGGAAGATCCGAGTGCCACATCCATTGACAAGATTCCGTCAAAGCGGGATGCGTTTCATGAGAAACAAGAACATGGCCGTTTCACGAACACCATGCGTCTCAATGGCCGGAAACCTGTCACTTTTATCCGCGATCTCTCCTCCATGATCAACATCAACATCACACTGTGGGCTAGAACCAGTCGGACAGATGCGATAACATGATGTAGCTGTGCGTAAGAATGGAATGGCCATGGCCATGGCTCAAGTGGTTGATCTCCCTCCACGGTCCGACACCCGCCTCGTGCTGGCCTTTGTCGCAGCTGTCAGAACTGTCACTCGGCCCATCACCCACCGGTCTAGGAATCAACCAAACCAACCCAACCCACCGCTTCTCGCGCTTTGGTTTCGGTGTTGACATCTCAGTTCCTCCAATGTTGATATCTGATATCATCGCGCCCACACTGTCCATGCCCGGGAGGTCTCGTGATGTCATGTTGACAGCAACCTGGGGCACAACTGCGCAATGCACGCCCGCTCACCTGGCCCGAGCGCATGGGTAAGAAGTAAACAACCATGACGAACAAACATTTGACGCTGTGCTTACTGGCTTGCGGTTTCAGCTGGAAACTCGACTTGACATTGTCGATCGCACGATAAGGACAGCCAACTCGACAATGGTATGTCGAGTATGAATCTGGGGAAGTGCTAATTGTGCAAGGCCGACACACGCCTATATATAAGACTTGTTACATCCCAAAGCATCTATCTCATCCTTTGCCCAGGTAACGAAGGGGTCTCTGGCATTCATGTCCCACGTCACGTCTATATCTGTCTGGTGAGTGAACGCCTACCTGTTCGTGTACCGGCAACATTGGCAACAAGGATCATGGGCATACATACCATATGAGAAGAACAAATAATGGAACTTCCTGTGCATGGTGAACAAATCAACATCAAACCTGAGATATCCTCCGTTCAGACCTTTAACGAACCCAGATGTCTCCCACATACATGTACTTCCCTTGCCTTGCCTTCCGTTATGCACTGTCTGTCATATCTCTCAAGGGTCCGGCTCTCGCTAGACCATCGCAGCCTTGCGAGTCTCGGACCCAACATTGGAACCAATCAAACCGAAGAACAAGAGTGCGTATTAGCACAGCACGGAAGAGCATTGCTTCACACGGGACATCTGAGAGTCGGGCCAAATTGTCACCACGTATACTAGATACTAATCTAGTTTCATACGCCTAGTACCTAGGTAGATTTCAGGGCTTATGACAAACATTCTCGCATTCAGTGCTTGAAGCTCATGATGGTGATGAGGGTATATCTCGATATCTCGATATCTCATTATCTCATTATCTCATATCTTGTATTGTATAATGTTATATGTATATGTTATAAATCGAGGATTCTGGCCCGGTCACATACGAGTATGTCCTGAACGAGTCCGTAAAGTGATGCAAGATGTGTTCCTCCATAAAGAAAAGGATACAATGATGCCCTTCAATCACGATCAAAGACCATCAATGCTCCTGGACTTTGACATCTGTGCTTTGGTGGGTGTCTGCGGCTTCGGCTTCGGCTTCGGCTTCGGCTCTATCGACGAGTCCATTTGAAATGGTTGTGAGAATGTCGACATGTTTATCCCCATCCACGTTTGCATTGGGGTTTGCATTCGCGCCAGCATTCCACTCTCTCATCAAGTCACTGACCGTCCTGGTCAACTTACTTGGAGTAGTGAGTTTCTGGATTTCCGGCCAGGGGAGACCATCATCTCCTTCTCCACGAACATCACGATCACCATCACCGCCTTTCGCATCCCTATTCCCATCGCCGACTGACTTCTTTGGTGTTCGAACAGAACCCATCTGCGGACTGGAGCCAGAACGAGTCACAGGTGGTCGATTGGATTCGACCACGGAGTCATGTGCAGCTTCGATTTCAGCTTCAGATCCAGATCCAGAACCAGATCCCTCCCTCTTATCCCAACCCGGCTCGGCTGGACGTTGTCTCACAGTGACAGGAGAGTCCCACGCATCCCATGCGTCATCGACTTCTTCCTCGTTATCATTCAAGTCCGGCAGGAGACTAGGCGGATTCGTCGAGTCGGTACTGCTCTTCTGTTGAACATGGCCTCTGTCTCTGCCACTATCACTGCCATCATCCGACGACTTGCCCGATTGCCGCTGCGACTGCGACTGCGACTGCGACTGCGACTGAGCGGCAGTCGAAGTATTTGAAATCATCGATTGTCGTTGCGGTGTATCCAGGCCGAATTCGCGCCAGAAGGAAGATTCTTTGGACAATGGGCCTCGATCATGATCTCGCTCTCGTCCTCGCTCTCGCTCATCCGTAGACAAATCACTATTAGTCTTTTGCAACCCCAACCCCATTCCCACTCCCATTCCGCCAGCGGCCAATCGATTAGACCCAATATCCTTTCTAGCCGCTCTTTTCTGACCGCCACTAACAGACTTGGCCACTGGACGCTGCTGCTGCGTTGTGCCATTAATGCCCTCCTCGCCGACCGTGGCTTGTCTAATATCTTCCCAGAACGTCCACAGCCCCTCGCGCACTCCGTCGTAGACCTGTTTCCCCTGCTTCACCAACAGATCCGCCGCCACTGGAGGCAGTGAGCGTCGATTCGCCGCGAGTTCCTTGTATGTCTTGCCGAACCCAAGCTGGAGCGGATCACTTGATATCAGACCGTCCAGGGTAGACATTCTTGACAACGGCGGCGGGCTCAGAACATGATCATACTCCGACGGTTCAGTTTCAGATTCAATTCCGCTCAGGCCATCTGTTCGACTAGAGTTGCCTTCTGCTCTTGATTTCAGAGCGGCGACATGTCCTTTGGCCGATGTAGGACTGAGAAGGCTCAAGGCTCGAGTATGGCGACCGCCTTCAAAGACACGCTTGGATCCCCTTCTGCCCGGGTTATTTGGGACGCCGGCGGCATTGATCGTCTGGCTTTTCTCGACCAGCGCACGTTTCCTTCTTCGCTCCTCCTCCCCCACTTCGTCTTCTGGGGTGGTTCGGGACTCGCGGCTCATGGTGGGGACATCGTCCAGAGCCAGAGGCTGCAGCTTTTTGACGTGTTTGACTTCTTCTCTCTTCTTGTTGGCCTCGTATGATGCCCATTGTCTCTTGAGACCCAGTAGGTCCACCTCCGCCTTTTGAAGTTCTTCTCTTAGTTCAAGGACTCTGCGCTCCTGTGCGGCGAGTAGAGTCAGGAAGTCCGAGCTCGTTCTTGACTTGGATGGGTCTCGGGTGTCGGGGGAGAACACCTCGCTGGGGCGATAGGGCGATGTGCGAATGCGAGGCGACGAGCGAGTGGAATGGACGGGACTCTGGTATGATGAGCGAGCGGAATGGATGGGACTCTGGTATGATGAGATCGCGGTAGGCGACTGGGACTGCGACTGCGACATCTGCGGAGTGGGTGGCAGTAGAATGGGCAGGTTGAGGGAAAGGCGTTTCGCATGTCTTCTGTCGGCGGCCTTGGTTGTTGCCGGCGCTCTCGTCGGACTGGGAAGTGTCTTGGTCTCGTTCTCGGTCTCGGTTTCGCCGTCGACATCGCCGCCGACGCCGCTGGGAGAGCGCGTCGCTGTAGGAAGTTGAGGCGTGGATTCATGCGCCATCGTCACAATTGGATCATTGATGTCCTGTCAATTGTGGCCCTGACAGCTTGCGATCGGGGCCTCTGAATGATCTGCGGTCAGGATTGAGCGTTGGAGGAGGATGGAGTTCGAGGGCGACCGTGGGGCCTATGACATGGCTTATGGTGTGTAGCGGTGGCCGTTTGGTCAGACTGTATCTGTATAAACGGAGGAGAGATGTGAGTATATCGGTGTGTTGAATAGTGACGGCAGTGTCTACAGTCCCGGGATGGATGGGTAGGATGAGTGGGCACCGTCGATAGGAATGGAACTGTTGACAGGCGCCGTTTTCGGTCGGACCCGTGAAATTAATTAATGAACTGGAACATGGGGATTCGACAAGCATCAAGCATCCTCCCTCCCTCCCTGTCCGCTTCAAGTTCGGCGCCATCATGCTAGCATTCATTTAATATTGGCCCAAATCCAAGTCCAAGTCCCCTGCCCGTATTAAACCCTGCTTAGGGAGTTCCATCTGCATCAATCTACCTTATGCAGGGGACACTGCGATATGCGAGGCAATCAACCTACTAGTAGTACGTAGTAACCATCAAATACGAGTCTGGTATCGAATTCAAGTCTGCGCGCTATACAAAGTGCCAACAATAAATAAACATCTCAAAGCATCCCATCCTGCATGCATCAACGAGTTGACCAGAGTCCTTCCATTGAAACCGACGAGATGACCGCTATTGAACCACACAACATATTTTTTACGCCCTCCAATGATTGTCCCTTCTGATGCCCGTCCAGTCTTACCAAACACCACCAAATCCTTCTATAGATAAACAAGTCCTCCCTGGGCAATGATATCCGGCAAGATTGGACAGATCCACCACTGCATATATCCAAAAGCGAAGTTTTTGCAGATTCTAATTCTCACATGATGATCCAGATGCTTCCTCCAACCACGAAGCAAATGGCCAGCACCGTGAGAACACCCGCACCAGCCTTGTCTTTGGTGGTGATAGGAGAATGCGTAACAACAGGTGACGTGTTGACATCTGTTCCAGCACCAGGATCACTTTTTGATACACCGCCAGTGTCGACAGACTTGGGAGCGATTCCGGAATTGATTTGAGTTGCGCCGATGACGCTGAGTGCTTGCATCTAGACAGACAGTCAGTATAGGTTAGAGAAAGACAAGGCGACAAGCGTTACATACCTGTTGGCCCACACCACTTGTTCCATCCCAGTTGGAGTACCATCTTCGGCCACACATGCGCCCGTTATCACCTCCCGTACACTGCTGGGCTGCGCCAGCCGCGCTGGCTTGTAGTTTGGGCATGATCTGATCGGCTGTGTACGGCACCAGTAAAGCGGTCACCGCCATCCAACGGGACAAATACGCTTTGAAACTGCTCTGATCGTTGTTGCAGTTGGAAGCCGGTTCGCACTGGAACTCGGTCATGATGTTGCCGCCGTAATCGGCGGGGAAGAACAGTCCGAATGCTCCATTCAAGATCTGGTTGATTCGGGTGCCCCATGGCTCAGATCCATTGGTGAAGTTGTACATGTACGCGGCGCCCACCAACATGGTGCCATAGTTATACGTCCAAGCAAAGTGAGCCACATCGGAGCAGTTGTTGTCGACATTCGTGTTGTCCCAGATGTAGAGGGTGTCCCCCTGATACTGGAACAACGGGCTGCCCGCCATCCAGTCCCACATCTGCTCAGCCCAATCGGCGTAGGTTTGATTCCCAGTGTATCTGGCCAACCGAGCAGCCAGCTGGAAATTCCCACCATTGGAAATGGTATTCTTCAAGTTGTAGCCGGCGTTGAACGAAAAGACCTGCCATCGCATCCCACCTCCACAAGTCGCTGTATCCCACAGATCGGCTTGGAAGTTGAAGACTGCCTGCGCGATTGCGAGCCATGAAGGAGTGTCACCGCCCGGCTCGGGAAAGTTGGCCTCGGCCGCGTCCATAGCGGAAAAGGCCCAGAACGCTTGATCATCGACACCCATGTTCTTACTCTGGTTCGGAGGGTTGTAATTCTGGTCGGGGCCAATCTGGAATGCCAGAGCTTGCGACACCACAGGATTGTAGCTATCATCTCCCGTGTATTGCCAATAATTGACGAGAGAGCCAAACATGGCTCCGGCCTCCCACCAGTAGTAACATGCGGTTGAATCACATGGACCGGGTAGTAGTCCTGGTGTTTGCCCGGACTGATTGCCAGAATAATAGGTCATCATGTCATAGGCGATGGTCGACGTCGCCGACTTTATCGAGTCTTGACTGTTGAGATCTAGTTGGATTGCTTTGACCGCAGAAAGCAGGCCGACCAGCGGCGCTAGGAAGGTTGTGATTCGGGACCTCATGGTGTCGGCGATAAAGCGTTGATTGTGTTTTAGAAGGCTATTATGGAGTGTAAATCGCCGTCGGCGGCGTCATCAACGTAGAGGCGGTAGTCCAGACAAGGATTTGGATTCAGCGACCGAGGGGAGAGGCGACTTCGAGAGACACGATTGGGATGCAGGAGCGAGGAGGTGTTTCTGGGTTTGAACGAAGGGCGCGCCGGAGGTCCAAACGAGAGACTGGAGGGTGCTGTGATCGAGATATGTTGGTTGCTGCCGCCAGGTTAACAAACGACAATGGATGCAATAGAGGACATCCGGGTCGACAACAAAACGAGTGTAGACAAGGACGAGGTGGGCGAGGTTAATTCGGCACAGGAACAGCGAGCGGTTTAGTTGTGGCGATGGATAATGACGACGACAATGAAGGAAGAGAGGGAGGGAGAGGGAGTGTGTGGTAGCATGTCAAGATCTCAGATTGCACACTGCCACTGCCAGCAGTGCGGCGCAGGGGCTGAAGATGAGTGAGTGACGGAGTTCGGGGGTGAGAGAGTGTCCCAGACCTGCAAGGCACGGGCTCCTTAGGCGCGGCCGCCATCGTTGGGACACTTCAGTAGCCTGAAGTAGGCAGCCGGGGGAGCTTCGATCATGCCAATCAGTGGACCGCAACTTTTAGAAAAACGCGGGACAAGGAAAAGCGGGTTTCACTTGGTGAGGCTGTCAGACCCTTATTGGGCCCGGGGACAACTGAGTGGAGGGCGCCCAGAACCCCCAAGACTCGGACTGTCAGAGCCTAGAGCCTAGAAGCCTAGAGCCGGTGCCCGGAGCCGGGAGTTCCCAAGTTGTAGCACCAAACACCCCCACAGCTTATACTCACAGGCTAGTCGTCCACTATTAGGTAACCTCACCATCCCCAACAGGCTGTGCTATCACAGTCTCACAGTCTCACAGTCTCACAGTCTCACACACACCATGCCACTTGTCCGGTACTCTGTTGCTTGTTACACTTGTCTCACGGTAGGACTGCACATCCGTGCTCTATATATGCATAGGTAGGTAGCCGCGCCACACAGGAGATGCGCTTTACTCCTCCGAATTGAATTGCATGACAAGCAGTAATATAAAACACGCAACTTTCAAGTTGAACGAGGCTGCCAGGTCTATTCGTTGTTCTTCACATGGTCCACTGCTACTGCAACTGCAAGTTGATGTCCAAGTATTGCCATCTGTCAAATACCCTGCTCGCCTGCTCATCAGACGTCAAAATCCAGATCAATTCTGCTTCGATTCCGAAATCGTCGCCAAGAATGCGCTCCTCCGTTGACCACCTGTATACTACTAGTAAGTATGGTAAAGTTCAAGTTCGCCAGCTTTGACCACCGTGACTGGCAGCTCGAGTGCGAGTGCGAGTGCGAGTCCGAGACCGCAGCATTCAAATTGAAGAGACGTTGCTTCGATCTGGCTACAGTGTACAATCAGGTAGACAATGGATATGCATATTATCCATTAACCCCTTCCGCGTCTCGAGCTTCAAAAGCAACCACCTGATGCACTTTCAATCGCAGGGCTCGTCAAAACCCGGCCTTCAAGCTGCAATTTGCACTGCCCGCCCGAGTCACGGTCACGATTACGGTCACAGTCACGGTCATGGTGTCACAACAGTCATGCCAAGTTTGCCAATCCCCCTGGATGAAACTAACGCGATACCTTATTTCAGGAGGAGAAGTAGACAGACCCCTGGCCGATATCCCAGGTAAAGCACGGCGCATTCAACACAAATGTAGAGCCCAGATGTATCACGCCTATCAATCAATACTCCTGAATTGTTTCCTGGTACGCCTGCTCGCCTCGCTTTTACGGAGCAGTATCAAAAGCTAGCATCCCCATGCAAACTCAATAAGTACAATACCTCTTATGTACGGTTGCAGTAACGTAGATCATATGCTTGAACCCATTTGCCTCCTTCGCCATCGCTCAAGTTGCATCAATTCTCGCCAAACACAAAGCTTAAAAAGACCCAGAGGTCTCGAACCTCCGTCAAGGAAGGATCCGCCCACTTTCCTCCTTGATGGAATCGATTTCCGAGGTGAGCTTGTACAATGCTGCCCCCAATCCATGTCGGGCACCATGATGAGGAGGAAGCTCCGATCCGCTTGCCGTACTGTGATGAGTTCTGTTGGTGTTCGCTCGAGCGCGAAGCTGATCGTCGTCTCCATGTCCAGCATGCGTCCCCGAGGAAAGCCCCGTTTCGGGCCGGAAACGTCGTCCTTCCATCTGCCCATCCACCGCCGATATCATCGACTGCCCTCCAGAAGACCGTCGTCGGACACGCATCGCCATCCGTTCCGCTTCTTTCGCCTCTTTCGCTTGGAGACTTTCCGAAGGGAGTAGAATGGCTCGATCCAATTCGTAGGGCAAACCACGATGCCGCCCTCGAATCTGCATGGCAATGATGATCAATTTCGACAACGTCCGGAATTTGGCCGAGAAGGATGCATTGATGCCAGGATAGCCCAAGGACAGGCCCACGGTGCCGTATGCTGATACAATCTCGAACAGCACCGAGAACAAGGTGAAGGCGTATTCGTTGGTGTTCTCCAATTTTCCTCCCTCCACGATCGCAATGATGAACATGCCCAGAAAGACGTACCACAAATCAAAAGAAAGCTGTCGCCTCAAATGTGCCCCGACGTAACTAGGTTCCTTCTCGTCTGTCTCCTCGGCCGACCCCTTGCCGTATATCCCCAAACTCTTTTCTTCGTATACGTTGGTGCGCCGCATGGAGATGGCGATGGGAAACACGGAAATGTACATCATGATGAGGTAACTCACTTGTATGGCAGGGTGCAGGTCGGAGAGGCTGACGACCGCAAAGCCGGCGGTCCGCGTCGACGCAGCCTGGAACAGCCCATCGACGAATCTAATGCCACCAGACATCTTGGTGATGACGGGATCGTTCAGATCGAGAATGATGAAGAAGATCAGATCCACCGCATTCAGAACAACGAGAATAGCAAACAGCCACCAAGTCGCATCGCCAGGAAAGAGCAGAGTGAAGCAGCGACGAGGGTGATCGAGCAGAAACCTCAGTTCTTCCCACAGAGGTCCGCCAATTGACACGAATTTCGTGATGAGCCAGATGGTCAGTCGGAGCATGCACGGAAAGCCAGTATTGCCGATGATGATCAGAAAGCTCAGCAGTAACATGGGAAAGATGGCATTGCCAAAGGATATCATCGAGTCCCTGGTCAGAGTGAATCCCAGATCGTTGAAGGCTGAAGCACTGGTGAAGAACCCCCACCAGACTCGGCCTTGACCCTGACCAGTCACCACCTTTCCATATGACGTGTTCAAGATCCAAGGAACCATACAGACAATGCCGAGAATGTGAAAGGCGAAGAAGTAGACGACCAGAATCAAGGCCAGTGTTTTCAGCGCCCGGTATTCAATCCCACCCAGTTCTTCTCGCTGTTCTTCGGTCAGACCCACGAAGAGCGAGTTTCGACCGATGGTGGGCTGCCAACTCAGATATGGAGCGGGATCCAAGGTTCGGCCAGTGTTGCTACGGGTCAGGGTTCGGAAAGTGTTGGATCGCCTCCGCCTAAGATTGGACCCGGGGTCTGACGAGTCGAATGTTTGCCGAGCCTGGGTGGACTGTCTTGTGTTGAGTCGGGGAAAAGTCGTCGTCCTGTCGTTGCGGTCGCGCAAAGGCCGTGGTTCGTCAATGGTGATATGCGCGCGACCACCTTCTGCCCGCGGGCTGAAGTCTATGCTCCTCCTCTCCGCCGTGGTTGGAAGGTCCGGCTCACTGGTGACTTTTTGAAGAAGTGTCCCGTCGATACCGTTGTTCACATTTTGGGGCCGGCCTCCCCGCTCAAACTCTCGAGGACTCGGGATTCTCAACGCCGTCGTGTCACTAGGATTACGTTGATTTTCCAGGAAGCGGATATGCAATTCGGGACTGAGTTGCTGGGGAAGACGTAGGTCATCGGTCGATCGACTGGTCTGAAGCCGCAATGGATCCTCCGGGCCGGCCTGGTCTTGAGGCTTTTCGGTCTCGGTTCCAGACGTGTTGGATGATTCTACCGCCTTGCCATTGGCATGCTGTTGAGGCCCATCTTTGTTTCCCCGGGAGTCACTTCTGCCGCGGGTGTTATTTCTTAAAATCCGAATTGCCCGTCCACGCACTCCGAGCGAACCGTTTTGCTCCAGATCATCCTTGCCGAATGTCTCTGTGCGTGCCCTCGACCGAGTCCGGCGGATCAGGTTGGTATTTCGGACGACATCTTTGAACCTCTTTTCAAACCAGTAGAGTCGGACAAACACCACAGCAGAATGTACAATAATGGGGTTGCAGAACATGGCCCCCAAGTACAGCATGACCTGCTGGCTAGTATGTAAATTGTTGACGTCGATTGTGTTGAGTCCGCTCTGCGTGCATGACCCAGAAGCGAAGAAGAGGGCGTCAATGTAGGGGATGTCTCCGATGCCGAAGATGATGACCGACAAGATGATGGACATGCCCATCACATAGATATAGTGAATGGTGATGAAGTTGAGCCTTCTCTTGACAAAAACCTCGGGGAAGACATTTTGCTGTAGGAATTCCCAGGTCTCTTTGGCCCATTGCGGGGCCGTTCTGCCACTGGCAACCGAGTCGGACGAAGACATGGCCAGAGGACGGTCGGGAGGGACCAGGGGAGGAAGATGCCCGTCTTCGCGGCACGCCGGAGGTTAGGGAGGGAGGATTGAGGCGGTCATGGTTACGTGTCGATGGAGGAGACGTCGGGTGGTCTGGAAGGAAGAGCTTTGCAGGAAACAAGCATGGTTCGAGCAGGTTGTGGTAGAGAAGAAGTTGCAGAGATTCGAGGGATAGAGATTTGACAACCAAGACTGGATGAGAATGGAGAAGTGGCCGCCGATGGGGAAGGCGGCGAAATGACGCCCACTGAACTGTCCTTATGTGAGATGCCGGTCCAGTGCAGTGCCAGTGTCTCTCTGAACCTGGAATGCTGCCCAGCTGCGGTGTGAGGTGTGAGATGTGAGGTGCAGACAGAGGTAATGAAAAGACACTTCGGTAGAAGGAACGAGGCCAGAAAGATGTCACCGCACTGGCACTGGCAGTCCATTGAAGCGTGGCGCAGACTTATTGCCTGCAGCCAACCGGAAAGGCTAAGGATGTCGCCTTTTTAGCCTGCAGTGCACGACCAAGCATCGTTTTTAGGGGCTTTTCGGAGAGAATTCCAGGCGCCAGTAGGGAGATCCGGGCGTCTTCCAGCCTTTGACAGTGGTTCAACTAGCTGCCTGGAAGTCCCATCTGTGGTTAAAGGCTTTGGCTAAACATAGCTTAAATCCAGGTGCAATGCTTGTTTCTCTAGCTCTTCAAGCTTGTTTTCTCCATCGATCCGAGTCCGAATCTTGTGCAACAGCAACAACAACAACCCATGTGCTGATGGCACGAGGAGTCCTCGATTGGCAACTTGAATGTCACACGAACATGCTCACCCCCTCAACAACCGTCCATTCGCCTTCCTCACCATACGCACGTGCTTGTATCACCGATCGAGAAACGTTGCCGTCACTACCTTAGGTACTACCAGACGCCCTGGTCTTGCTCGGCCACTTATGTTTCTCTCAGCCTCGCCTAAATACAGGGCTAAATATGGTGGACAGTCGCACAAGAGTGTTTTGGAAGAGAAAATAAACTGTCACAGATTTAACGATATACAGTAGTAACAACCAGATGAGACAGAAATAGCTTTCGCTCAAAGCATATCACGGGGAAAGAATCCCAAGGACACATCCCATAATGACAATCCATATAGTTCAGCATCAAACTGGTCTTGTATTTCCCCCTTTATATGAGCCCCTTTCGATCTGCTTTTCTGGCCATTCACCTATCCTCCCCTGCTGAAGCGGTACACAAATATAGATAGATTTGATATCCCTTATATCTCGCTGCCTTCACTGTTGTTGTCACCGTATTTGCAAGCACATAAGCACCCTGGATCTTAGCCTTCTAGTAATATGCACCTGGAAGTAGAGTGTTCCCCAGACTGAGTCCAAGCCCGACTTCGCCTGTTGGCTGGAAGAGATCGTGGGATTGCATCCTTGCGTGAATTTGTGTAATCGCTTGAGAATTCCCCTTCTTCAAACCCGCGTATTTTGTGTTATGGTTGCGATCTGCGATTGATCTTGAGGTTGAGGTCGTTGCCGTACCCGCCCGTCTCGCAGAAGTGGTGACCAGGTCGTGTATGCTTGCAATTGAATCGATATTCCTATGCCTGGAAGTTGAAGACTCGGTGCGGAGAGTCTGGGCACCGTTGCTCGTGCTATTGTTCTTGTCATCGCTCCCTGTTGTGTGTTGCCATTGACCGCTGCTAGCAGCCCGTTCGAGACGCTGGACGAGACGAGAATTCGGGACTGGGTGTGAGCTAGTCGAGTTCAAGGATGGCATGTTCTCCATGTCGCTATCGTTTCCGTTGTCGTTTTCAGGTTCATCGGTGTCGCCGTCGTTGCTTGACCCATGAGTCCCCTTTCCAGGGCCCGATGGCTGGGAACGCGGCGAGACGGAGCATGAGGATGAGTACAGTTGCAGATGTCGCGATACTTTGTTTGGTGTCCGGGGTCGTGATGGTGGCGCATCTTTATATCCTTGCCCTGTAAGTCGGACGTGCGGCTGGGAGCCGCGGCGAGCCTGTTGGGATTGTTGGTGTTGTTCAGGGTCATTGTCACGCTCGCGCCCATGAAGATTACTTTTCGTCCGGAGAACCAGCGGCGTGACATACAGAGCAGGATCCCTGTCGATGCCATGTTGCGGAGTGCGGAATTCTGGCTCCGGGCTTTCGCCGCACACGCTCGCGTCTTCCCAGATAGATAATCCGGATGGGGAGGCTGACATGGTGGTACTGTTGTAGTTCTGTGAAGGGATTGCCAAGGTAGCGGCCGCACCAGGCACCACTCCACCGTCTTGTTTGAACCGAGATGGGCTCGAACCCAACCGGGCTGCATGCTTCATCGACGTGGACTGGACCAGCGGACTAGTTTCACGGCTAGATCGGGCCCTGTCTCTTTCTCTGTTGCGATCTCGGTTCCCGTCTCTATTTTTGTCTGGGACTGGCGACAGGTTCACGCTCATGGTCGAGGAGGCGCAGCTGGACTGGCGTAGGCCGCTAATGCGCTTGTTCATCGGCGGAGTGAGTCTATACGCCGGTCCGGGGCTGGAGTTGTCGACGCCGACATTGCGATAGAACCTGATGTTGTGTTGGTGCTGATCTATCAGGCGTCCTTCGGAATTCATGCTTCTCAGCATCATGACGGATTTGCGTAGATCGACTTCCCTCTCCTGCTCCTTCTCCCTTGACACCCAGCCGCTGGAGACGCGATCCTTCGGGAGCCGAAGATTGCTGGAATCTCGGTCTTTACTGACGCGGAAGTTGGGGCCCTGCTTATTCTGCAATGGACTCGGGGAGGAACCTGAGCCGGTAGTGCGCGGGTTGCGAGGTCCCTTGACCAGAGACCTCCTAGGATATAGTGATGACGAGTCCAGCGCTGGGGAAGGGAGAGTTGGAGAGTCGAAGGGTTGGCTCTCAGAAGGTCGTGCAGATGGTGGCGTTCCGTTGGATCTGATGTTATTACTCAGATCTGGCGAGAGGTGCCATTGCACTGGTGAGGGACGGTGAGAGGTCGACGAGCACCGGCCCAACTGGGGTGCCGTGAAGATGTTGGAATCAGCTCTCGGTATGCCCGAATACGCACTGCTAGAAGGTTGCATGTACTGCTGTGGTACCGGCCGAAAGGAAGGTGTCAGGCTTGGGCGATTTCTAAAGGGTGAAGGTGTGGCAGACGTCGATCTAGTGTTCATCACTTCCACAGCGGCCTTAGGCATTGTGAAGTGGTGATGATCTTGGGCCTGGGGCTCGGGTTCTACCGACGCGTTGGACTCGTACGTAGCAGTATCGTGTGCAATGGGTTGCTCTTCTTGAAGTTCGGGCATCTGCGCCCGACTCTTCGGTCTGGGATCGATGGCCGGAAGATTGGTGATTCGGACACAATTCTGACGCTTGTGGCCACTTCGTAGTCCGTCCAACGAGGACAATGAATATCTGTTGAACGCAAATCCCCTTTGCCCGTCCCACTGCAGAGGGTTCCCCGTCGCGACCGAAGCTGGCCTCTTGTTTGTAGAGCCAGGGGAGATCTTCGATGTAGTATGAAAGTTATCTGTCGCCACAGAGTCGCTGACGGACCTCGCTTGATGGACATTTGATGCCTCGTACATTGAATGTCTGGCAGGATGCGTGCCTCCGGATCGGGTCTTGTTGACTTTCAATGGAATTGGATTAGCCCAGTGGCTCGTATCAATCGTCTTGAATGATTCCTCCCGCACGACAATGGTGGGGAACTGATGTTGGCTCGAATAGTCCCTGATAGGCTCTGGCGACTCGTTCATATCAAAGCTCGGGTGGAGGGAATGAATACTGGGTTTACTGGCGCAGAGGCCGTGGATCGCCTGCTTCCCTGGAGGAACATGAAGACGAGGTGTCGATGGCTTTCCGTCCAGATGCGAGCCGAGCCCAAGAAACCTTGCGGTCCTATCTGGCTGAGGAGTCGTGGGGACCGTGGTTACTTTTGGATGGGAGCCCACAGTGGCCCCTAACACGGAGCTACCGACAGTTTCCAGACTGGCATTTGACGCCTTTGGTTTGAGGTCATATGTCCTCTGACGTTTGCACACGTCGATCGTTGGTAAAGGCGGCAATGGCTCGGCTGGTGCGGCAGAGTTGGTACTAGCCATGCTCAAGGAGCGAGGCGCGATTGGCTGACGAGGAGGATCGGAGGTGTTGACAATGGCTCCTCCCATTCGCACGAGCATACTGGCGCGCGCGGCCATGGACATGACTTCGGTGGGTGTAGAGTCAGAGGAGCGCGTCTTGGTGACAATCAAGGGCCACTGAATAGAAAGCTGCCTTTTATCCCTCGAGCTAGAGCCAAGTATGGGCGCTGCCTGTCCTGTTTCTGAAAAGGACTCTGCTGCCGAGGGAGAGGTGCATGGAGGAGAATCAGTGAACTCGGTGATCACTGAGAGAGGAGAGTCCTGCATTTGATTGGAAGGCATCGCTTTTCGCAACTTTCTCTGTCGGCGTGTCTTGGGGATCTGAAGAGGCTGCCCGTTGAAGGAGCGTCGTATACTTCTTCTCCCCTTTGACAGCAGCATTCCCTGGTTGTCATGCAATTGTTGCGCTGTATGATCGCCTGCTTGTTCTTCCTCGTCCACATCGGCCAGAGCCCCAGAGTCCAGGCACCCAATAGAGACGACACCATATGGGAGCTGCACGCTTCGTCTCAGATATGTCCTCGGTGCTGTAACGTGAGAGTAATTGTTCTCGTTTGCGCTCAGCTTGGTTCGATGATAGGTGCCGAGGTCTCTGGTAAGACCGTGGGCTTGCATGATATATCGATGCCGCCGTCGCTCAAGACTAATAGCTAGAAAAACTCCAGTAACTAGCAGAACCACCGAGCCCGCAACCGCGACACCAATGATGAGCGCCAGAGGCCACATTTTGGATCACTCGACACGACACGACACAACATGAATCACTCGCTCACCAACGCTAGAACTGGTAGAAACTTGGTGGAGAAAGCGTCATCGCAACAGATCTCGCGGGGTCTTTTTGCAAGAATCAACGATGGAATGTGGGAAATTGGCCAGCCTCGCGCAAGGGACAACAATACATACCGGAATGCGGAGGATTGAATCTCGATGCAAGCACGTGGTTTCGACATCGCTTGAAGGATTAGTTATGGCCTACCTATATCAGGCTTTTCGTATTCTTTTGCCGATAGCGACTGCTATGTGGATAAGAAAGATCCTCTACCCTGATCTGCGAGTCGGACAACGCCTCGAAGAAGATTGCTGAGGACAGGCCAAGGTAAGGACTGGCAGCAGGGAAACAGCCGTCATGGGCATATTGTGTAGCACACAGATCCATAACTTGATCAAGAAGAGCCATGGAGGAATCTGTGATGGCTTATAGTGTTCAGAGGCTTCACCAATTTTTGCACGATCGTCACAGGCCAAACGCTGTTGTCTGAACGTTTCTCGAACTCTGTAATCTCATGAGAGAATCTTTCTGCAAGCCTGGAAAGGTCGTAGGTCAAATGCTAGTATATATGTCAACCAAAATGGCGGGTCGACTGAAGGAAAACAATTCCTCTCCGCCACGTACTGATATGGCAGTCTTCCGGTGGCCAGAGGCTCACTTTTGTTGCCGTCATGACCGCAACAGACCAAGCATGATGATGGAGATGTGTGCCAACCATTCTTTTGATGGCCAGCAAGCTTTGGCGGACGCGGCTGATAAATTGTCCAGCAAGCATAGCTCTGCATTACAGAAGGATGATGACGAATTTAATGGCGGTGAGATAGGCGTCAGGGTTTCCAGCATACTAGACCAGGGTGGCATAGATAGATGGATCCTGCTTGTTAGATAAGTTAAAGTAGTGAGTGGAGAGTATGATCAACATCAGCCATCTGGACAGGGTGTATAAAAAATATATGATGCTGATTTTTCCTGCTTTGCCAACACACCATATCTTTCCTCTCTCATCATCCTTTCTGTATTAATCAAATAAAGCACCTGACGCTCACTCACCAATAAATCACAATGGACGACGCATTGAACGGCGGCGCCTTCAGGCACTACAACACCGACGCCCCTGAGGCGAAGCTGGTGATGCCGCTCTTCTCTCTGAAGGGCAAGACCGCCATTATCAGCGGAGCAGGGGCTGGCATCGGTCTGGCTGTGGCTCGTGGATATGCCGAGGCCGGTGCCAACGTGGCCATCTGGTATCACAGCAACAAGAAAGCCCCCGAGCGAGCTGCAGAGATCGAAAAGGAGTTTGGAGTGAAATGTAAGTAAAGTGCCTACGATGGTCATGGTCGATCATGTCCTTCCTACTATCTCTCCTCGGTGTGGAATTTGGCCGCTCACGACGCCGACTTTCTAGGCAAAGCATATCAAGTCGACGTGAGGGACGCCAAAGCCGTCGACGAGGCTATCGTCTCCCAAGTCAAAGAATTCAATAACCGCCTGGATATCTTCGTGGCTAATGCGGGCATTCCCTGGATTCAGGGGCCCGCCACCGACGGCGAGCTGGACCACTACCAAAATGTCATCAAAATCGACGTCGACGGCGTCTTCTACTGTGCGAGAACCGCCGGGCGAATCTGGCGCGAACAGAAGAAGAACAAGTTGGAAGGTTTCAACTACGGCAAATTCATCGCCACCGCCAGCATGAGCGGCCATATCGCCAACTTCCCTCAATTGCAGACGGCGTACAACGCCGCCAAAGCTGCTGTCAAGCACATGTGCCAGAGTCTAGCTATCGAATGGGTCCAGTTTGCCCGTGCCAACAGCATCAGTCCTGGCTACATCGCCACCGAGATCAGCAACTTTGTTCCCCCCGCGACCAAGAACATCTGGCGAGACAAGATCCCAATGGGTCGTGAAGGCTTGCCGATCGAGCTGGTTGGTGCCTATCTGTATCTGGCGAGTGATGCAAGCTCGTACACCACTGGCACCGACATCATTGTTGATGGTGGTTATTGCGCTCCTTGAGCAGATAGACTTGGAAGCTTAGAGATCAACAGTCGTAATGGAATGAATGGAGATGGACACATGGCGGCATACTGCTGGACATCATCTTGAAAACTGCCCTGGTTTCGACTTCGTGGTTCTCCGTGGTTCTTCGGTGTCCCCTCGTCCTGTTTGTGATTCGCGTTGATGCCCTCAAGCCTTGCGTGAAGAAGAAGCTCTTCTTCTCTGCGCTATCTTCCCCTCCCGCACCTCGCCGATTGCGACCGCTCCAGGACGAATATGTCCGAGGCCAGCTCGTCTTCTGACGTCTGATTCCTGATCGTCCCAGAATCCGATGTCAGACCAGTCGGCGCTCTGATCGGTGGCTGACGCTTCGGTGTTCCCTCTGAGTTGAGATCGCTGTCCTTCCAAAGTTAAAGGCGTCTCACAGCAGCGTCGGGTGTGAAAACGGAGTGTCTCCATGTATCGCCTGCCCAGAAAGATAGCGACACCGCCGATGGCCATCAAGATAACGGCAAACAAGATTGTGGATGGCCAGGTCTTGAACGGCTCGTCGAGAAAACGTGAGACTGGGTCTGAAGTGCGCAGCTGAAAGGAGGCTGTTGGTTGCTGGTCCATTGTCGTGCTTCGTCGTGACGTGCTAGGATATGTGATGGTGATGGACATCTTTCCGTTGAAATTCGGCGGTCTGGACAATGACTGTCGCAGTGTTGCTAACAGAAGAGACCGACCAGTCCGGTCATTGTTGTAAGAGATGTTTTCACAGGACCCTCAGTGTTGATAGACTGCGCTGCAAGGTGCGGCACAAAACGAACTGTTCAACTTGCTCTCACTTAACACCCAGATTACCAAATGCTCGGTCAAGTTCTTCACCTTCACGACTTGGTGACATTGCCGGGGCTGAGATCTCATTCTCTGGCTGTCCGTCTAACAAGTCATTATCATGGCCACCAGATTTGTTGGTCACCTTGGTGGGTTCTAATATCTTCTCTTCACGATCCAGCCACCCAGGTGCTACCCGTCTCTTCTCCGCCAAATCACGGTTTCTGATGTCCTCCTCCCAGTCCCGAATCGCCTTTTCCGCAGCCTCTGCGGTCTTTTTGAGATGCTCTTGAAGGGCCTTGCAGGAGTTTATGATATCATCCGGGTGCGCAGAATGCCCTGAGGAGGAGACGACATATTTGGGCTTCTCTGGACCACTATCAGAGATGATGGAAGGAGGGAGAGATGCAGGCACGGATCGAAACGAATAGGGCAGAGTTACGGCGGTAGGCAGCGACAGAAACGGGGAGACGGTCAAAGGGACCTGTGCCAGCAACGGGTGAGGCTCTGGTCAAGGTCAGCGGCCGAGGACAGTCTAAAAAGAGTACTTGGAAGGCATACTGGTCGTGTCAAACATGTTTGTCGGCAGTAGACTCAAGACACTGCTTGAAAGAGGTCGGTCGATTGCTCTATCAGTCGAGCAGAGTCCAAGACACACACTATGTGACAGAAGCACAACTTGAAACGGTCATCGATTGGCGTCTCTTGGCCTGATGATTCTACAAAGGACTGGCTGGACCAGAGGGACTGGCGAGGGAGACAGAGGCGCGTGCTTGCATTCCCTTTTGGGTCGTTGCAGTCGTCGTTTGTTGTGTGCCTTGAAGTTCAACTGTGGTCGCCGTTGACAGCAGTGAAATAGTACATGATGGAGGTAGCAAGGGAGGTGCGTAGGTGCTACGGGTGGCACCAACTTCACAGCAGTGCAGACCAGACGTTGGACTGATCTCTCTTTTGCCCCTCTATTTCCCATGCTCCGTGTCAGTTGCCAGTCTGCCTCTTAGTTTACATCATTGCCTTAGATGAACAACTTGAAGGCCAATTAATTCAAGCTATTCTCAGATCGTGTGGATATCGACTTACTACGACTCGTAACATACTGGCCCTGATACCCCGTACGAGGGTTTTGGCATCTCAGCCTGGAAAGTGCCCAATTCCATTGCCTACAATTCCATTCTCTCCTAGAACTTCAGCCCCCAGAATCCTTTGCCTCACGAGGTTGCAATATAACTCTTTCAGCTCTTACTCCTTCCTTTGTGCCAGAGCAATTGCACCACTTCTTTATCGCGACGACACTTTGGTGACCGTGTGCGACCCCTGACGATAGACCCGAATCCACCTCCCCAATCAAATCAAATCGAATCGCATCGGTAGTACCTACGTCTGGTACCGTGTCGTGTCTTGTCTGGGCGCAGGCATCGCCACTGGTGGTTTGGCTGACTTCCGCTCTTGTCGCCTCGTACACGCTCTCGAAGAAGGCATTGGGTGTGACGACCTCAATACACTACAACCTCAGGAGCTTACAGTGTGCTGTGAGCGCAGCCACTTCCCATGATGGACGGCCCACTTCACAAGGCGGTGGTGAACAAGAAGCCCATCCCAGAGATCGACTTCACTCTGCATATCATGGAAGATGGCACGCAAGTCAGCACGCAAGAGCGGGTATGCAAAGGTATGTGTGTTGAGCTCTCTGATTTCGTGCCGGTCTGATTCATGTGGCAGATGTGCAGGCCCCCGCCATGCAGCGGCCGACCGACGACCAATTCAGGTCACCCATCGACCGAAATAAGCCCAATCTGCCCTTTCTCAAGCAACATTTCTATCGCGAAGGCCGATTGACTGAAGAACAAGCGCTATGGATCATCAGCGAGGGCACAAAGCTTCTGCGGGCAGAGCCCAATCTGTTGGAAATGGACGCGCCGATCACCGTGTGTGGCGACGTTCACGGACAGTACTTCGACTTGATGAAATTGTTCGAGGTCGGTGGCGATCCAGCCGAGACCAGGTATCTCTTCCTGGGCGACTATGTAGACCGAGGATATTTCAGCATTGAAGTCGGTCAAGCCCCTATGTTTCATGTCTGGTTCATTGCTAACCTTCCCAGTGCGTTCTCTACCTATGGTCTCTCAAAATCTGGTACCCCAACACGCTGTGGCTTCTGCGTGGAAACCACGAATGCCGTCATTTGACAGACTACTTCACCTTCAAACTAGAATGCAAGCACAAGTACTCGGAGAGAGTATATGATGCATGCATGGAATCGTTCTGCGCACTGCCGTTGGCGGCGGTGATGAACAAGCAGTTCTTGTGCATTCATGGAGGTCTGAGTCCGGAGCTACACACGTTGGAAGATATCAAGAGCGTCAGTTGCAATGTATCGCATGACCTTGGTTTCTCTGTGCTGACCCTTTTCGGTAGATCGATCGCTTCCGCGAGCCGCCCACCCATGGTCTTATGTGCGACATCCTCTGGGCCGACCCCCTGGAAGAATTTGGACAGGAAAAGACAGGAGAATACTTTGTACACAACCACGTGCGAGGGTGCTCATACTTCTTCTCCTACCCCGCCGCATGCAACTTTCTCGAGAAGAACAACCTCCTGTCGATCATTCGAGCCCACGAAGCTCAAGATGCCGGATACCGGATGTATCGCAAGACTCGGACGACGGGATTCCCCAGTGTCATGACGATCTTCAGTGCGCCGAATTATCTCGATGTCTACAACAACAAGGCTGCGGTGCTCAAGTACGAGAACAATGTGATGAACATCCGACAGTTCAATTGCACCCCTCACCCCTACTGGCTTCCGAACTTTATGGACGTATTTACCTGGTCTCTACCCTTCGTGGGCGAAAAGATCACGGATATGCTGATCGCCATCCTCAACACTTGTTCCAAAGAGGAACTGGAGGAAGACACCCGAAGCTCCAGCGTTGGTCCAGAGACGCCGCCTTTCGCCCAAGATTCCGAGTCTACAGAAGCCAAACGTCGAGCCATCAAGAACAAGATCCTGGCCATCGGCCGGCTGTCAAGGGTCTTCCAAGTGCTGCGAGAAGAGTCGGAGCGTGTCACGGAGCTCAAGACCCAGGCTGGAGGTCGGCTCCCTGCGGGCACTTTGATGCTTGGTGCCGAGGGAATTAAGCAAGCCATCCACAACTTCGAAGACGCCCGCAAAGTCGATATCCAGAACGAGCGACTTCCACCGTCTCCGGAGGAGGTTGAGAAGAGAAGCGCCGAAGACAGAAGAGCCGCGCTGGAGAGGGCTGCCACTGAAGCCGAGAACGACACCACCTTACAAGGTGTGGCGCGGAGAATCAGTTTGTGAGTGCAATCCGTTATTCCCAACTGCTGAGTTGCCTGCTAATGTAAATTAGTGGTTCCTCCAACCCTCGGGGTCATCGCCGAAAGGAGTGAGCTGCTGGTCAGGATACCTACGATTTCGTCGAATGGATTTGGTCACTGAGCACCCGCACGAATCGTGCTGCTCTGTGATGGATGCAGTCCCAGAATATCACCTCACCAGGTAGATGTAGGGCGGTCTGGAGGACCAATCTCTTGAGGTCCGTTGCCTGATAGGCGCAGTGGACGAGTTTCGAGCCGATTGATTGTCTGCAAGACGGTTGGCTGGTGATCTCGAGCTGGTGGCTGGTGAAAGTACGATGCCTGAGGCATTCGTGCGTTGGCGCGAACTCTGTACGGCCGCCAAATGGTTGACGGGGTTTCTGGCCTCAACCAATATTCCCTTGCGTATAAGACACCCATTCGCCCCATGATATGTTCCTTTTCCTTCATAGACCTTAAGTTCTACTCGAGTCCAGCATAACGTTTTCCACCCCTCAATGGTAGCTTATCAACCGGGGAAGCAGGAGTGAGGGGGTGATTCGGAGCCGGCAGCGACGTTTTTGACAGTAGCAGGACCGCGAGAAGTCCTCAAGGATGGCGTCCCCCTTTGATGGAGTAGGGTCACCAGAATTCACCACAGCCGCCGGTCTGTTGTGCAAAGTGAAGTGTGATAGCAAAAACCACTTTACGCGTGTGGCGCGCCGGCGTTTGCAGTTGCTGGGGAAATGCAATGGCGCAGTTTTTGGCGCAGAATCGCAGCGGCAAGCGAAAAGAGGGAAAACGAGGGAAAGGGCCGAACCGTTCGCTTCAACCCGACACTGGACAACTTTGCTTTGGAACCACCATTCTGGCTCTGTGTTCTTGACTCCATCTGTCATTGCTGGTGTTACATGTTGCCGTCTCTCTCTTCTTGGATGTATCAGGTCACTGTTGGGGACGTCGAGTGGGCGGTGTCCCCGTGCTGCTGTTCGTCGAAGCTGAGCTCTTTGCAGGAACCACCGGATGCACCAGGGGCTCGTGTAACCTGAGAGGTGGACAGTCCCTCCATCAATAGGGCACACAGTCCCAAATCACAAATTGAAAGACCTACATGTTACTCACTGCGACTAGCAGCATTGTGGCGACCCATCTTGAAACTCAATACCAAATTCCCCCATGCAGACACCACAGCATGTCGGCTGGAAGGTGGACAAGGCTATCAATGACCTCAATGCCCATTGGGACTTGGGTCTACCGAGACTTCATGCAAGGGAGGCGGTAGCGGCTGAAGCAAAAGGTCCTCTTGCAACGAAATGTTCAAGCAGAATTCGCTTTCTTTGTTTCGGACAGATGAGCTTGATCACATTTTGTCTGGTTTCGAAGAGCGTGCGCGACAGCAACACTCACAATGGCGTGGAAACCTTCGCAAGAGCGAGGCACACTGCCCACGCTCCCCGTCACCAAAAGCTTGCTGGCAAGAGATGTTCAGACTAAACACGCGAAACTGGTTTGGTTAAACTCACAGACTCACAACGCCAGCAACTTTTGCAAGTACTATACGAAGTGCTGGATGAACAGTTTCAGCTAGCACGCATGTCTGAGTCTTTCTTATATGAGCGGCCAGTAACAACGAGTTTTTCTGGCGCACCAACGACACCTCCTAAAGAGCACCTCACACGTGAAGCTGTCACGCCCTCACGGCAAACCATGCAAGGCACAAACAAACTTCGATCAGAGGTCGATGAGCCTCAGGTTAAGGACCCGATGGCAAGATCCGGGAAGCGAAGCCTGGGTTCCCCAGAAGGAGTCAGTACTGAAGCGAAGCTTGTTGTCTCGCCCACTGACCGAGAACCGCAGAAGAACAAGCGCCAATTGAGGCTGTCGCAGTTTCAATTCCAACGCCGCGCTTCCTCCCCTCGGCCGAACCCGATACTACGACCAGATATGACGAGCTTTGAAACGGCATCTTCTGCAAGAGTATCGTCGGTCTTCACGTCTGCAGATGAGGGCAATCATCTGTCCACGTCAAATGATACCTCAATGATGAGCTCACTCCCAGATGACTCTCAAAACTTGTTTCCTACGCAGGACTACCAAGAGCTCATGACGACGAAGATTTTAACACTTCTTTCGACGCAGCCTGCGTGGTGCCGACCCCGATAGACCCTCTGGATTTGGTCCAGAATACGCCCTTCAAACGTCATGCACTGCTTCCAAGTGATGTGCCGTACTGGTACTGATGGGAAGTTCACCGCGTTGCTTCTGCGCTCGAGCTTGTACCCTTCGACGTATACAAGGCAGTTCGAAAGAGCTTGAAGGAACCGTCACCTTATGAGGAGCTTTGGAAAGGACTGAGACGAGTCTGTCACGACAACGGCGTAAAGACAATACCTCCCAAGTCAGATCTGTCCGCTTGGACAACTGTTGAGAACCAACACGAGAATCCGCAGCTGAACAGAGTTGTCTACTACACAGCAACCTTGGACTGGAACACTGACCCGTCGAAGGGACTTTTCAGATTCCACCTCAATGAGCTGCACCAGGAAAAATCGTGCCGCTTTCATCGAAAATTTGACGCCGACAGATTTCTGGTAGTCCTCAGTTCCTGACTTGTCAAGCTGTCCGAAGCGGATTTGCCAACTTGACGAAGAGACATTGCACGAAAGAGTCGTAGCTTTCTGACGGAAGGCTCCCATTTCATTGCGGGCAGATACTACAGAGTCATCTGGGACGAGCAAGAGAGAATGAAGAACAAAAACAAGGTAGAAGCTGGCCCCCGATTGAAGTTTCATCTGTTTGCGGAACGCGGCTACGATATAGTCGAGCGTACGACAAAAGATCTCAACGTTTTGAACACCAAGGTCCATGATCATCCGGAAGTCTCGGTATCAGACTTGATCCAATGGCACATACCCATCGAGCCTAACAGAAATTCAACTGACTTGAAAGTGTTCTCAAGGATGAGTCTCGGCTTTTCGAAGACCACACCAACCATCGTTCTGGAGCAGAATGAGTTTTTGTACGTGATTGATCCTCCGGGAGGCATTGAGATGTACGATGGGTGCAGTCTAATGTCTTACGCCCTTGCAAGAGATATTTGGGCCAAACATGGTGGAGAAGGCCCTGTCCCAAGTGCTGTACAAGGGCGCATTGGTGGTGCCAAAGGTCTTTGGCTGGTTGACTACAGCGGCGCCTTTCCCAATGTGAGCGGCAGACAGTACTGGATCCAAATCTCCCAGGACCAACTGAAGATCAAACCGCACCCTCGAGATCGGCCTGACGCCGACGAATGTCAGCGTACATTTGAGGTGCTGAAGTTCACGGGCGAGTGTAAGCAGGCTCATCTAAACTTGCAGTTGATTACCATCCTCGAAGATCGAGGAGTCCCTCGGAAGGCTCTTCGAGCGCTATTGGAGGCTGACACCCAGACCTACTCCGAATCTCTAAAGGCTGCCATGAGAGACTCCAAAGCACTCCGTCTGTGGATGCAAGACTACGGTCTAGCGTCACGCTCAGAAGCCAGGAGATTGTTGGGCTCGTTTCCAATAGAACATCGGGAACAGGCGAAGCTCCTCTTGGAACACGGCTTTGACCCGCAGGACTGTGCGAGGCTGAAGGATCTCGCTTACGCCTTTTTAAGCGACTATATGACGAATTACGTCGAGAAGCTCTGGATCAGCGTTCCTTGTTCGACTGTTGTCTTTTGTGCGCCAGACCCTTTGAATGTCCTGGAAGAGGGCGAAGTGTGTATCAACTTCTCATCACCAATCACGGACCCTCGCAAGGACTACCCGGAGACCATGCTGGACGGTCTTCATGTTCTTGTCGCTCGAAATCCTGCATATCTCGCCTCCGACATGCAACTACGCAAAGCCGTGTACAAGCATGAGTTACGCCATTACAAAAACGGCATTTTGTTCCCAGTCAAAGGCACAAAGCCTCTCGCATCGCTCTTGTCAGGTGGTGACTACGATGGGGACACAGTGACTGTCATTTGGGATCCTACAATTGTTGGGGACTTCACAAACACCATGCCTCCAGATCTGCCAAGTGAGAGCCAATGTGGCATGATGCAAGAGTCGCGGCCATTGTCCTCTATCTTTGACGGCATTCGATCTCCTGAAGAAGCGATGCGTGTATTCCTTCGCGGTTGTATTTCCTTCAATGCTCGCCCGAGTCTAATGGGTGTATGTTCGTCCGAACATGAAAAGCTGGTCTATTCCCTCAGCCAAAGACGCGACGGTGGAAAATTGTCCGACGAAGGTGCCATCATGCTGGCCGCACTGGCTGGTTACCTAGTTGATTCCAACAAGCAAGGCTGGAAACTCACGAGAGAGGCCTTCTATTCACTTCGTCGTAATGCCAGTGGCCGCAATCGGCTTCCCGAACCGGGCTTCAAGAACGACACTGCACCAAGGAAGATATCCGGCACCTTCGCGAACATCATTGACTATTTGAAATTTGAAGTCGCCGAGAGATGCAAGAGCGGGCCCTGGCAGACTTTGGAAAACTCCGTCTCAACACTCGCCTTTACCAAGGTGAGTTAAGCGAGACCTGGAAGAAGGCATTGCAACAGGCAGATCAAGAAATGGCTGCCAAAAAGGAGACGGCGACTGTCAGAGCAGCTAGTCTAAGCAGAGCAAAGTCGAAAGGAAGACCGCTCACGAACATTCCACAAGTGTCGGACCTTCAAACGCCTACCGCTACCTTGAAAGACCTGTTGCAAGGTCCCAATGGACTCGCAGACCAGATTAACGAGATCGAAAAGCTGGGCGCGAGAATGATTGCCATGCGTAATACTCTTGAATGTTCTACTTCTACTTCTACACCTCCCAACCCGGCGGACCGCAAGATATTCAATGCTGAAGTGCAAGCTATCTATGAGCGGTACCAAGCCATCGAACCCAAAAAGGTCGACCACGAACTGCGACGCCGTTTCGAGAACGAGCGAGACCGTCCCTTTTCTTATTGGTCTCTGCTGCGAGCATCTTGTCTTTACTGGAAAGTCTGCTCAAGAGCCCGGTTTCCGATCTGGGTATGGTACGTTGCAGGAAGAGAACTTTGTATCTTGAAGGCCTTACAAACCCCGGGCGAGGTCCGGTTGCTGACGGCTGAGATGTACAAGATTCTGAAAGTCGACACCAAGTTCACCAAAGGTTTGTTGGAAGGAAGCCTTGCCCGTGCAGAGGACATGTTTTACGATGTGTTTAACGAGCCAGCCTTGGATGATCAAGGCGACGATGTTGATAACGGCTCTTGACTCCATGGGCAATTCACCGAGATGAAATGTTGGATACTCCTGGGGCCGCTTGGGTCGTTGGAAATGGATTGTGTGAATTCTTCTTTTCTTGATACCCATTTCGTGTTTGTGCGATGTTATCCGGACGGAGTACTGAGACCGATCGATGGAGTTGGTACCGATTCCTCTCGACGACATTCCTCTACTGTCGTGGACCGGCTGCAATACCGTTCGGATAGGCGAACGAATCAAATGTGCGAATACATTGCATTCCCTCGAAGAAACTGGGGTGCTAGCAAGAGTGGTCGAACGAAGGGAGGAACTTGAGAGAGCATTCATTCATGCATGGTCCATGCGCTCAGACAAGTCGACCGCCCCCTTTTCTCAGCCTCTCGATTTTTATGAACCCTGTCCATCTCCTTGTCCCTTTCTCCTTGTCTATCTGTTCTGCTTCTACCACACGCCCTTCTTACCCGCAGGAATTCGCATCACTTTGGGATTCTATCTCACCCCATGCCATTCAAGTATCCAGCCTCTTTTTGAACTTCTCCTATCCCTCTTCTTCCCTCAACCCTACCCTCCCTTACTTCATTGAACCGCTCATAGCATTCTTGCAGATGGATTTTCCAACTGACCTTCCCATCGCATTTAAAGAGTTCCAGTCCATCACCATGTCTTGCCTTTCTTCTTCTTTGGCGTTGTTGATGGCGCGAGACTATCATCAGCATCGTTATTTCCTCTTTTCTCGTGTCGCTCTCCTTGCAACCGACTACTATTATCTCTTCAAACATCATGATGATTACGATGGAGCTACTCAAGAGGACAGATCTCGTTATATACAGAATTATCTGTCTCCTCATTCTGATATTGGGGTACGGTGTTTTGTCGATCTCGATCCTTTTGCTGGCTACAGGGGCTGTTTGTGCGACGACCGCTCCGGGAGTTGATTTTTCTTTGGCATTTGTGAGTACACTTTACTCCTGTCTAGTATTCTGCAATGAAGTCTGCTGTATCGTTGCTAACATGGAGTTAATGCCCAGTCCATTCCGACAATCCTGCTCGTCGGGCTACGATGCTACTTGATCATTCAACAACGACAGCAACACCCGCGAAAGGGACGGAAGCTTCAAGCGGAAATTCTAGACCAAACCCAAGCTCAAGATCACGCTGAAGCTCAGACTCAAAGTCAAGTCCAAGCACAATCTACAACATCAGTCTCACGAACCCCGTCCTCTCCTGCCTTGACATCACCACGGGAAAGCCCATGCCCACGAACTCTTTCACGACTCGAACGGCTCTGCATCCGCGGTATCCAATGTATGGTCCTTCTATGGATGATCTTGGGATGTTGCAATCTCCTCGTCGCGCTAAGGGCGCCAGTTTGTCTAAATGGCCCTTTAGACGTGTGGCTGCAGCAACAACCAGCACAAGAGCGACAAGAACAAGATGCGAAAGGCACTAGGGACGGGCCCGGCACTGGGGTTCAGAGTAGCGATGGAGATAGGAGTGACACCGGGAACATTCTGGATCTGAAGGATCAAAACTGGAGATATGGAAATTCGTGTCGGCTGCATAGAGGACTTGTTGCTCTGACGGTTCTTATTGCGTGAGTACTCCTATCTTGTTGCTGTCTTCCTCCACCCGAGATATTGGATCTTCTCAAGCGCGTGTGACTTCTGACATCTTCATCCTTTGTGGGTGTTCAGGTTGTCAATCTGTCTTCTCTCCTTATTCGACAGCAGACTACAAACAGAATGCGGTCGTTCTGGCTCTGCCTCCGACTCTCAATCCTCCTACCTATGTTGGCGATGTTGGCGCATCCGCTTTACTTCCGTTCGGTCTCGCATAGCATTGCTGAAGAAGAATCAGGATGGGAGTCAAAGTCAAAGTCGGGACCAGCATCACCATCATCACCACCACCAACATCGCGGTTCCGTGCCCTCTCTGTCAAGTACACGATCCGGATCCGAAGTCGACAAACATGACCGCCGATTTCTATATCTAATCCCAGAAGATCGTCGACCCGATACCACCAGAATGCATCACAACAGGACCAGCCGGACCAGCAGTCGCAACAGCAGCACCAGCAGGGTCGAACATGAACAATGGCTTCAGCGACGGAATAGCCTGTCGTCTCAAAAGGCCATCTATCCGCACAAATACCAGCATCTGGATCCCCGGATGTCCCTCGATCCTCGTCTCCGCTACGGCTGGGTGAACGGCCCTGCTTATCCTTACCCTTACCCTTATTCTTCGACGTTCACCTCTCAAGCTCACCATCATCCTCATTATCCCTCTGGCTTCTTCAGCACGACACCGATTGCGCACAGCGGTGCTAGCAGTCGATATTCGAGGACCTTGCGATCCGTGTCTGAAGGAGTATCGCTCGATTTGAGAGGCAATGAGCGTGAGCATGACCGCGGGTCTGGAGGAGGGTTCGGGTTCGGGGTCGGGTTCGGACTGGGGTCGGGCTTCAACCCTGGCTTCAACCCTGGCTTCAACCCTGGCTTCAACCCTGGCTTCAAGCTGGACTTGAATCTGTCTTCGCCTGGGTCGAGTTTCAATTCGTCGCGGTCGTCGAGTTCGTTGGCGAGGTCGTCTTCAACACTTCCCTCGTCTATTTCGTCGAGTCACGGTCATGGTCATGGGAACGCGGATCTCAAAGCATCTGCGCACGCGAAGACAAATACAAAAACAACTACAACTACAAATCCAGCAGCGGTGCCTGTGACTACAAAGCCCCAACCCGCCTCGTCGTTGACAACTGGAGACGAGCTACCACCTCTCCCACCGGTCCCTGCGCCAACTTGGTCTCCAGCTCTCCATCATGCTCCGTTGAGTTCGGATCCGACTATTCGCGCCCTGAGTACCGGCGTTGGTGCTGGTATTGATACGGCAAGAAACGCCGTGTCGACTTCGCTTCCCGGTTTGGAGTCAGCAACTGTCTCGCAATCGCAATCTGCACCTGGCTCTCAGTCCCATCGTCGATTTCACTCACAGTCACAGTCACAATCACAATCTCGAAGCAGACCAACAGGGAACCATCTAGGAGTACTGTCGTCGTCGTCGAAACGGGATGTCGAGGCGGAAGCAGGACCACCACGACCACTGGGACCAGTATCAGTTTCAATGCTTCCACCTCCTCCATCGACTCTACCACCTCCGCCTCCACCTTCTCTTCCTCTTCCTCCTACTAGGGTCCTGGGTTCGAAATTACCTTTTTCTCGAGCAGGGCCGCCAAACATCCCACCTAGAGCAGCTGGTCGCCGGGCGGTCAGGAGTCGCAATAAATCTCCGATATCGACATCGACGTCGACGTCGAGCGGCACACACAGTCCTGGTCCGGGTCAAAGTTCACATCAGGGCTCAGTGGGCCCCATGACTCCCATCAGTCCGCCCACAGCAGCGGCAGCATCATGGTCTTCACCGTCAAGAGATAATCTGCGTCGCCCGTCTCCTAGACGGTATCGTCATCATCAGCATCAGAGACAGGCTTGGAGTGGTGGCCACAACCACATGCACAACCACAACCAGAGTCGGACGATGACTACAGGAAATTGACCAACCGTACTCGGTTGACCGCTTAGATACTGGTTCGTCAGATGGGAATGAGGAATGAGCACATTAGAAGACAGGGGACTCTCTACATGCAAAAGGAGTCCCGGTTGTGCTCGAGCCTGCCGCCATCATATTCAGCAATATGATCCTAGTTCGAGCGTGAAGGGAGCCGAATGGTCAAGTATAATGGTTGGGATCCGGGCTGGTGCCAGCACCCCCGATGTACGAAAAGAGGAAATGACAATGACAATGACAAGGGGTTGCAGTGATTCATTAATTCTAACTTGGACAATCTCAATCATAGCTCGCTTGCTTTTTTGCTGTGTTCATTTGCATTCAATCACTCGACTTGAACCCAGTCAGTCCAGTTCAACTCAGCCCCGGTCGACCACGCAGCCCGGGTAAATCAACCCTGTCAGCTCAACCGACATGGCCGACAGATCACTCCTCACTCCTCACTCCTCACTCATCATTCTTACTATTGACCTCCTTGACCGGTGCCTTTCCAACCTCGGACCAGTTCGTGCTCAAAGCCGTTCCTTTACTCTCGTAGAACGACTTCATCATGGCACGGCGAGTATCAGGGTCTGCACCGGCATATAGTTTCTTGAAGAATCCGTCAACCGCGTCGCCAGTCTCGTAGTCCGAGTCGACGTCGTCGCCTGCTTCATCGCCAGAACCGGGAGGTGAATCGTTGGCATTGATATCGGCTTCAGCCGCAGGTTTCGAGACAGAATCCGCCTTGTCGGACTTGGACTGTGATTTCTTGGTCTTCTTGGACTTGGATTGCGAGTGTAGCTCGTTGGCGAGTTTGTCCCAGTCTTTCGGACCATGACGAGAAGATGTCGGATAGGCAGGAACTGTGGCGGCACTTGTAGACTGGGTAGTTGGAAGGGTAGACACAAGAGGAGGGGCTTTGGCGGAGGAGACGGAGACGTCGTTCTGGGTTACGTTCTCATTCTGCGTCGAGGGTTGGAGCGGAGTAGTGCCCTCGAGATTGTGCCATTTCTGACCCGGCTGCAACTTCTTGAGCGTCAACTCTATCTTGGTCGACATGATGGAGAACTTGCTCTGGCTTGGATCGATCAGGGCAAAGAGAGGATCTAGTGAGAATGTGAAGGTCGCGGAGGGATTGGCGGGATGGGGGAACGAGATGTAGACTGAATCTTCCTTGATCTCGATCTCGGCCGTGTCTTTGGGCACTCCTTTCGCGTACAGCGTCAGAGTGACGGACTGGGCGTTCTGGTACCATTCGTGTCGGATCTTGGGGACATCAGCAGCGGCAGAGCCAGCGGCAGAGGCAGAGGGCATTGCAGTGGTTGCGGCGGAATTGTCGCTGGCCGTCATTGTCGTCGTCGTACCGTTCGTGTTGGTAGTGGGTGTAGTGGTCGACTTGAGAGATGTGGAATCATCCAGCTTGTATGAGCCATCCATGTTCAACTGTGCTTTGAACAGTTGTCTCAGCTTGTCCTCTGGCAGCACCTCGATCTCGGGACGTTCTTTGATCGTGACCACCTTCTCCGAGTCTGGAACCTGCTTCAACTTCGACTCTACCCGGGCCATCCACATGTCGCCCTCCATTTTGGCAGTTTTGCTGTCGTGAGGCCTCCATCGCACCATCGTCGTCAGTAGGTACTTCGCATCCGCATAGCGTCCGAGACCATACAGAGCCACCACTCGGCGTTGTTGTCCGGCTTGGATCTTCTCTCTCACTGCACGTTTGTAGCCCAGGGCCACTGCGTACTCTGCGTCTTTCAGCGCGAGATCATATCGCGGAGGCTTGATGCGAGTGAATGCTGTTGAGCGTTGGACGTAGTAGTCTGGGGAATTGGGGTGCTCGATCAGTGCCTGAGTGTATGCCGACAAGGCTGCGGGTCCGTCGGAGGCTGCCAGCGCCGCCGCTCCTCGCGCTGCGTGCGCCATATTTCCTAGCCGGTGTGCGTCTCACAGGGGATGTGAAGTGCGTACAGATGTTCCTTCAAGACTAGATGAGCGTGAGGATTTTATCTGACGTTGTTGTGGTGGTGGTAGACCAAAGACGGTGTTGATCTTGAGTATTGGTGAAGTCGCGGGGAAATAAGTTCAAGTAAAAGTGACGCGCATCTGAAAGACTCCGCGGCTTCTGTCCTCATCCACCATTTTCTGCCTCTGCCTAACACCGAGACTGGAGTGCAGTCTGTACAGATTAACCGGATCGGACACTGCTCGCGACACTCCTGGTGTTGTCCCTGCTCTTGCTAGAGCTTCTACATTCCAGTTCGCGTCCATGTCCACAAAGCAAAGACAGTTGGCAATATGACGGTCCCCTGATCGCAATGGCTACAACAACTACTAGGAGAAGGAGTTCGCATATAACGCTTCGTTGGTCAAGATGAGCAGTCGCTTCTATGTTCGTAAATGTCACTCAGCTCCCTGCAATGCAAACTGACCGGTGCTTAGTTTGGGGGCTCAGACTCTGGCTCTGAAGTGGATGAAGATGCACCACTGCCTTTCCCCAAGCCAATCGACCGCTCAGCGTTTCTGGCTCCGGATTTCGATCCTACCACATTCCTGTCTGGCCTATCGCATCGCTTTCAGACCTTGGAGGATCTCCAGGCGGAGTTGCGTGAACTCAGTCACTCTCTCAACAAAGAGCTCGTGGATCTGGTCAATGACAACTATCAAGAGTTTCTATCCTTGGGCAGCACCTTATCTGGAGGCGGCGAAAAGATCGAAGACATTCGGGTTGGACTGTTGGGGTTTCAGCGAGACATCAAAGCTGTGAGGGACAAGGTGGACGAAAGACGAAATGAGGTGATTGAGCTCCTGAAAGAGAAAAGGGCGCTGAAGCAGCAGGTTGCTGTGGGCCGGGCGCTGCTGGAAATAGCAGAGCGTTTGGACCAGCTGGAAGAAAAGTTGAATATTTCAAACGAAAGAGCCACGAATCCACAGGAAGGAAAGGTCCAGGCAGAAGAGGGGTTACAATTCGGTGAACAGTGGATGGACACGGCCGGCGACGAAAGCGACGACGAATACGACTCTGAGGAAGACCTTGAATTGCCGCCCAGATTGAGGCGGAGAATTGAAGACTATCTGATCCTGAAACATCTCGTCGGCAGACACAGTCCGCACCACCCATTTATACTGGCTCAAGAAGCCCGGGTGAGAAAGATCCAGGAAGTCTTGTTGTCAGACCTCGATATTGCCATCAAGCAAGAACCCGAGGTCAAGACCAAACAACAGATGCTGCAAGTTCGTGCAGCAGTGGAAAACTGATACCCGCAAATGCCACAAAATCTTATAATTTTCTCGAGACGCCAGTCCTCATCTCCCTTACACTAATAACAGAGCACGTCCATGTGCAGTGACGAGTATATGGTGCAGAATCATCACGCCTCAACCAGTTGCCGCGGGCTCGGTGCCCCAGGAGTCGGTCGGTAGAATTCACCATTCAGTGAGAAGCCGGGAGAGTTTGTCGAGCTCAGGACCTGCGAGACATTAGCATCAGAATCGCCTTTGCAAGGCTGTGTCGAACATACCACTTCCGAAATCTGCTTGACAATCTGATCACTCAGATTGGCAGCATCCTTCTTCACCGAGTTGACATAGGCTTTGACGTTATCCCTCAACTGCTCGGGGGTAAAGTTGAGTCGACCGACAGCCATCCGCACAACACCCTGGCGTTCTCTGTACATGCTTCCACCCATCATGTTGCTGACCGCAGGGCCCGGGTTATCCACGACCGTACCCAATTTGACGCTGGGCATTAAACCTCGGGGACCTAATATCCTTGGGAGACCTTCTTTGCTAAGCTTTGGAAGAGACGAAGGCACAGCCAGACATCTGTCGAAGTCTATTTTGCCGTCTTTAATTCTTGCAAACACCTCGTCCTCGCCCACCACGGCTGCACCAGCAGCAAGAGCTTCTTTCGCGGCCGGGGAATCAGGAGGACAAATGACGGCAATTCTGATGTCTGTTTTGACGGCGTGAGGGAGACGGATTTGATTCCTAACGACAGGGCCGTCTTTTCTCGTCCTTAATTTGATGTGTATGTCGTACTTGGGCACATTCGGGTCATGGCCAACTTCAAAAGCCTTGATATATCTATGAATTGCGTTAGCCGGTGTGGAGGGCATTCGGGTGAAAATGACCCGTCATACCTCATTGCTTCACACAGAGTGAATTGCTCTATTTCGTTCAAATCATATTGTTTATACATCTGATGCTTCTTCTTCCTCCTTTTCGCCTTCTCTTTTGCTGCCTTATCTTTGGACGAGCCACCTTGTCGAGGAGCGAAGAGTATGGGGACGGAAGAGAAGGACCGGCATCCTGTTCGGGGCGCGGTTGTGAAAGGGGCGAGGAAAGAGGCTGTTGTTGACCTGCAAACACTTCGAGAGGCCATACACAGGCCTCGCGACACCTCCATTGCTACAGCCAGAGAACAGTAGACGCAAAGTGATGTTCTGGGGTCTGGATTGCGTTGACACCGAAAGTTCGAGCAGCAGCTCCCACTGGATGTCCAGAGCCTGATCTCGACTTCGCGCTATACTTATCTTGGCAGGTTTGCCAAGTTTGTCAGCCTTGTGCAAGGCTGCGGTCGATTTGTTTCCCCCGCGCAAGGCTGGTTGGTCAGTTGGCGCAGAAAAGTTCACACCGGGGACTCATTCAAGAACAACACCTCTCTTTGCCTCTCTTCCACTTCTTGAACCATTTTCCCCTCAAGACACTCTGTAGAGCCCAACATGGCGACGAAGAATGCTCCAAAGCCTAAAAAGGCTCCCAAGATCAAGCAGATGGAGCTCCCGAATGCTGCTGCCGGCGTTGTCACACGATTCCCTCCTGAGCCTTCAGGTTACCTACACATCGGTCACTCTAAAGCCGCCCTTCTCAATGACTACTTTGCACACATCCAATACCCTGGCGGAAAGTTGATCCTCCGTTTTGACGACACAAATACCGAGAAAGAAAATGCGGAATTCCAAGACGCAATCCGCGAGGATGTCGCACTTCTGGGGATTACACCAGATACAATTTCATACACGAGTGACTACTTTGACCAGATCGACGAGTACTGTGTCAAGATCATCAAGTCAGGAAAGGCCTTTGCCGACGACACCCCGGGCGATGTTATGAGTGCTCAGAGAATGGCTCGCGAGCCTAGTGTTCACCGGGACGACAGCGTTGAGGACAATCTTGCAAGATATGAGGAGATGAAGAAGGGAACCGATGAAGGACGAAGATGGTGCATCCGAGCAAAGATCTCATTCGCCAACGACAATGCCTCCCTCAGAGACCCGGTCATCTTCCGCTGCCCGAAAAAGCAATCTCCTCATCATCGGACTGGGGACAAATACAAGGCCTACCCTACCTACCAATTCGCTTGCCCCATTGTGGACTCTCTCGAGGGAGTGACCCACGCTTTGAGGACGACCGAATACAATGATCAGGATGCTCAGTACAAATGGATCCTCAAGGCGTTGGAACTGAGAGCTCCGTTTATCTGGACCTTCTCAAAGATTCAGTTCATACGCACCCTCATGTCTAAACGCAAACTGACCAAGCTGGTCGAGGCCGGTGTTGTGTCCGGCTGGGATGACCCGCGCTTCCCAACTGTCCGCGGAATCCGACGGCGAGGTATGACGGTTGAGGGCCTCCGAGACTTCATGGTTAGTCAAGGGCCTAGCAAGAATGTCGTCAACATGGACTGGCATACAATCTGGACCATGAACAAGAAGGTGATTGATCTGCAAGCGGGCCGATATACTGCCATCGATAAGAACCATGTCGTCTGCAAAATCAAAGGCACGAAAGAGGAGCCTTATTCGGAGATGAAACCCAAACACGCAAAGTACGATCTGGGCCAGAAGAAGGTCGTCTATAGTTCGAACATTATCATCGAACAGGAAGACGCCCGGACATTCGCCAAAGATGAGGAGGTCACGCTCATGAACTGGGGCAACGCCTACATCCGAGACATTCAATACGAGAAAACGACCGACAAGAGCGACATTGCTGATGGAATCAACGCGCTCGGCAATGTGAGCTCGATTGAGCTTGAGCTGCATCTCGAAGGCGACTTCAAGGCGACAAAGAAGAAGATCACATGGCTGTCCAAGGATCAAGATCTGGTGCCTGTCGAGCTGGTGGACTTCGATCACTTGCTGATCAAGGACAAATTGACGGAGGAGGAAGAGGAGCACTGGGAGGACTTTTTGACACCAAAGACCGAGTTCAGATCGTCCGCTCTGGCAGACTGCAATGTATGGGATGTGAAGGTCGACGATGTGATCCAGTTCGACCGAAAGGGTTATTTCCGATGCGACAAGGCTGCTACGAAGGACTCACCGGGCGTGTTTTTCAAGATCCCAAGTGGAAAGGAGTAATTCCAAGCTTGCAGAAGGGTGGGAACCATTCCATGATCTGGCTCTGACGACCATCGGAAGCAGCCAAACCGCAACAATCTTATCATCCAGCAAGAGTTTGCAACAGTATGAGACTTGTGACGATACAGAGACAAAGATAGATGAAAAGAAGGCATACATTACTGAGCGACAGCTTGTTCAATTATTCCATCCAGAGCCTCGTCGCTTGCAATGAATCGGACTTTACCGCCAGCATCCCCGGCGCTTTTGATAACAGCTCCACACGCAGAGATAACAGGTACAGATTTACATCAACGGCCGTTCTGATATAGAGCCTCTCACGGTAAGTTTGGTTTCGGGAGATCTTTCGTCCAAGTGTGCTATACAGTCTCTATTCCTTGACTGTCCGTCCTAGCGCTTTGCACCGCCAAACTATAGCTGAATCCCCGTTGGGAAGCTCCCATTCCTTGCGTCCACATACTTGCTAGTGATACCGAGCAGGTCGTTATCACCTCGTGCACCTTACGGACACATGGATTTCGATCTGATAGTAAAAAATGCGACAATCGTGGGCCTCCTCGATCGACCTCGCGTCCGGTCGAGTACCACTGACATGCTCCACAGGTCACAGCTACAGAAATCCTACAACCGGGTCTTTCCATCGGGGTCAAAGGCGGTATAATTGTTGCCATTGCTTTGTCTCTCCCAGCAGGTCCTGAAACCAAGGTCATAGATGCAGAGGGCGCTTATGTGACCCCGGGCGGCGTGGACACCCACGTTCATCTTCACCAGGACAATGCTCCCACCGGCGACAAATGGCTTACGGGATCGCGTTCCGCCCTGGCTGGCGGCAACACCACGATTCTTGCGTTTGCTTCCCAGAAGCGGACGGACGAATCGTTGTTTCCTGTGGTCGAAGAATACCACAACAGGGCGCGAGACCAGTCCTACGTCGATTACGGATTTCATTTGATTTTGACCAAGCCAACAGAGTCGATCCTGGAAAACGAGCTGAAGGTCATGGTCGAGCGAGAAGGCATAACCAGTGTCAAGCTCTACATGACCTACCCAGCCATGAAGCTTGGAGACGGAGATATGCTGGAGATCATGATGCAAGCGAGACAATTGGGAATGACAACCATGATACATGCAGAGAACAGTGACGTGATTGACATGTATGTGTTTCAAACACTCCTACTTTGACCGCAAGAGGACACCCAGCACGAGTGCTTGAGTTGACAACGAAATTCTGCTAGCATCACCAAGCGTTTGCTCAAATACCACCACACTCAACCCCGATACCATGCAATCGCCCGACCTCAAATCGCCGAATCTGAAGCAACGAACCGGGCCATCGCGCTAGCAACAGTTGCATCAACCCCAATTCTGATCGTCCACATGTCCTCGCCCATCGCGCTCTCTCACGCCCGCAAAGCACAGTCCAAGGCCCTGCTACCGGTGCATGCCGAGACGTGTCCGCATTACATGTACCTTTTGTCATCAGAACTCGCGGCGACAAGTATCACGATGCATGACGAGCATGGCCACAGTCACGAAACAGAGGACGAGTGGGCCGGATCACGGCACATCTGCGCCCCTCCGTTGCGCCACTCCGAAGCTGACCTGCAGAGTGTATGGGATAGTGTGAACAATGGCACCATCACCGTCATATCGTCCGACCATGCTCCCACCCTGTACAACTCTTCTGGTGGGAAGAGAAAACCTCTGATAGACGCGAAAGCCACCAATTCCGTGCCCACGTTTGTGCAGGTCCCCAATGGTCTGCCTGGCGTCGAAACAAGGCTCCCAGTCTTGTTCTCTGCGGCAACTAACCCTTCAGCTCCGGCGGGAAGACGGTTGTCGCTGCCCAGGTTTGTGGAACTCACGTCGACGAACCCGGCAAAGATGTACGGTCTGGCGGGCAAAAAGGGGAGTATTGCGCCCGGGTACGATGCTGATCTAGTTATCTGGTATCCGAGTGGTCATAACGATGCTGAGTTGATCATCTCGAATGATGTGCTGCATCATAGTATCGACTATACGCCGTTCGACGGCATCAAGGTGTGCAACTGGCCGAGATATGTGATGTTGAGGGGCGAGATGAAATGGAATCGAGACGTGGAACTTAGCGAAGGACATGAAAAGGGCATCCTGGGGCAACCCTCCGACGGGCAGTACTTGAAAAGAGGTAAAGGTCAAGTACTAGTGGGCAGGTTGGGTCAGACGCCGCCAGGGATGAAGGAGGGAGAACAGAATGAATGGATGGAGATGGTGCCGTAAGAGAAGAACTGAACTCTACAAGAATAATACACTTGGAAGGATTAAAGACTGTTTCTCCGTCAGTGAGCAACTTCGAACCAGACAGACCCAATCTCATAAACCCTCATTGATGTCGGTCAAGATGTAGCATGAAAAGGGGCAAGACAGACAGAGAGAGAAGATCCACAGCCTCGTCGGCACTCGGGGAAAGGCTGTTGTCTGTATTATGTCAGCAAGTGGGAGTTCCTCAATGATACCATCAAATCCGATTTCGCCGCAGGAGCAGAAAAGGCGACTTGACTGATTTAATCTCCCCCTCGTCGTCCAGGACTTCTCTCGAGTACCTATTGTACTACACTCGTCTACTCGTGCCCGTCAGGAAGAGCATCTCTAGATCTCCAGAGAAAGCTGCCCGTCTCCAAGATGGCGAACGTCCTCAAGACCTATGTGCGCAGGTTTGCAACGACAGCAGTTCGAGCCGCAGCCGCAGAGTCTGTCAACAGTTACGGGGTGCGGGTTTCCAAAGCTCAAGGAGTGGTCGACGGTCTGACGGGAGGTGCGTGTTGACATATAACCCTTCCAATATTCAACTTCCCATACTGACGGTTCTCGCCGCTCCAGCCATCGGCAACACACCCCTCATCAAACTCAAGAAGCTCTCCGCCCAGACGGGATGCAACATTCTAGGCAAAGCCGAGTTCCAAAACCCCGGAGGCAGCGTCAAAGACCGAGCGGCGCTATATGTGGTCAAAGACGCTGAAGAGCGAGGTCTCCTCAAACCGGGCGGCACCGTCGTCGAAGGCACGGCGGGCAACACAGGCATCGGGCTTGCCCACGTGTGTCGGTCCCGAGGATACAATCTGGTCATCTACATGCCCAACACGCAATCGCAAGGCAAGATCGATCTATTGAGACTCCTTGGGGCGGAAGTCTACCCGGTGCCCGCCGTCGCGTGGGAGAACCCGGAGAACTACAACTGGCAGGCGAAGCGACATGCGGAACGGCTGTTGAAGGAAGACCCCGAGCACGGCGCAGTCTGGACGAACCAGTTCGACAACATCGCCAACCGGAGGGCACATATCGAGACCACGGGCCCAGAAATCTGGGCGCAGACAGACGGCAAGGTCGACGCTTTCACATGCGCCACCGGCACGGGAGGCACGCTTGCAGGCACCACGCGGTTTCTGAAGGACGTCAGCAACGGCAGCGTCAAGTGTTTCCTGGCGGATCCGCCTGGGTCGGTGCTGTACTCATATATCTCGTCCGGTGGCCAGCTCAAGGAGCGCACGGGCAGCAGTATCACCGAGGGAATCGGCCAAGGCCGAGTCACGGACAATCTGAAACAGGATATCGCCGACCTCGACGGTGCACTGAACATCGCGGATGAAAAGAGTATCGAAATGGTCTATCGCTGTCTCGACGAGGAGGGCCTGTACTTGGGAGCCAGCAGTGCCTTGAACGTTGTGGCCGCCAAAGAAATCGCCGAGAAGCTGGGCCCGGACCATACCGTCGTCACGATTCTCTGTGATGGTGCATATCGCTATGCCGACCGCCTGTTCAGCGACAAGTGGTTGAAGAGCAAGAACTTGAGAGATGCGATTCCGAAACATCTCGAGAAATATATCGTCCTGCCTTAAACTGTGGTGGAGAAGAGCCACTGCAATCGAGCTCGAACATCCTGTTGTCGAAAGGTGTCCGGCTCTTGCGGTCCTAAGAATCATGGTTGTCTACTCCATATCTGGACGAGTCTTGTTGAAGTTCGTCCAGTCTGACTCAATGCGAAGAATCAGCCAAACCAAACCCGCAAGTGCCCACTGCCCAGGACAAATCTCAGTTGAGCCCTTCGATTGTTGACGCGAAAATTATATTCAACAGCTTGATATGCGTCAACACGCTGTCCACAGTGGATGCGACTTTCTTCGCCCAGCAGGTTCCCTGACTCAGCTCCATCGCAACAGGACCTCTCACCAACAACCACTTTGATCAAATCAATCTCCCCATACTTTGTTTTTGAATATTGAGCCAGCTCTTCCCTGATTCGAAGGACATAACTCAATCTTGGAACAGATGGCTTCAACCCATATCTACGACCTCCTTCCTACACCCAAAAGCATAAACTGTGATTCGGACTTCCAAACTGTGGCCATTCATGACTCAATATGTATTCTCTCTCAGACCCACCCACCCTCACCTCACAGCATTCAAGGTGCCAGTGTGTTATGGTGGCATCTCATCTCAATCACATCAAAGACCCCCGACCTCCGAGCTCGTGAGCCCTGACTCCAGCACAGCCGTCGATTCGATCCTGACCTGAATCTCTATACCAGCCAGATTTATATTTCCAGCGGATGTGATGTCATGCTGCTCGGTCGGTAGTTGTATATTGTTATCATGGCATGGCATGGCTTACACAGTTCAAAAAAGGAAGAAGAAAAGTATTGTGACGAGCCAATTGGGGTCTTGATGAGTATAGTAGCCAGGTATCTCAACGTTCGGATACTGTAAGTAGTATGTATATCATCTCATCACAAGACCAAGATCGGACTTGGACCGAAATGTCTTCTCCTTTGCCTTGCCTTCGCCACTTAGTTACATACTAGCAGACAGGATAGATCATCCCCAGTTGATCTACGAGCCAGACAAAAAAGTCCTGCTTCACTTGACTATATCAGAAATAAGGGAGTTGTTATGCTCAACGCCAGGAAGAGGGAATCACCACCAGCCCATGGCTTGATCTATTGATGTGACCACGAATTAATTCGAGTCGACAAACGTCTCTTGATTGCAAGCCGTAAAACAATTATTTTCGTATAGTAGTACGTAGTGAAGTAGTGCCCGCGTCCACACGACTTTGGTCGCTTGGTGCCGTGTCTGTCGCGCGGCACGGAACGAGAATGATACTCCAGTTGCTGTTCGTATTCCCTGAGCCGTGCCCTGTGTTCCATATTCAACATTCCTCAATCGATGTGCACTGCCATAGTTTGGCCTGGATGATACCACGGCGGAGACCGTCGCCGATACCAATGGACCACAATATCGAACCGGTAAATGTGACAGCGAAGAGCTGCAAACGCCGTCTAGTGCTTCGCGGTGACCTTTTCACCAGTCAATTTCTCGACGGCTTCTTTGGCCCTGTTTCCGTAGTCATTAGCATGGGGTCATCCATAATCTACTCTTGGTGCAAGTGGGAGGGGCACATAAGATAGGGCTGTCGTTCTCATGCAGTGGATGGAGGGATGCCGTGAAGGATAACTTACATATCACCCAAAGCAACCATGCAAATGGTCTGCCAAACGCCGAGGCCAATACGTGGAGCAACGCCGCGATAGAGGCCCTTGAGACCATTGGATTCGTAGATGTATTTCAACGTCTTGCCGACGGTCAAGTTCTTGGGCCGGTTCGGGTCTACAGTCTTGCTCTGCATCTCGACACGGATGACCTCGATAGGCTGGTTCCAGGCGGACAGGCCACCACCGAGAGCGCTGGCCAGGATCTTCTCGCCGGCGCTGAGCGGTTGGCCCTGTTCCTTGCCGGTGACTTTGCGGATGCCGCTCTCGGCCAATCTGGACAATCCGAACCGCGAGCCCCAGTTGGTGGTCTGGCGAATGGCGACGGCGTTGACGCCCTTGTTGATACCCCGGATGCCGTCTTTGCGATAGATGTCGGCGAATGTTTTGAACGTCGACGGCGGCTTCACGCCCGCCGCGGCCAGTTTGTGCTGGGTGATCTCCACCGTCTTCATGCATGTGCAGAACCCCATGGTCGCGTACGCCTGGGCCACACCACCAACCATGCCTCCTGCAATGCCGGCGACGAAGTTGCCGGCGCCGAATGTTCGGGCTCGGTATTCCGCTTCAGAGGCGACGAAAAGCAGCACCGCGCCCTTGGTCGAGGCTTCGATCCACGCCCATGGGATGAGGCCTTGGTAGTCTATTCAACAAACACAGAAAATGTCAGTCCAGCACTCAACAAATAGACAGCACAGAGTCGGCCAGTTCAGCAGCCGAGACCTCAGAGCGTCTTGGAACCGTAGTCGGTGTGTCATTGGGCAGGGGTCTCTTCTTGTCTTCTCTTGCTTACATCCTAGAATACCACCACGGCTCCATATTCTCGACATGGCACCAGCAAAGGTGTCCGATCGATTGGCGGCCATGGTCGTCTTGATGACTTCCAGCGGTTGTCCTAGCGTGGTGACCTCGAACATGTTCAGCCCGGCTCCGAGCAGCAAGTTGCTGAACTTGACGGGCTTCTTCTCGATATGGGGAATGCCTGCGGTGGGTTCCCCCGTCACTGCTTGAGCGGACATCGCAATGGAAGTGGTGACTATTGTCTACCCTGACCAAGGGAGGAGGTGGGCTTCGTCGCCTTTGAGGTTTAGGGGTGCGAGGACGGTAAGGACGCTGCGGACGTTGTGTGGAGGTATGGGCGGTCTTGATGGATGGACACGGTGACTTCAATGATATTTAAAGAGCCGGAGAAACGTTGTGGAGACTGGGTCACTGACCCAGTAAGCTAGATAATAAGGTGACGGGAATGTACTCTTGGGGCGGAGATTAAGCCAACAGGGGCGCTGACACTGGACAGATACGAGGTTTGGGACCCAGTGCGTTGTTCAGCTGCTGAGAAGTAATAAAAGAAGAACACTGGCAGCAAAGGTGTTAAAGGTGTTACCTGGCTTCTATTATTCACCACTTGCTGGATGATGATCACACACTGCAGTCCATTGGCGTAGGCATCACCACTGCAGCGGTCAAGTTCGTTATTCCACGATCCCCCGTCCATTGGGGGGGTAGTGCTCCTAGTCATCAGTATGTTGAGCGGACCGCGATTCTCACCCATCAGCCACCCCCAAACCTGGTGTTCAACAGGAACGGGTCCCCTCTGTCCCCTGGCCTTACGGCCTGCTAAACGCTGAGGGTGGGTCGGTTGGTGCCGTCCGGCCACCCAACAGGAAACGCTCATCTCAACGCCAGAAAAAGAATAAAAAGAAAGTTGGGCAGGAGACTGGCCTGTCTTGCTACACATTATTAACTAGCCAGTGAGACTCGAGGTGACACGGCTGGAGAAGTGTCTCACCCGTTTGGGCGCCTTGTCTGCGGCTCCAAGCCCGGGGTTTCCTCCGCTAGGTGAAAAATGATCTTACAGAATTATTAGCACGCGTAGAAGCGGTCAGAAGAGCATCTCAACATCCAAGAACTCGTGTCAATTACAATACTGGCATATCGGATGGCTCAATCCACAACTGACCACAGCGGAACTGCAACCATCCAAACCCCAGACCCTTTGTAGAACTACAAGTTCGTTTCGCAATTGTACATCGCTTGCTCGCTTGATTGTTTGCTTGCTCCTTGAATCCTCCAGCCCAAATTCATTTACAATGAAGCTCCAACCAATTTGGCGTAAGCTTCCGTGCTGAAGGACTTGGGTCGTTCGATCGGGGCACCAAGGCCACGGTCGATGATGAGTTGAGGCAGGACACCGAGAGCGCGGGAGACACCGAACAAGACAGTGTAGTAGTTGGCTTCCGTCAAACCGTAGTATTGGAGGAGGACACCAGAGTGCTAGAATAGCCACGTTAGTTAAAAGCATGTTTGTTTCCGGGGTCAGTCACAACTTACGGCATCAACGTTGGGGTAAGGGTTCTTCGTCTTGCCATGCTCGGTCAAGACACCTGGGGCAATCTTGTAGACCTGGCTGACAAGCTTGAACATCGGGTCGTTGGGAAGCTTGCGAAGGGCAAACTCGCGCTGCGAGACGTAACGAGGGTCGGTCTTGCGGAGGACTGCGTGGCCGTAGCCGGGAACAACCCGACCAGCGTTAAGCGTGGCCCACAGGTAGTCAGTGATGGCCTTGTCACTAAGATCATCGCCAATAGTCTCCTTCATCTGGGTGAGCCAGCGCAAGACTTCCTGGTTGGCCAACCCGTGGAGAGGGCCAGCCAAGCCGTTGAGACCGGCAGCGAGGGACAACATCGGCGAGCTCAGGGCACTGCCGACCAAGTGGGTGGTGTGGGCGCTCACGTTGCCGCCCTCGTGATCAGAGTGAATCGTCAAGTACAGGCGCATGAGCTCGACGAAGTCGTGGTTGTCGCCAAACCCTAGCTGGTTCGCCAAGTTGAAGGAGTAGTCCTTGTCTTTCTGAACGGGTGCGACCTTGCCATCCTTGTATGCATTGCGGTAGATCTTGGCTGCGATGGTGGGCAGCTTGGCAATCAGGTTCATCGAGTCTTCGAAGGTGTATGTCCAGTAATCCTTCTTGCTGATACCCTTCTCGTAGGCTTTGGCGAACTCGGAGGTATGCTCGAGAGCGGCGACGGCGATGGAAAATTGAGCCATGGGGTGCATGTCGCTGGGGCATCGGTCAATGAGCTCCTCGACATATTTGGGGAGGTCTGATCGAGCAGCCCAATCGGCCGACAGAGCTCTGACCTGTTGCTCGCTGGGAACTTCACCAGTCAAGAGCAGCCAGAACAGGCCTTCCGGAAGAGGCTCCTCGCCGCCCGGGGCCTTGGGAAGCACTTCCTGGCATTCCGGGATGGTTCTCCCACGGAATCTGATACCCTCTTCTGCGTCAAGGACGGAGCCTTCCCAGACCAGAGACTTGATGCCTCGAGCACCTCCGTAGACTTGATCAAGGGTAACCTCGCCAATGACCTTGGAGCCATAGTCTTTCCTCAGCTTCTTGACCTTCTCGACCTCTTCCGGAAGCTTAGCGGCGAAGACCTCTTTCAGAGTCTGTAGAGCATCGGGTCAGTACTGATAGCTCCCAATGTATCCGGCGCAGGCTTACCTTAGTGCTTGCGCAGCGAACACCGTTGTAGGCGGACTTCTGGACGAGCGGTCTTGACGAGCGGAGCAAGGAGCTCCCAATTCGAAGCGAAGATGCCATGGTAAGAGTTTAAGGTACTGAACTGGCTAAGTGAAGCAACAAGGCGGAGAGAAGCTACAAGGAGAGAGCGGGCAATTTGGGAAAAAGTGGTTGAGAGCAGTGACGACGATAGCGAGCAGCTATTTACCTCAAGTACTATGTGGTAGATGGGATAGCGCAGAAAGGTTTGACTGGCCCCCGGGGGTTCGGAAGAGCTTCCCTTCGATACCACTGTCCGAGAGATCTCTATCCCTTGACAAGTTGACGCCAATTACGGCCCCTCTCCCACACTGGCACTGGCAATATGGCACCGCAGACTCCGGAGCAGTTTAGTACGTATGGCTTCTAAGGGTTCAGCGGCAACGAATGGGTCTTGGGCTGGGAAGCTCGGCAAGTCGGACGGCACGCGCACAATAGGGACCAACCACGACAGTACCTTACAAAGTACCTATAGTAGTAGTAACCCACAGCATGCTGAAGGCACCTATCTAAATTGCTGCAACAATAATTCGGGCTACAACTGTACTGCCTACTACCTATGTACATACCTAAGGTACATACTGTAAATGGGCATTCGGCGCAAATGGCGCGAAGTACTTCTTACTAGTAGTCATTAGAGGGTGCAGCGCCAGTAACAGCTCTGTATTTTAGGTGCCTTAGGTGCCTACATCTTAGGTACCTACCTACCTAGGTACCTACTAGGTGCCCGTAGTGAATGATACTACCTAATATTAAATTATTCTAGGCCGAGAAAACCCCTCGTCACGTGCACTACCATGTAATTGCAACCCCCTGGACGATGGGGAGTGCAAACGAAGCAAGCGGAGAGTGATGGAGCAACCACAGCTTTGCCGCCACCACTCTCTGTCCAGGTATCCATCTCCAGCCAAGTCTACCTAAAATAATACCTGCCACTGCGGTGCCTGCGCACGCCGCCCGCTCATGAACTTAAGTTAAGCCTGTCGTCCTTCCACGACCCCCCAAAAGTCTGTTCAAATCTCCGCTTCTTCTCTTCCAACCTCTTTCCAACCTCACCATAACTCATCTCCCCCTTCGACCTCGACACAAACTTCATCCTCCCATCTCTGCGCACGTAGCGCCTCGAACTTGTCGTAATCTTCATCTTCTCCGGAGAGTCTCTCTCTCGTTGCGTCTGGCCGATAGTATTCCTCTTCCTCGGCCCACCGATCTTGCCATCAGCAGCCGCTGCTACCCTCTCGGACTGTACACAGTAGAGAAGTCTGCATCGTCGTGGTGGTTGCAGGAAAGAGAAAGCCACACAACGTCGTCTTGCACCATCATTCTTCATCACTTGACTTGTACTTGGAGTTTGTAAGGCGTCTTGTGGGACACATTCTGACGCGTCGGCTGGCTTTCCATCTTGTCGCCATCAGAATTTGCACCGTCCTGCAAACCTAGCCCTCACAATCTTATTGCAAAGTACCCTTGACATCGATCTTGTAGGGAGATCTCGCTGGTTCACCATGTCTTCTGCAGTAGCGGAGCTGGACTCTATCTTGCAGTCCATGCTCAACTTGAAGCCGCCAGGGGTTTCCGGTTCCAAGATCACCGCCATCACCTCACTCTGTACCGCGAATATCCAAGTACGTTCTCGAGCCTTTCCGTCGCCTGCGAAACTTCGTGTGACTAATGATCCGTCTAGTCTGAGTCAGTTTTGATCCAGAAGATCTATACGCATTTCAAGAAGACGCCGGGGACACACAAACTGGGAGTACTCTATGTTGTAGACTCGGTGACACGACAATGGGTAGATCAAGCCAGAAAGTCGGGTCAACAGCCTGGTAGCGGAGCCCCTGATGGGACTTTCGCCGCTGGTGTGACTCGCGTGACTGAATTACTACCTGTGCTCATGAACGACATCATTGCAACAGCCCCAGAAGATCAGAAGGTATGCTTATAAGTTTACTGTCACGCTGTTGCGCTGCCGAGACAATGTATTGTCCACTAAGTCAGATGTTGTGCCTCCAGCGCCTGCTGGTATCCTCTCGCGTCTTTGTCTTCACAGCGGGTAACTTGTACTCACCATCTGCGTTCTTTGACAGGTCAAAATCAAGAAGCTCATCGAGATTTGGGAGCGGTCCAACACTTTTCCTGCTCCATTACTGGCATCCCTGAAGGAAAAGCTTGATGCACCAAGAGGTAAGCCCGCTCCTGCACCTGGTGCTCGATGCGATGAGATGGTTCTAATGCCCGGGTAGTCTCAACCACACCAGAGAAATCGCCAGCGCCTGGCTTCGTCCCCCTGGGCCAACCAGCGGCTAACTCTGCCTCTACAATGCCGCCTCAACAAGACACTTCAGCCATCCTCGAGGCCCTCAAGAATATGGCAAAGCAGAACGCCGCCGCACAGCCCGCCGTCGCACCCGCACCAGCGCAATCTAGTTTGAATAATCTGTTAGGCACGCAGAATGGGACTCCTCAGCCGACCAGTACCGTAAACACAGGCCCTCCTCCCGCTGCCATGGCCGCCAATGGGCAGGCTGTAAACCCCCTTGGAGCTCTATTCGCTGGAATGAGTAATGGTGCGCAAAGTCAGAGTCCTGCGAATGTACCTCAGAATCCGCTGGCTGCGTTTCTTCCTCAGCCACAAGCTCCTGTCCCGATGGCGCAGAATCCCGCTCCCTTAGGTCAAGATCCTCAGGCTCAGTTCCAACTATTGCAGCTTCTGGCTGCTCAAGGAGTTCCTCCCGATCAATGGGCCACTGCGCTACAGTTGTTGAACATGCAAACTGCCAATGCCAGCGCTGGCGCCGTGCCTGGCCTTCCCTTTCCGCCACCAATGCAAGCAAACAACTGGGCCGGCCAGCCGGTCGGTCAGTCACGTGATGTCCACACCCGCTCACCTCCGAACCAGTATCGACGCCGGTCTCGCTCTCCTGGATTCGACAGACGACGAGATCTGTCTCCCAGACGTCGCCGGGACAGTCCCGGTCCTGATCAGTACCGTAATGACCGTGATGGCCGGCGCGGGAATGACTATCGTCAGCGAAGCCCAGCTGGTCGGAGACGTCGAACGTCGACACCGCCCGCTAGTGATATCAAACTGCCACCGCCGGGCCCGAAGAACATAACTTGGGATACGTCTCTGCCCAAAGGTCACATCAAAGTGTACAGTCGGACCCTATTCGTGGGTGGGGTTACCTCTAGTGAAGCACATCTGCGAGCCATCTTCAACAAGTTCGGGGTGGTCCAGACCTGCATCGTCAACGTCGACAAACGTCATGCCTTTGTGAAGATGATTAATCGTCGAGATGCGGAGAGTGCTCGCAATGGGTTGGAAGAATACAAAGCCGGTGACATACAGCTTCGGGTAAGTGATCTTGTCGGAGAGCCTTAAGCGACATAATTACTGACAGGAGCAACCAGACCAAATGGGGTGTCGGTTTTGGACCACGTGACTGCAGCGACTATGCAACCGGCGTTAGTGTCATTCCTATCGAACGTCTGACGGATGCCGACCGCAAGTGGCTGGTGACGGCCGAATATGGCGGGACAGGCGGTCTTCCGATCGAGCAGTTCATGGTGGTCGAGGAGCCGGATATTGAGATTGGCGCGGGTGTTTCTTCCAAAGGTAAGCGGGCTCGTTCCAGTTGCTCGGTCATGTCTAACACTATACTACAGCCATGAGTCGACGCATTGCCACCGATGCAGGTGGCCGACGTGGACCCCAGTCATCCCGCCTCCATTCCGGCCGGGACGATGGTCACCGGGACGATGATCGCCGCATGGATCGCAATGATCGACAATCAGGCGCCGGCAACAGTGGCAGCGGGATGCCGGGAATGCCTTTCCCAATGAACTTTGGAAACATGACCAACGGCATGCCTGTCTTCGCAGCGGGCTTCCAATATCCGCCGTCCCAGCAACAGGGCAAGCAGGATTAGAGGCATGTCAGGGCCTGCGCAGACACAGCGACGTGAGCCTTGAGTGCATTCATTACTTCCAAGGTTGAAAGCCTTGGATCTACGGTCTAGGATGATACCCCTTGTACATGTTTCTAAAGCAACATATCGGCGTTGGGACGAGGAGGGAACTTCTCTCTTCCCTAGGTCTCAATTGGCAGGCGGGTGGTGGACTTTGAAATTCTGTTCCCTTCCCTGGTAGAGGGTGGCCATGACTTCTTTTCTCCGAGCGACATGCTTCCTCTTGTTACGAGAGACAGTGTTAAAATTCCAGATAACGAAATCATCAGAACTGCGTCCAAATATCTGTTTACCGCGCGCGAACGGTCGCGTTGTCCCTTCATTGTAGCACATAAGGTCAACAACATTCTCGGCGCTGAACTGGAGGGAAGGACGGTCGGCACCCTACCGTGCACGTTGTTGCAGCACGTGGGAGAGGTGTTAGGAGGAATATCCGGGGTAGTATAGTAGCACGTATTAGCATTGTCGATGTCACGCCAGTTGGAAGCCAGCAAGTAGAAGATTGAGTGGCTGTGTTGGTCCCCTATATGCACAGCATTATGGCGGTGGCGGTGGCAGTGGCAGTGGCACATGAATGCGGATGCGGATGCGGAGGAACAGAGTGCACTGGCAGTGCAGTGGTCTGCTCCTTATTGCGGATGATCAGCTACGAGGTCCACCAAGGAATGATCTCTACCAGTAACACCCGTTGGACTGCAGTGGGCACTACACTCAGCACTGGCACATCTGGAGTACAGTATCCATTTATTTATCCGTCAAGTTGCGGGGAGGAAAGTCGGGAGTCCTCCATCATCAGTATCTGTGTGACTACATTACATCTTTCAAGTGTTTCTGATACCTTCCTCACGCCTGGAAATTCTCTATTCCTAAGGTACATTCACACAGCCACAAGATATCCTACCTAATCCGTGCCTGCGGTTCACGCAGCTGCATCCCGCCTGCCTCCCTTCCTCCTCCTCCTCCTCCTCCTGCCTATTGACTTGCCGCAGCGGCCTCGCTCCACAGGCGAATACAACCCGTCCGCCGCGTTTTCCCTCATGGAGTTCACATAGCGCCCCTCCTACCTATCTACGCCTCCCCTATCTTAATCAATATGGTAGACATACCATCCGACGTCAGTTCGGCGGGATCCACTCCCGGCAAGCATCCACCTCGAGTTCAAGTGAATCCTACCCATGACCTTACCTCGGAAAAGCCCATGCAACATAATGGCAACGTGCTCAGGGATCGGAGGATCTCTAGAGCCGAGAAGGATGACGATGAAGAAGACGAGGATCTCGACGCGCTCATAGAAGAGTTGGAGTCCTTGGACCCTGACGCCGAGATGGAGGCCGAGATGGAAACCGTGGGAGGCGCGAGGAACGTGCCTGAGGAGATGCTACAGACCGACCCGCGGGTGGGCCTCATAGAACCAGAGGTGGTGGCCAGACGCAGGAAGTACGGACTGAATCAGATGAAAGAGGAAAAGGAGAACCTCCTCCTGAAGTTCCTGGGCTACTTTGTCGGTCCGATTCAATTCGTCATGGAGGTGCGATTCCTTTGCCATGCACATCCATACCACGCTCGCCATGACTCAGACTAATCTTTGCGATGCAGGCAGCTGCCATACTCGCCGCCGGTCTAGAAGACTGGGTCGACTTTGGTGTCATTTGTGCTCTTCTGCTGCTCAACGCTAGTGTCGGGTTCGTTCAGGAGTTTCAAGCCGGGTCGATTGTGGAGGAGTTGAAGAAGACTCTGGCTCTCAAGGCTGTTGTCCTCCGAGAAGGTCGCTTGGTTGAAATCGAGGCCCCAATGGTAGTCCCGGGGGACATCCTGCAACTCGAAGAAGGTACAATCATTCCCGCCGACGGCCGCATCGTTACAGAAGACGCCTACCTCCAAGTCGATCAATCTTCAATCACCGGCGAATCTCTTGCCGTCGACAAGACCTTAGGAGACACTTGCTATGCTTCATCCGCGGTCAAACGAGGGTCTTGCTTCATGATTGTTACTGCTACCGGAGACAATACTTTCGTTGGACGTGCGGCTGCCTTGGTCAACGAGGCGTCGGGCGGCTCTGGACATTTCACCGAAGTCCTCAATGGCATTGGAACTGTTCTCCTCGCTTTGGTTGTTTTCACCCTTCTAGTGGTCTGGATCTCCTCTTTCTATCGGTCCAATAGTATAGTCACTATTCTTCGATTTACTCTGGCCATCACCATCATTGGCGTTCCCGTCGGTCTTCCGGCCGTCGTCACCACCACCATGGCTGTTGGTGCAGCTTACCTTGCGAAGAAGAAGGCCATTGTCCAGAAACTTTCGGCCATTGAGTCTCTCGCGGGTGTGGAGATCCTCTGCACCGACAAGACGGGCACATTGACGAAGAACAAACTCTCCCTACACGAACCATACACCGTCCAAGGCGTGGACCCCGAGGACCTGATGCTTACTGCGTGTCTCGCTGCCTCCAGGAAGAAAAAGGGCATGGACGCCATTGACAAGGCCTTTCTCAAAGCGCTTCGGTACTATCCTCGCGCGAAACAGGCCTTATCCAAATATAGGGTGATTCAATTCTTCCCTTTCGACCCGGTGTCGAAGAAAGTCAGTGCCGTCGTCGAGTCCCCTCAGGGTGAACGCATAATCTGCGTCAAAGGTGCTCCATTATTCGTCCTTCGCACTGTCGAGGAAGACAACGAGATTCCGGAAGAGATAGAAATTGCATACAAGAATAAGGTTGCAGAGTTCGCGACTAGAGGTTTTCGTTCTCTCGGCGTTGCGCGGAAGCGAGGGGACAGCTCGTGGGAGTTGTTGGGGATCATGCCGTGTGCCGATCCACCTCGGTATGATACTGCGAAGACCATCAACGAGGCAAAGTCGCTAGGTCTTTCGATCAAAATGTTGACGGGTGACGCTGTTGGCATTGCGCGAGAAACCTCACGACAACTTGGGTTGGGCACCAATGTTTTCAATGCCGAACGACTAGGACTTGCTGGAGGCGGGACGATGCCAGGTTCAGAAGTGTACGATTTCGTGGAAGCCGCGGATGGCTTCGCCGAGGTCTTCCCACAGCACAAATACAACGTGGTGGAGATCTTGCAGCAGCGAGGGTACCTTGTAGCCATGACTGGCGATGGTGTCAATGATGCTCCGTCCTTGAAAAAGGCCGACACCGGCATTGCGGTTGAAGGGGCGTCAGACGCGGCTCGATCGGCGGCTGACATAGTCTTCCTTGCGCCTGGACTTTCGGCGATCATCGACGCGCTGAAGACCTCTCGACAGATCTTTCATCGCATGTACGCCTACGTCGTCTACCGCATTGCACTATCGTTGCACCTGGAAATCTTCCTCGGCCTGTGGATCGCCATCCTGAATCGGTCGCTGAACCTAAAGCTAGTTGTCTTCATCGCCATCTTTGCCGACATTGCCACATTGGCGATTGCATACGACAATGCGCCTTACTCGAAAACGCCTGTCAAGTGGAACCTCCCCAAACTATGGGGCATGTCCATTTTACTGGGGATAGTCCTGGCTGCAGGCACCTGGATTGCGCTCACTACAATGATCGTGGGCGGGGAGAATGGAGGCATCGTACAAAACTTCGGCCATATCGATGCTGTGCTGTTTCTCCAGATTTCGTTGTCCGAAAATTGGCTGATCTTTATCACCCGGGCCAACGGGCCTTTCTGGTCCAGCATTCCTTCCTGGCAACTCACAGGTGCGATTCTGCTTGTGGACCTTCTGGCCACCTTTTTCTGTCTCTTCGGGTGGTTTGTTGGCGGCCACAAGACGAGCATCGTGGCCGTGGTCAGGATATGGCTGTATTCATTTGGCGTCTTCTGCGTAATGGCTGGAGTCTATTACCTGCTGCAGGATAGCGTGACCTTCGACGACATCGTGCATGGCCGAAGATCCAGAAGCAATAAGGTGTTGAAGAAGAGGGACATGGAGGATTTTCGTAAGTTGTTGTCCGCTGCATTGTGTTTGGCATCTCACTGACCTTGTCATTAGTGGTGTCATTGAATCGTGTGTCCACCCAGCATGAGAAGGTTGCTTGATGGCAACCATTTGCTATTGGTTGGATCTGCACAATCAACGGCAGCAGGAACCCCAACAAGTCTGCCAATCTCACAGATCAATTCACAGGCCTTGCATGGCCGAGAACTGAGCAGGACCACCAGGAGATCCAGAGCCTCAACAGTGCGATGAACCTCGCCCAGGGCGGAGACTCCATCTGGCAAGGGACAAGGTTTCTTCTACCCAGCCTTTCATGAGTTGAGATGTGGTCATGGGGACATCAAAAGAGATCTGGAGAGCCGACGCGGAAGGATACCTAGAGTCATCCTTACATGGGGAGGGGTTTCTTCATTCACCCCCTCTCTCTGCGGAGCGGCAGCTGTGGCCATTGGTGGACTAGAGAGAACAGACTCCTGGTCAGGAGATATGAAACGGCCCAACTGCAGAAACCCTGAGCAGGGAACGACCGGACGCTGATACTGATACCCAATTTTATGATATTCATTTTTTTCTGCAAGGTTTTGTATTCGGAGGCGAGTGAGCGATACCCCAGTACCACAGTATCTTTTTCTGACTTTGAAGCGATGGCGCTATTCGATGAATTGAGTATTATATGGCTTGTGTGCGGGAAGCGATGGTTGTCACCCTTCGCCAAGCAGGGGCATATACAGTGAGAGGATATACTCCAATTGAGGAACGAAGGCAGGAAGAGAGGAGTATGGCATGAGGAGCGGATGCTAGATTGAGGTAGATAACGTCTCTCAGCAATTGACCTGAGTCCGTTGCAATGTTACCTTACCGACCACTTGACCTACCTCGAGATAGGGTTGCTCTTCTGCAGAAGGTAGAGTCTGATCCTGCTTACCCTGCTTGCCGTGATTGCTCTGCTTGCTTAGTGACCAACACCTTCATGGTGCCGATGCCTGTCTTGACAGATGGACTTTGATCAGTCCAAGGAAAGATTCATCTTCATCTTCAGCCAGCCTTGTGCAAGAAAAACGCAGTCATGTGACATCGCGCGACTAGCGCGGGGCAGCCTTCCACTTCTGCCGCAGACAAGACGCGTTTCCCTTTGTCTGCGCTTCACAATCGACGCGACGCAGACCACTATGTACTACACCTCACGAGCAAATATCTCTTTGTCGCCAGCATTGGATGTGACGAGCCACGTGCACAACAATGACCCCCTATCGCGGTAGCCGGTGGACTTCGATGTTGTCCGCATCGTCCACAGCCGTCACACCCATTCCTGGCAAATGGGATTTAAATTCTGCTGGCTGGTTGAGCTTCTTGAAGGCCTCGATGCTGCACGAGGGCAGAAACCTCTCTCGTCGTCCCGCGCCGTGAAGCCAGAACATCTTGCGGTGGAGCGATGGTTCAAAGAGTATGGTCATAAAGTCCCTAGACATGGACCGTCGGCTGTTGCCTTCTTGTCCTGCATCTTCCCAGAACGTCTATCTCACCGGAGCTACGCTATGCAAGAGACCCGCCTAGCCGCAGTCATGGGCCGCGTTTTGCACCTTGGGTCTGGTCGTGCTGAGCGCTTGCGAAGATGGCATGAGTCCAATCTCGACTTTGCAACCTGTCTCCAGCAGATCATGGCCGAGGCCGAGATGCCTCTTCCTCAGCCCGGAAGCGAAGTCACCCTGGAGCAAATTGATGAAGCTCTGCTGCAAGTCGCGGCGAACTCCCCCTTCTCATCACCGGATATCAAGAGATCAGCCAATGGCGTCTTGCCGCACGACGTTCTCATGCCTATCGTCCGACGGCTACAAAGCCGGGAAGCGAAGTGGCTCGTACGTATGATCTTGAAATCGTACAGTCCTGTTCAGGTCCCCGAATACAGCGTTATGCAGACCTTTCATTTCCTTCTTTCCGATATTCTGGCGGTACAGAACACTATCGAGGCGGCTGTGGCGATCCTGGGAGAGGAGGATATCAAGCCGCTCCCACCAAATCCGCCGAAAGAACTAAGGCCTCTTTTCCGCAAAGCGTGTGCAAGATATGTCGTTCCCAGGCTAGGCGTCATGGTTCAGCGACAGCCTTACTATAAAGCCAGAAGCATCCATCACTGCTGTCAGATGGCAAGTCAGCGGTCCATGAGTGTGGAGAGAAAATATGATGGCGAATACTGTCAGATCCATATCGACAGATCCAAGGGCAATATGAACTGCATACAAATCTTTTCGAAAAGTGGCAAGAACTCCACGGATGACAGAGTCCGTTTACACGGCGCAATCACCGCAGGCTTACGGTTGAACGACCCTGACTGCGCTATCAAACGAAATTGTATCGTCGAAGGAGAACTGCTGGTATGGAGCCGGTCCAAGAAAGCCATTCAGCCCTTCCACGTCATTCGCAAGCATGTTATGCATGGGCTGAGGTTTCTGGGCAACGAAGCAGATTCTCCCCGTGCGCCGGATGAGCAGCTTATGATAGTATTCTATGATATACTGCTACTTGATGACAAGATACTCACCAATGAACCCCACGGCGAACGACGGCAGGTCCTGGAGGCCACTGTCAAGCGGAGCGAGGGTGAGGCTGACGTCGGCCATCGCAATGTCATCGACTTCGCTTCGAGGAGTGCCAGAAGCGAGCTGCGTGAGTTCTTCGTTCATGCCATCAACCAGAGATGGGAAGGACTCGTTCTGAAAGGATGCAAGGACCCGTACTTCTCGTGGGGGGCGAATAGCAGCGTCATCAAACTGAAGAAAGACTACATCGCGGGGCTCGGCGATACGGTTGACCTATGCATTGTGGGCGGTCGACGCGATCAGACTGTGGTGGATGAGCTAAAGATTGGTGAGCTCTCATGGACATCTTTCCATCTTGCCTGCATTGAGAACAAAGACGAAGTAGGGAGGTTCAGTGCTAAGCCTGCGTTTCGCATATTGGATGTGCTGTCTCACCACAACCTTTCCAAGGACAACATTCTTTATCTGAACGTGAAAGGCCAATTTCTGCAACTGTCGTATTCGGAGATTACACCACATCTAGACGTGCGAACCGATCAGAAAGGGATGAAGCCACCCACCGTCCTGTTCAAAGAGCCGTTTGTAGTCGAGGTCATGGGAGCGGGTTTCGACAAACCCTCCAACACATCCTACTTCACTTTGCGCTTCCCACGAGCACTGAATGTCAAGATACACATGGACAGGTCGGTTGTCGAAACCAACACTTTCGATGAATTGCAAGACATGGCTCAGAAGACTCTGACGCCGTCGTTGGACCAGGAGGAGCAAGAGGAAGCAGGATGGCTTCAACGTCTGATCATGGCTGATGGCAAAAACCAAAATATTGATGCCAATTCTCAAAGCACAAGTCCGACGAAAAGCACTCCTAGTTACAAAGGTAGTGTCGGGCCTGGATGGCGAGATGTGGGCGTCATACCACCCACACGCTCACCGGAAATGTGTTTGATTACCAGGCTCCCGGACTCACCAGGCGTTCGACGCACGTTGGGGAATGACCCAGGTCGAAAACCCGAACTATCCATATTGGCGTCACCATCAGAGTCTAACAGAAAGAGACGCAAAGTGCGTCGTGGGTCTCTCGCGGCCGACAATCGACTCGAAACAATCATCGAGGAAGATTCCAGAGGTCCTGCCTCTGCAAGAGCTGTGGTTCCCATGTCTCATGCTTTGCAGAAATCTTTGTTGACGATACCACCATATGACCCTCCAGCAATCTTTCGACCCCTAAGAAAAGCTTCCGCTCGACCAAGCAGCTCCGACCTGTCTAGCCACAAGAGAAGACCACTGTCGGAACTCTCCAACATCTCGGCACAGCAGCTCCAGAAACGCAAAATGGCTTCACCAGACCTTGCCGCGAAGAATGTCGCAAGTATCGAGTATGCACCACCAAGCAGTGCTTCTGCTCAACAACCGGTGCGGGAGCAATTGACAGTTCATGTGCCAAAGCGTAAGCTCTGTTCAAGTTTGTATCTACCAGCGGATCATTTGGCCATGCTAGTTCTGGACTCTTGCTGGGTGGACGGCAACAACGACTCTGCGGCCGTCGACGCGCAATCCCGCCAGACCTGTCCCATCCACCGACGAGTGTATATCAAGGTCATGAACAATGCCGGTTTCGAGACCGAGGTCGCTCGCGAGATATTCGATGTATGTAGGGCGATCAGGGAAACATGGATCAAACAGCAAGATCAACCCGAACATCAATATACACTTACTAGTAGACGCCATATGCCACCGCCAGACCAGAAGAGCACCAAGCAGAAGGTGGTCATGATATTCAATCAGCGGCTCTCCGAACACGAGTTTCGCACCAATCCGGGAAAGCGCCACTGCGATGTCTGCAACGTCTTGATGGATCCGCGAAGCCACAAGTTCTTTCTGGCCTGTCACTTCCTCACCTTCGAGGTCGAGACGGCGGTGGTTCCGAGAAGCTCTATGCCTGAAGAAGCAGCAGCGGCCATCAGGGGCAGGAATCCGGGGAGCGACAATAATGAAAAAGAACTGCAGAACACTGGTGAAGAGGTTCAGAACGTCGAAACCATGTCTATGAGGACCTCTTGGGACTGGGATGAGACGGTTTTGCGGCTGCCCAGCCGGTCATGGGTGAAAGTGGCCAGCAGCACCTGTTAGCGGAAAGGAACCACGGTTTGATGCGGCAATACATCATACCCGAGCTATGCCGAATACGGCGACAAAGATTAGCCAATGGTTTACTCTTCCAAGGAAGGTATTGGCTCGACAGGTTTGGACATCTAGCAAAAGGAGACATCGGTGCCTCTTTCTCTTTTGGATCAGAGACTAGATAGAAGGACCCCGACTCAGATTGGAAGGGTGAGTTGTGACACTCTGGTCGTCCATTGTTGGATATGGTCTTGCTTCCAGTGTATATGGTGTATATTGCACACCAGACGAAGAAGAAGAAGGCTTGGGAAAGGTCGCCTCGGCTTTTCCCCGCTTGGTGTATATAAGTGTGTGTGTATATTTACATACGCGTATTAGTATGTCGAGTCAGTTACCTTATTGTTATAATATCACAGTTTTTCGCTCAGTCATGGAGCATCACATCTATCTACCTTCCTACCTACATATCTACCCACCTATGTTGTATATATGTATGTAGTACTATGAGTACAACAGGTACTATCTTCCGTGGACCTAAACGACCTTTTGGGTAAGGAATCTGGAGTCTTATAGATCTATATCTATTCACCTCGAGTTCTCTCCGTTCTGGGTTCCCGTTTCATACACGCACTGTCACACATGAGGGGTGAGCTGATGACACATGATGTCGCGGCGAGAGACGAGACGATATGCTATGATAACCAACCAAGACTAGGTACATACATCTCAGGGGCATCGTCTAAGGTATGGTGTGTACTCATCGAACGTGAGATACATGTAGCCAGCGTGATCGACAGCTTGGCAGCATTTGGAGCCCTGTATTCTAGCACCATGTTCTCTAAACCCATGTACTGACTGGATCTGTACATCTATCATTCCTCGGCTCAAAACAACCAAGAGACAAACGTGCGATAGAACCAGCCCCGCGACATGCCCGCCTTGCCACGCTCCATGTCCTTGGCGCGCTTCCTGGCCAAGAACTCCTCTTCCTCGCGATCAATGGCATCCTTGCCGGACCACAGATCGGCCGTTTCAGGCGAGACGCCCTTGCACTTGGTGACGAACTTGTAGCCGAAGATCATGATCAGGTACAGCGGGATGCCGAGATAGCCGGTGACGAAGTTCTTGTAGTCGAAGTCGCCCCAGGACTCGGAGTGCGTGAAGACGGGGAAGTTCTTGGTCAGCGCGATGAGGATGCACAGCGCCAGGGCCCCGTACGACCCGGGCACGCCCAGGGGCGCCTTGAACGCCAGCGCCGTGTCCGGCACGTTCTGGGCCCGGCGCGCACGCACGAAGTAGATGTGCGCGACCAGAATCGAAATCCAGGTCAACAGGCCGAAAATGGTGGTCAGGTTGACGAAGTAGCCAAACACGATCCTCGAGTCGTCCGAGACGTTCATGAACGCAAGCAGCGCGAACGCCGCGGAAATGCCCAGCGCATAGATGGGCACGCCGCGAGAGTCGGTGCGTCGGAAGATCTTGGGCGCTTTGCCTTCGCTGGCGAGGCCGTAGAGGGTACGGCTGGCGATGTAGAGGTCCGAGTTGGACGCCGAGAAGACGAACAATAAAATACAGCCGTTTAAGATGCCCGGCAAGGCGTTGATGCCGGCGAGTTTGACCGCGACGACGAAGGGCGACGCCGACGCCGAACTGGTCGCTTTGGTCGCGAACGCTAGCTGTTCCGAGTCGTACGGCACGAGCATTCCCAGGAGCAGGACGCTGAGACAGTAGAAGAACAGGATACGGTAGAAGGTGAGTTTGATGGCGCGCGGGATGGTCTTGCGAGGGTTCTGTGCTTCGCCGACGGTCACGCCGACCAGTTCGGTGCCTAGGTAGGCGAATGTTGCCGTCACCATCGTGGACCAGAAGGCTAGGAAGCGCCCGGTCGCGCCTGTGTCGATGTATTCGGCGAACGCGCCGGGGTTGGACCAGTACCGGAACCCTTTACGGTCGTGGTCTGGCCCGCCGCCGAGAGCAAGCACGAGAGATAGAATGATGATGCCGACGATCACGATCACTTTAATGGTCGAGAGCCAGAATTCGAATTCGCCGAAGAAGCGGATGCCGAAGTAGTTGATGCAGACTATGGCGACCCAGAATATCGCGATGAAGACGCCTGGATTCACTTGGTCGCGGTCGACCCAGTACTGGATGATCAGGGCGCCGGCTGTGAGTTGGTTGGGAGTGACAATGACGTATTTGAACCAGTAACTGTGCGTTAAAGGGTGGTCAGTCGAAGAAGCGCTAGGAGCGAGCGAGGAGAGAGACAGGAGACAAGAGGGAAATGGAAAGGAGAGACTCAACGTGTATCCAAGAGAAAAACCGAGTGCTGGATCGCAGAAGCGTACGGCATAACCGGTGAAGCCGGACGACAGGGGTAACCAGGCGGCCATCTCGCCCAATGCGCACATGACGAGGTAGACGAGGAAGCCGACCACTGTGTATGAGATGAAGATGGAGCCAGGGCCTGCTCGAGCCAGAGCTTGACCTGTCCCGATGATCAAGCCGGTACCTACGTAAATAAGAAGATAGGTCAGACTGGTTGTTCAGAAGAAGCTGAGTCTTCAGCAGAGACTGATATTGAAGTGCAGAATCTTTCGTACCTATGGCACCGCCAATGGCTATCATCGTGATGTGACGCGCCTTCAGGCCTCGATGGAGCTGAGTCCCATCGTGAATGTCGACGCCATGGACATGTTGTCCGCTGACGACAGGAGACACAGTCTGCGGCTGCGCCGTGTATTCACTCTTCTCCATGTTGTCCAGAGGTGGGCTGGAACTGTTGTGGAAGCCGGTCATGGCTCACTGAAGAATGGGTGAGCAAACAAGGGATCAGGAGAGTGAGAAGAAGTGACAAAAGGGTAAAGTCGCAACTTCCACGTTACACAAACCCTGAAGGTAGGTGGGAGAAGATGAACAAATGAGACCATGTGTGGCCGGGATTCTCTTGACGCTTAATACTCCCTGCCTCCCTGGCCGCCTGGTTGCCTACCTGCATACCTCAGGTACCTACCTACTCCGCCCCATCGTCTGGCACATGGTGAAGGTTCTCGAGTAACCAAAAGCCGTCAGGCTGACTCTCACGATGTTACATGGTCTCCATGTCCGCCCAGGAGAGGAATTGGTCTGGACCAAGACGATTCCCGGTGATCGGCTATCACAGTCCACTGCAGATAAGTGATATCAACGCCAGTGGCCACGAACAGAGGGAGCGAGTAGGTGTGCAGCCAGTAGTGGACACAAGATCTCGTGGGGGACGACGTCAACAGCTGGCCAGCGGACGATACCTACACAGAAGGATGGAGACCCAAGAAGTTTCCAAGAATGAATCATTGACATGCCAGGGTTGATACAGGTGGTAGTAATGTGTAATAAGCTACACAAGGTGCCAACGGAGATTTGGTGAAGCAACCCAAGACCAAACCAAGCGGATACCAAGACAAGGCCAAGACGAGCGGGACAAGTGACAGTGGCGGAGAGTTGGAGTAGCGACAAGGGGGAGGCCTCTAAGCCCCGTTACTGCTTCCTGGAGCTGTTGGATAATGAGCCGAGGACAGCACCAACCAACGTCATGCTTGTATGATACGAAAGAGACGGTTGGGGGCGAGAATGCGCTCGGAATAAGGAAGGCCCAGCGGGTTCCCCGCTGGGAATGTTTCTAGCATTGGCAGTCGACAGTGTTTGTTGTTTGGTGATAGGATAGTATGCAGGCACCTGTGTGATTGGTACAAGAACTGTGGAGGAAGAGTTACATCCTGGCGTTGAGGAATATTGCAGAAGTGATTCCCACACAGGTTCACGTGTGTACCGGCATCCACTTGGTGGTGAACAAAGCTCAACCTCTTGGGATATCGACAGGGCTCCAAGGAGGACTTGCGAAGATAGCCGCAACTACGCGGTCCACCTGACAACAATTTGCAAGGCCGTGTGCTGAGTTTGAGGATGGCTTCAAGAGCGTGTGGTAGATGCCGGTGCTGCATAGGGTGCTGAGTTCCAGGTTGTCTGCAACTCCAGTACCGTTGGGCGGATCGCAGAACGGACCATAGAACGGCCCTCTTGCTTTATGCAAGTGCTTCTTTCTTCGATTGTTCTGTTCAAAGCTGGAGGGACTCTTCTTCGAAGCGCGAAGGCCAGGATAGCCGTATCCTTCAGTCGAAGAACGAATCCCATAACTTCTGCAGCAGTCCGCCGCCCTCACCTCCACCAGATTCACCCGCTCCGCCGCTCTCTCCACTCCAAGGTTCTGATTCTCCCGGACCCCATACATCACCGGCTTCATTCTGCCCACCAAAGCCGCTTTCTGGAGATTGAGGATCGTAAGGCTCACCGTAGGGTTGTTCTTGGGGACTGGCTTCTGGTGGTGGGGATTGAGGGCCATAAGGATCATATGGTTCGCTAGAGGGCGATTCTTGAGGGCTGACTTCGGCTTCTGGTGTTGATCGAGGGCCTCGTCCGAGGCCTCTCTGCATGGCTTCGTAGCCCGCCAAGGTCCCAGCACCTGCGATGGCTCCCTCTCCCGCTCCCAGTTCTCCAGCTGCTGATCCAACTGCTCGACCAGCTCCACCTACTGCGGCGCCACCGAGAACATCGCCGGCTCCTGCAGCCCCTGCGGCTCCAGCGGCTCCAGCGGTTCCAGCGGCTTCACCGGCTCCGGCAGCACCAGCACCAGCTCCTGCTCCTGCAGCTTCGCCGCCGCCTCCCATCCAAAAGGGAAACATAAATCCATGTCCACTATGGCGGGAGAAATAATCATAGTCGATGTTAACAGCCGTTGCCAGCATCACTGCCCTTTGGTCCAGTGTCAACCCATATTTGTCTTCGTTCCCGCCCAAAGCTTCTGCATATGCAGGCTCAGTCTGTGCTCCTGACGAGGCACCATGGCTTTGCTGCGCTTCTCCTTCCATACCGGCAGCATCCATACGCAGAAGGTAACTGCCAGTGTCCGTGAACAACTCCCGAGCAAAGCCACGGAAACTGCGATTGATAGAACCGATGAGTCGATTATCTTCATCTCGCAGGGAGAAGTCCCAGGACAAGAAGGGTTCATTGATTACTGCAAACTGGGCGAACTCCACGACACCAGTAGGTCCGTGCTTTTGCGCGGACTGTTGCTGCTGCATAATGGACAAGTCATCAACACTCGTAGATGACATTGCTCCGGGTCCAGCATCGCTCAACATTGGATAATGCGAGAGGAACAAGTTGTATTTTCGTCGCAAAGGTGCCCATTCCGACTGGACTTCGCCAATGACACGCATCTCGTCCAGCGGGATGGGTGATAGTTGCTGCATAGCTGTGAGGTCTGGGTCGGTTGCTGGAGTTAGGGCCGTGGACGAGGACGTCTCAAGGCCAGGAGAAGCTGCTTGAGGATCATACACCCGTATACATGTCTTGATCCACGAAAACGGACGGTGGAACCTCAGAACCTCTTTACCATGTCTATCGAAAACATGGGTAGTGAACGCACGGTGTGTTGTGAATAGTTGCCTGACCATGCCCTTTCCAATGCCTCCATCATGTTCGGCCATGAACCCAATGTGGTTACCGTGTGGGTCGAGTATGACATAGCGGTTGGCTTGTTCAAACCCTACTAGTAGACTTCCAATCTCGATTTGCCTCTGTATCACAATGCCCGACTGCGACAGAATATCGGTAGCAGGATGGCCGGCCTTGAGAACAGCATTCGCATCTTCAGGAATATGTACGGGTGCGAGCAGGGTATTATCTTTCGGGTCCATCTCGGCTAGGACCTCCTCCATAGATGGTGGTTTAGGAGGGGGATCTCCATGTGGAGGAGTAGGAGCCGAGCCATGCTGTTGATCTTTCTTCGGATCTGGGGATGGCGCAAACCGTGGAGGGGAAGTCTGGATTCCTCTGAAACAGACGGCCGGAAAACGTTGCGGCTTTGGCTTTATTAAGGCACAGACCGGCCTGAATGCAGCGGGAATGCATTTGTGCATGGAGAATCGCCGGTAAGACAGCCGCGTGCAAACCGGATGCTGTAGCGCAATGAAGATGGCAACAGTCTCAGTGATGTGCCTGCGGAAAGTGCGGAGATGGCGAGGTGTGTGTGATGGTGGGATGGAGGCAATCCTTGCTTTGATGGTTATACAGCAGGGAGGGACGACTCTGAAGAAAAGAAAAGAAGTCGAAGAGAAGCCTATGAGGCAGTCAAGTCATAAGAGCAAGAATGCTTGTTATTTTTCCACTTCTCGACCTGGATGGCGCAGTTAAAATGCGTCTCTTTGTATATTGCAAGTTGTCTCCAAGGTCTGTTGGAGAAAAAGCGGCGATGACTTCATGTGTATCTCCATTTCCACCAGTATCCAAATTCGGGTTCTGTCTCACGCCGCTTTTATTCAAGTCTCCTGCGGCATCTATACAACTCTCCTTACAAGTTCCTCTTGTCTACGGACTGTGGTTGCTCTGGACAGACTGCAAACGTAGAGGATCTCACCGTCTCCATCTCGTCTGCACACAGTATCTACCGATGTCAACCCCTCTGGGGCATATGTGCCAACGCCTCAATCTGGCCTCCTCGGACAGAATTACGCGCTTGTTTCCGATGCGTCTCAAAGCCCTGTCAAGTCCTGGTGTCCACACAGTCCATCGCAAACGAAATCAATCTGTCCAATCGTCCATAAGACTGACTCCTCAAAAACAAATGTTGTCAATTTGCAACAATCTACCCCTGAGGCCTATACCTCGACCCTGGAGAATGATTAGTGCGGCCGGCTGTTTCGGGGGCGGCCTAGAGGTCGTTTTGCAGGGGAGTCCGTCTACGCCGGCGTACCATGAGACGGTAGTTCAGAGCAGGAGCGGCTGTGACAGTATCCTTGCAAACAGGTCTTCCAGGCCCCATCAAAACAGCATACATGTGAGGAGACGGCGACTTGTCCTACTTCATAACTTGGCACCCGTTCTACACTTACCACAGGATTGCTCACGCAGGGCGAGCTATCATGAAAAGCCTGGGTGTCACTGATATGACCAGGGATAGTGCCAGACTTGAGGCGCACAGAAACGCGGCTAGGCCAGAGACCAGCTTCAGTCAAAGCCTCCTCTCTGGCACTGTACCACACTAGCAATGGGGCGGCAAAGGTTTCAACATGTAAGTGCTGATGTGCTCCCAGCGACGGGCGCTGAGTCTCAACCCTCCTCACTCTCGATGTCACCAGTCCCGGATCATGCTGCCTTCATTGTTTGCACTCAGTGCTGCCATCTCCAGCGTGCGGGCGAGCCTCATCAGCTCCTCCATCCTAGAATGGTTCTGGCTTGCCTGTAAGGCTTTCTCTCCCTGCGTGCTTCTGCCTGTCTGATACTCACCTAGTCCAGCGGTGCCAGTAGGGGACTATCTTTATGTGACGGGAGGAGAATTCTACGAAGTAGTGGATGGAGCGTTGACCGTCTTCTATCGTACTGAGAAGCCCTGGTTGAGAAGATGGATATCACATGAACTGACACGCCACAGAATCGGAGACCATTGCCATCGACCTTACGCAGTCTTGGACAAACCAGACCGTCGCCGCTGCAAGTCAGACAACTCAGCCTGACGGTATGAGACTCGTCCGACAGCCGATCCTGTTCTACGACAAGCCCAACAATGTTGTGAGAAGATACGGAGGTTGGCCATATGGCCCGGTAGACTTCGATTCGGAAGTATGGTCCTTCGAGGCAGGATCAACCGTGGTCAACTGGGTGAATAACACGTCTGGAGATATCGACCCTGCGACAAACGGCTTGTCCCTGGACTCTCAGGGCCCTTTTGCCTCTGCCAATGCCTTCTCCGACTCAACCTTCTTCAACCTCGGTGGAAACATCATCGATCCTGACAGTCTTCCTAATATGACCGTTTTATCGGGTCTGGTGACGCAGGATTTCTCGTCCACCACGTGGAGCAACCAATCGACTGATCTCGCCGACCAGAGCGGATTCCGTACCCAGGCCCGCGCAGTCCATGCCCCCAACTTTGGAGACGGCGGCTTTCTGGTTGTGGTAGGGGGAGAAGCTCCGCCTACTGAAGCGTCAGTCTACGAGACGGGCTCCGCCATGGTCGACATGTCTGTTATAACTCTCTACGATATTGCCACTGCGACCTGGTTCACTCAAGAAGCTACTGGAGACGTCCCGCCGCCACGGTCAGAGTTCTGTGCTGTTGGAGCGGCCTCCAGTGATGGTCGGTACTTTGAGCTGTGAGATTCTCCAGACGCTTATGGTTTGATGTGTTTAATTACAGGCTAACATCCAGCATTTTAGCTTTGTCTACGGCGGCTCGACAAACAGCACTCTCGACCTCAACCATGCCGACGATGAGGGGTATTTGAACGTCTACGCACTATCTTTCCCAGCCTTTCGGTGGTTTAAGTCACCCGACTCGACTCCTGTAAGGCGAGCATGCCATACCTGTAGCGTCATCGGCAACCGACAGATGGTCTCGGTTGGGGGAAGACTGCCGAGTTCTTTGCAGACGCTGGGTCAAGAGAAGGACCCGTGGGCCAGTGGAATTGGAGTTTTTGACATGACCGAGTTTGCCTGGGCAGATCACTATGATGCTGCGGCCGAGGCGTATGAATCTCCTGATGTTGTCAAGGAATACTATGCCTCCAGCTACCAAGAGCCGTCCTGGGATCCCAGTTCTCAAGCGCTCGCGTCGATATTCGGTACGTATGGACATCATTCTCAATCATTACTGTCCATTGTCCTTATGCATGCCTTTTGCCATGTTGGATCGAGACTGACCACAAAGCCACAGCTTATACTGCAAACAAGTCCTCCACCGACGCAGGAAACGCGACCTCCCCTGGAAACTCATCAATATCCTCTTCGAACGGCAATGGAACTCATACCGCCTCTGACTCGTCATCAGGTACCAGCCATACTGGAGCGGTCGCTGGCGGTGTCGTAGGAGGCGTCGTTGGGGTTGCCGCCATAGTTGGACTGCTATATTGGATGGCGCACCGCAGACACAGCCGCAAAGCCCTCGATGAGAAGGGGTACGATCTCGAGCCGGTAACGCCAGTTGAAGCCCCTGCTTCATCTACCATCCATGAAGCAGAGAGCAAGTCCAGGTCTGAACTCGACGGGCTGGCACCCAGACCAACCACGGTCTTCGAGCTGCCTGTGGATGATAATGGGGCGGAGTTGAGGTCAGGCAGATGACACCGGATTGCCCACCTGTTCTATTTACGTGAAAAGATATCGTTGTCCGCCATATAAGCGTGGCTTATTTGAGCTCCTGAATAGACTATGGATGTGTCATATCTTGAGGGCATCTGCCGCCACTGTGTTGATTGGTATGCCAGTATGTATGTGCCAAAGGAGCATGTCAACGATGGAGATCCTTGACATTCTTTCGCCTAAGCCCGGGTCCCAGCTCTTTCCGAAGCATCCTGGCAATATCCTAAACCTTTGATCTCATATCGCTCGCTACGCTAAAGTAATGTTAGATTGTGCTTTTACTCGCATCCATATGAATTCCAATCAACTTCGCTGTGGCAGGATGGACCTGCGAGCGGCGAGGTGATCGACAATAGGCTCAGTTCGATGGGAGACGACACACAGCTTCGGGGCAGGGTAGGTGCTCGCATCGGCAGAGGGGGCGGCCTCCCGTTGCCGCAATGAACGGTGAAAGGGAGATGAAGATGTCTTGAGTCAGTCGTGAGACCCAGTTGCTCTGGCGGAGCCCACTTCTGATGGTGCTAATGTGTTCCGTGGGGAAAGGGGAGCAGGTCCCACGGCAGACTCTCCTCTCCTCTGTAAGCCCCAGGAGCCCAAAGCCTAACAAGAGCTAGCTCCTCGGCCTGGTGGGCTCCTTAGCCTTGAGGAAGGCCCCTAGGCTCCTTACTAGGGCTGAGGGGGCCTAGGAGTCCCCTAGCCTGGAGACTTTGGGGGATTGGCGCCTACCTACATGTAGTGTCCTAACGACCCGAAGCCTGCCACTGCAGTGATGCACCAAGAAGTCAAGCCTGCCAGTTGCAACCTTGCAAACCGCCCAGCCAGATCGTTGAATCATCACTGCACTGCATGCGCTCGAACTCGCCGCCATGAAACTCTCAGACAAGCAGCCCATAACAGGCATCAATGTTTCGTTCTGCTCTATATATCCGCTTCAGGTGGGCGAAATTGATGTCTTATATCATGTTCTACTGACAAATAGCATCCTATATTTGCTCGTTGCTTCCCCCGTTGCTCTGCCTCTGATCAGTTCTTCTTCTAAACAAACACTTTCTGTCGGTCTTGAGATCGTACATGTCGGGAAAGAAATGGCACTGCGTCAGACGGGTTGAGTCTTTTCTTTGAGCAGCCGAACTTCGTGTCCAAATGGCCCTTTTCGCACGCCAGATCTGGACTTTGACCCTCAAGAACCTCCTGGTTGCCTTTGTGCGCCGCTGGTTCACGATCACAATCCGAGCATTTCTCCTGCCTTGTATCTTTGTCGGCTTCCTGTATGTACAGCTCGCGCTTGCGCTTGAGCCAATCAGGCTTCTGACCCTGCTAGGTCCTATGCACGATACCTCTTCATCCCACCCTCGGTCTATGGCTTGGGCCGTGCGACTCCTGTCCGAAGTCTTTCCGATGCACTCGACCTCGTATCCGGTGGCAGGGACAAGCTGGTCTTCGTCAACAACGGGTTCTCTGGAGGCGCAATAGCTTCGGTTGTCGATCGAGTCGCGAGTGAGACTGGAGCCTTCGGCGGCCAGGTTGAGGTCTTGTCCAGTGAGGAGGATCTGTTGACTGTGTGCAGAAACTCCATCAGAGGAACATCGACCTGCATCGCTGGGGCGGTCTTCTTCTCTTCGCCCACGGAAGGAGAAGGCGGTCGTTGGAACTACTCCATCCGAGCAGACGGGGGCCTGCAAAACAAGATCGTGACTGATTCATCCAAAAATGATGTCGAGATCTATATCCTTCCATTACAGCATGCCATTGACCGGGCCATCTCCGAGTTGGAAGTCGATAACGATGGAGCAACTGCAATCCCGCCTTACGTCGAGGAATACCCGTACACGTCTCAAACCAAGGAACAACGGCAGGCCCACATCCGCACGAGGTACATGGGCGGCATCATCGACATCCTGGCTGTTGCTTTCTTCATTGGCGTGGTCGGGGTCGTTTATCAACTCACTGGCCTGATCGCTGCTGAGAGGGAACAGGGTATGGCACAACTACTTGACTGCATGATGCCCAATTCCAGAAGATGGCAACCTCAAATGGCGAGGATCCTGGCCAATCACCTCGCCTTCGACATACTCTACGGTCCAGGCTGGATTGTGATGGCTATCATCCTTTCAGTGGGCGTCTTCAGCAACACTTCGGCTGCAATAGTGATTGTCTTCAATATCCTATCTGGACTGGCAATGTCGTCGTTGTCGATTCTGGGGGCCGCCTTTTTCAAGAAGGCCCAACTCTCTGGTATCATCTCGGTCATTGTGAGCTTGCTGCTAGCCGTAATTGCTCAAGTCGCAAGTAAAGCCGGAACCGCATCTGTCGCAGTATTGTCACTTCTATTTCCACCGATGAACTATGTCTACTTTACAATCTTTATGGCCAGATGGGAAAGGCAGGACCTTTCTACTAATCTTGTCAAGGAAGCCCCAGAAAACACTTCGGCTCTGCCGGGGATTGTCCTATGGATATTCTCAGTCATTCAGATACTGGCTTTTCCCATTCTTGGTGCATATTTTGAGCGAACCCTCTATGGCACCGCATCAAAGGGTCGGATAACGACACATTCCGAGTCTCTGGCCACAGTCTCCCTCAACGGATTCACCAAGGAGTATCAGCCGTCCATGTTTGCCAAGGTCCGATCTGTATTCACCAGAAAGGAACTCAGAACAGTGCTGGCGGTGAACAATCTAAGCTTGGAAGCTGTAAGAGGGCAAATCATGATTTTACTCGGCGCGAATGGAAGTGGCAAGTCCACAACGTTGGACGCAATTGCGGGTTTGATTTCGATAACGTCAGGCGAGATCAATGTCAATTACCCAGAAGAGGGCACTGGCTTGGGACTGTGTCCCCAGAAAAATGTCCTGTGGGATGACTTGACTGTGGAGGAACATGTTCGTATCTTCAACAGAGTCAAGAGCAAAGAGCCGGCAGCCCAGACCGAGAACATGCAGCTGCTCACGTCGTGTGACATCGCAACCAAGGCTAATGCGAGATCGAAGACCTTGTCAGGAGGGCAAAAACGCAAACTACAGCTGGCCATCATGTTCACGGGCGGGTCGCGGGTCTGCTGCGTGGACGAGGTCTCTTCTGGACTGGACCCTCTATCGCGACGAAAGATATGGGACATCCTCCTGGCGGAGCGTGGATCCAGATCCATCATTCTCACAACTCACTTCCTAGACGAGGCTGAGTTGCTTGCTGACCACATCGCGATTCTTTCAAAAGGTATGCTGAGAGCTTCGGGAACAGCCGTCGAGCTCAAAGATAGACTCGGGGCGGGTTACCGAGTGCACGTCTATCGCATCCATGGCACGCATCAGAACACCATTTACAACGACATCGACCATGTTCGGCACGAAGATCAAACCATATATTCGTTGACAAGTTCGGCGAAGACAGCGGAATTCCTCGTACGTATCGAGAAAGATGGAGTCGGGGAATACCAGGTCAATGGGCCCACGATTGAGGACGTTTTCCTGAGACTTGCCGAGGAAATCGAACCCTCACCCATCCACTCCACGATCGTAAGTCAAGATGAAGTCTTGCAGAAAGTTGCCAGCCAAAATAGTAATGAACGTGCCGCTGCCAACGGGGCCAGTGCGGTTGTTGAAAGATATCAATCTGAAGGTGCCCCAAGACTCCTCGACGGACGCCGAATCAGCATGCCGCGACAAGCTGCAGTACTCTTTTCCAAGAGACTCGTCGTTCTTCGCCGGAACACTCTGCCCTACCTGGCGGCGCTGCTCATCCCATTCATTGCAGCAGGTCTGGTCACCCTCTTCCTTCGGGGTTTTGAAAAGGCCGGCTGCGATCCGATTTCGAGTGTAACCGTCTCCGATATTATCTCCCTGTCAAGTCAGGTCGACTACGAACTTGTTGCAGGGCCGCAAGACCGCCTCGGGGAAGATGCAGTCCGGCTCTTTGCTACCTCGCTCTCAGGAAGCACAGGCGGCACGAGTGTGGCAGCCAACACTACACAACTCCTTGAATCACTACATCTCGTCGACACACTGGACGATTTCAACAACTACATCCGCAGCAATTACGCCATGGTGACCCCTGGCGGCTTCTTTTTGGGCGATGAGACCTCCCCACCTACCTTTGCATGGCGAGGGAACGGCAATGTGGGCTTTTCCGTCATCATTCAGAACGCCATGGACACCATCTTGAGCAATGTTTCCATCTCCAACCAGTACCAATCCTTTGACATACCGTGGCCTGTGGATGCCGGCAAAGCGTTGCTTCTGATCACTTATTTCGGACTCGCAATGTCCGTTTACCCGGCATTCTTCGCCCTGTATCCGACAATCGAACGACTGCGCAATGTCCGCGGTCTGCATTACAGCAATGGCGTCCGTTCCACCCCGCTGTGGCTGGCATATACGGCTTTTGATTTCACCATCGTCCTGATCACCAGTACGATTTCGGTCATCATCTTCCGGGCGGTCAGCGACATATGGTACCACATCGAGTATCTCTTTGTGGTCTTCTTCCTGTATGGCTTGGCTTCGACCCTCCTGTCCTATGTTATCTCGCTATTTTCCAAATCTCAGCTTGCGGCATTTGCGTTTGCCGCTGGCGGTCAAGCGGTCATGTTCCTGTTGTATTTCATTGCTTACATGAGCGTTTTGACGTATTCACCGGTCGACAAGATCGATAGCTACGTCAATGTTTGTCATTTTGCCATTGCGACTGTATCACCAATCGCGAACTTGACTCGGGCTCTATTCGTTTCGTTGAACGTATTCTCCGTCACATGTCGCGACCGGAAACTGGCTTCTTATGCCGGCTCAATGACAACCTTCGGAGGTCCGATATTGTATCTGGTCGTGCAGTCGTTCTTTCTGTTTGGACTGCTGCTTTGGTGGGATTCAGGGCCATCCTTACGACAGATTTACAGAAGGCAACAGGAAGCTGAAGTCGAAGAGAAGGACGCCGTTGAGCCCGAGGTGACGAGCGAGCTAACAAGGGTATCTTCATCACGGGATGGTCTTCGCGTCCTCCACCTGACAAAGCGTTTTGGAAAGAACATAGCAGTGGACAACGTGACCTTCGGGGTACCGCGAGGCGAGGTATTTGCTCTTCTGGGTCCTAATGGAGCAGGCAAATCGACCACGATTTCTTTGATCAGAGGCGACATCCAGCCAGACTGGCGAGGTGGAGATATTCTGGTAGAAGATATTTCTGTCATACAACATCGTGCGCAGGCCAGGTCTCGCCTTGGAGTCTGTCCTCAATTCGACGCTATGGACACGATGACGGTGGCAGAACACCTTCGATTCTATGCGAAGGTGCGCGGAGTCAGCGATCCTCGCCACAACGTGCAAGCGGTCATGAGTGCAGTTGGCCTCGAACAGTATGCTGATCGCATGGCTGCCAAACTGTCAGGAGGCAACAAGCGGAAGCTGTCACTGGGGATCGCTTTGATGGGCAACCCCAGTGTGCTCTTACTGGACGAACCGTCCTCCGGCATGGATGCGGCCAGCAAGCGAGTGATGTGGCGGACACTGGAGTCCGTGGTGCCCGGTCGCTCTCTCGTGCTCACAACTCATTCCATGGAAGAAGCGGACGCTTTGGCGACCCGAGCCGGGATCATGGCAGGGAAAATGCTGGCCCTAGGGACGACTGAGTACCTGCGACGAAAGCATGGGGATGCGTATTATGTTCATCTGGTTCATCAACAGGCGCCGCACGCTCCTGACACAGAGATGGAACATATCCGACACTGGATTCTCAACAACTTCCCTTCCGCAGACATTGAAAGCAAGGTGTATGCAGGACAGATCCGCTTCTCCGTCCCGACGACAGGGCAACGCACGACAGAGGGTGCAACCAAGACCGGAGCAGGCATATCAGCTCTCTTCAGCGCTTTGGAGAGAAACAAGTCTGACCTCCGGGTTCAGTACTACAGCGTCAGTCGGACGACATTGGACCAAGTATTTCTCAATATTGTGGGCAAGCACAGGGTCGAGGAAGAAGGAGCGGCGACACCGACGTCCCGGTCCAAATTCCGCTTCGCCACCGGTCTGAAGAGGTTGCGTTCGAGCATCTCCGCGAAATGAAATATTCGAACATCGTCGCGGTACAGAGTAGATTGTTCGAAGCATGTACCGGACAATATCGAATCCAATGTACATGGTGTACATACACAGTATATCTGTCGCCGTCAGAGATACCCGTCACCTCTTGTCGAGTTTGAATCAAGAAGCGCAAGCCATGGAACGGTAGTCGCCAGCCACAAGACACTATTACGATGGACGGGAGACAAGGCCAGACCCATCACGACGTTCAAGTAATTTCGGGCCAGGACGACTGGGGGATATTTCTTGGATATTAGTAATCCGGACGTGAGCGAGCGGACCCCCTACCCCTTGGTCCCATCGTCCCACCTGGGGGTTTGACCCTGAGTGGTCCATCATCAAGAGCCCGCCTTAAGTGACTCCATGCGGGGCGGCGTATTCGTACCATAAGAGGCAACTGGAACGACTCTTGTCTCGCACCAAACTTCGGGCCAAGCCAACTGTCCAAGATGGCGTCGGATCGCGCAATAGCCTCTGTGGTCACTGTTTTACCTTCGGCTATCACGATGAGCTGGGAGGAGGTGATCTATCGAGCGACATGATTACGCCGAGTACATTGAACCCTCATCACGTTTCTTGGTAGCAGCACTGAGGTAAGACTTGCCTTCCATGAAACTCCCGAGGCTGTTGTTTGCAAAGGAACATGTCGAAGGCACCGGTGAAGGCTAGCATATCAAAGCCCCACCGAACAGCGATCCGACACACGGGACGCCTCCCACTCCCTGTCTACTGACTCATTTGGCGCCAGACGGCGTTGCAACCTTGAGCAGATGTGTGACTCGACCGTGTGGATGGTCCACCTCCCCCATGTGGGAACAATGGTTTAAGCCAGACGAAGTTTGACCAGTTCTCGACTAGAAAACAACAATTTCTACATCTTGCATTTCTTTTTCCAATTCTACTGCTACGTCTTGGCTTGGCGCTTCTGTGCCGCAACCTCGTTCTGGTTCTCTCCTGGTCTTGGACCGGCGCAGCTGGACACGCTCAACTCCTCAAACCCCCGTGGTGTATGGGGTCGGAGGGATCGTTGGAGTGTGGAGTTTCCCCGAAAGGTTTGGGGCTTCAGTCTGTAAACAGCAATGGCCGACGCGGTTTCCAGACAGCTAGGTCTGGACGAACCAACCCTGCAACATGGTTCTACCGCCGATCAACATGTAGCCCGGGAGAGTCAGCCCTCGGATGCGACGAGGAGCAACAACACAACGCCAAAGATGGAAGCCCACGAGGCTGAAAAGGACTATGAGAGTCTTCAAACGGCGACGGAATCGTATGGTCTCAACCAAACGGCATCCGGCGTTGATGTCGAACGAGCAGAGAAAGAGTTTGCAGAACTGAACAGAGAACTGAGTTCCATCAGTCGCCGCATGTCCAGGACAGTCTCCAGAGCCTCGGCAGCCAGAGCAAAAGACGTCGAGAAAGCGATCAGCACGTCGGACGACGCATCAGAGGAAACGTTTGATTTGGAAGCGACGTTGCATGGCAGCAAGGAAGCGGATGCCGCTGCAGGGATCAAGCCCAAGTACATCGGCGTGGTCTGGGAGAACCTCACCGTTCGTGGCATTGGCGGCGTCAAAAACTTTGTCAAGGTGTTTCCCGATGCCTTTGTCGACTTCTTCAATGTGCCTGGGACGATTATGAGTATCTTTAAGCTCCGCAAGAAGGGAACAGAGTTCAATATTCTGCAGAACTTCCGCGGCGTCGCGAAGCCCGGGGAAATGGTCTTGGTCCTTGGTCGGCCGGGTAGTGGCTGCACAACGTTCCTCAAAGTCATGGCTAATCAACGCTATGGATACACTGGAATCGACGGCGAGGTTCTGTACGGGCCTTTTGACGCTGCCACCTTTGCGAAACGCTACCGTGGCGAGGCCGTGTACAACCAAGAAGACGACGTTCATCATCCCACACTCACTGTCGGTCAGACGCTTGGGTTCGCTCTCGATACGAAGACACCCGGCAAGCGGCCGGCCGGAATGAGCAAGGCGGAGTTCAAAGAGCGGGTGATTCAGCTTTTGCTAAAAATGTTCAACATCGAACACACCAAGAACACCATCGTTGGCAACCCTTTCGTGCGAGGTGTGTCCGGCGGCGAGCGAAAACGGGTCTCTATCGCCGAAATGATGGTGACCCGCGCGACGGTGTGCGCCTGGGACAACAGTACGCGTGGCCTGGATGCTTCAACCGCCCTTGACTACGCCAAGTCGCTGCGTATCATGACCAACATCTATAAGACGACCACCTTCGTCTCCTTGTACCAGGCATCCGAGAACATTTACAAGCAGTTCGACAAAGTGTTGGTCATCGATCATGGCAGGCAGGTTTTCTTCGGTCCTGCTACCGAAGCCAGAGCATACTTCGAGGGGCTGGGTTTCTTGGAGAAGCCTCGCCAGACGACTCCGGATTATTTGACGGGATGTACCGATGAATTTGAGCGAGAGTATCAGCCCGGCAGAGGCCCAGAGAATGTACCATCGGATCCGGACTCTTTCATGGAGGCATTCAACAGCTCCATCTATTCACAAAGCCTCGCCGAAGAGATGGACGCATATAAAGAATCGATCCGTGAAGAAAAGCAGGTGTATGATGATTTCATTGCTGCCCATCAGCAAGCCAAACGAAAGCACACCCCCAAAGACTCGGTCTACTCTGTGCCCTTCTATCTGCAGGTCTGGGCATTGATGAAACGACAATATCTGATCAAATGGCAAGACAAGTTCTCTCTGGTCGTCTCCTGGATCACATCGATTGTGATCGGGATTGTGATCGGCACCGTATGGCTGAATCAACCCCAGACTTCATCAGGGGCCTTCACAAGGGGTGGTGTGCTGTTCATATCTCTGCTTTTCAACGCCTTCCAGGCATTCTCGGAATTGGCATCTACTATGATGGGTCGCCCTATCGTCAATAAACACCGAGCATACACATTTCATCGGCCGGGCGCGTTATGGCTCGCCCAGATCTTGGTTGATGTGGCCTTCGCTTCGATTCAAATCTTCGTCTTCAGCGTGATTGTCTATTTCATGACAGGTCTAGTCCGAACCCCCGGGGCCTTCTTCACTTTCGTGATCCTCATCATCACAGGTTATTTGTCCATGACATTGTTCTTTCGAACGGTTGGCTGTCTGTGTCCAGACTTTGACTATGCGATCAAGTTCGCTGCTGTCATTATTACACTGTTCGTGATCACGTCGGGGTATATCATTCAATATCAGAGCCAGCAAGTATGGTTACGATGGGTTTTCTACATCAACGCGCTGGGATTGGGGTTTTCGGCCATGATGATGAACGAATTCGAGAGGTTGACCATGCGATGCACCGGTGAATCTCTCGTGCCGTCCGGGCCGGGGTACACTGACATTGATCACCAGGTGTGCACCTTGCCGGGATCTCAAGCAGGATCGAACGAGGTTTCGGGAACGGCGTACGTCAAGCAGGGTTTCTCGTACGACCCGTCCGATCTGTGGCGAAACTTTGGACTGATTATCGTGCTGATTGTGTTCTTCCTCATCACCAACATCATTATGGGCGAGGTAGTCAAATATGGCGCTGCTGGTCGCACCGTGACTTACTTCGCCAAGGAGAATAGAGAACGAAAGGTCCTGAACGAAAAGCTTCAAGAACGGAGGCGTAGGAGGCAGTTGAAGCAAGACGCCCAAGACAGCTCCGAGCTCAACATTATGTCCAAAGCTGTCTTGACCTGGGAGAATCTCACCTACGACGTCCCGACTCCTGCTGGTCAACTGAGACTTCTGAAAGACGTCTTTGGATTCGTCAAGCCTGGACAATTGACTGCCTTGATGGGCGCTAGTGGTGCAGGCAAAACCACTCTCCTTGACGTACTGGCTGCACGGAAAAACATCGGGGTAGTTGGCGGAGATATCTTGATTGATGGCATGAAGCCTGGCCGGGGATTTCAGCGAGGCACTTCTTATGCAGAGCAACTCGATGTTCACGAGTCAAGCCAGACCGTCCGAGAGGCTCTCCGGTTCAGTGCCGACCTTCGCCAGCCTTACGAAGTTCCACAAGAGCAAAAGTATTCTTACGTGGAGGAGATCTTGTGTCTGCTCGAGCTCGAGAATCTCGCGGATGCCATCATCGGAACTCCCGAGACTGGTCTCTCCGTCGAAGAGAGAAAGAGAGTCACGATCGGTGTGGAGCTGGCGGCGAAACCGGAACTCCTCCTGTTTCTCGACGAGCCCACGTCGGGTCTGGACTCGCAGTCAGCCTTCAATATTGTCCGCTTCCTCCGCAAACTCGCTGCGGCAGGCCAAGCGATTCTCTGCACAATCCATCAACCGAACAGCGCTCTGTTCGAGAACTTCGATCGACTCCTCCTGCTGCAAAGGGGCGGCGAGACCGTCTATTTCGGCGAGATCGGCAAAGACGCGGCAGTCCTGCTCAGCTACTTCCACAAGCACGGTGCCGACTGTCCCCCCGACGCCAACCCGGCCGAATGGATGCTTGACGCCATCGGCGCGGGTATCGCCCATCGCATCGGCGACCGCGACTGGGGCGAGATCTGGCGCGACAGCGAAGAACTGGCGGCGGTGAAAGCAGAGATTGTCGAGATGAAAGCCCAGCGACAGCGCGAGGTCGTCAACGAACCCCATCTCGACGAACGAGAATACGCGTCGCCGCTATGGCACCAGATCAAGGTCGTTTCATGGCGCACACACCTGGCCTTCTGGCGGTCCCCGAACTATGGCTTCACGCGGCTGTTCAACCACGTCATCATCGCACTGCTGTCGGGTCTAGCATTCCTCCAACTCGACGACAGCCGCTCCAGTCTCCAGTACCGAGTCTTTGTGATCTTCCAAGTCACGGTGGTGCCGGCGCTGATCCTGGCGCAGGTCGAACCCATGTATGACTTGTCGCGCTTGATCTTCTACCGCGAGTCCGCCGCCAAAGCGTACCGCCAGTTCCCCTTCGCCTTGGCCATGGTCTGTGCCGAAATGCCCTACAGCATTCTCTGCGCGGTCGGCTTCTTCATCCCGCTGTACTACCTTCCCGGATTCAACGGTGCCTCGTCGCGCGCCGGATACCAGTTCTTCATGGTCTTCATCACCGAACTATTCTCCGTCACCTTGGGCCAGATGATCGCCGCCCTGACCCCATCTAGCTTCATCTCCAGCCTGATCAACCCGTTCGTGGTCATCGTGCTGAGTCTGTTCTGCGGCGTCACCATCCCCAGACCGCAGATGCCCGGTTTCTGGCGCGCCTGGCTGTACCAGCTCGACCCCTTCACCCGTCTGGTGTCGGGCATGGTCGTCACCGAACTGCACGGGTTGCCGGTGGTTTGCAAATCCGGCGAACTCAATTCCTTCCCGGCGCCCGCTGGCCAGGACTGCGGCGAGTATATGTCGGACTTCTTCCAACGTGGCGGCGCGGGCTACCTGTTCAGCAATGCCTCGGACGTGTGCCACTACTGCGCGTACCGTGTGGGCGACCAGTTCTACGATACGCTCCAGCTGAGTTTCGGCCATCGATGGCGCGATCTGGGCATCTTCGCCGCCTTCATCGGGAGTAATTTGATTCTCTTGTTTTTGGGGTCGAGATACCTCAACTTCAACAGACGGTGATCACTGATGCCCCAGAACAGGAAGAGTGACAGTGTTAGTGTCAGCATCTGGGAGCCAAATACCGAGGAAAGGGAGTCAAAGGGCGGTAGAAGGGGATGTTTGAAAAGAATCCTCTATTTGTTTTCTTCTCTTACTGTTGGCCTGTGTCGAGTTTGTTTTGTCAAGTGTCGGCGTAGAAAAAAGCAAGGACCAAGGAGGGAAGATGAGGAACCGAGACGGAGTCACGGAGACGAAAAGACTTGATTCATAGAGAAACAAAAGAGTTGGTGAACACCGCTGAAAGGAGAGAGATTCAGACAGCCGTTTATATTCAATCCTAGTAGACCGAAGAGGTAAATATAGAGGCAGAACATGGATCAATGGTGGACGAGTGGGATGCAACAAATACAGGCCTGTACACGAGTATACGATCCACCCGATCGGAAACCACGTCTCGACTGCCAGAAGTGCAGCAACTTGTTGTATCGTGAGCAAATCGTCTATTAGGACGACAGCGAGGTATTCTCCATTCTCCATTCTCCATGACACTGCCATGCATGAGATGTGATAAGAGAGCAATGTCGTACAGTCTTTCTGGTTGAGAAGAGTTGAATTGCCTGCCTGGTACTAGTAGTACGTAGTACGACGTAGTAGTAGTAGTAGTAGTAGTAGTAGTAGTAGTACGCCGTGGTTGACTTTGGCTTCGCGCGCGACAGAATAGAGCTGATTAGTGACTGCAAATTGACAAGCTAAACCCATTTTTGCTAATTTTGCAATAGAGTAAATTGATAACTGCCGTTTAATCTTAATCTCTAACATCAACCGAGTTACATGGGACCCTTTCCTGTTGATGACAAGCTCGCTATTCACAACGAAGCTTCCCCGGCTGCGAGCAGATATAACAAACAAGACGCATGGACTAGGGAGTGCCTCAAACAACCAACAGTCATTAACATATTGCAATAAGTCATACTCACCTAATTTCTGAGTGGCACCATCTGGCGTCAGCAAACATCCCAGACACAATCATGGACGTTCCACTGTTCACATCCGTATCGAGTTGAACTTTCCTATACCTCGCTGCCGTTCTGGCTTGCAACGCCCCCAATCTTTAGGCCCAGCCCTCGCGGGGTCGCCGCCGTGTCGACGTCGTTGATGTCGACAGACCTCAACTTCTGCGAAGTCGACGTTGGCGAGACTGGAGGACTCAAGGGCATGCCCGACGAGAGAGAAAAGCGCTTCGTGGCTCGAGACAACCCGCCCAAAGTCCGGCTTGGCCGCGCCCCTGCTCTCGACGCCTGACTCAAGCGGCGAGCCTCCTTCATTGCTTCGATCACGAGCTCCTGATCGGTGAAAAGGGCATAGCCCTCGTACAGCATGGACTGGTGATCTGGGAGATAGAATCCCGGAAAGAGAAGGAGTCGTCTCTTGTCTGAGTGTTCGCGAGGCAGGCCAAAGTCCTCCAAGTAGAACCATGTCAAATCTGAGGCGTTCGCGTCGTCACAGGTGACGATTTGCACGTCGTCATCGCAATACTGAAGTTCCTCCCATACCTTTGCTGCCTCCGAGAAAATGTTGGCAAGGATATTGCGGAGGTCGACGGCGCCATTGTCATTGAACATGAAGGATAACTTGCCGATGACTGCTTCCCGGGCAGCGAGGCTTCGCTGTTGAATGACTTCAGCTACCTCTGACCGAGATTGTGTTGACGACCACAGCGCCCGCACTAGCTGTCCCTTCTTTGGCTCGGCTACGAAATGACTTCTCATTGTCTCTTGAAATCTCGAACCACAGCCGAATCCCGTCGGGTCGGGTATGAACCACGGTTGAAAGACTCGTTTTGTCAGCTCGTCGGAGACGGTGTGCATGGCTAACGCTACACGCAGCTTTTTGGCCAGCTCGGTATTCGCATGTGTGACTTGAAAGGGTACATCCTCTATTTGTAGTCGTTTGATACCACTGGTCCAAGCTTCATGCATCTGCCACGGCCCGGTTCAGCGACGGGGCCTGAAATGAATGTCTATCACAATTACTTACCGTTAGAACGTCCGGCTGGAGATCTTCCGAGAAGTGAGCGGGGATGGTATAACAGAAGGTTTTGAAGAACTCGTCAATCTTCGAACGCCTGCAAGCACAGTTAGTATGTCAGGAAGAAAGGTTCCAAGTTTCTCCGGAGAAGCTGCAACGGTAAGGCAAAACATGTTAACTCACGCTTCCACTTGATTCAAAGGCTTAGTATGGGATGTGTACTGTTCCCACTGGTCCAGTTTCTGAGTCGTGAGGTTGAGCTTTGCTTCTGTAAGCTGGATCTCCCGCTTTCCGGTTTGCACCTCTTTGGCAAGAGAAGCTGACTGGCTTTTCCAATGACCTAATTCAGCTTGCACTTGGGCCAGTTCAGAGACATGGTCATTGAGGATCACCTCTTTTTCTCTTCTAGCCTTTTCCATCAGATCATCTCTTTCACGGCACCATTTCTCGTGTCGCTGTTCGTGTTCGTCCAGGCTCTTGTTGTGTATCGTCTCCAGTTGTTTGATCTGTTCGTCTCTCTCGCGAAGGCGTTGTTTTCTGATTCCGTCTTTACGGACGACTTCGTCGTGCTCCCGAATGACCTTGTCAATGTCGACATGTTCGGCGGCATAATCGGAGGCTCTCTTGATGTATTTCAAGAGAACCTGCATGCGGAAATCGCCATGCTTGTGGTTCACATTGACGTCTTGATGCTTGGAAACGGTTGTGCTCGAGCTCGTGGACACGATGCCGCTATTGCTAGTGGCAGATGGCGTCGCGGACACTGTTGACTCTAATGCCATTGCCATCTCACCAATCGACCCACTATTGGAGGGTTGATACAAACTCGTCACTCAATGTGAGATAGATCAAGTCAGTCAAGCCGGCTGGAGGATCTTTGTGAGACACTGGAAAATGGTCCTGTGGAACCCCATGATGGGTGGATGGTGGAGAGATATGGCTTTCTCTCTCTCTAAGTGAGGCTGAAAATCCTGTCGACAATTCAGTCACCTTTGTCCATTTGTCTTCTGAACCGAAGGCCCGTATCTACACCAACCACGGCAGCTGATGATGGCGTGTCAAGCAGATATTTCTGCAGGATGTCTCTGCCACTGTCCTTTGTTCGATTCCCTGCATGTAAGGCACCAATGGAGATGCTGCATACTTTGATATCAAAGGTGCTGCATAATGTCAAGAGATGTGGCCTTCGTCCATTGGTGGAAGTTCAGAACCTGAAGAACACTCGTTCACACCGGTCTGGCAAGCGCACTTTACTGGGCTATTTGACACACATGCTAGTACATGCAGTCTGTTGAGACCTTGGAGACAGCTTGTATGCCACTGCATAAGTAGTGTGTAAGTGTTCTTGTGGTCGCGACGGCAGTGGCTGCAGTGCTTTGTGATGGGAAGGTTACTAGTAGCCTCAGAGCAGGAAGAACGATGCAGGGCGGAATGGGATTCCATCCCTGGACCAATGGAAACAGCAAGAGCATCACCTACTGATAAACTCACAGCACCTGCTTCACAGCTGGATGATAGGTAGCCAGAGGGAATCGCGTGCATATTGATCGAGCAAGGACGGTTTCGAAGAATGGCTTGCTGGAAAGCCCTGAGAATGTGAGTGTCGATAGGCTGACCGAACCAACGCTCACGCACAGCCTCGGAAAAGGTTCATGTACGCTGCGCACCGGCAGTCCATCATGGCTGTGATGTCCATCGCCAGCACGTCGAACGGCACAACAGTACGAAGGATTTCTCATGCACAATGCTCCTTCTAGGCTGTGGTTTCTTACAGTAGGCTAAAGAAAAAGGGGCACGGGTTTCTGACACTTTTGTACATCCTAGTATATGGCCAAAAATGCACAATCATACCTATCAAACAATCATATCGAGGTCCTTGTCGATATCCTTTTTCCTTTCTTTACCCCTTCCAGTCTTTGACTTCATTCTCGCCTCTCTCCAGGTATGTATGCGCCCTCTCAGTTCGCCCGACGGATAGTTGACCGGAGACTCGCCGCCGCTGAAGATGAAGGCGTCGTAGAGAGTGGCACCCATGATCCCTCCAGTCAGGGTGCCAACCCACGGGCCCCAGATCCACCACCAGGAGTGCAAGGTAAAGACTTCGGTGCCAAAGCCTGCCGCCCAAGTGATGAGCCGGGGACCGAAGTCTCGAGCCGGGTTCAGACAGGTGCCGGTATTGTACGAGAAGGCTATGCACAGCGCCGTGATGAGGAGACCAATGATGAAGGCGTGCATTCCAGCCCCCGGTGGAGCATTGCTGTCGTCTCCCAAGGCCAAGACAGAGCCTGACAGAATAGCAGTGGCCACAAATTCGGTGAAGAAAGCTGCTACAGGACTCAACCCGTCGCGCGGTGATGTCCAGAAGGCCGGTCCGGCACGACCTTTGTCCGCGGCCGAATATTGCTCGATGGCATCTCTGTATAGTCCGTACACGATGCCCGAGGCGGAGATTGCGCCGAGCATTTGAGCGATGACATACTGCCAGCAGAGCGACCACGGAAAGCCACGGAATATGGAGAGCAGGACGGACAACGTGGGATTGAGATGTCCACCGGAGATTCCACCCGCGAAATAGATTCCGATCATGACACCTAGTCCCCATGAAAGATAGGCGCTGAGAAGGCTTCCATAGTTGTCTTGTGAGGTCATATGCACTACACTCCCGCAAAGGCCGATCGTCATGAAAACAGTTGTGCCCAAATACTCGGCCAGTGGCTGCCGCAATGAGTGCCGCACTGGACCCCACCAATTGAAGTAATCCGGGTGAAAGGGCTCTTCGGTCTGGGAGGCTTGACTTGGCAGATGTTGTTTCTGATACTCCTCCCAGTCGATGTTCGGAGGGTGGTGCTGCACATCACTCATGGTATCGGTCGTGTCTGCGAAGCCTTGCAGCCGCCTCCGCGCCATCTCGACCTCGGTCTCGCTCCCAACACGACCAAATTCTCGACCGGTGCCTATCGCCCTGTGATCTTGCGCAAAATCCTGCACTGTCGACCCTGAGGTGTGCCTCTGCAGCCCGACATCGGCGCTCTCGCGGTCAACACTCGTTCGATCCTCCGTCATGGCCTTTTTTGCCGCGTTCTGATCACGAGCGCTGATATGCTCGGCTTGCAGCTTTCGCTCGAGTTGGGAATGGTTGGAAGCGGCATCATCTTCGCCCCGCGTTTGTCCGGGCTCTTCCACGATTTCGGGTTGATATGTGGACACATGAGCAGTCGTGGCCCTCCTAAGAAGGTCGTGAGCCCGAGGAGGTTGCTGAGACTGCCTGCTCGGCCGTTGTTGCAGATCCTGATGTTGCACCTCGTTCCTCGAAGGGGTGACCTCGATTTGTGGGACGGCTTCTGTGCCCTCGGGTGCAGGAGGCTGCACCTGCTGGTCGGTTGGATCCGGTCGTCCAAGGGCGTCTTTGCTTTGGCGGGATGAACGGCGATGGTGCATGCCAGGGCGTCTGATCCTTGGCAGAGGAGCCGCCAGTCCCCATATTGGCCTGTTGGCAGGCTCGCCGTGAATTGGATTGTATCTTTGATACTCTTGGCTCACAAAAGTGCCCTGATCTCGGCTTCGCGTCTGCGATGCTTCTACCGGTGGTCCGCTGGTGTCTCGGGTGCCGATATGCGTATGGGGCAATTCCAGCATCATCGTCCTTGGCCCTGCTAGAGAATACGGCACTTCTCGGGGCGAAGCGATGGAGTTTCGCGTTTCAAGCTGGTGAGGGTGTGATCCCACGTGGGATGGGCGAAGAGAACCATCTTGTGACATGACTGGCAATCTCTGTAGCCGGTCGAGCAATGAAAATGAAATGGATATGAAATTTGGCTTCCGTTTCGGACAGATGCAGGAACAAGTAGGAAAGATTGTACTGAAACTCAAACTCACACCATGAATCGAATCAATGAGTTTTCTCGCCAGGAGCCCAACATGTATCAGTTACTACTGTATATGTGTGGGCGTGTAACCGCGATCGAGTTCAACCATGATCCCAGCATTTTTGACCGGTCCAATCAGGAATAACCCGACGAATGACAAAGAAGAGAATATATGCCTCGACGAAAGCACAAAACAATCCGGATTTGAGATCCAGAAATCAATTTATTTGAACTCGCCAAGCCACAGACAGATATGACGGACTTTGGGGGGAATCGACGTCATTTGCCGCAGGGGGAATTAAACATGCGGTAGTCGCCGATCGGGGATGCACAGCCGTCCAATCATCACCTCCGGAACCTGAGATTGCCGAAGGCTGCGTCACTAGCGAGTGGAGAATTGTGCAACACGACACGCAGATTTGCCACGTGATGGGGAACACGTGATGGTCCCTGGAGTTTACTACCGAGGTATATAAGGTGCCTTAGGGTTATGGATAACCCTAACCCTACCTGGATACCTTGCTCACCTTCATGTGCCTACATTATCTATCAACACTAGGTAGGTATGCCAGACATGGGAGTATGGATGCTCAATATATGGCTATGCTCTCCTAACTGTCATCCCATCAATTCAGTCCTGTTCTTCGACACACAGCTCAGTACAACCGACCTGGCTGAACTACACCATTCCCCAAAGAAAGATCCATCGCATACATGGCTCGCACCCGCTTGCTGCCATCATTCTCAAACCACCCCATGTTCGTATCGCCATGAAATACTGCACGCCGGCCGTCCTTGGTAACATCAATTCCTCCTGGGATGTATAAGTTGGCAGGCGTGCTTCCTGTCTTCAAGAATGACGTGGCTTGCTTGGTATAGGGTCCGTATATGCTCGTGCTAGTAGCATAGCGGATGTTGTACGGGGTCATTGTAAAACATCTCGAGCTGTAAAAGATAATGTATGTCCCCAAAGATCCATCATAGGCCAACGCAGGGGCTTCAATGTTGGGGCCATCCTCTGGGTCATTGACCAAGACCGTGGTCGGTGAACCGATGAGAGTGTATCCATCGTCAGCGTTCACCTCCTGCAGCACGAGCGGCGTCGGAGCGATGGGATCCACAGTGTTGGAGCATTCGCCGCCATGTCCCACAGAATTGCCGTCCACTTTATAGATGACATACTGCCTGTGCGTGGCTGGGTCGTTGAAGCCATCCGCATCGATCGCTCCTCCGGCGTCCAAGTCACAGAAAAGGGGCGTCTGGACTGGGGTGAACGGTCCCTCTGGATTCGGTGCAGTCGCAGCAGCAACACAGTGTTTGGCAGGGCTTTCTGCCATTGACACAGAATAGTAAAGCACGAACGCGCCGTTGTCCTAACGCCGCTTTGTCAGTGAGAGAACTTGGGTTGTCGTCAACGTCTATCGTCAGCAAACCTCACATACCAACTGTGTCACATCCGGAGCCCAAACATGAGGAGGCGAGGCCGCCCAGGACGGTAGGACGGGCAAAGCATCGTAGCCATCACGGACAGTCCAGGTTGAGAAGTCTGTCGAAGTCGCAATCAGGATATTTGCTCCAGCCGGATTCCCATTGACCCCGGCATAAGCCATCCAAGTGCCTCCATCCAGTTGAATTACAGACGGATCCTGAAAATTGGATGGAATAACTGGACCATTGACCTGTTGTGTGTGTTGTGGAACAACGAGAGAGATGGCCAACCCAGCAAACAGCACAAAAGATATAACAAGCGTCATGAAACGAAGCCAACGACGTCGAGAGACATTGTGGGAAGGGGGCACGGGTTGCTCAACCCATTTGATACCTTCATGATCAGCCAACAGAGAGGCTTTTTCCGAAGCTGTATGTGCCATTTTCTTCGATCAGTGGATCATGCCCGACGACTCCAAGGTCGCTGCTTGCAGCCGCTTTTTGATATAAAAAATGGACTCAGCTCAGCCAACTCACGCCATACAATGCGGAGAGCATGTCATATAACAACGCGGGGATTGGATATGAATGATCGCTAATAGTCGCCTGAGGCGCCAACCGGACAAGAGGGATTGAAGCCCACTTCTTGCAGATCCGAGAGGAGCCTCGAATAGAATAGCATGAATGATACATGTCAGGATGGAATGGGAATGGTAAACGGCACATAAGGGTTGACGATCTGGCCTTGAGAGATGGATGAGATGGATGAGACAACAGACATTGCATTAGGCGCGGGGTGGACGGATGCGATACGAAAGTACAGATAAGATAGTAGAATGAGCTGAGTAGCATCGCCAGATCTTGGTAGGGGCGCCTAAGGAGCCTAGGAGCCCTCCTGAAGTCCTTGCACCCCCAGCCCAGGCAGGACATCTGGCGTCTCTCTCTCTCTCAACCTGACCTCCAGCCTTACCAACTGCGTCCCCCGCCATCAAAGTCGATCAAACGCAAGCTTCTCTGCGACCAACTATTGTAACCTACCATGCCACGCTCTACTTGACAAAATATTGATCGTGATAATCTACCCGTTTCTGATTTATCAGGCAGGCGTCCGCTCCTTTAACATGACCACCCTTGGCGTCGACGTCGGCGCCGATATCGCGAATCCTCGCTAAGCATGTACAGCAGTCCTCCAACCCTCCCGTCCTGGAATAAATAGATGCAGCAGACGATTTCTAAGAGCAGGACACAGGACCACTTGACACTGTGGATGCATGGGTTTGATGGTTGTGACACTCGAACAAGAGCAGTGTTGTTTAGGCACACTGGCACGCCATATTCGCCGACAATGACACAAGCTCTCTACGCCAGCCTAGGCAGGCATCATGCGAGGGTTCTGCAGCCTCGTAGCACAGAAACTCTTTCTGCGGCATCTCATTTGATGTGCCCGAAGCGTGCAATTGCCAGACTTTGCTCACGACATCAACGACGTGCTTGAGGGATGTGGTTTATCGTGCCAACCCTGTTCTTCCATCATCCGCTGAACGAGGCTCTCCTGTTAGAGCACAAGTAGCATATTGCCAATGTCCAAATTCTGATAAAAGGTGAGCATTTAGTCTACTCTGGAAGGCTCCAGGTATTGTTTGGCAGGCTTTCTCGATGTTGCGATCTTTGGTCTTCCGTCTGACCGTGCTTGCTCAAGCAATGAATGAAGACTGCCAATTGACCTCTCCGCGGACAATGTCTGCTCTGCCCGTCCCGTCCTGTCCATGCAGGAACCAAGAATGAGGGAGAAATGGTGACAACATGGTCGTCCCTTCAAGCACCGGTGACTATCTGGCAGACTTCCTCATTGTACCAACATCCTCAACGCTGGAAAAGCAGACATACTGATCATCAGGCCATACACTGGAGGATGTCTATGCCCTCGATGATAACTAAGCAAAAGAGAAGAAAGGCTTTGGCCGATTATCTTGCAGAACGTTGGCATTGGTGGATTTGCTGTATCGGCCTCGCTGTGCAACAAGACGTGCCATTCGACGCCAACCATGCTCGAACGTGACTACTCTGCAACTCAATCTCATACTCCAGGACTCAATAGCTTCTTCGGCCGTTCTTCGCGGACAGAGCGATATCGCTGCCACGTTACTCTTGACCATTCTGGACGGCCAATGGACACGAGCTGTGATGGCACGCAAAGACTGCAGAATGTGCTGTTGTGCTGTTTCCTGGCTTGCAACCATGACATGCCATGCGTGCCGATGGCGCAGAGAAGCCTCCAAGACATCGAGCCACGCCGCTCCTCCTGCAGGAACGTGGCCGCTCCATTGGACAGGCATGTTTCTTGTCCGTCCCCTCGGACTTGGCATCCTGTTTCCCGGTCTCTTGGCATCTTTCCGCTGATGCTCTTGCGGGAGGTGGAAGAGGCACCTAACAGAAGCTACGAGTGACTGGTGTTCTGTAGGCCACGAGGGATCCTTGCGAGAGCCTGAATAAGACACGATTGGCCAGTTCCGTTCGAGATGCATCTTCGCCTGTTCATCACTGGGTATCTGACCCAACCTGTGGCAAGCTCGGCGGATCCTTGCACAAGCTACAAAACCCAGGGCCTTGCCCTGTTGGTTTGCGCACGGAACCAGATCTGTTCTGAATACATTCAACAGAGCCAAAAGCCAGTATGAGGACCCAACTTAGCCTGAAGGCTGCCCTAGCCATTGGCGCCTTCTGTGCTCAATGTGCTGCTCAGACATACCGACGCTTGGGAGGTTGCCCAACCTTGGGTTGTATTCTGCCGCCTGATCAGGTCGACTTCCTTCCGGGCCAGTATTTTGACATCCGTGTTGAAGTGCACGCGCCACTGAATGGAAGCGAAGTAGTTCCGGGTTACAACAAACCGGATACGAACTTCACCCTGACCATTGAGAAGGAAGGAGAGGCTGCTAAGCCAGCTGCAGCCTTCTTCAACATCCCCGAGCCCCAGCTGGAAACATGGAACTTCACCTGGTACGAAGACTTGTTCGCCAAGGCAGCGAATACCCCTTCTCAAGTCAAGGTCGCTGCAAAGGCTTACCGGCGGGTTGCACTCTATGAGCCCGGTCAGTACGTCGCCATGTTAGAATATCAGAATGGCTCGACCACCTATGCCAATTGGACAGTCCGAGATATCGCGCCCTCCCGAAGGGCCAAGAATGTTGTCATGTTCATCGGAGACGGTATGACGACCAACATGATCACTGGTAAGGGAAAACCACCTTGGCTGGATCTTTAGGCAATCGTGCTAACACCCACCAAAGCTGGCCGCCTCATCGCTCACCAGTCCATTAACGGCAAGTATCAAAGCAAGCTGGCGATGGACTCATTCCCAGTGCTGGGGCATCAGATGACGCATTCGCTGGATTCATTCATCACCGACAGTGCCAACTCTGCTTCGGCCCTCTACAGCGGCCACAAGTCTAGCGTCAATGCCTTGGGCGTCTATGCCGACAGCTCCAAGACCCCGTTTGATGACCCCAAGGTGGAAACCATCGCCGAAATCTTCCATCGCATCCATGGCGGTGGCGTCGGCATTGTCTCTACCGCCTTCATCGCCGACGCTACTCCTGCCGCCTTGACTGCACATACACGTGATAGAGGCCAATACGGCGCGGTGGTCGATTCCTTTCTCAATGGCATCACCAATTATACCTGGACCAACTGGACTGGGCCGGACGTCCTCTTCGGCGGTGGCGCCGAACAGTTCTATCCTGGCAAGGGCTCCTTCCAGGGTAAAGACTACTATGCGGAGTTTTCCAGGAAGGACTATACGGTGGTTCTGAATAACACCGCTCTCCAGGCAACATCCAACTCATCCAAGACCCTAGGTATCTTCTCTGTGAGCAATATGGCAACATGGCTGGACCGCAACGTGTACACGAACAACCTGCAGAAGCCCAAAACTGCCCCCGACGGCTCAAACTCTAGCGCGACAGATCAGCCGGGCCTCAAGGATATGACGCTCAAGGCTCTTGAGATCCTGCACACCCGCCACCAGCAGGACGGATTCTTTCTAATGTCGGAGGCCGCGAGCATCGATAAGCAGATGCACACTCTGGACTACGACCGGTCACTGGGTGAGCTGCTTGAGTTGGACGACACCATTAAAGCTACGCTCCACTACCTCGAGTCGATCGGCGAGTTGAACGACACGCTTGTCCTCGTCACCGCTGACCACGGCCACGGCTTCGATGTCATGGGCAGCGTCGACACGCGCTATCTCAATGCCCAGGACACAGCGCGCGAGAAGCGTGGCGCTGTCGGCACATACCAACAGTCTGGTCTGTCCCAGTACTTGGTTGCTAACAGCTCCGCCCCTATCGGCAGTGATCAAAACCTCGTCTACAGCGAGGGTGTCAACTTTCCGACAAACTGGGATCCACGTTATACTTTGTTCCAAGGCGCCACGGCCAACCCGGACCGCCGAGAGAACTACCAAGTTCACAAGGATGGCCCACGTCTGCCGGCGCTGAACATCACCGGCTTCTCGAGCACTGACTACTATGTCAACTATGTCGATGCCGTTACTGGATTCGTCATCAATGGAACACTGCCTGTCTCTGTGAGTTTGCTTCTTCTTGCTCGTGGTTTGGGTTGGTCCGATCAGAACCGCAAAACAGCTATTCCTTCCTTGTTGATGGTGATTCAAGTGCTGACAACTTCTGCTTCTGCTTCCGCTCTAGGCCGATCAAGGCGTGCACTCTCTCACCGATGTGCCTGTCTTCAGCCAAGGTCCATGCCAGGAGAACTTCGGAGGGGTTTTTGGAAACGTCGACATCTTCTTCGGCATGGCTGCATGTCTTGGTCTGAGTCGTACCTGTCCGCCATCTTGAGATGTACGTACATTCATGGAATGGGTAACAGATGTAAGGAGAATCATTCGTTGCAGAGATTGTTGCCATCTCAACACCGGCAATGAAAAAGACGAAAACTTTCCTTTCGAAGTATATAATCTGAACAAACTCCACACCGATACACCACGTATGCGCACATCTTTTGCCAGCTCGAGCATGGGCTCATGATGCATTGAAAGACATAATACTAGAGTATCCGGTGTCCCATCAGCCTGTGTCAGGGAAATCTGCCACTGTTCATTGTGTCTGTCGATTCGCGACCAGAACGTCATTTAGTCATTCTTCTAAGTCGTGCAACGTCGACTGAACTTTCCTTTCATCATCCTCCAGAATTGCAGAGAAATGCACGAAATCCTGTTTTCTTATTGGCAACTCGTTACTCACAAGACTGGGATCCATGGTGGAGGCCTGGAGGCCGCCATAGCTATCCTAGAAGAACGGTGTATTGATGTCGACATGCTCATAGACTGCAAGAGCCTGTCAGAAGTCACGGCATTGCTTGCCTACTGCTGATATGTAGTGACTCTCTTTAGCTGGTCTCTTAGACTCTCCAGAGACGTCGAAGTCGCTGGGTCAGACGTTCAGGGGTATCCGGCGTTGGCAAGGCTGGCTCTTCGCATAACAGCTGTTCCGAATGTGTGACGGCGAAGGCGCTAACCTCGGTCTTGTGATCAGTCAGATCCAGATGCTGCCTGAAGCTGGCAAGGGCCTCCTTACAAAATCTGCATCAAGAGCCACAGACACAAGCGTACCCCGTCTCAGCTGGGGCGGGGGTCTAGGAGGGAGAGCATACAAGCGCATGCTGAACTCACTGAGTGTTTCCTCGAATGCAGGTCTAGGTACGAGAGGCAGGGTACAGCAGACAGGACTGCAGGGAGAAGACAACAAGGAAGAAGGGAACGGGAAGCTTCCTTCGTCGGCAAGTGATGTGCAATATTGGAACTCGACAGAGGCCGGAAGCAGTGCTTTGGGGATCGAGACGCGCATCACCGATGACAAAAGCCCTCGCCCCTCGGGCATCAATACTTTGAAAGAGCCATTATACAAAGGTCAACTGAAGGTCAGCGCCTCATGAAACCGGAGATACACCCCTGACTTGCTACGGTACTATGGGCCCTTGACTGTGACATTGCACCCTGAGACCAGTCTATTTGTGACCTTCGCAGCCAATATCCTCCTCACACGATCTGGGGCTGAGCGAAGACAACCTGATCCAGGTCAAACGAGAGACAGGAGATCGCCTGAACGCACGAAGGAAAGGGTCTATCACGACATGCATCTGCGAGCCATCCAGGTGAGGGAGCAACGTGCACACTATCTACACATGACCAGCTGGTCTACAGCAGGCTTCAAACAGGTACTGTTTCAAATCCCGCTTCGTGATCCAGCCGACATGCGATCTGATTGGTCTGTTGAGAATGGTTGTAGCCTTCGGCCTTGACGACCGTTGGGGGCCGGCCAGGTCAAAGATCTAAGCGCCCAACTTCTTCCTTCATCCACCTGGTTGCGAACGCACGCTAAGAGTAACCGCCTACGTGGTCCCTTCACGGGCACCGAAAAGGTCTAGGAATCAATCAATCAATCAATCAACCTGGTTGCGAACTCTGCTGGGGTCCTGCCTATATTGCACCACACTGCACCCCGCGCGGCCGTTAACGCGACCTCAATAAAGCATGTTGAGCGGCCCAATCATGCTGGACAAAGGGGTTCTCTCGAGCCCCCAGACGGCGCCTTGTGGGTATGAGCTGATGCGAACTTCCCCCTTTTCTCGTCTTTGGCGCTGGCAGATTCGCATAGCCTGCAAGAGAAGGCGAATAGCCGCGCTCACCTCGGTACCATCGGGACGGGATACCACTGGGAAGGCCGGCCATGATTTTGCTAGTAGTAGGACTAGCATTATCGACCATCGAGGCCTCAGACGAAAGCACGACCAGGCGAAGGAGAAGGTGTGCCCTCTTGCCTTTCCTCTGTCCCGAGTCGTCTTTCACACCAACATGCTGGACGGCTAGTCTGTTGTGATTGTATTTTGTTGATTACCATCGTGTTGAATTGTGACGACGGCTATTCTCGGAATCACAAGCAAGTCACAGCGGCCACCGACGTGCGGTGACCGGATCGAGGAGAAGACGGCGTCTATACCCTTCATCGGCTCATTGCCGGAAGATATCACAACATATTCCAAAAAGAACATCACATTTCCCCTCTCGACAGAAGGGGCTGTAAGCCGGACGTGGACATCAAGCAGAAGACAGAGGCAGGGGACAACAAAGCTATAAGAGCAAAGGTCTATCCACCCATCCACCACCATCAGCAGACCATCACTTCTCCAATTCAAACATTCCTCCTTGCATTTCTTCATCTCAGGCTTGCTGGACAAGACTGCTGTTACATTCACTCTCCTTCGGCAATATTCGCATCAACTTCTCCCCTCAGGCACTTTCATTGCTCGAGTACCAATCTTCATTCGGACCAAAATCGACAAAATGCATATCAGCTCCACCACCGTCACATTGGTGCTCACGGCATCCTTCATTCAAAGCGCGTTGGCCTTCCCCGTTCCTGGTAAGCAAAGACTCGGCTGACCTCTGATTGGACTTCTTTGCGTTCATTAGCATAGCGGCATCCCAAGTTCAACCAAGCTGACCATCAATTTACCCACTCATCTAGCATTTCTGGATGTTCTCAGGCGCGACGCAAGTCCTGATCCGCGCCTCTCTTACTGGAAAGGGGTCAACGATGGGGGAAGCAGCAAGATCAAGTCGCGTCGCTGGCTGAGTCCGATCATCGAAATGCTGGATAAGCGCGAGCCTGGTCTTTCCTACTGGAAGGGTGTCAATGATGGAGGCTCTTCCAAACGTGAAGCTGCTCCTGAGCCAGACCCAGGCTTGTCTTACTGGAAGGGTGTCAACGACGGAGGCTTTTCGAAGCGAGAAGCCGAGCCTGAACCCGAACCCGAACCCAGATTACCTTACTGGAAAGGAGTTAACGACGGGGGCTCCTCCAAGCGTGAAGCTGCCCCTGAGCCAGACCCAGGCTTGTCTTACTGGAAAGGAGTCAACGATGGGGGATCGTCGAAACGCGAAGCTGCTCCTGAACCCGAACCCGAGCCCGAGCCCGGCCTGTCTTACTGGAAAGGAGTCAACGACGGCGGATCCAGCAAGCGTGGCTTATCATACTGGAAAGGTGTGAACGATGGAGGCTCGTCGAAGCGCGAAGCCGAGCCTGAGCCACAACCGGACGCTCTCCCTGCTCTGGGTCTTACTTGACCGCTGAGAGGCTTAGTCGCATTGCAGACTTGAACGGAAATCCAGATTCTAGTCTCTATACCACGCACGCTATGCTATGCCCGGCCAGTGATCGATCAATGTGCTTGTCACCCACAACTGTATGTAAAAATTCATGTACTGTCATATATTAAGGTTATCTGGACAATGTGAGAGGAGGGTTAGTCGGTGATACTTGGAGGCAAGGAAATTGAGAACATGATGATCGGCAGCGAAAACGATGGCGCTGATGAAGCAGACACACATAACTGCCGGCCCATGCCAGTCGAAAGCATGAGCCAATCCATTGTTCGATAGACAGAAAAGCCCGCCCATCCTCGATTCCTCAATGCCAGTGCTCGAAGTGTCCTGTCAGCGACATGGAAATTCCTTCGATACAGCCTGATCTCTTTTGTATATGCAGATGCTAGTAGTAAGTAGCTCGAGAGCACAGCGTCAGGTGTGTCCAGCACAGCACGATCATACGTCTCATAGGGAGTACAGAGGTTGCTTTTGATATAACAACCAAGACGCTTTAGGATAGTAGACAATGCGAAAGGCTTGGGAAGAATCAGACAGACATGGAGGAACTGCATACTTTGAATCACATAACTCTTCCGTCGTCTTCGTTCCCGGATGATATGCTCACCACTGGCACAGCGTAGCATTTCATTTTCATTCCATGCTTTCAACTCGAGGTAGTCCACTGTCCACTGTCCAGCCGCCGGCCAGCAGCATGTAAGCGCTCAGTGCTGGACTTTGGCAGGAGAGGGGGTTCAGCGAAGAAGAAAAAAAAAAGAAATCGGGCGCTTAATATCAGTTCGCTTGTTTCGGGACTCACCACTCAAGGGGCAGTGCATTTGGACATCCACGATCCGCCCAATCAAACGTGCCATTAAATTCGCGGGAAGAGAGTTCGTCAAACACTGGTACACATGTTGATCGATAGTCGATAGATCGCTTGATGCGAGAGATCGACCACACACTATTGAAAGGTTGAGTTGCAGAGAAGGGCGAAGAGAAATTAGGATTCAATATCCTGAATTCGGTACGCTCCCCACGTGATATGGCATAACTAAACACGATGTAAACGGAGAGTTACCTAGCTAGATATGATATAGAGATCCTTGTATCTGCTGGATTTTAACGGCGCCCTATATATAAGGCACGCCAATCTCACCGTGTACATGCACGTTGACGGGGGTAACCGCCCCAAGACATCGCCCATCCCCCGGCTACGGTGTCCTTCGACTCCAAGCGACCTCTGTCCAGAACCGAGGTCTTTCTCCCGTATCCTCCGTATCAGAAGCCATGCCGGGACGTCCAGTTAAGAACGACGTCGTAAGCGCCCGTGGCGTTTTTATGCAAGTTGATTCCATGGCCCACGTTTGGTTGTATGTACGTCTCGACACTCTTACTGCCGTTAAAGGCTTGGACGGCAGCACTGTCTGGGCCAAACAGACCCGTACAGTTTGAACCGCAGAAGATCAAGTCCGCCTCGGCTGCCAGGTACAACACAGGGCCTTGGAACCCGGGAGCAGCTGACGGGAGTGCGCCTGCCGTGAGAAATTCGCCGGCGGTGAAAGGGTATTTCGTCGCCTCGGCACGAGTCAGAACGGCAGGGTCGAAGTAGGGATACAGGAAGAACGAGAACTGGTTTGCGTATTTGTCGGGCCACGTCAAGAACCCTGTCGAATAGGTCTTGTTGGGGAAGCGATCGGGTTGGTTCAGCGATGCCAGGTGGAAGGACGTGTCGGCGATGAACAGGTTCTGGTAGGTCACGAGCCGGGAGTACGCCGTCAACACCAGCCCGTCGCTGAGACTGGGGGCGACCGCCGCGAGAGCATTGCTTAGGATACTTCCCCAGCTGTGACCGACGTGGATCACCTTGTGTGGCCGGGGCACTTCGGTGATGTTTCCTGCTCGTACCAGAGCGGTGAGGCCGGTGAGGACCGCCAGCTCAACCAGGCTCTGGAGTTCCCTGTATGGGTCTGGGATGGTGGAGGGCTCGATGCCGAGACGGTTCCAGGACAGCGTGCTGTATCCAGCACCCGCCGCCCGGTTGATGTACGAGTACTGTGCATCATCGGGAGTAGCAGGCAGATAGAAATCCCAGTATGACCTGTTGAAGCCGATGCCGTGCGTGAGAATCTGCAGGGTCGTGGACTTGGGGCCGGGCGCGACCGGTGTACAATACTCGGCGCTGATGTCGAAAGTGGTGGTCAAGGTTGTCAGGTTGACGGGAGCCGCAGGACCGGGGAAGGTGATCTGCTTGCTGACTTCGTTGGAAAAGGCCGTCGCGGCATACTGGTCGGCGAAAGCTGGGAACGGTGGCACAACAAGCGTCACATTGTCCACCGGGACACGAACCACAAAGCTCGTGCAATTGTACGCATTTTTGGCTACCGCGGTGGCCTCTGCACCCACGAGCAGCAAGGCAGCGATGAAGAGGGCGAAGAAGAACATGACTCGAAGCTCGTTGAGGTTCGGGCGGGGGCGAAGGAAGGCAACAACGATGGTGAGGGTGGAAAAGGGCACGATATAAAGGGCGTGGCGGACAGCGACGGTTCAAGTTTGAAATGAAAAGCTCATCAGTTTGTCACTCAGTCTGTTTCTTAAATACTTTTTTCACCTTCAGGTAGGTAGGTAAATAGGTCCTCTGGCTTTTTCATTCAACGGGTCGAACCGCGTGAGTTTTCGCAATATCGAAGGTTAATAGCTCGGCGTCTGGTACGGCCAACGTTTGAATGAAGCAACAACACCTTTTGTCGTCTGTTGAAAGTAAGCTAAGGATTAGAAGAGCTGATTACACTTGACCTGGTAGTTACGCTGGGGATAGCAGAAGCAGAAGACCCTTGGTGCATATTTGGAATGGCGTGCAGCCAGTCGATGAAAGCTCGTCACCAAGCTGCCTCTCATACGTCGACGAGTTGCTGTGATGACGGTGAATTTGCCCTTCTTTCCGGTCGTCAAACAGCCACCGTGAAAGCTGCCCTCGACGTGTGAATAGCTGAAGTCATCGAATGGGGAAAGTCTTGATTAGTCACTCGCTAGCAAGGGTAGCAAGGACCAGTATCGGCCAGTCCCAGCGTTCTGTCCGCTTACAAGGCTGGCTAGGCCGAATGACAAATCGTCCGCATGTGGTGGTGAGTGGCTTGTTGCGTCGACAGCTGGGATTTCGGAATCTGACCAGGGGTTTCCCATCTCAGGGCTATATCCATGCAGAAGCGGTTCGGAACGAAAGATGCGGGCGCAGTAAGTGAACAGGCGAACCATTGCAGATGAATTATGTCTCAGCTGGCCCGAGGATGTCGTGTCTAGTATGCTGGATCGTCTATGCTGCTCTAGTAATCCAGCGACAGTCGGAACTCCATAGATGCCGCTACCACAGGGTCGAGCTTGTCGCTCGCTGGGGATGCATGGCAGTGTTCCACGCCATCTCGTACTGCAATGAATGCTGTCAGTTGGCCATGATCGACCCGAGGGATGTGGACAACTCACGTCTTCGTCCGTCTCACACACCAGTGTTCGCTGCTTGTCGCTCGATCCAATATCGACTACATCGCCCCCTTCGGCGGCGTTCTGGTTTTTTTCATGGTCGAGCGTGAAGCCCAGGCAGGACACTTTCTGGGTCACGACCTCGCGCAGATACACACTCTTCTCGCCGATCCCACCGGCAAAGACCAGAGCATCAACATTGCCCCCCAACTTCACATAGTAGTTGCCGATGTAGCCGACAACCCGGTCGACGAAGATGTTGAAAGCCAGTTTGTGGGTGTCCGGCGCATTCGGGTCGGCGATTTTCGAGAAATCGGTGGTCCCAGTCAAAGCTTTCCAGCCCGACTGCTTGTTCAGGATTTCTTCGGCGGTCGAGATGTGAAGGTCTTTGGTGCTATTCGGGCTGAGCGCACTCGCGTCGGAAGTGTAGTGGAAGACCAAGCTGGGATCAATGTCTCCGGTCCTGGTGCCACCTGGCAAGCCTGAGACCGGCGTCAGGCCCATCGTGGTGTCTATGGACTCTCCATTCTTGATGGCACAGGCCGAAGCACCACTTCCCAGATGTAAGGCTATCATGTTCAACTCGGACTCTGGCTTTCCCAGGTGTCGAGCTATCCGCCTTGTCATGTATTTGTAACTGAGTCCATGGAAGCCATATTTACGCAGTCCTTTCTGCTCGGCAATCTTCTGATCTATCGCATAACTCTTGACATAGTCGGGCATTGTCTGATGGAAACCAGAGTCGAAACATGCGACATTGATGACTTTGGGAAGGTGTCGGTGGCAGGCAAGCATGAGGGAGACCGCAGCGGCATTGTGTCTGCACACAAGTCAGTTGAAGAGGACACGCTTTGGATCGATGAGGCCCTTACAATGGTGCCAGATCCGACAACTTGTTGATTATATCAAAGGTCTCCTTGGTGAGGAGCTGATCCTCACGAAAGCGCCCTCCCTGCACCACTCTGTGGCATGCATACTGGATGTCCTCCTTCTTGGAGACCTCAGGGATTTCGGAGTCTGTGACGAAGGCATTGAGCGCATGCTCAAAGGCACCAGTATGGTCGTGGATCTGGCCGAGCTCGGCAGTGTCTTTGTAAGAGCCTCGCTTGTATTTCAACTTGGCTGGAGGCTGATTGATGGCGGATATCTCGGCGCTGCCCAATCGTCGGAGGTTCTTATTGCCTGCGGCGTCATCTTCCTCGATAAACAGGGTGGTCTTGAGCGACGAACTGCCGGCGTTGATGGAGATGATGATGACGGTCATTGTGTAAAGAAAAGGAACGGTTATGGATGTCTGTCTATGTCTCGTCCGTCTCTTCTATGCAGATGCCAGTTGTTGCTTGGGAGTGCGAGGGAGTCTGTCTTATCTTATACTCTGTAGTCTGTTCGTAAGTATGTATCAGACCACTGCTGCATATAGAGGAATCAACCTCAAGTTACTCACCACCCACACAGGGTTGCTTGCATCCAACATAAGACCGCCGACGAGACAAGTCACTACTCGCAGTAGCTCACTGGGAATAGAACAAACAGGCCGTAGTCGATTCTCCGTGCCAGGTTGCTGGTGGGAAGAGGGAACAGCCGCAGTTCCTTGTATCCAAGACTCATTGGACGAGTGACAACATCGGTCTCCAGCAACATTGCATCACAGTCGTGCAAACACTTGCTGTGACTGCATTCTGTGCTCGACATCATAATGTCACCTACTGTGGTACTTCCCACAAGTTCCCGCGGCTTTCACTAAGGTGATGATGAATGCCTAATGACAAGATCTCTCCCGTGGTTTGGCCTTCCGTAGTCTGCCTCTCGCTGTTTCCCTCTGCTACTCTTCCTTCTACGTCTGACTGACTGTGCAGATATCCTCAATCACTGAAGCTAGAGCGAGCTGTTACATCCTTCTTGGTCGTTCAAAGCACTGTTTCAAGATACGAGCGAGATACTCCTACATAACCTCAACCCTCTCCCTCTCCCAAAATGCCAGGTGAAGTGATCGATCGTCCTAACCCTCCGCCGCCACCATCCAATGTCCCCGACTATGTCTCCGATCTGCTGGTCAAGCTGGATAGGTCAACATTGGCAGAAGAGACCAATGAGGTTATGGTCAAATATCGGCGCGCCGCCAACTACATTGCTGCAGCTATGATCTTTCTGCAAGACAACGTCTATCTCGAACGAGACCTCACATTCGAGGACATCAAGCCTAGGTTACTGGGCCACTGGGGCACATGTCCTGGGCTCACTCTAGTGTACTCCCATCTCAACCTTATGATCAAGAACCATGATTCGGACATGCTTTACGTCGTAGGACCTGGTCATGGTGCGCCGTCTCTCCTGGCAAATCTATGGCTGGAGGGTTCGTTGGCCAGGTTCTATCCGCAGTATTCACAGGATGCGAAGGGACTGCATAATCTGATCAGCGGGTTCAGTACAACCGGGGGTTTCCCAAGTCACATCAACGCTGAAACTCCTGGCGCCATCCATGAAGGAGGAGAGCTTGGATACGCCCTTGCAGTATCCTTCGGCGCTGTCATGGACAATCCCGATCTGATCGTGGCTTGCGTTGTTGGAGACGGTGAGGCTGAAACTGGTCCTACTGCTACGGCGTGGCATGGTCACAAGTACATTGATCCTGCAGAGTCGGGGGCAGTCTTACCTATCGTGCATGTAAACGGTTTCAAGATCAGCGAGAGAACCATCTATGGCTGCATGGACGACAAGGAAATGGCAGCGCTCTTCACAGGCTATGGATATCAACCAAGAGTGGTGGATGACTTGGAAGACATCGATGGAGACCTCTCTACTTCAATGGAATGGGCAATCTCAGAAATCAAACGAATACAGAAAGCCGCCAGGAGTGGCAAGCCCATCATGAAGCCTCGATGGCCTGTCCTGATACTGCGGACCCCGAAAGGATGGTCAGGACCAAAGAAGGTTCACGGCCAGTTCGTCGAGGGCTCCTACAAGGCTCACCAAGTTCCATTAGCTGCTGCGAAGAGCGATCCTGAAGAACTCAAACAGCTTCAGGACTGGTTGGCGTCTTATAAGCCCAAGGAGCTGTTCAAGGAGGATGGCGATGTCATCGACGAAATCAAGGCTGTGTTTCCCGAAAAGCCTGAACGACGCCTCGGTCAGAAGAAAGAATCGTACGATGCCTACCGTGGCCTGAGGCCCATCGACTGGCGCAAATTCGCCGTCAAGAAGGGCTCTTCGGAAAGCTGCATGAAGATTGTGGGAAAATTGCTGGAGCAGGTTATCAAAGACAATCCCAAGACGTTTCGCATTTTCTCCCCTGACGAGTTTGAATCCAACAAGCTCGATGCAGTCCTGAATTCCACCAACCGGAACTTCCAAGCCGATCAGTATTCAAACGCCCGTGGTGGCCGTCTCATTGAAACCCTCTCTGAGCACCAATGTCAAGGCTGGATGCAGGGCTACACTTTGACTGGTCGGGTGGCTTTGTTCCCGAGTTACGAAGCATTCCTAGGAATCATCCACACCATGATGGTGCAATACGCAAAATTCGGTAAGATGGCGCGAGGGCTAACCTGGCGCAAGGACATTGCGAGTATCAACTATCTCGAAACCTCCACCTGGACGAGACAAGAACACAACGGCTTCTCGCACCAGAACCCGAGCTTCATCGGGGCGGTGTTGAACCTCAAGCCTGATGCGGCCCGAGTGTACTTGCCACCCGACGCGAATACCTTTCTGTCCACTATGGAGCACTGCCTTCATTCCAAGAACTATGTCAATCTGATGGTCGGGTCGAAGCAGCCGTCTGCCGTTTTCTTGTCGCCGGATGAAGCGGAGAACCACTGTCGTGCCGGGGCGTCGGTATGGAAGTTCGCCTCGACCGATGAGGGCCTTAATCCAGATGTCGTGCTCGTTGGCATCGGCGCCGAATTGACATTTGAGGTGATCGCCGCCGCAGACCTGTTGCGAACAAAGGTGCCGAGCCTTCGCGTCCGAGTTGTCAACGTTACCGATCTGATGATCCTGGGAACGACTAGAAGTCACCCGCACTCATTGACTGACGATGCCTTCGACGCTCTGTTTACCGCAGATGCGCCGATCCACTTCAACTATCATGGGTATGCGAACGAGCTCAAGGGATTATTGTTTGGACGACCAAACATGGCTAGAGTGACCATTGCCAGCTACAAGGAGGAAGGCTCGACGACTACCCCCTTCAATATGATGCTTCTCAATGAGACAAGTCGCTATCATGTGGCCATCCAGGCGGTCAAGGGAGCGGCGAAGCGCAATGAGAGGGTCGGATTGTACATGCATGAGCTGACGAGCGAGTTCAACGGGATGATTACAAAGGTCCAGAAGTACATCCTGGAGAACAAGAATGGTAAGACTCCTGTCCTGTACCGCTGGAGAGGGATCGTACTAACCAAGTATGTCGCAGACCCCGAGTATCTTGACAACATCGAAAACTTCAAGATTGACAACAGCACGCTGAGTGAGGGTTGATGGGTTTCAGCGAGGCGAGCTAGGCTAGACTGGATGGAGTCATGAAGCAAGGGCTAGATCCCAAGGCATCAAAAGCATCATACCGTCGTAATAGCTAATACACAAATAGCAGATACTCAATGGAGAAGAGGCTGCTAAGGTGGTTTTTCATGCAGACGAACAATTACATCTAGATTCAGCTCAGCAATGGTCAATAGGATTGCAGACTGTGTATGGAGTTTCAATTCTCCAGTACTGTACTTTGCGAGCAACGAGATTACCTTGGTATCTCGGCACGTAGGAAGATCGGGATAGACAGCCACTGCATGCGTTGATGTTGGATGCAGATGCGCAGGATGAAATATCAAATCGATCTGATTGGCAGAAATATAAAGGCGGCGTCACCGAGCTGCCGAAAGGGGCAACGTCCTTGGCATTGAAGCTCCCGCGGCCGTCGACTGCAGTCAGTTGTGATGCTATCCCAAGACGTGGTGCCATTGAACCGTACATTACTTCTAGTGATTGCAGGTCCAATTGCTCGACTCGGCGAGGGCCAATCTTTGCAACCATGGCGAACCGCGAAGCGAGGTAGGGAGACTTACGGAGAACAAAGCTCAAATTGCCTGACATGGCTGCAGATTCACCACCGATGCCTTCGTCGACACGACGCCCATGCCCGACCACATCCCAAAAGTCACAGAGATCGGAGCCAGCTCGGCGCCGTTATTAAGTGCGTCTTTCTTCATTGGTGACCGATGCCGCGCCTACAACGACGATTATATGCAATGCAAGACCGAGTCCTACGGTCGAGGAGAGCTGGACTGCATGAAAGAAGGGAGGAAAGTGACGAGATGTGCGGCGAGCGTGTCAGTATTACCCTGCAACGATGGACCGAGGCGGAAACAGCGTGCGAGTCTACGGTGTGGATGTGGTGGCTAATGGCACTCCGGAGCTTCTAGGTTGGCGGACATCAACAAGAACTGTCTCGAAGAGTTTCGGGCGCACTGGATGTGTCTGGAGAACAACAACCACCAATTATGGCAATGTCGACGGCCCGAGAGGGTGATGAACAGATGCGTGTTCCAGAAGATTGTACGTTGGATCCGAACTTGACTTCTTCTTTGAGGAGCGATCGATATTGGATGGATAACTGATATTCGTCGTGTCAACTACAGGGTCTGCAAAAGACGATCCCAGAGACACCGGAGGGCCAGACCCCGATTCATCTTCGAGATAAACAGCTCTTTGCCGATTCTAGGACAGTTGTCTATCCATGGGAGAAGGATGTGGGCATCAGAAAGGACGGAGCCAAGCAGCCTTCATGAACATATACCACATAACATTCTGCACGAGGGCTCTTGCAAAGCTTGACTGGGGCGGTAGATGCATCAAGACCTCTTGAGACGGTGTTGCTGTGCTCTAACAGTATTTTGACGGCGTCAACAGAGACAGAAATGGCATGATCGAACGGTAGTGGACAGTGTACATAATCTAGCCCAGGCATCTATGGCGCGGCAGCCGGCCCCGAACTGACGAGGACCTCTCGGATAGGCCTGCAGATCTCATAGTGCCTCAATTGTTCCATGCTATGATGCCACGCTTGCCAGTCAAGTGCCGTGGAGTAAGTGAGATATCATGGCTGGTTGCAATTGCCCATGCCTTGACTTGTTATCGGTTCCCATCAGCCTCGTGCATTGTCTTCCTCGGCCTTCTTGCAGGTTTCTTCTTCTTCGGGCGGTGTCTGGCATGCGGCACTGTCGGGTTCGCTCTCCTCGTCATCGTACATGGCCGCGTCCAGATCGAGGGTGCCTTCTGCCACGGCCTTCAACTTCTGAGCCACCAATCTTGCCTGCTCCAAGCCCATTGTCCTCAGGCTCTCGAGGAAGTCGGCCTTTGGCAAGCCATTCAGATACTTCATCTTCCTGCCTCTCATCTTCTCCACGTTCTTGATTTCCTGCAGGATGAGGAGGATCCGGATGTCCCGCTCTGTGGCAGCTGCGTTCGTCTGTTCGGTGGCCTCCTTGATCCATTCTCTTGGGAACTCAGGCTGGCACTGTTTGTTGTGCTCCGTGATGTGAGCCGTGGAGCAGCCGGTGCCTTGGCATTTGATCAGATTCTTGCCGTGCTTGCATTTCTTGGGGACGATGATTGCCTCTCCACAATCCGGGCAGTCGATGGTCTTTTGGGTCGGAGGCTTGGAGGCTTTGGCTCGGCTTTTCTTCGTCTTGGCCGGACACATGGTTTCAGCCGGCTGCAAGTCGCCTCGAAAGATGATTGAATGTGGAAAGTGGACTTTGTGGTTGAGTTCTGGCAAGATCGAGTCTCAGAACGATGATGAATAGCCTCTCTGTGCTCTGATGACGAGGTTTGATGGTCGGTAGCCAAAGGGGTCAAGTTGAGATGCCAAAGAAACCCTCTGGTCAAGAGGCAACGGCGTTTTTTCTGTGGTGGGAAAAAGCGTTGAACAACGCCGACAGGGTCATGAGGTCGTTGAATAGGACCGACGATGTCATGCTGTGCAATCGACAACAGCCGGCTGCGCGGCTTTGCACTCTTCTCAATCGCATCAGCCGCGCCCAGCCTCGTAGCCTAATCTTTGTTGTAATGTCGCGCTCCCAATCTCCACAGGGACAAACTGCACGGGAACCTCCAGGTAGTGAACTGAGCAATCAGCTATATATATATGGCACACGGATGAACAGCCCCGTCGACGGTCTCAACCCCTTGATTCCAGTCGTGCCGTTGACACGCTTATGGGTGCGACTAATACCACTGACGCATCTCACCTATTAAAAGGGAGGCCGGCAAGCCGCGGCTCCCAGCGCGAGACATGACCAAGGTCAAGCTGTTTGGATCATCACGCGGTATACAAAGTAGGGACAAGGCTGAATATCAAATCCTGACGAAGTTTTAAGATATTTGTAAGGACGATTATGACCCCCACACTGTCACTGTCACTGGCAGGCGGAGACTGGAGTCTGAGGGACGGATCGAGCAGTGGCCGAAAGACTCGCTAGCCCACAACTATATTAACCTTGTCTACTAGTACAGCCACTGAAGCAGACTGGAGAAGGTCTGCCGACCACAAGATGACCGGTAATATTACAGTACCATTACAATCCGCCAGTTAAAGCAGCCCCCCTAAATCGCCCCTAAACGTGCCCCTGTAACCTCAAGCGTTGACACGAAAACAGGTTCGGGACGTCACCACGACTGGCCAGATATTGCACTTGTCCACAAGCCCTTGAGCTCATCAAGCCATCCACTGCATCACACATCCTTTGACCAGCACTGCACTGCACACCCCCTTCGCTTGTCAGCGTCCATGTCCAGGTGATGCACTCTATCCTTTCCATGCCAGTGATCCATTAGCACATACCTTACCCTTGGCTCCTTCGGCAGGGGTGCCTCGTATATATCACCCACCCTTTACCGCCATCATGGCGCACTCAAGTCTCTCGCCGCCGGAGTCGTCATTGACCTCCTCTATCTCTCCAGCCCGACCTTTCGCTGGGACTCGAGCCTATACTGCTCCGGACAAAATGGCGGTCAATGGCCATTTCGCCTCCGTCGGGCAGAACGGAGACGCCAACTTTGAAAATGGGGTGCAGGTTATTGACGAGAACAAAGAGTTCAAGTGCGCACCACCTTGTGATATCCATGCGGACATGATTTGTGGCTGACTATCTCAGTGCCGATCTCGCGAAATATCTCAATTACACAGGAGTATCCCACGCCGGCTTCAATTACCATCTCATTTCCGTGTTCGGTTCGCAGTCGACCGGCAAGTCCACCCTTCTCAATGCCCTCTTCAAGACCGATTTCTCTGTCATGGCCGAAACTGAAAGGAGACAAACGACCAAGGGAATCTGGTTGGCAAAGAATAAATCGACCTCGACCAAGATGGCAGACAACATCTTGGTCATGGATGTCGAGGGTACAGATGGCCGTGAAAGAGGGGAGGACCAAGATTTTGAACGAAAGAGTTCGCTGTTCGCTTTAGCGACGAGTGAAGTGCTGATGGTCAATATCTGGGAGCATCAGGTCGGCCTGTACCAAGGCGCGAACATGGGACTACTGAAAACCGTGTTCGAAGTGAACCTACAACTCTTCCTGAAAGACAGGAAGTCGACGTCCCGCAGCCTGTTATACTTTGTCATTCGAGACTTTCTGGGAACTACGCCTCTGCAGAATCTCCGGAATACTTTGATGCAGGATATGGGTCGCATATGGTCGAGCTTGTCGAAACCGCCTGGACTCGAAAAGAGCAGCATTGATGATTATTTCGATTTCGCATTCACGGCTCTGCCGCACAAGTTGTATCAGCCAGAACAGTTCAAAGCAGAGGTCGCGAAGATGGCAACGCGGTTCAATGAAAGTCGCCGCGATCCACGGAGGGATGCGTTGCTCGGGGAATTCGAGGGTGGTGTTTTCTTGCCCGAATATCATCGCAGGATCCCGGCAGATGGCTTCTCTCACTATGCCGAGGGTATATGGGACCAAATTGTCAATAACAAGGACCTGGATCTTCCAACTCAGCAAGAACTCCTGGCCCAGTTTCGTTGTGACGAGATTATGAGGGAGGTGATGGTCGACTTTGATGTCGCCATAAATCCTTTGGAAGCCCAACAAGGCGATGCTGCCAGAACGGGCAAGCCGGAGGTAATTCCTGGACTGGGCGCTGCAATGAAAGCAGCCCGGAATGAAGCTGTCAAAAACTTCGAGACGGAAGCGAGCAGATATCATAAGGCGGTCTATCAGCGGAAACGGACCGAGTTGGAAAGCAAGATTGATACCCGACTCAAAGCACTCTTCGCCGGGCAGCTCAATGCGGCGCACAAGGATGGCGTCCAGCAGTTTTCCGATGCCGTCAGCGCTGCAGTCAAAGCTGGACAAAAGAAAGGGGCGTCATATGACTTCGCCGAAATTGTGAAGGAGCAGAAAGAGGTTGCGCTTCAGAGATTCGAGTCTCATGCCAAGGAGGCTGTTATCCAGGGCTTGTCGTGGTCCAACTACAAGCAGGAAATGACGCTATTTCAGAAGGATCTTGACAAGATTTCTGGACAGCTGCGTCGTGACGAGATGCGCCGTCTAGCCACGAGAGTGGAGAGATGGGTCCGAAGCAAACTCAGCGACAGTATCGGTGTGGAATTCAATGCGCTGGGATCTGGTCGCAGTGGTTCCGGAGCTCCTGAGACCGGGGACAAGCCGTCAGAGCGAGATATCTGGGACCGCATTTGGAATTTGTTCACCTCCACGGTCGAAGAAGCCGAGAAGCGCTTTGCTGATCGCGCCGCGTCCTTTGATGCGAGCGCGGAAGAGGTCGAGGTGGGCATCTGGCGACTAAGAAGAAAATCCTGGGGCGTCCTACGCTCCAAGATTGAAGAAGAAATGATGGAAGGCAACCTCTTGTTGAAACTTCGAGAAAATTTCGAGGACAAATTCAGATACGATGAAGCCGGTGTCCCCAGAATATGGCGGCCAACGGACGACATTGAGGGCATTTACACCAAGGCCCGAGAAAGCACATTGACACTGATCCCTCTGCTTGCCCGGTTCCGGCTTTCGGATACCGGAAGCCCCCCTCCCCTTGATCGATGGATCGGACCTGCGCCGGCCGCAGTCACCCCGGCGGATGAGGAAGATCTGACTCCCATCGGCGGCGTGGACGAGGACGAAGGAAAAAGCTTGGAGGAAGAAACGACGATTCTCAACGAAGCCAAGCGGCAAGATCTGACAGTCCGATTCAAGAAGGCGGCCGACGGCGTCTATGTGGAAGCCAAACGTAGTGCGATTGGCGGCATGACCCAGGTGCCTCTGTATTTCTACGGCCTACTGCTCGCCCTGGGCTGGAATGAGATTGTAGCCGGTAAGTTCAACTCTTGGAGGACAGCACAGCCCAACACAAGTCCTTTACCACGCCAAAAATTGCTAACCACATTCGTCTCCTTTCAGTGCTCCGAAACCCCGTCTACTTCATGTTCTTGATCGTTCTCGCCATCGGCGCCTACGTCACGTACACCCTCAATCTCTGGGGCCCGATGTTTAAGATGGCCAACGCGGCATCCCAGCAAGCCCTGGAAGAAGGCAAGAAACGCCTGCGCGAGTTTTTGGAGGAAAGTCCGCGTGCACGACATGCCATGGCAATGACGACGGGCAACGAAGAATACGAAATGAAGAGCATGAGCTCGGTCAAAGCCTCTCAGTCCAGAAATGGCGGAGCCGAGGATTCTGGAGGAGAAGACATCGACGAGATCTAGCGGTTGTTTGGCTTTGGCGCCAAAGCCAAAAAGCGGAAAAGCGAGGCCTTTCAGGCAGTCTTCACAGTGTTTACTAACGTTCCATCCACATCATCCCTTATCGACACACGTTATTATTACGATTTTGATGGCCGAGAACTATCATTCAGAGGACACAGACAGGTCTTCTTCTTTTCCTGGCATTCATTGCGTGCGCGGAAGGCTTGGAAAGGAGTTGTTCGGCCGGCAAGCGAGCTAGCTAGCTTTTGAGCGAGTTCGAGTCTTCAGCACGGGTTTTGGAGCGACGCTGTCACTGTCCTTGTCCTTGTCCTTGTCCGGATCCCCTATTTTGTCGTGTTCGAGACTGCCACTTAAGTGGTTCGGGGTGCAATGGTGAGACGATGGATTTGGACAGACTCGAAGGACACGAAGAAGACACGACGGGAAGACAGTGCTTGGAGAAATCGGGAGATTTTCTTGCATAGATACCTAAGAGCTAACCTCTCACTCTCGCAAGAATCCCAATACCGCCTCTTCGCTCGCTCATCTCTCATCTCTTGTCGTCCTCTACTCTACTCTGCGCTGATCATATAATGTACTACTAGTAGTTCTTCATTTGCTGGCTGGATCGCAATCTCTCTCTCGCTCAACTGTGTTCCGTCGTCGACTCTGCCGGCGGGTAGAGCGAATGAACCGGCATTGAATAGACCTTCAAGCGGAGGAGTGTTTCGTGCGTTCAGCTCCCATTCCTGTAGCGGTCAGCATCACTACCAGTTCATGCAGTGATCGACTCATTAAGAGTTCTTGGCAGGGGGTTCCGCAAGGCTGAGGTCTCCTTATCCACTTCTGGCCTGGTATTATGTATCATTGGGTTTTCATCCCTACTAAGGTAAGTAGGTAAGTAGTAGGTATTTCCTAGATCTACAGACGATGCAAAACATTGTCCCATGCAACTCCTTTGATGTTCATTATTTGCTCGTCCCTTGTGGCGCATGGCGCACGACGAGACCCTTCTCTTCACCGGGTGACAGGTTCAGGGTGAGCAGCGAGTTTCCCGCCTTCACTATTGCTCCGTTCAGCGCGTAGTTATCCTGTTCTAGCAAGAGTAGTGTTTCACTCCATTGCCATGGACAAGTCAATGACTTTATTCACCTGCGTTTCTCCTTCGAACGGTGCAGGGATTACGTGTAACGGGTCAATTGCTACGATCTGGACAGGTCGTTTACAATTTTGGAACTGTGAGCAGGTTGACCCGCAATTCATTGGCTAATGCTGCAAAGTTGGATATTGATTCCAAGCTCCATCCTGTCTCATGAGTACCCTGAGTTATCGCCAATGGATGTATCCTAGTCTTGAGGCTGCCAGCGTCTGATCAGAGTGTTGACCGGAGTGCAAGTATCGACTGGCAAGTCACTCACGCCCTCGCATCCAAGTGACAAGCGGTTGGCCCGTCGAACCAGCCCATGAGGCGATTTGCGATGTCACTCGAATAGCACAAAGTGGCTCCTGGCGCCCCTCCCAGATCCCCGTTGGTTGGCAAACTGCTCGCACCCGAGTTGTAGAGTCTTGCAGCGCGATAAAAGGCTTGGGCCAAATCGGCGACCCCAAGACTGGTTGCTTGGTTGAGGGCTTTGACCAGAGTAATGCCATCGACAGGGGCTGCCGTGCCGTCCACAATCATCTGATGAATAACGTTGCCTGGACAAGGAGACAAGACCTGGCCACCAAGATTGCAAGAACCTTTGCCCTTGAAACTCTGCATAAGGCCGGGATTGCTGTTGCCTCCGACGGTGGTGACCACCCTCACACACCCATTGGATTCCTGCATGACGACGGCGAGCATGAACCGTGGATCCATGTAAGTCTGGTTCGCCACGCTGAGGACAGCATCACGCACTTGTTCCGTTTCGTCAGGCGAGTTCCCCGGGACATTGCTGATACAATTCTGCCCCATGTAAGGCTTGAGGTGGTCAAACATGGCATCAAAGGCAAGCCAGTCGGAGACCTGCGGCCAACCGGCTGCGGAGGAACCATCTCCTGAATAGAACGTGTAGGTATCCTTCGGTGTCAACACTCCTTCGGTCGTGTCCACGTCGTGAACGGCCGCAGCACCTGTCACCTGGGAAAGACCTGTGGGCGCGGGCGGGATGATGATGGTTTGCCCAGGAGTCAGTTGCGTCCAGACCACTGTAGGGTTGGCGGTAGATATGTCCGAGAATGGGACGCTGACGCCGGAAGCAATGCCGTTACCTGTGTCGCCTGACGAAACAGTCCATACAGACGCGCTGGTTGGTGTCGGTTGAGGCAATGTCGGAGTCGAGTATGTGGATGGAGGATACTGCAGAGTTGGTGCCGGAACGATTCCAGAAGTAGTAGTAGTAGCCATTGACGGAGGTGTCGCGACGGTGGGTGAAGGGATGTTCAGAGTGAACCCGATTTGTAGGAGATCCCAGTTGGCCACCTTGTCGGGATTCGCAGCCTCCAAAGCTTCCAAAGAGACCCCAAACCGTGCTGCGATGTTCCAAGCCGTGTCGCCGGCCACCACAGTGTATGCTTTGCCCGTCATTGTGGTCGCTGTTGCAGCAGGTGCAGTGGCTGTGACAGGGGCCGTCTTGACGCTGTCTGTCGGATTTGCCTGCGCACAGGTCGAGCAGGAGCCACAGGACGCGGTTGATGGAAGTTGAATGACCTGTGCCTTCTGCAAGCTATTCCATGAGCTGATGTTCGGGTTGGCTTCTAGTAGGTTGCGCAGCTCGACACCACAGTGTACAGCGATCTCACAGGCAGTGTCCCCGTCGCGGACAGTGTATGCGGCGCCACAGACTGCGACAGAGGTCCCGAGAGCGAGAACGAAGATCGTCAGGAACGACGCGAGTTTCAAGAGAGACCCCTATTACCGTGTCAGAATGTCGCCATGAGAGGTATGAGCTGTCTTACCATCTTTTAGATCGGTATTGTTGTTGCGCTTTGATGGGACAACTTGGTTTGATCGATGGCGCGTGAGCAGATCTTTTGGTCTCTGTTTTGGTGGGAGCAAAGTTGCGAGAGTTGGACGCGTCACAAAATGCTCAGCATGATTTTGACTGTTTCAAACAGAGATCTCATTGAACCTGTGTCGCCCGCCCGTCAGAAGAAGCAGAGGCGGTCAGTTGTTCAAGGTTGGACACTCCCTCTTTGAGCCTCGAACTTGCCATACTTGCACCCACATCAACCGTGGGCTGCACAGCAGCTGTCAGGCACATGGCACGGCAAGTGTCTCTTTGCCATAAACGGACCGTTGTGTGAAAAAGAAGACGAAACATGAGAGCGTGCGAACAGACAACACATATTCACACCCACCATTCCTTGACGACAAGGAAGTCGGCTTTCGTTTTAAACAATCACGTACTCGTTGGAGTCTGCCGCAACGAAGGGCCATAGTCACAAGAAGAGAACATCCAGACATCGACAACAGTGGAAAACTTGGTGGAGGAACAGTCAAGTCTGCCAAAGAAATGTCATTTGTGTATTGTTGGCGCCGCAGTTCACGGCCCCGTTGATCCCTCCTCTAGGTCATGCAAGGCTCATGAGAAGGACACGAGCCACGATGATAAAGTCTCCTCCGACCTGTGACGGGCGCCTATTTGAGATGTGAGATCGGGTCCGGCGTCTCCGAAGGCAGAAAAGATCTCAGCGGTGCAGTATCAAGGGTTGAAACCGTCATCATGTTGGGTTCTGGTTATCCAGGTGCGACTCTTCCTGTTATTAGGACCCCAGACTTTCCAGGCTGTCTGATGCGAGAGTCAATATGAAGATGGGCACGGGGTGCAACGATGGCGAAAGGGTCACGTATCTCTGTGACACGAGGAGAGGTTCAGTTCGGGTTCAGGTTGAGTTGGATATTGGAAAAGCTGAGCACGAATGGAATAGCTGCATTCTGAGATATACTAGTAGGACACTGTAATAGGTACACATATACTCACCTACGTGGTCACAACATTGCTTGCTCTCCTGGACCTCGACTCCAACCCTCAAACTCGTTCCCGATCTACTGAAACTCCGTGTCCACCTGTTCGAAGTAGTCGAAAAAGCCCTTGTACAGTTTCACACCGAGGCCAGGATCGAGTGATCCGGTCGTGGCTCGGATAGAGTGCATGCTCAATTGAGGAATGCCACAGTCGATGGCACGGCAACCCAGTTTGGAACTTGTCATCGGTCCAATGGTTCCACCACTGCGGCTGTCATTTCGTATCTGGAATACCTGCAGGGTGCTACCACACTTCTCCGCGACTCGAGACAGCAGCGCCGTGGACACTGAATCCGTGGTCATATGTCCGTTGCTATCCGCGGATACTGTCACGCCCACATTGAGTCGGGGGGAATGATTCTCAAGATATGCTCCCAGGAAGTTCGGGTTGACGGCGTGAATGACATCGGATGATACCAGGAACGAATTTGCCAGGGTCTGACTGATCAGGTTCGGGCCACAATGGTCGGACGAAGCCTCGCATATCCTCTCGATCACGCTAGACATGAAGTTGCTTCGAGCACCTTGCCGAAGGTAACTTCCGATCTCTTCGTCATCGAAACATCCCACCATCTTGATGATGCCCGGGGACGCATCATCGGACGAGGCCAGCAGTGCTTCGATCGCCGCAAAGCAGCACAACTTGTCGTCGATCCTGCCAGCAAAGATGAATTCCTTGTCAAGCCCACCGACCTGCGCGGGCTGGATATCGAAGAGCTCAAGTTCCCAGTTGACGATGGATGTGTAGTCTTCCACCCCCAACTGACCAGCGATTGCTCGTACCAGTCTCTCCGGCTGGGTTGACACGAAGGTGCCCGCTGGCAGATTTAAGGTACTTTGCTTTTGTCCGGTGATGTCTGAGTTGTCGAGTCCGATGATGGGCACCATGTTTGTCTCCAGGTTAAATGGCCCTTGAGCAGCAGCGCCGAAATGCGGTGCAAGCGTGGGGATCCTCGCAATGGGCCAATCCAGCTTCACCAGTCGTTCCTCTATCTTGCCGTCCTTGGTTTTCACAAGTACCCTGCCGCCAATGCCTAGGTCTCGGTCCCACCAGGTTGAATTCAACCCTCCAGCATAGGGAGCTACCCCCAATTGGATGTACCCAGCTTTAGTGGCTAGTTTTGGGACAGGCTTCAGCTTCGCCGTGAGAGCATCGATATGGCCAGCGACTATCCCAACACCGTTCCCTGGTTTGTAGTCTTTTCCTACGGCAAACGCAATGAACGCACTGCCGTTGCGCTTGGTGTAGTATTTCCCTCCCGGCTGAATCTTCCACTGCGTCCTCTCAGACAGGTATTCATACCCGGCCTTCTCCAACTGCGCAGTGAACGCGGCGACAGCATGAAAGATGGTAGGGTTGTTCGTCATGAAATCAAGATATGGTTGTGTATATTTCTCTGGCGAGAATGTCTTCTGAGGGATGGGATCTCGTGGAGTCGGGGCGTATGCCGTGTGCTGGACCATGCGATCGTAGCCCCGAGATACATGAAGAGGCAGGTCTTCGTGGATGGATGTGAAGAACCCGGAGGATGTTTTGCGAACCATGGTGAAGTCTGACAGATGACAACAAGTTCAAAAGGAGTGTACGGCTGAATCCTAGAGGAAACTGTCTAACGTTCCGAGTCGCTGTAGCAAGGGCAGGTATATATGATCGATCGTCAGGGACGAAGAGCGACGCCTTGTCATATCGGCGTCTGCACAGCAACCGTGGCGTTATCGGAGCTGACACTTTCTCCATACCGGAGACAGATAGCGTCATCCATGTCACTTCTGCTGTCAGTGTCTGTGCTACTCTGCAATTCATTTTCTATACATTCTCCATACATCCTCACCAACCCATCGTCGCATCGTGCCCCCCCTTCGATATCTTCCTGTCTACTACTTTGAAACTTCAGTATGGGCTCAAACGTAGCATCAAAGCGCCTGTTCCAGGAGTACAAGTCACTCCTAACGAACCCGGTAGATGGAATTTCCGCAGGACCTCTGAACGAGGATGACCTCTTCATTTGGGAGGCTTTGATTCAGGGACCGGAAGGAACCCCCTACGAGGGCGGTATCTTCCCTGCAGAACTCAGGTTCCCCAGGGATTACCCCCTCAACCCTCCCAAGATGAAGTTCCTAGGTGAAATCTGGCATCCGAACGGTATGGCCTCCCTATCTGCCTGGCGATTTCGTGGAACTAACCTCTTCTTTCTTGCAGTATACACCAACGGCGAAGTCTGCATATCCATTCTGCACCCGCCCGGAGACGACCCAAATCACTATGAGAGCGCTTCTGAGCGATGGTCACCTATTCAAAGTGTGGAGAAAATCCTGATATCTGTCATGTCCATGTTGGCTGAGCCCAACGATGAAAGTCCTGCGAACGTGGAGGCTGCGAAGATGTGGAGAGAAAGACGGTCAGACTTTGAGAAGAAGGTCCGAGAAGGAGTCAGACGGTCACTGGGTCTATGAGCTCCGAATATCATGACTTCAGCATCAACCATTTCAGTTACACACTCAAGTGCTCCACGCCATCTCTCAGCTTTGTGATCAACCATCGTTCAAGCCCGCCCTCTCCATGGTCTAGTATCTGGATCTCAGCCTTTCGGCCCAACTTTAGCATTCGCTGGAGCTGAGCAGTACACTCCTGCAGACCTGACAGTACCTCGCCCTCTCCATCACGCCACTCCGCGCTGCCTAACATGGACACCGCAAGTGCTCTATCCCGCATCGATAGAGGCAATAAAACGCCATGGGCGGGTCCGGATGCGTGGATATCTTCGGCTTTGAGCCCGATCCAGACCATCTCTGGAATTATGGAGGCGTGTTCTTGCGCAAGATTTTTTGATCCATACAGGTAGCATTTCAGGATCTGGATCCCATCTGGATCCCAATCAAACAACCCAAATATCGGGATCGGTGGGTGAGCGTGGTCAAGGACAAAGCGCAAGAAGTAGCGAGTTGCAACATCGGGGTACCCTTTGGCCTATGGTGCAGTCAGCAGAGAACGTCCTAGCATTCAGAGGGGGATATACCGTTACAAGCAATCCGGGCTCAAATTTTGAGTGCTGATGGAGTCCCATTTCTACCAGAGATCTGAACGTGGCCTACGTTTCTCAGCATAATGTCTAGAACCACGCACTCCTGACGAACCTCTTTCTCGATGACGAGAATCCATCGGATGTGCGAGATTCCGGGCAACGTGGTTCGATCATCAGGGATATGAATTGCTTCTCGCTGTCCTGGGAGTGTGGGCTGAAGTCCGGCGATGAGGCCTTTGGGGCTAGCGCTCTGATCACACCCGATGAGTGAGTGCATGGACTTGATGCTGATGACCTGAAAGGAGACTCACCACGTTCAAGTCTCTTCTGGTGACTCGACATGTGTATGCGATGTCGTCCAGATATCGATCCACGGTCTCTTGCTGCTTGAATAGCGCCGGGTCGTGATAATAGATATCTCTGCTTCAATGAGACATCAATCTGCTTCTGTTGTGGTTTCCTACCTCTTGGTGACAGTGATGCCTTGCCTGATGGCAGTGTGTATCTCTCCCAATATCCGACCGACACAAGCTGCAAGCGGTCAGGATGGGGAGACAAACCTACAGCTGTCTTTGTGTACTAAACCTCCATGCCTCATCTTCGTTCTTCCCTGGGAAATGGTAACGGACCTCGCGGCTCTCGATGTCACATTTCACTCGCTGGAGATCGTCATTGTCATAGTATGGCTTGACCGCAACGATCCTCTTTAGCACGAGGACAGGTTTGCCGGGCGGCCGGAGTCTGATTTCACGTAGAATGCTGTTGAAGCTGTTCTCGATGTAATTGAGGACTCTCTGATTCTCTGCGGAAACCGCAGGTCGTTCAGCGGTTGAGGTTCTGCGTTCATGACACGGTTGGCGCTGCATTCTCAGCTATGGGCGGGCCGGCTTCTATCAGGAATCAAATATGAAATCCCTGGATAGGTATCGAAGTACAACCTCCGGCCAAGATGGACAGGGGATGAATGTATACAAAGGTCGGAGATCTACCGGGGTTGGCAGATCCATCTCCCCACTACTTGGAGCAGCCTAGGGAGCCTCTCAAGCCCGCCAATCCGAATGCCTGCGTCCCTGGCGTCCAGAATTGTTTGCATCCTCCTCGCTAGTTGAGGGATTCTCACGCTCCGAGTGGCGCCAGATTACCAGCATCGTCGCTGTACCTGAACACGAAGTGTTCGCCTACGTACCTATAGTCACCTTCGAACCCTACCAGCATTTTCCCCACGCTCGCTCAGTGCAATACCTACATTCTCGGCCATGCCCTCTCTGGTGCACGAAATATCTTTGTCCTAGAAATGGTTCGCACGCGGCAGTTGACCGAGAAGCCCATCGAGGGTCTCACAAACGGCCACGCCAATGGAACAGCCCATGCGCACCGCTTAGATCCCAGCAGCGAAAGAACTGACCGGTCCAGATGGAGACTGGCTGCTGAATCAGGCCGCCAGACATGGCACTATTTAAAAACGGACAAGGAAATCGAAGAATGGCCACAAACCACCGCCGACAAATACTTCCTGGGTTTACCAACAGTAGGGGTTTCACGTCGAAGTTCTGAACAAGAGTGCGGGCTAATCTGCCTTAGAATCTCCCTGAGCTGCCTCCTGCGTCCAGACCCTCGGAGTCGATAGACAACTGCCTGACATTCTATTCCAAACTCCAATTGCCTCCGGGGAACTGGGCATGCGAATATGGCGGCCCACTGTTCCTCCTGCCCGGTATCGTCATTTGCTGGTACGCAACAGGGACACCAATCCCCCCTGAATATCGTATAGAGATCAGAAACTACCTCTTCGCGAGGCAAAATAAAGATGGTGGTTGGGGTCTTCATGTCGAAGGGAACAGTTCGGTCTTCGGCACTGCAATGAACTATACAATCCTCAGAATATTAGGAGCCAGCGAGGAGGACCCACGGATGGTCAAGGCAAGAGGGAAGTTGCATGAACTCGGAGGTGCAGTCAACGGTCCGCACTGGGCAAAGTTCTGGCTCAGCGTGCTGGGTGTTATGCAATGGGAGATTGTCAATCCTGTGCCACCAGAGTTGTGGCTTCTCCCTGACTGGGTCCCAATTGCCCCTTGGAGGTGGTGGGTGCATATGCGCCAGGTCTTTTTGCCCATGTCCTTCATATGGTCCAGGAAATTCACCATGCCAGAGAATGAACTTACCAGACAGCTACGGCAAGAATTGTTTGTGCAGCCGTACGAAACGATCAACTTCGACTCGCACCGCAACTCGATCTCCCCTGCGGACAACTACCACCCGAAATCTTGGCTCCTGAATCTGATCAATGTCATCCTGGTCTGGGTCTGGATCCCGCTATTGAGGACCAAGACTCTCGTCGACCGAGCAGAGGCATGGGTCTGGCGACTTGTTCAGTACGAAGACCACAACACGGATTACGCCGATCTGGCTCCTGTGAACGCCCCCATGAACGCAATCTGCTGCTTTATACAGGAGGGCGGTGACAGTTACTCGTTCAAGCGCCATCTCTACCGCCTCGACGAGTACTTATGGGTGAACAAAGAAGGCATGCTGGCCAATGGCACCAACGGCGTGCAAGTCTGGGACACGGCATTTACTATCCAGGCATGCGTCGAGGCTGGTCTGGCCGACTCGCCAAAATGGAAGCCCATGCTGACCCGAGCACTGGAGTTCCTTGAGGCCGAACAGATCCGAGAAGAAGTGCCTGACCGAGAGATTTGCTACCGACAGGCCCGGAAAGGCGCATGGCCCTTCAGCACCAAACTGCAGGGCTACACCGTGTCCGACTGCACGGCCGAGGCTTTGCGAGTAGTGCTTCTTCTGCAGAACGGACACAAATACAAGTCCCTGCTGGATGAATCTCGGACCCGCGACGCCATCGACGTCCTGCTGACCATGCAGAACAAACACACAGGCGGGTTCGCCAGCTACGAGATCCAGCGCGGCTCCGAATGGTTGGAACTGCTGAACGCCGCCGAAGTCTTTGGCCGCATCATGGTCGAATACGACTACCCCGAATGTACGACCGCGGTGGTGACTGTGCTGTCCCTCTTCCAGAGATTCTACCCGGACTATCGTGCCCATGAGATCAAGAACATCAAGGAGACCGCACTGCAGTATATCCGCGCTGCGCAACGCGATGACGGATCATGGTATGGAAGCTGGGGAATCTGTTTCACCTATGCCGCCATGTTTGCGCTCGAGTCACTGGCGTCTGTGGGCGAGACGTATGCTTCGTCGCCGCGCGTCAGAAAGGCATGCGAGTTCTTGATCTCCCATCAGATGCCCGACGGCGGCTGGGGCGAGAGCTACCGCACCTCCGAGCTCAAGGTCTGGGTCGACCATGAGCGGTCTCAGGTCGTGCAGACGTGCTGGGCCGTCATTGCCCTGATGTACGCCCACTATCCCAACAAAGAGCCCATCGCCCGAGCTTTGGCTATGGTCATGGGCCGCCAGCAACGCAATGGCGAGTGGCTGCAGGAAGCCATCGAGGGCGTGTTCAATTGCTCCTGCATGATCACATATCCCAACTACAAGTTCTATTTCCCCATCAAGGCGATGGGAATGTATAAAGCTAGATGGGGAGATGAAATGTTGATCTAGAGATCGATAGATTCTTCTCACGCTCCTGGTTACGCCCGCGCGTGAACCAGGTACTTTGCGACAACAGCTTGCACAGCGACCATGATATAGTGCAAGGCAGTGTGGGTAGTCAGTGTCCCCTTACGAGCACTCCGTTTGTTCAGTGTTGGACCTGTCACCCACTGTGTCCCTTAGGTATGTTCCATATGATGTGCATCAAAGGTGCACATTGTAACCCCATATTCTAGGCCTCCATGTAGATCTAGATATTTCCGAAATAAATGCCGAAGCGGCATAGACCATAACAATCCCTTCAAAAGAAGTCGCAGGATACTATACTATAGTCTCCCGGTAAAAGCCCCTTAAACATGGCTTTCCTCTGGCCTCATTTGACTCTGTCCGCCCCTTTCCCGTCGACTCGCAACAGTGGCGGCACGGTCTGTTGGACGGATCGATTGACCCATGTCTCTTGTGTCTCAAGACCTTCTCCTGCCTGCAGGGGAGGACATTTCAATTCTGTTCTTCTTCATCTTACTGCTATCGGACCTTGCGACATCAATCCAGTGTAGTGGCGACCTGTCCAAGACACAACACAGCCACCGTTAGACATGGAGTATTCGAATAGGGACTCTGCCCGTGAGGTGGGCGTCCGATGGCAGCTCACTGGAGTCCTTGTGGCAGTGTTTTTGATCACATCCTCGGGGATGCAAATCATGTATCGCAAATCTGCATCTTCGTGTCGGCAGATTGTACCTACCCCTAAGCCCTTCATCCGGGCCTGAGGTGTTCTGTGAATAAGGACGAATTGTCCTGTCAATCATGGGGACTGGTACGGTGGAGTGGTGAGTTTATCCGATGCAAGAGCCTGCCAGGGGGAGAGGCCTTGGAAGTCGTTCTCTCCGCCAGGATCCGCCATCTGTACGACTGGCTTCGCTGTGTATGGTATGACGCGGATTGATCGATCAGCAGTCATTCAGTCAAAGACTGTGGCATTGAGTATAGCGCATGCTATGCATACATGCTCAGCCCGGGTTGGGGGTCACCACGTAGTAGTCCTTCGAGGGGTCTTCATAGACGAATGTGCTTGACGTGCTCCCCCAACTTTGACTCGAGGAAGGCGAATGTTCTGCATCGGTTGTGTCTGTGGTCGATTCAGAACTGGACTCTCTCTTGAGCAGACGACTTGGGGCGTCTTTGATTTGAGGTGCCCTGAGGAGCTGAGTGAAAACATTTTCGACATGGAAACCTCTCCTTTTGGCAGTCTGAAAAGCTCTTGAAAGCCAATCAGTAGCAGCAGTGTTCCCCATCGTTTGATAATATGCCAGGGCTCGGTTGGCTGGGAAGTTGACAATGTTTGCTCCCCATGCCCCCATCTCTGGTTGTAAACAATAAGTGACTGAGCGGCATATGTTGTTGGCGTAACGGTCTGCATTACACAGCTCCTTCAGCCCATTGCGGTCAAGGGAGTCCGGCAGTTGATGTGCCTGGAAATCCAAAGTTTGTAATATATCTTCCACCACCTCCGCCAAAGCCAAAGAACAAGTGTAGTAAACCAGACGAGCGTGAACAAACAAGTGATTTTTAAACCAGAGATCGGTCCCAAACGGATAGCCATCGTCGTCGGCAGGCTGGTGCTTGACCGAGCGTGGAGTAGCTCCGGTCTTTGTGCCGCCCCTCCACTGGTTCAGGCGGGTTTGGAGGTCCTCACATTGTTGTAAGAGTTGCACCAGATCTTCTCCAATGCCGACTGCCTTTTCGCAGAGGAGATCAAACTTCTCCAAGATACTGGGGACGTGGGTGGCGAGGTCGACCATCCTGTCAAAGTAAGTCTTGTGCTTTTGGGTGGCCCAAGGAACGGTGAGCCATTCCTCTGTGGCCAAATAAGTCGATTTTCTCTGCAGTATGGAGGCGTAAATGGTCGGTATCCTGGAAGCCAGAAAGGGGTGATGAGCATCCCACTCTTGATGCCGCTCTGGTCCACGGAGTTGAATGAGTCGGGCGGCCCCTTTAGCATGGGTGATCCAGCTCCGCGAGTTGAAAGCAGGTCCTTCCAGTACTTCGTACAGGCCCAGTAGCATACAGGCCATCAGAACCTGGTTAGAATACATCCGCTTCGGATCAAACAGAGCGCCTTGCAGTTCTTTGAGGGCATTGCCGTAGAATTTGGCGCTCTCATGCACGAGGCGAACATCTTTGTTCCCCTGACCGACTCTTGAGATACTCAATGCAGAGAAGGCTTCCTCGAGGGATCGGTCTTGGTCGGAGATATCCTGGAAGACCTCCGCCCAGTTCATGGGATGACCACAGCGCAGGATAAAAGCATCCCGGCAGGATGCATCTCCTTGGGGCATGTACAAGTCCCAGAACAGACTTCGACATTGCGACTCCACGGCGGCGCGATCGACGGAACGCTGTAGTGCAGCCGGCGTAGGCTTTGCATAAGAGAGGAAGACGGCGTTTTGGACAGCCTTACTGGCCGGATGGATGATAAAGGTCGTATCACGGCTGTATCCCCCACAAGTGTAGCCACTGGAGGCACACTGGCCGCATATTGGACGCTTCTGATCACACTAGAGAGCATATGAGTCGGTGGACAGCGGGTATGGAGCTGGGCTGGCGGTCTACATACACCTTTCTTTCGACGTCGACATGTATTGCAGCCCTTGCTTTTCCCCGGCACACCAACCATGGCTAGCTGAGCATTCCGTGTCTCGATCGAGGGTTGTCACCCAATGGCGGGAGAGAAGTTTAAGATCACCGTAGGTTCAGGCGCAAGAAATTACCGAAAGTATTTTGGGTGGGAGACAAAAGAGTATACATCTTGCGCGAGTGGAAAAGTGAGATCAGAACAACGGCAGCGGAGAGGCCGGAGGATAAATGGGTGACACGAGTGCCCAGAGACACTAGGTACAGCCTGGGTTAGGTACTAAAGGTATAAGACTGGCAGTTTTACTGTAGTTGTTCAACACCAGTGAACATACTCTGTAGATACCCATGGAAAAGCCGCGCGATCCGTGCCCTGTGAGTCGTCAAGCCTAAAGATACAGTCGATCGCCTTATTAACGGAACTTTCCAGGCTCTTGTGAGGCTCAAGAGCCTTGACTGGAGCGTAAATCTCAGCTCATAGGTTGGATGGGCGAAGCCCAACAAGCCCGGCGTTGTCTCGCTCACTAGCCATCTGGTAGTGTGGTCTTTGACTGCAATAGTGTCTGTTGCTAAGGCCTCAATAGGCAGAGCGTAAGGAGCGGTGGTGTTAGGCGCTCCTTAAGCATTGGAGATGAAAATAATTTAGGGCAGCGGGGGGTTACCTAATCAGATCCAACCTCAACTGGAGTTGGACTCCAAGGCCTACTAGGCCCCGCGGTTAAGTGGCTCTACAGGCTCTAGACTCGATGGCTCTGGGGGACGCTTATCCACGTCTTAACTGGAGATATCTGGTACTCTCTACGTCACTGTTAACTGCGTTCTTGTCGCCCCACCATCGTCGGCGTCAAAAGAGTCAATGCGCAGTTGATTGTAAACAAATCGCCAGGTCTCTCTCGGTTTCTCCCTTCTACACATCTCATTGCCAGCAGCTAATTTGCTTTTCGTCCAGCACTCCAGGCAGTTCTTTCTTAATATGCATAGTTTGTGATTGTTTTCTCCACGCATCGTTTGTAATGTTAACGGCCTGACACGACTCGCTCAATCGGCCGACAAGAGTTGGCGCATCTCCTAGCCCACACACGCCACACTTGCCTCCCGGGGATGGCTCCTAGCGGCTCCCGAAATTCGTCTTCCACAATGTCTCCGAGACAGAGGTTCCAGGCGCATGTTCGAACGTTGAGTACTGACAGTCTTTCGACATCGGGATCGCTGGCATCACCTCAACGATCCCCAGAGCTGCAGCATGTTTCCAGTTTACGGGTCCAACCACGAGATAGTCCCCCTGCGCAATATGTCTCCGGGCCACACACAATCTACAGACTCGGCGACTCTAGCCTGAGTCCAACCAGGAGTTCCCAGTACGAGCCCCCTTTCATTCGAGAGGAGCGGGAAGCATGGAGCAGGGCATCTCCAGGTCGTACGCTGAGAGGCAGATCTCAAGACATGTACATTCTGCAACCACCAGAAGAGGACGACGCGGTAATACAACCAAGCAAACGTACGCGACGACTGAAATCACTCACCCCTTCGACGCAAGCTCTAGACGATGATGAGAAACCAACGACTAGTCGAGGGCATAATGGCAACCTGACCGACGATTTGGACCATAGACAACGGAATTCCAGGTTCGCCGAGGGGAGTATGAACGAGAGATCTGCTGGTGTCTCCTCTGCTTGGGGTAAACAGGGCTCCATCACCAGCGTTTCTGGTACCGAGTCGGACAATGACTCCACTCCTCGAGCCTCGCCTCAGCGCTCCTCTGTCGATTTGGAGGAGTTCAAGCCTGCAGCTGTGACTCCGGCCACGTTGAAGCAACGTCTCTACAAGCTCGGAACTGCCTTCAAGCCCCACGAGCACAGCACGAAGCAAATAGAGGAAGAGGCACAGCCCGCGAAGAAGAAGAAAAAAGGCCTTCGAAAGAGCATCTCTATGTGGAACATACACGGCATTGGAGGAAAGATGAAGACGTTTGGTGGATCGTCAAACGACCTGACCCCGAACGCGGCAATACAGGACCATACTGCGGATATCCTCAACGACCGAAAGAGAAGAGCGGAAGAAGCATATGTTCAACAATTCGGACCGAAAAAGAGAAAGTCGAACGCTGCTCAAAATATGCCCCTTGACGATCTAGCACTGGAAAAAAAGACTCCTTCAGCAACAGAGAGCAGGCCAATCTCTCGTCGTGAGAGCAAGACTCCGACCAGAACTCGACGTGTGAATCGGTCTTCCACGGTGGAGGCCCCAGTCGACTTCGACGTTCTCAGCTCTCATAGCGATATAGATCACCACAAACGTCCAAGTCGCCGAGAATTAGAGAAAGAAAACCAGCAACTCCGCGCCCTGTTGCGACAACAGCATCAAGAACCTGTCTCGGACTCTACTCATTCACAACCAAAGCCCACCTCCACGCAGTCACGGCAGCCACCTGAATCTGAATGTGTGTCCGAGACCACGCCAGGAAAAGCACTAGCAAACCAAGCACCCAAGAAATCACAAGGAAGAAATTTGCCTCCAGTGCCCCAAATACCAGAACGAGTCGCCTTGCAGAATTTAAGCAACGCGAGGAACCAGTCTCAAGTGAAAGCCAAAAGCGCCAACAGCAACACCAGCACCAATACCAACTCTAACAATAACGGCTCCAACGGCTCTGATGCACCGAAGGAGCTGACTGCGATGAGCATGGCCACCATAGGCCTTCCGCGACCGGTCTCCATCATCCTTGAGGTAGATGAAGAGGGCGAGAACAAGAGTCCAAGTCCTCAGTGCGTGAAACGGCTGGAACCCAGCGAGGTCGAGAAGCGAAAGTTGCAAGAGCAGATGGCTATGCAGATCAAAGGATTCAAGCGGGAACAATGGGAGTGGCCGGAAGATGTGTTTTGAGCAAGCAAAAATTGCGGTACTGGGAATCAATATCCGGCGGGAGCTGAGGCAGTCGGTCATACGGGGATGGATGGATGTTCAACAATCAGATTCGGCGAGTTTCACGAGAGGACGAGACAAGAAAAACGGTGGAACACTTCTTTTCCGCTTCAGCATGTTAGAGTGTTGCGTCTCAATGGTCGCGGGAGCAAAATTTGATGGGATTGGAGCAGGAGGTGGGTGGTACGGTCAGGGTGGGTTGTTTGGTTACAACGATTGCAAGGCGTTTTTGGCTCCATGTTGTGTGTTCCATCGAGTTCGAATTGAGATCTCTCGCCTTTCTTGCCGGCGCTTTTGGACTGGGAGCGGCTCCCTTGACGAGATCCGCACTGCGTATCGTACGTAGGCAGCATAGCGTTGACTTTTGAGAGCCAAAAAAAGACGAGGCCGACGACTAGTTTACGAAGAGAAGACATGAAAATTCAATTGCCCTGACTTGATGAAGGATTCTTGCACTAAGAGTGAAATGCAGTTCAACGACCCTGTTCCTTGGACGCGCGGTAGATGGCGTCGGAGACGACGACGCAGTTTTGTTCACCATCCAGTCTAATAATAATAAGATGTTTCTGCGCAAAGATACGGTTTATACCACAAGATACAAAGCTACGTGGCCCCTGGTTGCCCAGGTGTATTGAGTTCTATTTTTAATCATACAAAAGAAAGAGATCTGATAAGTAAAATATATACAAAAATAAAGTAACGGTGTAATTCGAAGCCAAACCAAGTCTGAAAATGAGCGGAGAGAGTTTCCAACACTACCTAGGTACTAGTAATGTCTTGCAATTCACGTTCAAATCAGTTATGTCAAGATATACCTGGTCACGCGGTTTCCCAGAAGGTTCCCTTTCATCGCCTTCTCGAAGATCGTGATTGAGATTGTTCAATCTGGGCATGCGACTTCAGCTGCCGCGAAAGTAAGATAGCCAGTCGACGGAATGCCGTGATGATCTTGCCGGTCTGGACCAACAGCGGCAGACCGAGACACGCACAATCATGAAAGGGAGAGAACGATCATTCGAACTGTGGGTCTGACGTGCGATGGTTCTGAAGGATTGGTCCGGAAATGGAGTATACAGGTGTCTTCACTTGCTGCGGCTGCATTGCAAGCTCGACATGATGGAAGTTGTGAATGGTGAATGGCAAACGTTGTCGTATGTCGGCGTAGCTCGTAAGACATGATTTCTTGAATAAAGGTAGGGTTTCGCCAGCCCAGGAGCGACGACGTGCAATTTGATTTGGGTGTCATTGTTGTGATAGGGCCTGTCCGATGGAATCGTTGTGCAGGCAGATTTGATCAAGCCTTTTTGGGTTCAGGTCCAGAACCATCCGCTTCTCTTCGAGGTTCCCTCCTTACCGTCGCCTTTGGTCTGTTGCTCTGGACTGAGACTTTGCTGAGCCAAGGCATGCTGTACGGAGCCCTGGTCTGCACCGTCATGTTGCGGCTGACTGCGATCCGCTGTCGGAGGAAGTGTCTGAGTCTGCTTGTCAACGCCCACTTCTGCAGCTCTCGTTCGCTGGACGCTGGGGAGATTCTTCACTTCAACACTTTCATTGGTCTCTTCCGTCCCGTCCGCGAAACGTCTCTTCAGTACACGTTTCGTCTCGACGGAACCATCTGCAAGAGTGCGCGTGACTGTCGTGGTCAGGGTTGAGATGAGTGACTTCGAAGGTGCAGTTTGCTCTTCAGGGGCCGAGAAAGCCACTGAGTTCTCGTATGAGTATGCTGAAGAACTGGATGTCGAATAGGTAGATGTGTTGGCTGCTTCTTTGGTGACGGCGGATTCGGGCTCGGCCTGGGTTTCAGGTTCTGCGCTCTTCGACATTGCTTCGAAATCCTTCGTTGCCTGGTCCACGGCGGCGACGATAGAATCAGCTGCGGAAAGAATGCTTCCGAAAAGAGGGAAAGGACCGAGACGCTCGGCAGCCCTATCTACAAAGTCGTCAAGAAAGTCTTCCGAGGTCTCTTCATTCGAGTTTGAAGCTGGTAAGGTTTTGGGGGTTGCCGCTTCCTCGTCTTCCTTTTCCCAGACCTGCCCAGCTCCATCACGCCATCCGCCTTGTTTCTTTGGAATAGGCTGTGTGTCCAAGGACTTCGTATCAATCGAGCGTTTGATCAAAAGTCCTTGCTGGTCGAATCCCCACGCGGGACCAAGGCTTCCACGGTGAACTAACCCATGAATCCAGTCACTGGGAGTCCGCCAGGTTGAAGTGTCCCTGTCGACCATCTTGCCAGTCTGTTGCAGGCTGAGCAGGTCCTCAAAAGCATCTGCCCAAGGAATTTGCCTCGCCATCTTCTCATCGACATCTGTATACCACCGCTCGAAGAATCGTGGTCGAGAGATCTGAAATGATTGACCCGCGGAGTCCTGGATCTTGACCTTGAACAGCCTGGATTGGGAAGGGTTGCAGAGATATACGGGAGAGTAAGGGCTCAGTAGAAGCCAAGGAATGGTATGGTCGGTGTTGTCGAACGGGTTCATCCTCCGAGCTCCAAACAGTGTGTAAGTTGTCGGACGACTAACTTGTCTCCGTGCCGACAAAGAGTCGAACAGACTGATTTTGTCATTGCCGGACCCGGTCTCTTGCTCTCGCCGTTTCCCATCCCAGCCGAATGATGAGAACCAGGAGTCTGAGGATGTATTCGATGTCTTCCGCGAGGTCGACTTGATTACCGGAATCTCCGTCGCGGTTTCAGAGCCCTGGACTCCATTATAAGCGTCCAACTCAGTTCTCGGCTGCCCGTCCTCGTCATATAAGGCCGGAGAATTCTTTGCGTTGTCCGAGGCCGTTCCATTCAATGTCGAATTCGATGCGTTTCCTCCAGTCCACCATGGTGTATTATCGTTCGGGGACTTTTCACCACCTTCTACCACTTTCCAAGCCGCAGCCTTTGACTTTTCGAACTCCTGTCTCATCTCCTCCATTTCCTGCTCGAACTGCTTCCTCCAGCCCTCCTCCAACTCATTACTCCGGCGCATCAATTCGTCAAAATCCTTCTTCCATGCATCTTTCCCAGATGAAAAGCCGAACAGCTGCGGGATGCCTTGGAAGAATGACGAGAGTTGTTCGTCGGCAAAGCGACGGAACTGGATGAATGGGTTATCATCGTCTTTATCGGAGCGAGGATACGGGGTCTGGTAGGTGGGGAAAGGGTCGAGGGGCGGAGGGGTGGAAGCGTCGGCCGAGGTGTTATTCCTGTCGTCTGGCATCGCGTCTGAGTGACTATATGTACAAGGTTGGACTTCGGGCGGTATAAAACAAGGAGAATATAAGATGCAAGAAGCGAAGAAGTCGATGGAGAGACTCGAGGGAATAATGTTGATGCCTGCAGTCAGTCCATGATGTTCGACGCGGGGTTGAAGCCGTGCTATGATTGGTCCGGAGTCCGGATTTGGTAGATTTTGTGTCAGACCAACAGACTTCCGCCTATTCACCCGTCTGATTGGGTGTCTGCTCTCATCAAGGGTGGATAGACAATGGAAATGCTCGTCAGACAGTAATGACCGTTTTCTTGTGAGAACTTGAATGATAGTATTACTGTGTATAGCGAGGATACTACTAGGTATCACAGTGCAATACGGAAGATATAGAAGAGAATCACAACTTCGGTCTGTCCGGTATCTTCTCCCAGGCTTCGTCAAAGCCAGCCGACCGGACCCAATGAGGATCGCTTGCCTCCACCGAGTCGATTGCCATATGTCCCAGCTGCAACCACATGTCTCCCTTGATGGGGAAGACCTCGTCTGACTCTTCCTCGAAAGCTTTGCAAACCTGTTCTCCGTTCGCCAGAGCTCGGACTAGCTTACTGGCATGACCATCGTCAGGTAGTTTGTCCACTCGGCGTATGGTTTCGGGCCATGTATCGTTAGGCACCCTTGGTCTGTAGTTCTGGATCTCATCCACCCGGAGTTCAGGACATCCTCGGGAAACATACATGGCGAGATCCAGTCGACCTTTCCACTCGAGAAGCCTACATTTGCTCTCCACGCTCAACCATGGCTCTTTAATCAAGGTGGAAAAGAAGATGGAGCAATTGACACAGTGTATGAAAAAGAAGTCGAACTTGATCTGTTTCGTCGGACGCTGCGCCGCCCCAGTGAAGTAGACAGCGGCGTTGATCATTTCGGCAGTTTTCTTGTCGAGTTGATCAGGCTCTACGCTCCATTGCGCGGCAAGAGCTATCATCTCGTCCGGAGCCCGGACAAGGACGCCGTCCCTGACTTTATTGCCATCGTCCCAATGGGCGGAGGTATGCAGCTTGTCGTCTTGGAAACTCTCGTGGATGAGTTGAACCAGGCTCTTCGAAGATTTGGCCGTCTTTGCGGCATCTTCTGCGGCATGAAGGTACTTTGCAGTCCAGTTATCATGTATAGCAGCTTGAGCCAATGCCTCGACAATGATAGCAGGTTGCTTGAAGTCCACCCCGAAACCAAGATGAATTAATGGATGAAGAAAGCCTGGTCAAGATCAGCAGTCAGATCACAGGTGTATCAAAATCCATCATGCAAACTCACCAGCAAACATCCGCGTCAGCATTCGATCGGCATGCTCGGTTCGGGCGAAGACATGCTCATTTAGGACAGTCTCCCAGCCTTTGTGCTCAATCTCCTGGCGGAAGAAGATCTCGAAGTCATGGAAATACTGCTCTTTGCCGAGAAACTGTTTGAACCTGTCGGGGTTGGACATGGCCTGGACGTTCCCTTTGTTCACCGGAAACTGTGGTTTCTGGTACGTTTTATTGGTGTCGAAAGCATACTGTAGCTCATCGGGTGTGGCTCCCAGGGCATAGATTGTCAACAGATGATGAGCGATATGGTTATGAAAGCCACCCCTGTTGAAATACATGTGGTACTTGTCATGGTTCTCTTGAAGGAGCTGACTTCCAATCTTGGATGATTCGGTTGTAATGTCTGGCACATGGTAGACACCTGCGGTTGCAGGATTCAATTCAACGTGAACTGCGGTGGCCATGGTTTGGTGGCCCAGGACTTTGGCTGGATGGGGACGATGTAGATGGTGAGTTGTGGTAGATGAGCCTGGCTTCAATATACCAGAGGACAGTCTCAAGGCAGCGAATGGTCTCGACAACATTGATGACATATCGCGAACGGCCTCCTCCTCCGCCGTCTTCCCCTACCAGCATAGCAATTGGTCTTTCTGTCTTATAGTCTGGATGGATGGCGCGTAGTTCTGCGGGGGAAACATGTAAACCGGACTGATCTTTCCGCGACCCGAGCAATGAGGTCAGCAGAGTCGAACGACAACCAATAGAGGATTGTTTGTGCTGAGATGAGGGGCAGCCTTGTGTTCACTCGGAGGCGTTCGAGCCCGGCTTGCTGGGTGAGATGACCGCCATCTGTTATGGCACCCAGTGTTGGGCCTGGGCCACACGTTGAGACATCAACATGTTTTGTGTTCGGGCGAATTCCATTTTCAAGGACGTCATGAACTCACCATTCAACACAACAGAGGTTCCTAGGTATCTTCAACACGCCATGGAAGAATCATTCCTTTGTTCATGATTCGGCCTGATGCATTCTCGCCTAGCTTCCTGGAACAATCTTCGATCAATCTCGTTCCTGCTGGGGCCCGTGGCTGCCAGCAAAAAGATGGACTCTGGCCAGCTGCCGTCTCGAAGTTATATTCCCAAGAGTCCCCATGGACCATTCCCTTATTCACCGGCAGATCTGACGCCTATGGATGTTGGGAATGATTCCTCGTTCTACAATGTGCCTCGTTTTGTCACCCATATCGACGACAATGCAATCCTCAACCTGAGAAAGTACTATGACAGCGTTCTACCTCGGCAAGGACGAATCCTAGACTTCTGCTCCAGCTGGATCTCTCACTATCCGCCCGAGGTCCAAGATGCAGCAGCTGCAGGGACACTGGACGTACTCGGCGTGGGCATGAATGCACCTGAGCTGAGCAAAAACCCGGCGTTGAAGGGCTGGGCCGTGCAGGATCTCAATGAGGATCCCGAGGTACGACTGCCTGGATCTAGGGAAGGAAATCTTGACGCTTCGACATGCGTCGTCTCAATCGACTACCTGACGAGACCGGTGGAGGTTTTGCAGAGCATTCGACGGCAGACGAATGAAGGAGGCCAAGTGCATTTGATTGTCTCGAGCAGATGCTTCCCATCCAAAGCGGTAGGCCGTTGGCTGGATGTGGGCGAGGAGGAAAGACTGGATATGGTCGGCGACTATCTATGGTGGAGTGGATGGCGCAACATTGAGATTCAAACGCTGGTGGTAGGGACCTGGAGGAGAGATCCCTTGTGGGTGGTCAGAGGAGAGAATATTGCCAAAAGTGCAGGCACACCTGTGGGAAGGGTACTCGTCTAGGTACCTACAGGTAGGTACTTAGGTATATCTCCTAGCTGATCCTGGAGTTGGTCAGGGTATTTTTGCGAGTTGAGGCATCGCAAACCGAACCTTGAAACAGCGCAGGAAGGTGGGGCAGGAGCTGACGAGGCTGACGAGGCTGTGAGAGGGACAATTGCTGCACATCTGCCTTCATCAAGACCAGATCTACAGAGTACCTGGCTCCGCGCATCAGTCTAGTGGCTGGGGGCGCATTAGGGATGCAGAGATGTTGTGGCTGCCTGGAGAATGCCAGGAGGGCACCTGGAAACCAGTCTTGGGTGTCCTTTCACCCTCTGAATCACAGCCATGATGGCAGCCTCGCCGGCTACCTAGGCCTTTGTCCTTTGTGAGCACAATGCGGAACTTGCCACCCTCCTCACCCGCTACATGAATATCAGATACAGCATCCATGAACCACCCTCACAGCTTCATCGCGCCTGCTTCCAGACCAGCTGCCACGGTAGTGACCAGAACAGTACCGCCGAGCCTGTTAAGAGTCACTAGCTGCATCGGCGTCAACATCGACATCAACATCGGCATGACCATGTGATTGTCTGGTTTGCACTTTCATATTCCACCGCTCCATAACCTTTTCCTCCTTCTGATCTTTCATCTTCTCCCCTTCATCCTCTTCCGTCCTTCTGCCTGCCGAACCTTCATCCTATCAATCCATCAAATAGCAAGAACCCTCCATAATGGAGCTGGCCAGATTCATTGGGGCAGCCCTGGAAGACATCTTGTATATGCTGACTTTCTCAATCATTAATGGCTTCATCATCCTCGGAGTCTTCTATTTCGCCATCCACATCCTGCCTCACATCATACGCTTCGTCACCCCGATCGTCTCTCCTCCTCTGTCCCGCGTCTCTCATGCAGTCTCCAGACTCCAGCGCCCCCGGTCCTTCACCTTAGCCATGCAACCACTCGGTCCTGTCCCTTCGGAGACCTACCACACAGCTTTCCTGCTCGCCCAGGTCATGCCTGTCGACTTGATTCCGGGTGTGCTTGACATGGCAGGCTTCTGGCTTGATGTACCCTTGGCCTCCAGGACTTGTCCCATAACGGTGATCGAAACCACGGCAGGATTAGAATACCTGGCGGTGGACCTCCCAGAGACATTTCCAGCAAAGGGTCTGCGCTCACTCACCTTCACCGTCACCTCCAAAGACCAGGGATGGGGCTGGGACAACCACTTCTTCAACACGTACATGAACAGTCACACTTGGTTTGAGGTGGTGGTCTACCCCTCAAACTCGGGGCCGTCCACTGCTTCGAGCCGACCGAGACTCCCAGTGGCAAGAAAGATCATTACCAATGTCCACGCAGGCAGAGAGTACAAGACTCACACTGTACGCTGGAGCCACGACGATAAAGACGAGGAGATTGGCAAGCTTGTGCGGAGCATTCGTGGTGGAACACGGATTGCCCTCACTGTATGGGCCCATTATCCCGCTTGGGTCAACGACGTGAGGAGCGCCAGGATCGACTGCCAAGTAAATGCAGTGCGAAAGATGTGAACATTCGAAACTCGCGTCAAATGAGTTGTCCTCTGGTGCAACCATGGATGGCCAACCTGGACGGGACCTCGTTCCTTTGCTGGAGCTTGACAGACAATGTTGTGGGAGACTTATCGACAAGCACTTTTCAAGCTGACCTCTCCTCGATCGGCGGGAGAAGCCTGCAACGTTATTGCGGCATCGTCACCATATCGAAGCTGGATTTGACGCAACCGCTACCCCTTCAACATCTCGCTGTTGCTGCTTGCACACACAACGGCGCACAGTCGACCTAATGATCCTTGACGAATTGATGAAATATCGATATCGGAACCGCCACGCTGAGCTGGAAACCCCAAAAGGTGAACAGGGAGCTGGAGCTGGAGCTGAAGCTTGATAGTGGTACACTCTTTTTTTTTTAACGCAAATGGTTGTGGGGAGATTTGCTGGTGTGCTGAAACCGGACGACGGCCTGTGCGTGCTGATGGTTAGAGGGAAAGGCTTCAAGTCCTGTCCCACCGTCGCTAAAGCCCTGGGAACACTGTGGTAATGGTAGGGTGATTGCGCCTTCGCAGTGAGCAACACGAGATACTCTCTACACTTCAAGACATGTTCACTGAGTCCAATGTTCCCTTTCATGCCGAGTGTTCAATAGCCCGAGGACGACCCAGGAGCGCTGTCATGTAGTCCAGTTTCAAGGAGCATGACTGCTCAACCTGGCAAACCCATAACCACCTTCTCTGGTGCAGAGGTGTGAACTCCACTGTCAGAACTCACTGCCTAGCAACCCCTCTCTCCGCCCTCTGACCTCTCTGACCAAGCCTTTTGCCTCCTCCACCTCGTAACCATCCATGCACAGTTCTTCGGCCAGTCTCTCGGCCCGGTCCAGGTCCCCGGTCTTCACGCTCCACCGTGCCAGCCACAGCCGTGCTTTTGATGTCGTGGCTGTCGTCCCTGTGCCGAACCCGTCGCCGTCGCCGTCGCCGTCTCCTTCATCTGCGTTCTCGACATCGCTCGCCGCCGAAGCCGGCGACGACAGAATCTCGGTATCATCATCTCCTCCCAGATCTCCGACATCGTCCTCAAGGTTGACATCCGCATCCCGGCCCGCTTCCGCCCTCATGGTAGCCACACGGGCTCGGCGCTCTTCTGCGATTGCGCTGGCCCGGGCCTCCTTGCGTTGGCGTTTGCGTAACGCCTTCTCCGCCTCGAGCACGGACTTGTGGGTGCCGCCCGTCTCCTGCGCAACGCAGAGGGCCATATACCGCGCGGCCTCGGCCTCACCGTCAGGGCCACTGCGCTCGTACAGAAGGGCGATCTGGTACAGAGTCTCCGGGTCGAGTAGTTTGCGTGCGGGAGCGGGTGGTCGCTGCGACTTGAGTTTCGCCGCACTGCTTGTGACGCTTGCGGTGGCGGTGGATGCGGCGAAGCTGGACTGGGGAGAGTTGGCATCGTCGAAGTACGTTCCTGCCACCAGTGCGCGTTTGAGGGCTTTGATGGCCTGGTCGAGTCGATTCATCTTGGTGTAGCAGGAACCCACGGCCTGCCACATCTTGGGATCGTACGGCCTCAAGCCCGCCGCACGTTGATAGTAGAACAGGGCATAGAACCCCATGTCCAGCACCTCGTATGCTTGGCCCAGGCCGTACCACGCTCGATAGTCCTTACGGTTGACGTCGATGGCGCGGCGGTACGACTCGATGGCTGCATGTGTGTTCTTCAACTCAATGTACTCGTGCCCCATCAATGTCCATGCCGACAGGAAGTTCCGGTCCAGCGTCAGGGCGCGGCGGAAGTACATGACTGCTTTTTCATGCTGCGAGCAGAGCGAGTAGTAATTGCCCACCACGCAGCACGTTTCAGGCCGGAACTTGTCAACGGAGGTGGCCAGGTGGGCCAGGAAAGCTAGCTTTGGCCGATCGGCCATCACGTAGAGGATGTTGGAATAGTGGTCCAAGCCGTCGAGCCGGTGTGGATGGGCGGTCAACAGGTCCTGGAAAATCGAGGCGGATACTTCGTAGTCTTTTGCGTGATAATATGATAGCGCAAGCTGGGTCAGTAGGAACGTCGATGTGGGGAAGTAGTTCAGCAAGGTCTTCAAGTACGCGACGGTGTTGGACTGATCGCTCATTGAGAAGAGGTCGACCGATGCGTAGGCTTGATAGATAATGCCCATGATGTTCTGCGGAAGCATAGCGGAGGACATCTGCGCCGTTAGGTCATCGATGGATGACAGCAGGGACGACAATTCCTCCCAGGCTCCCCAGTGATAAGGGTTGAGCCGGACGGAACGCAGCAGCCACTGCTGGGCGAGATCTTCCTGTCTTGACTTGGCCAACACGACCCCATACAGATATTCCAACCATCCCTGCGACCGTTCCAGTCGCGGATCTGCAGCATCTCTCGCTCTGAAGTATGCTTCCAGCCCCCGGGCTAGGGCCGGCAGTTCACGATTTGTAGTTTGTCCTCCGTCTGCAGGGCCTAGGACCATTTCGCTCTCTTCGTCCTTTCTTTTCTCTCCTGCCAAGTATCTGGCGTAGAGTGACAGAAACAGCGATTTCTGGCTGAGACGAGGGAACGGGCTGGCCGAGTTGGCGTCATTCTGCTTTGACTTGCCCTTGGCTCGAGACGGTGTGGATGTGGGTGTTCGTCCTTTCGGCTTGTCGAAGATGGCAAGGCCGCCAGCTGGGATTGCCGGCGACAGAAACACCGCAGCACACCTGTCGAACTCTTTTGTCTCAAAAAACGTCTTTGCCAGGAGGTATTTTGGTGCCTCCTTTGCCTCCAATCTCGCCTCTTCCGGGTCATCGTGAGTCGTTGAGAAGATTCGAAACGAGGGCTGGGCATTATTCGTATCTTGCATACGGGAGTCATTATCGGCCTCGAGGTCTTCAGGTAGGGAGTTCAGGAGTTCGGCCGCCCATTTTGCCGACTGGTATAGACAGCGTTCCGAGCACTTGATCGAGGCTTCGGTGAGGCGCTCCCTCAATTCCAACACAATCTCAGGATCGGTCTCGCCAACAGAGCCGAAGCTATCATTTTGGCGGCGTGGGGCCATTTTACATGGTAGCACAAGGTTCAAGAACGAGAAGTATCACCAATAGAGAAACCTGAAGCCATGATTAGCGGACCCAAGCACCGTTAATCTTGTAGATATGGGCGCAGTTGATGTGCAACTCACGGTTTGACTCCGACGACGCGTTGTGGAGAGTAAATACGCGCCTTGTCGTGTGCAGGACCGTAGCGATACAAACAAGGCTGTGTTTCAGCCTCGCCGGCATTGGTACATGAAGCGAGGACAAATCTTCGCAATGATTGGGCCACACACGAGCTGCTGGCCCAAGGACAACAGCTTTACGAGTCTAGAGGCACAACAGATTTTAAGTCTCTATGCCAGATGCTGAGAGATGACTTGGTGATAGGACAGGGAATGATTGTTGGACTGGTCTTCCCCGTATTCTGCACCAGCACAAGATATGTTTGGCCATAATAATAGTAACTCCGTCCTATGTCCGACGTGCAATCGTGCAATCGTCACACTGGCCTCTCGATCTGGCCATAACAACCTCTCACCTACCATGACAGAGCGCCAGCATTCAATGTACAGGACACCGTTACTCATAGAGAGAGACCTACTTCAGGTGTGATTGTTCAGGTGTTGCGACAGTGCATACTAGGATTTTAAGACAAGCTTGAACGCCGAGCCACTGAAACACAGTAATGTGCCAAACCGTCACTTTCATGGACATCTTTCAACAATAAACCACCACCATCATGTCAAAGTACGTATTATCCCCTGAAGCGAGACTGAGAACAGTATCGCATGTTGTCTGGGTGATTAATACAGACTAATCACGCCATTATGACTATAGTAACCGGTACTCCTCGTTAAACCGGCGCACTGCACCATCCTCGTCCCTTTTCCAAGACTATCCTGGCTCCAGACCTTCCAGCTCATCCTCCACCCGTCCAAACTACGCCTATCCATTGCAACCAGATGCAGGCCGGCCGTCTTCCTCACCATACCTAAGCCCTTATCCCGGTGCCAACGGCACACAACACGATTCCTCATCCTCCTTCCGCTCCGCGACCCCCAACTCAAAAGGCCAGTACTCCACCTCCGTGCTTGAGGAACTGGAAGCGCAGAATGAGATCACGGCGACCACAGTGCTGTCCCAAAAAGTTTCCCAACTGAAGTCCTTGACGATCGCCATAGGCGACGAGATCCGAGACTCGAGTGCGCTGGCTAGTCAGATCAATGACACGTTTGAGAATGCGGGGGTCAGGCTCCGGGGCACAATGAGGCGGATGTTGAGAATGGCCGAGCGAACGGGCGTTGGATGGAAGGCTTGGGTACTATTCTTCATCGCCGTCTGGGCTATCTTCGCATACGTCTGGCTGTTCTAGCAACACTTGGGAGTGGATATCACGTTTCATCCGGCCTGGAGCCGCCACTTTGGATTCCACGCTCCGCTATCATGGATAGCGGTAGGCGCGTTGCATGAGAAACGGCCTCGGGCAGCACGTTCTTGTGCCAAACAGAAACCGCCACAAACATATTTCCTGGTCCGCTTCCTCCAGACAAGTCTTCCATTCGCCCCCGCATTGAAGACGACACACTGGACCCCCTCCAGATATCTCGATCCCCTGCTTTCCCTGTACGATACTGAGGGTCACCTTACACCCTTTCTCCCGTCCTGCCTTCTTGTACAACAGTTTTCTACATGGCAGGCATCTCCAGTGGATAGTTTGGGTGCATTACACAACAGAAGGAATCAACAACAAGCAAGGGCGTTGCGGAGTATCTGGACGTACCTTGGAACTGGATTGCCAGCGCGTTTGCCAAAAAACCACAAAGAACCTGGGTTTACACCAGATTGGTGCAATTGACTGGGCTTGGCTTTGGGGAGGATGCTGTCCACACGGCGATCAGGAGCTCAGTAGGACCTTGCTAAGTTCTGCTATACCCCGAATCTCACCCGAGGACATGCAAACGAAGAAAATGCGAAAAGAACAAGCAAACTGGAAATAGCTAATGGTAATTTGTGCCCTCTTTCCTGAGTGATGGTTGATGCTCCAGCGCAGAAACACGTGCGCTTTCATCTCCCATCGTCTATGATCCTGTATGTGAGGTGTCCTTTTCCACCCAAGTCTACCGCTCCCTTCTCGTCCTTCCACCCAACAATCGTCCACTCCGGCTGCGCGTCTCCCTCTGGCCCTGTCCTTGACTAGCAGCACCCTCCTGGCTCGCCTGGCGATTAAGCGGCGTTTCCCAGTCCTGTGCTACCGTCCCTTCAGCTTGTCCCACAGCTGGCGATGGAGTGAAAAGCCCACCGCTCGATATGCCAGTAGAAGTAGTCGTGGTTTCAATATCGGCGGCATTCACGGGCGCGCTCGCAATCACAGCATTGCCTCGGCGCACGGCCCGCCCGAACAGTGTCCGCCTCGCGCTCCCGCCGACCGCAGCGGCCGCGCCGTCGAGCCAGTTTCGCGCAGCTGTTGCGCGGGAAGGATTTTCATTCCCGTGCAAACCTGCTGCGCCTGCTCTGCTTGATAGCGAGTCCGATCCCGCAGCCACGGGGACGCCTCTGCTCGTAGTGGCTCGACCGCCGATCCCTCTTGCACCGGTGGAGATGAAGGCGTCGTCTAGATCCCGGTCCAGTTCGGCGTCGACTTCGAGCGGGCTGTCGAGCATTGCTGGCGTCTGGATGTATTGGTGTTGCTGCTGAGCCTGGGCGTGAGCGTGAGCATGAGCATGGGCGCGGTTTCCAGAAATGACTCTTGCCGGGCCCTCTGTGTCCACATACGCAGCGGCAGGCGTGGGTCGATTGTAGGTATAGCCGTGATGGGCCGAGTCGGGGACCTCTTGATGCCCGTGAGGATGAGGACTCTGACCCACAGAAGGGCCGATGATCCAGGGTCCGGAGCTTCTTCGTTGTGAAACTCGCCTGGAGCCGCTAGGGTAAGTTGACTGTCTACCAGAGCTAATTCGGCGTGACGGTCCCAGCAGGCTTGAACGCTGGTGCGCTGGCTGTATCTGAGTGCCCGGGAGGATGGAGATATCCATTTCACTTTCGTCCAATTCCGTATCGGTATGTTCCCAAGCCTGTTCTGATTCGGCCTCGGGAATGTCGTCGTCTAGATCTCGCTCTCCAGGTTCCGTGCCGCGCCTGTCCTCAAAGATCTCGTCCTCGTCGAGCATCGCGTCGGCCAGATCTTCTGCGTCGCGCTCATCGTAGTTGTCGTACCGATCACTTCCCCGATTGGCGATGTAAACGCCGGCCACGCTTGCAGATGCGTGCATCCTGACTCGGGCGGCAGCATGGACCGGTGATAGCGCAGCAGCCTCATCCTCGTCAGTGTCTGGTTCTCGGCGTGTATCGTAGACCCAGTCTGCGTTGGTGGTTTCCGCTTCTGGAGACATAATTTCATCATCGTCTTCGTCTTCTTCCACCCCGTCGTCGGCGTCGGCATCAGGAATCTCATCGTCGAGATCTCCCTCCATGCCATCTTCCTCGTCGACATCCTCGAACTCATCGGACAGTTCTTCACCATCATCTTCGTCGCCTTGTTCATCGGCATCGGCGTCCGGAATGTCTTCATCAAGATCCCGCCCTTCGCCGGGCTCCCCAGTCTCCCCGAGTTGCGCCAGACGATCCTGTTCATCCGCTTCCTGCTGCATTCTCTCTTGCAGTTCGACCTCTCTCAGTTGCCTTTCGACCTCCTCCCGCTCGAGTTCCTCTTCGCGTCTACCCAGCATGGTCTTGGCACACCCTGCAGGCTTCAGCCAGCTGTAGCCGTACATGGCTATCGCCATCTTGCGCTGGGCGATTGTTCTCTCATCAGCGCTGAGGATGGCGAGCGTGTTGTTACGCTGCAAAGCTGTAGCGTGCGCCTTCTGCCGACGAGATGTTTGTTGGTGAGCAGCTGAGTGTTGGTTGAAGGCCGACAGATCAGATGATGCATTAGTGAGGGGTGGGAGGAGTGACGCCGAAGGAGGTGGGAGAAATGGGAGAGAGGTCGTCAAGAACATTTTGTCAGAGACTCCTTGAAAGGACCAAGTTGCGTGGATAACAATGTCCCCCGTCCCCGGCGTATCCTTTCTTCGATTTCCCGCGCTGTTCGAATGACAGACGCAACGGAGATGATAGTCAGCCTCTCTTCAAGATGTGCGTTGTGGCCCGGGGTGTCGAGTTATGCTTGTGACGTCGATGGCTGGGTTAGAGTGTGCACGCTGAAAGTCGCAAAGGGCAAGTCCCGGATGGCCAGAAACGCAGTGCTTTTCCACCAGACTTTATCTCCTCGCAGCTAGATTGATATGTCAACAGCCCGATATGTGGACACGCGAACGGTACTGCCGTCCAAGGAGCCAAAGCCTAAGAAATCTCCCGCAAAGCGTCGAGATCAATGTGATGGTTGGTTTTCTCTCACGTATAAACAACAAGATACTGCTAGTAGAAGGACATCAGGATAGCGCACTAATCAAAACGCTAGTAGGCGCCACCAGCCTTTAGTCGCTCAATGGCCATATTTCGCATATCAATGACTGGATTATTTATTAGACTAATTATGCCGCGTTACTATTATACCCATTCTATCCCTTGTGCTACAACATATTGGACTACTCGAGCAGGAAAATCATTGGAAGGGCTACATTGATTCTGCTATCTACAGTTGGCTATGTTGATACATCCCACTTGGCAGTTTGATCCAGCCCCTATGTGACCTTTTCTTCTACAATAAATAACTCGACTTTCCCAATTCAATTTCATAACCTTGCAAACTTTCTACCATGAGCCACGCAATGAACACAATGACTGGATGATTTTGAAATGCCAGAAGACAGAAAACTCCCCGCTGATAAACGATCGTAAGATGTGGAGACATGACCCATCGTTGTGAAAGCATGGGATGTGCGAAAAGTCGTCAGAGCCGTTTCCGTACTCGCTCCGTAGTCCTTTCATAAACCTGGTAGCGGAAAGCGCCGAATCGACCGCCAGCACTCATCATGTCGTCCCAAGGCTGTAATGATCGAGGAAACCACCCATATAACCCAATGGTACTTTTTACTGCTCGACCTTTTGCTCGCCTGATGTTTCAATTTGGTACAGCGCAGCCGTCCGATCAGGCAGCGGTTTTGATGTCCGTGTTGCGCTTGAAGTCCTCCGCAGCGTGTGCCATATCGCCTTGCTGGTCAGCCTTGGACGGTTTCGGCTTTGGAACAGCATCGTGCTGCACGCGGCGGACAATGCCACCTGTCACGGGAAGAACAGAGCTCTCGCCCATAAGGTAAGAGTCCACTTGTCTAGCGCACATTCGGCCTTCGTTGATGCCCCATACGATAAGAGACTGGCCGCGACGGCAATCACCGGCCGCGAAGACTCCCGGGAGGTTGGTGTTGTACATGTTCTTGGGTGTCTTGATGTTCTTGCGTGGGTCAAGCTCGACTTCCGAGTCGAAGAGACGGTCGTCTGGGCCGAGGAAACCCATGGAGAGCAGTACGAGGTCCGCTGGGAAGTACTCGTCGCTGCCTTCCTTGGGCTTCATCTCCCAGGCACCAGTTGATCCTTTGGTCCATTCCACCCGGTTGGTATTGATGCCGACCACCTTGCCATCCTCCATCACAAAGTCTTTGGTCATGACACAGTATTCACGAGGATCCTTGCCATAGTGTTGTTTGACTTCGGTGTGGCCATAGTCAACACGGTAGATTCTGGGCCACTGAGGCCATGGGTTGTCGCGAGCCCGTTCCGGGGGAGGCTGTGGCAGAAGCTCAAAGTTGGTGATGGACTTGGCGCCGTGGCGCAGAGAGGTGCCAATGCAGTCATTACCGGTATCACCGCCTCCAATGACGATGACGTGCTTGTCTTTGGCGGAGATGTAGTGGCCATCGCCCAGCTCGGAGTCAAGGAGCGATTTCGTGTTGGCATGCAAGAACTCCATGGCGAAGTGGATGCCCTCGGCCTCTCTGTTCTTGATCTTCAAATCACGGGGGACTTGAGCACCGGTAGAGATGACAACTGCGTCGTAGCTGTTACGGAGTGACTCCAAACTGACTTTCTCGCCGGGGCCAACCATGACACCGGTCTCGAACTTGACGCCTTCGGCAGCCATGAGATCCACACGTCGTTGGACAATGCGTTTATCAAGCTTCATGTTGGGGATACCATACATGAGCAAGCCGCCAGCACGGTCGGACTTTTCGTACACGGTCACCGTATGTCCCGCGCGATTGAGCTGATCGGCCGCAGCAAGGCCGGCTGGGCCGGATCCGATGATGGCGACCGTCTTGCCAGTTCGCTCCGGGGGTGGAGTTGGAACCATCCAGCCCATCTCAAAGCCTTTGTCGATGATGGCGCATTCGATGCTCTTGATACCCACAGGATCTTCATTGATTCCCAGAACACAGGCCCCTTCGCAGGGGGCAGGGCACACACGACCGGTGAACTCCGGGAAGTTGTTCGTCATCAACAGGCGGTTGAGTGCATCCTTCCATTGGTCCTGGAACACGAGTTCATTCCATTTGGGGATAATGTTGGAGATTGGACAGCCGGTGTCAGATTGGCAGAATGGCACGCCACAATCCATGCATCGCGCTGATTGATACTTCAGTTCGTCCTCACTCAAACGTGACGAGAGCTCCGCCCAGTCCTTGGTTCGGGTCTTAGCGCTGCGATACTTCTCGCTCCGACGGGTGTACTTCATGAAGCCGCGAGTCTTGTCGAGGACAAGTGCACTCTTTTGCTTGGCCTTGTCAGCATCACCATTGATGCCTTCCTCAATATCAAGCATGTCGACCTTCTTCTGCTTGGCCTCTTTTTCAATGGCAGCATCGCGTTGTCCCTGGTGAAGATTGCGAACAGGATTGCCGGGAAGTATCGGCAAGGGGTACTCAGCCTTCTTTGCCTCTTCAGCCTTCTTCATTTGTTCAGCCAGTACTCTCTTGTAGTCGGTAGGCAAGACCTTGACAAATCGAGGAAGCGCACGGTTGAACTCCAGTAGAATGCGCGCGGCGAGTTCAGAACCAGTATAGTGGTGATGGTCTTCGATCATTCCGCGTAGGAATGCAATCTCGGAAGGCTCCTCGACACCAGATACTTCCACCATCTCCATGTTGATCTTGGAGTGGAAGTCTTGATTCATGTCAAGCACGTAGGCGATACCACCCGACATACCCGCCGCAAAGTTCCGGCCAGTACTACCGAGCACAACAACACGCCCGCCGGTCATGTACTCACAACCATGGTCGCCAACACCTTCAACGACAGCATTGGCGCCAGAGTTTCGAACAGCGAATCGCTCGGCAGCCACACCCCGGAAGTAGCAGGTGCCGCTCGTTGCACCGTACAGACAAGTGTTGCCGATCAAGATGTTCTCCTCCGCCTTGAATACTGCGCTGCGTGGAGGGTAAATGATCAAACGGCCACCAGAAAGACCCTTGCCAACATAATCATTGGAGTCGCCCTCCAGTTCCAGCGTGACGCCGGGAGCGAGGTAAGCACCAAATGACTGACCAGCGGAGCCTCTGACGTTGACATGAATCGTATCTTGAGGCAGGCCAGTTTCGCCATACCGCTTGCTAATATGGTATGACAGAGTTGCGCCCAAGGTTCTGTCCGTGTTGACAATGTCGGTCTCAATACGGCACGGGAGACCTTTCTCCAGGGCCAATTCAGACTCTGAGATAAGCTTGTTGTCCAGCCGGGTGTGCAGCTTGTGGTCCTGTTTGCGGACATTGTACGTTGCAACGCCAGGACGAATGGAGTGGGCTGGGGTCAAGATGAGGGACAAATCGAGATTCTGAGTCTTGGGGCTGCGAAGGTCGTCGCGCACTTTCAGGAGCTCCGCACGTCCAACCATTTCGTTCACGGTCCGTATCCCAAGTCGGGCCATGATGGCGCGCAATTCATTGGCAATGTAGTAGAAGAAATTGATCACATGCTCGGGAGTGCCTTGGAATTTCTTCCGGAGAACGGGGTCTTGCGTGGCAATGCCGACCGGGCAGGTATTCAGATGACACTGAATCATCGAGTCAGTAAAGGATCAGTAGTATAACCAGGCATTGGGTTTCTTACCTTTCGCATCATGATACAGCCCATAGCAATGAGCGGGGTCGTGGCAAAGCCCCATTCTTCAGCACCGAGCAAACAGGCAATGGCCACATCACGACCAGTTCGGAGTTGGCCATCGGTCTGCACTATAACACGACCGCGGAGGTCGTTGAGAACAAGGGTCTGATGGGTCTCAGCCAGGCCAAGTTCCCAGGGCAGGCCAGCATATTTGATACCGGTCCATCTTGAAGCACCTGTACCACCATCGTGGCCGGAGATCAGAATGTGATCGGCCTTTGCTTTCGCAACACCGGCCGCCACGATACCTACTCCTACTTCAGACACCAATTTGACAGAGACTCTGGCCCTAGGGTTGGAGCACTTCAAATCATAGATGAGCTGTTTCAGATCTTCAATAGAGTAAATGTCGTGATGAGGTGGAGGCGAAATCAAACCAACACCAGGAGTGGAGTGTCTAGTGCGGGCAATTGACTCAGAGACTTTGTGACCTGGAAGCTCACCACCTTCACCAGGCTTCGCACCCTGGGCCATCTTGATTTGAAGCTCGTCAGCATCCGCTAGGTAGTTGGAGGTGACACCAAAACGTCCTGAGGCAATTTGCTTGATGGCAGATCGCATCGAGTCTCCGTTCTCCATCTTTAGGCTTCGTTCGGGATCTTCACCGCCTTCGCCGGTGTTCGACTTACCACCCAAGCGATTCATGGCGACAGCGAGAGTGGAGTGCGATTCCATGGAGATAGAACCGTAGGACATAGCACCAGTGACGAATCGTCGGACAATTTCTGTCCATGGCTCAACCTGATCAATTGGCACGGGCTGACGTTGCTCAAAGTCGAAATCAAGCAGGCCTCTCAGTGTACAGTTCTTGATTTGCTCGTACTCGGAGATGGAGTAAGCTTCATAAGATTTGTCGTTCTTTGTTCGAACGGCGTCTTGGATGTTGGCAATGCTCACAGGGTCGTTGATGTGAGGCTCGCCACCATCGCGCCAGTGATATTCGCCGGTCTCAGGTAAACCGGGAATATCGCGGATGTGTCGAGTGGGATATCCTCTCTCGTGGAAAGCAAAAGCATCCTCGGCAATGGTTTCGAAAGTCATGCCACGAACACGGGTGGCTGTTCCAGAGAAACAACGGTCAACAACCGAGTCATCGATACCGAGGGCTTCGAAGATCTGGGCGCCCTTGTAAGACTGAAGAGTGGAGATTCCCATCTTGCTCATGACCTTGAGGATACCTCCGTCGCACGAAGCCTTGTAGTTGGCAATGACCTCTTTGTCGCTAAGCTTCTTCCTGATGAGCCCTTGTCGGTTCATCTTCAGAATGCATTCCATGGCCAAGTAAGGGTTGATGCCATCTGCACCATATCCAACCAGAACACACATGTGATGCACTTCTCTAGCCTCAGCTGTTTCCACGATGATTGCAGCTCGAGATCTCCACTTGTTTCGAACCAGATGGTGATGCACAAGGCCAGTAGCCAGAAGTGCGGACACCGGAACTCTATCTTCGGATGTGGCTCGATCGGACAGAATGATGATCTTATCACCCTCCTCGATGGCAGCGGTCGCCGCATCGCAGATGTCGTCAAGAGCTTTCATGTAGCCATCTGTGCCAGCGGACTTCTCGAAAGTGATGTCGATGACGCGGACAGTCCAGTCCTTGTTGTACTGGCTCAGATTCTTGATTGCGTTGAAGGTTTCAATTTCAAGGATCGGAGAGGGGAGCAGGAGTCGACCACATTGGGATTCGTCCATCTCTAGCAGATTGCCTTGGGGCCCGACATAACATTCCAGAGACATCACAATGGCTTCCCGGATGGGATCGATAGGTGGGTTGGTGACCTGGGCGAACAACTGTCTGAAGTATTCATAGAGCAGACGCGGTTGTTGAGCAAGAGCGGCCAAAGGAGCATCGTTGCCCATGGACCCAAGTGCCTCCTTTGAGTCGGCCGCCATAGGTCCAAGCAGCAGACTGACTTGTTCGTACGAATAGCCGAACGCGCGGAGTTTGGTATCCTCCTGAACGGTCTCCTCTGTGAGTTTGAAACCCAAATCAAGTTCTTTAGCCAGCGACTCGTATATCAATGGCATCTTCATCAGATTCTTGTCGAGCCACTGTTGGAAAGGCTGTCGGTTTGCCACAGTGGCCTTCAGCTCGGCATCATCAATGATGCGTCCAGCTTGGGTATCTACCAGTAGCATCTTACCGGGTTGCAGGCGGCCTTTGATGACTACCCGTTCCGGTTCAATGGCAATGGTGCCCACCTCGGATGCGCAGACAATTCTGTCATCATCGGTCACGTAGTATCTGCAAGGTCTGAGACCGTTTCGATCCAAGTTCGCTCCGCAGTAACGACCGTCAGAGAAGGTGAACAGAGCTGGGCCGTCCCAAGGCTCCATTAAACAGGCCGTGTACTCGTAGAAAGCCGCCTTCGCTGGATCCATGGCGGTATTGCCTTGCCACGCCTCAGGAACCATCATCATAACGGCCTCCGGAAGAGACAGTACACGATTCATCACCAGAAGCTCTAGGACGTTATCAAAAGCGGCGGAATCAGAACCTCCATCTTCGACGATGGGGAAGAGCTTCTCGAGGTCATCTCCGAAAAGGTCGGATTTCAACACTCCCTCTCGGGCTCTCATCCAATTTTTGTTGCCTCGAAGAGTATTGATTTCACCGTTATGAGCAAGCCACCGCAGAGGTTGTGACCGGTCCCATGAAGGGAACGTATTTGTGGAGAACCGAGAGTGGACGAGAGCGAAATGACCTTCGTAGTCCACGGAAACGAGATCATGGTAGTACTGATAAACTTGGACTGGCGCAAGTTGTCCCTTGTAAACAATGTTTCTGTTGCTCAACGAGCACACGTAGAACCACGGTTTCCATCGAGGGTCATGCGAGACTGTCTTTCTGAGGACGTACAGCTTCCGTTCAAAGTCGATGGAATCGAATTGTTCAGGGTCAGTGGTTTCAGGTTTGTTGCCGGTACCATACGCGGAAGCAAGCACGACAAAGGGCTGCAGAATGATCGGCTCGCGTGAAAGTGCCGCGGGACCAAGGAGGGTGGAATCTCTGGGAACCTCTCTCCAACCAAGGGTGCGCAGTCCCAAAGACTGGGCGGTCTCTTCAAAGCTCAGGGTGGCGTGTTTCAGCATTTCCGTGTCTGGCTTGAAGAAGAGATTACCGGCAGCATATTGACCCAGTGGTGGCAACTCCACACCAACCTCACGAGCAAAGTTCTTGACGAAGAATTTGTGTGGGATGGATGTCATGACACCAGCGCCATCGCCATCTCGTGCATCTGAGCCGACTGCACCACGATGGGTCATGTTACAAAGGAGGTTTCGTGCTGTAGACTGTTAGACGAGGCCACATTGCCGCGGCACCGGGGAATATAGAGCTCACCATCGCTAATGATCTTGTGGCTCGCCTTGCCCTTAATATGGCTGCACGACAATTAGCACGCTTTCCCGTGTTTTTGGAGGCTGAGGCGATTCTTACGCAGCAAAGCCTACACCGCACGCATCTTTCTCCAAGCCAGGGTCGTACAATCCCTGCTTCACGGGTAAGGCCTCACCCCATCCATAGCCCTTCGTGGGCTGATACGGAGTGTACTCTTCCTGCACCTCGGCTGGTTCGATCTCTTGATTGTATGTTTCCTCCACAACTGGGCCCATCCTATGGTCGACGGGCGACAGTTTTCCGAAGGGGCGGAGGAAAGGTGGGTGGCGGATGCGGTCTGGTGTGCGAAACGTCGTCTGCGCTGGGACTGTCGAGGACAACCGCTCCAAGGGGTTGATATCTGAGGACTGAGCTCCGATGGATATTCTACGAGCCTGACGACGACAAAGAGACAGACTGACTGGGAGCTGAGTGGTAAACAGGAAGATGGGAGGAAGGGTGTGGACAAAAGGGAAGAAAAGGAAGAAATTGGGTCGCAAGGTGTGGGGTTTGGAGTCTTGAGTTTGCGAGGACTTTTCTGCTGGTGCTGAGTGGCTAGCCTCAGTCAGTCCTCGTCAGAGGGTCTAAAGAGTGTGTTCGGGGACAGCAGTAGGAGTCCGCCGGTTGACTAGGTGGGCGTAGGGACTAAGATCTCGGGTGATCAAAGACAACAAAACGTCGCAAGCTGCCGACAGAGAGCCCGTGGCACAATTGCGAGAGGTGTGCCAGTGTGTGTTCACTGCGCAGAAGTGAAGGTGGGGGATGCCTGCGGAATCCCTGTCACCGGGCGTTCATTTGTGCATGGGCAGCTCTATTCGTGCCTGTGGGTTGCTCGATAGAACAGATGGATGGAGTCTCATCGGCTCCATGGCCACCATGCCGCATGTGCTGATAAGGAGGTCTATGCCCAATCACTGCCTTGATTTTGGACATCGATTACCATTTGCAATCGCCCTCAGAGAAGAAGTCCCGCCGCTACCGGCGCTCTCTTTTCATTATTTATTGTTACCCAGTACCCAGGTAGGTATTCGGTAGGTAGGTACATGTAGGTACCCATGGGTCCCCACCGTATTATAGGTACCTACATTATACTCTCTACTAGGTACTCTATAGGTGTCTTAAGTACAGAGATGCCGAAGTGTCCAGCTCCAAAGTCTTGCAGCAGACCACCCCCAGTACCCTTAACGAAACCACTCCTCTGGGCTCTCTTCGAGTCCCCTACTAACCCAGTGCCAGCACCCGGCGAAACTGTGTGTCATAACTGCGCTCCACTGCACCTCCAACCAAAGTCTACCTACCTGCCTACTAGTAGCTATACAGTAGACCCCGAGATCCTCCTCGCTTACACACACTCGCACACACACATAATTAAGCTGATGAATTGAAATTGAGACGAACCTCACTGGCGCAGGCGGACTTCACTCTCGTGCCCGACTGGGAGTGAAGTGCGCATTTGCCCGCATCGGCCTGTGCCGCGGCCATGGTCGACACTGGATGGGCGCCTGACAAGCCTCTGCTCCTTTCTCCCTTCCGGTGTTGCCCGATGGCATTCAGCCTTCAGAGAAAATTTTCACTTGCTTGCTTCTTCCAGACGAACAGCTGTGGGATCTCTAATCAATAATGGCAGTCTAGTTCCCGACACCGAAACGGGAACAGCTCTGTATAAGAAAGGCCACTCTTACCCCATGCACCAATGGCATCAAGCGGAATAGTGGTCAAACAATATCACAGCCTTCCCTTGGAAATATCGTACCACAAGCACAGTGTTCCCCTAGATTCGTCTGTACCTGTCCCAAATAGCTATGTAGGTACCATATGTACCTACCTAGGGAGCCATGCATTTCGAGCGCCTCACGAGCTGCACCCCAGGGTCAAGCATTTTTCATAGAAGCGGTATTCATAGCAAAACGCACACAGTACGTAGTTGCAACAAAACAACTTCGGCATCGTTGTCACCGAGATGATCTGGCCCATCTACTTCTGCGTCTTTCAGTGGGTAGACTACCTTTGATTAGCAGTATTCTAGGCGAGGTGGACAGAGCAGTCATGGCAGAATTTGTCCCACACATTCATTCCTTTCACATCCTGCAGTGGGTGAAATGAAAGCATTCCCTGGTGGTACGTATATTGCTGCTAGTATTCTTCAAGCACCACTTTTGCTCGGCAACTAAATTCGCCCTGCCGACACCGGAAGCCAACGACCCTGGCTGTCTTTTCTCCAGCCCTGCATGACATTCAGACCTTGTTACTAGTAGCTCGAGCCGCATTCCAATCCTGTCTGCTTCATTGGTCAATCCACCGTCGAGCTGCGAACCGTGACACCATCGTTCAGGGTGCAGTGGGGGAAAGAACAGCGGGAACGCGCCACCCACCACATAGACACAATTTGAAGCCCGAAACTTGAACATTTTGATTTGCTTACCGCAGGCTCTTTCTTGGCTGGTACCCTCCCGTCGTTGCCTCACCCGGTCAGATCTCGCAATTGGCATCTCCATCGTTCGATGCAGTGCCTCATCAAAACCCCCGAAACAGCTGACATGTGGGGTCCATAGTCCCAGTCCCGACCAGGCTTTGGCACGTGATGTCCACGTCTCGTACAATCTCGTACAATCTTTTCCCAAGTCGTACGGCTGCTGGGACTCTGTTTCAATTTGTTGTGGACTGGGGCATTTTATAATGTGTCCTTAAAAAAAGGGAAACACTGCGTTCTTCACGCTGTTCTCTCAACCCCTGTTTACGATCATCTACTACCAACACAGCTACACGCTATAGCTGACTGAGAGCGCTAGGGTATATGAACTTCATGGTCTTGGGGCCAACCAAGCAAGTGTTAACTGACCGGTGTGGCAACATCTGCCTCGCTTAAGAGTCGATGAGCTCAATGAATCCCCGTTCTGACGTTCAGGCAAGGGTATATTCTTCGATGTCATGGATTAGCTGTCAGGGTGTAGACTGGGTTTGGCAGAGCCTGCATCCTCGAGTATGATTGTTTTGATCTTCAAGGACTTCGCAGTGATCACGGAAGGCTTGTCCAAATAAATGACACGATGCTCTGTTACTCGGTTGGCTGCGTTCTTGGGGATTTGCAGAACGTGCCCCGTATTCTGCTCAAGCTCTGCAGTGTTCATTGCGACTTCCCTACTTTTAGAAACAGCCCTTTATAGGTAGCTGCTTGCACGCGAGCATTGGTTGCGCCGTTCGACAGTATAAATCTTGCGGTTGTGAAATTCACAGGAATTGCATACTGTGGAACTTTCCACAAGCAGACGGCAAACAATCCCAATATAATCACTCGGTTGCAGGATTCACGCTGAAGTTGCTCAGTACAGTGGAAGCATTAATCGAACTGTATCCATGTAGGTGGTTGACCGTCCTGATGGTTAAACCCCTGTCATGGTCTTGCTTTCGAGGAAACTCACCTGGTACCTGAGGTGAATACTTGTCAACCTTAAGAATCTCAGCTTCATGTTCAGTGAGTAGTGAAGCCAGCGAGCAGCATTCACGTTGCAAACGCCAAGGCTGTGACTTGCTGCCAGCAACTATATACTTCACCGTAGATCCCCAGACCTGCAGTGCGCGTCTTCTGCGCGTCAATACCTCTGGGGTAGAAACAATATTCTGTTCTCCAAATGAATGATCAAACGCAAGCAGAGCATCATTGTTGCTGAATGCTGCTGTCCGACAGTGCCAGGAGAACATCTCAAAGTGCATGCCTTAACAGTACCACTGCCGTTGAAAGTCTTCGCGACTTGTTCTCAAGCGATCATTGTTTAAGGTTGTAGATTGGATCTGCGACATATCGACCTCACCATGAGCCTTTTCGGATCTTCGACTGCGAACCAGACGCAACCTGCGAAGCCCGGCCTGTTTTCCTTTGCCAACACCCCGTCGAGCCAGCCTGCTGGCCAGTCATCCTTGTTTAGCCCGGCGCAGACACAGCAGAGCAATGCCCCAAAATTCAGCTTTGGAGCTCCTCAATCCCAGCCTGCCCAGCCTGCTCAGACCGGAGGCATCTTTGGTGCTTCTCAGACGCAACAGGGCGGAGGCTTGTTTGGAAGTGCACAGCCTCAGCAGCAGCAGGCCGGAGGGATTTTTGGAACATCTCAACAGCCCCAGCAAACAGGTGGATTGTTCGGAACATCAACACAACCACAACAGCAGAGCGCTTTTGGTCTGTCGCAATCGCAGCAACAGCAACAACAACAACAGCCACAAAAGCCTCCGCAGCGTCCGCTTGATCAGACTTTGAGGTTTGCGCAGTCCCAGCAGGGACAGCCTGCGTCGCAGTCAATGTGGGAAGAAGGTCGCGGTTTGAACGTGTTCAGATCGATTCCAGCACAGATGACTATCGTCAAGAACAAGTGGGACCCACAAAACCTATCGTCTCCCCTGCGGACATACCTCTACAAACATGTCGAAACGGAAACGGAGGCTTTGAAATACAGACCTGGCCCTGGCGAGGACGAAGACAAATGGGAGGAGGCTCTCTCAAAACGACCCGGACCGGATTGGGTCCCCTTGCTCGTTCAAGGCTTTTTCCAGTTGGGAAGAAAGGCTCAGATACAGATGGAGGCTATTCAGAGATGCAATATGATGCTCCAGGAGATCAACACATCCCTCGATGTCCAGCTCGATAAGCACCGCCAGAATGTTGCCACTAGACTCGAAGAATGCAAACGAAGACAGGCGGCCACAGCCCAGAGAACCCTCGCATTGGCAGTGAAGGTTCAGATCCTGCGCAATCGAGGCTACGTGATGGACAATGCCGAGGAAGAATTGAAGTCAAAGCTGGAAAGATTACAGCGAGAAGTCTTTGACCCCAGCCTAGATGCCAGACAGCAGGAGATTTGGGCCCGGATGTTGGGTATCCGAGAACGAACGAAGAGATTGAAGATGGAAATGGAAAAGGTCGCTCCGGCGGCAAATGATGAAGAGTCTACTCTTGATGAAGAAACGATCAGGGCGGCCAAGAAGGTATGGTCACCGCAGTCTGTACAACAGAACATATTACTGACCTCGGTTGATAGACGCTCGAGGCATACGACATACAATTACGACACTTGCAGAAAGAATTGGACCTAGTGCAACAGGAGTTCGAGGCTTGGGAGAAGATATCCAAGGATAGGGATAACGATGCGCCTCGACGTAGATAGGTCCAGAAAGGCCATTGGGAGAACTTGTTTGGTCCATCTTTGGATGCCAGTAGGATTATCAACCTAAGGGCAATCACCGCCATTCTTGCATAGTACCCGAGCAATTCTGCCACGGCGGCCCATTGTTGAGAATAGTAGCGAGTTCGTCCGGTCTATCAAAGGAACGCAGGTCGTTCGATAGCCGGTTTCCATGTTCGGAATAAAGGTACCATGTACCTAATCCGCCCATAATGTATAAGATAGTGTATAGTAAACAACCACAGTTCTTACGTCCCCCTCCTCTTCTGCACCGCTAGGTACCTTGTAAAGGCTGCAGCTCTCTCCCTCTCTCGGGTGTGGGGATGCGATCATTGCTGGTATCATTCTCGCAGAGGAATTTTTCCCATCCCACGAGGTGTAGAGATCTAGAAGAGCTTTCGCGCCCATTCGACAACGTGTGGTGCTGTGGAATATAGCCGGTTAGCACATGTTCTCTTTCTCTAGGATTGTGACCAGGATGGCGTTTGGCACTCATGCGATGTTCAACGGTCGAGCTAGACGGCGGACGTACAGAACCATAATGCAGCACAAGCGGCTGTGAAGATCTGAACCTCTACCATTGCCTTCTTTTCACCTTCGCTGATCTCCTTCTCGGAGAGATGCTCCTGTGCTGTTGGCGATGCCGTCAGTATCAATCTAAACTTCTCTTGCGATTTCTGGTGAGTGTACGTACGTCCGCCGAACATGTTGAGTGCTTTGTATAAGGCTTCGAGGTTGAATGAGTTTGATATCCGATTTGCACGAAAGGAAGAGCCGAGTTGACAAAACAAGATACGTACTAGAAGACGGTACCAATGCAGGGGTTGAGCGATCTGGGAAGAGGTCAACGGCTAACAATAGTATCGTCGTCAACAACGACAGCGTTTGCAGCCTCTATACGTATCTGCGTTGCGAGGATTCTCCGCAGGCAGTCCGGTGAAGTATACAGCTCCGAGTGGTCAGATGTCCGCCAAAGATTCTACAGACACAATTCAGTTCGTCGTTGTTTTGTCTCTCTCGCACTGAATGCGGCATACTTGTTTTGGGTCCTGTCTACATACCTAAGGTAACATTCCAACAGTGCCTCATCAGCATATGGCTGTTGATCGCGTACGATGCGCAACCTGCAGTAGCCGCACGGGACTTCTCACGAATGAACAGTTCGCAAGCTCGTGTACGATTGTCTCCCTGCATCTCGCCATCAAACCGTCGAGCCGGAGTTCTGTGTTCTTCCAAGATGTATCACATCAGGTTCGAGCTCCCTGGGCGTATGGGTAGCGCACATGGTCTCTTCACTGCATATATCTGCAGCCGGTAGGTTTGAAAAGCCCTATATCGGGACGTACCAAAGAAATCACCGCACAAACTCCTCGGCTGGTCCAATAGTCAGCCGGCGGCTTTCCCCCGAGACCACAGCTTCATTCAACGTCTGATTTGCACGTCATGATATATACTGGGACAAGGAGAAAATCCAGTACAGAGCAGTGATGCCAGCTTGGAATGGACCTGTCTCTGTCTCCCAGTTTTGCAATTACTGGACATACAAAAGGGAGAGAGATTCCCTCATATCAACCCACATGTCTTTACACCGTTGGAGAGAAAACTTCTTCTCAGTGGACTTGCTCCCATTCATCCATCGTGAAATTGGACTTCAATTCTGTCTTTGTGCACCATGGCCCCCAATTCGAAACTCACGGCTATGATTCAGTTCAAGGAGAACGAATCTAGTACTGAGGACAGTGCCGTATTTTCTCCTTCGCAACACGCACCTTCCTGCCTCCGCCTTCTCCTGGCGCAAGAGATGGAAAGAGACGAGTTCCGTGTTGCAGCAGACAGGCTCAAAAGGAAGGTTGACAGACGGCTGCTCGGGATGGCCTGGGTCATGCTGATTTTCAACTACTTCGATCGAGTAAGACCACTGTCCAAGCCACTATAGAGACCCCAAATTGATGCGCCAGCCTACAGTGCATTATAGCGGCGGCTAGAGTTGTTGGCCTTCAGAAGTCTCTGGACATTGACTCGACCCAGTACGGCATCGCTGTTGGCATCCTCTACGTGGGTTATATATTGATGCAGGTGCCATCAAATATGGTCTTAACCAAGCTTCGGCCCTCGATCTACCTGCCTTCCTGCATGGCAATCTGGGGTGTCATTTCCGCATGCACTGGTCTTGTTCACAACGCCTGGAATCTCTATCTGATACGTTTTCTGCTTGGATTTGTGGAAGCCCCATTCACGGTTGGGGCTCTTTTTCTGATATCGTCTTGGTACACGCGATCTGAATTGGGCCTTCGAAGTGCGATACTGTTATCGGCTCCGTTGCTGGGCAGTGCGGTCTCCGGCCTCATTGCCGCTGGAATCACTGTCCGACTTGAGGGCGCGGGCGGATTTGAGGCTTGGAGGTGGATGTTTATCATCGGCGGAGTCTCAACAGTTGGGGTCGCTTGCCTCGCTTGTCTTTCTTTACCCGACTTCCCTTCGAATACTCGCTGGCTCTCGGACAAAGAGCGTGCCGTCGCTGAATGGAGATTGGTCCTCGACGCTGGCCAGCTTGATGAAGAACGCAACAACTCGGAGTCTGGATTCCACCTGGCAAGAAAAGACGGGCGACTCTTTGTCTTCGCAGCCATGTACATGCTCCTTTCGATGGCTTCATCAGTGCACAATTTCTTTCCATCCGTCGTCCAAACCCTGGGCTTTAATCGCATGGCTACTTTGCTGCTCACATCACCCCCTTATCTGATGGCCATCTTTGTTGCTATCAGCAACAACTGGTCGGCGGATCGTACGGAGAACTCTTCTTACCATGTCATCTGGCCCCTCGCAGTGGCGATTATCGGCTTCAGTATCTGCGCCGCAACACTCAGTACGTGGCCACGTTATTTCGCCATGATCCTCATGGTTGCTGGCGGGCACGGTGCCAATGCGATTGTTCTTGCATGGGCTCAAAAGACGATGATTCGACCGCGAGCTAAACGTGCCTGCGCACTCGCCTTCATCAATGCTACTGGGACACTTGCGCAGGTAAGCCACAGCCTATGCCTATGGAAGCCGGGGGCAACATCTCATTGACTCAAACTCCTCTAGATCTCCACCTCCTTTTTGTACCCGAACCATTCGGCGCCTCGGTATATTATCGCCATGTCCGTGAACTCTGCATCCGTCTTGGGGGCGATTATACTTGCTCTCGTTATGCGCGTTATTCTCCAGCGTGCCAACAAAAGACTTGAATGCAGCACAGGTCCAGAAGCAGTGATGGACAGCGAAGCACAGGCTGAGATTGCCGGCTTCTCTACTCAGGAGAGGCAAGAAGCAAGAAGACGCTTCAGGTATATCACTTGAACCTACCAAGTTGAAAACTGATTGGATTTTGTCGCTGGCTGTCTCGCATCGTAGAGAAGAGGCGTCGCCTTGCAATCGTCGCTATCAAAGCCTCCCTTGGGGTTGCATCGTTTTGCTGTGCCCTGCCAAGTGCTCTGGCGACCTCACGGGCTGGAAGCTCGACGTGTACGGTCCTGCGAGAGAAAACCGATGGTATTCGGCCTAGTGTTCACCAAGGCTGTACTCGATATCTCCCATCACTAGTTGTGCTCACCTTAGACACCGGGTCTACAGCTCTGCCGTGCCGGTGTGCTGCGTTAGACCGGCTCAATCCATAGGCGGATGGGATTCTCTTGACTGGCATAGTACTCCACTGTCCCAAGCACTCAACAGCAACGTTGCCCAGCAAACCTTTACGGCGGCTGTAATGAGAAGCAACGAAATCCTCTCCAGACAGAAATGACGAGTCTGGCCAGGCGATGCATCTTCTCGACGACCATATGTACTCACATCAGAGAGGGTTGGTCTGAGTGAACAAGGCTGATGTTTTGCAAGCGCCACTTGAACTTATGCTTAAAAGCCAATCATATCAACTTGCCGGACTGTGTTACTTGATGCTGGTTTTCAGGGTACGACTTCTCCTGAGTGCCAAACCCACACGGAGCTTAGATTGGTGATCCGCAAATCAGTCCTTGTTTCATCCATCCGGACTATCTTTACCTGGTCGGAGAAGACAGTGGCCGACCATCTCGTTCCTCTCCTGTCTCACGAAGGGACTCTTGGGTATGCGGACTTGCCGCCAAAGACAAGCAGTATTCATACTCGCTGCTTCAACATTGACGGACGACATTGAGACTGAAGGTCACAAGTCGAAGAGCAGAAGCACTTGGTATGACTACGTCGATCCGGCCCAGAGTGTCTCATCACTGTCTCTACAGCCGTTGCGGACGAAATTGCTTGTCAAAGGCCAAGCGGTCAGCATAACCAAACATACTCCAGCCGTATGAATTGGCCCCAACTTTGTGTATCATTCAGAAGCAAGTCCGCCCATGCAATAGCCTTCCGAGCCGCCAAAGCCAGGGTGTTTGAGCGTCAACTTGCAACGGCCCCCATGTGTGGTCTGCCAGTGCTTCCTCAAGGAGGAGGAATCGACTCAAACATGCTTCCCTGTCAACTGTACTGGTCTCTCCAGCTACCAGGTGCGACCAGGTGCGATGGGCTCAAACGCCCCAGAACTTTATCAGAGGCATGATTTCAAGACTGGCACAGGTGGCGCACGCCATGCTGGCCAGAGGGAGGGTATAACGCACCATCAGTTGTACACACCCTCTGGTTCAATTCTTACTTTACCCATCTTGCATGCTCGCACCGTCTTTCTTACCTGTTGATTGTTCGCAGATTGTCTGTGACAACGCGCAGGTTCAATTGCGACCTAGGTCGCATGTTTTAAGCTTCGAAGATGTCCCAGGTCAATACCAACCTGCCTACATCGTCACCAAACGAGTTGCCGTCCGCAATGTCTTCCAGCGGCCTCTCGGACAAGTATCCTGTCATCTCACGGCAGGAAAATCAGCCTGGGCTAGTGCCTGTGGCCCAACAGCAATATCAACAACCAACACTAGGCTTTCTGCAGAATGAGTACCCGTCTCAGTACCAGCAGGGTGGCCAGTATCCAACAGGCTATGGACTAGTTGAACCCCAAGAGCCGGCGCCAGCGCCTCGGAAACCGAACCCTTGGGGATTATCACCTCTCGCCTTCGGCATCCTTGTTGCAGCAGTGACGGCTGTGGTCGTCGGTGGGGCAGTGGGCGGAGGTGTTGCTGGCGCAATGTCGAGTAAACGATCAGACTCTTCGAGGTAAACATTCTCGTACATTGCAACGGGGAGAGCCGCCGTTATCTGACGTTTCCCCAGTGCGCCAGTCTCAGTGGTCACAGTCACCGCAGACAGCAGTTCTGCAACAACTACCTCGACAGGCTCCTCACCTTCCGCCACTTCCACAACTACTCTCCCGCTGCCTTCCTCCCTGCAAAACTTCGTCGTCCCGGAACCGTACTACGTCGATACCCTGGAGAACCCTGGCTGCTCGGGGGACAACTCGAAAATTGTCATCCAAGAAATGAATGTCGCGTTCGACTTGTTCTGCGGCGTGGACATGCAGAATAGTATACCAGATTTGACCGATTCCTCGTTGGTGGTTGCAGACGTTGTGGGTCTGTTCGCTTATAGCATTACCGACTGTCTGTATGCGTGTGCTAATGCCAGACATTTTGTGTCGCTATGGGGTCAGGACCACGAGGGCGGCAATATGCAGACGTGCAAAGGTGTTACCTGGAACTTTGAGATGGCCGCGAGTAACACCTCGGACCAAGCCAATTGCTGGCTAAAGAACGGCACATCGAATGGGTTCCAGTCCAACACCTGTATCAGCGCAACGCTCGCGGATTGATGGGAAATAACCTCCTACGGTTTCTTAGTTCCAGTTGCAGTTGAGATGAGGTATCTTTAAGATTGTTTCCACAGGCGCACTGTGCGAGTTTTGTTCTCGTATAGAAGAGGCTTTTCAAGACGATGGTTATGGTTCCAGACAGTGTTCACCCCTGCACAATGCAAGATGTCAGCCTTACCCTTGAACCATTCATCCTCTGCCTCGCTCAGTGAAGACTCGTATCGACGCATACTCCTAAGATGACAGTTGTTGATTGATGTATCCTTGAAATGACATCCACCACCTCGCTACTCCATCAAGGGCGTAAGAGTCATGAAATTGATACTCACGTGACTAGCTGAGTCAGTTCCGCGACTTGGCATCAACTTCACTGTATTGTCACTTCCAGACACCTGGAAGGTACATGTCTCTTCACAACCCCTTGACTTCCTTCAACCGATTTCTTGGATTTCAAACATTGAAACGTCGAACTGCCCCTCCAACCTTCCCGTGAAAGTAGCCTGCTAGCTATTGAAAGGACGCGCTGCCATCATGAGTGACTACGGAGAGGAAGCCCCGCCCCCAGATGCTGAAGGTCTCGATCGACCATCTGAGAATGAAGACCAGCTAGACGACCTGAACGATGAGTTTCAAGATCCCTCGAAAGAAGTACAACCCGACGCCGACGACTCGGATGACGAGTCGCTCCTCTCTGAAGTCGATGAAGCCCAGTTTGCCGACTTCGATCCTACAGCTGTGCAAGTCGCGCCCGATTTTGATACGCTCAGCAAAGCCATCCACGTGAAGAAGAGGAAGCGGGTCGACGGCGAAGATGCGGCGCCAAAGAAGAAGAAGGAGAGGACACGCGAGAGGGCCAGGAAGAACCGGCGAAGACAAGATAGTGACGATGGGTTTTCGGGTGGGGAGGAGATCGATGGCAAGAGATCACGAAAGCCGAAGGACGGCGACGGGGAAAGAAAGGCCAGACCAGCACGGGTTGAGATCAACGAAGAAGACCTCACTCCTGAAGAGCGAAGAAGACGAGCGCTCGACAGAGCAATGGATGCGGCTGTCAAGAAGTCTTCAGGCAAGCGGATTAGGAAGGGCGAAATTGTGAGCTACGACCTGCTGCCAGATATAACAAGCTTCTAACGAACTCTAGGACTTGGAACAAGCCGCCGATCAAGAGATTGAGGACCTTCGAAATCGAATGATTGCGGCCGCCGAAACCGATGGAGAATTGGTCCGACAAGGTCTACCTGCATCGCAGAAACTCAAAATGCTTCCTGAAGTTGTCAGCCTGCTCAATCGCAACAATATTGTTCAATCGATCCTTGATCCGGAGACGAATTTACTGGAAGCGGTTCGATTCTTTCTGGAACCCCTTACCGACGGCAGCCTTCCCGCATACAACATCCAGCGCGAACTCTTTGCGGCGTTGTCGAAATTGCCCATGAACAAGGAGACTTTAATCTCTTCTGGAATCGGAAAAGTCATCTTGTTCTATCGCAAGTCCAAGAGAGCCGAACCAGCCATCAAACGACAAGCCACGAAACTCATGGAGGAATGGTCCAGACCCATCTTGCAACGAAGCGATGACTACACCAAGAAGAACTGGCAGCGGGCAACCTACGATCCGACAAAGAGAAGAGATGATAATTCTCAGCCAACGGTTGTGCCCAAAGCGAAGAACAACCTTGCACCGGGTCAAAAGCTGAGCAACCGGGCAAGATTGCTCCCCGGAGCCACGAGCTACACCATCGTACCCGAGGTTTCGTCATTCGCCCGGCGTTAGAAAGGAGCTCACTTTTTCAAATCGTATCAACAGAATAGGGACGAGCAAGATCCGCCAAACAGTATTCTGGCATGATTGTTTGTTTGGACAGTGCCGAGTAGCTCGGCACGCAAACGAGAACATTTTCCCAAATATACATGTAACTTCCCCTTGCACTGTTCTTTCCTTTCTTTCCTTTTCTGTTGTTCCCTTCCCCTGCAGTGGTTCATTGAACTCAGGCCTCTAGTACATCACACAGCTGGATCCTACCTATATCCATTTACAGGTTTCTTGGAAAGCCCCTGCTTTCCTGTTTCCCTGCGCTTACTTGTAGGGCCCTCTCAACCGACAAGAAAAGCACTGCCGGCATGCAGCGTGATCGTCTATTCCATCATTGGTCGAGCGCAAACTTGTGTGAAAAAGTGCCTGTATGGGTAGTTCGTCTCGTAAGATGGGAGAAAGGTCGGTATGAATGTCATGCATGCCACGGTAAAGAAGCGTCTGGCTGGGGGTGGTGCAGCGCTTAGAGACAGAGATCAGCTTTCGGTCACCACAACCCAGATCGAGGACCGAGGACCGACCGAGAGGGCATCGACGCTGATCGTGTGTGTTAAAGTGAACTTTCCTATGGAGGCGTCAATCAAGGCAAGAGGATTCGACAGGAACATTCCATATGAGTGAGGTAAATCAACGAGGCTGACACTCCGGCAGAACGTTCATCCATCGTTTTGCCCCCATACTAGCATACTAGTACTGTGCACAAGAAATATCTTCGGCGCTCCTCGGAGATGACGGCAAAGAAGGCTGAATGATATATCCTGACGTTCTCATCGACGATTACTGGGTGGAAACTGGCTGGGCCTTGCAGACGTGAGCTGATCGAAGCTCTACCGACAGTCGCTGGCTACTACGTTCAGAAAAATTCTTCCACACACGCGTGATTATTCATTCACCGCAGGGCAGATTCCAACCAGAAGAGGAGGCACTGTATTCGGACGCACAGATCTCGAAGGGCCTCTAGCAGTCGCCACAGTAGTAGCAGCAGCAGCAGCCGCTGGGTATCTAGCAAGAATGATTGAACGTTTGATTTCTGTTGATAAATCAGCAGTGCCAGTGTGGGCGAGGGAAAAGGCCCGCAACGTTGTACCTGAGCCGAGGAGCTCGTTCTGATGTCATGGTGATGGAGGCCGAATACCTGCGTATCGACCTTGAGCGTAACAGATTTAAATGAGGGCATATATGTTCAACCAGCCTTAGACCCATCGTCGTACTGACATTAATTGCTTTTATCATTGCTCCTCCCATCGCTGGTTATCAGCTTAATCGCATCCCATCTATCAGTGCAAAACCTCGACAGCGAACACACAGACCCTGGGCTCCTTCGACCGATCCAAGTCTCTACTTCAAGACCTACCTATCCCGATAGCTCTACTACGCAGCTGACAGACTCGCCTCATCCATCGAGTTTCATCGACAACCAACGGGCAGCTGCTTGATTGATTATTCACACTGCAGGTCGGAAAACCCCAGTAATAGCAAAAACAGCACACCAGCACCGTGGTTTTGCTCTTTCGCCTCTGCCCACATTTTTCCTGCTCCATTGCCGGCCAGTGCCCGAGCTCGATCGACAAACTGCATAGCTACGCATAAAACCGCCCAGGTGGCTTGACCTTACCACACACCCTCCTATCTGCCCCGAACCTTGACATACCAATTCGCGGGCAAACACACGGCAGAACGAGTCGCTCGAGCGCACCCCTCGCACCAGTCATAAGAACCAACACTCCACATCGGCGACAATGAAGATCCTCACAAAAGAACAAGAACAAGCTCACTACCGCGAGACCCTCAAGGGCGGTCTCGTCGGTGGTCTCAGCGGTCTGGCGCTGGGCGCAACGGGCGTGGTGTTCGCCCACCGCCGCTACCAATTCTTTCGCAACCTGACAATCCCTCTGAAGGCGTTCCTGATGACGAGCGCCGGCACCTTCGGCGGCATTGTCACTGCAGACCACTATTCCCGCGCCTTCGAGGCCGACAGTAATCCGATTCAGAGGGAATATAAAGAGATGGAGACCGAGAAGGCCGAGGCTGAGCGAGCAAGCAAGACATTTACCGAGCGTGCCCTAGAATTTGGCCGGAAAGAGCGATACAAGATTGTGTTCGGGTCGTGGGCGGGCTCTATGGTGGCTGCTTTCGCCCTGGTCAACCGCAACAAATACATGACGGGCCAGCAGAAGATCGTCCAAGCCAGAGTGTATGCCCAATTTCTGACCCTGGGCGTCCTCGTCCTCACTGCCGCCTTCGAGATCGCCGACTCACGCAACTCAGAAGGCCACTACGAGACCGTTCGCTACGTTGACCCCAACGACCCGGAGCATAAGCGCATCCTGGAGAAACAGGTGCAGCGTGAGGTCTCGAGTCAAGGCACCGGTGGTGGAAACGATGACCTGTGGAAGGAGATGGTCGCCGCGGAGGAGGAACGCATGAAAGAACGCGAGGCTCGTCACAAGGAGCATTTGCAACACCACCACAAGAAGCAGAATGGAAATGGAGATGGAAAGAAGAAGGCTGAGAAGCAGGAATTGCAGGAATCTCAGGAGGGGAAATAAACAATGACAGGATGGTGCCAACGAGGCCATACAGAATCATTGGCACGGAGGCATTTGATGTCCTCCTCGACAATCCTCCGCGACAATTGTTAACTTCCCACTCTGCAACCTGCAGTATGAGCAATCTTGACCGCCCGAATGCTAGGGATGCTATGGGGCCGCTATCATGTTGTCTTTTATTGTCCAATGTCAATATTATGCGGCGCGCGATCGAATCGAATGTCTCCCAAAATACGGCCCCCTATTTACCTCTCCCGCAAACACAAATTCCTGGTTGTCTCCCTTCTTGTTGTCCGCTCGACATTTCCAATAGTATAGGAAACGGCGTTGGTCCCTTTACGCAAGCAGAGCGTCTCTGGTCTTTGTTGCCATGGTGGTCTGAGGTCAGAAGCGCGTCTGGGAGAGATGTTGTCGCTGATAGCAAAATAGTGTCGTGCTCTTTGAGCCTACAGGAATAAAATGTTCGTTGTATATAAGATAGTACAGCCTCTATCCACAGCTTTACATGATGCCATTTAAACAATTCATCAAAAACATCAGGAGGGCATCTATCCATGTGGACGCAAGGCTGTCGAATTCTTCTCCGTTGGATAGGTTAAGCTGCCGATGCTGGCACTTCTGGTACGTCGGCGCAGTCCCTTGCTAGCCCTCTTGAGATTTTCGACATATAGTATCCTATGTCGTCTTGAGTCTAACTTCTAACGAGATGTTGCATTGGTCTATACTCTATTCTATACACTCCAGTCTATACTCTTCACAGCGCTCGCTTTACAAAGACACCCCACTCCCAATGTGCCGGGAGCGTGCGAGATCTGTTGGTTCTGAGCAGGCGCTACTCGCGCATGAACTCATCCAGCAGCTCTTTATCCAGAGCCAGCCAGTTCGCAGCCACGCGCAAACCACGAACGCGCTCCTTCTCAATCCGATGCCAGTCCCACTCGCCCACTTGAGTCCGAGTCGCGACAGGTCCCGGGAATTTGGCGGCGGGTTGCGTCCGCGACACCTTCTCCGCCGCATCTTCAAGTTTCTCAACTATTTCGGCCGTGGCATCAACGGCCGCTTCCAGGACAGGTTCTGGGATTCCCTCAGGTGTCGGAACAGAGAGAGCTGTCTCCGAGTCGTCGGAGCTCTCCCTTTTCTGTCCCGCCCCTGTCGTGTGATCATCCGGTTTCTCAGGCAGCCAGCCAGCGTTGGCGAAGCCGCGCTCCGGCGCGACCGTGAACCTGCCCTTCTTAATCACGTACTTGCTGAGTGCAGACGCCAGGACTACCTCCTCTCTCCCCTTTCTAGCGGGCCGGATGAACCAGCTTCCCACCACAATCCACTTCCTGTCCCAGGTCAGGACGCGCGAGCGGACTTCGTAGCGTTCGTAGGGCTTGATCTCGTGGTGGAACGAGGTGTGGACGCTGCCGAGGATCACCCCCAATCTACCCTTGTGGCCTTCCTTTTCTAGATTCTTCGAGCCTCGCTTGAGCCCCGGGATCAGTACTTTCGTCATGAGTGCCGTGCGACTCTCGTCCAGATCTGAGAAATATGTACTGTTGCTTTTGTGTAGGTTGTAGTCCGTCTCGAGAAACGGGGCGCGCGAGAATATCGAGACCGGTTCGAAGAGAGGATGTGTCTTGTTCGTTGTGGAGGCAGAGGCTCGTGTTGTCAAGGTGCGTTGAACTCGGGCTAGGGTGTACCACTGGCTTATCATCCGGTAGAGGAGCCGGAAATGCCATGCTAACGGTAGAGCTTTGAGATTGATAAGCGCAAAGACTAAGGCGGTGATGCGCCACCAGGCAAGCGAAGATATCGAAGGCATAAAGAATGCAGACATCGCGAAAGAAACGGAGACGTTGTGGTTGTTAATCGTGTTTCGGCAGGCAGAACACTACACAGCAGTGCGGTACCAATTTGACATTATAATCTCGTCTAAACAAGAAGAGAAGACGCTGTCATCCGGATGGTTTGGATGAAGGAATAAGGAGTATAGAACGAAGAATGGACCCAAAGAACGATGAAAACGATGAAAACGCCGGAGTGAGCGGCACTTGTAGTATTTGAAGGTACCTACGTATTAATCGATAGCAGTCGGTCCTCAGCCTCGTCAGCCTTGGCTTCTAGTCGCGCCGCTTTAAGAACGAACCTCCACCAATTTCTCATTTCTCATGCCTCGTCCTCACGCCCTTCACCCCATCCTTCAACGCACTTTCCTCCCCTTGACGTTCTGAGTCATGCTGGGACTCTTGCAGCAATGCTAACCTGAACAGCACATCCCGACATTATGGGGAGGTGAGGACTTGTCGTGGGAAATTTCACCTGGCTGGCCCAGCGTGACGGTCTTGCTGACACGGGATCACCGCCAGCAGCTTTTTCATCTGCTAACCTGGGAAAACTTGTAGGAGGACTGCCACCGAAACCAGGCCGGAAACCAGGCAACCGATATGTGGATATTCCCACAAGCTGCAGACGCCCAACAAGACCAAAATAAGGAGGACAATCGGGTCATACTCTGTCCCCTTCAGCCTTCTTGGGCTTCCGAAGAGTGGCGGTTATGACCCTGTGGCTGTAAAATGGCTCGGTGACGAGCATCTGCTGATATGGAGATCGTAATGGCGAGTCTTGGATCGACAGCCGGCGGGCATAGGCCGCTGACGATCTGACCTGTGTCAGAAGACCAGGAACAGTCAAACGACGCGTTCAGGGACGTCGTTGTGCTGGCCAACATGGACTGGGACTGGGTTGTGACACACAAGATCTCCTCAACTGTTAGCGCTGGTAGTCGCAGAGTATGGTATCTTCCGGAAGAGCTGGGGAGCCTTGAATGTGGGCCAAAATGATCCTCTATGTCTTACGTGCCGGACGTCACTTGCCATTTCTCTTCAAAGCACGAACATCCTTCACCGCGGTGTCCAGCCTTGTATTGAGAACTGTGTAGTTGTAGTCGTTCTCGCAGTTACTGACGCGCATAATGTGGCCAATGCAGTGGGCCACGGGTGCCGTGACTGACCAAGTATCTGCAGGAGCGCTGCGGGTCGACGAACTCGCGGCGTGTCAGAGAAGGCTGGGAGTGATGGATGACAGGCCTGGAGAGCTGACCGGCGGAAGCCTGGGAAGCCCTTTTAAGGGTCCTCAGCACTGCCTACCTTCAACAGTGAGAACAAAGGAAGCTTAGACTGTTCTCTCGAATAATCGGGATGGCATGATTGAAGAGACGAGCCCAATCCCAGTCTTTCAACTCATGTCAGGGATGTCCAAGACGCATGCCACCGCCAGGAATTGCAGGGTGCCCTAATGATGCCTCACTGAAAGACGTTTGCCAGGCGAGGGTACAACCCCGAGCACGGTTCAAGAGGGACCCCCATTCTACCGTGCCATGCATGCATGCCAGCCCCAGGGCCGCCGCGAGCTGCCGAAGATTCACGTCAAAAGGAACTCTCAAGAATGGAGCAAAAGTGATGCTTTTTTGGCTGTGCAAAAACTCTATTCTGCATGAGATACCCCCGTATCTTGCTGTCTAAGCCGTGGGCAAGCCGCACAGGCCTCCCCAGCCACTGTCGTCCAGCGTTTAGTAGCCTACCTCACATGTACTCTGGCAAAAGCGCCCACGCATGTTGATGAGAGCGTTCCAAGAGGGGATCTTTCGGGGGCAATGGGTGGTTGCAAACAGTCTTAGGCAGGGAGGTGGAAAAGCTGTTTCATGATGGAGGAGATGGAGGAGATGGAGGGAAGGGATGTGGCCACTGAGCGAAAAGAAATGCTGGCCTCGTCGGAAGCATTGTTTCTCCATGTCCGGGACTAACCTGTTTGGCCGAAGCGCAACATTCTCGATCGTGTGATTGGTCACTGCTAACCGCACCCAACCCCTGACCCTTTTGTCCACCTTTTTCACCCTTCACCCTTCACCCTTCACCTTTCACCACATTCTTCTCCTGCCATTCCATGAAAGCCCCTGGGATCTGATCGCTTGCCGAGTCAGATCCACCTCCGCGATGGACTGCTTCAGCCTCCTCCAGGGGCTCCGTCATCTTTCCAGAGTGCGTGTGTCTTGACTGCTGCTTCGTCACCCCAACCCAGCCTTCCATCAGGCTTCACTGGGACCTGAAGAAGCCAGGTGCTCTACGACCAATCGATCAGTCAGCCTACAGCTTTTGTCTTCTTCCAGCCGGTAGATGACTTACCCTGGAGTCAAAATGGTCACTCCAGGCACAGCTAACCTCCGGATTGTGCTGAACGCGTCCAGAACGTCCTTTTCAACGCGGTGACCAAAGCTTCTGACTGGACCTTGAGCCCCGAGCTTAACGTGAAGTCTCGAACGACGGATGGTCTGTGAGCAGCACCCTCCCACGCGCGAGAGAACGCGGTGTGTCCTGCCAATAGAATGCCATGTTTCAAATGCCCCTTGCACGCTACTTCGTGGATACCACCAGGGGGGTTCCGTCCGTCATTCACCTGCCTGCCGATCTACATTGTTCCCCGACCTATATAGAAGCCTACCCAGTTACTTCAGAACCATATTGGATCTCTCTATACAATCTCTCTCATTTCATCTCATATTGAGACGTCCAACTGTGGCAGGCTTAGTCCTAGACATTCCTTTGTTGACTTTCCCTCCATTGTCTTGCCTGGCGCAGACAATACACTCTCTTGAAACTACGCACAATACCTGACGGTCAACGATCACTCCTTTGTCAGTGAAGAAAGGTATGCAGCATCTCATTCACTGCCTATCACCTTCCTTCCCTCGAACAACCCTGCTTTGACTATCCCTGTCTGTTCAGCCTGCAAGTGTTGTTCACTTCGACAACAAAGACAGTCGAGCAGTCGCACTTTTGCTGTTACTTGCTGCCTTTTGGCGCACGTGGATGTGCTTTCCCTAGTACATATTCGATGTTTTTTTTTCCGTTCAATTTGCCGACTTTTCCCCATCTCATCCAAACAAACACTCAAGCTCTACAACAGTGCAACTTCATTGCACATACCAGCCTTGCCATCAAACCATCAAGACTTGAAGCCTTATCTTGACCACAACACTAATCACTGGCACAGCGCAATCTGGCTATTGCCCTGCCCAACACATTCATTCCAACCACATCGCTTTCTTACGATACAGACCTCCCACGCCCTCCATGGTTTCGTTTAGCAAATCCGCCGCGGCGGCCGCTCTGGTCTTCCTGACGGCTTCGGTCGATGCCCATATGAAACTCAAGACTCCAGTTCCATATGGCCAGTCCACACTCGACAACTCACCCCTCCTTGCTGATGGTTCCGACTTCCCTTGCAAGCAGCGCCCTGGTGTCTACGATGCCGAAGGTGCCAACAACGTCATGGCCATTGGTGAACCACAGACCCTTAGCTTCATCGGCAGTGCGGTCCATGGTGGGGGCTCGTGCCAGGTCAGCCTGACAACCGATCTACAACCTACCAAAGACTCCAAATGGATGGTCATCAAGTCTATCGAAGGTGGCTGCCCTGCCTCCGTCCCAGGCAACCTTCCCGCAGACCCCAACGGCTCCGGTGCTAGCACTTTCCAATTTACCATTCCCGACGGCATCGCTCCAGGTCAATACACTCTCTCATGGTCATGGATCAACAAGATAGGGAATCGAGAGTACTACCAAAACTGCTCGCCTGCTACCGTTACCGCTGCGAAGAAGAAGAGATACGCGCCAGCTCCCAAGATCGCCAAGCGCCAAACTTCGTTTCCTGACCTTTTTGTTGCCAATCTCAAGGGTATCAATGACTGTGTGACTGAGGAAGGGTTTGACTACGTCTACCCAAATCCCGGCCAAGTTGTCCAATCGGCAGGTACCGGTCCTTATACCACACTTACTTGCGGTGCCGCTGCTGGCAGTGTTCCTGCTGAGCAACCCACAGCATCGGCTGCTGTGGCATCAGCCTATGGCGCTACAACTGCAGCTGCGTCGGAAGCGACTGAAGCGGCCGGCGCCTCTGGACCAACCTTTGCCGGCCCGGCCGATTCGCAACCTACTAGCACGGGTGGTTCCGGGCCCGCAATTTTCGCATCCGGCGCAGCTTCTCCCCCCACCTCCACTGATCTGCCTCAAGTCATCCCGGTCAAAACTGCCGCTCCAGCGGCAACTGTCGCAGCCAGCACCGGCAGCAACGACACCAACTCGTCGGGGACAACCGCTGGCGCCCAATCCGGTCCTTGCAGCAATGAGGGTGCTTGGGCATGCTCTACGGACGGCTCCAGCTTCCAGCGTTGCGCGAGCGGCACCTGGAGTGTTTCAATGGCCATGGACGCGGGTATGAAATGCCAGCCAGGAGTCTCGATGACCTTCGCCATGCTTCCAGGCAAAGTTAAGCGCCATTCGCATGTGCGCCGAATGGGGGGTTTGATTGGCAGATCTCACCACTAGGTCGCGGCCTCCAATCTCCACGAGAGCGCACCAAACATCACCACCTGTAACAAAAATCTTGTACAGCTGCATTTATGGCGCACGCACCACAGGGTACTGGACTGGTACATGATCTTCATTGTCACTCCAAAAGTCCACGCCATCTTCCTTCAAGCCAAGGATTCAGTTTGAATCCACTCACTCATATCTACGAAAATCACTGTCTTGACAGACACGACACGATTTCACGGCAACAAACGGCAGGAAACTCCATCAATGATTGAAAGTTTTGCTCCGACCGCCTCAGCATTGCGGAGGCTGAAAGGAAAGGCAGAGACGGGAGCGCAGTGTAAAATAAAAGGGGACGAAGTTCGAGGGGCTGGGGCTAGGGGTAGGGCTGGGGTTGAGCTGGAGACAAGGGCAATGGGGATATCAACTCTGGTAGTTGATATAGGGGCCATTTATTCAAGCATGTACATTCCAATCCTTCATAACATGAACCAAAAAAAACATTTTGCGAAGCCAATATTGCATCTCTCCGCATCCGCTGCAATTTCGTAGGCCACGTTCTGGAATCTCCCCTTCCGATTCGGTTTTGGTAGATCGTCTGGGGGAGAAAACAATCCTCTCCAAGGAAGCTGCCCGAGCATAGAGACCGATTTATACTTGTAAAGTGTAAAGAGCGAAGCAGCGGCAGGGACTACTTTATAGCTGACATATATGTGCTGGCCAGTGCAAAGAGTAATTGATTGTCCCATGCTCTGACTTTCAGGGGCCGCAGCCTCGCCAAGCCAGCCTCGTCTTCCACCTACAGAGCACTCTTTACACACCACCAAACCCAACACAATCCAACCTAAAGATCCAGTGATGTTAAAGTTGAAGGGCTAACAGCCGCTCTCTAGCTGCGTGTCTCCTTAGACTACGGCTTAGATATTCAATATCCAAAATCTGTGCAACACCGACCATCCGCGGCCTCTAGACTTTGCTCCCACTTGGCCAAACCACCATCGGGGTGGGAGAGTGGTATAAGCCGCGCGCAACTGGTGTCTATGCCTCAGCGGCCTGAGAGCGGTTAGACTCGAAAACTGGTCTTGGAAAAGAACGCTGGCCCATCATCACGGAGCATCTCTGTGGTTTCACTTACCTTGGACTTCGGGACTGATCATCGCGAGATTTGGAGTAGCATCATACGCACCCGACATGAAGTCGACAGAGGTATCAGAAAATATCCAGCCCCAGCAACGACAGTATGGAAAAGTGGTTTACTATCAACTCTGTTCGACCGACTATCGCCTTTCTTCGTCTCGCATTGATAGCAATCTCTCTCTCCTCTAATTGCGCTCCATGATCCTTCACGGAGAAGACATTGATAATTATCATATCATGAGCATGAGCACCTATGGACCCAAAAACACAGATGCCCGAGCCGGGGGACGGTGGATTAGTGAATCAGTATGCTGCCAATACAAGATATCCGTTGATAGTGCAACGCACATTGCACAGGACCAGCAATTGCCTAACTTCCAAAAGAACGAAGGGGGAGGGATGTTGACGCATGAAAGTGCCCAAGGTGCACCTGCGAGGCAGTATCCTCCATCCTATTCCATCTGAATTGTCCTGGTCGAAACGAGAGCCATTGCATTGTATCCTGTGGAAGCCGGATAACATAGATCATGGGGTATGTCGGAACTTTCAAATCAATATCAGCCATATCTATCCGGGACACCTGGTTGTCTTCATGCCGCTACAGAACGGGCTCATGTCCATCTATATAGATCGTCTTCTTGATATGAAGATCGATGCGTCGTTGTCGTTATCAATGGAGAGAGCGCAGGGGATTAGAAGGGTTATCTCGAGAGTAGGAAGAAGGTGACACATAAAGTGAACCCTGAGAAGTCTGGAAAATATTGGAATTTGGTCGTCGTAGCATGAATCGGCATTGTCGCTTATGAAAATAGCATCATCCCACTTCTCTCGAACAATCAATGCTTGCTCCAACTTACATGCGAGGTATTCATAAGAAATAAGACCATTGTGGTCCCTTGCTGGAAGCCTGCCTTCCCCAGTCTCATTTGAAATTGAGCACTACAGGCCCGAGTTTGCACCACTCCATGTCCGTTCGAACAACTCCCTCAATTTGACTGCCTCGGCCTGATCGCGTAGTCTCTGTTCCAGGAACCCTTGCAAATCGTCCCAGAACTCGCTGGACTTGAGCACATCCTGCCCGCTCACTCCTCCCGGTTGCACTGGAGCGGCAGGGGATGTCGATGCTGGCTCAACATCCTCCATCGGCGTGGGCTCTGGCTTCTTCTGCTCCACCTCAACTACCGCCTCTTCTGAAGAAGGAGCGGACGCCGTCTGCGCATCAGGTGCAGCTTCTTGTGTCTGTGGGGGCGGATCAGGGGCGCCGCCCATGACCATGACACCAAACTCGACCTCTCCTTCCTGACCCCTCTGCTGCAGTGCTTCTGCGACCGTCCTTTTTGACGGCGGTACTGGCTTCTTATCCAACAGCACCTTGATTTTATCGATGTGCACCACTGTGGGGCCGCCCAGGTAAGACTGTACTTGCTCTTTCAATGCATGAATCGTCGTAGTGGAGGGATCCACGGATGGGACCATAAGAGTCATGTTAGGATTCCGTGCAGATTTCAAGGTAACAGCTATGGTGGAGGATGCTGATTCCGAGCCGGGCGCACGCGCCGAGGCTGTCGTCTTCGGTGGCAGAGGGTGCGGAGGGCTCGAAAGCTTGGGGAGTGTGTACTATGGGCGGTTAGAACTACTTTCCTCTGCTCTCGTAGCAGGACGGTTCAAAAACTCACAGGTATGCGCATCTGGAAGGTTTTGGGGTCGAAGACATGGTCAGCTGGGTATTTGTTCGCCTTGTTATCTAATGTCGTCAGGAACTGTTTCGCAAATTGTAGGTCGCCCATGTTTCCCGATCGTGCTCGTCGCTCTTCTTCCAACCTACGAAGAGCGTGTTGCAGTGCGAAGGCCGCCAGCGTGATGCCGAAATTGTGCTAGGTTAAGGGCCGGTGGAGATGGAGGTGCGGGTGGAAGGACAACGCGAACGGGAGCGAGGTGAGATGGAAGTCCTGAACTGTTTGAAGACGAAGAGAGGTGAAGAGACTTTGATCTCCAGACTCGGAAAGCGACGACAGGAATCGCTGCTGCGGTGTTGTAACGGTTGAAACGAGTCTGGAGCCAACACTGACATCACCTCGGAGCCAAGATCAGGGAACCGCAGCCTTGCCTTGGCACTGGCAGGACTATTCTACAACTTGACCTACTACCAGTACTTGCTCTACCAATGCTGAGATACAACCCAAAGGTACTACTGCACTGTGTAAGATACAGCTTTGGTTATTCAAGTACTCTCGATATTGCCATTGTAGATCGCTCACTTGCTTCGTAACTTGCCGGAACATAGGCCAGCAGTAAGAAATGTCCCATTAAGCTAAATATGTCCAACTCCACAGGGTATCATCAAACAGATCGTAATCCCGCCCACCTCCCTCCTACTCAAGGTAATTCACTCTTAGAAAGCAGCAATGACATTGTCACCAGACGCGCCCTCAATAGCCATGTCATTCCTGTACCAATTATGATGCACCGTCTTCAAACTGCCCAATCTCTTCAGGCTTGTGGACCTGCTGACCGTGCTACTCATCCTGGAAACTCCGCCTCTCAAGCTCTTGAACCTTGTGATTTGAGGCCTCTGTTGAGCATCTTCCACGGACAAGTGTTGACGGCGCGTCTCTGCAGACTCCGGCCTGGAAATGACATCGATACTATCCTGCGGAACTGCAGATTGATCGGGGCCTGGATGAGTTGCCGAGACGTCGAGTTGAACAGTATCTTTAATGCTCTTCGGGCCGGATAATGAGTCATTGTCACGGAGATCTACCATCTCGAAGGCATCGTCTTCATCCTTCGCGCCAACAAACGAGAAAGGTGTTGCGGGACGATCCGGCTGTTCGACGGTGTCTAGCCTGGAGTAGTGTGCATCACGATCAATCGGCGACACCTGCATCGCGCTGCTGATCATGTTGATCAGCCTTCCAGCGCTTTGCTCGCCAGATGGATTCTGATTGCCGGCCAGCTGCTGGCTGGGTAGAGGCGCCGTGGAATTCTTGTCCTTTCTGCTTAGACGGCGAGACAACGAACGGACAAGGGAGGAGTTGCGGAAAAGCTTGAATTCCTGCTTGGTAGCTTTTCCTACCAGAGGAGACTCGTCTCCATAGGTTGTGAAGGGCGAATTCACCGGCCTGTAAGTGGATGCCGAAGGTGGAATGACATCGATCTGCGGAAACACGGGTTTTTGAGATTGTGCCGCAATTGGCTGGATCGATAGCCCAGCCTGGCGGATTCTCACCGCTTGTTGGTTGGTTGCTTGCATAGGAGCAGGAGCAGGAGCAGGACCGAGTCTCGTGCTGCCTTCTTGATCAAAGGACATTGGTCGTTTGTGTCTACCACATTTGGCACAGCATCCTGAAACAACTGAGCTAGGGGAACCGGAAGGGCCTGCCGTGCTCTCTGAGTTTTTAGATTGGTGAGACCTTGTCCCTTCAGAGGTATTACGCCCATGAACAGGAGGGATACTCGCAGGAGCTGGGGCCGAAGCATCGGGCGTCGCACCCACTTTGCGTTTCCCGCATTGGGTGCAGCCGTTGTCATGCCCAGCATGCCCTTCACCACGCCTTTTTCCACACTTTGTACACTCATGCGGCCTCGACGCAAGAGCCTGTGCGGCCACGGCAGGGTTAATCGGATCAGGTGCTTCACGCTTGTAGACGGGCGGTAGCGCGCCGTCAAACATATCCTTTGCTACCTTGACTGACTTGGCCGGTTTTGCTGCCGGCTGGGAGCCAGAATATGGCTTTCCATCGAGACGCCGTAGGCCAACCGATCTTTTTGGAGCAGCATCAGATCTCTGCGTCTGTGGTGAAACTAGTTGTGGCTGCGAAAGTCGTTCAACGGGTCTCGACTCCTCCAAAGGAGACACTGGTAAGAAGGGGTTACCATCCGCCGCCGCCGGCTCTGCTCGTGGGAGATAATTCGAAGAGAATGGGTTTGTGGATGGAAATTCATTGTAGGAACTGGGTTTCACGGCGGTGGTGACAAGCACGGGCTGCTGCGCGGACAGTGGCAGGCGTTCATAGGGGACCGCGGTATGCAGAGGTGCCGACGCGTTGGATTTGCCCGGAGAGTCTAGCGGCTGCTGTTTCTGCAACTTGGTCATTGCGGCGAATGCCTTACAGGCCGGAGGGATGGCGAGATTTCAGTTGAATGCTGGTATAGGGACACGAGCGCCAAAGAGGTAAAGCGAGCGTCAGGATGAGGAGCGCAGGATGGTTTCGTGTGCAGCGAGCGTGGGCTTGTGTAGTATTTGGTTCAAGTTTCCTGACAAGCTTGAGACGTACAAGGGGTGGGCAATGTCAACACACAGACACGAAATGGAAGATGATGAGCTGGTCCACAGGGATGATATGGGCAGTCTGGCAGCGAGGGGCTGGCGAGGCCCATGGACTTAAGTTGTTCTTCCTCAAGCTTGAAGGCACTGGCACTGTGCGGCCCTTGTATTTCACTGCCACCTGAGTGGTAGCAACCCTCGCGTAAACGGGAGGCGGAAGCCTGCAAAGCCCCCGAACGTTTCAAACCTAGGGCCCCATTGGAAGAGATGGCCTTGGTCCCGCGGGTCGCACGCAGCGCGGTGTTTAATTATAATTGAGGTCCTGGCATCCAACTTGAAGGCTTCTAGGCTCCTAGGCCCTTAGGTTCCTAAGGCGCCGATTACGCCCCTACTACCAAATAAATGTAAGTACCTACATACCTCGTACTAACTAACTATACCATCTCTTTTGGGTGCTTACATGTACCTGAGGTGAAAGCATTGGTAAGCAGATTAGTAGGATGACGGCCACCTCTGAAACAACAGCAAGGAGCAGGTATTCAATGTGCATTTCATCTTGGGTCGCAAGCTCTTGAAGCTCTTTCGGCCCCCCTCGATGCCTGATCAGCCTGCGCCGCCTCCTCGCCAAGCGAACTGTCTTCCTCCACCACTGCACTCCAGCTGCACCTGCACTTCAACTTGCACTCCTCACTCACCCCTGACACCCATCAGGACGCCGCAATCAATCATTCGCGATTCTCCATTCTTCTTCAGGAACTCCGTATTTAGCCTCGTCGTGTGGCTGTCCGGTGCTACATATTACCACTACTGTGTACTATCTTAAGCACAGGCACAGCGACGTCCCGCTACCTACATGCCTCTGGCCCTTGTGCTCTCTCACCTCCCAGCGGCGGTGCCACGATAGCATTTTTCACCTTGTACGGAGTAATGGTTCTGGCCTAAACCTGTCAAGAACTCCCTGGCGCCCATGACATCCGAATATCGGGCACATTCACGGTTCCGTACAGCAATGCATGGTATTGCAAAAGTGAGTCCGTCACCCAGCTGTGGGATGTAGGAAGTTACAACGGTCATGCCAGTGGCTGAAGAGCTAGGAATCAACATGCAATGACTCAGTAGTCTCCTGGGTTGCACGCCGCAGAATCCTTGATTGTATCAGATCTATCCCGCGTTCATCTCCTCCATTTCTTACTCTCCAAGGAACGGACACGAATGACAGGGCAGACCTCTGCGTCCACCTAGGGTCAAGTCAAGGAAAATGATGCTTGATACCAGGGATCAATGTCACTAATGACGCTAATGGTGCGCAGTCGACAATCTCCCCGCTATGTATGTATAACGCCGCTACCCTTAACCCTCCCTCTACGGAGCATGGAGTCACGACTCCACGGACCTCGTTCTTCGAAGCGAACAAGGCCCAAACATGAGCAGATCCGGTCTGCTGAATATCACTGCTGGTGTTTCTCCGATAAGCTCTGTTTCATACGGGCCTACCTGCACAACACAGTCGTTGTATAGACCCGGTCCAGCACCGGCATGGTCGCATTCCGGCTTGTCGGTACCCGCCTGAGGGATCGCAGCATTATGGTTTGACAATATCATCCGGGTCTGGATTGACAGTTATTTTACCGCTTTGGTGATGATTCATCCCACTGGGGAGTCGCCTTTCCATTGATGCGTTGACAGGACTGGCTTGATGTTGCAACGGAATGTGCCATATCTGTTAACCATCGGGCCGGGCCCGAGAATCTGCTGCTGGCAAGTCCTGTCTGCGGCGTCTGCAGCTTAATTCTTCATCTACCGTTGCACACGAGGACGCTAAGCTTTCTGTCATCGACCGTTCACCTACATGAAGGTCTTGATGCAAGGGCCCGAGACTGCTTCCGTCAACCTTCACCGTAACAGGGGTATCCCGCTCCCGCACTCTGGTAGCATGGGGTCTTCGCTGTATTGCTCGTTTCTGTTGCGATCATACATGGATGTATAGCCGTTATTCACTAAGACTCTTAATCCTCTATACTACAAAAACATGAAGGGCCGATTTTATTGACAGCTAACGTTGATAGTGATGTCAGCGAGGAGTTTTCAAGCTTCTTCAGGAAGCCCTGACTGCCATTGTCCATACATCATAGGTACAAGTGATGTTTATGGTGGAAGAAGGTACGCTCAATGAGTCTGTGCCGGAAATGATGGGTCTTGACCGCAGCATGGGGTTGCCCATGGGGCTGCTCCCCATCATCGCCGCTGCAAATTCCCATATTTGCCCGTGGTCGAGTCCCAGATACTGGAGTCAATTCCAGGGCTAAACGTGGCTATCTGTATTTGTGTGTGATCAAGAAAAAACCAGTTCTCTGCGAAATTTGTCATATAAGCTCCTCGAACTCAGCCCTCCTCCCTGGTCTTTGCAGCTGCTATAGCTGCCTCCACATGTTTCAACGCAAGTTCGCCAACTTCGAAACCGGTATTCACTTCTCTAGCGCAGCTCAGGCTCTGACGCAAATCCTCCAAAGCGAGGCTGACAAATGCTGCATTGTGGCTAAATGAATGACTGTGTGTGTGACTGCGTTGCCGTGGCACTATATCGTAAGAACATGAGGGCTGTCGACTAGTGATGCCCTGTCACTCACGCAGTGATATACAGTGGCAAGACAGGGGCCCAAAAAATCATGGGAAGCACACTCGAAGGACAGGCATGCATACGTCCTTCAGTCAGAACCACTACTGCACCAGGAAAATACTCATATGGGAGTATTGCAAACTGGCATTCCACGTCAGATAGGCATCTTTGCGGACCTTCAGACCCTAGACATACATGTCTTGAGGCACGGCGTCGGATCCAAGCCATGGAGCGTGATGAGAGTAAGCCCCCCCCGACCAACGTTGAACATTGATGAAGGCCCGCAACTTTGCTCGAGCTGAAATGTATAGGCCATCAATGCAGGTCTACGTCCTCTACCTACCCTACCTACCTATACATGCCCTCACTGTATGGCCTTCGAAGCGTCAGCCCCACTTGTCCTAATCCGGTATCCTTTCCCAATTGAGACGTTCTCATTCATGATGCTTGAAATCAACCAATGCAACTATGTCTCTGGCTCGTGTTTGACCAGCACGGTAGACTTCATCAGAGTAAGTAGCATCCTACGTACCATGCCTCTTCTGTTTTTATACCATGAGCAGTAGTAGACCGAGTGATATTGCATTGGTGAGTGCAGCATCACACAGCTTTCTTTTCCCACATCTTTCCGATTATCCATCGCGGAATGTTCGAGACTCTCCCATTCCCCTGGATCCATGCAAGATGCCATCATCTGTCTTGGAGCTTTGTCCTGCCAGCTGGCTTACCATATGTAGCCCAGACTAACGCTCTTCAAAAGGACCTGTGCGGCGGTGCAGAAAGACCATGTACGTTGAACAGAACCGACCGCGGTAACAAGAGTTGTGGGTTGTTTAGGGCTGTTTGCTGGAGACCACGTTTCATGGTGTCCAGTAAGCACTCTTGTCCGTAACTTAATAGCTTATTTCAATGTCTGTCGCTCCCGGGGAAGAAAGCTCTACATTTTATTCATGTCGACGTCAGCATGAATGCTGCTGATCGGACATTCGCGCGCCGGGTAAACAGAGATCAGGCCGACTGGCGCAAGTGGCACTTGGAGATGCCCTTTTCGGCTCATTACGCCCATTCTCCGAGTCTTGATAACCAGGGTGGAGATTCCACTGTCCTCCGCCGGCTCTCATATCACACAGCAGATGAGCCGGAGTCAATGCTTGTTTACTATTCTTCAAGTTGTGCCCCTTACAAAGAGAACAAGGTCATTCTACCGATGGACCCAAAGAAGTTGAGCAAGGAACCCGCATTCTTGAATCGTTCACAGCTGTATGCACCCAAAGCAGCCTGCTTCGATGCTGCTCTCCCTCTCCATCTCATAAGACGCGTATCTTTACGTACCTGATAAGTCTATATTGGTCCCTGGAGGATTACAGACACTCCTCTCTCTATTATAACTTCCTCTAATTGTGATCGGACTCTTTGACCAACCCCGGCCAAATCTTGACTTCCCCTTGACTAAGCAGACACGGCTGCTTACCATGGGTTCAGTCGAGATGCCAGTCTCTGGCATCAGGATATCAATCGATCGAGGGGGGACCTTTACCGACTGCGTGGCCAGGGTGCCCGGACAGAGCGACATCGTCCTGAAACTGCTCTCCGTCGACCCTGACCACTACCCTGACGCACCTGTCGAAGCTATTCGACGAGTCCTGGAACAGGCCACAGGGAGATCGTACCCTCCTAGGAAAAAATTCTCCCTCCGAGGTGTGGGTAAGTACTCTCTAGGATTTATAAAGCCAGTCGAGTGTGGTGTAGCTGACAGGTATTAACCAACCGTAGAATCCATCAAGATGGGAACGACGGTGGCCACGAATGCACTTTTGGAAAGAAAAGGTCAAAAGACTGCTTTTGTCGTTACTGAAGGCTTGAAGGTATGTCTCTGCTGTTATCTTTACTGCTCATCTAATTGTAGTCTTTCGTACACTCACATATCCTATTTCATATGTAGGATCTTTTACATATCGGCAACCAGTCAAGACCGAACTTGTTTGATCTGACCATTAGTCGACCGGAGGTGCTTTACAGCAAGGTGGTTGAGATTCCCGAACGTGTGACTCTAGAAGATTGGACAGAAAGCACTCAGCCACCACGGCAGCTTGAAGCCAACCACGATCCAGCCCTCGTGAAAGGAGTAACTGGCGAAATCGTAAGGATTCTCAAGCCGATAGGTAAGCTGCTCTTCTCTCTATGTGGCGCGATACTAGTGCAGTCTGATCTGATTGAAAGTTCAGATACTGGTACAACACGGCAGATCCTTCAACAGGTGTATGATGAGGGCTATCGGTCGATAGCAGTCTGCTTGATGCACAGCTATACGTTCCGAGAGCATGAACGAGCTGTTGGCCGGATAGCGTCCCAAATAGGGTTCACGCATATATCACTAAGCGCCGAACTGTCCCCGGCTGTGAAAATCGTACCCAGGGGAAACTCTTCGACGGCCGATGCATATCTGACCCCAGAGATTCAAAAGTACATTGCTGGATTCGTCTCCGGGTTTGAAGATCTGTACGAAAGTGGTTGCCGATGCGAGTTCATGCAGAGCGATGGCGGCCTTGTCGAGTTCTCTGCCCTGTCCGGGCTACGTGCAATCTTGTCTGGACCAGCAGGCGGCGTCGTGGGGTACGCAAGGACGTCGTATGACGAGACTAAGAAAACGCCGATCATCGGGTTCGATATGGGTGGGACTTCTACCGACGTCTCACGGTATGCAGGGGAGCTGGAGCAGATCTTCGAGACTACAACTGCCGGCGTCACCATCCAAAGTCCGCAACTGGATATCAATACTGTTGCGGCTGGTGGAGGCAGCATCCTAACGTGGCAGAGTGGAATGTTCAAGGTCGGACCTGAGAGTGCTTCGGCTCATCCTGGACCAGCCTGCTACCGAAAAGGTGGTCCGCTGACGGTGACAGATGCCAATCTAGTCCTAGGCAGGATCCGACCAGAGTTCTTCCCTAGCATTTTCGGTCCGAATGAGGACTTGCCGCTGGATATTATGGCTAGTAAGGCTCTATTTGAGAAGTTGGCCGCGGAGATCAACGAATCTGTCGAGATACAGCTGAGCATTGAAGAGATTGCCGCCGGGTGAGTTTAGCGAAGGGAGTCTTTCAGTGTCTGGCCAAGCTGACAGACTTCATAGGTTTCTGGACGTGGCCAACGAAGCGATGTGCCGTCCGATTCGGACACTAACCGAAGCCAGAGGATACGATGCGAGTCAGCATCACCTTGCAGCCTTTGGTGGTGCGGGTGGTCAGCATGCAGCCGATATTGCGGCAAGGCTGGACATCTCCAGGGTGTTGATCCACAAGTATTCTTCTCTTCTGTCAGCATATGGCATGGTTTTGGCGGACGTGGTACGCGAGGAGCGAAGTCCTTCAGCTCTGACCTACAGTGAGGAAAACATGCCCTCGTTCGCCACCGAATTGGACCGACTGCAACGGGTGGCCGAAAAAGCGCTGCGAGACCAGGGCATCGACCAGTCTCGCATAACATCAGAAAGATATCTCAACATGCGGTTCCATGGTAGCGACACTCCAATCATGGTGCAGCAACCCCCAGACAGAGACTTCGTCACGATATTCAAGAACATCCACCTCCAACAGTTTGGTTTCCTCCCTTCAAATCGGCGGATCATCGTTGACGATTATCGCGTGCGGTCCGTTGGTCACAGCCTGCTAAACTTGCCTGCTCCGTGGTCTGCCGAATTGGCCCAATACAAGACTTTCCCAACCCCGGAGGCAGACATCACGAGGAAGGTCTATTTCAAGTCTACCGGCTGGTACAACACCCCTCTGTATAGCCTCAAAGTCCTCCAACCGGGTTCAAAGATTGAAGGGCCAGCATTGATAATCGACAATAACCAGACCATAATCATTACACCTCAATCAATTGCCACGATCCTATCGAATATGGTGGTCATTGATGTTGCCTCGAGTAAGAAGAACTCGATTTCGGATAGGACGGTGGATCCAATCCAACTTTCCATCTTCGGACATCGATTCATGGGAGTGGCCGAACAAATGGGTCGGTCGCTGCAGAAGACCAGTGTCAGCACCAACATCAAAGAGAGACTGGATTTTTCGTGTACAGTCTTTTCGCCAGACGGAGGGTTGGTCGCAAATGCTCCCCACGTTCCAGCAATGATTGGGAGCATGGCTTTCGCCGTGAAGTGGCAGATCGACCACTGGAAAGGAGACCTGCGGCCTGGAGACGTGATCTTGTCCAATTCTCCGAGTGAGTCGATTCCCCCAGGCCGTTCAACATTCAAAACTGCGTTTTCTTTGTCGACACCACAGATGTCAAGCACTCACTAACTATTGCAGTCTGTGGAGGCACTCACTTGCCTGACCTCACGGTCATCACTCCGATTTTCGATGATGCTGGCGAGAAAATCATCTTCTGGACCGCCTCGAGAGGTCACCATGCAGATGTAAGTCTTGAAGCACGATCCAACTAACCATGCCTTCTCCTCTCTGCACCAGATGTCGCTGCAGTGTTAGCACCGACCATTTGCTAACATGGGCCAGATCGGTGGAATCCTGCCGGGCTCGATGCCGCCAAACTCGAAAGAACTGTGGGAGGAGGGAGCGGTCATCAAAGCCTTTAAAGTGGTGGAGGGCGGTGACTTCAAAGAAGAAGAACTTACTCGTCTGTTGATGGAACCACAACAATATCCAAATTGCAGCGGCACTCGATGTCTTCGCGACAACATCTCCGATATCAAGGCCCAAGCCGCTGCCAACCACCGCGGTAGTCAATTGATTCATTCGCTGATCAGAGACTACGGCCTGGACACTGTTCAATTCTACAGTAAGCGCAAATTTCTTTTAGCCAATGGTCACCAGTCCCAGTCTCTCTTCTTTCCACATCTCGCGTAGACTGACGTTGACCATCGGGAACACTAGTGGAGCAAATACAGAGCGCTGCGGAATGTGCGGTCCGCAACATGTTGCGGGCCATTTTCAAACGGACATCCGGCCAACCCTTGTCCGCGACCGACTACATGGATGACGGGACTCGGGTTTGCCTGAAGGTAACCATCGATCCAGCCAGCGGAGGGGCCGTCTTCGATTTTGACGGCACCGGGCCCGAGGCGTACGGAAACTGGAACGCGCCCATCGCCATCTGCCATTCTGCAATCATCTTTGCCCTGCGATGTATGGTCAATATGGACATCCCGTTGAACCAAGGCGCCATCCGTCCGGTCGAGGTCAAGATTGCCCAGGACTCGCTACTGAACCCGGGCCCCACGGCGGCTGTGTGCGCGGGCAACGTGCTCACGTCGCAGCGCATTGTGGACGTAATTTTCCGCGCCTTCAACGCCGTGGCGGCCAGTCAGGGATGCATGAACAACTTGACCTTTGGGTCGGACGATGCCGAGAACGGCTTCGGCTACTACGAGACCATTTGCGGCGGATCTGGTGGCGGACCGGGCTGGAAGGGCACCAGTGGCGTCCATACCAACATGACCAACACACGTATCACAGACCCGGAGATCCTCGAGCGGCGGTACCCGGTCATCCTCCGACGGTTCTCCTTGCGTGAGGGCAGCGGAGGCTGCGGTCTCTATCCAGGTGGCGATGGTGTAGTTCGCGACATCGAGGTCTCCATCCCCATGAAAGTCTCCATCTTGAGCGAGAGACGTTCTTTCGCGCCATACGGCTTGATGGGCGGTGGTGATGGGGAGAGAGGCCAGAACCTCTGGATCCGGAGGGACGGCCACGTCATCAACCTCGGCGGGAAGAATACTGCGTCGATGCAGGCCGGCGACAGGATCGTCATCCTATCCCCCGGGGGAGGCGCTTGGGGAAGTGCTGATGGCTCAACGCCGGTCATGGACATCAGGAACAAGTTCCGGCCGGCGGCAAACGGGAGCGTGGACATCATTCAGAGCATGGGAGAGTCGTCTTGATTTCGGAGTTCATTGACCAATTTGCTTGAGCAAAGGCATGGGCCAGCATGTTCCTGGGTTTCTCCTCAACACTTCTCAAGACTCGAACCCACCCAAGAGACAGCATCAAGAGGCCGGTCCAGTGTCCGCACTCTACTACAGGCTGGTACTAGTAGTTCAGGTTCTCGCAGGACACCTTCGATAAAGGGGCAACATGCCAAGCCCTGCGCAAGGCCAGCAGTCACATGATCCTGGAGTCACGTGTAATGAAACATACCTGTAAGTTTTACGTACCATGTGGATAGGATAGGGACCGGACACTTCCTTCCTTATCTCTCCTCTGTTTCAAACATGTGGCCTGACATGCAGTCGCATCGGCATCTACTCAGTGCTAGTATGAGGAAGTGGGCGCCTTAAAGAAAGGGGGCCATGGGAAGAGCGCCAGCGCGAGGCGAACAAAAACAATAGTAATGGGTAGGTACATGAGGTAGGTATTCAGATCAACAAGCGAAATGCATTGTTAGCTTCAACTGTCCACATGGCCCCCGAGTCCAAAGTCGGGCTCCAATGGTCAGTAGAGAAGGCCTAGGGGCCGAAGCAAGCGGCCTGTTCGCGGGGCTATTGATGTCTCGGTTGCAGAGGTCAGAATTGCATTTTACAATCCGAGACGAAGTCCCTCTGCCAGTGTGGTGCATCAAGTTAGGGGCTTCGATTCCAATAATCTCAGCAAGCCACATGCCGATACTAGTATGTACCTAATCCATTATCGGCTCGACTGCGATAACATTGGCAAATAACAATCTTGAGAAAATAATCTTAGATGCCTTGCCTCGCCTGCAATGTACATAGCTAACCGCACTATTGTCGGATGAGCCGTCGACCTTATGCTGGACTTGGTGCGCGGCCAGAGGCAATCAGGAGCATACCGGCGAGGCCGGGTAGGCGAGGGATGTGGACTGGCGACCTTGAGGTACACAGCTGGAGAGATACCAGGTATCTCCAGGCAGTTTTTCGTTAGATGTCTCCCGTCTCACGAGAAAAGGCATTCTGTGGGAGCTTGGTCATCATCAGAGAAGCCTATACTTAGGCATCTACATAGAGTTCTCTCATACCGAGATGTCAATCAGCATCAAGCATCGTCATCGCTTTCAAGGCTCGGGGGAAATTGTTATTGATTACTAGTAGCGCTGCTTGGTATAGACATTCGGTCCCACAAGGCCGGTTTAGCCTTTGCAGAAGGAGCGTTAGATTTGCGTGGACTGCTCGTAGAGGCCGAGGCTATGGCTCGCTGGTCCTGGTATGCGAGAGAGGGAGGGACTTGGTACTGGTTATGAACTGTACAACTTGGCCGGCTACCTACCTATGTCGCAGCGAAAAACCACGAGACTGCAGTAGGTAAGTGAACATTTCAGGGACACCATCGCCCTGAACCATGTTTCCACAATGCTGCGAAATGCACTACGTAGTACTAGTATCCTATTCTGTAGGGCTGCCTACCTACCTACCGCTAGCTGAAGTCCTACACTGGCGAACGCTACTTGCTCCAGTCGTCGATGCTGTCTCTGCTAATCTGGGAGTCGTAGGTAGTGACTATTGCCTCAGGCCGCCAACCTTACTTACCCATTGCCCTCGACCCCAACACGCCCACTCATTTATCGTTCTTTCCATCATGACCACTGTTGGCGGCTTGTATGATTCGGCGAAGTTGCCCCAGCCACAACGGGGGAGCGTCACTAAGGAGCGGGTGAAACCTCCAAGGCGAAGGCATGGCGGAGTTTGACTTTGTATGATCGAAGGCGGATTGGAAGTCTTTGGTCCAACAGTTGGTTGTCACCTTTGTTGCGGGTTGTGGGGAATGGAGGCTTGCTGGCCTGGAGCAGCGCTGGGCCTGAAGAGGCATGGTTTCAGGGCCTAAGCCCAAATATAGAGTCGGCCGCCACCCTCCCTGGGTCAACGATAGGAGTCGAGGTGCGCTAGACGGACTTCTGGTGGAGGAGACCTGAAGCATGTTTTGACTCAAGTCCATGGATCGGCGTCCCCTGTCAATGCATAACCCAGGAGATTTTGTCGACCGCTCATTCGTTCCAAACTCCGCCAACAGTCTCATGCCGCCGGCGAAATTGCCTGGGATCCTGAGGATCCGCTTCGACTGTTGAGGGAGCCAAACAAATCAGTACTCGGTATAGGCTATCAAGCGAGTTCAGTCAGCCCAGCGGGCCCAAGTTGTAGGGACATGCATCATACACCGGAAGTGCTGGCCTCCATACCCATTGTTGCTTGTGCACCTCACCTCATACCCGGATTCGCATGCTCGGATGTCCTGTGTTCAGTCCACTTGGCAGGAGTCTTCGGAGGAAGGTATGTCGCCATTGACGGAGTTGCAGTCCACAGCATATTCACCACGTATACCATTCCCATCCGAGGGATGAGAGACAAACCAAAAAAAGGATACCAATCATTGTCATGCAGTCATCACCGTGGAAGTGCGGACCTTAGATCTCTTTACGAAGCTCTCCTCCAATCTCCTTGCCGCCACCAGGGCCAACTTTCTTCAGCCTCAGCCGGACGGACAAGGGGCATCAATGGGGCCTTGACGTATTGTCACGACACCAGTCTTTTGTCTTTACATCTTGTTTTAATCCGTAAGCGACAGGGCGGTTTTGTTTGCAATTCGGCTAGGGATGACTATGGCGCGGTTTCGATAACGATGACTCGGAACGGTTCTGTGCTACACTTTGAGCTCCGAGCGATGGGTTCGAGGCTGGGTCGGGACAGGCTTGCCTGGATCAGTGGCAGTCAAGCAATCGATGCTAAATGCAGGTCACAGCATTGTTGGATATCTAGGTGACTCGGCAGGATTGTAGGTGAGGGCGGCGCCTGCAGACTCCTGGCTGCGATTGTATACATGTAACTTCCGAAGCAGTGGTGATACCATAAGGTGCAGTGAAGTGAGGTGAGTGAGGATTGAGCAGCACCTTAGGTACCACCTACCTTACTCATGGGTACCTGTAGTTACCTAGTAACTGCAAATGAGTGCAGTCACGAAGGGGAGCCAATGCCAGAGCTCTACCATTATTACACTGCTACTACTACCACAAACCGGTGACAACCACAGTTACAGAGACTGCATCGGGTAGGCGCTAGGTGATAGCTTCCCCTGCCAGTGACGAGCAGGCGCAGCCAAGAGTCTCTGGGTCACCAAAACCTAGTAGTACAGTTGCTGAGTTCCGTACATACCTAATAACCTGGAATCCTTTACACAGGACTCTCGTCCAGCCCCAGCATTTCTAGCCAACAACCATCATTATCTTGCCAGGCCCAGTGTGCGGCTGAGCGTCCTCTAACCTTTAGCTACACATCCTAGCTACAACCGGCGTTCTCGCATCGACGAAGGCGCTGACTTCCGTTTGGGCCCCAGAGCTGGTTGGCCTTGCACCAACGAGCTGCCGGGCTGAGGACGCAGGCCAGGCCACTTTCATGTTCTGACAGGGGACGGTGTACGGCTGTGTAAGATTACGACCCCCAAAACCCTGCCCTTAGGACATGTCTCATCAGGACCAGCCCCCTTGGACTGCCTCATTCGGGCCCCGAAAAAGTGCTGACCAGGGTTGGCAGACCATTCGCTTCGGGTTGGTGGAGCCTTTGCATGACCGCGACACTTGACCGAACAGCGTCTCCAGATTTGGATGCTTGCCATGCTCTTTGATTTCCAGCGCAGATCTCGTGCATGCCTACGACCCACGACCCACCAGGGGGCGCTGTCATTCACGACTGGGCCATTGAATCTATTTTCACCTGGCGCGCTTTTGGACCCGACTCCTATATGATAGCTGATCACCCCGTCCACCCGCTCCCTCGCTCTCTAAGCAACGCTCGTTTGAAGTTCGTCGACTTGTCACCTGCAACATGGAGGAAGTCTACGTCTTCGGCGATCAGACGGCTGACTGCCGGGCGTTCTTCACCAAGGTATTTGCCCGGAAAGACGATGTATTGCTGCAGAGTTTCCTGGAACGAGCTGGTGAAGCCGTCAGAGTCGAAAACAAAACCCGATCCCATCCCTCCAACGCAGTCCCTAATTTCTCCAGCGTCCAAGACCTAGTCGATCGTTATTACGGAGGAGATGCGAAGGACGCTGCAGTTGAGAGTGCCCTTGTTTGTATATCACAGTTCTCTCATTTCATTGGGTATGCTTCTCCAATTACCCCTGAATCTTACTGGACCGTGAGCTGACTTCCCACCGCAGCGCTTTTGAGGAACGACGACCTTCTTATATTCAGCCTAATACAGACGCACGTTTGGTCGGTCTCTGCACTGGTCTAATTGCTGCGGCCGCAATCGCTTCTTCGGATTCCCTCACCGCTCTCGTTCCCTTGGCAGTTGAAGCCGTCCGGATCGCCTTCAGAGCTGGTGCCCACGTGGGAAGAGTTGCACAGCAGATTGAGGGTGAATCCAAGCCTCAGTCATGGTCGACCATTGTGGCTGCGGACGAGAAATCCGCGCAGGCGGCACTGGACGCCTTTCACAAGGAGAAGAGTACAGCTCCGACAAACAGGCTGTGGATCAGTGCATCTTCAGCAACCTCAGTCACCATCAGCGGTCCGCCGTCGACGAAGGCCAGCCTCTTTGAAGATTCAGAGTTCTTCCGGACACAGAAAAATGCCTCAGTCTCGATATTTGCGCCTTATCACGCCTCACACTTACACTCTCCGTCGGATTTGGAGAAGATCTTGCGACCACAGACAAAGACAATCTTTGGTAATACCACTGTCCAATTTCCTGTCTGTTCAAGTGTGACTGGCCAGCCTATTCCGGCCGAAAATGGCTTTGAACTCCTGCAGGGTGCTTTGAAAGAGATCGTCATCGAGCCCTTGAGGTGGGACAAGGTGCTCAAGTACTGTGCGTCTGGCAAGGCGTCCGAAGCCAAGGTCTTTGCTGTCGGCCCGACAAATCTTGCAAGCAGTGTCGTATCTGCTCTCAAAGCGTCAACACCGAAGGTCACCCTCGAAGACCATTCAGGCTGGAGCACAGTCCCCGCCCGGGGCACTCGTGACACGAAACGACTAGCCGACATTGCCATCGTTGGCTACGCAGGCCGGTTCCCAGATGCCGCAGACAGCGAGCTCTTCTGGCAGCTGCTGGAGAAGGGCTTGGATGTTCATCGACCGGTGCCTGCCGATCGCTTTCCCGTGGAGACTCACACTGATCCGAGTGCGAAGAAGAAGAACACGTCTCATACACCATTTGGCAACTTCATTGAGAAACCTGGTCTTTTCGATGCTCGATTCTTCAACATGTCACCCAGAGAAGCAACCCAGACTGATCCCATGCAACGACTGATGTTGACGACGGGTTATGAGGCAATGGAGATGGCTGGCATCGTTCCGGGCAGAACCCCTTCCACCAAGCACGACAGAATTGGTACTTTCTACGGTCAGACCTCCGATGACTGGCGAGAGGTCAACGCCGCTCAAGATATCGACACGTACTTCATCTCGGGCGGAGTGCGCGCCTTCGGCCCAGGCCGCATCAACTACTTTTTCAAGTTTTCAGGACCGAGCTTTTCGGTTGACACAGCCTGCTCGTCCAGCTTTGCTGCCATGAATGTTGCTATCACATCACTCAGAGCTAACGAGTGTGACACTGCCTTCACGGGCGGTGCCAATGTGCTCACGAATTCCGACATTTTCTCCGGGTTGAGCAGAGGCCACTTCCTGTCAAAGACTGGGTCTTGCAAGACGTGGGACAATGATGCCGATGGCTACTGCCGTGGCGATGGTGTCTGTACCGTCATCATGAAGCGTTTGGATGATGCTATTGCGGACCGCGATCCAATTTTGGGTGTCATTCGCGGTATCGGTACCAATCACTCCGCAGAGGCCGTCTCGATTACACATCCGTGTGCGGAGAATCAGGCCTTTTTGTTCGACAAGGTGCTCAGAGAATGCAACGTTCACAGCAATGATGTGAACTATGTTGAAATGCACGGCACTGGTACTCAGGCTGGAGACGGGATTGAAATGGAGTCAGTATCGTCCGTCTTTGCACCACGCCAACCGCGGAGACGCCCTGATCAACCCTTGTACATTGGAGCGGTCAAATCCAACATCGGTCATGGTGAAGCTGTTTCTGGCGTATCAGCCCTGATCAAGGTGCTTTTGATGCTGCAGAAGAGCAAGATCCCACCCCACACTGGCATCAAGAAACAGATCAACAAAACCTTTGCACCTGATCTGAAAGAGCGCAATGTCAATATCGCCTTCCAACCGACTCCTTTCCCACGCCCGGTAGGTGGCAAGCGTATTGTGTTCATCAACAACTTTAGTGCAGCTGGTGGTAACACAGCAATGCTTTTGGAGGATGGTCCCGAGGTACCGCCTGAGCCCTCTTCAGATCCTCGATCAACCCACGTGGTGACAGTGTCGGCAAAATCCTTGTCTGCTTTCAAGCGGACTTTGGCCAAGTACGATGCATATCTCAATGCCAACCCGAATGTCGGCCTACCAGATCTCGCATACACCGTGACTGCTCGCCGAGCACATTACAGCTACCGTGCAGCGTTCCCGGTACAGTCAATCCCTCAGTTGCATGCATCGCTGAAGGCCATTCATGACCAACCCCACAACCCTATTCCTCTCGCCTCTCCTCAGGTGGCAATGGCTTTCACGGGGCAAGGCTCTCAATATTCTGGGATGGGTCAAAAGATGTTTGAGACCTCCAAGCAGTTCCGCGGCGACATTGAACAATTCAATGAGATTGCTCTCAGACAGGGTCTCCCATCTATCATGCCTCTGATCGACGGGTCCGTCGAGGTCCAGCATCTGCCACCCACGGTCGTCCAACTCGGCATGTGTTGCATCCAAATGGCATTGACTCGCCTTTGGGCTTCGTGGGGAATCACTCCCAGTGTCGTCATTGGCCACTCCTTGGGCGAATACGCTGCGCTCCAAGCAGCTGGTGTACTGTCGATCGCAGATACCATCTACTTGGTCGGCACTCGAGCTCAACTTCTAGAGCAGAAGTGCACTGCTGGTACTCACGCCATGCTTGCTGTCAGATCACCAGTCGCCGGGTTGCAGGATGTCGTCGCCAACAGCCAGGGCAAGATCGAGATTGCTTGTATCAATGGCGTCTCGGATACCGTCCTTTCCGGCACCATGGCCGACATTGATGTGGTCGCTCAGAAGTTGGCTGATGCCGGCCAGAAGTGCACCAAGCTGAAGCTACCATTCGCTTTCCACTCATCCCAGGTTGATCCCATCTTGGCTGACTTCGAGAAGCTGGCATCTTCAGTCAAATACCACGCACCTCGCGTCCCGGTGATTTCCCCTCTGCTAAGTGACGTTGTGAGTGTGGGTGGTGTCTTCGACGCATTCTATCTCAGCCGGCATTGCCGAAAGACAGTTGACTTTGTCGGCGGTCTGTCTGCCGGCATGTCAACTGCCACCATTAGCGACACTTCTCTTTGGCTGGAAGTCGGTGGCCATCCACTTTGCGCAAGCATGATCAAATCCTGCTTGTCCGCTCCCACTTTGGCTACCATGCGTCGGGACGAAGATCCATGGAAAATCATTTCCTCTTCTATGGCTGGTCTCTACACTGCTGGGAAGCCTTTGAACTGGGATGCATTCCACAAAGAGAATGAATCACTTCGTGTCCTGAACGACCTTCCTTGCTACGGGTTCGAGGAGAAGAACTACTGGTTGCAATACACTGGCGATTGGCTCCTGTACAAGGGTGACTATCCTAAGGCTATTGCACCTGCCCCAGCTGCAGCCACGCCAAGTGGACCGGCAAAGGCGAGGAAATACCTCTCCTCCTCCGTACAAGGGATTGTCTCCGAGCAAGTCAAGGGCAACACTGTGACCATCATTGCAGAGTCCGATTTTGCGAACCCCAAGTTGTTCCCTGTCATTGCTGGTCATCTCGTCAATGGCAGCGGTCTCTGCCCATCCACTCTCTACGCCGACATGGCGTACACATTGGTTAACTACGGTGTTGGCCTCTTGAAGCCCGGTGAGAAGGTCGACATCAACATCGGCACAATGGACAACCCAGCCCCGCTTCTTCTGAAAAACATCCGCGAACCAGAGACACAAATTGTTCGTATGTCAATGAAAATTGACTTGGATGCGAGAAAAGCCGATTTCACCGTCACGAGCAACAATGGCAAGAAGGATGTTGTCCATGCCAAGTGTGTCATTGTGTTTGAAGATGCTGCTGCCTGGAAGGAGGAGTGGAACAAGACCTCTTACCTCATCCAGTCGAGAATTGACCTTTTGAAGCACAAGATGGAGAACGGTGAAGCTGACAAAGTCAGCCGTGCAATGGCCTACAAACTCTTTGGTGCCTTGGTCGATTACTCTGATGTCTTCCAAGGCATGCAGAGTGTTGTCTTCGATGGCCCCGAATATGAGGCAACAAGCTACATCAAATTTCGGGCCGGTCCCAATGACGGTGACTTCTATTTCAGCCCATATTTCATCGACAGTGCTTGCCATCTCTCTGGTTTCACCGTCAATGCTACTGTCAACCCGCAGGCTGAGTGCTTCATTTCTCATGGTTGGAGCAGCCTTCGATTCATTGAGCCGCTACAGCACGACAAGCAATACTACGCCTACGTCAAAATGCAACCAGTGGGAGGTGGCAAGATGAGAGCAGGCGATGTCTATGTGTTCAATGCCAACAAAGAAGTCGTTGGTCTTGCTGGTGGCGTTCGCTTCCAGTGCATCCCGCGCAAACTCATGGATGTGATGATGCCCAAGCCCAAGGCAGATGCCAAAGCTGCTTCGGCATCTGCTGCCCCGAAACCTGCTATGAAAGCCCCAAGCCCGTCCTTTGCTGCGGCTCCTGCTTCCGTGGAACTACCCGCACCGAAGGCAAAGGCCAAGAAGCCAGTCAAGGCTGTAAAGATCAAGGCTCCCGCGCCACCGAAGCCGGTGTCTTCTGGCAGTCTTGCCAACCGTGCCTTTGATATTATCGCGAGGGAAATTGATGTCGACCAAGCCGAACTCAATGACGACATTCAATGGGCCGACATGGGCGTTGACAGCTTGATGTCTCTAACCATTTCGGGCAAATTCAGGGAAGACCTTGATTTGGAGGTCGAAAGCACTTTGTTCACCGACTTTGCCTCGGTTGGAGCCCTTCGAAAGCATCTTGGTGGCATGAATGCACCCGAGATTTCCACCGGCGGCGATACGAGCTCAGTTGATTCGACGGACTCGGGCTCGGAGAGCGACGACGACACAGTTGAGTCTGGCATCACCACCCCTGATACGGAGGACTTTCCCGCCAAAACCCAAGATCATGGCAAGTCCGTGGCGGTCGAAGCAGTCGCCCAAGCACCGTCTGGTCAGGGCCAGGACATGATTGAGACCATCCGTGTGGTCATTGCCCAAGAAATGGAGATGGACCTGATCGAGATCACGGATACCACTGACCTCAGCAATTTGGGCATGGATTCTTTGATGGCTCTGACTGTCCTTGGAAAGCTCCGAGAAGAACACGAGATTGATCTGGATCCGACGATTTTGGCTGATAACCCAACCCTGTCACACCTTCGAAAGGCTCTGGGCCTTGAGGCTCCGAAACCTGCACCAGCGCCCGCTCAGAAGCACGAAGTCAAGGCTAGCGTTGTCGTTGCCCCTGCTGCACCTCCAGTTGAGGTTGTGGTCCAAATGCCACCCGCCACCTCTGTCTTGCTCCAGGGCAATCCCAAAACTGCCACCAAGAACTTGTTCCTGTTCCCTGATGGTTCCGGATCTGCGACATCCTACGTGTCGATTCCAGCCATCGACAGCAAGAACCTCGCTGTCTACGGGCTGAATTGCCCGTTCATGAAGGACCCTACCAGTTACACCTGCGGCATTGAGGGAGTTTCGAAGCTTTATCTGGAGGAAGTAATGCGCCGCCAGCCTAACGGCCCTTATATCTTTGGTGGCTGGTCCGCCGGTGGTGTGGTTGCCTACGAAGTCACGCGACAGCTCAGTGACTTGTCCAAACTCTACCCCGACAGAAATTACACGGTCGAGAAGTTGATTCTCATTGACTCGCCTTGCCCCATCCGACTTGAACCCCTGCCCGCCCGCCTCCACCACTTCTTTGATGAGATTGGTCTGTTAGGCACCGGCACCGGCAAGACGCCGAACTGGTTGTTGCCTCACTTTGAGTACAGCATCAAAGCGTTGACAGCATACCGCCCGGAGTTGAAGTCTACACGTGACTTCCAAGCACCTCCGACCCTTCTCATCTGGGCCACTGATGGTGTCTGCGGCAAGCCCGGTGACCCGCGACCACCGCCTCAGGCGGATGACCCAAAGAGCATGAAGTGGCTCTTGGAGAACCGCACAGATTTTGGGCCTAATGGATGGGACAAACTTCTCAGCCCCGAAGCATGTAAGACGGTTACCGTTGTTGGCAACCACTTCACGATGATGAAACCACCTGTGGTAAGTTGATTATTGCTGTTCGTTGTGGACAACAGAAAAGCTAATGCATTCTCAGGCTAAGGGTGTTGGCCAATACATCCGCGAGAGTCTCTCCATCTAGAGGACTTCTTATGACGGCTACCACTCTCTTAGATGCCCACTGAGACATCTGAGACCGTGGGGTTGCTTTCCTGCGAGGACATAGAATTCCAGCCTTTTTACGAACGACTTCCTCGACTGCTATAAGAATCATGCTTGTTGGGATACGGGGAGCAGTACAGGGCACAGTCTTTGCCCCTGGGCATTTTTAGAGCGTCGGATCATGGGGTTTCTTGCTTGGTTTGACGAGCTTGCACATGGGTTGTTCGGGCGTTTGCTTGATGACCTGGGGCAAGCGGGTGGATTGGAGTTTGGTTGCTTTCACCTCTCTCCCTAGAGGTATTTCTACACCTGAGAACAATTGTCATTCATAGCTCAAGTACCAGGTCGATTTGACCTGCGACATCTAATGCGTACCACTTTTACCAAACATATTATCCAAGTTCGCGTGACACTATTGCACGGGTTGGATCTTGAAGACTAAATCATTGTCTGTGCTGCCACTCCGAGACAGTCACAGCCGCAACCGTGCCCAAACCCCAGCATTTCCCCACTGACGGATCGACATCGAACCTGGAATTATGGATATTCATAATCAGGATCAGGATCAGGATCTTGCGTCCGGTCCTTTGACCAGCTGGCCAACTCTTTATGAGTTCCCAATCTTGATTTTCTTCTCCTTTGGCTTCGGAATGCGCCAAATCTCCCATTGGGGATCGTTGCAGGACAGAATTCCGCTTTGCTCGGCCGACTGGCGTCGTCTGGGCGGCGAGTTGGGTCGATCGTGGTGGAATTCAGAGACGATCGGTGGCTTGAAGTGGTAGTCTTGGTGACAATCATGCTCGAGGCTGGCTGGATGCTCCATCGTCCGTCGCTGTAGATTTCATCCAGCGTACAGCACGCATTGTACATTGATGTACAGGAATAGCATACTGTGTACTGGGGGTCTTCCCTGCTACAGCAGATGCCACCCACATATTGACCAGACGGACTCCTCAGGTACCATATATCTTGTCTGCACACTGCCATGCTAGAGGAATTCTATATTCCTGCCATCGTACCATCCTATTCGATCCACGCGAGAGCCGAAGGAAGAGTTCAAGTTCTTCCACCGACATCCGCCTGAACATGTTCCAACCTCGGGACAATAATGACGTCTTGAAAGACAAGGAAGCAAGATATTTTTTTACCTACACCTGATAAAAATAGATACTCAAGGTGGCCTAGTAGGCACATTCAACCAAGGTGAGGTCAGGTAGAGGTAGGTACCTATGGTTCCCGCTCCCTCCCATCTCTCGACACTGGCATGCACGATGTCTACCGTACTACCACTCCCTGCATACCTTAGGTACCTTGGTTGGGTATATGCATGTCTCAGTTCCGTCTTACGGCTTGGCCGGAAAGAAACGAAGCTGAGAGCCAACAACTCTTCCGGCATGCAAGCCAACTTGAAGGCACTACGTACTACATGCAGAGGCGAGGTGGATGAATGCAGCTGACCACTACCAAAGTGGTAATGGTTGTGGTTGACGGTCGCTGGTGGCTGGGGGAGTCGACTGCCAGTGTGGGCTTCGTAGGTATAAGGTAAGGCGAGGTACCTAAGGTATCTTTAAGATGGACAGCTGAGGTAGATGAGGCAGGTCTTGTATCTCGTCATTCTGCATTAGCCTGCGGAGATGTAGTGCCTTGCATAGATGCTAGTGAAAGAGTAGTTGGAACTGGAGCGACGGCGATGTGCTCTGTTGGTATTGGTTTGCAAAAGGTTCCCGTCTCCCATCCGACGGTTTGCAAATCTTATCCGATTCGATCATGGCATCCATCTATAATGTCCATGGATTCCATCTTTGGGACTTGTATTAGTATTACTCCCCTACCTGCTGCCGCACCTGAGGTAAAGTAAGTACCTACCTATAGGTACCGTGTAGGATGTACGGATCTGACCTACTACTACCTTAGGAACTCCCTGTTTCATTCTTTGGGTTCAATAGCCGTCGAGGTGACAGCGGCCTGCCCCTTCTCTGATAAAGCAAGTTTAGTCCCCATTGCAGCTGCATCGTAATTCACCGAAGTTTGAGCTCATGGATCAAGGATCGGGATCATGGATACATACATTGTCGGTTGATGGGTTGGCTAGGAACCTAGGCAGTACCTAGTAGTGATTCTGACGTTTCCGGGAACAAGACTGACACCTGTAGACAGGCAGATAGGCAGACAAGACCCAGCACGAGGCAGGCGAGCCACGGTGATGACTTCCAATGATTGGGGAGTTCAAGTTGGAATAGAGAACAGAATCTTTTGGTCTGACGCAGTGTGACAGATGCGAAATCGAAAATTCGCCGTTACTGTAAAATACCTGACCTTTACATGACAGCGCAACGGGTTTATGTCCCAGTCTGTACCTACACTGTGGATGTACCTAAGGCACGTTAAGGTACCTAAAATCAAGGCCTAAGCAGCCAAAAGGTGCCCTGACAGGCTTCCATGCGACGGGCAATCAATCATTCAGCAAAAGTGACAAGTGACAGTGGCCACACCAGACATAATATCCAACATGTACCACTCACTGCAACCGTTGCACCACTCTACCACCTCGTCTCCTATTATGGGGTACTTCGAGACTTGGCTACTCTCCCTTAGGTACCTACCTAGGTACCTTAGGTGGGAAAATGGAAACATCAACATCAAATCTGCAGTCCTGCTACCAGACTACATACCGGTAAGGGGCCAAATGCCCTCCACTACTACCTACTGACAGAATGTGGATGGGCCAGACGCCGACCGTCGCAGCTTGACAAGACAAGCAAAGCGACAACAACGGTATTTGATCACAAGAGTGACCGTGCGGTGCGTGGCGGTCCTTGCCCCGTCCCATGGCTTCGGGACCGGCACGGCGGCCAAAGCGCAAGATTTCTATGCTCCGGTCGTCCACGGGGGTCCGTTGCTGGAGGTGGCAATGATATGTCGGTTATCATGGCTGTATGTTTCCTGATATTCACGTCGTGGGCGAGAGACAATATGAAACAGACGAAGAGACCCATATTGTCGCAATCTACCGGGTATACTGGATGTAAGTCACGTCGCAGGCCCTGTCGCTTCTCTCGTCGCGCTACCGATCGTCGCATACATAGCCTTGTGGCATCGTTTTCGGACGGGCATATTGCCCTAGAGAAGCCTCCAAGCACACGTATACTTGATCTTCGGCCCAGCAAGTCAACCTTATGTACGACTCGGGACCTTTCACGGTCGATGTTGCGTGTTGCGTGTGAAAGGGAGCTGAAGCATCCATCTTGCTGCCCACGCACCTGCGACTCGATGGCTCAGGGGGTGCGGTCAGGAGAGGATTACGCTGGCGGGTATGGCATCCGTGGTACTGATGTCCTCGAACAGATTAGGTCTTTGTCCGGTGAACATGTCTTTCCTCTGCCTCTTATCTATTTCGTCTGGCAGCGACACAAAACTAAGGTAGAGACATGTGTCAGGCCCCGCCCACCGCGTGGTCTCTTCAGACCCGAGTCGCCAGCGTCGTGTCTACAGCACTCCCTTCCAATTTGCCCTCGGCCGTCTCGGCCACTAATAAGACCAAGAGTCGGCGAGATACGCTGGGCATTACAGTACTACATTGAACGAAGCGAAGCAGGACTGGCAGCGCGAGCCGGAACTCAGCCACCACATGGGCCCATGCATAATGTTGATTCGAGTGCATGTTATCAAGACAGGTAGGGCGCCTCATGGAAGCAGCATTTATTCCAAAAGAGGACAGCAATCTAGCCAAAGTACTGGGACTGCGGTGTCATGAAAAGTCATCTCGTTATCATTGATCCTACCCAATTCCCAGATCTCAGCCGAACAGATACCCGTGCTCGACGCTTGGTGGGAAGATCTCTGTCCAAGGAACAGCTATGCCATCATCCATCCTGTTGGCAGGATCACAAGCGCCATAGACGTCCTCATCCTGGGCTTCACTCCAGCTATTCTGTGGTACAAGGGCCTTGTGGGCGTCGTCGGTCTCCCAGACGCGCCTCATAAATTCCAGGGCGGAGTCGAAGATCCAGATTCCAGTCTTTTGTTTCCAGCGCTCGCCATAGTCAACCACGAACTTCCTAAGACCTTCGTCCGCCATGGTCAGCTCGCAGCCCGCGAGGATGATGGGCAGCAGGCACTGTTTCTGGAAATTACTATGGGATGGGATCTCAATGGCTAACCCGAGAATCTCTCGTGCTAGGCTGTGTGGGTTGAGTGTCGACAACGTTGAGGGAAATGCCATTTCCATTTCCATGTCCATTCCCGACTGGCTGGCCATCTGTGTCTGTCTTCGACGAGGCCAGAGGACGCGTGACATGTATAGCAACAGGGTCGTCTTCCAAGCCTTGGACATCAAGGTGAGCTGTCTGGTAGCGTGTTCATTAACCTGGGCATCCACGATCTTGGCCGCCAGCTCTGAAATCGTCTCTGGCGAGACCGTTTCGGGATGTGCAGCTGCTACAGCGAGGTCATGCATGTCGAGGAACATGTCATCCGGCAGGCCATTGAGGGCCAAAATGCTCCATTCGTGCTCGGATTGCCACGTCATCAGGGCCTCCAGGTATTGTCGGGGGAAGATGGGTCCGCACCGGGAGATCAGTGCAGCACTGACATCGTACCAGAGGAGCATGGCGATCTGGCTTCTCAACCGCGGACGCGATTCGGCGGAGCAGATGCCGCCGTTGTGTTCGAGAATGCGAAAAGCCCCTCGCAGATGGATCGACCAGTTCGAAACGCCCGACTCGGCGTAGTCGAGGGCGAGCAGAAGTAGAGAAGTGCTGATCCCGGACTCAAACGACAAGTCGGTTAACCGGGTCGCAAACATTGCCAGTGCGCGCGCCTTGAGCCGGAGGACTGACAGCCCTTCCGGCTTGCGGCGCAGATGTGCTTGCTGGCGTTGCGACAGGGCCACGGCCGCATCGCGCACGCAGGAAACGTCGTCTTGAATATGTGGAAGCGCCGCCTGCCACGGATTGACTTGCACGGCGTAGGTGAGACTGGTATAGGAGAAGCAGGAGTGGTAGAAAGATAGGGAGTATTCGAAGTCCCCAGGATGACTTCCAACCGAGGGAGATAGGGAGAGACGAAAGTCCTGTGCATCGTACTCGGCCGGCGGTGTATTCGTAGTGGTCGTCAATGACAGCGTCGAGGAGGAGAGTGGCGAAGTCGGGGAACTAGGATCCCACATCCAGGAATGAGAAGGGCCCGAGGTCATCATCGAGATTGGGCTGCCCTTCACCACCATAGAGCTGGCATTGGTGTTGTTCGAAGCGATTGTCGAAATGCTCGATTGGGAACTCTTCCTCGATTTCCGTCTTGCGCTTCGCTTCCTGGCCTCCTGCAGCTGATCCACGAACACGAATGAAGCCGGCCGAGGGAGTGGTTGACTGCTGGGCGCGGCGGGTCGTTCCGGTTCGGATTTGATGGTGGTACCCAAGGGCTTGAACTTGGATTTCTCCATCCGCAACGTGCCTCGTTCCCAGTCCAACTGTTGCACGTAGCCCGCGCAGATGACTCCATCGGCGAGACAAGCGCTGCATCGAGGCCTTCGTCTATCGCAGTGCCGGTGGAGCGCAGAGCATGTGTGGCAATCCGACTTAGCCCAACCCAGGGAATTGGTTCTTTTGCCGGGTAGACGTCTCTTCCGCGACACTGGTGCGGATGTTGATGGTGATGGTGATGGTGATGGTGATGGTGATGGTGATTGTGATGATGATGTTGACATTGCCGTTGCCGTTGCCGTTGAGGTCAAAGCCATCGTAGTTTCACATGTCATAGTTACGGATATATTTCATAGTATGATTCCAGGGCCGTGGAGTAACTTAGGAAGCCTGATCAATAAGTAGGAGACAGGTTTCTTGTGTGAAGTCGAGAACGTTGATAAGAGAAGGTCAAAGCCGATGTCCTCCCAACGGCTTATCTTTATCGGTCATCCGTCTGCCGAGGCGTTAATGATTATTATTGGCTGCCGTTTAACAACTACTGACTACGAGTCTCAGGACCAAATCTCGGACAGTGTGAACATACAGTATTGAAATATCTCCTACAGCAGGGCATCCCAGAGATTCGACGGTCGGCCCCAAACAGACAGGCCTATGGTAGAGAATATTGCACGTAAGCTTGAACAAACGATCTGAAATCACAGACTGAGAGCGGCCCAAGAGCAGTTGCACGCGCAACCTGCCGCTGCGCCGTGTCATGGCAGCACTTGGAAATGGCAGCAGCAGTGTGGGAGGGTAACAGAAACAGGAGCAACAATTCAAAACATCTCAATCATCGTTTCATTAGCCAGTCGACATCTATACGGTATAAGTACGCCTTTGACTTCTAGATCGCCTACTACAAAGCCCTACTAGCTCCTTCACTTGTAGTCATCTCACCACAAGCCCACAAGCTCACCCCCGCAAGGGAACCTAGCAGCAAAAAACTTTTTCCACAAACCCCTTTGATATGGGGGTTGTGGGAAGTGAAACCCGGGTTCGCAGGGGTTTTCCGGTTTGAGGGGAGGTTTGGTGACAACCCGGGTTCGCAGGGTTCTCGGTTCGAGTGGTGGTGGTGGTTGTCACAGTCGTCGTTAAGCCCGGGTTCGCAGGGCTCGAAGTGTCGAAAAGTCGCCGTGGTGGGATGGGAGTGCGGTTCGAACTCGAGTCTTTTGTCGTCGGGTCGCCCAGTCGAATGGCTGCCTTCCACTACGGTTGAGCCATAGTGGTTTGTCCTGGGCCATTCGGTGCTGGGGGTCTTTGCGTTATTGGAGAGAAAGTTTGTGAATTCAATCAATAACCCTGCTGTTTCCCATGGCTTGGCTGAAAGTGAATCATCGCCGGCACCTTGGAGGACGGGAGTGATACACCATCGCAGGCCAACACCTGTCTTGCCCGCGGCGGCACCCCGAGAGTCAACGCTGAGCCTCGTAGAAGAAGCGATACCCTCTAGTGGTACAGGGAGAATGTATGGCCATAGGTAAGCATGGCTACCAGGCCATGGAACGATCCAGCCGTGCTTGTATGAAATGGAACCCACCATTATAACGTCTTTCAGGCGGCAAGAATCGGTTGTCTATGAAGAACATAACGCTCAGGCCTGGGCTGGGAAGTTTCTCGGCAGGCAGGCACACAGTCCCGACCAAACTCAATCTCAAGGGGAATTGTACTTATTTACCAGCAGAGCCTGGCGCATTGGATGATGGCTTTTCCTCGTATTCTGGAGCTGGCATATCATCTTTGGGTTAAAACGATAGCCACGGAGAAACGAGATATCGAAGCACGTTGCAGCGGACAGCGGACATAACATCAAGTCCAGGAGTCTAATAGGGTGTCCGTGTCATAATATCTCAGCGATCTGGATCAGACCTGCAGATGAAACTACAGTACATGTGGTGAAGAGATTTAAATGTCCGTATATGTCTGGTCTTCTAGGGGTGGCTGTGGTGAGCGGTGTGGCTGCTCGTGCCACAGATGAGATTGGCTGGTGGGCCATGCTCAGATCTACGCTGTCGCACGTGCCATGTCGGCGCACTTTCCCTCCCAAGATAATTTTCTCTTGGCGACCTCTGGCCCTTCTCCGGGGGTATATATATCTGCTTTCTCTTCGCCTGATCTTCTTCTTTTTCTTTTCTTCATACTTACCTTGTGGGAGCGGCTCAGCTCAAGAAGTGAGTCCGCTATGGCGGTGTCCCTGCATTGCACAGCGCGGTGGACATCGCCATTAAGTGTCCTTCGGGGCTCTTATCCGCGTATTTTTTGGCTCTTATCATCTTTTCATCATCGGTTTTGCCTTGAGCAAAGCTTTGGAGAAGAGACTGCGGCTTTGGCCTGGATTGGAGACCGGGGAGAAAGTTAGAGGCAGGCCCTGTATTTACTGCAGCTCTAGGTCGAACGGGCACAGTCTTGGGGTAGAATTTGAGCTGCAGTAATCCCAGTTCGGTTTGATCTCGACATTTTCCCAAGCAGCGGCGGTTTGGGACGCGCTCATACGTCTATTCTATGCATCCGCTCTCCCTGGTTTGCGAGGTCTACGGCTGCCGTGATCTGCACCTCGAGGAGTGAAGTTCACAATCTCGGTCGAACCATGCGACCCTGGCGTGTGTGCGAAGGCGAGAATCAACACCAACGAGCTTTTTTCGAGGTGCAGAATATCCCGATCGCAACAGCGTCCTCACGAGTGATGTGTGAGAGCTAACTGAAGTTCGTGCCAGGATTTGCCAGATCGCACCCCCTCGAGCTCCTCGTCCGTTGCACGTCCCTTCAGCGGTCCTTGCTCGACAGCAGGAAGAACAAAGTTTTAGAGATCCTAATGGCCAGAAAAGGAGGATCACTCAGGTACACATTGAACTACTGAAAGGCGTATTCTGTACGGGCGGCTACGATCCATGGCTTCAAGCCTCACGTTAAGATCACGGCAGGCTACTGGGCGACAGGCGCTGGAAATCGGATATAGCACTCAGACGAAAGTTAGATTGCTTTGCTGTGTACTAAAGCTGTGGATGAACGCGTCCTCTGCTGCGGTCTCTCGACGCTGAGCTCTGAGATCTCAAGTACGAGAAAAGTCGCGTCTCTGCTGGCTGAACCCCGCATCGGCTTCGCAGGCGCTGATCAGGCCAAGTTACTAATATGAACGGCCGCGGTCTCTACGTATCGGTAAGCCGAGGGTAAACGGATCAGCAAAGGCTACTTGAATTCGTGCTCTTGCACTGGCATATCCCAATGTAGGCTCTATGGTGCTGACGGGTTTGTACATTCCCTTCCATTTTTCAGTTCCTCGCACAAGTTCATATCCATTGGCGACTGTCAATATGCCTCGTGAACCAAGACCGGCACTGAAAGTGCCCGAAACCTATTCCTCGCTTCTACTTCAACATATCAAAGTCTCCAACGTGCCCGCTTCATCCCCTACTGTGACCCCTGTGATCTTGATTACTCTGAACAGGCCCGAGAAACACAATGCCTTCACAGAAACTATGCGACTGGACTTGGAACGGGTGTACGAGCTCGTGGACATTGATCCTCGGGTCAAAGTCGTGGTCTTGACGGGTGCCGGAAAAAGCTTCTGCGCCGGGGCCGATCTGGAGATCGGTTTCCTAGGAGCAAAGGATGAGAATGGGATCATCAAAAACCCCAAGACAGGGCGCGACGTGGATCATCGAGATGGGTACGACCGAGCTCAATATAGGAAGGGAAACGCTGGCTAACTCTTTACAGTGGCGGGAGAGTATCACTAGCAATCCATCACTGTTCCAAACCGACCATTGCCGCCATTCAAGGTGCAGCCGTGGGAGTAGGTATCACGATGTGCTTACCGGCGTGCATACGGGTCGCATATGAAAAGGCAAAAGTCGGCTTCGTTTTCAGCAGACGAGGGATCATCATGGAGGCCTGCTCTTCCTATTTTCTCCCCCGACTTATTGGACACTCACGAGCATTGCATCTGACCACCACCGGTTCGGTGTATCCCGCAAATCATCCGCTGTTTGGCACCTTGTTCTCGGCAACGTGCCCAAGTCCAGAAGCTACGTTGACTCGAGCTCTTGAGCTGGCGGATGAGATTGCCAAAAATACTTCGACAGTCTCGACAAAGATGATGAGAGAGCTGATGTATAGGGGCCCGGACAGTGCCGAGGGAGCGCATCTTCTCGACTCAAAAATCATCCATGGCTTGTTCGGCAGCAAGGATAATGTTGAAGGAGTGGAGAGTTTCCTTCAAAAGAGACAGGTGAACTTTACGGGCCAAGTGCCGCGAGATGCTCCAGACTGGTATCCATGGTGGCAGCAGGTCGACATAGGCGATAAAGGAGCAGAGAATAAAGGGAAGTCGAAGTTGTGAATATTTCGTGGAAATCTAGGCCTGTAGGAAACGGAATTATATCACAAGTACAACCAAGATGCCCAATAGTACTGACTGCCCGAATACTTCGCTCGGGAAGTACGTACCTACCTTAGGTACGTAGTAGGTGGTCAGCGTTTCTTGGGCTGGATACATCAGATACTGTGATACTGATACCCTCCTGCAATTCTTTATAAGCAGAGAAAGTCGAGGCCCCGTTGACATGGACACGCGCGGTCTCATTGGCGAAGTGGCGCTCTGTTGCGGCAAAACGATCACATCATCAACTGCGGATCGCTTGGTGTTCGCCCATTTCTGGATGCTGTCATCTATAGATTCACATTTGCCCGACTAACCACAACGTCCTTTAATAGCCCGGTGTGCCCTCGTCTTTCTTTCTTTTCAGTGACATGTCCTTTGGTTCCCGCCGTTTCCTTAGGCAGTGCGCAACTACCTTTCACCCCGGCACATCGAATCTGTCGTTGAATAGATCCTTCACCATTGAACCTTTGCGCCTCGCGACCTCCTCCCCTCCCTCCTCCGTGTCCCGACTCGCCGGCCTTGCCAGGCAATTTTCCTCTACTTCATTCAACATGGCTCCTGTCACGAAACAATACGATTACATTGTCATTGGAGGAGGGTCGGGCGGAAGTGGTACAGCCAGAAGAGCCAGTGGATGGTATGGCGCAAAGACGTGCATCATTGATGCCGGGGTGTCAGGCGGCACCTGTGTCAATGTTGGGTAAATATGATATTCTACTGGCAAATAAATCTAGTTCTGGGCTGATGCATCCCAGATGTGTACCGAAGAAGATGACGTGGAACTTCTCCTCAATCAATGAGGCCATAAAGGCAGGGCGCCACTACGGCTATAATTTCGACAATGGCTATTCGTTCGACTTCAAGAGCTTCGTTGAGAAAAGAGATGCTAGAATAAAAGTCCTGAATGGCGCATACGAGACCAACTGGGCGAAAGAAGGAATCGACTTGATTCACGGCACCGCGACGTTTGTCGGCGAACATGAGATGGAAGTCAAGCCCAAGGACGGCAGCGAACCCTTCAGGATCACGGCGCCACATATTACTATTGCAACGGGCTCATATCCGACGAAGCCCGAGAAGATTGCAGGGTCAGAATATGGCATTACCTCTGACGAATATTTCTTGATCAAGCACCTCCCGAAGAAAATGGTGTTCGTTGGGGCAGGGTATATCGCCGTCGAACTCGCAGGAGTGATGAATGCCATTGGAGTGGAGACACATTTATTCATCAGACACGATACTTTCCTTCGGAAATTCGACCCAATGGTCCAGGAGACCATGACCAAGCATTACGAGGAGCTGGGAATCCACGTTCACCGCAACCACCCAGGCATCAAAGAGGTCATTCAACTTCAAGCAGCCGCAGATGCGTCCGATCCGCGTGAAAAGCAGCTGAAGCTCGTCATGAACGATGGCACGGAAATGATCACCAACGAACTCCTATGGGCCATTGGGCGAAGTCCCGAGATCCGTGACCTAGGGATGGACAAGATCCCTATCAAGCGCAACGAATCCGGCCACATTGTGGTGGATAAGTACCAGAACACATCGGTCGAGGGTGTCTATGCGCTGGGAGACGTGACAGGCCAGGCTGAGCTCACCCCTGTTGCCATTGCTGCCGGGCGACAGCTGGGCAACCGACTGTTTGGGCCTCCTGAACTCAAGGACTCTCATCTGGATTATGACAAGATCCCCTCTGTGGTGTTCTCCCATCCCGAGGTTGGGGCCACTGGTTTGACAGAACCACAAGCCATTGAGAAATATGGCAAAGAGAACGTGAAGACATACCACACCAAATTTTCTGCCATGTACTATGATGTGTATGTTTCACTCCATGCACTCCGCCCGGTATGGTAAGGACTGACGCTCTCGCAGATTCCCGCCGGAAGAGAAGAAGAAAGAGCCTACTGAATTCAAGGTCGTCACTGTTCTTCCAGATGAGAAGATCGTTGGCTTGCACATCCTAGGCAAAGGATGTGACGAAATGATGCAGGGCTTCGGGTAAGTGAAACCTCCAATATAACATAAAGATGGGGACTGACCAGGACAGCGTTGCCGTCAAGATGGGCGCCACGAAGAAGGACTTTGATTCATGTGTTGCCATCCACCCAGTGAGTAACGATGGATCCTCGGCTGCAATTAGTCCAAACTAACAATTCACAGACGAGTGCAGAGGAACTGGTCACTCTGAGATAGAAAGGGATATAGTGACGACCATCGATGCCAAACACTGGTAATTAGACCAAATTGGGATAAATCGACAAATCTCCTAATTGGGACTGGTACATTATAGCGGTAATGCCAAGATAGCAGTGACGTGTGTTATGTCGTGGACTTGAACCATGAGCGCGTCTTCCAACAATTTAGAATCTGCCAACTCATAATGGAATGTCGTCGACCTTAACGCGTCCTAATGAGATGGAATTTGTCTCACTGGCATTGAAGATGGCCTCCTTCTTTCACGGGTGGTTGCAATAAAGCGTATTGATATCTGCGTGAAAGAACCTCTTTTCCTTCATGGAGTGACGGCCATGAATCCATCTCTCTTGCCACACGCGTCTCTACTTATTAGGCAAGGCTGAAGCCATCGTCACTAATATCAACCTTTATAGGCAGCATCATCCCTCGCTATCCTCAAACCTTCCGTGATCGTACTCTTGTTTAGATGGCTACTGGCTCCAAGTCTCGCTTGGATGAGTCTTGGGTGGTTCAAGATCACGGTGACGACAGCATCAGTTGGCATGATGAGCATGATGATTCCGCCACAACAGACTCGGCCGAAGACTCAAGACTGAGCAAGTCCAAAAACCCCAGCTCGTCAAAGAGAAAACCTACCACCGGCCGGTCCAAGCCCTCCAAACAGACCATGCCTGCTTCGACAGAACCGCAATTCATCATGCCCTCTCCCTTCACCTCGACAAGCGTGCCTGTGGTTGATAGGTTGGCCAAGAAGCGCAAAACTCAGATGACTTCTAGGGCAAATCCACCAAAGCAGCAGAATGAGACGGCGTCAACCAGGCCATCAGTGCAAGAAGATTCACAGGACACAGTAGCATCCAGAGCAGCCGATCAGTTGGTCGTTATGTTGGGCCATTGTGCCGAGTGGACGCTCGACATTGTCGGCCAAACTCTGAAGGCGTTGAAGAAGCCTATCTCGTGGTTGCTAGCGGCATATGTATTTGCTGGCATAATGATGCTTGTGCAGAATCTCCTCACTTCGTCAATCTACGCCGCCTTGTCGCCCATCTGTCGAGTCCCTGGCGTATCCTTCCTCCACCTGCCCATCTGTCAATATGCCCCGTCCAATCCAAATGCTCCGACGCTTGGTGAAGGTGCCTCTGCGCCCGTGGAGTTTGACGAGTTGATGAAGACGCAAGCCCACTTTGAGGAGATACTCTCAGAATCCGCCACGGGGGTCACTCTGCCTCTCGACATGAAACGGTCCGAGACTTCTATCCGCGACCTCCGGCAAATCGTGCGGTACTCGCAACTGGCGTCGCGCAACGAGCTCGTCCTGGAATTCGACGGCTTCATCGAAACCGCGCGCATGGCCAGCTATGACCTCCAGAAATTCAACTCCCACGTCGGACGCGGCGTGGACATTGTGCTGAGCACTGCTCGGTGGACACAGCGGGTACTCGACGACATGGCCACGAAGCACTCGACGCGCGGAATGATCCCGTCGTTCATCCAAGACCGGCTCCTCGCGCCATTCAAGCCTGTCCAATTCACGGAGTCGGCCTTGCTGGAGCAGTACATCGCACACACGAGGGTTGTAGGGGACGAGATCGAGCGGCTGATCGAGGAAGCGCAGGCGCTGCTACTTGTACTGCAGAATCTGGAGGATCGACTCGAAGTGATCCATTCGGTGGCGCTGCACGACAACGTCGCCGCGCAGGCCGGCAAGGACGAGATCCTAGGACACCTCTGGACGCTGCTGGGCGGTAATCGGGTGCAGCTGGGCAAATACAACAAGCAGCTCACGCTGTTGCGGCAGGTCGGGCAGTACCGCAAGATCGCATGGGCGCATGTCTCCGCCACGATCCTCAAATTGCAGGCCATGGGCGCCGAGCTGGAGGAGCTGCGCACCCGCGTCGCCAGTGCGGACCTCCTGCAGCATCATCGCGAGATCCCGCTCAGCGTGCATGTCGAGAGCATTCGGCTGGGTGTCGAGAGGCTGGAGCAGGGACGGGAGCGAGCTAGACGCCTGGAGCAGGCCCATGTTCGAAGGGTCGTGGACGGGGCAGAAAGTGAACAGCTGCTACCTAGATTGGGCGCTGCATGATAGTAAAGGGGAAACAAAGGCCCTTGGGGAGACTGAAGACCATTTTCATTTCTTAAGCCGAGGTTCTTCTGGTGGCCAGGCATGAGTTTGAGTTTTGAATCGAGACAGAAAATACTAGGACATCGGGGACACCACCTCCTGCAGGATTCTGTGTCGCGAGGCAAGACTGGCCACAGTCATGAGAGAGAATAAATGAACATATCTTAACCACGACTGGATCCTCTTTCCAAAGATCATATGGTTTGCCAGAGGCATTTGGGCCACTGTTGATGGAGCAAATACACCAAGATCCAATGCACTCTTGTTCTCCTGTATGAGATTCTTCGCATCTCCGTAGTTTACTAGCCTTGGATTCCCCTCCATCTCCAATATTGAGATATGCCAACTTATATAAGAATCTGTTCCTTTTTTTGCCCGTCTCCCTTTTGAGATAACATAGAGTGGTCAATACCACTCGCTCCTTGCGCCCGTAGGCCCACGGTCCATTCCGACGCCCTGCTGAAGGTGACAAAATGACCTAACTATACATACACAGCGGGCTGGAAATCCAACCTGTCGGAACGCAAACAGGCCAAAGTAGCTGCAAGGAAATGCAAGCAAAAAAGACTCGGTAGACTAAACAAGGAAAACGGAACATGTTTTGACAACGATAAGAGAATCAAACAGCATACTGTTTACTCATGCCGAAGGGGGAATAATAAGAACGCAGAGAGATACATGGAAATGCCAAATGCAACAGGGTATCGGTGTATCGACTTTCAAAGGTCAAGTGGAAGGACAAACACCAAAAACCCAAACCCAGGAAACCCCCAAGTTAAACAATACTCCAAAGAAGGGTATGTCTTTTGCAATAGTGCCGTCGAACGTACACTTGTGATGCTGTGTTCGGCTGTCGGGGCTTAGACCATGTCCCCGACATCAGGCTCGCGATCAGGCTCACGATCAGATGCATGATCGATACCAGGCCCAGGCACACCGAGACTAGCGGTGCGTGGTCTCACCAGGCCATCTCTGGTCGGCGGCGCGGAGAGATTCATATTCATGGCCACAGCTGACGTGGCCATCGCCGCCGAATGGAAGCTGGCTCGACGCATATGGGCGTCTTCCTCTTCAGCCCAAGCCAGACTCTCGTCCGGCAAGAGGATGGCGCGGTCGATGCTGACGGGAAGGCCGCGATGTCGGCCGCGCAGCATGACGGCGCACAGGACGAGTTTGCTGGCCGTATGCCAGGCCCCGCAGAACGAGTACGCGTTCCAGGGCACGCCGGTCGAGATGCCGACGCAGCCGTAGGCCGAGGTGACCTCGAAGATGATGTTGAAGGTGGAGAAGACGACCGGGTCGCGTTCGAATTGACCGGTTTCGATGGACGTGATGATGAAGACAGCCAATGCGATCCACCACAGGTCATGACCCAGTTGGCCACGGAGCTGTTGACGGACGAAATCTTGCCGAGTCCATGGAGACGGCGAAATCCTGGATGGTGCCTGACTGTGAGTCATTGTCATGGTCTTTTTCAGGCCGTATAGAAGCTTGTTTCGCGGTTGCTCTGTTTTGGTTTTGGTGTCTTGAAACGCGGCGTTATCGCCTGGTTGCGGCGACGGTAGATCTTCCGCGTAGAGACCTAACGAGCGTTCTTCGTATACGTTTGTGTTGCGGATCGTCATGGTCACAGGGAAGGCGCTGATATACCTGGAGAGCACATCGACAAGTCAGCTGCAGAACCAACAGAGGCTGGCCTGAAGATCGACAGACGCCGACGCTACCGGGACCGGCTGGGGTGTTGATACCCGAGGATAATCACAAGAAAACCAACTCACATCATCAAGACGTATAGCACCAACAAGCCGGATCGTAGCCCAGAGATGCTGACGACGTAGAATCCCCCACTTCGGACAGCAAATGCTTGAAACAGTCCATCTAGAACGCGGAAATGCGGAGTTATTGCCTCTGTCACGGGATTGCCAATGTTGAGCAATTCGAAGGCCATCCAGTCAATGCCGTTGAGCATGAAGACTGAGCAGACCAGCCACCATGTCTGAGCGCTTGGGAACAGATTGGTGTAAACTCTTCGAGGATGGTCGAGACAGAAATCCAAGGTGCGGCGACGGATTTGCCATTCCTGGGAATTCCAGCTCCTGGGGATCAGCCTTTTCATGGTCCATAGCATCAGCCGGAGGAAAGGCGGGAAGCATGTATTACCAGCCAGGATGAGCAGACTCAAGGTGAGCAGGACGTAGTAGCTCGTCTGTAGGGCTGTTGCATTTGCATCCAATAGTGCCATGCCGGAATTGTTGAACGCCGAAACGGCAAAGAAAGCACCGGTCCAGAACGGGTCGAGTCCTAATTTTCGGCCATGAGAGTTGTGCTATAATGCCTAACTGGGGGCAGCGCGCTTACCGTTCCTCAATGCTAAACCCGGCCGATTGGCTTTGATCCAGGCACCTACGCCTAGAGCGCCCAAGACTTGGAAGAGGACAAAGTAGAGAGGTACCACCCAAGATAGTAAGCAGATCGCGTCATACTCGATGCCTCCGAGCTTCTTCCTTTCCTTGTCGCTGAGATGGTAGATTTGACTGTTGCGACCTAGATAGCCATTGACTGTATCCAGGTATTTGGTCAGAGGGTTTCGGGGTCGGTCAACCGGGTCGTCCTCGACCTTCAGTCCCTCAGTGAAATCATGATTGGCGGGCCGCGCGTTTCGAGGATGATTGTCGAACCCCTTCGCGCCGACTCCATGACCTTCGAGAAACCCCGACCGGTGACGTGGAATGGAACGAGATGGGTGGTCAGGATGGTCTCCAGCGGCGAGGTCGGCAGGGAATCGGATGTGCCCGTCGTAGTCCCGGTTGGTGCCTTCGTCCACCCTGGTTGAGAGCTTCGACATTTCCAGGCAATCTCCAGACTGTGACCTGTGATTGTAATTGTCCACCAACCCTGTGTCTGTGTACTCATCATGACCACCGGGGTGAATGGGCATGGCCCGACCACGGACTGCACCGGAGGCGACAGCAGCCTCACGGTCGGCACCTGACGTACTTGCTCTTCGCTTTGAGAAGGAGAAACTGAACGAATGAGGGCGCATAAGACGTTTCCGACGTCTGGCTGCCAGCTCAGCAAACTTCTTTTCGAAAGCACGCTTTCTGACATGCAAAACAGCGATGGACACCCATATTGCCGAACCGATGATGATCAAGAGGAACAGAATAATCTGTTGCCATGTGTTGCTGTCCCATGATATCAGCAAAGGAAGCAGGGATAGTATGTTTCCTCCACTTACAGTTCTGATAAGTTCACTGTGTTGAGACCTGGAATGCATTAGCAAGATCAATAAACCAGAGTGGTTCCGCTCACCCGCCTCCGTCATAGCCGAGATACACAGAAATAGGCTATCAATGTACGAAACGGACTGACTCGGCGTCGACGAGCCCCAGAATATCACACTGGCGAGCAAACATGTGGCGCCAAAGTACAGATAGTGGAGGTTGATGAAGGAGAGCGTTGGGAGGTACGACCGGACATGATTGTTGAAAGAAGCATGAGCCCGTGTTGCCATTCTTCCAAGACCTCCACGCCGTCTCTGATCTTCCATACGTGAGGTATGATGACCTGCGCCCTAGCGGCGCCAAAAGGAGCCCGAGAGGGATGTAGCCGGTTTGTTGCCCGACGATGCGCAAGCCGTGGTGCGAGCCCGAATTGACGGCGGGATCACCAGACGCCCGCATCTGGATCTTTGCAATTGTCATACCCCATGGCAGTAATGCAACGCAGCCTGAAAGCCGCGATCGATGATTGACTATCGTCAAGCTTTAGGGATCAAACAACGGGCGAGAAGCAAAATTCAAAGAAAGGGGAAGTCGAAGTAGAAGTTGGTGATGCCAAGAAAAGTGGATTCTACCCCGAACTCATCCCCGTTTGAGAACGGGGTGATGCCGCCCTATACTCACCCCCGGCGCGCGCTGCTTGACGCACTACAGTATTGATCAGAGCCATACGAACGCGTACTTAACTTGGTTTGAAACGGGTTCGTCTCAAACTCCAACCGCGCAGCAGTACACAGATCTGAAGGAGGCGGAAATGCTTCAGATGCTGCACCCACCGACGACGATTGGTGTGGAAGACGGGCAGTCTACTGACGAAGACTGCTTGGATGGCTGCAAATGCTGCCGTTGCCGTGAAGACATCAACCCTTCGACCTCCCACAACAGATGCCATGGCAGCGGCGAATAAGAAGCAGAAGCCCCGAATCACCAGAAGACGGTAAAGCGTGTTGTTGACGGAACTATGGCGATGATTGAGGCCGTCGGAATGGCCGCGGACAGCAACATACACAGGAGGTTACCTGCAAATATGACGAGGAGGCTTTGGTACTCCCAGATCTTGCCGATTTCTGCCTCAACCGTGTGAGAAGAGAAACGAGAACCAATGTACAATGTACCTGTATACTCTTTAGAGATCAAGTCAGGCTCGTCTTCGAGATATGAAAGTTCAAGCTGTAGATATACTCCCTTCCTCAGCCACATCAACTGTTGGATGGGTGGCCGAATCAGTGCATTTTCACAGACGATCTCCGATACAAAGTAGACTTCCATCACCGTTCGGTCTATAATCCAACGTTGACTAGGACAGGCTCATTTTACCACTCGTTGATAACCGAGGAGCTAGTCGTGACTGGAGACTCCGGTACAAAACCGATGTCAGACCTTAAGCACCTTGGCACTTTCAACATGGGAGTCAGTGGCAGTCAGGTGGTGTGACAACAATTCCCTTTGGCGTCTTGCCGGAGATCGGATCTCTCTCCACCTTGTCGTTGGCTGTCCATAAGTGTCAGGACGTCGACTGGAAGGTACATGATATTCTCACTGGTACCAAGAATCGGTGGAGAGATCACTTCTCTGCTGACCGTGTCTTTTGAGGTACATTCGCTGGTCGAGCTTCACTCGAGTAATGCGCGTGAACAAACATATGCCAGGGCGGGGGCATACCTGGTATAAATTAAAAGGCAAATAAATGCCCGGTCGATCAGGGTCCAGAGTCCAGGGTCGAGGGTCGAGAGACAAGGGAGTATGGGAACACCTTCCACGAGCATAACCCTACTACTAGATTGGTCTAGAGATATAGCATTGGCATGTCACAACAAATGTCAAAACGCACAGTTCAGGTTCTTCTGCAGTCGCTCGAACACTCCAACTACCACCGATGTCAACGACGTTTACCGGAGCTACCCAAGTACGCCTACTGCGGCGACAGGCAGAGAAAAGTAGGCAGAAGTGCTTTATCTTAGGCTTCATCTGCCCCAGAGTGTAAGCTCTTTGTACAGAGAGACAAGTTGAACGGATTGGAAGCTGGACCAGCTTTACGTCGCTTCGTGCCCCTGGATCAAGTAGCAAGTTGACAGAAGATGCTCGAGTCTGACTTGGACTGGCACACTTGTTACCGAGTCCGAGTCTGTCAGTGAGTCTTAGCTTCAGCCTGGTCATATGAAGCTTACGTCTGTCAAGAATAGCTCGAGGTCGCAGCGGCCTGTATCGCTACCGAAGTTGGTCTAACCCGAATAGCTCTCTGCTGATAGAATTAATCCGAGTCAGTCCGATTGGTCGCCTTGAACCTCATTCGAATCGGCAAGGGGAACTTTCACTCACGTAGCCTAGCATGTAGAAACTATTCGACATACCTACTACTAGTAGTTGCACATACTGAACCTGGACCATACTTCCTACTCCACCCAGTACTACTCGCCAGTCTCATTGACTATGACTTGCGCTCGGCACGTCTCCCAAGGCCAGTAGGGCGACAGGCCACGAATGACTTGATCTTATATTGGGCTAACCGTTAGGGCGGACCGAGCAAAGAGCCTCACCGACCTCGCCGAGCATCATCTCCAGGTTGGGGTTGGGATTGGGGACAACGTCCGTCTTAAGACAGACAATTTGGTGTTGTGGTGAGCCTGATCGCTGTTAATCTGCGCACCAACACCTCGTGTATACACCTCCCGCTCAATGCTGAACTCGGCGAGGCTCTCAATCTCGCTTGAGCAACAGACGTGAGTTGGTACGCCCATTTCTTCATTCCCTTTGACGAGGTCTTCATAAGACACACCATGGTGAGTCCCCCGTGTCTTTTCACTACCTATGCATTCTTTCCAACCGTAAGTCACTCATTTATTCATTCACGATGCGGATCTCTGTATGCGCGTGGCTGTGGTTGCTCGCCGTGGGCGCTCTTTCTGGCTCTGTCGACGAGGCGACGCCCTTGACGACGATAACTCCATGTCCTGCTGCACCTGCTTCCATCGCACCACCACCGCTCACAGTCACAAGCCAGTATCAGGCGGTATCGAGCTGCCAGGCATACACGGCCTGCTTGAAGCGGACTTGTAAGACGCAATACTCCTACCATACCTACGACTATGTCTCGACCGTAATCCCTTGCCTGGACTTTTCGACCACTGTGACTCGGACAGAGCAATCGATATTGATTTCTCGCTCCTCGAAGACCATCACCAACACACACGTGGTGAGCAAAGTGCGACATGGCCACAACATGGCCACTACGGCAACTGCCTACACCACCACGGTCAAGGAGTGGAGTGCTTTGTACAAAGACATTGGCCCTCTGGCTGTTCCAGGCTACGAGGGTAGCGGCCTTTGTCACACTTGTGAAGGTCTTGACGGCGAAAAGCGACAAGAGCTCGAGGTCATCGAGTGTGTCGCCAGTGCTCAACGTCCCACTATTTGCAGAAAAGGCACCGAGACCTGGATCTATGTCCCAGCTCCCACTTCCACCTCGGAGGCGATGGCCGTCTGCTCCTCTCACGCGGTTGCCCCCTTCGCGGGCATTTTCATCTTCGCATTCCCCCAAAGGGCACCACCAGCCACCATCCACATCCCGGGGAGAACAATAACATATACCATGGGAGGTCATCGTCCGAGTACAATAACCGCTACTGTCACGGCGACGGTTACTACTGTATCCGGTCAAGACTGGACTGCTTTTGTAACGCGAAGTTGTGTGCGACCAACAACGTTCGATTTCACAGAGACGGTTACCAAGACCATCATCTTTACAGTCCCACCTTTCGTGGTACCGTGGACGTAGGTTACTCACTCGACTCGTATGATTTATTCCTATGCTAATATGTTCATATCTTCTAGGCCTTCCTCAATCCCCGTCCCTCACGGCTGGAGTGATTGGACTATCGCGCCAACCACCGGGTACACTTCAACCACAGGCAGTAGCGCCATTCAAACTTCTTCGCCGCTCTTGACGACAGCAGCTTCGTCTTCGGTGTCCAGCTCAAGCACGAGTTTTCTGTCGTCCCTAACATCAAATTCTGATATAGGTCCTGTTTCAGCAAGTACTTCTACTAGCTCGAGCTCGACGACTACAGCTTCGTATTCGCTATCCAGCTTAAGCACGAGTGTGCTGTCGTCCCCAACATCAAATTCTAATATAGGGCCTGTTTCAGCGAGTACTTCTACCAGCTCGAGCTCGACAAATTTTTCGACTTCCGAGACCACTTTCCCTTCAACGCGTTCCACCTCATCGACGTTGACTACTGTCACCACCACATCTTCTGTGACCTCGTTCGGGTCTGTCACCACTGAGTCTTCGACTTCAAGCTCATCGTCAGTGTCGTTGACTACCGGTAGCTCCTCCACCATCAGCTTCTCGGGATCGACCTTTTCATCAACTACTACCGAGTCTTCGTTCAGTACGACGCTTTCTTCCTCGCCATCTACTTCCACTAGAAGCAGTTTCACAACTATCATCACTACCGCTGAGACTACAACCGGCACTACAACTCAGACCGGTAGTTCTGCAAGCACGACTGTGCCATCCACCCCAGCCCCGGTCACCACCACAACTCTCGAGACTACTACTCCTGTCACCACTACGGCTATTGAGCCCGTCACTTCACCCGAGGTCACAACGACTACCTCAAGGTCGACTAGAACCTCCTCGACAACTTCCTCGAGAATCTCCTCGACAACATTACGTTCTTCGACAGCTTCTTCAATAACCTCTTCGACAGCTTCTTCAATACGTTCATCGATAGCTTCTTCGATAGCTTCTTCAATAGCTTCTTCAATAGCTTCTTCAATAGCTTCTTCAATAGCTTCTTCGACAGCTTCTTCAATAGCTTCTTCGACAGCTTCTTCGACAGCTTCTTCGACAGCTTCTTCGACAATCTCTTCGACAACTTCCTCGACAACTTCATCGACGTCCACTACTCTCGTTCAGACTACCACCACACAATCGACCACCACCGCGGCATCCACTACCACCACACGATCGACGACGACGGCAGCATCCACTACCACCACACAATCGACAACGACGGCGACCACTACGACTACCGCGGCCTCCACTACCACCACAGAATCAACGACGACGGCAGCCACCACCACCACCACCTCACCCACACCCGTCCCAACTACAGCGTCAGGAACATGTGCGGTTCAAACGGATCCATTCGGCACAAGCACTGGTGCGCAGTTTAACAAATACTGCGGCCAGTGGTACCAGACCACCCGCTCACTCGCATACATTTCGAATGTCGATTATGGGACCTGTGCCGAACAATGTGCTAGCTACAGCACGTGCACGATGTTTTACGTCAATGGTTCACAGTGTGTTCTATGGCAGGGAACCCCTATTTACGTAGAAGCCTCGTCGGGTGTCAACAGTGGCATTCGTGTCTAACAAAAACCGACCGAAGCCAACTTACTGAGATTGTCAATGTCAAGCAAGCATTCGACTCTAGTTTAAGCCTCTCTCCCTACTACCCAATCCTGCTATATATTAATTTATCAAATTCCCGAAAGCGATGTCTTCTATATCTTGTTGAGCTGCAATCAAAAATGACCTAGTCGGGGACAGGTAGGCATTGCTGCTATATAATATATCTCAGTAGGTATCGCAGATTCGTAGGAAGTATATATAGCCTGTACGTACTTACAACTTACTGTCACACCATCCCTTAGAAAAGGAATGAATGCTCATGTATGTTACATGTATGCATATATGAATCTGCTGGAGTCAATGCTCACCCGAGAAAAGTTATAAAAACCATGAGACGTGCTTCGTGAGTCGTCGAACGATGCTCTGACCAACCCATTTAATATAAGACATGAACCGGAATGACGTGATTATCAGGGCTCGACGTGGGTTTCCCTTTCGGTATCGCCTTCAGAATCGAAACCACCGACGCCGATACCTGCCGATATCCTTGTCCCAAGCAGCGCCCGTCACCCTGGGCCAGCCTCTGCTCGACGCCGTGGAGAGTGGCATCGCAGATGGCGAATGATGCGTCGGACACGCACACGAATTGGCCCGGTTGGGTGCACAGGCCGGAGGGGATGAAGGGGAGCGGATGAGGTGCTGCGAGGGCGAATGCCCATGCCCCTATGGACGCTGCGATGAAGAGACTGGAGTTGCGCATTTCAGAGTCAACTTTCAAGTTTGTCTTGGTCAGAACAGATAGTGGTAGGTAGTGTGGGTATATTTGCTTTTGCTTATTCAAGAGCTTATTTGGATGTTTGTGCCCGTGTGCCTGTGTGTGTGAGTGCGTCTTTTGTTCTTCAACTGTATATCGTGTCTTCTCGATGACCAGTAAATAGTTGGCTTGAGTATGTATGTATAATGTGTTTCAGATAATGTTCATATGTAGGGACTCGGGAGAGTAGATTGGCAGATATTATGGGTGCCACAGTTTATATCAGTGCCCGTTCTGAACAAAGGTGTCATTGTCAATGGAGTAAAGGGATTGAACAATAGTTCTTTGTCCTTGCCATGACTCGTAACCCGGAGCCAATAATGGCAAAGATATTTGACAAGTATTGCTGTGTTGAACAAAGAACCTCGTACCGATTTTGGCGTTGACAAACCCAAACAATGCATGACCCCAGCATCGGCATGACTTTGGGGGGAAAGGAGCTCAAGGACCAGGCGATTTGCCGCGCAGTGGCATGACTTTCTGTAAGCGGCTCCAGGGTTGAAATCTTTTGCTTTTTTGTGGACTGCTAAATCATTGAAGCAAGGCCAAAATATAGAAGATTAAATGAAAAGCTCGTAGCTGGGTATAATAGATATCGTCCTGGTGGGCAGACAACCTCTCTTGGAAAGTAAATCTCCGAAACCAATCCCGCAATGAACAGGCCTATCCAACTTAAGTTTCACATTACAATACATCTTCTTTCCTTCTTTGGGGTGGGGCCACCTGCAGTGGATGTAGGCATGGTCTGCGCTCTTCCAAGAAGTTCTGGACCACCCTTCCTCCTCTTTATTTTTGTCTTCTTCGAGGACTCGGGGATTGCAGAGCCAAAGAGCCCATCTCCGCTGTCTGCCCACACCGTTGCCTGAAGGGCCCCGGCTTGCTGGTAAGGCGATTGCGAATTTGGATGGCCATATCCATTGGCGAACTGTTGCGGCGAGTAAGTGATAGTATTTGGACCCGCTCCATTCGGAACAGCGTGAGACCTAAACCCTGGCTCGCCAGGTCCGTACGAACTGGACACGCTTTCAATTGTCTCGAGTCTGTCCATCCGGGGCCGGTCGGTATATCCTCCCGTTAAAGAACGTAGATTCGGAGTAGACGCTGAAAAAGAAATCGAACGGCCGCTATTTCGTGAACTGCTCCTTGACAGCCCATTGGGAAGGTTGATGGCATTGTTGAAGGAGGGCGAACCAGGAGTACCGGCAGCCCCCCAGGCGGCGCGAGGAGGAGTTGGCACTCTACCTTTACCACTCATATTATGAGTTTTCGTGTTGGCGAGGGAGGTCGGGGCAAGAAGCTTGCGTTTCGTCTGCGATATGCGCCGGTTCAGGTTCGCCATTTGACCAGGAGTGGGAGGCGCAACTGAGTATTGAGCAGCAAGAGCACTCGGTGCTTCTGCGGAATTCTGATCTCTGTTGTCCGGTAGTGGTAGTGGAGCGGTTGGTTGACCTATGGGACCTTGTGGCGTCCGCGTTGCCTCCGAGGTTGGTGGGACTGGCGGAACGGGATGATTGAGACGAGCTTGCAGATTATTACCTGTCAATGTTATCGAGCCTAACGGGGTCGGCAGCGGTGAAGGCTGGCCTGTCGGGCTTGCATCAGGCGACCTTCGAATTGGGTGATTCACGTTGAAGGGAGAGCTACCTCCCGGTGTCAGCAACGGTGATACCTGGCCTTCATGAGATTCTGGTTTGGGAGACGGATTTGTGGGCGCATCTAGCGCAGATGGTGAGCTATTGTAAGGCAACCGTGAATTAGCCGCATGTTGAGAGGCGCCATGTGTCGACGAACCGTAATGACCGGTGGAGCGTCCTGTTGGCGCATATCCGAAGTCAGCGTTTAGGTTAGAATGAGGTTGCGAAGCGACCGGCGTCTGATAATGACTTGGCCGAGGAAAATGTGTGTGGTCAAAATCCTGTCGTGCTGGATGGACCTGGTTCTGGACAGATGGATGAGCGTTTTCTGAGATACCTCCTAAACCTGCGTCCATAGGATCGTGGCTAACCACCGCAGTAGATTGTCCAAGAGGGGATCCCAGCGACATACCCGGCTCGACTGATTCGTAGAAGTTGGTGGCGTACGGCGGTGGCGGGGAATCCCAAACGTTGACTGGAGGGTATGGCTGATGCGGGATATACGCTGGGTCTTGTTGCTGCGTAGAAAGAGGCGGTCTTGGTGGATATCTGGCGGTGGTGAAGCCTGCCGCAGTGGCAGATCTGTACAAGTTTGCTGCATTCGGTTGCTGAACTTGACTCTGAGCATGCGCCTGAGCCATTTGTGCATCGATATCCAGGGGAGATGATGGCCGCAAGGGACCAGTCTGTCGCTGTGCCCATGAGGAGCCCTGTTTCGTAGCCGCTGCAGTAGCAGACCGGCCCAAGGGCAGTATGGTACCCCCTCTTCCTCGGTCCCTGACAGTCCGGCGTCTTTCCATCGCGACCTCGATGTCCATATCACTCATCTGTTCTGTCAGCAGTTCCGGTTCATTGTCACCGACTTCAATGGTGATCTCGCGGTCTTGCCCGGCACTGGGCGAGTAATCGAAATCTAGGATTGCGACGCGTGACCCATCCACGGGCATAGTCTCGTCGCCAAGCTCTTCGACGAACTGGTCAATGCCGCCGGGGGCGATCACAACCAGTCTCTTTCCAGTCAGAGTGACCTCTTGCTCTTCAGAAATCTCGACCCATTTGGCCGCGGTACACTCTTGGAAACCTCGGATCTGTTGACCTTTGACAAACAAACTCTCCCGCCAGTCCACTTTGGCTGCTATTGAATCGTCCTCTATCTCCTCACTGCTCCCAGAGATGGATGGGGAATAGGCCATCAAGGGTTCAAGGTGTCCCGTTGCCGATGTAAGTCGAACGCCGCCTCGGAGTCGCTGTTCGTTTCTTTCGACTACAGAACCCATGTCTGGGCACACGTCCAATTTTTCCGGAATTCCATATATCCACAGTCCATTTTCGCCGAAGCCAGCCACGACAAGAGTTCCACATGCCGTCGCAGTCGGAGCCATACAAGGCATTGGTGTGTCAAACCGTACGTTCGCGATCGGGTTCAAAAAGTAGGCAACACCTGTTCGTGTGTCATCGGTGCGCACTGCTCTGTAGGTCATCAGGGTGTGGTCGTAAGCGAAAAGCCAATTAGCATCGCCCTCGGTGTGGCCCTGGAGTAGCTCCGCATGACTGCATATGCTGCTAATCTGCGGGAAGAGGATCTGGGTCGTCCACATGCGGCTGTGTACCTCCTTCGGAGGGAGATCGTTTTCGGTGTAGAAAGGAGCTGTGATGACGACTGCTGATGGCTCGTCTAAACTCTGCGTGCTTCCAACCAAGATCGACCCATCTCCAGAAAAGTTCAAGCTATCGATGGCTTCACTTCGAACTGCCCGGCGGTCTGTGGATAGAGCACTGGGAGCCAAGGAGAACACTTCAACACCTGCATCATAAGCAGCAGCCAATACCGTCCCTTCTGGAGCCAGTGTGATCGTCCTAGGAGGGTTGTCCATGACTAGCACCTGCGAGTGCTTGACACCGGCAGGGTTCAGCTGGTAGATGTTCGCTTGGTACTTGGACGACAGGACTGCTAGTATTAAGCCGTCGTCCGTGATTGAAGCAGAAAGAGGCCTCCTCATGGGCTTTAACTCTCTGCGCACCGTGATAATGTCACTAGTCGCGTCAATGACATAGATCCTCGAGGAACTAAGCGCGAGAATGGTCCGCCCATTGGGCGAGAACGAAAATCGGAACGCCTCTGCACCAGGTAGAGCAGCAGAGGAGCTGGCGTTGACAGAGATGAGGTTGATGAGCGTGTGCCGGGGTCGCAGGTAGGCTTGAAACAGGTTGCGGCGAACCTCCTGAGCAAACTTTGACTTGAGTCGAAGTAGATCGTTCTTGCGAAAGGGGCCCGTAATAACCGTATTGGCCAGAGCATAAGAAGGACATCGTGACAAATGATGGGCGTAAAGCTCCTTGTTCTGCGCGATACTATACCATGCTTTACTCGATAGCACCAATGAAGCAAACGTATTGGCGTCTACCATCCACAATATCCTGGACGTTGTGTCAGCGCTCTAAAGAGGAAAGGGGTTGAAGCACTCTGAGGAGCGGCGGTAGTACCTTTGAATGACCTCGACGGGCAGTTTGTGGAATGCGGTCGCTGTGGCAGTGTGATGGTTTACTCCGGCGCTGCTTCTTGCTCGCGACTGAGGAGTGTCGTCGAGCCGGTCGTAGCCATGTAAGGGAAGTGGCTCCGCCTCATTTTCGATCGGGTCTAGTGGCTGAGAGGGGATGTCGTCTCGAGAGACTGTCGACGAAGTCTTGGAAAGAGGAGGCGCGACAATCACAGGCGCCATAGCCATGGCGGTCTGGTATTTTGCGCGGAGATATATGGATGTGACTCTACTCATCTAGAGCCATGAAGAAGGACATGGTCGATGGCGCTTCCGACATTGTCTCCCGCCATGGACGCGTCGTGGAGGATGCCAGCTTTGTCTCGCATGAAGTGGCTGGCGGCGAGCGGCAGGAAGGATTTCACCTGTTGACCATGTCGGTGCAGCGCCAGTCTAGACTTGACCCTGGAAACCAGAGCTGGATGAGGACTGTTTGAGCTGTTGATGGTATTGACGGCAATGAGAGAGATCACAAAGGAGTTGGTGGTCAGCATTGAGATGCAGAGGCTAGAGAGGCAACGATGCTTGTATTCGTGATGATCCCGGCAGCACGGCTGAAACTGCCTTCGCAGACGGTTACCTACATGTACCTACCTTACCCTAACGTACCTTAGGCTCAGACTGCGCCTCAGTCAAAGTAATGATACCTACCAGGCACCTTAGGTAGGTATCTAGGTACCTATTCGGAGGTAGTTAGGTACTTGTGATCGGCTTGGGATACACCAGTGTCACCTAGAACTCGGTATATCGCACCCCACCACAATCACCTTCACCTTGTCGTTCCTTGAAGCCCGCCCCGCATGTAGGAGGAGAGCCTCGACCACAATTCTCCTGCCTACAGAGTACAAGTCCAGTGCTGTCAAAGCGCCTAAAATTAAACCTCGTTTGAAGAGAGGCACCAAACAGTCTAACAAGTGAGAGCGGCTGCCACTGGTCTATTCTGTAGGCGTTGCCAGCCTAAGGGTGCAGGCATCTTAGGCGTCCTCCGTCCCGTTGTAGGCGGCATGCTTAGCCTCTTAGCCTCCTTGTCAGCCTCCACACCCTCCACACCCTGCTTCTATTTTTGTAGTAAGACGGATCCTCATCAATCTTGCTAGTTGGTGCTCCTTAGTAGTGGGGGCTCCATCGGCAAACATCAAACAATCAAACCGTGAACACTTCCCAACTCTCCATCCCGCTCAGAGAGGCGAAGCAACTCTAGACGGACACTCTATCGCTTCAGATCTCAACCTGGTCTCACAGGATTTCTGATCAACACAGGCTCATTATTGGTAGTATCATTGCGGGTGTCTGGCTTCAACCACAACCTTTACCCAAGACAGTCAAGTTCTTTGTACATGAAGGGAGATCAGCTTCCACTTGTGCGCCCACTCGCCTTGGAGGGCCACTACTCCTATCCATATTGGTACAGCGAACATTCAACCTCCTGGGATGCTTCTCTCCAACGCTTGCAGAGACAAGCATCATCAGAAAACTGAGAAAATGAAGTGCCTCATTTCTTCTCTTCCTCCTTATTGCCGCTGCCACTGCCGCCGAACCAGCCGGAGAAGAATCCAATCTTCATGCTCTTCATGGCCTCCTCCTGCAATCTCTTCTCCTCGGCTTCTCGTTCAGCCAGCCATTTTTCTCCCTCCTCCTTGATCTTCTTCTCGAACTCCATGTATTGTCTTTGTCCTCGCTCGCGTATCTGATCCCATAGCATCTTGCCCTCTCCAGCCTCGTCGGCGCTGAGTGCGTCTGGGTGGGGTTTCGACAAGCCCAGCCATTGTGCTAGACCTCCGATGCTCTTCTTCTTGTGTTTCCGCTTCTCTGCTGCCTCTGCCTCGAACTTTTGACGTAGAATCTTCTCTCGTCGAGCGAACTCGGCCGGGATATAGGTGCCCTCGAACGACTTCAGCACCTCTCGCACGTCGTCAAATCCCATTGTCGCCAGGTATTCCAAGAACGGGATGAGCTGGACGAGCGTCTGATCCTTGGGGTCGCCCGTCCACTTAGGCAGGATAATGGCATTTTCGGGTTGATGTTTGACGTGATGCGGATCCGTGTCGATGATCAGCACCTTCTTCAGATCTCGGTTAAGGTAGGAAAGGTCCTATCTTCAGTTAGCATCGTGACGTGCGCCGTAGGAGGCGATTCAAACGCACCTTGATATAGCCGCCGTCCTTGTAGAGCGTGGCTTCGCGGAACAACGGCCATCTGATCGTCTGATAAGGATCGAGTTTCCGCAGCACCTGTTCAGCCATGGCCATGGGTTGGCTGGTGAACAAGACAATCTCATAGTAGCTCCCGAGATATCTTAGGAAATAGTCGACGCCAGGTCGTTTGGCTATCCGCCAACCCTTTTCTCGCGTCCATTCGGAATGGATGAGCATATCCTCCAGACTGATCACCAAGGTGAAGGGGTACCGTAGATTCGGGTCTGGATCTTCATCTGGCAACAGCTTGGTTGTCACAGGGTCGCGATAGTAGCTCATGGTTGAACCTAATCGAGCAGCCACCCGGTTGTAGAAGGCTTTGAACCCCCAGCCAGATGGTGCATCCTGGTGTGCTTTCTCCTCTTCTTCAGACTCCCAATTGCGGCCGAGATACGCGGTGTAGCCCGCAATTCCCACTCCCATTATTATGTACATGTATCGGAATACCATATTCTTTTTCCGGTCGCTTGATGATACGTACTCCGTCCGGGGAGTATCATCACCACCTCGTCCTCGCCCACCACTTGGCACTTCTTCCGCCGGATCTTCGGTGATATTGAGGCTCGCAGGGCTTGCATGGGCCGATTGCTTTGATCTGGCCTGGCTGAGCTCAGCGTCTAAGGTGGATGGAATTCCTCTCGTCAGATCCGGCAGAGGCTGTTGTGGCTGATCCGCCGACGCCGGTGGTGCATTCTGGTCTTCCGCTGCTGCTTGCGAAGTTTCATGTTCTCTCACCGTCCGCCGACTCGCCTGGGAGACTGATTCCGAGACGTGGTTGATGTCTCGGCTTGGATCGGCGCCGAAAGGCGTAGATTGTGAGGACTGCTCATCTTTTGGAGCTGGGTTGGCTTGAGTAAAAGGTACTTTTCGGAGCGGCTCTCGGGAGTCTGTCGATTGCGTAGATGATTCACCTTGTGAGTTGTTGGATGTGCTGGGGATCTTGTAGTCTGCACTCCGGAGACCTTGGTCTCGTCTGTAATATCGTAGTTGTGTCTGCGCAAATGCTTCTCCGAACAAAGGTCCGCAATGTCGCGGCCTTAATAGAGGTAAGGCTGCACGTCTGAGCATTGTGCGATCAGCATGTCAAGCGGTCAGTGATGGAATTGCGGATTGAGGCACTGAAGGCTTTTGCGGCGGTTGCTGCTGTTCCCGAATCTCTTGGGAAAAATGCTTTTGGTCTTTGGAGGCTAGCAGCGCAGTTCAAGTTCAAGTTGGAGACGCACTGCAGACAGTGGCAGTCACCCATCGTCGCTGCGGGTGAGTTTAACCAGTCTTGGCAGTAGGATAAGCCTGAAACAGCAAAAGCAGTCTATTGGAGATACACGGCACGGCATCTAATCTCACGCCGCTTTTAATGCTCACGACATGGAATTCCTCCAATATACTGACTTCGTCCTGGAACACCTCTACACTCTTGAACACACTCATTTCCCCTGACGACACCTGAGCGTACATCTTCTACATGCATGACTGAGAGAAAGCTGCTGTTAATGAGCTCTAGGAATTCTACCTTGGCAATCATACTTCCAGTCCCGGCCATAGGTAGAAGGCAAGCTCCGAATCAAGATTATCCGTCAAACCAGTGCTGCTGAAGATGTCGTTCCACGGATCCTGCCTCGATCCCAGGATATCTGTGGCGTTGTAGGTGCTATTGATCGAATGGTCTTGCTGACTACCCGAGTCGGCCACAACGTCGACAGGACGCTTTTGACCATGGTTGCTGCCAACAAGAAGAGTTTCGGAGGAACAGCCTCGTTGACCAGACTGCGAAGAATGAGGAACTCTCACATATCTGGCATCCTCCTGGCTCCTTTCTGACTCAACAGCAACGTCAAAAGTATTTGGCGTGGAGACCGTTGCTTGCAGCTGCTTGGCCTTGTCGAGGGCCTCGCTCCAGCATCTGGCCATGGGCCAAGCGCCTTGCAAATTGCCCAATTCTTCTGTCGACTTTTCTAAAATCGCTCGGGCGCGGTCGGTGTCAGAGGCTGGGATCTTCAGTGGGCGCTGCAACAGGTGGTTCGCCAGGGAGCCGCATATGTAGATGCAGAAGACGATGAAAGCCGGGAACCCCTGGTCTGGGGAACTCAAGGAGAAGAAAGCGTCGATCTGTTCATGTAAAGTGATCATATTTTCGAACATTTCCGCAATTATCTGGGCCTCCAGAGTCGCACGTGGTCTAGTCGTCGTACCACTTTGGCCTCCAGAGCCACTGCTGTCGTTGTTGTCGTCGTCGCTGTCTGCGAGAATTTCTTGTAGATAGCTCCGTCGAAGAACGATATTGCTTAGCTTGATCATCATGACAACTGATAGATATGCCAATTCTAATCTCTGAGTCTTGAAACCTCGAAAGTTCCAGACTGACCAACTATGACGGAGCGGAAGACTGCGTTCAAAGTCCTGCAAAGTGCTTGAGAGACGCAGGTAGTCTTGCTTCCGAGTCTGTATATCCGGGCCTGTGTACATAGGATTCTGGGGAAGACTTGGTCTTTCATTGCTAGCCACTCGGCGAGCTACCTGACCCCAAATGTTATGGGATTGGATTAAAGTGGCAAACAAGGAGCGTGTGGAAGATTGCGTGAGCTCAGGATGTTGAATGGCAGGCGGTGTTCCCATCAATGCTGCACGTTCAGGGGGCAACAGACCAAAGGCGAAGTCTTGCTCATCACATGGCAATAGAGTTGTGATGTCGTCAAGGGAGAAGCAGACGGGGGAGTTGTAGCCCGAATGTAGATTGTCGTGATTCTCCAACATCCAAAAAGTCCTCCTGGCCACCTCGGCGTTGACCACCTCGTCGGCCGTCGCGTTTTCGGGAAGCTGGTATGTTTCTTCACGATGAAGTCGCAACATGCCAGCCATGCGTACAGCTATCCCCATGTGGATCGCGCTTCGATGTTTATCACCCTTGCCCCACTCTGCAAGGCTCATCAGGAAGAACCCCTGAATGGCATCCAAACTAGGCCGATACATCTGATCCGGGACCATGGCTGCAGCTTTGTGGAGAAAGTAATCCGTGGCCTTCGTGCCATTGCCATATCTTTGGACCAACCGCGTCGTAAATCTGGCAGAGATGCTGAGAATACTGAGGAGGAGAAAGATGCTGATGGAATCTCTTTCCTGTGACAGACGTTCGAAGAAGTTGGTCTTAGGGAGGAAACCGAGTTGGAAGTAGGACAGAGTAAAGACCTTGCAACCTTCCACGACTTCTTCGAACGGGGGAAGAAGAGTCCAGTCCGTTGCTGCGGCAGTTGGTGTCGTGTTTCCTGTCTGCAGCCCCTCCGCTCCCGGGTGCGCATGGAGATAATGGTGAAGCGACCTAGGAGGTTTTTGTGTTCTTAGACCCCGATCTTCTGGTCCATCCGACAGTACATTTGGCAAAGAAGCGTTATCCGAACTAAGGGAATGCCCTCGTGACAGTTCTTGTTGGTTCTGCCTCATTCGCCTTCGATCTTGTCTGAACGCGCGATCATAGTCGGGCTCGCCTCGCTGAGGAAAGATGCACTCGTGATTGCCCCCCTGACAGTTCTGACACGGAGAACGGGTTCCCTCGTGCTGACATTTGATTCGAAGACGACGACATCTCCGACAAGCAACTGCAGCCCGTCCCAATTTGGGACGATTTGGGGAGGTCAGACTGTAATCAGTAAACGATGTCAAATCCATGGTGATGCCAGGTCCATCACTGCGCCGCTGATCAGGCAGATGAAACACCGATGATAACTCCAGACAAAAGTGCCGAAATAATTGTGACTGGCAGGCGGAGAAGAGAGTTGAGGCATTCGATTGATGAGTGAGTGAACAAGAGCAATAGACTAAACTACATCGAGACCTGTCGTACCTATTTTACCCACTCCCGATGTATCCACATTCCCACTTCAGACTATTACCTACCTTGGCAGGCTTCTCGATGAGTAGGTCCCTTGGCGGGGATTGATGACTCGATATAGATTACTGGTAAGAAGCATGGAATCAAGGGCGGCAGTATCGCCGTTTGAACCAGAATTGGCTATTCTCTACTACATAGAAATCACAACTGCTTGCGATACCGGATTTCCGCCCACCGAAACGGAATGTACAGGACAGCGCTGAGACACAACCCTACTTCAAACCCAATATCACCAGACTTCTCTGCGAGAGGGCCAGTATACCATACCTGTCCCATACACGGAATAATGAGCCCAAATGAAAGGCAAATGGCACCTATTGCAGGTATTCCGGAAGGGAGCTTGCTAGGAACATCCCAGATGGCATGGTCGTAAGTCGTGCAGTCGGCCTTGCGGAAAACAAAATGCTCCACGCCAACCACTGAGACAAAATCCGCCGACCAGTATGCGATGACATAGATAAAGTTCTCGAGACTCGCAAAGAAGTTTTTGGCCGCGTAAATCGACAGCGGAATGCAAACCGCCGTGTAGACGATGGCGAACGCGGCGCGTGGAACACGGACCAAAAAGGGCATGAGGAGTTGGCAGTTCAGCGTGACCGAGTACACCGCTGCCGCAATGTTCCCAAGCAGTGAGAAAGACAGGATGACGGCGACGAATTTGCCAAAGCCTCCAGCTGGCATGAGCATGGCCTCGAGCACACCGCCTGCAGAATACTTGTCATAACCCTCGCTCCATGAGGGTACATTGGGAACAGCTCCGCCGATCGCTGCCCCAAGGATCATCAAAGGAATGCTGGGGACAAGCAGGCCGGCGTAAGAATACCAGAAGATTCGTGCCCTGTTATACATTAGTTTGGGATGAGCAGCAAGTGGATAGGTAACATACGTTGTGACGCTGGGATGGCAGTAAACTGCAAAATCAGATGCCATTGCCGCCCAGGGAATCATGTAGCCAGCGATAACCCCTCCAAAAGAGATGACTGTTGCCGCCGTGGGAGACGCCGTCTCCACCTGGTTGGAGAGATGCTTGCCACCGCATCCAGTGGCAATTACGATGGCGATCAATGCCGGCAGCCAGGCGTAGCGTTCATATTGATGGAGAGCTTTGTATCCGGCGAAAGAGACCACTAGGGCGAGCACAGCGATAATGACAATGCCTGCGGTGGCATTCATGTTGCCGTTCGATACTGCGGACAGCGTTGAACCGCCAACGACGGCGTCAATCACTCCAAACCCGCCGATAGTTGCGAGGTTGAGAAGCACGATAATGGAGACGAGATAGTAGCTGGAAGCTTGATCAGCAGGTGAAAAACTGCGCAATGAGGCAGACTACTCACCCAAACGTATACCGTGCATGAAGCATCTGCCGCAACCCAGTCCTTGCACCCAGTGTACAGAAATATGCTGGGAAGATGGTGCAAAAGAGACTGAAGAAGATGATGAGCAGAGACGTGTCGCGCAGACTAAGACCGAAGCTCAAGGTTCCCACCATGCCTGTAACGATGCTGTAGGAACCCAGTCAGAAACTCATATATCACCCGACTAGAATACTCACGGGAGTAGGTTGATGCTCATTGTGAACCAGACGAAGAAAATATTGATGTAGCGGGTGTTGGTCCTCTCTTCCACGGCCACCGGAGTAACGCCGTGCAATTCGACGCCCCATGAGGCGAGTTTTTGGAGGATGGGATGCTTGAGGGATTGGTTCGGTTCAGCCTGGCCCTCGGCAATGTCTTGCACGACGGGGCTGGACGTTGCTTTCTCCATGTCTTTCTCCATGGTGCTTTGCGACAGAAGTAGAGAACGGATTCGAGTACGGAAAGGTGAAGCTCGACCAGAACATTTGGCCATGCTAGATGGAGACTGCGACCAAGGCGGGATGGGGTATATGTAGATATGTCATGGGGTCTTCCCCCTCTGCGCGGATATGGTAGCGACCGAGGCCAAGCCCCTTGGCTATCGTGAAATGCAGACATCCAACATATTGAGTTAACACGACGATTGCCAATGTAAGCGGCTGTTCCTTAGTAAGGCAAGTTCCTGCCACTCTGGTGATGTCCAGAACTAGATGATAACGACGACTGTCCGTTTGCCGGCCGGAGGTGGTGATAAGGGAGGGATGTGGCAAGGAAAACCCAGAAGGAAAAACTTAGAGTGAGGGATCCACTTTCGACCAATCGGACAAGGCCGTGGCCAGCGATTGGCTGGAACGGCCGGGGGGTCAGCTGATCAGGCTGAACCTGGGGCGGCAGGGTGCCGGAAGCTAAGCTCTCCGCTCGAAGCACGGTGGCTTATCTGCGAGCAATGTCCAGGGATGGGGTTTTCAGACGCGGACGAACAATCTTGAGCTTAAAATTCATGAACGTATTCATTTCAACCGTATAAGATGCTATTAACGTGATTGGGCGACGGTCTAATGATGCCCATGGCCATTTGGAACATGACCGTTGATCCCTTTGACCGCTCTGGTGTTTGATGAGCCCGCCACCAGCTGTGGCTGCCCTGCGGCGGCAAGATCCTTGCTCACTTGGTCCAGGTGGTTCAAGAAACCACCTTCAAATCCATCCCAAAAGGCCGGTTGCAGATCTATAGTCATGTCATCAGCGCGCTGGGAGTCAATATAGCAATGAGAACATACCGTGCAGAACTCCGGTTCTCTCCAGCGCGTAGTCCGTCAATGAGATATGGCCTGATATATGGAACATGAAGGCTGTTTGAAAAGGTAAGCTATGATAGAGAGCAAGTGTTGCTCTGAGCTTACCCATCGCATCCTCGTTGATACGCTGTGGCTGCAAGTCGACCGTTGTTGCATCTTTCCATCTCTCATAAGACTCTGCACACGGCGCAGTTAGTATAGCGACTCCAGGCTGGTACGTTATGATTGTGCTCACCTCCGTGTGGCATAAAACTGGCTTCATATGTCAGCCCACCAGGTACCAACGTCGTGGCAGACCCGGACCAGACTCCGTATATCATGCCCATGAGCTCGGTGGCCACATTGCGGTGATAATATGGAGGACGAAACGTGTTACTGGTCACACTCCATTTCGGGGTGAAGACAAGGAACTCGGAGAGCGCGACTCCGGGAACTTTCGATCGTGCCATCAACACGCAGTATATGGACGGATCACTCTGCTCCTTGTCCACTGTTGCTGAATTGATGAACTTCTCCAGAGCGTACTTGTACGGCACGTAATTGCCGTGCCATGCCACCACATCAAAGGGCGTATGATCTTGCTCGTACTCGAATAGCTGGCCGGCAAGCTTGCAAATCACTGTCCAGGGGGCTGATGGGTCGACATCCACCTCGAAGCTGGCCAGTGGATGCTCGAAATCTCGTGGTGAAGCCATACCATTGGATCCGATAGGGCCTAGCTCTGGAAGTTCGTAATGACTACCGAAGATCTCTTGGATGTATCCTCGAACCGGTCCGTCAGGTAACCTGACACGGAATCTGATGCCTGCCTGAATCACAGCCAGCTCACCTGGCTGGACCATGAGATGGCCAGACTCCGTCTGGATATCAAGGCGTCCTTGCTGGGGCAGGATGAGAAAGTCTCCATCGTTGTTGCAAAAGGCTGTCCTGTCCATGGACCGGTTGGCGGTGTAGACGTGGACCGCGAGACCTTCTTTCAGCACAGGGTCTCCATGACCACCAATGGTTTTGATCCCTTCAACGAAATCGACCGACTCAGAATCGTTGGGTAAGGGAAATGAGTCCCAGGACTGATCTTGTGGTAGAAATTGAGCTTTGTCATTTGACGTTGAAAAGCATGCCTGGAGATCATCGTGTCTCTGCCGGTATTTCTTCATCGGTCGATGGGCGACCGAGGGTCGTATCCGGTAAAACCAAGCATGCAATTGCGACGCCCGTGCTGACACAAAAGGCGTTCCATTTAGCTGCTCAGAGAAAAGGTCATATTTGCATCTTTGTGGCGTGTTTCTCGCATTTGGAAGAACTCCAGGGATTGCTTCGGTTGCGAACCGGTTTCCAAATCCCACCTGATATGCATAAGGATCTGCCGCCGTTGGTGTTGTTGAGTAGGCACACTTTGCCGTCGCCTCCAATGGTCTTGGGGAGGTAGTAGCTGATATCATCCTTTGGTTCTAGACAATTAATGATGTTGTAGTTTGCAGGGTTTCAGTCGAGCACAATATGTTCAAGCTGGCCGGCTAGGATTAAATGCAATGTGCCGCGTTTGGTCAAGAGAAGAACGACTATCTGATCTCCTCCAAATGACACGATCCGACGAGGGATCTTGATCCCTGTCATCATTCTAGCTTGATTCCTGACGCAAGGATAAATGCAGGCTGGCGATAGATACCAAGTTGCCGGCCGGGTGGACTGTGTGGGTCCGGCAACATTAGTACGTTTCTTCGAGATAACATCTGTCTTGCCTATCTCACAACCTCGCGCCGGATCTCTGGGATCTGATCCATCCACTACCCTGCAGCCAAAGAGTTGATGAGTCCCGGCGAGAATGAAATCACAATCATGTCCTCGCTTTCTGTCCTCGGTTGTGAAATCGAACTCTTGCTATTCGCTGTCATTGGCCTCAAAGGATAGTGCTATCAACAACCAGGACATCGGATCTACTGGACGTACATCAATCCGGTCAATTCATTATTTTCCTTCAAAGTGAGCCTACTACTGAGGTGCTCGGATTGCAAACATTATGATTCCAATATCGCTGGCTCTCCGCCTCCTTTTGGGCGGCAGTCTACTGTTTGGCTTGGTTGCCTTTTTATCGACACGATTCGGAAAAAGGACACCAAAGTCATGTCTTCCTCCAGGGCCCCCGGCAGAGCCTATTATTGGCCATCTTCGCATTATTCCCGAGGACCATCCGGAATATCAATATACAGAATGGGGAAAGCAGTATAGTATGGCAACGCTCGCAGTTTGATACACCGACATTGACATATCCATTCCATAGACTCGGATGTTCTGCATCTCAATGTCCTTGGGCGATCAATCATCATCCTGAACAGCGTCGAAGCCGCCCATGACTTGCTCGACAAAAAAGGTCAGAACTATGCTGACCGACCTCGATTTGTTCTCTTCGAAGTGTAAGGTTACACACTGCGTCAATGCGCGTGAACTTGAAAGCTAAACAGGACAAACAGCATGGGATGGGGCATCACCCTGACTTTCCTGCGATGGGGCCGCAAGTTCAAACTGCACCGGAAACTAATGCAGAGTTCTTTCACGCCGTCGGCATGTAAGCTCTACCGACCGATCCAGGAGGAAGAAGCAAGAAAGGCAGCTGCAGAGATCCTCGCCAGCCCGGGCGACTGGGAATATCTGTTAAGAAAGTTTTCCACAGCCGTGGTGCTGCGGATCGGCTTTGGGCTCGGGATCAGCAGAACGGATGATCAATATGTGAAAATGGCCATCGATGCGGAAGAGGCCACAGGCAATGGAGGCGTGCCGGCAGCTACCTTCGTGGACTTTTTCCCCGCCTTGCGGTTTGTTCCTGGTTGGCTGTTGCGGCTAGGACCTCTAGAACATGCCAGACAGTCCAAAGCATACATTCAAAAGCTACACGACGCCCCTTGGGACTCGACCGAGCCGGAAATCCGAAGCGGGAAAGCTATTATCCCTTCGTTCATGCGCACCCATTTGGAACGATACATAAGGAACGAAGAAACCGGCCAACCGAATGAGGCGACTATTGCCGACCTCAAGGGTGCCGCCGGGGCAATCTCGATAGCCGGAGGCAATACTACGTGGTCGACGATAGTGGTGTGCATCATGAACATGCTTCTCCACCCAGAAGTGCAAAAGAAAGCTCATGCCGAGATTGATACTGTGGTCGGCCACGATCGACTACCTTGCTTCGAGGACCGGGAAAAGCTTCCATACCTTGAAAACGTCATTCAAGAAACGACCCGTTGGTGCCCGTTGTCTCCCGTCGGCGTCCCACATGCCACTTTGGAGGACGATACGTACAGAGGCATGTTCATTCCCAAGGGGAGCGTCGTCTACGCCAACGCCTACGCAATGACCCACGATGAACGGAATTACAGCAATCCGGACGTCTTCGACCCAGATCGATATATTCTCAAAGACCAAGGTGGTAAAGGTGAACCTTACCCCGAAGGTCCCTTTGGGTTTGGCCGCAGGATATGTCCTGGTCAATACCTCGCCACAGCGGGCGTGTACATTATGATCACAACTCTACTGGCCACCATGGAGATGCGGAATCCAGTCGGTCCAGACGGGACAGAGATTCTTCCAAGAATCAAGTTCACAACTGGTCTTTCAAAGTCAGTCACAGCCCTCCAAATTGTCCTAGCGCTAGCCCTACTGACAGCCTCATAGTAAACCGGAACACTTCGACTGTATTATGACACCTCGCTCAGAGAAGGCCAAGCAGCTGCTTTTGCAGTATTCATGATAGATGAAAGAAGATAGTATTGTTCATTACTACTCTTCTAGGTTATAGTATGCTGTGGAGAGTACCCCCTAGTTTAGCAATGAGATCGCTAGCCAGAAGACTTCAAGTTCTTTGAGCGCTATTATCTGCAAAAGCCTCCCTCAACACTTGTGCGGCATCGGCTACCAGCTGTTTCCCCTGTGATAGTACACCTGCCATATGGACTGTGTGAGTATATAACCACAAAAGAAGTAAGGGTTCTTATTAGGAACTTACCATTCATGGCCAAAATAGTATGTGTCATGCCAGGATATATTTTAACATCAACTTTGATGCCCAGCGAGCTGACTCTGTCCGCAAAATCCAGGGCTTCTGGTGCCAACACGTCCTGCTCTGCAACTGCAATCCACGAGGGCGGCAACTTGCTGAGAAGGTCTGGGGGAGCAAGGTTTGGAGAGGCGCTCCAGTTATAAGCGTCCGAAGCGGCTGTCAGATACATATTGCGATACCACGTCATCCGGGCGGGTGACAGCCAGGGGGCATGTTGTCGCGATCTCCATACCGTGTCGGTCGTCGCAGTGTTGTCGATGACGGGGATGATGAGCATCTGAAAAACCAGAGGGATGGGTGTCGGGAAAATGGAGGCATTGAGACAAGTCACCAATGACAAATTACCGCCTCTGTTCGTCTCATTAGCCTTTGCTTTTTGCCATCAATCGTAGCATGTCATCTGTTGACTCCATGCTCATCGTCCGCTGGTGCCGGTTGCCAAGTGTGACTTACGCTGAGGTGCCCCCGATAGCGATCCGCGCGTTGTCGATATCGAGTTCACGACTACCATCCTCGCTGTGTACCCATATCAGAGCCTCAAGAGAGTCGTCCACTGCTGCAGGATACGGATGTTCTGGGGCAAGACGGTAGCCGACCGTAACGATGACACAACTTGTGTCTATATACACATCAAAAATGCATCCAACCTTTTGTAAGCTCGTACATACCCCTGCACATCCTCGTACAAAAGTCATTCTCACTCTGTATCCCTCCTATAGCCCAACCTCCACCGTGATACCACACAAATACGGGCCATCCGTTTGCTGGACGCTCCCCTGTTGGCCAAAAGACTCGCACTGTACAGTGCTCTAGCTCGATATCTTTGACATCTTTGACCGGCACGGGTGCAGATCCCCCGGGCGGGAATGGCACACGCGTACGAGTGCTTACCGAGTCCCACGGGCGGACATGGTCAGGTTCAACATACTGGATGTACTTATCGTGGAAAGCAGCATACTCGGGATCCAGATGGGATCTGATCTCGGGGTTGAGAGGTTGATAAATTGTGCTGCTGAGCTCTGCATCGCTGAGTCTCATGGCTGAGCTCATCCTCTGTCTTCAGTATTGTATAGAAGAGTGCAAACCCGAAATTCATTCGGTGCCGAGGCCAAGTTTGTGCTGGAGTGCCGGGAGTCAGATATCCGGCGTCCAATAAGCACTTAAACAATGTTGCGACATGTAGTTGACGTAAATAGAAATGTCCATTACTCTACACATAGGCCCAGACGCGGCTTGGATGTTGAACATGGATCCTGGGCATGTAGCGCTGCTTGCGAATGCTGGTGAGATGAGAATCAGATCGATTATAGGTTTGCCGAAAATCCGGCAATGTAGTCAGATAGCCTTACCGGCGGCAAAGTGGAAAAGTGGATTTTGATAAGCCTGCTAAACGTGAAGAGCACAACGGATATTGACGCAGTCAATGCTCCCTTCACTTTCTTATCTCGGACCTCCGAGAGCACTTTTTTCAAACAAGCAAGAAGAATATGCTGAGAAGGGCAAGCGGGCTGGAAAAACAATTCTAGTGGCGGGTTATCCGAATCTTGAATCTCCAATAGCCCTCGAACAAGCATTGCTTAACCGACCTAGGTGGACGGGTACAACCGTTCGCTTCGCAGGTTGGGCTATAGGGAGTTTGCACGTTTGATAGCCATCTCTTACTGGCATTCTTCAGTGGCCACGATTGTCACGATCCACAGAGTCGTCTCAGGGATCTATCAGATAAAAGCGAGTCTCCCTCAAGGCCGGACTCCCGCCGAAGCGCCAACGAGAATACCACCCCGACAATGACCACCAACTCGGCCTCAGACTCAAATGTTCAGTCCGGCTATGGAAACCGGATGGAATGGGGTCAAAGACCGGCATTGATTTTGATCGATGTGTGCAAGGCATATTGGACCGAAGGATCTCCCCTGTCGGTTCTGTCCAACCCAACTGGGGCTGCCTCGCCAGACTCGATGCGACGGCTACTGGCCGCTGCTCGAGCAGGCAACGTGCCGGTGATATGGACCAAGGTTGAATACACCCGGGCAGATATGGGGGATGCAGGACTATTTTGGCGCAAGGCAAAAGCCCTCGATGTGTGGCTGAAAGGGGACACACGAGGACTGGCAGACTGTATCGAAGGACTGGAGCCGGCAGAAGGCGAAGTCGTAGTGGTGAAGAAGTACCCCAGCGCCTTCTTTGGGACATCTTTGATTTCAGAACTTCAGGTAAGCCTGCTAGCAAGATACTAACATCCCAGACCTACTGTCAACAACCACTGACTGCTAATGTTTGGCAGGTGTTGGACGTTGATACTCTGGTGATCTGTGGTGTGAGTACTTCTGGATGCGTACGTGCCACGACACTCGACGCGCTTCAGTATGGGTTTAGACCAATGGTCAGTCCGCCTTCTTTCGTCTTTGACGCCTATTGCTATTGTTATGTTTGAAAGCTGAGAGGGCCATAGGTCGTCGGACAAGCATGTGGTGACCGACTGCCCGAGATTCATAACGCCAATCTTTTTGACCTGGATGCAAAATATGCCGACGTGATTGAGGAATCGGATGCCATCTACCACCTGAAGTCAGGTTGGTGATGCGAAGAAGGTCATCAAGATTGAGGTATTGCTCTTTAATTTGTATAGTCATCCTACTACTCAATTTTGGTTGACGTCTACAGAGAACCCGCTTCAATTGAAAGGGGTCGCTAATCACTTACACCTTCGATACTGTAGGTGGCACGTTAGGCACATATCATGTTTCTTGTCAAACCATCCCATCTGTAGTTACGTAGCATTCCATGGTTGTCGTATACAACGACCAAATATCATTCTTCAAGGTGACGAATGAGCTTGCGGCCCCCGTAGCAGAACCTCTGGCGGTATTGTCTACCTTCCTGGCAGTCGCAGGAACAAGAAGAGCCAGCAGAAGTCAGCAGTGGTGGAAGAATGTGAATAGCCTTCAGTTCAACTTATAAGGGACTATCACAGTATCTAGTAGATAGCAGAGAAAGTCTCCACTTTTCTTACCTGCCGGAAGTGGAGTCTAAGCCGGTGTCCCTGGGCCGTAATCGGAGATAAGACCGGACACCCCCTGCAAAATTGCACAGTATAATGTTTGTATGCCTCACATACAGACTACATACTCGGTGATCATGCTTCAAGACTGCACTTGGCAGTTAAACCATTGAGCTGCCGCTGCACCTTCAATGCATGTTGCTCCTAGTACCCGATGCCTATAGACGAAAAGGAGCCCGAGGTCACTGACTCGTCTCCCGAGCTTGTGACTGCCACGCAACCCCCTGTGTCTGACAATGTCAACCTGGAACCGTATAGTATCCATGGAAGAAAGGCAAAATGGTTCCTTGTCGGCATGGTTGCTTTGGCTGGCTTCTTCAGGTACGATCTAACAGGCCTTAAACGAAGAGTTCGACACTGATTGAGGTCGAAACCAAACAGTCCATTACCCGCAAACATATACTTTCCGGCCATGCCTGCCTTAGCGACTGTCTTTAACGTTTCGATCGAGTCGGTTAACTTGACGGTGACTATATATCTGGCCATGCAAGGCATATGTATGTTGGAACACGCTGCCCCTTTGAAGGCAGTAGTCCTGACACTTAAGTCTCAAAGCACCCATGCTCTGGGGACCACTTTCCGATCGGTTGGGACGTAGGCCCATGTTCATGATCTGCCTCGCGATCCTGGTGGCGGCGTGTATCGGTCTGGCCTTGACTCCTGCGTCTGCCTTCTGGCTGTTTCTCCTCCTCCGCGCTCTGCAAGCCGGAGGTTGTGCCAGTACCATCGCTCTTGGTATGTCGCTGTACCTATGGTTTTTTTTATGGAGGTCTGAGAAGAAAGCTGACCGGCCGTTCTTTTGGGTCACCAGGCTCCGGAGTCATTGGAGATATCTCAACACCCGAGGAGAGAGGGGGGTTTTTTGGAATGTTCAATTTAGGACCAATGGTAGCATACTCCTTCTTCACGGTTGCTCGATCGTATGGCTGACATGATCATTGTAGCTTGCTCCTTGCATAGGACCAGTTTTAGGAGGCGCTCTCAACGATGGGTTGGGCTGGAGGTAGCAACACATTCCACAGCATGTCCAGAAATTGTTCGCTGACAGGAGATCTTTCATCTGCAGATCCATTTTCTGGTTTCTGACAGCTTTTGCCGCAGCCTGCCTTGTATTCATCGCCTGGTGAGAAAAGTCATCTCAGTCCTTCGGGCTTGACAACAGACTAATAGCGCTTAGCTTCTTACCAGAAACCATGAGAACCTTGGTTGGAAATGGTAGCTTCGCTCCTCCACACGCGATTTATCGTCCCCTCATACCCATCATACACCAAGGGACCATCGACCCGACGAATTCATCGCACATGACCCGGGCTACTCGTCAATCAGTGAATCCCTTGAAGCTCTTCCTCTATAAAGATGTCCTTTTGACGCTGTCCTACACTGGTATTGTGTATGCGGTCAATTATACCATTACAGCCACAATCTCGAACTCATTTGCTCACATTTATCCCTACCTTTCCGACACCTCAATAGGGCTGTGCTACCTCGCGTCAGGAGGCGGAATGATCTTGGGTTCGACACTTACAGGGAAAATGTTAGACTGGGAGTATCGAAGAATTCGAGAAAAGTGGGATCGGACTCCTCAAAGTACCAAGAGCAGCGACTTCCCCATCGAAGTAGCACGGCTCAGAATGGTGCCTGTGTTACTGGTGATCTTCGTTGCCTGCGTTCTCGCTTGGGGGTGGTGCTTAAAGAACAAAGTATCCATTGCAGGGCCCCTAGTGCTCCAAGTCATCTGTGAGTGCCACAAAAAGCCCAGAATCTACGCACATTGTGAGCAGCAGCTGATAGAAACAGTGGGTTATACGTCCATCTCGATATTGAACACAACCATGACTTTGATGATTGATATTGTTCCGGGGAGGAGTTCTGGGGTCATAGCATGTGTACGTTACCCCCATCCTTTCAAGGCACCAGTGCTAACAGATATAAAACAGACAAACCTGGTCAGATGCTCCTTAGCAGCAGTGCTTGTCTCTCTGATCGACAAGTCGGAGGCACACCTCGGTCAAGGATGGACGTATGTTGTTTTGGGCCTTATCTGCTTTTTTCTTCTGCCCTTGATATACATAGAAATGCGTCTGGGACCACGCTGGCGATCTGCCCGGCAAACAAACTTTTCGACGATGTGATGTATAGTCGGCTCAGAATGAGTCAAGTCGTGTCCAGAGGTATACCGCATTTGGAGGCCTTTGGCTGTCAACAATAGAATATATCTTGAGATATAAGGGACTTTGAGGTCAGATCTACGCCGAATAACAGTTTCAGTGCAGCATCAACCTACTGGTCCATCATAAATGCACGAACTTGTCAATGAGCAAAGAACTGGTCTGATATCCGTCTGGGCAGTTGGAGTAAGGGGGTGGCCTAAAGCGGCCTCATATTCTTTCCAAATCAGGCTAAAATGGATTCAAGTTTTATCTCTTGTTACCATTGGGTGAAAAGCGGAGAGCCTGCGGTGCTAGCAGAGTCCCTCACCTTCATTTGCCGCAGCTCGTCTTCTCTCCTCTTGTTTCTCTTCTTTTCTTCTCATAACAGAAAGTTGATAAACCCCAGGATTTTTGACAGGCCGTCCACAGACCTATATGTTCGGCAGGTTGTATTAGCTGGGCAGACGGACACGGACGTCCTCCTCAAGAGCGCACGAGAGGCCAGCCTATGATCTTCAAGTCGCCCCGTAAGGACGTTACAATCATCTACACCTTCACCCAACACGATGAGTGCATGAAGCATCGAGTTCGTTTCCGAATTCCACCTCCAAATATCCTGCACATCTTAAAACCCTTGAATCCGCATTCCTACTTCCGATGCCACCGTCCTGGCGAGATGGCCTCGTCAACGCGTTTCCGATCCCGCAGGATCGTTTGAAAACGAAGAACAAAAAGCTCTTACAGCAGGGAGTGCATCTTGAGAATGTATCAAATACTTCTGAGGAAGGCGACGAAGCATTGCCGCCGGGAAAGCCATTCCCATTCCTCGAATTACCTGCCGAGATCCGCAACAGGATATATCGCTTGGTCCTGTTCAGCAAGCCAGGATACCGGGGAGCTGACGGCAGGAAAAAGAGCCGGACATCCATTCTTGCCGTGAGCAAGAAGGTGCACCAAGAGGCATCATACATTCTATATAGCTCATTGAGCTTCAGAATCTTCCCTCTCCAGGATTTCACCCCGGTGCCCACCATCCAGGAGTTGCGACCAATGTACCGTGCCATGGTCACCCAGCTGGAACTGGTGGTAGGGTCTAGTTGGACCGGTCCGCCCAAAAGCTGGCGCGTGAACAAAGTGCTAGCGAGACATCTGGGAAGGCTCTCAGCGGTCCAGATACTGAAAGTGTTTGTCCAACTTGACCCAAGTGTTCCCATGTACGAAAAATACCGGATCTCGTTCGACTTCTATACGGACTTCTGTGGAAATCTGCTCCACGATGTACTGGTCGCTATGCCCCATGTCACCGCTCTGGTGATAGATGGCAATCCCGGCATTGACACCACGGGGCCTCTTGTTTCCCGCCTGCTGGCTGAGGCCAAGAGTGAAGGGAAAGTGTGTACCTTAGGACCAAACAAGACGCTTTCCACCCCGACAGGACTGAAGAAGCCCATCTTCTGGATATGACATGAGAGTTATGAATTAATGAACTTGCGTTGACATGTACACGTTTATCAGAATTGCCGAAAATACCGTTTTGAATGTTTCGTCCCTGGTTGCTTGCCTTTGGACCTAGGCCTAGTCCCGGAGTCGGTCCATACCTATCTGTCTCTATGCAGCCAAACGCCGTGCGTGCCGTGATATCTGTAAGATACACGTTACAACTTCTTGGAGTTTAGCCACTGCTTCCTCAAAGCGAGCTCTAGAGCTCTTCATCCACATCCATCAGGCCGTTGTCACCATTCCGGTGGTCGTGGCCGTTGGATTGCGCCGTCTTTTTGGCTACACTCGCCTCTTTATCAATCATCTGCCTTGACACAGCCACAATATTGTCTTCGATCAATCGCTGACCAACGTCTTCAATGTGTTTCTTCGGATCCACCTTGCCCACATACCGCGTCTTGAGTTGTTCAGGCGTTAATTCGTTCTCTTCCCGGACTCGGCGTTCATAGCCTTCTGCCAGGTGCACGAGTTGTTGCAGTCCTTCTTCGTTGCGCTTCCGCTCCTCAACAAAGCTGTGCGGCAATTCAAGACCCTCGGTCCAGACTTTCTTGTGCAGATTCATCAGCATGTTCTCTTCTAAGCCTGTCTTGCGGTATTGGATCCCGATGCTGTAGTAGTGTCTGTTTAGGCCGTGAATGAGAGCTTGTATGGACGGTTTGTTGAGATGACCCAGATTGGACGTGGTTTGGCGAGGTTCTTGGCCCATCATCATTGTTTGCGGGTTGATCAGCCGGAAAGCGTCAATGACGACTTTGCCTTTGACCGATTGTATGGGGTCCACGACAACGGCGACGGCTCGAGGAGTCAATTGCTCGAAGGATTGTTGGGTGTTGATATCGACGCTTGAGAGCCAGCAGCCGAAGCCAGGATGAGAGTGATACCATCCCACAACTGTTTCTGGCCTCCCTGTCTGACGAAGCATGTCCATCATTTTTGTCTGGAAGACTGGGTCGACAGACTCGACACTGACGGACGTTCCTGATTGAGGCATGGCGAAGACATCAACAACTCGCACAGTGAAGTCGTCCACGAATTCACCCAGCATGAGACCCATCACTTCCATGGGCACGCCTGCACGGCCATGCCGAAGCATCTTCAATAAAGCAAGGGAGGAGATGTAGACAGTCTCGGAGTTATCAACAAGGTTCGTATCTTGACCAGGTGCTGGGCCATGGCCTATGCCCATACCCTGCGCCGCAGCGAGCATGCGGTTGAATCGGTCCATTTTTGATTGTCGTCAAGGAGATGGGATGGAAAGTCGAAGAGGGAGTAGGACGGAGGTCTGGTTCGTGGCGGTGATGCGCCAGGAGCGGAGGGTGGGCTGAGGAACCACAAGGAGCAAATGCTGCTGTGTGAGAGCAGAAGTTGTATGCAAAAGGCTGCAAAGGCTTAAACAAGTACGGTCAATGATCCCGGAATGCTTTGAGATGAATGGCTAATAAAGACGTTGTCGCTTGTCGAAATCTGAGATGGCATGAGCTGCGCGTTCCTGGAGGCCTGCAAGTGGCCGCTTAGCAAGGTTGTTAGTAGGGCGAGTGCCTATCTAATCAATAGCGATAGTACGCAGATGCCTCTCTAACCTCTACTCTTCAAGCCCTCTAAAGTTCCCACTAATCGCTTAGCGTCATCCGCTCCCTCCAAAGTTGGAGATCTCACTTAAGTTTGTCTCTCTCTCTCTCTTTCTGTCTACATACCCTACATTTCCAGGGCATATCCATTCTGGTCGCGATATACCTCATCTGGCCTCAGGCTCACGAAGCTTCGCACATGTTCTCAATGTCGACAAAGTTCAACTAGATGCTGGTGACCAACCTCTCTACTCGAAACGCTCTCCGCGAACACCACCCATCCTGACCTTACCGCCCTCTACTCCCGCACCGTGGCCCTGAGGCGAGATCACGTCGTAAAAGCACCACCATCTAATCAGCCACTACAACGAAAAGCGTGTCACCTTTGGAGGCGAATAACTCCTCAAGAAGGCTTCTGCGTCGCAAGAGATTTGGTCCTAGCCCAGCAGCGCTGCGAAAGCCAATCTCTACACCATGTCTTTTGCACCGGTCGATCCGCCGAAAGTGCGGGACGACAGCAAAAAGCGAGTGGCATACTTCTACGATTCAGATGTCGGCAACTATGCATATGTCTCAGGCCATCCCATGAAACCCCACCGAATTCGACTCGCTCACTCTCTGGTCATGAACTACGGGCTCTACAAGAAAATGGAAATATATCGCGCCAAACCCGCCTCGAAATACGAGATGACACAATTCCATACCGACGAGTACATTGACTTCCTGGCCAAAGTCACCCCTGACAATATGGACGCGTATCAAAAAGAACAACAAAAGTACAATGTGGGAGATGACTGTCCCGTATTTGACGGACTTTTTGAATTCTGTGGAATCAGCGCGGGTGGCAGTATGGAAGGGGCTGCAAGATTAAACCGTCAGAAAGCAGACATTGCCATCAACTGGGCTGGTGGCCTGCATCACGCGAAAAAGAGCGAGGCTAGCGGTTTCTGCTACGTCAACGACATTGTCTTGGGCATCCTCGAGCTTCTAAGATTTCACAAGCGAGTCCTCTACATTGACATCGATGTTCATCACGGCGACGGCGTCGAGGAAGCTTTCTACACCACCGACCGAGTCATGACCGCTTCTTTCCACAAATACGGAGAATATTTCCCGGGCACAGGTGAGCTTAGGGACGTAGGAGTGGGCTCGGGCAAATACTATGCTGTGAACTTTCCTCTCCGCGATGGGATAGACGACTCATCATACAAGGGAATTTTTGAGCCGGTCATCCGGGCCACTATGGAATTCTATCAACCGTCTGCTGTGGTGTTGCAGTGCGGTGGCGACTCTCTCTCTGGCGACAGGCTCGGCTGCTTCAATCTCAGTATGAGAGGCCATGCGAATTGCGTTCGATTCGTGAAATCTTTCAACCTCCCTACATTGATCGTTGGAGGCGGTGGTTACACCATGCGTAACGTTGCAAGGACCTGGGCATTCGAGACAGGGACCTTGGTTGGAGAGGATATGCAAGCAAACCTTCCCTACAACGACTATTACGAGGTAAGAGAAACTGGCCATCGTCTATAACGCCTTTCTGACGTGCTCTAGTATTATGCCCCAGACTACGAACTTGATGTACGACCGTCAAACATGGAGAATGCCAATTCGAGGGAGTACCTTGAGAAGATCCTGATGCAAGTCTTGGAAAACATGAAAAGAACCGCGCATGCTCCGTCCGTGCAGATGACCGACGTACCAAGAGAATCACTTGGCATGAACGACGACGATGAAGCAGCCCTCGATGATATGGATGAAGACGAAAACCCGGACAAGCGGATAACACAGCGCAAGGCAGACAAGTATATTGAGAAGAACGGCGAACTGTCCGACAGTGAAGACGAGGATATGACTGGCGTGAACGGTCACATGTCAAACCGCAAATTACGCGCGGCTCAAAACTACCGCCATATTCTGGATGTCGGAGGCAATGATTCTGGGGTTGAGACTGGAAGTGCTTTGGACACCCCACAGCCAGGTTCTAGTATCCCTGATGATGGTGATGAAATGAACGTGGACAACCACGACCTCGAGGACAAGCCTGCGCAGAGTCCTATCAACCCTACTCAAGAACCCAACGGTTCCGCTGCGGCTTCACGTCCACAGTCGCCCAATCCGGCCCCCGCTCCTGCTCCAGCTTCAGCTTCATTCGATGATGGAGATGTTGAGATGGGAGACGCAGACGCAGACGCAGAGAATGCTGTTCCTGCGACGGCCGCTGATACCAGTGCGCAGGCGAACGCACCTAACCCACCTCCGGTTGAGGAAGAATCGACCATTACCGTCCAACAACAGCAGACCCCTCCGGCATCGCCACCAGTGCCACCGCAAGAAGAATCTGCACATGCGCCTACTACAGAAACGCCTGAGCAGGCTCCAGAAACGGTTGCGCAGACGGAGGAGCCGATCCCACATACAGCTCCGATTGTGGCGCCATCGGCGACCACCGAGCCTGAAGCTACGGGGGCAACGGCTGAGGAAGCGGCCATCAAGGAGGAAGTTGTTGCAGATGACGAAGTTGCCAAAGCGCAAGAAGAGGGACGAATGGAGCGAGAGGTAGCAAATGCTGAAGGCGAGGCTCGCACCGAGGCTGCAGCAAAGGCTGATGAGTGATCGCCACCTGCTGTGGTTTCACCTCGACAGCTTTTGCAACTGTACAACCTGAAATGGATCCATTCAGCTAGGCGCCTGGTTCATGTGGGATTAAGCCATCAAAGGGACGGTGTCTGTTGCTGTGCTTCAAGTTATATTCATTCTGACCGCTACGATTCTATCTGCCTTAGATAGATCCGCGGTCCTAGATAGCAATATGAGATGACCAAGGAAAAGCCATGCACTTTAAACTGATAACCCTGTAGTCATTTCCCTAGCCGAAGTCGTAGGATGAACGGTCTTTGCATCATGTTCGTCATACAGCGCATTTTTGGAGAGAGAGGTCTGCCTTCGCCAACTACACAGGAGACAGCCCAGTTATCACCGCTGACGAAAAGACATCTCGTGCTGGTGCTATTCTGAAACGGTCAGGTTCCAACACCTCCTGCCAGGTCAGTTCGCCATGTGCTCAGCTCTAGTTGCCTTTCCAAAAGCGCAAGTATATTCTTCCCACTCTTGTCATCAAAATAGATCTTCTATTGGGATTATACTGTTGGGGTGTCTCCGTGGTTGGTTGACTAGCCGCTGTGTGCAGTCAGCGCTGTAAGGTACCTATTGAGTGTTGAGGCTTTGAGCAATATGGGTGGGTTTTGGCTGGCTTGACTTGATGTTGCAGAGGCGAGACTTTCAGTCCTTGAGAGGAAGAAGCAATATGAGGGAAATGATCATTATTGGAGAATGATGGACGTACAACCCCAGCCATTTGACACGAGAAGCGCAGGCGTTGTCCGGTGTGCCCCCAGTAACAGATACTGGGTACTTAGCGAGGAACCCTAGGACCCTTAGGACCCTAGGACCCCAGGCTCCTTAGGCCAGTGTCGCCTCACAACCTATTGTTACCAGGCCTCCAGAGCACGGCCAGGGTCTGTGTCCGCAGCTTCCAACTTCAAACCTTCCGCTACTTTCTATCATCACTCCTCCACCTTCGCAGTGTTGGCTCTGTCACCTCGTTCTACGAGGCAAACCTGCTTCCTTGCCAACTTTCACACGCTCTCTCCATTATTTGTTTTCATCTGCTTTATCATCTGGCGCTGCTCTTATCGTGGGCCACCCATTGCATCACCGTCCAACCAAGCTGCCCGGCTGCGGCGGCGTGTCAAAAGTCACGACCACGTCCCATCCCACGTCACCCAGAAGCTGTTCGCGAGGTGTACTCAACATAGCCTCATAACTACGGATTCTGCCCTGCGGCACCCCTTCCCACGCTGGGTTGCATCTAAGTGAAGACTTGGGCATCCGGCCGTGCCATTCTCGCTATGCCTCTCTCCGACTACCTACCGAGTCCCGTCTCCTTTTCCAATCGACAGTTTATGGGAGCGCTGGTTGAACGAGACCAGTACAGCTTCACCAGCAATGCGATCGAGGTCCTCACAAAGAAGCCACCTCGCCATTCGGGCCATCCGGACTTCGGTCACCTCACCCTCCTCGTATTTGAAGCCGTGCTCGAAGTGGTATGCGTGAGTCTACCAGGGTATATCGTGGCAAGGCAGGGCATGTTCGATGCCGAATCACAAAAGTTCATGGCGAACCTCAACATCATCCTGTTCACACCGTGCCTCATATTCACAAAACTGGCATCCCAGCTGACAGCTGAGAAATTGGCGGATCTGGCCATTATACCCGTCGTTTTTGTGGCCCAAACACTGGTGTCATATCTCTGTGCTTGGGTTATCGCCAAATCCCTCAGACTCAAAAAGCGACAGAGCAATTTCCTCGTTGCCATGGGGGTCTTCGGCAACTCCAACTCTCTACCCATGTCGCTGGTCATCTCTCTGTCTAAGACGCTGAAAGGACTACACTGGAGCAAAGTGCCGAATGACAACGATGACGAGGTTGCCGCACGAGGGATCCTTTATCTTCTCGTGTTCCAACAACTTGGCCAGCTGCTACGCTGGAGTTGGGGATACAATGTCCTTCTTGCACCGCCTGACACGTACACCGAAGAAGAGGGTGGCACCAAGCAAGTGGACCAACTGGAAAGGGGGAGGAGCCAATATCATGATGATTCCGACTCAGTTGAGGAACAGCGCCGGTTGCTGAGTCCTAGCTACGATGATGTTGCAGACAGCACTGGAGAGTTCGAGGAGGACGACGACCAGACTAGGATCGGGACGGAATCTCCCCGGGCTACCAAGTCCGACGGTCTGAAAACGCCCCGAACGCCGTACAATCCCTCAGCCGAGTCCTCGAGGAATTCGTCCCGGCGGAATCTCAATGGTGCTTCAAAGGCCCCTGACCTGATGCCTACGCCTACAAATGGGATGGTGGCTCCCCATACCCGGCACAACTACACGGCATGGCTGAAAGCCCCCGAAAACCAGAGATATGATGAGAACTGCGGTGGCATCAAGGGACACGTGAACCATGTCAGAAACACTGTCCGCCGTCACAGCTTGATTGTGGGCCACAAGATCCGGACCGTGTCAATCGCAGCCTTCGAGTCCCTGCCTAAACCTATGCAGAAAGGCCTGTCCGCGGTGTTTTACAGACTCGGACGCTTTTTCGCCGGCGTCTGGGAGTTCATGAACCCACCACTCTGGTCCATGTTGATTGCAATCATTGTTGCGTCGGTGCCGCAGTTGCAGCATCTTTTCTTCAGCGAGGGCACCTTTGTGCGAAACTCGGTTACTCGAGCAGTCGAACAGAGCGGTGCTGTCGCGGTGCCTCTCATCTTGGTTGTCCTCGGAGGCAATCTTGCGAAGAATACTATTCCTCGAGATGAAAGCGGCGTCGTCACAGACCCGGGAGAAGAACGAAAGCTTCTGTGGGCCTCGCTCGTGACTCGCATGGTATTCCCCACTGTTGTGATGGCTCCCTTCGTCGCACTGCTTGCCAAATATGCTCCTGTGAGCATTGTGGACGACAAGATCTTCGTCATTGTCGTGTATCTGCTCAGCGGTGCCCCTGTTGCTCTCCAGATAGGACAGATCACAACGACCAACAATGTCTATCCGGATCTTATGAGCAGGATCTTGTTCCACAGCTACGTGGTTTGGATTCTGCCTTCCACGTTGATCCTCGTTCTCCTGGCATTGGAGACGGTGGAATGGGCGACTTATTAAAATTATGGAATTGGGAATTTTGGGCCAGCGCGTTACTTTTGTTGTTGAATGGGGGCTGGTAGGACACTCTCGCAGGGTGGCCGGACTGGCTTTGACAAGAACGCCGGTGTCGGTTTCCAGCTGTGGGTTGGGCTAGGCTTCTTGACGGACATCATTTGTTGGCGGAGAGGAGGTCAGGTCACACTTGTGCTACTACGTAGTAGTATAGAACTCAGTAGTTGTCTGGAATCAATGCACACGCCAATCCAGTCTCTTGTGCGATGGGTCCATTTGAATTCTGACGCTGACAATAATGGCCGGTGGGAGCTGGATCGTGTCAAGATATTGGCAGGTGTGCAACTTGCAAGAGGTTGCTGTGGCTTATCTGGCGCGCCCTCGGCAATGGAGGACGGCTTAAACCCCGATACTTGAAACACTGGCACGAGCTGGAGTCGGAAATGCGCAATAATAGCTCGAATGCTAGGCCTTAGGCTTCTCTGTTCGTGCTTCATATGGGGATTGACAGCCGCCAGAACGTACATCGTATCTAGCGCAGCCTCATACGTAGGTGGAAGTGAAGTTGGATTGAAGAGGATGCCAGTGTCTGGAAGATGGCATTATTGGCATAGAAGGAAAATGACGTGGCCATCATCTCTCACTTCAGAAGGTGATTCAAGTTGTACAGAGAAGATAAATGCTACTATAGTACGATAGGTATGTACATGTACCTACCTAACTACCTATATAGTATAGCAGGCTGGATGTTGTTATTTCAGGTACCCGAGTGGATAGAGAATCCTCATGCTATCGGGTTAACCTGCCCCAGGTAAAAGCCTAGGGAGCCTCCTTTTAGCCCTCAATAAAGCCGGTAGCCGTCCAGCCCACATGGGCCACGCGGCGACAGTTGTTCGGTGGTATTATTAGGCACTCTCTAGGCTACTACTAGGTAGTAGGTAGGTACTCAGGTAGTATCAGCCCAGGTAGAAGTTTTGTGCTGTGTTTAGCTATACTAGTAGGTATGTACGTGACCTACGGGGTAGTAAAAATAGGTAGTTGGTGGTCAAGAAGAGTACAATAATAAGTACCTTGGGTACTAAGTTAGGTCCCTAGGTCCCTAGGTAGGCACCTAAGGTACCTGGGCAGCATGTAGCACAGTAATCACTGCACCCTGCCGTCATCAACATTCCCATCAAACGACTTTGACACGCTCGCAATAACATGGGAATTCGGAAACTGCCATCCTGCCAACCTCTAGGCAGCGTAGGAACGCACCTTGTACCCAAAAGTCTCTTCGCCATCGTTCAATCATGCGCGATAGCATCCCTGTTCGGCACGGCAAGCCTGGGCCGGTAGCAGCCCAAATTGCTCCATCATGATGGTGCCCGATGAGCGTTATTATACTAGTACTACGTACTACCAGTAGTATCACTACTACTGTGCTACTGCCTAAAGTGCCTCTGTGCAGCTGGGCAGAGTACCTACTATATCACCTAATAGAGTACCCAATCACCTACTAGGTACCTAGATATGAACTTGCTTCATTATTACGATTGTGCTTCATCTTTCTGCCTGGCCTGCGTACGGCATTCCTGACACAATCCAACCCACTGCATCTCTCCTCCTGCTGTTCAGCATTCACGAGATCCTCCATTCATCTATCAACATTCTATCGCGACCACCCACTTGCGGCACTACGGTCCGACCGCCGAACCCAAAATTGTATGACCTGTTGGACACAAACCTGCTCCAGCGCCTCTGGGAAAACAAGGAGGATCCGCGGCCCCATCTGCTACTACTACTACTACCACTACTACTACTACTAGGACGGCCACTTCTGCCTTCTGCCAAACCCACCTCTTCCAAACACTGCACCGCAGTGGCCTCCAATTCCAATTCCAATCACGAATCCTCCATCAAAGTTATATTGACCCTCTTCCGTGCAATTGCAGTCCATCCTCTCCCATGCGCAGGTCCTGATACCTTTTCTTGCAAACTTTATCGTCTACCAACCTTTTTCGCGCCTTCTTCGCCTTCCGGCAGAATCGACTTGCCTGCAGCGCGCAAGCTCTGCTTGCTCAGCATCCTGGGTCGAATGAGCACGGCTGCCAGACAGTCACATTTCGCCTCCTTCCATCCTTCAACGACCTTACTCTCCTCCTGCCCGATCATACTTCTGACTGCGCCTGTCGATTCTGGTTCTTGCATCTTGCCATCTTGCTGTCTGGCGCATGCAGCCTAGAGCAAGCTGCACGGGTGCACCGGCGCACTGGCGCAACCAACCACACGACACAGCTTAGTGACCATGGACAGTACGATCCCTCAGCGGCCACCCCCGCGCGACCCATCCACGAGTCCTGAAGACATACAATCCGAATCATCTCCCAATGTGTCCCAGTCGCCGTCTCCAGATCCCGCATCCAAGCGTCCCTCGTTGAACACGCAAGACGGCAGCATGGCTGCTCCCATGAGCCCTTCCTCCGCCCCCCTCGGTCCGACCAACGCAGCAAGAAGGCCAGGCCTGTTTCCCAGCCGTGCGAGTGGCCTGAACTCGGATATACAAGCAAAGATGAAGGCTTTCTCGTTGTCCAGGCAAGGGGCACCTCCTTCGTCGGCACAGAATATGAGGCAGCAGTCGTCTGGCCCTGGCGGTTTCGTGGGCGGCCCGATCTCGGGGTCTTCGCCCGTTCCACACACAAACTCGACGTCTAACCTGCGACTACCGCCGGGCCTCAGCCGTCCCAATGCACCGAGCTTTGCGTCCTCGCCGTCCTTAGCCGCAGGCACGCCGCGACTGGCGAGCCCCCGCCCTCCTGTCGGCGGTCTGGCGGCGAAACGTGGTCTCAAACCAGGTGGCCTGAAGCTGTCAGACGCCCAAAAGCCTGTGCCCGCCGGGCAGGAGGCGGAGAAACAGGACACTGGATCTCAGTTCAGCAAGTACTCGAACATCATCGACACAAAGACGGGCACGTTAAACTTCAAGAACAAGGCTGTCATTCACGGCACTGGCATCGATTTTGCAGAAGGAAGCACCTTTTCAATCTCGTTGGATGAAGTAGACACCATTTCCGAGCTGGGAAAGGGGAACTACGGCACAGTCTTCCTGGTCCGACATGCTCGGCCCAGATTGCGGAGGCCTGGGCTAGGCTTGCGAGGTAACATGGTGCGACACTCGTCACAGTCGGTGGCCAAGCAGGATCAAGATACAGACTCTCACACTCCTACTGCGGGAACTAGCGGTCTGGTTATGGCGATGAAAGAGATCCGTCTGGAACTGGAAGACTCTAAGTTTGCCGCCATCATCATGGAGTTGGACATCCTCCATCGCTGTATCTCGCCCTTCATTATTGACTTCTATGGGGCGTTCTTCCAGGAAGGATCGGTCTACATATGCATTGAATACATGGATGGCGGATCCATCGACAAACTCTACGGGGACGGAGTGCCGGAAGGGGTGTTGAGGAAAATCACGTTGTCGACGGTGATGGGGCTGAAGTATCTCAAGGATGAACACAACATCATTCATCGAGACGTCAAACCGACCAACATCTTGGTCAATAGCCGGGGTCAGGTCAAGATTTGCGATTTCGGAGTGAGTGGTAATCTCGTTGCCTCGATAGCCAAAACCAATATTGGCTGCCAGAGCTACATGGCCCCGGAACGCATTTCGGGAGGTGGCATGGCTCAGGTCGGGGCAAGTGGAGGAGGCTCCTACAGTGTGCAGTCTGACATTTGGTCATTGGGTCTCTCCATCATTGAATGTGCACTGGGTCGATATCCATATCCACCGGAAACTTACGACAACATTTTCAGCCAGCTGAGTGTAAGCCGTTGTCCTGCCCTGACGACTATGAGTGAAAAAGCTAATCTCTTTACCCCAGGCCATTGTTGACGGAGACCCTCCCGACCTGCCGGCTGACCGGTTCTCCGAAGCGGCGATCGACTTTGTGCGTGGCTGTCTGAACAAGATTCCACGACTGCGGCCAACGTACGCGATGCTTCTGAGACACGCCTGGTTGGCGCCGTTGATGAAGCCTCCCACGATCTCGGAGGAGGATGAGGAAGATGGGGAACAAGCCGCCGAAGCTGGTATTGAGACGGCAGTCTCCGGCGAGAGTCTTCCCGACACAGCGGACAGGGAAGTGGCCGAATGGGTGAAGAATTCAATGGAAAAGAAGAAGGCTGGAAAGATGGCGGTCAGCAAGAAGCCTGCCTTGCATGAGGCACCGCTGGACGCTGTCCCGGGGAGTCCCTTGCTCAACCGGCAGGAGACACTGCCTTGCCCTGATGATCCGGCGCCGGAGGACGTCAAAGCCAACCCTGGCGTTCCAGTTGATTCTCCAGACCTGACGGCGGCAAAAGTAGAGGGCTTAGATTTTGCTTCATGAGAAACGGCTGCAAGGCAACGGGATGTTATGACGGCACTATAGAACAGTGTAACGATAACGAGAGATGAGAGAACGCTTTGGTACCTAGCAATATCAAGCATCAGTGACACGAAACGTCCTGGATTTCCCGATTACCAGGTGTACTCTATACTGCACCAAGTGGTCGAAGGGGCCTGGGCGTCCCGGACACTCAGTCTCTTCGGCTCAAAGAGAAGTATAAACAAGTTCATGCTGCCCTAGATACATTCTCGACGACCCTAGGCGTTGGTATGGGACTGCGACAGAGTGGTAGTGTCGATAGTCGCACCTGATATAGAGACCTGGACGTTGGTTGTCACGATACTAGTAGATAATAAATGAATGGCGATGCTCATGATGTCAGCAGGATTGGCGACCGATTAAATAGTGATAAGATAGTATCCAGCTTCATCTTCACCGCTCGCCTCTACCTATTTGCCTCCACCTCCACCCAATGGTCCAGAGCGAGCATGATATGACCCTTCCTGGTATTTCGACTGCTGCTCGGCCTCCCTCCAGCGGCAAGAATGCCAGCACTCGCGCGCAGGTTCTTGATCTGGGCGACGGTGGACGGGCTGGTCCTGCAAGCCCACGGCCCTGCTGACCATCAGAAAACCATCCAGATTGACTATCAACGGCGACAACTCAAGGAGATTCCCAACAGTAACGCCGAGCCTCGACAGGGTGTTGCGCTAGAATCTCACGGCATAATTGGTAGAGTTCCCGTAGTGTCTCGAATCCCGCAGGTGGAATAACCAAGTCTTCAAACAGGCCTGCTTTCGGTCGCCTCGACGTCCTTTCTCATTGCCATCACACAGCGGGAACAAGTCGCTCAGATTTATGGGAAGCCTGTCTTTGTCATCACCGACATTGCCCTCCTCCCTCTGTCGTCGCAGACGGACGCCGACAAAGCCATCAATGCAGCGACCGCGACCACATCGCCAGGCTCGACCGCATCTACTACAGACTCCGACTCCGAGTTGAGTGATCCTGGAGAGGACGACGACGATAGCCTGTCTAGTGATGCCGAGCCCAAGGCGCCTATAGCCGGAAAGCAGACGCTACAGCGAAGCTCGAGTGTCACGAGCATCGCCAAAGATGTCTGGGTTAACCGTGGCCAATATGGACGATTTGCTTCTCAATGGTTCTCGAGGAGGGGCTGGGGCGTGGATAGAAGTGGTCCAAAGCCGCCTGTGTCTTCGGATGCGGATCCAACGTCTGAAGGCGATGCAGCCGCTGCTGTAAACCTCCCGGAAGCAAAGCACGACGCGCCAGAATCTGAACAGACTCGAGCAGCGGAGCAGATCATGGCCGGCGGTTCCGTCCAAGACGCTCTGCCCAAGATTCTCCGAACCACCAAAATGATCTTGACGTCCGGCAGCTTTTTCTTTTCGTACGATATCGATCTCACCAGACGACTGTCAGTTATGACGGGCACGTCAAAGGCGCCATCTGCGGACTCTCTTGACCCGTTGGTAAGTGTGATTCTATTAGTGATACTGCCTCGGACAACAATGGCTAACTGGTGCAGTATTTCTGGAATAGACGCCTGGCAGCACCTTTCTTGGACGCCCGACAAGACTCATTATTGATGCCGATTCTGCAGGGGTTCGTGGGACAGAGATCATTCGTGGTCAAGAAATCCGAAGCGCGCGACGAAGCATCAGCAGATGTGGTGTCAGCTGAGGATGGCAAAGCCTCTACAGGTGTGGACCAGGCACTCAACCAGGCGAAGCAGAGCCTTGCGAGCGTGGATGGGGAGACCCAGGATTATCTCCTCACGCTGATCTCTCGTCGATCGGTCAAACGATCGGGGCTACGTTATCTAAGACGAGGAATCGACGACGAAGGGAATTGCGCCAATGCCGTGGAAACCGAGCAGATCTTATCGGGCCCGGACTGGTCTCCCACCCGGGGGATACGATCTTTCGTGCAGATCCGGTGCTCTATCCCTCTGTACTTCTCGCAGTCGCCGTACGCGCTCAAGCCAACCCCAATGCTCCATCAATCCGCCTCCAAGAATGAGATGGCATTCAAAAGGCATTTCCAGGACCTCAAGAGGCGGTATGGGGGTGTTCAGGTTGTAGCACTGGTGGACAAACATGGAAGCGAGGCCGTTATTGGCGATGCATTCGAGAAAACCTTCCGCTCTATGCAGGAATCGCGTCAACTTGACGGTGTCCAGTTCGAATGGTTTGACTTCCATTCCGAATGTCGCGGCATGAAGTTCGAGAACGTGTCGAAATTGGTGCAGAAAATTGAGGACACGATCAACGGGTACGGTGAGACCGTCATCTCGTCAAAGGGAGTCGAAGTCACGCAATCCGGGGTCATTCGCACCAACTGCATGGACTGTTTGGACAGGACGAATGTGGCGCAAAGTGCTTTTGGGCAGTACATGTTGCAGAAAGACCTCGGTCAGGAGGGATTCGAGATCGATCTCCTTCACGACGAAAGTACGACCTGGTTCAACACGCTGTGGGCTGACAACGGGGACGCGATATCGCGACAATATGCTTCGACAGCGGCGTTAAAAGGTGATTTCACCCGCACTCGCCGGCGCAATTACCGAGGGGCATTGAACGATTTCAGCTTGACCTTGACCCGCTACTACAACAACATGGTCAACGACTACTTCTCTCAGGCAGTCATAGATGTCCTGCTGGGCAACATGTCGTGGAAGATTTTCGAGGATTTCGAGAGTACGATGATGAACGTGGATCCTGGAATATCAATCGATCAAGTGAGGGAGACGGCCATTGAGAACTGCGCCAAGCAGGTCATTCAAGATACGGACGAAGATCTCATTCATGGATGGACGATGCTGACTCCGGCGCATGATAACACCTTGCGAACACTCCCGTTTGAAGAGGCCGTAGTTCTCTTGACAGATGCGGCCATCTATTGTTGCAGATTTGACTGGACGACTGAGAAGCTCGCGTCGTTCGAGAAGATTGATATACGCTCAGTCTCGAAAATCAAGTACGGGACATACATCACCTCGACATTCAGTGAACGACAAACGAACGAAGAGCTGAATGCGGGCGTGGTGATCATCTACCAGCCCGGCAAGGGCAATACCATTCGAACCAACACTCGGTCCTTGCAAAACTACGTTGCCCCGAACCATGAAGTCGACGGCGGCACCGGCATTCTCTCCTGGCTGAGTCCCAGCTCGCCGGCGTCGTCAAAAACGCTGGCACTGAAAGTAATCCCCGCCAGCACGCACTCAGATGCGCCACATCAACATCGCAGCCAGACGCCTCTTGCGGTGGCCGAAAACATTGCGGAGGAGATCCGCAGGGCCATTCTGGGGGGTTCGGCCGCAGCAGACCGGGAAGCAAAGACAGAAGAGCTTGTAGAGAAGCAGGACATCATCTCGCTGGAGGAAGCGAAGAAGCGTACGGGGTATTTTGAACAGCTGGGATACACGATCAAGAAGATGGTATGGTCGTAGAGAGAGCCTGCGAGAGGTTTGGGTAGAACGCAAAGACAACAAGGTCATAAGCCTAGATGGGCATCGCAGGTAGTCAAAGCCATCAACGGGGAGTCCAGAGTTGCACAAACCCTGCTGGTCGACGATGAATGGTTGAACAGATGGATAAATGAATGAATGATAGAATGATGGATGTTGTGTGTGTCGCTTTCCTTTCGTGGCCGGTGCGGAGCAGAATTTCCATCCCAAGACAAAGAAACTTGAACCCGAACTTGCACCCTGCAATCCGCAGCCTGCGCAACCCATCATCTCCGTCCTCCTACCACAACCACCACTTTCCCATCCATCAGTGTGTTTGCGACACACTCTCTGTCTTTGTCGTCTTGTATCCCCCGGCTGCGATCGTCTCATCCGGCCTTAACCCTCCGCCATCCTTCCGTTGGCTGGTGCGCTTCTACTCTCCCACTCCCGCACCAGAAAATTCGTATTTCGTCCCGTCAACGGGCCCGACCTACGATCGACGATTGGGCCAGGATAGCTCGCCTGGTCTTTACGACATCCTACTTCCGCTCTCCTACTTATACCTGCCTTGTCGCGCACCCTCCTTGTTCTGTGGCCGGCGCGCAAGACAATTTGCCCGCGGATTCCCCTGACGACGGCCCATCTCCGGCTTTGAGGTCTATCATTCACTTAGACAGGCCCGGTGGGCGACGGTGCCCGTCATGGCGTGGCAACCGGAGGAGGAAGGCTTGAGACAGTTGTCTGAATACCTCAAGAGCTCTTTGAGCGGGCATGACAGGAATAAGCAGAAAGAGGCCGAGCAGGTATGTTTGACAAAGCCACCCCCGGAAAACTTCAACATTCCTATGCGCGTTCAGTTCAGCCAGAACAGTGATTGACGGACAACTTTCATTGCAGATGCTCACGAATGCCCGCAATAACGGTGATTATGTGAACTATTTGACCTACATCTTCAGCAACCCGCAACTTGGCCAGCAGCTGAGTTTGAACCCGCCCAGTCTATTCCTCATCCGCTATGCCGCAGCAATCAATCTCAAGAACTACCTCAAGTTTTTCTATCACAGCATCACTAAAGATCAACTGGCGTACATCAAAGCAGCCACCCTCACAGTCCTGCGAGACCCCAATCCGCAGTTGAGAAGTTTCGCGGGAACCGTGATCACCGAGACGGTTCAACAGGGAGGGCTGCTTCAGTGGCCGGAGATTCTACACGAGTTATTGTCGCTGGTCAGCAATGCAACTGGAAATGTCTCGCCCGAAACCCAAGAGGGCGCCATGTCCGCATTGGCCAAAGTCTGCGAGGACAACAGAAAACTGCTGGACAAGGAATACCAGGGCCAAAGACCGATGTCAGTGATGGTCCCGAAATTGCTGGAGTTTGCGAGCCACCCAAACCCCAAGATCCGGGTGTTCGCTTTGACCACCTTGAAGTCTTTCATACCTCAGAAGTCGCAGGTGCTGTTCTCGGCCCTCGATGTCTATCTACAGACCATTTTTCAGCTCGCCACCGATCCCGACGTGCAAGTGAGAAGGATTGTTTGTCAATCACTTGTGCAGCTGGTCGACGCCAGACCCGATATGCTTGCGCCCCATCTTGACGGTCTGGTCAATTACATCCTGACGCAGCAACAATCATCGGGAAACCCGGACCTGGCCCTGGATGCCGCGGAATTCTGGCTAAGCGTAGGTGAACAAGAACAACTCCGGGATCGAATGGGCCCATATCTGGATAAGATCATCCCCGTACTGTTGGCGGGGATGGTGTATGGAGAAGACGAAGTGGTTAGGCTTGGGGGCGACGAAAACAACGCCGATGTTGAAGATCGCGCAGAGGATATCAAACCGCAGTTTGCCCAGTCTAAAGCCGGCAGAGGCGTTACCTCTGAGAAGGAAGATACCCCTGGCACGCCGCAAGCGAATGGGACGTCGTCCAAGGATCCCGACCTTAGTGACGGAGAGATCGAGGACGACGACGATGACGACGAGTGGGACGACGACGACCCGGAGAATGCCTGGAGTCTGCGCAAGTGTTCGGCCGCAGCGTTGGATGTCTTCGCGGTCAACTACCATTCGAGCGTCTTCAACATCATCCTTCCATATCTGAAAGACAATCTGTCTCATAACCTGTGGCCGAAGAGGGAAGCGGCCGTCCTCGCCCTGGGGGCCATTGCGGATGGATGCATGGATGTTGTCTCTCCGCATTTGCCCGAACTTGTGCCCTTCTTGATTTCCCTTCTCAACGACGAAGAGCCGGTTGTTAGACAAATCACCTGCTGGTGTCTGTCACGATACTCCGAGTGGGCGGCGAGGCTGGAATCGCCGGCCGACCGACAACGATACTTCGAGCCGATGATGGAAGGCCTGTTGAAGCGAATGCTCGACCAGAACAAAAAGGTTCAGGAGGCCGGAGCCAGTTCCTTTGCCAGCCTCGAAGAGAAGTCCGGGGACAAGTTGAAGCCTTATGTCGAACCCATCCTGCGCCAATTCACCGAATGCTTTAGGCGATACAAGGACAAGAACATGTACATCCTCTACGACTGTCTACAGACCCTTGCCGAGAATGTGGGATCCGACATGACCAAGCCGGAACTGGTCGATCTGCTGATGCCCGTCTTGATCGAGCGCTGGAATAAGATCCAGGACGACTCGAGGGAGATGTTTCCCCTGTTGGGTTGTCTGGGCTACATCGCCATGGCGTACGGCGACACGTTCGCCCAGTTCGCTCCTCCCATCTTCGACCGGTGCATCAAAGTCATCTACTCCAACCTGCAGCAGCACATGGCCTACCTATCCGGAGCGACCATCGACGTGCCAGACAAAGACTTCATCGTGACCGCACTAGATTTGTTGTCGGCCATCATCCAGGCCATCTCGCCACAGAACTCGGCGCCCTTGGTACAGAACTCCCAACCGCAATTCTTCGACCTCCTTTGCTTCTGCATGGAAGATCCCACCACGGACGTGCGGCAGTCCGCGTACGCCGTGCTCGGCGACTGCGCGATAGCACTGTACAGTTCTCTGGACAATTACGTGCCGAAATTGCTGCCCGTCGCGATCCAGCAGCTCGATCTGGACGCGATGCCGGATACGGACTCGGACAGCGGCTTCAATGTGCTCGCCAACGTGTGCTGGTCGATCGGCGAGATCGCGGCCCGCGCGCCGACGTCGCGCATCTCGCCCTTCATCGAGCCGCTGTACCAGGGCCTCGTGGCGATCATCAAGAACGAGGAAGTCGCCGACCCGGCGAGCGAGAACGCCGCCACGGCGCTCGGCCGACTCGGCATCTCGTGTCCGATCCACCTCGCCCCGTTCCTGAAGGATTTCGCCGAGCCCTTCTTGCAGTCCATGTCCAAGATCTCCACGTCGCACGAGAAGGCCTCGGCGTTTCTGGGCTTCAACAACGTCATCGAACGCAACCCGCAGGCCATGGAGAGCAGCCTGGCCCTCTATTTCGCCGCCATTGCCCAGTTCCCGCAGAAGGGGAAACAGGGCGCCGAGTACGCCGAAGTTCGCGCCAGTTTCGCCCGAGTCATCCAGGGCTACGTCGGCCTCATTGGCGCCGATGGGTTCAATGCTTTCCTGTCCGGCCTGACTCCGCCGGTCAGAGCGAAGTTGAGAGATGGATATGGTGTTGGAATGGGCTGAATTGCTGTCGGTCAAAGTGGAGGCTGATACGTCGTTGCATCCACTCAATAAGACGGGTCGATGAGATCACAGGGGAAAATGAGCCGCTGAGATGCTATGGGTAAATGAAGAAAGACGTCACGCACGTTGGTGGTCCAGAATGGGACGAGAGTGGGACGAGAATGGGACGAGAGAGTGAGAGAGAGAGAGAGGAAAAAGTATCTAAACCGTCCATCTCTGCTAGAACAGGAAGCGAACAGAGGCGACCATGGAAGAACAACCACAACTTGATTTCCTCGCATCAAGCTCAGATGGATCATGCGGCGGTCCTCTATCTAGATACAGGGAAATAAAAGAGCAGAGAGGAGAGAGAGTTAGAGACCACAGAAAGAAAGAATCAGAAGGATTGCTTGTCTTGTCTCCCATCTCGCCGTCTTCTGTCTTTTCTACTTTACTGCTGTTTCCTTTAATTCCAAACAATTGATAACAGCGTGTGATCGTAGACAGACAGACCTCTTGATCTCGGTGTCGGTCCCGAAGCAGTGTACAGCCATCATCATCATCACCACCACCACACTTGCTTTGAGAAGGCCGGCCGGCTGGTCAACTCGTTGGTAGGTGTAGAGGGAAGAAAGCCACTGGCTGGCGCTCGTCAGGCCGCAAATCAAATCCACAGCCAAGGCTGGCGGCACGAAGATGAATGCAAAGTGGCTATGAAACACCCTTGTGACAAGAACAGAACAGAACAGAGAGAAACTCCTCTGTCTGCCTATGCCTAGATACCCAATCCCAACTCCAGCCGCACCACGGTCCAGAAAAGTGCGCCTCTCCTGATGAGAAGTCAAGCACGGGCAGTTTCGTGGATTGCTTGACGGCGGATTCAGTCCACCGGCCAAAATGTTGATCTGCGTCTACGGAGGTGCGTCTGTTTAGAAACTCACTCACTCACTCACATGTTACTGCGCAAGGGGATGGAAAAGCGGCGAGTTGGAATGTGTGTTGTTTTGTGTTCGAGAGGAGACAGACGAGAAGATTTCTTTCTAGAATCGTACAAAATTTCTCCAGGACTACCTCCTGCTGTCCCCTTACCCTGGGAGTCAGAACGTCACGCATCACTCGTTCTTTCGGTATCAATCAAGCTGAGAGAAGAAAGAACAGCCAAGGAAAGAAATTCTGCATTGAGAGCAAGCATTGTACTGAAATGTAAGAAGGGAGACACCGACCGTCTTGCACTTACAAGCAAGCAGCTTGGTATCGAGATGCTAATGCTGCCTCGAAGCCCCACAGAAAAGAATAGAATCGGCTTCCCATCCCATCATTTCAATTCAGGCTGCCTTGGGAGGCCCGTGGCGGATGATTTTTGACGAGGTTTTGGCCGTCACTGGTCAGTGTTCCTCCCTGGTTCAATTTGAGACCGTGTCTTGTCCATCCACTCACCAAGAAAACCCAAGAGTCGACGTCAGATCACTCAAGCTGAATGACGATAATGCACCGTGATCGCAGATATGGTAGAGGAAGAAGTGCCCAGTCAGTCCATACGCCAATGCAATAGACTTAGCTGATGCTTGAAACCCGCAACTGAGTGGTCCCAAAAGTGACCAATTGCCGATGACAGATGCCTTTGCGCCGTTGAATACCAATGATCGTAGTTATTGATAGGCCAAGAGAGGTTGCTGCAGTTTTAGACCATGATAGTTTTCTGGGCAGGAGTAAATGCGTATTTGGGCATCATCGCCATCTTCTCTTCAGGGCTTGTTTCGTTGTCAGAGTACACCAACCTGGTTGTTTTGGGTTTCTCCTTGTCCTTCTTCTCTGATTTCTCCTCGGTAGCATCTTCTTTAGCTGGAGCAGACGCTGTCGGTTGCGACTGTGGCTCCGATGGCGCTGCTGCTGCTGCGGCGGCGGCGGCGTTGGCATCCGCATGCTTCGAGGCACTCGCAATCAAATCGTCGAGGGATGAAGCATTTTGGCCGTCGTCAGCAGAGGAATTGGTTGGTAGGATGGTGGGCGGCGGTTGTTGTGCAGTGGCACTCGGCGAAGCTTCGTGTGGGCGATTCTGATGCACAACATTATGCGCTGGTGGAGGAGGGATCTGGCCTTGATGCATCTGCTGGAACTGAAAAGCATTGACAGGAGGAGCGCCAAATGCAGGTCTTTGCGGCAATCCTGGAGCGCTAGGTAGACTTACACTGCCAGTACGAACTGGTGCAGGGAAACTGCCATTGCCGACCGGGGAATGAACGCCTTGTGCCAAATGCATGGGTGGAGATTGCTGAGGAAACCCAGGCGCAGGAGATACGGTGCCAAATGGACGAGGTGCAGCAGCCTGGCCATGGTAAGACTGGCCAGGGTAAGTCGGTTGATATGGAGGCGAGAAGCTGGGTTGACTTGGATAACCCATCGGGGGCTGTTGATGCTGGAACGATGGCTGTGGTGGCTGAGCATACGGTTGGGGTGGATATGCCACAGTAGGAATTTGTCCGTAGACTGGTACTCCGGGCTGCGGCGTTGAAGCCTGCGCATAACCTACCACAGGAGGCGACCCAGCAGTAGGGAAATTACTTGCCGCTTGATAAGGAGTGGCAGCTGGAGCTGGAGCTTGGGTGAAGGAAGGAGGTTGACTGTACGAACCATTTGTAGATGGTGCAGTGTATGTTTGCTGGTAGCCAGGATAGGTTGGAGAGGCGGCCTGAGCTTGATGTTAGTGAAAGTGACGCATCACAGGCAGCTTGCTACTCACCGAAGTTGTCTGGGGCTGGTTCTGCCCTGACGCAGGAGGGTTTGGTGTATCGCCTCGACTGCTGCCCCCATTCTCCTGCTCGGCGGCCAGTTTCGCCGCCTTATGCTCGGCCAAACGTTTCTTGAGCTCTGACACCGACTCCAGTTTTGGTTTCTTGGGTGCATTGGGACCATGACCCCCTGCAGCAGGCTTCGCACCTGCTGCCTGCCGCTCAGCTTGGGTTTGGTGATAGGCGGCCAGGACGCGCTGCGCATGTTGTTGAACAATGTCCTCCGGAATGCCTTCCATGCCAAAGATTTCGATGTCCAGGCCAGCCCGGTTAGGGAGGGCATTGTCAACCGCAGTGAGGTTTTCTTTGTGGACTTGGCTCATATGGACGCTCAATCCTATGATCGTGTTAGCAAATGCCGGGCACGAAAGCAGACTGGATGTAGCATACCTCCAGCAGTGTTCAGACGTCGCCCGCATTTTTCGCACTTGAAATGTTTCGCCTTTTGATGGTTGATCAGGATTTTGAGATCGTCAAAGTCGCGTTCACAATAGTAACACCATGGCCGCGAGAGGATCTCTTCGACATCGGGATGATGACGTTTCTTCTTGGTCATATTGAACTAGCTGTGATGTTGTGTTGGGGCGAGGATTGTGGTATGAAGGTTGGGCAGTCTAATCAATGGATGAGGGACATCTAGATCAAACAGTCGCCGTGGACAAGAGAGTATGTGTCGTGAAGATGAAGTAAGGTGAGGTGAGGTGAGGTGAAACGCAGCCTGCGAGAAAAAGTGGCTGGCCGAACTTGAACTCGATGCAGTGAAGATGAAACGGCCTTCACTGCCAAGCTCGGAGAAATGTAGTGCCGCTGCCGACTACTACTAGGGCGGCGCAGTGCGGCAGCCTCGCCTCGAGTTCGCAGCCTCGTCAAGCACTGCATACTGCGTACTGCATACTGTTCGCCACATTACCTTATGTATGTGCTTCGAAAGATGGACTCTATTGGAGTATGCATAATCTGCATTCTTTGACTGAAGCTCAGCAGTTCCAGCAACTACCCATCCAATCTGTCTGGAAAATGTGGATGTGTCATGCGCCTATCACCTGATATGAGTGACCGTTTTTATGTCCAACCACCAATCTCGTTCTATCAATCGCTGGTTCGTCTAGTATTCCGTAGAGAGCGTCTCTTTGGAGGCGTGATATCAGCCACGGATATGGAGTCGCTTTCTTCCTTCTTCAGGCCGGGTCTCCAGCCCGAGCCGCCGTTCAACTGCACACCGTTCTCCACGGAAACAGCGTGCTCCTGTCTCGATTCCTGCTCCGTTGCCAGTTCGGCCTGGACTCCGTCTTCCTCTTCGTCATGATTCATCAGATGTTTGATTCCCACCGGCCCTTGTCGGTTCGATTCTTTCTTCGATCGACCAGCTGGCTTCGCATTGTCTTGAGCCTCCGCTACGTCGACTGTCTCGGCCATTGGTGCAATAGAGGGCGGCGTGCCACCATAATCTGCTCGCAGCTTCAGCTTTGTGGGCGTGCGTTTGGGCTTCGCATCGTCTGTAGCTTCATTGGCTTGATTTGCCGCCGGCGTCTTCTTGCTTCGAGGTCTCTTGTCTTTGTTTTCTGCCTTCCAGTATGCCCACTTCTTGAACATGCTGAAGCTTCGCACAGGGTTGACGCCGTTCACAATCTTTTCTTTCCAATCTTCCGCCTGGTTGGGATCATCATGCAACCATAAGTGGTTGTGCTTGACCGCCTCGACGAGCTCTTCGTCTGTCCACTTGCGAGCACGCAGCTCGTCAGGCGACAGCCCTTGCCAAGATTCCTTGGTAGGGCCAGTGGCCGGAGCATTCTGAGCTGCAGCTGTGTCGGCGGCCAGCTCTCGTGCTTCTCGTGCCTTGGTGTATTGGTTTGGGTGCTTCGGCTTGCCCTGAGCATTCACCTTCTGGCGCTTTGCATTCGGTGTCTCTGCACCTCCGTCCGCCGCCGGGGTGCTCGCCCTCTTTTTGCCGGGGGTGGACGCGGCCGACGGGGTTTCCGACACCTCCCGCGTGGGCGGGTGCTTCTTGCCGTCGAAGCGGGTGCGCGTCAGCCGCTTGTCCACCGCCTTGGACGGCGCTTCGCCCGACACTTCACTGGTTGGGGTCTGCGGCCGGATGATTTCCCCATTCTCATCGACATTTCGTCGCACGTAGGTGATGTTGTACTCATCATGGTGAGTCTGCAGTTTGGGAATCAGGGGTTTGCCCTCCTTGACGACAGGGACCCAACCATCCGGGTTCTTTGGGTTGCGGGCGTTCGCCAATTTGGCCTTGTACTCCCTCTCCTTGGGGACGAAGCCGCCCTGCTCGAACGGTTCCTGAAACAGTCGGACATCGTGCTTTTCTCGCTCTGTGAGATCCTCGGCATGCCTCAGCCCTGGAATGCCGGCATGGAGCAAGGCGGGTCGGTTAGGCTCGTATTTGTAGTTGTAAAGAGCAGCTTCCTTGCGTTCTTCGAAGACACTGTGTTCTGGCAGCGCTTGAGGATTCTTGGCATGGTTCTTGCCTTTGAGGTTTGCGATTTGTCGTTCCAAATCCATGTATTCGTCCTGAGCCAATTTCATGGCAATCTGGTTGTTGGCACTGGCGGCGTAAAGTTGCTTTTTGCTGAGCGTAGGGATGTTCAGGAGGAATGCTTGGGGGTCGCTCAACGGTTGGAAGCCATCCTCATTTAGTTCTCGAGAAGTGTAGAGTTCGGGCCGCGTGGACTCGCCAAAGGCGGACTGCCATATTGAGTCGATCTCCATGGCAGACATGGTAAAGAGCAATGAAAGGACAAGAGTACTAGCTGAATGCTTTTTCCCATGCACTGGATGAGAGGTTAATGATTTGACTGTGCAAAGAAGACCCAAGGGGAATGTTGAAAAGGTTTGAGAGTGGCAGAAGAAGTCCAGAGGATAGAAAGAAGTAGGAGTCCTGGCAGAAGCGAAGCTATTGTGGGAACCCGCGCGTGCTGCTTGTTCAGAGACAATAGGAATGAATGGGGAGCGACCCGAAAGAGTCAACAATACGAGTGAATCTGGTTGTAGTGAATGCAAGGGTCTGGCAGAATAGTCTGTAGTCTGAATACAGCGGGCCGATAGAAATGCCATTCATGGCCGTCGCCATCGCATCTTCATCTTCCTCTTGATCCTCTACGGTCCCCCATCCACCAATCAGCGTCGTGGCGCCCATACTAGCCCAAAGAGGAAACATGTCTTGGCCGGGAATTTTTCCCATGCAGTGAATGAATGAATGAATCAATTGATTGCGTAGCACAACTTGAAATGCCATTAGTAACTCGGTTCTATTGTCAATCAGGCACAATACTAAGGACGAGATTATGCTTTGATGCCACAGGAAGTTCAAACGAGGTGGCCCAGCAGATTGGAGCTGAATAAATTATGCGCTTTGCGTCAATATCTCATACAGGTAGTATCAGAGACCTCAGGTCTTCTCTCCGCTCTGGCAGAGAACCGTCGAGGTCACTTGGGACATTGATCTGACTGGAGTCATGTCTCTCCTCAAGCCGCGCCTTCCTGGCCTCTCGCGGCTCGTTCTCTCATTCTCTTCTCCGTCGTCTTCTTCGCCTCCTCCACCCAAGTCTCATACGTTCCATCCTTGAGCTTCATCGCGACCACGCCCTTGAGCACCTCGCCCGTAAAGCCGACGAAATTATGCCGCCGAAGAGCATTCTCCCAGTCCCATTGCGCGCGTTTCCGCTTCTCCCGCGTCAGACTCTCATAGTCCTGAAACTCTTGGGCCTTGATCCTCAAGTCCTGACAGACAGCCATAAGGTTGAACCGCACTTCGCCGGGCGGATATCGTTCAATCCGCCTCTGGAGCACGGGGATGATCTTCTCGGGGAACTCGTCCGGGGTGCAGTCGCCATGAGAGATCGGGTAGGGTTGTAATCCGTCCAACTCGTACAACTTGCCGTGGTGGCACGTATACGCAATGAAATGGAAGACGTCTTCTGTGCCGGCGCTCGCGTCACGCTGGGTCTCGTCCGCAAACGGACTTGACCTGGCAAAACTGTTGTGTGTCTCTCGAATCAAGTCCGAATTGGACAATGACTCTCCCCTCAAGCCCGCATCGAAGCCCGTTGTAAAGTCCTTGAACTCTTGTAGTGCAGGTCCTATATCGATTCTTGCTCGCGTCGCATCCGCGCCGGAAGATGACGCATCACTGGACTGGTCGTTGTTGAGAATGACTGACAGAATGGCTTGTGTGCCACAGGCATTTTGGATCGTTTGGGCGGCAAAGAATAGTCCTTCATCCTCCACTGCTGCAGGGTCGTATGAACCGTCTTGGGGAACTCCTTTGTTTTCGGATGATGAACCGATCCATTTGAAGAGGAAAATGACGCCGTAGACAGGACTGTCCCAAGAAGAGGTGTTAGCACTGGCCTCTGCATAGAAAGTGCGGTCTGGCGAAAGAGCTTATGACCAGACAGGACAGGGCTACGCACGACTTTCACGTTACCTCAAAGCACGAATGGAGTCGGCGTCTAACGAGATCAGCTCTTCGAACTGCACTCCCTTGACTCCTAGCTGTTCAATCAACGATGTAAAGACACCCTGCATAAAACCGCCGGTCAGCGGCCGCGGCTCATTCCACACCGTGAAGCCGGAAAAGGCGCCCACTCACTTCGTCTGATTCGATGGTACTCCAGCCGCCCGCAGATGCATCTTCCGCCATTGCTGGTGAGCAGAGAGGAGGACTTCGAAGGCGCAGGCCCGGATGTGGCACGGGCGAGCGATGGCGATGTGCAGAGTCCAACCTGCGCCGGGGTGGGAGTTGCAATTTAAAACGTCGGTGTCGAAACGCAAGGTGCGGATTTGTAGGAGCCCGCAATGTTATGAACCCAGGACAGCCGTACTAGTAGTAGGAGGATGGAAGATGCGATTCACTCTCGATTGTATCTTGTTGACTTGACTGCCTGCGATATCAACTTGTTGAACTGCGCTGGGACAGAAATATTTATGACGTTGATCTCGTCAAACCTCAATACTTCTCAGCTGTCACAATTACCTACATGCCTAAGGTACTGACACTTCCTTTCCGTTATTTGACCAATGCCTCTTTACAAGATGTTCCAATAGGGAACTGCTCAATTACTAACACATGCCCATCTGGGTCAACGCATGGATCATCGCGGTCGTTCGCGGCCTTCGCAGCAGAAACAATTTCCAGATCATGCCAAACAAACCACCATTCGCCGAATCTGAACTGAAAGCCACCTGCTTCGTGCATCTAGGTGCTCAAGATGGGTTGAGCAATCAACTAAAATAAACATGCTATGAACCAGGTACAAAGCTGAAACCCGTTGAATGTCAGCATCCTCTGCGATTCAGGAAGATCATTAGTTGGTGCTTCGCTTGTGTTGCTTCTAATGAACGAACAGCGTCCCTTCATCTCCCCTTGAGCAGAGAAAGAACCTCCGAGAGTGACCAAACAAGAGTCGCCGATACCGAGCAGGATTGCACATATTCCAAGGCTGTGGACCATCGTGAAATGCGACGAAATCAGAACCGACCAAAATTGCCCCCAACTTCATATCATGCGTATTGGCGAACAACAACACCCCCAAAATGGATCTTGCACAGTGTAAGTAAGGCGCACCGTCCAGATGACATTACCAACCGACCGAACCTTTCCAACCGAGACTTTTAGACCGTTCACCGCAACAAACGATTGTCCTGACCGAACCTTCAGAGCCTTGCCCTTTCGATCGTGCCCCCAGCGATTCGCACGCCGACAGTCCCTGAATTTTTCAACGCCTCGCTAATCCGACTTGCCACCAGCATCATGATATTTTGCCCGTCATAACATGCGTCATGCCATCACCGTGTCATTATCCTAGCCTCTCTTTTCCCTTGTCCAATTCCCTAGGGAAATGAGCGAATGCTGGGGGAGTCCTGTCCACAAATACTCAGTCGCGAGGTCCGTCAAGTCGAGAGTTGTGAAGGAATGACGAACCGAGCATTGATGTCTGTGCTGCCGTATGGGTTGTACGGTGCTTGGACCTGTCCAAAATAGTCCATTTTCGACCCGGCCACTGACATCTCGTGGCTGCTCCGCGGCTGTTGCACTGATGCTGAAGAGCTATACATCATCCCCATAGCCTGCGGACTACCGGAGCCCATTCGACGCCGTTCACTCCACGAATTTGCGCGTGCGATGGAAGGGAAAGAAGGTTCCCGTCGTAGCTCGCTGCTAGGCCCCAGCGCGGCCTGGAAATATGCCGAGTTCGGGATCGATAGCCCGCCTTGGTGGCTGGGAGCATGGAGAGGCGAATTAGTGTAAACTGGCGGCGTGGAAGTGTCGCTTGTGGAAGAAGACAGCGGCATGTGCGATGTCATGAAAGGACTGCCTTGCGGCGAGTATCGATACAGCCCGACCTCTTGACTGGTGGTATGGCTGTTGTGCCGTTGTCGTAACCGGTACGATGTCAAGATCTGGACGGGGATCTCAATCAGCGACAGCGCCACTTGCACGCCTGTATCGTGAGGCTGCGTGGCCCTTCTGGCCCGGAGAACCTCGTGGACGTTCTCCAACGAAGCTACCGACATACTACCCAGATATGCGCCACCAATTTCAGGAAATAGAGGCTCAGTTGCGAGAGCGGTTGCATAGAGATGCGAGAGCAGAGCCAGAGGAGCCAGGTCAGATTCGGATGATCGGAGGATTTGGGCGGGCAGCCAAAAGATAAGATCTCTCAGCGGTTGCAATCGTGCGAACGCTTGATCGGGTGCTTGAAGGTGTAAGTCTCGTTGCAGGTCCTGCAAGTACTCGACAAGCTGTCCGGCGTGCTCCACCAACTCTCCACTCGCAGGAAGTCGGAGGCGTAAGTTGTGGATGGCCGTTGTGATCTGCTCAAGTCGTCGCATATCTTCATGTGGTATGGCAAGTTGGGAATGCGACAGAGCCGGGGGGGCTGCAATCCTCGCTCGTGCCATTGCCCGCTGAGATTCAAGGTATTTGGCTAAATCAGACTCGTGCAACCATTGTCTCATGGCGCTCAGCACCTACTGGTCGTAAGCACTGTTTTGGGGCACCAGAATCGGAATCGTCAAACATACCGTCGAGATGCCTTGCTGCAACGACGCCCAGCCTCGCCTGTTCGCTGTTAGAGAAGAGAACGGCCAGGGTGTCAAGACTTGTGATAGTACCAGTCTGTCGATTGCCATGACAGCATGATAGAAGTTGCAAGAATCGCCTCAGAGTTCTCTCTGGAAAACATTCCAATGGCTTCATGGAGACCCTTGAGAGCCACTCCTCGATGGTGATACGCCAGGTTGTCTGTATCCGCATTTTTCGTCTGCCATGCAAGATGAGACGCCGACAAAGCAAGCAGAGCGCTCATGGTGAAGTCGTGAGACAGAGCCACAGAAATGAGCCTGCATCCCACATCACCATCAGTCACCTTTTCAAAGCTGGAATAGTTCTTACGAGTCCATTTTCAGTCCCCAAACGGTACAAGTGCTATATCCCCTGCGATACATGTCGGTCGACAATGTCACAATGTGGTGAATAAGGCGCAAGTCAATCGTGGAAAATCGTGTCCAGTATATTGTGTCTCCAACCTGTAGTTCGGCCAGAGGAGACTCCCCAGTGATACGCCACTTGTCGAGTCGATGTTGTAGGTCTGGGGACATGAGAAGGTCTGGAGGTTGGGATCCCATCAGGCGATCTTCTCCCGCAGCTGGCATGTCCATATAGTCACATCGGCAGTTATGTTTGGTGCAGTTTCGGCATTGGGGAAACTGCTCGTCGCAGCGGATGTGACGTTTCTTGCAAGTCTTGCACCCTTTGCGCGACTTGGTATGGCTCTTACGTGGCGGGCCCCCTCCCGGTCCAGCCATCTTCCTTGCAAAATTCGAGTACCTAGGTGGTGTGCAATCGTTGAGACACGAGGCCGGCGGCACCGAGCACCTACTGTGCGACTCCTGAGGTAAGAAGCACCTCACTAGAAGTCGCGCAGTGGGAGTGCCGAGCAGCTCACATCGACTGGAGAAAACTCTTCAAATCAGCTGCTTGCTTTCTTTGGCTTGAGCAACGTTTTCCCTCCGAGAACCGGCAGAGGAACAGGTGTCAGAGACAGGGAGGAGGCAGAATGAATAGAGAGGATGTTTGTATAAATGGTAAGGCTGAATGTGAGAATGATGCTCCCCACAAAAGATCCGCAGGGTGACGGTAAGCTGGCGGAGCAATAACTTGCAGAAGTCGACCCAGATTGAAGGAGAGATGGCCAGGTGGATCAAAGGATAGCAATCATCAACCGTCATCCACCAAGCTATGGTCAGCAGAAGCAAGCGGAGAGAGTGCGAAACATAGGTATGTCATCATACCCGGGGGATCGGCTTGGTTGTCAGTGGAAGGTGTTCTGGGCGGCCAGAAGGGAAAGCATGGCCAGAAGGACGAGTACTAGAGCTCGAATGAGCTGGACTCATGATCACAAGATTCGTGCGGCTGGAAACAAGCGGTCGCGAAGCTACTGCCGCCACGCAGAGCCTAAGGGGCATTCACACAACAATGATCGTGCAATGGGATGAAGAGAACTCAGCCTGGATTTCTTCGGGCAGCGTGCCCCAGCGGGGTTTACCTTTTCAATCTCTGGACATGGGCTTCTGCCATGCTGTCGCATAGAGAATCCACAGTTGAATATGTGAAGCAAGAGACCAGTCAACGGTGATAGGTCTACTGGACTCGGGCGGCCAGGATGACACAGCCTGGCAGCCGACAATGGGGATTTGGTGGCAGGTTGTGTTTGGCCGCAGTTGAGGGCTGTCAAAGAAATCCCGCCGCTGGTCGTGCAGCTGCCATTTCCCTGGCCTTGGCTCGATGTGGTCCAGGATGAGCCTTGGGAAAGGCTTTCAACTACCCTACGCAGCCCTAACCTGCCTGGGGGATGTCTCTTTGGGGCCTAGGAGCAAACAAGTGGGCGATATCGAATGGCTTTCAGGTCGGGCGAGACCTATGTCGCGAATCGCCCACTTGCTGCCGAGATTTAGCTCAAGATAGTGAAGCCAGGCATGAGATGCATTTGGCCTCTCAGAGCCAGTGCACATGACAGTGACAATAGAGACAAAACTTGTGGCAGGCGATGATTCAGAGCTGATGGACGCGCCAACTTGGGAGCCTGGCAGGAGGACATTTTGGTGTTTGGCAACCAGGCTGGTGGATCGCCTAATCGGACCACCGTGTACCCCAGGCTCGGATCAAGTGAGGAGACCCAGCACTGCATCAGCCTGACGGGGGAGCGAGATGACGGACCATACAGCATCAATGCCACGCCCTGGGTAGGTGGAATGATGCCTTTCAACGTAAGATTTCGGGACTGCATGGACCAATTGCAGCCCTGTAGAACGTGGCGAGACTGTGATCGAATATAAGAATCTGCGCAAGATGGTGCTTGCTGCCGGCGTTACGGTCAGAACCATAAAAGCAAGGACAATATGGCGTCCTGCTGCCAAGACGAGCTGAAAGAGTGGTGCCGGGCTGCACGAAGCTACAGACCGAAGAGGCAGCTGTTGAGGAGTGTATCCGTCGCGGTATGAAGTGTGTCCGATTGGGTCTGGGCAGAACGCCTGACTTCGGACTGTCCTCGATCGCTGACTAGCTGTGCCTGCAGCAGCCGCATGAGCACTTGGCCCGCGTAACGCCAAATCCGTCCGTCTGGATGAGTCTCGCGAGCTGTAAGCGCAAGTTTGATCGCCTTTGACGCAACCCTCTGTGACTCTTGATCGCTTTGACCAACACGGAAGATCTGGGAACCAGCCACGGCGTCCAATTTGCCATGATTAGGCGAGAAGGACGAGATCAGTACGAATGTTACAAGGGTCTTCAGGCTGCAACCCGGGAATGCGTTGTTCCAGTAGTCCACAACAGGGCAGCCTGATGATGGAGTTGAGAAGGCTTCAGTTGCTCCCAGACACCAGAAGGCAGGGCCACCGAGGAGCCAGCACAGTGTTCGGTCTCTGTTGTGGATTACCATTTGCTCGAAGGGCTTCAAGGAGTTGCCAGCGCATCGTTACAAGTTGTCCTATCAATGAAGGAGCTTTTGGGCCATGAGCGTTGAACAACTTCAAAGCTGTAGTTGACCCGTGAAAGTCAATTTCCAAAACTTGAGGTTGAAATGGTGGAGCCTATCGCGAGGCGCACCGAAGCATCAAACCGACATCCGTCAACTCTCCAGCTGTCACAAGGGAATGGACTTGATCTGTGGTTGGAAATAAAGCGAGCCCATTGCTGCGCGAGCGGGACGTAGAGGACCCAGCAGAACAACGTCCATTCGTAGCATTCCTCGCTCGTCCAGAACCCCTAGCTGGATTCGGAGCAAGCGCCCTTGAAGCTCGCTTACCAGAAGTCTGGACAAATCCGTTGGGTTGGAGCCACTTGAGCCAGTTGACATATGGCAGGTTTGGAGCTTTGATTGATGTCCTCTCTTTCCCCTCGCTTAGCCTTCAAGATCGCTGCCGATCGCCAGCTCCAAATCGCATCAAGCTCTGACAGACCATCGACAAATGGCCGTCCATGATACGTACGGAGATGGCGCACTATGCTGGCTGCTTCGGCGAGATATCAACCTCTGGATTCAAGGTCACGTGGGGCTTTTCAAAGGCAACGATCGGTGGGAGGTTCAAGCAGAGGATTGCAAGAGCATGTCTGACGACTGGGGTATGCTCTCAAACCTAGCGTTCAGGGTGATGTTGGCCAGGCATCATCATTCGCTTTGACTTGATGTACCAGTCCCGTTGGCGATGGCGAAGCCCTCAGTTATGGGGTCTGAAGCGCGACGAAAGATTTCTTTTGCGATCTTCATCCGGAGAAGGCTGGCTGTTGCCGGACCTGCCGAGTGAGATGTCCAGCCTGAAAGTTCCAGAGTCAAGATTGATCTGGTTCAGGCTGCATGGTGCTTGCAATAGACGGTTTCCTGCCCTTGATTGAATAGGCATGTTGTCCTGAGGCACGCGTTGTTGCATATCCTGGCCTCAACTTCAGGCTGCGGCACGGGCATCCCAGCATAACAATGTTACAAGATTTGATGGCTTGTCAGGACCTGGGCCTGAGAGTTACCTGTCACGTAACACGAGCCGGGAAGTTCCAGAGATCCAGTATGTTAGCTATGACTTCCTTGAAGGGTAGCAAAATGCATCTTTGCGTTTGCAACGTTTCTTTCGGAGTTCAGGCCACAGGATTCGGCGTCAGCTTCTTGCAGGTATACCGCGAGGCCTGCTCTTTCCGACCAGGCACAGGAAATAAGGCTCGATGGGTTGGAATGATAAGCATCCCTGGCAGGTGCATTCTCCACTAGTAACCAAATGCAGAGGTCAAGGAAATAGAGGACGGAAGACAGCCTTCTGGTGAGATGAAGAACTGTCCTACTACTGGGCGTCGACATGATTCAGCGATATCAGGGTTCATATAAACGATGCGATGACCAGATATCGGTTTCTACGTGTCACTATTACGGTCCGTCCAATTCATGAACTGGGCGGGTTGGGCAGTCGGCCAGGTCATAGAAGGGCTCTTGCATGCATGCAATTCAGACAGCATCAGCCATATTTGTGCCATATTCGTCTCAACCAAAGGCGGCATCATGTATACGCAGAGCATGCTGGGAGTCTCATGGAGGCCGCCATGTCCCCATTTCTGTGAAAGCCTGAGCTGCAGGGAAAGATTATCTGTCCCGTTCAAGAAATATCCCGACCCGAATGGGCCTGTACCATGAAGTTGAGCCAAGCCATAGTGGGAAAATGTTTCGAACGATAAAGACACGGATGCGGTTTCGGGCGCGAAGATGGGTCGTTCATGGTATCATTGGAACTTGAGCGGCCTGTGACAGCTTCTTTGCTCTCAACTTTGCCGCAGAAATGCGTCCCGAGTCCTTTCATGGACACAAGGCTTTGCTCTCTCGAAATAACTCCACATCTTTTTGCCCAATTTACATCACCACACCGCTGTTGCTGGCGATTCTGGGCCACAGCTCAGCTGCCTCCTTGCCCACCGGCCCTGTGATAGCACTGCCCTTCATTTCGCCCTTGGGGTTCACGATGACACCGGCGTTGTCTTCGAAGTAGAGGTAGATACCGTCTGGCCGTCTCCAGGGCTTCGATTGTCGGACAACGACAGCTGGCATAACTGGACAGAAATGTCAGCCTTCCTCCAAACTTCGCTTTTCAATCTCGCATTCTCGTACCTTTCTTTCTCAACTCTGGCTTTCCTTTCTTCACAGTCGCCATGACCATGTCACCCACACCCGCAGCAGGAAGTCTGTTCAAACGCGCACCGATGCCCTTAACGGAGATGATGTAGAGGTTTCGGGCGCCTGAGTTGTCGGCGCATGACATGACGGCTCCCCTGTTGTCACCTATTAGCCTCCCACTGCGACCTGATATGTGTCCACATCGCCCTATTGCCCTAAACCTTCCCGTCCCAACTCCAAAGGAAACAGGCGTTTGCCTCTAGCCGGGAATCGGAAATTCGAACTACGACGGTAGGAGAGAATGGATGGGCAACGCGACTTCGGGTGAGACGTACACTGGAAGACCGAGAGTCATCTTGAGCTTGTTGCCAGAGGCACCACCGCGACTGTAGGCGATAAATGTCAGCCATCATGTTTCTTCACAAAATCAAACCTGCCGGTCCAGAAACTGAGGCCAGAGGACAAATGCAACAGGGACTTGATGACATACCCTCGTTTCGACATGTTGACGGTAGCGAGATTGAATGGATGGGTGTCTAGGACTTTCGGGAAAAGTGAGGTGCAGTCAACCTAGAAGCCGCGAACAATCCCAAAAGCGCAAAATCGTGGGTGTGAATGCCAAGGCTACAAAATCTTGGCCATTTTAAGTCACGTGAATGAGTTGGCGGCTTGGCGGGGCTGATCTAAGTCTCAGGGCCCGGTGTCAGGCTCCCTTCAAACCTCTTCAACCTCTTCAACTTTAGAACTTTTCCCATAACGAACTTCAAGGGTGTTCCATTGGTAAGCCCTACTATACTGTGATATTATACTGTGATACTTGCATCTTTTGAAAGTCTTCAAATGAACGTCGGAAATAAGGCAACGACCTTTTACTACAAGTGGTGGTAGAGCCATCGGCGATGCCTGAGATAATCTGTGGGGGTTCGAAGGGCTCTGGAGGACGCAGGTGCCTTGGAGGCCTTGCGCCTGTTCGTCAGCTTCTGTTCCCTGACCAAATGTGTTCAGTTACTATCTCACGCTCAAATCTCCCGCCTCAGGTAGGAATGCACGAACTGGTTGAGAGACTGATGACTCTTCCTAGCCTCCATAAAGTATCTCAGAAAGGCTACGAAGGTTGCCTTGGAGTCGTCATCAAGCTAGGGAGCTTTTCGCAAAGAAGAAGACCCTGTGGATTGTGAAGCAGTGCTCCAGAAGGGAAATTGTTTCCGACTTGACCTATCAGACCTTGCCATCAGTGAGGCTGAAAGAAGTCCGCGCTCTGCAAGTCGGCCGATATGGACATACAATATTTCGTAGCCAGCCTCACGCAGAGATCCTCTTCACACCACAGCCATGGAGATGCTTTACCCCCACCAAAACAGTCAACAGAATTCCTCTCGTCGCACCTGATTGAGACCTGTGCGGTAGCTGCTGGCGGAGGCTGAGATTTTAAAACCTACAGTATGGCCGCCTAAGACCCGTGTCGAATGCTCCTAAGCGCCAGTCTGATCAGGCCTTCAGCAGAAAGCCACCACTGATGCCTCGATCGGTTGCACAAGCAAGGCAGGTTTCTCTAATGCACGGTTGGTGACATGATGCAGGCAAACTCGACTGCGGCAACAACAATAGTCGAGCCAACAGTCGCTCATTCAACTAGCTCGACAGTGGGATAGTCGATCACGCAAAAGAACCATCTCTCAGTTTCGATGGTCAGCGGCAGCATCCTGTAAGGCCAGCCTCTCGCGGTATTACGTATATTACCTATAATGCTAGACTCGGACGCCTGGCGCATCCCCTGGTCCAAAAGGCGTTCTTTGGCCTCGATGGACCCCGAGGGTCTCGCGTTGACATGTGCACCACCAATGCAGTTGGTACTTCTCGCAACGCCAGTAAGAAGAGCAAATGCGCAAAAAGGGGCCTGATGAAGCAGCCTTTGCACACGACCACCATCCAAGCAAGACCTTAGACCGCCAACTAGAAATGACGTTGACACCAAATTAATATGTCTCCCAACATCGTTATCACGGCACAGATACACACATGCTACACAGGCTTCATGCTCGCTCTCCGTTCTTTGCCGGCTTACTGACATATAAACCTCGCTGCTGACTGCCCCTCAGTGGCAACCGTCTTACAACACCGTTGTCAGGTTCCACTCCCACGAGCTCTGCACATTTCAATAAGCCACCCAGTGTGCCCCCTGCTTCGCCTAGTGGTGGAACAATGTTGATCAGGCTGCTGAAGACTCCAGGACGGCGAGCTGAAAGGCAACAGCCCACGCATCAAGGCGACCATTACCAATCACGATGCGGCTATTGAAAACTGCCATCTCGCGGCCCCCCAATGGTCAGTCATCCCTGGTCGTGATGCATTGGCCGGTGAGCTTCAGCGCAGGACTCAGCCGCGAGCTATAACGCCAGGGCCTTGCGATACGTCTGTTTACTCCTTTTCTGCTTGATGCCTGTGCTCTGGCCTGTACCTATCCTTGAAGCAGTGTATGCGTGATCACCATGTCGTCTTACTCCGCCGCCTCTGTAGCACCGCTTCTGCAGACTGCCCAGTGTTGTTGGCGTACTCAGGCCCAGCCTATATAGCCTTGGGCCAACACGAAGATGATGGCGAAGGAAAAAATTCTCAGTCACATCCATCGCAGCTATGGACGGACCTCGCGACCTACTCTTGGACTCTGACGAGGGCGTTGCTGGCTCCAGGATCACTGGTGCCATCAGGGGCTTCTTTGAAAGCATTGCTGGCTCTGGCACGGATCCCTCCAATCCAGTTATCAATGGAGCTTCAGTCCAGGCAAGGCCTTTCCTGGCCAGACTGCTCGCCGATGTTGCGTCTCAAGCACCTCGCCTAGGTGAGAATATTGGCCTCATTCATTCTCTGGTCGATACCACTCTTTTTGACGGCGGCCTCGTGGATGATCGTCAATATCAGGTATGCAACCATGTTGAAAGCCCTTTCGAACTAGATATGAGCTGTGGCTGACATCTTGGTGTCACAGATGGAGAAGGTCCTGAAGCTGGCAGCCTCATTGCCCGCAGGGTCGCAAGCACTCGATACCTTAACCGCCCAGTTCATCAAATTGCTTTGGGAGACTCTTGAGCATCCACCACTGTCGTATCAGGGCGATGAGTTCAAGTATCGCACTGCGGATGGCTCCAACAACAACATAATGTATCCGCACCTCGGTAAAGCTGGCTCCTCTTATGCTAGGACTGTTACACCACAGACCTTGAAGCCAGGAGTCCTTCCTGATCCTGGGGTCATCTTTGATGCTGTCTTTGCCAGAGGCGAGAAAGCCAGGGAGCACCCAAACAAGCTTTCGAGTATGCTGTTCTATCTCGCTAGCATCATCATCCATGACTGTTTCCATACCAACGAGCGCGACTATTCGACTGTCAAAACATCCTCCTATCTGGACCTGGCACCCCTCTACGGCAGCAGCGAAGAAGCCCAGAGCAAGATTCGAACGTTCAAAGATGGTCTGCTGAAGCCAGACACGTTTTCCGAGAACCGTATCCTGGGATTTCCGCCAGGTGTCTGTGCCATCGTGATCTGCTTCAACCGGTTCCACAACTACGTTGCAATGCAGTTGAAGGAAATCAACGAAGGGGGCCGCTTCAAGATACCTAGGGATGAGAACGACAGCAAAGGCATTGCTAAGCTGGACAACGATCTCTTTCAGACAGCTCGCCTGATCACGTGCGGCTTGTACGTCAACATCATCCTAAACGACTATGTGAGGACGATCCTCAATCTCAACCGGGCTGATACCGCGTGGACCCTTGATCCTCGCAAGAACTTTGGTGACGTCTTCGATCAGGCTGGGGTGCCCAGCGGTGTTGGGAACCAAGTCAGCGTGGAATTCAATCTCGTGTACAGATGGCACTCGGCTATCAGTGTCAAGGACGAGAAATGGACCAATGAGCTCTACCAATCTCTGTTCCCAGACAAAGACATTTCCACTGTGACGGAGGCCGAACTATTCAAAGCGCTGGCCCAATGGCTGGGTAAGCTGGATGCCGACCCGTCCAAATGGGAACTCGACTCTGGCAAATACAAGCGGACTGAACGAGGCACTTTCCGAGATGAAGACCTGATCAACATCCTCAGCGACGCAACCGAAGATGTAGCCTGTGCCTTTGGCCCACGCAACGTGCCTGTCGTGATGAGGCTGATCGAGACTTTGGGCATGAAGCAAGCTCGAGCATGGAATGTAGCGACACTGAACGAATTCCGCAAGTTCTTCAAACTCCAGCCCCACAAAAGCTTCTCGGATATCAGCAAGGACGAAGACGTGGCTCGTTCGTTGCAGGCACTCTATCATCATCCGGACTACGTCGAGCTGTATCCCGGCTTGGTGGCAGAAGATGCAAAGGACCCCTTGGACCCAGGCTCTGGCTTGTGTCCCGGATACTCCGTCTCACGGACGATTCTTGCTGATGCGGTTGCCTTGACTCGAGGTGACAGGTTCTATACAGTCGATTATACGCCGGCCAACCTGACCAACTGGGGCTGGTCGGCGGTCAAGTCGGATCCCGACGTCGCCCAGGGTGGATGCTTCTACATCCTGCTCATGCGAGCCCTTCCGTTGTACTATCGCGGGAACTCCGTCTATGCCATGTTCCCGTTCACAGTCCCCGAAGAGAACCGAAAGATCATGAAGAAGCTCGGCAAGGAGCAGGACTATAACTTCGAGCGGCCGTCATACGCTGGCGTGCCAACCTCGGTCAGGTCATGGAAAGCTGTGACTAAGGTATTGAACGACAAAAAGTCCTTCAATGTCCCCTGGGGCCAGCATACCTATTATCTCACCGGCCATGACTACATGTTGAGCGGTGACAGCGAAGCCAACGCCGCTCAACGCAAAGAGGTTCAGCACGCCATGTACTGCCCGGTCAATGGCCTGGAACAGGTGCAGAAGTTTTACGAGGACCTGACTACGCAGCTCGTTGTAGCACGTTCCGAACGGCTCCGCGGTGAATGGTATCAGCTCGATGCCTGCCGCGACGTGGCCAACCCGTCGCATGCGATCTTCGTTGCCCGCATGTTCCACCTCCCACTCAAGAAGCATGGCGATCTGAATCCGGTCGCGATTGAAGTCGACCAACTATACCTTGGCCTGGCCATACTGTTTGCTTATGTCTTCCTGGACGGCGACGCGGCGAGCTCCTTCAAGCTGCGCTCGTCCGCGAAAACAGCCACGGACGGACTGGCCAAGCTGATCGGGATCGTCTGTAAGGCCGTCAAGGCCGGCAGCATGCTCCACCTCGGCGAGCTGTTCCCGACGGGCAAGGCGGGCCAACTCCTCGAAGACTACGGCGTGAATTTCCTCAAACGGCTATTCGAAGGCGGCAAGAAGGTCGACGAGGTCGTCTGGGCCATCATCCCCACCGCAGCCGCTGCCGTAGCGACCCAAGCACAACACTTCACGCAGATGCTGGACATCTATCTGTCCGACGAGTACTACAATGCTCATTGGGCCGAGATCCAGAGGTGTGCATGGTCCGACGACCCAGCAGACTTTGACAAGCTGAAAGGCTACGCTCTCGAAGCCAATCGTCTGGCCCCTGCGGCGTTCGGTCTGCTTCGCAAGTCCAACATCGACACCGTCATTGACGACAACGGCACCAAGGTGGACATCAAAACCGGCGACCAGATCTACACGGACTTCATCAGCGCCGGCTTGGACGAGACTGTATTCCCAGATCCCAAGAAGATCGACCCAACCCGTGATCGGTCCTTGTATATACACCACGGATACGGCCCACATTCTTGTCTCGGCCGACCGATCGTGGAGATCGCCATGGCAGCGCAGCTGAAGGTGTTTGCCAGATTGAAGAACTTGCGCCGTGCACCGGGTCTCCAAGGCGAGTTGAAGAAGACCGTCCCTTCGCCGAATCCTACCAGCAGTGATCCGAAGCCCAGCCCGGGCAGTATCTCGGTGTATATGCTTGAAGACTGGAGTTCATGGTTCCCCTTCCCGACCAGTAAGTTGCCAAAAGAAAATCCAAAGTCCTCCAGTACCATCCCGTGTGCCAGTCCTTGGTGTTCAGCATCATTCTCTGGTATACTTTTGCAGATACCATTGCTCATACCCTTGTTTTCTATGCTTGATTGATCTACCTGGCTTAGTTCAATGGCTCTAACAACGGTTGTGATATATAGGTCTCAAAGTCCATCATGAAGGTTTGGCCCGGGAACAACCCGAGCAACTCTCGGGTAAGACTGGCGTGCCTGGAATCCAGGAGGAGATCAAGGACAGTGACATGACAGAAGCCACGAACGGAGTGAATGGGCATCACTAGCACAAGGGCACGGCTTGCAGGTACATTCAGGACGGGACTTAAAAGGAGTTGTGCCCATCCCTGACAGTCTTTCCTGTGAACAGTGAACAGTGAACAGCAGCAAAGCTAGGAAACAGGTTGAAATGAAATCACGCCGTAGCAGGGGATTATCTGCTTGTTTGTTTTCAATTCTCTCGCTCTTTCTTATCATAATCAGGGCAAGGAAATTCAGTACGTACAGACGGGGTGGTGGAGAATCGACATCAATGCGACTGTAATCTATTCATGACTTGATGGACTACAACCCTTCACTATGTATGGGTACTTTCCATCAGTAGTTACAGTAAAGATATCGATTCCCTTCATCACTACAATAAGTCTCTTCCGGGAGATAAATAATGGGGAACACATAGTGCTCGTTGTAGTCATGAATCATGATATACGTGTTCCACAGGGCGTCCACCGACGCGACGTATGGAGTCTTCAATTCAAGAAATACCTGTAGGCTGTATACAGAATATACCATCGAGGGACGCCGTTTTCAACTCTAAACATGAGTAGGGCATCTTGTCGTTGCTCAACCCCGCTTCAACGTCGACTTGGAGCTGACAGGGAGCCGTGAGTCGTCCACATCGCCATGACAAAGGACAAATGGTGACTCAGCAGCATGCATACAGCTTTCCCTACATGAGACATGCGTATTCACCTGCATGAGCAGCTCAATGTCCTAGCGAGGTGGAGCCCGCATGGGTTCGGGGCGTTCTAAATACTGGTCAGAATCTGAATCTGATTCAGCAGTATCGTGCTTAGAACTGGTTCATTCTCCACGGGGAGATATCGAAATCTATTTGATCCCATGAGAGAACGGATCAGATAGTATCCCGTCTATACTCTCCGTACTAACAGGGAACAGGGTTGTCTCCTTTTTCTTCTCCTTCTTCCGCTCGTGAGCACCGGTTGTCTCCCTTTCTGTGCGTTCAACGGGATAACGATCATACTTCGAAATAGGGCCAGAAACAGCAGCAAAACAAAGATCTCGGCACACTGGCAAGGCCTTACTTTGAAGGTCGATTTTGTGGAGAGGTTGTCAGCATCGTTGTTCGATTGTGTCCGAATAAGAGGGAAATCCCCTCATCTTTCCGGTCCGAACAACATCTCCTTAAGACGACCACTTTCTGGCCAGTTGCGCTCGTCGAGGTCCATTTCGGCGGTGCCTAAGGAAGTCGGCCTTAGACAACGCTGCTGGTGGTCAAGTCAGTCGTGCTCGACAGGAATCACGACCAATCGATTTTTCGGAAGCGAGAGTGTCCGCAGTCGTTCTATCATTACCAACATGTCAGAACCCGACTCAAGCCATTACGAAGCCATCGTCATCGGCTCAGGCCAAGGCGGCGGCCCCCTTGCACAGGCCCTAGCCAAAGCCGGCCGACGGACTGCTCTGATCGAAGCCAAACATGTGGGAGGAACCTGCATAAATGAAGGCTGCACGCCGACCAAGACAATGGTGGCGAGCGCGCGGATCGCACATCTGGCGTGCCGCTCAGCCGACTACGGCGTGCAGATCAAGAAGAACAGTCTGGTCTTGAAGATGGAGAAGGTGAGACAGCGGAAGCGCGATATTGTGGAGAGTTTCCGGACAGGCAGCGAGAATCGGATCAAAGCTACCGACGGTCTGGATTTGATTATGGGGACGGCGCGCTTCACTGGACCCAAGACGGTCGAGGTGACGCGCACGACGCCGAAGAGGGAGGACAACGGCGGAACGACGACGGCGGATCAGGAAGAGACCCGTCCCGTCTCTTCAACTCTCACGCTTACCGGCGACCAAATCTTCATCAACGCCGGCTGTTCCCCTGCACCGCTGCAAGCGAGGGGCACGGACACTGTTCTGCAGAACGCAAATGGCAGAGTGCTCGACTCGACCAGCATCATGGAACTGGCTGAGGTGCCACGGCATCTGGTCGTGCTCGGCGGCGGCGCCGTCGGCTGCGAGTTCGCGCAGATGATGCGTCGATTTGGGGCTCGAGTCAGTCTGGTTCAGCACGGCGCGCAGCTGCTGCCGAATGAAGACGCCGACGTCGCGGCAGAGATGCTCAAGATCTTCGTCGATGCCGGCATTGATGTCTATCTGGGTGCGCGGGTCCGGGAGGTGTCCAACATCACGCTGGGCCAGATTGTGGTGCAGTTGGAGCTGGGACAGATTGAACATCATGGCAAGGGCAATGCCGACCAGGAGGACCATGAGGATGGTGGAGGGATCAAATCGCTGCTCGCCTCCCATCTGCTGGTCGCGACAGGCAGAAACCCCAACACCGAAGCACTCAACTTGGCTGCGGCGGGAATTGAGGTCGATGCACGCGGATATATCAAGGTCGATGACTATCTCGCCACCTCGGCACCAGACATATATGCCCTGGGAGACATCAAGGGCGGCCCGGCACAGACGCATGTTGCATACGACGACTTCCGCGTGCTGCGGGACAATCTGGTCACAGGCGGTGCTGGCGGTAGTAAGCCTCCTGCTGCGGGAGGTCATCAAGCATCCGTCGCTGACCGACTGATTCCATACACCATCTTCACAGATCCGCAGCTAGGCCGGGTCGGCTTGACCGAGAAGGCGGCCCGAACCCTGAGCCTCCAAATCAAAGTGGCCAAAATGCCCATGTCGTACGTCGCGCGCGCGTTGGAGATGGACGAAACCCTGGGCCTGATGAAGGCCGTGGTCGACGCCGAGTCCAGGCAGATACTGGGGTTCGCGTGCTTGGGCATCGAGGGCGGGGAGATCATGAGCATGGTCCAGCTGGCCATGCTGGGTGGCTTGGCCTACGACAAGCTGGAGAATGCCATGTTCGCTCATCCTTGTCTGTCTGAGAGCTTGAACAATCTGTGGGGGTTCCTCGAGTGAGGCGACTGACATGATTCGTATATTGAGTTGTTTGTTCTGGACTCACCACGGCTGCCGAAGAGTTCACAGGGATCTAGGGGTTGGAACGAGGCAAGCTTCAAGACTGCGACGAGAGTTTGTCTCGTCTTGATATCGCCATTGCCCCATGACAACTCCGGTTAAGGAGTTGACGCCCACTTGTTGGTGAATCCAATACCAATGGTCGGGCAAACAAGCATGTGGAGAACAAGCTTATTTTTAAGGTTGAAATTGATTGTGGCGGAACAAGGAGAGCAACAGATTAACCATAAATTTAGGCTTGTGTTTAGTGCTAACCTTCTGACTAGTATCTGGTGACCCCGTGACAGGGCAGCAGATGGTCGCAACAGAACGAAGGGTGAAAAGCCTAGGTCTTACCGATTTACCGAAAGAGACATCTTGATAAGTTTTCTCCAAAACCAGCAGCGTTCATCCTGGAAGGGTGGAGTAACCAGGGTGGGATAAGCACAGAACAAGAAATAGAATCAAGAGCAGTACGTAGGAGACTGGCACTACGTTGGATATATCGCGAAGTAAGTGAGAGGTATATATATATATCTACACTCCACTGGGTTCGCGGTTCATGAAATGTAGAAGATGGGCCATAGCCCCACCTGATATGCCCCTCGACGTGTCGACCATTTTATCGCCAAAGCAGCATGATCTTCATCCAAGCAACGCGCCATTTACCTCACGTTGTACCATGGTCGCCGTTCACCTTGGCTTGCCCATTCTCATTTGGTGGTGTGAGAGACTTCTGAGGCTTCATTCCCAAGAGACCAGTCGCGTCAACCAATCTGGCATTAGGATTCAGCTCCAGACCAAACCCGGGTTTGTCCAGCACGCTGACGTCGAGATAGCCATTGTGTGGAATAGGCTCATTCAAGAAAAGATCGCCAAACACAGGCTGCACACTCTTACCATCGGGGCTGTTGGCCAAGTACTCTTGGAAAGGCGAGTTGTGCTGGCTGACAACAAAGTGGTAGGAATAGGGGCCAGAGGCGTGGGGGACCACAGGGATGTCATATGCAGCGGCCATGGAGGAGACTTTGAGGAGCTCGGTCAGACCTCCAAGCCACATAACGTCGGGTTGGATGATGTCGACGTTCCGACCTTCGATTAGTTTCCGGAAACCATATCGAGAATACTCATGTTCCTGAGCTCGCCAGTCAGTAAATAGTGATCATTCAACTTCAACAGGTAACCAAGGCTTACTCCCGTGGTGAATTTGGTGTCCGGATGTGCCCTCTTCAGCAATTGGAAACCGTCAAAGTCATCCGGTGAGAGGACTTCTTCCCACCAGTCAATTCGGATATCTTGTCTCTTCGCCTCGCTCACGAGCTCAATGGTGTACTGCACATTTAGTGACATCCAGCAGTCCACTCGTAAGGGGAAGTCGGGGCCAACATCCTCCCGGTGTTTCTTGAGAAATGCAATATTCTTCCTCAGACTATCAGGCTCATCCGCGCTGTACGGCAAGGCCACCTTGGCGGCGATAAACCCCATCTTTTTCGCAGCGGCGGGTTCAGGTCCTGTGCAGTAAAAATCGAGTCTGTTTCTCGTAGCACCGCCAATCATCTTGTACACAGGCTCATTCCGGATCTTGCCCAGAAGATCCCACAGAGCAAGGTCAATGACCGAGATGACGGCGATCGGGAGACCTTTTCGTCCATAAAACATAGAGCCCTTGTACATGAGCTCGTACAGATCATTCACATCTCGAGGATCTCGGCCGAGGAGGAAGCGTTCAAAATGTTGCTGGACGAGCCAGCAGCCTGGAGGGCCCCCGAACCCCGTTGCGAAGCCTTTCGTGCCATCTGTGGCTTCGATCTCGACACAAAACGAGCCCAGGACATTGATGCCGAAGGACGTCCGAGACTTTCGGTATTGCTCCCATTTCGACATGGGTGTCGCAATTTTGTTGTCAATGAGCCAGTGGCCACCCTCGACATTGTGGTAATCCCCGCCAGAGCCGACACCTTCGATGACAAAGGTCCGGACTGTTTTGATCGTCGGAAAGGCCTTGACAGAGGCCATGCTTGCTGGTACTCAATCGACTCTCTTTGCTCTAATACGGGTTTGAATGCTACCGAACGGGCACGGCGAGGCGTCGAAGAAGTGCAGTTCAGTGAGGGCGGGCGAAATACGGAATCGAAACCTGATGTCACCGAGGAGAAGGAGGACACAGCGCTTGCAGAGGAGAAATGAGAGACACGATCCTTCTACGAGGGGTTCATACTCAAGAAAGTACCTTAATGAACAGAAAGGGTTCGCTGGTCGGTATAGTTGTGGCCGGCAGGCGGAGAATTGATCGGAGGGGCGCGGAGGGAAACTGGGTCCAGGGTCATTTTAGCCGTGGCAAAGAATGGAGGAAATGAAAGGTCGGCAATTGAAGGTCAGGCTTCTTGGTCAACTAGGACAGATACCGACAACAAGGTGAGTATTGTATACCTTCAGTACTACTGTGTCAGGATTGCCTGTGAAGAGATGGGAGCATGGACGAGGTGTGAGGCTCAGGCGGTCTTTGTCTATAAGTTGCCTGCGACAGGCAGCTCTGACCCCGCATCAAGGGTCAGGCGCAGGTGCAGGCGCAGGCAGAGACTGCGCAGAGCGGCATTGTACGGAGACCCAGACAGACTCAACCGCATCCAGTCCCCTGCAGTCCGCCATTCCTCTCTCTCAACGCCCTCATTTCTTCCCCAGCTTTTCTTCCTCGGCGCCTCTTTCAATCTCGGTCCGAGATCCAACTTCATCCTTCTCGGTGTAATGTTCGTGCTGCGTTCATCTGCCGCTCTCCTACCACAGACACTTGGAAGCGATAATGAACGCGACAAAGCTTGAACTATACGACAATAATCAGTATGCCAGCAATAGTCTGTCTGGGGTCACGTCCTCTCTCCCACGTGCCAGTTCCTTCACGTCGTCCGACTCTGACTCCGCCGGAGAAGACGACCGAGATGGCTCTAGGAAACGAAAAAGGCCTATGAATGTCACGTATGTGTCTTGCAGCCAGCATTACCTGCCTTGTCGACTCCATTTCCATCCATCGACTGGACTTCCTGAGGGCCATGCGCATGCCTACTAATGCCCCTGTCGGATAGTTGCGAAGCTTGCAAGCAGAGAAAAGTCAAGTGTGGTATGTCGCGTGTCCCTGTTCAATCCAAGGAGGGGTGAACTGAATAATCATCAGATCGTGCCCAGCCATCCTGTGGCTGGTGCTCTCGCAACGACCATCCATGTGAATACAAAGAGCGGAAGAAGCCCGGCCTTCGAGCTGGCTATGGCCGCGAGCTGGAAGGTCGGCTCGACCGGCTGGAGTCACTCCTCGAAGAACAGGGCCGTCAATTAGCAGCCCATCTGGCAGAGGCCTGTACAATCGCGCCTACAGGTGGCAGCAATGCCCATGTCCACAGGCCGAGTGCCCAAGGCCTCGCTCCAGAGGGTCCGACACGCGCTTCTTATGATGCACAAGCTGTGACTTTCGAAGAGGAGGCGCCGTTTCAGCAGCCGTCCATTGACCCGCACTTGCGGTCTTCTGCCTCTCGTCATGGCTCCTCGCATTATCCCTCAGGCCAGCAAGGTATCCAAGACCAGCAGATGGCTGCGCTCCAGAGTCACTATACGCCCTCCGCGCACTCACATGCCCTAACATCGCCTCATTCGACAACCGGGTACCAGGGGACACAGGTCTTCAACGAGCATTCGGCCATGCTGCCTCCATATGATCTGTTGTACTCGCTGGTTGATCTGTATTTCAAGCATGTCAACATCTGGCTGCCCTTGCTGGACAGGAAAACCACTCTCGACACCCTGTTTGGATCTTCTTCGCTCGACGAGGCCGACAGAGTGCTGTTACATGCCATCGTTGCCACGACTTTGCGCTACTCCCAAGACCCTCGACTGACACCCGAGAGTCGGCAACACTATCATGACACATCAAAACAGCGAGTCCAACTTTTCGGTCTGGAGAACTCCAATGTAAGAGCATTGCAGGCCTTGATTATACTGGGCTTGGACGTGACAGGAACGACAAACGGGCCGCCGGCCTGGAATTTGCTGGCCCTGATCAGCAGGAGCATGGTGCAGTTAGGGCTGGCAGTAGAATCATCGTCGACCCTAGCATCACCTATGTACCCGTCGATAGCCACTCTTAGAGCGTCCGTTCTACCAGAACCGAAGAGCTGGATTGAAGACGAAGAACGGCGCAGGCTGTTCTGGGCTGTATTTCTTCTCGACAGATATGCCACCATTGCCACCGCTTTTGAGTTCGCCCTGGACGAGAAGGAGGTCGACCGCCGCTTGCCTTGCCGAGATGATCTCTTTGCTGCCAACAAGACCGTGGAGACGAGATGGTTTCGCCCTCCCGAACGGCCCCGGTATACGACCGGCATGGCCGAAACTCATGGACACTTCTCCTATCACTGTGAATTGATGGCTATACTTGGGCACATCCATCAGTTCCTCAAGCGACCAATCGACATCGGCTCCTTGGCCGATGTCGAACAATGGCAAGGGTCATACCGTGCTCTTGATAGCGACCTCAACGCCTGGCACTTCAGTTTACCTGATGAGTTCGCAAACATTACACGCCTTCTCAAATCAAATGTGCCTGCTAAGAATACCAACTGTGGATGGGTCATGCTTCAGGCCGCCCACTGTTTGACCGTGATTCGCTTGAACTCATCTGCCGCCTATCCCAGTCAGAGTTCGCCCATTTTCTCGTCATCCTACAGCGCCATGCAGCGATGTCTATCCGCAGTCGAAAACCTCCGTCAGCTATGTCGGTTGGTCAAGCTCAATGGCTTGTTGGACCGGCTGGGGCCTCCTTTTGCTTTTGCCATATGGGTGGGTGCTCGGGTTATGCTGGTGCATGGATCGACGATGGATGACAAGGTAGACCCGGATATCGACTTCTTCGTGACCACATTGTCCGAGATGGGTGAGTACTGGCCCGTGGCCAAGCGGTACAGTGAGATCTTGCATCGAGTGCTGGGAGAATACCGGCAGTCTCAACGGGCCAGCGGCGTGACCGGGGAGATGGTGACGCCGTCTACGGTCAAGATACTTGCCGACATGCGCCGGTAAGGTCTCTTTTCCAGCTGATTGGCCATGTACTAAGTTGATGAAACAGATGTGCCTACGATTTGGACTTCTTGATATCTCGCCAGCCGTATGCGGCCGCAGTCAAGTCGTACCATCCTACTCGGGCGAATACACCGGCCCCCAATGAACTCGAATATCTGGATGTGTTTGATCTGTTCAACTTTCCTCGTTTACCGACGACACAGGAGGGAGTTGAACCAGGCAACTCTCAAGGGCTCGGCCCAGCCGCCCCTCCAGACCTTGCGGCTATGAATGCCGCCATGATTCCTAACTTCGCTGTTCCCAACCCGGAAGCTGACTGGCTTTTCCATACCAACTAGCTGTTATGTGAAGGATTCGAGGCCCTCCCCCGCATCTTGTCACGAAGGGATGCCTCCTACAGTGAAGGTGGCAAACATCATCTACATTTCACGACGGGCCACCCTATCCTCGGGACACGTGAGGATGAGGCCTGGCAGAAGTTGATGTCTCGTTGTACACGGGGCTTCAGTGAGGTTCGAAGCTGCTCAAGTGATGACCGTGACACGCGGCTTCAACCATTGGGGACACGTCGCTTCACGTTTTGATATGACATGGAAATGCAATGGTACTAAGACCCACGAGCTCGAGTCAGCCTTGCACGATACCCGAGTTGGCCACAATGATACCTTGGGATGCGCAAAGACAGCTTGGTGGGTTCTGGAGCCCAGGAAGATGACACCCGGGCATCAGTAAAACCCGCAATGTGGAATCTCGTTCTTGTTCTAAAAGTACTCGTCCGTTCCATTTGACTGTAAACTCCCCGGCGCCGTGCCGCTATGAATTACGAGCTGACCAATGGTTGGGGATAGCGGGGGGGCCTGGCGAGGAGAAAGTCGACCCTGACACCCGGGCTAGCATTCAGCCCGTCCCAAGGGGAGATCCGAAGATGCAGCCTCAAAGCTAGCGACCTTACCAGGTTGGTGACTGTAACAGTATGAGGTTGGTCCGTAAGTCCGTAAGGTAGGTCAGGAGGTAGGCAGTAGGGAGGTAGGCAGCCCGTAGGCTTTGGGCCTGCCGAAAGGAGTCCAACTTGAAGAGGGAGACAAAGGGGAAACACCAACTTCAAGTTGAAGGCGAGGACGCTTGCACTTGGCAGTCAGGTGACCGTAAAGCAGAGGGGACCTGGTCACGTGATCTACACAAATGGACTGGATTGGCGGGTGGGTGGTTTTGGTCGCTTCCTGTCTCCTTGTCTCTTCGATCTCTCCATCTCTCTTCGATCATTTCCTCTCTTACTCTTGCGAAGTTTCTCATCTGATCAATCTCTCCTCTACCGGCCATGACTAACCTTTGATATCTCCCATGTCATTGTCATCTCCAGCAGACATGCCGTTGCACCGACATGCTGACAAAACTCCCAATGTGGCAAATTCCCTTCTCGCTCCGATCGTCTTCAACCTCGGGTTGCATCTCCATCATTCGGCCCCCTACGATCGATTATGACTCTATTCCGGATGCACCGTTTGGTCTCCTTAGCCGTCAGATGCTTCATCGCGGGATGTGAGCCTTAGGGCTGATATGTTACGGGCTAGGGTCTATAGCACTGGATGCATTTTCCCTCAATCTCTCAGCACTGCCCGCCCCTACTCCCAAAAGGTTCAAGTGTTTTTCAGCCTCAAGACCCTCCCGTCTCCGTCTCCGTCTGGATCCCGCGGAATCCGCAGCTTGCACCAATGCGCTGCAAGCCAAAAATGACTAACATTAGGCTGCACTTCGCAACAGGGCCCCTGATGACGTTGGTCCCACTCGGCCGGGTGATACTCGACATGTTTCCGCTGCGACATCTATTCTCATGCACGATCACAATCCACGTTTTGGACCCAACTCTCAGGAACTACCAACCATATTTGTCGCGAGGCTACTCATCATACTTTGGGCTTCCGGATCTCTAGGCGTCGCCTTTTGCTGTCAGGCCGGGTCCCTAATCGGTCGTCGTTCCTATCCTGAACCCTCGATTGGTACGGGACCAAGTCACGAAACGTGGCCATCAAGGGCTGTGGATTCTCCGACAGCGTGCAACAGCACGTCTAGTCTTTCATTCCGATCATGCATACTACTTCTCATCGTGGATATTGCTCTACTTGGACCTTCTATTGGACACTCCAAGTCTGCAGTATATTACTCTTCGTGGGTCGCATCTTTCCCTGTCAACTGCCTGACCGGTAGGTCGACTGATTGGCTAGTTCCCAAGGTTACAATGACAACTGCTTCATGATATAAGGAACAATGACTCCAGTTGCCTAGCCCAACGCACTATTGTGTTTCCAATTGTTCTACCACAAGTCTGAATATTTGTTGCTCTGATTATTGATTTGTACGCGTCGCATCGTCTCTTCATTTTCGTCTATACCACCTACAACTACAAAGACAATCATAATCACAATCACAATCACAGACTACAACGAGCAGAAAGCATGTGCTACCAAATCGTTGAACGATATGCGGTATGCCGCTGCCTCTATCACAGGCATTCTGTCGACCCGTGCCAACGATATGGTCAACGTGATCATGCCACCACCGAGAAAACCGTTCTCGTAGGCTTTGCCTGCCCCAAGCATTCGACGAAACGCCGTCAAGACCAGCCAACAACAGGCGAACGCTCATCAGGAGCTCGTCACTGGAATGATTCTGGTTATTCTAGTGCCGGATATCGCTCATCTTCAGGTCGACGGTGAACATATTGAGGCTCGTCGTCACAGGCTTACAGACCTGCCGGTATATCCCACCATGATGATGCGGATGTCTATGTACGACCATCGAGGAGTTCCTTGATATTGCAACAAAGTCAGCCCATCCAACCAGCAGGCCTGAACAACTTTGACACTCGCCTTTGCACCAGTGCCAGAGCACTCACAAGATGGCGGCTCTCACTGTACCACGGTTGCGATGGGGTAGAGCCACATCCCAATGCATATCCTCAAGAAAGGAACCTGCTTGATGACATTCAAGCATTGCTATGCAACGGATCGCAAAAATGCACTCTAACGACGGAACGACACCAATATCAGACGCTATTGACCTCCATGATTTATGGCCGACTGCGTCAATCACCCAATTCGACATGCGGACACGAACTAGCGGAATGAAGGCTCTTGCAAAAATTTCACCGAAAATCATCACCTGGTTACTACAATTCTATTCTCACCTTTATCGGACCATTGTTGACAATGTCGTCCACATTCATCACCATCAGCAAAATAAATGCGCAGGCGCAACGTTGCATCTAGCGCCACGGGAGTGAAAAGGGTACTGGAATTTCATCGTTGCTTTTGATTTTGATAATATGCTTTGGATCTCCCTACATGCTGAGCATGGCAGGACGTGTATTTCATCAACCTCGATGGGTGCAGGTCACTTGAGAAGCGTGACGACTATAGGTTGATCCTACTCTGTTCACAATGCCACGTCTTACGAATGTTCCTAGCAGGGGACAGGTGAAGGGGCCCCTTGGGTTCCCACGGCTTATGTCTAATACATCTTTGATTTTCCTCTTGACCTTGTCCAATGCTATTTACGACCCCATATGGGGCTTATAGTCCACGTCATTGATCCCTCTCCTTTTTTAGGACTGTCGAGTCAATATTCGTAGACCAGGTCTGCTTGGGGCATTGCTCTCCAAAGAGAAGAGATGCATCGAGGTCTCTTGATCGCTCTGTTTTTGTCTTGATCAGTCGTGAAGGGTCTTTCCCACGTCCATCTCCCCATCGCCAAAGCCCAGTATTCTGTCTTTGGGCCCCCTGCCATGTTCATAGGCCCGCTGGCCACTAGCCTGAATCTGGACTCCCAGTGAAACATGAAGAAATTGACCCTCCTTGTAACTGCGTGTGCAGATGGGTTGTGAGTCGAGACGAGTATACCACTCTCTTTGCGATTCGTGTTTTCGACTCGTGTCACCTCCAGTGGTTGGCCCGTCGGATGATGTGTTTTGCCTGTAGGGCAGGAATCCCCTTCCTCCCAGATGTCAAGCGATAGGCAGGTATCTCTTAATGTCCATTATTAAAGATCTCCTGCCGCGCACTAGGCGACAAGTCAGCCTGCACCAGAAAAAACAGCCCGTCCCGCGGCTCGAAGCGCATCAGCGCCCTCCCGTGCTCCCGCACCGTCAAGCTACCGTCGGTCTCTTCGACCAGCCTCAAATCGAGGCCTTTGGCCCGTTTGAGCTGCGACCAGCTGATTAGATTGACGCCCGCTTCGGGGATATGCATGACATTCTTGATGGTGAGACGCGTCACGGCTCGGTAATGTCCTGGTGGTGGATGTTTGTCTTGTTGTTGTCCCAACGAGTCAAAGCCGTCGTGGTCTTCTGGAGTCAAACTGGCGGTATGACCATTGTTCCCAACAGTATAGTTTCCCGCTGGTGTGGCTGTGGTTGTGCTTCTACTCGTGCCACCCGCACCCGCACCAAGCATACTCCACATCGTCGAAGACGGAGTCAAGCGCGGCTTGTTGGTAACGGCAGCAGCATCTCCAGGTCCCAGAGGTAGAAGCAACGTACAATCGCCCGCCCCGACGATCGGGATTGGGTTCGGGCCGAAATAGCCCACCGCTCGGGGATTCACGCGGTGGCTGTACGGATTGAGCGTGTCGTAGCTGTGCAGCAGGGCGCGGTTGGTGCAGACGTGTGTCGTGGCGCCGGTGTCGAAGATCCAGTCGGTCTGGCTGAATGGTTTGCGTCCGCCGCTGGTGGGTTGCTTCGCTGTGCTTCGAGAAGGCTGGGGCTGGGGAGACGGGGCGATGATCAGGCCTGGATCGGCTGGCGCGGGTGTGTCGTGTTTCGGTTTGAGGTGGTCGTATTTGATAATTGTTGAGTCGTCGGTTTTGGTGATGGAGATACGGGGAGCAACGGCCTATGATAGACAAAAAGAAGAAGGAGCTGTTAGTTATATTGGCCGCGTAGAAAGGAGAAGGAGCGTGGTTATGAATGAGACATCATAGAGAGAGTAACATAGATGGGGGGCAAATGGGACAGGGGAGGTTCAGGTCTCCCATGAAGGACGCATAGGTAGGAAGTAAGTCGGAAATAGACTATTCCACAATGCGATGATGCTTTTTCTTTTTCGTTTTCTCTGCATTTCTTCTTGTCACGATCAACGACAGGGGATTTGGAAGAAAGACGAAACATGCAGTATGATATCAACAAGGAGAGGAGCGACGGGCTTACCAATGCTCCAATGAACGCTACCATTCCCGAGACCGTGACTAGGCCTTGCAGCCTCCCGTTGGCCGGTCGCGCCATTGAAAGATTGAAGCTTCCTCGAGACACTGCAGGCCGTCAAGGACTTCGCATTTCAGCGACGCTCATGTATCACCTAGATGGTGCGACCAGGGCTTTCTCGTGGTGGCGTTCCTGAATGACAGTCCACTTCCACCGTCCACATGAGGCTGAGAGCCTATATCAACTTATGCGCTTAGTTTAGATAGAGGGTTGACCATGAGAATCCGTCCCGATCCGTCATCGACTTGGAATGACGGTGAACACGTCATTTGAAGCCTGATCACGTGCACGGGATGGTTCAGGGGGGAATTGATGTCACGTGTTACGGCCAAAAGTGGAGAAACACTTTCGGCGGCATCTGCACCGAAACACGAAGGATTTCGCCGCCAGTCTCTCCGCAATAATGGAGTTTCTTGACGTCGTCAGTTGAATGGACCTGGGCGAAGTGCTGTGCGAAAAGCCATAGTGTTGATTTCTCCTGAATACTTCCCGTCTCCAGGCAGGCTATGTGAGAGCAGTGTGCTCAAGTGAGCGTTCTCTTTGCTGTCTGGAAATCGGAACAGAAAGTCATGACCCTACCGCCACTGCTCACAGGCCAGGTGTGTGCCATCACCGGCGGTCTCACGGGAATAGGCCGAGCCATCGCCATAACATTTCTTTCTCACGGAGCAAAAGTCGCCATCAACTATCTCGCCTCACATAACAAAGATGAAGAGAAGCTCTTGTCGTCACTACGCACCGAGGCCTTCGATGCCATCAAGTCCCGCTCCGCCGGCCCCAGTGGCCGCACAGAACCCGTCCACAATCTCGATGAGGTGCCATTGCTTACTGTGGCCGGAGACGTCTCGCAGCCCGAAGCAGGCCAGGACCTGGTCAACCAGACGGTGTCACGGTTCGGACGGCTGGACACTTTCATTTCCAACGCGGGAATCTGTCGCTTTGAAGAGTTCCTCGAGATCTCGCCCGAGAGCTGGCAGCGGCATCTGAACACCAATTTGTCCGGAGCGTTCTATGCCGTCCAAGCAGCCGCGCAGCAGATGACAAAGCAGATGCCTCAGGGCGGCTCGATCATTGGGGTCTCAAGTATTTCGGCACTGGTAGGTGGCGCGCAGCAGTGTCACTACACGCCGACTAAGGCTGGGATCTTGAGTCTGATGCAGTCCACGGCAACGGCGTTGGGCAAGTATAATATCAGATGCAATGCGCTGTTGCCGGGGACGATACGCACGCAGTTGAACGACGAGGATCTCGCGGACGGGAGTGACAAGAAGAAATACATGGAGGGAAGGATTCCGCTGGGGAGGTTGGGGAAGCCGGACGATATGGCTGGACCGGCGGTGTTTCTGGCATGTGGCGAGTTGTCGTCGTATGTCACAGGAGCCGCGATTCTCGTTGATGGAGGAGCGTTTGTGAACTTTCAGTAGCCAAGCTGGTAACGAATGCTGGAGTGAGGGGAGGGAGGATAGGGTATAAAAGAAAAGAAAGGCCAAGGCGAAGCAAGATAATCGATGCTTTCGAGTTAGGTGATCTGAACGTTATATGCCTGGATGGCGGTGCCTGACCAGACTTCCAACTTTTGGTCCGCTGCAAGGCCTTCATCGTCGAGGATCGCACTGACAACGTTATACCAATGTGCCCAAGAGGCTTCGATGTCCGGTCCGCCGACATTGCATACCGGCCAGTCGGAGCCGAACATGATTCTGGACGGGCTGAATGCTTTGAAGACAGCATTGACCCATGGTCGTGTCTGTTCGACTAGAGTCGAAATGGCGGTCGGGTTGGCTTCGTCTTGTTTGGGGAGCTCGGAGAACAAGCCAGACAGCTTCATATACGTGGATGGGTGGGAGGCCATCTTCTCAATGCATTCCTTCCACCTCGTGAAGTCTTGGTGCCCGCTAGCCGCTTCAGACGCCGTCAGACGTAGATTCGGTTTGCAGAAATGGTTAATGATGATTTTGACATGGCTATCGCCATTGTACACCCGATCCAACATGTCACATGCCTCCTGTAGTTGATGAAGCCCCCCCGATCGACAATCCACTCCCAAGTCGAAAGTGAATCCGTTACTTCCTAGCCATTGCAGGCCTTCGATGAACTGCGGCTGTAGCATCACCCCAGCTGGCTTGTCTTGGACCAGATATCGAAATCCCTTGATGAGATCCCATCTGTCCCCGCAATGTTGCTGAACTTGGTGTACGTATCGTATCAAGGTGGTTTCCCCAGCAGGGACGGGTGCCCACGGTACGACACCGAGCACCAACCTACTGTCCTCTGGACGGTGTCCTTCGCCGTCTCGTGGAGTTCCTCTGGCTATTCTCATCAAGAAGTCGACCTCATCGAACACATCGTGCCATGCTGTCTCCTGGAGGCCTGATTTCCTGTCCGTTTCGACAAAGACAAAGCCCAGAAGATTGGAACAGGTTTGGGTCACCGCCTGGTATTCGTTGGTTGAGTATTGCCTGTTCAGAGGATGGTCTTGGGCCAGGTCTGCTGTCCAACTCAATGAGGGGATATGGGCTGCAGCGTATAGGTGGATGTGTGAGTCGACGACAGGGAATTGATCTTCGCCATGTTGAGCCGCCATGATTCTTTGGAGAGCCGGATATATTGTACTCTTCAAGATGATTGTCCCCTGGAATATTAATTTTGCAAGAAACAGGAGAACAAGCCGGCGGTTAACGACAATGGCCGCAGGTCGCCCTGGTCCCTGGCCAGGTTGCTGCTTCGGTGTTTCGGCCTAATAATGGTTGTAAAGGGATTCATAATGAAGGCAGACTCGGAGTGGATGACAAGCAGCAGCTTACCTCTGCACCAGACCGCCTCGGACTCGACAAGTTTCTGGATGATCTGGAGCAATGCCGAGTATGACAGAAGTGCACAGCATTCCTTCTCGACCTGAAATGCGAAGATGGAGTTGAGTTCTGCCTGCACACCTGCGTTCAAGTTTCTTCGTGACTGCGTCATTTGAAGCTTTGAAGGCACATCAAGACATCGACGACGGCATTGTATTAACGCAGAATTGTATTGTCGCGTCACTCACTTAAAATATCTTTTAGGATATCTCCCCCATTCCTTTGGGCTTCGATGTCTCTAGGAATAGAGAATCTGCCTGACTTCCCAGAGCCCTTCCGCCAACTTTTGCTGGCGCTCGTGTAGCAGAGTTTACAAACCACATCTCGACGCGACCATCCTGTGATCCTCTGGCAACATGGATCCCTCACAGAGACGCCATGGGTTACTCTCCCCTCCCGTGTCCGCCGCATCGCCTGCCCCGAGCACAGGCATTTCTTCTCTCAGGAGTCGACCGGCCACTTTACCCACGGCACGATCGCACCAGCTGCGGCCAGGATCGCAGAAAGAAATCGCGCTCATAAATTACCTTGACGATCGCATCTTGAGGATAACAAGACGCTACGCAAAGAAGTTCAGCGATGAAGGGCTGCAAAATGATGATACACCGGGGTATACCACGTTCGACGAGTTCGTTGCCGACGCTGACCCCTTGGTCGATGTCATCTGGGTCAGTGGAACACGTAAGTCTTGATGAATTGCTTTCAAGAGTTGAGCTCAGATGGGTTTGTGCGTCCGAATCTTTGCGTATTGGACGATTCTGTAGCCCTTCTTCTCCGTGCTTTCAGACTACGATGCCCGTTGCTATGTCCAAATCCCCGTCAACCTCACTGACTTAACTGTCTAAACTGAGCAGCAACCATACAAATCCCATATCTTCTCACCCTCGCGGGCTTGGTCTGCTCCTACCTCCAAGCATTTCGTTTCTCATTGTCTTTGTTTCACATTGCAGCCAAAATCGACCTAGGATTTGCATCCCTCCTGCAGCCCTCTGACGACGACCACATTGGAGAGACTGCTCCTCACCGTGTTTCGACAACGGAGAAGGTTCGCATTAAATCACTGGTCGAAGAGACTCGAGTTGCAGCCGTCCGTGCAGCTTCCGCCAGTGGTCACGAAGCCAGTATACAGGATGTCTCTGAAACGGACACCGACGAAGCAGATGGAGGAGAGTCAGACTACGTCGAGCGGAACAGTGACGACCCGGGGAGCTCTATGTCTGTATCCTTGGAATTGGCAAGAATCTACAAAAGAACCTTGGAGATCCTCGGCGATTCTCTGACATCAGGTGCTCTGCCACAAGACCAAGGCGACAAGATGGAACTATCGTGAACAGCCCGATGACCAAATCCACGGGATTTGTTCCTCAAAGACAAACTTCCTCTTCCGGGATTCATTTGAAGCGGAACTATCCCACCCAAGAATTTACCACGCCATTGCTGAGGTGTGAATGAGCAGAATCACGTTCGCTGCATCTCCTCCAATACGCTTCTTTGGCCGACTCGAAAGTGAAGACCGAGTCAAGTGCCAGTGACTGATGTCGCGCTGCACCATGCACAAAGAGCAGTCTCATCACGCCGCCTCGGCCAATAGCTCTTCGGGTCAGATTCTGGTACTATGCCGGGGATTTAGTGCGTGCTCTCGAGGTGCCCAATCAGGATCCGCCACGCTTGGCCGTCACCTACTCACCGATGCCAGCAACTAAGCAGACGGTGCTGGACGCTATGAGACACAATTGATGCCCGAGAATTCCTAGGTCGCACAAATCAAATTTACTGTTCTGTCACATTCATGCAGGATCAAGACCTCAACGACCAGAATGTACAGCTCAGGTGAAAGAGGGTCAGCCTTCACATTTATATAGAGCTGATGGCCACTTCTCTCTCTCGCTCACACATTTTCTTCACGCCTGAGTCATGTGGTTGTTCACTCCTATATTGTTTGTCCAAGTGGCTATTGCCTTCGCTATTACGCCACTGCCGGAACATACCGAACCAGCAACGATAGCAGAGTCAGCTTCGGCGACGGCTCGTCACTCCATCCCCGAATTGACGATTACTTCCAGCATCACTCGCCTACAAACTCAAGCCCCAGTGTCAGCTCTGATGACAATCGCGCCATTGATGGTCAATCCTCTCGAAAGGAGACAGAGATGTTGGGATGACCGTGGGTTCAGTGTCGACTGTGCAACATGGACAGGCTATCATTACACCTGGGGCCCGGCTGGTAATCCATACGAAGGTGGTCCCGGTGAAGGCGCTTGGGACTCTGGGGCCAACAATGGTGGCAGTGGAGGAGGAGGGAGCACTGTCGTTGTCTACCAAAACGATGCAAACCAAGTGGATTGGACCAGTTGGCCCGCAATATCTGGGACTGTCTGCTTAGGTCTGCTCATATTCATCTAGGCCACTCGATCCGCCTGATGCGAAGTCACACCCACGATGTGGTTTGCCATGACTAGTGTATTCACAGCGAGAAGCATCATCCATGACTCAATTTCAGGGTGACGTCTGTACCAGCAGACTCCATCATTTGGCTCTATCGTGATCAAGTCAGCCTCAAGATCAGCCCCGGCCGTTTGTCTTTCACCCATGCTCGCAATGCAGACGCCTATTTCTATTTCTTCTGGTCCTTTTTCTCCCAGCCAATTTTCTGTCTTCGATCATACTTTCGAATTCTGCAGGGCCGCCCCTGCCTTTTGCCCTTGTTTCTTGAACAGAAGCCAAATCAGCGGCAAGATCTTCTGACGTTGATCTGACTTCGGCTGACCTGGTACTAGTCTACTAATCAGACGGACCAGCAGAAAGACTTGGGCTTCGCCGTAACAAAATATTGGTTCTCTGGTCCAAACCATTGGGTGCTTGCGATCTCGGTCCCGGCGCGCAGCTGACAGTGCAACACAACATCAAGTCCTGATGGCGACAATTTCCTATCAAGGCGGTCTGGGCCCACGTCCGAAAGCATTTCGCTCCGAGGCAACGTTGTCCTTCGCGGCTCTCTTGTGCTTGATAACAATGCTCATCGTGCCTGGTGGCTGTTCACGACTTGGTGGTGTCTCCCTCGGAAAGGGGGAAGTCCAGCCCGTCCCTGCTCTCACCGGAACAGGAGTCTCTACACTCACAGACCAAAATACCATTCTGCATACATCTACTTCCACTGTCACAACCACAGGGGATCTATCGACTACGATTGCAGCTTCTATTGGAAGTACTTTGTCACCATATGTTTCATCCAGTGCCAATCGGACCCTACCGCCTTCCAGTGCATCGATAACGAATACAACTGTCTCGATCACCGAAAGCACCATTTCCGCTGCAAACACCAGCATTCCTTATGCTACCGGAGTGAGTGGATCTCTTCTATCTTCCTCCGGTGTTCAACCGACCGGGTTGAGCATGTCGACAAGTTCGATCGCCGCAGAAAGCCATCCTCCTGTGCCAACTTCCACAAGCATGGTTTCTGGCGATCGCAGCTCTGCAACCTCCACTACGACCTTGTCACAGGCTGAGTCGTCCTCTCAATCTTCAGCGTCCTCTGCAACTTCGTCGTCCTTGTTGGCAAACTCGACATCAGGCACAGCTTCGATGCTTTCTCCTCTAATCTCTTCATCAGTCAGCTCTACTATTTCTAGGACTTCTTCTTCGTCCATCACTGTCAAGTCGACATCGACAATCTGGACGACCAGGACGACCAATCTCACTGTCACCTTACCTTATCCGGCCGAAGAAAAGTCGACAATTACAGAAACAGCTTATGAAACAGCTGATGAAACTATTACAGTAAGCCCAGTCGGCGCATTGTCGACTGACTCCCTTTCCGACAGCTCTACCATAAATGTCCCCAACAGACCAGCGGAGTCCACTACAACTGCAAGTACAACGACTGTGCAAGCGTCTGTCTCTACCTTGACAGTATATGTCAGCACCACACTACCAACTCCAACAAGCACAACTACGGTGACCGTGGTCGAATCAACTTCTTCGTTTTGTTCCGGTAGCAGCTGTTCCACTACATCATTGTCCGCATCCTCTACCCCTGCCCCATCAAGTGTGCCTGGAACAAATACCACAAGCCTACAGAGCACGACCTATGCGTACTCGACATTCTGGCAGAGCTATTTCAGCTTCATGGCCGCCGACCACAATACAGCCGCCACACAATCTGGAACAGCGATATCTGCTACTGCCTCACTTTCTCAAAGTCCGGCGGCCGCTGGTCCGGCAGTCAACCACACCAGCATATCCAGCGACGCAGGCACAAACAAAACAGCTCCATCGACGTCGGATCCTAGCATTACAACCTCGAGCGCAGCCTCCACATCATCTCGCAGCTCCGTCACACCAGAGATATTCTTTTTCCCAGATACAGATATGATTGTATATTCCTGGTCCGTCATCACTTTGGCGAATTCTCACTTGACACAGACCAGACTCGGCCCGCTCACCTCGACCTGTGTCCCTACTGCAACCGGGACGACGGTCGGCCAGGATGGAAGAACGACCTTTCATCCCGAATGCAAATCTGGGCCGGGGCCGATGGTCATTCCTGGTATCTCTGCCACTAATCCTCCCGCTTCTCTCACTACTCCTCCCACTTCTCTTACGGCGACAACTGCTCCTACCCAGACAGGACCGGTACTCACGGATAGAAATAGCTCGCCATCTGCAACAGCCTGGGGTCCTCGCGCATCATTGAATGCCCGTGGAGAGGTCACAGGTGTTGCACAGTCCGAGATGATTCAGTCTCAAGCAGATTCCATTCACGCAGCAGTTCGGCCAAGTGGTTACAGTGGTACCGGGAGCCATGGGGTCCAATCCGACAGCTGGATGGCCAGATTTTCGAGGTTCTTCGTTCTCCCCTTCAAATCCGGTGTGCCGAATCCGACGACTCTGGCGACAGTCGTTCGCTATACTATGACCACTACGACAACCCCAACTGCGTCCACTACTGGCTGACCCTGGTCTATGATTTCGTCTTGTCACATTGCCGCCATGCCTGTTTCTTGTTCTTTGGGAAGCAAGCGCCACAGGAAGCCAAGAGAGACTACCTGATATACCGGATAGGGACGTCAATGACGGTTGGGTGACTACAGCCAGCATGAAGGATTGGCACCTGGAAACCCCATACACATTGGTTGTCGAAACCTAAGTCAATGCCGAAATCTTCATGACCTGCAACTCGGGACCTCATTCTTCGATGGCAAGACAAAAGCGTACGAACAGAGCAGCATCAGCGGGGGATACTACCAAGTCCTGGCTGCGGTTCGGAACTATTGTCTGTTAAGTCGAAGTCTTTTTTTTTATTTTGAGTCCCGAGAGCCGTCGAGTCGGGGTTCTGGGAAAGTGAACGAACAACTAGCATTGACGATGTGCAAATTCCTGTCGTCACGCATGGGGATGCTTCTAAAGATCTCTCGTGGGATTTGAAGCTAGAGGAAATCACCTAGAGGACCCCTGCGAAACTTCTACGCATCTTCTGCTGCGGACCTTGCGTCTGTTGGTTACGGAAATCTCGACTTTGAATGCAGTTATCTAGATAAGCAAGCACGGGCACATTCCTTAGATGACCCAAGAGGGTGCGACGGGTCGTCGGTGGACATGCCTCCTCTGTTCAAACCAGCTGAAGTATATTTGAACGTGTAGACGACTCTGTTCGATTCTGCCTGCTCACAGCTTTCTGCCACAATACAGTTCAATGAAGAAGCAATCAATCATAGGATTTTATCAATGGTACCAGCATAGCAGTCCCAGACATATCTTCCATAGCAAAGCAGCAACGCCAGCTAGTCCCTCTTATCCGTATCGTCCTTCTTCGGCTCAAAGTTCAGCTGGTTGCCATTATAGAACTGCTGTTCGCGACCGGCATTCTCTGCGCGCTGGTCAGCCAGAGTGCGGACTCGAGCATTCCTCATCGCCGATGATCCGGATGCTGAATCATCTCTGGAAGCAGTACCCGCCGTAGACGTGTGGTCTTGTCCAGCAGCAGCAGCAGCAGCAGCAGTAGTATTGTTATAACCCAGGAGACTCTTCACTCCACCCAAAACCATCCCGGCCGTCCCACTAACGAGACTATATCCACCGCTGACTGCGGCGCCGAGTAAGCCTCCCGGCATCGAGCCCGTGTACGATTCGACATATCCCTTCACCGGGACCATGACTAGCGTGCAACTGCCCACGATGCCGAGGTCGGAAAGGGCCATCTCTTCCTCGCCGGCTTCGATGTTGCGGTTGGGCAGCGGCGTCAGGATCAGTTTGAGATCGTAGGGCACAGTCGTATTGGCAGTTGAGTCGATCCAGGGCCGGACGTCGGCCGAGAGGGTCGAAGAGGGCTGGAAGGTGGAGCGAAGCGTGCTGCCGTCGAAGGTGCGGACTTGGACTCTCACTTCGGTGAACCTTGGTTTCGAGGTGGTTGGCGCGGATGATGAAGCTGGTGTTGTAGAAGAGGAGGAGCCGGTCTGCTCTAGATTGCCGCCGCGCTTGCGCATCTGGTCTAATCGTCGTCGTTCTTCGCGGTCCGCTTTGATCTGGGCTTTGATGCGTTCGCGCTCGTCGCGTTGCTTCTGTTCTCGCTCGCGCTGCATCCTGATGTATTCTGCTCGTTGGGTTTTCTGCTTGTCTGTCTCGACTTGGCTGGGAGCCGGCGAAGAGGTGCTGCTTTGCGGAGCTGGAGATATCCGGTTAGTTCTTACGGATGGTATCCTAGGTGCTAGAGCTGCAGGCGTCGTCGAGCGTTGTTGTTGTTGCTGCGAAGGTGGAATGGCAGCAGCAGAAGAAGAAGAATCTGTAGGTTGTCCAGCAGGCACAGTCTGGCCTGGGATGCGAAGTCCAACGGCTGGAAGTCGAAGAAGTCTGGTCCGGAGGTAGTCTGATACTTCGGGACGCTGTTGTCCCCTCAGACGCTGTACTTCCTCGTGGAAGATGGGGATATTGTTCAGCAGTCTCAACTGAGTTTGGTAGATTTCACTTGGGGACATGCCGTCGTCCACCAGTTTCTGGGTATGGTTCCGAAGGGCGTCGTATGCATTGTCCGGCAGCCTCATTTGGCCCCGACCCGTCGGTGGAAGGTCGAGATATTCGGACAGAGGCTGTTCGCCGCTCTGCTGGGGTTCATCATGCCTTATAGCGCATCAATGAGAGCACGATTTTCTCGAGTCTGTTGCAGTACATACCCAGAATCTCCAGCGGCATGTGTTCCGGCATCTTGGACTCCAAAGGCGGCAGCCAGTCGACCCTTCAACTCTTCGACAGATATCTCGCCAGATTGGAGGTTTGCTTGTAATTGCGCATTTCTGGTCTCGTTAGTATGCGTATGCCGCCTTCGGTGGGTGGTCGCTTACTTGATAACAACGATTGCTGGCACGCTGTTGAGAGGGCATATGGGTGACAGGAAACTGGCTTCTTGAGATCCGGCTTGTAGTCGTAGCGCGACAGCTTGAGCGGTGACGACGGCTGATATCTGCGCAATGTCAGAGAGGATGTTTCATCGAGAGGAGGCCTCTTCATACCACCGAGTCCTTCAAGACTTCTTCCCACTGCCTGCTGGTGTCGGAATCATCTCGGTTCGGTCAGCACCCTCTGCGCACATCTAGAATTCGACTCACCCTGGACGAAACACAGGACAGCTTTGGACTGTTGAAGCGCCAAAGCAATTCCGCTCTGAAGATCCCCGTCGTGAAACATAGCGACGGTATATTTCAGGCAGGACTTTTGGTTGAATTGCTTGTTGATCGAGCCGCAGTTGAGTCTCATTGAATTCCCTTGCGGCGGTTGGCAGCCTGGCGTCATGTGGAGTCGGAGTTGGCAGAGGTACAAGGTACAATTCCGCTCTCCGACAAAATGGCTCTTCAACGAGTTCAACTCTTCTCTCAATGTCTTCTGCCTCAACCAGTCTGAGATACGCAGCATGGCCAAGCATGGTTTGAAGACGATACGGGCGGTACTGTTCCAGTCGCAGTCCCGAAAACCTTTCCTTGCACAGCGAACGGGCCAGACCCGTCATGTCCTCACTAGAGAACCACCACCTAGCCACGAGAAACCCGACTTTGTCTCGATCGTCGACGCGCCTGCTCGGATTGTGTCTGTAGGACAGAAGCATTCGAAATGGGGCATTGCGTTCCTCGCCGTCATTCCCTTGACTGCTTTCTGCTTGGGCACCTGGCAGATCCAGCGATTGGACTGGAAGACGAAACTGATCGCGAAGTTCGAAGACCGACTCGTCCGGCCGCCGCTACCTCTACCCCCTCGTATCGATCCGGATGCTATCCACGAGTTTGACTACAGAAGGGTATATGCTACGGGAAAATTCCGACATGACAAAGAGATGTTGATAGGGCCGCGGACGCAGGACGGCAAGGACGGATATATGGTGGTTACCCCTCTGGAGCGTGAAGGAGGCAGCACTATCCTCGTCAACCGTGGCTGGATCAGTCGAGACAAAAAATACCAACAGGACAGAGATCCATCCGCTCTGCCCCAAGGCGAAGTCACCGTCTCGGGACTGTTGCGGGAGCCATGGAAAAAGAACATGTTCACGCCAAACAATGACCCCGAACATGGCAAATTCTATTTCCCCGACGTTCAAGAGATGGCCAAAGTCTCAAATGCCGAACCCGTCTGGGTCGAAGAGACCATGACGCCGGATCTAATGGTCAGCTACGACCGAGAAGCCAAAGGCATCCCCATCGGGAGGATCCCCGAGGTCAACTTGAGGAACACTCATGTACAGTACATAGTCACATGGTAAGTCCGCCTACGACTCTCTCACATTTCATATCTCATATCTCATCACTCATTAGGTATTCGTTATCCGCGGCGACGGCGCTCATGTTGTGGATGGTCCTCCGCAAGAAGCCGATGGACAGATCACGACGGGTCCGACACGTTACAAATTGGTGATTGCAACAAATCCCCAATCACTCCACTGTGTCGTCAAGCTCGGTCACGGCGGTTTCGGGGATCACTGCTTGAGCAGCCTCTTCTGGAAGCAGGTCCCGAGCGGCCTTCTCAAGCTCCCCGTCACCCTGAAGCACCCGTTGTCGTCGCATCAGCATGAGGACGTCCTTGCGGTCAACACGCCTCCTTCGCCGACCGTGATCGGAATACGCTGCAAGGTCTTCTCCGACTTGCTCGAAATACCACTCGGTTGCTTGCTCGAGAGCTTGCATCTGGTCCCGCCCGAGCCTTGGTTTGCGGAGGCCAAGTCTGGCATGAGCGTCGATTGCAATCCGTTTGATGAGGCTGGAGGGCAAGGAAGGCACCATCTCACCGTGCCGCGTCAATTTAACTTTCTTGCGGCGAGGCCGTGATAATGGCGCAGCAGGTGCAACTTCATCCATGATCGAGATCTGCCCCGGCGAGCCTGCTCCCGTAGATGGTGCAGCTGCTGGAGAGCTCTGCGTCACGATCCGGGAATCCTCCAGTGCTGTTGGAACTTCGAGAAACTCTTCTGCACGCGCAGTCTGAGCATGGCTTGAGACCGCTTCTCTACCCTGAATTTCCAACTGGAAGCTTTCCTCCAGAGGTTGTATGTTCATAGTACTCTCTTCGGCTGGTGGCGGAGAAGGGGACCGTCGGCCAAGGTTTCCCAGGTGTTCAGTCTCTCCTCCCAAATCCAAGGGCTCATAGTCGAGTCCAATTCCACTATATTCATCCTGCAACCTAAGTGTCTTCGTCTGCTCACGCTGATTAGATTGTCTCCTGATCTCGAGCTCCGAGCCAAAGTCGCTCATCCGAATGCTTCCAAAACTGTAGCGCGATAGACGCCCTGTCGGCTCCTCGCTGATGGCTCGTCGTCCCAGCTCGGTCAGGATCGTTGGATCGTCGTCGGTCTCGTTGTCTTCCTGGTCACCGGAGCCGAAGCGCGAGAGTCTAGACTGTCTTCTGTCCGTGATTGCGGAAGTGCGCCCAGCATCTCGTGCAAAATCAATTGATTGGAAGGTGATATTCGGATCTTGTCTTCGGCCTTGCTCGTATTCCTCTGGTAGAATAGAAGGCGTAGGAGCCGTGGGCAACTCGCTATCATCGTCCTCCACCTCCTCTGCAGCAATCGGCGGTTCGACATCATCTAGACTGTCGTCAATATCGAGCCCCAGCCGTGGTCGCTTTGAGAAGTCTGTCTCATCATCGCTGTTCACGTCAGGAGCAGTGTGTGGCGTCTGATTCTCCTTTCCCCGGGCTGCGCCGGCAGGAGTCGGTATTGTCTTCTTTGTCGCAGGAGCGGTGAGTTTCGCAAGTCGCCGCAGAATCCCTCTTGCAGAGTCTGGTCGCACGGAGTCACTGAGCGCCCTGGGCCGTCGTCGGACAGATCGTGTTAGCGCACCGCTGCGCTGTTGGAGCGCGTGGATCGCGTGTGGTGTAGACGGCGCATATCTGGTGGGTGTTTGAGCGTTGCGCAGTTCCGACAGGGGTCGCTTTCGAGACGACATCTTGGGGTCGGGTGTTCAGTCGGCAAGAGTGGGTGTGCGTCCTACGTACACATATATGGCCCGACCTGTATAAGGTAGTAGGGCTCTTCGCGCAGTGCCGAAGTTGTTGGCAGAGTGTTGGTGAAGCGCGTCCAGGGCGCACGCAGGGATCGCGAAAGCACGTGACTGGTCAAAACATCCCTATTGCCGCGGGGCCTCATCAGGTTGTGGTTATCACCACCGCCGTTCTACAACGCTATTGTTTGCACTTCCTCGATCACCATGACCCATGTGTGATGTTTGACAGTAGTATTTACCCCTTGAAAAGAAATGGAAGTGACATGTGGTCCTAATAAGAGTTTTACATATTCTGGTACTGCCATTCGGAGCCATATGCTCCGCGGTAGCCGAGTATTCATCCCTGAATCACAGCCTCGCAAGCGTTTCACACTTAATATCATCAACATTCTCTGCTTATATTACACCATTACTCAAAGGACAAGCACTGGCAAAACCCTACGCTGAGGCCGTCAACTTTGCTACAGGACAGCGACCTCTAGCACCCGCAGAGCGATTGAAGAGCTACAAACCGCTGACCGACCGATTATAGAGAATACGACAATGGCGCTACACCTGCAAACTACAGGTCACCCAGCTGGGGCCTTTCACAGCCATTGAACAGCTCAGTGGCTATCGATGTTTACGATCACTAGATTTAGCACCACTCACACCTACATCTTGCTCACTGAGGTTGAGTCAAATGCTACATCGTCAGATCCTTCCCTCTAGGGGCATATGCATAAGCATATTGGCACAAACACAAACACGATGTCTCGCGCCCGGGTACACACATGTGACGAGGAGCACGACGAGACAACTATCACAACGACCCTTACGTCAACCTCCATCGCCGAGCATCACAGATCTAGAAACAGAAATGAAATCCCGGATCTTACCTATCCCCTCCGGCTCCTGGCCAGCATCCAACATCCATGATCTCCGAGCCACCCTCGAACAACATCTCGACCTAGCCTACCAGGGCGACATGATCCCTCCCGGGTACCACCACGCCGCATTCAACCCTATCGTCGAAGAGGACCAGCTCTGCGAAGACGGTGCAGAAAGACGACACGCTCCTAGCGATGAATGGAAATTCCGCGTGTGGGCGGGTGGACATATGAAGTTTGACGAACCGATTATTTATCTCACGATCACCACCAACAGTATCAGCACTAAAACTACCAACTTCGTCCAGGTCACTGAGAAGATCACCGATGTGAGGGTGGTAGGCGGCAGTGGAGACCTGGCGAGCAGAGATGCGAAGATCTTCGTGACGCTGACGAAATCGTTCAGAGCGGAGCAGGGTTCTGATGGGCCCACGACGAGCAGGCTACAATTTGGCAACAGCAACAGCGAAAGCGAATATCTCAACGACAGCAACAACAAAGAAACCAATCGCAACAGTCTGGATGTAAATACGACCACCTCAGCAACGCCCCTAATCAAAGAGCAGAAGCATCTCTGTTTCATGCGCCACATCCCCCCAAGCCTGAAAACCGCCCAAACCACGCCTCGCAAGATGCGCCCTCCCACGAACCCGTTCCACAGTCAGACCATGACACCTTCACGAACACTGCTCTTCCGCTTCAGCGCGCTCAGCCAGAACGCTCACGCCATACACCTCGACAGCGAGTTCACCACACGCGTCTACGGCCTTCCGAAACTTCTTGTCCAGGGACCCTTGACGTCCGTTCTGATGTTGGAGGTATTGCGGAAAGCGTTGGAACTGGTTGTTCATGAACAGAATTCACGGGTTTACGAGGACGAATACGAACACGAACACCACCATCAGCACCAAAATCGAAAAGTGCTGCTGGCTGTGCGCGAGTTCGAGTATAAGAATCTGTTACCGTTGTTTGTGGACGAGAGTATCACTATTGCTTGTAAGAGAGTAGCAGTGCCCCCAATAGCAGCAACCGGAGAGGAGGGCAAAGGCGACAACGATGAAGAGAACCATAGGCCTAGCGGGAGAGATGGTGATCATGATACCCCCAACTCGCGTCCAGACCGACCAGGAGATGAGCATGAGTCACAGAAATGGGATGTCTGGATACAGAAGGGTCAAGGCGAGAATGCAACGTTGGCAGTCAAGGGCAGAGCTATTGTGCAGGCGGTTTCGACTCGACTTAGGCCTGTCTGACTACATGCCTCACAAAGTGAGTGATACGTGGTATCATGGAGACCCACGGCTCGGGCTCGTGAGAAACGGTGTGATTGCTTCCTTACTGCAGAAGCGAAATGACGCATGGTCTACGGGATAGATGGGACAGGATCTCCAGACTCTGTATAGAGTCGACAGACCATACGACATTCTTCATGTCATGGACCGGATCAGGCCCTGCCACGAGCGGTCTAGTCTGACACACAGTCTGACCTCAAGCTCAAGAAGCTCCAGTCGGAGACTTAGCAGAGGAAGCCTATGATCGAGCGTCACATTTCAGAGCTGAGTGAGGTGATCTTGTCGGACTAATATTTTTTGTGACCCGGGAAGACGATCAAAACAGCTCTGATCCCACGAGCTGTATTCCTCAAATATCCACGTTGTCTATGGACCAAGGCTGCGTAACGCTTGAGGACAAGCACCCTCCCTTGAAGCGGAAGAATTCACTCTGAGGACGATATTTCGAATTGTCACCCCTCAAGTGTGCTTCCACCCATTCCAAATCAAAATATGCTGCTCTGGAATAACGCATATTCGACCATTCTCCTCGCGCTTTTCAAGGGAGTTACTCCCATCTTTCACCCAACGCTCCATCTTCTTCGCCACCTCCTTGGCCTGCGCAGACACTGCAGGGATAAGGTGGCGCTTAATGCGGTTTGACCAAACACCAGTAACATAGCCGGTGGATGAGACAAAGTTCTGGTCCGGGCCAGCGTGGGTTGTGTTGTATGCTTCAACAGTGTAGCCTACGCGGACGGCGGGATTGAGGTAGATGCCGCCACCTGCAAGGTTCGAGGCTGCCATGTCCGTATAGATCAAACAGCACTCACTCGCCTCAAGATGCTTGGACGCCAGGCTGTCCGGCAGGGCACGAAACCGTAGGCCTTCGTAAAACGGACTTGGGTCCATCGCAACCATACCGTTCCAGCATGACTGGACCTTCACGGCACGGCCATCAAGCATCGCCTCTCGCGAGTCAAGGGACCGGAAATATGGGAAAGAGGACATGATGGTGCTGTTGCCCTGACTGTCCCGAAGAGCAAAGGTATCATAGTAAGTGGGGGGATGATGAAAGTCCAGGGCACATGCAGCCGAGTACGAGCCTTGATTCGTAGCTAGGAGGGACAGCACATCGCTGGGCTGAAAGACAATATCGTTTAAAAAGAGGATCCTGTCGAAGTTGCGGCCCTTCGAGTGCAGGTCGAACAAAGGTTTCAGAGCTTTATTGCGCAAGTTTGCCAGGTACGGGATGCGGCGCATTTCCTTCCCAGCGCCAACCGTCGTGGTTTGAATCCATCCTGGCCGTGGATTCCCCTGCTCGTCAAGTGGACCAGCATTGATCTCGTCGGCATGGGTGGTCGGATCAAGCACGATCGATCGTGAGATGTGATTCTCGGCCAGCACATTGTCCAGTACTTGTAGAATGTCTTTCGTGTTGTCCAGACTGCCACTCTCGTAAATGCTCACGTAGACATTGTCCTTGCCCAACACTCCAACGAGGTCTAGTAGGGCCTGGCCCCAGCGGTCGTGTATCACTTTTGCATTTGTCCAGAATTGAGCACAGATGAAGATCTTCTGGTTCTGCACGGGTGAGGGCAAGGTCGACAACTCGGTATATGTGTGAGAAAGGAGGTTTCTTGAAAACTCTCGGTAGTGTTTGAGCAGCGTGAGGAGGTCAAGGAGGAACAAGGCTCCGAAGATGAAGACGAGAGCCCTTAGCAGCCGCCGTTGAGGGGAACGGCGGTAGGTACGCAGGAACATGAGAAGGGTTGTTCAGGCGCAGGTTCTCCATCTGCTGTTGTATCATGGCTGGAGAGAGTGGGAAAAGGACGAGGGTGGAATGGTTATGAGATAGGGGAGACAAGTAGGCCTACGTAACGTACGTGCTACGCAGGACGCAAGCGACGCTTTGACGTGTCTTGATCGAGCATTGAAATGCTGGCAGAAAACGATGTCGGGAGAAAAGGGCAAAGGATGGCGGAGGGACAGAGGCGACGGCGGAGCACACGAGCCATCTGTGTCGTTTTACCCCTGGATTATGTCAGCATCGTCGACTTCATTCCTTAGTATCGTTCTTAAGACTTCATATTCTAGGTGAATTCAAATTAGAGGGGCACTCCAGAGATGAACGTGGACGTGGGTGCTGCAGCTTTGTATGCTGGACGACAAGGAAGGTCAACAATAGGTGAGAAGTATTACATTCACTGCAAGGCTATTCTGCCACACCTTCACTGCCCGGCGCCCGCCCAATAATTCAGCACTGATATATTATACCCGCAGAATATTCCCTAAATCTTCACCGGCTCAGGACAAACTGGCACCGGGCCAGAAGGCGTGATGGTGACGAGACTCCCTACGAATCCACGAGACGAGACCTCTGTTCGAATCCGACTACCACAACCCACGACTATTTAATTCAACTTCGTCCAGTACAACTAACACGACCAAAAATAATCTCACGGCCAAAACCCGAAAGAAAAACCCCATATGGCTTAAAACACCGGGGTTTTCGCTTCCTCACAACCTCCGTCCGAGGAGCTTGTGAACAGAAGTTTTTTTTGGTCATTTTTCACTTGGTCAGTTCATTCTATGGTATACTCTGAGTCCCAATGGTGTACTTGGAGCCGTCGAACCATACTTGTGTATATTCGTTCATCTCCGACGTTTGGACTCTCGTCTTTCCTGGGCATTGAAGAGGACCACCATTGCTTTTGTGTTCAGCTCAGGGCTGTCCAAAGTTACTCTTCAATCCGGTCTGGATGACTCTGGATTGAAGGCCAAGGCGACTGCTCGAAGCACTTGCCAGCTGGCTTCAGTTGATTGCTTCCTCTGGATGATTACCAAAGTTTCCGATTCCGAAATCTGTCTTATTCGCAAAGGACCTTATTCATTGCTTAAGCAGGACAGCAACCGCATTTCGAAGGTTCTACGAATGTTACCAGTATATCTACCCTCTGAGGTAAGCAATGGCTCACAATATCACAATAAAAGCTTCCTAAGACAGATATGTCGCCCAATTTGATGGCATGATCATGATACAGTTGTACAGGGGGGTGATGAGCAAGACCCTGTTCTACAATATCAGAAGACGCCTTCACCTCTATCTAGAGGTTCGTCTCTTTGGAGGAAAAGAAGACGCACCTTACAGATCAGCTGCTGTATACTAATTCTAACAGAGACATATTTTCATATATACGAATCTACATTTACACTTCGCCCTCCCTCTATCCATAGGACAAGGAGAAACTTGGAGTATCATGGCGAGGTGCATACAGTCACGATCATTCAACGGCTCTCGTTCAGCCGACCTGCATGCTGGTAGATGTACACCATGCAAACCAAAGGGGAAGCGGACCAGACCGGCCATCCAATGATTATCCTTGATCAAAGCGAGCATGGCAGCCTATAGCCTCGAAGCAGGAAACGTGTGCCACCGTTAACATCCTCGCCTGATGCGAAGAGTACAACGCTTGTGCGATGAGATCAAACAATAGGACAGAATTGGTGTGTATTTGGTGGTCGTCTGAACAAAAATCCTGCTGTGTTGCTTGTGTTTGATACTTGTGATGGAGGGCCTTCATGCTGGTGGGAGCGATCAGTAGGGTATAATCCAAGAGGAAGAGGTCAATGATATTGAAACGAACCTGTCCGTTGGCAAAGAATATCAAGGGCATCCTGTAGTCGCATCGTCGAGGACGGTAATTCAATTGACTCCGACCTAGATACCTCAGATCTGGCTTCTGCGTTGCACACCTCTATGTGACCGAATAGTTCTGAACCTGAACCAGAGCAAATCCTGGACAAACCACACACCCACCAGGCAATGCAGGCAGGCACGCTACATCACGCTCCCTCCAACTTCATCTTCACCGCACCATCAACCATCAAACACCGTACACGGCCCAAGCCAGCCTTTTAGTACCTCTCGACGACTATTCACCGCCCCAGCAAAACAACTTATCATCCCCACGAGAGACTCTTTGTCCCGCGTTCGAGAAAAACCAACTGCACAGCGCTCACAAATACCTTCGGACGGCAACAGCAATATCCATCATCAACATTTGATTTTTCTCGCCGAACATGGCCACTCTCTTGAGTGCACTGCTCCTTTGCTTCCTTCTTCTCCACTTCCCGGCTTCAATCAATGCTCTGGCAGTCCCACAACCGCCTAGCAGCCTCGACTTCCATGGCCCAACCCTCCCAGATCTAGCCAAGCGCAACGCCAGCGTCGGCACCCAGCAGCTCGACCTCAACATCGACCCGGACATAGTCAACCCCAACTGCGGCGGAGTCTACCCAGCCAACATCAACGTCCAGTCTGCACCGGACCCGTTCTATCTCACCACAGCCTGCAACAAAGTGCTCAGCTACATTGGCGGACCAAAGGGTGACAAAGATGTTGACGTTATCTTCGCATGTCTGGCGCAACCCACCAACGGTAGCGGGGACCGGGATATCAAGGTCATCTTGAACACGCTGGCCAATGTCGTCCTGGACGGCAGCGAGAGTGGAACCCAAAATATCGCGGCGAACATGGAAATCACGTCGGAAAGTGATGATCTTCTTATCTCAACTAGTGTTGATATCGGGGTCAAGGTCAGCAGTTCGCATGGAAAAGTGACATTCCAGTATATCTACTGCTGAAAGCATGAGGTCGTTTGTCTGGAGAGGAGGGTAGCCGCCTGGAAGAAGAGAGAAGAGAAGACAGTGTATTCTTAGCATGTGTGGAAATCCGTTCTTCTTGTCATTGGGGACTCGAGTGGTGTTGAGCATAACCGGTCTCGGGATGTGGACTGTGGACTGTGGATGGTGCATTTTCAGTTGAGCGGAAAACCAGTTCGGATGAGGAGCTGGTGCAGAGTTGAAGCCCCCTAAGTCATGCCCGTTGTTGTTTCTGTGATCGGGACACAGTACTGGAAAGGTGCACCGAGAAATGATAGAGATAGGCGCTCTAGCAATCAATTGAGGCTTCATCCAGCGGCGTTGTTCGTGTTCCAGCCTTGTTCCGTAATTAACCTCTCTGGGGATGTGCCTGTAACTTCGGCTGAGCGACACACAAGGAATCTGAGTCAAACTCCAGCTCTTCCCTGGCAAACCCAAATCGCAAACTGCCTGTCGTGTCTCATGGTGGAGCAGCCTCCAGGCCAACGGAAGCCATAACGAAGAGTGTATCAACCCCCAAGCAACTGGAGTCCAACCTCTTCCTCATCAAGTTCATGTCGTCAGAACAGCCGCGGTTCGTGCGCCAAAGACGTAGAGAAGGCCGCTTGTGTATGTCCCAAGAGTGGTATCACCATCCATATAGCAAGCCTTCAAAAAGCAACAGCAGAGCATCAGACCAATCTGTCAAGCAACTGTCTGCGCCGTCGATCAACAAGTTCCTCCTGGACCTCCTGCAATGTTGGCAACCGCCATCTCATGCCATCACCAGCATCGCCGGGTAACGGCTCCCAATCTGGATCATCATCCTCGCTATCCGCCATCTTCGCGACTCTCTCTATGGCTTCTTTCTCCTTCCGGCGCTCATATTTCAGCAACGAGCCATCTTCCTCGTCGGGCCCGAAACCGAAATATCTAGCGTCGAGGTTCTTGCGATTGATATCCTGTCCCGGCTTCGGTTTATCGCCGTCCTCGTCTTCGTTTCCATGCACCCTTCTCTTCACGGCGCGTTCAAACATCTCTTTGACCCCCGGCAACTCCCTTGCCCGGCCGAAGTATCTGTATCCTTTCCCTCCACCGGGCACTTCGCGACCCTGGTCATCGAACACGGTCCCCCCGCCGCGCATGTAGTTCGGCCCGCCTAGTTCTCTGATTCTGCGTTCCCAGCCCCATTTCTCTTTCATCAACTTGTTGATCTCGTCGTTGAGGTCGCGCACCTGGAAGTCCGACAGGCTCTCGTCTTGGATCTTGGTCACTTTGCGCGATATCTCTTTGAGGACCTGCCCGCGCCATTTCTCGCACAGAGGGATCGTCGTCACTGTGCTCGGCGCTTTTGGTCGACGGAGCGAGGAGCTGGGCAGGAGTCCTGACTCGGCAGCTTGGGCTGCTCGAAAGCGAAACAGCATGGACTGCGCCTTTTCCGAATTTCGCGCCATGCTGTAACTCTGATCGGGGTTCTAGCTGGTGCGGATGTGGTGATGATGTCCCTAGAGGACGGTGGTAAAGCACGCTGCGACAGTGCGTCGAGCGTGTTAGGAGTAGGGTCTGGCGGCTCGCCCCTGGCAGGGTTGTTCTCCGTTAGGTTCGAAGATGGCTCTGCTCTCGTGGATAGTAGGTAGTTCACAGAGAACAGCGTGTGAAAGACGTCGCAGTTGAAGAGGTGGCCGTGCAGTTCGTCGATTGTGGTTGCGGACGAACCGCGGGAAAAATTGCAGCGGAGATTCCCTTATCGTGTCATTTCAAAAAATATTGGAGAGACAATCAGCTTCAAGTTCCATCAACGGCAGCATTCACCGGCTTCGATCGGCCCTGCTTAGAGGGAGGAACAGGAAGAGACGGAATATACAGGGAGATCGAAATCGACAGCGACAACCGCAGCGATGCGATAATGATAGCCACCAGCCACTGCGGCTATACAAGAGACACCACCGGTACGAAAGCAGAGAGGGTTTGAATACCCCAAGCCTCCCACCATGTCCCAATGGCTACAGCGACACACTTCTGCCACCGTCCAGCTTGGACTGGCAGCGGCGGCGGGTGCTCTCGCAGCGAGCTCGGTCATCTTCACTGCGACGGCTATCCACCGTCGACGCGCGACCAAAGAGCTCAAAGACTCGATCCCCGACATCTCGCCCGATCATCATGCGATACCCTTGACCGAGTATGGCGGACCCGTCCGGGAGACGATGACGAGCAAGGAAGATGAAAGAGCAGCAAAGATCGCGGCGCGGGCGCGGAAGGGTGACTACGACGAGGAGCTGATCCTCGAACAATTGGCGCGCAACAGAGTATTTCTGAAAGACGAAGGATTGGCGAAATTGCGCGACTCGTTCGTCGTGGTCGTCGGTCTTGGAGGGGTCGGCAGTCATTGCGTCGCAGCTTTGGCTAGGAGCGGTGTGTCTCGGATCCGCATCATCGATTTCGACCAGGTCACGCTGAGCAGTTTGAATCGACATGCTTTAGCAACGCTCGCAGATGTCGGGACGCCAAAGGTGTATTGCGTGAGACGGCGACTTGAGCAGATCTGCCCATGGGTAAGGATCGACTGTCGGATTGAATTGCTGAGCTCGGAGTCCACAGAGGCGCTGTTGAGCAGTTGGGACTATGAACTGCGCGACGATGAGGATCGCAGAGAGCCGGATTGGGTCGTGGATGCCATCGACAACATCGACTCGAAAGTCGGATTGTTGCAGTACTGTGCCATCAACGGCATCAAAGTCATCAGCGCAATGGGAGCAGGATGTAAGAGCGACCCGACACGAATACAAGTTGGGGACATCTCAACCAGCGTCGAGGACCCTCTGTCCAAAGCTACCAGACGTCGACTGAGAGTGAAGGGAATCAAAGATGGGATCCCTGTGGTCTTTTCCACCGAGAAACCTGGCGAAGGCAAAGCCCAGCTGTTGCCTATCGCGGATGAAGAGGTGGAGAAGGGCAGTGTCGACAAACTCGGGGTTCTTCCGGAGTTTCGAGTCAGGATCCTGCCCGTGCTCGGGACGATGCCTGCAGTGTTTGGATATACGGTCGCCAACCATGTCATCTGCAGCATAGCCGGATACCCTATCGACTATCGGATTGGAGATAAGGGAAGGGACAAGATGTACGAGGGCATGCTCTCGGCCTTGCAAGGCTTGGAAGAACGGCTGGTCCGAACAACAGATGGACAGGACACGGTTGGTCTGCGCATCCCCATCAGCAGAGATGACGTGGCATACCTTGTCGACGAGGTGTTCCGTGGCAAGAGTGTCATCAGTGGTCTGCCAACTCGTTTGGCTCTCATCCGGTGGCGCAAGCCTCGCGGCGGGTTCAGGATCGACCCAGAATACCTCCCTGAAGGCCAAAAGATGGTCAAGCTCTCTCTCACGGACCTGGTGGTCATGACCAAAGAGGAAGCTCAGAGACATGAGAAGCAGGTGCTCATAGGCTATGCCGCGCCTGAGGACATTTACGACACCAGCGTCCTGTCCCAGGTCAAGAAGCGCCATGATGAAGAGAGAGCATACGACAGGTACAGGCGATGACCGCCAACCATGCAGCTGTCTTTAGGCCAAGGAGACGACTCGTCACGGCTTTGCAAATGCAATCCTTGATGATACCACCCCATCCGGCTGAACAAGTTGTCTCGACTCATGGCCTGGGGGATGTCTATTGCAAGCAGAACCGGTTGCAGCGCCCAGTCGAACACATATAGTCACTGCAGTCTGAAGCAAGGTCGAGGCGTGCACGAAAAGCAGCCCCCGAGTGCGACAAAACAGTCGAATCAAGGACGACAGAACGCTTCATGCGAAGAGCAAAGGTCCAGACAAACGCTCGAGCAACCGACAAGAGCTGTTGTGAAGTGAAGCGGCCTTTGGTCCTCTTCATGTCAGAACAGCCTCGGAGCATACTTTGAAAATACACAAGTTGAGCCTGTTGAGGCAATGTGACCATGTCGTCGCCAGTCACAACACTACTAGAGAATACGAGGAGCCAGACCTCGAAACGTATAGACCAAACACACCATCCAGTATCAATTCGCCTCCTCTCACATAATATATTCCTATCTACTATCTAGGAGGCTCCTGTGTGCCATATATACATATACACAAAACAGCAGCCCTTGAGAGGGTTCCTTCCACGCTCCTTGCATGGCCTTTTCTCTACAAGTCACTCTCATAATGAAGAGTCGCGACCCCCGTCCGTCTCGGGGCAGCGAACTCGCGCAACTTCCTGTGCGCAGGACACTGTTTATCGTAAAACTCGACGTCTTCTTTAGTTTTGAACGTCGTCACCGACACCAGTGTGTACCCCTGGCTGCGTTCATCGGAAGTGTTAAGAACGCGATTGGCCTCGTTGGCGACGATATATGGTTTGCCGTCCTATGAAGAAACTTGTAAGCAACTAGTTTGACTGTTTCTTTCTGTCTGTGGTTTTCTCTTGTCTTTTTTCTCTTCTCTTCTTCTAAACAATTTGATAATTTCTCCAAAGCAGGGAGTGACTCCCATAACAAAGATGGCAAGAATAAAACAAAATATCAGGAATGAAACGGCCTCTAACTGGGGTGACTTGCCTTTTCTGCCGTCGATCTCAAGATTTTGTACTGCGAGAGGATGGCGTCGATGTCTTCCTCCTTGGGGACCTTGAAGAGAGTGATCCGTTTGATGAACTTTGACGCCATGGCTGAATAAGAGGCTACCGGGTTGTAGGAGATGATCACTTTTCAGAGGCTTGGTCTAATCAAGAGCGATGTCAATGTTGACGTTAAATGAAGCTTCCAGCCTTCCTACCTTTCCTGTCCTCTGTGGGTCGTTAATAAGAAGGTGCACGATCCGGCCTCGGATGTGAGGGAGCTCGAGAGATGTATCCCCGCTTCGATGTCGGAGGTGCTAATATGCTATTAAGCGGTTCGATTCGAACTCCACCTTGGAACGTCCTACAATTGACGGATCTCGTATCGTATGATATAAGAGCCAGACTTACTCTAGGTGGGAGTCTAAGAGTAGGTGAAGGGACCCTGCTTCTCTGAACGGGCAGGATCATCTCTTCAACAGCAAGGATGTTGTCGATGGAAACATAATGCACCATTTCCATCTAGAATGGCGTCATGTTCCTCGCTGAACGGCAGGCGAATTTGTTCCTGTTCATATCCAAACTTGATTCTTGATCCTATTGATGTCGAAGATATTCAAATTAGAGTGGATTGTATCTCATTCTTCTCTGTCCGAATCCTGGTAGGGGATCTAATTCATCATGGGTTCAATCGCTACTGAGACGGTTGCTCGACAACCCGACATAGACTATAAACCCGATTTTGAGAAATATCAGACTCGAACAAAGCTTCGTCTGCAGACTGAGCCTCTCATAGGAAAGAGTCTGCCATCTGGATTTCCCCAAGAACTGATTTCCGATCTGGTCTGGGAAGGAGAAGGACTGGAAGACAAGTATGACTGGACATATGTCCTCACAACAGAGGACATTGAGGAACTGGAAGAGGCATTGACGCATTTCAAATGTTGACGGTCAATCATCACTTTTTTAAAATGCAAGTACTGACCGTGTCTCAGCGCTGAACAAACCTCTTGGGTACATCAGTCAAGAAACATTTCCCCTTCCTCGCCTGCACGGACCGCTTCGAGAGATCTCAAAGGACCTCCATTTCGGCCACGGGTTCAAAGTCGTGAGAGGCGTCCCTGTCGACAGACACTCTCGAGAGGAGAACATCATCCTCTATGCAGGTCTTTCGGCCCACGTGGCCCCAGTCCGAGGCCGTCAAGATAATGCTTACAAGGGAGAGCCAGCCGATGTTGTGTTGAACCACATCAAAGATCTTAGTTCGACTTCCGAAAACGCTTCGATTGGGGCCCCGGCATATACCACGGATAAACAGGTGTTCCACACGGATTCGGGGGACATTGTTTCGCTCTTCGCGCTCAGCACGGCTGCCAACGGCGGGAGGAGCAGGCTGGCAAGCACCTGGAGAGTGTACAACGAGCTGGCGGCCACCCGACCCGATCTGATCGAGACGCTGTCTCAAGATTGGATTGCGGATAACTTTGGCAGGCCAGGCCAGCCATTCACCGCTCGGCCGTTGTTGTACTTCCAGCCCGCAACACTGGACTCGCCGGAGCGTGTCATTCTTCAATACGCCCGAAGAACTTTCACTGGGTTTGGCGCGCTACCACGCTCGAAAGAAATCCCACCTATCACGGAAGCTCAGGCGGAGGCACTTGATGCTCTTCACTTCCTTGGTGAGAAGTTCAACGTCGGCTTGGACTTTCGGAAAGGTGATATTCAATATGTCAACAACCTGGCTGTCTTCCACGCCAGAGATGGCTTCGAGGACTCTCCAGAGCAGCAGTAAGTGTCACCCTGTTCCCCATATCCCGTAGGTCGGACTCCTCAAAGGCTAACGAGCGTTGCCACCCCTCCTAGACGCCATCTCATCAGACTCTGGCTCCGCGATCCCGAATATGCCTGGCACATGCCGGATGCTCTGAAGCCAAGGTGGGCTCAGCTGTACGACGGTGTGACCCCTGAGAAACAGGTCTTCCCACTAGAGCCGTATATCCGCAGCACGAGTAATGGACAGACAAGGGCCAAGGACTAGGGTTGGCCAATATGAGAAGCTGTAGATACCGAGTGGAATGCTAGAACCTAGCCTGATGGACAACGTTGCAAGCGGATCTCCTGCGCGACAGGCCTGTCCAATGTCTTTGCATTGAATTACTTGAAGCTTTGTCTCCAGCCGAGGATAGAAGGCTCGCCACGATCCGTGGTCGCAAATTTTCGTGACATTGATCTTCACAATTCGTTAGCAATGGGGCTTGAAAAAGCGTAAAGAATCGCGCCATCTGCAACGCTGAGCACGCAGAAGGGTTTTCCCTCCCACACATGCTGTCGCGAGATGTACGCTAGACATACGATCTCTCTCGTGTAACGTAATCCATCATGTCGATGCTACCAAGGAGTCAATCCATGGGTGACTGCGACTGCTCTTGTCTCGCCAAAGCTGATTCCATCATTAAGCCACACGATTTCATCAACAGCATGTTGCTTCTTCGGCTCGGTCACAACTCGAGCATCATGAATATAATGTTGCTCGTGCGCCCTTGGTAAGGCAGGGCGCAAGGACGAAAGCTGTATATCCACGCTGGGGGTTATTCAACTTCGAGAACAATAGCCATCTCTCTTGTCATTTGCCGCCATGGTATCTGTACGCTGGAGACGACGAGAAGCTTCGAGCTCTCCAACGCAGGCCGACTCGAATGACGCCAGTCAAACAGCCTTCGTGACCAAGGGCAACCTCCAATATGCCGTCGAGAAGGGGCAGAACAACAGCGGAGTCTCGTACCAGGAAGTCTCTGGCGCACCTGTTGAAACACGGTCGACCCTGGGTTATCATGTCGGTCCCATCACGATCATTTTCCTCAACCTGTCCAAGATGGTGGGCACAGGTGTATACTCCACACCAGCCGCCATCCTTGCGGGAACAGGAAGCGTCGGGTTGTCGCTTATATATTGGTTCATCGGCTTTTTGATAGCGGCGTCTGCTCTCTCGGTCTACCTCGAGTATGCAGCATACTTCCCCAATCGCTCAGGGAGCGAGGTTGTATACTTGGAGCAGGCGTATCCCCGGCCGCGTTACCTCTTCCCGATCACATTTGCCATCCAGACTGTTCTACTATCTTTCAGTTCGTCCAACGCCATCGTCCTGGCTCGGTACCTCTTCCGAATCAACGGCCACAGTCCAAGTGACTGGGAATTGAAAGGTGTCGCGGTCGCCGGGTACACTGTGGCATTTCTTCTGGTGGCTTTCAACACGCGCATCTCTTATCACATCTCTAACGCCATCGGGCTCGTCAAACTGGTGACGCTGGTCTTTGTCGGAATTACAGGACTTGTGGTCTTGGGCGGTCACACCCGTGTCAAGGATCCTACCGCCAACTTCCATAACGCCTTTCACTCAGCCACTGGCACTTCGGCGTACGGGATTACCAATGCCCTTGTCAAGATTGTTTTCTCGTATGCCGGCTATGAGAATGCTTTCAATGTCGTCAATGAGGTCAAAAACCCTGTTCGGGCTATCCGCACCTCCGGTTCGATCTCGCTATTGGTGGTCGCTGTCCTGTACATGCTTGCAAATATTGCATACTTTGCGGCGGTGCCGAGGGAAGAGCTGCTGAATTCGACACAAATCGCTGCCAGCTTGTTCTTTCAGCACGTCTTTGGGTCAAGCGGCGCAGTTCGGGGGCTGAATTTTCTTATCGCACTGAGTGCTTTTGGGAATCTTATTGCTGTTCTTTTGGGTCAGAGCAGGTTGATCAGGGAATGCGGCCGGTAAGCTCACGGTCCTTACTACTTTCCTCTCTAGAGCTCGATTCGGTTGCTCAAAGCTGACACATCGGGGCAAATAGGCAAGGTACTCTCCCGTGGGCGTCGTTCTGGGTTTCGACAAGACCCTTCGGAACTCCCCTGGGTCCATATTTCGTAAAGTGGGCTTCGACGATGCTGATGATCCTGGCACCACCGGCAGGAGACGCCTTCAACTTTGTCGTCGACCTCAGCAACTATCCCAGTTCCTTCTTCATTTTCCTCATGGCTCTTGGTTTGTATTTGGTGCGTCATCGGCGCAAGAAGCTTGGTGTGCCAGCGCTGTCACCAAAGGAAGGAGGCTTCAAGGCCTGGGACGTGGCTGTCCTGTTTACAATTGCTGTCAATCTGTTCATGCTTGTGATGCCTTGGTATCCACCAACGACGGGTGCAACAGGCGGCGATGTTAGCTTTTGGTATGCAACATATGTCGTCACCGGGATTGGAATGTGAGTTTCCCTTTGACAATCGCCTTCCACTGTCCATTGAAAACTATGCTGACATGGTAACCACCTACAGTATAATCGCTTGCTTCGTCTATTACGCCTTCTGGGTATGGATCTTACCGCATTACCGTGGCTATAGGATTCGACACGAGAAGCTGTTCCTGGAGGGCGGCGAAGTAACGCATAAGCTGGTAAAGGTACCTTTGCACCAGCTGGAGCTATGGGATCAAACGCATGATGCATACGGCCGCAGGCTTATCCGTGAAGGTTCGAGTGACGAAGAGGGATCTGTGGCAGGGAGCCAGGAGAAGTCGACCCTGGTGGCAGAGAAATGAGGCCGCATGTGCAAGTCCGAAGGACAGCTTCATGGAGACTTGGGGACAGAGCAATGCATTAAACGCACGAGCATCCCGCTCCTGCCGGTATATAAGAAGCAGAGATGTTTGGCAAGGCTATGGTTGAAGATACACTCATCAGCCTGTATTTGGCATCTTCTGCCGCCTGGTCTTATTTGATCCACCGTAATTATATACTTGGCAATGTTGCTGTGTTTGCGCTCGGCGGGTCCTCATTCCGACCTCGTAGGTTTGCCGCCCTTCTGCCAACTCCGATCTCGACGCTTTATCAGCTCATACACAGACTCCAGACCGCCAGACCGCCCACCGCTGGCATCATACCCTCTCTCTGGACCTCGAGTCCGGGCTCTCACTCTTCTCTCATCACCAAAGAGAACACATGTTCAACAGCTCTCTGCGCCGGGTGGCGCGGACTTGCTCCCATGCCTCCCCAGGTCCTTCCCGGTCGACAACGCAGTCTGTAGCGTCTTTCACCTCTCACGCCCATCAACGGCGGCACTCCTCCTCGAAACCACCGGTGCCGCCCAACAATGGCTCATCCGCTATCCCAGCAGCTTCGGTCAAGCAAGTAGGAGCACCGCGGTCAGATACGAAGCGACCGGCGGCAGAGGCACGCTCCTCGAAGAAGAGATCTTCCAAAGACAAGCTGGAGACAAAGCAAGAAGCTCAGGCTGACTGGACGTCCAAACTCCCCTCTGTGCCAAGTTTGCAGCATCTCAACCCGAAAGGTAGGCTACTGAGGCCTCAGACTGCATTTTCTCGCATATCCGCTGACTATAATGCTAGATGTCTATGTTGCCTCTTTCTTCTCGACCCATCGACCCATGTCCATCACCGGAGCAGTGCCTCCAGAGACCTCGATCGAGACTATTGACAAGATCTTCCAACCGAAGACAAAGTCCAAAGCCCGCAACGCTCCCAATGAAGTCATCTACACGCTTGCTTCTGCAGTCGACCATTTGGATGAGCAGATAGCCAGCAAGCAAGGTGCCCATCACTCGCAGAGCGTGGAGCAAAAGGCGGCCATCATCAAGGCCCTCACACAGCGCAGTGACAACCCCACGGATCTTAATCGGACCTTGCATCTCGACGGGGTTCCGAATGGAGGAAATGTAAGACTTGTCATCCAGGAGATTGCACGCCGCTTCCGACCATTCAACGTGCCCCCTCCTCCCACACCGATCACCGACGCCCAAATTGATGCCGCCGAGGCCGAAGCCGAGGCAGCAGCAAATGCGGAGGCGAATGAGGAGATGCAAGCGAGGACTCTACAGCTGGAGATCGAACAACAGGAGTACGATCCGTACATTCAACAAGTCGTCCTCAATGTACCGCAAGAGTCGGGCATGCAACATGGTGGCTTCTTCTCCAGTCATGGTGGTCCCATAATGGAAATTGAAGATGCACGCCGTGTGCAGAAAATTCAAGAACAGCCCTTCGAAAGGCGCATCGGTGGACGGAGACGTTTTATCAGAAGTCCCAGCATGTACGCCATCAGTGTGAAGAGACAGAGGCGTCTGAAGATGAAGAAGCACAAGTACAAGAAGTTGATGCGAAAGACGAGGAACCTGAGGAGGAAGTTGGGCCAGATCTGATCTCAGGGTCACGATGTGATCTCTTGTTTGCTTTTCGACATTGTATGGATTCTGTCGTCTACGAGTGCTACGATCTAGGAGGTCCGGGGAAACATTCCTAGTGGTCGCTCTGGATCTACATTCATATGGCGTCCGGTACTGGCCGATCCTGGTCCTGGTGCCAGGCCCGCGTCTGTTGCATCTTTTTGCGTCTGGAAGGGGGGTTTTTTCCATTTGCGTGATGCAGAAGCGACTATGAACCATGGATGACAGATTATGCGTTGCGGTTTTTTTGATCTCAACAGCGAACACTCGTGTCTTGAGGTTTCTTTCTTGAGTTCGTGGCAGCTGCATCATGCGCCATCAACCTATATACACAGATTATACAGTCTAACGGGACTTTTGCTCAACTCGCTATCTTTCTCTCTGTGTTCTTGAACTGCTGGTAGGCAAGCTACATGTACTCCCGCGCGTTGCTTCGACATGGAGAGATTTCGACACTTTGCGTCTGAATGTTGGAAATTGATGTGTCCTGAATCGTGGTTTTCAAAAGGATCTTTCAAGAGACCAATTGATCACTCGGGGGCAAATGGTGTTTGAACACACTGCCCAAACATCAGGCATTGGTACTCCATGACTGTGGAATTACCTATGAGCTTGCTGTGCGCTTAGCACTGCAAGCTTTTCGATGGTTTGGGGAAGCGTTCAGTTTTAAGGTAGAAACAGGCATTATCTATCTCAGTGCCAATGTGTACATACAATAAATCGGCAATGAAGGAGGCGGGCTTGACTAGCATGCCCATTTGTCCATTCAGACCTGGGTTGAATTGGATCTCCTTGCTATTGCGCCATCCTCACCCGTTCGCCATGTTCTGCTCGGTAACTCTTAACATCCCGTACATGATAATGCGGGAAGTCCTTGTAGTCCTTCCCCGTGGTGGTGTTGTCGCTGTAACTTGATTAAAGTTTGATCTGTGCTAGCATGGTCTCCCATTCAGAGTCGCCACACTTCAGTCGCTGTCTTTTCAGGCCACCCCTTTCTGGCCTCGTGGTATGCCTTGTTCCAGTCCAGCTCAGGTTCATTTATGACGCTTCAGTGCAGCCGTCAAGTCCCTTCTCCCCGCCGCTCTGCACTCGCGTTTAGCAGTGCACATCGGTCTCAGACTTGGAGTTCATGAGCAATGCGACAATGAGTCCGTAAAGACCCAAAACTTCGGCGAAAATGAGGATCAGGATCATGCCCACGAAGAGGCGAGGCTGCTGGGCACTGCCTCGGACACCTGCGTCACCAACAATGCCGATGGCAAATCCGGCTGCCAAACCTGACAACCCAACGGACAGGCCGGCACCGAGTTGGATGAAGCTGGTGAAGAGGGCTTCTTGCTGAGAGAGTTTATCGGAGATCAACACCGAGACGACCAGACCATAGATACCAATGATACCAGCCATAATCACGGGAACGATGTCTGTGGACAGAATTTGTTAGAAAGGTGTGTTTCAGTCGGAGGAATATGTCCGAGGCCTACTCTTGACGATGAGATCAGGGCGAAGAACACCCATGGCGGAGATACCGACACCAGACTTTGCCGTGCCATACGCGGCGCCAAAGCAGGTGAAGACAATGGCAGAGGTGCAGCCCATGGCTCCAAAGAAGGGCTACTCGGTCACAATGTTAGTTGCTTCTGCGGTCGAAAACGAGGGGAGCTCCCGAGTAGGACGGTTATCGCAATGCCGTCATTGCATCGAATATGAGAAGACAAAGGGTGGTGGGAGGAGCATACCGCATATACGGGACTAGAAACAAGCGAGAAGTTAGTCAAGGAACATCTCAAAGACGGTTCACCATGATAGAGTCGGGCAACAGCTGTGTTCAGCTGCCGAGTCTCGACCGCAGGCTGCTGGAATGGGGGCAAACTGACCAAAGATCTGAAGACATCTTGACGTTGGTTTCGGCTTTCTGCTCGCCTGGATTAACTGCTTCTTCGAACTGAGAGGGCAGCAATGTTGCTTGGAGCGGGCGAGCTTTACGAAGAGATGGACACAGGCGAGGTAGATGCGTGGTTGCTTGGGCAAGTATGGACAGGTGTTGATGATGGCTTCAAAGGTTGAGCTTCCCCCGATCTTGCCAAGGCTGCCACCAAGGTTACGCTCAGCTCTTTTGGGAATTAAGCCATGCTGCCCTAGATGAATCCTGACGTAGACACTGTAGGCTGTTGCTAAACACAAACGGCTGTGAATAGTAGAAGTTACTAGACATCAATTGTCTACTAGATGATTTGGCCTACTAGTATCCAATAGACATGCGAGGGCATCAAAAGCGGCGGCTGTTAGAAGCATCTGCTTCAAGTTCTCCAGGACAGCGAAGTTACTATCATCAAACCCCACGATGTCTTTTCAGTCCCGTGCAATGCCAGTGCTTAGTGAAGCCCCTTTCAGAGGGAGCGTCATCGTCGCAGAACAGGGACTCTACCTAAGATACAAGGTCCCAGCACACACCTCAGGCAGATCGATCATATGCACACAAGTAACGGCGCATATCACCCGGGCTATGTTGACTCGGTAAGGGGCTGTCCTGAGGCCTGGGACAAGTTGTTGTTTCTGCAGTCCTAGTCCGTTCAAGTCTGCCCAAGCGGCATATCTGCCGCAGACTCGGCCACCACTAGGATGGCAAGGTCGGTCTTCGCTGGATGCTGCTGCCCGAATCGTGTTACAGAGCTGGCGGCGGCCTGCGTGCAAAGTCGCACAAGCATAGTCGAGCTGTGGTCTTTCACGTCCCAATCCTTGCATTCCCTCCATGGTTGGTGTGGCTTACTTGATAGTGCTCTCTCTCAGCCCTGGTCAAGGGACGCAGTCGCTCGACTCGATAACCCGCCATCTTGACCGGTTCGGCTGAAGAAGGAACAGCACGGCTTGTCAAGAGGCGCGCACTCGCCATCTTGCATGAGCGGCTGAAAGTCAGCTGCGAGAGTCTCAAGCAAGAAGGACGTCCCTAACCGACGAAGTTCTCAGAGACTTTCTGCACGGATGAGACAGCCCCTCCTCATTTAAACTCGACGTGTCCGCCTGATGGCCTGGAATTTCTGCCTCTTGTCCCTCATGCCTTGCAAGTGAGCGCCCAGATCTAGTGGCAGTTTGTTCTGTTACATCCTCTCAAATCCACCGAGCACAATGGCTGATCCTGCAACTTCGCATTGGCGCTGGAATGAGATCCCAGACTATCACGCACTAACTAGAGAAGTCTTGGAGCAGAGGCTGAGGACCAAATTCGGGAACTGGAAGTTTTTCGTGGATGTAAGTGGTTTGCATACGAACAGATACTGGTATGCTCTGCGGCTGATATTGACAGCGCCGACCGTTGAATTGGCGGGTATGGGTGCCCTGGGATCTTACAGAGGTGAGAATTGAACCAACTTGGCACATTCCTGCTCTGCCCTCGGTAATACCAGGGCTGAAGATCTTGTAGGAAGACAAACTATGGTTGCAGACAGGACGGCTTTGACTCCTGAGGCAGCACTGGGCAATGAAGCAGGGCTTAGTAGTAGCCACTGGTCTCATAGTCTTCAATGATCAAGAATGTTGGACATGAATCGATCGGCCAAGTTGAGTTGGAGGGGCTACTCAGAGCCGAGTTGGCAAATAATACAGGTTACCGCCATAAGCCACCGTCGGCTACACAACACGGCTGTTCAGCCAGGCGCTTTTCCCCGGTCCAAGGCTGTCTTGGTAGGGGGCAGACTTGAGTGGCTTAGCACCACCCCCTTCCTACGCTTTAGGACCATCCAGGTGTACGCAAGGTGGTGTACTAGCCTAGCCATGTTGCAGACCTGTCTGAGAGATGTTGACAGGCGGCTGTGTCTGAGAATGTATGCTCTGTCAACATATATATCTAATGTGGTAGAAACCATCTTCTGCTCTGGACCTCTGTCATTGCCACCGGAATCAAGTCAACCCACGCTTCCGACACTTTGGCCCGTCTGTATCTGTTGGTGCAATGTCAACCCTACTTCCTCTCTTCATCGACTCCTGCAGCCGGGCACAGGACTTTCCCAACAACCTTGTCGATCATGGGTCTACACCTTCATCGGTCCGTCGAGAATACCAACAACGCCTCAGGGGTAGAGCACCAGCGCTGTTTTGTTCGGAACCATATGCTAGGGTTGAACTTTTTCGCTATGACGAGACCCACGGCACCTTCAACAGCGAAACTCTGACCAATATACATCATCTACGGCAGCGGCTTCCTGGCTCTCTGACTCGAGTTCAGCGGGATCCCCCCTGTAGCTTTGTCTTCATTGGTGCTGAAAGCTCACGCGATCCGTTATATGTTAGCCGCGACATGGCTCTCTGGATCCTTTCATTCTTTCAAGTTCTACCAACTTTTCTGGAGTTTTTGTTCGCTTTCGGCAAGCAGCTTCGTGCTGTGGATTTCCAGTTCAGTGGGTTCAGAGAGGACAACAGGATAGAAGCGATTCTTAACAGAGGACCCCTGCCTGAAATTGGGCGTTCTGGGCAGGATTATCAGATCTGCTACAATCTAAAGACCTTCGAGTACAAACCCGGCATCGCCTGGCCATGGTCAAGCCGGCAGACTGTTGTCTGGCACTCGTTCGACGTCCAGACTGGTCACGCATCATGGATCACCATCAAGGCGAATGATATTATCCGGGATCGACTGAAAGAGGTGTCCAACATGACTCTTGCGAAGGACAACGACCTCTACACAAGCGTTGCCAAGATGTTTGTCAATACGCTCGCAAGCCACACAGTGATTCTAGAATGGTCCGGAGAAGGCTGGAGGAGGTATATCAACTTCCTCGAGGAGCAGCTGCAGTCACTCAAGCGCCGTGCTATTGTGGACAGAGTCACGCGTTATGCCGCTCCTCCTCCTACTGCAAGGAGCCCTCCGTCTTCTGGCATTCCGATGGCTGATCTACCCCCCAGCCGGACGTGGACATTGCTGAGCCCTTCAACGCACACGAGTACAGCAAATGCTCCACCACAACCGCAGCAGCCACTGCCAGCAGGAGTGGCAATCAACATCCCCGAAGAGCCTCGAGAGCCACCCAATGCTCCCCCGGACTTCGACCCGAAACACCAAGGTGCTGCTGATCTTGACAATGATCAGACGGTGTACAAGATTGAGGAACTTCAGGATGCGCAGGCGTTTGAGGATATGGTCAGCGAGACATGCCTTGTCCTGAAGAGCAACTTTCCTGTCCTGGCACAGATTGAAGCTTTCTTTCAAAGTCTGCCGAAATCTGGTGATCTGGACCCAAATCTCAGAGACTGCATGACTGCAAATATTCCTCGCTTCCTAAAGCGGATTCAAGCCGTAAGGAGCGATCTTCAGATGCATTTGGATAGAATCGAGACAATATCCAGAGCGATCAGTGAGTGCAAAAGCCTTCTATATGGCATAGTCGAGTACCAAAGCATGCAGGCAAACAAGCTGTTTGCTTCGGAAGCCAGATGTTCTGCGCAGCGCATGGAGGAAATGACCAAGGAAATGAAGTCGCTGACTCTGAAAACGACTCTCGAGACCGTGATGATGAGGATCATCACGGTTGTCACCGTCTTCTTCTTACCTGCGACATTTGTTTCGACTTTGATGTCCACCGATATCGTCCATTTCAACTCGTTCGATTCCAACATAAACTCCGGCAGCACTTCTCTGGGGGCGGTCAAACTCTTTCTCTGCCTGAGCTTTTCTCTCATGGTGGCCACCTTCACTTTCGGATTTGGCCTCTACTGGTGGGCTGTACGGTATCAAGTGTAGCCTGCAAAGCAGAGCGTGTTCTCGTGTCAGGCAAGGGATGTGTAAAATGGTGTCGCAACCCGTGTACCATGATATATGTATTTGTGGTGTTATTTCTTTACATACAGCAAGCAGATCTTTGCTATGCCTGCCCGCTCATTGATGACAGCATAATCAGCGTTCAGCAACAGCACCCCATATAAGTTCGATATTGGCAAGGGTATCTTGATAGGTGGATATATATGAAGACCTGGGTGGGCCGTGGCTAGCAAATTCAGAATAGCACAGCCTGAGAGGCACGGCATGGTGGGACAAACTACGCTCCCTCCCGAAGTCATTTCTCCTTACTCTGCACAGGAACTAAAACATCCAAGTCGGCATTCAGTTGCGCTGCTTACTTTCGGAGATTGAGAGACACATTCAAACCAGCTCTCCCGCTCAGATAAACCACTGGTTCGGCCCTGCCCGGGCTGCCCGTTTCTTGGACTCCCGGGCGTGGTTTAGCGGTTGAGGCTGAATTGATTAGGCGACATCCTACAGGGGTCCTGGTTTCGAAAGACGAACTAGGATCAGGTTCGCCCTGTGGCAGCCTCCGCAAGAAGCTTGATGGAGGGAGGGGTTGCCCCTCGGGGCGTGAGAGCGACCAGGGCAGTCTTATATACTATGCTTTAAAGATGGCCGGCCCCTGGTTCGCATGGGCTGAGCCAGGCAAAAGCCACCCACTGCAGCAGCCCGCCAGCTCAGAGCGCGGCCGGTGAACCTCGACAGTCACAGCCTGAGCAGCTCTAAACTGCGCATGCCGGTGTTTCCATTCAGCTCGGCCATCAACTTGGTCTCTCCATGCTCGAGTTGTCATCTGCCTGAGGCAATAGGGCACGGTTGGACCTTCCGTGGCATGCTGAGACCGAACGCGACTGTCAAATCGGCCGTGATGGGATCCCAACGAGGCTCGTTACAGATTGATCCTTTCACCGACCCGACCATCAGAGAATTTCTCGACGAGATTGACAGACACAGTGTCCCCGGGGTCACGTTCCTTCTCGAGTCCGATCAGCACTGTACTTTCGTCCCCCATAAAGTGGTGGATGAGTACTTTGACTGCAGGTCTCAGAAGAGCCTTGCGCAAGTGACGAAGCTGGTTAGAGCAGCTACAGCATCCTCTGCCGCGAAACCTACTCCCAGAGCAGTCGCTCAAAGGTGTCGACGCGTGTTCACCATCTTACTGATCATTGGTCATTCTCAGCATATCGGCTCCTTCGTGGAGAACGATAACCTCTCAGACAATCGGCTCCCATTTCGCCCCGACGACCGCAAGCTGTTTCCCAAGCTCAACGGGGGTGGCGACTTCTTCGATGAGTTCTACAAGGAGCAATGGAGATTCTGTGTGGAGCCTATGAGACATAGTCTCGATCCAGTGATCATGGATGACAAGAGGATTCTGCCAATCGTCAAGATGGAGCGGCTGGACAAGCATAAGGGTGCCAGCGCAGTTGTGCGGAAAATTACAATCCATCCAGACTATGATCAGTTAGACGACAAGCTCCCAGATGCCCAGGTATGCTAAGGTTACCTTCCTAGGTTCTGGAAGAAGAAGAATCTAACACGGTCACAGAACAATGCGGGAAGCTTACATGAATATGTCGATAAGTCGTACCATGACCTAGAGGCGCAAAGGTACTACGATGCCGAAGTCGACGCCTACCAGAAACTCCACGGGTCTGGTGAGCCCATACCTAATCTCATTGGATTCCATGGTGCTTTTCGGCAGAACAAAAGTTTTCATATCATCCTCGAATACGCAAATATCGGGACACTGGAGGATTACTTGGAAGAGGTTAACCCGCCCAGACGGGGACAAGATATTGTGACTTTATGGGAGAATCTCTTCAAACTCAACGACGCTCTGGCGCAAATACACGGTCTTCCACAAAGCAATAACAAGGAAAAGCCAAGAATATTTCAGGGGTGAGTCCATTTTGGTGGATATATTTGATTTGACTTGTACCCTGACACGTCACAGCTGGCATCAGGACATCAAGCCGAACAATATCCTGGTGTCTGGCGACAAAGTGAACAAGCCGTACGAGGTTCGGTTTATGCTCGCTGACCTGGGCTTGAGCCATTTCACGGCGGTGCTTGAAGACAGGGCAGGCCTGACCGGAGAAGATCAAGGTGGATCCCAAGCATATAGTAGGTATATGTATTGGTCTTCTTGGCTAACCGCGCTTACGCTAATCACTCGGCAGGCGCTCCAGAAAGAAATCTCAACAGGGGGCTACTCAGCAGCGTTGCCCATATTGTGAAGCAGAAGAGCGACACATGGTCGCTTGGTTGCGTGTACAGTGAGGTCAATGCGTGGGTCGTCGACGGACCCAATGGCGACCTGGGCGTGGTCAAGTATCGTGAGGCCCGGCAAGCAGAGTCTGATCTGCTTGATGAATCCATGGGGGCCTGTTTTCACAACAGCAGAGGAGATCTACTGACTAAAGTGCCTGAATGGCATGGTGAGTTGATGGAGCGCTGCGCAACACAGGATCATATAACGCCTATCCTCTGGGAAGACCTCCTCAAACCCATATTTTACAAGCCAAAGAACCGACTCGATGCCCACCAGGTAAGGGCATGGTCCAACATCATCCTGCAGAAAGCTCGCAACAGCCTGCTGTCTACTCCGAGGCCAACGCAATCGGTAGCAGCATCTCGGGTGGAGCGACTGTCGACGCCCAAACGCAACAATACAGCACCTGTGTCCTCGCCCGAAAACCGTACCCTTCAGCCACCACGTACACCACCAAATGCTCCGCCTGAATTCGTCACCTCCCCGATGACTCCTCCCTACGGTACTCAGGGCAAGCCGCTGCCAGCTATGGACCCAAGCCAGGGCCGTGGGCTGACTCACAGCCCTGAGAGTCTTGAACCTGACACATCTCCTGCAGCCGGCTCAACAAATAGGGGGTCCTTGATCTCGATAACCGGAAGCTATCGCAATTCGGGCACATTGACAGGTGCAAGCCCAAACCCATCACAAAGAGTTACAAGCTCTTACATACCGGGGCACAAAGCGGACTACTATTATGGCCAAGAGCCAGAATCATTGCGAAGATTCACGGACACATTTGGACATTCTGCCCCCACTAACGGCAGGGGTCCCGTCGACGAGGAGCTTTTGGAACTGCATGGAACCTCTATGCTGCCTGTACGAGCATGGAATCCGTCCGCATCGCCTTTGCTGCCGGGGAGGCCTGGCATTCCCTCAGAAGAGACGGATCCCACGGGCAAAGGAAAGGCACCTGCGAGGTTACCTACCAAAACCAGAAAACCTTCCAAGTCACTGAGCGTGGACCAACTGAAAACATGGGCCGAGTTGACCCGGAACCAATCCAAATTTCGAAGTAAAGAGCACAAATTGTTATATGAGGACGAATTGATTCACCAACTGAAGAGCAGAGACCACGTAAGTCCCCCTCCTGCAGTTGGTCGTGGGAGCTCTCTCTTTAAATATTGCTAACCCACAAAGCAGATCTTCGTCATCGACGATGGAGAGACGATGTTTCCGCATTGGGGCCAACTTCTTTCGCTCTACCAAGACTTGATCTATATGGTGAAGAAGAAGCATCTGGACCCAAATGGCAGTGAGCTTCAGTTCATCATCTCCGATCAACGCAAAGAAGCCAGACACACGAGCGAGCTGGTTCAGATGGTGGCCGGCATGAAATATCAGGTCAAGGGCGAGTCCAATCTAGCTGCGCGCTTGAACAACATTTTCACCGAATACCGGAACAAGTTGACCAAGAAATCATCCGCACGACCTGTCAGCATTTATGTCTTCACCGATGGATACTGGCAAGGAGGCAAACATGAAGAAGTGGTGGGTCATGCCATTGAAAAGATGGTGAGATTCCTCGAGAAGGAAAACTACCCGGACAACATGGTCGGCATCCAGTTTATTCGCTTCGGAAACGATCCCGAAGGCGTGGAGCGACTGAGATGGCTCGACGAGGACCTGCCCAAGGTGATGAGCCCGCCGAAGAGAGATATTTGCGATACGACTCCGGCAAACGGGAATGTTTGGAAGATGCTGCTCGGCAGTATCAATGATTTCTGGGATGATTATCCGGATACGTGACCAACTCGAAGCACCAAGATGCCAATTTCGGTGGAGCTTTTACCTGGGGATTGCAGCCTTGTCTTGGCTTTCCACCTTTTTTGTCCGAGATGGGAACAACGTACCTAGTCACGTCCAAGCGAGTCAGAACTGCGTCCTACCGTTTAGGAACAAGCTCTGCAGGCAATGAAGACTGGATGAGGCCTTCGACAATTCCAACGGGTTCGATGGATCCCAGCCGACGACGACGATAGGCGTAGTGGAGAGCCTTTCGACCGAGATTGTCAAGCGATTGACAAATATAAGCCTCAGTGGCGGCTCCTTCAAGGCCTCCATACACAAGGCCATGTCATTCAACACTAGACCAGTTCTTCAGGTATCAGGGAGCACATACGAGCGAGTGGTCTGGTGGATGGTCTGGTTGATGATAGAAGTCTCATGTTGGATGGAAAATCGACACCCTCCAATGCCATGGAAAATTTAATATCGACCTTACCATGACTCGAGCAGCTGGAACGTCAATGATTGCAGGGGTCTGGAATGACAAAAACGATGAAGTGATGGAACTATTGAATGACTGGAATGAATGTGACGATTGAACTGAATGAAGCGTCTGAAACGAATGGGAATGAATGACCACAATTGGAACGACGGGTTATGATTGGAATGAACCTTGGTAAAATCTAAATCGGCATGAACATGCACCTGGAGATGGGCAAAACAGAGCCTGTGAACTCCCCATGAAGGTCTGACTCTGAGCCATAGGTCTGGGGTTAGAACTGATGGTGTGTTTAACCTGTGCCTGCTGTGTCCGAGTGATTGTCCATTCACGATCATAACATCTCTAGCTAGGACTATATAGAATTCTTTTCAAAGCTGGATGAGACTGCTTCATAGTCTGTATAGAACTAGGCTCTCGGTTTTCTGTTGGCAAATAACTGGTTTGCTCTTCTAGTTGATAATACATAAGACGCCATAAAGAAATAGTTCAATAAAAATTTGATAAAATAAGCCATACTAGTATGTGATATAACAAGGGCTTAATAGAAGAAGGTGCGTAGACGATACTCTCTGAGTGCTCAACGAGGTGGTTGAAGCAGCCTCGCAGCCTCGTTCGAACTCTGCCTACGTGGCAGGTATGCACGGCTCGGACTGGCAGCTCGCCCTCGTTCGGGAGGTGAGTGACGCCGTCTGTACTCGCCCTGGCAGTCAAGTTATCCGATAGGGTGCTTCTTATTACATTCGCAATAGGGTAACTGACCCTGCAGAGTGGTTGTAAATCCGTGAGCCGGGCTGGCTGTGGCCACCCTCCCATCCAAGGTTTCGCACCGGCAAAGGATGTCGCCTGGGTCTGAACATAACGTAATCCATTGGGGACGTGAAGATTTTGTGATTCGACTGTTTCGGGTCAGAGGAAATGAATGTCAAAAGCTACAGAATCAACGCCTGTACGAGACTGGATCACCTCTGGCTATATCCTATGATATCTATCGGTCCATCCAGAGAAACCTCACTTTGTGTGAATTGGGAATCTGGGATTTCTCTTCATACAGAGTAAAATTTAAATACTAAATATCAACCTCGCTTCCTTCAACGAGCTCTCTTCTCGCCCGGTGCCGGCCCTTTACTCCGGAGGAAATCTGGGCGGCTGCTCGACGTCCCCTGGGCCCGGTTTGGACTGATTCACCGTGCCACACTTCTTACACGTTCTATCCTCTATGGACGCCTCGAAGGCCAAAACACCCTCCTTGACCTGCGTTCCCAAGTCGTCGCAGTGGAAAGCCGCCTCGTGCAAGATCTCCTTACATCCTTTACAATACCAGCGTAGTCGATCTTTGGAGTCGGCCGGCCGCGGCAGTTCCAGCACCACGCCGATGGTGTCTGCGAACCGGACTGGGTTGTGCGGCACGTTGCCGGGTAGTAGGAAGATCGAGTTCTCGTGGATGGGGATGTCGACGAATCGGTGCGGTGTGACAGTTGTGTCGACAGTCTTGAGGAGCATGGAACCTTTGTGTTGATAGAAGAACTCAGGGGTTCTGTTTGTCTTGGTGAGTGTTTGGTGGACTAGTAGATGACGAGACAGAAGAAGGAACAGAAACAGAGACAGAAATAGTAGCTGTAGCTGTAGCAGTAACAGTAACAGCAACAGAGGACATGGAATGCAACACCAACACCAACACCAACACCAACACCAACTGCAACTGCAACTGCAACTTACTCGTTGATGTGATAGTCTGTTCGGGCATTGGGACCCCCGACCACCATGACCGTCAGTCCCGAGGTGAGTGGGTCGGCCGGATGGTAGACGCAATAGTTGTTGACCGGCGGTTTCAGCTTGTCCGCATTCTTTTCAACCCTATATACCCAGAACAAGGTTCAACGACGTTAGTAGAGGTCAAAAAGCCGAGAATGATGATTGTGCTTGCTTGAACCGAACTTCATATCGAGGACAAGCACAAGCACAAGCACGGATGCAGTAATACGTAAGACGTAGCGTACCATTTGGGGATGTTCAAAGGCATTGCCATGGCCATGGCTATGACTGGTGACTGTAGATTGTCGACAATGAGACTCTGAACGGAATCTCTCTCTTTCTGACCAGATTTGTCTTTTGTGGGGAGGGAATCACTTGGGGTAGCAAGACGATGACAGCGATAACGGACAACCCCAAAGAAAATGTCGACTGGCCTACCTATAACCCTATGTTGAGGACATACACCTTGGACTCGGTGATATAGGTTACGACCTTGACACTGTGGTATGACAAAGATGGCATCGGCAATAGTGATGGCGATAGTGACAGTGATAGTGGCTGTGAGCCCTGAGCCCTGAGCCGTGGCTAAAAGAATAAACGAGGCCCGGCCGGATGCCTTCCGGGGGCTTTAGGCTCCCTCAACCAGGTCCACCACAAAGATCATGAATGATATCCCCGGAGCCCTGGCCTCTCTCAGGCCGACCCACGTTATCGCAATGGGATAATTTCCGAGACGAAGTAGTGGTTCGTACTAGTCCCTGGTCCGTCGAGGGTCTGTTTGTCCCATCAATGTGGTTCCGGGGGAAACGTGGACATTCGGATTTACTGGAGATAGCCGAGGAAATCGCGGTTATCTTACAGGTGTCAGGAGGTGCACGTTCAATGAAGACATGCATAGACTTGTTTTTGTACCCGTCGAGCCATGTACTTGGTAGACATTGTGGCTGTAGTATGTACCCATGCCTACCGAATCTTGACTCGATGGGATGGCTGTGGTTAGGCTGCAATAGAAACTGATTCTATCATGATTCCATCTACTCCAACTGGTCTAGTCACTTTTCCGAGAGTTGTAAAAGTCCATCAAGTCAAAGAAGGACCTTTTATACTGGCGAGTCTGGTCGGTGCGATTGACGAATTGCAAGCCAAACTGCGAAGCGTAGGTGCCCATCTCCCAGTCGTCGGCGAAACTCCAGACAAAGGCGCCCAGGACCTGGACGCCGTCTTCCCAGATGGCCTTGAGGATTTCATTGAGATTGCTCACCAGGTAGTCGCTGCGAGGCGAGTCGAAGCGTTGGTTGGCCAGCGGCAGCTCGCCTTCTCCCGAGACGGGAAACCCGATCTCGGTGGCGATGATAGGCGTTCGGTACGTGTCCCACAGGTACGACAGATAGGTGCGAAGGTATTTGGGGGTGTCATGCGCCCATACGAAGCCACCGTATCCGACTGCCCATCCGGTCTGGGTGAGGGTGGAGGTGGTGACACATCCGGGATGCAAGGGATGCGAGGCGTTGGTGAGACAGGCCTCCAGGCCGCCCGGGGCAGGGTTGATAACGTTGATGGTGTAAGGGTCGATTCCGAAGACGTCGGCCGTCTGTTTCATGTAGGCCAGATCCTCGGGCGTCAAGGGCACATAGTCCGAGATGGCCTGCTTGTAAGTCTCTGGATAGTCGATGCCCAGGTACAGCGGGTTCGCAATCGCGCCCAGGTGGAAGTCGTTGTACCACTGGGCGGCGGCGGCGGACGTTGCATTGTGCGGGTCGGCCGCGACGCCGAAGTTGTCGATGAACTTGAGGCCCATCATGCCGGTGCCGTGGATTTCCTCTCGGTAGAAATGCGCCAGGCGTGCGTGCGCCTTGAGCACGGTGTAGATGGACTGGCCGTTGATGGAATCCAGGAACGGCTCGTTGAACGTGAACCACAGCGGCACGCGGTCGGCATAGTGGGTCAGCAGGATCTTGCCGTAGTTGACAAAGGCGTCCTGGAACGTTTCGTTCTGGAAGCCGCCGTTGTGGAACCCGAATCCCGGCGGCGGCACGTAGTTGATCATGCTCCTGTTGCCCTCGAAGAAGGTCAACGGCGTGTCCAGATGCCACATGGTCACCACGGGGATCATGCCCTTCTCCAGCACGAAGTTGATAACGTCGTCGTAGTGCTGGATGGCCTGCATGTTGATGGGCGTGCCGGGCAGCGCGAACGGCAGGATTCGCGCCCACGAGATGCTGAAGTAGAAGTACTTGACGCCCATGGCCGCCAGGCGCTCGATGTCCTGCTTGTACAGAAAGTAGTACTCGTTGGCCACGTGGTTGCTTTCCGGGCCGACGTTGTCCTGCTGCATGGGCGCTTTCCCTTCCATGGCCACGGCGCCCTCGAACTGCGACGCCGAGCCAGCCACGCCGAGCATGAAGCCCTCGGGAAACGTGTAGCATTCTGTGGGATTCAGGTACCGTGGTGGTGGATAGACCAGCTCCGAGGCCGCCACCGGCGTCGGCGACACCGTCGTCGAATACAGCTGAGTCGACGTGGTCCAGTTGACGATGTTGGCATTTTCCCACTGCGCCGTCCATGCAGCCTGGCCGTATGGATCTGCCGTGTCGGTTGGCCTGACGCTGGCATTGCGATCCCAGCTCCCCCAGGTGGTGGAGACCACATTTCCCAAGAGATAGCTCAACTCCTCGTACGGCCTGGCATAGGTGGTGGTGGACGTGGGCGAGGGAACAGACGTTGCATATCTCACCGTCTCCGTCTGCGTCCAGGAGAATGGCTTCTGGTAGTAATGAGGCTGAGGGTTGCCATGCCAGGGCTGGGGTGCACTGCAGCTGGGCCTGGCGACCGTGCCGGACGTGGTGATGTAAACCTGCTGGGCGGCACCGAGCGTGGCACATGCCACGACGATCAATGGGGCGAACATGTTATTGACTGAGTCGATACGTACTAGTAGTATGGCCACTCGTGCTGCTGCTGAACCTGCACGGTGGCGACTTCACCGGGTTTCTTATGCTTTCTGGTTCGTCGAGACCATCCATGTTGCTCGACTATCGACCATGTTGGTGATCCACTTGTATACAGACCAAGTGGATCTCATAGCTACTATTGTAATGATTTGAAATTATTTAATCATTGATAAGACATTTTGTCCCAACGGAGTGGACCTGGAAGAGATTCCGTTATCTAATCATTGCCTTCATCCTGCTTCGGATGTCTTTCCTTCTCTATATCAGCTTGGCCGGATCAATAAAGTTGAATTAGTAGCAGATAGTTTTTCTTCGGAGAAGTCGATCTTGTCGACGAGACTCCGGACTGCGAAATCGTTATCTTCACTGGGAAAACGATCATCCTACCTCGTTTACGGCGGACAGAGGTGATAGGGATATGAGAGGCGTGGCTAACATCCATCGACTCATTCATGGGTCATGCTGTATGTATGGGATAGCTTGAGTGTGGTTTGTATATGTGGGATTGCTTGGTTGTGATCCCTATCTCTCAAGACAACGTAGAGAGCATGTATACTGCCATCGAGTAGAGGGCTTGGTTTCACAGCGACCAAAGTGTGTTGTGAAGTAGTAGGGTCCTAAAAACTCTGATCAAATATAAGAATATCTCTCGTAATAGGGATGAGAGTGTTGGTGAATAACAACATCTATCGACTAATACATAGGTCATGCTGTATATGTGGGATTGCTTGAGTATGATCTCTATCTTTTTTGAATACACACACCTTCAAGACGGCGTGGAGAATATATACACGACCACGGAGCTGTCACAATGGAGCATTCTCCAGCCTCCTCCTTAGCTGGAACAAAGTGTACTAGGCGTGTGTATCCAGTTGAGGCTCTTCCCAGACCCCTTTGATAGAGGACAAGGAACCTTTCACACTTTGACAGAAGTTGGAGCTGTAGGGTTTAGTTTCATAGCGGTCAGTTTCATACCGATCAAGATGTGATGTGAAGTAGTATATTCCTAGAAAGACCCTTCAAATACAATCATATCTCTCGTGAGAGGGATGAGAGCGTCGTGCATGTCAACGTCTATCGACTCATACAGGGGTTATGCTGTATATGTGAGACACCTTAACTGTGATCCTATATTTTGAGTACACATACCCTTAAGACGGCGTGGAGAGTATATACACGGCCACCGAGGGTAGGGTTTAGTTTTAAAAGTTGCATAGCGATCAAGTATGGAAGTGTGAAGTGTGAAGTGTGAAGTGTGAAGTGTGAAGTGTGAAGTGTCATGTAAAGTAGTATATTCCAGAAAAGACCATTCAAATACAATCATGTCTCTACCCTACAGTACAGCGCTCCAACAGAGATCCCGCCCCTAGAGTCTACCCCGTCAGTCAGACTTTACATCGCCTTCGGTGTGGCAGCCACAGCTCCGACTTCCTCAGCGCCGATTTCGTCAGCGCCATCGACACGCTTCTCCACCGCAGCAATATGATTCTCGATGTCTTGTCTGCGGCTCTCCTCGTCGACGACACCAAACAAGACATCCATATCCTCCAACTTGACGCCCTTGGTCTCGGGCATGAAAATGGAAAAGATGACGGCGACGATGTTCATGGTGCCGAAAATCATCCAGGTCTTCCATCCAATGTTGAGAACCATGATGGGCGTGAGCTTGGACACACAGTAGTTCATACCCCAGGTCATCAAGCCGCAGAGGCCCATGCCCCAGTCACGGAGGCGAGTTGGGAAGATTTCGCCCATATAGACCCAGGAGACCGGACCCCAGGACATGGAATAGGCCACGATGAAAAGATAGATCATGGCCATCATGCCTCTTCCGGCGGGGGAATGCTCGCTTCCCTTGTAAGGAGGGTTTGTGGCCAAGATGGCCCCGAGAGCGAACATGAAGACACCCATGAAGAAGGCGCCGACTGCGAACAGATGTTTGCGTTTGAAGATGCCGATTCCCGTCAGGACAAAGATGCCTGTCACGCCGAATTTGATGACGGTGATCATGCCGGACGCGAACAGCGCCGCGTCCTGGGCCGTGAAGCCGATTTCGCGGAAGACGGTGGGTCCGTAGTACAGGATGCTGTTGTGGCCGGTCCACATGGCCAGACAGGCGACGCCGAGGCCCCAGCACAAGCGAGTGAAGTTCTTGCCCATGAACATCTCCTTGAAACTGCGTCCGTTGGTCGAGGCAATCTCCTCGTCGATCTGGGTGGCAATCTCGGCCATCTCGACCGTGATGGCCTCGTCGGACTCGGGCAGATTGCGGAGACGCGCCAAAGACCGGCGAGCGTCGTCCCAGCGATCCCCACGGGCCAGCCACCTGGGCGATTCGGGGGCGAACCAGCAAGAGATGGTGACGATGCCGGCGAGAATGATCTGGATGGAGAGCGGGATGCGCCATTGACTCGACTTTGTGGGAGACACGTGCAGCGAACATCCATAGGTGGTCCAGTATGCCAGCATGCCGCCCGAGACGAGGAACATCTCGAAGAAGGCCATCATCAGCCCACGCAGGTGCTTTGGAGAACATTCGGCCACGAACACCGGCGTGGTGTTGCTGATGATGCCGACGCCGAAGCCCGCTATGACTCTTCCACCGTAGAGCATCGACAGGGACGGGGGCTGCGCTGCGGTCTGGAGAATGCCGCCGATCATGAACAGGAATCCCGCGAGCGCCAGCATATGGCGACGGCCGATGTGGCGGCCGACCAGCGATGGAGCCATGGCTCCGAAGAACGCGCCTGCATTGAGTAGGGCTACAATGTTGGAAGAAGATGCTGCCGCTTTGGACGGGCTGGCAGCCAAGTGGAAATCCTTGCGGAAGCTATCGAACAGTTAGTATTTAGTAAAAAGCCGAGAGAGCGTTGGTGGTGGTTGGGTGACTCACCTCATCATCGACGTGACAGCGCCGGCGACACCGGTGTCGAAGCCAAACAACATCGACCCGGTGTTGGCGACGATGGCGACGATGAACGCCCCCTTATTGCGTCGGACGACATCCATCTTGGAGTACTGCGTGGCTGGTGAACAGGCTTGGTGAAGAGAAAGACGAGAAGCAGCGGGTGTCTTTGCAGCTTCAAGCGTCGATCTGGAGCGAGGTTCCAAGCCGACAAGGAACAGACGTTTCAGAGTAGATATATGTCTTTCCCTCTCTCCCGGTGCTTCCTGGCTTATCTTGCACAGTGGCCACTGGGCAGCGCGATGCAGTTAGTTACCACTCCGTCCTCACTGCTCGAGTTAGCCAAGATATAGGGGCTAGGAGGGATTGGGCCATCGAACGAGCTAGATTCAGGTGGCTTGTAGCCTCGTGAGGTCGCTGGAGATAGTAGTTGGGAACCCTTTGGGCCCCTTCCCATTGTGCGGTGCCTACGCCGCCCCGCCCACTTGTTTAGTATTTTTGTTTCGACCGGCCCGACAAGCTATCTTATCAAAGCGGGGCCGCCGGATGCTTGCCGCCAATCAGAGATGCCGCTTAACCTTATATCTACCGGGCAAACTCGGACATCACCCACATTGGTTTTAAAGGGCTAGGGCCAGACTTTGTCTGAACTGCCGAAGCATCAATCACTCAATCATGTAAGACGAGAGAGATAGTCCAGAGCTTGTTCATGGGGATGTGCTTCCATTGATAACGCCGTCTGGCTGCTTGATAACATACTGGTGGCTGAGGGCAAGGCGGAGCGGATATGTGGCCATCTATCTCACTACAGAGGAGGGATTGCCGGATGCTGTGGTCGGGACCGGGTCTCTCGCATTTGGACACAGGCCTAGCCAGACCGAGGTTGGGGTTTGGTAGATGAGAAACATTCGAATCGTTTCAGCCAGCAATCCTTCAGGCTCGGCTTCACACCATGAGGGAAAACAGCGCTTTCTAGATAGAGGCGCTCGTCCCGACCACGGGTCCGTACCCGCTCGATGCTCAGGCCATCGGTTCGCACCCCCGGATGGAAAGGAGGGTGGCAGAGGAGAGCCTGTCTGATACACACACACAGCAAGGCCGGCCGAGATGTAGATAGTATGGTAGTACTAGTACCATGATCAGATGGATGCCGTGGCCATCACCGCTTTTGGTTCGTCACGATCGCAGGTGTGACGACTTAATCGTCCCCGATATCATTGTTACTTTCTGTACTCAGTCTATGGGGCTTCTGTTGTCTTACTTTCCATGAATCTGAACCTGAATCTAAACCTGAATCTAAACCTGAATCTGACTCTGAATCTGACTCTGAATCTGACTCTGAATCTGAATCCGAATCTGGCCTGTTGAATTACTACCCATAAATCTCAAATCAACATGTCTTGCTGTCATCATTGTACCCAAGGCCGCAATGGCGGCTCCCCAGGACAGCCGCAAATGCCCAATACCTCGGCCCTCTACAGGATCGACATGCACACGCACATCATGCCGTCGTCGTTGCCGGATCTGTCGGCCTATCCGCGCAAAGACCCGACCGACCGATGGATGGAACTGAAGCCCAACGAGCAGGAGCCATCCAAGGTCGACATGTATGTGGGCGGCAACTTCTTCCGCACGGTGGAAGAGAACTGCTTCGACGCGGAGGCGCGACTGCGCGAGATGGACCAGATGGGCGTCGACGTCCAAGTCCTGAGCACCGTGCCCATCTTGTTCTTCTACGACGAACCCGCCGCCCCGGTGGCCATCCTAGCGCGGGCTTTGAACGACCACATCGCCGACATCTGTCGCCAGCATCCGCGGCGGTTTGTTGGGTTGGCCACGCTGCCTCTGCAAGACGTCGAGGCGAGCACGGCGGAATTACGGCGGGCCAAGAGTCTGGGGTTGAAAGGCGTGGAAATCGGTACCACCATCGGCGACCGAAACTTGGATGATGAGGCGTTGTATCCGTTCTGGCAGGCGTGTCAGGACCTCGACATGCCCGTCTTCATTCACCCCTTGGGCTACTCCTTGTCGGCGGAGAATCCCAAGCGCTGGGCAAAATACTGGGCATCATGGCTGGTGGGAATGTAAGGCAACTTCTTTTCTTCCCCAGATCCACCCGAACCTGTGGTTACACTGTGACGGAGAGAAGACAAGACTGAAGACTGACATTTCTGAACAATAGGCCCAGTGAAACGGCGCTCTCCATCCTCGCCTTGACCGCGTCGGGCGTGCTTATCAAATACCCCAAGCTCCGACTCTGCTTCGCACATGCCGGCGGCGCCTTCCCTGCCCTGCTCGGGCGCATCCAACACGGCTACGACTGCAGACCCGACCTCGTCGCCAAGGATGCCGGCGGTATCACGCCGACACAACACCTCACATCAGGAACCAACATCTGGATCGATAGCCTGGTCCATGACCCGGATCTCCTGCAATATCTGTGCCAGAAGATCCGAAAAGACCGGATCGTCATGGGCAGCGATTACCCGTTTCCGCTGGGCGAGGTGCCCGAGGCAGGGAAGATGCTGGCGTCGGATGACCGGTTGACGGCCTTCCTGACGTGGGAGCAGCGAGCGTACATGCTGGCTGGAAGCGCGATTGCATTCTTGAAGCTGGATGGCGAGTTTGCCGACAGGTATCGTCGTGGTATAGACATGGCTCGCGAGCAGGACAAGTCAAGAGAGGCGGTACAGGACAAACCAAGAGAGGTGGCAAAGGACACTTTCAGGGAGCCAGTATCGGCCGAACCTGTGACGTTCAAGGATTCGCACCAGGGGTCGATAGTGTCCACATTTCTTGTACCAGGTGTTTGAGCCTGTAGCCTTTTAGAGGAAAAGAATTGTACCTGTAGCAGGCGTTTGAAATGTCAAGTCTTTTTTCAAAGATGTGGAAACTCCGGAAAACAGAAATCCATCCCTAGATCCGGCAGGGCTTGCATGGAAGAGAAATCGAGGGCGTTGAAAGGTGCAGAAGAGGAGAAGTCGTGCGAATTTGCCAGCATGGCATCGAGATCCTCGAAATTGAAGTCCGTGTAGTTGGCCATACCGCCCTTGACCATCCTCGGCGGCGCCGCCGGGGGAGTCACATCGGACTGGCTCGAGAGCCAGGACACGGTGACGGGCTCCGGTCGAGGAGGAGGAGGTGGTGGTGGTAGTGGTGGGTTGAACTGATGAGCGACCGGCGGATCGTAGGTGGAGCGTTTGCGCTTCAGCGTGGCAGCCGGTGGCTGGTGGCCCATGTGCCGTCTCAACGGGTCGACCGGCGGACGCCTTGCAGCGGAAGGAGGCATCAAGTTGCATGAGCCGTCGTGGGCGAGGTGGTCGTGGTGGTCGTGGGAGAAACAGCATTGGCCGCGTTTGCCGTTTTGGAGCACGTTGAGCGTGAATTCGACGTACTCTTCGACGATGCCGCGACATTTCTCGGCACCGGGCCAGGTCGGCTCGAGCGATCGCAGACAACGCACGGCCTCCTCGACATCGGCCAGCGCGGTCTGGGCAAACGCGGGTTCGGCGTTGGCTCGGATGCAGTGCAGCAGGACGGTGGCGCTGAGAAAGCAATGGTGGCCGTGAAGCAGCGTGTAGTGAGAGGTGGGCACACAGCTCAGAAAGGTGCTGGTGCCGCGGATGCAGCTGGTTGCGGCCTTGGAACACTGGAGCAGAGCCTGCGAGTTTTCCAAGGGCGAGGTTCGGTGCGGGTTGCTCATGTAGAGCCGGTGGAGATTGAGGACGGCGGAGAAGAAGGACGACAGCGCGATGTGGCGGTAGACGAGCGTCCCGTCCGACTGTGCGTCTTTGATCGTCTGGGCCACGTTCTCCGTGGACCACTGCCGCAGCTGCTGGTTCAGAGACAGGACTCGCGACCGCAGTTCCTCGTATCTCTCGCTGTCCTGCCACGTCTGGGCATTCTTCACCGAGGCCACCGTCCGTAAGATGTTCCCGATGATCTTGTGCAGATGCGCCATGGCGCTGAAGCCTTGCAGGGCGGGATCGGCGTCGGCGTCGGCGTCCGGCAGTTCCACGTCGCAGTCCTCGTCGTTGATCGCTAGAGGCCGACCCAGCGCGCCACTGAGTTGTCGCTCGAGGATGTACAGGGCCCAGAAGATTCGCCTTCTGGCCTGCGCTTCGTCCGAGGGGAGCCGAAGCTTGCCAGGAGATCTCTGTCAAGAGGGGGTCAGTCGACTGTGCACTGTGCCTGGCGGTCCAGCCACGATTGTTTGGGAAATTGAGTGGATCATGAAATGAAGGGGGAGACGGGGAAAGGGAACTCACGTGAAACCCGAGATCTTGTCCTAACCGGATGGCTCTTCCTACTGTCATCCACGCCTCGGCCTCACTTCCAACCTGCGTCAGATACATGCTCATCAGGCCCAAGGCGATCAGCACCTTGGAATTCCTTCGGCGGGATCCCTGAGGCGTTGATTGGGGCATGTCGACGAAATGTTTGGCGGTGTTGTAGAACTGTGAGGAAGGGTCGTCGCCGTAGTCCATAAGATATCCTTCCACGGCGCTTCCGTGCACCTTTCGCGCCGTCGGCACACAGACGGCGAGCACGGCGAACAGGATGGCGGTCGAACCAATGTCGAATCGATCCGGGACTTGCAGCTCGGCGTACAAGGCCCGCAGTTCGTCGGGCCGCACCACAGGAAACAGAGTCCAGAGGTTTCTCTCCCACGTGCCGATCAAGATGTTCACCAGCGCCGCCTGGGGAATCTGGAGGACCAGGCTGTGATGGCCGGGCGTCTGGGGATCGCCCAGAGCATTCGAGGCCCGCGGACTGGACAGGGTACTGTCGATTCGCAGATAGCCTTTCTTTTCCAGGCCCGAGTAGATGTGTCGACGGAGCCCGATGCATGTATCGATGATGGCCGTCATCGAACCGAGCCCGATGTATCGAAGTTCGCCGTTCTCATCCATGTCCAGCTCTCCGAAGCTGTCCGCGTGGATGACCCGTCGCTCGGCCTCGGTTGATATTGCTTCGTCGTCGCCGTTAGATTCGAGACGGCCCGAAGCATTGTCCTCGCCATCGGGGTCGTTTCGTTGGTCCAAGCCGCTCTGCTGGTGGGAAGGAGGGAGACGGTCGCGATCCCGGTCCCGGTCTTGGTCCAGAAGACGAGAATCGCCACTTGTCGGAAGCTCGGGCTCGATGGACTCGACCGCCTGGTTAGTGGTTGACGCCGGCTCGGTGGCCAGCCGACCCGGCGATGGCTTGTTCGCATTGTTTTCGAAGCGTTCCATAAAGGCTCGAAACATGGTCTCCATCGACTCGAGGCGAGTTTCGAGCCGTTCCACGTGGGCCAAGTCGACCCTTTTGGCGTTATCGAGGTAATGGCACTGCAGGTTGTAGCCAATACAGGTCTGACAGGGCTCTTCGCCATTGCATTTCATCTGCCTCACGCATCAGCCTTGCTGTTGGGACACTTCCGGGTTGGGTTGGCAATCACCTTTTTTTTCCGGCACGCCTCGCACGCCCGCCACACACGCTGCCGCTCCTTGGGCGGGTGGTCGATATTGGCACTTGACACCGGGTTTCTCATTGATGACGCTGCATTTGCTAAGATTCGAAGCTGGGTAGAATCTTTGCCGTCCGGGTTCTTCACCCCCATCTCTTCGCCGGCTTTGCTGTTGGTGGTCGAACCTTTCTTGAGCGCTTGGGACGCTCTGTGGGTGCTCATGGCGGATGTCGCGCAGCTCCGTGAGTAAGTTTAGAATCTGCACAGACACAGACTGGAAGATTGTGATGATCTCAGCTGAAGGACTGCCATGGGTGGGACCAACGATTGGGAGCTGAATGACGCCGACTTCCTAGGTATCTGTTTGACAGGAGTTCTAGAAACTGGGTATCTTAGTTATTATATCTAGGCTGCCTACTGCCGGTACCTAGATAGCTAGAACAGTAAGTAGTCTGTGAGGTTCCTTAGGTTGAGGTTGACGGGAGTCTGGAGGCGGCAACAAGTTCTCCACTGATAAGGAAAAGGGCGACGTTGGCCACTCGCTGGGCGTCTCAAGCCCTTCTAAGACCCCGTCTCGGAGCGTTCTGGAACCCACAAAGGCGAATCAGGAGCTCGGGCTTAACAAAGTTCAGAGAAATGGTTGAAAAGGTTAGGGTTCTCTGACAGAGGGGTCTGGGGGGGTTCGGGGGGAGCCTTAACTAATACACCTAAATGAAATCTGTATAGAGAGCACGGCTGGAAATGTCCATGAGATGCCCAAATCTGACAAGATGATGATTCCTCAGGCATTTATTATGTCTTTACAGCCGGCACCAGCATGGATGAGCATGAGCATGTCACATAATGGATTCAAGTTGATGGTTTAATATACCAAGAAACAGTCACAAGACCTCTCCTTTCATGGTCACTCGCGGTGACTCTCCCTCATATCATATCAGTCCTAATTACAATTTACTCCTTGCTCCGGTAGAAGCCGAGATTGACATGCATCGACTTGTCGCTGAAAGAAAACAAATAGACCGTCTCCTCGGCGTCGGCGAAGTGCTGGAATCGATACCATGCCGGAATGACAAAGCAGTCTTTCGGGCCCCAGTCGAGACGAGTGCTCTCGCCCTTGGGTCCGGTGACTTCGGTCCAGCCACGACCACGATGCACCTGGAAGACATTGCTCGGGGTTTCCTGCCTGGCCGGACCGTGGGCGCCGGCCGCGATCCTCTCCGCGAACGCGCCAATGATGGTGTTGACGGGCTTCCCATCTGGCAGCAAGTATTCGGCAAACGCGTAGGTACCGCCGGGGCCGTCGAGCTTCGCCTGCATCGCAGACCAGGGGAACTTCATCTCCTGGCAGAGCGAGTCGGGAACCGGCTTGGACTCGTGGGTGAAAGAGCCAAATTCTTCCTCGTAGTGCTCGGTGAAGTCGACCGGCAGATGCTTGTAGAATGGGATGTTGAGGCCTGTCAGATTGTCAGCGATGGCTTTCCCCGTCTTTTTGGGGCCGGTGGTTTCCTTACCATCGAGCCAGATGACATTCTTGGTCCCTTCGTTGCCGTGATCATGCCAGTTCCATGTCGGTGTGATGATCAGGTCTGGGGGCACATCACTGTTAGCTCGCGCACACGACCTTTCGGTACGGGCTCGATCATCAGATTCACATACCTCCAGGACCCATGTACATCTTCTTGCCCGAGATGGCGGTGTATCCCTGTTCGCCTTCGATCAGGAACCGAACCGCGAACGGCGTATGTCTGTGACACAAAGCCTGCTCGCCCGGGAGAATGAGTTGATGGGCGGCTAGAAGCACATCACTGCCCGTCACACACATTAGCGACCCATGAACCTGGAACTGGCACTGGCAATGGCACTGTTCTCGTACCTGGTGTGTGGACTCGACTTGGGTCCTGGGTTGATGAAGAGGACGGCTCTTCTCTCAGCCTCCCTGGGGTCGACGACCTCGGCGGCCTTCAACAGCAGGCTCTTGGAGTCGGCATACCTCCAGACGGCTGGGATATGCTTCGTATGCGGCGCCGGCGAGGTTGGTGGAGCTCCAGTATTCCACAAGGGGACCATGTCCGCCGCACGAATCGTCTGCTCTAGAGCCTCTTTCGGCGACACAGTCTTCTCCAGCGAAGACAGCTGGGTGCCCATCGGGGCGACTTCTGCAATGGGGGCCATGATTGCTCGATGTAGGTAGCAAGTAACCACTGTTGAGATGTAATCTTGTAATCTTGTAATCTCAATGACCACTATTCAGGTGCAATCTTGCCGTTGAGCTGTGTTGGACGTCCTTGATGTATGTGGGCGTTTCGCTTAGAACAGTGTCTGATATGGCCGTCGAGGACCTCGTCTCGCCCTCGGCCATAATTGTCGGCCGGCATGCGATAGTAGTAGTGATGGTTGGGTGGCCCGGATGGCTTCCGGACGGTCTTCGATAAGGATTCGGGTCTTCCATCTGCCCCCCGGAGGCGCCCAATCTCAGGGAAGCCAGCCCCATCCCCAACCGTAAGCTTTAGTTTGGTACGAAGAACCTAGATTGCGCGAGAATGAGTTCTAGTGTCCATCTTTTTGCTATCTAGAAGGCCTTCCAAATACCAGTCGCCACTATCGTTCTAACAGACAGTCCTCCAGATCAAACTGACGGGATATGGAGGGTCCGGACATTGGTAAAGACCTCCCGGCTGTAGGCCCCGCCCTCACGGCCGGTCCCCGAGGCCTTCATTCCTCCAAAGGGCGTTCCCAGCTCACGAACCAGCCAGCAATTGACCCAGACCAAGCCGGCCTCCAGCTGTTCTCCCACTCTTCGCATACGTGCGCCGTCTTTGGTGAGTAAAATGCTGGCCAGTCCGTTGGGATTGTCGTTGGCCAATCTCACGGCGTCGTCTTCGGTGTCGAAGGGAGCAATCGTGACGACCGGGCCAAAGATTTCTTCTTGCATGATGCGGCTGCTGGTCGCAACGCCGGTCAGCACTGTAGGCTCAATCCAGTAGCCCTCGGATGGCTTGGCCACTGGAACACCCCCGGTCTCGAAGACCGCCTGCTCGGCCTTTGCCAGTTCCAGATAGGACCTGACTTTGTCGTAATGCTGGAGTGACACAATGGCGCCAACCTCGTGTTTGGTGCGGAAAGACTTTGAGACGTGCGTCTTGAATCGCGTGACGAAATCGTCGTAGATTCTTTGCTGGACGTAGATTCGAGAACCGCAGAGACAGACCTCTCCCTGATTTGTGAAGGCCGCGGTGGCTGCCAGTGAGACGGCCGCTTCCAAGTCTACATCATCAAAGACCAGAGTCGGGTTCTTTCCCCCCAGTTCGAGCGACAAATGCTTTCCGATGTCTGAGGCCGTGTCTCTTCTGATCTGAATCCCAGTCGCCGTGCCGCCGGTGAAAGAAATGCCTTTGATGGCCGGGCTCCTCGTCAGAGCGCTGCCGGTCACGGCGCCGTTGCCAAAAACGACATTGACCACTCCGGGGGGGAGTTTTGCCTCAGCAAACACGGATGCAAGGACTGCGCAATCATTGATTAGCCATCAAGTTCGTGAAGAGTAGGACACACGCCGGACTCACGATATGCCGACATGCTCGTCACTTCCGAGGGCTTCGCCACTGCTGTGCAGCCGAAGGCAATGCAAGGGGCGATCTTCCATGTCAAAAGATATAAAGGCATGTTCCAGGGCGAGATCAGACCAAAAACCCCAGCTGGCGACCGATGTTCATAGGTCAGGGCCACGCCATCGATCATGCGGGCAGCGTTTTCTTCGTGCAGAATGTAGGTGGAAAAATAGGAGAAGTTGGAAATGGCCCGATCGACCTCGACTCGGGCTCTCTCCAGCGTCTTTCCTTGATCGATACTCTCCCAGATGGCGAAGATCTCTCGTTTCTTTTGGATCAACTCGGCGATGGTCCGCAGATATTGCGATCGCTGATGCCGGGTGGTCTTGGACCAAGACTTGAACGCCACGTTGGCGGCATCGATGGCCTTCTCCACCGCGTCCGCTGATGTGACGGGAAGTTTTGCAAATTGTCGGCCTGTCGATGGCTGAAAGACCGGGAGAAACTCAGTGGCATCACCGGCCGTGGTGAAACTGTTGTTGACGAAATTCCGGATCTCAAACGGCGTGTCGTATGAGATTTTGAGTAGTTCCTCAGCTCTGGTCGGGTCGGTGAGACCGCTGGCTAATAGAGATGTGGCCACCATCGTAGTAGCAGTCTAGCCTGGTTGGATTGCCGGTCTCTGACTGAGAAAAGGATCAATCCACTGTAGAGCTGATATCTGGTATCTGTATACTCGTGAGGCACTGAGTACATAGGTATTTTGAGGATTGTCCGATCATCCAGCAAGGGTCCTCGAGGTGGATACGACGGACAACTACCGATGCATTTATCTTGCTGAGCGGGTAGCCATCCGGTAGAGGACCCCCCACGGCACACCAATGAATCCATCCTTGTAGTATCACACTAACCTTAGGTGGCTGTTCGTGCACATCGATCGCCAGGGTCTTATCATGGATCAGGTCTGCCTCTGAAGTTGCACATACAACCAAGAGGCATACACGGCGTCACCACCAAGATGCAGGCCATTCGACCTCTCATCGAACAACATGGCAGCGTCTGGTCATTGGGGGTCAACCAGGTCATGATCGATGCATACTCTCCACTGCATGCCCAAGAAAGACCGAAACTGGTTGATTCAGTCAAAGTAACGAGGAATATCAGTTACGGGGATGACTCCAGAAACAGACTTGATGTAAGAGATGCCCAGCCTACCACTATCATGTGTGTGATACTAACAAGGGCCAAGGTATACGAGCCTTTGACGACAGACCAGTCATCAGCAGCAGGAGCCCTTCCCGTCGTCGTCTTCTTCCATGGCGGCGGATTCATCGGGGGTGACAATGATATCAACGACGCCTTGCACTCGAACATCGGTAGAGTTGTCTAATGAACGTCTATCCCTTCGTGCCCACCCTGACTCGTCTCTAGGGTATTACTTTGCGTCGAACGGATGTGTCTGCGTTCTAGCCACGTATCGTCTGGTGCCGTCTGCCCAGTATCCCAATGGCGCCGAAGATGTCGCCCAGGCTCTACTCTGGGTCAAACACAACATCGCGTCGCATCGAGGGAACCCTTCTGCCGTGGTGGCCGTGGGGCAGAGCTCCGGTGGTGCCCATCTGGCCATGTCGCTGTTGCTTGGACTGTTACGAAAAGTCGACGCTCAGCCCAAAGAAATCATCCTGCTGAGCGCCCCGTTGTCATACGACCTGAGACAGGAACGACGGAAAGCTACCATGCTGCAATACCATCGCACCGACAGTCCGGAACAAGTCATGAGCCACACTGCGGTTGCCCTGCTCCAGTCGGGGACGCTGGACGACATCCGAAGCGTCCCTATCACCTTGTTTGTGGCCGAGTTGGATCCTCCCGAGATCAAGAACGCGAATGACTTGTTTCAGAGCGAGTATGAGCGACGCCGTGGGGAGAAACTGGATGTCTTCATCATGGAGGGACACAATCACATCTCGAACACTTACGCAATTGGCCTGCCGGATGATGAGACAGGGCCGCGGATTCTGTCGGTGCTGAAGGGCTGAGTGAGACCTTGGCGCTTTCGTGCGCAATCAACAGCGGCGTGGGGGGTGAGCCCGAGGGCCTGAAAGTCCAGGGGTGCCAGTAACCCCTTAGCCCTATTACACAATGGGACCTTAGGACTACTTGTACGAATCTAGTATGTACGCATATATTTGCCGGCCGGCTGCACATCCGGCCGGCGGATTTAAGCGCATAGCACCGGCAACGCCCATTGAATCGTACAAACTACAAACTACCACCGAGAAATAGTTATGAGCGGGCAGTCAGCCCTTGAAGTCAAAGTCAATAGCAGACACATAGACATCAACATCGACATCGACATAAACACAACCAGCTGTGGACAAATTGAATGAAACAAACTTGAAAACATCACCTCCAAAGACTCCAGTGTCCCAACCCATCCCGGCTGTCAAGAATGTCGTCCCCCAACGGCACGCCCTTCTTTCTTCCCGCGACCGCCGCGCAAGGCCTGGCAAACTACCCTCATGCTCGATCGACCCCGGCAGCATCACGCACGCTCTACGTTTCCGGAACCTCGTCTCGACGCGGAGATGGCACCTATGCCGGCTGCATCGAATCGCCCGACGGCAAACACATCCTGGACATCAAGCAGCAGACCGCCGCGGTGCTGCAGAACATTGGCACCATCATCTCAGGCGCCTCGAACGGCACGGCAAGCCTGGAAAACGTGGTTGACGCCACTGTGTTTCTGACCGACATGGCCGACTATGCCGGCATGAACTCGGAATGGAACAAAGTGTGGCCCGACAAGACGAGGGCGCCGAGTCGGACGTGTGTCCAGGTCGCTGCTCTTCCCAACGTTCGGTTGAACGTGGAGATCAAAGTCACGGCCATCATCCCATAGAGCGGATACTGTGACACTGAAACTGAAACTGAAACAAATACAAATGATACATCCAAGCAAACTCCAAGGATGCCCAAATCACCTTTGTTTTGTATCTACTGTACTATTGAATCTTGACAATGAGTTTTCCCGTCGTCTGTTTCCCGGCCAGATCATCCTGCGCCCTGCCGATGCTGTTCATATCATACTCCTTCCCATATGCGACTTTGAGAATGCCGCGCGAGACCAGGTCCAACATCTCCTGCGACCGCGTGACGAACTCCTCCCGCTCGGTGATGTAGTTTCCCAGCGTCGGCCGCACCAGCTTGACGTTCTTCTTGCTCAGCTCCAGCGGGCGGAAGCCCTCGACCGCGCCGCTGGAATTGCCGTACGTTACGAACGTGCCTTTTCTCCTCGTGCAAGCCAGGTCGTCTGCAAAGGTGGCCTTTCCGATCCCCGAGAGGACCGCGTGGCATCCCGCCCCATTCGTGATCTTCATCACTTCCTCCAGCACGTTGGATTGGGTGTAGTTGATCACATAGTCCGCGCCGTGGCCGAATGCGACCGCCGCCTTCTCTTCGCTCGAGACCGTCCCGATGACCGTCGCCCCCAGATGCTTGGCCATCTGCACCAGAAGACCCCCCGTGCCGCCGGCCGCGGCTTGGATGAGAATCTGCTCGCCCGGCTTCACCTCGTGTGCGTCCTTCACCATGGTCCATGCCGTGAGGCCCTGGAGCATCAACGCGGCCCCGTCCTTGACCGGCACGTTTGGCGGCAGTTTCATGACCCCCGACGCGGCAACGGCAATATACTCGGCATACGCCCCCTGCGCAAATACGGCCACCGCATCGCCGACGTGCAGGTCGTATTCGGCCGGCACATCAGACCCAATCTCTTCGATCCGTCCAGCCCCCTCACGACCGGCAATAACAGGCAGCTCAAGCTTGTACAGGCCTGTCCGTTGGTAGACGTCGATGAAGTTGACTCCGGCGTATTCCAGTTTGACGAGGACTTCTGTAGGTCCTGCTGCCGGTTTGGGCGTGTTGTCGGACAGCCTCAGGACCTTGGAATCGCCTGTCTCGGGGATGATGACGGCGCGCATGTTCGCTGGTCTTGTTGGGCTAACTCAGTCGCACTTGATGTTGGGCGCCGCTCGCATATGTTGGTCAGACGTTGGACTCTGGACGAAAAAGCTCCTCATCCTGATTGGCTTTTAGTCTCTGCATGGGAGATCGGGACCGTTGCTCCACTGTCACTGTCGGTGTCATGCAAGCCACGGCCGGAATTCTAGAAACGCCATCAACCGACCCAAATAAGATAGAAGGAGAGGGTAGAATCCCATTGGCGGAAGACATCCGAGATACGATATCTATTCTCCCGCGGATGGGCTTCCGGATCCTCATCGGTCCCACAACGAATCTGGGTGGAGCTTGAGATACAAGACCCTGGAACGGCCATGGACTTGTGCAACAACGGAAATAGGATACTAGTATCCAATGATGGTCGTTCAGGGTGTCGGATCTCTTAATTCTCATCGATCCGCATGCTGTCAATTCGATCAATTCCTATTCGGTCGTAAATCGAGCTTCTAGAAGTACTAACTACTGAGTCTTTCTGCTTCGAACAAAGGTCAGACTCACACTCACTTTCTACACACACGCAGTCACCATGGGCGAATACTTGTCTCCCTCTGCTTCTACGCAAGCCAACGGCGTAGACTCCATGACCGAAAACGATCCCTTCCACGTGTTGATCGCCGGCGGCGGAGTGGTTGGTCTTACCATCGCACAAGGGTGCCGAGAGAATGGCATTCCCTTCACCATTTTCGAGAGGGACGCGTATGACGGAGAGCGAAGTCAGGGTTGGGCGCTCACTCTACACTGGTGCTTGGACCAAATGGAGAAGACAATCGGCCCAGAAAGGGCAGATAGTCTGCCGAGTGTACGTTGAGCGGTGTGGTGCTCCGAAGAACGTTCAACATGCTGACTGCGAGTCAGGCCCAAGTCACTACCTTGGACGGTGACGACAAGGGAAACTTCCTGTTCCTGGACGCTCGAAACTGTGAAGCCAAATACCGAATTCCACCGACCAAGAGACGGTTACGGCTGCACAGGCAGAAATTGCGGGACGTCTTAGTCTCCGGTCTCGACCTTCAGCAAGGCAAGAAGCTGGCCTCGTTTGAGACTCCAGCAGAGGGGGGTGTGATTGCCACATTCGCCGACGGCAGCGTGGCTAAAGGCTCTATACTCATTGGCGCCGATGGGAACAACTCAAATGTGCGAAGGAGCATGGGCATGGCCAACCCAAGCCTCAACAAGCTCCCTGTCAACCTGGTGGGTGTGGTGCGAGATTTCACTGCCGAACAAGCAGCTCCTATTCTCGAACTCGACCCTCTGCTCTTCCAGGCCTTGGATCCCGACACGGGCAACTATCTGTGGTTCTCTTTTCAGGAGGCCAACGACCATCCCGACGGGACCAAGTCATACAAAGCACTTGTCCTGGTCTCGTGGTTGGCCAAGGATCCCGTCAAGGATGCCATTCCAGAAACCCATGCCGAGAGAATCGCTGTGATGAAAAAACGGGCGGCCAACTTCGGCGAACCCTTGAGGAGTGCTGTGTTCGATATTCCCGATGACCTGGGATTCACGACCCGACTGCAATTGGCAGACTTCCCGCCTGAGCCATGGGACAATTTTGATGGACGAGTCACGTTGGCAGGAGATGCCGCACACGCCATGACAATGTATGTTGATTTCAGGTGTTCGAGTCGATGATCTAAGCTAACGTCTGGACAGGTATCGTGGAGAGGGTGCCAATCACGGAATCCTCGACGCTGCTCTTCTAGTAGACCAGTTGAAAGCCGTGCATCAGGGCAAGGTCTCGCTGAAGGAAGCCATCACAAAGTATGAAGAAGAGATGATACCGAGAACTCGTCGTGCTGTCTTGAAAAGCCGGCGAGCCGCGTTGGATGCCCATGAATGGGACAAGGTCAACGACGACTCACCTTGCGTTGGTGCTCGAGAAACCCCAGAAAGCGCGATCGTCGCAGCGAACTAGTTAGATGGCAGATAAGACGGCGTTGTTCATGACTGGTTTTGCATCTCTCTCTGACTCTGTTCCACTGGAACTGTTTCTCTGATACTAAGAGGAACATATGTCTCTCGCGGATAGCATTGTATAGACTGGGTGCATAGTAAGCCCACAAGTCACTCGGCAGGTCAGCGTTGCAAAGATACAGACTTCACATGATCATCAGCGCCGCCATACATCGAGCCTCCCGTAAGATCCATGCGAGATTTTGGGGGCAAGAGGAGCATAGCCCGTCTCGGCCACATCACATCTCTGTCCACTTGCTTATGGCCGACCCGGAAGCCTATCACGGCCGGAATCGGCTGCCCCCGGAAGCACATCCGGCGAAGAGACGGTCATGATGACGGAAACAACACAGGACGCTGGTATAAACAAGGCAACCAAGGCATCCAAGCCAGTTCAGCTGGATGAGAGTAAGATGATCGATGATCAGACCTGACCTTGAGACTTCGCCATGACGCAGCCGGACGACCTCGTCGAGCCACGCGAGCTCCGGAGCTGGTTCGCAGCTTCCATGTCAGAGCTCTATCGAAAAGAAGTTCCCTTGTACTCCTCCTTGTTGGACGTGGTGTCGAAAGTCAACCAAGACAAGCTGAAGAATGACGCCGCCCTGAGACAGGAGCTCGAGAATTCCGACTCCCTGGCGAGACTGGGCCTGGAACGCCATGGAGCCATCCGGCTAGGATCGGACGATGAACTGGTCGAGCTGACGGCTTTCTTGCGACTGCTGGACATGCATCCCGTGGGCTACTATGATCTGAGCGCCCCACCAGCACACCTCCCGATACACGCGACGTGCTTTCGCTCAGTGACACCCTCCTCGCTGAAGTACAGCCCTTTCCGGCTCTTCGTCTCGATTCTCCGTCCGGATCTGCTCCCTGCCGACCCGAGCATCCGGCAAATGGTCCAGACCTCGATACGCTCTCGGAAACTATTCCCTCCAGAGGTGGCCCAGTTGGTGGCCCAAGCAGCCTTGCACAATCATCAGCTACCGAGACATTCAGCCGAACAGCTCATCAAGCTCGCCATCCCGTCGTTCGCCTTCCACGCGCGATCCGCCCTGACTTCGAGCGAATACGCCCTGCTCGCCAAGTCATCCCTCCTTCTAGCCGACATCGTCGCGTTTCCCAATCCACACATCAACCACTTGACCCCGCGAACCTTGGATATCGACGCCGTTCAGGATGCTCTTGTGGCAGACCCGACGTTTGAGGCCAAGGCTGGTGGTATAGAGGGCCCGCCTCCGAGCAAGTGTCCCATCTTGCTCCGGCAGACAAGCTTTTGTGCTGTCGAAGAGACCGTCCCCTTCAGTGATGGCACGATCGGGAAACATGCCGCACGCTTCGGGGAGATTGAACAACGCGGCGCTGCCGTCACGCCCGCAGGTCGGGCTCTGTATGACAAGATGTTGGCCTCCAACTCGTGGGGTGCCTTGCTAGATAAGGACTGGGAGGCTTTGAGAACCTCGGGCCTCATATGGGTGCAGTATCGACCCGTTCCTGGAGCGCAGAAAGACAATGTCGTAGTGTCACAACCTGAAGGAGAGACGCTACTACCGACAATTGATCAAGTCATCTCCCAGCTTCTTGCTGATGGGAAGTTATTCTACGCCCATCAAATCTATGAGGACTTCCTCCCTTTGTCTGCCGCCGGCATCTTCCAGAGCAATCTTGGTACAAGCAGTCATCGAGATACTAGTCTGTGCACGGCCTCATCACCAACGCCTGGCGGTCCAGTTACAGGTAGAGAACAGCTGCAGGATGTCCTGGCCAGAGCCGGAGCTGTACTGAGAGATGAGATGGAAGTGTACAAGTCGGTCGAGGAGCAGAGTAAAAGAGAATGCGTGGAACTGTTTGGGATCAAGACCAGAGATTGAACCAGTACCTCAGATACTGGGAAGGGGGTATATGGTGTTACTCCAGTACTTCTCTACTCGGACAAGAGAGAGATAGGTCTGGATGCACTCCGACTCGACTTTTATACATAGTAAGGCACAATAAAAACCATCCCTTCTGGAGAAAGGAGGTTGTTTCGTCACTGGTCATCAGCTGCACACAAAGCTGTATAATCTTAGTAGACTGGGTCACCGATTCTTCTTCAGAATGCTCGTACAAGTCGCCGCTAGGCGTTGGTCTCGCAAGAGAATATTCAGTGTCTTCCATTTCATTCCATATCCATCAAGTGGCCATACTTCAAAATACATCGCATCTTTCCACAGCGTCCTGGATCGTTGTTCCCTATGCTGAGTCTATGCATACATGACGCCGGCACATATATTGCAAACACGCAGAAATGCCGTCACAAACAGGCCTTTGCAACGGTTTACTATCCCGAGAACCCCCAACGCTTTGACAGCCGTAGACTTGGTTATCCCAGCACCCGCATCTATGGGTAAAGTTGTTGAGTAGGGTATTGCTGTGGCTGTGGCTGTGGCTGTTGGTGGGATTGCTGGTACGGTTCGGTTTGCGGCTGTGGGCCGGTTTCCTTGGGATACTCCTGGACCGGTACGAACTGGGCGCCGCTACTGGCATTGCGGCGCTTTCTCATCAGAGCGAGGATAATGAATGCCGCGGCGACGGCAAATAGGACACTAGATGTGTGGAAGGTACCTTGTTAGTATGTAGAACACAAACCGGATCTTTGCTGGGAATTGACTCATCAGAGTAGGTAGATGACATCGCCAGCATCCAGAATGTGGAGAGTCAACCACAGTCAGGGTATAAAAAGAGGCTAAAGCAAGTTGCGTGTCGGCTGCGAAAACAGATGCCACTTACAACTCTGCGGCACCAAAGGCAGCGCTTGCTTGAGTCAACCCCACGCCGGCCTTGATGTTGGTATAGTCCGTGTCGAGCCACGTGGCAAGCGTGCTGCTGTTGTCGGCAAGCAGAGCGAATGCGACAAGCCACCAGAGAGTGGTGAACAATTCCAGCACGAGCAGGATGATCAGCGGCTTGCATTTCGCGTTGAGGTTGGGAATCAACCATGTTGCGACGGGAAGGTAGACAAGCGTCCAGGAAAACTATCGGCAAGGATGTAGAGTAAGCATAGTGCTGGATGTTGTTGCTGTTGCGTGCGGGAGGGACAATTTTGGGGGTATTTCAGACTCACAGCAAACCAAGTAAACCCGAAACCAGGATATGGGGTGACCTTGGGTGCAATGTTAGTCATTGTGCTTTGCATGTGATATGTTCCTAGGAAACTCACCAGAAACGCCGCGTTCGCACCTTGTAGGAACTCTGCCGCAGCCACGGCAGTCAAGATGAGGATCAGAAGGGCGAGCGCGCCCTGGGCGATGCGTATCCAGAAAATCCAGCCCGGTAGAGGCCAGCCTTGTGGTCGGTGACTGTAGGCCATAGTTACGCGATGGCTATTGTGTAGAGGTAAAGACCGTTGTGGGCAGCGACGAACGTAGGAACAAGAGCGACTTGGGTAGGGCAGCAAAAGGCGACAATGGGCACGACGAGAATTGAAAGCGAGTGAGGATAGAATACCTACCGCTGGGATAATGCCCATCTCTTAATACTTTCAGCCATCGTCTATAAATATCCAAGGGGTCTTGGGAATACGAACTCAAAACTGTACCTTGACTTCCCGACACGACCCCTCTTGCAGAACTGAGGGCGCAGGTAGGCGCGAAGTTGTGGTTAGCACAGCATTGCGAACGAGGCTCGACAAGAGCCTGAAGACGGGGGCGCGACGTGAAGCTCAACCCTAATTAGGAAGCATTTTGCAACTGGGCCAAGGTACACACCAGTGCCAGGAGACCCTGCCAGGCATCCATCACTTCATGGCGGCTTCTGCCCAGGATAAGGCGGTCAGAGAGGACACAGACCCTGGCACTCTCGCTTGACCGGCCAGTCCAGCCTTATGTGATACGGGATCTGAGGGACATGTAATTTCATGTTGTGCAAGGTGCACCAGAATAAACGGAAATATTGGGTTTTCAATAGTCGTTCATGTCGCAAAAGGGGATGATATTGTGACAGGGACGGATATAGTGGCGTTTGGGAAGCAAAGTTTGTGGAGGAGGTTTCGAAGCTGGGGAGAGTCGGGCTGTCGTAGACCAGAGGGGGCCATGTCGGGCCAATGACGGTCGAGGGTGGCTGCATACAAGGTCAATATCCGCAGAACGTGGAGATTTCATGTTTTCGGGGCCGTTTTCCTGGGTAGTTTGTACGCAACTTCACCTACTTAAGTTGAATTGGTCAATCCAATGAGCTCGTGGTTGCTGCAAGTCAAGGGAACGGACTGTTCCAGGCCAAGATTGCCGAAAAGATCTCAGCCTTGTCGGAGTCCAGTACGCATGCGCCGGGCCATGGTAGTTGAAGCCGGATATCCATATATGCATCTTGAAAGAGCGAATGGGAATGGGGATACCTTCTTCCCTTGTACGGATTTCTAGGCTTACGCGACGACCCAGCGATTCCATTTCAGATGTAGTGTGGCCAAATGAACGCCCGGGCTGGCAGTTGTTATGCGAACAAGCTCAAGAATCCAGATGCCAGTGATACGGAAGTCTCCATTGATTCTGCAAGCCATGTTGTACATATGACACACAGATAACAGCTCGAGCTTCGTCCAGGAGTCCTGAAGCTCCCCACAGCTGTGACGCGACTTCAAATCTTTCTATCTTCTCTTCCTTCGGTGCATGCCATCTATGCTTGAGCAGAAGTGGCGGCTTACTTTGTTGACACGATGTTTGAGCTGATCTGGTAAACATGTTGGCCGCACGCCCTGACATTGACTGAAAGGCGAAGAACCCAGCGGTTCAGGCGAGAATATACGATGGAGATTTGTGCGTTTTTTCGGTAATCTATGATCAGCATAATTCTGTGATTTCTTTCGGAAGCAGATGAACATCACGATGGAAGCCCCCGAAGTTAGCATAACAAAGTCGTCGGATGGGCATCGAAGCCGTCAGTCCACCTGCTCACCTTTTGCACAACAGAACGTAGCAGCATCGTGAAGCAATAGCGGTTTGTCACGCTGCGGTTGACATAGGCCAAGGACAGAAGTCATTCTGAGCAGGCCATCTGCCAGTGGTTCAGATTCGCAACATTCTTCGTAGTCTTGGAGGGCATCCCGATGCTCCTGACGAAATTCCATTGCTTGAGAAGGATCTCACCCAACCGTGCGAAAAGCATTCAATGTGAACATGTTTTTCCTCTCTGCTTGCATGGTCATGGCCATTCTTTCAAGTACCTATGCCTTGTGTGATGTCGTGATAGACTTTTTTGCTTCTATTGCTCTCAGACAGTCGCCGGGCGTCCGAATGCCGAGGGCTGTGTCAAAGAGGGAAAGGCTTCAACACGGGCAACAGACGACGGGAAGATTGTACATGGTTCGAATGGCTGCGATGGGAGAATGCCTTGAACCAGCGACCCAAAGAATGAGACTGGCTGCTGAGGTCTGTGAAAGCACGAGAGTCGAGGTGTATAACTGGGGTTCGACGAGCAGGAAGGATCTCGATAAGATAGAGGTAACTGCCTGTGGTCAGCCTTCAATTCCCCAATAGTTCGCGGGTGACGTTGGCATGGTCCTCGAGGAAGAGCAGCGGAGAGCAGCGGAGAGCAGCCGTGCAAATAGTAGTAGCTGAGGCAAATGCTGGTTCCCGTCGTGCGAGATTCGAGGATCCGAGACGCAGCATCCAGCAATTGCACCCTTTGTAGCGAGCGGAGAACCACTGCAGTGGCTGTTGAGCATACACGCTGCGCGTCTACAGGGGCTGCAGACAACTCCAACTCCAACCGCGTGTCGAGACGGAGCATTGTCTCCGAGTCTCGATCCGTGACATGGATCTAGTTGGCTGTCAAGAACATCATTCACGCAAAGACAGCTGTACTCAGTCATCCCCTTTTACGAGTTTAGGAGTCGTCTCATATGTTCTCGCTCTACTGTCTAGTAGTAGAGCATTGAAATTACAAGGGGCGCAGTTGTCGGAGGCTGGTGAACAATGCACACACCCGTGGGTGGCCCCTGTTTCAACGGCCCCCCGGGTTTCTCATGTTTTCATTAGAGGTTGGCTCTGTTTACTGTGGTAGTAATAACACTACCAGGTCCTGAATAAAGGAACAAAGGCTTCCTCCCCAGACTGAAGATCAATACCGCACTGACTTTGCATTCTCTTCGTCTTTGATCGTACATTCCATCAAACAGTTTGCAGTGGATTCACTTGCCCAGTATCTCGGTGCGCTGCCACAACCAAACTCATCCTTTCTTTACAAATCAAAGATGGCTACCCTCATTATGAATCTCTGGAAGAGAGAAGAGTGCAAGAACACAGATCCTTCGCTGGACCTCTGCGAAAAGTATACCAGCACATTCCAGACCGCCGGCATCCCATGCATCATCGGCCTATGGTACGTTACGCATCTACGCCTGCTGCTGCCGGCAATGCTGACATTCCCACAGCCTTTTCTTCCTCCTAACCATCATCCTATTCGTGATTGTCAGAAAGCGACGGAGACAACAGCACGCTGCTGAAGAAGCGAAACACAGAGAGATCGACGACGGGGTGGAGTTGACCAGGCAGTATCACATGAAGAATGAGCAGCAAGGACTAGGCATCATGGACACATTTCAAGAACCGCCACCAAAGTATCAGGCAGCGGTCTAGACTATCCGGACTTGGACTTCTCAATCTCCGCGATGATATCCTTCTCCAGACTCTCCGGTTTGGTCATGCTCGAGTATCGGTGCAGGACCTTTCCATCGCGACCGATCAAGAACTTTTCAAAATTCCACTTTATTCTCTTCAATCCCAACAGACCCGGCTTCTCTGTCTTCATCCATTCAAACACTGGTTCAGCCTTGTCCCCGTTCACATCTGTCTTTCCCAGGACAGGGAAGGTGACACCGTAGTTCACCTGACAGAACTCTTGGATCTGGTCATTCGAGCCAGGATCCTGCCCGCCGAACTGGTTGCAGGGGAATCCAATGATGACGAATTGACCCGGGTATTTCTCAGAGATCTTCTTGTTCAACTCTTCGAGCCCGGCAAACTGGGGGGTGAATCCGCACTTGGAGGCCGTGTTAACTGCGAGGACGACTTTGCCCTTGTGCTGCGACAAAGGATATTCTTGGCCGCGCTTGTCTTTGGGAGTGAAGTCGAAGAACGTGGTTGCGGAAGCCATGCTGGGCGTGCGTAGGGACGATGCCGCTGTAAAGGTTGAGGAAATGCGAGGGTTGCTGGTACTTGGTCTATTGCTGTGGTTGCGAGGTTGGATGGAGCGACAAGAAACGAAGAGCAGCGAGGAGGTAGAGATAACACTTTGGTGGAATGAAGATGCTTTCACCACAGGTATTTGGAATAGCGAAGAACGCCAGCCTTGCATGAGCGACTAGGGAAGGAGCCTTGACCCGTATAGAACCCACTTGACTGGTTGTGGCGAATATCGTTCCCTCTTTCTATCTGTCAATTCTAGGTGGCAGCAATGGCGCTGAGGTGATTGATTAGTATGTTAGTGCAGCGCAGTCGTTGGTACCAGTAGTAATTCAAATAACCTCGGCATTATTGTGAAGTCTCTGAAACAAATCGGTCATCACGCCACCACCGGTAAATGACTAAGATATCCAGGATCACGTGTCTGATACACGTGATCGCCACTATCGGTCCGAATAGACTGGAGCCGCAGCGGTGGTTACTTTCTTCAAGTTCATCCTCCGCCTCCAGATTCTATCGTATCGTGTCAACCAGCCGACGACCATGTCCTGTCTTCCGACCCTGGACTGTCTCACTGTCAGAGCACATCGACCCGACCTCATCCAGACCACCGCGTGGCCTGTTCCTTGACTCTCCCTAGAGACCCGGTGTGGTCGTGTCATCTCATTGGCGCGGGAAAACTGTCAGCTATCCTCGCTCAAACCTCCCCCGTGTTGGAATGACCCTTGGACACGGGTAGCTGATTTCTGCTTTCGAGCAAGACTGCGGGGTCGACCAATGAATATGGGGAGGACTTCGTCTGAAAGCTTGCTCTTGGGTATCAGGGTTTTGAATGATGATAATCTGCGCGCCCAGCAGCGAAGGTATGGTAGTGTTAGGCGAAAGTGAGTCTGGAAGACGTATATATGGCCGCCGCGGCGCAGGTCCCAGTCTAGTTTTGGCTCGTCGTCTCCCATACTGATATCCCTACTCGTGAGACGTCTGTTCAATCCCACCAGCTCACCCAGTCGAGCCCCAGTGTATCCAAAGATCTCTTCTCTGCGTTGCTCACTTGACTTGGAATCCGAAGGCAAAGGCTGCCAGCGCCGCTGACCATTTCGTCAGCATTCTCCAACTTCCCGTGTAGGGCTTCGTCACATCGACCACTAAGGCTCATGTCCATCTGACCACATACCACTGACAAGCCCTACATCGCCACAGGGCCACAAGAACATACAAGATGTCTGGCGCATTCACCATGCCTCACGCCCTGACAGGCGGGCCAGGATACAAAGCGAACCCAACATACGACGAGTTCCTGCGCAAACACAGCGCAGTGTACCGACGCCACAGTGCGGCGTCGAACGCGATGGATGGCGACCGCCGAGCGTCGCAGGCTGCATTGGACGAGCACGCCGCCGCCGCCGCACAGGCCGTACAAAACGTCGAGGCGGGCCGGCGAGGCTCGCTGACGGTTGCCGGAGGAGGAGCTGCCACCGCGAACTCGAGAAAGGGCAGCGTCGCAGTCGCCAGCGACGTGACGCGCAAGGACAGCATTTTCGGCCTCGAGTCCACGGCTGGCACGAGGATGAGCGAGGAGCGTCGGCCCAGCACTTCGCTTGCTAGTGACTTGCTTCACAAAATCAAGGGCGACCATCACAAGTGAGCCCTAGTCGCATCGACGCTCATCTTCGTGTTCAGAGTTTCTCTGGCTTTCAGGGGTATTGAGGGACATTTCCATGGTCCAGTTTGTCGCGGTGTTGATAGGTCGATGATGTACCGGGGGGTCGGTCATCATCACTGTTGACGAGTTTCCGGTCTTGACACTATGTTTACGGTCAGTTACCAGTATGTTCTTTGCTGGACGGGACGGAAACCCTCGCAGCAGGGCAGTGGCTTGGGTCAATATCTTGGATCGAGCATCCGGATCTGTTTCCCTAGGTAAACATTGACCACACTTTGTTGATTCATTGTCCTCTCTCTTCCGAAGTTCGATAATGGCCGGCCTTTCCGCCAGATCAGGTCCCTTGTAGAGATTTCTTTCTGCAGCCGGCGTGCGCAATAGACACTGAATTTCCAGTCTTCATCAAGTACCGAGGAGAGAGTAGCGATTCGACGGCGCACTGACTTCTGACGGACATGGTCGATCTGGTTTCTGGCGGGCAGAACAGGCAGGGTTGATTACATTAATTGGGACAGGTAGGTAGGTAGGTGAGAGGGCTCTCTGTGCTACGCAAAGGGCCCTCGAACTTCATCTGCTTCTCTTAGTTCTTTTCTCGAAGTGCCATACTAGTAGGGGGCTGATGTTCTTTTCCGCTACCTGCTCCTCTGCTCGTCTCTGGCCTCCCGTTCTTTGTTCACTCCTTTAGCCTTTCCAGCTCAATCCCTGATCGATTATCCATCCGTAGTCCACGGCTAGAAGAACAACGCATGGCACACTTTCCATTTCCTATTTTCCGCGCTCCCTCGCCAGGTGTGGCAAGCCCAGCTCAGCCCATTAAACACCCTCTGCAAGCACCACACGCGCTCCTGTACGCTTATGAGCCCACTCGAAGCACATGAGAAAGGGAACCTCCCGCAGAGACAGAGAGAAAAAGAGAGCCACCCATGACCGGTGACGCATCTGGTCAAGACAACTCCCTCGATCCCTGATCTGTCGGCAGGAAAAGGCGGTGATAATATGTGCAATTGTGGGAATGTGCCCCCCTTCGATGGCCGGTGACTTTGTCAATCCCCAGCATGAAGAGAGCGAGCAAGTTCCCTTTCTGTATCCCTTACTCGGTCTATGGATTTTCGCACTTTGGGTAGTTCTTTTTCGCCTTTTTCGCTGGATCTCTGATCATGTCTCAATTTTCCTGAAAATGAATGTAAGCAAGCCCTCCGCCGAAGACACGCACTCCGATTTCGCCGACGCTGCCTAAGGAAATCAAGGAAGGATGGATGGTCCCATCCACCTCCTTCTCTGAAAGGGGAAAACGTTGCTTCTGCTCGCTCGATAAAAACAGAAAACATGGAAGAGTAAAAACAAGACCACACCGTCCTCGGACATTGGGAAGATGACACGATTGACGTTCGGTTCGGAGGTCTTCCAAGCCAGGACCGTGGTCATATCAGCAGCGTCCCTAAAGGAAGCGCCGTCAATTGGCACGCGACAGACATTGGCCGAGTATCATTACAGCACCAGTCGTTGAAGATTCTTTTGGATCAAAATATCTTGTACATCTTCCATGGTAGCCTTCAAAAGATTGGTGTCGGTGGCGTTGGTGAAGTGGATGTAGATCTCTCGGTTATTGTTGCGGTTCAGGGCTCGGAAGCGGTTGGCAAAGTACTCTTTGGCAGCTTCTTCATCATCATCATCTCCTTTGTAGTCCGTGAAGTGTGCCGACAGCGGAGAGATTTTGAGTTTCTCGTGGAAGAGATCGATTTTGTTGAGGAACAAGATGATAGGCTTCTCCTTGAACCATTCTCCATTGACCAATGACTCAAAGAGCATGAGAGCCTCGTGCATCTGATTGGCGTTCACATCTTCCACCAGACATTGGTCGTAACCGGAGAGTGCAGCCATGAACAGGAGACACTGAACACCCTCGAAGCAGTGAATCCATTTCTTGCGTTCAGATCTCTGACCTCCAACATCCATCATGCGGAAAGTCAGATCGCGAAGCTCGAAGACAGTCTCGGTGATGCCAGTGGTGCGCAGTCTCGCATGAAGCATATCCTGGTCATCGGGGATCCAGCCTGGTTCAAACATGCGCTCGATGTTCTGGAAATAGAAGCTCAGATTGTCGTGGAGCGCAAACTCGTGCCCTTTCGCGACGGCTTTCTGAACGCCTGCGTCTTTCCACAGTGTGAGCATGGCCTCTTTGACTCTCTTGTCCCGGAACGCCTCATGAGCATCCACATCGGCATTGACGGATTCAAGCAATTCGGCACGAGCTTCATTGGCTTCGTTTTCGAAATCGATCTTTTCATCCTGCATGATCTCGTAGAGTACACGGAAGGCGACAACGACATTGGAGTAGATGACTGCTTTGACTTGGACTCTTTCATCGTCCTGAAAGCCACTGGAATGGATGATTCGCATTTGTTTTATTATGGTAGATTTGCCTGACTCGCCCGCACCTGGAAGAGAACGCCTCGTCAGCTTAGTCCTCAAGGCTGATTGCACAAGAAGAGTTGCCGCGTACCTAACAGCAAGATCTTGACTGTCCGAGCATCAGCCTTTCGATCATGTCGCAGTTGGCGCTCAATCTTTGCGTTCTGTGCGGAAGCCTCCTTTGCATGAGGGTCTAACTTGGAACCCGTACACCCCATCGTTGTTCTTGCTACGGCTGGCTTGAAGGCACCGAAGGAGAGAGTCTACGGGAGCTGTGGTAGAGTTTGAGGCTCGATCAGGTACGGTCGGGGGTTGAGGCCTCTCTCATTCTCGATTGAAGCCTGCAGCTTCGGGTAGAGAAAAGAGCAGGATCGGGAGCTGCGTGTCGGCAGAGGAGACGAATCTAGGAGGGCAGCTTGCTGTTAGAAAACTGTTGATCGATTCTCAACAATGTGTTAAAGCATCGGATGGCACTCACCTGGACAAGTCGACGACCGTCAGCGATGAGAAGTGATAGTTTTCCCTATGCGGTGTTGAAGCACCCGGAGTGGTGTCGTCTCGCACATCACAGCCTGGGGCAGGCGATGCCAGATCAGGAGATGCTTGGTTAGGTTGTAGGCAATTACCAGAGTAGTGAAGAAGAATGGAGGCAAGTTGGCTGGTGCAATGCCATGCGACAAGGGTCTTTTGCAACTAGAGGAACGTCCTGCGATGAGTGGCCCGGGGAAGAACGGGCACGAACTCCATTCGACATGGGGTTGATGGGCCAAGAGGGACTGACAAGGGCCAAGCCGCAACTAACAGCGCATAGAGGGTTCTCCTAGGGGTCTTGATGGGCTACCCTACCTGCAGGCTGTGTGGGCTGCCGATGCCTGAGGGCGCCGGTCACCAAGTGGAGGCTAGGGTGCTTCTATAGGTAGGTAGGGGAAGAACAGGTAGCGGCCAGCCTACTGTGGCAGAGCGCGAGAAGCACGGTCAGGCACGGCCGCAGACAAGGGAGAGGCCTGTTGGCGTGGCTTTGGGGGCTCCTTAGGCTCCTTAGGCTGCCACTGGCTCGCCACCCCCAGAGTCAGTCTGAGGGCAGAACAACAAGGTTAGATACGTACCTCGGAAAGACGGGTCATGCTTTGTTCTTATTCATCATACCTACTCTGTACCTTTATCTCAGATTTATATTGATGGCGAAAGCAATTGACTGCCGACTCCAGTGCAGTGCATTGCAGTGTGCAACAGGCGGTGCTAACCAGCAAGGCCCGATACTGCCACTACGGCTTCGCAGAGGCCCAAGTGCAACAGTGTTCCTCCTCGGCGTGACGTGTAGTGCGGTCACCTTACCTCTATCCACTCACTGCATGTCTATCTCTCTCTCTTTCTGCCGATGCCATCGGGTCGATCCAGAGAGCCTTGAGAAGAAGGTCCTCTCACCACATTGCAGCTCTTTACTCGGTCTGTTGCTCACGTACTAACATGCAGGGTCGTAGCAGAAGATCCCATTGTCGCAGCCTCCTTTCGTTCCTACCACGAAACCGCGCACTTCCCATACTCAGATGATAGCGATAGGGACAAGAGCCCCCAACAGCAACTGAAACGATCCTGGTGCTACGGTATATTGTGGACCTACCCTGTTGAAGTTTGATGAAGAGCCGGGGCTAATATACCTTGCAGCAACATGGCAACAAGCATAATGACAGTCCGCAAAGTGAGTATTCCACCGTACACAGGTACCAGCTGGGTTTGAATGCACACGTGGCTACTTGGGTCCCCGATCCCTGCTCTGACAACTTACTGGAAGGTCAGCAGATACGAACCAGGGTTGGCGCGTGGTATCTGGCAGCTTTAGTGCTGAACTCCTATTCCTCCTCCCATCACCACCTTCTGCCCTCTCAATACGTGAATTGGCAAAATGCTTGAGCGTTATGCACATACTACTGCTTCCAGTCACCAGTCATCAGGCGGTAGCCGTACGGACCGCCACCTGGTCCTCCTCGCTTAAAAGGTAATTGATCCATCTACCATGGCCAGAAACCATGATCCTGGGCGACAAAAGTGCCGTTTGGGCTTTTTCCGTCGGCATCGACGATCAAGTCGCACGCGGCAATGATGCCATCTTCCGGCTTCCCAGCGCCATCAGCGTAGCCATTTATATTGGTTGCCCTGAACCCGGGACAGACGACGTTGACTTTGAAACCTTGTTTGCCATATTGGACCGAATACATGGCGGCGAGCATGTTCAGCGCGGCCTTGGACGTCGAGTAGGGCTTGCTGTCTGATCCGTAAAAGGGGAAGGACGGATCGAGCATGTTTCCGATGGACCCGATGCCGGACGACATGAACAAAAGCCGAGGGGCCCGGGACTTCTTGAGCAATGGGATGAAGGCCTCGGTAGTCACAGCGGTGCCGATGAGGTTTGTCTCGAAGACCCCTCGCATCTGTTCGCGCAGACCGCCACCGGCGGTGATAATAGCGGCATTGTTGAAGAGGACGTCGAGGCGACCGTAGCTCTCGTCCACCCGCTGGGCGGCGCGAGTGATGGATTCGTCCGAGTCAATGTCGATGACCAGGGGGACGACGGACGTGCCTTTTGCGAGGCTCGCAATGCTGCCGGCGGCCTTGTGGCCACTCTCCGGGTTTCTGCACCCCAGGAGGATGACGTAGTCGGTCTGTTCCGCCGCCAGCTTCTTGACCGCTTCATATCCGAGTCCCTGGTTGGCACCGGTGATGAGAACAACTGTCTGACTCGGAGACGCCATGATGCGAGCGAGCACAAGAAAGGGTTTTCTGCAAAAGAACTTTTCAAACAAATTTGAGACTTTGTGGACTGGGGCCGTTGGACTCGATGACTTTTTGTGTCTAAGGGAGGGTGGGGGAAAGGAGTAGTGTTGGGTCTTATATACTGGAGGGCTTCGCTGTGAATTGCCATTTCCCGTCCGCTTTCGTCCGTTTCGGTCCTGCGTCTGGATAGATTTCTAAGCCTTCCTAACCCAGAATATGCCATTGATTTATTTAATGGGGCTATGGCACGTATCGACTTGGTTCTCCCAAAACAGCTAGTACTGTGCAATACAAAAAGGGGTTCCACGGCATATAGTCCGTGGTTAGTTCGCGAGACGGTCAGAGTAGCGATTACGAGGGATACGAGTTATCATAATGAGGAAACAGTCAGTCATCTACCAGGTATCTTCCTATGTTTTGTCTGCTAGACGGCCATATCAAATTCTTTCAGCTCGTCCGCATTGGATGCCAGCGTCTTGACAGTCCACTTCCACAAGTCGTCCTGCTTTGCGGTATCATAGCTTTCCACGCTCGACTCGATCTGCTTTCTCCCTTCGTAGTAGACACCACTGGTGGTGGTATCTTGGCCCGCAACCCAGGCTAGATTCGCTCCCGACTCTTGTGGGAGATGAACGTTCTTGGATACCAAGATTCGGAGGATGCCAACCACCCTGGGGAGAATGTAACTCCAGAGAAAGCGGACGAAGGCAGGATACTCGCGCGCCAGGCCTGTGCCTGGCATCATGCCTGGGTCGAAGGCGACGATGGTCCATTGCCTGGCCGGCGAAGCACCCAGTCTGCGAAACAATGCGTACGTCCACAAGACGTTACAGAGCTTGCTGGTGGTGTACCGCTGGGTGCCCGGGTCCTTCAGCGCCTCTCCCGCCGGATGAGCCAGCCTCTCTGCGGTGGTGTAATGGGCGTCCGGGAGGCCGGTCTTGCGCGCAGGATCATGACCATCACTGGCGGTGACGACGATGCGCGCCTCGGCTGCCAGATGAGGCTGCAAGAGGTGGAAGAGGAGGGCGTGGCCGACGTGATTGACGCCGAACGTCGCCTCGATCCCGTCACTGGTGTATTTCACTCCCTCGGGCACCTGGATTCCCGCGTTGAGGAGAAGCATTGAGATCGGTGCGTACTGTTCTTGCTCCAAGTGATTCACAAATGCCCTGATATTGTCCTGGCTGCCGAGGTCAAGGGGCACGAATCGCACATGGCGGTGACCTGTAGCTTTCTGGATCGCAGCCGCCACGGAACCCGTGTCTTTGCGTGAGGCTATTATGATGGTAGACGCCCTGAATTGGCTTGCAAGAGTCGAGGCGGCATAGAACCCTAGGCCCGTGGTGCCACCGGTCACGAGAATCGTGCTTGCTGCGTCGGCCATTCCCTGCGGACGTTGCCAGAAGCTCTAGGAGGAGGAGATGGGGGAGGTTGAGATTGAGGTTTCATGGCCACGGGCACGATGCACCTTGACTCTGGGTAGATATACATCGGACGGGGGAGATTTGTTCGTCCGTGGTCGGTCATGTCTGTTGGTATGGTAGTTCAGGAGAACTCGATCGCGAGAGACGATAAACCTGAATAGTCCAGATGAGCCCCATTGTCCCCATGTGGATCCATCTGGTTGATTGGAGAACGGCACTGTCTTCAAGGGTGCGAGGCGAGGGAGCCTTTATACCTACCTCTAGGTAGCCTTAAGCCCCTGGGGAGATGATAAGGCTGCAGTGGGGGAGCATATTATTAAGCCAGACACTACGGCCTGGTACTACTAACTACATGTAGTAGGACTAATTAAGTAGCCTCAATCGCTAGCTTGCCTCGGAGAGACATTAGCCCGCTTGGCCGCCTGGCCTCGCAGCCTCGACAATCTGATGATACTAGTACTACTATTCGAACCTTAGGTATGTAGGTACCTACACCAAACATGCATGCACTGCCGGTGGTAAAAGCACTCGCATGGGTTCGACATGGTCCGTCCTGTGCCAGTCATGTCTGAAGCACTTGTACCCTCGCAATTGTTTCTGCCACTGCCTCAGCACCATGTCCTGATCTGCCGGGCATGTCGCCATGCAGTCCCTCCGCTTGCGGTTGCTAGGCACCTCAAGGCAATTCACCATCTCGACCACGCACGCCGAGAGGTGTTTCTTGAATTCGCCTCCAGGTTCGACCTCCATGATCCAGCCCATGTGGATGAACCTGGGGCAGATCACTTTCCCGTGCCTGGACTTCCGGTCTACGACGGATTGCAATGCACGGCTTCTAATTGTGGGCATCTCTGTCTCAGCGAAAAGCGCATGAGGGGGCATTGGCAGCAGGTACATGGACGACACAGCCGACTGGAGGGCGACTGGCGGCATGCGCCTCTCCAGACCTTCTTTCGCGGAAACCAGCTGCGCTATTTTACCGGCTCTGTGGTTGAACGGAGCAAGGACAGTCCGGGGCACAGTCGCCACGAGCACATGCTTAAAGGAGACGTGGTCCGGACCTTCTATTTCTCGGACAATGGCCAAGGGAGGGAGATTGCCTTTGGTGTCCCCGAGGCCTCAGGCACAGCAACACAAGGAGCTGGACAGGAGAAGCCAGGCAGTGATGATGGACGAGCGAGCCTCGATCCGGCTGACAGGGCCCTGCTCGACCATTACATGACGAACACCTGTCTCAAAATCGCTACAGACGAGGAGGGAAGAGCAGTCTGGAGTACAGCGGTGGTTTGTCTTGCGCATAGTCATGGGTTCGTGATGCACGCCATCCTCGCCCTCGCAGCCATGCATCTGGCGCACTGTCATGGGTCCAACTCGGATCTTGCCAAATCCCGAGAATACTTGGCCATCGCGTCCAAGCATCAAGACGAAGCCATGCCTGCGTTTCGAGCAGCAGTCGACGAGGCCAACGCATGCAAAAGCCACGCCATCCTTACATTTGTTCATCTGCTCATTTTGTATTCGATTGCCACGGAACAATCGGATGAATGGCTGCTATTGGTGACCGAGGATCAATCAGATACCGTTACAGTCCCCAGCTGGTTGCACTTGTTACGGACCGGTTGCAGTCTGCTGTGCACCACCTGGGATCTGATTGAGATCGGACCCTGCCGCACATTGGCGCTCCTGTGGAGAAAGGAGGTTGGCCTGCCGCAGGCCGGTACGATACTGGCATCGGAATTGCGGGACAAGTTCCTGGCCGCCATCCCTCCGCCAGGCTCGCCGGACGAGTGGACGAGGTCTGAACGGGACGAGTATGCCGACGCAGCCTCACACCTGGCTCTCGCCTTTGCCTACTACTCACAGCCTTCGACTGGGCCGTGCACGACGTGGGACATACTTCAGGCCTGGCCACTCCGGCTCTCCGACGCGTTCTTGGCCATGATGGCCAGCGGTCATCCGGGAGCGCTGATACTGCTCGCACATTATGCAATCCTGTTGAAAGATATTGAGCAGCAGTGGTATTTCAGGGGCCGGGCCACGAGATTGATCCAGAGGATTGCCGAGAGGTTGGACCAGAGATGGCAAACATACATCGAAAGCCCATTGAGAGCTATCAGGAAACCAGTCGTTCGACCCAGACGCTTGTTACCAGCTCCGGTCTAACGGCATTATTCGTATTTGGCTGCCCGTGGGTTAATATGCCAAGATATAACACGAGGGAGGACAGCTTCAGAGGTAACCCCTCCATATTAGTACACTACCCGCCATATGGGTGATTTGCTCCTGGGAAGACGGCCTTGGAGGTTGCCGCAAAAAACAGCGCAGGAGAAAAGAGGCTTGTGCCGGTGGGAGTGCTGTCACAAGCTCATCTCTAAGCATGTCAGCAGGACGCTACGAACCTGCATCTGAACCTGTTGGTGATGCGAGGGTCGACGCACCATCTGGGCAGCATGGCCACGATCCCCCGCACGACCACCGATGGGAAGCTCCACCGGATGTTTCCTGGATGAAGGATGTGACTCCCTTGGCATGGTATATGGCAAATCGAATACCACGTCTACTAGAGCAGAGTATCACCACATGCTCCGTCAACGTGCAGCAGGGCTGGCAGCTTTCCGCAGTATAGGAACCAATCAGGGTGGATATGACTGGGGTGGAAGCCCGGATAAATCACTGGAAAATGCCTAAAAGGCAGTGCAAGGATTGCGCATCACAGCTTGACGCTGGCTGTGGCTTTACCTTGTGACTACCAACCAGGCACGAAACACCCATTGCTCTTTGGGGTTAAGCGTCAGGGTTCATGGGCCCGAGTGTCCAGGTAGCGAGGTAGGTTTGGATCTCTACTTTGAAGGCTCTCCGTTGGGCACGTGTGAAACCGGTGCAAAGGTACCTAGTGGTTCATGTCAGCAGGACTGAGGAGACGATATCCGAAGTTATAGCGAGGTGCGTTTGCAACTGCTGCCGTCAGAAAATGCCACAAACATCTGGCCGGGCAATGTGCCGGAAGCATTTTCATCTTTCATCCAGCGATTTAGACAGAGGCATCGGGTAGAAAGACATCGGTTCCGAGCGTTTTCCACGGCCCAAAGGTCGAAGCTTCCTGGAGGCCGCCTTTCACAACAGCTGCAAATGGCGACTCCAGAAGCGAGCGCTGAGACGCCAAGTGGCATCGGACAATGTGGTCAGCAGAACCCCGTATTACATGAGCAGGCAGAACGGAACGCCTTTATTTGTGCGACGTAGTAGTAGGCTTGCCCGAGCGTCGGAATGCCAGCGCACACGAGGGAGGCCCAAGCAGCTGGAGGTGATATTTGGTGATTTCAATCTCCGATTCGTGATGAGTTGCGTATGGACTTAGTACTATGCTGTCGCAGGGGGCTGGCATTGGCACCGGCCAGCGGGATCAATCACCTGCGCCATCATCGATGGGGGAAACCCGAGGAGGAGGCTACCGAAAAGATCAGGCAGTTGCGGCACAATGATTTGCCCTGTAAGCCTGGAATATGAAAGAGAGCGACCCCTGATGTGACCACAACTTGAACATACCTCGCTACGAGAAGAACCTGGTCAACTTGAAGATAATCAATGACACCAACTTGAAGCTGAGGGCAACCAGGGCGGACGTTGCGTGAATATCCCGATTAGGCTTCCGGTCAGCATTGATAGAGGCAAATGATTGGACGAATGGGGCAGGGAGTGGTGCGCGGGGTTCTGACGTAACAGAGTGTGCTAGTACTAGTAGTAACACATAATAACCGGGTTTGCAGTGCAGTGCAGTGTTAGTATGCAAGTTAGTGCCTTAGATTGGATAACTAGTACTAGTACTAGGTAGATAGATTGGATACCCAACCAATAAAAGGTCGGAAACAACAAAGTTTAGGGCGCCTGCCCAAAGAGGAAATTCAGACCTGAGATTCTTGATTCCATCCATTCACATTTAATTCCCCGTCCGACTTTCTTCTCCAACCTTTCATCCCGCCTTCCTGACACTTCCAACTACTACCGCCTTCAGTTAGCAGCCTCGTTGCGAAACAACCCATCGAGATGATACGAGTCACACCTCCTCATGTCGCTCTCCTCTTCGCTGCCGCTGCCGCTACCGCTATCTTAGCTATCGCAGCCGCATAGCTGGTAACTTACGCTCGGCTGGTGCTGTTTCGTCCTGCATTGTTCTGCCTGCCTTCGTTCTCCTCTGACCCCTGGGGCCATCGTTCACCCTTGTACAAGGACAAGGTTCACACTGCCTTTTCCATGTCAGGCCAACGGAGAACTCCTAGAACTTTCCAATCAACTGGCTTTGCGCCGTCCCCTTGACCGAACATGATTGTGTCGTCCCGCTCTATCTGCCTTCCAGTCTTGCACTGCTGCATTAAGCCTTACCGCTGGGCTCCGGTGGCGTCCACCCACTATTTGCTGACCTCAGGTCCACGCTTCCAAATGTCTTCTAAAGGCCTTGGGCTTTCCACGCCGGAGCCAAACCTATTCTGGATATCGATATAAGCTGTCTCACTGGTTGGTTTTACTCCCTGGTATCTTGGTCCCTCAATCTTGCAGGGATCTCTTCGTGTCGATTGATTTTCCCGACGGTCAACCGTGGTCTTCGTCTGCGTCTGTCGTGGCCATGCCTGCAACAATCGAGATGGTCGTTTTGTAATCTTCTGTAAGGATACCCGGGTCGGCGTTGGCGCTGCAACCATGGCAGAACAATAATCCTCGTCGGCTCCATTGGCGCTGCTCGGATCACAGACAGGCGTGAACTCATATTCAGGGCGGAACTATATTCTTTACCCATGTTCCATCAGACGCATCCTTGGCTACTTCGGACGTTGATGATATACAGCGACTCTTCCATCTCATCGCGGTCCATCCTGCTCGATACTCTCGTCCATACACACACATACAAAACAGCGCATTTGAGCTGAAGATCATATATATCATAGCAACATCTCAGACCACTTCCCTCCGAGTGACGTCGCTTCCAGCCTCAACACATCAACATGGATCACGGATTCGTGAGCTCGCCGTCACAATCCCCGAATCAATCCTTCTTTACCAGCGGACACTACTTCGACAGCACCGACGAGAGCCCCAGTCCGGAGTCACCACATGTGAGCACAACCTGTTTTCGCTGGGATATCGCGTCCTAACCCTGCCTCAGCAAAGAAGCCAAATCATGTTCAACAGGACGCCCTTGCAGTATGACATGTTACAGTATGGAGCGACGCCGTCTGATTACTATCCCGCCCTCCAGACCGCCAGGATATCGGTAGAATTTAACGACCCCACCTCGCTCGACCAGAATGACCGGCGGAAACGGAGGTCGGGCAGTAGCTCAACCCCGACCAAGGACAAAGACACGATCACCAACATGCATTTGGTGCGTCACAGACTTTGGTGATGTGCTGCGCGGCAGACACTAACTGAGAGCTTCAGAGGCGTCGAGCTCAAAATCGAGCTTCTCAACGAGCGTTCCGGGAGCGCAAGGAAAAGCACGTCAAAGGGTTGGAGCATCAGTTGGAAGATCTCCATGAAAAGCATCAAGACCTTTTACAGTCGTATACCCGTCAAGCCGACCAAGTCACCAGGCTGAACAATCAGATTGCCGAGCTCAGTGCCGAAGTCAATGCTCTGCGATCATGTCAAGATCAGTCCTTCAGTGACATGCTCATGCCGGACAAGTTTGAGAAATTTGACGCATTTTTCGGGCACGACCTGCCTGGCAACGGACCCGACTGCTACTTCGACAAGACCACAATCGATCTCAATTCGGAGTTCTCCTTACATTCCTTTGAGGATTCGCTGTAGGCTCGAACGGTCAGGTGGGATTTGATTTGGTGCTTGGGTATTCGGCGTGTCAAGAGAAACAACGATATACCCACTTCTACGGGCGGCTTTTTCATTCTCGTCATGTTGCAATTGAGCGAAGGCGCACGACGTGCGTCATTCTGTGGACTGGGTTGCAGCCTCCGGGCCACTTTATTGTCGATTAACAGGTGAAGGCTCTGGGCCAGTAGCTACCTTGGGAGAGGGTTCCGATCAGCAGAAAGTGTTCAAGAGACGATATTCTGGCTAAATGCCATGCTTGAAAGTTGAGAGTTTTGAGATGTGCAGTGGCCCAATGCTCCAGGGCTCCCCGTGAATGCCTGTAAGAAGTAATGGGTCCCCATTGTTCTATGGTGAGACCGGCCGGCCACGACCGTTTCTGCCTGTGGAACGTGGAAGCCCTTCCGCAGGTCTACATGGGGAGACGGCGTGGACAACGGGCTAGTCCCAGAGAGGAATATGCTGGAAGGTCTATTTGTCTGGTGCATCGGATTACTATTGGACTGTGAGAAGAGGAGTTAAGTATAGGACGTCTAAGAGACGCTTTTCAACCTGCCATATCGTATTGCACATGCGACACTACTACTACCTAACGTACCTGTATGTACACTGTCACGCCCTACCAGGCACCTACCACCCACCGACCCTTGCGAACCGGCATTCGCCTCCTCGAAGGGCATCAGACCCTTTGTTGCTCTCTTACAAATATAGTTCTGACAGGCTGCAGGGTGCAGAATGCAGGCATCTGCCACCGAGTCTGCTAGGCAGCCTGAACCCGAAAATGACGACGTCGTGGGGTGCGTGCTTGAAAAAGGCTCATCCTCGACATCTTGATCTTCACATGTTGTACTAGCAGGTACTAGGCACTCGACGGGAAACTCCAGCAAAGAAAGAATGATATTACTCATCCGAAACAAGAGTTCCGCTACCGGTTCCGGAGGATGTATCGATCCCTTTTCGCCATATTTTGAAGTTAGGTAAGACACCTACCCTAGGGCCCTGCCTTACATACCTTGCTACCTCCCCCAACCTTACCTACTAGGTATGTACCGTAGGTAGGGATGTTTTATATTCCTGCAACCATTTCGGAGTATCATCGGCCGACAGGCTTGACAAACGTTACTAGGTACTCACCCAAGGTACCTAATCTATTTCGTCCTCAAGTTGTCATCAACTAGACAAAGTCCTGAAGCTTCCTCCTCGCATTACTCCTGTTACCGTACTGTTGCTGCTCTGTAACTAGGTCCGTGTGCCTGCAAAGCCATAGGGTCCACGCTTATCTGTCATGATAACTTACTAATAAATAGTCTACAACATTTTGTGGCTCTGATCATTCCCTCTGATCTGATCCGAGACTTGCGCCCAGCTGAAGCGGACGTGATCGGAGCGTCTCCCCAAGAACCCAAGAGGAATTCCAGTTCCGCCATGTTCCACTGCTGCCGGGGTCTCCATCTCATGTACGAGGTGTTCTTGTTCTTTCTCGCTCCTGAGATGAACATGTTTGGCGATTGTTCAGATAAGGTCCCAGATAATCTGATTTGCATTCTTATCATGTAAGAGGTTCTTCTCACCAGGACGGTGGGTTCAGCGCAAAGGTATCTGTTTCCAATATACCTCCGCAAACAGCCGGATTGGAGCACCACTCTCGGTCTCCAACTCGTCGTCTGCGCCGGAGGAAGGTCTGACGCTGGAGTGCTGGACATACGCCTGTCGGTTCTTCCGGCTGTGATCGCAAATGCCAAGCGAGGAATGGGTACCGTCTCAGGTTGTCAATCTCGGTGTCATGCAGGTAAGGCTGTGATGAAAGGAAACGACTATAACGATACCTGTATCTTCAAATGGATATCTCATGGTGCCAGTACTATTGGCGCAAGGTGGGTGGATGGGATTATCAAGGTGGGTCGACTGACATAATACATTACTAATAAATTGCCAGCCACTGCCAGTGGCTGGTGATCGGTGGCTGCTCCCCGCCTTTCACTGGCCAGCCTCATGTGGCTGAGCAGGAGACTGCGAATATCTCAATTGGTAAAGAATGTAAACAGAGGAAATGGACGTGCGCCAGTCAGTCATGAGGGAAAGGAACGGACTTGCTCTATGTTGTTGACATTACTCAGTCCTGCTTCGACTGTTGACCTCTCCCGCACAAGCAACGGAGATGCCATGATTCAATACCTCAGGCTCTTGACCCCGAGAATATGGATTGCCAATGAACTCTATCGCCGGCCTGCGGTTGTTTCACGACGCAACACCCGCCGTGCAGAATACCTACCTAGGTACCCTTGCTGCAGCCTTCTGGCCGACCATGTGAAGGATGGCTTCACATCCGTACAGCCTTCGAAGTAGGCTCAATACCCAAACTCCCTCCTTACGCACAACACCTACCGGCTCCCCCTCCATCCCAAAACTCGGGACAGCCTCTCCCCGTAAACCGCGGCCGTCGGACATCACCATACAACTGCACAAGGTGATAGGGACGACCACAAATAGTCCCAGTGGGTTAGCATGTTGTCCGGCCACAGAAACCTACGCATATTGCGCAGGAGCTGTTGCGGTTCTTGCGAAAGTCGATTCACATCATGGTGCTCCTTCGTACCGTTATTACAAGGCTCGACCGACAGCACCTTCTATTCATCCTCCTACCGCCCACTACGAGGGCTCACCGGCGGCGACGCCCTCGAAGAGAAGGACAACTACATTCATGTCTCCAAGAGTACAAGACGATTACAACAGTGGTTCATTCGGCCGGGAGTGGCTAGAAGAGTCGGGAGGCCAAACATGGACCGCCAGGGAGCGTATCAAATCCGCATCCTGCGTCGCTTTGAGTGCAGACGGACGCTGGCTTGCGGTCGGAGAGTCCGGCTACAATCCTCGTGTGTTGCTGTACTCTACGGTCGAAGATGCTTCTTGCGAGATTCCGACCTCCATCGTCACCGATCATGCCTACGGGGTCCGCTGCATAGCCTTCAGCAGCGACATGCGATATCTAGCGACGCTGGGGAACCTCAACGATGGGTTTCTGTTTGTGTGGTCACTCAACTCGAAAACAGGTCAGTTGAGCCTGCATTCTGCCAACAAGTGTACAGCCAATATCTGCGACATGACTTGGTGTGGCAGTAATGTGATCACCGTCGGAACAAGGCATGTCAAAATCTGGCAGGTGAAAGACCTTGCAAAACAGTCTCCCACCAGAAAGTCGAGATATCGGCCGTCCGAGGTTTATCCTTCGAGTCCTGGACCTTCACCGTTGCAAGGCCGGAACTGTCTGTTGGGATCCATGGTGGATTCGACCTTCTCATGCGTTACTTCGGTCGATGACGAAGTTCTTGTCTTGGGCACCGAAACGGGACACCTTTGCTCCGTGGACGTGTCACGAGGGACACCTGAACTCCAGGTCCTGAAGCAGACCATTTTCTCCATCACTTCAGTCGCCTTCCTTGGTGCCACGAAACAACTTCTCCTGGGCACATCACAGGGTCTTTGTTACGAGGACTATGAGTCGCTGCAGACGCAGGGAAACGAGGAGTCCTGTACGAATTCGCCGCGGAAGGCCTCTCGACCATCTTCCATTCGCCGTTCTCTCGGGTTGGCCCAGCCAACAGGACAGAGTGTTATGGCGATTGGCATTCTTCAGAACCATACAATCACACTCGACAACGATGGAAGCTTGCAGGTCAAGCGACGTGCGGTCGAAGAAAACTCTCAGTTCCACCCCACATTTGCAGCCCATAACAGCGTCCTCCAGGGTGTGCAAGCACTTCCCGCCGCGTCGGGCTTGGGGAGCTTCTTCACGTGGTCAAAGAACGGTGAGGTCAAGTTTTGGAATGCCGATGGCATACTAATGCGGCAGAGGCGCCTAGATCTGGAGGAGATAGGCGCAGATGGCGAGAACTGTCAAAACGAACTCAGCCAGATACGATACTCGCCAGCTCGGGGATCGTTTATTGCCGGTGACCGATTTGGGCTGCTCAAATTGATCAAAGAAAACGACTGGCGCGCTGTGCGCACGATTCGGGCGCACAGTTCTGAGATCACAAGCATTGCGGTTTCCGACGAGGATTCACTGGTGGCAACATGCAGCAGGGATAGAACAGTGCAACTATTCCAGCTGGACGTAGACAACATTGAACTGCTGCAGACCATGGATGATCATGTTGGGTCTGTCAACCAGGTTCTTTTCGCACAGTCAGGGGCGAAACTGTTGTCCTGTTCTGCGGATCGGTCATTGATGATCCGCGAGCGCGTATTCAGGGAGCAAAACGGTATCCAGGTGGTTGCATACTTGTCAGCCAAGGTCTTGACTCTCAAGAGTGCTCCCTTGTCAATGACAATATCAGGAGCCCATATGCTTGTGGTGGCCACCATGGATCGGCGAGTTACCAGAATCGACTTCTCGACCGGCACTGTGATGGAATCGTTCAAAGTGGGCGATTCCGAGACCGACGACACAGTGTCTCTGAACTCTGTCATCCACACCGCCATGCCTGATGCTACCGATGCCTTGAGGGGCCTGCTGATCGGATATTGCACTATGGACAAATCGATTCGAGTATACAACGACCGAAATCTGAGTTTGCTAGGCAGGGAGTCGGGACATACCGAAGGGTTGAGCGACATCGCGGTACTCCAGCATCCAGGGGACGTTTCTCCGGGCAGACAATTGACGATTGTCAGTACTGGGCTGGACGGCACAATAATGCTATGGCGGATAGTCAAGACCTTGAGTTTGTGGTCCGGCCAAAATGTCTCGCCAAACCGACATCAAGCGTTTGGTCTATTCGGCGATGAGACGGAAGATGCAGACACCAAACCGAGTCCTGCATCTCTTCCGCCGTTACGGAAAGTCTTGACCAAAGTAGATATAGCGGAACTGAACAAGGGCAATCCTGGGTCATCCTCGACGCCTCGGTCACTATCACCTGTCAGATTAAAAAGGAAGACTTCGCGTCTTGCGCTGTCGACCACCATGGATGAGGTGGAAGAGACTACGACCAAAGTCGGCGAGGTTAATGTGGCCAATATTGACAATCTCCTTGTCAACGAGAAGTCGAACCCGCCACCTAGTCCATCCCCTGCACCTCGAACAGCCTCCAAACCGAGAAAGAAGTCATCACGGACAGAGCTGAATCGAGAATCAGAGTCAAGGAAAGTACGTGGGATTACAAGATCGCCATCGCCTCCCATGTCGATGCCGACCACGCCAAAGCAAAGGCAGAAACCGAACAACAGCCGACTCCGGCGGCCACCGTCTGTGCCCACGGATCTACGGTCTCAAGGGGTCGTCTCCGGTCGACGGAAGAGTATGAGTCAGACATCCGACTTTGGCAGTTTGGGTATGGCCACAGAACAGGCCGGCAGGATGTTGAGGATGTATAGGAAGAAACTGATCCATAGTCGCGAGACGGTGGATCTGGACGATCTTGAAGACGAAGTGTCTGGACTGTTGAAGGTGATACGCGAGCGAAAGGACAGAACGCAGCCAACACAAGAACAAACTTCAGTCAAGCATGACCTGCGAGGATCTCAACACGCACATCGCAGAGATAAAGCGAAAGCGGCCACGGAGAACGAGCTTGATCAGTTGGCCATCTTGCTAGGGAAGTCTAGTTTGCTGGCTAAGCCCTCTGAGGATCGAACACCTTTCAAGATTTCGGGTGAGGAAGAGGCGGAATTGACCGGTCGATGATGATTTGCGATGAGCTTGATGAAGGCTGTGCTTATATGGATCAGGGAAAGCCATGCCAGGAGACGTCCGATGAATAACTCCTGCTAGTGCTATAGGGGAGGTGGGATGGAAGGATTTCATTTGCGAATGGGTTGTTTCGGGAACACCAGGTCCGACAGACAAGAGTCTCCAAGAACCGTTTCTAGGACGGAAGATATACTGGGTTGGGAAGATGTCGGGAGTATTGTACGATTATACCACGCGAGATGTATATATTTTGACGGTGTTTTCTCTTACGATATATCCCTATACGTTTATCTATATTTGGATTCTGTATATACATTCGTAACCTGGATGAGAAGCGAAACCCAGTGAATTACCACCGACTACTTCCATGCAAGGTTTCATGAGCGGAAGTGAATATAGAGGAATACGGATGAATATGGAGGGGGTATGTAGACAGCAGTTTGCATAGAGAGTGTGATGGCGAAGATTATATAGATCTAATAATATACGTATATGATAGTAATATAGTATCGCATCTATATACCTAATATCGGTGACGTACATACCAGTAGTATGTCTCTACAATTATTAACCAGCATTCATTTATTATTGTTTTCACAGATGAATGTTCATTCTCCGCATCAACCAACGACAGCTCTTTTCTTTCAACTTCGAGCTTCACCACATAGAGACGGACACCCAAATCACTCTCAACTCGATTGCCTGAACTCGATCCCGACAGCTCAAACTTTAAGTGGATTGCTGGGTACCGGTCTTCTGCGGAAAACAAAAACGGACGTGAAACAGCGAACAACACCAGCACAAGCCAGGAGCCAGCCGAATCGAGAAATCGAGATACTCGAAGATTCCGGAAACTCAAGGAGACCGACTGCCATCGCCTCCCCAGCCTTCTTCGATGGAGACTCACACTCAGCCAGAACCTCAACCTCAGACTCAACCTCAGACTCAACTTCTAAATCAAAAAGCAATGGATCTCCAATATCTCTCGCAAGCCCTCGACCTGGCGCGCCTGTCTCCTCCCAAACCAACCAACTTCCGCGTCGGATGTGTTATTGTGGCATTTCCCCTTACTACTAGTAGCGGTGGTAGTGGTGGTGGTAGCAATAGTAGTGCATCCGAACCCCAGCTTCAAGTCGGACATCAATCTCAAGACGGACATCAATCTCAAGTTTCGGCGCAATCTCAAGTCATCAAACCACCTTCAATCCTATCAACAGGCTACACGCTCGAACTACCCGGAAACACCCACGCCGAGCAGAACGCGCTGGCGAAACTCGCGGCACGCCACAACCTCCCGGAATCCCAGGTCGGGGAGTGTCCCGAGTTTCTGGAACCTGGGGTTCAAGTGGTGCTGTATACCACGCTCGAACCGTGTGCGAAGAGGTTGAGTGGGAATTTGCCTTGCGTTGAGAGGATTCTTGGGACGAGAAGAAAGACGAGGACGACGAGGACGACGACGATGGGGAGTCAAGGAGGTGGTAGTGATGAGGATACTTCTGGCGGTATCTCTGTGACTGCTACTCCTACTACTCCTCCTTCTACTGCTACTCCCACTACTCCTCCTTCTACTGCTACTCCCACTACTCATACCTTCATCTCTGGTATCCATAGAGTCGTCTATGGTGCCAAAGAACCAGATACGTTTGTGCAAAAGTCCGTGGCGACACGGGTTCTCGAAGACGCTGGGATCGAGGTGGATTATGTGGGCGATTTGGAGGACGAGATTTTGCGTGTTGCTATGCAGGGACATGTGCCTGCTAAGGAGGTGGATGGTGGTACTAGTGGGAATACTACTACTCCGACTACTGCTGCGAATGCCAATTCTACGAGTCAGAGTCAGAACCAGAGTCAAAACCAGAGTCAAAGCACAGGTTCAACTACAACTCAGCACGACCACCACCACACAGAAACTAATATCGACGATATCACTCCCGAAGAACGCAGACGACAGGAAGCTCTGCCGCGGAATCCCAAGAAGAGGATGATGGAGGTGGATATACCTCCCAGGGCATGACTGGTCGTTGCAAGGTACCAGATAAGATCCTCGATCATGGATACCTACTGTTTCTATATGTCGTATATAGAGCCTACCTTACATACGACAGGGGTTTCCCTTGGTAGAATGAGTATCTTACCTTTTAGGACACAGAAAAGACAACAGAAAAGACAACAGAAAAGACAGAGTATGTTGACGCTTGTAAAGAAGTCACCTTTTCCCTTTCTTCATTGTTGGCTAGCAGTTGATGTGATGTTGTGATTGGAATCATGTTCCTTTCTCCGAACTACTCAGGTATTCTTTTTCCTCGTAGCCACAATCCCCCATAATCCTCCGTCATATCTTGCTTCCTGTTTCTTCCCTCCAGGTGCAGATTAGACATCAAGGTTCATGCGAATGGTTGTTGCAGCTCCAGGGATGGGCGAGCATAAGACTTTGCTTCCTCCACCCACCAGCTTCAACAACTGGTCCTGCTCTGCGGGTTGGCAACTTGGACTCAGATACCACGATCAGCACGGATTTCTCCCAGTCCAGTCCCTGATTCTCCTTTGTCTGGCCGTAAGTCTGTAGTCTGTTGGATGACCTAGGGCAGGACATACATCCTGTAGCTTGTGATAGTTTATCATTTGAGCCAAGGTCTGTGTCGGCAACTCTATTCAGATCCGACTGACGGCCAATACCAGCCCTCCAGGTGTCTGGGGATACAGCTGAGAGTTGATCCGCAAATCCCTTTTCGACAACGAAGCTTGCGGCAGGCCGAGTCCGCTTGATGCTGACCATGACCGAATGCGTGATGCATCGCATTGGACTGGTCCGTCTCGACTGACTCGTCCACTGAACCGACAATCCTAGCCCGTTCTCACCAGGAGATCAAAGAGCAAATCAATCGATCCTGGCTTGTGTCAAACTTCTTCTCTTCGTAGGCATGTTACTGGCTGTCAGATTATTCGAAAGGCGGATCTTAGTGCTGCTGACTCGAATCCCCGATCGAGGTTTCTTCAGTCTCTTCCGAGCCACCATGACAGGCACAGATGACTTGGTGACGAGGTAGTTCGAGAAGGATCCTAACAACACGCCTCTCAGAGAACTGCGGCCACGGGTGCCCACGACGCAGAGGGTCGGTTCAAGTTCGTCAATCTGATCATCACCATTAGTCCAGGTTCTCCGACCCAAAGGTTGGCAGGCCAGGTGCATCAACTTACCGCACCAAGAATCAAATGTTTGGGACTCTTGCAATGAATGACCTCAACCATACACCTCACTTGCAACGTGGTCTTGCGGACGAATTTCAAAAAGTTCTGGGTGATTTCATCGACAGCCCGCAATCGTTCCATTTCTCTCTTGCTAACACTCCTGGCATCTACCGAACCTGTCAGACTCTGCAATTCGGTTGCTGGAACGTATTTGTTGGTAGTGCCCATTCCGAAACTGGTTCCGCCGCCTTGGGTGGTTTGTCGAGTAAGACGTTGCATGATGTCGGACGCATCTTTGCCTGCTTGGACACCCTCGGCTTGGAGAACCTCTCGGTCGGCCTCGGTGGCCTTTCCAGCACTTTCATCCTCAATAGCATAAATGGCCAGAATTGTGTCGCCGTCTCGCAACATGGTGCCAACCACCCATTCCAGAGCATAACTTGCCTCAACGCTCAGATCGCTACAGACAAGGTAGGTCCTGTTGTGTCTTTCCCCTTCTTTGGCCTCTTGGTCGAATTGAGACCAGTTACCTCTCAAGATGATGCGAACATGCCGGTCAGTCACCGTGGAATCCAAGGGAGAGATGTTCAGTGCAAGCGTCTTCGCCTTTCTGATGGCTGCCAACTCGTCATCTTCGTCATCGGCAGATACGACAGAGGGTGAACTGGCGAAGTTGTTGGATGGATGCACTTGCGCTTTCCCTTCGGTAACCTTCTCCCCTGTAGGACTGGTGACGGAAATGGAGGGCTCGAGGAGCGACTTGACAGGATGTTGAACTGGGGGAGACTTAATCTCGACCTCGGGCGAGGCTGTGCCATTTGGGCTAGGAGATTTTGTTTTCTCAGCCTCAACGTCCGAAGTTTTCCGTCTCCCTGACCGACCTCTAGTCTCGTCTTCATCACTACTGGGAGACATGATATCTTCGTCACTGCTGTCGGCTACAGCGTCTTCTTCCGCCACCTCATCCTTGGCCACACGGCCAGCACCTTTTTCCGAGTCATCCGTTATGGTCGAGAAGCTGCTGGACTTGTTGGATAGTCGCCGGTGGGCTTGGTCATCTACCACAGTCCCAGCTTTCGTCGTCAAGGGAGCCGAGGCTTTTGTGGGACTGAGGAATCCTGGCTTCGATGGTTCGGCAATTCGGATTCTTGAAGACGGCGATCTCGAATGCGTGCCGCTGGTAACGGTTGAATTGTGTCTTCCACTTCCTCCAGCGGGTAAACCAACGTTGAGAGAGGCGAAGTCTCCCGTCATGGCTGCTTGCATGGCAGTGACGGATCCCTCGCGTGGTCTCTTGGATTCTGCGGGTGACCGCGCCGAAGATCTTGCGCTGGAAGGTATGGAAGCCATATCAAATTGGTAGCTCTGTTCAAATGCCCGCTTTTCTTCCGCTGCTATTTTTGGGAGACCTACAGGCCCGTCGGCCTCTGAGGATGTTCGCGCTCGTCCGTACGCTGGTTGGCTCTTTGTGAGGACTGGAGAGTTCGATTTGCTCGAATGCGCAGAGGTATAGGTGGAAGGATTGGAGGGGTCGAGCTTGGTAGATCTTCTGGATGGATCGGGACTTGTAATGCCTACGCCAATACCTGCAATTGAGCCGTGTCTGGGTGTGGGCGAGTCGACATCAAGCATGCTTCGAACAGGCGGAGGAGGCGTAGCAATTCGTAACCCTCTGACTCTGGGTAAGGGACTACTAGCTCTTCTGCGATCGAGAGCTGCCAGGACTTCTCTGTTCTCTTCATCAAGTGATGCCTCGAGACTCATTGGCGCTCGGGACCGAGAAAGCGGTCGATCCATTCTGGGTTTGGCGTCGCAGGTGGAGAGCGCGATGGTGTGGTGTGGTGGTGCGATGGTGGAACAGAAACAAAAGAGGGACTGGAAAGACGAGCAACAGACACTACAAACTTACACGAGATGATTTCTGAGATTGAGATTGAGATTCAAGTTGTCTCGTCGCAGGAGAGGATGGAAAACGAAAAGCGCAGGTCAAGTGAGCGGTGACTTACCTACCAGGCATGGCTGAAGTCAAGCATTTCTCGATCCGACTTGCTTGGTCTAGGGACCACCGACTGTAGGCAGGCAGTAGTAAGTGCCAACGAGTCGAGACCTAGGAACCCCTGGTGACTGGCTGATGCTCATGTGCTTGCGATCAGTCATTCTTGGCTGCTGCGGGAGAGCAACTTAGGTGTCAGTTGTGGGGGGTCAGTGCCCGAAAGTCTCGATGCACAGCCCATTCCCAGGCATGGGTCAACTCATGCAGTGTAGTGGGAGAGGAAGAACAAAAGTTGCACGGACAGATGTATACAGGACATTGGACAGGGTCTGGCCACTACTAGTAGTAGTCAACAAGTGTGCCTGGTCTTGTTACTCTGTAGATGGTAAGGGTTCACAAAGGGGTCTCACAGGGTAATGCGAGTATACAGTGCCACCTACAGGTACCTTATACCTATCTGATTTACAAGGGTCGACTACAGGTACACAATATGTCATTCAGGGTTCAAAACGTGAGGTCGGAGGGTACAAAGATGGTGGGGTAATGCTTATCGTCCTTATCGTGACCTCTAACTTTTAGGCTTCAAGCTTGCCTGCGCTGCGCCTACGCCTGCGCCCGCCGGTTCAAGCTTGGGTCAAGTTCGGTACAGACACCGTTGACTCGAGGACTCTCTACTCGTCCTCATCCCTACCTGTCTAGGCGTTACTACTCCTACTTCCTTCCACCCTCTACCGCTTCTATCCCAAAACACGACGAGCAGTGCCAATGACATTCCCACTACAGTACCATCCACCCGTCATCATGCTTCATGCACAACAGAACCATCTCCTTAGCTTTAGCCTGCATGATCTCCGGGCTGCCATGTTCAGCACATCTATTGGCTCTTCGGTTCCTTTCCTCTCATTCAAGCACTTCCAACCCGGCCCACGGCATCAGCCTTGAACTTGATTATGCGCAGTCCGAACGGTAGGATGGACTGCCGACTTGCCAGGCCAGCTTCCAAGTTCTAAGCATGCTCCAAGACCTACAAAATCCCCAGCCTTCCCATTTTCTCGACGTGCTGACTCTACCTCCTAGTGTGTCGCATGGAGCTCAGTGGTCGAAATGCCCATTCCTCAGGTTCCGACTATTTTGTTGACCGTGCTGCTGGGCATTGTCGTACTCTCACTTGCTCAGAGTAATTGTGGAACAAACCAAAATCCCTATTGTGCAGGGAACAGTGTATTCGAACAACTCTGCTGTCCTTATCCAGATGTCTGCTACTGGCAAAATCGCGACGGGGCGCCCGGATGTTGTCCCCAAGGTCAGGTGTGCAACGGACAAGCGTACAATCCTCCTACAACCGTTCATCCGACCACTATAACCATCACTTCTTCGACGTCCGAAACAACGCCCACTTCGACCCTTCACTCCACAGTCACGACATTTGTGAATGGGGGAGGTGGAGTGATCGTTACGACCCAGCCCAGCGTTGTCACCGTTACCACTGGCATTTTGGGCGGTGGTGTTTACTCGACGGTCACTTCAGGAGTGGTCGGCGTATATTCCACAGTCACCTCTGCCGTGGTAGGAGTCTATTCCACGGTGACTTCCGAGCTCGGCCAGGGCTATGCCACTGTTTCGGGGGTCTTGGTTGGTGCGGCTCCCAGGTCGCAATACTTGGCCGTTACGTTTCCGGTGATGGCTGCTGTATTTATACTGGCCTGGCACAACATTGGATGAAGCAGTCCTGTCGCGTCGATCATGTTCTGACCATTGGGCAAGAACTTCTTTCGCCTTTACCATTAGAGTAGAGAATTGCGCCAGGAGTCTATTGGGCAAGCAATCGGGTGTGGTTCTGTGCTGGAGCGAGCATCACGATGTCATTCCTGACAATGACAGAGCGAGGCGCTAGATTTCTCAAAGCTATAGGTGAGGCGGAACCAGCATCGCGCGTACAACCAACATCGTCGAAAAAAATGAGGCCGCCATTCGACAACTTCTGAGCCGGTCATACCGATTATATACCGTGCGACGAATGCGGGAGATGGACCTTGCAAATGGAAAACTCCTCGAATTCATCGTGTAAACCTATGACAGTGTCACAAAGCTGACAAACAGCAACACATTTTCGCTGGCAGATGCGTACATATGCGTCCCTACACACACGATGACAACCCAGCAGATTGTGGGGAACGGAAACATCTTTCCAAAGTACCCCATCCAAGACTATCGCCAGCAAGAATCAAGGACTACTTCGGCTGTGTGCCTTCTTCCTCTTCAATCGATTGAGGGATATGGATCATCTCAGGAGTCGAGACAGCATTCAATTTCCTCAAAGCCTGCGATCCCAATTCCAGGTCAGCCAAGACAACCCCTTGACCTCTCTCGAATGCCAGCCGTCGGATTGACTCATCACACTTACCTTTGCGAAAAAGCCATCAGGAGGCACCTCCCCACCCCATCGATCCACGACTTTGGTGACCTTCTCCCCATCCGGGGTCAAATAGACCAGGATATGGCTGTCAATGAGCTGTTCCTTCCCCAGTCCTTTGATCGTATATCGATCCTTCAGGCGCAACTCAATCGGGTTTCCCACCGAGACGATCTCGGCGTGCTCCTGCTTCACATCACTCATGGTGGCCACCACCCCGTACCATTGAGCCTCATACTGCTTGCGGCCCTCGGCGATGCACAGCGGATCCTGGAATGAGGCGTCATCTGTCCACAGGCTCAGTTTGCGCTTCGAAGGGTGGCCGGCAAACAAATCCATGACGCTGCCGATGAGTAGTGATTGGCGAGGGGTCAGCTCGGTCGGCGCCGGCGGGAGATTGGCTCTGATTTTATATTCCGCGAACGCAGGTGGCTTGGTTGATGAGGTTGACGATGAAGAGGAAGAACTGTGGTTCGAAATGGATGCCATGATGGGCCGAACTGCCTGGTAGCGAGGTGTTACGAACGACGATGAGGACGACGAAGACAACGTTGTTGTCGTGCTTGATACTTTGCCGGTGTTCAGGAGCGGCGGACTGTGGATCTGGGTCTGAGCCTGTTTTCCTATAACAAGTCGTGGAAATGCCTCGAAGATGGTGGGTTGAATGCGCATTGAAGTGTGAGACGATTCGACTCGTCGACTGGAGCGACGATATATAGATATAATATGTCTGCGAACGGTGACAAGGGAGCCCCCCGGTATAAGATGTCCCGGACGAATCAGAGACGCAACTATTACAACATATGGACACCTTACGCAGCACTCGAATTGTCTGGGTAAGTGCTCGAATTGGTAGTACCGTGACGACTCTGAGTAAGTAGACAGACAAGTGAGGTTACCTACCTCAGTACCTAAGGCAGACGGGTAACTTGAAACTACGATTTCCCTTCCGTCAGTGACCTTGTGACGAGTTGCCTTGTTCTTGTAGGGGTCTTTCTGTGATTCCTGCGAAGTCAATGACATAATCACTCTGGACGATGGAATCATCTGGGAATGGAACCGGGAACACTATGACCAGCACGGCACGGTTCAGCACTGGGATACGAGATGGCAAAGCCCCCATGATTCAATCATGGGTCTGAGTGGGAAGGAAAAAAGCCATTGTTCGACCCGTGCCCGTGATCCAAAAAGGCCAAATAGAGGTTGCAGGTGGTCGTGATGAAATAATGTCGTCGGTGACTGACGATTTGGCGAAAACCTTCGGGGTCCGAACCGAGTAATTGGAACAAGAGTCCTGGGAATCATCGCCACCTTCAAGTTCAGGACTTGGTCAGCGCAGTGGAGCAAAGCTGAGGCACACAGCCGCTCAGCCTTGCTTACCTAAATGGTGTCTGCCCTCTTTCTCTTGCACACCTCGACACCTCTTGACAAGACGAAATGGGAGACGCTGGGCCCTTGGTTTACCAAGCGGTCAGAAATTTGCATTATCATCTCTGGCGGTAGTTATCAGTGTGGAGATGATCAAATCCAGATATGTTTATGGAATTTGTTGGACTTGACATGCAAGGCCAGCTATGGGTGGGAGTGATCGATCGGTGGATGCATTCCTCACATGCTATAGATGGTCTTGGACTGACGACGACAATCGTGACTGGATTGACATTGAGCCGTGTTAAACAGTTGCCAGCGTTGGATCTAATGGATCGAGATAGTAATATAGAGACAGGAAGTAGTAGTACTACAGAGTAACTGCGAAGTAGTACAACTGGCATGGCGAGCTGAGGGCCAACTTGAACTTCAACTTGAACTTGAATGACATAATTCCCTTGGCAATTTGTCGACGCGGTCGAACTCGCGTCTTCCAACTCCAACTTGCATTTCGCGTCACTCAGCTTCGATCGATCGGGATCTGCCAGTGTCACTACTACACAGTAGCAGTAATACCGTGCCTTCAGATGAACTTGAATTATTATACCGAGTGGCTCTGATATATCCTCCTGGTGTCTATGCCGTCTCCAGTCATCATCTACAATCTGCAACACGCTTGGTTCTATTTCCTTATTTCCTTCGATTCGTTTGCCTTGGATTTCTACTGAGACTATATACTTGCCTGCGCCTGTCCCATCATGCCTCATAAATCCAAAGCCCATGCGGCCCGGGACTCCCCGCCCCGGAGTGTCGAAGACCAAGAAGAAGAAGAGTTGGAATTGAATGATCCTCCCAGTGTTGATCCCTACAATGTCCTGAAAATCTCCGAAACCGCAACCGCCGATGAGATCAAATCAGCTTACCGTAAACTCGCTCTCAAACACCACCCGGACAAAGCCCGTCCTGAAGACCGCGAAAGCGCCCACAAAGCCTTCCAGGAGATTGCATTCGCGTATGCCATTCTCAGCGACGACCGCCGGCGCAAGCGTTACGATGCTACAGGCAATACGGCCGAAAGCGCCAACATCGACGACGATGACTTCAACTGGGTCGATTTCTTCCGTGAGCAGAGAGCCAACGTCGTCAGCGGTGATATGATCGAGCAGATCAAGAAGGAATACCAGGGCAGCGAAGAAGAGAAAGAAGACGTTTTGGCCGCCTATGAGGAAGGAGAGGGTGACATGGACGCTGTCTTCGAGAGTGTCATGTGCAGCGAGGTTTTGGTAGATGAAGAGCGATTCAGGCAGATCATTGACGACGCTATCGACAAGGGGGAAGTCCCGGCATTTGACCGGTATACTAAGGAGGGAAAGAAAAGCCGAGAACGAAGGAAGACGAATGCGAAGAAGGAGGCCGAAGAAGCCAGAGAATACGCACGGGAGTTGGGTGTCGAGGACAAGCTGTTTGGGAAGACGGACTCGTCGAAGAAGAAAAAGCCCAAAAAGTCGACAGACGATGGTGAACACGATGCGCTCAAGGCGCTGATCCAGCAGCGACAGCAGTCCCGCGCGCAAAACTTCTTTGATGATCTGGAGGCCAAGTATGGCGGAGCCTCCACAAAGAAAGGCAAGCGCAAGGCCCTGGAAGAGCCGCCCGAAGAAGCGTTCCAGAAGAATGCGAAGAAAGGAAAGAAGACCGCAAAAGCATGATCGGACGACCAGATTACTGATGACAGGCCATGGGGTTTTGGGATACTACATTACAGGCCAGCGAGGCGTTGGGCGAACCAGGAATATTCTGCCTTTCTCACAACAGGCATGCAGGCAATGAAGGCAATGAAGGCATTTTCGAAGGTCAAAGCCTCTGAGCATGCTCCGATTCACAAAATGAACAAAATGCCTCCAAGCTCTTGCCAGACTTCATGAGTATAGCGTGGCTTTCTCTCGGTGTCGAACGGGCTCGTAGATCACGGACTGCTGGGAGCATTTTTGCCCGGAGTCTTTGCCGGCTGAGCATATTGCACACCTCGAGATATGAAGTATTCAATTGGGCTGCCGACGAGCCTTTGGACATAATAGTACGATGAGATATAACATGGCGTGGTCACTCTTTCCACGAGCTCTGGAACAAATAAGACGACGGCTATGCCACTGCATGCTGTACAGGTGGAGGGCAGTATCAGCATGTGGCAAGCAGGATTGTAAGCGACGGTTGAACCCTCCAGCTAACTCCACGCGCCACGGAATTAAACAATCTCCTAGATGCGTTGCCTGATGATAACAACAGATATCAAGCCCCGGAAGCACGCCGAACGGACAGGCTGGATCTCGATGACGACGGAAGAGAGGTGGTGAGATCGCTGGACGACTCGTCAAGCTTGTCTATAATCTCAGCACGAAGGGAAATGTAGTTTGTTATGATTCATAGAGGTGCTTAACCATACGGTCTGCCTCGCCTGCGATTGAGGCAATAAATGCACTGGCTTGTTGGTGGGTAGCTAAATAGGTGGTTTCATCGGCCATTGTATCTAGCAACCTCATTGCGAGGGAAGGGCTTCTTGAAGTTGAAGACAGTATTGTGGTCTAGTAGGGTAGCCAGTGAAACCGGGACAGGTAAAGACGAATTACACGAGAAATTCTGGCGCATCAACAAGGATACAGGGCTTGAGGAGGCTAGGAGACGGTCATGTTAGCATGTCTGAAAGACGGACATCGCTAAGCTGTTCGCCATTACTGATATTCCTGTTACGGCAATGTAGCCAACAATAGTGTCATCATGTCAATGTACCGTGACATTGTCAAACGCCACAGGTCCAGATGTTCAAGAAACTCGGGCGTTTGTGCTCCAGCCGTTGAGTGGGATGCAGGGCGAGACTGAACAATGAGCGAAAGAAAAGATTCCCAAGTGCGGAGGCACCAAAAAAGGGGAGTCAGGATGATGGGACCGAGCAGAGGAAGCTGTCAATTGATTGGAAGGGATGGCGATGACCCGTCGTCATGGACACCTGTCATACTTTGTAACATGGCATATAGGTCGGAGGAGGCTGGCGAGGAGGAGAACTGGGACTGGAGTTGAGTCGAGGCGCTGGTGAATCAGAATAGTTGCAAAAGAAGGACGGAGTGAAACTGCTACTACAGATAGATAGACGCCAAACGAAAAGAGCGCAGGCGGCAACGGCAACGGCAACCTGTTGTTCCTATAGCGCCACAGTTAGGCAATTGTTGGTTATTGTGGTAGCGCAGCCTGTGCCGTCCAGAGCATACATGTTAGGTAGTATCTACTACCCAGGTAGATAGGTAGGTATGCCAGGTATGCTGCCTACCAATCCTCCCTGGTGGTGGTGGCTGTAGGCAAATGCTATTGTTCCCTTGTACCTCACCTTCCCTTCAAACTGGATTTTTTGTTGAGGCGTATACAAAGGTGACAATGATCATAATGATGACAATGGGAACAACCATTTGCTGTAAGGTATGGGAAGCCACAGCGAGGTCAGTGGCTGCGCTTCACCAAGCATGGGAGCCTGGCAGATCCGTAGTTGTAGTAGGGTAATTCAGGTTACTGACTGCAGTGTTGGGTGCAGTGGTGAGAGAGAGAGAGATAGGGAGAAGGAAAGGAAGTCAAGTGAGAGCGTACCTGTAGTGAAGCACAGTGCAGCGTCAGTCGACTTTAAGGTACTGCTGCTAGTATTTAATTGACTGACTGCACTGCGCTGTAGTGACTGCGGTGCAAGCCGACGAGCGACCAACTGCAGTCTTGGCAGATCCCCTTTCCTTTCAAAATTTCTCTGGGACCAGGTCCGCTCTTGCTCCCAACTTGAACTGCGGTTCTCGCTAACACACTCTTCCACCCAAATTACTTCTCATTTGCGCCTCTACATCGCTTGAGGTTCATCTGGCATTGTCAACTTACCTAGTTGTCGTGCCTCATTTCGCCTTATCCACAGGGTTCAGCTTTGTATTCTTCGCTGCGGAGCTCCGTGCCCAACCGTTCGGAACTGCCTGCGTTGAGAATCTCCCCTCAGGTTTTCTCACAAAGACCCGAATCAACCTCGCCTCTATCATCACCACCAGCGAAAGAGCGGCTTCCGTTCATTCGAGACAGTCGCCGCTTCGTGGTCTTTTGCAGGACGAAAATCTTCCACGCCGTTTGCTCACCTGGCCGGTTCGGGCGACGACTTTTCAACACTGAAAGCTGTGTTTGTCATCTGCTTCGTTTCAGCCTTCCAGTCAACCTCGCGAACCTCTATCGCTCCCTGACATCTTCTCATCCTCTCTGATGACATCCACGTCTCAGCAAACCTCTGCAAATCGTTCGAACCCTGCTTCTGCATCCGCTGCAGGCGCACAACCTCCAAACTCCGCGACCGGATCGAATTTGGCTGCTCAAGGCCGAACCTCGTTTCCATCCGCCGGCAAACCTCCCTCTTCTTCCACACCAAATGCATCGGAGCCCAACAACATGTCTGCAGCAGTTGGAGGCGCTCCGCCCACACACGGTCATAGCGAGTCTGTGAACGGAAGAAATCCCACCATCCCTGCTATCCCTTCGGTCAATGGCAGCGTTTCCCTCCCCGACCATACGCGCAAACCTTCCATGACAGTCACACCGGCAGGCGCCACAGGTTTCACGACCAGAAGTGGTTCGCAGAACAAACCTGGTATTCAGTTTGGATCGTTGGACGGGCCCAATCCCTCCGCATCTCCTGCAATGGGCACACCCCCTTCGTTGGCGCACGAGAACACATCCAGTCTCAGCGTCAATCAGCCAAACCCTCGGGCAACTTCTCCCTCCAGCTCTCCTTCTCCGATCCCTCAACCGGTTTCTGCCAGTGGCGGCCGGCCTCCATCGTCATTCCAAGGACAAGGAAATGGGTTGTCCTTTGGACAGCTAGATCCAAATGATCCAAGTGTAAGATCACAGCCTACAATGATTGCCCATGCTGACTCGTTCTATCAGGGTTTGGCTCGACCAATGTCTCAAATGCAGTTCGGACCGCAGCAAGAACACATGAGACGCGGCTCGTCACAATCGATTCACAGTGATGTTGGCGGCCCTGGTCTTCCCACAGGTCCGGGCCGCGGTGGGTATCAGGCCGGCCGAGGCAGAGGCTATCATTCATCCTTCCAACAGTCTGTGAACCCGTCGTTCCGCCCTCCCACCAACGGCCGCGCAATGCAAGGCGGGTATCAGAACCGAGGTCAACCGATGCCATACCAAGGCTCCCCAGCCATGGGTACCCGAAGCCCGGCACTTGTGAACGCCACCCCTGGAACCCCGAACATGGCCCCGATGCACGTGGTGCCCGGAATGCAAGGACAGCCAAATGGATATTATATGGGACCCCAACATGTAAAGCACCACCACCCGCAAGTTTTTTCTTCCCGTGATAGTGCGAGAGACAGAGGCAAACCTACGAGAGGTCGAAGTCGCGGCAATCGTCAAGCTGCTCGCGGCAGAGGCCCTGGTAGAGGTGGACATGAGGAAGGACCCTTCTACAGCAGAGATCCCGCCTCAGACCACTATCGCCCTGATCTTGCGAACCCTCGTGTTGTTTCAAGCGCTCCCAAAAATTTCCCTTGTCCAGATCTTTCTCCCGAGAGTGGCAATTTTGAACATTTTCTGACTGCGAGAGCACAGGCCTTTGGTATCGCTACCCAAGCTGATCCCAGTATCCAAATGTTGTATAATCAACAGTATTATGGACAACCTGGGCTGCAGGGTCAATACCCTCCTCAATACATGCCACCGCAGTCCCCCCGCCCTCCCTTTCAACAGCATGCCTTTGCACCCAGCATGCAACACGGTTACAGTAACCAGGGCGCAATCCCTCCGTCCATGTCCCGACAGTCCTCCCAGATGTCTGCCCCTGATCGTCCGGCTTCGAGCGTTGGGCAGCAGCCACAAACACCTGTGCCGTCTGGTGCTTCCCACAACAGCGCTCGCACGCCAACCACGTCTGCGCAGAAATCTAGTTACACAATACCGCCGAAGAAGAGTGCAGCCATCATCATCAAGAATAGTGCGGGTGAAGTGGTCTCGTTCAACAAACCACCTGCGTCTCCGGCCAGCGCCACTCCGGCCACAGCCCCTGCACCTCCACCAGTGTCTACTCCTACTCCCCCTAGTCGCACGGCAAGTGCGGCCGATACTGCTCATGGGCGTACCGATAGTGTCAACACCAAATCAGCGGAAGAGGCAAAGAAATCCATGCAAGAGGCCATTGCGAAGAAGATTGCCGAGGACGAGGCGAAGCAAAAGCTGGAGAAAGAACTAGCCGAGAAAGAACAGATGGATCAAGAGTCCGCCCAGGCCACTGAACGCGAGGCCGCCGAGGCCAAAGCCAGAGCGGAAGCGTTGGAAAAGGAAGCCAAAGAAGCCGAGGCTAAGAAGGCTACCGAAGATGCCAAAGAGGTCGAAGCTAAGAAGGCAGCCGAAGATGCCAAAGAAGTCGAAGCTAAGAAGGCAGCCGAAGATGCCAAAGAAGTCGAAGCTAAGAAGGCAGCCGAAGAAGCCAAAGAGGCCGAAGCTACGAAGAAAGCTGAAGAGGACAAGGCCAACGAAACACCTGCTGCTCCTGCGAAGCCGGAAGAGGAAGAAATCGATTTCGACGCCATCGAGGCTGAGATGGCCGCCCGGGAGGCCGAGGAAGCGAAGCGTGAGGAAGAATACAACAAGAAGAAAGCTGCAGAACTCGAGGCCAAGCGAAAGAAGGAGCAAGAAGAAGCCGCCGCTTACGAAGCCAACATGAAAGAATTGGAACGCAAGGCTGAAGAGGCAGAATTGGCACGGGAAAAGGAGAAGGCCGAAAAGGGTACCGAAGATGACGCCAGCAAGAAGCTCTTCGCTGAGCTCAAGGCGAATTCTTTTGGTACACCGGCGTCGGTTGAGAGTCCCGCCGCCCAAACCCCTGCTGAAAGTGGCACTGCGACTCCGGTTTCTGATGTCTCCATGCCCCCTCCGGCCAAGGCTCCCGCCAAACGCGGCAAGGCTGCTGAACTCACTCTTGACACCAAGAAGCCGGTTGAGCCACCAGAGCCGAGTGCAACTTTGAAAGCTTTGCAGTCTGCCAAAAAGCTGGATGACCTTTCCAAAATCACATATCCCTCCGAAATCGCGTCGCCGAATCCTGCTCTCAACGCCAGCGCACCTGCTGATCGCAAGTTCAAATACAACAAAGAGTTCTTGCTTCAATTCCAGAGCGTGTTCAAGGAGAAGCCAACGCTCGACTGGGATGCTCGCATCCGAGACGCCTTGGGCGATGGGGACTCTTCCGCCCGGCCAAGTGCGTCTGCAAGAACGCCTTCAGGCATGGGTGGCCGCAGTACTTCCTCTCGAGGCCCTGCAGCTATGAACCAGTTCGGTCCCATGGGCAGCTTTGGTGGCGCACGTGCCGCCGCCGCTCTCCCACCTGGCACCACATCCGAGCAACGATTTGCTGCCTCCAATGCCGCTATGAGGAGTGGCGCTGTCGCGACCAACCCCTTTGCTCAGTTTGGTCGTCCTGGTCAAGTGGCTCCTGCCATGGGCCGAACTCCCTCCAACAACCCTCTCGGTCCCATTCCTGGGTCTCCACGTGTCGGCGGCACGAGCCGGGGTGGTTCTCGCGCGGAAAGCAAGCGAGGAAAGCAGGGTGGCATGCATCATGGCGGAGACAACAAATCAATGCCTCTTACCGCCGGCATGAACATCGGTTCACTCGAAACGTCCTCTACTGGGTGGAAGCCTCGTAGTGTCGGCCAGAACATGGCAACCGGACCTGCACTTGGCGGTGAAGGGTTGATGGAGCCAGATGTGGTGCAGCGTAAGGTCAAGGCTGCACTCAACAAGATGACACCGGAAAAGTTCACCAAGATCTCCGACCAAATCTTGGAGATTGCAGCTCAATCGAAGCACGAAAGCGATGGCCGCACATTACGCCAGGTCATCCAGCTCACTTTCGAGAAGGCTACCGACGAGGCTCATTGGGCTCCGATGTACGCCGCCTTCTGCAGAAGAATGTTAGAGAGCATGAGCCCTGATATCCGAGATGAAGGAATCAAGGACAAGAACGGCAACGTCGTCACCGGTGGTAACCTGTTCAGAAAATACCTGCTCAATCGCTGTCAAGAAGAGTTTGAGCGCGGCTGGAAGGTCAATCTTCCCCCTCAACCCGAAGGCCAGACCGAAGAAGCTGTGATGTTATCTGACGAGTACTATATCGCCGCCGCAGCCAAGCGACGCGGCTTGGGTCTCGTCCGATTCATCGGTGAGCTTTTCAAGCTGTCTATGTTGACGGAACGCATCATGCATGAATGTGTCAAGAAGCTTGTTGATTATGACGGAACGCCCGAAGAAGCAGAGGTGGAAAGCTTGACCAGTTTGTTGCGCACCGTTGGCAAACAACTTGACAACCCGGAGAGCAAAGCTCAAGGCCGCATGGACGTCTACTTTGACCGGATCAACGCCATGATTGCCCTGCCCGACCTCCCGAGTCGTCTGCGGTTCATGCTGATGGACATTGTCGATCTTCGAGCGAAGGGTTGGGTGTCGAAGGAAAGTGACAAAGGTCCCAAGACCATCCAAGAGATTCGTGAAGAAGCTGAACGCCAGGCTCGCGAGGACGAGCTCAGAAGACTGGCCACTCAAGGAAACCGGGGCGGTGGTGGCAGAATGCCCATGGGCCGTGGTGATGCCCGAAGCTTTAGCGGTTATGGACAGGTCCCTCCGCCAGACAACTCCAACCGCGTGGGCACCGACGACCTGCGAAGACTGGGCAATCGCAACACGCGCAATCCTAGCCACACTGGCACCGGGTCATTGGGACCTCCCAGTATGCTAGGCGCACGCACCAACAGTGGTCGGCGAGGACTTGGTCCTGGTGGATTGCTCAGTCGAGGAGATGACAGTAACGCCAGCAGCCGTACCGGCACACCTCCTGCCCAGAAGGAGAAGGAGAAGAAGGATGAATCCAGCACGAATGCTTTCAGGTAAGCCAAATTTCTCTCAGCCTTTGGACACCAGGGATACTAATTCACCTTGTAGTGCTCTCGCCGCTCTGGAAAATGATGCACCAGGCTCGCCGCCGTCCAATCCCGCATCACCCCCCACGCAAAAGTCGCAGCCGAACATCGAACGAGAACGGTCACGATCACCGGCCAAAGCTGCCGAATGAAGCGTTTAGCAGCCCGTCCCTAAGTGTACAACATAATGCGTTTCGAACACTAATATTCGACTGACGGCCGCCGCTTGTGGGGAGGTTGGAAGATGTGCATTGATACCCGGCGCGAGCCACATGTTTTAGCATTTACAGCACAGCGAACCTTTGTTTTCTCAAAAAGAATCTTCGGCCATGGACCCTCTTTTTGAGGAAATACTTCGATTCGAATCGAGAGGGATGAGACTGTGTTCCTACCCCGATTCATTAGAAAGGGTTCGACTTTCATCCACTGGCTGCGTGGGACGCCGTTTTCTTTTTCTGGCGATTGTGTTTTTATCGGGTTCCCAAAAGTGAAGACCAGGGCGCACAAGAACATGAGCAATCGCAGGTTTCGTGCCAAGCGAGGTTCATAGTTTGGACTGCGACTGAAAGTAGCATGCGACGGTCGCTTTGCGGTTGTGGTCACATGAAGGGAGAGGAGGTTAGCTTCAGAGGTTTGAAAGGGGCGCAGACTCGGGTTGATGGACAGCGTTGAGGGGAGTGGGACAACTCTGAGAGCCGAGGACTACTAGAGATAATCAACGAGAGAGCGCAAACAAGACCATTTCACCAGTGTTCATGTTCCAGTCGTCAAGTGCATGTTCGCTTAGATCACTGGGTATTGCTGAGAGAGAGTGATAACCTGGTGCTGCACATTAAACCGATGATTTGCAGGGCATGTTCTTGGGTAGGAGTAGTCCCTCGTCATCCATCATCGTACAATATGATACAGTACTTCAAAGGTTGACAACGAAAGGTGATCATTGTGTGGTAGCATCATCCTGTAACGCAACTCCCGCCCTCCTTGCCGCCTCTGCGGCTTTGGCCCTCTGCCTCTCTTCCGCTTCGTATTGCTCCCGTATGGATCTCGCATGCCTCTTCTCCCTCTCCTCCATTTTGAGCCGCCTCTCCCTCCTCTTCGCGGCCTGCCGGTTCCCCTGCTGTCTGTCGTCCTGAGCCTCACGGTACAGCCTCTTCTGGTCCGCGGCCGACAAGACCCAGGGCTTGCAAAGTGTTAACTTCATAAAGGACGTGCGCGAAGATATCAGCGCCATCTCGTGCGTCGTGTCCGGAACAATGGTGAGGCGTAAGAGCGTCAGCTGGCGCGTGGAGCGGAAGGTCGAGATCGTGCCTTTGGCTTGGACGACGGTGCCGATTTGGAGGGCTTGGACGGTCTTGTGGAGGATTTGGTCTTCGGTCAGTTCGTCTGTGTCAGCTGTGTCAAGTTGAGACTGTGGTTGAGGCTGAGCATGGGCAATTGTTGACTTAGATTTGTCGGCGGAGGAGGATGTGGACGTGGTGGTTATATTGTGTCCATCTCTGTCTTTGTTTGAGATGGCATTGAGCATATCGTGACGAATCTCTTTTCCTGCGTTGGACGGGATCCTGGTACTGCCACTCTGTTTGTCTGATTTGGTGGAGTTGACCACATCATTCTGCTCGCGCGCATCCTCTTTCTCTGGCTTCCGACACCTTACATCAATAGTCGCACCACTGCCATCATCGACGGTAAACAGCCAGAATTTCTCAAAATATTCCTCCACCACCACAACCACGCCAATCACTTGTACGAATTGTATAGGGTGGTTTAGGTAGAAAAGCAACAACGGCGCATCGTCTCGACCGCCGCCACCAGATCCCCGGTGATCAGGTAGCCCAGGCCCGAGGGAAGAGGTCGTGATGTCGGCGGCATATTTGTGATGAGGTTCAAGGACACAGTGGATGTCGTGGGCGGTGAGTTTGACCCATCTGAACCAGGTCGCCGAGGCCTGGAACGTGTAGGCTGGGTAGAATGCCAAGTCGGCCGACGTATCGGTGTCCAAGTCGGAGTCGGAGTCGGAGCCGCTGAGGTCGTTAACGATATTTCTGGAAGGGCATTCTGCACGAGATGCCTGCGGCATTCATTTGGTCCCTGAAACAGAGTAGGGCTGGGACCAAGATATGTGTCGTCTCACAAGGCTGTGGAGGTTGTGGCTGACCGTGGCGGCGTGGTCCAATATTCAATGGATGGCTGTTTGTTTGGGATGAACAACGGTGCTTGCGAACATCGGAAGTGGTTGTGGCCGGTACAGGCTTCAGTGAAGCGAAGTCGCGTGCAGACACAGACGCGCGGAAGAGTGGCCGACGGCTTCAAGCCGGCGGAGTTTGGCCGGTCGGCTATCGCGGCACGGGGCAGACATATGTCTTTGTAATGACGCCTCATATACCGTCTTCACTTTCTTTTCGACCGCCTTCTTGAACTCAGCCTTGGGATGACGGTCTTCAAATAACAGCTTTAATACTGTACTCTGTAATCCACTCTCCACCTCGACCGAGTCCACTATGACCATCATCAACGGTCCCTTTCGTCGCAGGCAACCTCGTTGCCTTCTGATTGTCAAACCGGGCCACTTGACTGGCGCGCCAAAGGCCTGTTGTGTCCGCAATCGGGGCTCCGTTGACCAGACTAGAATTCTTGACGCCCTGTCGTTACAACGTTGGGGTCGATGACCGTCTATGACCATGATGCAGGATGGTCGTATCTATCTATCCCTTCTTTTATATCATTCAAGACCATCGTTTTTTGGTCGGAGAAGAATATATTCGATTTAGCCCGTACCTGACCTCCAATATCTATCTATAGCCGATACCGGATGCCTGCTATGGTCGAGAAGAATCCAAGAATCCCCCGGTCAAGCGTGTCGTCCCGAACAGAAGAAGTCTGCAGACGTCTCCGGTCTTGATGTCGAGTGATCCATCCCATGGGGATCAAGATGCCAACAATCCGATCCAAGCACCGGTAGCAAGCGGCGACCGGCTTGCGCCTGAACCGGCGAACAAAACCGACTTCCATGTCGAAGAGTCGTCTTCATCTCCGTCATCGTCACCATCGCCCTCGGAAACTCGTTTCGGCATTTCTTCCTGGGATGATTCATCGCCACGATCTGACCAGGATTATCTCGAGAAAACGACAACCGCACAGGATGCGGGAGGACGCGATATCCAGATGCAGCGGACCGCGACCAGCGCGTCGTGGGCCGGTCCCGTACATTCAGTCTTCAGCCCGAACCAGAAAAGATTCATCGTCTTCATGGCTGCGTGGGCGGGATTCTTCTCTCCGGTGTCCGGAAACATCTATCTCCCCGCATTGAACCCTCTGGCTCGAGACTTGCACGTGTCCGACACGCTGATCAACTTGACCTTGACATCTTATATGGTATGTCTGTTCTGGGTTCAAATCGTCTTACCTTCCCTCACATTTAACGATATTCAGATCTTCCAAGGCCTTGCTCCTGCTTTCTTCGGAGACTTCGCCGACGCTGCTGGCCGGCGTCCTGCATATGCCGGTATGTACCGTCGTCCCGAGTGTTTATTTGTATTGATGCCTCGATCATAAATGCGGTATGGAGTTACTGACAGCCGGACCTCTTTTCTCTGTCCAGTCTGCTTTGTCATCTATATAGCGGCGAACATCGGTCTGGCATTGCAAAACAGCTTCGCCGCCCTCTTCGTGCTTCGATGTCTTCAAAGCACAGGCAGCAGTGCCACCATTGCTATGTGCAGTGCCGTCGTGTCGGACGTGGCCACGGCCTCCGAACGCGGGAAGTATATGGGCTTGACGTTCGCCGGTTCGCTCCTTGGTCCTGCCATCGGTCCCGTCATTGGCGGTGTCCTGGCCGACTTTCTCGGCTGGAGAGCCATCTTTTGGTTTTTGGTCATCTTGGGCGCGGCGTTCATCATTGTCTTTGCCATCTTCTTCCCTGAGACAGGTATGTTTTCGGATTTCTTTTCAATTCTTTTTTTTTTGTATATATTCCACAATCTGAAAAGACTCCTTTTTTCTGACCATGTGTGTATTTGTTGTTTTACAGCACGAAACCACGTCGGCAACGGATCCATCCCACCCAAAGGCTGGAACATGTCATTGATGAACTACCTCGCGGTTCGAAAAGCGCGCCGCCTCAATCCCACGCAAGACGGCCTATCCGCCACCGACGGACAATCGGCAGTCTTGCCACCCAGACCGAAATTCCGCTTCCCCAACCCGCTGAGGTCGTTGACTCTGATCTTCGACAAAGAGAACGCGCTTCTACTGTTCTACAACGCGTTCCTGTTCGCGGCCTTCTACGACGTGACGTCGGCATTGCCGTCCCAACTGAAGAAGATCTTCGGATACAACGAGCTGCAAATCGGTCTGTGCTACATCCCGTTCGGGGTGGGCTCCATGTCCGCGGCGCTGATCAACGGGCAGCTACTCGACCGCAATTTCGCGCGCTGGTGCCGGAAGCTGGGGCTGAAGATCAAGAAGGGCCGCGACCAGGATCTGCGCTCCTTCCCGATCGAAAAGGCCCGGCTGCAAGTCGCCATCCCGGCCGCCTACTCTTCCGCCGTCTTGGTCTGTGTGTTTGGCTGGGTGCTGGACATCGGCGGGCCCCTGGCCCCGTTGCTGGTGCTGCTGTTCTTCAACAGTCTGTCCATGTCCATCGCCTTCAACGTCACCAATGCCCTCATGGTCGACTTCTACCCCAAGTCCCCAGCCACCGCGACCGCCGCGAACAATGTCGTCAGATGTCTCCTCGGCGCTGGAGCCACTGCGGCGATCGTGCCCATGATCGAAGCCATGGGTCGAGGCTGGACGTTTACTTTCTTGACCTTCTTCCTGATTGCCACCTCGCCTATGCTGTGGCTGATTTATTTCCGCGGTATGAAGTGGCGTTCCGAGCGCTATGACAGGGAAGACCGGGCTCTCAAGATCAAGGAGGAGAAAATGAATGCGGCGGGCTCCGGAGAGAATGGTCTTGTGCCTGTGGTGGATGATACTACTGATGGTGATGGTAATGTCAGTGGTAGTGGTCTGCCGCCGGTCGAAGGTGGTCTTCCTGAGATGGCCGCGGTGGTGGAGAAAGAGAGGGAGGACGAGAAGGGGATGGGAGTAGACAAGTGATCTCGTGCCGAGGTGATAATGGTATAATGTTCTACAAAGATTTGATTTAGCGCTTTGAAAGATAAACGTGTTCAAGCGTGTGCGTTTGGGAAGGAGTTTGACGGATATAGATAGACTGCATCTACGACATGTCACGCCATCCTGGAGGGCGATTGATTCCTTGTTGTATGAAGACTATGACCCCGATGACCAACTCCGAGACTGCAGATATATCTGACCCTTGCAAATAGATATGAGGGTTACTAGGAGGATATGCAGTTTTGGATCATATCACCGCACTTCGAGAGGTATTCAGGGGTAACGCAGTAGCATGATTGGCCAGAAACGGGGCTTAGGGCAGCGAAGGACATAGACATTTATGGCAATAAAAGCAGCAACCTAGTCATCATCCTAAAGCGGCAATCAAACCATCCCACCTGGGACATTGCGCCAAGCCAAGCCTCTTTGGAAATTTACTTTGCGACTCTGGGAAATTTTTGAGACGGAACGAAAGAAGTGCAGCTCCATGCAGTGGTAGAGCCGCTCAACCCATTATTACACGCTGCAATCAATCCTTGCAGCTCTTGTGAGAACTCTGTCGCAAGTTTATCCTCAGCTCGTCCTGTTCATACTGGACCTGGGTTAAAACGTAGGACGTCCGAACACCATACCGTCTACATCCACCATGGAATTCCTTCTCTACGAAGGGCCTATGGGCTATGCGTTGTTCAAAGCCACTCACCAGCCCGACACCGTCGGGAATAGGTTGAAAGAGGTTCAGAACAGCGTACAAGATCTTGCTAAATTTGGCAAGATGGTGGACCTTGTCAGTTTCTTACCATTCGAGTATGCGCCGACACCATGATCTCTCTTGTCGATGGCTAACGAAATAAGGAATGGCAAGCAAGCTTTGGAAGAGCTTCACGACATTTCCGAAGGGATCGCGTCTGACTACCTGAAATCTTTCCTCGAACTGAACCTGCCGAAACCGGGGAAGAAGAACAAAGTGACATTGGGGGTGTCGGACAAGATTCTGGCTGGCAGCATCAAGAGCGCTTTCCCAAATATCGAGTGTGAAACTGGCGACACGAGTGAAGTTGTTCAGGATATGCTACGGGGTATTCGCCAGCATTCGGAGAAGTTGCTGAAGCAGCTCCGTGAGGGTGACACCGGCACAGCCCAGCTCGGTCTGGGTCATGCGTACTCCAGAGCAAAGGTCAAGTTCTCCGTGCAGAAGAACGACAACCACATTATCCAAGCCATCGCTATTCTGGACCAGCTGGACAAGGCGATCAACACGTTCTCTATGCGTGTGCGCGAGTGGTATTCGTGGCACTTTCCAGAGTTGGTCAAGATCGTGTCGGAAAACCACAAGTACGCACAAGTTGCGCTGTTTGTGAAGGACAAGAATTCTCTGTCTGATGACCGTCTTCATGAGCTTGCCGCAATTGTGGGTGATGACGAAGATATTGCCAAGAGCATCATTGATGCCGCGAAGACGAGTATGGGTCAGGAAATTTCTCTTTCGGATATGGAGAACGTCACCTTGTTTGCGCAGCGGGTGGTCAGCCTGGCAAATTACCGAAAGACCCTCCACAGCTACCTGGTGTCCAAGATGAGCGTGGTTGCACCAAACCTGGCAACCCTTATCGGAGAGATCGTGGGAGCTCGACTTATCTCCCATGCAGGCAGTCTCACCAACCTGTCCAAGTACCCCGCCTCGACCGTTCAGATATTGGGAGCAGAGAAGGCCCTCTTCAGGGCTTTGAAAACCAAAGGCAACACTCCTAAGTATGGTCTGCTGTATCACTCCTCGTACATCGGACGAGCGGGTCAGAAGAATAAAGGACGGATATCACGTTTCCTCGCAAACAAGTGCTCTATTGCGTCCAGAATCGACAATTTCTCCGAGACTCCATCCACGGCGTTCGGCCAGGTGTTGAAGAAGCAAGTTGAAGAGCGGTTAGAGTTCTACGCGTCTGGAACACAGCCCACAAAGAATGAGGTTGCAATGGTATGTTCGCCGCCGTTCCTTCATATAATGCAGCTAACCCTCCATGCAGAAAGAAGCGATGGACAAGGTACTTGAGGACATGGATGTCGATGAGCCTTCGAAAGTGGACGAGGAGATGTTCGACACCGAGCCAACTTCTGCCCGTAAACAGGAAAAGCGCGAGAAGGACAAGAAGGAGAAGTCGAAAGATAAGAAGGAGAAGAAAGAGAAGCGTAAATCCGAAGGTGGTGACGACGTAAGCGAAAAGAAGAAGAAGCGAAAATCAATTGATGGAGACGGCGAGGCCGAGGGGAAGAAGAAGAAGAAGAAGTCTAAGGAATGAAGTGGTCATGCCTTAGAGTCATCTTGATGCGTGCAAGGCGTTGGTTGGTAATGTTGTCATGTCCGAACAGGATACCGGGCTGAAAAGGGCTATGTACTCTCTACTGGGGGCGAGGAGCAGATTATCTCGTCAACCAATCCAGGTCTATCCATCAATGTTGTTGTTCTGGCGATCCATTCGAAGTAGTATACTACTACGTTGATCTCACAATGTTGGCCGTTATACGCATATCCGCCTGCTTGACTGGCTGAGAAAAGACGATGCATTTCTATGTACGTATTTTGATTCGCGGGGAGTCCCCACCAAAGGACATGCATGTTATGTCTTTGTATTGCTGTTGACGTTTATGCGGAGAGGAACACACTCTATCCCAGACTGAGGACCTGTAATCTGGTAATGGACAGTGCTGTCGTTATCACAAGCTTCTCTGGCTCCATTCTGCACTCGCCGTTGCTCTCGCTCCCGCTGTTGTTTACGTTGAGAAGGTTGTCCCAGTCGTTGAGAGAGACACACTACCAAAATGACCTCTCGTTCACCCAAAAGAAAGCGGGAACATGCCCTTCCCTTGGACACTAAGCGACCCGTGAAAGGGCTTGTCTTCGATCCAGAGGGAGAAGATTCGAGCGATGCTAGTCCTCGCACAAAAACTGCCAGGAGATTTGAGCACCTCCAGATCGACAGCCGGCCATCATCCCATTGGAGTCCTGAGGTCGGAAGCAAGGCAAACCCAAATATACCTGACCACCCTGGGCTTTTGAGACCTGATGCTCGGGAGGGTGTGGAAGCTCCTGTTCAAGACACCGGATCAGAAGCGCAGAAGCGACCGGAAAGCGCTTCTGGCGCTTCTCTAGACACCACATCTGCAGCAAGAGCGCCGGACGTGTCCCGATCAAGGTCTCCGCCATTATCAAGTGAAGATTCCGAGAGCTTTTGGCGTGATTGTGAGATCACAGGCCACAACCCCGATGATCCGGACGACGATGGCTACGGCATCAATGGCATTGGGTTTCGACCAACTGCGGCAATTGCCTGGTCAAGATCGCAACGACGAAAACAACAATTGAGTGACTACAGAAATCGAGAGGCCCGAGAAGCCAGGCAATACAGGAGCGAGAGGAGAAAGCGCTTTATGGACGATGGCGACGATGCAGCATCAACGGAATCGTCGCCACGAAAAAGCATTCGTGTTCATTTCGAAGACGGGTGAGTTTACAACTCGCTTCGAGCGTTGCCCTCCGTCGCCGGCAATGACCATAGTATACAATGATTGGGAAGCCTCCCGAGCCGAGTTGGAGCGCCGACTTGCTCTTTCTTCTTTTCCCCGACCGTCAAACACCGTTTCATGCGCGCAGATGCTGAAATGAGATGTCTTATCGATCACCAGAATTTATACCACCGCTGACTGCGTATACGCTCTTCTTCCGCCTTTGCGGCTGCAGCAGCCTGGGCAGCTTCCTCGGCGGCTTTCTTCTCTCTGGCCTTCTTTTCGTGCAGCATCCTCATCCCCACGACTGCGGCAGCCATTCCTCGAGCTTCTTCTTTCCGCCTCTGATCGCACCAGTAGTACATTCCGCTGGCTGTGAGGGCAAATCCCGCCACTGCAAGATTGGCTGAGGCTGCAATAGAGGAGAGACCTGCATCTATGTCAATCATCCACTCGAAAGGCATTTATACAACAGGATATGCACCTCTTAGGACGAATCTTAATCCTCCAACGGCGCCTCCAGAGGCTATTCCGACCAGCAGAGAGTCTCTTGCGCAAGGCGTCTGGTACCATGCGGGGCCTTTGCCATCGTATGAGAAGCTGAATGCATCTTTCCAGGATACTTCGACCGGTTTGCCGCCCGCCGAGTTGTAGGTTCCTCCCGGCATTGTGTTCACGGGTTCTTCAGGATTTCCCAGCGCATCCCACATCTTTCCCACCTGAGACTTGGGGAAGTCACGCCTGGGTTTCGGCCGCCTAATTCGAGGCGGCTCCGGCTGGGACTGGTCATCTGAAGATGCATTGTTAGGATCCCGGGTATCCTCAGCCATACCGATGGTTTATTGCTGGCTGTAGAAACTGCGGCGCAAGTGAAACGATGATTTCACTTCAATGAGACCGGTGGAGCACGCGCATCCAAAGCGTCATTCAACTGTAGAAAGTTTGCCGAGAAGCGAGACGCGTTAAGTGAGACGCGTCTGGGCGCAAACGCGCGACTTGGTCTCGATGTTCCGCATACAAACTACAGACTACTAACTCTTTTAGACGGTCTCGCAACTCCCGAGTCTCTGGTCCGACTGATCCCATTGACTACGAGCAACATGAATACACGATATCACCAGATTGTATAACCATACCAAAACCTAATTGACGCTTACGTCGGACAGCCATGCCGGTCAGGAAACCGAGCAGATATGGCTCCAATGTGCGGTTTTCCAAAGATTCGTCTCGACGACCCCGGACGAAAACCGTCGATGCATCCTCACTCCGCGCTACGGAAGGAACCTCACAAGATGAAAAGATCCAAGCCACGCGACTGGCAAACAGCATAGATGAGGCTATGGGATTTCCCAGATATGATGCAGGAAGGAAAAGAGTCGGGTGGCTCTATAACATGCATAGTACAACAATCGAAGATTCCAAGGTCCCAGGCGGCCGTGCGGGAGTCGACTTCTACTTCATCGGGGACAATGGCGAAAACTTCAAAGCCACGGTCGAATATGACCCATACTTCCTGTTGGCCGTGAAAAGAGGGAGAGAAGCCGAGGTGGAGGAGTGGTGCAAAAGAATGTTTGAAGGACTAGTCAAGTCAGTGTCTCGCGTTTCGAAAGAGGATCTACAAATGCCAAACCACCTGCTCGGATACAAACGCACATTCTTGAAGCTGACGTTCGCCAATGTTTCCGATCTGCTGTCCGTCAGGAGAACGATAATGCCTATCGCCGAGAAGAACAAGGAGAAAGTGAATGCCATGGATACTTACGCGGAGGTTGCAAGTGCCAACGCAGGTTTCGATATCTATGACGAGGAAAACGCTGGCAACACACGCTCGAGCGGGGTTGCTGACGCCAGCGATTTTATCCTCGACATCAGGGAGTACGACGTGCCCTATCACGTCCGTGTGGCCATTGACAAAGATATCCGCGTTGGAAAATGGTACACAGTGGAGGCAAAACATGGCTCAGTGTCTCTGACGTGTCTCGAAGAGCGGTTGCAAAGGGCCGATCCGGTGGTGCTCGCCTTCGATATTGAAACGACCAAACTACCTCTCAAATTCCCTGACTCAGTCATCGACCAGGTTATGATGATATCGTACATGATTGATGGGCAAGGAGTCCTCATCACGAACCGAGAAATTGTCTCCGAGGACATCGCAGATTTCGACTACACCCCAAAAGCCGAATATGAAGGCCCATTCATCATCTTCAATGAACCAAATGAACGCGCGGTCCTTGAACGGTTCTTTGCTCACATAAAAGAGGCACGACCGAACGTTATCGCCACCTACAACGGTGATTTTTTCGACTGGCCGTTTGTCGAAGCAAGAGCCAGTGTCCTGGGAATCGATATGTATGCGGAGATCGGCTTCCGCAAAAACGGCGAAGATATCTATCAGAGCGACTATTGTGTCCATATGGACTGCTTTGCTTGGGTCAACCGAGACAGTTACCTGCCTCAGGGAAGTCGAGGCTTGAAGGCAGTGACCGTTGCTAAACTAGGTTACGACCCAGACGAGTTGGATCCCGAGCTCATGACTCCTTACGCAAGCGAACACCCACAGATACTGGCCGAGTACTCGGTGTCCGATGCCGTGGCAACCTACTACCTGTACATGAAATACGTCCATCCTTTCATCTTTTCTCTCTGTACGATCATTCCACTCAGTCCCGACGAGACGTTGCGCAAGGGAACGGGCACTCTCTGCGAGATGCTGCTGATGGTACAAGCGTACCAGAAAAACATTGTGTTGCCGAACAAACACTCGGAACCGCGGGAAGCGTTCTGGGAAGGTCATCTACTCGATTCAGAGACATATGTCGGCGGCCACGTTGAAAGTATCGAAGCAGGTGTCTTTCGCGCGGACATACCAGTCAACTTCGCTATCGACCCAACGGCCATCGATGAGTTGTTGCGTGATTTAGACGCGGCCCTCAAGTTCTGCATCACCGTCGAGGAGAAGAAGTCATTGGACGACGTAATGAATTATGAAGAAGTCCGGGCTCAGATCAGCGAGAAGCTGGTTTCCTTGAAAGAAACGCCAAATCGAAACGAACGCCCTTTGATATATCATCTGGATGTTGCTTCCATGTATCCCAATATCATGACGACCAATCGCTTGCAGCCTGATTCTATGAAGGCTGAGGCCGACTGTGCGGCTTGCGATTTCAATCGCCCGGGAAAGACCTGCGACCGACGTCTACCATGGGCGTGGAGAGGGGAGTTCTTGCCGACCAAGAGAGATGAGTACAACATGATACGCCGAGCTGTCGCCAATGAGACCTTTCCGGGGAAATTCGCAAAGTCGGCCAGAAGGACATTTCAAGAACTTAGTCTTGACGAACAAGCTGCAACCGTGCGGAAGAGACTCCAGGAATATTCCAAGAAGATCTACCACAAGATTCATGATTCGAAAACGATCGAACGGGAGGCTATCATTTGCCAGCGAGAGAATCCATTCTACGTGGATACTGTGCGTGACTTCCGTGACCGACGGTATGACTTCAAAGGCCAGCAGAAGGTCTGGAAGGGCAAGACTGAAGCTCTCAAATCAGCGAATGCCACCGCGCAGGAGATCGAGGAGGCGAAGAAAATGATTGTTCTTTACGACTCTCTCCAGCTCGCTCACAAGGTTATCCTCAATTCGTTCTACGGTTATGTGATGCGGAAGGGTTCAAGATGGTATTCCATGGAAATGGCAGGCGTTACCTGCCTCACTGGTGCTCACATTATCCAGATGGCTCGAGAGCTTGTCGAACGCATCGGTAGACCGCTGGAGCTCGATACGGACGGTATCTGGTGCATGCTTCCAGCGACCTTTCCGGAAAATGTTGTTTTCAGCCTGAAGAACGGGAAGAAGATGGCAATCTCATACCCCTGTGTCATGCTCAACCATCTCGTTCACGGGCGGTTTACCAACCATCAGTACCAGACTCTCGTGGACCCCGTGACGTTCAAATACGAAACGACCAGCGACAATTCGATTTTCTTTGAAGTTGATGGGCCTTACAAGGCAATGATTCTACCCACTTCGAAAGAAGAAGATAAAAACTTGAAGAAGCGATATGCTGTCTTCAACCATGATGGCAGCCTGGCTGAGCTGAAAGGGTTTGAGGTCAAACGAAGAGGTGAATTGAAGCTCATCAAAATCTTTCAGACCCAGATCTTCAAGTTCTTCTTGGAAGGAACTACTCTGGCAGAAACATATGGTGCTGTTGCTCGGGTTGCGAACAGATGGCTTGATGTACTACACCAGCACGGTTCGACTCTCGCGGACGAGGAGTTGATCGATCTCATTTGCGAAAACAAAAGCATGACCAAGACCCTTGAAGAATACGGAGCTCAGAAGTCCACCTCCATCACCACCGCGAAGCGATTGGCCGAGTTCCTGGGAGATCAAATGACCAAGGACAAAGGCTTGAATTGCAAGTACATCATTTCGGCAAGACCCAGAAACACCCCCGTCACTGATCGAGCTATTCCGGTTGCAATATTCTCCGCCGAAGAGGGCGTAAAACGATACTTCCTGAGGAAATGGTTGAAAGAGGATCCCGCAGACATGGATCCTAGGACGGTGATCGACTGGGACTATTACCTGGAACGTCTCGGGTCTGTAATTCAGAAGCTCATCACCATCCCAGCGGCTTTACAGAAGATCAGAAATCCAGTGCCTCGGGTTGCGCATCCCGAATGGCTTCAGAAGCGGATCAACGTGAAGGACGACAAGTTCAAGCAAAAGAAGGTGACTGATCTGTTTGAGAAGAAGCCACTGGCTGAGCGGTCGGTCAATCTCCTTGACCATCGACTTGCTGCGTCAGGCGACATTGAGGATGCTTTAAATTCGTCGCTAGAGCCGACTATGCAGCTCAATAAGCCAGCCAAGAGAAAAGCCGACGAAGCTGCCCACCTGTCACTTGTTGATCCTTTTGCGACACTGCCTCCTAATCCTCCCGCAATCGACGAAGACTACAGCGGCTGGCTGGACTACCAGAAACAGAAGTGGAAGATTCAGAAACAGGCAAGGGCCCGACGCCGTCAACTATTCGGCGAGCGACCAAATGCTGCCACAGATTCAATTAGCAGCTTTTTCCGCAACCAAGCTGAGTTGCTGTACATCAACACCTGGCATGTTCTTCAGCTGCGTCAAGGTGATTCACCCGGCGAGGTCACAGCCTTTGTGGCAATCGGAAAGAAGATTCATGCATTGAAGATTAAAGTGCCTAGGACACTCTACCTCAATCTTAAAGGCGACGAGCTCCCGAATGTGGAGGTTCCTGGTTGTGAAGTTGAGAAAGTCAACCACACTCTGCCGAACGGCCACCCGTCGGTCCACTTGTTCCAATTGACCATGGCGGAAGACGTTTATCTACGAGAGTCCGAGTCTATCTCGTTGCTCTGTAATCACCCCAGCGTCGAAGGCGTCTATGAACGTCAACTGCCCCTGTTCATGCGTGCATTGCTTAAATTGGGCAATATGTGCTCGTTTGACGAGGAGCAGAAGGGTGTACTTGGGAAAGGCCTCGAGAATGGCTTTGACTTATCGGCACTGCTGAGGAATCCCTCGCAGTCGACGTACCTGGAGGAACCCAGCTCCTTTGCGTACGTCTATGTCTACCATGTGGCTGCGGGAGATAGAAACGTGTTTGCTCTATTCTCTACCGCCAGGTCCGACGCACACATAGTTGTCCTGAGCCGAAGCCGTGACGCCCAACTTCCCAACGCCGACAAGATTTACGCCGAGCAATACAGACAGAAGTCCCCGGAGAATGCGCTGGTGGACGAGATTTTCCAGTACCAATCCAACCTGACCTTCAAGGTATCTCAGGTCACCACGAAGCGGAAAGCAAACCTGGAGATTGCAGACGTGCTCAAACAGTGGCGATCTGACGAGTCGAAGCCGACGGTCCTGCTCTTGCAGACGACCTCGCATAAGCAATTGGTTCACGACATCCGCATCATGAAGGACTATCCTGTACTGTCTTTACCAACAGAGCAAGCCGACGCAGACTTGCCTTCACTGGGATGGCAGGGATATGCTTTCAAACAGTTGATTTCTCACTATTTTAACGTCGCGGGCTGGCTCACACACCTGATCGAGCTTGCACGATATGGTGAAGTACCACTATGCAACCTGGAAAAGGATGATCCTCGATTCCTTATCGACCTGGCCTATGCGCGACGGCTGAAGAGGGCCAATGTCGTGCTCTGGTGGTCGGAGCAACCACGACCAGATCATGCTGGTTATGAACGGGACGATATTCTAGGTCCACTCACCGAGGTGGTTGAGATGCCCGCGATTAACAATCCCGGCGCCTATACGTCGGTGTGTGTGGACGTGACCGTGCAAAATCTGACCATCAACACTATCTTGACGTCGTCCATCATCAACGACCTCGAAGGCTCTGCCGAGTCTGTAGCCTTCAATCCTGCCGGCGAAGAAGACCCAATTGCCAATGCTAGCATGGTGAAATCGAATGGGGGCTTCGCTCAGGCGGCGCTCGAAGTACTGCGAGAAATGGTGAAAGCATGGTGGGCAGAAGCATGTCGAGGCAACCGATTGGCAGATGTGATGGTGTCGCACTTGGTGCGGTGGGTAGAGGCGCCTGCATCGTGTCTCTACGACCGTCATCTGCACTACTATGTGCAAATGATGTCGAAGAAGGCGCTGCAACAATTGATTACGGACTTCCGGCGCGTCGGGTCCCAAGTCGTGTTTGCCAGTTCCACGAGACTGCTTCTGCAGACATCCAAACAAGAGGTGGAGAACGCGTACGCGTACTCACAGTACATTCTGAAGTCGATTCAGCAGAAGCCCCTGTTTCATTTCCTGGGACTTGAGGTCAAGGATTACTGGGACGTCCTCCTTTGGTATGACGCATACAACTATGGAGGGAAAGGGACTTCGACAATCACCGAAGGAACCAGCAACGCAGACCTCGAGACAATCGTCCACTGGCAGCTTTCACAGTTTCTTCCGGTTCCATTACAATCTGTTTTCGACGACTGGGTCATCTCCTTCATCGACTTGCTGCACAGTTTGAAGAGGCCCGCCAACACGTCGTCGGCGACCCCTCGAGCAACACAGGTGCCGTCCGGGTTCTTGAGTCTGACCGAAGACCCTACGAGCACTGAAGTGACGACAGTCCTACAGGACGACTTCTCCAAGCCATTGAAGAAGCAAATAACGGCGCTGATCCGACGGCAGCGCGAAGAAATGCTCCATCCCGAACTTGCCAGTGACTGGTCTTTCCCTTCGTTGCCCGGGGGCACATTGGAAGCAACTGACACACGCCACTCGCGCGATCCTGTTCTCGAGCTGGTCAAAGGCTTGATGCAGATCATTTCGTTGTCGAAACCGCTCCAACTAGAAGCTCGACTGCTGCGGAAAGAACTGCTAGCCCTCTTCGACGTGCGCGAGTTTGGCCGTGAAGCTCGATTCGAGAACCCCAGCGCCAGTCTTCGCTTCGAGAATCTAGTCTGCGACACGTGTACCATGACGAGAGATCTGGATTTGTGTCGAGACGAAGATGTTCTGCCTGACCCCGAAAGCGGGCCCGAAGATGCAGCCAACAAACCCTGGAGGTGTCCAGCGTGCCAGAGTGAATACAACAAAATCGCACTCGAGGAGAACCTGATTGCGCGGGTGCAGGCGTCGCTGTTGAGCTGGCAGATGCAAGACTTGAAATGCAAGAAATGCGGCACTCTGCAAGGTGACGACTCTCTGTTCCATGATCACTGCACTTGTGGTGGCGAATGGACGGGGACTATGGATAGAGGCGACATCCGTTCAAACATGAGGGTGATGGAGAGGGTGTCTTCGGCCTACGGTTTGCGTATGCTCTCGGGGGTTCTTGAAGGCGTGAAGACGATGTGTATGACTTGATGACGGGTGCGGGATGTGGAGTTGTTAGTTGTTATATAGAGGGAGCTATGAGAAGCAGCTCTGGATCACGAAACGACTGCTGATGTAGCTTTACCATACGCAACGAGGCATTCAGTGCTGTATTGATCATAATCAGGGGAGTGTTGCAATTCATCAATCCGTCCCCAAACCAGGTGTGAGCCCGGCCATTTCTCTTTAACTCGTCAAAGGCGCTCTCTAACTCTGATACCTGCAGCGGAGTGCATACCTCCGGGAGATAAGCGACTGCTTAAGTGCACATACGAAACTGGGTTTAGCAATTTATATCTCGCCGAGGAAGGTATCATGGCGCCGCCCTATGAGTTCCAGTGGGGATACATAGGGCAGCATCGCCCATCTCCAAAACAAGTTAGTAGTCTAGCCTTGCTAACTACAAGTACTACGCACTAGTAGTCTCTTAGTAGCATGTACTAACTGTGCACCTTTTCCATCTTGCTTGGCAGCCATGGTGCCTTGCATCGCGATCAGTGCAGGGCCGCGAGACTTTCGTTGACATTCGCTGCAGTCTCACAATCTTTGCTTCCGACCCTGTACCAAACCATCAAGATGTCTGGTATGATCCCAAATGACCTTCTCATGCATGGGGAAGATCTGCTAACACATCACAGCCACACAGCTGCTCAATCCGAAAGCCGCCAGTTTACGCCGAGGCGAGGCCCTGCGAGTCAACATCAATGCGGGCGAAGGCTTACAAGATGTGCTCAAATCAAATCTGGGCCCTTCCGGCACGCTGAAGATGCTGGTGGACGGGTCCGGTCAGATCAAACTGACCAAGGACGGGGCGGTGTTGCTGAAAGAAATGTCCATCCAAAACCCGACTGCCACCCTGATCGCCCGCGCGGCCACCGCACAGGACGACATTACAGGAGACGGAACGACGTCGGTGGTGCTGTTGATCGGCGAACTGTTGAAGCAGGCAGACAGATACATCCAAGAAGGACTTCATCCGCGCGTGATCACGGATGGGTTCGAAATCGCAAAGAACGAGACGTTGAAATTCTTGGACCAGTTCAAAATCACCAGGGAAGTGGATAGAGAGTTGCTGCTGTCGATTGCGCGAACGTCACTATCAACCAAGATCAACGCCGCCCTCGCCGAACAACTCACCCCTTCCATAGTCGACGCCGTCCTGGCCATCTACCACCCGCCCAGCAAACCCGACCTGCACATGATTGAGATCATGAAACTGCAACACAAGCTCAGTTCCGACACACAGTTGATCCGTGGTCTAGTCTTGGACCACGGTGCCCGACATCCCGACATGCCGAAGCGGGTAGAAAATGCCTACATCCTGACCTTGAACGTTTCGCTTGAGTACGAGAAATCGGAAATCAATTCCGGGTTCTACTACAGCAGTGCGGAGCAGCGGGACAAACTGGTGGCCTCGGAGCGACGGTTCGTGGACGAGAAGCTGAAGAAAATTGTGGCGCTCAAGAACGAGGTCTGCGGCAACGACCCCAAGAAGGGGTTTGTGGTCATCAACCAGAAAGGCATCGACCCACTATCTCTCGACGTCCTGGTGAAGAACGGCATTTTCGCTCTCCGCCGCGCGAAACGCCGCAACATGGAACGTCTGCAACTCGTGTGCGGCGGGCAAGCGCAGAACAGCGTGGATGATCTCGACCCGTCCGTGCTGGGCTGGGCCGGTCTGGTGTACGAGCACACGTTGGGAGAGGAGAAGTACACCTTCGTTGAAGAAGTCAAGGATCCAAAATCCGTCACCCTGTTGATCAAAGGCCCCAACCAGCACAGCATCACTCAGGTCACGGACGCGGTGCGAGACGGGCTGCGCAGCGTGTACAACACTATCGTTGACGGCTGCGTCGTTCCGGGTGCGGGATCTTTCCAAATCGCGGCTGCCGCACACCTGTCTTCCGAGGCGGTTCGCAAATCCGTCAAGGGCAAAGCGAAATGGGGTGTGGCGGCTTTCGCCGATGCATTGCTCGTCATTCCCAAGACTCTTGCCGCAAACAGCGGCCACGACATCCAAGACTCTCTGGCCCTACTACAGGACGAATACGCCGAGGGCAATATCGCCGGCTTGGACCTGGTGACCGGGGAACCCATGGATCCTGTCCAAGAAGGCATCTACGACGGCTTCCGGGTCCTACGCAACAGCATCGCCAGCAGTCAGGGCATTGCGAGTAACCTGTTACTCTGTGATGAGTTGCTCAAGGCCCGCCAGATGGGTCGGCAGCCCGGCCCCGGTGCCATGGACCAAGAATAGAGAGCTATAGCAGCTGTGCAGACCGGCTTGTTGCCAATGGTGCGAGCTACACTTTTGAGTGTATCAGCAGGAGTCGACGGATCATGCACTCTCTTCTCTACCTAGACATACTCCGACTGGATTGAAGGGCGAGGCCGCCGCCACGGTCCACGATCTGAACTCCGATTATAAAGCTAGACAAAAGCGGATGCCAGAAACAACCTCGTGCAACTACCATCCCTCGCCGGCGGAGCAGACGAAAAGGATGGCTTCGACTGGACCACCAGATAACGTGCTCGATGGCAAAGAACATGATTCAATCTGGCCCACAACGGTCGAGGGTGGAAGAGAAACAGGGAGATAGAGTGAGAACATGGCATGACAGGGCTGTGCAATCAACCACAAGCAGCCTGGCATTGATTTCAAGTCGTCTATGCTACGACGTTCACTGCTCTTCTCTTCTGTCATGAGCCCCTGAGGTCATGTAGTCAGGAGGGTTTGAGTGCGACGCAGCCGCGATGGTCGAGTTTGAACGAGCCGGACCTAGATGAGGGAGTGACAGGGGAACCGAGCCCACCAAAGGTACGAATAGGACCAGATCAAAATCCATGAAAAGCAATGACGAATATCTCTCTCACAAGAAATAATACTGTTCCAGTAAAAGATGACTGTACTAGATATCTACTGACTTACCTTCCAACCTGTACTACGTATATACCTACCATCCACAGGCGGAATGAGACACTCAACTTCCTCTCTCCTACATCGTTGAAGAACGATAGACTCAGCAGGGGATTTTGAAACACAAGGTATTGTGGATGCGAACATATCAATTGCCCATCCGGCTTTAATATAAGCCAAGTAATGTATCAACCTCGAATCGAATCAATCATAAGACTCGACCTCCTTGGAGCCAGTTGTGCGCCGTACATTCCATTCCTCGTTGTGTGTTCAGCCATTTTGCTCGAACCTGACCTTCGTGTCTCCGGGAGAGGGTATTATCGTGCAATATTGAGACATATCCTCGATATGCCGACAGCCGTTGTATCATGCGTGACTTCGACTAAACAGATCACCTTCACTCATGGATATATTCGCCACCAGCAACAAGGGGTGTTCTGTTTCTGAGAGGCCACTCCTGTTGTGCCGGACTCATCTCTCCTCCATCTAGTGCTTGTGACCCCACAGCCCACTGACGGTGTCGGCAATCTTCCTCTGCTGTCGACGGATCTGGTCTTCGGTCTGGCCTCGGGCATTACCGCGAGAATCGATCTCCATGGCATCCACGTCGTGTCCGCCATCGCCATGTTCGTGGTCGTGATCGGTCGACTGTGTGGGTCCTCGGGCCTCCTCACCTGGAATGGGCTGGCCTTGATCATTGAGCACTTTGCTGCCGAGGACCATTTCGGCTTTGGGCTTGGGATCGACGCTCATGGCTCCGTCCATCTGGCCGGCCATCAAGCCTCCGGCCTCGCGGAGTTTGTTGATGGCGCGCACGGTGTCGATGGCCTTGTGGAGCGTGCGTCGGGCATTGAAATTCTTCTTGACCGTCGGCAGCAGGTCCTGTCCTTCGCCGGCGGCCTGCTCAGGACTGGTGGGGTCATCCGGTCGGATCCAGGGATGCTGGAGTGCCTGATGCGCGGTGATGCGTGCCCGTGGGTCGATGGTCAGACATCGTCGGATAAAGTCCCTCGCGTTTTCGGACACGTTTCGCCAATATTCGACGGGGGTGAAGGAATAGTCGGCGGCCAGGATGGCTTGCATTTCTTCCAGGTTGCTGTCCCGGTCGAAGGGTGTGTAGCCGCATAAGAGGAAGTATGTGATGACGCCAATGGCCCAGAGGTCCCTGCAAACACGAGAGAGTCAGCCGAGACTGTGTAAGAGAAGGAGGGGCTGGGATCGCTCAAGCACTTACACAGGTTTGCCATGTCCGGTCTTCTTGAAGATCTCTGGCGCCATGTAGCCCGGAGTGCCGCACGTCGTGGTCAGGACGTGGAATTGCTCTTCGTCCATGATCCTCGACAAGCCGAAATCTGCAATGAGCAGGTCGGCATTGTCTTCTGGCGTCCTAAACAATAGGTTTTCTGGTTTGAGGTCTCGGTGGACAATGCCATGGTCGTGGAGATATGCCACCGCTGACAGAGTCGCCCGAATGAGATCTGCGGCGTCAGTTTCATAGTAGGAGCCCTTCCGGCAGATGCGGTCGAACAATTCCCCTCCCAATGCTAGATCTGTCACGAGATATACTGCAGATATGTTAGACCGGGGCCGTCCGTGATGGAATGTCTGTAAGCCTGCGTACGTACGGTTGTTCATGGTCTCGAAATAGTCGACCAGTGTAAGGATGTTGCGATGTCCCACCGAGACTCGTTTGAGCACAGCAATCTCATTGCGCACCTATGATGGCCTCGTCAGCACTGTACTAGTACACCGAGCAAGACACCTCTGACATACCATATGTTCCCGACCGGCCATCAGTCGTTTATTGATAACTGCGACAGTTCAGCGATATGCCTTGGTTGTCTGATGTGCACGACACACCTTTGGCCGCATAGTATCTCCCCGTGTCAATGTGAACACACTCTTTCACGACCGAATACGAGCCTGCGCCCAGTGTTTTCCCTTGGAGGTGTAAGCAGAGAGTGCCATGGTCAGGAGACCATTACTTCTACCTGTCTTGTAGCGACAAGGCTGGATCTGGGGTTTCTGGGCCCCGGCCTGCGACGACATCGCGGCGGTAGTATGTGCAGCCTTCAAACCGATGTCTGATCTTCAATCAACGTCGACACTTAGGTCTGCCGCCGCCAAAGGTGCAGCGCAGGGACGTTGGTAAGGCTGCGTGCCAAGGGATCGCAGTCGGTTGAGCGGAGAGACGGGAAGGTCGTCGAAGCGGAAGATACGGTGGACAGACGGGATGAGAGGGAGAGAAGTACGAGGAGAAGGCAGATAGACACGGTCAATAAGGTATTGACTTGATGAATGGTGTTTGTTTCAGCTGATGAGCAAGCTGACTGACTGACTTGGCTCGTTGGGTATGTACCTAAGAATGTATCTCACCTCAAGTTGCAGGAAGTCAGTCGATTGACGTATAATGCAGTACAGTATCCTCCGATGTCCTTACCCCAAAGATGCCCATACAAACTGCCTCCTAAACCCCTCCACCAGAACTTGAATGCTAAGGACCCTATCACCATCAGCTCCAACTTGAGCATCGCCCGCCGTCTCCGGCCCCTTGGCACGCCAGCTGTCTCTGCCAGTGAAGCCTACAACATGGGGAGCGATTTGGTCTTCTCCTTCAGATACCCGCCTGGTGATGAGCCACGACAAGCCATCGGGTGATCTAAGTTGGTAGGGTGCACCTGTGCACTACTACAGAGCAGTATTACATGCAGTCGCTGCTCGACCCGGTAATCGACGACTATCTGCTGCCAGCGAGGAGAGTCTAAGGACCATCTACCTTACTCATCACTTCATCCTCAGTGTATCTTCATCAAGATGGTCAATCAGGCTGACCGAAGTGGTCAGAAATCAGTTCATGTTTCAAGACTGATCAGAAAAATACAACCCATGTGTTATCTATAACGAGTGACTGACTATTCATTACTTCCCACACAATGCTGACCCAAATGCTATGCATCAATCAAGGCAAAAAACAAATACCCTTACCGATTCTTCCTTTCCCAAAGAATAACCAAAAACGACCAGGTGAGGCCCCCATCACTTTTCACCAAAAAGACCAATCTTCCCTTCTCAGTTTCCTCAGTCATCGACTCAAGACTCTTCCATGCCCGGCAATCACAGTCACACTGCACGTCAGTGTCCAGAGTCACCTCCTCACTACTCCCTCCTCCCTCCTCACTACTCAATAGCCCAGTGATCCGAACCCTTCCTTGTTCAGCAAGTGATACTAGCACAAGTACTTGGTCGCGGCGCCGCAATCGGCACGACATTAGCCACGCCCTCGTCCACGGCGGTGGCAGTCCACAGCGTATCCAAATCCGGCAGGACACTACAGCACCTGAACTGATTGATGGTGTGCAAGTTGGACGCCACGATGTCGGCATTGCCCGTGCTGGCCACGATATTGCCCAGCGGCGTAAGCACGTTATCCTCGAACCCGTTGAACAGATCGTCAACGGCGGCCTGCGCATCCGTGCCCGGGAACACGTCGGACTCGCACGCCAGGATCTGAAGCTGGTTCGGCTCGTCCTGGGCCGCGTTCAGCACCCCCTCCAGCTGGATGTCTAGGTCGATCACGGCCAGGGTGGGCGCCACCTCGAGGAACAAGTTGACCGTCTCGACGTCCGAGTTCCATTGGTTGATGGCGTCGATCACGCCCTGCGCGCCCGGGTCGCCGCCGCTGCAGCCGTTGGGGCTGTCGCGTTTCGCGAAGCGGAGGACCCTCGACGACGGGGCGGCCGCGGAGGCGGCGATGAGCGTGAGGAGCGAGGCGGCGATGAAGGATTTCATTTGCTGGCGACGTTTGGTCGTGGTTGTTGTATTCTCAACCAGAAAATTGTCTTGTCGTGGGAACGAGGTTGAAATCGAATAAATGCTGCAAGGAAATATCCCGAGAAGAGAAAGAGTGAAGACAAGAAGAGAGAAAAGATCAACTGTGGTTGGAAGAGATTGTTGTTGGTTTGCTTTTTGGTCTGATAGAACTCTAGACCCTCACTGTCCCGCGAGATCAGTGGCATCTTATACATCTCATCTCGCTGCCTGTGGCCATGTTAGACTCCATCGCCCTCTCTGACATACAGGATTCCATCCTTCTCCGGGGAAAGCCTCCACAGTCGCCGCATCACCCCAGCGCTGACTCTTGTTCTAAAGCTGTCTTCGACATACTTGGTCGGCCACGAGGCTAGTGTTGTTCGGGTTCTGCAATGACTTCTTAGTCCTGAGCGGCGAGTAAGTGGCGGTGATGCCGGATACAAGGCTGCGCCCGTAGGGAGCTGGCGAGGCTGTGCAGAAGTTTGACGAAGGCTTGTCAGATCGCACCAGAAATAAGCCTGATCCCATTTTAATCAAGCCGGCGGTCAGAATGCTTAGAAGGCTTGACTTGCTTGCAGTAAGCGATCCTGCAGGCCTTAAATGAGACAAGCATCAATCTGCCGCGCCTTGGTTTACTATAGGCATGTATCTCTACTGGGTACATACATCTACAGCCACAGCTACTCGTAGTGCTGACACTTCAAGTTTCAATCATGTACCTTCTTACACGATGACCGAATCGGCTGGTCCTTCGAAGAGGATTTTCCAGATCAAGTATTTACAGCATATATGAGCCGACAAAGGACATATATCCCTGACTGAGCAGAAGCCCACGCTCTCTTTCCATCATGCCCCCGACCCCTGAACACAACGCCACACCAAGCTGACTGCACTGCTGCACATCATAAGCCTAAGCCTCAGCCTTCAAATCGCCCTTCTAGAGGCTGGATCCTAGCACACAGCCGGAAGCAACTCTCTTGCGTGGCCGCGGGAGACCAATAGACAGTGTACGCCTGCTCTATGTGCTGTATGGTGCAGAAGGAGCTCGGCTCAGAATAAAGCCCACCCAGGTCGCAAGACAAGATAAATATACCAGACTGCAATCCTGCGGTGAGATAGTGCTGGAGCTGGGAACGACACCAGATCTTCCTTCGGTACGCTCCTTCGGTACATTGTTCCTCTGGCCGGCGAGCCACCTTACAAAATAAGTGGCACCGTAAAAACTAGTTGATCGGAAAGCAGTCCGTAAGGTTAATACAGTAGGCGTTCTCCTTCAACGTAGGTGTACCTACCGCCTATTGAAGTTGTGAAGGGCGCCCCTACTAGGGTGGCTTGCCGGGCATGCTTTCCACTGTCATGTGGACGACAATTTCCTCCTCCGCCAGTATAGCCTTGGATTTCTGGGCTGTTTGCAACTGCGTGGATCTGCCAGCGTAGCGCCTGTGTTCACCGGATGAACTCTCCGCAAGTGACAGACAGGCTTGTGGTATGATGTTTGCACATGTTTGCATCCGGAAATATCTGAAACATGGCAGAGCTCCAGGTTTGGTACTGACAGCTGTCACCGTAACCTCCGAACCGGCCTACTCTTTTGTTCAAGGAGCCGTTATGCTGAGCGATGCTTTGTTCGGTCCGCATGAATTCAACACCATCTGAGATTCCGACGTGGTTCGGAAAAGTCATGTTGCATCTTCGACGTACCGATGATAAAAGGATAGCTAGTCACAGCTGGGTAAGCAACAAGAAGTCCTGTCTCGGCACTCACTGAATGCATGAAACGGCAAGTCGGACACCGCTGGTATCACACTTCATCGGCCTTGACTTCAAAGAGGCCATTCCTTCTACCTGTTGGGCTTTGAGGCAGATTGCCAGATTGGACTCTGTTGTCTGATTGAGGAGGAGATAACCTGTGTTTCTAGGGCTGCGCGAACTGATGTGGACCCGTAGCATCCACCCATATGTGAGAAATCTTTGCAACAGACCTCGTCCTGGCTGGGGTAGACCGTCGAGGACCAGATGTGATGCTTTGTTTTGTCAGCTTCGCTTGCTAGGACCTACAGAGACGTTGTTGAGGCAACGTCGCTTGGACGTTCCACAGCTCGAAGACAGCTCGAAGACTTGAAGCGCGCGGCTCCTGCAAGCCCAATCTTGTCTAGGAAGATACGGACAACAGTGTCAACTCTGTGGGCCATGAGGCCTGAAGCCGCGCGAACAATAGCGCCGACTGGCGGAACCCTTGGGGACATGAAAGGGTTGTGTCAAAAAGTGATCCGACATCAAGTGCGCTGAGGGCGAAGCGCCGTTGTGTCAACTCGATTCGAGGGAGTCTCGTGCACAGATTCAATGCGGGAATTCGGGACCATAAGTTCGCCCAGTACTAGGTGTCCTCCGGAGGCGGTGTGAAAGTTGTTGATTTCAGGATCCTTTGGATGCAACCCATATGCGCCAGATATCAGCCAATGACTGGCCAGTCGGAACTTGTTGCCCCTCCTTTTTCCTGGACTGTTGAAATGTTACAGACTCTACCGGTGAGGATAGATAGCGGGCTTGTTCAAGTCAGGCGGTCGCGTAAACCTAAACATGCTTGACGGCTGTCAAACACTCTTTTCGGTCCCGGACTTTGACCTAGCGTGCCATACCATTGGGACTCAATCCTCGGGCATACCATTGAAGACTCCTCGTCTGTTCGGCAACAGCGTAGATGTGGTAGCCTGTCTTACCATGATTTGAACGGATCTTCATCAGGTCGAAGAGCCGTGATGAGGAAGCAAGAGACAACGTGCAAAACTCGGCGCTCTCTGGGGTAAGGGGGGATGGCTTTTCGCGCCACTAAGAAAGAAGTGCTTTGGGCGAGGTCCTCGTGCCGAGCTTCGCTTTAAGTCTGTCTCTATTCAGAAACGGATTTATGCCTGTGCCGCCGAATAATCCCGGTTGAAATTGCGGACACTGACCTGCACATACCACACGGTAAAGCGCTAGAAATGTGGAAAACCACTTGTCGAGTAACAACCGTGCCTAACGAATGCCACCCAAGGTGAGAGATGAAATCTCGTCTCGAGTTGAATTGGTTCTTGAAAGGGAAAGAGACCCCGAAGCAGGGCGGACGACATGTCGAGCCATCATCCCGAGACGTGGTTGAGCATAATAATAACCTTTTTCTGGATGGAGTCGGTTCCCAGCAGAGTGGTTCCTGTGTTTTCTAGAAGTGGCGCCAGCCAGCCCTCTTTCACCTGCTCATCATTCTTCAGTCGGCAGAGCCCCAGTTGCCAGCTGCCAGCTGGTGCCCGGCTTGCCGTCTCGCCGTCTCGAAGTGTGGAAATCGATGATTCGTCGGACGCTCTTTTGACGGCACGACCCGCTTGTCCTCCTATTCGTAACATTGTCCCACAGGTCCCTCAAGTCTTTTCCGCGGGTGCTGACTTGAACCTAGTTTCTCCCCTAACTTGCCTATTGAGGAATAGGGTCTCCAACGTGCACAGACCTAAGCCGTCTTTTCTACACAGAAGATATGTTTCTCCATGGCTTTCTCTCCTTGGCTCCGGGTATCGATTCTGACGACAATGGATCTGAAAGTCCGCAGGCAATCGAGACGAGGTTGAACTCAAGGTTTGGACGGCGTGAGTCTTGACAGCGTGCAATCTCGTCGTGGTGTCTGTTCGATGATGAACGGGTGGGTCATAACAATTCCCTGCCGGACTACCAGAGCCCAATGCCGGACGGGTACGGGCAATTCTCTGAGACTCCGCTTGTACAGCGAACATTCACCACATTAATCCTTGTGCTATTCTGCCTGTGGAGTTTTTGGGTCCTTTCAGTGGAAAACTGGCGTGTCAGCCCAGGCTTCTGTCATATGGTACCCCATGTGTATGATGAAGACCGCAAGATTCGACCGCTGCGGGACTTGATGATCCGAAGGGTAGAGGCGAATTTACTACCGGGCATTTCCTACGTGGCGGTGGTGAAAATCCCTCTTTTTGAAGTCACAAGAACCTCGCGCAGACTTGCCCGAGAAGAAGGTGATTTGGTGCACTGCACGTTTTATTGTACTGTGTACTCTGCACTCCGCTTTGTGCTGTGGAAGGTCGTTGTAGTGAGCCTGTTGATACTTGATTGGGGGCTCGAAGGGGAGTGAGAGTCCATCCGTGAAGCCTCCCACGTGTCCCGGACCTTGCCTAGTCTGGCCCCACGGACGGCGAGATCGAGGCTCAAATCGAAACACCCGTCTCGCAAACTGGAGTTGCTGATGGGTCCGCCGAACAGGCTCGCTGTCATGAGCAGAAGGTTTTGTGAACGCTGAACAGCAGTGCTTTGGCTAGTAGAAAGTGAAAGTTGCCACACTTCCTTGATAATGCCGCCTTGGGTGTCGATTTCTCAGGGAGGAAGCCGGTAGGTAATCTGTGAGTCTTGAGATCAGAAGCTGATGCCATGATGGCGACTTCTCTGCTCACACAAGACCAGTTCGGACAAGTAATCACCAGATGTTGCGTATCACAGGCACTCTTCAGTTGAGACAATTGATAAAAGCCAACCCAAAGAAGGTTTGCCATGGCTCTGTGTCCTAGTGGGCCATAGCCACACAGCCGTTGCGCGTATCACGTCAATGCTGCAACACAGTCTGACGTGGACAAATCATTCATATGTACCTTGACCGTTGTTGCACGGGGATCCAGCTGCATAAACGTCCCTCCCAACCAATTCGGCGTCTCCCAGTTGACTCTTAAGGGAACGCCAGGTCGAAACAGGCGCCCTCGACCCATGCTTGACGTTGGGACCCGTAAAGTCGGGTCTCTACCCTCAAGGTTAGAGACTCATACACATATCTCCACAAGCAATGGCACCTAGAAGGCCAGGTTGGAGTCGCTGAAAGGATGTCGTATCAATTTTCTAGTCTTCTGGCTGCGCGTTTTCCTCCGAGTTCACTAAGCACCAACCCGGTAACCAGGAATCATCTGGCTGGGACCTAGAACAGAGCCGGCTAAAAGTATAGTATCATTCTGTTAGCCCGGACGTTCGTCAGGTATTGGTGCCAAGCAATACCAGTCGGTTGCGAAGCCATTCAAGTTCGGCTGAGCAATCCTTGCATCCTCGCCAGCGACTGGACTGTTGTCGTTGGCCCTTCCATTTGCTTGGGACCTGTGCAATCGGGCTGAACGCCGGTAGCATTTCAGAAGAGGGTAACTGCATCTGGGCAACGATCAGGGTGGGCTTCTCCAGGGGCTGAGCCCTGCAGAACGGTCGTGTTTATATGGTGGGTTCTCCGTGTGGGTTGAACTCCTTTCCGCATTGACGGTGTCCTTGTGCTTATTAGCAAGGTTGCTGAACAGACAACACAGTTCTGCCACGTCGCCAGTCTCTTGCGCCATGCAACGGATTGGTCAGAAAAGTATTAGTTCCTTTGAACGCGATAGTCCCATCTATCTTCAAGCGCTTTTCGGCTGCGTAATTTTTGCACCAGCAAACTGGTTGGTGTCAATGGGCTTTCGCAGCGTATTGGATCTGGCTTGAAATAGAGCAGGAAATGATGCGTGCCCTCCTGCTCAATCCACAGCATACCGTTGCAGTTCATTGAGAAGACTTTCGAGTACTCTATACAAGATTTGTTGCTTGTGCCAAATGAAATGGCTGCCGAGTCAGTCTTGCACACGACCTAGGCGCCGAGTATATGACACTGAACGAACCCACAGGTCCTTTGATGGAGAACTTTTCAATAGAAAGGTCACGTACCATGATCGAGAATACCAAGACTACGCCCTCAGGCGTGAGAGCTATCTTGCTCCCATCGATCTTGTCAGTGTGCTGTCGAAGACTGCCTCGCTTGGGTGCCGGCTGACATACCACAATCCAGGAAGAAGAGACACGTCTGAGGGATCAGCATGAGCTGATGAAGCTGATATACCGAGATTGGGACAATTCCTTACACCCAAACTTCATTGAAGATCCAGAATCGGTTCTTGACTGTGGTTTTGGCTCGGGAGACTGGGCATATGACCTTGCGGAGTACGATCCAAATTGCACTGTGAGCGAGCTCACCCACCTCCGAGAGAACCTTACTGACGGCTTAGGTCATGGGCGTCGACATCTGTCCGCTGATGGCCCCCCCTGATCAATTAGACAACATGGATCTCCAGGTAAACGAGCCCCCATCCTACTCCAGGCTGAAGGAAGACGTCGTAGGAGACCACGCCACCCAGTTGATCCTGGGACTGCAGACACGGCTGGCGCTCTGACGGACCCCAACTGCGCAAAGGACGCATGAGGGAAAAGGGCTGATATTTGACCAGATTGCCAATCTTAACGATCGCATGGACTTTGTAGAACCGGGTACCTTTGACCTCATTCATTCCAGGTTTGTTGCCAATGGCATTGCTGCGACGAGATGGCCGAATTATATCAGGGACATACATCGGTAAAGAGCAGGCTTACCGGGCACATACAAAACACACGCTGACTTGGTGTCAGGCTCCTGCGGAAGGATGGCTGGGTCCAGCTGACCGAATGGGATCTCAATTTCCGTTCAGAAGCCGGGAACACTGACGCGCTCCAAGCTCTTCAAGAATGGACCAGGGTGTATACCCAGTCTCTCGGCCTGACCAGTCGTCCAGAAGGCAGGAAAAGCGCCAGGGTCGCCCAGGACTGTGAGACCTGGCTGCGCATGGCAGGTTTCGCCAACGTGAGTACGGATGTAAGGGACGTTGCGACGTGTCCATGGCCTGCAGGTAGGTCCATCAAGATAATCTCTTTGGCGTCGTTTGTTTTCCAAATCCAAAGCTGAGAAGCTGCCCTGCAGATGCCCATCAGCGGAATATAGGTGAAGCGAACTTGTCCAACATGAAAGATTTGATACGCTCCATGGCATTATACCCTGTAACCAAGCGGCAACTACGCAACATCGAGCAGTTCCAGGTCCTGGTTGACGAGGCATGTAGCGAGCTCGGTAATGTCGATGCGAAACCATACATCAGGCTGTACAGGGACCCCCATGTCAAAGCCATGAAGTGACGCCTGCTAACATCCGAGACAGGTACACCATCTTTGGAAGGAAGCCCTGAGATGCGGTAGAACCTCTCGTGCAACGATGCACGCACCGTCATCGAAACTCCGCTCGCTGACATTTTCTGGGCCATCATTCGCAGTATTCTTGGCCCTCCGGTCTTTGAGGCATGTTGCGATGCGCAGTGAGGGTGCCGACGAAGAGTCAAATTTGCTTGCTTCTCACCGCAGGAGGCCACCCACCTTTATTCACAGCCGTCACATACACTGACGGCGATCTGGTCATCTGAAGATGAGATCGATCGGAGCGTGGCGACCGTCAGTGTCACTGTTCACGTATCAATGTTTTCTTTCGAACAATCCACCCAGTCAAACCCTGGCCTCTATAGCTGAGACGTTAGTCAGAGTGACGTGTTACTCGATTAAAGCAAAACGAACGCAGAGGTGGAAGGAGCTCTTTAGAGAAAAATCCCTGGAGATGACCCCTTCTCCTGCAAGGTAGAAGAGCATGTGATCTTGTACTCAAGGACAGCGTTGAGTGGGCAGAATTCGTGGAATTTGCAACAACTACCCGGGATTTCACTTGTTTCCGCCCTTCGCGCAGAAGACCCCAAGCATGAGAAAATTGCTGTGGCAGAGCGTTGTTCAAAAGGTTTTGCCGGATCCAGTGGTCCTTGCGACTTTTTTGATGTGCCACGACAATCCATAGCGGTGTGCGATCCTGGCTACCACGACCTGTTACGAGGGATCGGTGACTGAATTCGCCAACAGGATCTGTCGCAGTCAACGCATCGTTGAGAGGACGGAGGTCGCCACGGCCTTTGTGTGCAGTGGCTCTGGTCTTTCGCTGATGGAGCAACGGTTGGATCAGCGTCAGCCACGAGGCGAGGGCAAAAGATCAAGGTCAACATCACCAAAGCAACACCGTGCCCCAGAATGATTCTCTATATTGACAGCACTTGTCGGAGCCCTGTGAGTCGGGTAGCGCAACAGCCGCGATCTTTCAGGGCGGTGCAAGATCTTTTCATCGTCCATTTCTTCCATGTGCCCTAGAGACGCATGCCTGTTCTTTGACTATTTGACGACTGTAGGGGAGAATGGTCTCTATCAAGGGCGAGCGCAGGAGGCGAAGCAGGCGGCTCGACGGACGAGTGCGTTTTCTCATCAGAGGGGACCAGAGGAAGAAGGAGAAGGGAGAAAAAATGGAGGTACATTGCTGGCATGAATGCTATGGTTTGCTGTCTGTCCACGCAGGACTGGAAGGAACGAGTCTATATTATCCTCCCGGCACCAACACTGAGTGCGGTGCAGAGCAGTGGGAAAGCAGGATGTAATTGTGTACAAGGAATTTTCATTCATCATCGTCACAGATTCCGGCATTTGCACCCCAATGTCGATGCACTGACCTTGACTTTCCCCCTTTCCGTCCATCGACCGGGGTGCAAGGTTGGTAAAAGGATGGTGCTCCCTGACTGCCGTAGATACAGGTACTATCACTACTAGTAGCTAGGTCTTCTGTCCCTCCACTACGCAACCTTCGGGCGAAGTGTACTTCAGTGTCATATGCTTCTCACGCTAGACTATCGTCCTTCCCAGCTGTTGTTCGCAATGCTGCTGGTAAAATCCTAAAATCCATTCGACGACCACCACTGTAGACTGTAGGGACCTTAGGAGTGCTTCAGGTTTGAGACTAAAATGAGACGTTTGATAGACTGCGGAGTGACGGCAATCGAAGTGCAGCGCCAGATCGACCTCGGCCTTGGTTGGCGCCGGGCTTGGCGCTGCTTTAAGGTCCTAGTACTAACTAGGTACTAGTGCATACTACTACTAGTGGGCCGTTAACTTCTCCATCTCCGCCGCTGCGCAAAAAAAGTTCCCAGACTGCGCGAACTTCCAGAGAGTCCATCATCACTTCGATCCTTTGCTACTCATCTTCCATAGAGACAACGTCGATGCCGTAGCCATGCCATCGACCCACAAAAGAGAAAAGCCCTGGGATACTGACGATATCGACAAGTGGAAGGTAGGCACTCTTCGTCGCTCTCGTGTCCAAAGCCGGCACCGCTAATTTGCCTATGTCCAGATTGAAGAATTCAAACCAGAGCACAATGTCGGCGGAACTTTTGCAGAGGAATCCTCCTTCGCCTGCCTGTTTCCCAAATACCGGGAACTCTACCTGAAGCAGGCTTGGCCCCTGGTCACCAAAGCGTTGGAAAAGAGAGGCATTGCCTGTACACTGGACTTGGTTGAAGGCCGCATGGAAGTCCGCACCACCCGCAAAACCTTCGATCCAGCCGCCATTTTGGATGCCCGCGACCTCATCAAATTGCTCGCTCGAAGCGTCCCCGCACCACAAGTATGTTGGATTGTCGGTTGAGTACACTTGTCGTTGTTCTGTAGTTGACCAAAACTCTAGGCCATCAAAATCCTCCAGGATGACGTTGCGTGCGATGTCATCAAGATACGAAATTTAGTGCGGAATAAAGAACGTTTTGTCAAACGTCGTCAACGATTGCTCGGCCCTAACGGTTCGACCTTGAAGGCCCTCGAGTTGCTCACGAACACCTACATCCTCGTTCAAGGCAACACGGTCAGCGCCATGGGTGGCTACAAGGGCCTGAAGGAAGTAAGAAGAGTGGTCGAAGATTGCATGAACAATATCCATCCCATATACCATGTGAAAGAACTCATGATCAAGCGCGAACTGGCAAAGGATCCTGCCCTGAAGGATGAAAGTTGGGACCGTTTCCTGCCACACCTCAAGAAGAAGACGCTAAGCAGGAGGCGCACACCCTACAAGGTCACCGACAAGAGCTCGAATCCGTATACGCCATTCCCGCCGCCGCGCGAAAAGAGCAAAGTTGATCTGCAGATCGAAAGCGGAGAATATTTCCTTGCCAAGCAGGCAAAAGAGAGAGTCAAGGAGCAAGAAAGACTGGAGAGACAGAAGGAGAAGAAGGAAGAAAAGGAGCGCCAGCGAGCAGAAGCTTTCGTGCCTCCCAAAGAGGAGCAATCCCAAAAGAAGGCGAAGAGGAAGGCATCGGCGGACGAAGACGTCCCGAAGTCCAAGAAACACAAAAAAGACAGTGAGTGACGGCACATTTACGTGGAAGCAAGGAGCTGGTGGTGGCTTGTCCTTTCCCCAGACTCCTCCTTGCCTTGTAGCAGTACTCGACTGTTATTGCACTGCCACACGACCATATCTCGTCGTCGACAAGGATCTGCTATTGAATAGTGGCCCAGCCGAAAGCTCGACTGGCATCAAGTCATGGCATGTTGTGGGTTCTCGGAGTGTGCCAGCTCGAATCGCGGACATATTGCCGTGACCCTGGGCTTGGAAATTGAGATGGTTCGACGCCAATCTCGGATTCCGCACGGCGACGGCCATTCGAGTCTCTGTCATGGATCTCAGTCGTCATCATGGGACTGCTAGACAGTGCGGTCCACAAGCTCGGTACTATGGCGGCACAAGCAGCTCGCCCTGGTGTCCAGATACCGACCGGCAATACAGAACCAATCACCATCGAGCGGAGAAATATTTCGCCATGATAGGAATCTGCAGTCCGTGAGCTGATTTGCGTTGGAACAAGCATAGAACCCTGGTGGAATCACCTCCGCCCTTCTAGATTCCTTCTAGCGTCGGGACCTTGAGTTCTTTTCCTGGGGCAATGGAGACTGTACGGGCACGCGGTCGGGTTGATTCCGCCGAGCACACAGCATCGTTCTGTGTCAATCGTCGCTTTTGTATAGGCAGTTGAAGATTAGCGCAGGATTGGGAAGGCATGTACTATCCATATATCCATGTCTGTATTTTGGCGGTGGACGGAGACACAATGTTAACCTTTGGCCGAGTTTGTATGCTACAGGGGGCACTCCAGCGCGGTTTCTCTCCCCTAGAAGCCTCCGATAGCCTACCTTGATTCGTCTTGGAAAACCACTCGCTGCGTGCTCCTTCTCGTGATGACAAAAACGTCAATAGCCGTCGAACAACGCCGTCAGGCCTCGTGGACCGGCACCGGTGCCAATGCTGGTAGAATGGTGGACAAATATGGCAATCTGCAATGGCTTTTTGAGTTCTATTTGTCGGCTGATTCTTCATCTCCCCTCGTCTCTTTGGTGGCGCCGATTGCCAGCTCTTGCAGGCATCTGAAGGGCAGGCCATGAATGGCTCGGCCAAATACATGACCAGGTGATTCATCAAGAAACGCCGAAGCCCCGGTCTGGAAAAATAGTTTCTCCGATCAGGGGTCAGCCTCGTCTACTACAGCCAATCACATCGCTTCGCCCCAATTGACATTTGGACACGCAGTAGTACCAGTACGCATGGTTTGGCCATGAGGCGTCTGGACGAAGCCAAAACTCAGGCTTGCGGAGAGTTCGATCCCTCGTGTGGGGAAGAGCATATTGCAGGCTCTGTTACCACTGGGGCCTGCTTCAACAGCAGTTCGCTCCAAATGGCATTGGGGCCATTCAGACCTTCTCGCCAGTCACTGGACATCCAGCTATGTCTGGTCAGCAGGGAGAGCTGCACAATTGCTTCAGGGATCACCCTTGGATCGAACGTCCAGGCCAAGATGTCTTTGCACTCTCCCCGCTCTTCAGTTGCCGTGGCCCATCATGGTTTGCAGTTGTGATGTATATATATCTGCCAGTCGCTTTGCTCAGATCAAGGATGTCGAACATCTTCATGAAGCAACAGCCTCTTCCCTTCATCAGTCACAAGTTCCACCTTTGATTCTCTTCGAGACTCTTGCTTACGGAAAGACATTCAAGCCTGAAAGGCCCTTGTTGGAGATATTGCACCAGTCGACATACATCGTGCACAAAGGAATACCTCATCAGTGGAATCACACCCGACCAAATACATCCCATCCGCCCTGCCAAACAGTCTACCTCGATCCCTGATCACGAGCTAACGCGGTTCCGAGCTATTCAACATGAATCAAGACGAGGCGATCACTGAACGCCAACCATCCACTGCCGACGCAATGGCAAACCAACATCGCAAGAGCGTCGTCAACAAAGGCCTCACCGGCGCCTCTGCCTTGACCGTTAGACAGTCCATCTTCCCCATTACGTTGGTCACGATCCTGTTCTTCCTCTGGGGGTTCGCATATGGCCTGCTCGACGTGCTCAACGCGAAGTTCCAAACATCTCTCAACATCACGGCAGCCAAAGCAGGTGGCCTCCAAGGCTCCTATTTCGGGGCCTATTTCATCGGACCCCTGACCTACTCCGGCTGGATTGTGCGCAGGTTCGGCTACCGGGTCACCTTCATGACCGGCCTCTGCATCTACGGTGTCGGGGCGCTAATGTTCTGGCCCTCGGCCGTCTACAAATCCTTCCCCGGCTTCTGTGGCAGTCTTTTCATAGTCGGGTCGGGATTGTCTACCTTAGAAACGTCTGCCAACCCGTTCATTGCAACTTGCGGACCTCCACGACTGTCCGAGTTCCGTCTCGAGCTCTCCCAGTCCTTCCAAGCGGTCGGGTCTGTCGTGGCCCCACTTCTGGCCTCCCGAGTCTTCTTCAAAGACACTCATTCCACAGATCTCTCTCACGTCCAGTGGACGTACGTGGGCATCGCGGCCTTCGTCTTCCTTCTGGCCGTCGTCTTCTTCTTCAGTCCCATCCCCGAGGTCACGGACGCGGATATGGCTCTCCAAGCTGAACAGTGTGCTGATCTTACCGGATACGAAGAGAAGCCTATGAGAAAACAGTACAAGCTAATATTCGGCGTCGCGGCACAATTCTGTTACGTCGGTGCCCAGGTCGCCGTCGCCTCACAATTCATCCGGTACACGCAGGAATCGGCCGGCGTTTCCGAAGCCGTGGCCTCTGATCGCTATGCCATCGGTCAGTCTCTGTTTGCCATTGGCCGCTTTGCCGCTGCTGGCTTGTTCATGTTCGTCAAGCCCCGCATCGTGCTGTTGGTCTTCATGACCGCCATTATGATCTTCATTGCATGCGCCATGGGCGTCTATGGAGAAGGCGGCGTCGCCATGCTGTCGCTGGTGCTCTTCTTCGAATCGGCAATCTTCCCTACCATATTCACGTTATCTATACGTGGATTAGGCCGTCATACGAAGCGAGGGTCTTCTTGGATCGTTGCTAGTGTTTCTGGCGGCGCTTTATTTCCTGCGATTACGGGTCTGGCAGCTGATCACATGACTTACCATAAAGCCATGTGTGTTCCCTTGGTTGGCTTCTTCATCAGCTTCACCTTCCCGATCTATTTGAATACTGTTTGTCGGAAGGAATTGGATGGTTTCCGTGCCACTAAGATCGGCTATGTGGATGAGCGACGTGGGACGATTATTGGGGATATTCACGACATTGAGACATATGAGGCCATGCAGAAGAGAAGCTCTGTCAATATTGAGAAGGTATGAGTGGTGATTGACTGTCGGATTGTGTTGATGGACGTTGCCAAATATCGGTCCTGGTGAAATGTGTGGCTTTCATGGAGGTGTACTGAGGCTGAGGTGGGCTTGAAGCTGCGAACGGCACTCCAGGAAGACTGTATACTAACGCCTGGATGGAGGCTATCTGACTAAATGTTATGATACCACATTGCTTTCGCATTTTTAAGACCAAATGTCTTCGGGGTCCGTCCTGTATGAATGCAACACGACTCAAAATGGACGAAAGCCTTATAAAGACATTTCTATATTGATCCTTTTGCGTCTTACTCCTGGACTGCATCCCAGCTCTAGTGCTGGAGCGTATAGTGGAGCGTTTTATAAGAATGCAGCGGCTATGTCTTTCCGTCCTTCGAAAAAGAGGCGAGTTGGCCCTAGAAATATCAATCAGCACAGTCTTGAACAAGACTAAAATACGAAGGCCAGGGGCATAGGCCCTTCTTTCCGAGGTGTCTGTCCAACCACTCATACAGGACCGGCCGCAATGTTGCCATCACCATGGACGTCTTAAGGTTCAAGGCTTTGCACTTGTCGTAAACTATGATGGAGAGAAGTGGCCACATGCCCCGGAGCTCCCTGGGTTTCGTTTGGCAAGGTTGGAGAGATCCCCATACTCGTGAACTTTCCTGTCTACTGATCGCAGTAGACCCCTCATCATGGCTCTGTAAAGCCAAAAAGGGACCATTTGACCGACGACATCACATTCATTGTCAACGAGATGATGATTGATATCGGAGTGGAAGATGTTGTCAAATATCAAGAGTCTGGTCATGTCTCAGGGGCCAGGGTTTGCCGCCGATATGCCTGTTACCCTTGTTGTCTTAGTAGTACACAAAAACTCAATTCACAGGCTTGTATTCTGGAAGGTTATCAGGCTGGAAGAACCTTGTCGATGGTGTTATATAAGTTAACAATGAATGCGATACTCTTCACCACATAAAATAGCGCAAGGCTGAAGTGGGGCTTTTTCAGGCTCTATTTGGAAAGCTGAATAGACATGCTCCTTGAACACCAGGCAATCCGACACAAATCGATCGCCTGAATGAACCAATCTGCCATACGCAGCAGCAGTGACCTTATTGTTTGATTCGTCACAAATTTGGCGCGGTAACAATGAATTCAGATTCAATTCTAGTTTCTAGAGAGGCGTCCTCGCAAGTATCTTCAGCCGGTCATTCTCCACAAGAACATCCTCATCCCCATCCCTCGCTAGCCGAACCATTGCAGCCCCAAGATCTGGCAACATGATTGCGTTTGCGATACATCCTATCAACCAAGTCCGAAAAACCGCTCCCTTGGGCTGCACGAATCCCGGTCTTGCGATGAACACCCTGAAGCCACGATCTCTTGACTCGACGTCGAGTCGTATCAGGGCGTTTTCCAAATCTCCTCTCATCTTTCGGTTGTCCGAGAGAAACCAGAGTTGTCTATCCGGGTTCTTCTCGGGCAGGGCGCCGCTGAGATAGACAAAGTGAAACGGCGTTGCGTGTTCGAACCCGGCAAACAGGTTGGCTGTTGCCAGCGCATATTCGTAGTTGACTTTTCGGTTCAACTCTGCTGGTTTGATGGGGATGTTGGTGCCTAGGCAGTAGATGCAGGCATTCGCGTCCTGTATTTGCGACAGCACTGCTGGTGGGTAGTGCAAGAAGTCATCGGGAAGGATGGTGGTCAATTTGGCATGACTGACGCCTGGATCTCGACGGGATATCGCGACGACGCTGGTGATCCAGGAACAGCCTAGGGCTTGAGACAGGACTTCGCGACCTATGTATCCCGTGGCACCAGTGATGACTACCTTCATCTTTGAACGGGAGCCCGAGGGATGAGGTGCGGCCTGCGAGACAAGGTAAGGAAAACGATTGGGCCAAACCTTGCTAACAGTCCAAGTACGCTGCCACAGGCTTTATATCGTTGGAATCATGGTGCTTTACAACCATCTCCTAGCAGATGTGCTTTTTATCAACTTCAATCGTTCTTCCAGAGCGGCTTGGACGGATAAAGATCGTGGTCGGGTTCGGGGCAATTGTCAGCCCGTCAACTTCTTATTGATGGGCACGGACTCTGCGGTGGAGCCATATATAACTCCCCGACTTCATAACGTCCATTCACACATTTGTGTCCAGATCTGAATGAATGCATATATTTCGGCAAGGACATCCGATCTGGGGCCCGTTCTTGTGTGTCTCAGGTCGTGGACTTATCTCTTCGACAGGGCGCCATTCAAGTCAAGTTGAAAGACAGACCTCATGAGGCCGGCCTCTATGCAAGTGCCGATGGACAAAGCAAGATTACGGAAAACAACACAGATCGAATCATTTCAAGTTCTGCAAGCTGGGCTGGAAGGAAGACTGACCAACGCATCAATTGGCTGCAAGACTTCCAGACGATGTCCAGATATCCTGACTACCAGAGCGCCTTCCTTTCGCTCTCGCACCCGTACAACCTGAAAGAGCTTGGAGTAACCTAAGAATTGCACAACCTATGCATTGAGTGACTCGAACAAAGCCAGCGAGACGTGGCTTGCAAGGATTGGTTTGCCATGCTTCCTCTTCAAGCCTGCAACAAGCAAGTCTTCGGCTTTAAACCTGCCAGAATCCCCCTGGGTACGGTTTCAGTGCTGAGGAAGGATGCTTCAACAAGAGCTCCACATCAGTTGATCAGAACACAGCCTTGTTGAACTGTTGAGCGCCCTACGGCTTGATTTGCTACAAGTGGTGTTCAAGTTTCCCCAACCGGTAGCAGTTGCACTTGATGCCAGATCGTCACTAATTGCAGCAGGAACGGCCACAAGGAAGGCGGCAACAGCGACTCGCGAGACTCAAGACTAGTTAAAAAAAGACACTTGAGTCACGCCAGCAACAACAACAACAACAACGATCAACGTCAATATCAAGAAAAGGGTCCCCTAGTCCCAGCATTGCCCATCCAACTTGAAACATATCAACGACGATCTTCTCTGCACCATGTACGGCCGCCTCCCTTACATGTTCGCCAACGAGTCTTCCGTCCCATCTCCAATTCTGGTTGCCATCCGCGGCATCCTAAGATCCTGGGACATGGCGACCACCGACCACCGCTACCTCGACCACTTCCATCCAGATGGAGTTCTACATGTTGGGGCTGAACCAACGAAAGGTGCCGCCGCGATGAAGAAGTTGCATGATGACATGGTCGATCCGCAGAAGGGACCTGTGGTCCATCTCCAACATTTCTGTGATCGGGTGTTTCTGATGCCGACGCAACGCTTGCTAGAAAACGAGTATGATGGCATCGATTCATCTGGAAAAGACAAAGGTGGTCTCGCAACAGGGAAAGAGAGCGAGCGTATTGCCGTTCCTACACGTGGACTGATGAACGGCAATGACAAGATCGAGGCTGTTTACACGGGTAAACTCATTTCTGTTCTGAAGACCAAAGAGAGCATAACCACCGATTTCGCTACCTGGATTGTTCTATCGCCGGTGGTGGGGGTGTCCAAGGAAGTGCCATCCGCGTGTGAAGTAAAGGGAGACGCCGCTGTCAACAAGGAAAACGAGAAGGATATTGACAACCACTCTAAGCCATCATATGGCGAGCTGCGAGTCGAGTATTTGAGGGTCTTTTCGGATACGGCGGCTCTGGTCACTGCGATTTCGAAGGTTGAAACAGATGGAGAGTGAGAAGTATTGCATCTTCGCGAACGACAGGCATCGAGGAAAGCCTGGTGAATGTCCCTGTAACACACTCTCTCGGGTCAGTGACATAGACCAGAGTCACAGCCTGCTATCATGTTCACCTTCATGGACCAGGCCAATCCTGATTACTGAAATCATCCCTTACCTGGTATTCTTCTTGGGAGCTGGGTTTGGACGGGAAAATTGAGTCTGCTTCGAGTGATCAGTTGTACTCTGCTATGGTTAGAAGTAGGAGCTCATCGTCGTCAGTCAATAGCCGGTAGATGTTGATAAACATTCAATGATGAAGTGGCTGGGAAATATCAGCCAAGTCTATGAGAATGGCTCCCCTGGGGAAGGTTTCGGCTGTATACCTGTATATAGTCTACCTAGGTAGGGAGGTAAAGACGGAAATTAACTTCTTGGATAGGAAAACCCATCCAACCTCTTGCGAAGGCACATCGTATGCCCTGCGATGACAAGTCCGAAGCCCGAAACTTGCTGCTGGCGCCTCTGTGTTCGACCACCACAGCCGATTCAGTCCAACTCCTCCACGGAACCGGCAAACCGAAAGGTACGACCAGGAACTGTCCCATATTCTGTGACGATATGGCATCTAACAAGCTCATGCTTTTCGGTCTCATAAAAGCGCAATGCATCTTCCTGCTCATTGGTGTCGATGCGACAAGCCCAACCCAAAATTGCACTGCCTGCACCTCCATCAACCAATGCCTCGTACTTGCCAGCTCCCAAAGTTCGCAGACGAGCTCCTTCAAGACGTGCGCGAACAGGAGTGGGCTCAAGGTTCACACCAAGCTGCCGCAACAGGAGCTTTGGGTGAGTCTGCCTGCCGTAGAAGAAATACCAGATAGGGTACTGTTCCACAGGATCTGGCAGGGTGCTGGGGGGAAAGAGGGTATATCTCCCGCCGTTAATGGGCGGTGTCATAGGTGCCATGGTGGAAGAGGATATATTGTGTCTGGCCATGTTGTATAGTCGTGCCACAGTGGGTCGGAAGCCAGGGTGATACTGGGCCAGCCATGCGAGCACTCGGGCCTTTACAGAGGGGGAGATTCGGCAGAACCGCCGCGTTTCTCCAGCCGTGCCCGATCCAATCAATACAGTTGGAGTCTCGGTCAGACCTGCAACCCACTGGATCTTTTCAGGGGTGTCCAGAGGGTCTTCTAGCTGGATTATGGAATCTTCGGTGCCTGGCTGGTTTTGTTCGGTAGTATCACATTGCACGCAATGCTGGTGCTGAAGCTGGGCGATGTCGGTCAGAGAGTATTCGTACGCCTCGCGGTCGTACCCTTCGGCTTCCTTCCGTGAGCGGACGGTCATCCAGACATCGTCTTGGATTCTGCCTCGTGGATAGTTGTTGCGGTGCTCTTCAATATGTCCCACCGCTTCGGAATGGGTATACCCAAACAGACGTTGCCATCGCTCAGCATCCACGTCGGAAACGTTGGTGCTCAAGACACATTCAGACATGCTGACGGCCACTGCTTCCATTTCGGCGAGAACGTCCATGATGAGTATAGAATGTGAGGTTATTGTGCCGATGTTCGAGAGAGGTAGACGGTAATATATTTTGATGCTGTGTGGGGAAAGTCTATGACTGAACCAGGTTGAGCCGTATGTTGAAACGAGGATGGTCTGTTCTGTGAAAGAAAGGAGAAGATGAGCCAAAGGGCAAACTGTGTTAAATACCTAAATGCAGCACTAGGTCCTCAACCTACCTCTGGTCGCGGTGACTTAAGGTTCACTGGTCTCGATCGGGCACATCAAACCTTGACTTTCCAAGAGGAGCATTTCTGTTGGTGCCCCAGGCTAAAGCAGTCTACCTGTTGTGATAGAGTTCAGTATTGATGCAGATCAAAACGATAAAAGCGCAGGAGTACGGTCAGCAACTCATGGGCCCATGATTTCCATAGAAACATGAAACGAAACCCAAGCGGGCCGTCCAGCCAAAAGACCTTCGTTGTCCAACTATGTCTGTCCAGGTCCAGTAGCCAGCCAGAATGGCTTGGAGATCGACAGAAAGTCTGCAAGAGAAGGCCAAAGACATATGCGGAGGCCTGGGTCTTGCCACAGACCGACAATCCCGTGGGAGGACGTGCGCAAAAACCTGGAAGATGAGGACGGTAAGGTCTCAGGCAAAGGATTGCTTTTCCAAGGGCCTCGAACCTACGAATTCTGACACTATGGGGTGCCTAGAATGCCGCTTGAATCCTGATCACCGTCCGGACTGTTTCGTCGACTTCATTTTTCACACTTGGCTTCTGCAGTATTTTCTACCATCCTAAGCACTCTTTCACCAAGGCTCTTCGACAGAAAAGGCATCCAACAAGCTAAATGTCAGACCAATGGTTCGCGGTTGTAGCCTGGCTCCACATGGTGTTGAGGACCTTTCTCAGGCCAGGGTCGGAAACATGATAGACCAAATCCGACCAGACTGAGGCAATGGTCTCCTCTGAGCGGCATCTCCCATCGGATTTGGGGACGAGATTGAAGCTCTTTGATCTGTGCCGAATCGATGGCCTTGATTTTCAAGATGGTGAACATCCAGCGGTCTTTTTTTGTGCAGACGGTGGAAGGGATTCGAAAGCGACGCGATGTTGATGGTGTCAAGATCTCCATCAAGAATAAGGCGGCGTCACAATCGTCCCAGAGAGGAGTGGTTTTGTCTTGGCAGTCAAAAGCAGCGTGAAACCCCAATTCGAGCAGCGCAGCCTGAATGAAGCAAGAGAGATACAGTTATTGGCATTTGATACTCTGAACATCTCGACCTCCTTCATCAATCAACACCGTCCCTCAATACACCATGGCTGGCCTACTGTACGCAGTAGTTGTGTTCTGCCAGCTGCTTTCCGTCGCCTGGGCCGCCACACTGCGAGTCTACATTCCCAGTTCCAATCTATTACACAACCCAAATACTCTTCCAGCCTCGACTCATGCCACCCTGACGTCGGGCACAGGTCCGCCAGTCAAAGCTGTTCTGCGGAGAGGAAACTACATCGAGTTCCCAGACATCACCACCGTCGGCTCTCACCTCCTCGACATCTATACCCGTGATTACGTCTTTGCACCCTACCGCATCGATATCTCTCCCTCTCCAGACTCGCCGGGCACCGTCATCACAGGAGCTTGGGAGACGTACCGAGGAGCACGCTGGGCGGACCGAGGGGTTGCTCTTGTCACCGCACCCACAGACAAGCTTGATATTTCCGCCAAAGTCCTAGCAGCGAAGGAATTCTATGAGCAACGCGCGGGCTTCAACCCTTTGACTTTGCTCAAGAATCCGATGATCCTCTTCGGACTGGTGGCGTTGGCCTTGACGTTTGGAATGCCCAAGTTGATGGAGAACATGGACCCGGAAATGCGAGCCGAGTATGAAGAGATGCAAAAGAAAAGTCCCATGGGTGGCATCACACGGGCGATGCAGGGCGGTGGTACGGGAGGCTCAACTGAGAACTTCGATCTGGCTGGATTCTTGGCTGGCAGCAGCAAAAGTTCGGGAGCCGACAACACGTCCGAGGGTATTCGTGAGAGAAAGCGATAACCGATCAATGGCAATGGCAACAACGGCCAAGGGGTTGCTGTCCACTACGTTTATGTCAGATACAGCATGTTTGCAATGAAAAGACAACCATCTCCTGCGATTACGCTCCTATATTCACTGTTCAGCTTCGTTAGTCATTGGCCTTGGATCCTCCACACTTGACCCAGCCGCCGCAGATTCTCCTATCGAGTAATATACAAACCTAGCTCCTCCAAGCTTGCCAATTTCCTTTGACGAGCTTAAGAACTTGAGCACTCGGCCATCACGCTTACAGCTCGATCCCGAGTCGGCGACTATCAACTGGATGACTGCCCTGCGTCCAAGCATCGACGTAAGCCTCATTTACTGGGCACTGGCGAGCCGTGGGTTTGTCCAGGGAACCTCCGGCAGCGGCCCGGCGAGCCACCCTACAAAATAAATGGCACTGCCAGATCTTGTAGGGGTGCCCCTCATACATTCAAGAGGCGGTAGGTACATCTACTTTGAGGGAGAACGCTCATTGTATCAACCTTCCGGACTGCTTACCTACCAGGGAGACACCTATATCATTTATGCGGTGCCACTCATTTTGTAAGGTAGCATGCCGGTTTGCGATGCGGCTCCGGTCCCGTTTGACAGCCAAGTAACTTCGATTTCATGTCGTGGAACCGAACCCCTCACCGGCCAGAGAACGACATCTCGACGATGTATTAGACCACTCCGCCTCGTCCTGAGATACAACCGCGGCTCTTCTGTCTTGTGGAAGTCAACTCCACTCCTCCGTCTCTCCAAGTTCATATGTCGATGATCTACACCTTACATGACACTTGCCCTATATACTACATTCGACTGTCTCTCGTGAATACATCCTTGATTGACGAATCATTGCATCCGACACCCACTAGACCAGCTCAAGAAAGGCCGAGTGCCTTGACATATGGAGAAGCAAATAAGACCACTCCTCGAAGCCGCTGTAAAGGACAAGAGAGTCCCAGGAATCGGTGCTTTCCTCGTCGACTCCCAGGGCAACTTTCTCCTTAAAGAAGCGTGCGGAACCAACAACATCGACGACCCCGATGCCACATCTTTCACCGCGGACACAACGATCTGGCTATACTCCTGCAGCAAGATCTTTACCACCATCGCCGCCCTCCAATTGGTGGGGCAGGGAAAGCTATCCCTCTCCGACCCCGTGGAGAAGTATGTTCCGCGGATCTCCAAGATTCAGGTCCTCGAAGGGTTCAGTCAAAGTGACAGTGTCGCCACGGACCAACCGATTCTACGTGCTCCAAAGTCAAAACCGACCATTCTTCATCTCCTAACCCATACGGCCGGCTTCTCTTACGACTTCTTCAATGTTCCAACGCTGCGGTGGCGCCGATCCACTGGGCGGCCATCAGGGAAGTACAACGACAGCGGGGCCTGGGAAGAGTTTGAGACGCCCCTCATGGCAGACCCGGGGACGAAGTATGTTTACGGCGTCAACACGGACTGGTTGGGGGCGGTGGTGCAACAAATCACGGGAATGCCCTTGCCAGAGTATGTCGACAAAGCTATCTTGAAGCCTCTCGGCATGGAGGAGACGAGTTCTCATCTGAGGGAAGGGAAAGAGAGGCTTGCTATCCACCTCAATCTCGAGGGTAAACTGAGCGCTCACCCGGAGATGGTACCGACTGAGACCCCAGAACTCTGGGGTGGCGGCGCATTTCTGTATTCGACGATGAACGATCTGGCCAAGTTATTGTCCACGTTGCTCAATGCTGGGACCAGTCCCGTGACGGGCCAGTCCATCCTCAAGCCGGAGACTGTCAAGGATTATCTTTTCACCGACCACCTCCCTCCGGACGTTGATAAGTCGCTTCTCGGCGTGATCCGCTCCAGCATACCCGCAGCATCGCACGACGGCTCGTTTTTTCCGTCCTTGCCGCCCAGCTCTCGTGGCTGGTCGTGCGGACTACTTCTGAACCACGAGGATCTTCCGCGAGGCCGCAAACGTGGTAGTGGAGGATGGGCCGGTCTTGCCAATCTGTATTACTGGATTGATCCAGCGTCAAATATCGCGGGAATGGTGTGCACTGGCATGCTACCGTTCTTCGACCCTGTTGTTGTGAAGCTGTTCGATCAGCTGGAGCGTCTGGCATACGGACATGAGCTTGCTGGGCCGGCGGATGATAGATTGGGCAACATAGCCCTGTTTCTGTGAAATCAAGGGCAGCGGCAAATATAGATAGATCTATGAAGAGAGGCGTGGCCGTCTACCGTTAGCGATAAGTTTCGAAAGCCGAGCTTGAGACAAAAAGGTCAAATGTAAGTCCATCGACCGGGCTTGACCAATCCCACCTTCTTGAATCTCATATGCCGTATTGAGTCAATCCGGCACGAATGCTTTTCATTGATTAAAATCCAGTAGAGCCTGGCCAGTAAGTAAAGCGGTGTCGGTAAAATCTGAAAATATCTCGGGGAACAGCTCTTCGAGTGACGCCTGGCCCTGCGCTGTCACGAAAACATCTTCGGGCAGCGGTTCACCGAGTAGTGTCTCGTCCATAAACCCTCGCGTCGTAACCATTTGCTCGAGTGGCATCGCAGCCCCGGGCAGATTCGGCCTCGTAGGTAAAGGTGTCCGCGGCAAAGAATCCTCAACGCGCTTCAGAACCGTCTCGCTCTGCGACAAGGCTGTCTCGGCCAGATCCCAGTGATCGTGTTCATGGTATTTCCTCAGATAATCGACCAGCGTCCGTGCACTGGTCATGCACTGAGCCCGCACATTCGAGTAGCTGGTCTGCAAAGCACAGCGCAGCAACAGCGTCACCGCAGAGGTGAAGTGATGCGCACTGTACGGCAACCAGAACCCCATCAAGTCCTGTGTGTGCAACGACGTGACAAACCTCACGACATCCTCCGCCGCCGCGTGGCAGCCGAGCAGCCACGACGTGGCCGGGTCGCTCTGGCGCTGACTAATTTCATGCCACGCTATGCGCCGCAGCAACATGCGCACGGCAAGATAACATAATTGCAGATTCAACAGACCAGGCACGGGAGGTCGGTTGTGGAACTCATCCAAATTCAGCCAGCCAGGTCGGCTCTCGACCCAGCGGTTCAATTCAATCTCCGACCTCGACGTCTGTTCGGCTGCTATACTGTCGTTTCCCGAACGAATGTGGTAGATTAGAGGTAGCACGTCGCCAACGATCTCGGTCAAGCGACAGAAGTGGATATAGACTTCTGCGGCGCGGGTGTGTTTGATTGAGCCCGGCCGGCCTCGGGTGAGTAAGTCGACGGTGGGGAGCGGGACGTCGTAATGGCCCTTTGAGATATAGGGAGGCGTTCCTTGGGCGAAATTGAACCACCTGTCTTGAATCACAACACCCCACCATGTTTTCCAGCGCATTCGCTTCTCCAGATCTCCTATCTTCCATTCGCTGCAGTCGTGGTTGAGCCCGATCGCATGTGATAACGCCACGGCCCGGGCGACGCTAGTGACATTGCTCACTAAACGCCGTGAAGGGCGTCCCGATACGTTGATGCAGATGCTGACGATCGTCGCCAAATCTCCTTTCTGCATGTCTGCTAGGTTCGCTCCGACTGCCGCCTGCCATGCGAAATCTTGATCTGGTCTGATGGCATAAGGCGAGGGCGCGTCCCAGTAGAAGAGTGCATATGCCAGTAGGTTCACGAATAAGGTCCGAGGAGGAGCGGTAATAGGGGGGGAGGGACTGGGCTCTTTGATTCTTGACAGCACGAAGTCTTCTTCTGTTACTGGATAACAGGGGTGAATGTTCTCGTAGTAATAGACCAGCAGGTTGTCCATGAACGGATCGACTTGCTCCAGCAGCTCGGCGGGTAGATTTCTCGCACAGTTGCAGTCTGTCGGGCTGGGTCTCCGCGGCGGGATTGGGACATGGTAAATGGCCTTCTGTGGGTCACCACGACCCGGCCCTCCGTTGGGTGGAATTGCAAGGTAGCCTTCTCCCGTGCTGCCGTTGGCGGTGGCACCGGGAGGAGTTTGCGGAAGGTACTGGTCGAGAATCTGTGTGTCGCGAGCGATGACGGGGCCTACGATGTGCGTGGAGAAGCTTTCCAGAGATTTGTCTTCCGCAAGCAGTGATCGGTGTACGAAGCCCACCCTTGGGCTGACACGGTCATCTTTCTTGGCTATTGCGGAGGAGCATGCCACTCCGTGCATCCGGCATAGGAGACATGCCTGTCCGGGGATCTCGATCGTACAGCGTGACCGACGTTTGTGGCATCGTGCACAGGCTGGATATTTGTGTGATCGGTATGGCCGAGCTGTCTTCATGGTCGCGACTACAGATCTTGCCTGCTCGGCACAGGGTGGAGGTTGGACGACCCCCGATCAGGATCCTACTAGTGGTAGGCGGAAGGGAATTGCCTGGGATTGCCGGTGGACTCCAGTCACGGCGCGTGGCTGGTAGGTATGTTCTCGGCAGCGGGCTTGCCAAGGGCAGTTGGAAAGCCGGGGAGGTCTTCCCTATGCGCGCTATGAGTGATATGGCCCATCCATGATGATATATGAGCAACAGGGTTCGCGGCTACATGGAAATGGTGAAAGTAGCTAGTCGTCGTACATGTACTGAGTAAGTGGACATCTTAAAGCGGCGATAGAACGAAAGTCCCGGACGGGAAGGCACCACGTGATCTGAGAAAGCATCGTCACGTGCGGATGCCCGGCTAGTCTCAATTCGTAACGATGCCACCGATTAGATAAGATCTGTGACTTGTTGTGCTTCACGCCTCAACGACGAGAGTTGTTCGTTTCAACGCCTGCACTTCTTTCTTCGGTACAAAACCAAAGAAATCTGGAAGCGCTCTATATATGTACTTGCTCTGCCCTTATCACTCAATAAAGTTCTCGCTTTCTTCCGTTCTGGGGCGCAGATACACCGGCATCTCCCCAGCCACCTCTCCCCACGACATCTCAGACCAGGTTTTCCCACTAAATCGCCAATCTTCGCAAGGAAAAAACGAACCTTGTGGGAGATGTTGCGCATCATACGGCCCTTTCCTGCGACTCAGCATGACTGAATTTCAAATGAGCCTTAATGCCTCCAATCGAAACTTGCGAGGATATCAACACGGCGGCGAATAAGAGCAAGAGTTTCGCGACCACGATGTTGAATGAGCCAATGAACAACCGTGGTTCCCGACGAGCTCTCCTTATCCGGCCATGGTGGAGTCGTCTAGTAAACCACAAACTGTAAGAGTTCCCCGTCGGTTCTGCGATACTATTAAGGTATATATCTTGTTCTGGGAGATGCAATTCAAGTATCCTAGCCTCGGATGACCATTTTGACATCTACTTGGAAGTACTAGATCAAACCTCAGTTCAATACAGGAAGTATACAAGAAGCAATGGCGCCAATGCTGGAGGACCACACGCCCTCCCACGGCAGTATCACCTCCAAGTCTGTCGAAACACCCGTCCTCTACAACAATGTGGACGAGGAACAACTCAAGGCGACCGCCGGGGCATGTCTTGCCAACTATGGCACCGAGTTCGAGAAGGATATTATTACAGGAAGTAAAGGGCTCTATGTTTTCACTGCCAACGGCCACAAAGTGCTCGACTGGACATCCGGTCAAATGTCGTGTCTGATAGGACATGGACACCCAGAGATTGTCTCCACCATCACCAACCATGCTGCCCAGTTGGATCATCTTTTCTCTGGCATGCTCTCGCCACCGGTCATCAGCCTCGCACAGCGCCTGACATCTGTCCTGCCGGCGGGACTCGACAAAGCATTCTTCCTCTCAACAGGAGGAGAGTCGAACGAGGCGGCCATCAAAATGGCCAAGGTTTACACGGGCAAATTCGAGATCGTGGGCCTAGGCGCAAGCTGGCACGGTGTCACCGCTCAGGCCTTAGGCACCCAGTACCACTTTGGTCGCAAAGGCCAAGGCCCTATGATGCCAGGAATGCACATGCTTCCACCGCCGAATAGCTATCGCTCAATCTTCCGTAAGCCAGACGGCTCTTACGATTGGGAGACTGAGCTCGACTATGGCTGGGACCTTATTGATAGAGCCTCATGTGGCTCTTTGGCTGCCTGTATTGTCGAATGCATCCAGTCGTCCGCTGGTATGCACGTCCTCCCGCCTGGATACCTTAAGGCATTGAAGAAACACTGTGAAAAGCGTGGCATGCTGCTCATCGTGGATGAAGCTCAAACAGGTGTTGGGCGCTGTGGTGACTTGTTCGCCATCAACCACGAGGGAGTGACCCCCGACATTCTGACTCTCAGCAAGACGCTAGGCAACGGTCTCCCCCTCAGCGCAGTCGTCATGAGTTCGGAGATCGAACGTGTGTGCACAGAGCGTGATTTTTGCTTCTACACCACGCACGTCAACGACCCTCTGCCAGCTTCTGTGGGCGACAAAGTCCTGGAAATCGTGCTCAGAGACAATCTGGTGGAGAACTCGCGAAGTATGGGTCTATATCTGCAGGCTGGTCTTCAAAAGCTCAAGAGCCGCTATGGATGTATAGGCGACGTGAGAGGTCGTGGTCTGATGGCTGGAGTGGAGATTGTGGGTGATCGCGAGACCAAGGCTCCGGCGAACGAACTTGCTCGGAAAATCGCCAACAAGATGTATGAGTTGGGCTTGTGGGCGAATCTCAGCAGTCACTCAAGCTTCTCAGGTGTCTTCAGGATTGCACCGCCTATTGTGATTACCAAAGATCAGCTAGATCAGGGCTTGGACATCATGGAGCGGGCTTTGTCCGAGACAGAGGGGACCATGCCGCTCTATTGATTGCCATACATATTGCGCAAGGGAGGATAGTATAAGTGAGCACAATAGAGATTCAACTAAATTAGTACGGACTCACCTGCGAGACTTACTGTGAAGAGCCGTGTGTAGGAGTGGAATTGTATGTTGGGCCGCAGAGAATATATTGGGGGTTCAGCCATTGACAGTGACTTGAACAGTTTGGCCTCCTAGTATACTTCCACGGTGACATTATCTTATCAAATCTTATCAGAGATAACGTACTAATGAGTAATCATGGTAATCTCTGTTTATTGTCCGGCTGAACTTCGGAAGTGGTTCAATCAATTTACGCGTGGCTGCAGAACGCGTCTGTCCACACGCGTTTCTACATTTCTGCGATCTTGGTACGACGAGTGTAGTATGCAACAACAAACACCTCCATTAACGATCGAAATTCCTCCTTCGCACACCATCGTTGCACCACTGCAGAGCCGTCCTCGAAATGCCTGAGAGGCCACCTTTTCCAGGTCGTCCTGCCCAACCCCCCGGCCCTACCTATCTGCAATACTCGCCCGACGGTCAAAGATTGATCGTTGCTGGGATCGGCAACTTTGCGCGCTCGTTCAGGACTGGCGACAACAGCGAACCTGACCTACTGCCCGAGACACGTGAGGAGACATATGCTGTTGCATCAGGTGTATGAGGACACAGAAAAGACCATACCCTGTGGCAGTGGCTAACAGCGCCGCAGAACGACTATGTTATACTTGGCTGCGAGGACGGCACCGTTTCCGAATATGCCGTGCCGTCGGGGGACCTGAAGCAACTTCTGGTCAGGACCACTCTTCCTATCCGAGATGTGGCTCTCTCCCCCGACGAAAACTGGGTTGCTGTCTCCAGCGAGTAAGTGGCTTCCTCGACACCGTTACATCTCTGTCTGACCGGTCTAGTGAACTTGAAATCAAGATTGTCAATCGTCATGATATCGAGCAGATCACCATATTACGAGACCACCCGAAACCTATAAAACATTTAACGTACGACCCGTTCGGCAAATACCTCGCTGCATCCTGCACGAACGGGGTGATCTACGTCTATGCTTTGACCGCACCCGAACCGACGTTGTTCAGAACCATTGACGGTGTTATCAAGCGCCTCGAGACGGCAGAATTTGCGACGTCCAGATGCGTGTGGCATCCAGATGGACGAGCGTTTGCTTGTGCAACAGCCACGAGGGACATCCAGGTCATCTCCGTGGAAGACGGCGCCCACCAGCGAGTCTTTTCGGGCGCACATCATAACGATATCACATCTCTGGCATGGTCACACAATGGAGCTATGCTGGCCAGCTCCAGCGCCGACGACCAGCTTGTTATCTGGAAAACCAAGACTCAAACTGTACTGAAACAGTTCAACTACGAGAAGATCATCAATGTGACCTGGCAAAATCATGGCGAGAATATCTTCAATTGGACGACTTCCCAAGGCGAAGTCTTCATCATCCCAGATTTCCTCAAAGATGAAGCACATGTGAAGCTGCTGAAGGGCCCTAAAGTTCGAGCCCCGTTCTTCCACGATCCTCTAGAAGAAAAGGCTGCTGCAGTCAATGGCCGAAGACCATTGATCAATGGCCAGGGCAAACAACGGGCCGGAACCCCGGATAGTTTGGACGAGCTTCTGGGGCCCGAAGAGGAGTATGACTGGATCGAGGATGACGACGGTGCAGGCTATATCAACGAAAACGGAAAACGTCCGAATGGCCATCTCGGGGAAGTCGTTGGTCACTTGCCCAAGAGAAATAGACAAGATGTCTGGCAACCTCAGGTGCATGAACCGTTCCAACCGGGCGCCACGCCATGGCGAGGGAATCGCAAATACCTCTGCTTGAACTTGATCGGGTTTGTCTGGACGGTCGATCAGGATACTCACAATACCGTTACTGTCGAGTTCTACGACCGAGAGCTATACCGGGATTTCCACTTCACAGACCCTTTCCGGTACGATATCGCTTGCTTGAACGAGTTCGGCACCTTGTTTGCAGCCCCTGCGAAAGACGGACAACCGGCAGTCATATTCTATCGGCCGCACGAGACTTGGACGGCCCGCTCCGACTCTCGCATCATCCTGCCAGATGGCGAAGAGGCTACATGCATTGCTCTCAGCGCCAGATATATCGTGGCCGTGACCAACAGAAACTATGTGCGGGTGTGGACCCTTTTCGGCACACCCGTGCGCATGTGGCGTATGAAGAGTACTCCGGCTGTCACATGCGCGGCATGGGGTGACTATGTCATGACTGTTGGGAATGGACCGGTGGGCGCTGATGGATGCACCCAACTTATGTACAGCATTGACGACGTGAGACGGGACGAGAGTTTCCAGAACGAAGACATTCTCGCCTTGGGGACCGTTCTTCCGGATTCCCAGGACGAAGAGGTCACTTTGAAAGCGCTCTTCTGGAGTGATGTCGGCGATCCATGCATCTATGACAGTAACGGCGTGCTGCTGACTCTGATGCACTGGCGGACTCCAGGCCAAGGAAAATGGGTGCCGCTGCTCGACACCAGGCTCCTGGACAGGTTGAAAGACGGCAAGAAGGAGGAGACTTACTGGCCCGTGGCGGTCGCGGCGGAGAGATTCCACTGCATCATCCTGAAGGGCGGCGACCAAAGTCCATATTTCCCGCGACCACTGCTTTCTGAATTCGACTTCCACATGCCGGTGTCACGGCCAGTTGAGAGAGGAGAAGACGACGAGGAAGAAACCAACGCGGCGGCCGGGGTGAGACTGGAAGAGGCTTTCGTTCGGGCTTCTACGCTCCTTGGCCTGGTCGACGACTTGGTCCAGGGACTGGGCGAGAGGGCCAAACACTCCCAGAAAACTGAGGTCATGAAGCGCGAGATCGACGTGGACAAGATCCTGCTGCAACTTCTGGCGGTGGAATGTCGCGAGGGCGAGGACAGGGGTATGAAGGCGCTGGAGATTGTCGGACTGCTGAAAGATCGGAGTGGGAAGATGTTGGAGGCAGCAGCCAAGGTGGCTGGACGATGGGGCAGAAAGGTGTTGGAGGACAAGATCAGAGAGTTTGCAGAACGCAGGCTCATGGGGCTCGAGGAGGAGTAAAATCTGGAACAGGAGACTGGGACGACACTAGCTGATGGGTTGGGAGCATTGGGTGGTCCTGACAGGATGAACGGCGTTGAAACGGATAGGTCTTGATGATGATCGGTGCCTTGATACTGTATTCAACGCTACGTATTCCAGTCCGCAAGCATCGCTGTTTTCAAGGTTCAGTTTCTCAGTTTTTCAGTTGTCGTACAAACCCCCCTGAGTTTCCACATTGAATACCTCGGCCAGAGTCACTTCATTTGCCTGACATAGCAAAGTCCGACGCTTCTCCATTCCAAGTCTCAGGGATTGCATCAACCTCCAACCACGTGTGCTGTCTTGCTGCATCATACCTCATTTCTTTTCCTTGAGCTGCGGATGTTTCAGTGCCGTCAAGACTAGTGCAGTGACACCCACCATCACACTTCCGCCCAACAAGTAAGCCGTCTCTCGGCCTGCCCACCAGAACAGAGTGCAGAAGAGAATCGGACCCAGAGCTCGCCCAAATTGTCCCCAGCTCCGCAGAGCTCCCAATACTTGCCCTCTGTTGTGCTCTTTGGCTTCATAGCTTCCAAGGCTATTTAGCCCGGTCACAACCGTGGCCGAGGTGACCGCAAGCAACGTGCCAGCACAATACAATCCCGTGGTATCCTGAATCCGGGCAAGCAGGAAGAAGGCCAGCGTGCACGCTACCGTGCCCACCCGGACCACAGTGAGCGGACGCAGCCGTCGAACGACCGACCCTTGGAGCAGCGATGCGATCAAACCCACAAATCCGAGCAGTCGGCCATTGAGCTTCGAAGGTGACGGATGGTCGGGATACAGGACTGAGGTGATCAAGAACGGCAGCGAGAACTCCATTCCGGAGAAAGGTAACAGGAAGAGAAAGTGGATGGCGTTGAGGATTGCCGGGTTGTTGGTGTGCGCGACAGGTTGCGGCTCTACATGACGAGATTCGGAACCGGACGGCGAACGTTGCGGCGGAAGAGTTTCGGGAAGCCAAAGATACAAGTACAGAGTCTCAACGACAATCAAGAGTAAGGAGAAGCCGGCCGCCGTGGCGAAAGGATTAGCTGCGACGGTGGTAATGCTGGCGAGAGCCGCTCCCATGGCCGGTCCAAAGGTGAAGGCGATGCTGAAACATGCTCCCACAAGAGCCATGGTGGCTCCGCGTTGCGCATCCGTGCTGATGTCTGTCGCGATTGCAGTGGCCAACTGGACGTTTCCCTCGCTCAACCCGCCGACAATCCTGCTCAGCAAGAATGTCCGGAAGTCCACCGCAACACACCACAATGCCACGCTGGCAATGTTGCCGCACATGCTCCATAGCAAAGCCTGTCTTCTGCCATATTTGTCCGAGGCTTGACCGATAATGGGGCTGGCAATGGCCTGCAACAGAGAGAAGAGCGAGCCTAATGCTCCACCCAGAAGAACGATGTCATATCTTGCATTGATAGGCACGGCAAAGGCCTGCTTGTACGCGTTGAGGTAATGGAGTATGCGGTTGAGAGTGGACGATGAATCGGACTCTAGACTTCGGTAGAATGAGAGGAGCGACGGAAACAGCGGTAGAATGAATGTGAACGAGATCTGGTTTGTTCAGCCATCTCAATAGCAATTGAACGAGTCACGGTTGCCCAGATCACTCACCAGATCAAGAAGTAAAGATACGAACAGAACCCGGAGGATCTTCTTTCGTTGCAGAGGCGTAACCGGGTCCATCGGCATCGATTGTCTCTATGCTGTATGCTAAAATTCAGGCCTGAGATGCGTTCGCGGTAATGTGGGAGAGAATGGTGACGATGCGATCTTTTCAACCAGCATGAAAGATGCGCAACTCGGCGACCAGCGCCCTTCGCAAGAACTTAGAATGGTATAAATGCTGACAATAGAAGGGAGGAGACTACAAACAGATGAGGCACCACGAATGAGAATGCGAATGCAAATACTCTGTACAGATGCCAACGAAGCTCGATCAATCAGTTGCAGTGTTGATAATTTGTTCATTGTTCCCCCTTTCGGCCCCTCGCCGGAGTTGCCCCAGATGAAACTCGTCCATGTCTTTTGATTGGTGGAATACGGGAGCCAATGATGATTGGCTCTTCCGCCCCTTTTCACTTCAGCCTGCTGGGCTGCTAACAATGGGGCACGACGATGCTTGCTACTAGTAAGGCACAAAGCAGACGACGAGCTGAGCTCACGCGAAATAATAAACGGTGCGTGAAAACATGGCATTCGAGATGACTCTGGAGTGCCATCATGACCCGAACGGTGAAGACTATTTTGCTTCCAAAAGTAACATGATATCCGAATACCATCTGAATATACTCTGTATATCCGGGCATCCTCGTTGCTTAGTCTCGGCAGCAGCAAGATTGCATGGCGAACATGTGCCTCCATCGTGGACACCAGCATTCGCCGAAAAAGCTCGAGCAATCCTGATCAATTTCATTGGTCCATGGCCAACTGATGATGGTGTTTTGCTTCTTCGGAACGTGAAGCCGCAAGACACCAAGTCCATTGGGCAAATTAAATGGCGTGACACAGCAGAGAGCACGGCTGACTGCCTGCGAAGCCTGGTGTTGCGTCCGCTGTCCACAGAACTCCTCGCAACGCTCGCTCGTGGCCGCTTGAGGCTCATGGAATCCTAGTCACAGGTCGCTTGTAGTCGTTCATACACATGTCATTACTCATCGCCGTCGTCGGGTTCAGGAGTCGGCAATAGTTCAGCCTCCGCTGCCTGCCGCGATGGTGGCCTTCGTCCGCCAATCTTCAAAGCTGCTTGGCCGGCCTGCCGCCTTTCTATGCGCCTCCTTTTGCTTCTGCTTGTCTTCCCATTCGCCTTCTTCCTGCGCAATGAGAGCATGGAACTTCCCTCCCTGGCCTCGGCCGAAGTAGATGGCGCCTTCCTCTCTCTTAGCAACACGTTCCGTCACGAGGACATATTTGACACTGCTCCCAGGGGCCTCAAACATTGCATCTCCAAGGATAGTCTCCATCTCAGTGCGCAGAGCACGAGCGCCGGTTCCCATGGTAATAGCGTTTGACGCAACAACGTGAAGGGCGGGCGTAGTGAAGCGAAGTTCGATTCCGGAGAGAGAGAATAAAGTGACGTACTGGGCAACGAGGGAATTCCGGGGTTCGGTGAGGATGCGCAGCAGCAATGAATGCGTCAAGGCGGACAATGCAGCCGCTGTAGGGATACGGCCAACAAGCTCAGGAATGAAGCCGTATGATTGTAGATCCGCCGGCGTGACAAGATCCAACGGGTTGAAGTAGTTGGGCTCTGGCGCAGAACCGTCCAATGAAGTCTGTTCAGGCGCTGGAGCTGGAGTGAAGAAGGGCAAATGTTTCTTATAGAGAGCCTCTTCTTGAGAACCCGGCAGAATTGGCACAGGAGCAGCCGCGGTCGATTTCTGATCGCGGGAATAAAAGTGCAGATTGGAGCTAGACCGCACGTTGGCTCCGAATCCGATACTGCCTTTCGACAATCGATCCATGATGTGCTTCTGGAGACCAACAAAAGCGCCGCTGAATATGAACAGGATATTGTCCGTCCGCACATTATAAACTTCACCCTTGGCGGGAGGGGATGGAGCACCTGGTGAGCCGGAAGATATCCCAGCCCCTAAGGGGCTGTTAGTTGGATAAGTTTGTGAGTGACCCCCTGCTCGAGGCGCGTTTCGCTCGGGTTTGGCTTGAACCTGGATGGTCGTCCCTTCAATGATCTTCAACAGGGCCTGCTGCACACCTTCACCAGACACATCTTTGCCGTGGCTGACTTTAGCTGTTGCGATCTTGTCCACCTCATCCAGACATATGATGCCATGTTCGGCCTTTTCAACATCGTAATTCGCAGCAGCCAACAACCGATGGACACAGACCTCGGCGTCCTCACCAATATACCCAGCCTGCGTAAACGGAGTACAATCCGACATGGAAAATGGGACCGAAAGCACTCTTGCCAAAGTTTTCGCCATCAACGTCTTTCCCACACCGCTGGGCCCCAGTAATAAAATGTTCGACTTCTCCAGCGCGAGAGGGCTGGAGTCCACTAGTGGTGAGCCACCAGTACGGGCATCAAATCGTGGACCCGGGGGGGCTTCCATGCGTATAGTCGCCTGTTGTCCGGGAAATTCAGTCTCAACAGGATGGCGTTCCCTTCTTTCTCTCTGAGCCAGCAGTTCTTCCTCCTCCTCTTCACGCCTCTGTATCTCCTGTATCCTCTGATAATGATTGAATACAGCAACACTGAGCACCTTCTTTGCTCGTTCTTGGCCCACCACAAATTGATCCAGATGCTGCTTCAGCATCTTGGGGGTGAGTTGTAAAGTGCCATAGACGGAAGCGCCGCCCAACGGGCCCGAAGTCGGGAGACCTGATTCGTACATGCCAGTGAAAGGCTGATTGGCGAAGTCAGAACGATGAAATTGGGACGAGGAGAATTTGAGGCCAGTGGTAGAAATTCGGCGCCTGCTCAGAGCAATGTAGGATGAACGCAACCCGCCCGAAAGTGACATGGTTGACGCAGCCATCGTCCCATCAAGAGCAGGGCAGAGGTACGCGGGTATAGCGCCCATTGTCTGCATGGCTGGTACAGGACCTTGCTTGAAGTAGACAACGTAGGCAGATAGGCTGCCGGGAAGCAATGCTGATACACACTGTGTGCCCAGCAGATGGTGTTGATATGGATCGTTGATGGCGACGACGATGAGTCGAAGGAATGCGGAGCTTAACGGCTGCGCGCAGTGCTCACGGGCACGGGCACGGCATCCACAATCCGCGGGCGCCGGGGGTTCAAGGGTCTAAGGTTAGGGTGGCCCTAAGGATCCCTCCAGGCCTGGCTCCTCGCCAATTATGTGGTACAGAGTCCTAAATAGTCCTACACGTTCACGTGCACAGCAGCGAATATCGGCAGCCTGAAGAAGTCGTCGAGATCCCCCAAGATGTGAGAGGCTGTAGTTCTACTCGTACACAGTACTATCTCGATGAATCGGATATCCTACTACGTTGATGCCCACCTTCTTTCGGCTGTCCAGGTTGGCCAAGCGCAGACACTGCAGTGGCTTCGGCTGAATATCTTGGTCGTGCTTCTCGCCGAGCAAAAGTCCTTGCGCGGAATGCGGCATCTTTTTTACCCGATACAGAATGCCCCTGTATGATGATGGTACATAGGCGCCGTTGAAGCGTCGCTCGTTGGTAGAGTGGTGGTGACAGAGGGATGAAATTCTTGACCACTGTGGTTTCCACCACCCCATGGAGGAGTGGATAGCGACATACCAGGTACCACATGCCACCTAGTAGGTTGGTGAGCAGGTACATGTACCTAGGTACCTTGCCTACCTCTCACTATGGAAATCTACGCCTGGCGGAGAAACCTTCGGAGGTGAGAGTGACGGCAGCGGGGTTGTTGCGCTTCAAGTTCTCAGCATCGAATAGTAGTGGTGCCGGTGGCATCTTGCAAGGAGGGAGCATCGCAATCATCATTTGCTGCAGTTCCCTTTTAAGTGGCAGCAAGCTTCCCCACGTCGCCGGGGCGCAGTTGATGTCATAGCATGCCAAATAACAATTTCGCCGTGGAGTGACCATTTACTGGCGAGCTGGGTACCTAGGTACCTTACCTTAGGTTGGATAGATACCTGGTATCAGGTTGGAATAAACACCTCAAATATTCACCACTCTCCAGCCACGTTGTTCAATCTCCCGTCCGGTTTCTCAAGTCACATATCTCTTCGGAGCTACTGCCTCTGCCCTTGACCACTCTTGCATAAAGACCACTTGCTTCCCATACAAAACAACGCCATTGTGCTTCACAGCTCCTGGGTCAACCCTCCCCTATAATGGCGCTCAACCAGGCTTCGGAGAATTCTGTGTTGGCACAGCCTTCCAGCAATGGAGTAGCTCCTGATGGAACAGGTTAGGAGCTGTCTGAAGTACTTCCGCTCTCCGCTAACAATGTTTGTAGGGGTGATCCAGCTCGATCCTTGGTTAGAACCCTACAAGGACGCCCTGAAACATCGATTCGCAAAGACCCAGAATTGGATCAAGACAATCAACGAGACAGAAGGAGGCTTGGAGAATTTCTCGCGAGGCTTCGATCGCTTCGGCTTTACGTTTGCTCCTGATGGGACTATCACATATCGCGAATGGGCCCCCAACGCCGAGCAAGCTTTCCTCATCGGCGACTTCAACAACTGGGACCGAATTGCCACTCCCATGCAGAAGAACAGCTTCGGTGTCTGGGAAGTCAGTCTGCCCCCAAGAGACGGAGTGCCTGCGATACCACATAACACAAAAGTGAAGATCTCCATGGTGATACCGGGAGGGGAGCGGATAGAGAGGCTACCAGCATGGATCAAAAGAGTTACCCAAGATCTGTCAGTGTCTCCTGTGTATGATGCCATCCTCTGGAACCCGCCACAGTCGGAGCGCTATGTTTTCAAAAATAAGCGTCCTCCTCAGCCGAAGAGCGTCCGGGTCTATGAGGCCCACGTGGGAATCTCGTCTCCCGAGCTGAAAGTTGCAACATACAAAGAATTTACAAGAAACATGCTGCCCAGGATCAAATATTTGGGCTATAATGTTATTCAGCTGATGGCTATCATGGAACACGCCTACTATGCCAGCTTCGGCTACCAAGTCAACTCCTTCTTCGCAGCCAGTTCGCGCTTCGGCACTCCCGAAGATCTGAAAGAGCTCATTGATACCGCGCACGGGATGGGCCTCACCGTACTTTTGGATGTTGTACACTCTCACGCAAGCAAAAACACTCTGGATGGCCTCAACATGTTCGACGGTAGTGACCACCTGTACTTTCACGAAGGTGCAAAAGGCCGCCATGAGTTGTGGGATTCTCGAGTCTTCAATTATGGCCACCATGAGGTCTTGCGCTTCCTCTTGTCGAATCTGCGCTTCTGGATGGATGAATACCAGTTTGACGGGTTTCGCTTCGATGGAGTGACCTCGATGCTCTACACGCACCACGGTATTGGCACCGGCTTCTCAGGAGGCTATCACGAGTACTTTGGCCCCTCGGTGGACGAAGATGGCGTGGTGTATCTGATGTTGGCCAACGAGATGCTCCACGACCTCTATCCCAGCTGCATCACGATTGCAGAGGACGTTTCAGGCATGCCTGCATTATGTCTGAAGCTATCGCTGGGCGGCATCGGATTCGATTATCGACTCGCCATGGCCATTCCGGACATGTGGATCAAGCTTTTGAAAGAGAAGAATGATGATGAATGGGATATTGGCCACATTTCTTTCACTCTGACCAACCGACGTCACGGTGAAAAGACTATCGCTTATGCGGAGTCGCATGATCAGGCTCTCGTGGGGGACAAGTCGTTGATGATGTGGCTCGCCGATGCAGAGCTGTATACGCATATGTCCACTTTGACAGAACTTACCCCAAAGATCGAACGAGCTATGTCTCTCCACAAGATGATCCGGCTGGTGGTCCACGGACTTGGTGGAGAGGGGTACCTTAACTTTGAAGGCAATGAATTTGGGCATCCTGAATGGCTCGACTTTCCCCGTGCCGGAAATGACAACTCTTTCTGGTACGCACGAAGACAGTTTAACTTGACCGAGGATAAGCTCCTACGGTACAAGTTCCTGAACGAATTCGACCGGTCAATGCAATGGACAGAGGAGAAGTACGGTTGGCTCCATGCGCCACAGGCTTACATATCGCTCAAGCATGAAGGCGACAAGGTCCTCGTATTCGAGCGGGCTGGACTGCTGTGGATCTTCAACTTCCACCCAACGAATTCCTTTGCGGATTATCGTGTCGGCATCGAGCAGGCTGGCGTTTACAGAATTGTCCTTGACACGGATGCGCCCGAGCACGGCGGATTCGGAAGGAATGCAAAGGACACAAGGTTTTTCACCACCGATTTTCCATGGAACGGCCGGAAGAACTACACCCAAGTGTACATCCCATCGCGGACAGCCCTGGTAAGTCCTTAGCGCTACTCCGCGACACTCCAACTTAGTTCATCTTGTTTACTGACTTGCCTACCCAGGTCCTGGCTCTTGAGGAGACCCTTTGAGGTCATGGCCACAAGGTGGATGTCATCCCAAGCACTGCGGTCCTATGTGGCTAGGGAGGTGGTGACGATAGTCAAAAGTGCTGAAGAGCTGAGCCTTCATTTGTCAGGATTCTCCTCCTATAATTGACATAAAAGTCCAATCATCAGCAGTGTTGCATACGGATGAACAATAGATAAAACGCCTCAAATATTACTCTGCGATGAGATGAGTGTGAATTGTATTAAGCCTCATTACATGATTCATTTCCATTGAACCTTAAGACCTTCTGTGCCCAGAGTGGAGGGTTCCCAATCTTCCCATACTCATAATACTCCTAGCAAGTTGGACAAAGCATTTTTGGGGAGGGATTCCAACCTATCAAAATGAGGTGATGTGACATTATCAGTCTGCTGGCCCTGCGAGTCGACACGCGTGGTACGTTGTTGCTCCTCCTGCCTACACCTTCACTGGGCCGCTCCATGGGACTTGGGGAATTGCCTGCGGACATTCCATTCGTCCCTGCATACCCTCATGGCGAGTCCAGGGATGAGTTCCTGCTCCTTATCTCTCCCTCTTCCCCCTTTGGCTTTGCCCAACAGCCAGTCCGTCAGGGTGACTACCTTGCTCGTTTTGTCGAACCCGTTGTCCTCGTCTGCGTGTTCGATGGTATGGCTGGCAATGCGGCCCTTTGAATCGAAGGTGAAGATGAACAAGCCCGTGAAATCGTCGCTGCTGCTGAGATTGAAGATCGGTTTGTCGCCGCCGAGAAGTTTTGACAAGCCACGATTGATCCCGCCTGCCGAGGAAGCGTTGGATTCAGCAGCACTCGAGGCCGCCATATCTGTGGAATTCCCGTCTCCATTCTGTTTGGGTTCGGTCTTCCAGCGGACCACGAGCTTCTCCTCCATCAGGTCTGCGCATTCATCTTCGGGGATGGCATATCTGAGGCCTGTGCGGACGATTTTCTCCGACTGGATTTGAAGCTTGACATTGCCTAGAATGGGCACACAGCCCCAAGCCACAGGAGCTGTCCACAAGGCGGCACGGTATGCGACGCGACCCTTCACTGCGGGCAGGTGAGGATGAGTGGACGGGAAAAGGTGGAGGGAGATGTTTGGCGAAAGGATCTCCGGCGGGAGCGGAGTAGTTAGGATGTTTGGCAAGAGGGGAGAAAGTGTTCGCAGTGCTGGAGGCAGTCAGCGATCTGGATCCTAGACCCTTTGGCACAGATTATAGCATACTCTTGCCTAGCCTCAACAGACGCTCGTCTGGAGGCGGATGATCTTGCTTTTCATTGCTGTTGCCGGGCGTGGGTGGCCCGAGTAATTCATCCGCAGGACCAATTCTTGGAGAGGAGGCGGTGAACCATACTTCGGAGATGGGCTCTGGTCGAACTTGAGCAAGATGCCTCTTAGGAAACACCTGGCGAAGGTACTGGTTGGCCGCGGTTGTCGACCTTAAACGATGTCCTAGGACACGAGCCCGGATGGGCGGGTTATGCGTCCATGGTAATGCTGGAGTGGGACGCGGCGCGGCTGTTGGAAGCTTGCGCATTGGCCTGAAGATCATCTGGGCGGAGGAAGCATTATCGAGGTCGAATCACTCGAGAACATCCAGACATGAATGGGAATGTGACTATTGACCATGCTTGCGAGTTGTGTGTCGGGCAGAGTCTCGAACAAAAGTCGTGAAAACGAGATGCGCAGGGTAATGACGTCGGGCCAATAACGAGACAGTAATTGCTTTACATTCAACTTCGCAGTTGGGAGCTCACCATCTTTCTTCTAAACTTCCTTCCTGCAGTTCTTTGTTGCATTCTACTGCAGTTCCTTTCTGCAGTTTGTTGTTGGCCAATTTGATGCTGTGAACTTGCAAGACATATCCGCCTGGAGTCTCTGGAGTCAGTTCAAAGACGTCCTTTGGCTACTATTGCTACGTGCTTCCTTCTGCGGTGGAATTCCCGTCCATCTCAGCTGAGTGCGCTGAACCAGAGACACTGTCACCTCTTTGATTAATGTCTACATTTGCAGGTGAGGAGCACGCCTGAACCATGACCGGCCGCAGCTCAAAGGGATGGCCGGTCCATTCATGTACCATCAATCACCTTTCGTGAAGACGCCTACGCGCTGCGAATGCCCGCAACCTCCCCAAAAGAGTGAGAGACAAGTGTTCTACACCTCCGATCATGGTGACCCTCGAGAAGGAGTTTTAACCAGCGAAGGCCTCGAAGTCCTTCTGATCTCGGATTCTGCCATATCGAATATTGCCTGGTTTGGAGCTGCAGGTAAACATTACACCGTTCTATTCCCATGTCATCGACCGCGCGGTTGAACAGAGAGGTCAGAGATTCCGCAAGAGGTATTTGAGACTGGTGCCTGCCAAGGGTGTAACACGCGGTTCTCCAGATACGAAGACTAGGATTCATGGTCCCTTTCTGGGAGGATACTGAAGTGGGCGTGAACCTGTCACGACAAGGTGCCTGTTTACCGGAGATGTCTTTTCGCAACGACCATGACTTTCTTCAACGCTGCAGCTCTGTCCTCTCATGCCGAGTCAGCCGGCTTGGATTCGCAAAAACAACCCGAAGATTCTTAATACCGAACATTCCTTCGGCTCGGATGTCTTTTCCATTCTCAGCCGGTCGGGTTCAATGGCTCGTCAAGAACGAATATTGGCAGATACACTGAAGCCTAGCAGCATGGCGGAATATCGGTGAGGACTATAATACTAGTACGGTTTCTCAGCATTCGGGTTGAGTTGAAGTGCATGGCCCACCCGCTCGGGGACAGTTACTCGCAAGGTTCGGCACAATTGGCCGGCCTTGCTTCATATCAAAAGCCAACTCTATGTCGCCGGCGCCACTCGGTCAGCTTAACCGACATAGCCACACCCACACAGCATTCGCTTGCCTCGAATGACAAAGCCGGGTTTTACATCGTACTATGCAGGTACTCGGCGGTGTGCAAGGGATACCAGATAGCGGACCACTTATATGCCATGTTCTCAAATGAGAGCGCGAGCTATATTGTTCTATCGCCCTGCATTGCAACGCAAGTGTCTTGGCCTTGTTGTGGGGTATGGCAGTCGAGGAGATCACCACCACGGTGGCCTCCATAGGCCCATTGGAGTGTCTGTACAGAAGAAGAACACAGCTCCGTATCCGGTCATTAAAATGAGGACGGAACCTCTGATGATCACCTCCTAGCACTAGCACTGACATCACTACAGGAAGGCAAACAGAAGCTCTATACAGCTTGTAATCGGACGGAAAATGCTATCAGCCAGCTTTCCGCTCGCGGTGCGGAACGCTTTGTTCCTATCAACGAGACAGAATGAAGCGCCGGCGCTTGATGGATATTGTACATTATACATTGTACTGAAGCACTACTCCAGACCGATGCAGTGGTGCTCGCCAAGGGCCAGTGTACGCATGTGCGCATTGGGACAGAAGCTCCATGCTTGGCTACCATCTCTTATCAGAGTTCAAACCCTCATCGAAGAGCTGGGATAGTAGTCGGCCTGAGGTCGAAGTTGACAAGTCTGCAGGACTACACCATTCAGCGACGCTCTGCGTCAATCCAGCGGAGTTCTGCGGGAACCATGGTTCCATCATTCAGCCTGCTTGCAGAGTTATTCCTCCATCACGACTCCGCACGTCTCCATACACTTCCACGCTAGGACAAATGCCCAGCCTTGCCTAGCATCAATCAAGCAGAGACTATGCGTCTGAGAGGGAGAACGATGTGGTAGTATGCCGTATACAGAGTATGCGTTGGCGCTCTACCAGAAGAACCGATCAAGATTCACCTTCTTGTTTCGGCCTGAACGACAAGCACTCGTTGCACATCAATTGCGATTGGTGAATCGTGTCGATGCAGACGGCATCTTATCTATCCACGTGCCGAATTCCTCACTTGGTATATCAAACCATTGCCTTGGCAAGATGCGTTGCTCAATGCAATGGAGGCGGCCATCGTCGCTATAGTGGGTGGCTGTGTTGGCGGACAAACTATGCTTTGACGGAGTTCGGAAGTTCGAAGAGCCACGGTCATTGCGATACGCTCGAGCGTGCGGTTATAAAAGGGCAGTAGGCCGTCCTTTCTTGAACCGCTCGATTCAAGTTGCAACAGACTTCCGGTCTTCAAGATGCACCTCCGTTCCCTTTGTCTGGCATACACGGTCAGCCTCGTTGCTGGAACTGCTCTTCCTCCTTTGGGCTATGAAAGAAAGGTCCTTCTTGATGCTCTCAGCAAGAGAGGGGATACTGGCGAGTCTTGTTACAGTGGCGATGCGCCCTTGGTCAAGGCTCCAAAGACCAATGTCTGGGCCCCTATTAGTGCTCAAGACAATTTCGACGTGTGGACGCTTCTGCACGATCCGGCAACCGCTTTGAATTTGACCAATCCAGATGACGCCTCACAGACCGACAACTACGTCTTTTGGATCGACGCCCTTCATATGAACAAGACAGATGTGCTCCCTTACATTGATGGCGACGGCCCCGAGCCACCCAAGTATGCTAGAGCGATCATCTTTGAGGGTGGCAAGGCGGAGCCCGACTCTCAGGAATATATGATTGGGCCTCTCCCAGTCTCCGAGTCGACGACTGTGCAAAAGCTCGACTACGTACGTCCCTCAGACCTTTCCAGTACACAGAACTGACATTGACAGATTTACAATGGCGGAAAAGGTGGATCTGTTCCATTTGACGCTCGATATGTCGACGGCGTCAAGTCAAGTGCTCTCACGCCGCTGATCACTTCCACCATGAGCAACATCTCTGACATAACCGCTGCTCTGTTTGACGGAGGTGTCTACTTCGGACCTTCAGACGATCGAACGACGCTTACGATGACTTCGGGCACTCCGGTCTCGTTTGATGGATCTCAAGGCTTCCGCAACATTTTGTTCAGGCTTCCGGGGTCCGGCTCATACCTGAGCCCCATTGACTTTTACCTGCTCGTTGATTGCTCGGGAACCGACCCTTCGCACTATTCGATTAAAGGCTACGTTACCAATAGTAAATTCTACCCCGACGAGTCCTCCCTAAGAGCCGCCTTCGAGGCTGGTGAGATAGCGGAAACTTATGTCCAGCCTCGAGACCAAAGTTGGACAGACGTTGACTACAAGCCCGAGCTTGGCGTCCGCGCCCTCGAGGACATGTTTGCACCCCAGACCATTGAGCTTGGCGGCAAACGGTACAAAGTTGACCCGGAAGCCCAATACGTTGAGTACATGGGATGGAGCTTCTACATGTCCTTCTCGCGAACATTGGGCATCATGTTTTACGATATCAAATTCAAGGGTGAAAGAATCGTCTATGAGCTCTCTTTGCAGGAAGCTATGGCCCAATACGCCGGGACGCAACCCAAAGCAAGTAACACGGTGTACCATGACACCTATTACAGCCTTGGGACGGATCTGGCGACTCTGGTGGAAGGCTACGACTGCCCGTTCGGCTCGACTTTCTGGAATGTTTCCTACCATGAGCAAAACCATACCACTGTGAACCAGGACGCCATCTGTATCTTCGAGCAGGACACAGGTGTCCCGCTCTCCCGCCACCGCTACGGCAGCAGCGCCGGAGATTACCCTTTCAGCAAGCTCGGAGTTGTCAAGGACTCTCAACTAGTTGTCCGTGCTATTGCGACCGTTGGTAACTACGATTATTTGTTCAGCTATGCCTGGTTTTTGGATGGCTCTTTCGAGGTTACAGTTCGTGCCAGCGGCTTTCTACAGTCGAGCTTCTACTATCCAGACCAGAAGAAGTTTGGACCACGCATTGCCCCGGCAACCCAGGGGTCTCTACACGACCATATCCTTACATGGAAGGCGGACTTCGACGTTATCGACACGGCGAATTCTTTCGAGATCAGTGACCTCGTTGTCGTGAACCAGAGTCAACCTTGGTTCCCCGAACTTGGAGAATTTGAGCAGTTCGAGATGAACACCACCTACCTGGAGACGGAAGAGAGATTCAACTTGGCTCCTAACGCCAAAGCGATGTACGCAATTGTGAACCAGAATAAGACGAATGTGTGGGGTGAGAAGCGTGGCTACCGCGTTGTTCCCGGAAAGTCCAACATACACCTTACCGTACTGAACTCGCCGTGGTCTTTGAAAAACTCGGAGATGGCGAAATACCATCTCGCTGTGACAAGGCAGCACGACACTGAGCCATTCGGCAACTCGGTGCAGAACGTTAACCTGCCTCTGGCGCCTCAGCAGGACTTCTCCAAGTTCTTCGACAACGAATCAATCGTGCAGGAAGATCTGGTGCTTTGGTTCAATCTCGGCATGCACCATTTCACTCGCGCGGAAGATATTCCTGTCACGCTGTACACGGAGGCTGTGTCCACCATTCTGTTCGCACCACATAATTTCTTCGACCGCGCTCAGGACGGGGATCTGCTGAATCGCCGCTGGATCGAGTATAACGCGACGACGGACGAGATCACTTTCGATGCCTATGGAGTCGAGTTGCCAAACTGTGCTATGAGCCTGCCTGAGCCAGTCTATGGCATTTCCCCGACCGTAGAGGAGGAGCTGCAGGTGAGCTCGCCATAATGGAAGCCCAGGAATAGCCAGAGCCATGGGCTCTTTGGTACTGGAGGTGTCCACCATTAGGCTATTGTTAGGTGACCGCCATCTGTTATGGCACCCACCATCAGGCTATCTGTTCGACCATCTGCTCAGTCCGGTTGTGGTTCATTATTTGGGTCGTTGCTACTCGCTAAGTGAGGCCTAGCAAAGATACCGACATTCAAACGCAACAAGCCATGAATTACTGTCAACAGTGTGAAGGAGCTCGAACTTGGTGACAGAAGTGATAATGTAGATGCGCCCCTTTATCAGAAGCCTCAATGGCAAATGCTGAACATGCCGTCTACGTAGAGACTGAATAAGAGTATTTTCCGATGGATGCTCTGGCCACTGATGTCTTACTGCTGTGCCTGATGCCCACCATTGCAGAAAGCGACTCCAACAACACTTGAGAGATGGGTCAGAACAAAGGAGAATGATAGCGCAAAACATACCCAGGGTCGCCACTCATGGTAATGTAAGACTGAAGACGGGGCGCCATCTACCTAAGCGCGCAAACATGATGGTAGTAGCCATCGCTCAAGCTGGACTGATTAGATCATTCTGTGCGATTGTCAGACCCGTGCCCGCGTCCCATCATATCTCGATTGATACTCGCATCTGCAGTCCTAGGATCGTTTCCGCGCTGTATGAATTTCCTTTGTTTGGATACCTAGCCTGCTTCTTTCTTCATCCCCACTAGCTCACAAACAAACGACCAAGGGCTGGAAAAGTCCCTTTGAAGGCATGTTGGGAAAGCCATGCAAAGGCCCCTGCTGTCCACCTCCAGACATTGCAATCTGGAGAAAGACAAGACAAGACAAAAGAGAAAGAAAGATGGCATTTTGGAGCAGACACAAATAGGTCATGAAGAATCCGCAACTCAACTCACCTCTGTCTCCCCCATCTTACTCTTCCCACAGGAACGGACTTTTCATCTTTGCTGACCTGAGAGTGTCTGACGCCTTTCCACATCCATCTTCAGCACCCACCTGTGCTTGCTTCTGGTCATGATGTCAAGAGCAACATCAGATGATCAACTGAAGTTCCTCCTGAGCTGTGTCAGGCATTCCAACAACGGAAAGGTATCCAAGAGTCCAGACCAGAACTTGCAACTCAATGCTTACCAGCGTAGGTGGATTTCGTGGAAGTCGCCAAAGAGTGTGGCGTGGTCAGCAAAGGAGCGGCGTGAGTACTCTGTCAACCAGAGCGGTTGCATGAAGCTGACTGTCCACCAGAGCCAAACGGTATGAACGACTCATGAAAGCCAACGGCATCCATCCTAGTGGTGGTCAAGTCGACGGCCCTCCTCAGAAAGCATCAACACCTCTGAAACAGAAGCCAAAGGACTCGCCGGACAAGGCGCCTTCGGCGAAGAAACGCAAGACCGACAACGCCAACACCAACACCAACGCCGGAACTGCGCCCGATCCTGACAGGAATGAGGAGTACAATCACAAGCAACCTGCAATACCCAGTCCCCGGCCTGAAGCCGTGAGCCCTGAACCGCCTGCTGGAGTCTCTGTCCCGATGAGTATGCCTCCAGCAGCTGCTCCGTTCTTCTCACGACCCATGCAAGGGTATATGTTCCCAAACCAGAGCACACGGCCATCCTTCTCAGCCTATCCCCTTCATGGCCACCCACCTCAGGCTTCTTCAATGTCCCCTGGAATGCATGTACACGGTCCGTTCGCTCTTCCTATGCACGCTCCCATGCATTTCGCAGGCCCACACCGCAATATAGCCGGTGGATTCGACAGATATAACAACCAAGAGGTGCTGTACCATCCGCAACCGTTGCCTCTGAGCATGCAGGCAGCCATCTCAAACGAGACCTTGCCGGCAACTTTGCCCCCACAACCCCAGGAGATAGAACCTTTGTGTCAACCCAGGAAGAGTCCATTGATGCCGGAACCGAGAGAGGAGCACCCGGCGGGGCATGTTGTTATTGTCGACTGAGGCCTCAGGCCACGAGCAAGGAGATGGACATGTTATGGCGATTTTGTGGTTTCGTATTCGGCGCAATCCTACCACCTGCGATCAGACTGATCTACCACGGGCGCATGGGTTTCTCGAGGCCAGATCGATTGATTGTAACGGCCACTTGAACTGCGCCAGGATCCGAAGACGTGTTGTGGACAGTTTCGAGGACTCGCTTGATCTGTGCTTGTTCGCATGGGAGAGCTCTTGAGATGGCCGATACCGTCCAGTTGACTGCGCAGGAGGACTCTGCCTGACCATGTCAGACGCAGGTCCAACACAAGGAAGCACGACGCACGCACTTTTCAATGTGTTACTAGTATTGTCAGCAACTTGTCGACGCCACAGAGAGCGCAGATGCATACGTTCAGATCCTCCACAAGCTCCTGTTCTCACAAATACCTTCTCTTCTTGCACCTCCTTTTTCTTCCACTTCCAATATTTCCAACTCTCTGTGTCTCTCTCCTCCCTCTCTCTCTTGCATCTCTCACTTCCACTTCTCTCACTTCCACTTCTCTCACTTCCACTTCTCTATCGACAACCTCCTTTCCTGCATGTGTTGCACTCTCTGCACGTCTGCCCCGACTGTTGCAGAAGCCGTTGACAGCACTGAGGACTTCTGTTCTTGTTTTGGTGAGTTCGCCTTGTGAAGAAACAAGCTACCCAGCCTGCTATAGATCCGCTCACGACCACCCGGCAAACTTTCTCCTTTGTCTTCACTTCACTTCTTTTTGATACTTTACCTCGACCACATGCTCTGAATGCGCTTCAGAGTTCCAACTACCGACACCCCTACCCTGTACTTTCGAAGTGTACACGAAGATATCACTTACCTCACTTGTTATTCACTGGCGTGACCAGTCACCCGTCTGTTTGTGCATGCACACTTGCCTTGTCGTGATGTCGGCACATGAGCTCTGGGCTGACGGTTGGGGAAGTCTGCTAGGACTGCAACTGATCGACAACGAGATGCCTAGCAACAAGCGGCCGGCGAAGCGCAATCTTGTTCGATGGTCGGGTGAGTCGTCCCTTGATGCTGGCAGTTCGATGATCTTTCCCCACTGACAGATCGACAGATGACCTCGACAAAGGAGTTTTGCTTGCCATTCAGTATGCGTCCGCCGAGTCCGGTATCAAGCTGCCATGTACGTTGAAGGGCCAAACTCTCCTCCAGTGGTGTGTTGCTAATCAAGGTGTGGAATCAGGGGCTCGAGTTGCCGAAATCATGGGTCCCAAGTTCACCGAAGGCTCGATTGTCCAGCACCTTGCCAAGCTCAGAACCATCATGGAATCGGAGGGCATTCCAGTACCGCCACCTCTACGACGCGGCATGATCACCAAGACCCCATCGAAGGTGTACGGGCATGTCAACATCAAGACCAAATTTGACCCTGTCTCCCCCATGTACACCGGATCCCCAGAATCCTCGTCGCGAGAGCTTTCATTCTATGATCGCACAGTGACGGGTTTCAGCGAAGAGGAAGAGATACAAACTCCCAAGAGCGGACGAAAATCCCGGGCCAAGTCGTCTCGTCGTGGAATGAGCGATGGCGAGGAAGATGAGGAACAGAGCTCGGACCTGTATAACAGCGACGAGGACAACTTTGTCACCCCAAAGAGAAAGCTTCGGACGCCCAAGACGAACTCGAGCTCTCGGGCATCCAAGACCAAACTTGCATTACAACACCTCCTTTCGACCCCGACCAAGCAGATCATTAAAACCGAGGTAAAAACCGAGGAGGGTGACAACTCTAAGTTGAGCCTGGTTCCGGACGAAGGCATTGGGCCTGCGGGTCGCACCCGCGGAATCAAACGTAATTATGCTGCCATGGATGCCGGTTCTTCTGGCGACGACGAGGCGCATGATGATGGCAGCAATGACGCGAAAGTCGAAGAAGACGAAGCTGCAGCTGACGCTGATGCTGAAGATGAGGTGTCAAGTGACGGTGAGACCGAGATCCTTGAGCAGAACATTGAGCCAGTCAACGACACTGCTGCCGAGCTCGCCCACCTTCGGTCGGTCTTTGAATTCACTCCCCATTTCCCGATCGCAAGCGTCCCCTATGGTCAAATTCACAGTGTCGATGGGATTACCGCCAATATCAACAACGCAGAGGTATGTCATGTAAGGCACTAGTCACCTTGGATGTTTACTGACGCAGAAAAGTCATCCATGTTTCCTACCACTCCAGGCATGTTCAACCCCAATCTGGTCGGACCCCATGGTCTCCCAGTATATAGCGGCAACCTTGCTATGGGTGGAATATATGGTGGGGGTCAGTTTCCGTACGGGGCGTTGCCGTACGGGGGGGTGCAGTTCATGAGTCCGATTGCTCCAGTCCCGTACTATGGTCCCGTTGTTGCATCCAGGGCGGTGACTCCATCTATCGAGTCGTCTCACGCCTCTTCTCGCAACGACTCTATTGCCACTGTCATGTCAGCTACAACTCAACCATCTCAGTCAGACAACGAGGTACCTATCAACAGCGCGGCGGGCAACGATCTTACTCTTGACCTCCCTCAAATTCAGCCGGCAGATGACATGAAGGACGGCGATATGAATGCAAGCATGCCTGCCGAAGACATCATCTGGAATGACTCTTTTGCGTCAGGATTCCTTCGGGATGATCTGTGAATCAGTGGGCCGTCTCTTACATGCCCGAATGCTGTTCGGCAAGGTCATAGGAAAGTGGCAACTCAGCTTCTCACGAGATTGGACATGCGTGGTGTAGTCTGGGCAGGGTTTCCTACGTGAGGGAGGAGTTGTCACAGGTCTTGCTTTTGATTTTTCATTTCTTCTCTTCACTGCAACGAACATATTCAATTGCCACGGGGTCCTCCTCCTTCGCAGGGCTTCGGCATTCACTCATAGGCTCTTGGAGAGCGATCCACGACTTTGAGGGATTCCACCAGTCCCGTGGTGACATGAACCAGGGCTCAAAGCCACAGGGCAAGCGAAGCTGGCGGGCGGTCGTCATGGTCATGCCTTGGACTTATAGGCAGAGCTTGGTTTTGTCTGGACATTACAAGAGAATACATGAACTCAGGAACCATTTCTGGTCTTTCCGACTCCCTTCTGCAGCGTCTCGAAGCGTCAACAAGTAACACAGAGTAGTCAATGTGTAGAGGTGAAGTCCAACTCGTTTCGGCCTCGTCGGAACAAGGCTCGCGCCAAGCGTCATGTGACTGGAGCACTATTCCCGATCGGGAATCTCTGGCTGGATCTGCGATTCTGTTGCTTTCGAGAATCATTTCAACTTGCCAAAGGTCCCCAAATTTTTTGCCGGCCATCAACCTGGTGCTCATAGTTTATTTACCACTCAAGTACTTCTGTCAAATTCGGACTTGCGCTTCTATCCTCTTGTCTATCCATCCGTCTTTGCCATCCTTCGCTTGATCTAAGCTTGTTACCTATTTGACTCCTACTGTTCCGTTGCCCGTCATGCAGCGCGCTCTCTCCTCCGTCGCACGATCCTCTCTCTCCTCTTCCTCTCCATACTCCAGATCTGCCGGCAGAAGTTTACAACAACTTCGGTTCGCCCATAAGGAGCTCAGGTTTGGTGTGGAGGGTCGAGCTCAGTTGCTGAAGGGTGTTGATACTCTGGCAAAAGCCGTTGCTACTACACTTGGTCCAAAGGGTCGGAATGTTCTAATCGAGTCGAGCTATGGCTCCCCGAAGATTACTAAAGGCAAGTAGCTGTGCCAAATGATAGTCAGAGAGAAAGCGCTGACCAGACGACTAGATGGTGTCACCGTCGCAAAGGCTGTCACTCTCCAGGACAAGTTCGAGAACCTCGGCGCTCGTCTGATACAAGATGTTGCCTCCAAGACCAACGAAGTTGCCGGTGATGGTACGACCACCGCCACCGTTCTCGCTGGCGCCATCTTTTCCGAGACCGTGAAGAACGTTGCGGCGGGTTGCAATCCCATGGATCTGCGAAGGGGTACTCAAGCTGCCGTCGATGCCGTTGTTGACTACCTGCAAAAGAACAAGAAGGACATTACCACAAGTGCCGAGATCGCACAGGTTGCAACGATCTCTGCCAATGGCGACACTCACGTTGGTGAACTCATCTCGAACGCCATGGAAAGGGTGGGCAAAGAAGGCGTCATCACCGTCAAGGAGGGAAAGACGATTGAGGACGAACTGGAAATTACCGAGGGTATGCGCTTCGACCGCGGCTTCACCTCCCCCTACTTCATCACCGATGCCAAGGCCCAAAAGATCGAGTTCGAGAAGCCATTGATCCTGCTGTCCGAGAAGAAGATTTCCGCTGTGCAGGACATCATTCCTGCTCTTGAAGCATCCACTCAGCTCCGCCGGCCTCTTGTCATCATCGCCGAGGACATTGACGGCGAGGCCTTGGCTGTGTGCATTCTGAACAAGCTCCGGGGTCAATTACAGGTTGCTGCAGTCAAGGCCCCCGGCTTTGGCGACAACCGTAAGAGCATCCTTGGCGATATTGGTGTCCTGACCAACGCCACTGTGTTTACGGATGAGTTGGACATTAAGCTGGAGAAGCTTACTCCCGACATGCTCGGCTCGACCGGCAGCATCACCATCACCAAGGAAGACACCATCATCCTGAACGGTGAGGGAAGCAAGGATGCCATTACTCAACGATGCGAGCAGATCCGCGGCGTCATGTCCGACCCCACTACCTCCGAGTATGAGAAGGAGAAGCTGCAAGAGCGTCTCGCGAAACTGTCGGGTGGTGTTGCGGTCATCAAGGTCGGCGGCGCCTCCGAGGTCGAGGTAGGGGAGAAGAAGGACCGTGTCGTCGATGCTCTCAACGCCACCCGCGCCGCCGTCGAAGAAGGTATCCTGCCCGGTGGTGGTACCGCCTTGATCAAGGCTGCCGCCAACGCCCTGAAGGATATCAAGTCTGCCAACTTCGACCAGCAGCTTGGTGTCAGCATCATCAAGAACGCCATTACTCGACCCGCTCGCAAGATCGTCGAGAATGCCGGTTTGGAGGGTAGTGTCATTGTGGGCAAGCTGATGGATGAGTTCGGCTCCGATTTCGTCAAGGGTTTCGACTCGGCCAACGGGGAGTACGTTGACATGATTGCCAAGGGTATTGTGGACCCTCTGAAGGTCGTCCGCACCGCTCTTGTGGACGCTTCCGGCGTGGCATCTCTGCTGGGTACCACTGAAGTTGCCATCGTCGAGGCCCCTGAGGAGAAGCCTCCTATGCCACCGATGGGAGGCGGCATGGGTGGAATGGGTATGGGCGGATTCTAAGCTCTGTGGCTTGATTCGAGCCCGGAGGTCCGCCTTGCTCAATCCTATCCGTGACTTTGCAACTTCCTGCGTTTAAGCGAGTTCCTTGCGTTTTGTTACACAACCTGCCTGCCTCTGGCAACACATCTCTCGACATATCACCGATCGGTTCATTCTGACATGCCATCCGTTTCTGGACGGTGTTCGGATCCTTGCAACGGGGCTTTGTTGATATGTTCGTCGGACATTTTTGTACACTTGCAGATCTGCTACACTACTCCACTCAACTTCCGGGCCCATGTTGGTTCTTTTGGGTTGCAAAAGGACCGGACAGAAAGAGGCTGGGGCAACAAGGGGCACTTTTAGAAAAACAAACAAAAGGATGGGTCGGGGTACGGTCTCCACGACGGCGATGTTCCTTTGCGACAGCAAGGGTGGAGAAGGAGTCTTAACATACGGAGACGAGCAAAGAAATAAGCCAAGGGGGTAGACCGGTCTGTATCATAATAGCCTGAAAGGTGCTTTGGTTGTCAGCTGTGCCAAAGATGCCAATGTAATAAAAGTGATTTCTTCTTGATGCCCGAAGCTACAATACCTTGACACAGGTTACCGGCCATCACCCTTTTCCTACCAAAATCAAAGTTACCGAGGTGTATTATAAAGTGTCACGAGTAAGTCCACAACTCGCCCAGGGGCCCGCCCTGGCTCCAAAAAGGACTTCAATCCTAGGCATTGTGCCTAGAGATTATGGACCTATATTTGACATCTTGACATAACCGGGAGTCCACCCGGTTCATGACAACTCGGGTGCTCCTGTTTATGTCAAGCAGACGCCGGCCGCAACACCGAGCCCTTATAGAGTGACCATCAAAGGTCGGGTTGTATGGGAAGCCAGAATCTATGCCACAAATGTATATTCTCGCCCTGCCTCTTTGACAAAGAACCCACTCTAGTCGTGAGCCTCGATTCTTCCAATCGCGGAGAGGTTGAGACCAGGCCAGTGTTTCCTGCCCCAGATGAACCAGTATCCAAGGGAAGCAAATACGACAAAAGCGTAGATTGGAAGCGCATAGTTCATATTGGTGGCCGTGACCGGTAATGTGGTGGGGAAGGGCAGCCAGATCGTGAGGTAGATTGTCCAGCACAGAGCGAAGATGTTGACAGGGGCTCCAATTCCCCTCCACATGCGCCAACCACCCAAAGGGACAGGAGCATCCGGTTTGTCGCTGAGGCGCCCACTCCAACGAGCATGCAGAATGCAACTGATGGCGATGATGTAGGAGGTGTACAGCCCGAGGGAAGACAGGGCGGTAAAGGCGCTGAAGGCGGTGGCCGCCGTGGATCCGATGTTGAGCAGAGAAAGCAGCATAACGATCACGATTGGGAGCCAGAGCGCATGAATGGGAACATGGTGCTTTGCGTCGATCTGCCGGCGGATTAGTTCAAGGGTCAATAGAAGACAGAATTGGCCGTACGTACGATTGCGAGCCACTTGGGCAGGGCACCGTCCCGAGCCCAGGCCCAGGTGATTCGGGAGACGGAAGCTACACTGGCCGCCACGACACAATATGTCACGATGATCAGTCCTGATGCCATGGCATTTGCAGCCGGGCGGGATCCAGTTGCATTGATGCAGATGGGAATAATTGGATAGGCTGCATCTAGGACACCGTCTGGGTTGCCCATGGTGTAGAGCAACACCAAGATGATGGCAAAGGCCATGACACCGTTAATGACTATGGTCAAGATCATGGATCGGGGAACAGCATGTTTCGCTTTGCGGACTTCTTCGGACATGTGGACGACGCCGTCAAATCCTGCCACAATCGTTAGGTCTCTGTCTACCACGGTTGCAACACTGCTTACCGATGAAACCCCAGGCCGGTGCCAACATCCCTAGGTTAAAAGCAACGAAACTGCTTCGATCCCACCCGGATAATATGGATTCCGTGAACCATACGAAGTGAGAATCGTGTCTGGGGCCAAGGGTGACCAGGACCACCACGAAGATGATGAAGAGGATGACATGCATGATACCGGCTGTCAGCTCCAACCACGGAATGAGCCAGAACAAGTACATGTTCAGCAGGCCGACACTGATTAGTAAAGCCCACATGATCAGAGTAAGATGCCATCTCGGAGCGGAGTAATCGGGTATATTGTCTTGGATCAAGGCTTGCATCAACGCAGCCAAGCCAGAAGTGCTACCGGCAAGGGCGGACACCCAGGCAAACCAGGTGACCCAGCCTGTGGTGGGTTAGCGATACGATAGCTTGCGCAGCTGCGAGGGTCAATCGTACCTTGCATCCATGTGATGAATTTTCTGGTATGATCTGGTGCCAGAATATGAGTCCAATGGTATTGAGCACCTGCGATCGGGAGGATAGAGCCCAACTCGGCCATCGAATAAGCTTGAGCAAGAGATCCAATGACGACCGCAAGACAACCCCAAACAAGGGATTGGGGGCCACCGTTCCAAAACGTCGCTGAGATGTTGCTGCGCTCTGATTAAATTCTCCAATGCGTACTGTAGCCTGTTGCCGAAGTCGGGCACGTACATCGCCATGACTTCCCATGATTCCATAAAAGTCAAGGAAAACGCAAGAAGCTGAGCAAAGCTGAAAAGCCTCTGGACGGACGTCAGTAAGACAAAGTGCAAGTAGATATGATATATCCAGGGAGGTCCTCACCTTCAACGAGCCGCCCTCGCTCTCTGACGCAGAGGGATATGCTCGGGCAACATTCTTCTCAGGATATGTCGGCTTTGGCTCTTCCGAGAACCGGTCGACAGAGACTACCGAGTTTTTGCTGGCCTCGCGAAGCTCCAAGTTGTCTGTTTCATTCTGATTCCCCATGATGACTGATTTGTGGGTATAGGGTCAGGGGGGGGACACAAGATATAAGCAGAAGATCGGTCAATGAGCAAGGACAGACTTCAGAAACACCCGAATGTAAAGGCCTGGAGTTGAAAGAAGCCAGGATTCAGCTCGACATGTGGTCAAATACATGCACAAGAACTCAGATTGCTGCCATCGGCCGTGTGGCAATAAGCAGAAACATTCGAGAACGTGGAAGGAGCGAGTTCCTGTCGAAGATCCAGGAGGCGATGCTGGATATCAAGCGATACCACTGTGTAGGTAGTATGGCACGCATTAGCTTCGGACGTGCTAAGAAAGCATAGATGGAAGGGTCTTTAGTCGATAAGAACCCCCTACCCACTTGAACCCGCTCAACATGCCAGCATCATTCCTCCTGGGGCCTCATTGGCCGTTGGGAGTATATGTCACTGTCGTGGTAGAGCCAAGCCGACAGGGCCGTTCCCAAATGCTTGCTTTACAAGATGATAAGAGGAGGGAGATGAATGATCGCTGGTCGGTGGCAGTCGGACCGACTCAGCTGTTGGGGGCTTGATTGCCAGGCTCTGAGTTGTAATGCCAAGCTGGCGCCGGCTCGCGTGTACCATGTCGTAAGCTCGGGGAGGCCCTGAAATGGAAATGATGGGTCTAAGTCGTACACCAGGGAAACAGGGGTGGTAGGTCGAGCGACATTCGAGAGTTTGGCAGACTTGAAACAGTGGACATCACTGGAGAGAGAGACTTCAAGATTTACCTCCCTACCTATGTTCAGGCACTGCCACCGTCAGGCTGGGATCCAGAGTTACAACAATACCGTTGTTGCCCTGAAGGTCTGTCTTGAGGAGAAGAGGACGTCCATCCCAACAGTTGGTGTGGTGGGCGATCGGCCTTGTCCACATCCTGATGCCCGTGCCCTTGAACAAGCTAGGGTGAATGGCTCAGAGCCCTCAGAGCCAATGCTGGCTCTGAATCGTCGCAGCTTGCGCCAGAGGAGACTGGCTGTAGCATGGAGAACCGACGGCGGTATGCGACGGCGGCATCATGGCCACATGATCGTCGGATACCGACAGGCTGGCGTTTGGTTCTATGCAGTCCCAGCTATTGTCACTGCTCACTGGGATTCTCGTCTGATGCCGGGATCAGGGCCTCGATGCCGGATCACAATAGTTGTGTAGGTGGTTGTTGACTGGTGCAGGTCATCCGGGGGTGAACGATGTAGGTCAAAGCTAAGTATGACGGTCCCATCGTTTACAGGTAGAGACGTACATGCTAGCCAGGAGGTCGCTCAACGAGAGGAAGTATGATAAGGGTGGATCTGGGATTTTCCCACCTATCAGGCCACCCGTCCATCGCAGTCCCAGTCCGGCTGTTGTCAACATATGGCAGAACGGGTCGCGCCGCCACGAGAAGGTGAGGATGCGAGCACCTGGCGGGATGAAAGCAAGGTTTCTAGTCGGGATGCGGTGACGGGACTAGGGAGCATGAGATTGTTGGTCTTCAGTTTGTGGAGAGCAGCCACTGGCATCGACATACTCTTGAGTCTGATGGAGCTTCATCTGATATCCGGGGTAAAGGTAACACCGTAATCGCAACTGCTGATCTCTCCGGATAGCGGCGCTATAAGGTTGCTGCTAGCTGGGCTGTGGGAGATGATCCAAGACAGTAGAGTGTCGGCAAAGGTTTGGTGAGAGACAGTATGTGGTACTAGAAAGTCTGTCGCAGGTAGGTTGGGGTCTGGGGCGCGGGTGAGCACTGCCTTTACTAAATATATTAGAACTTGTGACCTGCCACTATAGTTTACTGGCTGCACTCTTTGCTTACTGGGTAGTAGTACCTACCTAGTACTAGTACTAGTACTTTGTATCCCGTATAGTTAAATTCAAGGGCATTCCTTAACTACTAGCAGTATATTCCTCGATCTAAAGTGGCTAGTAAATCTATAGTACTACAACTCCGCTTAAACGTATTAAATTCCTTACTATATTTTATATTTTATATTTTTACTTCTTCTGGCCCCGCCGCAGGGAGACTCAGGTTTAGACATCACAAGCAGCCGAGAAACCTCATCGCCGAACAAATAGCCAAAGTCCTGCAAATTGACCACATTGCTCGGACCTGGACGGCTTTTGGAACGCGGTGTCAACAAATAGCTGTCCTGGATCGGGTTTGGCGACTCTCATGCATTTATAGAAAAGAGCAGCTCCTAAACCTAGGAATCGAATCAACAAACAGGAGATGATGGAGGCAATATCGACTGGCATCGACACAGAGTACACGAGGGGTGGCAAGGCGAAGAGAAAAGGGGGTCGTGTCGATGCCAGCCGACATGGCCTCCATCATCTCCTGTTTGTTGGGGGTCCCCGAAGTCCCTATTCACATAAGAACGGCTCCTAAACCTAAAAATCAAATTAATAAATACCTAGGTAGGAGATGATGGAGGTAATGTCGGCTAGTATCGATATAGCGTACAGGAGAGGTAGCAAGGCGAAGAGGAAGGGTAGCGTCACAAGCGACGACGGCCCGCCGAAGAAAGGACGCAGAGCCTTGAATACCTCGTTGAACGGAGCCGAATGTCAATCCCTTGTTACCCTGCAATACAACTCCGCGTACTATCGGAGTGGCATCTATGAACCAAAGCTAGTATAGGTAGTCAGACTGACCTGTCATGTTATAACAACGGATGTGGCAATGCAGAACATAACGGTTGACTACCAATCAAACCCGTCTTCATCCTCCAAAACGAAAGCAGACCCATCAGAGGTGTCGCTAGGAGGTACTTTCTACACTAAACGAGATCCCGAAGGATCGAGAACAGAAGACTACAACGATATTCGAGCAACGAGTTTTGAGTAAGGTTGTCAATGTACAAATCTTCTTCGCCACTCTCCCTGCAATGGGCAGCCCTCAAAAGGTCCGACTACCCAGCCTCTTGAATGCAACAGATGACTTGAGTGCTTGCTTGGTTGCATTATCTTGTCCGTAAACCTGCTCACTTGACCCCTTACGACTTCTCAAGTTCGGCCAGGATCTTCTCACCCTTCGCTCGTGCACTTTCAAAGTCACCGACCATGTAGAAAGCACCTTCTGGGAGATCATCACCTTCGCCGTTCATGATCTTCTGGAAAGAGCTGATCGTGTCCTTGATGTCGACCAGCTTACCCTCGATACCAGTGAAGACCTGAGCGACAGTGAAAGGCTGGCTCAAGAATCTCTGGATCTTACGGGCACGTTCGACAGTCAGCTTATCGGCTTCGGACAATTCATCCATACCCAAAATGGCGATGATATCCTGTAGCGACTTGTACTCTTGCAACATCTGCTGGACTCGGGATGCGGTGTCGTAGTGCTCTTGACCAACAACTCGAGGGTCCAACATTCGCGACTTGGAATCAAGGGGATCGACGGCCGGGTAGATACCCAACTCGGAGATACCGCGCGACAACACAGTGGTGGCATCCAAATGGGCAAAGGTCGTAGCAGGGGCAGGATCGGTCAAATCGTCAGCGGGCACGTAGACGGCCTGCACGGATGTGATAGAACCCTTCTGCGTCGTAGTGATACGTTCCTGCATCAGACCCATGTCGACGGCCAGTGTGGGTTGGTAACCGACGGCAGAGGGAATACGACCAAGCAAAGCAGACACCTCAGAACCGGCTTGAGTGAATCGGAAGATGTTGTCGATGAAGAGCAACACTAAAAAAGGTCAGTACATGATTTCGCTTGTAGCGACGACAAAGCCACTCACCGTCCTGGCCTTCTTCGTCGCGGAAAAATTCGGCCACAGTTAACCTAAAGGACAACGCCAGTCAGTATAGGTACGAAGTAGAAACTAAGTCGAAGTTGTCCTGGAAGAGATGATGGTGGCCACATGAGGTCCAAAAGTAAGGTAAATCCATTGTGTCCGGGAAGGTGGGATGGGCCAAAAGGTGGGTGCCATAACAGATGGCGGTCATCTTCATCTCACGAGGGTTGTCTCTGAGAGGATCGCCATCGGTCATCTTCATCTCACCCGGGTTGTTACTGAGATGACCGGAATCTTCATGGCACCCACACTTAGGCCCAAGAGGGAAGCTCAAGAGGGAAACTCAAGCGGGAAGCCCAAGAGGGAAGGAATAACTCACCCAGTCAACGCAACACGAGCACGAGCTCCGGGGGGCTCGTTCATTTGGCCGAACACCAAGGCGACCTTGGATTCGCCATCAAGTTGAATGACGGATGTCTCCTGCATTTCGTGGTACAAATCATTGCCCTCACGAGTACGTTCACCCACACCAGTGAACACAGAGTAACCACCGTGAGCCTTGGCGATGTTGTTCTATTCCGACCAGTCAGCGATGGTTGCAAACGTGTTGGGGACAACACCCACAATCAGCTCCTGGATAAACACAGTCTTGCCGACACCAGCACCACCGAAGAGGCCAATCTTTCCACCACGAGCATAGGGAGCCAAAAGGTCCACGACCTTGATGCCCGTAACAAGCACTTCGGCGGATGTGGACTGTTCAACGAATGATGGGGCATCGGCGTGGATAGGGGCCAACTTGGTTGCTTTGATGGGCCCTCTCTCATCGATGGGATCACCAGTAACGTTCATGATACGGCCCAACGTGCCGGGGCCGACTGGAATCATGATGGGGTTTCCAGTGTCGGTAACTGTGTGACCTCGGACAAGACCCTCGGTACCTACGAGAAGTCAGACAAGCCGTAAAAAACAACGTGTTATCTTGCATACCGTCCATAGCAATGCATCTCACGATGTTCTCGCCCAAATGTTGCTACTGATCGTCAGTATGCGCTTTTTTTTCAAGCTTCAGATCATATCCATACCGCAACCTCCAAGACGAGCTTCTGACCATTGTTGCTGGTTTCGAGGGCATTGAGAATTGCTGGAAGCTGCTCGGTGTCGAATTTGACTAGAGAGAGCGGATCAGCATCTGTTTGATTCAATTGGGGCTTGATGCTGCCAATTCCGAGCTTTGTGGGAGCTCCATGCGCAGCCAGGAGCAAATTTACATACCATCAACGACGGCGCCGATGACCTGATGAATCTTTCCCTCACGGGCGGAGTCGGTGGAAGCCCATCTCTGTGCAATGGCCGGGATAGCTTGTCTTCGAAGAGGTTCGAAGGCGCGTCGAGCGATTGAAGGTCGAGCAAAGGCAGACTTGCCCAAGCTACGGGCGATGCCGCTGTTCCATCAAGTCAGCAACGGTTCGACGTGCGCTGAATAGCTTTGCAAGCTCATCAGGACAAGCTCACTAACCTCTTGAGCATGTTTGCAGACGACGGAAAGGTGAAGAGTAGAGGTAGAGAGGAGAGTTGGGTAGTTGAGAAGCGAGAAGAAGTAGGTTGGTTGCTCGAGGATGAAGCTGTTCATTCCGAGCAGAAAACGGCTATTCCTAAAACGGTATAGTCCCGAAAAGCTCACTCAATGATCGCAACTACGTGCATGCAGGCAGTACATAGTAGTACGGCGGCCACCCTCCCCAAACCTAGGTACCTAACACGACCTCCTGCCGATGTCAATCCAGCGAACCCTGGAGGAGTAGATTCAACGTAGATTCAACTGCAAGGATATTTGAGCCACGCTTGCACATGGGACAGACTGTTGACAATGGCAAGATACGGGAAGGGAGTACTAGCTGGCGCGCCAAGGGGTTCGACCACTATCTGCAAGCATCTATGTACAATCTGAAGAACTCAAGGCGCGTTTTCAAACAATCAAAGGAGAACGATAGGATTTGTATTCACAGTGAGGAATCCTGTTTTCTCGCGATACTAGTGACAGTACAAGTAGACCTGGCTTGTCCAGTAGAGAACGAACGCGACCAGCGTTGTCTACTCATCCGCTTCCAGTTTGATGCCTTGGGCCTTGGCCGACTTGCTTTGAACGTGACCCTTCCCTTGATAACCTTCGCTGCTAATACCATAAATAGGATTGCTCCTCTCGGACTATTCGTAAAATTGTTAGCATCATCAATTGAATCCCACGTGTGCCACCGGCATCCACAGGTGGGTGCTAGCTAGCGAGGAAAAGCCGGCTTACCTTAAGGTATTCATTGGTGGCTTCTTGCCACTCTTTGGTCATAGTGCGTGGTGGTGGTCTCGCGAATGCGTGGATGCCAAAGAACAGGGCTGCAGCAATGCCAACCCCAGTTGCAGTGTAAATCCAGACCTTGGTCCATTCACCCGGTGGTGTCTCTGCGCGAGGACCATGAGGGCCGAATGCAATCCACCATGCTGTTCATATGTCAGCAACCATGGCCTTCTGACAAGACAATCGAATTGGCTCGTATGTTGGGGACTCGAGCTCCACATGCGAGGTATCCGACTCGCTTGTATCAAAGGGAAGGAGTGCGCCCGTACCAGCTTTCTTTTCTTGCAAAGTCATTTCATGCCAGTCAACCTTCATCCGATCTCTCAATTGCATCCATAGCTCGGCTTGTTCTTGAGGCGGCATGGCTTCCCATCTTTTCTCAATTCCGGCAAGTGTAGGGTTCGAGATCGCGTGGGCGGTCCGGCTTTGCGAATGGCTGGTCATGGGAGGCTGTTGAACGGTAGCGAAGATCGGAGCCAGGGAGCGAGTCGACGATTGAAAGTTTCTAGTCGCGGAGGGAACACCTCGCGTGCATGCTGTCGAGGTACCTGTAGCAGTACGAGCAGCACGGGGTAGGGAGCGGAGAAGCATCTTGCCTGAGGACGCGAAACGCGGCTCAATACATGCAAGAAAATTGATTTCGATTCACCTGCCGAAGCCTGGAGCTCCGGGGCCTCTATCGCGGTATCTTGACAGTAAGATGAGTTTGAACGAGCGAGGTTGGTTGTTTGAAGGTCGTTGAGTCTCGAAGTTGACTGACCTGGAGCTCAAGTCTTGGCACCGGGCAAAATTACGCCCCAAGCTGCCAGCTGCCGTCACACCACTCCTGATTGAGCAGTGCCCATCTGCTGCCGCTACGACAAGTACATACTGCGGTTGATTGCGCCCAATAATGCACTGGCCACGATTCGCTGTTGGCTGTTCGGGCTCCTCAACACCGACATTCTTCTGCTACGAAACGACCATCTCACGAGCGAGGTGATCTGAACCAAAGCGGGCAGCCAATACTGATCATATTACTAGTAGAGGCGATCTGCCGGCTCGGTCGAAGATCAAGCAATTACGAACCCATCACCTGTGTCCATCTTCGCACAAGTTCCAAGAAGAATAACAATGATTGTGTAGCAATTAGTGACGAATGATGGCGCGCCAACACGGAGAGGAAACTAGCCGCTGCAGGCGGTCGAGTAGGTCTCGGCTCACAATGCTCGTTTGATGTCACCACAACTGGCTTTCTTAAAAAGCGAGGACTGTAACAGGCAAGGATGGCCAGGAAAGCGTCGGATGTATAAGACAATGCCCGATCCGATTGCTGAAAAATGCTTTGTCTGCTTGATTCCAGTCATCTCGGATTGAGCATGCTGCAGAGTCAACTTGCACTACCGCGTCCAATATCCGACCTCCCCACCGCGCACAATCATGGCCATCTGCTCATCTCCTCAGGGAACGCCGTTTCGCTCGAACATAGGTAGCGACCCGATTCATGTCTCTGCTCTTGCCGTGTAGCGAGCTGTGGCTCTGTGCATTGTTGTCCAACGAATCGAATGCCGAGCCTAGATTGTGCCTTTCCCTTTGCTAGCCTCCTTGAGGAGGTCAGCCCATTCCAATTCACCTGGGTCGTTCGCCTGCCAGTTCATCGCAATGCCGTTTAGAGAGTTCTTCAGGGTTTCGCGGGAGCTGGCATAGACCATGCGCGACTGTGCTTGGTTAGCTCTGGATTTGTTCGCAGGGTTGAAATGCATACCTTGACACCTGTGTTGTCCTGGTTGATGTAGGTGATGAAGGCAATCTTGGACCTGTGTTTGGTTGTGAGCAATATGAATATCTACAAGTGTAATCCCTCATGCACCCACCTCTTGCCTTCACCGCCCTCAAGTTCGAACTCCACATCGTAGATGGCATAAGAAGGTCTATCCTTGCCCGTCTTCTCCTTTTTCGAGATAAGCTTTTCTCTAAATGTGTCGTAATCAGACTCTTTGCCAATCTCATCTACCACGATTTCCTTCTGGTCATCGGAGATCTTGTAGATGATGTATTTTGGACCGCCGCGGCCTAGTTTCAGCTCATTGAAGGCTGAGACGCACTCCGGGTTGACGGAGAGTCTGCAGGAGTAGAACAGTCAGACAGAAGATGGCGACGTAAAGGGAGCGACGACGACGAAGAAGAAGCGCAATACATACCCGGACACAGGCTGCGTAGTGGTTAGCTTGGACACACTTTCTGGATGGGTCATACACTCACCATGGCTGAAGAGTTGAGTAAGTTGCGAACAGTGCTACGTGGGCGGGAACTGGTATCCTCGTCAGCTTATGAAAGTAAACAGCAGGCCGGAATTGTGGTGAAATGTGGGAGAGGAACTCAGGTGACCGAGATAAATGGGATGATCCGGTGGTGCATGCTTCGACTCGGTAGGAACGTCAAAGCTTAGATGCCTGGCAACTCCGCGTACCTGATCTATGCGTCGCGACGTCGGTCTAGAAATCGCTGAGTGAAGCAGACTCTTAGTAGTAGTAGATGTAGATGTCGTGAGTAGGTGGACTGTAGAGTAAAAGTCTAGGACGGTGAGAGGGACGATGCTTGCGCAGGTAGCAGTGCAAAGGCAGTAACAATGCTACTAAGCAGTACTAGTACTAGGAGTAGTAGTGGTTGGTGGTGGCACCTGGCTGGGAGCGAGGATGGTGGGGTTCAGTTCCTTGTTACTTGGCTTCTGAGATCGCAGGCAAATATTGATACGAGCTCGTCGTGCAGTGCCAGTGGTCGGCCACAACAGCTGAGAGGTACTATTACTATAACTGCTCCCTCTCTACTAACATTGCCGGTCTTGTTCTTCCTAGTATGGCATTTCTTTCTTGACGTCTCTATCTTCACTAACACCGCCTCTAGAGCCCCATGAGAGTGGGCTCCTTTGGTCGAATAACCATAGTATGCCTCGAGTTGTCAGCCTCATCAGCACTCGTTGGCCGGTGGACGTCGTGGGGGCCAAAGGCCGGAGTGCGGCCTGTTTGAAACTCGTCAGCACCCAGAACTCCGCCGTAGCACCAGGTTAATCAGGTTGCTTTGCTCTCAATCAAAAGACACATTTTGCTCACCACACCACTACTTTACTCTGTACAAACGAATTGCCCCGATTCCGGCTTTTCCACATTGTCGTTTGGTACCTAAAAATGCCCCACTTTAGGCAACAGTGACCAGAATCGTGATGGGTTGTCTCCTCAGTGAGATGAAGGCCAATTCCTACTGCCTAGGCCAAAGGATCTCTTGAGCGCCCCAGAGGTGCTTCAGCACAAGTGGTTCGCACAGCATCCAACCCCTGAATGAGGATGGCATGTACCGCTAAGAGAGTGAAGCATGACGGCAGCCAGCTGCTCACAAGTCTCTCCGGATCACAGAAGGTCAACATCTCTCGAGTCGGTTGAAAGGCTGTCTGAATCTACCACGAGGACTTCCACAGCCTGGCCACTCCGGAAGCATCGGTCGTTGGGACATACGAAATGGCATATTTGGAACATATGAAGATGACTGCGACATTCTGAAGATTGACGGCCCTTCCAAGGCCGAATCAGAATCAAACGAGGCACTCACGCCAATGTCGATCCAAATTGCGGGAGTTCAACCCGCGCGAAGTTCACCAGGGCGGGTTCGACCGACGAATGATGCCCAGAAGTGCTCAACGCTCTCAGGTCGCACAACCTCAATCTCGTGGGCATAACTTGGTCGTCAAATATAGCCGACTATCTCCTGCATGCAGGACATACCGCGCACTGCCGCTTACGTGGAAGCGTGGCAAAGCAGGCCGGGCCTGCGAAAACCATAACCTGGTCCCTGCTCTCTCGACGTGATGTGGCTGTAAACTCGACCCAGGCTGTCGTCCTCTGACACTGGCTGCTGCCACGGGGGACGCTGGTAGTTAGATGGAATGGAGAAAAGTGTTTCCAAAAAGCAGTGCGGTCGGTTGTCAACGGGAGTGAAGGACCCCTAAGCGGGAAGGCATGGACAGTCACGAGAAGCAGTGAAAGCAGGCCGGATAGAATGCTGAAGCAATGCTCCTCTTTCTATTCGCTGACACCCTCCCGGCTTACAGCAGAATGATTCAGGAACAGCTTCAAGGTCAAGGTGTACAGCAGTGTGGTCTCGATACGCTCCTTTCCAAGTGCGAACTCCGCACCGAGTACTTTCAGCTCGGTCGTCAATTCAGAAACGCCTTGGCTGAACCGGACAGCCACATTTCCCCATTCGGGTCACTCGAGGCGAAGGTTTGTATCATTTTGGACAACAGATCCATTGATATTGGTACAGAGACATCGGATTCCGGGTAGGTTCCCTTGCTCCTTCGTTCTGTCGGATTCCACCAGGGCAATAATCTCCTGTTCACCTACCACAACACTTGCCTGGCTTGTACGACTCCGCAAAAAGCGTCGAAGACGAGAATCATCATGCGCTACGTCGAATCTTCACGAGGCTCTTGATAAGCAACAGCAACGAACGAGTGGTCCTTCTCTGGGGTCCTTTGTATTGCATAGGCTAAACCTTCGTGCTAACCCAAGGGGAAAGCTAATTGAGACCTTGATGGAGAGAGCTACTCACAACAATTACAAATGCAATTGGTCCTGCCTGTGGCATATCTGCAGATGTCTACCTACGGTACCTATTGATGCAAGTGCTACTAAAGTAGCTCGTAGATGCTGAGATGCTCATACGTATGGCTGTGAAATACCTATCAAATGTTGAACTCAGGACTTGAGGATATGGATTCGGATGGACTGTGGCCTCCCTAGCCTACACGAGACACTCTAGGGTAACTCCCGGTGGCCGTGGTGACGGAGCTTGAGTAGGTAGGTACCTGGGTGCCTGTCAATCCTAGGACAGCTGTACACGTACCCCCCTTAGCTCGTACGGAGTATACAAGGCAACCTCTGAATTTAGGGCCAATGTGCTGTATTTTGGCACGTTACTAGTATTTTCTGCGTCGATACTGTGACATATTCAATTAGGAAGCATTGCACCAATGCCCAATTTACTACTTGATAATGATGGTGGGGCGGGATATTGCATTGATAGGAAAAGGTATAGATTATAATTTGAAGTAGCAAAATTTCGTTCAACAATTACCCACCACAAGCGCAATTGGTCTAGTGGTATGATTCTCGCTGTATGTATTCATCAAACGTTACAACTCATCAGACAAATTACTAACAACCTCCTAGTAGGGAAAACCTTGAGATAATTTGCGAGAGGTCCCAGGTTCGAACCCTGGATTGCGCCTTGCCTGTTCTTTTTTGCATCTATAACCCAGCATCTATGTTGGGTTGTGGGCTGATTTTTTGAGTTTGTTGATTATTTGTGAGCTACTATTATGTTAGACTTGAATTTTTGTGAATTGCGTTGAATTCTTCTTTTATGAGTTGTGTTGAGACTCGAGAGAGACATGTGCCTCTTCATTGGTTTCCTGTCTGTCCCTTTGTCCTCTCCTCTCGACCATCGCCATCACACATTATTTACTGTCTGAGTGGTCGCGTAACCCCAGGTCATTCTGACTTGGTGTTAGAGCCACCACCCGCGATGAGGGAACCACCAACCCTGCAAGCAGTGCTCCAATGCTGCAGTTGAGAAGTTGACTGCAAGGGCCCGTATTGACGTGGACACGCGTGGTAGCCGCAATGATCTCTGCCACGTTCAAACCACTGGTAGCAGCATCCAGTGTAGTACGACCAGGTTCTTTTCCCGGGCTTTTATTGCGACAGGTCTGGCTTGCAGCCTTTTCTTTTGCAGCTTGTTGCATGGATCAAATGAAATGTGTCTCTTCTGACGCGCGCCCAAGCGTGGCAAGACGCGTAGCTTCCAGGCATAAAAATCCCGACTGCCCTTGGGACCCTTAGGTAAACATCTCTGTTCTTCGACGTTGGTGTGTGCCCCTGACCCTGCCGAAACTATTGCCCTCACGATCATGCCCTCTCTCGAACAGGACCCCCAATCCACATCTGCCGGTGAGCGAGCTAGTCGACCGACAATACCTCAGTTGGTCGATCTTCACAACGAGAACAAGAAGCTGCGTGATACGCTTGATAAAGTGCAGTTCGACTATGATTTACTCAATGCCTACATTGCCATCAGCAATACCGAGCTCAATCAGGTCAATGAGGAGGACAAGACGGTCATTGCTCTGAGATATGATATGACGACGGCATTGGTGACGTGAGTTGGTTTATCCGGGATGGATGTGGGTGCAGCTGCTGACTGGCCTAGGTCACGCCTGAAGATGGCCAAGCTTAGGTTCCAGAAGATTCGTAGAGAGCTCTGCGAACATGCTCGTCGGTTGGAAGAGACGACGGTTGATGTGAATGAAACTTCATTTGGTCATGTTCGATCCCGCTCACGATCGAAACCTTCAAGACGATCGGGAACAACAAAAAACCACGCAACTTCGGGCGGTAGTCGACGGCGCGCCTGCGGACAGCAGGGGCCCGGCGACGAAGATTTCTACTCAGGCCCTCAGTCCTCCGATGATGAGGATGGCAATATTCTTAGTCCGGTGAAATCCAAGATGCTTCCCAATGATGGTATTGTGGTGGAATTGGACGGGAAATGCCTTACATCTCGCCAACTAGCCGTGTGGTTCGGAACCAGCGATATGGAGGCAGAAACGAGAAGGATCTTCGAGGCTAAAAACATGGAAATCAATGAAAAGCGGAAATTGCATGCTGGATATTAGGTCTGGTGGACATTCCTTGGGTTTTCGTTGTGTCAAGTATTCTTTGGGACACTGAGCGAATCTCCCCTGCAACTACCTACCTGATATTCATGCTCTCTCGCTTCAAGTTCCTTTCGTCTCTCAGCATACAGTACTGTATCACAATCCGCGTCTCATACTTTATTTCGAAGCAACCCAAACGACACAATGTCGGGCAATTGGACAGAAGAGCTCGAAAAGCTCCTTCTCTACACTCTCATTGAAGCACCAGACAAAGTATCCAGAACGAAGTTCGAGGAGTCTGTCGCGAAGCTTGGAAATAGGGTGAACTGGAACCCTTGTCGGTGAGTGACCTCGTCTCACCTAAGTCACCTTCTCTGCTGTTTCCTCCTTCCGATACACAACCACTGCCACCGCTCCCTTGTTCAAGAAGTTGCTCTACTTCTCTTCCTTATTCCCAACGCTTGATAGGACCATCTCACTCTATTTATTCTTCTCACCTTCTTCGCCATGCCGTGGACCGAACGTGAAGATATCACTCTGCTCCTACTTGTTCTAGACCTGGACATCACTATCAGCCGCGATGTCTTCCAGGCCGCCGCCGCCAGGCTGGGCTGCAGGACTGATCAATGCCGGTGAGCCTCCTGGTGTTGATTGATTTCGCTATGTCCCACGCAGATAGACATTTCCCTCATTGCTCCCCCTTGCTGCTTCTGCAAACCAGTACTGTTTCTTTCCTTAAATATCTTCACCTCACCTGTTCCACGTTTTCTTACCTTTCTCCCATTTTCATCCCACTTCCGTTCATCTGGCCGGAGACTATCGGCCCTTTCTACTCCTTTCCTCCCAAAGCTGAACGCCTACACTGATTCCCCTAAGATGCACGGTTGGAATGAAGCCACCGAGCGAAAGCTCCTCATGTGCCTCATCGATCATGCCGCGAAACCAAACTGGACAACCGTCGCTACCGCCATGGGTGAAGAATTTACTGGTGAAGCATGTCGGTGTGTTATGCTTTCTCTTTCCAGCTTCCTGTGTTTATCTGATTCTCACTTGAAATTCATTCTCACTTAAGCGGCTAGCACATCCTCATCATTCCTTTACTACCCACCTGCACCCTTTGCTTCTTCAACTCGATCTATCATCAATTCCTTCCTCTTCCCACGTCCCATTCACATCCATTCTTCTATTCCATTCACAGCTACTCTCTCAAACAAAACTATCTTCCATCCTGAGTCCTTTACTCATTTGCATCATGCCTTTCAAGTGGGATCCTGCAGCTGAACGGAATCTCCTCCTGTTTGCTATCGGCGAGATGGCGGGACCTCCATCCACTATCTGGCCTGCCGTTGCTGAGAAGATTGGAGGCGGGCTTAACGCAAATGCTTGCAGGTAGCATTATTCTTCCCAATACTTTTGAGGACCAGGGCGATGCATTGACCTACTAGGCGTCTACCATCATGTTATGATACAAGCTAATACTTGTGTTTTACAGTCAAAAATTCTACAAGCTAAAGAAGGAGGCGGACAAGCTTCTTACCGACAATGATACACCGGCACCGGATACCCCTGCAAAGTCAACCAAGAGCAGCAACAAGAAAGCCACAGGCTCTGAAAGCAAGCGAAAGAGGAACGCAGCACAGGACGAAGAGACCCCAACAAAGAGATCGAAGAAAACTGCGGTTCAACGAATTGAGGTGAAGGAAGAAAGTGAGGCAAAGTTCAAAACCGAGGCCTCCGACCAAGGAGATGAGTCTGGCCGCCCTGGCGAGTGATCTCGCTTTTCAAGGTCAACTGGTAGGAACACTATACTGGGTCCACATGATTGACATCCTTGGCTCACAATGTCTAGGGCAACTTCCCACGCAGAACAACGGTTCTGATGCTTTCTCAGAAGAAGATGCTATGCAGGGGTTTGTGCTGGAGCTAGATGATCATAGGCGGACATTGGCTGGCAAATGGAGGGTCATTCAGCAATGAGGCATAGCATCCAGATCAAGGAACTTCATGGACTTTCCCAAGGTCTCTATTGAAAGAGCTGTGCCAACGAACATAAGTAGACACACTGAAAATCCTGCTCATCGATGCTCCATCCTTCATGTTCAATGTTTCTTTCACCTTCCTAGCTCGCGACATCAGGTTCTTGAGTATCGCTTGCAAGGGACTAACATTCAGGCTCATCAATGCAGTCGTTATGCTGGCGATTAAGAGAATCGATGTTGGCAGATAAGCTGTGTATTGAATAGAGCCAGCAGCGATCACTTTCCGGACGCAGGAGCATTGACCGTGATGTGTGTACGATCGCCGTCGTTTCGAGGCCAATAGTCCTAGCAGGTCTTCCCCCACTCGGCAACAGCCTGAGCAGAATGAGGGAACTTCTGGGTAGCGGCGTGCATGCGTAATATTGACCTTGAGATGTTTCGAAGACTCGATCGCCTTAGAGAACCTTTCACTAGTAACTAGCTCGCATATCTTTTAGAGTAACAAGATTTTGTTGCAAAATTGCTGCTCTTTCGCAGAGCAATCCAGAGAGTGAAGATGAAAACTCGTTCGAAAACAGCAGTTCTCGAGTCCTGTGGACTCCTCTTCTCATGCTGACATTACACGAGAGCTCCTTCTGAGTCCTCTTTCTTTTTTGCCGTTCTTGGGTTCACTTTGAACATTTTTGTGACCTGAATCTGTCTATTTGAACCGGCCTTCTGTGTGGCTTTATTCACCTAACACTATGCTTGGCGCAGTCTTGACGGATGAGGGACGATTCCCTCAATTAACAACGGCAACGTATCACAACAGAGCCGTCAAGATCGAACCCTTCCCAGTAGAACCGGTTGCTCTTTAATGTATTGCGATTTCCATTTCCATCTATCAGCTTTTCCTCTTTTCTATGCGTGATATCTCTAGACCTGCCTTGTCTCCGTGCTGACCGGCTCATCCTGTTCCAGGTTCCAAGTTTGACACGTCAATCGGTTGAGACGAGGACGGTGTTGGGACCCTGAAAGACATTACGACACCGCCATCCTTTGCTACCTAGGTACGTACCTGGTATAATGAGTCACATGCTATCAATCTCTGCCATTGATACTCTGTCCTTGTAAATGCAAAGTCTGCCTGCAATACTAAGGGTAGTAAGGTAGCTGGGAGTTGGCACTTGTAATGACAATATACAGGCGAGACACGGGATTCGTCAGGGGTAAAGATGGACGTTGGTTGGGTGGATGCGTGTGGAGCTACAGCCTCGCCATGCATTTGGCTTCCACCCCCCTCCCACTTTTGCTCCAACACTGTCCATCCATTGCCGCCATACAACCCCTGTTGGTGCATGCATTTTCAAAGCTAAGGCACGTAGGCAGTTTCTCGCCCCCTTGATAAACCTTTCATGGAGGCAGCAGAGCCAGTTTTCTTCTACCATCCTCGGGGGAAAGTCGTGCGCTCTGCCGTGGCACACTGTCTAGCAAGCCCAAGGGTGTCAGATTTAGTAGAGTCATGTGGAAAAGTGGTCACAGTGCCTAGTAAGCGACGTAATCGAATGGTACCATTGAGCTGCAACTCCTCTGCGTCCTCTCTATTATTGCTGCCCCACTACAGTCGATGATATCGTGCTCTCCGAGTCCAGTGGTCTTGCGTTCTCAGTATACTCAGTGTGCCGATATCTAGAGGCCAACCTCCACTCAGTCGATGATGGCATATGTCCAACACTCAAGCCTATAGAACTACACCTTAGAACTGTATGGTATGTACCCCAAAAAACAAAACAGAGGAGGCATTGGAAGCTATTCCAAGATGGCCATCAACTGGAAACTGAGGGAGACAGTCTTTCGACTGCTCGCAGCGGTTTATGCCGAACTAGGAGAAGAAGTGGTAATTAATATCAGAGGCACTCTTTGACATGGGAGCTGACCAAACTTCAGTTTAAAGGCCGATATGCCTCGATCGCACAATGTTTTGGACCCGATGCTACATACGATGCGATCAAGTCCTTTTTCAACAAGGAGGTCTCAAGAGCTTCTGAGCAGCTGCTTGCCAAGCATCGTGCCCGTCCCAGGTCAAGCCAGGCACCTCTCCAGAGAAGAGATCCCACGCGATCGCGGCCGCCATTGCTTTATTTTGACGACGAGGACATCAGCATCTTGACTCAGCGAGAAGCCGAGGCGCATTTTAGTCACTCCCTACGGGCTCCAGCAAAGCGTCCTCGCGTTGTTGCAGCATCCCCAGCACCATCTGCTATACAAGATGTTCCACTGCCTGCTATGAGCACAGCCAGAGAGCTCACAGACTCACAGATCAGCGGCAAACGCCGTGAGCTTGAAGGTTTCCATCTGGATAGTGCTTCTGCTCCACTCTCCGCAAGTCCATCTTCTCACCCAAGACCTAGTTCATATGTTACAGCAGATGGGCAGATAGAAAGTCCTGCATCTGGACTAGAAAGGACAGGAAAGAAGAGGGCGTATTCGACTTTTTCCGAGCTTGCAGACATGCAATTACCACATCTCCCCGTACCTGGCGAAGCGGACACTTCCAAACCAGGCTCTTTTGGCTATATCACCAAACAGGGCCAATACCGCTGTGCACTTTGTTTGAGCCAATTGCCTAGCCAGCAGGACCTGGACCGCCATGAGCTGTTGAGTAAAGAGCACCAACGAAAGCTCCAAAATCCGATCACGGTTGCCAAAGGCCGAGAAAAACTTCTCAAAGTGACCTCCATCCCAAATATTGGGCCACATATATCCACGCCTGCACCCGCACCTGCTCGACAGCAGACTATGAATGGCGTGGATCGAGAGAAGAGAACAAGCGCCAACAGTGAGACTCCGCGTCGCGAGATACACGGGGACACAGACAAGCCTGCTGGTCCTTCGAATCTGGGAAACCGGCCCAGGGACGGCGACACACCTTTTGACACCATTGAAGTTCTCAGTCAGGCCGCTCATCCTGCGGAGTCTCTCGAGCAGAGGCAAGCTATAACAGGAACATCCATGTCCCCAGCAGAGAGGCCGAGCCATCGAGTTGATAAGGGCAAAGGCCGCGCCCCTTCTCCTTTGTCTTTGTCCCCAACTCCCGTAACAGATCAAGTACCCTGTCCAGATCCGTCTTTGTTTTCCGAGGCAGAGATTCCAGGTCTTGTCCACACAAGACCAACAACTGCAAGGACCGAGATTGGATCAATCACACCTGCCCATTCTAATGGAGGCCCGAGCCGAGCGTTGAGGGATGGATCAGCGCCCGTTTTCTCACAAACGGAGATTGCAGACATCATGCGCTCAACAGAGCTCGTGATGCAACTTATGGGCTGTGTGCAGAAAGAGGCGGTGGCTGCAGCCAATGCTAAAGTCGGTTCTGGAAGCGATGCGAGCAGCTCAATAGGAAGGCCCGGGCGAGAAGCTGCTCAACGGAACCCACAGGAAGGGAGAGTCAAGGGTGGACGAGCAAAGGATACGGGCGAAGAAGTATTTTTCATCATCTTGGATTGAGTAGACTCCATAGTACCACGAGTTATTCAATACCCTATGAATTGAAGACCCAGCTCGCCATTGTCTTTGAGGCTCAAGGGTTTCTTTTGTCCTTCCAAGCGCCAGAGAGCACCAGTGCTCATGCAGTGCTCAAGATAGACGACGATTTCTGATGGTTACTGGATATTCAAGCCTTAGTCTTGATTCTCTTGGTAGGCGGCTTCACATCCTCGTCATCCTCATCACCCGTCTCTTCTCCATCAATGACAACACGGCGTTTCTCCCACTTGCTTGATGAGGTGGTTGTCATCGTAGAAGCGGCTGGAGACGGAAGAGCGTTGATATCGCCTGCCTCACTGTTGACGCCATCCTCGATCTTCAAATTTCCACGAGTCCGGCAAGCACGAACGGCACGAGCCTTTCCCAGCTTGCTCTCTTCTGCGTTCTCTTTCTCCATGTTGGCTTTGGGTTTGTTTGCAGCTAAAGCACCACCAAGGATTCTGTCCTCATCCGAGATTACAGTAGTTGTGGCGAGGTTCAGGTTGTTGCGTGATTTGATCAGATTGAGACGTTTGACGATTGAATTCGGTTTCGCTTTCTCCTTTTCTGCATAGTAGCCGATGTTGATCTGGGTCCGAATCAGCGGGCTTGGTCTGGCAGTACCACCAGAGTACAGATAGATAGCAACAGAGGAACGGAAGCAGAGTGGGGCCTGTTTTGAAGGAACATGGTTCAGCACGACTCACCAGGATGGGCTTGGGGGATGCTCGGAAAAGATCGAAGAGGAACTCGGCATCTGCGATCACCTGCTTCTCATCCTTGGGTACGGCCTTTGGTGGAACCATTTTCCTCAATCAATGAATGGTTCCCTGTCCAGATTTTCGATTGTTCAAGCAAGATGATTGAAAGAGCGTTGGTAGAGAAGAGTTTTAGGGGAGAAAATCATTGTACGTGGGAGAGAAAAGATGGACAGAACCTTAGTGGTACTAGCCCTGACACCAGTATCTCGGCACGTTTGCTCTATGAGCTTCATGAAGCGCAACACATGCTGTAGAGCTTCGCGGCGATACTGAGCATACTGGTGCTTGGGTCTATAGAAAGTGATGGGGTGCTGGTCTTCTTCACGACCTACTGTGTGGTTCCCAGTGAAAGTGGTTGCATAACCCATGAGCTATCCCTACCAGGCTTCTCCTGAGAAAAATTGGGGAGGCTGGGAGAGTCGAAAAAAGCAATTCTCACGGTACATATGCTAGACAGTGATTCATTGTTCTGCAGGCCTGTGCAGGCCTGGTTTACCTTCCCAGCTGTCAAAGACCATGTCGACACGATGCATCACGCTTGTGGAAGCCAGCTTGCTAGGTAGTCAGGCATTGTCACATCCGAAGAACTTATCATCAAGCAAATAGCCTGCAGAGTGTGTGTCCCGGAACGTATGCAGACACCCCTCTTCTGTCTCAGGAGGCGAGCCAGCCCATGCTGCTGCGGTTGCGAAAGTCGTGGGACATCCACCAGTTCCGCTGATCAGGTCCAAAGAGATTTAGCACCGACTTAGTTATGCAGTCTGATGACAGGTTATCGGTAAGTCCTAGGATGCCAGGAGGAAGAGGTTGATTGTGGGCAATCCAAACCAGTTACGGCGAGTCCCACAGATGTACAATTGCTGACAGTGCTTCCGACCGCTCTTCCGCTATCTGTCGCCAATAAGGTGACACATTTCTCCTCGTTTACTAGGCAGAGAGCATCCCATGCAGGAGACTGACGGCACTGGGGCTGTCCGTCCGTCCTCATGTGCTTCCCGGACTGTAGAGCGATGGAGCCCCACTTGTCCCACATGTATAGCCAATGAGATCACCTCATTTTGCGCTAATGCACGTCAAGGACGCTAAAATACAACATAAAATGGACGACAAGCGTCGCATATACAAAGCCAGGCAGACATGTTTCTACGCCATTTGGAAATCCAGGAGGTTGGGATGCAATGCAGCAGCGGGAATGAAAGAAAAAGAAGACTTGGGTGGCGCTATGCAGCGGGAGTTCATTCCCGGCCTTCGTTACTGCAGTACAACAAGCATTTACACCCCAGTTGACCAATGGTTTCGTCTGAGAATCCTGCCGGTCAGAACCCTTTTCCAGACATTCTCCGGACTAGCAGCCATCCTTCTCCCTGTCACTTTCCATCACATTCCTCTTGGTTTTCCAGCTCGAATATCGTCTAAGTTTTGCGACAAATACTGGCTTTCAACCCAAGAAGCTGTTGCTGCTGCTGCTCGCCGCGCCACTGCTCTCCACTCTGAACTGAGTGTTCACCGGCAGGAAGTAGTCTGTGGTCATGAATGGTGCGTGGTAGCTGGGGAAAGGGATGGCATTGTCTTCCTTCGCATACTCTGTTTTTACCTCGCTCGGGCTGCTGCTGGCATCTGAGAAAGGCACTCCGTCAAGAGGCTCACGTTTGGACTTCCTCGCTCGCTTGGAGGGAGTTGTTTTCTTCTCCTCGTCGTCCATGGAAGCTTTGCGCTTGGTAGGTGTTGATGGGACCGAGCCAGACCGGCCTTCCAAGATCTTGGCAGACTCGTTTCTCAGCTTGTAATACTTCTGGCTATCTGCAAGTCAGCGGCTGGCTGGCACTGACCAAAATGAACAAAATGGAAACAGTAGAATAAAGATGGCACACGGAATACGCACCTGACTGCTGAGGCTGTCAAGCCTTCTCCCAAGAGTGCGGCAACGGCCGCCCAGGTGTCGGCAGACGGTCGCAGATTCGCAGAAGATATCGCGAACAGGAGCATGCGGCGTTCCCTCTCAGCAGTCCACTGATATGGCATAGTGGCAGAGTAGCGTTCGTTCTCGACGAGGAAAGGGAAAAGGCAATCAAGCTCCAAGCAGACTGCGAGCAGATGGAAAGGAGATGTGGATGGGTGGAAATCGAGTACGAAATATAGAGGGAGACAAGTACAATTATAGATCGACAATTGGAAGGAAAGTACTATTTCAGAGGGAAGACGTACAGACATGGCAGAAATGAGCTACAGACCAAGTCCTAAGACTATCTCATGCCATTGAGCGATTTTAGTTCGAAATCCATGATGCATGAGAGAAGTTCCACCCTGTCCAGACTTTCCACAAGCTGGGCATTGACGTATCCAATGCTGAAAGGCAGGCAAGATTGTCTGAGCCAAATAAATGAACGAGACTGCCGGTATGGGGCGCTGTCATCCGGTTTAATGGCCTGGTAGCGAGCACTTGCACACAGGGGATAGCCAGCCTCCAGTTTGTGCAGGTATTGGTGTGGCATGGCACAAACCGAGGGCGCGAGGGGCTCTCTGTTTGGCCTAGTTCCGGAAAATGGCCTGCTCAAAGTCTGATATGCGAGGAACATGCGGTGAGGCCAACTCGATACGGGATGCTAGATATCAAATCCTGGTCCAAACCTGTTTTATAGTGTCTGTAATGCTCTGTAAATGACTGTCAACAGGAGGTGGACTGAAGGGCGTCAGCTGTGCCCTTCATAGTACCGTCCAGCTCTCGTTCCTCGATACAGTTCGGGATAGCAGTGTGACTTGCCGTCTCAATCCTGGGATCTATAAAAAGCCTCATGGGACGACTTTGCCATCAGTGTACATCTTACAGAGCCTACATCCTAAGACAGTCTCACCATTCGTGAATTCATCTTGTTTACTGCCGCAGCCTATCTATCTATCCCAAGGCCGTATCATACACCCTCCCGTGCAGCTCTCAGCATGGCTCAAGGCCAGGTCAAAGACTCGGACATCTTAGTCCTTATCGCGGCGATCCAGAGCTCGGTTGGTCCAATACAGGTGAGAAGAACCCTTGGTAACAGGCTCTGGAGATGGCTAATAGAGGTTGAAGGTCGACGCCGAAAAGGTGGCAAGGCAATTGGGCATGAGCTTGTCCAGTATTCCCCCGAAGTTCACAGCAATTCGCAAGAGATACAATATCGACATCAAAGTGGTCAACTCTGGCGCTCTGCAGAGAAACAGACCCAACAACAGTCCGAAGAAAAGACAGACTACTGGTACCAATGGACCAAGGCTCATCAGAAGCATCAACCCACAAGCCCAGCAGCTTGATCGACCAGCTATCGTGCCACAGACCCAGGTGTATCCGAGGTGCGAGATGGAGCAGGCTGGGCAAGGATTATGAGAAATACTGTGTGATCGGAATGAAGATAGCAGCTTAGTTCTTGATAGCACTACTGAAGTAGTACACTCAATTTCTGTGTAAACAGCATGCACTGCATTCCTGAGAAGCCGATTGTCATCCCATCCTGCAACACAACACCCTCGTCCCACAAGAAAAATGAGGCGAGTGGCTTACAGCTTCCAGTGTTAACAAGCAAAAAGACCGTATCTCAATCCTGTGGCAATCATGTCTCCTCAACACCGGCCTTCTCATTGTCTTCGTCGCCATTGACACGATCCTTGGTCTCTGCAAGCTGCTTTGTGAGCTCCTCAATCTGCTTCTTGAGATCCAGATTCTCATTCAACAGCTCTTTCTTGGTGGCCTCAAGCTGTTTTCTCTTCTCCTCGTCTGCTGTCTCCACAGTCTTCACAAGGTCTTCCAAGCTCTTCGTGCCGTCGAAATAGTCTTTGAGTCCCGTAAATCGCTCCTTGATAGTGCGGTATTGCTTGGAAAGAACATTCACGGAAGGCAAATTGTCCGGAGTGGAGAGTGCTGTTGAGGCGAGTTGTCAGCAGAGTAGAAGAACACAAAACACGCCAGACACTCACAGTAAAGGGCTCTGACACCCTTCATGTTGGTCTTTTTGCTTGAGTCAGAGGCAGCGAAGGCGCAAACAAGCTTCACAGCCAGCTATCTTTACGTTAGTATGGTGAGCAATGCAAAGGGTAATCATCTCAACTCGCCTCATATGATGCCTCTGTAGTCCACTTGATCCTGGACTTCCCCTTTTCAGACCCATGATTGTCTGCGGAGGGCGTCATGGAAGCATCGTCGTCATCGGCATCTTGGTCGTCGTCGCTCACCTCAACCAGCTTACGCTTCCTGGAGGCGCGACGCGGTCGTCCATCGTTGCTAACGGGAGCTTATTTGTGTCAGTTATCTTGTCAATGCGGTGGTCAGCGTTGACAACTTACCAGCTGCTTCGATGGCCATGGTGTCGCTGTCGGCATCATGGTTGTTGTCGGCATCTTGGTCGTTGTCGTCCACCTCAGCCAACTTACGCTTCTTAGCGATGCGACGGGGTCGTTCATTGTTGCCAACGGGAGCTTGTTTGTGTCAGTCACCTTGTCATTGCGGCGGTCAGCGTTGACAACATACTAGCAGCTTCAATGGTCATGGTGTCGACGGCATTGACATCCTCCCCTTGTGGCGAGGTCATGGCGGCAGCGGACTCCATTGTTGGTTTGGACAAAGAAGAGAAAGGAAGTAAGGAAGACAGAGTGTGAAAGTGATTTGGAGGAAAGATTTATAGACGGCGAGATCAGTGTGCGCCGTCATTCGGCCAAGCTTTCGCCCGCCAGATGCGGCAATCGGTGACAGTGAATGCTTCAACGCAAGTCTTTGAGTGTCATCCATCTGCGCAGGGCTGCGTGTCTATGTTTGCGCAGGTGTGGTGATTCTGCTGTGATCTCCCGCATACTGGTTGCAGAATGCTGGATTTTGGTTGGATATCCAGTACCAGCCATAGCTATGCATAGCTTACAATGATGATAATGCAAAGGTCTGCACACAAGAGGGAAAGGAAGTAGACTAGGATGAAGCAGAGCAAGAGGTAACAGTCTTGGATGCTCGAGGCTGTGATGATAGGGGACATTGTTCATATGCCGAAGTTTAACCGCCCCTTGTTCTCAGCCTCGTCCGCAGAGTTGCCCTCTCTGTGGGTGGCACTCCTCTCTCTTAAGATGCTGATCACAAAACAACACCGCTGAAGATCCTTGTTGGATGTGGCCTACCTTCATTCTGGAAGAGGAGCACTATCAAGGTAACAGATTCCGTACCTGACGCAGCAATCTACAAGAGGCGATGCTAGGCCCTCTGGAGCCGAATCGATCTCGAGCTCTGGCTGCGAGTCCAACTTTAGGTTGCCTACATGCCTGCATGAGAGCACCACAGATCACAATTCGACCGCAGAGGCAAGTCGGTCTTGGAACGCACGAAGCACAAGGTCCTGCTTAGCTCTTGAAACTCTGCAAGCCTCATACCAACCCAAGGAAGGCTAGCATGGATCATAAGACTTTGATCCAGGCTGCGGGCCGGAGAACGAAGAGTCCTTGTATAAGCGACTGCTCGTCCACTGGAAGAAGTCATAGTCGCCTCCCGTCAGTCGTTGCTCGATCAGCATTGCCACCCATGGATCTCCGCCCTACCGGGTAAGATCGCCTCGTGCCGTGAAAGAACCCACATGCGCGTGTTTGGCAAGCGTTCATTCGTATTCGACATGGCCAGGTTTGCTATCTTGAATGGTCCTGATTCTGATGCCAACCAGCGAGTTTGAGCATAGCAAACAATGCCGTTGACTCGCTCGTGTGCCTGCGCTGCAGCTGACCGTACCAGGAGGGCACAGGCCTTTCGAAAAGTCGCACATCTCGATTCGACTGTCGAAGGATCCCTCGCTAAGCATCTACAATTTGGTGGTCGTGATTCTCGGTTCCTTCTCGTGACCGCATTTTCTGAGGTGCCTTGAAAATGCCCGTTTCCGGCCATGTCTGGGTCCTGATCCTGGAAGAATGATCTATCATATTTCATACGGCATGTGCCGCGCTGCAGTTGCCCCTTACATTTGTTCCATCTCGCACCAGCCTCGAGCCTTTCAGTCCCCGACGCATGCAGTCCGACAAAGTCGCGTACCACTGTCGTTGGCTTCGCGAAATCGAGCACTCGAGAGGCGCGTTGGGAAATTTTTTATATGATCTGATGAGACCGCCTACTCTATTCCTGCCAACAGCATGATAGTTTCACTGGATCTCAAGGAAGATGACAAAGGTTCCCACAGTCCTAGCTGCTCAGCTCGGAACCGCGCTCCTAGTCGCCATTGGGCAAAAGGTGAGAGCCCCTTTCATCGGCGGAGCTCCTTCCGTAACTGACACAACTCAGATCACTAAATCCCAATGCTTGAAGATTGCCTACTATATGAACGTTGGCTACGGTCGACACCTGAGTGTCGCTGAGGTGCAAGACATACTACAAGACTTGAATCGAGATGCGGCCCGATTAGTTTCTCGGGCTGTCTCCAACATTACTGAAATGACTCGCGACACATTGTCGCTAAATGTCAGTGCGACACAGGTATATCTTCCTCCAGAGACCTATCTACGGTGAATCTGACAGGGCAAATTTTCAGGCAACTTTGATGAACGATGATGACGATGCAAACGATACTGAGCCTGATGATAGACCAGTGAGCGGGAAGAGGAAAGTGCTTGCATCATCTTCAAGGTCTACGGGCAAGAGGCGGTGCGACCGAAAGACTCCCTCCGACAAAGCCTCAGATGACGAAGCAAGACCTCCAGCCTTTTTGGAAACTTCTGTCTTACGCCAACCCCAGATTTCGATTGAGATACCCCCAAAGAATGGGAGTCAAAAGGCGAAACCAAGCGTGGAAGAGAGTGGGATCTTCGATTTCCTCTCGTCACGCGAAAGTTCGCCGACGTTGCCAAGCCAGCGATACTTGAAGATGTCAGGCGGCCTTGGGGCTAGTGGAGCAAGGAGCCCATCCCATGCTCCAGGGGAGTTCGACCTCATCAACAGTTCTTCGACTCTCTGTGACGACTCACCTGGGTCGGGGAGAGCGCTGAATCATGGCCATCATCTGACTGGGGAGGTAGAGACCTGGGAAATGTCATCCACTTCCAGCGAGACGCGGATGAGCTTTTTTACCTTGTCTCAGCACGCTCGAGAAGAGGCCGCCGGCATGAATGACAGGTTTGCTGACAAAGATAACCATGGTCAAACTGAAACCGAGCATAGACGGAGCAGCCCTCCTGTCGATGCCATTGATGAGCTCTTCATATCCCAGGACGTGGTCGACGAGAATCGTCAGATGATGTTTGAGCATGATGACAACATGAGCTCTGATGGCACCAACCCGGACGAGCTGGAGAATAGCGAACAGGCTCAGTCCTCTCCTTATCCAACAAGGGTGAGCACATCAGGTCGACCTGGTTCAAAGAGCGTGGAAAATGCAGCCGCGGCTGCGCAGCTTCAATCCGAGGCCAAGAGCCAACGGGACTCTGTACGTTTCGAGAATGGCAATACCCCCAGCCTCAAGCAAGCAAGACAAGGCTCGCGATTCAATCCTCTGGAGATCAAGTCAGAGAGTGAGAGCGAAGAAAGATCCGCAAAAATTCGAGCTCTGCAAGTCAATCAGCAAGCAGCACGCGAGCGGCGTTTGAAAAGGAAGGAGAGGGAACGCAAACAGCGGAAGACAATTTCAGGGAAGGCGGCAGATCTGGAGCAAAGAGACAGAAACAAGAGCACGTCGCCGTCATTGCAGGCTCCAAGCCAAAGCCAGGCGGCTGCGCCGGCGGCTCCTAACCGCCAGCAAGATTCTTCCTCGCAGAGAGATGCAGACAAACCAAAGCATCGCAAAATCAAGAAAGAGGAAGGCGCCAGCTCTGGGAAACGCCGCCTCCCGGCCGAGACGAGTGCGGAACATAAGGTCCGCATCAAGAAGGAGAAGAGGGAGCGGAGATATGCCAGGAAATTGAACCGAACTCCCGAGAGGATGGGTCTGGAATCAGGCTCGCTATCAGCGCCTCTGAGATCGCCGCGGACCATAACAGCAGGGACGTTTCCTCCGTGTGCTCAGTCACACGAGCCATTGCAATCAAGCACGCCTCCTCTGGGCAAGGCACAGGCCAATGCCGCCCTGAGGCGTGATAAAGAGGTACGCTCTTCCGCCCCCGCTCCGGCCTTCATGACCAGGAACCTCGGCCTGTCAGACCACCCTAGTGGCTGTGGCGACGACTTTGTCGTCGACCTCACCTACGAAAGGAGCCTTGGTGACGAAGAAGAAGAGTCAGTAATGCCGGCGGAATGTGAATCCACGCTGACATCTCCATGCAGCAGGCAGGACTTTCTCACATCAAACATTCGACCTCATCGTGCGCCACAGCAGGGGCTGATGGCAGGGAATAACCGACCTTCTCCGCCTCGACATAGTAGCAACCCCTTTGTGTCACAAAAGTCGGCGAATCCGGGCGATGTCCTTGATGCCAGAGTGCCTCCTCATGCGAAGGGTTCAACGTTCAATGACCGGATGATCGCTTTACACGAGCAAATGTCCCGCCAAAGTGAGCAACAGCTGAGACATCAGAAACGGACTGAGCCGCAGCCAGTGCCTCGGAGACCACTTACGCGTAAGAACATCAAACAAGGGGGATATCGCCCAGTTCTCGGCTCTTTCCAGCGCTCGGCCCAGGTACATCAGCAGCTCCCAATAGAGCTGTTGTCGCAATCCTCGCGCTGGCGAAGACCCTCGTGGGCCCGTCACTCACGCAGTCCATCTGGTGAGTCGTCTTATGACTTATGGGGACTGTTCCGAATGCGCACGACTTGGGACGACGATGAAAACACTATTGTTGATTCCGACTCCGAGCTGGAGATTGTCAATGTGCCACGGCCGAATCGTTGGCGCAATCTGAACGCGGCGCCGTCTCAATCAAAGCATTAATATAGACAGGAGGACTCGGTAATGCCGGACCATTTGCCAGTCCGCAGAGCCATATGTTGTGGTAGTCTGCAGCCACAAAAAGGAATTGGTTCGTAGCTGCGCCGCAAGCCGTACCTAAGCTCGCACTGTGCTGCATACCAAGCAGTGTCTCATCTCGGGTATTACATCTCAAAATCTTGGTTAAACCACACGAGGCTCTGTAGACGGAGGCAAGCTCTTCTCGAAAATGCACGATATATAGTGCACAAATGTCTTCAGCCAGAGAGGACGTTTCATGTCACCCGCCGGCCCATAGGATCATATATTCGCACCTCGACGTCGTTTCCAGAGCCTAAAGGCCCAGATGGCGGCCCCCGCCAAAATGGCAGTTCTATAGGCTAGAAATACCGCAATGGCCACATTTAATCGGTCGTAGTACCCATGAAGTAGCTTCCCAACAGCGTGCTGGGGATCTGATCCCACGCCCAATCCGCCGATGCCAACACTGTGTTTCTCAAACGACGGCTGCTTGGTGAGCTTGAGAGGCTCGGCTTCCGAAACCGTAGGGGCCGGCTCAGACGTGGTTACGGCTGTCGCTTCTGTCGTCGCGTCCACAGCTGTCTGACTGGGCCAGGAGCCCGAGGACAATGACTCCGCAGAAGCTTTTCTGAACTGACAGGTCATGATATAGACAATGAGACGAAGGTCCGGGACAGTAAACGTAGGATACTCCCATAAGGCAACAGCATTAAATGGCGGGAGTTGGTCAAGCAGGTCTGCGAGGACGCCGAGCGTGAGACCCCAGAGGAGGATAGGTTGCTGATGAGTGAGAGATTGAGAGGACGAAGGGATGCCAAATGGTGCTTGGGCCCAGCTTGACATCGTGAACAGCTTGTCGCCGCCTTCCGTAGGAATAAAGCCAGGTATTGAACTGGCATATATGGACTCCGTGGGAACAAGTCGAACCGCGCTGAACAACATCTTGCCAATACTCAAGCGGATCAATCTGTGTAGTAATGGGCCAACGTGCTTGGCCATCCTACTCGATATATCAACCGCCTCTCTTGTCCGGAGTGATGGGGATAACAATGCACGCAACGAGACCCAATGTACAGATGCGACTTCGGTGGGCTGTGGCTGGATAGAGGGAGAGGTCTTCCCAGTAAGGAGGAATATGTAAGGACATAGCACCATGAGAACATCCTTGCCCCAGGATGTCGTGACCAGCCTCTCGGGCAGATTGCCTGCATGAAGACATTGTGTGGTTTCCAGGTCCAGGCCAATCTCTTCCCTTGTTTCTCTTACTGCTGCAGCCAGATCATCTGCATCCTCGGGGTCTCGCTTTCCCCCTGGCAATGCCGTGTGGCCTGACCATCTGTCCCCAGCCCGACCAGCGCGTTTAATGAAGAGAAGCTCAGGGTCGCCTTGCTGGACCCAGTCTTGCGAGAAGAATTCATGGATTGTGGTTGGAGGAGTGGCAGACTCGCTGACTGCTACGAGAGAGTCTCTGGAAGAAGGGATAGGAGCGTAGGCGGGTCGGACGCGAATGATGGCAGCGACGCTGGCTCGCTTCTCACAGCCTTGCGGGTTAGGAACGTGAGGATAGGGGTGCTCGCTTAGGCGGGTCAGGACGCTTTCGAGTGCTTTGACGATATCCCTGGATTCTCCTGACATGGCTGAGGGTGGAACTGCCTTGACATTAATATCTCTGTGAATGGCTCGTAGCACTGGCTTCCCGTGTGGTAGATCCTGAAATACTGCGGCGCGAGGCTGTATACTCAGATACTGCCGAGGCGGAATTCCGAGCTGGGGATAGTGCGATGATCGGAACTCGGATAAATAATATATCCGGACCATGACGTTCGGGTTGCACGTGAAAGAGGGTCGCCGAGCACGAGGGAAACACGCCGCTCTGATTGGGCAGGTGTGATCGAGGCCTTGGGAGAAGCAAGTACAGAGTAAAGATGCAGTGGGACACTGCGGTTCAGTTCGACAACAATAGTGGTGTAAAGAATCTGCTGCCCTTCTTTTCTTTTTCTCTTCCTATTTTCAAAGTGTATTTCCAAGCCTGCGCATGGATTTCGACGTCTCATTGCAATCTTAGCGGTGACAACAGTTCTCTTGAACGCCGTCGACATGCGTTTCGGCAAGACCCTCGCCGACTCCGTCTACCCGCCATGGAAGGACAAATACCTCGACTACGACAAGATTAAGAAGCTGTTGCGGGAGGATGAGACCTCTCCGCAAGGACGTGGTGGTGAAGGCAGCTGGACTGAACAAGACGAGGAGAACTTCGTCCATGAGCTCACGGCAGTGCAGCTGGAGAAGGTCAGCCAGCACCAGGCCAATATCTTCAATGCCATACGAGAGCGAGCCGCCGCATGCGAGGCTAAGCTGCCGGATTCCGAACACGAAGATGAAAAGAGTGAGGAGGAGTGGAAGGCCATTGCAAAAGACCTATTGAAAGAGCTGGACAGCATTTCCAGGGAGCTCAACGAACTTAGGAAATTCAGCCGTATCAACTACACTGGGTTCTTGAAGGCGGCTAAGAAACATGACCGTAAGAGGGGTCTCAAGTACAGAGTCCGGCCTATGCTGCAGGTCCGCCTGTCTCAGACACCCTTCAACCAGGAGGACTATTCGCCGCTGCTGTACCGTCTGTCTGCCATGTACTCTTGGGCTCGCCAAAAGCTTGGAGAAGAGAATCCGTCCAAGGAGCCGACGTCAGATGTGACGCCGACCGAAACATATACAGCCCACAAATATTGGGTGCATGTGGACAACCTCCTCGAGGTCAAGACATATATTCTACGCCGGCTTCCAGTCCTGGTCTACAACCCGCAATCGGCCAAGGAGGTGGATACCTCTCACAAAGATCCGTCCATGACCTCGATATATTTCGACAACCACAACTTCGACCTCTACCAGAGTAAAGTGGACAAGAGTACACCCGGCAACTCCGTGCGCCTGAGGTGGACTGGTCAGCTCGAAGACAAGCCTGAAATAGTGTTGGAAAAGAAATTGGTTGGTGATGGCATTGAAAGCAAAGAGATCAGGGTCCCCATCAAGGAGAAATATATCAATCCGTTCCTGAATGGTGAATATAAGATGGAAAAGCAGATTCAGAAACTCGAAGACCGTTTGGGTTCCGAGTCGGAAGAGGTCAAGACTTTCAAGGCCAATGTCAAGGAGATCCAGTCTTTCATCAAAGAGAAGGAGCTGGAGCCGGTACTGCGAGCTAGTTACACCCGCACCGCCTTCCAGATTCCCGGCGATGACCGAATCAGGATATCGCTGGATACCGACCTTGCCTTCATTCGTGAAGACGCCTTGGACACTGACCGCCCATGTCGTGATCCGGATGACTGGCATCGATCCGATATCGACCAGAGTCGAATGGAGTACCCATTCCCCTCGATCAAGAAGGGTGAGATCAGCCGGTTTCAACACGCAGTCCTTGAGATCAAGGTCAAGGATACCAAGTATACTAGAAATAACGCCTGGCTCCACGACCTGATGAATTCCCACCTGGTGAAGGAGGAGAAGAGGTTTTCCAAGTTTGTGCATGGCGTGGCAGAGCTCTTTGAGGATTACGTCAACATCTTTCCCTTCTGGTTGAGCGATCTGGAGACGGACATCAGAAGGGATCCGGTAGCAGCTTATCAAGAAGAGCAGGAAAGGGAAGCCAAACAAGCTGCAGACGAGATGGCCGTTGGAAGCTACCTGGGGAGTTCGCGGTTATCATCCTCCAAGGGGAAGTTCGGATCGCCCAGCAAATACCCCGAGCAAAGAATGTCCGGTCAGATCTCTCAGTCTGTCCGATCTTCACGACTGAAATCGGTTGACCAGCTCGAAGCAACAGCTGAAGAAGACGACCATGACGAAGGCCTTGCTGATAGTCGAGCCACGCTCAACGAGTCTTCAGGAGGTGGCTTGCTATCGTTGCTCCCAGCCTTCTCCAACTCCCGTTATGCTCGTCGTCATCGTCGGGGCACTGCATGGGACGATGCACCGTTGCCCCCTGGCGTCAAACACCCGGGCGTCTGGATCAAAGACAGAGCCGATCTCAAGGTTGAAGGCAAAGTCTGGCTTGCGAATCAGAGAACATTTATCAAGTGGCAACACATCGCCGTACTGCTGGCGACGCTGTCCCTCGGTCTCTATAATGCCGCAGGGGTCAACAACAACATTGCTCGCATTCTGGCACTGGTCTACACCGCCTTTGCGGTCTTTGCCGGTATCTGGGGATGGGCTATCTACATGTGGCGGAGCAAACTGATCACAGAACGGAGTGGGAAGGACTTCGACAATGTATTTGGCCCATTCCTGGTATCCATCGGGCTGGCCTGTGCGTTGATTCTCAATTTCGCATTCAAATACACTGCTGTCGTCACAGACACGCAAAGGAATGCCTCGGCCCTGGCGCTGGAGCAGCCTATGGTCGAGATGGTATCTCTGGACGGGGTGGGAGTTGGTCTGTGGACACAGGAGCTCTAGGCAGTCAACAACAACTACAAACACTCGTTTGGATCGAATAATACAACTACAAGGCGTCAATGGCAACAAACAGGAAAGAGGAGTTTCCCACAGACGATAAGGTGAAGTGTTTAGCGAATCCGCCAGTCAAGGCAACGGACATTCCAACCAGAATAGTCTCGGTTTTCGTGTAGTATCAAATCATAATGAAGTCACACAATATGTACAACTTGATCGTGATTGAGAGCACTCGTGTGTAGTTTTGTAAGGCAGTACAATGAGGCGGCTACACGCTATTATCAGCCAGCTTCGAGAAACACCGGTTAGAATGCTATTGTCTCTCTGAGATGACAACCGGTGGCCTACGATATGATGTGCTGCCGCCTAAGCGGATCGACAGGAGGAGTTATCATGTCTTGATCCTCCCACCTCCCACACTCCCACCTCATATGTGCCTCCCTGTAGTAGCTGCGTTAATACAGCCATGGCGAGGAACAAGCATGTACTAGTATTCCTCTCAAAAAAGAAGCTTCGCAGTGGCGGAATCGACAAGAGCAGCTAGGAAACACAAAAAGGCAAAGGCCATCCCTCCAGGCGAGTATTTCCTGGTCAGGATGCAGTCGGTCGATGAGAGATTGTTTCTAAAACCACCCCCTTCCAATTTTCTATTCTCATTCACTGCCTCGCCTCTGTGACTACACCCTCGAAGTCCCTTGACTTGATGTAGTCCAACGTCCTGAAAAAGTGGCGTTTCGGGTTCTCCAGAGCCTGCGCATTGCCGTCCACGTTCGTCGTGGACAGATTGGAATGGATCAATTCGATGAGCCCATTCAGATATTTTATCGTCACCTGGATGGAATTAGTAACTGATCCGACAAGACAGAGAGAAAGAAAGAAAGCGTGCAGAGGGCTTGACTCACCGATTCGTTTTGTTGGTCGAAATAGTAGACGTATCGATTCAAGATCTCAACAAACAACTCCACGGACACGGCGGTGTCCATGCACGCATCGGCGACACGGAGGGCTCTTTGAAGGCATTCTAAAACACGTTTGCCATCGCGATATAGCTGTGCACAAGTCGCATTAGTATCAAGGGGGTATTGTCGCACCGTCGATGCAACGGCCTTGCCGGACATAGAAGGACTTACATTCTTCGGATCCTCATCCCGTCCAGGAATCTCAACACACCACCACAGATGGCTTGCCAGATATACAGCGCGACACTGGTCAGGCTTCTTCAACAGTTTGCTGCCATGCAATGCGGCTTTGGTGATCAGTGTATCGTAGTTCTCTTTTCCAAAGCCTCTGGTCATCTGGAGGGCACCCGCAATGATGCAGACGGCTTGGAACTGTGCCCTCGAGTCGCTGATGCTGTCCTCGTAGATGGTGAATGCTTGGGCAAAATACTCATAAGCGAACTCCTCGAACCCGCATTGATCTGCGATCTGGCCACAGGAAACGAACAACCGAAGACATAATTCGGCCGCACCGGGATTCACGCGCGTATACAGCTGAGAGAGTGCGTGATGCATGAAACGGTACAATGTCGACGACTGATTCTGCCAGTCATCTTCAAAGTGCTCACGAGATTTCAACTTCCGCGCAAGCTTCATTGAAGCATTGATTATTGCTGGCGTGGTGAATTTGATTCGCTCGTTGCCGACTTCGTACGCTTTCCGTACTTGCTGCAATAGCCTCAGTTGAGTCTCGTTGTCGGGCCCCTGGATGAAATGGACTATCCTTGCGAGCCAACCTTGCTCCTCTACGGTCTCATCGGACTCGCCTCCTCTTGAGCGATTCAGGCCAGGATATCCTGCAGGTTGCTGGAGGCCTTCCTTGATGATCACCTTGAGCAAAGTCATAACTCCTTCCAGATGTTGTGTGGACGTGATCTTCACTCGGTTCCGGAGAATACTTTTGGCCACTTCGGAGGCGACGGCGCGCCTTGTAGCGTAGGTCTGGGATTGGTATAGGGGAAGGTAGTTGGGAAGAGCCAGCGCCGTGAAGAGAGAATAGTAAGTCCGGATCGGCGACAGAAGAAGGTTGAGCATATTGGCTTGTGTGGCGGCAGAATGGAGGTCGGCAGAATCCATGTACTCTGCACCTTTATCACGAGCGTACGCGAGTATCTGATCGACATACTCTAGTCTCTCAGGATAAATGTTGCTGGCTTCTGTCAGTTGTTTTTCTCTCGACATGAGGCAGTATGACTTACAGGGCAAGGTTTGCGAGCGATGTCAGAAGAGCCATAGTATCTTGAATCGGTAGGCCACGAGTCTTGACGAGGTTTACGACCTGGTCGTAGAATATCTCGAAAAGCTTAACATCAGCAATGCCACTACCTGATTTCTCACCATTGGTAGCCGTCGTAGCAGGTGTTAATGGTTCGGACTCGGTCGGCTGTGAGTCTGTCGGCGACTTTGGCTCATTTCCGTTGGTGTGAGGTGTTTCCTGGTCTGCCGTAGTTGCTGCTGTTGCTGAGGGCTTGGAGTCTTTGTTAAGATCGACCTTCTCCAGCATTCGGATGGCCGCATCCTCTTCGGCTTTTCTCTTCTCTTCTGCTGAAGACCCTTCCGCTTCGCGCTGGGCATAAGTTGACAACCGATCCATCAGTCCAATGACGATTTTCTTCATGTCGACATGTGGGTTCAACCTAGCAATGGCAGAAAGCAGTTGATCGAGCGTATGAAGGTGGTATTCATCGGGAAAGACTTTGGTGATCACTACATTGCTGTTAGCATAATACACTCACCCCAGTTTCTTCCTCCTACCTTCAAGCAGGTATTCCTGGGCTAGCACGTCGCGACATTGCACGACCTGCTCCAACAACGGAGCAATGATTGTGGCCTTGTAGGTTTCCAAATCAACGAGTTGGCTGAGTCTGACCAAATTGCTTCCGACCAGCAGCTCCAACTCTCTCCGTTCCTGTGTTCGTTGCTCTCGTTCTCGGGATGGACCTTGGTGCTGCCAGCGGACCCACAACTTGTTCATTTCAACAAAATTCGTAAGGATGAAATTGATCGAGTCTTGCAAGTTCCCTTGCGGTCCATCGTCCTTCCCAGTCGGTAAGTGGTCTCGTGCCTGACCACTCAGATAATATCGTAGAAAGAGGCCGCGAATCGGGTGCTGGACGCCCCTACTCATCTCCATCATGTCCTTCATGATTTCCTTGACTGGGGCATCCTCAACTGCCATGTAGACCGTGCCCACGGTGATCATCAGATACAATCTTGGGATTATGTTGCCCGCATACTGGACGAGCTCATACAGGTCCGCCAGGTGATTGACCGGGTGGGAGTCGCGGAGGTACTCAGAGAGATAGCCGAGCGCATCGAAGACGGCCATGTACAGTTCGTAGTATTGCTTCGGTCCTAGGCTAGGAGTTCGCAGTTCGGAGACCAGGGTGGAACTACAATGTTCCTCGGGGTCAGCAAGCATATCAGGCAACAGAGGCTCCCAGAGGACTCACCCGCATTTCAAGGCGTCCATCAACTTCCCCGGGGTTTCTAGACACTTGCGCATCTGCTGTGACTGCTGGCGCACGACTCCAAGAGCTTCCTCCAGCAGTCGGCCCTGGTCTTCGACGGTGGGCGGGCCTGCCGCCATTGCGACGGTGGTTCTGGTCTGTGACCAGTGACCGACACGGGCGAACCAGGTGAAGGAGTCTTCGGGGAGTGACACCCAAGCCTCAGGTGTTTCGGGTCTCTTCGTGTCTGTACACTTGATACAATGTCGGGGTGCACTTCGTGATTGGAATGTATAGAGTGGGAGCTGCAATGCCTCTGGCCGGGGAGCGACTGCACTGACTAAAGGCTGCACTTGAACCTCCAACTTCGGCGGGCGGACTTTGGCCAGTCTTGGCGACGAATCCCGCCGGACTCGGAGACTACTACCTACCTATGGTACCTACAGGTGTGTACCTATCTGTATCAATGATTACAACTTGAATGTGTGTACTATGGTTACAGGTGCTTGGGGAGTGATTCTGCCGTAGGCTCGCAAATACTCAGAACCACTGAGATATAGCAAAAAGATTACACGGTAAAGGAACTTTTGAACCGTTTCATGAGTTGTAACTTTATATTCGTGACCAGAAGCCCCCAACCTGGACTGATTCCAATTATGTACCTATCTATCCCATAGATGATTTTCAATCAGTACCGCCAGCGCCTTGCTATAAATCAAATGCCGTTTTGGTATCTTCAGAGCAAGCCAAACCTGTCAAACAGCACGATGCTGGACATATCTCATACAATTCCAGAGATCCAGGTGGAAAGGTGCAAAGGGGTATAAGACCTCATTGGATCATGCAGTCGTTAGAAATTCAAAGACAAACCGGTTTAGAGTCAGTTGGGGGCGACCCAGGTCTCGACTGTCCCAGCAGAAGTTGCTGTGCCCAGATCTGATGTTGTGGTATTCCAACCCTTGAAGTCGGCAGCACCCCAAAATGCTAGACTCGTTGTAGTAGGGATGGAGCTTGTAGTCGACACCGAAAGTGTGGATGAGGTCCATGGATTCGCCATAGTACTGCTTGCTTCCAAGGCGGGAGTGCTGGTCGAGCTGGCGCCCCAACTGCTGTCGGTGCTTGAGGGGTACTGGCTTTCAGATTCAACAGTATAGTAGTAGTATGTATGCCACATGCCATCATCGTACGGTCGCGTTGATGGAAGTGGTTGGGTGACTGTCACAGTAAGCTCTGGGAGAGTCTCTGTCGAAATCGGTGTTGTTTCGATTGATACGGTAATTGAGGTTGAAGTTGAAGTTGAAGTTGAAGTGGGAGTGGAAATGAAAGTAGAAGTGGAGACGGAGGTGAAGGTGGAAGTAGTAACGGAACTAGAAGTGGAAGTGGAATTCCCGGTCGGAGTTGTCGTTGTCGTGCTGCTGGTGAGCAGTGTTGTAACATATATTCCATCCGAGGTCGCTGGTGGTGGAGGAGGAGCTGCAGGTGTAGTCGTGGTAGCGCTCGTAGTTGTCGTCGTTTCTGTCGTAGATGACGTTGCTGTTGATGTCGTTTCTGTCGTAATCGATGATGTCGTAGCCGATGTCGTTGACGTCGTTTCTGTTGTGGTTGTTGACGATGATGATGTTGTCGTCGTGGGCTCCGGTGCGGCGGCAATAGGACTACTCGACGAGGGATATGAAGCCTCAGAAGAATTAATGCTTGGCGGCGCTGAAGACTCAATTGTCGCAGTCACAATTTCTGTCGTGACCGAGCCTGGCATATAGTCGGTGATCGTGGTGGGCGCTGCGGTCGTCACAGTGAGGACAATCGTGGCGGGAGTGTCTGACTCGGTCACCATAAGAGTGGAAAGTTGTGTTGTCATGAGAGTCTCCGTATGCGTCACGGCATCAGTGACAGTGGTCGCTGATGCAACACTTCCTTCTGTGCTACCGCCATCCACCGCGACCACCGAGTATGAGGCAGGTTTTCTTCGCTCCAGTACATTTGGAAGCAGAGGCCAGGCATTTGTGGAAAGCAATAAGGAGGACAGGGATGTGAGGATCGAGATCGAACTCGTTTTCATCTCGAGGAAGATCAATGTTTTGTCTCGCAGGTCTTGGATGAAGGGACAGGTTCAAGACAGACTATGTTGTATCTATGCTATTCAATAGTTTTGTGTTATCTTGAGATTTGGTAGCAGACAAAAATATAGAAACAAGAAAAGAAAGGGCTCGGACATCTACCTTCCATGTCAGAGTAGAAATACAAAGGCTGGCCATGTCGACAGCATGCCTGCAACGCGTGTGCGGCGGCATTATGATGCTTGCGAGGTGGCTGTCGAGGTGTTGAAGAAGCGAAATGGACGAGGTTGGGCTGCGCAGTGTCGCAGTTTGACCGCAGGCGGGGCCAAGGCGAGGCCAAGGCCTGCATGAGCCGCATCCTATTGGCAAAATCTGTTGTGGCTGGAAGCGCCACACGAGTGGCTGGGCTCCGCACATGCACAACATCTTCAACATGCGGCCAGAGTTTCAAAGCGCACGGATCTTCCTAACCACCACGCTCCATTCCAGACCAGGCTGTTGCTGACATCTGTGTCAGTCTTTTCTGGCCTTTCTGCCATGTGCGTCGCCAAGTATAGCACTCACTGCATCTCGTTCGCAACCGGGATTGGCCATCACCGTCACTTAGCGGACTTGGACTTCGGCTTGCGGATGATCACCCTGTCGCCCTCCCGCACCCAGCCCACATCTTCTGCTTCGACAAGTTCGTCCCAGCTGAAGTCGCCTCCGGTCGCGCTCTGGATGATCCAGTTGACGTCGCACGTGTAATACGCGCGGCCGATGGCTTTGAGTGCTAGTTTGCGTTGGGTTTCGATGTACCAATAGAGGAGGCCTCGAACGTAGCCGTCCACCTTCTGCCGCACGTGCCAAAACGTGACCCAGTCACCCATGACCACGGCTTGCAGTATGCTGTCAACAGCCCTGCTCTTATATCCGAACTTCACCTTGCTGTTGTACCTCAAAGTGTACGCTTCGGATAGGTCGTCCTGTCGTAGTGCGGTGTCAAGGATCAGATAAGTCGTCATCTCGACCAATTCCGATGTCGGGAGTGGATGTGCCGGAGTGTGTAGAACAAACAACAAGTGCAAGAGCGAAGCATGGTATCCAGGTGGGTGTCTAGCCAGTATGGCAGCTCTTATGTTGAAGACGTGGACGCGTTGCGAAAATACAGGCGAGGGTGCTGTGGCCGACGTTGCTAGTAATCCTTCTCTCAGTTTTCGAAGCGCTAATAGAATCGTGGACAGCTCTGCCGACGGTGATGGCACAGACATTTCGTTGGGCTGGCGAGCCTGAAAAGCAGGAGATCCCATCTGCAGGCTTACCTGAGGAGGTAGAGGACGTCGTTCGATGCTAGCGGCTGGTGCTGGTAGCGCAGGGCTGCGGGCTGGATCAGCCGAAGTGGATCGGCCTTCGTCGAGCGTGAGAGACGCGAACGCGCTGTCAAGGTCCTTGGAATGTTGTGTGCAAAACTGCATATATCGAGCAACAATCTTGTTGTAAAAGGTCTCCTGTGTTTTCGGATCCAGAAGCCTGTGGCAATGGTTAGCGGAAAGGGCGAAGTTGGGTTGACGACCTAACCTGTTGTCGCCTTTGGACACAAAACCCATGCTTTCTAGAGGATCCTGCTTGACGGGCCGTAGCCGGTCCCACGGCGCCGAGGACTTCCGACCTGAATAAGCCGGGCCTTGAGCCATTGTCGCAGAAGCATCAACCCTCGTGAAGAGCCAGAGGTGTCACGATTGCTGTGCCTCGCATATCCCAGGCTGAAGCCCACTTTCTGTCATGAATGCGGGTATCGTAGGCGAAGCGACTTCTGTAAGAACAAAGAGGGATGGATGGTGTGGAGGAGAAAGAAGAGGATGATGGTAACAGGGAAGAAGGGAGAACGGTGGAGAGGTATGAGTTGTGGTTGCCATGTTGAACCGGTCGTAACTTTAGACGCATGGGTTGGGGCGGGCCGAGCCTTGTGGATGGATGTATCCGTACATTACCGCTTTGATACAAAACCTCCGCTTCGAGGTCATTTTTCTCCCAACATTTTGCTGCTTCAAAACACATACTTGGTTCCAACATCAGCGTTCTTTATCCAGGCTTTGTTTCTGCACTAACAAGACCTTTTCTTTTGAATGCCTTCCCGGAAAATGTCTCCGGCGGAAAGGCAATTTGACAGCTCCATGTCCGCTGGCCCTTCTTCCCCAACCACCGATTCCGATCAGCCCGCGGCTCCCTGGTATTCTTTGCTTCACTGGAACGACCTCCCTCACTGGCAGCAAGACAATCAGCACATACACGGCAGCTATCGACAGGCGTCATATAGTTACACACGCTCGTTGCAGAGCATTCTTCACTGGCACAATGAGAGCATCAATATTTGGACTCACTTGGTCCCCGCCACGCTCAGTCTGCCGGTGGCTGCTCTGCTCTATAGGGTTCTGCTACCAAGATATGAAAGAGCCTCCGCCGCAGATGTGATAGCAATGAGCTGCTTCTTCTTCGGCGCCGCTTGCTGTCTTGGTCTGAGCGCCTCCTTCCATACATTCTCGAATCACTCCCCGCAGGTCGCCAAATTCTGGAATCAGCTGGACTATGCCGGCATCGCTGTGCTTATTACGGGTTCTTTCGTCCCGAGTATCTACTATGGTTTCTGGTGTAATCCGGGAAGGCAATGGACCTACTGGACCATGGTAAGTCTCATCACCACCGTCCAACCCCCCAAGCTCGAGAGCTCCGCTCATTTGATGATCAGATCTGCACCTTGGGTATTGCGTGTACAGCAACATCTGTGCTGCCTCGCTTCAGAACCCCAACTTGGAGGCCATACAGAGCATTGATGTTTGTTGGCATGGGAATCTCCGCCGTTATCCCGGTCGTGGACGGGGTGAGGACATTCGGATTGCATGCTATGGAGCAGCAGATCGGGCTGTCCTGGGTAGTGTTGCAAGGCTCACTGTATATCCTGGGAGCCGGTTTATACGCTGTAAGCTGACCGGAGCATGTGGCTGGATCATCGCTGACTGTGACAGGCTCGGTTTCCGGAAGCTTGGTATCCTGGCAGATTTGACACTATAGGAAGCTCACACCAGTTATTCCACATCCTCATAGTATTGGCGGCAATGTCGCATCTTAGAGGCCTCCTGAAGGCTTTTGATTATCGACACGGGATCATGGGGTCGATATGTCTGTGAATCTGCCTCCGTCGCGGTGTTCATAGCTTGAAGTCGACATTCGCAAACGAGCGATTGTGCATAGAATCCTTCTGCTGATGGGCAATTTTTGCAGCCAATGCCATTTTCAAGTCTCGGGCTCTATCCGAAGTCAAATCGTAAATAGTAGCAAGATTGATGGTCAAGGTCTGGAACGTGTAACCGTTGTCAACCGATTCTTCGAGCATTTGTTTGGCTTTTTGAACCTCCCCACTGTAAAGGTAAGCCACCGCAAGATTCTGTTCCACCAGGCCTTTGAGCGCAGAGCTGGATTCTAGTTCACAGATTGAAAGCTTCTGAGAAGCAATATCGTATCGCCCTTCGGCAACAGCGAGGAGAGATTCCAAGGCGAGCTTCTCCAGTGGGTTCAGACTCGCGGAATCGATCAACCGCTGGGCCTTGCTGACGTCGCCAATTTTGATCAGGAGGAGGGCCATTCGGGCTGTCCAGAGAGCCACATGCTCCGCATCTCCTGGTTTGATGGACTCTAATGTCCGAGCTGCACAGTCAAGATCACCCATTTCAATCAAGGAGTTGACCACCCGAATCGAGACTTCGTTGAGTCTTTCAGTCCACAGCGCCCGCTGACTTGGAGATGTGGTTGACGCAGCCAGATGTTCCCGGCATTCCAGAGCCGTGTCGTAAAGAGTAGTGACACCTCGACGCGGATCTGAAAAGCCAATGCTCTGGAGACGTAAAGCCTGCAATCTCAATGTGAAGGGCATTATGTGGTGAGGAACCTTGCCAAGCTGTTCGCCAGCACCGTCTCCGTCCTTCTGCGGAATGGTGTGGTCATAATAGAAAGCCGAGCTCAGGTCCTCTAGAGCCTTGGCTTCCTGAGCAGCGAGCAACAGATTGCCCGATAGCTCGAGGCAAGAATAGCGGAGAGAAAGAAGTCGAAAAATGCTCTTAGCATCGTTTGGCTGCACTGTTCCTGACGTTAAGATGGACCCCGCGAGCTGGGCGGCTCTCAAAAAGTCGCACTGCGACAGCAACAGGTCGAGCTGTTCGCGAGCTTCCATAAGTGACGACTCGCTGGTCGGGGGTGGAAGAAATGGTCTACGGAACGGACCGGGGACCTCAAGCTGCGAAAGAGAATGATATATGGCTGCATCAAGCAGAAAGGAGAGATCCCGATCCTCTTCCCCTTGCTCATCGCTGGCTGGGGCAGCGTGGGCTCTTTCTGAAGGTTGCAACCGTTCGGAGGATGCTGCTTGTTTTCGACCCTCGACTCTCTCCCCTGGCGGGGATTGTGCATGGGGAGAGTGATTCGATGGAGAGCGTGCTGGCGTGACTGCCCCGGGGGTGATCAGAAGATCGTCGACAGCATCGAGGGGCCCCTTCGTGGTCCGTCGAGGCAGGCCAGCTCGACTGGAAGGCTTGCGACTGTGATGCTGGGAAGCCATGCGCGGGGTTTGCTCGAAGTTGTGAAAGTAGTAGATGCCAATCAAGGATTCAAGATGAGATGCGCATCACTCTACGTACTAGTAGTAGTACCGGAAGTCCTACAGTACGAACTAGTACTCTGGGGTAGTATGGCGGATTTAACCGTCGGGGATAATGCACGCGCCTCCTTTCGTGGAAACGCGCAGAGAACAATCTGGCGCGTCCGCAGAATCCAGCCAGATCCTCATTCCTCAATCAAGCCACACTCAGACGCCGCACCTGATTCTCTCGACGTATCGACTATCATGGCTTCCAAGAATAAGTATTCCGTGATCCTCCCAACCTACAACGAACGACAGAATCTGCCTGTTCTGGTGCAGATGCTCTCAGATGTCTTCACCAAAGAGTTAGTACCCTGGCTCAGACACAAGTGCCCTCCATGTCCCCTTGAGGGGCTTTAGGGAAGATGTTGGCTAATGCGCCTTGGTGTTCTGTTCAGGAAATTGGATTGGGAGGTTATCGTCGTGGACGATGCATCCCCCGACGGTACCCTCGAGCGAGCGAAAGAACTCCAAAAAGCCTTCGGGCCCGATCATATCGTGCTGAAGCCACGAGCAGGCAAATTGGGCCTGGGCACTGCCTACGTCCACGGTCTACAGTATGTGACGGGCAACTTCGTCATCATTATGGATGCCGATTTCTCGCACCATCCTAAATTCATCCCCGAGTTCATCAAGATCCAAAAACAGACTGGTTGCGACATCGTCACTGGAACGAGGTACAGATCAAGACCAGGTCTGATTGGGGGCGTATACGGCTGGGATGCAAAGAGGAAGTTGACAAGTTGTGGCGCCAACATTCTCGCGGATTTCCTGCTGAATCCCGGCGTGAGTGACTTGACCGGTTCATTCAGGTTATACAGGAAGGAGGCTCTGGTTACGGTCATCGAGAGAACTGAGTCGAAGGGTTACACGTTCCAGATGGAAATGATGGTCAGGGCGAAAGCAATGGGACTCAAAGTCGAAGAGTGCCCGATCACCTTTGTTGACAGACTATACGGAGAGAGCAAACTGGGCGGGGAAGAGATTGTCGAATATCTCAAAGGCTTACTGTGGCTATGGTGGTCGGTATAGATCTGCAGAACCGGTAACGCATTTTCGGGCATTGTGTATGTTTATCCGGCGTCGGTATGGCATGGATAGGTCTGGCAGGATTCCTCCCATCAACTGTTCACTCTCCGACACATTACGACAATGACTTTCAAAGCGGCTTCCGATCGCACTTCTGATATACTGCGGCAATTCTCAGTTGACACCATGTCCTGAGAATGCTGCTAAGCAATGCTGGACCAGCCAAGGTTGTCGGCTGGCAGATGCCGTTTCTTCCCATGACCGTTCCAAACCCGACCATTTGGAGACCGCTACGTATCATGTCGTCGGACTCAATCACGTATGCCGTGCCAAATCGATGACCAAAGGCAAGCCGAAGTATACATCGAGCCTGGAACTTATTCCGGCGTTCCAGAAGAGCCTGTCACGACTACCGCGACCACAGCGGAATTCACTGTGTCCAAGGCGCCTCAACTGGCATAGTAACTGCTCGAGAGAGACGTCGCTTTCGTCGTGTGTGGCGCATAGGTTGTTCGTCTCTAGTGCCGCCTGTACCACGGGTACTAGTGATTGGACTTAGTCAGCCTAATCGATGTACGTTGCGTCTTGTCACTAAGATCGCATCAATCGGTCTGACCAACTCCTCGCTTGGGACAGGGCTCGGGCTTGAGGTAGGGCGACGTTTATTCGTGCTGCATGCATGCCCTGCGTTCGTCGTCAGCAGTAACTGTTTGTAAGCCTTCATGCTCGGCTGGCATAGGTATGGCCACGTTTGCGGGCCGGGGGTCATTGATGGTTTCTTCGTGCCCAACAAGGAAGTGATCTCTAACATGCTTGCTCGATTAGCGCACTTCAGAGTCATCAATTACGCCCTGGGGCTGAGTTCCTCAATCTTGGGAGTCGAGATTGATTGGGTTCGTTCGCCCAAGGGTAGAAAACACCACCTCCGTGATGAGAGGAGAGGATGCATACATCAGCTGTTGATCTGCGTCATCCAACTGTCTTGGAGGGATCAGCCCTGTCGCTCGTGGTGGTTGCTTTGATAACATCGGACCAGGGCGCGTAATTTTTGTTCTGGGCTCTGCTCATGGTGCTTCAAAGTTCAGAGGCACTGAACCGAGCCGTTTCCAGGCCTAAACTTGCCAGGGTATCCTGCTCGGCCGCCAGTTGGATGTCCTTGAACCCTCTCTTGAAAATATGGCTCTTCCCATATGTGCAAAGCGTCACCGCTCGATTCGATGGAAGGTAAGGACGTGCTTGTTGAGATCGGACGGTGAACCAAGGTATCTGAGAGTACAAGCGGGAGAAACTAAAAGCTACCGAGACAAAGACAATACTGTCTAGGGACGACGAATTGATATCGAGGTCAGAAGCGATTTGCGGTCCAAGTGATAACACGATCAACTGGGTGCCTTAGATATCAGTCAGTCTTCGCCCGCCGGTTGCCAAATCCCAAGGTCCTCAGGATTCTAAGGAAATCCTCGCATATCTCTTGGTGATCTGTCTTGCGCTCCATTGGTGACAGCAAGGTCTTTGCGATATCTTGCCCAAGCCGCGGGGACTGCAGTTTTGTTTCCATGTGCAGGCCTCCGTACGAGATGGTACCTCAGATAATTGTGGCTGGCGGCAGGACACTTTACCACCGGTCGGCGTCACAAGAGGTGACCGTGGAACAAGGCAGAGGAACTTCTGAAAAGAATACACAGGAAGGGAATGTTGTCGGTACTCGACGAGAGAGATCGCCAACCAGATTGAAACGAAGTCACAACAAAGTGCGCACTGGGTGCGGCACTTGTAGGTGCGGCCACCCTACGACTGGAAGACACCCCGTTCTGTCTTCTCACTCTTGTTCCTTCCTCTTGCTGACCTGTTTCCGCTGACCTTTCTTATCGAGCAGAAGCCGAAGGGTCAAATGTATGTCTGCCATGAATGAGCCGAATGCTGCGGTCTTAGGCTTCCTGGTCGTTGCTCCCGCCGTCGCGCCCGGTTCCTGACCCTCCTTGCCGGCATCGTTGTTCCACCACACGATTTGTCCCTTGCCACTCCCCTTTCATGCATTTACTAACTCCCAGACTATATGGTGTGCAGGTGACGAGATCCGTCCCAGGTGTCTGCGCTGCGTCAAAGCCGGGCGATTCTGCGAAGGCTACAACCAACCTAAAGCATGGCTCTTTGAACCCTCGACATCGCTGTCTCCTGGCGATGAGATCGCCCCGTGGTTCAACACGGCGAGTCCTTACCGGTTTTTCGACGACGACTCGGAGCTCTACAGACCGACCCAGTATTTCATGGAATGCACCGGCCCTCGAATCGCCTCTTATTTCTCCGAGATGATGGATTCATTCCTGGACAACAAACCATTGGTGAAATATTCGTCCGTTCAGGCATGGAGCTTCTGGAATACATTAGTCATTCAAGCCAGTGAAATACATTCATGTGTGCGTTACAGTTTGGCCGCTCTCAGCAGTCTTCACGAATGGATAGACTTCAGCAAGCGGACGCCGTGGCAAAACCACGCATTCACGCTTCACTACACGAAAGCCATCGGCAAGATCAACCAAAGCCAGGGCGGACTTCCCCTCGAGATCGTTCTCATTTGCTGTCTCTTGTTCGCTCATTGCGAGTTCCTGATGGGTGCCTCAGTCGCAGGTCTTACACACCTCCGAGCTGGGGATCGCATCATTTCGGAGAGCCGCAAAAAGAACGCAATACTCGCCCCTGAGATCTCCGAGTCCATCGAGCCCATAATCCGAGGCTTTTTGGCAAAGTCGGAAACCTATGAGCTGAGAGAAATAGCAGGCCCTCAAGATGAATCGTCCGAAGACAAGACGTATGCGCTACCGGCAATGCCAGAAACGTTTCAAGATTTGGCGCAAGCGAACCAGTACCTCCAGCAGACTGTCTACTTTGTGCTACTGCTTGAGCTGGGTCAGCCGCGCCATCTGTCGTCCATGACACCTAGTGTACGAAAGTATGTGAACGATTGGGCGACAGCTTTCGGGCGATGGAAGGCTCGATTTGAGCTGGAAGATCCGCTTATGAAGGATTGGCAACTGCTGCTCCTGGCCCAACACCGCATGGCATTGCTCATACTAAAAGCCCTCCAGCCTGAGTACGACAAGATGTATAGTCGTGCCGCTGCTGACTTTCGAATCATGCTCGCGCAACTTCGCGCCTTCCTGCGGAGCGGATACACCAACATGGACCCGAAGAATGACGGCGACATGGTTCTGAAATTCCATTTGGGCTTTATCGCGCCACTCTACTTCATTGCTACACAATGTCGAGTGCGTGAGATCCGCCACAATGCTCTACAAGCTTTGAAGGATTTGAAAGTGATTGAAGGCCATTGGAATAGTTGCGTGGCATACGCCATCGCAAAAACTGCCATTGAACTCGAGGAGAGATTCCAAGGCAAGAATCCCTCAATGCCGACCCGGGTCAAAGTGGACTGTGTCGATCGGGCGAGGCACGGTACTATCTCCATGAGGTATCGTAAGCTACCGGGAACCGGAGCGACCGATGACTTTGCCACGATGGAAATCAGCGAACCTGCATGCCATCGCGAGGTCAACATGCAATGGGTGAGTATATCGGCAAGCCGATACAGAAGAGTCTGATACTGATGATCTTCATAGCCTGTTGTCCGAGTTGTCCAGCTCCATGGGTTCCAAGCAACGGTCAGCCCACAGAAACTTCATTGTTCGTGTCGCCCAAGTCAGGAGGCTTAGGCCGGTATTCTGTATTTGGACGGGACTATATTGGGAAGTTCTTCCTCCGGAGGATAAGTCTCGAGGTAAAAGCCCAGATACGTCGGCACATGCCCCAGATAGAATAAGTCGACGCAAGCGGCGTGGCGCGGACAGTCCCGGTCCTTCTTTGCCAGTGCACTTGTCTCAATCATCATGCTGCGCAACCCATACAGTGTTCGGTATGGGGACATAAGAGTAGTCAAGCACTCAGTCCATCCTTCTTTTGCCATGAGCAGTCCCATTTGTATGCCCATTACCCAAGGCGTTGTGGTCCGTGACCCCATTGGTCTCTGTCTGATGCTCGGTCTTGCGTATCTCGTGGACTTTCATGTCCATACCCACCCAGAACCGACGGTCTCGCCAGGTCACGGTCACGCCGCCCCAGATTGCCCAAGCCCAGATAGGAAACGCCAAAGCCTCGCGGCCCAGCCAGGCAAGAAGCCAGACCTTAAAAGGTCGCCGCAACTGACCTGGCCCCAGAGGTTTGGCGAACTCGGGCAGCTCATCTGAGGGTCCCTCGGTCGTTGTCTCTATCGTCTGCCCAGAATGAAGGAGCAAATATACTCTCCAGTCAATGCTTGCCCACAGGACAATACTCACAGTCCACCAGAACAGAAACCAGCCCCAGGTATTGCCGAACCATCCTTGCGTGTACTTGCAGGTCGTCACCGCGAAGGCTCCGTACGCAGAGCACAGGAAGCTTTCCGTACCGGGCTCGACGAGCGTCGCTAGAGGCACAGTGAACTTTCTCACTCTGAGCCAGCGAACCCGCCTTGCGATATAGTTGGTGACTGTCATACCGGCCACGGGCTGGATGGCGAGATCGCCTAAAGCGAGGCCGTGGTTACGCATATTCCGAGGCAAGTCTTGTAAAGCTGGAACTTTTGATTTCCAGAGCAGGTCCCCGATCAGGTGGTCCTCGCAGATGTTCTGGGAGAAGTAGTCGATCCCTGTCCGGGAAAGTGTAGGGGCCGTAGGATCCTCACGCTTCGCACGTTCGGCCGTCAGGTAGTCGAGGTGTGAGCGGCGAAACATATTGGATTTGCCGACGATACAAGGTGCCACTGCCACCATGTTGATGGCGACGTACATCTTCGCATGCGCGGACGAAAGGAAGAGCTCCTCGAGACGCCCGCCATACTGGTCGATGTTGCCTCGCCTTTCAGGTAGGCTGGCGTCTGACAGAAGAGACGTGGCTGAGGCGTCATCGTAGGACGAGGTATTTGTTTTCTGCTTGTTCGAATATTCATTCACATCCACCGAGATGGGGAGGTGGTGGACGAGCTTGTACGGTCGGACGGTTGCGCCTTTCGAAGAAAACCCGCAGAGCTTGTCCACCATGCGCCCACAGACACCTTTGCCCACCCAGATATTGCAGTCAATGATCCAGACCAGATCCCCTTTGGCCTTGCGATATGCCCTGCTCATGTTCCTGATCTTGGGATTCGGGCCCAGCAGATCTCTGTGGGCTGCGGGGTTTGCGGCTTCATCGTCCTCCTGTTCCACGAAGATGCGCGCATCGTGGCCTGGATGGTCTTTCACGACCTTCTCGATCGTCTCGTAGGCAGCATCGGCGCGGGAGGAGACGCAAAAGTGCACCGTCAGCTTGTCGGCAGGGTAGTCTTGGAGGAACGAGGAACGGAGACATTCGTAGAGGTACGGCTCTCTGCCCTTGCACGGGCGTATGACTGTGACATAAGGGATTTGTTCTTTTTCTTTGGAGAGCACGGCAGCTCGCTGGGGTATGGTACGATAGTACAGAAATCTAACTCACGGTCAACGTCTGCTGTCCTGCGTTTCCAATGAATGGGTTGGGAAGGCTATACAGGCAGATTTCACCAATCGTGCAGACGCAGGCTATGAAAATGTACCATGCGATGCAGACCACCGCCACGCTCTCTATGAACATGAGTGTATCATAGCGCGTAGAAAGAATACTGAGAGACAACAAAGGAAACAGGGAGCGTGATCGAAACAAACAATTTCTACTGTGCTACCCTCAAAGAAGTGGGAAATAAAAAGTCAACACTCGCTATTCATAAAATCCGGCGTTTCCACACTGGCATCCCGCGACTCCCGACGCGTAGAGCCTTACGGTTAGCCGCCTTTCTATTCGATTACACACGCATTGGTCAGGGCGGACATTGCGTTATTAAAAGCCATTAAAAATGCTAACACTTTGAAGCGGACACCATGGACGGAACCTGGCGCCCTTCTTGGTATTTGTAGGGTATGCAAAACCGACATCTTACTATGCCAACAGCATCTTGACCCCCTCAATCTCGTAACCACGCGCGCCGTTTCTCTTCCTTCTTTTCTCTCCGCTTCTCCTTGAACGCTTTCAGCTCTGCCTTGCTCAGCTTCTTACTCGCCCTCTCTGCTCGGAGGCTTCGGCCTTCGTGGGAATTCGCGGCAGCATCCACATCGAAAAACGCGTTCATTTGCCGTTTGCTCTTTTGCTCATCACTGAATTTCTCTGGATTGAGCTCGGCGCGTTGCCATTTACCGGTGAATCGGTTGAAAGTGCCAGTCGCAGCGTAGATCTCGCTTGCATCCGCGACAGGGGCGCCGCCAACTGCGTCCGAACCCATTGGGTCCTCGTATGTTTTTGCGTAATCCGCATTAGGATCATAGTCGCCGTGAATAGCGGGATCATAGCCACCAGCTCGCCTTGCAGGGGCCGCGTCTGCAGGGCTTGCTATTCTCTCGTGGTTTCCAATTCCAGGTGAAACTGTGGGTTGTGCATCGGGTACTCTTGGATTTTCCCACTGCGACTTGTTGGTGAAACGGTTGAAAAAATAGAATGCTTGAGCGCGGTCATCCCATATGGGTTCCCATCCGTCATCGACGGGTTCCGCAGGCGGTGCCTCGTTCGGCAGCGGTGGAGGCGGTTCCACGGCTGGAAGGGGAGGGTTGACTACATCTGTCTTCTCCGGTTCTGGAAATGCGGATTCGGAGGGCGAAGTGTCATGATCGCTGATTTCCCCGTCTTCCGCCTGTTGGTCCACGCTTTGTTGTCGAGGCTTATCTGTTGGTGATTCTTTCTCGGAACTGAGGGCAGACATGACAGATTAGCAACAAAGGTAGGAAACAAAATGGCCTGGAGGTCAGCTACAGCATGATTTGGGTTACACCGGAGTCGTAGCAGACGCAGGAGCTTAGCTTGGAACGTCACTGGCTTCTACGAATGAGTAGAAGCTGTCGTCGTCGAGTGAGTTTTGTGAGCGTAGTTGATGTGTGATGGAGAAGACGACGGGTGATGACTTTTGTCTGTTCCAGTTAGGAAACTGCAGATAGAGAGAGTCTCGAGTCGGGAGAGGAATGGACGGGATCAATCAGGCAAGTTTGCCGAGTGCGCATGTAGAAGCACCGAGAAGTCACAATCAAGGTTAATCTACCATGTAATTCCATGCTAATCGCGATTCTTCAGGGCAATACACGCTGTGCAATAGACTTGTGTTGTTGATGTGTTTGGATGCTCTCTCGACATGCTGTGGCTTGTCTCATGGTCGCCGCTGCCTTTCCGGGGATCGCAATCAGAAAAGGGATTAGCGTCTGCTATTTCATTGGCGGTTAGGAATCAAGCTTAACCTAAAACTGACCTGCCAATGGTTTTCTGAGACGCGCTTTTCCTTTTCCCTTTCCCCGTATTCGATTCTGGCAATTTGAACGCGGCTTCTGGTCCGCCTCGTATGTTATTTCTCACCGACTACATCGATTATCTTCACCTATGGCTTATCTCTGCTGACCATCGCCTTGGATACACTATGCAGAAATGCCGTTGGGTCCGTCTCTGCAATCTCGACTCGCCGCCGCTCTTCCAGTGGGCATAAGCCTTCAGGCGTATCATGTATCCACAACTCCTAGCCCAACAAATGCGCTGTTTGCCCCATTGCCGGGAGAGCAAAGCGAGGCAACTTTGTGCGAATCCCATTTTCTTGGGATAGCCTCGCCTCAAGATGGCGACCACAAGGAGGTGCTGGTGTACGCCGTAGAGATTTTGATCTTTACGAACCCGAGCTTGACCACTTTGTTCGTGTCCAAGGCAGACTCCTCTGGCTTCTCATCCCGCACCAACGCACCAAAGGGATCACCTTCGATTGTCGGCTCTATCATCTCGACTTTTGTGCAGTTTCTGCTTGAGCCGCGTCTGGCCAAGTCGAGGGTTGTGTTGTCTCTCTTTGCCCGTTCACAAAACCAATATCTATTTCCTGGCAGCATTGAGAATCCCACCAAGCATGTCCTTGACGACCGTCAACTGATCAAATGGTGGTGCCGAGTGCTTGATGATGTGTTACGACTGCACACTGACAGCAAGTCACCGGCATGCAAAGCTACTGCCCATCTTCTGGTTCCCGGATGCGACAAAGCAGAAACAAAAGCCTTCTTTCCACCCTCGAGCCGCTCGGATTCCCCATCTGATCCGAGATGGATCAATTCTTATCCAGTCGAGCTCCTGGTGGCAGATACCACGAAGCCTCCGAGGCACTTGGTTCCTCGACTACCCGATGATCCGAAATCAAGGTTTCTCGAGGACCTAGATGGGGATTTCGTCGATGAGCATGGACAGTGGCGAAGTCTGAAGACCCTGGACCAATTTTGGGAAATGATGTCGTATAGACAGGAATGCTCCGCTGGACGGTTGGTTGGATTTCTCTGGCTAGTTTTCTCACCAGGTCAGTCTACTCACGCTTCACTCGATGTGCTCGAGAAAAGCGACAAGGTGGGCCTTTCGAACGAAACAGCTATTCAGTCGAAGTCAGACACTCCTGGGAGCTCTCATTCGAGTGAAAGAGACCTGTCTCTCCACGGTTCGCTATCAGCGCCTAACTCCGGAGGAATTGAGAACGACAGGTTGCCACGGGACTCTTTGTCGACGACCGGATCTCGGACAGAATCAGCGGCTGTCGCTGATGTCGTGGACAGTGGTGACAGTAAATCGTCGACTATATCTGTCCCGTTGACAGAGCAGCTGGCGAAATTCATAAACATTGACCATGCAACGCAACCGGAGGGTGAAATAGTGATCAATGCCGATCAGTATCAGTCTTTGACTGACTATCTCTTGCAAACCGACTTCGCGGGAGACCACCTAGCTGCTGAAAGCACCAGGGGCTGGGTGCAGAAAGTACTCGAGCTGTCTGGTGCTGCAGCATTCGGGTGTCCCATACTTGGCGAGCGTACGTTGGCCCCGTCGAGTGGGGTGCAACAGATGGATGCGCCGCAAGTCAACGTCCTGACTGGGATTCGCAAGAAGAGAAAAGCGGACAACATTGTTGACAGCGGCCCTGCATCCTCCGCAAACGGCCCGGTGTCTGGCCAGCCCACCGTGAACACGCTCTCTGCCGGCCTTGTGAGGAAGAAGGTCAAGAGTTGACATTCCCTTCGGCTGGGCAACGTGTATATCACTAAGTGCATCTAGCATTCCATGGTGGCGTGGTCTGTGGTGGGCTTATTGGATACGCGGCAAGATCTTGGGAGTCGATATGGACCTTGTATGTTTTGGAATGGCTTTTAATGCTTCCTCAGGATACAAGTATGACGAGCGGCAGACGCAGCGCCCAACACCTCAATCTCACAACCTGACTCGCCAGCGGTTGTCTTATGACAGGCCAGTCAGACGCACAAGGGTGGCTATACAGATACCCTTGTCGCCCTACTCCAATTGGCTCCCTTCTGCCAGCCTGCAGGTCAGCGCCAAGTGTGTCTCTGGTTGGACTGTCGCCCGGCGGCAATGCATCTTCCCACTGCTATATTTGGATTGCTTCACAACTTCACTCGCACTCCCTACTATCCGGCCTCACTCATCCCGGATCGATCTCCATAGAATGCTGCTGCTGCTACACTGCTCGGTCAACAGGAACCAGGACAATTTTGGTTCCCATGCCTCACAGATCCCCGCACGGCGTCAGTCGCAACCCTTTCGTTTCGTCTTATGCTGGCCTATTGGATATGCAGGCCACAGCGGCCAGGCTGACCGCCACGAAACCTTGAAGATGTCCTTTGAACCTTACAGCCATAATTCACGCATTGCCCTCTATGTCTTTCATCAACTCTTCCAATCTTTATCTCTGCTGTCATTTCTGTTGCTTCATGTTCAATTGCTTGCGTCTTGCCTTTTCTCAGCCCTTGCAGCGGGAAAGATATCACTGGTTGTCTTACGCCCATCCTAGCCGCATCTCACCATGGCCGCCTCAATCTGGACTGTTCTTTCCCTCTATGCAGTCGCCGCAGCGGCAGCGACAAATTGTTCTATACCATCCATCTTTGTGGACATCCATAACCGAGCGGTCGACGGCGGCGTCACGTTCCAGTATGGTCTTTTCACAGGCATCGGCAGTCCCACATCCCAGAATTTATCACAATGGCCCACCTTTCACAATGAGACCACAGTAGGAAATCTCGACTATTGCAGCAGGAGCCCCTTCAAAGACTGTGTCACCCAGAGCCACGGTTTCTACTCTCCAGAGCTTTCCAAGACGTAAGCTGATCTGCCATATCTTTTTGAGCCACAGGAGGATTCTGACAGTTGAGTCAAACAGATACTCGTCCGGTGCATCCTATCGATCTCTCGACAGTCTGGGTTCCATCCCAGCAGACGTTGTCGAGACCGCCTTGGACACTTTCAATCTCTTCACCCACTACTACGACCCCTCTCCACCGAATGTCACTCACCTCACCGAATTCCCGGTCACAGTTCTATCCAATTACTCCTCAAACTCCACGACGTGGTTCGGCCCCGCAGGACTTGTAGGGTTGGGTCCTTCCAGCACCCTCCTGCAGCATTTGTACGACCAGCACTTCATCTCGACCCGGTCTTTTGGATTGTACGTAGGCACGGCGTATGAGCCGGCCAACGGTGCAATCAATGGCTCACTCGTTCTCGGCGGCTATGACTCGGGTCGGTTTGAAGGCGACGTCCACAACTACTCTATCAGTCCTGCTTGGCCTGACGCAGGTCATAGCCCTTTCAAGGTCTCGGTCGCACAGTTGACTCTTACCGCTGCCGATGGGAAGAAGACGGATCTGCTCAATGCCGTGTTCGATGCGTATGTTACAACCTCTCAATACGAGCTCGACCTCCCGAGAGTCGTCACCCAGAAATTCGTCGACGAGACCGGTGCCACGCCCACGGATGTTGGGAACCCTATACTGCGGCTTCCAGACAACTTCGACTCGACGCTGACCGTCTCTCTCGAGGGTGGGCTCAATATGACCTACGATGCGGAATGGCTCCGCAACGTGTCCAACAACTCTCCCTTTTCAGCCAAGTCGATTGCTTCTTCTGCTTCTTCTGCTTCTTCTGCTTCTTCTGCTTCTTATAACAGCCAGAACGGGACGACCGACACGGACGTTGGCGTTCTGGGGTCCGCATTTCTTTCGTACCTCTATCTCATCGCGAACTACGATGCGAAACCGCCAACGTTCCACCTTGCCGCCGCCCGTCCAAACGGTCCGTACGTGATGACTCAGACTCTTTGTGCGGACACAGCCCCGGTGGCTGCAAAAACTAGCAAGATATCGTCTTTCACTAGAGCCGGCCTCACTGGCGCGATCGTGGGTGGCATCGTGGGGGGCATCGGCTTGACATTCTTTGCCTACTGGCTGTTCCGCAAATGGTCGCAAAGTCGCCTGCAACGAAAACAGCGCGCTGCCAGCCCGAAGAGCAGAAGTATTGATGTCGGAAAAGGCAAGTCCTCGTACGACCGAGACAGCGAAAGCAGCGAGATGGCCACGTTCGGATTCAACTTCAACTCGCACGGCCACCAGCAGTATCAGAACTACCTGCAAAGTCAAGCTCAGGGCCAAGGGCAAGCAGCACAACCACAACCGCAGCCACTATCAGAATCACAATCACAAACTCCACAACGTCCGCAGCTGCAGCAGTATGCCTCCCACGAGAGTGACTACGGCCCCGAGACTCGGGCGCAAGAATACTTGCGCTCCCGCGACGACGCCTACACGACCGCGGGCCCTCTTACCCCTGCAACAGGCGTACCTTTACTGAACTCGCAGGATGTTCCTGGGCAATCGGAGCCAAGGCCATTCATGCATCACAGCTTATCCGGCTCACGGTCCCAGACCCAAACCTCGCAGCTGCAACTACAGCCCGAGATGGGAACGGGAACGGCAACGGCCTTTCCTCGACCGCGAAAGAGCAGCGAGCCCGCCCAGCGCATGGTCCTGGGTTTGAATCTGAAAACCGAATTCGATCCTCCGCCGGGGAAAGGGCCCAGTGGCGCCACACGCAAAGCCGGCGGTAGGAAGAAGGAGAGTCTGTTGAAGAGAGTCTTCCCTCCGCCGAGCGGGGTGTAGACATCAGTCGTGAAAGAAAGGCTTTGCGTCTTGACAGCTGGAAGTGTTTTGCTGATCTGGAGCTGGAATAGGCGTGCATGCATGTCGATGTTGACGGGGCGTTCCAGGGCTCAGGGGATTTCTCGGAGTGGACATCCACTAATCGGTATAGTGCAGATGTCTTTGGCGTCATACTTCGACGGGCGGGAATACAATATAGCCATGCTAGGCGTGGCTGTCTTCCTTTGGCATCTTCAGCGGAGTTGGACCTCGGACAGGGCTTTTTGCATGGCATCAGCCTCGTATAGCATTGGAATAACAGCAAGTCTTGGAGTAACCTGCAGGATAACGGGCTACGTTGGCAGCGAATTGGGTCATCTCAGGCGTACCGTACACCAAAGAGACAATATGGCCTGCCTCGTGGAGCGACAATGTTGCTCCGTAGTTAGGCAATATCATCCCGTGCGGCGGTGTTTTCTCCTCTTTCAGTTCATCTCGCTTCTTACTATTGAGGATCGTTGTGTCTCTTGGTCTACCCTATAAGTGGCGCCGCATAAATGATATAGGTGCCTACCTAGCAGGTAAGCAGTCCGGATGGTTGATACAACAGGCGTTCTCCTATAACGTAGATATAAGTTATGAAGGGCGCCTCTATTAAGATCTAATAGTACTATATATTTTATAGAATGGCTTGGTACCTACCTAGTAGGGAAGTAGTCTAGAAGGTTAATATAACAGGAGTTCTTCAACATAGGTATATCTACCGCCTCTTGAATGTTTGAAGGGCGCCCCTACCAACCCTACCTAGTGCCTACCCTCCTATATAGTATAGATAACGCTTTCTCGGAAAACATGTTGGATCTTCGCGTTAACATCAAGATCGGGCCTTAACAATAATAGTTTAATAATACCTAGATGCCTGGACGAGATGGCTTAAAGGAAGATAGATTCATGGTTCTTTCAGGGTTAATGATATTAACTGTGGACGCTTCTATAAGTAACCTAAGAAGTCTAGCGCCTTACTCTGCTCGTCTGACATTTCCAACGGGATATAATTATGGTGAAGTGGCTCTACTAGTATAATTTCGGCGATCAGCACGTAAGCCGCATTGATTACCAGGCCACCACTTGTCCCATCATGAAGGTGAGAAAACCTGTAATCGACGTTGATGCCTTTTTGCGATAGTAGCAAACGAATTGAATCGGCGTTCCTTTGCGCTGCCGCATGTATTAGGGCAGGCCACCCCTCTGAATCTACCCAGTTCAACAGTGGATCTGGTGCCGAGGCACCCTCCCGTGTCATTGTCGGTAACGGGAACTTTGAACGACTGGAGCCCGCCATTGCGCCAATCATCTCGCTTCTTGAGGAGGAATCGTAAATGCTTCGAATTGACCGTCCTTGCCGCTAACGACAGTGCTAGCCCATAGAGCTTGTCCTCGATAAGGAAATTTGAATCTCTCTCTCGGAGTGTCTCGAATAGAGTATCGACCGGTTGCAAATCTGTGTCAAACATACGGTGGATCCCTTCAAAACGGCTGAAAATGAGCATAAAGAGGGCACTATGTTCATTGTCGACGATCCAGCCAAGAGTGCTGCGATCAGACAGAGAAATACGGGTTGAAGCCCATGGGATCTTCACGTGTGGCGCCTTCCCGTTGATCAGAATGTCCCACAAGCCATAACAGGCCGTGCTCGCAGGACCAAACTCCTTGGTGTGTAGAAGCCAATTGTCCTGTGCATAGGGTAGAAAAGCGTTTTCAGCCGGGACCGCTGCTGGTTTCTCTTCCGCAGAGAGGCTGAACGACTCCGCTTGCGACTTCCAATCGTACCCTCGCGCATCCCTTCTCTTGAGCAGCTTTATTGCCAACCGGCTGACCGTCGCCTGAGGCAAAGCCGCCGACAGCACCGCCGATGGCACATGAATCGGCTCTGAAGATGGAGAAGTACTTTGCCTCTTCACGAGTTGAACCCCGAATTCCTCGAAATTGAGGTACGTGACGCAGATCTCACCCAAGCGTAGATCCGCTTCTCCCGCATCCACATGGTATTGACCAATTTCATGGTCCGGAAGCTCAGAAAGAAGAAATTGCTTGACGCTGTGATGAGCGAATTGCACTGTCAACTCTTCCTCCTCGACGATCAGCAAACTACCACAGTTGTACAGTACCTCGATTACGACGAAATAGGCGTGTGGAGTTGAAGGAAGCAGCTTTTCCAGGTAGCAGATGACTTGGTCAGTGTCCAGCATATTCGTATGGACCGAGTCCACATCGCGGAACACGTCCGCTTTCAGTGGATTGAGAAGTTGCCTCACTAGGCTGCCAACCACTGTTCTGGCTTTCAGGGACTCGGTCACGTCGTATCTGCACAGAAAGTAACCGACGACAGCATCTGGAGAGCACGTCATAGCATTCTCGATCACGTTGGCGGTCATGACAGTCTTCCTCGAGCCCACAATCCCAGTGCACCACAGCACGCCAGAGTCCAACGCCTCAATCCAACGCCTGTATAGGCCTTGGTCAAAGATCCAGAGACTTGTACCCGACTTCCGAGCTTGCCTCCAGGCAGTCTCGTGGTTGTAGACGGAGCAAGCATCGAGGAACTTCACTCTCCGCATCCGATGGTTCAAAACCATGGCTTGCTCGAGTTCGAGCATCACCTTTTCCGAGAACTTGGCCGACAGCACTCGGAATGAGGAACTATCCTTCACTTCGAGGCTTCGTTCCTGTTTTGCTGCCAGTGAGACCTCATCTCTTATCGCAAACGCCAATCCTGCCAGGTCGGGTTCAAAGCGACCGAACTCTGACTGGAAAGGCTTGAGGATTGCAGATGAGATCTGTGCGAAGAAAGGCTTCTTGATGAAGAGCACAGCTCGCTTGCACAGTTCAACCATCATAATAAAATACTCGCAAACTGCTCTCCTGAGACTGGGCGATTTAGGGTACAATAGACCAAACGGTTGGTACCGGGGACAAGTCCGACCGACGTTCATGAAAAGGGTGGATAGAGACTCGAAATAGGAGGTGAAGCTGACCGTTATATGCAGCGTCATCTTCAGCGCAACCCAGATGACCTTTGCCGGCAGGGGTAGAGTGGCGCTGATGACCGGATCGACAATTGTTGAGAGTTGTTGCACAGATTGCAATATACAAGAGAAGCGTGGACCTAGGCAGCGGCGAGAGATGCGTCGGCTTCCTGTTCCTGTCAATCTCCGCTGTAAGGCGCATCACATCAGCGGCATCTGGCGCGGGTTGACCTTTGTATTCCCGAAGGAGGGTCTTCTGGTCGTCGGAGAGTATAGCTTCATATTCAGAGAGCGCTTGAGCCAGCCTGATCTCCGGTTTCAGTGGTCCAGCGGTACTCAAACGCAAAGCGACGGCCATGGGGTCTCAATCTGCGTGTCAGTATGTCCCTTCGAACGGCAGAGCCCTATGCAACAAGTCAAGGTAGCATCCGGTGGGAAGTAAAAGCCAAAGTGTAACAAACGATAGAATTATTGCTCATAATGAGCAGGTGATTGTGGTGACCATTTATCGGTCAGGCTGAACTTGAACCTGAACCTGCTAAGCCACCGTGAGCCTGCCTTGTTTAGATCCTAGGAGGACGTTCAACCAATGGAGGTTTGCCAGGGAAGGGCACTTCTGCCTCATTTTTGCAGCCTCTTCGTGCAGCCTGGAGCGAATAGAGGGCACTGCCACCATGCAACTCAAAGCCAGAATCAAGGATGATGGCCGAAGTGCACCAATAGCTTGTTGGTAAAGCGGCCGCCGGGCGCAAGGGTGCATTGGAAGGGAGGAGGAGTTGAGCCAGCTGGGGATGCAATGGCAGTCGGTTGAAGTGCTCAGCCCGTACTACTAGTAGGTTGGCTACTGCCATGATGGTGCAATGATAGTTTAGCGCACTTGGCGTTGGAGTTGGTTGGATACTATGAGCGTACAATTGGCTGATAAGGACAATCTGCGATGAGTTAGGTATCCTTGCCCATCACTGGCGACCACCATAACCAAAGGCAACTGCATCCTATTGACCACCATCGTTGCTCTGTCTTCAAGTTGCGTGAGCACAGAGTAGTGGCACTGGTCATAGACGAGCCAACCAGGAAGCGGGAGACAGAATCGGCGTAAAGAGAAGCTGCGAATGACTGCAACGAATATGCACGGTCCGATCTATTCTCTTTGAACCTTGCCGCAGCCTGCTTGGAAAGTCGCGGCCAACAAACCCGGGCCTCGACGACTCGGTTCCAGATGATACGCGACCCAGTGGTGGAAGCAGTCAAGCAGACGAAGAAGAGATTCGCAAGTCAAAATAGAGATAAGCTTAAGAATAATAGGCATCCGGTGCACGCGGTCCACAATTGGAAGGGAACTTGAATGATCATAGGGAGATTCAAGTCACTCCATCTACTACGTACTAGTAAAGGTGAAGAACTTGAACTTAAACTTGATTAATGCGAAACACAAACACCCAGCCTCGTCGTCGGAACCAATGGAAATGCGAAATGCTAGTCGTAATACACATACAATACATGCTTGCTCTTCCCATCCAAGCACTAGATCGCTATGCAATTGTCCAAGTCCAAGCCATCCGAGGCGAACGGAATCCACTTCTCTATAACTTTCCGTGCTTCGAACGACACCATGCGTGAATGCGGCTCTCGACCGAGAACAGCTTTTCCGAATCCAGGCCGCGATGGTCAGAGGTAGAGAGGTAATGGGATGGGGTAAACATAGTACATGAAAAGAAGGAACTCGAAAAAATGAACAACATCGTCGACATCAAGTGCTAGGTCGGGCCCCTGGAATTGTTTGTGCAGTTTGATACGTGGTGCTTGCTTGCTTGCTCTCCACTGCCATAGTTACTGGTCCACAGCGCCTCCCTAGTCTCGACATACATCAAATCTGTGGTCCCGCCAGGTCGAAATGATCGCAATCAGCGTCCCACCTAGAAGACATCAGCACAGCCCCAATGTTGCTCGACATCGAATTGGCCTGGCTCCTTCCATGGCTCGTCCTCGTAGCTCAAGAACACCACTTGAGCACCAACAGTGGCTTGGATTCCCTTTAGTGCGGTGACCTGGTTTTGAGGACCAGGGCATGCAGCACCGTTGCAGTCACCAGCGCTGGGCCAGCCGGATTCGAGGACGTAGACGGCCTTTCCGGAGCAGATGCCGTCGAGGATGTCGATTTGGGCTTGGATGAAAGAACCGGCCTTGTCAGCGGAGATGTCGGCATTGAAGAAGGCATACAGGTTGGCGGCAACCACATCGACCACGCCGCAGAAGGCAGAAGAGCTGCTGGTGTCTTCCCAGATCGACAAGGGCTCGGTCAAAGTAATCAAACCAGTGTAACCGGCGCCCTTGAACGATGAAGCGCAGCTCGAAACAAACGCGGCAAGCTCGGAAGCAGAGCAGTATCCGTTGAAGACGGCTTCGTTCCCGACAACGATCAGCTCCACCAGGTCCCATTGCGCCCACGCAATGATGTCCTCAACTTGGCCCTGGGCGCCGCCAATTCCAGACGAGGAGATCCAAACCCCGAGAATGAGCTTGAGCCCGGTTTTGCGCGCAGCAGCACCGATGTTTTCGAGAGTGCTGCAGTCAGTGCTGTACACACGCACGGATGTGAATCCCTTCTGGGAGATGATGGTGAGGTCGGCTTCAACGGTGCTGGCGTCCTTGCAACCTCCCTGTGCGGTGTATGGAGAGTAAGTCATACCCCAAGAGTCACCGTTGGCAGTTATGCCTGGGCTTCCACCACTCGGCTTCGGGGCCGAGCTGGAGGCAGAGGCACTAGGTGAGGACCAGGCCCATGAAGTCTCTTCAGTGCTGGTGGTCGCAGTAGCCGACTCGGTGGAGGTGGAAGCCCAGTCGAGCCAGGTCTCGGTCTCGGTCGAAACGGCAGCAGACTCGGTGGTGGTAGAAGTCCATTCACCCCACGTTTCGGTTGAAACTGGGACGACAACAGTATCAATGGTATTAGTAATAGCCCAGTCGCCCCAAGTCTCGGTCGTCGAAGTAACGACAGCCGGTTCGGAAATGGTCGAGGTCCAGTCACCCCAGGTTTCAGTGGAAGTAACGACAGCTGGCGCAGAGGTGCTGGTCACCGCAGCAGGGGTCGTGCTCGTCGTAGTGTTAGTCCAGTCGCCCCAAATGTCGGCAGCCGTGCTGGTTGCTTGGGGATCGAAAGGAGTTGGGTACCCTAGAGATTGAAACATTAGCTCGATCATAACAGCCGACAATGGAATTAGACTTACAAGTGGGCAGGCCATAAGAGGTGTAGATGGAAATGGCACAGCTACCAGAGTCGGTGGTCCAGGCTGGCACAATGGTTGATGTGATGATACTCGTGACTGGGCCAGTAGAAGTCGATTCTGCCGCGGCGGGAGTCAGCGGCTGGATATATTTGGTGTTGGTGACCGTAGATGCCAGAGTAACAATGGTCGTCTCCTCAGAAGACCAATCGATCCATGTTTCAGAGGCGGTCTCACTGCTGGTGCTGGCAGAAGGCTCGTAGATGGTGGTGGTCATGGTGACGCCGGACTCATCCCAGTCACTCCACGTTTCGGCAGCCGCACTCGCGGACTCGGTTTCGGTGCTTGTTGCTGCGGAAGCCTCAACAATCGTGGCAGTGACCGTCCAGTCACCCCAGGTCTCGGTTTCAGTAGTCGTCGCAGATTCAACAGCAGTGAACGATGCCCAGTCCTCCCAAGGTTCCACAGAAGTAGTGGCGGCAGCGACGCTTGATGAAGTCGCAGTACCCTCCACGCTGGTATCCCAGTCTTCCCATGCAGCGGCAGCCGTAGAGGTCTCTTCGACGGAGGTTGTCGTGGTTGTGCTGGAGGTCGCATTCCAGTCAACCCAAGTGTCCCGTTCAACATTCGCATGAACCTTGGGGTGCATGTGCTTGACATGGCTCGCGGCGGAGACCGATCCGACAACCACTGCACCAGCAGCGGCAACTGTAACAGCTCTCATCTTGTTGAGTCCTCGTATTCCAATATCTCCAGTATGTTACTAGCGAATTCCTGCTCGTGACTTGGACTTTGTTGATGCTTTGCCTGCGTGGTGAAACGAATGCCCGCGAAAAGAGTGGCGCGGTAGTGGGAGAATTGGAATCGAAGGTCGGTAGGCGAAGCCCGCGAAGAACTCAATTGACCATGTGTAGAGCCTTGCGGAGGAGGAAGAGGAGGGTTGCCAGCGACGTGATAACCTGCATATAGCTGCGAGCACGGTACACACAAGCAGGGGGGGTCCCATTCTGAGGAGGAGTGTGGGTCGGTACCCGGGTTCCCACACAGGGCGCTAAGGGAAATGGGCAGAATTGAATCAAGAAAACAAACTCGACTTACCGAGGCGCTGTTACGCTGCCCTAGCGACTTTGGGCCTGGCGTTGACGCTTGAGGGCGACTCAAATCGGCATGGTTGGCCTCCTTAGAGCCCTACAGGATCACATAGCAAGCATGCTGGACAGCATTTGCTGGGGGGAGGCGGCAAGCAAACAAGTTTGTTGATCAAAGTAACACGACAATGGTTGAGTTCACCCCGAGGTTGTATGCGAAATACTTTGGTTCGTCTCATCCTGATCTCATTCCATCAGTGCACCAGTGAAAAATGTCCGGAACGGTCGAGGCCGTCCTTCCATACATCAGTTTCGAAGTTCGAGCAGAGCGGTAGTTCATGAAGGGCACGACCTGAAGGAAACGACATCTCGGTAGCGGGCGGGGATTGGACAGGGGTGCCCAAGGTGAGATTCGACAGAGATTGGGCGTCCGAAACAGCCCCAAGGAGCGAAGCCGGAGCCTGAGGAAGGGTATGCAAGATGACATGATGGGACAAACCAACCCATGGGTTCCGATCGCTGGTTGGATGTTTGAGCCCGGAGGCCGAGATTTTGGATCTGCAAAAATTGCACAAGTGGAGCGGGATGTGCGAGCGACAAGACACAAAGGCAGAGGTGCCCGGTCATGGAAAGACGCGACTGGCTGCGCATGAGTGTTGAAGGAGGAGAAGGAAGACGAAGAGGAACTAATGGTGGTAGTTCGAGAAGCTCCAGGGGAAAAGGGGCTGCCCGGAGATTTCACGTGGCGCTGTCTAGCCGGTTTTGGACTAGAGAAAAGCTTAGTTGGACGCCATTAAGATTGCCTGCGCCTTGGGGTCTCCATCTCTGCTCCTGCACGCCCACGTTCATATTACTATTCCTCCTCTCGCCTGTTGTTCTCTACTGTTTGTACGTTGGTATGCTCTTATTTGTTAGACCGTGAGTGCCACCGTCGTCTCTCTTCACCGCAGGCCAGATTACAGCTTCTCTGCAAACCTCTTTTACCTCCCAGGGGGAACGCCATCCCACACCCCGCCTTCCGCCTGACGACGCTTATCCTCCTCTAACTTGGCTGCTCCGTGGCAACGCGCCTGCGATCAACAAATGGGTTGCGTTGTCACCATCTCGACTGTCTTTGGCAAGTTGGGGGCTATTTCCTGAACACCGAGATTGACGTTGATGAACCTGACCCTCGGCGGACCCACGAATAGCAATGGTGGGCCTGACGTGGCGGCCATTTTCTCTGTGGTCCCATCTTTGAGCCATTTTGACTGCTGTCAGGCTGGCAATTTCCCAGCTCTGTGTTGTTTGGGCTTGTGGCTTCATCGTGCCATGTACCGCTGCTCTGGAGCTTCGAATTGTCGTCATTGTTTATTGTTGTCATCATCATGATTGTTGTATACTCCGGCCATGGCTTCTCTCACCAAGATGAGCGGCTATGTAGTCACCTCGATCGAACTGTGCACACTCACGGATCCCTGCCAATGGATGTTGACGGCGTGGACACAAGAACCTTTGGGCAAAACACTTTGCTGGCGAGTCTCCTGGACCATTATCTCTTCTCAACAACATTTCGAGGTCTAGAAGGGCCAGTCTGGATTCCTTTTGCGTTAGTTCGCTATTTACTGTTCGGGTGCTGCTTCGGATTCGTCGCCTAATCAAGCTACTCGACCTGTCAAACAGTCATCCAACGATAATGACGGGTTCCATTCGGGCATATTATGTGAGTCTCTGCAGTAACCTAACAAGTGTCGAGATTGATCGATCCATACGCAGTGCGTCCATTGATGTTTGTCACATACTGCCTGTGCGTGCATTCTGGCTTGCTCTTCGTTTTTATCGAGCTTCACGCCATTTACAGTCTATCTGTGACAGCCGCCACAATTTCATGTCCCGATAGGCAACAAACCATTTCTAGATTTCATCTCCATGACCTCAATGGGCAGCGTGGTAGTGCTAGATCAATGCACAACGCACGACAATCTAGATCTTGGTGTTCTCATGGCAAATATTGTATGCGCACCACATACAGCCTTTTCAACAGAGTATCTCCTGATCCAGCCCGGTAGCCGTGTCTCGTTTCCTGGGCTGTTTTTTTTGATCTCACCCGGATCGCGGATCAAGCACAGCGATGCTGCAACCCACACCCATCTGGCCTCATGCTTCCTATGGACCTCAATCGGTTATTCCTCCGGGCCAAAAAAACCTTCCTTGACGCCCTTTTCCCATGCGGCCTTCTTGCTCTCCACGTCTTCTGCTCTTTGGTCTTTCATCCATGCAGTGTTGCGCACGAACTTCTCCCGGAACTTCTCACTTTCTTCAATCTTGCCAACCTCGTACGTCTTGCCGTTCGGCCGCCTAAGTGCCTGGTGTTGGGCAAAATAGAACCCTTTTTGCAGGAAAAGCTTATAGGACTCGGGACTAATGAATGCAGTCTGTTCGTCATAGTGGTAAAGATCTCCGTATACCTCTTGATACGCCATTTCGACGAGGGCATTTTGTGGAGCGATGTTTCGGCGCAAAAAGGGGTTGTGCATGCGCGACTGATCAACTCCTTCGGTGGGGTCGCTCATGGTGTATGACGCGACGTAGTACTGCCAGCGAGCTTCATCTGAAAGAGCGTCGTTGTCAAAGGTCGCTTCTTCTGTCGGGAACATGCGAATCGTACAGACCCGATCTTCGGGTGTCTGTGGCAGGTTAGCATTACCATCGTCGTCAACATGAGCCCTGCTCGCGCAGTCACTTACATAGCTGATCCGATAGACCTCACCGTCCTTGGCTAGTCGCTCGACTTGCTTGCGGTACTGTATTTCCTGCTTCCTGGTAGTGTCTGGACGCTCCCTGTCTTTCATGAACAAATTTGTGATGTCGACACTCTTGTCTTTGGCGTCACCACTGAGAATATTCATGATGAAGCGGTGAATGGCGCCAACCAGCCTGTCAATGGTGTAAAGCTGCCAGCCACTCTTGTTATAGTAACGCCGGAGCGTCTCTTCAAGATGACTCATGTCGCCTGTGCCCACCAGAACGTCCTCGCACATTTGCAGGATTTGGCTGTAATAGCTCTGCTTTCCATCGACGCTGAAGAAGAAGTATTCAGGACCTTTGTCGATCATCCGGAGCTCAATGGCTGGTTTTGCACCACGGCTGGATCCTCTGTACCTTGCGACAGCTTCGTGGACATTCGGCTCGTTGAGCTTGATTGCAAGGAGTCGAGTGTACAAAGTTTCAAAGAGCCGGAAAAAGCAGTAGATGTTTGCGTTCGCATAGAGATTGAAAGTAGTGTGCGGGTATGGTTCATCCAGCGCTGGATGGCGTGCTGGTGTGTCGCTGTTGGCCACGTTGATCCATGGACGTCCAGGGGTCTCAAGTGCCTCTGAGGATGCCACGTCTTCATCCAACTCCATCTCACTGACGGCGCCGGGCATAGGTGTCGACTCTTTGCTAGCAGACGCCACGCTGTCCTCTTTGCCATGTCTTCGCTCCAGCGCCAGCCTTCTAAGCCAGTCTGATTTGCGTTGAGATTTGCCTTTGGTGGGAGCGTGGACATCACTTTCGTGAAGATCTATACCTTCATCGTGCTCTCGATTTCTCGCCGCGTCTGTGTCGATTTGCTCCTGGAATTTCTCGGGGTCCAGACCAAAGAAACGAATCACAAAATCCGTAAGCCATGCGCGGAGTTTGTCCTGCTCACTAGTGTTGAATGAGATCCGCTCCGACTCGAGGGCAACGAGTATCAGGCGTGCCGCGTCGGCTACGACATCTAGATCATCAAATCGGTATTCGAGCTGATGTTTCTTTGCCGGGAGTCCATTCTCGCGATTCTTCTTGGCCTCTTCATATTTGGCTTGAATCTCACTCGTCAACGTCTTCTGCTGAAAGTTTTTCTTGTCGAGGTTTTTGGCGTTGATTCCCTGATGATCAAGGCTCTTCCAAAAGTGCTTATTGATCTGATCACGCCACACCTTTTCCCATTCTCGTTGGACCTGCTTCCACTCTTCAAGCTTTTGCTTCAGTCTCGTCAGAACGATGGGAAGTACTGCAGTGGGACGTGCGAACATCTCTTGCATGACCCTGGCACCCACTTCGCGGCCATACACCTTCATTATGATCCGTTTGGGAATAGCCTCGCTGGAACCTCCAAGGCCAGGTGCCAGAACAAAAGCGGCCCGGTCTGTGTCGTTCATCACACCAATCTGCTGAACTATAGGCTCCATCAACTGGATGGTCCGCTGGCACGACTCAATGTGGAAGTCGTAGTCATGGCGTTCTTCCTCAATTCTGTGCAAAGCTTCTTCGTACTGGTTCTTGCGGTGTGCGACGAAACCAGAGTCTTCGGAAGCCCATGTTGGATGAGAGGCCCACACATCATTCAACACCTCGTAGCACATTCCATCCCGGCCTTTGCAGGGTTTATTCTGCTCCCGCTTCGGAAGATGGCGGTAGCTGGGTCCCAGAGCACGACAATGCGACAGATTTACCCGGCCGGTATCTGGTCGAGCGCGTGCCTCGGTGACCTCATCTTGCTCCTCGATACCGAGGAAGTTCTTGAACCAATTCATCAGATCTGGACTGCCTCCAATGAAAGACCCAACCCGATCGGCCAAGGTGTACTTATCGATAAGGTCTTGTGTATATAGGTTGATGAGTTTGAGGAATTCGGCATAACTGGCACGATTGCCGATCTGCTTCTTTGCACGGTCAAAGAAGCCAAGCTCCTCCTGGGTGGTTGACAGATTCGGGAACGGTGGGAGTGGCTCAGGCGGTGCAGGGACAAGCGTAGGCGATGTGACAACGGGCTCAGCAGGAGCCTGGCGTTGGTTTGCCAGTTTCGGGCGCTGTGAGAGTGAAGTCAGTATACCAAGCAACAGTGAAGGTTTTGTCGTGATAGATGAGCGCAATGTGATTCATGAATTACGTGTATGTGATAGAAGATATCGACGTACCTTGTTGGCGTTGCCAACTTGCACCGGTCCAGCTCGATTGTTCTGAAGACTGGCCTCACCAGATGGCTGCTGGGCGCTAGGTTGGTTGACGAGTGACGCCCCTGGTCCCCCGCGGCGCTTCTTGTTGTCTTTACTGGTGCTGGGTGGATCAAATTGGCCCATGGGAGGCATCTTAGAAGTAGGTCTTGGAGTCTGCGCCTGAGGCATTGTCCCGGCAGTGTAGGGCGGTTCGTTTCGAACGTTGCTGGTCTGTTCCTCTTGCGCCATTGCGCGTGCAGCTTGCGCTTTGCCGTGAGCGGCCGACTCGGGTAGAAATTGTTTGAAATCTTCCAGCAAATCAGGTGCAGAAACGAAAAGTTGTGTAACCTGGGCGTAGACGTCTTGAATGGGTTTCGATTCACGTTGGTAGGTCTGCAGGATCTCAAGAAACTGCTTGTAGATCTCAGGCTGCTGCGCAAAGCGGTTCTGCCAAAAGTTAACTCTTGCAATACGGCAAAAGATCTGAAGAACACAGTACCTTTATCTTATTAACGTAGCTGATCGCATGATTGAACTCGACGGGGCCTCCGCGTTTCAACTCACCGAGCGCCGCCGCGTTGCCGCCAAATGCGCCGCCCTGTTGGGAATATTGGCCTTGCTGGCCCGGGCCAGGCGAAACAGCCAAAGCAGGCCTCGTTATCCCGTTTGTCACCGCCGTCACAGCACTCTGGAGGGTTGATACGTTGCGCTGTTCTTGTTGGGTCATCGAACCCGGACCTTCATCGATTAGCCTCTCTCCCGACGCGGGTTTGTAGCCAGGCAATTCTGCTGGCCTTGAACCCGGTGAAGCTCCAAGAGTCTGGCCCCATCCGTGTCGACTTTCGAAGGGATCTTGACGACCTGCTTGCCCTTGTGCCATCTGACCCATCGGCGCAGGTTCGAACTGTGTGCGGCCTCTGTTATGAAGAGACTGGGTCATCGTTCCACTTGGGGTGGTGACCCGGATAGCATCGGGATTCTCCTCGGTCCCGCATTCAATGCGATAGCCAGGCGGGAGAAAAGTATTGAACCCTTGGATAAGGGCTGGATGACCATTGAACAAATTGGACACTCTCTCGATAACGCCCGGGGTGTCAATGGCCTGGCTCTTGAAATCTTTCATGATGTCCAAGAATCGATTATACACGTCTGGCTGGTCACTGAAGCGAACTTTGACCTGGTCGAGGTAGCTGAGTGCATCGTTCAGGATGGGTTGTTGGCCGTGTGCCAATTGTGCGGGTGCGGGCATGGGAGAGGGACCAGGCATGAAGGCTTGTCCTTGCTGCTGCGTAGGAGGAGCCGCGACTTGCTGATGCAGGTATTGCGAGGGTCTCTGTGCTTCATGTTGCGCAGGTCCTCCAAAGAGGCTGCTGCCGCCGGACGGGGCTGCGCCATTGTGCGGAACAGCTCCGGCGCCTCCATTCGCCAACAGACCATTCGGACCATGAATGGAGTTCTGCACCTTGGAGGCCACAGGCTGATGGATGGGGATGGACCCAGCATGGCTCTGGACCGGGCGTTGTTGCTGATGTTGTTCCTGGTGCATACGCTCCAACTGATCTCGTTCGCGAGCCTCACGCTCGCGCTCCCTCATCATCATCTCATCCCGCTGTCTCTGAAGCTCAATATTGTTCCGTTCTCTCATCTCTCTCTCTCTCAGCTCATGCTCCCTTATTTCTCGCTCACGAAGCTCTCTGAGTTCTCTCTCGCGGCCCATGTACTGAGGAGAATGTTGAGGCATCGAATGTCCGAGTGGACCCATGGGATGACCCTGAGCTTGAGGCGGAGGAGGCTGGGTATTGTACTGATGCTGTTGTTGGTGATTCGGTGGTCCTTGAGTCAGGTCTGCGATTGAGAGGCTGTGGCTTCCAGAAGGTTGAGAATGATGCTGGTGGTATGACGCGGGAGGAGGTAAGACGTGCTGCGGTGGTTGCGCAGGGCCATTTGGACTGAAAGGCGTAAGATGTGTCAGCAACATTACAGCCGTGGCCTCTAAGGATGAAGAAAGGCGAACAAAATATCCGGTGACAAGGTGAATGGTAGTTTTGAAGCAAGGAGAGGACTTACCCGAAGCTTGCGTAGGGTCTAGCCTGAGGCTGAGGTTCGCCTTGAGGAGGACCTCCAGGACCCCGCCAGTGATCGGCCGGATTCTGGTTCATGATGGTAGTATGATGGGGAGGAGGCTGATGGATGTTTTTGAGGTTGCTATCAAGATTCTGCTTCTGCGCATCGCATGATGTAGTTTGCTGGCTCTACCCACAGAACACGCACCAAACGGAAACACGTGGACAAAGATCGTGCGCCGAGCCGAAAAAGGACCAAAGGCCGGATGCTGTGCCTTGAAGGAGCAAACAACGCAGGAATACCCTGGCCGTGAGCACTAGACACAGTGAATGAAGTGAATTGAGGAGAGATAGCAATACCAGACACGTTAGATGCAGTGGTGCAATGGCAGATGGAGGAAAAAGGCCATCAGGGGACTTGGAGAAAGCTGAGGCTAAAGGGCGACTAGGGTGAGCGAACGGGTGCCAGTGATGGAGCCTATTTGGCGGCTGGCCTGCGGTTTGCGGGTGGCACTGGGACCTGAGGACCTCAGCTGGCCTTAGTATTGGCTACGGTTCGCTGCTACGTACCTAGGTACCTAACAGTATCTGTAGTACGGAGCATTCGCACTCGCACTCGCACTCACTGTCACCCGATGACGAAGTACGCGGCGTAGTAGCCCGCATATCAGGCGCCATTCCTATCACGGACCAAATTTCCTTCGGCGCAGTTGCCCTGTATCATTTCTCCGCGAACTTCAGTTGGAGCTGGCAAAGCAAGACGCAGCTGAGGAACAGATGCAGAGGCTTTCAGTACCTGGTACTGCGTCGAAGCACCTTTATCTCATCTACTACTAGTACTAGTACCTCACAATAAAATAGCAGGCAACCTCTGGGATCGTTCGTCTCAACTTAGCCAAAGAACTTGCTGGCCAGACTCATCAGACCAGAAGCACCACCGCCACCACCACCTCCCCCTTGGTTCTTCATGTACATCTGCAGAGCCATCTTCGCAGCCTGATTGACCGCCGACTGTTTGCTTGTTCCGCTTTGCACATTGCCCTGACTGCTTTGATTGTCAAACAGCTTTGATGCTTCCTGCATGGCCATTGAAATCATCTGAGACTGTGATCCAGATCCCCCCGATCCTCCTCCAGATCCACTGAACATCTTCAAGGCTTGCATCGCTGCTCCTGCTCCAAGGCTCGAAGCATCGTGCTGCTGTCCACCACCGCCCTGCTGGTACAGCTGCTGATGGCTTTGCTGAACTCTGTCCTCGTCGATGTCTTCCGACTGAACATTCTGCTTGTTGTTACTCAGATAAGACAAGGCTTGAGAGAAGAGATTCGAATCTCCAGAATTGCCCTGTTGCTGGCTGTGCCGCATTACTTCGTCCTGGTCAAAGTCGGCAGAGGCAGCTCCATGGCCACCACTGGATCCTCCTCCGTAGCCGCCAGCAGAGCCTCCTTCGTAGCGATTGCCTCCGTAGCCACTGCTAGAATTACCGCCATACCCTCCCTGACCTCCATATCCTCCTTCCTGGTTCTCTTGTCGGCCCTCATAACCTCCATAGCCACCTCCTTGTTGTCGACCACCGTCATCATCTCCACGGCCGTAACCTTGGCTGCCGTAGCCACTGCCCTGCTGGTTGTTGTCAAAGCCTTGATTTTGATCGTAGTAGTTGTCACCACCTCTACCACCACCGCCGTATTCGCGAGAATCGTCCCCACGTCGGTCGTCGTAAGACATGTTTGGTTTTCGTCGAGGAAACTACGCGTGTCGGTCACGAAGAGACTGAGTATTGATTACCGGCTGAGGATCTTGAGAACAGTTCGTGCAACGTGGATGGATTCGTAAAGGCTTGCTTGAGTTTGCTTTCTGCAATGGAGGAGAGTGCACGACTACCTACCTTAGTACGTACAAATTAAGTACGCAGTACTACTAGTAGTACGTAAGGTCTGTCACCGCAGTCGAGCGCTTACTAGGGGTTCGGTGAAACCAATCAACGTCATCGTGTCGCAATTAGCTAAGCCTCACTGCCAGTGCAGTGGCGGTTGGCGGCCTAAACCGAAGAGGGAGGGCGTCAACAAACCGTGCACTACAGTGATTCGACCTCTTCAACTTGAACTTCAAAATGATACGATCCATCCTAGGGTACATCTACGTGCCTGACAAGTTTGAAGAGACACTTGCTGCTGTCATAATAGTCCACAGACACAAAGTCTCCCTCGACGTCCCCATCATGGCTGACGGTTCGATTCAGGCAGGTGAAACTACGACTCCTGCTCAGTGTGCTTGCTCGGCGCAGAATTTATCCAAGCCTGACTGGAAGGGTAATGCAGGCCCTACCGAACTAAGGTCCAAGTGACTCCAATCGTAAGACTAATTGGAGGAGCATTCCAGCGACAAATCTTTCACTGTCTTCGTTGACAAGACGTGGCTTCATGAGCTGTCCGAAAGAGGAGCTCTACTCTCTTCTCAGTGACACATACCGCTTGCCATTGCAGGACGACTAGAAACTCTCGGGCGATGTTGACGAATCCAACATTCACCGAGGGACTGCGAACAGGTACGCGGGGTGTCGACGTTTCCTCAACTTAGTCGAACAGACGCCTCGCCTACTTCCCGACTGGCGGTCTAAGGGACCAAGTATGAACAATATGCGTGAGGTGATGGCTTGGACGACTTGAACTCTACGGTTGAGAAGAGTATGAATATCGATTACAAGGGGAATCGCACGAGGCACATACAGTTGAGAAGTACGCCATTCTGCGGCTGCGCGGAAAAGGGAGGATGCAGACATCCATTCTTGGTGCAAATAGGTTTATGTAGAGGAGCCATGCTGGTGGAAGTCACCGACAAGGCCCCACAGACGTCAACGCGAGGAACGTTTTCGTGTGGTTCTGTACAGACCAGGGCTGGGGTAGGGCGTTGAGCACATCAGGATACCACGACCTGGCTCTTTTGTGACCATGGCGAGCGGTCTTTCCGGAGTATCAGTTGTCAACCATGTTGGAATTTGAAAAGGAGGCCAGGGCAAAAAGGTACAGTCTTGGAAAGCAAAGCGACAGAGAAGCGACTTTCAGAGTCTAAAGTTGAAGGGCGACACTTTTTATGAACCTTGAGTAGTACTACGTAGTAGTGTGTAGGTAGGTACACATGTACGTCAGGTATAGGTACCTAGGTACCTTACCTTAACCTAGAAGAAGGCATTATTATTTCGCTGACCTTCGGCCGAGGCGGGACGGCGGACTGTCTCCGGTCACGGAGGCCTCCTTAGCCGCGCATGACGTTGCCCATTATTACTGCCGTAGCAATGATTTTTCGAAATCCCCAGGTAATCAATTCTGGATGACCTTCATCCAAGCTGGAGACGAGATCCAATTCCACGAGACTTGGATCGCAGCACACAAAGCCTCAGTAAAAGCATCAAGAGCCAAGGACTTACTCGACAGGACACGGTAGCGCAATACAACTGCCATGGCCATGTCTTCGGCAGCACCCACGCGACAAGCCCTCCGCCACCTCCGCCGGCTGTGCACCACTCCCACTCCCAGAGAAACACTTCCCACGGCCAGAGCATCGCCGTGTCTCTGTGACGAACGAGTTGTCGCGACAAGAAGAGAAAGTACATGGACACAGGCACAGGCACAGGCACAGGCACAGGCACAGGCACAGGCACAGGCACAGGCACAGGCACAGGC